TAATTTTTAAAGAAATTTATTCTATTACTTCTATTCTTTCTATATAAACTAAAATAAAAACATTTTTTTTTCTAAGTAAAACTTAGTTTTATCTTCGTAGTTAGATATGTAGATTCAATACGGGACATCCTACATTGCGGGTCAGGCTACATAGAGAATTCTAATTGGACTCTAGATGGTGCCCACTATCGGTCTACATATTGCTATGTATTTCCTTCCGGAGTCTCCTAGGTTTACTGACCCCCTCGAGTCTCACGGCTCAACACTTACTCACGCGTCGCAGATGGCTAATTCAGATAGGTCGAGACGACGAGGGCATTCGAGTCCTCGGCAGATTGCACGCCCGAGGCCACACGGACAACCCCTTGGTCTAGGCCGAATTTGCCGAGATCCAGTCAAAGATGCAGTTTAAGAGGATGAACAAGCAACCAAGCTACTTCAACATGCTCTTTGGCTCGAACAGGAGGCGAACATGGCTTGGCATTGGCGTGCAGTTCATGCAACAAGTCACCGGTGTCAACGTGTACGTCTTCTATCCCCTTGTTCGAATCCCATCACTGACAATTTCCTCCTAGCATCATGTACTACGCTGTCTTCCTCTTCCAACAAGCCGGTATCGCCGGAACCCAGGCATCGCTTCTCGCCAACGGCATCCAAGGTGTCGTGCTGAACGTGTTCTTGTGGCCTGACATGTACTACATTGATACCTGGGGACGTCGCACGCCTGCAATTCTTGGAGGCTTCGGTATGGGCATTGCGATGATGTTGATCGGTGTCCTTATGAAGACACAGGGTACGTTCTGTCCCTCACCTCCAATTGATCAGCGCTGACTTCCTCAACAGGCTCCCCAGTCTACGACACCCTCACGCAAAAGACCAACTTCACATTCGCCAACAAGTCGGCATCTTACGCGACAATCGCCTTTGTGTACATCTACGTTGCCCTCTTCTCGCTCACTTGGGGCTGCATCGCTTGGGTCTACCCCAACGAGGTCTTCAGCATGAACATCCGTGGTCGTGGTACTTCATTGTCATCTGCGACGAACTGGTTTGTGGTAAGTCGAAGCCGTGTCTGAGCTACGCTGGGAATTGGAGGCTGACAACAACGTAGAACTTCTGGTTTGCGCTCTACATTCCCACTGCGATGAACAAGATCTCGTGAGTTCATCCATGACTGATTGCAGACACTCTCACTGACACATTTCAAAGGTGGCGGTTGTACCTCATCTTCATGGCCCTCTGCTATGCCATTGGCATTACCGTCTTTCTGTTCTTCCCGGTAAGCCTCCCCGATGATCGAGTTCTCACGCAAGCTAACACCACCCTCCAGGAAACGGCCAAAAAGTCTCTCGAAGAGACGGATCTTCTCTTCAGCGACGACCGCACCATTTGGGTTTTCAAAGACCGAGAAGCTACAAAGGTCGGCGGCCTCGTCTCTCGCGACCTCGAGCGCGGCGAGAGTATTGCAATCTCTGGCAAGGAGGGACACGAGGATGTCAAAACCATTGAGGTGGCCAACTTCGCAGACGATAAGTCGTCGGGCTGAACGTGAAGGTGCAACGACTTACGATTCGGGGCGATGGACGTGTACTTTGGCATGTTTCGTCGAGTGTACATACGATGCAACTAACGAATATGCGTTGAGGCTCTTTCAATTGTCTTCCCACCTCGCACCACAGGTGGTGCTGTATGCCCGGAATAAGTCCGCGCCCTAACACCGATCCCCGGTTGCTTACCTCATCTCACCATCCGCCCCTCCTCACGTCCACTCCCTGTACACAGTAACTCATCATCCGATACAACACCGGTCAACATGGCCGGTACAGCGGAGCGCGTGCCACCTCACGGCAACTCCTCACAATTCGGCACCGAACGACCAACCACTTTCGCCGCCCATCAACCACATGGCGATGTGAAGCCCAACGCCGGCTTCTCGCTGCCCGATCGAGATGCGGAAGAACGAGGAGAGACGGGCGAAGGCATCGCAGAATGGCAGCGACGAAATGGCATCGATCCCTCCGCCCACATTCGCATCGTCAAGATCGCCCACATGCGCTACCAGCACGCCGAGCTCGTCAAGATCACCCAATTCCTCAAGGACTTTGGCATGCACATTGTCAAAGAGACGGAGGATCGGGTGTGGTGGGGCGGGTACGGGACAGATCCATACGTGTATTACTGCCAGAAGGGCGCCACGAAGGAATTCTTGGGAGCGGCGTTCGAGGTGGAGAGCTACAAAGATCTGGGAAAGGCGGCGAAGCTTCCCGGGGCATCGCAGATTGAAGAAATGACAGATGCGCCGGGAGGAGGGTACATTGTTACGGTCAAGGATGGGAACGGCTTTCCAGTGAACCTCATCCACGGCCAGCAACCTGTGGCGCGCGGGGAGGTGCCGGGCAAGATCATCCAGAACTACGAGGTCGACAAGCCGAGAGTGCGCAGATTTCAACGCTTCACTCCCGGCCCTGCTGCCGTGCACAAGCTCGGCCATTTCGGGTATACCGTGCGAGACTTCAAGGCGCAGCTCGACTTTTACACTCGAACGTTCAACCTCGTGCCCACCGATTTCCTCTCCGCTCCGACGGAAGACGGCAAGCGAGGGGAGGAAGTGGTTGTCTTCTTGCACGTAGACCGTGGAGAGGAGCCTGTCGATCACCATACCGTCTTCTTCGGTGCCGGTAAAACATCTCACGTCCATCACGCGAGCTTCGAGGTGCACGATTTCGACACGCAGCAGCTCGGACACCAATGGCTTGCAAAGCAGAACTATACACCGGTCTGGGGCGTGGGAAGGCACATCCTCGGCTCGCAAGTCTTCGATTACTGGGCGGATACGAGTGGCAACATGATTGAGCACTACGCAGATGGTGATCTGGTCAATCAAGATACGCCCATAGGCTGGGGCTCGGCCGCCGACGAGGCTTTGGCCGTCTGGGGACCTGAGTTGCCAAAATGGTTTCTCGATTAGACGAGGGGTGCTTTGGCAACGCCAATGCTGGCTCAGGTACTGGGTCACGATGTGAGAGTGTGAGCTCGTGTCTCATGCAATTGGAGAAACACGTCGGCGTGGAAAATTATCCAACTTAATCGTTGCGATGCCCTCCACGATGGCCTTCTCCGCGGTGGCCCTCACGACCCTCGCCGCGAGGTCCGTCTCCACGACCCTCTCCGCGATGCTCTCCCCCGTGACCTTCTCCGCGATGGCCGCCGCCTCCACGACCTTCTCCGAGATGGCCCCCTCCACCGCCTTCGCCGCGATGCCCGCCTTCACCACCGAAACGACCGCCGCGATGCCCTCCGCCATCCTCTCGGAGCTCCTGTCGATCCTCACGGAGCTCTTGGCGAGCCTCGCGACGCTCCTCTCTGGTATCGGCGTCGCGGAGTTCCTTGCGGTCGTCGCGGATCTCCTCCCGATCATCACGTCTCTCCTCCCGCTCGAAGCCGTCATGGCGGCCTCCGCGTCCACCTTCTCCTCCTCCGCGATGGCCACCTCGTCCGTGATGCTATTCCGCCATGTCAGCGTTGGCGTCATATAATGCCTCGAGATAACGTACTTCGCCTCTCTCCATATTGATAATCTTGTAAAGTCAATGAGATCTGATTGTGTAGTTGCAAACAATGACCGAGTTTCTCAGCACCGCGAATCACTCTCACCTTTTATATACAGCATGACGGGTCATTCATCGCCGACCATTCCCCTCCACAGCTACCCCTCAAACATAACCTGGGCACAGCCGAAGCGACCCAGCTTATCTCAACTTGGCACCACTCGAATCAAACAATAGCAGGGGAAGGATGCAGCAGGAACGACCAGGTGCCTGAACACGTTCGAGAAGCGCCCCGCCGCCAAGTAACAAACCCCTCTATCATGACGGAGTTGCTTGGCTGTGACATTGGAACTTGTTTTATACCGGTGAAGCCTGTAAACGAACAGTTACTCTATCTTACATTTAATACAAACTGCCCCCTGGCCCCCCTCTAATACACGCCAGCTCTCGGCTCATAGTCTGTCCCATTCACAAGCGCCGGAGTCTTGTAACCCCACTGGATAGGTTGTCCAGCAACCAGGTCAATGGAGCCCAGAGCATCCCCATCGGGATTCATCGCCCACAGGCCGAGCGCAATGTAGTTGGTGCCGCGGTAGTTGAGGATGCCCTCAGGAACGGGAAAGTTGGTTTGCGGTCCGACATTGGGCACTGCTTATCGTTAGACCTGATCAACGTGAAAGAATTGAGAGAACTCACCATATTTGCCAAAGTTCCATCCATTGATAAACATCCGCACGCGGTAATACGAGTTTGCGTTGTCGCCGTTGGAAAACACGACACTCAGCGGGATATCGTAGCCCTCGGGGAGGTCGAGGTCGAATGTGGCATAGTAGAAGCGATTGCCCACCTGGGTGAGCCCGTCGGTCGGCTTGCCGGATGCCCATGAGCTCGTCGGCGCCTTGGGAAGATGGTATCCGTGCCTTTCGGCGTACACACCACCTTCGTTGAGAGGACCGCGAGACTTGTCATAGTACTTCTCGCCGCCCAAGTTACCGGTCAGAACCCAGGTGATGTCTGATTGATTGTGCCCGTCGAGCTGGTAATGACTGATCCCACGGATGAGCTTGAACTGGACGTTTCCCACGTGCGGCTGTTCGTCCATGCCCATGTGATCGATGAGCTGAGAAGCGTTAGTCGGGAGAGGGAAAAGCAGATGTAAGGACAAACTCACCATGGTGATGACAGCAGGACCCGGCTTCAGTGGAGTGACAATCGAGTAGTTGTCCGAGCGATTAATGTCGTAAGCGTTGCCGGCCCAGTAAGAAGTATTGCCACCAATGTAGTGGCCATTGAAGAAGCACTGGGTGGGAAAGGCAAGACCGCCGGCGGTGTCGATGGCGAAAAACGTCTCATTACCGGTGGCGTTGAAGTGGCCACGGTAGATCAGCGAATCAGTATTTAATCCGTAGTCGCTGGCGGAGAGCGAGGTCGGAGTGCCCTGATCAAACTCATCGTTGGGCGAGTGAATAATGTTAGCCTTGGGCCACTTGGAATCATCGTAGCTGAGCTGCAGCTCCGGGAAATCGTCAATGTACTTCCAGTCAAGGGTGTTCAGGTTGGGAAGCGATACGGTGGGAGCGGTGTACGTAACGTTGAAGGTGATGGTTCCGGTCGACGTCTTGGCAAATGCCACTTTCTTCTAGTTAAACTTGACCGTACTCAAGTTCTTGGGCATGCCGGCGATAATCTCAAACGCAATGGGTTTGACATCTCCCATGATTGATACGCTGCGTCCGCTCAATTTGGCCGTCCGGATGAGTTGGCCACCGGTGATGATGATTGAAGGAGCGTTGGGATTGGTATATGGTCGCGCAGTGCTGTTGGAAAGCTGGATTCGCCAGTAGTTGACGGCGGAATCACGGTCGAGGATGTACACCAACGCCTTGGCATAATTGACCACTCTTCGGGTGGGCGAGTCAGTCCAAGACATGACTGGATGATCTTTGACCTTGCTGAATGTGACGTTATTGGCTTCCACCACAGTAGGCTTGGCGAGGTTGGTGTTGATAAAGGCCAATTCCTGGGGTTCGCTGTTCGCGGCATACCCGCCGTAAACCACAAGCACGCTCTTGCCGGACTGGTCGGCGCTGTAGGCGAAGATGTCGGGAGACGAGTACCAAATGGATACGTTGTTGCCGATGCTGTAATCGACGTGATGGAGCTTGGCGTCGCGACCGTTCAAGACGAGCTGCAGAATCGTTTGAGGGAAGGTGATGTTTCCGAGAGAGGTGGGGACGGTGAGATTATAGGAAACCTGATTGTAGCTGGTGTAGTCGGCGCTGCGAACGACAAATTAGCGGGCGCCGGTGACGTTGTTGTATGCCTGGGCCGTCGCGAGCTAGTCATTATTCGGATACTGGCCGACCTGGTTGGTGTTGTTAATAGCATTGGCCGAGAGGTAGCCGGGGCTCCATGTGATCTCGGTGGCAACCATTACGCCGCGCCATACTTCTCCCTCGTGATGGTGCGATTCTCGGCAATGGCCGCACCGTAGTCGTAAGATGTATACCCATACGGCTGGCCCAAGTTGCCCCAGTTGGTCCCGCCGTACGTCATGTAGATGCTCTGCACAGTGGTGACAAACTCGACTGCAGTCAAGTACAGCAGACGTTCGGCTGAGCCATCGACAACGATGGCGCATTGGTCGTAGCCGTAGCCACCCCAACCGTCGATAGCTCCGCCTTGGTACTACAAGATGGCCATGGGGCTGAGAGGCGATTGAACAGCATGCAAAGTGGCATAGTTCTCGGGGAAGCCAAGACCGTAACCCGGCGGTGGCCAGTAACTGGGGTCGCCGCAGCCGAATCCAAGAGGGTAGGAGTCCTGGCCGTAGACTTCGACACTGCCAACGCCTTTGCCATATGCGAATTGTCCGGCCGCTGCAGGCCGAGTGATGTCGTTGTAGGAGAATGGAACCACCACCCCAGCTAGCCGACAGACGTCTTCGTACTTTTGCAGGTATTCCGGCTGGTAGGTGTAGCCATTGGTGAAGACATATTCGTTCTCAATTTGGACTGGAAGAGGAGTCAGCAAGGCATTACGAGCATGGCCTGATAGAACAAACCCATAATGACAGGACCGCCGTTGTCGATTTTTCCGTCGGCTAGAATCTTGCAAATGTTCGTCCAATAGCTATATGTTGTCAGCTTCCATTTTTGCAAGGCACAAGGGAAGGACCGACTTCAGCGAAGCATTCTGAAAACCTTTGTTGTCGGGCTGCATCGTGCGGGGAGCGCCAGGCACTCTTCGAATCCATCCAGGCATCCCTCCACCAGCCGTCTCACCATTGATGTATGGACCGGGCCGCTGAGACACAATCAGTACTGCAATGCTCGGCAGTCACGGCAAATACCCACAGCAATGAGATAGATTCCAGCTGCTTGGCCATGTCGATAAAGTTGGCAATATCAAAGACCCCATCGGCACGGAACACGCCTTGCTCTCCTTCAAGAAGGAACCAATCGACGTAAAAAGAAGCAGTTGTGTAGCTCATGGCTCTCATCTTCTGGAAGATGTCGAGCCAGAGGTCCGGCACGGCCTGACGAAAAGGATGATACTCTCCGGCATAGAGAATGACTCTTTCACCGCGGACAAAGAGAGAGTGTTTGTCAAATGTCACCTAGACGAACGTCAGCGTGGCTTGGTGATTCGCTGCAGCCTTGTACACACCACGCCAGAGTTTGGAGGAATGGTCTCGCGGATGACCAACCCCAGGCATGACGATGCCAACGCGCTAAGCGCCGCAAGGCTGCTCAAGGACGGGAATCTCATGCTTGCAAATTGAAATGCTCAAGACCATTGTCATTGTGCGGATCCGCTTGCAATCTACTCTCTGCAACTGGCCTTCCGCATCATAGCTCCAACCCTCCCCCGCATCCGCGTCCACCGCGCCCACAAGACTATAGGTTTTGATAATTTCGGGTGCAAATTGCCATGCATTCGTTCTGTTCACAAAGGTGTCGACGGATAAATTATGGTCGACATGAAGTGCAAGGCTACCCCTGACTTAGCAAGCGGGAGATGACGCCTAACCGGATGAATTTCTAACGGAGCGGGCCCGAGTGGAGGAGAGTTGGTGATCGACGTGATGATCGACATGCGGGGTCCGGGTCAAGAAGGCAGTCTACTGTGGGGGTGGAAAAGTCAAAGGACGATATACCATCTCAAGCTATCTGCAAGCCTTCCATCGCGGTTGGTACTCCTTGCTGCTGCGTCGGTCCCGGCCGCTCTCCTGCGTCCAAAAATGCCGTGCCTTCCGCTTCATGTCGAGCAGATCGACCGGATACAGCGGTCGAGTCGGCGAGCGGGAGCATGGCGATCACATTCGCATGACGGCCATTTAGCCTGATGTTGGCGGTCCTCTCATCTTGCAATACTGCCTCCGTCCATAGCCCTCAATCGTACCCACTCACGCCTCCAACCTGGCTGGCAAACGACGTGCTGATGCTCCTCGCATCTTCGTCCAGCTCCAGCGTGTTGCGATGGGCATTCCGTCCAGCACCGATAGGAGGTTGAGGCGCGCCTTGCTGTTGGCCTTCCACATAACGTCGCAGCTTGTCGGATTGAGAGAGACTCGCTTGTTTGTTGAGATCGTTGACGCTCAGACCTGCAAGGCTGACCCCCCCTTGCCCGGGCTTCGCCGAGATATCCGTCACTTCCGATGCTGCAACGCTTTCGCCTGCCACAGACTCGGGTGCACGGGGCCCACGAGATGGTAAGGGTCCATTGCGCTGACCTGCTGGAAGCTGTGGCCAGGTCTCCTGAAATCCTTGAAACATGGGAGGATATTGACTGGGTAGTGAGGCGCCGCCGAGAGCAGACGAATGGACTGATGAAATGTCATCGGGAATGTAGCCGACGACGCTGGAACCATCCGCGCCTCCCACGCCTCCATCGCGTCTGCCATTCATGCGGTTGCCGGTGGCAGCCGCCATGTGCGTGGCATGTTGCATGGCCATTTGATAGCGCTGGGGTCCACGATATGCCATCTTGGGTTGACCGAATTGTAGAAGCGAGGTCTGCAGGTTACTCAACGGCCCCTCGACAAGACAGTCACGCTCTTTGAAGTGGAGCAAAAGGTAGTGCCACAGCGGGTGCTTGGCCAACACCTTTGGATTGCCCAGAATGACCAGACCGTACCGCGCACGGGTGAGGGCGACGTTCAAACGCCTGGGGTCGGACAGGAAGCCGATGCCCTGATGTTCATTGGAACGCACACAAGACAGGACAATGAAATCCTTCTCTCTCCCTTGGAATGCATCCACACTGGCAACTTCAATCTCGCGGTAGAGGTCCTTTTTGAAGGAGCCGGAGTTGGCCATGTTCTGCACGACAAAGCTGCGTTGCCCCTCGTACGGCGTGATGATGCCGATATCCTCGGGTTTGACGCCTGCCCTGAAGAAGCGAGTCACAATCTTTTCCACATTGCTCGCTTCGGTGCGGTTGAGGTAGGAAGTGCCACTGGCGCTGATCTCTTCGTTTCCAAGATTCGACCAGAACATCATCGGTCGCTCACCCACCGGCCAGGGAAAGTCGACATCCCGACGAATGCGCTGTTGCATCGTGACACCATTTTGAAGAGAACCTTCGTAGAACATGTTGCTGGGGAATTCCGAGAGCGCGGGATGCATACGATACTGCACTTGCAGGCGCACAGGAACGACGCCGAGGATGACCAGACGCTCAAACAGACTCTGATTGAGACCTGCTTTGGCCGCGCGCTTTGACATGACCACTGGTCCAAGTTGCTGGTGGTCTCCGACCAAGACAACCTGCTTGCAGCCCAGTACCAGGGGGATCAGACACTCGGGCTCGGCCGACTGCGTACTCTCATCAATCAGAACGGTGCGGAACTTGAACTTGGCCAGTCGTGGGTCACCAGCGCCGACGCAGGTGGTGCAAATGACATCCGCATTCTGGAGAATCTCCCTTTCCGCAGCACGGGTCAAGGTCTTGAACTTCTTCTCGTCCTGGGATGACAGCTCGCCAAGTTCCGACTTCAGCTGCATCAACTTTGCCAGCTCAGGGTTGGTATCGTTCATGCCGACTTGGCGATGCAGGGACAGGAAGCCCACGGATGATTCAACATCCTCGCGGGATTTGGCCGTCACGCGCACCACCTTGAGGCCTGTCAAATGGATGCGCTCGCAAAGCTGGTCGACGGCGACATTAGAAGGAGCACAAACGAGAACTTGGCCTTGATTGACTTTGGCCAGATGGAAGATGATGGTGGCAGAAGTGACCGTCTTGCCCGTCCCTGGTGGACCTTGAATGAGAGAAAGCGGCTTCTGAAGGACTGACTTGACCGCATTGATTTGAGAGCCGTTGAGTTCGGGCAGGCCAGGTACGCTGAATTTGCGTGGCAGTTGACTTTTCATGGGCGCAGCGGCAACTTCATGCCCGAGCAGGCGGTGGAAGATGTAGCCAGATACACTCATCTCGTCCAGAGCAAACGTCTTCATGGCAAGCTGCATGCGATCGAAACTCGTCGCCTTCCAGACGTAGTCCGCGGTGAAGTTGTGGGTGCATTCGGTGGGGACAGACTTGTGATCGCCGCGAGTGCGTAGCTCGATCGTGACTTCGTCGCTTTGATTGTTGGGAATCTTGATGACATAGCCCACGCCCTCCCAGTGCGGCCGCAGCTCGCCAGAGTAACGAATCCTCATCTCATCGCCAACGGCCAGTTTGACATCACCGAGTTCCAGTTTCGGTAGGGTGAAGGATGCAAGGTGCTTGTTGTTCAAGCCAAAGTCCCACCGCACGATGAGGTTGTCCTGCGATTGCGCCTCCTTCAACTTCTTGTCGTAGTCTGCTTCAATCTTGACCAACGGGCCAAACACGTTCTGGTACTGGTATGCATCATCGTAGCGCAGCAGCACCGGGTTGGGATCATCATCGAGAGTGCCGGCATTCAGTCCCTTCTCGAGATCATGAATGGTGGCCGCCTGATTGTCCTTCCACAGCTCTTCCAACTTGGCGATGATTTGCGGGCTGAGATGTCGAGCGCGCATTTGTTCTTGATCGGTGGGAGTGTTGACCAGCCAAGGGAGGAAGGAGCGATCTTCGATAAGTGGTTGCCATTTCGATGTGTCCCAGTTCATGTCCTTGCCACTGCCCCCCATGCTTGCGCACGGCTGTCGGCAGAGCAGTACAACGACCGTATCGCTTTTGGCGGGGATGAAGCCGAGGAGAAAGACGTTTTTGGTGCCGCAATTGTAGCATTCGAGCGTGGTGTCTCCGAGAGGGGAAGAAGGGTGCAACTGCACTTCCTTGTGACGCGCGCGCACCAAATGGTTGATGATGTGACTGGAGCTGGTGTTTCCACGCGCCGAGCAGAACCACTTGGAACAGGCGAGGCACTTGACGACGGCGCTGGGGTTGTGGATGCCACAGTAGGAGCAGGCATGCGCGGGCAATTCCACCTCTTCCTGTTCATGGCCGAGCACGGCGCCGGGGTTGGGCGCTCCACCGTTCAAGGCGTGACTCGCGAGGCTCTCCAGATCTTCATCATCAAACACATCTGTCCCGTCATCGTCGCCGATGCGTCTTCTGCGTGGGCCACCGTTCAGGTTGCCCCGGCCGTACTCGCTGTCCAACGCACTCTCGCCGGCGTCAAAGGTGGAAATGTCATCGCCTTCGTTGATTGCAGAGGCCGAATCACCAATGAGGTGGTTCCCGACGGTGGTGAAGGTCCCCTCCATTTCAAGGTGGTCAGTGGCGGAGAGGAGGGGTGGCGACGCCGTTCGCAGTCATGCGTCCTGCTTCGGTGTTGCGGAAACTCTGAAACGCCCTTCAACGACTGACTGATGAAGGCGGTCGCTGAGCCTTGCGGGCAGAGTCGTTTGCGGATTTCTTGGTGACTACTGCGGCATCTGCAGGGCAAAACGTGAATTGCGGACTTGGCGTCGGGCACGGACGGCGGTGGATGGTGGGGCAAACTTTATTCACAAATTATTCCTGTGACCGCGGATGTTGGTTCTCTCCAACAACCACACACCGTCCACGATGCTGAAACGACAGGCCCGACAACGGCGAGACTATCTGTACCGTCGCGCTCTCACGCTTCGAGACGCCGAGATTGCGGAGAAGCGGGCAAAGCTGAAACAATCCCTGGCGAGTGGGAAGCCTCTCGATCCGTCCATTGCCAACGACAAGACCTTGCGCCAGGACTACAAGTACGATGAGAGTCGCGCCGAGCGCACGACAGAGGAAGAGCTGGATCTGGACGACGAATACTCCTACCTGTCTGGAGTGGTAGACCCTCGCGTGCTGGTGACCACCTCGCGCGACCCCAGTTCCCGCCTGGGCTCTTTTGCCAAAGAAATCCGCCTTCTCCTCCCCACCGCCATCCGACTCAATCGCGGCAACCTCGTCCTGCCCAACCTCGTGCACAGTGCCAAAAGCAGCGGTCTGACAGACGTCATCCTCCTGCACGAACACCGCGGCACTCCCACCGCCCTCACCATCTCTCATCTTCCCCACGGGCCAACGGCTTCCTTCAGCCTTCACAACGTACTCCTCCGTCACGACATTCCCAACGCATCCCGCGGCACCGTCTCCGAATCTTACCCTCACCTCATCTTCGACGGTTTCACCACCCCACTCGGCAAGCGAGTGGTCAAGATTCTCCAACATCTCTTCCCCCCACGCGAGGGCGTCGCAACGAAGCTGGGCAGCAGAGTGGTGACTTTCAAAAACATTCAAGACAGTGTCGAGGTGCGGCATCACGTCTTCGTTAAGACGAGCCATCAAAGCGTGGAACTAGCGGAAGTGGGACCGCGCATGACCATTCGGTTGTTTGAGATTCGACAAGGCACCGCCGATAAAAAGGACGGCGACGTGGAATGGCATATGAATCAGTACACCCGGACCAGCAAAAAGCGAGACTACCTTTGATGCGTTGCGATAGGCCTTTACAGATGACATGATACCCACTTGACGAATCAACGCGAGCGTGTACAAGCTATACGTATATATAAAGCAGTCGTTCATATTACACGTAAAATCCAAACGTATCACGGCTCACTTCTCCACCACCTGAACGGCGTGCTTCTCCACGTAACCCTGCTCGGTATCGCTCTCCACGCCCTGCGCGCGCTTGCCGCCGGCTGGGTGCAACTGGCGCATGACCTCGTCCGTGTACAGCGACTCGATCGATGGGCTGAAGAAGGCGGCGATGCAAGAGATGATACCAAAGGCAAGCGTGACCAGGTAGACTGTCTCGAATGACTTCTGATATGCGTTGCGGAGAGTGACAGCGGCAACTTCGAGGACTTTGACGGTAACTCCTGGCAACTTCTCCGCGGCCGTGACATCCCCAGCGCCGAGATCAACAAGGAAATCTTCGAGCGAGGTGGCCGGGAGGCCGGCAGTGAGCAAGGCGGGGACGACGTGATGAGCCGTCTCGCTCTTGACACGGCCCTGGAGAACGGTGGTCAGAATGGCAGTGGCGAGCACGCCGCCGACGCTGCGAATGCTGCCATAGACACCAGCAGCCGTGCCGATTTCCGTTTGATCCTTGATGACAATCGTGACAGCCACGCCGGCGAACGACTCAAGCGCGCCAATGCAGATGGAGGCAACGACGGCGAGGCCGGACGCGGTCGCCTCTTTCGTGGCTCCAGCAAGAGCGGCAGTTGTGGCAGTGCAAATGACGACCGCGGCGAAGATCTTCCAACGCAACATACCCCCTGGGGTAGCAACGAGGGATGCGCCAAATTGACCCAGGCCAACACCTCCGCCGATGGCAACAGAGAGGAGTCCGACTTTGGTGATGCTGGTGGTGAAGAGCGCGGCGACCATGGTTGGGTAGAGGACTGGCTTGGATATCAGCACACGGAACGGACTGTGTAAGTTATCGCAGAGACACACCATTCAGCGAGTAATACAACATTCCACCCACGGCCGAGACGATAGTCAAGACATTGTAGTCCCAGTTCTTGAACAAATGCATCGGCACCAACGGTCGCTTCAAGGGGGCGTAGATTTCTAGACAGATCATTAGCAAAGGAATGTGACCACGAATGACAATAATCGTACCGTAGAGAACAAAGACGACACTGGTGAGCGCTCCGCTGATGAGCGTCCCAAGCACGTGTGCAGACTTCCAGGGGTACAGGATGCCGCCCCACGAGAGACCCATGAGGAAGAGGAGCAGCCCGGCGATGTAGAGAATGATGCCGATAAAGTCAAGCTCCTTGAATTCTTGCCAGCGCGTACGACGACGGTTGTGGAGCTCGTGGAAGTTGGGAGGATGGTAGAAGACGGCGTAGCAGATCAGGGAGATGCCATCTGAGCGAGTAGATTGTCAGCAACTGGGGCGAGGAATGTACGAACGATGAACGTACTGGCAATGAGGTTGGCATAGTAATCCCATCGCCATCCCAACTTAGTGTGCACGATGAACAGGCGGGAAATGTAGGGGCCGAAGCATGAAAAAGGGGCGGCGCACAGAAAGATGCCGGTAAGGACGTAGAAACGATGCTTGATCGGGACCAGCTCGGTGAGGGTGTAGTTGAACGAGATTTGGGCAGAGGTGGCCAAGCCGGTCAGGACACTGGCACCAATCAAGGTGTTGATGCTCTGCGCCGTTGCGCCAATGGCACAGCCGATCGTGGCCAACAGGGTGGCAACGATGAAGAACCAGCGGCGGCCGAAAATGTCAGAGAGACGTCCGACGAGGGTGTATCCAACGGCGAGACAGAGCGTCCACGCAAGGATGACCCAGTAGTAGTTGGGGCTTGGGCCTGGTCATCGACGTCAGCTTGGATGTCCCATGGCACGACAGGGGCTCGCACGAAACGCACCGATATCAGCATCGATCAAGGCAATGGAAGTGGCCGGCATGACGAATCCGCCATAGGCAGCCAAAGCACCGGTGCCGGCAGCGACATAAGTGCCCCAGAAGTTCACCTGACGGTATGGCGTCTCGTGGGTGACGTGCAAGACATCCTTGACCTGGGAGGAGGCGTTGGTGTCGACGGGCTTCAGCTCATCGCCACTGAGCCGGGCGTCGTGGTCAGAGCCGAGTTGGCCGCTCATCGCGACTTTACGACGAGAAAAGTTGGATGAATGTTGAGAAGGATCGTGATCAAGAGAGAGCCCAGTGGCAGAGGGTTAAGAGGTGAGAAACGAGGAAAAGGAGATTCTGTAGAGACGGGCTGTCGATCAAATAAGAGGCCCAACGTTTGGGAGGGCGAGGCTAATGCCTGGGGCGAGTCTGGGGATGTCGATCTAGACCGGGGCACCCCAGGTTTAGGGAAAAGGATAGCCGGTCAGACGCCTATCATATCACCTGGAAGTGAATAAATGAAGCCAAGCTTTGCTTGTTCGGCAATATGCCACCCCATGCTGACTCGGTCTGGAAGTCTCCTTAAGCTGAAACGCGCTCATGGATGCCATGTTGATGCATCACAGCGTCGTCGACTCATGGGCCGGTGCGAGGAGGTGGACGTCAAGGTCCACGGGTGACGTTCGAATGCCCGAGGCCACCTCCAGTCACGAGATTTCGTATTGCTGCAGGTACACCCTCCCGCGGGCGTGGGCGTAGGGCTGGGGGCGGCGGAAAAAGGACTTCCCCGGCTGTCGGTAATCGAGACTCTGGACGCATCGCGACCTCCGAAGCGAGCGGCGAGCGCCGTGCTAGCAAGCCAAATCCGGGGAAGCTCTGCATGGCGTCGCGTGGCAATCAGCCCAAACTGCCTTGGCGGCGGAGGTGGCGCTCGACTCCAGACTCTCGCCAGCACGGGGGCGCGGGGTAGGATCGATGCTGCCACCGTACTCGGAGTTGTTCTTGCGCGCGCTCTACATCAACGCACATGATCGCGCGCATGTTGCTCATCGCATTGCTCGTCTTGCCCTTGTCATCGTAAGTGAAGTGTGGCTACGCAAAGTACGGCGATTATGGCTGCCTAGCGCTGAGCGAATACAAAAACTTCGCCATACCCCTTCGCCCATTGCAAGTACGCGCAACTTCCGGAGTAGACGACCCGCAATAAACCTTCGGCGCGCCACAACCTCCCCCGGCAATCCTACAATCATCACATGATGCGATACGCTTTGTTGGCCTTCCTTGCCTGTCTCCCGGGAACTGTCTGGGCCCGGGATGTGCCCGCGAATGTCAAGTCGTTCTACGATCGAATCACCGACGGCAAATGCACGGGGGGTAAGATTCTGAAAGACGGCTTCTACGATGAGATCCCCGGCTCCAAAAGTATGTCCTTTCCAAGCTTTCTTCCTCCCGGCCAGGGCATCCTCTCACATCCATCACTTCAAGCTTTTGCCTACTGCCAAGATGACAAGACTGGAGTGCTCTACCTTCACGGCAATGGAAACAAGTTCGCCAATATGGATGTCGACTGCGACGGGCTGCAAACCGGCCCGGTTGACGGACGGTGCAAGTCAAGCACCGATACGCAGTCCGAGACCGCGTTCAAGGATACCGTCCAGCAGTACTCCAGAGCCGACGGGCATTTCGTCAAAGACCTGAATGCCAACTTCATCCCTTATGTCGTCTTTGGAAATTACGGCAAGAAGAAAGGCTACACCACCTTTCACCCCACCGACTACAACGTGCAGCCGCTGAGTGTTATGGCGGTGGTGTGTGGAGACCAACTGGTGAGATGCCCACCTATATTCGTCTCCCACCGCCAAGCTAATGGAACTTAGGTATATGGTATTTGGGGAGACGAGAATGGAGACGATGGCAAGCCGTTGGTGGGCGAAGCAGCCATTTCGCTGGCCACCCAGTGCTACGGGAAAAAGATCAATGGCAACAACGGGCACAGTCAGGCTGACGTGCTGTACATTGCCTTTCCCGGCGGCGTCAACGAAACGGTCAACAAGAAGGCAGCGTGGTCTACTCAGAATTACGAGACGTTTGAAAGTTCGATTATGGATCTCGGGAATCGACTCATCGAAAAGTTGTCCTGAGCTATCTAGGTTTAACGAAATCGAATGTCTTCTTCAACAGTCAAATATCGGCCGTGGTTTGAGACCAGAGGCCTGAGGCGACAATCTGTTGCCCCGATTGGGTGGGTGTACCATCTCACTCGCCGCAAAACTCAACGAGCCTCGCACAAATGCCCGGACTCGCTCAATGCCACGTTCGACATCTGCGAGAACCTCCATGCGATCGACGAGTAGACCATCTCTTTACTATCCTATCCACCACTACATCTACATTTCTTCTTCCTCTTACTATCATTGTTACTACGCCGCTTACTATCGTCTCCCTCTTCATCATCATGTTTACCCTTCCTCCTCCTCTTATCGTCATTGTCGCTATCCCGCCTACTATTTCTCTACTCTTACGCCTACACTTTTTCATTCTGTTACTATTCAAGTAGTTGTCATTCTTCCGCGTTCTATTTTGGATCTCGTATCTATGAGAAGCTACGTTAGACCTAACTTTTTCGCAAGATCTATCTCGCTCTAAGATATTGTCTGACGAAAGACTTCTTATTGTTTCCTTATTGTGTTTTCTGTATTATGTTCTATTCTGTAGTTGTATCCGGTTTTTCTTTTCTTACTATATCTTTTTCGTTCTATGGATCTTAGACTTCTTACAAGTCTTACGCCATACTATTATAAGTACTTGTTACTTCTCTATGTTTTCTAGACAAGCATTCAATCATAGTTACTAGTTAACATCAAGTTCGTACTTACTTCGTATATCATGGATTGTACTTCTTTACTTCTTTTTTTCCTAAGTTAGCTCGCTAACTCGATGTCTTTTTAATACATATTGTATTGTCCTGTGATTTCCTAAGAAGTCGAGTTATAGTTGAAAAAGCAATATGCATGAACATGTTCGAATGAAGAGGCCTAGAGCTCTTCGCGTACGTGTAAAGGATGTATCGGGGTCGCGTAGTAGTAATACGTAGCTGTACATGTAAGTTCGCAGCCTCGATATTGAATGCAACATATACACTGATCGTATCATGAGCTATGCTTATAATAGGCAGTGCGTACATTCTCGCCGCGTAGGCCATCGAGCGCGTGTCCGCTGTGCATTTCCTAGTGGCATATGGTATGTAGGATGCCGCGCAACTTGTACTTCTTGATATGTTGCCGTTCCGCTCGCGATGGGGTTCGCGCAATGATCTGTCCAGAGACCGCCTCGTTTTCCAGGCGCACGCCCGATCCGCGTTGTGTCTCACATGGATGCCTGCCGTGATGTCGGCTGAGCCGTTCAGATTGTGACATGCAAGATGGATGCTTCCCTCGATATCGGCGAGGCCACTCGTATTATGGCATGAAAGGCTTCGTCTGCAGCCATGATCCAGCACGCCATCCCCTCGCTCGCGGTGTTCAGCTTCATCATCCTTTCACTGTCCACACCGACGGCCTTACCTACTGTCGTCCTCCACCCTGCTTCATTGCACGACTCAACTCAGCTAACTCGTCGCTCGAGATAAGTTTGGCTGTTCGAATGCTTGTCACTTTGACCGTCAAGTATCGGACGTGGTTTGAAACCTGCGAGAACCTCTATGCGATCCACGAGTGGACCGGCTGACGGGCGGGATGGCACATCTCGCTCACACCAAACCATTCTCAGAGCTCGTGGTGTGATGACGCAACCCCGCGACGTGCATCGATGATCAGAGAATCTCCCCTTCAATTCCCTCCTTTCTTGTTGCACTTCACAAAACGACCATGGCTAACACTGGGAACCATCTTCTCGTCTTTGGAGCGTCCGGTATCTCGTACGTGGCAGCCCCATGTCCTCAAAGCCGATCAATACTCATCTCATACCTCCAGGGGATGGGCTTGCGTCAAAGAAGCCCTGACGTTTCCGTCAAAGACCACCTTCACGAAAATTACCGGTCTGACCAATCGACCTTTGTCTCTACAAGACTCGCATCTTCCGCAAGACTCTCGTATCCAGCTTGTGAGTTCCACGCCAACCGCTTGACGGCATTTCTGACCACTTCTTACCCAGGTCTCTGGCATTGATCTGACCGGCTCCGTTGACAATGTCGTCTCATCGTTGAAATCCAAGGTTCCGGATATCGAGTCTGTCACGCACGTCATCTTTACGGCATATATTGAAAAACCAGACTTTGATTCTCTGCGAGAAGTCAATACGCAGATTCTCGAGACCGCGGTCGACGCTCTGGACCAAGTCGCCAGCAAGCTCCAATCGATTGTATTGCAGACCGGTGGCAAGGCCTATGGCGTGGAGTTTAGCGATAAATTGGAGATTAAGCCTCCCTTGAAAGAGAGCCAGGCCAGGATCCCCGAGCCTTGTACGTATCGTGGGCACCGCTAATATACCATTACTGACCAGCCGTGGACAGACTACAAGAACATCTTCTACTACACCCAGCACGATGCGCTCAAAAAGAAGAGTGCCTCCTCGTCTTGGAGTAAGTTCCATCGACGTGTTCACACGTTCATCGAAATTGACACGACCCAGCATACAGTGAGATCCGTCCAGATGTGATTGTCGGCTTCACGCCCGGATCGAACTTCATGAACATAGCACAGGGACTAGGACTCTGGCTTTCTCTGGCGAGGGAGGTCAAGGGGGCCGGGGCGAAGATTCCATTCCCAGGGTCGGCCAAGTCGTGGAAGAACAAGCACACCGACACCTTCCAAGACATCCTCGGCCGCATGAACATTTACGCTGCTGTGAATCACGACAAGTGCGGTAATGGAGGCACGTTCAATTGCGCGAACGGTGATCTGGTGACATGGGCGGACAAGTGGTCCGGCATTTGCAAGGCTTTCGATCTCGAAGGCACGCCACCTGGCACCGAGCCGTATTCGATCGAAGAATTCGTCCAGGCCAATCAGGATCAGTGGGAGGCGGTTGTAAAGAAGCACAACCTCAAGAAGGGCATCATGGAGAACTTTTCTTGGCCCTTCCTGTACTTTGTCATGACCGTTTTTGACTTCGACCGACAATACGATATCAACGCTTCCCGAGCAGTCGGCTTTCAGGAAGAGGTGGACACCGTCAAGGGCTTTACGACAGCGTTTGAGAGGATGAGAGGCGCCAAAATCATCCCATAGATCAAATGGAGAACGCGGTGACGATTTTCGTAACGTAGCAGACTTCTAGGTAGGAGTGACCTTCGCTCTCTCGTGGTCCATTGTATCCCGAGCACGACACCCAGGAGAGTATTCGGTTTGGTGTAGAGGAGGATGTTAGGATCGCGAATGTTGAGAACATACGCCGTGAAACGACTCGCTCGAATGCTTCCCTCTCCATCGCTTGCCTGTACTCCGTCGCCGCAAAGCAAGTTCCCCGGATGCACACCTCTATGTCCTGTCCAACTTCCTCCGCAGATTCCGAGTGCGTCGCATCAGTTTCTTATACTTGTGCTTCTTCATCTTCAGCTTTCGCTGCCGCTTGACAGATATCAGATGCATCCTCTGCATACGGGCTCCCCTCAACGCACTCGGGGCGATCCTTGGCACCCCACGAGTCATCGCTTGAACATTGCCTTCTTGCCGTAGCCTCTGCACGCGCTGCCTCCGCGTAAGTGGCCGCGCTTGTGCTCCGTCGAGTGTCGCTTCAGCTTCGGCGAGGGCGACAATAGGGCTGGACGAAGCATAGTACGTCTTTTGCCCGTCGGCGTGGGTGGATTCGGTCACGGTGATGGTGGTGGTGAAAGTCTTTTGCCGCGGTTGGTTGGCATGTCTCGACGCTGCGTGTCCCGAAGCACCACTCCTCTTGTCCATTCCTTTCTGCTTGCCCTCGTATTCGGGAAACGGCTGTGGAGGCGGCGGGGCACGGAAAGGCTTGAACTGTGCCACCAGCTCTTCCAGACTTCTCAGCCGAGGCGGACCATCCAAGTGGTGTACTTGCGAGGATTGATTTGAAGGGGATTCGTGGATAATCTCGTATCGAACGGCATCGTCTTGGGACTGGCCGGCGCCGCTCTCGATGGTCTCGAACGTTGAGTGCAGGGTGTAGATTACGTCTTCCGGCCGTCTCTCCGCCGAATTTCCGTTCGCCCATGCGTCTTGCGAGCTTTCCGTGGTGAAGATTTTGCCAAAGGCTTCCGGGGTGGATGTAGGAGGGAAGCTGGGATTGATGGACATTGGGCGATGGAGGGAGAAGAAGTTGGAAAGGCTGCGGTCTGGAAACGGGTTAGCATCTGCAGTGTTTCGCCGAACGGTAATCCTCGTAACACACCAGTCTCACTCAGATTTTGGACGCTTGGCGCGCTGGGTAGGGCGCGAAGGTCGTGTGGGGAGTCGGACTGTCCATTCTTCTTCGACTCTAGGCCCGTCTGGAGCCGGCGGTAATCTCGTCGCGGCTTGCTCTTACTGCTCCGTGAAGCATGGCTCGCCTCGGATGGTGTTGAGGATTGCTGGGCTTTCGCGGCGGCGACGGTGGGTTTGGCAGCCGCAGTGGCGGCCTTTGCACTGTCACGGTCGGCGGAGGAAGCCTTGCTAGATGAATACCGCCGGTGGTGGTGGGTGCGGGAGGAGAGGCATGCGTAGCCGGCGGGGGAGGGAGTGGCGGCGGTGGCGCGATGTGCGGCGCGAGTGAGTTTTGAGGGAATCATGGCGGGGAGGAGGAGAATCACCAGTCCCGCAAGCCGGGCGAGGCGAGAAAGAGTCGAGGTAGGAGGAGGGAGGGGTGGGAGAGGGGTGGTGGATGGAGAGGTGCAGTTTGATAAGGTAACGGGCGAATCTGTAAAAGCATGGAGCCGCCCGCGCAGTGACCACTTCAAGTCTTGGCGTTTGGATAAAGGCGATGCCGGAGTTCACCAGATGAAGTCGACAGTTGTGCCAATGAGACACATATGTCGCGATGAAATTGACTGTCGATATCACTCTCATCTCGATATGCTGCGGAGTGGTCTACGAGAACGTGCTTCGTCCACCGCCAGCCTGACAGTCCTCAGATGCAGGCAATGCGAGGCGATGGGGCAGAGATAGATGACTGGGTACCTCGACCGCCTCCGTCTGTCCTAGCTCGAGCTCCGCCTCACATCAGGAGATCTCACCTGATCTTCTACTTTCTCTCATTGCCTATATCTCCTTCTGTTCACTTTCTCTCACCCATCCCATCCATCACTCCTCAACACCAACATGTCCGTCCATTCCTCCAAACACGGCAAAAGCAAGGTGCCCGAGGAGCATTACGAGCTCCCCTCGGCGCAAACGCTGCAAGAAGCCGGCGAACTCGAAGTCGCCGACGAGTATGGGCGCAAGGTGCAGTTCAAGAAGCTGTACGACAGCAAAGGCGGCCAGCAGCTCATCGTCTTCATCCGCCACTTCTTCTGCGGCAACTGCGAGGACTACATCCGCACGCTGTCCAAGGAACTGCCGCCCTCCGTTCTGCACACTTCGTCTCCCCCAACCCATTTGACCATCATCGGCTGCGGTGAGATCTCGCCCATTCCCAACTACCGCACGCGTACCATGAGCGACATCCTGGGCACAGACACCCACTTTACCATCTACTGCGACCCCTCCCGCAAGCTCTACGCCAAGCTGGGCATGCTGAGTAACATGTCGACGGCGCCAGACGGCAAGAAACCAGGCTACCTGACGAAAAGCAAGCTGGAAAACGTCACCTCGAGCCTGAAGAATGCCGTGATGAGTGGCGCGGATGCCATCAAGGGTGGCCATCCCGCGCAGAACGGAGGCGAGATGCTGTTTGCCAATGGCGAGCTGGTCTGGTTCAAGCGCATGCGTCACACCGAGGATCATGCGGAGGTAGAGGAATTGAAGCAAGTCCTGGGGCTGGTGTGAGTGTGACTGTGTATGGGCCCCTCGCAATGCTATCGTAGCCGCTCAAGATTACATGAATGTATCCGAGGTTGGGCTCTCCACCGCTCAAACGAATAATGACAATTCCTGTACCCAAGTTCGAGATGCTGTTGGAGCTCTCATACACGCTTTTGCTTCCGCTGTACGTTTCATAGGAATTCTAGGGCATGACGATCGTGATTACACCCTCACAAAGGCCCTCTCGGAATGTCCTTCAGGCCATTGCTGGGTCCCTGCGAGCCTTCGATTCGCCGTTTCGCATCCAGCTTCTCCTCCGCCGTCGGATTCTCTTTCGGCATGTCGGGTCGGTGCGGCTCGTGTCCGGGTGTATGTCCGATGGACATGCCGACGCGGATCTGCGATTGCCATCAGTCTTTGCCTTGTCATTTCCTACCACTTGTACTCACCAGAGTCTCAAGAGCACCGCTGCTGTTGGCAATGAGGTCATCGTCGAACTTCATGGCCCCAGGCTCGAACAGCAGCAGGAGAGTGGAGCCGCCGAACTTGAAATAGCCCAACTCTTCCGCCCGCTTCACCTGTTCTCCCGCCTTGCGGGTGATGATTGTGCTTCCAACCATCATTGCGCCCACACAAACTACCATCACCCGCCCGTGCGCCACCGAGTCAATCGGCACGCAGACACGGACATTATCTCCGTACACATCGAGCGTGGATCGGATCGCCATGGGGTTAACCGTGTAGTACTCGCCCTCGATTGCGCGGGGCTCACCCATCGTGCCATCCACGGGGATATGAAATCGATGGTAGTCCTGCGGGGCCAAGCGCATAATGCCCAACGCGCCGTTCGTGTATCGTTTCGCATCGTTCGGGTAGGCATCGCCGAGGAGTCTATCTATGCTAAACTCGCGTCCCTTGACCCAGATCCTCTGCGCATCCTCGAGGCGGTTGAACACGACACTTCTGCAATCGGCCGGGGAGACGATGATGTGCGGGTTGTCGGGAGCGGAACACGGGCGCGCGTCGGGCTTCAGCTTGCGGTAAAAGAACTCGTTGAATGTTTTGAACTCTTCGCGAGGGAGTAAGACCTCACTCATGTCCAGCTGATGGAAATTGATGAAGCCGGTGATCTGCGACGCCGAAGCCGGGTCGTCATACTTCTTGCCCTGTTTAAAGGACATGGAGCGCAGCAACTTTCTAACTGTAATGCACGTCAGCGTGTGACCTCTCTCTGGCCCTACTATGCAGAAGTCTGCAGTAGGCATAGCAAGACGCAAGTGACAGGGGACAAAAGCAACCTGAGGTCACGCTGTGCGCGGCCGAGGTTGAAAGTCGGCTGACCCATGCAATAGCACTGGACACATCGTTGAGAGTCTTACTTCGCTTCTTCTCCATCTCGCGGCTCTTGAGGCCTTTGTAAAGAAGTCGAATTCCAAGCCGGACCTGCCGTGTTATGGGAGGTTAGCGGGGTGATTGGGGGAAGCATACGCAAAACACTTACGTAGACAGACATGCGCTCCTCGTTAATCATTCCAGTGACTCGGTCTTGGACAAGAATGTTTGCACTGTTCGCTCCAAGCTTGTACCCGCCATAGCCGATCTTCGTGACGACCTTGGAATACCATTTCCGTTGAGCCTGGCTGCTGGTCACGAACCCTGCCATGACGAGATTGTTCACGGCCCGCCAGTCGCTACTCGCACACGTTGCGATGTGCGTGATGATATCGGCATCCGTTGCCACCCTCTGCCTCCCTCCCCTAGTCAATCGAGGCATATGACAGATTGGGCATTCTTGAATCTCGACCACGTGCTCTTCTCTGCTCTCTTCATCATGCAACTCGGCCTCGGATTCCCACGAGTCGGTCCGCGTGATGCTGGATGACATCAAAGACACGCCCGGAGTTGTGGTGCCACTCAATGTGTCCATATCAACGGGCTCGCCGCTGAGATCGTTGATCTCGAAGAAGGGTCCGGCGGGGTCCAGTTGAAGGGTCGTGCCGGATGGGGTTCGAATCACTTGGCTCGGATCCCGCGACGAATCTACCCCGCGCAGTTGCGGTGTGGTGCCGCCGGGGCTCTCATCAGGCGAGCTACTCGAGGTATGCATGGCAGCCGGCACACTCAGATTGCTCCTCGTAGATAAGTCCCGCTCCCAGTGAGGGCGATGCAGCAGCGAATGCACCTCTCGGCTTTTCATCAGCTGCTCCTCCAAGCAAATCACTGCCTGGTCCATGGTCAAGACTCTATGCCCATCTTTCCGCGCCACGCCATTCATGCGGTTGGTCTCCTCCCAGCGACTGAAGAAGCCATCGATGGTGCTATTATGGAGTGTCGAGCCAAGTGTATCCAACATGGTCACAAGCTCGACCTTTTCCACCTTCCCACTCTCCTCGGTGTCGTATTGTTTGAGCATGACTCGCCAGAATTGCTGCCTCAATGCGCGATATGGCAAGTACTTGGCTCGGATGTAGAGGACGGGGTGGTGTTTGTCGTGCCAACGCTGCTTGTTCTTCAGCTCGAGGGGCAATTCATACGACACCAAGTCGGGATCATCGGCAAAAGCCGCGTGATTCGGCGCTCCGCCCGAGTCGGAATTTGGCAAGACGGACGAAGTGCTCGGAGCACTCGTTGGAATAGGTCGTTTCTCCATGTTTCCTGCCGTAAGATAGTCGTACTCTCCGTCGGTATTTTGCCTTTTCAAACCAGGGCGAAGTGACGGAGTGGCAGGGGTTAATTGACCGTCGCGGAGTGAATTGTTACTGGCAGTCTTGTTCAGTTTGTGAATGTTATGGCTCGAGTTCATCCGGCTGAGGTTATTTGAGCTGGCGGCCCTACTCAACGGCCAACGCTTCTTCTTCGTCTGTATCTGTCTCTCCGCTTCCCGCTCCGTCAAAGTTTCAGGATCGGGGAGAAGATACAAGCCAGTCTCTGGATCGGCTTCAGGCGCGGCGGCTTCAAACTGAGACAAAGGGAAGGTGGTGGTGCCGACAAAGTCATTGCCTGAGAATTTGTCGCGGTCGATGACGGTGAAACTCAGGCTGTAGTTGACTTCGTGCTTGGCTACCTGGAACACCAACTTCTCGTCAAACACCGGATTGAGGTTGTGGTTGATCACTCGCGTTCGGTACGTCTTTTTGCCCAGGGAGGTGACGACAAAGGGGTCCATGTCGAATGTGGTACGAGTGCTGTTCTTCTCGGGCGGCAGGTCAGTTATACGAGAGATTTCCAAGAACAACACGCCGGCGACGGACGATGCGCCGCTAAATTCGTAGGCTTTCAGCCTCTTCTGCCTGCGGAGCTTGGCCAGTTTCTTCTGCCGCCGCCGTGCGGCCTTTGCATCTTCCGCGGTTCCTCCAGGCGTTTTCAAGGCTTCTTCTTCGTCGGCAGAACGAAGCTTGTCGTCGTCATCGTCGTCGTCATCCTCTTCCTCTCCAGACATGTCCCGATCGTGAGCACTGCTCTCCTCATCGTCGCCAGCAGGGGCTGCAACGACGCCATGGAACTTGCGCAAGACCTGTTGGGCACTAGCTGTAGGGTTGGCAGGATCACGCAAAGCGAACTTTAGCTGAATCTCGCCGGACACGTTTCCGTCCTTCTTCTTCCTCTTTCTGCCCGTGCGCCTGCTTTCCAAAGCATACCATTGCGGTTCCGGGGCGATGGTGCCGGCGTGGAAGACATCTTCGAGAATAACGTCCAGCTCGCCCATGTACTCCTTTCGGAAGCGATCTTTGTCCCAGCAAATGACCTCCAGCAAAGCGGCATCTCCGGCCTGGATGGGAAACTCGAAGGTCTGATTCCATTCCGGGTCGAGGGATTTGTAGACTGTGCTTGTGGCCTCTTTTGACTCTCCGAGGGTGAGAACGAGGTAGGGATCGGATGTGCCGGATTTGTCCTTGGGAGCAAGCTGGCGTGCCTTTAGCACTTGCACCCTCAACACCAAGCCCACGCCTTTGTGGTCTGGCTGGGTTGGATCGCTGCCTGCTCGCTGCATGCCGGGGGGAGGAGGAAAGTAGCCTCTTGCTGGGCTGGCGCTTCGGCCGTTGGTGGCAGGAGTGGTGGCCACGGAGCTTGGCTGGGGTGTGCCGTTGTCATGCCGCAGGCTGCTCTGACTACTCTTCGTCCTTTGAAAGGACAGATGTGCAGGGAGGTGAGGACGTGGCATCGCGGCGAAGGATGACGAGTGGGCGGAGACGCCAAGAGTGTCGGGCGTACGTTCGGAGACGGGCGACGTCTTGGCGATAGCTATGAATGTGCAAGGCAGCAGGCAAGCTCGGCAGCCTCAACCCCATTGGAGGGGGAAAAGCATCGTAAGGCCGCAGACCGAGAGACTGTCCAGCAGTGGCCGAGGCGGAGGATGGTGGGGAGAAGGGTGATGCGGGGATATAATGGGGGAAATGGTCGAGAGGGAATGGAATGCGGCTCAGCACGGCCAAGGCGGTGGTGGGATGGGAGGCAGCGGAGGAGGAAGTGGAGGGTGGGGCGGGATGTCGTGGCCAGCGTAAACCTTCCCCGTCTCCACGTGACACCGTTCGCACTTCCTCACTCGACTCCAACTCGCGCAGTGCCAATGAGATCAGGGAGAGCTGACCCTTCGACAACACCGTGTAAGCCTCGGCCGAATTGTCACCTCCCGGCCTCATCTTGGGTTATATTGCCCATACGGCAGCAAAAACGGGACACAACACAGAAGGTCGAAGGGCAAAGGCTACCATACGTGCAGCCTTCTACTTGAATCTTGTCCACTCATAACGCCTTCCATGCTTGTACGTACGTCCGTCTCCCATGCTGTCCTCGTGCCGTCTGGTGTGTTGTTCATACCATATCATCATCCATGACCGAGAGTCGCCCATAACGCCAATCGCCAATCGCCAATGCTCCCAATCCTTTCAAACGAGTCTCCCTTATCCAACACATTCCAACGGAGTGCAATGCAATGAAGGATGAAAATCAACCTCGACTTACCGCAGGCGTGATGCCATCACAGCATCAATTGATTGAGGTTGCGCTGCACAATCATGTCCTGCACGCTCTTCATCGTCCGGTCGAGTAGGGTGGTGTCGGTGGCGTTGGTGTAGTGCACGTACACCTCCTTCGACCCCTTCACCAGGCTGCGGAACTTGCGTGCAAAGTATGCCGCCGCTTCCTCGACGTTTCGAGCACCCCCGGTGTAGTCCGGGAAGTAGTCGGAGATGGGTGCAGTACCGGCCGTAATCTTCTCGCGGAAGATGTCCATCTTGTTGAGAAAGAGGATGATGGCGGAGCGCTCAAAGTAGCGGCTGTTGGCGATGTTTTCAAACAACATGAGCGCCTCCGACATTTGGTTCTAGAGAGTCAAGAGTCAGCTGCGAATTCCCCATGTCCAAAGCCCTGCTTACACCATTGCGATCCTCCACCAGTACATGATCGTATCCGCTGACGGCCACGAGAAACATGACGACATTCACATTGTCAAAGACATGCAACCACTTCTTCCGCTCTGACCGCTGTCCACCGACGTCGAACATACGGAAGGATCGGCTGCCCGTCTCGAACACGGTCTCGTTGATACCGGTCGTGCGTCGGCGGGCGCGCAAGATGTCTTGGTCGGTCGGAAGGTAGTCTTTGGAAAACAGTCGGTCGACGTCGTTGAAATAGCTGATTGCCATGTCAGTTGCAGTGCTGTGATGACGCGAGGATCGCCAGGCTTACTAGGTCAGGTTGTCATGCAGCGCGTACTCGTTTCCCTTTCTGATAGCGAGCTGCACGCCGGCATCTCCCCACAAACTCTTGAATGCTTTGCAGCAGTCGTGCAGCATCATATCATCCGGTCCTATCTCTGGATCGGCAGCCACCACTTCCGCCCATCTCTGTAATGGCATGTATGTCAGCCAATGAGTGTCGCTGGGACAAGGGTAACCGGCGTACAATGTTCTCGGCATCGGCAAAGTCGACATCTTGCTCTTCCATTGCGCCGAAGGTGACCTGGAAGGCGTGGACGAGGTTGGTGAAGATGGTCACCTTCCACTGTTTGCGTTCTTGAAAGGAGAAGCCCTTGTTGTAGATGAGGCGCATTTGCTTGAGCACCGTTGACTTGCCCGATTCACCCGCACCTGCATGCCAATTAGCACGGGCTGTGAGGTCTGTTGACAGAGAGTATGTGTACCAAGAAGCAGCACCTTTACCTCACGCGCCATCCTTCGCTCATCCTCTTTTAACTGCTTTTCAATGTCTCTGCTCCGCTTCACCTCCGGCTGCTCATCTTTGGTGCTTTGATTCCCCTTCCCGAAGCACATGATCTTGGAGAACGCCATTGCGGGTGTGTGTGGTCCTGTCGACAGTCGTGGGCGCACGAGAGGGGATGTCTGACCCAGGGAGAGTGGTGGGCGTGAGGGCGACGCAAGCACGCTTCAGCGCGCAGTGGCCCGCACCACGGTTGCAAGCGCAATGCGGGTGGGCGAGGATGGAATGATGACGAGGGTGAGGGAGGCGAGCGAATGCTAAGGGATGTGCAATTGTTGGAAGACGGGGAGAATAGTCGATGGATGTAGAGGCCGGCGCGCGTCAAACGGCGTAGCGCTGGGAAGGTGCGCAGAGGGGGGAGAGGAGGAAGGTGCGAGGGGGTGCGGTCATGCCTGTCGCAAACGATCTTCCCGATTAGTCGATCCCCTCCATTCACCTCATGCTTGCCGGCCATGAAACTTACCAACCGCTCCGCCGCAACTCAATTCCTCGCGCCTTGCCGATCGCTCGTCAATTTAGAGGCACTGGAGCGGGCAACGTGCACCTTGCCAATGGTGTTGCTGGACAACGATGTCATCACATAACGAGAGACAACGACGCGGGACAGCCTTGAAATGACGAGCGGAGTGGAGCTACGTAACTTGGGTGGAGGCGGAAGTTTAAAAGGTGATTGCGCGAGGAGAGTGATCGGTAGAGGCATGCGCTAGAAAATAACGCATTTCCGCAGCAGCCAGGCCGGTATCTTAGAGTCGACCTGGCACATGGACAAAAACTACTCCGGCTTGTCACGGGAAGCAGGCACTATTTGGTATGCACAAACCATCCGGCATGAGATTGACAGATCGGCAGATGTTGAGGTGCAGCAGCGCTGCATTCTTCTTTGCCGGGCCCCACGATACATTACTCCTCAGGGTGCTTGCCCTGATGCAGGCTCACGAGTAGGGCGCTTTCATCGAAGGGGCTAATCGATACCGACACATTTATTAGCCTGCATTCGTTTGAGCGGCAGGCACCTTATTTTATCGTGGGCCTCCGAAGGGTCCGGGTTGCAGCGCTGATCGTAACGTCATTGCTCGCAATTCTAAATGGTCAGTGCCGTCTTCGAGATTCGTGCTTTCAAGCCGGTGCACGATTAAGATGGCAAATGGAGGCGTCCATACTTATTCCATTGTTTGACGAAGCATTCAAGCGCGCTCTTCTATCGCCCAGACATTTCTACCTGACGGTACCTGAACGCCTGACACCACAAACAGGGCGCTGGGACGGGGAAGCCACGCGCGCGGCCCGGGCATGCAGGGAACCGCAAGCCACATGAACCGCTCTGGCGGGATTGGTGTGATCTCGTGCAAGACTGCGTGTACCACAGTACCGTACGTACATTGACAATTTGCGCAAATGAGTATTTGGAAGACGGGGGGGAATGTGTGCTGCAGCAAGCAGGTCTCTGTGCGTCTCTGAGTGACCCTGGCGTCACTGCCACCCTCGGTGCAGCAAAAGCCATGTAGGGGCAGCCAGGTTGCATGGTGCCTCGGCTATAAGTTGTAGTGCGGGAGAGTAGACCTCAAGAGCTTGGGCATGGTTCGAAGCGATGTGAGGTTAAGCATGATATTTACACGACCCTCGGAGTAAGATTCTCAGACCAATGCCACAAGCAAAGCGAAACCCCAGCAGCCCTTTGCAACTGGTCGGGTTGGACATCGCTGGCGAGACCATCCGGGATGAGACGGACGACGACTTCCGCGCCGACTGGTGCCAGCAACTCTTTCGACACCCGGCGTACACCACTGTGCCCCTGTTCACACGCAAAATGAGCACTCCGACCGAGTCTTCGCCATACAATACATTGATGGGCAGAACGCTGTTTACCAATGACACCCTACGTGCTGTGAAGTTCCTGTACAAGCCACCTGGAGAAAATGGCCTCGATGGCGAGCTCTTAGCCTTAATCTCCGTCGGCGGGGGAATGTGTAGCCACTCCGACACATTGCACGGTGGCATCAACACCGTCCTCGTGGATGAGATCGGCGGAGCCCTGGCGAACCAGTTGATTCCCGAGCCGCTGATGGCAGTCAACTTGAATGTCAATCTACGCAATCCCGTGCGAACCCCCGGCCTGATACTGGGGAGGGCTTGGATAGATCGACGGCCGGAAGGGAGGAAGGTGTGGGTGAAGATCCGTCTGGAACAAAATGGAGTTACGTGTATTGAGAGTGAGAACTTGTATTTGAAGATGCAGCCGCAAGGGAAGCTTTGATCCCTCTGATCGCCCCCGGCATATGCTGTCCTTCTACACGCTCAGCCAGAGATCCGACACTCCACCTTCTCCAGCTCGTTTGCTCTTCTTCCCTCGATTCGTCCAGGCGAGTCAGCGCATTGAATGCTGCGCATCTGGGGTAGCATCCTCGTTCCTCATAAGGCCAGACGCCGGCCTTTCACTCCATGCTTGCAGCAATGAAGAGCTGATTCAGACGGTGGACCGTCGACGAGGTTGCCTGGCTGGAGGATGCAATCGAGTCGGTAATGTACATGGCGAAGGACCGTATTCACGCAGGCGTGAGACGTCACCTTGAGATGTTGGTGATGTTTGGCGCCTCATAAATCTCCAGCTGCCTCCGGCCCTTTCGAAGCAGGAATTCAATGGAGGAAAAGTCCTTTCGATCCATGTCGATGTTCTTGTCAAACTCTCGCCGCGCAAAAGCCTCGAAATTGGGGCGGTTTTCGGTTGGCTTCCGACGAGCCGCGCGTAGACAGAGCCGGTAGAGGGCAAGAACGTCTTTTTGAAGACCGGAGAGTCGTGGCATTCCCAGGCCAGGCTTGCATTGAGTCCAGAGTGGTGTGCATATCAATCGGCGGGGCGAGGTGAAGGACGCTGGCTTCGGTGATGTTGTGAGAGATCGTGCACGGACGCATGACGTTTACGATATGTACCAGCGAAGAACGCCGAAAAGTCCACGGCAGGAAGACTGCAAATGCATTCTCTATCTGAACACTGCCAAATATCATACAGACAGATCGTAGGCCTATATCATCACTTTTACAAATGGTGCTGTCTATCACCCCGCAAGTCTCATCGTTCACCCTCATCTCCTGGTAGCCAAGACAATAGCCACCGTCCACTCCACCGTCACCAAAATGCCATTCGGGCTCGTCTCGTGGATGATGTCTCCAATCTTCTTAAAGTCCTCCTCGTAGCGCTGCACGCCCATGGGCCCAATGAGAGCGGCAGTCATGCTGCGGAAGAACTCCGGGCCCACTTCTTGCCTCCAGCCTTTCGCTTGATCGTCTGCATTCTCCGAACTAAAGTCCTGCCGACGCTCAGACGGGTGCACACGCGAGTCGGAGACATCGACAATGGGCGCGCCGGGTACTTGGAAGGCGGCACTGCCCTTGTTTTGCGTGTTGATGGTGATGCGACGCGTCTTGGAGATGTCGAACAGCTCGGCGGGCAAGGGGACAAAGTCCAAGCCCTGGCTGAATTGTTTCTGTCCTCGAGCGTCGCCGCACACCACATCCCACGGCTGCGAGCCCCAGGCGGCAAAGAGACGTTGCAGGGCCTCGTTTGCCCGCGGGTTGCCGGTGATGCGGCACACCGGATGGTAGCTCACGAGGGCGAGGGTGCCGCTCGACGACAGCGACTGGGCGGCACTGCGCACCATGGTGTCGGCGTTGGTGAAGTGTGCTCCCTCGACCATGATGGCCAAATCGACCGTCCGGTCGGCCGACGCCTCGTGTCCTTGCTCCGGCTTCCCATTGGAAAAGGTGAAGCGGCCCCTGCTCCTCTTGTTCTCGCCGCTCCACAACGTCATCGCTGTTCTCGACTTGCTCAAGCCAGTACTGCTGGGGTCGGAGATGTGGACGTGGCGGAAGTACTTGGCGAGGATGGGGGAGTAGAGGCCCGAGCCGGCGCCCATGTCGTGGGCCAGCTGCCAGGACTTGCTGTGGCGATGGTGGTAGTCCATCACCATCTTTTCGAGGGACGGGGGGTAGTGGGGGCCGGTGCGTTTGAAGGCCTCCCATTTATTGACCGGGGCACGGCCGCTCGGGCTTCCCAGGGCGCCATCGATGGTGTTGACGGTGGCGCGGCGGGGAGTAAAGTAGGAGGCCGTCTCCCAATTGACGGTGTGCAGAGGGGAGATGAGGGCGGTGGCAGATAGGGGATCATCGTTGAACGTCGGGCCGGCGCTGTTGACGGCGTCATGCATCAATGGGTCTTTGGACGCCTCGCCGGTCTTGATCTCGAGCGTCGTGCCGTTCATGCGCGTGTCCAGCGCGTTCATCTCCTTCTCCGCATTCTCGCTGTCGGTGGGGCTGGCGAGCTTGCTGTCCATGTCGACTGGTTTTCCGTTGGGGATGCCCAGCTTGGGGAGGGCGGGGTGATCGGTGGCAGCGGGAGACATCGTGAGAAGAGGGGAGGGAGTGAAAGGGATGGGCAGGAGAGGCGGAAACGCGATCCTTCGAGAGGGAGTCAAACGATGCTGCAGCGAGAAAGTGGAAGGAAGGAAGGGAATACGGGGAATGCGAGTTTAGCGCGTCAGGGGAAGTTTGGTACGGCGGGAGGGGTCACTGCAATGGCTGCAGTGTTGTGTGTCGTGGGATGGAAGGTGCGATGGGTATGAACATGAAAGAAAGAAGAAGATCACGTCCCAAATGTACAACACTTGGCCCATCCCTGGCGAGAAAAAGTGTGACACCCTTCCATCTGACGACAACTCGTCATGCTCAGGCCTCCAAGCAGCACGCGCGCCGAGACATGGTGACCGTGAGGCGCAACTTTGAATCCAGGGACTGCGTGGCTGATTGGAGGGAGCTGCGGCCAGACCGTTTCTTGGGTGGAGCCCGTCCTCGAAATAGACAAAGTACATTACGCAGGGCACGGCTAAAGTAGACACTTTCGACATCGAGTATCACCGCCCACAGTATCATCATCGTCTAGAGACGAAGTTTTGAGGACCATGGCATGTGCCCTCCATGATGCCGCACTGCGCCAACGGCCTGGCCTGTCTCGGGTTACAACAGCAAAGGGCGACTATTCATCGACATGACCTGATCACGCTGCTCGCCGGCCTGTACTCCACGCCTCGACACGATCACCCCGGCTCCTCCCTTTCCTCCTCCTCCACCACCCTTCCCACGCCTCGTATCGAGGTGCGGCCTTCGCCGGGCAGAGGTCTTGGTCTGTTCACCCTCGATCGCATTCCCGCCTTCACTCTCATCGTGAAAGACGATGCGTTACTCAGCATCGCCGATGGCGAAGACCTTCCGCAGCTCTGGGACAAGTATGGCGCTCTGCCTCCGGACATGAAGGCTATCTTTGATAATCTGGCGTTCTCATCTGATATAGCTGCCGTCGAGCCGACGATGGTGTCGAAGTTGGAGCGTCGTGGCTACGCCAGCTCACAGGCCCACGCCATGGCTCGCGTGAGTTCGCGTTGGCAAGCCAATGCCTTCAAGACTGGCCAGCCCGTGTCCACCTCACCTGGAAGTACTACCTGGGCCTATGCTCTTTTCCCTAACGTGGCTCGTATCAACCACAGCTGCACGCCCAACGCCTGCGCACATTACCGACCCCCGGGAGCGCAAGTCGTGTATGCTGTGCGAGACATTGAGCCCGACGAGGAGATTGAGATTGCCTATTTCGATCCGACCATGCAAGACGATGACCGGCAGGCCAGAGCGGCGGCTTGGGGATTCAAGTGCTCGTGCCCAGCCTGCATCGACGAGGGCGAAGTGGGAAGGGAGAGTGACTACGGCCTCGACCGTTTCTGCGTTCTCTCGGCTCTCTCTGTGCCCCCCAATGTTCCAATCCAAGCGGCTATCGACGTTGCCCGTTTCTTCGACCATCCCTGGCTCGCCATTGCTCTTCCCAAGCTATATCTAGCCTTATTCGATGTTCTGTCCAAGCAGCATGGCGAGAAATCCAAGCTGCGAGATGCTTTGCAGCAGGCTCTCGAATGGCAGGAGAAGATTACCGGGCCAGACAGTCCGGCCTCGAGAGACAGAAGGAAGGCGCTGCAAGAGTTTGATAACAGGGCATGAATAAAGTTGATTGCACGAGTTAATGTTATAACGACCGTTCGCCAAATTTGGCTGTCTGCTGCCGACAGGGCTCGTCTCCTGCGTGCCATCGAAGAATACATACGGGCAGGACGTAGACGCTGATACCTGCAATGGGCCGCATGCTTCTGAGAGTGAGCAGGACGGGCAGTGTGCCAGCCTCCGTGTACAAATCTCGCATGCGTAGCCACATGTGCCCCAGTGTGGCCGGCTCCCAAGCCTTGTATCGGTGATGCCGGGGCGTCCGATGACGTTGCTCCCCTTGTGACGGCGCACGACACCATTGGGACGACTCACACGGACAGGAGTGAAGATGGTGGTAAGCGGAGCGAAGATAACAGTAAGAGGAGCGCAGATGGTGGTGAAAGGATGGAGATGGTATCAAGAGGAGCGGAGATGATGGTAAGAGGAGCGAAGATGGTGACGGTGGTGCCTACGAGGCAAGGAGAAGTGGGTTTAGTGGAGACGTTGACGAAGAGAGGAGGGACGGTGGCAAAGAGATGATCAACTTTAGTGGAGAGAGGAGTGGGTATGGTAGCGATATTGACCGATGGAGGAGCGAGGCTGCCGAAGAGTCGGATGGATGGAGAAGCGATGCCCCTGGATCTGTCCTCGGCCTCGACGAGTACATGGCTGGAGAATGAAGCGATGCTGACGATGACGAAGAAGACGCGATGTGGTTCGAGCTGAGAGGCTTCGTCAACACGGGATTTAGCTGGCCTGTCGGCAGAAAGATCTCGATCAACTTCTAGCAGACTACGTAGCATGCAATCTGTTGAACGTATCTAGGCCAGCTGGTTTCCCAGTTGTTAGTACCTTCAACGAATCTCAAGAAGAGCTGGCTCAACTCACCACTATCGAGTAGTTCTTGCCTTGCCTTGGGTAGACGTGGTGGCAATGTACCCATTGTGGCTGGTGAGACCAAGCTCCTTGATCGTGAAAGTGTTCTTGCCGGTAGGGAGATTGAACACGGTGATGTTCATGTCGCGCCCGAGGCGGGAGTAGACATTGGCTTGTTGGAAAGAGCCGTTGGCCCACTCGATATTCACTTCGAATCCACCCCGAGCCACGAGTCCCTGTACCCATCCCGTCGACCACTCCGATGGCAATGCAGGGAGAAGCATGATTGGCCATTCCTCCGCCGGTCCTTGGGATTGAAGCAGCATTTCGGTGGTGCCAGCCACATATCCCACTGGCACACGACGTCAGTAGAGAGACTAACAGAATCAAAGTCTGCTTGGAGGGATGTCACTTACAGTTCCCGTCAATCTGGTAGTAGCCGACATTCATGGTCCAGGGATTACCCGAGTACGAGACCAAGGTCTGCAGCGTCTTCTGGATGTACACATGCGCGTTCTCTGCCTGCCATAGACGCGCAAAGTAGGCAATGGGCCTGTGATCTGAGACGAGTCAGTCTGTTGTTTTGAGGGGCTGAAGGGTCAGAAATTAACACGCACCAGACAATGCTCCACGAGTTGCCCTGAGTCTCCTGGAGGTAGTCGTTCAAACTCGTCTCGGCCATTTGCGTGACGTTACCGTTAGGCTGCCAGGTGGAGATGGCCGCGAAAGGATACAGGCCGAGGATGGGGTCCATCATCGGCTGGGAGTTGTAGTCCTCCTGCCAGTCATCCCACCATTTTTGGATGCCACCATATTCATTCGGCAAGAAAGGTGTGCGGATTTTGGACAGCATTTTGGTGGCTTGCGGGACTATGTGCTTGGAGTCTGTCATGCTCGATACATTGAGGAAGTTGGTTAGGATCTCGCGTAGGTACTAGAACGGTCAGCAAGTGACGAGAAACGGTGACGAAAGACGTACGTATTGATCGGATGTTGGGCCAATGACAATGGCGTTGTAGACGCCATCAGAGGTGATGTATGTGTTTTCCGTGGAAGCGCTGGGTGCCGTGACAAGGTAGCCGTCACGTTCGATGTGAAAGTCATTGTAGAACTCCACCAGTCCAGTCAGAATGGGAATGGCAGTGGTGTGGAGGAATGAAGTGTTCCCCGTGAACCTGTAGTGCTCGTACAACCATTTCATGGGCCACAGTCCCCCGGAGGTCCATCACGTATAGGCGGTGCCGCTTTTGGGAAACGAGTCAGTGCAGTCTTGTACTGAGAACAAAGTCGAAGCTTACTCGTCGTGGGGAGCAGTATCGCCCCAAAGGTCGTTGTTGTGGTGTGACACCCATCCGCTGCAGTTATACAGGATCTCGGCCGTGGACTCGCCATTGGGCATCACGCGGTTCTTCGTGAACTCGAAGAGCTGCAGGCTCATCTCCGAGAGACCGGTCATCTCGGTGAGCCAGTGATTCATCTCGACGTTGAGGTCGGTGGTGAACTTTCCGCCCCAGCCAGGATTATTGTTGTTGTTTCACACCCCGATGAGGTTTGGTGGCAACGACCCTGCGCGAGAACTCGAGATCATCATGTAACGTCCGAAAGCCCACATCAGCGTTTCTAACGCGCGGTCTTGGGCACCGTTGATATAAGCTTGAAAGCGTCCGTTGAGGTCGAGACTCGTATTCGTGGCGGGCGAATCAACATACAGCGCGGCTCGGTCGAAGGATTGTCGAAAGTCGGCAGAATGAGCCGCATATAGACTGGAGAACTTCGACGTTGTCACCGCGCCAACTTACGACTCCACAAGCTTCTGGAGCTGAACCACGGAGTTGCCGGTGTTCCACTAATCCGTCTCTACGCCGATGACTATGAGGGCGCTGTCTGCGCCGGTGACGGTGATGGTGCCGTTCTTGTTGGATATGGAGCCTTTTGCGAGGAATGTCAGCTACGGCATTTATTATATATCTTCGCGATCTTGTCGCGGGTCGATGCTGCTTACCACCCATGGGGTAAGTCGAAAACATCCCAGCGTAGTTGGGTGCGCCACTGGAAAGTCCAGCCAAGATGATGGAGCCATTCTCCGCGACTAAGGCCATTGTACCGTTTCGGGTACCGTTGTCGAGGCCCGTCCGATTCCACTGCGCTGTGAAACTGAGAGCTCTGGGATGGGATGCCGTAATCTGGCCGACAACGGCCTTGGCTGGATAGCTTGCGATCCATTCACGCGTGTAATCATCCCGCCACACGAGTAGGTGACAGTGGACAGGGCATTCTGGATGTCCAGTGTACGTTGATAGCCCGAGTAGTCCAAATGATTGAAAGTCAAGAGGAGATCGGCTAGAAAGGCTTAGCTGCGACTGACGATTGGGTTGGACAGGAAGCTATCCTGCGCAATGTTGGCGGCCAGCGTGACATTGTTGTCGAGAAGGGCCGTTCGTAGGGATGGCAGCGCGGCGGGCCCGTCCGGATTGGCTCGATGCTCTTCATTGCCCGACCATATGGAGTCTTCGTTAATAGTGATGACCTCGTTGGCAGGTTATCCGTATGGCGCAGCGCCCAGTCGACGATTTCCTAGCGATCTGGACGTTAGCACAAGTTTGTTTCTGATCTCACGAGGACGACAGGATCCCACCGATGACGAGGGCATTGACAAAGTCGACCTGATCATATCCCACGGTGCCGGGGCTGTTGAAGGTCATGACGAACGGGCTGTTTGAGGCGGCTGCGAGACATGCTGCACTGACAGCCAGCCATAGCTTCACGGCTGTTGGACTGCGTGTCATTGTGTTGAAGTCTTGACAAACCAACGACTGACAATGAAAGGATGGTGTGCGAGTGGTGAGTCTGCTCAGTGGCAACCCCGCAGGCTTATATGTGGGCTTATATCTGCTGGTTGGTTCGCGTAGTCAAAGCCCCCATTGCTTGACGCGTGCCTGGCTGTGATCAAGCGACAAGGCTAGCCAGGAACTGGCGGTATGTGGAGAAGTCCGGGACGATCATTAGGGGGCCGACTTCATTTCACAGCCGTAAGGATAAATTCCTCTTTGAGTAGGTGCCTTTCCCCACGAATTCCCTCGATGACTGTGCGGGGAAAACCCCATATCTGTTACAAGTTGGACGACTAACCACGAGCTTGGTGCCGTGTATGACCCGCCTTCGAGCCTGCCGCAGCACATCGTTGGATATCGTGGGCCTATAGGCCTTTAGGTGTTGGCGTGTGCGGATCAACACCTCGTTGATTTGTTCGTCGGCTTGAATGCACGGGGAAGCATCGGAGAGCTGGTGAAAGTAGGATACAGGAACGACCGCATGCTGATCCCAATTCAGAGCCCCGCGGACGAGAGGGAGCCTAGATGTGTAGCGGGTGTTCTATTAGAATGCGTGTCGTCAGGACGCGGGTGAAGTGATCGCCAGCACCCAGGATCTCCACATCCCGGCACATCTTGCCATGGAGTGTACGCCGAAGCGAAATTCCATTTGCAAATCATCGCCCTTCTCGTCGACATCGCCTTCGAACCCAAGAAGGAAGCTTCGTGCCAACAATCTAAGCTTTTCCTAGGGCAGCGAGTTTATCCGGTGGCTTGGGATGCCGAGCTTATTCAAATGACCTCACCTCCAGTCGGCATCATCATGCTGGACGCCCGCGATAGACACGGATGTCCGGCTCTCTTGCGGCCTCTGCCGCGGGACCATGCGAAGCCGGATCGTCCAGTCGCATGGGTGCAACGTGGATTCCAGTGAACTCTGTCGCAGATTCGACGATACCTTCCTAATCGAGCGCGGCGAGAGCGATGGCGTGCTTTGCACCAACACGCCGTACGAGTGCATTGGAGAATTATTCAGCCAAGCGCGTGCGTGCTTGCCACCGTCGACATAAAAGTTGTCAAGCATGTCCTCTGTCTGATTTTCATCTCGAACCGGCGCGCTTCCGCAGACGCCTTGTCTTCCAGAGTCCAAGATGGCTGGTGCTGTAGCTGAACTAGTGGTAAGTCGCTTATCTGCAAGCTTGAACGTCACCGCTAATCGGACGGGGCACTGCACAGGACCATCCCGATGAGGATCTGAAGCAAGAGAAAATCACCATCGACTCTAGTCGTGCTTCGCAATCGGATACCGCGGGCTTGGTTCGGCGCAAGCCACGTATCGAAGACTTCGTTTTCTACGCCAAACGACAGCGTCGGGCCGAACTGAACGAGCGGCAGGGCCGGTCAGTACTATGTCAACGTCTGCAATGCTCGTTTCGCTGACCTCTCCACCCTCAGACAAAACTTTGCCTACCGCCTGCTTGGCTTCGCTCACAACATTGCCCCTGCAGACACTCATGTCGACGATCACGATGTCGACGACGAGCAGATTGCCGGCCTAACCGTCACCGAGGCGGAGAAGGTGAACGCGTGGCGAGCCTTGCGCCAGGCTACGTGGGCGGGAGCCTTCTATCTTTGCACCACCGATATCCTCGGGCCCTTCAATGCCCCTTATGCATTTCGCGTCAATGGATACGTCCCAGGCGCTCTGCTTTACGTCTTTATGGGCGCTGCTGCCTTCTACTGCGGCGGCCTGCTGTGGTATCTTTATGTCCAGCTTGACAGCGATCGTTTCCCTGTCAAGAGCTACAGCGACATCACCGAAAGGGTGGCAGGTCCATGGCTGAGAATTTTCGTCACTTGGCTTGTCTTTATCCACATGTACGTCGAATCGATGGCTTGCGTTGTACGCAGCTCGCTGACCATACCTAGGATTGTTAACATTGGCACGACATCCCTCAGCTCGGCGCAGTCTCTATATCAGCTTGCCAAGGGTCATATCTGCTTTGTCGTGGCCATTGTCATCTGGATCATTGTGTATGTTGCCTTGTTTCGCAGCCGACGGCTTCCTCACTGACCATGTTTGCAAAGCGGATGCATGCTAAATCAGATTCGCACGCTGAAGAAGTACGGCTGGATTGCGAGCATGGCAATCTGGCTAAACCTCTTGGTCATCTTTCTGTCAATGGGTTTCATTGGTGAGTGTCCTGCTCGAGAGAAGGCCTTGCTAGCGCGGTGCTTATACAACCAACAGCACACTCCTCCCCGAATTACGCCGCGGCCAAGGCCTCTTACGGCGTCACGAAAGGCCCCGTTGTCACGCAAGCATTCGCCACCTATCCCTTCTACGAGCGCATCAACGGCGTCATGAATATCGTGTACGCCTACGGTGGCGCCACCATCTTTCCCCAAATCATCGCCGAAATGCGGAGACCGATGGACTTTCTCAAGGCTTTCTCTCTGTCTCAAACCATCATCTTTACCATCTACTTCGTCTATGGACTCTACGTCTACTCATTCCAGGGACAGTTCACCCTAGCCGTGGCATTCCAGGGTGTAAGCAGATATTCATGGCAAACTGTGAGTCGCGCTTCCTCTTGCCCTGCTTTGCCGAGATTGACGTAAGATGCAGGTCGGCAACGTACTCAGTCTCATCTCCGGCATAATCGCCGGCGGTCTGTACGGCAACATCGGCCTCAAGATCTTCTACGTCAACGTGGTCGAGCGCTACCTGCGCGGTCCCCCGCTGCTGACCAAACGCGGCCGCATCTGCTGGAGCGTCGTCGTCCTCGTCTTCTGGTGGGTCGGCTTCGTCATCGCAGCCGGGATCCCTCAAGTCCAAACCCTGTCAGGCATGGTGGGCGCGGTGGCCAATATGCAGTTCACCTACAGCTTCCCCACGGGCTTCACTTTCCTTTACCTCGTCCAGCTGGACGCGACCACCGAGGACCAGCCGTATCGGCCGAACAACACCATCACTCGAAAGGACAGCTGGAGCGACTGGAGTCGATGGCACAGGGGCTTGTTCGGCAAGAAGGAGTCGCGAAGCATCAAACTTCAATTGTTCAAATGGCTGAACTTCTGGATGTCCATGGCTGCGCTCGCCACGGCTGGCCTGGGTATCTACGGTTCAGGGCTTTCTATTGCTGCCACTTTCAAGACCTCGGCGGCGAGCTCGTTCACTTGCGCGGCGCCAGTATAGCGGATTGAAGCATAACGATTGGTAGATAGATGCTATGAAGCTGTGTATGCCCAATACCTCGCCGCGCTGATGGTGCGAAGGTATTTCCCCTTCCATTCCATCAGCAGAAAAGAAGCTCCGAATGCAAAGGCGAGGACTGCGACGGCGATGAAAGTGTTCTGTAGTCCTTGATCATCAATCCATGGGGTGATGGCGTAGTTGAATGCAAACGACATGGTGTTTCGGAAGAGGATCACCTGCACATGGGGGTAAAGAGAGCTGGTCAGCCATGATTCGTACGTTAACCACGTTCAAAGATTCCCAAGCATACCGATACAATGGATTCTCCCGCCATCTCTTTGAAGCAGTCCACGGCATAGGCCAGAGCATATGCGCCGCCGGCAACGTTGCAGTATCCCATGAATATGCCTCCAAGAAGTATGACAGGCCATGGCAGATGGTGAGCGGCACCTGATCAATTATCAGCACATCGTCTGGAAGCCATCCAGCTCTTTACCATGAAGGAGAGAACTGACCTATTCCCCACAGTGCCAAACCTGCAGCGATAATGGGACAGTAAATCAGCAGGCCCCAGAGTCTCTGCTCAGGCTCACGAAGGCCACCATTGCGGCGGGCCAGTCGAAGCGTGTACCAATCTGACAGTCTACCCGTCGTCACCCCGGCAATCAGTGTTCCGATTAGAGGCGCGACGTACGAGAGCCCGACGATGGCTGCGGAGAAGGTGTAGGGTGCGGCGGAAAGGATTGCGGAGCAGGTCGCATTGTATACGTTGTACCTGGGACCGAAAGTCAGACAGCACGACCACTCAGAGATCAAGGGGAGACTTACCATGCGAGCGCCGAACCATACATCAAGCCCGCCCATGTGATGTTGGGGAAGAGGAAGAAGATCAGGACGGGTCGATAGATCATGCGGATGAACTGCTTCTTTGTCACCTCACTACGAGAATAGAGTGCCAGTTTCTGCCGATATGTCTTGACGGAATAAGTGGGAGGCGAGGATGGAGAGGCCTCAATCTCAGATGGCGTGAGCGCTGCCTTTGGCGCCCTGTCTTTCTCCCACACCAGTTCTGGTGTTTTGGAGTCATCGTTGAACGTCACACTATCCTTTTGTAGTGTGCGCACCGATCTGTCCTGCTTCGCAGTTGAGCCTACCACTTCCACTTCCACGGATCCTCGCCTGTACATTGACTCTTCCAGCAGGAAGAATGCCAGGACAAAGTTCACCAACAGCAAAATGGCACCGAAGTGTTGCACCGACTGCCAGCCCAAGCTGTCACTCATGAAGCCCGCCACAATGGGCCCGAAAAAGTTGCTCCCGCATAGTGTGACCATGTAGAGACTGACGTATGTTCCGCGCTGATGGGCAAAAAAGATGTCCGCCACGGCGATCTCGGGTAGTACTTCCACAGGCGCGCAGAAGAAGCCGTAGAGACATCTCGCGGCGGCCCAGCTGCCGTACGTCGTGATCCAGGCGGTCCACTCGCTGATGGCGGCCAGGGCTATGATGCTGACGAGGAAGACGGGACGCCGACCGAATGTCAACGCGAGGGGCTGCCAGACGAGATTCGACCAGCCGGCCAGCAAGAACAGATAGCCTGGAGTGGTCAGCGGTGCCATGACAAAAGCGAATGACAACATAACGTACCAGTGCCGCGATTCAAGTCCGTTATGGAAAGTGAAGTGTCTTTGGTGATTGGTACAAAGACCGAATAGACCACGCACGCCGCCGTGCCATTGCAGAAAACGTAGAAGAAGACGAGGGAAATATTGAGCAGCTTTCTTGCCCGGGACCAATTCAGTGGATCGTCAGGATGGTCGGAGGGTCGAGGGACGAGGATCAATTCGTCGGATTTGCCCTCTTGGATATCGAGCAGGTGTACGCTGCCGGGAGGCAGCACTTCGGCATCGTGGAACAAGTTCGGATTCGCCATGATAATGACATTGACGCCTGTTGAGGTTTGAAAGAATGAAGATGCGGGAAGAGTGAGGGGATGGAGGGATCTTTGCGAGTCAGGCGTCCTGGCGTGTGTGCCTTTATCCGAGGAGGGTTCGAGTACGACGATCTCTGCCACTTCAGTCGACAGCCTGTCCGCGCTACGACGATACAAGCATCTCTACCCCGTCTCCCCGTGCATTGCCGCGGTGGCCAAGAAATGATAACGAATATTCGGGACGGCTGTGCCGTTGTCTGTGTGGACGTGTTGCATTAGAACCAGCCGCGAGATGCGAGTAAGTCGCAACATGCATTCAGGATTGTAGGTAGAGTACAGGGTAATCCACAAGGCCTAGTAACAAATGATTCATCGACTCCTCCGACGCCCGCACTGCAATGTGCTCCGAAGGGAAGTACGACCGCGAATCCGCCCTGCTTCATTCACCCCCGTTGGTCCTGCCCCAACGTCAACACCACCCACGCCACCGCCCCCTTCTCATCCTTCAGCGGAGTCCAATGGCAAACGAACTTGCTCAGCGCCATATCCGGCCGAGAATACAGCGTCATGGGAACGCTGATCGCAGTGCCTCCCTTCAACGCCGCTTTCACTGATGACTGGAAATCCGAGCTCAACCAGCCCGGCGCGTGGCTGCCCAAGAACTGGAAAATGTCTGTCCCCGCCGCGGAAGGATGATTTGCCATCTTCGACTTGGCAGGGAAGATTATTTCTGCCATGCCGCTCGACACGGAGGTGATGAGGAGAGTGGTGTAGTGGACGACGATAAAGTTGGAGTAAGCCGAGTAGAATGTTCTGAACTGCTTCTGAAGCGGCATGCCTGTCAACTGATTGAGCAGCTCGTCTTCCATTCCGGGCGGTTGCCTGCTGGGGGTCATCGTGCGACTGGTAGTGCGGAACAGCCTTCGGCCTCCAGATGCTTTCGACCTCAGTTCGCCGGACGGAGCAAGATCTGGCCGCCGATCTTCCGACTGGGCGAGGATCCTCAGCACGTCAGATGTACTGTGGACCGTGGTCGAGCAATTGATCTGGGCGCCGAGGCAGTGTACCAATCTCCCGTTCGCGTCGAAGAGAGGAGTGATGTAGAGCAAGTTCCAGAAAGGCTCCCCGTCCTTTCGCTGGTTTAAAAGCAGCTCGACGACCTCCTCGTGCTTGTCAATGCCCTCCCGGATGCGACGCACCACAGACATATCAGTCTCAAGGCTCTGCAGGAATCGACAGTTGCGTGGGATAATTTCCATGCGAGCATAGCCGGTCACCCTGACAAAACCGTCGGATGCGAAGACGATGGGGTTGTCGGCCTTGGAAGGATCCGTTAGAATAAAACAGTCTCCCAGCCCGCCATATCTGCTGCGATCGCCCCCGAGTGCCTTGGTTGCACTCAAGCTCATCTGGCTGCGGACAAAGCTGGGGTATATGCCGTACACAAGCTGCTCAATATCCGTCTGCGCGCTGTTGAAGATGCCCTCGAGCTTGGGCATTGCATTCGCCATCGAGGACTTGATGTCGCTTTTCACACGTACAACCACCGACTCGGGCACGTTGATCTGCGTCAGCGAGTCAGGGGAGAAGAAGTCGGCGTGAATTCCCGCAATGGCCGTGGAGACGTGTTGCAGCATTTGACGGTAGAGATGGACCCGGGCCAGGAACTCGATGTTTTCGCCGCAGAGTCTCGCTTGGCAGAACTTGAGAAGTTGGTGGGAGATGATCGGGTTGTACAGAGCTGTGCGGAAGACGGAGTGACTGAAAAACTCCGGCATGCTCGGGAGAGGGTCGGGTTCGCTGTGCGCGGCTTTTTCATGCCCGTCCAGTGATGGTATGGGGTCACCGAGGGGCCGTATGGATGTAACGTTGTGGACGGTATATGCATCGCCATCTTCCAACACTGCGTATGCCATGCCTATTCCCTATCACGGTTGATCGTATGCGCGGGCTGCGACACCCATTCTGAATCAGCGGCAAGAAGTGCGAGGGGAGTCGACTGACGATGCGGGCGTACACAGAGCGCTTGCTGAATCGGTTTCCAACGTGGAGTAATAGCTGCGAGGATCGCCGGCCGGCCTGTTTCAGCCCGAATATGTTCAGAGTGATAAGGATACAAGTGCGATTATGGTGCCGGGACATGGACTAGTAACGGAACAGAGAGTGAAGGCAGCAGCGGACTTAGACAGCCATCAAGGGCCATTGCGACGGCGAGCCGGGCAGGCACGACGGATGAAAACATCCCAGTTCAAGCGCAGCATGAGATTCTGTCGTATTTGCTGATACTACATACATGATGTAGTACGCGAAGCGCGATTGTCTCAAGATGAAAATCGTGGCAAATCGCCATCGTCAAACCTTGTCGAGACCCTGCTGGTTGAAGCCACAAGCCATTTGAGGATCGGGCTTGAAGGGAGGGGTGATGGAGCTGTTATAATACGAGCCATCATTGAAACAGTTGCAGTCACCGCTGCAATAGTCGAATGCGATATTGTTTAGCGTGGTCGCCAGTCGATTGGCCTCCTCGATGCAGGTATTTATGCAGTTGGAGAAGTTGGTGGCGGTGGTGTAGAAAATGCCGTTACCGAGTGGTCCTCCACTATTGCAATCGGTCGAGCACATTTCGGTGAAACCCCCAAAATCGCTACCTTGCGTGCAGTCCGTGGCCACCGCAGCGAGCGCCACCGTGGTGGTGGACGTGAATGTCGTAGTGGTGGATCGAATTGCGGTCGTGCTCTCTGTGATCGTCGTCGTTGAGGTAACTTTGACCCTTCTGTGCCGGAAGGCGGTTGATCTGCAAACCCGTCATCAATGCTCGGTCTTGGTGGCCTGATACGATGTGGGTACTTACGTGGATGTGGATATAATCGTGACAGTAGGTGTCGTTGTAACCTGGCATCGTCATCAGCCATGTTTTGAAGAAGCAGGTTACCGACGTAGTCTACTCACAGTCGTCGTCAGAGGCGTTTCGATGCAGGAGCAAACGGTAGAAATGACGGCTCCATCTTGACTGATCAGGGAAGACAGTAGTCCGGAATCGCCCACGCCTGTAGCAATTGGTCCGTTGCTGGCGGACGTCGAGAGAGAAGTCGTCTTTTTGTCAGGTGACTGTGTTCCTGTGCTAGCCGCTGCGGTTTCGGTAGAGGTGGTGCGGCCGTGTCTCTGGAGGCCACGTCCCTTCAGGCCTCTCTTTGAGGGTGCTGTTTGGCTGCAAACCGTAGCTGTGATTGTAGTAGTCGCCAAGAACGTCGAGGTGGGTCCAGTAGTCGAAGAATCAATGATCTAGACGTCCAAGTCAGCAATTTCAACATGCGGGCAGACTGTGTTGGAAAGCCGATACGTACGATCCTAGTGCTGATTGTCTATGGATGAGATGATTAGCTCTTGTGTTCAATTACACTAGTGCCCGATGCCATTGACTTACCGTCGAAGTAGTCGTTACAGTGCTTGTTTGGGTAATCGTGGCAGTAGGTGCCTCGACCGTAGAGGTATATGGGGGCAAGGGGTAAAGAGATGAGCAGAAGCTCTCGGCCTGGGGGAGAGCAGACAGCGGAAGAAACAGGTCATAGGGAGGACTGTCGCAGATGGATGTAGCAAGGCAGCTTGCTGCCCAAGCGGCAAAAAGAGTAAGACTAATAGGCTTCATCTTAGCAGTAGAAGACGCGAGAAGACCTCCAATGGGGTCGCGTAGTTGAGAATGGGCTTGATGGACACGACTTGGACTGACTGGAACGTGGCCATGTGGGTTATATATGTCCGCCACACCAAAGCGCGCCGCTTCAGCCGTGCCAAGTCCATCGGTTCGTGAGAAGACCAGTCTTGGACTTGCCTGATCCTTCGTACCACAAGCGATATACGAATCGATACCCTTGTTCAGCGGCTACACTGCAGTGGTGGTCTGCTAGAAGCAGTCGCTGTGAGATCAGCAGAGCCTACGCGAGTAGGTCGTCCTTCTTTGGTCGGGACCGGAGGCCGCATTGATCCTCCATGTGGTCAGCTAGCAATCGTGTTGTAGTTGTGATTGTACATCGGGAGTGGTTCGAGTGAGGCGGGGTTGCAGCAGCCTACGGAATTGACTTCACTAGCGTAGAGCTTGGTGAGCTTAGCATTTTAGCGAGACCACTCGTCACGCTCTTTACGCTGCAATGATCGTCTCTTTTCGGCACAATTGAGAGGTACCACGGGATCCGTATATGGCAGCCTGATGGATCTTTAACGAACCAAAGTCATGAGCTTTTGTGCCGCTCTCGTTGCATCCTGCCGAGTCCGAAAGGCCCATGCCCTAGGTGACTTTACCATTCGGGTGCACGGAACGCGAGTGCGTAGGTGTTCGGAGGATACGATTCACCAATTCTGTACATTTGTTCGGAACTTCTACTCTGGTCCCTTGACGAGCACATACCACCCGGACCCCTTCAGGTTCAACTCGTTCTCCTTGTTCACACACAGCCACTTGCCCGCCAGCTTCAAAAAGTAATAGCCGTTGTGGTCCGAATCGGCCTGTGCCTCGAAGTTGTAGGCATTGCCGTCCTCTTTCTGCTGCCACGACACCCAATCGCCGTCCCGTGCCGCAACCCGGCCATCTTTGTCTTCAATCTTCACGCTGCTCGTCCCATTCCAGATCATACCTCCCTTGGCGCAGTCCTGCAGGTAAGGGCTCGAAGTGCATGCAGTGACCCACTTGCTGCCATGAACGATTCGGTACTACGTGCCCAGGTCTGCGGCGCTTTGGTAGAAGTAGGCGTAGACGTCCAGTCGAGGCATGTCATCCTACTACAGCTTAGGAAAAGACAATATTGCTGACTTTACGATGCATGCTCACTTCTTTTGGCCAGAGCCCACGCGCTTTCATGTCCGCCACAGCAGCATGAACGGGGGCATAATCGGTGGCCATTATTGGGATGCGCGTACGTGCGAATGACGGAGGGAATTCGAATGGTTGGCACTGCAATAAGGATGAAGTCTGTACGCTGGGGAGATTGTTCGGGGTTGGACTACTTATACCTTACCCGTCCCATGTTCGTTGTCTTGGTGGACGTAATTCATGACGCTGATTTTTTAAAACGAGGCATCATGCATATATTACCTCCAGACGTATCGGCAGTGGATGGGGTTACGCTGGCGAGCGCTGGATATGTGGCGTGACGTAGATTGTGGACCTGGCGAAGAAGCGCATCGTTTCGAAGGTGTTGGCGATGGTGATCGCTAACGATGGACTCCACCGTGGGCTTGGTGGCGTCCATTCCATCAGAACCTGCCGTCGACTGCGTACGAGGTCGACAAGAGGCAGGGGTGACAGTCAAAGTGAGGTCGAGGTCTTGGGCACGGTAGGCTCAATGAGGCAATCGCGGGCTGTCGGCTCGTCGTCCCGATGTCGGATTTCAACAACTTGACATTTTCACCTCCCAAGCCCGTTGAGATTAGTCAATCTTTGGTGACAAGACTGGCTGGAGCCTGGCCCGAGGCATATGTCTTAGACCAGTTCGAACTTTCTCTTCTTTGCTAGCTGTCTGGGTGCGAAATGGCTCGGTGATGGCAGGCACTCAACCCAACAAGCCAGACCGGCGGGGCTCGGTCATCTCGTCCCATGAATATGACCCTCTCCTTCCCGCCGGACTCGAACCCTCCGTGTATAAGACGCTGAGCGTGAGTGTCCAAAGAGGCCACTGAAATCGAGTAGCATGAGACTAACGTGCTCAAACTCTAGCGAACGAGCGAGGTGGTTGCAGACGCCGCCGCCGCCGAAGATGGAGCACAAGCAAGGCCTGCACCTTCCGCCGGCGTCTACGCCACCCTCTCGGTTCTACTGCTGGGAGTGTTCGTCTCCCAGACCGACCAAAGCTTCGTGCTCGCCACTTACGGCGCCGTGTCTTCGGAATTCGACGACCTCGACGCGGGCTCCTGGCTCGTAACGGCGTACATTCTCGCCCAATGCGTTGCCCAACCGCTATACGGCCGACTGTCGGAGATCTTCGGACGAAAGGCATGCTTGCAGACGGCGTACCTGCTCTTCACGATTGGAACCGCAATGTCTGGCGTGGGACGCTCCATGGGCGAAGTCATCGCAGGTCGAGCAGTGCAAGGTGCGGGCGGCGCCGGTATGGTGTCTATGGTCTCCATCATCATCACCGACCTCGTCCCTCTACACGAAGTGGCCACGATGTGGGGCTATGTCAACATTCTCCAGACCACCGGTCGCAGCTGCGGCGGAGTGATTGGAGGCTTCCTCACGCAGACGCTGGGCTGGCGCTGGGCTTTCCTCATCCAATGCCCTCCTGTGCTCTTGGGCATCCTGCTGGTGCAGTGGCAACTCAAGCTTCCAAACAAGCACGACGAAGCCGAGCAGACAAAATGGGAGAAGCTTAAACGTGTGGACTTCATCGGTGCCACGTTTCTCTGCTTCACCATCTTTGCCGCTTGCTTCGTAATCGATACCGGCGGCCAGAAACTGGCGTGGAACTCGCCAACACTCATTGGCATCATGGCTGGTGGTGCGGTGTCGGCACTTCTCTTCGTCATTTCCGCCAACAGAACTCCGGAGCCCATCTTTCCACTACGTCTCATCGCCCATTATGACCTCGCGACAAACTACCTGATCATCGTGCTGCAATGCATCATCCAGATGTCTCTCATGATCTCCGTGCCTCTCTTCTTCCAAGCGACCAAGCTGGCAACAACAGGCGAAGCAGGCGCCTATCTCATCCCCGCCTTTGTAGGCAACGCTACCGGTGGCCTCGTCTCGGGCTTCTGGATTCGACGAACTGGGCGCTTCAAATGGCCAACAGTCACGGCACCAGTCCTGTCCATCATCTGCATGCTGCTGTGTCTGACCTGGAACTCGCATACCAACATCTTCCAGTCGCTCTTCATCCTACCCGGTGGTTTTGCCATGGGCATGATTTCCAGCTCCGCGTTTGTCGCCATTGCCTCTGCCGTTCCGGACGAAATAGCCATTGCTGGGTCGGGGATGTATCTCTTCTTCAACGTGGGAGCGATTACGGGAGCCAGTGCCGGGGCTGCCGTCTACCAAACCAGATTAAAGCAGGCTTTGGGCACGGCGTTGCAGGACGTCGATCACGGCACGCAGGTGAGAGTTCATCTCGGTGCGGCTGCTCTATCAGGACTGTCGTTCGCTGACATTGCTGGACTAGATTCGGAAGCGCCTCATGGAGAACATATCGTATCTGCGGAATCTCGATCCCAAATTGAGAGACCTCGTCATGCCGGCCTACGTAGAAAGCTTCCACAGCGTTCAGGGTACGTATCGCAAGCAGTTAGCACCTTTGTATCCCCCTTGGCTAACTTCATGGCAGTACTTGGACTCAGCTGCGCGGCAGCATCTCTCGTCGTTGCAGTCTTCTCGAGAGGAGGACGCTTGATAAAAGATACATCTGCGCCACAGGTAGCGGTGGATTGATTGAATAGAGCTCCATCTAGTTTCTTCTGCTATGTGTACCATGTGTACCATGTTTCTATGTGCTTACCATCCTTCCTACACCAACAACCAGTGTACCGTATCATCCTCTCAGGCCACGTTGGGGTCAACTAAGTCCACCACTCAATGGGCCCAGTGTATTGGAAGCTCTGCTGCTTGCCATCCACATTCACCGGAGCGACGCCATGTTTCTCATCATCCCACTTATTCACATGCTGTGGCCCCTCTGCCGCTTTCAGGTAACCCATCTCGCACGACGAAAAGCTGACGCGGGGTTGATCGTCGTAGAAAGCATCATACTCGGAATCAAGCGCCTGTCGAAGATTCTTGACTTTGGAGCTCCCGTGCAAGGTGTTCCACGGCTCGTGGCATTCTTTGCCGTAGCATGACTTCAGCACCATGAGAAGGGCGTCAATCCGGCTGAGGACGCGCTTGAATGAGCGGCCGGCGAGCTGGTAGGAGGATTGTAGATGCGCGTGGTCCTTGTGGAGGAGGTTGCTCATTTCGTGCGGATCTCGCTGCGCGACATGTTAGCCTTGCGCTGGTGTGAAGGGCGTACAACGACACTGACCTCAAGATCGTAAAACTCCTTGTCGCCCGAGCACCAGACGGTATACATCAGATTGTAGCCCTTGCCAATCACACGAGCGGTCTTGTAGGTATTGTTGCGAACGGAGATTTCCAAGTCCTTGAAGTCGGTGCCGGGAAAGTGAGGAAGAGGGTCGTCTCCGATCTTGCCGTACTTGCCCTCGGGCAGAGCGTGGCCCCAGAACTCAATGTTGACGTGCTCGCCGGACTCTGGTGAAGCCAGTTCCTCTTTGGTGAGGGGAATCGGGAAACCATCGAGTTCGACTTTCTCGCTGCCTTTGCTTCCCGCAATCTTCAACATTGTGGGACTCAGGTCGGTATGTGAGCTGATGACACCCGCTGTGTGGCCGGCCGGGATGCCCGGTCCACGGACGACCAGTGGAATATGGACATCCTCCTCATACGGGCATTCCTTGCCAGGCGACAAGCGATGTTGGCTGATGTGGTAACCCTAGAAGGCGATCATCAGCAGAGATTGTGGGGGAAGAGATGCAGCCCGTTACTCACATTATCCGTGGTGTAGAAGATGTAGGTATTGTCAAGGATACCCTTTGCCTCCAGCTTGTGGATCAACTCCTCCACCATTTCATCTACCGCTTGCAGCGACCGCAACCGGGACCGTTGAAACTCGTCATGATACTCGATTACCGTATCATTCAGCTGAGGCAGCTTGCGAACCCAGTCAGTGCCACTGGGCACATCGGGGTTGAAGTTGGCCACACGCGGAATCTTATAGTCCTTGAACAGATGGGCGTGGCGCTCGGCGTAGAAAGCCGTGTCGAAGGTCAAGGGAGGGGTGAACTTGACGTTCGAATGACATGCCACGGGGGCGATGCCCAGGAAGAAAGGCTCCTCGTGCAGAGTCGCCTCGTCCAAGAAGCCATAGGCCTTCTCAGCGACGACATCGACGGAGTATTTGCCCGCGTAGCTGACCGGCGGCGCTCCATTGCGGGTCATGTAGGCATTGTAATACTCGTAGGTGTAGGGGTCGAGGAGGAAGTCGGAGCCATTGAAGCCTTTGACATATGGGTCGTTATAATTGTCGATGCTGTGCGAATTGAATAGCTTGCCCGTGTAGTATGTGTTGTATCTGGCAATGTTAGGAGTGGGTTTGGTCGTCAGACATGGTGGTAGACATACCCAGCATTTTGCATCCACACGGGAAACCAGTCTTCATTCAACCCCTCCCGAACGAACTTCGGGTATCCCCCGTACGGTGGGAAGAGATCGGTGACGTTGGTCGAGTGAGCTGCTCGGCCTGTCCAAAGGTTGACGCGGCTGGGACAACAGACGGAGACGGTACAGTAATGATTGTCGTACAACGTCCCCTCATTAATCACATATTTCTGCAGCAATGGCATGTAGTCCAAAGAGTGCATATGCCAGTCCTGGTCGTCGGTCAAGATGAAGACGATGTTGGGGCGACGGGAGGTCTCTGCTTGGCCCAAGGCTGCCAGGCCGGCCAGCAAGGCTACCGTCGATTTCCAGTTCATCCTGACGACTTGTCCGTTCACATACGGAAGAGTAGATGCAAAAGCGAGAGGGTTGTGGGTCTATCGCGATCCGTATATTTTAGATGGAGCTCTGCTCGACGCCAAACGATGTCGGAGGCTCGTCGATGCAGGTCCCGCACATGGCCAGTCACGCCATAGCTCCCCATTCTCCACGTCGGCTTTTTTTAGGTCGAGCCATTGATCCAGAAGTGTGTCGGGAGTGTGTGACGTAGACTTGAAACTCCGAGACGGACGGGTCGTCGGCGACGGCCCTACTCGCTTCAACTTTCCGCATTCCTAACAAAATCTTCGAGTAAAGCTACCCTGATCATCAGAACAAGACCCTGCATTCGAATGCGGCTACCAACACCAGCTTCCCATCCCGGCGTCGCTGGGTATCTAATGTATTACCAATAATGATATAAGACTCCCTCCTCTATGCTTCTTTCCACCTGATCTAGTTGAAACTGCCTCCCTTGACCTTGGAAGGAGCCTTGCTGCCGGAGGCCTTTGACGCCAGCTTGCCGTAGGCGGCGAGAGTATTTGCGCCACTGGAACCGATGTATAATGTTAGCCTTGAACGGCAGAGTTGGAATTGGGACGACGACGTACGCAGGGTTGATGACGCCGTACATGCCATTCTCGCAATGGCCGGGAGTAGAGCAGTAGAAGGACTGAGGAGCGGTGCTGGTGACGGTCATGGTCCAAGTTTTCTGCGCAAGCCGTGTCAGTCAGGAAGAAGTGGAAGAAGTGGAAGAATGGCAAAGAGAAGACGCACGCCCTGGGGTCCGTTGCCGGAGAAGAAGGCGCCTTTCTTGTACGGCTGGCATCCGGACTTGAAGTTGCCTTGTGCCACGGTGTGGCCGGCGCCGTCGAAGACAAAGGCGATTTGGTCGCCCTTGGCTGCCGTGATGGTTTGCGGGCTGAAGCTGAGGCCATTGCTTCCGACGGCGACGGTGTGGATGCTGTGTACAAGACATGATTAGACTAATGCGAGTATTAGTTGATTTTGGTGATGATTGCATACGCGGCGGAGGCGAAGAAAGGCAGCGCCAGGGCGGAAAGGAGCGTGAACTTCATGATGAAATGAAGGATGTGTGTTGGTAATGAGCGACGAGAAGAGAGAATCGACAGAGCTACGAATGGACGATGAATGATGAAAACCCGCCATGCTCGGCCAGCAATGCTTACCTCTATATATACAGCGGTGCAAGCATCGCCTTGCTTTCTTCGCTTCACCACTTGGCAGCTCCTTTTAATCCGCAAATTGTCAAATTGGTGGCTTGTCCGGGGCAAGGCTCCAGATCCAGACCCAGCCCTACCAAAGTCTCGACCGCAGCACGGCCCATGGGCAGTAATTAAATACCGTAGATCAACCCTTGACTTCATCCTCCTCCGCAATGTGTGTTGTCTCCTTCGCCACGGACGCGATGCTGTGTCTGACAGTCGTGTTTGTCAATTAGACGCGATGAAATATTCATTGGTGGATAGCTGTTGCACCGCCCATTGATCAAGCGCGGCGAAAGACCAGCTGAAATCACATCTCCCAATGGCGTCCCCCGAGATTGCCAGCCGTTGCTCCTCCCATGCAGCCGCTCGCGCGCGCAGTCTTCAGGCGCGCGCCAAATTCCCTGCAACGCAAGCCACAGCACCTTCACCCTTCAAGCCGCAGCGGGAGGCTGAGGACCAAGCACTTCCCCCTTCTCACTAACAAGCGCCTCACATCCCATAGTCACCGCGGCGATGCGCGTCCAGCGCGTCTCGCTCGGGTTCCGCCAGGCATGCAAAGTGGCGCGCTGCACAACCATCTCCCCCGTCCCCAGCACGCGCGCCTCACCATTCGATAAAGTAAGTTCGATTTCTCCCATCAGCACGAAGATGAGGTCGACGCTGGCGTTGCGGTGCATGCCCACCTTTGCGCCTGGCGGTAGATCATTGTACCATACGCTCGTGCCGCCGTTGGGGCCGAGCAGTGAGATCTGGGGAGATGCTAAGGCGGCTTCGTAGCGTGTCAGATCGTCGTTGTCGTTAAAGGTGACAGGGTTTTGCTCGGTGCGATATGCGAGTCTTTGGCGCCCGCCGCCGCGCTCCATCGTGATGCCGAGTGAGGGTGGAACGGCGGTAGAGAAGAAGGAATTGCCGTCCGCATCATTCTCGATGATGTGCCGGAGAGGGTTTGATGGTGGGTTGTCGGCCATGGCTGGCAGTGTGATTGAAAGGAAGACAAGAGAAGAGTAGGCAGTCAAAATGTTATATGTGTCGAGGTTGCTACGTGGTCGATTGATGTAGCATGTCTTACGCCAAGACTTAAAAAATTTGCGCAGCCTTGTGGACACCTTTATGCTTGCTTTCTAACCTCCATGCCAGACGGGCAGGAATGACCACAACGTCTTACAGTGCGCAAGGTAACGTGTTTGCAGAAGAGATCACGGCGGCCTTGATTAGTCTTGGCTCAAGCTACACTACATATCTCGCTCTCCATCCTGTGGGGAGCATGAAGCATAACGATCGCCTGTTTCAGACCAGTCGAGCTCACATCGATCCTTCTCTTCGCTCCTCTCCTTCTTCGTCATAGTCGAATGCCGACTACGACCCGCCTAGTAGCGCTTGCCCTCGCGCAGCACATCGCTGAACTCCTCCAACGGGCTGCGAATGAGCTTCGTCTCCTTCCACAGGTTGGGGGTCAAGAAGCTGTAGGTGCTGGTGATGGCGACGAACGTGGCCTTGAGCGTGTTCTCGAGCGTCTTGGTGGAGCCGGAAGAGGCAGTGTAGATGTCGTTGACACCGGCCAGCTGGAGCAGACGCTTCACGGCGGGCGAGGCGACGAGGCCGGTACCACGGGGAGCGGGGATGAGCTGATTTGCAGGTCAGCGAATGTTGCCGCAGATCTAGTGGAACGACGAGGAATACTCACGCGAACGGTGACGGAACCACACTTGCCGCTCTCCTTGGTGGGGATGGAGTGAGGGTCACCGAGGTTGGTGCCCCAGTAACCACGACGGATGGGAACGACGGACAGCTTGGCAATGATGATGGCGGCACGGATGGCAGTGGCCACTTCCTTGGACGTCTTGATGCCGAGACCAATGTGGCCCTCGCTGTCGCCAATGACCACGATGGCCTTGAAGCGCGTGCGCTGACCGGCACGAGTCTGCTTCTGCACGGGTTTGATCTGTTTCCTCTCGTCAGTCTCGCTCTTATCCATTCACCGCGGTATCCATTGAGCCAACGCACCTTCATCACCTCATCCTTCAGCTTGGGCAGGAAGAAGTCGACAATCTGGTACTCCTTGATGGGCAGGGAGTGGAGGTAGATCTCTTCCATGCTCTTGATCTTGCCGGCCTTCACCAGACGGCCGAGCTTGGTGACGGGCTGCCATTCCTTCTCATCGTTCTTGGGTCCGCGGCCACGGCCACGTCCACGCCCACGCCCACGGCCGCGGTCACCGCCACGATCGCCACGAGAGCCGAATCCACCGCGCGCACCTGCTGCGGGAGCTGCACCACCGCGATCTGCCATTGTCGGGTTGTTGAACGTGTTGGTGCGGGAAATAAATGCGGCGTGCTGGTGTGAGGTGCAAGGACGAATTTTGGGAAAGCCGCGCTGGGAGAAGGTTGACGGTGCGAATTTCATGCCAAGACTTCGCATGGTCAGTGCACGCACGTGATACGCCTGGCTCGAGGAATCATGGGCAAGGGTGAATATCTGATCAACTCTACCCGCTGCATACATATTTCGAACACTCGCCGCAGAAAATACCGGTCATCCACACAATAATCCCCTGCGTCACCTCCGTCGGTCGATGCCCTCGCGAAGTACCCCCTCCACCACGCCTTCGTGGATGCCAGTGCTGTCTCATGCCGCCCTGCTGGATACCAAATCCATGTGTGTGTACTGGACGCTGTTGCGGTCCGACTGTCCTCCATGCTAACAATGCATCGGCTTTGCATTCTCTGCAGATCCACTACACGTGCAGCTATTGCCAAGATCCTTCCATGCTTGATGGGTGGTGCGCTGGCTACCCCGTACCGGTGAAAGGCGGTAAGATTGACCCGACCCAGGATTGATGGCTGCATAGGTATCGAGTGCCATGTTATCCCTATGTCGGCGCGGGGATAGGCTAATGTTGCCTTTACGGATGGTGTTCTGGCGTCTCAGCTAGTAGCTTTGGGGGATGTGGCTCGCAGGCTACAGGATCCAAGTTAGCGAAATAATTCCAGCGGCTCATTCCACACTGCAAACTAACCGGGCTGTTGAGCATGCTCTGCCTCTTGTTCCGGCTCTTCTTGATGTGACTCTTCAGCGCGCTCGAATCCAATGGCTTCAGGAGTTCGAACGAGCAAAGAAGCTCGCCTGAAACACTCATCACAGCGCCCCAGTTGTCGAATTCACCGCAGTACTACACGCGGTTAGTCTCCTCGCTTCCACCGCACAGGCGGGTCTGGTTTGCACTTACATTCGGCGCCGAGAACACCGTCACCAGAATCCGCTCGTTGAAAAACTCATATCCATCCTCGACGACCATGTGTGCGCGACACACCAGATCGAAATCATGCTTCGCCAAAAACTCCATAATCACCTTCTTACCAAAACAATAGCTCACGCCTCGTTCATTCGCCTCCCAATCGGCCTCCATGTCCGCTGGATCTGACCATAGGAGGTCGTTCAGCAATCCATAGTCGGGAACGTCGGTCGGCCGCGCGATATTGCGGATGTCGTCCATGTGCGACAGCGACGGCGAGAGACCGCCGTGCACGCAAAAGATCTTGCCGGCCACGATGGCGGCAATGGGAATGGTATTGAAGCAGTCCACAAACGTCTTCCACACCTTGACGTTGCATCGCCGCTTGCACTCATCGTAGAAACCGTAGACACGCGTGACATTTGCGCACTCGTGATTGCCTCGAAGCAGGAAGAAGTTCTCCGGGAAGCGTAGCTTGTAGCACAGGAGGAGCAAGATGGTTTCCAGAGATTGTTTTCCCCGATCCACGTAATCGCCCAAGAACAAGAAGTTGCTGTTCGGAGGGAAGCCGCACATTTCAAAAAGTCGAATGAGATCGGTGTATTGCCCATGCACGTCCCCCACAATCTTGACAGGAGGGGACAGCTCGAGGAGCGCGGGTTGCGACAGGAACAGCTCTCGAGCGGCGTTACAGATCGCTGTAATTTCTGCATTCTTCAAGCAGACCGTCTTGGTCACCTTGCCGGCATACCCAGCATCCACCAAGCGCTTGATCATGTCATCCAGGTCCATTTGCTTGAGTGCGCCAATATCTAGCGAGCTCGAGGTAGACAAAGAGTTGGAGTTGTGGTTGCTTTCCGCCATAGCGAGCACGGCTGCTGCTCCGGATGTGGGTGTGCTGGTGGAGTCCCTCTTCATCAAGATAGAAGGCAGTGGCTCGGCGTTGATGGTGGTTGCCTGATGTCCCGCCGCGGTCGGCGGGGCATCGGAGACGGCATCCACCTCTCCGGAGCGCTGTGCATCTTCTACACCCTTGTGATCGCCCGTCATCGGCCCTTGCGTAGGCGATGGCGGTGGTTCGGGATCGTCATCGTCGTCGGCGTTGTTTTGACTGCGCGCATCGGCAGAATCGGACTGCGACTGCGAAGCTCTTGCCTGGCGCGCTCCCGCCTTGCCACTGGCAGTCGATTTGATCGACTGACTGTCGGTGTTATCCGCTAGAGCCGCTGTGGATGATCGAGGGCTGTCGGTGAGCCGGTTGGAGGGGATTTTGGTTCGAAGGGCGGTTCGAAGGGACCGGGAGGATTCTCGCGTGTCCGATTTGCTGAAGGAAGGGTATGAGGAGAGATCTGGCCCGGCGCCGGTAGGCGTCTGAGAGCCCGAGCTGTTCTTGCTGTCCTTGGAGGAGCCTTGGCCCATTTTCACAACTGTACTCCAGACGTTCCGCGCTCCCGTATCTTTCTCCTGCTCACGGTTGCCCCACGTTTTGATAGCAGATCGGTAGTGCCTGAGCTCTTCAGTCACCGGAGCCGGCTTAAGGCGGTCTGGACGGCCGGGAAAGGAAAGTCGGGCCGTGGGATTCGACAGGCTCTACGGCTCTTGCATGGAAGTTGTTGAGACCCGCTCCGCCAAGAAGTTGTATGCGCGGAGGAGGGGGTTCCTGCCGTTGCCCTGGTTTCGACGGCGTGGTTGCTGAAGGGGTCAGGGGGGATGTTGGGAGATGCGGGCGACTGTTGCTGAGTCTTTCGATGCGCAGGGTGGAGGGACGGCGGATGGGGTTGGTGTGATGTTTCGTCGTCAGCCTAGTGGAGTACGGAAGTTAGCCCAAGGCGCGTGCTTGGCGACTTTCCCGCTTCGTACCGGCCAAGAACACGGCGGGGATGGTGGACGTGGGGAGACGGACTTGGGGATGCAGGGCTCACTCGTGTTTGGGCGCAGAGTAGTGAAGGGCGGTGGGCGGTCTGTCTGTGAAGAGGGGATGTTTCCTGCCGTCTGCAGATCCGCCGCAATCGCGAGAAACACCGCAGTCTCGCCAATTTGTGGGGAAGCGCTAGGCACGTGGGCCAAGCCTGCACGACTTCACTGCACTCTGCATTCTTGCATGCACTCGTCTTGTTGGCAGCCGGATGACACTACAATCTTGTTCGGCGAGATGGATCGTCTCCGCCACGCAATCATCAGTGAGCGCTGCGTAAAACGGGTAGAATACTATCTGTGATTCTAATCGAAACGGGAGAGAACACCGTAACCTCTCTCTCTTGATCTCTCTGTATTTCTCTTGGATGTTTCAACGTGGACCGGCGGGCGGTCCACTCTCACGGCTACCAGATAGACATGGAAAGCATTGGGATGAGAGTGAAGGACTCCATTCATGGCGATCTCAAGGAGAACGAGCCCAGCTGGAGACTGCCCGTTCGGAGGCTCTCTTCATGTACAGCCGCACAGTTTCAACGCACTATCAGGTAAGCCGAAGGGTCCGTTCGTATTGATCGTAAGGAGACGCGGCACCTGCTGGAGACTGCCTGTTGGGACGCTCTTTTCGTGCAGCCGCTCCATTCGACGTGCTGGCACGTAAGCCAGCAGGCTCATCCAAAGCGACCGCGGGGAGGAGAGGCGACCTCGTAGGCACTTCGGCAAAGGGATCGAATTCTTGGTGACGCCGTGAATTGCTTCGAGGAGAGAGGGGGTACGATCGCGCCTTTTCTGAGCTTTCTGCCTGACCATGGAGTCATAGTCTTGAGCCATGGATACTTGTTGGTAGCGAAGACCGAGAATGATCGAAGCCAGGCCATGTAAATCTGCTCGGCCAGCTGGCGTGTCGCGCGGATGTACAGCGTATCTTGAGGTGACCTGGTGAGGAAGGCTTGGCGGAGGAGGGTGCGGTAAATGGCATGTCGTGAGAAGCGCGGGTCACCGATCAGTTCGTAATGGTAGCTGCCTTGCTTCTCGCGTACATTCTTGCGGTGCGCTTTCATGAGGTGCTGTCCAGTCGGCTGGCCTAGACCACCTCTAGGTGATGTGGAGGATCCGGTGTAGCCGTATTCCGCCCTGTGTTTCGCGTAAATGAGTCCAAAGTAGACTCCAGCGTCGGTGACGTTGTTGCATCGAGGCAGGGCAGCGAGTTCATCGTTCGTTGGCTTTCGGGATGCACCGAGCAGCAATTTTGCGGCGGGAATAGTAGCGTTGCTGATGTCGGAACACCATTGCTTAGCAGTACACGTTAGGAGGGTCTTAAGCTAGCTGCCACTCTTGAACTCCTTGCCTAGGCCCATCGCTACCTCCACATGTCTCCTCAGGCGTGCCTCGTACTCTTGGACCTCGACTGACAGGGCCATCTTGAATGCAGTGGTGGATGTGGGAGAGGTGTAGGGCGAAATGGATCATCTCCCTCTGGAGTATGTTTGTGAAGATGCCAAGAGGCACGACAGGGAGGGGAGTTGGTCGAGCTGGGTTAATGAGAAGGGTAATGTGGGCAACCTCCTGATGGCGCACCAGAACAGAAGGCCAGATTTGGTCTAATTGATGGACTGGAGAAGAACAAAACAGGGCAGGCGGGAGAAGCGAGAGCAAGGTACACGCACTCTCCCCATCGCGAGCATGAAAGGTCGTTAATCAGAGGTGAGCATTGATCCGGAAGTATTCATCCCAGCGACTGCGCGCAAATTGACGTGTAAGGTCTGTAGAACATGATCTCCCAAGCTCTTTCTTTTTGGGAGGAGATGATCACGTGATATTGGCGTCTTAGCGCGAAAATGCCCCACGGCTGCCTGCAACTCACTAACCTCACTCGTTCCTTTCCCTCGCGCCACCTCCCACCTTCGTCCAAACACGAAGACTTCATGCCTTCCACAGGCGCCGAAATCGCAGGAGAGGACAACAATGTGGCTCCTTACCTGCGATGGAGACCTGTTTGAGGGCAAACGAATCTGGCTGCGACCGGGCACCACACACATCCTTGGACGCACGACTGGCCGCGCCGAGGGCGGCGAACGTATCCAGTACATCAACAACAAGTCCGTCTCGCGCAAGCACCTGACCATTGAGGTCGAGCGGGTAGCCCCAGGTGATGCTGCAAAACTCTTCACCCGGAGCAACATCAAGATCACCGACGGTAGTAAGCTGGGCACTACTCTCAACGGCGAGAAGATTGTGCAGGAGAGCCAGGCGCTGAATACCAAGGAATGCACGATCAAACTCGGCAGCTATGAGCACCTGTTTCATCTCTCCTGGCATCCCGTCACCATCTCCTTCACCAGTGCGTCGAAGAAGACGAAGCACGAAGCCCTCTCCGGCCCACGACACGACGCCTTGGAGCAGGCCGACATCAAAATCATCTCGGATTACGTGGTGAACGAGACGACTCATGCGGTGGCCAAGAAGCGCAATACGCCTCCTGCCCTCCATGCTCTCATCCAGGCGAGATGGCTCGTCACCGAGGCGTTTGTCGATGCTTTGCACAACGTCGCCACTTCAAGTGGGCCCCAGGATGCATCCGCGCTGGAACAAGACTTTGATGCCAACTGGCCCAATGAGGAGCAGTTCTTTGTGCCTGCAGCAACTGAACCGCAGCCGCGGGAGGATTACTATCTCAAGCCGAGCCCGGATCGCGCAGACGTTTTCCAGCACTACACCTTTATCTTTCTTTCACAAGCACAACACAACCAGCTTTCGGCAGTCATCAATGCTGGAAATGGCAAGGCTCTACTTAAAGAAGTTGAACGGGGCCAAGACAGTGTCGCGGCAATTGCGGACTACGTAAAGCAAGTTGCTGGCCGCAAAGGATCTGCGCAATTCAAGCTTAGCCAACAGACTGGCGATGGAGGGGTGGTGGTCGTTCGATGGCATGAACGAGACGAACAAGATCGAGAGTTCATGAGAGAGTTGGACCTCGCTCTTGATCAGCGCTCAATTGAGCAGAACGAGTTTCTTGATGCGATCCTGACTTCCGATGCTAGTGGATTACGCAGACGACTGCTGGAGTCTGAAAGCGTGGAGGACGTAAATGGGACTGCACGAGCGACCGAGCAGAGGTCACAGTCGCATCAGAGTCGGGGACAGGAACGAGCGGTGAATGGAGAAGATTCGCCGTCATTCGAAGAAGCTCAACCCATTCACTCCAAGACGGAGCCACCGCCCTCCTCACAGCCAGATAATGAAAACGCCTCAACTTCACGACCAACCGAAGAGCAAGAGCCCACGACTGCAGCAAAACGACGCAACAGACGCATCATTACTCAGTCTCGCTTCCGGGGTTTCGACGATTTCGATCCAAGCCAATTTGCTCAGCCAGCCTCTGCATCTCCGGAGCCTTCACAGAATAACGCGGAGCCAAGTCAGCTGTCAGGCCATCAAGATATGGATGTCGATGCGCAGCCTTCGGGAACACAACGTAGCACTCGCAAACGACCACTACCCGGCCCACAAGTGGAAAGCGAAGACGATGTGTTTGCCGACATCGCTCCCGCCCACGCAGCGATGAAGCGCAGGAAGCTGGAAGCCGCTCGCAACGGCGACCAAGACGGAGATTCCTACGCCCAAGCTGTACACGAATCTGAACGCCGTGTGGCTGCCGCTGCATCGGAACAGACAAAGGCGGCGAAAGGCAAGAAGACCAAGGAGCGCGACATCATGGCTGAGGTGCAGACACGTCGCTTAGCGGAGGAAGAGCGACGCCGGGCCGATGAAGAGTCGCTGCGCCAAGACATGCAAGATGTGGACCTCAAGGGGATCAAAGCGCTGGTCGAGGAAATGGAAATGCCTGCCCGTCGGCTGCAAAAGCCACGCGATGGAGTGGAAGACGCATGGGATGCTGCGTGGAATGGACGGAAGAATTTCAAGAAGTTCCGGAAGCATCATCGCGGCGGTGGCGGCAACGAGGTTCCGGAGTTGCGGAGAGTGATTGTCACGCTTGAGGAGATGCCGAGACAGGGCCGTGGGCTTGGGGACGAGTACTGGCTGAATGACTCCTCTCTTACCTCGGCCTCCACGACGTCGGCGCGAGCGAAGGCCAGGAATCTTGCATCACAGTCCCAGAACGCGCGCGGCTCACAACGCGAGGTGGTGATGGTGGAAGACGATGACGAGGATGGAGACGATGCCGACGATCCGTCTCGCTTTCGCCGTCGCCAACTCGCCGCCGCTCTGGAGACATCTCGTCAAGAAGATGAGGAGGCGGCGTATGTGGATGATTTTAGGCCGGACGAAGTCGCAGGCCGACCCCGAGATGATGCGATTCGGGATGCGTTGAGGGCCAGCAATGGCACGCCGAGCCAGACTTTGCGCTCGCAGACTCAGAAGGGTGCTGCTGTCACAGGAAAGCGAGCGGCGGCGCAGCAGGGCGGTGGACCAGCGAAGCGGGCGAGGCAGACTACGCTCGCATCGGCTGTCGTGGAAGACGAAGACGACGATGGGTTGAAGTTCAGACGCAGGAGGTGAAGCAAAATTCGGGATGGGCATGTCGTAGGAAGTCTCTACATACCCTATCCGAGTACCACGATGCACGTAGCACACTTCATTCGTATCCTCGTTCATCTACTGCCTTTCCTGTGAACCAGCGCCACGCTTTCACGCTTTGGCCTTTAACCATTGCCCACGCAGAGGGAGGTGTGACGGCTTCGAGCAAGCACGCCTGCTAGCCCTCCTCCTCGTCGACCGCCGCCAGGCCTGCTACAACTATCCCCTTCGCGTTTCGATGACGGCCACCCCTCCCCACGGATGCAGGACCAAGGGGGTTCGCGGAGCCAGTACGTGATTTCGTAGACCCAGCACGCGACGCGGCCTTTGTCGACCCTGCACGAGACGCCGGCTTCTTCGATTCCGTGTCAAAGGGGGCGGCGGCGTCATTGGCGGTGATGTCAGTATCCGCGGCTTCGATAGTCTCCACAACGGTCGTCTCGTCTCTGGTGATCTCGACTGTTCCCGCGGGCCCTCTTTCCTCGGTACCTGTTTCGTACCCCTCGATGAGCTCGTTGACGATGAAGTTCCACTCCTTCGTCGAGACTTTGGACACGCTCAGGCGCGCCGCCGTGAACTCTTGCATTTCGGAAAGGACGCTACCCTTTTCCGCGAACGTCTTGAGCTCCTGGAGCCTGTGTGGTCGATGATTAGTGCCAATGACTCGATGTTGCAAGGCGGACGAGCGACTTACGTGACTGGTGTGCTCAACTTCTTCCGAAACTCCACGTGCACCATGCTCCAACGCGGCTTCTCCAACGTCCCGCGCTTCTTCTCGTCTTCCACGTAGTACAGGGACTTTTCGTCGAATGCGCTGGGATCGGCCTGGTGCTCCTTCACAACCTCCATGATGCCAACGATGCCGGGCACTCTGCCTTTCTTGCCGCCACTAGCGTAGAAGAAGGCAAGGTCACCGAGCTTCATCTCGCGCATGTTTTTGCAGGCGGTGGGATTGCGCACACCTACAAAGGCAAGTTAGTGAAGGCATGTGAGGTGAAAGAAGCGGTGTAAGACATACCGTCCCACGGCTCGGGGCCGGCCTTGTCGCGTAGATCGTCGATGGTGAACTTGGTGTTGTAGACGCTGCCGTCTTTCAACACTTCCTCACGATCCTCCTGCTCGGCCTTCATCAGCCAATATTGCGTGCCAACGGCGGTCTCATGCACACCATCTGCCATGTCACTGTCCTCATCATTGGCAATCGCAGCAGCTTTCTTGCCGCCGGCCTTCTTCGGTGGGCGGCCTTGGCCTCGCTTGGCAGGGGCTTTCGGTTCTTCCACGGCATCCACAAGCTCCTCCTCCAACTGCTCAGCTGCGGCCTGGTCGTCGGTATCGATCTTGGTCGTTTCTCCGCCCTTGGGAGGTCTGCCACGCTTCTTGGGTGGAGGAGCATCGGTCTTTGACACAGCGGGAGCTTCTTTCTTCGCCGGTCTGCCGCGTTTCTCCGCGGGAGCTGAGGAGGCAGCGGGAGTAGCGGGCTTGGAGGCCTTGCTGGGGCGACCACGCTTTCTGGGAGGTTCGGTAACGTCGACATTCTCTGACGCTTTGGCTGGGCGGCCGCGCTTCCTGGGAGGCTCTGCAATGTCGACGTCCTCTGATGCTTTGGCTGGGCGGCCGCGCTTCTTGCCGGTGTTGGCAGCTGCGGAAGTAATAAGGTCAGATGGACGTGGTCTTGATGCGCGCGATTGTTCGTGTGAAGACTTGCCTGCGCCGCTGGTCTTCGTGTCTGCCTGCTTCTCTGCGACAGGGGCCGTTGCGCGCTTCGGTCGGTTTCCCGCCGCGGTCGTTGCGGCAGCTTTCTTAGTCGCGGTCGCCTTCTTGGGAGGCATTTTGTGCGATGTCAGTGGTTTGGCAGGGGATGTGAGGAAGAGCTGCGAGAACAAGGGAAGAAGTGGGTGAGGGAATGAGGAGGAGAGGAGGTGGGGGAAATGGAACGCGAGAGGTTGGTGCCTGAGCTGTGACGCGGGTGGTCGCGCGCGCGAAACAAGCTTTGGGATCTGCTGAAACCTTAAAACTTGGGGAAGGGACGAGTTGCGAACACCGCGCGCATGTCGGCTCTGCACATGACATGCGGGCCATCGTATTGTCGCAACATGCAAACCGGATTTCCATCTCACGGACATTGGAGGCGCGGGTTACTCACAATTCCTTCATTCGACACCGCCCATCCTTCCATTGCACGGGCAGCCCTGAGTCGATTGACAATGTAACTGCCTGTCTATCCCACCTTTGACCATCTTGAGCAAGAACATTGCACAGCAAGCGAAAACAGCAACAGGCCAGGCCAGACGAGAGCGAGCGAAAGGTGAAACATTGTTGGTTCTGGTTGGTCTTGCGCCGCGCAAAAAGCCAATTATTACGCGCGTGCACTTCCCGTCTGCAGCACGCTGACGTAGCATCTCTTAAGGCTGCGCAATCTCCGCCCAGGCTATAAGAGGTGCGAGTGTTTTACTTTACGAGAAACCCGTCCTCCCGCACCTTCTACCACCTGGTTAGGCAATGCTAGTCTAGCTACTTCATCGCCAAGGTGTGCATTCGCCTCAGTCTTGTTGCGCCTTTCTCTCCAGACTGCCATGAACTTCCACGCTCGAAACTCCACTGCACACTTGGCAGGTCTCAATCGAAGCGCACAGATGGCGTAACCTGGCCACGCTACCACATGGAGCGGGAGATGTTGGAGAGATCACTGAGAGATGGCTGAAGTCGATTCCGCTTCTATGAACCGTGGCCTGTCACATGCAGAGTACCTCGAAACCCTGCACCGGCCCAGCGAGGCTGAAGTGCGCCGCATCTCGCAAATCCAATGCCAGCGGGAGCGCGAAATCTCGCAGAAATACCACACGCACGAGGCGCAAGAGGCCGCGATCAAGATCCAGAATGCTTACCGCTCCCATCGCACCCGGCGCCATCTCGATGGCCACATTCTCGACCCCTCCGCCCGCTGGGACGATGTGATTCGAGAGCTGCGCTATCGTGCCGCCATCAGTCCCCTCGAAGGCCCAGGATCCGCCCGAGTGGGAAGCGATGGCAGGCCGCGCGCTCCCTCCGATGTCGCCAAGCGCAACTGGCAACGGATCGCCACGATCGCCGAACGTGCTGGAGCCGGTGAGACGTCTCCGAGAAACTCCGTCGACTCTCTGGACCATTCGAGTACTTTAGACCACCAGCAATCCATGTCCATGCTCCTAGACATGCGTTACTTCCTCGAGATGGTGGACGAAAAGCATCGCTACGGCACCAACCTGATGGTGTATCACGGCGAGTGGCTAGAGTCCACGACGAACCAGAACTTCTTCTACTGGCTCGACCGCGGAGAAGGCCGACATCTTAGCATGCCGGGCTGTAGTCGGGAGAAGCTCGATAAAGAGCGCATTCGGTATCTCAGCCGGGAAGAGCGGAAAGGGTATCTAGTGTGCATCGACGATCAAGGGAAGCTGAGATGGGAGAAGAACGGCGAGCTCATCACCACCAGCAACGAAGAGTTCAGAGATTCAATCTCCGGCATCATATCCAGGTCAGACGTGGTCACGCCCACATTCCAAGACGAGTCGATCACGCGGCAGTTGTCGGAGAGTAGGAACTTCCTCCAGCGATTCACAGACCAAAGCAGCATGAGCCCCATTCCGCTCGCCGATATTGGCGAGGCTAGTAGCAGCGAAGGAGAAGATGCGAAGCACGAGGTCGAGGAAGCCGAAGCAGCAGGCATGAAGCAGACGAAGAGGGAAAAGATGCGTAAACGGCTCCACGTGTCTCCCGCCACCATCTTGAACAATCTCATGCGCGCCACCATCAAGCCCGGCACGTGGATCTACGTCGCCGACACCGTCGGCCGGCTCTACGTCGGGATCAAAGCGAGCGGTGCATTCCAGCACGCCTCCTTTCTGTCCGGCGCTCGCATCTCCTCTGCCGGACAAATCGGCATCACCAACGGCCAACTCGTCTATCTGTCACCGCTGAGCGGGCACTACAGACCAACGGCCAAGTCGTTCAAACTTTTCATCAACAGCCTTCAACGTCAGGGCGTGGACTTGTCGCACCTGCGGATCTCTCGTGCTTTTCGAGCACTCGTCAGCTTGGAGTACTACACTCGCAAACGGCAGAGCTTGCACAATGCCGTCCATCATCACCACCACCATCATCACCATCAACGACACGAAGGTAAGGGAGAAGACGAGGACCAGCACCGGGCCCGATTGGATCAGCATATAGAGCAAGAGCAAAACGAGCATCCCATAGAAATGGGGGAGCAGCATGTGGAACGAGAGCATAAGAAAGGCCTCCCCAAGTTGATTGACGATCTGCATCTTCGCAAACGGAGTTTGAGCCTGCGGAGGAAGAAGGATGGAACTTGACTACGCCGCTTGATGTGTACCGTATGACGTTAGGATAGTGGTGTTAACATGGAACCAGCGAAAACGTTTCTTCATCGAGGAAAATGGTCTTGGCGGCGATGGCGGAATGAACGCATACCTTCTTCGAGCCCTTCATAGGCAGGATAAAGCAAGAAAACGCTATCCGTCCTCCAAAAAGTAGAAGTTGGGACATCATGCTTCCTCCACCGCAAAACCATCCCCATCGCTCTCCCCCTCCCCACTCTCCCTCACGCGCTGCGTAACAACCCGAATCTCCTCCCGCCCATCCCCATCCGCCGCCGAGCAAATCGTCGTCACGCTCCGCATCGCCTCCGCAAGATCCATCTCGACATCACTGTCCAGCTCGAAATCGCGGCGCACGGCCTGCAGCGTATTGTCGTGCAAGTTCATCTTCGTGGCGGAGGGGAGGGGCTCGCCGAAGAGCCAGGGGGAGCTGGGCTTTTTCTTCGGCACTTGGCCGTGGCCTAGGGCGTTGGAGAAGGTGGATGGTTGGGGAGAGTCGGCTTGGTTTTCGTCGTAGACGTATATGTCTACCCGTGGGTCGATGTGGAACGGGCAGTATGGGGGATTTGTCTCGACGTCGTTCACCTGCGTGGACGGCGGAGGAATACACTTTCGCCATGGAGTATCGTCCGCGATATCTGCTGGGGGACGCCGCAGACTCCAGAAGCCGTGTGGGACATCATGTCGCGCCTGGAGCGCACCATTCTTGACTTCCGCACTCGCGCGAGTACGGATAGGAGGCAGCTCGAACTTCTTGTGCCCGTACTTGTCATGTTTCAGTGCAGTCACGCTCTCCTGTCCCTTGCTACGTTGCAGCCGCGTGACGGGGTGCAGATGCACTGCTCCACCACAGACGACGGCGAGGTAGAGATCGCTTTGCCGCTTCAGCCACTTGAGAGAAGCCGGCTGTGCCTTGAGCAGCGCTTTGTGGCGGATCTTGTTATCTTCGGAATGCCAGTAGTCGCTTGCGCCATCTTTCGCCGCGCTGAAGCCGTGGCTCAGGCCTTTGGCTATCACGCGACCGCCGGCATGGCCGACACTCGCCGTGGCATCCCTGAAACCTGCGAAAGATCGCGGAATGCCGAAGCCGGATGAAGATCTTACTCCACTGCCGCTCATGCTTCCCACTTGCGTGCTGACTTGCTGCCATGTTGATCTCACGCTCCCGAAGAAGCCGGCGTTGCTGCTCGGTGGCGAAGCACCTTGGGATACACTCACTGTCGCTTCGGCTTTCTCTGCCCCATATGCACTGGCTGTAGATCGGCGCTTTCGTCGGCGAAATGATGGGCGCTCCACAATCTCGTGTAGATGTACGGTGCCGTGCATTGTGAGAAGCGCCAGGTAGTCGTCATTCCGCGACCATGCAGAGTCGACCACCACCGATGGGCTGCTGCGAGGGATACTGTGGATCAGTCGGACTGACGGACCCATCCCAGCACTGCCATCGCTTCTGTGTATGCCGTGGCATGATCGTGTCAGATCCCAAATGCAATATGTCTCGCCTTTGCGGCTGACAGTGAGAAGACGCAGTCCACTCCGCGAAAAAGCCAGAAAATTGCAGCCTTCGGGTAAAGCGAAAGAAGCAACTGGTGTTGGTGGCTGTTTTGCCTTGGCTTCTTGAGCTTCAAGCAGAGCCTGCAAGTCGACAATAGCGACAATAGAGGGATCCTTCTCAGTCCGCTGAGGGTCGTGTGGAGGGGCCTTGGTAGGCGGGAAGAATGCACCCTGCTCTTTTCCGGGGGCTCGCTGATCCGGCAGGGGTGCAGGGTTCGTGAGCTCCCTCCAGCCTTGCAGGCCAAGATCAATACCTTTCTGGGAGTACTTGACGACACCCTGCGCAGCCTGACGAGTCAAACGGCTCCAGGCATCTTCCGGATCGGTGCCTACCGTCTCACACGATACATGTGGCTGGGGAGGGGCGACAGCAGATGCCAAGCCTGGAGGACTGTAGCCATCCTCTGAGAGCAGTGGCGAGCCTTGGATCGAAACGTGGGAAGCGCTGGGCGGAGGGACCAGAGCAAGCCACCGTGGGCTTAGACTGAGCAGAGGCAATCGACGTAGCTCCGTTTCCGATCCAGTCGGCTGTTTTGCATCGCCGGAGCTCGGCGGTCTTGACGAACCCTGATCGGAAGATGATTGCAAAGAGGTCCAGAACTTGCCGATGCAACGAAACTCGCCATCGCCAGAATTATCGGTGGTGGCGGTTGAAAAGACAAACACCTCACCGCTTTTGCCTGATGCCAGGAGAACAAAGCTACCGCAAGCCGTCAGTCGTAAATCCTCAACCGGTTCCGGCAGGGTGGTCAAATGGCCGACAGTGGGTTGGGGCACCTCGACAGCAACGGTCTGATAGAGCGTAGCGACACGTTCCTGCGTTTGAAGCGAATACACCTCAACCGTAGTCTGGTAGAAAACAGCTGAGTGACTCGCTCCTTCTGCAGCGCCGTGAAGAATCACTGCCACAAGTGGGCGGAGTTGCTCCAGGCTATCATGAACAGAGACATGAGGTAGGATTTTCGCCCCAATGACACTGCCACGAAGACCTTCCAGCCGCCCTACCACCTCGACCTTGTTGGGCAGCACACGAAAGACTTCCAGGCCACCTTCAGAGCCAACGAGTAGAGCATCCCTGGCCTTCTTCGCCGATACCCCATCGCCCGCGTCCGCGAGAGAGTCCAGACAGCAACAATACCCATTCGAGCCGGCGATGGGAGGGTCGTGGTGCAATTTTTTGAACTCATCGTCGAGATTCAAAATCGGCGACCCGTAGAAATGCGGCTGTGGCATATGCGGAGGAGCTTTGGGCTCGATGAAGTTCGGCGGTGAAGAAGTATAGGAAACTCGCTTTGACATTGTCGGGGCGAATGCGTGGGGATTTGCAGCGCCGTTGGAGTAGCCGTAGGTCGGGGAGCTCTTGGAGATTTGTCTGGGTTTGGCGTGAACAGGTTGTGGAGAGGTGGATTGCTTGGCTGGTGGTATGTCAGGCGTCAAAGCCAGTCGATCAGGTGGAAAGTCATCCTCTCTCCATTCAACACCCCTCTCCTCCTCCACATCCGCACTGCTCACGGGTGGCAGTGCAGTCACCGCAGCATCCTCCCGCTCCTCTCGTACCGCCTCTGTTTCCCTCTCATCGAACAGATTCTCAACATCGTTGCCACGCGGCGCCTTCTGCTTCTTCTTGCTCTTCTTGCCGGGTCGCTTGGACCCTTCTATCGGCTGCTGTTGCTGCGGTTGGTCTTCTGTGGTCTGCTTTTGCCAGTCGTTCGTGTGAAAGACGGGGTGGTCGTCGTCGTCCCACGAGCTCATCCGGAGTGGCGCGTATTGGGCTGGTCGAGTGGAATCGAAGGGAGGGGTGGTGTTGGGAATGGTGGAGGAGCGTAGCAGAGGAATACGAAGCTGGCAGAACAAAGGGCAGGTAATTCAGACGGCAAGGTGATGGCTCTTTATGTTCGTAGCACGAGCTTGCGGTTGTCGTAGATCGTCTGACTCCGACCGGCAGGCAAACGCGATCAGGTGGTCAGGGCCAGGTGACGACGAGGGCGGGGTTCTGAGAGGAGTTGAAGGCAACGTAGCTTGGATGGAAGCGTAGTAGAAATAGACCCTTCCCACTGCCACGACGGGAGATGGTATGGCAACACGAGCAAGGGAAGTTGAAGATGGAGTGCGAGATGATGTTGGAGACGTCGCTTAACAACCACGCTGGCGGGGGGCGTTGCATGTGATCGTGGTTTCAGACTGCGGGGTCCGCCGCCGCCAAACCCTGTGGCGTCAACCTTGCCTGACATGATTCACAAACACCAAACACATACAGGACATCAAAGACACACGAAAGCATGACTGCTACGGAGATGTTCTTGCGGGACCTGTTTTGCGCCAGCTACTCTACACCACTGTCTACCTTATCATCAAACGTTCACCCATCCACCACCCTTTACGCCTCTCTCAACCAGGCCAATCTTTACACTCCCCTTCATCTCTTCCCAGGAGGACGGTAGGCACCTCCACTAGCCCCTCCAGCCGTTCCTCGAGTCCCAGGTGGACGGTAGGCGCCTCCAGCCGCAGGACTCTCGCTCCTCTCGCCATCAGCCGGTGCCTGCGGTCGGCGCGGTTGCCATCGGTCTCCAGCGTCGCGCGAGTCCGAGCGGGGCTGCCATCTGTCTCCACCCTCGCGCGAATCCGAGCGAGCAGGCATCGACTCGCCGCCGGCTGCAGAGGCTCCACGAAGCGCGGGCGGCACGTATCCACCTGTCCTCTTTGGTGGCGCATCTTCGGCACCTCGGGAAATCGAGCGAGGCGGCGGCGACTCTCCGCTGGGGGAAGTCAAGCCGCGAAGCGCAGGGGGGATGTAGCCAGTCCTCTTGGGTGGCGCAGCTGCGGCGTCTGGCGTAGCCGCGCGATCGTCCGACACAGCAGCAGCCGCAGGCGACTCTCCACCGGCAGCGGCAGCGGCGGCTTTGGCGGCCTCGCGTTCACGCCAGGTGGGTTTTCCAGCCTGGCCAGTGAGTTGGAGACGAGGTGGGCCACCACTGCTCTCCACCTCTGCCGCTCTGCCAGCGAAGGGGGCAGAAGCGCCGCCTTGCCTCCTCTCCATTCGTCTCCTCTCCGCTTCTTCCTCCCGCTCCATCTGCTTCCGTGCGGCCTCGGCGCGTTCTTGCCTGCGCTGATCCGCCTCTGCCTTGGCCACCGCTTCTTCCTTTCGCTTCTCTTCCGCAGCGCGCTCTGCTTCTTCCGCCTCGCGAGCCTCTCGCTCCTCCTCTTCACGTCGCAGGCGCTCTTCCTCCTCGCGACGGCGGCGCTCAGCCACCTTCTGCTCACGGAATTCACGACGGCGCTGGTCCATCTTTGTATTCAATTCCCGCTCGGCAGCCTTGCGCCTCTTCTCATGATCGGCATGGCGTTGTTCCGTAATCTCGCGCTTGAATTTCTCGTAGGGAGCAACGAGACGGCTAAGACGGTGCTTGAGCGCCACATCCTCCTTGTGCTTCTGTTCCGCAGCCTGCAGTGTTTCCGCCGTGGACACTTCGTAAGCCTTGAGGTCGCTCTCGCGCTGAGCTGCAAAGTCGTCCGGCAAGTGCTTGGCCTCTTCTTTCCGGTAGGCACGCTCCAGATGGTCGATTCTCTTCCCGGTAACACGCAGCTTCTCGCCCATCTCATTCTTCTCGCGCTCCAGTGCCTGCAGCTTCAACATGCGAATGCGACCGGTGTCGAGCTCGTCGATGTCAAGGCCGCTAATGTCCACACCTTTCACGCCCTGTTTCAGCTCCTTCAACTGCTTCTCGGTCTCTTCGCGCTGCACGCGCTTCCGCTCCGCGAACAGTCGACGCTCCTCACGCTCTCGCGTCTCTTGCGCCAGACGCTCCGTCTCCGCGGCCTGCAGTTCCTGCTGCCGGACCTTACGACGCTGCTCCTCCTCGCGTTGCTTGGCAGCCTGAGCGCTTTGAGCATTCTCCTTCTTCTTCTGAATAATTTCACGTCGGGCGAGAAGGTCTGCATGCTCCTGCTCGAACCCAGCCTCGGCACGCTGCAGCGCAGCAAGTCGGGCTTTTTGTCGATCTTCGTTGAAAGTGGGATCCACGTACTGCACAGCGATGTACAAAGACTTGGCGAGGCGAGACATCTGCGAGCGTACAATCTCAGCGGGGGTGCTCTGCAGGCGTTGGACGGAAGCAGCGTCAGATTCGGCGGATCCAGCAGCGGAGCCCGGGTGGAGCGCCTTGGACGAGGAGAAGACGTCTGCATCGAATGTGAGAATGCCAGTGGCGTGATCGATGCGAATTGGCAGGTCGCCCTTCTTGCATCCGTTCATGACGAACTTCTCAATGGTCGCTGCAGTGACCTGGAACGGGTCCGGGAATTGGGCCAGAGCAAGCACATCATCAAGCTTGACGTCCGTGTAGACTTGGGACAATTGCTGGAACAGTCGGGTCAAGATGACTTGCTGGAGCGGTGCGACATATTTGACCATATCTTCATCCGCACCAATCTGAGACAGGATCGGGGAGACTTTCTTGCAGATGACCTTGGGGTGGAAGTCGGTCTCGAGGATGTTGTAGAGTTGGCGGATCTCAGGCCTGGCACGCTGCAGAACATCTCGGTTCAGCAGATCCTTGAACAAGATCGCTCGAGTAGGTGGCGAGTTCATGCCAAGGAGGTTGGTGAGTCGCGCATTCTTGGAGTTCCGCGCCGCTTCGAGGTCAATGAGAGCACCACGGGAGCGGGATGTGCTGATGACCGGGATGGACAGGGCGGACAAGAGCACAAACGACGCCGCTTTGGAGAGGTCGGCCTCGGAGATGTTGGTGGGGTTGTCTTTCTTGGCCGCACCACCGGCAGCGACGGCGCGAGCAGAGACTTGCAACAGGTTGTAGTATCGGCTCCAGGCCGCAGCGTGGAAGAGGTAGTTCTCGCTGACCAGGAAGATACGGGTGAGCTTCTCGAAGTAGTTGGCCATCATGGAGTTGCGAGGCTGCTTCTTTGACAAGCTCAACAAGGTGTGAATGTCTTCGACACTCTTGAAGGCCTCTTGCCACAGTTCGAGTTCGACGGCGACGTTCAGTTGCATGAAGCGAGTGTCGAGGTGGCGTTGCAGCGTGTCGGGATCGCTGAGGTTGATGGCGTGGACTTGTTGGGAATACTTGGCCGCGTTCTGGAGATGGTTGCGGAGCAGCTCGCAGAGTCTGCGGAACTCGGTCTTGCGAGTGTACTTCAAGCAGAACTGGAAGGCCTGATGGGCGGTGGTCTGGTACATGACCTCGAGGCGAGCGTTGTTCTTGAAGATGTCCAAAACGGTGCGGTAGGTCTCCCACAAAAATTTGAGCCAAGGAGTGACGATAGCACGGTCCGTCCGGTCCTTGCTCTGCTCGCCAGAAACGGTGGCGAGGAGGATCGACTCGGGCGTCTCCATGGCCTCGAGATCTCCAACATTGGCCAAGGAGGTATCGGCGTCATCGGGAGTGGCGCCCTGGGCAGTAATCTCATCCGCCTTTTGCTGCGCCTCTTGCACCTTTTGCTCGGCCAGTTCGATGAAGCGTCGGAAGACGAGTTCAATCGTCGCCACATTGGTGTTCTGGCTGGTGTTCTTGTAATTGTAGAGGCCATCCTTGGCCGACTTGCCCTTTCGAAGATCGACGCACAGCTCGACAAACAGCAGCATCACCGGCTCGAGGGCCGCGATGGTGCTGTTGCGGGTGCGCTTGGAGGTGACATGTTCGTGGAGGATGGAGAGGGCGGCCTGTTGCTGGCCCACGCCGATGAGTTCTTGGGCTCGCTTCAACACATTCTCCGGCCGGGTGTGAGGGGGAGGAGGCATGTTGGGCGGCCTGAGGTGGTGATGACGGCAGCGACGCGTTCAACGTCGTGCAGTCCTTCTCGACTCCGGGATGATGAGAGGGGTGATGGGACGGAGTCGAAGGTGGGGTGAGTGGTGTTATTCGTTCCAAAGGGGGTTCACAAGTTTTCTGCAGGCGACTGGAATTTGGTGTGATCTTCGATGGCTTGGCGAAATTGCTGCCTCAGGCATTACTGTTTCTATGGATTTGCCGCGAGGCGTGTACCTTGGTCAAAGTGAGGCTCAAAGTGCAGAGAGTCATGCTACCACTCTATTCCCATGTCACACTTGAACTCGTCACGTCACATGGCACTCGAGTTCACTGCTCGGGATGGATTGGTGATACACCTGCAGTGTTGCATCGTTTTAGTCACGTGCTTAGGGTTTTCTGGGAAGCTTCCTGGACCGAAGGATTGGGACAAGGTTCCGAGCGCTCGGGCCCGCTAGAGAATTGGCCATTCAGTCTAGTCCATCCCGCGCCTGCCGCTTGACAAGGAGATCACTTCATCGCCGCCCCGTCGTCCCACCACGCAACGCATCCTCGCGCCGCATCCAGCGTGTCACCCTTGCCGCCGCATTCCCCGCCCGACTTCGTGTCACCGACTTGACCGCCTTGGCGACCGTTCGACGCCTCCATCTGCCACTAGAGTGGGTTTGAAGGGCGGCCGGACCGTGTTGTGGTGCGCCGAATCTGAGGAGGCCACGACGGCTGGTGCTGTGAGCGGCGTTCGACAAGACATCGGCATACTTTGAGCACGGTAAGCTTGCCAGGATATTGTCTGCGGAGCGTCCATGTTGCACCACCCAGAAGGCGGAGATGGCCGTCAGCGTTTTCGTTTACTGGTCACTAACTGACGCATGTCGCAGGAACACCACACCTCGTGCGCAATACTCTCACGGCAGCACAATCATCCCCCGGTTGCCAGCACATCAACAGCCCCTGACCCTCCATACTACCAGCGGCCACTCACCCTCTTCCTTCAAATCCACACAACTTCACCGCCATCATCGCGTTAAGGACGGAAGGACCGCGCATTCATATTACGCTCGCGGCGGATTCAGACGAACGAACATCACCTCTCTCATCGCGCAGACTACGCAGGACCATGGCGGCGCCGTACGAGATTCGTGCCAACGACACGGGCAAGACTAGGAAGCAGTCCATGGCGGAGCTGAAGCTAAGACGGCTCACCGAATTAAACCAAAGACTGCAGGAGGACTTGAACCGGCGGAGAATACCGGTGTCGGAGGCTGCGATGGAGTACGTGCCGTCACTCTAGCTGCGTCGTTCATCTACTGACGCAAAGGCAGTCTCATTGCATTCACAGACCGTGAGCCCAAGGATTTCATGGTGCCGAGTCGCTGGGGCGCGGTAAGTTGTGCACCGCAATCAACGTCACGAGGCCCTGCTGATCGAGACCTTCAGATTGACCGACGTGAGGATCCATACGCACCCCAGCAAAGCAATGGCTGCTGTATCGTCATGTAAGGGCGCACCATCGACCCATCACTTCACCACTTCCACCACAGTGTGTTCATAGCCGACGGCGTTGGAACGAAAAGATGGAAAGCATGCGAATCTCCTGCTGTTTTGCAATCTTTGGCGTGGATAATAATACAGTCTGACGCAGAGGCCGTCATAACTGGTGGCCTTGAAGTCAGAGCAGGAGGCGTGTATCATAGCGGCGAGAGTTCATGGGACACCGTAGGATGTGGAGGGGCGAGGTTGTCTATGGACATGGCTACGAGATCAGTTCAATGTTAGATTTGTCTTTGTCAAAACATCTATTCGGTCGGAGGTGATTCAGTCGTTCCGTTGAAGACCATGTCCCCTCATTCTCATCTCACGTGAGATGCGTGGATGAATGAACGATGTATGCAAACGGTACAGCCGAATAGCCTGATTGACGAGATGGATGTGGGGAAGGATGAACTCAGGTGAAGGAGCAGAGCGGCGGCGTTCCCCGAGCCAGCCGTAGGTACGAAAGAGGAAGGAACAAAAGCCGGCGCGAAATCAGCCGAGAGATTTCGGGCGAGCCAATCACAGGCGGCCAGCAATCTCCAGCTCGTAGAGATGGTGGGGGCTTGGGGGGGCCCTTCCCGCCTTTTTGCCTTCGAGAGACGAGTGGACGGCGAAAAAAAAGATTCAAACTCCCGCAAGCCAAGCCAGGCACGCTCCGAGCGGTGGGTGGATCGATCGCTCTCATCCCAAAGCCGAAGTGGAGGCAGGCACGACACACACACTCTCTCTCCCCTCGTCCGTCAGCATTGCAACTCACCCTCCCACCTTCGCCATCGCCGTCGCCATCACTCTCGCCACTTCTTGCCCCTCAATCCCGCGACGCCATCGCCCGGCTGCATGCATTGCAGGGATTTGTGAGAAGGTTTGCGGCTGGCGTGGAGGAGGCTTCGATTTGGAAGGTGTGCCAGCACGATTGCGGTGGAGAGACGAGCGCACCACATCACTGCACCACCACCACCAGCCTACCGCCGCCCTCTCTCTCCCTTCATCGACCTCTCATTCGCTCTTGCACAACTGCCTGTGACCCCTCGGCATCGCCATCTACCCTCACTCACCCCCCGAACCCCACCACACCCCACCTCACCGTCGCGACTCGACTACGCGACTCCATCCCACTTCACCTCGGCCAACCTGTCGTTACCAGTCCATTGCAGTCATCAACTCAAGACACCGACGGGTGGATCAGTCGCGACGACTGCAATCACCCTGCACTCAATTCGGGTCCGCCGACAAGTTTGACCGCCGCATTGAAGAAAAACAGCAGCTCGCAACATGCGATTATAACCAACACAACTCCGTCCTTCTTCCTGGTCACACCACACGAAAACTACCCCTCCGCCATCTGACCGCTCCCAAGAATGGACACCTCTTCCTCTCTCGACGCAATGGTGAACATGAACGAGTTGGATGATCTGGGCAATTTGTTCGAGTTTGGAGACATTGATCTCAATTCCATCACCGATGGCGCCTCATACGGCGATCAGTCGCAGCAACAACAGCAGCAGCAACAGCAACATGGAACACACCCCACAACTCCCTTTCAAGACATGAGCCAAGCACCAGCCATGTCTGGCACGGCGGCGCACGATTTCGGGCAGACACCCTTCGCCATCTCTCAGAGCATGGAGTACGCCATGCCTCACGACGGCCGGGTGACGACCAGCAACCCCTACGCTCCCGAAGCAACTTACCAAGCATCTTCGCACGCCTCCTACCTCCCCTACTCGCAAAACTTCAACTTCCAGGCTCAACCCTCGTACCCGTCGAACGCTCATGTGCCACCCACGCCCAACAGCTACGACATGCATGGCGAGACCGGCACATTTATGCACCAACAGTCCGCAATGGACCCGCAGCAGCGTACCATTCTCGAACAGCGATACGGTCTGCGGAAGGATGACGCGATCGCCTTCACCCCCATGGTGTCCCCAGCCGGTACACCGCAGTTCAATGTGCTTCCAGAATACACCACCCCAGGCGCCTACTTCTCTCCCCTCACATCTCCCATGCTGCACGGCCAGACTCACCAGCAGAACCAACTTCAGCAGACTCCTCACCAAACCCCTCAGCAACGCGCCTACACTTCCCATCCCAACACCGCTCCAGGCTCCCACACCAACTCGCCAATCGATTTTGGTTTGGACATCGACATGCTCGACAACCTCACCCTACCCGACTCCGCGGGCCCCAGACCGCGCAGGACGAAGCGGAAACCGGCGGCGCCGCGGTCTGCGACTGGCCTCGCGAAAGCCAAGCAGAGCCCTGCACAGACCGCGCAGAAACGAAAGTCTATGCTTTCGTCTTCCGGTCAGTCGAGAGGCGAAGAAACAATCGCATCCCAGCCTCTCTCAGCCGGACTTCAAATGCCACACCAATTCGATTCCTCGGAACCGGAAAGCATCAGTCCGGAGCCGTTGGGCGAAAGCGCCATGGGCCCACCGCCTCGCCCAGCATCCAGTCGCACTCATTCGCCCGCAATCGCGGCCCAACAGAAGCCGATCGGTGCTGCTGCGACACCCAAGTCTTTGCTGACTATGCGTGGGGTGCAGCCGCCGATATATGGCCAACAAACTGCCAGTCCGGGGTCCAAGGATTCCAACAGCTTGGACGACCTGTCACTTCCAGAGGCGGCAAGAGCGCAGGCTCGAATCAAGCCTTCGTTGTCTCAGATTGATACCCAAGTCGATCCCGACGCAACAGACGACCTGACACCGCAGAACTCGGCGCGCAAGACGCCCAAGTTGGGACCGTCCAGCACACCGGCTTCCGGACGGCTGGGTTCCGCCGTGACATCTCCCAATCTGACCGGATCTCCCATGACTGCATGTACGCCGTCACTCGCGCTCAAGGACAAGAAAGATGCGAGAAGTGGAAGCGGGAGTGTAAGTCGCAGTAAAAAGCGTGGCAGCATCAGCGCCACCGGCTCCCGCTTGGTCTCGCCCGCCCTCGTGCCGAAGATAAGTCCAAGCATCAAGCCGCTACTCCCAGAAGGCAGTACGTATCCATCTCTCATCCTGCCCGTCAACGGCCCAGCTAACACATCTCACAGCACCCCTCAACACCGCTACGCAAGCCATGCTCCTCGCCTCTAAGTCCAACTACCAGAACCTCCTCGAAGGCAACCACCTCCCCGGCGTCAACTACCCCGACTCCCTCTCCACCGGCCTCACCTCCAAACGCACGTCGCACAAAGTCGCCGAGCAAGGCCGGCGCAACCGCATCAACGAGGCGCTCAAGGAAATGCAAAGCCTCATCCCCAAACCGCCTCCCGCGTCGAAATCGCCCGGCGATGCAGCCGACGCAGCGGCGGACAGTAATGGCGATGCGAACGCCACTGCGACGGACGGAGATGGCGCGGGGGATGCGAACGGTAATGGCAAGGATGGCGACAACTCGGCCAAGAGTAATAATAGCAAGGCCGCAACGGTCGAGCTGGCGAACGATTACATCAAGAAGATGCAGAAGGATAGCGCGGCGACGAGTGCCGAGGTGGCAATTTTGCGGCGGGAGAATGAGGAGTTGAGGAAGCGGCTTCTGGAGAGGGAGAGCGGGAGTGGGAGTGAGGCGGGTGCAGTCGCGAGTTCGGGAGATGGAGAGGAGTGAGGGATGGTTATCACGACGCGATCTGGGATCTATCACAACATGTGGGAGGATTTCTCCAATGCAAGCGCGTGCAGACGGCGTATTTGGGATTTTCAGGGGACTTGCGTTGCCCCTTTTCGGTTTGTCCATGGCGGAATTGCGTTGCTTTCAGGGCGGGCAGGCAGGCACCACAGCACGGCGGGACTGAATCTGATGATGGTAAAGGGACACTAATCTGGGATATACACATGGCGACATACAAACAGACGGGATGGACGGAGGGTTCTTTGACTTTGAGATACCTACCTATGATGGGATTCATGTCGATTAGTACGGTTGCGTCAGCTTGTTTATACTGCTCAGTGAAGCACAGTCAAGCATGCCTTATGCAGCAACCAACCGCTGCATACAACACACCTAACCCAACTCTGCCTCACCGCTCCACCGCCCTCAACCGCACCCACACCGCCTTCCGCTCCCAAATCGGCCAACTCAACTGCTCCAACCACTCCCCCGTGCCCGCCATCCTCCCGCCATCCATCTCGAGATCGAAATGCCACAGCACCTTGGCGAGGATGAGGCGCATCTCTGCGTACGCCAGCGTGCGGCCGATGCAGTTGCGCGTGCCGAGGCCGAAGGGCGCGAAGGCGGCTTTGTTGTCGTTTTCCGCCGCGGCGGCGTCGAGCCAGCGCTCTGGCAGGAAGGTGTGGGGGGCGTGGAAGTTTTGGGGGGAGGTTTGCACTGCGACGTGGTTGGGGTGGATGATTGTCTGGATTGTTGTTGTGTTGGTTAGTTTGGAAGGGGGGGAAGTGATTGGGCAAGGGGAGGAGTGCGTACGCCTTCGGGCAGGTATTTGCCGCCTACAATTCCGCCGCCTGGAGGGGTTATTCGTGCCGTTTGGGTGGGGACGGGCGGGTAGAGACGCATGGTTTCTTCCAGCACGGCGAGGAGGTATTTCAGCGAGCTGACGGAGAAGAGGGTGATGTCTTCGGAGGATTTGAAGGTGCTGCGGATCTCGGTGGTGAGTTTGGCTTTTGCGGCGGGATTGGTGAGGAGGAAGTAGGTAGCCCCTGCTCGGCGACATGATGGGTGTCGTTAGTATGTGTGTGGTTATGACTCTTCATGAGCCCCAGGTATATGGAGAATCTCACCACTCAGAGCAGTAGACGACGTCTCTGATCCCCCGAGCACCAGCACGGCCGCATTGCTGAGCATTTCGGGCTTGCTCATGCCTTCGCCGGCCTTGTTGTCGTCGACGCTCTTGATTATGATGCGGTCCCAAAAGTCGCCTCGCGCGCCTCCGAGCTCCATGCGCTGCTCGAGTCTGTCGCCTGCGTAGCTGTAATTGCGTCTTCGCATGTCATGAACCACCTGGGGGACGAAGAAGCGCTCCAGGAAGCCTAGGTAGACGGGGGAGGGTCAACGAGGAGAAATCATGTGGGTGGGAGATGCAACATAGAACATACCCAGCCCTTGCTGACGTAGAACGCTGGTCATGTGGACAAACTTGACGGCGCCAGCGATGGCGGGGATCCACTCGTGCAGGCTCCTGTTTTGCAAGGAGTGGAAGCTCTCTCCGAACCCCAGATCGCCAATCACGTCGAACGTGACCATGTTGTACCTTGGGGGCGCAGTCAGTGATCTGCGGTGGGCAAGAAGGGTGAGACCTGGTCTGGGCTCACCACGCGGTCATGTCCGTCGACTCTCCGACCCCGGCCTTTTCCCCGAGTCGATCAATGAGAAGATTCACGTGGGGCAGGATGTGGGATTCCTGATCACGCAGCCCCTTTTCCGAGAAGGCATGCGCGAGTAAACGGCGGTATCTCGCGTGGCTGTGTATCGACGAGGATCAGTGAAGTGGTCGGAGATGCACAGGGAACGCAAGGGGACAACGCACTTGTCTTTGCGGGCGGCGAGAATGCTTGCCACACCGTTGGGCGGCAAGGTCATGGTCTCCTTTGCGAATTCCGGCTTGCCAGGCACGTGGGCGAGCACATCCTTGATAGCCTGAGGGTCGGTGAAGCTGAGCCGATTGGGGCAGGTTCGGAGTTCGGGACCATATTGACGGTGCAGTTCGGCGACGCGGATTGCTGCGGTGCCGCGGAAGACGCTGTAGGAGAAGGGGAGATCGGAGATTCGCCAAAGTAGCGGGCCGGGATAGGAGCGGAGGGGGTGCAGGAAGAGGTTGTAGAAGCAGCGGAACAACAGGTAGAAGACAGAGGTTACAAGGAAGATGGAGGTGGTTAGGAGAAGGATGGGAGAGAGGAGGTGTGGAAGGGGGATGGAAGACAACATGTTGGCGAGAGAGAGGGGGAGAGAGAGAGAGAGAGCGTTTGGCAGAGATGGAGAGAGAGGAGAAACAGGAAAGAAGACAAGGCATGTCTTGATATACGCTACAGCACCATCCGCCTCACAGACTGTTGCTGACGCGAAATACAATCAGCCTACGTCGGAGGGTCGCATGGGCAAGGCCGAAAGGGAAAGAAGACATGCCCCGGAATGCGACACGTGAAGTCTCCACCACAACCCTAACTTACCTAACCTTCAACCTTTTCATCATTGGCGGCCAAGGCGCACATCTGCAACCATCTGCTCGGCCTCTCTGCTGTCGAGCTGTGCAGGGACAGAGGCCATTAAGATGTCCTCCATCCGGCCCATGACGCCGATGGATCTGCTCAAATTCAACCCGTGCAACCTCGACCATCTGACCGAGACGTACAACATCGGCTTCTACCTCGACTACTTCACCAAATGGCCGGAGCTGTGCAAGGTGGTCGAGGGGGAGAATGGGCAGGTGGAGGCGTACAGTGGGTTTCCCCATCATCTCGCTGCGCCATCTCCATACTGACGTCCAGCAACAGTCTTGGGCAAGGTGGAAGCCTCGCCCTACCCGGCGCCCGTGGAGCCGTATGACCCGGGCTTGAAAATCTACCAGAAGAAATTCCCCAACTATCTGCCGTGGCATGCGCACATCACCTGTCTCACCGTCGCCCCCTCTGCCCGCCGTCTCGGGCACGCCACCCGGCTCAGTGTAACGCTGGAGGAGGTGGGCGATGCGCAGAATGCGTGGTTCGTCGACCTCTTTGTGCGCGTGGATAATGTGGCGGCCATCAAGCTGTACAAGAACATGGGGTCCGGCTTGCCCATCTTTCTACCTGTTTGCATTGGCTGATCTGTTTTTGCCAGGTATTCAATCTACCGCCGAATCACAGACTATTACAATGACGGCAGCGATGCGTACGATATGCGCAAGCCGCTCAAGCGCGACAAGCAGCGCAAGACGGTGCGGGCGAATGGGGAGAATATCAAGGTGCATCCGTCGGAAGTGTGGTGAGCAAGCAGTCAGCACCATGCTGTAGTACTTCAGCCGCAATCGGGACGATCGTACGCCGGGCCTGTCAGACGTTGGAATCTGGCACGCCGCAACAGGAAGCAGAGCTACTCAAGGCCAGGCGATGGATCAGTGTGGAGCTGGCGACACGCTATCAGCGACACAATGCTGTCCATGCAGCCAGCAAGACGCAGATGGAGGAGACGAACTGCTTGCTCCCAGACGTTGCAGTGGATGAACGCGAAGCTTGCGATTGGCCAGAGGAGGTGATTCACCACTCCTTGTTCATGTAGCTTGTGGACGAGATGTACCATCTCCCTTGCAACAAGTCCCGACGAGCCGTGAACTCGATCTAGGACACGCTATTCTATACATTTAACGTCTGTGAGAACCGCCAGGCCGTCAGCGAGCTGAAGGGGAGGAACACTTCTTCTAATCCGTAGCCTGGCCTGCCATTGGCCGATGCTGCACCGCCACGGGGAAAGTGGCGGCGTCTGGGGTTGGTCCAGCCGTCCAAGTTGGTTGACGTGCGCCGGCTTCATGCATGCAGCTCCTGACCGTCAGCAATCAAGCATTCTAATCCTTCTTTCTCCCTCCTTCTCCAACCTCGTCATCTTTTACATAGCATCCTTCCACCGTGAAATCACCACATTCATCTATTCGGCGGAATCCTCAGCTACATCCATTGGCCTTCGTACCGTCCACCCGCGGCGCATATCGATCATTCAGCTAGATGATATCCTGATAACACACTCGGTGTCGAAACCCCACCACCACGGCATGTCACCTCCCTCATCCTCTAGCGTATGAGAACCGCCTCCCCGCACACCATGCCGGCGCGCAACCCCCTTCCCAAACGAGCCGACAGCACCAACGACTCCAAAGCCGCCATCCTCGTCGTCGTCATCCTCGCCATCCTCCTCTTCCTCGCCATCCTCGCCTACATCGTCCTCAAAAGCCTCCGCAAGCGCCACACCACCCCCACCTACGTCCCCACGCAATTCCTCAAGCGCAAATGGGAGGCGTGGAATCCCGCGCGCATCGTCTCCAAGGGCAACTACAGCGCGCGCTTGCAGGAGAATGATTCAGTGCCGACGCTGCATCCGCGGAGTGCGAGGACCAGCACGTATAATTTGGGGGAGGTGGAGCAGCAGGGCGGGGTCGATAGGCATGCGAGCGTGCGCTCCGTCCTCACCCTCCCGGCGTACTCGCGGTCGGTGCGCGAGAATGAGCGCGTGCTGGGGAGGGAGGGGGAGCGAGGTGGTGTAGATACCGTTCTCGAACACCCGGAGACGGTGGAAGAGGAGGAGCAGCGGCGCGAGGGGGAGATGGAGTCGCTGTATCAGATTCGAGTGCAGAGAAGGCAGGAGATTGAGGAAAGGAATGCGCGGCGGGAGGAGAGGAGGGCGGCGCGGGCGAGAGGGGATACTGTTACGCTGGAGAGGCTACGACGCGAGGCGGCGCAACGGGCGTCGGACAGGGAACAAGGTGGTTCGGCGGCGATGATCGCGCAGCACCAATCGCGCTCGCGAGATCGCAGAGTGAGTAGCGTGAGCTATGCGGAGCTGGGCGTCGCTCGCCACGATGGCACGCGCATCCGCGCCAACTCGAACGACAGCGACAACAGACCTCTTCTCGACTCCGCGGCCAGCATGTCAGGCCGAACTGCCACCTCCACACAAGGTCGCGGTCGCTCGGCGAGCTCCGTGCTCTCCGTCTCCGATGCATCAGACTACGAAGGCGAGCTCCCGCCCTTCGCCCCCGCAACAGATTTGGAGACTGTCACATTGAACCAAGTGCATTCTCGCAATGGCTCGCGAACTCATACGCCTTTGGCCAACCGCAGTCGCGCATCCTCATATGGTCAACTGCAACAACCTCCACCCCTCGATACCAGCGTGGACATTGCCGACCACAGCATAGTCCCCAGTGCGGAACCGCCATCATATCAGTCCCCGGATGGCTTCGAGGATGTTCCGCCGTACACTTCCCCCGTGGAAACTCGGCAGCGGATTTCTACCATACCGGAGTCGTCGCAGCAAGCGAGTGCAAGACAGACGAGCTCACAGACCGGAGCACCGATGCTGCCGCAGTTTGAACGACTCCCGAGTATACGCATTGCTGCTGCCACGCCAGTTGAGCCTGCTACGGGCGTGGAGTGGCCTTCGCCGAACAGGGATTCGCGGCGGTGATGGCCTGCAAAATATGAACGATTTAGCGTATTTGATAATGTCAGCGTAATGTATTGAATGAATGTCCGTCTTCCAGTTGTCTATTTTCGTGGTGCCGAAATGGGTGCTTCTCATCGGTGCAAGCCTTGTCAATGGCGGGCTTTGCCAAGCCGACAGCTTCGAGGCTGCAAGCTTCCTCGACGACACTTCATCCTGCTGCACGGCAGCTTTCATCCTCCCTTGCCGTCCATTTAGTAATTCCCCCTCCTCAATGTCGCGTTCTCTTTTCACACCCTTCCGGCGGAAACCGCCGTACATCTGCCCCCAATGTCTCCACACCCGCAAACCTCTCCCTTCCCCAATCCCCCGCCGCGCCTTCCACCTCTCCTCCCCCCGCGAACAGCAGTCTAGCAACCTCCTCGCCCTCCTCGAAACCCGCGGCTTCATCCACCAAATAGCCGGTGACCGCCACCTCCTCTCCACCCTGCTCTCTCGCCGTAAACTCCGCTTCTACGCCGGTGTAGACCCCACCGCCCCCTCGCTGCACCTCGGCCATCTCCTCCCGCTCATGCTCCTCTTCTGGCTCACGCTTCACGGTCACCAAGCCGTCTCGCTCGTCGGCGGCGCCACAGCGAGAGTAGGCGATCCCAGCGGCCGGCTCACGGCTCGTGTGCAAACTGCAGCACACGTGCGGACATCCGATGCGAAGGCCATGTTTGCGCAGACGGAGGCGTTGTGGAGGAATGTGAGGGAGTGTGCGGCGCGGCGGGGGTGGAGGGAGGAGGAGATGGGCGCGTACGAGGTGTTGGATAATGGACGTTGGTTGGATGAATTGGGAATTCTGGACTTTTTGCAGACGATGGGAAATGGGATGCGGCTTGGGGCGATGTTGGGTCGGGATACGTGAGTGAGTTCCTACTGGCTTCGGTGCTGTGAGTATTCATTGACGTTTTGTGGACAGGGTGCGGAATAAGATGGAAAAGGGCGATGGCATGTCTTTCGCCGAATTCACTTATCCCCTCCTTCAGGCCTGGGATTGGTGGCATATGTACAACACCCTCGGCGTCCAAGTGCAGATTGGCGGAAGCGATCAGTATGGGAATATCGTGGCGGGAATGGACGCCGTGCGCTATATTGCGCAGACCCATCAGGACGCAGACACTCGAGCTCGCTGGCTGGATGGGGAGGGAAGGTTGAATGAAGACTTGGCTCCCATGGGCCTGACTGTGCCGCTGTTGACAACGGCAAGTGGAGAGAAGTTTGGCAAGAGTGCTGGGAACGCCATCTGGCTTGACCCAAGACTGACGTCCCCGTTTGATCTCTACGGAGTAAGTCGAACACCCTAGCTCTTGGCCCCTAGAAAAGCAAGACTAACGCGCCCCAAGTTCCTCCTGCGCTCCTCCGACGCCGACGTCGAGCGCTACCTCAACCTCTTCACCTTCCTCCCGACAGACATCATCGCATCCACCATGTCCGCACACAACCTCGACCCAGGCAAGCGGAAAGCCCAACATCTGCTCGCAAGCGAAGTCCTCGAGCTCGTGCATGGCCGAGACGAAGCGCTCAAGACTCGTGCGCAACATGAAGCTCTTCGTAATCCGACTTTGGCTTCGTTTTCATCGCCCTCGTCGTCCGATGCTTCGCAAGCAGAGACTTCCTCGAACGAAGCCTGGATCCGCTTGCCGCAGTCTCTACTTCTGGGCGCTCCGTCTTACGCTCATGTCTTGTTTCACGCGGGACTAGCACCATCCAAGTCCGAGGGTGCGAGGATGATCGCCAAGGGAGGTGTCTACGTGGCATCCTCCGAGGCGTATGCGAACGTCGACAACGGTGAAAGACAACAGGAAGTCGTGTGGACGCAGATCAAAGATGCAAAGGCTGCGGTCGTCGACACGGCGCTCCTTAATGGCTTGCTGATGCTGCGGCTCGGCAAGTGGAAAGTGCGGGTAATTCAGATGGTGCCGGATGATCAGCAGGGTGTGGATGCCGGTGTTGCGTCGTCTGCGCGAACGGCTCAAGGCTAGCTGTTCTCCAAAGCAAAATCATGCGGCTTAGCATTCCGCCCTCATCGAAGCCTCGGCCGGCCGCGTCTAGTAGACAATCTCACCGCCTTGCGCACCCGCGGACTACTGCTCTCACTCCCACTGCTCTCCTCCGTCCCCGCACCATGGCCTTCACTGTCCTCACTCTCCGACACATCATCATCACCCTCCAACTGATCCGGCTCGTACAATTCGTCATCTTCAGCCTCCGCGTCAGCATCCATGGGCTCCGAGGCAACGTCGTCGAAAATGTTAAATGCCGCCAACCGGTCGCCTGCGGCGCGCCCAATGTCCTGCTTCGCTCGCGCTGTGCCTGCGTGTTGCACCGCCGTTGCTGTAGCTAGCGATACGTGCTTCCGGGGTGACGAGGACACGGGTTTTCTCGGCGAGGATGTCGCACTCCTCGCGCCGCCATCTTCGTCGTCCATACGCCGTTTCTTCACAGCCACTACGCGTGCGATTCCTTTCTTTTTCCCTTTCCCGCCTTTGCGGTGCAGTGATGATGACACCGCCTTTGCCCGCAGATTGCCGTCTTCGTCCTCGCTCTCCGATACTTCGAAGAAGCCCTTGACCAGATTCGCGTTGCGCACGTGCGGCGCCGACTTCTTCGCCTTCTTGCTCTCCTGCAGCTGCTCGTTGGGAAATTTGGGCCCGTAGTTGAAGAGCAGCTCTTTGCCCGCGGGGATGTCGCGGCCGGCATATAGGGCAATGCGATGCACAGTATTAACCATGATGATGCGAGGGTAGAGGTTCGCCTTCTCCGGGCGTGCATGGTTGATGAAGCGCATCTTATTCCCAAAGTACGTGCTGTCGATCTCCTGCTCTTTGTTGAGGGAAAAGAGGTAGCTGAGGCGCTGGTGTTCGTAGACGGCGCCGCGCCGCTCGCCTTCGCTCTTCGTGATGATCTCGCCCTTGTACTCGCCTACAAACTCGTTCTCGCGGATGTGCTCGCATGCGAAGAGGCCCAGGCCGTGCACGCCGCTGTCGCCAAGGAGGGTGTGTTTGGGGATGTTGCGCTGGATGTTGGCGTTGCGGCAGCGGCCTGCGCGCTCGTCGTGGCGGTGGATGGGATCAACAACGTCACAGACACCGCACGAGGCGCAGAGATCCGGGTCGCATTCTCTTCCTAGCTGCCAGCAGACGCAGTTGGCATTCTCGAAACACACGTTGTGGTCTTTCCGCTGCCCGCAAGCGCAGCCTTTGAATTTGCGTGTACAGTTTGAAGGACAGCTGCAGGTCTTTTCGCACGGGATTGCTTTCGCATAGCAGCTGCATTTCGCGGTCTCGCAGGATGTGCCGGGGTGGAAACACGGATAGAATGGTCCACGACTCTCCGCTTCGTGCAGATATCCACTCCAGTAGTTTGCGTCTTTTTGCTTCCTTCTGAGTGCGGGATCAGGTAGCGGGCTGATCGACTGCGCTTCCGGCGGAAACTCGACCCGAGTCCGGTAATTCACCTTGAATGGGTGCACAATGTCTGTGGCGACGGCGGTGTCGACCGAGAAGATAGAGTCATCATCGCTCTCGCTCCCCCCGTCCGCGGTATGTTTGAACTGGCCGTGGTATGGGCAGTTAAAGCGTAAGCACATCCTGCATGTCAAACCGTTGTCCGAGGGCTGCAATGCCACGCCAGGAGCTGCTTCTGGGTGTGATTCCAATGCACCGCTTCCGGAATGTTGTCCTTTGCGTGCATACTCGCAGCGTCGAGCGATATGCCAGAGACTGAATTTGGTCATCTTCTGAAACATTTCGCACAACACCGCGGCCCGGCCCAGTTTGGCCGGTGTAGATGGAGGCAGAGAGTTGAGTACTTCGTTCCATCGATCGCTGCTCCGTTTGAAGTCATCCTTGCAAAATTGATCGCGTAGTGCATAGGCTCTGAGCACATCTGTGTCCGTGATGGAGGCCAGGTCCAACTTAGGCACTAACAGGAAACGAAGCACATCCGCCCAGGAGCACTCTAGATCCACTAGAGCACTCTCAACATAGCGTTCGTATTTCTGCGCCTGCAACAGCACCAGTAGCTTCCGCTCGCGGTCTGCGATGTCGACTCTGTATTGCCCATTCAGGTTCGCAGCGTCGGCCAAGTCGAATTCGTCGCCAAAGTAAGGCCAGCAGTGCAGATGGATCACGTTGGGCGCTAGCAGGTTATTCTTCAGATTGACATAGTGCGCGTAGCCAGGCACATCTTGTGTGTTGGTATTGAAGTTGGTGTAGGGAGTGGCCAGCCAGGTTATGGGCTTGTTATTATCCCACGTCATTCGCTGGACGCCCCAGACCTCGTCGTCAGGCGTTGAGCCTTTTTGCGGCGTGCGTAGCTGGAGAAGTTTCAGGTTGGCAAAGAAAGATGTAGGAGGGTCAGGATTGGTGGCATGATCCTCATTCGCGAGCCGGGCGCGATTCAAAGCAATGCCAGTCCAGTACTCGTTGTCTCCTTGCAGTTCCTCCAGGTACTGTCCGAGAATCTTCTCCACGCGATTTGCGAGGGGAAGGTGTGAAAGGGTGTCTACTGAGATGGTAGGAGCGGACGGCGGAATCACCTTCGGAGCGGGTGGCGTGGTAGCCTTCCTCGTCCCTAGGAACGGAAGGCGGCTGAATAGGCGTGTTGGCGAGATGGCGGTTGGCTCATCGTCACTACTAATCTCGATGACTTCATTGAAGCGGCTCATCTTGAGTCGACAAGGGTCGTGTCTGACGCCGGAGATGTCACTCGAAAGCCGTTCATGCTCAAAAGGTCGTCACGTGTCCGGAATGGCGGGACACTGCAGGGCTTCCCATAACATGAACCCGCTATGAGGTCCGTATCATTCGTTTCTGCGGCATCGTTAGCTTGGCATTGGCCGCCGAAATGGATGTGACGGCTCAGAATGATCAAACTCACGCGCTTTCTAGTCGACTCGCGGTGTTGGAACGAATTGTTGGGCCGTGCGGATTTCGTGTTTTGAGGCAAGTTGAAAGTGAAAAGACGGAGAAATGAAAGAGCGAGTTCGTAACTTTCGTGGAGATTCTTGAGAAGCGTGAAAGGCAGTGGCGGTGATGTTTGCGACCGAGAGACAATGCGGGTGTTGTTGTCTTGGGATGAATTGCAGTCCGCTGATGTTGGCCTGTGCGCAGTCGCAGACCGTTTGGGCAAGTGCGTCCGACTCGCCAGCCTGGCGGCAAGGCGGCTACACACCCACTAGATATATATTATAGCAGGTCTTGAATTGAGTCCGAGGCTCTCTAAGGCTTGTTACGAGGGAGATGGTACATCTAGCGTACTAGCTACTGAATATATAGTATAGCAGGAAGGCCCTGAATGAAGTCCGAGGCTCGGCAAGGCTTGTTGTAAGGGAGATAGTACAATCCAACCACTTCTTCTAGCACGTGGCCTGGCCTGCACTTCACTTCTCGACAAACGATTCGTGATTTATCGCTACGATTCTTGATTCAACGCTCATCTGAACTGACATATCCCCCTTTAGTCTATGTCTTCTAATGACTCCGTTGCGCTCGCCGTGTTGCCACCATAACTCTCCGGCACCATGACCCCGACAAGACACGTTCCCAGCATGTTCTCCCAATTCACCCAGGGATGCACCTCCATAAACAGCTTTGTTCCATCTCTCCCCGCGGCCTTCATAATTTCTGCTTCTCCACCCGGGTGAAAAGGGATGTAAGGCGTGATGTTGTACACCTTGCCCTGCCAGCTGCTCCACGCCGGCTTCCCCTTACGCCCCGTCATGGATTTCAGCTGACTGGGTGTCACACGCTGGAATGTGCCGACGCCGCTCAGATTGCCCTTGCGCGTCAGCGCTGCCCAGTCCATGGGTGAGTGTCCAGGGGCGAGCAGGACTTTTCCTCGAGCATTGGGAGTCGCCACGGCACCGTTTGGTGACAGTGAGCTGACACGCTGTTGGCTGTTGGCTGGGATTCCTCTGTTCGGTAGCGGCCCGTTCGATGGGATCCGCAGTGAAGATGTAGAGCTCGGTGGCAGCATGGATGCTGGGCGAGCCGGCGGCGGCATGAGGCCTTTGCCACCCGGCGCGCTTGAGGGGGTAGAAGTGCGTGATGATGGTTCGACACGCTTGGGGATGTCGTGCGAGAGCGATGTTGCAGCGCTCTGCGGTAACACTCTCTGTTTTGCCTGTTGTGGGCTCGAATCTCCATTCAGGGTGAAGGCTGGAATAGCGACATCGTCCTCTGTAGCGGAAGCCTTTGGAGTGGTTTCGCCCTCGAGTTCCTCGTCCACATCCTGAACCATTTTCGGTGCTTTGATCTCTTCCTGGGAACGCTGTCCAGTAGTTGATCGAACGGGTTTCCCCTCACTGCCACGTCCCATCTCGCGCCGCTCCGGTGGCGACCACCACTGCGGCAAAATTCCAATTACACTTCTGCCATGTCTCGCGGCCAGGTATACCAGTGAAGATATCAGAATCGCAAGGCTCCAGTACGCCATGTGTTGTTGCGCGAGTCGTCGCGAGCAGCTCTTGTGCTCACTAGATTTTTGGCCGCTTACGAAGGGAGCGATTTGAGATGTTGCTCGGAGCCATGCTGGACGAGTCAAGGCGCCATGGCGAATATTATTAAAGCGGGAATATTCTCTGTGGTGAGGAAATCGTGATCTGCCTGTTTGCAAGCGCGCTTTGTGTCGGATGGAGTGTGTGTTGGAGCCTCGAGCATAGAAACATCATCGAAGTGATGCAGCGCTGGCTCTTCAAAACATGAACCCTAACCCTAAGCCATGACTTCAGACCTCGAACTCGTCATGCAATACTCAACTCTGCCTCGTGAACTTTGCGAGACAGACCGTGACTTTCGACATCGTGACATCTCGTACTCCGACAACAGTACATACACAACCCTCCAAGATGATCACAAGAACACTCCTCCCCCGCGCCCTCCGACACCTCAACTCCCGCGCCTCCCCAAGCAGAGCATACCTAACCAGCACGCGCACCCGCATCACCATCCCACGTCAAAGCCGCTCAGCATCCCACACCCCGCCGCAACTCCTACGCTGGCTCTCCTCCAAATCCCTCGCGGACGAGAAAATCGAAGAAATCACCGAGCTCTTCGCCACCGCGCAGGACGAGTTTGAAATCGCCATGGAGGAGACGGAGAAGGTGTCCGTGTATGCGGAGGAGGACCGCAAGGCGGCGCGCGAGGAGCTGAGTCGCGTGCAGGAGGCGTATGCGCTGGTGGTGGAGGGGCCGGACGAGCAGTTGGCGAGTGAGGTCAAGACGAGGATTGGGCAGCGGATACGGGAGTTGGAGCAGGGCGTGGCGAGGATGGAGGAGATTGCTATGAACCAGGATTAGGGTCTTCACGCTGCAAAGACAAAAGACGAAAGCCTTTGGATCGACCGGGTCGGTGGGCAAGGCGAGGATAAGAAGCGACGTCCCGCCTGCTCAGGAATACCACGGATCTCCTTGACGATTGTATCATTCACGTAATCGCGAAGCGGTGAGAAACACGCGACATGGGCCCGGAGGTGGGTATAGACGGCGAGGTAGCCCTACATGGCAGGATGCACAATACCATGTACAGTACGATGTACAGTAGCCAGCAATGGCCTTCGCACCGGCAGCGCTGCCCTGCGATTGTAGACTAGCAGCGAATGTGACCAGCAAAACTTCTTGTAGACTTGTGATGAGTTTCGTCGTAGTATCTGCAACTCAATCGCAGGCTATTGACCGGGTGCCCCTCGAGGCATAGCTGTATTTAGCCTGCCATCGAGCAAAACCACCCAAACCATGACGTGCGCCACTTTTCCAGCACCATCGCCATTGTACCATACGACTCTTGCTTCCCCCCACACCATCCGTGATCCCCTTAAAACTTCTCAAACTTCTTCACCTGCTTTCCTGTCCGGGGCAGAACGCGCAGCACATTGAAACGGACCTGGATTGGAATGTCAGTCATGTCACATACTATCATGCGGCGAATCAAGAACACACCGTCTTGCTGAGAGGTCGGCATTGGCCCACGGTGACCTGGTCGCCGGGCTCGACACGGAAAGCCGGGCTCACGTGTGCGGCCAAGTTGGTGTGTCGCTTCTCGTATCGGGAGTACTTGGGGATGAAGTGAAGGTATTCGCGGCGGATGACGATTGTGCGGTGCATTTTGGTGGAGACGACGGTGCCGGTGAGGATACGGCCGCGGATGGAGACGAGGCCGGTGAAGGGGCACTTCTTGTCTGTGGGAAGAAAGTGATGTTAGTACCAGATTTTCCAGACCGCCGAGCGCATCAAACTCTTCAGTTGCAACGCAAGATGAAGCCCAACCGCTGCGCACGAGAGGACATACCGATGTAGTTGCCCTCGATCGCGAGCTTGGGCGTCCTGAAGCCCAAACCGACATCCTTATACCATCGTCGGCCACCCTTTCCGATACCCTGGGATTTCGCGGCCTTGGAGCCCCTCTTGTGGTTGAGGAAGATGTGAGGTTGCTTTTGGAAGGCACGTTCGCTCTGGACAGTCAACTCGGTCGCCATGGTTGCGGGTGTTGAGAGAGTGTGACGGTGGTGGGAGAAAGTCGACGACGTGCAGTCTGCAGTTTTCTCGGGTGTCCAGAAATTCGCGAGTGGGAATCTCGGACTCTTGGCGTTGGCGGGTACGGGCCGTGCCGCGGCGTCGGAGGCAACTTGGCCGATGTGTGTAAACAAACGTCAACCCCGCAACAACGACACGCGATCTTGACTTTTTCTCTTACAGCACCGTCCAATTCGACTCCACGCATCGGCGCACTCAGCCAAAATGGAGTACGTGGAGGACAAGGAGAACACCTTGCCTCAGACGTCGAGCGACCCGCTACTGTTCAAGACTGGCACTCCCTCACCCCGGAGAGCGGCGCGGAAAGGTCGCAGCAAGAGCATTGGCCCAGGAGGATTCGGCGAAATCCACGATACCGCCAAACTAGACGCGAAACAGGTAGCGAAGAATCGACGCAAGTCGACCTATGTCCCGGCGACAAAGGCTATCATCTCTAGCGATGTGGAAAAGGCGGAGCGACAAGCGGCGCGCCGCAAAACCCTAGCGAATCGACGCGTCTCTTTTGCGCCAGAGGCCACTTTGCATACCTGGGACGTGGTGGAATTCATGCGCGATCAGACCACATCTACCGACTCCTCCGATTCGACGCGTAGGACCTCCAAGGGTTCTCCGTTCAAGAGAGCAACCACCCCCGATTCCGAGATGGAGGACGAGGACGACGAGGATTCGGTGCAGGTGTCTAGTTCACCTGCGCAGCCGAATAGGGCACGGCGAAACTCTGGCTTCCCAGCGCAGCTCATGAGCGACTCTGATGATGGCTCGAGCGATGCCGAGGAAGGCAGTGAAGGATCTGAAGACGATGCGCCTGGATCGGATGACGATACTGGCACGGCCATGAGTCTCGACCTCGACAATGTCACCGCACAATCTGTCGGTGCAAGTGAAGGAAACAGCACAGATTCGAGCGGTCGTCTGGAAGCTGCATTGCGGCAGGCCGCGGAGGCGGCGGGTACTCGTGGGATCGAATACGATGAATACGGCGATGCTTCTATGGAACTGGCCGGCGATGAAGTCACGAATGCTTTTAAGGCGTGGACAGAAGATCGTGCGGCGAATCAACCACCTGGTTCCGCATCTCTGGATCAAGAAAACGTCAATCCGTTCTCGCCAGCGTTCAAAGCACAGCTTATCTCGGGTGTCGTCAACCGTCCAGCAACTGTCGAGGAGGAGAACACCGGTGACTTGAGCATGGACATGACTCGGGCGGTGGGTGGGATCATTCGACAACCTCCTGCAATGGAAGCCGAGACCTCGCTTCTTGGTGATGGCACAATGGATCTGACTCAAGCTGTTGGCAAGATACAACAGCAGCAACAGCAAGCGCCATCGCCTCGTGGCCAGAAACGCCGCAGATCGACGAACGATGTGGGCTCTCCAGCAGCTGCAGTGTCTTCAAATCAATCGAAACGTCGAAGATCATCTGTCGCGCGCTCGTCCATGGGTGGCGACGATACGATGGATCTGACGATGGCCATGGGCCATATTAAGAGTAACGGCTCACCGACAAAATCAGAACGTCGCAAGAGCGTTGGTCGGCGACGGTCTTCTGGAGTCACTTCCGAGCCGGATGAAGCAACCATGGACTTCACGCAAGCGGTTGGAGGTGTCAAGTCTGTGGCCCGAGCAGAACATACCGGATCGAGCTTTGACGAGAATGAAGAGCTTACCATGGAGCTGACTACAGTTCTTGGAGGGATTCAAAGCATTGGAAGGGTAGCAGCCAGCGCCCAGCCGATGACACCTCAACAGCAATCGCCAGTCAACCCAAAGGTCAACACAACTCCCAAGGACCAAGAGCGCTTCAAGGATGCACCAGATAGTGGGCCGAAGAAGCTTTTGACCCCAATCTTCCAGAAGCAGGTGCTGCACTCCGCTGACAAGACTCGATCAGGCGGCAAGTCTCAACAACTTGCCTCGCCATCACGCATCGCGTTTCCTGCTATAGTTGGTACTCCACGAGCGGCGCCGCAGAGCAACACTGGGACACCGAAGTCCTCTCCAGCAAAGACTCAACTTACCACACCGCAAAAGCCTTCACTTCGCGACCACCAGTCCCCGGTCAAGTCCACGCCTAGAATTACGCCTGTGCAGAGTCCGGCACGACCGCGCAACAGCGCAACGCCAGATAGCGTGCAGCGGCAACAGCTTGATGCACAGCTGCATGACGTTCAGCAGTCTCCACCAGGCCAAAGGCAGCCGTCTCCTTCCCCAATGAGGATTCCCTCGACGCCTCAACAGCCGTCGGAACCAACCCAAGACGGGCGACGCCTGGCTGCCTCTATCAAGCTGATGTCTACGCCGAGGAAGGAGACTCTGAAGACCACGGTCACGCCCAAGCCGCAGCCGCAACCGAGTCCTCAAGTGGCGCCAGCAAGTAGGACGCGGCCCACCCCGAGGGCAAAGGCGAACGCGACCACCTCACCAGCCAAGCAACTCGGTGAGGACATGGCCCGGATCGCTGCTTCGGATGGCAATGCAGCCGAGAGGATCCAGCTTCAAGAGTTCTTGGACGTCGCAGGCATTCGCTTCATGGATCTGACAACTACCAAACGGCGAATGACTACCGCAATCACACCCTCCAAAGCGAAGAGAGCGGGCGAATTGCAAACCGACGACGAAGAAAGCGAGGCGACTCTCGAGAGCGCGGTCGTAGCGGGCAGCTGCACTCTTCCTGAGCTTGAGATGTACGAGCACGCATGCCACGAACTGCGACGATACATTTCCGACGGGAAGCGCGTGGTCAAAGAGCTCGAGAGCGCGACGGCAAAGGACACGCCACCCCTGATCCAAGCTTATGTCGCCGCCGGGGCGAAGCGCAAGGCGGTAATGGATGCGCAGATGCGCGACATCAAGACGCATGCCAGGTATCGAAGCAAGGAGATGTGGTATGCGTGGCGTGCGCAGCTGCTGGAGGATCTACTGAAGGCGTTGCAAGGCATTGCGGAGCGGTCCTTCAAAGACGATGAGACGCTGAATAGTGCCGAAGCCGTCTTGGACGAAGTCTTGCCGGGCCTTGTTGAACAGCAGGAAGTACTGCAGCGGACGGCGGAGAAGCTTGAGCGAGAAGTCGCGGACACGAACGAAGAAGATCAAGAGGAGCTGGAGGCGGCGAGAGAACGCTTGCTGGAGGCCGATCAGCTGGTTCAAGAGAGACAGCGAGTCCTCGAAGAATTGCAAGCCGAGTTTGACGAGCAGCAAGCAAAGGCGAACGACCTCCAGGAAACGAAGGAGGAAGTGGGCGCCGCTATTCGCGAAGCGGACCGAGTGCGAGAAGCATGTCGAGGCGTTTCCACCAACGAGATCGCCAGTCTTCAGGGTATGTGTAGTCCACAGCCCTCATTAGTCGATGTATACTAACTAAAGGCCACAGCATCCGTCCGGCAACTCGAAGACTCATTAGGCTGGAGCATGCGATCTGCCTCGTCGTCTCCGCCAACAGTCACCATGACCTACAAATCGCAACTCCAACTCTACTTCCACCCCACCGCGTTTTCCACTCACCGCGCTGGCCAGCAGAACGCGCCCATCAGCTTGATCTACACCTCTTCCGACCAGCCGGGCACGACTCTTCGCTTCTTCCTCCAACTTCTCCGCGCCTCGCTGCAAGCCCTCCCGCAATCCTCCACCCGCGTACCGAGTCTGTTGACTCTTGTTAGCAACGGCTGGGAAACGGCGTTGGCAGTGGCGGAAGCAGAGCGTCGCTTGAATTTGGAGTTGCCGACGGAGTCTCGCATCGTGTCGGATGAGAAGTTGGCGGTTACGTCGTCGATTCTCCTCCCGCGCGTCAGGTCGAAGGTGAGGGTCACGTTTGAGGTTGAGGCTTCTGTCGTTGGCGCTGTGGGTGAGGATGATGGGGAGATGGAGGTGCGGACGAGCGTGGTGCCGAGTGTGAAGGTGGTTTATGGGGAGGGGTATAATGAGAAGAAGATGGGGGAGTTTGTCGCAAAGGGAATTGCGGAGGGAATGGAGGGGTGGGATGCGACTGTGAGAGAGTTGCGGGAGAAGCTTATCGCGAGAGGACCTAAAGGAGGGAGGCAGTAGTGGATTTTCCTTGAGATCTTAGATGGTCACGGCGTTGATCAGCATAGCGTTGATGGTGGCTGTGTTGAGGAAAGTGGCTTGGATTTGCGCCTTTGTCGCCTGTATCTCCATCCGATACCACCCCGTGCCAGACCGAATCAGAAACGCCGCGTGTATCCCAGACAATCGCATAAAAATACTGCCGGCGCCATCATCTCTTCCTCTCAAAGTATCCGCTCGAACTCATCAACGCCACACTCTGATCCATAATCGTCTCGCCGACCCAAAGGTAGTTCTCGATCCAGCGCTTGAGGTTACGCGATTCGGAGAAGGAGTCGGAGCGGATGCTAGGACTGCGGTGTTGGTCGGGGGGTCAGGCTAATTTTGTGCGCACACGTAGGATGAGAGGGAGTTGGGAAGGGAGGGGGTGGGATGCGATGCGATGGGAAAGATGGATGGCGGGGAAGGACGTACGTTAGGCCTGTGCTGCGTTTGACGCCGGCGAGGAAGGCGGAGACGAGGACTGCGTCGAAGGTGTAGTGGGCTAGTCGCCCGAGCTGGTGGTGAGGGAGAAAGGTTAGCAGGGTGAGGTGGAGTGGAGGGTCGCGTGGGCTGGGCCAGACGTACAACCATCGTGATGCTAGAGCGTGTTGAGGCTATTCGCGTTGCGCTGGCGAGGATGTGGGTTCGTGGGGGGCGCCTTCAGCCGGAAGAATCAGAGAGGAAGCCCAAGAATATGAGAGTAGTGCAAAGGATGGAGATGGCGACGAGATGGAGGCAGAGTGGTGGTGGAGGTGTTGTCGGAGGTGGCATGTGGCGGGAGGCGACTGCATTAGGTTAGCGGCTGCGCCACACCACGCTGCAGTAGGCAGACGTGAGGCTGAGGTGATGCTTGAGCTGCGGCATCTAACGGGAAAGTCAATGCCCGCGACTAAATACACCAACGAAACGTTTCTACATTGGCAAATGCGGGAAGTGGAGGAAACAGTGTTGCACTGGATACACGTAAGAGATCCAGCGGTATCAGATAGTGGGCCGGAATTGGGCGTAGCGTTGTGCGCGGCGTGCAACGTGGACGGCAACACAGCAGGCCAGTGTGAGGAAAACGTGGGCGATGCGTTGGGCGGATGCTGACTCAGCTAGCGCGCAAGCTCCGAGCAGCTGGCGCGCCCAAAATCTTTCGCAAGGCTCAACCTCCAGCCAACCGCTTCAACACTCGCAGCATTCGTCGTCTCTCGTCCCTCTTCCTGCTCCCTCGTCCATCGCTCCAACAACTCCGCTCCCCCTCCTCATCCCGTCCCTTCCGCTCTTCAATCGCCCACAGGCGACCCCGTTTGACGAGCAGGTTGACGCACCGCAGCAGCTTCACCACCCCTCCCCTCCCTCACCTCACCTCCCTCAGCGCCGCCCACCATGGCCGACGCACTCACCCACCAAGAGTTCGGCAAGACGCGGGTGGAATGGATCGCCAATCTCAATACCGAGTACAAGCCGAAGAAGCAGTTCCGTCGGACCAGCATCATCTGCACCATCGGCCCCAAGACCAACTCCGCCGATAAGATGAATGTCCTCCGCAAGGCTGGCCTCAATGTCGTTCGCATGAACTTCTCTCACGGCAGCTATGACTACCATCAATCCGTCATTGACAACGCCCGCCAGGCCGAGAAGGAGTATGCTGGCCGCCCCGTCGGTATCGCCCTCGACACCAAGGGTCCCGAGATCCGTACCGGCAACACGCCCGGCGACGAGGACATTCCCATCTCCGCCGGCACCGAGATCAACATCACCACTGACGAGAAGTATGCCACCGCCAGTGACAACAAGAACATGTACGTCGACTACAAGAACATCACCAAGGTCATCGAGAAGGGTCGCACCATCTACGTCGATGACGGTGTGCTGGCCTTTGAGGTATTGGAGGTCGTCGACGACAAGACCCTCAAATGCCGCGCCATCAACAATGGCAAAATCAGTTCCAAGAAGGGCGTTAACCTCCCCAAGACTGACGTTGATCTCCCTGCACTCTCGGAGAAGGACAAGGCGGATCTGGCGTTTGGTGTCAAGAACAACGTCGACATGATTTTTGCCTCTTTCATCCGTCGCAAGGAGGACATTCTGCACATCCGCGAGGTCCTGGGTGAAGCCGGCAAGGACATCCAGATCATCGCCAAGATCGAGAACCAGCAGGGTGTGAACAACTTTGACGAGATTCTCAAGGTCACCGACGGCGTTATGGTAGCCCGTGGAGACTTGGGAATCGAGATCCCTCCCGCACAAGTCTTCATCGCACAGAAGATGATGATCACCAAGTGCAACATTGCCGGCAAGCCCGTCATCTGCGCCACCCAGATGCTGGAGAGCATGACCTACAACCCCCGTCCCACTCGCGCCGAAGTGAGCGATGTGGGCAATGCCGTCCTTGATGGTGCCGACTGCGTCATGTTGTCTGGCGAGACGGCCAAAGGCAACTACCCCAAGGAAGCGGTGACGATGATGCACGAGACCTGCTTGCTCGCCGAGACTGCCATTCCTTACGTCAACGCCTTCGACGAGCTGAGGAGTCTGGCTGTGCGACCCGTCCCCACCACCGAGACCTGCGCCATGGCGGCTGTCAGCTCAAGTCTGGAGCAGAATGCCGGTGCCATCCTCGTCTTGACCACCTCGTGAGTTCTCTATCATCCCCACTTACCCGCTCATCCCCTAACCTGCACCCCATAGTGGCACCACGGCCCGCCTCATCTCCAAATACCGCCCCGTCTGCCCCATCATCATGGTCACGCGCAACGCCACCGCCTCGCGCTACTCGCATCTCTACCGCGGCGTCTACCCCTTCCTCTACCCCCACGCGAAGCCGGACTTCAAGAACGCGCCGTGGCAGGAGGACGTCGACGCGCGCCTCAAGTGGGGCATCCACAACGCCATTCGTCTCGGCATCCTCAACAAGGGCGACGCCGTTATTTGCGTGCAGGGCTGGAGAGGTGGCATGGGTCATACGAACACGCTTCGCGTTGTGCCGGCTGAGGACGATCTGGGATTGGATCAGGATGCCTAGGTGAGTTGGTACTGTTTTATTTCTCTCTGTATTGGTATGCAGGGGTTGGTGGTGCAGCGGCGGGGCGAAGGAGGACACGCAGGAAAGGGAAGGGTTCTCATTACCTGTCTTCCAGTATTAACCCCCATCAGGTGGCAGAGCGAGCCGGTAATCAAAGCATACCAGACGTCGCGACGGCGGAAGACAACGAGAACGCGGAGCAGTGTGATGCGGACGAAGTTGACGAGTGCGAAGCAGAGGAAGCGGAGAAGCTTGACGACGGAGACGGAGACCAGCAGGAGTCGCGCAAGGATTCATGGTGGGACCCACTGACCGTTGCTGCCTACTCCTACAACGGGTATGTCTGAGCGATCCATCCTTCCTTTTACATCGCCCTTGGTTGCACTTCAATGGGGGGCATGGCTATGGGGCAATTTGGGGGAATGGAAGTACCGAATGGCGTGATACTGGCTGGCGGCGGCTTTCGGCGCAAAACGGGCGGGTTACATTGGACTGGAATGGAATGGCAGGTCGGGGAGTAAAGCGCTGTGGCAGGCTCGCAGCATACCTTCTGGATCGTTGCTTGACCTTGGTCGATAGCGAAAACGGTGCCGTAATGTGTTCCAACTCCCACGTTCCATACCAGATATGAATTCATGAGGTGCCCTAGTCCTCGACTACTTACAGACTCCATCCCAGCACGTTGATCCTCGGCGCAGGCACAATCTTGCTCCGATCTGTGCCTTTCGCGGCAAAAGAGCCCCGGGGTCGAATGTCGGTGTAGGCTCGAGCGAATTCCGCGAAGACGGTGATTGCGGGAGGGGTGTTGGTGGCGTGTGGTTTGGGTGCTGAGACGTGAGTCTCTGGTTCCTTCACTTTGACTGGCTGTTCGTTGAAGACTTTTGGCGAAGCAGCGAATGCGTGATGTGGAACGGGCGATGGAGCGGGCAGTCGAGGCACGAAAGCGGGAGGCGGCGGTGGCGGCGGTGGCGGCGGTAGTGGTGGACGTGGGAGACTATCGGGAACTGGTTCTGTTGACAACGCTGGTGGAGCGAGTGGTGATGATGTGGCATGTGAGGAGGAGTTTCCGCTGCCGTTGTTAAATCTCTCTCGGCGCACCGCTTCTAACTCTTCGGCGAATTCTGACAGTCGGATTTTGTCGTCCTTGTAGTCTTTCTTGTACGCGCTGAACAGCTGCGCGAATGAGGGAGATGGTGAAGCCGCGCTTGTGGGTGGAGAGAGGTGATGTTCTTTGATCCTATGGGTGGAAGCAAAGCGATTAGTCTGCAAGGACTAGATTGCTAGGAGCGGAAGTACCCAGCGAGATGACCTGGGTGAGAGGTCTTCTTCTTCCGGCTTGGGAGGGGCAAGAGACGAGAAGAACGGCGTACACTCACCAGTTCCTCCTCTGTACTCCGCGAAAGTGTTCGGAGCGCTGCTCGCGGTAGCGTACAGATGGGTCTCGTTCGAGGGAGCGAGGGACCGCCATTTCTAGGTCGTTGGAACTTCGTGGCGAGAATTGGGTTGCTCGCACTAGGGTTGAGGAGGGTGGAGGGTGGCGGTTGTGAGATGAGGCTGGCCGACTGCCCTGGTCTCGATTCGAATATGGAGGACTATGGTGATTCCCGGTCCAAGAAGGAGGACTGTAGTGAGGCCGGCTTGAGGAAGCAGGGCTCCGCTGGTCGTGGGCCGAGTAGCGAGGGCTATCATGGTCGTTGTAGTGGTGGCTTGGGCGCATGATTGGACGCGGGGCGGGTCTCATGAAGCTTGCAGTCTGTCTCTCCGACGAAGATGGTGGGAAAGCGGATTGCGGAATGAAATCGGGTCTTCTTGGTAGCGGAATCGGTGATCTCGGGATTGGAGCGCTACTTCGTTGAGCGGGAAAGCGTGCGACTTCTTGAGACGGTCGTCGTGGCAGTTGTGCTTGGAAAGAAGATGGTGGCGCTCTGCGTGGGTGTTGAGGTGTCGAATCCTTTGCGCTGCTCGTTATGGTGCTGCTGTCAGGCGGAAGCTCGGGCTGCTTTCCACGCGGCGGTGGTGACGGTGACCACTGTGATGGCCCAAACTCCTCCGCTTCCGACGATTCACTACCCGAAGGGTCTGATGAAAGTAGTATATGTTCATCCCTAGGAGGCTCAACCGTCACAGCTTCGGGTAGTTCAGAGCTCGTGGTAGAAGACGGGGCACGCTCGGCCATGAGTGCAGAGTCGGCCAATTCGTTCCATTTGCGGAGAAGCTCGACGGGCACATTCGGACGAGGGAACTGGTGACCAGGCAATGACGGGAGCCAGGCCGATGGTTTGTCGAGTAGCTTTTGCTGATCGAGCGGGATTTGATGTCGAGTGTAGTCGACCCGAAGGGGGTTGTCAGGTGCTGATGCTCGTTGCGGCTCGAATACTCGGACGGTGGATGCGGGCACCGTTTGGACTGGCGATTGATGCACTAGATCTTCGGGCACTTCTTGCCGGGGGGCAGACCGAGTTTCACTCAGCGGAAGCTGCGTATCAATTGCTGATTCGACTGCTTCACCTGCTGGCTCGGCCTTAACCTCTGGTTTGCCGAGAAGCGAGAACAAACCGTCTGTGCCGTGCGCTGCTGCGACTTGCGCACGATCTCTGCTGCCAAAGCTTTCCCGCCTTGTAGGCGGAACCGGCCGCGAAAGATTGATCCCAGTTTGGACTTCGTAGCCATCGCTTGCCAGATTTGGAGCCGTACGTTTTCGTTTGGCTGGCACCTGCGTGGCGAGCGGTCGCTGGGTGATCGGTGATGACCGAAGAGTGGGCGAAGAGGCAGGAGGTGACGATATTCGAGGAGACTGAACCTGGATGGCCCCGTTTGTTCGTGATTGTTCAGCATGGTCACCTTGAAAGATCGCCCCTCGATTACGGCTAGGTGTAGGAACGTTCGGAGAGGGTTCCCTCGATGCGGCGTACTGCTTTTGTCGAAGCTTGGTGATCTCTCCAATCAGACGAACGACCTCAGGCCGCTCTTCGACCGGGCCAGCCTGTCCAAGGGGCTTGCGCAGATGAAAGAGATATTCAATCTCTTCAATAGTAAGTTGGACAAAGTTGTCCGCAAGCCCAAAAGGAGTGCTTTCGACGGTCAGTTTTCGAAGCTCGAAGACATCTCCACTCGTTTCTGCATCAATGGGGTCTCCTAGTTCGGATTCCAGAACGGCCACGACATTTCCACGCAGTCGCGCCTTCACTCGGGTGAAGCCATCCGTCACAAACGCCGTCACGTCGCCGTCTGTTCGGAGGATTTTCGTAATCTGCACGCGAGCGTCGGAGGGGAGTAATGAAGAGTCTACGACACTGCGGAAATTGCTATGGTCATCTTCGAATCTGCAGTCCGGGTCCGGTTTGACGCGCGCGGTTTCCTCCTTCCACGCGAGAACTTGTCGAATTTCATGTTCGAGAAACGCGCCAAGCCAGTCCACTGGCCGCGCCATCAAGGGTGGAAGACGATGAGGAGTAGGCTTGCCATGTGCCTAGTTGAGTTGATAGTGAAGTGAAGAGGCCGATGTGGTTTGGGTGAGAGAAAGGTGTCGACGTGTACGCGGTAGATGAAGGAAAGATGAAGTCGGAGCCTCGCGCAGGGAAGGCAGACGCGGAGCGGGAGCAGCCGGTGCCCGCGACATGAGCGGGCTCGGTTAAGTAAGCTTCATGTACGGACGACTCGGTAGAGTGGGCGACACGTCGACAACTCCATCTCCTGGCATCTCTCTTTTTTCGCTCACGTTGTCTCTCCCGGTTATCTAGGCCATTTACAGACTCCCTGGTCTGTCGCTGGAACAGCCAAAAGGGACGGTTCTCTGGTGCAACTCGCTGGCCGACGGAAACTGATACTTTTGCCACGCCGTAACCTTTGGATCGCTTCTTCGCAATTAGCATGCCCTCATCGAAGTCACACCTAGGCAAGGATGGCGCCAGAGCCGGACTCCCCGTCTGCCTCCTCGGTCTTGCTGCCACTGCTCGGTAGTCGGGCGCGGAGAGGCTCGTTAGCTTCCATATCTTCGAGCAAGGGAGAGATCGACCGACAGGCACTCGCGCAAGTCTTGGACTCCATTCACACCACCGCCTCCAAGTCGGACACTTTGACATCTTTCCATGATTATGATGGAGGAGCCCCTCGCGCCGGCGCCAAAGACCTGGTCAGTAATGGCATCTCGGGACTGTACGAGAGGTACATCCGAGGCATTGCGGGCGGCACCCCGGTCAAAGAAGGCTCAAGTCGACAGAAGAGTAGCGCCAAAAGCAGTCCTCGAGACACCCAGTCGCAAAAGCCGGATCCCTCGAACGCCTCGAGCAGAGTTGCAAGCGCAACCCGTGCATCTGATGCCGCTTCTATCAAATCGGGACTAAGCACCGTCAACGAGCTTTCAAAGCAGCGCGCAAGTTTTGAGGGCCCCCCAGCAACTACAGAAGCAACGCAGGACCGTGAAGGGTTGGCCGAATCTCCGGAAAGTAAGCGACACCCAAGCAATGGGTTTCAGAGTGAGGCAGATCTCGGTGCTCGAGACGCTAAAAACCGGACGGATTTCGATCGATCGACGAGCCTGATTGCGGGCAATGAGCGCGGCGAGACGGCCGCGCAGGCTCTCGCCCGCGTTCTCTCCCACCATGGCACTGCTACGACGGACAATTCGCGCCATACTCGAAGCTTGCATGGGTCACGAGAGCTTGCAAAGATAGCAGGGGATTCCGACACCGACATCACCGCGGAGCGATCTCGCTCAAACCCCCCTCAAGCATCGAACACTAATAGAACAGTCGTGGAAGACTTTGATCGATCAAACCTCGATCCTCTTCCAGACCAAGCCACTCCTCGCCCGCCCATGGCTCATGTGGGCATATCTCATCTACCAGGCTACAATCCCTCAAGAACATCGTCTACCGATGGCGGAGACGTGGCTTCTGTGAGCAGCTCACAAACCGGACAACTGAAACCCGCCTTTGAGAGCGCACCCAATCTAACCTTTGCACCGCAATATCGCACAATCACGAATCACCACTACTCTCGCCATTCGCACCCTTCGGAAGGGATCCCCCAACACCTGAAACGCAGAGTCATCAGCAAGGCATTCTGGATGAAGGATGAAAATGCTAAGGATTGCTTCTACTGCGGCGAAGGCTTTTCGACATTTCGACGCAAACATCACTGTCGGACCTGTGGGCAAATCTTCGACGCCAAATGCACAAGTCTCGTTCCGGGACGACCGTTCGGTCAGCCAGGTACCATTCGCCTATGCAAACCATGCGAGGCGATGATATACGGAAGTGATGACGATCAGTCGACGGTCTTCTCCGATGATGCATCGGAGTTTCATCGCACTCCCACGCTTCGACGCACCACCAACTACGAAGACGGCGGACGGGACGCTCGGACGCCGGGTGTCACTTTTGACGAAGATGACTTGGTGGAAGTCGCGACTCCCTCGATTGCAATACCTGCTTCTCGGCGGAACCGGGAAGCCAAACGTCGATCGGCGGTCATCGAGTTCGATGCACCTCCTCCGCTGACACGCCCGGTATCCTCGCATTCTTTGATCTCATTGAGTAGGCGTCCTCGCTCTTCCAGTCACAGGCGACTTCACTCCCGCCATCAAAATGTTCGTGGGACCCGGGGAGGGTTTGGACACGAGCAAGTTCCTTTTCAGCAGGATGATATTACCGAGGCAGGCGACAGCGCAGGGCTTTCGGCCTTTCACAATGACAATATCATCGACCCCGATCTGGCACCGTACGCCTCCGAGGACGGCACAGATGACGACGAACGACCAAACATATTCGGTTTGACAGATGGCGCAAATGGTTCCTCGCCGAATGATGGGGAGTTGCCGGGCTCCGCCTTACCCGGCGTGCTCACGAAGAAGGCAAGAACCAAGACCGGCTTGACTGCAGCTGGCAAATCTGCAAAAGATGATGAAGCACTAAGCGAAGTCACCAAGCACCTGCCCAAATTGTCCAGAAGGCGCAACCTGAGCTTTGGAAGCACATCGATCAACCGAGCCTCCCCGAGACGGAGCAGAAGTACCAACCTCATCAAGCAGGTGGCTGATCCAGACTCCTTTGACCGTCGGCACGACCTTTCTTCCACTCCGTCTAAAGATGCAGTGACTAGATCTGTTCGAAGTTCTGCCATGCATGGAATTGACGCTCCTCCGATGGAACTCAGCACCGCCGGCCTTGAACACCTGAAGCGGCTCTTACGACAAATGCTGACGGACTACAACATTCCCGCAAAGAAGACATGGGAGAAGGCTCTGATGCCAATCCTCCTACAATGCACTGACGACGTCGAGCCGAACGTGCAGGTCGGCGATGATATGGATATCCGCCATTACATCAAGCTCAAGAAAACGCCCGGGGGCAAGCCTGGGGATACTAGCTATATCAACGGTGTTGTCTTCTCCAAAAACGTGGCGCTGAAAAGCATGGCTCGGTCTATCAGTCGGCCCAGGATAGCCATTGTTACCTTTGCGGTGGAGTATGCGAGACATCAAGCACATTTCATGAGTCTTGAGCCGGTCATTGCACAGGAGCAGGAATACCTTCGCAACCTCATCGGTCGAATTGCAGCACTGCGGCCGCAGCTTCTGCTCGTTCAGCGTAATGTTTCAGGCACAGCCCTGGAGCTGCTTGAGAAAGCTGGCATTGCGGTTGCATACAACATCAAGGAATCAGTCCTTGCTGCTGTAGCTCGGGTCACCCGTACAACAATGATCAAGTCGGTCGATAAGTTGGCCATTGACCCATCTCATCTGGGCAGATGTGACAGCTTCGAGGTGAAGACTTATGTGTACGATGGGGCGAGGAAATCGTACATCTTCCTCTCCGGCTGTCCGCCCGAACTCGGCTGCACGGTTGTGCTGCGCGGTGCCGACACCGAGAGTCTACGGAAGATGAAGCGAATTGCCGAGTTCATGTGCTATGTGACGTACAATGTCAAACTCGAGACGAGTCTACTCCGCGATGAATTCGTGTCGATTCCAACGACTGCGCCTCATCAGCTCCAATCGACTGACTCTCCAAGTCAAAACCAGGCGGTCCATCGCTCGATTGGCCCCATGTTTGGTCATGGCGAGTCGAAAGGAGATCCGGACATCCGCTCACGTGGCGGGGGCGACAAGCCTTCCAAGTATGAGAAAGTGGAGATGGAGTCGCGGGCAAGAATCTTATCCGCCTCACCGTTTGTGGTGTTCATGCAACCATACCTGCTGACACAGCTGCGTGAATCGGAAAGGCGACTCACGACGTACAAGTTGTTGCGCGATCAGTACGCTGCGGCCGACGAAGCAGGCGATGAAGATGAAAAAGGCGAAGTGCATGCTGCGTTCCAGATGGTGCAGCCGGAGATGGTTCATGCCGCTCCATCCAAGGACCAGCCAAAAGCGCTTCGCGAGTATTTGCACGCCGTCCACGAAGCCCAGCTGGAAAAAACAAAGTACACTTACGACACGCAGAAGCGATTAATGGATTCCTTCATGTCAACCGGGATCAATCCATTCGATCCATACGCGCATCAGACCATCGTTGTCCTCCAATCAACGGTTTGCACGATCAACTCTGCACCCTGTGGAGGGCCGGATCTCTTGGGCATTGGATTCTACGCCGGCTTCAACCGGGTAGAGCCTCAATTTGAGGAAGATTGCACGCTGGGCCAGTACATCGAAGATCATTGCTTGTCTGCGGGCAATACCTGCAAAGAGTGTGGGAAGAAAATGTATGATCACCATCGCCAATACGTCCACGGATATGGCCAGCTCTCGGTATCTATCAAACGCCAGCCCGCGAAGATGCGTGGATATCAGAAGACAATACTCATGTGGGCAACATGTCGCATCTGCAAGCAGGAGACCACGGTCACGCCAATGTCAGACAACACGTGGAAATATTCGTTCGCGAAATATCTGGAGCTGAGTTTCTGGAGCAGTCCATTGCATCCGCGAGCGGGCGTATGTGAGCATGATCTGCACAAGGACTTTTTGAGGTGTTTTGGCTTCGAAGAGCTTGTTGTGTGCGTTCAGTACGATTCAGTGGACATTTACGACGTCGTTGTTCCCCGGCCCACCATCACTTGGAAAGTCGAATCGGACTTGCGGGTGAAGAACGAGCAGTTCTCGCACATTGTCTCCCGTCTGAATGCGTTCACCGAATCCATCAAGAAGCGTTTGGACTCGATCAACGTCGATACGCTGGATGAGAAGCGGGCTATCGAGGCGCATGACTTGCTGGAAGAATTGCACAAACGCGCCGAGGATGAGCATCAGGAACTGCTCGACAAGTTGCAAGCGAAGTACTCACAATCCCGCTACTACGAACTGATTCCGCTCAACCGCGCACTCCGGTTCATGGACGAGAAAGCGCTTGCGTGGGACGATACTTTCAACGACTTTGAGCGAGACTACTTCCCCTCTGAGACCGACATTCGGAAACTGGCAACCTTGCAATTGAGGAACATGTTCTTGGAATCTCAGCCACCTCTTAGTACTGGTGCGAGCGACGCCAGTGACAGCGAAGAAGGCACAGAAATGGTATCGGTGCCGCCCAAGAAGCTGAACAGAGGAAGTACGGAGCCGTTTCTGGGATCTGACAAAGTGCACGACGTGCTCTCATCCACAGTAGAAGAGCATCGCAACTCCATCGTCGATATTGACGACGTTCGGCCTCTGACTGCGGCAGCCGCCGATACGTCAAAGACACTGTCCGTCAGAGAGGAACAAGAGCAGGCGGTCGAGCGGGAGGATGTCAAGCACCTTGATCTTGCCGTGCCTACAATGCCACCACAAGACGAATCCGCGCTCGAACTACAACCGACTTCGTCTGATCAGTCCGGGCAGACCATTCAGTCTGAGAGCGAAGACAGTCCGACCCAAGAAGGCCCGTTTGCTACGCAGAGTAGTAGCGTTGGCGCCGGCCTGATGGAGCGCATCGAACAAATACGCAGTTACCGTCAAGGTGACAGCGGCGATGGCGAGACAGGATCTAGAATTCCTCGACTTGCAGATCTCAAGAAGCGAGATCTAAGTCCGCGCCCCTCACTACTCCCGCCTCCCCTACTCCGAGCCCGGTCGTCTCCTTCTCCGCCAAGACGGTCACATCATCGCAGCAACGACTCGGAACACAGCATCGATGCTGTTGCAAATGCGGCGAATCTTTCGCACACCCATGAAATGCATATTGCGGAGCGACTTGGAATGAACCGACTTGCCAGTAAAGTGGGCAAGTTGGCACCATCCTTGATCCCGCGCTCTATTCTGAACTCGGACGAGCCGCACAACACACGAGTCTCGGCGCTGGCGAAGCACTTTGAGCAAATGTCGAAAGAGTTTGAGAGGGAGAGGCAAAAGGAGCGCCGACAGAGAGTCTTGCGAAGCCGTCAAGCTCGTGCGAATCCACTGGCAAGCAGTCGACCGGTTGTGGAAGTCTACCGCAATGCTACTGACGCTGTGGGAGAGCGAAATGTAGAGCAGGTAAAGGCAGAGGCATCGGGCAAGGATTCTCTCCGTGTTCGCATACCACTGCTCGGTCCCAGTTCAGACGAGCAACCCGCGGAAGCTGCGCGAGATGAAGAAGCACAGCCGAAAGACAGTGATGAGCAGCCTGCACACGCAGAGTCTGAGGGCGACAGCGAGGCAGACGTTAGCGATTCCGAGCAGCCGCACTCACACTCCAGAAACGCATCCGAACATACAGCAGAGGCCCTCTCTTCTGCGCTCGCGTCCCCCACGTCAGCAGGAGATATGGATCTGATGAGCGAGCTGACGATCCCGGACCACAAAAAGAGTGTGTGGTTGAAGTATCTCGCCGACTTCTGGTCCAAGCGCACTTCATCGGGTTGGACGAGCTTGGAATATCCCCTGCACACCACGGAGCACGTCTTCGAGGACTCCGACATTATCGTACGAGAGGACGAGCCATCATCGGTCATTGCATTGTCTCTCTCCAGCCCCGACTATCAGAATAAAGTGCAAGAGTTCCGCAGCCATCCGAAGAAGAACAGCAAGCTGAGCAGGCAAGCACATTCGCAGCTTGGAGATGTGGCAGATGAGGATCATCGTGAGCGGGCGCTCGAGGCATCGCTGTTGAGCGATACGGGTACCCACATGAAGTACTCTTTCGCACATGGACCGGTCCGAGCGACTTGTAAAATCTTCTATGCAGAGGCGTTTGATGCTCTACGCCGGAAGTGCGGTGTTGCCGACCGCTTTGTGGAATCGGTCTCGAGATGCCTGAAGTTCGACATGAAAGGCGGCAAGACCAAGTCATTGTTCTTGAAAACCCTGGACAGCCGCTTCTACATCAAGAGCTTGCAAGAGGTGGAGCTCAAGGCTTTTACCAAGTTCGCCCCGGATTACTTTGCTTTCATGAGCCACACGCTGTTCCACGGTGTGCCGAGCGTCATTGCAAAGATGTTTGGACTATTCCAGGTGATTATCAAGAACCCTGCCACGGGCATGGACTTTTCCTACTACTTGCTGGTCATGGAAAACCTCTTCTACGAGCGCAACCCCAACCGCCGCTTTGACCTAAAGGGCAGCATGCGGAACCGCAAGATCGAAAGCACCGGCCAGCCGGACGAAGTGCTGCTCGATGAGAACCTCGTCGAAGCCATCTTCGAATCTCCATTGTTCGTGCGAGAGCATGCTCGCAAACTACTACAAGCGAGCGTATGGAACGACACAATGTGGCTGTGCAAGCAGAACGTAATGGACTACAGCCTCATGGCGGGCTTCGACGACGATCGGAAGGAACTGGTGGTGGGCATCATCGACTGCATCCGCACATACACCTGGGACAAGAAGCTGGAGTCGTGGATCAAGGACCGCGGCAAGAACAAGCCCACCATCACCAGTCCGAAGGACTACCGGAATCGCTTCCGCGTCAGCATGATGCAGTATGTCTTGCAGGCGCCGAATTGCTGGCACCAGTTCCAGACGCAGATGCCGATGCCGAAGACGCTGAAGGAGCGCGAGGATGCGGTGGATGAAGCAGAGAAGGAGAGGGAGAAGGCGGGTGATGGGCGGAGGGAGGGGATTGGTGTGGACGGATGAAGGGGGCAGAGAGCATATGAGATTGTTGATGATACACGACTGTAACGATGGTTCGTAGATGATCGGATACTTGAATACGTCGCCTTTGAATTTCTTGTGTCTCGGAGCAAGTCGCAGATGACACTCTGTTCGTTCACGGTACATTACCTGATGTATTTGCAGAGGGGTGAGGAGCTTGGCGCGAGGAGGAGGCAGAGAAGGGTTTACGGCAAGGCTGAGGTGGTGTTTCCACGGCATGTGAGAAGGTTTGCCCGATGCGGCAGGAAAAGCGGGGCTCCGACTTCACGTCACGTGCCGTACAAAATCCCTGCTACCATGGTCCACCGAACCGCATATCAGACCAATGGCCTGTGAGCTCTCTCACCACAACTGCACTAGGCTTTCGTATCACTGGCTGTACTCTCCGTAGGGCCCGCTTTTCCCCATGCTAGCCGTCTTTCCTCGGCTCAATGTGTCACGCCATATATACTATGTTTGCGTCGCCACATCCATTCTGATCAGTGCAGAACTGATCCGATGTGGTCTAGTGGCTAGGATTTGTCGCTCTCATTGAAGAACCGACAAGGCCGGGGTTCGATTCCCCGCATCGGAACGATGCTGGTGTGCTCACACACCTATTGGTACTGTCTTGGTTAGAGTCCAAGTGTACGAACAATCGGCCTATTCTTTTTTTCGTCTTGAAGTGGACGTGCTGCGCTCTGATTGAAACGTCAGCGTACTGTAGGCACGGGACATACACACGAAACACTCAGTGTGTCTTTCTCTTTTGGCCTGGCTCGTCGCGCTCTGACCTGGACTCCCGACATGCAATGGCGTATCGGCCCCGAGTTTTTGCACTGGATTTTGCACAGGAGCAATGCTGTCTGCCGGAGGACGTACGGTCGTGGAGGTAAACAATTTGAAAAGGCGTCGGAGAGAATGTCGATTGGCTGGAGTACCGGGCCATTGCTCTGATCCATGGAGTTGATATAGGAGAATATCACGGTGGCGTTCTGGAGAACAGACCAGCCTTTTCACGGCTTCTTCCAGAAATCTTTTGCTGCTCAGCACTGCTTGAAGATCTGATGATGCGTGCATTCGAGGCATTTACGGCAGAGAGCGAGAAGAGAAAGCCTATGAGAGAGAGTAACTTCCTTACCTTTCGTCTCGGTGGAGTGGAGTAGAGTTATGAAGCAAGTTAAACTGTCAATTGAACATTTCATCGGTCGCACCGCGATGAGCACAAATGATGCTTGCAGCAGGCCAGCCTCGTCGGCGAAAAGGCGGCGAGGGCGCGGCGGCAGTGCAAGCCGCCCATGGTTCGCGGTCACTGCGACAACGAAGCACTGGGCAGCGGGCAGCACGGGCGCAGGGACCACCGACGTAATTGCCAAGCCGCTCGCGTCGAAGGCCGTCCGCGGTCATCCTGCGCAAACTTGATGAACCTTTCATTGACACTCTCTCTATCACTCCATCACCACACATCTCTTCACTATTGCCAGCCCAGCTGTCAGTCTCTACCTCGCGACCACCCTAAATCGTCACCACCTCTCACTCCTCCACTCCAATCCACCACCACCGCAATCATGCACCGAACATACTCCATGCGCCAGTCGCGCGCCCCTACCGCGTCGCAGATCCAGAACCCGCCTCCCCCCTCCTCCTCCACCAAGAGCAGCCGCTTCTTTGGCAAGGGCAATCTTGGTATCTCCACTCAGCTTTGCTAGCGAAGTAGAAACACGAGCTAACACGAGAAACACAGGCCACTCCATCCGAAAGTCAGTTCACCCTGGCGCTTTCGGCCCCGACCTCGCGAAGAAGCTCTCGCAGCTCGTCAAGATGGAGAAGAACGTGATGCGCTCCATGGAGCTTGTGGGCAGAGAGCGAATGGAGGTTGCAGTAAGTGCATGCCACACCGAATGATGATGACAACCCCTGACAAGCCTTTCTCCAGCAACAACTGTCCATCTGGGGCGAGGGCTGCGATGACGACGTCTCCGACGTCACCGACAAGCTTGGTGTCCTCATCTACGAAATCGGCGAGCTGGAGGATCAGTTCGTGGACCGCTACGACCAGTACCGCGTCACCATCAAGAGCATCCGCAACATTGAGGCTTCCGTGCAACCCAGCCGTGACCGTAAGTGAGCGGGATTCCAGATGACGCAGAACAGATATTCTAACAATACTCTTCCCACAGGCAAGCAAAAGATCACCGACCAGATTGCGCAGCTCAAGTACAAGGAGCCCAACAGCCCCAAGATTGTCGTCCTCGAGCAGGAACTCGTGCGCGCCGAGGCCGAGTCTCTCGTGGCCGAGGCCCAGCTCTCCAACATCACCCGTGAGAAGCTGAAGGCCGCCTTCACCTACCAATTCGATGCCATGCGCGAGCACAGCGAGAAGCTTGCCATCATCGCCGGCTACGGAAAGCACCTCCTCGAGCTCGTTGACGACACCCCCGTCACCCCCGGCGAGACGCGCAACGCATACGACGGCTACGAAGCCTCCAAGGCCATCATTCAAGACTGCGAGGACGCGCTTACCAACTGGGTGGAGCAGTCTGCTGCCGTCAGCTCCAAGCTGTCCACTCGTGCCCGCACCCTGTCGCAGCGACGAGCAAACCGCAACCGCGGCGAGGGCGTCGACCTCACCGACCAGGACCAGCAGCTCGACCGCGAGTCCTGGGTTCCCGCGAACCAGCACCACGACTACGACGAGGAGGATGACGTCGAGGAGCGCGGACGCGGGGAAGAGGTAGCGGCTTGAAGTGGTCGTTATCCGTTCGTGTACAAATAGTAATTTCGGCCCGGATTTTGCTGGAAAGATATACCACCGGACGTTTGATTGAGGAGGCGAGGTAATTGAGGGGAAGTAGCGATTCGGTGGGCAGGGGCAGGATTCCGTATTGCAAGTGGTTTGCTGTTACGGGGGCGGGCAGACATACGCAAGGTAATTCCAGTAGTTGAGAATACGATTGAACTAATGTTTCCTTGGAAACCTGTCCGGCGCTCGTTGTCCAAATTAAATTATTCAAGCCGGAGCATTTGCCGTGCAACATGCAGGGCTCATGCAAGAGCGGATGCAGGTGCGAGAGATTCACGCCGCCGACTTCGGGAAGATGATCCGAAGGTGCGAAGATCTCTTCATCCCATTGGCATATATCTTCCACATGACCACCCGTATAAATATTGCAGTATCACATCAATCGACACAATAGAAAACACAACACCTCCAAAATGAACGGCACAGCAACAGCCCTCACGGCCAAAGTGCCCTCCCCCGGCGTCTGGGCCCCAGCAGTCACCCTCTTCGACCCCGTCACCGACACCCTGGATCTCGACTCGCAAGCAAAATACTACCAGTACCTCGCGCAGCACCTCACCGGCCTCGTCGTCCTGGGCACCAACGCCGAAACCTTTCTGCTGACGCGCGAAGAGCGCGCGGCCCTGCTGCGCACCGCTCGCCATGCTGTTGGTCCCCGGTATGAAATTATGGCTGGTGTAGGGGGGCACAGTACTAAGCAGGTTCTCGAGTATATTCGGGATGCGTCGGCGGCGCGCGCGGATTATGCGCTGGTGCTGCCTTGTGCGTATTTTGGGGCGCAGACGAGTAAGAAGGTGGTGATGAATTTCTACGAGGAGATTGCGGAGAGGAGTCCCATGCCGATTGTCATTTACAACTTGTGAGTGGTGGCATGAAGACTGTGCATGTGTGTGATTATTCGCTAATGTGTATGCTAGTCCTGGAGTATGCAATGGCGTCGACATCGACTCCGACATGATGGCCACTCTCGCGCGGAAACACAAAAACATCGTCGGCTGCAAACTCACCTGCGCCAACGTCGGCAAAATCACGCGCCTCGCCGCCGAGTTCGACAAGTCTGAGTTCGCCGTTTTCGGCGGGCAAGCAGACTTCCTCCTCGCCGGCCTCTCCGTCGGTTCCGCAGGCACAATCACCGGCTTCGGCAACGTGGCGCCCAAAACCATCCGCCGGATCTACGACCTCTTCACGCAGGGCAAGGTGGAGGAGGCGCTGAAGCTGCATCGCGTGCAGGCGTTTGGCGAGGTGATTGGCAAGTCGGGGATTGCGAACACGAAGTACGGGGCGAGCTTGACGAGCGCGAAGAGCGCGGGGATCCAGGATGCGGAGAGCAAGTTGCGGCCGCGGAGGCCGTATGAGCCGTTGACGGAGGAGCAGAAGGCGGAGGTGAGGGCGAAGATTGCGGGGACGGTGGAGATTGAGAATTCGCTTTGATGGGTATTGTCTTTGTTCGTGTTGAGCATTGCACGGCGTAGTGCATGTCTAGGGCAACGTATAGAATCGCAGATTGTCAATAGAGTGATGCACAGATATGCAGATGAACGATTGCAATCTCTATTCGCACCTCAGGCATATTTCTGTTGAGCTTATATTCGTATTCGACTCTATTTCCGGCATTGTTCACAACGAGATCAAGCCTGTCGTCGGATGCGTGAAGTCGCAAGCCGCGTGCCAAGACGTGGCCCTCCAGTTGACCTCACCTCCCGAGTACCCTTCAAACTGCGCTCAATCATCCAAACGACCTAACGGCAATTACTGATGCACGTGGGCCGTGCAAGTGTCTGACCGGAGTGATGGCCGTCACCGCAAGCCCGTTGTTTTGGCTATCACGGACCTTTACGGCCACTCTCTCCCAATCACCACTCCTCATTCGTCCCATCGTTCGGCGGCGCGCAACATTTGCTACGGGGTTCAACAGCTCCCGAAATGCATATGCCTCGGTCTCTACCGCATCAAGGCCACATCTCCAACAACGACACGCGCGTAGCCTTCCACCTCGCCGGATAGCGGCGCAATGCACGCGCTGGGCCTCTCAAGCAGGAGCGGAGCCAGGAACAGGATCCCTGCCAGCCAACTACAACAAGTCGTCAAAGTTCCAGAGCACTGGCGAAAGCGACAGCGATATTCGAATCGTAGACTACTCCGACAAGGACGTCCAGCAGCATACCGTCTCAACCGCATCCCTACAATCGTTCCTCGACAAGAATGAAAAGCCAACCTGGGCCTCCTGCCGCTGGATCTACGCCAATGGTTTGAACGAAGAAGTTGTAAAGACTATCGGCCATGCCAAAGGTCTGCACCGTTTGGCTATCGAAGACGTGCTGGACACAACCACCTCCGCGAAAGTCTACTGGTACGAAAGCCACTGCTTCATGGAGCTTCCCATGCAGAAACTCGTGCATCGTCAACAAAATGACCGCACGGCGGCACAGGCGGATGTCGTGCTTCAAGACGCACCGCACCGCCGTATCGTTTCTCGAGACCTAGCTCTGTCCATCGAGCAGGTCTCCGTCTTTTTGACTGCGGACAATACGGTCGTCACCTTCTTTGAGAATTCCGGTGGAGACATTCTGCGCCCCATATTGACGAGATTGAATGAAGAACAAACGCTCATTCGCTCTACCAACGATCCCTGGATGCTGGTGCAAGCCGTGATTGACACCGTGGTCGACCTTTCACTGCCCATCGGGAATGCTGTAGATGAAGTTTATGGAAATCTGGAGCGTGCTGTGCTGACATCTCCGGCGATCGCACAGTCCAAGGAGGTCTACGTCCTTCGCTCTGGCTTGACAGTATTGCTTAATAGTGGGTTTCATCCGTGGTGCACCCCAGGTTCATGCTAATGGCGATGTAGACACGAATTCTGCCAACGGCCTGGTCAAAACACTCATCGACCATCGCGAAATGATAGCCTCGAAAGCGCCCAATGCCATGCACATGTCAGTCGGGGCGCAAGTGTACTTCCAAGACGTCCAAGACCACCTTACGACGCTCTCAAACAACACGCACATGTCCATTCGGTCGGCAGAAAACCTGACCTCGCTCATCTTCAACATGATTGCGGCCAGCCAAAACGAGAGTGTGCGGCAGCTCACGCTCATCAGTTCCTTCTTCCTACCTCTCACTTTCTTGACCGGATACTTTGGAATGAATTTTGCTTCCATGCCAATTGTCACCGACCACAGCGATGCGTACTTTTGGATCATCGCCACGCCGATCATGATCACGACTCTGTTTGTGTTGGGTGTGCGGAGCTCTTGGTTCAGATCATTTGTGTGGCGAAGACGCCATCCGTCCCCGAGGCAGCGGAGATAGACTTGATCAAAAACACGCATCGAATATCAAGTGCCTAGCTAACGCTAAAGTGATCGGAGATGCTCTCTCATGAACAAGTCATACTTGCTCACTCGCCGGGGAGCTGCCAATGCAGGGAGCAGCGGTCTGCGCCGAGCGCACCAAAGCAGACACAAAATAGCAGCCGCACATGCCCCGAACCCACAGAAGAAGGCATGCACTGGATTCTTCGAGTACAGCGGCACGGCCAGACCCTTCGACCTTCGCAGTGTATCGACCAGAGAGTGCGTGATGGGGAAAGTGCCCTGTTCGTCCAGCAGCGTTGTTCGCACAATCTTCGACCGACCGAGACTGTTCCATTTCGAATCCAGCGCTTCGGCCACCACATACCGCGCCAGCCCTTCGTACGCTATCTCCGTTTCGAACCCGGTTCGATCGACAATGGCCAGCGTCGTATTTTCCACCACCCCGTTCTCGTGCGCCTGGCGCAGTACCCACGTTGCCACCTCAGTCGCGCCGTTCCAGCTGACATGCACAATGGTGTGCGTGTCGCCGATGTTAGTGGAGACGGCTTCGGACACGACATCGGGAGGTTGCGTGGGCCGTCCGATCCATGGATGTTTGAATGCGCGGTAGGTGTGCGTTTCCGCGTTCATTACTGCTTCCATCACCACGGTCCCGTTGGGCGCATGCTCCGAGATGCGGGAAGAATATGTCCAACTCAAGAAGGCATTGCCGCTCTCCAGGATTTGGAAGCTTCCTGCAAGATCTGATCAGTACAGCATACTTGACTAAACGAGGGAAGCTCGTCGACTCACCTCGAGAGCTGACGGTGCTACCGCGAGGGTGCCGATATTCCGAAAGAATACTGGCCGTCCAGTCTACGGTATTGAGCAACAAAATCAGGCCCCGAGCCATGCTATTCGTCTTGAACTCATTAGGACCCGTGCCAATCGCATTGTCGAAGAGGGAGATGATGGTGTGCGTGCGATCCTGGCCGATGACTTGGGCATGATGCTGTCTGGAGAAAATGGGATTGCCTCTGCCGATAAAATCGAAATCGGACTCCACGCCCCCGAGCCTCCAGACGATTGACCCGTCCTTGTGCGAAACTTTGTACACGGTATCCGTGTGGCGAGCGGAGATCAAGTAGTCATTGTCGGCAAACTTGTCGATGGAGTTGGCATGCCTGCGAGGAATCCATGGTCAGCGAAAGGACATCAACAACACCATCACGCCGACACCCACAAGATATCCCAATGATGCGCACACTCCTCCTTCACTCGATCATCATTAAAAGTCACCTCATCCAACCCAACGTGATGCCTGGAACTCCACTCAAACACCGGCCTCCCAGGCAAATTCACATCCAACTCCGCAAACCCGACATGGCCGACCGCACAGCCCGCACGATCATAAAAGCCCACCATCGCCGCCTCCTCCCCGCCAACCCGTACATGATCCGCCGTGATAACCAACGCCCTGCTCCCGCCATCAATCACGCGAAAAGCGTGCATATCCGCATGCACGCCCTCGAGCCCCACCTCCTTGCAAACCTCATACTTCTCATCGAGAATCAACCCCGCGCGCCCATGCGGATACAAAACAGTCATCATCTGCTTCCCCTTGATGGTCGTGACGTCGAAATCAAACGTATTCCAATGCTGGAACATGCCCGCCCCACTCCACACCAGGTCGCCGCGCGCGTCGTAAATGTGCGGCCCGACGTAGCCGGCGCCTGGGCGCGGCTGGTCGAGGTCGGAGTAGGGAGCTACGAACCAGTACCCCGGGTCGACGGCGGCTTCTTCGTGGATTTGCACTGTCCAGGTTGGGGCGTCGATGTCGGGGCGGGAGTGGAATTTGAAGAAGGCGCGGTCTTTTTGTCTTGGGGGTACGTTGAGGGTTGTTGTGGGGAGGGCGAGGGCGAGGAGGATGGAGAGGAGGAGGCGGTGGTGATGTCGGGGGCTATGCATTTTGGACGTCGTGATGATGCTGGAGTTGTGAGGCAAAAATGTTGACAACTGCGATAGCTTCTCTCCTCTCGAGGATATTGTACCACGAGATCTACCGGTATAGAGGAGATACGATCACCTCATGAAGACTGGAGAGACGCGACGTGGAATTCCACCCGCGTTCCAGCACATGTTTGCCGAGCCTCGTGCAAGTGCGCATTCCTTGCATGAGCCCTGCGCGCGCGCCCTTGGGTGAGGCACTTGGCTGGAATGCTTCGTGAGATTCGTCATCACGAGGTTGTCTCTACCTTTTCTAATTCGTACTCTTGCCAAACCGTCGCTGCGAGTCTATACGATGTTAATGCCAGCTCACTTCCCCTTTCCCCTAAACTTCCTCTCAATCTCCCCCTCCGTAAAAGCCCTGGTCTTCCTCCTCAACATCTCCGCCAACTCCGCCCGGCTCATGCCCACCTGCTCGCCCATCGGCACCAGCCGATCCGCCAAATACCCGTAATCCTTCTGCAGCAGTTTGAGCGTCATCATGAGGTAGTCGATATTGTGGAAGACGAGCGCGCGGCCCTGGCGGTAGGCTTCTTTGGACTGCAGGAAGTGCACGGGTTGTTCGCGCCAGTGGCGGCGCGGGTTGAGGTGGTGGGCGGTGTGGTAGCCGTCGTTGAAGCAGAAGCGGTTGCTCTTGATTGTTTTGTTAGAGCTGTGGTTTAGAGGAGGGAGGGAGAAATACGTACCGGGACGTCGACGAGGGTGATGCTGGTGCGGAAGTCGGAGTCGGGCTCGACTTCGTCTACGAGGGCGTGTTGGCCCCAGTTACCAACCATGAGGCCTATGCGGAGGAGAAGGAAGGGGATGATGAGGACGAAGATGGAGGCGCGGGTGTTGACGCGGGCGGTCATGTAGGAGAGGAAGGCCATGCTGAAGGTTTCGGACAGGGCTGAGCGCACGGCTAAGCCGATTTTACCTTTGCGGAAGAAGTAGAGGGGGAGCTCGAACCAGACGAAGAAGAAGAATCTGCCGAGGTAGTGGCAGAAGTGGAGGGGTTCGTCGCGTTGGTAGCGGATGGTAGAAGATAGGTCGTCGGGGCCGTTGGCTTCGACGTGGTGGTGCTTGACGTGATGGTAGTAGTAAGAGTCCCAGGTATGGCCCATCAGCGGCTCCGTAAGGTAGGGAAAAGTCCAGTCGAGCCAGTACCATTGCTTGGAAAGGACGCCATTGTTGTGAATGTGATTGTGCAGCATGAGGGTGTAGGAGCCGGCGCACCAGAAGGTGAAAGCTGCATGGAGGATGCCGTGGAGGTAGGTGAAGTGATAGAAGAGGTAGAGGGCACTCGGGAGGATGACGAAGAGGTAGATCAGGATGTGGGTGAAGAAGACGACGTCGGTGGGATGCCGGACGATCTGGGATGCCCATGATGCATATGGACGGAGGATGATCCTGTTCACCCATTGGGGAATATCTTTCTCGTCCCACGACACAAAGATGGTAGGCTGGAAGGACGGGCTGGTGGGGTCATTCAAGGCTTTTAACCGGTTGATGGCCTCCTTGTCATGGTCCAGAAGATTGGTTTGCTCTGCTTCGGTCATCTTATCGATGGCCTCTGGCGTCGGGATGCCATTTGGCGATTTCCAGTGGCTCTGGATGTCGCGGTCACTGTCCTGGAGAAGATTCTGAAGTACAACAATATCGGCCTCTGTAAGGTAAGGGTCGATCTGGTGAGCCATGTTGGCTATGGAGCTGCGAGACACCGTGGTTTGTCGAGATGCATCGGGCTTCCGCGGAGGCAAAAGCTGAAGGCCGGGAACCGGAAGTCCACCAGGAGGAGCGAGAAGGGCTGTTACAAGCCACTGAAGGATGTAAAGTGCTGTCTCAACTATTGTCGGCCGTTTATTGATGGATCAGGAGCGATTTCCGTCGCTGGCATGGCAATTGTCTCGTCTGAGGTTGAGAAATGCAAAGGAGAAAGTGGTGAACTTTCTTCGCACGGGCCTTTTGATGAGACAACCAGCCGGCTCGGGAGACCGTCTCAGCCTTGCACAAACATCTTCACTCCTTCAGCACAAGTAATTCCGAGTGGCGAAGGTGTCTGAGAGCGTTCATGCGGCTCGTTTGATCTGGCTAAGATCCCTTTTAATGATCAAGAGACTGTCACCCAGTTGGATTGTTTCACATTGCATATCTCGATCAAATGGGAATGATCGATTCACCTCCACTCCAATACAATGAGAGACATGCAAACGACGATGACTTACGGCACAAACACCGTGTCCATTCACCTAGAATATCGTGTATATTAGGCCTCCGCAGTCCCTGCAAGAAGGGAAATCCTCAGAAGGCACACTCCACTCTTCAACATGCCCGACCTGGGCGACATCCACGCGCTCGACGGCAACATGAACGACATTCGACTCATGGAGAAGATCTTCCTCGTCAAATCATACGCCACAGCAGCCATTACCATGCTCGAACGCATCGACAGCAGCAAGCTTGAATGGGACAGCGAGGAACGCGACCCCTCCCCTAACATGCTCCGCCTCGAACTCATCAGCGAATACGCCCAGGCGGCGTTGAGGGAAGTGGTGACATTCTGTAATCGCTTGGCCGCCAAAACCAAACTGCCTCTCACTCACGGCGAAGACGTGGTACACCCGCCCGCGCACGAAGTTCGATGCTTCATCGAGCTGCACATCCACATTCGTCGCGCGATGAACTTGGTCCAAGAGCTGGACCAGACGCTGTGGGACCTGCACGAGGGAAGCACAGAGCTGCCAGATGGGCACGAAAAGCTCGAGCAGAGGTCAGAGGATGTGGGCAAGGAGGTTATGAAGATGTGGAACATTTCGAAGAAGCTGTCTCATATCGGCGACCACGAGTCGGGGTATGACACCTGGTTTCGGGAGCTGAACGACGATGATTAGAGGGGAAAATGCAGGGAGACTGGAGGAGGACGCGGAGTGTGAGGACTTGGAATGGAATATGAAGGCACTTTGGATTGTGTTTGAAAGAAGAAAGGTTGGGTATTAGCAAGAGAGTTCGCCGCTTGACAGATGACGCACCCACCAATCCACTCTCCGCAAGCGCACATGCAGCTAGGTTTGAGAGGGGGCTGGGAAACGACACAACTCGACCTGCCTTTGCTTCTCTTTCCTCTCTCCTCATTACCATCTCTCAATTCAGACACTCTCGATAGGAAGACTCAGTCGCATTTTTCATCAATCAATCCCAATCACTGCCGTTCAAAGCCAACCGCTACAATGTCACTCGTTGATGTGCGTATTCCCCATCGTCTCACCAACCCCATTGTTAATGCAGCTGACGTCAAACAGACCTATCATGCCTACGTATTCGGTTCGTCCCTTCGAGTCAATGGCAGACACGGCACCTTCAATTAACCATGTCCCTTCAGGAACGAGCTTCTGGTACTTCCTCCGAGGCTTCATGCGTATCGGTTCGTTTGTCCAATCTTCACTTCAATCGCCTCAATGCTAACACCTCTCACAGTCGACCCAGTCAGAGTCGTAGCATGGTTCAGACCCCCGGTGGACCAGCTGCTCACAGCAAACGGTACACCTTTCTTTCCTCCAGCCTTCACGACTAGATCTAATCCCCCATCCAGACCTAGAAATCTACACCACCCGCACCGACGCCTTCGGCCTCTGGACCTTAGCAGCAATCCTGCTCGTCCTCGCCGACGCGGTGCCCCTGCCCAAATCCCTGACCGGCTCGGCATTCACCTCGCCCGCATCGGAGAAGGTGAAGAAGCCGTATGCGCGTGCCGTCATCGTCTTGACCCTCTTCCACCACATTACGACGGGCATTGGGTCTTATAGTCATTGGATTCTTCCCTCGCATCGCACTGTTGCTATGGATATTGGTGTTTTTGGCAACATTGCACTGACTGTTTTGGGAATTGCTGCGTTGGTGTCTGGAATGGATGAGGGCAAGTCGGTGAAGAAGATTAAATGAGTGAATCGAGGGAATCCTACGGTACACGATCGGGACGGGAGAGTGATGTTGAAAGACCAGGAGAGGCTAGAAAAACTCATCGATAGTTGGAGTGTAGTCATGCGCACATGATAAGCGACTCACTTATAGACGAGTGAATGCTGGTGATATCAAGATCGAGATGACCTGCATTCAACCGCATGCTTACGCCTTCACCTTTCCAGGCATATCGTCGTGGCCTTGTCGGTCATCAGATGTTGAGAGTTGGTTGCAGACCTGGTGATATCCAAGCTTAGTCAGCAAACCCTCGTTCCGTTTTCGCGAACCCTCGCACGGACAAAGCCGCAGGCGAACTTCAACCTGAACGCCAGCAACATTCCTCGTTTCCTTGCACCACTCTACACACCTCCCTACCCGATTCATCCTTCACCCGGGCCGCCATTCTCATGCTCCACCCAATTCACGACTAAACCGAGTCCCTGCAATTTCCACGTCCACCCCGACTGCCTCCCGCAGGTGACAGCCATGGCAAACATCAACACCTACGACTTCGCCGACGAGGAGGATGAGGAAGACTTCAACCCTCAAGCCGAAATTGGCTCAGATGACGAAGAGGATGCCAAGCCGGTGGTGAATGGTGGACGCCGTGATGACACATCTGCTCGTGCTTCGCGGGCGCGCAGTGAGCCCAAGAATGATGGGGATGAACTCAAAGATGAGGATGCCGATGATGCCGGAGTTGTGGGCTTCGGCAGAGACGAAGACGATGAAAAGGCAGATGAAGATGAGGAAGAGCGGCCGAGGGGAAGGCGGGGTGGTGGTGACGAGGAAGATGAGGATGACGAGGAGGAAGATGAGGAAGAGGAAGAGGATGAAGACGACGAAGACGACGATGATGTTCAGGATCAGCCATCTCGTAAGCGTCGAAAGCGCGCTCGTGGCAACCAGTTCATCGATGTCGAGGCCGAAGTCGACGAGGACGATGAAGAGGAGCCGGAAGAAGACGATGAGATGCCGGGCGATGAGATGCATCCGGATGATCTGCAGGACTTGGATCAGGCCGCCGATCGAGATGACCGCAAACACCGAGAGCTTGATAGACAGCGCGAAAAGGCCTCCCAACTCGACGCAGAGGCGACCGCCGCCAGACTCAAAGAGCGTTATGGCAGGCAGGCGCGATCCGGCGGCGGCACCGGCGCCATCGTTCCCCAGCGTCTACTTCTGCCGAGTGTCGACGACCCTCGCATCTGGCGCATGAAGTGTCGCCCGGGAAAGGAGAGGACAATCCTCGACCATCTCAACACACGCATCCTCGAACGAATAAACTCCACCCGCGACCCCATCTTGATCTTCTCCGCCTTTGAGCGCGGTGGCGGTCCCATGGCTGGTAATCTCTACGTGGAAGCTCACAGCCAGGACGAGGTACAGAAAGCTCTGGATGGCATTTCACATGTCTTCCATGGCACCAAACCCTTCCTCATCCCACTCGAAGAGATGCCGGATTTGCTGCGAACTAAGAAGGACAAGCGCCTCGAGACTGGCATGTACGTGCGCATCAAGCGCGGACTGTACTCGGGCGATCTGGCGCAAGTCGACGAGGTGGACCCCAACGGAACCGACGTTACGGTACGACTGGTGCCCCGTCTCGACTACGGCTTGAACGAAGATACCAATGCCCCTATCGAGGTAGATGCAAATGGTAAGCGCAAGCGCACAATCAAACCACTCGCCAATCGGCCACCTCCAAGGCTCTTCAGCGAAGGCGAGGCCAAGAAACGACACGGCAGGTATCTCAACAAGTCTAGCGGCCTCACCAATGCATGGACGTATCAAGGCAAGGAGTACATCAATGGCTTTTTGGTGGAGACCTTCCGTGTCAGTGCAATGCAGAGCGCGAATGTCAATCCAACGCTCGAAGAGGTGACGCGATTTGCATCTGGCGATGAAGACGGCACGGAGAATCTCGACCTGGCTGCCCTGGCCGCCACGCTCAAGCAATCCACCGCCACCGACTATCTCCCCGGCGACAAAGTCGAGCTCTTCCGTGGCGAGCAAAAGGGTGTCGAGGGTCACGCTGTGGAGGTGTATGGTGAGGTGGTCAAGATGAAGGTCGATTCTGCCGGAGCACTTCGCGGCCAAGTCATCGAAGCACCCATCAAAGATTTGCGGAAACTCTTCCGCGACGGTGATCACGTAAAGGTTATCGGCGGCAGCAAATACTACGACGAAGTGGGCATGGTCGTTCGGACCAAGGACGACCGCGTAACTCTGCTCACCGACACCAGCCAGAAAGAAATCACAGTCTTCAGCAAGGATCTCCGCGAAGCTACTGACTCCGGGGGGAACGTTGCGGGAAGCAAGTACGATCTCTTCGATCTGGTGCAGCTCGATGCCGCTACAGTGGGTGTGGTGATTAAGGTTGATCGTGAGAGCCTGCGAATCTTGGATCAGAATGGCTCTGTGCGCCCACTCCTCCCCTCCGCCATCTCGAACAAGCTCGAGAAGCGCAGAAACGCCGTGGCGACCGATCGTGACGGCAACGAGATGAAAATCGACGACCAGATCAAGGAGTCTAGCGGCGAGCAAAAATCCGGTCGCGTGCTACATCTGCACCGCAACTTCGTCTTCGCGCAGGATCGAGGGCGATCGGAGAATGCAGGCGTCTTTGTCGCTCGCCACGCCAATGTCGTAACCGTTGCTGCTAAGGGCGGCAGGGCGACCAACGGCCTCGACCTCTCCAAGATGAACCCTGCCATGAAGCAGAACGGCTCGCCAGGCATGGGCGCCATGGCACCCCCACAGCAACGAGGCCGCGATCGACTGATCGGCAAAACAGTCAAGATCCGCATCGGCGCCAACAAAGGCATGCTAGGCATCGTCAAAGACGCCAGCGACACGGTGGCCAAAGTGGAACTGCACGGCAAGACGAAGGTCGTCTCCATCCCCAAGGAGCAGCTCACGCAAGTCGACAGCCACACGGGCAAGGCCATGGGTCCCGCTATGGGAAGCAGCATGCCCGCTCGCACGCCTATGCCTGCCTACGGTCGCACGCCTTTTGGTGCTTCGGCTACGGCTGCTGCTGGGGGGCGGACACCGGCATACGCGATGGGCACCACGGGCGGGCGCACGCCAGCTTGGAAGCAGGACGTTGGCGCCCGGACGCCGGCTTACGCGGGCACGAGTTATGGCGGTGGAGCTGGTGGTGGACAAACGGCGTACGGAGGGCAAACAAGCTACGGCGGCGCCACAAGCTACGGAGGCGGCAGTGTATGGGGTGGCGGCGGCGGCGGAGGGGTAAGTCAACCCCACAGCCCATCTTCTTCTATGAATCTAACGCTTCTCTCCCTACAGCAATCCACCTGGAACCCCAACCCCTCCTCCCGCACCCCCGCCCATAACCCAGGCAACAAAACTCCCGCTTACGGCGGCGGGCTGGAAGCGCCGACGCCGGGCTTCTACGGCGACCACACGACGCCTGGTGGGTTCAGGGGCGCGGCGGCGGCGCAGCAGTATACTACGCCTGCTGCTTATACGCCTGGTGGACAGTATCCCGAGACTCCGGCGGGGGATGGGCCGACTTATGAGTGATTGTTTGATTGACCAGGGCAGGGGGTATGACATCCTATTGGCATTGGTTAGGGGTGCAAGTGTAGCAGTCAGACGAAGATCAGGCTTTCAATCCAAGCGTTCAATCTACTATGTGCAGAGCCTGCCAGGCCACGGTACAAATTGCCGTTCGCCAAAACTCGTCCATCCGCCAACCCAGCCATCCACCAATATCCAGAGCCATGTTCAAAGCTCAAACACGCTCCCATTATCGTCGTAATCACCGTCACCATCCTCCTCGTCGTCCCGCTCATATACAATTCCAGCATGCTCACCACCAACGCCAACGTCGCCAATATCGACTTCCATTTCATCGACCTCCATCTCATCAACCTGTTCTTCAACTCTTCGTGCATCCTCGATCAGAAAGCCCCTCTCAACAACCCCTCGCGACATTTCCCATTGCTCCCTCTCCAAAGCCTGCACGCTCCTCCTCGCCAAGTCAATGTCATGCATCAATATCTCCCCAGGAGACGCAAGGCCAATCTTCGCAGAGCGCGACAACATCTTTGACAAATGCATGGGTTTCTGCCGAGCATTAGGCTCCCCTGTTGCCCAGCGACAGCCGTCTAGGAATGCCCAGCGAGTATTTTCGTAATCGGAGTGCAACGTGTTCTTTGAGCAAAATGCGTTGGCGAATGTGGTTGCTAGGCGCGCCCATTCTGCTTTTGTGTGGTATTCGAGTTTCAGTGCGAAGCCTTGGACGACATCGCTAACCAGACAGCTGATTGCATTGGGCCGGGTGACGGAGATGCGCAGCGTTCGACACAGCGTAGCAAGGGCGACGACGTTCGGCGACGACAAAGGCAGGCTTTGGGCCTTGAAGACGGGCAGAATTTTGGTCGAGAAGCTGAAGGGCGACGAGAGTTGCTGGAGGCGTAAGATCTGGCCTACGGCGGCATCTGCACTTGCAAGATTGACCAGTTTTTGGAATGGGAAGGTCTAGAGCGCGATTAGTTGAAGAAGTTGTTGGGTTTGAGGCGTCTTACGAAGGTGATGGCTTCTTTTGGAATCCCGGCCCAGACGAGCATCTCGTACTGTCCTTTGTACATCCATGCTCCATCGTCGAAACAGTATTTCCGGGCTAGAGAGGGGGAGTCAGCTTGAGTGCTTAGATGAATGGACCTCTCTGGGATTGACCTAGCGCTGCCTGAAACGGCTGAACATGAAACATCGCCTCTCGGGACAGCAAGCTAGGATCGATCACGGAGATGTTCGCATGTCTCCCGTTTTTAGCAAGCTCCCAGCCTTGCCGAATAATCCACGGCAAGTTGAAGGATGTCGAGACGAACGGGCTGGTCACCGGACTCCCATTGAGGTGCGAGGCGAAGGAGTCCCACGGGAAATGCCGACTTCGAAGCACCGGGGGTGGCGGGGGTGGGATATTCGTGTAGGCGAACCTTTTCGCTACAAATCCGTCCTCGGTCAGTGGGCTTTGGGTTTCACCTGGACACCAGTTTCGGAACAAGAGCGGCACGTTCGGGTGGGCAATAGTATCTGCGATTGGGACCAGCGGCAGCTTTGCAATGCGGTTCTTTTCTGGCGTTATCATGATGATTCGGCCGCTAGACGTCCTGAAAGGAACTGTCGCGTTTGGATCTGGAGTTTTCTTGCGGCGTGGCGTTCTGGGCGAGATGGGTAAAGTATTTGATGCCACATCCCGCATGAACTCCTCGCTTGAGTTGGGAGCGTTCATGTAGCGTGGCGTCTTGGGCGAAGTTGATGGAGCGGTTGATGCCAGATCTTGCATGAACTCCTCACTCTCGTTCTCCTGCACAGCAACGACGGGGTTTGGCGTTTTCGGGCTCCGGATTATGGCAGGATCCTTCCTCTTGGTCACCCGACTGACGCCAGATGCATTAGGCTGGTATAAAAATGACCGGATGTGGTCTTGCGTAGCACCAAGAACCACGGAGTCGTCGATCACAGCATCAATCCGTGCTTTCATCGCCTGGCGCTGTTCAGGAGACGCACGGAGCGCTGGCCCCCATCTTTTCCGAGCCGAGTCAACGGTCTTCTCATAGTATTGGCTTGCCTACAGAACATGAATGTGGTTAGCATGTGACTGGTCGAGGCGAGAGGCCGATGCTCAACATACGATTGAAGCTGGAGTAGGGTCTGCCACACCGCACGAACGGAGGTGATCTTTGAAGAGCAGACCAAAAACCCGTGCTGCCTTGGGATTGGAGTAGCGAAAGTCCTCCTTCAGCAGCAGGAGGGCCAATCTCAGTTCTGTATCCCAGACCAATTTTCCCGAGGCGATCCCTCTCGATGCCGTTGTCTTGCGAGAAGCAGGCATGATGGCGGCTTAGGACTTAGTATGCTGGAGCGTTGGTGGTGTGACAGTGAGCGGGACATGCAGGTTCAGTATTGCAGAGGAGCGAAGGGGGTTTGCAAGCCAAGATAGGACTTGGTGCAATCGAAGGCAGAGTCGTGGCAGCGGAGGGAGCGAGAAGCTGAAAGCGAACTCGATGGAGAAGCTGGAGAGCTGGAGAGCTTGGGAGCGAAAGTCGAGCGGAGTGGAAGGCAGACTAGATGTCAGCCAAGGCATGTGGACGTATCACGTCGCTCGCATATGTCAGTCTGTACCACGCATGACCTCATTGCTGGATGAAGCGAGATGAGATTGAGTGAGCGACCACCGACTGTCGAAGCTTTCACAAGCAGTCTCGTTCGTGAATTTTGCGTGAGCTGAGTGAGATGACCCTGCATCGCTTGGCCGGCCGACTCGGTACTTGCATCGCTCGTGTTACGTGTACAAGCTGGTTTGATCGATGCTTCGAATGCGAACATGGTCACCGGATGAAAGGATCCAGACAATGACTTTTGCATTGCTTGGGTGCAGTACACGTTATCTTCTCCCTTGCCATAACCTCCTGAGCTCGGACAAAATCGGACCATCATTCCTGAGGTCTCCCGGCTCCGCCACACACTTCACCTCCGACAACCTGGCCTCAGCGGCCTTCTTCTTGCTCTCCGTCAGCCGCCGTCTCTCCTCAGCCTGTCCTTTTGTAATCTTACTCCGCAGCTTTTGCAACTCTTCCTCCTCCTCGGCCCGCGCTTCCAATTCCTTCAGCCATGCGTCCAGCTTTTCCTTCCTATCTTTTTCTGCCGTGAGACCGTTGTACTCCTTTCGTTTGTCACGGTCCTTGTCCCAGTACATGGAACCACCGACGACGGCCAGGATGGTGAGGCCTTGGGCGTAGATACGGCGTCGGAACATGCGGTTTGTTTTGTACTTGTCGCCACTTTTGATCGATTTCGTTCTGCAGCAGTGTCAGAGAGTTTTTAAGACATGTCAAGGTTAAGTCTGCGCCATACGCTTCGTAAAGAGCCCAACATGTCAGGGCACAGCCGAGAGGGATCAGCGGCTCCTCTATGAGGCGCCGCTTGAACTTCACCCATCTTGACTCTTCGAAAAAGTCTGGGTCGCTATCAAAGGAAGATGGAGGAGGAGCGGGATTGATGTTGCCGGGAACCGACATGGTGGGAGTGGATGTCGCGTGCTTCCTCAGGGAAGCATGTGACGGCTAAGTGAAGGGCGGTTCGGATGGAGGCGCGAGGAAGGACCAAGATATTCCCGTTGATCGCTCTCAAATTTAAGCGTTCGATCGTCGTTGGGTAGATATTGTATAGCAAGCAGGTTGACCGGATCAAGATGAAGAAGACAACAGCTCATCTTCCCATCCATTTGGAAAGTTGAAGTCATGATGTCGAGTCGCAGCGGGAGGAGCCGGGCCCAGCGGCTGCGCTATACCGCAAGGAGATTGCCAGACCGCATGGAAATCCCAGCGACATCACACTCACAACTTCACATTCAACTAAAACAAGATAAACAGATCTCCGAGCTACTCTCACGAAACGACAAAAGCCATTCCACGCATGACTAGACGCTCATGGAGGAGCCAGCGGTAGCCAATGGCACGCACACGCCTCAGACACCGCCGCCCAATCCGCGGCATACTCAGCTCGCCTTGACGGAGTATGCCATCAATCCATCGCCGCCATGTGGAACGCCGCGAGAGAAGATTGAGAATGCCGGCGTTCCGGAGGGATACATATTACCCACCGGCTACCCTGACGTATCGTTGCCTTTCCTCCCCTGCCTACATTCGTCGCTGATCAGAAACAGTATCTCCGACTTATCTTGACCGCCAAAGTATACGACATTGTCGAGACCACGCCCCTAACACATGCCATAAATCTCAGTAATCGCCTCGATGCCAACGTCCTGCTCAAGCGAGAGGATCTTCAGCCCGTCTTCTCTTTCAAATTGAGAGGCGCCTACAATAAAATGGCCCACCTCGACAAGGACGAGAGATGGAAGGGCGTCATTGCTTGTTCCGCTGGTGAGTATCCTTCGCTATGTGTATCATACTATCCTTACTCATTCCCCCAGGCAACCACGCGCAAGGCGTAGCAATGTCGGCGCGCAAACTGAAAATCCCCGCCACCATCACCATGCCCACCGGCACTCCGGCCATCAAACACCAGAACGTCTCTCGTCTCGGCGCTAACGTCGTCCTGCATGGCGACGACTTCGATGCGGCAAAGTCCGAATGCACACGATTACAAAAGCTCCACGGCCTCACCAACATCCCTCCCTTCGACGATCCGTACGTTATTGCTGGGCAAGGCACGATCGGGGCAGAGATTCTGCGCCAGGCCGACATTTCCAAACTCGAAGCCATTTTCTGTTGCGTTGGTGGCGGTGGCTTGATTGCAGGTGTTGGCGTCTACGTCAAACGCATCGCGCCTCACGTCAAGATCATCGGCGTCGAGACCTACGACGCCAACGCACTCGTGCAATCGCTCAAAGTCGGCCACCGCGTCACGCTCAAGGAAGTCGGCCTCTTCGCCGACGGCGCTGCCGTCAAAACCGTAGGCGAAGAGACCTTCCGCCTGTGCTCCGAAGTCGTCGACGACGTCATCCAAGTCGACACCGACGACATTTGCGCGGCAATCAAAGACGTCTTCGAAGACACGCGCTCCATCCTCGAACCCGCCGGCGCGCTCTCCCTCGCAGGCCTAAAGAAATACATAGCCACCAACCCCTCCACCGACCCCTTCGCCCTCACAAACCGCCAACTCGTCGCCGTCGCCTCCGGCGCAAACATGAACTTCGACCGCCTGCGCTTCGTCGCGGAACGCGCCGCCATCGGCGAGAAGAAAGAAGCCCTCCTCTCCGTCACCCTGCCCGAGCAACCGGGCACCTTCGCCAAGCTCGTCGAAGCCGTGCACCCCATGGCCGTGACGGAGTTCTGCTACCGCTTCGCGCACGCGCGCCAGGCAAACGCGCTGATCGGCATCAACGTCAACCCGTCGACGCGCGCGCGCGACCTCGCGGACCTCTCAGCCCGCTTGGCGGAGGAGGACATGCTCGCGACGGACTTGTCCGCGAACGAGCTGGCGAAGTCGCACATTCGGTACCTCGTTGGCGGGCGCAGCAATGCGGAGAATGAGCGGTTGTTTGCGTTTGAGTTCCCCGAGCGGCAGGGCGCGCTGCATCGCTTCCTGACTACGCTGCAGCCGGGCTTCAACATCAGCTTGTTCCATTACCGCAACTACGGCGGGGACGTGGGCAAGGTGTTGGCGGGGATCCAGTGTCCTGCCGGGCGGGAAGGGGAGCTGGAGAAGTTCCTGAAGGATGTGGGGTATGGGTACAAGGAGGAGACGGACAACGAGACGTACCAGATGTTCATGCGGGAGTAGCGGGGAAGCGATGTTCAGATTGCGTGCTTTCTTTGTTCATCGCGTCTTTGAAGCGTCGGAGATGTCAGTGATATCCAGATTAAAGAAAGGTGTATCTCACGAGGAGAAGACGGCGAATGAATTGCGAGACTTTCAAACGGACTGCAACAGTGGTATCGAGCGGAAATATCAAAACACTGAATGAAGAAGATCCCCGAGCACGTTCCAAACTCAAGTAGATAAAGGCCTCGCAAGTCCGCTCGCTCAATCAAGCCAAACTCGCTCACAAACGAAAGCAGAAAGATGAACAATCGAAAGCAGGAAATGCCCCCGTTTACCGAATCTCATCTCCCCCACCGAGACCCGCGGGCGTAGCTTCCAGCGCCACGCCCAGGCCATTACTCTGATTGGGCGGCGTCGAGGTACCCGGCGCTGATGGCGCAGATGACATAGCGGGGAGAGCAGCGGCGTTCCAAGGTGTCGGCGCCATCTTCGTTGGAAAGTGTGGAGGAGGTGGTGGAGGTCGAGATGAAGGTGTGGCTTTGGAAGCGGCTTTTGGCGTAGGTTTTGAAATCGGCGTTGATTTCTTCGGTGCTGATGCGGTGGATGATGGTGCAGCGACTGCGCCGTTCGTTTTGGCGTGTGTCGTAGTCGATGCTTTCGCTTTCGAAGCAGAAGGAGAAGAGGGTGCTTTCAAGCCAGCTTTCTGCATTACAGGCGGCGCAGGCTTGGGCTTCGCCTCCACTGGCTTGACTGGCTGCGCTTTCGCCTTAACTGGACTCTTTGAGTCTGCATTCTTGCTTGCTGAAGCGGCGGTGGGTCGCGTCATGCGATCCAGAAAACTCCCCTCCACGACTGGCGCCAGGCTTCTTCTCGTCGTCGAACCAGCAGTAGAGTCTCGAGAAGGGGGACGCTGGCTGGTGGGTAGAGATGTGCGTGGTCTTGGTTTCGCAGGGGCGGGTTGTGGTTTCGGGCGTGACGCTGTAGATGATTTGAATGTGGACGAGGCGAAGGATGAGGAGGGTGCTGCGCTGTCCGGTTCATGCTTTGCTTTTGAAGAGGCGGTCGGGGCGGTGAGGTGAGATGAGAGGGCGTGCGGCTTGGTGACTTCCCGCGGCTTGTCTTTCGAATTGGATGGGGAGGTCTTGCTGCTTGTTGATTTTTCTGCTGCCGCGGCTTCGGAGCGTGCCATTGAGGCGGCCGTGGGTGCAGTGAGAGAGCTCCGGGGCGGTCTTGAGACTGATTTCCTGCCGGAGAGCGGAGTCTTTGGTTGATTTGGCGACTTGATGCCATTGGGAGCTGGCGGTTTCGTCGTCGTTTTGGTAGATAGCGAGGCCGGCCTCGCAGCGGTCCTCGTCGTAGTGGTTTTCGGAGCCGGTTTCTTCGTCCCGTTGGCCGCGTTGCTCGCCGCAGCAGTCCGCAAGTCCTCCGCTCCAGACGACAACGCAGCACCGCCGCTAACAGCGCCTGCACTCGATACATCCGCCGGTTTCAGCTCCGCCGGCTCCTCCTCAGCGCTCGTGACGGGTTTATCAGGCTTCGCCGGCTCGCCCAACATCGGTCCATCCGTAGCACCCAACGGCGTAACCTGCGCACTGACGCCTGCGCTCTCAATCGCCAGCTCGGAAGCAGGCCTTTGTTGGCTCTCGCTCATACTCTTCTGCAGCTCCAACAAATCGCCCTGCCCCTGCGCTTGCCCAAAACTGCCCCTCCGCTCACTCACACCTCCCTCGGCAGACATACTGTTCACCACAGGCTCGACGGTGACAAAACTCGCTCGCACTCTATTGCCTTTCGTCCACCCCGGCCCGTTCTCTTTGTCACTGCCGATACCGTTCGTCGGCGAGCGACGGCCTCGCGAGTCACCGACTGGCTGCGAATTACTGCTGTCGACGGACGTTTTGTTCTCGAAGATGGAGCGCAGATTGCGGACGGCGTCGGAGGAGCGGTGTTGGGCGGAGGACATGGCTGCGATTTCGAGCAAGGGGTCAGTCCAGGCGGATGGGAGGAGAGGGGAGGGGGAAGGAGATGGGATGGGCGAGGCAATGCGAGGGGAGTCAAGCTGCATTTGATGGGGAGGGAAGGTGCGAGTGGAGCCAAGAGTGGAGGCGAGGCGAGGTGAGGTGCAGTGCAGTGCGGTGCGGTGGTGCAGAGACGCGGTGTCCGACGCGTCTCAGGAGGCAAGCTCCGGGGTTCCAGTCGGAGAATTGTGCGGGAGGAATGCGCGCAATGCGTTTGGGGGCCGACTCACATGGATGCTGATCATTCATTCACTCTCCTCTTCAACGCTGCATCCTTCTTTGGCAGCGGTTGCAGCAATTGCATGAGGGCTATGCGGCGGAGAAAGAGCGGAGGCGTGACTTTGTTCAGGGGTTCACGCGGGTGTCTAAACGCGGTCACGTGTGCGCGTCTCCTTTCATTGGCCACGCAAGGGTGATGCTTCATCTCAGTATCAAAGACACACACCACCTGCATCGTGTAGCGAATCATAGCTGCATGTACGTCGTATGTTCAAACATAAACCTCTATCCAAGACCGGCCACCACACACCCACTATCCTTCCCACTGCCCACCCGCTCCAAATCCATCTCCTGCCCGTGCTTGACCATCGCCTCCAAATCCTTCTTCTTACACCGCCCCGTGTACTTGCATGGCAGCTGCCGCGAGAACAATTTCTGCTTCGCACACGTCGCACACCAATGCTCCACGCCGAGCGACAAGGCCACGAGCGCCGTCATGATGCCCACGAGCTGCAGGGAATTCAGCCGATCGCCGGCCAGCGGCAGGAAAAGCATGACGACGCAGATCAGCCAGCGCCCGCACAAGCGCCACCGCTTCTTCATCCGCGCCGTCGTAATCTCCTTGTGCACGTGCGTGACGGAGATGAGGCCCATAAAGGCCAGCGCGATGGCGTAGCCGGCGCAGTAGTACCAGCGGATCCCCTGCGGAATCACCTTCACCGCTTTGAGACGATACTCTTCCGTGAGGGCGTCAATGTTGGAGTCTGCGCAATCGACGGCCAGCACCAGGCGTGACAACGCTCCGCTGCCGAGCACAAAGGCCATGATGAAGGGCAGGTGGTTGAAGACCCACATGAACGCCGTGAACTTGTGCCGGCGGATGGCGTGGACGTGCAGGCCGGAGCTGTCGATTTCAAAGTACATCCAGTTGAAGCAAAAGGCCTGCGTGATGCCCAGCACCGCTTTGCCGTAGTGCGTGTCGATGCCGTTCTGGGTTGACTGGTAGAGCATCGACACGACGGAATAGCCGAACACCAGCGTGACAAAGGCGTTGATGCGCTCCGTACGATGCTCGATGTTGACCGCCGGCCAGAACTGAAAATTCTCATCAATCCAGGCTTGCGCCCTGGGGGAAATCCTCTTCATATGGCCCATGGCGTACTGCCACGCAACTGGACCCAGTATGTCGGCAATGATGGCCAACCAGACCCATATCAGTCGTAGGGGGTAAGGGAATTGTATGCTGACAATCCAGTACGCCACTCCACCCAAAGAATTGAATATATGGCTGTGCAGGACAGTTAGCGACGGGGAGTATCACTTAAGAGGGCAACACGCGGCATCTCACCAGAACATTACATTCCGTATCGTTGGCACTGTCAGCGCAACCAGGAGGAAGAAGGCGTTGATATACATCCTTGCGGCGATGTAGAATCCGATAAGCGTGGGGTACGTGCCGTCGAAGGCTTCGGTGATGTTGGTCGTGTAGCCGAACAGCATGGACATGAGCAGCAAGATGGAGACTCTCTGCAGCAAATCGTCGCTCTCGAACCACGACACCAGTAACGTCATGTCATTCCAGATCTTCCACGATAGCGTGAAGGTGATGATGAACTTCAGCAGTGTGTAGGCCGTGGGCTCATCGGCGGCCAAATCACCATTGACGGCGATGATACCGACGTAGAGCAGGTCGACAAACAATTCAAAGGACTGCACCTCTTCCGCCTCGGCCGAGCGCCAGAGATGGCCTTTGTAGAAGTATTGCCGGAGCACAGGAACCTGGAAGATTTTGAGCGGCTTGCCCAGCCCCTTCTCCGCCTTGCCCTCTTTGCTCCTGGTAGTTGACAACGACGACCTCGGCGTCGCAGCACCCGAACCAGGCTCACTGTCATCATCGTACGTCTTGATATGCGCATCATACCCGAACTTGTCGAAATGTGCATTCAACGCGACGCCATGCGTCGTCACGCGGTCCAGCTCGTGGCTCAGCGCATCCAGCTCATAATGCACGTCGGCAAACCGCTGGTACATCTCCTCATGCTCGGCGCGCAACTGCTCCCTTCGATCCGAGTGGTGGATATGCGCGGCGCGCAGCGCCTCAAGGTGTTCCGGCGAGCCGGAGATGTAAATGTCAAAGTCCTGGTCGTCGCCGCCGCTGTCGCTGCCGCTGCCGCTGCTGCCATGGCTGATTGCGTGCCTCAGGCGGTGCCGCAAGAGCGCCTCGTCGGTCGGCGAGTTGACGACGTGGATCTTCCTTCCGTTGGGATGCAAGAAGTGCTGCAGGCGTTCGCGCGCGTGGTGCGTGTGCGAGTGGCCGCCGGGCTGGTGATGCGACTCGGCGAAGCGCAGGCCCGCGCTCTTCTCCGCGTCCACCGGAGTGGTCGTCATGTTGGCAAGGCCGGCGTGCCCATGCACATCGGCGGTGTCATGGGCGACGAGTTTGTCGCTTTCCAAGTGGCGGAGGGAGCTCGTATTCAAAAAGAAGGGTTCCGGGGCGCTGCGGGTCTGGTTCGACGGGCTGAGGTCCGACTGATTACCGGAAAGGGCTTAGCAAGCACGCCACCCCACGCGCTTGGCTTTTAGTCATGCCATGCGACCCGCTGATTGAGACGAATACAATTCCACCGTTGCAGATATAAAATACACCTCGAGCGGAATGATACACGCAGCACTCTGTATCACTTCCTCCAGTCTTCCGTTGTAGCCCTTGCTCCAACTAACTCTGTTCGCAAGTCCTCCCTCAAGACATCAACCCCTCCGCTCCTCCATGGGTAGGCGAAGATGCCAAGCCAATGGCGCTGTCAACCGTCCTCTTCCTCCCCCTGGCCCTCCCCCTCTTCCCCTCCGCCTCGGCGCCACTCGGAACCTCCATCAGCATCAATTCCTCCAACAACTCTTTCCCATCATCCTCCAGCCCTTCGCCCTCCTCCTCAACAATGACCTTTGCGGCATCCACCTGCTCCTGCAAGCGGGCGATAAAGTGGGACGAGCGACGGACGTAGTCCCCAAACTTGCGACCGATGCTCTCAATCGTGCGGGTGTGCTTGCCGTTCGTAGCAGCCAGCGCGGCAATCTCCTCGTCGCGCGCAGAGAGGAGATCCTGCCAGCGCCTGTCCGCGTTGCGCACTTTCGTCTCCACCGCGTGAATCTTGTCCTGCTTGTCTTTGATGGCCAGCTTCAACTCGTCCACCTCAGCATTCTTCTCGTTCTGGAAGACGAGCAAGAATTCTGCTTCGTCTTGCACCTTGCGCTCCAGCTCCGTCTTGTCCTTTTCCAGATCGTCCCTCACCAGCTTCAGCTCCGTGATTTCGTAGTCGAGAGACTCGATCTGCGCGTTCCTCTCGTCAATCTGCGACTGATGCTCACGCGCGGTGTCGGTGGCTTGCTGTTGCAAATTCGCCACAGTGTCTTCATGTCGATCAATGGTCTGGCGTAGAGTCGTGATATTGTCTTCCAGCGTCTGAATGTGCGTCTCGTCCTCTTCAGCCTGGGCGTCCTTTTCGTCTTCAGCGCTGTGCAAAGCATCTCGAAGCTTCTGGATCTCCACGCCCTGCTGCTCAAGTTGATCTTTGAGAATTGTCAGCTCCGCATCACGCTCTGCGAGAGTCTGGCGCATCTCCCCCTCCACCTTGCTCAGCTGACGCTGCAACTCGTCGATGTTGGCAGCACGCTCTTGAGCAAGCGCTTCGGCTTCTTCACGACTCTGCACCTCTCCCGCCATCTCTTCCTGGAACTGCACATCACGCCCGGATGCTGCGTCCTTCAACTCCTTGACCTGGCGGTCATGCTCTGTCTGGACTTCGAAGAGTTTCTGGCGGAGCTCATTGGCTTGTTTGCCCTGGTCGTGTAGCTTCCCGGTAAGACTCTCGACGCTCTCATTGCTCTCGTCCAGCGCCTTCTCCGCGGCCTCGCGCTGTTGACGCTCTGCCTCGGCCAGCTGTCGAAGCTGATCAAGCTCTTCCTGGTAGCCGTCCAGCTCATCATCCAGACGACGCACGCGCAAGGCAAGATCTTCAATCTCGGCGTCCTTCTCTTCCAACTCCGTCTCGACAGTGTCGCGTTTCTCGTGCTGCTCGTCCCTCTCTGCGGTGACTGCATCCAGTTTCTGTTGCAGCTCATCGCGCTCCGCGTCAATCCCGTTGATATGGGCTTCCAGTCCTGTGATTTTCTCTTGATGACGATCGTTCAGCTCGTCAGCTTCCTTTCGACCTTTCACCTCGCTATCCAGCCGATCCTCGAGGTCTCGCACGGTCTCCTCGCGCTCCACATTCATAGCAGTGACGGTGCGACGATGCTCATCCTCCATATCGTTAATACGTTTGGTGAGCTTGTTCTCAGCGTCCTGGTATTCGCGGAGTGAGATAGAGAGGCGCTCAACATTCTTCTCGAGCTCACTCTTCTCTGCTTCCAGCTGTCCTGCGCGTGCAGTCTCACTGTCACGCTCTTTCTCGGCGTCGTCTCGGTCAGCATCGTTGGCACGAACGTCTTCTTGAAGGTCGGCGATGATGGTGTCTTTGCTTCGAACTGCCATGGTGAGCTTGGCACTCTCATCGCGCATTTGAAGCTCGTTGATCTCCTTGTTGGCGAGGCGGTCCAGCAGTCCGTTGATCTGTCCTCCCAGCTCGTTCACGAGCTCGCCTTTGCTGCCCAGCTCGCCATCCGCTGTGCGCAAGCGTTCCGCAAACTCCTGCACATTGGCGACAAGATGGTCGACCAGATCTTTGCTGGAAGCATTCTCCGGCAGACTGCCCGGCAGCTCGGTCTCGAGGAACTCGCGTGCTTGAGCGAAAGACTCGCGGATGGATTGGAGGACGTCGCGGCTGGGGGCGCCTTCTGCAGCGAAGTCAAGGGATTCCAGTTCGATGTTGAGGATACGGAGTTGACTGGTGGCCTCATTTGCCTCTCTCTCCAGGGCCTCGATAGCGTCGTGGAACTGTTTACGCTCCGCAGCCCACTGAGACCGATCGTACGCACCAGGAGTGACAGACTTGCGGGATGCATACTTGTCCGTGCCGTTCATGAGGGGGGTATGAGGTGCGTTCGGGAATTGCATGACTTCAAACTCGTCTTGTGCATTGAGAACGAGCATGTCATCATCGTGTGGAGTGTCGGTTGTGCCGTCGAACTGCATGTCGATCTCGCGTTGTGTGATGCCATCTCGGAGGGTGGACAGACGACGGATACGCTCATCGAGGACGGCTCTCAGCGGAGCGAAGGAATGCTCTTGAATGATCTGGGTGGGCTCGTCGAGAGACAGGGCATGGGGGAGGGAAGTACGGCTGCTCTTCACTCGCTTGACACTGCCGGCGACGATGGGCGAGTCGCTGCGGCGGCGCTTGATGGCCATCTTGCGTGGGTGTGGAGTGATGTTCGTGGCGGATGGTTCCATGTTCTCGTCGTCCTCTCCAGCGTCGCTGCCGAAGTGAACTTGTTTGGCCGAAGACTGAGAGACTTGAATCGTGTCGGTAGTAGCATCGTTCGTTTGCGAGCCGGCAATCCCTTCGCAGACCGGTGACTTGCTTGCGGCCTCGTCCATCACTTTATCCTCCTCCTCTTCAATAGTCGTGGCGTCAAGTTGTTGAGACGCAGGTGCCTTGCCCTTCCGCGGTCGGCCACGCTTAGCCGGCGTCTTGGTCAGGATGGTAGAGGCCTCAGAGATGTTGGAGGTATCACTGTGTCTACGCTTGCGAGTGGCTGCGCGAGTAGCTCGTTGCGGTTCTGGCTGGGAAGCGCTGACGGGTTGTGCAGCAGCAAGTGCAGCCTTCGCCTTTGCCTTCTTGGGCGGCATGGTTGGTGTATGTAGGCGGTCAGAGGACGGGCAGTGAGCAGTTCACCAAAATGTTCCAGAAGCCTTCACAGCAGTAGGATGTCTGAGACGGGATGATGAGTGCAGCAAAGGATGGGAAGACGCATGTTTTGGGGAGTGTTTGCGTGAGGCAAGACGTCATGTTTCAATTTGGGCGGCGCGTCCAAGCGCGACGAGATATAATTGGCCTTTGCTCATTCACCGCCGACTCACACCTTCACGCAATACAGCACAGTTGCTAGAATTCACTAGATGCACTGGCAGTAAAGGCCAGTCTTCACACAATCAACGCATTGAATGCATTTCTCCCGTCACTGTAAGCAGGTGCTGGCATTCACATTGGCATCAGCCCCAGGCGGGATTCACGAAATTTCCGCGTCATCACGTGATGTGACATGATGTGTTCATTCTTGCCAGCGCAACATAGGATCGCATTGGACATAACCCGTAGAACTAGTAGACGACAGAAGTCCGCTCCTGTGTTTCTGCTCCTCCCCCGCCGCTGATAGTACCCATGAACTCCCGCCATCGAAACACCTCGCCCTTCCCTTTCGCAGCATGCATCCCCTTTGCACCAAAAGCCCTCCGTCCTGCGAACTCTCCCAGAATGCCGTCAATCTCCTTCTCGCTCAGCTTATCCATCTGCTCTCCCGGCTCTGGCGCAGTGTTCAACAGAGCCGTCCGCAACTGTGCAACATCAATTTGCCCAGAATCATCGACGTCAAACGCGGAGAAAGCGGCAGCCAGTTCGTGTGTCTGACTGAGATCTGAAAACGGAGCGCTGAGGGTGTCAAGGTATCGGGCCAAGTTCAACTGTGCGGGTCCATTTGGCGGGAAGAACTCTCGCACATCGGCCGGGGTATTGGGCAGCCCCATCTGTTCCAACATTGAAGCTACCGAAGCAGAGCTTATGGAGCCTGTGTTGGAAGAGTCGAGGACTTCAAAAGACTCTCGCATGCTGCGAAGCAAAGCCTGGGGAACATGATTGTACCCGGAAATGCCATTCCCCAGCCTAGGCGCTGTTGATGCCGGCTTAGTGGTGAAGCTGGGCGCTTTGATTGTCGACGTGTTGCTGAGTGCTCTTTCCGATCGCTGTGGTGTTGTCGTCATAGTTGAGCGAAAGTTTGTTGGGGATGGAGCGGGGATGGAGGGTGTGTCAAGAGCTGGCCCATCGAAAGGCGACGGATATCCACTCGCCTCTGGAGCCGGCGATATGCTTGCTGGTCTTGGTGACAGACCTGAGAGCTCCTCACGTCCACCGATATAGCTGCTCGGCCGCGACGGAGATGTGGTAATGCTCAGACTGCTACCAGGCCTTCCAAAAGGGCTCGAGGGACGTGCAGCTGTCTGGCTATTTTGTGATGGTCTTCGCCCAAATGGAATCGGTTTCTCGGGAGAGAGGGAGCTGGCCTTGGTCGGAGATGTATTCGAGAGTTTGGAGGGACTGGCAGGTGTCGGTGTGTTGGCCCGTCCGGTGGAGGATGCGCTGCTGTTTTGGCGTTTGAAGGGCGATTGGCGACCGGAGTCGGGGGTGAAAGGGCGGAAAGACTGCACACTGTTAGTTTGAACGGTCATTCCGACTCCATTATGCCCACATACCATTTCTGGGGTCCCAATTTTCTGGTAACGAGGTTGATCGAGCTCACCACGTTGTTTACAAACACGCTGGATCTGGTAGCAACGGGGGATTTCGGCAAGAATCCGCGGGGATTTGCCGGCACGGTCCGCCAGCACTAGTCCCAATGAGGGCGCAATGCACGATGCAGGGACGGATTCGCATGTGAAACAGTGCGGGGCGCACATCTTCAATTGCCAAAAGACACGGAGACAGGGACAGTACCTGATCTCTTCATCGTGTTCCACAGGATCATCAGTGTGCTGACCGCTGTCGGTGCGAGGAGGAGGCGCCATGGCTTCGGCGACAATGCTCCCCGCGCGCCCCAACACCAACTCCACCGGCACATCGAGCACATCTCAACCATCCCGTCGACAAACCTCCCTTCAATCCTTCCCATCGCTGGGATCCGGCGGGTCTGGATCGCAAGATGAGCCAGTGCACATGGGAACGTCGCCAAATCACGTCAATGCACGACGCCCACCTAGTCGGGCTGCCCCCGTCCCAAACGCCGCGATGGGAAGACCCAAAGTCAAGTCTCAGTATCCCCCCTCGAGTGCGGAGAGTGATCGACATGTCGAATACATCCTCGTTGCATCCTTCGACATTGACCGTGGGAGTATCATGGAACACCAGTATCCCGGTCCAGTCGGAGGCGATGAACACATGTTGGCAGAGCTGATGCTGCCTGATCAAGCCCACGTGCGAAGTCAGGATTGGACCATCTTCTTCTTGCACAAGGATGGGGCACCGGAAGAGGGCGAAGAAGAGGGCGAAGACGGCGAACAAAATGGCGCCGCCTTACGAGCTTCCACCTCGCAGAGACGGAGACAGAGACGAAGACAGCGACAGACCGGGTCGGGTGGACAAAGCCAAGGAAGCTGGCATGGTGGTGAGGAGAGCGATGACGAGTCCCTGCTGGACAATATAGACGGCCCGCCCCTGGTGTACGTGCTCAACCTCGTCAACACCAAGCAAGACAACAGCGTCAAACGTGGAGCCGTTGTAAAAGCCATGGCCATCTGTACAAGGCATTCCTTTCTGCATATCTACAAGCCTCTACTCTTGCTCGCACTGGAGCAATACTTTGCGCATCCGGCATTGGAGACGCTGGCCGGGCTTTACGATGCCGTCAACTCAATGGATCTCAGCCTAATGCCTCGCCTGGCCTACTACGAAAAGTTCATTCTGCAGAGCTCTGACGCAAAAGACCTGTTCCTGGAGAAGTTCGAAGCCATCATTGACCAGCGTATGGCCGAGGATGATGTCCCGAAGATTGACATTCCCCCGACTACTCCCTCACCCACAGCACTTCAGGCATCACGCAGTCGTTTTGGTCTACCGCGGGATACTCACGAGTTCGATTCGATTGTGCATTATGCGAATGTGCCTGTGCCTGTCAAGGTACCGGTTGCTTTATTTCCGGAGACCGTCGGCGACTTTTCCCTCATCAAACTCATCTCCACCTTTTCGAAGCCGCACTCCACGTCTCCTCAACCATTCCAACCTCTACATCCACATCTCACGACTGGCGGGAGCTTGACCCACCCCATCATCGTTCTACTCAACGCACTCTTGACTCAGAAGCGGGTGATTTTCCTCGGCCATAACCTGCCCTCTCTCGATGTCGCACAAGCCGTCCTCGCTGCTTGCTCACTGGCGTCAGGAGGGTTACTGCGCGGCTTCACTAGACACGCCTTCCCATACACGGACCTAACAAAGATTGACGACCTCCTCAACGTCCCGGGCTTCATCGCAGGTGTGACGAACCCTGCCTTCGCGCACAAGAGTGAGTGGTGGGATCTCCTATGCGACCTATCGACGGGCCGAATGAAGATCAGCCCACGAATCCAGCAGCCTGCCCTTACAGAGGGGGTGGCATACTTCCATAATCCTCAGAACGGACAACCCGGCGCCGCAACCGCAGCGACACTTGTCGGAGCAGGCACAAGTCTTGCCTCGAGCCACAGCGGAGCAGGATCCAGCGGGCCCAACGCCGCCGATGCCACAGGCGACGCAGCATTCATGGCCAACGTACTCCACGCCATCCAACAACGACACGGAGAGAATGCCGTGCGAAGTAAATTCCGACGCTGGGTGTTGAAATTCACCCGACTAGCAGCAGCATTCGAAGAGATCGTCTTTGGCGCCACGAGTCTGCACATCCAACACTCCAGTCCGGCCGGCACGCCGTCAGCCCACACCAACGGCGCCAGCACGCCCGTCGAAGCAAGCGGCCACGGCTACGTCTGGGCCTCGCCCATCAGCCGAACCATCGAGCTCGCGGCCAACGCCACGCGAATCGAAGGCTGGCGAATGACGCGCAGCTACTACAATTTCATCCAGGATCTCGCCGCCTTCTACGAATACCGCCCTGTCAAAGCCATCGATGTGCACCATCTGCACGACGAGCTGGCGAAGCTGCGTCTTACGCATGATCAAAGCGCGGCCATCTACCTCGCCATCTGTGCGCATATTCACACCGATGCGGAGATTACGCATCTCCTCGCTGCCGTGTTGTCTGGCACGACTGATATCGCACCAAGCGGCGGTGCGGCGGGGTCTGCTAGTGTAGGCTTCCAGGGACAGCATGGGCTGTTCTACCTGGCCTTGGGTTTGTTTCATCCGAAACTGGAGGTTAGAGAGGCGGTGGCAGAGTTGTTGTGGAGGATCCAGAGGCATGAGGCGGGGCGCCACTTCTGGGAGGGGTTGGGGAGGTTTGCGCGTGTGGGGTGGGAGAGGATCATGACTGGGCGATTGGGTGGCGTTGGAGAGGAGACGTAGTGATGGTGGCTTGATGTCTTGACGATTGTGACGAATGTCCATATACCCGGTGCGGAAGAATCCCACGAGTTCTGCAAAATTCACCGCCACGGAGCGGGTTGGAAATTTTCATTTCTATTCGTGGGTATTCGGAGAGCATCGTCCCTCTTCGCTCCCATCTGTGCCGCCAAAGCTGGTAAGACGTCCTCCAGAGGGAGACTACATCGCACGCCATCCCGTCCAGAGCCATGAGCGTCGACATCGGCGAAGAAGAACTCCTCACTTCGCAGACCGCCCATGTTGACAGCCGCGATCGGGGTGCCGTTCGCCTTGGCACGCTTCACCACCCGCCATGCAGAATAAGTGGCAAGCGAAGAGCCCAGCACGAGCACGTGCGATGCATCATCCACAGCCGCCTCGACAGCCTCCTTCACAGATGCCGGGATCGACTCGCCAAACATAATAACCGCAGGCTTCAAGATTCCCGCAGTAGACGTTGCCGACCAAGCACCATCGCTGTCGACCTCCACCCTCTTGCCCTCCGGCGGCTTCGCGAGACAAGTCGGACACGCGGGATATCGAAAGGTAGAGTACTCCACGCCAGGCACGTCGACATCGCCATCCGGATTCGTTTTCAGACCTCTACGTCGTCGCTCAGCCGGGTTCTCCGTGCTCAGCGCCCCGGATTCCAGCATTTCGGCGAGGAAGGTGGCCCAGGGCGGATTCAACGCCGTCAACTCGGCCTGGAACTTCGCGCGATCGTACTCGGTGCGGCAGGATAGACACACCGTACTGCGCAGATAGCCGTGCAACTCCAGCGTCCGGAGATCCGGATGCGCCTGGGAATGGAAGGAGTCGACATTCTGCGTAATGACGCAGGAAATCACGCCTGCCTTCCCGAGCTGCGCGACGGCCTCGTGTGCCCTGTTAGGTTTGCTGCGATTCAGCGTCGTCCAGCCGAGAAAGCTGCGAGCCCAGTAGCGCTTTCTCGCCTCATGGTTCGCGCTGAATTCGTGGAAGTAGATGGGTCGGTAGGTTTTGTTGAGGGTGTATGTGCCTTGGCTTCCGCGGTAGTCTGCCAGGCCTGATGCTACCGATATCCCGGCGCCGGAGAGGATGACTGCTTTGCCGCCGCGGGCATTGCTGGTTTTGGGTGGCGTGGAGAGGAAGTTTTGAAGGGCTGCGACTGCGCCTTGGATTGTGGTTGCTGAGGCGGGAATGATGGTTGGACTGGGCAGTGGCGAGGTGTAGGGGATTCGCATTAACGGCATGGACACTTCTTGTTGACCCCGGCGATGTGTTCAAGTGTCGTCTTTCGCAAGCGCATGCATATCGAGGAAGTGTTCATGTCGTCACGGAATTTAGGCTTTGGCGCTACGAGAAATAGACTTTGGGATCTCCAGACTCTCCGTGCACTGTGCTCGACTCGACTTTCCTATCGTACAGAAAATGGCCCACACCTCTTTACATACTGGTGGAATGATGCGGGGGAAACACTGTGTTGAGGTCGTCGTTTTCCTTCGGATTTGTCCTATCTGCTTACAACTTTTACCTTACATCGTCGTCCAAACAGTTTGAGGAATAGCTGGCCGTGCCCATGGTTACAAGATCTGCTCAAGTGCTGCAAACACTGCAGTCTAGAGCATCAACACAGCACCAACCACCGCCATGGCTCCCGCACCCAACCCAGCGTAGGCGGTATGCGTCGGTGCAAGGCCGCTCGCTACCGACGCACTAGAGGAGGATGCACTGGTGGCCGCGCTGCTGGCCGCCGTTGTCGCCGACGACATGCCAGTGGAACCGCCGGCAGCACTGGTGGTGCTAGTAGCACTCAAAGTCGAGGACGATGCCGGAGGGGCATTGCCGCCACCCAGCGCCGCGCAGCTAGTGAAGTTCTTCCCGCCCAGGAACTTGCCGACCGTCTCGGCATCAGTCAAGTGCACTTCGTGCAGCAGCGCGCCGGCGGCGGTGACGTTGGTGGAGCAGAAATGCGCCGTGAAGTTGAACTGCGACGCCTTGCCGCCACAGTACTCGGTGACGGTAGTGCCGTCGTATGGGATGAAGAATTCGTATGTCCCGAGGTTCAGCAGGGCGGTGTTGTGCACTTCTTCGTACGGCCCAGGCGATGCGGGCTTGCTGTAGTTCAAGATGGTCTCGATGACAGTGAGGCCGTCGAGGGGATAGGTGCGTGCGGTGCCGACGGTATTGTCGGTGCCATTCAGCTTGACGCTGCCTGCTGGGCTTCCGGACCAGGTGAGATTCTGGTAGTTGCCGATGATGCTGATCACTTGGTCGTAGGTGTATGGGACGGTGAACAGGACCTCGTCCGTGCCTGCGGTGAAGTTGCCCGTGCAGGTTGTTGGGACGGTGACATTCTGGGCGGAGGCGAGTGCGAGGAGGGTGGAGGTGGTGGAGAGAGTAAGGAACTTCTTCATCTTGGGCGGTAGTGAGTCTTTCGAAGGATAAAAAGTTGATATACAATGTAAAGGTCGGCGGGGAAGAAAACGATTCGAACGATGCGAAACGGGGACTCACGCGGGTTCAAATAGTTTCAGGGACAGGCGACAATGCAAATCTATTCGAGTAGGCCTCGGCAAGGCAGTGACGCTACTGGAGGTGCGAAGACGAATCGCACGCAGTCTAGGCGTTAAAAGAACCGGTCTGGAACAAATGGCGGCGATGCGGAAACAGGAACAAGTCTAGCTCGCAGTCCCTGAGTGGGGCTCACTCTGGGGTAGTTGCGGGGATCAATGATTGGTCTAACAAACACGAGGCACCCCTGGCTGCGCCGCCTTGATCGCTCAAATGACGAGCTTGAGCTTCAGCAGATCTTTCTCCACAATCTCGTCTTTCTTCGCCAGAAGCTCCTCCATCGATCCTGGTCCGTAGACAAAGCGACCGGCCAACCTGTGGGTGAGTGGGAAAGTCAGCCCGTTGCATTCCTCTCGCTACGAGTTGGCGCACAACTTACCACTCCCGTCTCTCTCGCGTCAACCACGCGATCGTGTCGCCGGCCAACTCCACGGTTTGTGTCAGCACGTCATGCCTGGATGTGGGCATGTTTAACGCAAGCTCCGTCTTAGCCCCGCATGGGTGTATCGCGTAGGCGATCAGGCCCTGTAAAATCGGTGTTAGGCATTCTCTTGTTTTGTGACCATGACGCAGCATTCAGCAGACGCCATGTCATTCGTCCATTCGGATTGCGTGCAAATTTACCTGATCCCGATACTCCGCCATCAGAAAATCGGTAAGCCGGAGTTGCATTGTCTTGGTGCTCTGATAGGCGCTGGCTCCTGGGCTGATGATGGATGTCTTGTTAGTACTGCAGGACGAGAAAGGTTTCAGCGGAACCGGGAGTACACACAAAGTAGCAAGTGCTCCGCCACTCGAGACAGTGAGGATAGTTTTCTGAGTGCTCTTCAAAACCAATGGAAGAGCAGCTCGAGTGACGACGTACGTCCCCTTGACATTCAACTCCCACGTCGCCCACCAATCGTCGACGTCGGTTTCGGCCAGGGGAACCCACGCTTCCAGTCGGCCAGCGTTGTTCACCAACACGTCCAGAGTCTGGAAGTGCGTCTCAACGTCTTTGATAGCCTCGCCCACAGCAGCGGGATCGCAGATATCCACTCGCAGCTTCAGGAGCTTCGGCTCCTTGCGGCCTGCTTGCTTTGCAGCTTCCAGAACCTCTTCTGCTACCTGGTCGAGGTCCGACCGGGCAAGCAAGGCGATTCCGGAGGCCCCTGCGCGTGCTAATGAGATGGCTGCCGCTCGGCCAATGCCTTTGGATGATCCGGTGACGAGGACATTGAGTCCTGATGCATCGCCCTTTGTGGGGTCGATGAAAGGATACGTATCTAGTGGACAGGTAGAATATGCATTAGTCTAAAAGATGTCTTCGTTGGAGTAAAGTACCTCTCCATCGATAAACTTGAGGTACACACCAAGGTATGCTTTCGAGACAAATTGAAACCCGAAGGGATTGTCCGACGGCGCAATCGCCAGGCCAGGTATCTTGGCCATTGTAGATTTGGAGGGAGTTGGAGGGAATTGGAAGAATGGGTGATCGACTGAGTCGATGTTGATGCGAATTAGAATATCGTGTGGTGCGTCTGGTCGTATATATAACCCAGCGATCCGGAGATACGTCTGACTAGTAAATCCGCCTGTCGAGAATCTACATGTATGCACTTCAATCTTCTTGGCAGTTTCGATGCGGGCGTCAAGATACCATTTAATCTGCCTTCTCGTGTCAAAAGAGCGACAAGCACCGAGGGACCTGAATGTCGGGCTCCATGTTGAGTACTCTGCACAATGTGGCTTGAAGAAGGTGTATGCAAATGCATTTCCAATGCGATTCTAATAAGTCCGCTTACTTCGGAAATATCGCTTAAGCCCGTCGGTAGGTTTACACTGCAGCGTGTCCGTCAGACACGTCGATGTTGATCAGTTACCCTTCTTGCGTATCGCTTCAGGGCCCATGCTCGACACCATGCGACTGATCAACATTCCGAACCCCATCGATGCCTGTAGATAGAGTCGAGTGAACGGAGCCCGTTGGAGTTTGAGGTCTGCTTAGCTAACACGCGTGAGCGGCTCCTTCCCGCCGCATTGTGGCAGCCTGATGCTTTTCCCGGAATCCGTCTTCGCCCGAGCCTCGCCGATTAGATAACACGCGTGTCCTTCACAGGCTCCCAGTCCGTGATCGAGGATAGGACGAATTGTATAAAAATGCGTCCATCTCCCGTGTCGTGTTTGCTGGTAGTCAACAGTTGCAACAATTCCCTTGGTCTGAAGCCTACCCTGCCCAGCCTTGTCGTCAGCCGAAAGCCACCATGACAGACGGACGTCCAAGTGGGTATTCATCGACTACTCAGGTACTGATGCTTCTCCATAACTGATTGTTAATAACAGTCCTCGGAAGTCTGTACGTCTACGCACCCAACGACGTCGCGCCAGTCGTGTTTATCGTCTTGTTCGCACTCTCAGCAGTTGGCCATATATGGCAATGCCGGTACGCCCTTGTGCTTCGCACGTAGTCCACATGGATGTGGCTTTTGCTGACTCGACAAACAGCCGATACAATGACCGGCACTTGACAGGCGTCCAAGCATTCTGCGCAGTCCTGTACACGATCGCCTATGCTCTTCGAGAGTATGGCGCGTTCAACTACTTGTACTCCACGCCCAACTTGGCTTGCTTTATCATCAGCGAAGTTTTTATTTATATTTCCCCGTGCGTCTGATCCTTTCCCGACCCCGAGACGACCCATTGACCAATTGCACTTTGTCAAACAGTCCCCTCCTCGAACTAGCCAACTACCACATCCTGGCGCGCATCTTCTTCTACGTCCCGCACGAAGCGACCATCCCTCCAAACATGGTCTTCGCTCTCTTCGGCGGCTTTGTGGCGATTGTAGAGGGGTTGAACGGCGTCGGCGTCGGCTTCATCTCCAATCCGTCCTCGTCCCCGTCGAAGCAAGAGATCGGAAGTCACTTGACGATCGCCTCGCTGGCACTGCAGATCGTGAACATCATGACCTGCTACTCCCTCGCCATCATCTTCCACTGGCGATGCAGTAAGACCAAGACTGCGAGCGCGGCCATTACCGCGCCCCTGCTCGCGCTGTACGCGAGCATGGCGATGATACTGACCCGGAGCGTCTTTCGCCTGGTCCAGAATTCAGGCGACGTGGCGCTCGACATCTATGATTACCCGGCGTTGGAGAAGCTCACACCGTTGCGACGGTATGAGTGGTACTTTTACGTGTTTGAGGCGGCGCCCATGCTCGTGAGCTCGATTGTTTGGAATGTTTGGCATCCTCGGCGGTATCTGCCTGAGAATCCGTGTCTTCATTTGGATCGGGATGGAGTCACTCTCGTCGGACGGCTGGATAGGGAAGAGAAGCGATCGGTGATGCAGAGGACTGGGAATGTGTTGTCTTTTGGTATGCTGTTCCAGGCGAAGAAGCGAGCGCCGGAGATGTTGGAGGAAGCATGATGGGCTAGTATCGTCTTGGTGGAGGCTGCGCTTCGGTACAACAATTCGAGGTGAGCAAGGATAGAATAGAAGTCGTTTGCTCCTGGTTCTGTGTAGCTTTGGGATTTAGACTTGGATGCCATTTGCAGCTTCAATCCAATAATGCCACTGAGGCTCGAGGCCATCCTTGGCGAGGTCGAGATTGTAGTCGCCGGCGTCCTGAATGGGCCAGAGAGTCTTTGCACGCTTCAACAACACGGCGTAGTAGATGAATATCACAAGAGCCTCCGGCTTCCCTTCTTCAAGCCATCTCGAGAACTCGGCAGGTACGAGGTGAGGCCACGAGAAGACCATTCGAAATTTGTTGCCGCCGACGGGCCCGTTATCCTCCAGCAAGTCGTAGCCGAGTTGCAGATAACGCAGCACGACGCGGTATATTTCTTTCTGACCCTCGTCGCTAAGCGGGGAGCTCTCAATCCATCGTAGCACTGCTTGGCATTGGGATCCTTGAGGTGCACGAGAATGGATTGTCGAGCTTCCGGATAAGATGGGGTGTAATTCCGTCTGAAGCAACGATGGCCAGGCAGAGCGTGCGACGGCCGGAATTCCTCGCTGGATGCTGGTGCAGCGGCCGAAGCTCGTGGCGAAGGCTCCCCATCCATCATAATTTCGCGCAGACAGGGTATCGGTAAGGACATGGTGGCCGAGGATGACGGAGAACAAAAGGATGCTGGTAGCGTCGGCCTCATTTACAGGATACCCAGCGGCGGTGGCGGTGTTGAAGAGAGCGAGGCCATGGGTCTGCAGACGGACGGCTTGCTGAAGATGGCTCGTTGCTGATTCGGGGTGGAGAAAGGCGAGGTGGCGGGCGGAGAAGGCGAGAAGCTGGTACATGAGAAATGGGGCTTTTTGCGCCTCGTTGAGGAGAAAGGAGATGTTGCTGAAATGCTCCCCGATGCCGTCACCGAGCTCGAAGAGAGTTGGGTCTGTCATCACGTGGGTGAGGAGAGCGGCGTGCTGCATATTAATCTGCTCGGTGTCTCCAGCGCCATTTTCGGTTGCATTGAGGGGCAGCTCAATGTTGCCAGGAGGGATGGAGTCGCTTATCGGGCGCGGCGTTTGATGCGTCTTTGACGTGGACGCAACGGTATCGCCTCGAGTGACAAAGCTACACTCTCGTTTCGACACGACGCAGAGTCGGCACGAGGGTCGGCCTTCATCGCACTACAAACGGCCGTTGATCCTCAGTGTCCCACCGCTGAAGTCTGGAAAGAATCATACTTTGACGTGCCGTCGCTAACTGTTGGTATTGTCAGTCCTCGGCGACAGGAACACTTGTCGACACCATCTCTCACCACTGCTCACAGCCATTCAATGATTTTGTGTGGCTACGACGGAGCATCTCGCCCAGTGCCAGTCTTGTGCCTTAACGCCACGCATTATAGGCTGTGCTCGTGAAAGCAAGATCCGCTGAGCAATGGAGTCGAGACATGCGTCTGCTGCCTTGCGGGACAATTGTTAGACGGGTGAGGTAAGCTCCGTCATCTCACAAGATGACGTTGTTGCCTGCCTGAGGCAGCAGTCCGGCGCTCGGGTCCACATCTCATGAAGAAACCCTACAATCCCTCGGATTCGATGGCAAACCACGGTCCAGTCGTGTTGTTGCTGAACAATACCGTTCATCTACATGAATACAGCCATCCGACGAAAGTGGAGCTGCGATCTCGCCAACTCGCGCGGCACACTGCTTGTTTCGACCTCCGGGCTCGGCACGGACGGCAGTTCTCTTCTGAGCACCGCATGCACGATGAGCGACTTGATTTCGAGCAAGTGGCGATTGCCCTCGTTTCCCGGTCTGGCAACAATCACGGCATGGGTAAATGACGGCAATGGCCAGAACGGTTGAGAAACAACCCAAACGCCGAGCGGCCCATCTCCTCTCGCACCAGCCTTGGACGGCGGAACGGCCATGTGGACACCGAGGCCTCGAGAAGGCCCGAAACCATGCCTCTTCCACCCTAGCTCGTGGCGTCAGGCTGGTGGGTTTGATGCACAGCACGAACGGCATCACTCCACTCCCTTCGACTCCAGCAAGTTTACCAACACACCGTGCGTTACTAGCTCGAATACTCGCAGTGTGATCTGCACGATTTCCCCGTCAAATGCCCCCGACGCGGTCTGCGGAGAATGATCAAGCGCTGCATTGAGGTGCGGGGTGTTGATCTCGAGAGATGGCGTGCCGCCCACGTTGGTACGGTCGAAGAACTTATAATGAAGCAGCTCCCGCCATGTTCTGTGTACTTTCGTCGACATTTCCACCGATTGGGTTGATTCCTTCTTTCTCGCAGTTACTTCCATCAACTGTACCTCATACCTCCCTCCCTCATGGTGCGTTTCGTTATCAAGCCGCCGCCCGACGATGCTGGCAAGGCATGGCCCGCCATTCTGATCGGCCTGTTCGTCGCCTTTGGTGGTGTGCTATACGGCTATGACACCGGCAACATCAGTGGTGTCATCGCCATGCCCTACTGGCTGCAGCTCTTCTCCACCGGCGCAAAAGACAGCATGGGAAACCCGGCCATCACCTCCTCGCAATCCAGCCAGATCGTCTCCATCCTCTCCGCAGGTACATTCTTCGGCGCCCTCTCCGCCGCCCCAGCAGCAGACTTTTTTGGTCGTCGCATCGGGCTCATGATCGGTATCTGCGTCTTCATGTTTGGCGTCGTGTTGCAGACTGCCTCGACCTCTCTCGGCCTCCTTCTGGCAGGACGCTTCTTCGCCGGTCTGGGTGTCGGCTGGTCGTCTGCGACCATTCCCATCTACCAGTCCGAGACGGCGCCGAAGTGGATTCGTGGAACGATTGTCGGCTGCTACCAGCTGTGCATCACCATCGGTCTCCTCATCGCTTCGGTCGTCGATCACTCGACCGCCGATATTCAGTCAACGGCATGCTACCGCATTCCCATCGCTGTCCAGTTCGCTTGGGGACTCATCCTGCTCATCGGATTGATCTTCCTGCCCGAGACGCCTCGTATGTGGATCAGACGTGGCAAGCCCGACCGAGCGGCGAAGTCTCTGGGCAAGCTTCGCCAGCTCCCCGTCGACCATCCCGCCATCATTGATGAGCTGGCCGAGGTCCAAGCTACGCACGAGTACGACTTGTCCCTTGGCAAGTCAACGTACGCAGACTGCTTCCGGGGCAACTACGGCAAGCGTCTCTTGACTGGCTGCCTCCTGCAAGCCCTGCAACAACTCACCGGCGTCAACTTCATCTTCTACTACGGCACGCAGTATTTCAAGAACTCCGGGCTGAAGAATCCCTTCCTCATCAGCGTCATCACCGCCTCCGTCAACGTTGTCTCCACCTTTCCCGGCCTGTATCTGGTCGAGTCGTGGGGACGCCGGCCTCTACTTCTCTTCGGTGCCATTGGCATGGCTGCATGCCAGTTCATTGTCGCTGGTGTAGGCACCGGTATTGGACTTAGCAATCAGGCGGGCCAGCAGTGTCTGATTGCTTTTGTGTGTTTCTACATCTTCTTCGTAAGTTGCACAGCATCAGCGTAAAAGTCGTTTTGAGATGACAGCTAATCATGTTCTTTACCACAGTTTGCATGCAGCTGGGGTCCCTGCGCCTGGATTATCACAGGAGAGATCTTCCCCCTCAAAACCAGAGCCAAATCCCTCTCGATGACGACCGCAAGCAACTGGCTCCTCAACTGGGCCATCGGCTACATGACGCCCTACCTAGTCGACAGCGGCCCAGGCAACGCCGACCTGCAGTCCAAAGTCTTCTTCCTCTGGGGCAGCTTCTGCTTCATCTGCATCTTCTTCGTCTGGGGCCTGATCTACGAAACCAAGGGCTTCAGCCTGGAGGAAGTCGACGAGCTGTACTTGAAGGTCGGCCGGGCGTGGAAGTCCAAGGGCTTTGTGCCGACGGTGCGCTTTACGGAGATTCAGGAGTCGGGCGCGGCGCATCGAAGTGCGTCGTTGGCGGAGGCGGAGAAGTATGCCGGGCGGCATGCTAGTGTTGTCGAGCACAGGTACGACTCGGAATTGAAGGCGTGAAGATGCGTTGGTTTTCGGCACGACTCATTTCGGCTTGTTGAGAGGATGTATGTGCAGAGCGACATGTCACTCAAAGGCCGTCCTATTCCAATATTCCATGGTGGACGTTGGATGCGGAGGTTCTTTCCAGGAGATTTGGAACGAGCTGGCTCAACGTAAATAGTTACGTTTGCAAGGGATGAAATCACGATGTTTACTCAGTACGATGCTGGCATCTGGCTCAATCGTCCGCCATCGGTAATCAACACATCTCCGTTGATATACGCCCCAGCACGAGAAGTGAGGAACAATATCAAGCCCTGCATGTCCTCTTCCGTCCCATACCGGTGCGCCGGTATTGTTTCCAGCAACTTGGGATTCCCCAGGATGCTTTCCGTCATCTCGCCTACAAGACGTAAGTCAGCAGTGCTTCTTCAAAGTTTAATCATGGGAAGCATCTTCTTACTAGGGTACATGCCCGGCGCGATGGCGTTGACGCGAATATTCCACTTCGCCAACAGCGTGGAGTACATTTTGGTAGACTGGATCGTCGCCGCTTTGCTGGGAATGTACGCCACGCCGGTAGCCAGTGCTCGCGCGTACCCGGCGATACTAGCGGTGAATATGACGGAGCTCTGGATGTCCGGGCGGTTCTTCTTCTCATTGCCGGCGTGCAATAATTCGAGGAAAGCGACGAGGGTGAAGAACGCGGCCGTGTTGTTCAGGGCAAACACATGATTAATCTCGTCCGTCGAATATGACCAGAAGTGCTCCTGCAAATCCCCGATCGAGCCGGATGGGGGCAGCTTTGCAATTGGTCCCGTCGCTCCGCTGTTGACGATGAGCACGTTGAGATAGCCCACTTCGGCCTTCACGCGCTCCGCCGCGGCTTGGAGGGCGTCTTTGTCGAGCGCGTCGCCTTGAATGGGGATGATGTTGTCGTGGCCTTCTGCCGCCTGCTTTAGCTTGTCCTCGCGGCGCCCGAAGATGTACACTTTGTGGGCGCCGTTGGATGCCAGGGCGTGTGCCATCATTCGGCCTAGGCCGCTGCCGCCGCCGGTGATGAGGGCCACGAGCCCATCGACTCTGAAGAGCTTTGCGCTTGCCATGGGATGGTGTGAGAAGTGGATTTAGATTTAAAGGACGATGAAACGACACGTGCGTGGTATGGATGATCTAGAAAACAGCCCAAGTCTCGAGTCTGCAAGGGTATATATATATACCAATGGCTCGTCACGCTTCGATGACGCCTGGTGTGTGAACGTTTGTCAGCCGAGCGCGATCAAACCTCTTCGCCAGCAATTACGACAGCTAGTGGACACTGAGACGCCGATTCCTGAACGTGAAGTCGATATGACGTTCGACGTGGGAGGCATTAGTCAGATTTATGAAAGCTGCCGAGGGACCGGGGCTGATCACGTATTGATGTCGACAGCCTCGCGTGGGTGGCGCCTTCCGCTTCAGGGCAGTCTTCTAGCGTCGCCAATTGATGGAATGGCAGCAGCAACATCATTGATCTTTCTCAGACATTGTATCCCTGCCCGTACGGAGCCTCAAGATGTCCGAAGCGCTCATGAAAGACCTCCAATCCCATGCTCGACTTCGCTCAAATATCTTCTCTTTTCAGCGGAAACGTGATGCGAGATGGCCTTTGGCACGCCCCCGGACGGCGCGAACACGAAGCTTGGGTATCGCTCGACGACGGACCAGTCGACGCTGACACTGTCGTACGGCGAGAATTTCTACAATTTGTGGAAGGCGAGCAAGGGCAACACCGGGCTGACCAGGAGGGACTATGCCCTTCTCGATCACATCTTGCCGGATCGAGTGCGGTCGGCGCGCGAGTGGATGGAGCGGAGCAAATACACTGGGGAGTACACTGGCGAGTACAGTGCGTTGCTCAAGGACTTTTGAACAGGTCGTGGATGCTGCGTGGAAGCTCAGATGATGCGTCAGGTTATGTTGGCATAGTCCATTGGTAGCTCGAGTCCTGTTGAAAAGATTGTGATATCCATTGGCTCGGAGCAGCACGAAATAAGGTTCGAGGGGAGGGCGGAGAATGCGGTGCCGGCATTGCATGCGCCGGCGGCCGCTCATCTCCATCGCTTGATTGCATCTTCCGACTTGTTCTGCATCTCGTCCTTGCACATCCCGGTCATCACACCGCCGTTCGCGCAATGTGCCGGCGCGCAGGACAGTCGGCCGCACGGCAAACCCTGGTCTCGCGGGAGATTGGGGTGGTGCAGGGAGGGCGCATCGCACGCCCGCCGCCCCTGGCACTTCATTCGCCGGAGCAGGGATGTAGGCTGTTATCTCGATGCATCGGCGCAATGCAATTCCACCCGCCGTCAAATCATGCGAACCCGCGGCCGCGTCGCATTGGGCAAATGCCCCCCTCCCCCTCTGCTGGCCTGCCTGCCCTGTGTGTGTGCCAGCGCAGCGGCTGATGAGGTCAGTCACCGGGCGGCAGGTACATGCAATGCTACACCTCACGAACCCGGCATTCCGCCTGGCTGCTCGTACGCCCGCGCTGAAACGACGTGTCTGTCGCTCTCCGCCAATGCCTTATGCGTCGTGCAGCGTGCATGCAGCCTGCACTCTTGCCCTGATCATGACGCTCGTCTTTCACTGGCCTTTTCCCTCGTCGCACTGACTTAGCTGACGCATTGCATCGTATAATAAAGGGAAGTCGTCGCGGTCCTTGTCACTTTCCAACGTGCGCCATCACATCCATGTCGGCCGTTGGCAACGTTTGCTGTCAGTCTCCCGACGCCCTGTTGGTGGTTGTCTTATTATATTCCTCACTCTTCTCCTGACTCTTTTTTCGCATCCCCCTCGCAAGACGTGTGAATCACTTTTCCTTGTCGTCATGTCACAGCAACCGCGCTCCAAAAGCGTTTCGCCCTGCGATTCTCTCTCACCTCTCGATGATGTTGCGAAACAGGCCATGGCCGACAAACGACAGTCTGATATGTTTCGAGACGTCATTGGCTTCTTCCGCGAAGAACACGGTAAGTCGCAGCTTCCGCACTGGCCCGAGCAAACAACCGCGCTGCAACACGGGAGGCGACAGCTAATGCGCCGAACAGCACCCTCTCGCAAGGCAAGAATCCCAGAGATCGAAGTCAAGATCGTCTACCCGAAACCGCAGCCGCAACCCACCATCACAGTCACCGCGCCGGAAACACCACTGCAAACAGCACCCGCAGTCGAAGCTGCCCCAGCCTCGCCATCAACAAACACATGCGAGCCACGTTGCCGCCCAGCAGCAATCTCTCGCCTCCACCGCCCACCTCCCCTCGACCTCACCCGCACCAATGGCCTGACTTTCCTTCCCCTTTCAGACCTCCGGCAGCGGATCGATCATGCTCGCACATCAAACAATACTACGATCGTCCAGGTACCGCGTTCCAAGGCTGAGCACCTCCCCAAGACTCCCGCCACTCCAAGCCCACTGGTGAACACCGCGCTCATCATGGGCAACAATGTGTCCTCTGCTCCCGCTCTGCCGTTGGATGACCGTGCGAGCGTACGGAGCACTGTGAGACGGCCTGTGCGGATGCTGCGAAAGGGCTCCGCTAGTCTTTTGTTCAGCAAGCGAGTTGATTCGAAATCGCCTTTGCCGACCAAGCCCGCCGCTGCACCAAGGCAAGCGTATCAACCGCCCTGCGCAGTTGGCCTCGATGGTCCTGAGGATGAGAGACCGGATCAAACGTCCCAGGAAGACTGCATGGGCGACAATGAGGTGGCAGAGGTGGAAGTGTCAGACGAATCGCCGGATGCGGTACGGCCTCAGTCGTATTCACCAGCGACAGTCATTCACGACACTCCTCGGCAGACTCCCAGCCAGGCAGCCAATGCGCGTCCGTCCGAGACTGACACACCACTTAAACACCACAAGCCGTGCAAGGGGAGCAAAAGCGAGCCGGACCTCCAACGAGCAAACGCGCCTTCACGCACTTTAGCCTTGTCGCCCAGCATACCCGCCCCTTCTCCACTCCCGGAAGACAGCCCGCACAAGTATGGGTTGCTGGATCGTATGGACACGCCAGATCTCCCCACCGCACCGCAAGAGATCCACATCGTCAAGCCGCGGCGCAGAAGTACAGGCCCCGAAGTCTTCCACGTGAGTCCCAACCCTCCTCACCTCCCTCCTCCTATCCACTACTCACAACACCCCAGGAAGCGCAAAGCCTGCAATCCGCCTCCTCCTTCCTCAACAGCCTCTCCGCCTCCCGCCGCCGCGCCGAAAACATCCAACGCACCTCCGACTCCGCCCTAGCATCTCACACCACGACCACCACCCAAACCAAACCCCGCCCCCGCCGCCCCACCTCCGCCCTAAACACCCACAACGCACCCCCAACCGACCGCTTCCGCAGCCACAACTTCAAACACTCCGGCTTCGCCTACTCGCGCCCCCTCACCCTCACACAACTCAAGTGCTACCGCGAGCACAGCCGCCTCGTGCCCTCGCGGAACAAGCTGGCGCCTGTCGAGTGCGCCGTTTGCCATATTGACGATGACGCGGAGCACTTTTCTTGTAGTTGGTGTGCGTTGCGGATGTGCCGGTTTTGTCGGAGGGAGTTTGATGTTAAGGGGGTTGGGGCGCTGAGGGAGCGGGTGCGGTTGGCGGAGTTGGAGGGTGAGGGGGTGGAGAGTGGAAAGGCCGGGAAGGGGGTTGTTGGGGGGGTTTGGGAGGTGGTGTAGATGTGGGTGAGGCGGATGTAGGAGGTGGCGGTGTTGGAAAGTCTGGTCGTGATGGTGGATAGAACATATACCCCTTACCGCGTAGTCGTAATATACCAGAGATTCCCATCCTGAGCGAATCCATCAACAAAGACCCTATTCTACAAGCCTAACCTGCACCCCATTCCGAATCTTCATCAAAATCCGATGCTCCTCCACCAACTCCTCCTCGACATCCACATTCCTAATCTCGCTATACGTCAGCGCAAACCTTGCAACAATATATACAAGCTGCGCAAGCATCATAGCCTGCCCAGGGCAAACCCGCGGGCCTCCAGAAAAAGGCAGATACTCCCAAGCGCGCCGCTGCGCCGCCGTTGATGCCTCCAGCCACCGTTCCGGGCGGAAGACGTTGGCGTCGGATCCCCAGGCTGCCGCGTCGCGTTGGATGGCATGCATATGGATCACCACGGCAGAGCCCTTGCGCACGAATAGTGGCTGCGAACCATCTGCGCCGCTGCCGTGAGGGAGCGTAGTGTCCGCTAGCACGTCGCGGTGCATGTGGCCCGTTGGGCCGTAGAGGCGGAGTGTCTCGTTCACGACGGCGTTGGTGTATGTGAGGCGCTTGACGGCGTTGTAGGTCAGGGTGTCGACTGATTTGCTGCTGCCGCCTGTGTGTTGCTGCACTTCGGTGCGCACGCGGGTGTAGACCGCAGGATTGCGTGCGAGGAAGAAGATGATCAGGCTGATGGCGATGCCGGCTGCGTCGCGCGCGGGGAAGAAGATGTTGAGCATTTGGTTGCGGAGGTAGAGACGGTCGGGGCTGCGCGTGTGCTGCACGAGCTGGTCGATGAAGGCTGGTGAGGAGGTCTCGGTGTTGGGGACTTTGTTTTGCGCGGTTTGAAGTGCGGTGTCGACGTGTCGGTCCACGAATGCTTGGGATAAATGGAAGGGTTGGTTCCATGTCTTTGTCCATCCGTAGTACCAACGTAGAGGCCATGGTGTCTGCGAACGTACGACTTGGAGGAGCGACTGATCGCAGGCGTCGATAAAGACGTCCGCGTCGATTTTGGCGGACTCTCCGCTGATGGTATTGACGTCGTCGCCGAACAACAGATCGATTGAGTAGTCGAGATACTAGTCGTCCAATATGAGCCGTGGATCAACCACAAAGCGAACAGCATGAACAAGCTCAACTAACCATTCTCAAAAACAGCGGCTGCAAATCAACCACATGCCCAGCCTTATCCAACTCCCCAAACAACCGAGCAAGATGCCTCTCCAACCTCGCCAAATCCGCAATCTGCTCCTTGAGGAAAATAGGCTTAACCAACTCGCGCGCCTTTCGCCAAACCTCACCATCCATCGTGAAAATCCCCTCTCCAAGCCAAGGCCGCGACGGCCTCCGTGAAGGCCCGAGACCAAAGCGCTCAAACTGCGTGTAGAGGATGAATTGCGCGTTCGCCGGGTCGCAGGTGTGGATGATGCGTTTGCCCCATTGCTTCACTTCGAAGGTGCGCCCGAGGGAGTGGAAGTTGGCGCGGAACCAGGCTTGTCGCTGGCCTTGCGCGGTCGCTGCTTGGGTCTTTTTCTGAAAGTCGGAGCCGAAGATGGGGTCTGTGTGGGGATAGCGAGGGCACCTGGGGGGCGCGGAGCGATGCCATGTTGAAATGTAAAGGAGGCCGAGGAGGATGATGGCGGCCAGCGCGGCACAGGTGAATGGATCGAGCATTGTTGCGAGAGGTCTAGGCGACCACGAGCTGTGCTCGGAGATGAGGCGGGTGTTGCCATCTTTGTAATGTCAGCAAGCTCTTCTCGTCTGACATTGATGCCCTACACATCATCAGTCAGAGGGGACGATCGTCGAGACCATTACTCAGCAATTTCGACCCTCACGTCGTCCAGCCTTGTCTCCTCCTCAACTCTGGGCATCGCAAACAAACTCCATTTCATGGAGCGGCCACGTCATCCGCACGAAGAGCACTAGTGAGAGATTGGCGGGCACTCGGTGCATTCGAAAGGATTGGGCGACGTGCACTCATCGCCACCACCCCGTCAAATATGTGACCTGTACGATAAAAGGCTGCAAGGAAGCAAAGGCCGAATCGTACACATGGCCAATCAGAAGGGAGGTCCATGTCGTACAATCCGTCGCCCGCATCGACCCCTCCATTCCGCAGCGTGATATCAGACAGGTCGCGTTCCTCGCTGCTTGCCTCTTCACCTGAAAAGAATGCCCGTCCTCTCTTCAAACGATGCCTTTGGGCACCATCTCCCACCTTTCTCAGAGGCTTCGTCCACTTTTTCTCGGCTACACATCTTCTGTCCCCGCCTCATCTCAGCAATCCATCCGCCATGGCTACGTGCGAGCCATCCACTTCCAAACAGCGCACGGCTCGGTCCATGTCAGTCAAAGCCGACCCGACCAAGGTCTCCCTGCTGGATCTGCACGGCGAGATTCGCAACCGAATCTACGGCGAACTCCTCCCCAGCACCGCGGATTTCCATGTTCGCCAACATCTTCTCGCGAGTACTACGCTACGAGGGCAGGGGCCGATAAGTGATACCGTCGAATTCCTGCGGACTGCACACGCCTTCCGCCCGAGTTCCCAGGACAAGCCTGGATCCTCGACAGCGTTCATGGCGTCGTGCCGTCAAATCCACGAGGAGGCCGCGAGCCTGCTCTATGCAAAGAAGGAATTCGTCATCAACGTGAATAAGAATGGCGTGCTTGGCTGGAAGGAGCCCATCGCGGCGGGGCACAAACTGTTGACCCGCAATCTTTCCGCTCTGAACCAAGCCAGCATCTTGACGGTCGAGGTCGGAGTGGCGCTTGATGAGCCGTACGGAGTCTGTCACGTCCAACACGCGCTCTTCGAACTTTTGGCCCATTTTCGCCCCGGCCACATGTTGCAGAGGCTCAATTTTGAAATCAACACCCGCCTAATTCAAGGCATGGGCCATCGGCCAGAAAAGTACGTCGTGAAAGAATGCGATGGACACCTCGTGAGGAGGTTCATCAGGGAGTATGGCATGGACCTTGAAAGCCTGCAAAAGGAAGACGAAGAAGAGGCCGGGGAGGATGCGAGGATGTACAGCAGCAAAGAGCTCGACAGAATCTCGCCCGGCGATGTGTCGGAGCATCACCTTGTCGCCTTCCTCACGGAACCATTGCGCACCATCCGGAACCTGGGCGATGCGATCGACAAGGGCGTCCTCCGCGTGGAATTCAACGGATACACCAGAAGGCCGCTCGGAGAGATTCCCGCTCAAGTCAGTGATCTGATGCAAAGCGATGCCCCGGTGCTCCACTATCACATCTTCCGTTCCTACTACGCACAATTGAGTTACCTCATCCGATTCGGACAGTGTATGCTGGATCGGTTCGCTCAAGAAACCATGGGCGCACTCGACAAGCTCGCCGCTCAGCGCATCCGAGGAGACGTGCCCGCTTTCCGACTCGCCCACCGCGCTTTACTCGACCACGTCGCGAAGATGCTGCCGAGCGCATGTGGCCCCCTCGACAGGTCAAATGAGTATTTCACGCGGGTCTGCCGCAATGCCGTGTATAAGCAGCGAAGCGATGTCGAATGGATGGAGTTCTTCGAGCAGGGTGAACGCGAAATGGAATTCTGCATGCTGGAGCTCGAGCGATGCCTTCCACCCGAGGATACCGATGTGTCATTCTTTGGATGCCGTCAAGTTGACGACAAGATCCGCGAACATCATCTCCACAAGAAGGCCAAGATTCGCAAGGCGGCGCTTGAGCTGCTTGAGCAACAGCAGGGTCGGGCTGGAAGCTCGAGGCGCATGAGTGTGTAAGAGGAGGAGTCGCCCAGCAACAGGGGGTGAAGATGGAGACGCAGACGGACGATCGAGGGGTTGTCGGGGGTGGTCTTCCGCTTCGGAGAGATATGTGGCAGCCATGCAGCGCAGAGGGGATCAAGGAGTCTGAAGTGTTCCCTCACGATGTACGGTAGTGATCGCGGCTTTCGGCTGTATATTTCGGTTTTGATATTTCCCTTCTCGTTGTGAACTCCGAGGAGGCAATGCGCTTGGAGCTTCAGTCCAAATGCTGCTGAACATGATATGAAACTGCGTCTGTGTCCCCTTCGAAGTCACACATCGGACACCTCACGGTGGGAGGTGTATTCAACTCCTTCGAATGGAAGCCGTTTTGCATAGGGTCAGAAACATCTCGCGCTTGATTCCTGATCAGCGTCACTGGCGCACTTTGACTCGGTGCTTGCTGCGTGTTGGTGGAAAGAGGTGCACCGCTATTCACCATCCTCTGCACACGCCCAATTCGTCCGTCCTGTAATCGTACTTTGATTCCGCGAGGATGATCGCCGCGTGTGAGCAAGTCTTGCACGACTCCTTGGACTTCGCGGCCTGTCGCTTGGTCGGCTTTCAGGACGATCGATACAGATGCTCCAGGTTTGACTTCTTGAGTAGTTGGAACATTGCCGCCGCCTTGATGTGGGCCACGATTGAATTGCTTATGGTTGTTGGGCCCGTTCGTATTATTTCGCGGCGGGCGAGGTTGCCGATTGCGTGGTCGATTCATCGTGTGCGCGAATCGATGGTGACATAATCCTGGAGACCTCAAGAAGCCTACGGCTCTTAGTGAGTAGCGCAACATGTGAATGAAAGAGAAGAAAAGGGTGAAGAGTGTCATCGACATTTGTATGTCGTGTTACATGACTCACAATTCGTGCCTCGCGCTTGCGTGGCTGACTCGCCCGGCCAAATTCTGCCTCTACATAGTGAACAACTCGCGGTTTTCCTCCACTTCCCACCACATCACATCTGTGCCAACAGATATGGCTTCCGTGCTCCAGTCGGCAGTCCGACTGCCGTCTCCTGAACCCGGCGATCCCCCCGTTGAAGCGTACTCTCGGAAGCGCTCACCCTCCCGATCCCCCTCACCCCGCAGAGATGCACCACCCGTCCGCCGCCGCTCACGCTCTCCGCCTCTCAGCGGACCCCTCCCGCGAGATGTCGACCGCGCAAGAGCGATGGAGCGGGCCAGACAGCTGGAAATGCGGCAGAAAGACGAGGCCGCGACCGACAAGCCGCTCACAGAGGAAGAGAAGCAGGCAGCGGCCAAGGCGGAATATGAGCGACTACTCAACATGCGATCAGGCGGCACATATATCCCACCTGCACGACTGAAGGCTCTCCAGGCGCAGATCACCGACAAGACGTCGAAAGAGTATCAGCGCATGGCGTGGGAGGCGCTGAAGAAATCCATCAACGGACTCATCAACAAGGTCAACGTGTCGAATATCAAACACATCGTGCCCGAGCTCTTCAACGAAAACTTGATCCGGGGCAGGGGCCTGTTCTGTCGAAGCATCATGAAGGCTCAGGCGGCCAGTTTGCCCTTCACACCGATCTACGCCGCCATGGCTGCCATCGTCAACACCAAGCTGCCGCAAGTGGGAGAGCTGCTGGTCCACAGACTCATCATTCAATTCCGCAAGGCCTTCAAACGCAACGACAAGAGCGTTTGTCACAGCAGCACGACGTTTCTCGCACATCTCATCAACCAGCAAGTGGCGCACGAGATGTTGGCCGCTCAGATCCTGCTCTTACTCCTGCACAAACCTACGGACGACAGTGTCGAGATTGCGGTCGGTCTGATGAAAGAGGTGGGACAGCATATTGAGGAGATGAACTCTCAGATTGCTTTGGCTGTCTACGATCAGTTCCGGAGCATCTTGCACGAGGCAGACATTGACAAGCGGGTGCAGTACATGATTGAGGTTCTCTTTCAGATCCGCAAAGACAAGTACAAGGACAATCAGGCCGTCAAAGAAGAGTTGGATTTGGTGGAGGAGGAAGATCAGATTACTCACCGGCCTGGCTTGGACGATCAGTTTGGCACTGAAGACGGACTCAACATCTTCAAGTTTGACGCGGAGTGGGAGGCGAATGAAGAGGCGTACAAGCAACTCAAAGCCGAGATTCTTGGAGAGGCATCGGGCAGTGAAGATGAGGACGAGGATGGATCAGATGAGAGCAGCAGCGACGACGAGGAGGCACAGGCGGACAAGGCGTTGGAGATCAAGGATCAGTCAAACACCGATCTGGTCAATCTTCGTCGGTCCATCTACCTCACCATCATGTCTTCTGGTGGATTCGAAGAAGCTTGCCACAAGCTGATGCGCATCAACCTCCCGACCGGCCGAGAGGAAGAACTGCCATCGATGATTATCGAATGCTGCAGTCAAGAACGCACCTACAACAAGTTCTTCGGCCTCATTGGCGAGCGCTTCTGCAAGCTGAACAGGCTGTGGAAAGACCTTTTCCAGTCCATGTTTGAGAAGTACTACGACACGATTCACCGCTACGAAACGAATCGTCTGCGCATCATTGCGCAATTCTTCGGCCATTTGCTTGCATCGGACGCCATTGCATGGGAGGCCTTCCATGTGATCCATCTCAACGAAGAAGAGACGACTTCCTCCTCTCGCATCTTCATCAAGATCCTCATCGAAGACTTGGCGCAAGGTGTAGGCATGAAGAGCTTGACTGAGCGACTCAAAGCCGACGACCTGCAGCCCGCACTCGCAGGCATCTTCCCTACCGACAACGCGAAGAACACACGTTTCAGCATCAACTTCTTCACGGCGATTGGCATGGGTGCTTTGACAGAGGGCATGCGAGAGTGGTTGAAGAATATGCCGAAACCCGCTCCGCTACCGTTGCCGGCGAACGATGCTAGTGCGAGCGACAGAAGCCGTAGTGAAAGCGTCAGCTCGTATTCCAGCTACTCTTCCCGGTCGGATTCGAGGTCACGATCTCGGTCTCCAACACCAATCAAGAAGACTCGGGATAGGGACGATGAACGCCCAAGAGGACGTGTGAGGAGCGTCTCGGAGGACTCGAGATCCCCGCCACCGCGACGAGCACGAGACAGGTCTGAAAGCTTGTCTCGATCTCCTCCGCGCCGCAGAGCGAGAAGAGACAGCTATGACTCCGACTCTCGCTCCCCGCCGCCACGCAAACGACGAACGTACTCCGACTCGCGCTCGCCGCCTCGTCGCAGCACGGACAAGAAACGGCCATCGGACTCCATCTCCCGCTCTCCGGCACCAAGGAGAGGCAGATCTTACATGCGATCCGTCTCGCCTCCGCGCCGCGATGGTAAAGCACCTGCTAGAGACCGGTCTATATCAGACAGTTCCCCTCCGAGACGGGCGAGGGCTCGAAGCGACAGCTACTCTTCCCGCTCGCGCTCGGACTCTCGTTCGCCCCCTCGCAAGACTGATGCTCGCAAGGCTGATGAGGTGGCGAGGAAGCGGAGAAGGAATACGAGTAGCCCAGAAGTGTCGAGATCGAGGTCCCCACCGCCGAAGAAGCGCGTCAGTCGTGGTGGAGACGAGAGCAGGGAGAATGGAAATGCTCCGCAAAAGGCACAGCCAAAGGAGGTGGAGAAGAAAGATGCAGAGGAGGATTTGAGCCATATCCATCCCAGCCGTAGAGGCTTGATGGGCAGGGGCGGAGGTGCAGCTGGCGGGAGGGCGAGAGCGAGCGACTTCATGTGAGCGCCGTGACGACCACGCTTGGGTTCAGCGATGATGCAGATATTGATAAGAATGATTCGTATGCCCGCTCGCTCTAATGACTCGTAATGAAACCTCGAATGCGCACCAACACCAACACTCAGACATATGATGGAAGCTGCTGAAGAATGCCATAACCTCGAAATCGCAGAAACGCCCGTCCTCGTGATAGATTGCGTGACGCACAGTAAAGCCAGCAAAAGTATCGTACCAAAGCACCCGTCCCCCCTCACCGCCACGCGCCCAAGTGATTCACCGCAAGCCGCAAGCATCGACACTACCTCGCCTCAACCTGCAGACTCCTCTTCTCCGCCGCCGTCTTGGCCGCAGCAGCAGCAGAAGAGGCAGAAAAGACCGCATCCTGCCCCACCATGCGCCGCGCCAACGCGCGCTCGACCTTCGCACTCAGCGCCAGTTTCGCCACCTCGTCGCTTTTATGCTCGTTCATGACGAAGCGCTGCTTCTCGAGGCGCGCGTCTGTCATGCGGTCCAGCGCGCCCGACCAGGACTTTATATCGGCGGCTTTGGGGTCGGTGCTTGTGCTGAGGGTTGAGGTGCTGGTTTGCGCGGCGGGGTCGGTGGTTTGGTACATTCTATTGCTGTTGCTGCTGCTGGTGCCGGGGGCGGTGGTTGTGGAGGCTGTTGTGGTGAAGGTTGGGGCTAGGGAGGGTTGGAGAGAGGGGGCGCCGGAGTAGGTGCTGAAGCGCGCGGGGTTGGTGGAGGTCTGTGATGGGAGGTGAGTGTTAGTGATGAATCGGGACTCGTGGGATGGAAGTAACGGCACGTACCATTGTCTGTAAGTAGGGGTGGGAACAGAGGAGTAGGGTTGGTGTTGATGAGGGGGGGTGGTGGTGGTGGTGGTGGAGGTTAGGTGGAGGGCGGGGAGTTGTTTGCTTTGTCGTCGTCGGGGATTTGCCTTTCCTTTGCCACGAAAGCGCGTTAAGCTTATCCGCCCACGTGCTGGCCATGCGAAGCCGCGTTTCCTTTACCTCCGCCAATACTGACTGCCGTGGATTCTCTCTTTGGACGAGGAGTCTATTGAAGAGATCAAATGACAACCATTGCTCGTAGAGCACCGGAAAGCGTTGATTCTTCGCTATAAACTAGGTACTATCAAAGGAGACGATCGACGCTTCTCCTGGAGTTCTCGGACGTGGCTGCTCCTGCCGTTGCACGACCGAACGCCATTCGGACGGTAGGACCACTTCCTGACCACGCCGTACACTCGGCCGCTTTGAATTTGATGTGCAGAGTCGTGCACATGGTCATCTCGTGAAAGTCATCTGTTCAGCGAGAATTGCCGCGCTGCTGTCGTTCGCCGGCAGATTCACATGCCGAAGCAAGGGTTAGGGCATCATTCGCTTTGACAGAGGGAATTCAGACTCGTTAATCCAAACCATTGCAAGAGAGTCAATCCTGTTGATTCAAGACGGTCCTCCGCACACACGTGGCAATTTCGGCGAGCCTTGCATCGACCATGCTCGGTCACGGAGGAAATGCGTGCTCGCATGGGCAACCAAACTAATGCAAGCCACGCGGTGTCTCGTTGTGCAAAAGGCGCAAGAGCGGTTTCCCAAGAGGATTTGAGGTTCAGGTGATGTCACGTGATATTGGGTCTTGCTTAGTCATCTTTCCTTTTGCTCCGACGCCTTTTCAGTCCATGGTCGAGCGCACATCACATCCATCCGCATTCCATCTGCACGAGTCGCCTTCGCTTCATATCTCGCCGTGTAGCCTCCCTACTCTCCACAACCTCGACATAATGCTGCTCCGACCTCGATTCGCCCGCCATGCCTTCCGGCGCTCAATCCACACCACCACTCTCCGCCCTCGAATCCCCAGCTTAAGGACATCACTCTTAACCACAAGGCCCAAACCCAGCCAGACCCAGACACGCGCAATAAGTACAAACACTACCGCCCTCAAAAGACCTGCACTCTCCCTCACCGCCGCCATGCGGAACCTGCAACTGCAAAACAGCGGAGCGACCACACGAGCGGTGGCCCGGCAGCAAATACGAGGCATGAAGGTGCGGAGCTCGGTGAAGAAGCTGTGCGATGGGTGCAAGAGCGTGAGGCGGAAGGGAGGGAAGTATGTGTATATTATTTGCAGTAAGAATCCGAAGCATAAGCAGAGGTATGTGGGACTGTCTTGAGTGGTTTGCTGAGGAGACGCTAATGTGTATTTGTGATAGGCAAGGGTGATGGCTGTCTTCGAAGAGCATAGCGAAGGAGTCTGAATGGAATAGAGACGAAAGATATCCATCTCAACGCACCGCGAGCCGCTCTATCTTACACCCTCGATTTATACTCTTGCATTCCAAGCGAACCGCCAAAGAAAGCCCGCACGCCTACCCCTCAACTCAGCTTGACTCTACGATATGGACATACCAGCGCTTGAGGGCAATTGACCCAATATCTTGGTTCTGCAAAGATGGCGAGCTCATATTCTGGATGCTCAAGGAAAAGCAGGAGCTGGAAGCCCGCCGATGGCTGAAATGCATCCAGTCGGGGTGGTAATCGAAATAGATCATGTACAGAGGCACTTCAAAGCTCCACTTGGCCACTTGTGTGTCCTGTTGTTGTTGTAGGCATGACCAGTGCTGAGGGGAGGGCAATGTGCGTTTTGCAGTAGGCCGTGTTGCCTGGGTCTAGCAAGATTTGTTTACGTTCTACTCGACCGGACACGACACAGACTCCCTCCGTGAGTCCATGAATGTCGAAGCCGCACTATCTGTTCCAAGTGTTAAGCAAACCCGCCATGGGTCTGAGACAGAACAACCCCAGCCGAGAGAGCAGAACGACCCAGCCGAGAAAGTCAACCAAACTCGGCAATCGCAAAGGCTACATGCAGTGAGCGCCAAAAGGCCAGGGCTAGAACACGCCAAATAATGCACACTGACGCAAGCCCCCTCGGCGATATGGCAGTCGGGTGGGATCGTGGAGGGGAAGGGAAATGAGGGGCATGGTGGGGCAACACCAAGGTAGCAGCAACCCATGGGGTCCAGGGAAAAAGACGTCAGGTATTTATTCTCTCCTCTCTCGTCCTCTCGTCTTTCTTTTTCCCCGTGCTTACCATTCCGAAAGAGAAAACACATAAATAAACCCAACAAACCCCAGTAAGTCCTTCCATCAACCCCCACCCATCCCAGCCGAACCACCCACTCACCTCCCCCACCCCCAGCTCAACCCAACCCAACCCAACCGCAACCATGCCCGCCACCGTTACCGTCGTCTACCCGCAAGGCGCCAAGTTCAACATGGACTACTACCTCTCGACGCACATGCCTCTCGTGCAGAAGCGCTGGAGCCAGTACAACCTGCAGAGCTGGAAGGTGCTGAAGTTCAACGACGACGCCCCCTACACCGTGCAGGCGACGATTGAGTTTGGGTCGCTGCAGGACTTCCAGAACGCCGCGTCCGGCCCGGAGGCCAAGGAGGTGCTCGGCGATGTGCCTAACTTTTCCGACAAGGAGCCTGTTATCATGGCTGGGGAGATTGTTGGGACTTCTTAGGTGAGGGCTTGACGCGAGCCAGTCGGATGGCATTTATTAAGATGTAAGGGACATGTGAGGAAAAATCAATGAGATGCTCTTCTATTCCCGCTCGTGGTTGCCCATATGTTTTGTTTGTCTATCCAAGTCATGTAATCGTTTCGCCTCCTCCGTTGCGTAGATTCATATTCCTCGACGACGAAAAGGTATGCGTGTTGGCCAATGCGTCCAAGTCGACTCGTTGATAGTACGAAATATGTCCCATCCGCTCCCAGAACTGCGCCAATGTGTTGTGCGAAAGTAGGATGAGCTGTGATGGGGTGTACTGGTCTGCATAATTCCACGTTAGTCTTCCATCAAGTAGATGCGAGGTGCCTCCTACTCACCAAGTTCAAAGTCGCGGTCGGCGACATGTCCAGCGCTGCGCACCACTCGTGCACCCCGGAAAGCCTGTTCGTCAGCGATACGGATGAACCCGCCGGCACCGATATCTGGCGCAACGAAAGTGAATTCGCCCCGGGGAATGTAAGGGTCGCCAGTAAGCTTGATGGCCTCTAATCGACCAGACGGCGCATCCGGATGATCCGTGACTTCGACAGCAGCACGACTTGAGGATCCGGCTGTGGTGTGATCCAAGGTGTTGTCCATGGGGAAGCGTGTCTTCTCATCCCCACTACTCTCCTCCTCCTCGATCTCCTCTTCATCAACGCCTCCGAGAATATCAACATCCACGTCAGTATTGGCGTACCGGTTTGCACTGCCCAAAGGACCGGCGTCCCTACCAGCAAACCAGTTCCGCAACCACGCCATCCCTTCCGGAAGCGGCCGAGCCTGCTCCTTATCCGGCTGCGTGATTACAAGGAACTCGCAGCCGTGTCCGCTGTAATCCCCGCACCAAATGCCCTGGTACGGCTTCGCGGGAGTAGGCGTGTAGCAAGACGGCGGAAGAGTGGCGTAAGTAGTGATCTCCTCCGGAATCCGCACGCTGACGCCACTCGGACTATACGCGTTGAAGCGCGCGGCGAAGAAAGGATGCACCCTTCCCAGCGCGGCGGCGAAGCCATCGGGCGTATTGAAGGCATGAGCAGGCGAGACTGCGGGATGGCTGCCTCGCGTTCCAAACTCGACCCACTTCCTCACGCGGAAATTGTACTGGCTGATCTCGTCGAAGGTCGTGGGTCGATGGCCGGCGGAGCGGAAGTCGTCGCCGCTCACGTTGCGCGTGCGGGCTTGGGCGGGGATGCGGAGCGGAGGCCAGACGTGTGTGCTCTCTGTGATGGCTTCTTCGGGTAGTGCTCGGCAGAGCATAAAAGCTGCGTACAAGCCCTGCTCCGTGAAATTGTCCATGAGAACCTCCTTGCCATACTTGGATGATGGCGCTGGCCGCTGGCCGCTGGGCTGCTCATCGCTGGTCTCGGCCTCCCTGTTGGCCTTGTGTGGTGCAAGGTTCAATACAGGCCGCGTCAGATCAAGAGAGACCTCCGGGTTGAAGTGATGAATAATGACGCTGCGATTCTTCTCCCAGGATTGCAGCGTATGCGGTCCGCGAGCGGCAGTAACGGTGTAAGCGGCTATGCGTCCTGCATTCGGCTCATAGCGAGCAACAAGCAGTTTTCCGCTCGGTGAACTGTCGGAGAACCAAATACGATGCCGCGGCAGGAACCAATGCGGATGGTGGGCGGCATATAGCTCGCGGTAGCTGGGAAATGATGTGCCATCGACAGGCGAGCCGACAATATTACGCTGAACCAGCGGGAGCCACAAAAAGTCATCGTAGCTGTGTTGCTGGAGAGTCCGGCAGGTCTGAGCTGTTTTAACCAGATCAAAGGGCTCGAGATGGCTGAGGATGTGCAGGACGAGTTCCGCGGGGAGGCGGAGGAAGCTGCAGCTCTCCATCTCGCGACTTTGCTTCTGTCCAAGCAGATGAAGGGAAACGAAGGGGCCCGGGAAGGAAAGTGATGACGCCGCTCGAAGGATCAATGGCTTGGTGTGCGGATGTGACCATATATGCGCCGCCGCTCAGCTTCAGGTTTCCTCCATGCACGCCTCTCAATGAGGAAGGTGGCAAAAACGGGAAGTCCGGGGGGGTTTGGTTCAGCACTTTCCTCTTTTGTCTGTTGGTCTTTGTTGGTGTGGCCGTTATTGATCGCTTTACCGCTGACGGCTTGAACGGTTTACAGTTACCGACTTGCGTCTTTCTTGATGGCACCACGGCTTGGGCGAAGGAGTGTGTCGACCCCCTGACATCCAATTCGGGAAACTCCCCGCGAGTCCGAATTCGGAAGGTTGTTCGAACTTGATTGAGACATCCGACGATGCGGACGTCAAGACGCACGATGATTAATCGACATTCCCTCCTTGTCAAGTAGAGCTTCGAGAGTCGTGCATTCTATCTCAGCACTAGCCCGCAGGCATAGTGAGTAACAACGCGTAGCAACTTCCATCTTCAATACTTCATTGCAGCTCGATCAGCGCCTCCCCTTCGGCATGGCCACTTGTATGCTTTGCCGTAGCAAGATGAGATACAGACGGCCCTGCAGATGCCCTGGCCTGCTTTACCGAACTCTCCTTCCCACCAGCCATCGGCATCCGCTCCAGCATTGCGAGCGGGATTTCGGCCCTGCTCGAATCACAGGCTGGTGGTTGAAAAGTGGTGCTCTTCACCAGCCAGTATGTATAGCCAGAGTCCGCTCGACTTTCACCGGCAGCTATGAGTTTGCAATGGATAGTACATGCCCATCCTCACAATTCCTCCAGAGTGTGAAAGGTGATATTGCCGGCTGTCTCGTTGGCCATAGCTTCCTGCGCAGCCCGAGTGCCATTCTTCCAGGCCTCTTGCACAAGCTCAAAAGTCATAAGCCAAGGCCCCAACTTGCCCAGGAACAAGGCAAAGAAGACCGTGAAGACGAGGTAGACGCCATCCTCGAAGACGATGCGCTGATGCGCCGGACTGACGATGAAAGCTAGCAGAGACAGCGGCGGCGTCAATGAGAACAGCTGTCCAACAGCAGCGAGGGCGATTGTCTGAGAACGGTCATTGGTCAGCGCAGCGTGCGGACAAGCGTCAAGGCACCACAACTCACCATCCCAAACCCTTCAAGCGACAAGCCTCGGTTGTTCAACCGCACTGCACGGTGGGAGATCTCGACAACCACAGTAAAAAAGACGTTCGCGACAGTGAGATCCAGCAGAACTTTGGTGAGAATGTTGCACCAGCTCATGGAGGAGCGGCGAATCCTGCCCTGCGCAATCCAGTCGGCGATAATCTTCTCCTCCTCGACCTCGTTGTCGATCGACGCCGTTCGCTTGGGAGCCATGTCGAGCTTTGGCCGTGGTCGTGTAGGCAATACCCGCTCAAGCCAAATGTACCATACGTAGCGTAGGCAGTTGACGATGAGGAGGCACACGACCTCGCGTGGGAGCTGCTTCATGTAGTATTCCTTCCATGGCTGCTCGTAGTTGAACGTGCTCGCGAAGGCCGGATCTAAGTTGTAAAGTGCTCGAGAGTACAGATGTTCGGCGGCAACGAGATCCAGTGTTCCTAAGATGGTCGCTTGCGCTATGGCGGTCATCATCTGCGAGCGAGGCATATTGCAGCCGGTGTGTTGGGTAAAGGTGTGACGATGCGGATAGTGGACGACAAAGGGCTCATGCGAGGAGACAGGGAGTTGGGTTGTAATAGCATCGCTGCAAAATTCCACGCGATTACGAGAGGGACATATATATTGCACACCTTTATGTTGCAGCCTGGAGCCTGAGGTTTGTTTGGGCGCCACAGCTGCGCCACAGCTTTCGTTTTGCCCGCAACACATATTTATTCGTCTCGAACCCGTGAGACGGTGTCAGGTCCGAGGCCGTGTTTCGTTAGGTTTTGTACACATTCTGTCATTCATAAGCGAGAAATTTCCAAAGTCCATCGATACAGCAATAGGTTCTCTATCGTATTCAGTCCGAGCACAGGCGCCGGTTCTTGTGGTCTTGAATCTGCCCGTTCATCGTCTCGCCCTGGACACAGGCACTCGTCTATTCTTCGCCGTAGCAGGAAGAGACGCAGGCGACGCCGAAGAGCTCCCAACCAGTTTCTCCGTACCTCCTTCCTCGCCAATCACAGGTATCTGCTCCCACATCTGATCCCACATCCCACTCACCCTCGCCGTCTCCCTTCGCCGATCCCGCACCACATAGAACCTCCCCATCACCGTCCTCGCAATGTAATCGTACACCCTATGCTTCCGCGCAATCGCCCGATTCGACGCCGTCCACGAAGGCTGCAGCTCCAAATTCGTCAAGCGTGTCCAGCTCTTCGGCAGCCGGCGCAGATTGCCAAACTGCACTTCCCGCGAATGCGGCCACGGCCGGAACCACAAACTCTTGATCTGCAGCGTCGTGGTGGGAGGGATGCTGCGAGCGAAGTGGATGAGCTCTGCTTTGGATCGGCGGGCGGCGCGCGGGAGGAGGACGTTGATGTGCGAGACGTAGCCGCCGAAGAAGATGCCGGTGGCTAGCCATGGGAGCCAGGGGAGGGTTGCGTAGGCTGGGTAGACGTACCAGGGCACTCCGCCAGCGATGATAACGGACGGTAGTGCCCAGAGAGTACCATACGCCGCGATGGCCAAGGTGGCTACGCGCGTAAAGCCAATGGTGTAGGTATTGAATAGGCCTCCGTCAAAGACATTGAGGTTCTCGGGATAGGCGTACTTCTCGCCTGGACGATTTGTTGCAGTCTGCGCATATCGTCCTGGTATAAACACAGATGGCCTGCATTTTGGCAGCAGCGACGGGGTCGACGGTCGAGGACAGCGTGTGGCAAGGACGAGAACACTCGGTATTCGCCTTGGTGTGCAACGCCCAAAGGCCCGCAAGGCAAACATCACATCTTTGGGTCTGGCGTGGGAACGTCCATGAACGAGATGAAGCATTGAAACGCGAGTGAAAGCGGGATGGAAATATCGCTTACATAATCCAAACTTTAGCGTGCGCCGCTTAAACCGCACTCCACGTTCATGAGGGCGAGCTACGACCGAGTTGCACTCAACCGCTCTACGACCAGGCCAACAGACTCATACCGAGTGTTCGACAATAGAATGCGTCTCTTCACAGCTCGATAGTACACGAGTCTCGCGATGCGCCTCCTCAATGGCCTCCTCCTCCTCCCCACCGTCCTCCGCACGGCCATAGCCTACTCCACCCTCTCCGACGACTCCCTCCGCACAATCCCCTCCGCCGGCGCCGACTTCGACATCAAAACCGGGGCCATCCTCGCGCCAATCCTGCAACCCCGCGTCCCCGGCACGCCCGGCTCGACCGCAGTTCTAGAGCACCTGGCAGACTTCTTCCGCAACAATCTCCCCAAATGGAAGGTCTCGTTTCAGAACTCCACGAGCACGACGCCGCTCTCCAATGGGAGGGAAGTGCCTTTTCACAACCTCATAGCCACCCGTGACCCGCCGTGGATAGATCGTGAAGGCGAGGTAGGCAGATTAGCGCTCGTTGCGCATTACGATTCTTTGATCCATCCGACTGGCTTCATTGGTGCTATCGACTCTGCCGCTCCTTGTGCCATGCTGCTCCATGCTGCAAGAAGTATAGACGACGCGCTGACGAGGAAGTGGGAAGCGATGCAAGCGGAGGCGGAGAGCAGTGACTTTTCCGGACTGGAGATGGACGAGCACAAAGGCGTTCAGATCCTACTCTTGGACGGCGAGGAGGCGTTTCAGTCTTGGACAGATACGGATTCACTCTATGGTGCGCGCGCGATGGCGGAGGAATGGGAGCAGACTGTCTACGCTGCCTCGAGTACATACTCGACCCCTCTCGCCAGCATCGACCTGTTTGTTTTACTCGATCTGCTCGGATCGCCTAACCCCACCGTTCCATCCTACTTCAAGACTACGCACTGGGCTTATCAACACATGGCTGATCTCGAGTTCTCGCTGCGCAGACTGGGCTTGTTTAAATCCGCTCCAGCCAAAGATCCAGACCGACCGTCGGCAGTCGACGACCAGTTCTTCCTCCACGAAGCCGGGAAAGCAGATACCGATCAATGGCTTGGCGGGTACATTGGAGACGACCATCTTCCCTTCATGGCACGAGGAGTGGAAGTCTTGCACCTCATTCCCGCCCCGTTTCCCCGAGTCTGGCACAAGATTGATGACGATGGCGAACACCTCGACATGAACACTGTGGAAGATTGGGCGCTGCTGACGACTGCTTTTGCCGCGGAATGGTTGGAGCTGGAGGGGTTCATGACGGCTGATGGTGGTGGGAAGGTCCGGGAGAGAGATGAACTGTGAGTGGGTTCCTCGTCTCGATGTCACACGCATCCAAGTGTTGATCGGTGCGCAGTTTGGACCATGCTGGATGAGCTTCTTATGCTCTATTTCCAATCCATCTCGAGCTGCAAAGCTCGCACCTCTTCAACCGCGTTGAAGTCCATGGATAGCGACCACGTCGTTTATTCGCACGCCTGGAGCTTTGCCATATCCATCCAGATGGCGAGAGGGACACCAGTCCGTGGTCGCCTAGGAGTCCAATATCGAGCTCTCATGCAGGCCTGATATCCAGCGTAGGGCAAGGGAGTCCGGCGGAGCATAAGCCAGGTCGTCGGCCGGACCACGGCATGCGGGCTATGAGCCGTGTTCTGCACTTTGCAGTAGATTCGAAGTCCAGCAGCTTTCCACCTCAGAATCAGCCCGCTCCAAGCATCTCCTCCCCTTCCTCATTCAGAACCTTCCCCGTCTCATGCTCAACACGCCACGTCATAAGCGTATGAATCACATACGACGCGGTCCAGCCAATAGGAATACACCCCATAATATGCATAGAATGCTCAGTGCCCAGAATCCACGTAGCGATCCCCTGCGCCCCGCCCCCAAATCCAATCGCCCGGCACAAAAGCCACCATTTCGGCAGGCCGATGCGTTTCTGCGCGAACATCATGAGCGCGATGCCGCTGATGACGATCGCGCTGCCGAGCATGAGAGTCCCGATTTGCAGACTGTTGAGCAGGCCTTGCTTGTCTGCTTGCGCCATGGTGGTGTACACGATTGCCGTGCCCACGGACATTATGAGTAGACTCCAGACTCGCTGGCTGGAGACGCAGTCGCGGGCGAGTTGCTTTGCGCGATTGTGGAGGGGGATGGGGTCTTCTTTGAACGTGGGCATGGTGGAGGCCTTCCAGACTTGTTCGTCCTGAGGGGACAAAGGTCGACAAGGTTGAAAGCGAGTCCAGTCAGCAGGCTCCACGCAGCACGAAGGCCCTCGGCTCGGGAGGGTATCGCGGGTGTGGCGCCGACAGATGCGGGCCGCGCTCCGAAGTCGGCACCGCGCTTTTCCTAATTCGGTAATCTAAACATTCCAGCGTCACTCCAACTCTTCACCAATTATCAATCGTACTTCACGTCGAAATCAGACAAATGCTACAGTCAGCATATTGCATACCACCAATATGTCACTGAACAGTCCAGCAAAACGTACGCCTCCTTCTGCCCTCCTCTTTCCCCCCGGTCTTCACGAGGTAAACTAACCAATCGCACAAGCAGTGGAGCGTCTAGAGCGACATCTTATGCGACAGCGAGGCGCCGGGTCAGCCAATACCCAACAAAGGCAGAAACCACAGAGCCGCAAACTGATATGCAAGCAGTACGGTCGCCGTGTCCGCGAATTTCGGTTTCTACATCAAATCGAGCGCCCCATCCTCCTCGTCCTCCTCCTCTTCCTCACCTGTTGCGGCGGTATATGTATCTCACGAATCGAATACGAAGAAGAGGCGGACACAGCTGCAGACTGTTCTGACTTCTGCACCGGACGGGAGTGAGTCTGTTGCTGCCCCTCGTCGGAGCGAGGTTGTGCGGAAGAGTCCACCTGCTAGAGGGAAGAAGCCGTTTGACCAGGGAGAGGGTGCGACACATGGGTCAAACGCTTTCACGGCTAGCGCGGACGATAGCTTCATTGCGCGGGTCAGGACTAAGAGGAAGCCTGTGGAAGCGTCACAAAATGTCGGGCCAGATGCAATGGTGGAGAAATGCGACGTGGGCGTTGGAGAGGCGGCAATCATGCCTCAAGGCCGGCCGGGAAAGCGAGCGGTGGTTCATGCGCTTGGCGAAGTCGCGAATCATCCCACGGAGCAGTCGATCTGTGTCGAGGGGAAGAGAAGAGGTGGATTCCAAGGGAACCATACCATAAGCGGGGATAAACTCGATGCAAGAAGTCGCAAGCAAAGCCATGGCGCTTCGCCAGTTCTTGAGGGCGCGCACAAGAAGCGCCGCACAAAGGCCGCAGTCACAGAACGTCGCACTGCGGCGGATGAAGGCCAAGCAGCCCGTCAGGAACCACACGCCGGAGCACCAGCAGCCACGGCCAAGCGGAAGGGTCGGGCTGCAAAACGCGAAACAACGCGGCCGTGCATCAACGCTACCGAGATGCCGAATCGCGACGAAGCAGGAAGCAAACGAGAGCCGCCTCAACGTGTAGCAGAGATCGAGATCCATGCCGTCCGTCGAAAAGTTCTTGCAGTCAAAGCGGACGGAACGGAGGCAGACCGGATCAATCATGCTGTAGGATCGGGTAGGAGTCGAATCCTTCCCACCCCTACTGAAGCCATTGCCGACAGTCCTCGACGCGCGCCGCTCCGAGAAAGCGATAGGAACGCTCTCTCTATCTCGCCCGACAAGAAGACGACGGCTCGCATGGCAGAATCCGACGATCACGCCAAACCGCGGAAAGCCAATTCAACATCCTCTCGGACCGTAGGCAACGAGAATCCCTCTTCAAAGAAAGGGAAGACGCCGCAACGCCCAAGCAGTATCGTACCGGCACCTATCGAGCAGCATCCACCAGAAGAAGACGAACACGTCGCCTGGCTCCTGGAGCCCGCGCCGTCGAAGACGCTCGCACAGCCGCACCCAAGTCGGAAGAAAGCTGCTCAGTCTACGCGTCGAACGCGGCCAAAGATGGCGGACATCGATCTGGACGATTTGTTGTCCGACATTGCAGCTTTTGCAAAGGTAGATGCTTGCGTGGGTGTGGGCGAGCGCGTTGATGCGGGCCGTGGAATGGGGCAGAAGTCGAAGAGGAGATGAGGGTTTCGAGGACGCTTCTGGGGTTTGGTTTTCTATTCCTGTCTCGGGCAGTCATCGAGTTGCAAATTCTTGCGTGCTTGGTTCTGCTGGACTGCGAGATCTGGAAGCGGTTGATAGCGCAGTTATCGATCGATGCAATACTCTTTGTCGATATCGACTCATTCCGATCAGCACTGGTTCGATTCAAATACGAATCGCCTTACACGGCAAGATCCTACGCGTTGTGGTCATGCTACGATAATGTCCCTTCCAAGTCTTGTGACAAACCACCTCGCACACAACGAAAGCGAGTCGAGAATCACGAGTCTCATTGACGCGTCTGACCCTCTTGAACCGATCGACACGCATCGAGTGACCCGTAATTCAACGACAAATTGTCTCCACCAAGCAACTACGATTTCAAGAAATGATGAACAACAGCATATGCCTTCGCCCGCCGGCGGCGAGCACCCGCGACGATCGTAGCGGTCCTCAACGGCGGAACAGAGCGTCGATCTAACGGCAGCACTACAGGCCTGATGCGGAGCACTGTTGACGTGACGGAGAGATCGACGTGCGGCACGGTGGACAAGAACGAGGCGCAGCACGAAGAAGGTTGCGCAGTAAAATGTCAAATCACCCGAGTGCATGCTGTGCCGTCCCCCCGGGATAGGTGAGGTAATGATAGACGACAACCCCAAACCTTTAGGCCCACAACCACTCGAGTCAAGCTCGAGCACTCGAGTCATGAATACCCCTGCGCGCCCTCGCCACCGGGACGGGGGACTCCAATCACGCTCGACAACCCGATTCAATTCGGTGGAGCGGTGCAATCCACCCACCTGACGCTCGGGTTAAAGATGCGACGAACCGGCGTGTGTGCCAGCCAGGGAAAACGGCGGCGCAGCTCCAATCGCCCGTGCACACTCGAACAGGAAGTCCCGGCGGCAATCACGGCAGCGGCGCCGAGACGGCGATGCAGATCATCGGACGCACAAGGCCGGGCAAGCGGCCGTCTTTGCAGTATGCAATATGCACGGCGTTTCACGGCTCGTAAAAAGACGTCTTGCCTTGCCCTGGCCGGGCCTGGCTTGCTCTCCCCCCCCTGCCGCGCTGCGTGGTGTCTTTCGCGCGGCTAGAGGATGCGAGAGACTGGGGTCTCTCTGTCTCTCTCTACGCCGGTGGGACTTTACGACGTGCGGCACGTTTCCGTGCTTTCCGGGGGGGTTGTCAGGTCGGCGTCGGATCAGTTGGTTAGGCCTTCAGTTAGGAGCGATTGGTTGATTAATGTATGCCCGGGCAGACTTTGATGATTGCGGCAACGAGTCAAGACCGAATGCAGCCATGGGAAAAGGGAGCGAGTGAGACACACGGGTGGAGCTAATGGCCACTTGGGTAGCTGGTGAGATGGTGGATGGGCATTGTCGAGCGCAGAAATCATAAGTAGGTGGGCATTGGGTCGGTCGAGAGAGTCTCTTGTTACAGGCTTGAAGTCTACAATTACAATTCCACCTCCGTCTTGCGAGTACAACGGTCGCGACAGGCATCTCTGTCTTGATTCTCGCTTCGCCCGGTATCCTCACCTAGTCCTCCCTAACCATACAATCCTCGAGTCTTCCCTCTTCCAACCCGCCTCGCCCCCTCCCCTCGCAAAACCCACTCCAAAGCAATGCAAACGCTCCACAGCAAACCAAGCAACACCCCCCGTCCGCCGGCGCGGCAAAAGACGCAAGCAAAAACGCGCGCAACACAAAAGCAAAGAAGCAGGAATGAGCCTCGCTGGATTGGGTATCTTTAGTGGAACAATCGCTGGCAAAAGGTGGGAAGATGCTAGTAGTACAATGTAAAGGAAAGAATGAATGCAGGAGGAGGTGGAGCGCGCGCTGAGACGCGTCGACGGATGAAGGGTTCGGTCGGTGGGGGGGAACGCTGATGCTTATGCTGTCGTTGTCGTTCTGTCCGGCCGTTAGATTTGGGTAGTCCAAGTGGCCGTGATTCTTGTTGTAGGACTGGATGTTTCTGTGGAGCGCAAGGCACTCATCTCGTCAGCCCTCCCGCTTGGGACCAGGAGCGCCGGATGTTCGCCTGTCGGGCGCGTATGGATTGAAGGGACCAGGTTGAGGGTAGGCCTGCATCACTGGCGGTGGAGGTCCCGGCGGTCCCTGTTGCTGCTGCTGCTGCTGTGCAAAGCTCGAAGGCGCGAAATGAGAAGGTGGCGGCGGTAGAGGCTCCAAAGTCAGAGGGGACGGCAGCGGGCCTGTACTCATGGACTGCGCCGTTCCACGCCCCGGCTGGCCGTGGAAAACGGCTTGCGGCGGCGGTGGTGGCATAGATGGTGGCTGTTGCTGAGGAGGAGGCGGCGGCGGCGGCGGCAGAGAGTAAGCAGACGTGCGTCGCCTGACATTGCGGCCTTCGTTCGGACTTCGCGCTTCGTGATCGGGCATAGAAGTGTAGCCATAGCCCTCCGAGTCGCTGGGCGGATGCGGTGGCATCGCGTGGTGTCTACGGTGATGATGTCGGGGAGACGGCGGGCGGGACAAGTGGCGCTCTCCGCCCGGCATCTGGCTCAGGACTTGCGCAAAATAAGTTCGCTCGCCCCGGTAGAAGGTCACCTGCTCGCTCAACTCCTTCACATCCTGCTGCAGTGCCGCGATCGTTGTCGCCGCTTCTCTCTCCTTCTCCTTGCGCCTTTGTCGAAAGCGCGCGCTGGCGCCTGCATTTCTCCGCCGCTTTTCGTCTGCGACTCTTGACGCGGCCTGCACGTCTACCGGGAGCTGTACCGTTCCCGACGAAGTTTCCAGCGTCATCATCTGATAGACACTCTGAGCGCCGGACGACGAGATAGGAATGCTAGCGGGGTGGTGCTGCTCGAAAGCACTGGCTGTCCTCGCGCCTCCAATCTGGATTTCACCGTTGGTGGTGTACGGACCAGAGAGGGTCGTGAGGCCGGTAGATTCGTATCGAGAAGCCGGAGACGCCTGCCCGGTATGCGACGAGTATGATGTAGTCGGGCTTGCGCTAGAAGAGGGCTGTCGCGGGTGGACGACCGACGCAGTAGCCATACGAGCCGCGTCGGGATGTGACGCGGGAGCTGCGAAGCCGTGTGCCGATCTCGCTGTCGTTGTTTGAGTCGGTAGGGGTGGGGCGTTCGAGGTTCCCGGTTCCACATAATACGCTCGCCCACGCGGCGAGGATGGGTAGGCATTGCCATGCACGCTGATGCTCCCGCTCGTGGAGCTGAGCTGGCCTAGGCTGGCAGCACGATGCAACGAAGGCGAGCGGGGTGTGAGGATTCGTCTGGGCTGTCGTTCAAGCTGCGCATCATATTGCACCGTGGGAGACTGCGGCCGAGCATCGTAAGCGGAGGCCGTTCGTTGCGCCAAGGAGACCGCGGGGATCGCGTGCGAGGAAAGGTCGGACGAGTCCAAGTGGAAAGCCTTGCGAACTCGACTGGATGGTGAGTCGTCCTCGGGAGCGGGATTGAGGATGGACGAGACTCCGGCGATGCGCGTCCGAGGTGCCGACAGGCTTCCTCCTGCTATGCTGGAAGGTGGCGGGAGTTGGGGGAGGTCGAGAGAACGGTCGTGGGTGAGGCGCAGTTGCCGCGCATCAGACGAAGGCGACAGCTGCGAAGACGGTGCGACGGTTGACGAGCATGACGGCGCGCCCGTCTTTTCATCACCAGATTGGTTTGCCGACGCATCCTGGTGCGACGGCCGCGCTGACATGTAATTTTCCCTCCGATGCCCCTCTAGGTCGGCGGGAGACTCGGACCATGGACGGAAGTTGAGTTTGATGGGCACAAAGCGAGGGGGAGAGGGAATGCGGTCGTAGATGTGAGGTCTGCCGTAGCGACTGGCGTCGAGAGAAGGATGGACGTCGGGGGCAGCCACGATGACGGACGAGGTGGGACGCAAAGACGGTCCCAAATGAAAGCAGTGACAACCATGTAACAAGCGGCACGTCCGAGGTGCTGAGGGTTAATATTGTCGAGGGTGGCCAGGTGGTTGTGCCAACGGATCGGCGGAATGCCGTGGTGCAGATCCGAGTTGCGTCACAACACGAGCATCATCCGTGCAGTCGTGGGCCGTGGGACCAAATGCTCGACGACGACGCAATGAATGAAGGGGAAGAATGAGGCGTTCGGAGGCGATTGGGTGGAAATAAGGCTGACGAGGGAATGGCAAGAGCTGCACCCTGGCCTGTAAGCGGGAGAGGAGAGGCTGGAGCAACGGGGACTGGTTGAAGGGCAGTCGCGAGAGGCGCCGGACGTGCCCCAGTGATATACTGGGAATGAAATGAGGCGACGGGGAGCGCGGCGGCGGCGGTGTGATGACTGATGAGTGGTCTGGCAGCAGGGCAGGGCCGAGCGGGAACGATGGATGGATCGTAGGCCAGCAGAGATCTGCTGGCCGAGGAGCGGACCAGGGGCCTGCGCGAACTAGTGCGGCGCAGTGCATCATGGTGAGGGCGGGCGAGGCCCCAGGCGGGAGTGGGTGGCTTGCTGCGATGCCGTGACGTTCTCCGCACAAGCTTCCGCCAGCGCCTGCTGTCAAGGGCGGAGTGTGCAGACGCGCAGGCTACCGCTAGCGCCGAGTGCTTGCAGGCCCTTTTGCCGGCCCGCGGCAAGCAGGCAAAGGCAGAGGCCCACCGCGGGCGCGGATAAGACAACGGGGGGCGCAAACTCTCTCCTGCGCAAGCCTCTCCTGCCCTCGTTGCTAGTAGCATCCCGGGCGCCGATGTGGGTTGGAACTCTGTTTGCATGACTAGCCCCGACGGCTTGAATAAGAGAGTCGAGGGAGATTACCCGACCACGCCATTGTCGCCTCCGGGCAGCAGCGGAATGGGTCGAGAGACGTTCCGACCCCGAGGCAGGCAGAGATGCGTGGAGGGCAGCAGGACTGGGGGAGGTACTGTAGCTGCTGCATCACCGGCAGGGTTGCCAACGCGTATGATGGCCACGACGAGTGCGTACGCCGGGCTCTGGGCAGCATGGCGCCACCGGGGTCCATCCCGACACTCGGGCGACTGCCGATGCCGTGCAGTGGGCGGGTGGTTTTAGGCCAGCGGCGAAGGGTACATGCGTGTACTCGGCACGTATCGCATGCGTCTTGGGCAGCGGATCATCTCCTGCCCTTCCCCCTCCCCTCCAAGCCCACCCCCTTTGCCTTTGCCACCCGTGGTGGCATGGCAGGGACAAGCACGCCGTAGGTGTGATGCGCTGGTCGGCGAGGACGGTGGCTTGCGTCAAACTCGTCCGGCGGCTGTGACTATCCATCCATCCATCGGCATCATTCCGCTCCGGCGAATCAAGAAATGGGGCCCGAGGCGATGGAATCATCAAGCATATCGCGGTTTGCCGGGGCGATTGGGCGGGAAACCAGAGTTTGGATATTGGGTACAGTAGTTTAATTCGAACGGGTGGCCGGGATGCGCTAATGTACGACGTGGCCCGCCGGGAACGTGATGATCAGCATCAACCCCACGGACGTCTGGGCGTTTTGCACAAAACCACCCGCAAGATCGGGGCCATGCACGGTGTGTGCGCCGCTCGATCAATCCTGTCATGTCACTCGGCCTTGCCACCTGCCGGACGGTGCACCCGGCACGCTTGAGTACGTGATTCTCACACGGCTTGCCAGCTGTGCAGATCTTGCAGAGGGAGAAGGATGCGGCGAAGGGCACAAAAAGCCCCGCAAGGCTCTTTGTTTCTTGGGAGATCGACACGCCAGAGGTCCGGGGCAGGGGAGAGGGGGCAAGCTTATTAAAGGGATCATCATCACACTGCCATCACACTCCCGAATCACAGGTCACACGAGTCAGCGAGGAGGGATCGACGCCGGTGTTGCTCCATTATTGCTTGCGCAAGCCGCACACTCATCACTTTTACCGACCGGGAGTCGGTCTTGGCCTCGGCGACTGACGATGGCGATGATGGGATAATCGTGGTGTGTCAGGCACACCCTCCTCCCCGTCCATCTATCTATCCATCCATCCAACCACGCCTCGGCGCCATGCTGGTGCGCGACATTGGGCCGCCACCTCCGGGTCCCTCCCTACTCCGGCCAACCTGGCTCGTGTTGGCAAATGCACTTCATCTCACGCCCGTCACGCCCAGCCGCGCCAGATCTCAATTGTCATGAGTCCCCACTTTCCACTCCACCCCAAACGTGTCCCGAGTCGAGACGGATGATGAGCATATGCATCCAAGAGGGTGGTAGTCGGCCGTTTCGCCATTACCTCGGGCCCCGTCGTGCTCCATCCGGACCCAGCAACTCCTCATCGGCCCCAAGCGATATGCGCGTTGGACCAACTGATCGCTGGCGTGCGAATCCGAGGGCGCGGTCGGCTACATTCCCCCAACCCTGCGTAACGAAACTTGCAATTTTTCTATTGGCTGCAAGCGCGGGAATTTGCTGGTGTGTTCATCGTCAACCATCAACCCAGGCCGGAGACGCTAGCCGGATGCCGTTGCGCCGTGCATCATGCGCTCTGCACTGCATATGCATCCCCGTCCGTCCATCATCCGCCGGGGGCTCGTTGCAGGGGCAGTTCGTGTGCCGATCAAACGACGTGCCGCTAACCCTCACTAACCCGTGCACTTTCCTCTTATCAGGCTGACAGGTCAGGCAATGTTTAGCGATACGGCGGGTCTCTTCGATGGTTGTACAATTTCAGGCAGTCACAGCCCGCGTTATTGAACACACATTCACAGGCAATGGCATGTCTCTGGCACCTAACAATGTATGCATTGGTCCAGTGCGCAGACCGTTCAGTCTCTGACGAGGCTTCACCACACTATACATGCAGAACATACACGCCCCCGCTGTGAACCGGGCGGCCGCGTCAATGCACATGCACCCTGAGGAACCCAATCAAGTGCAGTCGAGTGAATCTCCACCTCGGGCGGCACAGGGACTGCCGCCCCGGTGGCATGTCGTTGAGTGCATACACTATAATTCCTAGGGGCCGCGGAGTCGAAATTGAAAGTGACGTGATGCGTTTCACCGCGACGCAAAAAAACCCACCCAAACGTGGGCGTGGCGTCGGGCGAAGGATGGGCGGGCTGCCCCGTTCCTTCCTCGAAGGGGGTTCGGAGGGAAAAATGCCGTCGGCAGCATCACGCGATGCTGCCGGGTTGGCGTCCGGATGCCGGGCCCCGATGCTCGTGCTCGGTGCTTCTGCATCCTCTTCCTACAGTACGTACTGCACCCCGTCTGCCGACTCCTCCAACCCATCACACCCCGTGCGCCCGCCTATGCTTTGCAGCCTGCAGAGCACCATCTGCTGGGGTGCAGATTGGCACGCGAGACTACCTTTGTTAGTCGCGCGTCTGTCCCACGCAGCGCGCAAAGCATGAAGCCCACCCCCCTCGCCCCGTGCTTCCTTCGCTTTGCCCTACACGCACGCACGCACGCACGCACGGCAGAAGAAAAGGAACCACGTGTTTGGGGGCTGGAGCTAATGCATGTCACCTTCAACGCCCCAAACTTTGCCCCCTCTCCCACATGCACCGGCTCCACCCCTGGTTGCGGGCGTGTCTGCTGGGCGGACGCCCAATCTTTTCCCGTCCGCTCCGGCATTGGTCGACGTGATTTGTCAAAAAAAAAAAAAAAGGGCTGCGGCAGGGGCCATGGGAAAAGAAGCGCGCATCATGCGCCAGGAGCGCGGGAAAAACGCAAGCGCGCGCCTTTCGTCACAGTTCGTGCCCACCCGCGAGACAACATTTGCCGCAAACGCCAGGCGTCCCACGCTACTGTGCTTTGCCATTCTCCCTCCAAGGCCTCCCATCTGTGCCCTGCCGTGCGGCCCCGTGCCAAGGCGCGGCCGCATCCCGTCTCACCATCACGCGCTTTCACACCCTCATCCCCCTCCCGCTTTACGACACGCATGTAATCGTCATCAGCCTTGCATGGTGGGTCAGGGCGCTGCGCGCCCCAGCATTCAAAATCACCTCATCCATGCTGCGGGCCCTATTCCGTCCCTGACGGGTAGTGTGAGATGACGATTGCGCCGCCCCCATGTAACTGCAACGACACTTTGGCGCGCCGATGTCACCCCCTACACCACGCCAGTCGGAGATTATTCCATGCTTCTGCACTACATACCGTAGCGTGCCTGCGTTGGGTCGGTTCGTCATATTTTCTTCCCGCCTTTCTGCAAGGCTAGAGGCATGGCTAAATTCGATGCTTGACTCGGGTTCGCGGCGTTGCATGAATCGCACGCTCGAATGCTCTTGACAATGTCTGACTCGGACTTTTGCACGGGGTATCTGTCAATCCACTATACGCGGGACACTGCTCGGGGTCTGTCATCTTGATCAATTTAAGCGTAACACCAGTCTATGAAGAGTCAATCGTATCGCGAAGAACAACACCGGCTGCTGACCTGCTCAAGCCCGCCGCTCAAGCGCCTTGAGAATGCCAGGCTGAATCTCCTCGAGCTTCGCCGCAAGCTCTTTCCACACCTTCTCCTGCACCGCCGGGCCCTCGCGCCCTTCAACAAGAGGAGCGGCAGGCGTCACCTGGCAGTTGTTGAGGTATCGGCCGCTCGTCTCTTTGCCGCCGAGACCAGCATGCACCAACGTCCTGCCTCCCACTTCTGTCGTCCTGGCAATGAGCCGCTTGAACACCCGCACGCCGATGTTGTTGTTCTCTCGCGTGAGCTCGCTGTGGCAGAAGCCGGGGTCTGTTGAGTTGTGATAGGTCAGCACTCAGGTTTGCCAAATGGGGAGGGTGACGGTAAGACACGTACTGAGCGCGTTGATCGTGACTGGGATTCGATTCTCAGATAGTCGACGCGCTATCTCTCGGCATGCAAACACCTCCAGCAGTTTGGACAAGTTGTACCGATCGCTCATTCGTGCTTCTTTCTCGTTGTTCAGCGCGGCGAAGATAGAGGGTGCCTTGCGTTCGGGGAACTGGCGACGGATCAGCAGGTCTCCTGCAACGCACGTCCAAGCCGACTCACGGTGGTGACCATATGCAGCTCTGAGCTCACGACGGCAATGGTTGGAGCGGTGTTGAACTCCCCTGCCACCTCCCGTAGCTTGGGGAGTAGCAAAAGTGCAAGCAAGAAGGTCGACACGACATTGACCGTGACTGCAGAATCATCAGCTCGTAACCCCAGAAGGATGTCTGAACGCAACGGCACGCACTAGTACTCTCATTCCCCTCCAGCAGCGCAAACTTGTCCGTCAACATGCCCGCATTCTCCACCACGCCGTCGAGCCTCTTCAGCGTCCTCGCCCGCTCGGCGAACTGCTTGACACTCTCGTAGCTCCCCAAATCCAGCGGCCAGACTTCCACGACGCCGGGCCGTTTGGCGCTGCCCTCGATGTCTTTCTTCGCAGCCTCGCCTTTTTCGATACTGCGGCAGGCGAGGATGACCTTTTCCGCATTCAGGCGTACGAAGTGTCGTGCCGCTTCTTTCCCGAGGCCGACCTGTTGTCGTCAATTAGTGTGTGTTGGTGCCAGAGTGCGTCTCCAGACGTGACGCCTTACATTTGCACCTGTGACGATAATGGTCTTGCCCGTGCAGTCTTGCGTTGGTTTGGGGGGCGTGATGAAGAATTGCGAGTAGAAGAACTTGGGCACCCAGGAGAAGAGCATGTACGGCACCGACATGATGAAGGGCGATTGATATTGGATTCTTGCGATGAAATCAAAGACGGGGAGAAAGCGAGATGGATGGTGTAGCTCGGAGATCTGCAGTCGGGGCAAGACTTTTAATTTATGTGTTTTGCCCAAGTAGTCAGCGGCGACGCAGAAGGCCGATGGTTTTGGTCGGCGTAGGCTGTGCTGATGTGGTCGAGTTGATGAGGCCGGAATGAGGTGGCTTGCAGCAAAGGATTGGAGATGTTGTTTTCGCGGCCGGGATTCCACTGGACTGGACATAACGTTGCCTTTTTGCCGCGTTACCTCCGGCACGGCTGCCCAGCCTTGACCCTTTCCTCCGCGCCGCGGCTCGCCTTTGCCCTCTGGCTTCTACGCAACAGTTCAACGAACAGCCCGTCGTCTAGTGGATGTTAGATGTGAGAACCACGTCGTGGCTGAGTTATGCCGGAGCAATGTAATCTCTGTCCGACCTGATTAAATCCGCCCATCGGGTATTCGCACACCGGATCAAAGAAGCGACTGCCTATCCGACCACCAGCTAAGCGCGACTCAGCTCCCGCCTCACGTCAGTGTGTTCGTTTTTAGCATCAGCCTGACGAAGTATTTCATTTGCAGAGCTTTGCTGAAGATCCATGGCGATTTGGCTGGATTATTGCATGATGGTGACGACGATCTTTGGTCATCCGCTTGTCTCGATGGAGATGTACCGCGACACATCGCCACGTGATGGAGGGGGGATTTGCACTCCTCTTGTGGGCGAGGATGCGTGTAGCCTGATGCCTTGAGCAGTGGATGAGGCGGAGGCTGCTCCGTCGCTTTCTGAGTGCATTGCCGTTTTTCTCGTGAAGAATAGAGGTAATACCGCAGAGAAATAATAGCTGGGCATCCATGTTGTGGCGCATGGCATTACCTAATGCGGCAGGAGCCACAGCCATCTTGACCATTGGGAACGTCATCCTCGTCGAGCTTCGCGTCCCGCAGCAAATCGAACCCCCCATGCGTCGACTCTTTCTTCCCATCCCACTATAAAGACCGCACCACCCCGCCCTCGCCACAATGAAGCGCGCCCTCCTCACCGTCCTCTCTCCCCACGCCGCTCGCCCCGCCCTCCGCTCCCAAATCCAACCCACCAACCACCTACGAATCATGTCCACGCCTACCGCCCGCCGGCACGCCCACACGCTCAAAGACCCCTCGCTGTTCAAGCAACAATGCTACATCAACGGCGCCTGGGTCGACGCCAAGTCCGGCAAAACGTTCGAAGTCGAGGACCCCGCGACGGGCACCGTCATCGGCACGATGCCGGAGATGAGCAAAGAGGATACGCAGACGGCGATTGATGCTGCGGCCGCGGCGTTGCCGGCGTTCCGCCAGCTTCCCGGCAGACAGCGGGCGCGCATGTTGCACAAGTGGTTTCAGCTGATGATGGAGAACCAGGAGGATCTGGCGACGCTGATTATGTGGGAGAATGGCAAGGCCAAGGGCGATGCGATGGGCGAGGTGGTATATGCGGCCAACTTCTTCGAGTGGTTTAGTGAGGAGGCGCCGCGGGCGGGCGGGGATACGATTCCTGCTTCGACGGCGGGGAATCGCGTGTTTACCATTAAGCAGCCGGTGGGCGTGTGTGGGCTTATCACACCTTGGGTGAGACACCGCAGATCGGGATGATACTCGGGAATGTACGACGACTGACGGACGAACAGAACTTCCCAGCCGCTATGATCACCCGCAAAATCGGCCCTGCTCTTGCCGCAGGCTGCACCGTCGTGGCCAAATCCCCGGGCGAAACGCCCTTCACCGCAGCCGCTCTGGCAGAGCTCGCACACCGCGCAGGCATCCCCCCGGGCGTGGTGAACATCGTGTCATCGCTCAAGAACACCGCCGAAGTAGGCAGCGCACTCACATCCTCCGACATCGTCAAGAAAGTCTCCTTCACCGGCTCCACGGGAGTCGGCAAACTCCTCATGAAGCAGTCCTCGGACTCGCTGAAGAAACTCTCCTTCGAACTCGGCGGTAACGCGCCCTTCATCGTCTTCAACGACGCCGACCTCGACGCCGCCGTGGCGGGCGCCATCGCCTCCAAGTTCCGCGCCTCCGGGCAGACGTGCGTGTGCGCGAACCGCCTCTACGTGCAGTCAGGCATCTACGACGACTTCGCCAAGGCCTTCACGGAGAAGGTGAAGCAGTTCAAAGTCGGGCCGGGCGATCAAGAGGGCGTGACACACGGTCCTCTGATCCACGATCGTGCCGTCAGCAAGGTCAAGGCGCACGTGGCGGATGCGGTCAAGCAGGGAGGCAAGGTGCTGACAGGCGGCGAGGCCATGCCGGATCTGGGGGCCAACTTCTTCCAGCCTACCGTGATCCGCGATATGAAGCCCGATATGCAGCTGGCGAGCGAGGAGACTTTTGGGCCAGTGGCGGGGCTGTTTTCGTTTGAGAGCGAGGCGGAGGTGGTCAAGCATGCGAACAATGCCGAGGTAGGTCTTGCCGGCTACTTCTTCAGCAAAGACATCCAGCGATGCTATCGCGTGGCGGAGGCGTTGGAGGTGGGCATGGTGGGTGTCAACACTGGCCTCATCTCGGATGTTGCGGCGCCATTTGGGTAAGTCGACGGGACCCACCTTGTCATGACGACTGTGATTGAATGCTGACACTCTGACAGTGGCGTGAAATGGTCGGGCTTCGGCCGGGAAGGAAGCAAGTATGGCATCGCGGAGTATCAAATCATCAAGATGGTCACGCTGGGCGGCATGGGCGGCGACCTACAGGGCTCATGATGGGATGCTGGTTAGTAGCGATAATGTAGACGAACAAGTTGCCATGTCCAAACGTGTCGATCGTTGTGCTCTCGTGTGTTATATGCCTTGCGAGGTGTAGCGGCCCTTCTCCTTCGAGTATCTCCTCGTTCACTCGATGCCTGGCCGACGGGACTGAGAGCTCTTGATCACGTGTCTTTCAATGTCACGTGTTGCTAACTAATTGCATATCGTACATTCCCGTTGCCTTTCCCTCGATTTTCATCCACATCGCTCGTACAAGATATCCACGAAGCGTGGTAGATAGTGTGCATGGCCGCCGGGTGCCGTGCTGACACGCACAGCCGGAAGACTGCTAGCTGGTAGGTGTAATACCTCCCCGGCGCAGCGTCCGACCTAACCCAGGCTACCAGTGCTATGCGGCTGATGGTGGGCCGCTTTGCATCCGTCTGGCTGATATAACCGAGAGCAGTGACTGTCCGGTAGCAGGCCTTTGTAGGGCATGAGACCGTTGGGAGTGTCTCGCCGCCGCCCCTTCCGCATTGATGATAATGAATTCCATGACTCTTGTCGTCCTGCTCATGTCCCGGGTAGATGCGTCTCGCTCCTTTCCGGCTCGATAGTCTCGCTCGAGATATGGATGGCAGTCTGGCTCGACTCAGGCGCAACAGTCTCGGTCAAGTCAGGCGCGACATTCCCGCTCGTAGTCGATTGCGCTTCTACCACATCCAGGCGATCATCCGCGAACGTGCTTGGACGATGATGGCACTGGCACGTACATATCCGACTCAAGGGATACATACTATGATCGCCATCCGCGCCATGCGAAAGCAGCGAGCTACTGTAGAAGCTCGACGGCCGACTGCGCACGTCGTCATTGCTGTGGACATGCATGCGGTAGCTGGGAGGCGCACGCGCAGTAGCCGGAGGCGAGACGGCGTAGCCTTGGATGGTGGAAGGCAGGGAATCGGAGCGCCAGTCGACGGTGGTGAAGATGTCCGAGGTCATTCGCATGCGCCGGATGTTTGCCTCGATTGCGTCGAATTTGGGATCGCCGGTCGCGGATTCTCGCCGGGGGAAGATGGTCATGATGAGGCCGAGGACTAGGTGGGCCGCGTAGCTGAGATGGTCGTTAGCTGTGTGCTGATGGAGAAGAGGACGTTGGAAGAGACTTACAGGACCACACACCCAATCCCAACGTACGGCAAGACGACTGAGCGTTGGAATTGAAAGCCCGGGTAAAGATACCACGGGCAGTACGGAGCGTTGCTCGGGCCCAAGGCCGTGGAGAAGATGTCCCTCGCCGCGGTGCAGGGGAACCAAACGCCCAGAGCGACGATCCAAATCACGAGACCGAACGAGGCGGAAACGACCATGCGGAGAGGGGTGAGGGTTTTGCGCCAGCGCATGTACAGATCGACAATGGAGATGGAGAGTGTGACGACGGGGATGAGTAGCCAAAAGGCCGAGACGGAGCTGGCGACGATGTTAGTGGTAGATTTCTCGAGTCGCACGCACTCAGATCGACTCACCCGTAGTAATCGGCGCCGACGCTCCGGGTGTACTGATCCCAGTAGATGGAGAGCAGAGCTGCAGTGGCAACGGCGGCGAGGACGGTCATGATGGTGTTCCAGATGACGAGTGCGCACAGCGAGACCAGCAACGGAATGGCGTACGGTCGTTCGCATAGAATGGAGGCCTTTGGTGGTTTGGCCTCTGGCTCCTCAGGTTCCGGCTTGGAGGGCTCGACTGCCCGTCTGCGCCGGAAGATGGCCCTCCTGCGCCGGAAGACGGCCATGCTGCGCTTGAGGATGGCCATGTCGACGTTGGAGAGAGCGCGTGAAGGTCGTCGGCGAGCACACAGATGGAGACGGAGCCGGTGGTGGCTTCTAGGTTGTCGCTGGACGCAGGTCGGGCACGCCTCCGCGCTCACGGCCCCGCCGGGCCCACAGAGGCTGTGCCGGATTATACGACAGACCGTGACCTAATCGAATCCCGCCGTTAACAGTGTACGAGTAGCGCAGGCCGGGCTCCAGGTGTAGATTTGCAGCGATGGGTTGGTGCATGCAGCGAAGCGGGCAGGGGGCGGAGGAGGCAGCAGAATATGGCGCGCGCTGTTTCGCTCGGCATGGCAGATTTTGACTTTGCCCAGGCGGGCGGGATCTAGAGCACGTTAAAAGGTACACAGGTACGTACCCAGGCATAAAAAGAATAACCGAACCTCAGCTCGCTCTTCGGGTTTGAAAATGGGCAAAAATCTTGGCAACATGCCAAAGGGCAGTCTCACTGACACATCGAGCGTATCATTGGCTCTGCAAGGACCGGTGAATCAATTGCGATACATCCATCGTAGTTGCATCTGCAATCCTGCGCTACATTGCCTACCCCTTCGTCAAAACGGCATTCATCATTGCCAAGCGGCCCGGCGTCTCATCGTACACAACATCTCGGCGGTGTCCCAAAGGGAATGCCAGCAGGCAGCGGGTTCTGATCCGACCCTCGCATCGAGCAGATCGATCTCGTAGTCTGACGCAATCGATTCTGATGCTGAGATAGTCTCGTCGGTGTCAGGCCAAGTGTGAATGATCAGTGAATGACCAACACTGCTCAAGATGGCCGAAAGAAGTCCTGCGCAGTAGAGACAGCGCTGAGACCTCGTAGATTCATCCTAAGGCGCAGCACCACGCCCCTACAAATTGCCCGAGCCCAACAGTCTCTTGACCGTGTCGCCAAACGACTCCTTCCCTTGCGCCCGCCGCTGCTCCCGCGCTGTTCGTTGCGCCTTCAACTCCTCCTCAATCTGGTCGGAATACTCGCGCATGGCCCTGCTCTCCGCCGCAATCAATTGCAGCTCCACCTGCCGCTCCGCCTCGGTCAAGTTCTTCAACCGCTCGCGCACCTCCTTCTGCTTCGGCTCGGGGAATTCACTCAAATGCGTCGCCGCGCCCTCTTCCAGCGCTTTGCGCCTCGCAATCGCCCACGCACTCTGCTCGCCCAACGCCTTTGTTGTTTCGTCCGGCGGAATCAGCGCGTCGAATGTCGGCACTTCTCCCCCACCGCTTTCCTTCGCCTTCTCCATCATCTCCTCCTTCTGTAACATCTCGTTGTATAGCTTGTCCGCGTGCATCTGTATCCGCTCCTCATCCGCCGCCGACGTGTGCTGACTGCTCAGATACCCCAACGCCTTCAAAAAGCGACTCTGCATGGAATAGCAGCGGTTGAATGCGCGGTTCTGCGCCCTGCACATCGTCATGCGATCCATCCAGCTTCCATTCCGGTAGCAATCCCGCTCGAGAAGCTGGTATTCCACGCAGTTCTCCACCGCCGCACGCCCTATAGCTGCTTTGCGGTCGCGCACTGCTTCTAGCACGCCCGCTAGCTTGTCCTGGTCACTGCGCGATTCCGTGTCGATTTCGGCTTGCGAGCGATATGTCTTCCAAAGATCTGCGTAGCGGCCGTCTGGGTAGAGGGATTCGGGAGGTACGGAGGGACGGTCGGATTTGGGGGTCGGGTTTTGGTTGTCGTGGTTGAGGCCGGGGACGTCGAGGCCGAATCGTGCGCGGTAGGTAGTTTCTGATTGAGCGGACGGCGGAGGTGGTGATGGCTGAGCCGCTGACTTGGACGGAGATCCAGCGTGGTCTGTGGGGTTTTGCTTGTGGAGGAAGTCTCGAAGACTGGGATCGAGGTCGTGGTATGCATCATTGCCTGCGCCCTGGGACGTTTGGGAAGGCTTGGTTTCCCAGAACCATCCCATTGTGCCTTGAAGACACCACAAGTGGCGAGACAGGACGTATCTCAAAGTGAATGTGCTATTCAATGCATGGACGAAAGGCCAGAGAGTTGAGGACGACGGGGCAGGTGTGGAGTAGCTGCCGCTTAGGTAATGCGCTTCGCGGGCGCTGCCTTGCTATAAAGAAGGCATTCATTGATTGGCCAGGCTTTGCCTCTCATGTACTACACTCCATGTCAGCACAAGAGTAGAGCAGCCTTAGAGCATTGCAATCTTCCCCATCTTACACCAACGATCCATAATCAATGCCCCCAAAATGCCACCAGCAGACTCCTCCGCCCTGATAGTAGCCCGCTTCCTCAAATCAAACCACTACACCAACGTAAGCACCATCACCCCATCCCAGCAACACCCAACTAATCCCAGTGTGCTAAAAGTCAAACCAAAACAACAGTCATACGATGCCTTCATCAACGAAGCCGGTCTGCCCGCCTCTGCAGGCGATGTGGGCAAGGGCGATTTGACGCTAGAGACACTGCTGGAGGAGAAGAAGACGTTTGATGTTAGTGTAAGGTATGAGAAGTTGGGGAGTGAGGATGGGGAGGGGAAGGGGTGGGCAAGGCCTGGTGAGTGGGTTTCCTTGGTGGAGGGTTGTGTTCGTTGACTGATGTGTGTGAAGCTCCGTCTAAAGCGATGGCGGTGACGACTTTGCCTTCCAAGTCGAATCTTCTGAGCACGAGTGTGGAGCTCTTCGACGAGGCTGGGTAGGATTCAAACACAGCGGCCAGGCCGATGGACACTTGACTGACGGACTCCCAGCACTCCACAGCCACTTCTCCTCGTCACATCCGCGGACCGTCGACTACACATCCTCGATGTCCCCGCGTGCTCGCTCCGCGCCTCTCTCCCCGCCGTCCAGGACTCTCCCATCCTTTCCTGCGCAGTCCTCAATAAGCACACCCTCCTCACAACCTCCATGTCCGGCCAACTAGTAGCGAGCAACCTCTCAGGCGACATCCTAGCCTCCCGCCGCGACCACAGCAAATACGTCGTCAAAGTGGCCGTGTATCCCAGCCCTACACCCGGCACCCCAACACTCATCGCAACAGCAGGTTGGGACAACAAGATCAACATCTACGTCCTCCCCAACGACACCTCACCCCTCACCTCCCTCCCTGAACCCCACACCACCATCCCCCTGCAATCGAAACCCGAATCCCTCCTCTTCCTCCCCCACCCGGACAACCCCTCTGAACCCCTCCTCCTCCTCTCCCGCACAGACTCCAACCACCTGTACTACTACACAACCGGCACTACAACCACCACCAACGAAAGCCCCCGCCTCCTCGGAACCCAAAACCTCGCCCCGCACTCCAACGCCTGGATAGCCTTCACCCCCACCTCCCTAGCCCTGCACCCACACGACCCAAGCCTCCTAGCAGCAGGCACCAACTCCCTCCCCCACATGAAACTGCTCATAATCCGCCTTCTCGTCCCCCCCTTGACAACACCCACAATCGCCGCGCCCCTAACGCAAGCCTCGCAAGCGCGCGCCGCGCTCGCGATCGCGGATAAAGAGTCTGCGGCGATCTTGATCCACGCGAACACGCTGGCGCCGCAGACGCCGTATTCTACGCCTGCGATTGCGTGGCGGCCGGATGGAAGCGGCGTGTGGGTTAATGGGGATGATGGGGTTGTTAGAGGGGTGGAGGCGGGGACGGGAAAGGTGGTGGCGATGTTGAAGGGGGAGGACGGGGGGCATGAGGAGGGGAGTAAGGTGCGGTGTTTGTGGGCGGGGATGGTTGGAGAGGAAGAGTGGTTGGTTAGTGGGGGGTTTGATCAGAAATTGGTGGTGTGGAAGGTAGATGCTCCTTGACTTTTTCGACTGTTTTGGAAAGATAGCTACGCCAAAACCACGTCCCAGTTCAGTCACTCACTCATGACTACTTCGCCCCCGACGAAGCAGCCTTCTCAATCCGCCTCTTCTTCGCCCGCAGGCCCTCCGCCTTCTCATCCCGCCGTGCATTCGAAAACTCCATCTTTTCGAAAATCTTGCGCTTCTTGCGCGACATCATGCCCTTCCGCCTCTCCACCTCCTCCTGCTTCTCGCGCTCGGCGCGCGAGCGAGCCGCCCTCTTGGCCTCGGTCGATGTGCTCGACTTGCTCGCTGCAGCAATCTCATCCGCGTTGCGGCCGAGGGCTTCGGCTTCCAGTTCGAGCTGGGTTTGGCGGGCGGAGTCGTCGACGTCGGCGTCTTCTTCGTCGCCTGAGAAACCGGCCCAGTCGTCGGGGGCTTGTTTGGTGGGAGCCTCGTTTTCTTCGTCGTCGTCAGATCCGGCCAGTTCGATGTCCATGCCTCCGTCGTCCGCCTCTTCTTCCTCGTCATCTACGAGCTCTTCCTCCAATTCCCTCGCCTCTTCATCCCCTCTTACTCCGTCGACTTCTTCTCCTTCGCTGCCCTCTTCAATCTCCTCGTCATCGTCCTCAATGACCTCTGCACCGTTCTGCTCCGCAAGCGGGACCGTAGGATCATACTCTCCCCGCTTGACCTTCACCCATGGACTCAAATGCGGCGGCAGCGTAGCACCCGGCGCATACAAGTCGGGTCTCTGCAGTACACCCGCATTCACGCAATCCCACACCCACTGCGGCTGCACATAGATCCGACCGGGCACGCGTTCGAGAAGCTTCTTCCGCGCCTCCCACGCCCCTGCTTCCTCATCGTCGTCCGTTGCTGGTGGCGAAGGCAGAGGCAGATCAGGCCGATCCACGATTTGATGCGTGATTCTCGCGTCGTCTTCGGAGCAGTAGGAGCCTGGATCGCTGCCCAGCGTAGTGTCCCAGCCTACGCGCTTGCAGCCGAAGGCTTTGAGTAGGAATTCGATGGGGTGGCGTGGAGTCTCGCGGGAGAGGAAGAAGGTGAAGGGTTCGAAGAGGTGGCTTGCTACCGATGCGTCTGCGGTCGGGGAGGGTTGGAGGAGTGTATCGGCCTGAGGGTCGACGGACTGGAATTCGTCCAGTGTCTGCGTAGGTGCGTCTTCTGTGGTGGTCAAGTCGCCATTGGGTGCATCGGACTGTTCATCGGAAGGTTCATCGGCGGGGAGCGAGAGCAGCCGATCGGCTTCGGCTTGCGCTCTCTCATTTCCTTCGACATCCTCCCTACTCTCGATTCTCTCCTGCTCGCTTGCATCTCTTCCTTCTAGTTTGACAGCACCGAGTTCCGCACCCTTTTCGCCCGCCTCGACATCAAATTTCGGAGGGTAGACAACACCCGCAGCGGTGAAGAGTCTGAAGTTCACAAACCCAAGCAAAGTGGTGTAGAACTCGACAAAGGTCCTCATAATCCTCCAGTCCACCAAATCACCGCCGGCATCCCCAGTCCGTCCAGCACCCATGACGAACTTGTAGGGTACGAGCCATAGGATGTCCTGGCCTTGAATGGTGGCCTGGTAATATATGCCCTTGATGGAAAGGAAAGATTTGCGGAGGGTGTTGGAGCGAATGAGGTAGTGCTCCCACTCCAGGGTGAGGCGGTGGCAGCGCGCAATGAGGCTCGGTGGAACGTCGGGGGTACTCGGGATGGAGGCAAAAAGATAGAGCATCGACAGGGCATCGTCCAGATCGCGCAGGGCGTCCACGAAAGTAGGATACCGCTCCTTTACGATATGATCCAGACGCATGCGCGGCATGTGCTCACGCTCCCATCTTGAAGCATCGGTGAGATCACCTCTGCCTAGAGCTTTGGCAATCTTCTTCTCCAGCGCCTTCTTCTCGCGCAGCTGGGCGAGCAGTGGCTCATGGAGCAGGTATTGGATGTCTTTTGCATAGTAGAAGGTGGTGGAAGGAGTGGCGGACTTGGAGATGCGCTTCTTAGAGCGAGAAGAGGGATCGCGGGGGTAGACGCCCTTGAAGATGCACAGGCGGCGGAAGTCGCCCAGAGGCAGTTGGAGTTTGCGCACGGCTTGGGAGCGGGTGAGGTAGTTGTTGGTGGCGCCCGAGGTGCCTATGGGAATGTCAGCTACGGTGTGGGTCATCTCCTCTGGGATGGTATTGTCTTACCCTTCTTCTTGATCCTGCCCATCTTGAATGAGGAGTGAGTGAAATACACGCGAGCGACGGAGATCTACACCTTGTCCTGGATGCGATGCAAAAAGCGGAATAATTTTTGGAACCAGACCAGACTCTTATCGATAAGAAGGGTTGATTAGGTAAGCGTGCATTGGCCACAATGCAGCGCGCGTTTCGCGAAGACACCTCGTCCAAACCATCCAGCTGTCCGCTGCTTAGGAGAAGAAACGACGACATCAACCATGTTACGACGATGATGAGCCCGGGAAGATGGAGGCACTCACTCGGGTCTACAATGACCATCCAAAGACTCTGCTCTTCACATCTGCGGCGGTGATTCGGATCCTCCTCGCCATTGCCTGGCCTGCCCTCCCCGACCTCCTCACGAGTCGAGTTGAGATCTCCACCGCGGTGAACAGTTTCAAGAGGCGTACGTCTTTTCATCGGTCCCGCTTACAAGGACGCTATATGCGCAAAGTGGGAAGTACAATGGCTGAGGACTGCATACAGTACAAGAGGGCTTGTTTCTTTACGACCACGGCCTCGACCCCTACGATGGCGGCATCTTTCACCAGGTACTTCAGTCGTCCCCCCCAAACGGACAGAGAAGGATTGTTATTGACACACACAGGCTCCACTCTTTCTGCCGCTCTTCTCCCTCCTCCCCTCACCCCAAGAGTCGATCGGACGGCTCATCAGTGTCCTTCTCTACACCGCACTAGACTTGTTCTCCGCCGAACTCCTTTGTCAAATCGCCGATTCCGGCGCAGCAACGCAGTCAACATCATATACTTCTCCCCGAAGACAGCGGACATGGCGGTCTATCTCCGTTGTAGCGATGTAAGCACCACCTGTTCAGCCTTCTGCACTACCAAGAGACTGATTGCTTCGACAGCTACCTCTTCAACCCCTACACCCTTTTGACTTGTCTAGGCCGACCAACGACAATCTTCACAACCTTCTTCGTTCTTCTCAGCATCAGCCACGCTTGTCAGGCGAGAATGGCTACGTCTGCCTTTGCGCTCGCCGTCGCCAGCTACATCAGTCTTCACCCCGCCTTCCTCCTGCCGCCGATAGGGGTTCTGTGCTATGATCGCGTTTGCCTGCAACGAATCAGCTCTTCTTCCCAAAACGCCAAACCCACGACCTCGAAAGCAAATGTCACGATCGACCAGCACCGTTTCCCCAGCGCCCTGCAATTCGCTTTTTCGATGCTCACCACCTACGCATCTACCACGGCCCTTCTCCTCGCCCTGTCAAGACTCCTGCTCCCCAGCTGGACCTTTATCCCGTCCGTCTACCTCACCCCTCTGCAACTCCCAGACCTCACGCCAAACACGGGGCTGTGGTGGTACTTCTTCACCGAAATGTTCGAGCCTTTCCGCAACTTCTTCCTCGGCGTCTTCTGGTTGCACATGTTCTCCTACAGCATTCCCCTCAGTCTACGCCTGCGCAAACAGCCGTTGGCGAGCGTGGTGCTGATGTGGGGCATTTGCTGCGTCTTGGAGCCTTACGCTCATATTGGCGCAGTCGGAGGGGCGGGCAGTCTACTGTGCTGCGTCGGACATGTGTTTGAACGTACGTCGCAGCGGCCACTTCCCCTTGCGTCTTCGCTCTTTACTGACGTTGAATGCAATAGTCTCGACCGCCCATCGCTACACCTTTCCCGCCCTCGCCGCCCTGCTCTACTGCACCCTACTCGGCCCCGCTTTCCATCACCTCTGGATCTACGCTGGGTCGGGCAACGCCAATTTCTTCTACGCCATCACGCTCGTGTGGAATCTGGGCTTGTTCATCCTGCTTACCGACACGCTTTACGCGGTGCTGAGGGATGAGTGGGAGTGCGAAAGGCCAGAGGGGAAGGGGAAGGACGTCAGACAGATATAGAGACGTCAGCTTTGTTTTCGCCCTGTCATCAAATCAAGCGATAGCGATTTCGATGCAAAGGACGTCCGTTAAATCCACGTCAAATGTCAAAAGCCTGAAGCAATGGAAGCCGTGATTGGCAAAGCTTAATCAAGACAAACTCCCCCAAAAGCGTGGGAAAGGCAGGGTTATTAAACCCCGCAGCCAATGAAACGACGCACGTGGGTAATCGCCGGTGCCGACATCCAGCCAACCTCTGATCAAACTACTGCAGCGCATGGACGAGTCAAAAAAAGGTAGCATTAATCGTAGCGTAGCTGCTGTTCGCAGGAAAAAAACCTGACGTCTCTCATGCTACTTGTCTCCCCAAGTGGCTCATCTCCTCCTCCTCCATCAATGGCGTAGCACATCACCACGCTCTCCACCGCAGCTAACCACCGGCCAGCATGGCCTTACTCCTCCTCAAAACCCTCGTGTTCCCGCAAAGCAGGCACGCGGGGTACAATGCCGTCGCAACACGCAGTCCCGTCGACTGCGAGCGCGGGTCAACGGATCTCTCGCTCTCCTCCGACGACGACGGCGACTACAAAGAGAAAGCGGCGTCCGCGTCGCCCTCGTTGCCCCCCAAAGACAGCAGCACGGCGGCAAGCAAAAAGTCGGCTTTCCGCATCAACCCGCGCACAATCAGCGACGCCACTATCGGCCTTTCAGACGGCTTGACTGTCCCATTCGCCCTGACAGCCGGCCTCTCCGCGCTCGGCGACACGCATGTAGTCATCTACGGCGGGCTCGCGGAGCTCATTGCTGGGGGCATCAGCATGGGGCTCGGCGGGTACCTGGGCGCGAAAAGCGAGACGGAAGCCTACCACGCCGCACTCTGCGAAACGCGGTCAATCGTGCAGACGGATGGCGAGCGGGCGAGCGGGATGGTGCGCGAGGCGTTTGCCAACTACGATTTTTCGGAGCAGACGCTTGCTTGCATGACTACGACTTTGGCTGCGGACCCGGAGCGCATGGTGGAGTTTTTGATGCGCTTTTACCATTTGATGGGTGATGCGGCTGGGGCGCAGGAAGGGGGGAGTGGAGAGGTGGGCGTCATGTCGAGGGCGTATGTGTCTGGTTTTACGATCTCGATGGGGTATCTGCTGGGTGGGTTGATTCCGCTTGTGCCGTATCTGTTTTGCACGGATATGAGGAACGCGTTCTTCACCAGTGTGGTGGTGATGGGGCTGGCGCTGTTCTTATTCGGGTGGGCGAAGACGGCGCTGATTGGAGAGTGTGATCGCTGGGTCTGCTTCAAGAGTGGAGTGCAGATGATGATGCTTGGTGGAGTCGCTGCAGGAGCGGCGATGGGATGCGTCAAGGCCGTTGGAAGTTGAAAGGTCTGGCAGGCATGGGATCTCATTCTATCTTCTTGCCAGCTGGCGGACTTGGAAGCGACGCTACATCGCTCACGATGATTCCGAGGATCCAGCAATTGACGGCGAAAAAGAAGATGCTCGCCAGCCATAACCCGGGCACGAACGTGGACCTTCCAAGGAACTCCAGCTGGTATCCTTGCTGCAACCAGATCGCTTGGCCGAGACTCCACAGCACGAGAGCGAAAACGCCGAGCCGGGGCTTGCGAAGTAGGGAGGACGAGGGAAGGTAGAACGGCAGGAAGACCATGTACCACAGAAAGTACTGGCTCGTGCAGACCTTGTTGAACGTCACAAAGGCAAACGTTTGGGCCAGCATGGTACTCGCCAGGTCTTTCTTGGCCAGGAAGTAGGGGAGCACCAAGACGGACAAGAACATCTGCGGGATGAAGGCGAGCGATTCGATCTGGAATCCCGAGTTGGCCGCCTTGGCGCTGTTGAGGTAGAGGACGGTGTTGTAGACGGAAAAGTTGTGTCGGTGGTCGATGCGGGTCAGATGGTATCTGTAGCTGTGCTCGAAGAAGGGCACGCCGTAGCTGCAGATTCCCGTCAGCACTCATTCGACGATCGAGCAGTTTATACTCACAAGTAGAACATGACACTGTTCAACACCATAAACGTCACCAAACTGTCCAGCGCCAACGCCCTCCTCTCCTTCGTCAGAACCGCGCCAACCCACTCCACCAACCCCTTCTTTCCAATCCGAACCCTCTTTGCCCCATCCCCCAACCACCACCACACACTCGCCGCATAAATAAAAGGATAAATCTTAAAATGCACCCCCAACCCCAACAACACCCCCGCCAACCTCAACCGCCCCAGCAAAACCGCCCACAAAATCGCCACAACAATCACAGCCAACAACCCCTCCGAACTGCCGCGCGTACTAATATTCGCAACCATGGGATTCAACAACCACAAACTCGTAAACTTGCCCGCGCGCTCCACGCCCATGCCCTGCTTCTCGACCAAAAGGCGCAAAATCAACCACCCCGTTACAATGTCGCCAGCGGCGAAGAGCACCTTTCCGAAATCAAACCATACGCTCGCCGGGATGGCGAGGGCGGAGTGCGTGAGTGTGGTTGGGTAGAGAAGCCAGGCGAGTAGGGGCGTGTAGCGGTAGGTTGCGCGGTCGTAGGGCGATTGGCCCTGGCTGATGAAGCGCGAGGCGTCGGTGAAGACGAGGTAGTCGATGTCGGTGTATTTCATTGGGCTGTTGGCGTCTTGCCATCGGCCGTAGAATAGGAGGGCGAGGCGGAGGAGGATGGCGGCTCCGAAGAGCAGGGATGGGCGGGAGAAGAAGGCGGTTGTCAAGGACATTGTTTCGGAAGTGCGTCGGGATTGGGTTTACCGTGGATTTGCCATGACTTGGGTGTGTTATTGTGGTTGTTGCAGGATGTGTCTTTGAATGTCTGAAAAGGGAGATATTTGGTGCCAAGCGGGCAATTGGGCCAATCAGCTGCGGCGATTCTTGACTGCACCAACATGCTGCTCGCCGATGAGTGAGGATAATGAAATACAAATCGACTAAATAAAACGCTATACTAGCCAAACAGTATCAAGACCGTACATTAATCACCTCATATGCCTCGTTGCAGCTTTCCCCGCCTCAAGCCGTTGTAGCCGTCGTCCCAAACTCCTGACTCCGCCGATAGTTCTGCAGCGTGGCATTGATGTTCTCCATCCTTTGCTGCAGGATTGCCTCCTCCAGCTGCGTTCCCATTCGACTGTTAGAGGCATTTGTGGCGCTAAAGTAGTCCGCTCCCTGCACGTTGAGCAACGGGGTGCTGAGCAATGGAGACAGCTGACCGGTTGACGGCGCTTGGAAGGAGGACGAAACTCCAGCCATGCGTTCAGTCGGCGGCGTTGATTGACCATTGTAACTGACGCAAGAACGGGCACTGGGAGTGCTGGGCGCGATTGCCAAAGGCATGGGAATGGAGGAGTTGCTTCGCTGGCTGGTGCCGGAAAAGGCGCGCGTGAGCTTCGGCCGAGCCCAGTCCGTCCAGGTCTTCTTCAGCTCGACGGACAAAGGTCCCTCGACCCGATCTTTGGATATATCGAGGCCTTCATCGCCTTTCTGCCAGCCAGCTGGGCAGGCCTCGCCGTTCTCGTCTTTGAAGATCAGGGCGTCGAGGAGGCGGATGACATCGTCGACATTTCGAGCCACGTAAGGGTCGATGGAGCTGATGGCGCGAATCGTGCCCTTGGGGTCGATGACGAACAGCGCGCGTTGAGTGAGGCCGGATCCCTCGATCAAAGTGCCGTATGCGCGACTTATGACATGGTTGCAATCGCTGATCAGAGGCATGTGCACCCCGCCCAGTCCGCCATTTGCCTCGCTTGTATCGCTCCACGCCCGCAAACAGTCTGCGCTATCGGTACTGACGAAAAGCACAGCGCATGCACGGTTGTAGAGGAACTCTTCGAGGCGTGCAGAAAAGGCTTTGACTTCGGTGGGGCACACGGGAGACCATGCCTTGGGGAAGAACATGAGAAGAGTCCAATGGTTCGCTTCAGCATACGCGGAGATGGTGACATCTGTGGGGCGATGGGTTAGGGAGGCATGGCAGTTGTGCAGCGCAAGCAGTACATACGTTTCAGATGCCCATCCACCACTGCCGTACAGGTGAAAGAGGGCGCTTGCTGGCCGACCTGAAGGTTGCACATGATCGACGTTCAGGAGTTGGGGGAGTGGATGAGTGTGAAGACGGTGAAGAGATGACTGAGGAAGAGAGGAAGAGAGGAGACCGTCTTTTGACCTTACCTCTTCATGCGATCTAGATCCCAGACCCCATGTCATCATTACCTTCCGCATGCGGAGCGGATGATGGATATGGCCTGGCAGAGGCAGCTCGATGCGACGCGACGACCCCGGAGTGTATGCAACAATGGGTTCTTTGTCAAGGGCAAGCGCTGGAATGTGCGACAATGCCAGATGCCGATGGTCTGGATCCGATGGGTAGACACTCTGAAAGACCCCTTCAAGCCGGACTGTGTGTAAGAAGCCAAAACAACCGATGGCTCGCAGCGCTTAATCTCGAGTTCCGAGAAACAGGTAAGGCAGTCGGTAGCGATGACAATCACGTTGTCGTGGTGTATCGCGCTCTGGCTGGTGAAGTAGGTGGAATGTCAAGTCCGCATCCGGCGATGTTGAGCGACAGCATGATTAGTCAGCTTTCAATGTCACGTGCGTGATTCCTCACCTCGTTCTCGTGGAGACATGCATTTTGGAGGAAAACGCTGCAGGTGAAGCTGAGCGCGTTCATTCATCGGCCGGTGAGCGCTGGCCCCTGCTATGTGACTGTGATAAATAAACAGTGAAGTGTGACCACGTCAGAGGAAGGCGCGACCAACCCTGCATTGCCTGCGCAACTCAAAATCTGGAGCGCAAGCGCTGCAACACAAATTTATCGCCGTCCATTTCCTTCTTTGCCCCAAACCTCCACATCACCACTCTTCGTTCCCTCGACTCATTCAATCGGGCCCGCCAAGCTCATCCTTCACCTTTCGCTCTCCCCTGTCCACATACCCACTCACCACCCCTCTCCCACATTCAATCATGGCCGAAGTAGCCTCCAACGGACCGACTCCCGTTCCAGCAGCCTCTGAGCCCGTTCCCCTCGACACCATCCCCGTCTCTCCCAACGGCGCCATGACAGACGTCACCAACGGAAGCGACAAGCCCTCCACCGACAGCGAGAAGGTGGTCACCGTCTTCGACGACCCGGCCAATTTCAACGTCAAGCACCAGCTGCAGCACACCTGGACACTGTGGTTCACCAAGCCGCCCAGCGGGAAGCAGGACTGGAATGAGCTGCTGAAAGAGGTCATCAGCTTTGACAGTGTGGAGGAATTCTGGGGTATCTACGTGAGTTGATCACAATCCCTCACTCGTTCAACGAAGACTGACCGTAACACTCTCCCCACAGAACAACATCACCCCCGCCTCCGAACTCGCGCAAAAGTCCGACTACCACCTCTTCAAGCAAGGCGTGCGCCCGGAGTGGGAAGACCCGCAGAACAAGCACGGCGGCCGCTGGCACTACACCTTCAAAGGCAGCAAGGCGAACGACGAGACCTGGCTGAACATCATGCTGGCCGCCATCGGCGAGATGCTGGAAGACGAGAACGACAACGAAGTCATGGGCGTCGTCGTCAACATCCGCAAAGCCTTCTGGCGCGTGGGCCTGTGGACGCGCACCGCCGGCCAGCCGCTCAAGGGGAAGAATGCCGATGCCGCGGCGGACAAGGAGGAGCCGCGCAAGAGGCTGGAGAAGATTGGGAAGAATTTCAAGGACGTGCTGAATATGCCGGCCGGGGAGACGGTGGAGTTCAGCGGGCACGCTGATTCCGCGCACACGGGCAGCAGCAGGGCGAAGGCCAAGTTCACCGTCTGAGCGTGTTGACTCTTGTCGTGTGGCAGGCAGTACACGACTTCTTTGCTGCCGGCCATCCGGCGAGTACTTTCGGACATTAAAAGGTACGTGAGCGAATAACTCTTCATGCACTGCATTGCACCCGGCGAATATGGCGTATGGCGGCGGGCACAGCTAGACTCATGGATGGAGGTGGAACATGTGGCCCTCCGGGGGAAGAAGCATGAGCTAGCGTATTACGGCACGAATCGGACAGGCATTCAAGATATACCCGGCATGGTGAACGAGAGGGTGATGTGGATACGGCGTTCCTTTCTGCTTCCTTCTGCTCAAGCAGATCTATCTCGGATGCAAGCGATTAGAACAAAATGGTGGGCTAAATAGCAGGCTCAAATGCACTTCGTGTGTTTCCAGCAACTCCGCTCGCCTCTTATATCCTCGCCTTCGGCCGCCACTTTGCATACGGATGATCCGGCGTCGAGGGAACCAGATGGTCGACGTCGAACGTGTTCACCAGGCCCGGGTGTACTTCGTCCAGACTCTTGATCCCGATCAGCTTCATCACGCTCTCCATCTCATCCTTCAGAACTACACCACAACCGTCAGTCAACGTCACACTCCCCAAGACAAAGGCGCACTTACTCTCAACCAAATGCTCCGCCCCCTCAGTCCCATAATTCAAAGCGTACAAGAAAGGCCTGCCAACCCCCACCGCCTTGGCCCCCAAACACAGCGCCTTCAAAATATCGCCTCCGCGCCTAATGCCGCCATCCACATACACCTCCATCGCATCAAACACCTCGGGACACCGCTTGTGCAGCTCAAGCAGCACCAGAATCGCCGGCGGCGAGAAGTCCAAATTCCTGCCTCCGTGATTGCTCACCAAAATCCCCGCAACCTTATGCTGCATCGCGAGCTTCGCATCCTCGGCATTCGTAATCCCCTTCAGCACAATCGGCACGTCAGTCAGACTGCGGATCCAAGCGATGTCCTTCCAACTCATCGACTGGTCAATGTAGCTGCCCATGGTGCGCGTGAGGCCGCCGCCCTTTTTGTCGTTTGCGGCGCGCTGGCCGGTTACCGGGTTGATGACGACCTCGTCGACTTTGATGCGCTCGTCGGATTCGCGCTTGCCGCGGCCGGCGGCGTCGACGGTGAGGAAGATGGCGCGCACGCCGAGCGCTGTTGCGTGCTGGATTAGCTCGGCGGCTTTGGCGCGGTCTTTGTTGACGTAGAGTTGGAAGAGGAAGGGGTAGTCGGGTGCTTCGCGGAGGATGTCGGCGTGCGGGTGGCTGGAGACGGTGGAGATCTGTTGATCGCATGCGTTAGATGACTACGCGGGTGTCAAGTCACCAGGTTTACTACTTACGACTTCGAGGATGCCCGTCGATTTCGCCGCTCGTGCGAGCGCCTTCTCGCCCTCGGGGTTGATCATCTTAGCCAAGCCGGTAGGGCATATAAACAACGGCACCCGCAGAGGAATGCCTAGCATGGACCCGGACGTGTCGACTTCAGCCACATCGCGCATCACACGCGGCCGGAACCAAATGCGCTTGTACATTGAGTTGTTCATGTCGCGCGTCCAGCAGTCCGTGGCGGCGGTGGAGTAGAAGGCGAAGGCCTTTTTCGAGGCCGTGCGGGCGGCGACTTCTTCGAAGTCATAGCTGGGCATATCTGTCAGCGTTCTATGGTAGGGAGAGGGAAGTGAGAGGGGACATGAATCGGCGCACCTGTTGATGATATTGTGTAGTTCAGGCTTCTCGCTCTCTGGTGCTGCTTGAGTGTTGTTCGCCGCGACAGGCTCCCGCTTCCAATTCTCATCTATCGTCGATCGATCCAGATTGCCCTTAAAGCACTCCAAAGCCAGATTGTCCTTGACTATCGACGGAGCGTGGAACTCGGCGTATTCCTTCGTAGCATCTTGCCCGGCATATTTGAGTAGCACTGATATCGGTCAGCAACGAGCGCAGGATTCTGGATAGACTGAGAACTACTTACGGTTCGCGCCGCCAGGGTGTTCCGGGGCAAAAGCAGTTACATCCCACACCTGGTCGTCAATCACGATCCAGCAGTCGGAGGGATTGTTGTGTCGCGCGACCTCTTGGGTCGAGATGAGCTGCGTGAATTCCATTGGCCGTGAAGGCGTCTACGTCCTCCAATCTTTCTATTTCTGCCGCCTAAGGTGTGGCGAGAATGTTTTGGGCATTTCAAGAGGGATTGAAGAGTTCAATTGCCGCGGGAGTTACGCTGATGATAATGTTCGGGGATTTTTTGGTGGTTGGGCCGAAGCCGGAGGCGTCGATCAATCTGCTGACGTTGACCGAAGTTTGCTCGTATTCGTTTCTGAAAGCATTGGGCACGGCAACTCTGCTTCACGCATCTGCAGAGGAGAAAATAACTGGCTTGCGGTGTAGTTGGACGCAGATTGACTTTGTTGATTGTATATACAGTATCTACTATGTCGCCACTTCCAACACGAAGCCGCCGTAATAGCGGCATCGTTGCATGAAAGATATGCTCTCGTGATTCCCTCAACCTCGATATGAAGTAATAGGTATGCATTCTTCAACGAGTCAAATCGAAAAATTGCTTCCCATCCTCGTGCAGCCACGAGCATTAACTACTCCTCAACATCAATCCTCTCCACAAACCGCCCAGGCACAACCACCAACCCAACAAACCTCTTCTTCATCGCCCCGCCTTCCCCTACTGCGTTCCCAGCCAGGTTCTCCAGGGTAGTACTCCCCACCACACCGCCCCCAGCAACACTCCTCCGATACTCGTACGTCATCGACAGAATGATGTTGAGCTCGTTATCCGTGCATTTCATCTGCCCCACGAACACCCGGCCGTCGGAGGTGTGCAGGTGCAGCGTTTTGTTGAGCAGCGAGTCGAGGTAGGCGATGCTTTGGTCCGGGGATTGTGTTGTTGGTGCTGGATTTGACATTGTCGTTGGTTTATTTGTGAGGTGTTATTGCTAGTGCTGCTGCTGTTTGTTTGGAGGGCTGATTATCTCTCCCTTGATTGCAGTAGCCGGACTTCGCGGGCTCAAGGCGGCGGATGTGTTTGAGACGGCATGGCGATTTGTTCGAGACGGGGATTCAGTTGCTCTAATGGTACATCTTTCTCTTGAGGGTTTCTGATCTGGTTGGCTTTCGAGGTTGAGCAAATGGAAAAGTCAAGACAAGCAGCTGTGTTCGTGGAAAGGGAAGATGCTGTTAGGGTTGAGGTTTTTCTGACATGGCTTAGGGTAAAGGTTATGAGCGATGGCCACTGAAGGCACTCATGTCTTTTTCGAGGTCCTGGACTGGAAAAAGGTTGAATGCAGAATGGAACGTAAAAGAGATTTTCCATCACTTCGTTGCAGATTCAATTTCTATTCGAACATAATCAAACATGGGATATCGTGCTCCAACAGCGACCCGAGGGTCGAGCCTATCACTATTCCCATACACAGCGTCTTCCCTTACAGTCGTCACTGACAACATTCTCTGAAGCCAAGATCGCCCCATCACAACGCATCCGACTCTGGAGGTCCGGTGTAGACTAAGAGACACCCATATCGTCAGCAAAAGATACGCACAACTCCGGAAAGAGGGAAGAGCAACTCACACTTGCGCGCAAACAAAGCATAATAGATGGCACTGATCGCCATGAACCCCACAAACACCACAGAAGCCCAGTTCATCGACGTGATCGTGACGGGGAGAGATGTCGGCATACTGAACAGCACGACCTGGAACGCCACCCAGGAGATGGCAAGAAGGTTTACCGTCCACCCGACAGCAGCAGGCCAATGGAAGCGAGCAGTCGACACGGCGCGGCGGCCTTCGAGCACGCTTACCAGGACCGGCGTGGCGTACGCGACGGCCAGCGCGATGGTACCTACGGAGGCGAAAGCGGTGAAGGCGGTGCTGCTGCCGAGATTGATGAGGCCTAGGAGCATTTGCACTCCCGTCAAGAGGAGGAGCGCATTGAGCGGGACTTGATCTTTGTTGACTTTGGCCCAGAAGGAGTGGAAGGGGACAGCGCCGTCGCGGCAGAAGGCCCAGGTGCAGCGCGAGGCGGCGGTCGTGATGCTGATGGAGCAGAAGACTGCGATGATGATGATGAAGAACATCAGCGCCAGGCCGCCGCCGGGGGTGCCCATGACGACGTGGAAGACGTAGGGGAGGGCTTGGCCGGCTGGCGCGTTCAAGATGGCCTTGAGGGGTGGGAGGGTGGCGCAGATGGGGAGGATGAAGAAGAGGCCGGCCACGCCTGCAATGGGGATGCATAGACTCAAGGCTCGCGGCAGGTCGACTGCTGCATCCCGACACTCCTCTGCCATCGAGGTGATGAGGCCGAGGGCCGCGAACGTGTAGGCCGCGGGGAGAAGGCCGATGAAGAAGGTGAAGCCACCCCAACCGCTCAGCGCAGTGTCGTAGTATCCCAATGTATCCGCCACGCTGTGTCGCCCAACGCCTGCTGCAACGGAGAGTCCAATGCAGACGATGAGGATAGTCAAGCCGTTCCAGATCGATGCCGCCGTGTCAATGTATGGGAGGATTCGATTGCCATATGCGCAGACGAAGAAGATGCCAATGGTGAACGCGTAGAAGATGAGGAGGAGCTGCCACGAGTTGGCGTACCATGTAGGATGGTCTGGCGCACTGTTAGTCGGAGCTTCGCACGAAGTGTAGCGATATCACTCACAAATCGTGACCGTTCCAGCGATAAGAGACGCGGAGCCGAAATTCACAGACAGCGCAATGGTCCAGTTGCCAATCAGGAATGCCCAGCCGGTAAAGAATGACAGAGCCGTGCGTCCTTTTCCTCTATGCAACTGGAATGCCCAATAATAAGGGCCGGCAGAAGTGGCGAAACGAGATGCCAGCTCGCTGAGTGACATGGCAATGCATTGATCGAGGATGCAAACGACAATCCAGCCCACGAAGTATGCCAACTGGCCACCACCGATGATGGCGCTGGTCAGCGCGGTGCCCTCGCCGAACGGCACGGCAGCGATGGCCAAGCTTTGGAACAGGATGGTGTAGAGGGAACGCGTCCTGATCAGTTCCTCCTTGTAGCCCAGGTGGTCCAGGTCAGTCACAGACCCCTCTTTCGTAGCGACATCGTCAAAGCGGGCCTCAGTGCCGACGGCGACCTTCTCATCCGCCATGGTATCTGCCAGTAGGGGAAATGTGTAGGTGGTCAGTCGTGCGCTTCGCAAGACGCGGCACAAGCCATGTTATGTAGTAGACTCCCGGCGCATCTGTGGTCGACTTTTAATGTGGATTCCGATTGGCCTCGCCCGCATTTGAGGACCCTACCCGCGTGGTGACGCTTGAAGTGCCTCCCGAAATGCCTATTTGGGCATAGATTGGCACGATTCCATACCGAAAATCTGGGGCACGATCCGGGGCACTCGGCATCTCTTACTGGATTGGTACTGGCGTTTCCTTCCACGCCGTTGACCTGCCCGGTTGTCGTTCGATTCATGATGCTCGTTCAGAACAAGAACGCCTTCGCTGATAAGGCTTGAAAAGCGTCCCACCAAGTACCTGTCTTGTCATCCGTCCGCCAGATATCTCGCAGCGAATCAGCCATGAGCTGCAAATTGCCGAACGAGAGATAGGAAATCGATGGCATAATAGTGCGCAAGATGACAGTCTGATCGTCGGGGGAGAGTGCGTGCGCTCCAAGCACCAAAAGCGGCAGCACGACGCAGTGAGCCATCATTCCGGGTAGCGAGCCGTCAGTCAACTTCCCTACCCCTTCTTTGACCGCAGCCTGCACGGCTGGGTCGTCGATTGGCAACAGCCGTAACGCGCGCTGGAGGTAGATGATGCCGCAGAGCTCGTATAGCTCACAGAAGATGGCCCAGTTCTCTGGCGTCACCACGCCATCTGTGACCAATGCTTCACCATGATGAGGTGGGGCGAGAAGTGTCGCCTCGATGGCAGGTAGGCACTTCTCCACCAGTTGTAAACCAACGCGCGTGGGTAGGCTAGAAGCAACCAAGGAGCCAAGAGATGCCATTTCGGCGTAACATTTGAGGATGCCCAAGAACCTGTCGTTGGCCGGTAAGTTTCCCCACCAAGAGTCCGTGTGGGCGAACATATGCCAAAGTAGGGGATCGAAGAAAGGCTTATCGCCGCTTAACAGGGCGTGAAATAGATCCATGGTAGCGAAGCAGGATAGCAGATGCGTATGGAGGCCATTCTTCGCAATGATGTCGGTTGGTAGACTTGGCCACCGGGTGAGCATGGCATGGCCGCCTTGTAGATGCCACTTCGTAACGCCTAGGTGATCGTTCGATGGCTCGATCATGCCATCCAGTATGCAAAGAAGCACGTTGATCATGAATACATTCTGTGCCGTGTTTGCCGATTTGACGCCCAGTTCAAGCTGATTTCTAAGACTCCTGATTGCCGCTGATCGAGCCTGCTGCCGCGTGAGCGTCACACTGGTGGACATTACATGCGCTAGATCGAAGTGGGTTTGAGAAACGGCCAGGATGGCTTGCTTGAGGGGCTTGTCCTGCATCAACAGGCTGAGGTCCAGTCGCGGGGCTCCTTCGAGAAGGTGAAACCGGGGAAGTACTGCCTGTGAGAAGTACAGCAGCATGCACTCGGTATCCAGCTGAGCTGAAGCCCGGGGGGACATCAAGATCGAGGCCGGGCTGGACACCGGTATTGAGAGCGGACTAGCCAACTCCAGCGAGTCCGTACGATCAGATGGAGCATTCTTGCCCCTACTGGCTATGCCTCCGACCCATTTGAATGGCGGGACGGAGCCATAGTTACAGAGCTGCTCGTTTTGCCGGCAACGCTCGCATGCGGGCTTCTCCAAGTCGCATTTGATCCGTCGTCGCCGACAGGTCCAACAAGACCCTTCGACGACTCGACTGGTCCTTCGGATTGGTCCTGTCGACATGTGAGAGGCGCGCCGAGTTGGATGGTTCGTTCATGGCATTTTGCTGGTGGGCCACTGCGAGGGTTGATGGCTGGAAGGGACGAATCTGAGGCTGGCCCGCTGGAGTTGAGGCAGTGGCGTGTCCACCACTCCAGAGAAGCTGATAATCGTCAATCTTTTGTCGTCCAACACTCCGGACCCTAGAGGACTCAATCCATGAGTCTCGTTGAACAGAGGATGTGCACGCGGTGGTTGGCTCTTCGGCTGCTGCCGAGCATTGCTCCGATACTCTGCCCAGTTGATTGGCCAAGATGAAAAATGCGCATCCAGACCCAAGAATACGCACCGACATTGATTCATCGACATGCAACGAGGATCTATGCCTAGCGTTTGCCCGCATCGGGACAACTCCACGAGAATCCCCCGTCTTCCCGATCCCATTCCCGACGGATAGTTATCTCCTGCGCACGGCATCCCACTCCATCCCCGCCAAACGTACATGCGGGCGGGCCTACAATCTTCTCGAACGCACCCCGCCCGTGGACGAACACGCTTCGACCTGCCGAAAAGGGATAATCGGCGGCGGAAGCGTGGGCTGTGGGCCGGGCGGGCTGGCTGGCGCGTCGCTGCATCCCATCCTCTGCCCTCCACCACGCTCTTTTGAAGGTCGAGTTCCCCCCTCTCAATTGAACCCGTGACTTTGCCGAAGGTAGGTCTAATTGGGTTGGTGTAGATGCTCTCGCGCACTCTTTTCACTTCCTTCTCCACTCGCATCGTTTGCTGTTATCTGCTGCCCTTGCAACGACGGGCTTTTGCTGCTTCTGCCGCGCTACGAAATATGTCGAACCTTACGGTTGAGCTCACGGCGCCGAATGGCACGAAATATAGCCAGCCCATCGGCCTGTTCATCAACAATGAATGGGTGCCTGGTACCAAAGGAGACAAGATCACGTCCATCAACCCCACGGACGAGTCCGAAATTGCTTCCGTCCATGCTGCCGAGCCCGAAGATGTCGACAAGGCGGTAGCCGCTGCCCGCGCGGCGTTCAAGGGCCCTTGGAGAGATATGGCGACTTCGGAGCGGGGAGACTTGATGATGAATTTGGTGCAGCTTATCCAGAAGAACCGGGAGTTGCTGGCGACCATTGAGACGTGGGATAATGGTAAGCCATATTTCTCACGATCGTAGTCGAAAAGTCGACTGATTCTGGTCAGGCAAACCGTACTCGGTCTCGTTGAATGAAGACTTGAACGAAGTGACAAACACGCTCAAGTACTACGCTGGCTGGGCGGACAAGATCCAAGGCCAAGTCATCGACACCAGCCCTGCCAAACTCGCGTACACCATTCGTGAACCGATCGGTGTCTGTGGACAGATTATTCCGTGAGTACAGTCATCCAACAAGTAAAGCTTTCAGGCTAACACCAAATCAGATGGAACTATCCTCTAGCCATGGCTGCTTGGAAGTTGGGACCCGCCATCGCAACGGGCAACACCGTCGTTCTCAAGGCAGCGGAGCAAACCCCTCTCAGTATCTTGGTTTTCGCAAACCTCGTAAAAGAGGCAGGCTTCCCACCCGGCGTGATCAACATTCTCAACGGCCGTGGCAAAGTCGCAGGCGCCGCAATGGCCCTCCACCCTGGAATCGACAAGATCGCCTTCACCGGCTCCACCGCCACAGGCAAAGAGATCATGAAGATGGCCGCGCTGACCATGAAGAACATCACTCTGGAGACGGGCGGCAAGTCGCCTCTGCTCGTCTTCGATGATGCCGATCTTGAACAGGCCGTGAAGTGGAGCCATCTCGGCATCATGAGCAACCAAGGCCAAATCTGCACCGCGACGTCCCGCATCTTGGTTCAAGAAGGCATCTACGACAAGTTCATCGAGGCCTTCAAGAAGTGTATTCTGGAGACGTCCAAAGTCGGCGATCCGTTCAAAGACGATACGTACCAGGGACCGCAAGTCACCAAGGCGCAGTACGAGCGAGTGTTGAGCTATGTGGAGGCTGGCAAGAAGGATGGCGCGACACTGGCCATGGGTGGCGAGGCGTACAAGGATGTCGGCGGAAAGGGCTTCTTCGTCTCGCCTACCGTCTTCACCAACGTCACCGACAGCATGCGCATCTTCCGGGAGGAAGTTTTTGGGTGAGTCGTGAAGACTTCCCGTAACAAAGGCTTATTACTAACATTCCCCAGCCCCTTCGTCGTCGTCGTCTCCTTCAAGACGGAAGAAGAAGCGCTCGCTCTAGCCAACGACACCACCTATGGCCTCGGCAGCGCAGTCTTCACCAAGGATGTCGTGCGAGCCCATCGCATTGCACGCAAGATCGAAGCGGGCATGGTCTGGATCAACTCCAGTCAAGACTGTGACTACCGGATTCCATTTGGCGGTGTCAAGCAATCTGGCATTGGCCGGGAGTTGGGCGAGGCGGGCCTGGATGCGTATACGAATAAGAAGGCGGTGCATGTTAACTTGGGGACTTGGCTGTGAGCGTGTAGATTTGATAGGTCAACTCGTCTCGGTGACGTCTTAGAGTTATTGCATTAAGAAGTTCTTCTGTGTTTCATAGGGCTTGAACAGGTGAGGCCGAATTCAAGCCTTGGTGGAGGTGGAGGTGGAGTCGGCTGAACCTCACCTCGGCTTTCCACTTCACTCCAGCATGCGATAACTACAGTCACCATCAATCATCCAGAACTACACGACGGACGAGAACGACACCGCAATGAAAGCAATCCTCATCCCCGAGTTCGCACCGGACCCCTCAACCCTCCAACCTTCCGAAGTCCCCACCCCACCACCAAAACCAGACGAATACCAAATCTCCATCACGCACTGCGCGCCTCAACACGCCGACATCCTGCACGCCCAAGGCAAACACCAAAACAACAACGCCAAAAAAGGCTGGTGTCACCCTCCCTTCATCCTAGGCTACGATTTCGCGGGGATCGTGCGCTCCGTCCCATCATCACCATCATCCGCAACCTCAAGGCCGAAATTCAGCAAAGGCGACCGCGTCTTCGGAATCGCGATAGGTGCTTTTGCGGAAAGCATTTGTGTCAAAGAAGCCGCCATCCGCCGGGTGCCGGATGGCTTGTCGAACGAGACGGCGTGCGCGATGGCCGGGCAGGCGGTGAGTTATGCTTCCGTGCGGCACGTGGCGGACGTGCAAGCGGGGGAGACGGTGATGGTCAGCGGGGCTAGTGGAGGTTTGGGCAGCGTGTGTTGCATGGTTGCGAAAGCGCTGGGGGCGAAGGTGGTGGCGCTCGCGGGGGATGCGGAGAAAGCGGAGGCCATGCGGAGGGATATGGATGTTGATCTTGTGGTTGTGATGAACGATGGGCGAGACTGGATGGCGGAGGTGATGGCGTTTACTGAGCAGAGGGGCGTGGATGTGTTTTTGGATAACATCGGGATGGTGAACGATGCGATTCGGTGTCTGGCGTATTTTGGCCGGATTGTGATTATTGGGTTTGCGGCCAGGAAGGGCGTCATGGAGGAGGTGAAGATGAACAAGTTGCTGCTCAAGTCGATTACGATTATGGGGTATCGGTTTGGGGAGAGTGGGAGGCGGCATCCGGCGCTTTTGGAGAGGATCTGGGCGGGGTATTTGGGGATGCTGCAGAAGGGGGAGTTGAAGCCGATGCTGTATGGGGATTATCGGGGGCTGGAGGATGTGGGGAGGGCGTTGGGGGATTTGGCGGAGAGGAGGGTGTATGGGAAGGTTGTGGTCAAGGTAGCGGATGAAGAGGAGTTGTCGAGGTTATGAGCATGCAGCCTTGTTATGAGTGGCGGCATGTCCACGAAGGTATTTGCCTCTCGAGACGATGACGCCCAATGTAAGCACGGAATTGGCAGCTCGCTCAGCCGCGCAATTTCAAATGATACGTCTCCAACTGACCCTCCGTCATACGGGAAGGACTCTTCACCAGCAAGTCCTCCCCCTTCCCACTCTTCGGAAAAGCAATGACATCCCGAATACTCTCCTTGCCCAGCATGACAGCAACCAACCGATCGAAGCCCAGCGCAATACCCGCATGCGGCGGACAGCCTGCTCGAAGCACTTCCAGCAAGTGCGCGAAATCCTTCATCCGGTCGTCGCTCATCCGCAGCACGTTGCGCATGATGAACTCCTGCATTTTGGCGTTGTGGATGCGGCGACTGCCGCCGCCTAACTCTACGCCGTTGACGACTAGATCGTAATGGTCGGCTTTGGCTTGCAACGGGTCTGTCAGGAGCAGATCGACATCTGCGGCTGTTTTGGGCGCGGTGAAGGGGTGGTGGTTGGAAGAGATGCCGGCTGAGCCGCCTTGTCCCATGTCAACATCGTTATCCGGTCGGAATAGTGGGAAGTCTGTGATCCACAGGAACTCAAAGCCTTTCGGTGCCTCGATCAAGCCTTGCTTCACTGCAGCCTTGTGCAGCGCAAGTCGCAAGTTGCCAATCGGTGTAGAGCCGGTGGAGAACGGGGCGTTCTTGCGTGCTTGCAGAACGACGAGATCACCATCTTCCAGCTCTAGCATTTCTTCCAGTTGTTCGGCAGCTTCGAATCCGAAAGGTTGAAGTCCTTGGAGGGGTTTGCGACTGTCGAAGATGAAGATGCCCGGCTGGCCGTCAGGATTCTGAACGAACGGCAGAGATTCCGCAGAGTCCATGAAGGATGATACGAATCGCCTCGTATCTTGTCCATCTTCGGCTATTCGGAGCTTCATAACTTCCACAATTGGGTCGGTTAAGGGTCCGATCTTCTGCACCAGGTCCACTGGTAGCATGTACTCGACTCTTCTAATTTCTGAACCGAGGCGAAGATCTGGTTTGTCGGATCCATATCGGGACATGGCTTCTTCGTAAGTCATGCGCTGGATTGGGTTGGGCAGGCTGTGCTCGCCCAAGCACTCCGCCCACAGCCTTCTTACCACCGCTTCAATAGTTTGCATGACATCTTCGCTGCCCGCAAAGGCCATCTCTAGGTCGAGTTGAGTAAACTCCGGTTGTCTATCCGCTCGCAGATCTTCATCCCGGAAGCATTTGGCAACCTGCATATAGCGCGGGATGCCGCTTGCCATGAGGATCTGTTTGTACTGTTGCGGGCTTTGTGGCAGCGCGTAAGCCAGTCCTGGTGACCGAGTTGGTACCAGAAACTCTCTGGCTCCCTCCGGCGTAGATTTGAATAACAGCGGAGTTTCGATCTCAGTGAAGCGCAGGTTCCCGCAGAGCTCATCCCTGATGATATGAGTGGCTTGGCTGCGGAAAGCGAGGGCATCACGTATGTTCGCATCGTTTCGGATTTGCAAATGCCGTTGCTCTGGCGGAAACGCAGTCTCCTGGGTCATGATGATGTCCTCTGGAAAGTGGTTTAACGCCATCACGTTTTCCACTTTAATTTCGACATCTGTCACACGACTCGTGTCCACACTCTTCGACGTTTTGGGTGCTTTTCGGGAAACGATGGTGCCTTCCACTGCGACTGGCGTGTATTGTTGCAAATTCCGCAACAGCTGATGGGGTGTGTTGGATGCATCTTCGCCTTTCACCGGAGTCGAGACGAGCTGGACCACCGTAGCCAGGGACGGATCATGAAGCTCGGCGAAGGTCAAGGACTTCGAGGCATCTCGGCGAGCGCCCAAGTAGCCGTGTAAAACCACTTGGGTATCAACGAGATTCGAGCCATTGGTTGCCAGGTCCTTGAAGCTGCAAGTGGAAATCGGAAATGTCAAGGTCCGCTTAAAGTCGTGCAAGATCTTTGCATTCGCATCATTCTGACTAGAGCTTCCATCCGGGATCCGTCGAATTGCAGACTGGCTGTAGCTCCGGATTCCCAAAATGCTATGTCTGATGCGGTAGCATTGGAGTTTAGTTCGTAACGGGTGTGCAGGCCGCCATGATGCTCGACAAGCGGTCGCGATGAGCCGACGGCTTGGCGAGAGCATCAAGCTGTATGGCAAGCAATGATGTCGAGTCCACGCTGTCTCGCTGAAGGAAGGTGATTTTGATGATGTTGGCGAAAGTGGTTGATGATGTTGGCGAAAGTGGTGGACGTGATGTCGAACGCGCACCATTCCAGCCTAGTGCCGCTTATTAAGCTTTTGATATTTCTTCCGCGCGCTCGCGCTTGACATTTTGGACTCTTCAATGATGACCCTCCTAGTCAAAACCATGTACGTGCTGGTCGTCTCCCATCCTCATTGACCAGTTCTGTTGCTGACCCCTCGCAGATGATGAAAGCCTAGCGTGTAGCAGATGAGCTGTCCTCGCTCATGAACCCAAGCTCTCCCTTCGGGGCTCAAGCGGTGAGGGGGTGTGCAGCGAGGTAGCGTGATATCTGCGTTCGGCACACCCTACCTTGTTACCATACGGACGCGAAGACGGCATCTCTGAACCGAGCTTTGATTGGGAGGGTCTTGACAAGATGGTGGAAGCGAGTGTTCTGTTCACGTATTGAATTCAATAGACCATCACCTAACGCGAATTTGCATTGGTGCCATTGCGCCGGCTGTCCGTAAAATACACATTGCTGCGTCTCAAGTGACCTGATATCAACGTCTTGCAAGAGATGCACGTGGGCACTGCTGCGTGAGTTTAGTTGCTTGTTGCTGAGGCACTTAATGCCAAGCCTCTCGGAACCGGAAGCTTTCCATTGCTCGACCGCATCTCCCATTCCAACCGCAACTCTCCACGCCGGATCTTGGTGGCACAACACGCCGCGATAGCCCGGCCGGCAAACACACCTCCACCATTCAGCACAACCCTCTACGCCGCCCTATCACTATGCTCCAACTTCCATGCTCGTGGCGACTTTAATGCCCTACTACTATCCTCCGACCCCATCCGCCGGGATGTCGAACTCCTTCGAGAAGTCCGTCAAAGGCGGCACCAAAGTCAAGCTCGCCCCGCCCAAATCCAAGTATGTCGAGCACATCCTCCTCGCCACGCAGTCGGGCGAGGCTGGCGTGGGCGAGGTCTTCCGCACCCTCACCCACCGATTGCACGATTCCACTTGGACCGTGGCGTTTAAATCGCTCATCATCGTCCACCTCATGATCAAAGAGGGCGCCCCGGACGTGACGCTGAGCTATCTCTCTACCAACTCAAGAGCCATCCTGGCCGTCAATCAGATTACAGATGCTCAGACGCAGGGACAGAACATCCGGCGATACTCGGATTATCTACGTACGCGCGCGCAGGCGTTTGGACATGCAAAATGCGATTATGTGCGCTCGGGAGAGACTAGGATGAAAAAGTTGATCGTGGACAAAGGCCTCTTGCGTGAGACAGAGGTGGTGCAAGAGCAAGTCAAGGCACTGGTGAAATGCGATTTCCTCAACTCGGACGTCGAGAACGAGATCTCGCTCACCGCCTTCCGCCTGTTGACGCGCGATCTGATGGATCTGTATAACGCGGAGAATGAGGCAATGATGAATGTCCTCAGCCAGTATTTCGAGTTGTCCCGGCCGGATGCTGAGCGCGCAGTCAAGATCTACAAGAGGTTCTGTTCGCAGACCGAGGAGGTCGTGGCGTTCTTGGGTGTTGCTCGGCAGTACGAGTATGCGACTCGCTTGCAGATCCCGAAGATTAAGCATGCGCCGACGGGCCTTGCCAAGTCTCTCCAGGACTATCTGGATGACAAAGACTTTGAAGTGAACCGGAGACAATACCTGGCGGAACAGGAGGCGAAGAGGACGGGCAGGCCTGTGAAAAGCAGTACTCCGATTCAGCGTTCAGAGCCGGCGAAACCTGTGGCGGCGGGATCTGCGCAGCCACGGAGCGTACAAGTCGCAGCAGCACCAGTCCAGCCAAGTCCACCTCCAAAGGGTCCGGCGCCGGATCTGATTGACTTTTTCGAGTCGATTGAGCAGAACCAGCAGGTATTGGGCCAGAGTGTTCCGCAATACCAGCTGCAACATACAGGCTTTCCCGTTCAGCAGCAACAAAATACTGGCTTTCCCGTTCAACAGCAGCAGCAGTCCTACGACTATCAACAAAATGGACAATTTGCCAACAATTATCCACAAAACAACACGAACCCCTTCCTTCAACAAACACAACAGCAGCCGCAACAGCCACCACAAGTCCAAACCCAGTTCACGAATGCCGGATTTGGAGGTTATGCACAGCAGCCTCAGCAACAGCAATTCATGCCCGGAAACGCATTCAGCACAGAGCCGCAATCCTTTGCTCCAGCGTCGACTCAGTCACCCGTGTACTACCAGTCGCCCCAGCAGACGGGAGCACCGGCATCGAATCCTTTCAGACAATCGACGATGCCAACTGCAGATGCGCCTGCAGCTTTCAATGCAATTGGCGGCTCCCAGCCCGTCCGCCAATCTACCAACCCCTTTGCGCGGAATGCAGGCTCTACGCCCACCTCGGGCAACCCGTTCGCACCTCCTCAACAGCCTATGCAAGCGCAAGCCACAGGTACCAACCCGTTCGCTCGGAACGCTGCACCTTTGCAGCAGAACTCCATCAGCTCCGCCTCACCGCTACAAGCGCAGCAAACTGGCACAACGAATCCTTTCCGGAACGCACCTTTTGTAAATCAGCAGACGGGCCAGGGGTGGCAGTATGCACCGCAAGCTACGCTGGGAGGGTTCGAGCAGTTGGAGACGATCCCCGTCTTCCCGCGGCCTGCATAGGGAGAAGGAAGGGATGAACGGAGTACGGATCAGCCCGGCGTTGGAGGCGTTATGTGTGGGGTATGAATCACGTATTCGCATTATCCAGATGCATGGCAGCGCGACGAGGAGCGACATGGTAAGAAACGAATGAATTGCATCTCATTTGCACGTAACGATCATAGTCCAGCCCCATCATTCACTCGTATTCACATCCTCAACCTAAGCACTCAGTCAGCACTCCGCATATCACACAGCAAAAGCAGCAACATACCTTCCCATCCCCATACGCCTCCTGAATCGCCTTCTCCAACGGCCCCGCCTTCGCTCCCGTGATGGTAGTATGCACGTCCCCGTCCTTGAAAACGTGGAACGTCGGCATGGCGTTCACGCCCAGCTCGTGCGCAATATCCGGCGCATGATCCGTGTCGTACTTGTAGAAGCGCGCGTCCGGGTACTTTTTGATCAGCTTGTCGACGAAGGGGGCGATGGCTTTGCATTGCGTGCACCAGGTCGCCGTGCCTTCGAGGACGGCGACGCCGTCGGCGTTGGTCGCTTTGACGTACGCTTTGCGGTCGGGGATGTCTTCCATTCTTGCAGAGATTATTGCTGTGGGACTTGCGATGCAATGATCACGTCTTGATGGTGTCAATCAGTTCGTGTTCACGGTCACTATGCGCGGCCATGAGGATGGCCACCCCAGCTTGCAATGACGTACATTTTTCCCGGCAATTTATCCGGAGCTTGCCACGTTGGTCCCCAGCGTGACTTCAAGCATGTCCCGCAGGCCAATAATGAGCCGGGTAATATGGAGAACAGTGAAAGCCGCTTTTGATTGTTAAGAAAGGTCTTATGGTTGCTCTGATTTTGATCTCTTTCAAGCATTGCACGTACGATTGAAGGGATCTAAGTGACTTCTTTTGGAACCAGGCAAGATGCAGAGTCAAGGACCGTTGTATATGGTGGGTGAAAATGTGTTCACAGAGCTCGCCCGTTGTGTCTAACAGAACGGTGCATTAGGGATTCGATCTCTCGACCCAACAACTCAAAGGCATGTCGACTGCAACTCTCACCAATATTCATACAACATCAACTGACACCCGCACCAGCCATCGTCGTCGACTCCAAGCTCAAACTCATCCACGAAGCCAAAGTCGACTTCGACGCCGACCTCAGCAAATATGGCATCCAAAAGGGCGTGCTCACCAACGAAGCAGAAGGCGAAGTCTTCGCCCCGCCCGCAATGTGGCTCGACGCCGTGAACCTCGTGCTCGACCGGCTCGTCGAAGCCGGGCTCGATTTCGGCGCAGTGAGAGGGCTGTCAGGCGCAGGTATGCAGCACGGCACGGTCTTCTGGTCCAAGGACGCCGAGAACATCATGCTCGACTTGGATGCCGGCAAGTCGTTGGCGGAGCAGATGGAGGCGGGCGCCAAGGGGGAGCGAAGGGGCGCGTTTGCCCATCCTGTTAGCCCGAATTGGCAGGACGCGAGCACGCAGAAGCAGTGCGATTTGTTTGATGCTGAGCTCGGGGGCCCGACGAAGTTGGCGGCCGTTACGGGCAGCGCGGCGCATCATCGCTTCAGTGGACCGCAGATTATGCGCTACCGGACGAAGCATACTGCCCACTACGAGGAGACGACGCGGATATCCCTGGTGTCATCCTTCTTGGCTTCCGTGTTCCTGGGGACGATTGCGCAGATCGATATCGGGGATGTGACTGGGATGGACCTCTGGGATGTGCACAAGGGCAAGTGGGATGAGAGGCTACTGGCTCTGGCGGCTGGCGGCAAAGAGCACGCGGCCGAGTTGAGCAGGAAACTCGGCCACGTTGCGGAAGACGGAGGCGCCAGCTTTGGCGACATCAGCAACTACTTCGTCACGCGGTATGGCTTCAATCCGGAGTGCCGGGTGTTGCCCTTCACTGGCGATAATCCTGCCACCATCCTGGCTCTCCCACTTCGGCCATCAGACGCAATGGTCTCGCTTGGCACGAGCACCACCTTCTTGATGAGCACCCCGGAATACCGTCCCGATCCGGCTTACCACTTCATGAACCACCCCGCCACCCCCGGTCTGTACATGTTCATGCTCTGTTACAAAAACGGCGGTCTCGCCCGCGAACACGTCCGAGACGCCTTGAAGAAGCCGGACTCAAACTGGGCCAACTTCGACAAAGCCGCTCTGACCACACCACCTCTCTCCCAAAAGACAGACACAGACCCCATGCGTCTCGGCCTGTACTTCCCCATCCACGAAATCGTCCCCAACCTCCCCCCAGGCCAATGGCGCATGCACTATGACCCGACCACCAAGTCCCTCAAAGAAACCTCCAACGACACCATCCCCGACGACGCACGCAACATCGTCGAATCCCAAATGCTCTCCTGCCGCCTGCGCTCCCAAAAGCTCGTTAAACCGGTCAAAGACCCGCAGTCCGGGTCTCAACTTCCCGCGCAGCCGCGCAGAGTATACCTCGTCGGCGGCGGGAGCGCCAACGCCGCCATTGCGAAAATCTGCGGCGAGGTGCTGGGCAGCGTCGAGGGAATTTACAAGTTGGATATCGGCGGGAATGCGTGCGCGCTCGGCGCGGCGTATAAGGCTGTGTGGGGGTGTGAGCGGCGCGAGGGCGAGACGTTTGAGGAGTTGATTGGCGGGCGGTGGGATGAGAAGGCTTTTGTGAGAAAGATTGATGATGGGTATGCGCCGGGGGTGTTTGAGAAGTATGGGGAGGCGGTGGAGGGGTTTGAGATGATGGAGAAGCGGTTGTTGGAGCAGCATGGTGGGAGCTCGAAGTGAGGATGGATGTGAAATGCGTGCATTGTGTCTTTGTAGAGTACAAGTGGGCAAAACCGAAACACTGCCATTACCACTTCCACCACTTGCCCCACGGCTAAATCTGTGTGTTAGAGTACAAGCGAAGAAGACCAAACGACTGCCATTGCCACTTCCACCACGACCCCGAGCGCACGGCTAGATCTGTCTCCGGATCTAGCCCTGAGATTTCCTCAACACCTCAAGTTCCCTCTGCATGTGTCGAATGGCCCATGCATCCTTCTCGCGCTCCCTGCGTACAGCCTCGTCCACGCTCGCCTGCCAGCTCCGACTGACAGTCTCCGCGCCGGCCCTCGCTGCCTCATTCTTCCACTTCTCAAGCTCGGCCTTGCTGGCCTCGACGGCCTGACGCAGAAGCGTGATTTCTGCACGCCGCAGGTCCCGGGCGTTCATTGCGCGTGCAGCTTCGTACAGCTCGTCATCCTGTAGATCCTGCCCGGCCATCGTTCGCGCAGCTTGGTACAACCCGTCGTCCTCATCGCGTGGGAGGTCCGTGACGAAGAAGCGACTTTGGTGCACTTGGGCCAGGCGCGCTCGCAGATGCGCCGCCGTGGATTCGAGATTGGCGACGCGGTCGTGTGAAGAGCAGAGCTCGCGTTTGAGGACTTCAATCGTCTCCTTTTGCTGCGTGTTTTCCTGCAACAGGAGTCTTTGCGTGGCTTGATTCATCTCTTCCGGCGTGGGCGACGGCATGGTCTGTCTACGATCGTCAAATCGTCCTGTTGGGGGGTAAGGTTCTTTGGGGCGTCGACGTCGAGGGGGACTGGATGGAGTTGGGCGTAGTGGTGGTGCGTGCCGGGATGATGGGCGTGAACGTTGAGGAGATCTCGAATCTGCCATGGTTTCTGCGTTTTTAAGTACCCGTCGTAAAGGCAAGATGGAATGAAACCTGCAGAAAGGGTGGAAATGGGACAATTCAATAAGACCAAGAGAGAGGGAGTACGACGAGGAGAGTAGCAAACCGGTACGACAGACCTACGCTGAGCGGCACAGTGTGTCTCGTCGTTAGTTATCGTGTTACAGCCGTTTTCGTGGTACCTGTCTGCCAGGCTGCGGAGACGTGTTCATGCGAGTTGGCGGGATGCATCGTGTCAGACGTCGCACCACCGTGTAGTTCTGGCGACGGTGACTGGTGAGGCACGGCGATAGCTCCATTAACGGAGATGATGACATTTTGAGCGTCAAGGGAGGTGAATGGCTTGGATCTCTGCCTGCCTGGTCTCATTTGATGAACGCAGTCTCAACGGGCGTCACGAGCTGGTCGACAACGTGCACCACCCCGTCAGTACACATGTGGTCCGCCGACAGAATATTGGCCCGCTCGTTGACTTTCATTTGAATCAAGCCCTCGATTCTCTCGACTTCCACAGCAATCATGGCGCCGTTGCTTGCCGCCGAGGGTAACTCAAAGGTCCGCTTTCCGCGTGGTCGGGGATACTCACGACCTGGTGGGGCATCTATAGTAGTGCTCGCGTCGGCGCCACGATAAAACCTGTTGGAGTACAATGTCCAGTTGGGAGACCAGTGGGATAGCAGAATTGTCCTGATGATTGAAGGCTTTTGGAGAAGCTCACGTAGCTCTTCCTCTCCAAGCGATTGAAATGCTGCATCGGTAGGCGCAAAGAAAGTTCCTCCTCGTCTTAGATCGACAGCATCGTCGCCGGTCAGCTTGAAATCACAGATGCTTATGGCACGCCGGAGAATGCCAAAAGACGCCGAGGGAAGAGCACTCAAGGTTGTGGCAATGTCAAGAAGAGGCATGGGAGCCTTGTCGAGAATATGAACGACACCGTTCCGAGCGAAGAGATCCGCTGCAGTGATTCGAGAAGTGAAATCAACAGAATAGCTTGGCCCATATCCAGGGTGCCAGATTGGCCTGGTGCGCAGGAGTTGCAGACCGTTCAGCCCAGGTGAATGATGGCGCACCGGGACATTCGGGAATGAAGACAAGGCCGACGTTGGGAGATAAAGATCGCTGATCAAGGACGATATGTCTCGTGAACCATCAAGTCCCGTCCAAGGATCCGTCTCGTCGTCGCCCGGTGCGAACACGGTACAGTCAGTTGATATGTCTTGCAATTTTGCAACCAAATCCGGACATTGCTGCAGCCTTGTCATGAACTTTCGCAATCGCGGGTCACTCTCTAGGAGAGTGTAGACCGACTGCTCCGGGGCATTCATGTTGCCAACGTTGATTCGTGTACGCCAAAGAGGGCCGACGCTCGGGGACTCTATAGAAGTTCTCGAGGTTTATCGTGCTGACGCAGTTAGTCGGTTGCATCTGTTATTCACGTGACGCTGGTTCTGCCGATGACTGCTCGCCGGTAGCAACTCGTTCTATAGCGACAGTCTGGGGTTGTGGTAAGTGTGATTCTCTCGACCATACAGCTAGAACACGGAAGATTTTGAAATCATTTTGAATGCATTATAGTGAAAAGTGGCGTAGAAGCCAGTCACGTGCTTAAAGTGATCGGCGCGTTTGGGTGATCGGCGCGCTTGCGAAGTACGTTAGAGCCAAACATTGGCGATCTGCTTCCATTCACGATTCCCAAATCTATACGATCTTCTTCGGCCTCAGTGTCTGTGGCACGGCGGAACTGTCTTTACAGATGGCTTCGCCGAGCCGACTGCCTTCCTTGCGCCGGCCGGCCGGGAGCAGTCGGCCAGTGTCCATGATTGAAGTACGTCTGGCGTGCATGGGTTGTTTGACGATGTCCACTAATACGATAAACAGGGTCCGACGAGTAATGTGCCCGCCTTACATTCTGGCTTGAGAGACACAGAGCCTTCGGAGATGCTGAAGAGACGGAGTTTGCTGCCGCAATTCCCTCGTGGAGTTGTGGGCGAGGGACACGAGGGCCAGGGGAGCACAGAAGCCGATCTCGACAGGACAAGCGCCAGTCCGCGCCAGTCAGATGGCCACAAAAGCTCTGGTGAAGCCGACCGAAGGCGAGCATTGAATGGAGGAAAAGCAGATATGCCGCCGCCTGCGCCGAAAGCGGCAAGGCCTATGTCCATGGTTCCGCCGCGAGGCTCGAGCCAAAGCAAGCTCCCTAGCAGTCGCACACACGCTCGCAAGGAGTCTAAAGAGAATGCCGTGGACATTGCAGCGGCAAGGGCACAATCATTAGCGGCGCTGAGTGGAGCAGCACCAGCAACGCGTTTGCTCGCGGACGATTTGGGCTTGAAGAGGTCGAACTCGACGAGATTGCCACAGACGCTGCGTGCTGGGGGTCCTATGATACCATCACGGACCACCAGTGCGAAGCCCAAGGACGAGACTGCAAGTAAGAAACCGAGAAGCCGGGCGGGTCCTCCGAGCGATGCCACGACACGGGACCAGTTCTCGTCTACTCCCCGCGCATCCATTACTCCTACTCTACCAAGGACCTCCACTGAGGCTTCCGCCGCGCGACAGAATCGTGCTTCCGTGATCATCCCTACTCGACAAGGCAGTCGGCTTGAAACCTCCCCGCCTTCGCGCTCATCACGACCCAGACCAGCCTCACAGATCATTGCGCCGAGTATGAAGCCAGCATTCACTACGTTCCAGCAACACTACTCTCCCGCCAAATCGTCATTACCCAAACCCCCGATACCATCTACCAAGCCTTCGCATAAGCTCTCGATAAACGCTTCAGAAGACGATGAGGCCGTAAGCTTCGAAACCATGAAGCAGCAAATCGAACTTCTGCAGCTGTCGTTACTCCACCAAGCCTCGCATCAATGCTTGGACGAATACACTGCCAGCGCCCGACGCAAGCTTGGCAAAGTGCATTCCAGATTGCGGAGAGAGTACGAGAGTTTGCGTGCAATGGAGCTGGTGCAGCAGCGTGCAGCTAATCTGTCCGCCCTGGATGCTTGGTGTCCAGACCCGGCACTTCTCGTTGAGAATCTGCAGATCCTGGCTCTGGTCTATTCTGACATATCGTCGTTGATGGAAGAGGGCAGCCGGCATGGGGATGTGGTCTCCATGTTCGAGTTATGGATAGCCGAAGCGGAGCGGTCGGAGGCGGGCAGCTTCGTCCAGCCTCTGCCAGACGACTGGCGATCTTCGCATGGCACTTTGCTGCTGAAGCTGAGATCTATCCAGCGGAATTTGCGGGTGTTGCCTACGGCGAAGTCGTCGGGGATCGAAAGCTCTGGGATAGAGGTTGTCCTGAGAACTTGCAAGACATTGGTGGAGGATATGCTGGGGGAATTAGAGGTCATGGCCAAGTTGGAGAGGGAGATGCTGGCGAGGGAGAAGGGCAAGGTGGAGAGGGAGGTCGATGCGATGCTTATGAATAATGATGTGAACGTCAAGGAGAACTGGGTTCCCGTATGGCAGAAAGTGGCCTAGTCCGGCTTACTTGGATAGCATGGTTGCTGTATTCACGATGTCTTCTTTTCTTGTGAAGGTAAATATGAGTGAGCACGTGACTGTTCGGGATCGCGGGTTGTGGGCTTGGCGTTTGCCTCGCCCCCACGGCACTTCACCACCTCACCCGACCAAATTCCATTCCACCGAAGCTGAAGACCCCGACGTGTCCCACGAGCAGGTGTGCAATAGAATGAGCTGAGCGGACAGAGCGAGAAGGTTTGGACGGAATGGCGCCACGGTCAAGGACAGGATGGTATGTTAGACGGCATGTGGCACCGCGCATCGAGATCTTCCGCTAAACCTTCCCTCAGTTTAACCTGCCGTCAGAGGAGTGCGTATCGCGTGCAGGCGACACCCCGTCTGGGCCATTGCTAACCTGGCCTGATTAGAGCTGAAATGTAGTGAAGAGAGGCCCGTGTGTGCGCAGTGCACGAAGGCGAGCCGAGAATGCATTCCCGCGTCAGGAATCACCTTTCGGTGAGTGCATGCCACCGACCACGTCACAGATGTGAATGCTAACGACGAGTAGCCATCAACAGAACCCTTCTATGAACGCGGAAGACCATGGTGAAGGCAGTCTTAAGAACTTCTACGGCTACAAGGAGACGTTTGGCAAGCACACGACGTGGGTCGAGATCCCCAAGGACCTCACCTTTGTCCACACCAGCAACCCCTACGACGATGGAGATGATAGGCCCGGCGGCATTGCGGGCTACGATGACGGCGATACGACCTTTATGACTGATGACCTCGCTTCCTTTCACGACACTCACGCGGGTGCTGAGCTTGACCTGCATCCTACCACCTACCCGTCATACGCCACCCATGGCCTCGAGGCACTCAGTGCAGTGGCCAGCCAGGATCAGTACAGCTTCGCGCCGCCGCCTTCATCCATGGATACGCACGACCAGACCTCCCCTCGGCAGTCCGCTGTCCAAGGACTACAGCCAGGCCCGCCTGCGACAAGTCAAAACATCGACTACATCCTCAACCCATCATCCGCCAAGGGTGCATCTCCAGCAATCAGCAACCTCGATCCGCAACTCCACTCCCCAACCAACTCCGCCAAGCAGGCCTACGTTTCGAGCCCCGAAGCACACCAATCCCCCTTTGAACATGTACGTACCTCATCGTACAGCCCTGCACATGACCGGGCGAGCTTACGTCGCAAAGGATCAAGCCGCGGCGGCGGCGGCGCTCGCGGAGCAGCTATTACAGAGCCAGAACTAGCCTTCCTCCTCCGGCATTACTCCGAGTGCATGGGCTTCTGGATGGACATTTTCGACCACGGCTTATTCTTCTCCTCGCACGTTCCCACTCTGGCTGTGCGTTGCCCGTTGTTGCTCTACGCTTGCGTCGCTCTGTCGGCCAAGGGACTTGCTCGGGTGAATGGGCGGAAGGCGGTCATGGGCGGCCAAATTACGGCGAAACGCCAAAGCTTGACGGAAAAGTGGCCGGGGCCACGCATGAGCGCCGAGGCTTGGAGACACCTCGCCAGGCAATACTACGATCTTGCCGTGTCGCTGTTGAGACAAGCCCTGGCGGGTGCTACAAGACCTTCAGTGCCAGAGGGCGCAACACCTGGCACTATATCAGATATACAAGGACATCCACTTCCATCCACGGATTCCGACGAGCTAGTTGCGGCTACCGCCGTGCTATGCGTGTACGAGTTCTTTGATGTGTCCGGAGCCGAGTGGAATCGCCATCTCGATGGCGTTCAGAGCCTTTTCGACATCGCCAACGATCGCATGATGGATCTCACTCGGCCCCCTTCACCCGCTGCAGTGACTGACAGTATCACGCAGCGTCTAGCGGCCACGCTCGGCGGCCCCCGTCCAGGGCTCAGCAAAGGCCGTAGGGGTGTCTTCTGGTGCTTTGTTCGTCAAGACATGCTCTCGGCGTTCATCAACAACACTCACACTCGAGTGGACACCTCTGACCTGGCGGCGTGGCGTAGTGCGGGCCTCAAGATCGCGCCAGATGGTTTCGTATATCCCAGTAATCCCTCACATGCTGACTACATTGCCGAAAACGCCATGGCGGATGACATGATCTGCAATGCATTCATCTGGTTGCTGGCGAAGCTCGTCAACTTCCTCGTGACGCCACATTCCGTGACGAATCAGCCCTCTCTCATTGGGCCTCAGACGAAGCGGCAAAATCTTTTTACAGAAACTTGGGAAGAGCTTGACGCACAGCTGCAAACGTGGTACGACAGCTTACCAGACAGCTTCGTCGCCTCGGCGATAAGGCAACCCGAAAACGAGAACCGGATCGAGGAGAAGTGGTTCCCTAAATCCATGTGCGCCAGTACCATGCAGTGGTGGCACTTTGCCCGGATCCAGATGCTTCACAATAAGCCGTATGTGGCGCCAGCCCCAATCTCTTCATCAGACAAAAGTCACCTTCTCGGCGCAGCAACTCCAGGCATGAACCTCGCGCAGCAACACGCCAATTACGCTTCCATCACTCGGCAATGCCACGAGCACGCCAAGGAGATTGTGGCGATTGGCCTCGGACGCAGCGACGAGGGCGCAAGAGTACACTCCGTGCAGCCGCTGTGGACCGCTGGACTCGTGCTCGGCATGCACGATGAGAAAGCGGAGTTCGGCCCACAAATCGACATGTGGCGGCGCAGTATCATTGAGCAGCTCCGCGGGATTGAAACCGACACGGGCTGGGCGAGTGAGTACCGCGTGCACTCGCTGCTGGAACTGTGGGGTCTGCCGGCTTATTGGCAGCTTGAGGAGGCGGAGTGACGTAGAAAACGCGGAGGGCTATGGGCGGCGGATCCACGGAAACGGAAGAAGTGGTTTCTCTGGATCTACCGTCAAGGACTACTTGATGATCAAGCTCACCTGTCAAATCCACTGGATCCAAAGATATGTGGTACTCTCCTGGCCAAGTCGCAGACATGACCAACCGGAGAGCAACCTGTCAGCAAACCAAATTCGTGGGTGTGCTTGCCACAAGTGGATTCGCCGCACAACCTACAGCATCACGAAGAATACGAATACATGAACACACTTCCACGGTTCCCCCTTGAGTCAAATTCCTTCCATTGCCACCACAGATTCATGGTAAGTCGGAAGACAGCCTCGCAGGCGTAGTATATATACCCCCCGTTTCCCTTGCATCCCCTGCTTTTTTCTTCAGTTTCACTCGTGCTCTCACTCCGAACCAATGACTCGCTGCTGATCACCGAAACCATTCTCAACCTCCTCCAAAACCTCCTTGGTGCTCTCACTCCGGACCAAAGACCCGCTGCTGATCACCGTCACAAACAAACCGCTTTGCTTTTACAAAACCGCATTTGCTTTACAAAACCGTTTTTGCTTTATACGCTTTGCTTTACAAACCTGCATTTGCTTTTACACAATTTGCTTTTCAAACCCTCGCGCTCAAAAGCCCTTTCTCAAGGCCTTGCTTCAAAGCAAGAAAAAACGTGAGTCGTCTCATCCCCAGCTTTGTCGGCGGCAATCTAACGGAGAGCAGACCAAAGACCAGAGCAGCGAACACGGGCTGCTCGCCCCATCTCCACGGTTCCTGCGCCAGGCAGAACCAGGTGAGTCGTTCACTGACTTCCTTCGTCGGCGAGAAGACTAACGGAGAGCAGACCAGAGACCAGAACAGCGAACACGGGCTGTTCAACCCCATCTCGAGTCCTGCAACAAGATCAGAAGACCGTGAGTTGCCGCCTCCCTGCCAGCCTCGTCGGCGACAATCTAACGGAGAGCGTCCAGTCCAAGCCATCATCAAAAATGGCTCAAAAAGTGGCATCCCACAAAGTCAAGAAGATGCGCAAGGTGCGTTCTCGTCTTCCCCCCAAGCTCCCTCGTTCGGAAATGTCTAACGGAGATCCAGCCATCGCATCCCAAACCCTTCGACATGACTCGGCTGTTGCAACAAGTCACCGAGCTGTCCGAAAAGACACCTCTCGCCCGGCAGAGCCCCCAAGCCGGTACGCTCCCGCCTGCCCACCCCCTTTTCCCCTCTCCCATCTAACGCCGAGAAGGAGCCAACCAACCCAAAAAGGAGGCGAACACCCACCCTCCTCCCCGTCAAACCCCCGATCGCAGCACAAAAGCCAAGCAACGCTCGATCCCCTTCAACGAAGAGCACGATCTCGACCCGTGGATGCTCTTCCCCAACCTGTGCGAGCCGACGTCGGCGCTCAGGCACGATTCGGAGACGTACGTGCGGCAGGCACGCGAGGCGGCCGCGGCGCGAGAACAGAGATACTGCGCGCGCAGAGGCAGTCCGCTTAAGTATGCGGAGTTGGTGGATTTGGTGCAGATGAATTATGGGATTGGCAAGTACGCTTTTCCCGCGACGACGACGATGATGACGACGACGCCGACACGAAGTGTTGGTGAGCCGATGGAGTTGGACTGGTGATTCACAAAGAATCACGAGTCTGGAATGATGAACGATGAACGCTGAACGATGAACGACGAAACATGGACTGGTGGAGGAAACAAAGTCACCTCATTGAAAGTCATCACTGATGACGGCAACTCACGGACTGGCGGTGGACTCAAAGTCACAAAAAGGGCACAGGTTTCTTTTTTGGCCTTTTCGGCGTCTGTGCGAATCAAAACACATTTCCTTCCCAACGTCTATGTCTTTCTCCTCTGTGCCACATCCAATCTCCCGTCCTGCTTCTACCCCTCTACAACCGCGCCTCTCTCGGCTCACTCTCCACCTCCCTGAACCGCCTAAAATACTCCAACGCCTCAGGGTTCTGCACCGTCGCGCTAGCCTTGACATCCTTCCCACTAATCATCTGCTTCACCGGCGTCTCGACCTTCTTCCCATTAATCGTCGTCGGGATATCGGGCACGGCAATCACGAACTTGGGCACGTGCCGACTGCTCAGCCCGGATTTGATGGCTTGCTTGACTTTGTTGCGCAGCTCGGGGGTGAGCGTTTGGTTGGCGGCCATGACGAGGAAGAGGAAGACTTGCTCGTCGCTGTCGTGTGGTCTGCGGCGGCCGACGCACAGGCTGTTGGAGATGGTGGAGTTGAAGGGGGAGGCTTCGACTATGGCGTAGATTTCGCCGGAGCCGAAGCGGATGCCGGAGGGGTCTGTGAAGGGTGGGGTTAGCTGGTGCGAAGGTTGGGAGGATGGGAGGTGTGGTACGTACTGAGCACGCCGTCGCTGCGTCCGTGCATGATCAGGCCGCCGGTTTTGGGGTTGCGACTTAGCCAGTCGTGCTGCGCCCAAACGTCGATCTTGTCGAAGCGCTCGAAGTAGCTCTCAAGGTACTTTTTGTTTCCCTTGTCGCCCCAGAAGAAACACGGCATGCTGGGAAAGGCTTTCCGCACAATCATCTCGCCTGCTTGCCCGGCTTCCATGATACTCTCTCCCGTCTCGGGATCGGCAATGTCCACGTCCATTCCTAGTCCTAGAATTTGCATTTCGCCCGCGTGAATGGGCGAGGTGGGATCAGCAGCTACTAGAGAAGTCATGGTGTCGGTGCCGCCGGCTGTGTTGCACAAGTGGACGTGGGTGGGCATGTTGTTGTAGAACCATTTGTACTGCTCAGCGGAGAGGGTGGCTCCGGTGGTGTAGACGATTCGTAAGCTGTTGAGATCGAATTCCTTCTTCGGGCAGCACTTTGACATTTCGACTTCGAGAAGATAGCGGGGTGAGGAGCCGAAGTAGGTAACGCGGTACTTTTCGATCATGCGCAAGAGTTGTTTCGTGTCGGGATACATGGGCGAGCCGTTGTAGACGATGGTTTTGGCGCCGCACGCGAAGTAGCCGCACATGACGTTGAACACGACCCACGAGGTGGAGGAGTACTGCAGGATAACGTCTTTGGGGGTGGTGCTATTGTGCACGACGGCAATCTTCTTGAGCTGGATCATGATGCCGTGATGGTGGACAATGCATTTTGGCGCGCCAGTCGTGCCGGATGAATAAACGATGAGGAGAGGATAGTTGAATGGTACCCTCTCGAACGTGAGGGGGTCCTTTGGATGCGCTTTTGCAAGGAACTCGTCGATAGACGGGAAGTTGGAGTCCCTGGAGGAGATGGGGCAGATGTACACCTGCGGCCGAGGGTCCAATCGCTTATATATCTGTTCGACTTTGGATGCGGTGGAGACGGTCTTGCCTTTGTATATCGTGTCGGCATCGGCGAAGATGACTTTGGGAGTGACCTGTTGTAACCGTGACACACACCCTTCGAGGCCTAGATCCGGGCTGATGGAAGTGAAAATGGCGCCGATACTGGCTACTGCATGGTAGATGACCACCACCCAGATACTGGTGGCCACAAGCGCCGCTACGCGATCGCCCTTTTTGACGCCACATTGTCGAAGAGCAGAAGCCGTGAGACGCACTTTCTCCCGAACCTCGTGCCACGTGAGGAGCTCACCGTCCGTCTTACTCAAGTCGGTGTCTTCTCGTATGCCGACCAAGGCTATGGCATTGGGGTCCGGGTTTGCGAAAAGAGCATTCTCGGCATAGTTGATCTTCAATCCCGGGAAGAAGGTTGGGTTGGATGACATGGGCACGGATTCATCGTAGGCCTTGGTCATATCCTTGGGTAATTCGGGTTTCAACTGAAGCCACTGATACAAGTCCAACCAGAAGTCTTGCTGATTCTGGACACTCCATTTCTGCAGTTCTTTGGCCGTCTGGAGATTGGCATTGAATCGCTGATTGATATGGCGGCGGTAATCGTCGAGAGGAGTCTTGCCGGCTTTTTGCGGTGTCCATACCTTTGGGGGGATTTTGTGCGTGATCTCCATTTTGCGACAAACGTCAATGATATCCAACTGTCATTCACATGCGGGAGTTCTGTCATCCAACATTGAGCATTGGCCGAGGCAGAGCGATGTAAGGCGGAGTCGGCACACACAGCCGAGATTAGGTAAGCGCGTGCCTCGTGCAAGACACGCGACATCGGCGCGGCGTCGAGGCGGCGCGACGTGCTGACTGTTCATTGGTCATCGTTAGCCGCCCTCCACTCCATTCGCATGCGCTTCGCTGACTGAGCAGCGTGTTGTACCGCGCGCGAATAGCTAAAGGGCCTGCTGGAGCCGCCGAACCATGGAGATCTGGAGGGATAAGAAGAAGAGGGCCTCCGGCGCGAGACCTCTTTCCCGCTCCTCAACCCGACCTTTGCGCTGGAGTGCGTCGTGCACATCACCCATCACCTGAGCCTTGGACATTCTTGCCCACAGTACTCGCCAACTGCAGCTGTCCGTAAGGCAGCTAGGCTTCTCCGCCAGCGTGGAGCAACTCGCTGGGTCAAGGAGTTCAAGATGCCAGCCGGGCCAGGAGAGAGTCTTCTCGCAACTCTGTAAGGTGCTACCAACCACGAGCCAGGCTGTCAGCCGCTGACCCCAAGTCTAGCTTCGCGGACGTGCACTACTATTTCAACGACCCTAGTCAGAAACCACAGCACCACCGCTTCGACCGCGGTAGCTACGTCTACCTCTTCCACAATCCCACCGAGAACCGGGTCAAGCTTGAAGTTGCCAATCATGCTGGAACACCCGATCAAGATGCCTTCTCGGGCTACCTCGACCCCGTCCACATCACCTGTTCCCACAAGCAGCCCAACCTATGTACCATGACAATAGATGGAGCATCGCTACAAGGCCACGATCAATGGCATCTCCCCAGCTACGACGAGAAGCATGAGCACAAGTATCTCTACAAAATCCATGCGTTGGATCTATATCTGTGGACGGAGAAGGACGGAGCCACATTGTTGAACCACCTTAAATCCACCCTACCAGCTGAAAAGCTGAGTATTAACGATGCACCACTCCCCGATCAACAGCACGCCGAACACGTGGACTCAATGAGCACAGTGGTGCAGAATCTGGAGAGGACGGCCATCAGCCCGCAGTTCACTCCCGAGAGGCATGAAAGTGCGGCCTCCATCCATACTAACCCGGGCTCTCCGCCAGCCGCGTCACCTCAGCCCGCGGCACCCCTGGCCTACAATCCAGCTGCCCCAGCCGCGCCGGAACCAATAGCGCATCGGGAGAAGACGCCGCCACCATTGGAGGTTGGCGAAGGCACCGGTCTGGCAAGATACGATCCCACTCCTCAACCACAATACGCCAATACTCCAAACACTTTCGGAGCTTCCACCGCACAGTACACCCCGCAGTTCTTCTCCGGCCCGCCACAACAGGAGCACAGTGCATCACCTCCCAGCTTCCCCGGGCCACCACAGCCCCACCCCAGCTCGGGATCCCTTCCTCCCCCTCCCCCTCCCGCAAGCAGCGGCTCAACCCCACAACCATACATCCCATCATTCGCCCCACCGCCAACGCAAGCAAACCCCGCCTCACAACCTCGCTCGCCACCACCCAGCCAGCAAACATTCGGTGCACCCGTGCAGCGCACCGCCACTTATCCTGCTTCCCCCTTTGGCCCTCACGCCCAACAGCAACAGCAACCGCCCACGCCCTCCTCCCCACCAGGCTACTCCCCCGGCACCTACGGCGGCGCCGCACAACAAGACCCCACAAGCTACAGCAACTACTCCTACTCCAATGGTGGCGGCGGCGGTGCTTACCAGCAGCACCACTACAATCCCGGCGGGGCGTACACAGGCGATATGCACAGCCAGATTTACCGGCCTACGTCTTCCGAGGCGGCGGGGCATGGGCACGGGAATGGATATGGCAGGCCGGGCGGGCTGCAGAAGCAGCATAGTGAGACGCGGCAGCGGGTAGAGGAGGGCGTGACGCGGGTGGAGGCCAAGGTGGGGAAATATCTTAAGAAGTTGGATAGGTTGTGGTGATTGATTTGTTGAAGAGAGAGAGAAGCATGGGAAGGGCGAAAGATGGAAGTTGACCGATGGGCTCTCGAACAGGCGACACGGAAGCAAAACCCATAACAACCCAACCATTGTTCCATTCGAATCCGTGACCTTTCCCCTTTTCAACAAAAAACACCTAGAACACCTCCACTCGAACCCTTGCCCTTCACCAAACCCAACACCAAAGCAACAAAAACGAAACACCCATTTGGATGAAGCCAAACCTCAGCCGCACAAATTCATCCCGTAAAGGACTTTGACGGGGCCTGGTTTTGATCTTTTTTCGAAGGACGAGGAGTCCTAGAGTCAACGAGCAACACTTTCAATCTAGGGGGGGTGACGGGGGGGTGACGGGGGGAGACCCTTTCACCTCACTTTTTGGTCACGGAGGGAAGTGAAAGGGCCCCAACCACTTCTGCGGCCTTTGGTTGTCGCGCTCGCAAGTGGTTGGTATGAAGTGCTGGGACGCTTGGGGGAGTATTTATGTGTCGTGGAAGGTGTAGGCGAGGTTTAGCCGGTCGGGGGAAAGGGGTGATTTCACGTGGTTATCACGTGAACGCAGCTGCTCGGTAGGTAGGGTTTGAATTGATGGCGATCTACTAGCTTGTGTTGTGTTGGGGCTTTTGTTGGATGTTCCACACGCCACGCGGCGTGAACGGATTCGTTGTTCTTGTGGGTATGTGTCAGCTTTCTCCTCCCGCGTGATGGAGGTGACGCGTGGAGCTGAGGGTGGGATGTAAGGCACGCGTGAAGGTCCCGCGCTCAATGTAACGCTATCATCGTGTCCATATCGATTGACGCGATCTAGCTGTTACCTCCCTGCTCCTTTCGGTAGTTCTTTGCGCCGTGTCTGAACTCTGGTTGCCAGCGTTGCCAGCATTGCCTATCTTCTCCAAAGAAGTATGTGTCTGGTGCCTGACTAGTGCCATGGAATGTGGTCATACATTGCCTAAGTGGCTACGGTCCCTGAGTAGCATCCTGTGTCTACTGGTATCCACCACATGTAATGGTCCTGGTCACACTGCGTGTGTTGGGGTGACTAGTACCCAAGGTTGGGTTCACTGACTGTATGCACTGCGTCCCATACGATGGAGTATAAGAGGAGGGAGAAGAATGATGAAGCGGTAGAGAAGTACAGAACCTTTCTTCGGTATTCTATTTGAACAATCTTGTAGGGGAGTTTTCACAGGCGAGGTTCTTGTGAAGGAAAAAGCAGATCAACGCGTACTTCACCATGGTACTTCAAATACCACGTGCTCGTTCTTGTCCATGGAGACTCTCAGCTGAATCATCATCACCACCAGGCGAAGAAGCAAGTCCGCTTTGATCTCCCCGCACCGACCTCGAGGCCAGAGGGCACGAAAGCGAGAGTGCGGACATCGAACTCCTCTCGAGGAGCAGGGGGAACACCTCAGATCCGTACACCAGGAGAGCTGCTCGTTGCCGCGGGCGTCATGGCGCTTGCAGGTGCTCTGGAGGAGAAAGGAGGGATGAAAAAGAAGAGTAGCTCGAGGAGTTGGCCGAATGCCGATAAAACGAAGAGTTCATCACCGTATCGGGCTAATATTGGAGGGCGAGAATATGGCAAAGCGCCACCACCTCCACCGAGTAGCAAGAACAGACGGGATGAGCAGAGTGATGGCTTGTTTGAATGGGTCAAGGTGCGGAAGAGGAGGACGAGCTATTGGATGTAGACACATGCGTGGCGCAAGTGGAAAGAAGGAGGAGTGATGCCGGAGATTTGCACGAGTCGGTACTTCGCCGAGGTCCTTGTCGAAGCTTGTCTCGTCTTGACTCGTCTTGTCTCGACTCGGACTGGCATTTGATATAGGTCACATCGACAGCACGCATGCAGAGATGAAGTTGATCGGAAATAAGGCAAGCAACAAGGTTTCGCCGGGCGGGCGCCACAAACGTCGGAGCAAGGCGCGCTAGCCAACGGATCAACCAGCTGTCGCGAGGAGTAATTCGCGTCGGCCAACCAATGACATCCCGTCCATGACCTTTCCCTCCTCAACTTCACTTCCCCCCGCGCCCTGGCGTGTTTGGTCCCTTGTGCCCATCCCGGAGACTCGATGCGCTGCTCGTGCTGGATACGGCAAGTGTCGTGCGGCCATCACACCTCGAGGCTAATGAAAGGGAGAGAGGGAGAGGCGGCGCGAGAAGGGGCATGAATGAGGCTGCCCAATGGGTTGCACAAGACCCATCCAGACCTGTCGGGTGCATGCTCTGTCCACCGTCGCACCCGCGGCTTGCCCGTCTCCCTGCTCGCATTTCTTTCTCGTCTGCTGCAGGGCGACTAAATTACCCAATGCTGGTGACGGCCCGCGCGATCCGCAGACGGGCATGGTGGTTTGTTTTCTCTCCTGCCTACCTATCCTTGTCACTTCTCTCAATCTCCTCCTTCGCGTCTTCTTCTCTTCTTCGACGTTTAGGCTTGCGTCAAAGCCGTTGCGCTCTTTCTTTGCTTGGCTTTGATCTAGTCTCACCACTTCCTTCATCCCTGGCTACTCTTCTATCGCCGCTGAAGACGACATTCTCGGACGTGCAATCGCGGGCATTGATTCCATTCCCTCGTTGCTGCGAGGACCGTTTGCCGTGCTCGATGAAGGTGCAGCTATGAACTCCCCGGTGAGCGCACAGGAGGTGAGTGCACAGCAAGCCGGATCAGAAACGGTCAATCCTTCTCATGCAACAGCCATTAACTCTACTCCTGTCAGCCGGAGCACGACAATCAACACAACCACGAGCAGACCCCCGAACCAGACCAACCCGCGGAACCCCGTCGCCTCTCCGCCCCATACCAATACCACAATGCCCCCGAAGTCGCCCCAGCCTACGGGCTGGAGTACGACGACACCATCTACCCGGTCTCAGACAAAATGACCATTGTCCGAGAATTCCCCTTCCGCCACCATCTACTCGGCCACCGCTCGACGGCCGTCTCCTACGACAGCGACAACCGGCCGCCGCGCATCATCTGTGGAATGAAGGTGTCTACTTTCCTCGTTGTTGCTTTCATCATCTTGTTGGTTGTTGTCGGCGCTGCTGTCGGCGGTGTAGTGGGTGGTAGGAATTTGGGGCAGAGTGCTCCGTCAGGAAGCAGGACGTACGCGAGGTATGGCCAATGTCTCTTCCATCAGTCCTCATCGCAAACTAACAATATAACCATCACAGCCCCTCCCTCCTCCCTTCCACAAAAACCACAACAACCCCCCCAGCAACCCCAACCTACACCCCCCACCTACCAACCTACACCCCCCTCCCCGCCTGCCCATCAGCAAACAACACCCTCTACACCGCCCCGCTCTCCACCCTCAACACCACCACCACCACCACAACCTCCCAAACCCCACACATAGCAAACCAAACTTTCACCCTCCACTGCTCCCTCACCCCCCCGCAACCCTCCAAAAAACTCACAGGCGCATACGTCTACACCCTCGCCGACTGCATCGATCTCTGCGCCGCGTACAATTTCGCCGCTCTCGATGCCGTCGGCAGTACGAGCACGCCGTCGTCGTCGTCGTCGTCGTCATCGAACGAAACGTGCACTTTGGCTTTCTATCAGCCTGCGGCGGCGAGGCCGGTGAATTGCTGGATTGCCGCTTCGCAGGCGCTGATTGGGAGTTTGCAAGCCGGTGAGGAGGGGTTGGAGGTGGGGATTTTGGTGGTGGGGGTTTGAGCGAGTTTGATTTTTGGGGGGCGGTGGGATGGGGTTGGGGGGCGGGTTGGATCTGTTGCCGCTCCCTGCTACGAGCACGTTGGCCAGGACGAAAGGGAGATCTAGAGAGAAGGGACTACATGTAGCCGAACGCGATTGGACAAGGACGTCTTGTTACTGATTGAAACACGCGGCAAAAGAAGAAAAGCAAGACATAAAATTTCCCATTTCAAGGCGCGGAGTCAGCGGTGCTCATCACCCACTCGTACACCATCCAAAACTTCTTTCACTCTTCACTAGTAAACGCAGCAACAAATAACAAAAGCCAGCGCAGGAAAGATGATTTCCTTAGCGATGGAGGAGAGCAAAAGTCATGCATTGCATGCAGATGTCTTCACGAGCCCCTTCACTCCACGGACGTCTCCTTTGTCTTCACTCCGGAATTCCCATCTAGCGAACGATCGACACTCTTCCGGCAAGGTGCGTTGTGCACATCTGCACAGCTTCACAAACGAGTGGTGATAGTGCAGATATCCTCGCCAAGCGTTCCGGGCCAGATCGGTTGCGTTGAAGGCGAGAGTGAAAGGCGCATCTCGGATCTGCAAGTCTCAAACGAGAAACAGCGCGCTTCCATCGCCTTGCTGAACATGATCAAGTAGTGATTTCTGTTGAGACACCGTCAGGCTTTCAGTTGCAGGCGGTGCGAAGAAGCGAAAGTCGACGCGTTCTTCCGTTCATGAGGAGCATCCATGCGTTTCGTCTCTCAGCATGTCTCGCAGGCATTCTGAACGGCCAGATTTGTATGTACGTCGTGCAAAGTCACATTTGCACACTTCGACTGCAGCTTTGAACCAACACCGCAGGAAACGCGGCGTGGCCAGAGAGGCGGTCTTAACTCGGCACCCATAATTTGCGGCCTCCGCGGCCAGTGTATCCGTTACTGCGCGGTCGCGCAAAGCTGTTCGGATCGATCTGACCACCGGGCGCAGGAGAATCGTTGCTTTGGAATGCAGCGCCGCCACCACCACCACCACGTCGAGCGGCACCACCGCCGTAGCCACCGCGAGCGCGAGGTCCGGCGCGGAAGTTGCCACGTGCATGACCGCGAGGCGCGAATGAAGCGTTGGTGTTGTCGGCACGATATACTTGCGGTGCGACAGGGCCTATTGGGGCGCGGCGATCGAATGCGTCGGGATCGAGGACGTTGGACTGCGATGCGCCGCGGCCGCGTTGGCTGTTTTGCTTCGACAGCATTGCAGCCGGAGCTTTTGGTGGTGCTGGGGCGAAGACGACTTCTTCTTCTTCTTCGTCGTCGTCGTTGTCCACAGACTGTACTTGATTGAGCGACGGGGTGACTGCTGGCGCAGCGGGTGGTTGATTCTCGCGATTCACGAGCGACTGCCGATTGCGAAAGTCACGGTCCTCCCTACTGATCGCCTCTCGCATGTGCTCCAGCCTCTTGGTCTTAATATCGAAGCCGCGGGCGAAGTTGACCTTGCTTTCATCGTTGCAGAGGAAGATGAAGGACTCGAGTGCTGCGATTGGATCCTGTTCTTGGTGGATGCGCCACAGGATGTAGTTGAGGAGTTGCTGCAGGCGGGTCGGAACGCCGGTGCTCGAAGTTGGTCTTTCGTCAGGCTCGGCATCGCTTGCCTTCACAGGAGATGATGTGCCCTTCACTGGACTTGTTGGTGGAGACATGGCGCTCAAGCTCGACCGTTGACTGCGCATGGAGGATGGAGAGAGGGGGTGGGAGGCGTCCGATGCGGCAGAGCTGAGAGGAGTCTGGCGAGCGGGTTGGTCGTCCAGGCTAAGCTTGCTCAGCGTAAGGTTGGGCGAGTCGTGAATAGACGATGAAGCGGCGTCGTCCAGCGCATCGTACTCGGAGAAGAGGGTGCGAGGGACAGCAAACTTCTCGACATCTGCCCAGTTCTCGTAGGTCTCATCGGCGCCCTGAAGAGTGACGATGTTTGGGAACTTGCTCGTGGCATCATCCAGCCACTGCAGAGTCTCGCGAACATCGTCCCCGTGTCGCGTGGTCGCACTTCTTTGCCGGCTCAGCTGCTCCAGCGCTGGCAGATGTTAGCGCGTGACTGGGCGGTATCCAACAGCGACAGCATACCATGCAGCGGCACGAAGAGGCGGATCTGTCCGTTCTTAACCCATTGCCGGATACCGTTGCGTGTGCTCCTCTTGACTCCAGCCACTAGCGCGCTATCATCGACAATGCAATTGAAGATCTTCCTGCCTTGCTGCTGCTGCTGCTGCACGGGGGTTTGCATCGGGGCCTGGACGGCGTGCAGCGAATGTGGGCGCGAGCGAGGTGCGCGCATGTTGATGGGGGAGCGAGGCGTCTGCGGGGAGGAAGATAGTGAGAGCGAGCGGGAGGTAGCAATAGGGGAATGCGAGCGAACCGACCGTAGTGGGGGGATCCAGTAAAGTGAATGCTGGCTTGGTGGGATCCATATTTCTTTCCCTTCAAAGCGTGCACATCACATTTCTTTCTGCGGAATCGAGGGGGAATTCACGGTCCGGCAAGTGTGCCAGCCGGAACGCACAAGCGCAACATGCTCCTGCTGGTTTTGTTGACGGTGCTGAGGAGAAGGGATGGACGGACGAGGCGCATGACGGCAGGGGAGAGTCAATGCATAAGGAGGAGTGTGGCAAGTGTCGGGGGAGGGAGGGAGGGAGGGAGGAAGAGAAGGAAGTGCAGTGCGGGTGTGTGGCTGTCGCTCGCTCGCTCCTACCTCCGATGATGCTGTGGGGTGGAAATCTTAATCGCGCACAGACCTCGCACGGCTGTCTGTATATATACCACTACATTTCCATTCACATTCCCTCCTTCACCACTTGAATACAAGGGAGCCATTGCGTGTGGTTTTGACGGAGGGGATCCCTGCTTCTCAAACACCAGCATGGATCGGTGAGGCGGAACAAGTAGGGGAAAGCAAGAACCCACCATGCCTACCATCCTCGTCTCGGGAGCGGCCAATGGACTCGGCGCAGCTTTTGTCGATGCATACAGACAACAAGAAGGCACCGAGATCATCGCCATCGACAGAGCTGCCATTCCCTCCTCGTACGAAAATTTCCGCAGCTTCCAAGTGGACGTCGCAGACGAGCACTCCATCGACACTTTTGCCCGACAGATTCAGGACGAAGCGATCGATCTGGTCATCCACAGCGCAGGTATCCGTGGACTCGTGCCCTCAGTAGAAGCAGAGAAGCCGAACGATGTGGCCGCTTGCGAGACCATCTCGGTCATGGACATGGCCACATTGACCCGCACCTTTCAAATCAACGCTGCTGGCACGTTCTTCCTCCTCCGTGCTCTCCTCCCGAATCTACGAAGGCCCACGGTTCCCCAGCCGAAGGTCGTCGTCATGTCTAGCCGAATGGGCAGCATAGGCAATAACGAATTACCAAACAAAGACGCTGGGAGCGCCTTTGCGTACCGTGCTTCAAAGGCAGCGCTCAACACCATTGTGCGTTCCTTTGCCGTCGATGTGCCTGAAGTGGCATTCATTCTGTGCCATCCTGGACGCGTGGAGACGAAGCTGGTGAAGGGTGTAGAAGCTGGCGCCATTTCGGTGGAGGAAAGTGTAGCAAGTGTGATGCCACTCATCTCCACCTGGGATCGGATCGATAGCGGCAAGTTCTACGATCGGTTTGGACAAGTCATTCAATGGTGAGATTGCTCGACAGAGAGAGATGTACACAAGCGTACCTACAGAGACATCGGACGAAGCCTTGCCCAAGTGAGCAAGGGCAGCTTTGCCGAGCGCCTTACATAATCTGCACTGCACTTCAAGACTTCGAGCTCCATCACTCGCGCTGATCCTCCGCGACATTACTCTCTCACTTGTGCATATAATTGGCGTTCTGGTGGATTGTTTCTTTCTTCTCTGGGCCCGGACATGCCCACATTCTCTCCCTCCCGCATCCTTCGAGCCGTGACGACACAAAAGCAACACTCTGCCCCCAAATGGTCCGAAACGCTCGCCCTCCCCCGATCCGCATTCCCTGCTCGGCCAACACCTGCAGATATCGAGAAATACCGACAGAAATGTGCAGATGATCTATATACGTGGCAGCGAACACATAGGAATGCGAGTGGAAAAGAGAAGGACTTCATCCTCCACGATGGACCGCCGTACGCCAATGGTGCCGTGCATGTCGGCCATGCGCTCAACAAAGTGCTCAAAGATTTGATTCTGAGATGGCAGCTGAGTCAAGGGAGGAGAGTGCACTATCGACCTGGCTGGGACTGTCATGGCCTGCCAATTGAGCTCAAAGCACTTCAAGCGCAACGAACGCAAACAGCCCAGGCCGGCACGCTGCAGGATGCGCCAAAGGAGGAAGCAAAAGCTGCTGCGGCTTCGCATGCTCGTATGAGTGCATCCGAGGTTCGCAATGCCGCGAGAGAGCTCGCGAGTGCCACGATCGAGGTGCAGAAGCAGAGTTTCCGGGGTTGGGGCGTGATGGGCGAGTGGCATGCGCCGTACAAGACCATGAGCGCGGATTTCGAGATTCAGCAATTGGAGGTCTTCAAAGCGATGGTGCAGAAGGGGCTCATCTCGCGTCATCGTAGACCGGTGTACTGGTCTCCGTCTTCAAGGACCGCGCTCGCCGAGGCGGAACTGGAGTACGATGACAATCACAAGTGCACGGCTGCATTTGTGAAGATGGCCTTTGTGCGCTTGCCTAAAGTTCTCGAGAACCATCAAATCTTGTCGAAGATGGATCCTGGACACGTAAGTGCATTGATCTGGACGACTACTCCATGGACGCTCCCCGCCAATCAAGCTATCGCTGTCAATCCGGGTCTGGAATACACTGTAGTGTCGATTGAAGATCATCTGGTTCTCGTCGCCAAAGACAGAATCGAGCATGTACTCTCGTTTGCTCCAGAAGGTACAGTTGCGACAACAATTGTCGAAACGGTCTCTGGTGGAGATCTGGCGGACGGCCAAGCGTGCTGCTTCAACGTCTTCCAAGGCCACGAGTCTCCAATCCTCAAAGCCGATTTCGTCACCGCTGGTTCCGGTACTGGAGTGGTGCACATGGCACCTGGCCATGGAATGGAAGATTATGTAGTCTGCCGCGAGCATGGCATAGATCGGATACTTGCACCCGTCGACGAAGCGGGAAGTTTCACGGAAGAGGCGTTCCCTGCAGCTGCGCCAGATGACTCGATAACTGGCCTTGATGCCCAGACTACAGGTGTCGACGCTGTACTCCGCATTCTTCGTGATCCTGCGCGACATGTGGGAATGAGTCCGTTCCAGAAACACCAAGACATGGTGTTTGCGACTCACACATTCACGCACAAGAATCCTATAGACTGGAGGACTAAACAGCCTGTCATCGTGCGCGCCACCGCTCAATGGTTTGCTGATGTATCCGCAATCAAGGAGCGGGCATTGTCAGCACTCAATGGCGTCAAATTCATCCCGGAGTCAGGCAAGACTCGGCTTCGCAGCTTCATTGAGGGACGAAGCCAGTGGTGCATTTCTCGGCAAAGGGCATGGGGCGTTCCAATCCCGGCCCTTTACCACAAATCTACTGGAGAGGCATGCATCACGGAGACGAGTATCGATCACATCATCTCCGTGATCAAGGAAAGAGGAACAGACGCTTGGTTCTCCGATCCTCCCGATGAGCGCGTGTGGATACATCAGAGTCTGCAGGAGGACACCTGGACACGCGGCACCGATACCATGGACGTCTGGTTCGACTCCGGAACCACATGGACGACATTGAACGGCCAGCGCGCCGATGTCTATATCGAAGGCACAGATCAGCATCGCGGCTGGTTTCAGAGCAGTCTCTTGACGTTCGTCGCCACCCACGACGAGCTGGACGAGAAGCCCGCCGCACCCTACAAAACCCTCATCACGCACGGCTTCACCCTCGACGCGAAAGGCAGCAAAATGAGCAAAAGCCTAGGCAACGTCATCTCCCCCGAAGACATCATGAACGGCTCCCTCCTCCCACCTCTCAAAGCCAAAAAGTCGAAAAACAAGAGCAAGAATCCCGCCAACGGCACTCCCCAAACACCCCAATTCGACGCCATGGGGCCCGACGTGCTCCGACTCTGGGTCGCAAGCTCCGACTACACGCGCGACGTCAGCATCTCCATCCCCGTCTTGCAGAGCGTACAACAAGCGCTCCAGAAGTACCGCGTGACGTTCAAATTCCTCCTCGGCGTCGTAAACGACTATGCCCCCCAACACCAGCACACCACCCCTCAACAACCCCTCCCCTTCGCCGACCGCGCCATCCTCCACCGCCTAAGCGCCACATCAGCAAACGTGCACGCCGCCTACGCAGAGTACAAATTCCACAAAGCCGTCTCCGACCTCAACACCTTCGTCAGCGCCGATCTATCCGCCTTCTACTTCGAGATCATCAAGGATGGACTCTACGCTGGCTCGGCTTCTGTGCGGCGCCGCACGCAGGGCGTTCTGCATTCGATTTTGACGGAGATGTTGGCCATGCTGGCGCCCGTGACGCCGCATCTCGTGGCGGAGGTGTGGGCTTTGGCGCCGGAGGAAGTGAAGGGAAGTAGTGGGGATCCTTTGCGGAGGGTGTGGGATGTGCCGTTTTCCGCTGCTTCTTCGAACGGAGGACGTTGGGGCTTGAACGGCACCGAGCAAAAGGAATTAGAGGTTTTCACGCAAATCAGTTCCGCGGTGAAGATTGCGCAGGAGACGGCGAGGGTGGAGGGTAAATTGGGGAGTGGGTTGGCTTGTAAAGTGGAACTTTACCTGCCAGATGCTACTCCGAAGGCTTTTAGTGATTGCGTGAGTGCTTGGGAGGCAAGTGGGGAGTTGGCTGATTCACTGGTCGTGAGTTCTGTGCGTGTTGGAAGGGGGAAGAAAGAAAGGCCATCAGTGGAGTGGTACTATGAGCAGGAATTTGACATCGCTGGGGCTGATGGGGAGGGATATTCGAAAGGGACGGCGATCATCCTCCCGCCTGACCATCGAAAATGCGTACGTTGTTGGAGATATACTGCCGACACGGAGGAGGAACCCTGCGGAAGGTGTGGAGAAGTATTGGAAGAGAGGAATCGCCACTCAGGATCAAATGAACTTGCTGCTGCTAGTTGATGATGTACATATCGAATTCAAAAACCCCCATGCAATGCCTACCACGCAAGATCACAACTTCATCCCCATCGCTTTATGCACGCGCAGACTCTGCCGAATGCTCAAATCCAACATAATCTCCTCGGAGCCACCGGGGATGGCATAAGCCCTGACATCGCGATACAAGCGCTCAATCTTACCCCCTTGGCCGCCACGCGAGTACGACAGCCCGCCGAAAATCTGCGACGCCTCGCGCGCGCAAAACTCAAAAGTCGTCGTGCTCTGCGCCTTGAGGCCGGCAATGGCGCCGCCGAGTTTGAGCATGGCCTCGACGTCCGTCATCTTCTGGCACTGGTAGATGAGCGATTCGAGCCAGGAGTAGGAAGCCTCGATTTGGCGGGCCATGTGCGCGAGCTTGAGCCGGATGACGGGGTGGTTGATGAGCTTCTGCCCGAAGGTGCGGCGCTTGTTGGCGTACTTGATGCTCTCTTCGTAGCACACGCGGCTGAAGCGGATGCACTGGATGATGATGCCGATGCGCTCGTGGTTGAAGTTGGTCATGATGACGCGGAAGCCTTGGTTCGGCTTGCCGATCAGGTTCTCCACGGGCACCTTGACGTCTTCGAAGGTCACGTAGGTCGTGCCGCTGCTCCACACGCCCTGGCAGTCCATGCGGCGCGTGCTGACGCCGCCCATGCTGCGCTCGATGAGCAGCACCGATAGGCCGTTCATGCCTTTGTCTGAGGTGCGCACGGCGGTGGTGAAGTAGTCACACCAAATACCGTTGGTAATCCATTTTTTCTCGCCGTTGACGATGTAATGCTTTCCGTCTTTGGTCAGCTTGGCTTCGCAGGTCAGATTGGCCACATCACTACCCGCATCGGGCTCGGTGATAGCAAGGCAGATGCGTTTCTCGCCCGCAAGGATCTCAGGGATGATGCGGTTCACGAGGGCAGGCTTGCCATGCTTCACAACGGGGGGAGCACCGATGCCGTAGCCGCCAATGAGATTCCAGACAAAGCCGCCCGAGCCGGAGCGGGAGAGTTCGTCGGTGAGCAGCATTTCGTGAAACAGATCCCACTTCTCTGCGGGCACGGACTTCACTCGGGCGTTGGTGAGGTGGGTGGGATATTTATGGGCGCCGAGAAGACCAGCAAGGTATCCTCGCTCGCCCATTGCTTTGTAGATCGCATCGGGAACGACCTTTGCTTCGTCCCATTCGGTGACGTTTGCCATGATCTCCTCTTCCATCCACTCGCGCACTTCTGCTCGCAGGGCGGCGTGGGTTTCGTTGAAGTAGGGAGTGTGATATGTCTGGTACCAAGAGGGATCGGCGAAGGGGATCAAGTCGCCATATGGGTCCAGTGTGGCCTGAACTTCCTCGTCTTCGTGCGCGTCGGCTGGCGTCGGGAGAGTCTCAAACTTCTCTTCTCGCGGAGAGGGCGCTACAGTGGATGGAGGAGCGGGAGCGGCGGGTTTGGCGGCGGGCTTGGGCTTGGAGTCGAGGGAGCCGATTTGCAGTTTTGGCTGGAACTTCTTGAGAATGCCCTCGTTGTGGTACTTCCAGAATTGCTTGCTGGCGTCTTTGCCGCCGACGCGCTGGAGGACTGCGATGCGGTGTGAGTGGGGAGGCAGTAGAAGTAACAGGGCATGTACTGACTCTTCTTCCCTCCTGGGTGCTCGTCCTGGAACTTGGTGACATCGTAGACATCCTCGTCCACAATGATCCACAGGCTATCACCTTTGTTATGGGAGGCCACATCGGCGGATTTGAACGTTTGAGACATGATGGAGAGTGGAAGAAGGCGGAATGGAGTTGGAATGTGGAGGATGGGGAGGTCAAGATGGAGAAGAGATGGGGTAAGTCATTAGAAGAAGGAGAGCACCGTCCCGTGCTTCATCCGAAACTCGCGATCACATGCTCGCATGTGAGCAAGGGCAGGCGCGTTCCAGCCGAGCTGCCGAGTTGCATGTGACAGCCAAGAACCGTCACGTGCAGGCAACCGGAATGGTTGTCTGACTTCCTGCCATACTTCGTCCCTCTCGAACACACTGCGAGTTTGCCGTCCAGTATCATGCGGGTTGATGACCTTCGTGTGTGCAGATTTATTATCCATCTGAACAAGCAGGCTCTCAACCTATACGTGAGCCTCAGGCTTCTAGCACTAGAAGGTCTAGAACTCCCCCGCCTACGTCAGAGCTAAGTGTGCCTTTCCTCCACCCCACCACGTCCCTCTCTCCCCTCCAACCACAACTCCATTCCATCTCATCCAACATCCAAACAACCCCCGCGTCTCCTCCACACAATCAACAAGAATCTACCAAATCACAATCCCACCAAATCCCCCCAACCACAAAAGCAACAATGCCCGAAGCAAAACCCGTCCTCCACACCCCCGCCACAACCCTCGGCTCTTCCGCCTCGGGCGCGCAAACAGACGGCATGCTCCGCCAAAACGCGCTGGTAAACGTGTGCGACACCATCTGCGCCTCGCGCATGATCGCCAAACCGCACACGGCAAGCGCAATCCACCACCACGCCGACGAGGACACGGTGGTGTTCGCCTTCTCCGGCCGCGGCACGATTGTGAGCGACGGGGGGAAGAAGAAGGTCACGCTGGAGCCTGGGGATTACGCGCTCATCCCGGCTTGGGCGGAGCATCAGGAGGTGAATGAGAGTGATGAGGATGTGGTTTGGTGTATTGTGCGGAATGGGAAGGAGCCTAAGGTGGTGAATTTGGAGGGGGGGTGGGGGACGAGTTAGGAGGGGGGATTGTGTATGAGATGGGTGTCTTGTAAATCTTGCGAGTTGGTGGTATATATCATCGTTTGGGGAATCGTGCCTCGTTTCTATGTTCATTGCGTGGTCCAGTGCAAATTCACACTCCCTCTACGCTATGTCGGCTTTCGCCGCTCAGCCGGCGACATGTCCCGTGTCGGCGGCAGTGTGTCCGCTCTCCGCCGCGCATTCAGATCAATCCTGAGATTGACGCGGGATGCTTTTGGCGAAGTTTCGGGAGAGACGATAGGCGTCATGAGCAGCGACGCGGGGGCTCGAGCCGGAGAGCTGGGCCCCGGGTTGTCAAGCGGGTTGTGCCTGATTCCGATCGGCGTATTGGGCAGGGATTGCGAGGCTGACAGATTGAACTGCGAGCCGTTCCAGCTTGTCTTTGTGTATGCCGCTTTCGATTGAGCCTGGGCCTCATCGTCCATGCTGTCTTCGTCGGAGTCATGAGCCTCAGGAGTTGAGGCTGGTGAGATGGAGACGCCGTCACCAGCTACAACTGTGACCGAGTCCGCGGGCGAGACATCTCTCGGAAGCTGGAAGAGCGTGCTTCCTCTTGGCTCGCCGTTCCTCACGCGCCCGCCCCTTGGCTGACTTCCCGCCCTCCCCTTGTACTGCAACCGGCGCAGATCGCTCACACTCTGGCTGAACGACACGTGCTCCGACACCTTCCGCACCGCATCATCAATCAGCAACTCAATGTCCATGTGCGCCTTGATCATACTCAGCACCGGCCAGGTCGCCTTCTCCCCCCGCTCCGTCGCATCTTGCATGAATCGCGGCGTGGGGTTCTTCATGATCTTCCAGAAGCGCGCCACTCCATCGACAGGATACAACGTGATATCGCCCGAGTACCTCTGCGAAAGGACAGAGGTCACCTTGCTCAGAAGATTGCTTTTTCGCTGTAAACACGGAAGGCCGGAGAGGATGTCCATGGATCGAATGGCTTCTTCGTGCGCCAAACTCACCGCGCTGATCCAGTAGGGCGTGTTCTCGGCTTTCGCCGGTGTCGTGCTGTAATTTAAGAATGGAACCACGTGTGGATTGACCTGGGAGGCAATGGTGTGGTTCACGTCAAACTCAGCAGAGAGTATGCTAGTGGGCAAGTCGCCGTTAATGGAGCCGTCGACGTACTTGGTGGTTGGATCCCACGGGGTGAGGTCTTGTCGCTCGCCGTCACACTTGAACAGCAAGCGTTCCGGCTCAAAGCCAAGAGGAACGGCGCAAGAGGCGACGACCGCAGACCAAATAGCCACATTTCCCGCCGTGGCGTAGTTGAGGACGCCTTGCGATTCGAAACTTGAAGAGTTGGACACGGTGATGTTCAAGACGCGGCGGGTGCGGTTGTAGGCCTCGAGAAAAGTAGTCTTGCCGAGGAGATCAACCATGACTCTGCGGAGATTGCCCAATTCGAAGAAATAGCCGTTCGCGCCAAAGTGCAGCACGCGCCCTCCCCAGCCTTGTCTCTCATGTGGACCAACAAATACCGCGAGATCGCCGTTGCAGAAGTCATAGAGCTTGCCTACCAGGTCCTCATCTGGGGTGCAGCCCAGAACAGCAGCCACAATCGATCCCGAAGACGAGCCCGAGATGATTCGTGGGAGAGCCTTTGCTTCATGCAGGGCTTTGATGACTCCAATATGTGACATTCCCAGCGTGCCACCTCCGGACAGAAGCAGCGCCGTGCGTCCGTACGACCGTCTGGTCTGCTCCAGCTCGAGTTCGACATCCAATTCCCGTAGCCTCGGGTCACCAAGAGCGCAAGCATCGACGATCCGGGCAAGTGCTTGACGCACAGTAGCAATGTAGTGATCGATGAGGAACTTGGTCCCCGCACGAGTATGACGATGAAGTGCAGGATTGCACACGCCCCCGAGATCGCGCGTAAGCTCGCCACGGATAATGTGCAGCATTTCCGCCAGATCGTCCTGTTCGCTGGCCAGGGCAAGCCGCTTCAGCCTGCCGCGCAGACATCCTACGTCGTAGTACTCGGATGGCTCCTGTTCCTTCCACACCGCCGCGCCTTCGAGTTCGTCAAGCTCTGCGCAAGTGTCGCTATACGCAGCCCAGGAAGTTGCATCGGCAAGCTGCTGCAGCAGTCTCGTGCGCCGTGCCAGTCGCTCATTCTGCAGCTTCTGCACTACCGAGCCCAGGGCGTCGAGCGTGTCTGCTCCGAGCTGGGCGACCGAGTGCCAGAGCAGACCGGACTTCGGGGCTCCATTGGAGTTGTGGAAGATGGTGTAGATGTACGGCAAGTCCATGCACGCTGGTTGAAGGGTTCCATCCGCTCTACTGGCCGGTGCGTTGGAGGTGGTGGGAGCAGACGCAGAAAGGCAGGGTATTTATGATGCCCATCGCTGCGTGTACATCCAGGTCGTCTCGCCGATCAGTTCCGGAGTATGATGGGTTGTATGACGGGCCTGGGGCTTATTTGAAAGGGCTGCGGTTGGAATAGGTCATCAGGCAAAGTATGCATTTAGCGAGGTCACATGCATGCGCATGCCGGAAGATGGCGCTAGTTGCGCAATGTCCGATTGGCGTAGCATGTGAAAGCCGACCACACTTGGGCGGTGCCAGGGTCATCATCATCGTTTCTCATTCACATCGTCTACGCGACAAGTCTACTCTACCGCCCGCTATCCCGCCGTCTAGCTTGTACTACCAGCAAACTCGCCTTGACCCCTCTCTCCAGCATTGCGTCAGCAATCGGGCCCAGACAGCTTGGAGTGCCAGTCATCCCGTCCGGCCGCCGACACACGACCACCAAATCTCCGCCGTTCTTGACATTACGTCCTACTTCCTCTTGAGCTGCAGCCGCGGCGTCTTCAATAGGACTCGATGACGTCGCCGTCTCAAAGACGACGCGCTTCTCCAGCCCGGAAGGCAGAGATCGCTGGAGAGTCGCGAAGAACGATGCGTCATCCTCTCGCTCCGCGGCGGACTTCGTCTTGTGTAGCCTGTCACGACCGCTTTTCGGCCTGATGCTCACTGTCTGGTCCGTCGGAGAAACTTCCTTTGCGCTCTGGTAGTGCACGATCGTCGCCGTAGTCTCTGCATTCTCTGCCAGCTGAAGCACCAGCCTCAACCCAGCCCGTCCATCCTCGCCGCCAAAATACGGGGCAAAGATGTGATGACTACGATCCCTACTCGGCTGGTTGGTGCTATGCTCTCGAAATCCCCGTCCGCTCATCGTGCTCACTCGCCGATCGAGAGTGGACGATCGAGGCGTGAGTGTCCCACCGAACCCTCTGTTCACAAATACCGCCGCGTTGCACTCCGCTATTTCCAAGGTGCGCATGACAAAGCTGCTGTACTGATCGTTTGTTCCTTTGCCTTTGACCACGTCTTTCGACACGGTGAGTGATTCACTCATGCTGCCCGACTCGCTCCATGGTAGCAGCAGGAGATCGCTCGATTCCTCTACCGCTGTATTGACAATGCTCTCTGAAAATGAGCTCTCGGTCGATATCGCGACCTCACCAGAAACGGCGAGATTGTAGAGTTGCCCTAGGACTCGGAAGGCGTTAATGACCGGGTCGAAGGCCGAGAGTTCGTCGGCCTCGGTGACCTTCATCACAGTCGAGTTTCTCTCATTCAGCTCCACAAACCGCATGCCGTGCACTTCCAGTGGTCGCGCTTTTCGAACAGCTTGCTCTGTACTCTCCTTCTCTTCCTCGTTCGCGTGTGTTGGGTGCACTCTTTCTAACGGCTCCTTTGCCTCCGCTCCCAATAGAGAAACGAGAGCAAACAAAGCCGGCATGCTGTCGAGACGGAGGTACACAAGAAGACTGCGCACCCGCGCAGCATCCGCGATCCTCTTCACCACACTCCCATCCTCGGAGTCCTGTCTCTCGGCATTCAGCGGCGCCCCACTATCCCAATCAATCTCCCCTCGTTTCCACGCTTCCAGCTTCCGCTGATACCAGGGCGGGTAAAGAGCGCGCGTCAACGGCGTAGTCGCAAAAGTCGTCACGAGCGCCATGACCACAAAAATGGTGAATGTCCGCGTGCTCAGAATCTTGGCTTGGAGACCGATGTTGAGCACGATCAGCTCCACCAAGCCTTTGCAGGACATCAGCGCTCCGATGGTGAACGACTCTCTCCAGACGAGCCCGTTCGCCCGCGCAGCGAATGCACAGCCGATGAACTTGGCGCTAAACGCGATACCGATGACGCCAATCACATAGGCCCAGGTGATGCCGTTGTCGAGCAGGCCCAAGTTGGTCGACAGCCCGGAGAGGGTGAAGTAGAGCGGGAGGAAGAGGGCGCCGACGAGATCTTCGATCTTCTCAGTCACTTTGATTGCGAAGCCGCCGTCGTGAGGGCAGATCAGGCCGGCCATAAAGGCTCCGAAGACGGGGTGGATGCCGATAACTCCTGTGAAAAAGGCACTTGACAGAGCCATGAGGAGGGTGAGCGCGATAATCCCTTGCGAAGGGCCATCTTGGAGAGCTCTACTTCGACGGAGGATCCATAGAAAAGCCGGACGAACCGCGAGGGAAAGGAACAATGCGTATCCCACGCCAGTCAGAAGCACCCAAACCGCCGTGACGCCGCTTTGCGCATTGACCAAAGCAACGCAAAGCGCGAGCAGGATCCAGCCGACCACGTCATTCCCAACCCCAGCAGATAGCACAATCACGCCAACGGGGGTGGAAAGCAACTTCAACTCCGTGAGAATCCGACAGAGGACGGGAAAGGCCTGCGACATGTTAGCTGCTTCTCGCTCGCTGCATCCGCCAAGGTGGCCTGGAGGTTTGCGCATACCGTAATCGCCATGGCAATGCCAATGAAAAGCATATACGTCCCAAAAGCAATCGGCTGCAAATCCGGATCCTCGTGAAACTGATGGTACAAACCCCAAGCAATCGCGCAGCCGAGTCCAAACGGCAACGACATGCCCGCCACGCCAACACTGACGGCGAGTTTCCAATTGCTGACAAAGTACCTCAGGTCGACTTCCAGGCCGACGAGGAAGAGGAACAGCACGAGGCCGAGATTCGCGACGAGGGAGAGATTGGGGATGGAGGCGGGGGGGAAGATGGCGTCGGTGAAGCCTGGGATGCGACCCATTACGGAGGGGCCGAGTAGGATGCCGCCGATGACTTCGGCGATGACGCGTGGTTGGCGGAGGAGGGAGAGCGGGTAGTGGAGTATACGACAGAAGATGAGGATGATGGATGCTGGATGGGAGTTAGTTGGGACTATCGCTTGGTTTCATGGTATGTATCGAGTCGATATGTGGCAACGAACCTTGGATGATGAACAGGATGATTGGATTACTGGCATTGTAGACAGACGGATCAGCGCCTTCGAAGATACCCGCCTGCGCAGGTGCTCTGGCGGTACTGGTAGATGTTGCTGCTGTGACAGTGGTCGTCACCATCTGCGTGACCTGCCTCGTGATCGTTGCCATTGTCGCGGGCAGGCGATGGAAGCTGTTGGGGGGTTGTCAAAGCGGCAAAGATTGTCAACTTCACAAGATGGCAGAAGTCTAAATCATCGCGGCCGCTTGCGTAATATCATGATTGATGAAAAGGAAGACTCGACATGGATTGAAGGAGTGGTTGGATGCCGCCAAGGCTGTCAGCGTGGTAGCAAGGATGGCAGTGCCAGTCTGGGCGCCTCGCTCGGCGTTCTAGACCTTGGCGATCCCGATTCTGCATTGCGCAACCGAGAAATGCATTCCGTCGACTAAACGCTCTGAACGAAAAATCATATAATCACGGGCTTCATTCGCCACATGAGGGCATCAGCTTTGGGCCAGCAAGTCTTGAGAGTCCTTTCGAGCATTGAATCTGTCGCTCACTGCAGAATGCGCTGGGCAATTCGCTCACCCAGATCCACCGCGATCAAGCCCTCATCGACACAGTCTTTGAGGGCCTGCATCACGTCGCCCTTTGCATCTCGTGGGTTGCCCTCAAAGGGTGCTGCGGTCTGTTTGGGAGCAACCCCATACACGGCCGACCCAATGTCACACGCTATCAGCCATCGCTGCTTAGCTTTCACCGCGAGCTGCGCATCACCCTCCGCCCATGCCAATTGAGCAGCACCTCTGTAATACGTCTGCGCGTTTTGTATGAGTGTGCGAGCGCTTCGCTTGATGCCCTCCGAGAGCGGCACATTCGGGATGGTGACAAGACGGTGGCGAAGAAATTCCGCGCCGCCCTGAGATTCTAGAATGCCTGCTTTGCGCTCCTTCGCATCTTCGGTGTTGAGTCTTGTCGCCTTGGTGTTTGCCTCCTGGGCTAGGTTTAGTTGTTTCCAGCATATCTCCGCAGGAAGCTCAATCGAGCTCTGATGACGATCGAGAATCGACTGCACCAACTCCACTCTCGCTTCAGCTTGTGCGCTCAGAGCATGGGCGTTTTGGTCTTTGCTAGGCACGTCGAATGCGTTGAGACGATCAGCGTAAGTAGCTAAATCGATCATGGCAAAAGTGTACTGCGCATCGGAAAAGGCAGCGACGAAGATGGCGCGGTCGAGGAGCAGGATAACGCGAGCGGCTTCTTGAAGGTCATCGGGGAGTAAAGTGACGTAGCTCGGCGCTCGTTTCTCGGTCAAGGCGTAGGCCATGTCGCCGTAGGTTTGCAAGGCTGACTCGTCCACCAGCGGAACGAGAGTTGTCAGAGCAGATACGGAGGCGTGTACGGTGTCGAGCAGATCGTTTGCGCTGACCGGCGTTTCAATCCGGGCAGTTTGTTCGTCCGCCTCGGAGCCAGAATTTGATGCAGGCGTCTCGTCTGGATCGAGCGGGACACCACCATCGTCGTCGAATTGTTCGAACTCAAGCCTCTGCTGCTCCAGCAGCATTTCTTGGCGAGATAGACATGCCGACAACAACTCCAGAGCCTCTTGAAAGAGTGGAATCGCCTGGGGGGCTTGTCCGGCCTCGGACAGCTGCTCTGCAAGACTCACCAACACCTGTGACGTGTTGAAGAGAAGATCGGGATTTTCTTCATTCAGTCGCAGTGCATATCGATGCGAATCGAGCGTCTGTCGAAGCAAATCGATCAGGGGAAGGCCGACATGCTCCACAAGAGCAGGCTGCTGCGTGATTTCCAACTCCAGTCGAGCCTTGTTGTAGGCCAGATCGAAGTTGGTGGCATGCCTGCTCAGGCCCTGGTTGTAGAGCTCCAAGGCACGAAGGAAGGCACGTGCAGACTTGGCCGGGTCACCGACTCGATGCTTGCCGCCGGCCTCTTCCTCCTTGTCCGCCGCCTCCTGGAAGTCATCTGCCGTTTCGGGGGCTGCCTTCAGCTTCGCCTTTTTCGGCGGCCGCGCGAATTGCTTGGGCTTGGGCATATTGATGGGAGGCTCTCGAGAGAAGAGGCTCAGCACGTGAACCGGGGAGTGGAGTGTCGGATTGGCATCAAACCTGAATTGAATTTACCCGGCTCGGATCGCGGGAGGCTGCCGAGTAGCGTACCGACGAGCTACGGCTGGCACGGAGTGGATGAAGGCGTTACATCATCGCCGGCCTGGAGTGGAAAACGGAAGAAGCCCGCCGCTGCCCATCGTGAGATTGTACCTCATGCAAGTCGCTGGAAACGTGTGCGAAGAGCCCCACTCCTGATTCATGCGCATGGACGCCCGCCGACGGTGAAGCGCGGAACCGGCCACACACACTCTACGCCCGCCCATTGAAATTGATTGAGATCGAAATCTTGCTGGCAGCAGCCCCCGGCGCAGAACTATCGTAACCTTGCCGTCATCATTGGCGATTAATCGGGCCAGGGTTGGGGGAATTGTCTATTCCACCGGCAGCTGATAAGCTTCCCGCGCACCGCCACCGCATCTCCTCCGCCGCCCTTTGCCACTTTCAACGGTCGTGATCAATTTCACGGGCGTGGAGGTCACGTCTCAACGCCATTTCGCGCACCTCATCCTCCGAAACCAAAGGCTTCAAATCATCCCAATTGGTCATGATGGGCCGCCCACCCAACCTCTTCTGCTTCCAGAGCATCGACAAGGATCTCGCGCCCAACCTGCGGAAATACGTCCTGGAGCAGCAAAATGAGGCGCTCAAACGACACGAGGTCTTCCGCGTCGCCGTCTCCGGCGGCTCCCTGCCCGCCACGCTCGCCACCGCCCTCCTCGCGCCCTCCTCCGGCGCCGAGGATGACAAAGTGGAATTCCCCAAGTGGGAAATCTTCTACGCCGACGAGCGCTGCGTGCCCCTCGACCACGACGACTCCAACCACAAGCTGGTGAAGGAGAACCTGCTCGACAAAATCCCCGCCGACATGGGGCAGCCGAAAGTGTATCCCATTGATGAGGCGCATCTGGACGATGTGCAGGAGATGGCGGACCAGTATGAAAAGACGCTCGTCAGCATCTTTGCCGCTCGCGACTCCGTCAAGCTGCCCCTCTTCGACTTGATTCTTCTCGGCTGCGGACCCGACGGGCACACGTGCTCACTGTTCCCCGATCATCCGCTGCTGAGGGAGTCGGATGCCTGGGTGCTCTCCATCTCCGACTCGCCCAAGCCCCCGCCCAAGCGCATCACCCTCAGCCTGCCCGTCGTGGTGCACGGCGTCAAGATCGCCTTTGTCGCGACCGGAGGCGGCAAGGCGAGCGTGTTGAAGAAGATTTTCGAGACGGAGGAGGGCTCGAAACTGCCCTGTGGTCTCGTCAATGCGGGTGGGGGCGAAAAGGTGTCGTGGTTCTGCGATGCGCCGGCGCTGGAAGGCGTCAACTTCCCCCGGCGAGGCAGCGTGATTTGAGCTCCTTCCCTTCAACGAATACATGACATAGACGAGGCCGACGAAAGACATGTCCCCAGTGTCAGTCATTTCCGGATCAACCTTATTCTATGTGTTTTGTTGTTGTGTTTTTAGTCGTTAAGAACCAGAACTAGCAAAATCATCATCACCCTTCATTCTCCCCATTCTTTCGCCTTTCACTGGCGGCGGTGTGATGTGTTGCGGCCAACACCGCAGAGCGCTGGGGAGCTGCGAGCTTCAGCTGAACTCGTCCCCAGCCGCACACCTCCCAACGGTTCTTTGTACTTTCGGAACACGACGCCAGCTCTCTCAACTCTCCTCTCAATCTCATCCTCTCATCGTCATGTTATAGCGTTGACTCGAGGTGACAACACAAGTCACATCAATCTCCTCCGCCGGCCTCCAATCTCTCCATTGGACCCGCCGCATCAAGGTATCCGAAATGTCGACCGCCGCCTCCCCAAACAACGCACAATCGCCACAACCCTCCTCCCCTCCATCAGTAGAGGATGAAGCAATCGCAATCGTGTGCAATCGCGCCTTTCACCAGTGTCTATGGCTCCCGAAGACCCCATCTCACGATCGCCTTCGCGTAACGTTCGCAACCACGAGCAACTTCTCCGACTACACGCTGCCAGTAGCTCTGTACTGCGTGCCCATGTTCGGCAGTCGCTATGGGAGTCTCAATTGGGATCACACGGCCAAGATCGCTGGGGTGAGGATGATTGCGGTGGACAGGTGAGTCTGTTGCCTCCATCGTGGCCGAGGAGATGTATTGACTGATGCACGCTCGACTAGACCAGGCATGGGCGGCTCGAGTCTAGTCCCTCTCAACCTGCGAGTCAAAGTGTGGATTGAAACTGTCCCTGCCGTGCTGCAGGCTCTCGATGTCAAGCATATCGATCTGCTCTTCTCTCATTCCGCGGGGACCATCTATGCTATGAACACGATGTACACGCTCCGCCATCTTCTCCATCCTCAACGGCCGTCCGTCGTCTTCTTCGGTACACTGTTCTCCCGCCCTCTCTGACTACCAACGCTAACCTACCTGCCCTTCCAGCCCCATGCGTCCAAGTCGAGCACTCACAGGCCACCCTCATCCAAGTAGCGTCCAAGATCCCCAACAGCATAGTAGGAGGCTGGTCCCCCCTCAATAAATTCATCCAACAAAGGTACCTCCCTCTCCCTTTCCCCTCCTCTATTCCACACCTAACTAATCCCCAGAATCACCCCCATGACATCCTGGTCGGGCGGGATCTTCACCACCCTCGCCGAAACCTTCCAATCCACCCCCGGAACCGCCGACACCACCGACACCGCCACACCAGGCGAACGCCACGGCACGAGCGAAGCGGTCGGCGCCGCGATCGACGAGCTCTCGACGCAGTGGTTCTTTGTAGAGGACACGACTGCAGGCACGGAGGAGGCGCGCATGTGTTTGCGCAAGTGTGAGGCGGGGGCGTGGGGCGTTTGCGAGGACTACGCGCAGTTTGTGCGGATGTTTGGGGAGTTGGAACGCGGGCGGCGGGAGGCTGGTGGGAGTGAGGCGCGGGCGGTGGAGAGGGTGAAGGTTAAGGTTTTCTTTGCGGAGTCGGATGTTATGATTGGGAAGATTGGGAGGCGGTATTTTGAGGAGTGTTGGCGGCAGAGGGGGGTGGAGGAGTGGGTTGATGTCGAGACGGTTGATTTATCTGGGACGAATCACGATAGCTCGATTGGGGATTTGAAGAAAGGGGGTATGAAGGGCATGTTGGAGGAGTTGGGGAGGAAGGCGAGGGAGTAATGAGACAGTAGCAAGGAACAAGTAGATCAGAACAGCCAGCCATATTTCCTCACATTCTGCTTTTTGTACTCACAGCATTCAAACTCCCACCAACCGCCAGACAAACAAAGGAGGGACATCCACCTAAGTCGACTGCAGCGCCTGGTACACGGCCGCCTCGTTGTGGATCCATTGGCCCAGCACGTGCCCGTCGCCAAAAGGCATCACCTGGCTGGCAATCATGCCCGCAACGCCCTTCTCGCGATCGCACCACCAGAACAGGTTGGCGATACCCGCCCACCACGCCGTGTTCCTGCCGCGACCCGTCGCTCCGGGCTCGATGGTGAGGAAGAAGCTCAAGCCCCAGCCTTGAGGTGGGTTGCCTGAAGGGCAATCATTAGCAATTGCAGCTCAGAGACAAAGTCAAAGGGGTGAATCTCACCTTCCTGAGGATACATCTCAGGCAAAGCATTCGTCGCCTCCGGCTTGGCGGCGCCAATGCCCTGTCGCGCAAAGTTAGGCTGGTCGGGGATCTGGTTCTTCCACATCTCCTCGACCGTCTCGGGCTTCAGAATCTGCGCGCCCGTCTTGGGGCTCTTGCCGTCGTTCAGCAGCGTGGCGAGCACCTGCACGTACTCGTTGGGCTTGGCGAAGCAGCCCGCCCCGCCGCTGTGGAAGATGTGCTGCTTCTCGCGGTGCGTCTCGGCGACGATGGGCTCGCGGTACATGTGGTCGCGCTCCGACGAGGTCGTCTGGCCCGGCCACTTTTGGTGCATGTAGGCGAGGTTCTTCTTCATGTCGTCCGTGGGGAGCATGTTGATGTTGTGCAGGCCGAGGGGGTGCGTGATGTGTTGCTGGATCCAGTCGTTCAGGCGGACGCCGGTCGCGCGTTCGAGCACGATGCCGGCCTGGGGTGTCAACATTAGCGAAAAGTACGTTCGATTGGGTCCTTGAGCGTTGTCATACCCAGTCAATGCCAACGCCATACTCCCAGACGGTGCCCGGTTGGTTGACCAGCGGCATGCGAAGAACATCGCGCTCGTCCGCATGGAAGACATCGTAGCCGCAAGGACGGCCGAAGTCTCGAAGACGGGGGTTGAAGCTAGAAAAGTCAGTCGAATTCTCATTGCCTCCATTACCGTGCAACTCACAACTCGTAACCAAACCCACTAGTATGAGACAACAACATCCTCAGCGTAATCTCATGCTGCTTATCAACCAACCTGCCCCCCTCATCCAACACCTTGACATTCTTCAGCTCCGGCGCATGCTGGTAGACAAACTGGGCGTCGTCGAGCTTCAGCTTGCCCTGCTCGACAGCCTGCATGCACGCCATGGTGGCGAGCAGCTTGGTGCAGCTGGCGATCCAGAAGACGGTGTCCATGTCCATGGGCGCGCGGCCGGCCGCGGCGCCCTTTTTGCCGGACGGGACGGCGCACAGCTCGTTGCCTTGGCAGTCGACGGCGACGAAGACCAGGCCGGCGACGCCCGTCGACTCGTCGCTCGTGACGCTGTCGAGGTTCTTTTGCACCGTCTCTTGCAGCTTTTGGTTCACCATGTTGGCTGATTGGCGGGGTTGGGTATGTAAGGATCGATGGTGGTTTTCTTGGATTTTTATCCAACGGCCGTACTGCTTTGGGTTGTTGGAATGATGGTTCGTCGAAGCTGTTTCGCAAGAAATGTGGCGGCTCAGGGCGATGTTTATACGTCGCCAGGACCTGGAGCTCGCAACCCCTCCTCCCCAGACCCCACCATTGCAGAAGACCCCGCAGTCCGCAGAAAGTTACGGCAACTAGCGCTTCCGTGAGGCGGGACCAGCGCTCTCGCAGATCGAACAATCCGTTTCGCCGAATCAGAAGGGTAATTGTCATGTTTCCATCAAGGGTCGTACTAGGCCGCTCTCGATTTTCGGCCACGCTTACTGTCCAGGCTATATGGCCATCACATGGATCGTACGCACGTCGACGGTGCACGGATACTTGCGACCAGAACCCTTCATCTAGCAAGGCTGGTTCCATCCAGGGTGTCTCGCCCGCTTCATTTGAAGCAAGCTGCCCAGTGGCCACCACTGCGCGCGAACTGTAAACTGTCAACGAAAGCCGACAGCGTGCAGCGACCCAAGGCATCGCCCTCGCACTGCAGCAAAGGCTGGACGCGATCGTTAACGAGGACGCGAACGAGCTCTTCGTCATGTCCCGCACATTGCAGCTTCTCAAAATACACCCTACCCGCGAATGGGACAGTCCATGCTGCGCTGAAACCACCTGCTTCAGGTGCCCCAACGAGAGTCCGGTTGGGCAAGTGCGACGTTTCCCCGTACAGTCCCAGCGCAGCCATAATGGCAGTCATGTCGTTGTCGTGACTGAAGTCGGCGTAAAGTCTGCGACCTAGTGGAAACGTCTGAGGGTCGCTGTCGAGGGTGCGGTTTGTGGAGGTGGTGTCTGTGACCGCCTCGTCCGTCATTCTCGCTATCAGTTCGTTGACGAAGCCAACGCCTTGAGTCGGGCCCAGTGGATTGCCGTGCCCGTAGCCATACCACTTGTCGAGACTTCCGTAGTAGTTGTATTGACGCCATTCCTCGGTCGTGAAAAGATCGCAGATGCGCGAGATCTTCCCTGTAGGCGATGCCACCGTTTCGAAAGGGCATAGCTCCATCAGATAGATGACTTCGGTGAGGGTCAGATTCGCTCCAATGAGATCGGCGTTGAAACGAGCGCGGATGGGTTCGGCAAAGACCTCAACCCATTTGAACTTCGCCGTACTTCCAATTGCGCCGAATTTTCCCGTCTCGAATTCTGTGCAGATGTCGTGATGGAGAGTATTGTTCATCCCTTCCTCTTCGGAGACGACAACGTCCACGGCAGGAAGCGATGGATGATGGGGATTAGTATGCTCATCTGCCAACATTGCTTCACGAAACCCTTGCGTCCAGTTCCAAGCGGAGTCAATCACACGCTTCTGTCCTGAAGCACGTAGAAAAGGGACGAAATCGCGCGAGAGCGGCTTGTATCGTTCGTAAAAGTTCACGCCTGCGGAGACTAGTTGCCGCTGGCCGAAGATTGAAAGTTGATCTGCTCCGAGTGTGTACTCATAGTCGGCGAGGAATGCATAGCGGCCTGGAAAGTGCTTTACATTTGCCTTGAGTCGCTCAATAGTAGCGCCATACAGGAGGGATTTACCCAATGTGGGATCTCGGGCACCGTGGCGAGCCAGGACCTGAGCAAAAGTGATGTGGCAGCCTTCTGGCGTGTGTGCTGGTATGTCGGAGGCGACGCTGAAGTATGGAGAGTACTGGCCCCAGAAATGGGAGATCTCGGGTCTGCATTGATATCCGGCCTCTGGTGTGTCGCAGGGCTGTTCTCCCGATCGGCTGAAGTACAGACGTTAGCCAAGGTAGTCGTGAGAATGATCAAATGTAAGGCTCACATAGATAATGATACGAAAAAGAGGGTCGCCAGGGCAATCAGAAGTAGTACGAGGATAGAATGCTTCCTTGTCCAAAGACGAGGCCGCGCTTTCTCATTTCCCCCAAGAAGCGCATATTCGTGTTGGTGTCCGCCGTGAAAACGGCGGCGAAGCATTTCCATCAGGACAATGTCACCGTGACGAATTTCATGACTCCAGCGGCCGGCTAATGCAAATAATTCATGAAGATGCAATGCGCATGAGGAGGGAAGGTCGGAGGTGCTGCCTGGCCGGTAAAATCGGTGTCCCGTGACTTTCGCACGATTCAACCTTCACACAGCACACCGCAATGGGCTACTCATCATATCCGTTCGCGCAGTCCACAAAAGTAGTCATCTGATGGAGATGCTCCACTCCCCGTGATGCCCAAAATCGACCCGTCAGAGCAACACCGCGGCGAAATCGAAGCCCGCACAGCAGCAGGAGAAACATGCCATGTGGAAAGATACCCTCATGTACTAGCGACCGAGGCTGTGCTTGATCAAGGTCTAGATGATACGCCACGGCCACATCGACAGGTTGAACCCACTCGAATATCACACCCACTCTCCTGTCCATCCACCATCTCCTTCTTCTTGCGTGCCACCCAATTCCTGGCATCTATCTTCATCTTTGTTGCAAATCTAGCGACATCATGCGGAATCGTCTGACTGCCTCAGCCTCAAGAGCCCAAGTCGCATCTGATTGGTCAGTTTGACAGCATGCAGCCCAAGACAACGACAGCAATCATTCCCGGTATAAGAAGACTTACTTCCACTCACCACCATGTAATATACCTTCGTGCATCATGTCCGACCACGAGCGCTGGCAAGCTGTCGTGACCCGTGACGCCTCGTGGGACGTAAGTCGTCCCTTCAACACCATCAAACCTCCCATTCCAACTGACACTCCCCCAGGGCAAATTCGTCTACTGCGTCAAAACAACCAAAATCTTCTGCCGCCCAATCTGCAAAGCACGCCTAGCCCGCCGCGCCAACGTCGAATTCCACACCACGCCCGCCCAAGCCGAAGCAGCAGGCTACCGCGCGTGCAAGCGCTGCCAGCCGCTGCTCGCCTCCTACACGCCGGAAGCCGACAAGGTGAAGGTGGTGTGCGAGCTGTTGGATGCGCTGCCGGATGCCGCCGACGTGCCGAGTTTGGATGTGTTGGCTGCGGAGGTGAGGTTGACGAAGCATCATTTCCATCGGCTTTTTAAGCGCGAGACGGGGGTGACGCCGAGGCAGTATGTCTTTGCAGCGAGGAATAGGCGGCGGGAGATAGAGGGTGGGGAGTCGAGTGCTACGGCGAGTGTCTGGTCGCCGATGACGCCTGTGGATCCCAGCATGGGCATGCCGTTCTACACGACCTTGGAGAACGATGCGTTTTCGTTGCCGGACCTCGACTCGGTGACGTCGAAGTACGAAGTGGGAACTCTCAACTTATCGACCACCAACCCCATCGGGAACTTCGTCATCTTTTACACCATCCTAGAAACCAACTGCGGCCAGCTCCTACTGGCGTTCCAAAACGAACAAATGTGCAGGCTGGAATTTGGAAGCGATCTGCGCGAGCTTCTGAACGTCTTGGAGACCGCCTTTCCCTCGCTGTATTACATTCATTCGCCATTGGAGATGGCAGATGGGGGGTCGAAAACTTTGTATCAACAACAGGTTGATGCGGTGGTGCGGGCATTAGAGGATCCGACCGGTGAGGTCTTAGGAGTGCCGCCGTCTTTCGATGAGCTGCCGGGAATACCCTGCGGTTGAAGCCTCTCCAGGCTCGACAACCTGAACCGAGAAGGCTACGACAGCGGTGGTATTAGACTTCGATCTTCCGGCGAAGTCGCAGTCCTAAGACGGAAACGGCCCTGCTGCCTTGGAGTACTCTGCCTCTATGGTCAGGACGGGAAAGTCGACAGGCTGGTGCCCGCCCACTTCTCGGTGCATCCCTCTCATCCTCAGCGTCCCGACGTTATCACGGCTATACATCGAGAGTGCATCTAACAGCACAGCAGAGAGACTCGTGAAGGAGTCAAGTACTGGCGAGGCTGACCAGATTAGCCCGCGAGAGGATTGTCGAGGGAGTCTAGGAGAGACGAGGGCAGCCCACGAGGATAATTAGCTGTAATTTAGCGAAAACATACAGTAACGCTCTAGTGAGTCAACGAACGCACCTTGCAAAAACTACTCATTGCAGCATCGAGTACCTCAAGACAACTCAAGATAAAACAAGCAGCCTCGCAGCCACATCCAACCCACGCAGAGCAACCCCGACTTTCCCCCGAGAGCAATCCCCACTTCACCCATCAACCACCTTCCACCCCAACTCTCCACAAACACGCAACACAAACAGCGTCCCACCCAATGCACCCCCCATGCCCTCCTCCGAGTACGCCAACGCCGTCCGCGGCGGCCTGAAACTCAAAGGCGCCAAAGACTCGGGCGGCGTCAAAAAGCACAAAAAGAAAGAGAAGAAGCAGTCCCTCAGCAAAAGCCATGCCGATCCGCCTGTGACAGATACAAATCGAGCAGAGGAGGAAGAGAAAGCGGAGTCGGAGTCGGCTTTGCAGAAAGCGCTGCTGGACGAAGATGGGTTGGATGAAGACGCGATGGAGGGTGATGGCGCAGGTGCGCTGAGGTCTGAGAGTGGGGTTGGGAAGACGGAGGCGCAGAGACGACATGAGGAGAGGAGGAAGAAGCGGGTATGTTCTACCTTCACTTTTGACTTTGGTGTTCACGTGAAGGTGGTCGCTAATGCTTCTGCTCGTCTTACAGCTGGACGAAAGACTCAAGCGCGAGGGCGTCAAGACGCATAAGGAGCGGGTGGAGGAGTTGAACAAGTACCTTTCGAATCTGAGCGAGCATCATGATATGCCGCGCATTGGGCCTGGGTAAGGCGTGTGGGCGAGGGCGTGTTTGCTGTGGGTGTGTCTTAGCGTGGTATTGGAGGTCTTTGGGTGGGGGGTGTGGAAATTGATCAACATGGCAGTGTAGAGGGATGGGCATGGTGGGATCAGAGATATGGATAGATGAAAGATCGGTAAAGATTTCTCTGTTGCTCGTCTACCTTCCGGCTCATAGTCACCAACCCTGTCAACTTTGGTGCTACGATCTGCGTTTTGATCTTGATATGCCAATAGATATGCTCGCTGTTGCTTCCATTCCTGTGTCTCCTTTGAGCATGGGCAATTCATTCCATCAAATGGAGCCCTCGGGCTATGTCTGCCCCTCAGTTCTCGACGATTCAACCCAATCAACAAAAGACTTGTAGCGGCTTACGCCGGCTTCTCCAGTGCCATCTCGGGCTGGTCGGGTTGATGTGTGAGTATCAGAGCTGCGATGCGTGGCGGGTGACTCCTTCAATCACGGTCAGCGTGAGATTCAAAAGCAGATGTTGAGCGAACACGCACCTAATCACATCTCACACTATAAGTGCGATCCACGTGCACGCCACCCTTCAACTTCTGCATCTCCACATCCCGCGTCGACTTGCCCTTCGGCGTGGACAAGCTGGCAGTGTCCTCCGAGTCGATGAGGGTGTCGGTGGTGTCCGTCGTCGCTGTGCCGCAAGCCTTTGCACCCGAGAGATCTGCGGCTCCCCCTGGGAGTGCGCGCATGTAGTGCCGCGGATTGGCAATGTGCACGTGGTCGGTCTTGACGGTGGCCCACATTGCCGAGAGCGGCAGGGAGAGGGCAATGATGGTGGGTATCATGATCTGGAGATTGTGATTCTTGTAGCCGTATAGGGCGACGAGAATGAAGATGACTATGAGAGTGAGTGGAGATGTTCGCAGACGGTGAGGAGGGGAAACAGGGAACTTACGAGGCGTCAACATTGTCTGGCAGGCCATGATGAAGATGATCTGCATCGGCCCGAACTTGGTCATTCCCATGGAGCGACGGGAGCGGATTGCGAGGCCCAGCTTGGCGCAGAAGATGATGGCGGCGATGGCTATGTTGACGACAAACACAATGTCCGTTGCCTGGCCCAACTTGCCGAGGAGACGGAACTGCTGCTCCGTTTCTTGCCCGACATGGAGGATGTTCCAGTCAGTGACCAAGATCATGAGGGCGAATCGGGTGCCAACTTCTGCCAAAGCCATGGCAATGTTGATGATGTTAATCGTGTTGCGCCAGACGGCATCGAGGGTGCAGCAGACGATGCGGACTTGGAGGACCATGGACAGCTCAAGTGTGGAGACGAGCATGAAGTCAATGAGTTCGCCGGCGAACGAGGCTGCTTGGGCTGGAGCAATGTCGCCGCCGTAGTAGTAGGTCTGCAGTCGATACCAGTTGTAGAAGGTGCCAGAGAAGACGACGCTGGATACGATACCACGCGTGATGACGAGGACCAGAGCGACGGCGTTGAGTATGAAGATCAAGCTGCGGCGCTTGTCGGGTTTGGTGATGAGGAGGAGGGCAAGAAGCAGGAAGACGGCCGAGCCGATCATGATGCCCGAGTAGATGGCGTCGGCGGTGATGAGGCTTTGAAGGCTGCGTACGAGGGACATGGAGACTTGCACTGGCGTGACTCCGTCGGGGCCTAGGACGGTGAAGTTTTGGGTGAAGGGGTCGAAGGTCTTGTTGACGTGCCATTCGAAGGTAGCCATGGTGAGTGGAGGTGCTGGAAGCGGTCCGGTTGAAGTGATTGTGGAGCTGGTTTCTGGGACTTCCGGAGTGTTGGACAAATCACGAAAGAGAAGAGAGGAGCTTCTTCAAGAGCTCCAACAGATCGTCATGAGAAGACAATATGAGCCGTCAGATTGTGCTGGATGAGATTGTTCGCCTCTCAGGGAGGAAGTAGAAGGCCAGCGATGAGATCGTTGGAGCAACAATATGAGCGAGTGAAGAATTTAGTAAGTTCGAGCACTGACATCAGAGGGAGGTGGAAGTGTGAAGTGATGTATCTGGACGAAGGCGAAAGTTGACATCATATCACCTCTTGGTCAAGACAGGCTGGCAGTGTCGGGAAGCTCGATTGGAAGAAGATGAAAGTCTTACACGTCAAAGGGAGATTCATTCCAAACCTTTCCAATTGACTGCGATGCCGCTGCAATCGCAGCGCGGCAGGTGTCGGACGTGCCTGCTTGATATTGTTCTTGCAAAGGACGTGCGAGGCACGTGCAAGCCACGCACGGGAATCGACAGGCATGGAGATTCACATCTTCGTATCCCTTCACTCACATCAGCCTTGGTCGCCCACGAACGCTGATCTGATCAGGGTTCGTCCCCAGAAATGAGAGGAAAGATGAGGTGTGGTGGAAGTGACGAAGCAAGAGCGGCTCCTTCCCAGGCCAATCCCAGGCTGCACTCTCAGCCGGGCGCGCCACTTTCGCGATGTGGGGCGCGTCCCCCAAATTCACGTCCCGGCGTGCATGCAGCACCACCTCATCCTTCAACCTGACAGAAGGCAAACATCCACTCTTGTCCGCCAAACAGCTTGCACACCGCAGGCTGAAGCGCACATTCCCTTCCGTGCTAGACACCGACTATGTGAACTTCCAACTTGTCCTCATCGCTGCTTGTTCACCTCTTGTCGCCACCCCCGATCATGTCTCGACCGCCTCGATTCGAGTTCCTTCTGATGAAGTTAGATGGCACATATCCTAGGCAGACATGCGACCATCTCATCGACATCGACGGTCGACACATCACCACGCAGATCTTCAAGGATCATCACGCTCAAATCGATTGTCGTGCCGAGACTGGACAGAATCGGGAAGCTGACGATGTCCTTGTACGCATACGTGAGTCTTCCGGCGTTTACGGCATAGTTTCCCTGCTCTTGCTAACAGCGCATGTAGAAACTTCGGGCTGGAGCTGTATGATTGAAGCCTATACTCAGATGATCATCGAGCAGCCTCTACCGAATGGTCAGCTGTCAGGACTCGCCGACGTGATGAACGGCGAGGGTCTGGCCATTGCTGCGAGCGACCGATACATCCGAACCCTGGCCTACGTTCGGCCCGGCGATGTGATGCATTTTCCCGACGCAGCGCTTAAGGTCCGCTTCGATATTGCAACGGAGAAGACCACTTCGCCGCCCCTTCCTGGCCAGGCCAGCAAAGCCGAAGAAGTGTCACCGGCCCTTCCAAACTCGCTGGCTGGTGCCGAAGTTCAAGTCAGGTCATCCGACTCCGCTGTCGAGCAGCAAGATTCCGATTCCGAGGACGACGATGATTTGGATCGCCTGCCTGCACCTGCGAAATCATCTGTTGACGAAGCAATGCGTGCAACTCCTCCCGTCATCGAGCCGATGATCAAGGAGACTCCGAAGCATCTCCCATCTGCCTTGCCGGAAGATGAGGAGCCTTACTCGACTGCTCAAGATGGATTGCTCGAACGGGAAGAAGATGTCAGCGCCGACAGACAGCCCATCAACGCTGAGAGCCCCAGCCCGCTCGCCCAGAGGAGTATCGCACTCGCTGCTTCCGTGGACGATGAAGAAGTGCTGAAGCCAAGGACTGTCAACACAACCTACGGAAAGCGGCAGAAGTCTCGCACGCCTCAGAAGCTCAGCAGCCTGCCCACTCCAGATGACGTCCAGGATTTGCCAGAACGCGATGAGTCTTCCCACGCCGAGAACGACAACAACAACTACGACGACATTCCCGCCACGTCAGACAATATGACTATGCATGACGTAACAACAGAAGCTGCCTGGCGCTCACACCCAGTCAGTGCCGCGACGAAGAAGCGCAAGGTCCACAATTCAGACAACGAGCCCGAAGAACGCGAATCCCCGCAAGTCAACAAGAAACGAAGGGTCGACGAAGAGCGAAGTCCAACGCCTTCAGCTCCGAAGCAAGAAGATGTAGACGACGCAGAAGACGAATCCGCAACAGACCCAGCACCATCGCCGCCAAAGACTCGCGGCAAGTTGAAGAAGGTCACACGCAAGGCCGCTCGGTACTCCAGCGAGGAAATTGCGGTGGCTCCGAAGAGAAGGCAGCCTTCCCCAGTTCTACCTGTCGTGGTCAAGCGGCACAGAAAGAGTACCACCCCGGCAAGCTCGGCCTCCTCGACACTGCTCGGCAAGACGCCCAAGATTCTCCTCAGCACCGAAAGCGCAATTCATCGGAACACCGCACTGAAAGCCTGGCTGCGAAAAGCTGGAATCACCATCATCGACAAGGTCCCCTCCAAGACCACAAACTTCGTGTGCGTCGTCACCAAGGACCATAGCCTCAAAAGTGCCAAAGTCCTACACTCCCTCGCCATGAACAAGTCCGTGGTGACCGAAGACTGGCTCACGGATTCCGAGGCCCAAGGCGAACTACAAGATCCGCTCGACTACCTCCACAAAACCGTGGAGCCGAACGCCACGCACGACAAGAGCCGCATCTTCGCAGGCAAACACCTCTTCTTCACCCGCGCCGCTGTAGCAAACTACGGCGCCGGGTGGAAAGACATTCAAGATGTAGCGAAGGAGGCAGGGGCAAGCGAGGTGGGCAAGTTGGATTTCGATCGCTCTTCTCATCTCCACGAGCGGGACGATGTGGTGTTCTTCGGCACTGTGAAGGGGGATGAAGACGTGGCGGAGCTGATCAAAGAGTACGGGCGGGACGTCTATTCGAAGGACCTGTTTACGGACAGTATCATCGCCGGCGAGCTGAAGCTAGAGCAGAAGCTGTCGGCGCCGGCTGCGGCGAAGAGGAAGAGGCGGTCGTGAGGGAGCGTGGACACACTGTGTGCGTCGCTCTACTCTACCGGGCACAAATCATACCAGCCATATCATGTACAAGCGGCGATAACACCTCTCTGTGTCCTGACTCCTCGCATCTCAGCCTTCACCGCAGTCCAGCACGTGTTTGCCCGCGAGCATCCTCAGTCGTGTGCTCTTATCATGATGAGCTTCTCCAGTGCCTTTGCTGATCCGATCTAGTCGTGGTGCGTACACCCCCGTCCACGCCGGTATCCTGATCTCCACCACGTAGACTCTGCCACCGCCTATCCAGCATACCTGTTGGGGCTTAGAGGTGGCATTCACCTCCAAGTGCAACTCGTGGGGAAGAGGCGCGTGGGAAAAAAAGGAATGTCGTTAGGCAGTGAGGACCATAACGGCACAGAAGTCAGAAGGTCGCTTTTCGACGGAATGAACGTATCGTAGCAAATCTAGTCGCGGGCATGAGACGGATCGTCATTTTCCATCTCGTCACATAGCTCTCTTGTTCCTTTCCTCTCCGCCAATTCCCAATAGGAAGATCATCGAAGCATTTCCCGCACTTCCCTCCTCCATCCTCCCTCAATGACATCCTAGCCGCCCATCCAGCAGCACCATTTCTCCGCCCCCAATCAGCCCCAACCCAATGCAGCCTCCCCCATCAGCCCAAGCCCAAAAGCCCCAGCAAATGCAAAGTGTATCCTACAAGCCCAGACCCATCAAGAAGCAAAAAGCCAACGAGCGTCGTCGTGTTTTCCCTTTTCCTTCCTCCCACCCAGGCCAGGCATAACAAACAAACCCAAAAAGCCAAAACATGAAGGGGGTATATAATAGGAATACAACAAAGTAGCCGCCCCTTCAACCCCCAAAAACGCCGTCTCGGCCGTGCAGTAACAGCGCTGGAGAGGAAACCCAAAATGAAGAAGGAGAACGAAGACGCCTGGTTGGCCGTGAGGCGCGCGCGCGTATCTCCAAGCGGAAAGAAGATGAAGAAAAGAAAAGACCAAGCACCGCCACTCAGCGCGTCGACTCGCGATCAATGCTCGACGTCCGACTGAAGCCCGGCGCGTTCGGGTCCTCCGAGAGCGAAGACGACTGCTGCTCCGCCAGTCTGCGCTGGCTGGGGTTGCGACTGAAGACTCGCGACCTCCAGTTGCGCTCGGGGCGTGCGGCTTCGATCCGCGGAGAAGCGGAGTGCTCCGAGCTGGGCCCGGATTTGAAGCCATTCGTCATGGCCGGGTGGGTGTTGTTGACGTTGTTGAGATTGAGGTTGGTGAGGTTGAGGTTGTTGTCGACTTGAATGGGGAAGGCGTTTTCCTTGCGAATTTTGACAAAGAGTTTCGCGTCGCGGTATTGTTCGCCTTGCGGGTTGAAGAGCGGTAGGTGGCGGTATCCTTGCTGGAGACTGTCGAGTTTGGCGGTGAATGTGGCGAGGAGGACGTTGTTGGAGGAGGTTGGACGGGCCTCTGGCGAGCTCCACACGGTCCAGCGGACGAAGATCAAACTTGTGTGTTTCGTCACCAAAGACACGGTGAGAGGCTGGTTCCAAATCGGATCGAAGCCGTTGCCCTCGATGACTTTGGTGCGTTTGCGCAGCGGCGAGCCGATGCCAGAGTATCCGTTGGGCGCCGAGGCATCCGTTCCACCTTCGCCGCGAGCACCGCCGGGCGCCTTGTCATCGGCGCAATACATCTCAAACTCGATGTAGGGATTCATGCCGCTTTCCGTGATTTGTCGGAGTGGGCGCGGCAGGCGTTGCGCAGAGATGATGTCAACGGTAAACTTGACAAATTTCTTGTCCTTCTTCTCCTTCTTCTCTCCCGCATCGAGGATCGGAATGTGCTTCGAATGCCGCAGCTCCTCCGGCTTCAACACATATCCCACGCGATCCGAGCCGGCGGCAAACATGGCTTCGTTGACCTGCTGATGCACGTCATACGTCTGCCAGTTGAGCGCGGCCATCTGCACCCCACGTCGCCATGCTTCCAGGGGATTGAAATTGGACGAATCAATGCGGCCCGCTTTGGGATACACGCGCATGAGATAGTGCACATTGTGCTTCTCCAACAAACCCTTTGTCTCCGTTTGTTTCGTGCAAAGACGGCCAAAGGTGTTTTCGTTGAAGGAGAAGATGTGATTGAACGACTTCGCGCCAGGCTCGTTGAAGCCGGGGAACTTGATGCCCTGCGCGTAAACCCCGAGTCTGCCGAGCTCCGGGATGATCTTGCTGGATTTCCGCTTCCGCGTCTTCTCAAGAGGCGTCTGAGAGGTGTCGCTGTCTTCCGCAGAGCTGCTGGGAGAAACAGTCGGTCCTGATGTGATGGATCCTCTCGGTGTGGACATTGTCCCCACAGTCGTATCCGATGGACTTGTTGTCACGGGGCTGATCACGAGCGGGCTGTAGGTAAAGGCGCGTTTGTCGATTGACGGGGTCCTCACAATCGTAGAACCAAGGCTACGCGCACGGCTGCGGCCATTCGACCCGTCTAGAGGGAACTGAAACGGCTCCGGCTCTTCTGCGCCAGCAGCCTTGACTTTCAGCAGGATCCTGCTCTTCAGCTCTTCAGGCGTCGGCAGAATCTGCGTGTTGGCAGACAGTGCTTCCGTGACCAGCATCGTCTTCCAATATTTGAGCATATGATCAACCATGGTCTTTTGCTGTTCCGCGTTACAGTGCACCTCAAGAGACACAATCAGCGGGTAGGGCGAGCTGTGGAAGGCATATTTCGCGATCGTAGAGACACAGTCTTCAAAGGGAACCTTTGTCGTCATCGTCCTTCCGTGCGTCACCATCGGTCGACCGTTCTCCCCGTCCCAGCAATCAATCTCGATGCATCGACAGCCCTTGATCAGAGCGGAGATGTAGCCCTCGACGCTAGATGCGCCGTAGACCTGACGGCCGAGAAGGTAGGTGTTGTGGGAGCTGGAGATGAAGTACTCGTTGAGAGGGCGGTCCAGAGTCCCCTCGCCTTTGCTCGGTAGCAGAGGTGAGTTGTATGCGGATGTTAAGAAGCTTCGGAAAGATTGCTGGTTGAGCGCAAGCTGTCGCCCTACCGGCTCAGCAGTTGGCAATGCAGCTCGGTTTTGCGATGGCTTGGCGAACTTCTCAAAGACGCCCTCCCAATGCGAACGTTCCTTCTCCACGTCCACGCCTTGATCATCTCTGAGGAAGTCGAGGAAAGCTTCCAGTCCCAGATCAAGATCCGTTCCAAAATTGATGTTGCGATACAAGTTCTGGATATCCTTGCGTTCCATGAAAGATCGGACGAAGATCTGGTAGCGTGTGTAGTCCAGCTTTCCAGTGTACCCAGTGTCCGCCAGGGTGAAGTGCGTTCGCACCGCGGAATCGCTACAATTGATCTCCAACTTGCGGCAGAACCAGCGTGCATCGTCGAGAGTGAAGGAATGGTCATCGTCAGAGGATTTGCGACCCATGGCTCTCCTCCACACCATGGCCATGCTTCGTTCACTCTTCTCCGTCCTAGTGGACAAGGCGTTCATAATCTCCGTCCGCTCTCGCGCCACCGAGCCCAGAGCATCGGTCCAGTAGCCGACGATAACAACGGAATCGAATACCAAGTGCATCGTCTTGATCGTGCGGCCTTTGGACCTTTCGGGAGGCTCGTAGACCACAGTCATCCATCGTCCCTCATCCTCATCGGCGATCTGAACGTCATCTCGAGCATTTCTAGACTCCGCGCCGACGCGGACCTCGCGAACGTCATCGATGAAGAAGGATTTGCCAGAGTTGGTAAGAGACCAGCAGACGCGAGCAGAGTTGGGGTCCAGCCATAGTCGGATGCGCTTATTCTTTTTGTGCTTGCTGGTGTGCTTAGTGACGAGCGTGCCAGTCTGAAGAATTGCCGATATGGCCGGCGCAATACCTCCTTCGAAGTAGCTCGAGGCATTGCTGGGTCGACTGAGGTTGATACCAAGCCCATTCTGTATGTCGCGCGCGGTGGGTGGGTGAGGTGAGTCGTCTTGCGTGCCATTTTCCGACGGCTCCAATTCCAGGTCGGAAACATCAGGGGCGCGATCGGAAGCGGCGTTGCTATCGCTCCGCCGCCGGACCAACACCGGGCCAGCACTTTGATCTCGTAGACGTAGTGACTGCTGTTGCGATGCTCTCCGGCGAAGCTTCTGATGCGCTCCTCTCGATAGCCTTCTGATCAGCCCTCCGGGGCTCTTGCTGTTGGACCCAATAGCATCGGCCATCGAGTGAGGCATGGCAGCAGCACGAGGATGCGGAGACGGAGAGCGTTCATGGTATGTTCTTTCCGGCACGGCAGAGGCCACGGTCGAGGAAGAAGAGTATGCATACGGTCGAGAAGAGAAACGGTTTTCACGTTGTTCCTGAGGGCTGATCGTGTGCGTTTTGATGGCGTGCAGCTGTTTCATAGGGCTGCTGTGCGTGGAGGGGGTCGCTGGTATAGCAGTGGCGGCTGCAGCGGCGGGTGGTGAGAGGTCTATCATGCTGGCAGAGGGATCGAGTGGCGGCATGCGCGAGTCGAGCGGGTTGAGTATGTCGGGGGTGGAAGAGGTGGGCGTAGATGTAGCAGTTGCTCCATCTTCGTGGGTGGAAGCCGAGGGTGAGGGGGGAAGAGGGATCATCGCTCGAGGGTGAGAGGGATTACAGGGCCAGCCTAGTCGGTGTCGTGCGTCCTGCGCATGATGTCTCGTCCGCGGTGGTGGAGTGCTGCAAGATGCGCTGTGCTTGGTCGGCGCTCGCACCCGCAAGCGCAAGTTGAGAGAGGGGTTGTGGTCGATCTTCTCACAAGCACGGGCGAGACCAGCTCCCCAAGGTATAGCACGACGGAAGCGGCCAATGCGATCGGGAAGAATGAAGCTCTTGTTGGCCACAACGCAGAAGCGCCAAGCAGTCGAGGGGTGCGGCTGAGGGATATGTCGCCGCGGCTTAAGGCGTTCGCGCAAAGATAGGTGGCGAGCAGAGAGGACAGATGTTGTACATATGCAGGTGTGCTGCAGATTCGTGAGCTCAAGCGTGGGGTTGGTGGAGGGTGGATGCGCGCGGGGATTCGTCCGGGGGGAAGAGGAGCGTGAAGGGCGTGGCGTGGCGTCGAGCAGGCAGAGCAAAGCAGCGCGGGGCAAGGAATGGCGGCGGTCGGAGATGTGATCGAGCGGGACGTGAGGGAGCGCGAGGAGGAGGTGAGAAGGAGGAGGAGTAGGTGACGGAGGATGAGGAGGAGGACTCGGACAATCGGTGAGGACAGGCGCCCCCGAAATTTGGGTAGCTTTGGCAAGGGATGTGCCTTCCTCAGAGGCTCGGCATGCGGCTCGTTGAACCTTAACGTTAACCGTCAGGGTCATTGCCAGGGAAGGAATTACCCGACGTTTCAGAGTGGCCGCTTATACGTCACAGCGGTTTGGTGAGGGAACGCTCTTTGCATCATCGTCACGGAGGCGCACGTCTGGTCGAGGGATGATGGCGAGCGCTGGGCATACCAGCCGGAGTCGCGGGGTAAGAGGGATCACGCACGCACAATGTCCGACCACTCGCGACATGCATGGGCGGAGTCGTCAACGTGCGCATAAGGGAGCAAATGCTGGCATGCATCATCCATCGTTCGGCCGCAGTGGGGCATACACGTTGCCGGTACCGCACCTCCCCGTCGCCCTAGCTTGCTAGCAGCCTAGTCTGTCGCGTGTCGCAACCATGTCCCTTGCGAAAAAGTCTGGCCTGCTGCCTGCCGTACGTCGCCTACGACACGGCATGAAATTGCATTCCTTCTGCTCCAACACTTCTCCGTCTACATGAGTCGGACTGTTGCGGACTGCGCGAGCAAGGTGGTCAGATGCAATCGGATCGGGCGGATTGTAAGATGACGCCAGCTGTTCGCGGCGCCGCGGGGTGCATACGTTCGCAGCCGTCATTTGCGTGCGCGGGCCTGCTCTTGGCCTTGTTTTATGCTTGCACGCCGCCAACCCCTGCGCTCGGGAACTTCGGGACAGCCTTATCACAGCAAGTATACACGGCAAGGCGCTTCCAGGCCCATGGAATACCAAGCCCGTCTTATCCTGTACTTCTCGTGCCTCTCCGCCTCTCCAGGATGAAATGGCCGGGGAGAATGTGGGCGGCTTCTTATCCGGAGATGTCACCCTCTCCGCTCCGTTTCTGCATCCGCACCGACCCAGAGCGGATCGTGATGCTCCTTCGGCCCTTGGCTACTGCGGAGTTTCCGCTTCCACTCGCACCCGTGATGACCTTTTGGAGTGAAGCCCGCGGGTTGACGTCGCTTTCGGACGCTCTTCGACCTGGAGCTAGCAGTCCGCCGGGAGACTCTATGTTGACCTGATCTGGTTACTTGCCGGCTTGAAGTGTGACTGGCCAGGGAAGGATTGATTGATGCCGAGCTCCGCCCCTGCCATGGACTCTTGGAGCTCGCGTCTTTTCTTGGGACCTCGACAACACCATTGACAAGACAGTAGCATAGCGCTGTCCGCTGCTCGTTCAGCAGAGGCAGGTCGACTTTCATCCTTCCCGCGCTCGTTTCCTTCTCGTTCCACGCCAGCGCATTCATCTAGCGCATCAATGGAAGCCCAAGACGGCTTTCGGGTATCCCGATGACCTCATACGTACCCCAGCCTTAACCCGTGTTTATTCTTCTCCTCGTGTATATCCAACTCATTCAATTTCAACAGCACATACAGTCAATATGCCACTTGCAGTAGGTAACCTTGGCACACAAGAACTCCTCTCATAATGTCACCTTCCAAAACTAACCGCGAAATCACGAACAACAGGTAGTAACAGGAGCCGGCAGCGGTACAACCCTCCCTCATATCCACCCATACGCAATTCAAGAACTAATCAACACACTCCAGGCATCGGCCACGCCTTCGCGGAGATTCTAATCCAAGAGGTACACCCACCCCTCTCAACCCCCAGCACAAGCGACCCCCCAACCTAACCCCAAACCACAGGGCTACGAAGTCCACGCCGCCGACCACGAAGTCACCGAAAAGCTCCAAGCCCTCCAATGCCGCCTGCACAAACTCGACCTGCGCTCCCCGGACTCCATCACAGCCTTCGCGCAGCAACTCGAAGGCAAGCGCATCGACGTGCTCCTCAACGTAGCGGGCGTCATGGTGCCGCGGCAGCAAGACGCCCTCGACACCGTCACGCCCGAAACTTTGCAGCGCCTCTTCCAGACGAACGCGTTTGGCCCGCTGCTCCTCACGCAAGCGCTGCTGCCGAACTTGGTCGCGATGCCGGGGTCCGTGGTGGGGATTGTGAGTAGTCGTGTGGGCAGTATTGGGGATAATGAGAGTGGGGGGATCTATGCGTATCGCGCGAGTAAAGCGGCGGTGAATAGTATTGGCAAGAGCATGGCGAATGATTTGAAGGAGAAGGGGATTGTCGTGGCGCTGTTGCATCCGGGGTTTGTGAAGACGAATTTGAATACCGGGTCGGAGCATCATCCTGACAGCGTGGAGCCGGAGGAGGCGGCGAGGAAGTTGTGGGGCGTGTTGATGAGCAAGAGTATTGAGGACACGGGCAAGTTTTGGCATCGGGAGGGGAATGAGTTGCCTTGGTAGATGGCGAGGCGACAAAGATGGGGTGGAAAAGCATTGGTTATATCTGCTTTGCGAATTCTCCTCCAGTTGAGGGAGGTAACCAATCTATATGTCCAACATCACAACGCCTTCACCTCTTCCGCAGTCGGCGCCGGCGGCGGCGGCGGAGCCACAGAAGTAAACGCCTCCCTCTTCCCCCGTTCGAAACTCTTCATCGGCACCAGCCCATACTTCTCAAACATCGCCTTGTCCTGGTCCCACCCATTGCACTCCGTCGTCAACATCTTCTCCCCCGTAAACACCGCATTGGCGCCGGCAGAGAAGCACAGAATCTGCTCGGCTTCGCTCATCGTCGTTCGGCCTGCGGCGATGCGGATGATTGTCGACGGCATGACGAGGCGGGCAGTGGCGATGGTGCGTAGGACTGCGTCGAAGGGCATCGGTTTCCGCTGCGGGTCGTCGCCTAGGGGCGTTCCCTTGATGGGAACGAGGACGTTGACGGGGAAGGATTCCGGGTGTGAGGGGAGGGTGGAGACAGTGTAGAGCAGGCCAACGTGGTCCTCAGGCGTCTCGCCCAATCCCAGAATCCCCCCACTGCACACATTGATCCCCGCGTCTCGCACATGAGACAGCGTCTTCAGCCGCTCGTCGTAGGTGCGCGTAGTAATCACGCTGGGATAATGCTCCCGACTCGTATCCACATTGTGATTGTAAGCCGTGAGGCCGGCGTCCTTCAGCTCCGCCGCCTGCTGCCCGTCAATCATGCCGAGCGTCACGCAGCTCTCGAGTCCCAACGCCCGCACCCCCTCCACCATCGCCTTGATATTCTTCAGCCCGGTTTTGCGGCCGCGCATGTCGCGCCACGCGGCCCCCATGCAGAAGCGCGTGCTGCCGTTGTCTTTGGCTATGCGGGCGGCTTTGAGCACCTCGTCGACGGGACTCATTTTGGTGGCTTGCAGGCCGGTTTGGTAGCGCGAGGACTGCGCGCAGTAGGAGCAGTCTTCGCTGCAGCCGCCGGTTTTGATGTTCATGAGCGTGCACATTTGGACGGCGCCGGGGCGGTGGAAGCGGCGGTGGAGTGCGCCCTTGGGAGTGCGTTTAGTGAGATTCTCAATGGTGGAATGACTGGAAGCTACTCACTGCTTGGAAGGCCAGCTCCATGAGGGGCGTGTTGTAGATTTCTCGAATCTCATCTTTCGTCCAGTCGTGTCGGGGTGTGGCGGCATTGGTGGCATTGGTCAAGGCGCTTTCGAACGGCGGGCGAATGGGTAGATGGTTGGCAAGGACGGTGGAAGGATGGACATCGACGGGCGTGCTGAAGGCTCGGTGGAAGGTGGAGGTAATGGCACGAATGCTCTGGCTGGAGCCTCGAAGGGCCGGCAGACCGGCCAGCGTTAATGACATTGTCCTTCAAGTATGAATAGTATGATTGAGCACAAGGGGGAATCGAGAAGTCTCAACACATGTCCCTCAATGAGCTCGGCAAAACGTTCGGGCCATTGGGATGTGTAGGCTGTGGTGTGGGGTCCCCTTCCCCTCGGCACTTCAAATTGGCTTACGGCCGATCACGTAAGTTAGTTGAGACGAGTCCTGCCGATCATCATGCCTGGTTGGATCTACATCCGCCGCGTCTAGATCTATCGCAAATTCCCCAATACCTTCTCCTGCACACCCCGTATCGTCTCAGGACTCGTAGTCACCGCTGCCATCAAGTAGAGCACGTTGCCCAGCACGCGCGAATGAATGACCCAATCTTCACCACCCATCTCGGCGAACAGCCGGTCACGCAACGAAACAGCAGCCGTGGAAGAGTAGCCGGAGCCCTTGGGGTCTTTCAGCGAGATGGCCAGCACCGATCCAAGCGCAAAGACGTGGTCGACGAGTGGGTGCTGCGAGACGGATGTGACGAAGGCGTTGGTCCACATGCTCCAGACTCCATCCTCGCCGGCTGCACCAATACTCGCCTGTGGTTGCCAATCAGACCGGAAGCTGTTCCATGATCCACTGCTCTCGAGCTGCTTCATGGTGCTCAAACTCTCATTCGCAACTCCACAGCCTACTGCATGCGCCGTATAGCTGTGGCCATGTAAAAGTGCATCGCTCTTCTCGTCGCTCAGGAAGGCGTCGAAGATCGCTTGACTGGCAGTGGTGGTTGCGAGTGGTATCAGACCTCCTGTCAACAGTTTGGCGTTTACGACGATGTCGGGCTGTACGCCGAGGAAGCTGGCGGCGCTGAACCTCCCCAAACGGTAGATTCCCGTGAACACTTCGTCGAAGATGACGGGCATGCCCTGCCAATCATGATCATCGCGGGCTTGTCCGCTATGGCTTCCTGTGTTTTGACGAACAGCGTCGACCAGACAGGTTTGAAAGAGGGGATCTGCGAAGAGCATCCCTCCTGCACCAAGCAGCACCGGCTCGAGTATTAATGCGCCAAACTTCTTGCCCTGGTTCTGCAATGCAGAGATCTGCTTGTTGAAGTAGTCCGTGTAGAGCTTCCGGTCGGCCTCGCGGTGGTTGTAGTCAAACACCTGCTCAAGGCTATCGAGGTGTCGCGCTTCTCCGAGTTCTGCACTCAGCTCGGGCGGGACGTCAACGAGCCAACGACCCTCCACCAATTTGACTCGCGGAAAGTCGAACCAGTGACCGCGCCCTCGATACCATTCGACTTTGGTGTTGAACACACTCGGCTCGGAGCAATCCATAGTACCAATCGTGTCCCCGTGATAGCTGTTCGTGAAGCCAAGGATGAGAATGTCGTCGTCACTGGACCACTGCTTTCGCAAAGAACTCGCTCGCAGCGCCATCTTGATCGCAACCTCGATTCCCGTGCTACCATTGTCGGTGTAGAAAACTTTTTTAAGTCGCGGATTGCCTAGTCCTCTTATGAGGGTTTGCGCTAGACTGAGGGCTGGCTGATGGATGGCGCCTGCGAACATGACATGTCCATACCGGCCTGCAGCATGGGCGGCTGCAAGAGCCAATTGCGGATTGCCGTGTCCCAAGCCTTGAGTCCACCAAGATGCTGAGCCATCGAATGCTGGGCGTAATATGGGGGGTTGCGAAGCACCATCTCCCTTTTGCTGCAGTTCTTGCTGCTTGGAGTACGTCTGGAAGAAATCGCCGTACGCTGAATCCATAGCCACGATGGTGTTTTTAGAGCGTTCTCGATGCTGCATAAAGGGATGCCAGATAGCCTCGTCCGCTTGCTCGGGCATGTCTCTGAGATCGCGTATGCGCTGATCATGACTTTGCAAGAAGCTCTGCGTGAAGCCTGTAACGTCGCTGTTCCGGCTGATCTCCTCGTAATACGAGCGCATCGAGCGTACATCGTCCTCTTCGTTGGCTTTTCGCTCGGGCGGCGGATGAATCGCAAAGGTGTGCACATTGCGCTCCGCGAAGTACTCCTTCAGATATGAGTGATTCTCGAACCGCTCTCCTTCAAACAACGCCACAGACTGCACGTCGTAACCTCGGATGTGCAGAGATTCCCATGCCGAGATGGTCCCGCTGATCCCTCCGAGTTGGTGGTCCCCAAGTAGTAACACGGGCAGTCGAAGTGGGCGATAGAGATCTGCCTGGGAGCTACCGGAGGGTGCAGGGGAAAGGACACCGCCCGCAGTCTCAACGAGAGCAATGGCGTCCTTTCCGGCATTTGCGTAGGCTTGAAGTTCCTTGTGTATCGCAGCTTGGATTGAAGAATCGGAGATGGCCTACAGGGTCAGTTCGAGCTTTACGATGTTTTAGAGCTCCTCACTTACTTGTTTCGAGCCGCGAGCAGCTATATGAGGACTGACCGGCTCATCGAATTGATACAAGCATCTCGACTGGACATCCGGGTTGTACAAATGTATATGGCTGGAACAGATTAACATACGATCAACAGATGAATTGCCAGCGCCGCGCAAACTCACCGATCATCCGCTTCGTTCAATGGCCCGGTAGACACCGGCTTCAAGTAATGAACCTTTGCAAGTTCTCTCCCAAAAGCTTTGCACAGGACGTTTGCGAAGATCGTCTTGCCGACATTCGTGTTGGAGCCGTAGAGCTGCAGCACTCGCAGCTTCGGCCAGAGCGCCGAGCCTATGTGCTTCATCGCAGCGTGGTGAGCGAGAGGGAGAAGGCCTCGACCGTGCCTGTCGCACAACGTGTCGGCAATAAAATTAGTAACCAGGTTGGTTAGACTCAGGTACAAACGCCTAACGAAAATAGAGCGATCGCCCAGGCCCCAGCAAACAGCCGAATTCTACCGGGGAAAGCTCGAAAAGCATGTGCCAATGCTGTGGAGTGAATTCGATCTTCGAGTCTAGATTCTTCAAAAGTCGAGACGAGGCGCACATAGACGTCCTTGCTCTCGACCGCGCCCTTCATGGGGCTCCAAGACCCCATTGGAGTCCGCACGGCGTTGGAACGGAGGCGAGAAAAGTCCACGATCCGGCAGCTGTCGACCAACCCCGCCAGTTCGGTCGATTTCTCGTCCAATGACTTTCTCTCCCTCGCCACTTCTCCTGAGCTCCGACGGCGGTTTCTCGTAAGCACAACGTCGTCTTTTGATTCAATCTATTCCAGCGCGGTCTCGCTAATTGTTCCAAGGAACGGCTCGAGACTGGACCTTTGACAACCCATCTTGGAAGCGGAGGCTCACGATTATTAGATGGCAACTCTTCGTACGCAGAAGCTCTCGAGACCGAGATCGCGGCCTTCCACAATGCTCCATGCGGACTGCTCTGTAACTCGGGCTTCGATGCCAACGTGAGCATTTTCTCGTGTCTACCACAACCTGGTGATATCATCGCTTTCGACGAACTTATCCACGCAAGTGTCCATGATGGGATGCGACTTTCTCGAGCTGGTAAACGAATCAGTTTTCCGCACAACGATCTTAACCGGCTGGAAGAGATTTTGAGGCAGTGCTTAGCGGACGATGCGGATCTTCAGGCAGGCCGGAAGAACGTCTTCATTGCTGTCGAGGCTGTGTACAGTATGGACGGCGATGTGGCACCTCTAGCCGAAATCGTGGCCATGCTGTCGGCACTGCTTCCGCTCGGCGTCGGTCACCTCATTGTTGACGAGGCGCATTCTACCGGAATATTCGGCAGTCAAGGACGGGGTCTCGTCTGTGAGCTCGGGCTCGAAGACAAAGTCACCGTCCGATTGCACACCTTTGGGAAAGCGATGGCCTGCGGTGGCGCAATCCTCCTTTGCAGTCCCACGCTCCGACACTACTTTCTCAACTTCGCCAGGCCGCTGATATACACCACTTTCATGCCGTATCCATCGCTGGCCGCGATACATGCATCCTACTCTTTGCTTCAAGACGGGCACGCGGAGCCGCTCGTCGCCCATCTCCAAATGCTGATTGCATACCTCCAAGACTCTTTGATCCAACTGGTGGCTTCATTACGGCTACCACCTGAGATGCGACACTTGCTCCGAGTACCACGGACACGCTCAACATCGGCGATTTCCTACGTCATGTCTTCACAGCCGAAGACGTTGGCAGCATACTGTCGCAGCAAAGGATACGTGGTCCGAGCCATCGTGCCTCCGACAGTACCGGCCGGCACCGAGCGTTTGAGAATCTGCCTTCACGCGGGAAATACAGTAGAGCAAATAGACGGCTTCTTGCGTGCAATACATAGCTGGATTGATGAGCAGCGGAGGGAGGCAGAGCCGGAGTATGTAAAAGCGAGAATGTAGGTGACCTATCAGCTTAGCCATGTATTACACGAACGAGGCTGTCGACAGTCTTATTTCGCAAGTGCATACTTGGAACGGCGACTGAAAGTGCGTCATGTGAACGGAGTTTCTCCTACAAGGCTTCATGGCCAAGTGACTTCCGAAAGTGCGGACCTCCCACCGCCTCACTCAGAAACGGTCGACAATATACGATTGAAGTGTCCGGATTCGAGTGAGGTTTACAGTTTGGCCCCCACGGGGGCTTTGTCGAAAGTGATGGGGGAACGATGAACCGCAGCGATACTTCACAGCTGCACAGCCTCACCGCAGAAATGAGGCTGCGCTCGTCCATCCAGCGTACATTGTCGCAGTATTCGCAACGATAGGGTCCGCAATCCTGGACGCCATCGACTTTTTCGGTCGTTACCCGTGTGGCTCCGCGCAGTCTACTGGTCATGCGTGTGCTGACAATGCCATCCAATGTATTGGTTTGGCTCAGCCTTCCCGTCCGCACGCATCTCTCCTCAGATTCACTCAGGCAGACAAGATCACAAGCATGGCCGTAGTCTTCCTTAATCGCGCACGACGCCTCTTACTCAAGAGGCTTCGAATGGACCTGCTGCTCCCTCTTTTTTTGCCGCCATGATATAATATGGGCGAATGCCATGGCGCTGTCGGATATATCATCGCCTCCATACACCATAGGTCATATTTCGACATTGCACCGAGTCTTGCCAACCTCGAATACCGCTTCTCTGCCTGACAAACAAGATCCTCCGCCGCCTTATTGCGCAAACCACCGCGCTTGTCCAGTGCCCGGTACTCTGTTTCAACAAGTTCAGAAGCGGCGCATCAAACTCCGTCTTACGAACACGACACGAACACGACAATGTCCAGCATCATTTGACCACTAAAGGTTGGCGGAGAAGTCGAACCTCGCCTGCCGTACCCTGAGACACGTGCTGGATGGGTTATGAGAGCAATTACGATGATAGTAAACGAGCTGACTGGCCCTCCTCTGCCGGTGCCTGCTGCTTCGACGGTGATGGGAACATGGTGAATGACAAGGGCCAAATCGTGGCTGAGTCACACCTCGTTATCCCATTCTTGCAGTGGCAGCAGCAGCAGCAGCAGCATCAAACGCTTTCTCCAGGTGAGTGAGAGTGTGTTCGAGGTCGTGAGAGGAGACGTGCTCCTGAACATTTGCAGGCAGTTCCCGCCAGGACCCATCCCACATGCTTAGGCCGCGGCCTGGGCCATCTCGCCCGGACATGCGTGCTCTTCATTGCGGCCTGACCGGTCGCACCTCGGTGAAGAGAACAGAGCCGAGTCCGACAGGTCGGTTGTCATGCCTGATCGCCGCGTTTCATCCCCGCGCTAACCCTAACGCGGAAGGAACGAGCGCTATAACGACAGCAGTCGCACGTAAGCCGGCTGCGCCTCAGTCTTGGCACCAGCGTGACTGGCGCGCCGCCCCGCCACCGGCTTACTGGCTGCCTCAGGCTTTTCACGACCGCACCTCTCCCGTTGACACGTCTGGTCTGCACCCGCCCCAGGCATCACTTCTGGACTACCGCTACCACGCGCCTGAACTCACTAGTCCGGCACAGTTGCCACCACGCACGCGCAACGCGCAAGCCTCGAAAATCAGGGTTGACACGCCTTTTTGCCCCGGTTTCATTGCTCGTCTTGAGGACACTTATTCCGCCACCACCCCCATCCCAATCTCTTCTGTTCCCCCTCACGATCTGTCTCTGGTCGACACGCTCGCTCCTGGCCCGCTGCACCCGCCACACTTGTGCCTGATGACTTCTCCCGACCGACCTGATCTGCGCACTCCGCCAAGAAGTCCCCAGGCGGCAGGAATCAACGGGGCGCATTCTCGCAAGCGCTCTCACTCCATCATGGCCGGCGACGCTCCCCCGCATCTCCAAAGTGCGGGCAGTCGCGCCGGCTCAGTCGCATCGATGCAACAGCACTCGGGCGACGAGGATTCGCCGGTGACGCGAACGTTCAAGCGCACTGGGCCGCCGCCGATGAACGCGGATAACAAGTATATCTGCGATGTCGCCGGCGAGTGTCGCGACCTCGTGTTTGACCGCAAGTGTGAATGGGGGTGAGTTTGCGTGCCTCTTTCCCATCCGTCCGCATTCATCTGACTTCGCATCTTCAGGAAACACATGGACAAACACGACCGTCCGTACCGCTGCCAACATGAATCGTGCGCCAAGTTGCAAGGCTTCACCTACTCTGGCGGCCTACTGCGACACGAGCGAGAAGTGCACGGCAAGCACGGCGGCCCCCGGGCGCAGCTAATGTGTCCCTACGAGGACTGCAAGCGCCACGTCGGCAAAGGCTTCACCCGGAAGGAGAATCTCAACGAGCACATCCGCCGAGTGCACCAAAGCAAGGAGCACGTCCTCCAAGGTGTGCCGCAGCAGCAACAAGACGGCATCGACGTCTTCCCCGGTGCAGTCGCCCCTCCCGCTGAAATGGAAACCCCGGGCTCCGACGCGGTCTATGATGGCCGCGACGACCAAGTCTCGCCCGCCCGCAAGCGGATGCGAACGGCTGTGGAAGCTCACAACCATCAACCACACGAGCAGCAACAGCACGAGCATCAGCCGCCGCAGATATTCTCGGAAGAGGCCGAAATGCTCAAGCTGGAAGTCCAGCAGCTGCGCGATGTGCTTGCTGGGAGGGACTCGCAGATTATGCAACTGGAACTAAAGATGGAGGAGGAGCGCTTGAGTCGCGACGAGGAAATCAGAAGGCTGCAGGACGCTCTCAGACAGTTGGAAGCGCAGCAGCAGGTTCAGGCCCAGGAGCGCAAGGAACAACCGCAGGAACTGCAGAGTGAATTGCACGCTTAGGCCGCGGCATTTGTTCTCTGAGGCGTTTTGCGGGGTTTCTGGCATTTGCGGGCGGGGTGTGTGGTGACACCCATCTCATTATTTTCTTTTGAAGCTGGTGTTTAGAAGGAGCTGCAAGCCTGTACAATGATGATTCGTTCTTTTGTCATTCCACTATCCAATTTCTTCTGTCATACGATGATGTCTCCTCCCGCAATATCGCTCGACAAGTCGCAACTCCTTTGGAAGAAAATGACTTGCTATTCAGCGTGCAGCCCATGCCAATGTCGCCCATGTAGCCCCATTCAAATCGTACCTCGCCGCGCACCCTCCCAGGCATGGCAGACTCGAGACGTGTCACCAATGCTAGATGCCAGCATACACGCCATAAAGCAGCATAGCCAAAACCAACAGCAAAATGCAGTACCCAGGAACATCCCACCACCGTGTCTCACCCGACAAATCGAAGTTGGTGTTAATGAGGGTGGCAATCAAATCCGGCGCCCCCTGCTCGGGGAAATCCATAGCGAAAATGCCAAAATGCCTCTTCTCGCCCTCCGTGTCGGCGAGTGATCCCCGTAACCGCACGTTGATACCGTCCTGCCAGCGGAAAAGATGCCAGCCGCCCACTGCGATTTTCCGCGGCGGGAACTGGTAGTACAAATTGAGTTGGAACGCGGAGGTGAAGTTGATGAACCAATGGTCAGGGTCTGCACTGGCGGCCGCAAGGCGCATGAGCTCGGAGACATTGCCTCCCTTCATGGCAATAAAGTCCGGCAGAGACTGCGGCGTGACGAACGTGTAGTGGTCCTGGATAGTCACTTTGACGTCGTGGTGCGTGTAGATTGTGAAAGGTTTGCGGGGATTATCCATCCACCTGGTCACGTCGAGGCCGAAGGCGTGCAGGTTGGCGTCGACGTATCGACGGAAGAGTTGGATGCGGCCGCGCAGTTCGCCGAGCTTGGGGACGGTGTTGGCTGTTCGCCAGCGGTCGGGACGCGCGGCGAGATGGGAGGAGATGGCGTCTTCGAGGCGAATGGTGGAGCGTTGGTCCTCGCTTTCTTTTTTGATTTGCACGATTAGTGCTTCGGTGGGATGCTTTTCGAGCCATGCGTACAACGTTTCGAGGACGCTTTCGAATGTGAGGCCCAGAAAGGTCGGGCCGTGAACCATTTCCACGACATTGTTGCGGATGGTGCAGCGGAAGTCGAAGTATCGGATTCCAGCGTCTAGTTGGGCATGGTATGAAAGTGTTTGAGTCGAGATGAAAGGCCAGGAGCTGGTGAATGCGGAGCTATCGTGGGTCCCTGGGATAGTGAGCAATGATACGGGTGTGTCGTCGTCCAGAAGGCTCATCCAGCGGGGGCCTGTTGGTTTTTGAGGTCGTAGCCACGCCCAAGACCATTTAGACTGCGGAGTCGCTTTAACGACATCAATGTAGCCCTTCTCATCAATCCCGTTGCATTGCCTTGAAGTCCCGACATTTCCGAGTAATGCATCGGTCTCCATGTTGCTTGATCATGCTTGGTTCAACTCGCTCGACCATCTGCTCAAGTAACGTCTGCTGTCATCAGTTCATAACGACACATCCTGCAAAAACTTCACTTCCGGGTCACGGCTGTGATAGTTTGATTGGGCTCGAATAGAAATTGAGTGCCTGGTCAGAAGAGGTTGGATTGCTTATTCAACCCGACCCTCGAACATGTGATTGCGGGGGAAGCTTCCGGAGCGGCGCGCCTTAGCGTCCTTTGCTCGTGTCCACTTGCTTCATCCCACGTCCCTCAGGCCAACCTCACATTATCGTGCCCATTGAAAAGTCATCAGCATGTCGCGCTCGGCGCCGGCGAGTAGGCGAACAGCCAAGACCGAGTACATTGAAACCGTATGGCTCAATATCATCTACTCAAATTACCGTGCTTGCCTCACGTACTAATTCGACACGCGCAGGACACGGGCAACAAGATCTCCCGTCGAGCACATATCGAAGGCAAGCAGAATATCATGCTTGGCGGCAAGACTGTCATCATGTCCGGTGTCCATCTACGCGGCGATCTCTGCCGAAAGCCGGAGCCGGCTGCTGATGGGGAGAAGGAGAAGACGTCCGTCACGGCTATCAGCATTGGACGGTACCTATCAGTCCCGTCCACGCTTCCACCGCGTCTGCTAACGTTCTGTATCAGATCAACCATCATCGCTACGAACAGTATTATACGCCCACCCAACCGCCTGCACAAAGGCCAAATGACATACATCCCCATGCGCATCGGCGACAACGTCTTCATCGGTCCAAACTGCCATATCTCTTCGGCGAGCATCTCAAATCATGTCCATGTCGGTGCCAACTCAGTGCTGTCCTCTCTCTGCATCATCAAAGAGGGCAGCAAAGTTCTCCCCGGAACCGTGGTGCCGCCGAACATGACTATCCCCGCCGGCAGTATTGTTGGCGGACGGCCGGCCACAATTCTGGGGGAAGTTGGCGATGGGTGGGGTCAGGGCGGTGGTGGGGAGGGTGAGGAGTGGGTTGAAGGCGGAGACTTGCGAGCGCTGGTGAGGAGCATCAAGTGAGCAAGTGGCCTTTCGATCCACTTTCACGGGCATGCTTGATGAAGACGCCAGGCTCGTCTTCTTCCGACCACTGATAAACACGCCCTATCCTCGCAACCCGTGGGGATGTCAGACCATGGAACGCTTGGCTGAGATCCGCTCTCAGCGCAGAAATTTGAGCATCCCGGCAGATAATCTTCCGCAATCTGGAAGCGCCTCCCTTGGTCCTTTGGAACTCCATGTCGGCAGCATCCCGGTACACCGACAGCAATTCGCGCCAGCAATCCTGCAGATCCGCTCGCCCCGTCTGGCTCTTGTCGTCGAGCATGCCAGACTGTGGATCAGGTGCTAATTGCACGTCCAGAACCTCAAGGTTCTGAAGCCACCGGACGGGGCGGGTGTGGGTAGCGAAGGGAAAGATGGCGGTGTACGTGAATGAATGGACTGAAGATAGGAGCTCGGCCCACCTGCATCCGCTCGAGCTCCCTGATTGATAATCCCACCCGAAACGCCGGGTGATGGATTGTACAAGCAATGGGGCGCCTCGCTCGAAGTAGTCATACGTACCGTAAGCTGGTAGAAAGCTGCCTTCGTTCAAGCCCAGATGCTGCCACTCACGGAGAACGAGCAGGCAAGGACCATGCTTTGATCTCGTCAGCGCAGGACTCCGCAAGGCCGCCCCGACCGGCTTCGGCGTGACATGTTGTTCCTGTCGCAGCTCGAGCATTTGCAAATTCGTCATCGTCCACACCCAGTCACCGTCATGCGGGCGCCACTCGGTCGGGGACACCACGCTATGGAGCTCGTTGGGAGGAGCCATAATGACGACCCGCCCTGGATCGATGATGGAGAGTATGTACTGCCACAACGCTGCCGCTACGGCTGGACTTGGCCGTTTGCTGTGGCGGCGTCGCTGCTCTGGTGAGGCCTTCTCATTGCTTCGATAGGAGCGGTCGATAACCAGCACAAAGCTCTGAACCACAGGGGCGAGTTGTGCTGCTAGCACAAAGCCGCAGAAGTCCTCGATGGCAGAGGGGATCCACGGCTTGTAGTCAACCAAGCCATCTTGAGCGTCGGCGGATCTCGAAGTCGAGACATCTGCCCTTTTGTCCACTCGCTTGGCAACGCGGGGGATCTCCTCAGCCCACTGGCGTAAATCGAGTTGCAGACAAGCGGACGTGAATAACAAGGGTAGGACGATTCGTCGCCAGTTTTTCGAGACCACGGAGATGGTTTTAAGCGTTTGATTTGTGGATTTCGTTAGATCCAGACTGGGCTCTAGCCTCGCCTTGACGATGGACGGCGGAGTGGAGTCGCAGTACTCGAAGATCGACGCCCAGAGCTCTTCTGGCAGCTTCGGGGAGGCCGCGGGCGCAAGAGGCATCTTGATAAGGGGATCCAAGCGTACCCAGGTCTTTCACTGGCTCAGACATCCGCTCGAATCTTGGCATCAGGCTCGAGGTATGTAAATGGAACAAAGTTAGCGAGTGTGTATGTAGCAGGCCGAAATTCCCGAGGCCTAGAAGCTCAGCCGCGGTGCTAATGCACGATAGCTACCACCCATGCCACATTTAGGCCGTGCACAGCAGGTGATACTTTCGCAAGTATGCATGGTGTCACGACGTCTCCTGATGGTGGCGTCTAAACTCGGCGACACCGGGCGCTCCAAGGTAATTTGTGCTTTCTGACGCTTTATCTAGCCTTTCCCCCGCGACCAACTCCACGACACATCTCCTCCGTCTCCAACCAACAATCACAATGGCAGCCGACCAACAAATCACCCTAGCAGACAAGCTCGGAGCACTCCCAGTTGGCAGCCGGCTGCTCCTAGCCAGCACAACCCGACTGCTCTCCCGCCCCTTCTCCTCCGGCCCCCGCGCCAACACGCTCTTCAAAGACGTCATCTTCGCCGGCTTGCGGAAACAGCTCAGCACCATCACCACCGGCACCGCGCAATTCCTAGGCGGCACCACCGAAGCGGCCTACCTGGACTTCGCCAAGAAGCGCGGCTTCCAACCCGACACCGACGTGCTGGGCGACAACGGGCCGCGCCTCTTCTGGTTGGGCAGCAAGTCCGCGGAGAAGGTCGTGCTGTACTGCCATGGAGGCGGGTATGCCATGGCGGGGCACGCGGGGCACTTCGAGTGGTTGGTGGGCTTGCAGGAGCACCTGTCCAAGACGAAGAGCACGAGTGCGGTGGTGATTGGGTATACGTTGTCGCCGTATGGAAAGTATCCCACGCAGCTCAGACAGGCGGCCGAGGCTTTGCAACATCTTCTCAATCAGCAGAAGAAGCCGGGTGATGTAAGTGGATTTGATGGGCGGAGCTGGTTCGAGATTCGCAGGCTAATGTCACGACGTCTAGATCATCCTCGCCGGCGACTCGGCAGGCGGAAACATGATTTCCTCGTTGTTCTCGCACCTGCTTCACCCGCACCCGGAAGTCGAGCCGAAAATCACTCTCAATGAACCCTTACTCGCCGCCGTCTTCATCTCCCCGTGGACGAGTTGGCGCACAGACGACGATAGTGTGAAGCGCAACGCCACCAGCGACCTGGTGACGCCTGAAGCGGCCGTACGCTGGCGGACACTATTTCTAGGTACAGCTTTTCCCTCTGCAAATAACGGGAGACGTAACTGACACCACCATCAAGGCTCCGCTTCATACGACAACTACAACGAGCCCGTGCGCGGAGACGCAGAGTGGTTCAAAGGGCTGGACAACGTCGTCAAGGACATTCTCGTTTGGGGAGGCAGCGCCGAGATCCTCATCGACAGCATCGAGGCCTTCGCCAAGAAGCTGCAAGCCAGCCATCCCCGAACAGAACTCGTGGTCGAGGAGGGAGCGGCTCACGAAGACTTCATCATCAGCCTCTTCCTCGGCTACAAGAAGAAGGCGGCAGGCACGAAGGCGATTGAGGATTTCCTTGCCCCCAAGTTGTAGTTTTGCATTTATTAGCCAGCATCCCTTGTGAACTCGCGACTCGTTGACTCCCCGACCAAAGCAAAAAGTGTCCCCAAAAAATAATGCTGCGGACGCGGTTCGAACGCGCGCGGGTCTCCCCAGTAGAGTTTCATAGCCATGATGTCTGCCCCAACCGATAAAGAACCAGTCGGAAAGCAATTGCTTAAATCTACCGCCTTAGACCACTCGGCCACCGCAGCTTACAAGGAAGACAGAGAGTGCGAGTGCGGACGGAAATTCTCGTCACACCAAAACTCAAAGTTTCAAGCGGCAACTCCCGCGTTTAAATTATGTAGTATCGGCTTGGCGGAGCCGTGGTTTTGCCGGTCTCTCGTGTGGTATTGCAGTGGTGTGAGAAGAAGAGATGTTGTTACAAAGGGCTTAATTGGTATTTGACATCCCTTGAAGCATTGAGAAGTAGACACTCACCCACCCCTCCACTTCCCAAACCTCTTCCACTCCTCATACACCCCCTTCAACACCGCCCTCTCATTATTGTTCATCGCCGCGCTCAAAGCCTTCAGCCCCTCTGAATCGCTACTCTCAACAGCATCAATAACCGCCCACAGCCCTGGCGTCAGTGCTTCTCTCACACCCTCGCCCAGCGACCCAGCCAGCACCAAATCGCAGTAATGATGCAGGATGTACTGCACGAAACGGCCCACAAGCGCTTGTTCTTTGCGTGACTCGTCGACTAATCCCGCCGCGGCAGCGGTACTTCGCGAGGAGCGACGGAGGTGCGCGGGCTCGCAGAAAAGGACGAGGAGTCTTGAAAGGGCGTGAGCGTGGGTTTGATTGAACGGCGTGCTGCCCTTCGGTCGATTCGTGCTGGCGCTCGAGTTGTCGAAGAGTGCGGAAAGGAGGGAGTTGAAGACGAGGTTCACGAGATGGTAGCGGCCGTGCAGTCGAGCTCGATGGCCTAGTAGCAAAACGGAGACGAGACGGCAGACTTCGAAGAATGCTAAAGAGCGTCCTGGTCCGGCGTTCGGGAGCTTGGGAAGGCTGGCGAGGACGATTTCGATGGAGTGCTGGTTGACGAGGAAGGGCTTCTCCTTCAAGATCGTCAGAATGCACGCTACTGCTCTTTTGCGTACCACCAAGTCGCCATCGTTGTTGACTGCGGTGTCGACTAGTTCTGGTAGTAGCCGGGATAGAGCAGCCTCGGTGCTCCCAACGGAGTCTTCTTTTGTGAGTTTGGAGATGCACGAATGGAGCAGAAGGAGGTTGGATCGTGTCGAGGCTTCGTGGTCCAGTAGCTCGGGAACGAGGGCCAGTCTTTGATACCCGGACATGCGCTTCAGATCCTTTTCAAACGCCTCAATCACCTGCTGCATTTTGACGGGCGGAAGTTGAAACTCGGGCAGCTGTAGTGCAACGGTGGCATCAAGAATGCCATAGTCGGGATGGTCGCAATTCCTGAGCAAAAGGTAACAGCTGACAACGGCACCGGTGACTGCAGATGGCGCAGACTTCTTGAACCCATCGTGATACTGCGTACATTCCGCGCCGAGGTGTTTGATGACAGAAGCGAGGCGGGGCACGAACGGCTGCACGAACTTGGAAGTCGACTCCCACAGATCCAGAAGGAGTGTAAGGGTTCGAGACAGGCTTGTCAATCTCATCGCCACCTCCAGATAATTTGTAGAAGTGCGTTCAAGGGTGGCCATGAGCGAGAGCGTTTCGCCGAGATCACTTGTAAATGCCTTTGTAATTCGAACCATCTCCTCAAGACTCATGTCTTCCAAAGTCCGATGCGGGAGTGAGTGCAAGACGTCGGGCTTGCAGCCGGATTCGAGCCCTTGCATGATAGACCTGCTCACTACCAGAACAGCGGTATGGCTAGAAAGGTCTTGACTCCGGCCAACGTAGCTTAGCATGGCTTGCGCCTCCCGAGACAGATTTTCGACAATCGAGCGTCCATTACCTTGTTGATTGGCAACGACCTGGTTCATGACCAGCAGGGTGACGTGCTCCAGCAGATCCAGCGTCTCTTGTTGTTGGAATATGGGCCCAGGGACCGTCTCCGTCTCGATGTATTCAGTTGCAGACATCTGAAGAGCTAGTTGCCAGATGATTGAAGGATCCGTCAGAAGCTGCGCAGTCGGGGTTGGTCTCGACAACAGTTTGATAATTACACCCAGTAGCAGCTGCAAATTATCGTCTGTGGAGGCGCTGCTCGTCCGACCGGCTACGCACAGCTCGTCAAGCAGCCTTTTGCGATGCATCTCATCGATGATGTCGATAGGAACATTGAGAAGAGCATCCAGTAGGTCCAGCTCCTGTTCTATGTCCTCAATAGGCGACGCTGCATGGTTAGACCTCACGGTTCCCTCCAGCTCTGCTGCTGTTCCTGTACCTCTGTCGACCAAGTGTAGTATTGTTCCAGCATGTTCGCCGTCAACGGCAACGGCAGCCAGCTTTTTCAAAACGGCCAAGACCTGCTCCTGGTCTTGCGCGCTTGATTCAGGCATGCATCTCGTGACCAACTCACGACGCATGTCCTCATCAATGATCGCAAGCAAGTGCGGATAGTGCAAGAGCGGCGTGGAATGACCTGACTCTAGCTTGTCCAGCGTATGGTCGACAATGGCGCTGAACGCAGACTCGCTGCTATCGTGAGATCGCGCGGAATCGGCCACAGCAGACCACATGCCAGCAACGAAGCTTACTGCCTCATTTGCTTGCTGTTTCAGTTTTGTATCACTACCATCATCCCTGGCCCACTGAGCAAGCTGTAGTGCATGCGTTACCGTGTCGCTCGTCGTCCACTGACACAGCTTTTGAGACACGACCGAAGCATCCGTTTGCGTTGCCGCCCAGGACGGAAACCACAGCTCGAATGTCTTCAGCAACAATGCCCAGATCCGCGGTTGGTGAGCTGCATGCGAGACTCTTTCTTCTTCAGGATCATCCTGTTCAGCACAGACTTGGAACAGCAGAACGAATAACTCGCCGCATCTAGGCTCCAGGCGTATTCGAAGCGATTCGCTGCGGATATTGCCTAACAGCGCGTTGAGTATGATGATGCTTGGGCCAAAGTCCGACGAGTTGGCCCCGTCTTTGACCCTCGTGGAAAGGCGGTTGAAGAGCTCCAAAAGTGCTTGTTCAGGCATGCCATCCTCGGCGTTGTCCTGGAAGTCTCGGTCCAATTCCGTCCATATGAGACTGTCCTCATGTTGTCGAAGCTGGTTGGACCACAGATCTAGGAAATCGCTCATCTTGCGAGACTTCGCGAAAGCCTGCATGATTGGCATCGCAATTCGTTGTTTCCACATTTGTTGTGTGGCCTTGAAATCGCAGACTGAGTCAATACTGCTAGTATCCTGATCCTTCTCTCTCGCTTCGAGCGCTTGAAGATCGGCGCAGGCAGCAGAAAGCGCGTTGAAAAGCCGATTCGCCAAATCAGGTCGGCAGAACAATTCAGCATCCAGCTCCACTATCTGCGCAACGAGGTTCCAGTCGACTTTATTGTCGCCGTGGTATGGAGTTTGTTTCCCAGTCGCAAGATTCGAGGCAGAATTGACAATTCCTTCCAACATCGCTCTTGAAAGAGATGCACGGGCACCCGTTACTTTCAACATATCAACCAGAACTGCGTTGCGCCTCACGACATCAGAAGCGTCTTGGTTGCACTTTTGCAAAGCCGCAAAGACCGCTTCAATCCACGGCTGCTCCTTTGTGCGTTGTCGTGGCGTCGAAAGTGAAACCGATCGCAATGCAATATCCAGGAGTGCCGGGAGTGCTTCGAGCATTAACAGTCCGTCTGCGTCGTCGCTGTCCATCCGCACTTTGTACAATTCGAGTGCAGCCTCGAGGCTCATATGGTGAGGGAGGAGTGTTCCAGTCCGCTGCGGATGGGTTGCGGCGGCGCTGCCACTTTGAAAGAAGGCCGATCTCGCAGGCATGAATACGTGTCTGGCGAGCAGAGTCTGAAGCGTGTCGACATGATCGCCGGTATCGTTTTCTTCTTCAATACGGCGTTTGCGGTTCACAGCACGTGCATCACCGCAGTTGAGGCTCAGCGCGAGTAAACGGGCTCCTGGAGCAAGGCAGACTTTCGCAAACGCTGCATGCTCCTCTTCTGCTGGTTTCCTGACGTTCCAGAGGTAGAATGCAGGCTCTAGTACGGCATCCACGGCTTGAATCCAGCTCTTTTTCTTCTGCGTTGCTGCTATGTGAGCAGCATTGTCCAGCCAAAGGCCGAGTAAGGAGGCTGCGATGGATGCGGATAAACTCAGTGCTGCCTTGACATGGAGGCCATCTGGAGAAGCGGCAACGCTGATCAAGAAGCTGACCAAAGCCGTTATGGCTTCAACCACGCTTCGGGGGCATTCCGGGTTCTGCAAGGCTGCGCCGACTGTGTCGAAGAAGTTCGTCAATCCAAGCAGAGATGCCAGACGCTGTGGGGAGAGAAGCCGTATGGTGAAGAGTAGCTCGTTCCAGGTCTTCGGGTTGCTTCGTGCTTCTTGGGATGCCTTTAATTTCTCCAGTAGCCATCTTGCGATCATCTCCGCTCTCGCGCTGTGAGTGCATAGTTGATGTACAACGCTCAATTGCGTTTCCAGGTCCGGAAGGACGTCCAGATCCTTGAGCCGGTCCAGCGACGGCTGTTCGTCCGTCAACAAGCCACCCATGATTCCGTCTACCGCTGCCTGAATCCGTCTTCCGTCTTGCCTCGTCCTAAAAACTGAACGACGAAACATCTCTCTCCATGAAATTTAGGATTTTGATATGGAGGGTGGAGCATAGAGTTTTCTGCCGGCGGGATGCTCCCGGCTAGCTTCCAGGAACGAGCGCGGAGCTTGCTGGAGCTGCTTTTTGACGAACCAACCCGCCTCCTGCAGTCTCCATCACCTCTGCGCAATACACAACATTTGGAATCGTGTGGACAACAAAGACATCTACAACACGCATCATGGCCGACTCGAAGACACCCAACCCCCTCAATCCGCCCCCGAGCCGAACACACAGGCCAATGAGCGAGGCATTGCTCAACGAGAAGGTACGTCTCACCCTTCAATGGCCACCAGAACGAGCGGCGTGCCATCTGTGTATTCTCGGTGTATCATGAGTTGATGGAGCGGCGAACGTAGTGGGACCACTGCCTCAGCACCCTCCTTATCCGAAGTACCCTCGGCGCATCCTTTGGCGTCATATTCTCCGTCCTCCTGTTCAAGCGAAGATCATGGCCGGTGTGGGCAGGCCTGGGATTTGGAGCGGGAAGAGCATGGGAGGAATGTGACAGTGTAAGTCGCGTACAGCCGTCCGGGGCCCGCAGATCAGCGCGTACCAGTGCCATCGGCGGAACTGCCAAGTTTCAGAGCACACATGACTGACGATCGCATGACAGAGCTTCAAGCGAGCAACTGCGGCTTCAAAAGATGGGCTGCGTGTGATGCGCCCGTGAAAGAGGAAGCGTCGCACATACGTGCACCATGGGCTGCGCATGCTGGCGAGGGACCGGGTGGGATTCGCACCGGCGACTTCCTGAAGCCGCTTGGAGCAGAGCAGATGGGCAATGCTGGGGATACAGGACATGAAATGGACCAGGCGTACCGGTACATAATGCACGATGGGCTAGGCATACAACTCAGCAACCTTTGTACCTGTACCGCGCCATTTCCCAACCTGCTCCCACTCGGCGATAGTACCTTCTTCGGCAGGCCAAGCGTCCTGTTTGAGGCGTGTAGAGTCTCCACGATCACCTGCTTGCGCAACTTGCCTCGCATTCGTTTAGACAGCAGCCTTCGCGGCGCCCAGCACCGTGATCAGCCCGAGGAGATAAACGTTGCGCCCCAAGTTCCAAGACACCAGCTCTTCCACCCACGTCGATGCCGAGAAGACGCAGTCTTATAAATCAATGTCCTTCGCGTTCACCACCCTCCCACATCCGGCGAGCATAGGCGTAAGTCCGTTGCAAAGGTCGTATGCAGTGAACAATGTCACGCTCCGCAACAACCACGCCTCCGAAACCGGCAAGCGTAGCGCCGCTAAACTCCAGCAAAGTCCGAAGCCTTCTCGACACATATCTCGACTTCCTCGCCGCGACCAAACAAGAAATCGACGCTTCCAACCCACCATACAAACCCCTTCCGAAAATCGACAGCCAACGATCCAACGAACGACTACACATCATGTCGAGAACAGCGCCGATTTTCCACGCCTCCAACCCGGCTTCTCCCCTGGCTTACACCGCCAAGCAGACAGCCTTATTCCTGCTGGATTATCAAGGCTTCTGTCTTGCGTATTTCGACGACAAGGGAGCAGCGGTGGTGAGGAAAGCGAAAATCATGCGCGACTGGGCTTTCAAGCAGGGCATCATGGTGGTGCATTCCGTCGTCGACGTCTCCGCCCAACCACCAGCGACTTGCAAAGGCGCGGAGCGGATCAAAGGCATGCTCGAACAGGTTGCGCAGGATAAGGAGGCAGCGGAGGAAGCGGCGGAGATTGCATTTGCGAAGCGCGCCGGGGAGTACATTGTGCTCAAGCATCCCGGCGTCGTGTCTGGACTGAAGTCGAAAGGGGCGAGGGAACTGCTGGAGGAGCATGGGATTCGGAATTTGATTCTGTGTGGGATTTCAACGTCTGGGGCGGTTCTGCGCACGGCTGTGCCGGCTACGGACGATGGCTTTGTCGTCAGTGTGATTGAGGATGCGTGCGCCGATCGGACGGCGGAGGTGCATGAAGCTGTGATGAAGAATTTGCTTCCGTCGAGGGCGCACGTTGCTACTGCGGAGGAGTTCATCAAAGCATGGGAAGACGGACAGCGATGAGGTTGGACTTTTGATTGAGTACAGGGTATGGATTTATGAAGGTGGGTTCTAACCACCACACGACAAACACATCGCCATCACTCGCGAGCCGGCACTCACACGCCACCGACAAGCAGCGGACTCGCAGGGTACAGCGCCATACCAGTCCAGTATGGCCGATCCTCCTCAGTGCCATAGTCATACATCTGAAGCGCCTTCCCGCTCTGGAGATCCATCACATTAATCACATTGAGGAAAGTCAACATGTATGCCGTGGCGCCATATACAGCAGTGTCCGTGGCGCCTGCCAGAGTGGAATTGAATTCAATGATGTTCTCGAGCTTCCCGGCCGCATCGATCTCGCCGATGTAGGGGGATCCAGCGTTGATGTTGTAGTAGAGGTCCGTGGTCGGAGACCAGACGGTCCAGCAGCTCGCCGCGAACTTCGACGAGTTGGATGTTGCGATTTCGGTGAATTTGTTGGTGGTGAAGTCCAAGGACAGCAGCGAGCCAGCAAAGGCGACATCCGAAACGAACATGTGGCCGGGTTCAGAGCCGCTCCAAGAGAAGCCGAAGACGCCACCCAGCGGCGCGATTTGGTTGTCTGTGTAGTTCTTGGAGATGTCGCCATTGGAATCAACGTCGAAGACGTCGATGTGGCCGAGGCCGGTGGTCCCCGCTCCCTTGAACGTGGACACAAGCTTGGAGGAATTGGTGGCGAATTGAATGTCGGAGCCTGAGCCGCTGTAACCGCCCAGTTGGCCCGGTGTGGTGGCATTGTAGCCGAAGCTGCGAAGGCCAACGCCGTCTGGGACAAGGCCGTGTTTGTGTGAGACGGAATAGCAGGACACGCCGTTCGTGGCACCACCGTTAAGCACACAAGCTGTTGACTGGGTCAGTGTTTTGTTCGTGAAAGTAGATGGTGTCGAGATCATCGTACCTTTCTTATGTTTCGTGGAATACGCGACCGACACGGGGAATTCGCCGTAGGTGGGTACTGGCTTGCCCACCATCTTCAGCTTCAGAGGATCTTTGTGGTCAATCTTGAACATCACCAAGGTGTCAGAACCGGAGTTGACAGTGAAAAGAAACTAGCATCATGTCAGTCTCGGAGGTATTTCGAGGTAATCGTGCCGCGAAACGTACCCGATCCCCGATCGTCACGGCGTTCTGGGATTGCAGTGGGTCAATGGCAGTCGGCTTCAATCCGTTGGTATAATTCTGCGTCTGCAGCCCCACTCCACCGGTGCTGAAGGAAGCGGTGGTGTCGGTGAGCATTCCATTTGAGCCCACTTCGACGGCAACAACGCTACTGCCTGCGGGGTCAACGCGCAGGAAGTAGGCGGCTTTGGGGCTGGAGTGTGCACTCCATCCCTTGGTCGAGGACGGGATAGCAGCGGCCAAGGCCGGGAGGATGGCCAAAACACTGTTGATCTTCATGGTGGCTACTGTCGATAGAAAAGGAAAAGAGAGCAAGAAAGTTGATGACAGAAAACCTACTTATAGACGAGCGCGTACGCAGCCTTTTTATAAGTCAGCAGGAAGCCCGGATGCTCGCGAGATACATCACCAATCCGCCCTTGACGTCGCACCAAAGAGCGTGTCCGTGCCACTTCACCCGGACTGGTGCCTACTTTGATGGAATCAAGATACGATCTTGGATGAAGCGGACCCATACGCCGAGTCGTTGATCCCACCTTGTGGGACAAGACTAGTGAAGCGAATGCGAGTATACGGTGGAAAGCGGGCCTTGCGGGCGAGCGTGAGAGAGAAAGTGCACGCAAGCACGTGGCGGCTCTGCCGGCGATGTCCAGCATTTCGGCCTCTATCCACCTCGGGCTCGATGCGGGCACTTACAATTGGCCTGCATGACGAAAGCAATGTTGCTGCGCCGCGCGTGCTACGGTACCGCCCTTCTCATCGGCCAATGCACCTCCGCGCCCCCGCCGTAGTCACCAATAGTATAGGCAACGAGCCCATATGTATGCACGCGGCCCTGAGTCAGCGGCTAAGACGGGTGCTGCTCACTAGGGCAGCTGACTGTACTTACTGATTCGGCAAAAGCCAGTGGGCACAAGTCCCGCAGATCTGCCCATGTGTCGCGTTGTTGACCCCTGAGGAAACGTGGGTTCTGACGTTTGTTCCGGTTCGAGTAATAGATTCCAAAGAATTCGCTCACCGGGTTTCTTGCTCTGATCCTGCTCCAAACGCCGCGTGTTGACTCGCACACATCGACGCTTGCCGTCTCAAAGAGCTGCGAAAGTGAATAGCGTCTATTTTGAGATGATTGGGTGGATATTGAGCGGTACGGGCTGCGTGGTGTGTTGGACCTGACGTTGTGTGAGGTTGTTTGTAATATTCGGTACGGGCCGGCTGTTGCGCGGCCTTCCGCGCATCGCCGTAATAGGCAAGTACATACACTTCACGATGTTGCGCCGGGGACCCCATTACGCATGCAGCAGCGGGCAGGCACAGTAAGCGATCAGCCGATGCTCCGGTCCGCTCAATAGCTTCGACTACATTCTGGTCTTGCACGATGAGAATGAAGCTCCGGGGGGTTCCCGGCAGTGGAGAAGAGCGCCACGAACTCTGCTTCAGCCTCATTCGCATACTGTTGACGCTAAAGACATGAAGATGCTACAGTTCACACTCGTCAATTTGTTCCTTTTCCGTCTCCACCAAGGCCGTTTCTCCTAAACACTCATGTTGTCCTGATACCGCTTACTCCTTCCTCATATCCACCACGCACCGAATGCAGTTGCCGTCGTGCATGTCGTGGAAGGCCTGGTTGATACCCGACAGGTTCTGGCGATGCGTGATGAACTCGTCGACCTTCAGCTTGCCGGCCTCGTAGTCCTCGATCAGCTCGCCCATTTGCGAGCGACCCTTGACGCCGCCAAAGGCACAGCCCTTCCACACACGGCCGGTGACGAGTTGGAATGCTATTGACAAATCAGCAAAAGACTCAAGGACGGATCGGAGCAAATGAGGACATACGTCGAGTGGAAATCTCCTGTCCAGCCGCCGCAACACCAATGACGATGCTCTCGCCCCAACCCTTGTGGCAAGCCTCCAGCGCAGACCTCATAACATGCACATTGCCCGTGCAGTCAAAGGTGTAGTCGCACCCACCGTCGGTCATATCCTGCAGCCTCGTCTGGATATTCTCCCCCTCCTTGAGATCCTTGCTGGGATTCACAAAGTCCGTAGCACCAAACTTCTCACCCCACACTTTCTTTTCCGGGTTGACATCAACCAAGATAATCTTCGCCGCCTTCCTCGCCTTGGCGCCCTGGATGACACTGAGACCAACACAGCCGCCACCAAAGACAGCCACGTTCGCTCCCTCTTCAATACCGTTCTTGCCGGCAGTGATGGTCGCCGCGCCGTAGCCGGTGGTGATACCGCAGCCGAGCAGACAGGTGCGGTCCATGGGAGCCTTGGGGTTGACGGCGACGCAGGAGATGTCGGCGACAACGGTGTACTGCGAGAAGGTGGAGGTGCCCATGAAGTGCAGGAGGTCTTTGCCCTTGCACTTGAAGCGCGACGTGCCGTCGGGCATCACGCCTTTGCCCTGCGTGGCGCGGATTTTGCCGCACAGGTTCGTCTTGCCGGATTTGCAGAACTTGCACTCCTTGCACTCGGGGGTGCTACGTAGTCCGTCTTGTCAGTTGTGTCTTCTTCCTCTTCCTCTCCGTAAAAGAGACAACTCACTATAGAGCAACAACAGTATCCCCCTTCTTGACACTGGTAACGCCTTCGCCCACGCTCTCCACAATGCCAGCACCTTCGTGCCCCGCAATGACGGGAAAGGCGCCCTCGGGGTCCTTGCCGCTCAGCATGTAGGCATCGGTATGGCAGACACCAGTGTAGAAGACCTGGATGCGGACCTCGTGGGCCTTGGGCGGCGCGACCTCGACATCCTCAATGACGAGGTCCTTGCCGGCCTCCCAGGCCACAGCGGCCTTGCAGGTGATTGTTTTGCCTTCGGTGGAGGACATTGTGAGTGGTCGTGGATGGAAGTAGTCGAAGAGACAGGAAAGGAGTGAAGGGGATAGAGTGAAAGAAGATGAAACAAAGCTCGTCCTGAGTCCAGATTTCCGCGTGCTCGAGATTTGGAAGGCAACGCCGTGGTCCCTTTATGTTTTTCGTCATAGTGGGGTCATGGCGGAGGGGCTTGAGGCTCTGGATGGGCCGAATGGGGCAACTTTGCCATTGCTGCGGATTGCGGCGCTGCCTCCGGGAGTCGGGGGCCGGATTGGGTCATGATATCCTGCGATGGTGCTGGAGAGACGCAGAGGAGGGAAGTGTGGTCGGAATAAGCATAGGGCGGCGGATAACTGCCATTGACGAATGGCAGCAGTCAATGGAACGAGTGCGGGAGGAGAAGACAGCCTGTCATATGGAGGCCACCAACCACACCGTAACCTTGATGGAGAGATCAAAGACAAAACCGACGCGAACGCAGTACGAGTCACCTGATACATACACCCCTACTTAGCCCAGAAGAAACGCCGGCTACGACTGTACAGCTCCATGCAGCAGGATACGATTGCACGCGCAACAGCATCCCGCCCCTCACACGTGTATCCTCACCCCCACCTCCTTCCATCTATTCCTCCTTTTTGAACCACCCAACCTCTGCTCTCTCGTCATCAGAGACGGGGCCCAGGGTAGTCTGTGTTCGCCCAGATCGAATCTAGCCGCATGTAGCCTTGCTGGTGGACGAGTTCATGAGCAGGGCAACAATCAGACCGTAGAGACCTGTGTGTCACGAATTAGCTTCCCGCCTTGTTCCAAGCTCCTCACTCTCCTCAAAACGTACCCAAGACTTCGGCGAAAATGAGAATCAAAATCATTCCGACGAATAATCGAGGTTGCTGTGCAGTTCCACGAACACCAGCATCACCCACAATACCAATCGCGAACCCAGCTGCCAGACCAGCCAGGCCGACAGACAAGCCAGCACCGAGCTGAACGAACCCGGTGAACAAAGGAAGCTGCTGCTCCAAGCTGTTGGAGATGAGGACGCTGACGACCAGGCCGTAAATGGCAATGATACCAGCCATAATGACGGGAATGATGTCTGCGGAGTTGAGTCAAAATATGCTCGAGACTTCGATTGCGCAACGATCTTGCGGCTATCGGCGCGGGATTCACATACTCTTGACAATGAGGTCAGGTCGGAGGACACCCATGGCCGAGATACCGACGCCGGCCTTTGCGGTACCGTAGGCAGCACCGAAGCAGGTGAAGACGATGGCGCTCGTGCAACCCATCACTCCGAAGAATGGCTGTTCCGTGGGGTTAGCAGGGTTTCGTTCTAATTGTACTAATGCTCTTGTGCTTCTCCGTCTCCGACTGTGGTCCTCGATGTCGGTGTTGAGGATCGATGGAGATGGAGGGGGTCGGAGGCGGCAAAAGCGCGCAGGAGGACTCTTCGTATTGAATCGGGTGACTTACGGCATACACGGGACTGTGAGTGAGGATATATCAGCATTGGATGGCGTGAGTGTGATGATGGATAAGACATCAACAGTGAGTTCTGTTGTGTTTCCACCAGCCCATCCCCAAGGCAAGGACGGGCTCCTGACATGCACTCACCAAAGATCGGAACTCATGATGGCGGCGGGGTTGTGGAGATGTCAAGCTGCGACTACGTCTGGTGGACACTGGATCGAAGCTTGCGAGATGATTGAGGCGATGGAGGATGGGCGTTGTACTGCTTTTGAAGGTGAGGTGGTGACGAGGTGGACGAGGGAGAGAACGCCAGCTTCGCCATTTTTGCCAAGCTTGGAGTGGGTCCGTGCACGCTGCACGTTCACGACGACTCTTCAAAAAAAAGTTTCGCACCGCACTTCCAGCTTCCCTCCTCTGCGCTCCAATCAATACAAGGCCGTGAACCCCCAGCTATTCGGGCGAGCCTTCCACCCGCCATCAATACCATTCCCACCACCTCCACCCCAACATTCACCCACCACCGCCGCCGAAAATGTCGAACGAAAGCGCCGCCTGGCCCGTCGCCGACCAAGCCATGACGCAGGAAATCCTGGATCTCGTGCAGCAGGCCTCGCATTACCGCCAACTCAAGAAGGGCGCCAACGAAGCGACCAAGACGCTCAACAGAGGCATCAGCGAGATTGTCATTTTGGCTGCCGACACTGCTCCTTTGGCCATTCTGCTGCATTTGCCGTTGCTGTGCGAGGACAAGAACACACCTTATGTGAGTTTGGAATGAAAGCGCATACAATGGAGAAGCATATACTGACGAACCGACTGCAGGTGTACGTTCCGAGCAAGATGGCGCTGGGGAGGGCGTGCGGTGTAAGCCGCGCCGTCATTTCCTGCAGCATCATCACCAACGAGGCCAGCGATCTCATGAACCAGATTCGTGCGCTGAAGGACAAGGTGGAGAGGTTGATGATCTAAGATGCGCTCTGGGCGCCTAATTGGAGGGAAGATGGGAGGCGATGTTGCAACAGAGAGGGATTCTGAGATACTCGGGCACTTCGCTCCGTAGGTACTTTTCCACAGTTCAAATCCAACCACATTTCAAACAAGTCAGTGATTTCTGCTTTCTTCAGCTCTTGTTTGTATCACTCGTCGAATCGATGCGTCTCCAGTCTTCGCATGGACATTCTGGAACTCTCAAGGACCGCCTGACGGGCTCTTTCAATTCATTGATCGCATGCTTTCGTGCTGCCGCGCCCGCCTACTTAATGTGTTCTTGCTCCCCTCTTCCTCTTCCGACCTATTCTTATCACTCACGCCCAGCACAATCTCAGCCGCAGCTGGTATAACCATCGAACCTCCAATTATATCAACCCATCAACCACAGCTATACAATCGTCCTTCATCACGACCATTCACCGCCAATCACCGCTGGCGCGGAACTCTTTTTCATCCACGACACTTCCGTGCACGTGTTCATTCACTCCCGTTTGCGGACGGCACGTGATTGACGCCCGCGCGTTGCTGCCTGCGACTGGTGTCACCGCACGTGAGCCCCCGCCACTTGTTTATACCTTTACTTTCCTCCTTTCCCCCTCCTTAAGATCTTCATCCTCCTTCACACACGCCTCACTCCGAGATGGAGTCCGACAAGCCGCCCACCTTCGTCAACATGGCGGACCACGACACGATACTCATAAAGCCCACTTCAGAAGAACTTCACTCATGCGGTGGCGACGACCGCAAGGCTATCATGGCGTCTTCGGAAGATCTTCACACAACTGCATGCTTTGGAGAATTGAATAAGGTGAGTCCTATCATCTACTGCATGCCGGGATATGGCTGATACTTGTGGAAGTCCAAAGCGACTACGCTCCCAACGGAGATACTGGACAGGATCTCGGAAAGCATCGTGACTTTCGCCGAACCGATCGAGTTCGCGCCGGCAGACTTCAACAGAACGGTATTTTTCACAATGTCCATGACTCCTTACCAACACCAGCATGTGCTACGCTTCCGCAATGACATACTTCCATCGCTCAAGGCACTCCGGGTGTGCAAAGCCTGGTACAAGAATGGCAAGCAGGCGTACTCTCCAGGAATGGTTTCCGTTTCTCGAGCCACCATGGCTGGGAAGCTTTGTTGCAATTCCTTCAACTCATCGGTCCGGACAATCGATCTCTGTTGCGCGATATCACTATCTGTCATCCGGCTATGGCCAACAAGGGCAGCATTTCGTGGGACAATTCGGGGATTTTCAACTTCCATCTCGGGCCATTTGGTCTAACTGAACCGGGCGATGGCAAGGTAATTAAGTGGTTGGATGCAAACGTCAACAATCTTCCGGCCGGAATACCAGGAGAGCCAAGCTGGTCTCATTCAACGTTGCTCACCAAGCTCTCCACCATCCGACACTATGGTGACACACCCTATGAGCTGGATGTCTTCCATGCAGCATTCGGCTATGTTCGAAGGATCACAGGGCTGCAGTCGCTCCGTCTCTTGGTCTACGATGATGGGCGTCGGCCTGCAAGCGAGCCTTCCCTCGTGTGGAGGGAGACTGATCAATTCGCCGATCATCCCATCAACCAAGTCAACTGGAGCAGCCAACCGAATCTCACGGTCTCCCTCGTCAACCTCATTCCTCGTGACCACAGGTCCGGAAAGCCTGTGACACTGGAAGCTACGCTCAAATTCGACCGGGTGGTGGCACAAAGTACCGATAGTTCGATGTGGTCTTATTTCGGCACGACTGAAAATGCCAAAGCCGTCTTCGACCAAGCACGCGCTCAGGGTTGGGAGGTTGTGGAGATGAAACACGCATCATGCGGGAGCTACCCGGTGAAAGCCTACCATACAGAGGAGACTTCTGTCCACGAATCTGCAGAGGGGGTTGGCGATGCTGTCATGGAGGAAGGCACCCTGGACGAAGATCATCTCCACAGGACTGCCGAGAGGTTTGACAATGCCACCGGAGACGAAGGAACCGTGAATGCAGATCCACTTCGCAAACCTGCAGAGGGGTGTAGCAGCGGTATCGAGGAGGGAGACAGCACGCATGAGGATCCATTCTGCGGGTGTGCAGAAGGGTTCGGCAGCTTCCTGGAAGACCCCGTCGACGGACATCCACATCGCGACGGCATCTGCCTGTCGTGCACGGAGGTTCGCCGGTACTATGCGCATCAGAACCGCATGCTGTTTGTGGAATGTGTGCAGGACATGCAACGATATTTCAGTCGAGCGGAAGATTGGGTCAGAACTTCCTTTCGTGGACTGCTAACATCAGTGTGCGTTGCATGCTGGCTGCAAGATCCAGCCTACACGACATTGGATCTTATTCCCACATGCACATGCGAAGACGGAGGAACGTACATTGCGGAAGATTGGACCACCGACGTGAAAATCGTCTGCGGTCTCGGAGATCCCATCTTCGTGGACGTGGCTAAGAAGTCTGGCGAGAATGTGACGTGGGTGGAGCTTATCAGGTGAAAGGGTCGTAGCAGATGTGGCATGGCAGCTCAACGCGGATGTTACGCAAGGGGCATTGACGCAAGACACAGGGGAGGTACAGAACAGCAGCACTCCCCAGCAAAGGCAGCTACAATAAGAATGGAGGTAGCAACAGCTGGAGTGCTACTGATGCATGAATAGAGATAGTTTAGGTAGCACAGTCAATGCTGGAAGTACAAGTGTTTCATTGAATACTATCTGAATTCAAAAGAGTGACTTCGGTCAGTGTGACGCGTGCAAGCATGCTGCTTCAAGGCAGTGGTATTGTGGCAGAACGCAGCAAGAAAAGCAAAGCAGTAGCGGTAATGTAACAGAACGCAGCAATTAGAAGGAGTGCTAGGCCATGAGCCAAGGCAATCTTCGCAGAACGCAGCGAAGACCGTAGTATCCGTAATGTCGAAGAACGCAGCAAATCAAAGGAGTGGCAAGCCGTGTGCCAGAGCACTTTCCGAAGTCGATGGGGTAAAGACAGGACGAGCAGGCGAGCAGCTCAAAGGTAGAACATGGTGTCGTCTAGATTCGCATGCCAAGGATTGCGGCGCGTGAATCCATACTTCATCGGGGGGTTCAGCTGGCCGGGATACGCCGCATTGTGGTACGGGCGCCAGTTGGGGTCGTCGCGGAGCTCGTCTTTGACCATGTCGTTGTACTGTGTTGGCGTCTGGTCCTGGCGTCTCTCAGCTGGCCGATACAATCCCGAGGCTTGGTCGTTCTGGTTGGTGAGCCATGGGCGGAGATATGCGCGGCCTCTATCGCACAGACGGTCGGCGTAGTAGGCTGGGGCACAGTAGGAGACGGCAGTGGTCGAGCGAGCGTAGACGTGGCACAGTCTGTTCGTCTAAGGTAAAAGTCAGTGAGGCTCTGTCATGAAGGTGGCATTGGTTTTGCACATACCACATCTTGAAGCTGTGGGGTGGACAGATTCATCTCGTTGCGAAGCACGAAGTAGTGAGCTGAGCGCCCGGTCCCCTGGATTGGGCAGTGAGACTGCAGGTAGAAGTCGAAGCTGTGTGGATGCGTGATGGTGCTGTCCACCACGAAGCCTGGCATGACATTTCCCTGTCCGTTCCGCTCTTGGATTGAATCACGTGGGTTGTTCTGCTCCCTTGGGTAGAAGCGAGTGTTGTGTCGCTTTCCAACCACAACGTAGGTGAGCTTGAAGTTTTCATTGCGGCCAGTGTTGTCTTCAAACTTCTCGTCCTCGCCTTTCTTGTGAGTTGCTGGCGGCCATGGATTTCTGGATGCGTCCAACGAGCGAGACTGGTTCGGGTGTGGCTGGACAGTCATAGCGGGAGTGAGACTGCCGAGCGACGTCTGCTGCATTCCCGGTCGGCAACCATTCGCCTCCCAGGCGAGGTACTCGGCAGCCCAGTTGAACCCTTTCTGGATTTGGGGCAGTTCGTACGTGCGGAGCTTCTCGTATTGTGACTCGCTCACTCCGTCTCGATAGAAAAGCATTCGGGTCGGAAGTTTGTCCCCATTCTTCTTGGCCCAGTCGATGAGACGCTCTTTCACCATGTCGCCCAACTCCACAATGTCCTCTTTCCGCGCTCGCTGTAGGCGCATTGAGCCTGGAAAGTGGGTGAAGTTGTTGTCCACACTCCCGACAACCGCTGCAATCGATGGAGTACCCGGAGAAGCACCGGCACCTGGGTGTGTGACATCGGCGCCGATCACGATGGTATCTGCGACCTTGTTGTGTCTGAGATCCGCAAAGGCACCCTCTTCGAGGGCATGATTGGTGCCGCCACGTTTCAGATTGTACTTCATCGCCATGTTGGCAGCGCACTGAACATTGAAGTTCCTGCGCTTCCGGCAGAGGACAGTGTGAGCCCCAAGCTTAAGATCTGCTACGCGCTTGATGCGCGAATAGACCTCGAAATCCTTCTCCTTCAGGACGACGGTCAGTGTTTGGCCGGGGGACATTGCGAGGCCTCGTTCAAAAATGTCTTTTAAGACCCTCTCGTAGTCCAAAACACCGCGCATCGTGAGCGTGTTCGAGCCAGTATTCCATTTGACCGCACTTCCATCTTTTGGCGGATTCAAGCCGAGTGTCTGCAGTGCTTCACCCATTTGCTTGCGAAACTCGTCCATGAATTTGTGCAAATCCATGAGCTCTTGTCTCGTCATCTGGGAATTTGGGAACAGATCGAGGATGGGTAGCCCGTTCGGAACCATGCCATTGCATGCGAAGAACTTCGCTCCGTTTCCGAGGTTCCAACTTGCACTCTCCTGCTTGAAACGCGCGACTTGCAAATCTACTCCGTTGCTTTTGGACTTTGCTGTGCGGTATTGTATCCTTGGAGTTGTCAACCAGACGGCATCCACTTTGATCAGCTGAGTGCCCGTAGCCATCCCGAATTGCCTGGTCTGTCTCATTGTTAGTCCATGTTGCGTTAAGCATCCTTGGGAGGGGCTTACCAATTCTGTCTGCATTGGAGGGTCGAGACCCAACATCATGAGTCCCTCATTCAAGATCTTGGACTGATTATCCTGTGGATTCATCTGCGCTGTCTTGATCATATTCGAGGTTTCGAACCCAGTGAGATCTCCGTGCCATGGTTGGTTTGGCTCTACAACGAGAACGCTGGCAGGATACCACTCCGTGTCGGTCGAGTCGGGACGAGAGTCAGTGGCCACTTGCACGGCAAAAGACCTGCTCTCCAGCCTCAGTGGATTGAGTGGATAGCATGGGTGAGCTCGTTGAGTCTGAGTCGGCTTTGTGAACAGCTGCTGCACGGTGGGTAAAGCGTTGGCGGCTGCATCTCTGGCTTGAGACTCGTCGCATGCCTGGACCGCGATGAGCTTCCCGATCTTCTTCACGAACCTGACATCTTCTCTCGGGCTCCAACCAGCTCTGATGCTGTAGTTGATCCGCACTTTGACCCCTTTCAGAGCTCGCCTCAGAATCCCCAAGCCACGACCGGACTTTTCGATGATGTATTGAAGGCTGAGGCCAGGCTTGAAGAATGGAGAGTGAGCCGTGTTGATGCACATGAGCAATTGGTCCACGCCGGGCCGGACAGATAGTGAGAAGCCAGGAACGACATCGATACAGTCGGAGAGCTTGCGCGGCTTGTTCATCATGTAGCCTTTGTTGCCACTCGCGAAAGTGATGTTGTCGCGTTGGCGAGCGTAGGCGGTCAGGAAAGCGTTCAGCCCACGCAACAGGACAGCCGAATCGTTCTCTCCCGGCACGGCAGGCGAAGGAAGTTGAACGAGCTCGGTCATGGACATGTTGCAGCTGATGGGGTTCCACTCATAGAAGTTGACTTCTTCCACAAGCAACACTTTTCCGCACTCGTTCTGGTACCGGATGCGAGGCTGAGAGTCAACCAGAATTGGGCCTTGATGATTTCCGTCCTCGCGGGAACTCGGGAAGATGCGGTCGCGAGACCAGATCAAATCGCCGTCAGTGACCCATTTGGTAATGTTGGCATTGAGTGCATGACCAGTAGTCCTGGCGATGGATTCAATGACCGCATTTTTGTCCGCAAAGCGCTTGACGAGGATGTTCGGGGCACTTGTGGGTTTGGCGCGAATCATCTCGACTTTGTACACGTACATCTTGGCTGGTAAACTGATGTTCATGTAGTTCGTGACGATCTCACGCTTGCTTTGCCCCGAGGCGAAAGTGCGGCGCAATGCAAGTTCGTTGATGATATCCTGCTCTTTTTTCGAACCTTTGCTCTCCTTGAAGCGTTTGTCGATGAAAGCATCGATCTTCCTGATGGCCTCATTGCCGTCCACAGACAATGCCGCATGCCCGGACGTGCTCGTATTGGATTCTGTCCCGCCCTTCGTCCCTGCTACTTGTTTCGTTGGGGTAACCCCAGGTCCCCGAGAAATGGAGGTTGAGGTGTTCAACAACGAATTCGACGGCAATGCAGAAGGGGGTGCAACCTGTCCGCGGGCAGTGCGAGCAGGATTGGACGTAGGTCGATTCTCTCCCTGCAAAGAGAGTGTACCCATGGCAGGCAATGTACCTTGGCCTTCGTGAGGTTGGAAGTGTGTCGGCGCGGCAGTGGAAGGCGTGAGAGTTGATGATCCAGCACGCTTCGGGCCGATGAACTGGGTGTTGACATTTGTTGTGGCACTCCTCGATGGCCCAGCATACTCAGTCTCGGGTTGGCTTTGCAGATGTAGCATGCTCATACCATCGTCAATCTCGGTGCTCGGAGCAGCTGAAGTCGTCGTTGGCGCCTCCGCTGAAGGCATTGCAGTCGATGAGGTGGCGGTCTTCGGACTGGCACTGGATGGCCCGGCAATGTGCGGAGCGGCGCTACCCTGGACGGCTCTGGATGGACCGGAAGCGGATTGAGGTGCGGCGCTCGATGCTTCGAGAATTGACGATTTGTCGAGCGGAGCACCGTTGCCATTGCCTGATTTCAACCCGTCATTCCCAGACGATGACACAGGAGCAGAAGCGCCAGCTGTCGGATCCACGGCTTGCGTATCGCTTCCGCCCCTCTCCTCTGGAAGACTGGCGATTCTGAGAGCAGTCTCCAGCATATCTTTCGTGATTGAGATGCCTCGAAACTTGCTCTCCTCTTTCGCAGTCTTCGCGCCGCTAATTTGAGCATTGGACGGGGTCTTGTTGCTCCGAGTGAGTGGGAATACAGCTTTAGCTTCCGTCAGAAGGGCAATGCAAGTACTCCTTTGCGTGAGATCGATTTCCGTTGTGTCAACTGGACCTGGCTTGAAGCTCCACCAGCGTTTGTCGGCGTGAGGTGCCTTGCCATCTTTGTCGATGTGGGTTTGACCGTCGAGAGGAAATTCGATGAGTGGATGTTCCATCTGGCATTTGGCGAAGTCGTCGTCATGCCTGGAGAGTTGAGCAGACGCAGAGTCCGAGCATCTGACACAGAGGACCATGCGCTCCCTTGAAGAAGCCATGATCGTCCGGTCGATACCGGGTGGGGGAGAGGGTGAGGTTGACCAATCCAAGGGGGAGAATTATGCTTGAAGATTGAAACTCCAAATGGTAAAAGCGTTGGTTGGTGAAGAAGAGAAGTGGAAGAATGAGGTTTCTGATCGCCCTTATATGCTCTGATGAGATGTGCGTTTGTCGCTCGGCTTCATAGATGACGGGCAGGAGATCGACAAGCGGGCGGACAAGCAGGCCGACAAGCAGGCCGACAAGCAGGCCGACAAGCAGTATGACCAGCATCGCATCGCAAACATTTCCAAATGTTCCCAAGTGACATGCAAGCCGTCAAAAAAATTCAGCAGCAAGCTTTCAACTAGCTTGGAAAGGCTGGAGATTGCCGTTGACACAAACACGAGGTTTGTCCAATGGCTGCGGAAAGGGATTGCCTGGAGCTTGTTGCTCGCGACTGGACATCCTGGTTGTTTGAAAGGGTACAAACACTCGCAACCAATCTGACAAAGGTCAGAAGTTTCTTGAAGACATGCTGCGGGCGACCAGCTGTATTTGCCTACGTGAGGTTAGCAAACATGTTACACCTGTCAGGAAGCAAGCGTACTTCGCAATACAAGCGCTGAAAGGAGGACTCTCACGGTTGAAAGCAGTCAGCAATCACGATACGTAATTCGAACGGACATGGAATTCGGTCGAAACGGTGCAGGCTAGGCATCGAGGCGTGCGAACTGCATGGGCGGCCACGGAAGATCCTCATATAGGAAAGTCGGCCGTTGAGGTGATAGTCTCAATATGTCGTAATCAAGTCAGGCTCAAATGACCAATGGTCCAGTACGATGCAGACCCAAACTGCCCCGACTGCCTCTCCCCTCCTCCTCTTCACCTCCGTCCTCTTCCGCCTCTTCATCACTGTCAGGCCGAATCTCCCACCCAACCTTCCTCCTCAACAGCCGATTTTCCAGTCTTAGACCCTTCACCTCCGCCCTCCATCCACCTTCATCGGCCTCTTTCTCCCTTGCCCGCACCGCTTCCCGACACGTTTCGCTCACTTTGCTCAGTCCCTCTTGCCATTTTTGGTGGATCAATTGCGCTTCTAGTGTCTCGTACCGCGCATCTTGCAATAGTTTCGTGTAATGTCTGTGCAGGTCTGTGATATACGTTTGCTGTGTGTAGGTGTAGTTGCGAACGAGACGCATGGTGTCCGACAGGGTGGAATTGAAGAGGTTGTGGAGGCTTTGGAAGGAGACAAGTGTGCTTTCGAGAGAGGCTATTCGTTGCTGGGAGGCGTTGAGCTCGGAGCGGAGTTGAGCAATGGTGTGTGCTGTTCCAGTCAGCCAACGATCAACAAAGCTTGCGCGTGCAGCATCACGTACATTGGTCCTGGTCTTCGCTCTGCACGCCATTCTCCAGATGCTGCTGCGCTTGGGGCGCTGTGGGCGGGAGCCCGCCCATCCCTTCTACCCAACGCAGACCCTCCCTCAAGCCCTCGAAGTCTTCGCGATTTTGTTGTAGCCACCCGCTCAAAACATCCAGGTTCTGCATGAGGGCTTGCATGTCTGCGAAATGGCCGGCGGAGGGCATGACTCCGCCTCCAGCGCTCGCGGTGTTCGATGGGAGGGCCGTGTATGGGCCGTTGGTGCCGGGCGAGGGCGGGACATTGGACGCCATATTCGATCAGTGTGTGAGACGCAGACGGTGTAACGCATGGAGGGACAAGAATGCATTTGGTGAGGAGCGGTTAAGGTACCGCGAGGTCAAGCTTCCGGGCAGCGCCCGCTAGCGTCGGCTCTGCTGAAACTCTAATACAACCAGGCACTGCACTCTATCAATCCGCCGCCACCTTTGCCGTCTTTGAATATCATCATGTCGATAGTCCTTCGCAATTTCACCCATGCCCGCCCTTAGTCCATCCCTCTTTGTCCGACCATCTCATCGGTGGCGGGAACGCCGGCCAGATCTTCTCGTACGCGAGCGTCCCCATGCCGAAGAAAGCGTTTTCATGCGTGCGAGCATAGTTCCGTATCTTTGGGTTGTCGCTCATGGATTCCTCGCCATCATCGCCAACGTTCGAAGTTGCCGGCTCGCTGCCCTTGCGCGACCGGTGGCGTTGCATCGGCTGCAAGTTTTCCTTGGTTCTCGCGGCCTTTGGTGGCGCCTTGTGCTGCACGACTTCCTTGGCCTTTTGTACTTCGGTCGAAGCTCTTCTGTAGCGTCGCAGCGAAGATATCCTTTGCGCCCACCTTTCTACCGATCCTCCTTCTACGTGTCCTTCCGATGTATCCTCTTGTGATTCTCGAGGTGGTGTAGCGCGCCGACCATTTTCCATTGCTTTCACGAGCTCCCTCACCTCCTCCTCGATCTTCTTCATGGACTCTTCGGTGACCTCATTGGAGTCGTCAGGGTGAGAAGACAGGAAGTGCTTGATGTTGGGCCACTTAGTATCACCGAAGGTCTCGTCATCGTCCTTCAGCAAGGGGGACGGCGGTGGCTCCGGGCGTGCGCGGTTGGCGCTCGAGTCCGAGGTAGGCACTCGACCAGGGGCGTCGTTTGTGGATGGAGGCATTTGAGGCGTTTCCCGATGACTGAGATAGCCTTTCTGTCTGGTGGGTTTGGTAGACGCGGTCTCAGTGTCGGATTCTTCGTCTTCCGTTTGACGTGACGGCTTCGTTATATAGTTGGCAGACCTCGCTGTTCGAGGTGGCGACGTTAGCCTTGTTAACAGGCGGTCGTACTCGATTACATAGTCCGACATTGTGTTATAAAGGTGAAGTTGTGAAAGAGAAGTTGTGAAAGTACGCGTTTGCAGTGATTCAAAGGCTAAAATACAGGCTGAAACGATGGAACAAACGACGAGTTCACATGTGCGAAGGGGACTCCATCAAATGAACGACGGTGAATGTGATCTTGTCACCAAAGCAGCAAACGTCACTCACCCAGGGCTTCATTCCGCTCTTGCTCCGTCAGTGTCACCGCGCCGCTTCGCCTGTGCTTGCGATCTTTCTTGTACTCCTCCACCATGGACTCCCTGCGCTCTTGCTGCTCTCCTTGAGACGGCTGCGCTCCTGACCCAGGAGGAAGGCCGGCGGGGTTGCGTGAGCTGGTCACTCCTGGCGGACGATTCTGATTTGCTGGTGGCACATCTTCGGGCGCCACGACCAATGTTTCAAGCTCGGTGTTCCCAGCCTCAGAGAATTCAATGACCGTCTCAGGTGATGACGTCTCAGTCGATGAGGTCTGGAGGGGAGATAGCGTTCCGGTCACTGCTGGGCTCTCAATGCGTACTCGACGCTCGCTTGTGCTGCTGCCATGGCGGGCCATGGGAGGTCGCAGCCCAAGTTGCTCGTTCAGGTGAGCTCGTTGCTCAGCGGCATCTTCGATTCCGATAGACGGTCGTTTGAGGATAGACTTCTTGGGGCGCGGAATGCTGCTCTTCGCCGGAAGGCTCTGCGTGGCATCTGCGGAGGACTCCGCCTTCGACTCGTGCGGATCTTTGGGGTAGTTCCAGAAGTGGCCGGCGAAGATGCTCCCGGCGGCTCCTACGCTGCCATACTTGGTTTTCCGCCCTTTGTCTTCTTCGGTGTTCGTCTGCTGTCCATCTTCAGGCTCGTCTTCGAGGCCAGGCTCAGGGACATAGTAGTCAGGCATTGCGCCATACATGAGTGCTTCATTGATCCCATCCATGTCCTCTGCCCAATCTTCTGTCTGACTTGGTCTCCGATGACCACGACGCCGCCGATCTGCGTTTGATACACTCTCCAGTGTTCTCGTGGGACTGACGGCCTCTCTCAAAGTCACACTTCGGAACACAGGTGTGCCGCTCGTGATCCCTAGAGACGCAGTCGATTTCGGGCTGAGTGGGCTCTACCCACTGACAGTCCTACCGCTCTCCGACTTGAGTTTCAGAGACATGACTCTCGCGCGCTCGGACGAGCTCGTTGACAGCGTTCCAAAGCTGCGTTCGGAGCCAGCGGACGTCGCTCGAGGACGCATGAACTCGCCAAAAACTAGACTGTCGTCGCCGCTGGAGGCATTTTCAACTTTGTGGGTGAGATTGTGAAGGACTCTCTCGGCAATGTTTTCGTACTGGTCCAATGGCTCGGTCCTCGGAGGCTTCATTCTGGGCTTCGGTCCGAAGTAGCGTTCGTGAACACGACTGTCATGAATGGCGAGGTCTTCCTGCAACATTGATGTTGGAACTTTGTATGTAGGGTCCTCGGCTTGGGTATCGAGTGTAGGAAGGGATGTCTGTGAGAGCGGCGCTCCAGGTCTGTATCGTGATCTGATCTTGGCGTAGACGTCTATTGGCTTGTAAGGGCCTGGCTCAGGGGGTGCGGTTGCTGCTGTCTGAGTTGATGTTGGCTCAGGCATCGGCGCGAATTCGATTTTTTCGGACTTGCGTGCTGATGCTTGAGAGCGCATCCCGACACTTGAAGAGCGGCTGGGTTTTCGAGCGGCAGACGTTCTTTTCGCCGATTCGTCGTCCGTCAGGCCGTACAGAGAATCCGGATCAGTATTTGCATCCGACGAGGATCGCTCAGAGCGTTGAACGTTCGTTGGATGCGGCCAATTTCCACCAATGTGTCCCTGACGAGGATGCCCTGAGTCGGTAGGAGCCAAATACACTGATTCAATTCTCTTCTTTGGTATCTCAGGGGAGTCAGGAGTAACGGGCTTGGGCGGAACTTGACTCGACGGTGATCGTTTCTTGTCCTTCAAAAGGCGCATCGCAGGACCATCGGGAGGATCTCCAAACCTAAGCGCGGTCGGAGAGGTCTGCAATACCTCATTATCCACTTGGGTTTCGGTCTGCGCCATGGGTGGAGGTAGTTGCAAGAGACCTGGCTTTGGTCTGCGGGTTGCTGAAGGGGGTGTCCACGTGTATGCATCTATTGCACCATTCCATGGCTCGCGCGGAGACTCGAGTCTTCCTGACGTCCTCCTCAGCCGGCCCTGACGAGAACGCACCCCAGGATCCGACCCCCTTCTTTGGCTTTGCTGCGCGGCAGCCACGCTATCTCTTCGTTCCTCGGAAGCGGTTTGCACCGGGCGCTTGCCCTCGCGTTTCCAGCCATGCGGCATCTGTTCTTCCTGGGGATACGTTGGCTGCAATGGGCGAGGTGCAACATTCTCCCATAGCTGTTTGATCTGGGAGACGTCGCTGTGTCTTCGTACTTGTGGTATGAGTTGCCGCTTGTGCTGTTGCTCACTTCGCGGAGTGCTCGGGGCCGCAAGCTCGAATATCTGGGGCTTCGTGGGCGTGCTCTGACCCATCGAGCTGATATACGCATCTTCCAGTTTCTGAATGGTTGTATCGAGCGCAGAATCTGGGACATCAGGTGGTATGAGAGATTCCAATGGAGTCGAAGCAACAGCCCTCGATCTTGGCCAAGCTTCGCAGAGCGGCAGGACGGGGAACATGATCCGGGATAGGCTGCTCATCCCACGCCCGAGAAACATTGTCGGATCAGGATCAGTAGACACCGTAGATTTGTAGACCGCACATCCATCTACCCTCGTGGATGTGCGAACTTGCTCTGACGGCTTCTCTGCCATGGTCAGACAACGCCCGTTCACCACACGAAAGTTCGGGTAGTGGTTGACGCACGACCGCACTCGGTTGGAGTGGCGTTCACCACCAACGACACGATCATGAGCGTCGCCCAACGATAGGAGCGCTTCGCACGCATTCGCCGTATCGGGAGAAACATTGTCAGCTTCCATTCCGTCAGTAGAGCTCTTAGGCATATCATTCTGCTGGGCAGTCCCGTCGAGTGCGATCAAAAGTAGAGTTTCGCCTGCCTCCAAAGTATCGGGGCTAACCTGTCTGCCCATAGAAGCTGTTTCATACTCGGAACCGGTTTGAGTTGGAACGTCTCTTAGTGCAGCGTCGGCGTCCATCACTGAAAGTAGCGCTTCGCAAGCCTGCAAGGTTCCGGGACTGACACGGCGGATTGAGGATGCATCACCGGGAGAGTACGGATGCTCTGATTGGCATTCTCCTGTGTTCAGGAGCTCCGTAGGATGCGGAATCGGAATGGACGGCGGAGAGTTCGGCGGAGAGAACGCAGGGTCGATTTCAAGTGCTCCAGGAGGTGGTAGTGGCACCTTCTTCGGCGAACGGCGGATAGATATTCTCTTCCTCCTTTTCCGCGGCGATATGCGTAATGCTGAGATATGCTGGTCATCGTTGTCGTCGAGCACGAACGCAGGAGCCATGTCGTACGGACACGGCAATGTTGTCGGGTCGGAGTCTGTGTCAAGAAATAAGGCCTTCCATCTTTGCGGAAGACTACCGGTTTCCGGCAGTTCGATGAGAGTGGTGTCATCTTCGTCCGGCTCGCTCAGATCTTCGGTCAATTGTGAAGCGATGCTGGTCGCAGACATGCCAGTATTGAGCATCACGAGAGCTTCGGCAGCTTCCTCTTGAGCAGCTGCCTCGTCTTCACCAGGCTCGTCCAAAAGCGTAGGAGACGGGGGTGTCACGATCGTGGTAGGAGGGAGCGGCGGACTCGGAGCAGGGAGGAAGACTTCTTCGCCCACGCGATCAATGATTCGACGGGTTGCGCTCACAAGTCGTTTGCGAAGAGTAGATGCCAGCGCGAAACTCAGACTTCCGTACAGTGAAGGTCTTTTGCCATGGTGCTCAGAAGGTACATCGCGCATGGGAGAGTCAATGTTGGCAGCCCCTGCATTCGTGCTGCCTTGCTCGTGCGGGATGTTGGAAGCGTCCTGGCGTCGATCATCGCAGCATAATGGGGTCATGCTCGTAGCTGTTGAAGGGGAGCAAGTGTCTCCCGTGACGGCCGGAAACGTGTATGGCGATGCGAGCGCCAGCGGATTGAGAGCCAGGGATATTCCAGGGCTCGGGAAACCTGTCTGTGAATGCTGGTGATTCTGCAGTCGCTAACAGGTACTCGTCGAGAAGTGCTCCATAAGCTGTTTACCCCCTGTTGGAGTAGGAGGTGACCGTGTAAAGTAAAACAGAGTTGAGGTGCTGCGTCTTTGAGATGAGATGAGCAGCATCAACAATTTCACAGGGAAACCACCGCAGCGCTCTTGCTGGTCTTCCAACTCTGTGCACTTCTTACCGAGAAGCCGCGATTCACTCAGTAGTGACTGCCAAATCATCAAACGACAGATTCCATTTCTCCAGGCTGAATATGCTCACTTGTCGACAAACACAAACCGCCTCTCCACCTCGCGAGGCGCCTCATCTTCCTGAAAGATCAACTTGACATAGACATTCTCGCTATGCTTTCCCTCTTTCCAAGCCTCGCTGACATCCGCCTTGTAAAACGTAGTAGTGTCGGGATACATGGCCAGCACGCTCTTCCCTTTCGGCAGCTCGCCCAGTCCGTCATTGCCCTCTGGAATCTTAATAAGCTGCGAGACAGATGCCCTTTGCGGAGGAGGCAGTGCCGAGCCCGAGGTATCAGCGTCTTGCACTTCGTAGCGCCGCTGCTTGCCCTCGCCGATGACAGCGGTGACTTTGCACAATATGCCTTCGCCCTCCACCGCATCGGCGCCGACTGCAGGTCTGCTGGCGGAGGAGTGGCGGCAAAATACTATTTCTCCTTTGGTCAGGACCAGACGGTTGGATCTGCTGCCGAGAGCGGAGCCGAAAGCGGATGCTTTGCTTGCGCTTCCGACCACGCCGTCGTTGCTAGATGCCACGCTTTCCGCTCCGTCCTCGAGCTTGACTGAAGCCTCTCTAGTCGCGGCAACACTGCCTGCTCTGGAGCCTTTGTCCTTCCCGAGACCGATTCGAATTCGGGGACTGGCAACTTCTTCGACAACGTCGTCCGCAGCGCTCTTGGCGCCTTTCTTAGTCGGACGAGCAAGTTTCCCAGAAGTAGTAGTTCCGTTCGCTTTCTCGCTCGCCTCTCGGAGTCCAGCGAGGATATTCAGGGAGTCCAGAAGATTCATGTCGTTGCTTTTGCCCTCGATGATGTGCTGGACCTCCTCACATAGCTTGACATTTTCTCTGTAGAGCTTCTCGAGACGCTCGTCGAGTGAGGCACTTGCAAGTTTGCCGTCGCTGAGTAGTGCAGCCTGCTGCGATTCCACATCGATGATTTCGTTGCCGATTGTATTTGAGCGTGTCTGTTAGGGGTCAGCATTCAAGCTGGGACCATTGCATTGGCCTCGCAGGCGAAGGCGTAGAGTGAACAGCGTCATGCGAGGCTTAGAAAGGCAGAAACACTTACCACCATGGTATCCACGGACGTGGACTTGTCTCGTATCTCTTTCCACAGCCGTCGCTCCTCATCCGCGTCCTGGTTTGAATGGCTGGGCGCTGATCGAGCAGCATTTCGACTACGCCCGCTCATCCTGGAGGCTTGCTCTGACAATATACGGGCCTCAAATGGCGAGTGAATTTGGATATGTGTGTTTCTCGATAACCACCATGAATGAAGTCGACGCAATCACGTTCCTCGCAGGGTTCAGTGCGTGTGAATCGATCAGAATAGAGTTTAAGGTTGCGGAGCGCGGAGCGTCCGTGCTTCCCTCATTGGGTCTAGCCCCTCGTTTCGCCAAACGGTCGTCCATAAAAATTGTTGTTCTGAACACTTTGATGTTACGCAACATCTCGTCACACTTCTTCAGCGACAATTATTGAAGACCTCCAAGATACGCATCGACCCCTGGTTATTTCGAATTCCACATTCAACATGCAGGTGCCACTTCTCCGTTTGAAATGCGGTAAGTGGCGAGAAGTCTGTAACAAGCATTGAGCGTTGGGCTAACTTGCACCAGGTTGCAATAGTTATGAGTGGGGTAGGTTGTTCAACAGTAGCATCGCAAATGCCACGATGACTGAGAATTCGTAGGACGAGTCGGCAAAGACTCCTCTGCCGCGCGGTTCGCCTCTGCAACCAACTTCACAGTCCAAGAGGATAAGCCATATGCCGAGGTGAGCACAGGCAATGCGCCTTCGTATATCTTATTCTGACTCGTCTTCAGCTATGGATGGGTACCCATCCCTCCAACCCCTCATATGACTTGGAAACTGGTCGCTCGCTTCTAGACATGGTCCAGGATAATCAAGCCTTGCTGTCACAATCCGTGTCGAAACGCTACAACCAGAAACTGCCATTCCTCTTCAAAGTGCTCAGTATCAGCAAAGCATTGAGCATCCAGGCCCATCCCAACAAGAAACTGGCTGAAAAGCTACACTCAAAGGACCCCCAGCATTACCCCGACGACAACCACAAGCCCGAGATGACCATTGCAATAACTCCCTTTGAGGGACTCTGCGGCTTCCGCCCGCTCGCCGAGATCGTCCACTTCTTGCAGACTGTACCCACTCTGCGGCAACTGGTTGGAGAGCAAGCGGCCAAAGATTTCGAGTCTCAAGTCGAGCAGGGTGGTGACGTTGAGAAGAACAAGCAAGCTTTGCGCGCTGCTTTCACGTCTCTGATGGAGTCCAAGCCCGAAGACATTGAGAAATTCGCTCCCCAGCTCATCCAGCAGGCCAAGGACGAGGGTTCCAAATTCGCTGGTGGCGGTGTTGCAGCGTCCTCGGGTAAGGAGCTGAGCGAGTTGATGATCAGGCTCAACGGTCAATTCCCCAATGACATTGGCTTGTTCGTCACCTTCTTCCTCAACTTCGTCAAGCTTGAAGTTGGAGAGGCCATGTTCCTCAAAGCCGACGACATCCACGCTTATCTTTCCGGAGAAGTCATGGAGTGTATGGCCGCGTCTGACAATGTGGTCCGCGCCGGCTTCACTCCCAAGTTCAAGGACGTGCCTACGCTGAGCTCCATGCTCACGTACTCTTACGCGCCCATCGAGGAGCAGAAACTGCAGACGACCGACTACCCATATGCGAAGCTGAACGCGACAGCCTTCAAATCCGACTCCTCCTGCACTCTTTACGACCCACCGATTGAGGAGTTTGCGGTCATCCGCTCCGTCCTTGGCTCTGATGGCAGCAAGGTCACATTTGAGCCCATTGAAGGCCCGTCCATTGTGATTTGCACGGGAGGCAAAGGAAAGATCAGTGTCGGGCCAAAGTCAGAGGAGCTGAAGGAGGGCTTCGTGTACTTTGTTGGAGCCACAGCCGAGCTGGTTTTGGAAAGCGATGGCAACGAGCCGCTCGTCACCTACAAGGCTTTCTGCGAGCTGGAAGAGACGGTGACGAACGGTGACAGCCGTGGGCACCTATGATTGAGTCTGAGTTTGGACTTTCGTGGACGCCATCGAGTGATGAAATTGCATTGATTAGCACCGTCAATATAGAGCCCGCCATCTCCAGAAGACCGTTGGAAAGGGTCCTTCTCCGCTAAACCCGCCGCCACCCGCACCGGGGCAGACTAGCCCCAATAGTCTAGCTCGCAGTCGTCCTGGCGATCTGCTATGGGGGTCTAATTTGCTCTGCGACACTCCTAACCATTCATCGCGGCTCGTGCTTGGTAATAATTTCGCGCAGTTGACGACAATCGTTCAGCGGACTCTCCTTCCATAGTAAGGAGTCCGGAATCGTCGGATCAACTTGTTGTCGCGGCGTCGTTCGTACCAAGGTTCTTTAAGACGTACCTCGGATTCAGCCCATCACACCACCTCGCATCTGCCTTCCCTCGCATTGATCTACTTCCTGCTGGCAGGCATATTATAGTCAGCCTCCTGGCTTCTCGACCTCGTCATCCACGCGCATCTTCATCGCGTTCTAGTGCATCCAACTCGAACACATCAGGCCTCCATAACGCCCAACATGCAGTGTCTACTGAGCGCGCTGCTCCTGGCCGGCGCCAGCGGCGTGCTGGCGAACGTCAACTACCCACCCATCCCGTCAGACAAGACAACACCCGTGCAGCAGCGCCTTGCTTTCAAAAGCCCGACGGAAATGTCAGTGGGCTGGAATACCTACGAGCAGCTCTCCAACGCTTGTGTTCAGTACGGGACTTCGCAGACTGCGCTGAAATCCAAGGCATGCTCGGACAGCTCGGTGACATATCCGACTTCTCGGACGTGGTCAAATGCTGTCACTTTGACGGGCTTGAAACCAGCTACTCAATACTACTGTATGCTCTGGCGTAGCCTCCGCGCATTTGACAATCTCTAACGTGGGTTTTAGACAAGATCGTGTCCGGGAATTCAACCGTCAGCCAATTTGTTAGCCCTCGACTAGCAGGCGACACCACCCCCTTCAATGTGTCTCTCGTGATTGATCTGGGCGTTTATGGCGACAACGGCTATACCACCACGAAGCGAGAAGAGATCCCTGCTATCCAGCCTGCGCTACAGCATACCACTATTGGCGCACTCGCTCGCACTATCAACAATTACGAGTTTGTGATCCATCCTGGCGACTTTGCGTACGCGGACGACTGGATTAAGACTCTGTCGGACTTGCTGAACGGGAAGAATGCGTACGAAGCTATTCTTGAGGTACGCCATTCCAGGCACGATGTGTGATATGACGCTGATGTGCATTGCAGAACTTCTACGACCAACTGGCGCCAGTCGCTGGTGTGAAGGGTGAGTCGTCCACGCAATCCATCGACTATTGCGACACACCCGAGTCTCATGAGCAACACTGATACCTCATTAGCGTACATGGCATCTCCCGGCAACCACGAAGCCGATTGCCAGGAAATCCCCTACACCTCCAGACTCTGTCCCACTGGGCAAAAGAACTTCACCGATTTCCAAAATCGTTTCGGCAGAACCATGCCCTCCACCTTCCCATCTCAATCCACTAGCAAATCCCTCCAAGCGAATGCAAAGAAAGCTGCAGCCCTAGCGAACCCACCATTCTGGTTCTCCTTCGAGTACGGCATGGCGCACGTCGTGATGTTTGATACCGAGACCGACTTCAAGAACGCACCTGACGGGACTAACGGCTCCGCTCACCTCGATACCGGCCGCTTCGGCTTCCCAGGCCAGCAGACGGCCTTCCTTCGCGCGGACCTGGCCAGCGTCAATCGCACCCAGACTCCTTGGCTCATCGTAGCCGGACACAGGCCGTGGTACGCTCTTGGCGACGAGCAATGCGGCCCATGCCAGAATGCATTCGAAACCATCTTCTACCAAGCGGGCGTGGATCTCGCCATCTTCGGCCACGTGCACAACTCCCAGCGCTTCGCGCCTATGTACCAGGGCAAAGTGGATCCAGCAGGCTACAACAACCCCAAGGCCCCCGCCTACATTATCGCAGGTGGAGCAGGGAATATTGAGGGGCTGTCGACGTACAGCTCGAATGCCACAGGGAATGTCTTTGCGTACGATGAGGACTTTAGCTATGCTACGCTGCAGTTCAAGGACAGCGAGCATCTGGGGATCCAGTTTTTACGGTCTTCGACGGGCGAGCTGCTGGATAGCAGTGTGTTGTACAAGAAACGGGGATGAGTCGTAGTCCGCGATGGTAATCGGTAGATTGAACAAAACGGGCATGTTTGCTTATGTACTGGCTTCTGGCCGTTGCGGAAACTTCTTCACGACAAAGTCGATCGCGTACTTACTAGAGCGTGACTGTCAGCAGATGTCGATAACGACAGAAGGCTGGTCTCAATGATGCATACTATCCCTGTGCCCCAAACCCAACCTATGCTCTACGTCAGCAAGTCATTCACCGCACGTCAAACGAGAGTCAACCCACAATAATCGCCTTCGCCTTATCCGAAAAATACGAGTGATGCCGCCACGGCTCCCTCGAATGCACATTCGACACATGCAGCTCGACAAACGGAATCTCAACACCTAGTAAGGCATCTCGAATCGCGACAGAGGTATGCGTGAAGCCTCCAGGGTTGATAACGATGCCGTCCGTCCCGTCTGTTCGCGCGGCGTGGATGCGGTCGATTATGGCGCCTTCCCAGTTGCTGGGTAAGCATCGGACGCGTCAGTCTCGTTGCCTACATTGAGAGGATTGATTTTATTCACCTCTGCATGAAATCTATGGCAGCATTCAGACTCTCGGCCTGCTTCTTGCCGCTGGCTTCGACATCTGCCAGCGTTTCGTGGCCGTAGATTTGCGGCTCGCGGGTCCCGAGCAGGTTCAGATTTGGACCGTTGATTACTAGGACGGATTTCTTGCCGTTGAGCATCTTGTTTGTCTGGTGGATTTTTGACAAATGTTGATGGCGAGCATGAAGTGAGGTATATCGAGTTTGAATGTCTTGCGCTTAAACGTTCTTCCACTGCAGGGTACTCGAGTTGCTTCCAGTGTATCACCATTGTTGTCGAACAGCTTGGTTACATGGATCGAGAAGAGACTGGCCATTTGGAACCATAATAGTTAGCGATGTTCAATGATTGATTGCACAGTACGTAAGAACATTAAAGAACAATCGGTCGGTCGTCGTAGCGAGTCCGAGCCAGACCAGGCTGCGAGGCTGATGGCTTGCATGACATTGCGCACCCGTAGAACCGATTTCTTTGCTATTGTTTGCCCAGGTCAGAATGATGACCTTTTCAAATCAGAGTTTGCGTTATTGGTTGCTCACATATTAGTCTTCAGCAATGATATTCTTGTTATGCAGACGACCAGCGATCAACGGACTTAACGGCTGAGCGAAGGCGTGATTTCATAATTAGTAATCTCTCATCATTCACGTACCTTGGGCTCGGTAATATGTTGACCTCTTTCACTCTCATAACCATCTCTAACAACCAGATACCGTCAGAAGTACGACAGAAAGAAGACACAATGGCTGAAAAGAAGCAGATGCATTTGACCGCTTTCATGCGGCCCGTCTCATTGCACACGGGTACGAAACAGGCACGGGTCAATGGCATCCTCACGAGCAATACTGACTCGGCACAGGCGCATGGCGATACCCAGGCTCGTACGCAGATGCCAACTTCAATTTCGCGCATCTTACCAGCTTCATCCAGAAGCTCGAGCAGGCCAAGTTCGACGCCTTCTTCATGGCGGGTGCGTATAGCCAGAACCCTTGAATCCGAGCGCCGTGCTGACCTCGGGGGAACGCAGACCACTTGGCTGTACTCAACATGCCAGTCGAGGCTCTGAAACGGAGTCAAACGGTGACGTCTTTCGAGCCTTTTACGCTGCTTTCCGCGCTTTCCGTCGTCACGGAGAGAATCGGTCTCGCTGCCACGGCTAGCACCACGTATGACGAGGCATACCACATTGCGCGACGATTCGCCTCTCTGGACCATTTGAGCAATGGACGCGCGGGCTGGAATATCGTGACGACGGGTAACCCGGAATCCGCGAAGAACTTCAACCTGGACGAGCACGTGGAGCATAGCGAGCGCTACAAGCGGGCACGCGAATTCTACGATGTGGTGACGGGTCTCTGGGATAGCTTTGCGGACGATGCGTTCATTCGAGATCAGGAGAGCGGGATTTTCATGGACCCTGACAAGATGCATGTACTGAACCATCGAGGCAACGAGTTGAAAGTGCGCGGGCCGCTAAACGTGGCACGCCCTGTGCAAGGCTGGCCAGTCATCGTTCAAGCTGGGCAGTCCGAACCAGGGAGGCAACTCGCCGCCGAAACCGCAGAAGCCGTCTTCTGCTCGCCGAAGAATATCCAAGGCGCAAAAGAGCTCTACGAAGATATCAAAAGCCGAGCTACTGCCGCGGGACGTAACCGCGACCATTTGAAGATCCTCCCAGCCGCGATGATCATTGTCGGCGACAGTGTCGAGGACGCTCAACAGAAGCGGCTGAAGCTGGATAGCCTGGTCCACTACGATAGCGCAATAGCTTCATTGTCCATCGCCTTAGGGACCGACGCATCCGGCTTCGACCCGGACGGACCGCTCCCCACCGAACTGCTCGAAACGAACGCAAGCAAGACAGCACGAGAATCGGTCCTGAAGCTTGCGGCAGAGGAGAAGTTGACGGTGCGCCAGCTCGCCCAAAGATACGGCGGCTACGCGGGGCTCGCTTTTGTCGGCACGCCCGAGAGCATTGCGGATGAAATGGAGACTTGGCTGAAGGAGGGAGCGTGCGATGGGTATACTTGCGTCTTCCCCTATCTTCCGCAAGGCTTGAACGATGTGGCGGATCGTTTGGTGCCGGAGTTGCAGCGTCGTGGTCTTTTCCGGAAGGACTATACGGGCACGACGTTGCGGGAGCATTTGGGCTTGCCGCGGCCGGAGAATCGCTTCTTCCCTTCGAAGCAGACGAATGGAGGCGCTGCTTGAGTAGATGATGGGCATGTCGCAGTGGATGAAGTATATCACTAGCATCAACAGAGGCGCGCTATATGTGCGGAGCGCCAATGTCAAACAAAGTCCCGATAGGTCGACCGTCTTTTCTTTAGGCAACAGTTGATATTGATTCACCAGCCCAGGCAAGGTTAGTGTTGTCCCTCGTACGGGGCAATGATGTTCACGGCAAGTCGCGTAGCGAGACGACGACGACTGGCGGAGTGGAACTCCGAGTTCCGAGTGAGGGCGGAATTGCACTCCATCCGCAAGGCGTGGTGTATAAAGCAGGCGTAGTAGATGGCCATTCAACTGTACCTCTCCGCTGCATCGTACCGCTCGAAAAGACTCTCATTCGTTTGGCGAGTCACCAACATCCCACTCCATTCAACTCGACCTTAGCCATCAACATGGGCAACGCATTCGCGGAGAATTCCAATGCCGCCAGCCGCAGCAACACCACATCCCAAATCCTCCCAGTACCCAACGCAACCACACCATACTGGCGAACAGAACTGCACGCAATCGACGAGCATCGTTCGACCCCAGACTTACCATCATCATGCGACATAGCAATCATCGGCGCCGGCATGTCAGGCGTTGCGACAGCTTACCACATAGTTCAAGCCGCGCGCGACGCGAACAAACAGATCCCCTCTATCGCAATTCTCGAAGCCCGACAAGTCTGCTCTGGCGCCACGGGACGTAATGGAGGCCATTCGAAGATCAAAGCTACGACGGCCATGGAGCAAATTCGGAGTGCGCCTATCGAGATGTTAAAGGAAGTGTGGGAGCATGTGCGCGAGCAGCCCTATGCTTTGAAGAAAGTGGTCGAGGCGGAGGGGTTGGAATGTGAATTCGAGTTGCGGAGGACGATTGACGCTATTTTAAGAGAGGAGGATGCGGGGGAAAAGAAGCGTGAGTTCTTGGAGTGTTTGGAGAAGGGGTATCGTTGGACTCGCGACACGAGTATGGTTGAGGAGAAGAATGCTGAGCAAGTGAGTGTCGACAACACTCCAATCTTCTTCCGAGAGTCACTCAGACTAACATCTCCCATCAGATCACCTCCCTGCACAACGCAAAACTAGCCTTCACCGGTCTCGCGTGCTCCTTTTGGCCATACAAACTCGTCTCCCAGCTGCTCTCTCGCCTGGTATCTCGCAACCACGTCAACCTCCAAACCAACACACCAGTCACCGCTGTAACGGAGTCCCCGGAAGGCCTCAACATCCTGCACACCGCCCGAGGCCTGCTGAAAGCTAAGAAAGTCGTCTTCGCAACCAACGCCTACAGCGCCGGAATCCTGCCCTCGTACGAAGGAAAAATCGTCCCGACTCGTGCAACGGCAACTCACATCACCCCGAAGAAACCCATCTCCCCGCATCTGTCGCACACATACAACATCAACCATGCTGTCCCCTCCACCGGTCCGGAGCGATGCGACTATCTGAACCCCCGACCCGATGGATCGATAGTCGTCGGCGGGGCCCAATGGACTTACTCCAAGGACCGAAGCAAATGGTACAACATCTGGGACGACTCGAGCATCATCGACGAAGCGCGGCCTTATTTCGAAGGGTACATGCAGCGGTACTTCAAAGGTTGGGAGGATAGTGGTGCTGAGCTCGACTCCATTTGGACGGGCATCATTGGGACGACGGCGGATGGGCGGCCGCATATTGGGGAGGTGCCGGGGTCGAAGGGACGGCGGTATATTATTGCTGGGTTTAATGGGGGTGGGATGGCGATTATTCTTACTTCCACGAAGGGATTGGCGAGGATGATCGTCGAGGGGGTCTCATTTGAGGAGGTGGGACTGCCGCGGTTGTTTAAGACGACGGAGGAGCGGTTGAGATAGCTTGGTCTAGGTTGAACGGTTGGAATTGACTGGCGGTGCGAGAATTGGATTCGACGTAGGTGTATCATATAGTGCCTGTGCGATCCAGTCGCATAAGTCTCGTTCGGTCACTCACTCTCCATCAGGTCCGTAAGGTCCATCAGACCGCCCCAGTCCAAGATCTCCGCCTCCTGGGTATCGAAGGCTTCGTTCTTCAGTGCTCGCCTGTTCACAACGCATTAGGGTCAATATACCGGTACGTTCTGAGAGGATTGCAGTCGAAAAGAACTCACGATCGTCCCAAATCATAGTACACTTTGTTTTCACCCTTCAAGAAACGCGCCATATGCGAGCCCCATCGCACTCCGATTCTGTGGGATATGTACTCCAACCGCTCGATGACCCAGCCTAACTGTATGGATGCCTCGTCGAACAGATTACCATGCAGCGGCTGGTCGACGAGAATCATTCGGTTGCCACCAGGACTCACTACCGGATTTGACAATCGTTCGAGCAGACATGTTCCAGCTAGGGTGAGTGGCAGAATGAGGAGAAGACCGCTGGAAACGCTAGCCTTGCTCGGCGCCGGCATGTCAGGACTATTGCCCAGAGCGTAAGCGGCCGCGATGCAGATGTCGTTCATCATTCGATTTCGAACAGTGCTGAAATGCTCCAAGTCAGGCATGGAGGCTGTTGCTCCTGTTGTAAACATCGGCCATGACCGTCTCCACATTGCTTCCTGGAGGCGACTGAGGGTGATGCGTAGACATCGCCAAATGTTCCATTTTCGATGCGCTTGTGGGATGCCGTATTCGTGTCTTGTGCCGTTCCACGCGTGCTTGGAATCCGGATCGTGCACGTCGTAGAATGAGCATACTGAGCCAGAGGCCATTGTGCGTTCGGACCAGCCGAGCAGGTCTGTTTCCAGGATTTTCGCCAGCTCAATGAGCTCTTGATCCGTCTTTGAACGCTCTCGGTAATGAGCTTTGATGCTAGCGAACCTCGAGGACAGAATGGCAAGTTGGTCCGCCGGGGTGTTCATCGGATCGTACTCGAGAGCCTGAGACCACGATACAATGTACTCCGGGACTTCGATTTCTTGAACGATACACTGATTGATCTAATCGATTGTTAGCCCGATCATGATACAAGGACAGGATGTCGCTGACAATGTGATCCCGCATCTCTCGGAAAATCATCGCGCCGCTCTTTGTTCGGATCTGATTTCGTCCTCGCAAGTGAAGCACTTGCGCGCCACCCTCCACGTGCTGCCTCCATGAATGTGCAGATGGACCTCCTGGTGCATGTGGACCACCTGCTTCCCATGTCAGGCGCTGGAGTCATGTATCAGCACAACATTCATATCCGTGCGAGGGGTCTTCACACACCTCAAACAATGAAAGTAGCCACACCGCCACCAGAGTGTTGTCCTCCCTCACTCTCTGCGGATGTCGGAGCGCATTATTCGTTGCTGTGATTGCGTCGACGTAGTGTAGTCGAGCTAATGCTCTGCCATCGTCGCTATCATCGCGATTCGCCATCGCAGCCAGCGCGCAAGCCATGATGGGCTTCAGGAGGAAGTCGTCGGGTGACGTGCCTTTCAGGAAGGCCAAGTGAGAGTCAGAGACGATGTGCTCGAAGAAAAATTGCTTCGACGAGGCTTGGATATCAGGCGTGCTCTGCCGAGCGAGCGTGCACGAAGATAGACTGGGCCCGGGATCACTTTGTGCGCTTGCAGCGCTTGCCCTGCGCGTGACACTCTCCGTCTCATTTTTGAACATAAGATCGGAAATGTTGCGATAACCCCCACACGCTTTATCCATACGAACACATCGTGAGCAGGCGGGTAGCTTCTGATCACAGTTCTTCTTCATCTTTCTGTTGAGCCATAATTTAGAGACGATCAAACGCTTGAAACCGCAGCACCAGTTCTTGGTCGAGTGTACAACGTACCTGCAATTCTCACAACCTGCAGACGGCCTGCCTTTGTAAACCATCTTGTGTGGTGTTGTCTCAGCTGATGGTGGCGGGAGTTGATCGCATCGACCAGACAGACTTCGTTTCGAGGTTGCAACGCCCGCTGGGCATGTGTCTTCCAGAGAGTCGTCCGCTTTTCGAATCTTGAAGTGATGAGGAGACAATTTTATATAGCCAGGCCATGCTTTGAGTGGTCGATCATCTTTGCGGCTGCCGCAAGTCGACGAAAGGAAAAGACCATTATGAGGCGTGATGTGGCGATTGCCAGACAACGGTGTTCCCATCTGAGCATGCTCAGCGCCGTAAGAGATCTTCAAACGGAGTGAAGTAAGGTCGTTGTCGTCGGCATCTTTATGACGGCCCAGCCGACAGCCACGTTGCGACCCAGACCGTGGCCGCGGTCCTTGCCCCAGGCTCCCGTTGCGGACGCCATACTGTGTTGGGCAGGAGTTCGCCAGGTCGGGACGACCGTCGGTCTTCGTGAGAGACATCATTCGCGCACCGTCCGCAGCATGCGGCTGAGGTCTGGAAAGATAGCATGGTATAGAGATGCCGCGGAGTCTAAAGAGTCGACCGGGTCATTCCACCCTGTGTCAATCCCAAGGCTCGATTAGGAAAGCGATGCGCTGTTCGCTCATTGGTCAATACTTTTGCAGCACGGCTAGCACTCGTCGTAGTGTGTTTGGGGGAACAACTTCACGTAGGGCTGGTTTTCCCGCCCTACTCTATTCCAATAAGTTGATCTTTAAGCGCGGGATAGGAAAAAGACCGCTTGCTGTATTCGTCGTACTTTCGTATAACGCGCGGCAGGCTGTGTGGTCAGAGACTTATTAGCCTTGGCGTAGAATGTCTTGATATCTGCGCGGGGAATGCAAAGCGGTGTATATGATTCATTCGTTGGCTGATACCTCATTCGTTAGACTCATTATTTCCGAGGGTTACGGAAATACAGTGTTGAGAATATGATTGTCCGCAAGCCTTGTCCAGCTAAGTGCGACTCTGGCGACGATCAGCGTGAAGAGGCGTGAGGTTGGAGATACGAGACATTGTCAGTGAATCATCTAGGGCAGACGGAAATACGACACGAGGAAGATGTCGGCCGTTCCGCTGTAGGAGCTGAAATGCTCTCGACTCGTGAGCGAGCCCATCTGCGCGCTGGTTGCCGAATGAAGCAGTGATCAGCAGTCGGATATCGCCGTCAGGTACAGCTGCTCATGGAAGACGAGGCTCTTGCAGATGTTCGACGGCGTTGCGGCTGAATCGACCGTCTCGTCCGGAGTCGAGGCCCGGTCCTCCATGCCGAAGGGTATCGCCACCGCAGCCGCGGAATCCAGTGTCCCTGGTGCCGTCGCACACCAGCTAGGCAATACACTTGCAGGTATCATCGTTGCGGCGGAAACCAGATCCGTAGTTGTCGAGCTCATGCAATCCGCTTCGATCATCAGCAGCGTTCACCTGGTGGCCTGGACTAAATCGTGACTTAATACGTCGCGAAGTTGAAGTGAAGTCCTCAAGGCTGTGGAGCATGAGGCAGATTGATGGTGCCAAAAGTCGGGGTAAGCTAAACGGATGCCAAAAGTCGTGGCATATCGCGACTCGACTCGAGCCTCAATGACCCCTAGCGGAACACGTTTCACTACACACATTTGGCCAACAACAATAACATTCGAATCACCATGGCGGACGAAGACAAGGAAAAGGCGGAGAAGCTCGCTGCCGCGAAGAAAAGGGTACTACAGCGCCACTATGTTCAGTAGGGAAGATACCAGCTAACAAATCTCCCAGTTCGAACAATTGAAGAAAGAGCAGCAGAAGAAGACGAAGAAAGGCGGCCCCAAAAGGAAGGACGACAAAGCATCAGACTCCAAGACGGAAGAGGCGGAAGCAGCAGAGGCTATACGACCTGCAGAAGACGAAACGGCCGTGGATACGCACGCAGAAGCCCCTGAGGAAGCCTCTCGTCCACCCGCGGCGCGGCAGCCCTCGATCTCGGAGCAATCAAGACAGCGATCCGAGTCGTTTAGGCATGGCACTACTGTGCCGACATCGCCCGCTGCCGGGGACGTGCAAGATTTGTACCGTAAGCAAGCCGCCCGCATTGAGGAGTTGGAGAAGGAGAATCAGACTTTCAAGCAACAGCAAGACGAAAGTGCAGCACGCTTGGCGAAGGCGGAGGATGAGCTCGAAACTTTCGGAGAAGGCAGCAGTCAACTCGCCGAGCTGAGGAGCAAGAGTCAGGATGTTGAGCGTTTGGAGACGGAATTGGCCAATATGCAACGACAGCTTGCACAGGCGCAGCAGTCCTCAAAGAGCCATACTAGGCGAGCATCAGGAGTCACTCCCGACGTGACCGAGCAGCTGGCCAACAAGACATCAACCATCGAGTCGCTTGAATTGGAAATCAGCAATCTTCACAACCAGATCAACGGCTTGCAGAACACTATCTCCGAGCGAGAGGCATCCATCCAAGAAGTGCAAGATCGCGCTAGCACTGCGGAAACGGCAACAAAGACCGCCCAGCAAGAACTCGACGCGCTGAAAGTGTCCATCTCTTTCCCCAGCGACGAAACGAAGGCTGCAAACGAAAACCCTGAAGCTCTTACTAAGCGCATCACCGTTCTGGAGTCGGATCTCCGCACCGCCAACACGAATCTCGAGGCCGCGGCGAAACGAGCAACCGGGCTGGAAGCAAAGATCGAGGCCTTGACCAAACTGCACCGAGACGCCAACACCACGTCCCAGGCCAAAGACCGTGAACTCACGGAGCTCCGCGCGCAACTCCGTCGCCGCGACCGGGCGAGTAACGTGCGCGATGTATCCGACTTCGAGCTTGGAGAAGAGGAGACGGAGACAGGCTCCCTGCATGCGCGCATCCGCGCCTTGGAGGCGGAAAACTTCGACCTGCGCCGCAACGAATGGCGCGAGAAACGCGCAGAGCTGCAGCCGGAGATGGAAGAGCACAACGGGCACGCGGGACTCTACGAGGATGTCGATCTCAACAGTCCATACGGCGGGTCGCGCAAGGGTAGCGCCCCGCGGCAGCAAGCCCACAGCACCTTTCAAGACGTCATTACCAGCGGCATTTCCGCCTTCACTGGACGAGCGCGCGAGGCGGCGGCGGCGTCAGCGAGGGGCTACCCGCCGCGGAAACAGAGTCTGGCGCTGCTGAGCGAAGACGGAGACGACGAGTTTGATCCCGAGGCATTCCAGTTGGCGCAGGAGGAGGAGGCGAAGCGGCGGATCGAAAGGGTGAAGGAGGTGAAGAGGGGTCTGGAGAAGTGGCGCGGTTGGCGGGTGGATCTCACAGAAGCGCGGCAGAATGCCGTTGCTGCCGGGCGAGAATATGCGCCGGTGTTTGGCGTGTGAGGTGAATGCTGAGAAAGTGGCGGGAGGCATGTGAAGAGTGCAGCGCTCGTGTCACGCACCCCGCGCGTGTGCGGCGTTTGCTGTCTGAGGGGAACTTTCGCGGTGCGGTCATCTGCTATTGTCACGCTTTGCTATTGTCGCGCGCGGTGAAGTCTGTCTGGCTGCCGCAGTGACTGCCTGCTCGTCACGCCTTCGACAAACAAAAAAACCAAACCACTCAACTTGACCGAGACATCCTTTTAAAACACTCCTCGAACCACTGAGACCTCTTCCTATCCACTTACCAACACACCACTCCAAACCATGGCGAGGAGCAAAGCCCCCCGTACACACCCCACCACACATGCCCGATTCTGGAAGAAGCAACCCACCCCACGCGCCAACGGCAAAACCACGTCCGGAGGATCCTCACGCACTCCGACTCCAGTCGAGGATGACGGCGAGGTGCCAACCCGAGACACCGACGTCGAAACGAGCGCAACCGAAGTCGAAGAAGGAAAGGTCGAGCTTGGTGGAAATGGAAAGACACGCCAGCAGGCCGAAGCCGAACTGATTGCCGACTTGAAGAAGCAGATTGCGGAGGTGAGGGCGACGATGGTGGAGTTGGGTATCCCGATTCCTGGGGTTGTGACGTTGAAGCTTGGGGGGGAGAAGGGCAAGGGAGGGAAGGGGGGTGGTGTGAAGAAGGCTAAGGGGGGAAAGGCGGGTGGACGGAAGAAGAGGGGATCAAAGGCTACGACGAAAAGCAATATGCTCAAGCTGCGGGAGGAGGATGAGGGAGGCTGGAGGTTGAAGGCTGCTTGAGGTGGGCTGCGCGAGGGATGGACAGAGGTGGAATAGATTGGGCCAGGAGCCGCAAGATCGGCGGATGGTGGCGAAGATTGGATGGGAGAGTTGCAGCTTTCATAGCCTCCGTACGCTGATTTCGGTCATCAAAGCGCCCTGCTCATGATGATCGGTGACCATGGGCTTCCCACTCCAGGACGTTTCGAACGACGCTCCGACTTCTTGGCCGATCTGGTCCCACAGTCTTTGCCAGCTCTGTCCGTCGTGTCGGAATCTGTCCACGAGAAGGTCAGCTCAGGGGTCGTCATTGTACAGATGAGGGAGACTCGTACCTGCTGCCCGTGCCAGCCCTACGCGGAACATCACCAGCCTTCTCATTGCCCACTTGCCGTCCAAGTAAGAGACTGCCCTTCCTCGGCCGCAGCAACCTCACCACCCGCTTACCAATATGAACCTGCTCATCCCAGTTAAACAAATGAAAGAAAGAAGAAGCACCAACAACGTCAACCCGCCCATCAAGCCTATCCAACCCACTCTCCGCCTCAAAAACATTCGCAGCAATGAACTCCGTCTTGAGCGTGTCGCGATCGCGGAAAAGCTCATAGCCCAGATTGATAAAGTCGAGCTGCAAATCGGCGCCGTAGCAGTTGCCGCTGTCCACCCCGTCGGCCACGAGGCGCCGAATGTCTTGCCCAAAAGCACAGCCGAGGTCGAGGTAGATTTGCGAGCCGGTAAGCATGCGCTCGAGCACTTCGGGGTACAGGGCGTGTTGGCCGAGGGCGAGGTCGAGGAAGCGCCAGGAGCCGATGCAGGGGTAGTTGTGGATGGCCCACGCTTTGTCGCGCTGGGAGGAGTGAGGTTAGGCATGGAGGGCATTCGGCATGGAGGGCATAGATGCGTACAATGTCTGTGACGTGCGCGTTGATTTCCTCTGGCGGGATCTTGCTGTACTCCTCCAACACTTCTCTCGTGCGTGGGCTGATCTCGGGCACGTCCTCGCTGAACCAGCGCTTGCTGCGCTCTTCCGGGGGATTGGGAACCGGTCCGTTGAAGTCTGCCATGTTTGTTGATGATTGTGGCCGAGTACTTTAGTCTGCTACGATAGATATAGGAAGACGTGTGAGCCGACGTCGGGCACTCGACTACACGATCGTCATCGGATACAAGGTATCTCCATATGCTCCCCCAATCATGGAGATAAAAGCTTTATCTCCATGCGCCGTCACCCAATTCTACTCCTGCCTTCGTAAAGATGAACATGCTGAAGGATGTTCGATCGTCTGTGCCACACGCCGCCACAAACGCCCAGCGCCACAAGGCGGGATAGGGACAGGGACCTTGAAGATGGTGAGGTGTGGTGGGGTTGCGCTGTCTTGGTTTCCATCTTCACATGCAAAAATTCAAATTTCTTTGCCCAACACCTCTCCAACCTCGAAACACTCCACACACACCACCCTCCTCGAAACAGACACCACCACCGCCAATGGCCCAACTCACCCACCCCACCATCAAAGATGGCTGGTTCCGCGAAATCAACCACATGTGGCCGGGCCAAGCCATGACGCTCGAAGTGAAGCAGGTGCTGCACCACGAAAAGTCCAAGTACCAGGACGTGCTCATCTTCGAGAGCACGACGTACGGCATGGTGCTCGTGCTGGACAACGTCATCCAATGCACCGAGCGCGACGAGTTCTCCTACCAGGAAATGATTACCAACCTCGCCATGTTCGCCCACCCGAACCCGAAGAAGGTGCTCGTCATTGGCGGCGGAGATGGAGGCGTGTTGCGCGAGGTGGTTAAGCATGAGTGCGTGGAGGAGGCGACGTTGGTGGATATTGATGAGGCGGTGATTCGGTTGAGTAAGAAATACTTGCCGGGGATGAGTGTGGGGTTCCAGCATCCCAAGGTGAAGGTGCATGTGGAGGATGGGTTCAAGTTCTTGCACGATCGCAAGGGCGATTTTGATGTCATCATCACCGACTCCAGTGATCCCGATGGCCCGGCAGAGAGTCTGTTCCAGACGCCGTACTTCAAGCTGTTGAACGATGCGCTGCGCGATGGGGGTGTGATTACCACTCAATGTATGTTCTGCCCGACACCTGCACATTCACAGACGATATCCTAACTCAAACACACAGGCGAGAACGTTTGGCTGCACATGCACATCATCAAAGAAGTCCGCAAGTCATGCCAGGAAATCTTCCCCGTGGCGGAGTACGGGTACACCACCATCCCCACCTACCCCGGCGGCCAAATTGGCTTCATGGTGTGCTGCAAAGACGGCCAGCGGGATGTCAGGAAGCCGCTGCGCACGCTGAGCCGGCAAGAGGAGGACGAGCTGTTCAAGTACTACTCCAAGGAGGTGCACGAGGCTGCGTTTGCCCTGCCCAAGTTTGCGGAGAAGGCGTTGCGGTGAGACGGCGAGGGGATTGAGATGTGACGATTATGAGGCGGATAGAATTTTAGATCGGCGGGGGAATGGCGTTTCGAGAGCATCGTGTTCTATGTTATCCGATGCACGGGCACGGGTTCACGAGACCGGACAGGCAAGAGGAGCAAGTACAGTACAAAGACTCGGAGGATTGTAGTGAAAAGGTTTGCTCAATCGCTATAGTAGTAGAATAGCACAAACGCCAGGAGAATGTAGTAAACTTCTGCATCACCCTAGCACCACAGGCCGAAAGACCGCCACCCATCGAGAGTAGAAGAGCCCATTATAGCAGCTAGGCTCCCTGATGATGATGTGATTGTGGTCGTGGTGGATGATGTGGTGTCGAGAAAAGAATCGAAGCGTTAGGGGGAGGGTATCATTTCGCTCGTCGTGCTCGGAGGTCGCTCGGTGGATGGGGTGGATTCGCTTCCTCCGCCGCTCAGTACTTCAGAATGATGTACAGCGCATGGATGATGCCGGGGATGTAGCCGAGGACTACGAGGGAAGAAGGTCAGCATAAAGCCACTTCACAGCCAAAATGGCGTGAGGGGAAGGAACTCACTCGTAAGCAGAATGTTGATCAACAAATCCGCGCCGCAGCCGCGCTCAAGAAACACTCCAACAGGAGGCAGCAGAATGGCGAAGATGATTTTGATGATGTCGCTGTTGGTACAAAACACGGTCAGCTTGGTCAGTTCTGCGAGGCGGTGTTGGGGAAGGGCGCGGAAGGGTCGCCGAACTGCTCATGAGCTCCTGCACGACGACGCTGCACGCGCTGCTATCGTCGGCGACGTTCTTCCGCGCGTGCTTCCACCACGGCGGCGGGGGGAGGGGGTGCGGCTGACCTTCCGGTGAAAGGCATGTTGGGCGGTTTTGTGTGGTGGAGGGGTTAGTTGTTTGGTTGGATTCGATTGTGATGAAGGAGGTGTGAGTTGCGAGGTAGCAAGATTTACTGTTGAGAATGAAATGGCGAAAGGAAGCCAGCAGGCAGGGAAATATATACGGAATGCGCCTGCCATGGATGCGTCTCTCACGTCACGCCAGCATTACATCATACGCCCCCAAGCGCGCCTGCCACACACACGTGCATCATCGCGGATAGAATCTTTCTGAAACGGACGAAACGCCACCGCCGCTGCAGCCCCCGCCGAAATCCGGTTTGTCCAACCGCGTGTGGGAAATTACGGTACGCGCCCGGCCATACAAATCTGCATTGCATTGCTCGCGCCTGCCAAGATGCGAGCGTGACGACAGCGGCATCACGCGGGTGCTGCGAGCCAAGCCGTAATTCGTCACCGCCCTGAGGCTCCCAGAGCTCGCCCGAAGGAGATCGTCGCGATGAGCCACAATCAACGTCAGATGTGGCGCAGGTGACGTGCACAGCCACTTTCGGTCCTGTCGATCGTCTGCACTGAACATCAGGTGGATAAGGATGCGAGGCACCTGATCGAGATGTTGACGTGTTTAGTACACGGATGGTATTCACGTCCAGTCCAGCTAATCCTTCATCCAAATCGTCCAAGTCTTGATATTCATCCCCACGCCCCCTCACAAACTAAACAAGCCCGACCGTCGCTTCCCAAACGGATAGACGACAATCGCGCTCAAAAACAAGCCCACCGTAATGCCAATCGCAACCTGCACCACCGAGTAACTCACCGTAAACGCAATGCTATTCGTCGTCGAATCGCTCCCCGACGTCGCAACAGTAGACCCGTTATTCCCTGAGCCCGTGATCTGGTTGGCGGACGCAATGCCCGCCACCAGCGACCCGTTGACCGAGAGACCGCTAGGCACCGCGACGAAGATGGCAGGCAGCATGGCCGCCGCCGCCAGCCCGTACCCGACTTTGCGCTTCTGCCGTTCAAACTGCGAACTGGCGTCGCTGTCGCTGCGCGCTTTGCCTTCTTCGAGCTTCTTGTCGTTGCGCCGCTTGGCGTCGTGGGTGAAGATGCGTTTCCGCAGACGGCGCCAGTGAGGGCGCACATCGTCTTCCCAGCGGTCGAGGCACCAGTTCTCCACCCTGCCGCCGATGCGCGACCATGAGTTGGCGAGCACGCCGATGACGAGCGCGCCGAGCGTGCTGCTGATCTGCGTGTTGCCGACGAAGCGGCGCGAGGAGAAGAAGGAGGTGACGTAGCCGACGAGGGCGATGATGAGCATCACCGGCGCCTGCTTGATCTTGCCTTGGTTGATGACGACGAGGCAGAGCGCGAAGCCGGGGACGAAGAGGAAGTTCCATTTGCTGGGTAGCGGGTTGGGGCATGTTGTTTCGGACGAGGCCTTGTCGTCCATGAGGCCGTAGATGGCGGTGCCGATCGTGATGCCGTAGCCCAAGAAAAGCGAGTAGATGATGGCGTAGACCATGCGGATGCTGCCGGCAACAATCTGCTTGCTTTGGAGTTCTAGCGAGGCGCAGAGGACGATGTAACCGGGAAGGATGAGGGCGATGGATGATTGCGCCAGGGCAGAGAAGCAGAAGAGTCGATGATCACCATGCCAGTAGATGCTGCCAAAAGCGCGAGCCAGGAATGAGGTGATGACCGCGGCGACGATTTCAAAGACGTTGGCGTACAGGTCCGAAGCAGGCGCGACAATCAGCTGCAAGATCCCGAGGATGCAGCCAAGCAGGAAAGCAATGGGAAGGTCAATGAGCCTCGCCTCAAAGGCGAACGGTCCGACACACACAGCCGCCAGACCGTACACCGGAATTCGGATCCACCGGCTGTATCGTGGGTTGCGTGAGGTGATTTCCTTGATGCGTGCCGTCGCTTCCTCGACACCCATACGATCGTGCACGACGTCTTTGTACACTTCATGCACGTCCCGCAGCCGGCCGAGGTCCAGGCCTTGCGCGACCCGCACCAGCTTCACCTCCGTCGTGTGGGTGGAGCTGTCGTCGAATGACATGATCATGCTGCCGGGGATGTACAGGAATTGCGCATCAATTTCCAGCACGCGCGCACTCATCCGCATGTACTCCTCCAATCGATGGGTAGGCGCGCCGTACAGCATCAGTGCACTACACAGCCGCATCAAGTACCGCTGCCGCGCTATGGTCTCGGCAATGTGCACGGTGATTTGGATCTTCTCTTCGAGTCGCTTTTGATGTCCAGTGACACGGTTGAACGCGGCCAGCGCACTGGTGCTCGTAGCTTTCATGTTCATGCCAGACTTTCGGTCTTGTTCCTTTTGTTCCTTCATCCGTCGACTCACCTGCTCTCCCAATCCAAGAGCAGGCGACGTGAGGCTGGCGGACGAGCCGATGAGCTGGGCCAACGAGGCCGAGGACCGATTTTGTTGCTTGCGGGAAAACCAATGCCTTCCATTTGGCGTCGTGCCTCCAGAGTCTGGAGGTGAGTGTTGAGGTGTGTTATTGGACGCGTCGCTGTTCTGTCGACTTCTAGACTTGGGGAGCAGACGACCCATGCTGGACGATCTACTATGCGTCGAGCTTTCCCGGTCGTGCTGGTTGTCATACAACTTCAACAGCGAGCTGAGAATGCCGCCGCGGAACTGATCGGGTCGTGGGACATTGTTCTCGACAAAGTGGTGCTCGTCGGTCGGAGTGCTTGCACCTGACGGCGGTCCAGATACAAAGCCATCCTGCTGATGTGGGCCTTTGCGACCTCTTGTGTGGCGTCGGACCAAGCGCTCGGCCTCAGAATGGGGAATTGCTCGCGCTCGTCGGATAGAAAGCATGTGGTCGTCGTCGGAAAAGTTTTCATCGGGGTGTTCTTTGATCTGCTCGGTGATGCTGTTTTGTCTCGACCGCTCGTCTCCCGTCGGTGACGTCTGTCCTGACGGTGGGGCAGAGCGTTCATCATCTTCTAATCGCTTCCCACGTTCAAACGCTTCCCGCATTCGAGTTGATCGAAGGGCTCGCTCGGGTTCTTCGAAAGGCACATCTGGATCCTCATCTTTCTCATCATAAAGACCTTGGCCGGGACTCGAATGTGCTCGACGGATGGCCGGCCTGGGCCTGGGCGGTGAGAGTGTCTGTCCAAGAGCCTCATGAATCTCTTGTGTCTGCTGCAACGACAGCTCGGGTAGATGGGCTTTGCTGATAGTACGTGGCATCGGCATGTCGTCACTCCCACTTCTATCCCGACCAGGCCCGCTTCCCGCTCTACTGTCTTCCGGAGAGCCAACGTGGTGTCCACCCTGGAGGGTATCATCCGGAGAGCCCACCACGTTGATCCGAGTGCGCGGTCCCGAGTCGTCCCCACTTGTAAAGCCAACCCGCTTCTTCTCTCTTCTCCCGCTGCCGGGATGACTGTGTTCATTGCTGGAAGTATTTCCCTCTCCTCTTCGGGGGTCGTCGGGAGCCTCCATGTGCTCGACGTGGTCGAGGTCCCATTCGGGGAACGGGGAAGTATCGACCGGTGAACTCATTGTGATCGTGTGACGAGGCGGAAGATTATATGTTTCCGATTCGAGCCAAACAATTCTCCTCAATCAGGTACGATTGACATTATTCCCGTGCCTCGGGGGACACAGATGGCTGGTAGCTTCGCCCTCGGTGGGCTCGGAGGCGATAAGCGAGCAGTGGACAGAGCACGTTCTTGCTGTAGTGACCGACGAGAAAGTCTGGCGTCCAATAGAGAGGATGTCGCAAGGGCGAATGGAGGGTGCTGGCGGAGAAGAAAGATGCCGAGCAACTATTGTGTAGAGATAGAGAGTGTCGTCATTCGAATCGTGCAAAGCTTCGAGGCACAAAGACCCTGAGTTTGGGTGATTTACAGCTGGAATGTTTGGAAGGCTAGTGAAAGGATACCAGAAATGGCGGAAGAATGGGATGAGGGATTTTCGAAGAAGTGGTTGGTGTGGGTGGAAGAGAACGAGGAGATACAAGGAGAAGATGGGATGGAATGGTGGGCGGCGGGAGGTGGAACCGGTATGATGAAAGAGCTCCGGACGAAAATCGGGGACGGTGCCGGGGACCGACGCGGTGAACGACTCGACTCTTTGATTAAAAGTCTTGGCCAGTCCCCATCGCACTTACTTGCTTACATGTACCTGCCAACCTCACAATCAACCCACTCGTCGTACGTGGCGAGGCAAGGAGCAGTCTTGGAGGCTGCTATAGATAGAAAGTCGACTGTCGAAGCCCACCGAAGAAACGCCGCGGTGGGAGTGGAGGATTGCATGGAATAAGAAAGGTGAGGCGAAGGAAAAGTGGTTCCCGCGGCCAGGAGGATCCCAGCGGGTGGATGCCGCTGTACCTGCAGCTGAAGGCTTGGTGCATAAAACATGTGAAGGCGCCACTGGATCGATCGAGGCAGTCCTCCGAGAGTGCGTGATTGATGAAAGAGAGGTGGGTGTGTTCCATCCATCGGTGTTTCGGGTGGTGGGTGGGTGGGTTGGGATTCAACCAACGCCAGGCGTCAGCGTCTGCCTGCAAACCCTTAAACTTTGCCGCGCTTCTTTGCCTTTCATATGATCGCCGCTAACCAACTCAATCTTTGGTGTATGCCTTGGCCTGACTTGATGAACACGCATCCGACTCCGTTCCCATCCACTGCGCGGCTTGCATGTGAAAGTGGTCAGACAACCGCTCGTCAGGAGATACATTCGTGCACGTGTGCTTCAAGGCTCTCAACACTGCCTGATCGTATCGTCCCGTGATTACTATACCTATCGCGCCTAAGTGACAGCCGGAAACCATTAGACTCTGGCTTGATCAACCTTCCAGCTCGCTTGCAGTCAACAAGTCCCTCACCGACCCAAGTACCACTCCTCACAAGCTCTTCTGCTCCGCAATTCTCCTATTTGACATCTCCGCGATGGTGATCTTCCGAACCAGCCTCTCGGGCAGCATTTGTGCCCCCCGGGCCTGCACAAAATCCAACCATCTGGGGAACGTAAAGCCTCGCCCGCACCCCACCCGGTCCAGGCTGGCGATCGCACACTCCTCGCTCGTCGCCGTCCCCGCAATCTGAAATCGGTTGCTGTTCGATTCGACGTTGCCAATGCTCCACCCCATCACCTCAACGTTGGTCGTGCCCTCGGCGATCATCTCCGTTCGGAGGCATTCCGTGAAGTGTCGGATGTATGCTTTGGTGGCGGCGTAGGTGATGATGTACGGCATTGCCATCAGGCCTCCCATAGAGCCGCAGTTGAGGATTGCAGCCGGTGCATTCGCCTTCAAGGTGGGGAGGAGGGCCGCTGTTAGTTGTGTCGGGAAGCGCAGATTGATGTTCAGCAGCGTATCAATGTTCTCGTGCGCCATCTCGGCGTGAGGCACGTATTGCGGGTACGTGCTGACCTGGGGGTTATCTTAGCATATTCCGCATCAACACGCCTCCGCCTTGACCTACCCCTCCCACGTTGTTCACGAGAATGGTGAGCTTGCCCGGCAGCTGCTTCACCTTCTCAGCCACCACTTTGTAGCTCTCATCCACCTTCGAGGCATCCGCCACTACTATGTCGACAGACCGCCGAGGGTACTTCTGGGCAAGCTTCTTGCGAACGCCATCGAGTTTCTGCGGGTTGCGGCCATGGAGTAGAACGTTGAAGCCTCGCTTCAGCAGATCGTCGCTGAAAGCTTGTCCGATTCCATCACTCGCGCCCGTCACCAGCGCCCAGGACCCTGTCTCGGAGTGGCAGTAGATCAGAATGCCTCCGGGCTTGATCCAGAACCATAGCGTCAGGACGGCGTGATAGGCGACATAGAGCAGCAGGGCTGTGCCGGTTAGAGAGGTGAGTGTCTGTACTCGTTGATCTTTCCAGATTGAATAGGTCAGGACGACCAGCTGTTCGATGACCGTGCTGTGTTGGCCACTGGCCATGGCGATGAATTTGGTCTTGGAAACACGCGGAATGAGTGACGAAGCTAAGCTATGCAGTGCTATCGTGCTCTCTCCAGGTTGTCAAGATGTCGTGTGTCGGTGTGAAAGGAGTACGTCTCGGAATGATCGCCCTTGGGCAGGGTTACCTGCGCACGAAGTACCAGGTACTGCAACGTTACAACCAAGTGTCAAAGTCAATTCCCACCTCGCCTCGACCTCATCCTCCTTGCCTTTGACATCCCCAGACATAACCATTCCGCCTTCGAGCCTGCTACTCCACATTTTGCTGGCAGAGACGTCGCCATTGTATCTACCACTTGGCATCTTCCTCACGCACGTGACTTGCCCACATCGCCGAAGTCTCCCGCTCGATCTGCCCCAGAATTGCGTGCTCCCTCACCCGAACAACATCATCGCATTCCGACCCACGCGTGCTGTATCTCACCTCAACATTGGCCCATGCCGGGTCGTATAGCCGGCGTTGATGAGATTCTCATTCGGCAAATACTGTGCGGTACTTTCCTGCCCATCATGGCACTTCTCGCTGGGCTGAAATGCCCGCCAGTGATTGGCCCTTGTCCGCGATCTCCGACGGTGCATCATTGAAGCGTTGCTTGCGACATTGATAGCCCAGCGTTGGCAGTGTTGTCAGATCATCGTGGGTTAAAGGTAACACCTTGCCGATCTCCCTTTCGTCGTTGTTTTCTTGTTCTTTCCTGTTCATCTCATCCTGTTTCTACTATTTTTCCACTTGCACACCCGTCTCCCTTATCACAGCCATGGCAGACACCACAGCTCACGTAGCGCAAAACGGCGACCACCACACGAAGCACCTCCGCGACCTGCAAAACCGCATCGAGCAGCTCGAAGGCCTCCGCAACGTCACCACCCACGAAGGTTTCTACGAGAAACTCGCGGCCGGCGAGCGAGCCAGCACAAGCAGCGGCTCCGATGGCACAATCCAACACTACATCCCCGTGCCCATCACCATCAAGTCGCAGATCGGCAGTCCCACCGCGCTCGCCATTGGCGCCTTCGCGACGACGCTGACCACGCTCTCGCTCGCGCTCATGGGGTTTCGCGGGGTCAGCACCACCAATGCATTCATTGGCGACTTCTTCGGTGTCGCGGGAATTGGCATGTTCGTCTCTGCGCAATGGGAGATTGTGCGAGGGAATACCTACGCCTACACCGTCCTGGCTGCTTTTGGCTTGTTCTATGCTGGATTCGGCTTCATAATCACGCCCTTCTTTGGCGTTGCAGCCGCGTACGGAGGCGCTGATTCGCCGGAGTACCTCAACGCAGTCGGCTTCTTCGTTCTGAGTGAGTCAATGCGCAAGCTGGTAACTCCCCTGATCAAACATCACTGACAACTCCCAGTGTGGGCCGTCTTGAACATCTTCTTCCTCATAGGAAGTCTGCCGCTCAACTTGGTGTACATCGGCATCTTCTTCACCGTGCAAATGGCCTTCACCCTCGTCGCTGCGGGCTACTTCGTCGCTGCTGATGGCAACGCGGCATCGGCCAAGGCGATTAATATCTCTGCGGGTGCTTTCGCTTTCGCCTCGGGCATGCTGGGCTTCTATACGATGGGCAACCTGATGTGCCAGGAGGCGTTGAACTTTAGCTTCCCCTTGGGAGATACCAGCCATTTGTTCCGCAAGAAGGTGTCGGCGGAGGCTGGAGCGAACTAGGAGGTGGACATATGGAGGTGGTGATTCTGGGCTTTGGAGGACTTTTTTATACGCTTACCGAGAGGATAGAGTAGAGTCAGGTGATGGAATAATACCCCGTGAATACAATTAGACTAGAAGGCGATAGAATTAGATTGTACATTGTTGATTTTGCAACATCAATATACTACTCCATCGACATCAAGTCAACTACGACAAATTAGCTCGTGACAACTGCCGATGCAACTGCGAAACCACATCATCACACATGCCCGCCACATCCACATCTGCAATCATGCCATTCCGAAGATTGATCTCCGCCTCCACCTTCTCCAGATCATCTCCCACCCCCTCGGCCAACCACTCATAGCAATTGCCGATATGTTGACTACTCTGCACCAGCCACTGCCCTCGCTCTCTCCGCACGCGATCGAACACGCTGAGAGCGTGGGCAACGTGCGCGCTGCTGACGACGCTTTCCTCCGCCAGGAGACTGGACAGCACGGCGCAGTCTTCGATTCCCATGCCCGCTCCTGCGCCGTGGTGCGGCGAGCTGGCGTGTGCTGCGTCGCCGATGATACACACGCGGTCTTTGGCAAATGCTGGCGCTGGATTGTCGCCTAGGTGGAAAATGGCCCACTGTAGTTCATATTCAGTCAGCAACGATGCCCTTCGGTCACATGCAATACAGTCGCAACTCACAATATCCAATTCCGGCTTCGCCAGATGCAACAGCTTCTTCAAGTACGGCGCAAAATCTGCAAAGTCGCGCAACGCATCCTCTCGCTTTGCAGAAGTCGCCAGCCGCGTGCTATCTGGCCACTCCTTCTCTGTCGTATGGAATGCAACGACATTCATGACTTGGCCATGATTGATGTTGAACGTCAGCACGTGCCCTCCCTTCCCCATGTGCATGCAAGCGTTCTGCGCCATCTCCTCGCCCAACACCGCAATGGCGTCCTTCATGGGCACGAGTGCCCGGTAGGCATACTTGTGCGTATACGTCGGAGCGGCGCACGGGTGGTCTGCGCCAAAGAGAATGGAGCGGACACGGGACTTGATGCCGTCGCAGCCGAGAACAGCATGTGCGGCAGCAGTAGACCCGTCCGCGAACTTGAGCGTGTACAATCCGTCGACACGATCGTCATGCGAGACGGAATCAAGTCGTTTCCCGAACACAGCAACATCCGGAGGCAGAATCTTAATCAGCTCGTCGAGGAAATGTGCGCGATGCACGCCCGCCTGCCCGGTACTATTCCGAATGGTGAAGGCAGGCTTCTCCGGCGGCCCGCCTGTGTCGTGATAGCCGTCGTAATAATCAAACCACACGTCCTGCTTCGACTCCCAGATGTTGCGCGTGCGCACGCGCTCGAAAGCATCGTTGATGGCCGGGTGGCAGATCTTCATCGCCTGCACGGCATTGGGGGAGAAGGAGACGCCCGCGCCTATCTCGGCGAAGGAGGGCGCCTGTTCGTAGAGTTTGACGGTCAGGCCGCGGTGGGTGAGGGCAATGGCTAGGGTGAGGCCAGTGATGCCGCCGCCGATGATGGCGTAGTCGATGTCTTGCTTCTTCGGGGCGGACATGTTGCTCGGCCACGAGAGAGGATGTGGTGTGGCTTGTTAGGCGACGCGAGAGGGACGGTTCGTGTTGCGTACCTCCATTCTTCGTCGTCTATGCTATGCTTACAGTATTATATCCTGAACGGAAGGTCGAGACTTGCTGTTAATGACGAGATATGTCAGCTCTCGGCGGCGAAAGGCTGTGGAGCCAGCAGCTCAAATCCGGCATGTGGCAACAGCCCCGGACATCGGACATCCGCCTCCACCGTAGCGGAGTCGTTGATCCGATTGGCAGCGCGAGGTCGGGGTAGATGCAACCACGAATGCGCCTCCACAGGTCTGGACCGCAGGAAGAAGGTGTCATGAGGGAGGTGCAGTACCCGAGTCGGAAGCCGGGCATAGGTCGTCTTATAAACCCGCGTGCAGACCAACCTCACTCCCATCTTAGCAATTCTTCTCCAAAAAGGCAACATCCATCGCAACCAAGTCGATCCAGCCAGCCATCAAAATGCCCGAAACCAACGGCCACCGCTTTGACCCCGGCTTCACGCAGAGCGTCGTGGACGCCATGGGCCCCAACACGCCCGAACGCCTGCGCTTCATCATGAGCCGCCTGATCCCGCACATCCACGATTTCGCGCGCGAGGTGGAGCTGACGGTCGATGAGTGGATGGCGGGCGTAAAGCTGATCAACTGGGCGGGGCAAATGAGCGACGAGCGCCGGAATGAGGGCCAGCTGGTTTGCGATGTTATTGGATTGGAATCGTGCGTTGTTCTTGCTTAGCGGTGTGAGACGGGATGGGCTGCTAACGCGGATATGTCTTTTAGGCTTGTTGACGAGATTACTTACAAGAAGGCGTCGGAGGCCGCGGATGTGGCGACGCAGAGTGCTATCCTTGGCCCCTTCTTCCAAGAAGACAACAAGTTGAGCGAGAACGGCGCTTCCATCTACCTGACCGAGGCCAAGGGTGCCGAAGTCGTGTACATGTACGGCCGGGTGACGGATGCGCAGACCAAGGCGCCTCTCGCCAATGCAACCATCGATGTGTGGCAGGCGTCTACGAACGGTATGCTCTCGCTGTCCACGCTTGTTGGGAGAAAATGCTTGTAAACTGACGATGAGCTTTCGAAAGGTCTTTACCAGCAGCAGGACAAGGATCAGGCGCAGCACAATCTTCGCGGAAAGTTCAAGACGGACGCCGACGGCAACTACGCTTTCTACACCATTCGACCTACGCCTTATCCCGTTCCCTTTGACGGCCCAGCTGGCAAGCTTTTGAAGCTCATGGACCGCCATCCATACCGACCGGCGCACATTCATCTGATCGTAAGTCCGCTCACCGTGCCTCATGCCACTTCTCAGAGATATTGACGAGTTGTTACAGGTCCTGAAAGACGGCTACAAGCCCATCACGACGCAAATCTTCGACAAGGGTAGCGACTACCTGACGAACGACTCAGTCTTCGCCGTCAAGGACTCGCTGGTCGTCGAGTTCGTGCCGCGGAAAGATGACGCCAAAGCGAAGCTTGAGTTGCGCTACGACATTCACATGGGTGGCGCTGCTTCGTCGAAGGGAGGAGAGACGGCGTCGGCCCCGGCTTTGATCAACGGTAACCATTAGGAAGCAATGAAAGGCATGTTTTCGCCGTAGTCCCATGTTTGCGAGCCCTCGAGCCAGTCCAGATTCATTAAGTGCTGTCCGAACCAGGCGTCGTTGAGGCTGTTGAAGTCGAATGGATCGCTTGCTTCGGAGAGTAGGGAAATGTGGTGTTCCAACGGAGGGACGTCCGTTGGCTGCTCTGTAACGTTGTTGGTGGCCTGATGCATCAGAGACGGTGCAGCGGGATCCATCATGCCTCTCGCGCCGTCATTGCCATCTAAAATTGGACGAACATCACCGTTATTTGTCGGCGCCTTGTGCTTCTCGATCTGCTCCCGCAAAGCCCCCAACACCAGAATGGCCTGAGATGCAGACTGGATTTGGCTATCATAGTGGTCGAGGATGGCGATGCAGCGTTTCCAGCACTCTTCGAATTCACTCTCGTCAACGCCAGAGTCCGCGAGCCCACATTTCAGCGAGGCGAGCAGAACGATTGCCGCCGAGAAAGTGACTGCGTGGGTTGTGTGAGTACCACCGTAGTTCAGAGATGGTGCTGCAACTTACAGTATACTGCGTGCCAACCGGAGCTTCGGTAGAGTGTTCCAATATTAGTGTACACCACATTGATCAATCGAAAGGCAGTCCGCAGGCACAGGTTACAGCACGCTCGCACCACATCGCTGTGTAGAGTAGGTTGCTCGGCATTGCCATCTCTCTGCTCGCTCGAAGGCGCGGGGTATTTGGACACCGACAGTAGGAGGGGCCGGAGGAGAAGCAATCGAGTGAGTAGGAAACTGCAGCACATTAGAGCACGCTGGATTGGAGTGTCTCAATGGGCTTACCGGCACTGTAAGACCCGGCGCTGCAATTGAACATGGCCATCCACAACCGACGGGCCTGGAGAAGTGTCCTCGCTGAATTGTAGATACAAGGGTATGCGGGTAGAGAACTGATCCAGTCGATTGTTAAGGTCGAGTATGGACATCAAAAGGCCGTGATTGCGGTTGTGTGTCTCTGAAGTCATCGGAGTGTCGTTCTCGAGCAGTAGGCGAAGCACTTCTTGGAGCAATTCGAAGAGCTGGCAAGAGGACACGAACATTCCGAGTTGTGACGGTTCGTCCGCTGGCTGGTGACCCTCTCCTTGATCTTGGAGATATTCGTCGTCGACCACTGCCGGAAGTGGCACGCGCGAGTTATTGCTTACCATTGGAGGGCGGCCAAACGTCATAGCAAGCAGGCTGCGTCAGTCAGTACAGCAAATGTGCCGTGATGACAAAGGGACCAACCGATCTAGAGAGACACAAACATGCCAAATCCGACGCCGCATCTCCCGTACAAGCTGAGACTCAGCTCTCGCTCCCGCCTGCTCTCGATGCAGACCTATGCTTTGAGCGAGTCTTATTGCAAGGCCAACTACATTCCAACAACGATTGGCATGCTGGGTAGATTGAAGATAAACACCAGATAGCAACAGCAGTTGCACCATCGACTCGGAAGTGGAATCCAACACACTCATTCGATCAGCCTTGCGCGACTTCTGATAAAAGTCATCCGCCACTGCATTCCGTTGCTGTGGAGGAACCAGCTCACTGAATTTGCTCCCAAGGGCGCAGACCAGATTCAATGTCGCATTGAAAATCGGGTCGTCCATCGGAGAGTTGACAGAGTCGTGAAAGCAGAGTTCAAAGTCTTTCATGAAGGTTGGCCGGTGTAGGATCGGAAACGTAGGATGGATGAACTCCCAGTAGCAACGTACAAAGTCGTTGGCATGTCTGCGAGCAGGCAGGACTGGCACGCTGTCCAGCTCTGCGTACATATCATCCACGCGGGCGCCATCATCACCGTTCCCCTGCGACAGGCTGGGCCGTTGCGAAGGCGTACAGGGCTGTGAGCGGCTGCCATTGTGAATGACGTGGCGGAGAAAGGCCACGGTGGACGAGGGTCCGTACAGAGCAGCGTCACGGCTCCCGGCCAAGGTGGCCAAGCCATCGCTTTGCGCCTCCGACCAGGGCGGGGTGGCGGTGTTTGTTGGCGCGGAGTGTACGACGGTAGAGTCACGCAGAGATGGAGCCTGTTCGCCTGGCGTCTGGGGTACATCATCATTGCTCCGAGGTCCTCGCGGATCCACAGCCGTGGAATTCAACCTTCGCCGGCGAAACGCAACGAAATAGCAATGCTGCGCGTCGCCACGCTTCTCGCAAGCAACGCATATCGGCCGTCGCCCATCGCAGCGAGTCTTCCTCTCCCGACCTAGCCAATCGCAGTCAGCGAAAGCAACATCCGAGGCCACTACTACAGCCTTTGCAATGCTGTGCGCAACAACTCACACAGCTCACAAGCATGCGAGATCTTCTGGCGCTTCCGCGCCGACTCTCCTCCGGTCGGATTTCGGAGGGGAGCGACAGCGACAGCAGGCAGCTCGGGGGGCGGGTGCCTCTCCGTGGCCGTGGCGGAAGTCGGTATACTCATGATTTCTCCATCGACTGCTTTGCCGACGGAAGTAGACCCGATACGTGCCCCGATCTCGTAATGCAAACGAGATTGCAGTACTGTACACGGGCCGGTACCCATGAAGTGCAGTCGGAGCTCGCGTGGGGTCCAGCCGGAAGCTCCTTCCCCGCGTCGGATTTCCGGATGTCGCGTCTCCCCCACTACACTTCTACGCCATCCGTCATGGCAAAGCACACTTCACCTCCGCCGGAAGGAGAGATGGAGCTAGAGGAACTCTGGAGAAACGAATGGGCGGGGAAAGGCGCTCGCGCCGCTCTTCTCTCAGACATATATGTAGGGACCTGCAGACCACCTTGATTCCATTCAATCCAGCTGCTCCCTCCGCAAGGCTACCGAGAACATTCCAACCCACTTCCGTCTCTCACAATGGCCCCGAACACCAACACAACCGTAATCTTCGTCCCAGGCGCCTGGCACGGCCCCGAATTCTTCTCCGAAGTACGCCAGCACCTCGAGGCGCAGGGCTACGCAACAGACGCCGTCTCGCTCAAATCCGTCGGGCCCGCAGAGCACCTCAAAGACTTCGGGCCGGACGTCAAGCTAATCCAGGAGCACATTGGGCGCGCGGCGGACGCGGGGCAGGAGGTGGTGCTCGTGTGCCATTCGTATGGCGCGATGCCGGCGACGGAGTGCGTGCAGGGCTATGAGGTGGAGACGCGCGCAAAGGCCGGGAAGAAGGGCGGGGTGCGGCATGTGTGCTATTTGGCGGCGTTTATTATCGCCGAGGGGAATTCGCTGATTAGTGCTTTCGGGGGGGATTTGCCTTGGTTCAACATCAGTGAGGACAAGCAGGAGGTAAATCCGGATGGGCCTGGTTTCGTCTTCTACAACGACGTGTCGGACGAGAAGGCGCAGGCGGCAATCAAGGAGTTGAAGCCGCACAGCTATCAGACGCTGCATAGCCCGCTGACTTACGCTGCGTGGAAGCACGTGCCGGCTTCTTACATTTACACCACGAACGACAATGCGATTCCCCTGCATATCCAGAAGATGATGGTGGAGGAGGTGGGCAAGGGTTACGACATCCGGACCGAGACCTTGGACGCGTCGCATAGCCCATTCTTGAGCGTGCCGAAGGAGACGGCCGCGGCGATTGCAAAGGTGTCGGCATAGCGAGGGAATGGTTGGCAGTAGGTGTAGCAACAGCAGAGATCTCCAATAGCGCAAGCTGCAATCGCGGGCATGGCCTCATCCCAGAGAGATAGCAGTTTCTCCACCAGGTTTCCGGTATGCTGCAGAGTTTGTGAGCCGTTTTGCAATAGCGGCGAGAGTAGTCCAGTCATCCAGTGTTCGTAGAAAGTCTATGCAGACCCAAGATCATCCGCCCAACTCCAAACTCCAAGCCCCCTTCCTCACATCCTGCACCCTTGCCCCAACCTCCGAATGCGCACTCCCCGACCCCCCATACCCACTATCCAACCCACTCACATCATCCAGCTCCTCGTCAAAATCAATATCAAAGTCTGGCTCGGCCCTCTTCGTGCTGTGCTGACCATCCTCCAAAAACTCCCCGCCCTCCCCTCCCTCCCACTGCTTCTGCTCCGCGGCGCGCGTGTTCCAGCGCAGGGTGCGGGAGATGCTATCGAACCACTCCATCGGCTGGCCCATGACGGTCGGAAAGGGGTACTGCGAAGCGCGGACGACCACTTCGTCGCCGCGGCCGAGTTGGACGCGGCCTTTGCCGTCGAAGGAGACGAAGGCGCCGCCGCGGCCGTTGGAGGGGATGGCGACTTTGAGCGCCATGTCATCGTTGAGCAGCATGGGGCGGAAGGATAATGTGTGCGGGCAGATTGGAGTGAGGAGGATGGCGGGGATGTCGGGATGGACTAGTGAGCCGCCGGCGGAGAGGGAGTATGCCGTGGAGCCTGTTGGGGTCGAGAGGATGATGCCGTCCGCGGAGATGCGGGTGAGGAGACTGTCGTTTGCGTAGAGGTCGAGAGAGGAGATGTAGGAGCTCGGGCCGCGGTCAATCACAAGCTCATTCAAGATTTCGTGCGTTTCTCCTTCGATTTTTGAATGGGTGCCGAAACTCTGAGCTTCTTGAGCGGGAAGGGTTGAGTTGGTGGTGCTCACACCGGCCGTGGATGGGTGAGAAGTGTATGATGCCGCGGATCGATAGACGGTACACGTGAAGCGCATGCGCATGTTAACGCGCATGCCCGCATCGCCCATGATGTGGTTGAGCTGGGGTTTGTAGCTTTGATAATCGAAGTTCGTGAGGAAACCCAGCGAGCCAAGCGAGAAGGCCAAAACGGGAGGGACGATGCGTTGGAAGAGCCAAGAAGTGTACAAGACGGTGCCATCTCCTCCAAGCGTAATGACCAAATCGAAGAGCTCCGGTCGTTCCAGGCACAGATCGGGTGTCCAGTAACTGAGCATCGCCTCAAACCCCGGGTCCTGCTGCAATAAGCCCTCGACATCAAAACGCCTGCTTCTTTTCAACTTCGCGTCCACCCAGACATTGACGCCAGTGTCTTTGCCATTCCTTGGCGTCGCCAACAGCCATTGCGCCAACTCTCTTGTCAACGTGACCAGCTCATTGTCCCTCGCCTTGGTGACGATCATGATGTTCTTGACCGCTCGCTTCAAAGGTCTCCGCTGGAGTTGCCGACTAACTTCACGCACACTGGCAGCGGTCTGCATCAACCTGCTGTGACTGAGTTGCACATCCTGCCTGATTTCGTCGAGCACTTTTTCTATATCTATCGCATCTCCAAATCTCTTATGAAAGTAGCACGGGCTCGTGAGGGCCGCGAGGCGTGCCATGGACGGGGTTGATGAAAATAGGTCAAAACGACTGATGGCAGCGCTAATCTCCTCTTTCTCCTTGGGTGTGCGCGATCGTGAGCCCATCTTCTCCTCCAATTCCAGTTCGTTTACGGCCTGCGCAACGAAGATGTGAGGAGCGGGCATGGGCAGGGCGGGAGCGCCGGTGGAGAAGCGGCGGGGAGTGGCATCGAGGGTGGGGAAGCCTCCGGGGCGGTCGAAGGAGTCGCGACGGAGAGGGGTGCGGGAGATGGTCTCGGCCATGGCTGATCGGCCTTTGAGTTGGGGAGTGACGGGGTGAGAGGCGGCTTGTTTTCCCTCCATTTTGAGTCGTATGGGGTGTGAGGATGGAGAAGAACGACCGTTGCGATTCCGGGACAGGTTCGACAGCGCTCACGGAGGCAGATGGGCCTGGTTACCGTCGGATTTGCCGGTGTCGCATGTAGGTAACGGCGGGCAGGTGGATGGACCTAGGGCTGAAGACGACGTGGGAGATTAGCGAGGCCATTTCGACGACATTTCACGGTAGCAGGTAATGGTGGTGGGGTGTGGGAAGGGGTGTGGGAAGGATGAAGTCGAATGCTGATGACATTCCATCATTTGCGACTCTCGCTGCCGTGACGTCGGGCCGAGAGCGGAACAAAGCACGGCATTGCTGACTGTCCGGAGCCAAGCAACATAAACGTGCTCACTGATATGTTGGACTACATCCACTCCTATAACATCCACGATTCAATGTCACACTGCAGAGTCCACTAACCGACACGCACGAAGAAACAATCGCATTAATTCTAGCTGCCGAATCCCCTGAATCCCTTTGGGTATCTCATTCTCAAACTCTCACACAAGCCGCTTCCCACACTCACTTAGCCGCCTCCTGCTGCTTCTGAATATCAGCTTCAGCACCTCTCTGCAGCGTCTTGCCAGTATCATGCTGCTCCTCCCGACGCGCCTGCTCAGCCCGATCGCCCGTCAGACCAGCAACAGCCCCCCCAACAGTCCCAGCAACACGATCACCAATCCCCTTGCCCAAATCGCTCAATTGGCCCTGCGCCTCCTGCGCCTTGCCCTCTGCATTCTGCTTCTCGCCCGCTTGCTTGAGGTTCTCGTTGCCCACCAGGCCGCCCACGGCTTCCTTGGCCGAGCCAATGGTTTGGTTCCACGAGCCTTGCTCGCGCTGGGGATCGTTCTTCGCTACGCCTGAGGCGGAGACGGAGACGCCGCCTACGCTGGCGCCGGCTTCGCTGACTTCTTTCTTTGCTTGGCCTTCGGCTCGCTTGTCTTCGCCTTGCTTCTGTGATGGGTAGAGGGGTTAGCTGCGTTTGCGTAGTGGGTGGGCACCTGTTGGGGCGAGAGTGGTACCTTGTCAGCTGCGTTGCCGGTGACGGAGCCAACGGCGCTCTGAATCATGCCAGAGGCCTGGGAGATGCGTCAGTGAGCGAGCTCCAGTATGAGATGCCACCTGTGCCACTTACCGAGTCAAGGTACGACTGAAGGGTGGAAGTTTCCTTGTCCGACATGTTGAACTGTAGAAGTGGTGGAAGTGTTTGAAGTGGTGAGTGGTGTGAGTCTGTGGAAGTGGAAGGGTTTGTGGCGATTGAGAAGAGAAATATGGAAGACAAGTTGCCAGGCCAGCACACGAGATTCTTGAGCTTCATATGAAACGCGCATGCCTCTTACGTCATGTCACACGTTCCCTCACGCCGTCGCAAGCCAACGGCGACGGCATCGCTACTTTCGTGCACGTGCCGAAGGACTATCACAACAGTCGTGCGGAAAGCAGATTCCAGAAGAATCTTGATATGAACAGACCAAGAGACACCCAAGTACATGCACGGCACGGCCTTTTCCGATCGTCAGGTCCGGCTTCCGCATCCGGCGAGAATAACACCAGGCTGCATGGTAAAGCTCATGCTCGCCGATCGACAGATAACTACAACGTCTTCTCTTTCCCGCCCAACCCCTTCTGCATCGCCATCCACTCCCCAACAATACCCCGATAGTCCTGCGCGGAATACGCGCCCCAAAACACCTCTCCAATCCACCCCCACCCCTTCCTCCAACTCCTCAGCCCCAGATCCCTCAGCAAGAGGTCGTAATACGGCAGGCCGTCGAGCAAGAGGTCCGCCTGCTTGCCCTGCATGCCCAGCGCGGCGCGGAATTTGCCAAACCGTGTCCAAAGCGATATCTCGCGCCTTGCATCGCTCTCCGTTGGAGTGGGGATCGCGAGGCGGTCGTGCAGGTATGCGTAGGCCCAGAGAGACGTCACTTCGCATTTGATGACGGTCTGGAAGCTGGCGACGGCGTTGAGGAAGACTAGGTTGCGCCCTTTGGCGCTGTTGTTGATTTGTGATGGTGGGGCGAGAAAGCGCCATAAGCGCCAGGGAGTCAATGACGGGGTGCGTTCCGGTTTGGATGGAGCGTGGAGCATTAGAGGGAACTGAGAGACGATTTGCCGGTCTGATTTGGCGTCGAGGTCGGGGTAGATGTTGTCTTGGTGCTCTGATAGGTCAATTGGACAGCCTCGACTGAGGTTTTTGGATGCCGGCTCCAAGGGAATGCCTGTGCTGTGATTGTAGCCCGTTGCAAGGATGATGGCGTCGGTGTTCAGAACATCGCCGCTGTCCATGTGAATCCGACTGCCATCAATGTAGTCAATCTTTCCCGTGGCCACTGATACTTTGTTCTCGTTCAACAGATCGTAAAAGTTGGTGTCATAGTTGAGGGCGCTGACCTGCGTGCCGTAGAACATTGGCGTATCGCGAGGTAGCAGAACCTGGGCCTTTTGGTTGTCCATGATGCCCGATTCCTGAAGAGCCTGGCCGCCGGTGGTCTCCCAGTAGCCTTTGACGAGGCGATTCCCAAGCGAGGTGCCATGGAGGAAGCGTCTGATCCAGCCAAAGCCATCACCGACGCTCCAAGGGGCCGGTCCAAGCCACGTGATGGGACGAAACATGAGTACCGCTTCGACAAAGATTGTCCACGAGCCCAGCTTGGAAGACGGCTTTGCCATGGGCACCGCACCGCGACTTGGTAGTATCCAGTCGACGTGTTTGCCCGCGCTCGCGAAAATGTACACCGCGTCGTGAGCAGATTTCGCGCCTCCGATGACGACGACGTTCTTGACGTTCTCGTCGTCAACGATGCCGGGAGCGGCACGTCCGAGGTCAAAGGTGTGCACAACCGGTCCCTTGAACTATGACGACAAGCCCTTGAGCGGTGGCTTGTATGGCGAAGAGTAGGAGCCCGTAGCCATGACCAGTTTCTTGCACCTGATTGTGCTCATGCTCTCGCCATCTCCTGGATTCGAGCTCTCACAGTCCAGTGTCCAGCCCGCATCGCCATTCTCGGCGCCATCTTCCCGAGCGCGTATGATCTCGGTGCAAAGGCGGATGTGTCTGTTAAGGTCAAAGTGCTTTGCAAAGTTCTCCAAGTAAGCATGCATCTGATTCCCAGAGATGTGGGCACGACGTTTCACGCCAACATCCGCCGCTAGGACAGGATAGTCGGAGAACTCGAAGTAGCCTTGCACACTGTTGGTGCGAAGGCCGGGGTAGAGTTGCTCTTTCGACCAGACTCCGCCAATGGTTGACTTGGGATCGACGACTAGGAGGGATAAGTCGGGGTCGATGGTCAAGAAGGTGTGGGCGGCGCTGAGGCCGCACACTCCTGCCCCTACCACAACCACATCGTACTGCTCCATGGTCAGTTCGCGATGAGATTGAGGCACAAAGGGATTCCTGACCTGGGGCTGAAAGGCAGCGGACTTATAGAATCGGCAGCATTCCTCAGCCCTAGATCATCTAAACTCGTCGGGGAATGTACCGCATTACATAATCGTCATGGTGTTCGCGCAACGAGGCCAGGACGGCACGTAGATGAGACATTGATCTGCTGGTGTCATCGTGACTACAAAGGTCGAGAAGACATATTCGCGCCTGGACAACGACGCCCAGCTTCCAACCTTTGAGCCCATCAGCCACGGAGCACGTTATGCGATTCCACAAAGACGAGAATGTAAGGTAGTACAGGAGGGATTGGGTTTCCTGAGGTACCTGAACGTTCATGGGGGTGCGGGATGAGCATGCTCGGACTCTGGCCTTCCCGTTTCGTCCAACTTCCGCATTCGGCGAGGATGGAGGTTCGACGTCATCGCCGAAAAGCTTACCTTACCCTTTGCCGGCAATCACTTTTGACAACATGAAACGGGGCAGGAGCACGGGGAAGGCAAATTGGCCGTCCCAAGCATCCACGCGTCGGCGTGAGATCAACAGAACTTTCTCCTTTCGATTACCAACCACCGTCTTCAATTCATCCGTCAAGTCGAACTCACGCATCTGTCTCATATAAATTCAATCTTCATACACTTCTTTTCTTTCCTTTCAACACGCAGCTTCATATCTCTCCCATCCCAACACCCTCCACCATGGCCCCAAGCGCACGCTATGAGTCCGACAACCTCGACCCCGCCCCGCTGGGCAAACCCCTCGCCTTCCCCTTCAGCGGCCGCACAGCCTCCAACCGCTTCATGAAAGCCGCCATGACAGAGCGCATCTCCTCCTGGGACCCCAAAACACCCGAGGTGCGCGGCGTGCCGTCCAAAGAGCTGATCAACGTGTACAAACGCTGGGGCGAGGGCGGGTACGGCGTGGTGCTAACGGGCAATATTCTCATCGACTACATCAACCTGGAGGCGCGGGGAAATCCGATTATCCCGGCTGATGCGCCGTTCGAGGGCGAGAGGTTTGAAGCGTTTCAAGAGATGGCGGCGCAGGGGACGAAGGAGGGGAGTCTGCTTGTTGGGCAGGTTAGTCATCCTGGGCGCCAGGTGCAGGATAAGTTGCAGCCGCATCCTGTCTCGGCGTCGGCGGTGCAGTTGGAGGGGAACACGATGGGCATGACGTTTGCTAAGCCGCGCGCTGCCACGGAGGAGGACATTAAAGGTTTTATTGAAGGCTGGGCGCACGCCGCGGAGTACTTGGAGCGAGCGGGATACGACGGAATCCAGCTGCACGGTGGTATGTCTCCCCCTCTGTCCTCCTTCATCACATCGCACACCAGACTAACCTCTCCACGCAGCCCACGGCTACCTCCTCGCCCAATTCATCTCCCAAACCACCAACCACCGCACAGACGCCTACGGCGGCAGTCTCGAGAACCGCGCGCGCCTCATCACCGACATCGCCAAGGCCGTGCGCGCCCGCACGAAGCCCTCCTTCATCCTCGGCATCAAGCTCAACAGCGTCGAGTTCCAAGAAAAAGGGCTGCAGCCCGACGAAGCCAAAGAACTCTGCAAGCTCCTCGAAGGCGCGACGTTTGATTTCGTCGAGCTGAGCGGCGGCACGTATCAGCAATTGGCGTTCCAGCATCAGCGCGAGAGCACGCGCAAGCGCGAGGGCTTCTTCCTCGAGTGGGCGGAATTGATCGCGCCGGCGCTGAAGAAGACGAAAGTCTACGTGAGTCTCTTCACCCCATCTTCCTCCCAGACGACTGTTTACTAACTGTGAATGTAAAGGTCACCGGCGGCTTCAAAACCGTTGGCGCAATGGTCTCCGCCCTCGACGCCGTGGACGGCGTCGGCCTCGGACGCCCCGCGTGCCAAGAGCCGCGCCTCCCGCACGACATCCTCAGCGGCAAAATCAAAGGCGCCATCAAAATGGGCTTCGACGAGGACGACTTTGGCTCGACGGTGGTGGCGGCGGGGACGCACATTGGGGAAATCGGCAAGGACCAGGAGCCGCTGGATCTCAGCCGGGAGGAGAATCTGCAGGGGTATATGAAGGATTTCGCGGCGTTTCGGGAGAAGATGGCGCAGGATACGGAGATGAGGGAGCAGGCTTATGTGGATGTGAAGAGTGTGCCGTTGGCGCCTTATGGGAGCGTTGGGGTGTAGAAGGAGATGGGGAGGCTTAGAATTTAGAGGTAGATTTCATGAGTGATATGTCGTTGGTCATGATGGACGAAATACATCCGCCTCCTTCACATCCATCACCAGCATGTGTCCCGGAGCATGGCCCATCACGATGCCGGGAATTCTCGCCTTCATCACCGCTTCCTGCGGCGTCACACCGCAGCCCCAGAAAACAGGCACGATCCCATCCGTCTTGTGCTCCTCTACACTGCGGACAACCACGGAGTCGTCGGCGATAACAGGCGGGTCGCCCCAGTCCGGTCTATCTATGTTGGTAATGCCCAGCGTCTCCAAACTGTCCCAGCCCCAGGCAATCGGCTCGCCGTGAGTGGCAATAAATCTTCTAGTGACGTCGCGCACCAGTGAAACTTCACTTTCATGGTAGTAACGCATGGAGACGACATACTTGGACCCCGTGAAGGCACCCGCAGGACAGAGAGGAATTTTCGTCCGATACATGGGAACAGTGCAGTCTCTGGCGATGTGCGCCGGGGGAAGGCCAGCTTTAGTCAAAGCATCTTCAAAGCTGAAGGAGCAGCCGATGAGGAACGCTACGTGATCCTTAGGGTCCCAGTGCTTTTCGAGACTGTCGATATGGTCTGCGACCAGCACGCCGTCTTTGTACACGTTGTATCGTGGAAGATCGTGACGGATATCCAGGCCAAAAGCGATTTGACTGTCCGCAATGCCAGGCATACGAGACTGGAAGTTTGTAAAATCGCCGGGTGCTTTGGAGATGGCGAGTAATGGGCATGGCACGGTGTTGCGAGCGCACAGAATCTCAAAGTCGGGGGCGAACTCCGCGGGTAGGACGATGAGGTTGGCTTGAAGATAACCAGGCGCGACTCCAGATGTCGGTGCATCCCAGAGATTGGCGCGGCAGAGCTTTCGTACCTCCCGGACGGTCGTCGGCAGAGTAGCTGTGCGTCCCTGGGCCATGATTGTTCAGGGCAGAGAAGGTCCGATTGCGAATCAAGCTGCCAGAGCTCGATTTCCAGGAGTGGTGTTCAGCTGCGAACACCGACAGCAGTGCCCGTCAGGCCTTGCTCGACGCCTTGCACGCCTTCCAAGCCCTCGATGCCTTTTTCATGCAGGACGTCGACGTCAAGTTCTTCCATGACCTGCACGACGACGCTCAGAGACTCGAAGAAGCCGTTCACTGCCACGCGAAGCATGCGGGGAGTGGTGGCTTTATAATGGACTTGCAGGACAGCGTTGGAGTCTGGCTGCGCTATATCACCAGAAAGGCCGTTGGTCGCTGAGACGAGATCAAAATCCCGCTTGACGAGTGCGGACAGCTCCTGATCGACAGCCAGGCTGCGGAGAGCGGCTGTCGCTAGCCTCTGGGATGGAAATGGAATTTCGATTGTTCTGTTCGGGAGGGTGTCAGACAGAAGCAATCACAGGTTGCTTTGTGATCGCTTACAAGGAATGAGGAAATGCCTCATCAATGGGGAGGGATGACATGACGCGAGAGTGGCGATGAGATGGATGTGACGGTGATCGGGAAAAGCAATCTCGATGCAAGGATGCTGGGGAGGAAAAAGGATGCAGGCTGCACGTGGATTGGGGGCTTGGTTGGCTGCGGCCCCACACGATGCAGTGACGCACGGGCGTTGCGGGGTGCGTCTTTCACATGCCACGGACATCAAACAATGAATGATGGCATCGGAAGCATTGGGTGGTGCAGGGGAACACGGTAAGGTATTCAGAGGTATACATGACACTCCCTCGCAGCCTTCCTTCATTTCTCTCTCTTTAACCACTCATCTACCATCCACATAACAAAACATCTACTATCACCTCTCAGCCTCCCCGAGTACTCTCGAAAATGTCTCAAACCTCTCCATCCGAGTTCCTAACCTTCTACCGCACCATCCGCGCCACATCCACCTTCACCCAAGCATCCTCAAAATCTCTCCTCAGACCCAATCCCGCTCGCTCCTTCACATCCTCTGTTCCCAAGCCGAGCGGGAGCACCAAGGGCACGCTGAAAGCACCTACCATGCAGCAACCTATCAAGAAAAGGTGTGTTGTGGAATCTCGAGTTTGATGCTTCAGAAGCTGACTCACCCCCCTTGCAGCTGAGTAGATGAGTATAGAAGGGGCGGAGTTGGATGGACGGCGTCAATGCTGAGGCGTCATCTGATGAGTTTATTACCAGGCATGGGGCCAAGGTCAGGCGAACAGCGTAGTCAGCCTTGCATTCATGTAGTCCCCTGCGAACCATTACATCCAAGCCAGAACCAACCCTACACATTCAACGACTTGTTGGAGAACCACCGATTGAACCACGCCACAGCCTGCGCCTCCGCCCGCTTCCCACGCTCCGCCTCCTCCTTGTCATCTTCGTCTGCTCGCACTATGATTCCTCAAAGTTAGCCTCATTCCCCTCAAACCAACAGGCAAGATCATCACCACTTACCCGCAAACCCATGATGAGCACCATGGTACATGACAAACTCATGCTCAACCCCCTTCCCCTTCGACTCCTCCGTCTTCTTCTTCAAAATCTCCTCCGTCTGCTTCGCCTGCGCGGGGCTCATCATCTGATCATGCTCCGACGCCGCAACAGCATACGGCAGCACCACCTTCTCAATATCCCCCGGGTACGTGAGATTAGACGGGTGCGCCACAAAGCCGCAAACAGTGACCTGCTTCCCCTCGTCCGTCTTGTTCTCTGCCCCGTTCCAACAAAGCCTCGTCACGAACGGCCCGCCCCAGCAGAAACCGGCTGTGGCGATGGACAGGTCTTTGGCCTCGTTGCTTTTGAGCGCTTTGAGGAAGCCGAAGACTCGGGGCTCCGAGACGGCGGCGCGGTTGGCGATGAGGAAGGGCGCGAGGTAGCGGATGCAGTAGGCCAGATGCCCGATTTTGTAGAGCTGGTTCCAGAAGCCGGTGGCGGAGAGGGCTTTGAATCTGTGCCGCTGGATATTAGCATATGCAGAAGATTGGGGGCGAGATATGCATACGATATCATCACGTCCATCGGCGGAGCCCATCCTGTTTTCCAGTCTCATCAGCACACGCTCCACTCCGTTGCAAGCTGGATCATCATTTCATACCGCCTTGGAACTCGGGAAGATACACTTTCACATTCCCTTCTTTGGCATAGCAGTCGGCGAGGATGCGATTGTTGGGCAACTCCCACCCAAACGCATCGGGGATGATGACCACCACGCCCTTCGGTTGACCGCCAGGAGCTTCAGCGACATAGCAATCCAATCCGTGCACCTTCTCGACTGTGCCCGTGGGCGTGCCCGTGTGCAGGGAGCCAGTGGCGCAGCATTGTCCAAGAGGGGGCATTATGTCTGTGGTGGGGGTGGGGTCACAAACGATGAAGAACAGACTGCTTTTCAAAGTCTCACAAATGGCAATTCCAAGATTGGCGAGCCCAGGTATGACTTTATTCGCGCAGGGAATGTCGTCGTCAGTTCTGCACGGGGTCTGCAAATCGATAAGGCTCGGAGTTTCGGAGGCTAAACTCCGTGTGCGCCCCATCCGACATCGCCTTTCGGAGGAACAATCTCTCCATTGGAAGACACGCTGAGAATACAACGGTACACGGTAGTGGAAGTTAATGGTGTCACGGTCGGATGGTTATTCGATGCCCCGATCGTTTCCTGGCGCGGCGCTGAGTGTTCTTGTCCAAAATCGTGGGCATGAAAGAGGTTGGTGCCTAAGGCGCTAAAGAATCTTGTCTCAAAACTTTATCTCGACCTCAGGAAAGACGACATCTGAACGTATACCAGCACGTGAAGTGCGGCTGGGAATAGACATTGCAGTCTGATACGATGGTTTGTTCCTCTCCCTCACTTTTGAATTTCTCATGTATAACCTATGCTAACCTCCGCGACAAGGTACACGCCGACTCCTCCACCTTCCGCGAAGGCGTCGACAAAAGAGAAGCATACGAGCAAGTCCTCGAGCAAGCGAAAGCGCTATTCGAAGGCCAACGGAATTGGGTTGGTCCTCCATGCTTTATCAGTCTCCTTTTCTTCTACTCTGTACGTTTGTAAAATCGCAAAGCACTAACCCTACAACCCACAAATCCGCAGGTCTGGTAAGCCAAAACCCCTGCCCTTCACCACTCCCATCCACATCTAACTCAAGGCAAAAACCAGCAACACGTCCAACACCGCCTCCCTCCTCTGGCACGCCCTGCACGCCCTTCCCGGCGCCAGCGCGCAAACAAACTGGGCAGGCTTCTACGTGCTCGACGCCCGCAACCCCGCCCAGCTCATCCTAGGCCCCTTCCAGGGTAAAGTAGCCTGCCAGACGATCGCATTCGGGAAAGGCGTGTGCGGCGCGGCGGCGCAGAGTCGAAGGACGCAGTTGGTGCCGGATGTGGAGAAGTTCCCCGGGCATATTGCGTGTGATGGGGCGTCGAGGAGTGAGATTGTTGTGCCGGTTCTGAAGCGGGGGAAGGTAGGTTTCTCATTTCTTCTTCGCTGGTGGATGAGGGTGGGAGGCTGATGATGGCGTAGGTTGTGGCGATTATTGATATCGATTGCGCGGTGGAGAATGGGTTTGACGAAGACGATCAGAAGCAATTAGAGGCGCTTGCGGAACTGCTCGCCGAGGCTTGCGATTGGTAGAAGAAGCAATGGAGAGGTTGCATGCCTTCACGATCAGTGTTGCGGTTTGAGATGTGAATACCTATCTGCGACAATGCATATAGAGAATGTAGAGGCGCTCAACAGCCATCATCAGAATCCCCATCAAGGGGACCCATCCCCGTCTCCATCCTCTCCTCCCCGCTCCCCACCCACTGACCCCAGCACTCCTCAGCAAACTCCTCCGAAATATACCCGCGGTCTATCGCAGCCTCAATCTCGAATGCCACCAGAGTGTCCAGCCGCCGCAAATCGAGGCCAAACGACAGCCACTCATGAACGGACACAGTGAAAATATGTCGCACAGACTCCGGCGGCGCGGCTTGCCAGCGATACATCTCGAGCACGCCCGCTCGCGTCCAGGCGAAGGATGCAACACGTATGGACTCGTGCGCAGCGTGGACCCACCACTCGGCTGTGCCGGGGAGAGTGCCGCGCTGGAGAGTGAGGTGGGTGCGGGCTTCTCGATACCATAGTTCCTCCGCTGCTTGGGCGTGCCCTACCTGCCGTGCGTACGCTTCATGCAGGTCGAGAGCAACCCGATGTGCCCATTCGTGTTCGACTCCTCGCTGGAACGCTGCGATCTCCTCCGCGGTGGCGGCTGGCCGGGTCGCAGGTTGTTGTGCAGCATCTGCAGACTGGAGCTCCATCTGGCGCTTAAGCTGATGCGTGACAACAGCCTGCTCCGTCGCCCTCTGCTGTGTAAGCCGGTGTGCGTCGGCGGCCTGCTGCATCAGCATCCCCCGGTACGCGAGCAGGGCATCTAGATTTCGCGGCGGAAGGATGGTCGGTAGGGGAACACGGTCCTCAGGAAGGCGAGACAGTGCAGGGCGGTAAGGCAACCTCACCAGACCCTGGTGCGCTGGGTCAGGATTTTCTATTGTATCCTCAGCATACCCACTCTGATGAGGCCCTGCTACATTGAGCGGCGGCGGCACAAGTAGCGGTAGAGTATTTTCGTCCTCAGGTAGTGTTGGCATGGAACCGCTCGGCCCAGGGAGGCGACTCTGCAGCCGCCGAATGGAGTCTGCCATGCGCTCCATCTCCTGAAGCTCCCGGCGCGTCTGCTGCAGCGCCGCCCAGGCCTTTTTGTACTCCTTTTTGTACTCTGTCAAGAGTACAGAAAGCTCGCGACCCAGCCAAATAGCCTCACGGAGCGCTGCCCACGCGCATGTGCAGAATCGGATGGTGGGCGGATCGCCTCGCCGGAGAATCCACAGTAGCCGCTAGCTTTGAAGGAAGAGGCGAAACATCTGCTGGGCATTCGTGGCGTTTGATTGGCGCAAGCCTATGGCTAGATCGATCAATTGAAGGAGTGGGAGAATGTTTGATAGGCCGATGGGCACCAATTCATTGGCCCCTGGTTCGGCCGCCCATGGGCACGGCACTTGGGGCAGGAGTTGTCGGGGTGTTTGATGATGTCGCCGCACCGTGGCAGCGTTGTCACTCGTCGGCGGTGCGTAACTTTGACCCAATGTCGGCTGCCAGATGACCGGATGGCTCCAGCGTTGACAATGGTGATGATGGTGGCCGCTGCGGGGGGCCCGTAAGAGAGGCACGGGTGCGGTGTGAGCCATAGCCCGAATGCGCTGCTGAAGTCCAGTTTCTGCGGGTCGCGAGGAGCCGGCAGAGCCGTGGGAAAACGGGTTGGGAATTAGAAAGCGGAACGTGCCCCGATTCCCGCGATTGGGGGTAAATTGGAATCGTGCACGACGCACAGGGGCTCGTCGAGCTGATGCGATTGGAACTGGAACGATTGATCGTTCTGGGACGGAGCGGCTTGCCATATCGTGTTCTTCAGCTCCGACTGGCAGTTGGGGTTGAGCCGCTGCATCGTGTTCCCGAGCCTCAGGAATCATGACTGCTGTAGGCGCCGGCGTCCCAGGCACAGGCGTCCCAGGCGGTGGATGATCGGCTTCCGCAGAAGAGTTCCGCGACCGATGTGGACGAAGACGTGCCAAAAGTCTCTGGAATCGCCTTGACCGAAGAGTACCAGCCGCCGCGGCGGCTTGCTCTTCCTCCGCACCTGGTCGACGGCGAGTCCGCGGCAGAGGATGGGCATGTGGGAGCACGACTGGGGCCGCTGGTCGCTCCGGGGGAGACGGTCGTGGTGTTTCCTCGTGGACTTGAGTCTCTATTGAGCTGAGAGTTGCGGGGCGTACGGGTGACGGATGGTGGATTTGGGTTTCAATGGAGCTGGGACTCGCTGGGCGTACGGGTGACGGATGGTGAATCTGAGTCTCAACGGAGCTGGGACTTGCCGGACGTACGGGCGTCCTCGGCGTTGGAACAGATTGGTCGGAAGCAGACGATGTCCGCGTCAAGTCTGGCAAGTCCGTAGTCCAGACTGGATACACCGTTACGGCTTCCTGTTGATTGCCTGCCTCTTCGACGGCTTGCAGCGAAGCGCCCGGGGAGAGAACGTTGGCTTCGACAGCCGAATGTCTCGCATGTCCGAGTGTGGCTCTCAGAGAACTCAATTGGGTCAACAACGCATCTCTGTATCGTCTCAGGCGCTCCACCTCCGCGAATAGCTGGTCGAGCGGCACGTCCTCTAAGTCTTGATTTCCCCGTGCCGACATATCAGTCCCTGATGCGCGAAGTTCCTGGCGCTCGTGCAACACTTCGGCCACCGGACACTCTGCTTCGGCGCGCAGGTCGTTCCGGATTGCTTCCGCGGCTTCGCGCTCAATCGTTTCGAAGTGGCGGCGTACTTGGACGGAAGCTTCACGGATGGGGTCCAGATGCTCGAGGGCCTCCAACCCTTCTTGTTCATCAGAGAGATACTCTTGCGAGTGTGTCGTAGTCTGGCGTTGCTCGAAAACGACGTATTGACGATTGTCAGGCCAGTAGTATTCGCACGCCAGCCACGAGCCGAGTGAGTCCATATTTGATGGTTGGACAACGAAGGACATCAGACTGGAGGTGTGAAGCTCAACCCGTTTCAAACGCAGCAGGCGCAACAGCCAGCACGACAGCCAAGCTGGCGCTGATCAAGGCCGTGGCAACAAAACTAACGAGTAGGATGCTCCCTCTCGAGGCGGGAAACTTGCCACGGATAACGTAGTGCTGGGATTCGAAATAGCGATGGAAACCGAGGAGAAGGATGAGAATAGCTGGATGTCACAGTCAGCATTGCATCACCGAGTAGAGGGGATTATTGGTAGTACAGACCGATGGCGAGAAAAGTGGCGCCCAAAGGTTTACCCACTTGTCGTAAGCGATGCGGGTCAGCGACGGTGTTGTCACGTTGTTGAGATTGTTGCACGAGTAGTAATTCGGGGGATGATGATGAGGAATCCGAGAGGGCAGAGTTGGCGCCTTTGACGCCGGAGAGGGAGGTGTTGAGGCGGAAGAGCTGGGTGACGGCGATGCCGATGCTGGCGAAGGAGAGGGAGGTGCGTAGCCATGCGAGGAATGTGCGTTCTGCGTGTGTGAGCGGGTGTGAAGAAGAGCAGAAGGAAGGGATAGAACATACCGAGAGCAAGATGGTCTCGGGCCACGCTTCCCTTGTTCTCCAATTCGATACTTCCGTACTTATCCAGTAATCTCCTCCACCAACCCGCATGTTCATCTCCATCCTCTTCTCCGTCCTCGTCAGATTGCCGGTCTGTTCTTACCGGCTGTGGCCCTCGCAGACTATTCCTGCCCCGACCAACATTACTCCTGCGCTTCTTCACAGTGCCCAACTGCTCATTGTTCTCCTCTTGCCCATTTGCGCCATCCATCAAACCAGCCTGCCTAGACTCGTCGTCCTCGTCGAGAGCACCGTAATTGGCGTCCCTGCCAGCCTTGCGAAAGATGGCAGTATTCTCATCCGCGCTACTGCTCTCCGCATCGAGCGCCTTGTCCATCTCTTGCGCAGATACCGGCGTCCACTGTCGCTGTCGTACGCCGGGGGAAGTGTATGTGCCCTTGGACCTCTCCGGCTTAGGAAGGGACGTGCCGCTCGAGAAGCTAACCCTCGTGTGCGCGCCGGCGTGAGAAGAGCGAGGCGCAGAAAGACTCCGTCCCGGGGAGAGTGGAGTAGAGGTTCTCCGCGCCTCGTCGTCGCCCGCAATCTCGCCGTCACTCACTCTACTGCTGAAGATGTGGGTATCGAAAGGCGCAGTCTTACTTCCAGCTACCGCCAGACTCGACGAGCTATCGGATGAAGGCAGCGCGGGGACGGCGGGCGTGCTCAAGTTGGCTTGCGTTCTCTTCGTGGGATCGGAAGGACCTGGTCGCGGGGTGATGAGAGAGTCGTCTTCCTCTTCGGAGTCCGGGCGAGAGAGATTCGACATGTCGGAGGCGGTGGAGTGGGAGACGGGCGAGGATCGAAGGGGGGACATGGAATTCGAGAAGTGTCGTGGGGCTCTCCAGTTGCGTGCTCTGATGATCGCCCCAAGTGTGAATGCGGGGAGCCAAGACGCTTGGTCTTTAACGGATCGACATGAACGAGACGAAAGGTAAAGGTTCGCGGCAGAGTTTGGCGCAACTCTAGAAGTTACGGTAAGAGAGAGTAGTTCGATGTCTCCGGGGACATGGATCGCAGATTGTATCTCGTTAGACTGCAGCCGTGCGTGTGATGCACTGCGATTGCGTGCTTCCTGCTTGAAGGTGGGGCCATCGACAACCAACCACCACCAAATCTGCCCGAGCTCACGCGACTCGTGTAGAAGCGAGTACAGACACCCGTTTGACCATCTATCTGTAAATCCGTATGCTACTTTGCATGACACCGTCGAGATCTCTGTACTTGGCCACCAAGCTGCCGTGCCTCCCATGCGCTAGGACGAACCCAATACCCGGCATTGGCGACCATGTCGAGGCAGAACGTGGGCACGCTGCGAGTTGCAGGTAGGGCACAAAGTGAAGGGCAGGAGCCATGTGCCTTTGCAAAGAGGTCGATGCCGTAGAACACGGACAAATCCGCTTAGCATCTGTCCGTCCAAAACATCACCTCCCTCACGATATCTTCACCCTCCACCCCCTAAACACCCACGCCCCAGCCAACTTCCCCACCACAGCCCCAGCATACATGCCCCCCACAATCGTCACCGGCCACTTCTGCCACTCGCGATCCCAGTCCAGCGGGATGGGGATAGCCCCCACCCACGCCCCCACACAAGCCCCCAGCGTCATGCCAAACACCTCGTCCACGGGAATCTGCAGACTCGCAATCTGGAACCATGTTTCTTTCACCAGGCCGTGGGCGTAGTAGAGGTGGGGCGTGGTGAGGAGGGCGAGGTGCAGAGCGAGAAGGATGGTGTGGAGTTGGTGGGTGGTGAGCGGGGCGCCGAAGAGGATGAGGAGGATGTAGAGGGCGGGCGCGGAGAGGAAGAGGGTGAGGAGGAGGGAGAGGAAGGTGGGCTGGAGTAATAGGAACCGTTAGCCGTGAGAGTCCTTTGGTTTAGAGGGGGGGAGGTGGTGACATACGACAATTCGGCCGGCGAGATCAGAGCTCGCTTTGGCGCCTTTCTTTTTGGCGGATCCTTTGGCTTGTGACCCTGGTGGCGGAAGACATAGTATGCAGTAAAACGCTTGAAGGAGTGCGATGGTTGGCGCGAGTCCGAGCAGCGTGTTTACGGGGTCGTTGACGAGCGTCTTGAAGTTAAACAGCAGCGTTCCCAGGAGGAGGATGGGATGGAGGTTGGAGAAGAGTTGGGACGATGGAGATGGTAGGATTTCGATGGGCTTGTTGGGCTGCACCGCCAGCGGTGCTTTCGTGGTACTGCTCATCGTGTTCTGGTCATCGTTGATTGGTGTCGATGGATGGAGCGAGGTTCATGAAAGGTGTTGCGCGAAATGTCACTTTCAGGAACAGCTCTAGCGTGAACTCTAATTTGCTCCATCAATCACATGCAGACAGCCTCAGCAGCCTTACCAACGACTTGTGTACCGTCGAGCGGGTGAACTCACGAAAAATACGCCTTTTGCATTGCGCGCTATCAAAACTTGATCTACAACTCGTCCCTCTTGCTCACAGCCGTGGCATTGGAAGGCCGTAACCTGTACGCCATCACCCCATGCGCCGGCACCATCGCCTTCAACGTCCCCAGCGCCTCCAGCGTCCCAACCTTCGTCCCCATCAACAAAGTATCATTCGCAGCGATACCGTCCGCGTAACTCTGGGCCGTCGCATTGTAGTAGTAGTTCTGCGCCGCCGAGAAGCCAGCCGTACCATTCGACTGGAGGATCTGATTGGCAACAGAGTCCGGCATGCGGTTCGCCCAGAGATCGTACACGTCCCATGCGCTCTTCGCCGCAGCGGAGATCTTGCCGCCTTCGTCGACGAAGATGTCACCGGCCGTGGCGTTCATGTGCATTTCGTCTGTGGCGGCGTTGAGCAGGACGACGGCGTAGTCACCATTGGACAAGCTGCCGGAGAACATCTGGACTTCTCCCACGCCGAAAATGTCCTTTTGGGGGACCTGGTAGCTCCATCTGCGGATGATGGCCGCGCCTGCTGGGTCTTGAGAGAGGGCGAGGATGGCGGGGTTGGTTAGGATGGAGTAGCTTTTTGCGTCGAGGGTTTGGACGTTGGTGCCGATGAGGAGGGGTGATTTCATGCTGGCCCACATGGTCATGTGCAATTTGTATTCTTCATCACTCATTCCGCCCTGGTCGAGGTTAGCGATTGGGTCCCGATCAAGTTAGACAAGCAAGACTTACGTTTCCGACTTCAAGCGCGTCCAGATCATTCCACCCGCCAGGCTGCGATCGCTGAATCGTCCAGACCATCTTGTTGATAATGTTCATCACACTGCAGTGAAAGCCCGGGAACTCGCAGTTCAGACCCTCCTTGTCCTCGCACGGACATCTAACGTCGGGTCGGTCGAAGAAGTCGGTGATGTCGCCAGTCGCACGCCACGAGTTGGCGATGGTGAACGCCCAGTCCCAGGGTCGATCTTGACCCCAATTGCACATCGAGTACAGGATTGGTCGGCCGGTGTTGTTCAGAGCAGTTGACATCTTTTCGTAGCGCGCGTAGGAGATGTTGGGGTTGCCCGATTGGCCTTCATTGTAGCAGTTGTCATACTTGAGATAGTCCACGCCCCAGCTTGCGAAGGTATTTGCGTCCTGTCGCAAGTGTCAGCACGTTCTTATCCAGTCATGCTTGCCAGTGAAATTGCACTTACGGTCGTCTCGTGACCCAGGCTTCCAGCATACTGCGCACACGTATATTTGCCAGCGGAGGAATACATTCCATATCCCATGCCGAGGCTATGAATGTAATCTGCAATAGCCGCCATCCCATTTGGAAACTTCTCAAAATTCGGTCGTAGTGACCCGTTCTCATATCGTCCATCAGACCAGCAATCATCCAAAATCTAATGTAAAATCAAGTCAGCTTCGAGTTTTCACAATGAACACATTCAACCGTACCACATAGTGATAGCCAACGTCTCTCAAGCCGAGATCTGCCATGGCTTGCGCACTATCGAGTAACAAGTCGGCTGAGACATCACAGCCGTAGGCATTCCAGTTATCCCAGCCTGGCGATCGTCAGCAACCTTGAAGCGATGTAGAGGATGATAAGGACATTCTCACCCATTTGAGGTGTAGCCGCGAGCCCATTGTTCATCAGCACAGAGCCTGCGACTCCGGAGATGGAAAGGAGAGCGCTCGAGGCGAAAGTGTAAGACCGCATATTGACTTGTTCGGTGTGCTAAGCAAGAAATTGTTGACGGGGACCTCGACTCTTATATATCCCACAAACAGTCTGGCATGTGGGGGACACTCATCGAACTCGGAGGCGGAATAGTCATCTTGTATCTGTAAGTCGGTCCGAAAGTGGATGTGGCAGCCTTTGCGGACATCGTGATGTGCATCGTTGCCCAATGCGGAAGCTACGTCAGTGTCGTGCCTCGTGGAAATTCTCCGCCACTACCGATCGACGCGGCACTTTGGCTGACTCGTCTTCGTTTCGTGGATCGTAAATATCATGCTGGGAGGTGCCATGCGGTATTCCTACGTGGTCCGGCGCCTAAACACTCCAGCGCAACGAGTGCTGTAACGTGTGCAGCCATGTAAGACGTCGCAGTCATTCATCAATGCCGGCCTCCACATCCCGAATTGTACTCGAGTATGGGGAATTCTATGTGGAGAAGTGGTACCTCTACCAATGTATCGCGCCCGACATCGCCGTCAAACGCCGCCGAAAGCACACGTCCGGCAGAAACCTATTCCACATGGCACAACGTTACCGCCAGACCCAATAGCCAGAGTCGAGTGGAGGGAATTGCCACCATGGCTAACCCGGCATCGCTAGATCTCCAGTCAACGCTCTCTAGTCTCCCGCCGATACCATCAAGCGCCGTCCACGCATCCGTGCAAGCCCTACTGAACGATCCAGAGTCCCGAATCCCCATCCTCGTAGCGCTCGACGATGATCCAACTGGCACGCAGACATGTCACAATGTCCACGTCCTCACGGTCTGGGATAAGGGGACGCTCGTCGAGGAGTTCCACAATACAAAGCATGGAGGCGGCTTCTTCATCCTCACCAACTCGCGAGCCTTACATCCGACTGAGGCGCGAGAGCTCATGCATGAGATCTGCCGTAACTTGAAAAATGCTGCCAGCGAGGCCAATGTTGAATTCGAAGTCGTTTTGAGGGGAGACTCGACGCTACGAGGACACTTTCCCCTCGAACCGGAAGCGGCGGAGGATGTTCTCGGCAAGGCTGATGCGTGGATGCTGTGTCCGTTCTTCCTGCAAGGTGGACGTTATACGATTGATGATGTGCATTATGTTGCTGAGGAGGGGAAGCTGGTGCCCGCGGGACAAACGCAGTTCGCGAAAGACGCCAGCTTTGGGTATAAGAGTTCTAACTTGAGGGACTGGGTGGTGGAGAAGTCTCGCAACTCGATATCGAGGGATCGCGTACAGTCATTGACGATCAAGGAAATCAGAACAGGTGGCGCGGAAGACTTGAAGAAAAGACTCCTGGAGTTCCCACCAGGATCCGTCATTATTTTGAACGCGGCAGCTACAGAAGACGTCGACACGGCAGTCTTGGCGTTACTCCAAGCTGCCAACGAAGGGAAAAGATTTCTTTTCCGGACTGGCGCGGCCTTTGTGTCTTCCCGGTTGGGGATCCAACCGATTGATCCTGTCTCGGCAAAAGACTTGTCGCTGTCATCTTCAGTAGGAGGTCTCATCATCGCTGGCTCTTACGTTCCCAAGACAACATCACAATTGGACGTGCTTCGAGAGCGGGGTGGCGACAAGTTGACGACCATTGTGATTGATGTTCCCAAACTGCTGAAGTCGGAGCAAAGCGACCTCAACGAAATCGCTCTAGCGGTGTCGACTGCGCAAAAGGAGATTTCTCGGGGTCAAGATGTCCTCATCATGACCAGTCGCGAGCTTGTTACTGGGAACGATGAGAAGGAGAGTCTTGACATTGGATCTGTGAGTAGTATCTTTCCTTCGATGGTCCGCTCGAGCTGACGCCAGCATAGACCATCGCGAAAGCGCTCGTGTCCTTCTTAGTAGAGCTCCAGACTCGGCCGAGATATATCATCGCCAAGGTAAGCGACCAAGCGGCCGCAAGGCACACCTCACGAACTACAGCTCACATCCTCACAGGGCGGCATCACTTCGTCCGACGCGGCAACCAAAGGGCTCAAGATGAGACGTGCTTTGGTCGTCGGACAGGCGGCGCCGGGAGTACCGCTGTGGCGCTGCGACGAGCCATCGTCTAAATGGCCTGGACTGCCCTTTTGTGTCTTTCCGGGCAATGTTGGGTCTCCGGATACGATGTATGAAGTCGTGGAGCGGTGGCGCGTGTAGTCGATAGTTGCGGCCACATGAATCCAAAAGGACCGTAGCCCGTTTTCTCGGGTTCATTGCCATGCTGTCAGTTTGCACATCAGTCGACAGTTGAAAGTTTTTTGAGTGAGAAAGTGTCGTTGAAAGTGATGGACCCAGGAAAGACGTACTGCGCCACAAAGACCTCGGGTGAGTGGCTGTAAGCCCCCGCCGCGGAGTGGAGATCCATTGACGTCTCTCCCTCTTGATCGTCAGATTGGCAGTCAAGGAAAAGCATGTGCACAAACATCTAAAACATCTGTGAAACTTGACTGACATTGATCGGTCCATCATCGACCCATCCACACTGCAAATCTAAGGACCCTACCATGACCAGCCTCTCCACCAAACTCGCCGAGCGCGAGGCTGCCGGCAACCCCATCCAAGTAGGCCTCATCGGCGCCGGCAAGTTCGGCTCCATGTTCGTCTCGCAGGCCCATCGCACGCCAGGGCTCCGCCTAGCCGGCATCGCCGACCTCGATCCCAAACGCGCTCTGGCGTCGTTGAAGCGCACGGGCTATCCGAAGGAGCGGTACGATGAGAGCGCCTCGTTGTCCGTCGAAGACGGCATCAAGCAGGGCAAAGTGGCGATTGTCAAGGACTCGGCGGCGTTGATTGCGACGCCGGGGATTGATGTTATTTTGGAGGTTACGGGGAGTCCGGCGGCGGGGATTAAGCATGCTTTGTTGGTATGGGCATCTTGTCAGGTGTTATTGGAAATTTGTGAGCGTGGAGCTGACGATTCGATAGTGCTGTGAACACAAGAAGCATATTGTGATGATCAACGTCGAGGCGGATGTCCTAGCCGGTCCTCTTCTTGCTCGGAAGGCAAAGGAAGCCGGCATCATCTACTCAATGGCGTACGGCGATCAACCGGCGCTGATATCGGAACTAGTCGACTGGGCGAGAACGGCTGGATTGTGAGTAGACAGCCATTTCGTTACGGATTCATCACTCACACAGTCAACAGCCCCGTCGTGTGTGCCGGCAAGGGAACGAAACACCTCCCCCGCTACCACCAATCCACCCCCGACACCGTCTGGGAAAACTACGGCTTCTCCAAAGAGCAAACCGAAGCACCAGACTTCGATCTCAACCCGAAAATGTTCAATTCTTTCCTCGATGGCACAAAGTCAGCGCTGGAAATGGCCGCGGTGGCGAACAGCTGCGATCTGACTCCGCCCTCTGACGGCCTAGAATTCCCACCTTGCTCGACTTCCGATCTGCCCAACGTGCTGCGGCCGAAAGAAGACGGCGGGCACCTGGAGAAGAAAGGCACGGTCGAGGTCGTATCGTCGATGGAGCTCGACGGACGGGCGGTGGTGAACGATATCCGATTCGGAGTCTTCGTTGTCATTGAAGGTGAGTCTCCCTTAGTCTGAGCCATTCTCGATCCCCTCTAACCACAATCTCCCAGCCCCCGGCCCCTACCAAAAGGAATGCTTCAAACAATACGGCCTCGCAACCGATAGCACAGGCAAATACGCCGCGCAATCCAAACCCTACCACCTCATCGGCCTCGAGCTCGGCGTCTCCATAGCCTCCATCATGTGCCGCGGCGAGCCCACGGGCCAAACAAAGACCTGGGCCGGCGATGTCATCGCGACCGCAAAGCGAGACCTCAAATCCGGCGAGCAGTTGGATGGTGAGGGTGGGTTTATGGTGTATGGGAAGCTGGTGCCGGCGGAATCGTCGCTGGAAATTGAGGGGTTGCCCATTGGGTTGGCGCATGGGTTGTCGTTGAAGAAGGATATTAAGCGGGGGCAGGGGATTAGTTGGAAGGATGTGGAGTATAGTGAGGATACGCAGTCTGTTGCGGTGCGCAGGGAGATGGAGAGGTTGTTTGCGAAGGAGTTTGAGGGGAGGAAGGGCAAGGCGAATGGGGTGAATGGAGCTCGTTGATGCTGGATGGGCGATTCCGGAGATGGGTTTGAGTGAGTCCACCAGAATTGAGCTTGTAGCTGTTCTCTGTCTATCTCTAGCGATTCTATATCTATTCCGTCTTCTTCTATTGATCTAGTGTACGGGCAGGCCGTTAGTTTAGTTGTCCGGGGGTATAGGAAAAATCACAAATGCGCCCAATCCATCGATGCGCAACGCCAATTCCCAAAGTGATGACTGAACCAACAGCCCCTTCTCAGGTGGAGATCATGGAGCCCTTTGCAGCCCAATCCACAGAATGCGTGCTTCGGAGCGCTTCTTGCTGGCTGCTGACTTCATCGCGCCATTTCAGCGTATCCTTATTCTTCTCGCGTTCAATCGCATGCAGCACGGCCTGCAACACATTGTCACACGTGGCTTTCGGCGTGAACTTCGGCGTCGTGCCCTCATCGTAGACGCCCGTGCGGACAAGGATGGAGTACCATTCGTTGGCGGAGTGCTCGTTGAACAGGTTCGAACCGCGAATGTCGGACTCTGGCGTGTCGCCAACAAAGTACACGGTCTCGGGCGGGGCGTCAATGCCGCTGTTTTCTTTGCGCCATTGCTGCAGGAGTCGCGTGGCGAACTCAAAGGTGCCGATCTGCGGTTTGCCGAAGGATGTCGCTTCCAGCTTCTTGCCGGTGATGCCGTGATACATGGCCTCGAGGGAGAGGCGGAGAGCGCCCATTCCGAGACGGGTGTGGTCGTGTTGTGCGGACCAGATGATGTCGTTGTGCGCGAAGAAGAGAGGGGGGCCTTCGTCGAAGTTTTCCGACCGCGTGCCAAGGTAGCCGCCTTTCGAGGTGAGCAGGTCCAGGATGATTTGCTGGTCGCCAGCCCAATCTCTGCTGTCCGCAAAGACCAGGATGGCCTCGATCTTGACCTTTCCGTAGTTGCGCAGCTTGGAGTTCTCGAGCTCCTGTTCAGTGAGCGATCTAAAGGGGGTGGTGTGCGGGTTGTCCTTGATGATGTCGCCTGGCGTCACAATGTCCTTGAATCCGTAACTCTCGGCGACGTGTCGGCACTTTTCGCCCTCGCCTCCGACGACAAGCACGGTTTTGTATTGCGCGACCATCTCACGCATAGGGGTATGGCCACAGATGAATTGGCCGGGAGAGACTTCGAGCTCTAGCTGCTTGCTCAATTGCACGCAACGTTCTTGCTCGGTCTTGCCGCCACCGTTGGTGACGAAGATGTATGGGCTGTAAAGTTGTTAGACGTTGCGAGAGGCATACAAGCAAATATTGACACTCACATCTTAATTCCATACGGATTCTTTCCGTTCAAAACCTTCATAGCCTCGATGGCTTCCGGAATCGGCCTCCCACCGCGGATAAGAACACCATCAATGTCGAACGCAAAGGCGTACTTGTCCGTCACTCTGCTGTCCCGCGACATTTCCCGCGAAAGCTCTCGCGAGAGGGTAGGGTACAATTCCGAAGATGCAGAGTGGTCCGACAACGCATCCTCCAAGTTATATCTCGCGACCTCCATGGCCGCGGCAGTTTCCTGACCCTCGCCCGGAGCATCCATTTGGGAAGGGGGGACAACGATTGTCGGGGCCCGGAGCTCCATGGTTTCATGATTCGCCTCATGGGAACTGAGCCGCCGTAGGCTGGCGCCATACTGCGGCTCCGACGCGGTGGGTGCCAGGGACATGATTGCGATACGGAGGGGGGATTAAGAAGGGAAGGGGGAAGTGAGCGGTGCTGCGATAAGTACAAGCGACAAGCACTTGATCTGAAGAAGCGAGAGAAGAGGAGTGAGGTCAAGCAAAAAGACTAAAGTGCGTAGTAAGCCTCATACATATGCGTGAAATCTTTAAAGACTCTGTCATCACAGGTTGGGCCGGAGCATCAGGGGATGGGACTCGCTAAAGTGGAACCCGTCGAACGATCAGGCAAGCCGGTGGATAGGTGAGGCCAGCACGTTCCCATGGTATTACGCTGGTGGTGGAGCGCGGCAAAGACTCGGACTGAGAGCCAATCTCCTGTGCACCCAGCCCAGCAGAGCGGTTCGAGATCGAGGAACGGCTTTGCATCATCGGATGCAGCGACTAATCACGGTGCATGATCCACTGACCGTTGGATGGAGCCGAAAATGCCGACCGGGCATCCTTGCCATCTTTTCTGCATCTGACGAATAGCGGCGCCGTCCGTTGATCTCCGTCGGCCTGTGGCTCCCGTCCCGACGACATGTTCAACGCGCGAAAAGTTTCCAGTGAAAAAGTGGATGTCCGAACGGTGTGACGTCACCATCCGCTTTGAATCTTCACGTGATTGTTCGTCGGATGCCAACGTGTTTCTTCACCTCGATCTTGGAATGATATGGTCGCCGACGCTTGGAAGCAGACTGGGCGGCATGGCCTCAGCCGCAGTCGCCCGGCAGGAGTGCATCCTTTTTTCGCAGTCGTCGCCAGCAATCGAGTCCTATGGTAATGAGAAACCAGCAGAGCATGGTAAGGAGAGAATGTAATGCGACAATCGAGGAAGTGAGGTAGGGCATTAGAAAGAGTACCTTGCTGTCGCTCCTTCCATTTCACATCGTTCACTCAGTCGTTCGTTCCTTCCTGTCTTAAATCTGACTTCCATTCGTCACATGCTTCTTCGAACCCTACCTTAACCTCACCTCATCTCCAGCCGATGAAAGCATCTCGATTGATGCTTCAATTCACGTGAAGAACCTTTGACAGAGGATCCGACATCATGGACTGGACTGGTGGTGTTCGGCGACGCTTTGCTGCTGGCAAGAAGAAGAACTCGGTGCTGCAGAAGCAGAAAGCCCATTTCGCCAAGGCTCGAGCTGCATTGCAAGACCACGACGCATCGCGCAGTCCTTTCGCGGCGCATTTCCATGAAAGGGCATTATCGACGCACTCACACAAGCGGCAACATAGCCTGCACTCGCATGGACAAGGCCACGAGGATGGAGGAATTGCCCCGAGCGCCTCCCCACAGCGGCGGGAGTTTCCAGACCATCGCCATAGCAAATCCTATACTCCTTCAGTTGTGTACATCAGCTCTGACCACGAGACCCCATCCGTCTCATCCTCGCCTCGACACCCAGCAGCTGCGCAGTTGATTCACCAGGCAGCACAAAACCCCCCGGATCAGTCACCTGATATGGAGGAAAGGCTACTTTTGGCTCATCGCAGGAACCTCCTCGCCCGCTCCGACTGGCTGGGATTGGCACCACTACGCCCAGTCCAGATGAAATTCGCATCATGTACTGATCGTGATCGAGTCGGCAAGCGCAGGAAGATATCGAAATCAGGCTCGCGGAGGGCAAAGCCGGCCGAGAAGCATTCCATGATCCAGCCTTTCAGGAGGCACGGCTCTCAGTCCGATCGCTCGCTTCGTCCATATGACATCGCCGTCAGGATTGGAACGGATGCTTTGAAAAGTCAAACGCTGCGCTCCAACCTCTCTCCCGTTGTGAACCGAACCGTGCGCGCCATTTCGACCGAATTCGGATCGTTGTCGGAAGAGCCCATGTTGTTGGATGCGGAGGAGGATTTGCACCAACCTATATGGGATCCGCAAGGCTTGATGTCTTTCGATCAAAGAAGAGACACGCCTGAGCCGAGCTCCTTGGCTGTCATTCGAGGTAGTCAGATGATGGATGACTATGGCGGAATGCCCGCAAACGTCCGCTCAATCGAAATGCGACAACGGCTGCCATCTCATGTCGAGACCCTTCTGGAGAGACCTACCCCGGGTTATGAAAGAGGTGAATCTCCTGCTAAGGACTTCGAAGACAGCCGCACCTCAAACAAATACCAAGCCGATGTACAGCTATCCGAACCGCCCGATCAGCTTCGCATCACACTTGTGCGCACAGCAGCCAACGCGGAAGATGACAAACTTTTGTTTACAGCAGCCTCAGAAGCTCAGTCAGAAGACTCACAGTCCGATGATGAAGAGTTGTGGAGAGAGATTTTGAAGATCAAGCATCCACCATCTAGCCATCACTCTCTGCGTGCTTTGCACTCTGCAAGCGCACACATCGCCACGTCTGACTCTCACATCGACCATCCCGAGCTGCAGCATTTCATTCGGGCGCTCAATGGCGGCGATAACAGTGTTGGCGGTGTTGTCCGGCCCGATGATCAGCCCTCGATGACTGATCGGCAGCACGATGAAGGACTCAAAGAAGGGATTCCCAAGGCTCCGAGCCCGATGCAATCCCCTTCAACATCATTCCACCAGATAGAAACGCTTGCACGCCACAAAACGATCGAAGAGCGCCGAATTAACGATGATGCGGACGACGAGGCCTTATGGCGGCAATTTATTGTCGGCACCCAGAGTAGCTCCATCAGTTCAGAGCATGGTATCGATGACGCAAGAACGAACGCCAGCACGACTGGACATGGGACCATCACAGCTGCTCCTTCCTTGTTCAACATCAGCGGCCTAGGCACCTCCGACGAAGCAAACCCGGGAAATAGCCAATGGGTAGATTCCAGTGTGCAGAGTGCAGGGCCGAGTCGGACATCATCGCATGGCTCCGATGCCAGATCCATCGACGCCGAGTACGATGCTCAATCCAAAGACAGAGACGCCGCTACTCACGATGGCCGCGATGTGGAAAGTATAGAAGATGTGCAATCGCCCACATTTCACAACGAGGCATCATTCAACATTCACAGCACTCCATTGAGAGTCTTGAACCCGCATCGATTCAAGAAGCCGAGTAAACCCAGATGTGAGCCTGGCCAGAAGGCGAATCTCTTCCGCCTTCCTCGTAGATAGAAGTAAGCCGAGAGGAATTTAGGGGCCAAAGAAGGTAGAAGACAGGAAGAGATACAGCCATAACATCTATCAGCTCAATCACGCGGGAGAGATCATTACTCCTGCAAGGTCATATCACATATCATAAGAGTCAGATCAAGCTTCCTCGGAAATCTTCGGCACCTTGAAGTCCTCCGTCTGTGTGTCTCGTCCAGAGTCCCCTTTCAAATCATCCACTGCCACGCCATACACAAAGCTTGAATTCCACCCTCCGTCTTCAAAGTCCGCATCGTCCAATGGCGCTTCCAGCCAGTGCTGACTCGTGGCAGGGACGGGCGAGATCCAGCAGAGCACGTAGTACATCAGAGAAGCGACGATGAAGCCGCAGAAGAAATTGAGGTTGTAAACTAGATTGAAGTAAGCAAACCGAGCAAGAAAATCGGGGAAGTCGAGGAGAACGTACTGTATGTCGCGCCGATTGGGACGGGCGTTCCAACGGCGCCTGCAAAACCCACAACATTGATCAGAATGCCGCAAATGTATCTGTTCGGCAAAAGTCAGCAGGTGGAGTGAAGATGGCGCAGACTGTAGAGAGATTTACGCTGTATACGCTCTCCAGTTGAATCCGAAAGTGTACCAATACGGCCCCGACTTTTGCGCAGAATACATGTCTTGGGTCTGTAGGTATCCCTTCCTCACAAAATAGTAATCCGAAATCATGACGCCTGCAATGGAGCTGAGAAAGACGCTGTACGCCGATAAGTAGGTGGTGAAGCTGTTGCTGCTAGCGAAGAAGTGCCAGGGCATGATGAGGAGGCCGATGGCAGCGCAGATGTAGGAGCCGCGGCGGATGTTCAGAAAACGCGGCATGAGCGCCGTCAGATCTGTACCCGCGCTCACGGAATTCGCGGCGACGTTTGTGCCCAGTTGTGCGAGGGTGAAGGCCGCAGCAATTACGAAGACGCCGAATCGAGTGGCGCCGCTTGCGCCTTTCTCTTCGAGGAATGCTTTCAATAGGTCCAATGGCGACCAGATCGCCCGGCCAAAGATGACTTTGGAGCTCGAGGAGACGATGATGCCGATGAAACTGGTGATGGCAAAGCCGCACGGGATCGTGAGCAGCTGGGGCAAGAAAGCGTCCTTGGGACGGCGGGCAAATCGAGCAAAATCGGGGTCGTTGACCTACATCGAGGTCAGTAAGTCGTTCACGAGCTGTGGATATCGAGAGAGTACGAGACTTACGATGAGAGTGGCGAAATTCGCAATGGCCGACATGATGGCCAGGATTATAGCCCAAGCCAACTCGCTTCCCGATTTCGTTGCGCCTTGCTTCACGATAGGGCCGAGTCCTTGGGCACGAACTACGGCCCAAATGAAGAAAGCGACGCCCGCAGCGGGAGCGACAAACGCCTTCACCGTAAATAAATGGCGTATCTGGTGCACTGGAAACCATAGAAACGGTAGAGACCCGATCCAGAAGAGAAAGAACGAGACGAAATCGCGCGTATTGGTCCCCGACGATGCGGACATGCTAGAAGATCGATTCAGGTCAGTCAAGACTCATAAAGCATAGCGAGGACGGCAAATCTTACGTATCATTTGGTCCACCAGGTCCATAGCTATCCCAGGATGGCCAGATGCTTCGGATCATGAGATAGACACACGTCCCTCCAATCCACGCTTGCACTCCGTACCAGATGCACGCCATGACAGCCCTGTTGAGTACCGGCCATAGTGCGCCCCAGATACCGAACGACGCTCGATTCGTGACCGGGAAAGAGATGTGATACGTGGCGCCAATACGACCGGTCAGAACGACGAAGCAGCCCGCAATCGAATAGCCAACCCACACGCAGATCCACGCTTGCCACCAAGAGAGGCCATTGATGATGGAGGCGGACGCGATTTGCCAGGTGTTGACGTTAACGGAATCGGCCAACCAGAAAGCCACGAAATTCCTTCCTCGCCATTGTCTTCGCTCAGGCTCGACGGGTTTCAAATCGTAGTTCGCCAGCATCAACTGGGTGTGAGTAAGGCCAGGTTCGCTTTGCACGGCAAGCTTGTTCGCAACCTTGCGGAGTTTGACCCTGCGAAGTCTCTCCATGGCGGTAACAGAGCTGCAATGGGTGGTATGGTTGTTTCTCCCAGCAATAAAGTAAGACAGGGGGCGTGGGAAGGCGACTACTTGGTATATGTATCGGTTTCCGAGAGCGGAGTGACGTTGTGGCACGGCTATCGTGCAGGCTGCGGGGTATCAATGGGCGACGGCGGCGGCGCAGGCATTAAGTAGAACATCGTGGGTCGCCAATGTCGCCTAGCCGGATAATGCTTTTGTCGATCGCTAGAGATAAGGCACAGTGAGTGGCAATTTTTGCTGTGGAATCTCTTTCGAACTTCTAATCTACAGCAGCCATGTCGCTGACGTTAAGCTGCAGTGGTTGCCGGCTTGCCGCAAGTCCAGATAGTTCTTATCATCTGCCAATTGAGGCGGGCGATAGACTTACTTCTAGTTAGTCATTGACTTCTAGCCTATCTATTCGAAGGTCGGCAACGCTCTTCCGTCTTCTCCTCCCCGCCTGTTTTGGCGACTCACACGGACCGGTCTAGATGTTGAGCTTGCCGATGTCCACTGGACAAACAATCATGCTTACATGCATTGATAGTATGCGCGGTGAATGCTCACGTGTGGCTTGACGCATGATTCCAAGCAACGGCGGGATGCGCCTGTCGGATTGTGCGAGATCTGCGCCGCCGGCGCGACCGGCCGCGCTGAAGCCGCCCGTCGGCTGCCAGGCTACGTGCCAGAAGAAGTGGTTCACTTGCTTCCGCTCGCTGACGGCCTGGAGGATCTCTCAAGCGTTGAGCATACCAGTATGGCGCGTCCTAGACCGAGTCCAAGGCTCGTTGAGGCTTGTTGCAAGGGGGATGGTACATTTAGTTCACTAGCTGAGGTACATGCAGTGCTAGAAGGATTTCATGGTGAATCACTTCATCTGGCACGTAGCCTGCTGCGTTCTAGCGGCCGTCTTCATCCAGTCTGCACGTGCGCCAGAGAAGTGTATTCGTCGTGGACTGTATTCATGAACAGGTTGGTGGTATCGATGTTGGGAAATAGATCCTGAAGGTCAAGGTCGAAGGAGTTGCTGCCATCTGCGACATCCGTCAAGCTCAACGAACCGTCATTGCTCATGATTGCAGAGTCTACCGGCATAGAATAATCGGGTTCCGAGAGTGCAAAGTAATCGACAGCGAGTGAGGCCTTGTACTTCCGGTACCACTCCAGCATTCTCTTCGGCGCAAGGAGTATTCTCGCTGCAGGTGTACTTGAATCAATCTGGGTTGCCTCGGTGGCAACGTCAATCAATTTCTGCAAGTACTCCTCCACTTGTAAGCTTTCAGGATCGAGGAAAGCGCCGAATGAGTTGTTTAACGCTGAAGTCGCAATGTAGAGCTTGACCAAGATGTATTGAGTGTATGCAACCCTGCCAATGGAGAGCAGGAATGGTAGAGATATCCACGTTTGCAGGTCGAGCGTGAAGAAGGAGTCGAGAAGAGCATGGCAGGCTGTTTTCAGTGCATACATGGAAGTTACGTGCTCTGGTGTCACGGGTGGTGCTGGAAAGTCGGTGATCGAGAGGCGCTCCGCCAGGTAAGGCGCAGTAAAAGAATGTCGATTAGTAGAGGTGTGTAGAAGGATCTCATGGAGATGAATCGTGGCGAGATGCTCGTAGAAGGCGAGAACCTCACAATTTGCGTTGGCAGGTATCTGCGTGGTGAAATCCGTGATTGAATTGCTGAGTGCTTGCATGGTGATTCTCGTCGCTGGGTCAGACACGTTGCCGACACTAGAGGGATCGAGGAGGTGCAGCTCCCTTATGATTCGCTCACAGAGATGCTCCGCTCTCACGTGGTGGCAGAGTATCCGGTCAGTCTCAAGGGCGCACTCCACATATTCGAGCATGTGGATGCTCCACGAGTCCAATTCAGGCAAAGATTTTAGCCTTGACTGCCTCATGAGAAGGACGATACTCGAGGAGATCAAGTGACAGCCAAGCCCAGTACGCACCGCTTCCACCAACTTGGACGATTCGGAGTCGGCCGCGGCATTGGTCCAGCTTTTCGTACCGGGTTGCCAGAGGTCGATGGATTGAGCAATGTCTACCGCCTTTTGAGCAAATTGGAAGGTTGCGATCGCTCGACGGTTCTTGGGTGATCGATACCACAATACAGCAACCAGCAAGGCTTGGACGAGCTCCATGGATGCTTCACTCTTCTGCCCACCCAGAGCCGTCAGAGTTTCCAGGACTATTCTGCCGAGATGCTCGTTCACTTCCTCCGAGACTGACCCGGAGCTGGCGGCATACACTATCGTTTGCAGCAGTACTGGTTTTTCAGTGCGTAATCGTTGGTAAGTCCAGTCTTCGGCAATGGGCACGATTGGAACGAGTCTGACCAGATCGTGGCGGTACTTTTCCACGAGAGACTCCTGCAAATCCTGGACGATCAACATGTCCAGCTCGGTGAGAGAAAAGCGGCATCCGGAACTAGTTGCTCCGTTTGACAATTCATCTTGCTCTCGTCTTCGCTTCTTCTGTGGTAAGCCATTCTCAGCCTCAGCTTGCGGAAGGTTGCCATCGACACTAAGAGATGAGTTTGATATCGGCGTCAGACCATCCAACGAAGGTGTATCGATATTCTGAGATTGCAGCAGTCGCGTGAGGGACGCTACTTGGGCCTCCAACTCTGCGACTCGGTCTTTCTGTGTCTTCGGAGGAGTTACTACGCAATCCTTCCCCAGCCGGATACATCGTTGGCACGGTCCAGTGCCTCCTGTCGTTCCAAGTTCACACTTGATCTTGATAGAATGGCAAGCATCGCACGCCCTCGGTCGTTTGCTCGTCGACATGCTCGATTCCATGCGCTCACAAGACATCCATCTTCGTTTGCCTTGCGCTCATGTCGTCAAGTGTGTTCATGACGCACATGATTGGCTGATGATCGAAGCAGCGCGCCGTCCCGCGTTAGCCAAACCTTAAAATTCACGTCGAGCTAACGACACGCAGGACAATCGACTTGAATGAAGGCATTCTTCAATAAGCGAGAGCTATTGTCACGACCAAAGGCACCGCCGAGCCGACAAGAATGACATCTCTCCAGCAACTCGACACCTGACATGGCTCTCCCCGCACACCGACCGTACGCTCTCACATGAACGGCCGCGCCAAGCATCTCGAAACACCAAACATGCCGCAAGCCTTCTTCCCACCGCTGGACAAGTGTCTGGCCGGCCAACAGCGCTTGATATCATGGAAGAGCGCATATCGAATACTCTGCGATCCAGAGAAGGCTGTGGATCAAGGAGCGCTTGAAGCCTTCCTGACCGACGCCGAGAGTGTCAAGTATCTCACCTCTGCCCTCTCACCATTCCTTCCTCCATCGCAGAAGAGCAAAGGCGAATTCGAAACAAAGACGGCTCCGATCAATGTCGCCCAGTCTACCAACGGAGATTACAATCTGGAAGAGTTGAAGAAGGATGCGCTATGGCTCTCAGATCAACTGAAGGTGGACGAGCTCGTTGCGCTAAGATTGGTGATCTTGGAGTGGCAGTCACGGGCAGAAGACTCGCTTCAGAAAGACGACGGCGGGAAGGCTGACACTCTTGTCCCGGCATCTTCTCGTTTGGGCGCGAGTTTGTTCGCGTCTACTATGAGAAGCACTGTTCCGAGCTCGGATCCCGGCGCAGAGGAGACAAGGCATACGAGAGAAATGCGATTATATCTGGAGGAGAAGAGCTACCTTCTGCAGACCAGCACACTTCTCGTCGAGCGATTTGGGGTTCGGAATCGCGATGCGAAGACGGGTACAACTTGGCTTGACAGCCTGTCTGAGAAGGTTGCGCAAGAGCACAGCTCCGTTCAAAGTGCTGCGGATAACAGCATCTTCTTCACAGCTTGCATCGAGGCCGTGAATGGACTGGTCGAGGAATTGAGCGATGCTTCCAGATGGCCGCAATCCTTCCAGCAAGACGACGACTTGCAGCTGTTGTTCGGTACCTCAACTGTTCGAAACCTTGTAACCACACTCCGACTCCTCCTTGCAAGACTTCACGTGCTCGATGGCGTGCTGAGCCACACTGCCGTCTCATCCTGGTTCAAGCTGATGGGTCGCGTCAACTTCTTCCAAGATTTGGCCCCATCAGCAGCCGCACCTGACCCTTCATCACTACAGTGCCTGGTGTCCGCCATCTCCCTCGCGATACTCCGACTTCCCCAGACGTTGAATTCAATACAAGAATCTGCGCAACGACATTCCGGCGGTGTGCAGTACCCTGATCTACCAAATGATGCCTACTTTGGAAACGACGCCTGCCTTCAAGAGATCAACATCATTCTTTATCGAGCGGCGCATGAAAATGTCATAATCGCCAGCCCCGCCATCTTTGCGTGGAGCATCATCACGGGCCTCATTCGAGATGTAGCAAAGCTGCAGCAAGGTAGACGCGAACAGCATCGTATCGATGATGGGTCGGATGATGGTGAGCCTATTAGTACGCGGAGAGCTTCGAGAAGAGATTCGAAAGACGATCTATCTCCATTCGAAAAGCAATACCACCTTCTGCAGGATTTCGACATGGAAACCGAGGCGAGAGACGACCCGCCGGCCTTCTTTGCTCGCTCGGCTGTTGACAGAATGAACGTGTACGCCTTTGTCTCGCAGCTGTGTACCGCCATCTCGGCGATGTACAGCTCGGACCTCGACGGTGCTGTTTCGTTCGCAGCTCGTTACGCCCTCCTCGACATGATCCGCGAAGGCATGGCATTGGTTCCATACGGCACTGAGGTCCTCGAAGCCACGCTGACAATACTTCGGCCTGATGTCCCTTGCCGCTCGATACGACTTGACTATCGGCTTGCAGACCGGTTTCTGGCGGACAGTGAGATTCTGTGCCCACTGATCCTGGACCAGACTCTTGCGCGGTATCCCTACGAGCTAACGCCGATGCTCAAACTTCTATCGGCGCTGTCATCGGCAGGTTTCGGGCAAACAGAAACACTACCTATCACGGCGTCCGTATTGGAGGGTCTGCAGACATTGACGCTGATGTTTCCCGAACACTTCCGTTCGTATGCTTTGGATCACGAAGATGAGAACTCCAACTCGATGCTGTTGACCGACATCATACCTCTGTTCGCAACAAGAAAGGCGCTATCGCTCACCGGCACGCAATATGTCGGGAGAAGACTCCTCCCCTTTGGTAGCGAGAGCACCGATGGCCATAACGTGCTGGCCATCCCGGCGGGCTCACCAGGCGTCATTCTGAAGGAATCTCGGCCGCTCATCATCCGCATCGAGCATCCGCACTCGGGACTGGAGTACCTTGGCCTCCTTCTTTCGACTCTTCTCCCGAATAGCGAGCTGCTCGTGCCTCCCATGGGTCGAGCTCTTGATCGCTCAACGGCGGCGGATATCATCGCGTTAATCACCGCCCTCCTCAAAGCATGCTTACGCCAAGACGCAGGCTTTGACGATGCCAAACTTGTCCTTGGACGCCTGGCGTTTGCGCTCCGAAATGAGCAAGATATCATCACAATCATTGCGGACTCGATGGAGACGGAGCTCCTGGCACACCTTGACCAGTCACCTCAAGAAAGCTCGCTGGATCTCTTGATTGCGTGTGCCGACTTCTTTGACACCTTAATCTCGGTATCACCGGAACGCGTGTGGTCGGCACTTGCTCGCAGCAGCCTGCTTGGAATCAATGGCGGGGCTAATGCTCTTGCGGCCGTTGTAGGAGCAAGCGAGGTGACAGTGGGCCGCTTCCGATTCTTGAATGCCTGCGTGAGCATCTACTCCCATCTCATCACCGACGCTGTCACAGGATTGGTAAAGCGAAACGCTCCAATCACCAAGGTCACGAATCGTTTCGACTCTCCAGTGTCCTTTCAAGACGCCACTCCTGAGCGAACGATGAGTACAGTTCTCAATGCCTATCAGACCGTCATGACCGATGCCTGGCAGAATCTCGGTGAGTGGCGATTCGCCGTGCTGGCCGAGAAAATAGAGATTTCGACTTGCATCTTGCGAGCGTTTGACCTGCTACTGAAGACTACGTTCGGTCTTGAGAGTGGCGACGAAGGGATCTCCAGCTTACTGTGCCAATCCGCTACTACACTTTTCGACACCTTCACATCAGGGTCTGCAACAATGCAGCCGTTCCTGTCTGTCTTCACCGAAGGTCTACTGCTGAGCGATGAGAATCTACCGACGCAACATCGGCAGTTGCTGGAGAATCATGTCTCCAGCGCAGCTCAACTGTTGACTACACTTCTACGGGCGACGCGGACGGTCGATGCCACGGAAGCCGGTTTTCTAGCCTCGCAACTTCTGGGCGCCATACCAGCGTTGGCTATACTATCGACCATTGGCAACGGGCTTAAAGTGTTCCTCTACGATCTTCTTACCGAGATTGTGAAAGCGATCAATGTCAAAGATACCGACCCCCCTTCGATCCTGGCAGAACTTAGCACCAACCAAGCAAAGTCGTTTCTGGCCGTTGTCGCGCAATTGGACGGACCAGTGCGTGACATCGAGGCCGAGAGTGCAATCTGGAACTTTCTCTCTGTCGTGCTGGGCAGCAAGCAGCAATGGTTCGCACTCTATCTCTTGACGGGCACTCTACCCAAGGATCGGCTCAAAGACAGCAAGTGCGGGACCACAACCAAGAACAGATCGCTTCTCAACCATGCGCTGGACCAACTGTCCAGTATAGCGACACTTGAACCCGAACGTGCTATCGCCATGCTCAAATTCGTTGCTTCGGCGCAGTATACCTGGGTCTGGGCCACCAACGAGGCTCGCTCGCACTCCGACTTCCTGAAGAATGCCTTGGAGTGGCTGAACAATCTTCAAATCCCCGCCAAATCGCTGAACACTGCAGAGGAAATGATGCTGGCACATGAGCACCAGATGGCCGCGTATCTGTGTGATATCCTAGCCGTCAATCTCTATGCCAGCAGCGAGGTCGGCGATAAGACACTGATCAAGATGCTGCCGGGCAAGCTATCGTTCTTGACACGACATGGCGTGGCTGTGAATGCCTACAAACGATCCCTGCACAAGAACCTGGCCGAAAACTTCGCAAGAAAGTTCCCGGGGTGTGACGTTGAGGACTTGGAGCGAAGTCTGGTAAATCCGGCTCCACTGGGGAGGAAGTACTTATACGACCTCGACCTTGCCGATCTAGTCTTTGACCACGAGGTGGCTTGGCATGGGTCGTCGAGAAGCAGACAACAAGGCTTCTCGGATGAGTTTGCGAGAGCGAATGTCAACCTGAGTCTGGTCGAAGCTCAGACGAGGTTGCTGCGGAGCTGGCGAGCGCTCGCGACGACCTTGTGTGACGGTGTCGAGCAGGATGAGGCCTTGCAAAGCGAACTCGCCAAGACGGCCGAAGCGTGTCTGCGTATGAATGCAGAGGCAAATCTGGAGCAGCCGGGCATGGACAAAGTTGTTGAGACTCGAGCCGAATTGGCCTTTGTCATCACGTCCAAGCTGGTTGGCGTCAAGTCTTCTGTTGCGGGGATGAAGGCGCTGCTCCCTTCTGCATGGGCCCTCGTCCGATCCTCGCCTGTGGACTACGAAGTCGCGACTGATCCTCAAGACTTGGTATACTACCGCACGTTACTGCGGACGCTCTATCTGGCCATTCAACCCCACGTGTATGGCGCACCTGCCCGTCCCTCGTCCGCCACGCAAGAGACTAAGATCGACTTGCTCGATCCGACCGTGTCTGCCTGCCTCGTTCAAATCTTCGCCAAAGTCATTGCGCCAGGCTTTCGCGCGCTCTGTGGCAATCTGCACAACGATGTGGGACTTGCGGAGCCTGGAGATTTCGCACTGCTCACCGCGCTGGTTCAAGGCATCCTTTCCGTGCCGGGAGCTTCGGCCGTACATCCCCAGCTAGCTGAGATTGTGGCCAGCACATCGATTACCCGTGGCGCCCTCAGCTTGTACTCTTGGTCGGATCGTCTGGCCGAAGTGACGGGACAAGAACCCGTCTACGGAGAGGTGGCCATCCTGTTCCTACTCAGTCTCTCCACCATCCGGTCTGTCGCGGAGCAAATTGCACTAGAAGGGGCGCTACTCCAACTCTCCGCCGCCAACGTGTCCGACTACCTTCGCAAGCCAAAAGGCAAAGGTCCTTTCTCCGAACCTAGAAGCATCTTCACGATCTGGGCCGAAGGACTGTTACCGCTTTGCCTGAATTTGCTCGACGCCGTGGGCCCACCTGTAGCAGCGGACGTTGCTGCTTTCCTGAACTCGTTCCCGCAACAACTTCAGCGAGCGAACACCGCACTCGAAAACCGGCAGCCTTCGCGGCAGGATCCATTCGCGGGCGTCATTACGCTTGGCTTGATCTCCGAGGCGCACAGTCTGTGCTTCATCGCGCGCATCTTGGCCGCTGATATTGCACGGGGTGCTGCGGAGGGGATTGATTCGGCGGATGTGCCGATGCTGGAGTACGACTATGAGAAAGTGAAGGAGGACGCGGCGGGATTGCTAAGGCAGAAGACTAGTTTGGCGGCGAGGGTGGTGCCGGTTGGGGTGAGAGAAGAGGCTTGGGGGACGAATGAGCTGGGTGAGAAGATTGATGCAGAGATTCATGGATTGTTGCGGTGCTTTGGCGAGAAGGAGGGAGAGACTTGATCTTTGTGTCGATTAGCGAGGCGTTGAATATTGCAGCGAGGCTGTTCTCGTGGTTTTGCTCGATCATAACGTTGCGAGGTTCACAATGCAATTGGGGATCCGCGTCCAGTCAAGTCACGGGACCGCGCATCTCAAGCGCGATTTGCTTGGCGCAACCGTTTAGCGCGTGAACGTGTCAGTGCGACACTCTCGCACGTGGCTTCCGGGCGATACGTGTCTCTGATTTTTTCACACCACTCGTGGAAGACTAGGCATACTCTGATGACCCCAAACACGAGCCCTTGATACCAACAGGGCCATGCAAAAGACTCACGCATCGTCGAATATCCGAAGTCGGGTGGAATGAACGGGCTAAATTGCGCGGCGTATCGATAAGGCGCACGGACTTTACACGTCTTCCCTTCAACACGCGCCAAAACGCAAACATCCTCCCTCGAGCCCATCGACACGCATTGCTACATGCAAGGAGTCGCGCGTTTGGGATGGACGATACAGTACCGCCGCATGTTCCTGTCGGACGCTACCAACCCCGATCACAGCAATCGGCAAGTTATGCCTTCTTGAACCACTCGTCGGCGACGCTGCCGAACAATCTGCCGCCTGCGGTGGATGACAAGCCATTGGCCAGGCAGAAGCGGAGGAGGACGAGGTATGCACTCCGTTTAGAGTTCTCTTCTGTGCTTCTGCTGATGTGTCTCGCAGTCCGGAAGATCAGGCTGTCTTGGAAGCGGCATATCTTCGCGACTTCAAGCCCGACAAGGCCGCGCGATTGGAGCTTGTGAAACAAGTTGGCCTCGGCGAGAAGGAGGTGCAGGTGCGCATTCGTTTTCGCGTTTTCAGTCGTGTCGTCATGCTAAAGGAGCCCCAGATCTGGTTCCAGAATCGAAGACAGACGTCTCGTCGGAAGTCGAGACCACTACTTCCTCATGAAATTGCCCAGTATCATTTGGAACGATCCGGCGCCTCTCCAATCAGCTCGCAAGCGGCGACTTCTTCCACGGCTGGAGTGTCCGACAATAAGGGAACGTTTATGCCTCCACCACTTACTTCGGTTATCGATAGCCGTCCTGGCCAGATCCGGACCTCGCCCTTTAGCCATGGTGGAAGCTCCCCAGATGCGCCAGAGACTTCCAAAGGTCTCGATAGCTCAGCCAGCTGCTCGGACGCATCACCCTGGTCAGCTGGAGGTAGCAGCCAGGACGGACGAGTTGTCGTCGATGAGTTTGCAACTGGAGGCCACCTCGCGAAAAGAAAAAGTGCACCTTCATTGCGCGTGCATCATTCCTTTGATGCGAAGACGGCCTCGGGTACTAGCCATGGTAACGGCAACTCAATGTCCCACCTGAAGAGGTCCTCTTCCATCGTCCGATTGTCTTTGTCGAGCGAGGGAAGTGCCTTAATCGTCACCAACGACGGCTCTTCTCCATCCCCGCCGCGACCTGCTCAGACGCTTCTGCCGGACATTGCACAGAACAATCCACTACCAGCACCGAGACTCTCTGCAGTCACAAGCAGCGAGGCAATTACAGAGCCTCTGAAACGTGCTTCCATTGGGCGGTCTCGAGATTCCAGGGCCTGGGAATTCTGGTGTGACAAGGACGCTCGCAGCGAACTCGAGGACAAGGCCGAAAAGGATGCAAGCGGATCTGCTGCTGACGCCATCGACCTGTTGCGTTCCACGACAGGAAGGAAGATCTTGGGCACGCTATCAACGGGCAAGAACACCTTTCTCGCCCGACGTTCGTCTGCGCTGCACCGCAGTTCCACCGGACTGAAGCCACCTTTAATCCGACGAGCGAGCACATCCTTCATGCGGATGCCAACGAAATCGTACGCTGGCGTGGCTGGTGTGTCCAAGTCGCGACCGAAACTCCAAACGGGGGACAGTGCGATATCAGTATATGTTCCAGGGAACGACTCGGACAAGGAGAACTGGTCTCCCGCCAGTGTCGTCCACTCTGATGACAGTCTGGACGTACGCCGAGCATCAAAGGGTCAAGACTCGTCCCGCCGTTTTGGAAACGAGAACATCGCGCCCGAAGACGATGCTGAAGTTCGGGCATTCATGCGTGGAGGCAAGAGCAACATTGTGTCGGAAGAGGATGATTTTGACTGCGTTCAGAGCTTGCTGTCCTTGAGCCAAGGAAACTGGCGGTAGACAATTGGTCGCCGTGTTGTATTGAAGTGCATTTTTGAATCAGCTCTGTCCACTTCTGCGGTCTGGTCGGTTGTAGGGTGCCTCCAGGTTAGGTTTCTCTTTAAAACTTCCAGATTTGTCCACCCATGGCCTGTTTCATCGGCTGCGGTCCACTCTTCGGGCTTACGAGTCAGCATGACCTAGGCTCGTATTTGAAGGCCTGGAGCCCACCGCCTTCGAACATTTACACTGGTGTTTGGGCTCACTCTGATCTACAATCGATATTCATGGAGATGTAAGGACTCGCCTAATCCTACCCGATCGGTCAACGCGCATGCTTCGAAAGACGAGACGTTCGACCATCCGATTCTTTTCCAGCATGATGCAGCAGCCGCAACGCGGCTCTCGAGATCGTCCATTAAGAGTTGCGATTGTCGGTGCCGGCCTATCTGGTATGTTTTTGCAGATATTGTGAGGAGAATGCTCTCTGAAAACGTGCGCAGGCCTGCGGTGTGCAGATGTACTATTACAACACGGATGTCAAGTCACCATCTTCGAAGCTAGGAATAGAATTGGCGGGCGGGTTGCGCAGAGCAATCACCTTGGCCATGTGGTAGACTTGTAAGTGCAGTCTACTCTGATGATTGAAACGCTTGCGACTCAGTCTTTTACCGGCAGAGGCGCGAACTGGATTCATGGCACCATAGACAACCCCATCTACGACATTGCAAAGCAGTGTGCAACGACGCTGCATGTTTTGAACGAGGAGCAGGCGATCATAGATCCGGATGGTCACCAGATTGACCCCGACGAGGTTGCCGAACACATCAGTCTGATCTGGGATGGCCTGGTCGAAGATGCATACAAGTTCAGCAACGAGAACAAGGACTCGATCGATCCTCATCGAAGCTTGTACGACTACTTTGTCGAGAGATCAACAAACTTGTTTACGGATCTCCCTCCCGCTATTGCAGAGAGGAAACGAAGGACTCTCTTGCTCATAACGGATATGTGGGGAGCCTATGTCGGCAGCCCAGTAACTCGACAGAGTCTCCGAAGCTTCTGGATGGAGGAGTGTCTGCGAGGCGAGACCTTGTTCGTTGCAGGCACGTTTTCGGAGATTCTGCAGGAGGTAGCTGCACATGCGATGAAACGTGCAAACGTCAGGTTGAACTGTGAGGTGACGGCGATTACGACCGCAGTAGATGCTGACCACGATAACGGTCGTCAGTGCATTGAATCCAGTGATGGCAGTCGAAGCCACTTTGACGCGGTGGTCGTCACTACGCCGCTCGGCTGGCTCAAGCATAATCACCAGGGTGTCTTTCGGCCTGCTCTACCATCACGACTTGCGCAAGCGATCGAGAATGTCGACTGGGGCGAACTTGATAAAGTGTACATTACCTTCCCGTCAGCGTTCTGGGAGGATCAGGGGCTCGGTGATAACAATTCGTTGCGCAATGGAGCAGCATCTGACCTCGGTCATTCGAGAAGGGCGTGTCCTGGAGGATCAATGTACCTGGCCCCAACCTATACCCCCAACACAAACCCGGAAAGATGGTATCAAGAGTGTGTGAACCTCTCTGTGCTTCCCACAGAGTGCGCACAGCCCACGCTGCTGTTCTACACTCATGGAGAATGCAGCAAATACCTTGCGGGACTTGTTTCAGGAGCGAAGACTACGAGCGAGGGGGATGCGAAAGTGCTCGAGTTCTTCCGACCCTACTACGCCCTCCTCCCCAATTACGACCCAGCGAACCCCGCGTGCATACCGAAAGGCGTGTTAGCCACGGCCTGGGCGGCTGACAAGTGGGCGGGCTACGGATCGTACAGCAACTTCTTGACCGGGGTAGTTCATGCTGACAAGGACATTGAAGCCATGAGACTTGGCTTGCCGGAGAGGGGTGTCTACCTCGCGGGTGAACATACCGCGCCCTTCCTGGCGTTGGGCACGACGACAGGGGCGTATTTGAGCGGTCAGAAGGTCGCGGAAAGGATCCTGCGTGATTGTAGCGTCGCGTGAAGAAGGGCCGGGGTCGGTTATGGAACAGGCAAGACCTCCCCTCGAATCATATGTCGTACGGTAGGGGAATCTCCAATCACTTTCTCCCCGATTGACGATCATTCCGCTTCACGCGTCAAATAACCCTGACTCGTAAGGGTGGTGAGGACTAAACGCACAAGACGGAAGACACGGCGACGCCATTGTGTAAGCCAAGAGGGTCCAAGAACACTTAGACGACGCCTCCAAGCAACTCCGACGCCTTAGACGACGCCCATTGCTTGTTCCAATCCCCTCCCCGCATCGACTATCCGCGGCCAAAGCTTTGTCGTATCTTTCAAGCCAGCCAAGCTACCAGACGAATATCATCCCCGATCGTGCATGGTTCAGGGTCTGCTGGCACGTTGTTGTGCACGAGGAAACGGCACGCATGCATCCGAGTGCGTGGCGACCAGTCCTTCGGTAAAGTTTAACTATTCTCAACCCCCGGACCACCCCCCGGGCCACCTCTCCGCCCCCGCTCCCACAGCTAGGTAGACAAGGAAGACCAGCGCGTAGCCGCGGGTATGGAGCCCTCGTGGCTGCCATGACGCCCCATGGGGATTTATAACATAGGGCACAGTGCCGAAAGAGTCGATCGGGCCATCGTTTTGAAGGTTGGACTCCTGCCCTTCTCCATAGCTTCGTCCGTTGCTTCCTTGCACGCCTCGTCTTGTCCATCCCCCCTTCATAACGCAATGGCGCCCTACTTCGGCCTGACAGGCCGCAAGCTCCACGCCGCCGTCTGGATCATATCCTGGGTGGCCGTGAGCATGTTTGGCTACAATGGAGCGGCAGCTGGCGGCGTGCTCAATTCGCCCGCCTTCCAGAAGCAGTTCCCCAGTATCGACGTGGAGACTGCACCGCCAGGCCAGGCTCAACACCGATCCACCATCCAAGGTACCGTCGTGGCAACATTCACTTTGCTCGGCACGGTTGGCGCGCTTGGTTGCATCTGGGTTGGCGACATCCTTGGCCGACGCAAGACACTCTTCCTGGCATGCTCTATCAACTTAATCGGAGCCATCTTGATAGGCACCGCGTACTCCCTGGCCCAATTCGTTGTCGCGCGTGTGTTTCTTGGTATCGGGGTTGGTGGTATCATCTCGACCATTCCGGCGTGGCAGAGTAAGTCTTGCACTTCGTCGATCTAATACCACGTCCGCTTACCACTCTACCCAGGCGAGCTTTCCCGAGCGGAAAGTAGAGGCTCTCATGTCTCGAGCTTTGGCATCTACTGCGGTACCGGTCTCTCCTTGGCTCTGTGGCTGGCATATGGCCTGTCTTTCACTACGGGAGAAGTGACGTGGCGTCTGCCCGTTGCCGGCGGCGGCGTGCTCGCCGTCATCGTGATGACCTTCATCTTCTTCCTCCCAGAAAGCCCGCGGTGGTTGAAGCTGAAAGATCGTCATGAGGAGGCCCGACGAGTCCTCGAAGCGTTGCATCCGGGCGACCCTGACACGATCAACAAGGAGATTGAGGATATTGAGCTTGCGCTCAAGCTGTCGGTGAAGCAAGCCAGCCTCAAGTACATGTTCACCATGGGACCGCAAAGAGTCTTTCACCGCGTGATGTTGGCTTGCATTGTCCAGATTATGCTACAGGTGAGCAGCCACTCATCCACAATCCTCGAGCAACACGTCTAACGACTTGCGCAGTTTACCGGAGTCAATGCGATCGCCTACTACACCCCTACGATCTATGCCAACAACCTCCATTTCCCTGCTGTTGAGGCTGGTGCGTTGGCCGCCGCTTCCCAAGCAATGATCATCCTCGGAGGCATCATCTGCTCCTTCACCGTCGATCGCTTCGGCCGCAGGCTGTTGATGTTAGTCTCGGCTGCAGGCATGGTACGTTGACTCATTGTTCGCGCCTTTTCCTAGTCATCGGCTAACCTTTTGTCAAGTCCATCTGTCTTGCCATCGTCACCGGGCTCACCTCGAATGGTAGCCCTGCCGCTTCGAAGGCCGCCGTCGTCTTTCTGTAAGTCAATCATCCCATCCTCTAAGGGCAACCCTGTGCTGATGAATCTGCAGGTACTTGTACTATATCGTCTACACGCTGGGCTTCATCGGCATTCCGTTCTTGTACGCCAGTGAAATCGCCCCGGTGCAACTCCGAGCCCCCATTTGTGGTTTGTCGACCGGTATCAGCTGGGTGTTCAACTTCTTGGTCAGTCTTTGATCCAGCACGATGGCAGTGTCGAGGATGACGAAGCTAATGAGTGATAGGTGGTCGAAATCACACCCGTGGGCTTCACAACCATCGGCTACCGATACTTGTAAGAGAGCTCCCCATACCAACTTCCCTTGCAAATTAGCTGACACAGAATTGCAGCATCATCTACGCCGTCTTCTGCGCATCCTTCGTCCCAATCGTATACTTCTTCTACCCCGAGACCGCCGGCCGTTCCTTGGAGGAGATCGACGCCATCTTCGTGGAGGCCACATCCATCTGGGATGTGGTGAGTGTGGCGAAGAAGATGCCCAAGCACCATCTTGCGGAGCACAAGTTTGATCAGAAGATTGTGGAACAACTTCCTGTTGAAGACAAGGAGCCGAAGCTGTCGCATGGTGAGGAGTCTCCGTAGGGTGGGGGCGTTTGTCTCTTGGAGGGCTTCAAGATGCTTTTTGCTGGATCTGGGATGAGTCGCTGTACGATTTGTAAATTTGTAGTTATGGTGTCCTGGAGACTCAATGAAACGCTGTTTTCGCCTGGGTTGACACCATGTAACGTCGACCAACAACTATTTTTGTGCGACTGATGAAGCTATACTCTTAAACGTAGGATCTCGTTACACATCACACTGCTCCCACGCGGACGTACCAGCCTTTACCAAAAGGCAATCACGCGTGCCTCCACACTCATCCTCGGCTCCTCATTATCCACACCAGGCAACATCGGCGAGCAATGCGCGCAAAAGCCAGAGAGCTTCGGGTCGCGCTCGGCCGCCGTGTCCGCGAACTTGAGAATCAAAACATCATCGGGATGCTGGTTGGGCTTGCAGTACCACCTCTGCCCCGAGTTCTTCGCATCGGGCGTCTGCGTCAGCTGCTCCAGCATGTACTCGCCGCTTTCCGTGATGTTGCTCGTCGCTCGGTACTCGACGGGCAGGAAGTGCTTGGGGTCGGTGGTGCGGCAGTCTGCGACGGCGAGGGGGTCGCGTTTGACGGGTTTGATGGGCCGCCAGACGGAGTAGGCTGCGTAGCGCTTGGGTTCGGTGTTGTTGTCTTCGGCGTCGAGGGCGGCTTGCGCGGCGGCTTTGATGTCGGTTCGGCAGTAGCGCGCTGTGCGCTTCAGCCCGCGGACGGTGTAGTCGCAGTGGGCGTGGCGTGCGGGCTCCAGACCTGCGTCTGCTCTTCCATTGACTGAGAAAGTAATGTTAGTTCAAGAGGCCTCGAAGCGGAATAAACGTGGCAGACTCACCCCACGCAGATTCGCCTTTGGTCAACTGCTTCACAGCATCATCGTGCTTATCGCCAGCCTTGCGATAGAACTTGGGGTCGGCATTATTCGTAGCCAGACGCTTGCGGATTCCAAGATGGTTCACAATAACCGTCTTCGCACCCGTGACTCGCTTCACCAACTCCACTACCTCAGGCACGTACTTTTCCTCCACATTGGTGCCTTCGAGCCACTCATTCTCGCTGAGAGTCGAAGGGGCCTTGACGTAGGTGAAGCCCTGGATATCAAGCCCTTCTGGTCCTTGCACAATTTCAGGTGCAGTATCTGGGTCGTAGAGATCAACGTCTACGTCCTCGGCATGGTGATGGGCCGGGCCAGAGAACAGTCCACGGTCCTCCGGTCGGACAGACGTATCGGGGAGGTTGTAGCGGATGGTGCCTCGTACGAGTCCTGGCATCTTGTAGATGGTAGAAATTGGTACAATTGACGATTGAGGAAAGCAAGGATAGCTAGGTAGCTTATGGGTGGTTTCAAAGAAGACTGTCGTGTCGACTGCCTTTTGAGGCTTTGCACGGTTAATGAATGCGACGCCATCCAACCAGAAGCACTGTTACGGATGTCCGCCGATCAATTGCCGGACACCCAGCTCGCATGGTTCAACACGGAATCCGGCAAGATTCAAGACAGCAGTGAAGTGGCAAGGCTTTGGTGAGTACTTTGTGCAGACATCTTCCTCGGCGACCGCATCCCCTCGGCTATGTATTGGAACTTGAGTTCGGTATGCAGGAGATCGCTTCATGCGCGAACACGCGCGTGCGCAGTGGATCTGGGGACAGCGAGGATCATTTGTGGGGTTATAATTCCCGGCACCAGACCCCTTATGGTTGTAGCAGGGTCATATTCCCCGAATCAGGCTGAGGAAGAAGGTGATCTGCAAAGTATACACGACACAAGCAATGCTATTCCAATGCAACGAGAAGGAATGATCTATATGCCGACGCGTCGACGTAGCAAGAACAGCATGAAAACTGCTCATTGCTGTATGCTGGGAAAGCGTCCATCCAGGAAGCCATAAGCGTCCGAGTAAAAGTCGTAGTTGAATGCCATGGATTCCAGCTCCATATTGTTATTCCATTCCAATAACGGCCCGTCCGCGCCTGCACCCAAAGGCCTGCCAAAGGACGCGTCAAAGAATTGGGAGATGCCGTTTTCTGCGGAGGGATGGTCTTTGGGGAGTGCCGATGGTGTCGAAGCGGCAAATACGGAGGGAGTTATGACTCCAGAACCAGGAGTGGGATCCATAGCGTCGACTGCAGGTATGAGTTGCTGGTCGGGGTTTTGCATGATCCGCGGATCTGAGTCGGCGGGCGCTTGGCCGATCATGGGTGAAGGATCGGCCGGCCACCCCAGGCCAGGAACACCTCGATCATTTGGCACTCGTGGTGGGTCCATTGGACCAGAGCTTTGTTGACCGTTGACTGCAGACCCTGGAAGAGCCTGCACAGCCGCCAGCTCTGTGGGAGAGTCCGGAGGAGGAATATGCACGGTGATTCCCGCGGTTCGAAATACGGAGGCGAGGAATTGCACGGCCGCGTCTGCTGATGCGTAGATGCCCCGGAGCAGATGCAAGACTTGGACGGTCTGGTAGAGGCGAAAAGTACTGGCATCGCGAACATCCTCGTCTCCCGAGCTGATGTCCAGCATGTGCGTCAGACAGGCTGCAAGCGGGGCAGTGACACCAATGAGCCCCAAGAAGCGGGCTTGGTCTAGCTGCATCAAGCTCTGCAGAGATTTTGTCAGACGACGAGCGGCGTCCTTGACCTTTGACTTTGATATTCGCTGGGCGGCTTGGGCTTCTGCAGTTTCTGGCGGCGGCTGTAATGCCAACGAGCGATGAAGCACGTTAACCGCCACCCAATATGTGAGGTTCAAAAAGGCCCAATGAACTTCGGAGCAGCTTTGCGGATCGCCTGAGGTGGCGCTTGTTCGCCGAACGTTGGGGCCGAGTGCCTGGAACCAGTCGTTTAATTCCAAGTCACAGCGCTCCAGCTCCTGGAAACGGCCTGCATCGCGTCGCGAAACGATCATCATTGTGTGGGGAACGTCTGGTTGAGCGCTCAAGGTGGTGTATTGTGAGGAGGTCACATGTCCGATGATGATTCCTAATTTCGCCAGCTCGATGCACATTAGGGCTGTTGATGTGTTTTCTCTCGCATCCGGCATCAAAGGCTGGCCTTGAAGGAATAGTTCCACAGGCTCGAGGTCAAAGTCCTCTAGTGTCAGCATTTGAACATCGAAATCTTCGTCCTTGATACGCATGGGCCGCCTAGTACCCAGCGCGATCATTCGATCGCGAATGTACAAGGACCACCAGAGTCTTCTGCGGAAGCGTCTGACATCTGGAGGATAGCGTGTCGTCGGCTCGCGATGCAATGCCATGCTTCGTGCAACGTCGTAGCCGAGGCCGAGATAATGCCAAGTATGTCGTCGCTCGTTGCCCTTGGTGAACCAAGCGCTCATCAAGATTAAGGATTGTACCACTGCGGCGCTGTTCGGCTCAATATCGAATTCGTACAACAGCCTGGCGCGGTTGAAGAAGACCTCTCGAGCTTGCTTCGTGGACTCAAAGCCAAGTCGGTGGATCACATGCAACGGAAGCCCATGAAGTCCAGCGAACATGACGGCTTGAAATAGCAGCAGGCTGATCTGGTTCTCTTCTGAATTGTTCAAGATGGCGCTGACGAACTGCTTGAAATCCAACATCGGTTGGTTAGGATGAACGCTGAACAGATAGCCTCGTAAGATCTCCATCTGCAAGTCCGGCTCCGGCACGGTCAACGCTCCCTTTTGTGCAAGGAATGCCAGGTCCTCGCTTAAGACGAGATTGGACAGTGGCATGATGAAGGGCGGGAGGGGCGGCTTTGGAGGTCGGCTGGTCTGCGGTTCCAACGTGTTCATGGCCGTCTCCGGAGTGAGCAGTCCATCGTAGCCTTCGTATGGCCCACGATAGGTTCCAGTACTGGCAATGTCATCTGCAATGGCCTGTTGGCCGGCCTCGGTATTGTCGTGGTCCTGATCGAATGTCACACCCACTGGGACCTGACCAGCAGCATTTGAGGGTGAGTGATCCTCGTAACCCGCCTGATCGGTGTCGCGCCTGTCTGCAGATTTCAGGATGCTGGTGGCCTTTTCGGACTTTGCGGGCGCCGCCGTGTCGGTACTTTTACGCGATGCATGATTGTTCTTTCCCCTTCGAGAGGCGAGAACAATGCATTCCATGCCATCCAGCCGGCAGTTGGTGCAGCGAGAGCCATTGTTGACGACATCGCAGCGCACCTTTCTCGCGCGACACGCCTGGCATGCTGTGGAAGAGCGATGCTTCACCACACGGCCTGTCTCACTCGTGGAGCTCTTGCGCTTGCGTGCATTAGGTGTTGTGATTGCAGGCTCGGCAGTCACAGTGTCGGCCATTTTTAGGCGTAATGATGACAACGCGGGACCCGCGGTGATGGTACAGTCTGCCCAAGGCTGCGGAAGGGTATGGCAATGCGTGGAGGGTGACCGAGATGCTCGGTAATTTGGTGTTTCCCGCAGCTTTTCAGGACTCCTCGACCTTGGGGTGGCAAAAAGCACGGGGCGCTCCACCCCCGCCCGAAGCACGTGGGGATTGGTTACCCGGACATGGGGTGCGGGGCGGGATTAAGGTTTCCCGGGCGGTCTGTCCCTTTGCACCGACGTCAGCTATTCCAACCCCGCTCGCCGTTGACGTAGGAGTGCGAGGCCTGCATATGCCAGGGCTGGTGAAGAATGAACAAAAAGCGTATTGCTCGACGACGTGTTGCAGGCCGAATTCGCTCAGGGAGGCCGGAGGAATCGCCGATGTTCTACACTCAGCCAAGCCATATTACTTAGAATCACGTGACAAGGCTTGCGAATCCGTCCTGTAGCCGAGGTCTCCCGAGACACCGAGGCGTCACCACAGGCGGTGCCCCGAATTCCAAGGCCATTGTATACCGTCAGGTAGTCGGCTGTTGGCGTGATACGCAAGAGTAGAAAGTTCTGGCTCAACGTCAGTCCAGACATTTGTTCTTCCCTTCTCACCACATTTTTGCAGATTGACCTTGATTTGCAACATCATTCGCGAAGATGCCTGCAATGAAACAGACCAACGGCGATGCTCGGGGAACTCGCCCTGTCCGCATCGCCAACGTTTCCGGTGGCCAGATGGAGCCTGCGTACCAGATGAGGAAGCAAGCCACCATGGGCGACATTGACTTCATCACTGGTGACTGGCTCGCGGAGAACAATATCGCTCAGGAAGCAGCAGCCATGGAAGCCGGAAAGGGCGAGGGTTTCAAGCCCAACGCCTGGCAAGGATTGCAACTGACCATGGATGTGATCGCCGAGAAAGGAATCAAGGTTGTTATTAACGGTGGCGGACTTGGTCCCCACAACCTGGCCCGCCGTTGCCAGGAACTGAGCGACAAGCACGGCTATGGTTTGAACGTTGCATACGTTTCGGGAGACAGCATCGTCCATCGTGTTCGTTCATCCCTCGAGGAGAATGGCAAGCTCCCGTCGACTTTCCAGGACATCAGCGAGACTGAGCACACCGAAGTGACGTTCACGGCCAAGGAGGTGCTGGCGGCTAGTAAGTCTTCAGTTTTTGCGGGTGGTGATCCTGCGTGGGCGAAAAATTCGAAAACTCGAACTTTCTGAAAATTATCTGATGGATGCTAATCGATCAACAGCGGCATACATTGGTGCGAGAGCCATTGTCAAAGGCCTTGAAAACGGTGCAGACATTATTATCTGCGGTCGCGTGGCCGATGCATCGCCAGTCATCGGCGCGGCTTGGTGGTGGTACGGCTGGAGCGACACCGACTACGACCGACTTGCTGGAGCTTTCCTGGCTGGCCATCTTATTGAGTGCTCTGCTTACGCCTCGGGATCGAACTTCAGTGGCTTCCATCGCTATCCCCTTGAGACATTCGTCGACAATGGATTCCCGATTGCCGAAATCGAACAGGATGGAGCTTGCGTGATCACCAAGCACGAGGGCACCGGCGGCATGGTGTCGGAGGATACGGTACGTACTCTTCCCGTCTCGCTGTGCTGCGCTGAAGCATGCGTCGCGTGCTCGAAATCCACTTCGGTGGTTCAGCGTTGAGACGCTGTTTCAGCACTGGCGAGCTCCCTCGACAGCATACCTCTGATGAACTTCTACTGACATTGAGACTCGCAGGTCAAATGTCAAATGTCAGTCAATATAAGAAGTATCCCCAGCGGATGGTGCTGTCGAAGCTGCCCAGAGAGTTGTCCTACACCCTGGGATAAATCCTCCATGGCCTGGCCATCACACCCACCGTCCTTCAAAGTTGTTGGTACTGACGAAACGGCCAGGTTATACGAAATCCAAGGCAATGTGTACCTCAACAGCGACGTCAAGGCGATCCTAGACCATGTACAGATCAAACAGGTGGGCGAGGTAAGAATTCTTGAGCCTCAAATGAGACGAAGCACTTGCTAACCCCAAAAACTCCACAGAATCGCGTCAGGTTCTCCGGAATAGTTGGGCGGCCACCCCCACCGACTACTAAGCTTGCCATCTTTTTCCTGGGCGGATACGAAGCTCAGAACCTCGCCAACTTCGCTGGTTATTCGTGGCGTAAGTTGATCCCAGGGGCAATGCCTCCAAAAAGTCCTCCGGGACTGTCTACCGCAGATACTGGCCTTCGATGTGTGTATACTGACGGTAAAAATACAGGACGCAAGTACAAATTGTATGAAACGCAGATCAGACAGCGTATGGCGGAGCAGGGCCTTGCAGACAAGTTCGACATTCTGGCGTTCCAAGTGATTGGTTCTGCGAGACCGGATCCACGATACATGTTCGAATCGACAACATACACTCGGATATTCGCCCAAGCCAAGACTCCGGAACCTCTGTCTGCCCTCAAACTATTGCTCGCCGATCAGACTCAACAAAAGCCTTCGGTAAGTCGCGTCTCTGGCATCGACGCGAATCACCCTGCTGCGGCATTGATTCAAGTCAATTTGGCGTCCCATGGACTTTAGCCATGCTCCAAGGGCATTCGTATATCTCGAACGCTTGATCGATAGAATGGTCTCGCTGATAATTGCTTCTAGGGACTTCACTGGGCTCAGGACATGAGAACCGCCGATCCAAAATCATTCTACGTCTACTACCCGTGCATCATGCCCCAAGACGAGATCGAGGAAGCTGTCCACCTTCTCGAGAAGGGAGGCAAGGTCAAGAAGACCATCCCCGTTACTCGCCCGCCTGCTTACGAGGAATGGTCCGGAAAACGCGATTCCTACGATACACCCAACCCCGTCCCCCTCGAATCCTTTGGTCCTACGAAGCGCATTCCGCTGGGCGATCTCATCATCGGAAGGTCCGGCGACAAAGGACCTAACGTTAACGTCGGCTTCTTCACCGACCGTCCAGAAGTCTGGGAGTGGCTCCGCAATTTCTTGACTTTGGACCGTATGAAGGAACTCATTGGAAAGGATTGGAAAGAAGGATACCGTATCGAGCGTGTCGAATTTCCCACCATCTATGCGGTAAGATCTTCAAGGGAGACTTGTCGGGCTGCTTCGAGACCACAGGAGCACTGGACTTGTTCTCCCCGACACTCCTGAAGTGAGACAAAGCGTTTACTGACCTTAAAAACGCTGCAGGTACACTACGTGGTGTATTGGATCCTCGGCAGAGGTGTGAGCAGCTCGACACTTCTGGACAATCGGTAAGACAAGAGAAAAGCACCTACTATCTCCTCATAGTTCATTTGCGATCATTTCGCGAATTTCTCCTGTACACATGCTGATTTTACGCGTCCTAAAAGAGGAAAAGGGTTCGCCGACTACATACGCGCAAAGCACGTCGACGTGCCCGAGAAGTTTCTGCAGTGGGCGGTGGCGGATAACGAAGAGTTTCTCTAGACTGGACGTTTGGAAACCATCTACACTATCAAGTGACGGATTTTCGTTGGCTATTTGGTATGGCATTGGTTCTACAGAAGGATCAAGCAGTATCAGTGTTGCAGTGTTGTAGCAAGATCGAGCAGTAGCGGTATTGCAGAAAGATCGAGCAGCCTGATGTCGAAGGATCACGTGATGTATTTCCTTTTTTGGCTAAGCTTGGTCGGGCTGCCCTTTCGAGCTGTAAATGTGGGTCCGTGGATCAGACTTCACTTCCTCTACGCCTTCACCTCGCTGGCGATCCAACCATCTAACTACATGCATGCTGCATGCGCGGAACGCCCGCAGCAATGCTACTTCTCCTCCGAATCTGCATCCTCCGACGCTGACTTTGCCTTATCGCCCGAAACTCCTCCCTCTCCATCTTCACCCTCATCATCCCCATCTCCAGCTTCATCCTTCTCTCCTCCATCTCCATCTCCATCTCCCTCGTCCTCCTCGTCCGGATATCCGCCATACTTCACGAAATCTTCTTCAGCCTCCTTCAAAACGAGCCTGCAATCTCGAAGAAGTTTATGATCGCCTTCAGTCGGGGGAGCCGAGCCTGGTAAAGACATGGCTAACAATGATGAAGGTGTGTCAATTGAGGCTGCTCAAGCCACCGATTGTGGATAGTAGACGTTTCTTACCGAGCTCCGCGATACGGACGGCCTCCCTCGCCCACTCAACGTACCCCGGGCCATCGCTTGTGCCGAGGACGAGGAGTGCGCGACAGCGCAGACCTAGCGGGAGTTCTGGGTAGGCAAGCAGTGTGTGCGCGATCTCTTCTGATTTCTCTTTGTTATCATTGTCGTCGTTGCTGCTGTGTGCGAGGATGTGCATCTCTCTGTCCATCGCTTTGAACATGCGCATCTTGTTATCGTCCGACATGTTTGCGATCGTGAGTTGGAGGCAGGGTGAGTGAAGTGGACGAAGAAGTTGTTGTTGTCGAAAGGCTGAGATCTTGAACAACTTGCAATCTTGAATGTTGACGTTGAAGGTGAAGGTGTTTGTGAGAAAAAGTATGCCCGAAAAGTGCGCACAGACTTGCAAACGCGAATAGTGTATTGCTTGTGCAACCTCACATGCACAAGGATGCCCAGTGGTATGACGGCCTGAGGCTGACACATCTCCTAGGGAACGGACACTTCACATCAAAAGCCGTGAGTCTTCGTTCCCATCTGTCGAAGTAATTCCTGCGCTTTTTGAAAACCACACAGCCTTCTGTCGATTTTCTGACGACCTGGCAATGAGAAACTACCTACTCCTTGAAGCTGACATCCGCTTTGCTCTCGCTGTCCCGTCCATTATCCAACCCCTCCTCCAAAACGCTCTCCCCCTTCTTCAACTGCCGCCTTTCCTTCCGCGCAATCTTCGGGGGATCGAAGAAGTTGTTCGACCGACCAAACACATCGTCCATCTGCTCCAAACTCAGATCACACGTCTCCGGGAACAAGAAGTACACGGTGGGAACAATGGCGGCGTTGATGCAAGCGTAGACGATCCAGTAGCGGTAACCGATGTTGGCGAAACCAATCGGCGTGACCAGGACGACGAGGAAGTTCGACAGCCATGAGGTGGCGGTTGACACGCCTGCGATGGCGGCTCGGTATTCCAAAGGAGCGACCTCGGTGGCGTACAGATTCGTGTTGCTCAGGAAGCCGAGGGCGAAGAAGGGGGTGTAGAGGAAGAGGAAGAAGGTGGCTGCGTAGAGAGAGCCTTTGTTCTGCGGCGCGGAAGTGGTGCCGGCCACGACGCTGAAGCAGATGGCCATTGTCGCCGAACTCAGCAACATCAACGGCCGACGACCGAATCGATCGACGGTCAAGACTGTAGCCAGGCCGCCAAAGATCAACAAACTCTCCATGGCAATGGCCAGCCCACGAGCTTTGACAGCGCCGAAACCCAAGTGCTCTTCGTAGATGGTGGTCGCGTACGCCACCGTAAGACTGACGCCGCAGAGCTGCTGAAATGCTTGGCCGAGGATGGCGACCAGGGCACGGTTGAAGATGCGTTGATCGCCCATTTTGAGCAGGTTCTGCGGACCTGGATTGCCCGCGCGGGCGGCAAGCTCGAGGGAGTGTTGCATCATGGCGATATCGCGGGTGATGCTCTCATCGTCGACCGCCACGTCTTGCAGGACTGCCATGGTTTCCCGGGCTTCGTCTATGCGGCCTTTCTTGACAAGCCACCTTGGCGACTCTGGCAGGAAGAAGATGAAGGCAATGACCATCAGGAAGAAGACAATCTGGATGGCGAAGGGGAAACGCCACGAAACCGAGGAGTCCTTCACGAAGAAGAAGCCAAAGTCGATCAGGAGGGAAATGGTAATGCCCGCGCCGAGGAAGATTCCTTCTACATTAACAAAAGCCCCGCGGTGCTGTGCGCCCGAGATTTCGGACTGCCAGACAGGGACGGAAGCAGTGTAGCCGCCGCTGCCCAGTCCCAATATGAGTCGCGAGACAATCAGTTGGGCGAGGGAAAACGACGAGGCCATCAAGATCGCTCCGATTGTCGCTACAATGGTGGAGTAGAAGATGGTCTTGCGCCGACCCAGCATGTCTCCGACTTTGATGCATGTGAGGGCTCCAAAGGTCGCGCCAAGCACAAAAAGTGCAGTGACCACGCCTGCGAGGATGAGATTAGACGCCACAACTCGAGCATACAGTCCGCGTTAACAAACCTTGGATTGTACTGTTGTGTGATTGTTGGGCGCCAGTGGTGGTCAAGGTGTTGATGCCCGGAAAGGTCTCTACAAACGTCGGCAACGTCAAGACATTGCCAGCACTGAATGTCGATTAGCAGATCCTCCGATTTGATCGATTCGAACGACATACACCTAGTCCGACGGTCAGCAAATATTGACATCATATTAGGTTTACTGGCAGGCATACTCCCTGATTGTAACCAAAAGCGGTATATGAAGGGCCAACGATCAATGCCAGCGCGGCGGTGGTGATGCGCGAGCCGCGCAAACCCAAGTACTTCTTCATCTTGGCGGCTTGTGTTTGTGAAAACAAGTCAAGAGGAAAAGAAGCCAAGAACAAATATGAAGAACTTGAGAATACATCACCAATGTCGCTCAGACCCTGCCGGATTCCGTGTCGTTGCATCACACGGCATGGTTGTTCCGATGATCGTCATTGCTGACTTGTCCGATCTCGCTGGCGCACCATTCAGGCTGGATGAATTCCACGGTCAGCCTGCCGCGGCTACTCCGGTAATGGCCCAGAATTCGCCCTGCAACAAACGCCTCGGGCTTGCCACGCCGAGTCGCCTCGTGTCGGGGTAAGGTTACGCTGGACTAAAGCGTCTCCACAGCAAAATGAATATGAATAGAGCGAGGGGTGTTCTGTGGCCGTTCTCCGACGCAACCATTGATCAAACATTTCAAACTGTACAACACATTTACTAGTCACTAGCAAGCATGTCGAAAGCCAAGACCTTTGCGGAACTGCCCAAATGGGAGGAGCTCGAGAATAAGTTGCGCTTCTGGCCTGCGGAGCCTGGCAGCAAGGAGGAGGGCTTGGGCATGCTCAGGTATTTGACTCCAGAGCATGTTGCAGAAGTGGCGAAGAATGAGATCAAGTCTGGCGATCGTGTATGTGCTTGCATTGTCATGCCTCTATGAAGCATGATTAACATGCTACAGGTCTGCCTCAACTGGTCGATGTTGAAGTTGGAAACCCCGGGTTTGTTCATCATCCGCCTCTGCAAAACTCAATGCTTACGATAGTACCAGGCTTCAATCGATTCGCATGCGAGCACGAGATTGTGCCCATTCCCAACTACGAGGGAATCGCATGGGACGACATCTGGCGCTTCAACCCCCAGGCCTCCTCGCAGTGGGATGGTTTCCGCCACTTTAGCGCCGAAATCGACGATGGTACCCGCCGGTGGTATGGCGGCACGACCTCTGACGAGATTAGCAAGATGGAGAGCGACCGGATTGGCATTGGCCACTGGGCGCAGGACGGGATTGCTGCTCGTGGTATCTTGATTGATTACGTGTCTTATTGCGAGAAGAAGGGTTCGTCTTTTCGCATCTGTCGTTTTCAAGGATTGTGACATTAACACACCATTCCAGGACAAGAAATCAACGGCATGAACGGCCACGCCATCACGCTCGAAGAAGTCCACGAGATCGCCAAGGAGTGCAACATTGAATTCAAGCACGGCGACATCTTCTTCCTGCGCTGCGGCTTCACCAAGACCTGGGAATCCATCAGCCTCGACCAGAAGAAGGAGTACCGCGCCCTGACGCAAGCGCACAAGCACCGGCACACGGGTCTTATCCAGAGCGAGGCCGTGGCCAAGTTCATGTGGGACAACCACATTGTCGCTGTTGCTGGTGAGCCCATCCCTTTCAAATGTCCTGTACTCCATGCTTATATTTCTTAGGCGACGGCGTCTCATTCGAAGTGCGTCCCAACCGCAACAACGAGTGGTCCATGCACAACTACTGCCTTGCCGGCTGGGGTGTTCCCATTGGCGAGATGTTCGACCTCGAGCGCCTGGCCGAGCTGTGCAAGAAGCTCAACCGATGGACGTTCTTCGTCACCTCGAGCCCGCTCAACCACCCGCGCGCCGTGTCGTCTCCGCCCAACATCATGGCACTCTTCTAGAGGGTGTTTCAATGTGGGAAGCAACGACAGCGCTGTCGATGTAGTCCTTGTAGAAGTCATAAAACTCCTATATAGCTCGCTCAAAACGCCGCATAGGCTTTGGAAAACACTGCCTGGCCGATGGAACAGGCGCTCAAACAACGCCATGACTCCCCTTGCATGCTCGATCCTCAATCCCACCCAACGACACCCTCACTCACCACCTTCCCGCCAACCTTGAATGAAGCCCTTCGCCCGATGATTCCCTCGTCTCCCACACCCAGCTGCAGCCTCGTGCGTAACCGGAAAGGCATCCCAGGCTGCAAATGATCAGGTATGGCAATGCGATGCATTTCCACCCCGGACGTAGAGCGAAGATCGCCGTCGAAACTACGCCAAATCGCCATTAGATCCGTTCTCTAGCCCTGCACCAAATCAAGCAGGAGTCAGAGGAACCCACTGGATAAGCAATTGGCCTCCAACCAGTTGACCGCGCAGCTCGCCACCTTCAATCATCGCAATCGTGGACTCGAAATCGTCCGCTAGCCGAATCGACATTTCGGACCTGGTGTGATGCGGATTTGCAGCGCCAATTTGTTTTAGAATGGCGATTGCGCCTCCGCGACTGGGTCTACTGGGGTGGTCGCCGCACATGGTTTGTCGATCGTCTCGTGCTTCCCCACTTAGAGGTACGCAGCCTTGCGATGTTGAGTGGCCTGGATTGGATGTGACTTCTGAATCTGCGACGCCGGCGAGGGTGTATTTGATAGGAAATGTACAATTTCGAGTATTGCTCTTCTTGCGAAGATGTAGACGAGGGTCGATTAATTATGTCAAAAGGAAATGAAGGTCTTGGAAGCCTGCGGTTGATTTGAGCAAGATTCGCCGCTTTGACCATCACGGTCACAACACGAGACCATTCGTGTAGATGATCACTCGGGGTAGCCAATGAAACGACCTCAGATCCTCTTCTACGCGCATCTGCACAATATTGTTCGTGTTTTGGCGTGTGAAGCAGGTTTGTACCTAGCTAGGCTTCGACTGGGAGCCTTATTCGCTCCGCTGGAAGCCACAAACGCCCGGATTTCTGAAGTCTCGCTGGCAGTGAGATACCATTTGTGCTTCACCGCAATATCCCACGAACAGCATCAGCAATGTTGTGAGCCACACCACGAAGCTCAGAAAACACGTTGATCCTGTTCCGCGCAAACAACCCACCCGGCCGGCTCAACCACACCGCCCACGCAATCCCGGCTACCGCAACGGAGCTCCATAGTCCACTCACGAGCACCTTGCGCTGCGCCGCGACGGCCTCGACCACCTCCGAGTACCTCTGGTTAGTAAATGAGACCCGGCGATACTGCGTAGCGAAGCCCAAAGCGGGCAGCTTGTCCGATAGAAACTCCTCAAGCTTCTTCCGCACCAGGTACGGTGTGGACTGCACTCCAGCATGCATCTCCCAGTAATTGCCGTACGCCAGGTCGTTGATGGCGTGCGCATCCGCCACACGTTCTGCGTTGTACGCATCCAGAGCTGCAGCGCGACCGGACGGCGTGGAGGCGTGGCGATCAAGGTGTTGAAACAAGACACGGACATCCTCGAGGCCGGCGTTCATTCCTTGGCCGTAGAAGGGGACCATTGCGTGAGCTGCGTCGCCGAGGATGATGCCTGTGGACGTGTAGTGGTGAGGCGAGCATTTGATGCTGATGAGAGGGAGGTGTGGGGCCTTTGTGAATTGCTCCGTGATGCTGCCAGGCCCGATGAGATCTGCGGCGCCGGGGAAGTGGGCTTGGAAGAAGGGCTCGATGTCGTGAGGCCGTTGCTCTAATTTGGCAAAGGTCGCTGCGGGCGCGAATAATGTACATGTAAAGGAGGAGTCTGTGGAAGGGATGGCGATGAACATGGAGTCTCGTCCGGGCCAGATGTGGAGGTGGTTTGGACTTGTTGCGAAGCCATCTCGAGCGGAGGGAGTGGTGCTGATGGTGTGGGTGGAGGAGACGGCGGGAATGTTGAATTCGCACCATAGCGTATCGATGTACGTCTGTTCGTAGTTCATGCGGGCATACTTCATCATGTGGTATCGGACGCTGCTGTGTGCGCCATCGCAACCGAAAATGACATCGAAATCGACCTCAATCTCACCAGGCCGCTTGTCGCCGTCAGAAGGGAGTCGACGTTCAAACCACGCCTTGTGTAGTCGGAAGTCGGCGCCGGTGAGTTTGTGATGGAACAGCACTTTGACATTGGGCAGCTTCTCAAGCTCCGAGAGGAAAGTTTTGTTCAGATTTGCGCGATCGATGGCTCGTTGAAATTGGCCATGCACATCGTACGGTTGCGCAGTCTCTGTCAAGGCTCCTCGGGAATCCTGGCTGTGAATCATGCGGCCGTACATGGGGATGGTGTCTGCTACTACGGCATCCAGCAGACTGTCTGAGCCGGAGTAACGGAGGGCATTGATGCCTCGTTCTGAAAGGGCCAGATTGATGGAGCGGGTGAAGTTGAGTGGCGTAGTCGATGCATTTCGGAGGTCTGCATTGGTCAGAGAAGTGCGAGTAGAAGGGTATGGATAACACACCGCCTCGCAACTCATATACCTCCACGTCCCATCCTCGCTTTGCTGCATACAGCGCGGCAAGAGCTCCCACTGGCCCGGCGCCGACGATGAGGCACTTGACACGCTTTTCATCCGTCATTGTTGGGCACAATCGACGCAGAAAGGAGGGAGTCAGCTGCAGTGTCAGGAAACATCGCCTGTCAATACATGATGGAATTATTAATCAGAAAGTGACTGGCCGTGCATGTAATCATCATCTCACCAGTTGAGCTCATCATCATGAAATCCGTCCCGCCGCGCCGAAAAATGATGTGGCGGCCGCTTGGACGAGCTGTGGCGCAAGTGCTGACTAATATCAGGCTCTGCCGCCACAAGCCTCCACGACTTCTTGACAATTGCATGTGTAGGGCGTGGTTCAATCTTTCCCTCGCTCGCCCGGAGTCGCAGAGGGATGCTCTACGACTAGTCGCTCCTCCTCACCGCCTTGTGATCCCGACCCTCATCCCTCTCTGCGCCGGCCGCTGATCCTCTTCATCCACTTCGAGACTTCCCAACATGGACCAAGCACCAGCAAAAGAAATCGTGGTGGACAAGAAGCGGAAATGCGAAGGCGGCGACTGCGAGAACGATGCGGGTAGCCTGCAGTGCCCCAACTGTCAAAAGCTCGGAAAGGAGTCATATTTCTGCAGTCAAGACTGCTTCAAGAGAAACTGGGTAGGTCGATTCAGCGACAGCGCGGGGACACTCCCAGACCCAGTGTTGACGGGAGATGTGCACAGAGTACGCACAAGCAGGCCCATAAAGCAGCCAACAGTATGCTCTCCTCCATCTTTCCGCCGAAAGTCGTCTCTGAACCCGATGCAGATGGACACTTCAACCCCTTCCCCGCCTTTCCCTTTACCGGATCTTTGCGCCCAGTATACCCTCTGAGTCCGAGACGCGCGGTTCCCGAGAGCATACAGCTGCCAGACTACTCCAAGGCCGGCATCCCAATCAGCGAACAGGTATGATACATGTTCGGCCCTGGCGAGAGTGGCTACCCTGCTGACGCGCAGTACAGAAATTCGGCGTACGGAACAAGATCAAGATCCTCACCAAGGAAGAGCAAGAGGGGATGCGGAAAGTATGCCGATTAGCAAGAGAGGTGCTGGATATCGCCGCGAGAGAAATGAAGCCGGGTGTCACGACCGACCACATTGACAAGGTGGTGCACGAAGCGTGCCTGGCGAGAAATGTACGAGGCGCCCTGCCATATGCGAGATCCGCCCTGCTGACGAAGGATTTCAGTCCTACCCCTCCCCTCTAAACTACTGCCATTTCCCCAAATCCGTCTGCACAAGCGTCAACGAAGTCATTTGCCATGGCATTCCCGATCATCGACCCCTGGAAGACGGCGACATTCTGAACATCGACGTCACCCTGTACCACAACGGCTTCCACGGCGATCTAAACGAATCATACTACGTCGGTCCTGCATCTGCGCAGAATTCCGACAATGTCCGCGTCGTAGAAGCCGCACGTAACTGTCTCGACGAAGCGATCAAACTCGTCAAGCCCGGCGCGCTCTTCCGCTCGTATGGCGACACGATCGAAAAGGTGGCCAAAACATATGACTGTAGCGTCGTCAAGACTTACTGCGGGCACGGGATCAACCAGCTCTTCCATTGCGCGCCAAACGTTCCGCATTACGCAAAGAACAAGGCGGTGGGCGAGGCGAAGCCGGGCATGTGTTTCACCATCGAGCCCATGATCACGCTGGGCACTCACAGGGACAAGACGTGGCCGGACGACTGGACCAGTGTGACGGCTGACGGTAAGAGGACTGCGCAGTTTGAGCATACATTGCTGGTGACGGAGACGGGAGTGGAGGTGTTGACGGCGAGGTTAGCGGATAGTCCGGGAGGACCGGTGGAGCTGCCCAAGACAAATGGAGTCACGAATGGAGTCACGAATGGGGAGACGAAGGTGGGAGCATAGTAAAGAGCGACAGTTCTTGTATAGCCATCTTTCCAAGTCAATCATCAAGCCTTGTGCCTCTCACGTGTCACAAGTTAAGCCCCGCGCTTGTGTGGGGCTGACGAGCTGCCTTTGTGCGGAAAGCCACCTCACGTATTTGAGCTCTCCCACACACTCACACACATTTACTTTCATTTTGCACTCTGCAATCATGGCTGCCGAGTCGAGCAAAGGCACCGACGCGCAGCTGGCCAGTGACTTGGCCGATAAGTCCCTGGAGCATCCCACCGAAATCTCCAAAGCAGCAGACGACCTTGCGAGCGGTAATGTCGACGAGGAGGGGGACGAAGACGATGATGAGGGGGGCGAAGACGAGCAGACCACAGGCGTAAGCGGCACGGGCTCAACAGCAGCGAAAAAGAAGAAAAAGAAGCCGCGGAAAAAGAAGAAGAAGGCTACAGCAGACGACGAGCCTCCCGAACTCATTCCTGCCACAACGGCCGCCGCATCGAAACCCAAAGGCGCTCCTGTTCAAGACCTACAAGCCCTCCTCAACCAGCTCGCTCTATCTCAAGGCCCGAAGAAGGAAGGCAAGGCGCCGGAAGACTACAAGTTCTGGAAGACGCAGCCTGTGCCTCAATTCCAGGCCCCGAACCTCCTACAAACCACCTCCTCCTCTAATGGCGAGTCGCTGCCCGAAGGCGCCATCCTCCCCGACAAAGTATGCAGAGCGAGCGCGAAGCCAGAGCCCGGTGCTCTGCTAGATGGCTTCGAGTGGTGCCTGGTGGACCTCGAGAATGACAGCGAAATCCAAGAGTTGTATGACTTGCTGGATAATCATTATGTCGAAGACGCCGACGCGAGTTTCCGCTTCCGGTACAGCAAGCAGTTCCTCTCGTGGGCATTGAAGCCACCCGGCTGGAAGAAAGAATGGCACATTGGCGTCCGCACGACGTCTCAGGAAGACAAAAAGGGAAGGTTGGTCGCCTTCATTGCCGGCATCCCCGTGACCATGAAAGTGGGGGAGAGCAAATTCAATGCCACCGAGATTAACTTCCTCGCCATTCATCGCAAACTGAGGGGAAAGAGATTAGCGCCCGAATTGATCAAGGAGGTCACGAGAAGATGCTATCTGAACGGCATCTATCAAGCTTTGTACACGGCCGGCACACTGCTTCCCACCCCAGTGTCCACCTGCAGATACTTCCATCGCAGCCTCGACTGGGAGCACCTCTACAAAACAGGCTTCAGTCATCTACCACCTGGAAGCACCGAGTTGAAGCAAAAGTATCGGTACAAGGTGGAGTCACACACCAGTCTCAAAGGCTTGCGGCCGATGAAGAAGGAAGACGTGCCTGCCGTGAAGGACCTGTTGACCCGATACCTCGATCGCTTCCATCTCCGGCAGGACTGGACGGACGAAGAGATTGAGCACTGGCTCTGCTCAGAGGCGAGTAAAGGCGTAGTATGGACCTCCGTCGTCGAAATCGACGGCAAAATCACCGACTTTGTGAGCTACTACTTGCTCGAGGTAAGCTCCATTCCCCATCCCCTCACGTTAACCCCACATCCTGACCCATCACTCAGTCCACCGTTCTCCGCTCCAACAACCGCCAAGACACCATCCGCGCCGCCTACCTCTTCTACTACGCCAGCGAATCCGCCTTCGCGTCCACCTCCGCAAAGCAAACCCCCAAACAACTCCAAGAATCCCTCGCCGCGCGCCTCCAACTCCTCATGCACGACGCCCTCATCCTCGCGAAAAAGGACGACTTCCACGTCTTCAATGCCCTCACGCTGCTCGACAACCCGCTCTTCCTGCGCGAGGAGAAGTTCGAGCCCGGCGATGGGAAGCTGCATTACTACTTGTTTAACTGGCGCACGAAGCCGTTGGGGGGTGGGGTTGATGCGGAGAATCGGATTGATGTGAAGAAGATGGGGGGCATTGGGGTTGTGATGTTGTGAGGGAGAAGGGGTTGAGGGGCTGGTAGGTTGCGAGGTTCCCATGTAGCCTTGAGCAGGACAGTACCTTGAAAATGGCAGGACTGCTGCCTCTACAGTCCCCCGTGTTTTTGACGGGCTGAAATGGAGTGTCCTCGTACTCTCGGTAGAAGCAATGGCAAACAGTTAGATAATGCCTAGACTACCTACGCAATGGTATCGAACGCGCACCTCCTCATCAATCGAACGTATCATCGAACGCCTTCGACTCCCTAGCCAACCGACCACCATGTGTGTTGTGCACGAGACTCTATCGCGCCGGTCGGCCACATGAAAGCACGCTCAGACCCAGATTGGACAAAGGATTGAGCATCTTCTCGTATCGATTACATCCGCCTTGGATCCCTCTTTCTTGCAGCCGCTCAGCATTGACATCCTCCCGCCCCACCCGCAGCAGTCCCACTCTCCGCTCTCGCACCCAGATCCACACCACCCGGCCTGCCGCCCGCCGGACCTCCCCTCACACCTCTTTGCGTAGCCTGCTCGATGGGCAACTTCTTGGCGATCGAGGCGAACAGCTCCTTCACATTCTCCGCCGTCTTGGCGCTCGTCTCGAAGAAGAGCAGGTTGGCTTCTTTGGCGTAGGCTTCGGCGTCGGCGGTGGGGACGGCGCGCTTGTCGGGCTGTTCGGTGACGAGATCGAGTTTGTTGCCTGCGAGCGCGATGACGATGTTGTCGTTTGCTTGGCGTTGGAGCTCTTTCACCCACGACTTGGCTTTGTCTAGTGAGGCCTGCAGGTTGGATGTCAGTGGGGAAGCTGCAGATGTGCGAAGCAAGGGGGAGACAAACAGCTTGAGTGATGTCGTACACCACTACGGCGCAGTTGGCGTTGCGATAGTACATGGGCGCCAGCGACTTATACCGCTCCTGTCCCGCCGTGTCCCATATCTCGAACTTGACGGTCGTCTGGTCGTCGAGGGCTATTGTTTGTGTGAGGAACGCGGCTCCGATGGTGGATTCTCGGTAGTCGTCGAATTGATCCTGCGGGGGAGGGTCAGTGAGGGATGGTTCGTGGGGAAGGATGGCGGGGGATGGGCTCGTACTTTCACGAATCGTAGCACGAGGGAGCTCTTGCCGACCGCAGACTCGCCTACACTGGAATCAGCTTATGGCATCCTGTCGCATGCTTGCTCGTCGTCCATACCTAGCAGGACCAGCTTGAACTGGGCGAAACGGGCGCCGCCGGGTCTGCCGCCTTGCTGAGGCCTTGTTGCCATCGTGTGAGCCCGGGCGGGGATGAAAAGGCTGAAGAGGTAGTCGGAAGTCGCAGGAGAGCGGTATGAAGGTCTAGAGAGGTGCTTGGTGTGTGGAGAGGGGATGTGTGAGGGGTGTGAGAGGAAGACGGTCGTGACAGCAGTGGTCGTTTGTGTTGGGCAGCGTCGTCGCCTGTGACGGCCGGACGTGGCGCGGCCGCTTCCGAGCCGACCGCCGACCTTGACAGCAGCAAATGCTTGGCAGTGGCTGACCTGGATCCATGCGCAAGCTCACGTCACCGACTCGTAAGTCTCACCCCAAGGCGCAACCCGTTTCACGTCCGCCCTTTATCGTCAATGGGAATGCCCTCGGATCCCACCTCACGGCCAACAATATAACATCACTCCAAGATGAGTGCCATGCTCCCCTTTCGCGACATCAACGTCCATGCTTCATCCACATACTACGCCTTCTCCTCTCCCTCATCCCCTGACGCGCCCACTCTCGTCGTCGACCGGCCCACGGGCGATCTAAGGCTCAACGATGCGAAACTCACCGGCGGCCATCGTGTCTCCAGCATCTCCGGCATCCTAGGCATCATCAAACTCCGCCTGGACAGCTATGTCATCGTCATCACCAAGTCAAGCCCCGTCGGGCGATTAAAGGGTCACCAGATTTACAAAGTCATCTCCACCGAATTCCTGCCTCTACGCGAACGCCAGGTTCGGGATCACGATGAAGACACCTACCTCGCTTACCTCAAGAATCTCATCAAGACTGGACCAATGTACTTTTCCTACTCCTTCGACCTCACCAACAGCGCCCAGCGCCAGGCCCAATGTGACCCCAAAGAACCCCTCTGGCAACGCGCGGATGACCGCTTCTACTGGAATCGCTTCGTCTCCTCTTCCCTGATCGACTTCCGGTTAGGCAAAGCGCAGGGGAGAGCTTCTTCCGGCCAGCACCCTGCCGTAGACCCCTACATCCTGCCAATTGTGTTTGGCATGATGAGCATCACCAACACTTCAATCAAAGGCAATGCATTAACCTTTGTTCTCATCACCCGTCGCTCGAGATATCGAGCCGGTACGCGATATCTCTCTCGCGGCATCGATGAAGATGGCCATGTGTCGAATTTCAACGAGAGCGAGCAAATGGTCATCCTGAATGATGGTGCTTCTGCTGGGCTGACCAGTTATGCCGGCGATCAGGGCTTCGCGAATGGCAAGCCGGTGGGCGGGAAAGAAACCCAGGTCCTCTCCTACGTTCAAACGCGTGGCAGCGTCCCGGTGTTCTGGGCGGAAGTCAACACTCTACAGTACACTCCGAAACTCCAGATCCGAGGCGTCGAGTCGGCGACGAGCGCGGCAAAGCGGCATTTCGATGAGCAAATTGAGTTGTATGGCGACAACTGGATGGTGAATTTGGTCAATCAGCGGGGTCGCGAAGTCCGCGTCAAGGAGGCATACGAGCAGGTTGTCAAAATCCTGCAATCAGCGCCGCAGGAGGAGCATACGCAGGGCAACAAGGCTAATGAAAGGTTCAACGTCATTGAATCGACGGACAAGAGAGGTTGGTACGATCATCTTCACTACGTCTACTTCGACTTCCACAACGAGACCAAGGGCCTAAAGTGGCACCGTGCGCAGCTGCTCCTGGACCAGCTCAAGGACGGGCTCATTGCCGGAGGCTACTTCCACGGCATCGATGTGCCCTCCGGCAGCGTTGACATCCGCAAGAAGCAGACCGCCGTGGTCCGCACGAACTGCATGGACTGTCTCGATCGCACCAACGTCGTCCAGTCCATGCTGGGAAGATGGACGCTGGATCGCATGCTGATCGACCTGAACGTCATGCGCCCTGGCGAGACGGTACAAGACGACCACAGCTTCAACCACCTCTTCCAAAACGTCTGGGCCGACAATGCAGACGTCGTCTCGCGCTCCTACTCCGGCACGGGTGCGCTAAAAACCGACTTCACCCGCACGGGCAACCGCACGAAAGCAGGCATGCTGCAGGATTTGAACAACAGCATCACGCGCTACGTGCGGAACAACTTTGCCGACGGCCCTCGACAAGACGGCTTCGATCTGTTCCTTGGTACCTACCAACCCGATACAGCGAGCATCGGATCCATGCAGCAATTCTTGGACCGCCGGCCTCTGGTCGTCCAGGCTGTGCCGTACATGCTGGGGATGTGCATGTTCTTTGTAGCGGTCAGCGTCAGCACGAGTCGCATTCCGGATGCAACGGTGTGGCCTTTGCGCTTCTTCACCATGTGTTGCTTGGGTGCTGCTGGGTACTCGGGGAGATTCATGTGGCATTACGGGGCTTTATATGTAAGTTTTGCCTTCCGCACTATCGCTCACACCTTACTAACTGTCTTCGTTTAGGTGAACTGGCCGCGTTTGAACACGCCGCAGTGGGCGGTCGAAGCGTATCAGGATACTCTCGACAAGGCACATCGCGATCCGGTTGTTGGGAGGTTCCTCGGTAAGAGCGGGAGTGACTCGCGGCTTGGGAATCTTGAAGAGGGCAAGAAGAGGAGAGAGTAATGGTTTTGCGAAGGATGTGTGGATCTTGGGGGGTGTCTCGATAGATGGTGGCGTTTGCGAGAGTATAGCAACCCTGAATGGCTAGTCCAATTGTTCCGCCTTCTAGGATGGGACATACTTCACAGAACGTATCCGTTAGCTTTGGACTGTAAATCCACCTCCTGTTCGTCAAATAGCCTGAGTCTCGAGTGTGATCAGCTTTGGTGAAGTGAGCAGCGCGCCAAGAGAAATTGTCTCCAGCACTTCATGTCAACTCGCATCGCAAATGGGACGAGTGTTCCACAACTCATCTTTTATTGCTCACTTTCATGGCAAAGAAACGCGACTACAGCACGATGTCCGCCTCTGCACCATCTCCGTACATTGGCATGTTTGAACAATTCCGAACGGAGCTGGACGAACACTACGACCGACGAGAGCGGATGTATGTTGCACCAACTCTCTTTGATATGGACTTACCGCATCAAACGCTAGATTCATATAGCACAAGCTGATCTAGAGTTAAAACAGAATCAAAGCATCACGAGACATCACCGCCGCCTCGAAAAAAATCATCTTCACCCTGCAGCGCATCCGCCAACTGGCGCAGCCGCTTTCGCCGCACATTGTCAAGGGTAACCAGCAGTACTACGACGCCATTTCGACTCAGTTCGCCGCTGTGAGCAAGGACTTACAGGGGCTGAATGCGCACCGGTACGCGAGGCAGATTAGTGGGGGATGTCAGGAGTCAGTATTCACCTCTCATAAAATCTTTTGAGGTTGATGGGGATGTATGCTGACGTGGTGAATGAAATAGGTACATTGAAGCTGCGACGTTCCAACACTACTTGACGACCGCCAATTTATTACCTTACAGCGATGCAGCGGCGCAAATGCGATTACTAGATGCCACGGGAGTAGGAGTGGAGCTCAGCGTCGAAGACTACATTCTAGGCGTGTACGACATGACCGGCGAACTGATGAAGTTCGCCATCACAGCCATGGCGACAAGCGGGACTCTCCCGACCCCGTCAACATCATCAGATGCGCCGCAAAAAGTGGAGGCAGACGCAGACGTAGCAAGCGACAAACGCAACGTGTTGACGGATTTGCGCGAACTGCGGTCGGCGCTCGAAGCGCTGGATCCGGGGCTGGGGCCTTTTGCCAAAGAGGCGGAGAAGAAGATGGAGGTGATGCGGAGTAGTGTAGAGAAGGTTGAGAGGGCTTTGTATGGGTTGACGGTGAGAGGGGCGGAGAGGCCGAAGGGTTGGATGCCGGATGTTATGGATGGTGGGAGGGGGTTGGAGGTTGAGGGGTGATGGGGTGGAAGGGGATGGGTACTACTCTGGCGATGTCCTCGATAAGAGTTACAATGACAATGTTCTCATTCCGCCAAACAGGTCTCACTCTTCAAACACTTGTAAATGATCGAAGCTCGTCTCACATCGAGATCCGATATGCGTGGTCCGTGCTGCTGTTCTTAGGGTTTCGCGCTACTGTAACGGCCGCGGCGCTTCCCCATCTGTGATTCGCCAAACCCAAATATGCAGGGCAGGCGCAACACAGCCCAGCCAGGTACAGGCGACCTTCACGTCTGGAAGGTGCATCAGACCACCCTTTTTTTCGCACATCATCCTGCACACCCCATCGCCTTTCTCCCAATCCTTTTGATCCAATTGCGCCTGCCGGACAGCCCTTTGGTCGAATATACCCATCACGCACGGCATTGTCTAGCAGCAAGAGAAGGACCGGGCGCAGCACATTTTCAGGAGTCGAGCGAGTCGCGGAGCGGGAACCCGCGTAGGCATCCATCATGGCAGTGAGTTGAGCCACCCTGCGCTGCGTCGTCTAGCAGGCGCCAGCATACCGCCATGCTCTTGAAGGAGCCTTGATGCACTTGCGAGCTGGATGGGACACCCTCGCTGACATGACGCGCACGCAGTACAATTACCAGAGCGGCGGCGCTGGCTATAGCCAGTCGAATCCTTACGAAACACAACAGCAGGGGCCGTATGGTCAGCAGCAGGGGCCGTATGGTCAGCAGCAGCCGGCATATGGCCAGCAGGCGTACGGACAGCAGTCGTATGGGCAACAGCCGTATGGGCAACAATCTTCTGGTCAACAGGGTTATGGTCAACAGCCTTCTGGCCAACAGGGCTATGAACAAGGACCCTACGGTCAACAGTCGTATGGACAGCAAGCGTACGGCCAACAACCCACAAAGGCTTTTGCGGGACAACAAACATACGGTATGTTCTTAGTCACCAGTCGCCCATCCTCACTGAACTAACTCAACGACCGCAACAGGCCAACAGGATGTAGAGATGCAACCTCTCGGCGCCCAACAGGGCGGCCGGACCCCCGCACAATCCGCTCAAGGCGCCACCCCTATCCTGCAAGAATGCAGCCGTGTGAAGATGGAGGCCAATGCCCTGGACGGAAGTGTGTCCGAGCTGCAAGCGATGCAAAACGACTACCTACGCGCAGGTAATGTCACAAACAGAGACATCGACGCAAAGAGCGCAGCCATCACGGCACGATACCGCGAACTGGTCGGGCAGGTGAGGAGCATCAAGAGCAACCCCGAGGCCGGCAGCCGCATGCACAGGGATCAGGTCGTCACCCTCGACCGCTTCATCAGGGGAAAGATCAGCGCGTTCCAGACTTCAGAGCATGACTTTGGCGTCGAGGTGCGAAAGCAGCAAGAACGGCAGTACAGGATCGTCAACCCCAATGCCACCGAGGCCGAGGTGCGCGAGGCGACTGCGGACGGCGGCGACACGCAGGTCTTCCAGCAAGCCTTGCTCAATTCCAACCGTCGGGGCCAGGCGCAGAGCACTCTCCGCAACGTCCAGCAACGTCACGATGCCATCCAGCAGATCGAGAAGACGGTGATGGAGCTTGCACAACTCTTCCAGGACCTGGATGCTATTGTCGTACAGCAGGAGCCAATGGTGCAGAACATCGAGCAGAAGGCGGAGGATACGAATCAGAACATGGTGGCGGCGAACACTGAGATGAACGGCGCGGTGAAGAGCGCCCGCGCGGCGAGGAAGAAGAAGTGGATTTGCTTGGGGATCGTTGGTAAGCTCACTGCTCTCTATCGATCCTTCGTTTACACACGGCCATGGCTAATTCGAGCACAGTCGCCATCATCATTATCATTATCGTCATCGTGCTCGGTTACCTGGGCGCCACCGGGCGCTTGTCGAGCAGCAACAACAGCAGCAACAACAACAGCGGTTAGACGCGGAGCCCACAAACCCGTTCCGCTGGCCTCCAGCCTCTCCATACTTCTGTTACAATTGAATAAACTTTAATACAGCACTTGGCATAGCGTCGTCACCCCCATTCACGTGGCCTAGTGTCTCTTTTGTCCGGCGAGGCGTCGAGTTGCCTCATCGACGGAGACAACCCTCAATTGAGGCCGGCAGGATGTTGAATACAAGCGCAGCCATCTCCTTCGCCAAGCTGACAATATGCCTGCAGATACCGGCTTCTCACTCTCGTCGTCGTGCTCGTGTCAAGCAACACCTGTACTCTCCTCATGCTTCAACAAAATATCAGCAAATTGCTGATTGCTCCAGCGAATCGCCTCGTCGAGGGCCGTGCGGCCATACATGTCCTTCACGGTGGGATCCAATCCCAAACCCAACAGCACTAGGCCCATCTCTGCATCACCGGGGACAAAGGCTGCTCCATGCAACAGCGTCTGTCCCATTGAATCCAACTCCCTCAGGTCGGCTCCCTGACTGATAAGGAAGCGCAACAACGGCTCATCCCTGTGATTCAGCGCGGAGCGTAAGGCTGTAGCGCCATAATCATTCCTTGCACCGAGGACCGCGCCGTGCTCCAGCAGAAGCTGTGACATTGCCACTGACGCGCTGTCAAACAGAGGCGTGCAACCGGATCTGTCCCTCGAATTGGGGTCGATCTTGTGCTCGATCAGCAGCATCTTCGCCAACGTCTCGTCGCCCACGCTCGCTGCTATGCTCAGGGCCGTCTCTCCACTCTTAGTTCTGGCGGCGGCATTGGCTCCAGCAGCCAGGAGAAGTCTCACGCACTCCTCGTCGCGATTCATCACGGCGTTGTGCAAGGGTGTCCAGAAGTACTCGTCCCTGGCGTCCGCATCTGCGCCCTGCACCGCGTCCAGCAGCATTGCCACGAGCTTGATGTTGCCCTGCAGAGCAGCATGATGCAGCGGGATCTGCCCGGTGGGATCTTGCATCATGACATTAGCTCCACGATCGATCATCAACTTCACCATGGCCGCATGCCCTCGGTCACACGCCAGTATCGCCGGCGTCATTCCTCTCGAGTCCTTGCCATCGACATCGGCACCGGCATCGAGAAGTAGGCGCACAACCTGCTCATGGCCGCCTCTGACTGCCTCGCCCAAGGGTGTGAAGCCCCGCTGATCGCGCTGTCTCAACGACCTCGCGAGCCTGAGCTTTCTCTTCTCCCGCTTCATCAGCACCGTTACCCAACCAACAATGCCCAAGTAGCACGCGAGATGCAGCACGGGCATGTCAATTGGGCCAGGATCGCCACGATGGGAGCGAGCATACAGCTCGTGCCATAGGACTCGGACCAGCGACTTTTGCTTGTAGAAAGCACTCGGATGAGCGAATAACTTCTGCGCAACCTCTGGGCTGAATCTGGCGTGATCGATCCAATGGTTGACTGCATAGTAGAGAAAGGCACGCTGTCTGGCATCAGACCAGTCTGTGCTATCTCGCGTCGCTTTACACGCCCTTGAGTCGACGCCGCAATTGATGATAAGGCCGGCATTCAAGCAGTCAAGGCATGTCCGTGCGATTTGTAGGTGCAGTGCTTCGAGGTCCATCATGGGCTCATTGCGCACCTTACTACTCCCATCGTTCTGCGACTGCAAATACTCCTTGGCGGACTGGTGGACGAGCTTCACGGTTCTCTCACGAATCTCGATGAGCGGGCCGCAGAGCGTCAGTCGATCCCGCAACACCTGCTCACTGTCGAGGTTCTCCGTGGGCTTGCGGTCCACGAGGGCAGTGAGTTCCCGCAACAGCAATGGTCGGAATGTCGCGGTGAGCAGGTGCAGAATCTCGAAGCACTCCTCGTGGAGCTTGAGGCCTGCGATCTGGGACAGCATGCGCTGATAGATTGCAGACAGTCCCGTTGGTAAATCTTCAGCGCCCGTTCGATTTCGGTGGCTGTGGTCAGCTTCTCGAGCTCTGCTATGGCAAACCCAACCCACAGAAAGGTTCCCTCTGATCTCGCGACAAGCTGGCTTTCGATGGCTTCCTGAAACTCCGGCGTGAACGCAACCACCGCACTCAGCTCCTGCACCTTTGCCGAAACCAGTCTCCGCACGTCTTGGCTGATGATCGGCGAAAGAACGTCGGAGTCGAGATCGATCTGTGTGTGAGCCTTGTTCATATGCGGAACGTCCCGACTCAGAATGATGCATTGGAACTTATCAAGCTGGAGGTCCACCAGCTTCTTCGCGAGCCAGCGCCTGGAGTCATCCTCGCACTCGTCCAGTCCGTCGAGCAGGCAGTACGTCTTCGCGCCATCCAGGTTTCCAAGCGCCTTGAGCAACAACATCCAGAGGAACTCTTCGGACCGAACAGCCGTGTGGAAGTTCGGCCGCTGCGAGCCGACTAGCACTTCCGCGAGCGCAGGTCTATGCTCCACCAACTGCCAAAGCAGACTCTGAAGGATAGGAGTCGCACTGCTGCTGGCCCCGCTGCAAATGATAGACAGGAACGCCGTGCTGGAGCCCTTCTGCTGAGCCACACTCGCCAATTGCTCGGATATGAAGCTAGCAAGCGTGCTTTTGCCCTTTCCTGGGCCTCCATGGATCCAGAGTTGTTGTGACTCGCCTCTCAACAAGGTTTGGTACGTTGCGTCCCCTTTGATCCATTCGCAGGTGCCGGCAACTCTCGGTTTGGTGGATAGACTTGGGTCGACATAGCTCGGAGAGAGGACGTCTCTGCAAACTTCCAATGGACTTCTTGGGCCTGCGATCGTGTTCGATGTCCCCCGACTGTCGATGAGCTGGAGTTTGGTATCGATCCTCGAGCCGAGGCCTCTCGTTTCGCTGCTATACATTCCGTCAACAAAACCGTCCCTCCCAAGACATCGATCCAGTATCAGAACTCACAGCCCGCAACTCGAGAGCGCCAGATGGACTTCGTCCCGACAAGCCGCAATCTGCTCCCTGAATCTCCGTATCTCGCCCTTGCCGAGCACCCCAACCCTCACCCGAGCACGCCACAGCAATTTCTTCCCACCTCCACGGTTCCCAGTCCAACTCTCAAGCCGCTCGCGAAACCGCTCGCAAACCTCCGTACACCGCACCACAGCCTCTTCCAAATGGCGTCGACTCTCAATCGAACCAGGAGCGACAGGATGACCACCGTCGTCACAAATAGCTCTGATGTCTGCAAGGAGGGTAGTCGTTCCCTTCAGCTCGTCCAGGCACTCTTTCACGTCTTCGTCGGCTCGTACAAGGTCGTTGATGAGGTCGTGAAGCTGGATGATGATTGTGATGGCATTGCCGGCGAGACCAGCGGCCGTCCCTACGGCTGCGAGTGCCTCCATAGACGGGTCAGAGGAAATGACAAAGGAGAATTCCACAGTCTCCTACGGCTGTGAACGCTTCTATAGACGGTCGACAGTAAATGACAAGGAGGATATCACAGTATTGACAAACGCAATGCCGCCTGCGTGGTGAGACATGCGACGGATATACGGTATGAAGCTGTGAGACAAAGCTGGCGCTTAGGCACGCCATGATTCCTACATGTGAACACGAATAGACAGACAAAACGAAGAAGGCGTCTCATGAAGATTCACGACGCTCACTTTATAATTGGAAATGACGGCGTGTTGGAAGTAATGGCCGACCCTGAGTATTCGCAATCCAGCAGCCTGCCTCATTGGGCGGGGGGCCATATTGCGGGCGCGTATATGAAACATGCAGCTCCATATCGGGTCAACAAGGCAGGACAGATTGGGATGATTGCAGAATACATGCAACTGGGGCAGATGCCCTTCTACAAGAACGACAGCTTCGAGTCGACCCAGCCCATTTCAACCCCACCCACCAGTCCGTGAGGACGCTCCATAAACCTCCATGACAGCAGCAGATCATAATCCCAAACAACACCAGAACCGTCCCAAGAAAACTAAAAGACTAAAGCACATACGCCACATCCCTGACCGGACTCCCACTCCCACTCCCACTCCCATACCCACTATCCCTCCCATCGCGATCCCACCCGCCCATCCTCTTCGCAACGTCAAGACACAACTCCACCAGCGCACCACAAGCCTCGCGATCCAACCCCGCCATCCGTCCCGCCGACGTGCCAACCCAGATTCGCAGACTGGCGGCCAGATCCTCGAGCCCATGCACAGGCGATGAAGTGGACAGCAGCGTCGTCTCGGCGCTGAGAAGTCTGAGCAGACGGAACGTAGCGACTGCCGTGAGGAGGGTGAAGGATGAGGGGGGGAAGTGCAGGGTTGCGAGGGTGGAGAGGGCGCGGGAGCGCGCGAGGCGCGGGGAGGAGTGGTGCGAAAGGGAGAGGAGTTTGGCGAGCGTGAGGGCTGTGCGGACGTCCGGGGTGGCGGGGACGTGGGTAACGACGTTGAGCTCGCCGGAGGTAGAGGAGGGGACGGTGGTGGGGAGGGCGTCAAGGGCGGCGAGGATGTTGGCTGTGCGGTTGGTGGCTGAGAGGATTGCTTTGGCGGCTAGGGCGCGCGCCAGTGTGGCGGAGGCGGGAGGCGCGATGGATACTGCCAGTCCGATGTAATACTCTGTGTCGAGAGAGGAGGTGTGGTCGCTCAGCGACTCGGCCAAGGTGTCGTCGACGGTCATGTTGGCGTACCAAGCTGCGACGGCGTCGAGGGGTGAACGGATAGCGTGGTCTTCCACAACAGCGTCTCTTGCGGTGTTCACGACCGTACGGTAGGCGCTGGGTTTGTTCCACGCCAGGTTCCACGCACGTTGGATCATCTCATCGCTGAGGACATCTTCACACTCGAGTTCCACCAGCCGGGCGAGGTTGTCGGGCAAGACGTCGACTTCGTCTTCCAAGTCAGGACGACCTTGAGTCGTAACGTGAACCAATTCTTTATGCAACCGTCGAGCAGACTCCCAGTAGAACTTCCCAACTCGCTCCGTCAACTGCTTGAAGCCGATCATATTGCCGTACCCAGCGTTGCCGACCTCCCAGAAAAAGACACGGAAATGCACAGCTTTCTGCATTAGTCGCATCGGGCTGTCAGGCAGCGTTCCGCTCTCCATGAGCGTTAGCAGTAAACGGTAGTAACTGACTTCCTGATCTCCGCCGGCCAGTTGAGCATCGATAGCGATGTCCCATCCCTTGATTCGCGCGATTTCGTCATCCTTGTTTGCGCCGGTCAGGCTGTTGAAAGCTTCAGACCCGATAAGTCGTCGGAGACTGAGGCTGATCATCTTGAGCGTGACGGCGACGACTTCGAGGAGGAAGTGTTTCGGCACCCAGACAGATTGAATGGCTGTGAGCCAGGCCTTGCGCCGGACCTCGATTGGCGAAGCGAGTGAAGGGGAATGCTGCAAACGCACGGCCGATGTACGTGTCTTTTGCTTCCGACGAGGCGAGAAAGTGAGTAGAGGTACGAGGAGATACAGCAGCGCGCCAATCACGACCACAGTCTTGAGCAATGGAAGAGCTGCTTGTCTGGAAATGGCTGCAGGCGCATCCATGAAAGCTCCTTCGCCACGCTTGAATAGCCCTGTTGGGATGGCGAACAGAGCACGGTTGGAGCCGTCATCACCGTACTGCGATTCAGAGACTCCCTCCATGACCATCAGTCCAGCCATGGCGCCAACCATAACCTTGTTCATGACTCCAGCGCCGCGTCGAGCGTTGAGTTGTTGGGGCTGATTCTGTGCTTCGACGGGAGGAGCGGGCTGGCGAGCGTAGTTGGGCTGTTGTTGTGCCTGCATGTACTGTTGCTGGGCAATCTGTTGGTTCATCCTCGTCTGCTCCTGTGGCGGGGCCAGGAAATTTGGAGCGCCGGCCTGAGAAGACGAAGACGCGTTACGAGGTCTTGCATTCATGGCCGGAGCAGCGCTGCTAATGCTGGCTTGCCTTTCCTGAGACTTGCCAATGGCCGTCTCAACGGACGCGAGGCGGGCTTTGAGGACCTCCATTTCATCCGCCATGGTCTTGTTGCGCTTTTCCAGATGATGAATATACTCGGTGGCTTTCGCCATGACGGTCGCCTTGTTCAGCTTGTGGGCCGGAGTGAGGCCTTCGAGATCTTCATTGTCGTCTCCTCGGTTTGCGCGGCCCATGGCTCTCAAACTCGGGACGGAGTTCCGCAGCGCCACGATCTTGTCGTTCAGATTGTTGCGGTAGCGTTTTTCAATCACGTTGTGCGAGGTCTTCGTCTCAGGTTCCTCGCCGTCCTCTTGAGAATCGCCATTTCGTGCTCGCTGCTCATGCTCGATGTCTATCTTTCGCTTGCGACCACGCTTTTTCGGAGGGTCGGGTGAGCAGTTGGAGGAAACGCTGGTGCGATTTTGCGTGCTGGACTCGGGGCTGTAATGTAGACTTGGGGCGTTCGATGACACCGTGCCGGCAGAGGGAAGTACGTTGAAGTTGTCATTGGAGAGAGCGGTCAGATTAATGCCTTGTGCGTCCGTGAGAGGCCAGGAAGGGAGGTTGGTGTCGATCTTCGGGACAATAGACGAAGGCAGGCCGAATTGAAAGTCGAAGGGGTCCGGATTGGCGTCGTTCATGGGGAAGATGAACGCGTCGTCTTGCGGAAACGTCTGTCCGTCCATACCCAAGCCGTCTTCGCCCATGATCATAGGAGGGGCCAAGGTCTCGTTCTTGCCCAACAACGCGCCCTCGACGGGGAGGATGGCGTTCTGAATGGGCGAATCATTCTTGCTCGAGCCTGAGGTGTGAACAGTGCCGTCTTCGGGAGAAGTGGGCTCGATTGCAGGATCCCATCGCAGCCAGTCCTCCCAATCTTCGTGGTTCTGCTCGCCGTCGAAGGGAGGGAGGCCAAAGGGCTCGGTGGGCTGGATGGGGAACCCCGCCTGCCACGCCGGATCCATGCCTGCGTGTTGTTACCACCGTGTTCTAGTCGTGGTGTAATCTTCAGAGTCGCGGGGGGTCAGCTGGAGGGGGTGTTCATGGTGCCGGTGCAGTGGAGGGGTGTATTTTGCGCGGCGGAGCGGGAAGGTGGTGGTCGGGGACAGTTAAGGTGAAGAGGCGGTCGCAGCACGCCTCTCTGATTGGGCGCCGGCGTTTGCCCCTCGAACGATTCAATTGCACCTGCACCTGACGCAAAGCTGTGGCTGTGCGCGCGCGGAAGCCACGTTCGGACGCTCCTTCTGCCGGAGTCGGTATTTCGACTTCCCGACCCTGACGACTCGGCGACAACCTGATGATGGAATCCAACCAGGCCGAACGTGGTGTACGCCGCTGTATCTCGTCTGGTTCGACAACGTGAACAGGCAGAGGCACGTCGTGTCGCTGATCTTACATGCGTCGTACCATCGCATGTCTTGCTGACAGGGGCCTACAACTCCACTCCACCCGATAGCCACATGCATCGAACCATTTCTGAAACGGAGCCGGTGCTTATCAACCTCCTCGACCGATTCGTGGCATATTGCGTGGAGCCCGCCCACCTCACTTTGTCCATACGGATCTCGCGGCATGGCCTCAAAGTGGCAGCCAGCCTTCCAATTCAGGTCATGTTCCGGTCGATAAAGCTCTCATTGCCAGTTTTACGATACAGCCCCAGAGATATCGATGCTCAACGCTCGCAACAAATAGTCCACGCCATGCACACAAGTGTATAGAGGCTCGCAAACGTCTCGAGCCCGCCTGCCCGCATCCAAACCAAACTAGGGGTATCCTTACTCAAATGAAATCCTCCTCATCCAAAGCAGTTCTTCTTCGCGCACGAGTGGGCGGTGGTACCGCCATATGGCGTGATGTATTGCAGCAGGCCTTCTCTTGCATCGGCAAGATTGACGAGATGGCACCAATCTCACGCGTGCCCTGTTCGTCTTCTCCCACTCTCCGGCCAGGCCCGTGTGCAATTTTTAGTCTTGCGGTGAACACGTGACAACTCATCGTGAAGGCGTCTTCACGTTGCTGCTCAACCACGCGAGTCCCTCGAAGATGCCTTCGCCCGACGTTGCGCAGCTGGGCTCCACCTTCCACACCCGGTCCTTGATCTTGTTGAGCTCGAGCTTTTCCGACACCTCTTGAGGACTCAGGGCTGGTATTCAGTCAGCGTCACTCCCACTCTCCGCCCTGTGCATCTCTCGCGACTCACCTCCCGCAATGTCCTGCTTATTGGCAAACACAAGCAGCAACGCCTCCTTCACTTCCCCCTCGTCCATCACCCTCTTCAACTCCTTGCGCGCATCCTCCATCCGGTCGCGATCATTGCTGTCCACGACAAAGATGATGGCCTGCGTGCCCGAGTAGTAGTGTCTCCACAACGGCCGAATCTTGTCCTGTCCGCCCACGTCCCAAATGTCAAATTCGACGTTCTTGTACCGCACCTTCTCCACGTTGAAGCCGACGGTGGGAATGGTGGTGACGTCGGAATCGAGCTTGAGTTTGTAGAGGATTGCTGTGCAGGAGATCGGGGTGTCAGCTTGTCCTTTTGGACATGACATGATTGTGCAAGGAGGGTGGTTCGTACTGGTCTTGCCCGCCGCATCCAGTCCCAGCATCAACAGTCGCATCTGCTTCGATCCGAAGATCTTCTTCATCATCTTCGACACGGAGCCGCCCATTCTGCGCTGCGTCTACGAAGCGCTCGTAGCAGCGTGTTCGGACTTCTTGGGGCAAGATAGATATCGCGTTCGCCGGGTCGCGCTCGCGTGAGTCTATCGTGCCTTCGACCTCTGCGATTTATCCAAGATTGCCAACCAACAAGTCGTTCTCCAATGCCACACACTTCTAGAAAGCAGCTGTTGCGCGGCGTGTTTCCAAAGTCGCAATCGAGGCGACGAACAAGTATAAGCCAAGAAGCAAGAGGATGCAAGGCAAGGCCTTCAAACAAGTATTCTGCAGGCGTTTAAGTGCGACCTGTTCTTGCTGGACCTTTCCCCTTATTGGACTAAACAACCCCGGCTTTCATTTAAAAAGTCAGGGTCCTGGCCGGGGCCTGCCGAGACAGGCGTGCAAGCGCGTTTTCTTACCGCGTTCCATCTAGACCTTAAAACGTTGCGGCATTGCTTGAAACATCAAACGCTAATCTCACGCAAACTTTCATGTTGATCACGAAACATGGTGTCGGCCTGGCGATCGTGGAACTGCACCGGCGGATGAGTCGAAACATGAGCCTTGATTACCGTTTCAAGACTCTCTCCTGTTTCATTTGCAGCGAACATTTATCGCTCGGTATAGCCACCATCTACAGCAGAAGGAAGTAGGATCAGCATGCGAGAACGCAAACGAAATGCCGCAGATACGAATTGTACTCACCCACGATCATGGCGGACCCAACCACATAGGAGGATCTTCCGCCGCTCAGGTACACCACCGCATCAGCCACCTCCCCCGGTTCCCCCAACCTACCCAAAGGCGTCATGAAGTTGATCCGCTCCTCCAAACTCTTCGCTATCTCGGGATTTCCCATCGTAAAGGGAGTCCTCACTGCTCCACGGGTTAGTATATGAAGAACGGGCAAGGGAAGTGAACCATCATACTATAGCCAGGACACACGGCATTGATCTTGATGCCTTGCCTGGCATAATCCTCCGATGCAGTCCGCGTCAGGCCGATAACAGCATGCTTGCTCGCACAGTACGCCGTGGACATCGGAATGCCCGTGAGGCCAGCGACAGAAGCAAAGTTGACGATTGAGCCACGCTGCAGATCTCGCCCGTCAATCGTCGACTTGATCGGGCTTTGCTTCAACATGATTCTCGTCGCCGCTCGCAGTACAAAAAATGTCCCATTCAGATTGATGTCCAGCACTCGCTGCCAGTCTTGCGTTTCAGCGAACGCGGCGCCGCCAATATGCTTGTGCCCGATGCCGGCGCAGTTGACGACGTAGTCGAGTCTGCCGAATTGCTGAGCTGTGTCTTGCACAACGTGGTTGACTTGCACTTCGTCTGATACGTCGAGGATATGAGTGAGTATCTTGAAGTCTTTCCTCATGGAGAGCGGCTCGACTTCGGCTTTTGTTGCTTCCAAGGCGGCGGCATTGATGTCGAGGAGAGCTACGCCTGCAGCTCCGTCTCGTGCGAATGTTTTGGCGCATTCGCGGCCCATTCCAGAGCCCGCTCCGGCTAGGAAGAAGCGTTGGTCAGCGCGGTGGTCGCTCGTTTCCTTTTAGGCACACCCACTGATCAATGCAAAGCCTGGTACGTCCATTGCTAAGTTCGTTGCGGTAGAAAGTGGGAAATGGAAAGTGACAACAACTAATCGAGCTCAATTCAAGTGATGAATAGGTCTTCATCAATACCATTCTGAGGGGTGTAGCATTCAGTCAGCTCCCCTGGACACCTCCGCTTTCGGTGAGGAGTTCAGGGTAGACGATCCGAGGTGCGAGCTCTTCCCAATGCAGACCTATTGACATCGTCTATACGACGAAATCGATGGTGTTGTTCCTGGTAGCATCCTTCGAGTCGACCCCACATCAAGCAACATCGTCGTCAACTCATGCTCGGAGACTTGTGAGAAGGGGTACCGGAGTACTGAATTGAACATCGAAGGAGGCTGAGACGCACGTGACGTACCCCACCACTCGCCACCTAACGCTCTATTTTTGGCAACGGCCAGCCTTAGCTCGTCGACCCACCCCTTCCCTCGCCAACCCCATCATATCGTTGTGCATTCTTCGCAGAAGGCGCAGCAAGATCCTCGCACGCTCGTCTCGCCTGATCTGACGCGAGATCGCCGCCGAGTGGAATGGAAGGGTTGATTACTTGAACAGGTCGAGAAGAGAGACCCGGCGCTCATTTGACTACGCACCCGCCTCTCAAGACAACGGCATCTTGATGAAAAGGATCTAGTACTTACTGCAGTGGGAGCTGACCGTCGAGAGCTTATTAGGCCTGCTATTCGAATCGACTCCCCGGCAAAAGTTCCACGCGTGGCCGCCATTTTCCTTGATCTTCCCCAGCACGCGCGGATTTAAGCTTCGCCCACGCAGGTACAGCTCTCGAAATAGCCACATCGCTCAACCTCCTAGCCATGACCGCCCGTGGCAGGACTTTCGACCTCTGCATTCACTGCCACTAGCTGTGGCCTCCACCTTGCTCCCGCATAGCCGGTGTAGCATCATAAGATGTCAGCTTCATAAAAGTCGGCCATCTCCTTCCCTTCTACCGTTTTGACTATTCTTCTCCTAACATTCTGCTTGTCGACGCTACTTTCGTTTCTTCTTGTTCTTCTCGTCTCTTTGTTATTCTTTTACACCACTCTCGCTTTCCACACTCGCTTCTTGTCGTTTACTTCGTATCTCCACATTCGCTATTTCCCCCCTGATTGACTAGACGACAACCGCTGCTACGACTCTGGCATTTTCCTACGCGTTCACCGGAAGAAAGCGGCAATGTCGTTTCACCAATCCAGTTCGAGCATCCCCTACGATGTTCATCAGCTTTTATTGCAGGTTGCACAACATGGTTACGATGCCGACGATGTTCGACTCTGGTATGCCGCCATTCTGAACCGCATCCTATACGACAATCTATCCACCGTCGACACCCCGCAGTCCCAGCCATCGACTGCAGCAGAGACCCGTGAGACTACCACATCTACACATTACAGCGCAAACCTGCTCGCCATGACTTCAGGCCCGCAGAATTACGCCAACGCCATTCCGACTGCAGAATCCTGGCCTGGCCAGTATTCGGTCGAAGATTACGCGTCTAGCTCCATTTCCGGCTCGACGACTACCACCGTGGACTCAGCGTACCAGACCAGCATGACGAACTACACCCAACCATCTCCCTGCTGGAGTGCCGGCACCCCCGCACAACTCGGCATGAATACCAGCACTACCGATCACCCGACACCATCCACTATCCCCCTCGAACCTCCCGAAGACACGATAAATGGCCCCGCTCCCTCCTGGCCAGCTCAATCAAGCTACAACATTCCACCCAACCCTTCAAGCAAACGACCCGCATCTCCTCTTCCCCCTTACGAATTCCCAATGCCGAGCAGCAACCCAATGCTCCAGTACTACCCCGCCGCAACCACCAACACACCCCCACAACCACACTTCTCCTCCTTCGAATCCTTCTGCACCGCCTACGGTCCGCCAATCTCCATCGTTCCGTCGAGGAAGCGCAGAAAGACGTCCTCCAAGGGAGTGAAGAAGTTCTTTCAGCCGATGCACGTTTCGCGGAGCTCAATTTGAGGGAACGAACAGGCACAATACGAGAAGTTCGATTCGAGCCTTGCCCATGGCATTTTGTTTTATAGCATAGCGTTGCTGGTATTTTGGGAAGGTAACTACCTTGGCGTTCGGCGGCTGGAGAGCATGGGGACCATGTTCACGATTGTACGTTTTGGACGCGATGAGATGCACAGATTCAGACTTCGTAGCAATGTCTACAATCATTTGCTGACCTGCTCAATACCACGAGGCCAAGTCAAGCTCTACTGAATATCTACCTACTGTGTCCGTCCACTGGCGCGTACGGGACGAGCTTGTAGCCAATCGTGCGTCGCCCAACCGGCGTACAATATGCAGGCAGCCTTGTCCCCACCTCCATCTTGGACCATGCAACGCAGTTCCAACACGACACCATTATCGTAAGATTTCGTTACGCAGGCCATTAACTAGGACATCGGAAGCCCATCTACACCATGGCCGATCCACTGAGCACGATCACTTCCATCATCCAACTGCTGCAAATCTCCAAAGCAGCCTACGACAGCGTCCAAGATGCCACCCATCTGCCGCAAGCGTTTGACGCGATAAACGCACGAATCGAATTGGCCACCGCCACTCTCGAGGAGATCAGGTTGAAATACCAGAAGAACACCGAAGAAGAGGCGAAGATCAGAAGAACACTGCAGGAATGTGAGAAAGACGCGGAAGACTTGAAGGCGATGTACGAGACGGTTTGTGCGGCGGCTGGCGGGAACTGGCAACATCGATACCGCTCAATCTTCTCAAACATGGTCCACGATCGCAAGTGCAAAGTGGAGGGAGTGTGGAGACGGCTACTGGAAGGCCTGGAAGTCTTGCGAGGCTACCACCTCTTCAAGACCCTGTCGACCGCAGAAGAAATCGCGGCTGCCATTGTCGAAATCCAGAACGTCGAGGACTCTCTGCCTGACGATGGCGCTACCTTCTATGCTCCTGTTGGTCTGGCACATACTGGCTCGGGTGCGAACAGCGCCAACGTGTGGCAGAACAACATCCACGCGCCCTCGAATCTGTATCAGGGCGGCACGCATCACCACCAAGCGCCAGGTAGGTGAAGGGTCCCGATTGCAATGAATCGCTTGGACTCGACTGAGCTTCGCGCGATCTCGCTCTTAGAAGCTCCACACGACTCCACGCCTATGCATATCATTCCCTTCCCGCGCGACGAAGACTTCATCGAGTACGGCGGTCTGCTCGATCGAATTAATTCAAAGCTGGCGCGCCCTACGGCGACGGTCGCGCTGGTCGGCTTGGGCGGCGTTGGGTAAGTAGCGAACGAAGGTACGGGGACTCGTCGGAGATGAAGCTAACGAAAGTACAGAAAGTCACAACTCGCCATTGAACACTGCTACCGTGTCAAAGAGCGATCGCCCGAGACATGGGTGTTGTGGGTGCATGCTAGCAGCCTCGCCCGGTACGCACAGGGCATTCGCAAGATTGCGGACATCGTCCAAATCCGTGGTCGGGACGACGTGCAGGCAGACATCTTCCAGCTCGTGGACGTCTGGCTTCGCCAGGGCAAGAAGAACTGGATACTGGGGCTTGACAATGTCGATGATGCCAGCTTCCTTGCCGAACGGAGGGCTGCAAGAGAAGACAGAGGAGGCGTCAAGAGCCTGCCATCGCTGTTTGAACTCCTTCCGGTGTGTGATCATGGGTCAATTTTCATTACCTCACGAACCGAGCGCGCCGCCTTGACGCTTGTCGAGCGCTCGGACATGATTGCTGTCAAACCGATGGACGAAGGGACTGCGATGCGTCTGTTAGCGAAAAGGCTTGGAAAGCAACACGCACAGGACGCTGGCGTGGAGCTGGTAAAAACGCTCGAATATATGCCACTGGCGATTACGCAGGCGGCGGCGTATATCAATCAGCGAGGACGGAGATGGTCAGTTGAGCGGTACTTGAAGGAGGTGCAAGAGTACTTGAAGAAGGCACAGAGCGGCGCTCAATCGAAGCGAGGCATCTTGGAAATTGGCGAAGTTGATCTCCGACGCGATAAAGAAGGCGAAGACGCAATCATGCTGACGTGGTGTATCTCGTTTGAGCATGTTCGGCAGGTTCGACCATCGGCGGCGGACCTGCTCGCGTTGATGAGCTTCTGTGATCGACAGTCAATCCCTGAGGATCTTGTACGAAGACGAGGCGCTGAGAAGTACGGTAGCGGAAGACGAGAGAATGATGGGGACGTCGGTGAAGAAGAAAGGGACGACGAGGACGACGCCAGCCTCAACAGCTCAGAGACCAATTCAGACGACGGATTCGACGACGATCTCGTCATTTTGGAGAGCTACTCCTTCGTGTCGGTCACCACGACCGCGGCGGTGTTCGAGATGCACAGGCTGGTGCAACTGGCGACGCGGAGGTGGCTAGAGTCGCAGAATGAGCAGGAGCGGTGGAAAGAGCGGTACATCGAGAATCTGCGTGCCGCTTTCACCGAGACTCCGTCCCAGGGTTCTGTTACCAGTCGGGTCATGTTCCCACATGTCAAGCTGGCGCTGGACTTGAAGCCGAAGCTGGGCAGCGATGCGTTGTTGACTTGGGCCCGGTTGATGTACATCGCCGCCGGCTATGCCGTGGTCGGTGGGTACGGGTACGAACATGATGCGGAAAAGATGGCTGAAGAATGTTTGAAGGCCCTTGAAATGGAACTCAAAGACAATGATCCAAAGATCTTGCTGGCCATGGTGATGGTAGCACGTGTGAGGAATCGCACGGGCAGGTGTATGGAGGCGGAAGCGCTGCTGATGCGTGTCTTAGAGGCTCATGAGAAGGCACTTCGGGCGGACGACCCACCCGACGAACTGTCGATCGAAAGCAAACACACCATCATGCTCGATCTCGCATCATCGTGCAGGGACCAGAGGAAGTGGGAACAGGCGGAAAAGCTGATATTACAAGTACTAGAAGGGGAGAGAACGGTCTACGGAGAGGAGCATATAAGGACGCTTGACGCCATGCATAATCTTGCAGTGACTTACCTCTGGCAACGGAGATGGGCAGATGCGGAGAGTCTCCTAGTACCGGTCCTTGAGAGAAAGAAGAAGGCGTTAGGGGAGGAGCATTTGGACACTTTGATCGCTATGGGCAATCTCGCCACTTCGTATAGGAACCAAGGGAAGTTGACAGAGGCAGAAGAGCTACACAAGCGAGGAGTAGCAGTCGAGAGAAGAGTGCTAGGAGAGCAGCATCCAACCACCTTGATAAGTATGAGCAGTCTGGCAGAAGTATATCGCCAGCAAAGAAGACTGGCAGAGGCAGAAGTGCTACTAACGCGAGTAGTAGCTATCCGGAGAGCGGCGTTAGGAGAGGGGCATCGGGACAACCTAGTTGATATGAGCAACCTCGCAGGCGTCATTGCCAGGCAAGGGAGGTTGGCAGAGGCAGAGGAGCTGGAGACAGAGGCGTTGAAGAGACGAGTGAAGGTCCTTGGAGACCATCATCCCGACACCCTTACAAATAAATCTAATCTGGCATGGCTGTTTGGCGAGCAAGGGAGGCTGGCACAGGCAGTGCAGCTGGAGACAGAGGTTTTGGAGGCGAGCAAAACGGTGCAAGGAGCAGAACATCCCTACACGCTGCTCGTCATGCACAGCCTCGCGCAATCGCTCAGGAAATCAGGGCGCAACGAGGCGGCATGCGCCCTGTTGAGTGACTGCGCATCTTTGTCGGCTCGGATTCTCGGGGCGGACCATCCGCATACGCTGGTTCGCAATGGAGCGCTCCAACGGTGGACGCAAAGGTAGCGGCGTAACACAATCATGAATGTATGAACGTATCAGAGGGGTTTGAAGGCGGCTCAGGAGCCGATACTCGAGCGCGCTCTATTGTATTTCCCAGTCCAAGGTCATAGCCCATCCTCACTCTCCTCCACCAACTCATCAGCATTCTTCGTATTCTCCTCCTCGACCTCACGAAACGTGGCATAACTCAGGAGCAGAAAGGCAAAAATAATCATAACGCCGCCGAGAATCGCGGCAGCCGTGAGCGGCGAGTAAAGCGGCGGCGGCAGCATCTGATCGCACAGCGCGACAATGAAAATCGTCAGGAGCGCAGCCACAGAGCTGAGAACCGGCGACGTCAAACTAATGAGCACCATGAAGCTGCCGGAAAAGGTGGCGTTGGAGAGGGTGGAGATGGCGAGCATCCACGCCGCTTCGCCGCGCGGGAGCTCGAAGACTTCCCAGCCGAGGACGTGCAGGATGGGGATGGGGATCCACAGGACCGAGAGGGTGAAGACGCCGATGAGGCTGCCGAAGACGTGGGCGAAGATGACGCCGCGACCGGGCGAGGTGCCTTCGGGCGGGCAGGCGACTTTTTTGAAGAGGACTTCGTAGAAGCCGTAGAGCACGCTGCCGAAGCCGATGACAAGGTTGCCGAGTAGGCGGTTGTGGGCTTCTTCGGAGGCGGGGGCGTTGGGGCCGCCTGCGCCGCCGCCGGATTTGGAGCCGTGTTTGAGTGGGCCTTGGTCGCCGTATGCGACGATGAGGACGCCGATGATGGCGATGGCGACGGCGATGACTTTGCTCCAGCGGAGCTTCTCCTTTAGGATGGGGACGGCGAAAGCGTACGCAAAGAAGGCGGAGCAGTTGTAGATGGCCGTTAGGTCGCTGGCGGTGGTAAGGTCGACGGCAACGTACCAGCTGGAGCCGGCGATGGTGAGGGCGCAAGTTACAAAGGCGGTGGTGCGGATGAAGTAGGGGATTGGACTCTTCTTTTGTAGGTTGGCGGGGACGTGTAGGGTTTGGTGTTCTACCATTTGCGCGGTTTGGCGGACGAGAGTGAGGTGTCGTCGCCAGAACGCTGGCCAGGGCTGTTGCCACTTCTGGATTCGGAGGACAAGGAGAAGACAAGGGTATAATACGGACCAGGAGCCGTGGGTCAAATACCTGTGAGACGTCCATGTGAGATGTGTGAACAGGAAATGCCAAGAACCAGGGGCTATACTCACATCATGCAAAACGCCTTATTCCAATGCAAAGTATGCTGAATGTACACCGCCGTTTCCGTCTGCACAGCAAAACTCACCAAACTGACGAGTAGAAAGCCGGCAGCAAATGTATATCGTTTTCGCGTAGTCTGGGTGGCAAGCGCCTGTGCATCCTCCGCTTTTAAACTCGAGCGCCGACTCACTACGGTCAGCTGAGAAGCGGCCGCTCGGCTGTAGGAGGGTCGTGTTCGGTCATTTGCGAGCAGGGGCTCTCGATAATGGGTTTTGTCGTCCTCCATTGAGTGTCGTAGGTCCGAGGGCATATCCGCCGCTCCTTCAATTGCAGGTATAGGGGGGAAGGTATTGTCGCCGTCGTCGTAGTCGGCCTCCAAGCCCTCCACTTCGCGGTGGGGATAGTCCTTGGTGTGATATGAGTTCGAGTAGGACTGATCTGGATTTGGTGTCGATTGGCGCGACACCTCCTTGCTCAAATGTACATAGTCTCCGCTCGAGTCGGGGGTGTGGGCGAGGGAGTCGCTGGACCTGTTGGTGCGGTGGAAAGGCAGCGGCCCGAGTCGCGTACTGGAGGAAGAAGGCAGGGAGGCTTTGGGACGTGATTCAGGCATCCATGCGAGTGCTGGGGGATCGCGAGGTTGGCGGCATGTGACGGAAAAGGTTGAGGCCTTGTGTCATCCACGCTAATGCGGCAAGGACCCAGCGAGTGGAAAGACTGGAATCGGCGACTGCCAGGCAGCGCAAGGGCGGGTAATATTACGAGGATAAGATTTGAGTCGCGTTGCATGAAGGGGCTGCCGTTGAAAGGATCGGTGTGGATGCAGTGGTGTAGTCAGCAGTTGTAAGAAAGTTCGAGGAAGCACGTGTGAGATCAAAGGGTCTTCTCCTGACGGCTTCGTCTGCCTGAGGCACGAACATGGCTGCCTGCACGTGTTTCCCAAGACCTCCCACGTTTCCCGTACCTGCATTGCTCTCTTCACACCTCCACCGTCATTGCTGATCTCAATGCACCAATGACTCGCCACTCCACTCTCTTCCATCACCACCAAACATGCTTAGGTAAACTGAAGCCGGCCTGGCTTGTTAACTCCGTGGGACTGTCATCGTCCCAAAACTTCACGTGCAGCTTCCATTGCCGATTACCGGCGATGATGAAATTCCACCGTTAAAAAAGGCAGGTGCTTTCGCTCTCCCACTTCCCTTCCACCCTTCCCTCTCAACATCTATCCCACTCCTCCTCTCTCCAGTAATCACTCACACTCGTCAATCCGCCAAGATGCCTCTCATCACAGGGACCGGAAAGCCTCGAGTCATCCTGGGCTGCATGACGTTTGGCCCCAAAGAAGGCGCGCGCATCACATCGCTCGACACCTACAACCAAGCTCTCGACTTCTTCCAGGGACAAGGTTACTCCGAGATCGACACCGCGCGCAACTACAATGACGGCGCTCAAGAGGGCTTTACTCGTGAGGCAAACTGGCAATCTCGCGGCTTGACCTGCGCCACCAAGTGCTACCCCAACGAGCCCGGGAATCACTCCCCGGACCAGCTGGAGGCGAGCTTGGAAAAGAGTCTGAAAGAGCTGGGAACGGACTGCGTAGACATTTTCTACCTGCACGCGGCCGACCGAAGCATCCCCTTCACGGAGCCGCTGAAAAAGCTGAACGAGCTGCACAAGAAGGGCAAGTTTGTCCGGCTGGGATTGAGCAACTTCACTGCCTTCGAGGTGGCCGAGGTGGTGATGCACTGCAAATATAACAACTGGGTCCGACCGACGATCTATCAAGGAATGTACAACGCCATCACGCGCAGCCTTGAGCAAGAGTTGATTCCCACATGCCGAAGATATGGGCTGGATGTAGTGGTGTACAACCCAATCGCTGCAGGTCTCTTGGCCGGGCGGTACAAGACCAAGGATGTGCCGCAAGAGGGTCGCTTCTCCGGTGAATCGAAAGTGGGACAGAATTACCGTGCGCGGTACTTCAAGGACGAGACGTTTGATGCGCTGAGACTTGTGGAGGAGGCGGCGGACAAGTCCGGTATCTCCATGTTGGACATTGCTCTCCGCTGGCTCGTTCACCATTCCGCACTCAACATCAAGGACGGAGGGAATGATGGCATCATCATCGGAATGTCGAGCATTCAGCAGCTGGAGCAGAATCTGAAGGGCCTGGAGGGGGGACCGCTGCCGGAAGAGGTGTTGAAGAAGCTGGACGAGGCCTGGCTAATTACCAAGCCCAACACCGCCAACTACTGGCATCTCAAGCTGGAGTACACGTATGACACGCAGAAAGCGTTGTTCGCGGCAACGTGAGGTTCCGCTGAAGTTCCGCTGCTGCTTGGCCTGAGGAATGGCAACACGAGTCTAGATCTAGCAAGTATCGCATAGAATGGCGACTCATGTCCCTCATCACCATTCCCAGCAGTGCTCTAAGCGAAGGAAGAGGGCGAGTCTCGCCATGATCTTCATCAGCAGTCGCGTGCCTACATATGGCTTGGGCCATTCGATGGTCCAGACTGGGCGACCAGCCGATCACCCAAGCCGCCGCCGGAACGGCGAACATCCGTGCCAGAAGAAGCGCTTCCTAGTGGAGCTCGGCCAGCCACTCAACGTCTGTCCTCACCTCTTCGGGCACGCAGTTCCGCGAAAGGCAAAAAATCAAGCTCAAAAATACGCTTGGTTTGACAGCCAACCCTATCCCTTTCTGCAGCGTGCCTTCCGAACGGGGCCACGCTCGCTCTTGCCTCTATCACCCGCGGACCCCGTTCCGGCCGCCGGCCGTCCAACTCTTGCTGACTCGGCGGCGGTATGCTTTGCTTATCCTTCCCATTCTTAATGGACCTTTGGCTCCTCTAGCATGCACGCCGTGCCGTCTCTTCCTTGCTTAAGGGTCTCCCCCCTCCTCCTCCCCCCCTGCGTGTAGCCTTGAGCCCCTCCTCCAACCTCACTATTGCTCACCTACGCTCCTTGGCCAGCAGCAGTACTCGCCGCGCCTCTCTGCTCCTCCGCCGTGCCTCATCCTCACCCTTCTCCGCCATCCGATACACTCATCACCACCACCACCCCCACCTGCCGTCAGCCTCGATGGCGGCGGATAGCAAAGAGAGCCTGCTCCGCCGTGTGCCATCAGCCCTCAACCCGCCCCCAATGGTCGTGCAGCCGGGGGTGCACAAACTCGACACCCCCGTCACCCTCCCCCAAGACGCTGAATTCCCCTCCACGAGCTTCACTAGCTACCGCGTCGATGCACGCAAGAAACGCTTCCCGCAATGCATTTCCCACCGGGGCAACAAGGTCTCGCATCCGGAAAACACCATGGCTGCTTTCCGCTCCGCTGTTGAAGTTGGCACGCACGCGCTAGAAACGGATGTGCACTTTACGAAGGACGAAGTGGTGGTGTTGAGCCACGATGACTCGCTGGAGCGCTGCTATGGTCGGCCAGAGAAGATTTTGGACTCCACGTGGGAGGAGATCAAGGATGTGCGCACGATCCGCGAACCCCACGAGCCGCTGCCGCGCTTGGCGGATTTGCTGGAATATCTAGCGCAGCCGGGCTTGGAGGAGATCTGGCTGCTGTTGGACATCAAGCTCAGCAATGACGCGGACACCATCATGCGCCTGCTCGGCTCGACGATTGCATCCGTGTCGCCGGCGGCACGCAAGAAATGGGAAGAGCGCGTGGTGCTGGGCATCTGGGCTGCTAAGTACTTGCCGCTGGCGATGAAGTACCTGCCCGACTTCCCCGTGACGCACATCGGCTTCTCGCTCAAATACGCACGCCATTTCTTCACCGTGCCCAACGTCAGCTTCAACATGCTCCTGCCCATGTTGGTTGCGCCGGGTGGGCGGGCGTTCATCCGCGATGCGAAGCAGAAGCAGAAGCGCCAAGTGTATGCGTGGACGGTGAACGAAGAGGACAAGATGGAATGGTGCATTCGGCGCAAGCTCGACGGCGTCATCACCGATGACCCGCGCAAGTTCCTCGACGTCTGCGCACGCTTTGACGAGTTCAGGCGCGAGCCGGTCTTTGCGCTGCGCTTCAAGGCATATTTCGAAATCATGCGCATCTGGGTTTGGGTGACGTTTGCGTTGATGTTTATGAAGAAGTGGCGGCTCTTACCCGTTGCGAGCAAGGAGTTGATCAAACGGGTGGGCAAGTGAGTTGGTTGCATGGCGGATGGTAGATATAGAGCATAGAATATGCATGCAGCCGGTGTGGATGCGAAGAGAGTCCTTGAAAGCGCTGGCGCAGATGGCATCTTTGTTCGGCGCATTGGGAAGATGCTAGATGATTAATATACACCTGTTTAGACAACCACTGCAAGACGCATATATGCATTCTTCCGTTGTATCTATGTCTGGATGCCAATGGCAAGAAGTCACGTGCGCGCGCAAAGCTGGCGCGTGTCGGCGTGTTTCCCAAAGTGGCACCCCACTTTCGCGTCTCTGCCTCAGCTGCTCGACACACCGCACTTCCTCGTCCAACCCGGTTGATGTGACGCCCCATGAGCTCCAGCAAAGATGCCACGGTGAGAATCGTTACAAGCCACTGCTCGTGTATCCATCGCTAACGCGCGCGCAGAGAAATCATCACCCTCCAAGCCGGCCAATGCGGTAACAGCGGTGAGCCCTCCCTCTCCCCCAACCATCACCACACCCTCCCGCGCCCTCTCCCCCGAAACTAACCCTCTTACTGCCAGTCGGCTCGCAATTTTGGCAACAACTCTGCCTCGAGCACGGCATCAACCAAGACGGCAACCTCGAAGACTTTGCGACAGAAGGCGGCGACCGCAAAGACGTCTTCTTCTACCAGTCCGACGACACGCGCTACATCCCGCGCGCCATCCTGCTCGACCTCGAGCCGCGCGTCATCAACGGCATCCAGACGGGCCCCTACAAGAACATCTACAACCCGGAGAATTTCTACGTGCACAAGGATGGCATGGGCGCGGGGAATAATTGGGCGGCGGGGTATGCGCGTGGCGCGCAGGTGGAGGAGGAGGTGTTTGATATGATTGATCGCGAGGCGGATGGGAGTGATAGTTTGGAGGTATGTGTGTGACGGTTCTGTGGAAAGGGAAGTCTGGCTGATGGGTGTGTGTGTGCAGGGCTTCATGCTGTTGCATTCCATTGCTGGCGGTACTGGATCCGGGCTGGGCTCATTCCTGCTGGAAAACCTCAACGACCGGTTTCCCAAGAAGTTGATTCAGACGTACTCCGTCTTTCCTGGACAACAGGATGACGTTGTAGTGCAGCCTTACAACTCTCTGCTTGCCCTGCGGAGACTCACACAGAATGCCGATGCCGTAGTGGTCCTCGACAACGGCGCTCTTTCACGGATAGCGGCAGACACACTACACATCCAGGAGCCAACGCTACAACAGACCAACCGACTTGTCAGCACAGTTATGTCCGCGTCGACTACCACCCTACGCTACCCAGGATACATGCACAACGATCTTGTCGGCATCCTGGCCTCCTTGATCCCCACTCCTCGCTGCCATTTCTTGCAAACCAGCTACACACCCTTCACAGGAGATAACGTCGATGCCGCCAAGACGGTGCGCAAGACCACTGTCCTGGACGTCATGAGAAGACTCCTCCAGCCAAAAAACCAAATGGTCTCCACCAAGCCCACCAAAAACAGCTGCTACATCTCCATCCTCAACATCATCATGGGCGAAGCAGACCCCACAGACGTAAGTCCAGCATCTTCCCAAGACAACAAGCCGTAAATTAATTGACACGCCAAACCAGGTCCACAAATCCCTCCTCCGCATCCGCGAACGCAACCTCGCCTCCTTCATCCCCTGGGGCCCCGCAAGCATCCAAGTCGCCCTAACCCGCACAAGCCCCTACCTGCACCCGCCCTACACCTCGCGCGTCCCGCCGCGCGTCTCGGGCCTCATGCTCGCCAACCACACCGGCATCTCCACCCTCTTCCGCCGCATCGTGACGCAGTACAGCCTGCTGCGCAAGCGCAATGCCTTCCTCGAGCAGTATAAGCGCGAGGAGCCGTTTCGCGACGGCCTGGCGCAGTTCGACGAGGCGAAGGAGGTGGTGCTCGATTTGATTCGGGAGTATGAGGATGCGGAGCGGGCGGATTATTTGACTGGTGGTGTGGGTGGGGAGAGTAGTGGGGAGGCGACGAATGGGGGCGCGGATGCGAGGACCGATGGGGTTACGGGGAGGTGAGGTGCTGCTTGCTGATTGTGGAACGACATTCTGGGCGTTTGGGAGAGCAGGGTTCGAGAGCGCTGGCGTTCCGTTGGTTGGGCAATTTGGTGAAGCGACGCGAGATTCCCACAGCTCTTTGAGATGATGATGTGCATGCCTCAGCTTCGAGGAGACAACCGCTGGCACACGTGACTTACGTTTCAGCTACTTCGTTCCCCTGGCATGCTCTCGTTTGTACTATGCGCTGCTTGAGGCAGCGTTTGCTGTGGGACGAGGTCGACATCATAGCTGCCAAAAGAGGAAGGAGCGGGAAATGAGCGTGACGTTATCAGCTGCAGGCCAGCATTGCTCGCTCGCGTCTTCCCGTGATGGCAGGCAATGTCCCTTGTGACTGATGTAGGGTATGAGTCGTAGGAAAGAGTCCTAGTTGCCATTGCCATTGCCAGAGGAATCTTCTCATACCCTATTCTGCCAGCTCGCCCAGCCTAGTCAACTCACGTGATCGAAGTGAGAAGTGCGAGCAAGACCTCACCTTGACATCGTGAGGTGGCACAAACGACATCAGCCCGCCGCCGCCTCCTTAGCAGCGCTCGCTCAACCTCACTACACTCTCTTTCTCACCAACAACCTGACTTCGCCCCTTCTTCCAACTCTCCTTCTTCCATCCATCTTCCGACCAAGCATACCCATCAACCACTCACGCCCTCAAAGCACCATGGCTTTGAGCTCCAACCGCGTCACACCCTTAGTCTCATGGGAAAGTCAAGCAGCCATGTCCACCTCGCGCCCCGCAACCCCAGAGCCAACAACAGCCACGCCGCGAACACTGTCGCGATCGCGCTCCCTCCTGAAAAAGCGCTCAAGCCAAAAAGTCCTCTCGCTCCTGAAAAAAGCGTCCTTCACCAAAAAGCACAACCCCAATCCCGTGACAGAAGAAGACGTAACACCCTTTCCTCCCACTCAACCGCACCCACCGCACAGAATGCCCAACTAACCACCCCCTCCGCAGCCTGTAGCCGCAACCCTCGCCTCCCTCCGCGAAATGCAATCGCGCGGCGAGCACTGGTGGCGCTGGACCACGCAATACGCCGAACTCCAGCTCCCGCTCGCGGAAGACGTGGCGCTCGAGGACCTCGTCAGGGCGATCAACCATTCCAACGGTATTAGGGATAGTTCGAATGTGTTGGTTTTTTGGGATCCGGAAGGCGGGAAGGAGGAGCAGGAGGAGGCGAGGGAGTTCTTTCGGGTGGGTTTGTTTGATGTTTGCTTGTGGTTGATCGTTTGACTGACTTGAGACAGTGCGATATCCATGCCGTCGATGGCCAGGATTATGCTGCTGCGATGTGGAAGCTGCGTCGCGTGGTTCGTGAGGCGGGAGGGATGGTATGCGCTGAGATCGAGTATGTTGGTGGGTTTCTGTAAGTTCTCTTCCTTCTCTTGATTGCCGGTGCCCAAGCACGCAAGATGAGAAGAAAGGAAGTGTGGGGCGATCGCAGAACTTACAGTTCACTGACACGCCGCACAGGTACAGCATGCCCGCCTCCCTTCCCAACCCCCTAGACACCACCCTCCGCACTCTCCAAGGAGGCCACATAGTCGTCACCCGCTGGACAACGCCCTTCGAGCCACCCCGTCTACATCCCCTCCGCATGCACCCGCCCGGCGCATTCGGCCAACCACCCCAGCCCTGCCTCCAGTCCATTTCACGCAAACCCGCCGACCCGAAGATCAAAATCCAAAAGTGGATCCTGCGGCAGCGTGAGAAGGCGGAGCGTGAGGAGAGGAAGCACGGTCGTTCAGTCCTGCCTCGTGCGGTCAGTGAGATTGTGCTTGGGTCGCGGATTCTGGATCCTGGTGTCGAGCTCGCGATTCTAAGGCCCGAAATGGTTGGGGCGCGACTGTCGGGTGCTAGCTACTCGCTGCGGCGCCCGGATTTGCGCGCTTCGTGCGCGGAGAAGGAAGTGTACATTGAGAGCGAAGACGACGACGACGGTTGGGAAGTGGAGAGTGATGGCGTTAGTGTGGAGCCTGGGCCTTACAATGGTAAGCTGTCACCTGTGCGGTCGTAGGGGATGGGGTGGGACACTAATCGATCATTCCACCTGATGGCAGGAGTTCCAGGCACTGCTGTGGGCATCAGCGTGGCGAGGTACAATCAGGCACTGAACTTTGGAGCGGAGATGAGGCGCGTGGAAACCTTGTACCGCAACTGGATGAGTCGCAACCGTGGCTCGTGAAGGAAGCGCGACCTATATTGCAGGGCGGCAAGCGATAAGAGTGACGAGAGTGTAGTCTAGTCCCAGGAGATTCTGCGCTGGTTAGCATATCTGTGAAGAGTGCGGGAGGAGTGGACGTTGGCGAGCTTACCCCAACATAATACCAGCACCAGCCGCCATGGCGAGGAATTGCAAGCCAGTACTCCTCAATTCTTTCCATCGATTTGGCCCCGTCTCCAGCATCTCGGGAATGACGCCTACGGTGCCGACATACAAGAACGTTCCGGCGGTGAAGGGCAGCAATACATCGCCCCAGCTTAGACTCGTGCCGACCAAACCCTGGTTACCCGCCCCTACCACGCCCTCGAGAGTACCACTTCCACCAAGTTCTTGGACAGCAATTCCGATAATCGTGCCGAGGACGGCACCGAGGGCGGTGACGAATTGCAGGCCCATGGCCATCTTCTTACTCATTCCTCCTTGAATCAGCAAAGCGAAGTCTCCAACCTCGTGGGGAATTTCATGACAGAACACCGCGAGCGTAGTCGTCGCACCAATGCTCGACGAGGCGTAGAAGGACGAAGACAATGCCAGTCCGTCGGTGATGTTGTGCGTAAAGTCCGCGACAATGTTGAGGTATGCCGAGAGTTTGATGGGGGGTTTCGTTTCGGCTGCATTCTTCGTCAGGGCCACACTGGTCTCGGTCTTTGCACCCTTCTTGCGCTGTTTAAGAGCGGCATCGTTCTTCGCAACACCCGTGGTCGTGGCCTTGTCGGACTCAACGTGACCGTTCGCATCCTTCCTCTCTCCGTGATCGTGCGTGTGACCCTCCCCACCAGTGGCAATTCTCAATCCCTTGTCCATTGCGACAAATGTCACGAACCCGACCATGATCGCGAGTCCCAGTAACAAATTCTTGTTCGGCTCGACCAATACTGCCCGTACTGTTCCCTCCGGCACCTCGCCGAGGAAAATCTCCGGCATCAGATGGAAGAAGACGTCGCCAAGCAGGCCACCCACGGCGAAGGCGACCATGATGTTCAATGAGCTGGGGTCAATGTCCGTTGGACACAGAGCGAGGAGGAAATTTGGTGGGCCGGAGATGTAGAGGGTTGCCATCAGGCTGTTGAGGGCAGGGGAGGTGAAGGGGAAGAGCAGGCTGAAGGCGCGCTGGAGCGGCGATAGTGAGGTGGGGGTGTGGGCATGGGTGTAGGCCGTCAGCTTTTGGATAATAGAGCACTCCTGCTTGTTGTCAGCTCAGTCGCATCGTTGGTGAAGCTGCGAGATGCAGATATACCTGGAGCTGCTCTTCAATCTCCTGAGTGCTCAATGCTTCCACCGCGATCTCATCCTTCTTCGCCACCGCGAGTGTAACGCACAGTGCTAGCAGCACAATGGCAGCTTTCACGAGCTGCTGTCTTTGTCGTGCCATGTTCGCGTCTTCTCAATGGTACCGTCTCGTCTCGTCTCGACACGGTCGCCTCGAGTGAAGTCGGAAGACGGGGCTCGCGTGCATGACTAATCCCGAAACTCTAACCCTCTGTGCCTGGCTTTACGTTTTGGAATTTTTGTCCGTTGCATCTAGAACTTCACCATCTGACAGCATTTCTCAACGAGACGAGATCTCCGAGCAAGATGGGACGAGAACTCCAAAAGAAGAAGAATCGCTCTTCCCTCAACAAAGTCAAGCGCAAACCGAAGTCGAAGAAGCGCATCCTCTCCAACTCCATCATCGCCGCAAACTGGGACAAAACACAGACGCTCACGCAAAACTACCGGAGATTGGGTTTGGCGGCGAAGTTGAACAAGACCACGGGCGGGGTGGAGAAGACTGCGACTTCTTTGCAGAAAGAGCAGGATGGAACAGGTGGACTTGCGAATGGGCAGTTACATGGACTCGTGATTGGAGGTGGGTCGAGGAGGGCGGCGCAGACGATGGAGGTGAAGGAAGTGGAGGTGGAGAGGGATCCGAAGACGGGGAGGATTCTGCGGGTTGTTGGTGCTGAGAGTGTCAAGGCGAACCCGCTTGGTGATCCGCTCAATGACCTTGATTCGGACGAGGAAGACTCGGAGGGCGACGTGTACGATCAGCACGGAGCTGCCCTGAGGCCGAGTGCGGAAGCCCGGTCCGAGGCAAGGACCACGGTGGTGAGAGATTTGGAGCGAGAAGCGAGTCGGCCAGAGGCAAAGTACCGAAGACATCAGAGTGAAGGGGAACGGGCGTTTGTCGAGGAGCTGGTGGAGAAGTATGGCGATGATTATGGGAAGATGGCGAGGGATATGAAGATCAACTATATGCAGAGGAGTGAAGGCGATCTGAAACGGCGGGTCAAAAAGTGGAGGGAAAGCGGTGGCACGGTGGGCTGAGGAGTTTGGATGAGTCTGGGGAAAGAGCCTCACGGGCAACACCAGCGCTGTGATCGCTGGAGAGAGTTGCTTTGCTCGCATTCCTCCATCGCAATGCTTCAGACCCGCCAACGAATCGGCGAAAACGTACTCTGCATGGAGGGAGGCTACAAAGTGGTTGGCAAGGCCTGATGCCAATAGGACGTCGAGACCAGACGGCCATGTATTGCCTCCATCACTTGACGAGCAGATGAGCCGATTCATCTCGGTATATACACCACAATAGAAGATACGAGTTACGAATCGAGTGAATTGCGAGTCGGTCTACCCGCGGTCTACTCGGGAGCGCGAATCGGGCAGGCTTTGTCTCGCGCTGGTCTTGCAATGGATTCAATGTCTCCACGCCTGCCAACACCGCAAAAAAGGTCGTACTTGGGCAAAAACACAACCAAATGATTCGCAATCACAAGGAGAGCAAAAATTCACTTGACAAGAGGGGGATTCGAACCCCCGCGGGCAGAGCCCATGAGAAATAGAACTCGACTGAAGGGTCGAGCAAGCAGATTGGGATCGCTTGAGTCACACGCCATAACCACTCGGCCATCTTGCCAATTTTGCGGGCGGTTTTTAGTCGCTGCAATTAATGGTGGGACGGCAAAATCGTACAGATACTTGCACCGCAACCTCCCGAAGTGCGGCGAAAAGGATAGATCAGGATTCGTCATAGAGACTGGCCCCCACCATCACAAATCCATCGTCCAACTTACATCCCGGTATCACCCTCACTCAACTCGATTTCAGCTCTTTCCCTTTGTCTATACTTCATCCACCACCAGCGACACGCAAGACTTTCACCGCAGCTTCCGAGAGTGCCGCGCCTGCCTGCGAACGACTTATAATCACTCAATTCCAGCCCTCGTGACACCCCCGAGTCTCCGCCGCCACCATCACCCACTGGCCACCCATCTCGTCTTATAATCGGCTGGGCTTGCTACGTTGCGGTCAGACCTTGTCAACGGTCTCCCACGTCGCAAGCCTGCGTCTGGTCCATCCCACGAACCATGATCCCCATCCCGAACCCCGAAGACTACGACGTCTCTCCCCGAAATGGCTTCCTCCCGACCGAACCACCGCTCGAGGCCCTCCCTGATTCCTACTACAGCCCGTGGGAGCACGCCGTCAAGAATTTACAAGGCCTGATCTTGAGCAAGAGATTACGAGAAGTGGTAGATCGCCTCCCCGTCCTCACCACAGACCGATTGTTCGGCGAGGCGCAATGGCGAAGAGCATACAGCGTGCTGGCCTTCATCGCCCACGCCTACATCTGGGGCGGCAACAAGCCGGCTGAAAGAGTGCCGCCCCCCATCACCATCCCCTTCCTCTCTGTTTGCGAGCACCTGCAACTGCCGCCAGTTGCCACCTACGCCGGCCTCGTGCTCTGGAACTGGAAGCCCATCTTCGACACCGAGCGAGTCGACACGCTCGCCAACCTCGACATCATCGACACCTTTACAGGTTCTCTGGACGAGAAATGGTTCTATCTCATCAGCGTCGCCATCGAAGCCAAAGGCGGCCCTCTCATCCCGCTCATGCTGCAAGCCATCGAGTCCGCGAGTCGCGGGAATCGCGCAGCCGTCACTCAGAGCCTGCGCACATTCGCGGAACGACTCGACGACATCGGCATCACGCTGACCCGCATGTACGACGATTGCGATCCTCACATTTTCTACAACCGCATACGTCCATTCTTGGCTGGCGGCAAGGGAATGGCGGACGCTGGCCTTCCGAACGGAGTCATCTTCGACAACGGCGGGCCCATCAATAAGCAGCGTTACGTGCAATTCAGCGGCGGCAGCAATGCCCAATCCAGCGTGATTCAGTTCTTCGACTTGGTCCTAAGCATCGAACACCGTCCAACAGGAGAGGAAACAAAATCAGATCCATCAGCCGACAAATCCCACAAACCCAAAGCACCCCCCTCCAACTTCATCCACGAAATGCGAAAGTACATGCCGGGCCCCCACGCCCGCTTCTTGGAGCAGGTAGCCGCGGTCGCCAACCTCCGCCACTTCGTCCAACAGCACTCCTACGACCGCGACCTGACCGTCGCCTTTGACGCATGTCTCGCCATGCTGAGCGCGCTGCGCGACAAGCATATCCAGATGGTCAGCCGGTACATAGTCATCCAAAGCCATGCAGCGAAGAAAACGCAGCAGCAGCAGCAGCAGCAGGATGCACCGCACGCACCGAACCAAGCGACAAAACTAAACCTCGCACACCGCCCGAAACAACCTTCCGCGGACGGCAAAGAGGACAAAGAGCTCAAGCGCGATCTCAAAGGTACAGGTGGCTCGTCACTCATTCCGTTCCTGCGCCAGGCGAGAGAGGAGACAGGCGAGCCGGCGGTGGATGTGTGGGCGCGGAGGGTGCTTAGCAGGAAACGAGGCGACGAGCTGGAGATTGGAGGCGCTGATGAGGACCATTGGAGGACGCAGGGCATTTCGGGCGTTTGGCAGCTGTCGGACAGCGATGGGGGATTGTGTTACAATTAGACTTGGGGGAAAGAGCATGTGTCCCTTTTACGAGGGAGAGCTTGCGCGATGTGTATATTCAAAAGCATCTTTTAGACATATTGTAAAAACTACGTGATCCATTTCAAAGTTCGTCCAGTGTCATTCGGGCTTGTTAATGGTAACCGCCTTCCCCACCCTCTTCCTCTCCACCACGCGAAACCAGCGTCTCCGCCTCCACTCCCCCCGCTCCCCAAACCCATTGCTCTCCTCCCACCCACTCCGCGGCACCACCCGCGCACTCTTCTTCGCCCCCGCCTTCGCCGGCGTCGCACCAGCAGCAGCAGCGCCCAGCGAATTCACCGCCACCTCGGGCAAATCATACACCCACCTCTCCCCCTCCGTCTCAATCTCCACGCCCGTAATCATGCGCTGCTCCACCCACTCGCGACTCGCTAGGTCCAGCGTCCACTTTTTATCCCGCCATACCCAGCCCCCGGGCGCTTGCACGTCTTCGAAGAATTGCGTGCCTTTTGCGCGGGCGCCGGCTATGCGCAGGGGGGAAAGTGGATCGTAGGCGTTTGGGGAGAAGAGCCAGGCTTCCCATGTGTCGGTGGGCAGGTGGTACTTTTGGAGCTCGAAGATTTCCACTTCGCGGCGCTCTGGGGGCTCGTCGAGGATGATGTCCGAGTCGGTCCAGGCGGTCAGTTTGGCGTGGGCGGCGTCGAGTTGGGCTAGGAGTTGGCTTAGGGTGCGGGAGGAGAGGAGGACTGCTTGCGAGCTCGGGTGGCAGAGTAGTAGAGCAGCCCAGCCCGCGGCGAGCGCGACGAAGCGCCAGGGCACGAGCTGGCTGCCGAGGAAGGCGGCGCAGGTGAAGACGAAGGTGAAGGCGTAGAGTTCGGAGCTGAGCTTCTCGTCGCTGAAGTTGGTGTAGGGCGTGATCCAGTCGTTGGCGGCGTCGTGGATGCGGCTGAAGTCTTCCATGCAGTTCTGCAGGTCGCGCATGTTGCGGAAAAAGTCTTTGCTGAGTTCTGGCGCGGGTTTGACGCGGGAGGCCGGGGCGCTGGCGGGGCCGCGGAAGCTGGGTTCGATGCGGGGGTCGTTTTTGGGGATGGGGTGGCGGGCGAGGAAGGAAGGGGTCATGATGGCGAAGAGGAGGCCGACGAGGGGGACCAATGGGAGGAGGTAGGGCTCGAGACAGAGGATGGTGTAGACGGCGAGGAAGGAGAGCGTTGCTATGGGATCGTGCCAGGTAAAGAGCTGGATCATCTTGTTTTGCACGACAAAGGCGATACCGATGCGGGCGTTGAAGCGGCGGAAGTTGTTGTTCATGACGCCCAGGCTGAAATTGGGTCGCTCGACGAGTGGTTTGTCTGCAGAGGGTTTCTTGTCCTTCTTTTTGTTGGCTCCATCTTGCTCTCCGCCCTCTTCGGCAGGGAGGACTTTGGCGAGGAGGTTCTCGAAGAAGCGGTCTTGGATGCTCTGCCGCATGGCCGAGCCGGCGTATGCATCTTGTGCTGTCCTCGCTTGACTCTTGACCTTGTCTTTCCTACTGCGCTCGAGTTCGGTGTCGGAGGATGTGGTGAAATCGTCATCGCGAGAGGGTAGGCGGATGATGGGGATTGGCTCCTCGCGGTTCGCGATGGAGGCCGAGACCTCGTTGGACGAGCCGGCCATGTCTGTGATGAGGAAGCCTCCGCTGAGGTAGGCTGGGGCGCGGTGTGTTATGTCGACATGCTGATGTGGAGGGAAGGAGAGGCAAGAGATAGATACAGTGGCCGGGAAGTGAGCATGTGCAGTCATCAGGCTGACGCCACTGTCCAAGCCACCACCCCACTACAGCACATCCCCCACATCCACCTCCCCTCTGCCTCCCTTTCTTTGTTCGCTGAACACGTCGACGGAAAAAGGCACATTGAGAACCTCAATCGAGCTGTGGAAAGAGGATCGTCACATCTTCTACGTACACGTGATTGTATGAAACATCGCGGCAACATCACAACGCCCAAATCGCTTCGCAGACCGATTCCACCCGACCCCATACCATGCCCCAACACCTTTCTTCCAGTCCTTCTTCTCTGTAAGAGGGTGCACTCCTTTCAGGTCTACCCAAAGCGAGCCATTCGACCTTGTCTCCTCACAATAACTTACCCATCGCGACACTGTGTCCAATCTCTGTCGATCATCAGCTTGATATGAGTTTATGCTGCGGAGCGCTGCTTACCAACAAGTGGCAGACACTCGACCGCAAGGCCAGCCAGGCAAATGCCCACGCTCTCACTGAGCCACAAAGCTGTCTTGGAAGTCGCGATACAGATCTTCCGCTTCGTCCCCTATCGCCAGATCCGGCAACTGGTCCAGCGTGGCGCGAGTCATCTCGTGCTCCCACCCCAGACATCGCACTAGCACGTCGACTTCTTTGAGTTTGTACCGCATTGCTCCGGCGTACAGTTTGCCGCGGTCCGAAGCGTCGGTGATGTCCTGCGCTGATGCTACCCAGAGAGTGGCCATCGTATCGGTCCTGTTTGTACGACAGTCAGTGAATTTCGAAAGCACAAAAAGGGGGTAAAAGAAGCAACACGCCAAACTCACGCGAAAAAGAGCGCGCACGTATAAATCTCCGCAACCTGCGCCGTAGCAAGCAACGCATCCGCCGCATCAGCAAACGTCCTCGCCGCCTCCCGATCGCTGAGATCCCGCTCCACCCCATCGAACAACGCCGACCGGTCGCGCGGCATGCGATGTCTCCGGAAGCGAAAGTCTTCCACGAACCCCATCTTATCCTCTGTACTGTCGTAATACATGTCCGAGAACTCCTGCGCGCCGGGCACGAGATTGCACTCGCGACATCGGCAGCCCGGTGGGCTGAAAGCGAGGAGGCTCGCGCGATCGGCTTTCGTGTGGAAGAGGTGGATGTAGGAGATTGTGATTTCGGCTCCAGCGGGGATGGACTTGGTGGCGCGGATGGTGATCGTGGCGGGATCGAAGAGTGCTTCCTCCTCAGTGGCGAACTCGGTGGCGATGCTGTGGTCGAAGGAGAGCTCGGCGTTGGGGACGCAGGCGTGGTTGATGAGCGCGAGGTGCGGGTCGACGATGAGGTTCTGGTTGCCGGCGGCCGGGATATAGTATCCCAGGCCTGCGCGCTGAATCGCTCGGATCAAAGTCGCTTCGTTCTGCGGCAGGTCGGAGTGCAGGAGGCGCTGGAAGTTCAAGAGCGAGATGCCGTGCAGCGTTGGCTGGCGGGTGAAGATGCACCAGAGGGCGTGGGTCAGGGGCAGGGTGTGGAATTTGCGGATGAGTCGGAGCAGGAGGTCGTAGCTGTCGGGGTGCAGCTCGCCTTCTGGACACAGGAGGGTGAGCAGCGGCCGCTTGTTCATGATTATTTCCCCTGCTTTGATGTTTCGGGTTGCGAACACGCCCATGCCGTGGAGGGGTGAGCGGCGGCTGGCGTATGGCAATTGCACTGGGGTTGGTTGGCTTTGCTCGACATCTGGGGCGGTGGTGCTGCCACCACCGGCTTCCGTCACCGGATCGGACATTGCTTCTTTTGTGGTGAGAGTCACTGGATTGGAGAATGCCAAGGCGTCTACTTGTGAAAGATCGACAATCACGTCAGGTTGGGTAAGTTGATGAAGAAGGAAAAAACGCGAGAGTTGAGTCAAACAGGTGTTTTATGTTCGTCAGCTACAAACACAGCCTGCAAGCGCACAAACAAGCAAGCGCAGTCATGCAGGCTGACAACTATACATTATGAGGGTGTGCTTACCGCGCGGCGGGTATCCAAAAAAGCAAAGCCTGAGTTTCCAACAGGGATCAAAGCAAACCAATCCAAGGCAAACTCTTCACATGACAACACAAAGACCGCAGCACCTGCTCTCCTTTTGCTGCGGCTCCTGCATCTGCATTTGCTGCTGAGGAGGAGGTTGGGCATACTGCATGCCCTGGGCGGCCTGCGAGTAGCCGTATGGCGCCTGGTGGCCCATGGGGTAGGCAGTCTCGTAGTGCGGCTGACCATAGTTCTGATGCTGCGGCTGGTGGTACTGGCCGTAGTCGTAGCCGGGAGCAACGTGGGGCTCGGCACCGTGGCCCTTCAGATTGATGTAGATGCGGCCCTCATTCGCTTCGGTGTTGTATTGAAGGCCCATTTGCCGGCAGATCTCCTCCACCTTCGGCTTGATCTTCTGGATGTGGTCGGGGCTGTGGTTGCCCTTGCCCACGATGACGTGCAGGTGGGTTTGGCCGGTTTGCTGGGCGTAGCGGATGCGTTGTTCGACGATTTGCTCCGCCTCCTCTACGTATTGGCCGTGCAGGTCGATGGTGTCGCCAGAGACTTTGCCGACGGCATTGTTCTCGCGGAAGATGAATTCGGATGCTTGCTTGTTGTACGCGTCGGCCTGAGCGGCGTGCTGCTTGCTCTGCTCGGAGAAGCGATGCGCCCCGGAGCCGTCTCCCTTTTCATAGGCCTGATGTGCTTGGGAGGCGAAGTGCTGGTATTGGCCGTGCTCTTTGCGCGCGAGGTCGCGCAAACGATCATACTCCTGCTCCGCGCCAGCAGAAGGACCGTGGTGGAAGGCTTGGCCACCCAATCGAGCGGAAGGAAAAGACATGACTGGCAAGTATGTACGTCAAAGGAGTGTGGTGGAGTGATGTGCAGAGACGGCGATTGGCGAGAGATGGAGATGGAGATGAGGTGTATCTGCAGGTACCGGCCGATCGATGGCATTGACCTGCGCGTAGTCAGCCGAGCTTGGCTCGAGATGTGGCGCACGAGAGGGTGTGGCTGATGCGGGTGTGGCGCCGTCCACTCGAATTTCCGCCAGGGCTGATGAGCCCGCGATCGACAGACGCTGTGCCGAACGAGCCAATGCCTCTTGTCCAGGCTTACAGGCATTGGATTACGTGCTCAATACCCTTCCGATGATTGTCGGGGCCTACCCTGGCCACACAGCATGGGCAGCAGCGTGGGTGCTGGGTGGTCCATGCGTGACGGTGATAGACTCTGCGCCGTCGAAGAAGCAGCACGCGTGCGCGCCGAGATTCGTCTGGATCGACGGTCTTGACATCTTCCGAGCCTGAGGCACGCCCAGCTCAAACCCGAGGAGAGGGAAGCACAGAAAGTTGGCCAGATGACCTCGGAAGAAGAGGTGCCGAAAGCGAGCTGCACGGGTCGGAAAGAAATCCAAGACATTCCCCAAATGAATGACGAGTCTCGGAGTCGTTCCAGGCAAGCCGCCGCGAATGCCTCGCCTGTGATTGGCCGCCTGCAGATCTTGCCAGGATCCCCCTCCGAACCCAGATCGGAGTCTGCCGGGCGTCGATAGTGGCATGGCTCTGAGATGTTTCGACACGACTCGCAACTCGCAGGGCAGGACGATCACGCCCTTTCCATCCCGGCAATGGACGGAGGAAGCGGCGTTCATCGCATTGATCCCCTCGCTGTATCGCCTGGCCCATCCCGGAGAGGGCCCCGACCCACGGACAGGGCTCCCCGGTATCTCGCGCAGGTCACGGCCGGGCGTGGCGCGATCGATCGGAGCCACACACCAACCCAAAGCAAGATTACTCGAAATGCGTCCGCCACCATTCGACTTCGACGCAAAGGTCAGCAGGACGGGCCTTTCTGGGCAAGCCACGCCGCCTGGCGGTGCAAGTCCAAGCGGTGCATGTTGTCTGGCCGTTGCAATCCAAGATACCGAACGGACGCAAAATGCAGCCATCATCATCGCCGTAAACCCTATGCTCCCCGCGCGCGCGATCGCCCAGTTTTGGGCCGCGCCCGCTGCACCCTGGGTTTTTGCGCGCCCACAACCTCTGCCGAGATTGGTGCGATCGATGATAGCGGCACACTTCTGCTCCCCCCAAACCATAAAGTCCTTAGTGTATCTGCACCTGCCATTTGCGGCCATTTTCGCCCCCCACTCCCCGTCCGTCTCGTGTTCCTTCATGATCACTCTCTGCTTACTACGAATCACTCTACCAAAATCCTTTCTTGCTCGCCTCCGTTTCCGCCTTCTCTCATCTTCCTCGAAAACGATTCGCGCGACACTACGGCTGGCACTGTATACGTTCGCTTCGTCCAATCCGAGCTCGCCCATCCCATACTCTCCGAGTCCGCGCACAAGACTGGGTAATCGATCAGGCATCGACGCGACCATCGAGCAACGCAGGACGCCTCTTATCTGATCTTCGAGTCGTGACCCATCCCGCACGTCTGTCTTCGCCATTCCCTAGCCCACCTTCCTTCTCAACCAGTGGCGGCAGAAGACCAGAGCACGACTTGCAGTCGCCACTTCCGAGGACCTCGTGCTGTGCTTGGCGCCATCCCGGCTACACTCTTCCACCTTTCCCCTTCTACACATTAAGAACGCCCGAATACTCCTCGCAATGGACGCGGCGAGCCGGCGGTAAGATTTGGGACATGTGCGCGCCATCTATACACACGCTAACTCGCAACAGACCGCAATTGCCGGCGCTCTCCTACCTAGATGTCGAGAAAGAGAAGTCAGAACATGAGGCATTCCCTCACGAGAGGAATGTCGGCGCACAATCTACCCCATCCGAGACCAGCCCTTCGTCTGCTCGACCGTTAGGCTCTTCCGCGCCTTACAGCCACCCCGCATCCCAAGCAAACACCACATCGAGGCGAACAAGTGGGGAGGTTCAAGACAACCCTAAACAAGTATCACGCCAATCTTTGCCGTCCATCTCGGAGGCATTGGGCGTCGACACTCACACCCCCTTCTCTACGTCCGGTGCACAAGCTTCCTCACAAACCGCCACGCCATCTTCTCCCTCGCCGAGTTTCCGACGCCTACACGGCACCGAGGCGCCTCCCCCCATTCATCCGCATTCATCGTACCCGCGCGACTCGGCTGGACCGCCTCCCTACCCACCTGTGGACTCGATTCGACCAGCAGCGCAGCCTCGAGCAGAGCCTGGTCCTCATATGCCGCCGCCGCCTCAAGCTGCAGCTCCCGAACGAGTGGAAAAAGCAAACGCGCAGTACGAGCACTCGTCTCACTCAGCATCGAATCACATGCCGCCGCCAAGCTTCTCCTATGGCTATGCGTCGTATGCTCCGAGATATGCCGACACTGCTCCCCCGCCACCCAGCGCCGGCCCCATCTATCAGCCATCGTCACAGTACGCGCCGCCCGCGACATCAACATCGAGTTGGAGGTCGGATAGCGCCACTTCTCACTCTGCTCCGGATGAGCGGGGCCCACCACCTTCTGCCTACGAAGAGTCTGTCAAACGTCATCTCGACCTATACGATTTAGAAGCAGCTCTCAACGATGTAAGTTTCGAAACCCCACTCTATCCCCTCGCCCGATTCTGACCAGCTCCAGGTCTCCCAAACAAGCAGCATCGTCCTCGACTTCTCCCGGCGCTACGGCGACCGCATGCACCAAACAGCCCGCAGCACCCCGGCGCTCTTCAACCTCCCCAGCATCGTCGAAGTAGACGACATGATGAGCAAATCCCGCCACCAACTCGACGCCCTCAGCAAAATCCGCGACGTCGTCGTCACGCAGCAAATCACCTACGAGCAAGAACTGGCGCAACAACGGCAACAAGCCAAAGCCTACCGAGAAGGTCCTACCGGCCCCTCGAACGGTGTTGCCGACGATCCGCAGCAGAGTCTTGCAGATCATAGCGACGATGGCGGCTTTGCGGGCTCCGAACCTAAGAAGCGTCGAGGCCGCGCTGCTCCTCCGGGCCGCTGCCATAGCTGCAACCGCGCCGAGACGCCCGAATGGCGGCGCGGGCCTGACGGCGCGCGCACGCTGTGCAATGCGTGCGGGCTACATTACGCCAAACTCACGCGGAAGCAGACGAATGCGAGTAAAAGCGCAACGACGACGACCACCTCGAACAGCTCGAATCTCCGCCCAAAGGAATCGTGAATGCCGCACTCGCCATGGCAACGAGTTCTGGAGTGATTCTCCGTTTCTTGTGATTTACGTTTTAGACTGAATCTTTGGTTTCCCCCCTTTGTTGTTTCCACGATACCCCACGATGCGACGATCGGCCTTATTAGAGGCGGATTTTTGATTACGGCCTTATCAGAGGTCTCCTTTTTGGTGGAAGCATTCTAGCGAATGCGGAGTGATGGGAAAAGGGGACGGCTTACAATGTCCTCCGGAGCAGATGGATTGAAATGGGTGCGCATCATTGTCGGTGATGTCGTGGATTGGATAGATTGTCAAGCGGTGGGAGGGGAGGAGAGTTATGCCGTGCATGAAACCATCAAATGGCACGACGTCTTTATGATCTTTGTTCCTAGTAGAAGCTCCGTCTTACCTTCGGTTTCGTTGCGCAATGTGGAGCCAAAACCGAGCGTAGGCTCGAGACAAGAAGAGCTGGCTCGTGACGCGCCTTCTATCGATAGCAAGTGGATGCGAGTACGATGCGGTTGTTCCAACTACATGTACATCCTCTGCCCGTGGTAGAAAAGGAAGGAACTCACCTTCTTCTTGTAGACGCCCTCTCCGCTCGGCCTCGGGAAAGACATTTACAGCGAAAGAGCGAGGGCAGCGAGAAATTGCCGGCTGGGCTAGCCCTTTCCGAACGCCGTCTGGTCATTCTTACTAATGCACCTCACAACCGCGCGGGAAACGATTCTTTCGACGTCCAACTCTCCGCGCGCATTGCATTGGAACCCCGTGATTCACACTGGACAGCTGCTTGCTTTGCACTCGGTTGTGCGGACTCGCGCTTCTCTGACTCGCGACTGCTCCTGCTTCTGGCGACGGGCTCGCTTGCCTTGCTGGGAAAATTTGCCGCCACTTCACATCACTGCGACGACATCATGATGCTTTCGGGTCGATAGTTGTGCTGGGAGTGCGGCGATCGCGTCTCTACGCCTTACGAACGTAGGATTGGAGGTGGCAACCCATCGAAGGGGCCGATCGATTCGGAACTGGTGCTCGGTTTAAACGACTTTCTAGCCTCTCGCCGGCTCGTTTAGCTCGCTATTATATGCGCAATGGGTCTTCTGTATGTCGGGCACATTGGCAATCTGACAGGAGATCGCGAACTAACAATTCATAAGCGCCATTGGAACTCCACTCGACTGGCCGTCCGCGAAGAAGGTCGCAAGTCATGTACGAGAGTGGGGCATTGAGGTATGACAGTAAGCCGTGCACAACATGTTGATCCGTGAGCTGATGGCGGGTTAGCAATTACTTGCCATATGGCGTCGAGCGAAAGGCAAGGAACGGGATGCGCTCCTGTGGGGCGACGAGGTGGGATAGCAATCCGGACGGCCTTCTGGAGAGTTCGATGCTGATGCTGCGCAGATCGAGTACATTGTTGTCGCGCTTGATGACCAGCAGAGATTGGTGAAGCTGTCGCTGCGGCAAGCAGACATTCTGCACGCCCTCGCCGAGGATGAAGAGCTCATCAAACAAGGCGGCGGTGTGCCCGACCTCAATGGCGAGAAGGCACCGTACGTTATGCTGACTTCTTACCTATCGCCTTTTGATTGACAATGATTAGAACCAACAAGAAGAGAGCGCCGACCTTCCACCCCGAGTTTGGCCGTTTCATGCTCGAGGCCACTCCCGGTCAGCCCTGGGGCATCGATTTCAAAGATCTACTAGATGTAGAGCAGGACATGAAGTGGAGGTAAGGCGGATCCGGAGTGACCGGAATCAATGCCACTTATTGACCATTGATATAGGCGGAAGATCGCCAAGGAACATATGGAGGCGAACGAATACCCCATCACGCTCACCACGTTTCCGTTGCTAGGCGATCGCAAGTCTCTCGTGCCTTATTATCCCCCTCATGGCGAAAGATTGAGGTCACAATTCGTCCCCGATGAAATCGCCAATCCTCATATCCGCTTCCCCACGCTCGCAGCAAACATCAGATCCCGGCGGGGGAGGAAAGTGGAGCTGAATGTACCCGTCTTCCACGATACCAAAACACCATGGCCCTTCAAAGACCCAACGGTTGACTACGACCTGCATGAATTCCCAGAAGATGCTGACGTGCGCAATGGCGCGGCGAAGGACAACTGCGTCTACATGGACGCCATGGCCTTCGGCATGGGCAGCTGCTGCCTGCAAATCACCTTCCAGGCCAAAAACATCGACGAGGGCCGCAAGATGTACGATCAACTGTCTCCTCTCGGCCCGATACTGCTCGCCCTTACCGCCGCCACTCCCATCTATAAAGGCTTTCTTGTCGACACAGACGTCAGATGGAACCAAGTCAGTGGAGCGGTGGATTGCAGAACGCGCGAAGAACTGGGCGAAGTGCCTCTTAAGCATGACAGGTGGCGCATCCCCAAGTCTCGTTATGCGAGCAACAGCACATATATTTCGCAAGACTCGCGACTACGGCCAGAATACCTGGATCCCGATCTCGTCGTGGACGAGGACTTGAAGGCCAAGCTCGTTGAAGGTGGAATGGACGATCTACTGGCCACGCACTTTGCGCATCTCTTCATCCGCGACCCGCTGGTCGTGTTTGAGGAAGATCTCAAGGAGCTGGACCTCACCAAAACAGACCACTTCGAGAATCTGCAGAGCACCAATTGGCAGCATATGCGATTCAAGCCGCCTCCACCAGGCAACGACACCGGCTGGCGCGTAGAAGTGCGCCCGATGGAGATCCAAATCACGGACTTTGAAAACGCCGCCTTCTCCATCTTCGTCGTGCTCATCACGCGCGCCATCCTCAGCTTCAACCTCAACTTCTACATCCCCATCCCCCGCACCACCGAGAACATGGAGACGGCGCACAAGCGCGACGCCGTGCTCAACGAGAAGTTCTACTTCCGCCGGAATCCCGTGATGAGGCCGAGCGCCAGCCCCCAGTCCGGGAGGAACACGCCGGAGCCGCGACACGATCGGCCTAGCCGGCCAGGCACGCCACTGGGCCCGGTGGAGGACGAGTACGAACTGATGACCGTGGACGAAATCATCAATGGCAAGGCCGGCGGCTTTCCCGGTCTGATCCCGCTCGTCGAGTCGTACCTCGACAGCCTCAATGTCGACGTCGAGACTCGCTGCGAACTCGCGCAGTACCTGGCTTTGATCAAGGGCAGGGCGAATGGCAGGCTGTGGACTGCGGCCAAGTGGATCCGGCATTTCGTGCGCGAGCACAAGGATTACAAGATGGATAGTGTGGTGTCGGACGGCTTGGCTTATGATTTGGTTAAAGCGGCGGAGAGGATCACGAATCAGGAGGGGAGGGATGGATTTGCGAAGGAGATGTTGGGAGATGTGAGGGATGAGAGTTGAGGGTTGTTGTTGTAGACCTTGCTTCTTGTCTTCTGTTAGACTGACGCGATCACATAGCGAGATTGTCGCACCCGATGAGGTGTTGTGGATAGACTGTGGGAAGGATGATGTTCATTAACCTGTTTCCACTCCTGTAGTAAGTCAATCTGGACAGGAACAATCACGAGTGAGGCCGAGAAAGTGAATAAGGCTTCGGCTCGGAGAAACTTAACGCCGACCACACATGCCAAGATTTTGGCCAAATTTCGATGCGACTACGAAACTTGCGCCAATCCTCCCTCCTCACCTCATCAGTCTTTCAAGAACCCGCCACATTACGCAGGATACCCATCTCTTTGCGTAACACACAACCCCTCAATCCACCATGTCTTCCCAACCAGTACGTATCTCGCTTTGCTGCCCGCCCGGGACGCCTTGAATGGCTCGTCTCGCGGCTTTCCCAGAGCAGCAGGTCGGAGATTCGCAATACTGAGACGCAATGCGCAGCAGCAGAAGAAGAGCACGCCAGCCAGCAAGGTATCGGCCAAGAAGGGCCAGAAGGTGACGAAGAAGGTGTGTCCAAGAATCATCCGCGCCTGTGAACGGGACTACCCTCTAATCGGCGCCATCACCAGTTCATCATCAACGCCAGCCAGCCGACGCAAGACCGCATCTTCGACCCCTCGGCCTTCGCCACCTTCCTGCAGCAGCGCATCAAAGTCGACGGCCGCACGGGCAACCTCGGCGACAACATCACCGTCAGCAACCTCAACGACGGGCGCATCGAGGTCGTGGCGCACCAGGAGTTCTCCGGCCGCTACCTCAAGTACCTCACCAAGAAGTTCCTCAAGAAGCAGCAGCTGCGCGACTGGCTGCGCGTCGTCAGCACGAGCAAGGGCGAGTACACGCTTAAGTTCTTCAATGTTGTTGGCGAGGAGGGCGAGGAGGATGATGATTAGGTGTGTAATTGAGTAGATGGCATGGGGTTTTGCTAGTTCTTCAATGAAACTGGTGGGACTCTCTGTACTACTTATCTTCCCACTTCTGATGGCATCTCATATATGGGCGTCGTCCCGTCCATCTCCTGCACTTGATAGTAGGCCTTGTAGTACCCATGCCCGCCTAGTTCAGAGTACCCATGCTGCCGTGGATCTGTTTTATATGGCCCGTCCATCTCCGCCTGCGCGGGTCTAAGCGGCTGCGCAATCTCATGCACCCCAGTGCCTCCTAGCTCGCCGCCCATGGGCCACGAGATAAGCGGGCGGTGCGGGCTTGTTCGCTCAACGGCTGCTGACTTCTCCGCTGCAAGACGCTGCTGCTCTGCCTTCCGTCTCTTCCTCTGCACCATCAAAAAGACCCCAAGAGCCACAGCAGCAAGCACAGCCGCACCCCCAACAGCCACACCAACGATAAAAGCCGTCGACAAATGGGGCTCGAACCCACCCCCGGACAACGCACTCGCACTCGCACTCGCCGAACTAGGCGGCGAAATCGTCACAATATTCGGCGTCTGCACCATCTCCTGTGCCCACCGGCACTGACCCAGGCTGAAGTTCTGCCGCTGGTAATCGACAACGATATACGCCTCTTGCAGGAATGTGCGGCCGAGGGTATACTGCGTTTCATTGGCCGCTTGCATGAGCGGGAAGTAGTAAGTCGCGGTGTCGACGATGGGAAACGAGAGCTGCAGGTCGAAGGCGGCGTAGGGGAGCTCGATGGAGACGTTCCTCGCTCCGCCGTAGACGTCTGGGCTCATGGTGAAGGTGACTTTGGGATTTAGGTTGAGCAGGTGCTGTCGCTGGTCGGCGGTGATGGGGTAGTGATTGAGCGTGGTGTTCCAGGTTATGTTGAAGGCGGCTTCGAAGGCGGCGCAGGCGGTTGGTGGGAGCCAGATTTCGGGCACCGTAGAGTCGATGTAGATTGCGATTGGGCCACCTGGGAGGAGATTCGTGGGTGACGTTTCGGTTGCGGTGATGGTTTGTAGGTTCACGAGCAGGTCACGCGAGATGTCGGCGAAGAAATCAAAGGTTACTTCGTTGTGGAAGAAGCGGTTCGCATCGTAGCCGCCGAGGGTCAGGGAGCCGAAGACACCGGCCTCGCCACGGTATTGGTTTCCTGCCGTGTAGCCATAAGTAAGGGAGGGGATGGCGTGGGTGTCGAGTAGGTAGGTCATGAAACTCGTCTGCGGATCGGAGAATGTGGTGAAGTTCGTCGGGGTGGGGTTGAGGCCGAAGACGCCCAGCCAGTAGTTCGAGTCGGCGATGTCGAAGATGATGGCGTGGGAGTTGCTGACAGTAGGACTGCCCGACCATCCGAGACTGGCGTGGTCGAAGCCTGCGAAGCCGCTTGCTTCTTGATCGAGATTGGCTTCGATGCCGGTCTGGTAGATGGAGTTGGGCGTCCAGGTCAAGGACTCATTTGTCAGGAAGAGGCCACCTCGACTGCTTGCGCATCCTGACCCGTAACTGGACGGACAGCCTTGAGGTGCGATTGCCCAGATCGCATTTCCTATTGCATGCGGTCAATTACGAGGAACGCTCCCATGCTGCCTTCGTGTCTGCCGCTTTCTCGTACCTGCCGTAGATGGCATCACTCGTACAACCTGCTGCCCGCCCACACTCCCTGACCCGAGTTGCAGCGGAAAGGAAGACCAGGGGCCTAGGAGCATTAGTCCCGAGCTCGGTGGCTTTGCTTAGATATTCCGGTGGTCATACCATCGATTCCATCCCAATACTGGCTTGGCTGGATGGACACCGCCTGCACAGGCGCCTCTTGCCTCTTCATCAGAGAGGGGATTGTTCTCAGTGATGAGATCGAGAAAAGACCAGAAGAAGGTACCACAAAGAGCAAAGACAGCGCAAAGAGTGAGAAGACCGCCATAGGACACATTCGACCGCGTCGTCGCAGGCCCATCTAGCAAGCTTCCCAACGAACAAGATAAGACAAAGCGAGGCATCGGGCGCACACGCGAGGTATGTACCTCCTCAAAAAACAATACCGAGGACGATGAGAAGCATAGAGAAAATAGAAACGAGGGCCGCGAGACTCCCAACATCCCTTCCCATTTGACGCAGACGATCCGGGCGCTTGCTGGAACATGAGAGGGTGTGGGCGGGCGGCTAGGTGAAGCACGCCTCCTGCAGCCAAAAGCCGACTGCCATCGCCGGCATAGTACTCACCAAGGTGTCCACTGTCGGCAATTGGTTCTATTTGTGCCGATATGCCGTTCTTATGGGGTTGAGTGAGGGCACAAGTTCCGAGCAAGTGAGGTAGAGTTGGCCGAACTTCACAAGCTTGGGCCAAGCAAGTCGCGAGTTGGCTCTTTGGCGCGAGGCTGTCTCCTGTTACGACACTGATAAACATGCTAATGAGCACAGAGAGGTCAAACTAAATCGTAGACCGAGGTCACAAAGGTGCTTTGTCTCACATGTATAAGTTAAGCGGCCATGTACATCGTTATAAAATGCCAAAACACCACGAGATGCATTCCCTTTGCGATGTTCGACATCACAGCTCCCTACAAGATCGCCGCAAACCCAAAAGCAATGCTCAGCAACGCCGCCAGCTCCGCACCATACTTCGCCGTCGTCTTCGCCTGTCCAGACTGAAGCTGCGGGTCCTTACCTCCCGAGGACCCGCCACTACCACCCCGGCCCGCAGCGGGCGACGCGCTGCCCGCGGGTACGTACGTCGTGAGCGTCGTCAAATGGCCGCCCACATGCGTGGTCTGGTAGACGATTTCGCTGACGTCGTGGACAGGCGGGGTGTAGGTCGCTATGACGACGCTGCCGTGGTCGTCTGTGGTGGTGACGACGGCGCCGCTTTTGGAGCCGCTGAGGATGACGGAGTGGCCGTTAGGGAGGGTCGTGGTTTCGGCGGCGTGTTGGGTTAATTTGACGGTGGAGAGGGTGGAGGTGTGCGTGCTTGCTTTGCCGTTGGAGTTTGTGGTTTTGATTACGGTGGCGGGTTTCGTTGCTGTGCTGGTGGATGCTGCGCCTTTCGCGTTGGTGGTGGTCGTCTTCTCCACTACTGATGTCTCGGCAGTGGATTGCAGGGCAGAGGTAGTTTTGGTGATTGTCGTGCTCTTAGATGTGGTTGTCGATGTGACGGGTACAACGACTTGGGTAGTGGTGCTCTTGGAGGTGCTCTTGGAGGTGCTCTTGCTGGTCGTGGGGGAAGCTAAGAAGACATGTGGTCAGCCAAGTTCAGGATAGGTGTCCGTGATCGAAGAACAAGGACGAGAGAAAAGCAACGCAGTGTCAAAGGTTAATGTGTGAAGAAGGAGAGCGTTCTTGAGACCACGACATTCCACTAATGCCAACGACAGCACATGTTTCGACGATTGCCATGCCGTGTAGCTGTGTTGAGCGTTGCATTGTGAATGGTGGGAATTCCTCCTCAGGCCATTTCTGGAAATGTGCAGACTCACTTGTCTGTTTTGGCGAGACAGTCGAAGTGGTTTTAGAAGTGGTCTTGTTTGTGGTTTTGGATGTGCTAGTGGGGGAAGTCTTTGTTGTAGACGCAGCAGCCGTCTTTGTCGAACTCGAAGTCGAAGTCGAAGTCGATGATTTGGTGGTGGTTGTGATTGCAGGGGCGGGAGTGGTGCGCTTCGAGGAAGAAGAGGAGGAGGAGGAGGTGATCTTACTTGTCGTAGAGCTGACACTGTCCTTTGAAGAGGAAGTGGTGGTTGTAACAACGGGGGCGGTGGTGGTGTGTGTCGAAGAGGAAGAAGAAGTAGTCTTACTAGTTGTAGGGCTGGTATCGTCCTTAGAAGTGGTGGAGGAGCTGGTAATAGAAGATGACGATGATTGCGTGGTTGATGTCGTCGACGTTGAAGTGGTCGTAGTCGTCGTGGTGTTTGTGACTCGTTTCCGTAAGAGGTCGGCCACGAAATCGCGCGGATCTCTGTCGTGGTTGTTGGCATTAAGTTGTGTATTGTCGACTTCCGAAAAACATATCGCGAGCAGTGGCAGAGCCAAAAGCGCTAACAGGCGGGTGCACAGCATGCTGACGGGTGAAGGCGAGTAAACCAGCCGAGTTCCTGCTCAGGCTGTTGATGGGTTGGTCAGTTGAAATGTCGAAAGCAGAGGAAAGTGCGAGGGCGAAGAAACATGACGGAAATAGGACAGAAGGTCGCACTAGGCCTCTCCATATCGCCGCGGAAAAGAAGAGTGGAGAGGACCAGCATCATGTTGCAGCGGGAGGATCGAAGAGAAGCTCGAGCGCGGACAAAACTCACCGTCTTCCAAGACACTCGGGTGCGGCTGTGGCAGGGCCCTATCGATAGTCTGTGCTCATCCTCGAGCTCGGTATCGCTGGAGTCTTCGACGTAATCGATCAATTCGTCTTGAGAGTAGAGCAGAAACAAAGACGATGTATCAATCCTCCTCAGCACACTCTATCCCGAATCTTATCATCTCGGAAACGGGCAGCGAGCGCATGATAACTCGACGGCATCAGGCAGGATCCACGGATGCCTGCTTGGTCACGTCTGGGTAAGCTGCTGCACCCGGCCACCACATGCAGCACGCCAGCCCAGATGCAGTAACGTGGCAACCCAGTAGAAGCCAGGCAACCACGTCGCCATGCATCTTGGCACCTTAACCCTGGATATCCCGCTGCCCTCGAGTTACGAATGGGCGGTGGTGGGTGCTACAACGAACCTCTGTGACATCCCGAGTACCGTGGTTCCCGTCGAACCCCGCCAGCGTCAGGTATTATTATTAAAAATACCGCCCGGCCCGGAATCCTTCTGACGTCGTAGTGTTGTACCCGCCCACTGGGAGCCGCATTGCCCCATCTTTGCACGCCCTGCTATCCGGCCATGGCGATGCTCGCTTTGGGACAGACCCGCCACCATCCCTGCGGAGCCCTTGTAACAGCTCTCTTGCGATAGATCATGATCCCAGTACATACTACCGCTCCCGCCTCACTCTACTCCACCGCGAGAGCAGGCCGGACAGCACACGCCAGCGCAACGACTTGAAGTGATGTCACTCCCAGGACCCACGTGCCCCTAAGCCACTTCACGTGGGGATTCTACACGTCACCCGTCCACAACGCCCGTTGCACAAAATCAATACAGGACGTGCATTTGCATGGCGCAATAAAGCGCAAGGAAGGTTTCTGGAAGGACTTACGAACTCGCGCACCACATAGGCCGATTATTGACGGCCCCTCAATTCTCCGGCGGAGCTGTCGTCCATCCATCCACCCACCACCCCGGCCAGGCGCGGGACGGAAGAGCTCTCCTCGTGTTGGATGGAAAGTGTAAAAGATTAGCTAAGGGTGCTGCATCTTGGCTAATTGGGCTGGAGCCTGGGGGTTCAAAGGCAAGATCTGATAAGATTGGTGCCTAATCCTTTACAGTGTGAATCAATTCGTACCGTTGCTACATAAGATACGACCATCGCCACATTGCATGCGGCCTACGCAAGCAATAATCTCGCTGATAACACAACTATCATCAGTATCATCATCAATTTTCTCATCACCAACTCGAACCAATGGCCAGTTGTGTTCTGGCATGTTCTGGCAATGAGAACCATCGAAGCAGAGTGCCGTTTCACCCCTTTTGACTGCTGCTGATTCATCAATCGCCTCCCCAAACTCAGGCGTGATAGGAACGGCCGGCGGCCCCATCAGTCGCGCATTAAAGTACGCCAAACGAGCATTCTGGCATGTCGAATACTGAGGGCGTATTGCTCGAAATTCCCAGGCGCCACCGAGAGAGAATGGTGGCCAGCACGACAGTCCTGGACGTCCACCAGGTCACCCGTCGAGCCAACCAGTTACATCACATTTCATCAGCCCCTGCCCTTCATACAGGCCGATGCTGATGTAAGACATATGTCTCCGTTCAAGCAGCTGTGAAAGCCAATAGCCCCCAGGTCGGTCAGGCTTTTCAGATCGGCCAGCGAGCGTTCAGCTTCACTGCTGATGGTGCCGGCGTTCGGGCATGTTTAGCAACCGAGATGCGTTTCAAGAAGCGCTCTGTGTGCCCTCTTCCGGATGCGAGCACAGTCAAAAGCTCCTCAATGCTCATCTTCCGAGTAGCGTAGGTGCAATCAGGTTTCCTACTTACGTCCCCTCACCATGCTCCTCTGCTCTCTCCTCTTCGTCGCTGTCACGGCGGCGGCACCAACGAGTCCACTTGTCGTTCACGAGAAGCGTGAGCTGCCATCGTTGGGCACCGTCAAAGGCAGCCGAGTTGCCTCCGATGCAATCTTGCCAGTCCGCATCGCTCTTACCCAAAGTCATCTCCATGAAGGTTACAACCATCTGATGCGCGTTTCACACCCGCACTCTCCCAGCTATGGTCAGTACTGGACGATTGATGAGATTCATGCAGAATTCGCACCCAGCGACGAAGCGGTTGAGGCCGTCAAGGCCTGGCTTGAAGATGCGGGACTCGATCGCGGGGGAGTCGCCCAGTCGGCAAGTCGGGGTTGGCTTGCTGTCGATATGTCCGCTAGAGATGCAGAGCGTATCTTCCAGACCGAGTATTACGAGCACGTGGATGCGCATGGCAACGTAAGGGTGGGGTGTGACAAGTGAGTGTCTTTCCGCAACGACCTGTCCATCTTTCCGGCTGATTTACGCAGATACCATCTTCCCTCACATCTGTCCCATCACATCGACCACGTTAAACCAGGTGTCACTCTCTCTGGACCATTATCGAAAGTCGTGACGGAGACTATGAAGTTGCCTCACTTTCCACGCGCCGCAGATACCTCCCCTAAGCCACCCCCCAACATATCTGCCACCAGTCTGACTGATTGCGGGACATGGATCACTCCTGCCTGTATCAAAGCCTTATACAATATCCCCGATGCTGCGCTCAACCACCCAAACAACACGTTGGGCGTATTCGAGTACGGCACTCCTTACAACCAACTGGACCTCGATCTGTTCTTCAGCCATTATGCTCCATGGGTTCCAAATGGAACACACCCCACCCTCGCGTCTATCAACAACGCAACAGCGCCAGGAAAACCAAACGTGCACGGCTCCGGGGCTGTCATCGACCTCGATCTTCTCTTTTCCTTAACCTACCCCCAGATGGTGACATTGTAAGCTTTCAGACTGAATCATAGACTGAATCATCGAGGGGTTTATGCTCACTGCGGGTCAAGATATCAAGTCAACGGAACGCAAGCCCAGTTCGCGACCGTGGGCGACTTTGAGTTTCTGCTGGACGCCGTAGACGGCGCCTATTGCACTGAAGCAGAACGCAAGTCCGGGGCGGACTGCGGCACAACCAATCTGACCAACGTCCTCTCGACATCTTACGAAAGCTACGAACTAGCTCACACAGAAGCGGCAGCCAAGCGGGCTTGTTACGAGTTAGTACGAGAATGGTAGTACCCGACGCGTCGTGACTGATACATAAGGACAGGTACATGAAGCTGGGGCTTAAGGGGCACTCCGTGCTGTTCTCGGGTGGTGACTACGGAGTCGCTGGATCCGTCATCGGCACCAAGGCGAAGCCAAGCAATGGTTGCATCGACGCGCAGAATGTTACCGATTTCACCTCCAACGGGACGGTCTTCACTACCCTGTTTCCCGCAAGCTGTCCATTTGTTACGGTCGTCGGTGCAACGCAACTGGTAAGTCTAGTAAGCCATCTGGCGGGTAACTGCTTACGGCTCTTCGATCAGAACCCAGGCCAAACCGTAAACGACACCGAGAGTGCCATGAATATACGGGCAGGCAGCGACCCGGGACTCTATTCTTTCACCAGCGGGGGGTGAGTGTGTCAAGTGCGTATTGGGGAATAAACAAGGCTGACTCGTGGCAGTGGCTTCTCCAACTACTTCCCTGTCACGGCATACCAAGAGGAAGCAATCAACACCTATTTCAACACCTCCAATCCAGGCTATGCGACGTACGGGTACAACGGCAGCGCCAAATCCATTGGCGCGAACGGCGGGAGATACAACCGACACGGCCGCGGGACCCCCGACGTGTCCGCCAACGGTGCTCATCTAGCTACCTTCCTCACCGGCGAATTCTTCCAGGCCGGAGCGGCCGGGACAAGCCTTTCCACCCCCATCTTCGCCTCGATCGTCAACCTGATCAATGAAGCACGCCTAGGCGCGGGGAAGGGCCTAGTAGGGTTCATCAATCCGGTCATCTACGCGCATCCCGAGGCCTTTCATGACATGGTGAATGGCAGCAATCCGGGTTGCGGCACCGCTGGATTCAAAGCGGTCGAGGGCTGGGATCCGATCACTGGCTTGGGCACGCCGGACTATCCGTCGCTGTTGAAGGTATTCATGGGTCTCCCATAGAAGGGAGGGGAGACGAGCGGCGTGTTGGGTTGACGTCTTTTTTTTGGTCTAAATTGCTAGATAATGTCGACTACTGCACGAAGTCACGCAGCTTGTGCTTTAGTACGTCGACACGAAGTCACTGCTCAGCGTATCCAGTGCTACCATGGCGCAGAGTGCTAGAACACAGTGCAACGTATTTGGTCCCCTGACGTGCCCTTCCACCCCTTTCATCCCTCCTTGCCCGCCTGATCACGTGCATGGCATATAAGCCAGGTGCCCCAGTGGGGTCCCAGTAGGATTGCGGGCGATGTGCTTGTTGGTGTTAACACTACGCAAGTCGGAGGCGTGTACACTAACGCCAAGGGAGGTGTGAACACTGGGACCTGGGACTTGGGCGTGTTTGGTAACCAAGGCGATGGGTTGGGGAGTGGGATTACGGTTGTTGATCAGGCTGTGGTGGATTCTAGATGCGCTCCGTTCGGGAAGCTGGTTTATTGAGCTGGTGTTGCGGGTTTTGGTCTGTGGATAGGTGATTTCGACGTTCTTTGCAGTCCTGATGCTCTCAGTTGTTGTACTCAGCTAGTTATAATATCAGCATGCCATACATTTCCATCCTCTCGATGCAACTCCACCAAGCGAAATGAGAAAAATACGCAAACCATGCTAACGATGCGTGAACGCCGAGTCACAGCAGAAATGCGCAGCAGGGCAGTATGATAATATGCTATTAAAAGGTTCCTAACAAGAAGAGAAGACAAAGACAAACACACAATCCCGGGGGGTATGCAGCGCACTCCACAAAAGAAAGGGAAGAAAAAGGCGAAAAAAAGCGCCCTCCCGTCTCGGCCTCCGCCCTTTGTCGCGGGCCTAACTATTAGTTCTATTACATTCTGTTCGCCAAGGGGAGAGAGCATGCTTCATGCTTGGGGCACGCTTTGCTCCGCAACGTGCTCCTGTGCAGTGGTCGGTGTGTCGTGGGAAGCTTCAGGCGCCACGCTTCCATCGTCAACGGCTGCTGTAGTAGTTGCTGCCGGAATTGCGGCAGTATCGGGAGGCGAAGCTGGGGCAGCGTGAGCAGACACATCAACCGCGGGAGGTGAAGCTTCAGCAACAGCAGCATCGGCCGGAGCGGTAGTGGGCACCGGTTCAGCACCCGCCACATCAGCATCCGGAGCATCATCCGCCGTCGTGGTGATAGTAGGCGCAGCAGCAGTTGCAACCGGCGCAGCACCCTTCGCAGACTCCTCCGACGCAGCCCTCAGCGCGGGCGCCTCAGCCGACGCGCCGCGAAGAGGCAAACCAGAGCCACCAGCAGAAGAGGAAGACGCATCCGCCAGATCCTGTCGGCTACGCCGCTGCTCATTGCGCTCCGGCGTGCGCGCGCGGTCCTTATTACCGCCCATCTTGCCTCGGATCCACGACCCTAATCCGCCGCCCTTCTTCTCCCGCTCCGAATCAGAGAATACGGGCTCCGTGCTTGTGGAGCTGAACGTTTGCTGGCCTTGCAGGTGTCCCGCGGCTGCTGGGTCGGCGGCGCTGGTAGTGAGCGGGGTGGGCTCTTGAAAGCTCTTGCGTGGTGCGCTGCCGCTGTCGATGGTCGACCTAGACGTCGCGGATTCCTTGCCGGTCGTTGCAGTGAGGGAGTTGTTAGGCGCCGGTGCCGGGCTGGATTCGAATTTGTTCTGCGAGCGCGAGAAGCGGAAGCGGTGGCGGCGCTTCTCCTTCTCTGCGCCGGGCGCTTGGTCTTTCGGCATGTCGTCGCCGACCATGTCGGTATCAGACTCTACCGCGGAGTGGTATGAGTGGGAGGGCGAGAGGCTAGGGCGCAGAGAGTTGTCCACCGAAAGATTGCGGGAGGGTGCAGCAAGGAATCCGGAAGTATTCGAGATTGTTGGCTCGTCCGCAGGCCTCTCGGCTGGAGTGCTGGGCTTCTCGGCTTGAGCATCGGTCGAGGATACCGGCGAAGTCGCTGCGACAGCGGTCGGTGACACTGCCGATTTCTGCAGACCTTCAGGTTCCCCTTCCGTAAGACTGTGCGTCGATGAGTGCGCACTGGAGAGCGAGGTGCCAGGAAGGCGCCTTTTCTGCAACTTGTTCGGCTTCCGCATATCATCTCCGCCGCTTGGCGACTGCTTGAAAATGTCCAAGAATCGGCCGGGAGAGGTTGAAGGAGTCAGCTGCGCAGGACGCTCCGTGCTTCCCTCCGCTCCTCTAGTAGGCGGGGTCAAAAGTGGTGCTGTGTCCCTCTTGGGTGTCTGGTATGCCTGCGTGTTCGTGGATGCCATTTCACTACCTGCCGCAGCAACAACCGCCGGTGCAATAGGTATCGCTTGCTGGGTGCTGGGGAATTGAGGCACTGAAGCTCCGATCGGAGTGGACTGTATCGATTCGTTCCATGGTTTAGAAGCCTCTTCCGTGATCGCTGGACTTGCCGCCCGTGGCGTTGACGGAGAGGACACCTTGTTGAGCCGCGGAGAGCGAGCATTGCTTCCGTCGTGTCGAGAAGGAACGGTGTTGCTGCGATGAACCGACCCGCTTGGGCTCATGCCGACCGCCACACCCGCTGGCCCGTTATCGGATACTTTGCTCTGCTTGCTCGAAACTGACCCTGCCCTTCGGATCTCGGAGACCTTGCGTGTGCTCTCAGGACGGCCGCTTGCATTTGAGCTCGACCGGCCGATGATTGTCCTTGATCGTCCTGGAGTGGGAGGCGTTCCCGGTGTCTTATTCGGCGTACCGCTTTGCACGTCTCTGACGGTCTCCGGGTCGGCTGCCGTGCCCTGCATTCCGATGAGAAAGCTGTCTTGGTTCTCGATGAGAAAGATGAGGACGTCTTGGCTCAGACGGTATTCCGACGGAGCCATGTCGTGCTGAGGATGGCTGAGAATACCCGGTTGGAAGATGGCCGCGAGATTGGCGGTGGTCATCTTGTTCTGGTCAGCCTTGCTTGCAAAGACGGCCAGGAGATCGAGGATGTATAGCAGCAGTTGACGGTTCAATGGAGGTAGCTCCGTGATCAGCTGCTGATACGCATGGATGGCCGCGTCAGGGTTGAATTCGCCAACACTTGGGCTCTGTGCTTCAATGGCACCGACTGCTTGCGCCTGGTGATTCCGCAGGGGATCCCTGAAGCGGTTGTAGAAGTCGAGAGGGATGATGGGCTCAGGTAGCTGATTAAAGTAACGGCGCAAGATGTTCGCTGCATCGTGAACGGTATAACCAGTCCAGTCCAGACCTTTTCCGAAGCGGTCTGGAGAGTCGAACGCGACCTTTAATTCCTTGATGCGCTTTTCACTTCCGGCGAGTCGAAAGATGCCCTCCGTCTCCGTCGCTGATGGCTATGTAAGTATACACGCGTGTGCATGAGGCTTGGGCCGACACACCTTTCTCCTTCAAGAAGACTCCACACTTCGCAACGACAATCGGCACGTAGCCGTAGATGTAGCTGTGGCCCTCGTCGTTGATCAGGCTGATGGCGACATTGGCGTAGCGTATGCTGTCCTGGAGCGGCACACCGAAGATGCCTTGCGGGGCTATACAAGAAGCGTGTCAGAAATATATGTATCGCGATCGCATCGCAAACCGCCACGCCAAATGACGGGTGTAGAAGATCGCGTCGCCTTGCCCATTCATTCTCCAATACAACTATATCCCAACGTGTAGTGCAATGCAAGGACAACAATGAAAACAGCACACACAAACAAATGATTGCTCACCTTGAGGCTCCTGCGGCTTCTTGTCGCTTCTCTTGAAATTCTTCCACCAGCTCGCCAAGTCGCGCTTCTGCTCCTGCCGCTGCTCGTGCTGCAACGGCGTGCGCGGGCCAGCGGCCGCGTTAGCCTGGGCCGTTGGTCCACCCGCGTGAGCCATCGTGACACCACATCAAGCGTGACAGGCGCGTCGGGAGGGAGGAGAGGACGGGTGGTGCGCGGGCGCGGAAAGACGCGATGGGGGGGTTGAGAGGCGCGTCGGGGGGAGGATGGACGGATGGCGTGCTTTGTTGATTGCACGCGGGTATCTTGGGGCGGTGCTGGGTGGAGGGTCGAGGCGGTCGGTGAGAAGTGCGGGTGAGGTGGTTGGGTGGGCGGATGCGGTGAGGTGAGGTGAGGTGAGGTGAGGTGCGGTGCGGTGGGCGGGTGGAGATAGTCGGGGGAGATACGAGGGTTGGCGATGGGGCGCGCAGAGGATGCGCAGCTCCGAGTCGCTGGGAGAAGGAGGTGGTAGAAAGAGGAAGAGGGCAAAGGCGTGTGGAGGGCGAGCGAGGCGAAGCTCTCAATCCGAGGGAGGCAGTGATGAGCAGCAGCAGCAGGCAACGCAGGCCGATGGCAGAAAGCTGAGTGCAGGCAGCGCGGTGATGATCGCTGTCCAGACTTGGCCTTGGCGCGCGCCGACTGACTTGACAGCCAGGCAGGCGGCGGAGGTAATTTCCATCAAACTACGACTAGCAACCACTAACTACCAGCCCGCCCGTTCACCCTCATTTGCGCCCGCTCATCCATTGACTTTGGCCGTGGTCGTGACTTGAGGCAGCCTCGTGTCGGTGACGGGAGGCTGGCGCACGGTAAGAAACACAGCGAAGGAAGGGTTGTTGCATGCGCGCGGGTGGGAATGATGTCAATTCTCGTGCTACCAACCTGTACCCTGCATTGTATGGACACAGACCGACATTCCCTTCAGAGAGTGCATCTTTTGACGAGGCTATTTTGGGAATGGCTCTTTGCTGATCTGATGATCTGATTTGATTTGAGTGAGCGGGAAGATTGCTGGCGCTGTTGGTACCAGCTGCATGAGATCGGCGACAACAACATGCGCCTTGTTGGATGATCTGGAAGAGAGCCGGCATGGCCACGGGCAAAGACGCGTTAGCGTAGTAGCAGCTATATTAGTTGTAGCAGTGCCAGCATTATTCCGAGTTTCCGTGCAGCATCCTAGAGGCAGGCGGATGGCGGAGGCGTGGCGCTAAAAAGGCTGCATCCGTGCAACATCACCTGCATCCGCCGATCTCTCGCTCGAATTCTTGCTTTGCAGCTCCAGCTGAGACCCTCCATGCGCCCGCGCCATCGGAACACTCCCCATTAAGCACATCCTGAAACACGCCCATCGCATTCCAGTGCACCTCTCCCGCCAGAAACAGCGTCTCGAGTCACCCATCGGCCACTCCCCAGCAGGCAACAGCAGCACGACACGCACGCAACCACCGAACGAGGCGTAGCAGCTATGGATGCGTAAGTCACACGATCACCCAACCGCACCAAAATAGCATCCCACGCACGGCACAAACTGACGTACCCCTCCTCCCACCAGCCTCACCCCCGCCGAGCAGCGCGAGCTGCAAACTCGCATGGAGCGCAAGCAGATGAAGGACTTTATGAATGTACGTCACACATCCCTCCCTCCTCCGCCGCAATCTATACTCATCACACGCAGATGTACTCCAACCTCGTGCAGCGCTGCTTCAACGATTGCGTCAGCGACTTCACCTCCAAGAGCCTGCTGAGCCGGGAAGAGGGGTGCGTGATGCGCTGCGTCGACAAGTTCCTCAAGAGCTCCGAACGCCTGGGCGAGCGCTTTCAAGAGCAGAATGCGCAGATGGCGCAGCAGGGGAACATGGGGATTGGGGGGAGATAGGATGATTCCTTGTTGCATTCGTCCTCCCCTTTGATGTGTATGATTATGGAGATGGGGTCTGCATAAAAAGGTGTCTGCATGTATGTGTGGCGTATGGGATATCTCGGGCGTGTACTTTACTCGACTCCGAGGCAGGCTATGGTCGGTGTCCAATCAAGCAGATTCTTCACCCCTCTATCCCAAGCTCACCTCAGCTCCCGCAATCGCCATTCAACAGCAGCATCGTGAACATCAATCCTTCGGCAGCAGTCCTCTCAAACTAAGATCGTACACCACATCCTCCACGTCCTTAACCCGATACTTGATCCCATCGCTGCGCTTCCGCAACGCGTCGTTCTTGAGATTGAGAATCTGAAAGCCGGCATGCACGTCCTTGACGAACTGGCTGATTTGCAGCGGCCGCCGGAATTCGCCCAGGGTGACGGAGTTGCGTGCGAGTCGGGACTGTTGGTTTTGTTAGTCAAGGGTTTTCTTCTCAGGATAGTATGTCCTTACCAGCTCTTCGATCAGAGACACCAGAGCCAGGAGATACTCCTCGATCGTCAGATGGAATGCATCACGCTCTTTGAGGTTGACCGGCACTACCCCAACATTTAGCAAAGACACCACACATTCCTAGTAGCGCATCAAACTCACCCCCCATCAATCCTCCCACCTCCTCAATCGTGAGCAATTGCCCACTCGCCGGCTTGCCGAAACCTCCCAGATAGCCGCAGAGGAGGATTGAATAGCACTGCATCCACATCAGCCACGAGTTCCTTACATGCATGAGAAAAGCCAGACATACCACATCCTGCATCTGCCTCGTCCACGCATAGTTGAACTTGTAGTACGGGTGCTGCGAAGCGACCACCTCCAGCTGGCGCACGATTTGGATTTCTTCTTGGATGCTGCTTTGCGCTGCTTCTATGATGCCGCCGACTAGTGAAAGCGTCAGTTCGCATTCTATTCTGCACGAATCCGTGTCTTGTGAATGACTTACGTTTCGCCGGAGGCGTAGAATGAACCCTCGATAATGTCGACTGCGTATTTCGATCTAAACAATCAGATCAGCATGTCACCATTCCTGCGCAGAGAAGTTCATTTCGCCGCACCCTGCTTCTCGAGACTCTGCACAATATCTCGCAGTGCCTGTGGACGGAACATCAGCTCTGCATCTTGTTAAATTCAGGCTCGCTCTGGGGAATTCTTACATCTTTGATCGCCGTGTCCTCGTCGATTTTGCGCTGCAGGTCTTCGAAGATGCCCGTCTGCATTGTTGCGCTCGCCATGGTTGACGAGACCAGGTTTTGTATCTCGAGATGATTGGGGGTGTCGTTGGCGCAGTTTGAAGTTGAAGATTTGAATGTCTGAAAACGGCAGGAGCGATGCACGGCTTTGACTCCACCTCTTGCGGACACTCTGTCTACCTTATTATTAACACATGCACTTCGATGTAATCGCGAGTACAGAACCCGGAGGGCATTGAATCTATCTTCGATTCATGGCTCAAGGGCGATGAGAATGAGAGATTACGAGTTGAACGGTAGGACTATGCGCTACTCGGCAGTCCTTGAGCCACGATGATCAGAGAAGAGTAGTTGTGCTTCCATAGCCACCTGTACCTACCGGAACGCCGCTGCTATGCATGACTTGACATCCGTCATGGTCATCCCACGATACACCAAAAGCTTCGCAACACCATCCACCATCTTCCCACCTATTGCCTCAATCCTAGCAGGAAATTTCCCTTCCCACCACTGCCGCTGTCGCCGCTCCCTCCGCCAGGCAGATAGGTGACATTCGGGTTGTTGGCCAACATCTGCGCCACATCCCTCTGCGTCTCAATCCGTCTGATCTGAATCAAGCCATCGCCCGACTTCGCCACAGCCTTGCTAATCACATCCGCCGCCTCGGACTCGCCCTCCGCTCGGATGACGTTCGCCTGTCGCTCCTGCTCCGCCTTCTCGACAATGAATCTCGCCCGCTCGGCCTCTTGTTGCGCAATCTGCTTCTCTTCTACGGCCTTGGTGAACTCGCGGCCAAAAGTCATGTGCGTAATGCTGACGTCTTCGAGCGCAATGTTGAACTCGGATGCGCGCTTCAGCAGGTCGGCGCGGATGCGGTTCGACACTGCTTCACGCTGCGTGATGAGTTCCGCGGCGTCGAATTGCGCGACGATGGCTTTGAGCACTTCGTTTCCGATGGAGGGAAGGACACGCTCGTCGTAGTCTTGGCCGAGATTCTTCGCTTATGCGTCAGTTTCATTGCCACGATCTCAACGCGGTGTAGTGTGGGATCTCACCTGGTAAATCTTGGGCAACATGCCGACCTCAGGTCGATGCAGCACTCTCAGCGTCAAGCTGACCATCTGCAAGTCCTTGCTGCCCGTCGTGGTGCTGATGTTGCGCGGCTTCGTCCGCACATCAAAGGTGATTGCCTTTTGCAGCCAGGGGACGAGGAAGTGCGTGCCTTCGTTCACCACCTGGTCAGAGACACCTCGCAGACGGTCGAAGATGACTGCGCGAGTGCCGCCCTTGACGTCGTAGATGGAGGCCGAGGCGAGGGAGAAGGCGACGGCGCCGGGGATGGCGTAGCGGTAGATCTGGCCGAGGACGTTGGGCATGGCCATCTTGACTGGGTGTCCGCGCGGGAGGTGATGTGATGGTGATGAGGAGTGGTGTTTGCGTCCTGGATGATGAAGCTCTGCGTGTGGACAATTTGGGTGCAGCTGGTCTCGCGGAGAATTGCCGAAGTTCTGCCGGCGTGGGAAGCTCGCGGCTTCTTCAAACGTCAACGACCGCTTCGTCCTCTTTTCTCACCACTCCTCCACAGCCATTGAGGCAGCGAAACGATCACACTTCCCTGCCATCTACGAAATCCGACCGCGCGATCACAATGAGGCCCACCCAATTTCTCCGGAGCGGAGGCGGCGAGTGGAAGCCCGGCCAGTGAGTCTTCCGCCCTGCTTTGCCCCATCCCCGTCTACACAACCTACATCGCCCTGGCCGTCCACACTCGCGCCCGCGCGCTGCTCTGCTGACACTTCCCGCAACAGGTACATGAGCGGCACCTGGGGCGCCATCGGCTCTCCGCCACAAAAGGGCATCGTGCACTACGGCCTCTCCAACAACCGACTGAAGCCCTTGGCCGGCGCCACGCAGGCCGCCATCTTCAACACCTTCCGACGAACGCGAAACCAGATCCTCTTCTGGTCTGTGCCGATGCTGATCGGGTATGAGTTGATGCAGTGGGCGACGGAGAGGTGAGTGCCGCGCCCAAGTCTGGCGAAATACTCTGGCGATTAGGGAGCCTACCGGGCAGAGCCATATGAAGATACGCGGGATACAGCGGCTAACAAGCGGTGCAGGAATGAGTACCTGAACTCGAAGGAGGGCCGAGAGTTATATGGCGGTGCGGTGTAAGCTGGCTAAGCTGATAGTCGGTGGTGGATTGGCGGGCGAGAACAGCAGCAGCATTGTCAGTGTATATAAACAGCGTTTCAGATGACAAGGTGCTCTCTGAACCACCAGAGTCCTCTTCTTCAAACAACCTACAGTTCAGTCTTCTCCCGTGCTCTCCTGCTCATCGTTGCGGAGTATGTCGTCCAGTCGGCGGGCTCATTTCCGGATCGGGATGGGTATCATGCGCCAGACAACATCTCAGTCATCTACCCTACGTGTCTTCGGATTATTTAAGAGAATTCATCGAGCATCTGTAGAGGCTTCTTTGACCGTCGCTAGAGCACCTCTGTCACTCAAGATCCGGCGATAGACCGAGCCGAGCATCCGAGTCACATCAGCCTCACGCCTTCTTTCTCCCTCTCGCATCAAACACCTAGAGGACTACTTCATGGTCTCAGGCTTATCAAAACGTATCACCAACTCGCTTGACTCCGCGTAAACTGTCTCTCGGGAGGTACTTTTCGTAAAACACGGCCTTTCAATTCAGACCATTGACGACACTCCCGGCTCGACGTATCGCCATAGTAGACCAGACGACAGTGCACATTACGCAGCCCAGTACTTTGCGGCGAAAATGGGAAAACACAAGAACATCCTCCTCATGATCGCCGACGACATGGGAAAGAACATGACCTGTTACGGCGCACGCAACCCCCATACACCCCACCTCGACAGACTCGCCGCATCAGGCACACGCTTCGACGCCGCCTTCACCAGCACCGCCTCCTGCAGCTGCTCCCGCTCCGTCATCTACACGGGCCTCCACACGCACGAGAACGGGCAATGGGGGCTCGCATACGGCAAACAGCACTTCCAATGCTTCGACCACATCGAGAGCGCGCCGAAATTGTTCAACGATGCTGGCTACTTGACCGGCATTATTGGCAAGGTGCACGTCGGCCCGGACCACTTGTTCCCTTGGACGGTGCGCCAGGAGAACAACCGGAATGGCGAGGAGGCTACGAGTCGCGATACAGCGCTCGTGGCTGATCGGGCGAGCGCTTTCTTCGAGCGGGCGAGGGCGGAGGACGTGCCGTTCTTTTTGACTATCGGTTACATCGATCCGCACCGGCATGCATGGGAGCGCGGCGGGTTCGGGAACCGCGAGGGCTACGATCCGCGGATCAAGGACGTCAAGTATGATCCCAACGACGTCGAACTCCCGCCGTGGACCACCGACGTTCCCGAAGCGAGACGGGAGTTCGCCGAGTTCTATCGTAGCATCAATCGTCTGGATCAAGGCGTGGGCCTCATGCTAGACGCATTAAAGCGCAACGGCTTCGAAGACGACACGCTCGTCATCTTCCTCAGCGACAACGGCCCACCCTTCGTCAACTCCAAAACCACCCTCTACGACGCTGGCGTCTGTCTCCCCCTGCTCATCCGCGCCCCAGGCCAAGAAGCAGGCATCGCGAATCCCAATCTCATCTCCTACATCGACCTGCTCCCAACCATGCTCGACTGGGCCGGCACCTCCACCCTTCCTCTCTCCTCTCCACGCAAAGGCCGCTCCATGCTCCCCATCCTCACAGCGGGTACCACGCACCCCGCCTGGCCGCACGTCTTCGGCTCCCACACCCTGCACGAAATCACAAACTACTGGCCCACGCGCTTCCTGCGCACGCACAAATTCAAATACCACCGCAACCTGCGCCCGGAATCGCCCTTCAGCTTCGCCTCCGATTTGTACGTCTCTTACACGTGGGAGGGCATACGGAACAGCGCCGGCGGCGACGGCGACAAGATCCTACTAGGAAAGCGGAAGTTGCGCGATTATTTGTACAGGCCGGCGGAGGAGCTGTACGATTTGGAGCGGGACCCGGACGAGGTGCGCAATTTGGCTGGCCAGGCGGCGTACGCGGATGTATTGATTGAGATGAGGAAGCGGTTGGAGGTGTGGCAGCTGGAGACGCGGGATCCATTCCTGTTACGCGATGGTGTCAGTTTGTTGGCGGTTAAGCGGTATGTTGAGCATGGGGAGAAGATTGATCTGCCGGATCGGTTTGATATGCCTGCCGACCGGCCGGGGAATAAAGGCGTGCGAGCGGTGCAGTGGACGGATGATGGACTTGGTGTCTCGAGTGGGTTCTGGTCGAGTGCTTGAGGATCGGTGACTGGATGTTATACACAGAGTTGATACATATCTTGTCTACTCCTCTTCATCTTCATCCCACAATTCATCATCCTCAGGTTCGGCGTCCGCACCTCCGATCAGCCTGTTCCAAAGGCCCTTCTTCTGCACCATAGCAAGCACAAGCACAATCGGCAGCTGCCACACGCTTGCCCAAAACAGCGCCCGCGCAGACCCGCGCTCTCCTTGGTGCCGCCAGAACCTGACCGCTTCTCTCAACATCCACGCATTGACAACGCCGCTAGTCGCCACAAACGCAGGATCCGTGACTTGATAGTAGCTCAAGCCCGCACAAATCGGGAACATGGCTAGACTGTATCGCAAAGAGACCCGAGTGGCCATGGCCGTGTTGGACGAGCTCAGCATTTTGTACCCCGCGCCGGCATATTCATTGCGCACGCCGTGAGAGAGGGCGAAGAAGTGCGGGAATTGCCAGGCGAAGAGGAGAGCAGCAATCAGCCAGCCGCCGATTGCTTGTTCTGTGAAGAGAAGTTCTTTCGATTCGGAGAAGATGGAGGACCAGGTTGCGTTGGATGCGTTCGTGAGGCTGTATTGGCTGGCAGCGGCGCACCAGCCCATCAGAGGAGGCACAGCGCCTACGACCGCACCGACCCATGTGTTTACGGGGTGGATGCGTTTCAATGGCGTGTATGCAAAGGCGTACAAGGCAAGATTGCCGGCTCCGAGCATGGCTGTGGTGGGGTTCACGCCGTACCAGAGCATGCCCGTGCCGACAAGACCGGTTGCAAGGGCGAATAATAGAGCCGCACGCTTACTGACGAGGCCACGGACGAGAGGTCGATTTCGAGTGCGGCTCATCTTAGCATCGTGCTGCGGTTCGAACAGCATGTTGAGGGTGTTGGCAGAGGCGATGGTGAGAAAGGTTCCGGACGTCAGATAGAGGAGGGTGAGAGTGCTGAGAGACGGGGCGGCGGTGGCTGTGGTGCTCAGAAGAGCGGGGACCGGGTAGATTGAGTACGACGCGGTCGTTGTAAGAACGATGAGAAAGGCCAGCCGGGGTTTGGAAAGAGAGAGGTAGACGGACAGAGCGCGTCGAAAGGATCTGGCCGGCGCTGCTGCTGCGTCTCTGGAGAGAATGGAGGATGCATCGGGAGGAAGAGGTGTGTCTCCAGTAGCGAGAGCATTGCTCGCAGCCTTTAAACGCTTTCTCCGACGATGCGGAGGCTCTGTGCTCGCGGTCGCCTGTTGGTCCGCCACAGCAGAGAGCGGAACTGTCTGAGCCTCGACTTTTGCTCCTTCTGACCTCAACGCAGTCTCCTGTGACTCCTCAGACCCGGACGCATTTCGCTTCGATCCATCTCTAAAAGCATTGGCCCAGAAGAATGTCTTGTTGGCGCTGTCATCTCTTGCTATCGTTCCCTGATACCTCTGAGCGTTGCGGGTGAGAGGCCGAGTGGCGGCTTGGCCAGAGTTGGCGAGTCTCCTCGCGCATCGGAAACATATGGACGAGGTCTGTAAGGAGCGGAGCAGCGCCAATGAAGGCGCGCGAGAAAGCATTAAAAAATGGAAGGACGATGTGAGGCTCAAAAGCCCAATGCGGACGAGATGAGGTCGAGATTCAAATTGTTCCCTCTTCGATGCCAAAAGTCGTGGTTGTGGCCTCGAGATCAGCTTGAGGTTGTGAGGGATAGCCCTGCCAAGGCGTAAATCTATCTTACTGATACAGACACAAGCAGATCTATGGAACGTCGGGCAGATCATCCTCGCGTCTATCTTTCACCAGCGAGTCTCCTTTCCTGCACCTCGGTCAGAGCGCGGCTGCCACTCACAAACGCGACCGTGCCGACCACTGCCGCAACAGGCAGCGTCTGGAACAAGTTCCAGGTGGTATAGTACAAGAAGAAGACGCCCTCCATCGCCAATATGCTCCCAAAGAACAAGCCATGTGCTAATGGGTTGGCTCCAAACGCCTTACCAACGTGATCGATATTTCCACCAAGATACAGCCACGCTCCGAGCAGCACAGGAAGGGCTGCGAGCACGGCAAGCGTGAAGAAGAGGCTGAGGACTTTCGGAGGCGAGCGCGGATCCGCACGGAAGATGTGGTGGATTTCGGGCTTGCTCGTGTATCGCTCAGGGGGCGAGGGGATTGAGGGAGGGGTGGCGGAGTCGCTACCAATGGTGAGGTCGAAGGTGTGGTGGTTGAGTGGAGTGGACGATCCAAATGATGCAAGGACAATCGAGGCCTTGATGGGCTGAGAACTTGTCAAGAACTGGTGAGGCAGGTCCTTTTGTGACTGCATTGTACCCTGTTAGCAACGTTCCTTCTGTCTCTTTCCTCGTGCAACACCACGTACAAGATCGAGCTTTGCCTTGCCGTTATCTTTGACGCTGAATGCAAACGATTCTTCTAGTCCAGTGGCTTGCTCGTGGAGAGTGAGAAAGGCCTGATGTGGTCGCTTCCCGCTCTTGCCCTCCGTTGTCGTGAGGACGATTTTAAGGGATTCGGCACCATTGAGCGCGAATGGCTGGGAGGTAAGAGTAGAGGAAGAGAGTCTGGAGAGGGCACAATCAGCAGTGTTCATGAATCACATGTCTTCCCGGGAGTGTATGTACTTCTCCTTCGCCCCTCCACCAACCCCCGATCCCTTACCCTGGATTGTCAACGTAGCATCTTCGAAGCTCCACGACGTTGCGGCGAGGATGGGAGCAGCGAGCGCAAGGAGGGGCAGGACGAGTCGAGATGGAAGCCTCATGGCGGGCAGATCAAGATCAATCAATGGGTGGGTCGTTGGCGGGTGTTCATGTGTGGTGCAATGGGAAAGGTGTACTGTTCTGTGCGAGCAGTGTGAACGTCTGGAAAGTCCGCGTTTAAACTTTCTTAGCGCGAACCCTGTGCGACGCAATATATCGAGGCTCGCGGCGAGAGGTGAACGTCAGTCGAGTATCTGTCTGCAGATTGCATGACTTAATGATGCCCAAAGACGGTTCCAACTAGCATGTGCAGTGATATTGTGTATGTCACGATCGAACAACCGGAGTACACACGACAACATGTGAAGGTTGGCATGAAGCGAATGCCCTTTTCGGGATGCATGCTGTGGATGCTTCCCAAAGCGGATCGTTGGCCCCCAGGCACGTGCAGCGGTCCCGCGTTGTTTGTCTGCCTGCGCTCACACTCTTTCCGCATGATCAGCGTGACTCTTCCCCTCCCTCTCTCCCTCATACAACCATGCCATCTATGTCCATCACCATCAGATCCCGATCTGCCCGTTTGGACCATGTAAAGCGAGAAATACGCGAGGACCCCGCGGTGCACGCAACTTCCTAATTTGAAAGTTCTGGTGGCGGAAGGGGGGACGGGGGCACCCGTGCGTGCGGACCTCGTTCGTTACCTATTGTCACACCCGCCCTTGACGCAGAATTTTCATCATCCCAACGCGTGATGATGGCCGCTCCGAACCCCTCGGTGTCGGTCTTTCACTTCACCTCCCGCATCTCCACGGCCAAGATCAAGAAATACAAGCTGGCCACGGAGAAAGGGATGGTGTCGGGGAGCCTCAACCGCCCAACATCCACGCCGACTTCCAACACCTCAAAATCGGCACAGAATGAAACCACCACTCCCTCCACCATGGAGCCCCCGGCGAAACGGCCCAAGCTGAAGCTCAGCGTCCGTCCACCGGCCAGTGCAAGCCCCGACAATATCACGGTGGCAAGGCCCAAACGGGACTCTTCCTTACGCATCCGCTACTCGGAGAACATGGTCATCGATGCCGCCGATGTGGATGCCATGGATCTGGATGAAGGCCCTAAGCCGTCTCCCGCTGCTTCCTCGGACCTCTCATCTCTGCCGTCTGCGGAAAAGGAGCCCACCCCGGCCAAAGTACCGACTCCCGCTCCAGCCAAGCAAGTGCCTACTCAGACGAAACCAGGTGGCTACGGCCGAGACTTCATGTCGTACTACGTCGACGCCGGGGACGACGAGCCCGAGGAGAAGGAGGAGCTCGCCAAACCATCCCCGCCACCTCCACCTCCATCCAAGAAGCCTGCTCCCCCAAAGCAAGCCCCAGTCCCCCACGTGCCCCAGGCAACAAACGGAACTACCCAGTTCGAGAATCACATGGGCCCTCCAAGAGTACCACGGGTCAGATCGGTCTCTTCCAGGTTGCCGTTGGCCCAGCCCACTGTTCATTTGATCGACTCCTCGAAAAGAACATCATCCAAAGGGCCATTTAGTGTTGCCCAGATGGTGGAGAAGCTAAAGTGGCTCTCTTCCGCCTTGATGGTCTTTGGGGGTGTGCCAGAAGCACCGCAACCTCCGACAGAGGATGTGCAGGTGCATTCACCATCCTCCAGGGATGACAACGGTACCCCACAACAGTCCAGTGGCGAGCATGGCGAGAGCAAGAACATTGACGACTTTCTAGCCATGTTTGACGATGATGAGGAGGATGAAGATGACGACGAGCATGTGGCAGCAAGCGTGAATGGGGATGAAGCAGGCAAGAAGCCGATCGACAAGAACGCAAAGACCCTCAACTATCTGCTCGAGCAACCCGGAGAGCCCGACGAGGCGTTGATGTATGGCATTCAATTCATTCAAAACGCTCTCTTGTCGTGGGCGCAACAGCGCTTGACTACGCAGTACGCCCAACACTACGACCAACAGCGACAAAGGGCCCGTGAAGCCGCGCAGGCGCAGCAGGCACAGAGGCGTGGACCTGGTCGGCCCCGAAGATACGATGACGGGGGGGACGACGGTGTCCTGCACAACTTACCACTCAACATTCAGTTCGACCTCGCAAGGACGCCCGAAGGCGCCGCCATTGCCGCCTTCCAGGAGGTGCGAGATTCGGGCTGTCTGCAAGTCAACGCCACGCTGCCCGCGCCTCTCACCCGCGCTCTGAGCCATCTGTACATGCAAATTGACTCTCTGATCAACCAGGGTGGCCACAACCAGGCACCCTGGCAATGCATGTCGTATGGTGCCCAGATTGCCGCGCACCAGGCTCAAGTGGAGAAGTGGAAGGAGAACCATGCCCGCGCGCAAGAGGAGATGGCGCGCCAACACCATCTCGCCCAGCAGCAGGTCATGCAACAGATGGGCATCCCCCAGCATCATCACCCACGCGAAAAGACCAAAGAGGAAACTCTGCAACAGCGCGCTATCGCTCTGGAACACAAGCGTAGTATGCACCACGCTGCTCTGCAGCCCCACCTGAAGAAGTTCCTCACCAACCCCATGGCAATGAACAGTCCGACAGCAGCTACTTCAGCAAACCATGCAGCAGCTCACAATCATCATACCACGGCCAGCCCTGCTGTACAGACTCCTGCCAGTGCATCACCCTACACGCCTCACAGCCTGCCTACGCACTCTAGTCCCGAAGATGGAAGAGACTCGCACCTCGAGAAGATCAAGAAATACATGCCCAACTACCTGCCGCTCTCCGGGCAGTCGATGAAATTCTCCTTCGCCCCAACAAGCGAGCTCGCACTGAAAGCTTTTGGCGCCCAGGCCTTCCCCTCAGCGCACACTGGTCCCAACTTGCCTAATCGTGGACCCATGAGCGCGAATCCTAACTACGCCACATCCGCTCACGCACATACGCCCAACGGTGTTGCTCGCGCGCCTGTCGTTCCCTCTAATGGCCCAGGAGGCGGGAAGGACGAAGTCAATGGCAACGGGACCGCATCTCAACGATCCCACAACAATTCTTTGGCGTCTGCTTCGCCTGCTTATCCCATGCCTAAGAGCATGGACAAGTCCAATGGCGCCCACTCTCCGGCCGGCGACGATTCGGACAGCGGGATTATTGTGCACTCTGACGCTATGGTTATTGATGGGTAGTCGTGGAAGTTTGCTACGGGGGCCCGTATAATACAAGGCATGCTTGACGGTGCGTGCCCTTGGACGGACGGACGGACGAGGCTAATATTGGAGGCGGTGCTGCTCGTGATTGACATTGGACTCGGGACAGATTTACAGTGTATTGCTAGACCATTCCGGCTCGGTAAGGTAGGTCAGGTAGTTGCTGTACTTTTAGGCCGATATGATGAATTGAATCATTTTGGAACAGACTGTTCAGTGCCATCGTCTATTGCACTTAGATCAAAAACAGATTGCGTGTGTCTGTAGAGTGAAGTGCCGGTTAAACAAACCATCACATGCAATGAATGTGGCTGCCTGAGGCCTACACTCGAAGCTTCACCCCCTCCAAAACCACACCCCCATCTTCACCTCCAAACCAGACGATGAACACACCCAATGTTCCCCGCAACTAGGGCAATCCCCTCGCCCCTCGCAAGGGCCTACATCGCCCAAAGCACAAGACGCGCAAGCACGCACCCCGCCCGCGCACAACCCCCACCACCCCCACCACCCCGACCCTTCCACCGCCCACCTCCCCCTCCCCTCGAAGCCACAACAGAAGCAGAAGAACCCGGCACCCCAACCGCCCAACCCCGCCAAGGCCCCCTCCGCCACATCTGGCCCTTCAGCAAAGGCATAGCCGCCACGCCCTCGCTGCCTCCCCTCCCCGTCCAAGCCGCGAATTGGACGGAGCCCCGCGATCCCGAGCGCGGACGCCGAGCAGCGGAGCAAGTTGTGCGGACGGGAAAGCTGGATGAGAGATATAGAGATCCGGCGAAGAAGGTCAATCGCATTATTATTGCTATGCCGCTTGTCATTTACTTGGGGTGGGTGCTTTGGCAGCGGCGGTTTGAGGGGGTGGAGCAGAAGACGTTTCCGAGGGTGAGGGGGCAGGAGGAGTTGAGGTGATGGTGGGATTATAGAGGGTGATTGGCAATGTGCACAGTGTGGGCATTGGCGTGGTTCGTGGACGAGATGCCGTCTATGTTGGAGGAGGCGTGGGCCAGACGATGATCAAGCGTACTCCGGCCACTTCAACAACTACCACGCACAATGGCCCCCATCGATCCTCAAATCACTGGCCGTCATGAAACTACTCGCGTCGCTGATGAGGAAAACCGCCGCGCCGCGGTACTCATGAGGCATGCTCAACTTCCCCAGCATGTTCTGCGTCGGCCACTCGCGCCGCCGCTCGGGGTACTGCTCGAACAACTTTTCCACCATGGCGGTCACGATATAGCCTGGGGAGATGGTGTTGACGCGAATGCCGTATGGGCCCCATTCGGCCGCGAGGTTGCGGGAGAGCTGCAGTACGCCGGCTTTGCTGGCGTTGTAGGCGCAGCATATAAGACCCTGGGGTGGAAAGATTAGTGGATGGGGGAGGGTGTGAGGGAGAAACAGCGACGGACCTTGTTGGCGACCGTTGCGCTCATGGATCCAATCAAGACGATACTGCCGCCGCGGTTCCACCGTATCATTTCCTTCGCAACCGCTTGGGCCGTCATGAAGACGCCAGTAATGTTAACCTGAGATCAACCTGTCAGCATGCAAGTACATGGAAATACCCATCCAACATCCTGACAAGCGGTCGTACCTCAAACATCGTATTCGCATCCTTGGCCGTATACTCCAACGCACTCGTCTCCTGCTGAATCCCCGCCGCAGCAATCAACCCATCAATCTTGCCCTGCATATCACTAATCCCCTTGACAATCCCATTCAACCCCTCCACATCCCGCACGTCAATCTGGCGATAATGCAACGTAGTCCCCAGCTCCTCGGCCGCGCGCTTCTGCACGCGGTAGAAATCCGCACTCGGCTCCTCCAGCCGGTCGAGGGCGTAGACCGTCGCGCCGGCCTCGAGGAGCGCTTCGGCTTGCACGAGGCCGAGACCCCGCGCGGCGCCGGTCACGAGCACGACTTTGTCGTTGAGGTTGAATTCGGGGAGGCGCTTGGTTGTGCCTATGTAGGCTCCTGAGGCGTCGTTGGTGCGTAGGGCTTCGGATTCTTCGCGCGGGGCGGAGGGGGGACTGCGATTTGGGATGGGTGTATTGCCTTGGGGGGGATCGTGGACGTTGTGGGTGGATTGGAAGCGGGGTTGGAGGATTGGGAGGAGGCGGGTTGTGCGGAGGGTGCGGGCAGCTGAGGAGCGGAGGAGGGAGGCCATTGGGAGAGGTTAGTTGTTCGCAGCTCGAGAGAGATGATGTTGTGGAAGGAAGCAGTCTGCTGAACCCGAGGTACTACTATCTAGGTAGAGGGTCGAATGAATGGCGGGGAACTCCAACACGGTGGAAGGCTCGTAGACTCAATTGCTCTGCAAGACCGTGATAGGATGCGTGACATCAAGCGGGAGAACAAGAAGGAATAAATTCGCTCAGGCTCGCGGGTGAGACGGCGAAAGTCGGGTAATGAGAGCAAGACATCAATGTTTGGAGCTCGTGGGGTGAGGTGGGCAAATTGCTGTGCACCTTTCCCCGCAAAGGCGGGGTGGGCTCTACAGGCAAGACGGAGAGTTCGGGATTAGAGCCGATATCCGATGTGCCATCATTCACCTTGCCATGATATACGGCGTCACGACAAGGGTTCGCACACGGGTTCGTTGCAGGTCCGTGAACAGCGAATAGTCGGTTTGCGAAGGTACGGTGGACCATTCCAGGTGTACTGTGGGACAGGACTCTTCCACGCTTTGCAGCGGATGGTCGACGACACGATTAAGAATCAATTTCAAACGCTGTGCAGACTTGTGTAGGGTATCGCAAAGTAATGCCCTCCAAGATTCAGCGCCGCGACGCTCCTAGTGCTGGTTCTTCCTCTTCATGATGACAATTCACGTAATTTGGTGCCAGGGCAGGGGTCCACCAAATCGGCATCCCGGCAATTCTCCCTGGCTCTGAATGAAAACACTCTGCCTCCCTGCTCGTCTGGCTCTTTTCCCCAACCGCAACACAGATCCACCCTCTGAACTTCCGTTATATAACTGCTCTCCTCCTTCTGATGGCCGCGCAGGTACGGATTTTGACATGGTTGCAGCTTATCGGGCCTCGTCTCGGATCAGAGCGACAATCATGCTGTAGAGGTAGAAGAAGAACAAGAGGAGGTGGAGGCCGAGTTTGATGAAGGATTCCCTCTTGTGCACGTTCAGCTTGCGGAAGATTTCCGTTGCGTCGAGGAGGTGTTGATTTTCGAAGATCCTGCGCACCGAACATTAGCACAGCCGCTCACTTCACGCAACATCCAAAGGCTGCTGCCAGGTGAGGGGGCACGGGCACGACTTACTTCTTCGCGTTATAAATCACCAAGGGCAAGTTCAGAATCAAGGCCACCCAGTATCCGTTGATGAGGAAGAGGGCTGTCAGGAAGGCGTGAACACCAGCTTCGGGGATGATGTACATGTTGAGGCGGTTGCAGAGGTCGATGGGGTTGATGTAGTCGCATTCCAGGTCAGAGTACATGATGGTGAAGAAGACTTGCAGGAAGAGGTTGACGGCATTGAGGAGGACAGCGAGCAGGAATAGCCTGGAGGAGAAGTATTAGTGCCAGTATCCTCGTGCCAGTGCAAAGCTTCTTGTTTGTCCATACCATGCTTCGCCCGACATTATGAATCACTTCTCCGCACCCGAGCAGGTGTGCGCGACCTTGTAGATGCTTTGAGAAGACGTCGATTCGCAGGACCAAGGGTATGTGTGTGCTTGCCGTTCGGATGCTCGTAGTAAGTCTGATTGCCGGAGGTGTTGTGATGAGGGAAGGGAATTCAGATTGTTGGGACAAACAAGTGGTCGTGCCGGCTTCGTCAAAGTTCAGAACGAGAAGGTGATATGGCGAGGCGGGTAGGCAGGGGTTGCAGCTTGGGGAGAGACGATGGGATGACTCTCTTCCACAAGGCGGCGACGGGATGGGCAGAGGCAAGGTGGTCGCAAAGGTTGGGAAACAAGATTGAGGTGTTTGGCGGGTGAGGTCACGGCGAGTCGGAGAAACAATGGGCCCGGCAGTGGGGCTTGGCATAGATTGGCCTGAGGCTGACAGAATCGGCGTCAGCTGAAGGGGAGTCAAGAACCATCTCATCAACATGATTAACCGTGTTGCTACAGAGAGCTATTGACATTCAACGCAACTTGATCTCTCGGGACAGGCGAACGATAAGATGAAGCTGATCTGTACCACAGCATCACACGTGTCACACGAGAGAGTTGACAATCGTCGCCTCGCCGTTGGAGCAATCACGTGGCGGGACATGGTAATGATCGATCAGAGCAGACAATACGCCGGCAACACCTGCAAAGCGGCTGTCGGCCATGCACGGCTGATTGTGAGATGGATGAGACGGCATGGCTAGTCGTCGCCCCACCGTTCACCTTGTGACACGGCTTCTCCTCACTGGCAGGACCTTACGCGAGTCAGGAAAGAAGAACGATAACTTGCACCCTCGCCAAGTCGCCTGCAAGCGGCGGGTATTACATCTCCTCTTACCTCGTCGGTCGTCCGGGAATGAGTGAAGGATTGACTCGACTACACGCCCCCAAGACAGCCTAGACCGTTTCATCTAGTGCACCATTTGAGTTGCCGGGAGAGCTCCAATTCTTTGGCTTGCCCCCCGCTTCCAAGCCAGACCCTGCGGACCTGCCCCTCACATGGAGGAGCAGGCACGCGGTTGCGGCAAACGTCATGTAGGTTAAAGCACCTCGCCCCTCGGGAGGGGGCAGACCTCGCTGCTGTATCTCCCACCATCAAGGTTTCTTTGACCGTCTTACACTTCTACGCAACCATGTCCAACGCTATCCAGAAGCAAGTCGCCGAGGGCGCCGTGCCCAACCACGTTTCCAATGTCTGTCCCGAGGGGACCAAAATGTGGGTGCTGGAGGTGGGATGGCTCGAGGCCGATGAGGGCTTCGTGGTCCGCGGTGGAAATACGTCGGTCAAGAGTTCGGCGGATAAAGCTTTCGTGAACAAACGTCGCCAGTTGCCCATGTACTGCATCCTGATTGAGCATCCCATCGAGGGCTTGATCCTGTGGGAGACGGGATGCGGCAAGGACTACCCGACCGTAAGATCCCCGACGTACGCAAACTTCTTTCTCGGCGTAGACTGACGGAGCTGGCGTGCTAGGTCTGGGGTCCCCAATTGTCCGACATCTTCACCCGAGTCCGGTACGAGCCCGCTCACGAGCTGGACGCCGCCATCGAGGCCACCGGGCACAAAGTGGAGGACATTAAGAAGATCATCATCGGTCACTTGCATCTCGACCATGCCGGCGGCCTGGATCTCTTCCTCGACCGAAAGGATATCGAAATCTGGGTTGGTCGATCTTGCATGCCACGATTGCAACCACATTTGCGCTGACATTAAAATCTACTCGTAGGTCCACGATCTCGAGCTGCGATCCGCCTTCTGGTCCATTGCCACCGGCGCTGATGTGGGCGTGTACCTCAAGCACTACATGAAGCTTGACCTGTAAGTTCGACTCATCTGATACCACGACGCCCAGTTCTTCTAATGCGTTCCCCAGCAACTGGAAGACCTTTGACGAACGCACGTTCGACTTCTGCCAGGGCATCACGCTGCACCACTTGCCCGGCCACACGGACGGCCTGATTGGCATGCAAATCAACCTGCGCGACAGCGGCACCTTCCTCTTCATCAGTGACCACTGTCACGTCATCGAGAACTGGCGCGACGGTATTCCGCAGGGATGGTTGGCTCGTGACCACCCAGCTTGGGTATGACTGCCTGCAATCTCAGACTCGTATCTCCTCTCGCTAACGTCACGCAGTTCCGCTCTACCCAGCGCCTGAAGCAACTCGTCCGAACCACGCGCGGCCGCGTGATCCCCGGACACGACGAGGGAACGTTCCTGGAGATCAAGAATGAGAAGCCGGTGTATTCGTAGAGGCCGGGCGTAGAGCCAATATCGAGTCACGCAAGCCGTCTCGTTAGAACCCTAAGGTGAGTGTATATATTGTTGATGGTCTTGCTCTTCTTGATGCTCGATACACATGAGTTTCCTTGACTGTCTTTTGTGTGCAATCTCGTAAGCAGCAGAGTAAGGCAATGCAACACCGCCAGCACAAAGCGATCACGTCCGGACTTCACAGCGCAAGGGCTGCGGGGAAAGTGCGAATCGACAGCCGTGTTTGCCGTTTTGGGCCGAAAGGCTCACAATCGGAGTCGCACCGGTAAGAAGAGGGTTGGAGACGTGCCATCACTTCTGACGATCTGCATTACTAGTGCTCGCAGGGTACAGAGCGACATCGCCGACATGTGGCAGTACTATCTCGCGTGGCCATCGTCACTTGAATGTAACCTCTCCCATATCAGCCCCACTGACTGCCTGGAGTGATCGACCGAAGGCAGCGTACATTGTAACCAGACTGTGCATCCATCGTCATGTATATCAAAAGAGGGTGGCTGCTATCTTGATATGAGTATCTCGCGACATCAATCACACTGATTAATCGAGGCCTCTCGTATGTGAAGAAGCCCAATATGTATCTCCTTCCACATACCGCCATGGCAGCTCTCCTTGTCCCCTCGCTCGTATTGATCGGGGTGCACGCCAGCATCGAAGACCCGTCTATCAGCCCGACACCTCCCATGGGCTTCAACGACTGGTCGCGATTCGAATGCGCCATCAACCAGACCCTCTTCGTCGAGACAACCGACGCCATGCTCTCCCGAGGCTTCCTCGCAGCAGGATACAACCGCATCAACATGTGAGAAGCGTGCAGCATGATGAGTTTGCTTGAGAATGCCTCGCTAACGATCCCAGTGACGACTGTTGGCCAGCACACGAGCGTCTGCCCAACGGCTCCCTGACCTGGAACGAAACTCTCTTCCCTAACGGACTCCCCTGGCTCGCAAACTACGTCCACTCGAAGGGGTTTCACTTCGGCATCTACGAAGACGCCGGCAATGCGACATGTGGTGGCTACCCGGGCACGCTTGGACACGAACAGCTCGACGCAGAGACGTTTGAGAACTGGGGAATCGACTACCTGAAACTGGACGGGTGTAATGTCTTTCCCTCGACGGAGCAGCGGTATCAAGATATCTATGGTGAATGGCACCAGGTCTTGACCGCCTTGCAGCATCCTTTGATCTTTTCCGAGTCAGCCCCGGCGTACTTTGCTGGGACGAGGAATAACACCGCCTGGTATGAGGTGATGGATTGGGTGCCATTGTACGGCGTGAGTTATCCGCCTTGATCGATATTCAGTAAGGGAGATACTAACAAACAGATCAGGAACTCGCCCGTCACTCCACCGACATCGCAGTCTACGATTACTACGGCAACGACTCGGCCAAATACTGGGACAGCGTGATGACCAACTACGGCTTCGAAGTACTGCTGGCAAGATACCAGCAACCAGGCTACTACAACGATCCAGATTTCATCATCCCCGACTGGCCCTGGTTGACGCTGGACGAGCACAAATCGCACTTCGCCCTGTGGGCCTCCTTCTCCGCGCCGCTCATCATATCAGCTTGGGTGCCCGGGCTTGCGGACGATGTGGTTGAGTTCCTCACGAATACCGACATCATCGCCATCGACCAGGATGCACTGACTCTGCAGGCTACTCTGGTCAGCAGCGACGAAAACTTCGACGTGTTGACCAAGAACCTCGCGAATGGCGATCGACTGTTGACCGTACTGAACAAGGGCGACAACACCAACACTACGAGCGTCACCGCAGCACGCATCGGTCTCGTCGGCGACGGCCCATACACAGCCAAAGACCTGTGGACCGGCGAGTCGAGCGCCTTCACCAGCGAGATGAAAACCACCCTCTCCACGCACGCCACGGGAATCTACCGCATCTCCGGCGTGAACGCGACAATCCCCACAGGCATGATCTTCAACACCGCCAACAAGCGCTGCATGACCGCGCACCAGAACGCGCACGTAACGTTCACGCAATGCGACGCCTCCGATGCGCAAGTCTGGCTCGTGTCGGCGCAGGGAGGCATCTCCCCGCTCTCCGCACCAAGCATGTGTCTCGCGCAATCGAGCGGCGGCGTGGCGTTGGGCTCGTGTAGCGGATCGAGCGCGACGTGGACATATCATGTGACCGGCAATCTAATCAATAATGCATCGGGGCAGTGTTTGCAGGAACGCAACCAGCATGCGAAAGCGGCGACATGTGGTGTTGAGCTTGATCAGCAGGTTTTCGCACTGCCGAGTGGCGTCGATGTAATCAGGGGAAATGTAGTATGAGTAGTAAAAATCTCGATTGGTTCGTAGATTACATTACGAGCAGAATGCACCCTCAGGAAGCGATCCCGATGACTCTATCATGAGCGCCCGTCCCGATATGCTCCTGAGCAAACGACCAACACTGGATGGCCTTCGACGGGCCTCTATCCGTCCAAGATGGCCCAGATGAACCGAAAATGCAACCCGCTAACGCAAAAATGCGACATTAGACCCAAGAAAATGATGCATCCGCCCCAGAAATATACCCCAAGAAGTGAAAGCTCGCAGAGGGAACGTAAACATCCTCGTCGCTCAACTCTGCATCAGCCTCGTCCGCCTCCTCTCAGCCTTGAAACTCTCCGCTCGCAGTCCGCTGCTCAGTCGAGGGGCCACGGTACCCGGCGGCGGCGCCCTCCTAGCCGCCTGCTGCCGCATAGCAGCAAGCGCATGGCGCTCACAATGCACCATCCCGCCAATCTCAAAGTACCCATCGGAAAGCACCATCCTGCACTCAACGCAAGTGAAGCAGCGCCGATGATACTTGCGCACCTCGTGGCCGGCGGGCGGGCCGGACGAGGTCTCGAGGAAGGGGCCCTCGATGCCGCGGTGGCAGGCGTGGCACACGGAGCCGTTCATCTCGTGGTAGTGCTGCTCGCAGTAGGGGTGGTTGTTGAAGACGTAGAAGTCCGCCGTGGTGAAGGGGGAGGCGCACGTGTGGCAGACGAAGCAGGCGCGGTGCCAGCGGCCGGTGAGGCGGCCGTCGGCCGCTTTGACGGATTTGCCTTCGATGCGCTGTCTGCAGCCGCGACAGGAGGCTTTGGCGCCCGTCGTGCCTTTGCGGATGAGGCCGGATTCCACGCCGGATTGTGGGATGGGAGGAGCTTCGGGCGATGTGATTGTAGGTTGTGACGGCTCGGATGTGGTGGACCCGGCGCTCTCAGAAGCCTTGCGACTGGACGATGCCGAGGAGTCGGACGGGAGGAGTTCAGATGCAACGGACTCGCCGAAGTTGAAGTCTTGGAAGTTGGCGTCGGGGGGTGCCTGTTGAGCTTCTGCACATTGGGCCTCAGGCACGGCTACCTGAGTAGAAGCAGTCGAATGGGGCCGCTTCGGATCGCACACGGAGCTCGAGAGTCTCTCCAACTTGGGCGAATCTGGTGCTAACGACACCTCCGCAGGTGATATTGAAAGTGGGTTTGGCGAAGCGGCTTCCTCCTGCAAATCCACTGAAAACGACTCCTGCACAAGTGGTGGTGAGAGTGGAGCAGGAGAATGGATCTCCCCAGCCGTATCAGGTATCAACGACTCCCGCACAGGTTCTGCCGGAGTTGGACTGAGAGATGCAGCAACGTCGAGTGGATCCGGTGTCAACGAGAGGGGCGCAGTCGGCGTTGAAACCGGGCTCGGAGAAGGGGCATCTCCGGGCTGCCCAAAGATGCCATCACTCAGAGCTGGATCCATAGGAGACTCCATTCCCCAGGTATCCACAGCCGGAGGGCTAGGCAGCGGTGGCGAGGGCAACGCATCGTCATCCAGCTGCTCATCGCGTGCCACAGCCTCCGGCTCCAGTGGCGAGACCGGGCAGAGCGTCGTTCGAAGCGGCGCCACCTCTTCAACATGAGGAGTCTCGTCATGTACCTCTTCCACTTCAAAGCTCAGCTGTTTCGGACCCGTAACGTTAAGGGCTGGCACGCGGAGAGCGTCGTCCTCCTCGTCCTGCTCTTTCGCAACGACCATTGAGAGCGGCGAGAAGAGATCCAAACTGCTTGCCGCGCTAATGACCGGACTTTGCTCCGCAGTGGTGTTACTACGTCCAAACGAGAGATCTCCAAGTGATGTTTCAGAGCAGTCCGTTGAGGCCCCTGATGCGTAGGACTTGTGCAAACTCTCCAGTGATCGGTGGGCGTCCACAAGTGGAGGAACAGGAGGTGCATCATGCTTGCGGGGGTCCAGTCGTGAGTCGTCAAGGTTCTCGTTGATACGTGGAGGAGATGGCGGCGGGCCGGCGCTCGTGAGCTCGGCGTTGAACCGCAGGGCAGGCTCGCTCGCCATCTTCGACAAGGTAGGCGAAGTCAGCAGATCAAAGTCCGTCGTTGAAGACAATGGAACAGTCTGGCTGCGATCTGATTCCTGTAGCGCCCACGGTCGTGGCGAGAGCGGCTCACGCATTGTGCGGGTTTGGAGGCTCAGCGGATTCAGGAGTGCATCTGGAATTCCCTCTGCAGGCCGCGCTGGACGTGACGGAGGAGGCTTCTTCTGGCTGGGCTCGTAAGCCATTGCCAGCTGAGCAGCGACGGTGGCGGGTGGCATGGGCTCTTCCGGCCGTGCAGGCTTCCGCGATGCGACACGTTTCAGACTGAGCGCACGCTTGAATGCCTTGAAGCCACTCTCTGCTGCCGGAGGCTTTGGGGCGGCCGCAGGTGGAGGCGGTGAATCAACAGCGGGGGATTTGGGCATCGAGGACATTGAGGACATCGAGGGCGATGGAGACTCTCCCAAAAGCGAAGCAAAGGTGATGTTCGCCGGGGTCAGGGGATCGTCAGGCCGCGGAGGTCTCTGTGGTGGAACACGGTTCTGAGCAGGAGGTGGTGCTGGGAATGCCTCAAAGCCGCTTTCTGAGGTCGGAGACATTGGCATGACAGCGGATGCAAGTGGGGAGATGATAGCAGGCGCTGGAGGCTCCTCGGAAGCCGGGGATTCTGCCAGAGGTGAGAGTGGATCGATCCGGGGACTCGGTCGTTTCTCCAGTACGGGCGTCGAGGGTTGCGATCGATCCTCGTTACTCGGCCTTCTCGAGTCTAAGCCCGTCTTCGAGAGCTCCAGCTTGCTGAATGGAGCATCCTCTGGCTGACTGCCAACGGGACTTCTTGACTCGGCGGCGGACACATCTCGTCTGGCGGCGCTTCTCGCTGATGACTGGCTTGCTGTAGAAGCCTTCCGTTTGGCAACAGCAGGAGTAGGAAAGGGAGGGAAAGCGCAGTCGAGATTCGCAGACAGCTCAGGACTAGGCGGTCGTGGGTCCCACAGCCGCGGCGCGGGAGTGGTCATGGCGCGCTTGGGTGGGACATTCTTGCTGCTACTGCTGCTCCCCGAACGCACGCTCGAGGAGGGCGACAAGGGCGTGGGTGGCATTCGGCCGAGGAAAGGCTGATTCGCTAATTCGGAGTTGATTCGCGGGAGCGCAGGCCTCGACGTATTGAGAGAAGGTAGTTGGCTTGACCCTTCGGTCGGCGCCCGTGGTCTTATTTCGGAGGGTTCGGAAGTGAATTGTAGCGGCGAAGGTTGCGCCGGTTTGTTGTCATCTGGGCTGAACTGCCGCGGCGCAGCCTTGGGCTCGGGCTCAGGAGCATCGAATTGTAGCGGCGAGGGTTGAAGCGGCTTGTTCTCGCTCGCATTGATTTGGCGCAGGGTGAAAGGGTTGGACCAGCTGGGAGGAGCGGCTTTGGGGGATGTCGGCGCAGCGGAGCAGGCGTGTTCGCTCATGGCCGCGATCTCGATCTCGTCTCCGCAGTTGGAGCATTTGATGGTTGGAAGGAAGCTGGCGGGGCGCATGCCACTGGCGGCGAGGGTAGCAGCGAGCGACATGTTGGTCGGGATAGTGGATTATGTTTATAGATTATGCAATGTGGTTCCGAGCTCGGGTCGTTCTCGTATGTCCAGCATCTCTTTGTGTAAACCGCACGCGTTTCTTCGGGCCCGAAACAGGTCCCTGTCTCTGCTTCCTGCTTCTCCTCTCCTCAGAGACAACCAGGTCCCTATACTGCGGCCATGCGGGTGGTAGGTCTTCGTATGGACGGCGAATCGCGATGGGTGTAAGGAGTGCAAGGAAGAGAAAGAGTCAAAACGCCACGCAAAGAGAGACAATGTACAGTAGGATGGAGAAGCAACGAAGGGGAAGAGGCGTCGATCAGCGGTCCATCGGCATGAATCTCGATGGGGCGCAACGGGCGGCCATGGAGATTACTCGAGGTATTAGTGAACGGGGCAGATCAGATCGCCAGCAAAAGGAAAAGAAAGTATGAATGAAAGGAGAGAGCGGCGAGCAGCAGATTGGCGAGAGAGGCGGCGGTGGGAAGCGTGTGTGGTTGCGGGTGATTTCCCTCGGGCCCATCACAACGGCATGTGGATGGGCGGACGTTGCGCTTGTGAAATTACCTGAACAATGCGCGCCCCTGGCACATGAAGGCGATCGTCATCAGCCCAGCGGGCGCGCGTCCTGGGACATTACCGGATAGGGAATGAGCAAAAAGAAACAAGAAACACAGCCTCACCGGCATTCCCATCGGCGTGCTGCAGCAGCAGCAGCAGCAGCAGTGGTGGTGGAGAGAGTCGAGACGAGACGCCAACGCGTACCGGCGTGAGGAGGAGGATGTCAGCATCGCCAAGCATACCGCCCGCCGAACGAACAACAACACCGAGCGGCGAATCCCTCCGTGCTGCGCCGCGGCCCTAGAAAGGAATGGCATCAGCCGGCCTGCCTCCAACCCAAGCCGGACGTCGCACCTGCTCGATGGCGGCAGCCACGGCGCAATCAAAAGGGCAGATGGCTCTGCGCCATCCTATTCGGAGAGATTCCAAGGTGCTTGACAAGCGCCAAGCGCTAATGGAAGAAGTCAAACCCCTGAGATCCCTTCCCGCCAATCGCGCTTGAGGGCACGTGAGGGGTCTGAGTAAGGCTGACAGCCACACGCATGTGAAGCGTTGATGCCCACCGTTCGGCCAAGGGAGGTTTTGCGCATTGCAATCAGAAGCCGAAACAGTAGCGTCATCGGCCGCTGTCCTCATCGACGCTACTTCTTATTCATCCCGTCCTGATACCATGAAGCTACCGAAAAATACAAATTCCTCGTTACATGGTGGAGCAGACGATTCGGCATGTCTACCTGATCTTCTCCGCCCAGAGATAACCTAGGCATAGTAGGGAGAAAGCACGCCATACAGAAGCGAGAGCGTACGTACATACAAACATGAGCTCGTCTAGGCCTTCGCTGCTCCCCTCACACGAGTTCCCCCTCTCCCATCACCGCTCCTTCGCATTCAACACCTTAGCAAGTCCCCGCAAAGCATCCATAGCATCCACAGCCTTTCCATTCGCCTTGCGCTCCCTCTCGCGCTCCTCCAGCACCCGCGCGGCATCGTCCAAGACCCGCTCCGCCAAACGCTCCGCAGTGTCCCTTACAGCCGCCAGCGCGTGCACGCCGTGAGCGAACTGATCGACGGTGAATTCCAAGTTTGCCGAGAGACTTCCAAGGCGCTGTTCGATTGCCGCCGGCTCCGTCGAGGATCCGGTGGAGGCTGTCTGCAGCTGCTCGAGGATTGCTCGCTGCGGACTGTCGAGAAGGTCGGGCCGCAAGGGTGAGAGGTGGCCGGGTATCTCTGCATCTTCCTTGGCGGGTGACGCTAGACGTGCCGTCGACGCAGCCAGGACGTCCCATTCTGCTCGCTCTTTCTTCAATCTAGTACATTCATCAGTCTCGTGACATCGTGGCAAATATAAAAGATAATCAATCCTTACCTCTCCAGCTCCCTTTCGAGCTCCTCAGCCTTGATGGTATTTGCAACATTTCGAGGATTCGCCTTCATCCGCAACGGGGTTTGAGGTGGTACACTTTCGTCCCTCGAAAACCAGTCGCTAAGCACGCCTTTGGTGATCAAGTCTTGCGAAAGCTCTTCCTGAACCACACGAGCTGCACACGCGTTAGCTTCGTTCGATTTCCGCCCCGCTGCGCAGACAACCTACCTGCTTGCATGGCTTGAAACTGGAGATTCGACGAGGCACTGGCGTCTTTCGGGGCCTCTGGTTTCGGCGGCAATGCTCTCAGTCCGCACCAGCCGAGGAGGCAGCGCATTCGTCGAGGCTCCGTAAGGTTTGCTGAAATGTGCTTGAAGAACTCCGCAGTGGGCACTTCGGAATGTGGCAGGGCTGTATTTGGGACGGCATTGTCAGCGTGAATTCTGTCAACACTTTCCATCGCTGGGTGCATCGCGGGGAGATTCTTCATGTCATCCTCATCCTGCAGCATCGATGCGAAGACGTCCGGCACCAGTGCGCTTGGTCGTCGTGTTTGAGCGCTTCTGGACGTCGGCCACGTCTTTGCGTACAAAGACGAAGAACTTGGATTCCCTGTCGGAGTCTTGGGGTGCGATGCACGCGCAGTCCACTCACCATTCCCGCGTCCCTCATCGATCAAGCTGCTTGCTCTTCGCCCTCGCATCCCCGAGCTACTTCGTCGCTGTCCATTCTCCGCGCTTCCCTTGCGCATTTCTCTGTTGCGCTTGATGACCGGCGTATCGGCAAAAGGCAGTTGAATGCGCGTGATTTTCTCTTCCTCCACTCCATCCTCGCCGCGCCTTCGCTTCTTCTCTATCGTCAGCGGTTTCGCTCGGAAAGGGCTTGGAGAGCGTTCGTGGTTCGCATGTGATTGAGCGTGCGCCGGCTTGTGTGGTGAGCCTCGTTGTTCCTCCACGTTGTCGCCGGATAGTCGTTTACTGCGTCGAGGAGGCTTGGCAGCCGCCTCGCGCTCAGGTGTGGTTGGTAATTTGCGCCGTACCTTCCTGCCAGTCGTTTTGGGTGCTGGCTCTTCCGTCGTCGCGGGGACTGCTTCCAACTGTGAAGGTAATGAGGGCGCCTTTGTGGGTGATGCTCTTTCCGCGGTAGAATCTCGAATACTCGGTGCTTTCGACGCTTTCGCTTTTCGACTCTTGCTGAATGAGAAGCCATCTCGGTCTTCTTCGTATACTATAGAACGACGCATCAGCCAACGTACTCAAATGCGCTGCACACACAATGTCTGAGAGGTGAACGAGGCATGCGCACTGAGCCCAGACGCGCCCCCCTCCCACCGTACTAGACATATGCTCTTACCTTTTCGCTTCCGCTTGCTCACAGCACCCGCATCCCCATCCTGCTCCTTGGTCGCAACAGTAGCCGTCTGCGCGCCATCCACCCTGCTCTTCTTCGCCGGCGGCTCACTCTCCTCCACGCCTTCCATGCTAAACCGCGCACCCCTGCGCTTCGAAGAACCCGCTCCGTTCATCACGATAGGTTCCAAAGGCGAGCGCGCGAGGGTCAAGGACATTGCGTCCGGTCATGCAACCGGGGGATAATGCCCTACCAAGAAGTGGTGAAGTCGGGGGAAATCGCGTTGCAGGCTTCGCGCGTCCTGCCGTCGATGGGGAAGTTGGGTTGCGCAAAAAGGCATTCACTGCCGCAGAGGGTGGTGGATACGCGCAATGAGCGGAAAGGCGCGTCGCAATGGGTGGTGTCACGTTGTAAGGATGCTGTCGTGGGCGTGCGTGCGGGTGGAGATGAAGTTGCGCCGCGGCGGAGGTGCATTGTTTACATCGAGAGACGTCGGAGCGGGAGCAGCCGCGAACCCTATTTCTCGCACCACTTGCACGCCTGAATATCGCAGTAGCGACGAAGGCCGCTGTGCATTGCACTGATTGCGAATGGATGAGGGAATACTATTCACTTGATTCTCCAGTGGATATGAGAGCTTACAGGCGATTTGTGGAAACGCTCTTCGAGAAGAGACATGCGGAGCACGGTATGGAGTGGGTGAAGGTCTGTAAGGGTTTCAATGGCTACGAACTTCATCGACCGTCCATCTCCTCTCCGAGAATCTCAGCACGCTCAGAACTGCAGCACAACAAAGCGTCAACCTGCTTAAAGCTCGGCAGCCAACTCCTGGATCTTGGCCTTGATGTTGGCCTGCTTCTCCGCCTTGGTGAGCTTCTTGTTCCTGTACTTCTTGCTCTCCTCCTTCCACTCCTCCTTGGTCTTCTTCTCGGCACCCTCCTCCTCCTCGTCCTTCTTCCACGGGTCCTCACGGATCTGCTTGTGTGCCTCGGCGTACAGCTCTTCCAGACCATCGGCCTCGACATCGTCATCGATGTAGCCCTGGAACTGGCTCTTGTAGCGCTCCTCATCGTCGTCTGCCAGCGTCTCCATGTACTCGGCAACGTGGCCGCCGAAGATGTACTTGCGCAGAGTCTCGGCGTCGAGCTCCTTGCTCTCGGGGTCGTAGCCGGGGAAACGCTTCTCGGAGTGGGGGACGTAGATGCCGCCGTCCGAGGCACCCTTCATCGCGCCGAACACACGGGCGCCGGTGCTGGTCCTAGTAAGACCAACATCGAGGAAGGCCTTGAACGGACGGCGGGTCTCGCCATCAACTTCGGCGGGCTCGGTGATGCTGAATTCTCCATCCGGCTCCTCAACACCCTCAAAGGCCTCGTCGAGCTTGAGCTTGGACAGAGCACGACGGGCGATCAAGAGACCGGTGGCGTAGGCGGCAGCCCAGTTGGTGAGGCCGTGGTTGATGCCATAGCGCTTGAGTTCGTGGGCGTAGGCGGCGCAGAAGACCTTGTCGCCAGTGATCTCGGCAGTGACGATTTGGCAGATGATGTCCCGGTTGGTGAAGCGGACAACGAGGCGGTACTTGGGAGCGTTGTACTTGTTCTTGGCTTGGGTGATGAGGCGTTTGCGGGCGTAGTAGTCGGTCTTGCCGGATCGGCGACGCTTGTACTTCACCTGGAAGCGGCTGTGGAATGGATGAGCGAGGGGCCATTGCGCACAGAGATCACGATATACTCACCTGAAGTAGGCACTGTTCTTGACCAACTTGGTCTATTCGACAGAGCACGAGTCAGCAATTTGCGCTTCAGACCCAATTCCGAAGCATCTTGCAACGACTCATCGCTTCACGTCGAGTCGGCGCTCGCCATGAAGGCTCTGAGCAGGCCGGAGTTCACTTACGAAAGGCATCTTCACGGTGTTGGCGAGGGTGGTCAAAGAGTTGTTGCTGGAATGGAGAGGAGGGCAGTCTTCAACTTCGCGCGGGCTTATGTCAAAAGTGCGCTCAAGCCTCGAAGTCTTGGCACCAAATGCCGCAACAGTGCGGTGGTGGACAATTTGGCCTCGAAAGTCGCGGGAAGAGCCGTTGCTACCGTGATTGACATATTATGTGTCCATCTTGTGACAGAATTCGATGCCGAGAGACACCATCTCATCGTCGATGCCAAGTCCTAGAACGGACGTGCGGCTCAGCGCCCGGTGAAGGAGTTAGCTCCGAAACATCACCCACCCGCGTCACCGATGCGGCTCTGTGCAGTCCAAACGATCAGCGTGTCGCGGCTGGTCGGCACAAGGCAGTGTTTGGGACCAGCTTGGCATGAATAATAAGGTGGGCAGCTTCTAGCGAGTCGGAAGTAGGCAAGCAGCGTTGCCGTTCACAAAGAATCCCCCTTTCTCGTATCTTACTCAATAGTAATTGAAGTCCTCGCTCTTCCTTGTGGGTAGGAAAGAGCGAGCGCAGCAGAACATGGCGATCATCGGCGCTGCACCGCTTCTACCCATCCGCCAGGCCGCCCACTGCATGAACTTCTCTGTGTCGTAGGTGTTACGCAGGCAACACGAATGCATGACGCCTTGCTGGATTCGACACCCCCGATGATACAGTGGTCTGCTGACCTGAGCAGGCCGGAGACGAGGCCGGAGACGAGGCCGGAGAAGAGGGCCAGCGCACGGCTTGCACTGTATACGCGAGACCCGGCAAGCACGGGAATGGACTGCTTCCGCTTACCTGCACCGCCCCGACGGCCCACGACCACGCGGGCGCCCAGTTACATGCCGCAATTATTGCGCATGAGGGCACCTATGCCCCCCGCATGATGCGAAGTAGGGCGCTGCCGGGCCAGTGCGGGCTCGTCCAGTACTGCGCCGCTCGCGGTGTCATGAGATTTAGGTTTGCCCAAGGATCCATTTCCTACGTCCTTTATATGAGGCTTATCGTCATCGCCCGTCACGCATAGAGTGGGGGTTAAACCCGATGGATGGAGCAGAGTCGCCATCCGAATAACCTCCGTGTCCATTGTCGTCGCTTTGCCTTCTCCTCCTACCGACGCTCTGAGAAAATAACATGTGAAAACACAGGTGGGCCAGCAGCGATTATCACGAACCAGCACAGAAGCAATTGGGTCTTCGCCGTTCGCCGAGCCAAAGCCTCGTACGCAGGGCTCCGAAAAGTTTGCCTTCTTTAGCAGCACGCATGCTGATCGCACCCAGTTTTCTGAGCAAAGTCGCCCACTAACAAGCAGGCGCTATTGCCCTCTTCTTCCCGTTAAGGCCCGCGGCTACTCACCACCTCTTTGGACACCTGACGCACTGCCAGACGGCGCCTATTGGGGACACCCGCCCCACCTCACCTACAGGCAACCGGAGCCGGCTCGACATCAAAAGTCGCCACCTGCCGGCCTCGCTACGTTCAATGTTCCCCCGTCACTTCACTTCCACAACTACAGAGGCAGGCCTGAAAGGTCTCGTGACTGCATGAGCGGGACAAAACATATCCCCGTGGCTGCGTCTGCTCGAGCCCTTTCTCCCGTCCGCCCTCCTCTCTCCTCCAACAACAACTCCGCCTCCAAAACGAAGATGCCTTCTCCACGCTCGTCACCCGCCATACGGCCACAGTCACCTCTCTCTCCGCGCTTCGACACTGCGTCACGATTTGAGCCGCTGCGTCCTCCATCGCCACGCAGCATGAGCACCCGACCCGGCAACACTCAGCGGCGAGTCAACTCACACGGGCTGAAACTACCCTCACTTCCTCGCTTCCATCCCTCCAACTACTCCTCCCCCCAAAGCAGCGCGCAAACGACTCCCGATGCGGGTCCGACCTCGCCGCAGATCCCAGCTCCCCCACGCCTCCATCAAAGAGTGGTCAGCGACGCACAGAAACATCTATTGGCATACCAACGAGAGACGGTCTCCGCCGCCGCACGGTCGTCAGCCCCAACACACCTCGACGACCCCGAGAGCCCTCGTCTCATGCCATTGGGCAGCCCTGGTCCCGTCACCCCTCTCGAACTTGAAAGCGAAGGCGACGACTATCTTATGAGTGGAGGGGGGCCCACTCGCGACCAAGCTGTAGAGTCTCAGGAACTCGTAGAGCGGCTCCTGCATCAGCAAGGCCCTCGGCAATGGAATGCACCACCTAGGCATGCGGGCCGATGACGGTTCCAGACTCATTTCACGATTCAACATCATGCACCCGGAATTCTGATGAAAGGATTCGTTGTATAGCGCCCGCGGTTATTACCGTGGTGTCGCACGACGCTTGTCGGGGGGGGTTCATGCGCATGACGACCCGAGCATTGTCCATGAAAAGGGCTGCGTTACGAATCAGTGCCGGACACTTGAAATGGCGTTCGTTTTTTTATTTTTGCATGTGATACCAATATTGGCGGTCGCTCAAATCAGGTTTCCCTGAGTTCGTGCTGGGCTTGCCACCCATGGCAGTTAGATACGAGAATGCATTTCGAGTCGCCGCCTTGCGGGGACTTTGATCCAACCTCTTATCCTCTTCCGTGTCTTTCGTGGTTAATGATGAGCGGGTAGTTGCCCTGAGTCGTCCGCCTTGATCTATCGATAAATTCCGCCAAACTGAGTCCAGCGTCAAGCCAAAAGCAATCAATGAGTCTGTTGACGCCTGAGGCGCCAACAATTTCTCAACTTTCCACCTCACGCTAAGGTACTTCTCCAAATCGCATACCAAACCTCTTACAAACATCCCCTCAACCCAAACCAAATGCAAACGCAAACCTCATCAAAATGAGCCCCGAGCTCACAAACCACCCTCTCATCCGAGCCGACGGCTCAGCAACCCACACGACATCCCTCTTCACCATCCTCGCGGCCGTCAATGGCCCCATCGAAGTCCAACGCCGCGACGAGCTGCCCGAAGAAGCAGCAATCGAAGTCAACATCCGGCCGTGCGCGGGAATCGGCGGGCCAAGAGAAAGATGGCTGGAAAGCGTGCTCGCGGCGCTGCTGAAGAGCGTGTTGCTAGTGCATGCGCATCCGCGCACGCTGATGCAGGTCACGTTGCAAGTGCTGAAAGAGCCGAGTAGTGGGGTGCGAGTGCGGCGCAGGCTGGGCGATGTTGCGGTTCTGCCTGCTTTGGTCAATGCGGCTTTTGCTGCGTGTGTGGATGCGGGGTTGCCGTTGGGGCGGACGGTTGTTGCCGGTTTGGCCGTTGTGCGCGAGGATGGGGACGGTGTTGTCGTGGATCCGGATGAGAAGGCGCTGGCGGGGTGTAGGAGTGTGCATGCGATGGGGTTCGATGCGCAGGGGGAGTTGCTGCTGAATGAATCGGGCGGGCAGTTTGAACTCAGGCAGTGGCAGGACGTCTTTGAGGTGTTGAAGACTACGGCCGCGGTTGCGATTGCGCCTACTGGCGAGGACGAAGCTATGATGAACGGCGATGGAACACCTGCACCATGGTTGAGGCAAGCGTTGGAAGGGAATGCTAGGGAGGCGGGAGCATGGCGTGGGGTGGGATGAGCATGCATGCGACGAGTACAATGCTCATCACTCCACACAACGACTACTACGAAGACGTCCGTCCCAGCCATGCCTGCAAACATGCAACGCCGCTATACAGAGCGACAAGCAGAGCAGTGAGCTTCAACCAGAGCTCTCGCTATACATCAAGTGTGCAGGATTGGTCAGGTTGCGTCACCGCGCTCTCCTTGAGGAACCACCCGGCATCGACACCAGGCTACTCGGCGGAGTGGAGCGAGCCGGCGGACGATAAAGCCATATGCACTCATGGCTAGAGAAGGGAGGAACGACTAGTGCGCCTGCCCAAGAGGCTGGCGGTGAGTACTATACGATCAGTTCAACTGCCCACCTTTCCACTGCTCTCCCTTTCCTGCTTTGCTTCTTCCTTCACCTACGGTCATATGCACGCGTATAGTCCATCGATGGAGTTGCTACTGCTTGCACAAGCAGGTGTGCATCCCCAAGGTTGTTCCACGTGCTACTATTCTCACGCTTGTGAAAGCACATTGGCGAGAAGAAGACGAGTAAGAGTGATGTCCATGTTTCAATTTCAACTTTGCTGACCAGAACACAGCGCTTCGCAGAGGTCTGCGGATGAGTGGAAGTGTCAATCTGCAGATCTACGACGACATTGCGAAAGTGACCCTCACGCTAAGAGGCGGCGCAGCCCAAGCAGCGTACGTGACAACCGCCGCCAACGGCTGCGCAGCTGCACGACCCATGCCAGCAATGAGACAGACACACCTTACCTTCACCGCGTCCTCCACCATGGACATCAAAGCCCCCATCCCCGACACCCACGGGCTCGACAATCGCGCCGCGCGCCATCAAAGCCGAGAAGAAGCCACCAACCCAGCCTTCCCCGAAGACCTTTTCTCCTACGACACCGTCTCCTCCTCTCCCGCCCGCTGCCTCTACACTATCGCCGAACTCGACGAATTCATCCGCGCAGCACCAACCGCCACCTTCCAAGGCTACCTGAGTCTCTTGATCGTCGAAGTGAATCTCGTCGACTGCTTCAACCGCCACACGCTGCTGAGCGGCGCCTGCTGCCATGCACCCGTACACGCCAACGCGCTTACGGCGACGTGCAAGCGGTGCAACGAGCAAGTCAGCCTGCGCCTGAATCCGCTCATCCTTGGACAAGTCGTGGATGAGACGGCGGCTATCGAGGCGGGCGGGTTACTGCTGAGTGATCGGGCTTGGAGGGATTTCTTGGGTCGTGGGCCGGAGGCGTTGCTTGACTTGGACGCGGGTGGGCTTAAGCAGATTGCGGACCGGCTGGTGTTTTGTCGGCTGACGACTGTCTTTGGTTGGACGCCGGACCAGAGCAGGGCCGGCGGGAGGATATGCGTGATGCGGTTCCGCTCTTGACGTGGGTTCTCCCTGTGGATCGCAAATGGCTAGCAAAAATCCAAGTTGATATCAGACTCACACCGATGCTGTGCGACGACAGACTGGAACACATAGCATGCATCCATGCATTCGTTCGTCCACCACACGTACAAAGTAGCTAAGGTATATAAAGCCCCCAAGTCAAATGGTCATCACATCCACAGGCCGTCAAGTAAGGAAGCCCATAATAAGATCCGTACGCGCCCAGAATCCCCCTCCTCCGGTTTGAAACCACTCAAATCACTCCGCAACAGACCCCGTCCGATTAAGAATCGCCTTCTCCTGCGCCTCCTTAAACAACTCCCACGCCTCGGGATCCTCCTCCTGCAAATGCCGCAAATCGCCAACATTCGCGCCGAGCTTCTTGATCGCCTCGTCCCACCCGTTCGTCGTCACCAAATGGCGCAGCTCGCGGCCATCGAGGTCCTCAATCTTCTCCGCCACCTTGCGGAAACGCTCGTCTTCTTCGCGCCGGCGCCAGGGGACATCCTGGAAGTCGATGGACGTAGGTGTCTCCAGCACGTCGCGCCGCAGTTTCTGTCCAAGGCGGTGCAGGTGGCCTTCTTCGCGCGTTTGCTGGCGCGAGATGATGTTTACTTCGCTGTTTTGGCGCGAGGTGTGGTGCAGGTGGGTGTTGTCGAAGCGGTCTTCGTCATCGCCACCCGAGAGGACTTCTTCGTCGTCTTCGGAGCCCGTGGTGCCGACGTCCGTGGCTTGAGTGGTGGCGGACGCCGACGCGGTGGATTGGTCGGTGTAGGAGGAGCGAACGGACGCTGCGGGCTTGGGCGAGGGAGGCGCCAGGCGTGTCTCGGGGTATTCCTCCTCGAAGCGCTCGATGATGTTTTGCAGCGTCTGGTCGAGGAACATGAGTCGGCGGTACTGGACTTCGTCACCGCCCGCCGCGGATTCCTTCATCAGCGCAGGCTGCAGTCTGTCCCGAATCTTACGCGCGCTGGACAGCAAGTTCTTGCTCATCTTCTTCGCCTTGCCCGGCTCTACCAAACCGCCTGAAGAGGTGGGCCGAGTGGGTGTGTTCGCTCCCGTGGTGGTCGGCGACATTGTCGATGTCATCCTCTCTCCGCCGAGGACGTATTGCAGAGCCTTCACGACACCAGTGCCGCCGACAATGTAGTCTTCGTCTGGTGCTGGATCATCGTGATCGTGGTTTTCTGGAACGCCATCGACGTGGCCGACGAGTGACATGAGAACGTCCGGGACGGCGAATTCTTTGACACCCTTTTCGCCACCGTGCTGCGCCGTGAGTGCAGCAGTGGCATTTGCCATCGACGGAGCGGCTCCCGTCACTTCGGAAATGGCAAAGGTCTCCATGTTGCGCAGGGAATAGGCGACGACTTGTTTTGCCAACGCCTTGACGATGTCGCTGTTTTCTGCGCTTGGGACCTGTACATTGATCAGCTCACGCTCTTCCATGTCGATCCTCAATGACAAGGAAACACTCACATCGACATCAATACACATCAACGTCCCCGACACCCTCACAGCAGCCATCAAACTAGCGTAAAGCGCGCACGCCTCTTCTTGGTCCGCTTCGGTGGTGGCATTCGCCAGCGCAGTGAGCTGGGGATTTTCCAAGATATTCAGATGCGCCAACGGGCATTCCGGCAGGATGTTCGCCAACGAAATGGCCTGCGAGGGGCTCATATTGACGTCCGTAAGATGAAGGCGCTTGAATTCGGGTAGTTGGCCGAGGTATCGGCCTAGCAGGGGCATCAAGCTGTCATCGTCACTGCCTAGGTTGGGATTGTGACTGAGATCCATGAACTTGAACGACGGCAGCTTGACCAATTGCGCAAGCAGGGGCTTCAGCGATGCCGTGTCGAGGTTGCAGCCGGCCAGGCACAGACCCCAACAAGGGCGATCCTCGCGGACGGTGGCGACAATCGCCTCGCCGATCAAGCCAAGCTTGCCGCGGAGGTCGTTCGCACCCAAATCGAGCGCTTGACACATTCCGGAGCGCACATACTCCAGAACGTACTCAAGGCCTTCATCGTCCAGGTGGTTGCCAGCGAGCCCAAGCCGTTTGACTTGGACGGCCATCACGCCGTCCACGACTTTGCGAATCTGAGCCGAGCTGAGGCCGCATTCCGACATGATGAGCTCCTCGAGTTTCTGCCCGCCAAGCCGCTCACTCAGGCATTGATATAGCGCTTCTGCGGCGTCTAGCTCCTCGGGCTTACCATTCGGCGCATTGTTCTGAGAACTCTTAATCGGCGTAACTTGCGCGCTCGGCGGGAGAGTCTCCGGGAAGAAGTTCATCGACAAGTCGATGGCTCGCAGTGAGCGACACATGTAGAGGAATAGACTGATATGCTTCCATCCCACGCGCGTCAACCGGGGGTTGTTCTTTAGCGTGATCTTCTCGATGACACCAGAGCGCTCCTGATAAGGCTCGAATGGGATTCCCTCTCGATGGCGGGGAGTCAAGCTCTTGCGCTTCGTGGGTCCTGGTCGCTTTGCCGCAAGGAGTCCAGCGAGAATGCAGCGAACACCTTCGTCGCTCAAGTCGGCGTCCTCGAGTTTGAGGTCTTTGACGGGGACCACCGCGAGCCAGTCGCCTAGCGACACCACGTCTGCGAGTTGCAGTCGTGACCCGGTGAGATCCAAACAGTGCACTACACCTGGCTCGTCAGGCTGCATACATTTCGGGTTCATAAGCTGTTCAGTAATTCGTTTCAAGATGGGGCTTTCCCGCAGTTGGCAGCATCTTCTGTAGATTCGGACGGGATCGGTGGTTGGTCGGTCTTGTTTGGAGTTGGCATGAGGCTGTGGTTGAGTCGGAGTTTTGGGTGCGGTCGCAGTGCCATTTGCAGCACCTTTAGGCGCAGCTCCATTGGCCGGTGCAGCAGCCTTAGAGACGCCGGCGTCTCCGTCCAGAGGCAATTCTACAGGTATCGCGCCGCTCTCTTCCGCCCTTCGCCTTCGCTTCTCTTTGCGCTCTTTGCGTTCAATCTCCGACTGCTTCTTCTTTTCTCTCTTTCGCGCCGCCGAGTCCCTATCGCCATCGTTACCGTCCGCATCAGGCGATCCACTGACATCCTCGGTCGAATCCCGCGGGCCGAGCCCGTTCGAGGCTACCTTGTTCTCCATCACCGCCTCGCATTCTTTCTCTTTCTCCTCTTTGATCGCTTCTGGGTGCTTCAGAGCCTCCCCCTCTGCCCTCTCCTTTGCCTTGAAATCCTTCTTCTTCGACTTCTTGTCGTCCTCGTCGTCCTCGTCCGCATACTTGGGTCCGCCTGCGATCTCGACGTCGACGCAGAACGAGACACGTCGCAGTCGACTGGAATCCATCTCCGGAACATTGCACCTTTCGCGGTTCGGATCGATGTTGAGCACCCGACGCGCACACGGAGCACCTTGGCCGGGCATCTTGGGAATGCCACCGGTTTGGGAATTGGCGGAGAGTGTTCGCTTGAGACTGGAGAAGAAGGAAGAGTCCTTTTGCTTGAGTGGAGGAGAGCCAACAGTCTCCGCTGCGATGGCGGCGGCGGATTCATTGGACAAGCCATTGGGCGTTGGCGGTGTCGACGGTGTCTGCTTAGGTGGTTGCATGGGCGTCGACGCAGGTCGTGCTGGCGGTGCTTGCGAGTCCAGCTTCTTGGAGCTGATGCGGGTCATCCATGATGTCCTCTTGGATGGCTTCTCTTGGGGCACCTTCTCGTTACTCCCGCGACTGAAGAGGCCCGGACGTTTGGGTTCGGATAGTTTCGAAGGGGCTTGTGGTGATGGACTGGAGTAGGCGGGGGTGGTGTCTTTGGTTGGTTCGACGGGGGTGGGGGGAGTCACGTTGGGAAAGGAGGGGACCTTCGAGTCGGAAGTGCTGACTTGGGGTCGTTTCGCGTCGGCATCGTGGTCGGAAGGGAGGGGATTGCCATCGCGCACATCCTTCTTCACGTCGGGGGTGGATTGGGTGTGCGGCTTGCGCGGTCGATGGTCTGGTAGACAAGTTTAGCATTGTGGCAAGGGAAGGAATGGACGTTTCGCCACGTGCGGACCTTTGTTCGGGCGATGCAACCAAGAAACATCCACTCCGTGTACCTCTTCCATGCCTTCGATTGGTCGCACGTGCACGCTGGCCGCGCGATGGCGAGGGTTGCTTTTTGCCGGCTTCGAGTGCTGATGCTGATTGACGTCGATGTTACTCAGACTGCCGCCCTTGCGCCGCCATCGTGCCGCAGATGCGGTGCTGAAGAGAAGAGGTGCAGTGGCGGGGTTGGGGGACTGCGGGTTCGCGGTGGGGCTGTCGGTCGATGAGGAGGAGGAATGGTAGGAGGGAATGGAGGTGTCGATGTCTCGATGGTCTGCGCCGTCGCGGGACTGATAGGGAGGAGAGGGAGAGGACGGCGAGGTAGAAGTGGCGACATCACCACCTCGTCGCCCGCCTTTGGACGCAGGTGCAGCTCGGCCGCCACCTCCGCCCACAACGCCAAGCGTCGCCATCTCGCCTCGGGCTCCAGAATCGGCAATCCACGGCCCCTCTCCAGCGCTCGTGACCGTCAGCTGTGATTGATGGTTTGGATAGTTCAATGGCCCGGAGATGGCCGGTGGGATATATATGAAGACTCCTGCTGCTTCTTTACACTGTGCTACTACCTTGGCTTAGTACCCGCACTCAAACCCGCACGGTCACCGCCGCGGGCTCCTCCACCGGCAACTACCCTGCCGCCAACCCGACGTCAATGGCTGCTGATCCGCAAGACATAAAGGCTTCCTCGGCGAACCGATCGTCAGGAATCAGCACGCTGATTCTGACAGGATGCAGAAAGCGGACACAACAGCGCCGATCGAGGGCTGAGGGTCAGCACAACTCACCATCTCTGTTGCACAGCCGCGACAGCCGTGGGCAGCCATAGGATTCAGCCAGCTCTTCGACGTAGATCTTTGCCAGTTGGGCGGGAATGGGTAAGCGTCGCCCTCCTGAGTGATTCAGCCCTCGTGATCTTCTCTATGGCCGAAGGATCTTACATGGTGACTGAGAATAACGGATCGAGCTATGTGCCTGTATCTGCACTGCGTAACGGTTCCCACGCGATTCGACCGTGAAAATCTACAGTCCATTCCATTCACGTGTTCCTTTCACGTGGCAATAGTACGACGGCTGAACCGATTTAGCGCTGACATACCCCCATCATAATTTACTCTCTCTGCGCCCCCCTCCCTTCTCCAACTCCTCCTTCGCCTGCTCTCGCAAGATCTTGCGTAGAATCTTCCCCGACGGGTTCTTGGGAATCTCCTTGACCAACTTCACACCTCCCGTAAGACGCTTATATGAAGTCACGCGCTCCGCCAGCCAGCTGGCGATATCTTCGGGCGACGCCGACTGGCCTTGTTGGAGGACGACGTAGGCGCGAGGCTTTTCCTCGCCCGATCTATCACGCGTCTTGTTAGTTTGGTCGATGTACCTCCTGCCTCCAGTCATACTCACACTGTCACGCCGATAACGGCAGCGTCTGAGATTGCGGGATGCTCCAGAAGCAGTCCCTCCAATTCGGCAGGAGCAAGCTGGTTGCCCTTGACTTTGATCAATTCCTGTGACAAAGAGCGAGACACCGTCAGCCACATCCCCGTCGCCACACTCCGCAATGCGAGCAACACATACCTTCTTCCGATCAACGATGCTCAAGCATCCGTCCGAATGGTAAATCGCAATGTCGCCGGTCTTCAGCCATCCATCCTCCGTCATCGTGTCCTTCGTTGCGTCGGGCTTCTTCCAATACCCCTTCATCACATTCGGCCCACGAATCAGCAGCTCCCCTCGCTCGCCATCGGCCACCTCCTTCCCGTCGTCATCTACCAACTTCGCCTCGATATTGGGATTCAGCTCTCCAACTTTGCTCGGGTCGGACTCTCGTGTCGGATCCCATCCAGTGGCCGAGCAAGTGATTTCTTTCCCTGATGTCAGCACAACGTGGTCGTTCTTTGGGGATCAATATCAACGTACCGGACATCCCATAGCCAGCCTTGAGCTGGAACCTCCGACCAAACGCCTTCTCAAAATCGTTGATCGATTCGGAGCTCAGCGGCGCGGCGCCTACTCCGGCCCCTTCCACCGTGGAAATGTCATAATCTCTGACCTCCTTCCGCTTCGCCAACGCGACAGCGACCGGAGGCACGAGCGGAAGACCCGTGATGCGGTACTTCTGTATCCACTGCAGCATTTTGATGAAATCGAATTTCCGCATCAAGTACACGGGTATGCCTTTGCGGACGGACGAGACGGAGTGATGCGTTTGTCCGTACGCGTGATACAAGGGCAGAAAAGATAGGACTTTCGCCCGGCCGACCTTTTCCTCGTACTCCGGATCCAGGCGTGCGATGTAATCCGTTTGCACGCAATTCGAGATGTAATTCATGTGCGAAATTTCCACGCCTTTCGGCAGGCCGGTGGTCCCGGACGAGTAGTTCAAAACGGCCGTGGCGTTCATCTCCTTTCGCGAGTTGAATTCTTTCCACGCGAATTTGGAGCCTTCGGAGGCCGGGGCGAGGAGGGTCGACCAGTGCTGCAAGCCTCGCGACGCCTTCGGCTGCTGGCTTTTGAACATCTCTGACCCATCGCCCATGACGAAGATATGGTCGCGGGGGAATTTGAGGCTGGATGCCGCCTCTAATGCCGTGTCGAGGCTACCTTCTGCCGTGATGAGGAATTTCGCGCCGGAGTCCTTCAATTGATATGCCAGTTCACGCGCCACGTAGCTCGGGTTGGCGCCCGTGAAGATGCCGCCGGCCATCACGGTGCCCATGATAATCACCGGGAAGAAGACGGTGTTGCCAGAGTAGAGGAGGATGCGATCGCCGGGTTGCAGGCCCTTCTTCCGGAGCCCTGCTGCCAGCCGCTTGGCCCATTCTCGGTAGCTGCGGTGCGTGAGGTGCACTTCCGGCCATTCGGCGTCGATGATGATTGGTTTGTCCTCCAGATCCGCTGTGGGAGATTCAAAGACATAGGAGGGCAGCGACTGGGTTGGTATGTCGATCGACCACCGAGATTTGTGCGGCATGTTTTCGAGGTTTTGCGCGGCCGAGCCGGAGGTCGATTTTCACACTTCTATATCTACCGAAGCATTGATTGAACCACGCGGTAATGATAGAGCGAAATATGCAAATGGTAGAAGAGTAGGAACTGTACACCGACCTCGGTTTGAATTGGAGGAAGCTAGAAGTGTCGTCCACACAATCAAGCCGAGGCTCGCGAGGATTTCCGTTAACTAAATGTGCAGGTCTTGACACCTTGCCACCTTACCTACTCTAATCAGTCCAACGCGCCGATTCCGGCTACGGTTGCGACGGCACGGACGAAAGATCGGTTTAAACATTCCTGAGCAGTGAAGACTTAGCAAGAGAGGCCAGAGTAGCTGCGTCCTGTGGTGTGGAGTCAGCTGCACAGCAAATGCATAATTCCGTCGGGGTCTCATGCGCCGAGTATATGATTCGTGGACATTCGAGACACTGCAGGGAAGCGGTGCGCCCGCGGCCGGAGAACGCCCAGCGCATTGCATCCGTCGTATTGAACGGATCGTCTAGAATTGTACAGTGCCTAGAATCCGATTCAGATGCTCTCCGGCGAGCTGATCCCATCCGAAGAGCTCGCATGCACAATCCTTGGGACGCGCTTCTGAAGCGTTGCTCGGCCGCCGATAGTAACAAGAGCTACTGTATGGCAACAAGTAAATCAATGGAACACTATGTCGAACTGTGTTAACCAAATGAGAGGAAAGATCATCTCAGGGTCCAAACGGTTTGTTGTCGTGTGGAGAAACGCGGACGCCGCTCGACGAAGCCATACCATCAGCTGCTCCAAGCGTCCGCCGTCGCTAGACCCTGGATCAACATGCCAATCTACCACGAATTCCAGGCCTTGCCTGGAGAAGCGTGCCTCATCTGGGGGCTTTGTGCCACACGCAGTTCGGTGAAGGCCGATCTTGTGTTCCCATGCATGCACGCCGCCGGGTCCTCCTGGACACGCAGAGCATGAGCTGAACACGCACAACCATGGGGGCGTTCATGTCATGCTATTGCGGCGGTGGAAGGAAACGTCACATTCTTCGGAAAATATTCCGAAACTAGGTCGGGGGAAGAATGCGGTACGGATCCTCTGAATGGGAAACGGGCGCGGATCCTGCGAACTTTCTGAAGAAGTCAAAGAATGTGCACACGTGCCACGCCGATGTGAAAGGAAATCATGTTGAGAATTGCAGGGCATGCATGAATGCTGACAGACCGCATCCGCCTTTGATACCCCTGCATCATGCGTGCATAACGGTGTTCGTGAGAATGGAGAAGATCCCGCGGCGTGCCCTTCTGTTCCCCCGCGATTGCGTAGTCCACCCAGCAATCAGATGCCCAGCGCAAAAGAAACTCTGCTGGCCAAGGCAGACTAAGGGGTGCCAACTGGCATGGGCGTGCATGGGCGTGTTCGCGTACAGAAAAATAAGGTAGACGTGCAGTTCTTCATCTTGGATAACTGGGGCCAAGGCTCGCGGGCGGCCGATTGTGGAAGGATACGGGCGATCATCAAGTCAAATGTCTCTGCATGTCCGTTCTCCTGCATCTTGAAACACGCACGCGGCCAGGCAGGCATTGCGACATCAGCCCACAGCGGGCTGCTCGGCGGAGAGGCGACGAGGGCATACGATTGGCTGCACTTGGCTTCGGCCGCCAAGTGAGCGGTGTATAGTCAGACAGGTTGAGCTGGCAACGGCAAGGTTCTAGGTGCGCCTGACAGTCTCGAGCAGCAAAGGTGGCGTTCGGTTTTTTTTTCCCGCGTGCTTGTCACGGGGGAGGACTCGATCACAGATGTGGAGGAACGATGCCGCTCTGGGGTGACTGGTAGGCATCGGTGCACTGCGCCCAGCTGCAAGTTGTCTCGCTTGCATGCTGGCGGGTGGGCATGCATATCTGCACGATTCGGGAGTAGGGCGCCGCCTATTCGAGGCTATCCTCGGACGCTCCTGGCTTCACGCAACCCGCCGTGCGAGGAGGGTTGTGCAGCTGCAGTATATATACAAGTCGGGGTGCAACGCACATACAATCCTCGTCGCCGGGGAACGAGAGCAGGCCGACGCGTCGCAACACGCTCGAGTTTGATGAAGCACTGGGGCTGCAAGGGTTGCATGCGGCTAGCTGCAGTTAAACTTCTGCTCGGGCTTCGCGCTAGCGGGAGCTAGGCGGCGAACGGGTGTCCGGCCTTCGCTTGTGGTCGCTCAGGCGTCAGCGGGCTTGGAGAGTTGGACGGATCTTCTGCTGCCTCACTCTTCACCGCATCGAACAACACCCATCTTCTCCCCCTCCTCCTCCACTCTCCTCCTCTCCTCCTCCCCATCCTCCCTCTCCTCCTCCAGGCTCAATTCGCAGCGCAACGGGTCGTTGTTGCTGCAATTGCTGCCGTCCACTCCTTTACCCCTCCTCCTGTTGATGTCGATGCATTGTTTCGTTGGCCGACGTGGAGAATAGCATCAGATTGGCTGTGCCTCACGCTCTGGAAGCTTTGGTCTCTCCTTCACTTTGTACGCCGCGCTGCTCCATTGTATGTGGAACGCCCACTGATCTCCCACAGATAATATCGCTTCCATCCGACACTCCCTTCATCGGTCGCTCTAATTTCCTCCACATCACTATCGCCGAAACGCTGGCCTTTTCGTTCGCCTACAACCCTCCTCCCTCGGGCACCATCCCTTGTAGTGTACTTCTCCTTCACCGATTCGATCGGAGAAGCACTCCACTACGGCTGCAGTGAAGAATACCCCGTCCACGACCGCCCACCATGGCTCAGGTGATCACTCCAGACCTGTATACCATGCGTGGTGAAAGTATGGACTCGGCCAACTATTCCGCCGTTCCCTCCCCGACCCAGCCATGGACGTGGCAGCACACCTCCGCGATACCGAGCCGGCGGCCGGCCTCGTCTTCCATGCACATCGACATTCCTTCGTCTGCCGCCTCGTCCCACCGCAGAACCGCCTCAACTCTTCCGAGCTTCACGTTCAACGCCGCCGACACTTCAGGTCGACGGGACTCGGACGACAGCCCGCCACGTACTCCTGAAGACACTTTGACAACCTCACCCCCTCGTACCGGGCATCGAAGGGGCGGGAGCGAGTTTGTGGGCGGCGACTCGAGACTGGGATTGTCAAACGTGCTGAGCTCAAGCCCCACGAAAGCCTGTGAGCCGCATGGTTTCACGGCCAACCCGTCAGTAGCAGCTCCTGGCCGGCGAGGACACGCTCATCGTCGATCAGCTGCCATCTCGAATCACGATGTCGCAAAGCTCATGCAGCCGCCCAGTGACGCTCAGCCGCGCTTGAGCAGCAGTCTCCCTACCACTCCGCTGGACGCCTACTCGGTTCCGCCGCAGCCAGAGCGCTCATCGGTACCCGCAGGAGCTCTGTCTGACCCGTTCGGGCCGCCCTTGGACAGCGTGTCAACTCGACCACCATCGCGGCTCCGCGTTGGGTTCTCGGACAATGTCGAGTTTATTCCACGACCCCTCTCCACCATTTCGTCGGGAACCGAAAGCTCGCTATCTACTGTCCGCGGGCACTCGGTCAACAACAGCATCTCCTCTGTTCTCAGCCTCAGCACGCCAAGTCCGCCATCCTCTCGCACAATCATGCAACCTCTGCGAGCAAATCTAGCGGGTAGCCCAAAGGCCCCTGCTAAAGTCTCGTTCGACAGTAACAGACTTGTTGACAAAGAAGGTCAATGGCTGAAGCGTCGGCCTACGAATGTCCTCAACCGACCTGCGTCGGACTCGGGACTCGGTCAGCCCAAGACTACCATCAGCATTGCGCAGACTTCTGTGCCATCACGGAAGCGGGCCTCGAGCCACGGTTTCGGGGTCAATCGCAGACGAAGCGAGCCTACGATCGGCCTCGCGGCGAGCATACCCTCCCGGCTATCAACGCTCTCTCTCCAAGAGCCGGGCTCGCCAGGGTACAGAGCTGTGGAAGCGCAAGAATGCCGCGAAGTTGAGCGGAAGTCTTCGGCAAGGAAGATCAGAGATTGGGCAGCGTCGAAGATATCGAGGAAGACCAAGGAGATGGGAAGGGCGCTGATGTCGAGCCACAGTGCGAGTTCTCTACGCCCTGTAAGCGCGGAGAGTGGCACGAGCAAGTCGACCGACATTTCTCCATCGGAACCTCCTGTCGCAGAGACAGACTTGGACACCGTGTTCAGCCAACAGGACACCGTCGAGATTGCGGAGCCCTTTGCATCCTCGCACATTGAGCCCTCGGCGTATACTTGGGGCCCGAATGGCGCCCGCCGATCGTACGATGATCAATCAGAAGCTGTCCTCGATCTCGATGCTGCTTTGGGCCCCTTCAAGACGCCCTCAATCGCTTCTTACCGCCAACGCAGAGAGCTTCACAGCAGCCGCCTCACAAAAGACTTCAGCGGCCCAGGTGGGCACTACCATCGCCGAGCCGAGAGCGCGCCCAATCTTTCGCCCTTCGAGATGCCTCGAACAGACATCACTTCCCAGGCAGGCATGGCGGATGTCTTTGAGGAGGAAGAAGAAGATCCTAGGACTGGTCTCTCAACCGCAAAATTATCAATGATGCGGTCGGTGGATGGCAAAACCTCCGGCCCCTCCGTGCTGAACTCCGATGCTGCGGCTACTGGCATTCCCGCCCTACACGACGACGGCCTGGGCATCCGAGGGAGTTTGGAGTCTGATCGAGTATTCGCGCTAGGGAGTAGCAGGTACGCCCCGCCTCATCTGATGACGGATGGACGAGGGCTCTCGGTTGCCGAAGAAACCATTCTGGAGGAGTCGCCTACTGGGTGCGAGGTCGAAATTGTCGATGCCGAGGAAGAGCCACGTGCTTCCTCTCTCACAAAGTCATCCGACTCCAGCGACACGCCAACCGTGTTTGCTGCTCCCATCGGCACGCTCACTCTACCGGACGGCCAACAGTCGCTCATGACTCCCGAAATGTACCAGACGTCAACCTTCTCCTCACCAGCGATTGGACATGGTCTGTTCGACCACAGCCGGCTGGACACCGCGGCTTCTTCCATCATGACGGACAACCGAACGCTGAGTTCCTGCACCACCGGGGAATATGGCCAAGATCTGCGCATCTCCGTCGACGTGCCCTCGCTCACCAGCAGCCGGTCGACCATGATCAGCCAATGGCATGGCAATGGATCACGACGTGATTTGAGCGATGCAGAGCCAGTATCGTCCGGCATTCCTCAATCGCTCGAGCCGACTACGACCAATGATTCGAAACGAAAGCGCAGCTCGATTCAGAGCCTGTCGCAACTCATGGGAGGCACGTTTGGCACGAAGAATCGACCTTTCGGCGATGCACGCCCTCAGACTTCCACCACCTCTCTGGTGACCACTGCTTCGGGCACGAAGGAAAATCGGTTGAAGAAGTTGATGTTCTGGAAGTCTAAACAGCGACCTCATCCAGTCCAACGACCTGCATTGTCTTGAGGCTCACGACACTCGCTGTCGAGCATCTTTCCCCACTCTCTCTTTTCCATGACGTGTATGCGTCACTGGCACACGGCTATTCACCCGCTCCCGACAAGCATGCTTTACCCACGCCTGCCCACTCACTCTTTCGGAAAGGCATCTTCACTCTCATTTTCTAGCACGGCGGCCTTGCGACTGATTTAACGAAAGACTGACAACCTGTTACGGCCCGGACAGAACGGACTCGGATCGAGTCAGGAATGTGGTGATCCGGGCGGAGGATTCCCCTTATATGGACGCGGCGGGGTGACGAACGTGGAGGCACGCTTGTGTGGTATCAGAAAAGTCCTTTTTGCTTCCCCCTTGGAATCTCACTTCTCTCTTCCAGATTGAGAACGGATATGGCGATCATCAGCAGCGGACTATGAATGATAGATATTTTCGTGGATAGGCTTTATTCTTCCCAGATGAGCAGATCCTAATGAATTGAAAGTACCATCTTCTATATCGTGCGCCTCTTCAGAGATTGCATCACACATTCCACTCTCGTATCTCTGCTCCGATCGAGATCAAGCTCCAAGAGATCCCTTCGACTGCCCAGCCTTCTCCACGCCCTCGAACTTACTCACTCTCCCCGCCCTCCTCTCCTTCCGACTCGGCAGCTCGCTCCCCTCGCCACTCATGACGCTGCCCGGGTGCACGGCGTTGAGCAGCACGAGCGCCACGAGCATGGGCAGGGAGTCAAGACAGTACTGGAAGACTTCGTGGTTGGGGATGGTGCTGTGCAGGCCTTTGGAGTATTCGATGAGGCGGAAGACAATGCGGGTCTAGGTTCAATGAGTGACGTTAGTGGGTGGATTTGGGCGGAATTGGGGATGGGGAGTCACGCACTGTGATGAGAGCTAGACATGCGTAGAGGGTGTAGAGGAGGATGAGTGCTTTGCGCATGTGCTGCGGTTTTTCCGCGAGGATGGTGCGATGCAGGCTCATTGCGTACATTGTAAAGATGAGGATGAAGAGTTGCTGGATGCCGACGCCGGCCATGTAGATGTGGAGGTCTGGTGATGTTAGTCTTGGGGTGTAAAGGATCTCAGCAATGGGGAGGCGCGAGTACCGTTTAGGATTGCGGCATCGTTGTTAAGTGTGCTGGCTGCCATTGCGGCTCCGGCGACCTGGACGATGAATGCTCTGAACAACTTATTAGCTCGGAAGGAAATACGTTGTTGAGTAGGTCTCACATGATGTCAAGGACCACAAAAACCATCCCGATCCTCCAGGCGTAGATGCCGAAGATCTTGGCTCGGCGGGTGAAGTTCCAGACCATGCGGCCCAGGACCATCTGTCGTTCCTAATCAGTCTTGTGCACGTATATCTTTCTTTCGATTGCGGACCGACGTAAACGAAAGCGTTGGTCCAGAGAGGTGCAACCAGTATCAACACAAACCACGCCGCGTAGTCGGCAAGGCTTGTTGGATTCTTGATGCTAACGATGCGAAAGATGTAGGCGAGCGTCTGCCACAATGCACTCATACATATCACCCAGCAGTACCACTTCTTGTAGTAGATGCCTTGGCCAACGTGTGCAAGGAACGTGAAGGCGAAGAAGACACACATGATGTAGGCTGCGTCAATGTTGGGACAGAATGACCATTGACTCCCGGGAGTGGTCAAGTCGGGGCAGCTTTGGGACGACATATTGACGTAAAGAGAGGGGGTAGAGTGGAGAGATCGATCTGGAGATGGGAAATGGAGATGTTGATGCGTACGGACTGCGACAGCCGTTCTTTATACCACTTACCACTTCCGCAGAGCATGAGACGACATAGCTGCTGCCTCGCGCTCATGAAACACAGAGTATGTCCATACGAGCCTTTCGTCTTATTAGCTCTCTCCAGGCGTCTGGGATCTGGAAGAGGTAGTAGCTGGTTCTGGAAGGCGTGGTAGCCATGTCGGCGCAGTCTGGCCGACGTCGAGGTGAAGTCGAGAGTGCTATGTCGATAACATGCCCCGCTTTTCCTCGCCGTCTCATTCGCCCGTTCGTTCGGACACCCACGCTTCCCATCAGCCTCACATCCCATTCCTACTGCTTAATGGTTCCTCGACATATACTGCAGCCGACTCTCACTTCTGATATGCAACATGCTTTTTGCTCGTATGTACACTCCCGCGCCTCATGCCCCGAGTGAACCCTGCGGACCGCAAGCGCGTGAGGCGGCCCAAGACGCGGACGGGCTGCAAGACCTGTAAAAGTAAGTTGCCCCGATACGAAGCGCGATAACCTGCTAACTTCGCGGACAGTCAGGCGAATCAAGTGTGACGAAGCAAAGCCATCGTGTCGCCGCTGCACTTCCACGGGACGCAAGTGCGATGGCTATGATGTCTCACTGGAGCCTCCATCCTCGCTCGTCGGCGTGCGAAAAGGCCTCTATTGGACGGATTCGCTCTCATCGCGAGGACTGAGAGCATTACAGTTCTTCCAAGAGATTACTGTTCCCCAACTAGCCGGCTCACATGATCACTCCCTCTGGAGCCACAAGCTTTTACAGTCCGCATGCGAGGACGTCGGGATGCGCCATGCCATTGTCGCCCTGAGCACTCTCCACGAGGACTTTGTGACCACAGGCGAGGCCGAGAGGACCAAGGATAGCTTTGCACTGCAGCAGTACAATCTCTCCATCCGCCAGTACATCAAAGGCCCGAGTCAAGCTCGTCCAGACTGCATCATGGACTACAGCGTTGCATCTATCATCTACATTTGCATCGAGCTACTGCAGGGCCACTATCAGTCCGCGCTATCACTGATCGAAAGCAGTGTCCGCCTCTTCTATGATGAGGTGGTAAAGGCGCCAGGGCTATCACGCTGGCCATTGGAAATGATCGAAGTCATTCTGGACCGCTTTCAGTGCCAAATCATGGGTCTGATGGTCAAGTCGTTCGCCAGCAAAGTGGTCCTCCCGAGCGTCAGGAGGGCTGATACGCTGGTCATCCCGGAGCAATTCGAGTCGGTGCACGAGGCGAACGACTACTTTGATTGCTATTATCAGACATATGCGCTGTCGAAGGGATCTCTGTCGGCCGAGGAAATCAAATCCTACGTCCAAATCCTGCGTCGATGGGTCGCAGCTTTCGATGCCATGTTGGCGTCGCTCGGTCCAGATTTGCACTGGCGGGATGCACGGATGGTGAAGCTGCTTCAAATTCAACAGCTCATGTTGAACCTCCCATCCCAAGCCAAATCCGGTGTCGGAAGCGGCAGAGATGCCGAATTCACGGCCATATATCGGCAGGTCGTCGATCTAGCAGAGTCCGCATTGCACGAAGGCGGCGCTGCACCCATCGACTCTTCAGCACCTCACTTCGTTTTTACTCTTGATGTGGATGTCGTCGGGCCACTATACGATGTGGCTTGCGGCTGTCGAGACCCCAGCGTTCGCCGGAGAGCCCTTGCCTTACTTCGCCGTTATCCTCGACGCGAGGGACTATGGGACAGCCTGCTCGCTGCCCGCACTGCGGAGCGATGTATGGAGCTGGAAGAGGGTGCGGCGGGCGTTGTTGAGAGTGCTGCAGACGTGCCGGATTGGGCGAGAGTCTCGCATACCACGGCCATATTCAATGTTGGCGAGCGGCGGGCAACTGTGATATTCGAGAGTACTGGAGCGCCGGCAACCGACTCACCTGCCATTAGCTTAAGCGAAGTTCTCGAGTGGTGAGCAGTAGTCCAGTGGACAGAGCAGGGCCATTGCTATGAAAAGGATGGATTATACGGAGATCACGAAGAATACGCGATCGTCGCGCTTGGCGCGCAAGAGAACCATTGCGTGCACCAAATCCACCAGCCTTGGCCAAATTAATTGGTGAGGAACTTGGCGCTTGGCCCAACTTGGCAGGAGGTACACAGCCTTGCACTAGCCACATTATATGGTCATCGGCACCTCCCCTACCACATTTCCCGCCTCTGGCACCACTGACGACTTCTTGTCTTCCGCTGCTCGTCCTTTCCGCGACTTACGCGTCTTCATCACTCTCGTTCAACCGTCGTTCTTTGATCCCTTGGCAGTGGCGCGGCTCTGGGTTTATTTATCTTCGGACTGTTCCCTCTTTCCAACCACTTCGCATCCATCCATTGCGTCTCAAAAATGAAGGTTTCTATTTCTCACGCATGCCTTTGGGCAACAGTGGCATCTGCCGCCTCCACCCCCACAAAAGCCAAAAGGGCGAACAAAGCGCGGGCTGCGAGTCTGCCGACCGTCACGGTCCGAGGCAATGGTAAGTTGTATGCTCCCACAGCGACTCCAAAATACTGCGACTGACCCGCCCACCTTAGCCTTCTTCGCCGGCGACAACCGCTTCTACATCAAAGGCCTCGACTACCAACCCGGCGGCTCGTCTGCAGCCATCGACCCCATCGCCAACGCCGAAGGGTGTATGCGGGATGTGGAAAAGTTCAAGGAGCTGGGAATCAATACCATCCGTGTGTACACGGTCGACAACAGCCCCGACGTGGACCACGATCCGTGCATGAATGCTCTGGCCGATGCCGGCATTTACTTGGCTTTGGATGTCAACACGCCTCTGTACTCGCTGAATCGCAATGAGCCCGCGGGATCGTACAATGACGCTTACTTGCAAAACGTCTTTGCCACGGTCTCGAAGTTTGCAGGGTATAGCAACACGCTGCTCTTCTTCTCCGGCAACGAGGTCAGCCGTCCATATCTCCCTTCTCTCCAGGAAAATGTGATCACTAACTCCCCTCAAGGTCATCAACGCCGACAACAACACCAACAACGCCCCCTACATCAAAGCGACGACGCGCGACATCAAGTCCTATCTCGCCCAACAAGACCTCCGCCGCATCCCCGTCGGCTACTCTGCGGCGGACGTGTCGAGCAACCGCTACGACACGGCGACGTACATGAACTGCGGCACCGACGACCAGCGCAGCGACTTCTTCGCCTTCAACGACTACTCGTGGTGCGATCCGTCGTCCTACACCGTCTCCGGCTGGGACCAGAAGGTGGCGACGTACAGCAACTACAGCATCCCGCTGTTGTAAGTCTTTCCCCTCCCCGATCTCCTCCACTGCCGCATGTAAAAGACCTCTTTACTGACAATTGCATACCCAGCCTGTCCGAATTCGGCTGCATCACCAACACGCGCGCCTTCGGCGAAATCCCCTCGCTCTACAGCGCCAACATGACGCCCGTCTACTCCGGCGGGCTGGTGTACGAGTACAGCGAAGAAGGCAACGGCTACGGCCTCGTCAACATCCGCGGCAACAGCGTGCAAGAGACGGCCGACTTCCGCGCGCTGCGCGAAGCGTACGCCAACCTCGAAATGCCCACCGGCGACGGCGGGTACAAGCAGGACCTGCCGAAGAGCCAGTGCCCCTCCGCCAGCTCGACGTGGGAGGTGCACGATTTCGAGGGCGACGATTTGCCCGCTATCCCTGATAAGGCGGTGCAGTATTTGGATGATGGGGCGGGCGATGGAGCTGGGTTGAATGGGCCGGGCAGTCAGTGGGACGTGGCTGGGGCGAGTGATTCTACTGCTTCCGCTGGGTCTGGGTCGGGAGGTGGTGCGAGTGGGGGTGGAAGTAGCAGTGGCGGCGACAATGGCAGCGATGATGGAGGTTCGGGGAATGCGGCGGGTGCGTTGCGCACGCCGGTTGGCTTGCTCGTTGGAGCTTTGATTGTTGGTGTTGGGATGGTGGTTGGTGGAGGGTTGTAGGGAGCTGATTGATATAATTACTAGGCATTGGGGGCGTACAGATCAACTTCACAAACATTGAAATCATCATCAAAGAGTGCAGAATGCATCACATATCTACCAGACAACGCAGAGTCAAGTCGAGGAGAGTTGAGACAGCGCAAAGCAACAATCAAAGATCGCCTCATCTCACAATCCGACGAAGAATTCCTACATTAGCAAAAGAGAGTATAGATCTATGCTGCGGACACAAAAGCTGTGCTGATCCCCGACAAGACGCCATCCGCACAAGCAGAATCGAATCACGAGAAAGATGGACTTCTCCTCGCACCCCACCCGCCATGTCCATCCGCCAATCCGCTCATTGAAAAGCACTCCTCGCTCCGATGAGAAGAGAAGTGGATTGGAAGCAAGTAGGCAAGTGGTCGACTCTCCATCCCCCCGTTCCCGCCCCATTCTCCCGTCTGCCAGAGCGACTCCCCGCGTGAAAAGCGATCAGGTCGTTCCTTTTTCTCTCCTCAACGCCAATCCAATGGTATCCGTTAATAGCAGATGTGTTCGTCCTAAGAGTAGTCGAAAGGGGGAAAAAGAAGAGGCATGTGCTGGCTTGCTTTTGTCGGGAGCTTGGCTCGCCTCTTCGTGAAGAATCTCCGTCATCCGTGTCCGTAAGTCCAGCCATTCGGACTGGACCTCATTCGTTCCCACTCGCTCGAATCAATCACAGACCATCCGAGATAAAGATAGACGGGCGAGAGAGTGTACTTCGCGGTGAGGTGGATGAATCATATCAGGCCGCACATGCGCAGGTTCTCTTGGATGATGATGTCGTTGACGGCAGCCATGACGAAGCGGATCTGCATCGTGTCGGTGGCGCAGGTGAAGTGGGTGTAGATTTGTTTGGTGGGATGTTGATTGAGTCTGTCCACGTTCGTCAGCATACTCACTTTTCCACAGAGGTCAAGACAACTCACGATACGAATCGATTCAGGATGTACTCGCACGCCGCATTGTAATCCCGGCCGCCCTCGTAGTCGGGGAAGTAGTTCTTCATCGGGCTAATGGGCAGCTTCTCTTTGAAGCGATCGATCTTGTTGAGGAAGAGGATGATGCTGGTCTTGGTGAACCAGCGGGAATTGCAGATCGAATCGAAGAGGGTGAGAGCTTCTTGCATGCGGTTCACGGTTTCGTCCTCGAACAGCAGCTGGTCGTACTCCGAAATGGCGACAAGGAAGAGGATGGTGGTGACGTTCTCGAAGCAGTGGATCCATTTCTTGCGCTCCGATCGCTGGCCTCCGACGTCGAACATACGGTAGGTGAGGTCGCCGATGATGAAGGTGGTTTCAGTGATGCCGGTGGTCTTGACGCGAGAACGCAGAACGTCGGCGTCGGAGGGGACGTAAGTAGGGGAAGAGATAGTATCGATGCTGTCAAAGTAGTATTTCGCGCTGTCGTTGAGCTGGTATTCACGACTTCGTTGGAAGGCGGCTTGCACACCAGCATCAGCCCACAGGGCCTGGATTGCTTGGCCGACCTCGGGTGGGAGGACATCGCCTTCGATTTGCGCGGGCTGCATGAAGATGGTCTGAACATGGTACTCGGCGCGCTGGTCATCGAGAGGTAGCTCCAAGCTTTCCATGGCTTCGAGGATGACGCGCATGGACTGGACCGTGTTGGAGAAGATGATCTGCGAGGCGTGTTAGCGGGGAAATTGTGCGCCGTGCTGTTGATCGAACAGGTACACACCTCTCGGAAGCTTTCCCGCTCATCTCTTGAATAGCCGCCCTCGTGGATCAACTTCATCTGCTTCAGGATGGTGGATTTGCCCGATTCACCGGCGCCGAGGAGCAGCATCTTGATCTCGTTCTTCTGATTTAGCCGATCCTTCTTCAGCTGGTTCTCAATCTCTTCATTGCGCGCCTTGCCCTCCTTCGATTCGGAGCTCTGATTGCAGCCCATGGTGAGTGATTGCAGTCGTTACAATCGCAGAATGCTCGGTGGATTGGGAGAGGCAATGTGGCCGTTCGCAAGGAATATGATGGCAGGTCTAGGAGCCGTCGTGTTAGTTGAGCATGCGGCACGTGTGGAGAGGTGAGGAATAGGAACGGCATGTGAAGGCCGACAGCGACAAGCGAGGAAGTGACATTCGACGGAATATCACCCGACATCGTGCGCGCTGGCAATGGTGACCAATGCGGGAGGGGAAGCGAGTATGAAGGCAGATTCAAGGCGTTGTTTCTGGGGGTTTGCAACAAAACATTCCGAGGGCGTACTAACCTCAAGCGATCCTCGCCAGCAGTATCGGGGACGTGGGTGGAAGCTTCCTCTTCCTCACCGCCGAGCGACGGCAGATGTGGTCTTGTACAGACGGGTGGGTGTAGGGGAAGAAGCTGATTTGTAAGGCGCTGGAGGAGAGCTTTGGCTGTGCCGCACGGCTGCTGCGAGGGGGCGTCGGCGCCCGGGAGAAGTCGAGCGGGTGGGGCGGGGGTGTGGCGGAGATGGGCGTGTGTGCGACAGCGCCGGGGACCAGCTGGTGTCGCGCGATGGGAGAGAGAGGCAGAGTCGAGCGGAGGCGGGTGCGGTGGAGGAGGAGGAGGGAGGGTTTGTAGCAATGGGGGCAACAATTGCTGGTGACAGGACAGCCGGGACCTGGCAAACTAGTGGCCGTCCGGCTTTTCCCGCCAATCAGGTGTGGAGAGGCGGGTTAATCTTAATCCACTGCCGGTTGCGGTTCACGGATGGTGTGACGTGCGGTGAGCTGGAGCAGGAGATGAGGCAAGAGGCAGCAGTGGAAGTGGAGGTGGAAGAGGAAGAAGGGCGGGTTAGCAGATGGATGGGCAGCTGGGGGGGATGGGAGAGAAGAGATGGGGATGTGCAACGCAGAGAGCAATGCGCAAAAACGGGGTTGGCAGAGGTGTGGAGCGAGGGCTTGCGATTGGGGCCAAACGCGAAAGACTGACAAGGCCGGGCTGGAAGGGGAAAGGACTGCGCGGCAAGTGCGGGTGCGGTGAAACCTTAACTCCATTCGCCTCCAGCTTGGGCCCTGCGATCGCCAGCGTCCAAACGGACAACACCGTTAGCGCAAGCAGATATGCCCCGGGCCCCCGAAGGCCCCGTCGGCGGTGCACATCATCTGCTCCACGCCCCGAATCAGCAGCGGATGCTCACTTCCGTTGATGATGGACACTGCACGCCCACCGCTGCGCATCAACGGCCCCCGGGAGCCCCCAAGCAATCGAATGGACGTCGCAGCCTCCAAGCCCCCAAAGATCGCCCGGCTAGCTGCCGCCGCCGCCGCCCATCGACGTGGGTCCCGCTCCAGCCATTGGTGCGACTGGGCGCGCATAACACTCGCGACTCGTTTGCCTTTGCCTCTGCTCACTCTTTCCCGCAAAATAAGCGCCATCGGGGCCCGTTAGGGCCATCAGACGATGGGTTGCTGACTCTCTTGGCTTTTGCAAGTAAGCTGCAAAGACTCCCAGCATACTCACGCGAGAGAAGAAGGAAGCAGCATGTCAGGTTGCTAGGTGTTCCGTGGGCTGACCTCGTATTCATCCCCTCCCCAGCCCTAGTGAAAGCAATGGAAACACCAACTCCGCAGCAGAGTGCGCCATCTCAGCCTGCCGGTGCCACTGTGCCGGGCCATCTGTAGTTGGCAAAGAGGCCTCCAAAGAAGCAGACGGTAACACGTACCAAACTTCACCTCTCTCCCCACCCTCGCACAGCAGCCATCACACATGTAACGCACGTACTATTCAAAGAAGAACAACCAGCAGTGTCACCACCAGCCACCGGGCGTCAAGACACGGTGATCGAGCTTGGGATCAAGTCCGCATTTGATCGAATTCCTGCACTCTTGGTTGTTTTGCATTCATGTTCATCAGATCGAAAGAGGACCTTCATTCACCTCATTGGAATGTCTAGCAAGAAGTAGAGAAATCATATTCTAGGTAGGTATCATACGCCAAGTCTCGACGAACAACAAATATCGTTTCTTTGTGCTTCGTGCCACGCTCTCCAGCAGCCACTCGGCAGAAACCAAATCCCCATCTCGGCCGTTAATAAAAACAAAGCAAATCGTCGCGGTGCGCAAGCACCATCGGTTTTGAAAGCAACGAGAAGAAGAAAAAAAACCTCCCCTCGCTAACGTATGCACACGAACAATCGAGGGCGCAACTCCGCAGCAATCGCACAGCGAAGCGCGGAAGTCGCAGCCATCGAAACTCAGTCTGTTGCTTGGGTCATCTCCTCCCAGTCATGGTTGGTCGTAGCCTTTCCTCTTTCTCTTCATCATCCACCTCGTTTGCCACAAAACAGGGCCCTCAGTATGCGACCCCAGCAGCACTCTTCCGTTTCTCAGCAGCAGCAGACGTGGCACTCAAAACACCATACATCATCTTCCTCGCTCCATCCGCTCCGTAGATGCCGCTCCCATTGCCAACGCCCGTGGTACCTCCAGGCGTAGCAGGCGTCGGCGGCTGCTTGTACATCCCCACGTCCTCACCCTCGCTGCTACTCGACGCAGAGCTGAGGCCGAAATACCCATCCGTGGAGCCCTGGCTGCTGCGCTTCTCCTTCATCTCCGTGCCGATGGGGCTCATCTTGCGGTTTCCCGAGCCGCGGAAAGCAGTGGCGATGTCGTCCTCGGCGTCCTCGGTCAGAGACAGATGGAAGCCGGCATCGCTGACGGGGCTACCATTGGAGGAGCGAGACAGGCCGCGGCGACTGGTGCCGGCGCGCACGAGACTGTCAAGGGCGGCGCGGCGTTGACGAGCGGCGAAATTCTTGCTGCCTTCATGTTTGGTCGTAGGCAGGGCGGAGAGTTCCTCGAGTGGAGGTGGGCCGCGCGGTTGACGAATGGGATGCTCGCCAGCGCGAGCGGCACCGGGTCCAAATGTGCCGGTCATGGGAGGGGTGGGCATGACGCTGCGCTGGCTCCCAAACGTCGCTGCGGAGCTTGTCCTAGCGCCGCCGTAGGCACCACCTTCGGCTTGCGGGTTGATGAGGAGCGATGCGGCCTTCTTGTGGCCTCGTCGGAATGCGGTAGACGATGGCGGAGGGAGAGGCTCGACGTCTTCGTTCTCGTAGGGATTCGCAAGCTTGGGTGGGGTGTAAGAGCGGGCACGCGTCGCGCCTGGTCGGTCAAAGCCCGGAGGCGTAACGCTGACTGTTGGCGTGGCAGGTTGGAAGGTGTTAGACGCAGCCTGGGTGTCGAGTACGTAATTGTACCCCTGTGTCAGCGGGTTGTAGACAAGGTAGACGCCCGGCTGACCAGGTACTTCGATAGGCGATTGAATGTGTTGTTGCTGGGCGTACATGTTGTGCGAGTTCTGCTGTGGTGCTGCATTGTGGGACATGCCGCCGTTAAGATTCATGCCTTGCGCCGATGCCGTGAGGTTGGCAAGCTGCATCTGGAGTTGCTGTTGACGCTGTGCCAGGTAGAAGCTCGTCATCTGCATTTGCTGCAAAACGGCAGGGTCCATCTCCTCGGTCTGATCGTAGAGCGATGGCGGGGCAAGCACTTGCTCCGGCAAAGCATACATCTGGCGTCCGGCAGCCATGCCGTACTGGCTGGCGAGATCGTGTCGAGGAGCGGCGTTGTGAGGGTAGTCTTGGCCGTAAGAGGAGTTGCCGGCATCGGACCACTGCGAAGCGCCGAGCCCCTGCATTTGCGTATGGTTGAAGGGAGCGGAAGCTGGAGTGGCGGGCGTCTTGGGCTGGGTGCGCAGGCCAGCCAGGAGATGCGAGCGGCTGGTGCGCGGGGTGGGGTTATCCACCTGGTCTTCGCTGATGTGATTCATTGTGGGAGGCAAAGCAACGCTCAGCCTCTTATTGCTGAAACGCTGACGATGACCAAAGCCAGGACCAGGGTTGTTGAAGCCGTTGGAAGGAAAGGGATTGTTGGGGTTGGGGTTGTAAGCCATTTGAGCCAGACCGCCAGCGTCGAAGCTCATGCTTTTTCTAGTCGTGCGAACTTTCCGAGAAATGCAGTCGTGAAGCAAGGATCGGAACGCTTTGGAAGACCGGCTGCTGTGAAGGACAGAGAGTGATGTTGGAAGTAGAAGTCGAAGGAACGCGAGTTATGGGAATGCTGATTGTGGTGGTGCACAAAGTCGTTGGTGAAGAGAAGCAGGGGGGTCCAGTAAGCGCGAGCTTAGCGAGTCTCGAGCACCACAATTAGGCTGCTGTATCAAAGCAGAGTGGGTGGTGGTCGGTGAATATTAAAAGATTACAGAGCAATAGTCGTGATGGAAGCTGGGCGTTGGTTGAGTGTAGGTGACGATGGTACAGTCTCTTTCTCAAGGTTTGTACCAGGGCTTCCTCTGTTCAGGAATGGGTTGTGTGAGGTGAAGATGTCGACGAGGTGGGACAGGTGAAGGCACAAGCGGCAGCGGGAAGCTCGCGTGGCTCACTTGAATGATGATACGTCGGTGAAGGAGGTGCCAGACCAGGCAGGCAAAAGCGACACTCGGAGGGACGGGGAAACCAAGGGTAGCCCGGTCTTGTGGAGGCGTCGGTGGAGGGATGAGATGTTGGTGGGTGAAGACGACCAGCGGAACGAAGGCGAAAGCTCGCGGCGTGGGTGATGTGGGAAAAATGAAGGGAATGGGCGGGAATGGTGGGAGGGGAAAAACAAGGCAAGCACGCTGCTGCTAGAACCGACGAAGGGGAGGGGATAGAGAAAGAAGAAGGAATGAAGCGGGATGAGTGATGCTGGGATGAGGAGGGGGAGAGGGAGGAGGGGAGAAGGGATAGCGAGCGGATGCAGGAGAGGGAGTGATGGAGGAGGAGGAGGAGGAGGAAAGTGATGGAGGCACACGCCACGCAGCGGGAAGATGTGGAAGGAAGGGGAGCCAAGCGCGTGCACTACTGGCCGAGCGCACGCGGGCGCTAGGCTGCTTCAGGGGCGGGAAGGGCAACTTCTCCCATCAGGGGCGCGTCGACGGTCGGTAATTGGCTACAACGCCCGCAACGCGCGCTGCACGCTACTGCGCGCGGTCGTGGGCCTGCGCTATTCCTACCACTGATCATCGCCTTCTCCGCGCCATCTACAATGCCCAGCCAAGATGGCTGGACCTCTGAAGAAGTGCTACGGTGAGGCGGTGAGATGGTGCAGCATCCTCGTCCATGGCGGTGGCAAGCACTTTGCCCAGCAACATCCGTGTGTGTACAGTATCCGTTGGATGTACTTGCGGCCCAATTGCTCCACGTGAAACAGATACACGCCCCCTTGCCGTTTTCGGTCGGGGACCAGCCGTCTAAGCGATCTTCTCCATTCAAACTACTGCAGCCTGAGGGCGTATACAGTACAGGAGATGCGGACCCTGACGAACCACGAGCGGCGTCTATCGCGTTGGCAACGGTACTGTTTCACTTTGCTCTGCTGATCTCCCACCGACCTTCAATCCTTCCAGCATGGCAGACGTTGAAGCAGAGCGAGGCGAGCCGGCGGTCGGCATCAAGCACATGCTTCAGTCGTCAAGATTGTAGCTTACCTGCTATCTTTGGTAATTAGTCCGTTGCCGTCATCGTTCAATGACCTATTTGCATAGTTCAAGCCTTGCTGCATGCATCATCTCATTTCCTCGGAGTTCCACCGATGCTCTATACAGTTACTCATAGGGCGACATGCAGGGTCGGAAGCAGATCCGTGTTGCGGGCAGAACATCACATGCAAGCAGATCTCTTTGGACCGAAGTTTCAATGCTGGCAAAGGTCCAGTAACAATTTGACTGACTTGAAGAACGGTAGAAAACGATGTGGTCTGCTGGTCGCACAATGCGTGCACTTGAGAAAGGAGGCCTGAGGCCTTGCTTCGGCCCAGCCCGCGCGTGCTCTGAAACAGCCGCCCTCTCGTTGCTTGCGTGTCAAAATTGTCCCGGCCGTAACGTCAGCTAATCCACTTCATACCGGATTTCGCCAACGACCTACCCTACACCTGCTTCCCCAACGCGCATTGCTCCTTTTCATTCACTGCTTCCCACATCTCCCCATGGAAGCGCAATGTCGGAAATGATCTCGCAGCCTATGCAATAACAACACGCGACCCCGTTGCGATGCTGCTTGATCTATAGGGGTGGTCGGTCTCAATGCCGCCTGCACACTACGCTGCATCAACACACACTGACACATCCCATCAGGCATCACACTCCCCTCGCCATGCCGGTCCCTCGACCTGTACGGCGGAACAGTACCAGCACGTACATCCTCGCCACAATCCTCGTCGTCTGCTTCCTCTACTTCTTCTTCGGCGACGATGACACCCTCGCCGCCATCCCCAATGTCGCCTCGAGACAACTCCTTAAGAGCAAGGATGCCGCCTCCAACATCCTCTCGCCCCCCTCCCTCCCCTTCCGCAAACCCGCGAAACTCGACCCCGGCGAAATTCCTCCCCCGCCGCCAGTCGTACACTACAAGATGAACAACGTCACCACCTCAGGCGACCCCATCGGCAACCGCGAAACAGTCCTCATCCTCACCCCCTTGGCCCGCTTCTACCAAGGATACTGGGAGAACCTCGAAAAGATGTCCTACCCCCACGAACTCATCAGTCTCGGCTTCATCATTCCCAAAGGCAAAGAAGGCAACGCAGCAACGACCCTGCTCCAAGAACGCATAGCCATCACCCAAGCCCCGACCAACAAGAATCGCTTCGCAAGCATCACCATCCTGCGCCAAGACCACGAACCCTCCGACCTCTACTCCCAAGCCGAAAGCGAGCGGCACGCCCTCCACGTGCAGAAAGAGCGGAGATCGAGGATGAGCCGCGCGCGCAACAGCATCCTCTTCACCACCCTCGGCCCCACCACCTCCTGGGTGCTCTGGCTCGATTCGGACATTGTCGAGACGCCACCGAGTCTCATTCAAGATCTGGCCTCGCACAACAAACCCATCATCGTCCCGAATTGCTTCCAGCGGTACTATGACGAGGAGAAGGGAGCCATGGCCACGCGGCCTTACGACTTCAACAGCTGGCAGGACTCGGCGACCGCGCAAATCCTCGCGGAGAAAATGGGCCCGGATGAGATTCTGCTAGAAGGATACGCAGAGATGGCTACGTATCGCTCGCTCATGGCGTACATGGCCGGTACGCACTGCCTGTCCCTTTGGATTGCAACCCAAGCTAATCACATCTCTAGACCCCAAGGGCGCATCCGACCATGTCGTCAGACTCGACGGCGTAGGCGGCACAGCGCTGCTCGTCAAAGCCGACGTGCACCGCGACGGCGCCATGTTCCCGCCCTTCCCCTTCTACCATCTAATCGAGACGGAAGGCTTCGCCAAAATGGCGAGTCGCTTAGGCTGGGAGAGTTTCGGCCTGCCGAATTATTATGTCCGTCCTTCCCCTATATCCTCAAGTTTACAGTCTTCGCTGACGATTGGTTCCTCCGATAGGTGTATCATTACAACGAATGAAAAACATGGGTACTATTTGGGAAGTGACCGGGCTGGCAAATGGCGGCAAAGCAACACGAGAAAACCATACACAGAGACGGCCTGGGGTGTTGTTTTGTCCAATCTTGCATAGATATCATCGGCGGTGTTTTCTCCGGGGCTATAATTGCTGCGTTTCCTTGATCTGGTGACAACTTGGGGGGACCGGCGCAGTCTAGATGCATTTTGGAAGAGGCGGAAGACTGCAGGACACACACAATACCCTCAGCATAGTAGCTTCTGGCGTTTGCTTTTGCATTTCACGGCTTCCTCGAGGCGCACTCGTCAGGAATCCTTATCCGATGGGTATCAAAAGACATCGTATTTGCCTTCTCTCCTCGCAGTATCGGTGGAAGTCCTACTCGATCATGATGGACCACCGTCCCCAGTCGGCTCGTCGGATTCCAACCTACCTCCTGACAAACCCAAGCGCATCAGCCACCAAATCTCTCTTGGCGCGCTCATCCAACAGCGATGCCGACGAGCCCTCCTCCCCGAACGGCTGCGGCTCCACGGAGCCGAAAGCATCACTACTGCTATTCATGGCATCCTGCATCACCGAGGTCTTCCGATGCTGCTTTATAGCCGCCCGCCGGCGGGCTCGCGCTTGATACTGCTCGTGCAGCTCCTCTGAGTGTTGCTGCGAGAAGGACTCAGGCGTGAGGTACACGCGGCGGACGCCTTTGCTAAACGTGCGTTGGACGTAGCGGATGCGGGTTTGGCGTTGCTTTTCGGGGGTGTTCGTGAGGGTTGCGTTGTCGGGTGAGGAAGATCGTTTGGGGCGTGAGTGTAGCTTTTTTGATGGTTCCGGCTTTGGAGTCCTGGTATTGGACGGTAGTGGCTCGTCGAGAGTCTCGTGCGGGAGAAGGGTCGTGCCGGAGGAGTGGAGGAGGTCTTTCCTCGGTGCATGTTGACTGGCTCCGATGCGGAATGTGGGCTTGGTGGTGGCCGCGGTGTTCTCGATGTCGTGGGATGAAGACCGGGCCGGTGTTTTGGCGTGTTGCGGCCGCTGCTGGTTTGAAGTCGGCTGTTGGTCCCGGGTCGAGGCACCAGGTTTCGCGCTCGATCGTGCAGTGGAGACTATCGTCTGTTTGCGGAGGATGTCTGGTACATCGATTGTCTCGTGGGGTTGTTGAGACGAGACGCGGCTTGTGGAGTAGCTTCGAAACTGCAATCTTGCATATGGGACATCCAGTTTCGTTCGAAAGACGCCTGTTGATCCCACGCTGCTTCCCCGGCCGGCTGCAGACGGAGTAAGAGTGATTGCCATCCCGCCTTCTGAAAGCAGCCCGAATGTGCCAGGACAATGCCGAACCGATGCCTCCTCCGCAAGTCCTCCAGGCGAAGACTGTTCGGGAATCGCAGTAGCATCGATTGAAGATGGCAGAGCCCCAAAGAGCGATCCTTGGTCTTCCACCGCCTCATATTCCTGCCTATTGGACGGCTCGCGAGGGCCGTGGTGCCCGAGAAGGAACATGACCGCATCGCCTTCTTTCACCGTCTCGCCTAGCGCCTTGGCTTGTGCGTGTTTGAATGCTTCTGCGCCAGTAGCGGCATCAAGGACAGAATGAAAGGTGTCTGGAAGACCTTGTGGTTTCTGAGGATCGTAAGAAGCATCCGGATCTAGACTCAGCAGACCCGCTTTCTTGCCCCATCCACCGCCGCCGGACAACACTTTGCAGATCCTCGCACCCTGCTCTACTAGTCGTAGAATCTCGGCGTTCAGAGGGGTGAGAGAATCACCGTGTGTGCTTGAGTCGGGCGAATGGTTCCACCACCGCTTGATCTGATCGATATCCATGTTCAGCATCGTCGTCGAGTCCGAATTAGACTGTCCCTGTAGATCAGACGGCACTACCAAAGCCCAGACTGCGACCGGTTGTGGCTGCATCTTCTTGGCAACGAAGTACTCCGATATCATCTGTTCCAATTCTTGGCTTGCCGGCTGTGTTGCCGTGCTTTCTCCATCGTGTATAGCTGAGGAGAGCAGGCTGCTCGACACTTCACGGACGATGTTCCCCATGCTATGCCTCACCAGACGAGGCGGCGCAAGCGGAGTGATTGGTAGATCCAGTCCGACATGAGTTGCACCGCGACTCGGCAGGGACACAGTCACCGATGTGCAATCCTTGTACTCGTGCAGTTGAAGCCGATTCGAGGCATCAGGGACATACTGGGTATGCGTGATTGTACTCACACGACCGGTGGAGAAGATTGTCTGGGCCAAAGGGAGCTGGACAGACCAGGTAAGCGCACCAACCGGAGCTGTCCTGAAAGTCAACGAGCCTGGTTTGTCCTGATATTGCGCTTGCCGGCCCTGCACTCTCGGCTGTCGTTGTTCGTGATCAGGGTATGATGGTGGCGCCTGATCAAAAGAAAGGTGGTATGCCAGGCCTTCAGACCCAGCACTTCGCTTGCCGAATGGTAATCTGTCCACAACTGCTGTGATCGCATGCAGTGGTCCGGGAAAGGCTTCGAGTCCTGTGATGCGTTTCCATGCTTTCAAGGCAATATTCGGATCGAATGCGCTTTGAGCGAAAGATGGGGTCAATAATAATGACAGGACTGGTGTAGCGGAGGAGTTGGGCGGAATATCAGATTTAACTTCGTTCTGTGTTATCGCGTCCAGCAGCTGATCTGTATTTGTGCGTGATGGCGCCGTCGTAATAACCAGTCCGTTAGCAGCCCAAAGTGAAGGCGAGACCACGCCTCGTGGACTCTGTTTCGCCGAAGAGTCACGCTGTGTGCTTGCAATAGCAGAGTATGTCCTTGCAGAGACCAAGTGCCATTGCGACGGAAAAGCGAGCTGACGGAAAAGGTCAACTCTCGCCCGCCGGACCGAGCATACTCTGCACAGCATCTGCGACTGTCAACATCTGTACTCGCGAGAATGCAGAAGTCGTTGTGAAGTCGAGAGAGGCTCGAGGTACGGAGGTGACGTCGAGACTTTGCGGCTGCTCAGTTTCCGCTTTAGGCGTCGATACGGTCACGTGATGTCTCTTGCAAGGCTCCGGGTGTTTCGTCTCCAATACATCGCACTTGGAATGGTCACACAGTCGCGTTCACAACTCGAACATATAGTCATCTATCATACATATCCTTCTAGCTTTGGCCGCTCTACATCACACGACTGGTAGGCTGAGGTTGTCCGGCACCAGCCATACCCTCACTCCCCGATGCCGGACGTGAATAACGCCGCGATAACTCGCTCTCGGCATGCCAGCCTTGTGCTTGGTGATCAGGCCAATATCCCCCATCATAGCTGTCAGATGGTCCAAGTCGCGATAGCCGATCCACCTCTCCTTCACATCCTCAACCGCCTTACCATCTATATCCAGTTCCCTGCTAATCGCCTTCCGCGCCTCCTCCCATCCGACCGCCGACACGGTTGCCTGCAGCTGTTCGGTCATCCAGGCGTTATATTGCTGCTGCGGCAAGTAACCCAAGTCTACCGCCTCCCAGTCCACGTTCACGTCGTTCAGTCGCATGGCCTCGAAGTAGCTGAAGAACTCTCCCCTACTAGCTCCGCGCTCGCCGAATGTAGTGACCCGACTGACTTCGGGGATGATACAACTGCGACCTTTGCGCTGAACAGGGTCACGCAGCCATTCGTCCCACCAGGCATATGTCCACCCGCGCAGCTCATTCCAGAGAGCGCGAGACCACATCCACCCCAGGCCTGGGAAGCACTCGGTGCGGTAAGTCGCTGTAGGAGATGCCACAAGCGGCGCTTGACCGTTGGTGTTCCACGCAGAGACGCAGTAGAGACTCGGATCGGTGTCGAAGAGGGGCGCCATGCGGCGAAAGTAGGGAAAGAAGTCGGGTGCGAGTTGCATGTCGTCTTCGAGCATAATCACTCGATCCCATTTCTCATGGCCCTCGACGCGGTCCATGACCTCGGTCAAGGCGAATTCGTAGTGGCGCGCAATCTTCGTGTAGATCTTTGACACTTTCTTCCGCCGGTCGCCGTCCCAAACAAATCTGAGGTGAGTGACCTGATCCTCGTAGGACGCAATCACCTGTTCGGTCCCCGGACCGAAATCATCCTGGCTGACGAAGATGGGATGAAGAGAGCGGTCCGGAGGGAGAGCGGCAAGAACCGAGTCGAGAGTGCGGCGGAGGTAGTCGGGACGATTGTACGTAAAGATGATTACGGGAATGGGAGACTGGGCAAGAGGCAGGGATGGAGGGCTCAAAGCTCCCTCGATGGTGAGTCCCGGCTCGCTGCCTTGAGCTTGGACTGGGTTGAGGCCGTCGTTGAGCTGAGGCAACGCTGGCGCCGCTGCTGACCACGTGCTGCGATCATTTGATCGGGTGTAGAGCAGGAGCAGACAGAGTGCTACCAACACGCCAACGAAGCCCGGCCGGAGGCGACGCGGGAGGCACACTGGACGTGCGGGCAGCCAATGGCGCATGACATTATTCTTGTGGTGTTCAGCCAGTCTGGACAAGGAGAAGAAAGCCCATCGACAACGATCGCAAGTGGCAGGAGGGGTAGAGGGCCAGACCTAGGGGGAATCGTGGCGCCACCTGAGGAAATGCAGTAGTAGTAGCTAGTAGGGGGACTGTATGCACGATCCCGCACGTTGTTAAAGCTTAAGTGAGGTGCTCACTGCTGTGTCAAGTACCTTATGATTCCCTTACGGCCGTACGCGGACTCCTGCGCCCGCCATGTTATCCAGACTGACACGTCAGATGTGACCATGGAGTCACCAAGTCTCGCAGAATCTCTGTCCTTTGGATGCCGAGCTTGAACAGAGCCCTTGCTCGTCGGCAGCTCGCCCTCTCCTCAGCTTCATTGGCTTGGCGTGGCTGCATAAGGCTGTAGAGTTACCGCCAAAGTCACGATCTGACCTAGTCCCCGCGGAGCACGACGAGCAGCAGATAAACTCGGTAGTCCCCGGTCGAAGTTGGCGATGCTTCTTTCACCCTAAGCTCTCATCGTACCTGGTCCGAAATGTTCTCACTGATCCTCGGGATTCTCGCCATCCCCTTCGGCTGGGCTGCAGCCGGGGGCGTCTGTACTGCCAATCGCAGCAGTGCGTCGGCGTGGTGCAACCACTACACTTATACGTGCACCAGTACGGCATGGGGCCCTTCTAAAACATCGACTACCACCGTGTAAGGAGCACATTGTCCATCACGAGTGTGCCGATCGGTATGGTACTGACTTCATTGTCCTCCTCATCAGCACGGTCACGACTGTTGGATCAAGCACCATAACCACCACTTCATGCGGGATCTCACCCCTCACCACGGTGACGTCTGTTGCCGGGGCCACAACCAAAGCGAAGCGAAGCGCGCCTTCCAAACCAAATTGTCTCGCACAATACAATAGCGGGCCCGAAATCTCGTCGGCTTGTAAGAATGGTGGCTGGCCGGTGCACGAAACCACATGGTGGTGGCATCACACCGTAAGATAACTTCATGCACGTCGGAGACTTGGTCGTAGCTAACAGCAGGTCTCTTCGCGCGCAAGGGTCCTGCCAAAACGGTCACGAAAACAAAGACGGTGACCGGCACTGTCGTTGTCGAATCTCCAATCGTCAACTTCCTACTTATGGCCTTCGGCTCCGGAACGAGCGCAGATGGACAGTACGCTTCCGTCGATTCGGGCCATCCCAATTTCAGGTAAGAACACGGATTGCCCGTGGGGCACCCTCGCAATGTGGCCAGTCACTAACGTCCAACCCGCAGTGAGTTTGTCATTCGTCATTTGATAGCACATCGCATACGCCACGCATACGACCGCAACACTGACATTGGTCCACCCAGACAAAAGTGAAGAGCATGATCCAACCTCCTTCACGCTGTCTGGCACTTCTCTGATCGAGCAGTCCGGAGGTTATCATACAACTGCGGACGAAATCGCGATGCAAGGGGCCGGAGATACCGCGGTCGAGTTTTTTTCCGATCCCAGTGACGACAACGTCTTGGAATGCACTCCCGAGTCAGTGAACGGCGACTGCACGCTCGCCTGCACTGTTGCCGGCAACTCGGTGGATTATCTGTGCGCCGGCGGTGATGGTGAAGCGGCGTGGTATATTGGAACGGCTGTCGAATCAGGCTGCACGAGCTTCACGCCGTCGGTGGTCCCTGTTTCTGCTGTTGTTCCATACACCCAGTCGATGCTGGCCCGGGCTGTTGCTACCCCAGCCGCGTAACCTCGTGGATGACTGTCTCATTAGTCTATCCTCTCCTTTGATTCGGGGTTAGCTGCAAAGTACATATCGTCCAAGGATTACGTTTGGTATCAACGGAATTGCTACCGGTTGCGCGTGCAGTCGGCCAGAGGAGATGGAATGATTTGACTCCAGCCTTACGCTGCAGTGATTGTGATTTGTTCGTGCAGAGTCCACTATTCGCAGACGCATATGAGATCGTCTTCACTCGAGTTTCAGGTGTTTCCGGAGCCACGGAAGGCATGTGAAGCAGTCCGGACAGAGCAGCAGTTGTAACCGGAGCCACCGTATACGTCACAAGTCGAAGTGCTGGACCAGCGAATCAAGAGGCTGCATAGCGGCCAATCGAAGATGCGTGGGATGCTTGCGTACCGGCATTCCGTTGAACGCCGGTTGCCGACTCTCCGATTCATCATCAAGGCAAAAGGCAGGGAGACGGCGGGCGATGATCACTTTCTCAAATGAAAAACAGTGGCGCAGCGCAGAACGCGTCGAGCAGATCTGGCCGATCTTGGCGACGGATTCTCGCGAAGAGCGCAGCCTTGAGGCATGCTTCTGCTGCGGTGGCCGGGTGACACGTTGAATGCGGTGGTGTAGCATGTCGTCCGCGACTCGACAATGACCGCGCATACCGCCGTCTTTCATCCCATGCTGCTCCCTCTCGAGTTTCGCGTCGACTTACGATCCGACTCGAGTGGCATGTGGAAATTTCTCAATGGCGCGCGCGCGGGCCACCCCCGAACTTTTAGCCGTTTTAGTTTCTGCATTTAGCCCACCGCCTCCTCCAATCACCGCGCCTCTCCCTGACTTCACCCTTGGCCACGCGCCGCCAAAACCTGGTCACCATGGGGCTAAACCACCCCAACATTGGCCCGTGAAGAGGCTGTGGCAACTGCCAAACCGGCGTACCTGCGTCGGAGCCTTTTGCCCCGGCGAGCCTGGGATCCACTGCATCTGCCGCGTCCTTCGCGTGTCGAATTATGTAGGTCGGCGGGTTAGCGATTCTGCTTCCTCTCCTTGACTCTCGTTTCCTTTCCATTCTTTTCGCGCGCGCGCACTCTACACTCTTTCGGTCTATCATGCATTGCTATTTGGGCGCAGCGTTGGCTTTGGCCGCTTCCTTCGCTTCGGCATCGCCAACAGAACAGATTGAGAAGCGCAACATTGTCGACTCGGTCGCAGACGAGTATGACTTTGTTGTTGTCGGAGGAGGCTTGGCAGGTCTCGTACTCGGCGGACGTCTATCCGAAGAGAAGAGCTTCAGTGTCCTCGTACTCGAAGCGGGCAGCGATGGCGACGAGTTCCGCACGCAGATCGGTATGTACTATTTGAAAATCCTGCGCTGCACAACGCCCTGACCCAAACGAACTTGCAGATACTCCGGCGTACGCCTACTTCCAGTCGCTATGGGGCACTGCCGCGGATTGGAACTTCCATACCGTTGCTCAGCCTCAGATGAACGATACATCAATGGAATGGCCTCGAGGCAAAGTCCTCGGCGGCAGCTCCGCCATCAATGGATTGTACCTCATCCGCCCTACCGAATACGAAATCAACGCATGGCAAGAGATGCTGGGAGGCATGGACGGTGCGGACAACTGGGGCTGGGAGTCGCTCGATGCTGCCATCAAGAAGAGTGAGACATTTACTCCACCCTCCGCAGCCATTGCCCAAGAGGCCGATATCACCTGGAATGCCGCGAGCCATGGTACCAGCGGGCCTATCCACAACTCATACCCTGGCTACACGTTCCCTTACATTGCCGATTTCATGCAATCCGCCGCAGATGCTGGCGTGGTAGACACCAATGATGCTTATGGAGGCTCGAATGTCGGCGCGTTTGTCGCTACGTCGGCCATCAACCCTGCCAACTGGACCCGTTCCTACAGTCGCACTGGTTACCTCGACCCACTTCCTCCGCGTTCCAACTACGACGTTCTGCCCAATGCCTGGGTGACCAAGCTTCTGTTCAACAACGCGACCACGAACCTCACTGCTACTGGCGTTCAATACACCATGGACGGCGGCGCGACCTTCCAATCGGTCAAAGTGAAAAAGGAAGTGATTCTCGCGGGTGGAACGGTTGGCAGCCCTACCGTCCTGCAGTACAGCGGTGTTGGCCCTGCCAGTGTTCTTTCCGCTGCGGGTGTTCCTGTCGTCCTCGACCTTCCAGGTGTTGGACAGCATCTCCAAGATCACCTGAGCATCGAAATTCAGTTCAACACCAGCGAGCAAACTGACGGCGCAATCTACGCCGCCGGCGGTGCGCCCGCAGCCAGCCCGGAGTTCTTGTCCTACGTGAACGATGGTGTCGCATATGTCAACTCCACCGTCCTCTTCGGTTCGTCCGTGGTGGACTCCATGCAACCCACCATCGAGTCGTACATGAACAACTATGCGCCCGCATACGTCAGCGACACCGTCACAGCCGGCTTCCAAGCTATTTACGAGACGGTTTCCAAGAAGATCTGGTCCAGCCCCGTGGGCCAAGTCGAGCTTCTGATCGGCAACAACCTCAACGGAGCCATCAACCTGGGTGCATCCCTTCAACATCCCCTCAGCCAAGGCAGCATCAACATCAACTCCTCCAACCCCATGGACTACCCCGCCATCAACCCCAACTACCTCAGCAACCCCAACGACGCTGCTGTGCTGGTGGCAGCCCTCCAACTCATCCGCAGAATCGCCACCACCGGTCCTCTTGCCGGCATCATGACCGAAGTTTGGCCAGGTTCCAGTGTGCAAAGCGCCGCCGAGTTGGACGAGTGGATGCGCCCCAACTGCTTCACGGAGTACCATCCCTCCTCCACCTGCGCCATGCTGCCGCTCGACCAAGGCGGTGTTGTGGACGCAAACCTGCTCGTCTACGGCCTTTCCAATGTTCGCGTCGCAGACGCCAGTGTACCGCCCATCGACTTCTCCGCGCATTTGATGGCCTCGACGTACGGCATCGCGGAGCAAGCGAGCGACATCATCAAGGCGCACTGGCTTACCAAGAAGGCGCCGGCTGCTGTCGCGTCGTCGCATAGTAGCGGCGACTCGGCGAGCTCGTCGACAGCGCACAAGTCCGGGGGCGAGGCGCACCACGGAGGCTCCGCCAAGAGCGCGGGCGCAACTGCGAAGGCATCGTTGGTGTCGGTCGTGGCGAGTCTGGCGGTCGTGGCGGGCTTCATGTGCGGCTTCCCTTGAACTGTGTTGGCCTCGCCGACGCTTTTCAATCTTTCCAGCTTCGAGCCCGGGGGAGTGGGACACTACAGCAGCGGAGGTCCATCACAATCCCGGCGAGGCAACAAATGTTCGTTCTCAAGACTGCAACACAAAGTTCACATTGATCGATTACGACACAAAAAGTTATATACCCATCCTTCAACCTCCGCCTCCACGACAATGGCCCTCACTCGCAGGCACAATCAGCAATGAACCCATACCACTGCGCATTCCCCGACGTCAACCCCGGCTGGCCGCGATTGCACTCCGTGGTGGTAGACGAGTACGTCGGCTGCTCGCAATTGCTCGTCCCGTACGCCGTCAGGCGATGGCAGTTGTCGCCGTCCGTCTCGCCGTAGATTTTCTTGATGCCGCCGCGCGGCTGCGTGCAGGCATAGGTGCACACGCCGCTCTCGACGTTGAGCGGCGCTTCGGTTGCGCCGTTTTCGCACACGGCCGTGAAGGCTGCGTTGCAGGTGCAGCCGACCCGCTTGAAGATTCTTTCGGCTGGTGCTGCCGTGGCTGTGGCGGCGAGGGCCAGGAGGGGGGCGAGGATGTTGAGGAAGTGCATGGTGACGTGGGCGTGGAGGCAAGGGCCGTTTGGGCGGATAGGATAGACTGATTAGAAGTATTAATGTTTAATTGAGAAGACAAGAATCACCTCGATACAACTGCCTCCCGCCGTGCCCTTTTTATATCTCCTCTCGTCGTCCTCCTAGCATCGAGCAGCCCTCATTCTCAGCCTTGCCCTCGTTTCGCGAGGCTAGTCTCGTTACTGGACGACGATGACGGCAAGCATCGGCAAACGCCAGGTCGGGAAGGAGGAGCTTTTCAGCTATATCAGAATTCAGCTTCGCTCTGGTCGCGCGAATGGTCTGCTAACCTCGTTGTTACTCGGTAGCTGCATAGGGCACGGCGTGACTAGCCTGCTTCCAGCTGATGCCGGCGCTTGGAGTCAGTGTGTTTGTTATGTATGCAGACGTCAGGCGAAGTCATCGTGACTTTCCAAGGACCACTACACTCCTGCCATAACAACAAGGCGTGCACCAGCTCAAACGACCAAGGACAACTTCTTCAGCATCGAGCCACGCTGCCGAGTACGTCACGTCACGATCGCTGATCGACGCAGTTGTCTTTCGCGCCCGCAAAGCGAAGACCGGCGACTAAATGTGTAGGAGGAATAGTCGCTCCATTAGCGCGCATTGCGATCCACGTTTTCCCACGCCACGATCCTGCTTTACCTCACGAACGTGCTTGTTACGTTTCCTCTGGCTCACGATGTTTCTTTAGATCGGCGAGTGCTACTACATCATAGCGCGCGACTTGGAGCGAGAGACGAGGGCGTGGCAGTCATCGTTCCGTTCCGTCCCAACGGGAGGTTCGCGCGTCGCGCAAAACAAATCTGCTCGATGGGAGGCGGAGACTTGGGGTATGCCGTTGATATGCGTGAGTGGCACGAGGCCAACACGTGCGCGAGATATTGAGAGGTGTTGGACCGGTAAGCCGCGTAGGAGCCAGACGAGAGGCGATCAAGAAGATGTCCGTCCACGAGATGGACAGTGTGATCGAGCGTGGAGGTGAGATCGTGGCGATGGACAGGGTTGAGCGAATCTGAACACATCAGAAAATCACCTAGACAGCCTAAATTGTTCAGCCCTGGATGTAGCTATGTTTTCGATCGCTTGCGTGATGATCGTAGCGAGTGTCCTTCGATCAGGCTCGGTGTTGACTCCAGGCGGGTCTGGGTCCATTCATTGACGTCCCGGGAAATGAGAATCGTCACAACCATTTCGCGGATTGGTGCTTTTACCTTGAAGAACCCGGAATCAATCAATGCCCTTCGTTGAAAATGTGCGACAGACAACGGCGTGAAGACAACGCCTCTGCTCGGAAGCGCGTGCCGGCCGAGCGAAGTCGGCAACGGATGAGAGCGTGGACTTCACCTCTCGGCAAGGTCATTACCCCCGACTTCCCCAGCCAAATAAAATGGCGCGAACGGACGGAGTGACACACACGAGTGTGAGTTGAAGAATGCAGAGCTTGAACATCATCGTCGTCGGAGCGGGCATCGGAGGCCTACAGGCTTCTCTCGCGCTCGCCAAAGATGGCCACCGAGTTACCGTCCTGGAATCCGCGAAGGCGTTTGAGGAAGTAGGGCGAATGGCAACCATCATTATACTGATCGATGTGCTAATCACAGTCGTCCCAGGTCGGAGCGGGCATCCGCGTGCCGCCCAACTCGCACAAACTCTCCACCTCATGGGGCGTGGACTTTAGCAAAGTGAAGAAAGATGTCTCCATGGGGAACCGGTTTGTCGACTGGAAAGGGAAAATGCTGCTGTCTCTCGACTTCTCCGACGTCGAGAAGCGGTACGGTGCGCCCTACTACTTCCTCCACCGCGCGGACTTGATTAAGTTGCTGGTGGACACGGCGCAGGAGAACGAGCGCATTACGATCCGGATGGGCTCGAGAGTGGAGAAGTATGATTTCGAGACGCCTGCTGTGACGTTAGTGGGAGGGGAGGTGGTGAAGGGCGATTTGATTGTGTGCGCGGATGGCATCAAGTCGGCGATCCGAGACGAGATCAATGGTCGCCCTCTTCCGCCGCAGGACACTGGCGACGTAGCGTATCGAATCCTCGTGCCTGCACAGCCGCTATTGGACGACCCCGAGATGGCTCATCTAGTCAAAAATCCCTGGGCGATGCACTGGATGGGGCCCGAAGGACACGCAGTCGGCTACCCGCTGCGCGGAGGCGAACTCTACAACATCATCATCGACGTGACGCACGCCTCGGACTGCGGCGAGCCGCTGGCGGACGAAGGGCAGATTTGGAAGTCGGCGCGGAGCAACTCGGAGCTGGTGCAGCGGTTTCACGACTGGTGTCCGGAAGTGCGCAAGCTGTGTGCGATGACGGGCGAGTATTTGAAGTGGAAACTTGCGGACTTTGATCAGCTGGACCATTGGGTGACGCCTAATGGTACGGCTGCTTTGTTGGGGGACTCTTGTCATCCTATGTAAGGGGTTGGACAGTCCATCAAGTGAGACAAGGCAATTGCTAATCCTAAATCTTCTCAGGATGCCCTATCTGGCGCAAGGAGCGGCGCAATCAACTGAAGATGCGGCTGCTCTGGCTGCTGCTCTTCGTGCTTGCTCGAGTATCCCTGAAGCCCTGCACACTTATGAAAAGGCACGCAAGCCGCGGTCGACATACGTCGCGAGGAATACAAGGGTACTGCAAGAGTGGCTACATCTGTATGATGGGCCAGCGCGAGATGAGCGGGATAGAAGGATGGAAGCCGACGCCGAGTCGAATCCGATGTTCTGGGGGTGGGAGAAGAGGAAGGACTGGTTGTTTGCATTTGATGCCAGCAACCTGGACGACGCCAAGGGCGAGATTCCGAGTCTTCCATCTATGCCGCCTGACGAGGCGAGAGTGTATCTAAATAAGAGCAATGGCCATTTATAGAGAGGTAAAGCACGCGTTAGAGCCTTGCCATATCACTTGAAAGATCGAAGCCCGTGATCTTTTCGAGTTCCTTCACAGCCAGATCCGCACGCCCTAAATTCACCTTGATCGTGTTCATCCCCAACTTCCTTGCCGTCCGCAAATTCTGTCCAATGTCGTCCAAGAAGGTGATGTCTTCGGCTCGCACGCCATCCCGGTAGTCTTTCGTCTTCACAAACTCGTGCAATCTCGTGATGGCGTACTGATACGCTTCCTCGTGAGGTTTCCGCATACCAATATGCGCACTAGAGATGAACACGTCGAATATGCCCGCCAGCGCACTACTCGCCTTGCCATCCTTCGTCGCTCCGTCATACAGCTTATGCCCCAGCGGGAAGATCGAAGTGTTAGACAGCGCTCCAAGAATGAGCCGCCCATTACTCCGATCCGCATGCTGCCGCAGCTTCTTGAGCGCGGGCCCCATGTGCGGATCGAGCTGTCGAGCAATGCTCATCATCTCATTGTGCAGCGCCTCCGCATCGATCTCCGGAAGAGGAGGAGCCTGGTACGCGGCCTCCTCGGCGCCCTGGCTGGACTTGAGATTGTGTTGTTTGGCGAGGTGGCGGGCGTGGTACTCGCGCCAACGCTTTTCGTTGGTGAGATCTGCGTGCCAGGCTTTGTAGAAGACTTGGTCGCAGACGAGCTCGCCGCGTTCGAGGCGCGCCCAGCTGCCCTGCGGTCCGGATTGCGAGATGGTCCAGTTGATGTAGCCTTCCGGGATGCCTTTGGATCGCTCGTAATCGAGGATTGCTTGGAAGGGAGATACGACCTGGAAGGGTGTTTAGTGCGTGCTTGGTTGGTTTTAAAATGATGGATATACGTACGCAGACACCACCAATGTCAAAGAGTAGGACCATGGGCGGCTTCCGAGTCGGTGGAGGCATGTCGAGGACGGTGTTCATGATGACAAACGTCTTGTTATCCTTGCTCCATCTTGGGGAGGACATTTTGGATGTCAATGCGCCAACGTCTGGTATCTAGGAGACATGTAGCTCTCTAGACCCTAAAGACTGTCTGGGGCCGTCTGCTACGAGGTCGGCATGTCTGCATGTTGCCTCGGCCTGGGCGTCGCCTCCGCGGCTGTGAGTGTTGATGCCTCAGGCAGACATCGCGGTCCAGACTTTCCCCACTTCTCTCCACCTCGATGATACGACGAGATGAGCTTTGGATCGCGCAACCACCATGAGCAAGATACTTCCTTTCAATACACGGTGCTTTAATCGCATCTGACTTGCTTTCAGCTCTCGTCTTATCAATCAACAGAACAGAGACAGAGGTATTCGCCGTCACTATCCGGACCGAGTCTTTCGGTTCACGGTCCGCGTACATCTAGGGTAGCTTTGGGGATATATCTATTGCACAAGTATCATCGAGTCTCTGGAAAGGCTTGAACACAAGGCAATCAACATGAACGGCACAAACGGCACAACCAATGGCGAGGTCCAACTCCCCTCGGCCAAACCATACCAAGTCTCGAAAGACATCACCGTCCAGCCGCCACTGACACGACGTGGCAACGGCCCAGCGCTGATTCTCCTCGTCCCCGAGGGCTTGGATCTGAGTGGCCACGAAAAGACACTCGATCCGCCACCGCTTCAGAAGTGGGCGGAGGAAGGCTTCGCCGTCGCGCAAATTGCGGTATCCGAGCAGCATTCCAATTTCCAGGAGCAGTTGAACGAGGCTCTCGCCGCATTGGAGAAGTTGGCCGAATGCGACTCGACGGAGAAGACGGGCGTCATCGCCATCAACACCAAAGACTCGTCTCACATCTCAAAAGCTATCGACGCCACCGACAAAATCGTAGCAGTCATCACCTACGGCAGCAGCACCCTGCAAACCACAAAACCGCAACTGAGCCACCTCGCCGGCACAGCATCCAAAGCCGCAGCCAACAGCACCAAATCCTTCCACTACCCTGATGTGGGAAGCTACTTCACCATCCCCTCCCACGACGACTTCAAATCCTCCCCGGCGGCCGTAAGCCACACGCGCTGCCTCGCGTTCCTCAAACCCCTCACCAACGGGCCCTACTTCGACCTCGAGGCCATCTGGGACGAGCACTGCATGTTCGAGTTCGGGGAGCGGGCGGTGGAGAAGACGATGGGCACGATGGTGCAGGAGCCGTACGTCAACCACATCCCGACGCTGACGGGCGGCATTGGGCGGGCGAAGTTGACGCATTTCTACGCGAATCACTTCATCTTTAATAATCCTGACGACACCGCTTTGGATCTGGTCAGTCGGACGGTGGGAGTTGATCGCGTGATTGACGAGTTTATCTTTTCGTTTACGCATGATAAGATGATTGATTGGCTGTATGTTTCGCTCAATGTTCCTCGAGACATGGTGTGGCAAGCTGACAGAGTTACAGTGCCCCTGGCATCCCACCAACAGGCAAGAAATGCGACCTCCCCTTCACAAGCGTCGTCAACATTCGAGGCGATCGGCTGTACCACGAGCACATTGGATGGGATGGAGCGACCATGTTGCGACAGATGGGCTTACTTCCAGACTACCTTCCCTTCCCGTACGCCGTCGACGGGAAGAACCCGGCGCCAGGCAAGGCGTTCGAGTACAAGGTGCCGACCATGGGAGTGGAGACGAGTCGAAAATTGGTGGACGAGAGATCGGTGGAGTCGAATGGACTGTTTGCGTTTGCGGTGCGGGAAGTGGATCAGTGAGGAGTAGAAGTGAAGTCGATATTATTGGTATTACAGCAATAAAGTCCAAAGCCCTGACCCAGTCGTATCTTTGCGCAACATGTACTCCATAAAGGAAGATGGCCATCACCAGCCCTCGCGGCTCCCCTCGTATTCTACCCTCTACGAGTTCCAGTGGTGGTGGTGCGGCTCCTCATGCCAATGGTGATGCTGAGGGCACGGCTTCGTAGCATTGACATAAACATCGTAGATGACATTGTCAACGGCGAAAGCGGGCGGCGGGTCTCCCCCGTTGGTGTTAATGTAATTGAATGCCACCTCGGTCAGCTTGGTGAAGTTGCCATTGAGTGTTGCAAGAACCATGTTGGCGGTGAAGATGCCGCTGCCAGTTTGGTCGCCTCCGAAGTAGAAGGTCTGCGTTGCGACGAGATCGACACCCGAGTAGCCTTGGACCGTGACGTCGCAGTCTTCAGGCGAGTCGACTTCGCCATCGGTGCTGTTGTAGTCAGCGGATTTATTAGCAGAGCAGGGGTGATCTCTCCCGAGCTCGGTACGTACACCGCGGTACAGCCAAAGTAGAAGCTCTTCAGGTCAAAGTAGACGGTCTTGCTTCCGGTGTAGTTGGAGTAGAGGGTGGGGGTGTCGAAAACATTCGTGGTGGCGCCCTCCGAGGCAGCGACATTCGGCGGGCTCTGGGGGATGAGGCCGATCAGACCGGTGGTGCTGATGGAGGTGTCTGCAACTTCGGAGCTGGCGGCGTAGAAGCTGGACCAGAAGAGGTAGTCGTAATTGCCGATCTCGTTTTCAATCAAGGGCCTGGAGATGATGCGTCAGTTGGGCGAGCATCGTGAGGCGTGTGTAAGGATGGTGGACGTACACGGTGATTGGAAGCGCGGTCAGATCGTCGAACTAGAGGAGGCAAGAAAGTGAGTAGGCGATGTGAGGGCGGGTGATGAATGGAGGGAAGGAGCACGACTGACGGTAGCGTTGACGGGGATGGCTTTGAGATAGGGGCACTGCTTCTGCTTGGGCTGCTTCCATGGGGAGGGAGTAGCGGCAGCGAGGCCCAGCAGGCCGGCGATGAGAAGAGCTTTGGACATTGTGTTCCTGAAAGAGAGATGAAGCAAGAGAGTGTGTAGAAACGAGTGACTCGAGGTGAGATGACGGCGCAACAGCAGTAGAGACAGTTGGAAAGACAGTAGAAGAGACGGATAGGAACAAGACGCGTCTAGGGATGTGTTATCGACGCGGGCATGGCCTCCTATATACCAAGGAGGTGGTCGCCGTTGGACATGGCGCACGCCTTCTGCACCCAACCGCGTACATACGTCCACGAGAGAATCGGAACCCTGTCAGTCAACGCACGAGTTGTAGGAGCCGACGTAGAGTACCAACCAGAAAGCTCCGTAGGATCACTGCACTCCGCGGAGATTACTACTTGCCGGATGGAGGATGAGCAGGAAATTGGGTGGCTGGCAGATCGTAAACGGTCGGCGACGCGTGGGGAATGAAGATGGAATTGGGGGGAAAGGCCGCGGGAAGGCGTCAAGGCATCCATCGGGAAGGGCCCCCACCGGGAGGGTTCCACCGGCAAGAGCTGCAGAGGCCGGACCGAGGCGTGCGTTAGCGGACTCGGAAGGCACGACCAGCTTATCGCCGGTCCCGCTTCGACCGACGGCTTGCACATGCACATGCACATGCACCTCCGCCTCCGTCTCCATCCTCCCTAAAAAGACTGCATGCTTGCCTCGAGCTCACCGTCCCCTCCGCCTCCATCCTCCTCATCTCTTGTCCCTCCCGAACAACCAAGGCGGCAGACCATGTGGTCGCTCCGCCGGCCTCGCTTAGCAACGTGTGGTGGAATTTAACGGCGTCAACAACCACGCCTTGTGCCCCCTCACTTCACCACAGCCAACTCCACATCCCTCTCCACCCCATCTTCGCCGACAACACCGCGCGAAATGGAAGAAGCTCGCCAGCCTCACGGAAGGGAAGGCGGAGAACCTAGCATCGTCGTCGATCATGCTGCAACAGAGGATGACGCAGTGCGCGCCCTGGCCGACATGTCACTCAGTGGGCGGCGACCAGAGCAAACGCGAAGCATCACCGACCCGAGCCCGGTCTTGCTGTCACGAGCCTGGTCGAAAGGCAAGGACACCCGCGACCGACCCGGCAGCAGCGGCGGAAGTAGCACCGCCAGCAGTCGGAGCGGCCACTCTCGCAATCGCTCGCCCTTCTCTCGCAGCCACTTGCGCACCCGGAGCACCAGCGGTTCGTCGCTCGCTGCTCCTCCCATGACGCGAGCCCACTCCATGCCCAATCCCAACACCCCGCGTCAGTTGGACTCGTTCGCCCCGACACCAATCTCTGGCAGTCTCTCACCGAGTCCCCTACGCTCCTCGGCTCGAGCCGGGAGTCCCTTCAAATTCGAGGATGGCGGCTTCAACACCTCCTCGCGCTCGCCGAGCTGGCTCGACATGAGCAGCGACAGCGCGTGGACCAACGGCATCGGCATTGCAGCAATACAAGAAGACAGCGAGTTGGACCTCACTCCACGCCCCGTCCTGCAACACCCCCACTCCTCCTCGGCCTTTGCATCCTTTTCCTTCTCCCGCTCCAGCTCTCAACGCGGCAGCCGACGCCCCGCCTCACCCCTCCATAGCTTCTCCAACGCGCCTCCAACCACCGACCACCACCAGCCGACCTTTCAACTATCGCACACCCCGCGTTCCGGCTCCAGCTCCCCCACCCTCAACCCCCAACGCTACAACGAAGCATACCCACAATCCCTGCACCACTACGCGAGCACCTCCTCCTTCTCCTCCTTCAGCATGCCCTCCACCCCGACCTCCATGCGCAGCCGTTCGCCCTCCATCTCCTCCTTGGAGACGATCGAGGACGCGCCGGAGATGGAAAGCGTGGCCGAGGCGGAGGTGATGGAGCGCTTGAAACTCGTCATCGAGAGCGAGAGCGACGGGGAGAATGATGCGGGCAATGGAGGAGTGAGGAGGCGAAGTCTGGATGTTGGTCGCGGTGGACGGCGGACAGGGTTAGGATTGGGATTGAGTGGGGAGAAAAAACGGTGGAGTATCTGTGGGGGCGAAAGGAGGGGAGATCTAGACCTGGAGACGATCTGGGAGGATTGATGCGTGGTGACTGGCTTCCGCTGAGGCCGAACGCGTCGAATGAAGCACACACGTCTTCGACGAGACGTACGAGTCTATGAGAGCATTTCTTTTTCGGCGTTCATGGGATCGACGCGGCGGGCGAAGGACGAGGGAGGGCCTGATGATTTTTCTACGATACCCAACGCGCGTTGATGATACCGAGAGCGGCGGACTCGTGTTTTTAGTGGAAGACCTGAGATACCTTCGACACAACGAAATGAGTATGATTTTGAACCCTGCGCCTCTGTGCCATCTTTCCCGTCCCTCGTCAATGTCGTCAGTCGTGTGAGTGAGTCTCGGTGCCTGACAAGGCTTCTACTGCCCCACATCAACTTTTTCTCAAACAGGCAAGCCATCACACCTCACCTCACCTCACCACACCAACACCCCTCTGCTCCCCGCCACCACCCAACCCAAACCAAAATGTCACCCGACTCAGGCACCCCTTACCTCCCCGCCCCCTTCACAACCTCCCCCACCCCCCTAACCCTAATAACGCGCGGCGCAGAAGCCGCCCTCTACAAGACCACCTTCCTCACCCCCCACCAACCCTGCGCGCTCAAAATCCGGCCCCCGAAACCCTGGCGCCACCCGACTCTCGACGCCCGCCTGACGCGCCAGCGCATCCTCGCGGAAGCGCGGGCGCTGGTGAAGTGCGGGCGGGAGGGCGTGAGGGTCCCGCAAGTGTTGGGGATGAGTTGGGAGGAGGGGTGGGTTGCGCTGGAGTGGATTGCGGGGCGGACGGTGAAGGATGTTATTTGGGGGTGGAGGGCTGAGGGGGCGGAGAAGGGGGATGCTTGGTTGAGAGGGTTGTTGGGGAAGGTCGGGAGGGCGGTTGGGTTATTGCATTCGATTGGGGTTGTGCATGGGGATTTGACGAGTAGCAATATGATTGTGGAAGAGCAGGGGAGCACGGCGGGGGAAGGGGAGATTGTGCTGATTGATTTCGGGCTCGCGACGCAGGCTGTGCAGGAGGAGGATCGTGCGGTCGACTTGTATGTGCTGGAGCGCGCTTTTGGCTCCACGCATCCGCGCGAAGAGGCGCTTTTTGGCGTTGTGCTGGAGGCGTATGCGGGGAGTTATAAGGGGGCCAAGGCGACGTTGAAGAGGCTGGAGGATGTAAGGATGAGGGGGAGGAAGAAGAGCATGATTGGGTGAAAGGGGGACGGGAGTTGCACGACTACGGAAGTTCAACAGCTTCTGTCGGATATCATTATTTGTCGAGGCTTGCAGCGACCTTGACCTCACTGGATGGGACTTCCTCGTCCTCGGTGCTCTCGTCTTGCGCCCCGTCGACGCCCACGCCCGGCCGATTCTTGCGACGCTTGGTCCCCGCGCCACCGAGCCCGACACTGCGATCAAAAGCCTTCTTCACCAGCGCTTTCGCCGCCTCTCCCTCCTTCGCCATCCCAGCAGGCGGAAGCAATTCCCCATCCGCAATTCTCCAGCCCTGCGCGCGAAGCGCTTTCCACTTCTCCCCGATCTTCACCCGCACCAGATCGCCCGTGGCCATAGCGTCTTCCAGCGAGTCGTGTCCGCGGTCGCCGCCGGTCTGGATGCTGCGGTTCAGGTGTCTTGCGGAGAGCATTTTGAGCCCGAAGCGCATTGGTAGGCCTCGAGGGTGTGGGAAGAGGAGTACGGTGTCGATGATGGTCGGGTGGCAGAGACGGACGGCGTTGAGATCGTTGTCGATTGCGTGCCCGATGAGAGGAGTTGTGGGCGTGAGGAAGGAGCAGAGTAGAGAGCGGGCGGCTTGAGGGTTGTTGACGATGGGTAGTGCACGAGGTGTAGTAGCGTCGGTGGGAGTCGCTGCAGTCATCCATTCGTCGTACGGCACGGCTTTGGTGAAGTGCTCCGGCCACACGCCCGAGAAGCGACTGTTGAAATCGATGACGGTACCCAGCGGTCGAACGAGAACATCCACCAGTTCTTCCCCCGAGGGCCAAGCTACCGCTGTGAGGCGGATGAGCTCCAGACCGTAGACGGTGTACCCCATCTCACAATCAAACGTCACAGCAACGACATCCTTTCCGCTCCGATCCTTCTTCGGCTTCTCATTCTCCGGGGTGGTAATGAACGGCAAGACAGCCGCCAGTCTTGCCGGCGAGCTCGACTTGAAGACGTGATGCTCGGTCACAGTGCAACCCGGCGATCCCACAGTCGCGTTGCAGCAGGGATAGTAGGCTTCTTTGGCGTTCCCCATTGCGAAATCGGCACGCGTCTTATCTGGGAAGACTCTGCGATTGGGATGGTGCTTACATCTACCGTTGGATGTCAGAAGGCCTTCTTCATTCCGGTTAGGAAAGACTTGGAAGCGGGCGGAACAGCGATCGCAGACTTCGTAGTTGCGGCTTGCTTCGACGGCTTCTGCTGCTTTCGTCGCTTCGGCTTCCGTGGGCGGAGTGGGGATGTAGCCATACGATGTCAGGCGACTTTGATCCGCGACAAGTCCTGGTAGTAGCAGTTGCTCTTCCCGTGGCGTAAGACCTGTCTGCGGCTGGAGGGCGTCGGCGGGCTTCTGCTTCAAGGTGACCTGGATAGCGGGCTTCTTGAAAGACGTCTGGATGTGCTGAGCCCAGTCTTCCACTTTCATCTTCCTGTAGTGCGCAATTCTGTTCTTGATGATGTTGGGGTAGAGCTGCGATTGCTCTCGGGCGACCTTTTCTTCCTCGTCCAGGGCCATCTTGATCAATTCTGCATCGGTGAGATGGAGCAGTCGCTTGTGCTCCAGCGTGTCACTGTCTCTGACAAGGTGGTTGAGACGCAGCATCTCTGCGTGCAAGTGCTTGAGGTAGAGAGCACGTTTGGAGTGGCCGACGGGGTCGTTGGAGATGAGTCTTGGATTGAGCTTCTCGCTTGCTGCCTTTGACTCCTGAATTGCGATGGGCTCCTTCGTGACCTTTGGAGTGGGAACGGCGACAGCTTTGCTTCTGTCCTGCGATGGAGGTGTAGTTGTACCGGCCTTGTCTGGATACTTGTCGATGAGGTATCGACTGAGAGCGAGCCCCATCTGCGGCGGCGAGACGGGGCGGGTGAGAGTCTTTGGTTTCGCCGAGACTGTCTCTCCAGTATCTGTCTCGGATGCGGTCCCAGTCCTCGCTGCGGCCAGTTGAGAGCGGATGTCATCTGCTTTGCTTGGAGGTTTGGAAGAGGCGGAGTCATAAGTGACTTTCCTCCGTTTGCTTGGTGGCTCGCTCGCACGTGCATCTTGTGGTTTGGCAAACGACGTCTGCTGCGTTTGGATGTTTTGTGGTCTAAGGTCGTGGCTGAAGATGCAGTTTGTCAGGCTGCATTCCCCCCCGTACGGACAGGCGATTCCTTTGAAGAGGTTTGTCGGGGTGAAGACCATTTTGGCGGGGGGTATTTGTGGGTGGATGTTGGATCGGGATCATGGTCCACGTTCAGCATCGATGAGTACGATGGGGAGCAGCATTCATGTTTCAGACGCATACATGCGATTGGTGACGTTGGGTGTCTTTGATGAGGTGAAGTCCAGGCGGATTGTTCTGATTGCTGTTGCCACAGACTCACGTGACTTTGCTCCGCCTAAGTCAACGTTCACCATCTCCAATGGTGGCCAGGGAATACGACGGATGGATTAGCACCGGTCGGGCATGGAGACGGAGGCGAAACGGCCGTGAGGGACGGGATGAAGTTGCGCCTAAAGTCCGCGCCGGCACGCCAATCTTCCACTTCCGCGCATCAGGCTGTCGTCATGCATGCATCCGCCTGCCAATAAATACTTTAATTGTTGCACCATCCTCGTCGCCAATTGACTTCCACCGAGACTACCTCGTCGGTCGCTACTCCCCTCTCCTCCAACCCTCCCATCGCGGAGCAGGCGCGGCCGACCATGGACTCTCCCAATCCCTCCTCCACCATCCATCTCTGCGTCCTTGTCCACGGCCTCTGGGGCAATCCCGTCCATCTCAACCACCTCCGCGACGCGCTACAAGCCCAACACCCACAAGACAGGCTGCACATCCTCGTGGCAAAGAGCAATGCAGACTACAACACCTACGACGGCATCGAAGTCGGCGGCGAACGCGTCACCCACGAAGTCGAACAGACCATTCGCGAGCTGGAGAAGGAGGGGGCAAAAGTGCAGAAGATCAGCGTGACGGGCTACTCGCTCGGCGGGCTGGTGGCGCGATATGCAATCGGACTGCTGTACAAGAGCGGCGTCTTTGACAAAGTCGAGCCCGTCAACTTCGCCACCTTTGCCACGCCGCATCTCGGCGTGCGCACGCCCAAGCTGGGCTACCGCGCGTACATTTGGAACATCATGGGCTCCAAGACGCTCAGCACGTCGGGCGAGCAGATGTTCACCTTTGATACCTTCCGCGACACCGGCCGGCCGCTGCTGAGCATCATGGCGGATCGACAGAGCATCTTCATGAAAGGTCTACGCATGTTTAAGAATAAATCACTCTACGCCAACACCATCAATGATCGCAGTGTACCCTACTACACCGCCTTCATCAGCCGCACAGATCCGTACGTCGATCTGGAGAAGGTGGATCTGCACTACCAGCGCGGCCAAGAGGATCCAGTCGTCCTCGAACCCACCCTTCCAGTCACCCTCAAGAAGCCTCGAACGGAGCAGCTCACTACATACGAACGCCTCAGTGTTCTGACACAACAGACAAAAACGACACTGCCCTTCTACGCCCTACTCTTCACCCTGCTTCCCATCGCCCTTCCCGCCTTCCTCGTCAACTCCGTCTACCAAACCTACAGATCCGTCCAGCGCGTCAAGCTACACGAGTCAGATCACGCGGGGATTGGGCTAGGACGATACAGAATACCACTTTTCGAAGAAGCGCAACACGTCCAAGACCGCGTTTACGAGGAACTAGCCGAGAGGAGCAGAGAAGAGTACCTCCCGACTCCGCCGCCCGAGCCCGCATCATCCGCTATCTCCTCTTCGTCTGCATCCGACACGGCTAAACTGTCAAGAACGGAGACCGCCAAGGAGGACTCGCCGTTCCCTGTTCTTGCTTTGACGGAGGAGCAGTTCGAGATGATTGACAATCTGGACTCGTTGGACTTTACGAAATTTCCCGTGCATATTCAGCGCCATCGGCATACGCATGCCGCCATTGTTGTGAGGATGCAGAAGGATGCTTTTGCCGAGGGAAGAGTGGTGGTGAGGCATTGGGCGCAAAGGTTTGAGATATGACGATGTGAAGGAGCCATTGTCAACGCCAAGCTTGCTTGAGAGATGGAGAAGTTGCTATGCCGCCAACTGCGAAATCCGTATGCGCTGCAGTTGTGAAGGTTCGGGCTATCGGTGCGGTTACCGCCCTGTGATTTGCTCATCATCTGCGTGACTATTCGCTCGCGAGGTCATTGAGAGCAACGACCAGCGTCGCTCTCCTCTCTCGCCAGAACGATCAAGCGGTCTGGCGAGAGTGGCACCGCAAGAGCACCACAACCAGAGATAGAACGGCTTCCAGTCGCCTCTGTCGACACCTCAAACCCGTCTAGTCCATAGCTGCCCCTCCATCATTCAAACCTCACCCACTTCAACTCTCCCCTCGCCTTCGTCCCATCCTAATCATAATAATCAGCACTTCTCCACCACCCCATGAGTGGTACAGTAAAGACAAAACAAACTCACCTCCAAAACCATATCCCTCTCCGGCCTAAGTACCATCACCTCCCGTCCCCCCTCCTGAATCAACTCCACCCTCCTTACCTCATAACCCCCCATGCGCGCCGGATCCGACGAAACCTCCACCTTCGTCCTCCACCACAGGCCCGCCTCATCCTCATAAACCTCCATATACCCACAATACATACTCAGCCCGCGCGCCACGTGCGCCACCTCGGCGTCTCCGCCCGTCTGCCACGCTTTGCCGGAGGGAAGGGGCTGCGCTAGGCGTTGCGGGTTCGCGACGTGCGCGGAGAGGAAGCCTTGCGGGGAGATGAGCACGCGGCCGAGGGGAGTGTCGCCGTGGGGTTTGGTGAGGAGGTCGTGGGTTTGGGCGTGCCTTTGTTCGAAGGAGATGCATTTCCAGGCGCCGGAGAGGCGGGAGGAGTACTTGGGCCAGAGGTTGGGGGTGGTGGGGTTGGCGGTTGGCATTGTTCGTGATATTTTGGGGGATTAACTGATTTGTTGGATATTGATTCTTTTGGCTTCCTGGTAGTGAGGTGGGATTGGTTTTATGCGGGTTGGTTGACTTTTTGATAACAAGGTCTAAGAGATGAAGTCAGAGCAGCGACATCGGTCGAGCTCGAGGTCTTGGTCTGTTTTGCAAATCACACAACAGACACTACGGTCGAGATACTCCTCCTCGAACCGTACAGTGTCAAGGAATCAGGCAGGCATGCAACGTATTCAACAAGTGCCAGCATTCTGATTATTCGATGCAGCACCACGCCAACACACCGTCGACAGCTGCCAGTCGTCTTCACACCACCATGGTAAACTTCAGCTTGTTCTGCTCCACAATCTCATCCTTCCTCGCCTCCAGCTGCAACATGTCCCAATTGGCCGAGATGAACCTCCCGGAAGCCCAGGCGCGCTTCTCCCGCGCGAACCACACGCACACCGCCCCAGCCATCTCAATGTCATCGTCCAACGCTACCCGCACATCGTGAGCCTGCGAACCCGAAGCGCACGGAGAGAAGAGCCTTACCGTCATAGACAGCCGCAGGCAGGAGCACCTTCGTGCCCGGCGTGCGAGTGCTGCCCGGATGCATTGCAATAACCACCAAACCCTGGTCCGCGTACGTCTCGCCGAGCTGCTGTGAAAGGCGGGTCTGCGCGAGCTTGGCGATGTTATATGAGATGGGGCTCAGGCCCGTCAAGTGTGCCGCGATGCTAACGATATTGATGAAGAGCTTTCCCGTGCTCGGAGGCTGGAGCATGAGCGGGAGTAAGTGGCGGGCAGCGTAGAAGGGACCGAAGAGGTTGATGTGCATGGTTTGGAGGAAGTTCTCGCATGGGAAGTCGGGGAGAGGGGCGAATTCGTTGATGGAGGTGATGTTGCCTGCGCAGCACACGGTGCAATCGAGCCGGCCGCCGTATCGGTCTTGCAAGAGTTGCTTGAGCTTGGGGTATGTCTCTTCCCGGCTTGCGTCGCCGGGCTCCGTGGAGACGTGGACGGTGCTCCCGCGCCGGCTGGCCATCTCTTCGAGCTCCCCCTTCACTCTCGCCAGGTTTTCTGGGGAGCGCCCCGTAATGATGACATTGGATGCTTTCGCTTTGACAAACGCTTTGGCGATGTACTCTCCTATCCCACCCCCAGCACCAATTACCAGGACTGTGTAGCCGTCGGGGAGGGCGGCATTAGCGGGGTCGATCGCTGGGTCGAGCGTGTGATGAATTGTGTCTGTGAAGAGCATGCCGACGTGCGGCGGCAGCAATTTGGCCAAGGCATCGTAGTCCATCGCGACGGGCTGGACAGAGCCGAATGCCGGCAATCCTGGACACAAGGACTTACATTAGAACAGGCGATCTGGTAGAGCTGGCGCTGTTTTAAGTACCCTCTTGGAACGGCTTCCAAAGTGAAGAATGCATCGAGACAGTGGAGCTTACGGCGGCTGAATGGACGATCTGTCAGCGCTAGGACCTAGTCTGAGCCCCTAGCCCCGAACTCTTGAGTGTCAGCAAACGACAACTGTCCAGTGAAGTAGTCATGGCTTTCTGAAGATGCATAGCTCCGGGGTGACTACGTGGACTGCTGATGAAAGATGAGGTGCTGTCATGCTTGCTGAGTGCAGCTTCAAATATCGAAGCTTCATTGATTCGAGCTTGGAATGGAGATGATGATACTGGTGATGATGAGTTTCCTGAAAGCCAAGGAGACTTGAAACGTAAAGATGCTTGCCAAGAAAAAGGGATACATATGGCAGAAGGTGGTGGAGTTCCTGAACGGCTGACAGATGCCACCAGGTGTCGTCTCAAGCAGAGCACGTGACTCAGAACTTCACCACGCCACTGTTTTTACTGTAGTCGTTTAGAGAAAGGGGCCGATGTTGGAGCGATGGTAAGCTATGCCCTGATTGTTCACAGAGAATGGAAACCGTGCTGACTCGTCTTCAGAGGGCCAAAGGTCTATGCCGTTGGCAAAGAGAGCGTCGTACGGCGGAGGGGCATCGGTTTTTATGAAGATATGAAAGAAGGAGTGGCGAGAGGAGGGCGAGCTTGCGAAGTTGGAGTTGAGCCAATGGTTTGCATGATTCAACACGGTCGAGTCTCGATGGCATGCAGCCACGTTTCAGTCCCGTGTACGAGAGTCAGGCAACACGTGAGGTGTATCAATGGAGATGGAACAATCTAGAACCACGGCCTTGATCTAATCGCCCCATCACGCTTGGCAAGATTCGCTCCTCATTTTCCCGATCGGGCGGACGTGACGTCGGCGGGGTGCCTGCTCATCCACCGTGTTCTCGCCCATTCCATTTCCCCCACCAGTGGAAGTGCCGACGGGAGAAACTCAGCAGCTGTTTCATCCATTCAAGCTTCCCGTCCGAGGTTCGGCCCTGGCCCACGGCCAATGAGCTCGAGTGACGCGCGACCTGCTCCGGATGACGCCAGACTTTGTTCACCGTTTTGAATTTGGAATTGCGTGGGGCACTGATGATTATTCTCGCAGCAGACGAGAAGGACACCCGATGGTTGGCGTTGTCTAGACGATGGTGGAGAGGATTTCCCATCAGGGTGGGTCGTATATAAGTTCTCTGTTCTCCCATTGATCTTCATCTCTCCCTCTACCGTACATCACCCACTACACTTCATCACCAAAACTCTACACCTACATCTACACATTGCAATCATGGTCAAAGTTGGCGACACCCTCCCGTCTGGCTCCGTCCAAGAGGGAGCACCTGACAGGACTGTCGACCTCTCCCAAGTTCTCAAGGACGGCTACCTCATCGGCGTGCCAGGTACGTGTGGACAACACGACGTGAAGTCCAGCATAGAACACCACTAATCCCCAACCCTGCAGCCGCCTTCTCCCCCACCTGTTCGCAAGGCCACATCCCCAAGTACGTCACCAAGGCGCGAGGCGGCAGCAGCGCGCCAGTCTACGTGATCGCGGTCAACGACGCCTTTGTCATGAACGCGTGGCACGAGTCGCTCGACCCGCAGAAAGATTCGGGCGTGCACTTCGTCGCCGACCCGGCCGGCGAGTACGTCAAGAAGCTCGACCTGCTCTTCGATGCCACGGGCCTGCTGGGCAACCACCGCGCGCACCGCTTCGCCATTGCCGTCAAGGACGGCAAGGTGCAGAAGCTGGACGTCGAGCCGGATCCGACGCAGGTCACCACCACCTCTGCCGAGCGGGTCTTGTGACTACGTGACGCAAAGGAGAAGCTGTGAACCTGGCGGAAGGGAATGATTTTGGAAAGATTAACGCTGAAATTGGTGGTTGAGTAGATTCATGTAGACATCTTGAACTTTTGCTCGCCTCCATCAAGCAGTTTCCCGTGCCCCGCTCCGACTTCGGACGTTGTACTTCACGTTCGTTTCGTGATCAGTGTAATGATGCATGCACACCACGATCACATATTGAAGAGTGAGAGAAGCGAGTAATTATGGCAATCAGCATGTACACTCGAGATACTCGACGAACTACAAGCATTCATGTCATTCAACACAGGTCAAGAGTCAGTTGCATGCCATAGCCGGGAATAATCCAACGCAAGGCTACCGAAGGCCTCGGGTATAGCGGCGAAGGTACAAGGTACCTCGAGGTAAGATATAGAAACTCTCAATACCATCATCCTTTAACCCCTCTCCATCTCAAAACCACATCTGCTTATAACCACTCGCCCCCAAGAACGATGGCTACAACCAACGGCACCAACGGCGTCAACGGCGTGAATGGCCACGCAAACACCCCACCACACGAGCAAAATGTCCCCGCGACATCACTCCTCGCCGCCTTCGTGGCCAACGCAACGACCGACTGCCTCACGCCCGCCATGCTGGAGAAACTGCACGAGCTCCTGATCGACTACATCGGCGTCGTCGTCGGCGCCCGCGACAACGCCGACTCCACCGAGCCCATCTACGCCGCCATTCGCGCCCTGCAGGGCCCTCAGGTCACGGGACCGTGCACCGTGCTCGGCATGGGCGCGCCTCACATGCTGCCGCAGTACGCCGGCCTGCTGAACTCCGCGTTCGGGCACTCGATGGACTTCGACGACACGCACGTCGAGGGCCCGCTGCACCCGGGCGTGACGGCGATTTCGGCCGCCATGACGCAGGCGGAGCTGCTGGGGTCCAGCAGCAGCAGTCTCGATTTCCTGCTGGCGATGGCAATCGGGTATGAGATTACGGTGCGCGTGGGCCGGGAGCTGGACTACTCCACCTACGACCGCGGCTTCCATCTGACGTCCATTGCGGGCATCTACGGCGCCGTGGCGTCCATTGCCGTGCTCAAGCACCTCGACGCCAAAACGGTGGAAATGGCATGGGGCCTAGCGGGCAGCAAAGCCGCCGGCTCAATGCAGTACCTCGACAACGGGTCGTGGAACAAGCGTCTGCACCCGGGCTTCGCAGTGCACGACGCGTTCATGTGCGTGGGCCTCGCGGAGGCAGGCGTGATCGGCGCGACGCGCATCTTCGAGGGCAAAATGGGGTTCTTGCAGGCCTACAGCCCCAACCCCAACCAGGACATGCGGCGCCTGACGGCCGGGCTGGGCACCGAGTGGCTGTGGCCGGCGTCGAGTCTGAAGCCCTACCCGGCGTGCCGCATGACGCACGGCTTCATCGAGTTGTCGGGCAACATGCACACTGCGGCGAAGGGAGGGGTGTCCGCTGCAGACGTCAGCGCCATCACGCTGTCGATGAGCCCGGCGTGTTTCAAGCTGATTGGCGATCCGAGTCCCAACAAGAAGCATCCCAACAATGTCATTGACGGGCAATTCTCGGCATACTTCCAAGTCGCGAATGCGCTTGCGTATGGTTCCAAGACGGGCTTGCAAGCGTATAGTCGCCTGTCCGACGAGAAGATCCATGCTCTGTGCGATAAGATCACCGTCAAGATCGTTACCTCGATGAAGGGTTTCGAGGCGCGGATGGATGTGCAGTGGGCGGATGGACGGACCGATCAGGTGGAGCAGCTGTTCCCGCTGGGCGAGACGCAGCATCCGTTTACGCGGGACAAGGTGGATGAGAAGTTCTTCAGCCTGGCTGTGCCGGTGTACGGGGAGGCGAAGTCGCGGGACATCATCAAGATGGTGGACTCGCTTGAAAAGCACAGTGTGGAGCAGTTGCTAGTCTTGTTGCGATAAACTGTGTGCTCTGACAGATTGCGTGTGCCTGTGTAGCAGTGGATTACATTACACAGTCGAAATGATCTAATGATTGAAATGTATTTACCAGAGAATATTGGTCGTTAAGAGTCCCATTCCCTCCCCATTGTGTTCACACCCGAAAACGCCAGCATCAACATCGTCGCAGCATTTGCAAAAACTAGTTGCATCACACGTACATCCACCAGATGGCCCCTAGCCACGAGACGACGACAAAAGCAGTCAAGATGCCCGCGCCCGCCCGACTAGCTGTCGTGATGGGCGTGGTGGGCGCGCCAATGCCAGTATTGCTGCTTGTGCCCGCGCTCGGGTCGCCGGTCGAGGTGCCTCCCGTCTTCCGCGTCACGGGCGATCTGGCGTCCTGGACGATGTTGGCCATGAAGATTTGCATGGCGTCGAGTTGTTGCCCGACGCCATAGGTGCCATCCCATGTCCCGTTGGTCCAGGAGAAGCCGCAGGCGTTGCCGTACAGGCCGGCGATGGTGCCGACGCATTGTGCTGCCGCTGCTGTGGCGGAGGATTGAAAGAACGGGGTGAAAATGTCGAGCAGCGCTGGCACCCATTTTGTGCTGGCGGCCATGTAGCGGGCAAAGTAGCTCTTGAAGCTGTGATGTGTGTTAGCCTGCATTCGCACAAGTGGTTGCCAGATAGACACACCTCAATTCGTTGAGATCGCATACACCGCCAGGGCGCTCGCAGGCTTGCTCCCAGAGGATGGTATTATTGTAGAAGAAAATCTGCCGTGAGGTGTTAGTTATGAAGAGTGCAACATACACCTGCTGACTGTAGACTTACATTACTAGAGTTCCAGATTCCGTAGAGTCGGGTTTCCCATATCGGGTCGCCGGTGATGTTGTACATGACAGCGGCGGTGTTCAGGAGCATGCCGGCGCTGTATGTCCATTGCAAGAACGTGATGGTGGTGCAGTTGTTGGTGTCGTAGACGCCATCGTAGATGCCGTAGCCGGGCCCTTCACCAAAGTTGCTGATGAGCAAGACACCCTCCATCCAATCCCACGCCCTGTTGACCCAGTTGGCGTAGGTCTGGTTGCCGGTGTATGCGTACAGACGGGCACCGAGGTTGATGAAGCCGGCATTGCTGGGGCTGTTCTTGTAGGTGTAGCCCGTGTCGAAGGTGAAAATCTGCCATCGCAGGCCGCCGTTGCACGTGGACGTGTCCCATCTCGCTTGCTGGCTATTCCAGACGCCTTGCGCCAACGCCAACCATTGCGGCTGATCGGCGGGCGGATTGGGAAACTTATACTCCGCAGCGGTCATGACCGCGAAGCCCCAGAAAATCTGATCATCGTTACCCTCGTCGGTGGTCTGATTGGCGGGCATGTAGTCCTTGGTCGGCGAGACTTGGAACTGTAAGGCCTGGGTGACGACGTCGTTGTAGGTGTCGTCGCCGGTGTAATACCAATAATCAATCAGCGCTCCCCACATTGCGCCGGCTTCCCACCAGTAGTAGGGCCCGCCGAGTAGGCCGGGCGTGCCGCCGGTGAGGTTGCCGCCGTACCATTGCATCATGCTATGCGCCGCCGTCGACGCGGCGGACTTGACGGAGTCGGGGTCGGTGGGGTCGAGGCTGATGGCGGCGACATGGCGGAGGGAGGAGAGGATGGCGGTGGTGGCGAGGGCGCAGTCGCGTAGTCGGATGCGCATGGCTGTGGTTGTTCGGGGGAGGCGGATGAGGTGGAAGAGGTGGTGCGCCCGGGGAATGGCAGTGCGCGGGTTGTTGGCAGGTGTCAAGATGGTCGTCGGCGGATTTCCGAGATGTCAATGCACGTTTTTCGGTGGGGTGGCCTCGTGGAAGGATGGGGCGGAGGGTGCGGGCGAGGCGAGTCAAGCGAGTGTGGTCACCGACGATCCAAGAAAGGGTTGGGGTGATGTTGCGACGCTCGGGGTGAGGGTCAGCGGGTGGAGGTCACGTCGCACATGGCTAGCCGGGTGTGAGAGGAAGAAGAGCAGGCAAAGCGTGGAGGTCATCGATTCCGGGACTCGTCGTAAGCGCTCCACACCTCAGCGGAAGATAGTGGGATGGGTGGCGTCAGACAGCGCAGTGAGTGCATGTCATCGGAGATCCGAACCTTCCCGCCATCCTGCACCACACGCAAACCCCACAGTTCTCGCCCGCATCCAGCCTGCTCCACGCCGCACTAGCCACTTCGGCAATCGCGGCCTGGCGACCTTCCCTATTCCGGTCGGGGCCGAGGAAGCTTGATGCTGGAAATAACTCTTGTCTTCATCCTCACCTCCATCGACGACATATATCCATCGGCAACACCATCACTACAGATACTCAGCTTTGATGAATGCGGGTGGATACAAGTGACAGGATGTGGAACAGTTTCGGATTCGTCGCGTCGTCACCTCTGACGAACATCGTTTGTGCACCCATCCAACCACAGAATGGTGTCTCTCACGGGTGACTGCAGAGGAACACAACAGTTAAGTGTAGGTCAGGCTGAAATCAGGAGATTCAGTCCGTTTATTACTTTCACCTCTCCCCTCGCCTTTTCACTTCCACATTCACCTTTGCAATTGCATAAACCACGCCCCAACTCATCTCAAACCTCCTTCATCAACACCACATCAGTTCACCACATTAACACCACATCGGCACGATGGCAGCCTCAAACCTGGAGTAAGTCTCCCTGCCCAGCCCTCCAATCTGCTTCTGCCATTACTGACGCGTTTGCAGGGTCTTCCAAGGCGGGACCTTCATCTTCGAAGTCGGCGGCGCGGAGTTCACCGTGTACAAGAAACTCATCGCCCGCTCATCTGACGCCCTGCTCGCTCACATCGAGAACAAGATGAGAGAGTCGCAAACAGGGCGTGTGTGTTTGCAGGAAGTCGACGAGCACACCTTCGGTCGCTTCGTGGAGTACATCTACACGGGCGATTACAACCCTGCCGAGCCTGTAGAGCGGCCTGCTTCAAAGACATCGAGGCAGGAGGGTGCAAGCTCGCCCCGCAGATCTGCAACGTATCGGCGCCGGGGTTTCCGTCGAAATGCATCCAGCGACAATGAGCTGCTGTTGATGAGAGGCGATACTGGGGCTAGCCAACAGGCACTCTCCAGGAGTTCTTTCATCAGCAATAAGAGAAAGGCGGCGGCAGTCATCTCGAATGCTATGGATGAATCTAGGATGTGTGACGAGCATCTGGAGATGCTGGCCTCACCAACACAGCACAAACCATGTCCACCGCCAGTTTTTAACATCGACACAGTCAAGCCGCTCGCAACCAACTCGATCAGCTGGGCTCGCCACAACGTCCGGCTCGACTACACACCGCTCTACATGAGCCATGCACAACTCTACGTCTTTGCGGAGAAATACGACATTCGCAAGCTCCGCAACCTGACGGCCGCTCGTCTGCGCGAAACCATCCCCAGATACCTCAGTTCCTCCCCTGCCGAAATCGTGGGGCTCGCACGGCACGTCTACGACAACACACCAGACCGCACGCAGGAGGTCGACCAGCTGCGCATGATCGTGACGCAGTTCTGTGCGACGCACATAGATACGCTGCAGGAGTCTGCGGAATTCGTCTCTATGCTTCATGACGGAGGACAGTTCCCCGAGGTGTTGGTACGCGAGCTGTGCAAGACTCGCAAACCTGCGGAGGGTGCAGTGGGATCCTTATTCGCGTGATGGCTAGTTCCCGAAAGGTGTTGCGATCGTCATTCGGGAGAAGTTTAGTGCTAGAGAGCTGTCATCTCAATTCAATCGTCATGGAGCGTCGCTCTATACACAGTGTATACCTCTACCAAACCGTCATGTTCCCTCATCCTCCTGCTCCTCCTCATGCCCATCATACCTTACCGCGCCCTCCGGCGGAAAGCGCGCAAACAACAACACCACAAAGCCCACCGCCGCACACGCCCCATTACAAGCAAACGTCAAATTCGGCATTCCCGCATTCGCAAACACGCTAAAAATCAGGCCAAAAATGCTAACAGTGCTGAGGCGCGCAGCAGACTCGACAAGGGAAATGGCGCTCAGCGCATCATTCTTCTGCTCCGGCGCGCACATCTGCAGCATCGTGCCCTTGGCCGCGGAGCCCGTGCCCGCCGCAAAAGGCAGGATGACGGCGACGACGTACATTTGCCAGCCCTTGGTGGTGAAGGTGGCGAGGGCGGTGAGGACGCCGTCGAGGATGAGGCTCCAGCGGGCGTAGAAGAGGTCGAAGGCGTAGTTTTCGCGGTCCGTGTCGGGGCCGTCGTTGAGGGTGGTGGAGCGGGTGCTTTGGTTGGTGGTTGTGCGGCGGATGGGCTCGTCGGGTTCGTCGACGTTTGCTTGGCCTGGGGGGAGGGCGGCGGAGGTGAGTTGTTGCGGGGCGGTGGGGATGATGTCGTAGCTGTCGTTGTCCGTGTCGGTTTCTGGTTCTTCTTCTTCTGTGGAGTCGTGGCTGCATGCTTTGAGACTGTCGCTGTCTGTGGCGGATGATGCCGCTGCCGCTGCTGCTGCGGCTCGAGACCTTTCTTCCCGCCTGTCGAATAATCCTCTTCCCCATGAAATGATGGCGGGAAAGGCAAAAGTCAAGAACGTCGCTCGTACGACAAAGTTCAGACTGACCAGTTCGCTGTTGGCGCTCGCGCCGAAATCAAATGCATCGGTGGCGTACATCTGCAGCAAGGTGAAGATGTAGCCGGTGGCGAAGACGGCGAGGAAAGCGCCGATGCCGAGCAGAAGCACGCCGTACTCCCTGCGCACAACGCCATTGCGCAGCATCCACTTCTGGGGCGTAAACATTCGGAGTGGCTCGAAGAAGGCTCCAACGGTTTTTGCCTTGCCCTCGAAGGCGTTGTTCGGAGGAATGTCGGGCAGGAAGATGGTGATGTAGAGTGCGGAGAGGCAGAAGAGGACGACGGTCAGTCGGAAGGGGACATTGATATTGAACCAGTCGCTCAGCAAGCCGCCCGAGAGAAAGCCCAGGGCGGTGCCGAACATTGCGCAGCCTTGCAAGCGGCCCAAGGTCCCCGTGCGCTCGGAGGGCAGCACGACCTCGGCGGCGTAGCTGTTGAGGGCAAGAAGGTATCCCGCCGGGCCGCCGATGATGGTGATGAATTGGGAAAGCTGGACAATCATGATGCCCCGCGCTCCTGTGGTCATGATGCCGACGTTCTGGATGAGGAGGCGAATGGCAGGCCAGAAGGTGCCCATGAGCAGGGCTTTCTTGACACCCCAGACTTTGATCATCCAGCCGGTGATGAAGAGGTTCGCCACTCCGAAAAAGGTGGTGCTGGCGCCGAGAAGGGCGACGGCGCGAGCGGTGCTGGCTTCGATGGTGTGCAGTCGACATCGCGTGTCGAAGGCTGGGGTTCCCACCGGAGGCGAGGCATGGTGGCGGTAGTACTCATCGCAGGTCATCAGCCCGAAAACATAGATCAAGGGCACCTGGGTGACGCCGAAGGAGACGGAGACGAGGAAGGCGGTGAGGAGCAGACGATAGATAACGGACTTGGGCCATTTGCGGCGTCTCGAGGAGGGCTTTGACGGGCACGGCTTCTTGGGGAGCAGCGGCGAGGTCTCATGGGCCGGCGGGTTGCTATCGGTAGACTTCGTTACCGGCGTGGACAAGGACGACGCCGCCGGAGGGGAGATGCGGCCATTGGCGTGGCTCGGCATCGTTACCAGTCCCGAGTCATGTGCAAGAAAGGCGAGAGGTCCAGTACAGCATTGTCGAGATGGATGTTCAGTTGAACAGAAGCATATCGCTGGCGGCAAAGGGTGTAGTTGGGCGTGGTTGACGATCAGCAACACCGTCGCCGTCGCCGCGCGCTAACGAGGCACATACGGCACGGCACAGCACAGCACACGCTCGTTACTCGGTCTCGGGTCACGTAGCATCGAAGCGGTGGGAATTGTGGGGTGGTTGGGCCGAGGGCGGCGGCGGGCGCGGCCGCGGGTTGGCGGGGCGGATGCGGCGGCGTTGCGCGGGATGCAATGTCGCCATCCCTCTTCACGCTCGTGTTCGCACGTAGATTCCATATCAACTCCACGACTCCCTTCAGCAGCCAAGAGAGCGTCGAGCATCTTCCAGCCGCCTGCATACTATTGCCACTCCGGAAGTCCATGCCGAGCCCAACTGCTTGCTAAGAAATTCGTTGACTAAGTATCTGCCGACCTCACCTTATCTCATGCGACATCGCCTCCTCATTGCCAAGCATCTCTCTACTCTATCATTCCCCTCCATCTCTGCCTCTCTTCTCTCGTATCTCGGCCATGTCCGTGACATTCATAGCCCTGCACTCTACACAATGTCGGCCGACACGAAAGTCAACGAAGCTTCACCGCCAGCCATAACCGAGCACGTCAGCGACAGCGAAGCCCAGAGCGGAGACATCATCAATGCTTCCGGCCACGTACAAGAGCTCCGTCGCCAATTCTCCTTGCTCTCGTTAGCAGGCGTCGGGTTAGTAGTAGGTGATGTGTGGCCGGCCCTCGGCGGCTCCATCCTCGTTGCGCTGTATAATGGTGGTCCACCAGGTGATTCGCCACCACCCTTCCCATCTTCAAAGCCACTCATCTGATTGTGGAGCGTCTCAGGTGTATTATACGAATTCATTGTCGTCTCTATCTTTTACTGGATCGTCGCTGCCAGCATCGCCGAGCTCGCGTCTGCCATTCCGTCCAGCGCAGGCGTTTATCATTGGGCTTCAATCACCCCTGGACCGAAATGGGGTCGTGTTGTAGGCTTCTTTGCTGGCTATTGGAATTGGCTGGCGTGGGTCTGGGGGGAGGCGTCGTTCACTTTGATCTTTGTAAGGAGCCAGACACCTAGCCGACCTGATGAGACCCTCCATTGCTAACGACGCCCAGGCAAATACGATTGTTCAGATGTAAGAACATGTTTCCTGATTAATGGTCGACACCCCTACTCATCCTGCTTCTAGGTACGCACTCAACCACCCTGGCTTCCAAGTGCAGCCGTGGCAGGTTTTCGTCACATATGTCATTGCAACATGGTCCGCTTGCGCCATCGTCTGCACATGTAACCGTGCGATGCCCTACCTCAACCAAGTCGGCATCTTTTTCGTGCTTGGGGGCTATCTCATCACCGTCGTTGTAGTGTAAGATCCAACTACCCCCGTCTCATCCTCTAACCCGCTCACTGTCTCCACTTACAGCGCAGTAATGCCCGGCCGCAACGGCCGCCCACCACACGCCACCTCCTCCTTCGTCTGGACGGAATGGCGCGGCAGCGGCCTCGGCTACCCCTCCGGCTTTGTCTTCGTCGCAGGAATGCTGAACGGCGCCTTCAGCGTCGGTACCCCAGACGCCACCACGCACTTGGCGGAAGAGGTGCCGTACCCTCAGCGCAACGTGCCCATCGCCATCGGCTTGCAAATGGCCATCGGCTTCCTCACAGGCTTTACTTACTTAATCGCCATCTTCTACGCGATTCACGACTTTGACGCCCTTTTCGGCTCGCCGTATCCGATTGCGGAAATCTACCGGCAGGCTACTGGCTCCGCGGCGGGGGCGACAGGTCTGCTCGCTCTCGTGCTCATCTGCATTGGAATTGCCATTGTCGGGCTCTACATTACGTGCGGCCGGACGCTGTGGGCTCTCAGCCGCGACGGCGCAACGCCATTCCCCAAGTTCCTCTCGCGCGTCTCCCCGCGCTTCGACATGCCACTCAACGCCACGGTGGTGAACGCAATTATCGTGACAGCTCTGGGCGCCATTTACGTGGGCAGCACAACGGCCTTCAACGCCTTTGTGGGCTCCTACATCGTCATGTCCAGCTCCTCTTACATTGCCGCTATCCTGCCGAATCTGCTCACCGGCCGGAAGAACATCGAAGTCTACGGCCCATTCCACCTGCAAGGCGCGCTGGGCTTCCTCATGAACGGTATCGCATGCTCGTATATGATCGTCTGGTTCGTCATCTATTGCTTTCCGTACTCGCTGCCCACCGATGCGCAGACGTTCAATTACGCGTGCGTGCTGTGGTGCGGCTTTACGATTTTCATCGCTGCATGGTGGTTTATCGGCGCGCGGAAGGATTACCGGGGCCCGCCGATTGTGAGGCGGGGTGGGCGGGTGGTTGTTGCGGACACTGTGAAGGCGATACAGGCGGAGACGAGGTGATTCCTGGGCCAGATGAGACGGGCGTTACTTCTGGAAGGTGTCATTCAAGTAGTCGACAAACAGCTCTCGTATGCGGCTTTTGTTGAGGGCGTGTTGTCGGTTCAGAGCAGTGAACTGTCTCCGTAGTCGCTGCAGTTGCGGCAGAGACGGTGCAGTGGCTGGCAAATAGACGCACAGCTCCCGCGACTCAGCAGGAAACACCTGGCCTCCGGCCTCGCCCGGATGATCCTGCAACCACGTGGTGATGGCAGCCACGACCTCGGACGTCGTCTTCTCCAATTCGTAAAGATAGTCCTTCTCAGCCGCAGGCTTCAGCACCGTCGCGGCATTCGCCCTCACCACCTTCCCCTTCCCATCGGACCCGACAAGCGCATCCCAAATCGCGTCGTAAGGCGGATGCGCATCGTCGAACGGGACAGTGAAGAGCGGTGCGTCCCATCGACTCATCCCATTCGGCTCCTCATACCTGAACACCAGGTTCTCAAAAACGTCGACTTCGTAGCCGCCCGTTTGGCTTTCTAGCGCAGCATCGTTAAGCTCACGACACTTCTCGACCGGCGTGCCGACATGAACCACACAATTGGGCGTTTGGACGGCTTTGGCCTCGCAGTACAATTGGTAGCGGAAGCCTTTGATGTAATTCATGCCATCGGCAACGAGCAGGACATCACGGGTCAGATGGCGCTTGATAGCGGATGTAAAGGCGGCACGGGCGTCCTTTTCGGGGCGCGCGCTGGCGTAGACATCGCGAGCGAGGCCGAGGGTTTGGTCGTTGATGTGGTGCACCTTGAGCCGTTGGACTTTGGGATCTGGCGATTGGGAGATTTTGCGGGCGAAAAAGTCGACGAGTTGGGTGGAGCGAAATGTTTTTCCGCTGGAGGGATAGCCGGAGATTAGGATGAGCTGGATGGTGAGCGGTGTCAGAGGGGTGTGGTGCAAGTGCTTTCAGGCTAGGTTGATACTTACTGGCATCGATGCGGGAGATGCAAGACACCTGATCTCATCGGCATGCGTGCACGTGTAGTGGAGTGGGAGTGAGGCCGGAAATAGAGAGAGGCAACGCCCGGCAATAAACCCCTCTCCACATTCCGAGGATACGTTCGGAAGGTGCGGCGGCTTACCTAATTTAGGCGGATGTCGCGAGAGCGTGGCCCCGAAGGAAGATGTGGAGGCGGAGATGAATACGACGCTGACGGGAAGAGTGCATGTGCCCTTTGCCGGCAGCTGATTGATCTGGAACTACCCTTTCCCATTCTGCCGACAGTGTTGCGCACCGGCTAAGTTGCACCGTCGCGCTCTCCGCATCCCACCCTCCAACGCAACGCCATCCCGATGGCAAAACCCGGGGAAACGTTAAAGTCATCGCGATCGCCAACCTGCAGTTGCCTCGGCCTTCCACTCCGACTTCCGCCGTCTTGACCTCATTTCTTCCCATTATTGTTCCGATCGGTTCATCTCACATAGCCTTTGTGACTCTCGCACGTTTCTTTTGGCGTCATCTTCTCTTCCTCCTGCCTTCATTCTAACAACAAGCACCCAAGGCGAAGAGAAGGGAGACAAAAATTACACAGCACCGCACCTGCATCGCGACGACGCAAGGCACCCGACCCAGACCGTCATCGATTGCTCACAGCCGCAGGGTACGCCGGCCGAGGTACCGTCGACGACTCATCCTGCGCGCCTCATCATTCAGCCTTACCTCCGCCGTCTGCCTGAATTCTTTTCCTCCTCCCTCCGCCACATCGCATCACATCCGTCCGACCAGAATGCAGACTAGATCGCAAGGACGGTCCATCCAGCAGCACGCACCGCACCAGCAGCAACTCCACCAACAACAACAACAATATCCACAGCACACCCAGCACGAGCAAGAACAATACCAAAGTCGAAGACCAAACTACCCTCAAGCAACAACAACCACCACCACCACCCAATCCGTCCCAACCTCCCCCTCCTCCTCGCTCTTCAACAGCTCCAGCAGCATCTCCTCCATGTCCTCCATCACCGCCCCCTCAGCAGCAACAACAGACTCCTCTCCCACAATGTACCAGCAGCAACCTCCCCAGCAATCACAGCCCTTCATCTCCGCCCCGCTGCCCTCCCCCTCCACCAACCAGCCGGCAACCTACTTCGCCTCCCTCGCCCCGCAACAACCGCCTTCCCAACGCCGGCAAGATAATCGCTTCGTAGGGCAAAGAGGCGGCGACGGCGGCATCCCCGAGACGGCGCCGTTCCTGCATGACTTCAACCTCGTCGCGGAAGCGGCGAAGCGCGCGCAGATGGCGTGTCTGGCGCGGGATCTGGGGGATGTCGGGCTATAGGTACCGAGAGGGATGGCAAGACGGACATATCTCGCATGGATTCGAGGGCGTGTTTTTCTTTTTGAGACGTGCAACGACTTTGATGGGAATGGATTTAGCAAGGAGCGGGGTATTTGGTTCTTTTTCTTGTGAGGGCCCAGGCGGCCATTCCGAATAGCATACGAGGTTGAGACTCGCTAGGCTGGCTCTGGTAGAATACGAGATCTCGAGGCAGAGACTACGTGTAGATGCGTCGAGGAAATTGGAGAAACAAAGATGTCTACACTCTTGACTTTTCTTCTTCGTCGTAACTTAGAAGCCACTCACTCTTGGGCTTCAGCCAAAAGGCAAAGCATCGCTCAATCGCCAAGAACCAAAAACAACAAAAACATCAAATGCTATGCAAACCCCCCTCTCCAGTCCCCCATGTCAAAACAACGCTCTCACAACTCCTTCACCCACCCAGCAGGGACCACGCCGCGCCCACTCGAACTCTCAACCTCACACCACCCATCCCCCTGATCCGGCTGCACGAGCACCATCTTCTCCCCCGCCTCCATATCCGTCTCGCCGGGCCCCGCAGCAGAATAGGCATACAGCGCCTCCACATGCTTGACCTTCTTCGCGCCGCGCCTCGGCGCAACCGCAGGGCCCTGCTTCTTCGTTTTCGGGAGCACGCCGCCGTCCGAGCCGGTGAGACTCGTCGTCGACGTGGAAGCGGTGGAGATGGGGCGCTCGCGCGCGGGGAGCGCTCGCAGGGAAGTTTGAGGCGGCGCGCCGAGCTCGGCGTACGAAGCGGGCACGAGTCCCGACGGGGTGCCGAAAGTGGAGGGCTTGATTTTGATCCAGCCGCTGCCGTCGTCGGGCTCCGCGAGGGTGAAGTCTTGGCCTTCGGCGATGGAGATTTCGCCCTCGCCCGTGGCCGTGTAGGCGTAGAGCATCTTGCCGTGTTGAAGTGGTTCTTCGGCGTCCGGGATGGCGGCGGGAGAGGCGTATTGGCTTGGGGGTGGGGCGGCGATTTTCCTTCGACCGCCGGGTGCGGGAGGGGGAGCTGCGCTGCTGTCTTCGCCGCCGGTCGATCGTGCCGTTGCTCCAGACACGCTTCGCTGGGCGGATGCGGCGTACCCTGAACTCAAGGTGTTCATGGATCCGAGCGTGTCGCTTCTTTGTAGACCCGGGTGGGTAGCGAGGCCAGTACCGCCGGTGCTGCCATTCACCGCCCTCACTTCCTCCACCGGCGGCGCCTCCAGCCTAGCAGCCGCCGCGGCTTGTCGTTCGGCTTTGATCTTCTTCCTGTCCTCCTTGCCCAGCTCTCCAGGACAGTCAGCGGCGACCTTCAGCTCACATTTATTGTGGCACGTGAACCCGCAAAGTTCGCAACTGAGCCCTTTGGCGCTCAGCCCCCATATCCGGTCGCCACACAAATCACAATTGGTGGGGATTTTGAAGGTCTGATTGTGGAAGGTATGGCTTTGCGCTCCCCTGCTGATGTCGCCCACGACAGCGGTGATGGTGAATACCTCCATTTCCGCCGTAGTTTTCTTCCGTTCTGCCTCGTGAAGAACCTCGCGGTGCCGGAATTGGGCGCGGATGGCTTCCACTTCGTCACGTTGATCCCTACCGTCTCGGATAGCCTGCCGCACTCGGTCTGCGCCGTCGACTTCCTTTCTGCTCATCTCACTCTCGCGCTTGAACTCGGTCAATGAGCTCTTGGATTTGGTCAAGATGTTCATGAGGAAGGTCTTGCTGGCGGCATCGATGGCCATACTGTTATCGTCGAGCCAGACCGGCGACGGTTCAAAGACGAAGTCTCCTGGGTCTACCCATTGTGGTGGGGCGTTATGCCGGGCAAACATCATGCTGTCGAGGACGGGATTATTCCGGGGAATTTCGGAGGCAAGGTGGGAGATGAGCTGGGTGTTGTTGTTGAGAGTTTGCGTTTCGACTTTACAAGCCTCAAGCCAGATGGCGTTAAGAGAGGAAGTGCGGGATTCTGAGAGCGCCTGTAGAGACTATGAAGGGATATGTGGTCAGCCATCAGAATAACCTGCTAGAGACGCGTAAACTTACGTCGAGGACCTCCGGAATGTATTCGTTATAATATCGCTCCTTTTGCTTGTTCGTCACGTTGATCGAGATCAAATATGTGTTCTGTTCCGAGTGAGCCGTCTTTCCAGCTGCGTTGCAGTCGTATTATCATACCTTGGCATTCCTCATCTCCGCCAACTGCTGTTGATAGTGCGTCTGAGCCTTGGTCTTATCAAAGGAACCCTCCGCCTTCTTCCGACGATTCTCCACCTCCTGGCAAATGCTGTCGTATTTGCCCTTGGTCTTCTTCAAGTCCGCATAGCTCGAGTCCCGCTCCTTTTCCAGCTTGGCCGCATAGTCGGCGTGCTGCTTCCGCACATCTTCGGAGCGCATGGCCAGGCTGCGGAGCGGTTCGGCAAGGGAGGTCAGGAGGGAACTGGCGAACTGATCGTGTTCCTCCGCTCGCTTCTCGAGTGTCGTGAGCTGCAGCGACCATGTGGTCATGCTAGCACTTTCCAGCGAGCCCGGGGTGACCGTGGGGGTGTTGCCGACCGACAATTCGCTGCTCCGCTTGCTCTTCTTCTCAAAGTACTTTTTCGCCAGCGCCGACAGCTTCTGCGAGTACTCCTTCTCAATGGCGCTGCGCTCGCGGTAGAAGGCCTGGACATCGTCGAGCCAGGAGACGTTGTTGGCGCACCATTGGTTGACTGTCTTGAAGCCATCGTGGATCTCGGCGCCGATGGAGACGTTCAGCGCCACCTCGGCCATGGTGTGGGGATGGCGGAGAGGGCGGCGTATCCAAGACTACCGTATGTACATCAAGATGATCGCCGCTCTACGCGTGGGCTTGCAGAGAGGGTGCGCAGCTGTCAGGTCGGGCTGTCAAGTCGCCATCCGCGTGGCATTTCCCAAACCCCCACCGACCAAGACCGATGGAGGTGCGGGATGTGGGGCAAGCCCTTATCGGCGGATCTTGCCGCCGCTAGCGTCAGGTCCCTCCTTCCTCGAATCATTAAATTCAAACACCTCACAACCTCAGCTCGGCCATCATTCACCACTGTTGCTGAACTGCACAGACTCGCTTCATCGTCTTCGGGCTGTGCCTACTCAGTCATTGTTGACAGTCTTCGCGCTCCTTATTGTTCTCATTCACTGCTGGGCTTGGTGCCCTTCGTGCCTTCGCTTGGCTCGTCCCCCACGGCTACGTGCATAATCATTCACTCCCACCCACTCAGCATTCACTGCACACTCGACAGTCACAGGACCATCTCGCACCACCATGGCGGATGACAAACCCACCCCTGCTCAGCCTAGCGCTGATTCGAATCTCGCCAAATCCTTCGCAGATCGATTGACCTTCCCTGGCGACTCCAAAGACAAGGCAAACGGCACCGAAAAGTTCAACTGGGCGGATGAAGTGACCACACCATTGCAAGAGACCGACGAGAAGACTGCAACACTGCCCAAGGCACAGACCGACGGCACTGCGGACGAGAAGACGGGAGAATCAGACATGGCACAGAAGGATGGCGCGACGGTGTGGATGAGCGGCTCAGACGGCCTGGACGAGCCCGCCTTCGATGTCAACGTCAAGTTGGCTGACCTCCAAGATGATCCCAACAACCCCTTATACTCCGTCAAATCGTTCGAGGAGCTCAAACTGTATGTGCTCCCCGCACCGCACGTCTCTCACTCACACTAACCTCCAACATCGCAGTCGCCCCGAGCTTCTTCAAGGCCTCTCCGTCATGAACTTTCGCAAGCCCTCAAAGATTCAAGAGCGTGCGCTTCCTCTTCTCCTCATCAACCCTCAGCGCAACCTCATCGGCCAGTCACAATCAGGCACGGGAAAGACGGCGGCCTTCGTTCTCAACATGCTCTCCCGCGTCGACCTCAGCACCAAGCAGCCGCAATGCCTTGTGCTCGCTCCCACCCGAGAGCTTGCTCGCCAGATATCCGCCGTGGCTTCCCTCATGGGCAGCTTCCTTGCCGACCAAGGCCTTCAAGTCACCGAAGCCATTCCGGATCCAGCGAAGCGCGGCCAGCAGCTTGAAGGTCAAATCATCGTTGGCACGCCGGGCACAACCATGGACATGATCAAGCGTCGTCTCCTCGATGCCAAAGGCATTCAAGTCTTGACACTCGACGAAGCAGACAACATGCTCGATCAGCAAGGCATGGGCGACCAGTGCACTCGCACCAAGCGTTTGCTCCCCAATCTCAAACAGACCGTCCTCTTCTCAGCCACCTTCCCGCCAGAGGTCCTGAACTTTGCCACTCAATTTGCCCCCAACGCAAATCAAATCACTCTCGAAGTCGAAAAGCTCACAGTCAAGGGCATCAAGCAAATGTACCTCGACTGCAATTCCGACGAGGAGAAGTACAATGCGCTGGTCAAGTTCTACGGCCTCATGACCATCGCCTCTTCAATCATCTTCGTCAAACGCCGTGACACCGCGGCCGAAATTGAGAGGCGCATGACGGCCGAGGGTCACCGTGTTGCCTCCCTCACCGGGGCACTGGAGGGTGCTCAACGCGATGAAGTCTTCAACAAATTCCGCAACGGCGAAGCCAAAGTTCTCATCACCACCAACGTGCTCTCCCGTGGCATCGACGTGCAGACGGTCACCATGGTCATCAACTACGACATCCCCGAGCTTCCCGGCGGGCTCCCAGACTTCGAAACCTACCTCCATCGCATCGGGCGTACGGGGCGATTTGGACGCACCGGTGCTGCTCTCAGCTTCGTGCACGATCGCAGAAGCTGGGAGAATCTCATGAAGATCTGCAGTCACTTCCAGGTCGAGCCGACGAAGCTCGACACTTCGGACTGGGATCATGTGGAGAAGATGTTGAAGACGGTCATGAAGAATTCGAGGAACGTGCTTCCCAAGGAGGTTAGCATGGAAAGCTAGATGGAGCTGTTGTGTCTCGAGATTCGACGGACGGAGGAACGGATGGAACAGCTCGCCTTGAGACTTGGAGAGCTTGGCGGGCTATAGATACCACGATTGCGAAGCGATGGAATGCATTGCCGGGAATGGTAGGCGTTCTGAATAGCGTTCTAATCAAGCAGTAGACACGGTCTGCGTGTGTATGTACCGTAGTTACCGCACCACGGACAGGCAGAGATCAAGCCTCTCCGCCTTTCCCATCTGTCTCTCCCGCCAAATCCCACCGCAGAGAGTACCCAAAAACCGTCCTGCGCAGCCCCTCATCCCCGGGATCCTCATCGAACATGACCTGCTCCATCACATGCTCCATCAACTTCTCCACCACGAACCCGCCCGCGCGCGCCAAGTCGAAGAACGCGAGATCTGCTTCCAGCAGCCAGGGCCGGTAGGGCGTGAAGAAGACGAGCGCTTGTGCTGATGCGCTGCGCTTTAGCGTGAAGCGGACGGTGCTAAGGAGTTTGGCGTGCTCGGAGTGGTTGAAGAGGAGGTCGCCAAGAATCAACAGATCGAAGCCTGCTTGTGAACCTGGTGCGGCAGGAGAGAGATAATCAAGCAAACCCCTCGCCTCTGCACCCCACAAATACCCCTCGGCATAAATGACTCCCTCCCCTTTGGCTTGAGGGAACAAGTGCGCATGCGACGCAACGTTGAGGCGCAGGTTCTCGATCAATTCTGCTTCTGGGTAGTCTGTCACGAGCACCTTTTGGGCGCCGTGCAGGGCGCAGATGAGGCTTGGGAGGCCGGCGCCGGCGCCGAGCTCGAGGACTGTCTTGTTGGCTATGAGGGTTTGGGCATGTTGTTCGAGGTATGTGGCAAGGGTGCGGCCGGCGTTCCACAGGAGGTGGCCCTGTGTTGGATTAGTTTGCTGTTGTCCGTTTCATCGAGCTCAAAGTCTCGTCTGAGAGGGTTTTCTTTCCGTTCAAGGGGGAAGAAGAAGACTGAGATGGAGGGAATCAAGACCTACCCAGAGAGGACTGTGGCCTATGAGACGGAGACGCAGTTCTACGCCGCTCAGGGTGCGATATGAGGCGGATGTTGGCTGCTTTTCGGGGGGGTAGTAGCCCTCCGGGGCTTCGAAGATGTTCAGCTCGCCATCCTGTGAGGCGTCGCCATCGGACATCTGGGCCTCGGAGGCAGAGATTAAGATGCTGCCCGAGTACGGCTTCCCAGCTCACTCACTCTCTTGACAATCCTCCAAGGCCAGAAATTATTCTAAAATGCAGGTACATTTTTCCTGTGAAGCACGCATGCAAGAGCCGTGCAGGGTCAGCACGGCCCGGACCTTCTTCTTGAACTTCACTTTGGTTCAATCTGGCCCGTGCACGGAAACTTGCTCATCACCTTTAAAATAGGAATCGTGAGACGTCGGTTGCTTCCACCGTCTTGGCCTCTGCAACGGGGGCGGATTATCACCAGACGGATGCCCACGGATGCCTCGACACCGTCCACTGTGTGCCATCAAGTGCGGTTAAGCTTCTATGCTTCATCCACCAAGCCCGTCGCCTTTGTCCTCAGCCTCATGACACGAGACGACAACCACGTGCCCGCACCCTGATGGACACACCTCTGGCCATCTCCGTTCTACCGCATCTCTCCCATAGAACCCCGTCCAGCATTCGCCATGGACCCCGAAAAGCCCTTCAAAACCATCGAAGTCATCGACTCTCGAACTGGCAAGGTATGCAAAATCGCCTGCATGTCCTGCATCCGCGGGCACCGCACAACCTCCTGTGGAAACCCGGTCTGCCGCTCCAAAATCCTCTGGACGATCAAGCGGCCCGGCCGCCCGGCCAACACCTGCACATGTCCGTACGGGCGGTCGGGGCGGTGCCAGTGTGTGGTGGCGCAGTCCGCGTGTCCGCATCGGCCCAAGAAGGGCGAGAAGCGGTCTGTGGACTGCCGATGCGATGAACAGGGCCGGTGGTGTTGTCTGCTTGGGCTTGCGCAGTGGGATGCTCTGATGGGGTTGCAGAGGCCGCGGGTGGATTTCTATCCCACTCCGGAGGCCATGAATGCTGCGTCTTCAATGTCTGCGAACCCGCCTGCTCCGTCTTTCACGCCGCCGTATTCTATGGCAACGCCTCAGACCATGTTGTCATTGCCGAGTACACCGGTCCCTTCCAACAGCGTCAACAATATCGGCCATGGACAGTCCCATCCGAATGGCTACCAGACGCCTGCGTACCCAGCTTCACCTTTTAATGTCATGGCGAACGGCATATCCATGCAGAATGACGGCCACCTTAATGGAAATGATCTGAGTTGGCAACACGATAGTCTTTTGGCGCTACAACACGACCACCACTCCTACAGTGACATGACCTCCCCGCAGTCCACACCTTTCTCGAACTCTGTTATGATGTCGACGGCCCCAACTACCCCTTCTCACGGGCTGGACCACTCAGCCGCAGAGCTCGACTTTGACGCAATGGCCGCGCCCTTTGAACACATCAACTCAACCTCCGTCGAACCCTCCGACTTGATGGGATTAGACAAGTCGATTCCGGACTACTTGACCTGGCAATTCCCCTCGGTCATCTGCCAAAGCTGCGGTCTAAGTGGCTGCACATGTCGCAGCTGTCCCGCGGTGATGCAGAATGTGAACGACGGCAGCTGGGCGCAGTGTTGTTCACGGAAACACGTTCAAGCTGCCGATGCTGCCAATATACCTGCCCTACCTTCACAGCCGCAGGTGACGAATGGCGGGGTCCTTATGGGGGTCGATGGCTTCGGTATGGATTCGCTGAAGTTTGGTGGAGACCAGCCTTTCCCTACCGATGGGGTCGATTTTGGGGGACCGGCTGAGGCGGACTTGGTCGATTTCAATCAGTTTGTCGTTACGGATCCGGAGCCGCCGTCGCGTGGCTGTTGTTGCGGCGGGAATAGGTGAAGTGGATGAATGAGCAATGGGCGGCGAATAGATTAGCATGCTGCTACGGTGTCAGGACACAGATGCGGACGACGACACGCAATGATGATGGCGCGAGGGTGGATCTCCAGTTGAAAGAGAGCGTCGTACTGCTCTATATGGCTGAGCATTGTCGAGGCATGGCAGCAGCTCGGGTGTCAATGAATGATGTATAGCGTATGTATTAAATAGAGACAGTTCATTTGGTCCTACATGATCTGCACGAAGCCACCGGAGGAGAGTAGAACAGCAGTCCACGACATCATCCTCCCGGCAGAAGGAGATGAAGTGGCGGACCTACGTGCTCGACTCTAGCCCGAGATGGCCGGCGTGACATCGAAGCCCAGCGCATCCCGCCCATAAGATTCAGACGTCCGTGCTGCGCAGCCGGCCTTTGCCGGTGGTGGCGCGACGGGCTGATCTGACCTGATCAGCGACCGAGCGGCCGTACAGCAAGCCGGCCCCGACGGCAACGTCACCTCCTACTACCCAGCTCGTATTTGACGTCGCTCAGACTTGTGCACCGTCGCGTACATCGTTGCATCGTGACCTGGGCTTGACGCTGTTGCTTGGATCCAGACGGGCGCGCGCATAGCAGACGCGCAGGAGGCGGGGTCGAGGTTCCAGCACCGCCCTCGGCCGAGCAATACCTACTAGGCAACACCTGCCAGGCAACACCTACCAGGACTACGGAGCGCGACGCAGGAACCCGGATCAAAGCGAAGCGGATTAAGCAATATAAATACCATCCTCACGCGCGACCATGGAATACCAACCACGCCCCTACGAGGCCTACGAGGAGCAACCCATCCCCCACCAGCAGCAGCACCAGCAGCAGCAGCCGCCAATGCAGCAACACTCGCTCCTCAGCAACGGCGACTTCCTCAAGCGCGTCGAAATCATCAAAGCCGACATCCTCACGCTAACCTCGAACGTGAGCAAAATCGCCAGCCTGCACCAATCCGTGCTCGGCGACCCGTACAGCAGCAAAACCGCCGACCTCAACGCGCTCATCACGCAAACCCAAGTGCTGAACACGAGCATCAAAGACCAGATCAAATTCCTGGAGACGGATGCCGCGCGCAGCCACGGGAACGCCGTCAAGGACACGCAGGTGAAGCAGCTGAAGAATTCCTTCCAGCGGCAGCTGCAGGACTACCGTGCCGAGGAGGCGAATTACGAGCGCCAGTATCGCGAGCAGATCAAGCGGCAGTACGAGATTGTCAATCCGCATGCGTCGGAGGCGGAGAAGGAGGAGGCGGCCGAGGCGAATTGGGGGGACGAGGGCGTGTTTCAGACTGCGTTGCGCTCGAATCGCTCCGCGACGGCCACGACGGTGTTGGGTGCTGTGCGCGCAAGGCACAACGACATTCAAAAGATTGAGACGACGATCATCGAGTTGAACCGGGTGAGCTTGGTCTCCTCCCTTCCGTTTAGAATTATTACTAACATCTCACCTCGCCCAGCTCATGGAAGAACTCGCCACGACCATCATCCTGCAAGAAGAGCCCGTGCAAGCCATCGAGCAGCGCACCGACAACGTGCGCACCGACATGGAGCAGGGCAACACGCAGCTGACGCAGGGCATCAAGTCGGCGCGCCGTGCGCGCAAACTCAAGTGGTGGTGCCTGGGCATCACCGTGCTGATTTGCATCATCATCGCGCTCGTCATTGGGCTGTATTTCGGCTTGCAGAATTCGGGGCACAAGTGAGGGGGTGGTTTGCAGAGGGCGGGCCGTGGACGATGTGATGATGTGGTGGTAATGTTTTGTATATAGCTCCTCGCGCAGGCTCGTTGCGTTTTTGTATAGAGACCGCTATTGATTGATTGAGTTCTCGCGCTCGCTACGCTGGGAATGAGAGACATTGGAGCGATTCTCAACGAGTGTCACCACGCAGACACCAAAGCTAGGGAAGGAGAATGAGGGACGACGGCATCGGCGAATAGCATTGACGATAAGACAAAACACATTAAGGTATGTACAGACAGCAGCGCTCCCCTTGCTTGGTCTTCTAAGCCCGCATGCACGCCGAGAGCCAAGTAGCGTAGCGTACCTGACCCCGTGATGGACCACCCCGTTCAGACGCCCGCCTCCCCCCTCGCTCGCTTGCGATGCCTAGAGGTAGGCGGGATGGACATGGAGACTAGGGCGATCAAAGACAAGCACAGTAGAAGCGCATCAATTCACAACACAAACGACGGAAAAATTCCCCGTGCTAGCGAGAACCGCAGCTCATCATTCCTTGAACCTCCCACTCCTCCTTCACTCCCTGCTTCCTCCCACCCGTCCACCCAATCCCCCGCTGCCCGCGTCCATGTGCACGCAACGGGAAAAGTTCAGAAAGCACTGCTCGCACGTACCTTTGATAAAGCAGCAAAGTAACAAATGTTGCACCGAAGAAAGGTCGAAGAGTCGGGTTGTGTCAACAACAAAAGCGACGGAACCAGCCGGGTCACTTTGTAGAGAGGGTGATTCGAGTAGGTTGATGCTTCGCTTTGCTGACTGAAAGACTTGAGGTGGGGTGTGGTGAAGTGTGGGTGCAGACGGGGAAGGTATGCGCTGGGTATCGTATGTAGAGTTCGTAAGGGCGCTCCGAAAAATAACAGGCCGTTCGAGGTCGAAGGGTAAGAGGTGCAGGGAGGTTGAAAGTTGTCGTTGGGTGGCCTGCATGAATCCCTACGTCGCTGACGCCACTGCTAACTGGAGAAGACGAACGTTGCTGTGCCCGAGCTGACAGACACCTGTTGCAGTTAGGGTTAGTTGGTAGTCGCTAACGTGAGTGAGGGACAACTTACAGTGCAGCCTGTTGTGGAACTGCATTGATCGTAGTTGGCACCACCGCAGTACTGTCCGTTGGAATAGCGACATGTGCCGCTCATGTTCTCGCCCTGGATCTCCACGCTGAAGTCGAGAGAGGCAGAGGTGGTGGGCGCGTTCTGGAAGATGGAAAGCCAGGCAGCGCCGTTGCTGTATCCGACACCGATGTTGAGAGGAGCCCAGTTGCCCCACGGGTTGGCAGAGGAGCCCCACGTGCAGGCGTCGCTGACAGACACACCGGCGGGGTTGACGTAGTACTGCGCAGAGGTGTGGGCGCCCTGCCAAGTGTAGTAGGTGGCTGCATTGGGGCAGGTGAGCGGTTGGGTTCCGCCAGCGGGGCAGTTCAGTGCGATGGTCTCGCTTTCCGTGCCGGGGTAATCAGTGCGACACACTGCAACGCTCTGGCCCAAGGTGTTCTGCACCTGTACGTTGACGGGGGAGTCGCCTGAGATGCACAGAGTGTTGGCGAGACCGGGGTTGGTCAATTCGAGCTTGCCATTGGAACACTGAATACCACCAACCGACTGGCCAGTAGCGCCTTGGGTGCTGGGCCACTGGGACTTCTGGTAGCCAGGGGGACATGCGTAGGAACAGAACATGCCTTCGCCACACGAGCCGCCGCTGGTGAGGGTTTCAATGTCGCTAAAGCCACCGTTGTTCGAGCCGGGGTTTTGGATGCCAGTCCAACCGCCCAATCCGAGCCAGGGGGCCGGGACAGCGCCGTAGTCGGAGGGGAAGGTGTCGCAGCTGAGTTGACCGCTGGGGAAGGGGGTGTCGACGCCACTACCGCCACCGCTGGACGGCGCACTAGACTGCTGTGACGCAGGAGGACTCCAGGCGGCGGAGGGTGAGGACCACGACGACGTCGACGACGACCACACGGAAGTGGGGGATGCAGTGGAGGCTGGGTATGACGAGGGTTGCGCTACCACGGCAGGAGCACCGTTTGCCCAGACGAGAGTGCCGTTCGCGATGCCCTCACGAACCTCTTGCACAGAGATGGGCAAGCCGTTGAGGACGTACGAGGTGACGGTCGGGCCGGGGACGATGTCGACGGTGGGGTTGGGCACGCGCTTCTCGTGGAAGTGCATGTGTTGATGATGGGCATGGCCTGCATGGGCGTGGACAGAAGCGCACGAGGCCGCCACGGCGAGCAGGGCGAGAGTGGACTTCATCGTCGTGGATGGATGATGATGTTTTGGTGTGATGTTTTGGAGAAACACAGCTCAGCTGGTGGATGGTATGGATATCCTCGTAGGCTCCGGCGAGGTAGTTGGTGTTGGTGCGCAGCGAAAACCGGGTCGCGCGATGTGGTGTGGTGAAGTGATGTGAAGGTGGTGATTGTCGGGGAAGATGGCGGGATTGGCGCGTGCGTGGTGGGAAAGAATGTGCGCGGGCGGTGTTTGGTGGATTCCAAGGAGCGAAATGGAGGCAGAAGGCTGACTCCAGGTGGAATGGCGGGGCCGGGCGTCGGGGTCGACGTAGGAGGCTCGCCTTGAGTGTTGACTGCCGGGGGGGTTGGAGGTGTTGTTGCGATGGGAGGAGGAGGAGAAGCGAGGGAGGGAAGAGGGAAGGTGCGCGACGACCAAGACAGGGTGGAGGCGTGGCATGCCTGCCATGCCCGCGAGCCTTGGGCTGCCAAACTGCCGAGCAATGATTGGCGCTCTAGCGAAATTGGAGCAAACACAGCGTGGCACGGACGTTGGCGTTTGATTTAAATGTGGGGCGCGGGAAATCATCATCATCTTGCATGAGATCTCGCGCGGATTCATGATGCCCTCCGTCTGCCGCCGGCGAGATCTGATTCATCTCCTCGTCTTCTCCTCGTCCATACACTTTCCGCCGGCGCCCGCCTCCAGATTGCAGCGTCACGCCGTGGTGTTCGAGTTCCGTCGAAGCCGAGATGCACGAGCGCTAGCTACACACACACGCCTTGCTCCGGGAAGATCATCCTCGCAGGGCCCATCAGTCTCCGACCAACCACTTTCCGCCCACCAAGAACTGGCCGTGAAGCTGTGCATGTCTCAGCATGCGCCGGCAAGCAGCGCTCGTGCACTGCGAGTCACGCATCATCGTGGTTGCGATGTGCGACGGCTGCATGTTGCATGCAATCAAATGTCAATCTGGATTAGCCTTCTGTACCTGCAGTAGTCGTAAAGTCTGTTATCAGCAAGCTTTTTGCCCCGATGGGCGGGCAGGTCGAGGCCGCCAAGATGCGCCAAGATGCGCGCGTCCACCGCGGCTACATTCCTCTGCAGCACGCCAAACACTTGGTGCATCGCGCGAGGGCGAGATCGCTCCAGAGCATGTCGTCAACTCGCCTGTACACACAAACACCGACGCCCTGCATTCTTCGTGTCTTTGGCTGCTGGGTGATGGCGGACAGGTCATCTCCACCACCGAAAGCACGCGACCGGACGATTTCCGCCCTGCCACGCCATTCGTATCCATGAGATGATGACATCGTCCCTCTTTGTAAGTAAAGTCACCTGCTGTACGATGGTGCACAATGTTTTGGCGTATCTTTCTTTCTCCGACCTTCTTCACGCTTCAGTCAAGATCACGCGTCTGGTCGAAGAGCAACCAATGGCGTGTAAGGAGGAATGCCGTACTCCTCCTCTACCGCCTACACCTTCCAATGGATTTCGGTATGACCTCAGAAGCAAGGCCAAGCATGGCTCTCGGCCTCCTTACAACGCAAAGGCCAAGAGAGAAATCTCTTTATTACTCCTCCTCCTCCTTCCTGCCTCTTCTCCACCCTCCTGCCTTTCCTCTTGGTCGCCAACCCTTGGCATACTCATCCGACTCCTGCCCAGGTTCCAGGGGTCGGCACAGATCAGTATGAAGCGCGCGGCAGGGCGCAACATCTCCTCTTTTCTCCGTCGATCAACCCCAATGCCTGGGGGTTTGTGATACGTCTTCGGCGCTTACGCCGACCTGGTGCGACCGTTGGACAACCGGGGCTGCCAATGCCCTCATGTCCCATACCAAGAGTAACAACGGCACCACCTTCCCCGGTTCGGCAACATTCGACTCGCCATCGTTCTCGCATGCCGCCGTCGCTTTTCCCTAATATCGCGGCGGGGAGGCGGGATGTCATGCGTCGTTTCCGTCGATCAAGACTGGGTGACTGGATGTTGGTCTTCTGCGACCTGCAGTGCTCTCCGTCTATGGAGGCCGCGGTGATGTTTTCGCGTCCTTGTATCTCTGCCCCCTCGGATGCTTTCCGACAAGGCAGAATGCGCTCTGAGATCATGCCTTCACGCGACCTGGAGTTGATTTGTCCCGGCTCCGGGGGGTTGCTGTCACGAGGCGCGAGGAGGACGACGAATAAGCACATTGGAAAAGTCATTACACAGGCTTGTTGTTCCCGACAGCTCGCTGGGACCGACGTATACCAAAGTGTCGTAGATGAGCTCTCGCAGTTCTATTACCATCTCGTTGAGAATTGACAGCTTCTCATGTAGACGGAACAAGCGAGGTCGTTGCTTTCATCGCCACTGTCCTTACATGATCACACTCGACAGTGATAGATCAGGAGTTACGCGGCCGTTCTTCTGGCACAGAGCACAGCATACTGAATGAACTGCATGTTGCATGTCTCCAGAGCTTCATGTCAAATCCAGTCCCTCATGGCTGACTAAACGCCAAGCCTCGCCGCGGAGTACGCAGACCCCCACGTAATCCCGCCAGTCCAACGTTGGACGTTCAAGGCAGTGAGATTTGGAGGTCCATCTCCGGTTCACACCTCGATTATCTCTTTGCAACACATCGCCAACACCGTCGCGGACCGTCAAGATGGCTGACCTCCCCATTGGTATGATAAGAAGTCCTCAAGGGGTTTGGGAAACGTGCTAACCTCCTCGCAGTCCTCGACGGAGGTACCGGCTTCCTCAAGGCCGGATATGCTGGACAGGTTAGCAGTCCGACCTCGATGTAGAAGCGGTATGCTGATGTCAATGATTCCCCCAGAACTTTCCGGACCACCAATTCCCCTCCATCGTCGGCCGACCGATATTACGAACAGAAGAGCAGGCGGTGGGCGACATCAAACTGAAAGACATCATGTGCGGAGATGAGGCGGCGGCAGCACGATCGATGTTACAAATCACATATCCGGTAGGTGTTGATGATCACAGACATGCCCACATGCATCCCCCGACCCTCGAAGTGGCGTCCTTGCTCACAGACTTCGCGCGACGCAGATGGAGAATGGTATCATCAAACGCTGGGACGACATGCAACACGTCTGGGACTACACCTTCTTCGAGAAAATGCAAATCGACCCCACCGGCCGCAAAATCCTCCTGACCGAGCCGCCCATGAATCCGCTGAAGAACCGCGAGCAAATGTGCGAGGTGATGTTCGAGCGCTACAACTTCGGCGGCGTGTACGTCGCCATCCAAGCTGTGCTAGCTCTCTACGCCCAAGGCCTGTCTTCTGGCGTAGTCGTCGACTCCGGCGACGGTGTGACGCACATCGTGCCCGTGTACGAAAGCACCGTGCTCAACCACCTGACGCGGCGCCTAGACGTCGCCGGCCGCGACGTGACGCGCAACCTCATCTCCCTGCTGCTGCGGCGCGGGTACGCGCTGAACCGCACCGCCGACTTCGAGACGGTGCGCGCCATCAAGGAGAAGCTGTGCTACGTCTCCTACGACCTCGAGCTCGACAAGCGGCTGAGCGAGGACACGACGGTGCTGGTCGAGTCGTACACGCTGCCCGACGGCCGCGTCATCCGCCTTGGTTCCGAGCGCTTCGAGGCCCCCGAGTGCCTCTTCCAGCCGCACCTCGTCGACGTCGAGCAGCCGGGCATCGCCGAGTTCCTCTTCAACACAATTCAAGCGGCCGACGTGGACATCCGTAGCTCGCTGTACCGCGCCATCGTGCTCTCCGGCGGCTCATCAATGTACCCGGGCCTCCCGTCGCGCATGGAGAAGGAAATCAAGCAGCTGTGGTTGACAAAGGTGCTGGGCGGGAACCCTGAGCGGTTGGAGAAGTTCAAGGTGCGAATCGAGGATCCGCCAAGGAGACGGCATATGGTCTTCCTCGGAGGCGCGGTGCTGGCGAATATCATGTCGGAGCGGGAGAACATGTGGGTGTCGAAGCAGGAATGGCAGGAATCTGGGGCGAGGGCTCTGGAGAAGCTGGGAGCGAGGTAAAAAGCGGCAGATGTTTGATAGCACATTGTTCACCTTTTGAAGCATCATGTCACATTGCATCCAAGCTTTCATGAAAAATCTACCACGTACCCCCTCAAGCCAAGCATTCAAGCCCTAAGAGATGAACACCTTCTTAACCTCACTCTCACTCCACTCAACCCCATTCTTCTCCGTCGGATCCCGCACGCGGCCCCCCTTCATCCCCAACTTCTCATTCAGCACCCTCAGCCTCTCCCGCCCAAACACCCTCCCATTAGGCAGCACAACCGGATCGTCCTCCATGTAGCTCTTGGTGTGGTGCGCATACGGCACATTGCGCGCGAGGTCGTTGAGCTCGGTGCTGCAGATGGGACACACGGGGGCGCCGGTGAGGGTGGAGGGCTGCAGGGCGTGCACGCTGTGGCAGGCGGGGGTTTTGAGGGCGCTGAGGCCGGCGGAGAGGGCGATGTGCAGGAGGGGTTGGGTGGGGAGGGCGAAGAGGTCGTGGTGGGTTTGGAGGAAGAGGGTTGCTAGGGTTTGGTAGCGGGTTGGGCTGTACATTGTCTGCGGGTATTGGTTAGGTCGAGATGAATGTGGGATGTGGAGGAAGTGTACGCACTCTGTAGGGCTCGACGAGAGTGTCGGGCCCGTAGGCTAGCAGACCGGCGGCTCGGAGACCGAATTGGGCGTCTTGACCGTTTGCCAGATGCTTGCGGGCATGCACGATGGCGTCCATGCGGTGTTTGGTGTCTCCGCTCCTTGCCAACTCGATGAACTGCTGCAATCGAAGTTCGACTTCCAAGTTGCTCTGGGGTAGCGTTGTTAGTGATTTGGTGGTCTTTGGATGGAGCAGAGGTGCAAGGACTCACGCTGATCTTCTTCAGCGCTTGCTTGTTGTCTGTACACCACGCCAGACACTCCTGCGTTCTTCCCTCGATCAAACTCCGCTCGACCCTTCCGCATTCCTCAAAGACGCCAATGTCGACCAGTTCCTCCAGATTCTTCTCTCGAGCCAACTCCTTTGCACTCTGCGTATATCCCTGGCGGAGCAGGTAGTCCACCAGCAATCTATCCAGCCTTTTACGAGACCACTGATCATATTTGACGTCCGCTAGCGTTGGGATGGAATGCAACTCTTGCAGATGGTTGATGCGAGCCTTTTGCTGGCGGTGAAGAGCTTGTTCTTCGGCATGCAGCGCTTCCAGCTTGCGTTTCAGACTCTGTGCTTTTGCCAGCGTTGCATCGAGTGAGGCAAGGGTATCGGCGGGAGATGCTTGTGGGTTGAAGGACTGGGTTGCGCTTGTGATGTTTTTGTTCGTCATTTCGATTTGTCGTTGGGCGGATTTGAGCGTCTTGCGGAGGAGTTCGGTGGGCAAGCGGAGGAGGGGTTGATCGAGGAGGAGGTGAGAATCGGCGTCCAGTTTGGACGAGGTGAACTCTGCCATGTTGGCGGAGGGTTGGCACGATTTGCGAGGTCACTTGGATAGTATGTGGCTTCTAGATGGTCAGAATCATGGAGTGTGATGCAAGGCCCGTCCGCTGGTCAGAGGAAGCTCAAAAGCTGAGGAGCATCAATGTCGACATGCAGACATAGTGAGAGACTTGGAGAAGTGAAGTGCTAAGTTGGCGCGGGGCACATGATTAGCCAATTCTTAATCAATATGACCCCGTAAATCCCGCCCGCCATCTTAACCAAATGCGATGAAACCTCGCTGTTTCCATGAGCTTCTCGCGAAATGCCGCTTAGACCGCCAGGCGAGCTGTGGTGCCTTCCGCGGCGCCTTCCCCACGCGCAGTCATAGATACGTCATGCGCGCCGTCACACCCACACACGATCAACCCGGGTTTCAAAAAGCTCCAGCTGTACCTGCATGTAAATCTTGTACTCTTCAATTCCATCCATCTACTCCTCCACTACTTTGTCCAAACGAATCCAATCCAACCCGCAAACATGTCTGACAAAACCTTTGGCATGACCGAGGCCGACATCCAAAAGGCCGAGTCTCGCACATCCAAGGCTCACGATGGCAACGTGCCAAAGGGCTCTGAGGCAGCTATGATGCAGGTGAGTTGCATGGCCGATCACAACGTTGTCTCAGGGCCAATGCAGAAGTACTGACGCCTCCCCAGTCCATCCTCGACAAATCTAGCAAAGACAAGGCCGACATCATCGCCGAGCGTCAAGCAAACCTCCCCCTTCCCGACGACCCGCCGGGCCCCTCCGACTTCAACAGCGCCGACGCGCGCAACGTCAACATTAGCTCTAGCGACGTTGCCACCGGCGATCTGTCCACCTCCGACGGTGCGCTTCGGGAGCCCGCCACGGGCGACTCGGCCTTCAGGGCAGACGCAGACGATCTGAAGACCAATGTGCAAGGTGCCCGTGCCGGAAGGGAGGGCGCGGACAACTTGGGCGGACTGCCGAATGACGCTGTGTCGCAGGGCAAGAAGAACACGCAGGGCCTGGCGGATACCACCAACCAGGGTTCCGCTGCGGACAGGGCTGCCGGTCAGTAAGAGCGCACTCGACCAGACATGCACAGTGACTCTAGTCGGGTATGAGGTATGCTGGCAGGCATAGCGTGGCTTTGCTATACCTCATACAGACTACGAGAGGAGTTACGAGGAAGCCATAGCTAGCACGCGAATGACAGTCCTTGAGAAAGGCATGAAGCAATGTTCTCGATTTCCTCCCCGCCCTCAGAAGCTCCTACATGCATCGACTGTCTACAGCTACCTACTTACACCTGCAACACGTGGTTCAAGCCATCATCTTTTTCCCTTCACCACATCATCCCGTCATCTTGCATCTCGCGTGGTGAGAGAGAGGACCTGAGCTACGACCAGCCAATGGCCCTCGCGTGATGTGTGACGATCCGCCTTGCCGTCGTGGAACTTGACGTCACGCGATCGCGGGGCAGATGCACCGAAGATGTCATCCACAGCTCCATGAATGCTGTTGTCCCACTGTACCTGCATCAATCTTCTTCTATCAAACATATACCATCAACTGCTTCCAGTCGTTTGAAGCAACCGCAATCAACCAGATCAAAACTCATCGTTCAAACCTTGCAACATGGCTTCCGGAGAAGGACAAAAGGTGAGCTGCCTCACTCGCAACCCCCAAGCAAATGCCATCCACTAACATCGACCAGGTCACCACCGACCCCCAAACCCTCGCAGACCCAAAGACCGAAAACCCAGGCCTCGTCACCTCCGACTCCCTCGCCGCCGAGTCCGTCAACGAAGGCGGCTCCTTCGCCGCAACAAGCGACTCGCGCGGCCCCATGGCCCAGCCCTCCTACTCCAGCAACGCCGCCACAACCGACGTCTCCAACGCGCGAATCCTCGACTCCGCGCCCGACGCCGAAGCCCGGCAAGCGAGCGAAGCATGGAACGAGGCGGCCATCCTGAACGCCAACATCGACGGCAAGCGCGACAAGGATCTCGGCATTGGGCCGACGTGGAACACGCCTGGCCCGAAGACGGTGAATCCGGATCAGCGCGAGGCGAGATATGGAACGGGCAATGCGGCGCCTGCGCCGGGATATGTGGCGTACTCGTCGCAGGTGAGCGATGGAGATGGCGCGCCCAAACAGGTGCCTAAGGGCGAGGGGTTGACGGAGGGGGGATTCAATTCTGAGGCGCCGAATGCGAGCTACAATACCAATATTGGAGGCGGGAATGATCCGGGGAGACGTGCGTTGGGGGAGATTGAGGAGCAGAATGCAGGTGGCTCGGGCCCGCGAGAGGGGCAGATTAGCGGGATGAAGCAGTTTGGAGATCTCGATGAGACGAGTGCGTAGGCCTATGCCTCCTCGACGGTCTGAAAACGGGATATATGATGGTGGAAAGGATTTCGAGGAAAGCATGGCCATCATTCGAGCTATGCACGGACGAGCCTTTGAGCAACGCGCTCAATCGAGTAAGCAGGGGCATCAGGGGTCGTCAACGACCATTAGAAGATTCAGAGTCCAACTCGTCAGTTGGCGGGCGTTGTGATCGTAATGAAAGCCGTCGGATCTCACTCATGATAATTCCATGCTCCCGCTATCCTCATCTCGCGCATCTGCCACCTCTCCATATGTCTTGACAACCCACTGACAGAAAGCCTCCCACTCCTGCGCATAAATTGCCTTCGCCTTGGCCACCTCCTCACCGCTCAAGCAGCTGTGCTCCAGACTCCATTCGGCCAGCTGCTTGCAGCCGTGTATGCTCATGCGCGGATCGCCGACGAGGACCTGGTAGAACTCGTACGAAAGTGAAGCACCTGACCCCTCGGCTCCCCTATCGATTTGTTGATTAGCATGTACTACATCGTATGGTGGTTGGTGGGTGCATGACTTACCTAAAGAGAGATGGGTTGTCCGCGTTGAGCGTGCAGTGCAACCCCGCCGCGAGAAGTTGCGGATACGGGTGCTCGCGAACGTTGCCGCAGAGGTGCAGCAGTTCGTTGGAGATGGGACACAGCTCGAGACAGATGTTGTGCTCCTTGTACTTCTCCACCAGCAGCGGGTGTTTGAGCAAGGCGTAGCCGTGTCCGATGCGCTTGGCGTTCAACAGCAGTGCATCGTAGAGGTTGCTGTTGTCGGGGTTGGAGGAGCCGCCGGTGTCGAGCAATGTTTCGCCTGCGTGGAACATGAAGGGGATCTGGATGTCGAGTTGCTTGCACGTTTTCGTAAGGGCTGTGAGGAGGTCTGCGTAGTAGCCGATGCTGTTGGGCCGGTCTTCTGCGCCCACGAGATCGAAGCCGCAGATGAGATTGGGGAATTGGAGCTTCAGCGCGAGACAGTCTTCGAGCTCGGTCTTCATTTTCTCCAGAGGTATACTCCGTGGGGTGCAGTAGATGACCTTGACACCAAATGGAAACTGGTGCAACCTGCCCGCCGCCTCGAGCTCGGCTGTCTTTCTCTGCACTTCTTCCACAAGGATGGCCATCTGTGCTTTGTGATCAAGGGCGCCGTTGCCGTCATCTGTCGGAAGCGTCTTGTCCATCAACATAGGCCGGACTTCGGCGTACATGACTTTGTCCTTGATCATGTTGTCGATCATGTGGCCGATGTACCACCGGTAGGCCGTCTCGTAACCGAGAAGGCCTTTCAACGCCCGTGTTCCTTGATTGAAACAAGCCCAGGCGCCGTTGTGTGTTTGCCTGCTGTGGTAGGCGTTCTGCTTGGTGATGATCATCTTCTCACGCGCCCACATCTCTGCAGGATCTAGCGATTCGATGTACTTCTCAAGTTTGACGCCTTCGATGTGTGACAGGAAGCTCCGGCGGAAATCTTGCCAAAGCATCCAAGACGTATTAGACTCGTCGCGCCAGTCCGGACTGTATTGTGCCGAAAATATATCTGCACTCTTTGTCTGTCTGGGAAGGACCTGGAACACTATTTCGGCCAGTTCAAAATCCGATTCCGTCACAAGGGGATGTGTGCTTCGAATGAACATCGTGTCCGGAACAAGTTCTCTTGCCAAAGGAAAGAGGTATTCCGGGTCGATTTCGGAGTTGAAGTGTAAGTGTTGATGAGCACCTTTCGGCATCTGGCGGACGATTTTGAAGACATCACTCTTGTTGATTCGAGGTAAGTTGACCAGAAACCGGCCGCCCATGTCTAGAGAGCCCTCCGCGGGGAGCGCCTCGCCCGGCAAGTTTCCAAAGAGATTTGGATCAACTCGTTCTCGTTCCCTAATGGTCGTCAAGATCCGCTGAGCTTTGATCTCCGCCGACGAAGCGTGCTTCCTAGCTGGCGCATCCCATGCGTGACTATGCTCCTTAGCAACCAGATCATGGCGGTCGCTTCGGTAGGCGGCCGCGTTGGAATTGTCCCTGAAGTTTTGGACCAGCTTTGATCTTGCGCCCTCGAGATCTGCCATGAAGGTAGACCGTACAGTTGGTTTGCCGGGCTGCGATTCAGAAGCACTGCCCTTTTTTCGCGGCGGTGCACGCCGCGATGATGGAACGGTAACGTCTACGGAAGATCGCGCAGGTGTCACGCCACGTGATCTTCTCGGTCTTCGCGCGCGTGCTACCTACGATGGTAGGTCAGCATGGGAAGGTGTTCACGTTGCATATTGCTGATCGTAGGCGCCAATGGTGCGAAGGGCTCATGCATAGAAGACAGTCGATCACTGAAGGGAGGGGTTACCTTCTTTTCCAGCATGGCATGCGTAGCATCTGCGTGGAATGAAAGCTGCGAGAATGCCCGCGCATTGCTCGCACGAGCCTCTCAGGAACCCAGCCGACTGCTATATAGGCACCGGAGAGGAGGCCATCTGCTAGAACATCGATTGAATTGGGGCGGTGTTGGTCATCCACGTGCCGAGCCGCCTTGGGAAGATGCAAGCCTGCCAGTTCACGGTTAGGCAGTTAAATACCGCAGCGCCCAACTGAGGCGTGATCAGTGGGAGTGTCGGCTGCGCTGCTATGTGCGGGTCGGAGACCCGATAGCCTCGCTCACGGGGGGCGCGGAAGCTTTGGGAGCTGCTGCGCCTCGCGCTGCGGTGATGTATCGTTCTCGCGAAGATGTGATCGAGTGTGACCCCCTCCAATTCACGTGGCGAAGATCTTGAGGATGGCGAGAAGAGGTTTAACACCTACAGCCATTGACATGCATCTGGTCACATATATTGTGGCCGTGGAAGAGTCCGCAAGACATCGCTAGACGAGACGGAACGACCTGATGTGATGATGGACGGAATAGGACTAGCTTGTGAGGCCTCAGGCCACCAATACGAATGCCGCCTCAGGCTTCAGGGCGTTCCGACCTCCAACTCCACTTTACACCTCCGACCTGTCGCTTGTGGCGCGGCAAGTTGTAAGGCTCCGGATACAGCGCTTCAGAGAGACTCTGGCTCCGTCTCTGCCTTTGACCGGTCGAGCAGGCGCAAGCGCAGGGGCTCAGCGCCAAATGTGACACCAATCACACTACCTTCCGGCCCCCAATCGCCGTGATGCGCCTCTTCGTCCCGCCCACCTTGGATGCTCCGCCGCTCTCGTATACACCACGGCTCCCACAACAACCTAGGCCTCCCACAGTTTAAGCACCATCCTGTTGGGTTCGTGAACGGCCCGTCTCGCAAGACCCATTATTCCGACCGTTAATTCCAATCCTCCACGCAGACATGAGTGGGGGCAACACCAATACCACCATCTCCCATCCGGGCAACGACTGGCAGGTGCTATGGGGCAACGGGAACGGCTGGAAGAACTTTCAACTCGACATCGTCGGTTTCCTTGCCATCCTTGGCGAGAGTGCCGTCACCGCCAATGCCCAAGTGTCCGCTCTGTCACGACTCTTCTACCTCCCGCGGTTGCTCCCAGCTCCACAGGCACTGCTTCCGCCCTCGCGACCCACCGAGCTGCCCACGGAGAAAGCGTGGGTGACTGGAGTGTTTAATGGAAATAACAAGGAGCACCTCCATCACATTGCCAATATCTTGCTGTAAGTGCTGTCGTGCTTCAAGTCGGATACCCATCACTTCCCACTGACAACCTGCAGCGGCGAAGAGCGCCTCCCCAAATACTCGGTGAGATGCATCAAAATCACCAAGAAGGACCCGAAGGGAGTGAACGCCTCCGACGTCTATTTCCGCGGCCTTCGTTCCACTTCATCCATGAAGGAAGCGGATGGTGAACTGCAGCCATCGCCAGTCAAGGCCCGCGCCACTGGTCCCCTCACCTGGGTGACGCTGATAGGATTCTTTCTATCCGTGGCCTTGTTCGTCATCTCCATTGTATGGGGCGATGGCTTCTCTCTCATCGCCACCATCCTCCTATCCTTCCTGTCCACCTTGATCGGCTTCGCCAACAAATGGGAGCTGGCATTTTCCAAAGTCGCCTCCGAGGCTTTGCTTGACGGTGATGTCGTTGTTCGATATCCAATTGGCAGTTTCATTGTCGTCAAGTGCAACGAAGAAGTCGCTCGCGAGCTCTTCTTCGCGCCCGAGGAAATACAGTACCACATCAGCCACCCGGTCGCCTCGCGCCTGATTTCACTCGTCGGCACCCTCATCCTAATGCTTGGAATCATCTTCCTCGCCAACGCAAAGCTGGAGCTCCAATTCGCCTGGGCAGGCGCCTACATCATCATCAACGCCGCGCATTGGGTCGCTGCCGCCGTCCCACCCGGCTCCCACTGGGACCTCTCGTGCTACGAAGTGCGAGAAGAAGGCGTGCTCGGCGGCCCCGACAACGCCAACTTCACCGCCGCGCTCTGGAAAGCCATCGTGCTGACGAAGAGCGTCGACTGGGTGCAACTCAACAAGGCCGCGCCCGTGCACAAGGCCTGGAACGATTGGCTGAAGGAGGCGGAGAGGGAGGCCAAAGCCGCCCAATTCCATCTTGCTCCGCTCGTCAACCCAAATCCCGCCTGGCCGCACCCGGGCGCTGAGGATAAGGCGGGTTCGGTGGTGTGGAATGTTCCTCCGTGGGACGCCAAGGCGCGCTGGAATGAGATCCAGCAGGGGCTGAGTGCCGCCAAAGAGGAGAAGGGAGCGGTGGCTGTAGGAGCGGTCGCCGTGGAGAAGCGAGATTGATTTGAGCTCTAGTTGTGTCAGCGTTCGTGCTTTTTGACTAATGAAGGAGCCGACCAGGGCACTGGGGTTTTAATAGCGTTACAGGCGGGCGGTGTTTGGTGTTGCACGGCCATCCGCCGTTCTGACGGGGATTCTTGACTGGCATATGTCTTGCCATTTCTCAACTACATACTCTGAGTATCTACACAGCTCGATGTATGGAGCGTGATTGTTGATATTGCGGGCCTTTGGCGAGGCGTAGTGTGAACCTGTATTCAAGCTCTGGATTTCCCGCTGTCCAATGCACTTCGTCTGAGTGCAGTGTCCCCTTTCTTTCACTACCGTACGGATGTGAAGCGCAGTCTCGGCAAATGGCGCTGCGGAATGGTGAATAAGGCCGCATGGTCGGATGATGCCGCATACGGCTTTCGTCCAACTTTTCAGGTGAGCAAGTCATGCTTGCGAGCAAATCGTCAGTCTATGCTCCGTCGTCCTAAGATCTGCCAACGCCGTCATCGCCTCCGTCATTGGGCATTCTATACTTCGACTCGTGGGCTCGTATCTGTGGTAGGCGCTGCCCTAGAGCTGCACTCACATGTGGCCAGCAGTCGTAATTGGTTGGAGGCCGGTCAATGAGACTTGTATGTGTGCGCGGGCCAGAGGCGGGCAGCACAGCCTCCAACGAGGGGGGATTCAGGACGCCGCGGAGTCAAAGCATCTCTCTCTCTCTCCTCTCTCTCCAAACTTCACTCCGTCAGCTCGGCAACGGCAAAGTAGCCCTTGTCCTCAACGACACCCCGGTTCTTGACCACGGCCGTGTACTTCACCACCCACAGTGGCTGAACCTCGCCCTTTAACCCTTCCTCCGGCGCATGGGCCTCACCGTGGAGGGTCTTCTGCTTCTCCTCCGGCTTCGTCGTCTCCGCAAGCACCCCTGCCCCGTCTGGACCCGGCCCGAGCAACTCACGCACCGTACCGCGTGGCAAGACGTTGGAGCAGTCATTGTGCACCAACAACTCGACATGCTGACTTTTGGCCAATTTCAGGAGGCTCTTGGGTACCGAGCAGCAATCTCGGAGATTGATTTGATCGACGCTGGGGCGGAGTGTCGTTTTCTCTAGGAACGTCTGCAATCGATCGTGCCCGAACTCCGCGATGCCCAGTTTCCGCACAATGCCCTCTTTATGCAGCTGCTCTAGCACCTTCCACGTCTCAATCTGTGACTCCAACGGCTCGGGCTCGGCTTCCACGGGGCCTCGCGTGGAGATCTTGTCGGGACAGTCCTCCTCTTCGTCAAAGTAGATGCCGGGGAAGGAGATGATGAGGAGGTTGAGGGAAGGCATGTGCAGCTCCTTGAGCACCAGGTTCACCGCTTCCCTTGTCTGCACCGCCCTTTTCTCAATCGGTGCTCCGGAGAGGTAGAACAGCTTCAGAGTGATGTCGTATTGCTCCCTCTCCTCCTGCAAGCCCGAGCGGTCAAACGACAGCTTGGGCACTTCGAGCTCCATCCGCCCGTCGTCTGCCATATGCGTCCACGTCTTGTAGTTGCTGCGGTGGGTTTTCGCCGTCCCGTTGCCGTTGACCATGCCATCGGTTTGCAGCGAATGCGCGGCGAAGTTGTTGCGGAAGGAAGCGACGAGCTCGGCATTGGATTTCTGGGTGGGATCGCGGCGGATGGAGGAGCCGCCCTCCATGATGTTGCTGCCATTGTCAGTCAGGGGTGGTTGAGCTTGCGCAGGGAAGAGGGAGCATACCCGGTCGACAGGATGAGCTTCATCGTGACGGTCAAGCAGGGGAACGAGGTGGTGTAACGGGGCACCGCAAGCTGCTCTCGCGGGACGAGGGCTGGAATTCGGACGAGGACAGAGGACGGATCCTGCAAGTCGTAGGCGCTGAGTGAGTGAGCGACAGAGCGGGAGGGCTGGGAAGAAACCCCACTTGATCGACGTTTATACGTGGGCAATGTACAGTGCTTTGCAGCGGATGTCATTATTACCAACTCCAATAAATCTCTTGCAGGTGGGGCAGGAGCAGGAATTAACTCCGCGAGCGTAAGCTTTAGGTAAGGTGCCTAATGAATTCACACCTCCACCACACCTCGTCCTCTTCTCTTTCTCGTGGACACATGCAATAGCCATCACTGGATCAACAATGGCCATCAGGTGATTTTTCATCTCCTGGAACCCTTGACCGGGACTAACGAGAGCCTTTCAGATATCTCATCCTGCTGTCGCGGCAGGGAAAAGTGGTAAGTGCCAGCTACTTCTCTCATATTCCGTCCACACGCTCACCATCTCCCCAGCGGTTGGCGAAATGGTTCACCACGCTCTCGCCCAAAGACAAGGCCAAGATCATCAAAGACGTCTCTCAACTGGTGCTGGCGCGAAGGACGCGAATGTGCAACTTCCTCGAGTACAAAGGTGCGTGTGGTCCCCCAACCTCCCGTCCACCGCCTTGGCAGACTCTTCCTAACACAACACCACCTGCATTTCACAGACACGAAAGTCGTCTACCGTCGCTACGCCAGTCTCTTCTTCATCGCCGCCACCGACCCCGAGGACAACGAGCTCATCACCCTCGAAATCGTGCACCGCTACGTGGAACAGATGGACAAATACTACGGCAACGTGTGCGAGCTCGACATCATCTTCAACTTCCAAAAGGCCTACTTCATCCTCGACGAGCTGCTGCTGGCCGGTGAGATGCAGGAGAGCAGTAAGAAGAACGTGTTGCGCGTCATTGGCGCGCAGGATGGATTGGAGGAGATGGAGGTGAGTGGGGACGGTGAGAGTCTGACGGGTTCGCATGTCTAGTGCGTCTCTCGAGATGCTTCCGCTTGCATGTGGTTTGGCCCAAGTCCTTATCTCCCCTGGAGCACGCGCTGATTGCCCCTTCCTGACGCGTAGGTTGAGGACGAGGGCGTCACGAGAATCGGCTGATCTGTCCGACGGAAACGAAGCTTCAGAGCTAATCATGCAATCGCTACACCCAGGCCACCGACGCGATCGAGTCGAATTTACGCAGCGCTGGAATGGCGTAACAGGGGTTGGTGCTGGTTATACAGCGACTTAGTACCTGTATTCCGAGCAGGGAAGGGTTTGCTTCCAATACATGGCGTTGCTGGGGGACAGGCGTCTATTGGGCCATTTGAGCATTGATGATACCCATGGCCAAGGCTGGTGTTTTTGAAGCCCGTTGGCCTTTTGTATGGTATTGCTTCGGTCTGCGATCAGTAACACCCGCCGCGTATCGCGGAACCTGAATTGAGAACGCGCACGCCGGCGTCCTTCCCACTGCTAACAGGTGGTACTCCTACGCTCGAACCGTGTCCCAACTGCTCACACATACTCGTCTTCTGTTGACTTCTCGACTCGACACAGTCGCAAGCTTTGTCACGTGTAGTTGGTTTGCTGCAAAGAAGACCACATTGAACGAATTTCGCTAACGAAGCACAAACATCTTCCCGTTCTGGACGTCGACCATATCAGGCTTCCCAAGCTTGCCCTTATCACCCTTCACGACCGTTGAAGCTTCCCGTTCGAGCGCCCATTCGATCGTCCGTGGTGTGTCCGTCACCCACAACATCCGCATCAACGCTCCCGTATATTGCAGCAGCGAGCTATGCGATAGCACCCAGTACTTCGCCCCGCCGATCGCGCGGAACAGCTCCAAGCCGCCGGTAGCACCATACGTATTCTGACTGCCTGCAGCGTGCGACTCCTTCAGCCCGTGGAACATGGCCAACTTCTCTATTGCCGGCTCTGAATTCAGGAACGCCTGTAACGGCTTTTGGTCCAGCCGTGTTCCGTGCGGAGTCTGGAGAATGGCCTCGTGGATCTCTGCTTGGCCAACCTTGCTTTCGTGTGTCCAGATCAGGGCCAAGCAGTAATTCAGCTCGTGGTGGCCGGGCAAACGCAGAGGAGTCAACCATCGAGGAAGCGCATCTGGATGCAATTCTGCGGTATTCCAGGACCGCGCGTCTGAGCTGAAGTCCGTCATCTCGCTGATCGTGTCGAAGTGGCTCAACGTCCGGATCTTCTTCGCGGCCTCGCAACTGGCGATTACCGGAGTGCGCTTGTCGAATGTCCGGAGTGTGGGCTCGTGTAGATGGTCCGCGTAATGGAAGCCCATGAGGATCGCATCCAGTACTGGTTTGCTCTCCTGTACTCCCTTGGGTGTTCGATCACCGCCTGATCTCCATGAGCTGGCCGCAATCTCGATCTGACGGGCCATCTCTTCCACATCCCCGCCACATGTCGCCGCAGCAGGACTGGAGAGACTGATATGAATCAGCCACGAACTGAGCTGCGAGGTGGGCCCGCTCAGCCATGGCTCGAAGACAATGTGGTAATACAATCTTCCCGTCGATGATCGTTCTGATGCCGGACGAGGAAACGACCACAGCCACGAGTTGTCGCCGTTCAAAGATGTGATGATTGGTCGCAGTGCATTCTGATCTGCTGTCGAGAAGTACTCACGCAAGTCGCATGTCCTGGCTTCTCGAGAAGTCATGTTTGGGAAAGATGCAATTGTGTGTGCTAATGCTAAACAACATGAAGGTATACAGGTTTTCGAAAGCGGGAGGAGGTCGATCCATACTGCTGCGATGAGCAATGCGCCGATGCTTGGCTCTACACGTCTGCTGGCCGATATCAGCTGGGTCTTGCCGGGCGTTTCGTCAGGTTCAGCTGTCATGTTGTCGATCTGGCTTGGCTTACGTAAGGGACTGCCTGGCACCCGGGCATGCTGCATGTGGTTGAACGATAATCACGACTGTGAGATGGACTGGAGGGCGACCGCCATGGAAGGCTGTCAGCATCACGGTCTACCCTACCGGACATTTGAGATCTCCACGGGCTTTGGCCGAATCCGCCGGCGTACAGCCCTCGGGCACAGCTTAACCGTGTCGCTTATTCGCAAAGCACATCGAATCGCAGGACAGGTACGTGGCACGACGACTCCAAGGCACAGCCGAGCTCGCCTTCCTCCGAGTTTGGCGAGATGGTATGTGGACGACGAGGTGCAGTTGTAACTTGACTCGACAGCATGTGGAGATTTGCCCGGACGTGATTGGCTTATAGCCGTTCCCGCCACGTCACGTGCTAGCGCCCCGCAGATGCTTATGGGTCGCAGCTTCCCCATCCGTGTCGCCAGCTTCGTCACCACATCCACCACATCACCCTCCGCAACCATCCCACCACCGTCGCATGGCGCATCACAGCAACCATTGTGCCTGCTAGGCCCGCCTTGCGCGCGTCTAGTAATCCACCGTTCTCTCGTCTCGAGGACGCGTTATCATCGGCTTCCGACGGAGGGGAGTGTTATCGGCAGAGTCAGCAAGAGCAGGATTACGCGCCAGGAGCTCGGGGGTTGCGCAAGGCGAATGCACGCGTCGCAGACGGATTACAAACGCTACTAGCTGGTAGAAGAAAGAGTAATACACCTACTGCTACCCGGCGTGAACGAGCTACCAGCGGAATCTCCACGCGAAGTATACCTTACCCGGCGCATTGAACAGCTATAGTTGGATCGGGTCGAGCATCTCGAGATGAAGGTGTGTACATGATTCGTGTCGAGGATACTGCTCCCTGTCGTAAATCTTCATGCTAACTGCCGCAGTACCTTCCTCTTCGCAACCTGGATACGGTGACGAACGCGTTGAACTTCTCAACTGCGGAGTACCATGTCATCGGAGGCTGCGACATCTACACCACCAAAGCGGCGGGCGGCGACAAGAAGCTGTACAAGAACATCGAAAACAGTCTAGAAGTCGAGTACGAGAACCTTGTGCGACTGTCGGCATCGCTTAGTCCGCCGTACCGCACCGCAAGCGAGGATGGCAAAGCCGGCGAAAAGGGCCGCCGCAGCAGCAGGAGCAAGCGTGGCCATTCGGTCAGCGTGCCCGAGATCGATCTCTCGCGCGCATCGCCATTTGGACCGTTGAGCTCCATCACTTCGCGCCGGACATTTGCTTATGTGATCGCCACCCTGAACGCATCACACCCGGACTACGACTTCTCGCACGCGCTCAAACCCGCGGACTTCCACAAGGAGAAGAGCCTGCGCTCTGTCATGCTCAATGTCGACAGCACACTGCACAATCTCCGCCCGAAAGTGATCCCCTACTCCCCGAACACCTATCTCGCCCCACCTTCCGCGATTCTATCGAACTCGGCCTTGTTACTTAACAGCTCGGGCACGGAGGTCTGGAGTCCGAAGATGTGGGCTTTGATCAACGAGGAAATGGACCTGACGCAGTGCGAGAAATACTCCTTCACGCCGGAAGACGAGCTGTTTGACGGCGAGGCGGGCGCGATCTGGAGCATGCACTACTTCTTCTTCAACAAGGAGAAGAAGCGGGTGTGCTACTTTTACGTGCGAGGCTTGAGCGTCATCAGCCACTCACCAGTCTTCACCCCTGGGTTCCCCGTCAAAAGGCCGAAGCGGAGTCAACGCCAAGCGAGCGGCGTGTCGATTGGAGAAGGCGCTGGAAAACGCGCAAGTTACTGGCTGGGCTCACGCCAGGGCATCGACACCGACAGCTACGGCGACGATGACGACGACGAAATGATCGTCGATCCAGCCGATGACGAGGTCGAAGTGCCATACATGGACCTGGACGAAATTCGGAGCTCGCTCACCGAAGGCTACTATCCGCACGAAGGCGCGGAGGAGTACGACGAGTTCAACGATGGATACCTGGACGAAGGGTGGACGGCACATGGTAGTGTGGGACACGTGCGCGGGATGAGCGAGGAACTCGGGGACTTGCTGGAGTTGTGATGGGCTGTCGTCAATGCTCGGCTTTGCTTTGTGGAATCCTGCGGGAAGGGGGGAGAGGCGTTTATGGCATGGTGGGAATGGTATGGCGTGGAACGGAAGACGGGGTGTCGGGGCTAATGAATGGGTTCTAATGATTTGCTCAAGCATGGCGTTTCAGCGGGCTGGTGGCGCGGCTTGCTTGCCATGGCGTTGAGCTGTATGTGTAGTTTGATCGATACCCGGCTTTTTCCTACTTTTCCTTAGCTGCTGAGGAAGAACATATCCGATTTTATTGCTTCACTTGTTTATTTAGTCGCCCTGCTAGCCGTTGTGTTGTTGCCGTCGACACGTACTGGGCTTGCAACTCGTGGTTGGCGCGGCTGACTCAACATCCAGCATCTCAGATCTTCACTCAGTAATCCGTCCTACCATGCCGTAGCAACGAGTCAACTTCAACACCATCGCCTGCACACAATCAGCGCCAACATGCCATCCGCCGTACCCATCTCCGACGCCGAGATCCCTCATAACCCCCCCGATCTCTCCCAGAAACTCCCCAAACTCACACCTCGAAGACGACCGCAAGCAGACCGAGATCCATCCAACCCGCCGCCTCCCACCCCAGCTTTACCCGCTGTACCAGACCTAAAAGACCATGTCTTCTTCAAACCCACCCGGAGAATCCTCTCCGACCGCGACCATCAGCTATTTTTGCAGTCCGACACGCACAATCTCATCGTCAGCTTCGTCTTTCACCTTTCGGACTCCGTGAGGGGCTCGACGATTACCAATGTGCAGAAATCCGAAGCCGCAACGGATCCCGCTGTGTTAGCATTACTGGCTGTGTTGGATGAGGCGGAGGAGCTGGTGAGACAATCGCCGCCGGTGGACACGGGTTCGCGCTTTGGCAACCCGGCGTTTCGCGACTTTCTGCAGAAGCTGGACGATGCACTGCCCGGTTGGCACTCCAAGATCGGTGTGCAAAATGCAGCCGCTCAGGCCGAGCTATCGACGTACATCTCGAATGCATTTGGCAGTGGAGTGCGGATTGACTACGGCTCTGGGCATGAACTCAACTTCCTCCTTTGGCTGCTATGTCTACGCCAGCTGGGCGTGCTGCACGACAACGCATTCCCGGCGTGCACGCTGCTGGTATTCCCGCGCTACCTGCGCCTTATGCGGAACGTGCAAAGTACGTATTACCTCGAGCCAGCGGGCTCACACGGCGTCTGGGGCCTAGACGACTACCAATTCCTCCCCTTCCTCTTCGGCGCCAGCCAGCTGGTAGACCACAAACACATCCGCCCGCTGAGCATCCACAACGAGCTCGTACTGGAAGAGTGCGCCAAAGACTACCTCTACCTCGACCAGATCCAATGGGTCAATGCGACCAAGACGGTGCAAGGCCTGCGCTGGCACAGCCCCATGCTCGACGACATCAGCGCCGCCAAGTCGTGGTCGAAAGTCGAGGCCGGCATGCGCAGGATGTTCCTCGCCGAGGTCCTGGCCAAGTTGCCTGTTGCGCAGCACTTTCTGTTCGGGAGTCTAATTCCTGCGGCGCCTGGCATGGCGGCCGATGCGAAGGAGAAGGTGGGCGAGGAGGATGTGGGGGAGTTTGAGGTGACGGTGGATGGGATGAAGCACATTCACAATTCGAATTCGTGGGGCGATTGTTGTGGGATTAAAGTGCCTAGCGCTGTGGGCGCGAGGATGGAGGCGAGGAAGAAGGGCGATGCGGGAGAGTTGAGGCGGTTGCCATTTGATTGATGGGATGCTGCTGCGCTTCCTGTATCAAGTACTATGACGAATCTGTTTGACGGCCCGCAATGCGACGACCACGACGTGAACGTTCTATTTCGAAATCGATATCTCAACATTAAACGCCGTTGCCACATTGAACCTCTGACGCGCTTGGGCATCGTGTAGAGTGAAGTTCACTAGGCCCGGCCGTCCATGCCTCATTGCCGACCTCGGCTTCCGAAATATGTCATCAACCTCACGAACCCTTGAATCACCACAAACCACCCTCCATTCCCACCAACACCCCTCCTCCAACCCCGTTGTATATATATCTGGGCAAGCGAAGATGGCGCAGGACTTCCCAGCGCACGCTTCGCCCACCCACTCGCCCACCATACCCCCGTCCCGACCTCGCCAGCTATCGGTCTCGAGACTCCAACTCGGCGACGACATCAACGAGCAAGAAGAAGATCCACAACAACAAGGGCCCCCGTTAATCAGCCCCGCCTACACCCCTCCTCACACCCCGTCAATCGACGCCCAAAGACACGACAGACAGCCCAAAAGCATCCCCATCGCCCCCTCCTCCGACGACCCCGAAGACGCAGCAGCAACCCGCGCGCGCTTCTCCCAGCCCCTCCCCAACGTGCAATGCGAGGTCCGCGCCCGCATCCCCACCACCTCCGGCCAGGAAATGTGGCTGCATCTCTACCAAAACGACGCGGATGAGAAGGAGCACCTCGCCATCGTCTTTGGCCCGCACATCCGGAGTCGCAGTTTGGATGCGCCGCGGCCCGGCGAGACGGAGAGGGATCGCATGATTCGCGGGGCGTATGTGGGCACACTATACCCCGGTCGCACGACTAGTACGCTGGAAAAGATCAAGCGGGACGATGGCGTGCCTACGCCGAGGAATGGGCCGGTCTCTACGAGTGCGTCGCAGCTTGCGGAGACGATGAATGAAGAAACACCGCCGGCGGAAACCGACTCGCAGCCGCCTACGGTGCGAATCCATTCCGAGTGCTATACCGGCGAGACGGTCTGGTCTGCACGCTGCGACTGCGGCGAACAGCTAGACGAGGCCGCGCGATTAATGTCCCTCCCACAGCCCACACCCGCCTCAACCCCAACCAGCCAAGGCCAACATCCGCTCCACACCATGCTGCCGCCCACAGGAGGCGTCATCATCTACCTCCGCCAAGAAGGCCGCGGCATCGGCCTCCTAAGCAAGCTCAAAGCCTACAATCTCCAGGATCTAGGGCACGACACGATGGAAGCCAACCTCCTCCTACGCCATCCGGGCGATGCCCGCTCATACGGCCTCGCGACCGCCATGCTGCTCGATCTCGGCCTCGGCGGTCCGCGCGGCATCCGCCTGCTCACGAACAATCCCGAGAAGGTGCGGGCTGTCGAGGGCCCGAATCGCGAGATCCGCGTCGTGGAGCGCGTGCCGATGATTCCGCTGGCGTGGCGGACGGGCGGCAAGGAGGGCATCCGCAGCGAGGAGGTGGAGAAGTACATTTCGACGAAGATTGAGAAGTTCAAGCACATGTTTAGCGCGGAGGGGTGAGGCCGGCGGCGGCTAGTCTAACGCGGTACTGTATGAGTGTGTGGAGAGGAGATAGCCGTCACGAAGACGGGTACTCCGAGGAGACGAATGGAGGAAGCGTGGGCATTTGACCCGCGTCGACGCAAGGAGTGATCACCAACGTGGGCCCCCCGAGTCGTGAAACTCGGCCCCTGCGATGCACATACCGCTTCACAGGAGACATGGCCATCATGCCGGAACGAGACCTGGGGAGGACGTTACAAAAGGGCGACTCCGTGGATTGCCAGGGGAAAATGCACTCCCAGCCGAATCCGCCCATGCTTGGAAATCTAAGTCATGGAGGAAGAAATTGCATTGGACATATTGTCTGACGTCTGAACTGAACAGCGAGTTCGACCAGATACCCCGACTCACGTACATGTACGTACCTTGGATATACGTAGACACAGACGAAAAGAAAATAGAGACGACTTTACGAGCACCGTCGTCCCGAATTACCTTCTTCGGTACCTTTGGTGCAGCGTTGGGAGTGGAAAGAACGGTTTCATGAATTTCAGCATTGGATCGCATTCCTCGACATGACTGCAAAAGCAATTCATCATCATCCACACCCGCAATGAAAAGTCCCATATGCGCCCCGCCCCGCCCGCCGTGCATCGCATTGCAGAAAAAGAATTACAGACAGTAATCGACACGAAATGCGAGAAGCCACCCCCTGAAACACACAACGTAACGCACGCTTCTCGAAGCGTGTTCCTCCCCCAGAGATACGAGAGGCCCAGCCATCGATCCGAACTGATCACGCGCGGCCTTCCCACTAAGAAGCCTTGTGCGGCCGGACAACAGAGGCGCCCACGCTCCCCACCCGCCCGCTCGTCTTGCGCACACTCGTCTTGCCATCGGTGCTGCGCCGTGAAGGCGACGAGCGCTTGCTAATGCTCAGACTGCCGATACCATTGCCGCTCTTCCGCTGACTGGGCGTCTTTGTCCTCGAAGGGCTAGCGGCGTCCAAGAGACCCTCGACGCTCGCCGGGCGGTTCTCGGCATCGCTGTTCTCCGCGGACGTCAGGCCATCCCATTGCGTTGTCGTCGTGGTCGTCGTGGTGCAGCTGATGGCTCTGCGCTTCCCGCTGCGGCTCGCGGGCGACTGGCTTGCTTTGCGGCCTAGCATGCGCAGCGCGTAGTCTTCTGTTGTGTCGTTCGGGTCGACGCTGAGGGTTGAGCGCTGCATGCTGACGATCTCGGTGTCGGGCTTGATGTCGAAGGGCTGCTGGTTTTCGGTCATGACTCTGCGCGCCCCGAAGATCTTGTTCGTCTTGCGTGGTTGGCCGGGTGTTGGGGCCGGGAGGTTCTCGTCGGCGACGCCGATGCTGGCTTTCAGGTCGTCGGAGGAGGTGTAGCTTGTGGTTGTGGCGGACGCGGCTTGGTGCTCGTTGTTGGTGATTTCGCCCAGGGCTGCTCGGCGTGGACTGCTGACGTGACGGTCGCCGTGCGGCGGGGTGAAGGTCTGGCCGTTGCTGGCGAGTCTTCGGTTGCTGGAGTTGTGCAGTCTTGTCGGGGTCGCCGGCTGCATGGTAGCCATGATCTTCTCCTTCAGCGTGTCCTCGAACCACCACTCCCGGAAAGTGCCTTGGTTGAGATGCAGCCAATGCTGCTGCGGGCCCACCACCATGCCCGGCCGCATGAAGCGCATGAATGCGATGACCTCGTTTGCGGTGAAGCCATATTGGTAGATGAGGTATGCACCAATCAAGCATCCCGTCCTTCCGAGCCCGGCTTTGCAGTGCACGGCGATTCCTCGCTGCTTTGCAATGGTGGCTTGAGCGAGGCCGATGAACTTTCGAACAAGATTGAGTGGCGGGCATGTTCCATCGTCGAAGATCATGTCAAGATGCTTGATGCCAAGGGCGGTGAAGTAAGAGGGTGAATACAGCTCCGAGTTCAGCCGGACAACCAGTCCAATGCCGCGTTCCGCGAAGTGGCCCAGAACATTCTTGAAAGGCATCGGCAGGTTCTTGTCTCTGTTGAGCGCAGAGATGGAGCGCGGAAGTTGTGCGTATGCCGCTTCATGAGGCTGAATCACCCGCGTGGGTTGGTGCTGCGGAGAGGCGAATGCGAGGAAGTCTGGCGTGATCCAGTTGAAGTCTCCCATGTCCACCCGTTCGAATCGTTCGTACTCTTCCAGGCTGAAGTCTTTCAGGCACACAAGACCCTCCTCTTTGGCTTTCCACACTCCATACACTACGTCTTGAATCGTCAGGGCGTAGTCGGCTTGACTGTAGCCGGCATCTCGGAACGGCATGCACGGCGGGTCCATCTGAGAGATGGGCGCCAGGGCAAGATGAGGTGGCCAGTTCTGAATCAGAACCATGTACGTGGCAAGGATGCAAGCGGCATTTGCACGACCTACAATTCCAAGTTAGACTTGTGTCATGGCGGGTGGTTTGGTATGCGGCAGCACTTACTTCGGGAATCCGCACTGGACCAGAACACCACCGGTCGATTCTTGTTGTCTGGACGCCCAAGCACATCATGAAGCTGCACGGCATATCGGTACAAGTGTCCGATGTGCAGCGGGCCAAAGTCGGCGTGGAATGCGTTGTACAGCAGATGTCGGTCGATGGAGAAGTAGAAGGGAGGTAACTTCTGCACCTCGCCCGACACCGCCTGGGGGCCCGAAGGAGCTTTGGAGGAGCGCCTGGTGGGGGATCGATGGGCCTTGGAGGGGTATGGGAAGGGGGTGTTTTCGTCGGGGGGATGGGTGTATGATGCGAGGTAGAGGCAGTCTGAGAATGGGAGAAGGGGCATATTAGCAATAGGCTCGGGGAGCGAGGGACCGACGAGTGCGGCCATGGTGCTGTGTTGTGAGGGAGTACCTTGGATATACTCGATCACCTGTCCATAGCTCGTCACGGCAGGCACTTCCGCAGACGTGCTTTGACGGGGTGAGTGAGGCATTGATTGCCTGTTGTGCTTTCCTGCTCAGAGATGCTGCCACTCGATGCTGCTTTCCGAGATGCGATGCAGGGGCGGTGTGAAAGAGGAGCAGCAATGGTCGTGTGCGCAGACAGACTCTCAATGCGAAGGGGCAATGACGATGCGGCAGTGCAGATTGTTGTGACGAAAGCTCCTGCGATGAGGGCACGGCAGGGATGTTCAACGACGCCGAAGCAATGCAACAGGCTGCAAGGGATAAGGATGCAAAGCGCAATGATGTTGTTGTGCAGACATGAGGAGTGTGTATTTGCCCTGCAACATGAGACGACTAGCTGCTCGCCGTTGCCAGGTGAGGTTGATGCGCCATAAACAAAAACAGCCCGCTTCCGGACTGCCTAATTGGGTTAGCCTTAGGGTTGGTCAGCCTGCCGTCCCGCAGGGTCCGAGTTCGAGTATTGCACTCAACTTCAACTCCATTCATCCTCCACGTACTTGGCTGCTTCATCGATCCCTTGCGACGTTGCGTTTTCTGCCAACAGCATGATTCGACGGGGGAAGACAGAAGGCTGGCTTCAACTGCCACCTGAAGCACGGCTTGCATGGGTCACGCTCAATGATGTCCACTTCAACCTCACCCAGCCTGGCGTGGTCGAAGGGCGGGGCGGAGCGCTGCTTGCAACTCAAGATCTTGATGCTGATGATCAGGCTCATCGGGTTCTCTTGACAGTTCCAAGAGATCTTATTCTCTCGCTCGAGCGGGTTCGAGAGCATGCAAAGGTCGACAGAGACTTTCGAGAAGTCCTCGAAAGCCTTGGAGATCTTGGAAGGGTGAGTTAGGGTTTCATTGTCATCCCATTCTTAGGTTGCCACCGATATTCTCTTCACTGTTTTCATACGTCTCGCGACTCTGATTGCTAGGAGCTGACTGAATGGGTCAGACTCCGCGCGGAGCCATCCTATCCTTTCTCATCTTGCAAGCAAGCATTTCGTCTCCGCATCTGCCATATCACGTCGGCGTCCGTAGTGCTTTCTCTGAGTAAGTAATACTTCTGGTCACTCTCTTCGATCATTCATATGGTATCTCGGGGACATGTCCGCTGATCTGCCAAGCTACGTCAAATCGCTGCCGATGGAGAAACTACCCACCACCTGGAATGCCGAGGAGCTACAATTACTGGTAGGGACCACGCTCGGACAAGCCACGGGCGCAAAGATGAAGAGTCTTCGTCATGAGTATGAACTCCTTTGCTCATCTGTCGAGCACACCCGTTGGTACCAAGCAGTACAAGACCACCTGGATTTCGACGATTGGCTTCAAGCAGATGCAATGTATCGTTCCCGCGCGCTGGACTTTCCCAACATCGGACACTGTATGGTGCCTTGCATAGATCTCGCGAACCATGCCGCAGGCGATGCAACCGTTGCTCTGTACGAAAAGACTGCCAATGGTGACGCAGTTTTACTACTCATTGATGGCAAGACGGTCTCTCGAGGAGAAGAAGTGACAATCACGTATGGCGACGAAAAAGGGGCATCTGAAATGCTATTTTCTTACGGTTTCCTGGACTCTGGCATGGATTCTGCGCAGACGATGCTCCTCAGCCTCACTCTACCCCCAGAAGACAGATATCGGGCAGCAAAGGCAAGGATAGCTGATTGTGCCCCTGGCTTCAACATCTCCGAGACGCCAGATGGTGGCGTTCGGTGGGAAGGCGATTATGTGTGGCTGCTCTGCGTGACGGAAGAAGACGACCTCCACTTCGCCTTGGCTAGAACGGTAGACGGAGTAGAGGATGAAGTACAACCTCTCTTCCAAGGGAAAGAACTAACGGGTGGTGCGGCCGGACTACGGACTCGGCTTTCCGGAACACCTCTTTGGGACGTCTATCACCTGCGTGCAATCTCCATACTCCAAGAGCGAGTCTTCAGCCAGATGCAGATCCTGTACAGCACGGAGGAAGAAGTGGCGGCCAGGGCTAACGGAGCTGACTCCGCCATCCCTTCGTCCACTTTCGATGCGGCCATGAAGCTCAGAGAGTTGGAGTTCTCGCTCCTGAACAAAGCATACGAGACCTTTGAGCACAAGGTACGTAGTGCGGTCCAGATATGATGAAGCGTTCAGCACAGAAGTGTGGACGCTGTGTGGTGCTCGCTGACCCCGAACCATGCAGAAACTCGAACTGGCTCAGAGTTCCGTGGTCACCCGATACTTGGCTGAAATGCGCGAAGAAGATCTGGACCATGTACCTGACGATTTCTCGTAACAAACTTAAAAGGGCCCCCTGTCGCGTGCTCCCGCATTCCTCCATGGCATGAATCCGGGGAAAGGCAGACTGCATCCAATCGTCGCAAGGTCTGGGGAAGGGCTGCAGGGCGTACGTTGCATGATCTGGGGAAAGGCAGCTCGTATCCGTCCGCGCAAGAAAACTAGAAGCAGCGCCGTCGGTTCACTAATCGCCCCCACTAGTGTGTATCGAGCTCGACTGCCTTGGTCGAGGTCGGAAGCGTCGTTTTAAGGTTCTGGCAGGGGCATCTCAATACGGAAAGACGGTCCGATACCCTTTCCGCCGGTTGGTGGGGAACTGCTTTATTCGAAGTGATCGATATTTGTCACGCGAGAAGATCAACATTCATGGCCTCGACAGCTACAATATAAAGGCGACTGCGGCGTATGATCTGTCGAGCTTCCAAACCCCATCCACACCCGTCAATACACCTACCGGGATGCTGTTATGCGTGAAGCAAATCTCGAGGTCGAATGACCCAAAAGCCACCGGGAACTCCCTTGTAAATTGCGATGGGCCTGGGCCAATGACGCTACCAGGATGGGTGTCTACGGAACCTTCCTGCAGCAAGCTACTGTGGGGGATGATGCTGCTTCGACGTTTCTCGGAAAGAGACGGACGATGCAACGACATGCTCACGCACGTTCGATCGTTCCCCGGATGATTGTCAAGCTACTGGAGGCTGTCTTCATTCCCAGTCGTCTCTGATCTCTCTTCGCGTCTGCCCAGAGACCAAGACGAGGCGCGCGGGATTCCAGTGATTCTCGAGGATTGGCGTCTCTAGGGATCCGCCGCGCGCGCACCCCGCTTCGGCAGGCCACTTGGTGAACCTAAGCTGCCCGCAGCCAATGAGAGGCGGAGCAGGTACGCGAATAGTCTTCCCCCAGCCCGGTCCGTCCGCCCAGGTTGGTTGTGTGAGGGCCGTTTCGAGACGCTAGCGTCATCGCGCGCAAGGTCTCATAACCAATTTGCCTTTCCTGACCCCAGATTTGCGCAGGTGATCGCAGGGGCCCACTGTAGTAGCCCGCCCCCCTCCACCAAGCATCAGACCATGGCTCCCGCCCTCATTTGGTGCTGCAAAATCCGATATACACTTTCTACCTCCACACGTTGCAGTTGTTGGGTTGTACATTCAATCAAGCCCGAGATAATCTAATGCGCTCGATTGGATTGGGCTTCTTTGGCTTCAACTTGACCGCTGTCGTATGATTGCTTTTTCCTTGGACTCGTTGGCACCTCGTTTCCAGTACACCTTGCCTCGCCCTCGGCGGCCCTCGTGCCCATCATGCCAGGCATCCTCCCGATGAAGGTCATCAAGGTGGGCACTAGCGCGCAGAGTCGGATTGCCCAGGCGTGCGATCGGTATGTGGCAAGATATGCGCACCACTCTCGTGCCCGTCTGATCGAATGAGTACAGCTGTCGAAGCAAGAAGATCCGGTGCGACGGCATCCGACCATGCTGCTCCCAATGCGCCAATGTCGGCTTCGAATGCAAGACGAGCGACAAGCTCAGCCGGCGAGCCTTCCCCCGCGGCTACACCGAGTCGTTGGAGGAGAGAGTGCGGGCGTTGGAGCAGGAAGTGCGCGAGTTGAAGGAGCTGTTGGACGAGAAGGATGAGAAGATTGATATGCTTACCCGCATCCATTCACAATCCCCACACGCCTTGGACATGGTCTCGATGAGACGGCGCTCGTCAACCCCACCGACTTCTACCGACGACAAGGAGGATTCGCCGTCGAAAGACGACATCTTCAAGGTGCAACAGTCGCCGCATCTCGAGGGCGAAGGGATGAGCTCCTACTTCTCGGGATCATCCAGCACGAAGATCTTCTTGGAGGCCTTCAAGCGGAAGGTGCAGGAGACCGGCCGCTCGACTGCCGACATTGACCTCGACCGATTATTGGAGATCAAGACCGTCGTCACGGAGGAAGACTCGGATGCCGCTGCCTCCGTCGTCTTCAAGGCGCCCCCCAGGCTACTCTCGGACCATCTCATCAATGTCTTCTTCCAGGAGTGGGCGCCCCTCTTCCCCGTTCTGCACCGTCCTGCTTTCCTCGAGCTGTACGGAAAGTACGTCGCCGACACCGACACCATCACCAACAAAGCAGACATTGCTCAGCTGAACCTGGTATTCGGGATCGCCGCGCTGTCGAGGGAGTCGCGTTCCTCCGAGGATTTGGCTAGCTTCGAGGCGCAGTGGAAAGCTGCATTGGATGCGATTTTGAAGAACAACACGATACCCACGCTGCAGGCTTTGATTCTCGCGCAAATCTACTGCATTCAGCAAGGTGACTACCAGAGTCTACTCACCTACAAAGGTCTGTCCACCACGCTGTCGGCGCGACTGGGCTTGCATCAATCGCAGAAGCGTTTTGCTTTTGGTGCCCTCACGTGCGAGACTCGAAAGAAGATCTTTTGGACTCTGTACACCGTGGATTGGTGAGTCGAGATCGTGTTCAGCAATGTGCATACACATCATAGTTTGTCTAACAACTGTCCAGCTTCACTGCAACCATCCTCGGCATGCCGAAACAACTAAAAGACGAGGACATTCAATGCGAGTTCCCCGTCGACGCCGACGACGAATACGTGACCGAACGTGGATTCGCCCCGACCCTGCCGGGCGAGTCGACCAAGCTGTCCAGCGCGCTCGCCCTGTTCCGCGCCGCCCGCATTCTCTCAAAGGTCCTGGAAGAGGTCTTCCCAGCCAAGGCTACCTACGACTTGTCCTTGAAGCGACTCGCAGACTTCTCCGACGAGTTGGAGTCGTGGAGCGCCTCGTTGCCTCCCCACCTGCGCCTGCAGTTCGCGCATGACAAGCCCAGCACTGGCACGGTGAACAGCCGCTCGCCCATTCTGTCGCTCATGTACCACTATGTCCGCGCGCTGATCCAGCGCCCCATCGTCTGCGCGGCGCTGGGCACCCGCTCTTCGTCCGCGATGATGTCGATGGCCGGCTCATGCAAACACATGATCCAGATCGTGCAGCTGTTGATCGAGCGCGGCATGAGCTTCTCATTCTGCCTCAACCGCGACGAGGTCTTGGTGCTGTCTGGCTTTGGCCTGCTGTTCCAAGGCATTCCCCTCGACCCAAGCTCCAAGATCTTGAAGGACAATCAAAAGATGGTCAACGCCGTCATCGGCATCCTCAGCAAATCTGCTGCATCGTGCGCGCCCGAGTTCAAACGAGTCGCGCGCTCCTTCATCCCCGAGCGATGCGAGCCCACCAAGAAGAGCCAGCAGTCCTCCAAACCCAACAACCCTGAGCTCGCCCGCCACAACTCTGACGGCGCAGTGCCGCCAGTGATCGTCTCCAGCCCGACATCGTCGGCGCGAAAGAACCTGAAAGCCATCGCCTCGCGCCTCACCGGCAGCGGCTCCGCAAAGAAACCCGGCTTCGACGCCACCGACCACCGCAGAGCCACGATCCACAACATCAGCCTCCAGCCTCAACCCATCGCCAGCCGCAGCGTCCCAACCCTCCAACCTCCCGTCCCCGCCGCCTCCCCCTACGACCCCGCCTCCACCTCCCGCTCCGAACCAGCCCGCAGCCCAGTCAACATGTTCAGCCGGCCTTCATCGACAACCACCGGCCCCCCAAGCGCAACCTCAACCTCCTCAAGAACAACGACCACCCACCCCACCCTGCAACCGCGCCTGCGCACAAACGCCCCCACCCTCACAAACCTCGACTACCTCTCCTTCGGCAACGAGCCCGAGCCCCAAGCCCCCGTCGCCGCCCAGCCAACCAACACTCGCACCTCGCACCCCATCAAAACCGAGCCCGGCCCCACAGACTGGGAGAAGCTGATCGGCAGCCTCGACAACGGGCAGACAAACATCTACGACGCATGCTACGGCGGCCCGTCCGTCGATGCCCTGCTCGACATTCCGCCTCTCCTGAGCGGTAGCAGCGGGGACACCGGCTCCGCCGCGCAAACGGTGCACGACAGCTTGTCCTTCAACACTCCGCTGGACCTGTGGACGCTGGTGCAGACGGAGACGAACGGGAGCGCGAAGTCGGGCCTTACGGTGGGCAGCGGGCAGAGCGATAGCATTCTGTCGTTTTCGACGGATGACGCGCGCGGCTTCGATTGCAGCAGTAGCAGTGAGGACTTCACTACGATTGATTGGACGGCGGGGACAAGCGAGGGCAGTGGGGACGGGAGTTTGGAGCAGAGCGGCAGCGGGGCGGATGTGTATCGGGGGATTTGCATGCCGCACGACGACATGGGGTTTGGAGGGAGTAATTGGGATACGCCGTTGAATTTTTGAAAGACGGTGGACTGGAATGATACCCCGGACGGTGAGAGGAGGGGCGCGGAGGCGAAAAACAGTTTGGAGAATGCTTGAACGGGACGATTGCTTTTCCTTCCGATTGCCGCCCGACGAAGATGGACGGGGGACATGGAGCTCTCTTGTTGTTGTTGTTGTTTTCGATGATACCCGAAGCTCTTCCGGACGAGGTATGTAACAATTTGAATGGCGGGAACGACGAAAATGGGCTGTTTGTTTTCCTCCCGGCGCCGGAGGGTAATGGCGAAGTGGATGGACAGACTGAAATACCTTACCTTAGCTTTTGCAGAGAGCACAAACAAGGTCAGCAGAATGGGATGAGGTTCGATTTGAAAGACGCGCCAGCCTGCCATTGGAACATGCATCATGAATATCGTACTGTAACTGGCAGTTGACCATCCGCTCAATCCACTTCTCGCCTGTTCTTTTTCCGCCCCCAGACCTCATCCGGATCGGTCTTATCCTTACTCTCAGGCACATACCACGCGATGAACAGCCCAAACACCAGCGCCATGGCGGCAAAGATGAAGTACACCTGGCCCTTGCCCATGCGCTCATTGATGATGGGGAAGAACTGCGCAACGATAAAGGTGGAGATCCAATTGACGGCCAGCGCCCAAGACTGCACGGCGCCGACGGCATTGGAAGCGACGAATTCGGAGGGCAGGATGAATGGGATAGGACCGAGGCCGAAGCCGAAAGACGACACGAAGACGACGACGGCCACGGCGGAGAGGGCGGGGATGGAACGCATGATGCCCACGGCGAGCAGGATGCTCATGGTGCCCATGCCGGAGATGGACATGAGGAGGCAGGTTTTGCGGCCTAGCTTTTCCACCAGCGGGGCGGCGGAGATGGTGACGATGACGTTGAGGAGGGAGACGAAGATGTTGAGGAGGGCGGAGTTGGACTCGAGGAGGGAGGAGAGCAGGCTGACGCCGTACATGACGATGCTGTTGATGCCGGTAAATTGTTGACACATCATGACCATTGTGATTGCCAGGATGGCCGGCCGGGTTTCAGGATCGCGGAGGACTTGGAAGACGCTGAGTGTCTTTCGAGCTGTTCCTGCAGTGGGCACACGAGGGGTGGAGGTGTCGGTTTGGTCTGAGGAGTTTGGCGCGCCGTCTGGGTGAGCAAGGAGCGTTTCCTCCTCGTCCAGAAGGGTGCTATCGACTTGTCTCCACGCAGCGACTTCTTCGGCAATGTCGACATTCGCACCGCGGATCTTTTGCAAGACCACCTTCGCACGTGACGGCTTTCCTTGATCTGCGAGATACTTTGGACTCTCCTGTCCACCTAGCAGTAAGCCTGCCGTCTGAGCCAATGCAATCACGCCTCCGACAGCTAGGATGATTCTCCAGAGTTGTCCGCGACTCAAGAAATAGCCGAGAACTTGGGTGATGAGGATTCCCACGTTGACCATGACTTGCGTGAAGCTGCCAAAGAAGCCCTTCCTGCCGGGTGGGGCAATGTCGAAGATGTATATGGGCACGACGACCATTGCACCACCGGCACCAAGGCCAGCAATCAAGCGGCCGGCCGCCATGGTGCCGACATTGGGCGCCAATGCCTCGAAGACGGGGCCAACGGTCGCGCAAAGGGCAGCGTAGAGCATGCCTCTCACTCGCCCGTTCTTAGCGGTGAGGGGGCCAGCTGCCAATGCTCCGATCAAGCCTCCTAATGTGAAGAAAGAGGAGACCAGACCGAACTGGGTGGCATTCATGGGAATGCATTGTGGGAGAGCGCCAAGTGGGCTGGCCTGCGTTCCCCATCCGAGTCTCGCTTTTACAGAGGCAAGGGTGATGGAGTCTTTGGCGCAAGTGATGACCTCCGAGGGAGCATTGAGCTCGGCGAGGTGATAGCCGAAGAGGAGAGGGCCAGTGGTGGCCGTGAGGAGGAGGAAGAGGAAGTAGGGAGTGAAGGCGTTGGAGGAGCCTGATGGAGCCATGTCCGGCCAATGGAGGGATGCGAGACGCGGCTTCGCTTCCTGCTCTTTCTTATCGCAAGGGAACGCTTACAGCGACTACATGTCGAGTGATCGGTGGGTGTCGATGTCGATGTATGTATGCAACGGCGTCACTCGAGCTTGACTCGAAGTGAGGAGAGACCCCGATTTGGATGCCTCAGGCATCAACGATATTAGCCTGAATGCATACAGGTCACGTAGCGGAGGGAGCAGAGGGCGCGGAGGGGGCGGAAGATGGGTAACAGCGTGTTGCCATCTATCCTCGACTGCCTCTTGCTTGCTAAGGTGCTGGTGTCAGCAAATGCACGGCGGATGAGGCAAATGCAGGATGCCGTGAGGAGGGCCTCCGCTGACCGGTCGGGAACGCATGACATGATGTAATCTTCACGCGTGGCGGCTTAGTCATCGAGGGACAGGGTAAAGTCAGGGCGAGAGGTTAAGCTTGCCCCACCAAAAAAAGCTGAACTGACGGCGGCGGGTCGAGGGTAATGTTGACCCATCCACCCTCCACTTCCGCCCATCTCCTCCTCCATCCCTCTCTCTCTCTTCTTCCCACACTCGACGCAAACGTACTCAAGCAAGATGGGTTACGGAAAGATCGACGAAACGTGTATCAACACCATCCGACTGCTCGCGGTACGTGCAGGCGCCGAGGGCCATTGGCTGGCCTACCTCATCCATCACCCCCGCCTCAACATGTCGCAACAACAGTGGCGCATTGGCTGACAAGACAACACTTTGCAGGTCGATGCCACCTTCAAGGCGAACTCCGGCCACCCCGGTGCGCCGATGGGCATGGCCCCGGTCGCCCACGTCCTCTTCAACAAGTTCATGACGTTCAACCCTCAGAACCCCGACTGGGTCAATCGCGATCGCTTCGTGTTGTCCAACGGCCACGGATGCATGCTGCAATATGCCCTGCTGCACCTCTTCGGCTACAAACTCACCCTCGACGACCTCAAGCAGTTCCGCCAGGTCGGCAGCATCACCCCGGGCCATCCCGAGGCCCATGACACCCCCGGCATTGAAGTCACCACCGGCCCCCTCGGTCAGGGCTTCAGCAATGCCGTGGGCTTGGCCATCGCCCAGAAACACACCGCTGCCGTCTTCAACAAGCCCGGCTTCGAGCTCATCAACAACCATACCTACTGCTTCTTCGGCGATGGCTGCGCCATGGAAGGTATTGCCAGCGAGGCTGCCTCCCTGGCTGGCCACTTGCAATTGGGCAACCTGATTTGCATCTACGATGACAACCATATCTCCATTGGTAAGGAAGCACCCTGATTGACGGTAACGCTGCGCGTATCTGCTGACACACCCGTTCTTGCTCAGACGGTGACACCAAGTGCGCCTTCACCGAAGACGTCACCAAGCGATTCGAGGCGTACGGCTGGCATACGCTGTGGGTCAAGAACGGTGACACCGACTACGCCGGTATCGAGGCGGCCATCGAGGCGGCCAAGAAGGTCACCGACAAGCCGACCGTCATTCGACTGACCACCACCATCGGCTTCGGCTCCCTACTGCAGGGCACCGGTGGCGTGCACGGAAACGCGCTAAAGGAAGACGATTGCAAGCAGGTCAAGAAGAAGTTTGGCTTCGACCCGGAGAAGTCGTTTGTCGTTCCTCAGGAGGTGTACGAAGCCTACCACAAGCACGCAGCCGAGGGTGCCGCAGCAGAGTCAAAGTGGAATCAGCTCTTCGACAAGTACAGCAACGAGCACAAGGAGCTGGGAGCGGACCTGAAGCGTCGTTTGGCCAAGGACCTTCCGGAGGGCTGGCAAAACCATCTCCCCGTCTACAAACCGTCTGACGGTGCGGTCGCTTCCCGCAAGCTGTCCGAGACGGTTCTGGAGAAGATTCACGAGGCCGTTCCTGAGCTCATCTCGGGCTCCGCCGATTTGACCGGCTCCAACAACACCCGCTGGAAGAACGCCGTCGACTTCCAGCCGCCGTCCCTCGGCATCGGCGAGTGGAGCGGACGATATATGCGCTACGGTGTGCGCGAGCACGCCATGGCTGGCATCATGAACGGCATGGCCGCCTATGGCACCGTCATCCCCGCCGGTGGCACCTTCCTGAACTTCGTGTCCTACGCCGCCGGATCCGTCCGTCTTTCCTCTCTCTCGCACCAGCGCGTCATCTACGTCGCCACCCACGACTCCATCGGTCTGGGTGAGGATGGCCCGACTCATCAGCCCATCGAGACGCTCGCTCACTTCCGCGCCCTGCCCAACATGATGGTCTGGCGCCCGGCCGACGGCAACGAGACCTCCGCCGCCTACTACATGGCCCTCACCTCCAAGGGCACGCCCTCCATCCTCGCCCTCACTCGTCAAAATCTCCCGCAGCTCGAGGGCTCGACAATCGAGAAGGCCATCAAGGGTGGCTACGTGGCTCTCGAGCAGCCCGGCGCAGACATCACCCTCGTCTCCACCGGCTCCGAAGTCGGCATCTGCCTCGAGGCCGTCAAGTACCTCAAGGACAACAATGGCATCAATGCCCGAGTCGTGTCGATGCCTTGCACGGAAGTCTTTGACGCACAGGACAAGAGCTACCAATTGGAGGTCCTTCCCGACGGCATCCCGGCTTTGTCGGTGGAAGTCATGTCCACCTTGGGCTGGGAGAAGTACTCGCATGAGCAGTTCGGTTTGAACCGCTTCGGTGCTTCGGGACCATACAAGGATGTCTACAAGGTTCGTTTCTCCTTTTCCTCTTTGGTAGCTACATCATGCTGACATTGCGCGATAGAAATTCGAGTTCACGCCCGAGGGCGTCGCGAAGCGCGCCGTCCTCACTGTGGACTGGTACAAGGAGGTCAAGCCGCTGCGCTCGCCCGTCAACCGTGCTTTCCAGCAGCTTATATAAGTTGGCAGCTGTCTGGTGTTGGCTCGCCGAGCAAGCCACGTGTAGAGTGGGAGGACTGAAGCAGCTTCGCATGAACACGTCGACGCTTAGCCTGCGTCAACAAACCGATGATTCAAAGGTAGCAGATAGATCTGAACAATATATATTGCGTGATCAATAATGCGTTATTAAAGTTCTCGATCAAGTAGTGGTCCTAGCCGTGGCACTGCTCTGCATCATCAGGGTTGAAGGTGTTCGGAATTCTTCGCGCATGCTAGACGGTTCTGCTTGCGGTTGATCTCGATTGCGATATCTGGACAGCAGGCTTCGGCGGCTTCGATTGTGCTGGTTGGAACTCGGTGGTCGGCCAGACATGCCAGTAGCGAGAGATGTGTCCACGGGAAACTCAGAAATTGAGAGAGGTCCTCGCCATGTCTTCCCACAGCGCGAAAATATTGAAGCGTACATTGCAGCGAGAGGAGGCCGTCAAACGCCACCTTGAACAGGAGCAATGCCAAAGGTATCCCAGAACTCTCTGGAATCGTAGCAGCGGCCCAACGCCTCCATACTCCTCGGCAAAGCCCTGACATCCTCCTCCACCATCAACTCGTACACCCACTTCGCCTGATCCGACGGCTTAGGATCGACATCACCGTGCTTCCCATCCTCACTGGCCTCCTTGGGCGATCCCCAATGCACGAACAGACTCCACCAATCATACACAAACCCATCCGTCAACATCCACCGCTGGCCCTTCGCGGCCTCCCAGCGCGCAACGACGGCCAAAAGCCCGCGCGCAACATCCAGCCCATGAACCAAGTGCAGACTGCGCTTGCCCCGCACATCCTCCTTCGTCTTCGCCACGCGTCCCACCCAGTCCCGCGGCTGGCGCGCACCGCCCCATAAGCCGGCGAGATTCAGCACGCAGCCGCCGAGCGAGAGCAGTTCGTCTTCGGCCTCGGCGCGCGCGTTCGAAGTGTCGTAAGACGATTTACGAGTCACCCAGCATGATGATGGCGAGGAGGATAGCGTTGGCCCGCCACCTTGCCAAATCCCCGTACTGCCCAGTTGCACGAAATGCACTTTGCGCTTGTCCCCTGCGAACGACGATGGGGCCAGCTTCCCCTCCCACGCCTTCTCGTACCCTTGGACGAGTCTCGCACTTGGGCCAGTGCCTTTGAGCGGGAATGTGATGAGCACGTTTCTCGCTAGCGGTAGCGAGGAGAACTGGCTGTCGTCGCCGTCGGGGTCGAAGGTCCATTTGAGCGTTGCGCTGCCGCCGACTTCGTGCCCGTCTCGCGTTGTGGCGCAGAAGGTGAGGGCGCGGTGGCGTGCGAGCGGGATGAGGAAGGTGCTGGTCCAGCCTGCGCCTAGGATTAGGAGGTCGAGTTCTTGCATGTTTGGCCTTTCCTTGCTGTCGAGAAGCGGGAAGCTGGTTGTTCAATCAACGTCGGCCGGAATGTCATTGATGTCTGGTCGTCATATGCCGCAATAAACTCGACGCCAAACGGGCCGACCCGAACTCTAAACGCAGGTACCTCGCATCGTTCCAACTGTCGCGGCACAGCCAGCTTGACCCCAGCTCCCTCCACACCTCTACCCTCCCCCATTGACCACGCGACAAGATGTCCACCGTCGTCGACAAGGCCAGCGAAGCGGTGGAGACGGTGAAGAACACGGTGCAGGATGCGGCGCAGAGCGTGAAGAGCACAGTGCTCGGGGGTTCAGGATCCGGCGGAGGGCCGACGACGAGTAAGTGCCAGCCCCCCATTGGGCCGGGAAAGGGGGAGCGCTGCTTCTCCTGCTGTCTATACACGCATTTGGAAGGGGGCGTTGATGCTGATGTTTTGCTGCAAAAGAAGCCACACGGGAAGAAATGTCCGCTGCACGACTGCCGCTCGCGTACCGAGACTCGTGCGCCCACCTCCTCATACCCCTCAACAAATGCCGGAGGGACACGTTTTACATGCCGTGGTCATGCGAGGTATGCATCCCGTTCTTTTTTCTCTTGCTGCGGCGGCGGCGGCGTCGTCGAGTGCAGGGCGCTGATGTGATTGCGCGTGCTTTTAGGACGAGAGACATTCGTACGAGAAGTGCCAGTACGACGAGTTTAAGCTGCGCGTGAAGAAGATGGACGAGATTCGGGAGGCCAAGGGGGGTGCGAGAAGTAACTAAGAGGAGAAGTGGTGGGCTCCGTGAAGCATTGCGAGTCTGGAGAAAGGATGAGAGGAGGAGTTATTGTAGATATCACAACCCAGGCTTATCCTAAATGGAAGCCCCCTGAATCCTACCCTTACCTCTTCTTTTCGCCAGCCGTGGTTGAAGCCTTTCCGATATCCTGGTCTCGGCTCAGCCCATCTGTAGGGCCCAGTAAAGTAATACTTCCGGTCGTCGCTCCGGTCCTCCATCCGGACGCTCATGCAATCTGCATCTCACCCCCATCCACAGCTTGCATTTCCGATTCCAGACCTCCTTTCTGCCCCTCGTCGTGAAGCAGATCCTCAGATCCGGCCGCACCGCCAGTGTGAGAAGAAGTAGACTCCTCAGCACAGTCGCCGTTCCCGATCGCCTCCCCTCCGTCGGTGTGCTTCGCCTTCTTACCGGCTGGCTCCCCATCCTCCATTCCAGGCGACGACTTGCGCTTCCCCAGCAGGGAGGAGCCAAGGTGCAGCTCTGCAGGGTTTGAATCGCCCTTCTCCCCGCCATGCTCCACGTCATTTTGCCCAGGAAGGTCGATGGCTTCTTCAAACTCCGCGCGAGCTTGCTGAGCAATTTGAGTCTCGCCCACTGGCTGCGTTTCCGGCTGGAAGGAGTTGAAGACTTCGTTCTGAGTTTCAGGTGGGATCTGTTGAGCCGTATCATCGTTCTGGTTGTCTTGCGTGTGAGCCTCGATATCGGTATCGTTGTTGAAAGGGTAATCGAAGACATCGGTGACGTGGTGGTTCGCGTCCACTTGGGTCGCAGTAATGTTGGAACAATCGTTGTTGTCGCTTGTGCCGTCGCCATCACCGCCACCAGAGAGCAAATTGTTGATGAAAAGACTCAGCTCATCATCCGAAAGCGTCTGAGGGGGAGCATGTGCGTCCGAACGGTTCGCCGCACCGTTGGCTCCGCTCATCCAGGCTTGAATCTCGGCGTGCTTGGAGTGCATCTTGCCTCTGTCAGGCCCGATAGTAGAGCGCAGATTCCCCAGATGCTCCTTCTCACTCTCCGGCAACTCTCCCTTCGGCCCTAGAGTTGGTGGATGGTAGTGGAAGGGAAGATTGGCGAAGTCGGGCTCCGCGGTCGCTGCGGCGGCTGCACTGTCGCTGACCGGCACACCTTTTTGAGTGCCAACATCCGAGCCCACGGCGAGTCCGCGGTCACGCCTCTCGCGACTGGCGCGCTCGATGGCAGCACTGATGCGGCGGTCCCAGTCGACACCTCCGGTCCTCAGTTTGAACTCCTTTTTGAACACGCGTAGAGCCGTGGGGAAAATGCACCCGATGGCTGCCAGGACGTTGTTGGAGGGATGCTTGCCTGTCCCGGCGAACTGGCCGTTCATGGCGTAGGTGTACGGTTTGCTGTTGGACTCGTAGATCTGGAGCTTTTCAATGAGTTTGATTAGATGAACGCCGTGGTTGGTTGGAGTGGCTGGCAACGTACCGTGAGAGCCCAACGCTCATTGCGATTGTGCTTTGTGTCGACTTTGACCAGCACCACATCGAACTTGAAGCCGGTGCTGTCAGTGTAGATGTGATGATTGTCTGTGTCGTCGATTAGTCAGTATGTTCCTGTCCCAATACTCATGATTTGAGGGCGCACCAGAGAAGATCTCGTTGCGAGCTTTCTTCGCCCCTTTCTTGAAGACTTCCGCCGCCTTCTTCGCCTCCTCTTTGGCAGCCAGCTCTTTAGCCTCGCGATCTTCTCGTTCGATCTGCTCCTGCGCGGCCTTTTGGAGTTCGATTTCTTTGTCGATTCTGCGCTTCTCCTGCTCGGGAACAAAGTGATCGGTGCTCCCATGGAAGACCTCGGCCATCATACCCGTATGGTTCCTCGGGCCGCGTACAACAGGGGAATCTTCTTTGACGGGCTCATCTTCATGAACGTTCATGGAGTGCTTCGTCTTCTTCATGCTCTTCGGGTCGATCTTCTCCCAGCGGAAGGGAGCCTCGCTCCTTTTCGTTTTGTGATCCAAGGATTCGTAAAGCCAGTCAAAGCTAACGATCTTGATTTTGCGGTCGGTGGCGCCGTTCTGTTGCAACACTTGCGGGATTGGCTTGCTTTGGGACTTCCACTCCTTTTCGCTCACGATGAGATGCGTGGTACTTTCGCTGACCCTGGCTTCGAAGCGCCCTCCCTGGTTCTTGATCCATCTCGCGATCTCCGAGGGCTGCCAGTTTTGATAAGATCCGAGCGTAGTGATGTAGCACCCGTTCAAGGCCTTCCCAGTGCCGCCCATGTTGGATAAGTTGGTTGGGTGTGGGAGCTGTTGATGTTTGCTCCTGAACCGTGAAAGGGAGATGTAGATGAGTAGGGGCTCCGAGAGACGGAAAGGTCAGAAGTGCCACGGTTTGTCTGGCTCACTTGTTGAAAGCCAGACCAAGGGGTTGAGAAGAGAATTGAATTGGAAACAGCAGCAGTTGGCGCTTGGCTCACTTCGTAGTGATGTTGAACAGCCCGAATCAGGTCTGGGTAGAGCAGAAGGTACCGCAGAATTCAGGATCCGTAGGTGAAGAAGCCCCTTCGAAGTAGAAGTAGAATGAGAAGATGGTGTCGAGGGTATGACTTTCGAAGAATAGTTAGTGGGACTGAGGTGGATGAGTGTGAGCCGCCGTCGAAGTGAGTGAGTGAGTGAGAGTGTCCACGCCGTCGCCTGCTTCCCAAATGAAGGAGATAGTCGATCTCCTTTCGAAGTGAACGGGATATCAGGTGAAAAAGAAGTGCAAGAGCATGGAGCCCAAGGACAGCGCGGCGGCGAAGAGGATGGCGATTCCGCACGTAGCGCTGCTGGCGTCGACCATGTTCGATGACTTTGCTTTGGTATGTGGTTTGATCGGTGAAGTGGAGGGAGAGTGAGTGGATGATGGGCCGAAAAGTCCGGGCGTGTTGTGTGAATGTGATTACTTGCTTGCTTGCTCGTTTTGAAATATGAAGAGCATGATGTTCTGAATGGAGTGAGGCGGAGTGTTGTGGTGAAAGATGTGAGGAGGGAGTGGAAAGAGCGAACTGAAGGGGATTTGATTAGATGTTTTGACAGACGTGGTGGTCGCTGACGTACGTCACGTTTCACAAGGCCATGATCCACCTTTCATGTGACCGCGCACGTGCACACCCGACATTCACTCCCACTTCACTTCATCAACACATTACGACCGCTGTAGTCACGCGTGACTATAATTGCACCCCCTTCGCCGCCCTGACAAAAGCTTTAATCTTGCTCAGATCCTGTTTTCCGTCCGTCTCAACGCCACTGCTGACGTCCACCCCTACAACCTTCGCCTTCTGTTCTCCCAAGGCGCTCAAACTCTCCGCAACATTTTCCGGATTCAGACCGCCAGCCAGGAAGATACCCAATCCATCGTCTTTGGCGAGGAGGCTCTTCACTTTGTCCACGGCAAGCTTCTCTCCAGTGCCGCCGATGCCAGAATCAAGAAGCGGGATAGTGTGGTATCCACGAGCGGTGAGACCAGGAGACGTGGGGGTGAATTTGTAGATCACGGGGCATGGAATCAGTCTCGACCACTCGAGCGGTTCGGAGCCGTGGAGTTGGACAATGTCGAGCTGGAGGAGTTCTTGTTGTGCGAGAACGTAGGAGAGAGGTTGGTCGAGGAAGACACCGACGAGAAGCGCCCGAGATGAGCGTTGCAGTGCGTGCGCGGCGCTGTGGCGAAAGAAGTCGGAAGCCTTCAAATCGGTGCTCTGCGGTGCTTCCGAAACATTACTGGAGGCTGGCCGCGGCGTCTCATGCACCACCTTCGAGATGGCGAGTGCCGTCTCTGTGCTGACGCATCTCGAACGGCCTTTGACCAAGATCATGCTGACCATGTCCGCACCGGCATCAACGGCGACCTTGGCGGCTTCCGCACTCCTTGTGCCACAAATCTTCACCAACGGCTTGCGCTTTTCGGTCTCCTTGACGTCCGCCGCATCTCCACCGAGCAACTCTGCGATAAACTTCGAGGTGTCTTTCGCTCTCATCAAAGCCTCACCTACCAGCACCGCCCCAACGCCAGCTTCTTGATATGGCTTGACATCTTGCGGACCGGTAATCCCGCTCAGCGCACAGAGGATAGTGTCTTTTGACACCATGTTCAGCAAACGGGTAGTCGTTTCCATGTCGACTTCAAAGCTGGTGAGGTTGCGGTTGTTCACGCCAATAACCTTGGCACCAAGTTTGACCGCCACTTCCATCTCTTCGATTGTGTTGACTTCAACCAGCGGCTCCATGCCCAGAGAAACTGAATAGTCGTACAAGCGTTTTAGTTCTTCCTCGGACAGCATCTTGACGATGAGTAATACCGTATCTGCGCCAGCCAGGCGCGCTTCGAGGATCTGATACTCATCGAACACGAATTCCTTCCGCAGCACGGCCGGTCTGTTCGCCATGCCCGCCAATGCTTGCCGCACACTTCGCAGATCGTCGATGCTCCCTTTGAACCACTCCGGTTCCGTCAGAACGGAAATGGCAGAAGCACCAGCAAGAGCATAAGTGCGGGCCTGAGCAGGTGCGCAGGCAGAAAGCGAGATGATGCCTTTGCTGGGAGAGGCTCGCTTGATCTCTGCCAGGAGGGAGAGCTTGAATGGAGATTGACGCAGCCGTTGCACAAAATCGATCAGCGGTGGCGAAAGATCCATGGCGTATGCCGCTTGGAGGTCTTCTGGACGCTGCGAGGGAATTTGCTTCTGGGCTGCTACCGCAACTTTCCGGTGTTGGTAGATGCGCTCCAGGATTGACTCCTTCTTGCCACCGTTGCTCGTGGTTCCATTGGCTTGTGTGCCGTTCGCCGTAACCTTAGCTTCCTTTTGAAGGCGCTCGTTCTCGGCCCAAGTTCCGCCGCGCAAATGGAGGAAGTTGGTCAGCATCACTCTGCCCTGAGCCGTTAGGATGCTTTCTGGATGGAACTGGACGCCTTCTACCAGATGTTCTTTGTGTCTGACGCCCATGATGACGGTCTGCTCACCATCTGGGCCCAGAGGCGCCCAGGAGGTCTCTTCTAGACAGTCTGGCAGGGTGAGGTGGGTACCAGCAAGAGAGTGATAGCGGGTAACGGGTAGGTCCTGCGCAAGTCCGGCGTACACCCCCTTGCTATCATGCTTCAGTGGAGAAGTCTTCCCGTGCAAGATCTCGCCCGTCTGCGCAACTTCGCCACCAAGGGAAGAAATGATGCACTGTTGGCCCATGCACACCCCGAAGATCGGAATCTTGCCGGAGAAGTGGCGGATTGCATCTTGCGAGATTCCCGAATCGGTGAGGGGATGGCCGGGACCGGGAGAGACGACGAGCTGCGTTGGCTTGTGGGCAATCAGCTCATCCAGGGTAATCTCGTCGTTCCGGAAGACGGTGACGGTTGCGCCTTCGAGGACGAGATATTGGTAGACATTCCAGGTGAAAGAGTCATAGTTGTCGAGGAGGATGACATTCGAGGCTGTGGGAATCGGCTTGGCCGGGAGAGGATGTTGGGGCGAGTGGTCGATAATGTCGATGTCTGGCATTCTGTCGGGTCACCCGTCTTGCCAATGGCTGAGATATACTGATTCCTACGTACCACATGCGGTCGACTTGAAGAGCACGTGAATGGAGGTGGAATTTCGCTTCCTCCGCCACACCCCACCTTGGCTGCCGAATGCAGTCTAGCTCGCCCGAGCAGCCGGCCGTGCTGCACGCAATTTAAAAGCGACGCGCACTTCACGCGTCTCGCACCTTCACCCATTTCTCGCGACGCTCCGTGCACCCGCCCGACGACCTTTCCACTGCCGCACGGCCCCACGGACGTCGTTCGTGCCAGAGGCTTTGCTATATCGTCTCCTGCCGACAACGATAACCCTTCATTGGTGACTAGGAGCTGCGCAGACAGCCCATTGCAGCACAGGCTTCGGTGGGGTGCCATTCCCGTTCCCGACTCGGAGGAGAAGCCGCCGCCATGTCTCGGGGCGATGCCGGCAAGATTTACAGCGCAACGTACAGCAATGTGCCGGTGTACGAGCTGACCGTGGAGAGCAATCATGTTATGCGTCGCCGCTCGGACGACTGGATCAATGCGACCCACATCCTCAAGGTCGCCGACTACGACAAACCCGCGCGCACCAGAATCCTCGAGCGAGAGGTGCAAAAGGGCGTGCACGAGAAGGTGCAGGGTGGGTATGGCAAATATCAGGGTATGTCACCGGAAGCGTTGCTCGCAGTAAGCCCATGCACTAACCTTCGCCCGCCGCAGGAACCTGGATCCCTTTGTCGGACGGAAAAGATTTGGCGACAAAGAATGGCGTTTTTGAGAAGCTGCGGCCCATCTTCGAGTTTGTCCCAGGAGACAGAAGCCCTCCTCCTGCTCCCAAACATGCCACCGCCGCATCGAGCAAACCAAGAGTTCCGCGCGCTCCACCCCAGCCTCGTCGCCAACCAGTCTACCAACCCACCGACTACGACCACCTCGATCACTCTATGCGCGACGACGAGACCCCAGATAATCTCACTGTAGTCTCTGAGCAGGCCTACGACGACTACGACCAATCGCAGTACTCCAACTCCCGCAAGAGAAGAAGAGTGGAAGACATGGCATCGCAGGCAGACAAAGATCACCAGCTGTGGGCTGAAGAGCTCTTGGATTACTTCGTTCTCCGCGACCCCATGGACTCCATGTCTTCTGCCCCTGCGCCGCCTGTCAACGTGAATCTCGATCGCCCCATCGACGACAAGGGATATACCGCATTGCATTGGGCCGCGGCCATGGGTGATATTGAGGTAGTAAAGGATCTCATCCGTCGCGGCGCCCTCATCGAGACGCAATCGAGGAACGGCGAGACACCGCTCATGCGCTCCGTCATCTTCACCAATAGCTTCGACCGGCAGATCATGGAGAAGCTTGGTGCTTTACTTGTCCGCACTATCAATATGCAGGACTGGTCGGGCAGCACTGTCTTCCACCATATCGCCAATACTACGCAAAGGAAGAGCAAATATGCATGTGCTAGGTACTACATGGATTGTCTGCTCAACAAGATGGTGGAGCTGCTGGCAACGGACGACATCGAGCGCATCTTGAACAGTCAAGATGGCAATGGTGATACTGCTATTACCATTGCTGCCAGGCACGGCGCCAGGAAGTGTGTCCGCAGTCTCCTTGGACGCAACGCCGCCGTTGACGTTCCCAACCATGCTGGCGAGACCGCAGATCAATTGATAGTCCAGCTCAACCAGCGTCGTCAGGAGCGAGCCAACCCCCGCCAACTCTCCTCTTCACCCTTCCAGGCCGACAACAACCACAGCCAAGGTGGACCGGTTCAGGCTCCCAATGGCATCCCGTTCGACCCCCTCAATCCATCCCTCAACGGCACCTCGTCACAGACCAATGGCAGCACGCCCGACGTGTACAAATCCGAGACCGCACTGACCCTCACCGCGCAAATCTTCCCCGTCCTCATCACCAAAGCCAAAGACCTCGCCGCCAGCATTGACGCCGAAATCGCGGAGAAAGACGCCGAACTGGCCGAAGCAGAGCGCGTCGCTGCCATGCGCAGAGGCGAGCTAGAGCTTCTAAAGAGGCAGCAAGAAGAACTGCGCATTAAAGAGCTCGAGCAAACGAGTGGCGGGGCCGTAGATCGCGAGGCGCTAGAGAAGGAACTCGAAGGGCTGGAGAAGGAATGTGAGGAGCTGGAGCGTGACGAACAAGGCCACGCGCTGCGTCAGGAGTATGCGCGCCAGAAACTCGCTCGCCGCAGCAACGGGCACGAAGACCACATCATGACGGACGGAGCCAACGACACGGACAACAACGACGCAGGCGACGCCCTCATCCGCACTCAGCTCGCGCTCGCCCGCCAACTCGCTCAACTCAAACGCCAGCGCCTCGACCTCATCCGCCAGATTGTGGTCAACCTGAGCACCGCGGGTTTCGGCGGAGGCGACAAGCAGAGCCAGTACAAGCGGCTCATCACCGGCGCGCTTGGAGTGAAGGAAGAGGACGTGGAGGGTTTGCTGCCGGAGATTGTGGCTGAATTGGAGGTGGGTAGGGGCCTGGAGGCTGCTGGGGCGTAGGATGTTGCTTGCTGTTCCTCTCGCTTGATCACATCGCCTTTCGGAGCATGAACTTGGGCGAGGCGAGTTGGCGGTTTCTGTTTGTGCATCGGAGTGGCCGCGTTGGTACGAGCAGCATGTGTGTTGTGCTGCGTGACCCACCAAGTACAGACGGCTGGCGAGACGTATAGTTTGCATGCATGATGCCTTGAGAGAAATGTAGCAGAGTTTCGAATGCGAAAAATCCCACCGCATCTATACAATTATCCAAGCGGTAACCGACAATGCTCGATCAATCAATCACTGCCCCTACTCCTCAGCCTCCTCGCCACGCCGCCCGGACCGATACTCGCACTCAAATTCACTGCCGCCCCATGTGGAACGGCATTCTCCCTCCCCTCCGCAACACCAGCAACCGTCATGCGCGCAGCGGCACTCCTCTTCGCCACAGGCAATCGGCCAGCACCAGCACCGCCCTCCATCATCTGACTCGAAGACAAGGTAGGATTAGTATTCTGCCTCCTCAGCAAATGCGGCGCGAGAATCTTGCTCTCTTTGCCTCCGGCGCCTAGCGTTGCGTCAACTCCGCCCTCGGCATCAGCACTTGTAGTCGACGAGAGGCCAGCGGTAGCAGTAATGTTGACATCGAGCTCTCGCAAGCTATGCGAAGTCTGTGGCCGATCGGAAGCAGGAAGCTGCAGATTGAGTGGCGGAGGCGTGTCCGCTAGCACTAAGGGCTTGACGGGGCTGGACGAGGGCTTGACGGGGCTGCTGCGGGCTTTGTACGGCGATGCGGCGTTGTTCTTCCTCGGTGACTTCTTAGGGGAGCGCAAGGAGGAAGGCAGTTGGGGTTGCTGTGCTGTCCCGGCGCCGCTGCCGCCGCGCATGCGGTCGAGCAGGACTTCGTGAGGCTCGGTGCGCGGGAGAGCGGTTGGGTAGGAGTAGTGCGTTTTCGCGGGCGTTTCGCCCGTCGCGGTGTACTCTTCGATGATTGCGGATGCGACATCTTCGCGCAGATGGCGAAGCGGTTGGCGAATGTCGCCATCTTCGTGAAGGCTTGCTGTACTTGCTTCGAGGCCGTTCGAATGATTGCGCATATCCTTCTCCAAGGCTTGGGTGCGGTTGTAGGAAGTGTCGAAGTGAGTGCCAATGCTCTGGTACGACTCTTCGACGTTGCTCGCCAGCCGGTGAAGGCTCGAAGTGTGCGCAGTATGATGCTCTTCATTCTGCGCTCTCACCCTCGTGATGATCTCGTCGAGCGCGACAAGCTGGCCGTCCATCTGCGCCATCTGGTCATCCACGATTCGGACGGTCTCGCTGTGCACGGCGTTTGTCGTCTCCGTAAGCTTGGTCGTCTGCGCGCTTGCGGTACTCCAGTCGCTCTTCAGTTTGGCTTTGATGGTGTCTCTCGATTTCATCGTCGAGCTCACGAGGCCCTCCGCACTCAGGCTCCACCGGTCCATGCCGTCTCCGTATGTCTGCTGAGCAACTCTGTACTCGCTCTCGGATGTCTTAATCCGCTTGCTGGCGTTCTCCAGGCATTCGTCGAAGCGAGTTTCCTGCACGGCTGCGGAATCATCAATCAAGGCTGCGATCTTCCCCAGCAGCTCCGTACGTTCGCGAGCAGCTGTCTGCCTCTCTGCTTGTACCGCTTGCTGCAGTTGCTCCTGAGAGGCTTGTCCCGCCGCCACAAATGCGCCACCTGCTTGCGTGACCTGTTGCCGTAGTCTCTGCACCTCAGCCTGCTGCGCACTCATCTGCTTCACAAGGTCTTCAAAGGTAGCTTTGAATTCACGACCGAGCGAGACGTAGGAGCTCTGCAGCTGGCTGTGGAAGGAATCCAGCTCACCAGCAATACCAGCAACGATTCGTTGCGCAGCAGCGGAGAGGTCGTTCAATCCAGCGCCGACTTTCTGCTTAACATCATCCCGTAGCGTATTGATCTCGCCCAGTACCGTGTTCATCTCCTCTTTGGCGATGCTCGTTTGCGAGTTCACCTCGGACTGCGACTTGGCGAATGCCGCTGACTTCTCATGAAGCAGTGATTTAGATGCTTGCAATTCACGGAGTTCGTCGGAGACAAAAGATTGCATGCGCTCGGATAGCGACGCAATCAAGCCCTGCTGATGACTGCGAACTTCCTCAAGACGACCTTCGACATCAGAGGCCACATCCGAAACCTGGCTTGTCGTATTGGCCCATCTCGAGCGATTGATCGACTGCAGGTCAGATCGCCGCCGGAGCTTCGAATGCAAGCGGCCAACATGGTCCGTGGTCGTAGTAAGCGTGCTCAGTAAATCTTCGCCCACAGCCGCAAGCTGCTCCTCCGTCTGCTGGTGTGCTTTTCGAATGTGCGTCTCCTCTGCCAGGTTTCTCTTGGTATGCGCCAGCACAATCTCCGTCTTCGATAGAACATCTTTCGCGCCATCCAGATTTGCGCGAACTTGCTCGTTGTCTCGCTTCAGAGATTGGAAGTTCGTGGTCAAGTGGAAGAGCTCTTGTACCCTGTTTCGGAGATTGGCTTCCATTGTCTCGATCCTGTCGCGCTGTTCTTCGCTGAGAATTCGACGCGACTCTGATTCGGTGGTGATCTCCTCGTAGCTCTCTGCTGTGAGATACACCCCGTTGCGCTGCCGTGTCGCGATGAGTTCCGATTTGAGCTTCTCGATCTCGGCAGTGAACTCCTTGAGGAGAGTCTTTTTCGAAACCATCTGGTTGACTTGCGGCTTGTTCCGGATATTCTTTGCCCGGAATGCATAGTCAAGGGTGCTTATCGTCTCTTCAAGGTTACTCTTTGCCGGAGACAAGGTCGCGATGATGCAAGTCTTTGTTCGGCCGCCCAGCGAGTCTTGAAGCAGGCGCGTGAGCTTGGACTCGCGGTACGGGATGTGGGAGCTCTTGTCGACAAGCGCGTTGATTACTCGGCCAAGAGTGAGCAGTGACTTGTTGATGACGCCTGCTTCAGCCGCACGTTTGTTCTCTGCGCCCGATCTCTGGATGTTCTCCGAGCCCGCCAGATCGACCAGGTTAAGCTTGCCAGATGACACGAAATCCTCGCCCGTCTCAGAGGTGCGCTTCATGTACACGGTCACCGTGAAGACCGTGTGGGATCGAGACGACAGGTCGTTGCATTTCGTCGCGGCGACTTGTCGCTTGTGACTGCCTTCTCGCAGAAGCTGGATTCCTTTGGTGGCGGTCTTGATATGAGTTTCTTCCATGCCCTGGACCATGGTTGTCGTTCGGCCATTCTTGTTGGCTTCGTCAAAGATTTTGAGCTTTCCACCATCGTCGGCAGCAAGCAAGTCACGCAGCTCTTCGTTATACAACTCGATGAACGAACACTTGACACTGCTTTCGTACTTGTCTGACGCCTCCTCTCCCAATCGGTCGAACAGATTGTGCAGAACGCGCGGGACAATGCCAGCTTCGTCTGGAATTGGCAGCATATCTGTGATATCGCCGGACATCGTATACGTCTTTCCAGTTCCTGTTTGGCCGTAGGCGAATATAGTACAATTGAAACCATTGAGCACCTGGAGCGCGGATTAGCGGATGGACCGTCTCGCGATCGAACAATTATCGCCTCTTACCTCGTCCAGAATCGGCGAGACTACTTCCTGAAAAATGATGCCCTGATCCGCGGCGGGCGAGAAGACTTTGTCGAAGGAATAAGTCTTGTTGCTGAGCGCACTCGGGCCCATCGACAGTTCCACCTTCTTTCCCTTCACTCCGTCGGTGGAAACAACCACGCCGCTGTTCTCCCGAACCTCGCGATCGTTGCGTCCTCGACATCGCACAACAACGTTGATGTTAGTCTCTTCGCCGCCGATGTCTTGTTCCACTTCGTTCGCCGGTTTGCGCTTTGGCGTCCGTACTTTCAAGGAATCCGCCGGGGATGCTCTGCCAGTGAGGGTGGGCGTAGCGCTTTGCGCCCGACTGGCGCCCGGCCGTACAGGCGGAGGGCGCATGGAGTTGATGTTCTTGTTCATCATGCCTGCTTGGCGACTCGGTGGCGGAGGCGGCATGATGCTGTGAGGCGGCAGGGAATGTCAAGAGCCGCAAGTTGGGTACATGCAGGCCTGCATGAAGTGTGATGGCATTTCCACAAACAGACGTAAACAAATCGGCGGACGGGCCCGGCGCCGGACGAAACTCTAAACCAACCCGCTTACTCATCCGCCCCGCGTCCGGTCCCGCGATGCATGTGAACGCCATCGCGCTGCGTGTCTGAGGCGTACAAAGAATCGCTGCTCCAACTAGCAATGCGATATTGACATTGACCCGGTGTCATGTACACTCCTCACGAGGGCGAATTTGCGACAGCGTGACTCTAACAAGGGTGTGCGGAGATGGACCAGACATGAATGAAGCTGCAGTCATGTGGCCCCGAGAACCACGCTTTGAACGCCTGCGGCCGCCTTGACTGCGCACTACAAGCCTCGATATCATCCTGATCCTCCCCCGAGAAACATTACATCTCCAGCAAGCACACACACATGGCCTCCACCACCGTCGCCATCAACCCCGGCCACGGCCTTGGTCCCTTTCGTAAGCCTGCCGTGTGAGAGTCGCCTAGTTGCTGTTGCTAACTACAAGCCAGATCTTGGTGCATCATTACACGAATGCCTCACCATCCTTACAGCCGACAAAGACCAATACTCCAAGATCGGGCTCTACTTCGATCGACCAGATCCGCTGAGAACTCCTACCGTGGTCGATCTGCCCAACAACGGCTTTCGCCTACGCTTCGATGGTGCAGACCAGAGGTTAAGGCTGATAGAGGTCCAAGACTTTCGGAAGATGAGAGTTTCATACAAAGGCGGCGAGCTGTTGAAGCCCCTGGAAACGGGCGAGGGTCCCACGTTTAAAAGGATCTACCAGATCTTTGGTGCCGCGTACCCCGGCGAGTACATCCCGCCTCGGAAGAAGGAGACCACCGGGACGTATGTGCTGTCGTGGGCCGGAGTTGCTTTCACATTCCTCTTGCAGCATTCGGCGTGGGCAGCGGACAAGGATCATGTTTCTATGCTAGGCTCGTCAGCTGCATCCCCGGCAACGCGAATGGCCATATTCGAAGGTAGCAGCTGGCCAGAGGCTCGGCAAGACCTGTTCGCGCGCGACCCCAGTGGGCCTCGATCATCTGCACTGGCGTGGAGGGCTAAAGACCATCTGCCGCAAGAAGTGGAATCAGCCATCATCCGCGGCGACGGCACTGTGCACCTTTTGCGTCGAGTCCCTGCCCCGCCTTTCACCATTACGTTAAACGAAACCACGCCGCAGGATCTGGTCACCGAGCTTGGCCCACCAGATACCACACATAAACGCGACCCCGAATCATCGTTGGGGGAAGAGCCCACGCAGAGTCGTGCCGAGAGCGCTGCACGACCCGTTGCGAATGGTCGCTCGGGCAGAGGCTCGCAACCTTCGAGCTACTCCTCCACGGGCACAGACACATTCGACGTCGATTTCGATTCGGGAGATGCCGAGGAAGACCCAGCAGAGCGGGCGAGTCGCGAGATATTCTGGTGCTATTACAGCCATGGAATGGACATCCTGGTAGGGCCTCCGAGTCCACACGTCGCGGCCAACGAGCAGCACACCACACCATTATCAGCGAGCCCTCATCTCGTAGTGATCAAAGTCATCATTCACGGCAACGTCCCCGGAAGCTACGCATTCAACCGTCATCGAAGACTGCGTTGGCAAATCTCACTTCCCAACACCGAATACGCCGGCGAGCTGGGCTCAGAATCGAAATTCGACGAGCTCAAGCCCTCACTCCTGCACATCTTCCAGAACGTGTGGCCGGCATCAGACATGGGGAAAGGCAAAGTGGTGAATCGCACGTGGGATGCGAATTCCAGCGATTCCGCGTTCTTCCTGCCGGATGCTGGGCAGGACTTGATTGAAGGCGGGGGCAGTGAGCAATGGCTGGGTAATACCAGGCTGTACACCTTTCCCGGACTCATCTTTGAGGTTTTGGAGAATGGTGCGGTGAGTGCGTTGACGATTTATTGAGGCGTGTTGCATTGCTTGGGGCATTGGGAGGGCTAGCGAGTCCCGATATCGGTACGATAGGCGCAGATTGTCAACTTCGAGTTACATTGTTAAACCATTTCACCATCAGTGATGTACTTGTGCAACTCCTATACGAGCTACGAACATGACTCGCATGTAGCCCGAGTCTAAGTATGGAACGCCAGATATCCCCCGACGGCCTCGCGTACATCGACTCTGGGAATCAAGACCGTCACCTCTCCCTGCTTTGCATCCACGGCTGGGCCTGCCAGGCTTCCGACTATGCCTACCTGTTCAACGAACTGGCTCGCGCGAACATCCAATACAGAACCATTGCTGTCGACCTACCAGGACACGGCGAATCCTCCTCAGCATCCTGTCCCGACAGCCGCTTGGCCGGCATGGTCGGCGCAGTACGCGCGCTCATCCAAGATCTGAACCTCGACAATGTCGTCCTAGCAGGCCACAGCATGGGCATGAGAGTAGTTCTAGACCTCTGGCACCACGAACACACATCCCCATCGTCGTCGTCGTCCCCACCACGCATCAAAGGCCTCATCCTCCTCGACGGAAGCAACTACAAACTCCGCAAATCCCTCTTCGCCTTCGACAGCGGCGACGCGCGCAGCAAGGAATTGTCGCGCGAGGCGAAGATCGCGGGCATGGAAGCTGCTTTCGACCGCATGTTCTCCCCTCTCACCCCGGAGGAATTCAAGCGGTCGACTCTCGCTCATCTGCGAAGGATGGATTTCGAGTACAGTGACAGGATGCGACGGAGTTTCATTGCTTTTGACTATGAGAGGATGGATGTGGTGTTGGAGGCGTTGGGGAGGGCCGATGTGCCGGTTTTGTGCTTGCAGGCTACCAGCGTCGATGATGAGAATCAACGAATCGCTTTGATGTCGGGGGAGTCGTCGCCGTGGATGCGTTTCCTTCAGGAGAAAGTTCCGACGGCACGGATACACGTGGTCGAGCACTGCATGCACTTTCCGCACGTCGACCAACCGAGCGAGACGGCGAAGCGCATAGAGCAATTCATTTCATCAATTACCTAGCCATACCCATCTCCCGTCCCGTCCCACCTACGCCTACCCCTCCACAAACTGGTGGAAAAAGTCGACATAATCAAACATGCTCCGCTTAAAGCTGCGTGTGAATTCGCCATTCGTGCGGTTCACGTGCTGCAGCCCGTACTGCTCGTAGTAGCTCGTGAACTCGTCGTTGTCGAGGAAGCTCCACGCCAGGGCGCCGATGACGTTCACGCCGTCGAGGTAGATGCTCTTGAGCGTCTCGCGCAGGAACCATTGGTAGTAGAGGGTGCGTTGCAGGTCGTAGCGCTGCGCCACCACCGTTTCCGCGAACTCGTAGAAGGGGTTGAAGCCGAACTCGGCGATGAGGACGCCGGAGGGCCTGTGTGGGCGGCTCTCAGTGGTGTTCTAATTTGCAGGGGAGCTTGGAGGTAGGGATGACTTACTTGAAAACGTTCCATACGTATCCGAGCTGCTGCCTCACGTACTGCGGGGCGATGTAGGCGTATGCAAAGCTGGCTTGTCCATTCAGCCAACCGTCCTGCTGCACGTTTGTAGTGAAAACGCAAGATGGCCAGAGGGTATTGTTCATATCCGCAGCACAGCTGTCGATACCTCCTGGTGGACTCGTGGCGAAGCCGGCGGTGTACGGATCGAAAGCCCAGAAGTCCGCGGTACCATTGATGTACGCGAGCTCCTCGTCCGTCAGAGCGGTGAGGTTGATGTTAGGAGTATTGAGCACATTGGACGGGTACTGTTGTCCTAAGAAGATGGGATTGCCTATGATGCCGAGAATGAAGTCCTGGTAGCGCAGGGCTGCAACGGTATCTTCGGGATTCATGCTGTCCAAGGGCACGGCAAGGTTGTTGGCGAACTTCAAGGTGATGAGGCCAGTGCCCTTGAGTTCTTCTTTGTACCAATGGTAGACCTTCGCGTGGCCCATGAGGATGTTGGGGACGGCATAGTAGTCAATGCCAAAGTTGATATTGGGCTCGTTGAGAGTCACCCAGTGCGAAACAACGTTGCCAAAACGGCTCATCACCTGCTGGGCGTAGTACAAGAAGGCCTCCGGAAACTGTGGATCGACGTACGTGAGGTTCAACGGAGCATCGTCGTGGCTGATTGTCACGATCGGAGTAATGCCGTACTCAATACAGGTGTTAATCAGATCTTCGTAGTGATCCAAACCAGGCTGATTAATCGGGCTTCCCGGCGTTCCAAAAGGCACGATGCGCGTCCACGAGATCGAGAAGGAGTAGTATGGGATGCCGACAGCCGCAAGCCGAGCAAGGTCTTGCTTGTACAAGTAGTAGTTCATGTCCGCAACAACGGCATTGGCATAGCCCTCTTTATTGGGGAGGGAGCCAAAGGTGTCGAGTTGGCTAGGTCCACGACCAGATTCCATGAGTCCGCCTTCGATCTGGAAGGCACTGCCGGCCACTCCCCAGATGAAGTCGGTGGGGAGCTTGTAGCAATCCAGGCATTCGTCGGCAGATTGGGGACAAGCGGTGTAGAGAGGAGGCGGGGCGCGTAGTTCTGAACTTGCAAGGGGTGTCGGGGAGACGGTGGTGGTGAAGGGCACGGTGGTGTTGTAGCGCAAGGGTTTCCAGAGCCGAGCGTACGCTCCTTGCCCGTACTCGCCATCTTGCAGCGTGGTGAGGGAGCGATTGAGCGAGTACGAGGTGTACGTCAACCCTGTTGGGAGCAGAGACGAGGCTTCCGAGAACGGCGGGGCGTATGTTGTTGTTAAGACAAGCGGAGATGGGACGGGAGTCGCATATCGAGTTGATGTCTCGACGGTGTAGCTGAACGGACTATATGCGGTTGTTCGAGTTGCGGTACACGGGGACGACTGGACTGTGTTAGATTGAGAGGTTAGCTGCCAGTGAGAATGGTCTACTCACAGAAGATGCTGCCGTTGTGGCGACGGAAGTAGGAGTAGAAGTGGCAGCAGAGATGGCAGACGAGACAGTCAGGGCAGACGACCACGCAGACGACCACATGGACCACATCTTGACTGAAGATACGACGCGAGCTAGAGGACAACAGAGAAGAGATTTTTCATGAGAGAGCTACATGCCTACCTTACATACCTCCAGCAGAGTGATCTACAATGCTCCCCCAGCAGGAAAAGCCGTGCATGCACTCTGCAGTCGGTCCTACTCTCGTGACAAAGCCATTGCCGTGATGATGGTGCCAAGGCGAACGTTCCCCCTCTCCCCACACTGCAAGCCACGATCGTCACTCTTGCACCTGGAGAAGGAAGGCGTTGGCGAGAATGACTAGCCTCACGATGACCAAGTGCGCGAACGGCGCCGGATGTAGTTACATCGTGTTCGACGGCACGCATTTGAGAGCCGTCGAATAGAACCGAGAGTGGAGGTGAAGTCAGCATGGCAAAATCATGTTCTCGCCGCCGGGGTCAAGATATCGCGGTACAGATTGAAGAATGAGGGGCAATCATCGCGGTATTGTATCAAGACATTCATGTCGCTCGAATAACAGTCTGCTAGAGTACGAGAAGTAACAAAGAGTAGTATCGTGGCCTGCCTCACAGCCGAGTCTATATCGACTCTCAAACATCAGCCTTCTCCTTCTCGTCGCCCGAGTACTCGTTGTGCTCGGCGACGGAACCCATCTTCTCCTGCGGCACGGCACCATGCTCCATCTGCGCCATGTGTTGATATTGAACCTTGGTCTGCAATATCGCGTTAGTGCCATACTCAAATGATGAACGTGCAAAACGGGCACCACTCACCTTCCACGCCGGGGTACCAATCAGTCGAATGCCGTTCGGGTCCTCAAACATCTTCTCCGTCTCTTCCAGCGTCTTGCCCGCCGTCTCGGGGAACAAGAAGAAGGCGTGGATCATCATGCACAAGTTGAAGATGCCGAAGATGATGTACACCTTGTAGCGGATCGTTGCAAACGCCGGGGGCACGAAGGCGCCGAGGGCAGTGTTGAAGATCCAGTTGAAACTTGTCGCGAGCGCAACGGCCTTGCCTCGTACCCTCAAGGGGTAAAGCTCGGGTGGATAGACCCAGCTCACCGGGCCCCAGGTTGGTGCGTAAGAGGCAACGAAGAGGTAGGTGCAGGCAATGAGGCCCTGCGCCGGCGCGCCACTAACGCTCATCGACTCCTCGGCGACATGGTTGATGCCACCGGGGACGACGGTGCCGTAGCCGCCCAACAGCCCCGCGTTGGCAAACATCCAGATCATCATGAAGAAGGCGCCGATGACGAGGGGCTTGCGGCGGCCCCAGCGGTCCAGCCAAATCAGGGCGGGGACGGTCATGAAGACGTTGATGATGTACTGGATGGAGGAGGCGAGCAGGTTGGCGTTCCCGCTGTACCCGGCCATGGCGAAGACGTAGGTGATGTAGTACATCATGACGTTCATGCCGGTCAGCTGCGACCAGATCTGGGTGAAGATGCCGATGTGCGTGCGGTTGATCATGTTGGGCTTGAACAGCTCCCAGTACGTGACGTCCTTGTTGCGCGCCTCGAACAGGCACATTTCGCGGATGTCGTTGAGCTCGTAGAGCACAAACGGGCTGTCCGGGTCGCCCTTGCCGTGCACGAGTGTGAGCACCTTGTGGCACTCTTCCCAGCGGTCTTGTCGTGCAAGCCATCGAGGAGACTCCGGGAGGAAGATCATGAAGAAGAAGAGCATGATGGCCGGGATCATCTGGAGACCCCATGGGATGCGGAAGACGGCCGTCCTGTAGCCAGAATAGTTGTCTTGGCCGATGAAGGAGGTGCCGTAGGAGATGTAGTAGAGGATGAGGATGCCCCAGGTGATGGCCCACTGCTGGAGACCGACGAGCCGACCTCTGCGTGTGGGAGGCGCGATCTCGGAGATGTAGACGGGCACCTGCGCCGACTCAATACCAACACAAAGTCCGTTGATGACGCGGCCAGCAACGAGCATGCCAATGTTTTGCGAGGCGCAGATGATGGTTGAACCGATGACCCAGATGACACACCCGATCATGATGGACTTCTTTCGCCCGAGTTTGTCGGAAAGGTAGCCAGAGATGAGGGCACCGAGCCAGGAGCCGGCGGGCATGGCTGCAGTGATGCCTCCCTGAGTGCCGGCCCTGGGACCGGCGCATTTATTGTCATGCACGCCGCCTTGGTTGAAGTAGCATTTGTACGCCTGCTTGAGGATCAGCACTCCGTCACCAAGAGATCGGAAAGAAACAAGCTGCGTACCTGAGTGCCGAGGATTGCACTCATCGACGAGATGTCGAAACCAAACAGACCGCCGCCGATAACCTGAACGCATCGTCAGTACAGCTCATATTGACTGGGGGTGTGGTGCACACATACGGCGACGGCCGCGATCACATATATGTTTCCGACTTGATACATCGTTGCGATTGCTTCACACGATGTATGCCAGAGAGAAGGTTGGAATGAAGTTGCACAAAGGGGCAAGAGAAGGCCACCTAACTTCGCATGTCCCGAGATCCGTCGGGTCTTAATATACTCGTCTCGTGGCCTGCCCAGCGCATCGCCTCCATGGCTAGCATCGGGTTCGATCGACGGTGGAGAGGGTCCCCGCAACAACACGAGGCAAACTTTACAGGGATGCGGATGGGGACAAGGCAATTGCAGCCACTCACGTCAAACCAAGCCTGTGTTCGGGGAACGTAGTCGGGGTGGAGAGCAGCAGGGAGCTCCTTGGCACGGTTGGCTCTTGGACCGCGAAGAGAAGGAATTGGCGGGCCCAAGGCTCGGCTCCCGGAACGGCGATGACGTCGGGCGTGCTTGCCGATGCCAGCGTCTTGCCCGGTCGCTGCGATCCCACTGGCTTCGCGATCGGTACGCGGTAGCACTCTCGTGGGCGAATGTAACATTGACGGGGTTGGGCAACGATCTGCGCCCTTCTTGCTCAACTCGACGCGCCGTTTTTGCCGTGCCGATTCCCCGCACGTGGCCGCTGTGGGCCAAGGCCGCACGTCAACACGCTCGAGGTGACGAAAACGTATACTGCACGCACAGCTGCCGAAGTGGAGAGCCTAAGAACCCTGGGGTTGGACCAGCGAAACTTCATCCTTCGAGAAGTCTTGCTAGACGATTGGCAAAGCGGTTTGTGCACGGCTGGGTCGGCACGTCCGAAGGGAATTACGCTGCTTGGTTCGGTCGGGATGTGGAGATGTCGAGGTCGCTCATATGTTTGGCGGAAGTGTTTCTTTCCGTGTTGGCGTTGCTGTGCACAGGATGTACGCGTGCTGAGAACTCATTGGTATGCCACCTGAGGATATGAAATGTGCAAATTGATACACCTATGGGTCCGCTCGCTCGCACGCTATGTCCATACTTTACGCTAAGTCCATCGCCGTGGTTCTTCGATCATCGGTACGCCAACGCTTCCCAAACTCCAATCTGCATTTCAATCCATGTCTTCTCTTCTGCTTTGTCCGCATCCCTCACACCCACTCGCGCCTCCTGCTCGAGTGCCGACCAGAGTTGCTTCGCGGCCGACGGTCGTAGTCTCGGCTGCTTCGGTGGTTGCCGCTGCTATGCCGAGAGTTGTGTCGCGATGAGCGAGAATATTCGCGCTTGACCACCACGCGATCGTCGTTGCGGTGGTGGTGATATACAAGGAGGGCGAGGAACTAGACCAGCATTAGCGCTACTGGCCCCCAGATCGATCGGGTTCGTCAGACTTACAAATGTGACGGCAAAGTTCAGAATGTCAATGATGCCAAAGGCAAAGCTAGCCTTGAGCACTGCACACACCTTGCTCGGATCGGAGCTGTAGGATACGCCTCCGTGCTGCGGCGTCCAGACAGGGCCAACGCTCGAGCAGTTGTACTTGGTGACGAAGCGCAACACCACCACGCCCGCGATGAAGGCGCCGAGGAAGCACAGGTCGGTGAACGCTATGAACAGCGCATCGTGTCTTGCACGGAGATAACTAATCACCGTGAAAATCTCCCATGCGAGGGCCAGCGTTGCCACTATGAAGAGCAGCAGGATGTAGGTGGGTGTGAGGAGATTGGCGTGCACGAAGACGTGCACCAGCCAGCCGAGCATGCCCACGATGGGCACGGTGATGATGATTTCCCATACTCGCACCGACAGGAAGAGGAAGCCGGAGAGGACCATTGTTGTTGTGGTGTAGTGGAGGTTGTCGAGTTATTGGTAGAGGAGGGTGGTGGGTGGTGATCGGACGCGGCGGATCGAGGCTGATGCGCGGTGACGATGTGCAACTGCTGCCCAAGCGCTTGGCGGTTGATTGTGATGCTATCGTGGGCGCGAATGCAGCGCGGATTGATTCAGAAGCGCACGCGGATTGCGACGAAGCCAGCAGTCGTTTCGGCAGATGCGGGTGTCGTAAGCAGGTGTTGGGTGAAGCTGCAGCAATGCGCAGCCTGACGTCAAGGACGAGTGGTTGCGGCGGGTAGAGAACGTGACGGAGGGATGCGACGGAGAATTTTAAAACGAGCGCTTCAACGACGGAGAATTGTTGGAAGGAAAGGAAGAAAGACTCCGCGACTGACAGGCGCGCGCCTTCCGAGTGTATGCCATTTGTTTTTCCACGTCGTCGTCGATGGCTGGGGGTTTGTGATTTCACGTGGCGGGGAGGCGGGGGGAAGTGGCGGGGCGTAAGTCTAATTTTGCTGCCTCAGGCCGCAATATCAGAATTCACTTGCAACCTCACTCCCTTTGCGTGCGGGTTGTGAATGCATCGATCAACACATCCAAGTGTCGCATCAATATGATTTTGAAAATAGACACGGCGCTGTGCTCTAAGCTTGCGGAGAATGTCTTCGATCAGCGGTGAGCCGAATGCTGTCGCACATTCAGATGCACCGACCTCGTCGCTTGTTCGTAACGGGCCTGAACACCCCGGATCGTCTGGCGACCTTTCCGCAGCACCAGAGACAGGAATCAGCCAGGAAAACACGACCGAGACCGTCGAAGAAGGCGAGGTCTTCTACAGCCAAGAAGACGACCGACTCAACCGATTCCAAGGTTCATCGAGCACATGGCGACACTTGACCCAAGAAGAGCGCGACCTCGCCGCTTCTCTCGACCAACAACAATCCAATAACCTAAGCATCCACTTGTATAATGCTCACGCACTCAAAGCTCGAGCGCGCGACTCTGCGACAGCCGCCAACGCAAAGTCGACCAACAGCAAAAAGCGCCGGACCAAAGTTGAGGACGATGGAAGCTCAACGTGGAGTCCTGATACAGCATGGACTGCTTGGCCGCTGGGTCCGAGGGATGTTCCTCGTAGCGGAGAAAGCTTTGGCGTTCCAATCCTAAGCGCGGGGGAAGACGACTCTACCTACCGAATGCTGGAGCCCTGGAAGCCGAGTGCGGAGCTGGAGGAAGAAGTCAAAGCCTTGATGTTGAGGAGAGCGAAGGACTTGTACCGGCAGCGTATGCAAGCTTTCGCTTCCGACGAGCCAACTGCATTGGTCGACGAGGATGAAGCCGATGCCATCCTGCAACCAGCGGTCCGCCACATTCTTTCTCAACTGGACGAGCTGCTCACTGCTCTGCGGACAACCCGACGAGGTCACGGTAGTAGATCACAGTCCAGATCGCAAAGTCGGCGACGTTCGTCTAGGCTGAAACGGGCATCTCAACACTCGGGAGAGGAAGACGACAATGACAACGAGACCAACGACAAATCCAACGGCGATCAATCCGAAGGAGCCCAGGATCTTAAACACCAGCCGAAGCGACGACGGCGACTCAATACTCGCGACTGGAGCGAAGTGCTCAATCTAGCTCCACTCACTGGATTTGACGCGGCTGTAGTGGAACGAGCAAAGTCACGATGTGCTTCCCTATTCGCCAAGGACGGTGCTCTTTCTACTGTTCCAACTGCGACGCATGACGATTCTTTGACGAACACAAAGCTACACGAGACTCGCATGAACTTCTGGAACTGCCCCTTTCCTGACTGCGCACGAAGCCTCAGCCCCTACGATACGGCTTGGAGGTGGCGAGAGCACCTGAAAAGAACCCATAAATATAGCAAGGACGCCATCGCCGAGGCGGAACGAAAGCTCAATGGTGAAGAGCTAATCGCTGACAGAGAAGCTCCATGAGTGTCTGCCAGCCATAGACAGCGAGAGCAACTCAAGCCTTGAACATTCCGCCAACACCCAGTTCCATCTGCAACGTGATAGCCGGTTGAAAGTTGAGATGTCCGAAAGTGTGAGAGACGCTGAAGGAATGAAAGGTTTCGATGTGAAGATCATGCTCATTCGTAGTATGACGCATGCATGGACGGTTCGCGAGGTGAATATGCTTTGTTACCTGTCACATGCACGGTAAGGTTCACTTCCACCCCTGATCATCTCATGACAACACCTTCTTGCACTTTGCACTTCTTCTCACCACACAACATACCCGCATCATCAGAACTCACCAGACAATCCCATCTCATCGATCCAACACATCACAACAGCATCGTAAGCTCCTCCATACCGCTCCTCCATACATCGGCTCCACTCACCAATACAAAGCAAAGATGGCAGACAAACTCGCCGAGAAGGACTTCACCCCGCGCGAGATGGAAATCATGGCCAAAGCATGGAGCTGCATGGTCGAAGAGCCAAAGGTATGCCCCTCCTCTCCACGACATTTCCGTGCCGCAGCCACGACTAACCTCAAAACAAACAGGTCGACTACAACAAACTCGCTGAATCCTGTACGTCACTCTCTTGCGCGCTACGACCAAGCCTCCACCCCCGTTTGCAGCAGCAAATACTAACCGTTCACCCTTCGCAGGCGGCATGACCAACCCCCGCTCCGCCTCGAACGCCTGGGCCAGCATCAAGAAGAAAATCCTGGCCAAAGGCGGGATTACTGCCGGCAACGAAGATGGCACCCCGAAAGCCACGCCGAAAGCCACGCCGAAGCGCAAGAAGGGTGCCAAAGCGGATGCTGGGGATGACGAGGAGTCGCCTACGAAGAAGGTCAAGGGTGGCAAGGGCAAGGGGAAGAAGTCTGAGGCGAAGGTTAAGGAGGACGTTGAGGAGGAGGAGGAGGAGGAGGAGGAGGAGGGCGGGGTGGTGGTCAAGGAGGAGGTTGATGGTGAGGGCGACGACGGAGAGGATGGCGAGGATGCCAACGGCTTTCACTGAGGTGCTGTTGTCTCTTTGCTGAGATGGAGGTCCATTCGGACTGCCTGCTCGAGCGACGAGAGATCCTTCTACTACGATACTGAGAACGAAGAGCCGAGATACACAAAAGGCATGGGAAGTGTTGTGCCATAGAACAGCTCCTCTATGAATCAGATCTTCGCTCTTCCCTTATGGAGAGCAGATCTGCTACCAGTAACCCTGCACATATCACAATCTCCGAACGTCGACCCAGCACCTCTCTCGGATGCAACGAGACGTCGATCCATTCCTACTCCGACTGCTCATCCTCCCCCATTCCATCATCAGACTCAGACTCCGCGGCCTTCGTCTTCTTGCCCTTCGCGCCCTTCTTAGCAGCCTTGCGCTCCGCGTTGCGCTGGGCGGTGGGCACGACAGCATCGCGAATAGCGTTGAGCTCAGACTCGCTGTCAGACGGCTCGGTCTCCTTTGGTGCCTCGACCGCAACGTCTTTGGCCTTGCGACCGCGCTTGGCCTTAGGCTTCGTGGCGGCAGCTGGGGCTTCGGCATCGTCTTCGTTGTCCTCTTTGGCAGCGGCGGCTTTGCGCTTCTTGCCAGCGGCTTTGGGCACGGTGGTCGTAGGCTCGGTGTCGTCGCGAGTGCCTGGTGGTAGAGTCAATTCAGCTGCTGGGTGATGTTGGCACATTTGCTTCGGAACGAGACTCACCAGTGGCGCCGCCAGAATCCTCAGCCATCTTCTACAAGCGCAAGTGCAGTCAGCGACGGCCATTCATGCTAGTGAGGCATAGCAGAGAAGCACGCACGTCAATTTTCTTCTTCAGCGTGTGCCACCCAGCTCTGGCGGAGTTGACGTTCTTGAAGCCGCAGGTCGTGGCGAACTTGGCGTAGTCGACCTGTTCGTGGACCGTCTTTAGTGTATGCCCCTTCGCCCTAGGATGTAGGGAAGTGGGAATTGCCGACTTACGGTCAGTTCGTTTTTGGCACAGTTCATTGCGCCCACGAGGAGCTGGGCATCGCGCGGGGTGAAGGTGCTGCCTTCGGTCTTGGACATGTTGGGTGGTTTGCTTTGATCAAGACAGAAAGAGGTGGTTCTTGTAGGTGGAAGACGATGTCTGGAGAGGAAAGGTGGTGGACGGAAAGGAGAAACAAGCGGGAGCAAGTGAACTTTTATGCCTTACAAACAAACGACGTGACGTGACTTTCAGCGTGGGCGTCACACGCCTGTAGAGTAACTGCGGGTAGTGGCCTAGCAACGGCCTCGTGATCGTCATTCACATGTCGAGAGCATACTTCGTTTGTGCGGCTGCTCTCAAGGCACACTGCCGCCCGGCCACAGATATCATATCTGAATTGCTGATACCGCCGATCGAGGAAGCCGCGAATACGAATGCCATGGAATTACTCGTGCCCCTGGCAATATGATGAGTGCTCCTCCCTCCGCATCAACCCCCTCATCCAATCTTCGCCTTGGAAAAGTCCATCTCGGGATGCTGTTCCTGGAACTTCTTCAGCATATCCGCCTTCTTCTGCTCATCGCTCGTCGGCTGGCCCAGCTCCTTCTGCCGCTGATCCCACATCATCTTCTCCACCATGCTCCTCGTCTCGCCATCCAGGTCGCTCAACTTGCTGTTCTCCGGCGTGATCTTCGACGTGTCGATTTTGGGGGCGGAGGTGACGACGTGTGCCCACCACTCCATCTTGTTGGCCTTTTCGAGATGGATGTTAATTTCTTTGCCGGAAGCAGTGGTTTCGAGCGTCCAGGCTGATTCGTCTACGTCGATAGGATGGGGGAATGTGCCCTGTTTGATGTCAATTTGGTGACAAGAGAGGGGATCAATGAACATGATGTACCTCAATGATCACATCTTGGCCTTTGATGCCAGCCTTGATGCTGTTCTTGGTGATCTTCACATCCAAGTCCTTGCCCTTGAGGTTGCTTGGAATTGGTGCAGTGACGTCCACATCACCGATTTGTTGACTCCATTGGTATGGTAGAGTACTCTGCTCAGCAATCTCCTTCGCCTTGGCTTCCTTGTCGAGCTTGGCCCGCTCTTCAGGCGTTGGGGACGTTGATCTCTCCTCCATCGTCTGTTTGGTAGAAGCCCAAAAGAGGAAAGAAGTCAAGAGCCTCACGGTTTTGACTCCAACGCTTAGTCATTCATCATCGGCTCGGGTCTTCCCGCCGAGCGGCAAGCTTGAGGTGAAAGCATCTCCTACTCCCTGGCGAAAAGGAAGCAGCACACCCATTGTCATCCGCTCACACCTCCACATCATGAACTCCCTCCGTGTCGCCCGCGCGGCAATCAGAGCCCGCCCATCTGCCTTCCGCGCGCCGCTCCAGAGGCGCACGTATGCCGACGTTGCGCCCGACAAGATCCAGCTGAGCTTGGCTCTACCTCACCAGGTTTGTCTTCACCATTCGAAGAGCTCTGCGCAGTGAACAAGGTACTGACGTCGCCTCACAGGCCATCTACAAGTCGCAAGATGTGTATGTTCTCCATCCCGCCCTACGAGCCGATGCCTCCCGCCCACGGCTGGCTGGTAAACATCTACCGTGGCTAAACAGAAGCACAGCGTTCAAGTCAACTTTGCCGCAGAGTCTGGCGACATGGGTGTCCTCGCGAACCACGTTCCCTCCATCGAGCAGCTGAAGCCGGGCCTCGTCGAGGTCATTGAAGAGGCTGGAGGAAGCAAACAATTCTTTTGTACGTTTGAGCACACATTTCCTCGGCCGCAGAGGATACAGTGTGGAAGTAAAAGAGGTGCAAGGCGACATATAGCTGACAGAAAACCCGAACAGTGTCTGGTGGCTTTGCGACCGTCCAGCCCGGCTCGGTGCTCAGCATCAACGCCGTTGAAGGCTACCCATTGGAAGACTTCAGCGCCGAGGTACGTGCCCACATCTACCGCTCCATCAGAATGTCAATCTAACACCGCATTGCAGGCCGTGAGGAACCAGATCTCCGAAGCCCAAAAGATCGCACAAGGCAGTGGCAGCGAGCAGGATATTGCCGAAGCAAAGATCGAACTTGAGGTGGGTACTCTTGTGTGCATCCTTTTTCTCTGATAACTAATACCATTCTCAGGTTCTGGAGAGCTTGCAAGCTGTGCTCAAATAGATACGCCTCCGGATTAATTGTACATAGTCCCGTTACAACGATATCTGGTGATCTCGCACCTTCTCTTCCAAACCACGCTGCGCTCCACTACAGGGACGTCCCTTCCAACTCGCCCTTGACCCAGGCGCTGTTTCTGTTTCGCCTTTCCCTCATCTTTACCCTCGCAGAGTGCTTTTCTGTTCTTTTCACCACCCATTCTCCATTCTACGACTATCACCGGCCGCTCTCGACATCTCGCCGTGTCGATCGAGAGCGGCATATTTCTAACTATAGACATTCGTTACACGCGCTTCTGGATGACTCGGCGTGGTCTGGATAGCATGTGCACTTAAATGTCGCTCAATGCTGTCTTGGACTCGCTACGCGAACGCTTATCTCTCCAACAACGATACATCTGGAGCCGGCTCAGCAGCAGGAACACACTTCCTCGACCCATCTCTACCCACCTCACATGGCGACGTTGGGCCAGAAGATCGTACGTCTCTGATCATAGTAGTACGACTTCCACCTCTGCTTACGCCCAGTCTGCAGCGCAAGGCAATCTCGAAAGCCGCCCTCAAACCCGCGGCAGCCCAGCCGAAGAAACAGCCCTCCTTCAGCAGCTTCCGCACATCCACCACCACCAGCACAGCCGGCACAGCCCACAGCCGCGATCTCAAAGCCGAGCGCTCCATCTCTGCTTCGCTTCGCAGCCTCTTCCATTTTACGGGACATTCGACTCCATCAACGATCTCGAGCAGCACGGCAACGCTATCAGGAAACCCTCTCACGCCTGCTCCGTCGACGGACCCGCTCCACTCGGACGGCAGCACAACACAGGTACAGGGGCCGCAGCCAGCGACAAACGAAGCGGTTGCGAGCCTCAGTCCGCTCCCCGCGAGCAAAATCGTCTACCCGGAATCGCGCGGCCAGTTCCAGTCGCCACCGCCTCCCGTCGCCCACCTCCCGGCTCCGGTCTTCGTAGCGGAGAGTGTGAGAAGCGTGCGCCAGGAGGACCACTCGTACGGGACGGAAAGAGAACTCCCTACCCCAGCAGAAGAGTGGAAAGCGGAGAAACCTTCACACCTGCGACGCAAAGCTGCTCTACTCTGGATGGGGCTGAAGATGAAATTCAAACTCGAGCGGGCGGAAAGAAAGGCGGGGACCTCACTTTGACGAGCGTAAGAGAGAAGATCGCCGCGCTGGAGGCCAGGGCTGGGCAACATCCGGCCGATGTGCCGATTGTCTTCCCGCTGCGGTATAAGCGGTTTGTCAGGCGGACGAGCAGTACGGCGACAGCAGCGCGGCCTCAGACACCGCTGTACTCTTCTAAGCCGGCAAACGATGCTATCATTCACGCACCAGAACCTACGAGATCTCTTGTATATCCGGCGACGCTGTCGCATGCTAGAGCGCCCGCACCTGCGCTTAGTCCGAGCACGAGTCCTATTCCTACAGCTGCTACTCCGGTGGCGACAAGCACAAGCTCATCCAAACGCAAGAAATTCACTCTAGCGCCGCCTACGGGCGATGGAAGCGATCGCTTGACCGCCGCCTCCTTTCTGCACGGCACGCGCAACAATTGTGTTCGCCACGGTCGAAGGGCCCATCAGCAAGTAGCCGGTGGAGCACGAGACATGCTGGACAAGAGTCGCAGCGGTGCGTACATCCCTACAGGTCTGCCTGCGAGACGGCAGATGGAAGCCACGAGTCCTTGGGTCGTGGCAGATCGCTCTCTGACCAGCACTGCAGGCTCGGATGCTTGTCCGGATTGTGTTACGGAGTTGAGGATTAAGCGGCGAGAGATCAATGGGCCAAACTTGGAGGATGGGCGGCGGCTTGGTGAACGGGGTACGCAGATGTATGGCAGCGGTGTCCCATCTTCACCGAGCCCTAATGTGCAGTCGTCGGAAACGACGTCAACCCGTACAGCTGGTTTCTCTGGCGGAAGCAATGAAGATGGTCTCATTGTCACAAGACGTCTCAAAGACGACTTGGATGCGATTGTGGTGGAGCAAGGTGGTGAGCTGAGACACATCATCATCAGCTCCGCGCTGCACTATCCGATCAGCACGACCTTGCACCGACTTTCTCGCGAGCTGGCGAATGTGTCCGCCTCAATGGCATCGATCAATGCTCACTCTCTGTCCGGTCCAGAGGCAGGGAAGAGCAAAGGCAAGAAATGCGCAATTGCGATGGCGACTTCGTCTTCGAGTACTCAATCGTCAGTCCCGGAGCTGCTGGACATGATCGACCAAGCGACCAGCGAGATTCATTCACATGCTGAGAAGACGACAGAGGAGCATATCGTGAAGCCATATGGTGAATTTGAGGCTCCGCTGTCACCGGAAGAACTGAAAGACCATTTCATGAGCAAGAGACCTTCACCTACGCAAGGCTTGGTCGGCCGGCAGTGTATCGATGAGCAGCACCGCCGGATGCACGATCTACTGAATACGAGCGCGCCGCGGAAGCCATCGATCCCGGCTGGAGGAGGTGCGACGGCATCCTCGTCACAAGCTGCGCCGGTGTCCAACGTGGCAAGTACTCCTGGGGCGCCGCAAGACAAGCCGGATCCGAAAGTTCCCATCATCAAGCGAACACGACCGACTCTACCTTCGCTCCCTGCAGTAGTAGATCCCAAGGCAGCAGCACAGCAAGAACCAACACCCTCACATCCATCTCTCCACCACGCAATCGCGCTCACCGACCCGCCAACCTCCACCGCCCCAGCCTTTCCAACCCCTAAACCAGCAGACGAACATGAGCATCCAACATCCGGCAGCTTCTTCCACAACTTCCTCAACCCCTTCCACCCCCGACCCAAAACTCCAACAACACCCAGCGCGCAATCCCAAGCCCAGCAGTCCCTCTTCACCACCACTCCCAGCTCACCCCTCTCGCCACTTTCGCCTGCCCCACCGCCTCTAGCAGGAAGTCAGAATCCGGACATCAGGACGCAGCCGAGTCCCTACCATCATGCTCCCGCTTCGCCGCCGGATCTGGGCTACGCAAAGTGGGTGGATACGAAGGTCGTGGAGGGGCAGTCGGTGATTCGGAAGGCTATGAGGATGGAGAAGGAGCGGATTGAGCATGGATATGAGCATGAGATGGGAGGAATATGAGAGGAGGGTCAGTGGTTGTGTTTTGGACTCTTACCTATATTCTGTGGGCGTTGTATGTCTAATTGCCCTTCCCTAGTAAAAGAAGATAAGGTATTCTGATGTTTGTTCTTGCAGAAGCAACCCACTGCTTCGCGTGACGTTGGCGGAAGCCGTTCCGAAGCCGAGACGCCGCCAGCGGCGCCCGCCCGCCGGGGATCTGCGAGCTTGATGACAACCTCCGGCCGGTACCTCAGGCAGACGGCAGAAAACCCAAAGTCTCATCGCAGATGGCACACAACGCTGACACGCACGAATACCCTTGGCATGCAATGGATGAAGGAGGATCTCCGTGGGACGGTATGCTGCTCGCCCGCCGGTCGCAGCACGGCGCACTCGCTGATGAAAGCACTCGCAGACGTCCCTTCGACTTCACAGTCCACCCAGGCGGCAGAGAACACGCCGCCATCAGGTACGGACGACAACGTGGAGCTGACCACCGCCTCGTCCCATCATCACTGACGTCTTGCCAGAAAACACATCTACCCAATCCCCCGCACGTCCCACCACCTCCTCCAGCACCGGCGTCAGACCTGCTGCCTCCAAGTCTCGCACGCCCCGCCGATATGGCAACCTCGCCCAGTCCACCACCCTCGAGAGTCTCGATGATTCCATGGGACCCTTGGGCCCGCTCGGCGTAGAACCCGTCGATGAGCCCATTGCGCCCGCCCCGCCGGTGAAGGAGCTGCCTACAAGAGCAAGACAGTCCACCACCACTTCACGCCCCAGCACCGCCGCCTCCGCCCGCTCCGACGACCACGACTCCACCTCCTCCACCCTCAATGGCGCGCGAGTACCCCCTCCCATTCACGCCGCCTCCAACGATCCTCGCCTGCGTCCGCAGCAGCCTTCCATGTCCGTTGAGCAGGCCGCAAGACCTACGTTCAACATCACAGTCGGCGATCCCCACACCGTCGGCAACGCAGCATCGAGTCACACTGTCTACAGTGTCATCACTCGCACCACGTCAAAAGCCTACAACAGCCCCACCTTCACCGTCACCCGGCGTTACCGAGACTTTCTCTGGCTGTACGAGCGATTGCACGATAACAATCCGGGCGTGGTTGTGCCACCGCCCCCGGAGAAGCAAGCAGTGGGCAGATTCGATGCGAACTTCATTGAATCAAGACGCATGGCTTTGGAGAGGATGGTCAACAAGACTGCTGCCCACCCCATTCTGCAACACGATGGCGACCTGAAAACCTTTCTCGAAAGCGACGCTTTCAACGTCGACATCAAACACAAAGACCGCGCCAAAGATCCCCTACTTGCTTCCGAATCCTCCGGCGGCTTCATGTCGACCATCGGGCTGGGCAGCGGCGGGGGCGGAGGCAAGTTTGTCGAGCACGACGATTGGTTTCACGATCGGCGCATCTACCTAGACGCGCTTGAGAACCAGCTCAAGGCGCTTCAGAAATCCACCGATAGCGTTGTCGCTCAGCGCAAGGCTCTTTCAGACTCCTGTGGCGACTTCTCCACCTCTCTCCACGCCCTTGCCGCCGTCGAGCTGTCCCCCGCCCTCTCCGGGCCATTGGACGCGCTTGCCGATCTTCAGCTCCGCATCCAAGAACTCTACAGCCGGCAAGCGATGCAAGACATCCTCACCATCGGCATCGTCATCGACGAGTACATCCGGCTGATCGGCAGCGTGCAAAAGGCGTTTACGCAGCGGCAGCGCGCCTTCCACGCCTGGCATTCGGCCGAGAGCAAGTTGGCGGACGTGAAGAAAAGTCAAGAGAAACTGCTTCGTGCGGGTCGCAGCCAGCAGGACCGCATTGGGCAGATGCAGGCGGACGTGTCGGACCAGGAGCGCAAGGTGCACGCCGCGCGGTTGCTGTTTGAGGACATGGGACGGCTGATGCGGGCCGAGCTGGAGAGGTTTGAGAGGGAGAAGGTGGAGGATTTCAAATCAGGGGTGGAGACTTTTCTGGAGGGGGCGGTGGAGGCGCAGAAAGAGGTGAGTACCAGTTCGGCAGTCTTGAGTGACACCAGGTGATTTCTGACATGCCATCTCTAGCTCATCGAATTGTGGGAGACGTATCTGCTTCAACTCGATGCTGACGATGACGGCTCGCCCATCATGCCCGTTGGCGTCCAGCTGGATGCGGCGGCGAGTGGAGCAGGAGCAGCAGCAGCAGCGGACGTCGTGCAGGCGCAGGGACAGCCTGAAGCGCCGACGCGGAGCGAAGCGGCAAACGCGGAACTACAAACGCACGAGGGTGAAGTAGAGTCGTCGATTGCTGAAGAAGGCAGGAACAGGCTGGACGGCGAAGCTACAGACGCCACGCCCCATAGCGACGTGCATGACGATACGGCGCAGCCTTGATCTCCTGACGGCGCGCCTGATGATGGAAACATTTTCGCTCGTCTCCCTGCGCTTGCTTCTTGCGGTATGTACGGAGACGGCGACGAACACCAACGAGCCGTACCTGGGGTTTACATACGTAGCTAGCCTGAATGTAGCCAAGGCGGTCTAGCTGAATGCGTGCGGTGTGGCTGCCAACGGGCGTACGGCCGAAAGGTGTTGCACTCTACCAATAATGTACAGTGGTCGACATTCCACGACTGATAAGATAGCGAAGCTTCACGTGTGGATTGCAAATGCAGATACTTGCAGACCCCTATTACGAGTGGACGAAAGGCATACGCCGCTCGCTAATCGTAGCCGTCGACCGAATGCTCGTCGACAAATGAATCATGGGCCTCAAACTCGGATTCGCATAGGGCTGATTAATAAAGTAAGGGGTGAGCAAATGGGGGGGCACGCATGTGACTTGTGGGAAAAAAACACGTGCAGGCTCGCGACTTCCACACTGCACACGCCCCCCTCGAATCGTCGATCGGCGCGGACCGAATGCCCCAAAAAGCGTTGCCGTAGCCTTGCGGCCCTGGGGACCCAAACCGCATGTCGCGGCTTTGGAAGCCGCTCCAGTGCACCCACCTTTGCATATGCACGTTTTTGCAAGGTGTACCCAGGTAAGGTGCCCATCCTACAGGGCTGCTTCGGGGCCGTGCCCCGTGCCTGCCTCTGCCACTGATTTTCCGCCTCTCTGTTGGCAAAGGCGCAAATGGCGGCGCATCATCGGGTTCCGCGGACTCGGGACGGTGGGGTTCACAGCGCTCGCCGGGAGGGGTGATGACTTGCTGCCTGAATGGGCAGTCACGCCAATGGGCGTAGGGTTTTTCAGAAGTCCAAGCTTTGGCTTGAATACGACCGCGAAACTACTGGACGTGATGCATGTAGGCAGATGCCTACCAGCAAGGCGTGGAGGCGGGAAGGGCGGCGCGCCTCTGACTGGGGGGGTGGGGGGCCAAGTGATTTGCCCCAATTGCGGACTGATTCGTGCGCGGGTGGCGCTGGGGGTGGCGGCTGGCGAGGAGTGCTAAATGCGGTTGTGACACGGGGTTAACGAGGACATTGTTGCATTCTTACGAGGCTTACCTCAGGCGACTCGGGCTGAGGTAATACGGGAGGCCATCGTGATGCCCCACGACGTTGCAGCCGGCCCGCGTCGTTCCCATTGGCCGATTTGGACTTGCCCGAAAGGGGTAATGGTGCATGTTGATTGACCATGGGCAATCGGGGTCTTTTGTTGGCTTCAGATGGTGAGCATTCGCTCATCTCACCGTCTCGTCTACGCGAAACAGGCGATGATTCCATTCACGCTCCTCCCCCCGGTTGTAGCAGCCTCGCGGGTTCGATGCCGGCGAGGCGTCTTCACAAAGCTTCGGCGCGGGTGGCGGACGGGAGGAGGGAAGGCGTGCGAGAGGAGCAAGGCCCGTCGTCACTGACTGCCCATGCCACGGCTTTCAATGCCACGGCTTCCATATCCGACATGATGATACAGAAGGGGGGGGGGGGGGGGGGGGGGGGGAGTGAGGACTGCGCTGACCCAAGGCGGTTAAAGTCTCGACAGATCAGCGAGGTTTGGCGAGGCTCGTACTCGTACTCGTGCATACTCATCACCGTCAACAACAACCATGTGGCGTGCGTGGACGAGAACGCCGCGCCTGTCAGTCACGCTTATAGCCCTCCATCATCGATCAGAACGGGCGTGGCGAGGATAGATTGACGCCTTTGGCTATGGTGATTACGTATGCTCTGCCGCCCGGCTACACGCCCGACGCTATCTAGGGGGTGTTGCTGCCGCCCACGAGCTGAGACGACGATAGGAGCGCGCCACCGGCCTTTTCGCCGTCCCTCGATGGCGCACCCCGGCGCCGACCGAGCTCAGCGCAGCCGGTGTGTCATTGGCCGCGCGCTGGCCAGCGCAGCAGACAAGGTTCGAGGTTGCAGGCGCGGAAAGCTTGTGGTGGTGCAACCCATCAAATCCAATGAATGTTGCCAAAGCGCGCCGTATTACTAAGAGCCCCCAAGGCTTTCGAGCCGGTCAGACGGCGTGACAGTCGGGCATGCCTGATGACGCCGAGCCATCGTGTCCTGTTTCCAATCCTGCTTTCTTTCTTCGGCGCCGAATCCTCGCCGTGACTCCATGTCGCCTTCTTCCTCCCACTAGCCTGCAAACGGCCTGGCCTGTTGCGGTGTGTATGGGCGGCGGGTGGATTTAGGCTGCACCTGCGCCGCCTCCCATCCTTGCTGAAGTCTGCGCACGCCCCCAAGGCTTCGCATTCGCATGTCATCCGCGCCGCCCTGCCTTTGCCGCATTCGTTGGACCCGCGGTCTTCGGGGACAAGATTCATCTATCGGTGCAGAGCCCGTCGTCCACCACCACCACCACTCCTCCTCCCATCCAACCCATGGTCCTTTGGGGGAGTCGCGATGGTCCATGCCCGCGTGGATTAGAAGAGCGCCCTGGACTGTGGCCCCCCCTCTTCCTCGCCGTCTCACCCGCCCGCGCCGGACTGCATTGAAGCATGCCCCAGGAAACGGCATGGATTGAACCACCTCCGCGCTGGAGGAACATGCACGCACCGAACTTTCTCGCTGCACCCCATCCTCCACACATGGTCGTGGCCATTGACGCAGCCCCCAATCCCCCCTACCGTCATCCCGTCCCCGGTTCTCGACCATTGGACTCCGGTGGCCACCGCCACCCAGCTCTCGGCCTGCCCCATGGAGTACACATGCCCGGGGAGTCCTACCCGATCACGACTAATCACCGGCATTCGCGATCTCACGAAACGGCCTCGCCACACTCCCACCCCTCTCCAGCCTCGCAAATGGCCCCGCGATTCGCGCCGAACGCCTCTCCCCGCTCCGACTCGCAGCACCATCACGACCCCGAGCGGCACGCAAGGCATGGCAGCGATGCCCCACTGTCGCTGCAGATCCCCACCGATCAAGGCAAGTGATCACTGCTCTTTTCGAGGCTTGCCGAATCGTCGTCGCTGTGAAATCAACGACTCGAGATTGCCACATAACATTCAATCACTAACCATGCTCGCCGAGATTATAGATCTGCCGCGCTTCGCAAGCATGTTCAACGTCCCCCCATCTGCGACTTACCCGACTCACCCGACTCCCTACAGCGACACCGATTTTGCTCGCAGACGGCCTTCCTTGCCCCCGTTCTCGTCCTTACAGGAACACGCCGATCGCGCCGATGAAATGGACGACAACAGCGACCCTACCACAACGCCGCCACGCTCCTCGTCCTGCCACACGTGCATTCGAATGCAGTCAATGTGCCACGAGGTCGCCGTTGCCGTGGCAGAGCTCGACGAGAGCATTCAGCTCTTGTGCAACAAGGCCAACTCCCGAGTATGTGTGGGGGACGCACCACGAGTTCCCATCGTCGTGATGGTTCAACATCCACTAACCATTGTCCAGACAATCACATTCCCCAGGAACAATTCGATTCGAGCCGTGCAATGGATCCTCGACAGGCTGAGACTGGGCAACTTGGACCTACAGGCCACCCTGCGAGCTACACGACCCGCGGGGGCATTCCAGCCAACGCCCAACTCTGCGTATCAACCGACGCCCGTGTCTGCACTACAACCCACCTCATCATCCGAGGGCGCGCCGCCCGACACATCGCCCTTGAGCGCGCTGAAACGGCCGGCAGAAAACTGGGATTCAACAGGCTTGAAACGAACGCGCGTCGCCGGCTCACCCGACCTGGGCTATCGCACCACGTCTGGCCCCCAGGATGAGTCGAGATACTTTCTACAGCGTACGCCTACGGATCACATGCGCCCTCCTCGCAACTCGCCATCCCCCGAATCGTTCTCGAGCTCGGCATATCCAAAGCACCCCTCTCCGACGCCGGGAGAGCGTTCAATACGCGCCTTACCATCGCCTTCGTCCGCCGTTTACCCTCCGTCAGCTGCGCCATCCTACGCGCCTGCGACAGCTCAATCACCCTCTTCCCCAGTGTTATCTAACGCGGCAGAAATGTCCATCCACACCGGGTCGAGCGAGTCCGCGACTTCCGCGCACATCGCCGATCTGCAGCACCAGGTCACGCTAAAATCCTTGTCTCTGCAGACCCTGCGGTCAGAGTATGCTTCCTTGCTGCAGAAGCTGCAGCGACTGAACGTCAAAACTCACACGATTGAAAAGAAGAGCAACGTGGCCAATCAGGAGGTCAATGATCTGACCAACAAAAACGAAGACCTCGGCCAGCAAGTGCAAAGTTTGCAGGAGCAATTGGATGAGAGTGAGCGCCGCAGGGAACAAGATCAGGACAAGGTGGCGCGCGAGAAAGAGCAATGGATGCAGATGCTGGAGTTTGGTCGGCGCCTGCAGATGAAGACGGAGCAGGACAAGAACGCCCTCGCTGCGCGTGTGGCAGCGCTGCAAGAAGACTACGAGTCGCTCCGGAGAGCTCGCTCCTTCTCTTACAGCATGACGGCCGGCGAATCGGATGTGCATGCTACCATGCGATCCCTGAACGGCAGCAGCTATCTTGCTGCGCTGAACGCCAGACTTCAAGCTCTCCGCGCCTCTTTGGAGGAAGCGAGACGGCAAGCCCGCGTCCTCGACGAGCGGACCTCCGATGTGCATCAGCGGAGCTCAGACATTGCCAGCGCCATTGATCGCACGCTTCGAGAGATCGACTCCCCACTCCCAGCCCGCCCGCAGACGCCGCTCGCCATTGCCGCGGATGCAGACGTGGAGCTGGCGACGGTGCCTCGTCAGCGTCCAGCTGCGCCCGGGAAGAGCAGCGCAGATCTAAGCCCAGAGCCGGAGGGTGCATGGTTTGTCACATCTACCGCGTCTTTGTCAAGTGTGCCGACACCAGCGCCCGCACCCGCAGAGGCGCGCGGCTCGCTCGCCGCCGCCCCACCCGGGTGGCGGCAGCACCAAGGGCGCGCCACCTCGCGCGACCTGCAGTCCACCTCCTCCTCCCTGTCCGTGACGAATGCTGAGACAACAACCGCCATCGCAGGGCCCCCACGGAGCCCGGACCGGCGTGAAGAATCGCGGCGCCCGTCGCACACGACCACCCCGGACGAGCTGTCAGTGGGCTCTGCAACGACCGACGTGACCATCACCTGGACGCCTCGCCCCGCATCCCCCAGCAGTGGGAACGAAGCTCAGCGCGCACAGTATCAGCCGCCGCCCAGCCCCACCCAGGATCGCCGGCGCAGCGTGCACGCCCGATCGCACGAGGGCAGCGATGCGCCCGATGGTGGCGTGACGACAGCTGCTTCCGGCTCGCAGGAGGCTACTACCACATCCGCCATGGCGCCTCCGCCTCGACCTCCGCCTTAGGTCAGCGGACTTCGCTTGCTCTGCGTCTTACACATCTCCCGGTGGGCGGCGCCACTGACTGCGGGCACCAGGCGTTACCGCGCGCTTTTTAGAGTTGCAGGATGAAGCTCAATGCCTGTCTGTCGGTATGTGCGTCTGTCCTAGGGTTCTTGGCGTTGGTGGGAGCGGGAGCATGAGCATCGACTGCCACGGCGGCGATGGGGAGTCTTTAGAACAGCTCAACTACATGTATACCCCCCCGGCGCTGCCGATACAGGGAAGAAGGAAAAGCAAAAGTTTCGATCCTCCGACGCACTTGCTAAACAGGGGACTCGCACCACTCCCTGGCTCTGTCCTACCTGCATAGCCCATGGTCAGCGAGCTTAAGTGCCTCTGGCTGGCCGACGGAATGCCATGTCTCCAGCTCCGCTGTGCGCCCCCTGCTCTCAGAACACCACCAGCAATCGACGCACGCGACACCCGGCCGAAAGAACCACGATGTATAGACGCAATGACAGGTAGCGAGAGAAACATGGGCTCTGCTGACCAGCTAAACCTGCCCGGCGCGTCTGACATGAAGTAGATTAGAGAGACTACGCAATAGCCTGCGCCCCTCCACTTGCCCTAAATCGGGCCACTGTGCCCCGGGAAAAAAAGTGAAGCGTACACTTGGGGCTAAAAGATTCCTGCCAAATCGTAGTTTATGCTTCTTTCGCTTGTCCATGCCATGCATCCTATTCTGAAACCCATCCGGAGCGCTCTCCGCGGTCACCACAGGCCGGAGCGGGCTCCGCGGGAAACAACCAGCGTGCACCCCCGTCGACGTCCTTTGACTAAGTTCCACTAAGCGCGAATCGCTGGCTTGGCTGGTTGGGGGCCGATCTGTAGGACGGGCTCGGACATCGAGCCCGATGAAGCCCCCCGTCCCGGGTTGCATGCGAGACATGGCTAGATGAAAGGGTGTTGACGTTGGGTGTGCTGCTTGCCTGCGACTTGGATCGGGCGATTATCGAGAGGAGGGTGGAATGGACTTTGCTGGACTTTTCATCCGTATTTGTTGCATTTGCTTCTGTGCGTTCGGGGGGAATGATGCCGAGCACCCCTGGCGACGAGTCGGGAACCTTACATACTCGAGTCATTCATGCGTTGATGATGATGCGTTTTGAGCTCCTGGGAAGAAATGCGTTTCGGGCTCCCCGAGAGGAGGCAAGAGCTGTTAAGCGACAAGGATTCATGCTGTCTAGTCACGATGAGTACGCTCCCAATCGTCGCTCCCCTTCCGCCGCCGCTGTCTCGCAACCCTAATACCGCCCACGACCACCACCGCAACCAGCAGACCCGCGTTGAAAGCAGCCATGAGGAAGAACGGGGCGCCTGGGGTCCAGGAGTCGAAGAGGGCGCCGCCGAGCTTCGTCAGCAGGAGGATGCCTGCTCCCCCTGCGAAGCTGTACACGCCGGCTATGGAACCCTTGAGGCGCGAGCGATCGATCTTGCCCTCGGGGCGTTTGTGCTTGGCCACTGTGTTCCATAGCAGCGGTGCATCCTCCGGCGGTTCGGTGGGGGTTGTGATTTCGGGCGTCAGGATTGTCGATGGCCCTACTGCGCTAGGGATAGAGTGGTGCTTGGCAGCTGCGTCGTCTCCTCGGTTGGTTTGTTCGTCTTTGTTGATGCCGCGGCCGAGCAGGGCAAGGGAGCAGACAATGCAGCCAATCTGGCTAATGCCAATCAGAATGACTGCTAGGAAGGCCCACTCGCCGCCTTCGCCGTGGAAGGCGTCGGGGTTGCGGAGGAGGCCGAACGCGACATAGCCGCCGACACCGATGGCCGCGGCTGCTGAAAGCGGCCATTCGCTGCTGCCCTTCACCGCTCGTCCGCCGAGCCAGCCGAAGAGAGGGGCGCATATCAGTGCCGCTGTTTCGGCGACGCCGCTCAGCGCTGAAGCGAGGCCGTATGCACGCTCACAGTTCTTCTTGATGTCGGGGATGTTATCTGCATCCGAGTTGCACAGGCCATGGCGGCGAAAGTAAGCATTGACGAAGAGAGGGATGAAGAGACTGATTGCCACGGAGGACGCGCGGGCTACAAAGCCGCCTAGATACCCAAGGAAGATGGTCGAGTCGGTCAATCCTAGTTTGACGGAATCTTTGATGAGGGAGAGATAGGATGGCGCGGGGGTGAGGGTGATGTGAACATGGCCCTCGTGATCGATTGCCGAGCTTTCGTTGTAAGGTGTTTGGAATAGTGCAGACAACTTCTTGCCCTCCTCACCAGGCAGATTGCGCAGTCCAACGAAGATGAAGATTGCAACGCAGAACGCGACGGCCGCGACGATGTAGAAGGCGTAGCGTAGACTTTGTTCCTGGGATTGGCCGTGTGCTTGGAAGTAAGCAGGCATTGGAAGGAAGACAGCAAGCGCGACGAGAGCGCCAGCGCCTGTGAAGAGTCCGACGAATCCGGCAAGCTGCGAGGCCCCGGCCGTCTTGTCCTCCACGGCGTCTTTCTGGCCCTCGTTTGCTGGTCCATCGTGTGTAGAGGGCTGCGGTTTCGGGTGCGATTGTGATGAATACCGCGTCTGAGTGATGGTGAGTTCGCTACTGACACTGCCGGCCGTCGCGTGTCCAATGCTGTTTCGCCGTGCTTCTCTTTCCTCTGCCTGAATTTGCGCGGCGCGTCCAAACGCTTGCCCGTGCTCCTGAGCTCCCACATCATCCTCCACCACCGTCTTCTCCGCAATCATCGCCGGCAGCACGGCGGTGACCATTGTCGAACAAGCAGCGCCGCCGATACTGAACATCAACCGCGCCACGAGTAGCTCTGGATATACATTCTCCGCCTGTACCAGCCCGATCAGACTCAAGCCGATTACGCAATATCCGAACACCGCCACAAATCGCACACCAACGCGATCGCTAATGAGGCCCCATGCAGGGCATGCGACGAGGGCGAGCAGTTCGTCTGCGAAGCCCAGCGAGCCCGCGGCATCTCCCACGCCATGCTTTCGGCCGATGATGTCGGTGATGACGAAGGAAATGCTGGAGTTGAGGAAGACGAGGAAGGCGATGCTGAAGAGGGCGATTCCCAGGAGGTAGGTGGTTGCCTGGAGGGCAGTGGCCGTCAATTTGGGGAAGATGCGAGGCATTCTGGTGAGAATGCTTGGAGGTTGGTATGAAGTGGGGTGGAGGCGGAGATGGACGGAGTCGTGGGGGTATTCGTCACGTGTAGCCCTGGTGCATGGCTAAGAGCATCCACGGAGATACTCGCGCGGTCATGCGCATCATGGAACGAGGCAACGTGGAGTGGTTGGAAGAGGGAAGCGAGGTGGAAGGAAGGACGTGCAGCCTGGAGGTCGCATGTCATCGGGTGAAGCTTGGACCCTGCCCTGACCTCATCCCTTCCCCAGGATTGCAGCCTCAGGCCGAAGTCTGCAAAGACTCGTCCAATCCAATACAATTCGGTGAGACACCTGAACCATCTCTTTCTCATCCACCGTGCATGTTTCGATCCATACGCCTTGCGCGAACGTGTGCTCTTCCCATATCTAGCCGGTGGACTTCCAGCCATTCCAGAGGCATCCGACGCGGACTCACTGCCGCCACGATGTCGAATATCAAATACTTGACCGGCGATAAAGATGGCATTGATCAATTTATAAGCCAGTTTGACGTGAGTAATATCCTTGTAACTGCCCAACGGAGGAGACACACTAACAACTGCCAGGTATTTCTCTTCGACTGCGATGGTACGCTTCCCCCACGCCAGAAGCATCGAGCCTGAATAGAACTGATTGTACGAGAAGGATAGGCGTGCTTTGGTCCGGCGAGCATTTACTTCCTCGCATACCCGAGACCATTGCTATGCTTCGAGAGAAGGGTATGTCCAGTTGACCGCCTGTTTCCCACGAAGTACGCCAACGCTGATCCGCGCCAAGGCAAGAAACTGGTCTTCGTGACGAACAACAGCACCAAGTCTCGAGCAGACTACAAGAAGAAGTTTGACAAGATGGGCATTACTGCTTCTGAGGTACGTGGAAGTCTTGCCTTACCACATCATCCACACAACTCATGCCTTTGCAGGAAGAAGTGTTTGGCTCGAGTTACAGCGCCGCAATCTACATCTCCCGCATCCTCAACCTGAAAGCGCCCAAGAACAAAGTGTTCGTGCTAGGCGAGACGGGCGTGGAGCAGGAGCTCGAGTCGGAGAACGTGCGCTACTGCGGCGGCACCGACAAGTCCTATCAGCGAGACGTCACTCCAGACGACTACGTCAACATCGCCAACGGCAAGGCTCTGGATGATGAAGTCGCCGTGGTGCTAACGGGGTTGGATTTCCACCCGACCTACCTGAAGTACGCGCTGGGAATGGCGTACATCCGTCGCGGTGCAAAGTTTCTCGCGACCAACATCGACTCCACTCTCCCCAGCGCCGGATCACTCTTTCCCGGTGCCGGATCGACGACCGCGCCGCTTATAACATCTACCGGCCAACAGCCACTGGCTCTGGGCAAGCCTAGCCAGGCGATGATGGATGCGATTGAGGGCAAGTTTCAATTTGATCGGAAGAAGGCTTGCATGGTGGGTGATCGATTGAACACCGACATTCAATTCGGCATCGAGGGTGGACTCGGTGGGACCTTGTGTGTGCTTACGGGCGTCAGCAAGAAGGAAGAGTTTCTCGAGGAGGGCGCGCAGGTGGTGCCGAGTGCGTATGTCGATCAGCTGGGCGACTTGATGGGATAGATGTATATAGCATTTGCTTGTCGAATTGTTTAGACATAATATATCAAGTTGCTGCTTATTATTTACCATGTCTGCCCTTTTCCATGTCGGTTTCCACAGACAGTTTGGTGTTCAGCATAAAATACGCATCGTTGACGCGGATGTCCGTAAGGCTGCCGCACAGACCCATGTCATGACTTCATCTCGACTTTTCGATCATCCATACACACCCTCGAACTTCACCACATTTCTCCCACCCATCGATCCTCCAACCATGGGCTCATCAGCATCCAAAGCCTCTCGAGCAGCCGGCACAGCCGCAAGACAATACCCAAACCGCGCGCCCCCAACATCCCAACCCCCACCATCAACCGCCCCCACAAACGCCCCTTCCCACCCTCCACCACCCGCACAAAACCGCACCCCAGGCCCAACCGTCCGCCCCCAACCCCGCGCAACATCCACCCGCTCCGAAGAAATCAACCTCGACGCCTCCGACCCAGACTTCGCCCGCTCACTCCGCAGCATGGGCGCCGTGCAGCCCAACCCCACAATGTCACAGACCTCCACCTTCCCGCACCCAAGCCAAGCGCCGGGGCCGAACGCGCGGACGAACCCCGCGATCGCGGTGCTGGAGGCGCGCGCGAGGCTGCAGGAGGAGGCGGAGAGGGAGTTTACGGAGGCGGGCAGGAGGGGGCATGCGGGGCGGGAGTTTTTGGATGTGTATACTGTGCGGCAGATGTTGCTTTTGAGGGATGGGAAGAGGCAGGCGCCGGGTGAGATTGAGAAGGCGCTTGGGTTGCGAAAGGGGACGGTGGAGAGGTTGGGGCCGCCCGGGGTGGTGGGGATTGCGCAGGATGTGGGGAGTTGAGGGAGTTTCAGTAGGGCGATATGGTGGCGAAGACGATGGGAAAGAACGGCAGCACACGCTCGTCGGATTGACGCTGGGTCATACGGGTTGAAACAGCTATGAACTTGAGATTCACAAATTCGCCCTCGGAGCAACCTCGAACACGGCCTTCACACCAAGATGGTCCGTCACCCACGGCCGATCAAATCCCAGCTCGACAATCTGTCTCCGCTCGCTTTCATCCGGAATCTCCTCACCCGCTCCGAACCTCTCAAACCCGAGACAGCGCACGCCGCCGCAGAAGTACACCTTGTCCATTCGCGTTGTGCCAAAGCGCTCCCTCAACACCGTCGCGGCCTGCTGGCCCCACGTATGGCCAGCCTCCGCATCCTCCTCGCGCCCTCCCAGCTCAAGATAGGCATCCTTCAGCCCGTTATCGGAATGCAAATGACGATCGAAGTCCTGAATGGCGTTGAAGTCCCCCGCCGCTAGGGCTCCATGGACAGAGGTGTCACGCATGTACTTGGCAATCAGCTGCATCTGCGGAGGCCGATATGCCGGCTCGAGCGCCAAGGACTCGAGATGGGAGTTGCACAGGCGGACGATGTCTTGGTTCTTCCCTAGCCGGATGTCGACGAAGAAGGCATCGCGCTCCATTGCGGATTGAGAGTAGTGCACGCGAAAGCAATCGGCGATTGCGAGTCGGCGATCAACGAGCGTGACGGTGCCGTAGTGCCCGGATTGCCAGTTGGTGATGTCGAGATCGGTGAGGGCGAATGTGCTGCGAACCCAAGGATCTGATGCTAGCAGCTGGAGGTCGGATGCCACGCATTCTTGCAAGTAGATTACACTCGCTGTCTGCGCATCTAGCATCGCCACGTGCGCTTCTTCGAGATGGCGAATTGCGGTTCGCATTCGAGAGTTGGGAAAGGGGAGCATGAAGTCGATGTTCCAGCTGTACAAGGCTAGGCGGGTAATTGATGCGTCGGGGGAAGTGTGGGTGGTGGATTGAGTCGTGGGGTCTATAGCCACCCAGTTGTTCCGATCGACTGAAAATACATGATACGACTGTTTCCAAGGCTCGTCGAGTTTCCAGGGTACGGTGGCTTTCTTCTTTGCGTCAACCTCGCGAATGCTTCGTTTCACGAGCTCGTCCATGATTGTGTCGATGACGTGGGGAAGATGGATTCGCGATTGCGTCGGGCTACCTGGAAGACGATGGACGAGGCTCTCGGTTTCGCATGCAGACCGAAGCACTGTTTGTTAGCAGCTCTAATCGGATGTGGGAAGGAGGAAGAAATCAAGAGAGATGCAGACAGAAGAGAAGGTATTCATAGGACCTCGCGATCGAGGGTCAGGCAGCCCCACATGGATCGCTCAAACCGCACCCAACGTACAAAATGTAAGCATACCTGAGAGAGACCTTCTGATCCATATAGACCGCTCATGCACATAGCGAATCAGCATCCTTAAACACACAATGCCTCTCCTCCTCAACAAACAATTCACCCACGCCCTCCCCAAAACAGAACTCCACGCCCACCTCTCGGGAAGCATCAGCAAAGAAACGCTGCACGCCATCTGGCGGCAGAAACAGTCGCAGCCCGAATGCCGCGCGCTCGAAGATCCGCTGACAGCAATCCGCAGCGGCACCGACGGCTTCGTCGACATCCACACCTTCTTCCCGCTCTTCGACACGTACATCTACGCTCTCTGCAACGATGTGGAGAGCGTGCGGTTCGCGACTGCCAGCGTGTTGGCGGATTTCGAGGCGGACGGTGTTAGGTATTTGGAGTTGCGTACGACTCCGAGGGAGTTTGCGGCTACGGGCATGACGAGGGCGGGCTATGTGCAGACTATCGACGATGCGTTGTTGGGCTGGAATGCTGGCAATGGGGAGAAGATGGAGGTGTATTTGATTTTGTCTATAGATCGGCGTATGACGCCTCAGCAGGCAATGGACGTTGTTGATTTTGCTATACAGCATCACGTCGGTCGAGGCGGGTCCGTCGTGGGCGTCGACCTCTGCGGCAACCCAGCAAAGGGAGACGCGACGACTTTCACGCCCGCGTTCCAGAAAGCAAAAGCCAATCGCTTGGGGATTACCGTTCACTTTGCCGAAGACCTGCGATCTAGCTCCCCTCGCGAGCTCGAAACGATCCTGTCCTGGCAGCCTGACCGCCTCGGACACTGCGTCCATGTGCCACCCGCGGTCGCGGACGTCATCGAGGCTCGCGGCATTGGAGTCGAGCTCTGTCTGTCCTGCAACGTCCTGGGAAGACTGACCACCGGCGGATTCGGGCAGCATCATCTCGGCGCGTGGTTGCAAAGAGCAGCTCCTATTGCGCTTTCAACGGACGACGTGGGAGTTTTCGGCAGCCCTTTGTCGGAGGAGTACAGGATGGCCGCCGAAACGTTTCTCGACAGCCAAACTCAAGTTGTTCGACTGTGCAGGAGTGCAGTCAACGTTGCGTTTGCTGGAAGAGAAAGAATGACCAGACTTGTGGATGAGTTTGAAAGGGAGTATTTGCAAGAGACAGCAAACCAGCCTGCGTGAGACGATTGCTGAGATGCGACCTGCAAGGAGCAGGCAAGCCGCATGTTTTGGTGAATGCCGGGCCAGCATGTGTTCAGCATTCCAGTCGCAAAATTGGGAGATTGCCGACAATGGCGTTGCCCATCCCTTCTCTCGCATCTCCAAAAGTATTTTCTCTTGTTGACAAGGACAAGGCAAAATCCTGGCTCATCAATCGATCATCATCTCCCTTTTCAGCGTGTGGAGCCGCGACCTGCATCGCGACCATGGCAAAAGCGAAAGCCACATCGCCCTCAAAAGCGACCCCAGGTCGAAAACAGCGATCCCCCAGCCCAGCAGTGCCGCTACGTCGCTCACCGAGAAAAGCAGTCAAGTCGGCGAAAAAGGCAGCCACGGAAGCACTCGCTGCGCCGGCAAAAGTCTTCAAACGCAAGGCGGTGAAGAAATCCACGACCTCCGCCAAGAAGCCAGCGCGGTCACCGGTGCGGTCGACAGCGAAGAGGACCTCAGGCGCAACACCGCGAAAGCCTGGCGCTACGAAGGTTGTTGAGACCACTCCGGCATCGAAAGGCTCCAAACCAAGAGGCCGTCCGAAGAAGGTTGGCAAGCTCGCGAGCTCGCCGCTCAAAGATGCCATGGTGGTCGTGCCGGCGGGCGAGCGCGAGTGGACGGACAGTCCAAAGAAGAAGAGTCCAGGGAAGAAGCATGTCGCGGAAGCGCCTCGTAGGTTGAGGTCTTCATCTGCCAGCCCAGGTGGAGATCGACCAGACCTTCTGATCGACAAGACCAGAATGTTTAGTGTAGGAGGAGTGCGGACGAGCATTGAAGCTGAGGGCTCGACTGGAGTCGCTCGTTCCAAGAGTCCGGGTCGAAGGGCTGTGGGTGGTGTCAGAGGTCGCTCTCGGAGCCCAGCCAAGTCGACGGCTACAAAGCCAGCACGTGAAAGGCGAAGTCAGAGTGGTGGAGCTGGTGCGAGAGCATCTAGTAGCGAGCGACAATCCAGAGCGCCATGCAAGAGCCCGAGTCGCCAACGCTCTCAATCGGCGACCCGGTCCAGCCTTCGCGAGAACTCTGGAAGTCCGGGTGCAGATGCTCCCCTCCGTATCGCCAAAACCCGCGGCCTACAAAGTCCCTCGAAGAATGCTGCCAGAAGTCGCCAAGCCAGTCCGTCCAAAGCATTACCGGGTCCTGCGACTTCTCGACAGCCATCCGGCAGTTCTTCGCGCCAGCACGCCGCAAACTCGTCCAAGGCGCTACTGAAAGCCTTCAACGACCAGAACGACAGGCTCGGTATCGAGCTGAGAAACATCGAAGCACAAGCGTACAACGCTAAGATGTCAGGTAGAACGGGAATCGTACCCGCCAGCGCCGATAAGCTCAACGCCGCGGAGCACGACTTCGCTACGCAGCGCGGCGTTCAGCGCGCCACAGAACAGCTGGCGCTCAACAATGCTGCAAGCAATGGCCCTGGTGGCAGACGTGCGCGGAACGCGAGTCCAAGCAAAGGCCAGGTGGATGGTGACACGTCGACACGAAATCCTCGTCGAAGCAATGCTTCACCCTCCCGCGCACGAAGCACTGCCATGGATGACGCCCGACCGCTGCCACTCGACCAGCCCTCTGCCGCAGGGCGCGGAACGTGTCGGTCCGCCACGAATCCCGAATTCATTCCAGGGACAGACAGGAAGAATCCCTTCTTTGAAACGATGCCTGCGGTGGAGGTCTGGCATAAACGCATGCCGCCCGTCTTGCCCTTTGGCGATACGCCGTCGGTGGAGAAGGCGATGAGCAAGCAAATCAACGACGATCTTGCGAAAGGTGAGCTGCGCTCTCCCCATTCTCTCCGCATCTGCGGGTCCTAATCCGTTCCTACAGCGCGAGAGGAACCTGCCAAATCAAGTGGTGTGTGGTCCACGGTGAAGTCGACCTTCAAGGCTGTGTTGGGCAAATCCGCTGCGGAGATCGAGTATCCCGATCCCTGGAAGCTTCCAGATGTCCCCAAGGCGGAAGTCGACCGGGTCTATCGCGAGCTTTACGAAGGTCTCTTTAACCCCAACTCTTCCAAACGCAAAGCATCGGGGACGGGGCCGGGGAGGGCGGTTAAGCGTGCTCGGCGGGGCTCGGGCGAATACCACATGAGCGGTGCGCTGCAGTAGAAGGATCGATGAGGCGAGGCCTAAGGAGGTGTATACGGCGAGCGCCTCTATTTGTGTGTTGCCATAGCTACTACACGTAGCGTCCGTCTAATATCTCGTGATAATGCAAGTTCAGTAATGAATGCAGACTCAAGCCGCGCCGTTCTTATCCAGCAGCTGGCGCGCAATCTTGCTCTTCGCCCGTATGCGCGGACCGTAGAACACCAGGATCCAGGGCACGACGGTGAGAACGAGGGAAACGCCGCCGAGCAGGCTGCCGGCGCCCTGATACGTCAACGTGCGGAACATGGTGCCGACGAAGATGGGGAAGGCCCCGGCGGCCATGTTTCGGCAGAAGCTTTGGGCGGCCAGCGCGGACGAGGCGTAGATGTGGTAGATGTCGGCTAGGTAGTTGAAGACGGCGAGGTAGATGCTGAAGACGCCCATGGTCGCGCAGCCGATGCCGAGCGTCGGCACGATCCAATGGATGTGGGAAAAGGAAGTCCAGCCGTACCAAAAGCTACCGATGGGGAGGAGCGCGGACAGTACGCAGCTGAAGCACAGTCTGCCCTCGGGCGTGGAGAGCCAAGGCCGCCACTTTTCTGGCGCCATCTTGCGGGCGGCGATTTCGCCGTAGATCGCGATGAAGGTACTGATGATGGCGGCGATCGTGATGACGGAGAAGATGGCGCCGACCTGGGCAATGTCAAAGCCATACCGGGTCTCGAAGATCAAGGGTATGGCGCTGAACAGCAGATATAAGCAAGCCCAGGCGAAGGTGGCCCAGAGGCTGAAGAAGAACACTACGGGCTCCGTGAAGAGCAGTGTGAACGGGCGGACGATGCTGGTCTGGATCATTTTTAGCAGGCCTGCTCTCTCCTCGTCGGATGCCACTTTGAATCGCACACGTTGTGCGGTGGCATTTGCGTCTCTCTCCTCGCCGGCCTCGGGTGACATCAAGACGCCGTAGTAGCCGGCCTTCTCGAGCTGCACAAACCATTTGTTGAGCGCGATCGCCTTGCGGGAAAGTAGGATCGAGCCGCGGGACTCTTTGAAGAACACGATAATCACCAGTAACAAGACTCCATTGGAGATGACTTGAACGCGGAAGATCCATCTCCAATTCAAATGCTGGGCAATGAATCCGCTGCAGAGAGGGCCGACACCCACACCCCCTACGGCGCCACCAGCGTAGATGGACATGGCCCAGTTTCGGTCTTTTGCATGGTAGAAGTCGGCAAGCACTCCTCCGATCATGGTGCTGAAAGTGCTCGCAGCGCATCCGACGAGGAACCGAGCGGCCAGCATCCCGCCAAAGTTGGGAGTGAGGGCGCACGTGAGTTGGAAGAGCACCAACAAGGCGCCGCTTATGACGAAGACGGGTTTGCGACCATTGATCTCGCTGAATGGCGCGAGGAACATGGGAGCGACGGCAAAGCCACACGTAAAGACGGTGATGCCGACTTCGAAGGCGGGTTCGCTGACGTGGAATTCGCGCTCCATTTGGGCTGCTCCAGACGCGTACGCTCCGGCGGAGTAGGCGATGATGCCGGTGCTGATGCAACCGATCCATGCCATCATCACCTTCCCTGTTAGTTTTCACGGTCAGCAATGCTTTCGTCTCACTCTGGATGTTGGGTAGACAAGTCCAGTGCTTTCAGTATTCACGTGACGGGGTATCTTACTTTTTCGGGACCACTCGAAGGGATTCTGATATTTTCGTAAATCGGGACATGGCGGCGGCGGCTGCCGGGTCTCTGCGTCGGTTGATGATGGCTGCAGTATCGCGGTTGATTGAGGAATGGCGGTATCAAAGGTGAGATAGTGCCACGTGATGTCGTCCTCGGGGCCGACTGCTTCGCTAGCAGAGTCCTCGGCGGTCGTGGCCTTGAAGTCCTTCTCTTCTCGAGAGTTCTTGGAGCTGAGAGGAGTTTCCAGGTTTGGTGGAAGCGTTTTCATCGCGACGTCCGCCTCCCGTGGGAATTCCATTGCCGCCTGCGTCTGTGGTCCGTACAACGCTCACACGCGAATGTACAATCATGCACAGAGAGACCGCACTGTCATTGTCATGACGATAGAACGCGACTCCAGAGTTGCCGGTGCATTAGGGGATGTGATGTACCTGCGCCATGTATGTCACATCCGTCGCTGGCCCGCGAATGATCCGGGGGCAATTTTATTCCCGCTATCCCCGCAAAGGGCGTAGCGTGGCAAACACGATTCTGACGAGTTCTGGAGAGCAGGGTCCATGACCCCACGGGGTGGATGTACGAGCATTCTGTTGTTCAGACAGCGATCCTACGGGGAAGGAAGGCAAGCAGGTGTTCGTGCATGGCTGATCCGATGGGAGAAAGCAACCCGCACAAGTCGATAGCCATGCTTACGGTGTTCGTACAGCGCCAGCCCTGTATCACGGGCTCCGGCGGCTACAGTTTAGAAGGCAACGAACGGATCTTTTGTTGTCGAGGATGTCTGCTTATAGACAGACCCTCACGAAAGTACAATTGAGCACGCGACGTGTTGTCGTCCTCGTAAAACGTGCGCTCCATGTGCCTGCACGTTGCTCGAGTTCGGCGACTCGGGCTATCTGTGCTCTGATATGAAAGGCCTACCTGCGATAGTTTCCCTCTTCTATCCCACATCTTGCTTGTCTTCTCTCATCTCGCTACCTCCCTTCTTTCATGCCGACCGGGTACATGTACGGCGCGTGCTCTCGTGTTGCTCGAGTCCAAAGGGCCTTTGACGATTGCAGATGCTGCTGCACGGGCTGCTACCGCGTCCCACTCTCCGGTGCCATGCGAGCAGCCGGATTCCACCACTCGGCCGCCACGGTATCGCGAGTCTTCATCTCCCAGAACCCACGATCACCGACGCGTCGCATCGCCCACCATTGAACGATGAAGATGCCCGCTGTCCGCTCTCTAACCTTCCTCGTCACGTGGCTCTTCTAATCATTTGTCCTCGGCCTGCTGCTCCAACGCAATGGCGTGCTGAAAAGCTAGACCACATGAGGTAATGCAACCTACAATTCCTCAATTCTCCGCTGCCCCTCCAGAGCTCTTTCCGTGGCAAATCTGATTACCATTGAACCCTCGTTTGACGCCATACCCTTTGCCCCACCTTTCCACTGTCAACAATTTATCATCAACCTCCAAAATTTGCCTTCGCACATCGCTCTTTCCCCTCCACCTTCACACCACACAGCTCTCTTCAAACTCCACTGCACTCGACACATCTCGCATAATCACCATGGCAAGCGAATCCCGTCCTGCTCCCCTTCGCCTGGGCTACACTGCCCCCAACTTCCAAGCCGAGACCACCCACGGCCCCATCGACTTCCACGAGTTCATCGGCAACAACGTAGGTCTTGCAAGCACGATAAGACCATGCACCAACATTTGCTGACCTTTGCGCCAGTGGGTCGTGCTCTTCTCGCATCCCGAGGACTTTACGCCGGTGTAAGAGGCATGCACGTCACCGTTTCTCGCACGGCGCTGACCACGAATCCATAGCTGCACCACGGAGCTCGGCGCATTCGCCAAACTCGAGCCCGAGTTCACCAAGAGAGGGGTCAAGCTCATCGGCCTCAGCGCCAACACGATTGAGAAGCACGGCCAATGGATTGAGGACATCAACGAGATCTCCGGCAGCAAGCTTAGCTTCCCCATCATCGGTGACAAGCAGCGCCAGGTCGCCTTGCTCTATGACATGTACGCATCCCAGAGTCTGTGTCCAAATGAAGCAGACACAGTTGTTCTGACTACTCGGCAGGATCGACCACCAGGACGCCACCAACGTGGACGAGAAGGGCATTGCTTTCACCATCCGCAGCGTCTTCATCATCGACCCCAAGAAGAGCATCCGTCTGATCCTCTCTTACCCCGCCAGCACCGGCCGCAACACCGCCGAGGTCCTGCGCGTGGTCGACTCGCTGCAGACCGGCGACAAGCACAAGGTTACCACGCCGATTAACTGGCTCCCGGGTGAGTGGTCGCACTGCTTTGTAATGGCACGTCTCATTGAGCTCGATGGCTAATTCTTGTTCATAGGTGACGACGTGATTGTGCACCCCAGCGTCAAGACCGAGGATGCAAAGAACCTCTTCCCCAAGATGACCATCGTGAAGCCCTATCTCCGCTTCACCCCGCTGCCGCGTGACCAGACCTCTGCGGCTGTGTGACTCGATTGGACATACCGGACCGTGTGGGAAATGGAGTGGGGCAAGGTTGTGGGCGACGCTGGATATTGAGCCAAAGACTAGCTGCGGCTGCATCTGCAGAGCCGGGGAATTTGCAAAGCGAGGGTATCTTGGATCTCCCATGAGCGTGATAGAGCTGTTAGCAGAGGACCTCATGATTCATGCACACCAGGCTGCATCCCTGCTTTCCACCCGCCCTGCCGTCAGTCTCTCGTTGAGTACGAAATTCGGGGTCGAGCTGTCTGCAATCCTGGTTGGACGACCCCTGTCGGAGGGCAATTGATTTGTTATGTATTCTCCGCATCTCAACGATGGAGGTGTGGGGCTCGGTAAGATCGACCAACCCTGCCGAATCGCCCTTGCATTTCGACGCCAAGGCCTGATATGGAAGACGGGAAAAATTCCAGTCTACATCACACCACACTCCCTCGCGTGCCCTCGTGTGTATCGCGACTCGAAACCCAACCGGCGGCGGCAATCTAACGAGACTCTCAAAGCCCGCGTGGCTTCGACACCAGCATTGCTATCTCAAAGGTATGTAAGCGTGTGGCGTTCTTGCTTGCCAGCAGCGGGGATTTGAATGGGCGTTCGCTTGGATCAATGGATTCTCCGGCAGATTGGCATCGCGCGCTGCGTGCATGCTGCATGAGGACCTCTACTCTTCGCGAGGTAATCTTGGGTGCCGCACCTCCCCGAGACTAGCCAGCATCGCGGCTGGGCCGGTGGGAGTCGTTTGCACGCGGACACGCCTCCGGAACCTCTGCTGCTCCCATCCATCCTGCCCGCTTCCCCGTCCTTGATCACTCCGTTTGCATCGTCTTTTCTTGCTCTTTCCCCCCCTCTATCCCAACATTCCACTCGTATTCTTAATGAACATCACTACTCTCGAACCGATCGGCATCTCGCTGACCTCAGATGGCCTCCACTCTAGGTGTCTCGCCAAGCACTGTCCACATACCCGGCGGCCACTCTCCGGATGATCTAACACGTCACTCCTTCAACAAGTCGCAGCAGACGATCGCCGGTCCTGGAGGCTCATCTTGTTCAAGCAGCGCCGTCCCGTCACAGTATCAACAAACCCATCCGTCCAAGTATCCTAAGCCACTCTCGAGCAGAGTCGTCGTCACCAGCAAACGCGTCAGAGCCGAGTCTAGCCCGTCTCAGGCCATATCCATCGACTCGTCGACACCACTCCCACCCGGCTCGACATCTGCGACACCTGCCAGGGTAGTTTCGAGTCCAGTCTTGGGATCGACAGATGCGCGAGACACCGGCACAGCACGTCTGAGACCGAAACATATCCCGATCGTGATACCGGAATATGAAATCCTGACAAACCCGACGACCGCATCACGATCCGGTTCTTTTTCATCCTGGCTTTCCAATGAGGGCGTACCTTTGACTGCATCGGAATTCCTAGCAAGTATCAGCCAACGCTCGTTCGACAGCTCCCCTCCCAGGCACGTCGAGATTCAAATCCCAAGTTTCGCACAGCCCGTGCTGAAGCAGTGTAGCAGCACTTCTCCAAGAGTCAGCTCAACTTCGACTGGGCCAACGGCATCTGGCGATAGGGCCAACGTTGTTGACCGAAGAGATAGTATGGATTCCAGGACGCCTGTGGTCGCCTCGAATCAGGGCAAGGCAGCCAATGGCAGCTTTCAATCATATTATACCACTGCCAACAGCAGTCAATCCAGCCTGGGTAGTCATCAGGAGGACTATGAGTCTACTTCTGAGGTTGAGTCGGGCTACGAGGATGATGCCGGCTCGCATGTTGCCTCACAAACCACTGGCGCAGCGCATCCCGGCCATTCCCACACCACGTCCACTCCTCTGATGTCCAACATTGCAGGTCTGGCATGCACTACTCACCGCACCACGGGCCAGGAACCCCATCCCCTCGTGGGTGCCACCACTACCATCCTGGGGGACAAGCTCTACGTCTTCGGCGGTCGCAGACTCTCGAGGATGAAGCCGCAGCTGACATCGAACTTGTACGAGCTTGACCTTCTCAAGCGACATTGGACGAAACTAGAGACCGGCGGTGACATCCCGCCGGCGCGATATTTTCACAGTGTATGCGCGCTTGGAGACACAAAACTGGTCTGCTATGGAGGGATGTCGCCGTCTCCCGCTGCGGTCGAAAGCAACGGCGAAGCTCCGCCGGAGGTGATTGTGATGTCCGACATTCACATCTTTGACGTCCCTACCAAGACCTGGATGAAGATCAACACGCCCGACCCTCCTCAAGGACGATATGCGCATTGCGCCGCCATTCTCCCATCCTCGGCAGTCTTTGCGTCAGCGAGTGCACCACTCTCCGGTATACATCACAATTTGCCGGGCGGCAACCCACACCAAGGATCGCTGGGGGTCACGCTTGACGGTGCTGGGGGCGCGGAAATGGTCGTCGTGGGTGGCCAGGACAGCGCGAACCACTACATCGAGCAAGTCAGTGTCTTTAACCTCCGGAGCCTAAAATGGACCGGAACCACTAGCATGGGACGCAGTTGCGGTGCATATAGGAGCGTTGTGACTCCGCTCACGACGTTGAGTGCGTCCCAAATCGGTGGCGGTCCACATGCCAAGAACGAACTGGACGAAGATGATGACGAGCCGACGACGGTCGGCTCTGGCTCTCCGATGCTGATCTATTCGAATTACAACTTCTTAGACGTCAAGTTGGAGTTGCAAGTTCGTCTGCCTGACGGTACCTTGACGGAGAAGAAGATGCAGACCAACGTGTCCCCGCCTGGCTTGCGATTCCCAAACGGCGGTGTCCTAGCAAATCACTTTGTTGTGTCGGGCACTTTCTTGACATCGTCGAAACAAGAGTACGCTCTCTGGGCACTCGACCTTCGAACGCTGACCTGGAGTCGCGTTGATGTCGGCGGGGGCATCTTCAGCCGGGGCAGTTGGAACAGAGGCGTGCTCTGGAGTCGCCGCAACACTTTTGTGATTCTGGGGAATCGCAAGCGCAGCTTGGTGGATGATTATAACAATCGCCGCATCAACTTCTCCAACCTATGTCTGGTAGAGTTGGAGATATTTGGCATGTACGACAATCCGCGACGGACCTCTCCAATGTCGGGATTCGTGTCGGGAAGCACGCCATTCTCTCCCGAAGAAAGTAGTGTCTGCGCTGTTGGAAGGACACTCTCACCTGCTGCTGAGGATCTGGGGCTTGCATCGATGAATGTCAGTGAGCTGGCAGACATGGATTTCCTCGCAATCGACGGTACTCGGATTGCCGTCAATTCCAGACTGATCGCGAGGCGATGGGGCCCTCACTTTACAAATCTACTCAAAGAATCGCTCGCCATGTCTAACGAGACGGACACCGCGACCTTACGACCCAGCGTTTCCGGCCACCCATCCCGCAATTCCATCGTCACCATCACTCCCTCCGTGACCTCGACCAACACCACCCTCACAGCCAATTCAGCATCCGAAGTCTTCGATCCGCGATCCGCACCACCCATGTCCCGCCCACGACTCTTCTACCTCCCGCACACGGCACCGACCCTACAGGCTCTCCTCCATTACCTTTACACCTCCACCCTCCCCGCAGCTGGGAACCCTCTCGCCACCCCTCAGATCTTCTGCTCACTCCTCCAGCTCGCGCGTCCATACAAAATCGATGGCCTACTCGAAGCCACCTTAGAACGCCTGCACGAATTCCTCGACGGCGCCAACGCCGTCGCCTTGTTCAACGCAGCCGCCATGGGCGCCGGAGGCGGCGAAGGAGTCCAGTTCGCCCCATCCTCCGCCACCTTCCGGGATAGCGCGATCCCGCTCCGCGGCGCCAGTCTCGACGCCACGTCTATCGTCAACGGCGGCAGCACGAGCAGCAACAACAGCAGCCGCGCCACCTCCGCCCTGCGCATCGACACCGACATGGCGAACGGCAGGTCCACGCGCAACACCCTCCGGCCGCACGCGCCGTTCGGCCAGTCCGCCGCGCTGGCGGAAGACAGCGACGACGAAGTGCCCGACAGCGCCAATACGGATACCAGCCTTAGCGACTTCGAGAGCAGTTCGCGCGGCGGCTTGCTGTCTGCTCGCACCGAGAGGCAGGCCGAGATTTGGCGGGGGACGTTGAGTGCTGTTGTTGGGTTGCAGAAGCGGGGGTTGAGGGGGTTGATGGAAGGGAGGAGGATTAGGGAGAGGGGGGTGCATGAGGGGAAGGTTGGGCTTGGGATTGCGTAGCAAAGTGAGTCCAGACGTATGTTTGCACGGCGTGCAATAACGGAAAAAGGTTGGGCGGGGACTGCGTGCTGCACGTTAATGCCGGTTGTTGCCCGCTGCTTCCAACGACTTTTGTAGCGACTTAGATTCACCCGCTCTCCCACGAGTCTTTGCAGGTATCGACGACAGATCTTCAATGAGACCATGCCACTAATCGCGCTCTATAATGCGTGCTGCACTGACACTCTATTGATAGTAATAATCCGGTCCCCCTCCTCCACCTCCACTTCCCCCTCCTCCCTCTCCACCACTCCCGCCAGACGCCCAGGGCCCAGAGAGGCCAGGGGAAAAGGCCTCGTGCACCAAATTCCGCAAGTCCTCGTGCGCGGTGTAGTGCTCGATTTGCTGCTCCTGGTAGTCCATCGAGCCAAACGCGCTACTCGGCCCGGCATGGGCGCCAGCACTGGACTCCTGCTGGCCTTGCTGCTGCTGCTCCCCCGCCTCACCCGCCGCATCGTCCGGCGACAGCTCCTCTTCCTTTTCGTAGTTGGATCGAATAGTCGACTGCCTACTGACTGCAAACGCCGTCGCAGACGGCACATGTGAGCGCGAAGAAGCAGCGGCAGCGGTAGCGTGGTGGGGCGGGAAGGGGTTCTGCAAGAGAGAAGGGGAGGACGTACGCTCCAGCCCGTCTTGGGAGAAGACGCGGCGCACGAGGTCCTGGAGGACGCGGCGGCGCACGACGTCCGAGTGGCAGTGCGATTTCTCCGCCAGGATGGCGGCTGCTTCTTGGCAGGCGGTGAAGTCTGCTTCGGCGGAGTAGCCGATTGCTGAGAGGGTGCCGGATTGGCTGCGGAGGAGGGTCGTGCGGTAGAGGGGTGTTAGCGCGGCGACTGGGAGGGTTAAGAGTTAGCGTGCATCTTTGCTGCTGGGGTACAGTATTGCACGTACTGAAAATTGTGCAGGGCGGGACGGCTGGGTTGGCGTTCAGGAAGGCGCAAGCGCGTTTGTACGTGCTCATCACGCGGAGGAGGCCTGCGGCGGCTTCGGTGGCGATCTGGAGGGATAGGGCGAACTGGGGATCGGTGCGAGAGAGCGTGACGCCGGGGCGGTGGATGAGCCAGCGAATATAGTAGTACCTGTGTGATGCCAGTGTTAGTGGCTGATTGCCTGCCCGATGAGGCTGCATATCCTGATGACACTGACAGTATTTGCTCGTGGGCGTAAGAGGCGAGGATGGCCAGTTCAGCAGGATCCTCAGTATCGGGATCGGGGATGTCGTCTGGAAGACCATCAGTCAAGACTCGACGCGCAGGAACTGATGCACTCGACTCACCAGGCGTCTCTTCGAAACTAAAGTCCAGCTGATCAAGCAAATGCTCGCAGCAGAGACGATTCTCGTGCACGTCAGCGCGGGCTTTACGGCGGTCAGGTTGAAAATGGCCTACCATCTGCTCGATGCGAGTCGACGCATGCTTTCTTTTGTTGTGCGAGTAGAGGACGTCCAGAACGCGGGACAGGATGCGGGAAAGCCTGCATACTGAGACGAAGCGGTGGATCTTGCTTCGGCCCGGGATAGATTGCCGGATTTCGGTGGTGGTGAGCTGCTCGTCGTCTACGTCTGTAGGCTCTAGGACGGTGATGTCCACCTCGTGCAGAGCCCGCGGTAGGCCCTAGTGATAAACGTGAGCGATTTGACAAACAAAGGGCTACAGAGACGCATAAGGGCCGCGCCTACCTCGACGGAACTATTGAAAAGATCTACAGCTCTTTCGTCAGTCACATGATCCCCGACAGCGAAAATTGCCAGGCCATACGTACGCAGCATGAAGACACACCAAAACACGCGCCGACGCATCTCGGTCTCCAGAGGATTACCGGCAAAAGCAGCGCCGTCGTGATGCAGTCCGCACTCCAGCGCCTTCGTATTAGCCATGGCACTCACTCGCATCGCCTCACTCCGCTGCCGCAGCAAAACCAAAGCGTAGGAGTGTAGAGCAAAGGTTTGCAATCGAGACAGGCCATCTCTTCGCGTGTGCAGGGCCGTGTAGAAGCAGCGGACTCCAGTCTGCAGGCCGCGAATCTGGTTTTGGGTGCGCTGCTCGAAGGTCACCTGGAAATTGAAGCAATGCCCGATGGAGAGGGTGAGATAGAACTGCGCCAGGACCTCGTAATAATCGATGCCGATGCTCTCGAGGGAATATAATTCGTCGACGACTTGCACGAACGTAGGTCGGTGGAGGATGGGGAAGATTCGCTCGGTGAACTTGAAGAAATCGTCGAAGACCTGTGATCATAATGTCTGAGTGGGAGTCACTTTCTGTGGACAGAGAGTTACCGCGCGTACCTTGTCGACCGCCTCTCGTGGTGGTAGGTTGGTAGGGACTACCTCCCACAGCAATTGGTCTGTCGCGGCGAGCGCACGAGCACGGGAGAAGTCGTCGATACTAAACAAGCTGTAGTAGTCCTGGTCGGCAGGCTGGTCGTCGTCCATGATTTCTTGTAAAATCCTGGCGGCGAACCCGACGCCGGAGGAGGGGCCCATGTAGCGAGTGAAGCCATCTTCGTCAATTACATGCGTGCCGAGCTCCTTCAGGACGGTCCAGTCGGGCAGACTTCGCTTCTTCGGATGGCCGCCGGGACTCTGCGAGGAGGAATCGATGCTCTGGAGCCGCGCCTTGCCATACGGACTGTTCCTCGAGTCCGATGCTTTCACTAGAGTCAACATGGAACGGTGCACGATACTCTTTGTCTCGTTGAGGCAAGGCTGCGACTGACCTTGCGGCGACCAGGCGGAGTCGCGCTGGCCCTCGAGCTGCCTGATGCGCTCCTCTAGATATTGCACGTAGGAGCGAGGGGTGGAGTGCTTCGACAGGCGGGCACGCGTCTCGCAGGGGAGGTTGGCGCGGCGACAATTACCGCACTGCACGATGATGACGATTAGCTGCACATGCTGAGGTGGAAGGTAGCGGAAGGAGCATTTACCGGACGTTGGCCCTGATGAAGCGAATCACATGATCAGTATGGAAGGCTCGCGCGCGCGCAACGGTCAGCACCGGGGGGGTTGGGTGATGATGTATACATCGCACTTGATCTTTCTGCAGCGCCGAGTCAGTGGGAAGGGTAGGTGCAGGCGTGGTGGGGGAGGGGATGGGTGGCAGCCTTACTTCCACCGACAACGGTCGCAGACTTGCACAAACGGCGAGGGGACGGTCAGGTTGCCGCGGCCCTGCGACTGCTCGGCCATTTCATTTGCCAGCAGAGGGACGAGGGTGACGCGGACGGGGAGAGGAGGGGGATGGCATTGGGTGCGTATTACGATGGAGGGTTCAATGGCGTGTGTCGCCAACTTTTCGCAGAGGCATATCTAATCTCCTCAACTCCGTGACTGCGACCCTCTCCGCCCGAACACCAAGAAGTCGACGCTGCCAGTCCTCTGCGAGGCTCGCGCCAAGCCACGGCGGTGCGGAAGCGCCACACAAACTGCGCGCCTGGACTCTGCGTCGACCGTGTCAAGCCACAGTCGGCTGCCGCGCGACAGCAAGGCCATGCTCGACGGGTGGCAGGGTGAGCAGTGGTGTCGTGGTGCGCGGTCCTTCACTGTTTTTAAGGTTTCATTCACGCCGAAGCCCCGAAGGCGGCAGGTGCGAAGCACTTCGGCCTGTCGGCAGCTCGGGGCCGCCTTGCGCTTGCCTGATTTGCTGACGTCAAACGTCCGGTAATAATAGCTCGCGCCCTGAGCAAAAAATCACAGTATTGCGCCATCCAACCATGCACTCGGCAGCCGGCAGATCTGCCTCTGATCAGCGTTGATATGAGGACTGTAAGAAACATCTGCATCTCGGGCGACACATGCCCGAGGAGATGAGCATCAGGGAGCGGTGCGGACCATGCGCTGCCTCGAGTCAGCAACCTGCTCATCTTTGCACATTCCTCCTGTGGTACTGCTGATGAAACGAGGAAAAATTTCATCCTTGACGCCTTGGCTGCAGTCTGGACTCCCACCGCCCTCGCCCATGACGCTGCATGGCGGCGCCGGCATGATTGCCATGGTAATACCTCGTAAGGCTGCCCGTCACTTACATCATTTCCCACCTGCATCTCAACCACGCCAAGAAAAGGAAGGAAAAATGGAAGGAGATTGATGGCTTCCACGATGATTCCACAGATCGATCCACGTTCTCGGAAGGCGCCACGCGGCGATCGTCCTCCGACCCACCATGCCATGCTGTTGGATCCTGCCAAAAGTATGGAATGAGTCCCTTTGCGCAGATCATCGCAGAACTCTCGGGCGCATCTGGCGACCTGTCCGCACAATTCTCGGGCGCGCCACACCACGCTACGCCACGGCCAGGGTGACTCTTGTGTCATGGGCAGACGACCAGTACAGTAAAGTCCCAACAAGGCAAGTGCAACTGGTATTCGCATGCATGATGGACTAGTGCTCCATCACTAGCCGCACACCAGGTGGATGAACGTTTTGCCTGAGGTGCTTGCACTGTGCTCTCTATACCACACAGTACCAGTGTACCTACAACGAGCTTTGGGAGAAGAGCTTACGTATGCCTCCCTCCTCCCTACGCTGTCAAGCCCTGGCTAGCGCCGAATGGAAGAGCCTGACGTCTGTATGACAGCTTCCAACTGCACGACGAAGCTCTGAATTTGCCATCGGACGCGCCATTTCTGCTCGCCGTCAGGGGGCCGGCATTGGATCACGTTATCAAGTATCAGTGCATAGTACTTGGTACCTGAAGCCACGGAAGCCACGAAGCCAAGCCGTGCGGCAAGGGCGCTGCCCTAACAGCATCAGACGAAGATGTGGCAATGTGGCGGGGAAGAAGGCAAAGTGGCCACCCAGGTGTGACGAAGGGGTGAGGCATACGTATGTCCCGTACGCGTAGGCAGCTCAGGTGCTGCATGTAGCCTCGTAGCCGTCTTTCGAGTCCATTGGCTTCGCGCCGGCGAGTGGAGAGTTAAGTTGCAGCGCGGTCGAGGTCTAGACTGTTCGAAAACTGCTCATATCCATCGCGCTGACGTCGCCATTCCGCAAAAGTTCGCCTGACTGGGGGCGTGTGCGCGTTGCCAGCAGCAGCGCAAGGTGGGGTGCAGACAACGATCCGCAATATCCGCCGCGCTAGGGCTTGCAGATGAGGCCGCGAGGTGGCGTTGATGCGTTCGGTCACGTTGCTTGATTCAGCAAGTAAGGCTTGTTGGGCTGACTCTTTTCCTTTTCTTCCTTCAAGCCATACCGTTCCACACCGGCAAGACTTGCTTGCAATCCACGTGTTGCCTCTACCACCAACTGACCCACACCCACGATCTACACAGTGTGGGCCGCATTGGACATCGCGCGCGCATTCATTCCATTCTCAGTCAGAGCCGGCGAGGGTTGGGTCGCATCGCACCCTCTCGATGTCCGTCACCAGGGTTCTTGAGCGTCAATGGACACACTTGTACTTCCGACCAACGCACTTGCTACATATGAGGTAATAAGCTTTGGTACCATGGTCGAGCAGCGCTCCACTACAGCAGCAATAGAGTTCGACAGGCTCATCAACGGTCGGACTCCACCAGCGACGCAAAGGCGCGAAGAGGTCCGCCGCCATGAGAACCTCGCTTCTGTGCTGCACTACCAGTACAGTGTACACCACGCACACGCTGCCTCCCTTCCCCTACCGTGAACAGCGACTCTTCGCTTGCTCTGGAGCTCCAGGGGTTGATGGGCGGTGCGGTAAAAGACGGAGTAAGGCATCAGGCTACGCAAGCTCCTGCCTCCTCATCATCCGTCTCATCTCCCTGCAGATGATAAAGTTCCACCCAGATCCAGTGGCTTGTTCGGCTGAGACAAGCTTTTACGGCGCCGGCTTTGCGGCCGGAGTTCAGGCGACGGTCACGCCAGCCCTTCGTACAGCTACATCATATCGCGCCGTTCCCCCCCCACCCACCCCTCTGCCCAACCAGAAGCTTTTGCCGGACATACACGATGCATGGGGCTCTTCTCTCATCTCACAATCAAACTTCGCCTCGGCAATTGGCTCCGGTGCGCCACAAAGCTTGTAGTTGACTCGTACTGGCTGCCAGGGTTGTCGACCTGCATGCGCTATAAATCCGCCGATTCGCGGCCGGCCCCCCGTGATCACGCGTGTGCGATTCTACTGTTTATTCTGCCTGCTGGCCCCCAAGGAATGCTGAATTCCCCTTGACCGCCTCCCTCCACGACATGGGCGGTTTCGCTGTTGCTGCTGCTGCAACACTTCCTTAGACATTCCTGGCCCCAACGTCCCATACCATCACCTTAGACACCCCAGCTCCAACAACATCGCTCCCAATGCCGGACCCGGAAGTCGACGGCAGTGTGCGGTCTTACCAGTTCGTCTCCGACCCGGAGTATAAGGAGAACCTGTCGGGGAGAGTCCGCGCTGCGTGCATTACATGCCGGCGCAAGAAGATCAGATGCAGTGGAGAAGTGCCATGTCAGACGTGTAAAGAGAGAGGGGTGGTGTGCGAGGGTCTGACGCAGCGCAAACGCCCCCACAAGGGAACGATCAAGGACAGTCGCAAGGCCCGCGATGCATCGGCCCACTCCCGGCAGGATTCCTCCAAGGCTTGGAGCACGGGCAACGGAAGGAAAAGCTCGGGGGACACGATGTCCGACGAAGGTACTGGCAACGAAGATCCATCACGCCACAGCTCTCGACGACCGTCGGTGAATCTCGAAAAGCTTCACGCCCTTGCTGGTGACTCCGGCTATGCCAGTGGGAAGCAGTCGAGCCCTGGCAACTCGAGCCCGGCCCTGGCTGCAACACATATGCGCACGTTCTCCCAGAGCGGGCCAACATCATTCAATGAGCCCCACGCTCCCAACCATGTGCGCATGAGGACGCTGGATTGGGCTGGGCCAGCCCGAAGCCGCCTGCAGAGCTACATAGGCGAGCTTTCGCCAGTCACTCAGCCACTTGCCTCCATCTCGTTGAACGGCTCGACAGACTGGTCGGAGGCGCGAGACAGAATGGACTGGTGGAGCAGCGACTCTAACAACGAAGACAACTCCAACAAGCTCCTCTCCGCCGCCCGGATGCTCGAGGCGCAGGCCCAGTCCCTACGCCAGCTTGCTTCGGAGCAGAACGGAGACGCAGAGGGTGATACTAGACGACGCACCGTCGTCCTGCCGCTGACCTCCGAGGACCGGAATGTTGCCCAGGACACCTTCCAATACTACTCGCAAAGCGCCTTCGACGATCTCGCCTTGCTCTCCGATCGTCCCCACGGCGCCGGCACAGGTCTCACGCCTCGCACTGGCCTCACGCCAGGCACCGGCCTTACGCCTTACGCGACGGACAACAACACCTCGTACTTTGACATTCCCTTCGAATACGGGAAGCACCTCTCACCCACGCAGGTGCCCGTGTCGATGCCGAGCGATCCGACTCGCGACACCCACGCATCAAAGGCGTCAGACGCGTGGCCGAACTACGCGACGAGCAGGAGCAGCGTGCAGCAGGGGCTCGACACTTCTGCGAGCGGCACCGCCGGCCTGGCGAAGTCGTGGACATTCCCACCACCCACCGGGTCCGATGCCCCTCGACGCTCCTTCGACCAGCACGCGCCGTGGCCTAGATGATTCGAGCCGATCACTTCCCATCCCTACCCTCCTCCCGGCGAGTGCCGGACACGACGTGGTCAGATTCGGACATTGCATAGTCAGCAGCAAGGCAACGTGAAGCGAAGCGCCGGCGCCGGCGCCGTCTCGCGGAACATTCCAGCCGCCAACAGGGATTGCAACATGTCGCGCCCGCAATTCCGGCGCACTCTCCTCAACGCCTAGCCTCTCAGTCACATGCAGGCCACAACGACAAAAGAGCAAGGGCATATAACCGCGTCGAAGGGCCCATGAAGGTCTCGGCCCCCCACAATCCCATCAGCAGCACAGACACACCTTCCTAATTCTGAAAAGATCGATACTGTACCTACGCTGGAGTTACCATGTCGGCGGGTCGGCGGAGCCAGGGGCGGGCGGGGGGGGCCAAAGGGGCCGCAAATGTACTTGTAATAACTTATGTCAGCGACCGGCAGCTTTAGCGATATTGGTTTCTTCGTCGTATCCGCGATGTTGTTTTCGTTTGACTTATCTGATTCGAAAAAGTTGATCTGAATGCAGGGTTCGCGACACGGTGGTAATCGTTGACTCAGGCTCCTCAGCCACACCGCCCGCATGCAACGCCCACGCTTCCCGCGCGAGCAAAAAAGGCTTGTTTTTCGCCCTGCATGGGGATGACTACAGTACCGGCCCCCAGCTTCGGAACGACGGAATTCTGCTTTGCGGGCAAGGGAGTGTCGATCAGTCGTTTTCCGCGGTCCAGCACGTCGGTCTGGATCTTTTGCGTCAGGCTGCGGCAATTTCTCGGCTTTTGCGAGGGCCCTGCGAGGACCCTGATTGCTGTGGTTTTGCGCGGGGAGACGGGGACCCGGTTTTACGACACTTGCCATCCCTCCCTCCGTGGGGATTGGACTGGCGGTTTTCTGGGTCGAGGGGAAGCGACACAATGGGAAGGGATCATCGCTCCGATAGCATGGGAATGCAAAAGGCAGGGATCGTCGGTGATGTCATCTGTATGGATAGGTGGTGCTTCGACGACCTTGCCTCACTCGAGTCAGACGAGGGCATGGGCTCCAGAAGACCGGGAGGCTCCATCGTGTTGATCGTCGTCTGCCGTTCTGTACAATATAGATTTCATGTATGCTCGACGTCATTGTCGTGTCGCTGTTCTCGGTATACGGCGTCGAGGGCTTAGCTCGAATCCTCGAGCACCTCAGGCTCAGGCTCATCCTCGACCTCACTCTCACTTCTCCGCGCAGCCCTTGTCTGCCTCTTACGTCGTCCCTTCGCCGTCCCTTTGCCACCGCCCTTCTTTTGGGACGCACCCGTGGCCACGACCCCTCCATCACCCACACCCTCACCCCGAGTCACGCCAGCATCCCCACCACGACTCTTCCTGGCCTTTTCCGCCATCCTTGTCAACGCACTCCCCATCCTCTTCGACCCTTCGCCCATCCTCTTTCTGGGAGCAAACGCGTCACCACCGCCGGCCGCCGACCTCTTCTCCGCCCCAGCCGCTCCGATCCCCACTCCACCCTCAAAGAAGGCCGTGATGTTACTCTGCGTCCCTTCGTCCGCACGGCGATTCATGTCCTTGATGACCGGTACGAGCACCTCGTCCGTCCGCTCCTGACTCCACCCAATCGTCGCCATGAGGAAGCTACGCAGTGCGTCCAAGTCCGGCACGCCCCACTGGAAGGCTTCAGGGTTCGAGTCGACTTCCGGCTCGCGGTATGCCACGTCCACTCTCGTGTCGGGGAAGCTAGGAGGCAGGAACAGCTTCGTGGCGTTCTTGCGGAACTTCTTGCGGAAGGCGTTGTTCGCGTCCGCGGACTTTGGAATTGCGTTCATCTGCACGCCGCTCCACCAGTCTTTGAATTCTTGGAGGGTGGGAAACTCGCTGATGACTTCCAAGGCCGTGACAGGGCCGACGCCGGGGAGGCCCTCGGTGTAGTCTGAGCCTAGAAGGTGAGCGACAGAGATGAGCTTCTCGCGCGTGAGGTCGAATTCCTTCTCGAGGTCGGAGGTAAGGTAGCACTCGACAAACTTGGCCTGGTTGAACATGTTTTTGTAGATACGCGTGCCGCCGAAAAGGAAGCAATCAGAGTCGTCGGTGACAATACCATCGACGAGCCCGAGGCGGACGAGTTCGGCGCACTGCGCTTCGGCTTCCATTGGGGCAGTGACATACGGTAGGCCGAAGAGGCGGAGAAGCTGCTGGCATTCCGAGATCATAATGTGCGTGACTTCGTCGGCGTCTCTCCTGTCTTTCTTTTGTTGATTGCGGAGCTGCTTCAGCTCCGTCTCGTAGTCGGCGATGTTCTGCGCCTGCGACTTGTTGTTCAGAGTGCTGGCGAAGCGCGCGTGCTCTTCTGCCTCGGTGGCAAGGTGTCGAAGGAGCTCTTCGTCTTCGGGGTCGGAGAAGTCGTCAAACTCCACCAGCTCTACGCCTTCGGGTAGTGACTCTTGGTGGACGAGGCCTGAAGCCGGTACGGGCCCGCTGGTAGACTCATGTTCCTCCTCGTCGCTGACGGATGCCGGGCGAGGTGACTTCGCGTTGTCTGGGATCGCCACGTCCTCGAAATCTGCAGATGGTGATCGTGATGCTTGTTGATCCTCTTGGAGACTGGCTTTCTTCTGCCGATCATCTTGACCCTTGTGTCGTTCGCCATCTCGCTCGTCTTCGCTCTCGCTCCAATCAAGCGGCTGTTCCACGTCTTCATTATTACCGTCTTCCATACGTGTGTCTAGCGGCAGGGCGGGCGGCGAGATTTCAGCAGTGGGGCTCGCTGCTGCTATTCCATTCTCCGGCTGTTCAACATGCGTTCCTGGGCTTCCCGCAACGCGTGCATCCGGCCGATCTCCATTCTCCATTGACGGTGGTTCAACCCGCACTTTGTCCGCCATGTCGCCCATCCGTATAGTTGGATCGAATAGCTGACCACCGTCTTGCTCACTGTCGTCAGCCTCAAGGTCGATAACCTCTCTCTTCTGAAACGAGGTATTATTCTCCTCGGCATCGAGATCAATAACTTCAGCAGTCTTCCTGATCGAGCCGCCATCTCCTCGATCATCGAACCGAAACTGCTCCCTCAGGCGCCTCGCCTTTTCCAGGTCTTCCTTCTCCAGCAGTTTCTGCTTCTGAAGGCCTTCCTCTACATCCGCAGAAAACCAAGGAGGCAAAGGCTCAGCACTCTTCTTCTGCTCCTTTTCCGCGAGGTCGGGATTGATGAAGCCGCCCGCAGCCTCCTCGGTTCGCTCTTGCATCTTCTTCTTGCCTAGCAAGGATGATCCCAAATCGAGTTTTTCGAAGGGTAGCGGCCCCGAGAATCCAGCCTGCTTTGCAATGCTCGTCGCCGAGGGTTTCGCTGGAGGAGCGGGCATTGGTTGTCGTTTCGGCGAGCTAGCTTTGCGTTTGGTCCTTCGGCTCTCTGCCAACGCGGCTTGCAGGTCCAGAGTGTCTCCATCGTCGTCATCCATGTCAACGGTGTTCTCGGCACTGAGCAGTCTTGGAACGCCAAAAGACGTGATTTCCCGGCTGTCAGGCGCAGAGTCGAATGCGCGCTTATTGACCATATTCGCGATTGCTCTGCCGCTGCCTTTTGGCAAGGGTAGAGCTTCAGGAGCGGCCGTCTGCTGGAACACTTCAACCATATCGTCGTCCTCGGCGCTTGGTGGAGGTGAAGGCTCCTCTTCTCCACGCGCTGGCCGATTTTGCTCAAGAGACATGGCGATTGCGCGGCGGAGATCTTCGTCATCTTCGCCTGCCTCTTCCCCATTTCCTTCATTAAGCATTTCTCCGTACAGCTCAGCGTTGCCGCTGACGTCCTCCCATTCCTCCTGGACATCTTCCGATGGCTCCTCAGGAACGAAGAGCGAATTCGACTCTGTCCTCGGCTTCGACTTTCTGGCTCCACCCGTTCGCCTTGATTTATAGAAGGCTCGCCTTTGTTTAAGCAACGGGTCATCGTTTGGTGATTCTGCTCTCGGCCGTTTCGGCAACCTGTTCAATCCCTCGATGGGCACGTCTTCGAACTCATCTTCATCCTCCCATTCCTCGTCTTGCTTCACGACAGGCGCAGGCTTGTCCAAATCAATGGCAGTCTCTTGCTTCGTGCCCTCGTCGCTGATCACACCCAGCGCCCATCCGCCTTCTACACCATCATTCTTCACCAAAACATACTCCCTCCCCTTCTCTCCCGCAACACGTCCGCCGCCGTTGAACAAAGCATCTCCGCTCTCGTTGAGGTGCATAAGTCTCTGCGTCAATTCGTTCCGCTCCGTAACTCGTTCAATCTGAAACTTCGAAAAAGCCATGCGATCCGGAAACATGTCGTCCAGCTGTTCCTTGGAGTGACCCATCCGTAATCTGCTTCTCAATCGCGCAGCGTTGAGAATATTATACCGATCGGAAGCGGGAAGGGAGACGAAAAAGGCAGAGTCGTAGTCGATCTTGGAGAAGTCATAGACGTTGATGTCCTCGCCCGTCTCGAATTGTCTCGCATAAGCCTGCAAGTCTTCCAACGACATGACGCGAGGATCGTTCGGCCCGCCCATCTCGGCCATGCTGACGTCAAGGTCGGGCAAATGGTATGCATCCTTCTTCTTGAACTTCCGACTCTGCTGTCGTTCCTTTTGGCTCATGCCAATCTCGTCCACGTACACCAAGGCATCGTCAGGTACCGCTTCCTCCTCTTGCTCCGCTGCTCGCTGGGGCCTACTCTTTCTCTTCTCCTCATCCTCCTCCGCCCGTCTTTGCATCTGCACCGCCAAAAGCTTCCCAGCCGTTCGAACAGCATCTTCCCGCCTGCCCTCCCTCCGCCTCTTCCTGTCACTGACCGTCTGCCTCTTCAACACCGGCGCACCCCCATCGAAGACAAACACCGGCTTGATACCAAAGAAGAGCAATTTGCAGATCCGGCGAAAGAAGCCGACGACGTGGCTGTTGCGCAGGGCGTTGCCTTCTTTGTCACGAACGGCCTTGAGAAACTGGTAGATCCAGATGCTGGCGTCGACGGCCAGGCGTTTGCGGTTGAGCGTCTCGAGTTTGATGGGGCGAGCGCATGGGTGCAGAATCTGCCATAGGCCGGTGACTCCCATCTTGCATGGGTGGGATGTACCGGCCTTGGAGGTGCAGTCGTGTGCGACTGTCGTAGATTGTGGAAGTCAGACGTGACTCGAACATGAAGTGGTGAAGGCGGGCGAATGATGATGTAATCAAGATCCGCCAAAGTTTCGCGAAAGTCACGTGCAACGTTCGCCCAAAGATAGGAAGCTTGGGCCGATCTCGGACGCATGTTGTGAATTTATTTGAATGTCCATTGCACCTTAACTCGACTCTTCATGGCTGCTGCAAGGACACTGAGAATAGGTCGGTGGTATTTCCGCGCGTGTGCTTGCCTCGACTTTACAAATTGACGTGTATACAGGCCTCATCCCAGGCGACGGCATTGGCCGTGAGGTCATCCCCGCCGGTCGACGAATCCTCGAAGCTCTTCCCGCCTCCTTGGGCCTGAAGTTCTCCTTTGTAGACCTCGAAGCCGGATGGCAGACGTTCCAGAACACCGGTGCAGCCCTGCCGGAGAAGACGGTGGATACGCTGAAGGCAGAATGTGACGGAGCGCTGTTCGGAGCTGTGAGGCAAGTCATCCATAGCCTCGACACGGAAGGGAAATGACATTAGACCTACAAGCTAACTCGACATCCTCCCCACCAGCTCCCCTACAACGCCGACAAAAGGCTACAGCAGCCCCATCGTCGCCCTCCGCAAACGTCTTGACCTGTACGCCAACGTCCGCCCCGTCAAATCCGTCGCGCCGACCCCTGCCTTCCCCGACCCCATTGACCTCGTCATCGTACGCGAGAACACCGAGGACTTGTACGTGAAAGAAGAGAAGACATACGACACGCCGAATGGCAAAGTGGCCGAGGCCATCAAGCGTATCAGCGAGCGCGCCTCGTTTCGCATTGCCAAGATGGCGGGTGAGATCGCAGTACGCAGACAGAATGTGCGGAACACGACCGGGGATGCGGTCGGCAAGCAAGCGATGGTCACCATCACGCACAAGAGCAATGTATTGTCGCAGACCGACGGGCTTTTCCGGCAGGCCGCTCGCGCCGCACTCGAGGCGCCGCAGTTCAAGAACGCTGGGGTGAAGATCGACGAGCAGATTGTGGATTCTATGGTGTACAAGCTCTTCCGCGAACCCAGTACGTACGATGTGGTCGTTGCACCCAATCTCTACGGTGACATCCTGTCCGATGGAGCAGCGGCGCTCGTCGGTTCGCTGGGCTTGGTACCGTCTGCGAATGTGGGGGATGGCTTCGCGATAGGGGAGCCCTGCCATGGCTCTGCGCCGGACATCCAAGGCAAGGGGATTGCAAACCCCATCGCGACGCTCAGGAGTGTGGCGTTGATGTTGGAGTTCTTGGAGCAAGAGGAGGCTGCCGCGTTGATATACAAAGCCGTCGATGGCAACCTGGCAGAGGGCAAGCTGTTGAGTCCGGATATGGGCGGCAAGGCAACTACGGACCAGGTGACGGAAGATGTCATCAGGCGGTTGTAGCTGAAGAAGATCCCAGATTAGAGTATTGAAATTGAAAGAATACTGTCTCCGGACTTCCTTTCTGGCGTAATTCATGGTCGTGAAGATCATCATCATTCCTTTCCAGCAGCCTGCTCCAACTTCTCAAGCTGCTCATTAAAAGACCGAATCAGCTCATCCAGATCCTCGGCATTCTGCACCTGCCCACGTCGCTTCATCTCCCTCTCCTGCCCAGAGACCTTCAACATCAAGCCTCTCGCACCCCCACTCGCCTCCTCGCCAAAGCTGGGAGCAGGAGCCAACTCGGCGCGCACAGCCTGCCAATCCGCACTCAAAGACGCCGCCGAAACCACCGACTTCCCATCGGCAGCGACATCGACAATAACGTAGCGCTCGCTGGAATCGCGCAGATTGGGGGAATTGTCGTTACTGCCTCCTCCCGCTTCCAGGGTGTCGAGGACGGCGGAGGTGAGGATGTCGGGATCGTCGTCGGAGAAGAGGTAGTGCACGGTGGGATGCTGGTGGTCGCTATTCGCCGGATCTTCGACGAGGGTGAAGAAGGGTTTGAAGTCGGGTGGGTGAGGAGTTTCTAGGGCTGCGGCTGCTTGCTCGTCCTCTGCATCGTCTGCTGGGAGTGCGGTAGTTGGAGGAGCGAGTGGAGCGGAGTAGAATAGATTCTCGTCAAAGGGAAAATTCATCTCGTTGTATGATCGACTGCCAGGTTGAGCTAAGGGATCGATTGTTAGTGGTGATGAATGATGTAGAAGGTTGCTAGGATATATCTCACGCTGGGTGGCACTTTGCAGTGCGTCGACTTGTCCGTCATCTTGTTTGCTGGTTTGCGCGTCGAGATCTGAAGAGACAGCATCTTTCGGAGGCTGCTCGATCGACATGATCCATCTTCGTCGAATGCAAAGTCTTTTAGTCGCCGTGCCATAGGTGGGCAAGGGAGGTTACGCGGGTGAGGTTGGTGGAGCCTGGGCTCCTTCTTATCGATAGGGAGGGCAGCGGGCTTGTTCATTGGCTGCATCGACCTCAGCTGGACAGACGTCACGGTTGTTAGGGCAGGATTGATGGGTACGTCGGCGACAATGATCGTTCAGGGTTTGGAGGGAAACAGCATAAGCGTGGGCCAACGTCGCATAGCAACGATTATCACGGATCGCTGACTGCAAATCATTCTTGCATAGCCTCCATCGTCCTTAGCTGCATGTTCTCCATCTCTGCGTGCTTCATGATTCTCATTTCCTGGACGAGAATTCCATCTCGGTTGAACGACAGCCATGCCTCCCGATCAACATGACCAAGACGGCAACGACACCGCCCCTTTGCTAGGCAGCAAGACTGCCCAACCCGTCGAGCAAGCGACCGACGCGGCGGCCGAGGAGGCCCAGCGCCAACAAGCAGAGGGCTATGGCACGCTCACATCCAACGAGCCGGCCTCCAGCGCCGATACCGATGCCTTGGAGCGACAGGACAGTCTCCAGGCGCGAGAGGCTCAAATAGAAGGGATGGCCGAGGTGCGCAAGCGCTTCGCCTACATCTTTCCCGCTGTCGCCATCGGCGTCTATCTCGGCGCCGCGGACCAGACCATAATCGTTTCTACGTACGGCAAGATCGGGACGGACCTGGATGCGCTGAACTTGACATCTTGGGTATGTACACGGCTGCCGCACTTCCACTGTGGCGAGAGCGAGCATTAACCCGCCGACAATCGACTAACGAACTTCAAACATAGATAGCCACGGCCTACTTCCTCACCACCACGAGCTTTCAGCCCCTTTACGGGAAGCTTTCTGATATATTTGGCCGAAAATCATGTCTTCTCATTGCGTACCTCATCTTCGGCCTCGGGTGTGTGTTGTGCGGCCTCGCGCAGAACATGGGCCAACTCATCGCCGCTCGCGCCCTGGCGGGTATCGGAGGCGGCGGCATGCCCGTTGTCCTCTCCATCCTGCTCTCCGATATCATCCCTCTGAGAGAGCGAGGCACTTGGCAAGGATATATCAATATCGTTTTTGCCCTTGGATCGGGTTCCGGAGCGCCGCTGGGGGGAATCTTGGCCGACTCCATCGGCTGGAGATGGGCCTTTCTGGCCCAAGGCCCGCTATGCCTCATCGCCTTCCTCGCAGTCTTATTCACCCTACACATTCCCAGGAAAGATGACACGGATTGGAAAGAGAAGCTCCGCAGAGTCGATTTTCTCGGCGCCGTCTTCCTCATCGGCGCCGTCTTCACACTCCTCCTAGCGCTGGACCGCGGGGGCAACGTCGGCTGGAAAGCGACCATCACCCTCGCCAACCTCGGCGCCTCCATCTTGCTCTTCCTCATCTTTTTCTACGTGGAACGAAAGGTCGCCAAGGAACCCTTTGCACCCGGCCGAATCATCTTCAACCGCAACCTCGTCGCCTGCTACACCTGCTACTTCTTCAGCAACGCCGCCTACCTCGCCACCCTCTTCTACATCCCCTTGTATCTGCAAGCCGTGCAGGACCTCTCGGCCGCCGCGGCGGGCTACCGCCTAATCCCCGGCATCGTCGGCTCCGTGAGCGGCAGTCTGTTCGGCGGCTTCTACATCAAGAAAACCGGCAAACTCTACTGGGTGACGCTGACATGCTTCATCGTCAACTTCATCGCGATGATCGCCATCGACCTCGTCACAGGGCTAGTAATAAGCAGCATCCCCCTCCTAATCGTAAGCCGTAAGTCTTCCCACCCACCATCCCCACCCTCATCACCACCAACCCTAACTTACCCCCCCAAAAAGTCACAATCCTAGGCTTCACAATAGGCCTAACAGTCACCACCCTCCTCATCTCCATCATCTCCACCGCCCCGCCCGCAGACCAAGCAATCGCCACAGCCTGCAGCTACCTCTTCCGCAGCCTAGGCGCAGTCTTCGGCATCTCCCTCTCCGCCACAGCCGCCAACCAGGCTCTGCGCAACGCGCTGGCCGCCAGCCTCCCACAGCTAGGCCTGAAGCCGGCCCGCGCGCTGGAAATCGCGGAGCGCGTGCGGTTGAGTCTGGAGTACTTGAAGGTGCTGGAGCCGAGGGTGCGCCAGGTGGTGGTGGAGTGCTATGCGCAGAGTTCGCGGGTGGCGTTCTGGGTGCAGACGGGGTTGTTGGTTGGGGCGGTGGTGGGGGGGTGGTTTGTGAAGGAGAAGGCGTTGAGTGCTTGAGATTGGCGTTGATAGATGGAAAGGCGGATCTAAAGAGCCTTGAGGGAGATAAAAGGGTGTTGCAGAATTCGCAAAGCGAATGGCGTCGGTTCATTTCGATACCTATATACAAATCTGCCCTACGCTCAGGGCCCGGCGGGGTGGATGTGTGTTCATATGTACACTGTGTACACTGGGAAGAACGAGTGCCCAGCTTGATACCCAAAAGACTGCTTGAACGCTGCACAATATACAAAACAAAGAGACAACAAGGTCGGCCATGTCACAGCGGAAGTTGGATTCCGTGTCCGCGTCATGGCAGGTAGGTCAAGGCAAGCGAACCCCTCACAAAGAAAGGATATGCTCTGCCTTGCCATGATACTCCTGCAACTGCAGGCCAACCTCACGCATGCGCTCCGCACCAGTGCCCGGCTTGACCTTGTAAGGCTTCTCGCCCTTGGTGGCGTTCTTGGCGCACATTTTCTGCGCGAGCTTCTTCTTGCGCCACGCGCGCTTCTTCTCCAGCCCCTTCACGATGTCGATGGCGCCGCGCTTGGGGATGGCGGTGGAGTCGGGGGTGGATGTGCCCTCGTCGCTCTCGTTCTCGTTGTCGATGATGGTGGCAAGCTTGCCTTTGCCGATGGCGAAGGGGCGGCGGGGGAGCGACGAGGTATGAGTGGGTTGGGGTCGACTGGCGAGACCTGGAGCGGCGCGAGGACGTTGGGTAGAGCGGGTGGTGGGGGAGTTTGGCGGCGATGTCATGCGGTTCATGCGCGCCGGTGACTTCGCCCTGTTGGGTGAACGGCCGAAGAGCTTGCGTGGTGGTGCGGGAGAGCGTGCGATGCTGCGTCGAGGCGCAGGCGGTGGTGGGGATTGGAGTGTTGGACGACGTTTGAGTGGTGCTGGGGAGGGGTGACGGACCGCACGAGGCGGTGGGGAACGAGCGGAGTTGCTTCTTGTTCTGCTTCGGCGGACAGGCGATCTCCTTCGCACCGTCCCGGCGCCGTGGATCTCGTCGAGCTTTCCGTGCATCATGTCCTCTGCGTCCTCGGTTTGGGGAGGTTCGTCGTCACTGTCGTCGTCTTCCTCGTCCATCTCGGGATCGGAGGTCGGGAAGCTGGGGTCGATGTCCTGAGGTCTGAAGGGGAGTTTGGCAGCCTGCTTCTGTTTGCGACGGTTGATGAACTCCTCCTCCAACGACCTGTCTTCGTCCAACGTGCCACACACGAAGTCGGAGGTGTCGGGGAGATTGGGCGAAGCGGAACGTTTGATCGTCACGGCGGGCGTTTGAGCACTTGCCCTCGAGGGCGTCTTGCGCATCATGGGCCTCGGCGAACGCGGCGAGGTGGGACTATCGCTACCCGATCCAATCGACGTGCCGACGGCGGCGGGCTGTGCGGTGATGATGGCAAGGCGGTCGAGTTGGTCCATCGATGTTGCGGCCGTCGATGAGCCACCCGGCTTCCACCATTCAAAATCGCTCTCGTCCCCACTGTCCGAATCGGAGCTGGCGAAGCCACCTTCGTCGTCGGAGTGGAAGCCTTCGTCCGTGTCATAGTCTTCGTCGGCTACCCCGGTTCCATCATCATCCTCCACGTTCGCCAACTCCTCCTGCAGCTCCTCTTCTTCCTCCTCCTCCTCTTCTTCGAGGACTTCCTCTTCCACCTCCTCACAAGTCTTTCGAATGACGTTCTCCTTCTTGAGGGTATCGTCAACAGTCAATCGAGTGCGATAACATGTTGATAGCTGAGTCCAATTTTCCGGCTCCTCCTCGCTCGTTGCAAAGGCATGGAATCTTGTGCTTTCATCGCCCTTGTCCTCCTCGCCAGACTCATCGTTGGAGAACCTTCGACTGCGGATGGCAATGGGCTGCGGAGTGTCCTCCTTGCTGGCCTCTGCGACGGTCTTACGGGGTGAGCGTGGTGATGCGTGGACGATGGTGCTGTCGGAGCCGCGATGTCTCAGATCAGACGACGGCTTAGATTCTTTTGGCGCAGGGCTGGGAGAGCGCTTGGTGGGAGGGTTGTCGGCTGCTTTGTTGGTGGCTTCTCCTCGCAACGGGCACACGAATTTGAGAGTGCATTTCCGTTTGGGTGGAGAGGCGGGTTCAGGCATCTTTACCGGTTCGGGTGGGGGTTGGACGGGCTTGCTTTCCTCTTTTCCGCGACACGCGAAGCTGATACATCGCTTTCGCCCGAGGTTCGCCTCCACCTTCTGCTCGGTCTTGTCTGGAATCGGCGCAACGTTGATCTGTCCGACAATCTGGACGTCTTGCTCGAGAGGTTCCTCTGGAATAGGCAGAACGTGTCTGGTGTGCGACGGTGGCAGCGGCGGACTACCGGCAGTGCTTGGGATGCTGTGACCATCATCGGAAGTGAGCTCAGCGGTGGAGGGCATACTAAAGCTGCTCCATGTCGTCTGTTTGCTCAATGCGCGAACGGGCGACCTCGGCTCATCGTCTTCGGTGTGTTCGGTCTCGGAGTGAAGTTGACGCGTCAACAATGATTCTCTCCGTTGTGTGGTGTGGGGTGTAGCTTTGGTGTATTCGGAGCGGATGTTGGGTGGCGACCAGCGGAACTGTGACAGTATTTGGCTTGCGACTTGTTCCGGAGGTTCCTCCACTTCCGCCAGACAGTCTTCAGACAAAGCTGGGCCCATGTTTGCGGTGGTAGGCATGATAGGTCGGATGGTTCGGTTGCTCATGTCGAGGGAGTTTGCGGGTGAGGATACCGACGGTGGTATGGTAGAGGGTGTGGTATGGGAGGAGATCGCCGGTCTTTGAATGGTGGGCGGATGGTCGACCCCGAGGGTCAGCCGGGGCTATAACAGAAAGGCAGACATGGTGTGTTGAAGGGGGAGAAGGGTGCGAGGGAGTCGCAGAGGTGTGTAGGTGGGAATGTTTGTATCGGGCGATTCCCGAGGGTTCGACGCGGCAGGCCTCCAGGCAGTGGGATTTGAAATCGGCGCGCGCAGAGACGAGGCAGTGCTGAGGGTACGTCTGCGTCTGCTCTGTCGTGTGTAGTGGATGGTAAGGGTCGCTGTCGAGGGTAGAAGGGTATGCGACGGAGGATAGTGGTAGGGTGGTGGAAGAGGATGGCGAGAGAGAGATGGGTGCAGGTGGGTGTGTGTGTGAGGTGTGGGCGCGAGAGAAAGGTGTGTGCGGGCGCAGAGATGGAAACGGGCGGCGGGCGAGGGAAAGCGGGTAAGCGTCAGGTGCGTAGCCGGAATTTGACCAAACCCGTCCCACAAAAAAAGCCTGCGCCCAAATTTCCCTCGCCGCTGATTGGCCGCGCGCTCGCGAGACTTAGTCCCGGCGATGGGTGTGGACGCAGATTGGCGGGCTTCACCCCGTCAAATGGTCATCCGCAATTGCAGGGCAAAGGCCGAATGCACCATCCCAGATCATCATTCCCAAATGCTCGCATGCACCGTCAAATCTAATCTCGCCGTCTCTGCCGCTTCATCGTTATGAACACACGTCACTCGCGCACGAGCAGTTCCCCCAGCTGATTGCTACTGCCCCCTCCATTGCTGCGTGTATCTCTGCAACATGACGTCTCCCAAACACATGGCTGCTCCGTGTTCATCCGCATTCCAGTCCTGCCGCCCATGGCCTTTGTTCCATCTTACCTGAATCCATCGAGTAATGAAACACACGCCTAGCTTCCCCTCCGCAGCGCTCACCGCCAACTTCCGTCACCGCAACTTATTATTGATTATTACCTGGACATTGTGTGAGTGGGGCACACCCCACTGAATTGATGTCAAAACACATGGCGCGCAGCAGAAAATGCCTCACCTGCATCCACTGCACGCAACGGCGCGCCGTGTTTCGCCCCTAGCCAAGCTAGTCAAGTCTTGTGTGCGCCACGCTCGCGCCGCCATTTGACTTGCCTTGTCAATTAACTACCTGAATAATCGGCTGCTCACAGGTTCCTGTGCTCTCCTGGACGCATGAATATCCTCTTCGTGTGATTGCAGAACATCACACGAGGCACATCTCTCGGTGCATTGCATCATCCGACGCCTCCAATCACAGTCACCGCATTATTAATCCAAACATCTCGCGAGATCCCCAGTGCCAAAGTCTGCGGCCGCCCAGATCGCAGCAGAAGCTGGGCGACTCGAACCTTCCCCTGCCTGTACCAGAGCTCCCTCCCGTGCTCTACCAGTACGCGCACGCTCGCGAGGAGGCGTTCGCTAGAGCTTGCCGTCAGCGTCATGCGCTCTCATGCTCACCCGTGACTTTTCCATACCGGCACGTCCAGTGTGCACAAGTCCCGTGTGCATATGTAGCAACTTTCGCGACACGCCACTTTGACATAGCCGGGGTTAATGAGCAGGTAGCAGCAAACCTTCCTTGCACCGTCACATTCATCCCGCACCGACTAGCACATGGCTCCAGGCGAAGGCGAAAAGGTAGCATGCGACCGGCAACACAACGAGGACGCTGCTGCTGTGATTGCTGCCAAAGGCGCGCGACTCCGAAACTTACATGTGCTGTGGAGCCCAGGCTCGCAAGGTTCGTAGGTGACATGGAAGTCGGCAACTAAGGTAGGATCCATGACCCTTCTTGCTGCGAGGGGTGTAAAGAGGAAGGTGTGGCGTACGAGTGGAAGCGATGGAGCAAGCGATGGAGCGAGAGTGACAGCCTGACCCTGCTTCGGGAGTTGAAGACGTTCCTTTCTGCCGAAGCGCTCAAGCAATCCTCGGAATTATCCCATGTGGGACACGTGATCTGGCACGTGATTTGTGGTTGGAAATGCGCAGCAACAGCATGTCTACTGTACTTCGCTGGCGTACGACATGATAAAAGGCAATAGGCCGAGCACAAACTGTAAACACATGGGGACATCTCGTCTGTAAGCCTCTCCTGAACGCCTAGCCTCGTCACGGCGGCCAGCCATCCTAAGCAACAGCCTGATACTTCCTCAACTACACTCAAAGTCAGCAATGAACAAACATGCACAAAGTAAGACAGGGAAACTCACATCCAACGTCAACACCCGTGAACTATTCACCCCCTGATCCCGCATAACGCCCACCAGCGTCTCCGACTCCTGAAACAAGCCCGTCTTCAAGCTAATCACCACAAACTGCATGCCCGGCCCGGCGTGCTCGCGCACATACTGCGCCAGCTGCGCCGTATTCGCATTGTCCAGCGCGGCGTCCACCTCGTCCAGCACGAAGAACGGACTCGGGGCGTAAGTGTGCACGGCGAAGAGGAGCGCCAGCGCCGCCATCGTCTTCTCGCCGCCGGAAAGGTGCTCCATGTCGCGGAAGCGCTTGAGCGGCGGCATGGCGTGGTAGCGGATGCCGGCGTTGTACGGCTCGTCCTCTTCCTCCACACTAAGCGAGGCGGCGCCGCCGGTAGGGAAGGACTTGGTTTTGGTGAGTTCGCGGTAGACTTCGGCAATGTGCTCGGAGATGTGGTCGAAGGCGCGCTTGAAAATCTCGCTGCGCTTCTCCTTTACGTTCTCAAAGGCTGTCGTGGCCAGCTTGGCTGCCTTGCGAGAGTCGTTGAATTCCCGCTCGGTTGCTTTGAGGCGTTCGGACGTCGCTTCGAGACGCTCTGCGCTGCGCATGTTGGGTGCCATCTTCTCCAAGTCTGATGTGAGGTTGGCAATGGTCTCGAGCAATTGGCCTTCGCAATCAGAGCTCGAGTCTTCTTTCAGGTCGTCGTCGAAGTCGCTGAAGTCAATATTGATGCCATAGGAATTGAACTGCGGAGTTCGGATCGTGCCCTCCTCGCCGTCGACGTCCATTGCGTCTCCGCCCTCCTCCAGAATGGCATCTTCAACCGGAAGCTTGTCGATGCTGCCACTGTCAGCCTCCAGCGGCACGTTGATATTCTCAACCTTGCACTGGCGCAGCGCCGCGTATCGGTTCGAGTTGGCCGTCTGCACGGTGGCTTCGAGCTCCGCAACGGCTTTGAGAGTCTTTTCGACAGACTTGCTCTTTTTCTGTACCTCGCTTCTCGCCTCCGTGACCTTCCGTCCGCTTTCCTCGTGCTGGGTGCGGATTTCCTCCAGCTGTGAGTTAAGTTGTTCGATCTCGGCATTAAGCTCGTCAAGCTCGCCGCTGAGCTCTTCCCTCTCCGCCTCCAGCTGCTCGATGTTCTGACGGTCGCGCTCCATTTGTGCCTCGATCTTTGCGATACGCTCGTTCGTGCTCTTCACCCGCTGCGTCTCGAATGCGAGCGAATTTTGCAAGCGTGAGATCTGCCGTGTGAATTCGACCTTCTTCTGATTTGCTTCTTCTTGTCGCGAGCCCTGTTGCTGTTCATAGTCACGAATGTCGCTGTACCCCAATCGTTGACAGAACGGCGCGAAGACCTCATCTTCGACCTCTTCGATGGTAGCCGTGAACTGCTCCAGCTCGCTCCTCAGGCCCTCCACGCCTCGAGCGTGCTCTTCATACTTCGGCCTGACGTCTTTCAACTGGCCCTTGGCAAATTCGAGCTCGCGATTCTTGCTGTCCAGATTCTTCTCGACGGCCTTGATTTCGTCTTGAACGAATTTGATCTTGGCCTCCAGACCGTTGAGCTCACTCGACAATCTCTCCTCTTCCGTCACGCTCTCGTGACCTCGAGGAAGCGCTTCGATCTCTGCTCGGAACTTATTGGCCAGGAGGCGGAGGTTCTCGACTTCCGTCTCCTCGAACCGACGCTTCTTTTCTCCGACTCCTTCTCCACCAGTCATGTTGCCTCCTTTGTGAATGATAGTACCGTCGAGCACAACAGCCTTGGCGTCCACTTTTTTGTCGTAGCACAAGTAACGTGCAAGCTTCAGCGTGTCCGTCACAATAGCATTGCCGCAGGCACAGCTCATCGCTCTTTCGTAGCTAGTGTCATAGTCGATGGTATCGATGGCAAGTCGCATTCCCTGCTGCATCATCCCCCTAAGATTGGCCGTGTGGCCAGTAGAGTGGATGATGGTGTCCAGCGGGAGGAAGGTCATCAGCCCGGCTCGCTGCTCCTTGAGATACTGCATGCACTCCTTTGCCGTCTTCTCCGAGTCGACAATCACCGAATCCCAGTGTCGGCCGAGCGCGGTGGCCACGGCGGTCTCGTACTTCTTCTGCTTCGGCTTGCATAGCTGATGCACCATGCCCTTGACGCCGGGGAAGATGCGCTTCATCTGCGCCACCATTTCGCGCTGGGCCGCTTCCTTGTGGGACTCACGTTGGAACGTGGTAGCCTCATCGAGTTTCAGCAGCACCTGGCGGAGTTTCTCATCGGCCTCGGTGTGTTTCTGGCGGTGGCGAGTACGCTCAGAGGTGAGCTTGTTGATTGCCGTCTTCTTCGTGTCAATCTCTTTCTGTGTCGAGCTTGCAGTACGACGAAGATCCTCGCGTCGTTCTGAGAGTCCTGCGGTTTCTGTCTCTAGCGCTGAAACTTGTGATTGTGTGCTATCGAGCTTGGACTTTAGGCTGTTGACCGTCTCCTCGTCGGTCTTCAGCTGTCGAGTGATGTTGTCGACCTTGTTCTGGTCGTTTCCGGACCGCTTGTACACCTCACCGCGTAGGCGCTGGTACTCCTGCAGGTCGGCTTCACTCAGCTCACGTCCAGCCTGCTGTTGTTGAGCGCGCCAGTCGTCGTCCCATCTCTGCTGCGCCTTCTGTACGGTATCGAGGTCCTTCTGGAGCTTCTTGGCCGTCGCTTGCTGAGAATCCTTCTCTGCAGTCCGCTCCGCAATCTGCTTCTGGTAGGTGGCGAGATTCTTGTTCGAAATGGCAAGCTTCTCATCGACGGGGAGCAATGAGTTCTCCTTTTCCTCTGATGCCTTCTCCTTCCGCTTGATTTCGCGCTCAATCTTGCTCACATCCCTGCCGACCTTCGCGTTTTCTCTCTTGGCCTCATCCAACTTGTCTTCAAACTTCTTGACGTTGCGTCGGAATTCCTTCAGCTCCTCTTGATGCTTTTGGATTTCCGCAGTGCTGTCTTCAATTGTACGCTGGAAGTGGAAGAGCTTCCACAACACGTGCGTCACAATGGCTTCATCTTTCTCGTCACGCGTCCGCTCGTACTTCTCGAGCTCTTCCTTCTGCGTTTGGAAGTTACGGATCTCGCCGTTGATCCCTCTCCGCTGCTGAAGACGATGCTGCTGCTCCTTGTCCGCGCTCTCTTTCTCCGCCTTCAGACGGTCATACTCCGCTTTGTATTCCAGCGAGCCACTGATTTGCTCTATCAGGCGTGTGATGTCGGTGGGGTTCTGCTGGGCGATGCTCTCGATATCACCCTGGAAGACGAGGAAGTTGCGCGCGCGAATGAGGATGTTCTCGGCCTCGAGGGCTTCGTTGTACTGCTTGGCGGAGACGACGCGGTTGTTGATACGATATTCACTCGCACCGGAGGAGGAAATGCTGCGTTTCCAGCGTTGCTCCTCGCCAGCGTCATCCTCGTAGATGGCCATAACCCACGCGGTCTGAGGGTCATTGCGCTGCGCGCCCGGCTCGGTCTCCACTTCCATCTCTCCGTCGGACGCGCCGGCTTCCGCGTCGCCGTTTGTCTGTCCATCACCATTGACGATCCCGGCATCCGTCGCCGTGCCGTCGGCATTGATTTTGGAATGCTTCAACACGCGACCGCGATAGATGAGGTCCTTCAGGTGTGTGGAGCGCAAATGAGCGGATTTGATGCCGAGGACGAAGGAGATGGCGTCCATCGAGTTGGACTTGCCCGAGCCATTAGGGCCGATGATGGAGGTGAAGTAACTGTCGCCGAAGTGGAGGACATGATGGCCCTTGTAGGATTTGAAGTTGTTGACTTCGAGGGCGAGAAGTTTGCCCATGGTGAGATGGGGCGCCCAGCGGGCAAAGGGTGCTGGAGGAAGGGGTGAGAGAGGATAGGTGAGGTAGTCAGTGGTTTGCCAGCGGCATCGTGCGACCGCAAAGGGCGTTGTGTTGTGGATTTGTGGAATGTGAATGCGCGCAGAGGTCGATGGCCGAACACGGTTAGGCGGGGGTCGACGCGTGAGAGCGCGTCCTGGCGTTTGGCGAAGCTGTTAGGGTTGTACAACCCTAAAGTAGGATCTTATGACGTCTCCAATGAGATTTCTGGAGCGCAGCACGCCGTCCCTACTGTATGCCAAACGTGTGTCTCTCTCATCCGCACCTCCACCCTCCCCGCGATCCCCTGCTACGTTTCCTCTCGGCGTCTGGCGCATTCGTCCGACTAGCGCGTAGCGCAAACGTCTAACAAATCCTCAAGGTAAGAGGTGGCTTTGATGGTGTGATTGTCTGCTCGCTTCCACGCCCGGGGCATAATGCCTTCACCAAGGAATCATGTGAATGATGGAACTCCCGCTGACCGCGTCGCGTAATCATGCCAGTGACCTATCTCTCTCCCAACTGCACTGGCCCGCAACTGCGCAGACCCTACTTTCCCGGCCATCGCTCATCCTACCTCGAACTCATCCCCGAAGAAGAACTCGAGGCCTTCGCAAGGATGGACGAGATCCCTGCCGCCGTGGCGAAGGAGGAGGGAGACGCGCATTCCCTCAAACCTCTACCGACTGATGCGCATACAAATGGCGGCATGCCCACGCCCGGGCTCTTCGATGAGTCCGCGCAAGACTACCTCTCAGCGCGTGTGCATTCTTCCAGCGGCCTGGACACGCCGGGGAGTCCGGGAAGCAACCTCTCGCGCTCGGGCAGCTCGTCCGATTTGTCTACTTTCGACTCCCTCAACCAGGATGCCTTCCCGCCCGTCGACAGGCTGACCATCTTCGACATCCTCGAAAACTTCGCCCTGCCACAGCGATTAGAGCGCATGCAGCACGCCATCCACGACAACGCCGAGAAGCTACGACGGCAAAGGGCCAAGCTGGCCAACAAGGCGTTGGCTGGCAAAAACAATATCGTGGAGAAATGGAAAAAGAGCGGAGCGCCTGTAGTCGGCGCTGGCGTCAGCTCGGCCGTGGGCGAGGAACAGCTGGACAAGTATCGACGGCGGATGAGAGTGTCGGTGGAGAGGCTGAACAAGAGATGGAGTGCCGCCAGAACACCGACGATGCAAGAGAAGATCTCCTTCGTCACCGCTGTGCTCAACATCTTCATTTCTGGCTACCTAATCGGCGGGCATCCAGAGTATTTCCACTACTGGTACACGATTCAGCTTGCGTACGCATTGTCCCCAGCTCCAGCAAGCCACTCTCCGCTAACATTGTCCAACAGATACTTCATGCCTGTCCGCTGGTACAAATATCACCAGATTGGCTATCACTACTTCCTCGCCGATCTGTGCTATTTCGTCAACTTGCTCCTCATCCTATCCATCTGGTTCTTCCCGCAATCGAAGCGCCTCTTCATTAGCACCTACTGTCTGGCTTTTGGCAACAATGCCGTCGCCATCGCCATGTGGCGGAATAGCCTGGTTTTCCACTCCTTGGACAAAGTCACCTCGTAAGTGCCCAGCCCGTCTCACCATCTCAAGTCCATCATGATTGCATGGGCTGTCAGACGAAATCCCCGAAGGCCTACCAAATTGATCCCAGTTCAACACTGACATCCTCATCTTCCCCTCTAGATTGTTCATCCACATCATGCCCTGCGCCACCCTCCACGCCCTCGTCCACCTGATCCCCGCCGAATTGCAAGCGTCCAAGTTCCCCGCGATTTACACAATCAAATACTCCCTACCCTCCGCCCCGGAACACTACCATCTCCGAGCCATGGTAGTCTGGGCCACGCTCCCCTACGCAATCTGGCAACTAAGCTACCACTTCCTGATCACGGTGCGCAAGCGCTCCAAAATCGCCGCCGGCCGCCCTACAAGCTTCACCTGGCTCCGCAAAAGCTACTCGGCCAACTTCCTCGGCAAATTCGTCCTCAGCTTCCCCGAGTCGGCGCAAGAACCAGTTTTCATGGCCATCCAGTACTCCTACGCTCTGCTCACCATGCTGCCATGCCCGCTATGGTTCTGGTACCGCTGGGCCAGCGCCGGCTTTCTCCTGGCCATCTTCACCTGGGCCTCCTGGAACGGCGCAACATACTACATCGATGTCTTTGGGCGGCGGATGGAGAAGGAGCTCGCGCAGCTGCGGAAAGAAGTCGAGTCGCGCGGAGGGATTAAGAGTCCCGAGATGAGCGGGCAGGATGGCACGGGGGCGTTTACAAGTCCCGTGGGCAGTCCGATTGGGATGATGGGGCAGGAGGGCGGGGTGGGCAAGACGACGGGGCTCGATTTGGGGCCTGCGGCTACTGCGCTGGATGGAGCGGCTGCGGCTACGGCTGCGGGGCATCGGAGAGGCGTGAGTGAGTCTTCTGGCGATGGGGAGAAGGAGACGACCCAAGTCACCGAGGGCTTGACGGTTGTCAATGGGCAGGATGGGAAGAAGGCGGTATGATTTACGATTTTGCGTATTTGCTAGCGCGGACAATGCATAATGAGACGGAGCTGCTGGTAGGCACACGTAGACTGCATATGGGTGACGACGGATAAGGTACGGTTGTTTTAGACGGCGAGAAATGAGATGCTAGAACCATTCGGTAGAGCCATTGGGAGTCGTTCTTGAGTACGAGAGTTATGCTTCCTGTGAAGAACGAAGACACCTCAGTCCTTCAGACCAGAAAGTCCCTTCAAAATGCCGCAGACGTTCGTTCCCAGACGCCTCGCTAATAATGACCATGTCCTCCTTCCCGCATGCTATGTGCCCAGCAGCAGTAGCAGCGCCGTCAGCGCCACCAACGCTCCTCTCACTCATCGAATAACCCCCCACTCACTCACAATCCCCCCGCGCCCACCCTTCTCCCGCTTCCCAAACACGTCCCAAAACCGCAACGTCTCGTCCCCGGCGCCCGTCACAATAATCTGCCCATCGGGACTCATGCTCAAATACAGCACGCGGTAGGTGTGGCCCGTCAGGCTGACGACCTGCTGCATCGACGGGTACTTCCAGATGTTGATGGCGTGCTGGCTGTAGCCGTGCGTGGAGACGAGTTCGGAGGTGAGGTGGGAAAAGAGCAGGTTGCAGACTTGCGAGCCGGTGTCGTGGGAGCGGAGGAGGTGGGGGTTGATTTGATTGGCGGAGTTGGTGGCGGCGGTGGGGGCGACGGCGCTGGAGAGGTCGATGCCGAGGGAGGTTTGGTCGGTGGAGATGCCGTTTACTGCTGGGAGGCCCGGCACGGTGCTGGATTGCGAGGAGGAAATCGTGTTCCAGAATTTGATGCAGCGGTCTGCTGTTCCGCCGCCTGAGGCGAGGAGGCCGCGGTGGTGGGGACTCCATGCGATGGCTTTCACCGCTGCTTTGTGCCCGCCTTCTTGCTCGCCCCATTTGTGCAGCCAGCGCTCTTCCATTCGGTCCCAGACGAAGATCTTGTTGTCGTTGCCGCCGCTGGCGAGTTGTTCGGTGTCTGGATTCCATTTCAGGCCGCAGACTTCTTGCTTATGACCGGTGAGTCGTCTCAGATATTGTTGTGATAATCGGACGTCGCGATGTAAGATCGATCGATCTCGTGAGCCGGTGGAGAGGATGTGTGCGTTCCAGGCGAGGGAGCTGATCCTTGCAGAGTGTCCGGTCATTACCCGCAGCCTCCGCTCTGCTACAGTGTCGTAGATCAGTAACAAGCCTTTGCTCGTTCCGATGGCTAGATGAGAGCCACGTTGTATCCAGTTCACGCTGGTGACCGTGTCGCCTTCCAATTTGCACAATTGCTTCACCTGTCCGTCATCTCGACTCCACAAGTACACGCAGTCCGCCAGTCCCACAGCAAGCACGTCGCTGTTGCCCCAATCCACCAGGTTTAGGTAGAAATCGTCTTGCAATTCTGGAGCGTCCAATACTTTGTAGGGCACCTTACTTACTGCTCTCGGTGTCTTCCTCGGTGATAGAAGCATCATTTGCGAGGAGTGCTTGACCGGCGATAAACTGTAAATCTCGGAGCGAGCATTGATGTTTGGACCTCTCTCGCTTCTCGAGGTCGATCGTGGGGTGAGGGAGGGGGTGGGATTCGAGCCGTAGGAGAAGAGGTTCTTGTGCGGTGTTGAAGGGGTGAGATTCGGAGCAGCCAGCATGGAGCCATTGCCCGGAGGAGTCTTAGACCTCGAGCCCGGCCCTTCCATGGACTGTGGGATGGCCTGCGGCACCTCGCTGTCGAACATTTCCGAGCGCAGGATGTTGGAATAGCTCCGATTCGCATCTCGCTTTTGAAAGTTCAGCTCGTTCGAATAGCCCTTCTTGTGGCCTTTTGAAGGCGTGGCTGGTGAGCCATCATCGTGTAGGAGGTTGTAGCTTGCCTGCAAGTCCTGGCCGGCTCGATTTGGGATGAACCGGTCGCTACCATTGTGAACCTTTTGCCGTTTTCGACTCGGACTGCCGGTGGGAGTGATGGATCGAGTTCGCTCCGTCTCTTCCACCTGCTGCAAAGCCTTGTTAAGAGCTTTGGCGCTGACAGGTCCATCTCCACTTCGCAGTGTTCGATCCGATTCACTTGCTCGCCTGTCGCTGTTTGTTCTCTTGCCAATGACTGTCGGCGGTGTCTTGCTCCTGGGGGGAGAAATCAAGATGGGTGTGGTGGCTTCCTCGGCCTCGAGCTGGTCTGTTGTATCCATTGCCACGGCCTGGTCTACGTCGGAAGCAGCCATTGCCGTGATCTGCTCGAATGAAGCGATCGGCGGAGGTCCAGGGTATGAGTTATTGCCAAGCAGAGCTCTTTTGATGAAATATTGTGTCGCAAAAGCCTCGATCGGCCCGTCGGGAGCGAGGGAGATGCGCCGGCGAAGCCAGGCGGGAGGGTGTGATGGTTGCTATGCACGATTGCGCCCCTTGAGTGGCCTCAGAGCGAGTGAAGCGGCCGGTAGCACCAGCGCGCGCCCTGTCCTCCCTTTCCGCAGCCTACTAGCATCGCCAAAGCTCCAGAAACGAAGGAATGCCGGTGGAGAGGCGGCGAGGGCGACGGGGAAGGAGTGGTGTTGATTGATCGGCGGTGACGGGAGGGAGTGTTGTTCGGTTGTTATCGATTGTTGACGGCCACTTAGGAGAAATCCAGCGCCCGAGGCGGCCCGTGCGCCAAAACGCTCCTTCCGCTTCGGATCGGCTTCCGACGGCCTCAGCTCCTCCTGCCGGTCTTCCTTCAATCGTTCTGGACGTCACCCTCGTTGCTGCGAAATGGATCGTAGGGACAAGGTGTCGACGGTTGTGAGGAAGAGGCACAGAATGAGAATGGTAGCACAAGCGTGTCTTTTATTATGACCCGGTCATCGAATATGCGACCTGTCTCGACACGCTGGACGAATTAGGCAAGTCTGTCAACAAAAAGACCGCCTCTCCTCCCTCCTTTATGCACGATCACGACGGTAGAACCACAGGTCATGCAGCCCTTAGGTGCGTACCATCTTCACGCGTGCATCCGACTGCCGCGCCTCCACGACCGCGTGAAATTCGTTGGCTGTGGTAACGGCCGTCCGACAAAGCTCGGGCCACGCGTTTCATGTGGCAGCGTGCGGGCGATGTTTCGACTAGTCACTCGATGCATGCGCATGCAAGCGAAGCGCGCGAGTCTATTGACGGATCGAGGGAAAGAGAAAGAGTATGTGCTTCATTCGACTGTCCCGCTATCTGACTGCGTGCTTCATAACATCATCTTCACATCCACAACCTTCGACCTCAGTAGTGCTTGAAGTCCGCATGCTCCAACGTCGTGCCTGCTGTGTCCTTCTCGATTTCGCCAGTCCATTTCACTTCGCCGTGCTGCAGTTGAGGATCGGGGTAGCCTTCGAGATCGGTGGTGATGAGCGTGCCATCCGCCGCAATGATCTCCGAGTAGCTGACTTCCTCCCATTTGAGACCCATCTCTTTGACCAACCTCTGGTTGCGCGTCGGCCACACGAGGCAGATGACGTAGTAGACGACAAAGGCGATGGCGAACGACAGCATCCACCCCAGATGGCCGAGGTCCTGCGCGGCAACGCTCACGGGGACGCCGAGCGTGCCCAAGAAGCCGGCGAAGGGCAGGGCGATGCCGCAGAGGTAGGCAATGATTGCTTGCACGTTCCAGCCCTTGTGGTAGTAGTAGTGTTTGTTGTCCTTGGTGCCGTCGTACAGATGCGCGATGAAAACGTTACCCTTGGTGAGGCACCAGTAGTCGCAGACCATGATGGCAACGACCGAGGCCATGAACAGGCCGTATCTATCCGCACAGTCAGCTTTGGTGTCAACGGCCAGTGGCTATATTCACAGAGAGCTTACCCAGCCAAGAAAGTGGTAAAGACGGACGCGCTGGCCAGGATCTTCCATGGGCAGATGGCAAATCCCAGGCACAGGACAATGAACTGGCCGCGGGGAATGGTCAGATAGCGAGGGAAGAGCAACGTGCAGTCACTCCCGAAGCTGATCATGTTTGCCGCGATGTTTGTTCCCAGGACACTTGTCGTCCAGCCCCCTGAAGCAGTGTCAGTTGCTGTTGAGATGCTACATGCACATCGTAGACTTACCGGCGGCAAAGAAGACTGCAGTCCGGGTTCCTGCACTCCAATACCTGTTCAGAATGGCATCGAAAAGATCCCACTGGTTCCAGAGCTGGAGGTTCCAGTTGTTGTTGATGGCGGCCGTGGACAAGATGCCCAAGCTGGCGGAGAGGGTGACCGCAATTGGGTTCGTGAACAGCTGGGACCACATGGCACCGCTCTTCGTCTTGCTCCAACGTGCGATATCCGGTTGATTCGTGATGAGAGTGGCCCTAGAAGAGAACATGTCAGTGCCCCGTTATGAGAAGCGTTCCAATCTACAGGACTCACGTGTTGCCCATGCCCGAGTTCAGCGACCAGACAAAGAACCAGCCCCATCCGTTCGAATGGATTGCCGTGGTCTCCTGAAGATGCCCAAGGCCAATCCTCCCCTTCGTGTTCACCATACAGAAGATGAACAGACCCACAATAGCAGGGATCATGACGAACGCCTTGAACCAGAAGAACTTGCGCAGCTGATAGGGCCGGAAGAACGTGAAGGGCAGCGTCATCAGCCAAAAGAGGAAGAAGGCGAGCAGTCCGGCGCTCGTGATCCCCATGGACTTCGGAATCGTGTTGGGAATATGGAGGTAGCTGTGACCGAAGACGGCGTACAGCATGTTGCCCACCAATGCGGAGCCGGTGTAGAGTTGCACGCCGAACCAGACGATGGCGAGCGCTGCTCTGGCGAGGACGAAGTAATATCTGCAAGGCAATGTGTTAGCTGAACGTCGACGATCGTAAGTGCCGTTGGAAGGACTCACGCTCCCCACATGCCAAACACACTACGTCCAACCACGGGGTACCCAATGTGATACACGCTTGCGCACCGCGAGTTGAAGAACATGGCGATGGAGCTGATGAATTGCGAGAGGAAGATGGTGAGGATGGCTTGCCACCAGTTCAAGCCAATGCCCACCATCACCGAGCCCAGCGTCCAGTTGCCGAAACTCAAGTCCCAATAGAAGATCACGTAATTCCACCATCCTAGATGAGGGCCGTCAACACTGAGTACCGTGGGCATTGCGTCATCGTGAAATACTCACTCCATGTTCGCTTCTCTGGCGGCGTGGGATCTAAGTCTTCGTTCGACCATGTCGGGCCCGATCTGATGAAGATTGAGGTCAGCGAGGTACCATCCCGATGAGCAGCGCTTCTGTTGCCTACTTCTTATGCCCATGCTGATCCAGCGCAGTGTCGGGCACTTGCACCCATTCGATAAATGCTGCCCGGCTGGTGAAAGCGTTCCTGGCGTTGTGGACCTTTTCGGCGGCCTTGGCCTTGATCTCTGCTCGCGTGAAACGCATCGTGCCGCAGTTTCGCTGTCAGAACGGACTGTGAGAGAGAAGGAAAGCAGAGAGGAGATCGCCGACGGGTACGAGAGATAGGAAATATTCCAAGATCAAGGTTACGGCAGCCGCCCGAAAAGAGGGCACGCGACACGAGTGCGACCCGCCACCGCACGTTGCGCGCGGAATTAATGCATAGAGTTTGCGGTAAATGCCCACTTCGAGGTTAGGAAGGGCTCTAGAATGCTTGACTGGACGGCGGTGGGACCCCCGATGATGCGCGGGCAATGCGGGTTGAACGGCATCTTATCGAATGCAACCCTGTGCGCGCGGAGTAACGCGCGGTGATCTTTGCGGAGTTGGGGGTAGCACGCGGGATGTTAGCTGGAAAAACTGTGCGTAAGTCTGCAGAGTGGCGCAAGACTGCCCAATGGCGGTGGAGCGGTGACTCCAGGTAATCCTTCGTGGCGATATGTACGCTGCACGTCGTATAATCCACGGTGGTCCAGAACTGGCAGGGCCAGCCATTGCAATCGAGTCGCGGAATTAGGCAGCCACTGGTGTTGATGAGGAGGTGCGGCCTGCGCTGAGCTCGTATGTTGGAATCATCAAACCGCGACCTCATGGCGTCCACGGCGGATCTTCCACGATATATCCATCTCACGGCAGATGAACGGAGTCGCCAGGCCTATAGTCCTGCCAATGTCCAGAGCGCCCTCGAAGGTCTCTACCAAGATGGCTTGCTCATTCTCAAAGGCGTAGTCGACGTCGCTCACATCGACCATCTTTACCGCGTCATGACCAGCGAGACGAAAAGCATCATGGAAGACGGCCGCCGGGCCGGCAAATACAATCAGGGGGTCAATAGTAATATTCTTCAGCTGCCGCCCGTCAATCGGCAAGACTGCCTGTTCGACGATGTCTGGTTCAATCCGTATGTCGTGCAGGTTGCACAAGCGTAAGTCGACGGCATGGAGTACCCCGGACCAGCTGGACTGAATCGAAGATGGGCAGGTACCTTGGTTCGAAGCCGGTGACCAATTTCTGCACCGCAAACAATGCCTTGGCTGGTACGGGTGGGATGCGCCAACCTGTCCATAAGGACATCACATTTCATCACCCGCTGGTAAGTTCTGTCGAATGCTTTTACTTGGCATGGCATCTCGACTCACTGCGGTTGCCCGTCTTCTAGTGTCCATTCTATTTCATAGCGAACATTGTCTTGTCCGATTTCACCGAGGCGAATGGAGCAACTGGTGAGGACTGCCGATTCGTCAAGATGATTGGTCTTCGCTGACGGCTGATGCAGAGACCTGGCTGGGTTCGCACGCTCATACCACCAGTCTCGATCAAGTGCCATGCACTGAGGAGACCAAAGTGCGGAAGCAAGTCCCGGGAGACCCATCCTGCAATGTTAAGCCCGAGATCGTAGAAGAGCGAAGAAAGGTTCGTCCTCCCGTGCAGGCCAGCTGCGTGAAAGGCGATGTTATGATTCGAGACTTGCGGACATGGCACGCCGGCATGCCGAACCAGAGTGCCAACGATCGTATCATGATTGGTATTGGGTATCAAGTGCGTCTCGTCTGAAAGAGAGAAGGGGAAAGAAGACTGCTGACGTTCGCGCAGGCGCCGTGGTATCAGAACAACACGCAGCGACTCTTCTTACCATTGGAGCACGCCAACTTCTTCATGAAGCATGGAGGTCAACCCGTGGAGCTGCGAGCGAACTTCTGCGATCAGGAGCACCTCGATCAGCTCTGGAAGAACTACGACTTCACCTTTGAGCCGTCTGTGTCCGTAGTTGCGCCTGACAAAGCGCAAGTAAACGCCAAGTCTGTATAAGTGCGATGCTTGAGGATTTGCGTTGTTGAGTCAATATAGACAGGTATTCAGAGGAGCCATGATAGAGTCAGAGCAACACATAGTCGCTCGCCGGAGACAGTGCATCCGAGAGTGGCATCAATGCAGAATGCATGGCGCGGCGGCGGTGACATGACTCCTGGCGTGCAGCTACGAGCAGGTGCCGTGCTTGTAGCTACCAGAGTCCTTCAATAGGTGGCATATACGGCGTCCATAGTCAGTCAGCTGGACCCTGTCCACACTTATAGACATTAGGCTAATCCGGCTGCAGTACTTGTCGGTACGCGCTGAAGCATGTGAAAGAGGATGATGGCCTCGGAAGCTGGTAGAGCGTGTCGAATATTTCGCATGACTCAACAGGCCATCCGGGGAGCAGTTCCATGTTTCCGTCAGCCTTACGATGCGAGGTATGTTCCACAGCGCGCTGCTCCCCGGATCGACATCTTCAGATCGCCACACCGGGGATGGTGACGTGCAGTCGGTGAGTGGGATACCCACTGTCCCACCGAATGTCGTGGCCGCGCTAGAGCAGTCTATACCTCCAGGGTGGGGAGAGCAGGAATGTGGGTGAGGTACACTCTGGGTGATCCTTTCGATGAAGAGCGAAGGCTGTGATGCTCGGCCAGACTTGGCGTCTTGTGCGCTTGCGGTCCCCCGCATGACGGTGTGTCTGCTTGTTTCAATCGTGTGCATGGAGCAGGTCAGCCGCGCGTGGGATTCGCAGGGTCATGGGACAGAACTGAGGAATGTGTGGATGTCAGTAACAACGATAAGAGCAAGCCTTACGTCCTTTGACCATCGGGGCCTGGCCCGAGTCTGTATAGCGTACGGAGATACGAGAGTACATAGGAAGGCCAATTTCCACCGGCGGTGAGGCAAGACCGGGGTGTCGGGTGGATTCCACTATCACATGCAGAAGCTGGGATGGAGAAGGATGTGGTTGCCACCCACACTCTTCGAGGCTCGTTTACCGCCCTTCTGATGGCGAATAGACTCGGTGCGTCGAGCGGCGTGGAGGCGAAGACTCGCAGACATGCAAGCGACGACGGCATGCAAGCTGCGGTTTTTAGAGTGCCAGCAGGTTACACGACGCGATTAGCAAGGATGCACCCCACCCACCCTGCAGCTGACAATCTGCCCGAAAGTGACGCGCATGGAGCGCGGTTGCGCGGATTGGCCAGAAGCACGGCATGCCTGCGCTCGAGCATATCGTGAAGGTGTGCCGTGTGTTTATTCATTGCCGCGCGGAGGGTGTCCTTTGATGCCTGTTCGCCTCCGACTTGCAGCGTGCACGTGCTAGGTGGTGTGGGAGGCGGCGGAATGATAATGAAGCCATCCTCCGAGTCGAGATATTCCCGAGCGCCGGTGCATGGTAGTGCGGCTGTGTGGGAGCTAACGAGGGCCTGGTGCTTGTCCGGCTTATTACATACACGACTGTAGGAGGCTGCTGGCGCTTTGAAGGCAGAAATCTGATAAAGAAGTCTAATTTTGCGGGGACCTCAATCTGCTCGTGACACCGCGTTCCGCATCCTCTCGGCCACCACTCCTCCAAGCAACAACACCCACGCCCGACGCTGCCGAATGCCTTCTCTAGCCGCCGCAGTCACCCGTTCGAGTGCCTGGAGAAGTGTCGCGTAACAGTCTGTCTGCATCTTGAGCAGGCGCGCAGCCACCTCACCACCTATGCACGGGTACGAGGCCTACGCGCTACGATGGACTCGGAGAATGGTCAGGCGTTCGTAAAGGCAAGTAGCAACGCTCCCTGCAGTGCGCGATGAAGTACGCTGACCAGCCTCTCCGATCTAGAATCTCGCCAGCTTCGTCCGTACGCACGAGCGAGCACTGGCAAATGCGCTGCAGCAGAAGACGGCCGGCAGAGATGGCCAACCGCAAGCCACCGCCGGCGCATCCAGCAGCACCGCCTTGTCCGACGCGCTCGCCCCTCGCTCCTACATGCCCTTCTCCTCTTCCAAGAAGATCCGACACGAGAAACTCTCCTTGACACCACACCACCTGTTCTACCTGCTGAGCAAGTTCGAAGAGCTAGGCGTGGACGTGGGCCCGATGAATGTGCGCCTCGAGAATCTGCAGAACGATCACAGCCATTCCAACTATGTCTCCTTCCTCAACGCGCCCAAGAATAAGGGCAAGCAAGCCGATGCGGAATCGCTACGCTCCGTCTCCAGCATGCGGAGTGTCATGTCCAGCATGTCCTCTTTCTGGTCCGGCTTCACCATGTCGAGCAATGCCGCGAGGATCGAGAAGCAGATGACCCAGAATCGCGACGACGTCAAATATCTCTACGCCTCCTTCACCAAGATCCCGGCGCTGCGGCTGGCGCCGGATCATCGCGCGAGGCTGATCGCCGGCTTTGAGGAGTTCCCCTTTGACATGGCGGTCCCGCTGTTCGCTTTCAAGAACGTTAGCTCCCTTGAGATCTCCGATGTCGACTTCCGGCAATTTCACGGCTGGGACCGCATGTCGGAACAGCTGCGGGTGTTGGTCGTAAGACGGGCCAACGTCGATGACCCCATAGACTTGCTCCTGCATATCGTCCTGGATGACATGGAGAGGCGTAGGAAACGATCTTCCAAGATCAGCCTCCCGCAAACCCCCTCCACTCCCGGCGCGCCCTGGCCTTCGAACAGTCCCAAAACACGCCAGATTGAAATTGCGAGGACCGCATCGGCGCCTAATACCCCGCTTATCGACACGAAGGATGGTGCGTATGGGACGAGTCTAGATCGTAACGACTCCGCACATCCGAGTCGGCCACCGTTACGGCAGCACCGAGAACGAAGTGTGTCGCCAGGACGGCCGACTAGTGGACGACAGAACTCCTTGGCAACACATGCCCGTCACGCTTCCTTCAAATTCCGAACGTCGTCGGGCAGCTCGGAATCTAGCGCACAGGCTATGACGCCGAGATACAGCACTTCAGACTTGTCACTCGGCATCCTGCCGTCTTCAAAGTGGCGGTTTCTGCGCTTCCTCAGCCTGGCCGAAAACGGGCTCCACATCCTGACTCCGGCAAGTCTGGCTCCCGTCGCGGCTACACTGTATTCCCTCGACTTGTCCAGCAACCTCTTCTCGGAAGTGCCTGATGCCTTGGCCTCACTCACCAACCTTCACCAGCTGAACTTGAGCAATTGCATGATCGAAAGTCTGCAATCCCTCTCCCGCCATCCGCTCCCTGCCATTACCACCCTGAACCTCCGCTCAAACCGACTGTCCAGCTTGTCCGGCATCGAGCGAACAATTTCACTGGAAAGAGTCGACTTTCGCGACAATCGTCTGAGAGATCCCACCGAACTCGCCCGTTTGACGGGCTTTCCAGATATCGCCGAAGTGTATGTCGTCAAGAATCCGTTCGTGAGGACACACGGCAGTTACCGCATCACCATCTTCAATTTGTTCAGGAAGACGCCAGGTAACGTTCGAGACGTCATCATCGATTCTTTGGGCCCATCGTATAATGAGAAGAAGTATCTGGTGGACCGGGCTCCGGAACCAGTGAGCGTGCCCGTAGTCAAGCCTCCATTGGACGACGAAGAGCCATCGCAGCAGCAAGCGGGAACGAGCGACAATCGGGCAGAGTACGCGGTCGAGCAGGATGATGCTGCCGGCCCCGAAGAACCAAATCATCGAGAGGGCCACCGTCGGACTACCAGCGAAGGGGAAGCACAGTTGACCAGGCGGAAGAAGAAAGTCCCACGACGAAGGATGATAGAATTGTCCACGCCCGAGTCAACCAAAAGCCCGAAAGCGCAGAAGTCTCTTCCTGATCTCGCCGAAGCAGCGGCGCCCAGAACCCCGCCCACCGATACCGATCAGCCATCCACGCCGGAGCAGACGCCATACCACACCGCGCCGACGCAGCGCCACGCGCTGTTGAACGCGACATCGCCGCCCAAACGACCGACGCTGGCCACTGCGTTCGAATCGCCAACCCCCGTGCCCAAAATCCGCAATCAATCCGACGACGACGATGATCCGTCCGTCTCGCCGCAGGATCTCGGGCACTCGGATTTCTACCGGCAGAAGATCGAGTCGTTGAAGACGGAGCTCGGACCGAGCTGGCTGTCGGCGCTGCATGGCAAGGTCGATGCGGAGCAGCAAGCGCCGCCGCCGCCGCCTCCGCCTCCGCCTCCACCGCAGTCCAACCGCCGGAGCTTTAGTCCGTCTTCTCGCACGTCTACCATCAAGGCCGATGGCAGGTCCGCTCGTGGAGCGGGCAAGGCTGGACGCACGTTGGGATGATCGATGTCCTGTTTTGATCGTTGAACGCATGCGACTTCCAAGCGTTCGGCGAGGACTGTGGAGGGCTAGTGCACTCTCATTGATGTAAGGTGGGATGCAGCCCATGGATTGCTTGTGTTCCTGTCATTGTCCGTTCTAGATGACACGGTCGTTTTCTGGGCTTTATTGTGGATGCGATGGCTGCCTTGCCTCTCTGCACTATACCTTTTCCTTTAGCATTTTTGAGCGAAGGCGTTGGAAGGGAGACGCGGTCTGGCTTTGTCGGTTTGGTATGGATTGGGCAGGTGCATGATGTTTTTTCTAGCAGTCAGATCAATACCCTGGAGAGCGAATGAACGTTCGTATGATCGCTGCCTATTCTCATTGGGCGACACGCTGTCTACATGTATACGATCAAACCAGTGCGGCTGGTGACGGGAGGGGGTTTCTTTTCTTAGAGACGAAAAGTGGATATGGATGGAGCTGGGAGTGTTTAAGACTGGGGACGTGTCGTAATGGGCCAAGAGACAGATGCCGGGCCTTCCACGAGCGATGACTCTCGGGCTGCGGTTACAGCATTGCACAACTCTTGCAATACCCTCTCCATCATCTCCGGACTGTCATTCTCGCGATCCGCATTTGCCTGGGGATACTTTGTGAAGAGCTGCTCCGATCCAGACGGCCCGATTTAAGGTTTCGCCCGGCTTGCCTTTCCGAGAATTCTTCTCCCGCGACAAACACAGCGCTGGGCCACCCTTACCTGAACCTTACGCCCACCGCCCGCACCACACCACCCCCTCAACCTCCCACCGCCGGCCGACCACGCCATCGAACCCTCTCTCCAAACCCATTGCCGCCACGCGATCCCCTCCACGACGCACCTGAGTGAGTGTTCGCCGTCGCTCACCACCCCCTAAGCGAGCCCCACCGCAGCCCAGCAAGCCGTGAAAAATAACTGTTGCCAGCCTGTTGGGAAACCAGCCCGGCCCCCCTCGCACCGCCCTTTGTCAGCGCCTACGACCGACACGTCACGCCACGATACGATCTGACGCCGTTCGACGACGCGAGACCTCACGCCAGCAGTCCACCCGTCTCGCCACGCGCCCCTGGTGTTGTCTGACAGGAGAGAGAGAGAAACACAGATCCCGCCATCGACTAGGGATCAAACGGAAGTCGGAGACATCCAAAGACGGCTGTTGAGACATTGCTGGGAGATTGGTGAAGGACACAGGCGAGCTATATCTGCGCCCCTTTGCGAGCCTTGCGCTCCTTTCTCCCCTCCTCACATCCATCTCGGTACGTTTGCCATTCTCCCCTATCGCCATCCCCAACACTTGATCACCGCGGCGGCGGCGGTAAGACGGCTAGCAGAAGAGGTTTTCTGATCACCCCAACCTGCTACTGCCTCACTGCTCGCGTTGTTGTGGTCACGTGGTCGGTGAAGGCCGCCCTGGCCGCATCTCAGCACCACGACACCACACCATCTCACTACACGTCTTTGGCATCGCCTGGCGCAGGAATACATGAACTGACATCCCCCAGATTGTGCACGAAGGCGAAGTAGAGACGTTGGCACCGTGACGACCACCTTCCCCACGCTCCCGATACCACCCCACCTTTCCTCCACCCCCCACCGCCGCCGATCATGGCGGACCAAAACGATGTCGATCTCGACTCCATCATCGACCGCCTGCTCGAAGTGCGTGGCAGTCGCCCCGGCAAACAAGTGCAGCTGCTCGAGACGGAGATAAGATACTTGTGCACCAAGGCTCGCGAGATCTTCATCTCCCAGCCCATCCTCCTCGAGCTGGAGGCTCCAATCAAGGTAAGCTATACCGTACATCTTATCCGGAGGATACACCAAGCTCACATGTGTCTACCAGATCTGTGGCGACATCCACGGCCAATACTACGATCTCCTCCGTCTGTTCGAGTACGGAGGCTTCCCGCCCGAAGCCAACTACCTCTTCCTCGGAGACTACGTCGACCGTGGCAAGCAGTCGTTGGAGACCATCTGCCTGCTGCTGGCGTACAAGATCAAGTACCCGGAGAACTTCTTCATCCTGCGCGGCAACCACGAGTGTGCCTCGATCAACCGCATCTACGGCTTCTACGATGAGTGCAAGCGACGCTACAACATCAAACTATGGAAGACTTTTACGGATTGCTTCAACTGCTTGCCCATTGCTGCCATAATCGACGAGAAGATCTTCACCATGCACGGTGGCTTGAGCCCCGACCTGAACTCCATGGAGCAGATCCGCCGCGTGATGCGGCCCACTGACGTAAGCCTAGTAATCTCTGTGATCTTCCTCGAAGCACACACGCTAACATCTCACTAGATCCCGGATTGCGGCTTGCTCTGCGATTTGCTCTGGTCCGACCCCGACAAAGACATCACGGGATGGAGCGAGAACGATCGCGGCGTCTCCTTCACATTCGGCCCGGACGTTGTCTCGCGCTTCTTGCAAAAACACGACATGGACTTGATATGCCGTGCGCATCAAGTGGTCGAGGACGGGTACGAGTTCTTCTCCAAGCGTCAGCTGGTCACGCTGTTCTCCGCCCCCAACTACTGCGGCGAATTCGACAATGCGGGCGCCATGATGAGCGTGGACGAGTCCCTGCTGTGCTCCTTCCAGATCCTCAAGCCGGCGGAAAAGAAGCAGAAGTGAGTGCTCCGTAGACCTTGACAGAAACGTTTGGAGCTGCGCTGACAACACGTGACGTAACAGGTTCGGAAGACGATAGATGTGTTCGCGCCACGGGAACAAATCGTCGTGGGTGGAATTGCTTTTACGTCAACAGCACTTACTTCGGACAGTGCACGAGGATCAACGCCCATGTTGAGTGTCTTTGATGCCCTGTGGGCAGAGGGGATGCGCAAGTTGCAATGAATGCTATGGTATGGAGGAAGACACACGACTAGAACAGGATGGGGTAGGCGGGCGGGCAGGCAGGGCAGGCATGATGGCTTTCTTGGGGACCGGGAGTCGTGTACGATTGTGCGTGTGTTTTCTTGTCGCAAGTCCCAATCACCCCTGCTGTTCTGTACGCGTCGTTCCTTTTCGGTCGCGCTATCATGCTATCGATTTCTTTAAAGGGTTATGAGTGTGCTGCATGTGTTGAATGATTTGTCTCTCTGGACCTCTCTTGTTGATGGGCGCTTGATGCAAAGCATCACCTCTTTTCGCGCTCGTTCCCATGATGGGATGGATAGTTGCCTTCCGTCTCTACAGTGCTGTGCGCCATCACGACATATGCTTTACATTGCCTGCACCAGCAAGCACGTGCATCCCAACTAGATCGGAACGCGTGCCAACGCTGGAATGTGGGCCGTTGGAAAGCTCAGCTGGCAAGTGCACGCATGCATGCCTCAGGACGTGCATCTGCTGCCCAACTCGTCCCACATCCGTCTCTTCTCTGCCAACTCATGACTCCGGGGAAGAGGAGGAGAAGCTCACCGCTAGAGTAAGGTATTTAAAGTTTGGCCGAAGTGGCGGCGGCGACGGGCTGCGCCACCAACCACTCGCTGGCGTCGCGCGTTGATCGGACGACGGCGGGACGATCCCGCATCAACTTTGGGCAGCGCCTTCCCTTCGGAGCTTTCGAGGTGCCACACTTCGTTACTTGACACTCCAGAAATCTTCCGGTGCACGCTGTCGGGTCATTATCGATCCTCGAGAGAGCAGAAATCCTTCTTCTACGAGCTTTGTGATTAGGAGAAGGAGACGGTTGTATTGCACGACGAAACGAGACGGATATACTCTGCCCCGCGCCTAGCGAAGCAGTTCGATCCACCATCCGCTCACGATTCCACGACATTCATACGCATACGACCCCCACGAAATCATGAGAGCGATTTGACTGGCATGATCTAACCTCGTGCTGTCCGGCGCATCGAGCGCAGCAACAACGAATCGAACGAACCGCGAAATCAGCAAGCAATATGTCAACAGACGGCCTCGCTCCAGCGGGGAGCAGCTCATACCATTCCAATACCCTCAATGTCGGCGATGGCACGTGGGACAAGAGCCGCAACGATTTTCTCCTTCCCAACCTTCAAGGGTTGAACTTCGCGACAACACGCTACAATGGGATGGGCAATCGCTTCAAAGGCGAACCACAATATCACACCCTCGTCCTCGGGCACAGCGTAGTGGCGGCAATCACCTTCCTATTCATCCTACCTCTCGCGTTATTCCTGGCAAAATACGGGCACGATTGGCCCGGGGGAAGAGTGAGCTTCAAACTACACATCTACCTGCAAATCATCACCGTCTTTCTGTCCACCGTGGTCCTGGTCCTCGGCTGGTTCGCAGTGGGACCTGCACGGAGTCTGACGAATCCGCATCATGGCATCGGCGTTGCCATTTACGTCTTGATTCTATTCCAATTTCTTTACGGCTCATGCTGGTTCCGCAGGGAGAGGAGGAGAGTCGGCGCGCCCAGCAAGCTACCACTCACCGTATGGCTGCACCGATTGCTTGGCCGCTCGACAGCCCTCCTCGGTATCGTCGAAGTCGCGCTCGGCCTGGATTTATATGGCAGTCCGAAATACCTCTTCATCCTCTACTCGCTGTGGGGAGCATTTCTACTGCTCCTATATTTGGCGCTCGACTATTATTACATGCCGCGATACGACGGGACGAGACCAGGTCGTCCTCCGCCAGAGCAGTATTCAGATTACGGCAGCAGTTATGTGACAAACCAGGGCCGGCGTCCGCCACGAAAGGATGAACATCACTGGGGTCGGGATGCTCTGGCTGCAGTGGGCCTTGTCGGCGCGTACGAATGGTATAAAACGCGAAGAGACCGCAGAAGACAAGAGCGGGACGAGAAGTATGGAGATGTTGCCGACGGTGGATTCGCCCCTTCCTCGGCCCCGCCTGGACCGCCGGGTCAGCAGCCATACGGAGCGCCAGGGGACAGTATGGTTGGTGCTGGGGCGAGAAGGCCACAGAGCCGCATTTCGAGAGACTCATGGGAAGATGACAAGTACCATCGGCAGCAGCAGAACCACACCTGGCGTGATCGGTTTTTGGAGGCCACCGGTGCTTTTGCGGCGTACGAGGGAGTGAGACATTTCATCAACAAACGTAGAGGGCGGGAAGACGATTACTCGGAGGATGGCGGGTATGGGTCTGCGTTGGGTGGGAATCGCCCAATGCCCAGCGAGACAGATGTGTCTCGAGTCGAGGCCGGACATGCTCCGCAGTCTCCGGCAACTCCGAGAGTCAACATGAATGGCGCCGGGCCGATGACACCAACAATGACGCCTTCTCGGCCAGGCGCTACGATTGGTAATGCGGCAGTGCTGGGTGCTGATTCAGTGTCAAACGACAGCCGGTACGGCGGCGGAAGACCGCATCCCATACTTGAACCAGGAGCACCTCTCGGCGAACACATTCGAGAATTGGGGCCCATCGCTGGCCTTCGGGAATGGAACAGACAGCGCAAGTCACGGCGAGATTCCGATCGCGCGGATGTAATTCGACGACAGGAGCTTGAGCACGAGGAGAGCTTCAATCGGCGGAACTCCAACAACTACCCCCGACCGCAGGACGCCAATACTCGGATGAACAGCAACAGCGGCACTCTGCTCACCGGCCCAAACTCGGATATGAGTAGAGTCAACACGAGACCGGACACGAGTCATCCGCCTCTGCCGGCTGGAGCGGGCGCTTATGCTGCTAATGCCGGTCCTGGGTACCCCTACCCCCCTCCGCCTCCCGGGCCTCCGCCTACTTCTATCCGAGCTGATGGCTACAACGCCCAATCCGGCTGGGGGTCTGCACAGATGCCGCAAGGTGCTGTCACTCCGGATCCGGCAAGACTACTAAGAGACAACACTGCTGCCAACGAGTCGAGTGCCTATGGCAGAGATCCACGGATACGGGATGATTTGATGGGCGCAGCCGCCGCAGGAGCTGTAGGAGCTGTTGCCGCAGGCGCTCTTGCAGAACGCGAACGCCAGCGCCACCGAGCGCAGTCAGAATCGCCCACTCGAGCGCAAGGCAGCAGATTCCCACGACCCTCCGCAGCAGCAGCTTCCTACAACAACGTCACAGCGGGCCCCTCTTCCTCCCGACCAAACAACCCCAACAGCCCGCCCGTGAGCGTCCAAGTGCAAATGCACAACGACGGCCGGCACGTCACCCTCCGCCGCCTCAACGAAGAAGAAGCGGCAGCAAGCCGCGAATCCCGCCGTCAAGATCGACAAAACCGTCGCGGCGCAAGTCTCACTTCCCTCGGAGCCGAAGACGCCAGCACACCTCCCCTAGGCGGCCAACGCTACAGACGCAACGGCCCCGTGCGGCGATCCAGCGACCAGCCCATCACCAACGTCCCGCCTCCCCCACCCATGGCGAGCGCCACGTCCTTCAGGCGCGCATCCGAAGTGAACCTCCCCGCTCCACCGGCGATACAGCAATACCCGGCACAGCAATCTTCCCCCTTCTCGAATCAGGGGCTGAGCTCGCCGCCTTATCCTCCCGTTGGCGGGAGTGGACTGGGGGGCGGAGGGTATGGGACTGATCAGGGGACGGATATCAGTGCTTTTGAGAGTAATCGCCGAAGACGCAGGGCTGAGCGGGCGAGGAGGCAGGAGGCGGAGGCTGCGAGGGGAGTGGGAGAGAGGGGAGCGGAGTTTAGTTGAGGGGTGCATTGGGTCTTGGTGGGGTTTAAAGGGGCGTGATATTTTATTTTGGCCATGACATTTCGAGTCGACGTGCATGTGGTGAGCGACGTTCTTGTGCGTAGAACAATCGATACAAATTTCACAATATGCTGTGCCTACAGCCTTGTCGAAACCAACCATGGAAATAGAGTTTCAGGGCCCGCCAAAAAATTCTTGGGCCTTTCCGGCGGAAGCTTTTTTTATTCCCGCCCTCTCCCTTCATTCTTCCACACTACATCTTCCTACCACACTCGAACACCGTTACAGTATGGCGATCACTACCGAGCGACCCGCCAAGCGCGCCAAACTCCTCTCCGACGAGAGCAGTTCCGAGGCGGAAAGTGAAAGCGATGTCGCCGCTCCGGCCGCAGGCCCGACGAATGGATTCAAAGTCAACGAGGAGTATGCGCGGCGCTTTGAGCATAACAAGAAGCGAGAGGAGATGCATCGGTTGGAGGAAAAGTACCACTCCCAGCCGAATAAGGATGGCAAAGGGAGAGCGAGGGGAGGAAAGTTTGGTGAAGAAGAGGACGATGAGGAGGATAGCGAAGAGGATGAATCCGAAGACGATGACGGAGATTTGGCGACTCGCGATGTGGACGAGGAGATTTTCGCCACGCTCAAGGCTATCAAAGAGAAGGATCCGAGGGTTTACGATAAGGGTGTTACGTTTTATCGGGAGTTTGAGGGGGATGTGGAGGGCGAGGCGGCGGGGAAGCAGAGCGGTAAGGAGAAGCCGGTGTACTTGCAGGACTATCATCGGCAGAATTTATTGGCGGGGTATACCGGGGAGGAGCATGAGGAGGCTGATGACGTTCCGCCGACATATGATCAAGAGCAGGATGCTGTGAGGCAGCAGCTTGTCGATTCCATGCATACAACTGCCGCCGGGACCGTGGACGACGATGAAGATGGCGCCGATGACGACGACGACGACTTTCTGGTCACTAAGTCGAAGACGAAGCCTGCTGCTACTGCTGCTGCAGTTTCGGCCAACGGAGTACACCCTGCGCGAGCGACTCGTATCAAAGACCGCTCCAAACTCATCACCGATCAGGACGTGGCGGCTGCCGACCAAGATCCCGAAAGGTACCTGTCCAACTTTATGGCTGCTCGCGCTTGGGTGCCCAGTGAGACATCGCGCTGGCAGGCCTTCGACTCGGACGATAGCGATGAAGAAAAGCGAGCCGATGAATTCGAAGAGGCGTACAACCTGCGATTCGAAGATCCCAATACCGCAAACGAGAAGCTGCAATCCTTCGCTCGAGATGTAGGCAAGTACGGAGTGCGGCGCGATGAGAAGACTGCGCGGCAGAAGCAAAGAGACCGAGAGCGGGAGACGAAGGATATGGCTAAAAGGGAACGCGAGGAGGAGAGGGCGAGGTTGAGGAAATTGAAGATTGAAGAGGCGGAGGAGAAGGTGAAGAAAATCAAAGAGGCGGCGGGGATGGCAAAGGGGGAGGAAATTGATGTGAGCGAGTGGAAGGATGTTCTTGATGGGGATTTCGACGATGACATGTGGGAGAAGGAGATGAAGAGGAGGTTCGGGGATGATTATTACGCGGGAGGCGAGGAGAAGGTAGAGAAGCCAACGTGGGATGATGATATTGCTATTGACGATCTCGTGCCGGATTTCGAGAAGACCGAGACCCAAGTCGCGTTTACGCTATCTTCGGATGAAGATGAAGTGGAGGAGGGAGGGGCCGAAGAGGCTGCCCAGGAGTCCGACGAGGACGAGGACGAACGTCCATCAAAGCGAAGCAAAGGCAAGAAGAAAGACCACAAAAAGGAAAAGGCGGAAGCCAAGCGGACGGCACGCCGCGAAAGACGACAAATCGAGTCCATCGTCGATTCGTCCCTTCCGCTCTCACACCCTAGTCTGGCTTCTTCCAGCACGACGGCCAAGGAACCAGTGATTGGCTTCCGCTACCGCGAAACATCCCCCATTACGTTTGGGTTGAGCGCGCGTGATATCCTCTTTGCGGACGACACGCAACTGAACCAGTATGCTGGCTTGAAGAAGATGGCCGCCTTCCGGGATGCGGAGAAGAAGAGGCGTGATAAGAAGAAGTATTCCAAGAAGGGACGACTAAGGGAGTGGAGGAGGGAGGTGTTTGGAAGCGTGGATGGGCCAAAGGATCCGGTTGGGAGTGCGGTTGTTGGTGGTGAGGGCGAGGAGCGAAAGCAGACGAGCGTGAAGGTGGGCACTGATCAACCGGACAATGTGGTTGAAGGGAAACGCGGGGGCAAGAAGAGGAAGAGGAAGAGCAAGGCTGGCACAAGTGGAGGGCAGGTTTTCGAGTTTCTGGGTAGCATGTAGAGCCTACATGCAACACGTGCACGCGCGAGGCTGCCGCTGATTCATCATCTCGTAATCCAATTGCCCCACTCTACGTCACGTCCTGGAATCTCAGGCACCTTATCCTGGATCCAACATCAGCACATCAACATCACATCCCAACCATGTCCAGCTAACAACCCACAATGACGGAACCCACCGCCGGCCTCACCGCCGAGCAATCCCACGCCCTCTTCGACATCCTCACCCACAAAGAAACCTACGCCGAAATCGAAGCCTTCAAACTCCCCGGCGCCATCCGCACCTACGGCCCTCCCTTCCAAGACGCCGCCACGCCGAGCACCTCGCCCGTCCTGCAAACCCTCGTCTCCAAATTCGCCCTCCCCCTGCCCGGCCTGCGCGATGTCAACCCCGACTTCTGGCGCGTGCAAGTGGAAGATTTGATCCAGGAGTTGGCCGAAGCGGAGCTGAGCGAGAGTTACGACAAGGGCGTGCTCGGCGTGCGGAAGACGCTTGCGACGGCCATTTCGGCGCTTATCGAGTACCCTGCTCGAGGATGCTTGGGCGGGGTGGAGAAGAGGGAGGTGAAGAGGCGGGAGTATGATGTCAACAACGCGGAGGATGTGCTGGCCGCTTGGGACGATTGTTTGCAGGAGCTGGTGTATGGGGATTTGGTGGATGAGTTGGTGGAGAAGACGGCGGAGACGGATGATTTGACGCAGCATAGTACCTTGGTGCAAGGGATGCATGAGTTTATTGTTGTAAAGTAGGTATGGCGAGCCTGCGTCTGCTGCATGGGTGCCCGTTCTCTGGAGAGCTGAATCGCTAACTCGATACGCAGTCTTGCTTCGCTCATGCATTATACGCTCATCTTGTCGCCGGAGGGCCCGACTCTGCTACGCATGATGGAGAATGCGAATCGGCTTATACCTTACGTGGTTGTGCGGCAGACGCTCAAGATTGGCAATGTGGCTACGATGCTCAGTGCGATGATGCGGGTGATTTTGGCCAAGGTGAGCATGGCAAGCATGACGAATTGGATGGGTTTGAGCACTGGTGCGGATGAGGGCATGAACTTGTTGGAGCAGTGAGTCCATTCCTCTCAATGGCTTCATCCCATGGCTGATGAGCGACAACCAGAATCATTTCGCAAGTCCTGGCATGGGATAAGCGCGACCTACGACAACGGGCGGACAAGATCGAAAAAGACAAGTCCGCCCTTCCGAAAGACGTACGAGACGCACTCATGGAATGGGTGACCAACGCGAGCCGCGAAGAGCACGAAGAATGCCGCCGCATGAGCCGCGAGCAAGACATGTCCATCGTCGCCGTCATCCTCCTCCTCTCCTCCGGCCCATCCGTCGACGACCTCACCGAAGCACAACACGCCAAAGCCCTCGAGTACCTGAGTCTGCGCCTGGGCGTACGCGACCGCGAGGAAATCGTGCGCGTCATCTGTCATCGCACTCCGGACCATCTCACCACCCTCATCAACCAGTGCGTCACAGCCTACACGCCCATGATCCGCCAGGTGCACCAAGCGGTGAACCTCAGCGACACGATGTGGGATTTCGAGCGCTTCGTATCAGACATGCTGAAGATGTCGAAGCCCGCGCCGGACAAGAAGGGTGGCGAAGCGCGCGTGCCGACCGTGGAAGACTACGTCGACCTCCTGCACCGCCACCAACAAAGCACGCACAAATTCCTGCACCAGATCGCCAAGAACGGCAAAGAAGTGGTAACCTGGTGGCGCGACTACCTGCACAAAGCCGTAAGCCAGTTCCGCAAAGACGGCGCGCAACCAACCTCTTCCACCGAGTCCTCCACCTCAAAGAACAACAACAACATCCACCAGTCCCTCGCCTCCATCTTCGCCTCTCTGCCTCCCACCGAGCAATCCGAAATCCGCACCGAACTCAACAGCCACGCCACCTACCTCTCAAACCTGCACGCCGCCTCCGCAGCGCGCATCACCTCCGTCATCGACCGCACACACTCCACCCCCTACGGGCCCGGCGCGTACCTAGCCCGCTGGCAGAATCTGCTGGACACGACGCTCATCACGCCCGCCAAGGCCGACGGGCCGGTACGGAGGGGTGCGAATCGCGGCGTCAAGGCCGAAGGGAGGAAGGATGTGGAGGGGAATGAGGCTGGGTTTATGGCGCAGGGGGAGGTGGAGAAGGTGGTTGATGAGGGGATTCCGGAGGCCCCCGCGGTGGAGAGGACGTTGGAGGTGTTTGGGGCGAGGTTTAGGGAGATTTTGGGCGGGGGGTGAGAGGAGGCTTCGGTTGGGTTTTAATGGCGTGTAATGGGGCGGACGGCTGTAATTGTGATTTTTTACGAAGTATAGATAGATGACCTCAAAAGACGCACAATGAGATGTATCTTTCTGCATAGTCTGACCAGTATTATCACATCAAATTCTTTTCATATACTATCTCAAGCAGGGCATTCCGCATGTCCCTCCACCCATTGACCGACCCTCTCGCCCACCCATCCGCTATGAACAACAGCACCCTCCGCTTCCATATCTACGAACTTCTTGCCGAGTCGAATGGATTTGCTCATGAAGCATTCGGAGCGCTTCGCTTTGGCCGAGTGGAAAGAGAATTGCAAGCACTCCTCTACTTCTCGACACGCAGTCTTGCAAGCTGTGAAGGAGTTGTGCCGATCTCGAACGATTTTCGTCTCGCTGTCGCTCGTAGGGACGATAGCGTAGGCGTCGTTGTCCGAGCCGTTGTCCCACATTTCCATCCACGTGGGCGGGGCGCCGGAGGGGAAGACGAGGGGATAGAGATTTTTGTACATGAACCCGGCGAAATCTCTGGCCTTTTCGAAGTCGAAGAGTTGCTGGAAGTGCGCGGCGTCGATGTAGTGCAGGGTAATGACGGGTTTGCACCAGGTGTCAGCGGCGAAGGGGACGTTGGCTGGGTTGTCGCTTTGCAGCATGGGGAGGAGATTGGTGACTTGTAGCTTCAGCACTTCGTCAAACGTGTTGGCTAGCACGTAGTCGCCGAACCACGCTACGCGGAAGCGCCAGTCGTGCTTCACGGCGAGGCCCTTGTGCGTGACGGCGAAGTCTCTCACCGTCGCGCCGGAGAGGATGAAGCCGCTGCCGCCGTGGGCGAAGTGGAAGACGATATCCCGCTCGTACATGCGCACCGCGTTGCCGAAGTACCATCTCTCCGTGGGATCCTGGGTGGCGAGGAAGGCGGCGAGGTTGGGGAGGGAGAGGTATGTGTCTGTTTCGATGAAAACGTACCAGTCTTTATCCGGCTGGTACTCCCACGCGCGATCGATCATGTGCAGGAATTTGTACTTGTCCAGGCCCCAGCCGGCTGACTTGCCTATCGTGCGCCAGTCGGGCGAGGCAATGGGCAGGCTGGCGAGGGCGGGGATGTCGGCTTCGCGGCCTCGCGATGCGAGGTCTTTTTGCTGGTAGTATAGATCGAAGTCCTCATTGCGGTAGGTGCCTTCTCCCCCGACTCGGGACAAGACGTCGTGGATTTGATACGTGCCGAGGGTCTGGTCCAGGTCCGAGAAGATGAGCGGGTCGGGGACGCAGCTCAAGCATGTGGACAGCTGAGGAGGCAGCTTGGCCTTAGCTTCGATAGCGCCTGTTTTCGTGATGACGACAATATTGCTGATATTGACGGCGTCGCAGTACGAGGCACGTGTCAGCTTGGGTGCGCGATGTGCTGCTTCTGGCGTGCGGAAGCTCTGTGCTCTGCCATCTGGACTCCAGTCGTGAGTGATGGTGGGTGGGGCAAGAGAGGCTTGTTCCCAGAGGGACGGGGGCTCGCGTGCCGTCCAGACTCGAAGGGCGAGGAATATACATGTTGCAATCAGGGTCAGGAGGCCGACTCGGAGCAGTCGTCGGACGCCACGCGTGCCCAGCATGGCGGGCGAGGATGGACTAGCGCGTGCTCGCTTTGGGGTGCTCCCATCTCGTCGAGCGCTCGAATAGGCCCGATATGGAGCTGGATCGATGTTGGCTAGGAGGCCATTCGGACCGTATCAAGCCCACCTGCCTATCCAAGAAGTGCAGCGCCTAGGGCGATGCGGCTGAGGTGGGCGTGGGGGTGCAATTAAGCATGAGGTGGATGAGGTGATGGAAGGAGAAGGAAATGAAGTTGATAGGCTGTTGTTAGCGCTGTTTCTGGCTCAACTCTGATTCGGTTTTCCATCGATCAAGGACTTGATCATTTCTCCATTTGTGTTTCTTTACAAAGGTTTCCCCGACCTTCATGTCATGAAGAACTAGTGGTTGTAGCGGGCTATCGAGTCTCCGACCCCCCATGCCGAATGCTTGGACGTGCAATCACCACGTCCGCGAGCGTGAACGGTCTAACCTAATGTGGCCATGCATGAAGCTAACCTAATGCGGCTTTGCACCACCGAAACCCTGTCCCGACTTCAACCACGTGCTCAGCCTTGCGAATGAAAGCCTAGATTGCCCTTGGATTCCCTCACCGTCCACGAACACCATGGACGCCTAGAGCTTTGTGGAGTCGGATAACAGTCAGCCAGATTGTGGGACCCTTTGATTCCAGCGAGCTGAAGATATAGAACTCGATAAATAGGACAATCTTCAATGTCCGGTTTCATGCCCTTTCCATCTCCTCATCCGTTCCTTCCAACCCCCAATCAATCATTCCAACATGGCGACACCAAAGCCCCTTCCCGATCTCAAGATCCCTTTCTCCCAACACACCGTCAGCGTAAGCATCATCGACACCACAGTCCGCATCACCGGCCTCCCCACCGCCGCCTTCACCCAACCCGAAATCCCCGGCTACTCCGTCATCGTCGGCGGCTGCGCGTACAGCTTTCTGATCAAACACAACAACCCCGCCGCCTCGGGCAAATACGGCAACCTGCTTTTCGATCTCGGCGTGAGGAAAGATGTCGAGAATAGTCCGAAAGTCGTCGTCGATCAGGCTATCGCGGCGGGCTTCCAGATGGATATCAAAAAGAATGTGTACGATATCCTGAAAGACGCGGGCGACGATCCTGCTGATGTGGGAGGGATCATTTGGTCTCATTATCACGTTGTAAGTCGTCGATCCAACCCCTTTTGGTCGAAATGGCCAACGACTAACAACCCCAACAGGATCACACAGGCGACCCCTCCGTCTTCCCCTCTACAACAGACCTCATAGTCGGCCCAGGCTTTAAAAACGCCTTCGTCCCCGCCTGGCCAACCGTCACAGACAGCCCCGTCGACGAAAGAGCCTGGGCAGACCGCATGCTGCTCGAAATCGACTTCGCCGGCCCCGGCAGCCTGACACTAGGCCGCTACCGAGCCCACGACTTCTACGGCGACGGCAGCTTCTACCTCATCGACTCGCCAGGGCACGCGGTAGGACACATGTGCGCTCTGGCGCGTACTTCCGCCAACCCCCCTGAATTTGTGCTTTTGGGCGGTGACGTGGCGCATCATGGGAGCGAGTTCAGGCCTAGTGAGTATGTGCCGCTTCCGGCGGAGATTGAGCCGAATCCGCTCGTGGCGCCGTTTGCGAAGGCGACGTTTGTGTGTCCTGGGTCGATTTTCGAGGCGATTCATCCGCTGAAGAGCTCGACGCAGCCGTTTGTGAAGGCGGTGGGGTTCATTCATGATGATGCGCGCGGCGCGTGTGAGAGTGTGGACAAGCTGTTGGATTTCGACGCGCAGGAGAACATATTTTCCGTTATTGCGCATGATTTGACGCTCATGGATGTGGTGGAACTTTACCCCAAGACGCTGAATGATTGGAAGAAGAAGGGGTTCAAGGAGCAGGGATTTTGGCGGTTCTTGAGGAACTTTGACACAGGCAAGGAAGAGTACAAACCTGCTTGAAGCGATATGGTCGTAGCCTGAGCGTGGTGTAGAAGAGGAAGTAGCGACATCGTGTACAAGGACTAGACGTAGTCGAGAGACGGTCCTAGTACTCAAAGCATTCCTCTCCCTCGCCGATGCGACAATTCTAACCGTCATCCCGAACTCTGCTCCGCGTCAAGCTCGGGCAGCACACGCTTCACAACCTGCACGTGATCCGCAGCATTCGCACTGAACATGACCTTGGCCTTGCCCTTCCCCTGCACGATAATCGTATTGACCAAATCCTCAAATAGAGGCGTTAGTGACGGAATAATCCTCAGTCCGGCGCCGAGGAAGTAAGCATCCCACTCTCCGCCATGCGGTGGTCCATCTTTGACGACCTTTTTGAACGCCGCCACGCTTTCTGGTGACTCGGCCGGGGCTTCGTGATCGAGGTCGAAGCGCTGGTAGTACAGGCCTGGGATAGCTTTGAGCCCGTCGATGGAAGTGTCGAGCGTCTTGCCGAAAGCCGCCGTGTCGAGGTTGGGGTTGAGACGTTTGGTGGCGGGCATTGTCAAACCGGTGATGAGTAGAGAGATTCGTCGAGACATCATTAAGCAATGTCGCTCTTCCAATTGTGTTTTGTCGAGTTTGTTGGATTCAGCTGAGAGTGAATAGAAGTCCATGGGGGCGAGATCTAGGCCCGCTTTATGTATGGGGGCGCTAGCGTGCCGCTAGTCACGGCCCTGGATTCCACCATCTTGCAAGCTCCACCGACCCATTCTTAGGTTGGAGGCAGCTGATTAGCCTCTGCAGATGCTCTCAATAGTGCGGATGATTCTGGCGATGCTTGACTTTCATAGTCCTCGCTGTAGAGACCTCGAATCGCCATCCACTCTTGTCGAGGGAATGCTGAAGCCAATTGCACCAGGTCACGTCTGCCGTATGATATGCCTATGAGCATCAAGGTATCCGAGCAGAGCATGGGCTTCCTCCTTGATCTCCACTGGTGCATATTCCAGGCTGGCGATAGTCCGCAGGGGAGACTTCACGGTAAGAACGCCGGTGTCGTTCAGCGTCTGAGGATCGGAAGTAGGACTGCCCGCAAGGCCAAGGATGCCGGGAATCATGTCCAGAATGTGCCGGCATGTCGTGTGTAGCTCACGTAGGTCCAATTGCGTAGTTTCCAGAGAGTCTCGTGGTCGGCCAACACCATCGTCGGTGGTACGTTCAGACGAGAACATTTGAGTGCGAAGTGCGATGAGCGTATCCAGCGCTTTCATGACGCATGTATGGAAGAGCAGACGGTCACTTGCCATCCTTCCGTTGTCGAATACCAGAGTTGTAGTCCTCGGAAAGACTCGACTCAATGGCATGTCCACACTGAAGTCAACTCGTCGTGGACGCGGCACAGACGAATTAACTTCACACCATTGTCGCGCTTCCTGCGTCAAGCTGCGTAGTCGGGCACTGAGATGCGACATGCTTTCCAGTCGCGAGTTCTCGTCGGGGTTCTCTCGCTCCTCTTTGACTTGAGCCATGATGCCACAAGCAGCAGTGACAAAGTTGATGGTCCGCACTTCAGGCCGACTGTCGTCCTCGACTGCGTACCCACGCATATCCATCGAGGCTGTCAGCTGCTTTCCGCAGAAGAGCTGTCTGACCTGAATACGTTGATAGGCGGAGCGCCATAACGGGTAGCCTTGTTCTTGTGTCATGATATCGCCACTGCGAAGCTCGAGAAGTCGCAGAATCGCCGAGGTATGGATGCCCAATGGATCAGTGCGGTTTAAATACAATACCTTTAGAACGTCAGATGGTGGTCAACATAGAATTTAACTGACACATACCTCAAACGCGTCCACAGCAAGGATCGCAGCGAGAACCTCGTTGCTCGGCGCAAACAGAGGGTCGGCAAGGTCATGCCGCAAGCGTTGAAGAGTGCCGAAATAAGCTTGGTAGCTTTTGCTCCCTGGGTTTCCATGCCGCTCTAGGGCCGCCAAATCGGCATACGCGGTGGCTAGAATCGCCTTTGATATTGCGCTGTCCCTGTTCGAGGTCTGCAGGAGTGCAGGCATGGAGTCGAGGCAGCCCAGACATGTGACTCCGGAGGACCAGCGGCCAATAAAGCGCTGCAAAACCCGGTCATCCAGCTCGTGCAAAATCGGAGGGCCGAGTTGGAAGTCGGGATGTTGTGGATCCGGCAAGGCGCTCGGGCTGGTCTCTTGTAGCATGCGAACGTCTAGTGGAATCGGCGCTCGTCTTCGACTGGCCTCTCGAGCTCGCCTGCTCGCAGCCCGTCGACTGGCGAAAGCGGCAGCGGCATTCTGGTCCACAAAGTCAAAGGCGACGGGACGAGCTGGATACACGCAGACCAGTGCATTTGCCGTGCATCTCCCACAGACTGGCCGCTCAAGATCGCAGACGCTATCCGTCGCTCGACACGCTTCGCACTTCTGCCGTGTCTCCATACTCAGGCCTGGAGTTTAGAGGAGAAGGGAGATGAATTCGAATCCTTTCATCCTTCACACTGGGGTGAGAATGTTTGCGGCCAGCCATGACTTAAACATTGGTCGAACGAGTGCATCCAACAGGGGAGATGAGTTTGTCCGTGTCCGTGATTACTCTGCCTCGTCCGGGTCTTGGGCGTGGTGTACGGCCGAGGACAGCGCTGACGTAGCCGCGAGGCGCTTGCTCTTTCCCCAAGCGGCTAGGCGGGAAGACATCGGCAACCTCAGCTCGCGACTCGTCTTCGGAACAATTCACATTCGACCTTTCTATTCCCTTCCAGCACCCACACACGCGTGTATCCGATCGAGCGATGGCTTTTCAACAGCCTGTCTTCGTGCTGGTAGCGGCAGCCATGAAAGAGTAGGCATGCCGCATGGCAAAGACGATGAGCTCGAACTGCACTCACTCGGCCCGGCAAAGATGGAAACGGAGCAGACGGAAAGCCGACTGCTGCGCGACGACGAGCGCGTGATTGACGATGGATTGTTGGAGGATGAGGATCCACTGGCGTCCAAAGAAGACGAGGAGTTCACACGTGGCAGCGCGCTCGACCGCAGCACCAAGCGGAAACTCGATTTCGTCCTGCTTCCCTTCCTCGCGCTGCTCTTCCTCCTCAACAGCGTGGACAAGAGCAACATCGGCAATGCGGAGACAGCAGGGTTCACAACCGACGCCGGTCTCGCGCCGGGAGATTTGAACGTGTCCATGGGCTTCTTCTTCGCCTTCTTCGTCGCGCTACAACCTGTCGGCGCCGCGCTGGGCAGGAAATTCGGCATGGTGCGATGGGTGCCAGCTTGCATGAGTCTGTGGGGCTTGTGCACTCTCCTGCACATCTGGGTGCGAGCGAAATGGCAGCTGATCCTCTTGCGGATTACGATTGCCATCCTCGAATCTGGCTTCTACCCCACCACCGTGGCGTATTTGAGCTTGTTCTACACGCGCTATGAATTTGCTGTTCGCCTCAGCTTGTTTTACGGTCAGACTGCTGTCGCGGGTGTAATTGGCGGCGTGCTTAGCTGGGCGGTCTTCAGCGGGTATGAGACGAGGCCAGGTCAAGACGCACCGGAGGAACACGGAGGTCTGCGGGGCTGGCAGGTTCTGTTCCTACTCGAGGGATGCTTGACCATGGCGGTCGCGCTTCTGGGCTTTTTCTGGCTACCTCGCAGTGCAGACACCGCCTGGTTCTTCAACGACCGACAAAAGATATGGGCTGAGAAGCGCATACGCATGGATTACCAGGATGCCTCCATCTTCAACAATGCATCCCGCACGCCCGACTCCAGATCTAGCTCTCACGGCCAAGAGGACCCTCTCGTTCGACAACCTTCAACCTCTCGGTATGATCCCGACACCCACCCCGACGAAGCGCACCGCCGCCTCCTGAACGAAACGCACCCCCCCGAACCCTCAACCCCACCAAACTCCCTAACCGCACACGCCGGCCTGACAAAAACCGACATCCTCACCGCCTTCCTCTCCCCCAAAATCTACCACCTCCTCGCAGTCAACATCCTCTCCTCCATCCCGGCAACAGCCTTCTCCATCTTCCTCCCCCTAGTCATAACCCAACTCTCGCCGAGCCTCAACCTCCGCCCCTCCGAATCAAACCTGCTCTCCGCCCCGCCCTTCGCCTTCGGCGCCACCCTCCTCTTCCTCTTCGCCCGCTGGTCCGACAAGCGGCGCACCCGCCTGGTCCCCATCCTCGTCGGCCTCGCCATCCTCCTCGTAGGGTTGACACTCACGGTCCTCGTGCCCCTCTCCTCCTACATCCTGCGCTACGCGGCTCTCTGCCTCCTGCTAAGCGGCAGCTTCATCGCGTCCCCGCTAACCGTAGCGTGGATAACGAACAACACGCCCGAACCCGGCAAACGGGCGGTCCTGCTCGGCATCAACGGCTGGGGAAACTTAGCAGGCGTGTTTCTCTCCGTGCTCTTCACGCCGAAAGACCGCGTGAACGGGTACGTGCGGCCGTTTGTCATTACGCTGCTCTGTGCCGTGGCGAGTTTCGCGGGCTACGTCGTGTTCTACGTCTTGCTGTGGAGGGAGAATCGGTGGCGGGAGAGGGTGGTTGGCGGGTGGAGCGAGGAGGAGCGCGAGCGCGAGGGGCGGTGTGGGGATGTGCGGATTCCGATGTCGAGGGGGATGGTGCTTTTGCTGCGGCTGCGGCGGTGGGCGGGGCTGGAGGAGGCGAGGGTGGGAGATGAGAGGCTGACGTTTCGATATGGGCTTTAGAATGCCCAAGTCCAAAGTCGTGTATGCATGATTCAGTCTACTCAACATAGAGGACTGCTACGTCGCCCATGTCTTCTAGCAGCTGCCTCCCCGTATGTACCATGCTCGACTTCCAACACAATGTGTATACGCAAAGCACTCCTCGCGACATTGTAACCGCTCGTTCCCGCTCCACATCAAAGCGAAGCAAAAAAAGACACAGGGCGCTCATCGACCAAAAGCAGAAGCCTGAGCCATCCCCATACCCATAGAAAGGTGATTACGCTTGTGAAATGCGCCGATAGGTTGGAAGCCCCTGTGGAGAGAAAATTGTCAGCTTTCGTTACCGTCTTTGTGGTTGAGGGTCACTCACTTTGCAAGATCGATGCCTTCGTCTTCTCCATCGTCGTGATATCCATTGGTGTGCGCGGCAGCGGAGTAGGCGAATGAATTATTGTTCGTAGGGCCAGTGTGCGGCTGGGTGAGGGGAGCAGTGTAGCCGTTCGCAGTCGGTTGTGCGACATCTGGGACACCCGTCGATGCAGCGCTCGGCTTCGCGGGAGCAGATGTCAATGGAGGGAGGGGCGAGGTCGTGGTCACTTGCGAGTCCCGTGAATCAGGCCGCGTCGCATCGCCATCGACGGTGGAGGCTGGCTGTTCCTGCTTCGCGGCTTCTTTCGTGGCGGAAGCCAACTGGCTCAAAGTTTTCGCCACGGCGGTTGCAGGCCTGGATAGAGTCGGACTGGCGTCGATCGGGTCTTCCGAACTGTTGGCCCTAGGTGGACTGCTGGAGTGGATGACGGGACTTCCATCGCGCTTCGTCGACCCGGTTTGCTCGTTTTCCACTGGACTCTCTGCCTTCTCCGCGGACTCGTCCTCGCCCTTATTGACGCTGCCATCTTCCTTCTTAAGGCTTGCGAACGGCGTCTTGAGCGGGCTCAGATCGTACGGCTTGAACGGTGTGCTGCCAATCAGGCCTTCCATCTTCCAGAAAGGAGCCGGGCTGCTGAATTGGATGAAGTCGCTAGGACGCCGCAGGGTGCTTGGTGGCGCGAGACGCTGCATCGGACGAAGTGGGAAGGGCGTGTCCAGGGGACCCACGCGTGTCTCGTCATTGACATACAAAGCAGGTGGAGAGCCAGCAGCGTTGGCAATGGCGGTGAGTCCGTTCCTCGGCGTGGAGCGAGAGAGGTAGTCGTACCCCTGTCCTTCCCCGTTCATGCCCAATCCCATGTTCGGATCGAATTGGCGCTTGGGCCCGCGTTCGGGGGTGTAGGCTTCCTTTGCAGATGGATAGCCTGGGTATGCGCTCAGAGGTGGCGTGGTGTCGTTGTCACGCTTCACTGCGCCACCTGCGCCGGCTGCTTTCATCAGATGCATTGGGCTGGTTGGGCTGCCCAGCACGCTCTGTGCGCCTGTGCCGACCAATGGATTCGGCCTCCGGCATCCCTTCATTCCTTGCTGCACAAACGTCTCAAACTCGCTTGGCTCGATCATCCACTTCATACCCTTGCCAGGCTCATCCGTTCTGCGCGCAATCTTGGTGAATGCCTTGTTGAGACTGAGATTGTGACGGATGCTGTTCTGCCAGCCGCCAGTGTTGAAGCGGTAGAATGCGTAGTTGGCCATGATCCACTTGTAGATGTTGGAGAGCGTCATCTGTTGCTCCTGCGTGCTGAGAATGGCCATGCCAATCAGCTGGGCATAGGAATGCGGAGGTTTCAAGTCTTTGGCGCTGTCGGCGGAGTAGTCGATGCTCTCGGTTGACTCCATCATCACGCCCCGAGCGTAGTTGGCCGCTGGAGAGGATTTATGGGTGTACTGCTGGACGCGCAGAGGGGTGCCGGGAGCGCCTTGAAGGTTGGCGTTCTGACTGTGGGGATGTGTGCGGCGTTGCTGGGTGGAGAAGTCGGCGTTGCCGTAAACACTTGAGTCTTGGAGCTGGCTACGGCCAGTGGGATGGCCTGGGCCACGATTGTTGGAGCGAGGGTCATCTTCGCCTTCATCGTCCTCTTCGGAGGACTTCTGGGCTTGTCGAACAATGCTGCCGTCCCACACCGGCCCATGCCCATCCTGCCCGGCGGTCGTGATGAATGCCATTTGGGTGCTGGCAATCTCTATGACACTACCGTTGCGGAGATACGTCTTGGCCCCTCTCTTCAGAAGGTTGTTGTCGAGTCGCAAGCCGTTGCGGCCATTGACGATGATGAACCACTGCATCGTCTCGGAGTCATAGGAGATGATGGCATGGGAGCGCGACACCTGGCGATCTGGCCCGAGATCGATGTCAACGACCGTCCGCGCGCTAGGTCCTGGTGGGTGACCATTTTCCTCCGGCACCAGCTTCTCGGTCGCTTCAGGTCTTCCAATATTGATCTCCACCTTGCGGATTATAAACGCCCAGTCCCGACCGGCAATCTTTCCATAGCCCGGCACGTTTTCCTGCCCTTCCAACAAATCGTTGGCAAAGTCTTCCGTCGCGTTGACATGGCGATCGGCAACCTTGAGGTGCGCGATAATCTCCGCCTCGGTGGGCAGGACGGGCTCGGCCTCGGTATCGGTGTGATCCTGGGGCTCGGTGCCCTCGGTGTCTTCTCGATCTAGAGCTCTTGTGTCTCGTAGCTTGCGTCTGGTATTCCTAGATCCAGGAGCGACGGGCTCCGACGCTCTTGCACGCTTTCTCGAGGAGCGGGATGGAGTGGTGATGGCTTCGGGGGTGTCGACGTCGGAAGCCTCGTGTGCTTCGGTGGCCGGCGCTCGTCGTACTCGGGTCTTACCCTTGCGTCCGGAGGGCGGCATGGTGGATGATGAGGTGGGTGTGGGTATGCGTAAGACACTGGTTTGCCGGGTTCGTTTAGGCTAATGAGACTGCTCAGGAAGTCGTCGAACAGACTGGTATTAGGCGCGGATAGAAGGTGACAGCGCGTTTGCGGATGGGCGACGACAGCAGTGTGAAATGCGGTCTGACAATCGCGTACGGTCGTGCAAGACCTCTTCGGTCAGAGATGTCGGGTCGGTGGATGAAGGCTGCGTCGCGTCGAAGAAGAGGAATGCAGGAAGTTGCGCGGCGCCCTACTCCATCTATCACCATCAAACACGTTCCGTACACTTCCTCAGATGGCCAGGAGGAGATGCAGAGCGCGCGTAAAGTGGTGGGTCGAGGGAATGGGTGGGTGGATGAAGAAAGTGGCTGCCGGCGCGACGAGGAAAGAGTGGAATCGTGGATTGGGACAAGCGCAGCCCGGCGGCGGGAAGTCCCTGTCCGGTGTTTACGCGAGTTCAAAGAAGGATTTTGCCGAGTCGTCGCTGCCTGTCGTCGGACTTGGCTGGGGAACTTTCAAGGTAGTGTCGGACTGGACTTCTTGCTGGGATTGGAAGGGAACGACAAGGGCCTTGACACGCGATCCAAGCACTCTATCGACGAAATTGAAAAGTGCGGCGCGAGGTTCTTCGCAAACCCACGGTCCAGCCATGAGGAAAAGGTAACACAAAGGTAACACACCCCATTGGGTTTAGCGTGCCTCTCGGCCTGCATGAATGACGTTTTTTGTTTGCTCGAGGACAACACGCTCCTGCCGATGTTTCAACGCGGCCTTGTCAAGCGCGTAGGAAAGCTCAATATCACACACCATATGAAGTGCAGTGCGATGAAGGAAAGGCAACGAAGAACATTGAAGAGGTGATTGTTCGCCATCCAAAGCTAGTCTACCCATAGTCACACCCCCGGCATCCCCAACACCTTCCTCAACCCCGGCACCGCCCTGGGGAGGAAGTAGACTGTATATATCGCTCCAAAAGCCACCAAAAACCCCGTAAACTTCTCAAACCAAGTGTGGAAGTACGCGGCAGTCATGAGCAACATCCACCAGCTCAAGCCCGCCACACCCAGCGCCGCCGACAGCCCAATGCCCATCTCTTTGCTTCTCCCCTCGCCCTCTCTCGAAGGCTTCTCCGTCTCGATGGACGCGCTTCGAATGAGTCCGTCGGCAGTCACCACGCGTCGAGCCTCCCGTAATCCTTCCGTCCTCATCACGGCTGGCAGAAGCTCGAGCCAGAGCATGGCGCTGCCCAAGATGAGCAGAAAGACGTGGCCGCTGATATCGTGCCCGCCCTTCCACTGTCCCCCGATCGCCTTGCACGCCGCATGAGTGAGGGCCTGTTGCGCGGCTCCCATTTCCGCCCTCTTCAGCTGGTCTTCCGGCCCCTCGCCGTAGATGGCTTCGCATTGTCCTCCCGTCCACCTGTACGTGCGATCGATGATCGGCGGGCCGAAGCACCACTGCGTCACCGCGATCCAGACGGCAGTGACGGTCAGATATCTCGCGATCGCCTGGACCCTCCTTTTCGTCAGGTCCAACGTCAGTGGTCGGCCTAGCGAAGAGTGCGAAAAGATGAGGAGGAAGAAGGCGAGCGTCGTCCAGAACCAGCCAATCTTGACAAAGTAGACGTTGAGCACGTTGCTCTTCTTTGCGAAGTAGCTGGGAGCCAGGAGGGGATCGTAAGACTGGATGTGTGGGATGTACGGCGCGTTACGACTGCTGGGTTGAAGGGTGCTGAAGAGGGAGCCGAGGATGAGGGTACCGGGGTAGATGGCGAGTAGAATCGCCTCCAGCGGTGTAGGGAAGAACGGCGAGCCGGCAATTGGAGGTGCGTCGATCTTGGTTGCCGTCCTTCGACTGGCCTGTGGTGTGGAAGAGGTGGAGGGAGAGCCATTTGCACTCGGAGAGGATGGCGTCGATGCGTGACCGGCAGAGCGCCGGGTCGTCATGCTGTGAGTTGACATGAAGGATGTTCTGTAGTTGGACTCACGAGCAATCACGATGGTGGAAAGAGAAAGTGGAACATGTCCTTGCAGGAAGACTTCTGTTGTTCGGCATGGCCTTGAATACATCGAGGCTGCGAAGATGACGTCGGCGAGATGTGGCGCTTTCATTTGTGGCGTCGAGGCCAGCTTGCGCTACCACTTCACTCTTACCAAGTATCATCGCTTTCGGTTCTTTTCTACAAGAGCTAGCTCGATTAGCAACAAGCAGCAGTGACGTTTGAATGTCATTGCTTGCCTGCTGCCCCTGCCGTTACTAGCTCCTTAGCAAATGCAGCGAAGGCGTCGACAAACACCTTCGTCTCCACCTCCAGCGTTTCCTCCGCCAACATCCACTCAATTGTGTGTTTCCTGTCATCCTCCGTCGCCACGACATTGTTCCCATTCGTCTCCAGCATCCTCTCCCGCTCTGCCTTGGTCATGAGCTCCACACTCTCCTTCGCTCGTAGCCTCTCAAACAGCCGCACATTCAACTTCTCCTCCACCTTGTCCCTGGCAGCCGTCAACTCCTCAATGGTGTATCCCGAAAAGACATTGTGCACTTGACAGCAAGTCGCAGGGTCCGCCACGAAACTGATAATCCTCTCGCCATCCTTCGTTCGGAACTTTTCCGTCGCTTCCAAAACCCCTCGTTGCAGATCATCCATCTTCTTCCACTTGCGCGCGAACGTGCCAATGTTCTCGTTGAACCCGCGCTCGTCATCGATGATTTCGTACATCAATGTAATCACCGTCCCGCCCACCCGCTTCTGCCATACCTTCGCATCCTCAATCAGCGAGCTCTCGCCCATCAACATCGCCCCGGCCGCGCCGCGCAGTCCTTTGTAGAAGGAGACGTAAATCGAATCAAAGAGTCCCGCAACGTCCGCGAACGTCTTGCCCGCCGTCTTCTGGTAGTATGGCTCAATCTCCCACATGCGAGCTCCATCGCAGTGGAAGATTACTCCGGCCTTCTTACATGCGGCCGAGATGGCAACGAGTTGATCCCACGTATACGTCTTGCTGCCGAGCGTACGATTGGGGATCTCGAGCAGCACAACCGCGGGGCGCTGATCCTCTGGCAACGAAAGTGCCTTCTCGATGGCCTCGAGGCTGGGGTTCTCATCCTTCTCGCCCAGCAGAACCCTCTCCAAGCCGTAAAGATGCTTATACGACCCTGCCTCCGCGGTTTCCAAATGGGAAGTCACGTGCCAGGCGGCGCGATTTCTTCCCACTCGCTCGCAATGCGTCTTCAACGCGGCCAATTGCGCCTGCACACCCGTAATGAAGAACAGCCCACTTTCCTTGCCGAACAGTTTGGCAATGTGCTTTTCGAAGTTAGCCTTGTGCTCGCCGGCGCCGTAGATGTCCTTGTCGACTTTGTCGGGGATGTGCAGGAGATGTTTTCGCTCTTCCAGGACGTTGCGGCCGAGTTTCTCTTCGAGGTATTTCCGGGGGTCTTTGGCATATTGCGCGGCCCGCTCGATGAATTGGGGTGCCTCGAGGGATTGTGCGAATCTGAATCGAATGGGTTCTGGCTTGTCTGTGCTATTCGCCATGTTGGGCGGCGTTGGAGTGCTGTCCGGATGTAGAGATGACAATACGCTGTTGGAGAAGCCTTTCTGATTGCGGATCTGTCGAATTACTGGACAGTAAGCAGAAAAGAGAGAAAATGTGCGGGCGTAGGCGTATTTATTAAGAAGAGACGTAGGCAGTCGAGTGTGCGGCTGTAGTGGATCCGAAATAGGCAGCTGCGAGGCGCGCACGGACTCGTCGATGAAGCTTGCCTCGAGACGACACTCCACTTGTCCACCTCATGTGCGTACTGGCATCCCATCATCCACAACCCTAAAACCATCGTCCCTACACTTCCATACACAATGGCTTCATCAGCGAGGCCCGCAATGCGCATACTATCCCGTCGACTAGACACCCTCCGTCAACCATCCCCCGCACCCATCCTCCACCAAGCAAGATATCTCTCCTCCACCCGCTACAGCAACCCAGCAAAGCGCACATTCACCGCAGCACCGGCCGCAACGCCGCCAACATCGTCTTTCCTCGGCAACAAAACCAGCGAGCAGCCCAGTGAAATCGAAGCCGTCCCCGCCTCCCTGCTCTCACCAAACTCGCGAGGAACCCCCGAAGCAAAGCGGCAATACCATGTGCGACGAATGCGGTTCGCAGCCATGGGGTTACTGCTCACTCTCGTGGGACTCGGGTTCACAATCTCCCGCCTCGAGCTAGATGATATGGGACAGGTGAAGAAGGCGCAAGGAGTCGGCAAGCAGCAGCTCGACGCTTCCAACGAGGCGAACATGACGTTCCAAGGGAAAGAAGTGCACGTCGTCGGAGCAGGGGAGGACAAGCGAATAGTAGCCGAAGGCCAAGGGCAGCAAATCGAACTCGTGGAAACGGGGACAAGCAGCGTGCCGCACTTCCCCCGCACAATCCTCCTCCCCGTCCTAGCGGGCGCAGCATCACAGAGCACGGAGCAGCAGCCCGGCGCCGCGCCAATCGCCAGCGCAATCGACAACCAAGAGGAGTACACGCTCGTCGGCCTCGGCATCCGCACGGTAATGTGGATCCAGGTGTACGTGGTCGGCTTCTACGTGCGCACGAGCGACATCTCCTACCTGCAGGAAAAGCTCATCCACCAAGTGAACCCCATCGCGTCGACGCTCGTGCCTTCCGAGAAAGAATCGCTCAAAGCCAAACTGCTCGACGGCACCGCCAGCACGGAAATCTGGGCACAGCTGCTCGCCGTCCCGGGTATCCAAACGGCATGGCGCGTCTCGCCCACGCGCAACACGGACTTCAGCCATTTGCGCGACGGCTTCGTGACGGGCATCAGCAAGCGGACGCAGGAGGCTCGCAAGGGGCTGGCCGGCGGGCAGGAGACGGAGTTTGAGGCGGAGGACTTTGGGCAGGCGATTCAGAGTTTCAAGGGGATTTTTGCGGGCGGCAAGGCGCCCAAGGGCTCGATTTTGTTGATGGTGAGGGATCGCGGCGGGGCGTTGGAGGTTTTGTTCCAGGCGAAGCCGGATGGGAGTGGGAATGAGAAGGCTGTTGAGAGGCTTGGGGGCGTGGCGGATGAGAGGATTAGCAAGCTTATTTGGATGAATTACTTGAGTGGGGATAAAGTGAGTTCGGAGCCGGCGAGGAAGGGAGTTGTGGATGGTTTGGTGGTGTTTGCTGGGCGGCCGATTGGGTCTGTTGAGGCCAGAGTGACTTGATGGGACGACATAGATATTTTGTTACTGGAAGCGGGAACTGCTAGAAAAGAGGCCACGGCGCAAAAAATGACACGCAGCATTCTTCGGGGTGGGGCTATAAAGTCGTAACACATACTCATACCTCTACTCATCAATCATAGCAAACAGCCAAGCAAGACAGTCTTACGGACGGAACTTCTCCAGATACGAAGAAATCCATTCCTCCGCCCCGTGCTCATACACACGCTTCGCCGGTTGCTGTATCGAGCAGTCAGACAAACAATACCATCACGTAAAGCCCACGGAGCAAAGTGCGAAAGGAATCAAACTGACCATATCCATGTCATGCGTCCACGCAAACCAGCAGTTCTCCATTGTGCAACCTGGCCCGAACCTGCAATGGTGGCCGAAGGTGCAGTCAAGGTCTCGACAAGCAGATCGGTCTGGACAAGTTCTCGACCGTGCTTTGGTTTTCAAAACGAGGTGTTCGCCGGGACTTAGTTTCGCGCCGTGGCGGTAGTCGCAGTATTCACCAGCCTCGCCTGGAGGAGTAACGGCATTAGCTTGACGGGCAGAGATGGATGGTGAAGATTGGTGAGACTCACACTTTCCAGTAAGATGGAAGTTGTTGCAGTACTTGCCATCGTGCTTCAGAGTTTCAGCGAAGCGCCTTTCCGCACCAGTATCACACCTCGGCAGCTCGGCGTCCCTTCTCTCATCGTAGACATTGAGCAAGATGCAGCGACGAGGTGGCACTTTCTTAGTGGCGAGGTGAATCGTCTTGGGATTCGGGACAGACTTCCCGATCGTTGCCCAGGTGGAATTACCAGAGTCGGCGGATGGAGCGGGGCTGGGGTTGCGAGGGACGAAGGAAGCACTCATAGGTTGCATGGAGACTCCAGAAGTAGACCTGGACGGGGGCGCGCTGGGTGGAGAGGCGACAGTGGCAGGAGGAGACGACATGAAGAATGGCTTTCCACCAGGCAGATTGTCGGATCGAAAGACTCGAGGGAATCGAACGCGCCGCAGGCCGAGAGCAACGAATCCAGGCTCTGCAGGCCGCGTCTCTATCAAAGTAAGGCGGGAGGCATAGTCTCTCTTGTAGCCTTCCAGAACAGGAAGGTAACCGTTGTCGTTGCAGGGTCCGAAGAAGACATGCTTGCACTGGGCGTTAGGGAGATACAAGCGCAAGGTCTCGCGGACCTTGTGGTCGGCTCGCTCCTTCCCGCTGCCTGCGTCGATGAAAGTGAACAGTGGCTGGGCGAGTCCAAAGGAGCGGCCGAATTCCAAAACATCGTTGACACTGGCCACGGCGCCGCATGACACGAGCTTGGAAGCTAAGCCTTGTAGATTGAGGATGACCTGAACAACCACGCTCCAGTCGTCGACATTGGCGTCAGGATAGGCGGTCTTCATGTTGTTCTTGATTTCGGCGTGAAGCTGGTGGGCGGCATCGGCTCCGCCATCCTTGCCCAGTTGATACAAGAAATCTTGGAACTTTGGCAACATTGTGAGTACGAGGACTGCAAGGCTGAGCGCGGCGATGATAACGACTTACTATGGCACCATCGCCATCAATTACGGCGACAACGAACGAGTTGGAGCCCTATGTGTCGTCAGTAAGGGTGGAGTATTTGTGTAGCGATCTCGCGTTTGGTGCGGCGAATGGTGCAGCCAAGCGGCAACGCAGCCTCGCAGGCAACGTACGGAAATCTGGCGGTGTTCATTAAGAGCACGCTCATTCAAAGACGCCTTGCTTTGCCACATGCGTCGTGATTCGACCTCATTACTGTAGTCGTCGCACTTCTCGGTGTACTTGAGTTGCAATTCCTCGTAGGCGCGGATGACATCCTGGATGAGGGTATCGCGAGCCGCGTCGTGCTTCCTAAAGGCGTCGAATTGCTCTGCGTAGCTTGGCAGGGTCGCGTGGCCGTTCATGATGGCAGTCATGGAGGGGGACTCTTCTCCCACCGTGTGCTCCGAGAGGGTGTAGGAGAGGTAGAGAGTTGTGAAAAGAGGTTTAGGAAAGAGCAAACGTGACACGAGACGGTGAGAGGGAAGGCTCCGTGGCGGCAAGGGCCGGCGCTTGGACCGGCGGTCGTGAAACATTCATGCAAGCGCGTCCCCGGATCTGCACCGCGATGTGGTGCATTAGGCCGATGATATATATAAATGATGAATATATACACGTAGTGCAACAAACGAATACAGTGACAAGGGAACGTGGGGCAAGAAGCGCTTGACGCGTATCGAATTCTGGTTGGTGACGGGCGAGCAGGGAGGACGCATGCGTCGATTCGATGTCAGGCGCTAGTTGCCCATCCGGTCTAGACGATCGTGGGATGGCACGAGGCAAAAGTCGCAGATCGCCATCAATGGCTTATTTTACCGCTGCCCAGATATCGATTTGCTTACCGATCTTGTTTATTCTTACTCATGCCATACCCGAGATTCGACGTATGCACTCTGGTCATTTGGCGGGACTGCATTTGGGCTCCTGAGGCAGGTCGATCGTGACACCATGCGCAAGGCTACCTGCAGCTCGCCACCTCGATATTTGGCCTCACCCAATCAAATGCCCGAGGAGTCAACCGACATTCGCACCGTAGAAACAACCACGGAACAAGCATTTCTGCGCGAGGGGTATAATGGCTAGGCAAGGACTACAGGCATCAATTATTCAGCTCTCGGTGTTGAATTGATTGTGTTGCAGCTTGTTCGCGAAGAGGATTAGCAACACCACGGAGGAAGGGCAAAGAGGGGTAAGAAGTTTCCAAGCGATTCATACGTCGACATCATTCCAAGCATCGCCTCTTTATTCTTCGCATGTCTCTTTTCAAAAAGTCTCCGCTCCGTGCACTCCGAGTTCTCCGTGCAAGCCAACGTCCCCTCTTGACCCTCAGCCCGTCTCATACTCCTTCCCGCCGCCCGTACAGCACAGCCATGTCTACGACCCTCGAAGAAGTTGTCGAAACGAAGGACCGTCGATACCCCCTCAAGCGGCCTCCGAACCACAAAGTACCGGTGCCACGCTGGACGTTGAAACTCCCTGATGCCGTCACGCACATCTACACGCTGTACGTGGGGGCCCAAGCCCACGGGGCAGATCACAGCGCATTAGCCAGCGCCGAACAGATTATGGAAAAACTCATCCGTTCCGATCAAGGCAAGCCGATGGCAGTCGACATTCTCCGAGTCACGCATGGCTTCGATGTAGTCGATTCTAAGGTATGGGTGGCGTACTGGACCGACGCAAAAGCCTTCCAAGCCAAGCTGGACGCACTAGGTTTACGGAAAGCGTGGAACGACCTGGGCGAGGCGAAGCACTCCATAGGCTTGTGGAGCGAGTCCTTTACAACTCCCGTCGAGCGACTAGAGACCAACTACGCCAGCTTGTTGCATCAACCTGGCATCTCGCAGGCTCCCGGCGCCGAGTTCCCTGCTCACAACCTTACGGCGTACTGGGGCGCCGGCCGCGATCGATTGCCCGCTTCGAAGGACGATCTCTTCCACCCTCCTGACGAGACTCGGCCTCCTGATCCCGCTCCAGTTGGTGTCGGGCAGTACCTGACAGGCACCAACTACGACAACATGTGTCACATTCGTAAGCCTCCCTCATCCCCTCCACTCCTCATGAACGTTTTACTAACGCCCCTTAGGCTCGGGCCAATGGTGGGAGCAATGCCCGCCCGACGAACGCGAAGCCTACGAATCCGACCTCCAAATCAAACTCATGGGCGGCATGCAACACCTCTGGGACAACCCGCTCGAAACAGGCACAATCGGCCTACGCTTCCTGCAGAACGTCAACGGCGCCGACGAGAAGATCCGCGAGAGCTGCGGCGCCGGCTTCTTCCGCAACTGGGCCGACCTGGAGTACTGGTCGAGCACGCACCCGTCGCACCTCGCCATTTTCGTCGGCGCGCTGGCGCACGCGCGCAAGTTTGGGCCCGACAAGAAGTTCATGACGTGGCATGAGGTGTCGATTTTGAAGGAGGGCGAGGCGCGGTTCGAGTATGTTAATTGTGAGCCTAGTACCGGGTTGATTCGGTGGGTGAAGATGGAGCAGCAGGAGTTGTAGGTGATGGTGTGGGAGTGTATATATGATGGGTCTGTGTGGAATCTCTCACATTTTCGCATGTCCGAGAACTATCTATCCGCTGTTCCACTCTATAGAACGGATCAAGACTTCAACCATCCTCTAGACGGCTAGTGCAGCAAGGACTACCCTTGTAGCAACACACAAATCACCGGACTCACGTCCGCCATGAAACGCCCCCATCCCAGCCCACCCATCAACGCTTAACTCCCAGACCCTGGTCCAAACTCATCACTTCCCATTAATCCTCCTCCACACACTCTCCTCCGTCTCCACCAACTTCTCCCCCGCCGCCCCAACCCACCCCTTAACCGCATTCCAAGCATTCTCCGCCGTCTCCCCGGTCAAAGCCTCCCCCACCCCGCCAACAACACTACTAACCCCCGCCCCCGCCCCGCCCAAACTCCCGCTCCGCCCCTGCTGCTCAAGCTGCGCCTCAAACCCCGCGCGCTGCGAAGCCGGCATCTCCTGCGCGGACGTGTTCTGCTGGTACCCGCCGGCCGCGGGCGCGCTTACGGGGCCGAGATTGAGCGTTGTGCCGGGGATGCGGGCGTCGGAGGCCGCGGAGGGGTGGGTGGAGTACGTGGGCGCGAGGTTCTGCGCTGGTGCTGGGATGGCCATTTGAGGGGGCATGGTGGTCGTTGTTGCGTGTTGTTCGTGTTCCCGCTGTTTTAGAGCTTCGCCTGGTCTGGGCGGAGGAGGGAGAGGACTTGCTGCCGTAGCGGTCACGGCTACTTGAGGCGGGATCGGGACTGCGCCGGGCTGGGGTGCTGGCGGGCCATCTTGGGCGCTTGAGGCATAGGGTTGTGTGCGAGTTGCTTGAGGAGGTGCGGGCTGGATGAAAGGTGTGGGAGCAGGGACTGCAGGGGCGCCGGGGCGAGCGGCGGGGTATGCGGATGCGGCGGTCGGGTTGTGAGCTGCTGCTGTTGCTGTTGCTGTGTTCGCGGCGGGGAGTCGTGCGTCGCGTTGTGGTTGCTGCTGTTGCTCGGCTGATGTTTGTGGAGTTGCACCTTGGGGTTTGACGGGCGCGATGGGGTCGTCGATGTGGATTGGAATCGGTGGCATGGTGACACTTGCGTTTCACGAGAACGTGCTGGTTGTGGAGGTTGGAGGAGAAGATTCAAAAGCAGGCACCTTTCTGTAACGTGTGCTCGCCTTGCAGCTTCGCGTAACGTGTACCTCCCACCCCAGCAATGACGTAGCAAGGGAGCCGCCAAGTCACGTGATCGCGACGGAGGGTCGACTGAAGACGGGCTGTGGCGAATGGGCCTGGAAGTGCTGGAAGGCTGTGAAAAGGACACAAATCATTGCTTATGACAAAAGAACTCTATGCGCCACTATACGAAGACACCCATTCGATGTAGTACACGGGCAGAAGGGTGTGCGCGAGTGCCAGAGTGAGGAATGGAAGAAAAGAACCACATTTTGCCGCAGCGCTCCGAGAAAGGAAACAGGCCGATCGCGTGGCAACGTCTCCCATCCTTCGCTCTTACACCTGCACCGCCCACTTCCGCCTGATCAGACAGTAGCAGACCACCTCTCTCCCCCTTCCCACCTCTCCATGCATCCGCCTTGTCCAGCCCCAATCTCTTCACCCCCTACCATCAACCTGTAACTTTTCCACCCCCGTACAGGACCCGGCTCGTGCGTGTCGTTTACTTGAACTTCTTGCCGAACATGAGGAGCTGGGCTTGGTCGTAGATGGAGAGCACACCAGCACCGGCAACACCACGGAGGATGTTGGCACCGGCACCCTTGAAGAGCGACTTGACACCCTCGGCCTTGACGATTTGCTGGAAGGCATCGATCGACGACTTGTACTTGACGGCCTGGGAGAAGGTTGTTAGCGCTTGCTGGACCGAAACGAGTCAGGGAGAGATTGAGAACTTACTTCACCAGAAGTCATCATCATACGACGACGGACAGTATCGAGAGGGTAAGAGGCAATACCGGCACCGGTCGTGACAGTCCATCCGAGCAAGAAGGAGGCGAGGAAGTTTCCTTCAAGAGGGCCGACGAGGAGGACGGGCTTGATCGAGTCGTACATACCGAAGTACAGACCGCGGTAGACGATGATACCAGTGACGGAGGGCATGAAACCACGGTAGAGACCGGCGATACCATCGGAGGCGAGGGTCTTCTTGTAGACGTCGACGAGACCGTTGAACTGGCGCTCACCACCCTTCTTTGCGCTCTTCGCATCGTTGGCAAGACGGGTACGGGCGTAGTCGAGGGAGTAGACGAAGAGAAGGGACGTGGCACCAGCGGCCTGTTGGGAAGGGTGGTTAGTGGGCCGCAATCGAATGCTGGGGGTTGAGATGTAGGACGACTTACACCACCGGAGGCAAGGTTGCCAGCCATCCACCACCAGTACCCATCACGCTCCTTCTTGAACGCGAACATGGACTTGTAGGTATCACGGAAGGCAAAGTTGAGGGCCTGGGTGGGGAAGTAACGGAGCACGTTGGCCGTGTTACCACGCCACAGAGACATGACACCCTCCTCGCCGGCGGTACGGCGGAAGCACTCCATGATACCATCGTAGCGGCGCTCGAGACGGCCAGCCTTCATCATCTCATCCTACATGCGGAGAATGCGTCAGCACGGTGCATCGTGGGCCTAGATTCGGACAAGGTGTCCGGGGGAGAAGGCTTTTGCGGATAACTGCCAAGCCCCGATTGGGCTCAATGGCATGACACGACATACCTGGTTCTGGATGAGGAGCTTGACACGCTCGATGGGAGCGGCAGCGGTCTTCGAGACGGCGGCGGAGACACCACCCACTGCGGAGGATGATTAGCCATTGTCCATGCCTTATCAGCGGCCCGGCGAGCAGTTGCCACAGGCATTGCAAGCTCTTTCTGCCATCCGGCGGCGCGGGAAGAAGGGGAGACGTACTCAAGAAGTCGACCACGAAGCCGGGCATGCCCATGCTACGGAAAAGTCAGCGGCGCGTTGTGGTTTGATGGCATCGAATGCACAGGGCGAGTTTTGCTGGGCCGCGGCGGAATGGTGGATAAGAGAGCTTTGCCGGAGCGACAGGAGCTTCTCGTCATCACTGCGAAGGCAAAGAGGAGGGAGGAATGGAGGGAGCGGAACGTACAAGCTCTTGTCGGCTTGCTACAACCATTGTCAGTGACTGAGTAGGGCAATGGATGCGGCGTGCGAGGATTGCGAACGCAGCGCATGGAGGGAAGGAGGACTTACGTTGACATCACCCTTCTTGTCCGACATGGTGACGGTTGTGTGTGTGTGGGATTGAGTGGATGGAGGGGTATAAGGAGGACTGATGAGTGGAGAGGTGATGGAAGCAAGGTGTTGCGGATGCGATGTGATGGCGTGGGTTGCCGGGCGGATAGAGAGGTGAGAAAAATAAGTAGCGAAAGTCCTTTTCACCAGAGCTTCAGGAGCGGCGGCGGCGAGGGCGGACCGTCACTTGGCTCGTGCGCCCCGGCTTGTTACCACGGCGGTCCCCGCCTTCTTCGTTGGGGCGCGAAATCTTCTGCTCCCTTTCTTTCCCGCTCTTTCCGAGTTTTGCCGACAGCAAATCACTTCCTCATAGCCTCCCAACCTGTGTCTGTCTCCTGTCGGGAGGGATCTAGGAGGCATCGGCCCAGTTCGGCCCTTTACCTTTCTCTATTCCATCGTGCAAGGCTGGCCACAGTCTCCGAAGATGCTTACCCTACCCGCCTAAGCACTTATTCTCTAGGGTACTCTCCGTTGACACGCAGTACTCGCCGCCGTCATCCGAGTCTCGAACACCATGTGCTCTGACGACGAATCTCCTCGAAGCGGAGATCACTATTGTTGCAGTCCGTCGGCGAGTCAATTCGTCTCTTTGCAACCAGCATATTCTTATGGTTGATGGCCGCTCGCCCGAGGCTGTCATCTGCCATTGGCCTTGTTTACTTGTGACGGTTAATGCCTCTCCAAGACGGGCTTGATGCATACATCGTAAGCCGTTCTTTACTGGAGCAGACGTCGTGTTTACAACTGGACAGACTGCAGAGTCAACACCATTCTGAACATGAACCTATGGCTCGAGAGCCTGACCGCCTGTGCATCGCGAACTACGCCTGTGACGGCGGACAGGTACCGTACCCACAGCGATTCACCTAGTATCTTGCGATGGTGCAAGTGTTATCTGGAGGAAAGGCTCAGGAGTAGATGAGGTATGAAGTGCTTCTGAGCCACTCTTTAACAATCAAGGCTGTCCAGGGAGGCGTGCAACATCGGGCCCGCGGCACAGCGGGTCAGCCTGATCTAAAATTGGAACACAATAAGGAGCACTCATGCATCCTCCCCAGCTTTACGAGAGGCATTCACACCCCTCCTGGCGATGCATGCCACGGTATTCCTGAATAATTGACCACGCAACGGCATCAACTCAGGCGCGTGGTGAAGCTGCATTCGACTCGCAACCGCTCATTCCGAGGACGTCGGGCGGTTGGTGCACGAGCAAGGGATGGTAACGTTACACCATCCTCGCGCTTGGATGCATGAATACGATTAAAATTGGTTAGACGTTGGGGACCCTAAACGCGCTGTTCATGCGCTTCGCCTTGCACTGCCCATACTCTGGAACCCCATTTCTGCGCTTCTTCCCTCTTGTGCTTCATTTCATGCTTTCTTTCCTGCCTTGCCAGATGAGGGGAATTGCAACTGCGTCGAGATTCCACAATTGACTTGATCATTCGACTTTATAATCCAGATGGCCCCCAACCATCGAGACAACTTGTGGTTGACTCTACTATCATTGTCAGCCATGGTCGACCTAGGAAGAGCAGGTAAATGCAAGCACGTCTAAGAATTCCTCGGGTCTCTAATCTGGCGCAGGAGATGTTTTTCCCTCGGGGTCTCCACCACCAACCGACTTCGTCACGGGTTTGACACCGACACCCACAGCCAAATTGCACTCGCCATCACCATCTTGCTCACCTGCAGAATGCTGCGGTCCCATGACCGTGACAGCCACATCCCAGCTGACCAAGTTGTCTCGCTGCTCAACATTCCATGGTGACCTTACACTGAGTGGACTTCCCGTGCCACTTCCCCTTCCCCCAGAGAACTCACCAGCGACAGCTTTCGCCGTCTCCATCCCAACAATTGACGGGTCGCTGGTGATATCAGACATGTCCCGCGCTCCGGGCATCGCCTTTGACATATCCTTCGATGGCCTCTCCTCTGTTTCCCAGGACATCGTCTTCCAGAACATCGAGAGCCTCTGCATACCCCGGCTGGATGTCACCGCCAATTCGATCATCTTTCAGAACGTAAATTTCACCAACTTGTTGCCGTGCACGAAATTCCCCGACGCCACTGGAACGCTGCCGAATATAGGAGCGGTCTCGCAGATCATGTTCAATGGGACAAATGCGTGGCAGATTGGTCCGCTTGGGCAGGATAGCTCTGTATCTGGAACTTTGCCTGAAGGATCTGAAGTCTCGATCGTCGCTGTGGGAAACCCCTACCTAGAGGCAATCGACCTCTCCGGGCTGGCGCCGTACAATGCAACAGTCATCATTGAAGACAATGCGATTTGCGAATTCGTGGATCTGCCGGATCTGAGTGTCGCCGATACGTTGCAAGTGGAAGGGAACACAAGGCTGTTCAATCTCACAGCGCCAGCTCTCACCACTGCCAATGGCCCTATCGTGATCAGTGGCAACGATGGACTCTCGGCGGTGGATCTCCCGGCCCTCACGATAGCGAGGAGCTCCGTCACTATCGAAGGGAATATACACAAGCAAGTCAGACCTAACAGAAGCGTATAGATCACTGCTAACGGAGTTAAAGCTTCAACCAATCTCTAACGCAGGTGGATGGAGACCTCACAGTCATTTCTTCCGGTCAGATCGACTGTGCTCCCGTTCTCGCTATTCCCGCGCGTGCGAAGCCAACTTGCGAGAGCAATGCGACCCCTGCCTCCACGCCGTCCTCATCTACACCCAGTGCATCAGCCTCCGCGTCGGCTGCAAAACATAGCCACGGCCTGTCATCGGCAGCTACGATAGGCATTGGTGTCGGTGTAGGAGTCGGAGGCGCACTACTGATCGCCGTCTTACTGTTCCTCTGCTGGCGCCGCCGTCGGCGTAGTACTTATTCCCCGGCACCTGAGAAGTATTCCAGCGCTGGGGAAAAGTCGGATGGCTTTGCCTATACGGAGGTACCGCGGGAGGCTGCTGGCGACCAACTAGCTACAACACAGTTGGTTCGTGAAGAGCACACGCCTTCACACATAGGCGGAGAGACCGAGCAGAGATCGGACCCAGCCGTCGATGCACCTCTGGATCCGGTTACGGGAGTGAAGGAAACAGAGTCGATTAGAAGACACGAAATGGACGCCAGGAGCATTGATTTCGACCACGACGACAACCACGACGATGACACGAGGAGTTTGGAGGACATTGAGCGTGCGCACAGGCAGTGATGACGAAAAAGACCGTTTGATACTTCGTGAATTCAACATTAATCATAACCAACGACAGTGGCCGCTCCTAATTCGTAATATTGCTCGCCAGTTCAAACCACCCGCCCAACGGCGTCGACGTCGTAAACTTGATGCAGCTCACATCGCGGTACTCGTCGAAACACTTGCTCGCCGCCTCGTGCACCATCCCAAGCGTGACACCCTCGTCAGACCGAATGACCGACGGGGCGAGACTTTTCGTCAAGCCCACGTAGTCCCTCGTCTCGTCTCGCTCGTCCCAAATGCTGCACTGCAGCGCCACACACGGAGGTTTCGAAAGTTGCATCTTCGAGATGCTCCGGCCCTGCCCGGTGATGGCGCGCAGCTTGATGGCCGGCACATCGCAGCGGAAAATCATGAGCGCGAAGCAATCCAGCCCCTGGCCTTTCGGTTCCTCGAAGGAGTACATGTGTCCACCCGGCTGAGCTTCCAGGACCAGGGGCAGAGTTGAACGCCAGAAGCGGAAGTGGTAAGAGGGAAAGGTGCTTTGGATGATTGGGTTGAGTTGTGGGAACCAGGGAATAGTGAGGCTGAGCGTAGGGGCGATGAGTTTCCGCCGGCGGGAGAAGGCAGGAGAGGAGGTGACGGAGGGGCGGCCGGGTTTCGAATCGGCTTGGAGGAAAAGAGCGCGTTGGAGACGTTTGGAGCCGTGGATGCATTGGTGCCATTGTCGGTTGACTTCGGTTAGGCGGAGCAGGTGGCTGAGGATGCGGGCGTTGTTGTACACTCGTACTGAGCGGGGGTCTTCGTTATCTAAGATGGAGAGGAGCTGGCTGGGGAGGTTCAGGAGGATGTGCTCGAGGAGTTCGGAGACGGCGAAAACTCGCTGCACATCTGAAAGGTTTTCGATGTCCATGTTGGGAATTGGGTCACGATGTGATTTGATTGGCAGTGTTTGTTACTGCTGAACGGTCAAGGGTTCTCCTTGTTACGGTGGGTGTGTCATGCTTCATCATGAAATGGAGCCCGAAGACCATATGGCACCGAGCGTTTAGTTTCCAATTACATGAGTCCTGCCAGAGTCCAAGGGGAGGTATCAATTCTTTTGAAAGTGTATTGTACGGATCTTGGGGAATAGTTGTTGGCATGAGTGTAGCTCAGGTAGGCGCGCACTCCACGCACGGGCCTTCGTTCCGGAAACGGAAGGCACCTCTCCGTCAAGCCTCGCCTCACCTTATCAATGAATCCTCCCTCCTTCACGCCCAGACCATGTGACCGACGAACACCTCCCGTCCTCTCCACTTCGCGCCAGGACTCTGTGTATTCCACCGACGATACAGCAACCATGGCGTCCAGCAAAGCCGTCATCCCCGTTCTCGTAGGCATGATGCTGTTGACCGGTGTGTGCAACACGTTGCTCACCAAGTACCAAGTGAGTGTGCACTGCCAACCCCACTCCACTCCCCTTCCACTCCAGCACTGACGCGTAGAGTGTGACAGGACATGCAATGCGTCGCCGACTGCGACTCCGCCCACCCCAAGACCTTCGAGCAGCCCGTCATTCAGACCTTACAGATGTTCGTGGGCGAGTCCGGATGCTGGCTCGTCGTGTTCCTATCCTTCCTCTTCCGCCGCATCCGAGGAAAGAGCTCGTCTGAACAAGATGTAGCCTATCGCCCACTCGGCACAGGGGATAGCGAGGAGGCGATACTAGACGACGAGGATGAGCGCGTGGTGCCTGATCTCTCCGAGTCGCAGACACTGATAGACCCGACGAACGTGGTGGCCAAGCCCGTGCCCGAAGAAGCGATCATGGCCGGGGAGAGGAGGCCCCTGACGGGATGGAAGGTCACTCTGCTGGCGCTGCCGGCCATCTGTGATATTTGTGGCACCACACTCATGAACGCCGGCCTCTTGTTTGTCGCGGCTTCCATCTACCAAATGACGCGTGGAGCCCTGGTGCTCTTTGTTGGCCTCCTCAGCGTGATATTCTTGAAGCGATACTTGGGTCTTTGGAAGTGGGTCAGCTTGTTCGTGGTGGTGCTGGGAGTGGCTATTGTCGGCTTGGCGGGCGCTTTGGCAAATAAGGCGGAGGTGCCGGGTGATACGCGGCCAGACGACGGGAGCATGCTCTTCGTGCGTCAAGCATTGATGCTGGCCAGAGATACGATTTCGACCCTGGCGGAGCCAACGGCCGCACAGACAATCATCGGAGTCTTTATGATTGCCGGCGCGCAGATCTTCACGGCGTCGCAGTTTGTCATCGAGGAGAGTCTCATGGGCACCTACTCCATGGATCCCATCCACGTCGTCGGCTGGGAAGGGCTGTTCGGCTTCACGATCACGCTGATTGGCATGGGAGTGCTGCACGCGGCCATCGGAACCGGCTACTTCAATGCCACCGAAGCCTTCCACCAAGTGTTTACGAACAGAGCCATTGGCACGACATCACTGCTGATCATGCTATCGATTGGGTATGTTCCTTTTCGGACTGCCTGATATTCCTAGCTAACAACTCTACAGCGGCTTCAACTTCTTCGGCTTGTCCGTCACTCGCTCCCTTTCCGCCACCTCGCGCAGCACCATCGACACCTGCCGCACCCTCTTCATCTGGATCGTAAGTCTCGGCCTGGGCTGGGAGACATTCAAATGGTTGCAAGTCGTCGGCTTCGCCCTGCTCGTCTGGGGCACCGGCGTGTTCAACGAGATCTTGAGCCCTCCGAGTCTCGCGTGGTTGCGCAGGAAACGCAGACGAGACGAGTCGTTTGCACGTCTCGAAGAGGATTAGAACCTCGCTTCCCAAACGTGCACATGTCGCAGCGTTCGCAGTGAAGAATAGCATCATCAGTCATGAAGTTCCATCATCAAAGCCCATGAGCCTTACAATACTCCCTATGCATCAAATCCGCCAGTCCCATCCCCATCACCACCTCCAGCACAGGAACAGGATAATTCACCGACCTCGCACGGAAAACAAACGTCCGCGCAATCCACACCCCAACCCCAATCCACCCTCCCACTTCCACATGCCCCCTCACCTCCGTCTCCACCCGCCTCCTCTCCCGATCATGACACCACCGCGGGATGTAAGTTCGATAATCAACCCGCGCAGCCTGGCAAAGCATAAAGAGCACAGGCAAAACGCACGCCGTGCGCTCCATCGCGAGCATCGTGCGCGCGTTGCGGAAAATCGACGCGGGCACCGTCCAGCCTAATTGATTGATTTGGCGGAAATGCGCCAGGCTGCCGGCGCCCGCGACGAAAGGCGATGCGTCTACGAATGCGGCTTGGAGGTCTACCCGTCCGAATGGTGTGGGGTGTTTCGGCGGTTGCGGGCGCCATTCGTTGTCCGTGGGGGTTTTGGAGCGCCAGAAGAGGAGGTCGTGGAGTTGCATGTTATGGTGATCGATTGGCCACCGAGTGCTAGATTTGATTGGGATGGGGAGGGTCTTCAGAGTCGATTGATGGGTTTGGAGGGTTCCAAGGCTGAGGATCGATTGGAAGACGTCAGGAGCTTCTCGATGCGGAAATTAGAGTTTCGTGCGGTTGCACTTGCCAGACTACAGGTATAGGTATTTACGCAAGAGCATGAGGAAGGAATACAGATGTTTTGAGCAGGACACGTAGATGCGTAAGCGAGCATATCGGACTAGAATGCTATGTGAAGGCCGTTGGTCATTCAGAGGCACGCCGGTTCTAAATCTATACAAGGACGTAGAGAGCACACAACTGTTTCATAGTCAGCTTCCAGATATCGAAGCAGAACAGAGGAGAGAGACGACTCACCAAAGCCAACCCCATAATCATGCAAATCCAAAACATGACATTATTCAGCAACGTGCGCTCGCGAATGCCGGGCAGCCGCTGAATCATGACAAACGGCATCTGCAGCATGAGCAGCACAAAGCCATACCCGCGGAACTTGCGCGTGATGCAGCCCATGACGAGCTCGTGCGCCAGCGCGGAGATGAAAAAGGTGATGCTCATGGCGACGGGGCGGGAGAGGTTGGCGCTGCGCGACGCGCTGTACACGTGCCGGCGGAAGAAGTTGTGCACGGGGATGTTCCACTCGCGGGAGAACTCGAGCCAGTCCAGCGAGTTCCACCAGTCGGAGTAGAATTGGCGGTCGGCGAAGCAGGTGATTTCCGCAAAAGCGCCCAGGGCGTATTCGAAGATGACGAGGAAGACGAGCAGGAAGGTGACCATGAAGGGGAAGAGGAGGCGCGAGACGGTCTCGGCGAAGATGAGGGATTTGTCGAGCAAGTATTCGTTCTCTTGCAGGCGGATGTGCGACTCGTCGAGGACGGGGATGATGAATTCTTCGCTCGTGACGGTCATGAGGAAGATGCAGCCGAAGACGGCGAGGACTTTGTAGAAGAGCTCAAGGTAGTTGCGGCTGCGGTTGCGCGGGTATTCGAGTTCGTAGCATAGGGTGGGGCACAAGAGGTAGTCGAAGAAGTTCTCCACCGTTAAGTTGGAGGGGTATGTGACGTTGCCGGAGGGGGACGTGAGTTCTTTGGCGAGATCCTCGCGTAATTGAACGATGGGGGAGATGTTGGTATGTCTGCTGGACTCGTCGTCATCCGGAATGAACTGCATTCTCTCGGCGATTGGTGTGCGCGGGTAATGGACAGCAGCGGTCGTCGGTGTTTGCGGCCCAATCGGCATGTCGAGCTGTTGCAGTCGCTTGAGCGTGTTCGATAAGTGCCCACAGTAGAAGGCGTAGCTGTGCATTTTCATGAAGAGGGCGAGGGTGTGCAGCGTGAAGAAGACTTGCGCCGTCCAGCTCCAGTCTCGTGCAAAGGGATACGAGATCCACACCCACAGCCATATCGACTGAACGATGCTCTGCACGATCCTGCCGCCTTTGTTCCACGCCAACCACCCCGAGCTGTTCGTGTACAGCATGTTCAGCGGGAGATTGACGCCCGTGCTCGCACACATGAGCAGATCGAGGGGAGCAAGCTCCCACACGTTCGCCGTGAACAGTGGCCACTGTTTGAAATTGAACAAGTTGCCCGTCTCTTTGTAGTTGCGCAGCATGGAGGTGATGACCATGATCGCCAACCCCACCCAGAATAGCACGAAGAAGCCGCGAAAGTTGGAATAGTCGCTCTTAGGGTCGAAGTATGACACACGCTCTTGATAGTCGACCGTTGGGAACATGCGTTTCCGCTTGGCCCGCAACTGCTTACGCGCCTCCGATGTGGCCTTCACCGAGGGAGGTGCATCTTCCGGCGGCGCTGGAGTCTGCGATGGCGTTCGTTCGGGTACTGGCAGTTCTTCTGACTTGATGATATCGGCGCGGGAATGCGCCAGGGATGAGAGAGCGGGTTTGCGCGGGATTGGCTGGTGTATGCCGTTGCTCATCCCGCTCGCCGTGGACGAGGAGTTCTTTAAAGGACTCGAGGCCATAGTTGGAGTAAGAGAGAAAAGGAGCACCTGGCTCGAATATGTGATGAATGAAGGATCGTATGGCGTATCAAACCCCCTTCTTGACCGACTCTTGCGTGTGCTGAGCCGGATTAGGGACGGGGATGCAACCAAATCGTCATCGCGATGAAGTTAAATATTTATTCAAGCAGCCTTTCGGTTCCGGTTCGGCGCACGGATTCCGTTCCGAGACGCCGCAAAAGCTTGTTTGCTCATTCACATGTGACAGTCGGCTGAGCTCATTAGATAATGATGCTTCATCATGTCTACTAAGTCCTGATCGTACATCTCACTGACCAAGCAATCAATGAAAATGGTGGCGTCTAGTCGACCTCATTTCACCTCGTCCAGCAACAACCCTCGTTATCTCAACACTGGTCAACCGCCATTCGTGCTGGATCGGGGGTAGACTGAATGAACGTTCCTGCGCTCGACTGGATGATTGCATCTTTGGACGTCTATTCCCTCACATGATTGATGGGAATGACTAAACCGATCGCGTGTGTGCCGTAGCCGTACAACTTTTCCCCATTGCAGGCACACACGCGATTAGGTGCATCGTCGGGCTTGTCGAGACCATTGCAGTTGCGTGGATAGGAAGGACATAACCGCCAGGGACGACGTAAGGAATGTCGGACATACTCTCAGCCGGCACTCTCGACAGCCAGTCAGGTAGTGTCCGAGGAAAGGTCAGGCTCAGGATAGACCGGCACCAGCTCTCCTTGGAAATGCATGGGTCTCACATATCCGCGCGCGGAGTTCGGGAGCACCGGCTTGCCAAACATGCGGTAGCTGGCCATTATAACTTGCAGACCGCGCGATATCTCCGCAGCGGAGAATAGGGCGTTGATCTCCGGCTCCCAGCGATGGGCGTACTCTTTGCGTTCCACCCCTCCGTTATCGTGTTGCTGCATGTATACCAACACGATCGACTGATCTTCTGCTCGACAATAATACCCCGCGGGAGTGGCCCTCCGCTCGACGAGGTTCTTGTCGGGATGAGTTAGCTTGATCAAGAGGTCGAGGTCCGCAAATATGGTGATGATGGTGCCGCGCAGCCATTCGTTGAGACCGCCGGGGAGATGTTTTTGGCCGCACAGCAGCTGTGCGACACGCCGTCGCACGCCGTCGGCGAAGCTGTACAGTCCGACTGCCCAGAGGCTGCGGTTGACGAATCTCTCCATGTATGTCACTGTGAAGCCAGCGTGGCGAGCAATGATGATCTCTTCGCCAAGTTCGAGGATCTTTTGCCGGTATGAATATAGCTCGACGCTTCGATTGGCTGCGAGCTCGTTGGGACAGATGGCGCGGGTGTTGTAGAGCAGGTAGAGGTCGTAGTAGGCAACCCGAAGCGACTGCATCTCCAATTCCTCCAGCACATCTTCGGCATCGATGGTGTTGTAGTACATGTTCCAGTAAGTGTCAAACAGTTCCAATTGGCGCGTGATTGCTCGAGCCAAAGGGCATGACGGATCGACGTACGCCCCGACGGCTAGATTTCTCATGATTTTGGCCACCGTTTCCGTAGCGAGAGTTTTGAAAGACTTTGCGGCTTGCTCAAAGTCGGCAAACGGTCCGTGAACGCAATCAGTCTCAATGACCAGTGTCTTGTCCGCGAGAGACATCTTTTCAAAATGAAAGGCCAGATCAGAAGCCCAGATTTTATAGCCGCCACGGAAACTCAATGGGGCGAGCAGCCGACTCAAATCTCCACCGTACCAGCGAGGCGATGCATTGGTCGAGTCTGGTTGCGCGGAGTGTTGAGACATGATTTGAAGACCCGCCTCGACGCTGCGGTCGGCATTCATGAGATCGCATCGGAGTATATTGTACGCGGCGATCAAGACGCATGAAGCAAGAAGCACCGAGGGATCGGTGTGCGAGGCAAGTCGAAGCTCCTCGACAGCTTTGTTGCATTGCGTCAGGGCAAGCACGTTAAGTCGTGAGGCGTCCTCTGCGAGGAGAACTTCGTGCGTCGCCCCTATCGCGACAATCAGATGCCGAATGACCGGACAGGACTTCGCCAAAGACACGACATCGGCCCGCCAGAACTGAGAGTCCTCCATTTGAGTGAGCATCTTGTTCACCGTCATGGTTTGGTAAAAGTCGATGGCGCGGCGTTCATCAGAAGTACACGTAGGGTCCAGGAGCAGGGCGTTTCGAATGGGCGGCTGTCGATATGCTGCGACCAGGGACGTGGTGGTCTGGTTGGAAGTTTGCAATTGCACTGTCCCCTCCTCGCTCGATTGAGCGCGCTTGCGTTTCCCCCGCCGTGCTCGTTTGGTAAGTCTGCTTGTCCGTTGTGCATGGGAGAAGACCTGGATTCGTTCAGAGTCGGAAGAATGCGACAGGGAGGAGGATGAGGCCGTTTTGACCACCCAGAGAAGTCCGGCGTTGGGCGCCGGAGGGCCCATGATGGTTCACGGAGTAGAGAATAAGAGCATCGCGGGCTCTTTCCACAGGAATGAGCTCAACGGCGATGTACGTTTATGACGAGGTTGCGAACATGACTGGATGTTTCGAGCTGAATACTGCCCTGTGTATGTAATGTTCGGGTAGTATTTACATAAGCAAGCGGAAAGTGGGGGCCGGTGGAACCAGTGGAGCCGGTCCAGAACGGTGAGAGAACGTCGAGTAGGTATAGGTACAGGTAGTTGAATATATGGACTAATTATTACATGCAGTAGACAAGCCTCTTCATCCTTGTAGGTACATTGAGCAGAGACTCAGAGGAAGTAGGTGTTCCCATGCCAGGAACGGCATTTGCTTCTGCACCCGTAATTCTTGCTCCATGACCCATCCCTGGGCTTGGAAATCGCTGCTCTTCTCATACCATTGATTTGCAAAGTGTAGAGGAGCTCGAGCCGCAGTGGCTCTGCCGAGCAGACCGTCTTCTCCTTCAATGAGGTAGAAGGTGAGCCGACAAAGCGTATCGGCGGTCAGAGTTGCAAGCTCGATGTAGTAACTCCGCAGCATCTCTTCACCGCGACTGGCATGAAGTTCCGCCACGGCTTCTCGCAGGAGCAAGAGACAGATGTAGCACACGGCCTGACAGTAAGCGCTGACGATCGGTTTATCAGGGGATGTGGCCACCCTGCGGGTCACACCACCTTTGTCTTTGATCGTGAATTCTGCCCAAGACCGCGGAAAGTTGCATGTTTCGAGGTCAAGAGTCACTTCTGTGCAGTACTGGTCTTGCCAGCCTAGGAGCTTTCGCTCCATGTCCAGGCACGCTAACAGCGAGCGCCCGACGGCATCGACGTCGGGTTGAGTGGGCCCGCGAACCTCGTCGGCGTCCGCAAGAAGGCCGGGGATCTTGACGGCCAGCTGCATCAAGCTCTCTGTGATTTCCGGCAGCAGTTGCATTGTACCAGGCCATGGATGCCAGAGCTCGATCGGTACGGGCATCGCGACCCGCGAAGCCAACGACCGTAACAGAACCGTCTGTCGCAGCTGCGTACGTATATAGCCAGCGGCCAGGCTTGGAGAGGCCCGCAGCTCCTTCCAATGCATATGGGTCAGGTGAACGAAGCCCTCATACAGACCTCTCACCCCAGAAGCGAGAGGGCGAAACAGATCCAGGTGAAATAGCCCCAAGGCACAAGCAATTACGCTTTCCACGTCGTACACCTGGGTTTTCAGCGCGATCTGCATGGTTCGCACGGCGAAGTTATGCCTTTTCCGAGACTCGTGGAGGAGGCGGGGGTCGTTGAGGGTGGAAGCCGGTAGCAGCAGACACAGGCTGTCGTTCGCGGCCAAGACGCCCGGCGGACTCGACGAAGCCAACCAGTCCCGAAAACCGTCGACCGCAGTCGAACGAGTAGACTTGGCACCGGAGCCGATCAGGCTGGCGCCAAACATTTCAGCCAAGGTGTAGCGGAAGACATCGGCGCTGTGGGGTGGAGATCGAATTGGATCGTCCCAGAACTCAACTTCGTCGCCATCATCGGCCGAAGGCGTCGCTGAAATCAAGGTTGCTGAATCCGACGGCGCTCCATACATCGCTATCGAAGATCTGGCGTACTCGCTGGCCATTGTGTCGTGAGAGGACATCCCTGATGAGTCGGACGAGGCTGGGGTTTGCGCACTTGACGTTTGAGTGCTCTGGCTCCTCGGCGGCCCTATCTGACGACGACTAAGGCGTTCCAGTGCACGTCGGCGGATCTGCTCTCCGGCCGGCGTGTGGAATATCGGCTGCGTGGGCGGCATTGCGTTGGCAGTTGACCACCCACAAATCTGAAGCCTGCCAGACAGCAGGGTGATGCGGGAGACATGGCAAGTCGAAACCCAACCTTCGCTGGGAGCCGGCGTGCTCCATTCGGGGACTGCTGAGGTGGCATTCGGCGGGGAGTGAAATCGATGACTACCTAATAAGGTAAAGTACATCCTGCCGTGGCCCTCTAAATTGAAGATCGTCGTCCCGACGTCCGTTAGAAGACGAATGTAGAACAAGTCCACCGTAGTTTGGCTCATTCACATGCGACAGACAGCTGAGCTCCAACGCTCTATTCAAGGCTGACAACTTCGGGATATGACAACTGACGATGCCGAGTGATGGCTTCAATTAGTGGAGGGGTCGCCAATAACGGCGAGGGACTGCATTATCAAGAGTTGAACGTCGAGACCGGCAAGAACACCGTCTTAATGATCCATGGCGCTCTCCGTTCCGGCGATGACTGGGACTTGATCGTACCTCACCTACCCCGAGACTACCACCTTCTGATCCCCGATCTCCCCGGTCACGGACAATCTAAAGATATCCTGCCGTTTTCGAAAAAGCTATCAGCACGCCTGCTGGCCGACCTCATCAGGAAGAAGGCGCTCAACGGCAGAGCTCATGTCATTGGATTCAGTCTCGGCGCCGGAATAGGGGTACAGCTTATATCGCAGTACCCTGACCTTATCGATGTCGTCTTCCTCTCCGGATACGGGGCGGTCTCAGCTCCCCCATCCGCCGTAGCAGCTGTTCTCTGGGCGCAGGAGCGCGGCGAAGCGCTTCTTCCAAAATCAATGATCTCGTGGCTGATGGACGGCACGGATCTGAGCTCGTCAGGATCTACGGTACCAAGTTATGCACTTTGTCGTTCCATCGCCGATAACATACACGCTGGAGAGGAGCCTTCCCCCTGGCCAGCAAGGACTCTGATCGTCGCTGCTGGCAAATCTGGCATCCTGCCCACGGCCGATAATGCGGATGCTGCGAGGAGGCTGCGAGAAATTGCGTCGACTGTGCAGCCGGTTGGACAGACGAAGGCGTATACCCACCGGCAGATGCGGCACCCGTGGTGTAGGCAGGCGCCGCAGTTGTTTGCGCAGACGGCCACCATGTGGTTTGAGCATGGCACTGTTCCAGAGGGGTTTGAGGAGCTTTGAGGCATGACGTCGGAGGTGAGTTTGATCGGAGGGCGATCGGGAAGGTGCGATGGTCGTGCCTTCCAGATTCGGAAGAAAATCGAGCAAACATCGTCATCTCATATCCGTCCTGGAAGTTTTCTCCTTCAGGCCCCTCTATCCTCACCATCTGTCCTCAGCCTCTTCGCAACCCACAAGATCAGAATGACAACCACCCCGTGTGTGGCTGGCGCTCTGCCTGCCCGCGTGAAAAAGCTCGAAGAAGCGCACGGGAAGTTTGAAGAAGCCTACCATAAGCTCAACGATGAGCATAACTCCACAAAGGCGGAGAATCGGAGGCTGAAGCAGGAGTTGGACGAGCTCAAGCAAGATGTTCTGAAGCAACGCGAGGATACGAATATGAAGACTCGATGGCTCACTGCGATGCTGTCGCGGTTCTACACCGACCAACATTCAGCCGAAGCCAGAGCCGCGACAGCAGGCCAACTTGATCTAATTTACCGACAAAACCCGACCACCAACATGAGGAGCAAGGTCGGAAGCCAACCAGGGTTGCTGAAACAGCCTACACAAGCACAGCTCAGAGCAAGAGAACCGGCGCTTACGAAGCTCACCGAGCAGGTTCAAGCATCGGACCTGGACTTTGACCCCATCGCTTCCAATGCCATCACACCGACTCACGCAGACCAGCCACCGCAGAAGCAGCGTGAGCCTGAAGTCATGCAGACCAAGACTGCGGGGATCAAAATGATACCGACCCACGCGGCTGGCGCAGCGATGAAGAAGTACAGCCAGCAGGAGTTGAAGCAGATCAGAGACAACGACACCACGTCTGCTCACGGCGCACCCCCATTGCCACTGCAGTACACGATTGCACTCAAAGCCGTCCAAGCGCAGATCGCGTTATTTGAGGCGAAAACCAGCGCGGTGGCCGCGTCGGCAGCATCGACGCAGACTACGCAGGCATTGGACAGACTGACGCACTATCTCGGAACGGTTGATAGACGAGTCGGGTCGCTTGAGATATCGAAACAGGTTCTCCAAACCGGCATTGCAACGATGAGCAGACATGTCTCCGAGGCTCGGACCGACATGTCAGGAAGCCTGGAGAATATGTGGGAGAATGCGCAAGAAGAAGCATCTCGGCAACAGCAACAACTTGACGACATGCGAAAAGACGTCGATCTACTGAAAAAGGGGCTTGAAGAGATGGGCAAGAAAGACGACAAAGTTCTTGAGGAGCTCGAAGAAGTGCGAAAAAACGAAGCCGAAGTGCGTATGAAGCTTGACAGAGTGCGGAAGAATGAAGCCAAAGTCCAACTTGAGCTCGACAAAGTGCGAGAGGACGACACGAAACTGCGCAACGACCTTGGAGACGTGTGGAAGGATATCAAACTGGTGTGGAAGGAGATCGACCATCAGTGCGACGAATTCAAAGACCTGGACCGGGACGTGCGTCGACTCATGGACTCCCGGGATGGGCACGGTCGCGAGCTGGACGGCATCCATGCACATCTCCGTGATGTCCAACGACGGCGTCAGGACGGGTATGGATCCGACAGCAGACGTTCGGGCTGCCGCTAGCATGTGGTCTGCGGACAAGTGAGGAGGAGTTGAAACCGCAATTCAGTCACACAACTCGGAATTGTGCAGGGCGAATTCGAATTGTTTGTGTCTCATGGCCGGCAAGCCAGCGACTCCAATCGGCGTCGGGACATTGCCTGAGCAAGGTCGATAGGAATTGACAATTGCAACTAATGCAAATACACACTTTCAGTCCCAATAGTGCCCGCTCAATCCAACCGATTTGTGTGTAGAGGCGCAACGAACCAACCAAGGAAGAGTGTTGATATTAGTGATCACTTAAAGTATTTGAATTTGCTTTAAAGCGCGGTGACGAACAAGGCTGAATCGGGGTAGTCATCCGCCATCGATCCTCTTGCCTGAGATCAAGACATGTGTGGGATGCGATTGTCAGACGAGATAACGAATGTGCATGGAAACGATACGAGTGTCTACCAGGTCCCAGCCAAAGCATTGGGGGAGTCGAGAAGGTCTGATGAAATAGGGATGTAGTGAACCATGGGAGCGGGATTGTGCATGCAGCACGCATGGGTGTGTGGGGGGCAGAGCAGGGATTGGCCTCGGCAGGATCTGGCCCTCATTATGACGCTTTTCGACGGCTTCGCTTCCACCAACCGGAGAGTGAGTGTTGTGATGTGGTACTAGCTGCTGTCTCTCCATTGATCAAGCAATCCGTCGACTGCAAGGTTGTTTCTCGATCCGTCACCCTCGATCTCGACCACCGGCCTACCTGTACATCCGCCTGCCTCTCTCCACCACCTACGCTAACCCCACTCCCTTATTTGTCTACGCCGGAGAACCGCGCGGAGTTAAGTCGTCCAGGCTGAAAATCACCGGGACTGGCAACGTACGGCAACTGTGCACATTCCCTCATTCCAATCGATCTTCGTACCCTACGTCTCGACCTACGCCACTTCACATCGACAAGGTCGGCGGGCAAGACGAGCCTCAGCTAGGAGGAGGGAAGACGCTGGGTTGCAGGCAATGACAGCTCACGCGACTCCCCCGAGCGCGGAACCAGCTTGAAAGAGAAGACAGACACCCGACGGACGCCAACGATCACGGGCACACAAGGCACAATGCAGACGCCAGGTTTCGATGGAAGCCAGGGCGGCAGCGAAATCGACTTTGGTACTCCCCTCAGCCTCGGCGGCATCGATGCCATGATTCGAGCGGGCGACGGCGCAAACCTGGCCAGCTATCCGGCTCAGCAGATCGGGATGGGCCATGGACATCCAAGCACCCTCGACCCCGCTCTTCACTCACAAAACCCATTGGCCTCAGGACAACGGCAACAAGGCTTTGCCGGCAATGGGCGACAAGGACGCATGGGCGAGTCGGAGAACACGAGCCCGGACATGGACATGGACATGTTCGACGGCACCGAGAACAATGATGCGAGCGCGCAGCGGCGACAAAGTGAAAACGCCGACGGCGCTGACGGCGAGCTTCGCCCGTCATGGAGCGAGCTCAAGACCAAGGCGGGCAAGGAACGCAAACGGCTGCCTCTGGCTTGCATTGCCTGTCGGAGGAAGAAGATCCGGTGCTCGGGTGAGAAGCCGGCGTGCAAGCATTGCCTTCGCTCTCGCATCCCATGCGTCTACAAAGTCACCACCCGGAAAGCGGCGCCTCGGACGGACTACATGGCTATGCTGGACAAAAGACTCAAAAGGATGGAGGAGCGAGTCATCAAAGTCATTCCCAAGGAAGAACAGGGCATTGTGTTGAGCACCGGCCGAGCAACTCTGAAGCCTCCCTTACCCCCGGCTCCTTCCAAAGGCACTAATGCGTCCAAGAAGCGCATGGCGGAGACGGCTTTTGCCGATGAACTGAATCAGTGGGCTGCCTCCAAAGACGTCCTGCCTGATCGCAAGACGCCCACAACAGCTGAGCCGGACAAGGGCTCCTCGCAAGCGCAAGCGCAAGCTTCCGACGAGTACAATCTCCTCCGCGAGGGCGCAGACAAGCTGCCCTCGCGAGAGTTGCAAGAGCATCTGTCCGAAGTCTTCTTCGATTCCGTCTACTGCCAGAGTTATCCCTTACTCCACAAGCCAAGCTTCATGCGCAAGCTGGCACAAGGCCAAGTGGCGCCCGTGTTGATGCTGGCCGTTTGCGCCATGTCGGCTCGCTTCTCCACTCATCCCGCCTTTCGATCGGAGCAGCCAGCCTTCCTTCGAGGAGAGACGTGGGCGAGCGCGGCTCGAGAAATCGCGCTGAAGAGATACGACACCCCCAACATTACCATCCTCATCGTGTATCTGATCCTTGGACTCCATGAGTTTGGTACTTGTCAAGGTGAGCACCTGCACTTCCCATTCATTGACCACCAACCTGCTGACCCTGCAACCAGGTGGCCGAAGCTGGATGTTCGGCGGCATGGCGCAGCGCATGGCGTACGCATTGCAACTGCACAAAGATCTAGACCACGATCCCAAAACTCGCAACGCCGCGGAGAAGAGTGAGCTCACGTTCACGGATCGCGAGATCCGCCGCCGAACGATGTGGTCCTGCTTTCTCATGGACCGCTTCAATTCCAGCGGCACCGAGCGACCCATCTTCATTAGCGAGCAGTACATCCGCGCCCAGCTACCGATTAAAGAAAGCTACTTCCAGATGGAGATTACCGGGCCCACCGAGGACCTCGAAGGCAATGTCCCCAATCCCGTGGAGCCCAGTACAGGGCAGGTGTCGAATGCGAAAGATAACATGGGCGTCACGGCCTATCTCATCCGACTCGTGGCCATTTGGGGACGCCTGATCAACTATATGAACCTGGGCGGCCAGCAGCTCGACGAACATCCCATGTGGGATGCACAATCCAAATTCCATCAGATCAAGCAGGCAGTCAAGGATTGGAGAGACGCACTGCCGGCATCGATGGAGTACACGCCGGAAAATCTCCAGAACCACGCCAGCGAAAAGATTGCCAACCAATTCCTCTTCTTGCACCTCGTCCACAACCAGATCGTGCTATTCATCAATCGCTTTGCACTCCCCACGCCTGGATCAAAAGCCAGGCCCCCAAAAGAGATGCCTGCAGAATTCCTGTCTGAAGCAAAGAAAACGGCCCTCGAAGCAGCAAACCAGATCTCCAAATTAGTGCATGAGGCCATGGACTACCAAGTCGTCGCGCCCTTTGCAGGCTACTGCGCCTTCTACTCCAGCACCGTGCACATCTACGGCGCCTTCTCGAATAATGCCGCGCTGGAGGCGCTGAGCAAGCAGAACCTCGCGTGCAACATCAAGTACCTGACGAAGATGAAGAAGTACTGGGGCATGTTTCACTTTGTGACGGAGAACCTGCGCGATCTCTACCGCCGGCACGCGGACGCTGCGAAGCCGGGTAGTAAGGGAGGGGTGGGAGGAGCAGCGCCGAAAGATAACAATGGCGACCAGACAATCTTTCAATACGGGGATTGGTTTGACCGATATCCGCACGGCGTCAGCGGGACGGATTACGAGGAGCCGAGCGCCGAGACGAAGAAGGAGCCAGGCGCCGACGCGGTTCTGGGGCAGAAAAGCGATTTGCAGACCGTCGAGGAGTTCTTCTCCAAAATGTCGCCGCCTAGTGCCGCCGCCGCGCAGAAAGATGCGCAGCAGCAACAGCCGCAAAGCCGCAAGATGGCGAAGAAGCGGCAGACAAAGGCGCAAAGCAAGCCGTCTCAGGACTCCCAAGCTGCTGCTGCTGCTCCTACGGCGCCACACGGCGCAGCCAGCAATGACGAAATGCAGGCCTTCGCAAGCAGCCTCCCGGACTTCACCCAGCCTTCCACCGGCTTCGGCATGCCGTCCCAGCAACAGCAGCAGCTGATGGGAACCATGCCCTCCCATCAACAATTCCTCTCCCAGCTCGACCGCCAAATCGTCCTCGACTCCTACGCCGGCCTCGACAACTACACCTCCCATCCAATGCTGGGCCTCGGCGGGCAACAACAGCAACCGCAGCCCCAGCAACTAGACGATCTCGGCAACTTCGACTTCGCCGGCCTCGCGCCCACCGATAGCATCAGTCCCGAAGGCGCCGGTGGCGGCAATCTGTTCCCCGACACCTCGATGGCGTGGTTCATGCCTTTCAACATGGAGCCGCCGCCGGCCGCGGGCGGCGAGGATGGAGGGAATCTCTTCGCCGGCACGAATTTCGATTGGTCGCCTTTTGGGAATCCCGGGGCCGAGTTGCAGGGCACGGGGCTCACGCCGGGCGTGGATTTGGGGGTTGGTGGTGAGCCTGGGGGTCCGACTGATGGTGCCGGCCGTGCTGGGGGGCATTTGGACGTGCTTGAAGATTTACGATAGCCATGAGGGAATGCTTCGCTGTGGGACATGTGTGATGAGATCAGCTTTCTCCCCAAAAAGTTAAGATGTGAGATAGGAAACGACCTACCATTCCCATCAAGTCTCTCCTGTTCTCCTCGTTAGACCCATCACATCAATTCTGCCGCGGCTTTACAATCCCATCATGCACAATATAAAACGCCACCGTGCTATCATCATCCAACGTAGCAAGCAGCAACCGCTTCGGCACCTCAAGCCGCCACTTCCTCTCCCCCTCCTCCAACCCAACCTGGTCCCGCCCCATTACATCAACATCAACATCCTCAACCTCAACCTCAACCCCCAACCCCACCTCCCCGCGCCGAAAAACTTCCACCCCCTCCGCAGGCCCCGGAACAGCGCCAAGCCCATCAAACACCTCCCCAAATTTCCTCAACGTCCAGCGCTCCCGCAGCTGCGTGGGCAACACCCATTCCCTTTGCGGCTGCACAGCCAACGCCTGCCCTGCGTTCCCCGCCGCTTTCTGCGCTTGCAGGAGCGCGATTTGCTCGTCGGGGTGGGTGTAGAGGCGGGCGGGGGGGAGGCCTGAGAGCACGGGGCGGGGAAGCGGGGAAGAACTTGGATTCGCGTTGGAAGGGGATGGGGAAGCGTTGTAGTGGATCCGGATGTCGGTCCAGTTGTGTTGGAATTTGAGCGTGTGGGCTACTTGCAGGGCGAGGTGTTGGAGGTGGGGAGAGCAGGATTTCACGGGGGCGGTGGTGTTGAGGAGGGTTTGGAGGGATGAGGGGGCCGGGTGGGGGGTGTTGTTGTCGCGTTGTGCGCCCATGGCTTTTCCTTGTGTGGCGTTATTGGTTTGCGCGGATTGGTCTACCGTTGGAGATGGAGTGTGGTGAGAGGTGAGGTTGTTCATGTTGAAAAAGGTGCTGACTCATCAGATTCACTCTCCCTCTGTTGCCCGAAAGGGAAACTTGGGCGTTCCATTGGGATAGACTCGGGAGATCATCGAGTGGTAACAAGGGCTCTTGCGTCGACATGTCCGATCCATGTCAGACAACTAAAATGCACAAGATAAGTCAGAATTTACATTGATAATTCTTATACAAGGCCTGTAGGTAGATTCGCAACCTTCCCCACATTCCCCAAGTCTTCATCTCGTCTACGCAAGAAACTCCGTCGTGTGCTACAGTTCATACCCAAACCCAGTCGCCCGCAAAAACTCCAAAACGCTCCACCTTAAAACGCTATAAATCATCCCACTCCTCATTGAGCTCGTCAATCAAGCGATTCTCCGCCTCGGACGAGTCCCTGCCCGAGCGGCCTCGATTGGCATAACTGAGCGAGCCGTTCATATGCACCGGTCTTCGTCGGCCGGGGATGCAGCGCGCACAAGACGCAGTCACGAGGATGAGGATGTCCTGTGGGGCAATCGCAGCAAATCGTCAGCATCAGGGCTGGCACGCCTGCAAGAGGGAAGTGAGGTGACGGCGGGGGGAAAATACCCGGAAAACGCCCAAGATGCCGGCCCACAGGCCGTAGTTGGGCAGCTGCTTCCATCCCCGCTGGTTCAGGACCATGCGGCTGTACACGCAGCCGCCGACGACGTAGACTATCACCGCCACCAGCGCGATCACGCCAAACACCCCCGACGGACTCAGCTCCTGCTTCGTTGTCTCAATCCCCGCGCACCCGGCCTTGGTGCGCGCCTCGAAAATGTACGTGCACTCGTCCGGGCTGGCGATGAAGGAGAGCGTGAGTTTGGGGTACAGCGGGTCGCGCTCGCACAGCATGCTGATGATGGTGGTCTTGCGGCGGATGCGGGAGTTGTGCTTCGATTCGCCGTCGCCGTTGCCCTCGCCGTCTTCGTCGAAGTTCGACCGCTCCGGACAGGGCGAGCCGTTGGTGTAGTTGAGGATGAGCTTGCGGCCGCGGATGATGGGGTGGTAGCTCGTCTGCCCGATGCTGTAGATCTTGCCGTCCTGCTCGTAGAAGGCGCTCACGTTCTTCCAGTCCTCCTTGTGCACGCCGACGACGCCCCTCTTTGTGAGATCTTCCACCACGCCGCCGCAAAAGTTCAACGTGAAGTTGTATCCCATGTCGAAGCCCGTGGTGTTCCAGCTGTAGTTGCGCGGATTTGCCGCCGTGCTGAGCGCCGGGTCGATGATGTGCAGCGGATTGAGGTCGAAGAAGGCCCCCGATTTGGCGGACGTGATGGTGCATGGCGTGGAGCGCTCGGCGGCCGGAGTGTCGTCGTCGTCTACTGGATCGGCGAAGGCGTGGTGGGGGAGGGAGAGGAAGAAGGCGGCACTCCAGTAGAGGAGCCTCATGTCGGGAGAGGGGCGACGCTCGCAGCCAAGGAGGCTGCAGCAGCAGGAGGTGGTGGAGTGCGGATGAACAATCGACTGTATATTCTACGGCCAAAGGGCAAGAGCAAGGCTGAGATAGACGCGGTGCAGTGGTGCGCCAAGTGGTGAGAAGAAAAGGGTGTTGGTGGTCGCCGACTTTCTCAGGCAGATTCGCTTGAGCTCGATCCGGACATTCTCGTCTAGAGCCGCTTGGAGCTGGGGTCGCAAGAACCACGAGGATTTTAAGGTTCGGACGTTGCGGCCAGCTGCAGGCGCACTTGCCGAAGGGCCTGGCGCTAGGCCGGAAAGGGTCAAGCGAGCCCCGATGGCCGTTTTATCGACCATCGGCCAGTTTGGCGTTGCGTTTAGCCTTTTCGGGGTGAGGTGAAGTACAGTCCATGTATACGGAGGGATGAAGACAACGGAAAAAGACGACATGCCAAGAGGTCAAAGAATGTATTGATACATTACAGCATCTCCGCCGTCTGCTTCAAGTTTATCCAAGCATACAGTCCCGTGTGATAATTCCCCATCCATTGGTTCCACTGTTGCTTGCTTCGGCATTCCTCGCCATGAATATGATGAAGACAAAACTTGGTCGCCTATCAAGAGAACACAGAATTCCCACCAACATCGCCATGTGGACGGCGCCGTCTACGAGAAGAGCGGTTGCTGCTGCGCTTGCTGCAACAATCTCGCCCTCGCGCGTTCGCGTTCGCGTTCCTGCTGCCTCGCCCGCTCCCACGGATCGCGCCATTGGATGGCATTGGTGTTGTCGATTCCGCGCAGGAGGTCGAGGCCATCGATCATCGGCTGGCCATCGTCGGGGTCGTTGCACTTGTTCAGGCCAAAGTCGATGACTAGGATGCGGCCGTCTTGGCTGGTAGCCACGATGCGACGGTAGTCGGACTTGGCGGCCAACATCCAGCTCGTCGTCCATTCTTCCGCGCGGAAGATCTCGTCGCCCGTCTCAAAGTCGTACACACGCAGGTCAAGGTCGTACGACCCCGACACCACGCGGTTGTTTTGGCTGTCGAGCCAGAGCGAGCGCACGAGTTGGTTGTGGCCGGTGAATTGCTTGACTTCCTTGCCCGTTTCCGTCTCGAACTTGTACGTGATCGTGTCGTTGCCTCCGGCGAGCACATATTGCATGTCTTCGGAGAACTCGACTGCGGCCAGTCCGCGCTCCTTGGCGCTGAATTCCTTAACCAGCTTCATCTGCTCCAAGTCCCAGAGCCTCGCGATACCATCGCCGCTCGCACTAACGAGCAGCTTGCCACGGAGCTGAACTGCATTAACCGGGCCGCGGTGGCCGGTGAGCTCGCCAATGGGCTCGTACGTCTTGCGATCCCACACGATGATGCGCGAGTCCTTGGAACATGACACGATGTACTTGGCATCCAACGCCACGTCCAGCACGCCACCAGTGTGGCGCGATAGACGCTTGATTGGCTCGTAGGTTTTGATGTCCCAGATCAGGAGATCCGAATCCGAGGAGCCCGTGACGAGAATCTCGTTATCGTACTGAAGGCATAGGATGCTGGCGTCATGCCATTGGGAGGGTTGGTGGTAGATGGTGTTGCCATATGCAGTGCCGTTAACACTCGCGGTGGCCAGGTGAAAGTCGGGGTAGTCAACAGTCCTCAGGACCTTTGGACCCATGACGGGCTTGACGTTGGGGCCTCCAATCACACGTTGACAGGTGTAATTGTTGATGTCCCAGACGCGGATGGTGCGGTCACGCGAACCAGTGATGATCTTCTCCTCGTCGAATTGCAAGCAGTAGACGCTATCAGTGTGACCGGCGAGGTAGATGGCCTTGCCTGCGCCTTTGGCTCCTTTGCGCCAGTTGGCCTCGAGCTCATTGCGAGCCTTGTACATCCTCTTCCATTCCTGGTTGGGCCGGTTAGGGCGACCACATCCTGCGCCACCGACCTGGATCGGAGCGGGAGTGGTGTGGATCTGGCGTTGGTATTTTCGGAGGAAAGCTGTCCGCCAGACGCTTGACTTGTGGGCAACCTCGCGCCAGGAAGAAGACACCAATTCGACACGAGCGAGATCGGGAGCATCCAGGAGTTCGAAGATTTGAAGGCATACTTCGCTGGGGAGCAGCTTCAAGGGGTCCATTTGAGATTCCTCGAGAGACAACATGTCGACGTCTCCATCCGAGTCCTTGTAGGAGTAGTGGGAGGGGCATGGGGAGTTGAGGTCGGCACCGCTGTCGGCGGCGCTAGATAATGAGCCAAGTCTGCTGCGTCGTGCGTTCAGATCTTCACGCATGTCACGGGAGGTCTGACTGTGAACGGAGGGAGCGTATCTGAAAGCAGCTGCCGAGTTTCGTGCGGCTTCGCCACCAGCCATTGTCAGCAAGACATCTTGGGCCGCGTTGTGTGAGCCGGGTCTGGCCATGGCGAAAGCCGGAGGGGCGGGAGTGTCCTTGCGGTCGTTGAACTTTTGGAACTGACGCAACTTGGATGGCCGATCGCCGTCAAACTGACCATTTCTCTTAGAAGGTGAGGTCGGCGAAGCGGGAGCCATGGGGTGACGGGTGGAGGAGGAAGCAGAATCGGCGATGTGGGAGGTGCTTGACCGTCGTATCCGGCCCACATTCCTCGACACGTTTTCTCGGAGTCCGGTGAATTTGTCTCGGGTGGTTTTGGAGAATTTGCGGCCGAGGGAAGTGGAGGACCTGGCGGCGGAAGATGTGCTGCTCTCTGCTGATACGCTTGTGAGGTTACTTGGCAAACGCAGCATCGACGGCCGGCGTTGGCGTTGCACAAACTCGCGAAAGTTCACATCGTCAAACCAAGTCTGGGAGACATCATCAGGGGCGATGGGTGAATGTCGCTCGGCAAAAGATGCTTCATCCTCATGTGCCGAGGGTAGCAACTCCGAGATGTCTGCCGCCGTATCGTCACGCGACAACCTCCTATCCGGAGCATGCAGGTAGGGGGTGAGTTGTGCCATGGATGCCCGTGGGGTGGTGTCTTGTGCCGGCACCTGCTGAAGGTTGCCAAATAGGGATGGTGCGGGAGAAGCGTGGGCGGTGTGAGGTCGGAGATCCGAGGTCGGACGAGGGCGCTGCACGGGCAGTGAGTACTGCGTCGATGGCCATGGGGCTTGCATGATGACGCCGTTTGTGTCCCTCCTCTGACCCGTAATGTCTCTCTACCAACAACGATCCGAGATTTATCTACCGTCTCTTCGCAGCCAGTCCCTTAAGTCGAAGCGATGAAGTGGTGTTCCAATGGTGAAGGAAGAATTCGGGAGGGAAGCGAATGTTGAAGGGGAGGGGAGATTTCGAGATCGCTGTGCGGCACGATGATGGTGAAGAGTCGTGGGCCGGGGGTAATGAGGGTTGCAGATGGCGGTGAAGCGCTGAATGGGCGAAGTGAGGGTCGGGCAGGTGTTGCGAGACAGCCGCGAGAGGAAGGAGAGTCGGACACGGCGGGCGTAATGAGAGGCCGGGGGGAGAATATGAAATGAAGGAAGGGCACGGGTCACTAGTCCAGCGAGGGAGGGAGAGTGTAAGCCGTTTGGTGATGCAGAAGCCCGCCTGAAGTCAAGGGAGTATGAGTGTGTTTGGCGGGAGGAAAGGGGCTGGGATGGAGTCGAGTATAAGTAATCGGGGCCGACGGAGGTTGAGTGGAACAGTCGGGAGTGCCACGGGTGCGGAAGAATGGGTCAGGCGTGAACTGGTGGACGGGCCAGAAGGTAGCGATGGAATGACGCCGGTGGTGGTGCGGCGGTGATGGAGATGATGATGATGATGACAGGTCGGAAGAGAGGGCGCAGAGCCAGAACCGTCTGTGCCCAGCCGGAAGAGAGCAGGGTGGGATGAAGATGGGGGGGGAGTGAGAAGTCTGCGGGCGCGGTGAACTCGAGGAGGACTAACGATCGATGGCACGACCACGCCTCCGTTTGCTTGGCGCATCGCTCTTTCCGCCGCTCAGCCCTTTTTGCGCAAGTCACGGGGCGGGCGCGCTAGGCCGGATGCGGCAGCAGAGGCAGGACCTCGGATGCAGAGGCTGCATACGTCGCTTCCTACTGCGCCCACCCGAAGCCCGCCGTCTCACATCAAACAAACTTCCGCCCGTTCGGTTTCTCGCGCACCCCGCCGCTTGCCAGTCGTGTCCTATACCGTCGCGTGCAGTAAGCGACGCCGTCCTGCTTCGCATCCAAGGAACAACCAGAGACACCTCTGCCCGCTCGCACTGCCACCGCCCCTTCGGAGGATCCACTCGGATCAGGTCATCGAGTACCCCACGGCCCGTGTTCCTTTTCCACGCCCAGAACCACCTCGTACTTCTGATCACCTCATCATCTCATTCTGCACCGACAAACTTCGAGACAGCCTCACTCCTCCTCGACGCCCCAGGCACACCCGTCCATCCGTCGGCACTTCACCCCGGCAAGACCGTTCGCTTGAGACCCAGAAAACAACCATGGCTCCATCCACCTCGCATCGCTCCGACCCACTGCCGTTCCTGTACACGCTATTCTTCCTCTACATCGAGCCCGTCGCGACCGCCTCCGGAGCGTACATGGCCCACTTGCAGCAGAGCGAGTATTTGGCCCTCACGTGGCCCTCGCTCCGCGCCACCACCTTTGGCGGCGTCACCGCTCCCGAAAGCATCGTCCTGACGCAACTCGCCAACATGTACGCCGCCTTTGCCCTGAGCGAAGCTTTGGTGCTACGATCCACTACCGACCGTCGGGTGTGGAAAACTTTCCTACTGGTCCTTCTGATTGCCGATTTCGGGCATCTGTACAGCGTGCGCCTCTCGGGCCTCGAGATCTACTATCGCTTCTGGGAGTGGAATGTCATGGATTACGGTAACATTCTATTCGTGTACGTCGGCGCGCTGCACCGCATTCTCTTCTTGCTCGGCGTGGGCCTCGATCAGAAACGCCCCGCCAAGACCAAGAAGTGAGCAGAATGTCATCGGCGGACGGGCGCGGGCGAGAAACAGCCACATCGACGCCCCCAAAGTCATAAGCGAGATCCCATGCTCCCTCCCACGTGGCCACAACCCCACTAGCACCGCCCACCACCATCACTTCTGCACACACTACACGGTAAGCATAATTCCACCACGGCGCACCGGACTCGCCTGTATCCTGCACAAGCGCCCGGACACTGCGCCACCATGTCGGCAGAGCAGCCCAGGATCCCACGAGCCGTAAAGCCAGACGTCAAGCTACCACGAAATCTATCCGAACCTTTTTCTTCCCTCCCTTCCTTCCCGTACTTTTCTTGCCTCTCCTGGTCTAGACTCGGATGCCTGCAAAGCGAGAGCGCCCAGTGTGTCACATGTGCGTCGCCCAACGGCCTCGACCGAACACACATACATCCGAAGTAATTCTTCCGCGGACGCGCCGTTCGCAGTAAGCCTCCGCGCATGACACCGTCCGTGCCCCCCTCCATGTCGCAATCCCCATCGCTTGCGCAAGAGACACAGCAGCCACGGATCTGCGTCACCCAAGTACGCATCTACTAATCATTTCCACGACCACGTACCTACACCAAAACGAGCAGAAGCGAGCACATGAAGTGCCAAACTCACGCATCCACATGCCCAAATCGGCCCGCCGCCCAGTCGTCCACAGCCTCCACCACCAAACTCCCCCATCCCTGCGCTCTCCCACAAACCCCCACGCTTGACGTACACGGCGCGTGCCTCCGATCCGAGCCAAGATATCCGCCGCTCTCGTCCCCCTTCGCGAAGGATTCTCGATCACTCACTTTCTCAAATCATGCCAAACGCTACCCACTCCCACTCTTTGGCGCTGCATGCCGCCCAAGCCCGTGGTGGTCCAGAGGGGCGGTATTCCACGTGGCGAGACGCATGCCATCCTGGTCGTGGCGTTAACATGGCCCATTGATGCACGAGGATCTGCGGATCTTGGGTCTTCCGCGCGGAAGCACGATAGATGCTCCTTAGAGCCGAGTTGGGTACGGGGAGAGCGTGCCATTGCATGTTCGCATTGCGTGTACACAGTATAGGAGCTAGTATTGAATGCTGTGTATCTACCGAGCAAACAAGTGCAGAAGGATGACAATAATTACCTCGCCAGCTTTTCACATAAGCCGCTATAACGCTCTAATAATGTAGAAGGGAAAGCAGAGCGCATGTCGTCCATCAATGATCGCCCGCAAAGCCCCACCGGAGCAACGCAGACATGCCACCAGCAAGGAAAGAAAAGCAAACGGCTAAAAGCCACGTGCCGGGAGCATTGCGCTCCGAGCACGCCACCGCATCCACATCCAGCCAGGCCATCCACAACTGCATCCATACCCTCTCAGAGCTCGGGAAACCCCGGAGGTGGAGAGAGGGAAGGGAAAAAAACGCCACGCATCCTTCCCCCATCACCGTCAGCTTTCGGACGCGAATTCGGTCCCGAAGCGCACTCCACCCGAAGTCGACGTCGAACCCTCGATACTCTCGATAGTCTCGGAAGTCTGGGCGGACTCGAAAGTCTGCGCCGACTCGAAAGTCCGGGACATTTCGGATAAGCGGGAAGTCTCTGCAGCGGCGGCAGGAGCGGAACTGGTATCGAAAGACTCATCCGCGCGCTCGACAGTCTCGGCGATTCTCGACTTCTCGGCGGCGGCGTCGAACGTGTCGTCAGACTTTTGGAATATCTCGGAGATCCTTGAAGTCTCGGCGGCGGCAGAGGTGTCGAATGCCTCGGAACTTGAGAAAGTCTTGGAGGTCTCAGTTGTCGTTGTCGATGTCGACTCCGCCGGTAACGACAAGCCCAGGCCCCACGAAGATCCACCCCCACCAACGCCTGTGCTGCCAGCGACGCCACCGCTGCCTGGACTCCCCACGCCGAATACATCGTCGTTGAATGCGACGGCCGCTGCCCTTGAGGGAGCATTGCCCGGCATCTGACGTTCCGGGATAGTCTTGGGTTTATCAGCTGCGAACCCAGGTAATTTGAGATCACCAACGCCGATGAGCGAGTTGCGGCGCAACTGTTCGAGTTGGACGGCGGGATCCTGCGTGTCAAAGGGTTAGCGCATCGAACTTTCCGCCAGAAGGATGAGCCTTGGCCCGCGAGTTGGAGGGGTGTCGGCGATTGCATGCAACATACCCAGTCTTCCTGGCTTGGCACGCCTTCAGCCGGCGGCAACTGGTCCTCTCCCTCGTTCTCGCCGCTCCAGAATGTCGAGCGACGAATTGGCGCAGGCGTGACGGGGAGACTGGGCCGTTCGATGGCAGTGGGGAAGTCGGTGAGGAGAAGGCTCTCCCTACGCTTCTGTACTTTTTGAACGAGATCATCGGGCGCAAGCGGTTCGTTCAGAGGCGACAAGACGCTTTCTTGTGCCGCTGTCTGTTGTTGCTGCTTGGGAGGCGTCGTCGGTGGCACGACTTGCACCTGGCCTCGCGACTTTTGCTGCGCAGTCAGGGCACGGACGTATTGCTCGATGCCCGCTACATCGTCCCAGGCATTCTTGCTGGCGGCATCGAAAGGATCCCAGGAGCCGTCGGGAGCCCCTCGCAATGCAGTCGAGGGGGTTGGCTCCTCGTCGGTCGGCAGGGCTTGTACGGACAACTCGTCTGCACCGTGAAAGTCATCGTCCTCGGATTGGACCACAATGCTCGGGGGAGGGGGTTCATCTTCGATGAACCTGCGGGTTGGCTTCGGGGCTTCACGCTCCTCCCAAGGGAAAATGGGAGCCAGCTTCTCTTCCTTGCGAGGGGCTGGCTTGGGTACTTCATAATGCATATCTCTGGGCGGCTCCGGGTACGACTTGGGCGGCTGAAAAGGCACGGGGTCTTTGCTGAACTCGTATACTGCTGTAGGGAAATTGGCCGCCTCTGGCTTCGACTGGACCGGGGGAGCCGAGCTGATAGAACATCAGGAAATGCCTGGGGCGATGACAAGATACTACTCACCGCGTAGCATCCCACTCCATGTGCGGAGCGGAGAATTTTCTGACTTCAACGGTCGGTGTTGGTTCGGTCCTACCTTGACCAATGTTTTCTGCCTGTTCTCCCGCTTCAGTGAATGGGACTTCGGTCGCAGTAGTGGCACCTTCGTGCGGAGGGGCAGGCTGCGTGGAATCCTTAGGATAACCTGTGGCATAGTAGCCATCGCTTTCGCTTGAGCTTCTCACCTCGCGTCGCACGGCCAATGATGCGGATGTGTCTTTTCCGTGTATGTAATCGGAGGTCTGAAGGGACACGTTATCAGATGCTTGCGAAGTCTCGTGCAGACATGAGACCGACTCACCGAAACCTTGAAATGTCGGTCGTACACCGCCCACCATCGATTGAGCAGTTCCTGGTAAGCACCGGATGAGCCCACGCGCGACCGCTCTTTCTTCCATGGTTTCTCGCTTCCGATAAAGTGCACCATGCTGATGTTTCGCTTGTAGTAGCGGTATGCAGGCTCGTACTTGTTGGATGTTAGCTTTCCATCCACACACGGTCCCGAGAAGACGGTACTGACCTGGTAATTGGCGTTTGGCGTGCAGTTGTACGTAAAGCTCAACCTCTTCCATGGCTTGTGTTCAAAGTATTGGTTCAGCAAGCCTTGGTCCGCGCCATCAAAGCTATCTCCAGTGGCAGCCATTGTGAGCAGAGCCTCGTACACGCCCGCATCCGGGGTAAGACTAAGCACGCCAGTGTTGAAGATGTCGGGGAAGCCGACGTCGGGTGCGGCGGCAAACTCATCGTGAATATCGAAAAGCTCATCCGGTGCCCTCAACGCAACCACATCGGCGTCAACGTATACGATTCTTCGGTACTGCGTCAGCCGCCAGAGGTGGATTTTGGTGAAGGTGTTACGAAGATCGGGACGACCCATGAGGTAGAGAGCGGCGGTGTTTGGGCTGGTGATGGGGGGAACGGGGAGGACATGGTCGTAGAGGGACTGGTCGGGGATTAGTTAAGGGAATGTTGCGAATCAGGTGTCGACGTACTTGTAGCTCTCTCATAGTTGATGCACGGAGATTTTCCTGTACCACCATGCACGCAAGCGGCTTTTGGGTGCCTGCATCTCGCAATGACTTGGCCAGGACTGCTGCACCCGGCAGGTAGCCGTCGTCCATGACGAGCTGGTAGGAAGGTTAGCGCATTGAAGTAGGTGTGCCGTATTGAACTCTGTCCACGCACGGTGCAGTACACATCCTCCTTCGTCTTGCGATCCATTGGGGGCGAGTGTGTGGTGGAATCGGGCACCCCGCCTCTTATCTCAAGCAGTTCAACAGACTTTGTGACGGCCTCATCGCTCCCAATGCAATGAAAGGAGAGGAGGAATGACGAGCGACGCTGGGAGAGATGACGGGCGATGCTGCGAGAAAGGACGGAGTGTCGCGGGGTTCAATGCGGGAGACAATGAGGGATGGAGAGGGAGGATGGCGAGGCGGTTCCACGCGCATCGAAAAACAACATGACGTGAAGCTCGAGCTCCGTGCAGCAATTGCGTCAAAGCCCGGGCGAATTGTGGGGCCTGCACCCCGTGCCCGCTCCTCCTCCGCACTTTGCCCTGCTTTTACCTCGACATCGTCGTCAATGTATGCCTGAAGCAGACTGTCGGTGAGCACAATGGAGTCACGCGACATAGTACTCCTTGGTGCTCATCGTTGCACGACCTGTGCCGGTTTAAAACTATGTCGAGTACTCCGAGGTGAGGCATCATTGTTAAGAATCAAAGCCTTCGATGGAGTGATGGCACTGGAAAGCCTCTGGCTGAACATTGCTGTCTCTCTCATGGCTTCACACTCTCCACGCTTTCACTCATCTCATCCCGTCGAAACTGCAGTCAATCGTGGAGCACGAAGTAGAAAAGCAGAGGTGTATTTACTGCATCGAGGTCGTGCTGTAGACGATGCACCCAAACTCTAATCCGACGGCCCGTGCATTTCGGCCTTGGCATATCCGCACTCGCGCTTTTCCCAGATCACACTTTTGTCCGAAGCCAAAAACTTGCCTCAACATCACTCTCCTTTCCAGCGAATCATTCAACTATCATCGCCCCCCGAGGCTCTTTGAGGAAATCTGACATTCCCTGAATTCGAAAGGACAACCACCGCAGCATTCAAGATGGTAAGTCCCCGACATCCTGCACGCACGAGACCTGCATGCAGCCAAACACATACATCTTGATCATGCGCACACTCTAACACCCTCCCCTCACAGTCGGACGGAGAAGAGCCAGTTCAACAAGAAGAGGAGGTCGTCGCGGTTGACGAGGTCGACGAGGTCGAAGTCGCCGCCGATGCCTCCGCCAAGCCCGGCAGCATGTCGGTCCTCGACGCCCTCAAGGGTGTCCTCAAGATCGCCCTCATCCACGACGGCCTGGCCCGCGGCCTGCGTGAGGCCAGCAAAGCCCTCGACCGCCGCCAGGCCCACATGTGCGTGCTGAACGAGGCCTGCGAGGAGGAGGCGTACAAGAAGTTGGTGGTGGCGTTGTGCGGCGAGCACAACATCCCCCTCATCAAGGTGCCGGATGGAAAGCAGTTGGGCGAGTGGGCTGGCTTGTGTATGTCTTGACCCACCACCGTGCGGGTGTGTGAGTCGTGTGCTAACGAAGTTCTCCAGGCCAAATCGACCGCGAAGGCAATGCGAGAAAGGTCGTCAACTGCTCCTGCGTCGTCGTCAAGGATTGGGGTGAGGAGTCCCAGGAGCGCTCCATCCTGCTCAACTACTTCCAGACTGGAGGCGAGTAGACGATGCGCCCCAGTCCACCCCGACGGCATTCTCGGCCCTTCACTTCTCAATACACACTATGCGGGTGCCAGCTCTTTCAACGAGCAACCCTTGCTACTAGGCGAGAGGCACCATGCAATGATATCGATTTGACACTCGGCATCAACGGAATTGGAATGGGAGGGGTACATGATGCATCGGGAAAGATACCTCGTCGGCCGTTTCGGTAGACTAGACCATCAAAAACGAAAAAAGCACCTTGAACCACCCAACATCCAATCGTCCATCTCATCATAATGCTACCGTGTGAAGATCTGATGCAACTCCCATAAAAGCTATACAGCCATCATCTAAACCCCCAAGCCCCCCACCCACTCCCCGCGCCCTTGAGCCTCAAATGCTGAAAAGGCGTACTGCTCGGATCGAAGTACAACCCCTCCACAACCCCATCACACCGCCGCAGACTGACATAGTAGAAGCCGCTGATCGTCAGTCCATGTCCGCGGTCCTGGTCCCCCTGGCGATCCGTCGCGGGCGCCGTGCAGGGGTCGTTGTGCAGGCTGTGCACAAAACAGCGCTCCTTCCAGCGCATGAAGATGTACTCCTTGTGCAAAGCGGCGAGGCGGCGTTTGGAGAGGAGCAGACGAGCGGCATCGGAAGCGGGAGATTGCGTGGTTGTTGTTGATGAGGAGGAAGCGGGGGAGGTGAGGCCAGAAAACGGCGGCAGTTTAAGCCAGTTGTGTGCATCCGTCTGCGGCGTGGCGGAGGGAAAGTGGATGTTCTCCGCCGAGCTGCGTGGCGAGGCGAACGGAGAGCGTTTGCGCTGCGACTCCGGCGCCGTGTCGGGGGTGAGGAAGGTGTGGGTGCGCAGGTCGATGATGTGGCCTTCGAGGTAGGTGGTGATGGGCGCGTGCTTCTTGCCTGCTTTCGGGCGTTCGCCGTTGGTGGTGGTGCTGCCGCTGCTGGTGGTGCTGAGGTGGGTGGCGGAGGGGTGTTGTGGGACGTCGTAGGCTTCCATTGTGCCTTGCAGCGTCATGCTGTCTTCGTCGATGGCGTGGATGATGACGCGCACGGGCCAGTGGTCGTGAGAGTCTTTGAGCGGTTGGGGCAAGTGGAAGCGCCAGGGGCGGGAGGCGTCGATGCGTGCCGAGCCTGGAGGGTGGTCGAAACCTGGGTGTGCTGTGCTGTTGTGGTGGCTGCTTGAGTTTCTGTAATTCGGATTGATCTGCTCGACTCGAGATGATGTCGACGATCGGTCTTGGTGGGTAAGGCTTGCTGTTGAGGCGTATTGCTGTCCTTCGAAGACGGCGCCCGGCTGAAGCCATGACGAGTAGGGCAGGAGAGGCAGCTCGTCGAGATCCATGACAAAATCGTCGTGCTTGTCGGCGAGGAACTCCTTCGTAGCCAATTGGTTATCGATTGCCGCAGACAGAGCACCCTCCAACCCAACGCAGGACCGCAGCTCGCTCAGGTATTTCAACGCATTCTCGAGCATGGACGTCGAAGAGGAAGTAGGCGTCGCCTGCACCGGCGGAGTGGAGACTCGTGGTACCCGTTGCGCCCCGTTTTCCGGTAAGTAGCCTCGTCGAAACGCCTCCACCCTCTCCTGTCTGTCTCGTTCTCGCAGCTCAGCGGGCGGAGGAAGAAGCCAATGACCTCTCCCACTCGCACCATTCTCACCACCACCATTCTGCTCTTCACTGCGCTCTTCCCCCGCCGAATCCGGTCGAAACCAGCCTTGGCTCCTCGCCCGTTCCTCCTCCTCACTAAACCCACTCCTCTCCCTCTCCATCACATACCTCAACATCCTCTCCGTTGCACTCGGCGATCCCGCGCCGCCATCCTGCCTCGCGCGCTGCAACATAGCCCTACTCCTCAAACTCAGCCACTCGCTCTCTCTCGCCCTCCGATCCCGCTCTCGGCGCGCAAGATTCCGTCGCTCAAGTCTATCAAGCCGCTCCACCGCATCCGCCATATCATTCTCCGCGGCGGAAAGGGCGGCGGTATCTCGATCACGCTGTCGATTGCTCTCCAACTGACTCTGGCTGAGCACACGCAGGATATCCGGGTGCGTGTCAGGCTGTTGGCGCCGCAGCTCATTCAGAATGGCGCTCAGCTCGCCCTCCTCCTCCTCCCAACCAGGCGCCCAATCATACAAGCTCTGACGATGGGGAGAAGGCGTGCGGTCGGTGTACGCCGCGGTCGTCGACGACGAGGCAGCGGGCTCATGTAGTCTATTCAGCCGGCTCAGAACTCGGCGCAGTCTTTCTTGTCTTGACAGGTCTTCGGCGGTCTCAGCCCGGCCGGTCGGAAACGAAGAAGAGGATGCGCGGTGCTCGGATTGGTATTCGCGCGACCGGGGGTCTCGGGCGGAATCTATGTGCGATCTTCGGGTCGGCGGGCTCGGGTGGTCGAGGTTATCTAGCGAGTTGCGAAGGAAGGCGACGTTGGCTTCATCGGTATCGTTGGCGGTGGTGGAGGCATGCAAGGTTGCGGCGAGGTCGGGCCCGGGAGAGGAGAGGTAGGATAGCGGGGTCAGTGGGCGCGCGGGTTGGGCGGCAGGAGTTTGCGGGCGCGAGGGCGTTCGCTGAGGGCAGATGGGTTCGTCAGTATTGCCCCTGCCGTCCATGTCGAGTCGCATGACGGGTTGCTGCTTACCGCGGGAGTGTTGGCGGGAGGCATGGCCTATCTATTGCAGCGGCATGGTCTCACGCATGAGAAGGGAAGACACCAAGAAGACTGCAGGCGGCAGGTTGCAGTCTAGAAGGGAGGTGGATGTCAGGGAACAAAGACAATAGAGGAATGAAAGGTGCCCATTCCATGAATGCGCTGGCTCGCTTCCGGGTTGGTCTTGGCTTGCACGTGTGCAACCCTGGCGACACTTTCGTCATATCGACGCCCGCGGCTGTGCCTCTGCTTCTCTCGCTCGACATCCGGGGCTACCTCCCGACCTTGTCCACCTGATGCAGCTGCACGTAAATCACCCACCTTTCGTCCGGAGGATCCGCCGTCCTCGTGCACTTGTCAGGGAGCCTACAGAGTCCTCAGTCATAAGGTAACCACGGGAAGGTGTCACTTTCAAATAGAGTGAAATTATTCGCATTACCTAAAAGATCAAGCTCATTGCTATTTCTCGCCAACCGCCAATCCGGAGCGAGACTGAGGTCAAGGAGCGTGCCACCAGAGACGCACTATCAAAGCGCCCTCGTAGTGGCACGTCCCATTCCTCCATCCGTCCCGAACTCGCGAGAAGGCCGTTTATCCAGCATCCACTTTCGACAAGAGCACGCATCAAGCGTCCTCCTTCTCCTTCCCCCGTCAGATCCAAAAACCTGTTTGGACTGAGAGGTCGAAGTCACAGTAGGATGAGCACTGCGTTCACCGACAAAACCATCCCCACGCCGTTCACGTCGATCGCCAGAGCGACCAAGGCGAAAACCCAGTCAAGGCCTCCACAACCCTAGAACCGGAAACGTTGCACATGAGTCCAGCGAAGTATCGTCACGGGAGCGTCTAGCGCGGGAACCCCGGACATGCTTCGCCAACACAGATCCTCCGTTCCGATCAAGGCCTGTCGAAGCGTGTGGGATGTTGTCGTATTAGGTCGAGCGGGTATACCGGATACCCTGCGCCCGTAAAGAAAAGTCGAATCCGCCGAGTCCCCAGCTCATCTCATCCGAAAACCAGTATCGAATAGGTAAGTGCAGAGCCGAGGTGGGAGAAGTATTCGTGCCTTGATCACTGCACAACAGCAGCAGCACGCAGGACGTTCCATATCCGCTGTCCGTCACTCGTGTGATGCGAGTGAAGCGAGACCGGAGTGTATAGACATCTCTTGGCGCTGCTGCCGCTGATGCAACACGCAGTCAAGGAGAGAACCGTCCTCTCCATTCCCGATCGATTCGTCCTTCCAAAGGATTGCGATAACAAGACCAGCAAGTTCGCGAATCCCGAGTGTATTCCTCCTCCAAACCGAAACGAATGTCGAGTGGCCGGAAGCTGCTCCGCCACATCATGCCAGAAGACCGCGAGGTCGTTGTGGGAGTACCACATCTTTGCAGTGCTTGCCTCTCCATTTCGTCGCCCAGTAGGTGGTGCAGAAAAATCCAAAACCCCCAGATCCAATCCAAAGGAATAAAAATAAAAACGATAAACGATGCTCGCTTGCTAAAGTCGACTCGCTGTTTTCCCCGCCGCAGGACAAATGAGATGGAGTTGATGTCGCGGCCTCTGCGTTGATGGTTGTCTCGCAGAGAAGGGCGGTTGAGTGGTCAGGTGAAGGGTGGTGATGATCAACATCGGGGTATCATCGACATCGCATGACATTACGAATCGTGGTCGCATCGAGAAGAGGGGAGTCGAGCAGGAAACGGACCTGTGCGCATCAGGTGTTTCTCAGGTCTGCAGTCGCAACCACACGGGCAAGGCAGTGCGTTTGTTCCCAAGCCTGGTTGATGTTCAGGCTGAGAAGCGCATTGCAGCACACCCTTGCGGACCCCTCACACGGCCGTGGCGTATTGCGATGGGAACGAGCTCGCACTCCAGCCGAAGCTGTCGAAGTGGCCCATGCCCAAGTCCGTGCCGCAGTGCGATGGTATCGTACTGGGCAGCTGAAGGGTGGGCATGGACGTGATTGCCTGTGGCGAGCTGAAGAACGGCGCCGAGGTGTAGTTGGTCGGTTGGCTGTAGGATGGCGTCGGCGACGGGAGTTGCGCGGCGCTAAGACTGCTCATCTCCGACGGCCAGAATGCATTCGACTGCGTGTCGCTGCACGATGTTACTGTCGGCGACGGCGTCGACGGCAGAACCTTCCACGAGTCCACCGGAATGGGTTGAGGTGCGAGCGATGGCGGCAGCGTCCACCAATGCCCAGGCATGACGTTCAATGTCAGCATGGGTGTAGGATGGAGCACGTCGACGATCCGCGGCGGAGGAGGCAGGAGCGGCACAAACAGGTTGCCAATCAGAGTCTTGACCTCCTTAGTCCGTCCGTCGAGCACCTCACCCGCACCATCCTCTTCCAGACCTTCCAGAACGCGGACACCAGTGCGATAGACAAATTTGTTGACGGCTTGGACAAACTCATCCTGCAACTTCTTCATTTGCGCCTCCTTCTCCGGCCAGCTCCAGGTGTCAGCAAAGGTGTCGGCGGAGTAGATGTCCTTGTGGTACTCGGTGAGCGCTTCGATGGTCTCGGGCGTCAGTTTGAAGGCGACTTCCATCTGCGACACCATGTCGACATGGACGACGTAGGCCTCGACGTGAACCAATTGATAGTTGAAGAGCGCCTCTATTAACGGGTTGTCGTCCTTGCGCAGCTCGGCGTCGGGCGCCTTGGGCAACATGAGCGACGTAAGCGTCCATATCGCTCCAGCACCGCCGAGAGTTTCCGTGAGATTTCGGTAGTGTTGGGGCACGCTGTTGAGCGGGCGCTTAACGCGGTTGATGCGCTTCAGCGCCTGCGTCAACCATTGCTCGACCTTGGTGCCGAGGACGATGGTCGGCGGGGCTCGGGGCGCGAATGCTTGTGCAGAGGCGGGGAGTAGTTGTAGCGGCATGATGTAGTATGTGTTTGGATGTCGAGACACAGTCGATGGTACCAGACCACGAGGCTGAGACGAGATGGTGGGAACGAGGGAGAAAAGAACGACGTCAGGTATCTCAGTGCGGCGGTGGAAAAAGAGAGAGAAAAATTAGAGCGTGCGCCTCGGAGGAGAGGGAAACGAGGTGGGTGAGAAGAGGGAGAGAGAGGGAGGGAGAGAGGTAAGGGAAGGGTGGTCGGGGATTAGAGCGGCGCACGAGGAGGGTAGAGAAGAAAGAGAGGTGCTATACGTGCGGCCGCGGTGCGCTTATATCAGGGCAGGCGGATTTGCCAGAGCGGGCATGGCGCCAGACTCGAAAAGCACTGCCACTATTTGTGTGGCCGGCGGTCGAGGACACCAGCTGCACGCCTGCAGATATAGTACGTCGGCCTGCAGGATTAGCCTCGCCTTTGCAGCTTCCATGCCACAGCGTTCCTGCGTGTTCCGAGTGGAGGCCCATGCATGCGCAGAGATTGCGACACGGGAGCAATTGCGTGTTGCTAAAAATCAATATTGCACTGTACGTACAAGCCTCCTCTCTTTAGAACAGCGTCGTCTTGTGCGCCCACGCACAACGCTACCCGAGCGGCGATGCGCGCGGCAACGGACAGAAGAAGCAAGGCATCCGGCTGGGGTTGTAGAGCGCGCAATCACATGTCATGCTGTTGGCGCGGATCTCAACTCCAAGCTGATCTGAGACAGACAGCCGTTCGTAGCGGGAAGCCACGTAGTTTGCCCATGTCTCAGATGCGCGAGATCGCCGCCACTGGCGGGACTCGAGCGTTGTTCTCGAAGCCTGCCAGCAACGGCACCTCTCGTCTGCAGCGCGCGTGGCCTGCCGCCGTTTCGATCCAGGAGATTGCGGGTCGTTCAGCAGCGCCGTGGCAAGCCTTTCCGTATCGCGCTGCGCATCCGCCCAACTGGGCTGGCGCGCCGGCCATCGTGTTGCGTGCAGAATGGCGATGAGTGGACGGCGGGTGCTGTGCGTTCATTACTTCGCTGCCCCTCCCGCTCCTTCCCCACCACATCCAGGCTCCACTTTTGCGGAGCTTAACGGCCTAGCGTCGCCATAGCGCGAAGCTGTCTCGCCAATCCGCTTGCTAGAACAGGGATCTGTCAACCGCACCTGAATTGTCAGATGTCCAAGAATGCCTCCGAGCCATGCAGCAGGGCAATCTCTCGCGAGTTGCACGAAGCGGCTATTCTCTCACGCTGCTACACATGGCAGAACGGGATGAAGACATGCCTCACAGCGCCCTCGTCGGTCCTGTCTACGGATGCGGTTACACCACCGTCCAGACAGCGCCACAGGTTGTGGCGGAGTTGCAGATTGTGGCGATGTCTGCATGACCGCGCGCATATACCTCGGCCAGTCTTGCTGCACGCTGACGGAAGACAAGCGCAGGCTCCGGGCCGATTTGCCGCTTGTCCGCAATCATCTGCTGCTGCATGCCCGGCTCGCGCCAGTCGTCTCGTGATTCTTTCCACAGCGCGTAGGCACCTGACACTTGCCGCATTCTGCACGTGCCGCATCTGTCCTAGTCTGCGTGCTCTCATCGATCGGCCGGCTAGAGGAGGTCTATCCGCCTCCACATACATGGTCATAGGCGTTTTCAAACACTGCCGCATGCTCGTGTGCAATTTGAGCCAGCACAGGTATTCGAGGCTCGCAATTCCCCGACACACCGTTGGCAACGGTCCCGCCTCCGTGGCGCCTCCGCTTTCTTTCCCAACGTGCCGCTTCATCTCACTCCGACCGTTGGCGGCTGAAACCATCACGTCCTCACTGGCCGTGCACGTTGACGAGCATTTGCAAGGCTATCTTGCCACTCGCCTGCCGGCATATGACCGTTGTGCATGAGGCTTCCCTTCGAAATGAGATTCACATATACTCGAGCGATGCAGAGATGACACCTTGGCCGGCTGACGCATCGTTTCAGACTTGCATGGAACAGCAACGAGGTGCATATGCAAGCTTTGTGACTCAACAACGGTAGCCACTTTGCTCCTATGGCTGCCCTATGGGACCGATTGAGCGATACTCCGGTCCACTTCCCCGACTGCTGTCCAGCCATCTCGAGGCCGTTGCTACAAACCATTCTCGACCACCTGCCTGCAGGCCCGGCTTTGACATTGTCCATCGGCTGCGGCAGTGGGCTGCTCGAGGCAGCTCTACTTCATGTCTGCAATGAAATCTCAGGACCACGCATCGATCTCCGCGGGGTAGAAGTAGATTCATGTCCGAGCAAGCATCTACCACCGGAGTTGGTGGCGAGGGTACAGTCGACCACTTCACTCTATCCCGATGCTGTCCTGGCCACAGCTCTGCTGTTCGTGTACCCGCGTCAACCCACGTTGCTAGGGAGTTACTTCGATGCCTGTTCGGACGGAGTGTTGGAAACAGTGGTCTGGCTAGGCCATCGTAGTGACTGGCCTGACTTTGAGGGGCAGATCCGGCGTCGATTTGTTGACTTGCACCTTATTGCTGGCCCTGGCTTGGCTGACTATGAAGTCTTGGTGGTTGCGTCCGGTCTCAAGGCGAAGACGTCGGATTGATGAAGCTGCACCGCTCTACACATCACGGGAACATACGAAAGAACACAATACCACGGTCCGACAGCTCGGCCAGAAAGATCGAGCACTCTTCATTTGGGTATCTGGATTTACAACGGAGGAACGTAGCCCAATATACTGCAACCAGTACATCTCCTTACGGCCCTCTCATTTCAACGACTCATCCCTAGTCACGGCCAGGAACGACAAACTCCACAACTGCCTGATATCCGATTCCGTATAGCTCGATCCCGGTGGCGGCGGGAGGTCGCCAAGTTGGACGAACTGGAAGGAGTTCTGTCAAGCAATGTCAGTATACGCAGCGTCGACGCTTGAAAAGAGTGGATGAAAGACTCACATCACGGTACTGCCAGCTCCAAACCTCGTTACTCAAGTACTGCTTGTTGTCATCGATGACATTCCATAGCTGGTTGTACGCCGCGATGACGTTGCTGTAGACGGAGGAGTCGTTGCAGAAGTCTGGCACTTCGGAGCTGTTGCACCGGTACAGCTGGCGCTGCAAACCTGCGGCCATCATCGCCAATGGCCAGCCCTGTGAGTAGGTCAAGTCAGCTGATGGACTGGTGAAGGGAAGTTGGAACAAAGATACTCACCCATACGACTGTTCCCTGATATGCATTGTGCGTCCAATTTGCGGCGTATACCGGCTCTCCGCCGTAGGCAGGATTTGCAATCAACATACCCACATCTGTACTGAGACCAACGGGGAAAGGCAAGCGAACATTGTTCGCCGTCTGATTGACAAAGGCTGTCAATTGCGTCTGATTCGTAGTGTTGAGCAGATAATGTCGGAAGCAGTCATCCGAGTTCATCACCTCGACCACTTTCAGATTGTCGTAGCCATTGAGCGACAGGCCGTGGAAAACGACGTCAGATTCGATGTCATCGACGTGAGAGGGGAAGCCAGCGCCAACGGTGTTGGTGTAGTTTGTCACGAGCGACTTGGCCTCGGAGACGGAACGGGTCACCTCGAAGAACTGCAGCGTGTTGTCTTCCCAGATCTGAGCGTAGGCTGCTGCTTCGGCGGACCAGTTGGCATGCTGCGGGTAGAAGCCGGCGGCGGAGAGCTGCGAGATGGCGCGCAAGGCTGCGGGGACCAACGCGGTGTTGACGTCGTAGGGTTGACGACCGCCGCCGATGCCGTACGTGCTGTCTCTCCAGTCGCCTACAATCTGGCCTTTGACGAGGTGCACGAGGTTGTGAATCTTCTGGCCACCGGGCTGGGCGAATGCTTTTGCGCTGCGCATGACTTTTTCCGCGTTGCGGACGGCCAGGTCTCCGTATTTGAGGCCGGCATTGCCAAAATCCAGCGTTGCCTCTTGGCTGAAGAAGGCCTGTCGTCTGCTGCGGCCCGTGGCGGTGTCGAGGAAGTAGTTTTGCATGACGGGTTGCAGGTAGTAGTCGGAGTCGACCATAATGTACGTGCAGCTTGGGGCGTTGCTGGTGATGTTCTTGAGTTGGTTCTCATACGTGGCGTAGTCTCCGATTGTCTCCTCGTGGCAGACTTTGCCGTCTGTTTTGTTGAGACGCTCCAAGACGGAGCCAATGACGGCTTCAATGGCTCCATCTGGGCCTTCGGAAAAGACTGGCTGCATGAGGAGGAGCGTGATCATCGAGTCTCGGCCGAAATACGTCAAGAAGCGCCAGGCTCCGGCCAGCAGTTTGTGCCTGTAAGAGAGAAACGACAGAGACGTCGTTTTGCCGGCTTGCTGCTGAATCAGGTCTTGAGATTCCGGGTTCAATACCTCGCTCGCACTGAGCTGCGTCAGTTGAGGGTAGTCGAAGGAAGCATTGAACTGGTAGGTCCCTGCACCGAGCTCGAGTGTGCGATTGGAAATGTTGACTGCTGCACTGCCGGCCTCGGGGACGAAAGACATGGACACAATGGTCTTGTTGTCCAGCCAGAGTCTGGACAGCAAAGCACCACCATTGCTGATGGAGGAGAAATTGACCGCGTCCTGGATCTCCGGGTGGAGCAGCGAGGGGCCTTCGGTGAAGTCACGGATGGTTCGGATGCTACCCATGATAGCGAGGTCGAGCATCGCAGAGGAGTTGAAGTTGATGCTTGTGCTGATACCCACAACAGGCTCACCGGTCAAGGAGCTGGAGTTGGCGGGGGTATAGATTGGGGAAAGAGGCTGGTCGCCGACCAGCTCGATGGCAAGGCTGCCGTTGACGCCATTCTTGGGCGAGAAGTAAGACACGACGCCAGAATCGCCCGCGGGCCACGCTACCTACATTGCGGTTGGCTTTCTTGTTTTATTGAGTCAGGAAAGGGGCATACGTACCAACAGCCTTGGGCCGATTAGAGTTAGGTTGCTGCTGGACAGCGGAGAGGTGACGACGACTTGGTTGGCCGCATTGCAGTCGGAGTAGAAGTAGTTCTCGTAAGGTGGTGCACTCAAATGCTGGGTGGTAGGAGTGTCGCAAGAGTCCACTCGCTCTACAATGCCCTTGACCTGCGGCGAGGCCAGGGCAAGACAGAGGAGGGAGAGTAGTTGGTAACCCAGTCGATACATTGCGGGCGTGGAACTGCGTGCTTGTTGGGAAGACCAAGTAGAAGGGACAACGACTTGCTATAAATCTCCCACCTATAACGAAGCAGGGTAAATCTCTTTCATCGCATTTGACAATCTACACAGGTTTTCCCTCCAACGTCATGTTCGAGCGGTGATCGACATGGAGGCACCGGCGGTATTGTCTGGGCAGCCTTGTACCCTTCGGGCATCGGCAAGCGAAAAGGCGGAGAATTTGGGGAGATGCTTCCCCGCACAGACCACGTGCTCGGCGGCCTTCCGATTACATCACCACTGCCAGGAACAGGCAAGGAGCCTTTTCATTGTCTATCACTCGCGCATACGCGAGATGGATGTATTTCAATGAGTGGTAAAGTCAAGGCATTGAGATAAGTCTGTCTTTCCCGGTTGCTCCTCGCCTGTTAGGCCCTTTCTACCCCTCAAATTGCATCGCTACATCTCCCTGCAACATGGCTCCACGAGTGATCTACTGGTTTCGGACCGACCTTCGCTTGCATGACTCGCCCGCTCTCAACGCAGCGTTAGACCTGAAGCCGGAGGTGCTCTACCCCATCTGGTGCTGGGACAGCCATTACGTCTATCGCGCAAGAGTGGGTGTCAATCGTTGGCAATTCCTGCTCGACTGCCAGCAAGACGTCTCAAAGAGTATTTCGAAGCTCAACAAGAAGAGCAAGTTATTCGTCTTGCGCGAGCCGGCGGTCACTTTGCTGCCCAAGTTGTTCAAAGCATGGAACATCTCCCATCTCGTGTTCGAAAAGGACACAGATGCGTATGCGCGCGAGCGGGATGCGCAAGTCATGGAGCTGGCGAGGAAGGCGGGCGTGGAGGTTATCGTCAAGGCTGGGCGGACGTTGTGGGACAGCGATGAGCTTGTCAAAGCCAACGATGGGAAGCCGACGATGAGTATGAGCCAAGTGCAAAAGGCGGCAGAGAAGCTGGGGGAGCCGGACAAACCGGTCGACACTCCGAAGACTCTTCCGGATCCCGGAGATATGAAGCTCGACTTTGACCAGACACAACCCAAATCAGCACCAGACATCAACGAGAAGCACCGCGATGAGAAGGAAGGGACTTATAGTGCCGGCATTGCCGGTCCAAATGGCGATTTCTCGGTGCCGACGCTTGAAGAACTAGGCATGAAGCCTGCAACAACGCAGCACCGCGGCGGAGAAAGCATCGCGCTCAAAATGCTGGACGACATCATCGCAAACGAGGAATACACAGGCACCTTCGAGAAGCCCAAGACATCTCCCGCTGCATTTGAGCCGCAGGCAACCTGCCTGACCTCGCCATATCTACATTTTGGCGCGCTTAGCGTCAGATACTTTTACCATAAAGTACAAGACGTGGTCGAGAAGAGGCGAAGGGCCAAGAAAGCCGTTTCCGAGGTGCCAGTCAGCTTGAAGGGTCAGCTACTCTTCCGCGACATGTACTTTGGCGCGCAGGCAAAGCTAGGCTGGAGTTTCGGACAGACGTACAACAACTCGCACTGTAGATTCATCCCCTGGCACTTACCCAGCAAAGTCGACGTCAACAAGAAGCTCATTACGGGCGAGTACGAGGTCGATGACGAGGAGAAAGACATCTGGTTCCAGCGATGGGCGCACGGCAAGACCGGGTTCCCGTGGATCGACGCGATAATGCGACAACTGCGGCAGGAAGGCTGGATCCATCATCTAGCAAGGCACTCGGTCGCCTGCTTCCTGACCCGTGGCGGCTGCTACATAAGCTGGGAGCGCGGAGCAGAAGTGTTCGAAGAGCTACTCATCGACCACGAAGCCGCGTGCAACATCGGCAACTGGCAATGGCTTTCGTGCACCGCCTTCTTCTCCCAATTCTACCGCTGCTACAGCCCGGTCGCTTTCGGCAAGAAGTGGGATGACAACGGCGATTTCATTCGCAAGTTCGTGCCGGAGCTGAAGGACATGCCGAAAAAGTACATCTACGAACCGCACAAGGCGCCCATTGCAGACCAGAAGAAGGCCGGCGTGCTGATCAAGGGCGATGGCGAGGAGACGGAGCGAGATGGAGTCGCCGTCTATCCCAAGCCCATGTTCGATTTCAACACGCAGCGAGAGATTTGCATGCAGGGGATGAAGAGCGCGTATGCTGTGGGCTTCTACGGCAACAGCAAGGCGGTCATGGATGGGACGTGGAAGAAGGCTTTTGACGATTCCGGTGAAGGGCCGACGTCTGGTGAGCAAGGGGGCCCAGCCGGCCTTGACAGCTTCGAAGATGCAGATGGGACGGAGGAGCTGATTACGTCGCCTCCGACGGCGAAGAGGGCGGGAAGGAACGAGGGGTCCACGGGAAGTCCGAAATCGACGCGAGGCCACAAACGGGAGCACAGTCAGAGCACTCTTGAGGGGAGTTTCAAGAAGAAGGCGAGGTGATTCACATGTTCGTTGGGATCGCGACGCCTAGTGGCTATTTCCAAGATGCACCATCGGGCTTGTCCATGTACAAGTATCAGACATGTCGGACGTCACTAGGAAAATGACGATCAATCTGCGCGTGTCGCCAACCCATATCGCCGTTTCCAAGAATTCTAGCAATACTGGCCGTCACCGCTCCGAAACGTCCAGTGCTCTCGCGAACATCGAAGCTACAAGTAACCAGATTGCAGAAATGCCCACTCTGGCCCAAAGCCAAGCCTCGTACAAAACCCCGATGCCCAACACTCCCTTCCAACTCCCGCACGACCTACCCAGCTGTAGCCGAGGCAGTGTCCTGGTCAACATACGCCACAGCATTGAGAGGACCTCCACCGCGGACAGCGTCAGCAGCACCGGTTGGCGAAGCAGCTGCAGCCGCGGCCACTGCCACAACACCTACGACAGGCGAGCCAGCTGCACCGCCCGCGTTTTCGTTGAAGCTCGCCGTCGCCGGCTGGCCAGCGTACGTCCCGGGGGTGTAAGGCGCCGTTCCCTCGTCAATGCCTACATTGAAAGTGTATCCTTCGCCGCCGTCGAAGATCGAACTGAATTGCTGATCATCGGTGCTGCCGCCAGGACTCGTGGAGACGCCACTGTACTGGCCGACGGCATAGACCATGCCATGTGAACGGCCGCCGTTGTCGCCGCGTGTATAATTCGCGCCCGGTCCTGCTACAGTGTATGCCCACGCCCAGTAGATGGCGTAATCACCTTGGTCGTCCTCGACGATGCTGGTCGACGAAGCCTGCAACGCTCTGGGCATCAGTATGACTCCTTTCAAAGACAGCAGGCTGTCACATGTACTCATAACTTACGTAGGCAATTGTAATGATTGAGCCGTTCTTGGCCTGGAAGGTGGACGAATTGCCAAAGGAGACAGAGGTGAGCTTCACGTTCGTGGCGTTGGGGTTCATAACCGCCGCTATCGTACCCGCAGCCGCAGACCCATAGGTACCGTCGGCACCACTGCCCAACGCCACTGACGAGGCGATGGAAGCGTTGAGCGTATGCCCCTTCCCGGGCCCGGCGCCAAATCCGTTGATGTGGACGAAGCACTCGGATGAGCCGTTGTCGCCAACAGCCTGCCCGTTGCCCTGCACTGTATCTGCCGCCAGCACACCGCCGGCGGCAGCTGCCTCGCCGTGAAGCTGGGACAGCGTGGGAAGCGGGGTGCTAGTTATCGTATGGGTGGGCGTGGCTGTGGTGCGGATCGTAGATTTCCTTTCGGGCCCACGACGCTCGATGTCGAGCGCATCGGGACCGGGTAGGAACGTCGCGGAGATGGAGATGGCGGACGCGAGGAAGAGAGAGAGCGTGGAGAGCTTCATCTTGGAGACGCAAAGGCAAGGAAAGCAAGCAAAATGTGGAGGAAATGAGAAAGTGCCAACACCCGCGCAGAGCTGGACCTGGGAGCAAAGGAAAGATATACCTCGTGGCGGCCTCTTCAGTTAGGCATTCTGCTGCTGGCCAGAATGCTGACGGTACCCCGCAGCTGCAGGGACAAGTCTGCCAGAATCATGGCGCACCGCGGCGCTGCGACGACTAGCCTCGACTCACCGCGCATCTCATTGGAGGTGTACTGTTCCGCGGAGCATCGCATGCAGAAGCTCGATGGTGGAGAGATATTTGGGACAAGCGTGGAGTCCAGGCTGGTCCGGGGAAGCTTTAGGTAAGATCCAGCCCAAACCTTATCTAGCCTATGGCCTATCAGGCTGTTGAGGCGTGCTTGAATGGCAAGGCCAGCAGCACCTGCATGCAAGATGCCGTTAATTGAGCCGAGCGATGGCGATCAGTGATACTGCATCTTGGAGGGGGATGCTTACGGCCGTAAGATCAATCAAGGCAGTATGTGGATTGAATTCCATTTCGAGGGTAGCATGCAAATCGTTGCCCAATCCTCCATTCGATAGCGCGCCTAGCGACCCCCTGTTGTACTGTAAGCCGTGTGACATACTCCAACGCGTAAATCCCGACCCAATTACGCCAAACCGACCGTCCAGAAACGCCGTCGAGTCCATTCCTTCATCAGCGTCAATACACATTAGCAGCAATCCCATTCGCCTTTCCACCCCCATCGCCACTTCTTCTTCTCCTCTCTCCCCTCATCATAATCTTTCTCGTCCCCAAACAGCGCGTCAATCGACCCACTGGAAGACTTCAGCTTCACCTTCGACGACCCGTCTCCCTTCAGCCCAACCACCTGATGTCCAGCAGTGGGGATGTCGTAATCGTAATAGATCTTCAAGTCCCTGCCGCGGATATCGACGTGGCCGGAGCTAGACCAGGCGTCCACCTCGCCCTCCCACTCATCCGGGTATTCGAGTTGGATGGAGCCAGAGGTGGTGTTATGCACTGATTGCAAGCCATCGATGATGCCGGTGCGGTGCTTGGGCTTGCTGCTGTCCGTCACATCCGCCGTGTCGAGGGTGTCGGTGTACGGCGAGAGGAATTCCAACTCGGTGCGCCCGGAGCCGGAGCTGGTCTCGAAGCGCGAAGAGGCGAGGTCCGCGGCGTAGGGCAGGACGGAGACGCCGATGTTGCCCGAGTTCGTATGGATCGTCAGATGGTCGCCGAGGATGTAGCCGCCTTTGATGCTGCCGCTCGACGTCTCGATTACGCCTTCGTAGTGGCGGGCGGGGATGTCGTCGGCGTATACATTGAAGGCGGCAGTGATGCTGCCGGAACTGGTTCGCAGAGCGTATGTTGCTGGCTTGGGATGGGCTTTGTCGGCAGGCTTCGGTTCAATCTTGACGTCCATTGAGCCGGACGCTGTTCTGATCGCTAGGAGATCGCGCAGGGCAAAGGCGCCCTCGACACTGCCCGAACTGCTGTCGATGACGGTGCGGCGGGAGTCCCAGTAGGCGATGTCGATGTCGCCGCTCGAGGTGTGGATGGAGGAGGACGAGGGCGGGGTGAAATATGAGCTGTCCTGCATCCACTCGCTGTCGTCAAGCTCGTCGTCGTTTCTGAAGAGATGCGGTTCCACAACCACGTCCATGTGCTTCACCCACGTCGTCCAGTCCCCCAGTTTCGCATTTCTGGTCACGTGGATGGCGACGGCCATGTCAATGCAAGCGTCGGGGTTGGGTAGCCAGTCATTGAGCTTGATTTTGGGAAAGCGGAGTTCGAGGCCGTCGTCGTCATGGACATATGTGCCTTCAACGATGTCGAGTGGAGCCATGGTGGCATAGTTCACCCAGACTCTGATGTCGGGCCCGCTTTCCTCTTGCTCAGGTCCGGCGGGTGATATCTTCACGGTGCCGGAGATGCGAAGACCTTTCCAAAACTGGGATGCATAGTCCAGGCGCTCAATGCGCTCAATGAGCGAAAAGTTGCCACCATCTGCGGTGAAGTTGAACGACTCGGTCTTGCTGAACGAGTTGAGAGGACATGAGCCGGATCTGCTCGGGTGTGGAGGCGTCGGGTCTCGTGGAGGTTTCACGCTCGGAACTTTCTCCCCTGGACTGCCATCACCCGAGGGAGACGACGAGCTCTCTCTGGACCCAGCAGTGATGATGATGGCCAAGATGGCCAGAAGCACGACGATGACGGCGAGCAAGCAGCCCTTGCCGCAGCGCGATTTCGAGCGTCGACTTTTCGGGGGCTGTTTGCTATCACCGGCACTACTCAACAGGGCGGTCCGCTCGGTAGGCTGCTCTTCCAACCGCGCGCCATCTCTCGCGTCCCCGGCGGGGGCCGGTGCATCTGTAGCAGCCGGGTGGACTGGGTCACGCATACTCTGCGGCGCGAACCGCGCGCTCGACCCGCCAAAGTCATGTAACAGGCCATTTCGTACCAATGGGTGGTCGGCGTCGAAGGCTTCGCGCTGTTGCTCCCTCTGGCCCGCAGTGGCAGTGTTGTAATCTGGTGGCGCCGACTCGATGATGTGCGCCGGCGCGTATGTTGGATTCGAGGCCTCCGCTTGATTGTGCGCCCGCGCCTGCGCCGCTTCCCTTGCCTTGTTGCTTTGAATGGCCGGGTTTTCTGTGTAGTTCTGTCGAGGGAGATTCCTCCGCTCAAAGTAGCCGTCGGCGGGAGACTGGTGGAGATCTAACAAGGACTCTGCGTCAGAATCATTGGCCTCGACATCGTAGTCAGATCCCGCATCTTCGAGATCCGACTCGTACGACAAGCCCGAGTTCGCCATTTCGAAGGTGCAAATGTACGATGTTGCCCGCAAACGGAGAAGATAACAAGTAGAAATGCGAATGCGATGAGGAATAAGGTAAGCACATGACGCTACTCACCTCCCACTGTGCCATTCGGCACGCCAGCGATTAGGCAGCTGGATTCCGGCCGCAGCTCTGTCATGTCCATTGGCCGGGGCTGATGGCGGGGTTGCGGCGCTGGGGGGTGGGGGTCGTCGAGCCCTGAATTCGGGCAAGGCGCCCGGGTCGGTCGGCGAGAGTTTGCAAGGTTTGTCCGGAACATGGCGCAAGTAGTCGTGCGTACAGAAACGATAAACGTCGAGATGATGGGTAGGAATGTCAGTGGCGAGGCTTGGACGGTCCGTATTGCTCGTTTTCCCTTGGTTGAAGTTTGACAACCCTCAATGGTGCAAGCCTTGCAGAGTGCAGAGAAGAAGACGAATGGGAGGGAATTGGAATGGGTGCAACTCCCGTTTTGACTCCAATGCCATGCAAGGCATACGTAGGTGTACGGAGTTGTCGTAATGCTTCTGCATGTTTAGCGAGTGGTTTGTCAAGGCCATTGGAGAAAACAAGAGGCATTGGAGAGGGATCGACAGGTGCATTTAACGGCAGCCTGGCCAACTCCGTCGTACCCTCGGAGTTGGGGAGAAGTGGTCAAGTTGCTGCCTGAGGCCACCAGATGTTTCGATATACGAAGATTCACCGCTGCACTCTTTTCGATGACTGTGTATCATGTATCTATAGCTAAAATACAAGTCCCCTCCATTTCGCATCCTTCAAAGATAATGTATCCGTCGATACAGTGCAGTGTGTACAGGCCTCCCTTCTCCACCGTTGCCCCTGAACACTGCAATCCATCAGATAGAAAGGACCATCGCAATGTGAATGCCCCATTAAACCCATATGATTGTCACAATAGATAGAAGCACATGCTTCCGCATTATTCCCATCATACTCCTGCAGAGGAGAGAGAAGGAAATGAATGGGGAAGAGAAAGAAGAATGGAAGATGAACAAAAAAGGAAAGGAAAAAAGAATCCCCGCTTGCGACTCGAACCCACGCCCTCGCAGCCCCCAAAGAACCAAAGCACCACGGGGGCAAAACGAAACCGCCGCTCGAAGCAGCGCAAAGCAAACCCGGGCCTGTGGCAAGACAGGCTTCCGCCGGTGGGTTTGGGGAACTTTGGGATTCATCAGCTGTGGACCATACACGGCTGGGGGGGTGTCTCCCTAGCCCGGCCAGGCCAGTCTAGGGACGGTTGGAATAGCTAAGGTGAAGCCCGATGTGGCTGGGCGAAGCACCTACGGTTAACCCGGCGACCGTTTACGACGACCTTGGCGGCGCGGGAATTCTATATGTACCCCTTTTTCGTTAATTCGGGTGATCTCCGGCTTTTGGGGGTCATGGGGTTTGCTTGAGGCGCGATTGGGTGACTCGCTTGCTGACTGATTCCGGAGCCGATTCGCCGGCTTGACTGGAGGCGTGATGAAGGTGTCCGAGGTGCCGTGCTTGCTATACGCATGTTAACGAGTCACAGTGTGAATGTTTCGCTCTTGTTGAAATAGTGAGGCCCCAATCTCGCAGCACAACACGATGCAATGCAATGCAACTCTTTCATACAGTGTCGCAATTCATACATACCACCCACCCTCCCACGCATCAATGCATGTATGCACACATCCCCCTCAATGCACCACCGGCTTCCCCCCCTTCCCTCTCGCCTGATTATCCCCAACCGTCGGCAAGCCCCGCGAACCCCTCACATCAACCTCCTCCTTCTTCGCCTCCAGCAAGCCCAAACTCCTAATCTCGCCCGCGCTCCGCGCCGCATCGCGCGGCGTCTCGGCCTCCCGCTTGCGGTACGCGGCCTGCAGCGTGCGGATCTTGGCCGCTTCTTTGCCGTGGTGGAGGCATCTGCACGTTTTCGCGAGAATGGGTCAGCCAATTGTGCCGCTTTCGGGGGAAGGGATGCGATGTGATGCGATGCTGGGTGGGGACACGCGCGAGGGCAAGAGACACGTACTCCATGTAATCTTCCAACGCCGGACTGCACTTCTTCGCGCCTGCGCGGTTGTCGTTGTCGCCGTTGATGGCGTAGCAGGCTAGCACTTCCTGCCAGAAGGGAAAGCAGCGCGACACGCCTGTGGGAGAGGGGGCATTGTCAGTCTTGTCTGGAATGCGGAGATCCGCTGCCGGGGGGGTTACGAACCTCCAGCGAGCCCATAGCCGGAAGCCATGATTGCGGATGGGGGATTTGTGAAGCTGTGGCGCTGAATTGGCCAGGGATCGGGATGGGGAGTCTTCGTTGTATTCCCTCCTTCCGCTGGCTGGGTTCGGATGAGGTTGCTGGAGAGTGTGGAGACGGCGTGCGAAACTGCTGGGATTTGGAGCTCGGGATCTCGCTAGCGTCAGGCACACATGAGGGAAGCAGCTGTGAGGCGCATTGATATGAGGACACTCAACATAGCAATGCAGGGTGATAATTCCGACTCGCCCGGCTACATGACCACGACTATCCATGCAAACATCCACTCAAACATCACCTCTGCAGCTCTCCACCACCATCTCACTCCTCATATTCAAAAACCCCCGCCGCCCGCCCTCCACAAACCCTCTCAAGCGTCAAAAACGCAAAATGACTCCCCACCACCGGCCTCGCCGTAAAGCGATTCCCAGGGAACCCGCCGTCCTCCTCCGTCTTATACAAGTCCGTCAGCGGCCGGTCCGTGGCGGTCTCATTCACCCACCTGGCCACGCGCGCGAGAATCTCCTTGCGCGTCTTGCGCGACGCCACCGCCGCCACCTGGAACTCCCAGTCCGACTTGGTGTACAGGTGGCGCGAGTCGAGCGGGAGGCCGTACTTTTGCATCGCGTTCGCGTACCAGCGGGATTGCGTGGTGTAGATGTGGTTGGGGATGAAGTTCTTGCTGCGTGAGGTGGTGGCTTCTTGCTGAAGGATGGGCAATTGGTCATCGCCGCCGACGAGAAGGCGGGTGCTGTCCTCGCTGAAGTTGCCGTTGGGATGAAAGCACAGCACTGCGTCGGCGAAGAGGGAGTAGAGCGTTGTCCAGCTGCCTTGCCAGTGGTATGCGAGCTTCGCGCGGCCGCCGTCGGGACTCATTGCATATCCTTCCCAGTCCTTGATGTACACCTCGCTGATGTTGCGGTAGTACTTCGCGTCTCCGCGCTCACCCACCACCTGCGCAAGCTCGCTCATGGCTTTGATTCCGATGATGCCTTTGAGGGCAAGGTTCGTCTGCAGCTCCAGCCAGCCGGCGAAGTCGTCGGTGCACAGCTGGTTCTCCGGCAGAAGAGAGAACTCGACCAAGTAGCCGGTCCATTGTTTCCAGAGTCTGTACGACCGAGAGACCCACTTGCGTGCCTGGTGCTTTGCAGTCACGCCGCCCCATTGATCATCCAGACCGTGGATGCCATCTCTAATCTCCAGTGCATCAGGTAGGGCAAATGGGGTCACACCATCCGCCAGACGCTCGGTTGCCGCTGCATCTTTCGCCGTTCCAAGTGCACTCCACATCGAGTTTGCGGACCATCCATCACCGTGCGAAAGGCTATTGACAATCGCCAGTCCCATGATGAGAATGTTGCCGCACTCCTCGACGGGCATATACTCGTCCCGGCCAAGAGGATGGCCGGTCAAATTTGGGAAATGCGCTCCTAAATCGTGCATGGCATACTGATTGGGATACTGCCCACTCAACATGTGCTCGATCAAAGGCTCCAGAAGATATGCCAGCCATCTCGGGTTGGTGTACAAAAAGAACGGGAAGGCCGGGAAGATGACATCGATCGTTTGGCAGTTACCGTTACTGCTGATCTCCTTCAAGAAGATAAGAGGGTTATCAGGCGTACCAGAGAATGAAGTGGCTCCCAGGACCTGGCGGGCGCTGAGCTCTACAATGTCTTTGTAGTCGTCGCTGCCGCTTGCAAAAGCGTCTTTGGCCACCTGAGCGGAGTAGTTGGCAGCAAGTTGAGAGGCATGATGATAGTCGTTGTAGTGATACGCAACCAGCGACGATGCAGTGAAGAAGTAAGACTTCCAAAGCGGACGCATCCAGGTCAGGCCACGACCAGAGGCAAATTGCGTGACAGGGTCCTGAACGTGGGCGATGGTGAAGACCACACTGCCCTCTTTGGCACTCGATTCGTTGTAGTGGCTCGAGTTGGAATTGAGGTGGAAAGCTTTGGTGAATGCAAAGACTGGCTCCTCGTCCATAATGCCACGGAAGTGGGTATCCACTCGGTCAGTCAAGGTCCCCTTTTTGGCAAAATACCGGCGCAAGTCTCCAGAGACACCCGCCTCATACTTGATGCCCAGGGGAGCGGTGAAGTGCAACTCGCCCCATTCCGCTTGATCACCGTGCTCGGTGAACAACAACTCGTCTCTGCGCTTCACGCTGAACGTCTGCAACGCCGTGCCATCCTGCTCGCCATCATCTTGCGCGAACGACCAAACGATCTGTGACCCCCGGTCCCCACTGACCCATTGGCCATTGACGTCAATGTACACGTGCACATCGAAGTTACCTTTTACGTGGACGGAGATGTAGCTCGCAGGCAACGACTGGCGCAGAGTCGAGGTGGGCGTGATGGGAGAGAGGAAGGAGATGGTCAGATTGGCGGCATCGGCGTGCCGGCCATGCGGCGAGGGGATGGAGTAGGAGAGGTTGGTGGTGGAGGCGTCGTACTGCGCCCCGAGGTAGACGGGCTCGCTGACATTGTAGTGCTTGGAGGAGTGGTCGAGCGAGTCCTGCGCTCGGCCGAGGAGGGGGTAGACGATGGCACTGTCGGGCACGTAGGTGAGGAGGGATAGGCCGACCTAGTGAACGGCTGCTCAGCAAGCTGCGGGGATCATGGAGCTTCGAATGGTGGCTACACACCGACTGGCCTGCCCAGAATATCGGCCAATGCTGCCATGGCTCTTCTCTTGCGTTGCCGAGCCAGGTGGACAGGTACGGGTTACGGACTATGAGGGGGAGCACGGGTGGAGTGAGGGTGGATGCAATGGCAGCCTGGAGCAGACCAGCTGCAACGACGACGAAGGAGAGCAGCATGCGCATGATGCCGGCGTGCCACGAGATGTTCGAGGTGTGAAGAGGGGGAGGGGTGAGGGAAGAGACGAAGGAAAGCGACGTTACTTGCTGAGTAGCTCCATGACTTGAAACATGCCTCTCCAACTGCCTCGTGATCAGGCGGGGAGCTCCATTGGAGGGTTTCTGCTTACGACGGTGCAGCAAGGTTCGAGCGGGTCTTGCGTGCTGAAGCTCGAAGGTGGGGTGAGCGGACAGAAGTAGGCGTCCATACGCCGACTTGTGTCACTGAAATGAATTGAAGACATGGGCATTACTCGAGATATCTCTTGAACATGTTACTCAGTTTTGACCCTCTAGATGATGGGGGGCATATTGTCCATGCCAAACCCGCGGAGTCTACACATCTAATTCAAAGCCCAATCCATTCGATGCGCCAATGCAATGTCCAAGCACAACCAGTGAAACCCATCCTTTGATTCATATACACATCAAGACCCTCAGAACCGATTATCATTCCCCCGCGCATAGTAGTCCCGATGCGGCGCCGGAATCTCATACTGCTGCTGCATCGGCTGCGGCTTGGAGATGCTCGGCCGCACAGGCGCAAGTTCACTCTCACTACCGCTCAGATCCCTCAACTGATGCGCCCTCTGGCTCTTCTCGTAGGCCGGCGGGCCATCTCGTCGCCGCTGCATTTCGCCCTTGACAACAGCTGCGATGTAGATGACGGCGATGACGGCGACGATGATGGCGTATGCAATTCGCGCCGCCGAGGACGCCGTGTTTGCTAGCTGGATGCCGAGGCCGCCGTTCACCATTCCTAGGAGGATGGCGAAGCGGCCGTGGAAGAGATGCGCGTAGGACCAGAGGGTGCGGCGGCCGGAGCGTTTGAACATGCGATGGTGCAGGAAGCCGAGGATGGGTTGGAAGAAGAGGACGACGAGGAGAGCGATGCCGATGATGGGGTGGGCGCGGCTCATGTAGTTCAGGTGGGTGGCGAGGTAGACGCCCATGGCGAAGGCGACGATGTAGACCAGGTATCCGACCATCTGCAGGCCAGCGTGGATCCAGACGAGCCCGGTGAAGTTGGCGATGCGGATGAGGATGCCGCCGGCGGGGAAGAGGACAACGAAGGCTAGACATGCGAGCACGCCGTGCGCGAGCATCAGAGTCTGTTGTTGGCTCGCTGACAGCCCGACGCCGTCGTTGCTGATACTCGAGCTGGTGCTCGCGTATCCGGCTGGACAACCATCGTCTCGCTTCGCCTTTACGCTGGGTGGTCCCGTAGGGTAGGATCCTTGACCAGCGCCCGGGAAACACTCCTTAACCCAAGCCGGCGGGTTTCCCGTAGGGAATGGCGTGGGGAAGGTGGTGGGACATCCTGAACCCGATGGGCCAGCCAGAGTAGAGGAAGGCGTCGATGTGCCCACCGAATCTGCAATTGGTGTACAACTCGCTGGGATCGACGCACCTCCCGTGGCCGAGCTCGAGCCTGTTGTCGTTGGGGTACCGCCCGAGGAAGACCCGCCCGAAGATACCACGAAGGGGTTCACGTTTTCGCTGCCGCCCTTCGCATTCGAGATTGTCCACGAAAACGCGCTTTTCACGTCGTGCTCAGAAATGCCGGCCTCGGGACTGTCCGAATTGATGGGCGACCCGGATTTCGCAGCGTAGATGAAGTCGGCGGTCGAGCCGGAAAAGTCCATTGTTCCCTGTCCACCGTTCCAGCTCTGACAGTTACTACACCGCACATTCGCAACCATCTTGCCTCCGCTGACTCCCGAGCCTTCCAAAAGGGTGATCTGCGCGGTCGAGTCGTATTGGGGTTCGGAATAGCTCGAGGCATATCTCGGAGACACGGTCACGTTGTTGCCGTCTGACGAAGTGTACATGACGAAGATGTTGGCGCCCACCATGCCGCTTCCCTGCCCCAGCGCGGCCCATGAGTAGGAAGTCGGAGCGGAGATTTGGAAGTAGATGTCGCCATTGTTGGAGCTGGCGGTGGAATCGGGAATGCTGAGAGAGTAGCACAGCTCGCCCTCACAGACTTGATTCAAGGCGGATGCAACAGTGCCTGCTCGTGGTTAGAACGCGTAGCTATTGACGGCCTGCAGCGCGTTTCTCTTACCAAGGCTGAGAGCCGTGGCTGCAGCAAGAAAGGATCTCATTGTAAGGGACGTGTCGAAGATCCAGCAACAATCATAAAAGGTTCAATGAACAGTGTAGAAATGAAAGGAACGACGAAAGGCAGACAGATAAGAGAAACACGAGCCAGGCCACCAACGGTATGGGAAATGCTATAAAAAACGGCCAGCCTTTGACGACGTGGACAGCAACAGCCACACCCACCCTCTCCCGCGAGTCTGTACGGGGGCAGTCCGACGCACTAGGCGAGAAGCAGACGTTTCAAACGCGCCCTAGGCAGGATGGGTTGGATTGCTTTCGGCGCGCGTGTGTGAAAATAGAAAAATAAAAAGGAGGCGCGTGCTTTGAAGGAGCCGGGCTGGGCTGGGCGCCGCATCTCGTCGCCACTCGTCGGACTCTCGTGTGTTTCAGCGTGAGCGTCACTTGGCGCTTCATCGATCGTTTCGTCCATTCTCATGCGATGGGAGCCCCTCGTATCGTGATGGGGATACGGCGCGTGTGCATTGTTCTGTTGCAATGGATCCTGGAAGTTTGCGGTGTTGTTGTGCGAAAGCCTGCGAGATTGGGCGTGGCGGGGCCGCGGACCGGCTGACGCGGTCTGGCGGGAGAGGCGGGCGCGGGCTAGGCCCTGACGCCTGCTCTACCCATTTTTAGCGCGAGCCACCTGCACGGCAGACAGGGCTGCATGGGTATATTGAAGACACACACGGATAGGCATGGAATACATGTGCCAAATGTAGTTTGAACGGAGGTGCAGCAGCTAGCTGTGGCCCTGATCGATCTACTATGACCCAACCAAAACCCCCCCGCTCAAACAATGCCCAACGCATGCATGTACCGCCTACGACGCAGCGACTTCCTTGCTGTCCCTCTTCTCCCCACTCCCACTGGCCATCGAGTCCAAGCTCACCCGACTGGTGGTGCTCTTGAGACTAGTCGTCTTCTTGAGCTCGTCCTGCACACTCCTCAACGCGTCCGGGCCGCCCAGCTTGCCCACCCGGTTGGCCAGCGCCGTATTCTCTCGCTGCAGACTCTCAACCTGGTCGGCGAGCAGCGAGTTCTCCCTCCTCAACAGATCCACGTGGCTCCTCAGATCGTCTCGCTCCCGGGCGACGAGGGACAGCTTGTTCTGATTCTCCTTCCGCGCTCGCTTCTCCTCCACCTTGCGCAGCTCCTTTTCTCTCTTCTGCTCCAGCTTCTCCACCTCGCGCTCGTGTCGTTCCTGCGTCTTCTTCAGCTCCTTCTCCATTCGTTCGCGAGCCTTGTCTTGGTCGGTTGCGTCTTTCGCCTGAACCGCCTGGAACTTGGCTTCTTCCGCCTCCCGCTTCTTCGCCACTTTCTCATCGAGCTTCTCCCGCTGTTGCATAATTTTCAGCACTTCCTTCTCGTGCCGACTCATGTTTTTCTTGTCCACGTTTGGCAAGGACCTCATCGACGATGCCCCGCTTACCAGACTCGCGCCCTCGTTATTAGATTCGGAGTACTCGGGTGCCGTCGATAACCTTTTGAGCTCGTCTGCCGACAGAAATGAGTCGTCTGACGAAGAGTCGGACAGGTCGTCCTCGGGCGCTTCTGCCGTGGATGTTTCGTTGCTCAGGTGTTTCGTCACAAAGTTCGAGACGCCCACGGGAGCGTATGTGGTTATGCCGGACTGGACAGTAGACGTCAGACTTGATAGTATGCCTCCAGCGTCTTTGGATCCGTCTGTGGTTCCTATCGCTCCTCCGGCAGCTGGTTCACTGCGCAGATCTTTAGTAGCGGCCTTGTTGGAAACGTCGCGCTGTGCCGAATTGTCGTCGGTCACTTGTTGGGCGGCCACGTCGAGTGGCTTGCTCGTCGCGCCGTCCGCAGCTTGCGCTGCCTGGCTTCCATCTCCGACAACAGTAGCGTCCTGGTCCTGTGCCGAGACTGCTTGCTGCTCCTCAAGGTCTCCATCGCGTTCGGGTATCTCTTCTTGCCCGCATGCCCAGTTGAAAAACTTGCTGACGTCTGCAAGCATTGCTCCCGGGGTACCGCGATCGATGAGAAATCGGGGGATGCCGCCAGCCGGATCACTGCGAGTTACCATGATCCATTCCAAGGGGTTCAGTTCCGGATCGGTGTTGTGTGTAAGGTGGATGGGAATCTCGCGGACCAGCTCGACGGACTCGTAAGTCCCACGAACGAAACTCGGCCGTTCTGGGACATCGGGGTGATGCAAACCCTTGGAAACAATCATGTAGTGCCGAGGAATGTACTGGGAGTTCTGCTGGTCTGCAGTCGGGCTCTTCTCCGTCAGAGCGCAGTCGGTTGTGAAGAGCATCATTAAGAATTCCCTCGGGCTCACAGGAGGCGGCATCTGTGCACTCAATTGATATACTTCCACCCTGTCTCCGTTCTCCTCCTTGAGTTGCTCGATCCTTCGTTCCGCAGAGAGACCTCTGATGGCACCCGCGCCAGGCTCGCCCTGCGTCAGTAATGTCTCTGGGAACTCTCGCTTAATAGCCTTCTTGAACTTGGAGAATGAAATGCCCTCGAAGATGGAGTGCCTTGCAAACCAAGCACCGTGTCTGTCGTGTCCCGCCATCTTGTACAGTGCAATCTGCAACGGGTTTTCTTTGGCGCTGAATTTGACCGGCTTTCCCCAGTTCTTTCGCAGACTCTCGTGATCATCGTCCGGGGCTTGTGGCCGGACGGGCGAGGGAAAGATGTCTTTGGCGGACTTCGCGGAGTCGGGGGTTTGGAAGTGTGGTTCGATGGCTTCTGGATCTCCGCCATTGGGTGGTAAGGGGACGGAATTGCAGAGCAGTTCGCCGGCCTCGAAGTGCTTCTGGAGGTAAGAAGCTAAGCCGGTGGAAGGCACCTCATCCCAGTCGGCATGGGCGAGTAGCTTCAATGCAGCGGGCAGGTCTGCCATGACGACGGTGTGAGGAGTTGGAAAGGCGGGGTGTCACAATGTCTCTATTGACTGGGGGGACGCTGCTTGCGGATGGTAGGAGGAATGACGGGAAGGCATTGCCAAACGCTATTGTATTCGGAGGACTCGATGAAGTCAGCCAGCCGTCACCTCCGAACCAGGAAACCTCAGGTTACGTCGTCACCGCGTGGAGGGGCCGCAGGCTGACTAAGATGGGGCGAGGACCGGCTCTTCCGTTTCTCAGCATACCCGACGAGTCCTCCGTCACATTTCCATTCCCAGCGCGCGACTCGTGCTGACTCGGATCGGAGCAGAAGCATCTTCTACCGAGAGCGTGAGCGAAGGAAAACAAGACCTACCTATGCTGATCATGGTTGGTGCATGTGAAGGCCAAGCAAACCACACTGCATGTGAACTGGCGCGTCTTACGTAATAAAGCTTCTTTAAGGGTGTTCATGTTGTCTGGTGCTTCTCAAATCTTCATGTTCGCCAGACACACCAACCCCATCCTCGCACACATCAACATCAGCAAAGATGGCGTGGCGACAGAACATGGGCAGCACAGGTGCCAATACTATCCCGCTCGGCGCTCGTCGCCGCTTTGGAGGCGAAGATGGCCCCGGGGGTGATGAGGCACCCCCCATGCCGGAGATGAAGCGTGGCCGCAGCCCGGAGCAGCGCAAAGAGCCCGAACTGAACCCCGACGGCACCAAGAAGCGTCGCAAGCGCAACCGCTGGGGTGAGGTGGCGGACAACAAGGCTGCCGGGCTGATGAACCTGCCTACCGCCATCACCGCTCCCATGACCGCCGAGCAGCTGGATGCCTATGTCACTCACTTGCGCGTCGAGGAGATTAGCCAGAAACTGAGGATCAACGATGTGGTGCCTGCAGACGGTGATCGGTGAGTGCTACTTTGCCCCCCCTGCGCTACATCAATAACCACTGACCAACTCCCTTTAGCTCGCCCTCCCCGCCGCCCCAGTACGACAATCTCGGCCGTCGTGTGAACACGCGTGAATATCGTTACAGAAAGAGGCTGGAAGACGAACGCCACAAGCTCATCGAAAAGGCGATGAAGATCATCCCTAGCTACCACCCGCCCTCCGACTACCGTCGCCCGACCAAGACTCAAGAGAAAGTCTATGTGCCAGTCAATGACTACCCAGAGATCAACTTCAGTACGCTTGCTAACCCACTAGCCCTTCCTTTTCCCCCTCTACTTTCCTTGCCTTTCATTGCTCTACCCAATTTGTTGATGGCGATCAAAAGCCAGCTAACCCTCCCCGACTAACCGCACTTCACCTCTCTTCTACCATGAACAATGACTAACACCTAGCTTTTCTCCCACTAACAGTTGGCCTACTAATCGGACCGCGTGGCAATACGCTCAAGAAGATGGAAACCGAGTCGGGAGCCAAGATCGCCATCCGCGGTAAAGGCTCGGTGAAAGAGGGCAAGGGGAAATCGGATGCCGCCCACGCTAGCAATCAGGACGAAGATTTGCACTGTTTGATCATGGCGGACACGGAGGAGAAGATTAACAAGGCGAAGAAGCTGATTCACAACGTCATCGAGACGGTAAGTCTATCTCCACCCCCTGCATACACAAACATGACCTCGCTGACCCTGCACTAGGCCGCCTCCATCCCCGAAGGCCAGAACGAACTCAAACGCAACCAGCTCCGCGAACTTGCCGCCCTCAACGGTACCCTTCGTGACGACGAGAACCAAGCCTGCCAGAATTGCGGCAATATCGGCCACCGCAAATACGACTGCCCGGAAGCACGTAACTTCACCGCCAACATCATCTGCCGAGTCTGCGGAAACGCCGGACATATGGCGCGTGACTGTCCCGACCGCCAACGGGGCCAAGACTGGCGCAATACTGGCCCACCCCGCCGCGGCGTCGGCGACTCCATGGATAACGACTATGAGCAGCTCATGAACGAGCTCGGCGGGGGAGAAGGCCAGAATCCGGCGAGGCAAATTGGCTGGGAAGGTGCTGGACAAGGCGAAGGCGCAAATGGCGACGCTCCCGGTGGCGGCAACGTCCGACCCTGGCAACGCGGACCCACCGGTGCTCCCGCGCCCTGGCAAACCAATCGTCAACAGGGAGGAAACCCTGCCCCGTGGCAGCAACAAGATCGCTCGTCCGGGGGCTACAATGGTGGCTACAACGCTGCACCCCCTCCACCTCCTCCTGGTGGCAGCATCCCGCCTTGGCAACAACAGTCGCAGAACCGCGCTCCGCCGCCGTGGCAATCGAATGGACAAGCCGGAGGCTATGGCGGAGCTGCGCCACCCTGGCAACAACAGCAACACTCTCAATACGACGCCCCTCCGCCACCTCCGCCACCCCCGCCGCCCCCACCTGCTGATGGTATATCCTGAAGCGTGTGCTGAGAGCAAAAATACGTGGCTAACTTTGTGTTCAGATGTTCCACCGCCTCCACCGCCACCTCCTCCCCCACCTGCGTAGGAAGCAGGTGGCCACTGGGAAATGGTTCTGCGGTAGATCCTTGAATTGTGGTATATGATGGGATGGGAAGTGCTCTGGGAGAGGCGCATGGAAAGCTTCGGAATCGCTTGGGGCGGATTTTCTTACTTGCAATCGTGAACAGGAGTCTTGAGTCTGGCAATGGATGGACTGTAATCTCCATCACGTCCTCGAGCTGCTCAAGACTGCGCTCGATGCAGTACATAGCGCGTCCGTAGGGTTTGCAATGAGACTTTTGGTTTGATACTACGAATTTTGGCACTCACAAGTGAAGTCCGTAGCACGCTTTTGATGCAAATGCACCTGCTTCACTCATTTCGACTCATATCAACAAATAGTAACCAAGACATGATACTCGAAGCGCCCCGAAGTGAAGATCAATGCAAACGACACTCCAAGCTGCGTAAACCGCATCCTGGCCATTCTATCAAAGTTTTCATCGTAAGCAAAACTGGGTAAATTGCTCCTGTCAACACCCATCCAACCAGCAACTCGAACACAAATCCAGGAACCATGCCGGACAACACCCCCCGCAAAACCGGCGGAGGCGGCGGCGGTCGTGGCCCCCTACCACGCCCCGTACAAGTCTCCAAAAAGCTCTCCAAACTGCTCCGCCACGACGCCGAAAAAGAAGGCCTCAAACTCGACTCCGCCGGCTTCGTCAACGTGCAAGACATCCTGGACAACCGGACGCTCAAATCGCTCAAAGTCAGCTTCGACGAAGTGCTCGCGATTGTGGAGGAGAATGACAAGCAGCGCTTCGCCATGGTGCCTCTTGATGCTGGCGGCGAGGCCGGGGAGGGGGAGGATGCGGGAAAGGAGCAGAAAAAGTTGAAAGCGAGGGATTACAAGATCCGCGCGAATCAAGGGCACAGTCTCAAAGTGGAGGCGGATGGCGGTCTGCTGACGCCTATTGTCGATGAGGCGGATGTGCCTGCTACCGCCGTGCACGGGACCACGCATGCGAATTGGATGCTCATTGTTGCGTCTGGGGGTTTGAAGCCCATGGGCCGGAATCACGTGCACTTCGCCACGGGGCTGCCGGCGGGCTTTACGTCTGTGGGGGATGCAGAGGCTGCGAACGTGGAGGTGGCGGCGCCGGTGATTTCGGGGATGAGGAAGTCGTCTACGGTGCTGGTGTGGCTTGATGTGAGGCGTGCGATGGCCGCGGGATTGAAGTTTGGGCGGAGTGAGAATGGGGTTGTGTTGACGGAGGGCAATGCGGAGGGCTTGGTGCCGTTGGAGTTGTTCAAGAGGGTGGAGGATCGGAAGGGGTTGGGGGTTTTGGTGGAGGATGGGAAGGTGGTGAAGGAGGCGCCGGCGAGTTGGGCGGCGGAGGGAGGGCCTGGGAGACCGCGAGGGTTTGGGAAGGGCCGTGGGCACAACACGCTCAAATGAGTTTGCGGAAGCTGGCTGGCCTACATGAGATATGCTAATCCTCCGTCCGCCTCGCGATGCTGCATCGCTGCGGGTACAACGGTCAATCGGACGAACGAACGAGCCCAAAACGTCCCGGACCTCACGTCGGCTCCGACCAATCTACCTGCTCCAACACCGGAGCAGCCCCATTCTTCGTGTATGACAGCTTGAGTCGAAGACGTAGCCGGGGTGGAGGAGGCTGCACGCACACCGCACTGGTTAGCAAACATTGCATGCAAAGTAGAGGAGAAGAGAACTCACCCCTTGAACACTCGTAACTCTCATCCCCTGTGTAGCCTCCTGACCCGCGCCCAGTTCGCTACTACTGATAGGCTGCAACTGCAGCTTTTGCGTCTTTGGCACCGCAGCCTGCAAATTCACCTGGCCTATGCTCTCAAATGCCGAGCCATTCTTGAACTTCGCCTGAACCTGTACCGCCTGCGGATTCCTTGATACGGTGAACGTGACGACGAGGTCATTCTTGTTGTAGACGCCGTGCGCCTGTTGTGCTGGAGCGGATGGGGCAGGGGCAGAACCAAAGGAGCCCAGCATGTCGCTGGAGGCTGGCGTGCTTGATTGGGGCGGTGCTTGCTGCCGAGATTGGGCTGGTGGCGACCCCGAATCGAAAAGGTCCATGATTGAGCTGTTCTTGTTGGCCGCTCCAGTACCATTGGATACCGGACTGCTCGCGCCCATGGATGAGCCGCCGCCAAGAATGTCGGCCAGCAGATCCGCATTGTTGCTTTGCTGCGTGCCATTGATTGTAGCGGACAGATCACTGGCTGGGATGCTGGAATCGCCGCCCATCAGGTCGAGCAGCATGTCTTGCTCCGTAATCTGCGTCACCGGCTTCCTCTTCGCGGCGATTCTGCTGCTTCGCTTCTTGCCCGCCGACTCACCCAAGACACGCTGTTCCTCGCGAATCTCGGGAGGCGGCATGCGTTCGAGCACTCCCCTTCGGACCTGGTCGTAGCCAAATAGGTTGCCGTACTCCACACTGCGCTGCTGGATCTCGACGTCCAAGTCCGTTTGGTAGCTTAGAAGAAGTCGCCTGAGACGGTCCACTTGCGCAGGATCCTGCAGTCTTGTAGTGAGCTTCATCGCTGAGGTGATGATGTACTCCGTCACAGTCTGGCCGGTATAGCTGGAGTTCAGAATGGCGGAAAAGAGGTCGACAATCTCGCTCTCCTTCACTTCTCGCACCACCTCCTCGTCTTCGTACGTGCCACCGCGAAGCAGTGCATCACCGTATTCCCCAATCACCCATGCCCCGGCAAGATTCAGCCCTTCTTGACTGGTATCTTCCCGGAGCGCAGTGTACAACTTCTGCGCGCAGTAGGTCTGTAGGTCTGGAGTCGTGGCAATCAGTCTGACAAAGGATGACAGGATTTGCTCCTTAACGTAGCTTCCCGCCAACTTGAGGACACGGAGCATGGTATCAACATGCCACCGCTTGTTCGGAGAGAATCGATCAGCCGCAATACCTATTTGCGAAGTCATGATCGGTTTGAATTCATTGTCGGCGACTTCAAGGAAGGAGAGCAGCTCGCGTATGAGGACGCGCACGTTGTCTGCATTGATCAGAGTGAAACTGAGGTCGAGGGCACGGCGTCGAATGCTGATGTCAGGATCTCTCAGGCAGTCCAGAATGGTGTTGCGGTGTCGCTGAACCGCATTGGGCTCGATGGCCAGCACTTTGATCAAAGTGTTGAGAGCGACGTAGCGGATGTTGTTGTCTTTGTTGGTCAAGAACTTTCCAAGGATGTTCACCCCCAATACTCGCAGGCCAGAGTCGGCTTCGATTTCGAGGATGGTGAGGACCGCTTCGTAGAGGATGGAATTGCCGACATTCTTGGAGGAGTCAGTGTTCGTGGCGACCTGCGCGAGGATGTCGTTGATTTGTTCGGAGATCTGGGTGTCACCACGCCCCAGCAATCGAAACAAGCGCAGAATCTTGACTTGTAGGAAAGGATCGGAAATGCCGGTCACGTCATGCTCAGGAGCATAACCTGACTGCGACAGGCCTTTCAACACCTTCACGAGACTGCCAGTAAGGGGCTTGAACATGTCCACCACGCCTTGCTCCCCACCCTCCTCTTCATCCGCCTCGCACATGCTTATTACCAGCGTCAAGCCCGACAAAAGAACACCGTGGTTTCGGTCGTTCAGTAGTAGCTTGGCTTTATCGAGGAAGTGCTCTTGAAGATCGGGGACTTTGCGGCAGATGCGCATTGCGCAAAGAGCGGCTTTGCGGCGGACGTAGGGGTTGGAGGAGGCGAGGATGGTCTCGACTTCGGGGAAGAGATCGCGTGACATTTCGATGCTGGCGATGTTTCCGAGGGTGCAAAGGGCGAGGCCAACGACGTATTGGTTGGTGTGGTTCAGGTCGCTGTCAATTTGTTAGCCAGGCGGTATATCACCAGGGCCTGTGGAGTGATGGTACTTCTTCAGCGAATTCGTGACCAGTGTCAAGACCTCTTGATTCTCGTCCAATAACAGCATGGTGCCCAGATATCCCAACCGCTTGTCGGCAAAGCGAGGGGAGGCGAGAAGTTTTAGACATTCGATCTGCCCAAAGTGTGTTCGTTCCCCCAGCGTGAAGAGATAGAGGAGCTTTGCGACATTGTTTCGCCTACGTCCTTCGTCAGCACTGTATGCTCCAGCTTTTGCGCCACCACTCTCCATGCATACCGGAGATCCGAGTTGTGGCTCTCTTCGCGGAAACTGGCTCTTATTGCCGCACTCTCCTTTTGCACCACCGCGCGCTCATCCGCGATAGTCTTTGAGGCGCGTACATTGCGGATGAATTGTTTGACTGCACCCAATAGCCGCCGATTAGTCTCAGTGCGGTGTGATTGCGTCTGCTGGAAGTCACGTACGCGAACTCATATTGCCGGCGGCTCCAACCTACGAGCCTCTTGCCAATGTCACCCGTTTCCAAGCCTCTAGAACGGGCGTTGCATCGTCGTGTGTCGGTGGTAGGTAATGTGAACTGCTGCGAGGGAGGACCAATCGTTTGGCGAGCATATGTCGAGGCTGGTGGAGAAGAGAGTCGCAAGCGGTACCATCCAAAGAAGCGTGCGGTGGTCAGAATGGAAGGATGCCTGTTAGGGTTGACAACCCTAGTGCGCCGTGAGCCTGGAAGGTCCAGTCAGCAAGAAGCCAGTTCGGGAAGTGTCCGACTTCCTCTCTTGGGCTCTCTCTCTCACTCTCTCTACACAAGTGTCTCCAAAACGCCGTTTCGTTGTCTACAATCAGCTATGTACGACTCTACGTCACGATTTGCGAGAAGGAGAGCTTCTGCTGCTTTGAACCTCACGTGAAGCAGCTAGCCACACCAACACCTTCGTTGGAGCTGGCTTCTAACATCAGCCTCACCAAGTCCGGCGGGAGCCTTAGCCGCGCTCGGAGTCAATTTACGCTCTACTTAGAAGATTCCAAGCACCCCTTAGCAGCATGAGCGGCCGTTTAGCGAGACCCGCCCTTCCGGACGGTCGGATGCGGACGGTGACGCTGATGCTGAGGCACTTAATGAGAGGGTCTTCTACTCCACTCATCTCAGCTTCATGGCATTAGCCTCTTGCTTGCATAATCATTATATAAGGCATTCTTGCACACCACTTGGTCGAACTATCAATCCCCCCCTCCCTACACTCATTGGTGTAGCTCTCCATTCGATCCTCTCGTTTTCGCTCAGATTTCTCTATCTTGAACATTTACCTGACCATGGCCACGACATTCATCCTTGTTCCAGGATCATGGCATACGACAACGCACATGGCACCGCTCGTCAAGGCGCTGGGCCAGCACAACTACCCTGCGAGAACCGTCCAACTCGCAACGGTCGGCCTTAAATCCCCCAGACCAGCCTTCGCGGATAATGTGGAGGTCATCTTTCAAGCCGTGCGCCAAGAACTACAATCCGGCAACGACGTCTGTCTAGTCGCGCATAGCTACGGCGGTATCGGCACTGCCGAAGCCTTGAATCGCCTCGTAACGGACCCGGAGGTGGCCGCGAGCAAAGGGAAATTGATCAGGACGGTTTTCATTGCCGCCTTCCGCCTCCCACCACATGTACCAATCGATGTGAGGTCTCAAGCTCTTGTGGACATGACTCCTGGGTTTAGTGTAGATGTGAGTTGCTTTACGTATTGGCGTCAGCGTTGATCTTCTGACCTGGCCTACAGGACGATGGCATGTTATACATCGCAAACGCAGGGCAAGTCTTTTTCAACGATCTCCCGCCAGACGCGGCTCAGCATTGGGTCGATGCTCTAGAGCCGGTGTATGACCCGGGGATAGAGGGAGTCATAACTTCCGAGAGTTGGCTGAAAACGCCTGTCTCCGCGTTGCTATGCAAACAGGATCAGTCGATTCCCCCGGCCGTGCAGGAAGCTTGGTGGCAAGATGTACCCCACGAATGGATCGATGCGGCTCATACGCCATATGTCAGTCAGCCAGACCGGGTTGCAGAGATTTTGATACGAGCGGCGGCAATGTAGAGCATGCTGATCTTGTCTGCACGAGTATTAGAAGGCAAATTGTCCATTTCATTCTCTCATTTGACCTCCAACACTATATTTCCTTTTTCGCCTGCAACTGCTTCTGTCGCTCCTGCTGCTGAAGCTTCACGCTTTCATTATCTAGCAGGATCTGCTTTCGTGCGCCAGCCCAAGCCTTCCGCTTGCCTTCGTCGAAGAGCCGAAAGATCGCCGGCGACGACAAGCCCGTCAGGCATAGGTTGTAGAGCTCCCGATCGTTCCACCAGAACTTCCACGCCTCCCAATTCGTCCACCGCGACAACAGCCCAAAGTGTCGACGCATGCCCAGGCCCGCGCAGGAGTCCATCCACGCGAGATGGTCTGCCATGGGAACGAAGACGGGGTAAAAGGTACTCTGGGCCTGGTATCGTTTCGTTTGATCCGCTCTCCAAGCCTGGATGTTGCGGTGCCACCTCTGCATCTCTGCAAGCGGAGGCAAGCGGGATTTGCCACGCCAGACTTGAGAGATGCACATGCTGACCATCTCGTGCTGTGCAAAGCCGGGGAGGGGAACGGCAGCTTGGCCTAGAAAAGCCAGGGAATTGCGGATGTCTGGGTCGGGATGGAGGGGGAAAATCTGCCGATAGAGATTGGCAGACGATCCTGGATATGCGTAAGGGTTGAGTGACGATTCCATTTCCACGGGTATTGTCATGTGGTATCCCGTGCAATAAACGATCGCGTCCACATTGTCCAACGTACGGTCGGATGTCAACTCGATGCTTCTCGGCCCGGAGATTTTGCGAATCCCAGGGACGCCTTCGCAGAAGCCAGACTCAAAATGCGGATAGAGCTCGGAGGCGATGAGTGGTGCCGCTACCGCGATTGAGGGGGCCTTGGTCGTCAAGAGGGAGCCAAGGGAAGCAGGCTGAGTCGGAAAACTCTTCTTCGCCATCATCCCGATCAGACTATCCATCATCCAAGTGAAAAGGTTTGGGAACCAGGTCTGCAAATACAAAGTAAAGATCGTAAAGTTGAGCGGGGGCATTCGATCGTATACGGAGCCATCTGAGGAGTAACGCGAGAGCTGGAAGAGAAATTAGCTCTCGGCGTCGGCCAAGTACTGCACTGCGACCTACCAAAAGAACACCCGACCGATGCGACAGGTATACGTGGGATGCATGTTCCGACAGCTGTGCTACCACGTCTTGAGCAGACGCATGTGCTCCTACCACCAACACATTCTGTCCTTCGAATTGTGACGGGTTGTGAAAGTTGACTGCGTGCAACGCGCGACCTTTGAACTGGTCAATGCCATCGAGAGTAGGCTGTCGGGGTGAGGTGAACGATCCACACGCAAACGCAACTTTATCGTAATGAGCGGTATAGGATGGCGCATCGTTGGGAGTCACTTCCAGCGCCCACCGTTCCCCAGATCGCTTGACCGACGTCACTCGACTGCTGAGCTTGACATGCGGCCACAGATCAAAGTGCTGACAGTAGGCATTGAGATATTCGTACAGCTGCGACGCGGTGGGGAAATCGTCGACGTGCTTGGAGAAGGGAAAGTCCGGGATGGCGGTGCGGAACTTGCTGCTGTTGAATTTCGTGTTTTCCGCCGTCGAAAGCCATTCGTCGTCGGAGTACTTCCACAGTCCTCCCACCCACGCTCGGCCCTCGTACAGCGTTGCATCGAAACCGTCTTCGCGGAAGTTCTTCAGAGCCATGAGGCCGACAACCCCGCCCCCGATGACTGCGACTCGCACGGGCATACTGGGTTGCAGCAGAAACGTAATACGAAAGAGAATGAAGAACAGATTCGAGAATCGACTCACTAGATGGAAAGTCAAGATCAGGCAGACTCCTCTTATACACATCTGACGGTCCCTGGCCGTGCGCTACCGTGTCCATGCGTGGTCAGCCGCGGCGCTCCTTCGACAAAGACCCATATGGTTGTTAGGGCTGGTAAGCATAGCCTACGCATAAATCTCCACAAACACCCGCGAGGCCAATGAAGATCGACCTGTGAATTGCCAGGGCTGAAACCGCGAAGAGCTGGCGGCTGGGCTGCTGATGTGAGCTGAGATGTGACCAGGTGACGTCGCAGCGATCGCTTGGCCATTCCGTCCCACGACTTTCATGCCCCGCTCTTGGCCTATTGTTTGCGTCGCGTCTCCCGGGGAGCGCTCGCCTCGTCGCCTCACTCCACCCAATCCTCTGGCTTGGGAGCCTGGCATTCACCTGAGTCGGGCACACGTACGTCTCGGGTGTCGATTGACTCACATTTTCAGTCACTTTATGAAGGTCTTAACCACCCCCTTCAGATCGACCGGCTCTGTCTGTGTGTTTCAGCCTTGTTGAGTCTCACGGCAACTTAAATCGCGGAGTCCGCGATGTCGTCGATTCGCATGTCTGGAGAAGCGGCGGGCCTTCTTGCCGCCGCCAAAGGCAAAGCTTTCTCGACCGCAAGCTCAAGGAGCTTGAGAAGGCGTTGCAGACCGCAGTGATTGACAAGCTTGACGATATCCTGGAGACGCTTAACGAGCATCTGTTCGACAAATTCGGCCCTGCCATCGCGACGGCTGCGAATGATGCTGTGCCTACGGCGAACAAATGGGGCGCACATCGCGACGCAGGCGGTCTGCACTTCTCTACACACCGCGCGACCATTCGTCGGAGTGGAGTCTTCGCCGGTGCGTCGGGACTTCAGGACTTCAATCAACAGCTTTTCGATCCCGTGCAGAAGCAGCTTGCCTCCGGCTGAGAGCGAGCGTTCCATAGACGTTTGCCAAACATCCTACAGACCTTCACCAGGACTGGTACGGGTCTGCTGCAAAAGTTCCATGCCGCGGTGGAAGCCCGTTGCATGGACAAAGGACACGGTGTTGGCCGGATTAGCCTGCTTCGCAATCAGTTGACCACCTACCAAGCAATCTTGGACGATCTGATTGCCACGGCCATCACCTCGATCAACGAAGGCCGACGCGACATCAACCGAGAATTCACCCCGGTCATCACGAACTGCATGGGCCCCGCGTACGATTACTGTGCAAACGAGAGTGGCATGGGCTGCTTCAAGCGCATGAAGTCGTACATGGAGCAGCACGTGGATCACACCAAGGTGTCCATGTTCAACAATGCGTGTGAGCAGGTGCGCAGCAGTCTGTCCACGCTGGTCAGCCAAGTGCGTAAGCACATGCTGGATCGGGTGGATAGTGTGTACGTGAGCATGAAGGGCGACTACATGCGTGTTATTGGCGGCGTGAGCGTGGCACAGTCGATCATGCCGCGCGAGGAGCGGGCGCTGCGTCGCGAGGTCGACGATGCTATTACTGACGCCGATGGTGCTTTTCAGAAGATCGTTGCGAGCGAGCTTGAGGAGCTGCGAGAGGCGCGTCTGGCTACGGAAGGCGTTGTGGTGAAGTACAAAGAGGAGCAAATGGATGTCGACGATGGGTTTGAGACGGCGCGCGAGTCCGATAGCGAGGTGGAGGAGGAGGAGGAGGAGGAGGAGGAGGAGGAGGAGGGAGAAGGAGCGAAGACCCAGACGACGCCTGAAAAGGCTGTGGGGGATGATGCGGATTCCACCACGGACGACGAGCTCTAGGCAAGCTTCGACTGGGACGATGGATGGGAGGGCGGGTGTTGATGGAGGATATACCCTAGGCGGAAGACACGTTCCCGTGATTGTGCTTTAACACTATGGCAGTTGAGGCTCTGCAATGGCAGAGTGACTTTCTTACGTACGACTCCATCCAAACAGTTTTGGCCGTATTCGAGCATCAGGCTGAAGTCAACGAGATGAGTGCTGCCTGAGGTGGTAAAATTAAGGATGCACTGGCGGGCGTGAATTCTATTTTTGACCTCACACCAACTTTCACCCTTGCATCGCCACACTCCTCATCCAACCCAGCATTCATTTTGCCGACCATCGCCGTGGTCCTGTCGTCGGCCGCTGACTCGTGTTACACCAAACACACACCCAGTCTGATCAGTGGGATGCATGTCTCGGACTTCCCTGGCGTGCTTATACGAACCACGCGGGGAAGGCGAGAATACGAGCTGAGGTTGGCAACGGCGTGGAAGCGTTACGGCCGCGGATGAGCACCAACGCCATCCCACGTGGGAGCAGCATTCCTGCGCCGCTCCATCGTCTCGGCCGAAGGAATAGCGGCGCAATTTGCTCCTCTGATTGATCCGCGAATAGTACAGTGGTAGGTGGGTGCTAGAGCGGTTAGTCCTCCCTGCAGAGGCATTGCTTGGTTCTCCAGGCAGACACCAAAACCGGCGAGGTGCATGGTTGTGTCTTGCTACGGACGTTACGAGAGCCTATTTCCCCGCGCGGCTTAGATCTCGACATGGTAGCATGGATGGATGGGACGATGCTCGCAGTGCAGATACGATGCGACGCCCAATCGGTTTGATGCTGTGGCCTGGTTGTCTCTTTTCCTTTCTTCCGGTCGCATTTCATACGTCTATTCCATGCTCATGCTGTCTTTACCTTGCTCTCCTTTTCTTCTTCGTTCTTACGAGACGCAGCGATCTCGTCACTGGCCTGGAGTAGTGGGAATGATGTCCACAGCAGAGCGACGGCCGGTAGTGTCGTACTCCCGACGAGCAAGAGAGGGTTATCAGGACCCCAGTGGACGCAAGAGACGAGCGCTTGGCTCTGAGGGGTCTGGAGTGGCGGAGGAGAGCGATCAGGTCATCACTCCAATTTCCCATATGGATCTCACATTATTCGTCCCCGACGCGAGCTCCTCTACAAACCGATGGAGCACCTACAGCGCACCAGACGAGCTGATGACACCTACGCCAAACGACCCGTACCTCCACCTATGTACGCGAGATCCAGCGCATCGCTCCACCACGACGATGCGACGCATGCACTCCACCACCGCCGTGCCCGATCGCAACACCTTTGCCAGCGACGAAGATTTTATGCTCTTCGCTTTTGCGACTACGGGATTGGGCTCCGAGCCACCTTTTGCGCCGACTCCCTCGTCACCACACATATCTTCCCTCAGGGCTTCAATTCCTCACAGCCGGGTCTCAGTCCCGTGCCGACAACTTCCATCTCCCCTCGAAGCAGTGAGTCCAATGACACCCGCGGCACACCCGCTCAGCAGCCTTCGGGACATTCCACATGCATCTGCTCCTCATTATAGCGGTGCACCGCCGACGTCGCAGCCGTTTCTTGATCAGAGAGCATCTCAGATCGCCGCAAATTACAGTAGTAGCTGCGATGTGAGTCCGTTGGAAGACGATGTTGACTTCGTCGCCTACAACGTGCGGCCGCCGCCGGGGTATGAGGAGAGTCAGGGACAAATACAAAGTGATCGGCGACTTGAGGCGGCGAGGAGAGCGCAGGATTTACAGCAGAGGTGGCGATTGTCTGGGTCGCGGAGGGGAGGCTAAGTCGTTGCGGTGAGCGGAGATATACTGCATGCACGTGAGGGAAGGGCAGAAGGCGCACAACGACTGCGCCGCACTCAAAGAGCACGCGGAGGCGTACGGGGACATGGACACTCGACACATCGCATGTTCAATGGATATTCTCATCTGCCTCGATGCACATAGTCATCATACCCCATTTTCCCTCCTCCTCGTTTTATCACAATCCAATTTCCATATCCTCTAGATCGCATGCGCATCCTTCAACAACTGCGGCAGCTGCGAGCGCTTGGCCTGCAACTCCGAGTTGCCGCCAATATGCTTGTGGTCGATGAAGATATTGGGCACGCTGCGCTGGTGCGTGATTTCCTCAAGGGCGTCTTGGATGGCCGCGCCGTCCTCTACAATCCACACAGTTTGAGTCAGCCACTAGCCTCACGAGAGAGTCTATCGACAGGAAGGCAGGAGTGCTCGCACTCACCGACTTGATCCAGCTCGATAATGTACGGCTTGACGCCCAGCTCGGACAGCAGCGCCTTGGACGCCTTGCAGTACGGGCACCAGGATTTGGAGAAGACGGCGACGGGGTGCTCGTTGATGATGCCTTGCGCCTTCGTCTTGGCTGCCATTCTATCTTGCGGGCTGGGAGAGTGGCTCTTGAAGATGTTGCGTCTGCGCGGCAAAATCCCGGGTTAGTCGGGTGGGAGCTTCTCTCGGTATATGGGGTGAGGGGCACTTACAGGAAGTTCATATGTTGGGGTCGAGTGACGAGTGGGATGTGGGATGCTCTTGATGCGCGGGTCAAGATCAGTGCGGTGGCCAGCTTGAGTTTTATACTGGTCGGGCAGAGGTGCAGATGCAGGTTGCGGGTGGATTGCAAAGCGAGGGTTGGACTTGCCCTCTGACGTGCTCGGCTTGACAAATCGCTCCTGCCCGATGATGACGGATGCCGCACAGTCAGCATTGGTGATCGTGCTGGACTCTACCGCTGCTGTGGGTGGTATCGGTATGGGGTGTACGGAGAGTGTTGCTTTTGCGCTTTGGAAACACCACCGTCCATTCGATATATGTCAGATACACAGCCTTGTAATTGGAGAAAGCGCGAGAAGCCATCACATCAGCATCATGTTCGCTATATGCATTGGCAAGGGCTGGAACGCAGCAAAGCAGACAACCCTCCCCCATCATGCCTCCTCCTAGCTAATCTTCTTGATCCGCCCTTTGGCCACATTAATCTTGCCCTGCAAGCGATCGACATCCCCCTCCGTGATGCCCAACATCTGGTTCTGGATGGTCAGCTCCTCCTCCATCATGATCCCCATGTCCTTCAGCCGCGACACCGTCTTGCCCAGCTCCATCACGTCCTCCTCCTGCTCCTGCATAATCTGCTTCTGCACCTGCAGCACCCCCGTATTGTCCTGCTCCCGCGTCCGCTCCGTCTCACGCAGTGGTCCACCCAGCACGCGACCACCAGCCTTCGCATTCGCCGTCCCCTTCCACAGCCCCTCTCTGTCTCCCTCTGTTGCAGCAGCAGCTCCTCCCCCTCCATCCGCCGCCCTCCCGCCACTACTCGCGCTCTTACTCGCCATACTCCTCAATACCCCCTCCAGCCCTTCTACCTCCTTCTTCGCCGCTCCCACCATATCTCTCCGCCGCCGCATCTCTCCCTCCCCCAACTTCTTCCCCTCCCCTAATCCCCTCAACCCATCCTCCAACTGCGCGATCGCCGCCGCAGCCCGCACCAAACTAGCCTTCGCATCTGCCCCCAAAGAATGCTGCTGTAGCGCACTCGTAGCTGCCTCGCGCTGCTTGAGCAACTGCCTCGCACTCTGAATCTGCGTCTTCAAATCGCGATGTACATCCAGCCACTCGTTGGGATCAGCGGCGCCGCTGCCGGCACCACCACTACCGCTCCCCGGCCTCTTCGCAGCAGACGTAGTAGACAACACCCCATTCGCACCCAACGTGCTCCCACCAGCAGGCAAATTCAAAAACCCCCGCCACGCAGCACTGCTCCTCCACCTCGCGTCCTCCGCCTCAATAATCCCCTTCAAATATGCCTGTAACCCTTTGCGTCTCTCCTCCGCCAACGCCGCATTGTTCACCGTCCGCCGCAGCCAGGATTTCGCGGGGAGCGCGACGGGCGGCGCGGCGCCTGTTTGCGCCTCGAGGGCGGCGTGCAGGTTGGCAAAGTCGGTGTATCGCTTTTGGAGTGTGTGGGCGCGGATGGGCAGTTGCAGGGTGACGTGGTAGAGGGTGTAGGGTTTACTGCTCGTGTCGGAGGGGGTGGAGGTGGAGGTGGTGGGGATGGAGATGTCGAGGGCGGGCGGCATGGTGTGGTGGTTGTTCTTGGGTTGGTGTTATTGCATGGCCAGGAGTCGAGTAGGATGAAGTCTCCAGGTTGTTACTAAGGTACGCAAGGGAACGCTTTAGGCGCTGGATTTCTGACGCCTTGGGAGAAGTGCGGGAACGTGACCTACGACCTGATAAGGACTCGTGACGCACGGAATGGATAAAGATGTATTAAGGTATGGATCCTTGGTTTGGAAAGGAATATCTACATGTATGTACAGATCTTTATAGGCATTCACTTCGTTTACGGTTTACACTCCACCGTTACGTCATCGCCACGTGCTCAGGCTGTTGCAATCAACCAGTCACCTTGCCACTATTTGCGAGAAGATTAGCATATCAACCCCTCAGAAGCAGCATCAAAAGAAGCAGCGACAACTCACTTGCAAGTGGTGGTCCACTGGTTCAGACTCAAATGCTTGACCAGTGTCGAGAAGCCCTTGGCCTGCGGATCGTCGCAAGACTTCTTGACAAACGACTTGGGTGCCGGCGCCTTCTTCGTATACTCCAGATGGAAGACGGGCTTGTTCTGCTTGATGAAGGCCTGATAGGGCTCGCACTCGTTGTACTGCACGCACTGCTCGTTGACGCTCCACGCCGACCCGTTGATCACGCGCGGGATGATGTCCCCTCCGTTCTTCAGCCCGGCCGCCATGCCGAGACTGTTGGCCGTGCGCTGCAGAAACTGCACATAGTCGACCGCCTGGTCCTCGGTGATGTCGAAGCCGGTATTGTTCTCATACCCGTCGATGTTGTCCGGGTCCACGCCGTCGCATCCCTTCGCTTGCCCCACCTTCATCCGCGCCACCATGATGTCGCGCACCTCTGGATTGCTGGTGTTGAGCCACCGCTCGTTTGGCCAGCCGCCGACGGTGCGGCCAAGGGCGGCGGCGGGGAACTGGTCGGCGTCGGCGCGCCATTTCTCCCACGTGCCGGCGGAGAAGTAGCAGATGACTTTGTGGCCTTTGGCTTTGAAGGCTTGCACGAGCGAGGCGGGCGCGTCGAGCATGTCGTAGTCCCACACCGAGTACTGGGTGAGATTGGCATCTTCCACGGTGGGGAGGTCACTGAGCATGATGTTCCATGTTGAACCGGCGGTTGGCTGGAAGAAATGCGATGTGGTGGTAGTCGTTGCGGCCTTTTGGGTGGGAGTGGCGGCCACGCGGGCCACGAGAAGGGCGGCGGCGAAAGAGGAGAAGAACATGGTCGACGATGCGGATGATGATGATTCTGGATTGCTTCTCTTACATCCTTGTTGCGATCGGCGAGCACATTATATATGTTGGACTTTTCGTGGCCAAGACAAAGGCCTGAGACAAAGACCCTCGCGAGGTGGTCGTGTTCGGTTCCGAGAAAAGGTCTGGGGCAAGCGTAGCCAGCTGCGCCCCAGCACACCACTGGCGCCGTCGTAAAATTGCTACGTAATTGAATAAGGCGGTGTCCCGCCCGGTCAAGGCAGCAAGAATCACGAATTGACTTTGGAATCAGGCACGACGGCCATCTCATCGCATGCTGCATCACCAGCTGAACACGCTTGACACCTCGTATAGGCAATGCTTAGGCTGAGCTTGACCTCAATGCGCGGTGGGGATATCGGAGAACAGACTCGTGAGAATGGGCTGGCAGAGCGCTGGAGAGGATATCCTTTCCGCGTGTGCCAACGCTGCAATCATGTAGGACCAGAGACTGACGTCTGGCTGCAGCGGGCAGTGATTGCAGCCTGGGATTGCAACACATGGCAGCCTGGGACGCATTGTCGCAGCTGAAACGTGAATGCCGCAGCCTGGAATGAATGCATGGAAGCCTAGAAGATGCAGCGCCTCAGCTGAAAGTGTGGCTCTAGCCAAGCTCCCGGCTAGCACGCGGCGCAGTCCATTGACATCGTCGTGTGGTGGCTGCGACTTGCAAGGCGTCGTCAGAGTGTGTATTTCAGGTCGTAGAACACGTCAGGTTGGGCAATTCGCGGTAACGAATCGTGGACAAGACATCTGTCATGCTCGTTGGCAGGCGGAAAGATTCTGCAGCGGAACCACGGAAATAATATAGAACGAGGGAAGATGAGAGGCTGGATGTTTGGTAGAAGCCGGCCCTTGCGCGCTCAATGGCCACGCGCTTTGACTGCGACAGGCCCCAGAGAGCTGGTGATCCGCACGGGCGAGGTAGATTTGCTTTAAGGAATTCCCGGATGAGACGAGCTTTGTAAGGCATGGATGCGCGTTCTCGAGTGCAGATTCGGACAGATCAAAAGACAGATCTCGATGGACGAGAACTCTGGTGCGGAGGGCACTCCGGCAGAACGCACAGACGCACCGACGAAAGCGGAAAGAGGCATGGATAGTGCTTCCCAAAAAAGAAAGAGGCGTTGGAGTCGAGGGTCAGGGACCTGCATGGCAAGCCCGATGACAGATGTACCCCCGAATGATGCCCCGAGTCTCTTGCATCGATTGACGAGACGACCGATGCAAAGAACTTGGATGAGGTGCAACACGAAGTGACCAAGGACAAGCCAGTGGCTGCGAGGATTGCACGCATTCAATTTCAAAGGAGAGAGAGGGGAGTGGGTGTCGGAAATTAGGTCATTAGAGTTTGGGGCCGTGCGCCGCTCCGCTCCCACACACGAACGAGCATGCACTTCGCTGCAATATACCGTCGATAGTGTGTCTCTCTCTCGCTCTACGCCTGACCCTCCCCTCCCTCCATCTCATCCCTCTCTCTTACCACCCTCCGCCCTCCACCGCCCCGCCTCCCCTCCCCTCTCCCCTCTCTCTCTCTCTCTCTCTCCCTCTGCGCTGGATTGCAGAGGATCGAAGTCAACACTGCCCTTCTCCTGTCGGCCTCTGGTCCGGCGTCCATTCGTTGACCGCGTCGAATGCAGCATTCCATCCGGCTTGCAGGAGAAAAATCCATCTCTTGCCGTGTCGGAACATCGCCTGATTGCGGCTACACGCTAGCCCACCATCTCCTACTGCATTCGCCGCTTCACACATTGACGAAGAGCGCAATCGTGCGCACCCCACCGACTGTCTAGCACCATGGCACCGCCACGGAAGAAGCGTAGATTGTCCCAGTCACCATTGCTCCCTCACGACATCACCTCCACCCCCACCCCCACGCATGATGCCAATACCACCACGCCCCGTGCTGAGGCCACGGGCGCGCGATCGGTACCGCAACGCATAGAAGAGATACACCTGCAGATACAACGGCACGCCCTCCCCCATACCTCTGCGCCCTCGAATATGCACAGGCGCGGATTGAGCGGCTCCGACTCCATCCCCATTACTGTCGATAGCGCTCTCAGCAGCGCCACCCCCGTTACGAGCCTTCCGAGCTCCATTTCCCCCTCTCCCACAAGTGGCGCTGCAACGACAGGCTCAAGCAGCATCGCGCCCTCCTCCAACCTTGCATCTGGCGCGGCCAACGCCACCAGCTCCTCCCCTTCCTCCTCGATACTCCCTTCAAACTCTAGGAACGCGACTCACACCTCGCACTCCACAACCCTGCCGATCACTTACGTGGCAACGCTCACAAACAGCAACCGTCGGACCATTACCAGAAATACCAAGCCATACGCCACGACTTTCGGAGATGGGCAGACATCGACCATTTGTGATCGTTTCGGTCAATGTCAAATGTCGACGGATCAGACCCCGCTTCATTCCATCACATCCACAGCCATGTCGGAAATCTTCCAAACGCCCACCTTTACGACTCCCTTTTCCTCTGCCACGGTCTTTGTCGCATCCCCGATAACCACTCCCGCGCCGACAACCTCTCTTGCGACGAGCGGAGCAAATCACCAGGGCAGCGACCCGCCCCCGGCTCCTCCCGGCACAATTGCTGGCGGAGTTGTCGGTGGAGCTGCCGGTATCGCCATCGTTCTTCTCGTCACTCTAGTGCTCGTACGCTGGTACAAACGAAACTCGCAGAACAAGCGTCTCGCACTCCCGGATGATCCGAATCCACCTCACAATTTCGGTCAGCATTCCAATCAGTCCGGTATGATGGAGCGGGCAGGCCTCTCTCCCCTGATGCACGGCATGCCCGCCTTTTTCCGTCACCACAACAAAAGCGTCCAAGAGCCCGCTCCCAGCGAGCGCGGTTTCACCAAAATCTCCGGCCGCAAGCTCCCCTCCGCCTTCAGCGAAGGCCTAACCCGGGACGAAATTGCCGCCGCGGCCGCCACACATTGGAACCAATCTCACCCCATCGATCTGACCGGCACATCCTTCTTCCGGGACAGCTCAGGGCACTACGGCGGCAACGGCGAATCCTCGCATCCCCGCTCCATCTCTCCCGATCTAAACCCGTTCGCCGATTCACCGCCGGATACTACGTGGACGCTGTCGCCTGGGCCGCAGCGCAGGCCTAATGTTCACGGTCCAGGGCCGTATTTGACGTCCACTGGCGCGCCTTCTCCTCTTCCTTCTCCTAGCGCACAGGATCACCAACAATCATATCCACCCATGCCCGGGAGAGGCCTTTATCCGTACACCAGCACCGGAGGAACTCAGACGCCACCTCAGATTAGTCGGAGCGGGACGCCGACGTCTGAGAGTCGGAGCACGCGCTTCGCGGAAAATGTCTGAGCAGCTTTGACGGGATTGACGACTCACGTGTGTCATGATATTTTGTGTGAGATCTGAGAGCAGGTCTTCTGAGCGCCGCTGGGAAGGTCAGAATGGATGCTGGCGTCTGTCAGGGGAAGTAAAGCATGTGATGCACTGCTTCATGACTGGTACCATCGCCACCACACTAGCCATCTACAATCCATCCATCCACGTCCATCACTCTATTTGCTTACCACCTCAACGCACGAGTTACGAGTATCAAAAGGTAAGCGCACACTGCTGCTCCTTGGCGTGAACGTCTGGCATCTCGCCCAGCGCAGCTATTTATTCTCCTCCCCCTACCCTTCCCTGCACCTTCCACCTTCCTCCCCACCACCAACCCCCTCGTCCATCCATCCCTACCCTCCAACACCATAATGCTCTGGGTAGCTCTCGGACCCGCAATATGGGGGGCCGTCGCCCTCGGGCTCCTCGGTTACTTCGCCGGTCACGCACACCGAGACCTCGACGGAATTGCCATCCAGCACGATGCTCCGCTCCCGGTGATGCTGCACTTTCACGTGGACGAGTACGTCTCTGTCACCAGTGCTGGTGCTGCGAGATCCTACTGTGAGGCCCTAGCCAGCTGACGTTTCAACTCGACAGTCCCTCAGTGCACGACATGTCGGTGGTGGACGGCATGAATGTCCGCCTTGATTCACGACTGAGCGCGCCTATCGGCTACCACGGCGCTGTCTTCGAGAACGAAGCCAAGAATTTCAGCCGTGAGGGACTGGTCACTGGCGTCGGGGTTAGTGAAGTGGTGCTCGTTGATACTAGGAAGTCGACGCTGACGTGTGTTGGGCGTAGGAGCAACGCAAGCCAGGCGTGCACTACGGCAAGCTCTTCGTGCCGCTTAGCGAAGAGGGAGAGAACGTAGAGGGCAAGTGGTTCGCTGTCGACGCAGCTGTGGCTGACAACTCTACTGTCGATGCGTTCGACAGCCTGAAGAATGCGGTGTCGGGGGTTACGGGGGAGGTTGCGAGTCCGCAGGAAGCGCTTCATTTAGCCGCCGCTCTGATCGCCGTGGCTGAAGACATCAAGTGGGAATAAGGAGAGCTGGGGCTTTGCAGAGGGGATGAAGTCGGAATGCGAAGGCGATGGTTGAGAGTGCAGGTGTTGGGGACTTGGATCTGTCCGTAGTATGTCTAGTTTGAGTAAGGCTGCATGCTATGCACTGAACGCTTCACACAACCACATGCCGGCTCGGTTGTTGATCCAGGACGGCCCTCGTGATTCTCATGGGCCGGAATGGTCCGGCAATCTCAATTGTCGCGACTCTCGTCCCCATACGCATCTACATCTCCTACTCATGCTGCCCGGCCAGTGCCGAGCTGTTGCTCAGACCGTCCCCCTCGATGTAATGCTCAAGTCGTTAATCACTCTCACTCCCCGGTCCATTGGGACGGTCATCATCGTCGTCATCGTCGACCACCACATCCCCGCCCATGCTCATAGCGAGTTCCGCCTTCTGCAGCATGGAACGCAACTCCGTATTCCGCGGGTCTGCGAGATCAATAGGCCGGAGCTTCGCCTTGTTCCGTATCCTGCAGCCACCAATCAGTCCCGCATCCTCATCTCAACCCAACCAAAAAGCCACAAGATGGAAGGGAAACCCGAACTCACCGCGGATCACACCCCGCATCCACCAAAATCTCCACCACCGCCAACCCCCTCTCCGCATGGCCCCCCTCGTTCGCAAACCGCACCGCGCGATGCAAACACGTGTCGCCGTCCCGCTTCTCCTGCCCGTCAATCTCCACGCCCTCCTGGTCGAGGATGACGTCCAGGACGTCGTAGCTGCCGTGCTGCGCGGCAATGTGCAGCGCGCTGGCGCCCAGGGCGTCGGTCGTGGTGTTGAGGAAGTGCGCTATTGCTGCTGGTTGGGAGGCGAAAGGGGGCCCTTGGAGGAGTTCGTGGAGGAGGTGGGTGTTGTTGCGGCGGGTGGATTCGATGAGGAGTTCGCGGGGGGTGGCGCCTTCGTCGGCCATTCTCGTTCGATGGAGAGGGTGTGGGTGGGGAGATTGGCGTGGTGGGTGCGAGCGGAAGTGGACGGAGGTGGCGGTGATGTGGTCGAGAATGGCGTCACCACATTGTGGGTGCAGGAGGTGGTTCAAGGAGATTGGCGTTTGGAGTGTGCGAGTCCCCTGGGGTGAGGTTGACGACGCCAGCCTGGCGCAGTGTCGGCGGCTGCACCTGCCTCCGCCGCGACAAAATTTGTGGCATCAAACTCTAATCAATCACTCCGACTTGCACCTCAATTCATCGTCCATACAGCAACCTCTACCAACGCGAGTACAAGTCAAACCACCAAACCAATCAAAATGCTCCTCTGTCCGTCCACCCCCAACATCCCCTTCAAGCTCCCCAAACTAACCGGAAAACAACACAGTCTGCCCCTCCTGCAGCAACATCCTAATAGTCACCACCCTGCCCTCAACCCAGTGCAGCCCCTCCGACCTCGCGGCCGGAGCAGGCGAAAAGAACCGCTTCGAATGCCGCACCTGCCCCTACCAAATGCTGCTGGACCGGCGGTACTTTGAGCGCAAGACGTTCGAGTCCAAAGCCATCGAGGACGTGCTGGGCGGCGCGGACAGCTGGGCGAATGTGGACAAGACGCCTAGTGAGTTTCACCACTTTCTCCGCCGTTTGTGCTCCCTTCTGGAACGGTGCTGATTTGTTCTGTGTGTAGTCCAATGTCCCCGTGACGGATGTGATGGCGGCGAGGCGTTTTTCAAGCAGGCGCAGTTGCGTAGTGCTGATGAGCCCATGACGACGTTTTACAAGTGTGTCAAGTGCGGGTATGACTTTAGGGAGTGATGGGTTACTCGAGGCCGATCAGTGGGTTCCCCGACATGGTTATGGCATGTTGGGCCGCTTCAGCGTTTAGAGCGAAGGTGTTTGGCGTTTGGAGAAAGTGCCGGGTCTCCGTCAGATTCACCAGACAGGCAAGGAATGAATACATGTATTGAGAAGCGAAATTTGGAATTAGTTTGTCATTGAGCAAGCGCACGTTCGTCAACGAGACGCCCGCCTCTATTCTTGATCCCCTATTCTCTGCGGAATGGATATGATGGGAATGGACATGAAACTGACGAGACAAACGAAACCCGCGCCCATATCCAATGGCCGACGGAGCATGCGATGCGGTCTGCGACCAACCAGCTGGCCCCATGACTAGCATCTCATCTCGACCAGAGGCCTTCCGCCTTCCACTCTGCATCCAATGCGCTCGCAATGCCATTTTTCCAATTTTTGCCATCCGGGAGCCTCTATCCTAAACACTCTGCCCACTCTTACACGATGCCGAAACTAACAAGACACTCTTTGATGCAAGAACTTCCTCACGAAGTCGAATCCTTCCGCTCCGGCCGTGCCCTCCTGCCGCCCTTGAGCGACTTCATGCGATTCAGCAGTCCGCCGCCAACACTCGGCTTCTCCTCGGTAGGACTGGCAATGGCCGCCTCCGCCGTCACACTGCGAGTCAGACCGTCCCCGCGCGGACTGGCAGGTGCCCGGTTGTAGGACAAAGTCGGCTTTTCCTGCTGCGCGAACTTGATCTCCGTGCCTCTCCGTTCGAACGCGCGGTCGTACTCGTTGTCGAAGACGTTGACTTCGTTCTCCTTCGTGTACACTGCTTTGGCCGGCCCGCCGGCGCTGGTGGCTCGCGCTGGGCCGTCGGAGAGCTCGACTGGCCCGCCGTTCCATCGCGACTCCGGGGTGCGGAGGGATTTGCCGAGATTGGCTGGTCGGGCTTGAGAGGCGGACATGCCGCGCAGACGCTGAGCGAGGGATTTCTTCCGCTGCAGGCCACCGCCTAGGGTGGAATCGATGGCGTTCTCGTCGGATTCGTGGCGTTGGAGCGCACTCTTGCTCGCCGGCGCGCCTTCGAGGAATGTCGAGGTGCCCAGTCCGGTGCTTTCGACGCCGTGAACTGGCTCGGTGCGATCCGTAGAGTGGAAGTATGGCGTTTGCTCGCCTCGTTCTGGTGGTCCTTGGGGTCGCGAGGTGGTGTCCGCTTTGCGAGTCGCGCCGTAGTCGTTAAAGCTCTCCTCCACCCGGCCGTAGAGTTTGTCCAGGTCGACGCGGCTGCGGTTGGGGCCCGAGCCTCCGAGGGCCATGTTCATGGAGCCCTCAGGGAAGGCTTGCATAGGGGCTCGGCGGTCTTTCTTCGCATTACGCGCAGGGTTGCATGCGTCGAAGGGGCCGTCGTGATGGAATACTGTAGTCAATGTATGGTTAGAACGATGCTCTCTGCGTGCAATCCCGGCGTCATACGCACATCCTTGGCCGTATACCCCGGTGACATCCAACTTGTCAATAAGATCCAAATGGCGTTGGCCTTTTCGCGGCTTTCCGCCAGCCGCGATTCGTTCTTTTTCACGTTTATGCCGCTCTTCACGTTCACGGCGTCTTTCGCGGCGCCTGCGCTCTTCCGACTCGGTGCGTGTGGGGCGATCGGAGCGGTCACCCGGACGCTCAGATCGGCCATGGCGATCCTTTCGTTCGGCTTCCATCACCGATGATTCTGAGGCTCGACGACGGTGTTCGGTCGGTCGCTTCACTGGGCTATCGCCGGGGCGCGGGGGTCCACGCGGTGCAGGTCGGTCGCGTCTGTCGTCGAGGGGCGGAGGTCGTTGTTGCGGGCCTTGTGTACCTGCTCTCTTAGGGAGGGGTCCTGCGTCGGGTTAGAGGGGTCTGGACATCACTGGCATGCGGCTGCGGGGAGAGGGCTTACCGTTCGAGAAGGCCGGCTTGTCTTTCTCATTGGAGACTGACATCTCGCGCTGCAGGGTGGGAAAATCAGCGAATAGCTCGCAAAAGGTGTGAAAGCGGTCCATGGTGGAGTGGTTGGCGTTTGAGTGGGCGAGGTGGTGTTCAGCGGGTAAGGGGTGCCGTGGTGGGCAGGGTTCCACGACATGCGGCAACAACTGCATCTGCCAAGCGCACCTCTCCGCGCAGCCATTGAATGAAGTCCCCAACCATCCTCCCGTCGCGTGCACATGAGGGCAGAGCAAGGGGATGTACTTACAAAGATGTCATCCACGGCGGTGGTATTGCTCGTCACGGGCTGCTGCTTGTTCTCGCTGGGGTCGAGAAAGGGGTTTTTGGAGGCGAGGGTGGTAGTGGGCGGGTTATTCGCGTGGAAAGGGAATTGTTGCATGGTCGGATCTACGCTGCGAGGCGAGTTGGAGTGGGAACTGAGTCGCTTGCGGAAGGGGTTGTTGGAGGAGAGGTTGAGGTTAAGATGGGTCGGAGGCTGGTGGCGCTCTGTTTGCAAGCACGAACAAACGGTCAGTACATAGGAAGGGTGAGACGTGCCCACGGGTGGGAGTAAACAGGGGAGGGTTGTGTTTCTGCATCCACCTACCCGGAGCCACAGTGTCGGCCGCCATGATGTTGGAGACGGGGGCGGATGTGCGTGTGTTTGTGCTGCAATGTAATTCTCATGCGACGTTGGACTCTGCTTGTGAGGAAGAAGAGATGTGATGCGATGCGCGGGGGGAAGAGGATTCGGAGAAGCAGCGGCGGCGGGAGACAGGTGAGCGGATGCGGGTGTGGGAGCGGTGTTTTTAGGAGGGGCGATTCGCAGGTCTCGTGCGTGAACGCGCGCGCCACTAGCCGCAGAGAGCGTTTGCAGCCGTTGGGCGACGGGAGGGGAAGGGCGGCGGAATTGGAAAGTGCACTTCGCAGGTAGGGCAGGGGCGTCGCGTGCCGCAGATCAATGTTGCCGCAGGAACAACAGACATGAGAGTTGAAAGTTGAGGTCAGTGTTGGGTACGAGCAGACGCGTGGAAGATCGGGATGGAATGTCTGTCTCCTGCCTGGCTGGCTCCTGCCACGGCCTGCTCGCTCCTTCCCTGCCTCGCCTGCCATTCCTTCCCTCCCGAATAAATATAGAGCCAAGCCCCCCCTCTGTCTTTGCCGAACGACGCCCGCGCCCGACCGTCGCTAGCTTCGCCTCCCCCTGTCGAGCCTCATTCTCCCCCTTCTCCAGAAACACTCCGATTGCGCCGATCGCTCGCCTCGCTTCTACTTGCTCGCCTCTTCCCTTGGTGTTCGATTCCTTCCGCGGGCTTGCGAGACATGGCACGAGAAGCACGCTGATTGACATTGTGTCCCGTTGACACATGCAAAGCCCCCGACGAGGCACGCGAAGGCAAAGTCGAGACCGATCGGGTGTCTGCTTGGCAGCTGCGCAGTCTCGCCATCCTTTCCGCAACGCCCCCCGACTGGCCGCATGGAGAGGGTGGAGCAAGGGTCCTTTAACTAAAGTGATCGGAGTGGACCGCGTGTTTTAGCTTACACGCCCAGATCGGCTGCGGCTGCACGGCCGGGCCACATCACACCACCACCACATCCACGTGCAACATCTCGACACACACCATGGCCGCCATGGCCACCGACGAGCCAGCGGCCACGGCGAAAGCCCGCGATGCAGACTTTTATGCTGGCTACACTCGCTTTGAGATTGAGCTCGAGGTATGTAGACCGCGCCGCTGCATCCACAGTATCTAGACACCGCCTAATCACGAGCGATCTAGTTCGTGCAATGTCTCAGCAACCCGCTCTACCTCCAGTACCTCGCCAGCCAAAAGATGCTGGAGAGTGAAGAGTTCATTGCATACCTCGCATATCTCCAGTACTTTCAAGAGCCGCAGTACCTGAAGTATCTGCAGTATGTCTGTCCGCAAACCCTGCCATCTCATCCTCAGTCTGACCGCAGATCATAGATACCCCGGCCCGACTCTTCGCGCTCTCCAACTGCTGCAAGAAGAGCGCTTCCGCAAGGATATCCTTGTCCCCGCCGTGGTGGAGGAAATGATTCGACAAGGCTTCGAGGCTGCGACGGCAGGGATGAGCCGATGACAGACGGATGCAGCATTCGAATCGAATACGATAAACGATGAAATTCGCTCCACGCCATCTCCGCCATGGCAGCACGGCGTTGCTAATTTCACTGACACTCGCGACCGCTTTGATCTGGCAGGGCATGGCTGTCAAGGGGATGGAGCATGGGAGAGTGGATTGAGCCGGCACCAAAGTGTTCATGGGTTTCACGTTTCACAGTATGCGCATGATCGCACTGGGTAGATAACGGACGACTCCGTCACTCGAGGCCCCTTCCACGCCCGATCTTAGCAGTCACGCGGTGCAGCTCTGCTTGCGGCCTCCCTCCGCCAGAGCATGCATATCAAGCTTCTTTCTCTGCCTCCACCACTCTGCAATCCTTTCGTCTTCCATCCTTGCCCTTGGACCGAAGCGGTCGCCAGACGTATGTCAGAGCCTCTCAGCCAACGCGCGCAAAGTGCGGTTTTCCGAAGCCTTTCAGCCATGTCCACCTCCAGGGCGCAGCAGGTCTCCCTCCCTTCAAAGCCTTATCCACATCTCAATTCCATCAATAATCCCTCCCCCCATCAACCTCAATCATCCACCGCCGCCGGCGGCGGCCCCACAGGCAACACCATCCCCTCCATACAATGCATCCGCGTCCGCTCCACCGACTGCCCCATCCCGATGCTCATGTAGTGCAGCAGCGACGCATGTCCTTGGTAGCTGGAGTACGAGTCGCGCGCGATGTTCGACGTCCACTCGTGCTTGGTGGTGTCGGCGTGGCCTGTGCCGACGAATTTGTTCTGCAGCGATTCGAGCTGTTGTTGCGTGCGGAGCTTGTCGGCCTGTGGAGTGGGATGGGGGGTTAGTGGGGGTTTTGAGGTTTGAGGGAGGGGGTGAGGGGATTGACACTGACCATTTTTTATGTGTTGCTGTGGGAGGAGTGGAGGGTTTGTGTGGGTGTACGGAGTCGAAGAGTGAGATGTGTGGTTTTGAAGGTCAGGTAAGTTTTGTAGAAAATGGGCGGGTTAGGGTTAGGGTTGCAATGGCTGTCCCAGCATTCTGTACTGCTGCACTGGCTACGAACTTCGATCTCGACATCAATACGAAAGTAAATCGACACATCTGCTCGTCGACCCAGCCATCTCAAGCTCCCTCACAAATGCTTCTTCACCAGCGCATCGACAGAATTGTGGTCCTCACGATGGTCCCCAACCTTCTGTCCATCCTTGAACACGAAAATCCAATCGACATCCAAGCCCTGCGATTTAATCGCGTCCTTCACATCCTCGTGCCCAGCCTTGTAGAACGTTGCGCCGGAGTTGTCGGTTGCGACGCTGTAGCCCTGTCAGTATCTGACATGCTCCTTCGTATCCAATGCTCCGGAGAGTATGGCCCGGCGCGAGCGCGGACTTCGAGATCCAGTTGGGAACTTGAAGGACGCGAACGTACATCTCGTACTTCTTGCCGAAGCCCACGTTCGCTCCGTCGGAATCGTAGATCCAAATCACGGACACGCCGGACTTGGAGGCGTCTTCGAGCTCTTGGGAGCTGTGCGGCGAAGGCAGAGCTGTTAGACTTGTACTAGCGAAATGGAATGTAAAGTGCGGGCAGGCTTACCTTGTGAGTTTCTTCACTGACATTTCGGCTCCTGAAGTCGAGCAATCTCCTATCTTCTTGGGCAAATAGACTGTTTGAACGATGAGTCGGGAGGTGAAGGTGGAGGATTGGAAGATCGACTTGTTGCGTGCTCCGAACTCATATGCGGGGTAATGCGCGGGCTGGAGGAGGTCGAAGCGAATCGAGACCCCGCGGGCGGAGCATGGAAAGGCTGCCGCATTCCAGCCCAATGCTGTGAGAGGTCGAGAGTGGCAAACATGACTTCCAGTGGTATAGACATCTTCGCCACACTGTGACAACGAGTGTGATTCCAAAGGTCTGCCCTGGTGGCGACCATCCAAATGCTATTTGATGATGGTGATTCCATGCCATGCGATAATGCTTCGCTCCATGCTCTTCGCGCCCATCGTCGGGCGAAGTCCGGCATGCAATGCAACGTCGATATCACGACCATGCTGGGTTTTGCGGACGGGCTCGAAGACCCATTCGACAGCTGTAGCACCTATCTGTTGTGCTCGGTATATCCATACCTCTCCACCGTCTCTGTGCTTTCCCTTCTTTCTCTTACCAGAGAGAAAGGTCCCAGTCCTTCTCGGCTGTGCGTAAAGTGTCAGTACATTAATGGTATAAGGAGATGCCGGGCCAGGACTCACTCATCAGCGAATCAACATCCGATTGTTTGACCAATTGATTCTGCAAATCCACTCTCGTCCACAGCTCTTCCAAGAACAGGCGCGCCAGATTCGCATTAGCTTTGCCGTGCTCCTTTGTGATCCGCACCAGCATGGAAGACACCAGAGCCCTGTCCTCGCCCGACCGCACCAGGCAGCCAATGCTGAAGAGAACAAAGACAAGGTCCGGATCGCATCGGGTACTCCCCTCATCGAAGCTGTATCCGCGGAGCGTACTCACCGCCGTCTCGAGCGTGGTGCGCAGACCGGAATCGTGGATCGTCAGGTCCATCACGCCCGAGTAGACTTGCAAGAGGGCGACGTAGGAGTAGAGTCTGTCGCGGTCCGGACTCCGATGGCTGGTGGGCGGCGTGCTCGCGGCCGTGACGCTTTCGCTAAAGTTCTTCAGCTGCACAATGACTTCCAGGCATTGCGCGCGGAGTGCGCTCCAGAGTCGTTGCATGTTGTCGCTTCCGGAGTTGCTCTCGATGTTTTGCAGCGCATTCTTCTCCAGCCGGAGCGCGCGGATGTGCTTGAGCACGCCGGACAGCTGGCGCGGCAGCCCGAGCACTTCCACATTCATCTCCGCCGACTTGCCCTTGTCGTCCTCGGGACTGGGCAGCGTTCCGGGGGTGGCTAGTGGACTGCGGATCTGCAGCGAGCGGGCCAGCCTCTTCAGAATGCCGCGTGTGCTCGTGTCGGTCATGCTTTGGAGCTCAATGTCGGTTGCAAACACCGACAGCGCACCCTGAAGGTGCACCCTCCACGTCGAGCGCTTCTCCCCGTCCGAAATGACGTCGCGGATGGCCAGCATCAGCGCCGTCCCGGCAAAGACATTCTGCGTCGACTCATCCTCCTGCACCGTCGGCCGTCGCAGGTGTCCGACGCTCATGTCGCGCCAATATGCAACTTCGGTGGCATCGCGGTGCGCTCCAAGATTCATGCGATGTGTTGACGCCAGGCTCAGAATGGCGGCTACGAGGGAGAAGCCGTGATTTGTGTCGATGGCCATGGGCACAATGGCCGCTCGAATTTCTTGCTGTACCGCCGCATCCCCCGTGAAAATGGTCACGGTGTGGTCGATGAAGTGTTGGAAGAGGGCGCGGTGGTGCTGTGACAACCAGGGCAGCCATGCCGCGGCGGGTATGCTCAAATCGCCAGCCGGTGAGCTTCGCGAGCTCTCGTGTGGCTCAATGATCGGGAGGGGGCCCATGGTGCGCAATTCCGGCTCGATCTTGATGGAGCTCGCACGTCTCGCTGCGCTGCTGGAACTCTCTGCTTGTCCGTAGACAAAGGATCGTCGATGTGCTAAGGTGGTTAGTTTTTATGTTAGCCCAATCGCCACCCGACAAATCTTGATTACTGTTGCTTACTCGTATCGTCTTCGGAATCCGCAATGGGAATCTCGACCACTCCCCCTCCCAGCGCGTGGCGGAACGTTGAACGGTTGAATGGCCGCCCGCCCCAGGAGAGTGGTTTCTGGTAGGAGCACACCTTGCCCGCATCGCGACAGTTGGCGCATGACGGCTTCTCCTCGTCGCAGCGGCGATGGAGTCGGCGGCATTCGACACATCCGTTGCGCGACCGAGTCAGCTTGGGAGCGGCGGGCGCCTGAGGGTCTTTTGGTGGCATGCCGACGTGCTATATATGATTCAGCGTGTCCAACAGCGTTGTTGTTGTTTCTCCCGAGTGCGTAATGGAGTAGTCTATTCTTGCCTATTCAGGCCGGGTTAAGCGGGTGTCGCGCTTGAGGAAAAGAGAAGGGCGCGCGGGCACGTACTGGAATCCGTGGCGTGGCAACGGGCGTGCATGAGCCAGGTGGCACAAGGGCAGCGGATCGTGAGGAAAAGACTGAGATGTCGATGATCACTCAACAAACAATGGTGAGTGTCGGCAGGTGGACGGGGAGGGAGCGCCTCCGAAATCGACGAAGTAGGGGCCTTTTCGGCGCTATGCTGCCTCGGATCGTCGCTGGGTACTTATATCGGCGCCGAAGAGGAATCGGAAGAATTCCATACCGCTCGATGGCGTTTGGGAAACGTTTGTTCGAGCCGGGTAGGATAGTGATCATTGTCCGATCATCCACCAACAACACCACACGATCTGAATATCATCTTTGAGGCCGTGCAACTGGGAGCCCCAAATCGGGCAGAAGAAGCCCCGAAGTATTGTACGAAGTATTGCACGAGTTAGGGAGAGGGGACAGGCAAAAAAAACTTCGCGAGAGCGTTATTCACCTACCGAGACGCGCGCTGCATGTTGGTCTGGTCTCCATTGATGACACATGGTGGGAAAGCGAACCACTTAGGCCGAATGGTTAGCACTGATCGGGATGTGCTGCCGCAGTGCCCGGGGAGGAAGTTGGGGGAGTGAGGTGCGGTGACCAACGCAGGCAATCCCGGCGATTCCATAATCTTTCCCTTTTGGGCCTCGGCGTGGGGTGAAGTAATCGCTGTTAATATACACAGTTTGGGTTAGACTCGGTACTTTCGGGCCTGGAAGGGGAATTTACACGGCATTATTGCCCCGGCGGGGCCTGCTTAGAGCTTGGTGCGGGCGGCTTACCACGAATCCCTCAGCATTTGTTGCACGGCGCAATGTGTTGGCCTTTGACGTTGGCTTACTGAATCTTTGCCGCTTCGAGGCTCTGCCGTGGTTACAGGTACGTCACTACCTACTGTAGCTTCCCCACGTGCTGCCGATCATCCGCGGGGCATAGCCCTACTTACAAGCCTCCTGCCTATTCACCCACCCAATAGCTCAAGGACCTGCCATCTTCGGCCACATCTATAGAGACATACGTGCGGGCACCATCCCATTACAGCCCTGAAGATTCGTCAATTGCTGCGCCTCCCGGCGATTTTGACACATTCGGCAGTTTGACGGCGAGGCCCCGCAAGGAGCTGCCGGCCAAGTTTTAGGACCGGCACTACACGCCGGCTCGCTACAACTATACTGAAGTAGTGCACGGTCTGGCATCGTTCCTCGTGTCGCGTGCGCAGCACGCGTCTTAGACTCGCATGTCAGGACGGCGATCCCGAGCATCCCACGGCTCTCCAGAACCCCCTCGGAACCCAAGCCTCCGACAGTCAACTTTCCGTCTCGATGTAACGACTCATATCCAACCCTCGTGCTCCCAATCCCTCCACTTGCCCTGTTCCCGTCCGTTCCCGCTCGTCTCACTCAAATTCCCGCTGCCTTTCGTCCTGATACCCTTGAAATCGAACCTCTTCCGATCGAATTTGTCTCGAAACCCGAGGCCGGTGGCGGGGCGTGAGATGGAATCTTCGGTGTGTCCGTTGGAGGCGGATGGTCGCCTGCCGGTCGAAGTAAGGCCCAGGCTGTGCGGGTCCATGCGGTCTTGCACCACGGTGAAGTGGTAGCGCGGTCTGGTGTTCTGATCGACCGCGTCACCCCTCGCCTTCACATCGCTTTTGCCCCTCTTCTTGTACAAGGAGTCGAGGCTCTGTATGCGGGACAGCGCATCTCTGGAGCCCATTCGAGTTCCCCTCAAGTCAGTGCCCTGAGCCTGGCCGACTCGATGCGCCGATGCAGGCGGCGTGCGGTAACGCTCCGCAGCCGCATCGCCAATTTTGACGCCCAGATTGACCGCTCCTATGCTGACGCTGCTTCCTACTTTCTTGATCGCAGCTCCAAGCATTGGAGATCCAAATTTACGCGACGACGAATCGATCACGCGCCGCATATCCTCGATATCGTCCTGCACCGCCCATTGTCGATGCCTCGACTGCAGCCTTGGAGCAGCGAACGCCCGTCCTTGCGAATACGATGGCCGTCTCCTCAACTCCGCCATCGCCGCGGGAGAAGAAGTAGAGCGCTGTCGGGTATGCAGTGCCTCGTGTTGCTTCGATCGCATACGACAATGCTCCCCTTGTGCCCACTTTTCCTCAATTGCGGCGGCCACTTGGGCCACGGAGTTGGGCAGAACATCAAGCGAGTTCATGTGGATGAGAATAATGGGCAACTGCACCGACACGAGCTTGGTGTTTGACAAGGACGCAGTGATGTTGAGGAAGAAGCGCACCTCGAGATACTTGCCGCATCGCACTGTGGCGTGCCCGCGGGGCAGCTCCAGTTCGCACGTTCGCGTGTGGGAGGAATGCGCTTCGACACCGTTCCATCCTTGCTGGCCGGGTTTCAAACACGATCGAGTAATCATCGTCTGCTCATTGCTCTCGAATATCCGAGCTTGGCTGGCGGACTTCTGGCTCGTGCCAGCTGGAGCGTGCTTGTAACACAGAATGTCACGCTCAAGATTCATCTCCAGTCGCTTGACGGCTTTGTGCGTTCGATTGGCGACATGCACATCGACGAATATGCTGCTCCCGCTGACCCACACTTGCCGGTGCAGGCCGGCGGTGATCCGGAGCGTTTCGCATCTGCCGAAGCGAGGGAACAGCACTTCGTCTGTTGCCGTCGACGGACTGGGCAACGAGCCTAGCGCCTTCTCCGGGTCGTATGTGGCGAGCACATTCACGTCTTGTGACATCCGTACGCGGTAGTGCTTGCCGGCGTCGTTGATGAGGGCAGTCACGGCGAGGAGGAAGCGAATGCTGGCGTGCTTGGAATAGAACGGCGGCGGGCCGGTATCGAGGGGCAGACTGATGATGAATGGCAATGTTGAGGTGGAAGGTGTTAAGGCCCAGAATCTCTCATTCTCAGTGGCTAGAAGGTTGGGAGGCTCGATCATGTTTGCCGGGGGAGGGTGGCTGACATCGACCAAATCCGTGCCGATGGCGAGGAACGTCGCCCGTCGACCACCAGACATGTCCTCGAATCCGAGCAAATCGAGAGAGATTGCTCCAATCGCGAGGGTGCGTCGAGCGCGCGTGCGTTCGTGTTCGTCAACGGCGATCTTCACAGAGCCCTCAATACTTCCCCCACCAACAAACAATGGCGCCGAGACTTGCAGCTCTAGCTTGACCCGGGGATGTCGGTAGGATGGAAACTCCAGGATGTCCGCGGGCGGCGGCGCGCGGATGTAGGTTCGCGACGGAATCCGTCTTGCGCCGTCGGACTGCACGGCGTCCAAGCCCTGCGCAACTTGCTTCACGGGCGAGTGACTCTGGCCATGGTTAGGGATGGTGAAGCCCTCGAGATTGAGGCCGACGGTTGGCTCGACGACGCGGATGGATGGCTTCCGGGCATGAGCTTTCGTTGGTCGCTGGGAGTGGGTTTGAGACGAGGAGCGCCGGGGGACGCTGGAGTAAGGAACAGTGTAGAAGCTGGATTGCTCTGGCGTGCTGGAATAAGATGAGGATGCATCGCCGGGGAGCAGTGGCGCAGGCGGAAGCTCTGGTATGTTTGTCGCGTGTACGTGCTTGCCTGCGCCGACCCTCTTCAACGATTCCGCGCGCCTTACAGACGTCGTGTTTGCATTGCTGGAGTTGCGCTCCGCCCTATGTTCTGTGCGGCGCCGGGCGGCTGAGTCGATGAGACTGGGCTCGCTAAGTTCACGGATATCTGACAACGGGCGCGGTCCAGTGTTTGACGGTGGCGCGGCGGATTGCGGAGGAGGAGGGGGCGGCGGCGGTGGTGGTGGTGGTATTTGACTGACCGACAAAGGGGGCTGTAGCAACTGCGGTCTCGAGATGGTATACGGGGGTTTGCGCTTGTCCATCCCTTCATGATGTCGATTTGTCTCACGTGCTGACTTTGGTCACGATGAACTCGAGGTCGAGAGCGGAATGGCGGTAGAATAGGAGTGCGATCGGCCGTATCGCGTCTCCGCAATCTTTGCAATGGAAAGTACGATGCTAGCGAAGACAACACTGACGCTACTGCAATAAGATAGAGCAGGAAGGAAACAATGGAAGGAGACCCTTCATGTCGTGACCGCCTACCTGGATTTGGTCTGCAGGTTCCTTGCTGTGGTTGGATCATCGATGTCTACTGTGCACTGTCCGATGAGGATAGTAGCATGGTGATGCTGACGGAGGCTCTCAGGACTGCTTCGGATGAATGCATCATCACATAACGAGTCGAGACACGACGTTGTTGCGCACCTGCCGTAGTTTCGGAAGGCGCCGCCCGCGGAGAAGTCCAGGGACAAGCAGGGGCCAAGAAGGGAAAGTGCGGAGAAGGCTAACGGTTTAGGCAGGGCCAGCCGGTTCTTTTTTGGCGGTGAGGGGGCCAGCAGGAGCGGTCAGCCTGACACGTGGTGCGAGACTCGTGATCTCGGCACGGCGGCTGATGGCTTCGCTGCGCTGCTTCGTTGCGCAGCGTTTGGCGCAAAGGAAAAAACATGGAACATACAAGGACTAGACTGGCAAGTCAAACAGCTAAGGACAAGCCAGTCAAAGCAGTCACGGGCGCCGGGTCTTTAAGCACACGGCTGCCTTGCCTTGCCCGCATGTCTAGCGTGGCCACTCTGGCTGCGCCGGATACGACTAGAGAAATTTTCATGCTGCCACGGTGTGTTTGCCCGCATGACCCCAACTCTGGGCCCGCGTTGCGGTTGCGTGTTTCGATTAGCCAACCTTTTACCTCACCTTTTCCTCTCTTCCCTTTGTATGGTGTGCTAAGCCTATCATCCTCTGCCCTTCCCTATCAACCCTCCACGCCTTCGTATGAGCTGCCGTCCTGCCCATCTCGGTCCCGCCCGTCACTGGCCCTCTAGCCTGCCCTCTCTCCCGATCTAACTGTTTTGGGTCGCCACACGCTCCGGGTTCCTGCAGATCGATGGACCACAGCAGGCCTGGGGCAGAGGACATGGCTGCCGACACCAAGCTCGATCCTGCCGGCGAGAACACGCCCAGCAGCATCGACTCCTCGCCTGAGCCCGAGGCCGGCGCAGAAGCGTCTCAGGAACCCGTGCAACCGCAGAAAAGGAAGGGCGGGCGAAAGCCGGTGCGTTGCCTGCTGCGAGTATTCACCGTCTTCCCCGTACACCTACTGACCGTGTGTCCAGATTTACGCCACTTCAGAGGAACGCAAGCAACGGAATCGACAAGCCCAGGCTGCATTTCGAGAACGGCGAACCGAGTACATCAAGCAGCTTGAGGCTACCATTAAGCAGAATGAAGACACTCTCACCACCCTCCAACAAAGCCACCGGACCGCTGCCGATGAGTGCCTGATGCTGCGATACAAGAATTCTTTGCTCGAAAGAATCTTGTTGGAAAAAGGTGCGCAGTCTAAACTGTCACCACGTTTGGTATTGCTTCTAACCTCTTCATCATAGGCATCGATGTCCAGGCCGAATTGGCGTTGAAAACCGGCAGCCCAACGCTGAGTTTCCAGCATCCCGGAGCAAACATTCCTCAGATTCCTGCGCAGCCTCAACTACAACGCACGGCTATGCAACGACAGCATGCTCGTCGCTCAGGACAATTCTTGCCAAAACTGGCTCCGGGATCGTCCACCTCTGACTCTGCCGTCCAGCGTGGTTCTCCCGCTCGTCCGACACCATCATCGCATGCCTCCTCCCCCTCAGCCATGTCTGTCAAATCGCCCATGGTCATGCAGGCAGGTGTAGGCACCCCTCCCACATCAGCTGGGCTCGGTCAGCCGCAGCAACAGCAACTTCCAGCGTTCCCTCGCGTCGCACAGCCGCAGTCGCAGTTCTTGCAGCTCTCTCCAAGCCTTCAGCGGCCTGGCGCACCACCGCACTTCCACAGTACCCAAAGTGTGCACTCGAGCATGTCGACCGGCAGTCGTCAAAGTATCGGCACACCCATGAGTGCCGGCCTGGTGAACCCAGGCGGTGAGCAGCCGACATCGCAGCAACTGTATGCTGATCCCTTTCACAAACACATGAATCGTCTCGGTAAGCCTCCCGTGATGCCTCTGCACGTCTCCTTCACCCCGTTTGACTGACTGCTTGTGTACAGAGCAAGAATACGATGCTCAACAATCTCGGTCCATGCTCGACCCTTCCGATCCCGAGGATCTCTCCAACCCCGCTCAGAGTCGCTTGCAAGGACGCTACCCGCAGTCCTACGACCAGCAAGCACCCCAGCCTGGAGACTACTTTCCCCATGGCATGAGCATGCCTCCAGACCAACAGCAGATGACCACGCAACAACAGCAGCAAATGCAGGCCACAGGACATGGCCACCCACTTGATGGCCAGATCCCCACCATGGAGGAGATGATCGATCCGAACGACCCCATGCTTGACGCTGATCCCTTTGGTTTGAGCGCAAGCATGCATTACCCCACTTCTTATTCTTTTGAGCAGGCGCCACAGCGTTGAGCATGTCTTGTTCACTTTGTTCTAGGAGGATGCGAGGTGTTTAATGGCTAATATCAACACGGTTCCCACGAGACGAGATTTGCATAGCGGCGACGGGAGAAAAGCTGGGCACGATGCTTCTTGCTTTTAGCGATGGCGTTGACAGGGTTGGTTCTCATGGCATTGGTGGCTATGAAAGGCATCTGCGATGAACGTTCTGGGTATTTCTGCATGCTCGAGCGCCGGGAGAGAGTACCTTACAGTCTAGTTCTAATACTCAATCAATCGTTCAGACGATGAAACAACGGTCCATGTCACAAATGTATCGGTATCGCCAGCACTCTTCATGTCAATACCGTCAAGGCGGGCCGGCAGACGTTGCCCGACGTTGCACAAAGCGAAAGGGCGAATGGGCGGCAGCTGCCGTTCTTGGCACGAACAAACACGGATTTCGCTCAATCCACGCTTCGCAAGCCGACGATCGTGAGTGTGCGTGTGTTCATCCACCCCCAACGTCCTTCCCCAAATCTTCCGCCGCTCAATGATGGGTCAGAGGAGCTCGTGATAACCGCGACAATGAGTGGAATTGCAAGCAAGGTCAGCTTCCCCTCCTTCCCCCTGCGGAACGGGTGCTACGAGTGATGCATTGGAGCTTGTTTCTCGTGTGCGACTTCCTAAACCCTGGCTGACTCTGCTTCGTCTACAGAACCTTTACGACCTCCTGGGTATGCGCTCCTCGAGCTTGAATGGACTGCGAGTGGGGGACGAAAGGACTGACCTTTACTTCAGGCAACGACCCTGAGCAGGACCCGGACAGAGCCCCGGACCCTCCTACTCAGGTCGCCGACAGGCCGGTCGCCCGCTCTGGCAAGCGCAATGCTGCCGCCGAAACCCCAGCTGCCGGAGGAGACAGACCAAGAGGTGGTGCTGCGCGTCGTGGCCGAGGACAAGATGGTATGTCACTTTTGGGGCGATGAAGAGACGCTTGTGTACACTATTGGAGAATATTGCTGACGAGGCTGTGCGGTAGTTGTCCCGCTGAACGAACGCATCGAGCAACCCGTGGACGGTCTTCGTGACGATCGCCATGCTAGGGGCACTCGTGGTATGTTTGGTCTTGTGCATCGTGTGACCACATTGCCCACTGCTAACACCCGTCTAGGACGTGGCGAAGGTCGTCCCCGCGGCGAGCGTGGTGCAGGACGTGGAGGTCGAGGCTACTCTGGCCGCTTCACGCGTGCAAACCGCGATGATCGCGCCAGCCATACTGGCATTGCGTAAGTGTCACGTGCGGCTCACGATACTTCTGGCCTGGACTAACGTCACCGCAGCGACAACGAGAAGCAAGCTGCTGCAGGATGGGGTGGAAATGACGGCAATGCTGAGTGGAACGATGAGAAAGCCGGCGAGGCCATCGCAAAGGCAGAAACCAACGACGAGCCCGGCTTCACTCCCGACACTGGAGCTGGCGACCCAGCCTTCAGCAACGGCCCCGGTGCCCCAGGCGAAGTCGTTGATGCAGAGGATGCGGCCGCAGCCGAGCCGGAGGACAAGACCAAGTCTTACACCGAGTACCTCAAGGAGCAAGCTGAGAAGCGCCGCGCTCTTGGCGAGACGAGCCTTGCCATCCGCCAGGCCAACGAAGGCTCCAAGCAAAAGGGCCCGCAAGGCAGCGCATTCTCTCGCAACCCCGAAGAGGAGAACTTCATCGTCGGATCGGGAGGGAAGAAGCAACGCGAGAAGGCCAACCAGCAGAAGAAGGACACGCTCACCATTGATGGACAGTACTACGCCGCGCCCGACCCGGGCGACCGTGGCGGCCGCGGAGGCAGAGGTGGAGGACGCGGAGGGCGTGGCCGCGGTGAAGGCCGTGGTGAAGGTAGGGGAGAGTTCCGTGGTGGCAGGGGAGGACGTGGCGGCCGCGGTGACCGTGGTGACCGTGGCGAGTTCCGAGGCGGCAGCCGGGGCGATAGAGGCGCTCCGCGCGGCGGCTTCAATGCCACCGACTCCAACGCCTTCCCGGCGCTCGGAGCCTAGTGGTCCACCACTGCTGCCCCGGGGTGATATAATGACGGCTACGTGCTGTTCATGCAGTCCCTCCTGCAAGCCATCCCCGGGCTTCCATCTGTTCGCAGACACAACATTCGTGCGGGTACTCGCCTGCGGCGACTATCGAGAGTAGCTAGTTTAAGGAAAAGGAATAGCGTTTCAATGCAAGGCTTTTTCTCGATTCTATATCCGTTCGTCCAAGTCGTTTCATCGAGGCCGATGTTTCGAAGCCTGAGGCACCCACAAATTCTCCGTTCTCAAGCTGTAATTTACCAACATCGTCATCAAACACGCCAACCCTTGAATCTGCATACATCGCTCTCCATTGCCGATTCGATCGTCCATCGTTGTACATACACAGCCCACATGTTGTACACATGAAATCGCATCACCATGGCTGATGCACGGCCACCAACGTCTGCCAGACCCGTGGAACAACCGCTGAACCTCATCCCCGTCGGCCTCAAAGAAGCCGCGCTCGACTCGCCCACCTTCCGCGCCTCCTCCCTCCATTTCGAAGAACAGGTCGACATCATCGAACGATGGCTCGACGGCTACGTTCGCGCGGCCTCCAAACTCGTCGCGGACATTGGCAACCTCGAGTCCACGGTCAACTCCTTCCTCACCCATAGCGCTCCGCCCGCACACATCAGCGAGGCGGTGCTGGACCATGACTACACTCTCCTAGCGGTCAGGAGATATGGCGAGGGCGCGAGGGAGTTTTGGAACCAGACCTTCCGCTCGTGCAAGAAGTACGAGAGTACCGTTGTCGAGCCCATCCGGGCATTTCTGTCTTCGGATCTGCGGAGCTTCAACATGACGAGGAGGAGCTTGGAGTCGGCGCAGAAGTACTTCGACGCCGTGCTCGCGCGCTACTTGGGGCAGAATAAGACGAAAGAGGCGAGTTCGCTGCGAGAAGATGCGTTTCAGCTGCACGAGGCGCGCAAGGCGTACGTCAAAGCAAGCATGGATTTCTGCGTTGCGGCGCCGCAGCTGCGTGCGACGCTGGATCAGGTGATTGTGAAGGTTTTTGCGGAGCAATTCAGGGACATGAAGAACGGGAGGGACGCGAGCGCGGCGACGTTTACCAAGTTGAGCGCGGAGATGGACCGGGTACGGGGGTGGAGTAGGGAGATGGAGAATTCGGAGCGTGCGTTCACGAGAGAACTGCTGGCGGCGAAGAAGCAGATTGAGGACAGTGCGTTGGATCTGACGAAGCCGAGTCGAGAATTGCACGATTACGAACTGGCTTCTCTGCCGTATGCTGCGGCCACGACGCCCGCGAAGACAGCGGGAAGTGAGCGTGGCGAGAAGCAGGGCTGGTTGTTCCTCAAGACACTAGTTGGCAAGCCGACAAAGACGATCTGGGTGCGGAGGTGGTTCTTCGTCAAGAACGGGATCTTTGGTTGGCTCGTGCAAGGAACAAAGTCTGGTGGCGTGGAAGAGAGCGAGAAGACCGGTGTGTTGCTGTGTGGAATCCGGCCGGCTTTTCAGGAGGAAAGACGATTCTGCTTCGAGGTCAAGACGAAAGACACGAGCATTCTCCTGCAAGCTGAGACGCAGGCCGAGCTATCGGACTGGATCACGGCCTTTGAATTCGCGAAACGAAAGGCCTTGGAGGATCCCGCGAGCACCGATATGTCTGCGCATTCAGCAGGTGTTGACCCGGCGTTTGCCATCACTCAACCGATCGCGCCCGAATTCGCTGCCGCCAAAATTTCTGACTCGGAGCACCGCAGTGAAGACGGATTTGGGGGTTTGCTTGGTGGTGCGCCAGAGCCAACAGGTCTTGGGATTCAGCAGCGTGCGAGCATGGACCCCGGTGCCGCCCGGCGAGTCGTCAGCATCGATGCAGAAAGCACCAGAGACCGCCTCATGCAAAAGTTTGACTTGCACAAGCGACCTGCCAACGGCTCACAATTACCTCAGATGCCTCCGCCCGCGGGAGGAATTGCAAGCTTGATATCGTCGAGCCATCATGCCCTACCAATTGCTCCTGCTGCGCCACCGCCTGTGGGTGCGGCGGGAGAGGGCCAAGCTGCTGCTGGAGCTGCGCAGAGAAGAAAGGTCACTCTAACGCTGAGTACGCTTGCGCCCAACTCTCTGGCTAACCCCCCGGCACCCACGAATCTCAGTCACACGGCTGTGATCGTGAGTGGGGAGCGCAATGTGAGTCTCGGCGGCAGAGCAGATGGGAGTGGTATGCCGGGGGGTATTATGGCGAACTTATGGGGCAGTAGTAACTGGGGCTATGTGAACCGACTGGGTGATGATGTGCCCAAGCCGGTATCCCAAAGTACCGAAGCTCGTCCGCCGACGCCTGCTCGCCCGGTACCCACCTCTATCGACGATGTCGGGGTCATGGATGGCACGGGCGAGATGACGGGGGAGAAGCCTCCACATGTGGTCCACCCTGCCACCGAGCCTACTCCCATGGGACATCGCAAGACGGTCAGTGTTACTGCCTCGACGGACACAAATCTGCCCGGCCAGCTTGTTCGACATTCCCTTGCCGGGGCGGAAGAGTACCCCAATTACTACCCTCTCGCACTCAAGGCTCAGCACGCACAGTTCAAGATCTTGTTCCCTTCGGTGCCGCGCTCGGAGAAGATTGTGCTCGTCTTCCGTGCGACATGGAACCCCAATGAACAACAGGAATTTCCCGGGCGCGTCTATGTCACGACCAAGGAAATCTACTTTTACAGCCATCACTTGGGCCTTGTTTTGATCACGGGAGTCAGCTTGGCCTCCATCAACGAAGTCACATCCGCGCCGGGGAAAGACTGCGATTTCTTGTATCTGCATCTCAAGGAGGCAAGCAAACTGGAGGGTCGCAAGCGAATCACTGTGAAAGTGTTCTTGGACTCGCTCCGCCTGCTTCAACGGCGTCTCAATTACCTGGTGCAGAATGCGAACTCGGATGCCCCAGACTCCTTGGAGGAAGTGATTAAAACGCTCATCAAGATGGAGTCGGAAAAGCACGAGCGCAGCTCCAGCGCGGACAGCTGGGAAGACCTGACCTACGACCCCGAGAGTAGCGCCGTCGGCGGTGATGAGAACAGTGCTCGCTACCATCGAGAGCGTAATATCAAAGCCAGCCTCCGCATCGACGGTAGCTTGCATGGCGAGACGGCCCGAACTGGACGAGAGGTGCAAAAGTTCCAACTGCCTCGACACCCCGTGGCGTATGCGCCGACAGGTATGCAAGCCAGCATCGCGCGCGAATTCACCGTCAGCGCCAAAGCACTCTTCCACGTCATCTTCGGCGACAAGAGTGCCGTGTTCCAATTGCTCTATTGCAACCGCTGGGGGGACAAGGTCGTGCAAACGCCGTGGGCGAAAAATGCCGGCGACCACTGGCAGCGCCGCTTCACCAGCTTGACCTCGCCTCTGCAGGATACACAGACCGTCGACATCCTCAACGACCATCTCTGCTATCTCGTCACCAACAATCGCGTTCCGTGGCGCCTCCCCTACTCTGACAGATTCCACCTCACCACCAAGCTGGTCATCACGCACATTGCCAAATCCCGCTCCAAGCTCGCCATCTACCAGCAAATCAGCTGGTACCGCAGCCCGTCGGTCCCGTACTTCAAGCGCCTGATTGAAAAACAAGCCCTTAACACTCTCGAAGCCGACGCGCTTGACCTGACAAACGTCGTCATGGACCAAGTCGCGAAGCTGGGAAACCACAGCAAAACGAACAAAGCCATTGATATCTTCGGCAACGTTGGGCAGGCAAATTCCGTACCGCAGCTGAATGCCGACGCAATTCCCGCCGTCGCAGGCACCGCTATTTCCTCCGGCCGCTTGCAGCGCGTGAGCTTGACGAAACTCGTCACCAGCGATCTCATGGTCAGCACACTGCAAGGCCTGAGTCTCGTCTTCGAAAGCTTGCTGGGGATCGGGAAAGGCGCGGTGCGGCTGTGCACAGCGCACACCCTCCTTGTCACTGTTTTCCTCATCTCATGCTTGTCCCATCTCTGGCACGGTTATCACACCGGCATGCTGGAATCGCACGAGCGCAGCGCGGCGCGGTACATGGCGCGCCTAGGCGTGCGGCCGGACATGACGCTCGGCAAGTCGATTTACCTCGCCGACATCGACGATCTGGTCGCGCCTACTGCTCCCTCTATGCAGAACGAGACCTGGGCGGCGGAGTTTGTGTCGGGCTCTTCGTTCGAAGCGCCTCTCACCATGACGACGACGGCGAAGACTTGCAGAAGCACTTTCGGCGATCAATTACTGTCTTCTATGCCTTCTTCCGGCTCTGTCGGCGCTCGCCTCCAGCGCTCGAGAAACTCGTTGGCGAGGTATAGACATGACTTGCTCGTGGCGTTGAGAGTGGTCAATCGCGTGGAGAAGGACATTGTGCTGTCCGAGTGGGAAGAGTGGGTGCGGGGGGAAGAGCGGAGGTGCGTGCAGGTCGAGCAGATGCTGCGATCTACGGCGGGAGCGAAAGAGGACGGCGACGGCGGTGCTGGCGAGGAGATTAGTCTGGAGCGACAGTTGGGCGCCGGGTTTGCGGAGTATTGTGCGAGTTGTCGAGTGGAGCTCGGTGGGATTATGAATGGAACGAAGGTCATGTGATGTAGACATCTATTCTTTTGGCATAGCTACCTATCTTGTATCCATGCATCTGGAACGTCAAATGTTCGTTTCTGTATCAAACGAGTGTGATTGTCGACGTGCCTCACAAGCGCACGCTGACCTTTCCCCTCCCGTCAGCAATCGCTCGGATCTGCCCATCAATCTCCAACGGGTTGCCCTCGAACACGGTGAATTCCTGCAGAATGGCATCGCTGTGAATCTTCTTCAAGCCCAAGATGTCATAGATGTTAGAGGACACGAAAGCCAACGCTTCGGTCTCGCTGATTTTGCCGTTGCTGTTCGCGTGCGCAATGCCGGCGGAGAGATACAAGTCCCTCGTGGGGAGCTGCTCATCTGTCCCGATGGCTACTTTCACTCCGGCGGCGTGAAGGACGTCGATCGCTGTGCCGTTGGTCAGCGGAGCGCCGGTCAGAGCGCGTCGCTGGTCCCAGCTTCCACGAGAGGCAAGCAGGGGCGAGAGGATGACGGCTACGTTTGCTTTGGCGAGCTCCGCGGCGAGAAGGTGGGATTCGGCGCCGCCTTGGATGATCATGCGGAGGTGCGGGACGATGTCGACGGTGGTGCTGGCTGCGATCTCGGCTTCGACTTCTGCTTTGAGGCGGAGAAGCGAGGCGATCTGGTCTGCGCTGTCGGTTTGGATGACTAGAGCCATTTTGTCCTGGACTACCTTTTTCAGATAGCGCTGCTCGGGGCGAGTGGAGGAGTCGGTTTCGTTGGCGTTGATGGCTTGGATGAGTTTCGCTTTGAGTGCACCGATTGCGCTGGACAACGATGGTGAGGCGGTAGATTTGGCGAGGGCGTAGTGCAATGCCACCTCGTCCTTCCACACGGCTCCCTTTTCTTGCGCGTGCAGTGCGCCGGTAGCAAAACCCGCACTCACACCGTAGAAACCGCCAAATTTGTACAGTGGCGCGGTGATTGCCTTGGTGACGCCGTGAGAGAAGGCTGCGTGTAGTTCCTTCGCATCAAAGGCCAGTCCGTCGACGGCACGGCTGAAGTTTTCATCGCCGTTGGAGCCATCTTGTGTCACTGATTCGCCGGCAATCTCGACCAGGCCCAGGGAAGATCCGAATGTAGTCAGCGACGGGGCGATGTGACCGTTCTCAAGAGTAACGACGAGCGCTCCACGCTCTTGAGCTGCGGCGAGCTCGTTCTCGCACTCGCCCAGGCATGAGATTGCGCCATCCTTGACAATGACGTTGCCATGGGTGTGCTCGGACAAGGTCGCATCGTGAGTTGAGGACAGAATCTTGGTGATGCCGGAGAAAATGACCTCGGACCGCTCAGACACTTCTTCTTTGATCGAGGCCAGGTAGCTCTGATGCTCAATCGGTCCGTGGAGTGCTTTTTTCAGCTCTACAGGGTGCTCATACTGAGGCGTGCCGTCAATCCAGATTTGTACAGGGGCAGCTCCGACAGACAAGGGGTCGGAATCCCAAACCACAATATCAGCATCGAAGCCTGCCTTCACTTTGCCAATTCGCTCGCCCAAGCCAAGGATGTCAGCAGAAGCGCTCGTGACGCCAGCGAGGGCGACGTGGTACGGAAGGCCATTTTTGTACGCTTTTGCGGCTTCGAATACGACGTGCTGTGCGTTCAGCACCGGGTTGTCGGACACGTAGACGGGAGTGAGGCCGTTCTCCCACAAGATCTTACCTGCCTGCTCGGAGGCTACGTACGACTCGGCTTTGTAGTACATTTGATCGGCGAAGAGGGCCGAGGCAGGAGGGCGGTCACCATATGCTCGTTTGAGGATCTCTGGGACGAGATAAGTCATGTGGGCGTGATGGAATGCTCTCACGGAGAAGTTAAACTCGTTTGTGTATCCGACGAAGGATTCCAGGTCGGGAATGGTGTAGCAATGGGTGTTGAGCAGCACTTGGCCACGGAGAAGAGCGCCAAGACTCTCCCATTTCAGATCTTGAGGGAGGTATCCGGACATTTTGTGCGCTCCGAGACGGTCTGCGGCGTTGCACCAGTCGTCTTGTGCGGCTACGAGGGCGGAGGCTTGCTCAAATGCGTGCCTGAAGTACCATGCCTCGCCGAGTCTCGAGAAGGGCCCAAAGTCGCGGCCAACCTTGCCATACACTCTTTTTGCGTTTTCTCCGCAGGCCATTTTCATGTAGCGAAGCAATTTTTCTGGGTCGGCGAGCATGTCTTCAGCACTGATCTCGGAACGGCCATCAGCCTTGCCTACCGCATGCTTGACGACGTATGCCTCGCCGCCCATGTTGTTGCCGGAACCCGGCAGGATGAGAGAAGTAGTCACTCCACCAGACTTGACTATCTGGATGTGCTCCTCGAGGGGATTGAAACCATCGATGGAGCGCACGAACGGGGTAATGTCATTGGACAGCTCATTGTCGTCCGAGGAGCCTTCAAACATGGAGCTCACACCGACGTGGGAATGCATATCCACGATGCCGCTCGTCAGCGGACGGCCGTGGGCCTGATAGACGACGTAGTCATCAGGCAGATCGGCCGCGGCGATGTCGGCTTCTACTCGTTTGATCAATCCATGGTGTAGCAGGACGTCCGCGTGGATCCATGAGTAAGCAGGCTGCTCTCGGCGCTCGCCATCGGAGACGCCGTGATGAGCGTTCGGCTCACCCGTCCAAACTGAGGCATTGCGGATGAGATATGGCTTGTGGCCGTCGAGGTAGCGAGCGTTACGCTCACGGGGGCCACTGGGGTCTTGTGGCTTGTGTCTCAACTTGGCGCACGTGGCGTAGTCGGCGCGCAGACGGTCAGATGAGAGGATTGTCCGCGGAGTAGATTTAGACGAGTGGCTCGTCCATAACGCCCACACCAAGCCGGCCAGTAGGGACAATTTCAGGATCCTCCGGAGGGAGGGAGCCTTGGGGCGGCGCGCGACACGCTCATCAAAGAGCGTGTACTTGGGCAGGATGTCTTTGTCCATTTCGCTTATGCCGCGTCGCACGCAAGGGCTAGGGGGCGGCTGGTGGCACGAGAGAGGTGGTTATTTAACAGTAGTGGAGTGGCGGCGCCCATTTCCACCACCGAAATGGCCGGGAGAGCTGAGGTGGCACGCCATCCCCCTATCTCCCCAGCATGCGAGGGGAGCGAGACTCGCGCGTCCGCACGGACCATCGGAGAGCAGCATGGTGGTTTAGCCGAAACGGGACTGGCGGCGCCCGCAAACGCGAACATCCAATTTCCACCCGGCAACCCTTTCGCCAACTTCGCCCAACAACGCCTGGGCAATGAATCTCTCCGACCGGTCTCGATGGTGATGGGCGCCTGCAGAAGGCTAGCGCCTAATAAAACGTTGGCTGTCATATAGGGCCCCCCGTGCGCCGGGGAGGCAAACGGTAGGAAGGCAAGTCACGTCCACCTGCAGCTATATCTACCTACTTCCCCTACCTGCGCGCTCGAGACCTGTCATCGTCCACACTACACGCGTCGTTCTTCTCCTTCCAGTCGTTCTTTGCCACTCACCAAGTCACTCATTACATCTCTTCATTCGCCATGCCTTCCTTCAAGACCCTTCTCGCCGCCCTCGCCCTGCTGGCACCCCTGGCCTCTGCTCAGATTCAGGGCCACTGCGACCCGATCGTGCAGCAGCAGTCCAACCCCATCGCCAAGCAGTACCTCAAGCAGTCCACCGGCACCCTCAACGGCACCATCGGCATCATTCCCATCCCTATGGCCCAGGCCCGCAACCTGATCCCCGCCAAGTACCAGATCCTCACCAAGCAGATCCAGCAATGGCTGCCCAACCTCGGCGCGGGCAACTACCCGGCCATGGTCCAGATTGAGCAGTTCCACGACATCTACCACAAGGGCAAATCTGCCGGCAGCGGCGCCGACTTCAACGTGAGTGTACCCCTTCGCGCTGCACCTCCCGACCTTACCCACTGACACATTTGTCCGACAGCGCGCCCAAGTCATGTTCCCCTTCGTGGACCGCTTGGGCGATGGCTACTCCGCCTTCACCTACAGCAGCGCCGTCATCGTCTCCGACGCCGCCGGCAGCGCCCTCAGCGGCCTGAAGAAGCTCGGCTACAAGAGCGCCACCGGCGGCTACTTTGCGTCTTGCAACGCCTACGAGTACGAGAATGCTACCTCCAACCTCGCTCTGCCGCCCAACCGCCGCGGCATCGACCAGGCCGCGTGGACCGAGAGCAACACCAACCTGGGCAGCCCCAACATTGCCTACCGTTACGTGCCGGTTGCCAACTTCCCCTACACCATCAACTAGTGAGTGCTTGCTATCCTGCCTTCCTTGACTTGATGAACGCCACCTAACATGCCTCTTCCACAGCTTCTACAACGTCACCAACCAGCCCACGTTCAGCGATGGTGACAATTGCAATAGCCTCGTCCGCCTGTACAACACCGCCGTCTCGTCGGGTGCCTACCCTCCCGTACGCCTGCAGGGCAATGCCACTGCCCTCGCGGGATACTTCAACCAGGGCACGTCCATCTGGACCAACATCTACGGCCTGAAGATCGACGTCGCCTACCACACCCCCGGCAATGTCAAGTGCCAGTCGCTCAAGGGCTTCAACGTCATCAGCGCTCCATAGAGGAACGAGGAAGGAAAAGGGCAAGAAAGGATTTGGAACACTTTTAATGTCAAGTAGCTTAGATGCTCTGATTTTGCGTATGTAGCTTCAATCAAGACTTCGATGCATGCTCCTCCACCACCCCTCGCACCACGGCGTCGAGATTCTCGTTTTCCAGTCCGAGCAACTTCATCGCGAACCCGTCTTTCTCCTCCCAATTCCCGTCCAGCGTGCCCAACAACCACACCAAATTCTCCACCGCCTCGCGGTCCCCTCCGTCAGCCTTGGCCTTTTCTTCCCGCTCGTACCGCTTCGACTCGAAATCCTTCACGGCCCATTGAGAGTCCGTCGCCCGCTCATACGCCCTGACAACCTCCACCTGCGAAACAAGGAAACTCTGCACGTATACCACGCGATTCTCCGTCTCCTCCGGCCTCAACAAAATCCTCGCCGTCGCCTCGCCGATGCGCGCCAAAGTACTGGCAGACCATTTCGCGTGTCCACCATCAATCGTCTCCGCTCGTCGCTCTCGTACCCACACGTGCAAGAACTCGGGACTCCAGTCGAAGAAGTGCCCGCACACCAAACTCGTCCAGGAAAACGCCTTGCTCTCGTCCGCCAGCTGCATCAGCACATCGCGCAGCTCCGTCTTGTGCTTAAACAGCGGCACGAGACTCTGCGCCCACGCGCTGCTGGAATCACAACTCCCGAAATCCGCAGGGATGAAGCGGCGCACGCCCGCTTGCACGCAGGCTCGCGCGAGCTTGGTCTGCACTCCTGTTTGCGTGCCTTTGATGGTGACGACGACTGCGTCTTGGCCTTGCAGGACGGGGACCAGGGTGTCGAGGGTGAAGTCGTCGGAGACGCGGCGGACGGTTACGTGCGAGGGGTAGGTGTTGTCGGGGGATTTGGAGGAGGTGCGTTTGAGGACTGTGACGGTGAAGTCTGCTGCTAGAAGGGCGTGCAGGATTGCCGGGCCGAGTTTGCCGTCTGCGCCTAGGAGGGTGACGGTTTTGATATTCATTTTGGGGCTGTGTCTACCTCTTCATTCGTACCGGATAGGAGATTAGGTAAGGAATGTCGCAGGTCCAATGGCGATGTTCCTTGCAATGAAGATAGCGACGGGAGTTGGACGTGGTAAATGTCTCAAGCGTGTACCTCTGGTTTTCTTAGTTGTATTCGTGGCCAGTGCAGTTGGTTATATTCTCTTCGACATTTTTGATATTTGATGAAGTCGAAATATCTTGAATGCCTGAGGTGTCAAGTCGGGGCAGCACAGACCTCCAGCAATTTACAGTGCCCGCGTCATACGATCGATGTTTACTCGGTCGTACGACCAGGTCGCGTCCCTGAATTTTTATAAAGACAAGCTCGCGCGCTCTTTGCTCCATGTGATAACCTCACCTCATTCCCTTGTCGCATTGCTTGTATAACAATCGCGGCAGCCCTGCGACTCAAGAAAAACCGCCATCATGCCGCCCAAACACGCGCGCACGCCGAGTGTGAAGAAAAGATCGCCGCCCAGCGAACCGCCTTCGCCCACCGCCGCAATCACCCAAGCAGCAGAGAAAGCAGAGAAGACGGTGCAAGTCGTCAAAGACGCGGTCAAAACGAAAGCGCAGCCGCCTCCGCATGGCTACGAGTTCGGAGGGCCGTGAGTGCATGCCAATTGATCCAGCTCCGATCTCCGTGTACTGACAAGACTTCCCAGCCCGCTCGTCACCGTCCTTGTCATCTTCTTGCCGATTCTGTGCTACATCTTGGCCTTTGTCTGCAACGATGTGTCCGGTTGTCCGGCGCCTTCGCTCCGCTCGCCGAGGAAGCTGTTCACCGCCCCGCCGTTGTCCAACAAATCTGGCTGGCAACATGGAATCGATACGTTGAAGCGCGAAGTCGGCTGGCCTGGCTTGACGGGTCTGCTGAATGTGGAAGGCGCTTTGGGAACGCTTGCGTGGTATGCTCTCAGTCTGGCCTTGTGGGCGCTGCTCCCGGCGTATGAAGTCGAGGGGACGGAATTGCGGACAGGTGGGAAGTTGAAGTATCGATTCAATGGTGTGTTCCCACGACTCTCGCTCGACCTTCGGCGTGCTGACGAGAGTAACACAGCCTTCTTTTCATCGGTCGTGATCATGATTGCCTGCGCAGCTGGCACTTGGGTCCGTGGACCAGACTTCCCAGTCTGGACGTTCATCAACCGCAACTACATCCAGATCTTGACCAGCAACATTCTCATCTCCTACGCTCTTGCCATCTACTCCTACGTCAAGTCCTTCAGCGTCAAGCCGCACAACAAGGAGAAGCGAGAGCTTGCAGCTGGTGGACACAGCGGAAACCTGATCTACGACTTCTTCATTGGCCGAGAGATGAATCCGCGCGTGACGATACCGCTGATTGGTGAGGTGGACATCAAGTCCTTCATGGAGCTCCGCCCGGGCATGTTGGGGTGGATCATGCTGGATCTGGCGTTTATGGCCAAGCAGTACAAGAGCTACGGCTATGTCACTGACTCGATGAGTATGTTTATGCGCCTCTCACATCTGCCACGAAGAGCTGCTTACCTCGTTCCACAGTCATGACGACCGTCGCTCAATCCCTCTACACCTTCGATGGCATCTACATGGAGTCGGCCATTCTGACCACCATGGACATCACTAACGACGGCTTCGGCTTCATGCTGGCCTTTGGCGATCTGGTCTGGGTGCCCTTCATCTACTCCCTCCAAGCCAAATACCTCTCCGTGCACCCCGTCGTTCTCGGCCCGACGTACATCCTGGCCATCCTCGGCGTCGCGGGCATCGGCTTCTACATCTTCCGCTCGGCGAACAACGAGAAGAATCGCTTCCGCAACAACCCTCACGACCCGAAAGTCTCGCACTTGAGCTCCATCAAGACCGCCAATGGCTCTCGTCTGCTGACATCCGGCTGGTGGGGCACCGCGCGCCATATCAACTATCTCGGCGACTTCATCCTGTCTTGGGCGTACTGCCTTCCCACGCTGCTGGCGGGCTACAAGCTGACGCCGTCGGTGCTCTACCCCGGCATGAGGCTGGTGAGCACGGAGGGGATGAAGGGGTATGCCATTCCCATCACCTACTTCTACCTCATCTACTTCGCCGTGCTACTGGTGCACCGCGAGCGTAGAGATGAGGAGAAGTGTCGGCGAAAATATGGCAAGGATTGGGAGGAGTATTGCAGGCTGGTCAGATGGAGGATCATCCCTGGCGTGTATTGATCGCAAGGGATGCCATAGGGCTGAATCAGAACCCTGTAAGGCTTGGCTTGCTGGGGGACACGTCAAGGGTGGAGCAGTTACACGTCACCGGGGAAAACGTTGCTCTGCAGCCCCAGTAATCATTTGAAGACGACAGCCAGCTTATTCGATCAGCCGTAAGCTGAAGCAATGATGAGGTGCGCCGGGAGAAGTCAGATACTGAATTTCTGTAGCTTACTAGGTGATGGTCTCGATCTGCACGGCGGTGATGGCGCTCACCGGTCTTTGGCTAGGCAAATGCACCCCTCTGCAAGGCAAACAAGGCTGCATCCGGCGGTCTGACAACCGTTCACTTCTCATGCGGCCACAGCACACCTGCAGGAGGATCACGTTGGCCGCATTGAAAGACGTAGGTACATCGCATTGAGATCCACTTCGTGGAGACGGCAATTCGGATTTTCCCACGCAAGCTGCTGATGCACTTGGCACATGGATGCGCCCTTCTCTCTGTGCTTCCGCCCTGCACCGCAACAGACTCCACGGGGTTTGACGGTCGTCTGTGCGGTGTCAGCTGTTTCAAACTCCTCGACTCCTCTCCACTCGTCCTGTCGGCGGCACCTGACGCACCCCAATTTCCTCCATGTACATGCACCGCCCCTCGTTCCCTCCCCAATCACTCATTCCGCGCTTCCGGAGTGCTTTACTCATCGTTTGCCCGACGCGACATCTGCCCTGCCGCGCAAAGTCGAAGATCTGGCCCTGCCCTGCGCGCGTCGTCTCGAATCAGCGGCTGCCTTTCGTCGACAAGGTTCCGCTAGTCTGGCGGACGCCGGAGCGCTAGCGCGGCGTGACACTCCTGTACCCGGCCGGAGACATCTGCTGCCTCGTACTTACAACACAGCCCGTCAGGCATCATCTTTTGTCGGCATTCGTCCATTGGTGTTCGTCGTATCTCCTTTGTGATAACACCCTGAGACATCCATCGTCTCCGACGTCCTTTCTGCCTTTCATACCACCTGCATCGTGCTGCTGGTGGATTTCTTGTCGCGGCAGCCATCCGCGCCAGTGCAGCCTTCCGCGGCTTTGTCATCCGCCGCTACCACCCCACACCCGCGAACTAAAGACTCTTGGGCGGCGCCGCACCCCTCCACATATTCCCGCAACATCACTCCCACGTGCCTCTCCCAATACCTGCAACCCACGCGCCCAATCTGTCAACGCCCTTCTCGACCCATCGCGCCGCTCGTTCCAACCGAATCCCACCGCTGCCCACCTTCCCGAGCTCTGCCGGCCCACCTACCTTCATCAACATCCGCTCGGCGGAGCATTCGATACGCCTCACGGGCTGTCACGAAGGCAGGGGTGTCCTCATCCCGCCTTCAAGGACAGCCTTGAGTACCGCCCAGCGTGGCACAACCCAACCATAGCCGTGGCGCCTCCGTGCCGGACGCATCACCACGCCCACCACCCTCCCCCCACCCCGCAGACATGGCGTCTCCCGCCCCGATGCTGCGACCGCCGAAGAAGGGCCCACGGCTAGGCCTGTCGATTCCCGCTTCCCCCAGCCAGCGTCCCGTCAGCAACAATGCCGCACCGCCCGTGCCCGAGCACAGCGTTGCCCTCCCTCCCCTCGCCATGCAACCCCGCCAGCTCCCCAAACTCAGCCTCGCTACACCCATGGGCTCGACGCAAACACCACAAGAGAACCAGCAGGCCAGACGGAGAGGGCCGCCGTTGACTCTGACGGGCGTCCAGGTGTCGAGCAATAGTGACGACTCTGCTCACAGCAGGACGAACAGTTTCGGCACAAGTAACAATGGCTCCATCTCCACCTCCTCGGACATGTCGAGCGTGCTCAACTTTGAGAGTATAATACGAGGGGGCGGGCATGAGCCGGGCTCTGCCGACAGCTCTGGACAATCGAGCGGCGAGCCCATGGCGAGGGAGAATAGCATGCAGGGTTTGGATGTTGATCTGGAGAAGCTGAGTCTGGAGAGGGGCAGAGCGCTGGATGTACAGGATTTGGATGATAATGGATGGAAGGCGGCGAAGAGAGAAGGGAAAATCCTCGAGCTGGGCAGTCTGGGAGAGGGATCAGGTGGTGCAGTCACAAAGTGCAAATTGGAGGGCGGCAAGACCGTGTTCGCCTTGAAGGTATGTGTGCAAACTTGCCCAGTAATGACGTGTTGCTAATTGACATTCCCCCAGATCATCACCACCGACCCCGACCCGGACGTCAAGAAGCAAATCGTTCGCGAGCTCTCCTTCAACAAATCCTGCGCCAGCGAGCACATTTGCGAATACTACGGCGCCTTTATGGACGACCAAGCCGGCACCATCGGCATCAGCATGGAATTCTGCGAAGGCGGCTCCCTCGACTCCGTCTACCGCGAAGTCAAAGCGCAAGGCGGGCGTACGGGCGAGAAGGTGCTAGGCAAAATCGCCGAGGGCGTGCTCAACGGCCTCACGTACTTGCACAGCCACCGCATCATCCACCGCGACATCAAGCCCAGCAACATCCTGCTCACGCGCAAGGGCAAAGTCAAGCTGTGCGATTTCGGTGTGAGTGGGGAGTTTGGGACGAAAGGCGACGCGAATACTTTCATCGGCACGTCGTACTATATGGCGCCCGAGCGCATCACGGGCCAGTCGTACAACATCACGTCGGATGTGTGGTCGCTGGGCGTGACGATGTTGGAGGTGGCGCAGCATCGCTTCCCCTTTCCCGCCGACGGCACGGAGATGAACCCGCGCGCCGGCCTGATCGATTTGCTCACGTATATTGTTCGCCAGCCGCTGCCGAAGTTAAAGGACGAGCCGGACACGGGGGTGAAGTGGAGTGAACAGTTCAAGTACTTTGTCGAGTGCTGGTGAGTCGCTTGCCCCTTTCTTTACCTTCCTACGAAAGACGTGCTAATTGTTTTGCGACAGTTTGGAGAAGGACCCGGCCCGTCGCGCGACTCCGTGGCGTATGCTGGAGCACCCTTGGATGGAGGAGATGAAGAGGAAAAAGGTCGATATCGAGAGATTTCTTCGCACCGTTTGGGACTGGAAGGATTGATGTTGGCGAGTGGAGTGTTGGTGCCTTTACGATCTCGGTGGCAAGGCCGGCGCCGCGGATGAGCGTGCTGCTGCTGCAGGACATCCACGGATGGACACGGCGAGGAGAAGGGGCTGCCTCGCTACGGACATGAGGCTTTGTATGAATTGGCTCAATGAGATCGAAGTGATATTGACTCAAACATGATCTTTCACCACGTGCGCTGTACGTTCATGTGATGAGTATGACTTCATGCATGGGATTGAACCGCTTGGATTGAAGCAAAACAGAATCTATACACGCTTTTTGGAGTCTCCCTTTTCCATGCCCTCTACGCCTCGTTCATCTCGTGCGTTTCGAAGTGTCGTTGGAAGAGTCGGATTGGCATCCGCTCAATTCCAGAAGTCGCTCGAATTCGTCAAGTCGCGCACGCGGAACCCAGCCTCGCGCATCTCCCTGACTGCTTCTGGCCCTCGCATTGCTACGCCTGAGGCGAGGCGCCAGGGCACATCTAACCTGTCCATTACAATCTCCACGACCTGCACACTTGTTGGATTCTGCACGCGATCAAGAGCGAGAATGGCATCCAGCTCCGCTTTCGTGTGCGCCTTGTGGAAGCACTTCTTCGCCTGCGCTGGCGGCATGTTGAAGAATGGAAGCATATGCTCGTAGTTGAAGGGCACGATGTCGTTGTAGCTGCACTCTGCGCCGTGAATGACACGCTCGATCGTGTACCCGGCATTGTTGATGAGGAAGATGACCGGCGCCAGCTTCTGCTTCACCATATTCCCGATTTCCTGGCACGTCAACATCAGGCTGCCGTCGCCGGTGATGAGCAGCGTGCGGCCGCGCGGAGTGCCTTGCTTCTCTGCGCGGTCGGCGAGCGCTAGGTCGGCTCCCAGAGCTGCGGGCGTGGCGTACCCGATGCTGCCGTAGTAGGTTTGCGTGATCCAGTGCGTGTCTGCCGGGAAGGTCGCATCGGGAAGGCCAAAGGCGGCGGTGCCGGTTTCGCCGAAGACGACGTCGTGGGGGCGGAACCAGTCGGCCAGACGGTGCCAGATCCAGGATTGCGTGATGAGTTTCGAGTCGGCATCTTCCTCTGGTAGGGCAGGCGGGAGGGTGTGTTTTGGATTTTTGACGTGCGGGATTTTGGAGGGGTCGGCGAGGTCGATGAGGCGTTTGGTGACTGCTTTGAGGGGGACATTGGGGAGCTTCCAGGCGTTGATTTGCACGTCCTCGGTGTTGATGTAGGCTGCATTGGTGGGGATCTTGCGCGTGAAGCCTCCGGTGTTTGTGTCGCACGGGAGATTGCCCAGGACCAGCACGAAATCGTGCTTTTGGAATGCTTCATGGACGCCTGGGGCTGATGGGATGCCGTTGTAGAGGGCTGCGTAGTGCTCGTTTGTCGCATCGATGATCCCTTTCGCCATGTTAGAGTCATAAGTGGGAATCTGAAGCTTGTTCACGAGCTGCTTCGCTTCCTCGACGGCTTGTCGTCTTTGTACTAGGCAATCGACAAACAGCGCGGGATTGTGACTGGATTCGAGAGCCTGGAGGATCGTCTTGGCCGCATCGTCTATGACTTTGGGATCCACTTCCGGCTCGACGTTCAGAGGCGTTTGCAATGCTTTCGATGGAACATGGACGTCCACGAGGTCGATGGGAAGGAAGATGTAGACGGGGCCGGATTTGATGAAGCACTCGCGCAACACGCGGTCGATCTCTTCGGCCGCACCCTTTGCAGTTTGCAGTTCAGCAGCGGCAACTCTGAATTCTCTGGATGCGTTGTTGAACATCTGGTGATTAGGGCTTTGTCCGATGGAATGGTGGATCATCATGCGACCGCGCTGCATCTTGAGAGATGTCTGGCCGACAACATGAATCACCTTCACCTGTTCCGTCATGCTCCCAGCAATAGCGTTTAAGGCCGAGAGCTCTCCGACTCCATGCGTGGTGATGAGGCAGCCAGCTCCATTGACGCGAGCGTAGCCATCGGCGCTATATGCGGCGTTGAGCTCGTTCGTGTTGCCAACCCATTCGAGACCATCGACGTTGTATATCTGGTCGCACGCGGTGAGATTGAAGTCTCCTGTGGAAGGTCAGCGTTTGATCACACAACTATTGAAGGGGCACAAAGGGCGTGCCTGGAACGCCGAAGATCTTCGTCACGCCAACTTGGTGCTGATGTTAACGTCAGCAATCAATGCGTTTTTTGCGGTGGTGAAGTACACACGATCCGCTCCCAGAGATACCTAGCCAATGGAACGGTGTCTTCATGGCTGCCGTTTGAGTGGGTTCCGTTGGTGATCGCCATGACTGTCGATCGGTGCAGCAACCACTACGTAGGACCAGGCTGAAGCGTGTGGAATGTTTGGAAGAGAAGAATAAAGAGAGCGTGAAGTTGCCTCAGCCTCGACCCGGCGTTCTAGCCCGGCCTCGTCCGCCAATAGCCGAATGTAAGCGGCCAGATTCAGCAGGCCGAGCCACTTGGCGTTGAGCTTTTTTCGTAAGGTACGCGCAGCGAATAGAGCCTCGTATGAAGTTGTTCCATCCCTCGCTCATCATCTGTTCACGACGCTTGTGCATCAGACTGAGAAAGCCTTGTGCCGTCGGACTACCTGCAGGAACAAGCAGGCGAGCGGCCGACATCAATAATGTAATCACTGCAACTCACACGTCTTGCCAGACTGGATGGCGCATCCCGCTGTCAACGACACAGCAACGAATCTCGCGGATGAGGTGTTTCACACCCTCATAGACCGTAAGCCAGAAAGAACTGCCACCCATCGATCAGGCAGGATCGGACGGTGAGTATGATACATCGCTGGATCGAATACGTGGCGCGCCACTACGGTGTCCACAGCCCCGGGCCTGCTATCCTACAAGGGCAAGGCTGACTCGTCTCTGCATGGACTCTGCGGCATCTCTTGACGACCACAGACCACGAGACGTACAAGCATTACCGTGGGCTGTATCTTGGCCTCAAGCAGAAACGCGAACGCGGCGAGCGGAGATTCAAGACCAGCGACAAGGACGACATGCTCTGGGTTTCGGATGCTGCGCTGTCGCTCGTCCGGAGGCTCGCAGGGGTTAAGGCACCGACCCGCAAGACGGCGAGCAAGGCAAAATCTGGGAAGGACTGTCTCCAGGCTCAAGTGGCGCACATGAAGAAGGAACCCGACAAGTATACCGCCGAGACCAAAGCGAGAACTCGGAGATACTGGAACATCCTCCAGAGGCAGGGGGAGATGGCATTGGCACGACACTTGAAGCGATGTTTTATTAAACTTGGCCTGCACAAATCCCTAAAAGTGCGAGAATACTGGATGCAGTGCAATCAGCCATTTGTCGCATTAGGTACGTTCTTACGAGGATAGTTTTGCATAGAGGAGGTATAATAGTTACGGCGTATGATCACACAGTACAACCCGAAGGAGCACGCTATAGGAGCACTTTCAAGCGCCTCCTCTACCTCGTCTCTCGACGTGGTGTGCTCATTGGCTTGTCGCTCTTCTTTGTCTGGTAAGATGACCAGGAGTCTTGTCATCGCTCGTCCACCAACTCCTTCACTGCTCTATGTAGGTATGATCGTCCTTGCGATGACGCAGCTCATCTTGATCTGCTCGGGTTCGCCAGGCAATCCTCCTGTCAACGCAGCGTGATGGATGCGCCGCGAGCTCGGCGGGTGAAGTCTGCGAGAACTTGGCAGGAGAGAGGATGCAATCTCCCCCTTGCCTATTCTCGCTACTACTTCTCCTCTCTATACACGCTCCCACAGCCAATAACGCGAATGTGTATAGGGCCCGAAATTCTCCTGTAATCTCTAAACGACTTGGCTCGACATCTTGGACAGTAAGTTCTGCACTGGCCAGAGTCTTGGGTTCATGCACGGCAGCGAATCCGGCTTTAGCGAGGCACAGCCGTGCCCCTTTGTGGCGCCACCCGACTTCACTTGCATTACGCACGTAGGTAATACGAAGTACACTGCTAAATATATAAGAACCAACACTTCCTCTACTTGCGATTCTGATTCCCATTCCATCAACAAATCCTTGACAGTTCAATCATCGACAATTCACTTCTCACCAACAACGACAAACATGTTGTTCTCCAACCTCTTCTTCCTCCTTGTCTCCGCCTTCGCGGCCTGCGCCTACGGCAAGAAATTCGGCATTTCCATGCAGGTCGACGGCAACTTTGTCCCTTTGGCGCCTATCTTCAACGCCACTAAGCCAAACATCGTTTTCAAGAGCAAGGTTTCGTCCAACGCTCAATGTACCACTGCTCTCCGACGGCTTAATCTTCGTCCGTGCTAACCAATACAGTTCAATCCTACCGCAACCGCAAGCATTTCGGCATCAATGTGAACACGACGAAGGGGGTGTATGGACTGCAGATTCCACAAGTGGCGGACAACTAGCACGTTCTTCCCGATTTTTACCCTCCTACCTACCCACGCTAACTCTAGAGTTGTAGCGGGCTTGCTCTCCCGATCTACGGCCAGTTGAAGACCAAGTCCAGACAATTCACCATCGTGAATGGAACGATCGATGTGGTGCCGCAAGCAGCCCTTGATCAACTTTACGGTAAGTCTATCCGTGGAGAATGGATGATCCAATCTGATTCGGTTTCGTGCAGCGTGCAAAGACAAGGCCAACGGTGTAGAGGGCATCTTCCTCAAGTTCGGCGTGCCATCTCAACCCAACCTGCTTCCCCCGAAGGGATGCACCCCGACCGTGTTGAAACAGGTCTTTTGAAGACCGTGACCGGTCTGAGCATCGACGCTCGTGAAGACCAGTGTCGCTGTAGGAGCAGAGGTGGAGGTTCGTGATTGCTACACCGAAATGTAATAGTAGCTGAATCTATGGGATTTCCTGGGTTGGACGGTGTTTTTGATTTTGCAATTTTGATAGAAAATACCTGCTGCGAAACCCATGGGAACGCAACTTATCTGGCCTCATCTTTCAACACCCTCGTATACAAGGCTGCCTCTATGAGGAATGCGTGTGCACTGATTGGCTGCGCTGTTCGGATGTTGCCGAGAAGCCCTAACTTGGAACCAGTTACGAATCCCCCATCCGCCCAGCGTCATCTTCAAGGCATTTAGGAGCCTGCTTCCCGTAAATCACACTCCCTGTCGCCCATCCACCGCCGCCCTTCCCACAGTCACTCTCTCACTACACGAGAAACACCCCCTTTCCCCTTTTACGTGGCTCCGCGAGCAATCGCGCAAACTGTCAACTTCCCGGGTAGGCCGCACCTTGCGAGCCAACAATAGACCACCTTCCCCCAACATGGCGGATTCAACGACAGCCTCCGCACCGAAGCCGAGCAGCAGCGTGAAGCTCGTCCTCCTCGGCGAGGCCGCAGTGGGAAAGGTGAGCATCCCGCACCGCACAACAAGAAGCTATCCCACCTTCTAACCCGCCACCACAGTCCTCCCTCGTCCTCCGCTTCGTGAACAACGACTTCCAGCCCAACAAAGAACCTACTATCGGCGCCGCCTTCCTCACGCAAAAATGCCAGCTGCCGAACCGCATCATCAAATTCGAAATCTGGGACACTGCGGGGCAGGAGCGCTTCGCCAGCCTGGCGCCCATGTACTATCGCAATGCGCAGGCCGCGCTGGTAGTCTACGACATCACGAAACCGAGCAGTCTCGTCAAAGCGAAGCATTGGGTGGCGGAACTACAGCGACAGGCGTCACCGGGGATTGTCATCGCCCTCGTGGGCAATAAACTGGATCTCTGCGAAGATGATGGACCCGAGCAAGATCAGCAAGATGGCGAGGGCGTGGATGAGCAGCAGGAGGATGAGGTGGCGAGGAAGGTCAGCACGGAGGAGGCAAAGGCATACGCGGAGGAGGAGAGCTTGCTGTTCTTCGAGACGAGTGCGAAGACGGGTCACAATGTGGGCGAGGTGTTCACCGCGATAGCGAATGGCATTCCCGAGGCGAGTTTGAAGGGTCCGAAGGGCGCGGGCGCCGGCACGCAGTCTGCTATTAGCGCTGCGCAGGACAGCACCCGGGTCAACCTGAACGCGGGCAATGGAAATGCAGGGCCGAAGGAGGGTTGTGCTTGTTAGTAGTTGTGGGAGAATAGGCGTCTGGACAGAGACAATTTAATTTAAGCGTATGAGGGAGCTTCTCCGCGATGCACGATGAAACTGTGCAACAGATCACTTCGAGTCAAGATCCGCTGCACACGGTGCCGATTGCTACCCGTGAATTGATCCAAATCACCTGTTGCTGAGCGTGGTTGTTCTGGACCCTGAGGATCTCGCGTGCGCCATGTAGCCGACATTAACTAGTCACGCCGCGCTACAGTATCTCCACTGATGGACCACATCGAAGTTCTCTAACACCCAACACCTACATCACTTCCAGGACGGACTTCACTGTATCCATCAGATATGCCATACTACGGCCCCGGAATGCCCTGGTACGGCCGTGGGGCGGGCAACATCCAAGCCGCGCAGCAAGGACAGGCGCGCATGGCCGAAGATCTCGAAGCGAATCATCAGCCCGTCAGACCCTCCTTGACTCGAAGTCTGACCTGCCCAACGTGCCAGAAATGCGAGGACCCTTCGCACGAGCGATACTACTTCGCGGGTGGACGAGGCGGCGCGGCGAGCTACACTGCTGCTCCGGCCCATCACTTCCAGCAGCTCGATTCCGCTGCGGAGGCTTCGTTCAAAAGCATTCGGAATGGCACGTGCGAGGCGACTGCGAAGACTCAGGGGCGAGGTGGGCTGGGGAATTATGCTGCGGGTCTGGTTGAGAGGGAGGAGGATGCGAAGCGGAAGGGTCGCAAATTGGACTCGCAGCGTGAGAGGTTGCGGCTGGATGTTGAGAAGGGGGTTGATGATGCGTTGGCTATGCCGGCCAGGGCGAAGCTGCCTCTCAGCAGTCCGAAAGATGTCAGCGCCCCGGGTGCCAGGTGAGGTGGAAGTCGGAAAGAAGAGAATCATCACTCCTGGGCAGCATCTGCGACTGGTCACCGTTTCATCCTGGCCGTTCACCTGATGGACCTGTAGAGTATGGGTGTCTGGCTGGTGATACCGGTGGACTGCACATGGAAATGGCTGGGCCCAACGCAATCTCAACAGTTGAGACGCTCAGCACGTGACTCAGCCGACTCGGGCCCTTTACAATGGGATACACTCGAATCCAACCATACGTCTGGTACCAGAGGGACAGGAGGAGTTCGCGACGCTTCCAATACTCGAGTTGTCGCCCGGAACATTATCGAGGTGAATGTGCGATTCCGACTCCCTAGCAACGCAGCCCGTTCGTTCCTTCCGCATTCGTCGGCGTGCGACGCCAGGTGTAAACGGCGCAGGGTTGCCACCAGAGATGGACAACACCATCTATCCCCGTCTCCTGCATTCACATACCATGGCTGGGAAGTATCCTTTCGACGAGCCCACGCTACGGCCGACTTACGTCCCCCATCCGTCGCACTTCAAATACATCCTTATGAAGCAGAACATGACGGCGCCTTACCCACTTCCTCCACTACCATTCGGCGAACTCACCCCTGGGTCTCAAGCGACCTACCCGACGTCAACGCGGGTTGTGCCAACACAAACTGGAGTTCCTCCGACCATCACACCTCGCGGAATCAAAGACTTCGACGTCGTCGATTGGCTCGAACCCGACAGCTACATCGACGTCCCGTGCGATGCGTACACCACGGCAATCAACAAGCTCACGATCGCTGGACCTGTTTACCGCAACAAGAACGGCGACTTGGTGTGGTTCGATGATGTGGAGTGGGATGAGCAGGTGCGCTTGCTGACGGCGATGTCGATGCCGATTATCGACAAGGCGGCATTCATCAAGGCGATGGGAGCAGGAAATCCTCAGTCTGCCACAGGTCCAGGTCAAATCGGTGCGTTTCAAGCGCAAGCGTTGAGCATACCGAATGTCGATGGTGCGGCGGATGCTACGGGCACGGCGGAGGAGCAAGAGCGCAGTGGAAAGGGGGTGCTGGAACCAGGCGGATGCTCGAACGCGATGTTACTCGACGACGACAACCCCCGGAAAGACTCACTACTTCTCCCAACGCCACTCCCAAAGACACCACCCTCGCAGATGAATCCACAAGCCCTTTTGCAAGTAATGAGAAGCGCCAGCGTCGCCACAACTCGAGGCTTCGTAGCAACCAACCCGCACCCCGACAGCGTCCCGCGGAAAGGGATGGCAAATTCCTACGAGCGGATTGGATACGGCGATGTTCGAGGATGTACGATTCGAAGACAGATGCCGGGGATTGAATGGGCGAGGCATGCATCGAAGATGGAGGTGTCGTTGGAGATGCACTTGATGCTGGAATTCGGGGTGGAGAAATGCTTCAGGCCGCGGGTGAATGATGTACGTGCGGAGCAGTCCCGGTGGGCCACACTGGGTAGGGCCCGGAGGGCGAGGCTTGGGAGCATGTAAAAGAGACGCTATGGAAGGGGGATGGACAGTGAAGGAGCGACATTCGTTTGGCCGTATGGAATGTTGGCAGGGACTGGATATGGCTTGCCTGTGGGGAAGCATGGACTAGCAACGGTGATTTGCCTAGGCTATTGCTTCGCGTACTATTACACATACTGTATATGCGTCAATGCCAATTTCCTTCATCGACCAGTCGCATGAACATTGAATGTCCCCTACAGGGGAGATTGGCGTGCCTTCCGCTGGCTCGCGTCGCGGCGGCGGGAAAACCCGAAGCCCCGACTCGGACAAGGCGTCGAGGGCACAGACCAAGGCGGATCCGTCGAGACTGGACTGTGCCTTATTTACTGTTGCACGGCTTCTCATGCGCCCTCATTCATCCAACTTTGTGCGAGGCCTTGAGACGACGGCGCGGAATACACAACCAGCGGGGCACCTGCTGTGTCTTCATTCACTGCGCGGGGGAAAGAAGAACCACCACGACACTCAACAGGGAAGCCACCCGCCACACTCCTTCTGCCACACCAACCCCAAGGCTTTGATGGGCCTCGTTTGATTGCCCACCAACCTTTCATTCCCCTACGCCCACTTGCCACCTCTCGACTTCTACCGCTCCCCTCCCTGACATCTACCTCGCCTCCACTGGCTCGTGGGAGGCGCCAAGCGGACCGATCACCCTCCCTCCGCACCAACAACACTTCCACCTCCGCGCCTCAACACAACACACTTCGCTCCTGCTGTCTTGATCCCCACACGTCACCATGGCCATGTCGCGCTCACGCCCTCGACACCGCATGTCTTCCGCTTCCAACTCCTCCTCATCCTCCTCCTCTCCCGAACGCGAAGTAGACGATGACAACGACTCCTTCATGCAACAGGCCAACGACTCCCAGTCCTCCCTCGGCATGGACACCTCAGACGACAGCTCCGAAGACGCTGCCGCCCGTCGCGCACACGAACAAAGATGCCGCGTGTCGCCTGTTCACCGCTTGCCCGCCGAGCTGTTGATCGCCATCTTCGCCCGCCTCAACTCCCCCGCCGACCTACAAAGATGTCTGCTGGTGTGTAAAGAGTGGGCGAGGAATAGCGTGGGACTGCTCTGGCATAGACCTGCTATGAGCAACTGGGAGAACATTCACACGGTGGTGCGCTCGATCCGCAAGGCCGACAAGTTCTTTGCCTATCAGGATTTGGTCAAACGACTCAACATGTCCACCTTGACCACCGATGCCAGCGACGGCACGCTGATGGGCATGAGCGAGTGCAAACGCATCGAGCGCCTGACCCTGACCAACTGCTCCAAACTCACGGATCTGAGTGTCCAGCCGCTGGTGGATGGCAATCGTAGCCTGCTTGCCCTCGACGTGACCAGCCTGGAACAACTCACCGATCGCACCCTGAGTACCGTCGCCGAAAACTGTCTCCGTCTGCAGGGTTTAAATGTCACGGGCTGCAGGAAGATCAGCGACGCGGCCATCGCAAACATCGCGCGAAATTGCCGTCATCTGAAGCGGCTCAAGTTCAACAACTGCGCCCAGCTCACCGACACCTCCATCATGATCATTGCCGCGCACAGCACGCATCTCCTCGAAATCGACCTCTACGGCCTGCACCGTCTTGAATCGCCTGCAGTCACTGCGCTCCTAACCTCCTGCCCACACCTCCGGGAAATGCGGCTTGCGCATTGCACCCGCATCACCGACTCGGCCTTCCTCGATCTTCCTCCCGGCCTAGACACGCCCCTGACCTTCGACGCCCTCCGCATCCTCGATCTCACCGACTGCAACGAGCTAGGCGACAAGTCTATCGAGAAAATCATCCAATGCGCCCCGCGCCTTCGTAACTTGATCCTCGCCAAGTGCCGCCACATCACCGACCGCGCCGTCTTCGCCATCACGCGTCTCGGCAAGAATCTCCACTACATCCACCTCGGGCACTGCAATCGCATTACTGACGCATCGGTGGAAGCGCTGGCGAAGAGCTGCACTCGTATCAGATACATTGATCTCGCTTGCTGCAATAACCTCTCGGACGTCAGCGTGATCAAGCTGGCTGGTTTGCCGAAGTTGAAGCGGATTGGCCTGGTCAAGTGCGCTGGCATTACGGATCACAGTCTGAACGCTCTTGCCATGGGCGAGGTGCGGAATGGAAGGCGATTGGGTGGGGTGAGTGTGTTGGAGCGTGTGCACCTTAGTTATTGCACGCTTTTGACAGTAGAGGTAAGTCGACACGGTGACTATGCTCGTTGAAGAAAATACTGACTATCTGCAGGGCGTCCACACCCTCCTCTCTCACTGCCCGAAACTCACCCACCTCTCCCTCACGGGCGTTCAGGAATTCCTACGCGACGAGCTGCTCTCCTTCTGCCGCCGAGCGCCCCAGGAGTTCAACGACCACCAGCGCGATGTCTTTTGCGTATTCTCCGGCAACGGCGTGCGAGATCTGAGACAATACCTCGACGCCCAGCGAACACAAGCAGCCATTGTAGCCGCTGCGACTGCCGCCGCAGCCGCTGCACAGGGCCCAGGCGAAGGCAGCGTCACGATGGGCGAAGGGAGCGACCTGGGAGACGGAGACGACAGAGACGCACACAGCGTTAGCGGAGAGGACGGGACGATGATGGTCAATGTGCACCCCAACCTCTTCCACGCCGCTGGCACTGCGCCTGCGGTTTCTGCGCCTACCGCTGCAGGTGGTGGGAATGGGGCCGGTGGTGCCATGCATTATCCTGCTCTCCCGGGCCAGACGTACACATGGCAGCCGCAGCCGCATCATCAGCATCAACATCATTGGACCCATCAGCAACCGCAGTATCCGCACTACGCTCAGTATCACGCAACAGGCAACAACGCCAACACGAGCACAACGACAACCGCCGGCCCCGCAAATCTCAGCTCCAGCGCCCCCGCTTCTACCACAGGCGGCCCATCCGGTGCCTTCCTGTGGAATGGCCCGCCCGCACCCCCGCCGCATCTCTCCCACCACCCTCTCGCCGCTGCCGCCGCCGCCGGCACTGCCGGCCCTGCCGCTGGCGGCGGAGGAGCGCAGCATGTGACGGGCATGATGGGCGCGGCGATGCTGGATGATGTCGACGAGGCTTTTGGCGAGGAGGAGGAGGAGAGTGAGATGTTGGGCGATTAGACTTGGGAGGAAGTTGGACTTGCACGGCATTGCTTATGTTGATATGTCCTTTTCTGCTTCTGGAATGCTGGGTTGGTTCTGGGTCTGGTGACGAACGGGCGAGCGAGCGAAGGCACGAATGGATGATGGATGGATGAAAGAGGATCATGGCTTAGATATGCAGCGACTTTCGTTTTGGTTCTTTTTCGTTCGTGGAGGTCTCTCGCTTCTGCCGATGGCTGCAGTCGTGCTTAAGCAGAAGGCGAGAAAGGCGATACTTTAGATGGTATTCCAACGTCTACCACATGCTAGATTTCATTACCAAAACACCTTCCTGCCCTTCATCAAAAGTCACCCAACCCACCCCAGGATCAACACCTCCAATTGCCGAAAAGCAAGCAAGAGACAAAATTCAATTCACCAAACAAAGCAACTCCTGCTCGAGGATAAACTTGCCCTCCTTGTACTTCTCACTACTCTCAAAGGCACGATCATACTTCCACCCCACCACCTCGCGGCACTGCCGGCACGAAATGTCGCGCACCACGTGCTTGCCCGTCGTCATGTTGCGCTCGCCCGCCGGGCCCTCGGCGATGTTCACCACGCTGTTGAAGAGGAAGGCTTTGCCGTGCTGGCCGCGGAAGTTCTGGGGTTACGTTAGAGAGGGTGGGCACATTGGAAGATGGATGGGATTTCTGGGATTACCCGACTTATTATCTCGTCGTGGTCGGCTAGATGGGTTTTGCACGTTTTGCAGCCGTAGATTTTGGGGGAGGTGAGGTAGACGTTGTAGATGAGGCCCATGCTTGCCTTTGCCTTTGCGTGGTTGGAGGTTGAGGGCGGGGCGGGAGTGAGTGGTTGGTTGGGTCTTTGCCTTGCCCGGCCTTGGGGGGGGCGTTTCGTTGCGCCCGCGGTTGATGTCTTTTGCAATCACTCGAGGGGGTTTTGTCGAGATGGGAATACTTCTGGCGGCTCCGGACGGAAGAGGCACGGAGCCGATGGCAAAGAGCGGGCTGCGTGTTCACTGCTGCAGCGGAGGGCAAGAGCAGAGCGAAGCTCCGTGCAAAGCTGAGATGTCGTCTGCAGAGCAGAGTGGAGGGATGAGTCGATGGGATCAGCAGGGCTAAATAGGAGTCCGGTATGAAGCGGTTGTAGCAGGGTGTGATGGGCGAGGAAAGAGAGAGGTGAGGTTGATGGCCGCCTGTTCGTCACCTGAGACACAGGGTCTGGCTGGGTTGGCACGAGGTGGGGGCGGGGCAAACGGCGTGCACCCGCTTCATGCTGCCTCAGGCTGATTTGATGATGCATACGTCCACTTATTGGTGCCCACAATAACAATGACGATGCGCACATCTACGAGTAGCCTGGCCACGTCGACAATTGGGGAGATTGGAAGATTGAACACTGACGATCGGAAGAAACGCTTTTACATACAACACTACAGTCAGTGCTCGTAAGAAATGGTATAGCGCTATGCAAAAACCATCGACCAGCAAAAGCAAAGCAAAAAGTAGACACAGAACCCATTCGAACCAGTTCGTGAAACCCGGTTCCAGCGTGGACCAGAGAGCCCTCGTGGTCGATCGTGAATAGGAGAGGAAACGAGCAAAGTGAAGGTAGTGGTGGTGTAGGGCGAGAACTGCCGGAATCTGAGCTGGATAGTAGCGGATCGGAAGCGACGAGCGGATAGGAGATGAAAGTAAGGGACGGTCGATGGTGGTGGTTTTTGAAGTAGGGAGGGTGAGGTGGAGTGCACGCCGGAGTCGAGAGGGGAGCTGTCGTGAATGATTAACCCGAATGGCTGAGCGCCGCCGAAAGTCGTCGTGATGATTTCATAAGCCATAAAGACGGAGGTTGAGTTGCCTGAGGATCGGAAATCGGTGGAGTCGCAGGTGAGCGGGCTTCAGATGCGCGTGGTCGTCGCCTCGTCTAATGTCCCAGCAGCACCGGAGGAATGGGACGAGAGGCCGTCTGGGTCGGGCTGAACGTCGATCCATAACCGTTGGCGCGCTACGCCGCAGCCTCGGGGATCTGACTCCGGCGCATCTTCTCCGCCTCGAGGTTCTCGTAGAGCAGGTAGAGCGCTTTCTCGTTGGCGCTTGGTCCGCCGGTGATGGTGAACATACGCTCGCCCGTCTCGTCGTGAGGGGCTTTGGCGATGGAGATGCGAGCCCCCGACGACTTGCGGATCTCGGAGATCTTGCTGCCACCACGGCCGATGATGCAGCCCACCATGTCCGCGGGGATGCTGATGTTTTGCGTCTGAATGTCTTCGCCTTCCTCCAGCACCGGCTGAGCAAGGTCAGGAGGGGTAGCGCGACGGGGGCGTTCGGTATAGGGAGCAGCGGCGGCACCGCCAGTGAAATCGTTGCCGTTTCCAGTGCGGTTGAAGCTGCGAGGTGGAGCATATCCTCCATCTCCGTTCAAGGGCGGAGCTGCTGCGCCACCCTGCACACGCACAGCGGGACTGTACAGAACAGTGCCGTAGCCACGCTGCTCGTCATCCACCAGGCACTTGCCAATCTCCCACACGGCCCTTTGGATACCCTCGGGCGTGCCCTGCACTTCAACGATACGCTCGGTCGACTGCGGCAGCATTTCCTTCTGCGCCACCATGCGCACGCCGGAGGCGTCCTGGATTTGCTTGATCTTGAGACCCTGTCGGCCAATGATCGTGCCCATCTGGTTGTGTGAGATCAGGAGACGAATGGCTGCGATGGGTTAGTGGATGCAATGTGTGAGGTGGATGGAGGGGAAGACGTACGGTGAGTGTTGGGATTTGAGATGACTCCTCCCATTCCCACCTGCGGCGCTCCTTTCACCAAGCCATCAGCCACCAAGCCATAGGCCTCGGCGATGCCCGTCAAGACACCAGTGACGGTCAAGACGCGATCGTGGACGCCGGGGACGACCTTGCTGACGCCAGCACGCACGCCAGTCTTGTCGCGCAGGTCTGCCACATTCTGGCCCGCCTTGCCGATGATGACACCGGCCTCCTTGGAGGTGACAATGGCACGGAGGGTGATTTGCGACACGGCGTACTCTTCTTCGGTCCGCTGGCGGTCATCGGTGTTGAGAGAGCCAATCTTATCGGCGACGTTGTCGATACCCGAGTCGATGGCGGGGGAAGCGTCTTCGGCAGACATGTTGGATGGTTGGAGAGGGGAGGGTAGACGTAGGTGATCTCCAGGTAGGGGGCAGAAGACGCAGGGGGAAGGGCGGGTGGGGTGCGGTCAAGCTGGGGATGCGTTGGTCAGTACAGATGACAGCTGCGTTCGCCGAAGTGGGGTGCATTGACTTACAATTTTCTCGTTGCCGGGAAGCGGAGAGCAGGGAGAGGAGGGGGAGGTGGCGGGGCAGTTGAAGAGGGTGGAGTGGTGGGATTGAGGAGACAATGCTGGCTTATCTGGCCCGTATCATGGATTGTGATGAGGGTGGAGGAGGGGGGGAGAAAGGGTGGAGAAGGGAGAGGGAAGAGGTGGTGTTGAAAGCTCGAGAAATTTTGGGCAAGAAGTATCGTCCCCCCTCCCGTCGAAATTCAGAAGTGGCAGGAGCAATGGCGCACGTTCATTGGCTAAGCATGCGTGGGAAGGTACGTTGTCAGATGTACCGAAACTACGATGCTGATCTTCACGTGTGGCGATTTTGGCTAAATCCTTGTGATTCTGGCCTGCAGGCCGGTGTTTGATGGTTCTATCTATGTTAGCCACAGCCATGGACGAGCAGTCGAGGTGGCTCGCTCGCTCTACAACGTTCCTTCGCACTGGATGGAGCTATCGCTGCCCGAATCCAGACAGATTTCAGCAGCAGCAATGTCAGTCCAGCTCGCCGGCCTGCGCCATCTTCCGCATGGCTTCAATGGACGAGTGAACGGCAGTCTGCGAGCTTTTGACGTACTCCTGGAACACCTTCTTTTCCTCTTCGCTTCCAGCCTCAATGTCTGGTCGTCTCTGTAGCGCTCTCGTAATCAGCCTCGTCGCTCCTTCATCTCACACGTATATTCAACATACCCATTCGAACCTGTGACAACACATGACACTCGGTTAGTTATGTCCCCTGGTAATCTCCATGCGGATCACATACGTATAAGTCATATGATAATCATGCTCCGTCAGACCCGGACCATCAGAAATGGTGTTCGTGATGACAGCACCGTCCGTCTGGATAAAGTCGACCTTCGTTCACATTGTCAATGATGTCTGTGCAAGATCACCAGATTGTAAGGTAAGACAGAACCAACCTTGGTAGGAGGATACCTATCCCACCCAAATCATCAGCATACATCCTAACCCTTCCCTCCGTCACGGACATCCCGCACTTACAACTTGCAAACCTCCCTCATAGTCCTAGCCTCCTTCCCCATGTACGCGCCAAAGTGCGCATCGCGCGTCACCTCATTTTCCTTGTCCTCGATGACATCGGTACCCTTGATGACGGGGACAAAGTCCTGCGCCCGGCGCACCTTCCGCTGCAGCCCCTTCCAGATTTGCGCGCGAGTGAGGACGGGAGATGCACCCGGCGGGTTGATGGGTTCCGAGTAGGCGCAGTGGATGATGGCCATGGTGGCTGATGTGTCAATCTGTGGTTGCGTTGGAGGGAGGGATTGGGCGTAGAAGGTTGGGATGATTTATAACAACAAAGTAAGATACCTTACATGGGCGTTCCGGAGTTTGACCCCACCTTGAAGTCTCACTTCTCGGCACCGCGCGATGGAGCATCTACCGGTGACGAAACTCGAGATGAATTGCGATTGCGAATCACTTGCAATTTAGCGAGAAGATTTACTCGGTGACAAGCAAGGCTTCGAGAGCGGGAGGCGGCTGTGCATAGGGCTACGTAGTCGAAGCTGTGTTGTTGGCAGCCATCCCAGCCTTGCTTGATCCTATCCCAACCACCTTACTTCCAAACCAGCCCAGTAGAAGCATCCATCTCGACCAGGAAGACCAGTCCCTACCTCTGCTCCTTCCTCGCCGCCGCCGCCGCAGCCTCTTGCTCGAGCTCGTGCTCCAGCTTCGCCATCAACGGGTTCATCTTCTTCGCCGTCAAACCACTCGACGGCGACGAGCTGCAAGTGGGGACAGAAAACGACGAAGTAGTGCCATCGCAATAGTTCTTGTCGTAGCATCTGTCAACAAGCGATTAGTCCCTCACAGATCTCGAGGCATGCTGGGAACGGAACCACTCACCCGCCATACCGCACCCCGCAAGTAAACCCATCAACGCAGACGGTACTAGGCATGCAGGTTGTACCCGTGGAGGGCCCCATCACCGGCGTCGGCGTGATGGTAGCCGTAGACGGAGCACTGCCCGTGGCAGAAGAGCCAGTTCTGATGGCCGGAGTCTCAGTAATCACACTTGTTATAATCAATCTGCATCGTGACTTACGAGAAGGCCGTCGCTGCCACAACGTGATAGCCGTCCTTTGGCTTCCTGTGATGTCGCATCTTTCGCGCGTCAACTCCGTGACTGGCTGCAGCCGCAAGGGCCATGAGAGCGAGTGCGAGCCTCATTTTGCTATTCGAGTATTCGAGTATCGGCTGGACGAGTTGAAACTGATGAAGGATTGCTGAGAAGAGTGTATAAATTCTTGGGAGGAAGAGCAGCCAAGATGGTCCAGACGGTGGCCGTCGTTTCACATCGCTGGCGAGGAATGATGAGCTCCTTCACTGGAATGTCGTTGCTCAGCCTTGCGCTGCTCGGTAATCGGGCTGCGAATCAATAGGTGCATCGCATCGACGCTCGCGCCACAACACTCGGTCGGGAGTCATCCCCTTCATGAGATCTCGATGCCGGCCAAACCAATTTTTGAAACTCATCTTGACTTGAACGCAAGATGTGAGGTGCGAATTGCCGGCATGCCAAGAGGCCGAGGAATGGATCGTCCGCATAGCAGCAAGGGCGTGCTGCAAAGACAGGTTTTTAACGTATTTCGAAGGAGGCCGTGATCATCTAAGCCAAGCACTCTGCCTTCTTCATCTCCTCAAACTCCCGCTTGATCTCGTCCAGTAAGCCATCGCATGTCAAAACATCCACCGCAGTAGCAGCAAGGGCCTTCGCCGCCCTCTTCGCCAAGCTATGCGCCTCTTCCGTCCGCACGGCCTTTGTGAAATCGGGTGTATGCGGCCCTCCAAGTTGCTTTCCATCGTCGTCCTCGCTTCGGATCCATATGGAGGTGTGCAGACTCGGTAAGGCGTAGCTCACGTTGCCCTGATCTGTAGAAGCCTGGGTGACGGAGGTGATGATATCAATGTCCGGAGCGGGGATGCTGCCGCCGAGGGAATTGAACGCGGCGCGGTAGTGGCGGCCCAGTGCGCGATTGGGAACGTGGTCATCGTACGGCATTTTCCATGTGAGTTTCAACGTGGCGCCTGTGGCGGTTGCGCCGGCTTCGAAGCATGGGACCACACGCTTTTTGAGCTCTTCTAGTCGCGCTTTGGAATGGGCGCGGACGACGAACCGCCCGGCTGCGTAGGCGTGGATGATGTTTGGGCGGGCGCCGCCGTTGGTGATCATTCCTTGGATGATGTCTCCGGGTTGCGTCTGTTGTCTTAAAACGGACACCGCGTTGTAGGCGGTAATAAGGGCGTCCAGGGCATTGATGCCGTCCCAGGGCCTTGCAGCAGCGTGCGCTTCTTTGCCAAAGTACTCCACATTGAATCCATGGTAAGCTGCTGTCCTGATAAGAGCGCCGTCGGGTTCAATGCCAGGGTGAGCCATGATGGAGACATCCACGCCTGCGGGAAAAGCGAAGGGCACTTAGCATGCAGAAGGAGAAATTGTCACGGCTAGCATATACCTTTGTAAGCGCCAGCCTTCAGTAGCTTGATCTTGCCGCCGCCGCCCTCTGTAGAGAAGATTAGCGGATGCAAACTGGGGTGAGAGTAGCGACAGACCTTCGGCTGGCGTTCCGAAAAGCATGACCTTTCCACCTAGCTTCTTCTCTTCCATGAGTTTTGCAGTCGCCAGTGCCGCTCCCAGAGACGTGATAGCAATCAGATTGTGGCCGCAAGCGTGGCCAATGCCGACTAATGCGTCTACGGTGTAGTCAGTAGGCTGATGACTCGGTAGGACATAGCTTGAACGCACCGTATTCAGCATTGAAAGAGACTACCGGCCCGTCACGACGACTGTCGAACTCGGCAACAAAGGCCGTCGCTATGTCATATGCGGATGGGGTAACCTTCCAGCCGTGTTGCTTCTGCAGATACTCCGTCAGGACTCGATGGGCATGAAACTCTTTGAACTGTAATTCGGGTTGGTCGTGAATGCTGAGACTGATTCGTCGAAGGTCATCACTCAGGCTCTCGACCTGTGTTGATATAGCGTCTAGGTGGTTGTGAGAGCTGGGCTGGCTCTCGGAACTAGACAGTGGACGTTCGACCATGACGAACTCTCCGTCCAGGCTGTTTTGGCCGGTGGACTGGGGAGTTGTAGTCATTGATGATGACACGCGATAAGCTCATAGAACTGGCGGTGGTCAATTCATTACGAGATGAAATGCGATGTGGCAGTGGACATGTGGTGGCTGCAACTGTGCCGGAGGGCAATGGTCGATTCATTCAGATCACGTGCATCGGGCCTCGGCGAAGCCGTCACCTTGACAACGCGCTGTTTACGGCGCAAACTTCACGCGCGTCATCCCCCGCCCAGCTTCGCGCATCGAATCACTTTCAATACGCAACGAGGTGCATGACACAATGCAGTAGCTCGGACAAGTCTTAATTAGCCATGTGACGGTGTGCAGGCGAAGGATGTGTGGTGTTGTTAGCGCGCAAGAAAGGCGAATGACGGAGGTGGAAGCGTAGGCGGGGAATCCCATTCGTGTGCTCAACTTGTTGCCTGCGTGGCGGTGTGTTGATGTAGACATTGCCAGCCGTTCGCACCCACCGGGATAAGTCGTCGTCTTTTCTCCGTCAATTGCAATCTCTCCGCTGTCATCCTGTTGAACCGTGGATCGAGTGCGCGCTTCTATTCCTCCGGTGGAAAATCGCAGGCGCCATGTCATCGGGCGAGTCCGTGCGCGTAAAGTGTAGCACCTAAACACTCCGCCCTCCACCTCCCACCTTTCAACCTCCAACATCCTTCACCACTCCTCTCGCCCATCAGAGACACGACGAAACGGCAGCGCATAATTCAGCGAAACATTGCAAGAGGAAGGCGGGCATCCCGGCGTTCGTTGATGACTTTGCCCAACATCGCATCCCACTTCACCGCTCCCATCGACACCTCTCCGCTGCGCATATGTATCGCCAACGACGTCGACGAAGATTAGCCAGCATTCATACCTCACACAATCGCTGTCACACATCCTGAACGTCACCGACCGCCGATACTGACGAGGCACCGCACGGCACACTTCCACCCCGGCGATGGCTTCCGGCCCTCCGCCGAACCCGCCTCCACATGGCCAGAATCCACGACCGCCCGGCGCATCAGGCAAATACGAAGACCTGCCAGCGGGCAACTACGACATCTTCATCATCCCACCCCACTCGGCCGGCGCGGGCTTCCTGTATCTGCCATCCTTGGCGGTCCAGCGCAATAGCTTCCTCGCCGGCGTCGCTTGCACTCTACTGGCCGTCGGCTTGTACACAGTAGTCGTCCCCGCGCTGCGAGACTTCTTGTCGTCTATCATGGCTGGCGGAGGCCTGGGTGTGCTCATTCTGATTGTCGGAGTCGGCGTTGGCGCATGGGCATTTGGCAAAACTCAAGCTGAGAACACCGGGGGACCCAGGTGGGGAGGAGGGAGCGCAAGTGGTGCAAATCAGCAGAGCTCTGGCCCTGCAGGCGCAGGAGCTGGCCCTCGCCCTCAAGCCAATGGCCATGCGCCCCCTCCACATTCAGACTCCAAGCCATCCGCTTCGAGCGGGTGGGAAAAGGCGAAAGAGGAAACGAGAAAGCGGGAAGAGGCCCGCAAACGTGAGGAAGAAGCGAAGAAGAAACGAGAAGAAGCGCAGAAAGCGAAGGAGGAAGCAGAGCGAGCGTCAAAAGCAAAGCAAGAAAAAGACAAATGGGAGCAAGCCCGGGCAAGAGAGAAAGAGCAACGGGAGCGAGAAGCGCGAGAGCGGATCGCCCGCGAGCGTGAAGCACGGGAGAAAGAGCGAGCAAACACCAGCGCTCCACGATCAAGTCCTCACAAGAGCTACGAGAAGCCCACTGCGCGCTCGTATGCTGGCACCGAAGATGAGTACTCATACCGTCCGTACGACTCGCCCCGCAAGCCGGGCCACAAGTCAGCCGGCTCGTCCGTCTCAGGCGGCAGCGAAGGCAGCTACGCCGCATCGCAGACCACCGCACGCACAACGCCCCCACCCTCTCAACGTGGCCCCTACACCACCAAAGACCCGGACAAAATCCAGATCAAAGCCGTCTACCTCTTCTCCGACACCTTCCCACTCAAGCCACTGGCCTCCCTAATCTCCAACCAGGGCTCCGTAACAGATGGTCTGGTCCTGCACATTGCAACCGAAGGCCTCTTCATCGACGACGACATCCGCGGCGTGCCGCAGCGCGAATGGGACGTCAAAGCCTGGACGCTCAAGCTGGTCGAGGATGGGATGACGAAGAACAAGAAGGGCGAGGGACTCCATGTCCTGCGGGTCACGGCGCGCGATGCCGACAACAAGAAGTACACGTTTGTGTTGGACGAGAGCGAGGCGTGGAAGGTGGCTGTTGGATTGGCGAGGTTGCGGAAAGGAAGTCAGGTGAGGGCTTTGGGGATGAATGGGATGAAGGAGGCGGAGGTTAGTGGGTTGTTGGGGAGCCTGGGATGGTTGTGAGGGGTTGGAATGCGTGTGGGGGCTTTGGAATGTGAACGAGTGTGGGTGTGGGTTGTGCTTTGCAGCATCAGCGATTGCGGCGTTTTGGCGGAATGAGGGATTGCATCTGCAGCGGTCTTGTCTATTTGCATGCTTTGTTGATTCGATCGCTCTATAGCGGAATGCCTTGAGCCTCGTCGTCGCTTTTCTTCCACTCTTCATCTCATCCGCTGTTCTCGCTGGCCTGAATCCTGTTGGTTGAGGATGCGTAGAGGTCCACGATTGTAGCCCTGCAATTCACTTATCCACCAATCCCAAATCCAATGACCTCCTCTCAATTCTCCTTTCAATGCGATGGTCGTCCTCATCTTGCCATGAGCCAGCCCACAGGTGCGTCGAATAACATCACAACGCGAGGCATGGCGAGGGCAACCATGGCCACCCTTCCGGCGTCCGAGTCTCAGCAACACCCATGCAACGAGCTTATGTAACGTGCTCTTGTTCTGCCATCCGCGGAGCCGGTGGCGCTTCATTCTGTCGCTGTGCATTAAGACGCGCCTCCGGCTCCAAATCCTCGCCTCTGACGACGTGATGCGAATTTATGATGCGTTCTTCGTACGCATTGGATGCATCGTCATCCCGCAGGTGCGTCTTTTCGAGCAGGAAGGTGTTGTCGCCTTCCACCTCCACGTAGTCGCTTGGTGGTAAGGGGGCCTTGTCGATCAACCACGGCTCGTTGGCGGCCAACTCCACGGGCGGTAGAACAGTATCTCCAGGAAGTTCTGCCGCGTGTGGATTTTCAAGTACATCACTGCTCCCGATTTCCACCAGACCAGATGCGTCGAGCTCTTGGCGTCTTTCGACCAGCTCCTCATCGCTACCGTCCTCCTTTTCTTGCTCCGCTAGCTCCAACTCCCTCAACGCCTCCCTCGGCTTCCCATCCTCGTCCAACTTCGTGACGACAATGACAAACTTCCTCTCCTCCCGCTTCCGGTCCCGATCCTCCCTGCTGGAATATAGCAACACCCCTTTCCGCAACGTAGTGCTCTTCTGATCCGGGTGCTTCATCGCCGACTCGCTAAGCTCCAGGTGCACATACAATCCGCGCGGCCTGAAGTACTCGTCGTTCCACAGCTGTAGCGCCTCCCCCAGTCCGCCGTCGGACATGTCCAGCAGGCCGGCTTTGACTTTCTTCTCTTGCAGCGAGCGGTTGAGGGTCCTGAGTGTGGGGAATTAGTCACAGTGCGCGCCATGAGATGCATACATATGTAGATAACCAACCTGCCGACTAGAACCGACGTCCCAAGCATCCCGGTCAATGCAACAGCCGCAGCAGAAGCCCATAGTCTCCCCTGATCGCTCGCGCTGAGCTTTGTGGCATCGATGACCTGCTGCGTGAACGCGGCCCACTTCTCGGGATGCACGTGCAGGTCGAACAAGGCGTCGGGGTAGGGAAAGCCGGATTTGAGATCGCTGCCGATCGTCTTGATGCGGATGGCATGGGTGCCGTGGGAGTTTGTGGTTCGCATGGACAGAGCGGCGGCGTCGGAGTTGGAGAGAGTGGTGGTGCCGAGGGTCGTGGGAGGCATGGATGTACTTGCTGCTGATGCGCTTGATTGCGCTCGAGCGAGGGCGGAGTATGGGGGAGGCATGGCTGCCGTCGCACTCTGGTCGAGACTCCACTGATCAGATGGAAAGTCGCTACTCCCTGCTGCCGGAAACCCGGAGATCTGCGGATGCTCCGATTGCGCAGGACTCGTGACATTCACCTGCGAAGCATGCCTTACATCGTGAATCTCCGGTCGAGCACTCATCATCTCCCGATCTTCGTAATCATAATCATCATCATCATCCGAAGACTCGGCGGTGACTTCATCCGGATCTTCAAACTTGGGTCCCGTCGCAGATCGATCAGTGTCTGCCCCTTCGCCGTTGTGCAGCGATGTCGTCGAGGGCGGCGAGGCAAACGCACGCTTGGCCACATCCGAGTCTCCGACTTTCAAGCGACCTTGTCGTAGCTCTCGCTTCTTTCTGCGCTCGTCGGCGACTTTTCTGGAGAGCGCGATGGCGCCGGTGGTGAGTAACATGGTTGGAGGCTTCACTTCGGCCGTCGAGCGTCTCCGCAGTCCTTGTTAGTTTATGTCCAATGCCAGCGCGAATAACGTGCAGGTCGAGTAGAAGAACACAAGATCGCTGACCAAGAGTAGGCAGAATATACCTATGGTGAGGAGACGAAGATGTTTCAAGCGACAAGCTTTTGGCAGTGCTGTCAGCTCGACTTGGCTTTCATGCGATAGAGTTCTCTGTCAAACATGGATGCGACGGGGACTCCATCACCATTGCAGATCGCCCACGCATCGCCCACGCTGACTTGGCGCGTGGCTTTGCGACCGTTCCATCTTTCAAACCGTGGTCGGCGTTGGCCGATTCAGCTTGCTGCTTTGGGTAACAGTTGTGGCAACTCTTAACGAATGACGAAAGACTGCTTTAGGGCTCCGTCGTCTTGCGGGATAGAACTGCATTGAGTGAGTACCTGCGATCGAGCGGAACAAGGCTACTTCAGACTCCACTCGCCATTAGCCAGCACAACTTCCACTGCCCTCTTCTCGTCCAAACTCACTCGCCCCGCCTCAAGAATGGCGCACGTAGCAATCGTGTTCGCCAGCGTCGGCAGCCCTCTTCCATCCAAGACGTCCAGCGTCGCCCTCCCCTCCTTCAACGCCTGACACCCATCCACAAACTTCTCGAAACTCACATATCCATACCCTCCCTGGCCGGCGAAATTGCCCTCTTCGTCCGGCGCGTACTTCATGTAGAAGGGATTGTACCACGTCAGCCCGCCCTCATCTTCGGTTACATCGTACCCTCGCTTGGCCTGGTTCACGCGCACTTCGCCTTTGGAAGCCATATAGTGGAAGTACTGGTTGGAGTGCACGCCTGCTTTCTGCGGCGCAGTCCAGGATGCGGTGTACACGCCTGTTGCCCTTCGCCCGGACCCGTCCTTCTTCTCCCAGTCCACGAGGAGCGTGATGGTGTCTTCTGTCTCTGGCGCACAGCCCAGATCCGTGGCGACACCGGTCGAGGCGCTGGCCGTTACTTTCACGGGGCGATACGACGGCACCATCGACTCGCAGACATCGATGTGGTGGCTGTTCAGGTAGTAAGAGATATCGCTGTCCTTGCCCGCCCACGCTTTGAAGGTCTCGAGCTGGCTCTTGGGCTGCGACATGTAGCTGTAGAAGTAGTTGAATTCCCCCAGACTGCCCTTCACCGCTCGATTCCGCGCGTCTGCGTACGCCGGGTCGAAGCGTTTGTGGTGTTCGATGTATACGAAGACGTTGTGTTTCCGGCTTTCCGCGAGGAGGTGGAGATGTTCTTTGAGAAGCTTGACGGCGGGCTTGGTAATGAGCACGTGGATTCCGCGCTGGATGGCGTACAGGGCGATGGGGTAATGCGTGCTGTCTGGAGTAAAGATGGTGATGGCATCGCCGGGACTCAATGCGTCAATAGCCTTCTTGTACGCTTCTGGATCCCTCTCTTCGTTTCCAGGGAAGGAGTCGAAAGAAGTATCGAGGTCATTGTATGCCTCCTGGATGTTTTTGCGTAGATGCTCGCGAATGGCGGGGAATTTGTTGCCGCTCGTGCCAACCATGCTCAACTTGCCGACTTTGCCTCGCCTTCGGAGGTCGAAGAGAGTCAGCCCGACCACGCCGACCTTTTTGTCGCTTCCAGATGCTCCGCCGCCCACGAAGCCAGTCGTGTACTCGCCAGTGCCAATCATGCATACATTGAGGGGTGCCATGGTAGGAAGTACTTCTCCTCGAAGTATCGAGATGGAAGATGATGAATGAGAAATAGCGAAAAGTACCCCGACGATGAGAGAGGGAGGCAGAACAAGAGAAGAGAGTGCAAAGATCACAGCACTTACTCGTGAGTCGGCGCAGTCTGTCGCCGGTTCGGTATCTCGCGGGTGAATGACAGTCCAAACGCCGACGATGTTGATGCAGAAAGCATCGGGAGAGTGGAGTGATGTGCCGTCCATCAACGCTTTGACCATCCCTCGCTCTTCAACCTCACCTCATCGCTTGGAGTTGCGAACAGAACCTGCACATTTAAGTGTTGCGAAGAGTTCGAGTAGAAAATGCCGGTATATACCGTCTACCACCGTTCCCTCATCCAAGGCAAACACCGCACCAACCTGGCCGTCAACCTCACAAACCTCCACTGCGAAGTCACAGGCACACCACGGGACGAAGTCAAAGTCATCTTCATCCCGCTCGACAGCCAGACTTTCTTCTGGGGTGGCGAGCCACGCGAAGGCTACGTGCGCATCCGAGCGGAGATCCGCGTGGGCCGGACGGAGGAGCAGAAGGGCGAGCTCTTGAAGGGCATGACTTTGATCGGCAACGCCGCGCATTGGTCTCCCGCGCTGCAGCAGATCCAGACGCAGATCGTCGAGATTGATGATCGCGAGACTGTCATGACGAATGGTGTTATGAATGTCTAAGGCCATAAGATGGCGTTTCCAGCCGAGCCCATCCTCGCATCGGCGCTATGGATGGCGCAGCTTGCCTTTGGAACCCCTGCAGAGCAAAAGAAAGTGCCAACAGGTTGCAGCAGCATCGACAAGGCGCTAGCTGGAGGCCTCGATTATGGTAGCGTGGCATGCATCAGTGGCGAGACCTCCGCCGGAGCCCGCGAGCTCGCCCAAGCACTCATGGTCTCGCATCTTCTTGCCTCCCCAACCGCTACAGTAACATACATCGACGCCGCATTCGCCCATGATGTCCGCAAGTTGCACACGGCTCTCGTGCAAGCTGTGAGCCTTCGCGGCGATCCACCCGAAAATGCGTTAAAGGCGCTCGATCGTGTCCAGATCATGAAAGTCTTCAATTTCGAAGGTCTGACCGAGAGTCTGGCGGAAGTTCGCGAGATGCTGGAGGGCAAGGTCCCCGGCCCATCGAAGCCTGGGCCTCCAAATCCTCAAGGACAAGCGGCCATACCACCTCAAAGCACAATCAACGACAGCCAAGCCGAAAGCGAAGAAGACGAAATGCTCGATGATGCCCCCTCGGGACTGCCCCATCATGCACCACTCCAAACATCACCCCCGTCACCACCAGTACAGCCGAGTCACCTCCTCATCATCGACACCCTAACGCACCTCACCGCCCCCCAGCTCAAAAACAACTACGTTCAAGCCCAAGCCTTACTCCACGCCTTCATCCGCTCCCTCAAACACCTCACCACCCGCCACAGAATTTGCACCCTCGTGCTGAACGACGTGCTGGCGAATGCGAAGAGCGGGAGAGATGAGTCGTCCAGTGCGTTTGCTTCGTGTGTGGCGCAACCGGCGCTGGGAAAGGGGTTTGCGTTCATGTTGGATGTGCATTTGCTTGTGCATCGCGTTGGCAAGGGCGCAATAGCGGTGAAGCAGAAGGGTGGGGAAAAGGATGAGGTGGCGGTTGTGGAGGTGTTGCATGATAGATATGGAACGCGGGTGGGGAAGTGGGCGGGGTTTACGGTGGATGATGGGGGGTTGTTGATGGCTGTCACTTGACTGCATTCATGCAGCTGCTTAGCGTATGCACAACTGTCAAGACGCAATCCTCCCTACGCTCAGCACAACCCAGTAGCCCAGCTCCTTCCTCAAGGGAGCACCAGGGTCGGCATCAAACTTCCTCTTCCCTGTACTCTCTCCCAACTTCACTTCCACCTCCCATTCCGCCCGCACGTAAACCGGCACCTCGAGCACATCCTCGTCTTCTCCCGCGCCACCGGTATCGTCATGCTCCTCGGCACCCGATACTATCCTTGTCGTCCCCACACCCACGGAGCCGGGTACAATCTCCATTACCACGGACGTACTATTCCGCGTCTTGGTCCATATCTTCCCTGCCTCGGGTTGCCTATCCGCCATCGAGCTCTCCGCCATGGAACCCGTCAGCGAAGCCATGGCCGCGCTTCGACCTCCGTCGCCACTAGTCGTGGAAGAGTTCGAGGTTGAGGCCAACGCATCATCCCACAACTCCCCGGCCGGGCCAACGGTGAAAGTAGGGCAGAGGATGGTGACGCGGGAAGCGACTTTGCCTGGCGTGGTAGCGGGCGTGGCGAGGGAGATGTGCACGGATTCGAAGAGGGGGTTGCGGACGGTCAGGATGTACTGCTTCGTTTGGTAGGGCTGAAGGAGTTCTGGTGTCGGGAGTTCTTCTGCGCGAAGATGGAATGCTGGATTCGTTGTTGGTGCGCCGGTAGTTTGCTGCTGCGGGAGGAAAGGGCGGATTGACAAGCGGGGAATGTGATTGACGGCGAGGAGACGAATGCGGTACTTCATGCTACCCACCTTGCCCTCGGGTCGGGTAAGGAATTGGCGGCAGGCTTTGCAGCGCTTGCCTCTTCGTGTGCAGAGTGGAGCGGCAGCTGGCCACAGCTGGTCGGTGAATCGAGCATCATCATTCGTGGGGGCCGAATTTCTCTGATGGGCGGATGTCGTGCGGTCCCAGCCTAGGGTTTGCATTTGTTGAATGATGTTGGCGTCCGAGTCGGCATCGGTGTATGTTCTCAAGCCTTCGGATGGCTGGAGGGCTTCCCGCATGGGCTGCGGCTTCTCTTTGCTCTTCTTGAGAGCGTTGTACGGGAGGCCGCCGTACAGGCTCATGATTCGCGCGAGGTTGGCCGGAGAAGAATAGGGACTGTTTGAGTACGGATTCTGCGGATCAGTCGTGTCACTTAATTGCTCCTTGTAGAAGGTGGTCAGGTTGGCGAAAGCGTCTTCATGGAGCAATGGTTTCGCATCGGGCGCCGCTTTCTCCTGTTCCGCAGTTGTTCTCGCTTTGCGTAATCGTGAGATCTGTTCGGTGATTTTGGTGGGTCTGTCGAATTGCAGATCGATTTCGAGCGAACTCCAGTCACAATACGGACATTGCAGGATGTATGTGTCACGATCGGCAGTCGCATCACCATCCTCTTTTCGACCGGTGATTTGGGTGACAGCTAGTTGGGATGTACACGATGGACAGGTATAGCAGCTCCTCGAGCATCTGGCAGTCGAATGAGCGACGGGTGCATCGCTTGCATTGTTGTGCGCCGGCTCACCATCTTACCTGTTCCCATCGCCTTTCACCGCCGAGCTCGGCACCTCGAACAGACACATTGGACAATACCAGTATAGTACTTCCTCCGTCCAACATCGGGGACAACGCAGAGCATCGCACTCATCGCAATACAGGAGATGGTCGAGGGGATAGAGGGCGTGGTTGGCGCGTGGAGAGTGGGGGTTGAAGGTTTGGTCTTCGTCGAGTTGGATGGCGGAGGGGTGGAATGATGTGCGTCTGTTGACAGTAGAGGGCGGGGGCGAGGTCAGGTCGGAGCATGGACAGGCGTAAGAGGTGAAAGGGTATTGAATTGCCATGAGAGTCGGATAGTCATGACATGCAATCAACGGAATCTCCTTTGAGTGATGGATGTGAAAGCTGGAGGTCGTATACATATTTCTTCCTCAGGCACCCGTTGGGAGCCTCAGCCACAAGCGCACCGCCACATTCGACGCGCTCGCGTAAACAAGCTGGCGGTGCGCACGTCACAATCAACCACACCCGCCCTTCACGCCCTCCATGGCCTCCCACGCTTTCTCCCTCGCCGTCCGCCCCGACGAACAATTCAGCACCGACGTCAAACCTCGCCTCGCAGACCTCGCAGATATGGCCGACTCTCCTCTTCCCCCCGACTCACCTGCGCCTCTTACGCGTGTTCCACGCTCGCGAATCGCCTCGAGCATCCCGCGATCTCTGCGCTTTCCCCTCGTCGTCGCGACCAGTCTTGGCATCAACGCCCTCGCCAGGACTCTGACGGCCGATATCTCGGGTTTCGAGTTTGCGCCCGCGAGCCGCGACCCCAATCTCCGTCCGGAACTGGTGGGATATCTCGTGGCGGCCAAGGTTGCAGAACTGGGAGTCGCCTGGGCTGCGGGATATGATTGTAAGCTCTATCAGCGGGATAATCGCGTGATCGAGGACATCCCCAGCTAATCCATATACCCATCAGACGAAGATCTCGCCGCACTATCGCTCCTCACTAACCAGCCCTACTACTACCTCCTCTACTCCTTCTGGTCCGTCCAACTTATTCCAATCGTCGCATCACTGTCCATCGACCTCGCCGCAATCGCCATTCCCTTCGCCCTCCTGCGTCCTCGCCCCGCGCTCCGCGAAGCACGCGCAGCTAGATCAGTCAACCAACGCCTCGCGCAAGACTGGCAAATCATCCTCCTGACGGCCATCCTAGCTGCCTGCGTCTACGCAGTCACCTTTTCCCTCTTCTACTTTCTCGATCTCGGCGTCTTCCTCATCAGCCACTTCGACGACATCCCGTCCCTCGAAAGCGCGCACGAAGCCAACATCCCGAAAATGCTCGCGCTCTTCGCCGCCAGCGGGTTTGGCGCCATGATGTTCCTCTTCCGCCCTACGCTCGCGGCCGCGGGGAAGCCGTCGCTGATCGAGAGCAAGGCCAAGGGACGTAGAGCTCGCAAGTTCAACCCGGAGACTGCGACGTTGGGCGAGACGTTGGGGCATAACTTTGGGTTGAACCTGCAGTTGAGCCATCGCGCTGATGTGCTGCTGGAGAGGGCCATTGTGCTGGTTGTTTGCACGATTGCCAACACCGTCGTCAGAGTCTGGGGCACGGTCCAAGGCACGGATCTGGTGGGCTCACTGGGTTATGCTGGTTTGTGGGCGTTGGCTCATTCTGTCGTTGGAGTTGTGTATGCTTGGTTGGGCAATGAGCAGTAGATCGCTGCGGGGGGGGGGGAAATTCATCGCGAGAGATCACGTCTCACAGGGGCGGAACATCTTGATCGATCCGGAAAAACACAGGCGGACGGAAAAAACGAATATGTCAAACATGCTATTTCGTGCAATAATCTGCTGGAGCTTCGAGTGGGCGCGGTGCGCGCTGCTTTCGGCTGCAGCTTCCCCCAGTAACCGTCCACGCGCATGCGATGGCCATTGCGATGGACGGACCTTCTAATCGAAACAAGCAAATCGCTGGCCGGCGGTTTGCATTCCAACATCAATGCGCGCCCGACCCTCACTGCCTTGATGCTCCACGACCTCTCCCTCTATCTCACCTGCATCTTCATCCTAATCTTCCTCTGCCTCCTCATCCGCTTCTGCTGCCTAAACCCGCACATCCGAGCCTTCGTCGCCGCCCAGGCGCCTAAGGTCAAGACGCTCCTGCGCATCTCCTCTCAACCGCCACCTCCGTCAAGTCACCCCGAACATGGCGGAGACATGCCAACTACCGAACCTGCGACCACCGACTCTCGTTGATGTGATGAGATACCGACTCCACCACGGCGCAAATCTAGGCTCCGTCTTCGTGCTAGAGCGCTGGCTCACGCCGTCCATGTTCCCCTCCAACGCCATCGGACAAAGCGAATTATGCGCAGCAGAGGCCTGGGCCAAACTGGAAAGCCTTTCGCGAACGAAGGAAAGATTCGAAACACATTGGAGGCAGTACGTCAATGACGGCGATCTAGACTGGCTAAAGGACGTGGCGAAATGTACGACGGTGCGACTACCGATTGGCTATTTCACACTTGGTCCGGCGTTCTGCGCACGTACACCATTCGAGAGGGTGGCCGGGGTGTATGCGGATGCGTGGGGCTGTGTCTTGGAGTTGGTGAGGAGATGTTCGCGGCGGGGTATTGGCGTACTGCTTGATTTGCATGCTTTGCCTGGTGGTGCGAATACGGGGATTCACTCCGGGACTGATGCTGGTGTGGCGGAGTTCTGGTGTTCCATGGCATTCCGACATCTTGCCACGCAATGTCTTATCTTTATTGCGAAGGAAGTCAAAGGAGTGGATGGCGTGGTTGGAATACAGCTTGTCAATGAGGCTGAGTTTGAAGCGCCGAGGATGTACGACTGGTACGACAGTGTTCTCTCCGAGCTGGGTAAGATTGATGCCAGCCTGCCGATCTACATCTCCGATGGCTGGAATCTGAAGCAAGCGATTGACTGGAGCCAACGCCAGAATTCGCTGACCGCACCCTTGTTGAATCCCATTGCCATCGATACTCACTGTTACTGGTGCTTCTCTACCGAAGACAAACAAAAGCCACCTCAGCAGATCATCAACGACGTGCCAGCCTCACTATCCGCGCTCAAAGGCAAAGACGGCAATATCGTAGACCGTGGTGCGGCACAGGTCGTCGTGGGCGAATACAGCTGTGTCCTCGACAACAAAACATGGGGCAAGCGAAATCCGACTACACCACGAAATGAAATCGTGTCAGCTTTCGGGAAAGCACAGTGCGAGCACTTTCAACGCCGAGCCGGCGGCTCCTTCTTCTGGTCATATCGCATGGACTGGATGAACGGCGGGGAATGGGGATTCCGGCAGATGACGGAGGCGCACGCAATCTCGACCCCAGCACACCTCGAACTCTCGCGAGATGAAGTGCGAAAACGTATTAGCGTCGCCAGAGCCCAACGCGAGGCTCGTGGGCGCGACGCTGTCGCACAGCATAATCGCTACTGGGACGGGACATACCCCGGCCATTACGAGCATTGGCGTTTCGAGCACGGCTGGGGCGTCGGAATTGACGATGCCCTGGCGTACTTTCAAATGAGGGGCCATCATGGGTTGGAAGGGGCGGACAAGATTGGGATGCTGGATCTGTGGTGCTTGAAGAGGCTGAGGGAGGGTGGGGAGAGATTGAGCGGTGGAGGGTTCGGGTGGGAATTTGAGCAGGGGATGCGGGAAGGGGTGAGGGATTTCCAGGAGTGTGTTAGGTTGTAGATTGGCGATGGACCTGGTTTTGCGTGCCTCCATCCTTATACACGACTCTCCTCTGTCGCGTGCAGTGGTGTTCAAACAAGCCGGGTGTTTGCGAGCTATGTTTGTGTCAGGTGAAGCATTGAAGAGTACTCAGCGGAAAGTCAGCTATTCGATGAGAACTACGCCGGAGACAAACAACTCCGAACGGCCGTCGTTGCACACCGCATTCTCGCAGAACGATGAGGTCGCGAGCGTGTTTCAATCCACAGCCTTCCCGGGGAAGGAGCGTTTGACGTCGGAAGCTCTCGACCAATCAAAGCCTTCCTCTCAGGCTTCGTTCCGACTTCACCTCAACCGCACAGTTAGCTCTGCAGCGGGCCGGCTGTCGCACGCTTCTCATTTCATCTTCTGTACGCGCCACCTCGTCGCAGCATCAAACACCCCCAGCCCGTTTGCTCATCTCGGGAGCGGCAGGCTGTGGTGGAATGAGAATGTGCCGAGACGGTATTGCCCTGGACATGGAGGCAAGGGGTGATGCACCCGCTGCTTCTGGGTCTCGTTGATGTGGATGTGCTTTTCAGTGAAGACCATGGTGAGGCGACGTTCTCTTTCAAACGCCATCGGTCTCTGACTGTTCTTTCTTACGCTTCTGATTTGAAACTTCTCCCCCGAACACGTGTTCACGCGAGCGCCGCGAGTTCTCCGTCCCTGACCGAGCAAGGAGCTTGTGTGCCCTAGTTTCCCGCCAGTGGCTTGATTCGTTTGAACAATACACAAGAATGCCACCGATTGTCACCTGAACCTCACGCGCCGGAGATACGGGCAGGCGCGATTCACAGCAGCCACGTACTTCCGCCTCCCCCGCCTGAATCTCATTGCTGAACTGCAACTGTCTTCCTTTCTTCACACTTGCTCCTTTGAATCTTTGCTCACCTCCCGTTCCCGTATGATGTCTTCCAAGTGGTTGCTGCTGGCAGCAATCCTCCCCGCCACACTCGCGTGGACACCCACCCCAGAAGAGATTGCAGCGGACAACGAGAACTCGAGGCTCGTGAACGACACAGCACTCACCTGGGCATGCATCATCGCCGTCCTCCTCGCCTACACCTGGACACTGAAACTCCTCCACCATGTCCGCCGCATCGTCAACTTCGGCCACGGCGATGCCGACACTGCCAATCAGCTCTACTTCGCCACCACCAACGAAACGTGGGCCCGCTTCAAACGTCACTGGCTCATCGCGCCGCTCTTTCGAACGAGACATATGCGTGAATCCAAGCTTTCAGCCGCAATGAACATGGGAACCTTGCCTTCTCGCATACAAACCTTTTGGCTCCTTTGCTACTTCGCATTGAATACTGCCACGGCTGTTGTAAAGATTCACTGGCACATGGGTCGTGTCGTCTGGCTCAACGACCTTTGCAATCGAACAGGAACACTGGCAACGCTGAATCTCATCCCGCTCTTCCTGCTCGCCGGTCGCAATAATCCCCTCATCTGGCTGCTCGACATCAGCTTCGACAATTACAATCTGCTTCATCGATGGATTGGTCGCATGGTGGTCGTGCAGGCTTTCTTGCACGGCGCCTTCTGGATCGCTGAGCAAGCTGTTGAGAGCGGATGGAGCAGTGTGGCACCGGAATTGGCTGTTCCAGGCTCGATGCAACTCACTGGCACCATCGGCATAGGCGCTTTCATCGTCATTCTTTTCCAGTCCCCGTCCGTCGTCCGGCACGCCTTTTACGAGACCTTCCTGCACGTCCACATCCTGCTGGTGCTTTTTTCGGTGGTGGTGATCTGGCTACATCTCGAAGGCTGCACTCAGCAGACTTTGCTGATCGCCGCAGTCGTCTGCTGGGTCGTCGAGCGGCTCATCCGAGTGTACTTGCTTATTCGGAACAACCTTCACCGTGGCGTCACCAAGGCAGAAGTCGAAGTCCTTCCTGGAGACGCTGTGCGGATCACACTTCGCCTTGCTCGCCCATGGAAGTTCAATCCCGGCCAGCACGTCTACTTGTACCTTCCTTCCGTCGGCATCTGGACTTCACATCCTTTTACCATTGCATGGAGCCAAGAGCTCGATCACTGGCGGGGTGGCGAGAAAGCATTACCTCTCGCTCGACAAGACATGCTCACCACAAAATCAACCAGCATGTCCCTCGTTGTCCGCCGCCGCACCGGCTTCACCGACAGACTCTACACCAAAGCAGCGCGAGACATAGGAAACAGGTTCACCGCTACCGCCCTCGTAGAAGGCCCCTACGGAGGCAAAACCTTCCGCTCCTATGGCACCGTCATGCTCTTCGCTGCCGGCGTGGGCATCACCCACCAAGTCCCCCAAGTCCGCGATCTCCTCCTCGCCAGCGCAAACGGCACTTGCGCCACGCGCAAAATCGTGCTCGTCTGGATCGTGCAATCCCCCGAGCATCTCGAGTGGGTCCGCCCCTGGATGACGGAGATTCTGGGCATGCACAAGCGGCGCGAGGTGCTGCGCATCATGCTTTTCGTCACGCGGCCGCGCAGCACGAAGGAAATCCATTCGCCTAGCGCATCGGTGCAGATGTTCCCTGGCAAACCGAATGTTGCTGCGCTGGTGGAGCAGGAGCAGACGTCGCAGGTGGGCGCTATGGCGGTGAGTTGTTGCGGGACGGGGAGTTTGAGCGATGATTTGAGGAAGGCGGTCAGGGAGAGGTGTGAGTTTACGGAGATTGACTTTTCGGAGGAGTCGTTCAGTTGGTGAGGCAGTATGTGGTGAGTGGTTTGGGAGCGGGCTCCCGACTGCGGTTTTGAACTCGTGCCTTTTGTTCGATACTCACCAGTGTAGGACGCGAAAGAAGTCTTTGCATTCGGCACGAGCTTTTTTGTACTACAGCGTGCGAAGATACCAAAATTACCTAGCTACTGCTCGTCCGTTTTCAATGCACAGAAAGCTAAAAGGGACCCTCATATTATTACCAATTCCTTCTCTCAGCCCCTCGCCTCTTACGAATCTGCACCGCGTATCGCAATGCTTACCGGGCCAATGGCATGCAATGCACCTGGCGCTTTCGGGAATAGCTCACGTCAAAACCTCGATAGATTGGTATACGCATGCGCCAATGCAGGACTGGAGCTTCAGGTGATGGGGACCACGGGCAGCTCTTGATCCCCGCGCCTCTCGATACGCTTGATGCCGACCTAGAAACGGGATGGACGGCACTGATTGCGTAGGGAATTTATATCAATTGAATTGCCCCCATGGGCTTGGAACTCGTTACTCTATCAACCAGGCCGTTGCCGACACTCTTGCCTGAACATCCATTATGAATGGCACAAGTGACAAGACAGCGTTGGTGCAGGCGGCTGAGGATTTCCTCGCCGCGGCAAAGGCGTTCAATGGCGACGATGTAATGGCGAGAGCGGGCTTGATGAAGCACGCCGATCATCTTCGCCTGCTTGTCGAAGACCCGTTCGGGACCATTATGAGGCAATGGGATGTCGTGCGTTGGCGAGCAATTGAAAACACATGGCTGACACTCTGCTAACATCCATGTCTAGATCCATCTCACGGCCGCCCTGAACGTGCTCACTTCAATGGGCATTCTGCAACGGGTTCCCCGGGAGGGGAGCATTGGGTCCGAAGAGCTCGCGAGCGCCGTTGACATTGATGAATCGGTCGTTCGTGCGTCGCCCTTCTGTATCCTCCAAGCTTGCATCGCCGAGGTGGCAACTTCTGACAGTATCGTAGAGCGGGCGATGCGAATCATTGTTGCGCAAGGTATCGCCTTGGAGCCCAGTCCAAACCACTACGTCCACAATGCAAAATCGCTTGCATACGTGACGGGCTCTAGCCAGTACTTCTTCAAGATGGTGTCAGTGGCTGCCGCTCACCGCACGATGTGAAGAAGTAGAGTCAACTAACAGACGACAATACCCTCGCCCAGTGTCGATCAAGACGAAGCTCTCACCTCGCTCCCGCACTACTTCGCCACCCACAGCAAACAAGACCTGACCGATATTGAAAAGACGCCCTATGCCTTCTCCAAGAAAATGGAGGGCAGCACCTACTACCAAGTCATCTCCGCCGATGCCGAGCGGCTCGAGATCTTCAACCACACGCTGGCGCACCTGGAAGAGCAACACCCTGTGCTAGGTATGTTCCCCTTCTCGTCCATGAAAGCGCATGTCGAAGCGGAGCCGCATCGTCCCTTCCTTGTCGACGTAGGAGGCGGTATCGGTCGAGTTTTGAAATCCATTCTGCAAGAAGCTCCGAATGGGTTTGGCGCGGAGGTTGTGCTGCAGGACCGGGCGGAGGTGATTGATGTTGTCGACCGAGATGGGATTCCCGATGTGACTCTGATGGTGCATGACTTTTTCACGCCGCAGCCGGTGAAGAGTGAGTGGCAACTTGACCACCGCACGCTGACAGGGTAATGTGCTAAGCGGATTGGCAGATGCACACCTCTATCTGCTCCGAAGAATCTTGCACGACTTTTACGATCCAGCGTGCATCGATATCGTCAAAAACATTGCCAGCGCCATGGGTCCGACGTCGAGACTGCTCATTGGAGACTGCGTTGTCCCGGAGAAAGCCAACATGGGCGACGACTTTTGTGGGTCTGGCCCCTGGCTATGGGGAATTGGCGCAATTACTGACAATAGTGTGCATTAGTTGTGTACTGGATGGACCTTACCATGATGGTCATTGGAGGCCAGGAGAAGACAGCTAAGCAATTCACTCGCATTTTTGACGCCGCTGGATTGGAGTTGGTGAGAATTTGGCCGGCTGCGATTGGGATGCAGTCGATGGTGGAGGCCAAGTTGAAGGCGTAATGAATGTGGTGATGCTAGACAGCGTTACCCACAAACTCACCTATTTCTGCGCAGATCTGGCCTTGAGCTTCTCGGCATCGTCCTTCATGCCACCCTGCACCCACGCTTGACCCTGTTGCAAAGTCAGTAAGCTGTATGGCCAATCGAGAGCACCTAACGCACCTGCGCCGCATGCTTCTCCATCGCGGCCTTGTCTGCCAAGAGCTCCTTCATCCTGTACGGCTCCGGCACATTTGCTCCCTTCTTCGTCGCCGGACGAGCCCACATGCGGTCCTCCCATTTCTTCAGAGTGGGGAATTCCTCAATCTCAACGCCCGCCCAGCCAGCTGCAGAGATCCAGCCCCTTTTGCGTGCGTATTCGTCAGCAATGCTCTGCCGTTTGATAAGAAAAAAAGACTCACCAATGCGCGATGTCCGCGATCGTGCATTTATTCCCGACAAGGTACTCCGTTCCCGCATCAGATAGATGCTTGTCCAAAACTCCATAGAGCCTTCTCGTCTCGTTACGATAGCGATTGATGCCGTACTCAATCTTCTCAGGGCAGTAGCGTCCAAAATGGTTGGCTTGTCCTTGCATGGGACCTAGTCACCCTTTCATCAGTTCTCTCGCTCCATTGCCCACGAGTGAGAAAGCAATCTTACCAACACCAGCATTCAAGAAGAACACCCAGCTCGTCACCTGCACTCATCCACCCAACATCAGCACATCGCCACCACATCACCGATCCCGAAGGATTGTGTTGCTCACCTCGACATCCTCCCTCGATCCTTTCGGATAACTAATCCGGTGCTCGCCATCGTACCGATCGACGAGGTACTGCATGATGCTCCCGCTCTCGAAAACACGAATCGGCTTGCCATCGGTGAACTTATCCGTCAGAGCCGGGATGCGGCCGTTGGGATTGATCTCCAAGAACCAGGGTTCTTTTTGTGTGTTCTCTTGGAAAGAAATTTTGGTCACCTTGTACGGGAGACTAGTAGTAGATGTTAGAGAGAAGGAAAAGATGGACTGGGAGATTGATTTCATCGCTCACCCAAGTTCTTCCAGGGTGATGGAGATTTTGATTCCATTGGGGGTCTGTTTCAACAGATTCAGCTGGTATCTGTCTAGCATGCCTGTTCATGTCCTTACTTGCGTGGTGTAAAGGTGGATATCAGATTCGGATGCCATTTTGAATGCTATAGACCGCTGTCAGTCCTTCTGTTGTGGCTGGGAAATAATGGTCGAAGAGTTTATACTAGGCAACGAGGAGGATGGAACGGCAGAGGACGGATGAGGTCAGTACGAATTACTAATTCACCTATGGCGCCTTGCCCGGATTAGGAAGGTACCCCACCAGAGCATGTACGCCTTGAAAGTTGCCCGCTCTCAATCAGCCTTGGACGGCGGACAGCGAACGAAGGATTGCCAAAGTGTATGATGAGCGTTACATCTGCTGTGACGGCGATTGTAATCTGACGCCAGGTGCACGCCATCAGGTATTGCCTAACAATATTCTCCACCAAGGTAAGGTACGTACAGACACCAGCGTCACCAATTGGAGCGAACAGCTCCTACTTCTCGTGCACCACCACAACGTCCGTAGATCTCGCGCCTTCATAATTCGCCGAGCGCCCATCGGCAAGGGCCTCGATCTCGGCCAGCGAGCTGACAACGCGAGGCGGCAGTGCGGATTCCCAAAACGCCTTCATGCGCCCGACGAAGTCCTGCGTGTCTTGGATTTCGAGCTGCTTCATAGCTTGTTGTCGCTGCTTGGTGGAAGGGCCGACGAACTCGACTTCAAACTTCATGTCCTTGCACAAGGGCTGCAGATTGTCCGAGACGTCTTTGACTCGCACGCGGCGCAGTCTCGCTTTGCAGCTGGGGTCTCGGAGAGTCTTTCTCGCTTCGAGGTAGGCGTTGTGGCGCTCCGACGCCTGCTTGATTTCCTCGTCAAAGCTCATGCCTTCCCCGTTCGGATCAGATGGTCTGGATGTATCGAAGGGAAGCTGGGCCAGGAAATTGTCGATTTCAAGCCAGTCGCTTGGCGCAAGCTCAGACGTGTCCCATTGAGACGGCAGACATTGTTCGTAGTCGGGATAGTCGGAATCGAAGAAGAGTTGCAGACCAGAGCGGCCGAGCAGCGGCGCGACTTGGATGTTGAGTAGCCAGAACTGCTGCTGTGGGGAGCCATCATGTTCGGCGAGCACCCGGAGGGGAGTAAAGTACTGCACCAATCTCTTCTTTTCCGCATCGTTTAGCAGTAACGAAGCAGACTCGGGATCGAGAGACTTTGCGACAGCCTTCGGTAGGGCATCAAGGACTTCCCCTCGGTACTTGCGCTTCTCTTCTTCCTTTTCCCTTTCTCGTTCGAGCTCGCGCTGTAGCCTCTCCTCCTCCGCCTTGCGTGCCTCTTCAGCTTGCCGTTCGGCATCCTGTCGAGCAAGCTCTTCCATCTTTGCAGTCTCGGCCTTCTGCTTCTCCTCCTCGGCCTGTCTTTCAGCCGCCTCCTGGGCTTGCGTAGCTTCAAGCTCTGCAGCCTCTTCTTCTTTTCTCTTCTCGTCGGCGTGTTTGGCCAGATCAAGCGCAGCTTTGGCTTCCTTCGAATTGTCATTCTCCGCTGTGTGCGCCACATGGATGGTTTCAGTATTCGAGGGCTCTGCATTCTCCTGATCTTCCTCATTCACGGTAGGCATGGCGTTGGATGAAGCTCGCTTTCTCCTCAAAGTCCTGGGAGTAACTTCGGGTGAGCCAGATTGACTCTTGGTGCGTAGACGCCGGCGGGTATCGGTACTGGGGGTCTCCTGCGGTTTGACCTCTGGCATTTCCTCCTCGTCAACCTCACCCGGCGCATCCTCCTCGGATGAGACCTCGCCTGAATCTTCATCCAAGGCTGCAGAGCTGCTTTTAGCAGTCCTGAGATCTTTCCGACTCATGAGCCTCCTCTTGTTCCTTGTCCTTGCATTGCCCCCAGCATTGTCATCCATCTCATCATCTTCACTTTCGTCATGCTCCTCGATCTTCGGCTGCTGCTGCACCTTCCTCCGACCACCGCTGTCACGCTTAGTAACAGGGCTAGAGCTTCGCCTCTCCTTGTTGCGGCTCGCTTTCTCGGAAAGTTCTCTCATCAACTCCTTCTCCCGCCTCCACGCCGGCCCGTTCTTCTCCTCTGCCAGCTCCATCCACGTCTTTCCTCTTCGGTCGCGCCACAGCGGATCAAACCATTCCATCTCCGTTAGGGTTTTGACCATTTCGAAATGGCTGCTCCCCAGCACGGCCAACATGGGCTTCTCCGCTTTCTGCCTCAGCTTCTTCTCATCCATCTCCGCCAGAAGCATGTTGACCAGGTACACGTCGCCCGTCTTGGCAGCGGCAGCGATGACTGTGTTGTCCACTGGCACGCGCGCGGCGAGAAATTCCTGGACGCCGGTGCGATCGTTATTCTGCACTAGCTTGAGCAGATTCTCGTACGAGCGTGCCATGAAGTGCAATTCTTTCGACGTGACGCGCGGCGGGTGGGAGTGTCGCACTTCCTCTTCTTCCTCCTCCCGCCGTTGCTTCGCCGAGTTGCTGGTCCAGTCTTCTATTGCGGAATGCAGGGCGGCGCGAATGTTTGTAGCGTCTTCGGTCTCGTCGGTGATTACATCAAGAGCTTGTTGGCCCTTTAGATTTTGGCGTAGGGGATCGACGCCGGCTTCGAGAAGAAGCTTGACAACTTCCAGGTGTCCGTTCTCGGCCGCATCGATTAAGGGCGTGTCTTTGTCCACGTTGGCGCAATCAGTCTGAGCACCCTGTTCGATCAAATAGGCCACCACTTCGGCGTTACCATTGAGGGCGGCAATTTGCAGAGGCTTGTTACCGGCAAACTCTGCGAGCTCGACGGCGTCTGGGTCCTTGTCAAAGAGCTCCTTGACCAGGTCGAGGTCGCCAGCTTCACAAGCTTCAGCGAGGCGGGTGAACCCATACTTGTTGACGTGTCGTTTGTGCTCACGCCCAGCGGTGCGGGCACCTGGAATCGACGTAGATCTTCCAACGCCGCGTTGGGGCCGGCTGTAGTCGTCCTGCCCGCGAGAGGTGGTCTCGGAGGAGGCGTCGGACTCTTCCCACGTCTTTGCAGACCTCGGTTCACGAACAGGGAACTGGCTTCCTCTGCGCTTTCGTCCTTCGCCATCTGCATGACCACCCAAACCAGACTGGGTGGAGATCGCCCTGCGGTGTCCCCTAGGTTTTGGGGATGGAGATCTGTCTGCTTTGCCAGAGGGGTCTTCTGAATGCATCCCCCTCAGTCTTCGTCGAGCAGGGGGGTCCATGCTCCGTCGTTTGGTGTTCAAGAGGTTATCGACAGAAGACGCACGGTGTTTTCTTTTGCGCGGATTGGGTGGGCTAGTGTCTTTCCTCGATGGGTTCTCTGACAGAGCCCTTGATCTTGAACTCGCGCGCGAAGCATCAGGGGAAGATCGCGCCGAGCTCAAATCGTCATCGCTGCCTTCGGCATCCTCGTCTTCATCGTGCGCGCCAGCGCTAGGTGTCGCTTTGCCCGTGCTGATTTCGGTGCTCGGCATGGGCGATGCAGCAGAGCCGAGATCATCGTCGTCCTCGTTTGGAACGGGCAGGCTACCGATGCGACTCTTCTGCGCCTTCTCGCGCTTAGCATTGGAGGCAGCAGTAGAGGCATTTTGCTTCTTCGCGGCCTCCTTCCGCTTCACGGGGCTGTCGATGAGAGTTTCTGCCTCGGAAGCGGGATCGTCGTCTGCGCCATTAACGGCCGAGTCTTCCGCCGCTCCTGAAGCAGGCGCATCGGGCAACCCGTCGAGCTCGCTCTCTGTGACTGGCGCAGGTAGCGTGCTTGCCGACTGCTCTTCCGACTTCAACGCGCCAGCATCGCGATCTGCCGCGGCTGGCGCATCGACATTGGGCCCACTAGAATCGCCTGACCGCGTAGTCGGACCAGGTGACTTGCTCCCATTCATCCCGTTGCTGCCGAATTGTTTGCTTGCATGCTCCTCTTCGTATTGGCGCAACCCGTCGGGGGCCGAGGGGGGACAAGACTGACTGCTTTCGAGTCGGCCCGAGCAACGGAGGTCGCGCGGGGTGCCTGACGATCACTTTAGTACCCGGTCGCCTCTGCCTGGTCGTGGGGAACACTCGGGGGTGGTGTGAGGGCGGGAGCGATGAGTTCTGCGCGGTTTTGTTGTTGCACGAGTGTCAACTCTTCAGATCTCCCACTCATTTAGCGAAGGTTTCACTCTAATCCCAAAATGGCGATAGCTTCATCTCGCATCAAAATTGATCCGGATGCCCGCTGAAGTCTTGGCGGACCGCACTTGGGAAAACTAAACGGCTGGAACAAATTTCATAGACAGAGTCAATCCCGACGACATCCTCGCCAACTACCATCAACATGTCTCAGCAAGCGCTCAACAAGATCGCTGCCAACAGCCCCTCGCGGGCCAAGCCCTCGGAAATCGAGACCAACATCGCCACGGCGCTGTATGAGCTCGAGACCAACATCCCGGATATGAAGAGCGCTCTGCGCCCGCTTCAATTCGTTTCGGCTCGTGAGGTAAGATGATCATCAACACCCAATCCAGGCCTCGCGGACCCCGCGGCGTACTCGCATTACAAGCATTCGACCTCGACATTTCTAGAAGAGGCGGTGGGCACTGGGCAGCAAACAACGCTGACACCAGGACTCTTACACAGATCGAGGTCGGACATGGCAGGAAGGCAATCGTCATCTTCGTTCCCGTGCCTCTCCTTCCGGGATGGCATCGTTCCCAGCAACGGTAATTACTGAAGCACCCCTATCTTCAAGTAGCGAACCCTCGCCAGGCTAATCAGATTTCTCAGCCTGACCCGTGAGCTCGAGAAGAAGTTCTCTGACCGCCACGTGCTCATCATCGCCTCCCGCCGCATCCTTCCCCGCCCGAAGCGTAGCAACCGCAGCCGCACATCGCAGACTCAGAAGCGACCTCGCTCCCGCACGCTCACCGCCGTTCACGATGCGATCCTCGGCGACCTCGTCTACCCGGTGGAGATCGTGGGCAAGAGGACCCGAACGAGGGAGGACGGGAGCAAGATCCTGAAGGTGGTGTTGGACGAGAAGGAGAGGGGTGGCGTGGACTACCGTCTTGACACCTACTCCGAGGTGTACAAGCGACTGACGGGCAAGGGTGTGAACTTTGAGTTCCCCCAAGTTGCCGCTGGAGAGTATTAAGTGGTCCTGCGCTGAAGTGGAGTGATGATAACTCTCGGAACGAAGTCCAGTCCGGGCTGGTCAGGAAGCCTCCGTGATTGACTGTCTTCAGACGGATGGTCGACGACAGACCAGCGACTTCAGATAGCGCTCAAAACCGCATCGATTCCTTCCATTGATGTTCACAGCGATCCAAGTCTTTCATTTCCATCCTCCTATCCTCTTTTCCACAAGATTATTCGTCACTTCTTAATGGCAACAAATTCGTAAGTGTCGACTCTGAAATACGCCCCCTCATCACACTCCTTGCGCATTTCCTGCGCCAGACTTTTCGCTTCCTCCGCCGTCAGTGCGCCTTCAACACCCATCCGAGCATTCCCACGCATGATGGCGTGCAGAGCGCCGGTAGCGATATGGCTCCACTCCATTCGGTCCTGGGGAAGCCGATCGCTGCTCAGCACCTGCTGCTCAACGACCTCAAAGCCCACAGACCGCAACACATCGGGCAGATGGTCAACGAACCAGTCGAAATGCGGTCGTGGCCGGGTGGTGAGATCCACGCCGCGGCTGAGTGCGCTCGTCTTGGTGTTTCGCTCGCTTTGGTAGACCACGTTGAGGTTGCGGAAGTTCCCTTCCACCCATTGCAGTGCGCCGCCGGGCTTCAGCAGGCTCCAGGCGTGGGTGGCGACTTTGAACCAGTCTTCGGGGAGCATGGCAGCATTGAGCAGGCGAAGGTGGACTAGGTCGTACTGACCGTGCAAGTGGACCGGGGCGGGTGCTTTGGCGTCGAGCGTGGTGAGGGTGATGTTTTGAGGGAGTTGGCCGGGGGCAGGGAATTGGGCGTCGGAGATGTCATAGCCGTGCAGCTTGGCCTGTGTCGGGAGTTCCTTGGAGGTAGTGAGGAGCCAGGCGCCGGTTCCGGTCCCGATGTCTGCGACGGCCGGAGCGGATGGGAGGTTCTTTTGAATGGCCGGAGAAATGAGATGGCCCACGAGCCTGAAATGGGGTGTGAGTTGAGCCGTGTGTGATGGATGCAGTGTGTGCGTGTACCAACCTGTTCAGGAATGTGTTTTGGTAGTTGAGTCTGCACTCGTTTAGCAGGATGGTGAGGAGGAGTCTGGGTCCTGCCAACATACCTATCTGACTCTTCGGCATCTCTGTCCAACGAGTATACTTCTTGTCTGGCCATGGTGGAATGGAAAGACGCTGAGAGACTATCGTGTGTGCAACGGTCTTGTTCTTAAATGAGATTCATGAATAAGCGGGAGGAAGAAGACGACGGCGAAGAAGAAGAAGAAATTCCACATATAAAGGAAAACCCGCCATCTGCTTACTGTTGGTGCATTGCCGTACTTGTGAATAAGCACTACCAGGTCGGACGCTGGTGGCTCGACGGCCGCAGACAACAAACGACGCATGGTCTCAACAACTTCGGCGCGAGAATGCCTATTTGGGACTGTTGATTCCAGGTACATGGTGGTGAGCATACAACTGAACATGCGCGTGCGAGGGAAGTCTACGCTCGTAGCAAAGATATTGTTTCCATCGGGTGACGGTGTATTGTGCAGGTCGGGTAGGTAGGTATGCAAGGAGCTGACGGACTGTGAGGCAGACGAACGTTTGCGTCAATGTCCGGTGACAGACATGAAACCTCGATTTGGCCCTGCGCGAGAGGTGCGGCGATGCGTGGAACCAGCGGCAGTCTCGAGAACTCGCTCTCTTGACCACCGAGTGAATATCGTCTTTGCTTTGGATTGATCCGCGCTGCTTGACCGAGAAAGGGAAACAGGGAGTGTCCTTTTCGTGATGAAAGAGTGTAGTCAGCCAGAATTCCGACGCTCCGCAGTGGTTGGCGCTTCCCCACCTCACCTCATCTTGCACATCACCTGCACTCCGCCCTTTGTGGCTTAGCGTCGCCCTAATTTACCGAGCACCCTGCACGAGCAAGACTCCGACCTGGCACGATACGGCAACAATCTGCCCTCGTCTTCCTGCAATCTCTCGCAGACAGTCACATTGCTCCCTCTGCAGCACTTCTCCTTCCCACCACACTGCACTCTCCCACCCTGCTTCGTGCACGCAGCATCCCGGTGCCTCCACCTTTGGCCCCGGGCCCGCCCGCTGCCGCCGCCCGCTCGCTCAGCCACGTGCAGCCTCACTTTCGTCCTGCGCATTAATCCGCCGCTCACTGTGCGCCCAATTCTTGCTCTGTTTCGCCCCACACTCTTGACATCCACTGGACAATATTCCATGCTGCTCGGGGGTGATGCTTGGGAGAGCGGCCTGTTGCTACCCTGAGCGGTTTCCACGCTTTCGCTGCTCCCTTTGACAATCTGCTCACCGTCGCCATCATCTCCCCACGACATCCTCCTTCACACCGAAACCCCTCTCTACGCAGCTCGCGAGGCCTTCGCCTACCACCTCTGATTCTCCTCGGGTACTGCTTCGCCGCTCCCTTCTTCCCTTACGGCTCCATGTGTTAGCCCGTCGGAACATTCAAAAGGTGTCTTTGGCCCCGCCGAGGAGCGATGGAGCGTCCACACAACATGATGCAGCAAGCCGGCGGCAACGTCGCGCAAGGCATGCAGCGTCCCCAGTCGGGCAATCGCGACCAGCAATTGCATGCTGTCATCATGACCAACTTGAAGAATAAGGCGCATACCCTTCCCAGCGGCTGGCAGACTACCTTCGAGCCACGCCTAAGGGCGGAGCGGATAATGCAATTGTATGTGGCCTCGACGCCTCACCCCCTTCCTCGTGCTAACTAACCGTTTGGCAGGGTGACCGCTCTGCGACTCCTCCACCAGGACATGTCCAAGTGTCTTCAAACCGCCGAGATCTTCGAGGAGCGCTGCATCCACGATTCCTCCACCAAAGAAGAGTACATGAAGAAGATATCGTCAAAGCTGGCGGAAGTCCAGGTGAGGAGGGCGCAAAGCGTACAGCAGATGCAGGCCGCGACGCAGATGCCTGGGATGCAGATGAACATGCAAAACTATGTCATGCCTCCCAACAATGGCATGGCGGGGATGAATTTCATGCAGAACCCCGGCATGACTGGCATGAACATGAACAACTTTGCGAACATGGGGGTAAACATGCAAAATGCCGGGACTATGGGTGGTCAACAAAACCAGAACTTCAACGCTCAGCTGCAACGCCCGATGCAGGCTTCGCCACTGCCACCTCAGCAGCAAGCTCAACAACAAGCTCAACAACAAGCCCAGCAGCAAGCTCAACAGCAAGCCCAGCAGCAAGCCCAGCAACAAGCCCAGCAACAAGCCCAGCAGCAGGCCCAACAGCAAGCCCAGCAGCAGGCCCAACAGCAAGCCCAACAGCAAGCACAGCAACAAGCACAGCAGCAGGCCCAGCAGCAAGCGCATCAGCAAGCGCAACAACAAGCCCAGCAGAACAACACACTGGATCCGTCAACGTTGCAAATGCCTCAGATGACCAGGCAGCTTTCGAACATGGTGCAGCCTACTGCGCAGTCTCAGTCTCAGCCGCCTCAGCCGTCTCAAGCTGAGATCGGGGCAATGGCGAGGAAGATGTTTAGCGAAGCCACGGAAGAGCACAAGGCCGCCATTCGAAATCACTTTCTCAGCCAATACGACGAGCAGAAAAGGCCACAGCTTCTCGCGCAGAATGACCCGGCTGTCCGCTTCTTCTTGATCCAGGCCAAGGACAGACTGACCAAGATGAGAGCTCTCCAGATGGCCCAACAAGGCGGCGCTCCTCAGAACGGCAGCAACCCCATGCCCGCTGCGAACATGCAAACTGCGAATGCACAGGCCGGTGCGGGCGGGTTCGACTTTACGGGCATGCTCGGGCAACAAGCAAACGCCATCAAGCTACAAGAGTCCGGTGAGCAAGTCGTCCCGGCGAGTAACAATCCGAATCTTGGGGTCGGGGGACAGGCGAATATGCCGCAGGGCATGAATCCGCAGATGCTCTCTCAAAACGGGCAGCCGGTGAATCAGCAGCAGCTACAACAGATGATCCAGATGCAGCGTGAGAAGCAAAGGCAGCAATTGCAGCAAAACCAAATGGCCAATCAGTCCATGGCGCAGCAACAGCAACAGCAGCAGCAGCAAGGGCAACAATTACGAGGCCCAGCAGGCACGCTCAATGCGCCGAATGCGTTGAATGGAGCGCAAGTCAACAGCCCCGCGATGAACATGCTCAATCGGCCAATGGTACCACCAGGGCAGCAAGCACAGGCGACGCCTCAGCAGAATCGCGCCCAGCCTGTACAACAGAAGCCAGGCAACGGAGCAAACCAGGTGATCCAGCATCATCAGAACATGCTCAATCAGAACATGCAGAGCGGTCAGGTGTACAATCAACGGCAGCAAGTCATCGACGCATTGCCGCAACAGATCCGGGACAAGCTCGCGGGATTGCCCCCTCAGCAAGTCAACCAGGTCCTGGCCAGCTTCGCCGCTCGCCAGCAGAATCAGAATGCGAATGTCGGGAATCCTCAGCAAGGAGCTGCCGGTGCTGTGCAACAGGGCATCAATCCGAACGCTATGCAAATGGGCAATGCAGCGGCTATGGCTGGGATGCCTCCCAATATCAATTCAGCGATGGCGGGATTTCCCTCGCAACCTCCGGCGAATAATCAGCAGCAGCTCTCACAACAAGGCTCGACCGACCCGTCGCTCCAAATGCGTGCGCAACAAGCCCAGTTCAAGGCGAAGGCCTTTGACTTGCGGCCCTTTCCCCGGCAGATGTTGAACACTTTTGGCATCCAAGTTCCGGACAACATCATCGACTGGGGGTCGCTGAAGCAACATATCTTGAAAAATCATACTATGTTACCTCCCAACACGTCTTTGAGGGTGCAGCAGGCGCAGAATTCATGGTTCGAAAGTCGTCCTGAAGAGCAGAGAGTGGCGCTGCAAAATCTTCAACAGCGACTCCAAGCTATGTCGGCCGCTCAGCAGCAGCAGCAACAGCAGCCGCCCTCGCAGCAACAACAGCAACGTCAGCAGCAGATGCCTGTCGCACGGCCGGAATCAGTGCCAAATGGACAGCCTCCGCAGGCGCCCGTGAACCAGCAGGCAAAGAATTCGCAGCAAATTCAGGACGGCGTTACTGCTTCAAATCTGAACGCCCAGCAGATGAGGCAAATCGGCATTCAACAGCCCAGCCAGTTGGACATACAACGTTTCCGAGAGAATGTTCCGGCCGCTAGAGGTCTCTCTGATGATGACATACGCAATGCTATCATGGGAAGGAAGTTTGATCTCGCTCGGCAAGCGGCGCTTCAGCAGCAGCAGAATATGCGGAATCAGATGCAGAATGGCCAGCAAATGTTGGGAGGTGGACAACAGCAGACCAATGTCCTTCAGCAAGGAAATCAGCAGCAGCTTCAGCAACAGCAGCAACTCCAGCAGCAGCAGCATCTTCAACAGCGGCAAGCGCCACCACCCGCACAACAGCAACAAGTCCAACAGGAGGCTAAGCCACAGCCAAACAGACAGATTCAGGGCCAGAAGCGCTCACAGCCGAGTGGGGACGATGTGATGGAAATACCGAATCCCAATGGTCCAGCACCGACAGCGGCTATGCAAATGAACAGAGTGCAGCGTCCACCAGGACAAGGTCAAGCTGCTGCACGCCCTCCGAGTCTCGAAGAACTCAACAAAATGCCCATGGAACAGAGGTTATTGATTATGCAAAAGTACCGACAGATGGGAGGGCCCAAGAACGCGCAAGGCGCCGCCCAGCAACCACCGCAACCGAACCAAGCATCCGCCCCTTTCCAGCAACAGCCCAATCAAGCCCCGCAAGTCAATGCACAAATGCCAATTACTCCGGAGGAGCGGACGAAAATCCGTGAGCTGTACCAGGGCGTCGTTGCCGCCAATCCCAAAGGTCCCCCGATCCAGCTCGACGCTCAAGCGCGAGAGCAGGTTTTGGCGAGTATCAAGAAACTGTGGCTACCCATCCTGAACCTTGAGAGGACGTACTTGCTCGCCCTGCGAGCTCTGGGTGAGGAATCGGTAAAGGAAGCCATGCGGTGCAGAGTTCTAGCTGTGACAAATTTCGCCGACGCCGAGGGTACACCCAAGGAGTATGTTGCTCTTGGACCTGTGGATATGCGGCAGATGGAGATGGTGATGAATCGCTACTTGACCGCCCTGAAGCAGGTGAAGATCAAGCAAGATGGCACACCTGCACAACCGCAGCAGCAGGCACCGCCGCATTCAATGCAGCAGGCACTACCGCAGCCACCCGTGAAGCCCCCGCCGCCAGAGAGGAAGGCGTCACAACAGGGTCGCAAGGCTTCGGCAAGCACGAAAGCACCACCTGCGCCCACCGAAGAAAAGAAATTCGATTGGGGCTCGCCGAGTCCTCATGGAGTGCCCAAATACGAGGCGCCCCGGACCGAGTTCAATCTGAAGATACCCGCGCAGAAGAAGCGGAAGACTGGCGACAGCCAAGAATCGAAAGCCGGCAGTCCGAGCGTGGTCGACACGAAACCGCAAGCGATGGAAGCAGGAGCGGTCAAGCCTCCACAAGCGCCGCCTCCTCAGAAGCCCGCCGAGCCCGAGAAGCCCAAGTTTACGTGCGACGAGATCTTCTGTGAAGCGGCCATATATGGCTTCCATACAGAGGAAGAGTTGAAGGCGCACAAGGCTTCCGAGCACCAGCCGATTGCGGATCCCCTCAAGTTCTTGGTAGACAACATGGCCAGTGCGTTGGGCGTGGACGAGGACGGCAAGCCCTTGCCGGAGAAGAAGGCGGCCAAGGCTCCAGCTCAACCTCGTGCAGCCGTCGTGCGGCCTGCGAGCAAAGGCGGCGCTCAGACGCCGAGTGGCAAGGATGGCACTACTCCTGCAACGCCCGCATCGTTGGTCAAAGGGACGAAAGCGGCTGCAACGCCAGCTGGGCAAAAAGCAACCGAGGGAGCGAAGCCGGCCGATGCGACGACTGCATCACCGGAAGAAAAGAAGACGCTCCTGGACTTCGTGGCCGGCAAGACTGGCTTCGAACTGCCCTCCACCGCATCAACCGACGCCCCCGAGCCGGACGCCTCTGCTCTGGATTCCTTGTTCCCTTCGAATCTGCCAACCGATCTCGCCAATCAGAGCGGCTGGGAAGACGTGCATGGTTTCTCCGACATGCTGGACGTCACCAATTGGGGCTTTGGAGCCGGCTTTGACCTTTCGTCTGTGTCGCCCGAGCTCACGCCCAGCGGCAGCAGTCATTCCAGCGACATCTCGCAGTCGGAAAGGCTGCGTATCAATCTCGAGTGGGATGCTTTTGGGAATGGCGATACCGGGGTGCCGGAGATTCTGTCGTTGAAGCAATTGGGGCTAGACACGCCGAAGGAGGCCAGCGGCGATGGTGATACTGCGATGCTGGATGCTGGATCGGAGGAGGTTGCAGAGGGGGCGGAGGGGAAAGAGCAGAAGAAGAAGACGGAGGCGGACGGAGATTTGGCTTGGGCGGCGGATCTGGTGCAGTGGGATTCGGCTTGGTTTCCTGAGGGCGACGATGAGCCGAGTGCGCCGAAGAAATTGTTCGATGCGAGGGCGCCGTTTTGAGGGGATTCGGGCTGCCAATCCCCAGGGCTCTGGTGGGTTTTCGGATTGGGCGATGGGGACACATGGGGCGAAGGAACGAACGGCACGCAGCGATGGTGTTGGCGGGAGTTTTTTCATTTTCCCGAGATTATACCCCATCTTTTGGTTCTTTGGTATGGTACGTAGGCGAGTGATCTGTTCATTTTGGTAGAGGGCATAGTATCCACGATCGTATTGAAGCAGTTCTACCCCAAATCTACTCGACTTTTCCAGTCCGCCTTGCCATGCGCTGCACTATGGACACCGGGCAAGGCTGCTTTACAGGCTCCGAATCGCGCGGAAGCGCCCCTCCATCACCGCCTTCGAGACGGCCGCCTCGGGCGCGAAGCCTTCAAATGCGTGCGGGACGCCGGGGAACATGTGGAACTCGCACGGCACTCCAGCCTTGCCGAGCGTGGCGGCGTATTGCAGGTCCTCGTCGCGGAACAGATCCAACTCGCCCACGTCCATGTATGTTGGGGGCAGGTTCTTGGCATCATTGACAGTCATTCGTCCGGCGGCCTGGCATTTACAGCATTAGTGTCATCCTGACTATGGGCGGCGAGGGTGGCTTGCCTCGATCGGATCCACGCCGTCCTTGCCCTGCTTCTCGCCCAACACCGCCTTCCAGCCCGTGATATTGTCGTCCGTCGACCACGTCGCATACGGCGCGAGATTCTCGTCGACCTGCACATTCCTGTCGTCCAGCATGGGGTAGATGAGAATCTGCTTCGCCACCGCCGGCCCGCCCTTGAGTTTGATGTAATGCGCCAAGCTCGCCGTGATGCCGCCGCCGGCACTGTCGCCCATGATGCCTATGCGGCGCGCATCGACGCCCAGCTCCGCCGCGTGCGCCACGAGCCATTTCAAGCCGGCGTAGACGTCGGACACGTGCACGGGGGCCTGCACCTCGGGCGAGAGCCGGTAGTCGACCATCAGGAAGGGCACGCCGGTGGTGGAGACGTACCGCTTCACCACCTGGTCGTACTGCTCGACCGTCAGGGCAATGTAGCCGCCGCCGTGGGCGTAGACGATGGCGGAGCCGGACGGCGTGCTGCCCGTTTTGGTGTACCAGCGGCACAGGATGGAGTGGCCGTCCTCGGCCTGCGCGTGGAAGTCTTTCGTCTCCACGTCTGCGACGGGGGTGTGTAGGCTGATGAGAGCGGCGAAGAGGCCGTCGAGAAGCTGGCGGCGGCCGTTGACGTCGCCGGCCTGGGATAGAATTGTTAGAATGACGACTGGGATGAGGGGGATTGGATGTTTTGGGGCTGACGGGGATCTTGGGCGGCTCTTGCCCGCCCATGAGTTTGGCGAGGGCCGAGCCAACTTCAGCATCGAGAGTGAATGGCATGGTTGTGGAGATATTGGCTAAGGAGATTGACGAACAGTGAGTACCGGTATCCTATGTTTGTTGCTTGTTGCTTGCAGAGCATACAGACGCTGACAACGTGGGGCTCTCGTATACGAGGGGAAGCTCGTTCCAGCGCCCGACCGACTGGCACCTCCGCTAGCCTTCATCCCCTGCGGCCAATCAAATCGTAAGCTCTTCCACCTCTCCTCGTATGGCATCCTGCTCCATCAACTTCGTTTCTTCAGAAACTCCTTGCGGACCGCATTTCCAAAGCACTCGACAGCCCGGCTCAGCTTATGTCCAGGCGCTGCCGCGAAAGTGAGGCGGAAGTACGTGCGGTCTTGGTTGGTCTTGCTCACTGCAAACCAGCTGCCGCTGCTGACTAGCACTCCTTCTTCTCTCGCTCTGGCGTGCACGCTGCCCTCGATCGATACTTGGAGGGCCGAATCAATGCCAACGCCTTCGCGCCGAGCCTTTGGATGCTTCTTCCAATCGACTTCGACCCACAGAAACATTCCGCATTCAGGCACTGTCCAATTGCAAATCTCGATGGGCAGATATCTTCGACATGCATCGAGCGTGGTGTTCAAACGCTCATTATATCGTCGTGACTGATGCATGAGCCACTGGAAGAATCCCTCATGGCCCCATCTTTCCACCAGAAGTTTGTAGAGCATTACTTGCGACGGTCCGCTGGCACCCATTGTACTGAAATCCGAATGCGCTGTGAAAGCCGCAATCAGTTGAGAGCATCCGCTTATCCAACCGCATCGAAGCCCTGGAGCAATGATCTTCGATGTGGAATCCAGACGAAGCACGCGACCGCTTGTGTCCAACGACAGATACGACAGGGGCAAGTCGGTGAGGTATTTGTCGGCCGTGACATGCTGCTTCTCCGTCGTATCGGCGTGGTGGAAGGGGCCAGACAGGCGAATGAAGTAGTAGGGATCATCCTCGATGATGATGAGATCGTGCCTCTCCACCACGGCGTATATCGCTCTGCGACGCTCTTCCGGTTGAGTTATGCCGGTGGGATTCTGTCCACACGGAACCAGGTACAACACTTTGGGCTTTGGGCCTGACGCCACGTCCCACTGTAGCAACCTCTTGTCCAGAGCGACCGGATCCAGGCCATCTCTATCCATCTCAACCCCGACGAGGTTCAATCCAAGAGGCCTCGCAGCTTCCATCGCTCCCGTATAAGTATATTCCTCCATCAATATCGAATCGCCGCGGTCGCACAGCATTCTCAGCAGAATCTCAATGGCTGAAGTTGCACCGCAGGTAAGGCTAACATCCCAGTTGATGTACTGCGGGTTATGCATCAACTTAGTGTGTTGGTGGACGAAGCGAAGCAGCGGTGCCAGCCCCTTTGATGGGCCGTAGTCCAATGCTGTGCGGAGATCGAACGCACTTTCCCCTTGAGTACAGATCATCGGCAACGCAGCGTCTCCCTGATTTGCTTCCGTTCGAGTACCATGAGAATCTGTCGCTCCCGGCATGATCATGGATTGCCATGGATAGAACTCCGACGCCGGCCTCCCGACACCAAGGGATATCACATCAGCTTGTGGTGTCTTGGCAGAGCTCTTCAGCGTCGAGACACGTCGACTTGATGCCTCGAGACTGAAATGATGGTCCCAATTCTTGGCGTGGGGTTTGGCGGGCTGGATTCTTGTTGAGCCGTTGGGCGAGGCTTCGGGAGACTTGATGCAGCCTTGCGTTGATTGGCGTTGCGCGAATTCCGATAGTTTGTGTTGCAGCATTGTGGCCGACTGGGATTTTTCTAATTGAACGACTAAATACAAAGAATATTTCGATTTGATTGAACCACATTCGCAGGCAGCAAATGCGTGTCGAGTTATATATCTGGATGGGCGCCTTCACACGAGCGCGCGGAGTAGGCGGAGTGAAGTCGGCGTTGGCGGAATGCTTTCCGGATTTGGTCCGCGTTACTTCAACCCGTCTTGTTCAGACGACGATTCGTGGTTACATTCGACGAAAAGTACATCGAGAGTTTTCAGAAACACGCTTTGATGCGTTCAGACTGCACTGAGAGATCCCAAGATGCCTTCCACAATCACTGTCGCAGATTACCTGTTTACGAGGCTGAGGCAGCTCAATGTCGAATCGGTACACGGGGTGGGTTGACACCACTCTCTTCCCGCTGGCAAAGAATGTACATTGACAGGTCCAGGTGCCGGGAGACTACAACTTGTCATTATTGGACTACGTTGAGCCGAATGGACTGCACTGGGTAGGGAATGCGAACGAGCTAAACGCCGCGTATGCTTCCGATGGCTATGCGAGGCTGAAAGGTCTCTCAGCGCTCATAACAACGTTTGGTACATTCATGTCTCCGCGCGATTAATCAATTGGACCTACTAAACAAGCAAAACTAACGTCACTCTACAGGGGTCGGCGAGCTGAGCGCCATCAACGGCATCGCCGGCGCATACGCCGAACTCGCACCCGTCGTGCACATCGTCGGCACGCCCGCCCGGAAATCCCAGCAGGAGAGGGCAAAGGTCCACCACACCTTTGCCGATGGCGACTTTCAACGCTTCGCTCTCATGTATAGACACATCACCGTTGCGCAAGCGGAGCTGAGCGACCCGCGTACCTGCGCGCAGCTCATTGATTCCACCCTCCAGCAATGCCTCATCCACAGCCGTCCGGTCTATCTCGCGCTGCCCGCTGATGTGGTGGGCATCCGAATCGACGCCACACCTCTGCAGACGAGCATTGAGCTACCGAGGTCCCTACCACCATCGGTAGATGCTGAAACAGCGCTCGCAACGGTTCTCGATCGCATCTATTCCAGCCAACGTCCTATGATCCTCGTGGACGGCGAGAGCCGAGCATACGGCATCCTGACCGAGCTCCAGCAGCTCAGCACGATCACTCACTGGTCAACATGGACAACCATCTTCGGCAAAAGCTGCATCGACGAGTCTCTGCCCAACTTCCGCGGCATTTGGAAAGGGAGCGCCGCCAGCCAGCACGACAAGGATTTTGTGAAAGGGCGGGATCTCATTTTGTGCTTTGGACCCCATTTCAGTAATACCAATAGCTACGGCTACTCGAGCGTGCCGGACGCTAAGATCAGCGTGCACTTCATGCAGACGAGTGTGCAGGTGGATGGGCAGACGTTCAGGGATCTGCCGGCGAAGCAATTCCTCTCTGCGCTACTTGCGAAGTTGGATCCTTCGAAGATGACCAAGTCTCCGGAAGAGGTGGTACTGAACGGAGAGAAAAATGGCATTCCCTCACCGCCGGGGAGTGCACCTCTCACGCAGGACCACTTCTACAAGTTCTTTGACAAATACCTCCGATCAGGTGATGTACGTTGCTTCCAATCTTGCCCCTCCACTCAAAGCTACATTTAGCACAACACTCACAATGCCCAACAGGTCATCCTCGCCGAAACCGGCACCGCAGGCCACGGCTGCCGCGACTTCAAACTCCCGCCTCACTCTCTGCTCCTCAAACCCACCACCTGGCTCTCCATAGGCTACATGCTGCCCGCCACGCAGGGCGCAGGGCTCGCGCAGCGCGAACTCCACGCCGCAGGCCGCTGGTCGGCAGCGCATCAACCGCGCACCGTCCTTCTTATCGGAGACGGCAGCTTCCAGATGACGGTGCAGGAATTGAGCACGATCATTAGGGAGAAACTGAATGTCCTGCTCGTTTTGATCAATAATGATGGGTACACGATTGAGCGGTGCTTGCACGGTTGGAATCAGGGGTATAATGACATTGCAAGGTGGAAGTACCTGCAGGCGCCGGCGTTTTTCGGGGCGAATGAGGGTCAAGGTGGCGAAGGAGGCTACCGTGCTTCCACGTATCGCGCGGAAACGTGGGACGAGTTGGAGAAGGTGATGGCGGAGGAGGACGGGGAGGAGCCGAAGCTGAAGATGGTGGAGGTTGTGATGGATCGCGAGGATGCGCCGATTACGTTGAAGGGGTTGTTGCAGCAGCAGAAAGATGCGGCGGCGGTGGCGCAGAAGTAGGTACTTTAAATGCTCGCACCATCAAATTTTTGTACACATGTTGATACTCTATGCACGATCACGGCCCACCATATCCGATCTCTGATCGGTTGTCATCGATGACACGCCCATACCTATGCAGCAGTCAGCAAAAGTCCACATCATGAGACGCGCAATGTACACTCACTCCAACAACACCCGGAAGAACCACACCTCAAAATCCTCATTCCGCAGCACTTTGTGCGCCCACTCACTCCCCTGCTCCGCCAGCCTGGCCCCCAACTCCTCCCCCCCCTCGCCGGTCGCGGAGAAATACCGCACGCTCTCCAACACCTCGTCGCCCCGCAGACTCAACGGCACGTAATGCACCCATGGCCGAAGCCATTCCTGATGCCACTCGCGGAACACGGCCATTTTGAGCACGAGGCTCTTCGACTTGAGGAAGGCGTAGAAGCGGCCGGAGAAGGCGTTGCCGTCCAGGTCGAGCAGGTAGCGCCACTTCCAGTGGTCCTGCTGGTCGACGCCGCCCTGGATGTCGAAGAACTCCCGCTGCGCGTCGCAGTCTTCCTTGTCGCATTGCCCGATGTGGGAGAAGTGGACGTTCATGCGGTTTTGGTAGTCTTTGCGCGGCACGGATTTGACGTGGTATTCGCTTTCTCCGCCGGGCGTTTCGGTGCGCTGCAGGATCTTTGCGTCGTCGAGGGCGTTGAGTTTCGTCACCATGTGCTGGCGATGTTGGCGTCGCCAGCCACCGTTTCGGCTGAAGCCTCCGGTCGTGCTACCGCGCCAGAGCAGGGTAGGCGTCTTGGCTTTCCACGTGATGTCGCGCGATTCTTCGTACTTGACCTTGCCATACCAGTACCACGGACTGGGGTACAAGATGTCGTTGAAGCTGCTGACCTTGCTCTGGCTGAAAATCGGGTATAGGAGATGCGCAAAGTTGACTGCGTTCGGTCGATCGAAAAAGCCAAAGGTCTTGGAGAATGAGGGGGAGTTGCAGATGTCGTTGAATGCCGTCTGGTTGTAGACGAACCCAAGTTCTCCCAAGGCGTAGGAGGTAAGATTGTCGGTTGCGAACGCCTCATCGAGCGTTCGGGCGGGGGTATCGGGAGCGCAAGAGAGCCGGGCAGGATCCCAGACGGGTTGATGAGCGTATGTGTTGAATCGAGTCGTTTTGCTTTCAGCAAAGCTCTGGCCATCATTCACGTCCGCTGGACGGCCGGAAAATGCATTCCGTAGTCCGCTGGTCTTCAGGATAGCGGGCATATTTTCGTCCAGTGCAATGGAGACCAGACGGGATAGGTCGTCATGAGGGACGATGACACGCGGCTCGTCGTGGATGTTGAATGCCAGATCCATATCGGGCAAGTATTGCACAAAATTTTGGATCATGCCAACAGCGGCCTGCTGCAGCCATTCCTCTCCGCCATGTACTACCGCCGGTTTCCCATCCCTCAGGGCCAAGCCCATGAGAAAGTTGCCTTGGAAGCCGATGGCTTCTCGGGCTCTTGCTCTGATGGTCGCCGGCGAGATGCCCCAGAACGGCAACATGGTCTTGTAGACGGTGTCGTACTCGTCAATCATCTGTACATTTCTTGCCCTTGCAAACTCAAACCATTTGTCGAAATGAGGTGGGGGCGGGATGTTGTAGCGACGTCTGTACTCCGCGACTGCCGCATCAAGAGTCTGAGATTGGCCTTGGAGTTTTTGCTGCCATGACACATCGGCTTCTGCGATGAGTTGTGCAATGGGATGCGAGCGAGTATCGTGTAGCTCCATTGGTGCCAAAGGCGTTGCGGGTGGCAGGGGCTGCAAGACATCCGAGAAGCCTTTCTGGGTTGTGAACGCAGGTTTCCCAGCTCCCGAGTAATAAAGAACGGCGGAGAACGCGAAAGACAGAGCGGCGATGAGCGTCAGTATCCGCTGGTAGCGCATGCCCTTTCTCGCCTCGCCTGAGGTTAGGTCGGAGGTATCGAAGAAGCTGAAGACTGTAGCTGCGCAAAGTGCAGCGAACCAGAGACGGCTGAAGGAGAAATCGACCGAGAGCTGAGAGACAACTGCGGCGATGAGAGGAACAAAGGACGTTGCAAGGGTGCCATTGCGTTGGATCTGGTTAGGGCAGAATGTCAGCTGGAAATGTGAATATTGAATGACGGAGTCCGAATACTCACCATCATCAACAAAGCCCAAAACATAAGTAAATGCACGCCAATCAGCAGAATCGACAAGAGAAATCCCAGAGCGCCCTGATGCAAAAGCCACTGCTGGCCCATTACATGGCCGAAAAGACCTAGATACCCTGGCGCGCCAGATGTGAGAGTCTCCAGAATAGCAGCCAAGGTGATCGCCACGGCTGCGGATGTAGAAATGTCGCGAATGAGGACCGCTGCTGCATCGTTGCTGGAGCTAGAGCTCTTGACCGATTGAGATAGCAGCCCGTTGGCCGAGTAAATGACATTCCCCCGTCGACTACTTTGCGCCTCTATGCTCGCTTTTTCTATGCACGCAAAGGCCAGCACTTGCAATGCAGCAGACGAGAGGCCCAAGGGGAATGTGGTGTAGTCTTGAGCGGTGATGTAGGTTGCGAACACGGCGGAGGTGGTTAGTATGGCCAGCGCGACCATGGAGCCGGAGACAGCGAGTGCTCTGGGCCTGCCAGGACTCGGGGGAGGAGATGCGGTGCTCGCGTCCAGGCCAAAGACATCGCTCCGGAGTAGGCAGTATGCGAAGCAGGGCAGCAGGCCGTTCGCCCACCAGAGCGCAGTATCATCCACCACCCTCGAGCAGAGTTGCGCCAGCGCCAACAAGCCGCCAGCCAGCCATGACTGTCTCCGTATTGATCCGTCTATTGATGCAGTGTGGCGACTCGTTGTGAGCGAGGTGTATGCACAGAGCAGGATCCATGCAATGGCGCTTGTGAAGAGGGAGTGTTGGGTCGGGGTGCCTATGTGTGCGATGATGGAGCACGCGAGCAGGAGGATGGGGATGGCGCGGTGGGAGGCGGGGCCATCGTGACGAAGCGACGACGGTAGCATGGAGTCTGTCACCGCGGGATCATTTTGAGGAGGAGAAGGGGAGGAATTAAGCAAGGCGCAAGTTTCATTGGGATGATGTGGTAAGGGTGGAAAGGAGTGACGCCGTGGACCCTGCAAGTTTGAAGATGCCTCAGGCCGCAACACCTCAGCCTTTCTCACTCTATGCACGCGAATGTCTGGACTGATCTACTTTGTCTTTGACAGGCCTACTAACTTCATACCTCGAGGAATATGGCACAAAACACTGGTCAGTACCACATCGCCATATTGGTGGCATATTGCCCTAAATCGAACAGTTTCGCACCCTAATGCCACCGACGCCAATCAAGGACACTGTACCGGCGGGAAACTATTTCCAATCTGCTTCCCCTGCAGCTCGAATAAATGCTTCCTGACGGTTCGAATCTGCGTGTTGTTATGCGCAGTATTATTCGGGTCGCCATAATGCATCGTAAATCCATCGTCATGGTCCACATACACCGAGCAATTCGGCACATCGTGCATGAACAGACTCCAGAACAAATCGCCCGCGACAACATTCGTGTTGTTCTGCGTGACACCGAACCAGGATTGCAGCGGTGCCGCGCTGCGCACGTTGCCCGTCCAGTCGTATTCGCCCGCGATGTAGGCCTTGTTCGCGCCTCCCGCAAGCGCAATGTCGGAATTGAGTTTGGCGATGTTGGGCGGGTAGAAGTGGTCGCTCATGATGTCCACGCTGTCGATCGTCAGGTGCGTTTTGTTGATGCCGTAGGTGCCGTCGATGCACAGCTTCTTGGGCGCGAGTTGCTTGATGTAGGAGCATATTTCATCCGTCCAGGCCGGGGGCACGTCCATGTCGCCGAACACTGGACCGCCGAGCTCGTTGCCTGTTTCGTAGGCGAAAATGGTGGGGTCTTCGGCGTAGGTGAGATTGGTGTATTGGTTTTTGTGGGCGAGGAGATGCTCGATGTAAGTTTTGAAAGCATCAACTATGGTCTGGTTGTTGTAGAATTCCATGACTAGAGGACTGAGCGGCGTGGCTGAACTGGAGATGTCGATGCCGAACCAGCGGAGGAATACAAACTTGCCGCCGTGATAGTAGTCGTAGTTGTCGATCAATGGTGCAAAGAGGCGCAGGCCATGCAATCCAGCTTGGTAGACGGCCCAGTCGATCGTGTCGAAAGCCTGATCATTCCACTGACCCAGTTCTGGTTCAAGTGATAGCGGATAGCCGACGGAGACGCCCATGGTGGTGGAGCGGAAAGCATGAGCACCCATTGTCACGAGCGTGCTCATGATCTCGGTAATCCGGCCTTGGGTTGGGTATGAGGCGGGTGGCGCATAAGGCTGTCCGGCTGGTGGCACGACGTTCTGGTCGATGCCGAGCCAATATACATTCCCTCCCGATGCTGTCCATGGCTTCCCGTTGAGCAGAAGCTGGGATCCGTTGCGAGTCACGTATTGGTTCTTCGTCGAGGTGGACTTCGCGGCACAAGCCACCGCCGCGAACAGAAGAGCATTGCAAAGCAGCATGGCGGGATGTCTAGCAGACGAGCATGTTGCTGAACTGCGAGCATGAAGTAGGGGAGGCCTTTGTTGATCAGTCGGATTGGGAAGTGTAGATCCTTCCGTGCTGGATGCGGAAGATTGAATTCGAATCGCCTAAGCTAGCCTTCGCTACGCCGATCGTTTCGTAGCGACCACGACTTGCCGTCCTGCCCGCGGACTTTCCAAATAGTATGCAGGTGCAGTCGTCAAGGCCGATTTGCGGGGAAAGACAGGGAGAATGCGTGACAGACACGAAACTGAAGAAATGTTCACTCGGAGCACGCAGCCTTGTTTGCAGCGCATCCAGAATAGGAAGGTAGCTCGTTCCATCTGAGCGCACTTCAAATACATCTTTGTCCGAGTCAACAAACAACGAGTAGACTCTGTATATGCCGGCTTCTATGCGAGTTAACGAAATGCAACTCTATGGCGCTCCCAGATACAGCCAGTCCAAATCCTTATCCTCAGGCCCCAACCCCCGCACCGTCAGAACCTGTTCATCGCCAGGGACGACATCAATGGCACTGTCGCTGATCAACAGTCCCTCTCGCTCTTCAAAAACCAGGCCTTTAGTCGGCTTCTCGGCAGTGACGGTGACCTCGTTTCCTTTCCGCTTGACTTTGACTCCTCGATCGCAGAAATCGAGGTATTTCAAAGGTTGAGGCCAGTCCACGTCTCGCGCAACGACCTCGTCGCCGATCCATATCCGCGCGGCTAAGACGTGCGGCTCTTCGTGCTCGTGGTCGATCACGCCCTCGCAAATCTCGGTCGAGTGATTCGCTGCAATTGTGACCTGTTTCTTCGTTATTCGTTCTTTGATCTCCTTGCCCGTTTGGATACTGATGAAGCGTAGCTCCACTGTAGCCTCGACATCGACCAGTCTCGAGCTTGAGACCCAGCACTGGTAGGTGCTACTTTTGGCGGGGTGAGCGTGGACTACACTCCAGTCGTGGTGCTCGCGCTTCACTGCAACAGCTATAGGAGCGAGCACTCGTCGCATGGCGTAGTAGGCTGGCTTCTTACGTTGATAGTAGTCGACGATCGCCCAGGAGATGGTTGGCCAGCAGTCATTGAGCTGCCACACGAGCGCACCACCGCAGTGACGGACCTTGCCACCCCATTGATGGCGCCAGCCACGATAGCCGAACATCAGTGCCTCGGCCTGGCTCAACTGCGTGAGATGGATGTATTTCTTAAAGTCCGTCTGAAGCCGGAAGTTCTCGACCAGGTACGTTGCGATCCTGCGCTCGTGGCCGTCGGCTTTATTGTGGAAGTCGATTATCTGACTCTGAGGGTTGATCTTGGAAATATCATCAACGAAGGATCGGATTGTGTCGATGTGTGGGAAGGCCTCCATGCCGAACTCGCTGTTGAATCGACCTCCCAGCGTGTCGAAGATTTGGTACTTCTCTTGGGTACCATGCCACACGTTCCACTGATGCATGTCGCCCACCGTGGGATCAGAGGAGATCTTGCCATCGCCCCACGGCGAGCCGGGGTGGTACACTACGTGAGGGCAGTGTGCAGCAACAACTTCTGGCAGTAACTTTGATTCCCTCAGTCAGCATAATGACTTTGCAAGTGACACAAGGGTCCGCATACCTTTTCGTAAATGTACCGGGCGGGGAAATCAGTCTTTAGCCAGCTCTCCGGGCATTTGTCTTCGTAGTCGTATGTCAGGCCATAGGATTCTTGCACTTGATAGTCCTCGTTGTTTCCAGCATATATCACAAGCGACGGATGATGGCGCAGGCGTTTCATCTGACACACCGACTCACGCTCGATGGAGGACAGGATCTCGGGGAAAGCAGGATAGTTGCCGCACCCAAACATGAAGTCCTGCCACACGAGCACGCCGAGCTCGTCGCAGAGATCGTAGAACTCGTCTTCCTCCCAGTTGCCGCCGCCCCAGTTGCGAATCATCGTTTGGTAACCGTCGACCATCATCTGCAGCCAGCCGCGGAGCTTTTCGGATGTCACTCGGGGGGTGAAGCTATCGGCAGGGATCCAGTTTGAACCACCGCAGAACACATCAATATTGTTGATGCGGAAGTAGAATGACTTTCCCGACTCGTCGGGCTCTTGAACTAGCTCAGCGCGCCGGAGTCCAGTCCTTCGGGACACTGAATGTTGCTCTTGGCCATTGTGCAGAAGGGTGGCACGCAAATCGTACAGCGGCTGTGCGCCATAGCCGTGAGGATACCAGAGCTTGGGCTGGTCCACATAGAATTCTACGCTGGCCTGCCCGTCGTGATCGATGCATGTTCTTTCGGCAAACACCTCGGCGCCGTTCAACTTGACATTGAAACTGACAGTCATGCCCTTCGCCGCTTCAGTCTTTACCCGTATAGTTCCAGTGGCTTTCCGTAGGTCGGGACTTAGCTCATAGTCGACACGGATGTCGTCGATTCGAGCTGTGTAAGACTCCAATCGCACCGCCCTCCACGGGCCACATGTCATGAGAACTGGGCCCCAGTCCCAACCCCAGTGATACTGCGCCTTCCGAACGGCAAGACGGGACATTTCGCCGTTGAAGCCGACCCATCGGTGTTTTGGATGGGCGTCTTTGATGCGACGTGCCTCGACAAGCGCTGGTGCAAACTCGATCTCTAGGAAGTTACCATTGTTGGAAGAGTGAAGGTGTTTAGTGATGTCGACGCGGTGCATGATCCACATGTTATCGCTCCTGAGGATCTCCTTGCCGTTGAGCCTGACGATTGCGAAAGTATCCAGCCCATCGAATGCCAGGACATGCGTGGAGTGACTACCGAGTTGGCTGATATCGGGGAGAGCCAACCGATAGACCCATGTCGCCTCGCCGACCCATTGACACTTCAGCTCGTTGAAGGCGAAAAATGGATCATCAATGCTGCCACCGCTTTAGTGATTTGTTCAGGGAGGGCATAGAGTGAGAGAGGCATTTACACATGGTTGTCAATCAAGTCCAGGTGCACATTCGTGGGCACTCTCTTGACGGGGAGCCATTCGCCAGCATCCGCTTGCCTAAACTGCCAGTCGTCCGTGAGTTCGTGTGAGCGCATTTTCGTGGTCATGCTCGGCGTTAAAGTGGAAGCGTCGCGAGGGACGCATCGGGGGCTCTTTTAATGAACATTCGAGATCGTGCAAGTGGAGCCCGACGATCGGAGAAAGGCGTGTCTTCCACACACAGTCCAAACGATGCCATCTCCGTGTCCAGCGAGGATGCCACTACGTGGCCCGGGCGCGTTGGAGAGACGGCGCTAGCTGTTTCGGGCACGGAGAAGCGGCCTTGCGGCCGCCACCCGTGCCTGTTTGGGGACAGCCTCGCCGCTCGACCCCACCTCACCCGCCTTCTCCGCCTTCCTCTCCACACGCACACCACACCTCCGTGTCGAATCGGGCTAGTTGGCCATGTCCTCCGCCATTGTGCTACCTCGCGTGGCTTCTCGGGCACTTCTTGGATACATCTCACGCATCTGGAGCGTCCCCAATATGGATTGCCTCGTTGTCGACGGCTCTATTTATTCATCCCATGCGGACCCCCATCCCATCCCATCATCAACTCTCTCCGTTCCTCCTGATCCCCGTTGAGACCGACAGATCAACCACCAGCCTGCTTCGATTCCACCCTTCATTCATTCGTAGGACACCCAAGCAACAAGTATACCCTAACCATCCAGCGTCATGTCAGCCCTTGCCGATGTCAAGTCCGCTGCTGTGGCAGAACAATTGGATCGCGTGAGTCGTTGCACGACACTGAGCCGTTCCCTTCCAGCTAACTGGTGTCGCTAGTTGCCCGACAAGGAACGAGTGGTCGATGTCAAGACCATCACGGGCAGTGATGCCTACGCTGAAGCCTTGATCAAAGAGCCACCTCGGCTTACCGCCAGAACCATTGCCCTCCTTGGCTGTCTCCTCTTGGGTTGTTTTGCCCAAACTGTGAATGGATTTGACGTTAGTTCGCATGAAAATGAGCCTTAAAGCTTGTAACTTGGTGACTACGGCTGACAATACGCGATTTAGGGTTCTCTGTTCAACGGACTTCTGGCCAACAACCAGTTCCTGACCTTCTTCGGCGGATCGGCCAGCGGCGAATGGGCCGCCATCAACTCCGCCATGTACCAAATTGGAGGCGTGTGTGCCCTACCCTTCGTGGGACCCGCCGTCGATACATGGGGACGAAGAGTCGGCTTGGCCATAGGGGCATGGATCATCATCTTCGGAACCATCATCAATGGCACCTCGGTTTTCGGTGGAGCGGATGCCCAGCTCAAAGGAGGCCGTTTCCTCCTCGGCTTCGGTGTGTCAATTATCGCCTCTGCCGGCCCGATATACGTCGTTGAAACCGCCCATCCGGCATGGCGCGGTGTCGTAACCGCCTATTGCAATACCTTCTGGTTCGTTGGGAGCATACTCGCCAGCGGTGCCGTCCGCGGCGCTCTAACCTTGACCGGCAATCGATCATGGTTGATTCCAGTCTGGCTCCAGGTAAGCCACCGACCATATTTCCTGTCATACCTTGGCCACAAGTAGCTGACGAGCATGCAGCTGTTCTTCCCCGGATTCATCGTCCTGTTGGTATGGTTCATCCCCGAGAGTCCTCGATGGCTGTACGCACACAACAAGCGTGAAAAGGCGATCGCCACCCTTTCGAAATGGCACGGAGAAGGCCGTGTAGACTCTGCGTGGGTTCAGCTTCAAACGTCGGAGTACGAGGAATACTTGAACACCAATGGCACTGTAAGATACACCATTCCACCTTCGTTAGTCGATTAAGTCACCAGGTACTGACGACACCACCACAGGATCGACGCTTCTGGGACTACAGCGCTCTCTTCCGCAATCGAGCCAGCCGCTACCGAATCGCCTGCAACTGCACCTTTGTCATCTTCGCCCAATGGGCCGGGAACGGAGCGCTGACCTACTTCCTCGTCGCCGTTCTTCACACCGCCGGCTACCGCTCCTCCATCACCGATGCCAACATCAACCTCGCATACTCCTGCTTCCAATTCTTCTTCGCCCTCTGCGGAGCCGCGCTTGTTGAGCGAGTTGGTCGTCGTCCCCTGATGATCGGCAGCATGACCGGGTGCTGCATCGTCTGGATCGGCATGACCATCGCCACTTCCCGACTCGCCGCGTCCAACGACACGGACAAGGCTGCCGGCCAGGCTGCTCTCGCCATGATCTTTCTCTTTGGCGCCAGCTTCTCGATCGGCATCACACCGCTTCAGGCACTCTACCCTGTCGAAGTCCTTTCCTATGAGATGCGTGCCAAAGGAATGGCCTTCAGCTCCCTAGCAGTCAACGCCGGTGGCCTGCTCAACCAATTCGCCTGGCCCATCTCTCTCGCCAAGATTGGCTGGAAGACGTATATCGTCTTCACCATCTGGTGTGGCATCCAAGCCATCGTCTTCTACTTCGTCATGCCTGAAACTCGCAAGCGCACGCTGGAGGAGCTCGATCGTATCTTTGAGGCGCGCAACCCTGTCAAGGCATCTCTGGCCACTCGTGAGATTGCGATTGATGCTGAAGGCACCATCATCGCGTCTGAGGTCAATCCTGTTGTTGACGCCAAGGTATGATGCCCGGTTGATCGGAATGGCAGTATTTTTTGCGAAACACGGATAAGAGTACCGGGGGTTCTTTCAGACAATGAACAAAATGGACGCTTTTCATGTTTTTTACGTTTTACCTCTCCAGTATCATCGGCTGCCATATCGTCAACGCGGCCGAAAATCCTTGTAATGCGTGCTCAGGAAGATGAAGAAGAGTTCCAAGGGGTATACATCAGTCATTGAAAGGGCTGCTCAGCCTCATGCCTCCATATGGCATCGTTCCATGCCATTGATTCATCCAGAGGGTCATCATACGTTTGGAGCCACTCGTCCAAATTCATTTCGCTGGTCAGCATGTCCGTGTCGTCGTAAGACGTCGGCAACGCCTGAGTGCTGCGACTGTCTTTGACAGCATTGCTCGCTGGAACAGGCATAGACGATTGAGGCTGCAGCGGAGCGGCGGGGTGTTCGAGGCTGCAATTAGCGTCGCAGAGTCTTTGAAGCATATTCTTGCATTTCCGCGACAGGGAAAGATCCTTGCGACTGAAGAATGCAATGGCAGTGTGAATCTGTCCCCGCCATGCTTCCACTTCTTCCTCTGCGGCCGCGTGAACCCCTGACGTGCGCCACAAGGAGTTGTGCAGGGAGAGCGAAACCATGGGCACCATGACGGCTTGGTACATCATCCATACGGCGTTCCAATTTGCGATGACTTCGTTCGGGCATGCAACGTTGATGTCTTCGATCGTCTGCGCCGCGAGTTTGCGGCATTTGGCGACGACAATCTGTTCCTCCTCTGATAATGCGTTGTAGGGTAGGCGTCGCAGTGCGCTCGCCAGTAGTAAGGGCCGATGGGCGAGGACGCGCAGCGTCATGTACCACCAGTACATAACCAGTCTTGGTGTCCTCAATTGTTCCGGGCAGTCGCTGTATGCTTGGACGGGCCCGGATACAGGCTCTTGGCCGTATATCGGAGTAGTTGTGGACGGGGGCGGGGGGTTCGTGACAGTGAGAAGGATGGGAGGTAATTCTCGATGCCACTGAACAAGCTCGCCATCAAGGACGGCTAATTCGCTCGTCTCGAGAGTCGTCTGGCTGGCGAGCTTGTCCTGAATATGAGTGGCGAGTTTGCAGAACCTGACGCTGTGAACGAGAGGCAGCAGCTTGATGGACGCGAGATATTGAGCGTTGTTCGTTTGCTCGGGAATCTGCGGCGTCTTGACGGTGACGGCTGCTCCGAGGCGACCAAGCGAGGGGCGACCAGTGCTCATAGATGCCCAGGTATCGAGACAGACCAGACTCCACCATGTCCGCCGTCGCGTCTCCACCGGTATCTCGGCCGTGCCGGATTTTTGCGGGCTGCTGAACTCGCGGTGCAGCCCCATCGCGACAGCCATGCGGAGGGCGGCGCCCATCAATGCATTGGCTTCGTTTGGACGGCTCAGCCAGTGGAGATAGTACCCGGTCAGCAAGCCAAGAGCCTGTAGGACAAAGAGATTACCACTTCCGAAAAGCTCGAGCGAGAATTGTACGCGCACGCGATGCGAGAACAGTAGATGCTCTTCTTTCGTTGAGGTGGGGTCCGCGAGCGAGCCTAAGGCTAGGACGATATTGAGTAGCATCGACCAGGGTGCATCTCTGCGGTTGGTATAGAGGTAGAGATAGCGGAACTCTTGCTCGTCAATCATGGGCATCATAGGATGCACACGCATGAAGTACATGTCGATGTACCTTTCGCCAACATCCGCCGGGGGCAATGTAGTCGGGTCACCATTGAAATCCAGTAGCAATCTGTTTGGCGAATTCGAATTTCGCCGGCTCGAGTTCGATGTCTCTGTATGATATTGCGCCATCCAAGCCCGGACCGACGGCTCGATCTTGAAGATAACCTCGAGAGCTGCGCTGATGGATGAAACGCCGACGTACGACGTCCTTTGGCGGACCGAGATGGAGAGAGCATTGACATCGTCCGCGACAGTCCACATGTGTCTTCCATATCGTTGCGCCTCGTCCGCAGCAGGATCTCGCTCGGGGGCCTGCTCGAGAGCTGACAGACTCTCGGCGCCGGCTGACGAGTGCGGTGCGGTTTCCGAGAAGTCGTTGGAGCTTACATTGTCAAGTAGAGCGCCGGCATTGCCTGCTCCGCTGCTCGCACTTGCGAGAGCGGCCGTTGCATTGCTATCAGAGGCCGGGCTCGAGGCATCCAGACGTTGCACCAAGCGCACGAGTTCCTTCCGACTCAACGTTGCCAATTGCTCGGGATCGTGCTCTGGGAAAAGCTTTGAACAAACCCCCGTCAGTAGCTCGACACGAGCTTGCAGACTATCGACATTGCTGCTTCCTCTCATGTCAGTATGCTTTCTGTGCGGGTTGTAGTCTGAGACTCGACATACGCTCGGGTGGAGGCTGCTCTCCGTGTCTGCTTTGGATAGCTACACAATCTGGGATGATTATACCAGAGGCATTGCTGACAGGGATGCCCGCCATCACACCTGGTCTTCCTTCGTCGGCACTCTAGACATGCGAGAGTGGTCGAAATGCGGCGTCGCGCCTGTGAATCGTCGGGCTGTGCATCGGCTTTGGCGACATGGAAGGTGTGATACGACATGCTTCTCCCTCCAATACGCCGGCATCCTCTCTACGTCGCGCAGGATTCGAAAGTCCTACATCCGATTCACGCAGTGAGAATAGACAGACCATGCTGCCAGAACGCCCACGGCTGACCCACTAAGTTCGTTGGTGTGGTGTCGAGTCTCGGCCCCCGCGCTTGCCCAACTGCGGAGGGAATCTTTAGTCAACCCAAAGGGGTGCGGAGTTGAGATTCCAGACCGAAAGGGTCCTTGGCTGCTTCAACAATTAATGGACATCTTACTGATCACAATTAAAGCAAATCCACAGCACTGTAGTTAGGCTTTGACGATGTCACACCTCACATACTACGCCTACAAAGGCTTCGGGGAGCGTCAGGCCCAAAAGTTTCGCTATAGCCAGGCTGTGCGAGTGGGAGACCGCATTGAATGCGCTGGCCAAGGCAAGAGCACCTACCAACCAGACCATTCGTTTCGTAATCGGTACGCTGACGAAACCCAGGCGGCTGGAATCCGGAAACCGGTGAAATCTACAAAGAGATCAACGAGCAGATCGATCAGGCGTTTTCGAATGTCGAATTGACGCTCAAAGACGCAGGCGGCCGTGGTTGGTCACAAGTCTTTCGAGTCAATTCATATCACGTCCCGCTCAACAATGAAGCGTTGGCGGCAATGGTCCGCAATTTTGCGAAATGGATGCCAGATCATCGTCCTATCTGGACTTGTGTCGGAGTGCCGCGCCTGGGCGAAGATGATATGAGGGTGGAGATTGAGGTCGTAGCGCACGATCCTGAGGGAGCGCAGACGGCGACTGCATCGGCGTCTTGAGGAGGCTTGAGATGTCTTGATTGAGGGCTACGTGCACGCAGCGTTGGGCTTTTCAAGACGCATCGCTTTCTCGAGGACGTCCAGCGCTTCAGCTTCGACGATCCTTCTTTCGACAAGATAGGCAATGTACTCTCTGATCCACGTCTCCGACAGCTGCATCCATGATCAGCCATGCTGAGTTCACGTGCCGGCGCCTCAAAGCTTACTTGGTTGGAGCAGCCTTCTGCCGATCTGGTTGCCGGCACTCTCAACGCGAGGTCATCCATTGCACCTTTGGCCACTGGCTCGACCTCTGCGAAGAAGGTTTCATCGAATGGCTCTGCTACGTACTTCGCGGCTATCGAGCCAAGCCGTTTCGCAACGAGAAGATTTGTATCTGTGCTGCAGTCGTAGTTGCGTTGGAACTGATGGTAGATCGTCCCCGCCGAGTCCTCGATTACATGGATTCGAGTGCCACGACATGGCCGTGTTCGTCCGAGAGGCTGATGATCAACATCGGTGACCGTGGGGACGAAGATGGATGTCAGCCCGTGTCCCTCCAGACCAGCAGCGGCCCGGATTAGCCAAAGTGGCCTGTCGGCCATATTCGAATCTCCAGGCACTGCTGTTGCCAAACTCGATTGACGGAGATCTATCGTAGAACCGTGGAAAGTGGAAGGCAAAGGATGAAGTCTGGCGTGTCACGTGGGATCGTGCTGCTCGAAACGCGCTAGCGCGCAACCCTCACATCAAGCTTTGAGACGCCGTGATTGTTCAACCTTGACCTCGCATCCTCACTTGTGAATGACCAGCGGTCGCGTCTTGCCGCCCGTCCTCTAAGCCGTGTCAAGCATGGCTCCGACAAGACCACGTCCCCAAGTCGCCGCTCCGCAGGGGCTCAAGAAGGTGCACCGCAAACCGCGTACACAAAGAGAACCCTCCGACAGCTGGGAGCTGCTCGACCGTCACGAACTTGACGCCAACGCGGACGACGATGTGGAAGGGGTAGGACAATCCATGCGCATCCGAAACTCGGCAGATGTGGACGAGGCCATGAATCCGCTACGCGAAATGGCGGACCGCATTGGAAAGGAGGTCGAAACTTTCGCCGTTACTCTGGACACATATCTCTTCAGCCGTAAGGACCGGGAGTCAAGTATCTTTGGCCCCGCCCACGACGTCGTGGTTGCATTCAAAGCGATTGCCGAAGAGAAGGTCCATGAGATCAAGCGAGGTCATGAGCAGGAGGTGAGAGCTCAGCTGAAGAAGGAATGGAGTGAACAGGCGCCAGTTCCTGCTGCTTCTCTCGCCCTTGCGCCTTTCACGTCTACAGGGTTGGGCTCGCTCACCACCAGACAGGCGGAGCAAGTCAAGCAATTACGCCAATGGCAACAAGAGGCGGATATCTGGGAGCTTTTCAGGATACTACTCGAGCTGCACCCATCCGAAGCAAAGGCGCGAGCCGCACGTGCAGGGCATAATGAGAAGCGCCTCAAGGACATGGGACCTCCGCATCGCTATGCTTCTGAAAGTGATCTCTGGGAGCGATTCATTATCGAGAATGACCTGGCAAGAGAGCGATACATGATCAAAACCTGGTTGGAGCAGACTGCAGATCATCAGATCAGTGATGTGCAGGGTATTGTCGAAGAGCTGGAAGCGAAAGCTGGCAGAGGCAAAGGTCTTTGGTCGTCTGGCTGGATGCACACTCGGGAGAAGATCAAAGGCGAGAAGCGGTTGAGGATGTGGCCCAGCGCCGAAGACTCGCCTCAACCTCAGATCAGACGCTCGGACAACACTGAATTGCTCATCACGACCCTCGACCCGGATGCGCCTGCACGACAAAGCCGCACTCTCGAAAAGCCCGATGCCTATTTCGAACGCGCAATTTGGGTGGCCTGCTGGGAAATGCTGCGCCGCGGAAGCTCGCTCGAGGATATTTCAGCCTGGTGTGAAGAGCGTAGAGAGGGTTGGCGAGCTCTTATCATGGGTGCAGGGCTTGATGACGCCAAATCCGCACCATCCAACGTCCTCTGGAGACGAATGTGTCTCCTCGCATCCCGCTCAGGGACTGTGACGGACCACGAGGCTGCTGTCCTGGGCCAAATTGGTGGCAATGTCAAAGCTATGGAAAGGGTGGCGTACTCTCTTGACGATCACCTCTACGCTCACTACAGTGCTGCGCTTACGCAACAATTCGACCAATACCTGCTCGCCACCAATCCCGCGAAGGCCCGCCATTCTACTTCACGTCGGAACCTACTGGAGGATTTCGCGTTCGATCCCGAACACGCACAGCGCGCTATCAACGATTTGATCACGCGTTTGAGGAAGAATGCATCCACCAGTTCGGAGTCTGCTCAACCAATGAAAATCATTCAGAGCTTCTTGCTTGAAAACGAAGTGGCTCGCCTGATTCACACAGTTGGCGCAGCGATTGCGGAGACAGCTGCTCTCCAAGGGCCGGAGGATATGATATATCTCCGTGATCGGGAAGCCAGCAACGGTGGAACGCCCAGGGGCGAGGCGGAGGTCGCACTCAACCCTCAGACGCTGAGAATCGTCGCGCACATGGCCATTGTGCATCGTTTTTCGAGCCCGAATACACTTCACGGGGACGAGCTCCTCGAGGATGAGAACGTGCTCGTAGCTTACATCCAAGCGCTGCGGCAGGCGCGTAAATGGTCTCTCATTCCCAATTACGCAGCCAAGTTGCAACGCCAGAGGTACATTCTCGTCATGGGACGGGTGTTGCAAGACGTCAGGGATGCCGGCGAGCGGACAGAGATCCTTGAGCTTCTGGAAGCGAATCAAATGGACATTGTGTCGATCCTGCAGGAACAACTGGCCTGGCATTTGGACATGGCTTTCCCCAGCCAATATGCTGAGAAGCCATTGACCATCCTCGAACCGGCGCCTCCCGAGAAGGCGATATATCCCGGATATAGAATCAACGAGAAATTCTTGCCGACTGGAGCCGTCGAGGGTGACGACGCTGTGATCAGAGCCTTGGAATGGTTCCTGTTGCTCAAAGGAGGTTGGGAGGTCACGTTCAAAGCCCTTGCAATAGCTTTGAGAAAGTGTCTTGGTAAGTCCTTGATGGGGATGAAGAAAGTAGCATTGCTAACTAGAACCAGTCACTGGGCGCCTCGCATGCGCGGTCAGGATTGTGAATGCCTTCCCATACGACAAAGTCTCCCAGGACAAAGCACAGCAGACAATGGGCGCCAAAATTAACCCCATGGACTGGCCAGCCACGCTTCCTCAAGACGATCTCTCGGACGACGACCTCCGCATCTCCCTTATGAGACGCCAATCCCGAACCTTCCACGAACTCTCCCAACTCGTCTCCATCATCCAATCATTCCACCCCTACCGCCGCGAAGAAGCCAAATACGCCGACGGCGAAAAACGCCCCGCCACGGTGCCCCGGCCCTTGAAAGACGCCAAAGACGTCATCAGCGCAAACATGGAGCCCCTCCTCCACGGCATCCTCCAACACCCCGTCGACGACGTCGAGGCGCAGGATCTGGCGTATATCCGCCTTGCGTACGTGCCGGAGGTGGTGATCACTTACGTTGTTGTGCTTTACGCGGCCGGTCGGACGATTACTAGGGATGCGTTGCTGGACAGCATGGAGCTCAGCGGGGTGATTGCGAACTCGGAGCCCGCAGATGTTGCGAGTGGGGAGCCTGGGAATGGGCTGGCGGAGGTGTTTGTGCAGGCCGGCAGGATGAGGGAGCTGGTGGAGTTTTTCGCGAAGACGGCCAAGTCTATGCTGGTGCTCAAGGCGGAGGGCAAGCCGTGGAGGCCGAAGAAGGGGACGGTGGGGAAGGATTTGGGGATGTGGGAGATTGGTGGCGGTGGGGAGGAGTTGTAGCGGCATTGAGGAAAGGCGGTAGTTTGAAAACTAGAGACATGGAATCCATATTGAGCGATTGTTGTTCATTTCTTCTTCTTCTACCCAACAGAATGACCGTTTTAGAATGGAGTCGACTCCGTCGACGTAGACCTCACCCTCCTCCACCGTCTCCTAGGCAGCCCTTCCTCATCTTCGTTTGCATATATTTCATGCAGCGGCCGCCGCCTCTCAATCCTATACCTCTCCTCAAGCGAAAACTCAATCTCACACCGCACCTTCAACGCAGCCACGCACGGCCACACCGACTTCTCTCCCAGCCTGATCCAATAGTCAATCTCCGCTTGGCGCGGATTGCGCAGCAGGCGGAGGAAATCGCTGGGCATCACTTCCGGCACCATCGTGAGGGAGCGAAAGGGCACGCGCTCGTCGATGAGGAAGCGGCGGAGGCGGCGCGGCAGGCCCCAGATGCGGTCGACTTGGTGCATACGGTGGGCGAGATCTTTGCCGATGGCATGGATGAGCCAGTCTTTGAGGGAGGTGAGGGACCACGGGCTGGAGTGCTGACGAGGACCGTTGGATCTGTGCAGGGATGGGGCGAGGAATGGGACGAGGTAGGGACGGGCTTGGGAAATGATGAAGTGGTTGACATTTTCGAGCTGAGAGATGCGTTGGAGAGGGGCGTTGACGTCGTCTTTGATTGGCATTCTGCGTTGACGTTTGCGGCGGAGCTTGCGGAAGGCAGGCGTTTCGTCGTTCAGAGACCAGTCTCGGATTTCGCCTCGCGAGTTCTTTTCCTTGATCATGGCTGGGGCAATGTCGGGGTCGCTTTCATTTGATGCCAGCGCTGCTGTGCGGAGAAGAATGTGAGGGGTGGTGATGTAATTGAGGCAATTGGGGGTGCCGGGACTGTCGCATTCGATGGAGATGCTGATGATGCGGCCGGTGAGTTGGTGTGCTTCTCGAAAAGTCATGTCGCCGACATTGTCTCGGACGCATTTCTCAAGTGCATCTTTGTCAAGTACATAACCGGAATCGTAGAAGCGTTTGAGCCTTTTGCAGAAGATGGCGAAGACATCGTACCATTCGGGGGGCGGTTGGCGTTCTCGAGCTGCGAACGCAGTAAGGTCAAGCATGCGTCCGTTCAGGAGATTGGGCAGGTCGGCGTCTTTGCATGTGCCGACAAGTACAGCCATCAAGGCGCCAGTGCCAGTCCCAAGAATGACTTTTGGTAAGAGGTCACGTTCGTGAAGAGCCTTCATGACGCCGATGTGATACAGGCCGAAAATGCTGCCTCCCTGCAGGACCAATGCTGTCTTGCTGTAAGCAATCCTAAAGCGTTCTGCATAATTCATCTTGCTCTGTTGAGGAAGCGTGCCGCCCTTCCAGTGGCCCTCGAAGAAGTTGTCCAGCAAATTTGCCATGGCATCCATGTACTCTTTGATGAGCCACTTGGTGCCGGAGTAGACGCGGTTGTACAATCTCTCATCCGCGATATTACCCAGACCACGGACCAGGCCAAATTGGAGAAGACAAAGTGCACTGTTGAAGTCCTCTGCAATGAGTGCATTTTCGATATTGGCTATCCGCTGTTTGAGTTGTTGCCAGTGATATAGTGGGCTTACGGGGTTCAATTTCCACTCCAGATTGCCCGGGAGATACTGGTCCAACACAAAAGCTGCTTCCGACCACTCATCGTAGTTTCGGGCATTGTCGAGATTGCCTCGCAGTCGTTGGAGCTCGGGGTCGCCAAACAGTGAGCAGCGCAGTCGATGGACGAGACGCTTGCTTCGTGGAACGAAGTACCATACGCCGCTGAGGATGTAGAGAGCGCTCCAGATGTAGCTCCAAATTAATGGTACGTTGACAGCCATGATTTCTGAGAATGGAGTATCAGGGCAGAGTAGCGGGCGAGTAGATGGCGCAGAGTGGAAAGAAAGGCGAGGTGGAAGGGCCCTTTGCGAGGGGAGACATTGTGTGTGTGTGGGAGCTCGGACGCCGTTACCGCATATTGTGGTAGTGGCGGACAGCTGGTCAGCGATAATGGGTTCGCCAACAACGTGTGCGAAGGGAAGGTTGAATGGATGCAGTCACCCAACCGCTGCAAGTGCAGACGTAAAGTGGATGTACGTGGCTCGGCGTTGACCGGGCCGGCAGCATCACGTGACTCTAAATCCAAGCATGTGGCGCATTACAGCCTCTCATCATGCACATTCATTCGGCACGACGTTACAACAAAGGAGCAAGATAAGCAACCCTCCTCTCGATCGAACGCGCGACCTTTTCAAGTCTCGAACCTCGAAAGATGACGAAAAAAAGAAGGCAACCCTCGGCGTAATCAGCGCAGCATTACAACGCCCGCGAACGGACTATGGCACCTCGCTCCGGGCTACAACTAAGGATCACGCTGCCACTTGCAATCATACCGTGGTTGTTAGGGCCTGCTCAGATCTATGTCGGGCGCTCGGTACGTCGGCCCCTTATCTAGCTCCCCAACCATTCGATCGAACGCGTTAAACGTTGTGACTTAGTTAGAACGCTGGTCTGTAATTTTACTCTATATATTCACAATAACGTGGCGAGGTTTAGCCGGTAGTGTGAGGTGAGGTGAGGTTACACGGCGGCGGCGTTTGTTGGCCGGCGAAAAGGCTGCGTGTTTCGAGATCACCTTGGTTCGAGTGGGCAAGGCTGCCGAGCATACGAACATCCGACGACCTGTATTGATCCCCATGCCGCTTCACGGGGTGTACAATTATTTGTTATATCAGTCATCGAAGCATTGCTCTAAGGGCAGAACTTGGTTTATCAATAAAAATTCGATATCGTTAGGCGTGAGGTGGATGTACGTTGGGCGGAGATGGCTTGGCGCTCGTCGCGGCGCGGAGTCACGTTAACATGCCCGCCATAAGTGTTGTCGCTCGGCGAGTCATGCGCGCTCCGAAGCTTCTGTTAGCGATTCTCACCAAATCTATTCGTCTCATGCATTATAAGCTCTCTTTTTGCCACTCACCTCGCCGTCGCCCCTCAAAACACGTGTTTTGACGCGTATACGAGCTGTTGCTAGCCTCTCATGCCTGCTCAGCTGCCGCTGCCGGTGTGTAGGCAGGTACAGAGCCTGCTTGAAGGCACCAACCTTAAGCCTGCTGCCATTGCCGCACGCGTTGGTGTTAGCAGACGGACGATTGAACGGATGAGATTGTCTCTCGAGTTGTTTAGCACCTCATATCCACCGGCTGCGAGCCGGATTGGTCGTCCACGCGCTCTTACTACAGAGCAGACGCAGGTGCGTCCGCTCCGCTCCTACTACTCGTAGGCTCGCTAACCCCTTCTGCAGTGGATGCTCGATTTCCTCGACGATCGCCCTTGCTCTTACGCAGATGAGATCGCTCTCGCCGTATACGACGAGTTTGGTGTAGATGTGGCGGATCGATCGATATATCGGTACCTGTTACAGGCAGGTTGGACGTGTAAAGTGTGTAAAGAGAGGGCAGCTCAGCGGAGTGAGGCTTTGAGAGCTATATGGCGGACGAGATCAGCTCACTGGCCTGCGGACAAACTCGTCTTCGTAGACGAGAGTGGAGCAAATGAAAAGACAGCTGCTCGTAAGAGGGGTTGGTCGCCAAAGGGGCTCAGTTGCACGGTTATCCGGACGCTCGCTCGCTCGGAGAGGTGGTCGATCCTGCCTGCTCTTACAATCAATGGATTCCTACCTCAGCCGCTTGTGTTTCAAGGCTCGGTGTCGAAGGAGGTGTTTCAGTGGTGGCTCCTTCAGCGTATGTTACCCTTCCTGTCGCCTGGCTCGATTATTGTCATGGACAACGCTTCAATCTACCATAACCTAGGTATCGAAGAGACGTTAGCAGATCAAGGCGTGCGGATTGAGTACCTGCCGCCGTACTCACCGGATTTCAACCCTATTGAGCTCACCTTCCACGCCATCAAGCAGTGGTTGCGAACCCACTGGGGCGAGGCTGCGTCGTATCCGGACTTTGGTGCCTTCATCCGTGTGGCCGTTCACCACGCGGTAGGCCCTGACGCCCGTAGCTACTACCGGCACTGCGGATATGAGGTTGAAGGCGTTGAAGGTGTTGAAGCTGTTGAAGGTGTTGAAGTCGTTTGAAGGTGTTTGAAATGGCTTAGCATGGCTTCGAGCTTGCGAGGCTCGCCACTAGATTGATACTATATCTTCACCACGGTGCAATGGACTCGCACACGCAATTGAGTGTTCGTTCTATGTACCTATCTCTATCGATTCTAAGTGTCACATCAAAAATCGGTTCAGTGGTTGTGGTGTAATAGACGCTCGAACGTGAATCGCCTCGCCAGCCTCAAAGTCGTGATGATGTCACTGCCTCTTCTACTTCCTCAGGCTCTGCTTCACCTTATCCATTTGACCTGCCTTCAAACCCATATCCTTCCACTGAGCTGCTGTTATACCTTTGATGCCATCAAGATCCTATCCATTATCGATCCATTCGAGCCTCATCTTATCCAAATCAGCCGCGAGGCCACGCTAGCTGTCACGCTCAGCACACCAGTCAAGAAACCGATCCACACGCTCGGTAGGAGCTGAAGAGCTAGGTTGTGAGGATGGCGGCTCTGGTATAGCACCACCAGCAGTGTGATAAGGAGGCGGCATACCTGGCGGCGGGTAGGGGTAGAAGTAAGGCCATGGCTCCTTACCACGTCGCTCAGGCGAACGAGAGCGTGGAGGCGGCGGCGGCTCTGACTTCTTATGGTTGTAGGACTTCTGCCTCATACGAGCCTGGCTCTTATGAAGAGCACTGTGGATATCCAGGTTTGGCGCCATCGCTGTCAGCCTGCCGGCCTTGATTTCAGCTGCCCAGTCGGCGAAGATGTCCTTATTGAAGGGGCAGTGGTTGTCAGGTACGTTGGTGAAGCAGTAATAGCAATAACCGTTATTGCCATCACCGTAATTAGGACAAGCCTGCAGTGTACAGGCCCACTAGAGCCGCAGCCCTGAGCTGTAGTCGCCTTGAGCTTCTAGCTCTTCAATCTGCGAAGGAACCAGCGCCTCCTGGCGAGTGGTAGTAGTTGGGCGGCAGTGAGTTGAGACAGTAGGGCTACTGCTCGGTGGCGCTGCAGTTGACTTCTCGCGCTCATAAAACCACTGCAGTGTTATACAGGGATCGATCCACCCGTGTTTTTGCCAGCTCATAAGACGCTCTACGAGCTCTTTATACTCGGACAGGTGCTCAATATCCGTCTTGTAGTGCTTCCGAATCGGCTGATCCTCATACGACGCAGTTGCAGACAAGCGAGTGATTTTATACTCCTTGCCAGCCTGTAGAGCGGCCCACTCTTGAGCTATACCATACACCGGCTGGTCGCCTTTGCAGCTCTTTCGCCTGTTTGCCAGCTCCCTTTGACTGCGGCTCGCGACAAGGCGCCACACTACATCATACTCAAACGTGGACGGATCCACTGTCAAATCAACCGCCTCAGCGTCCGGATCCGAGTCGTGTAGCGATTGAAAATCGTCGTTGTCCGCGGCCTCAATCTGATTCAATACAGCGGCTGTAGCAGTAGACGCGTCCTTTGATTGAGAGGCTGCGGCAGTGGAAGCAGACGCGTCTGTTGCTCGGCGGCGAGCCTTTGAAGGAGCGTGTCGGCTAGCCTGCTTCTTCGCCTTCCTTTTGCGTGTAGCAGGAGCAGGAGCAGGAGCGCGAGCGGCAGTAGGAGTGGCAGTAGGTGCGGCAGCAGTGGCCACCTTCGGTGTAGGCCTAGACACACGCGCCGGACGCGTTCGTGAAGGCATTGCAGCGGCGAGAGCGACAGTGAGAGCGACAGTGAGAGCGACAACACCTCGGATTATTGATATACACGTATATCAACTCAACACAAGGGGCGACAGCGAGGTTGGTGGCAAAAGAAGCGGTTATAATGCGTGAGATGAATGGTTTTGGTGAGAATCGCTAATAAAAGTTTACAGGCGCGCATAGCACTCGGCGAGCGACAACACTTATGGCGGGCATGTTACTCAGAGTTCCTTTCGCTCCGCGCTGCTGGTCCGTGCTTCTCTCCCGCGTTGCCTAGAACGCGTCTGTCTTGCCAGTGGCGACTTCGCATGTTCCTTCACTGTTGACTTCCCATCCTCATTTTCAATCACTCAGCTAGCATCGCCGAAAATGAGTGCCGAGGAAGAACAGTCCCAGTCAGGTTATGATGATGGCCTGGCAGGCGGACCCGGTGCACCGACGCCGCTGTCCGCGCTGGAGGTGAGCTTCCACTGCACGCCTCTTGTCTGCGGAGAAGCATGTTAACATTCGCGCAGGGCATTGCAGGACTCACGAAACGCGACATCCAGTTGTTCATAGATGGCGGGTACAACACGGTGGAGTCGGTGGCATACACGCCCCGCAAGATTCTCGAGCAGATCAAAGGCATCTCGGAGCAGAAGTCGACCAAGATTCTAAGCGAAGGTTCGTGCCATCATCGCATTCTGTCAGCACAGACTACTGACTGTCAATACAGCGTCCAAGCTGGTTCCAATGGGCTTCACTACCGCCACGGAAATGCATGCACGCCGCTCGGAGCTCATCTCCATTACTACCGGCTCCAAACAGCTCGACACACTGCTTGCCGGCGGGATAGAAACTGGCAGCATCACGGAAGTGTTTGGCGAGTTTCGCACTGGCAAGTCCCAGATCTGTCACACTCTCGCCGTCACCTGTCAGTTGCCTTTCGACATGGGTGGAGGCGAAGGCAAATGTCTGTACATCGACACCGAAGGCACCTTCCGTCCCGTCCGTCTTCTCGCCGTGGCAGAACGCTACGGCCTGAATGGAGAAGAAGTACTGGACAATGTGGCATATGCCCGAGCATACAACTCTGAGCACCAACTTCAGCTTCTCAATCAAGCAGCAACAATGATGACGGAAACTCGCTTCTCGCTCCTCATCGTGGACAGCGCCACATCCCTCTACCGAACAGACTTCATGGGTCGAGGAGAACTCAGCAGTCGCCAAACGCACCTTGCCAAGTTCATGCGTACGCTGCAACGCCTGGCGGATGAATTTGGTATCGCCGTAGTCATCACCAACCAGGTCGTTGCACAGGTCGATGGAGGGCCTTCTGCAATGTTCAACCCAGACCCCAAGAAGCCCATTGGCGGGAACATCATCGCCCACGCGTCCACTACTCGCCTGTCGTTGAAGAAGGGCCGGGGTGAGACGAGAATCTGCAAGATCTACGACTCGCCTTGCTTGCCTGAATCCGACTGCATGTTTGCTATCACCGCGGAAGGAATCGGCGATCCCAGTCCCAAAGATCTAGAGAAGGACTGAGAGGTGTGAAGGTTGTTTGCCACCCACTTTGCTCGGGTGGTACGAGGAGCCATGAAAGAGCAAAGGCGTATACTACAGAGCTGCTGATGAGTTGATGGCTTGGAGTTGGGGCATGGCGGAGATCGGAGTCGGGCAGAAGTGGCTATACCCTGTATTATGATTTGCTGCGCGGAATAGCTCTGTCGCATTTAGCGTTCACTTTGACATGTTGTTCATTCTCTATGTGTCTTTCGCGTTCGTGATGAGTGCAGCCTGAGCATAAGTGAATTGCCAGCTGCGGCCAAAAGTCGTGACGCGGCGACGCGATGGAGCTTCACGTCTCCAAGCTGCGACTTTTCTTGAGCCATCCACATACCTCCCTCTTTCAGCAGATCCGCCGCTCCTCTGCGACCCGACAAGATGTCTCGCGCGCCAGTGCAGCATGTCGAGACCTGCATCTCGGTGTCGCCAGCATCGCCCTCCCTGGTGCTCCACATCAACACCACACCAGAAACATCCCTTGGACTGTTTGGCGCTGGGCGAAAGAGAGGCTTTGAAGAGATATCCGGTTTAGATGAAGAGGCGTATGCGCGCAAATACCTCGCCACGGAAGGCTCGGTGTTCTTCCGGCGAAAAGGAAGGACCCCAAGGAGCTTTCTGTGGAGGGTATTGGAAGACCGGAAATTGCTGGAGATTCAATGCGTAGATCTTGTGCATGACAAGAAAGCGGCGAAGAGTGAAAGCGGGCTCACTTTCCGGGTCCAGCTGCCAGCTGCGATCGTCAGAAATGGTGTCGTGTTTGCGGATCCGGAGGATGTGGACAGCTTGGAAGCATATGTCCTGACGGCCAGCAATGAGCTCTACACCATCACCCTCAAGCGCGATCTGTTGACACGAGAGACGGCCCCCAGTGAATTCGACGCATCGACGTGCGTCAAGAAATACTCGTCAAATTCCCTCGCATTCCGACATCCCTACAAACTGGTGGCAGTCTCCGGCCTCGAGCTCTTCATCACCCTCCATGATGGCGGCATCCTGCGCCTCGCCCGTCAGCCGAACGAGAATGGTACACACTGGCGCGAAACCTTCTACAGTGAGGGCAATTGGGGTGATACTATCCGAGGACTGATCACCTTGAAACGACATCAAACCGTGCGGTACGGTGACCTGGAGCTGGAACCGAGCGCCGTTGCTGCACTAGCGGAGAGTCCAGATGGGAGACATGTATGGACTGTCACTCTAGATCACGAGCTAAAGGCATGGAGTACGACCACTGGCAAGCCGATTGCGCACATCGACATGCTGAACCAGCGGTTTGATGAGGAAACCAAGAAGCTGCAGAAGTACGTGATGAGCGCGGAGCAAGGCACCTTGATGCAGCTTGTCACGCTACCGACCACGTCGAAACGACTCACCAAGAGCGATCAGGACTTGTTGTACTACATTGTTCTCAGATCGCCGAAGGACAACCAGTTCAAATTCTACGAGGTGTCCGCACCGCACTCCGCTGGAGAAGAGGAAGAGTCGATCAGGCTAGACCCCATGCAAACGGCAGCGACTCTCATTCCTCCATTCGCCGAGCTAATGGATACCACCATGTGGCATCTCGAAGAATTCCACGTCATTCCCGGCCCACTGTGGAGAGACTCGCAAATCTGGATTCGCGCTCGCAATGGCAAGCTCTGCAAGACCTTCACCCTCACCTTCAGCCTTTGGGAGAAGAAGGGCGAGGCGGCGGACTTGGAGCCTGTCTGGCAAAATGAATGGACATCGGTCGATGCCAGCATGCAGACTGCCGAAGCCCTTCGCAATTGTACAGACTTTCCGGGCGATCTCGAAGGAGGGAATGAGAACATATCAACCTTGCCCACGGAGAAATGGGTGGATTTCCTCTTCTCTCCCGGACGCTTCAGCACCGCATCCATCGACACGGCGCTCAGCATATACCGCAAAGGCCGAGGATTGCAGGCCAAGTCTCGCATCAAGGGTCTAAGCGCGCCCGAGGTGCCTTTGAAGGAACGAGTGACCGAAGCGATTGGATCCAAGATCGTCCTCAAGCGTCATTCCACCGACCAGCCGGATTATGAACGATATCAGTCCAGTATTCAGACGGAGTGGAAGACATTCTACTCTCTCCTACGCGACCTACACACACGTCGACACGAAGCGGTTGGCCTCGCTCTGGACACAGTAGATGGCTTAGCGTGGACGGTCTACGCTGATTTCGTCGCTTCGATCCGAGCTACGAGTCAATTCGAGGCGCTTGTGGTCAACGAGCACTTACTTGAGGGCAATGGCCTGCAACTCGTTGACGAGTCTATCTCGACTAGCATCTTCCCCTCAAACGAAGCAGTCCATTTTGCCCAGGTCCTGTCTGCCACGAAGGAATTCTGTTCAAGGCTCTCGCCCGAGTTCAAGGAACAATTCAACAACGACGTGCTGCTCGGGGCACTCGAAGACGACACGGGTGATCGCCAGCGCAGTCAAAAGCGTGTGCAGGATCTCTACGACACACATGATTTCAGCGTCGAGGTCATGGACGACGACTTTCTTGCATTGGAACACGCTGCACAGCCTTTTGGTGGTCTGGGAGATTTGAGCGAGGCGGGTATTCTTGGCGTGTTGGAGCTGATGCAGGAAGACGCCAACAACAGCGGTGCCGATCCTGGCAAGGCTCTGAGCTTGTATGGCAATAAAATGACCATCGCCATCGCACGAGAGACCTTGGAGCAGCATCGGAGTGTCTTGCTGAGTCTACTCACACTGGTGGTGTTCATGTACGGCGACCTGGATCAAGCTGACCTACACCCTGAGTTTCTGTCGGAGATCGGTCCGCTGTACGACGCCATTGCTACACGATTGAAGCATAATGTTATGCTCTCGTGGCTCGCGCGAAACACGATTGCAGTGCCGCAAGCGGAGAACACGCATGGAACGAAAGTGGACTCAATCACCGTCACTTTGTTGGAGAGGCTCTTTATCGGCGACTGGGACCCCAAGTCCAAGCCCAAAGAGACCCTCTCCGAGCAACTGACAAAGTGGAGCAAGCAGTGGACGTACGGTGCCCGTCTATGGGACGAATGGGATGGCGTGACTGGCCATGTGTTGGGATTTCTGATTCAACAACAGAGCTATGAGCTCGCTACGGACTTTCAGGTGTTCTTGTCTCGGGGCGAGGAGTCGTCCAGCTGGCTTCAGTACTTGGAGGGACGACTGCTCCTTGCAACAGGAGAATATGCACAAGCGAGCCTCAAATTCCAAGCCGCGGCAGGTGGAATGGCAGAAGCGACGAAGGTGGCTGGCTCAGACACCGCACATCTGCTCTCTGCCGAGGAGCAGAACTATTTCGGCGATGGCCACAGTCGCTTCTACCAGCACATCTCCGCGCTGTACGAGAAGCTGCGCATCTTTTCGTACACTGCAGACTTTGCGACCCTGGCGCTGGATCATCTGGAGAACGGCGAGGATATTGGTGCTCGCTCGCTCATGGAGATTGACCGGAGGAAGGCGAATCCTGAGAGTCCGGCGCATCAAAGGGTGGGCGGTGCGCTGGAGGAGATTGACATTCTGAAAGAGTACGAGCGACGAAAGGAGGAAATTCGCGGACGCCTGTTCACAGCGCAGGTGGAAACGGGCAGGTTCGCAGAAGCACTGCGTACCCTTTCCAGCATTGCAGAGCGCGCCATCCGACACGCCAATCTCTCGACTCTCATCCGAACGTGCATCCAAAAAGACGCAGTGCCGACTTTACTCGCTTTACCGTTTGCAGACACCGACGTCCTCCAAGACGCAGATGCAATCCTCCTCTCCCTCGCAAAGAAGAGTCTCGCCTCAGGAACCGGGGGCGGCAGCAACAGCATCAGCTCCACCGGCGCCACCACCCCCCACTACCAAATCCTCTACGCTTTCCGCACGCAGAATTCCGACTTCCGCGGTGCGGCCGAGATCCTCTACGCGCACTTGCAGCGGCTGCGAGACGCGCATGCGAAGCAGGGAATTCTGGATCCCGAGGAGCAGACGCTGGTGCAGGCTTATGTGCTGCTTATTAACACGCTGGCGTGTTGTGGAGAGGGCGAGGGGTGGTTGTTGGCGGATCCGCTGGAGGGTACTGAGGGGAAGAGGAGGTTGGTGACGTTGGCGGATGTGAGAGCTGAGTATACTGCTGAGTTGGATCGGAGGAGTGAGGTTCTGCAAGGGAGGTTTCCGCTTTTTGCGGGAGTTGGTGGTGCTGGGTTGGGGGAGGAGATGGATGTGTTTTGAGTGGCTAGGTAGGAGTGTGTTGAGGTGAAGATTGAATGTGATTCTACTGTCCTCGACACCCAGTCTATCGTCCCAGTATGCATGTGTCTGATTGTCGCGAGTTTGTGTGAGTTATTAGGAGGTCAAAAGGTGTGAAGCTGGCAGCCTTGCAGCCTCAGGCAGCTGTACTGCCATTGGCCAGCTTTCCGGCCGCTAACTTTATTAGGCAAGGCCGCGGCAACTTTGCCGAGCGTTTGCAGCGCTCGCCCCACACATTGCTCCATGCTGTTCACGAGCTCCAAATCGACCCAAATTCGCGCAGAATCGCTGGAAAGTCGAATACAAGACCAAAAAATCAAGTCAGAGTCCCGTCAGAGGCGCAAAAGAATAGCTGAACTCTGTTTCGATCAGAGGGCCTCCGGGTCACGTGATAGTCACGTGATGTGACATCAGTATGAGCCCGGCGCGCTTCCGCTGCGCCATTCAGCTTGAGAGTACAATTGATCACGGCGGCTGAATCTAAATATATACCCTTGTTGTCTAATCACCCGATATTCAACCGCGACCTCACATCGTCCCGTGGCCCTCATCCTCCGATATCCATCTACAGGTACTCTTCCGTGCAAGAGGTCAAGAATACAAAAAGCTCGGCTACGCTGTAGCCACATGTGCTCTCTGAGATTTTCGAACACGATCTTCGGTTCTAGCAAGTTGATGTGCACTGCCCAAAGGCGCGAGCACGCCCGGTGAGCCATGCCCATGCTGCGGCTCGGACGACAACGAAGGCTTGGAACAGACTGGGGTCGAAAGCACGACTGGACCATTGTCGGTGGCGATCTTGTTCGGAATGCTCCATTGAGATGCAGATGATCAGCCTCCCATTGCAAACTTCGCAATGTCGCCAATCGGGGTATCTGTGCTAGAGCCGCAAGCATCTGTCTCCGTCCTGCTACAGATGCGGGCAGCGTTTGTAACTATGACTTCTGACATCGATATCGAAAACCTAGTAGGTGGACCCTGCATGCAAACAACGTGAAGGGATGTGTTGTCCCAACCCACTAGGGATTTTGCCAATTTGCTTGAGCGTTTTCTTTCTTCAGTGCCCACCTCTGCCACTTCGACGTGCACCACTTGCTTCCGGCAACAGATCACGACCCAACTACCAAAGATGTCGGACACACGATCCATTCGCGATGCAGCGGATCTCGATGAAGAGTTTCCGCCCCTTGCCCAGTCTGCAGAGTGGATGACAGTCGACCCAAGCATCCTCTCCCACGGCGCCTTCGCTCTGCAGAACAACATGGCGGCGCTTGCAAACCGTCACGACCAGTACTATCGTGCAATCCTCCGCAAGTTCATGTAAGCTCACTCAATTTGGGACCGCCAACCGTCTTGCGACTAACACATCTGGCAGCGCATACAAGGCAACAACTCGTTCCAGCCTGCGTGCCAGCGGTACGCCCACTAGCGAAACACCTGAACCAGAGCATCAGGACACAAGCGCCACTCCCAGCCCCACTTCCAGTGTCGGTTCGAGTGTCATCGAGACCACGGAGTCGAAAGATGCCAGAAGTCAGGAGGAGTCTGCAGCGGCCAAGCAGCCAGAAACGCAAGCAGAAGACCAGCGTGGACATTCTGAGGTGGATGCTAAGACAGAGGTCGAGGAAGCGGAAGAGGCAAAGTCTGAGGGCGATGTCAGGGAGTATGAAGACGTCGTGGTGGATCCGGCTTGAGGCAGTCCCCTCGATGATGCCTACGATGGAGATGCGTGGATTTCAAAGTGCGAACGTGAGATTATGCAGGAGATAAAGCACTAGAAACTCATGTCATTTCGTTCCGATCGTGTCGTACATCAGATCCAGCCGTCGCTAACGTATTTGCTATACGTAATTCCTGCCAGCCGCGGTCCACGCACGTGAGCTCATAAAATCCAAGCCCATGGACAAGGAACCGGGATGAGTGGAACGGAATGTCTCCCGTTGGTAACACGAACAGCACGCCGAACATGCATCCGACGAAGCGGATAGTACGGTTACACATCATCTCCCAACCCCCGTCCTTTCTTCTGGTTGGATCCTCGGCCAGGGCGCCTGCACCACCAACTCGGCGCCCATTCCTCCGCCAGCCTTGTGTACTCCCTTTCCCCCCGGGTGCCCACACGGAAGCGACATCATCCGCGACGGACATTCTTGCAACTGGCCACCTCGGTATGAGCGGCTCCAACTCGATGCGCTCACCGCCGCCGAGGCTGACCGGTCGTACACAATTTCGCCTAAGTCTTTCTCGTGGTGACATCCTCGGCGCATAGCTAGGCAGGGGCGCGAAGGGTACAAATCTGCTTCGTATTCCCCTCGCCCACCATTGAATTTTCCGGGCTTCTTTGGCTGGGATTGACCCTCAGTCTCGTTCATGACCGTCTGGCCTTTCAACAAGGCTGACGGACTTCACAGCCAATCAGGCTGACATTAAACTTTATCTCGGTGCGCCACATCTCGCTCGAGCCTTCCTCCTCCACCAAAACAAACGTACATTAAGACTCATCATTCACGGAATCGCACGCGGTCAAACGTTTCTGTGAATACTTAACGCATTACGACATTCGTTTCCGGGACAATCCAAGGTCCTCACGCCTCGGTTCGCCCATCCAGCACACGAATAATAAGCATGCATCGCTCTTCATCAAATCGTCACTGAACTTCCCCGATCTCATCATTCGCGTCTAGCATGGCAAAGAAGTTCTTCGCGGCCTGGGAAACGTGGGAGAAGCTCGTATTCGTAAGTCACATTCCAATCCATCCGCCCAGCCGCATCCCTGCATCATCCATCTTACCATCTCCACCCACAGATCCTGGCATGCGCAATCGTCGTAACCGTCATGCTCGGCTGTGTCAAACTGGCTCACATCCGCTGGCGATTGAGAAAGTACGCTGGCATTGAGGATGAGAGGCGGGGGGAAGCTATGCACCGCCAGTCCAGTCAGAGACGCCATACCACAGGCGAAGACGACATTCCTTTCGGCATTCGAGCGCTGGAGAGCGGAATCGAAGTCGAAGGCGTCTGGATCTCTCGCAGCAACACACCAGAAATCAGTACTCGCGAGACGTCTGCAACAGTGTCATTGTGGGATGGCTCGGTCGCGGGCAAGCGAAGCGATTCGTACAAGCCTCGGACTACCATGGAGGACCAGAGCGAGAATGTTTCCCACCAAAACCGGAGCAATGTCCCGATTCAAGTCCCAGCTGCGATTCGTGTCCGCAGCCATCATCCACCTCCATCCTTCGCGCGATATCATGGGAATCCATACGCCCTTAGACGCCAATCATGCTCCACCGGTACGCTCGAGAGTCTCGACGCAGGACTTCGGAAGGAAAACTGCCAGGCTAACGAAAGCACCGACGTCTCTCGCAAATCAAGCATCGCCGGGGGAGCGAGAGCGCCACGCTCGGCATCAGCATCAAGCATTTTGACGACCGACCGAAGACAATCCTCGGCCTCGAGCGATCTGGAGCTACTGGAGAGCCACCGTCTCTCACAAGCAGCAGAAACGGGCCAGCTGACGCCGCGAGTCCCCGTCTCGGGCAAGTTTTACAGCCGAGATCCGGCAAGGGGATATTCGCAGGAGCAGCTAGAATTCTGGGAGGTTCTCAGAGAGAGTTCCAACCGCGGGCTGAAAGGCCGCTCAAACGATGCCAGTCCTTCTTCGAGGGCGGGTAACTCCGCGCGACGCAACACCATGCCTGACGTGATTTCTTTCGCGGATTTTTGCAAGCTTGCGCCACCCTCTCCGCCACCGCCGGCAGAGAGTCGACGGAGGACAGTCGGGTCCACGACAGCACCGGATCAAGTGAGTCCTCGGACGGAATCCGAGGTACCGGACATTCCTCTCCCGCCACGCGCACGAGCACCGTCATTCGAAAAATCGATGCCTCAAGTCGTGCGTGGCCATGGTACTGGTTTCGAAATTTTGAAGTTGGGCACTTTAGATCAACCGAAATTGCGTGAAGGAGACATCGCAGTGCCGAACACACTGCTGGGTGCTGGTACTTCTCACCGCCGCTCGAGTAGCGGTGAAGGCAGAAGGAAGCTGCAGAAGCAGCGAAGGCAGAGTAGCGTTTTGATGGCCAGCTCGGCGACCAGCGAGGTCAGCTCGTGTTTGTGAGCTCCTGCTTCGGCCTGAGCGCTACGAGTTCATGTTGTGGTTTTGATGCGTGTTTGGCGTAGTGATAGATAGCCAGATCAATCACATCGGCGGCGCACGCACACCGTATTGCTCGTCGTCCTCCTTGAATTGGTCTACGCCAGGTCAGTCTTTCGCAACAACAAGTGACGACTGAAACAGTCACCCACCTTTATCCTCATCTTTCCCCGGCATGAGAATATCTCTTTTAATCACCGCCCTAACCATCGATCCAAAGACAAAAAACCACATAGCAACCAACATAGCAGTCAGCACGCTCGTGATCCACAAAATAGCAGGGCTCTCCAATGAGTTCCCAATGCGAATCATGGCCATGGTGAAGCCGGCATTGGGAAAGATCATCGCGTACCACACCAGGTGGAACGACATCTCCTTCACCCCGGCCAGCACAGCCAAGAGCGTGATGCAGAAGAACCAGAATCCAAGCAGCCAGATGAAAATGGCGGTGAAGTCTGCTACCGGCTGTAGCACGTAAACAGCGAGCGGGTGTTTGTTCAAGTACCAGTAGTCGGGCGGCAGGGCGTCGGCGATGCCTATGAGGCCGATGGCGACAAAGGAGGGCGGGCCGACGGAGATGAACATCCCTGGTCGGAGATTGGGGGCGGGTAAGCCATATGCTAGGAGTCGTTGCAGGTAGGCCGCGAGCATGAGGAGGGCGACCATCCAGCCAAGACCGGTGAATGTGAGACCGGCGACGATCATTGCTACGCGGTGTCCGGGTGGTTGAGAGGGGGCTAGGACGGCGGTGAGGGAGCCGATGAGTTTACTAGAGTGTGATGTTGCCCATCAGCCGCCATTGGCTGGGATAACACAATGAAATAGGTATACGCACCAAGGGTAGATGGGCAGGATCCACGCTGGGATCATACCCTGGATTGTTAACCTCTGTGCGGGCGCCGCGAACAAGTCCAGATACTGTACGACGGCCGTGATGAATGCGACGGCGACATATATCCAATACATGACACGCAGAGCGACGATCAACCAAGATCCTTCTTCCGGCACGCCGTAGATCTGGACGGCCATGAGGAGATTCAATACTAGACCGCCCAGCCATAGCATCAGCCACACATTGACAACGACAAGCATTCCACGGGACCTTGCAAGACTCACGCGTAAGCAAGAAAGTGGGAAAGAACAGCGATTCGGTGGGGTGGATGAAAGAATTACGCAACGCCGGGCGAACCAGATAAAAGCGGACGCAAATGCAGACAGAAAACGCGACGGTAAGGACGATGGCGAAGATGAAGAAGATCTTGCCAATGGTCGTCAGGCCGGGGAAGCGGTGGGGCGTGAGGCCGAGCAGGACGCCGACGGCGCTGGTGGAGAGGGTGCAGCCGAACCAGGCCCAGGTGAAGCTGTACAGTGCGGATGGCATGGTTAGCTGTGACGAGAGATGGTGGAGTGCTGTGGGCGTACTGCTTGATTCGCTCTCGCCATGGTACTAAAGCGTCTTCTGGGTTGCGGACGCGGTTGAAGCGAAGGGGCCCATTGAAGCGCGAGTCTCGAGGCAGTTTGCCTCGCCAGGAGATCTCCATTGCTTCACTGCGGCAGTGTGGCTGACCGGGGACGGGCAGGTGGGTTCAAGCAGGCGACATGGTGTGCATATGTATGTGCAAGATGTGATAATGTTGCCGTAAAATCATGATATGGAGCAGTACCGAGACTCCAAAAGCGTGTCAATGTAAATAGACGCAAAGGACAAGAATTCACGCATACCGGGAAGTTCTGGATGAGCAGTAACCTATCGCGGACTAAGCCGGATGCTCCACGTGGAGGCGCGCAGCAAAACCCGGGGAAGAAGGACGCGTGCCGCGCCGGTCCGAATTCTTGTTCCGCTGCTTCCAAAACAGCCATAGCATATCATGGGCTGTGATTCCATGCCCGCCTGTGCTGCCGCTGGTGTGAAGGTAGTTCCAGGCTCCGATAGCAGAGGACGCTGGTCTCGAGTAACCTGAGATTCCAGAGTGTCATTCCCTGCAGCGCCGCAAAGTGGACGACCGGTCTGACACACCAAGCTCGCATCTTCTCTGAATTTTTCCATCTTCCCAAACTCCTCACCCCTCAGGCTTCATCTTCTTATTCGGCAACGCCGGCACCTTGAACCCAGAACTATCCACAGAGCCGGCCTGCGCCGGACTTCCAGCGCTGCCAACCTGCGTGAACGTCCCGCCCTTGAACCAGCGGTCCTCCTCCGCCTTACGCTTCCGATTCATCTCCTCGCGAACTTTGGGATCGATCAGCTCCAAGCCTTGCACCGGCGTGAAAGCGATGGTGGAAGTGGTGCCGCCGACGTTGCCGACGTTGGTCTTCAGCCCGCTACCCACACCCGAAGCACGGAGCCCGGCGGCTTTGAGCGTCGATGCTGTGCCGAGGGCACCAGGGCCGCCGAAACTGCGGAGGGATGTGGTAGTGCCGCCGACGGGTGTCGCGCCGCCCCAGCCCGGGTTCTTCTTGGATAGCTTTGCGCGGGTCTTTTGATCGACTTGCTGAGCTCGAATGCGGCCATCGTCTTGTTGACCAATCATTCCTAGGCCCTTGGTGCCGTCACCAAAGCCAACTTCGGCTTCCTCTTTGCCAAAGGCCATGCGATTTTGGGCTTTGCGCAGATCAGTCATGGCGGTTGCTTCCTTGGCTTTGCGCGCGCGACGCCCTCCTCGTTTCCTTGCGGGCTTGTCGTCTGGTGCCGGCAATGCTCGCACGCCACTGTTGGGTGGAGCTTCTGATAGTTTGGCGATGCGCTTCTCCACTTGATCGTAGAAAGCGAGTCCTTGCTCGCCTGCGGGTGCTTCGTGCGCTTGGTCAACGCGTGCAGCGAGGACGATTTTGGCGGAAAGAATCCGCATGGCCTGGACTTTGAGGTCGGACGATACGTCTCGAATGATGTCGTTGTTGTACAAAAACCCCTGATGTCGGATGCCAGTGTTGGTCGCCAGACCGATAGAAGTGTTCTTCTTGCTGCCGAGTGGTGCAATATTGCAGGCTGGCGTCTTCGCCAGACCGATAATACCACCGGCATAGTTGAGCAGCTGTGCTGCAGTCAAGGATCCGATGAGTGTGGTGAGGTTGGGGGCGAACATGTACATGCGTGACTGGACGTATTCGGTGAGGATGGTTTTGGCGCGATCCAGCTGAAGGGTCATCTCGCATGCCCTGCGAACCGCAGCAAGCTCTTTGTCTGCAAGGGGCGTTCCGCTCGTCGTTGTAGCCTCCACGGTCACCACCATCAAAGAAGGCCCGTCCAAAACCTGTCGCAATGACTGGCCTACGACATTGTCCTTGCTCTCACTGATGGCACGGATATTCTCCATGGGACCATTGCCAATGATTGCCACCGTCTTTGCGTACTCCAATGGATTCTGAATCAACGTCTCCAACTCGGGAAACCGCACGGAGTAGTGGTCGCGGATGAATTTGTGCACGAGGATGATCTCGCCGTCGATGCTGGTGGAGAGGGTGTTGGACTGTGTGAGCAAGTTGTACTCGGGGTTGTCCTCGATGCTGCCGACATTCTTCGTCTGCTTGTCGGGCGGAAGGCCTTTGTAGTACTCGATTTTCTGCAGGAGGAGGAATACGTTAGGAGGGCTGTTCATGAGACATGTAAACGATGACGATTCACACTGGAAGGCGGGGAAATGGGTGTGGCTTACCTCGATAACAGGCTGCAGCTGCTTCATCAACCCTGCAACGCTCCGCACGTCGCTGACGGTCTTGAGTTCCATCTTCTCCACCCTGGCCTTGGTCTCCTCCTCATCCTCTTCGTCTTCCATCTTCAAATGACGCGATACACCCACGTCAGCACCATCGTCCTCGTCCTCCTCGTCCATTTTCAGATCCACGCCGCCATTCTCTCGCTTGACTGTCGGCTCCGCCTTGACACCGTTCAGGCCATCGTCGCCGTAGAAGTCGGTCGCTTGCCCTTGTTCCTCCTCTTCCTCCTTCTCCGAACCGCTGTCCTCGAAGTCGTTCAAGAGCTCGTCGGCGATGGTCGTCATCTTGGCGCGTTGGACGCCTCGAAGGCTGACCGTTTTTTGAGACTTTCACAGTTGATGTGGGAGAGAGTGCAAGTGTGCAGGAGCCTCCAACAAAAGTTCAAGTTGTCCCGGAAAGGTTAGGCATATGACTAAGCCCGCCAGCGTCGGTGCCTCAGGCATGAATTAGTTGTTTCCAGCGACACGATGGCACAATCACAATCAGGCTTCATGCGGATTCACTGCCAAGTTTATTCTGGTGTTCATGCAGAGCTGAGCCAAGCGCACTGCAATGTGTGGTTGCGCCCAACGTTTGGCGCGTGGGTCAGATGATGTTGTGGAATCACCAAAACTCATCACTCCCCGCGGGTTCTGTCGCACCGTAGCCACGTCGCACACGTTGCCAACAACAGTTAAAGCGTCTTGGAATAAGAATAGTATAAAACAGGCCCCGGCCGTGTAGATCCGTCCAAATCAGTTGCCAGCTCGCGATTGACTGCCCTATGCCGTCCCAGTTCTTACGCCTGGCGCAGTCAGAAAGTCTAATAACGCCCACAACTACCGGGCGTCGCTTGCGGCGGACGTGAACGTCATTCGTCATTGACTTCGGCCCTCCCGTCCTCCGACTCCCGGTTGGGGGCGTTGCCGCGCTTCCCGGCGACTGCTGGGTGTGTGTTAAGTGCAACGCGACTCCCGACCCATCCATGAGCCGCCAAGTTGCGACCGACCCTTTCCCCATCTTAACTCTTCATCCCATCGTCCGTCCATCGTATTGGAGGTCATTCGGTCCATTGACTTGGCTCTGCTACGACTGCGCATCTTACGGAACATCCATCGGCGACTCTAGAGTGTCTACCCCACCACACATCCATCCAAACATGCCCCTCATGCGCAATCCGTTCCGGAACAAGGACGAAACCGTCCGCGTGACGACCAATGGTGTCGACGACGGCAACACCGGTCTTGTCGCGAGCCCCACCGCCATCACCAAAGACCAGAAACCCGCCGAATACCAACTAAGTGGTCAGTCTGCCCGATGCGCCCAATGACCGGGTCACGCGGACACGCTCAGAATACTAACACCCAATCTCCCCACAGAAATCAACGACAGCGGCGTCTTCGTCCCTCCCTCCCCGACAGAGCAAAAGAGCACCTTCTGGCGCAGCTCGTCATCAAGAAGTACGACGAGCAGTCGCAGCCGCAGCCTGTTCGACGAAAACGAACCCTTCAACATCTCCCGCGAATCCTTCGACTCCTACCGCCGCTCCTTCGACATCTGCGCCCGCTCCCCCATCATCTCCCCCGAAGGCAAGCCGCGGTCATCTCTTGACTCCCGCACCTTTCTTGCGCCCCCGAAGCACTCCAACTCTTTCCGTCGGCCGGTGGAGGTGCCGGGCACACAGACGGAGGAAGAGCCGGAAGCGCTCGAGGATGTGGCGCTCGATGAGCCGAAGCCGCAGCCGAAGAAACGCGGCATGCTGAGTCGCATCATCGATTCCGACTCGCATTCCGAGCGGCCGGCCGCGCAGGATGGCGGCAAGAGTTCCTGGCATCATTTTGGTGGCAGGAAGAGGGGTCAGTCGGGCCAGGGCGCGGAGTTGGGCAGTATCCCGAAGCGCGAGGACACGCCCAAGCCGGAGAGCCAAGTGGGCAAAGAGGAGAGGCCGGCGGTGTCATCGCCGGAGCTCGTTCAAGCATCGGCGTAGTTGATGCTGCGGCGTGAGCGAGGTCGCTGTTGGGTAGCTTCTTGGAACTAGTGGACAGCCTCGACAGACTTTCTGGAGATGATGGCGATTCTGGCGTTTGGATACAGAGGAACTCGAGTAAGGCTCTCACTCGAGTCATTGGCGTTCACGGAATGTATGTCTACAGGGAACGCGGACAGACGGACGGACAGGGATCAGCATTATGGATGCACGAGGCTGCCGAATGCGCCTTGTATGGGCAAGACCGGATACACAGGCGATCATGGCGGGTGCGGCAAAGAGCGGCACTCTTACAGCTGAACACAAGGTATCGTAGTTAATGATAATATGACCATGGCTTGCTCGTCTGCAGCAAACAATCGTTCAAACTCCCTTATCAACTGTGAAGCCCGCCGTTAGCAATTCATCGTTCGCAAATGTGCTAACGAACGCCCTTCATTCGTTAGCCACCGACCGCACCTTCCAGTTGATTTGTACTGGGACCTTCCAGGACTTTTTTTCCCGCTCGAGCCTTCCTCTTTGGGAAATTCTGGAAACACCTCCCCGAAAAGCATTCTGTCAACAATAACACAAACTTTTTCCTAGCGAGAGCACATCTGACGTGGAAATCGTAGGAAATCATACAGACATCGAGCATGGCAACACCTCCACTGCCACCCCTCTCGCCCACCGTGGCCACCCCGCTCGCGCATAGAAAGCGCAGGCACTCGGAGATGGCTCGTGAGGGTGTGGCGCTGGCGGGCAAGGACCGCGACCTGGGGAAGGAACAAATCTCGATTAACGCGGAAGAGGCGAATGGCAGTGATGAAGAGCAGAACGAAGACTGCGAAGAACCCGGCGACGCGGTCGAAGGTATTGCGAGCGATAGCAACCTAAGCGATGGCGGCGAGGACTATGAGCTGATTCGCGATGTTGTTGACTCTGCCGAACTCGATCCGTGGCAGCGTGATGGTGAGTTTGGATGCTGTATGTTAATCTCTATGGACGACGCTAAACGTTTTACTAGACCTCGACGAGGATATGGAGCTGGACCCAGAAGAGATCTCCAAGATCCGCGCCAGACTATTCGAGATTGGACCGGATCGATTCGTGCCTGAGATGCTGTCAAAGATGAATCCTCTACTACTGGGCACTGCATTTGGCTTGAATCCCCAACTGGAGGCCCGCTTCGGGGACAGTATGTTCTTGGGCTTCCTCGTCTCGGCCATTGTCCGCTTCTACCACAAGCGCCAGAAGCTGCCGCAATACAACACCATCGACGACGTCGCGCGACTACTCCAGCAAAGCAAGAATGTCATGGTCATCACCGGCGCCGGCATCTCCACCTCCCTTGGGATCCCCGACTTCCGCTCCAAGAACACCGGCTTCTACTCCAAATTGATCGATGCAGGCATCTACGAACCCGAAGAGGTCTTCGACATTGAGCGATTCGACGAAGATCCAAGCATCTTCTACCGCCTGGCTCACGGCATCCTCCCGGATGAGACACGCCACTCGCCCACCCACGCCTTCATCCGCCTTCTCCAAGACAAAGGCAAACTGCAGACAAACTACACCCAAAACATCGACAACCTCGAGGAGCGCGCGGGCATTGAGCCCGCCCGCCTCATCCAGTGCCATGGCTCCTTCGCCACCGCTTCATGCCGCAAATGCAAGCACCAAGTCAAAGGCACCGAAATCTTCCCCTACATCCGCGCACAGCAAGTCGCCACTTGCAAGCAGTGTAGCGCAGCGCTAGCAGCCGCCGCGCCACCGCCAAAGAAGAAGAAGAAAGCAAAGCACAACTTCGACACCGACTCCGATGAGAACTCCGACGACGACAACATCCCCACAGCAGGCGTGATGAAGCCCGACATCACCTTCTTCGGCGAACAGCTGCCCAACACCTTCTTCGACCGGCTCGCCGAGACGGACGCTAAGAGCGTCGACCTCGTGCTTGTCATCGGCACTTCGCTCAAGGTGGCGCCCGTGAGCGAGATTCCGAATTACTTGCCGCATCACGTGCCGCATGTTTACATCTCCCGGGAGCCGATTGAGCATGTCAATTTCGATGTGCAGTTGCTGGGGCAGTGCGATGAGGTTGTGTGGGAGCTTTGTCGGAGGGCGGGGTGGGAGTTGAGGCATGAGATGATTCCGGAGGGGTTTGAGGCTGTGGTCGAGGAGGCGGGGATGGAGAAGGGGAGGGGATGTAGGTGGGTTGTTGGGGGAGTGAAAGGCGAGGCGGCTGTTGAGGAGGCGGAGAAGCTTGAAGAGAAGGCGGAGAAGATTGAAGAGGAGGCGGGGAAGATTGTGATGGGTGAGGTGCCGTGGGCGAACGGCGACCCGACTGCTTGATAATTTGAAGCGGGAGTCTGGTAGGGAGTGCATCAGGGCAGCGTTGGCTGGCAGCGTTGGCTTTGGCGTTTGTAACAGCACTGGCATTGGCAAAGCGCTCACTGGTGTTGCATAGAAAAGGCCAGAATAGATTCGGCTCAGCAATGGAACATCCCGTCTGTTGGGTGGATTACTCAAAGGGCTTCCTGCCGTTTGCCATGACGCTTCCGTCGGGACTGTAATGGGATGCAGCCATACCAACGGAAACACGCAGCAAAGAAGCCGATAGAAGGCACTCTGCATTTGGTTTGTAAACGTCGTTGTCTCATCCATCCGTGATGTCTTAACCCACGGCAAACGCTGTTGAAAGGCGGTCAGCAATCAAGGAATGGTGGAAGTACATAAAGAGATGCACTTGCCTCCATCCCTTCCGATATGCTATCAACCCTCAGAATCCACTCCAGCCATCCTCGACACCACTCCACTGAAGGCCAACCACCATGCCAATCACTGTCGTCGAAACGATCCACTACGGTTCCACCGATTCCACCATCGACCTGGTACTCAGCGTCGAGGCAAAGGTAAGAAGAGACTGCAGCCTTCCAATCAATTCCACCAGCTAATCACTCCCACGCAACCAGAGCACGATAGAAGTCGAGCCCAACCTTGAAGCATTCGCAACCCCGAGCACGAAAGTGTTCGCCGCACGCAAGCAGGCTACCATGCCTATCGGAATGATGCTGGAACTCGCACGTTTTGCTCAAGAGCAGTGTGAGCTCCTCTCACGCCTGAAGTTTCCGCCTGCTGAGGCTCGCGGGCTCCTCGACTCGATGGACGAGATCGTGGCGCAGCTTCAACGTGTGGTTGCGGAGTACATCCAACTGATGTCTTAGCTTGGTGGGAGGGGGGAGAAGTGCGTTAGGTGTTGTCGTGCACGGGTTCCGGAGAGGTGGCGATTGATATCGGATGACAGTCGGGCGTATCCAGCAGACCTTCAACGTTATTGTGCCAGCAATTTCTCATTCATGCCCACGATCATCTCGACGAGATCCCAATCTCCTTGCGCGCCGACCCAGTCGCAGACCAGTACTCCCATTCCGCCATGTCCCTCATTTCGACCTCGTCGCAGCCCATGTTGCTCGCACAGGTAGCGGGTGACGGCCGGATTGATTTTGGCAGCAATCTTGTCGGGCCAACAACCGGGCCTCCAGAAATTCGACGCACTGAGGAAATTGATGAACAAGGGCGCACAAGACAGTGAGGCGACATCGCTTGTGGCAACACGACCGCAATGATCGTGAATGTACCCTATCTTCCTCTCAACATTCTTGGTGTGCAATACCTCGTAGAAGTCTTGCACCTGTACATCGCCGGCTGTGGAGTTGGGGGAGTTGTCCGCCCAGGGTTGGGCATTGATGCCGTGGATCTTCTGACTTAATGAGGCAGTGTCTTTCGCCAATTGGAAGCGACGCAGTAGCACAATTTTCCCTCGCGCCTCTCCCAGCGTAGGTACACCTGGCTTCGTCACCCAATCAGTGTCATTGATGTAATGATCATGCAGTCGTTTTGCAAGATCTGCATCCGTCCCCTTCCCAGTTCCCTCTCGCTTCAAGGACATGATGATTGTTTCGCCCGGATGGTGTGCCAGAAAATCCAGAACATCGTTGTAGAGTTCCCGAAACTGCTTCGAGCCGGACAGGGCGACTGGAAAAACGCTGTGCACGACGCTCAATTGATCGGAATCTAGTCTCTCTGGGTGGTCGACCTGTAGCCTGAAATCCAGCCATCGGACCCCATGCTGCAGCTGCTCTCTCAGCGAGACGGCTTGACATCGGACGGAAGGTAAGGCGCGGAAGTACGTTGCACTGTTGTGCGTTCCTGGGATGCTCAGGGCTTGAAGGGGTGTATCGTCCGCGTGCCTTTGCATCCAGCTGGCAAGATCGACTGTTGCGAAGATCACCAGAAGATCCGGCTTGGACTGTGTGCCGAAAAGATCGGATTGTGCATGTCCATTGCAAATGAACCTTTCGACACGCCCGGATGCTGTTGGAATGTCGAGTGAATAGTTGGTATGTTGTGCATCTAGAAATATCAGCCGTAGCCTCTCGCCAGAGCCAATGGCGTGGATAGGTGTCTGGTTGATGTCGAAAGGCCTGATCTGTATAGAAACGTTCCTCGTGACTGGAGAACGGCCGACATGGTTGACAGGTCTTGACGTCTTCCGCTTGACGACATTGATATCTCCATCGTTTGTGCCGCCACATACACCAGGTTTGACACGATCGAGATCGACCAGGGCATTCCGACTCTTTGACCGCTTGGATGGAAGCGGTAGATACTCGATGACGGTGAGTGTCAACTCTCGTGGCGACGCATTGCGAATAGCGAGGGTATCGGGCATTCGCGCCGCTGGTAATAGTGAGCTTCAGAAGAAAAAGTATTCATTACGGAAAAAAGGTCCAGGTGTTACCCGTTGTCTACACTTGCCAGCGAATAGCGCGCATCATCATTGTAAATGTGTGTATTTCAAACACATCGTCGCATCTCGAGGCCCATGGTCAAGGGAGAGGCGGGAGGTCTGTGCGCCACTCGCCTCCACCCCGGTCGCGGCTTCCCAAAAATCAAAGGAAGCCGGGTCGCTCTTTCCAAACGTCAACGGAAGCCGGTCGCTCTTTCCCAAATTGATTTCGACATTCACCACCAATTCCAGTCACGTGTTTAAGCACGTAGGACCATAAGCCGAAGAGAAAAGAGGATCCCGTCCGCTCTCCTGTACTCAAGCTTCGGACTGGTAGATTAGTACTCAGGTGGGTGACCACTGGGGAATCCCTGCTGTCCTACGTGAATTTTTGTCATTTTTTAGTGATTTTTGACGATTTCCTGCGAGCTTCGGGTGATTTTCCACTATCTACCAAGATTTTGTTTGGCTCGGACAAAAGCAATACAGGCCATCACGGGGAAGCGATTCAAATGGCATTGAAGGACATCTTTGCTAAGCGCTGGTCTGTATTAACGAATTCTACTATCTTAACAACAATGTGCCACGATGCTATCGTCAAATCTGTGATAGATCTCAGTCATTCAGAACCACGCGTGAACCTGCTGTTCCTTTCTTTATATACTTTTGCCCAGACATCGCCTGCTCCTTTGCTTGCGTACCTGCTCTGAGCTGGTCTCGCTGGCGGGTCATGCCAGATGAGATCCTTGAGATTGCCTTCCACTACGCGCCCACTATAGCCACGATTAACCCAGTCTGCCTCTGTGGATTGGCTCAAGAGTGCCAACTCTTCGAAGCAACGCATGATAGTATCCATAGGCGTGACTTGCTCTTCGCCATACTCTGCTATGACTTCTGGCGGTACGAGTGCTGTCTCAAGCAGGGCCGGACAAACGGCGTTTATCGTGATGTTGCACGCCGATGCTCCGTTGGCGTTCATACCAAGCGCACGAACCAATCCGATGAGTGCGTGCTTAGAGGCGCAATACTGCGGTGTGGCTGGCAGTGGGTAGATGCCTCCTGCGGAAGCTGTGACCACGATCTTTCCGCCTTCTCGCGTCTTCCCTGCCTCGGGCGAGACGATTGTCATATAGTGAGCAGCAAGCTTAATGCCGTAGTAGACGCCAGAAAGATTTACATCGAACGTTTGCATGTCAGGCTTTCTTGGCGGCTGGTCCACGTTGCGCGAGAGTGTGTAGAAGATGTCATCTCGATCGTCGATTCCAGCATTCAAAGCACAGAAGTCGAGGCGGGACCGCCAGGAGAATGCAGTCGCAAACATCGCTGCTAGGTCTTCCCAAGAAGATACATCTGCTTGTAAGAAGATGGTATTCTGTACTGTGGATTGCGGCGCTTTGACGTCCACCATAACGACGTCCCACCCGGTGCTGACGAGAGAATGGGTGAGCGCGAGGCCAACGCCAGAAGCGGCTCCAGTGACAATGGCAACGCGTCGGACCATCCTGAATAACGATTCAAGGGATTCTGAAAGCAGACAGCGTGGAGCAGAGAGTAGGCCACAACAGATAAACCAAGCGATCGGGAGGAATAACGTTAGGATACTCCTTCCCCTCATGCTCCCCACATTTGCCGGTTGCGCCTCGACACCTCGCCCGACAAATGTGGCTTTTAATCTCGCCCCGCTACTGCCGCAATGATTTGAATCTCCGCACACATCTACAGACAAACTGGGAACAATAGGCCACTGCGGGCGTAGACGACGAGCAGAGCCAGCTCTCTAGAACCTTTCACCGGACAACTGCTCGCTGATCTTCCACAGTCTCTGGGCATCAGCTGGATCCTGTGCATAATTCATGACCTCGTATGGTTGGCAGTTGCGCAGAAACCCGCCCGAATGAGCTCGTGAGATGTCAGCCTTCGAGAAAAGCAATCGAATGGACATGGTTTGCGGACGTACCTTTCAAATTTGGGTCGAAGGCTGCGGCAAGAAGAGTGCTGCAGGCTTGTGGTACGGTCTTCTGGTCGCCGCTGAAGTCTTGCTCTACTCCTCCAAATCGTTCCGTGTTGATGCGGTGTGCTTCCTTGAAGGATGCCGGGCCTTCCTGTGGGAGATGCGAGGCGAGGTTCGTGTCGGGCATACCAGGCTGCAATGCAAACGCAGTGATGCCTTCGGGCTGCAGCTTCTTTGCCAGTTCGACCGTGAACAGCGAATTCGCCGTCTTGGAGCTGGCGTATGCAAGCCACGGATGATACTTGGCACCGTTCTGTGTAATCAAGCAAGGCTTGGTCAGCACTACACTTCACCTCTTACTTACGTCGTGTTGAGCCGACAAGCTCCCAACTGCACTCACATCCCAGGTCAGATCCTCGAAAGGAATCCCGCCCAGCTGGTATCCTGTCGATGCAGTGTTTACAATCGTGGCCGGAGGTGACGCTGCCTTGAGCAATGGCAACAATCTGGCCGTGAACACAAAGTGCGCAAGGTGGTTGACCCCAAACTGACTCTCAATGCCCTGCTTAGTCGTTTTCCACGGCGTTGTCATGATGCCCGCGTTGTTGAACAGCACATCAACGACTTTGGTCTGGGAAGCAATCTTGGCCGCCGCGGCCCGGACTGAATCTAGGTCCATGAGATCCATTGGCACGAATGTCAGCTCCGGCTGGCTGTTCTGGCCTGCGAATTCCCGAATGACGGGATCGATCTTCTCCATGCTCCGACCACACAGAAAGATGGCTTTGGGATTAGCTGCCGCCAGCGACAGCACAGTCTCTCCACCGATGCTACCATGACTGGGTCCAGTGATAACGACTGCATGATGCCGAAGGAGTCAGCGTTGAGGGTTGGATGCAAGAATGAGATACAATTCTTGCATACTAGTCTTGCCATCCACAAGCTCATGGAGTTTCTCGACCACCTCACGGCCTGTGGTGTGTTGAGTGAATCCGCTCATCTTGTCTCTCTGGTGCTTTATTTGAAAGGCTGTCGTGCTAGCGCAGGACGTCTAGATGATCTTGATGAGGACTAACACGGTGCTGTCGTTCTCGAAATGTATGTCGGAGTGCAGCTTGGGGATGCAGATCACCTCAAAGCGCACTTGATCGACGGCTAGGCAACGACTGTGCTGTTCGAGAACGACAACCCCTAAAGCTGTCATCCTCTGCGGCGTGTCTCTGGGAAGTCAAACTAGATTAATGACGTCAAGAAGAAGCTCGACGGAATGTCGTTTGATGGCAACCTTGATGAAGAGGATTGTACGGAGTTACTGGGAGAGGCGGCAGCCGGGCAGTCCCTCCGCTCTCCTGTACTCAAGCTTCAGGATTGGTCGATTAATACTCAAAGTGCCTGTCTAAGCATCGCCCGACCTTGCTTTGGCTGATGTTTGAAGAGCTGTATACGTCTTAAATGCGAACAGAAACAAGGTAGGGCAAAAAGGTCGCCGTGCATTGCGGCTTGAGCAATTCGAGTACCATGACGGGAAGGACCCCGAGGCGGAGGGCTGGGTCAAAATCGTCGACCTAGAGTTTCTACATGGCAAGATTCGCACCATCCTGCCCACAGACTTGGAGCTCTCAGAGGAGCAGCGGGAGGCACTGTTTGGTGATTTCGATCGCGTATTCGCCGCTGAATGTCCTTCCGGGTCCTCAAGGGCGATGTGGGGACTCAGTATGATTTTGGGAACGAAGCGAGAGTAGTGGTCCTGAAACAGATGTAATGCCGCATAGAAGGCTTTGGGGCATATCCCGTATAGGCATGGAGTTATTCAACTTGTATCGTGTGGTATTTGACGTGGATTGGGAGATGCATGGCTGTGTAAGCCTCCGTGTAGTAGTGAGCCTCGAGCCTTCACTCCAAGCGTCGTCGAGTGGCCGAGCCTTGTCCAGTTCCGTGAAGTCCCGAGACAGCATCCGTCACGAGGTTCCGAAGCTCGCTCTGACTCTCCGTCCCTTCGAAATCCTGCCTGGCAGCGAGTTCTTCAATGCGTCTCCGGAATTCCGGGTCGGGTTCACCTCCGACCTCATCGGCATGCATGGTGCCCACGGTGACCTGAACACCATTTGGAAGAGGTGGAGGGGGACGAATGGGGTCCGCTTCGTCCTGCGTAATGGAGCCATTTGTGTCTGAAGGGTGCGTCGATGGGCCGGACGTTTCTGTTGCACTCTGCCGAAGGTATGCCGCTACTTCAGGCTGCTCGTCCTCATCGTCCAGTTTCTCCGCGGCCGTCTGACCATCGGAATTTGTGACATCGGTCCGCACGCCGAGAGCCAGGAGCTCTTTGGCGAAGTCGACGCTCTCCGCATTGAATAGACAAGTTTCGCCGTCTTCATCCGTGAGATTGGGGTCGACGTGAAATTCTTGGATCAATGCGCGCAATAGATCAATGTGGTCGTAGGATGTGGCGGCGTGGAGAAGCGAGTATCCGTGGGCATCTTGTTTTGATGCGAGCTCTGGATGTGCTCGAAGCTGGACCAATACTGATTCTGGCGCGTCGGGGACGAGATTGAGAAGACGGTCTATTGTTGGAGTCTGGTTGGACATGGTGTTGGCGTGGTTGAAAGAGAGGAAATTGATAGCTTGAAAATGATAGTCGAAGCCTGAAGTTCTGAAGTTGATGTCGGCCTCAGGCACCAATATCGACCTCAAGGTTGCCCCGCGACTGCCTACCTTACGTACCTTCACATCCTTCGACCACTTCGACCAGGCCGCGCCATATCCCCGCTCCCCCCTTGACGAAGATGTCGCTGTTCTCCTTCTCCACCCCTCTCGACATCGACATTGTGCTACAAGACACGGATGATCGGCCTACGGTAGACGTGAAACTCGACAAGAACAAGCGGGAGAAATGCCTGCTCTACCTCGATGGCGAGACGGTGAAAGGCGCAGTGACAATCCGACCCAAAGATGGCAAGAGACTGGAGCATACGGGCATCAAAGTGCAGTTCGTCGGTACAATAGGTAAGGCGCATGATGCTGCGTTGCGCATGCAATCACACAATGGGCCAGGCAGCCAGCTAACGTCCCGGCTTGCGCGGCATAGAAATGTACTTTGACCGCAACACCAACCACGAATTCGTCTCGCTCCAGACCGAGCTCGCGAGCCCCGGCGAACTCCAACACCCCGTCACCCTCCCCTTCGCCTTCAAGAACGTGGAGAAGCCATACGAGTCCTACCACGGCATCAACGTCAAGCTGCGCTACTTCCTGCGCGTCACCGTCTCCCGGCGCATGCAAGACGTCGTGCGCGAGAAGGACTTGTGGGTGTACAGCTACCGACAACCGCCGGAGACGAACAGCGTGATCAAGATGGACGTGGGGATCGAGGACTGCCTGCACATTGAATTCGAGTACTCCAAGAGCAAATACCACCTCAAGGATGTCATTGTCGGCCGCATCTACTTCCTGCTGGTGCGGTTGAAGATCCGGCACATGGAGCTGTCGATCATACGGCGGGAGACCACAGGCGCACCGCCGAATCAGTACAATGAGTCGGAGACGTTGGTGCGCTTTGAGATTATGGACGGCTCGCCGAGTCGGGGGGAGACGATTCCGATCCGCTTGTTCCTGGGTGGGTTTGATCTCACACCGACCTTTAGGGATGTCAACAAGAAGTTCAGCACGCGGTATTACTTGAGTTTGGTGTTGATTGACGAGGACGCGCGGCGGTACTTCAAGCAGTCGGAGATTGTACTTTTCCGGCAAGCGCCGGAGAACTCGGAGTTGGCGATGCGGCAGGCGAAGGAGGTGCAGCAGAGTTAGAGAAGGAAAAGAGAACGCTGTTACGCTGGAGCCATTCGAGACGAGTTCTCCATATGAGAGAATGCTTTGGAGGAGACGTGTGAGAGAGTTGTTTGAGCATGGCATAGCGTGGCGCTACATGGGTATTTAGAACCAGCAAAATGGTCCTCTCACGACACTGGAGCTCCTTCCTTGCCACAATATGCTCACCGCATTGAAAAGATTGATGTTCACGCCTGAGGTTTGCTATCGAAAGTCGACAGCCTGAGGCAGCATCGCAATGGCAGCGCCTACACTCGGCTTTGAGCTCCACCTCGGCTTTGGCATGGGCGAGCAGCTAGCCAAACATCACCTGTGACTTTTTATTATCTGACCTTCGCAGGGGACTCCAACAATTTCTGCGCGTCTTCCATCCGACGCTCACTCCCATCACAATGGCTCTCCCACGATCGTCTGGCCTCCGCGCCCTCCGCCTGCAATCCTCCCTCCTCCGCAAACAACAGCCCGTCACCAACCCCTCCCGACTCCCCCTCTTCACACCCTACCGTCAATTCCACCAATCCCGCACCCTCGACGCCGTGAAACCGTTTCTCCTCGCCGACATCGGCGAGGGCATCACGGAGTGCCAGCTGATCCAATGGTTCGTGCAGCCGGGGGCGCGCGTCGAGCAGTTCGACAAGATCTGCGAGGTGCAGTCCGACAAGGCTTCGGTGGAGATTACGAGTCCGTTCGACGGGGTGATTAAGAAGCTGCACTACGAGCCGGACGATATGGCGATTACGGGCAAGCCGTTGGTGGATATTGATATTGATTTGGAGGAGATTAGCGAGGCGGATGCGCAGAAGTTGGGGGATGTTGGCGGGGAGGGCGAGAAGGCGGAGGGCAAGGAGGCCGCGAAGGAGCAAGATGTTGCGGATGATGCGAAGGAGACGGAGGCTTCTGCCAGTCAGTCGGGTGAGGCTTCGGTGCCGCCGCCTTCGGGCTCATCACCGGATGCCCAAGCCTCGCAGCCTTCGAGGCCGTCTTCCAAGGGCGACAAGGGCGCGCTCGCTACGCCTGCGGTACGGCGGATAACGCGGGAGCACAATGTCAAAATTGAGGATATACAAGGCAGCGGCAAAGACGGCAGGGTGCTGAAGGAAGACGTGCAGCGACATGTGTCGGGCCAAAGCCAGCAGCAATCACAACCCCAGCAACCATCCACCTCAGCACCGGCGCCACCCCCGGCAGCTACACGGGAAGACAAGAAGGTCTCCTTGACACCTGTGCAGTCACAAATGTTCAAGGCGATGACGAAGTCGCTCAACATTCCCCACTTCCTCTACACCACCACCGGCGACATGACCGCCATCTCCGCCATGCGTGGCAAGTTGAATGCGAAAGGTCCGGAGCAGAAAGTGACACATCTGGCCTTCGTCCTTAAAGCCCTGAGCTTAGCCCTTCGACACCACCCGCTCCTTAACGCCCAGCTTATCGTCAAAGACGGGCAGAAACCCGAACTCACCCATAAGGGCTCGCACAACTTCGGCATCGCCATCGACTCACCCTCCGGCCTGCTAGTCCCCGTACTGAAGAACGTGCAAGACCTCAGCATCACGGAGATCGCAGCCAACCTGCGCTCGCTAGGCGAGAAGGCGCGAAGCAACAAGCTGGCGCCGGGCGACTTCAGCGGCGCCACGTTCACCGTCTCCAACATTGGCTCCGTGGGCGGCGGCGTGGTGGCGCCGGTGATTTCGGAGCCGCAAGTGGCCATTATGGCGATTGGGCGCAGCAAGTTTGTGCCGGCGTTTGACGAGAACGACGAGCTGATCAAGAAGGAGGAGCTGACGTTCAACTGGAGCGCGGACCATCGCGTGGTGGACGGGGCGGAGTGCGCGCGGTGCGCCGAGCGGGTGAGGGGCTATCTGGAGGATCCGGCGGGATTGATTGTTGCGATGCGATGAGAGGATGGGGATTGTTAATTGTTTGCAGTGCATTTCAAGGCGAGGCGCATCTTGCATGTTTCTATGGGATGAAGGATGAGGTTAGACAAACTTGAATGCAAGAGGCTTGAAGCCATTGGATCGCCGTCAGATCCCGCCAGCTGCCCCGCAGATTGGCCCTTCTCCGGAGTTTCATTGAAATATTTGGCGGATGCTGGAGCGAATTCGAGCGTTGTGACGCCGGAGATGCGCCATCTGGCCTCAGGCGTCCATATCACCCCGCTTAGGTTTACATCTGTCAGAGGTAGACTGGATGGCCCTTCTCGACAATGTCGACTTCACAATTTGGCGAGTCGTAGACCGAGTTGAAGAAATTGTTATTCGCGAGATGTGCCGGCCGGGCTTGAGAGCTTCCTAATGAGGCTGCTGAACCCCACCACCAACACCGCGTCTAGCCGCGCCAGCTGCCTGGAAATATCTTAACCACACTCCGACCATTCCTTTCGTACTCTCCACATGTTATGGCTTCCAGAGGCCTGCAATCTTGTCTATCTCCGTTGACCTTCCTTTCCAAAGCATTCTCATCCGCCAGTGTTATCTCATATAGCTTCCGAGCGCCTCGAAACACCATGGCTACTCTCGCGACCTTCCGCATCCCGGAAGTCAACAATGAGCCCAATGTGAGTCTTCCGTCTTGCCTGACCAACATCGAACTCACACTGACCCACCCCACAGGTCCTCTACGCAAAAGACTCGCCGGAGCGTCAAAAGCTCACGGCCGCCGTGCAGGCCCTCAAGAAACAGGCGCCCCTCAACATCCCCATCGTCGTGGGTGGGAAAGAGCTGAAGACGGAAAAGACCTCGCATCAACCCATCCCCTCCTCCCACAAAGACACCCTGGCCACATGGTCCCACGCCTCTACCTCCCACATCTCGCAGGCCATCGATGCCGCCCTCGCCGCCAAGCCTGCATGGGAGCAGCTGCCCTTTGCCGACCGTGCGGCCATCTTCCTCAAGGCCGCCGACCTCATTAGCGGCAAATACCGCTATGAGATCTGCGCATCCACCATGTTGGGCCAGGGCAAGAATGCAACGCAGGCGGAGATTGATGCTGCGGCGGAGACGTGCGACTTTTTGCGCTTCGGCGTCAAGTATGCTCAGGACTTGTACGCGCAGCAGCCTACGCACAACTCCCCTGGCGTGTGGAATCGCCTGGAGTACCGACCACTCGAGGGCTTTGTGTATGCCATCACTCCATTCAACTTCACCGCCATTGCCGCCAATCTGCCCGCCGCGCCCGCGCTGATGGGCAACGTGGTGGTGTGGAAGCCTTCGCCTTCGGCCATGGCCTCCAACTGGTTGATTTACAACATTCTATTGGAGGCTGGTCTCCCCGCGAACGTCATCCAGTTTGTGCCCGGTGACCCAGTCGAGATCACCAAGACGGTCCTGGCACATCGCGAGTTCGCGGCCTTGCACTATACCGGATCGACCGCCGTTTTCCGACAATTGTATGGACAAATTGGTGCGGCGACGGGTGAGGGCAGGTACCGAGGCTACCCTCGCATTGTCGGCGAGACGGGCGGCAAGAACTTCCACGTCGTCCATTCGAGCGCGAACGTAGAGAACGTGGTGATCAACACTGTCCGCGGCGCATTTGAATACCAAGGGCAGAAGTGCAGCGCGACCAGCCGAGCATACTTCCCCAAGAGCCTCTGGCCGCAACTCAAAGCCGGACTCGTAGAGGAAGTGAAGAAGCTGAAAATCGGGCCGCCAGAGGAGTACGACGCCTTCGTCGGCCCCGTCATCCATCAGCAATCCTTCGACAAGCTTTCAAAGGCCATTGACGACGCCAAAAACGACGCCGACCTCGAGCTCGTCGTCGGCGGCTCCTACGACGGCAGCAAGGGCTTCTACATCCACCCGACCATCTACACCACCACCAACCCCAACCACCCCCTCCTCGACAAGGAATACTTCGGCCCCATCCTGTGCATCTACCTCTACGACGACACCACCGCCAACCCGACGCAGGCCTTCGTCGACGTGTGCAAACTCTGCGATGCTACATCCGAGTACGCGCTCACGGGTGCAGTCTTCGCACAGGACCGCGACGCGCTGCGGTACGCCGAGGAGGCGCTGCGCAACGCCGCCGGCAACTTCTACGTCAACACCAAGTCGACCGGCTCGATTGTGGGGCAGCAGCCGTTTGGCGGGGCGCGCGCGAGTGGCACGAACGACAAGGCGGGCTCGCCGAACTTGCTGGCGAGGTTTGTGTCGATGCGGTCGATCAAGGAGGATTTTGTGGGGAACAAAGAGGTGTTGTATCCCAGCAATTTGGTGTAGGCATTCGTGCGATTGGAAAAGCTTGTGAGGGCGTTGGATCGGGCCCGGTTAGCATGATAGACTTCCCTTTAATGCAAGGAGAATAGCAGCGCGGTGTATGCAGTACAGCCTTCCGCCTTGGTTGGCCGTGCTTCAACCCCCACACATTTTCAAACGCCGACAGATCCCCCCTCCTCCCAACGTCACCTCTGCCGCAACGAATGGGATCGCTTGCCGTGCGCGGCGACGGGAAAGCAGGATCTTGTAACGACCCCTGCGTCGTGAAGGCAATCACTTCGGCAGGCGGGTTGGTGCGCTTTGGCCATTCTCCGACATTGCCATGAGGCCGGCGTCGGCATGGTAATGGTGGGAACACAATCCCGGTACGCGGGTCTGGAGAATGTCGGGGTTTGGTGGGTTTGGCTCTTCTTTCCTCCTCTCCCTACCAGTCATTCATTTCTCTTTCTCTCTTTGCTCTTTCATCGCTTACCCCGGCGTCGCATGATGTGTATACGAAGGAGATAGTCCAGCAGCACACTCACCTGCCATCTCCCCCCTCCTCCCCTACCCCACCACCCTCGAAAACCTTCACGCGCGCATGCCAAAATGACGACAGCCACCCCAATGCCTCCCAAACACATCTGGGTCATCACCGGCCCCGCAGGCTGCGGCAAGACCTCCGTAGCCGAAGCCCTGCACGCCACCTTCAACATGCCGTATCTCGAAGGCGACACGGTGCGTGAGACACCCCACCGCACCGCACTTGCACCCCGCTCCCTCCCCTTCACCAAACCCCCATCTTGCTAACGATGGAAATGGCGTGGCAGTTCCACTCGCCCGCCAACGTGCAGAAAATGGCAAACGGCGAACCCCTCACCGACGCCGATAGATGGGACTGGCTGATTACGCTGCGCGAAGCGGCCGTGGCTGCCCTGCTCTCCTCCCCCTCCTCCCCCTCTACTACGAACGGCACCAACTCCTCCAGCACGACGGCAAGCGCAAACAACGTCGTGGTAACGTGCTCCGCGCTCAAACGCAAATACCGCGACGTCCTGCGCATCGCCGCGTACCCTTACACCCAGCAACAGCAGCACACGCCGCCGATTCGCGTGCACTTCATCTTCCTTGGAACGTCGGAGGCTATCCTCATGGACCGCGTGCGCGCGCGGCAGAATCATTACATGAAGGACTACATGGTGCATAGCCAGGTGGAGAGTTTGGAGGCGCCGATGGAGGACGAGCGGGATGTGTTGAGCGTGGATGCCAGCGGGACGAGTGTGGAAGTCAAGAGGCTGGCGGAGGGGGTTGTGAGGGGGGTGTTGGAGCGAGAGGAGGGGGTGGAAGCGCGGTGACGGTGCGGTCCAGATATTCCCGATTCGATTTGTGTTATACTACGATAGAGTAGCCTTACTGTTACCCTGTACGACGACTCACGCACCCCCCTCACATCCACAAGCGAATCGTCCCGTCTGCGCCGGCGCTCACACACCACGCTTCCCTAGGATGCCACTCGACGTCCAACACGCCCAATTCGCCCCTCACCTTGTGTCCCTTCAACACCTTCAGCGGGACAACAGTCGCATTCTCCAACCCATCGCCCACCACCTTGCCATGGAACACCTGCACAGTGCCATCATCACTACTATCCGCAAATAGCGGCAGCGTAGGATGGAACTTGACAGCGCGGATAGCCTTGGAATGGTAGCGTAGCGTCTTGTACGGCGTGGAGCCGAGATCGAGATCGTGCCACAGGAGGCGCTTGTCGTACGATGACACCAGCAAATTGGAGCCGAGCGGGTGCAGCGACAGGGACGAAATCCAGCGCGCGCCGGGCTGCAGTTCCTTTTCCAGTTTCTGCTGTTGCAGATCGTAGATGCGGATGCGTTGGCGCGTGGCGACGAAGAAGTGGGGCTTGGTGGGGTGGAAGGAGACGCTTTGTGCGAGGCCCTTGAGCTTCTTGAAGGGGTGCTGTGTTTGGTGTTTGGAGAGAGTGTGGATGGCGATGGCGGTGGAGGTGTGGGTGGATGTCCCAGGGCACACGGTGGAAAAGTAGTCGCCGCGGCGGTGCCACACTAGGGTTTTTGCGGTGCTTCGGAGGGTGAGGGTGAGGAGGATACCTCTGTCTTGTTGGGATGTCGGAGGACGGCTCCAGGCTGCTGATGGTGTCTTGTCTTTACCATCAGCCGTCTTGGAGGGGTTCGAAGCTGCGTGTCCGAAGCCTGCGTCAAGTACTTCCCGACTTTGCGACTCCAGCTCGGGGTTGCTCAGCTCGCCTTGAGGGAGGATGAAGTATACGGTCTCGCCGCAGCAAGCGGCCAAGATGCATGCGTCGTGACCAGGGCGCCAGCTCACAACGTTTACGGCCTCGTCCGAAGCTAGGCGTATCCTCCATAGTTGTCTTCCAGTCAGCAACTCCCATACTCTGACCGTCCCGTCATCGCCTCCAGAAGCAGCGTATCGTCCTTCCGGATCGATGGCCACACTTCGAACTCGTCCTTCATGTCCTCGATAGATGGCCGCACAAAAGCTGGGGAATGGTCTCAATTCGTTTGGATCCGGCAGCTTGGGTAGTAAACTTTCTGGATCGATGTTCAATTTGCTCCTCCTCACGCGCGGCGCAAGGTACAAGTCGAGGCAGCGCTCAAACTTCTCCATGACAAACTTGGCGTACCCGGGCACTTTTCGTAGAGCGGAGTGATCCTCTGGCAAGAAAGCGGTATCACGGTCTTCCTCATCCTGCTTTTCCCACTCTTCGCGTTCACGCTTGTCGGGAAGGTATTCCGGAGGAGGATGGTAGCTCTCTTCGTAGCCCGGCGGTGGAAGTTTGGGTGCGGGAATGTTCATGACATGGTCTGGCCTCGGCACCTCGTTCGACCAGATGTCGTAAGAAGCGTATTCTTGCTGTTGCTCTTCCCGCTCCCGATCTTCTTCAGTCCGCTCACGGAACGGCTTTATCCTGCCTTCTTTGATGGCCTTGACCATCTTCATCACGCGCTTGTGCTCATGCATGGAAGGGACGAAGCGACGCTTAGGCTCTGGGGCGGCGGAGAGAGGCATGGTCATCTCCATCCCTTTGCCGGTAAAGTATTCCACCATATCAGGGTACGGATCATAGCCATCTCCCGGTGCTTCGTTGCGCGTCAACTTCTTCAACACCTCGAGTTCTTCACTGCTGAGTTGTAATGGCTTGCCGGTGCTGGGATCGGTAAGACCCGTCCAGCCTTCGGGAATGTCAATGCTGTCAAGCAGCGAGTCCAATGCTTCGCCCTTGGCGGGACGAGCGATTCGCCGGCCATTGATGTCGTATCCGATGTGTGGGAACTCGTCGTAGTACGAGAGGGGGATATTCCCAATGGTGTTGGTAGTCTCGGGCGCCGAATCGTCGGAGTCGTAATTCGGCTCAATCTCGTTGTAGATGTAGCGGGGATTGCCATTGGCGTCTTCGGCGATTCTGTAGCTGACATTTATTTCTGGCTTTTCCAGTCCATACTCCAAGCGTCTGACTGGCGTTTCCGGGGACAAGGTAGCAACTTCGACGGCCGTCTCGCTTCCCATGAGTTGATGAGGTGGAGTGGTCGCTCGTTTCCCAGATTTCCCATTCACAGGTTTCGCGGCCTCCTCGTCCGACGACGGAATCTCGTCACTATCGAGCTCCTCTCCTTCGTCTTGCGACGCTATTCCATCAAAGTCATCCTCATCGTCGTCCTCTTCGCTGATATCGTCTTCGCTCTCGCCCTCCTCTTCAAAGGCGTCGTCAATGTCTCCATTTTCCAGCACATCTTCCTCTTCCTCTGGGTCAGGCCGAGGAACCTCGACCACCTTTCTCTTCTGTCCCGCCCTCTGCGACACCATTTTGAAATTGGGAAGAAGTTAATACAGAACGACGTTGGATTGAAATGGGCAGGAATTCATAGTTGCTCTGAAATTTTGATTAGACTTTGCGGCCACGGCCCGCCAAAAGTCTTGATGCCTAAGGCACTCAAGAACCTTCAATCAACCACTGTCCACCTTCACTGAACCGCAGCTCATCTATACCTCCGTCTCCTTCCACCGGCCCATACTTCACAAAGCAAACATGTCCGCCGACAACGACGGCGACAGCCAAATGCTCTCCTCCCCCTCCGACTCCGAAACCCAAACCCCCACCAGCCAATCGCAATCCCTAGCCAACTCCACCCTCCTCTCACCCCCCGAACTACACAACCGCCTGGCCGCCGCGCCCGGCGCAAACGCAAACGGCAAACGCCCCATCAACACCATCAGCAACGGCACCGACGACGCAGACGACTTGCTTGCTTCCGGTCCTTCGGCGGCAGCGGCGGGCGGGAAGGCGAGGCCGGAGTATGCGGCGCGCACGCATGAGCGCAGCGGGTATACGTGGAGTCGCGAGGAGGATGCGCCGGGGCATGCGTGGTTGAGTAAGAAGGCGTTGGATGAGTATCATCGGGCGGCGGATGTGCTTGTGCATCGGGATTTGATGGTGAAGGGTGGGTTCATTTCTCTTTCTGCTGCTGTGCATTGAGTTGGTTGCTGATTGTCATTGCTTTTGTAGGCCGCTACGGAGATCCGTTTGAGATGGCGGAGAGGGAGCAGGCTCTTGCCAATAGCTTGAAGCAGAAGTGATGTGTGTGTTTTGCGACGAGCGGACGGACGACTCCATGACGAAGTATATTTAGCGATTGCATTTGGGTCTGGCGTTTGATTGCGATGGATTACTGCAGCGGGTCAAGAGGAGACTACGCACGCAATGAAAGCAAGTGTGATCGTGGCACAATGCAAAGCTTGAGTCGTTATATCAAGCAATTAGCTGGGAAAATAAAGATCCTCGAGCGCCGTATGTGTGATGCGCCATCTAATATGTGTCCATGCCACCACGCAATGCATCAACGCAACATCAACCCCCCTCATTCATCGCCACCACCAAACAAAAAGCTCTAATCATGCCCCGTCCACTCAGTAGGCTGCACGCCATCCGAAAGCCTCCTCTTCTCCCGCTCCTCCTCAATCTTCCGCTCCTCCTCATCCTTAAACACCTCCCGACTCCGCATGCTGCCCGTCGTCCCGCTCAAATACCCACTACTCAACCCCTGCTCGCCATCCGCATTCTCGCGCCTGCGCTTCTCCTCCGCAAGCCGCACTTCGGGCAGCGTAGGTTGGCCGCCCATGGAGGCGAGCACGACGTCTGCGTCAGCAGTCGGGGCGTCGAGGATAAGCAGTTCTTCTTCGGTGAAGACGCGCGGCATCACGAGCCAGCGCAACGGGATGAGGGAGATGATGATGACGGGGAAGCCGATGGCGGCGATGGTCTGCGAGATGGCGACGCTGGAGAGCACGCCGGCGAGCTGGAAAGCAATGTACAGCCAGATGCGGCTGGGCTTGAGGCGCAGGCGCGGCTCGTCGGGGTCGATGAATTTGCGCTCGCGCCAGGTGAATAGGGCGTTGGCGATGATTGGGCTGGAGCCCACGGAGCCCCAGCCTACGACGAAGAAGACGCCGGCGAAGAGGGAGCGCGGCATGGTGTGCAGCACGTCCAGGAGGGGGCCGGTCATCGTGCCGATGAGGGCGAGAGCCATGAGCCAGTGCGAGACTCGCTGCTCTTTGACCTCGATGGCTTCGATTTTCTTCCTGTTGTGCTGGTGAAATTCCGCATCGGGCTCGTCGTCCTTTTCTTTTGTCACTTTCAAGACGTCTTGGTATTCCGTGCAGGCGTCGGTGTGCACTGGTGCTTGAGGGACTAGACCGTTTGGCAGCGGAATGCCCACAATACCGCCGATGAAGCAGGTGCAGCCGAGGAGGAAGAAGTCCCAGTGAAAGCCGGCGGGCTTAGTCAAGGGGAATTTGCGGGCTTGGGCGGTCAGAGAGCTGACGTTGTGATCGTAGTAGAAGAGGAGAGTCAAAAGGATGCCCATGGGAAGGGCCACAAAGACCCATTTTACCGGGAGAGTCCAGAATGGGATGAGCCAGGGGCGGTCTTGGGTTGGGTAGAAGGCCCTTGTGTGCGGAACCCGATACTGGTGCGTTTCTGCGAGGCGCCCCGGGATATGGGAGAAGCCCACCCACCATAATGTGGCAATCTGGTGTGAACGTGTTAGTCAGTTCGGATGGTAGGATGAATAATGCGTCCTTACCGGATAGGCAAAATCTGAGATGGATTTGCGCATCCACGGCTTGAGGAAGGTTGTAGATCCGACCATTTCCAGCCGGTAGACCGTGAACCAGTAGACCAAAGCGATGACGCAGGCCAGATAGCCCCCGGATCGATTATGATCATCGAAAGCAGCGACCAGTTCTTCGACTCCCTTGACTGTACACAATGGATCAGTATGGGTCCATGGAAGATATGCCGAACTTTACACACTCATATAAATAATCCCCACGTAGAGGCCAAATGATGTGCTGGAGAAGTCGGTGATGTAGCGCATGTAATCACAGAGGTTGAAGATCGCAGCCGCCCAATGGGTGATGGCAGCCCAGATGGAGACCCAGCAGATGAGAGGCCCGTACAGGTGTATGATGCCTTGGTCGCGGGCAATGTCGTAGATGGTGTAGTTGAACAACGAGATCAGACCGGTGATGCCGACCACAGTCAGCGGTTGACAGGAGAGGGTGGAGAAGACCACGGCAGCAAGGGCCGAAGAAAACAGGGCTTCATTGATGCCGAAGAAGTTGTCGGTGCGTCGGGACATGTCCAAGGTGAATGCCAATGCTGGGAGCAGATTGACGAAGAAGATCCGAACGGTGCCGGCAAAGGTGCGGTAGTTGAGGCCGTCGACCACATCGGACCAGTAGAAGGGTAGTCTTCTTCGGACATCGTAGTACATCCCTCGGAATGGGCGGAGGGGCCGCCACTGTTTCCATCCTACCTGGTTGTCCCAGGTGTAGGGATCATTGGCGTAGTCCACCTGGGGTGGATTTGCTGTTGGCAGCTTCATCGTGTATTGTTGTATCGTCTATGTGTATCGAGTTCGTGAGTCAAATGCGTCGAGGAACTAAAGTAAACGCCGATGCCGAGGAGGCGAACGAGAACGACAGAACGAATTATTGCCGGACGGATTTCTGTGTCTGCGAGTCGCCACGCATCGGGTCCAGCGGCGCGTAGCCTGAGATGGAAGAGGGTGGAGGGTGATGAGGAGACGAGAGGAGGAGAGGGAAGTAGGTAGAGAAGAAGGCAGAGGCTAGAGGAGAGAGGGAGGTGATGGTCAAAAAAACAACCAATGCTCCCAGCTTCCTCCCTCCACATATACTGCCCCAGAGTGGCACTGATTGAGGCTAAGATTCACAGACGTCACGGGCGTCGGCGAGAACTGCCCGGGGAGACTTTCTCGGCAGGAAAAGTCTATTGTGTTGAGAGTTTCGACATCGGAAACGCCTTCATGCCATCTTGCCCGTGCTTCCTCGCCCAGAGACGCCGAGATCACGCTTTTTAACTGGTACTGTGGTTTGTGTAATCTTCACCGACTATCCTGATGGAATGATTCGCGCATCTCCCACATCAATCGCGCACGAAGGAAGAACATCTCTGGCCTCAATGTCGCACGTGAAAGTGACGCCATCGCGTCTGCCTCGGGCATGGCGAAGTTCCCTGTTTACCCTTTACTCTTATCGCCAAGCCGTGCGTGCTGCTCAGCCAATAGCCGCCGCTAGGAAACTGCCCGAGCAGACTTCCGCTGCCTCCCTCACTTCACTTCCACTTTGCCGCCACTCTTTCCGTAATTGCCTCACTATGAAGGCGTGCACCGGCGACAATATGCTTACTACTTTGGCCGTATTGATCGATGACCTCTCCGGCCGGATCCTCACTTCGCGTGCACCTCCGTTTCATTCCGTGTCGATGCTTCCTGGGCTCAGAAATCCCGCACGTGGCGTCATGGACTCTGGCTGAGGCTTGACCTCACTTGCTCCGCATCCTTACAACCTCATGCTGTAGATCTGCGATTCACCCACCAAAGGGTGTCCCATCTACGCAATGGCAGTGCATCCTCACTCGTGACTTTCGATCGCTTACGCGGTGCTTTTCACGTGCCGCTTCCCAACTTGCCCTTAGAAGCTCACACATCTCAGATACCACATGGACGTCAAGAGTGCGCGAAACGGTGATGCCTACCGATGTCGACAGTGTTAAGGGACCCTCAGGAATAATCCCAATCCCGTCACGACAGAGCAACAATGTCCTCCACGTCCCCACTCCTATCCTTCCGGCTCCTCTTCGGCCGCCGGCATGTGACTTCAACGTCGACAGATAATACAACTCAACCCTGCCGCCATCACATGCGCGCTCGTCGGTCAACGCTGCAAAGCTGCCAATCACGTCCGCAACAGAAAGCCATCGGAAAGGTCGCGCGTTCGAGACCTTTTGTGCTAATTGTCGATGCGCAGGTCCATTCTGCGACGAAGTGAATCCAGCTGGGGAAGAGGTCGCTCCCTTCCGGCAGCAAACGGCGGCAAAGACAGTCCCGAAGCTGTTCCGCGGCTGACGTGGGCTGGCCAGCCACTGACGTTGCTGGTAACGGTGTGCGAGCTGATAGTCAGTGGCGCGTAGAACGGTTTGGTTGTTTATTTAGCGGTGTTGATTAGATGTTAGCACTGGTTTCTTGCTTGGAGCTAACCAAGACACTCCGGCTTGAGATTTGTTCGGGGCTTGATGCTTAGCCGGGTGACATGACACGTAAGTTCACATCCTCCTTTGTGAAAAAAGATCTTCCGATGGCTTTCTGATTCCTTTTCTTTTTCAATCTTGCCTGGCTTGCTATCATGATCTCTTGCATCGTGGCATCGTTCTTTGCGAACATCTCACTGCTACCATTTCATCATTGAATACAACGATTCGTTCGAATGCTTCACAGCCTTTCCATCAACGTTACACTAGACGTCACCAACCAAGAAACGTCACCACAGTAGGTCTATAATCAATTCCGCACCCTGCACAATCACCTTGAGGGAAGAGTTGGTCAAAGACCAAAACTTAGTACCTCCAAGGGTCGAACAGCACGGGGATTTGCAGCTTTTCGCCACGACGCAATGTCGAACGAAATCAATTAGGCGCTGATCCACCGCTTGCACGACAATTGTTGTGTAGGCGGGGGGCTTGAGGAGTGTCCTCTCTTGAGTGAGAGGGCCGGGGGATCAGCTGTGGGCGGCGACGTTCACTTTTTGATGTTTTGTTGTCACCAAGGGTCACGGTTCGAATAGCTCACGCAAATCTTCGTTGACAGTGAGGAAGTGGAGGCGCAGTTTTTAATCGACCGCAAGAACGATTACTACTGAGATTTCCCATTTCACTCCATGCCTTCCATCAACTCCACCTTATCAAGCGCCATCCCTTTCCGCCCAATCACCTCCCTCAACTCTACCCACTCCGCACCCTCTTCCGTCCCCCTCCACCTCGCATCCTTGAACCCCCAAGCACCCGCCACCCGATCCAGCGCCGCCCGCTCCTCCTCCCGCACCCATCGTTCCCACAATGGCACGCCTCGCGCCCACGTCACGCGATCCATCTGATCGTTCGCAGTCGTAATCACCACATACCCGAGCCCCGTGACGGTGAAGACGTACGTCATGATGCCCGCGAAAGCCACGCCCGTCGCAAGCCCGGGATCCATGGAATTCTGAAAATTGCCAAAAGCCGTGGACAGCGCGTACGCCGCGCCGGGGGCGAGGAGCAGGCCGGCAAAGGGGAACAAGGCCTGGCGCAGCCCTTTGGATTTGCGGAAGGCGAGCGTGCCGAAGCTCGTGTCGATGATGTCGATGCATAGCGGGAGGTTGTGGGCGTCGATTGCGGAGGAGAGGGCGATGTTGGCCGTTTTGGCGTCGATGGCTGCGTTGACTTTGTCGGGGGAGACTTCTGTGAAGGCGACGCCGCCATCGGAGGATAGTTTGGGAGCGGGTTTGGAGGCGTAGAGCGCGAAGATGTCGGGGAGGCTGGAGGGTTGGTGGAGGTTGGTTTGCAGGCCTACGTAGCTTTTGAGGATGGCGGGGGTGATGAAGGTTGTGGGGTTTCGGAGCAGCTCCTCTGCTTTTTCGCTGATGAGGCTCAGTAGCGAGGCTTTGTTGAGGTGTCCTGGGTGTTGGCGGGCATTGACTGAGCCGAGGAGGGCGAATGTAGCTGTCGTGCCGTCTTTTCCATTCTGCGCGGAGCTTGCTGGGCCTGAAGACTTGGTGTCGAGGAGGCCTTTCGCGAGGGTGTCGAGCTGTTCGAGAACGTAGAGGAGACGCTGCTCCGAAGGGAGCTTGTGGTCTTCGGGTTTGAGGACGGAGGAGGTGAGTTCGAAGATGCGCTGGTGGACGGTGCTGAGCTGAGTAGGAGGGCTGGCTTTGCTACTGCGAGCTCCCTTTTGAGACGCATTTCGTGTGATTTGAGGGCTCGCTGGTCTGGCAGCAGTCTTGTCGCGCGGCGATCGGGACTGCGCCGCGATCACGAAGCTTCGTCCGCTCCAGCGATGGCCTGCTGAGGTCGCGAATGGGAGGCGTGATGCTCGCTTGGGCTGCCGCAGCAGCGACATGCATTCATGACATACTCTCATACTTCCTCGATCCATTGCGGGCGATTGTCGATGGGCTGTGAAGTACAAGCAAGCATCCAATGTGGGACTTGAAAGGTGGAGTCGCGTCTGCCAGAAGTGGCTGTGACGACTTCCGCCAAGCCACAGCATGTAAACCTCTAGGCTGCTTGATTCTCTTTCAACCTGTCACCTTACTTCACCGACCTGCCTTGCGACTTGCGGTACCTCACGGGAGACTGTTGTCTACCTGAAATCATCACAGCATAAGAGACCGGACGGGAAAGACGGGCAGATTGGCCCCGTCCGAGTGCCGCAATGCCACCACCACCTCCACCACCGCCGCCTCCGCCGCCGCCGCCTGGATTCGGGGGTATGAAACAGTCGCTTGAGATGACTTAATTACACGTCGCTGATGTCAAGCTAGGTCCTCCACCGCCACCTCCACCGCCTCCCGGAAAGACACCGTCCAAACCGAGTGCGGCACAAGCTAAAGGAAGGGTATGTCACCACCAACCCGTGTATCGAGGACGTATAAGAGCTTGGCAAGAGACTCGACACTAGAGAGAGCTGAAGCTGAATGAATATTTCCACAGGGAGCACTCCTAGGTGACATAGAAAAGGGCGCGCGACTAAAGAAAGTCACCCAAATCAACGATCGATCCGCCCCCATCATCGACTCAAAGGCCTCGTCGGCCAGTGCCGGCCCCCCGGTGGGCGGAGCGCCTCCAGTACCTGGCTTGAGACCACCGGCGCCAGCGTCAGTCAATCGATTGCGCAGTAATAGTGATATTGGAGCGGGCTCGGCAGCATCGGTGACAGATTCGGCGCCCCAGTTAGGCGGCATCTTTTCGGGAGGCATTCCAAAGCTCAAGAAAACGAATGCAGGAGTTAACATCTACGACTCGGACCCCGAGACCAGTTCGAGAAAGTCTTCAGCACCAAGCGTTCCATCACCGCCCGGATTGGCCCCGAGACCACCGGGAGGAGCCCCGCCGCCCCCACCGCCTGGTGCCGCGCCGGCTCCTCCCAGCGTTGCTGCCGTGAAGAACACCCTCCGACCCTCCAGTTCACCTGTTGGGAGCGCACCCGAACCGCCATCAATCCACAAACCCAAGCCTCCCCCACCGATAGGAAAGAAACCACCCATTCCTCCACCAGCTGGAAGGAAACCATCAGCGGCATTGGCTTCTGCTCCGCCTCTACCACCGCCGTTACCACCCTCCTCGAACTCTCCATCGATAGCCCCTCCTCCACCACCGCCCTCCTCGAGCTCTCCTTCATTAGCCCCTCCTCCACCACCGCCACTTCCTCCCTCCGCCAGTGCGCCAAAAGCACCCACGCCTCAGCAAAACGGCAATCTGGCAGCTCAGGCCGCTGCGAACGCATTTCGCTCCCACTCACCAGCTGCACCTGCGCCACCGCCTCCACCGCCGCCGCCATCTTCAGCCCATGCGCCCAGCGGAGCTCCACCGCCGCCTCCTCCCCCGCCGCCTGCCGCGGCGCCCTCTCGCCCAACTTCTTTCTCTCCGACTTCTGTGCCTCCGCCACCTCCACCTGCTGCACCACCGTCAAGGCCAACGTCATCTCCAAGCTCCGCACTTCCTCCACCTCCACCGCCGCCGCCCCCAAGCGCAGCGCATAGACAAAGAGACAACTCCCTCTCATCGCCAGCAGCGCCCCCGCCACCTCCCAAATCTCCAACCCCAGCAGCGCCTGGTGGCATCCCAACGGCCGGCGGACAACCACTCGGCACCACCGTGACTCAAAACACCGTCACCCCATCGCTCGCAAGCCTCGATGCTTCAGCGTACACGTTGACTAATGGTTCGTCCCCGTCTTTGAGCGCTGGTGGACAAGCGAGACCTAGTAGTGGTGGCAGAGGAGGATCGAAGGTTTTCATCGACGACAGCAGATTCAAGTTCCAGCGTGACGATCAGTTGCCGAAACCGCGCGCTTACGAAGGGTCGGGGAAGCGGTATCGTGCGGGCAGGGGAAGCAGTGTCCCGTTGGATTTGAGCGCCTTCAAATGAACTTTCTTTGCTCGGGAGGCGAGGCTTCTCACTGCGTTTGAGCGGGTTTTTGTGGAGTACTTATGATTTGAGAGTGCGAATGAGAAGCTTGATCGCTAAACTTGTGCAGCAAGAGTCCGGCTTGGGTTGAGTCTCAGATGTGTGAAATGGCCCGTCATTTCCATTGCATCTACAAGCCGCTTTCCTATTCTTTTCCGCATCATTGCAGCGCCGCATCCTTCTCGCCTCATGTCTCAGTGTCCGCCCTTCTGAACTCCGCGTCTGTATTCACATCTCTGCTACAGCGCTAGGAGATTCACTTCTTTCGGCCATTGCCCTTGTATGAAGCACACAGGGAGAGCCGTTATGCTTGCAAGGGTCGGAAGAGCGTAGTGCGTTCGCAGAGCAAATGGTGCAACCCAAGGAATAGATCGAGCACACGTCTGCCGGTGGTCGCGAGTCTGTCGTGCTTTTTCCTTCCCAGTTACCATTCACAGATGCACACCGTCGTCGTCCTCTCCATCATCAACATCAGCCATCCTCTCCTCCATCCGCCGCCTCAACTCCTCATCCGTCAACCTCCCACTCTGCCGCACACTCCCCCCATTGACCGTAGGCGGCGGCGCACCATTCACAGCAGCACCAGCAGTCGCAAGCCCATTAACAACCTTCTCATCACCACCCACTTCCTCCCCCCACAAATACCCTCGTCTCTCAACCTCCTCTTTGAGCAGCCTGACCCGCTCATTCATCCGCCCTATCACCGTCAAATTCTCGAACATCGCTTCTTTGCACTCCTGATCGCCTTCTTCTGCGAAGGGCAGCATTTGGTCGTTGCTGTGTTTGAGGTGCGCGATGCTGTTTTGGATTTCGGCTGCTTTGGCGTGGAGGGCGTCGAGGGGGAGGCTTTCGAGGGCGGAGGCGAAGCGGGTTGGGGAGATGGGGTTGTTGGCTTCGGCCATGTTTGGGAGAAGGTTGTGGTATTGTTGATGTGGGGAATCTTTCGAGGGAATGTCTTTCGATTACGTCGGATAGAGCAAAGAAGGAGGATTAATTGCGTGCTGCAAAACTTATGGACAAGGCAGGCTACGTGACGTCCGCTCGCACGTGAAGAGGGCCGAAACTCTGCTGACTGTACATCCAGGAATGCGGAGATGGTCCGAGCACCTCCGAAGCCGCCGGCTCGGACCGTGCTCTAAACTCAAACCGACGGAATGTCAAAGTCAATGATTCTTGCGACATCGATCACGCACTTCTCGCGTTGCTCAATGTTTACGTGCGTGCTCCAACAGGTGCGGGAGTAATCACAGCAATGAACAATGCCTGGACTGCGATAACATTTCGAGCATCTTGTGCCGCTGCTCGACCGTCTCGGAGACCGATCCGCGAGCTATTCCATGGCTACACACGACACGAGACATGCAACTCCGCCAACCTGGGGAAGAGGCGCTTCTTGAGCTACAGTTTGACTCCTTCATTCGCCGGCAGACCTCCGTCGGGTCGGACAGCGAGATATGTTGGCGTATATCAACAAGCTTTCAGCACCTCCGCTGTCGTTTCCAAACGAAACACGCGATCACGACAACTCGACCATTCGAAAACCCCGGCAGACTCAAAGATCGAGCCCGCACCGACCGTCGCAACTCACACCGAAGGCTTATCGGATGAAAGTCAAGAGCTGACATGGCGAGACTATGATCCTGAAGGAGGCATGCCCCTGCCCGATGGCGAGCGATCTCAGGCGCAAATCAATAGCGTTTTTGGCGATGAGCAGGTGGATGCGGAAACGGGCAACTACATTCTCAACGTGATATACTGGAGAAGAGCATCGGGGGCGTTGATTGATGTTGGGATTCGGTTTCCGAATGACAGTCGCGTGACGGACCGGCAAGCTGCGAAAGCGCTGGACTACATTCGTTCGCTCGATCCGAGTTTTGATGAACAAGCTGCTGCGCAGGTGTGGGCGGAGGAGGAATCAGTGAGGTTACAGCAACAATTGGAGGACCGGGCTGTGAAACTACGACTTTACAAACGGGACGAGCCGCAGGAGGAGGAGGAGGAAGCCGAAGAGGACCAAGGTACCGCCTATGGCCGCTCACGGAACCGCGAGAGTCAGCTGGAACAGCTTCAAGCTTCGAACGAGGCAATCAAAGAGGCCGAAGCAGCACGCAAAGCAGTCGCAGAGGCCAAAGCCGAGGGCTCCGCCTTGCATACCCACCGCGGTCCATTAGAACTGGCCGGTGGGGTGCAGCCATCGGTCGAAATGGTGACCTACACCGGGAGAGATGGCATCACGATTTCTCGACCCAAGCAGCAAGCATGGCTGCAACCAGTGGAGCGCAAACCGTGGGTATCGTACTACGAAAAACAGGCCGAACTCTTCCCAAGCGAGTCTATCCCACAACTCTCCAACCTCCAACGTCTGGGGCCCAGCTTCGCCTTCCTCCTGCTGCTCCTCGGCCTGGCAGTGTTCGTCTCCGAAAACTACACCCCGCCTCCCAACAGCGCGCGTCTATGGCCGGACGTCCCTCCATCCGTGGCCACGCTCTCGGCCCTCACAGGAACCTTCTTCGCCTTCTTCCTCCTCAGCCGCGTCCCTCCCCTCTGGAGAACGCTAAACAAATACTTCACCGTCGTGCCCGCCTACCCTCATGCCTTCGGCATCCTAGGCGCCGCCTTCCGCCACCAGCGTCTCTCACACCTCCTCTTCAACTCCCTCAGCCTCTGGCTCTTCGGCCTCATCCTTCACGAAGACGTCGGCCGCGGCGCCTTCCTCTCCATCTTCTTCCTCTCCGGCGCGCTAGGCGCCTACACGAGTCTCTCCTATCACGTCCTGAGGCGGCACTGGGCGACCTACATCTTCGGCTCGTCCGGCTGCGTGCTAGGCGTGGTAGCGGCCGCCACGACTCTGCATCCCAATTCCACGATCAAAGTCTTTGGTCAGGACGTGCCGATTGCCGTGTGGTTGTGGTTGGCGCTGTACGGAGTCGCGGAGGCTGTGGCGATGTTTAGGTTCAAGGGGCTGGGCATTGATCATGCGGGACACTTGGGTGGGCTCGTGGGCGGGTTTGCTTCGGCGCTGTGGTTGCAGCAGAAGGCTAGAGAGCGGAAGATTGCGCTTGGAAGGGAGGCAGGGAGCGCTGTGCCGGTCGAAGTGAATGAGGTCAAGGCAGCGCCGAGTTGATGCTTGAGCTGTGTGTTGCCTATTGTACAATTATCTGTGTGATACCCTCCTCAAAGCTCGCCTCTGGATAGAGTACATATATTACAGTGTTGGCATTCATCGCCAGCCCGCATCAAAGGAGTTGAGAGCCCATCCAGGCAGCCTCACAGCCGCGCTCCAATCTCACGAATGCGAGCCACCAACTCGTCCGGCCGAACCTCCTCCTTCACCCGAAGGCGACGGCATTGCAGCTCCACCACGCCCTTCTTCGTCCACGCTTTGCCCAACACCACAATGAACGGATACCCGATCAGATCTGCATCGTGCAGCTTCCAGCCCAGCGGTCGTTCTCGGTCGTCGAGAAGCACTTCCGACTCGGAAGACACCCCACCACCGCAGACCTGGTCATATAGCGCCTGCGCATCCAGCACGACACTCTCGTTAACCGGCACGATAACCGTCTCGAACGGCGCAATCGCCAAAGGCCAGTTAAGGCCCCGCTCATCCGCAAGCAAATTCGCGATCGCGCCAATGAGTCGCGACACGCCCATTCCATGACACCCCATCTCCATTGGCACTTTGCGATTTGCGGAATCAAGGACCAGGGCTTCCAGGGGCTCGCTGTAGCGCTGGCCGAGGTGGAAGGTGTGGCCTATTTCGACGGCGCGGTGGAGGTGCAGTGCGCCTTGCTTGCAGCTCGGGCAGGTATCGCCTGCGCGCGCTTTTGTGAAAGTGATGGGTTGTTGGGCGACGGTTGGGAGGCGTTGGGCTTCGGTTAGAGGGAGGCGTGCGGCTTCTGCGAATTGCTCGGGGGAGAGTCTGGGGTCGCGGAAGTGGATGTGCTTTTGAGGATTGGTTGAGTGTTCGTCTCGATCTCGCAGCGCTTGCTCGCCTTGCACGCCTGTGTCTACGTCTGGGAAAATGGCTTTGACGGCGTAGATGTTGGGTTCGCCGTCGTCGGATGGATAGTAGATTGAGCAAAGTCTTGTCCGGTCTTTGCTGATGTAGAGCTCGCTCGCGACCGAGAGGGAAGGATGGCTGGTTTCTTCGGCATCGTAGGATCCGACGTAGAGCTCCTCGTTGATGGAATAATCGCATTTGTCGCACGTGATGACGGTGTCTTCGCCCTGTGGTGAGGCGAAATGGTATTCGTGGCTCAGCGTGCCGCCCATATTTCCTGAATCGGCGCGAGCAACGAGGTAGGGTAGTTTCAATTCTTCCAGAAAAGCGACATACGCCTTGCGCACTTCCCCGTAGGTCCGATGAGCGGCGGACTCGTTCGAGTCAAACGTATAGAGATCTTTCATCAGGAACTCCCTCCCGCGCAGGAGGCCTTGTCGAGGACGCGGCTCGTCTCGGTACTTGCGCGAAACCTGGTACAATCGCAACGGAAGTTCCTTATAGGAGTGCACGGCATTGGCGACTATCGAAGTGATCTCCTCCTCGTGAGTGGGAGAGAGGAGGTACTTCGCCCCCTTGCGGTCCTGCAGACGGAGAAACTCGGACGAGCGACTCTTGTCCAGTCGGCCGGAGCGTTGCCATAACTCCTCGGAGGAAAGGGAGGACAACGAGACTTTAGATGCCCCAAGAGCCTGCATGTGCTTGTCGATGAGCCTTTCGAGCTTGTTCTGCACGCGGAGACCCAGGGGTAGGATGTGAAAGATTCCGGCGTGCACCTGGCGTAGAAAGCCGGCGCGGAGGAGTAAGTCGTGGCCATTTTCGGGGTCTTTGGAGTCGGCTGCTTGTCGCTGGGTTGGGGCCCAGAAGTTGCTTAGTCGGTTGCGGCCGTCATTCTGGTGAAGCGTCAATATATGTCCCGAAGATGCATGGATATAGGTAGAGCTCACGTGCAGGCTGCGCCGCTGGAAGAGCAGGTGTCGAGCAGCAACGTCTGCTCTTCGCGTGCTGCGTTTCAACACATGGTAGTGTGACATGCGTGAGTATTAGTCCTTGCTCGACTATCACATTGAGGAATTGTTTTGCGCGTACAACATCGATCCATCAAAGGAGGCATCGCAAGTCGTTCTGAGCGGAGGTGGATGTTCGGACAAATCTCGGCGAATCTTCTCCGCAGTTTCAACTTTTTTGTGATGGCAGCACTTGAAATTTCCAGCATCAACTGCTATCCACTCTCTGGTCGATGCGCGGGATGAGAAGGAAAGATGGGAATCAAGCGCAAAGCAAAAGAGTCGCACCCTCCATTCGAGGGGGAAGCTCGCAAGAAGCCCAAGGCAAAGGCGAACGCCGACTCCAAGTTCCTCTTCGCTCCTCGACCCGATTGGCACGCCGCCATCCTGCCGACACCTGAGCCTCGCGATGTCAAGGCGCTCCCTCCGCAACGTACAATCGATGAGCTCCGCCAGTACGCGACCTCGCTCCTCGAAGCAGAGAATGCTGCCTACAGCGCCAACAATGCCTCCGCCTCCTCCTCGCAAAAGTTCCTCTCCACCATCATGTCGAACGGTACCCTCGAAGACAGAGTCTCCGCCCTTACCTTGCTCGTCCAGGAGTCGCCACTTCACACCACGAAGGCCTTTGAGAATTTGTTGAATCTGTCCAAGAAGAAGAGTCGGAATCAAGCGTTGATGGCGTTGGCCGCTTTGAAGGATTTGCTCGGTCAGGGTGTCGTTCTGCCTGGCGATCGGAAGCTGCGGGCATTTGGCAAGCAGCCAATCCTTCTTCAGATATTCCAGGGCAAGACTGCAAATTGGAGGCAGGGCGAGCCTCTTCCCCCAGGCCTGGAGAAACTCCATCTCATCGTATGGGCGTATGAGGATTGGCTAAAGCGGACGTACTTCGAAGTCTTGCAAGTATTGGAGAACTGGCTTGGGGACGAAGTGGAATACTCCCGCAGCCGCGCGGTGACATATGTCTGGGAGTTGCTTCGCGATAAACCAGAGCAAGAGGAGAACCTGCTGCGACTTCTGGTCAACAAGCTGGGCGACACCGACCGCAAGATCGCGTCAAGAGCATCGCATCTTCTGTTGCAGCTGCAATTGACGCATCCGGCTATGAAATTGATCATCGCCAACAGCATCGAAGCGGACTGTCTCTATCGGCCGGGACAAAGCATACATGCGAAATACTATGCCATCATCACCCTCAACCAGACCATCCTCGGCCAAAAAGAGCAGGAGGTCGCCAGCAAACTACTCGAGATTTATTTCAGCTTATTCGTCCAATTGTTAAAATCAAACGGCACCGAGAACGAGCCCGCCAAACCCAAGGCACCGGCGAGAGTGCAAGGCGGAGGTGGAAAGGCTGGCAAGCTAGCAGCAAAGAAACGCAAGGCTCAAGAGAAAAGCGACGAGTCCGGCGCACAACTTCGCGAGAAGATGATCGCACAAGTCTTGACTGGCGTCAATCGAGCCTTTCCATTCGCCGATATGAACGATGCGAAGTTCGAGGAACAGCTCGACACCATCTTCCGCGTCACGCACTCTGCCAACTTCAACACCGCCGTGCAGGCGCTCATGCTCATCCAGCAGATCTCCTCTACGAAACACTACGGCGCCGAACGCTTCTACAAAACGCTCTACGAATCCCTGCTGGACCCGAGGCTGTATTCTTCGAGCAAGCAGATCATGTATCTCAACTTGCTCTACAAGAGTCTGAAGACTGATCTGAACGCCAAGCGTGTGCAAGCGTTCGTCAAGAGACTGTTGCAGATCATTACAGTCCATGACCCGCCATTTGTCTGCGGAGTGCTGTACCTCGTCAGCGAGCTGGAGAAGGTCTTTCCGAGCGTTCGCACGATGATGAGCGAGGCGGAAGTGGACGATGATGACGAAGAGGAACACTTTGCCGATGTGATCGAGGATGACGAAGGGAACCAAACGATGCCAACCACTCAACCGCGCGCCATTGACCAACACCGATACGATCCGCGCAAACGAGACCCCGAACACGCTCGCGCCGATCGCAGCTGTCTGTGGGAGATCCTTCCACTGCTCCAACACTTCCATCCCTCCGTCTCGCTGTTCGCCGCGACCCTGCTGGCAAACAAGACGATGCCACCCAAGCCTGACCCCACCCAACACACCCTCAACCACTTCCTGGACCGCTTCGTCTATCGTTCCGCAAAGTCGAAGCCCTCGGTTGCCATGCATGGATCATCGATCATGCAGCCCTTGGCAGGCAGCAGTGCCGCGGATCTTCTCCTCAAGCCTGGCAAGGAAAGCGGCGCGAAAGCAGATGTCAACAGCGAAGCGTTCTGGCAGAAGAAGATCGAGGACGTTGCGGCCGATGAGGTGTTCTTCCATGCTTACTTTAGTCAGGCCGGGGGCAAGAAGAAGCGCAAGACTGCCGAGAAGACGGCGGCGAAGGGCAGAGACGAAGATGACAGCGAGGGTAGTGAGGACGATGGCGAGGACGAGATCTGGAAGGCCATCACCGCTTCCAAACCTGATGTTGAGGGCGACGACGAGGATGATGATCTCAGTTTGGGCGATCTTGAGAGCGCTTACTCGGACAGTGAGGATGGTTCAGAGGCCGGGATCGATCTGGGCGGGGAGGAGGGAGATGGAATTGAAGATGGAGGGCTGCTGCTCGACGACGAACAGGGCTCTGATGCGGACGATCTCGATGCCGCACCTGATCTCGAAAGCGACGATGATGGAGTCTTTGACGATGATGACGAGGTGCCCGAGGACTTTGACTTGCCTGTGGAGAAGGAGGAGCCGGAGGAGAAGGAGCTGTCGAAGAGTCAGAAGAAGCGCAAGGAGAGGAAGAAGTTCAAGCAGTTGCCCACTTTTGCTTCGGCGGAGGACTATGCGAAGTTGCTTGGGGCGGATGAGGAGGAGGAAGATTATTAGTCTATTCAGTGCAGATACTGCATGGCCAAATTAACAGGCGTCTGCTCTGTCGTCGTGGAATATGTCTTAATCATCTCGAGCCCGTGCCGGGTGACGCCATTGGCTACTTGACAGGCGCGAGCTCGAAACCTCCAAGTCTCCCAATCCACGCTCAACTTCATCTCTCTTCCGTCCACACCCACCCATCCCCTTGGCCGGCGCATAATGCGGCTCACACGCGCCCAACACGACGCGTACGATGCCACTTGATCGCAAACATGTGATCGCAGCCGGCATAGTCGCTTTCGTGTCCTGGGCCTACCTGACCGACTGGCTCCCGGCCCTGCGCTGGATCCCGCACGCCTTCACCGCCGGCCTCCTCTCCGCCCTCGCCGGCCTGCTGTACCTCATCTGCACCACGTCAAACGGCACGCTCGGCCGCAGCGATGCCTACCGAATCAATGCGCCCGTCGCGCCCGCCTTCATCGCCGCAAAGGCGTGGGAGGAGGAGAAGGCGACCTTGTTGTCAAGAGCAGAGTACCGCAGACCCATGATATTCCCTGAGGCGGTGGCCTTTTCCAAATCTGTCGATCAGTTGCTGGACTTGGTGATTCGGGATCGCGTGACGAGTTGGTATGGTGCGATTAGCAAGAGGACGCTATTTCAGAATGAGATTGATCGCTGCATCCGCTCCGTCCTCCTTACCGTGGCGGCGCGCATGACGGATTTTGATCTGGTCGAGCTCGGCGTGGCGAATATGCTGCCGCTGTTCACGGCGCATATGAGGGACTTCTACGAGGCGGAGCGGCTGGTGCGCGGCAAGGACCTGTCCCATCATGTCACGGAGAGCGAGGAGCTGCACATGGCTATCGCGGGAAAGTATCGAAATGGGAAAATCCATACCGTCGCTTCTCTGGCCTTCGCCGACACCACGACCGCACAGCAGCAGTACTTTCGCGCGCTCATCGCGAAGCTCCTACCCATCGTGCTGCCGGATAACATGAAGTCGAGCCCCGCGGTCATTGTCCTCATTCGCGAAATCGTGGCGTGCGCCGTCCTCACCCCCGTCGTTACCCTCCTGCTCGATCCGGACATCTGGAACCAACTCATTGTGAACTTCGGGGGGCCCATGCTGCAAGATCGCAAGGCGGTGCGGAAAGTCCGCGCCGCGCTGGATCAGAATTCGCCGGTGAAGACGCTGCGGACGGCGCAGTTCCCTCGTCTCCGACCATATGATAGCGAGAGGCAGTTTGAGAGGTTCATTCGCGCCATCCGACACATTACTATCTTGGCGGACGCGAAGAAGATGCGGAGCGAGGTCATGAGCCAGATGCGGCGAGACGCCGCTGTTGATGGACAAGATGCTGCATATCTCCGTCGCTTGGATACAGGCAAGCGCCTGCTTGACCAGAAGATTGCTAGTCTATCGGCCAATGGCCCTGCGAAGCCCAAGCTGCAGATGGATACCGCCAACATCAACCCTGCTTCGTCGCTCAAGAAGCGTCAGGCGACTTTGCGTGAGGTTCTTTACGATGCGCCTGGCCTCAGCTATTTTATGGAGTTCATGGATCGATTACGGCTTACGCGTCTGGTACAATTCTACATCGTCGTCGACGGTTTTCGAGGACCTCTGGAAGGTGACTCGGACGAGCTTAATCTCCGCATGGCCGACGAAGCAGATCGTCTGGACGTGGCGCAAATGTACGAAGCATATCTCAGCCAACCAGAGCTGCACACCAGCGGCTCAGTGCTCGCTCGTGTCCGGACGTTCCTGAAGGCCGGTACCGATGCGAGCGCTTACGAGTACGTCGCCGCTCGCCAAGCTGTATTGCAGACGCAGACACAAGTCTACAATACCATGAAGGACACGCATTATGAGAACTTCAAGCGCTCTGATCTGTACTACAAGTGGCTTGCGATTGACGACAATCCTGCCTTGGCTGCGATGCAGAGCAAACAGACTGGGAGTCCCCTTGCCGTCGAAGGTGCACAGAGCAGGGACGGCTCGCCAGTCAGACAGCGCAGACCACCGCCGCCACAAGCAAACAAAGAACCGGAGCTCAGGCGTGCGGTCCTGTCATCCACGAACGTGAAAGACATCGGTCAGCTGGCAAGCAATGGATCGAACGGCCGACGTTCGTTGGATGATACGTCCATGCGCCCTGCACTCTTTGATGACGACGTCGATGACGAGCGTATGGTGCGGTCTACGTCGAGTGTTCGCAGTTTTGACTCGGACGCTGAGGCTGCCCAGCAGTCTCGCGACGAAGCCAGAGCCGTGGATGCCATGCAGGCTGCGCTGGATGGTATTGTGCGTGAAGAGGACCGAAGCCCGTTGTTTGGTGATCATTTGGATCAGCAACCCATTGGCTCCACCGACCCAAGGAAGCCGATGGATAGGCTCAGGGGAACGGAGTCGGCACGGAGCTCCTTGGACTTGGATCGCCCTGTGCTATCGACTACCAGTTCAGACCGTGGCAAGCCTAGCATCGCATCTCTCGGCCTGGTCGGAGTGCCGTCGAGCCACGGCGTTTTCGTCGATGATCTCTTCGGCGACGAAGCGCAGAAATTCGCCGAGGACGAGCACGAGGATTCCGCTGGCACGGATCACAGCGACGAAGACCAGGTGCAGGAAGCCGCACCCGGCGATCTCGGCCTGACAGAAGCCATCGACGTGCTCAATGCGGAGATTGAGAAACTCACCGCGCAACGCCAAATCGTCGATTCACTCACCGCCAAAGCGGAGCTCACGAACAATGCGGCCGAGCTGCGCATCCTGCGGAAGTCCGAGCAGAGCCTGCAGCGCGAGATCAAGCGCAAGGAGATGCAGAAGCAGCAGTACGTCGTGCAAGAGAGCGACAACAGCTTGTACGGCCGCGCGGCGGTGACCATCAAATCGGTGATGATCGGCAGGGAGGAAGACGGGCACGAGTTCGCGCTGTACGTCATTGAAATCAAACGGCAGGCCGGCGAGCAAATGCCCGCCGCGACGTGGGTGGTGACTCGACGCTACAGCCAATTCCACGAGCTGCACAAACGCCTGCGCGCCCGCTTCCCCTCCGTGCGCCAGCTTGACTTCCCCAAACGCCAGGCCCTCTTCACGCTGCAGAAGGACTTTGTGCAGAAGCGCCGCGTCACGCTCGAGCGGTACCTTCGCTCCCTCCTCCTCGTGCCCGCCATTTGTCGCAGCCGCGAACTGCGCGCCTTCCTATCGCAGTCCTCTATCGTCTCGAATGGGAACGACGGCACACAAGCGGACGCAAAGGACTTTGTCACGCGCATTTACAACTCCGTCTCGGACGGCATGGAGGAGTTCCTCGGCAACATCCCCGTGCTGGACCAGCTGTCCGTCGCCGGGCAGAACCTCATCTCCGCCGCGACATCGCAGATGCAGCAGGGCGCGGCCGCCATCGACCAGCTGGACCCCGCGGTGCAGGATCCCAGCACATCCGCCGAAGCCGAGGCGGAGCTGAACGCGTACGAAACGAAAGAAGTCGAGCCGTTCGTCAAACCCATCTGCGATCTATTCCTAGAGACCTTCGAGCTTTCCAAGGGGAACAGCTGGCTGCGCGGGCGCACGGTAGTTGTGGTACTGCATCAGTTGCTGGGCGGCACGATCGAGCGGCGCGTCCGCGAAGCGGTGCGAACCGCGACCGAGGATGAGAGTCTAGTGCGCTGCGTCGATTTGCTCAAAAACACCATGTGGCCCGACGGGCATTCGCGCTCGAGTCCCGTGCCGCGCACGGCGGCGCAGAAGACGCGCACAAAGACCGAGGCGAGTCTGATTCTCGGCGCGCTGATTCCGGATGTGTCGGGGAGTGTGGTGGGCAAGGCGAATGCGCAGGCGGCGAGTCGCAAGATTGTCGCTGCGTTGAATAATGAGCGACTTAAGTGAGTGCCACCCTGCCCTGTCTGTGTACGTGAGGGGATGTGTATGACTGACGAGCAGCCGATTTGCAGTACCCACCTCGTCTTCACGATCATCGACGAGTTAATCCGGATTATTTTCCCCGAGACTATAGAGAAGTAATGGTAATGACGAGTTTTGAAATGTACAACAGAGCAAAGCCTCCCGATCCCCCTTACAACTTAGCATTGCTCGCGACAATGCGATAGCACGGCCCGCCCTTGCCAAACATCTTCTGCAAATCCGTCGTAATCTCGTCCGGGATTTCGTACGCGGCGAAATGGCCCCCTCGCGTCTTCTGCGACTCGTACACCACCGGCCCGAGCGTGCGCGCCCACGTGTGAGGGACGACGGACAGCTCTTTGGGCGAGTGGCACAAGCCCAGCTTCACCTTGGGGATCCACTGGTGCGTGCGATCACGGTGCACGCCGTCCTTCGTGTGCGTCGCCTCGTAGTAGATGCGCAAGCTCGCGGCGGGGCCCGCAGTCGAGAACCAGTAGATACTCACCCACGTGAGGATCTCGTCGTCGGACCAGCGGTACTCGTCCGTCCAGTCGTGCAGCTTCTCGTAGATCCACGCGAGCAGGCCGACGGGGCTGTCGGTCAGCGCGTAGCCTAGCGTCTGCGGCTTCGTGCTCTGCTCCGTGCGGTAGCCGCTGCCTTCGGTGAGGAACCATTGCGAGCGGGCGAAGCCGGCTTTGTCGCGCGCGCTGTAGGGCGTGACGGCGTGCTGGAGCGCGAGGAGCGGGTTTTTGCTCCATTTGGGCGGGCCGTCGGAGCGGATCATATTGATGTGCGAGGCTAGGCAGGAGTCGGGGAAGAGCAGGCCGATGACGCGCGAGATCATGAAGCCCCAGTCGCCGCCTTGGGTTACGTATCTGATACGAACGAGCTTGGTTAGCATTGCGAAGTATCGCTGACGATGTGGCCGAAACGTACTTGTCGTATCCCAACGACTTCATCAACCGATTGAGAACGACCGCGTAATCCTTCAACCCAAACCCCTTCATCTTCACCCCCTCACTCCACCCAAAGTTCGGCAAGCTAGGCGCGACAACGTGGAACGAGACGCCGTTGGTAAGCTGCTGCAGCGCAGGCAACATCTTCGTGACCTCCACATACGACCCCGGCCAGCCATGGATGAACAAGAGCGGGATGGCATCGGGCGCGGCAGAGCGCTGATGCACGTAGTGGATGTCGAGTTCGGGGAAGCCGTCGGGCTTGATCGGCCGATGGAAATTGGGCAGCGCGTTCAACTTTGCTTCTTGCGCTCGCCAGTCGAACCCGTTCTCCCAGTACTCGGTGAGGCGTTTGATGTCGTCCAGTGGTGCTCCGTAGTCCCATGCGGCGCCTTCGAGCTGGGGCGGGTGTTAGTGCTGCTTTGATGGGGAGGAGGGAATTATTGCGAACCTCGTCGGGGAATCTGGTCAGGGCGAGCTTTTGCCTCAGTCTCTCGAGGGCGGCGTCAGGGATTGCGATGTTGTATTCGGACATCTTGATTGTCGGGATATGCTTGAGTGAATGAAGAAAGGTTGCGATGGTGAATGGAAAGGCTGTATGGGAGGGTGTGACGCCATTATACCGAGGTGGACCTGGGGTTGGGGTGATCGACGCGGCTTCCAGTTCACCTTGGCCTGCCATGGAGTCTTCATGCAATCTTGGAGAGGATTGGGAATGGGAACAACTTTGATACACGCTAATTCATCAAATCCACCTGTTCACCTTCCTTCGTCCTTTTCGTCTTGGACAAATGCGTCCTCTACCAACGTGTCCTCGCCGCAATCCGACACCGACACGGCTTCGTAGAAAGCTTTGTTTTGCTCGGTCCGGGGGCGCCATGAGCGCTGATTCCTCCTCTGTCTCAGATGCACAATGCCTTTCACCAAGCACACTCCCACCAAACTGACCATCAAGCCGAAAAAGAACGCAGCCACAGGGTTATCGACCGGCGATACCCTCTCGCCCAGACCGGCAAGTGCAGCAGCGGCGGCAGCAGCGTGCGCGGACATCCAATGCTGCTCCTTCAGCACCGCCGGAGCAAACTTGTCGCGCGGTGGGATGGTGGTGAACACCGTCGACTCGCCCAGCACGTTGCCCTCGCGATCGATGCCCTGCACGACGACATAGCTCGCATACCCGTCGTACGTCATCATCGTCTCGAAGCCCTGTCGTGCAATCTCCGCCACCTGCTCTCTGGCTTTCCCGTGCGCGGTCGTCTTCAAGAGGCGCCAGCTCGCCACCTCCGTCGCTCCGTTCCAGCTCACATAGACGGCCGTCTGCATCGATTTCCTGCCACCCTGCTCCGGGTCTTCCACTATGACCGCTCGAGCGTAGACATCGGGTGGTTGCGTCGGGTGGCCGACCCAGGGCATTTTGTACGCGCGGTAGGACCTCAGGTTGGTCGTCCAGACGGCCTCCATCAGTAGGGTCCCGTTGGGCGCGTGCTCGCTGATCAGCCCGTTGGTCCACCATCCGCTAAACGCGTTTCCATTATCCAGGATTTGGAAGCTGCCGCGGCCTGGAGCGTAGCCGCCATGCGGGTGGTTGTATGTCTGGAGAACCTGTGCGGTCATGGGCTGCGTGTCGGTGCGCAAGGCGACAATCAGGCCACGTGATTGATCGTTTGTGAGGACGGGGTGAGGTTGCCTGCCCTGGAACGCGTTGTCCAACACCGACAGGATGATATGCGTCGCATTCTGTTCTTGAACCCGAGCAAAGTGTTGGCCAGAGAAGTGGCCATCGTCGCCAATCCACGTGAAGTTGGAGAATTTGCCCCCGAGTCTCCACAATATCGAGCCATCTATGCCTGAGATCTTGTACAGCGTGTCCGTGGCGCGGCCGGAGAACAGATAGTCGCCATCCGGGAATTTGTCGACGGTGTTGCCGTGGAGGTAAATCCATGGTTTGCAAGCGAAGTCGTGCGTGCTTTCCTCCAACCGAACGCGATCTTTCGCGCTCCACTCGAACGTGACTTCCCACGTTGATGTATCTCGCTCTTCAAATCCACTATACTCTACGATGCACGACTCGCCGTATCCGAGGGCGCTCAACTCCCGCGGATCAGAAGGGGCTGCGTCTGCGTGGCGCATTGCGAGTGACCGAGTCCCGTTGTCAACGGTGTGGAAGCCGTGGATGCTACAGACGAGTCAGCCAAGTCACCGATGATCAGAGAGCGGGGAGGGCGACGGACTCTACTTTGTTTGGCTGCTCGATGGTGACTTCCTTGATAATCTCATAGTTGCTGTTGACCACCACATCTCTCCTCTGCTTGTGATGAATTCCCATCAGCACGGGCGTGCCGTTGATTTGGTCCGCGTGGAAGTCGTCGATGTTGAAGCCGTGGAAGAGCGGCGCTCCACTCCACACCAATTCGCCATCTTGATCGTAGATGCTCGGACCACTCCATGCACTGGCGCCGGCGGTCGTCTGGTCGATGTACTCGTACACGGAAGCAAACCAGTAGCCTGGAGCTAGGGCATCCTTGTCGTAGACCTGGACCTTCCAGCGCGGGGCATCGATATCTGGTCTCTGCACATTTGGTGAGTGGCCGGGGGACTAGGCTCACGGAGAGGATGAGGAGCGTACAGTGACAAACTGGAAGAAGTCTAGGCGATGTCGCTCGGATTGGACGTCGATCGTGCTTTCGCCCGTGTCGTATTGTCTCCGAACATGAGCGTTCGACGGACTTGCTTGGGTCTGATCAATGAGGGCAAGAGAAGCGCAAAGAGAAACGGGGAGGAGGGAGCGAAATGAAGTGGAAGGCATAGCAGAGGAAGGAACGACAGGGTGAGTTCAAGAAAGACTGCGGTGGAGCGCAAAGGTACAGCGCTGAAAGAGCGGACTGTCGCAATGAAGTGTGGGGGAGTACGCGATGGAGAATGGAGACGATGAGCAATGACGGGAAGAGACCCGCCCATATACGAACGCTCCCATAGTCTGCTCCTTCCTCCTGTCAGATAGGGAGATTGTCTTAGGCTGGCCAAATGTGCCACAACGGGTCTGCCAAGTGTCGCTCCCCGGATCGATGTTCCGGACGGGAGGGTGGTGACCTGGTGTTCAACTGCTTCCACACTTCCGCCACTGCTGACCATCAAGTGCGTCTACATCGCTGCGGAGCGAACCCGGCAGTCGTGTTGATTGGGAGCACACGACCGTCTTTGGGTGCGCATTCTCACCCACGCGACAAGTCTTGGCCGACCACTGTTGCTCCAGCAGCTGTCTGGGCAGGAGGAGGCTGTAGGGCCGCTAGCATGCCGTGGCCCCGGATTCACTGGCGAGCTGAGGTCACAGGTACCTCGACAGGCATTTGGGGCTCGGCTAAGGAGATGAGGTGATGCGAGGAAGTATAAGGGCAGGATGGCGACCTATCCAGTTGTGGAAAGGGTGGGCTCGTCCCTATAATCCACCCGTCTCTTGGTGCCCGCGGGATTACCAGGGTTGGCAGGGGGCTGCTGATCCTCATAACCAACCATGCGGAAGGAAAAGGAGATGTCGTCCGAAGTAGCGCGCCACGGGGCGGTGCTTGGCGGCGCGCGAAGTAGGCCTCTTTCACGACACTAGAACCTTTTGACGATACTTAATTTCCCGACGTGTCGCTGCACACCGCCACACACCTCACCCGGAGGACATGGGAGGCCTGAGCGGTTGCCCGAATGCCGCCTGACCCACCTACCAACCACGCTCCCTTTCTGGATTACTACCTATGAAAGCTCCGGTGAGCGCGGAGTTCTTTCTCACAAGCCGTGCTCATCAACTCGTGGGCTTGATGCAATGCTACAACCATGGCACTCCCATCGTCCCGGTTGTAAGTGATTCATCTTGTCCCTCATCCCTTCCCCCATGTTTTCACTCCGAATCTCTCTGTCGCGCACTGTGATGCGCCTGCGTCTTTCCCTTCTCCTATTTTCCAGTGGAAAGTCAAGGAGATGCAAGATGACGGTCAAGGTTGGGTGATTGGCACCTCGATTCGCACTGGCTTCGAGACTTGGATGACGTGCATAGGATACGCACGACGACTATGTGTGGAGACATTTGACAGCGATGGGCGGGCGATCGGGAGATCGGAAGTGATATCGACTATACCTGCTACATCGGTCGGAACGGAGTCGGGGGGACGAGCTGGTGATGGTAGTAGCATCGAGGGTTCACTTTCTAGCCCACCTGTGAACAGACGCCGCGAAAGACCCAGTAACGGCTACGACGGAAGCTGCAACAGAAGATACAATGCGGAATGCATCGGTAGCCACGTTTAGCTTGATGTCAGGCATCGCTTCGGGTGGAAGGCTGGAGGAATTCAGTGGGCTGCTATGGCTGGGCATCGGAATAATGCCGGGCGTGAATGGCTCGTTATCTTCTCCCGCAAAAGTACAAGCAACCCTGAGCGCATGCGTCGACGTTCGCGTTCTGGCGATCGGATGCTGTCAAGCATTGACGAATCAACTTGAAGGTAGAACGGGGAGGTGAAGAGTTGCTGATGGGCGAAGGGAAGACGAAACATGGCTAAGGTAACGTTCGTAGCAAGATCTGTTAGATGTACAAATTCACGCATCCCTGCAACTCGGACTGCTGCCTTCCTTACTGTGTTTTGTGCTGCAATCAAGCGAATCGACTGTAGGTACCTTGATGACTTGCTGCAAGTCGATGCTCGCCCTCACAGTTCCAGCACACGAGAACGTGGGGATCGTTCCCGACGCTGATTGGCGGCGGTGACATCGCGGCTTTACTCCTCCACATCGTCAAACCACCAGGCACCTGTGACGCCGCCGCATTTTTTTGGTGTGGATGCAAAAAGGTGTCGCGTGCCTTTGCAGTCCTGGTTGTTTTGTTCTTATCGAGGCCCATCTGCTGTTTTCGAGATTTTGTGCTCCTGTTGTGCCCATCGGATACGGGAAACACTCCGGCTCAACCGGTCTAAACTAGACTCTAGGTTCTGGAGTGACGGGTACCTGCATCGTCAGGCTTTTGTTGGACGCGACAGTCTATCGACCACATCACTGCTGCTGCCTTGTCTGAACGCAGTCAGGCCCTGGGGACTCTGGTCGGGTGCTCGCGGAGGATAGAGCGGGCAGTGGACTGCATTCCAGAACGCCTCCAGAAAGGACATAATGCAAGAATCGAGATGAGCGATGGGTGCAATCAGGTACATGTACTTGGTGGCCTGGGGGTGCATCACACACGTCCTCGCCGCGCCTCCCATCCAGGTGCCGTTGGGCGAATATGCTCCCACCACCAATGTCGACCATTCGGGTGCCTCACACGCCGTGAAGAAGCGGCCACTGCACGGCAGATTTCTCCACATCACTGACTTCCACCCGGATCCCTTCTACAAGGTCTACACGTCTACATCTGCAGATGCAGCATGTCATCGAGGCCAGGGACCAGCGGGCATCTACGGCGCCGAGTCGAGCGACTGCGACAGCCCGGTAGCCCTGATCAACCACACCATGAAATGGGTCGGCAAGGAATTTAAAGACCAAATCGACTTTGTGGTATGGACGGGGGACTCCGCTCGGCACGACAACGACGAGGACATCCCTCGAAGCGAGAAGCAGGTCGTCGAACTCAACGAATTCATGGTGCAGAAAATGTACGAGACGTTCGGCAAAGGCGACGGCGATGAGGACAACGGGGATCCCAACAGCGATTATGTCGTGCCCATCATCCCGACGCTCGGGAACAACGATATCCTCCCGCATAACATTTTCCGCCAGGGTCCGAATAAATGGACGAGGAATTACGCTCGCATCTGGAGATCCTTCATCCCCGAAGAGCAGCGGCATCAGTTCGAACAGGGCGGCTGGTTCTACGTCGAAGTCATCCGCAACCAGCTGGCGGTCTTCAGCCTGAACACGATCTACTTCTTCAAGAGCAACGCGGCCGTCGATGGCTGCGCTTTGCCCTCCGAACCCGGCTACCAGCATTTCGAATGGCTGCGCATTCAACTGCAGTTCATGCGCGACCGCGGGATGAAGGCGATCCTGATCGGTCATGTGCCGCCCGCCAGAGAGGATTCAAAGTGGAGCTGGGACGAGACGTGCTGGCAGAAGTATACACTCTGGCTGCAGCAATACCGGGATGTGGTCGTCGGCGGGCTGTACGGGCATTTCAACTACGACCACTTCATGTTGCAGGACTTTGAGGATCTGAGGAAGGGCACGCGGAAGGGCAAGATGCCGGACTACGACAAGCCGAAAAAGCTGGAAGCGGATGACGTGGAGGCGGCGGTGTCCTCTGACTACTTCACGGAGCTTCGAGATCGATGGTCCAAGCTGCCAGATCCGCCGAGCTCTCTCGACTGGCCCGTCGGAGCCAAGGCTGCTGACAGCGAGAGCATCTGGACGAAAGCTTTAGATCTCGTCTTAAACGTCTTCAAAGGCAAAAAGAAGAAGCGGGAGAGGAAGGAGTTTTTTGACGAGATTGGCGGCGAGTTTGCAGAGCGTTTTGCGGCGGCGTTCGTCAGTGCCAGTGTGGTTCCGAACTTGTTCCCGAGCTTCCGAATCTACGAATACAACATTACTGGGTTGGACGAGAAAGAAGGCATTGCTGCTGTGCCATCTCTATGGGAGGAGCCTACCCTCGAAAGCAGCGAGGATGACATCGGCATCGATGACGAAGACGAAGACGAAGACGAAGACGAGACACACTTCAGCGACGAAGACGACGTCGACATCGAGAAGAAGAAGAAAAAGAAGAAGAAGAAGAAGTCGAAAAAGCACAAATTTGCAATCCCAGACGCACCCTCTGATACCTCCTCTCCCGGGCCGGCCTACTCGCCTCAACCCTTCTCCTGGACCCGCTACACCCAATACCTCGCCAACCTAACGCACATCAACAACGATTTCGCCGGAAACTCCATTCCCGATTCCGACGAAAAAGAGGGAGCAGAGCTGAACACCACCAAGTGGAATAAAGGCAAGCACTCGGGCAAAAAGCCGCCGAGCAAAGGCCACAAGCCGGATCCAAAGACGTTCAAGTTCCAGGTGCACTACGACACGAAGGACGACGAGGTGTATCACTTGCAGGACTTGACGATGCCGCGGCTGGTGGATCTCGCGACGCGGGTGGGCAATTATGTTCCCGAGGATGAGATCTTGGATGACTTGAAGGGGGGCAAGAAGAAGAAAAAGAAGAAGGAGAGGAAGAAGAAGGAGGAGCAGCGGGAGATCAATGAGGCGTGGTGGACTTTTATCCGGCGCGCGTTTGTTGAGACAATGGGGCGTGATGAGCTTAGGGATGAATTTGGCTGATCCTGGAAAGACTGGACGTGAGGTCGGTGGTCATGTTTCGACTCATCTACTGACAGTAGATTGCAGACTGCCCATTGAAATGGTGCAGCAGAAGTTTGGCTGTGCACCAAAGCCATATTTACTCGGTCGTACGGCCTCTATTTCCACCCTCCCCATCAGCTCTCAATCCCACACCTCTTCAAAGTCTCCCTCGCCGTCGTAATCTTCAGCCCAATCCTCGCCTCCAACTCAAACGACTCCCACTTCTCCACCTTCGCAAGCGACTCACTGCACTTCTTCAACGTCGCCCGATCCCCCGTCTCGCCGCCCGCCTCCTTCCAATAACACACCGCCATTTCGTAGTTCGCCACCGGCAACGGCCACGTATCCGGGTGGTCGCAAGCCTTCAACCGATGCAATTCGTGCGAGAGCACCTCCGTGGAATAAATCGACTGCGCCTCTTCCAGATGGCCGAGATTCCGACGGCAGACGCCGCGCAGTAAGTGAAAGATGGCATGCTCGTCCACGGGCTCATTCGGCCAGGTTGCCTGCTGCTCGGACCAGGTGAGTCGCTCGAGACAGTTGGCCAAATGGTCGGGGCGCATGCGCGTAGGCCCGTTCCAGAAGTAAGTCATTTCCACGAGCGGGCTGACGCCCACTGCGTCCACGAAGTCGCAGTGCCGCTGCTTTGCGCGCGCTTCCCATTTCTGGATTTTGCGGCCTACAAAGACGTCGAAGGGGAGTTGGCGGCCCATGAACTTCTTCTTCGCTGTGTGCATTGGTACTTCGCGGAGGTACTTTGCTGCTTTGGCTGCTGACAGCTTCGCCTTGTCTGGATCGGAGGTCTGGTGGATTCTGTACAGCTCGACGTGGCACGCGCCGGCGATGTAGTAGTACAGTGCGTGCGACCAGTTGTTCAGCCCGACGCATCGGATGAATGATGCGGCGCACTCTTCGTAACGATGGAGGTACATGAGGTTCAAGCTTGTTTCGAAAGTCGCGAGTGCCTCGACCTGCTTCAAGCTCGATTTCGGCCCGGCTCTGACGGTGTCGACGGCTTGCTCCAGTTTGCGATCGCGCGTGAGCATCCTGGATTCTTCGAGAAGCCATAGCTTGGATTTCGGGTAGATTTCGCGCATCTCCGCCAGCAGTGAGCGTAATCTGGCTTCCGGTAGGGCTCCTTTGTGGAGAATGTCGCAGAATGCGATGGCGCCGTTGTGGAAGCCGAGATAGATTAGGCCGGCCATGGCGCCGTTGATATTGTGCTTGAACCTCGTTGCGGAATATAGTAGTCGGAAGCCGTTTTCTCGGTCGCCGCGGAAAGAGAAGATGGACAGTAGCCTGCTGAATGCGGGTGGAATCATAGATAAGAGCAACTGTAACAAGCCAAAGCAAAGGGCGGTGCCAGAGTGGATGAAGAGGTCTATTGGGTTGGTAGTGATAGTTCGGAAATCGATGTCGTCGTCTGCATCTCTTTGGCCGGCTTCAGGGGTTGTGGATGAGCTTTCCTCATCGTTGGAAGACTTGGAATTTGTGTCGTGCAGCTTCAAGGTCGTAAAGTCGGGGAACTCAAGATGACCGTCATAACCTATGGGCGTAACAAGAGCGGAGAGTACGTCCTTGGCATCGACGAACTCGAGATCATGATCTTCATCCTCGTTGTACGACAATTCTTCGAAATCATCATCGGATGTGTCGGGTGTGATTGACTCGGATTGGCCATGTCCAGTCGATAATGAGTCGGTACTTGATGAGCTCGAACCCTTCGACTCGGGTGGATGGCGGTCGAGATATTTCTTCTCGGCTGCACTAATCTCGGACAAGGTACCAAACGCTCGACGCATCTTGTAGAAGCCACGAAGACTCTCGGTCACACTTTCGTTCAATACGGCCACGACGGCAGACATGAGTTGCGTTTCCGCATGGATCAGTGCGTACTCGGCCCCCGGCGGGTAGATGTGACTTTGATGAGCTGTGGATGGATCGCGTACTGCTCTTCGTTGATGTTCGACGGCGGCATCCTCGGCTTCGGCCAACAGTGTACCTGCTTGCTGCATGATATCCTTTTCGAACCCTAAGGCTGCCCTGAGAAACACAGCGGTGGCTTGGCCCAACTACTTGAGGAGTGCTGTTAGATCAAGCAGACACAGCGTTCAAGAGGGGCACTGACCTTGTGAAAGGGCGAGGAGCCTTTCCTCAACTCGACTTCTGCCTGCTCCATCTCTGAATCGGGGTCATCGTATGATCATCGGATAGCAACGAACTTGGGATGATTGTTTCAGCTTACCATCATTCATGATCAGAGCGGCGGAAGCCAGCGCATCTTCTACTGCGGAATTGTCAGTCGATGGCCAATACTGTGGGCACTCGCTGTTCTATCATACACGCAGCCTGCTCATCTAACGCATGGACAGACTCTGATTCGGTATGGACAGGCTTCGATTGAAGCCATCCTCCCATCCGCCGCATGGTCGGGATAATGACTGGGGATAAAACTGAGACTAAATGCAGGACATGTGTTCAAGGAGGCTTGAATAGCGATAAATCAGAGAGTAAGCAGAATTCCGGTGGATCCATAGCACAAGCTACATGGATACCGTGCCGGCCAAGCATCAGCATAAGGGCATCAATGATGTAGCTAGTAGTATGGCTTTGGGTGGGAGCACGTGAAGTGGAGGGTTTGAGTTTGCGCTAGCGAGGGCAAGCGAACCTTCCGAAGCTGTCGACGTTGCCGTCGTGAACTTTTTCGCGAGCCTGACGTGAAGCACCACCGCACCCCCCGTAGACCAACGCGCAACACCGTCCTGCGCCTACGAGACATTGCAATTTTGCGTCGACCTTCGCCAACGACGTTCTTGCCTATTACTCCCCGCCCAGTTCGCGGCTACTCGACGGTCCCCAAGCATGCGCCCTCACCCTTGAATACGAACGCCGAACTCGTTGCTGCCGGCCGCAGCACGCCCAGCCAACATGAGCGGGTGGAAAGAAACCTTTACAGCCGAGGGCAAGCCTTATTACTACAATTCAGAAGGTGAAACGCAATGGGAGAAGCCAGACGGATTCTCGCAACCTACCACCCCTGCAACGCCTGCAGCCCCTCAACCGGACGGCGCGGGTGTATGGAGCGAGGCACATGCCGACAATGGCAGGCCGTACTACTACAACACTGTTACAAAGGAAACGAGATGGGAGGCACCTCCTGGCTTCGTCAGACCACTGCCGGTTGCCCGTCCTGCCCCAGCGTTTGTTGCCGGCGGCGCGCAGAACTTTGAGGACGATAATAACAACAGCAACAACTATCGCCCCAGGGAGCGTCGCAGGGATGACCGTGATCATGGTCTGCCGCAGAAGCTTGGTGGAGGCACGCCGTGGGAGCATAGACAAGACAATATGGGCTTCCGCGGAGCCATGCCAATCAAATCTGACGAGCCCGAATACTCCTCCTACGAACAAGCCGAAGAAGCGTTCTTCAAGATGCTGAACAAGCACAACATCTCCCCAGACGCCACTTGGGAATCAGCGCTGCGTGACATTGTACGCGATCGCGAGTACCGGGCTCTCAAAGATCCAAAAGAGCGGAAGGCAGCGTTTGAGAAGTACTGTGTTGAGAAGCGTGCGCAAGAGAAAGAGAAGGAGAAGGAGCGCCGTGAAAAGCTGAGAGAGGACTTCCGCAAGATGCTGAGCACGCACGAAGACATCCTACACTACACCCGTTGGAAGACTGCGCGACCGATCATCGAGCGCGAAGCCGTGTTCAGGGAGGCGGGGAACGACGATGAGCGACGACACCTGTTCGATGAATACATCTTCGAGCTGAAGAAGAAGCACGCCGAGGAGGACATGGCGCAACGCCAGAGCGCTTTGCAAGATCTCGATGCCTTGCTACAAGCGTTGGTCGCTGACCCGAACACCAAATGGGATCAAGCACGTGAGAGTGTCACGAATAACGAGAGATTCGTCACGGATCCAAAGTTCAAGACACTCAACAATGTCGACGTATTGACGGCCTTCGATAGCCACGTCAAATCTTTGGATCGTATCGCGAATGATGCAAAGCAGCGCGACAAGCGACTTCATACTCGGCGAGTACGTCAAGCTCGCGACAGTTTCAAACAGCTCCTGCAGCAAATGCACAGTCAAGGAAAGATTAAGGCCGGGACGAGGTGGCACGACTTCCATCCTCTCATTGCCGAGGATGAACGATACCTCAACCTCATCGGAACACCTGGAAGTAGTGCTCTGGACTTATTCTGGGACGTGGTCGAGGAAGAGGAGCGCAAGATTCGATCCCTACGCAACCACGCACTCGACGTCCTCGAAGACAGGCGCTACGAGATGACGTTCGACACGACTCATGCCGAGTTCGCAGCGATCATGCGTAGGGATCCTCGTACTGATCAAATGAGCGGAGATGAGACGAGCTACATCTTCGAAAAGCTCATGGACAAGATCAGGAAGCGCGCCGAAGAAGACCGATTCGCCAACGAGCGCCACCAACGCAAGGCCATCGATGCCCTGCGCAGCGTCATCAAGCATCTAGACCCCCCGGTCCGCATCAACGACACCTACGAAGACGTAGCGCCAAGGCTGCAAGGCTTTGAAGAATTCAAACTACTGGAAGACGACGCCGCGCGCCGCAACGCCTTCGAAAAGCACCTGCGACGCCTCAGAGACAAGGAAGAAGACGCGGAGCGTGATCGCGCGCGCCGCGATAGGGATCGCGATCATCGCCGCACCGAGTCCCGGCGTGATGGAGAACGTGACCGCGAGCGTCGTCACCGCACCCGCACCCCGGAAATCGACGCGTACGAAGCTGATCGGCGAAAAGCGATGGCGGATCGCGAGAAGCAGTATCGCAAGACATCCTTTGGACTATCTCCGCCGCCTCGCGACCGCAGAGATGAGCGCGACGATCGGTATCGCCGACATGAGCGGGAGGGGTTGTCAGGGTATGAGCGCGAGCGGCGGGAGCGTGAGATGGAGCGAGAGCGCAGCTATACCAGCCGCGCAGATCCAAGGGATAAGGGTAGGACCCTCGATTACGGCGACGACGATGTTGTCGGGAGCCGGCCGGGCTCGGTGAGGAAGAGGCGCGAGTCGGATGGTAGTGGGAGTGGACGGCGGGATGTCAAGGTGAGATTTACCAGGCCCTTGTTCGCTTTCGCGGACTTTGCATGCTGACTTTTGTCTACTTCTAGCGAACCCGTCGCGGCCGGACGCCCGAGCCGATGGAAGCAATGGTCAAAGAGGAGTCTCCGGCTTTGCAGAGCGGTAGCGAGGAGGGCGAGATCGAGGAGGTTTGAAGCGTGCTCCAACGGCGAGAGGCAGTTCTGTCAGGCGGCTAACCGGTCGATCACATCGAAACCACAAAGAGTAATGGACGCGAGATGGCAGGGAGGTGGACATGGAAACGCCATAGGCGAAAAGCAAGCTTCTGGTGGCCATGAGCTGTTCAAGTGGCATCTTTGAGCTGGTACACCTTACCCAACTGCGCGAGCTTCACTGAAACCCCCGTTCAGGTCCGGCGCTCTCGATGGTCAGAATTCGACCTCTCGCTTAAGGACGACTTCGGACTACGACGTATGTTTCTTCCTGCATCGTTCATCCGAGCCATTGGAGGTACTTAGTAGCGTTGACAGTGGTCACTTTTATCGTGATTGCAGCTTGCTGAGCATCACGTACTTGCACTATGCCGTGCGCTTTTCCAGAACCGCTAAACACGTGAGGACAGCGAGTGTGCGAGCCAATGTGAGATGCGCGACAAAGGCGGTGGAGCAAAGCCTCACTGGTGTATGTTCGGTACGTCTGCACTATCCTAGCTTTTTGAATCACATTCTGTTTCCTCCTCCGCCTCCACCTCCGCTCCTCGGTGAGGCAGCTACCTAGCTACCTTCTGAACTTGATGACATTGCCTCACAACGCTTCTCCGTCCGCGAGTCCTCGCGCTTCATCTCAGCCGCGAAGAAGCGCCCTGTTTGCCAGCAAGCGTCCAACCAACGGCGCAAACATGCTACTGGCGGAGTCATCGTCCTCCTCTTCGTCATCCTCGTCATCCTCGTTACCCAGTACCTCATCGGCGCCGCTCTTGAAGCATCGCTTGCGTTTGTCTCCTTTGGCACTGACCCCAGAAAGAGACGAATCGGTCAAGAAAGCGTTGAAGATGACCTTCGCGACGCCTTTCAGGACTCATCTTCCAAGAAGAACTGCATAGAATGTCAGCAAGTATTCAACCGACAGGAGTAAGCAGGAGGCAAGGATGAAACATACGTAATTCCCAGCATTCTTCTGCTCAGCGTCAAGCTGCGAGTTGAGCTTGTTGATGCGAGGGCGGTAAGTGTTGGGATCGCGGCGGAACGTGACGTCCAGACTCTCCAGGAAGCGGTTGCATCCAGTGAGCAGGCTCTCGGGCTTGTTCGCCTGCGACTTGATGGATGGCTGGCCGTCGAAGACGATGACGCGATCGGCGAGGTAGGTGGCCATGATGAAGTCGTGCTCGACGATAAAGGCCGTCTTCTTGGCGTGCATGATGAAGCGCTTGATGACGCGGGAGGCGATGATGCGCTGCTCGGAGTCGAGGTAGGCGGACGGCTCGTCGATCAGGTAGATGTCGGCGGGGATGCCGAGGGCGAGGACGATGGCGACGCGCTGCAGTTCTCCTCCCGACAGGTTTTGGACTTCTTGGTCGATGAAGTCGTCGAGCTTGAGCGGCTTGTAGACGTCCGTTTGGAATTGGGGGGAGAGGAAGGCGGCCTTGATCTTCTTGAAGAAGAGCTGGCGTACCGTGCCTTGGAACTTGGGCGTGATCTTCTGCGGCTTCATGCTGATGTGCATGGCCGGGATCTGCTTGCCGTTGTCGGGCTTCTCGGCGCCGGCAAGCATGCGGCAGAAGGTGGTCTTGCCCGTTCCGTTTTCGCCCATCATGACGATGATCTCGGAGTTGTTGAAGCTGCCGCCCTTGACGGTGAGGTGGAAGTCGCCGAGGGTCTTGGTCATGCTCGGGTACTCGTACTGGCGAGTCTTGTCGATGAGGAAGTCGTCAGTTGCATCGCCGATCCTGAACTGCAAGCTTTCCTCGCGGAAGCGCAAGTTCTCGGTGGGGATGTTGCCGTCAAGGAAAATGTTGATACCTTCTCGGACAGAAAAGGGGGCAGTGACGACACCGTAGATGGCCGGCTTTCCGTACAGACAGCAGATGAAATCCGAAAGGTAATCGAGAACGCTCAAATCGTGCTCGACGACGATGACGTAGCAGTCGGGACGGAGCAAGCTGCGGATCAAGCGACTAGCGGCCAGACGCTGCTTGACGTCGAGGAAGGAAGATGGCTCGTCGAACATGTAGCTGTGGAGAATGTAAGTCATGGGAAAGTCGAGACTGATTGGGCTGGCGGGAACTTACACATCGGCCTTTTGAACGCAGACCATGGCGATGGCAAAGCGCTGCAATTCTCCTCCGGACAAGAGGTCGACATTGCGGTCGAGCACCTGTCTCAATTCTTGGATGCGGTATTAGCACGAAGACGGCAGGCTACTGAGGTGCTGGATCCTTGCTCACCAAGAACATCAATAATCTCGTTGAACCTGTCCTCGTCTACCTGGCATCGTTGCTTCATCTGGAATCCGACGCTACGATTCTCGCCTTTGACGGCCTTGGGCAGTTGGTCGACGTACTGCGGCTTGGTGACCGCCTTCAAGTTGTCCTCGAGGACTTTGGTGAAATAGTCTGCACTCCCGTCAGCATCCGGGTCTGTTGTATACAAGGCATGCCCCGTTCTTACTTTGCAACTCTGATCCTCTGAAGTATCTCAAGATCTCTTCCCAATCCGGCGGGTCATCGTATCTGCCCAAGTTGGGCTTCAATTTCCCCGCGAGAATCTTCAACGCCGTGCTCTTGCCAATACCGTTCGTCCCAACCAGACCCAGCACCTGCCCCGGCCTCGGCATGGGCAGACGATGCAGCTTGAAGCTGTTCGGGCCGTAGCGATGGGTGACTTGGGTCTCGAGGTTGGTGGGCAGATTGATGATGTTGATGGCATCAAAGGGACACTTCTTGGGGCAGATACCGCATCCGATGCACAGTCGTTCGGAGATGAAGGCGATCTTGCTTTCGGGGGTGACTTCGATGCAGAGCTTGCCCGTGCGTACGACGGGGCAAGACTTTTTGCATTCCTGCCGACATTTCTTTGGCTTGCACTGCAGGGGAGGTTAGACAGAGGTGGATAGGGTGGGTACGTTGGGAGGGTTTTTGCCGACCTTGTCGCTGTTGACAATGGCAATACTATGGAAAGTCAGCTTCTGCCCCCTCCATGCTTCATCTCTGCTCCTCCACTGACCGAGTCAACTTGTCCCCCATGGTTGCTAGTGGCAAGGGTGGGAGAAATTGAAATTTCGTGCGCGGTCAAGGGCGAGAGTATGGCGCGAGTGGCAGGGCGCAATCGGGTGGTACTCGATCTGGTGATGGAACTTCACGATCTTCGCCCTTTGCACGAGAAGAAACAGCGCGCAAACACACAGCAGGACGGAGGTGAAGTGGATTAAAGATTCGGTGTTGGGACAAGGCAGAGGTTGCGGCGGTCAGCCATCTAGCGGGGTCTGATTGGGTAAGACCCCACCAAATTTTAGTAGGAACGTGGATGCCTGAGGCGCGATCGGCAGCCACGAAAGTCTAAATCCGGAGGTTATTACGTTCGGCGGAGCGAGGAACTTCATAGCCTCTCCATCACTCACTCCCCTCCACCATTCTCACACCCCTCCCTCCCACCACCTCTCTGCACAACCCACGGTTGCCGACGCCATTCAAGGTATGCTCTGTGCCCATCCTCTCCTCATGTCCATTTGCTAATTTCCTCCAGCATCGGCCGCTCTCTGGCCCGACTCCAGTCGACCGTTCGGCCATCAACTCATCCTCCACCGCATCCGTTTTCATCATTGTCACCGTTGCATACGCTTGTCCACGTCGAAACCCGGTGTTCCAAGTGCTGTGAACGCTGGCGAATCTCCCGTGGGGTTCCATTTGTCGCTGCACTCACTCATCCACCCGTCATCCACCCTCATCACCACTCCATCACCACAACCTCATCTTCCATCAAACTTGCAACGGCCGCATTTGCCTCGACGTCCTCTGCCTTTGAAGCGGGGAATCTGGTCGCGTACGTCAAGTCACCTGGTACGTCAATTTTCGCTTCTGGGCGACCACCACGGCTCGAGAAAACTCTGCTGACACCTCCTCCCCCCCAGCGGAGTTTCTCCCCCCCTCACTCACCTCTACCTCTCCGAGTGATGTGTCTTACCCCCCACACACATTTCTGAGATGGATCCGAATCATCTCAGACCACCCTCGCCTCTCGACCGAAGCGAAAGCGAGCTCTCCGACATCAATGACCTCCCCACCACCGCCGAGCAAGAGGATGTCGATATGTCAGACCATGCAGCCCATGATGCCATCCAGGCAATGGCAACTTCAGAGATGGACGAAAGTGAAGACGCACCTGGAGAAGAAGATGCAGACTTCAGCGAAGACATGTCTCCTGCCGAAGACATGGACGGCGTGACTGCTCACAATGCCTCGTCATCGTCATCGGAGCACAGCTCACGCTCTCCAAAGCGGAAAGCCTCTTTCGACGATGACGAATACATCAAGGCAAACCCGGAGCTGTACGGCCTACGTCGCAGTGTATGTCTCCCCTCGCCCGCCGTCTGTCATCCTTGCTAATCTCTACCCGACAGGGTCGCGCTCGACCAAGCCGCCGAGTAGTGAGTACCACTACAAGACGTGAGGCCACTGACGTGTACTAACATGACCAAAGGTTGATACGACTTCCGACTCCGACGAGGAAGACCAAGCTCCGTCCCGTAGACAGCGCAAGCGTCAGAAGACAAGCAGTGCTCGGTCCAGTAAGTGTTCCCTCCAGTGTCGATGCCTCTAGTCATACCAGTTCCTGACCATATGCAGCATCGACCAAGAAGCGTACAACCTCCGCCATCGTCTCTCGATCTCAGTCGGAAGACGAAGACGACACCTACGGCGGTGAACGTGGCCGGACATTTGCCAAGAAGCACCGCAAGCGAATGCAAGATGCCGCCGCTTCCGGCCGCGACACCCCGACCTACAGCGAAGTCCGATTCTCCACCAGGGGCGCGACGAAGGTCACGAACTACAATGAGGATGATAACCCCGAGCTCGACGAAGAGGACACGGACAGCCTGACGCCGAACTATCACTATTCGCAGCTGCCAGAAGACAACTCGCCAGCCATCGATATAGTCCTCAACTATCGCCTGAAGGAAGGCGTTGGTAAGTGACACGAGTCTTTGGTCACCAAGGACTACGTTGACTGATCTCAAATTCCAGCTGCTCCCACCGATGTCAATGCTGCCATCAAGAATGACTACGACTTCTTCGTAAGTGTTTCTCCAAGTCACCTGCCTGGCTTGCCTATGCTAACGTCCGACACAGATCAAGTGGCAAAACCAAGCGCACTACCACGCAACCTGGGAGTCGTGGGCAGACCTCAAGAATAGACGTGGTAAGCGTCGAGTGGAGAACTTCTTCCGCAAGATCGTCCTCAGAGATCTGGAAAACGCAACCGACCCCAATGTCCCCCCCGAAGATGTCGAGAGTTGGAACCTCGAGCGCGAAGCAGTCCTGGAGAACGTCGAGCGCGCCATGAACGTCGAGCGTGTCATTGGCTCACGAGATGGGGACGATGGCACAGAGTATTACACCAAGTGGAGGATGGTTGCCTACGAGTTCTGCACCTGGGAGAAGGCAGACTTGATGAGCACCCTGGCGCAGGCCGAGATCGACAAGTACCTCGACCGCACAGCGAAGCTACCCACGTCCAACGCTCGTGAATCGCGACTGGCGACTCGATCGGACTACGTCCCCTTCCGCACCCAGCCCGACTACATCAAGGGCCGTCCCTTGCGCGAGTTCCAGATCCACGGCGTCAACTTCCTCTGCCACCACTGGTGCAAAGGCAACAATGTCGTACTCGCGGACGAGATGGGGCTTGGGAAGACGGTGCAGACGGTGGCCTTCATGAACTGGCTGAGACACGACCGCGGCCAAAATGGGCCGTTCTTGGTCGTGGTGCCTTTGTCCACCATGTCCGCTTGGGCGGAAACCTTCGATCACTGGACTCCCGACATCAACTACGTCGTCTACACCGACAATCCAGCGTCGCGCCAGGTCATCCAAGACTACGAACTCCTCGTCGACGGCAATCCCAACAAGCCCAAGTTCAACGTCTTGCTCACCACTTACGAGATGATCAAGGATCATGCATTCCTGTCCCAGATCAAGTGGCAGTTCATGGCAGTCGACGAGGCTCATCGCCTCAAGAACCGCGAAGCTCAACTGTATACCAGACTGATGGACTTGGGCGTACCCAGCCGGCTCCTCATCACCGGCACACCCATGCAGAACACTCTCAGTGAGCTGTCTTCACTCATGGATTTCCTCATGCCCGGGAAGATTCATGTCGACGAGAACATTGACCTTGCGTCCACGGACGCTAGCCAGAAGATTTCCGAACTCACTAACGCCGTCGCGCCGTACATGATCCGCCGTACCAAGAAGAAGGTCGAGAGCGATCTTCCCCCAAAGACGGAGAAGATCATCCGTGTCGAGTTGTCGGACTTGCAGCTGGAGTATTACAAGAATATTCTCACCCGCAACTACGCTGCTCTGAACGCCGGTGCTGGAGCCAAGAAGACCAGCCTTCTGAACGTCATGATGGAGCTGAAGAAGATCAGCAATCATCCATTCATGTTTCCCAACGCAGAAGAACGCGTCCTGGACGGAAGCAACTCCCGTGAGGATCAGCTCAAAGCCTTGATCACGACATCCGGAAAGATGATGCTGCTCGACCGCCTGTTGACCAAGCTGAAGAAAGATGGCCATCGTGTTCTGATCTTCAGCCAGATGGTCAAGATGCTGGACATCCTAAGCGACTACCTCCACCTCAGGGGTTACCAATTCCAGAGGTTGGACGGCACGATCCCTGCTGGCCCGCGGAAGATGGCAATGGACCACTTCAACGCCCCCGATAGCAAGGACTTTTGCTTCCTGCTCTCCACCCGCGCCGGCGGACTTGGAATCAATCTCATGACTGCTGACACCGTCATCTTGTTCGACTCGGATTGGAACCCGCAAGCCGATCTGCAGGCAATGGCGCGAGCCCATCGCATTGGACAGAAGAAGCCTGTCAGCGTTTACCGTCTCGTTTCAAAAGACACGGTGGAAGAAGAGGTGCTGGAGCGCGCCAGGAACAAGCTCATGCTGGAGTACATCACCATCCAGCGTGGCATCACCGACAAAGATGCAAAAGAGCTTGCGAACCGCATGGCCAGAGGCGGTGCCGCTGTCGCCGAGCCAGAGTCTAGCGACGACATCTCCAGGATTCTGAAGCGCCGCGGTCAACGCATGTTTGAGCAGACCGGGAACCAGCAGAAGCTGGAGCAGATTGACATTGATGAAGTGCTCGAGAATGCCGAAGAGCATGAGACTGACGAGCCTGAGGGCATCACGACTGATGGCGGCGAGGAGTTTCTGCGCAGCTTCGACTACACCGATGTCAAGCTGGATCTGGAATGGGACGACATCATTCCCAAAGATCAGCTCGAGAAGCTCAAGGAGGAAGAGAGAAAGAGGAAGGAGGCGGAGTACCTCGAGAGCGTGATTGAGCAGAATCAGCCTCGCAAGCGCAAAGCACCAGCGGATATCGGTGGCGAGAGGGGCCGAGCAGCGAAAAAGCGAGCCATCACCAAGTTTACCGCTGCTGTCGACGGTGATGACGAAGACTCGGGACCCGACGACTCCGACGACGATGGAGGCCAAGATCCCAAGCGACCTCTGAGTGCCAAAGAATGCCGCTACCTCATCCGGGCTGTCGAACGATATGGGGCTCTCGAGGACATGCAGGACGTCATCATCAAGGAAGCTCGACTCGGTGGCCGCGATATTGAGGTGATCAAGTCCACGTTGCAAGACATCTCCGACGCAGCCGCACGTACGCTCAAGGAGCACGAGGACGAGATGGCAGAGCGGGAGAAAGCCACCAACAAGCCGCCAACCAAGAAGGATAAGAAGCAGCCTTGCTTCGACTTCAGAGGGGTTAAGAAGGTGAATGCCGCCACATTCCTCGAGCGGCCGGCACAGATGCGAATGCTGCGAGACGTGGTTGCCAATACTACCGACTGGAAGAGCTTCCGCATCCCCGAGGTCGAGAAGGCTCCGAAATACTCGTGCGATTGGGGCTCTCGTGAAGACGGCATGCTCTGTGTTGGCATGGCTAGGCACGGTCATGGTGCATGGATACAAATTCGAGATGATGAAGAGCTTGGTATGAGCGACAGATTGTTCCTTGAGGAGCACCGCGTCGCCAAGAAGGAAGAGCGCAACAAAGCGCAAGGCAAAGAGACTGCCAAGTCGCCCGGAGCGGTGCACCTGGTGCGTCGCGCGGACTACCTCATCGCCGTGCTCCAGGACAAGACGAGCAACGGCACGAATCTCGCAGCCAGGAAGCAGCTCGAGAATCACCATCGCAACAAGAAGAAGCCCTCGGGTCAACTTGCTGGCCGACTCGAAGCCTTGAGTGCAGAGAGAGGCTCTACCACGCCTCGACACAGACCTAGCGATGCCAAGTCCACCGCAGAGCGGCTCGGCCACGGCTTGACGAACGGGCACCGCAAGGGCAGCACCAACGACCACGAGAAGCCCAAGCATCGGCCGTCAGAGGAGAGTAAAGCACACCACGACCGTCCTGGTTCTTCGCAGGCCAACGGTCATGTAGCGCCTACGCCAAAGGACGACACGGAAGCCAAGATCCAGCGCATTTTGAGCCCGGTGTCTAAGCATCTCATCCTCGTCTCGGGCGCGACCAAGAGGAAGGTTCCGGAGGATGTTGCCAGACTTAAGATCATCAAGTCCGGCCTCCTCGCCATTGGCCAGCACATCCTTTCGCAAGTCCATGAAGGCGGCCACGCGAAGCTCGAAGACAACATGTGGGAATACATTGTGGACTATTACTGGCCCCGCAGCAAGGCTTCCGAGAAGAGCGTCTCCGGACAGAAGCTCAGAGACATGTACAAGAAGGTTGCCGGAAAGGATGCAGCGGCTGCTGCGGCGGCCAAGGACGCGCCGGCCAAGCCCACGCCAGTGACGAATGGCATCACGGCGTCCGAGATCAAGAAAGACGGCGGCGTGACGACGGCAACCACGGCGGTCAAGAAGGAGAACGTCCCGGCTCCCCCACGCAAGCTCCCTGACTTCAAGCGCGACCCTTCGGCCCCCAAGAGAGATCGTGATGCCTCTCGTTCTCGCAGCGTCAGCAGGGTGGCCCGCTCACGCAGCAACAGCAAGGCCTCTAGTTCTCGCAGCGCCAGCCGCGCCTCTCCACCAGATACGAGGCGTCCAGACGACAACCCCGTCACCAAGCAGAGAAGCCCGTCGGTCGCCTACTCCAGCGAGTACAAGAGGCGCCTCTCTTCTGATCGACGCTACTGATCACGTCGTCGCTCCGCGACGGCTCACCGCATGATTCCCCGAAACATGCCCTACATACAACGCTTCATACTCCCTACCGCACAACGACGCTCCTGGATTTCCAGGATATACTCCGGCAGCATCCAGGGCTTTTCCTTCAGCATCCGCGTCGTATGCAGAGATTGTCCGCACGATAACGCGAGTCAGTGTGGGAAGGGAGCCACAATACCACGAGAGAAAAATGACCTATCGAAAACCCTCACAAAAAAAGTATGAAAAGATGGACTACACCATGTTCTGGAGGTTGGAGAAGGACGGGGTTTCACATGCAGCAGCAAAGCAGGGTTGTTTTTTACTGTTTTTTTCTTTTTCGCGCTGGACCTCGACACCCCGACACCCGCTCGCCGCTTCGCCTGCCTTGCGCTCTTGTTGATTCTGGAACTCCAATGGCGCTGCTCCTTTCATGTCTTCCTGGTGTCTCCCTCCTCGTGAGGGAACCCGGGAAACTGGAGGGGTATGCTGCCGGAGGGAAGGGATTGGAAGGGGTGCAAGAAGGGCGATATGGTTTGAGTGGATGTTAGGCTGAGAGGGAGGAGGAGCGAGAGCGAGGGGCGAGGGGCGAGGGAGAGAGTGCCGTTTTGTTGTTTTTGAGTCTTCTCTTGTTGTTCGCAGCAGGGCGCGGGGCATTTCTGTACTCCTTTGCTGGATGTAACGGGATCACCACTGCTGCTGTGGATGTGGAGGAGATGGAGATGAGGGGAGGTGCTTGCTTGCTTGCTCGTTGCTTTTTTCTTTCTTCTCTCTTTCTCGTTGAGAGAGGTGTGAGGGATTGGAGGGAGATCAGCTGGGTTTTACTGCTGCTGTGGATAGTCTTGATGAATGGAAGGAACATGGTGCCATCATAAAACATTTCCCATTCTCACCGCGTTCCATTTGCTTTGAACTTGCGGCTGCACGTGATCTTCCTGTGGAGGTAGGCAAGGAATGAGGCGACGGTGTGAAACATGCATGGCAAAAGGAGTTACTATCAACACTACCTGATGAGTGCCAAAGCTAGCCTAACTACCGCATCAAGAGAAACACAAAATCCCGCTCGTCAATCTTAGACACTGCACTGCTCAAGCCTTACCCACAAACATGATTTGGAAAACGCGTGGGGACGGCGCTTACTCCTCCGCCTCCAGCGGCGCCTCCTCATCGTACTCCTCCTCGCCCTCGGAGACGGAGGCCTCCTGGTACTGCTGGTACTCGGAGACGAGGTCGTTCATGTTGGACTCGGCCTCGGTGAACTCCATCTCGTCCATGCCCTCGCCGGTGTACCAATGCAAGAAGGCCTTGCGACGGAACATGGCGGTGAACTGGTCGCCGACGCGCTTGAACAGCTCCTGGATGGAGGTGGAGTTGCCGACAAAGGTGGAGCTCATCTTGAGGCCCTTGGGGGGGATGGAGCACAGGGCGGTCTGGACGTTGTTGGGGATCCACTCGACAAAGTAGGCGCTGTTCTTCTTCTGGATGTTGCTGATCTGGTCCTCGACCTCCTTCATGGAGACCTTGCCGCGGTAGATGGCGGAGCAGGTGAGGTAGCGGCCGTTGCGGAAGTCCGAGGCGGCCATCATGTTCTTGGGGTCGAAGATTTGCTGCGTCAGCTCGGGCACGCTGACGGCGCGGAAGCTGTAGGCGCCGCGGCTGGTCAGGGGGGCGAAGCCGACCATGAAGAAGTGGAGACGAGGGAAGGGGACCATGTTGACGGCCAGCTTGCGGAGATCGCTGTTGAGCTGACCGGGGAAGCGCAGGCAGGTGGTGATGCCCGACATGACGGCGGAGACGAGGTGGTTCAGGTCGCCGTAGCTGGGGTTGTTGAGCTTGAGGGTGCGCATGCAGATGTCGTAGAGGGCCTCGTTGTCGATACAGAAAGTCTCGTCGGAGTTCTCGACGAGCTGGTGGACGGAGAGGGTGGCGTTGTAGGGCTCGACGACGGTGTCGGAGACCTTGGGGCTGGGCATGACGGAGAAGGTGGCCATCATGCGGTCGGGGAACTCCTCGCGGATCTTGCTGATGAGGAGCGTGCCCATGCCGGCGCCAGTACCACCACCGAGGGAGTGGGTGATCTGGAAGCCCTGCAGGCAGTCGCAGCCTTCAGCCTCGCGACGGACGACATCGAGCACTTGGTCGACGAGCTCGGCACCCTCAGTGTAATGGCCCTTGGCCCAGTTGTTGCCAGCGCCGGACTGACCGAAGACGAAGTTGTCGGGGCGGAAGAGCTGACCGAAGGGGCCGGCACGGACGGCGTCCATGGTACCGGGCTCCAAGTCGACGAGGACGGCACGGGGGACATACTTGTTGCTGGAGGCCTCGTTGAAGTAGACATTCATGCGCTCCAGCTGGAGGTCAGAAGTGCCATTGTACCTGCAGAGCCATTAACACGTGTAACCTCGCATATCTTTGACATGTTGGGACACATACACGCCGGAGCCGTCCAGGCCGTGCTCGCCGGAGATGTTCTGCCAGAAGGCCGCGCCGATTTGGTTGCCCTTTGGTGAATATCAGTTGACCGTACTCTTCACATTGTCATGACGTGTTCGACGTACACATTGGCCGGTTTGGAGGTGGACCTGTGCGGTAAAGAAGTGGTGTCAGCTCATCGTGTTCCTTCAAATCCAAACGGCCGCACAGACGCGCGAGGGGTTACGCGTGTGGGTAGCGAAGGGGGGGCGTCAACTTACGATTTCACGCATCTTCGCGGTTGGTGAGGAGGTCAGATGGTTGAAGGCGATGCGGACTCGGCCTGGCGGTGGTGTTGAGGCGCGTAGCGGAGGCGGAGGGGTGTGTGTTGGGAGTGAGGGGGGTGGAAGGGAGGATGTTGCGGTGTAGGCTTCCAATAAACAACTCCCCAATTGTCCAAGCGCGTGTGGGCTGTTTCCCTCCGCGCTAGTCAGATGCGGGACACAAGTGTTGGTGCTCGAGCTTGGCGGCCATAAGTCGATGCTTCGAAGCTCGACCGAACGAAACTGCAGCGCTTCACTTCCATATGCGCACAACACGTCAATTGCTCACCCATCCGCATAGGGACCGAGCATGGCTTCCGTTCGACAGCTCATCCCTCGTGCCAGTCTGGCCCTGCATTCTCGCCAACTCCAGCACCGCTTACTGCTCCCAACCATCCGCAATGCTACAACTACACGACCGCCGCCTCCGCCGAAACCTCGAGTGCTAGAGAAGCCGGAACGCTTCAACCCGCCATCTCATCCGTCTCGTCGAGCAAGACCGCGACAATACCCCGGGCCCCCGTTGAGCGAGCATGAACGCCAAGCCCAAAAGACGAAAAAGTACCCGCACATGATGCCGCCGGAAGGCAGCTTCATGTTCTGGTTTCTCACCAACCGCGCCGTGCACGTCTGGATCACGCTGTCGGTCCTTCTCTCCCTCATATTTGCAATCTGGTTCAGTGATTTCTACTACACCACGCCCTTTCAAGACCTCTTGCCGCCCAAGAGCATGTTCTACTCCCACCCTTTCCAGTACCTGGGTCGATACTGGAGTGTCTATCAGATGCACGTCGATCATACTTCAGCAGAGGTGGCGGAGAGGAGGAAGCAGAAAGTGGACGATGTGAAAAAGAGGTCGGACTATCGGAAAGCGCACGGAATGGAGGATGGTGGTCTGTTTGGCTGGACTGCGAAGACGGACGAGGAGGAATTGGGTCCGGCATTGCGGGAGGGAGGAGGGTCGGGACCGAACCCTGCCGTGGACATAGCTAGCCCGACGGCGGTCATCGACACCAAAGCGGAGGAGCATGTCTACCTGGACTTTGAGGGAAAGACACAAGTGGCCCGCAAGAAGTGGTTTGGCATTTGGTAGACCATTGAAATCCTGGTTTTGTCACTTTGATTGTCTGTCCTTTCCTCTGCATCTGGCCAATGTGGCTTTGATCGCTTTCCAGCGCACCATCCCTGCATCGAGGGTGACCCTCAGGGACAGCTTGCTACCGCGTGCCTGGTGCGCAGTTGACCGCACTCTGTAGATGGCACCAGGGTGTCGCAGGATAGCCATGCTTTCATGACTAGTAGCAGAGCAGCGTCTCGAGACGCTGGAACGCACTCCGAAGTGCAGCAGCTGCAGGACAGCCCGGAGTCAACAAACAGCACGACAAGAACATCAGCCGTGTGACCTACTCGGCATCGCCCCTCCCTCCAGCTCACGAATGTCTCGTCTCTGAGCAGGTGTTCTCTCCGGAGGACATCATCCACCACCACGCTGCTCGATCATCCTGCTCACTGTTGTGCCGCACAAACAACCCATGCCGCCCCTCAGCGGAGATCATACATGCTTCGTACTCCCAATCACCTCCCCCCGCACCTTCGTCCAATCAATACTCGCATCCAACTCCTCATCCACCAGCCCACAAATCACCACATTATCCCCCCGCACCAGATACAAGCCATGCGCCTGCTCAGCCGACGGCTCCTCGTCCTCCTGCGGTCGAATGACGCGCTCGATGGTGTCTTTGAGCACGAGGTTCGTCACTTGGTCGCAGCTGATGAGCGTGCCGGTGAGGGTGCGGCCGTCGACGGTTATGATGAGGACTTTTTCTGTGGAGGGGGAGGGTGCGGCGTCAGCTTGTTGCCTTTTTGCGTGGGGGGGTGTTTTGTAAGCCTGGTTTTGGCGTGTTGTGTGGGGGTTGAGGAACTTACTGTTTAGGTAGGGGGTGAGAGACATGGTTAGGAGAGAGGGGAAGGCTGCGGCGCCTGGACGGGGAGGGTGAAGAGGTTCAATGTGCGGATCGATCGAGTGGGAGTTCTGATGTGATGGAGTGTAAATATTTGGACGTGAAGCTTGAAGTCAGGTCAGGTACAATTTGATATTGGTCCGTGCGCTTCAAGAAATCAATTGCCCTCGCAGGTTGAACATCGACTACATTCTTCACCTCGCATCCACTTCGCATTATGAAAACTCACGACAGAGCCTTATCAACAATATCCGCCAGCTCCGCCAGAGTATCAACCTTGAACTTGTACCCAAAGTCCACCCCCTCAGTGCTGCCCTTCGCCCCCATCACCCCCTTCCGATCCACCCACACACTCTGAATCCCCATTTCCTTCGCCGGGCGGTGATCGTGAAACAAGCTCTGCGCAACGTGGCAAAGCTGCTCCTTCTCCAGGCCAAAATCGGTCTTGATGTGCTCGAGCAGGTAGTGGAAGTTGCGCAGGTCCGGCTTGTACGAGCCGATGTCCTCGGCGGTGTAGATGGCGTCGAAATGCACGCCTTTCAGCGGGCCGGCGAGCGTTTTACTGAAAGATGCGCGGTCAACATTGGACAAAGGCATTAATTTGAAGCGCTGGCCGAGTCGCTGCATCGCTGCAACGGTGTCCGGGAATGCTGCGTAGGAGGGGATCGAGGCGCCGTACTGCTTGCATGCTGCCTCCACTTGATCCTGGGTGAGTTTGCCGTCTTCAACGATCTGAAGTTCTTTGGCGTAGCGTCGGAGGCCTTCGGCGATCACCTGCGATTGCTGCATGGTGGGGTGCTCCTTTTGGACTGTCGTGTCATGATACTCGATGGCGAGCAGGAGTTGCTTGTGGTCCTTGGGAAGGTAGGGGCCCAGGGCTGTGCTTCTTGCTGCGTCAGCAATGCCGTTCTCCCAGTCAATCAGAGTCCCGTAGATGTCGAAGGAAAGAGCCTTGACTTTGTCCCAGGGAATGGATGAAGACATGGCCGATTAGCGTGAGTAAGTATTCCTTTCTGTGAAACAGCTGTTGTGGTGCCTCAACAATGCGAAATAAAACAAAGAAGAACTGCGATTCTGGTTGGAAAGAGAGTCTTTTTCTACTTACGCATAGTGTACGCCGAGTGCTTGTAGCTTGGCTGCAGCCTCAGGGTCCGGCTGCGAAAGGCAGCCCAAGGGCGCGGTGGGGCCCTCCGCGCCCAATTCCAACCAGTAACGAGGCGAGTTTCATCCACCACATCTGCAACGATGCGCCTTAGATGCTCTACAACTGGAAAGGACTTTTATGTTTCTTCAAATCCATGGTATTTCCTTGAGCCGAAGGTAATTGCATATTCGAATCTGCGAGGCTGCGCATTTTTGCTGGCAAGGGCTGGTCCGGTGCAAAGCTTTGGGCCACATTCGTAGATGCATCATGTCCAGATAACAAGCCTTTGATTCACGAAGTCAACAACGTTATCGCTTCAGGGCCTGCGAAATGGCAATGATATCCGTAGGAGTCGTCCTGCAGCAACCTCCGATCAAGCCAGCGCCATGCTGTTGCCAATGGCGAGCAAGCTGACCGAAATCCAAGGGACCAGACGAGGAGCTCGACCAAGTGTTCGTTTGAGCATCCCACTTTTCTCCCGAGTTGGGATACACGAGCAGTGGAACGTCGAGCTGTCCTGTCAAATGTTGCAGCGCGTCTGTAGCCAGGTCAGCCGAGATGCAGTTGAATCCAAAGGCCAGCACTCGTTCGCGATGTGCTTGAAGTAGCTTTGCTAGTTCCACGAGGGAAGTGCCATCGCTGATATGCTGTGAGTCCTTCAAGGTGCAGCTAACCCAAGCGGTTGTGGTGGAAAACTCATCACGCAGGAGCTCAAGGACGGCTTCGATTTCGTGAACTTGAGGCATGGTCTCAATTGCAAGCAAGTCCACCTCGGCATCGACCAAAGCTCGGATTCGTGCACGATGGAAATTCTGAAAGCCAGACTTGGAGAGCTGGTAGTCCCCGCGATATTCTGACCCGTCAGCTAGATACGCTCCATAGGGGCCCACGCTGCCCGCGACTAGAAGAGGGACATCTCGTCTAACAGTCTGGCCGTAGGCCTCCTCTACAGCAAGACGGGCAAGCATAGCGCTACGCTTGATGAGGGCCGTGGCTTTCTCCTCGTTGAGATTCAAATGTTCAGCAAAACCAGCGGCGCTCGCTTGGTAGGAAGCGGTGATTGCGAAGTTGGCACCGGCGAGGAAGTAGTCCAGGTGGACTTGTTTGATGACCATTGGGTCTTCTTCGAGGATTTTAGCGGACCAGAGGGAATGGTTCAGATCGTAGCCTCTTGACTCCAGCTCTGTCGCGAGGGCGCCGTCGATGACCATTGGGCCATGCCTTTCCAGGAGGCGGAGGAAGTCTTGCCGGGATAACATGCTGTGGAGCAAAGGAGCCGGCCTTGGCCTTGGTGGTTGAGAGCGAGTCGAGGGAGATCCGGATTGTCATCATCTAGTATCTTGTCTTTGCCATTGCCAGGTCGTGCAAGGCTGGTGGCGACCAATATGCATTTGTTTTACATAACCCGTGGGCATAAGAAAAAGAAGCGTCTATCAGATAGAGAAAGTGGGGGAGACATTGCTGCACGGACGACCAGGCGGGCGCGGCTTGTGGAAGCAGCCGAAGCCAGCACTTCCTTATCTCAAGCTCTCAACACACCCTTTTGCGCTCGACCACATCCTCGTTTGTATTCAATTCGCTCCCGCAGAGACGCTGGTGAATGCTGCCAGCCAAGTGAGAGATTTTCCACCCGCTCCTGCCCACTCTTTCACGTGATTCCGCGGCTACCAGCTCCTTCGGCGGATGATGAGAGCATCGAACTAAATTAGCATTGCCTTGCCGCTCTCGAAAATCCCTCACACGCATATCCCCCTACCCGCTCGTATGGATCGGTCGGAAGCTCGACAATGACGCCAGCCCGGCCCTAGGCTGACGAAGATCACAATGTCTACGGGGTTCTTCAACCGCAGGAGGACGTCGCCCGCCGTGAATGGGCTTGGCAACAGCGACGCCTTACCGGAACTGAATGGCGCCCACGACACCGAATCGCTGGCTGCAGTAAGTGCGACAAGCCCCAGAGTCGGCAGAAGGATCTCCATCTCTGGGGGTGCGGGACTTTCGTCTTCCTTTGGTTTGCCTGGCAGATCCTATATCCACCACGCTGGCCACCCCGGTTTCCGGGGTAAGTTGCCATACAACTCCGTCACTTCCCTCACTCACATGTCATTCACTAAACTTCTCCCCAGATCCAGTTCCATATTCCTCCGCTGGCGTTCGGGAACAGACGGCCGAGATATCCTCATCGTTCATCAACACTTCACCAGTCACCGTCAGACGATTCCGAACCGACAGTATCGCTTCTGCCACTGCCGGTGCTAGTTCAAGACGGCCGGATGCTATTGATGAGAATCCCGAGCTCGAAACATCCTCGGACGTAGAACATGATGCATTTCCTTCAGACCTGACAACAGCCCTTCACGAGCACCAACGCGCCTCCTCCCCTCATCCGCCAGCTCACATCTCTCATCGTGCGTCTGGAGAGGACATCTTCTCTGCGCACGGTCCAGACATCTCTATTCAGAACGAAGACGAGCCCGACATGACTATGAGCGAGACAACCCCTCTCTTGCCGGTCTACCAAAAGCCTGCCTACGATGACATCGAGTCTAACCAGGATGGGAACTCTCGCAATGAGCCCGGTGCCTGGAACCGACTTGGACATCACTACCCAACGTTGAGATATCTTCCAGCCAAGATCCACAATGTCCTCCTCAATCCGCGGAGCTTGGACATGAAGTTGATCGCTCGCAAAGCTGTCGTGGAGCCACTCTTCACTCTACCTGCCGTCTTCCTCGGCGTCCTTCTAAATCTCTTAGATGCGTTGTCCTACGGCATCATCCTCTTCCCACTCGGAGAAGAGGTTTTCAAAGACATGGGCCCGGATGGAGTGTCCATGTTCTACGTCAGCTGCATCATATCGCAACTCGTCTATTCGTCAGGCAGCATTTTCCGGGGCGGCGTGGGCTCCGAGATGATCGAGGTTGTTCCCTTCTTTCACAAAATGACCTACCTGATCATGGAACAAGTGGGCACAGAGAATCCCGAGGCCCTTCGAGCGACGGTCATTGTGTCTTATGCCATGAGCTCCATCATCACCGGGATGGTGTTTCTTGGGCTGGGTGCCGCCCGCCTTGGCACTCTCGTCAACTTTTTCCCGCATTCCATTCTTACCGGGTGCATTGGTGGCGTGGGGATCTTCCTATTCATCACAGGTAAGCGAATATAAAGTTCCGAATTACAGCAGCTTCGCTAATTACGTACCAGGGATTGAGGTATCGGCGAGACTCGATGGAAACCTGGAGCCTTCCATGGAGGTGCTGCAAAAGCTGTTCTCTGCAGATACGGTCCCGTTGTGGATACCTCCACTGTTTCTCGCGATCCTTCTCCTAACCGTCAAGCACTTCTACGACCGACCCTGGCTTGTGCCCGCTTACTACATCGGCATCACTGCGATCTTCTACATTGTGACGACTGCCATTCCATCAATTTCCATGGACAACCTGCGATCGTCAGGTTGGGTGTTTGAAGCGCCGGCTGGAGTGCCATTCTACAACTTCTACAGCTACTATCAATTCGGACTGGTCGACTGGGGAGCGGTCTGGATGACGATTCCGTCGCAGCTTGCGCTGACATTCTTTGGCATCCTTCATGTGCCGATCAATGTTCCGAATTTGGTATGCTCTCATGGCGTCGGGCTGACAATGGACAGCAGCTAACAGAATGCAGGCCATGGTCGTGCAAGAAGATAACGTCAGCATCAACCGCGAGTTGATCATGCACGGCATCTCCAACACCCTCTCCGGTGCGGTCGGCAGCATCCAGAACTACTTGGTCTTCGTGAACAGCGTGTTGTTCATCAACACCGGCGGAGATAGCAGACTGGCTGGTTATCTCTTAGCTGCAGCAACATTCGGACTCTGGGTAGCCGGGCCCATTGTCATCGGCTTTGTGCCGGTGATGGTGGTTGGCACGTTGATTTACATGCTCGGAATCGAGCTGACGCTTGAAGCGTTGGTCTCAACCTATGGCAGACTGCAGAAGCTGGAGTACATCACCATCGTCATCATCGCTCTGGTCATGGGGGTCTACGACTTTGTCGTGGGCATCGCCATAGGCATCGGGCTGGCCTGCTTGGTGTATGTTGTGCAGACATCACGGAAGACCGTCATTCGGGCGGAGTTCTCTGGAGCCGTGGCGGAATCGACAGTACGCCGGCATCCCCGTCAACGCAACTACCTGCACAAGGTCGGCCCACAGATCCGAGTGGTGAAGCTGGGCGGATACCTCTTCTTCGGGTCGATTGTCAAGGTGGAAAAGAAGGTGCGAGAGATGGTGGATGCCGAGGCCTTCGCCCATTCGCCCATTCGCTATCTGGTGGTGGAGCTCACGCACGTGACTGGCATTGACTTCTCCGCGGCCGAGGCGTTTGCAAGGATGAATCGCATTCTACATCGCCGCGAGGTCAAGATGGCGATAGCCGGAGTCAGCTTTTCCAGCGACATTGGCAGAAGTCTGACGATGGTGGGCTTGTTTGTGCCGAGCGCCGAAGAACCCATCATCCCCGCGCCCAAGGTGTACGAAGACCTCAATGGGGCGCTGGAAGCGTGCGAGAACGAGCTTCTGATGGTATTGACGGAAAAACAACAAAACGCAACCGGAGAACCGAGCAAGCCAGCACCACCCGTCCCAATCCCAGACCACCTCTCCGAGCTCCCCGTCTCCCCCTTTGACGGCATCATCGGCACCCCCCGCCACACCCAACTCCACGAAGCAGCCAGCACAGCCATCAGCGAAAGTCCCCCCGAAGCCCGCAAATGGCAAAACCTCAAACAACCCCTGCCGCTCCTCCTGCAAGCCTTCCAAGAGCTCACTACGCGCGACGAAGCCTTCTGGCACCGCGCGACCCCCTACTTCACCAAGCGCGCCTTCACGCAGGGCCAAATACTGTACAACCGGGGCGACCGGCCCGACGGCTTCTACCTGCTGCAGGCCGGCATTCTGCGCGCCGAATACTTTCTCGAGCAAGGCACCTACCACGAAAGCATCGTGGCGGGCACCACTTGCGGCGAGCTGCCGTTTTTCAGCGACACGGAGCGCACGAGCAGCGTGGTGGCGGAGCGGGAGTGTGTGGCGTGGTTGCTGACGCCGGAGAAGTGGGAGGAGTTGCAGGCTGCGCACGCGGATGTTGCGACGGAGTTGTTGAAGGTGGGGATGAAGTTGAGTGCGGAGCGGATGAATGCTATTACGAACTATGTTTTGATCACGGCGAGTTGAGCGGGGGGTGGTGGTGGTTTACGCGGTTGAGCGTAGGCGTTTGCGGGAGCTTTCTTTTAATGCACATGTGGTCGACTCTACTACTGGAGCGAGCAAATCCCGTCTGCGATTCCGGCGAGGCCTGGCCGTCCTGGAACATCGCCTACTCAATGCTAACGAAGTACATGCAATGAGTTGGCAACGCACGTAGACACTCGACGTGATATTGATCTCAGGCGTGATGTTCTATTATCCAACAATCTTCAGCGTAGCACCATAGTGAGTCCGAGCAGCTACAACACGACGAAACTATTTCAGGCTGGCGTGAGTGGGTCCACACTAGCGCAAAGATCGGCGCCGCATTTCGGGAAGCTCGCATTAAGCTTTTGGCTCGCTTTTCTTGCATGTGATTGTCGGTGGGCAGGCACACGAGCACCTACCCTTTCTTGAGCGGGCGGCGTCTCTGCGTTGAAAGCTGTGGCAATGGGGTGTCGAGAAGCTGGGGAGATGAGAGGATAACGTGTGTGTGTGAGTGTGTGCGACATGTGACATGCGTCGTGCTGGCCTCGTTGCTCCATGACTTGTTAGCGATGCTGCTGGTGAGCGTTTCATCGCGGGAGATGCAGAAACGAGCGAGCGCCGATTGCACGACACATGCGCCGGCACCACCACCGCCCAGCAACTTTCATTTGCACAGTTGGGCGGTTGCCGCGCCCGAGCTTGACGAATCATCGCCGCGCTGCGTGCCAGATCGCCCAACGCCCAATTTCGGATACGAGCAGCGGCGCGCGGAGGGTTGGGGGCGCGCGGGCCTCTATGAGTGACCGACGGCACTCGTTGACAGGCAAGGGAAAAAAGTGCCAGGTGGGAAAAGCAGATGCAAACGCTGCGCCGCCGTTTCGTGCCTGCCTCAACTTTGTTGCACAACATCGCACCTTCCTGCCTCTTTTACTGCTGCATTCATTTTTTTCAAGATACCCCTCCGCTGCGTCTTATTCCCTTTACACTTGCCACGCCTTGAGATACCCCGGGTCAGCCCAGATTCCACACCACCGCATCACTGTGTTCAGCTGTTTATCTGCGTGTTTTCCTCTTCGATAAGATACCCCCTTACGTGTCACGAAGCGTCCTGCATCGAACAACAAGAACGAAAACAAGCCCCCAGAAACTTCCAATCAACATGTCGACAGTCGAGAACAACTCTGTGGCAGACGCCCCGACGCTCGTTGCTCAGCACCCAGACACCACCGTTGTCTCTGCCGATGGCGTGCCTCATACCGACCCCGTCCTAGGCGCTGCTGCCGCCGCCGAGACCAAGCCTGAAGAGACGACGGCAGATAGCCAGATCCAAAGCGAAGCTGCTGCCGCTGCTGCCACTACTGAGGCACCCAAGGCTGAGGCCGCCGCCGTCCCGGTGATTGAACCCATCACCGAAGGCCTGCTGAACTACAAAGGCCCCGGTCTACTCAAGTAAGACCTCCGTCCACGCTGTCTTTTGCTCACCCGCTGACCGCTCCCAGATCCCTCATCCCCTCCAAGAAGGACTTCTGGCTGAGCGACGAGCCCGTCTCCCAGCACGCCCTCGGCTCCTACATGCGCGGCGAGAAGCCTGAAGTCTCCCACCCCGTTGTCGCCTGGGCCAGCCAGACGGGCAAGGGCCTCCTCTTCTTCAACAAGAAGGGCGATACCAACCGCACGCACCCCGGCCACGTCCTGGCCCTTTACGAGGCTGCGGACCTCCGCAAGCGCAACCCGCAGGAGATCAGCTTCTCCATCAAGGGCCAAGAGCATGTGCTGAAGGCTTCCACCGACACCGAGCGTGATGCGTGGTTCATGTCCATGGAGAAGTCTGCTGAGCTCGGCAAGGCTGCCAAGGCGGAGGTGGTGGAGAGTGAAGGGTACAAGGAGGAGCTGGAGAAGCTGAGTATGTTGAAAGATCACACAAACTTACAGCAGAATTGTACTGAGCCATGTATACAGACAAGCCTCATGTTGCCGCGACTGCTGCCGCTGTCGCCTCGAAGCGTGGTCAGTCCCAGCCGAAGAAGAGCTCCGAGGTTGAGCGCCATGCATCGGAGGATGAGGCGAAGAAGGACAAGAAGGCTCGCTCGACGTCGCGTGGCATGTTGAACCGCCTCAAGGGCAAGAAAGAGGAGGCAGAGGCCAAGAAGGAGGAGAAGGAGGCCGACAAGGAGAATGCCAAGCCTGACAACGAGCACAAGACGGAGGAGGAGGTCGTTGCAGGTGCGGCGGTCGCCGGCACTGGTGCTGCTGTTGTTGGCACCGGTGCTGCCGCTGTTGAGCACTGTAAGTACATCAAGAACACACCTCTCACGAGCTCGCGGCTGACATATTTCACAGCCGAAGACAAGAAGGACTCCACCGAGTCTCCCGCTGAGGCCGCCAAGACCGAGGAGAAGACGAAGCAGGGCAAGCGTGGCTCCATCTTCGGCAAGATGGCTGGCTGGGGTGCCATGAAGTCGCCTACGAAGGAGAAGGATGCAGAGCTCAAGCCTGAGCCCATCGCAGCCGCGCCCGTCGCCGCCGCCGAAGTGTCCAAGGACGGCGTGGCTGAGGAGGCCCCAGTGCTCCCTGAGACCGCCACCACCGAGCGCACCGACGCAGAAGCCGAGGCGGACAAGATTGAGACCAAGGCCGAGGAGGAGGTGGCCAAAGAGAACGCAGTCGAGGAGCCGAAGAAGGAAGAGGTGGCCACGCCAGCCAAGGAGAAGAGCAGCTTCTTGTCCGGTCTCCTGCCCAAGCGCGGCCGATCTGTCTCGCCATCTCCCGCCCTCACCAAGAGCGAGCCTGAGGCGGCCAAGGAGGCTGCGCAAGAGCCAGTCAAGGCCGAGGAGCCGACTGTGGAGGCCGCTGCAGCAACCACGAGTGCCGAGAAGACTGAGGAGCCCGTGAAGACGGAGACGTCTACTGCCAACAAGCGTCAATCCATGCTCGGATCCATTGGTCGCCGTGCCTCGAAAGCCATGAGCGGCATGCGCGGAGCCAAGAAGGAGAACGCTGCTCCCGCCACCGCAGAGGAGACGACCACCGATGCCGCTCCCGCCGCGACCACCACTGCGGCCGAGGAGGAGAAGACGGCGTCGGCCATTGATGGCGAGGTGAACGGCGTGCCGACGATCGGCGATGCCGTGCCCGCCGCCATCCAAACTGAGCAGCAGGCTCCTGTCGTGACTGCCTCCGCATAATCATCTGCATTCTGCTCAAGACAATGCTGACTGACGGGCTGCGAAAAGATAGGCAGACGTTAAGAGCCGAGTGACGCCGATGTCGACTTGCTCGGATCGATGCGCCGCGCCCGCCTTCTCTAGCGACACCCGCACACCCTGCTTTGCCCCGAACTGACGACCTGGCGCGTTCTAATCACCCAACTCCAGCCGCTCCTTTACCAACCCCCTCTACGCCGGGTTGAACTGTTCGGGTTTTGTTTATTCTCTTGCGTTTGCGTTTGCGTTTGCGTGCTTTCAGAAAAAGGACTAGATTGATACCACCTTGCAGCTTTGCGCGTGTTTTCTGGCGTTGCTTACCGTTCCCCATCGACTATCACCACGGCATCTTTCCTATTCACCACACATCTCGTACCTGAGATGGGGGTGGATCGGTTTGGTGTGCGTGTTTGGTTTTGGATTGCGGGACTGGTCGCGAATACCCCCCCTCTCATTCCCCTTTGTCTTTTCCTTTGGGAGAAAACGGAAGATACCCTGCTTGTTCTTTGCTGCTTGCTGTGCACTGTTGCGGTAGATAGGGTAATACAATGGGTAATGGACAATTGGTCATGGGTATGGTGTATCACTCGTTGCCACCGTGTACGTAACGTAACGTGAAGTCGCGGCTTTCTGTTGCTGGCTTGTGGAGCTTGATGTCCCACTCCACCTGCGGGCGGGACTGCCCTAGAGCATCCACGGCATACTAAAGGTATCCGCTTTGAGAATGTACCGGAAGTAGGACGCCATTGAATCGTGAATCGTGAATCGCCACGCAGCATCGCTTTCATCCCGTCGACATATGTGCGATGCAGTTGATCCGCAACCCAGTAGCAAGGCTCGGTAGCACAGACAACGTATCAATCTTCAGTAATGCCATTCATGACCTGTGCTTATCCGCCGATGCCGGGAAGAAGTCATGAATGCACGCAGCTTATGCACTCTCGCCACCTCGCTGGCGCGCCCGCCGCCCCACGCCCGCAACTCCGCGCTTTCCCCCGACTTGGACGAAACCGCAAGAAAAGTCACATGCAATTCAATTGAAACTGCTGCATCAACCCTTTCAATTTATTCCTGGATTTTACCTTTCCCGCCATTGAACCCAGCAAGTGTTGCCCCTCGGCTTGCGCCTAGCCTGGACGACGCCCCTTCGGAAAGGCCGCGCAGCCCCTCGATTACCATTGCCGTTCTCGCATGTGATGAACTGGATTGTGTGAATTATTCATCATCGTGCCCCATTGAAGCGGCTCACTTTCGTCTTTCGCCTTTCGCCTTTTGTGCGCGCTCCATTTCTTGCTTGCGGTGTACATACTTTGGTGTTGGCCCGCGTTCAACTTCTTCTTCTTCTGTGACACGTTTGGGGAGAGGGGGACTCTCTGTGCCGCGCTCGTTAGTCAGTTACTGTACCGTCCGGACCCGGAGAGTCGGAGGTGTGTGTTCACACCCAGGCACGCGATCGTGCGGGTACAGACGAGGAAGGGGTTGCGACTCCGAGTCAGCATGAGCAGCCATGGTATGCGCGATCCTCGAGTCCTCTGACCGGTACTAACTCCCTCTGTTCCTTCCCACAGGGCTGCTGCCAATCCCGAGATGCAGCAGAACATGACGCCCCGCGGCCACCCGGCACGACGTCAATAACGAACCCCACCACCACATCCACAGCAGGAGGACGCACGACATCCACGCCCCGCAATGCGCTCTCACCCACCACCACCACCTCCACCACTATCCGCCCCAGCGGCCCCTCCACAACCCAAATCCCCATCACCTCGCGCCCCGACGCCCCCATCCGCTCCTGCTCACCCCCCGCCCGCAGCCCCGCGAAAGTCTCGCACCACCTACCCCCGTGGACGCGCAAACACCTCGAGCGCGAGCGCGAAGCCTTCTTCGACACGCGGGTGACCGGCAGCGCGGAGATCTGGGCTGCGCTGCGGCTTGTGTGCGATTTGCTGCGCAAGTTCGAAGTCGCGGAGGCGCAGGGGATTCTGACTGCGTTGAATCTCACTTGTCCTACTGGGCGGATTGTGAGGGAGAGGGGAAGGCATAAGGAGCGGGGAGGCGTGTTTGACGAGAGGGGCGTTTTGTACGAATTGCCTGGATGGGTGGTTACGGATCCGGAGGATATTATTGAGGATAGCGGGCTGGAGAAGGAGGAGGAGGAGTATGATGAGGGGGAACTAGGGACGTCGGAAGACGACGAAGAGTACGACGCGGATGGAATCACGAGCGCTTCGCAGCGACAACAGCAATTACAGCGCCGGCGGGAGGAGAAGGGCAAAGGGCGCGCCGAGGATCCCGGGGAGCTGGTCGTCTTCACCGCCCGCTTGAGCCATACGGGCACCGACGTGGTGCTCAACGTCGGCATGAAGCAGAAGATCGCCGAGATTGCGCGCCTGGTGCAGCAGCAGTTGGGCGGGGGGAAGAGGGTGCGGCTGGTGTATTTGGGGCAGACGCTTGATGAGCGCGCCGCGCTTGAGCAGACGCTTTGGATGCGCGGGCATGTGGTGAATGCTTTGGTGTTTGAGGGGGAGGAGAAGGGGTGATGTGTGGGAGATACTTGAGGACGCAATGAAACGCTTGATGCCGATGGAGATTTAGATACCATATCTGGGACGGAGTTATCGGACTGAACTATTGGGACTCATCAGTTACCCTCTGTTCCTTTCCTCATACTATCTGACCAGCCAATGGCCAGATCTTCCTTCACTAGCATCAGAAGTTGTACAGAGCCCAACGAAGCAGCGCCTCTGCCACGCTTGACGGTTAACTCAAATCACCAAGCCACATTCGAGTCAGTATGGGCGTGTAATACATCGGCAATTGACCAGAGGCCAACGATGTGGGTATTGAGTGGAGTGGCAGCGGCAGAAGGGAGGGCCACAGACCGAGTCTGGATTGCCCGCAGCAGCCAGCCCGCCGTACCCCGCTCTAGCGTGGAGCCTGGAAGAGCTCTGGAACATTTGGCGTGTTGATGTTCCTTTTTTGACCGATTTGATCCAGAGAGAAGACATCATTCTTATAAATCTTAGAAGATCTCGCATTGTCGGAGGAAAGCATCGATAATACACCTTGAGATCAACTTCACTTCCCTTGTTGCTTTTGCCAGGACGAGACCAGCAAGATGAAGGCCGTCAAAGTCGTCGGGTACCATGAGAACCTCAAGATGGAGGAGCAGGAGCCGGAGCCGAAGATCGAGGGCGCGCTCGACGTGATTGTCAAGATTGGCGCGGCGGGCGTGTGTCGAACGGACATTCATATTCTCGAAGGTGAGCAGTCCCTCTTACCCCGAGTTCCTACCACACTCAACTTACCCCCAACCCCTCGCAGGACAATGGGAAGCCAAGTCCGGCGTGACGTTGCCGTATACTATTGGACACGAGAATGCCGGGTGGGTGCATGCTATTGGCGATGCGGTGACGAATGTCAAGGTTGGGGACAAGGTCATTCTCCATCCGCTCAATACTTGCGGGCTGTGCAAGGCGTGTCGACTTGGTGATGACGTGCACTGCTCCAATGGCACTTTCCCGGGCATCAATGTCAACGGAGGGTACGCGGAGTATTTAAAGACGGGTGCTCGCAGCTGTGTGAAGCTTGACGATTCTCTGGAGCCTGCGGACGTGGCTGCCCTCGCCGATGCTGGATTGACGGCGTACCATGCGGCGGCCAAGGCGGCCAGAGTGCTCCGCCCGGGTCAGGTGTGCGTGTGCATTGGAGCCGGCGGACTCGGACATATTGGAATCCAGGTGCTGAAGGCCATCAGCGGAGCCACGCTTGTGGTCGTCGATCAGAACCCCGAAGCTCTCAAACTGGCTAAGCAGCTCGGCGCGGACCACACCATCGAGGCCGACAAAGAAGGCAAGTTTGTAGAAAAGGTGAAGGAGTTGACGGGCGGACAGGGCGCCGAGGCCATCATCGATTTCGTGTGCGAGGGCGGGTCGATGAAGACGGGCATCCAGATGCTGCAGCGCGCGGGCAACTACTACATTGTCGGCTACGGCGAGAACCTCGACATCCCGACCATCGACATCATCTCGACGGAGATCAACTTTATCGGCAATCTCGTCGGCTCGTACAATGATTTGCAGGAGCTGATGATCCTGGCGGCGCAGGGCAAGGTGAAGCTGCACACGGCCAAGTACAAGCTGAGCGAGTTCCAGCAGGCGATTGACGATTTGTCGAATGGCAAGGTGCGTGGACGGGCCATTTTGATTCCTTAGGCCATTTCAATGCAAGGTACATGTAGATAGTGGGGGTTGGGGGGAAAGAGAGGTGGATTTTAGACACAAGTGATCAAGTATATATCAGCCCTGTTCGAAATGCCACCAAGGTTGTCTATCTTGTGACATCCATTCTTCTTCAACACGCAATCGTACTCTTTACGACATCTGAATGCTGGTATTCGATGATCAGCCCACCCCACACTCGGGAGAGGAGCATGACTCCGCATTGAGTAAGAACCCCGTGGGTCGCCGTTGCCAAATAGTGGTACGGGACATAACGTGACTGCCCGGGCAAATGTCGAGGCGGAGCGGAAGTGTGGGAGAAGTCAAGTCGACGCGCAGTCCCATCAGTTCTTTGCCCGAGTTTGCCTCATCTCTGCCTGCCTGCCGTGGGCTCGTGCTGGTTGTCAAATTATCAAACGGCCAGGTCGGGCAAGCACTCCACACGGCACGCGGAGGACCCTCGTGCCGGCGCGGGTGGAACCTCGAGGTTGATGCGACCAACCTCCTCCCGTCCTCTTCAATCCGCCGCTTCTGCTCCCCCTCGCCCTAACGACGCCCATCCTCCGAGGCCCCGAGTTCCCCGTGACGCCATCCCATCCATCCCCTGCGCTTTGCTCGGCTTGGCACTCCTATGTCCGGCAGGGCTGCGTTAGTCGCTCTAAGGCTGTGCCTCAACGTACGTCCACCACCTCCCTCGTCTCGTCTTTCCCCCATCCCGCCGCGCTTCAGCCGCATCGCTGTCCGCCAGTCTCGCCGTCGTCCATCGCCGCCGCTCTCCCGTCTCTTCCGCTGAAGCGCAAGCGGCTGCCATTGCTCCGTGCTGATGCGCCGGCCCTCGCCTTCTTCCTTCCTCTCGCCTACGCATGCCCTCGTGACAGCACACGGAGGCGACATGTTTGCTGACAGCGATGCGCCATAGCCGAGCAAGCCGCCATGTCTTTAATCCCGCTCGAAACGCCGGTGCTCAAGGTCAGCCGGCCAGTCGCTGTACGCGTCACTCCACCCATCCCCCAGCATGCCTTGATACACTCCGCTGACTCTCCCTTCCAGGCCTGCAGTCGCTGCCGGAATGCCAAGATCAAATGCGACGGGAAATTGCCCGCTTGCACGTCATGCGAGAAGAACGGTCGAGCCGCCGAGTGCACGAGTACGAATGACCAGTTTGCGAGAGGTAAGGAGCGCAGCTATGTTTCGACTCTGGAGACTCGCATCGACCGGCTGCTGGTGAAGCTGGAGGAGGCGCAGGCAAGGAAGCCCTCCGTCATCTCCGTCGTCGACGATGACATGTCTTCACGAAGGACATCCCAGGCTCAGGAGCCGCCGACGCCCAACAACAGCAGAAAGCTGAGGCGACGCGAGGTGTCGGCCATTGACGACCTCGTCTCGGATTTTGGCTTCCTCTCCGTCAATGCCACGGCGCGTGATTTCTATGGGTTCACCACCGCCATGTCCTACGCGCGTCTCGTTCTTTCAGCATGCACCAAAGACCCGTTACCCAAGGCCAGAGGCCAATCCTTGCCTAATCGGCAGGCGGCTGTCGAGCTCATCCAACACTACCTGGACAATATCTTCTCATTACTTCCCATGTTTGATGAGAGCAGCTTCTACGGCTCTGTGGAGAACATCTACGCTCAGGATGTCTCAAAAACCAGCGCCCTGGATCACTGGATGGTCCGAATGGTTCTAGCAATCGCGCATGCCTCCAAATCCACTGAGCGCGGTGACTGGAACTACTTGGAAAGCATCGGGCATGTCTGTGCTGCGCTGGAGTTCGCAGAGTACGTACTACATCCGGGTAACATCTCGGGCGTGCAAGCGCTGCTCCTCCTCACCCAGTATGCCACGCTGGACCCGCATCATTTCGATTCGTGGAGTCTGATTGGCGCCGTGTCACGCGCAATGGCCGACCTGGGCCTCCATCAAGACCCCCCCAAAGGCGCGCCCATGAGCAGAAGCAAGCTCGAACTCCGCCGCAAAGTCTTCCACTGCATCTATGCACTCGATCGAGCCACCTCCCTGGTCCAAACTCGCGCATTCTCCTTCTCCGACGACAGCGCAAAGGTCAAGGTTCCATTCCACAAGCTACCCAGCTCCGCCCCGCCAACCCCAAAGTCGTCAAATTCGACTCAGCAACAGAATGTATTTCGGGCGGGCCACGAGCACGCCCTCGAACTTGTCTCCCTTCGCCAGATCCAATCCGCATGGTACACCGACCTATTCCAGTCCGGGCGCGAATCGTGGCCAGACCCATATTCGTATATCTGGGACAAGTGCGCCGCCATGCGCACGTGGTTCGACGGCTTGTCCTCTACCACGCCAGCAAGTTTGCGAGCCTTTTTTCTGCTGGATCTGCTTTACTCCTACATCTACGTCCTCTCTCCATCACCGCGCGCCCCGCAGGTCGTTCCATTCGCACAAAAGCTCATCTTCGAGTACTGCATTCAGTATGCTGAGCTCTTGCTCTCCGCCATCACCACGGAATCGTACATCGCTCCTGTCAACTTCTACGATGCGATGAGAGCGACCATGGTTGGCCGGCAGTTCTTGGACGTACTACAGCACAACACCGATCTATTACTCGATGGCTTTGTTCCGCAGCATCCGGAGGTAAAGCCCACTGCTGCTGCTCCACCCCCAGTTCCCCCTGTTTCCTTGCCTCCCGGAGAGACAGTGCGGCGGTATAACGCTATTCGTAGCATCAATTGCATCAAGAATATCTCGAAGTGCTTGGAGCTCTTGGGCATCCGATGGGGTTACATGAGGTATGTTCCACTACTGTCCATCCTCGGTCACCACTAACAACCCCCTAGCTGGACCCAACGGTTCCAAAAAGAAGCCAACCCCATGCTAGAGCAACTACAGCAACGCCTCCGCGAGATCGACGAGATGAAAGGCATGCGAAAGCAAAGCGTTTGGGCTCCGCAGGATTCGATGCGCAAACGTAGCGTGTGGGCCGGTTCCGTCTCCTCGCATCCTAGTAGCAACGGGAGCATCTCCTACAGCACGCCTCCGCAGCACATGGCTAACGGCTACCAACAACAATCCCCACCCGACCTGCAACAAACGCTCAGCTTTGTCGATCCCGGCGTCGGCCAGCGTCTCAGCCCATCCATGTACCCGCCCCAGCCCGACGCGTATCCGCAGCAACAACAGCAGCAATTCCACGTCCCGCACGACTCGGTCTACACCCAGCTGCAGCAAGACCCGCAGCAGCAACAGTCGTACGCCTCGGCCTCACCCCCGCAGCAGACGTTCAACTTCAACGAGCCCTTCTACCAAAGCCCCCCGAATGCGGGCAGCAGCACCGCCCCGGGCCACCAATTCGCGGCTTGGACGGGCTACAGTGGACCCGTGGTGCAGGACACGCTGGATGAGGAGAATGCCGTACCGCCGAAATCCAATGCTTGGGATCTGTATCAGACTTGAAGTTTGCTGAACAGTGTTGCCTAGGCCTTCAACGGAACGAATACGTGGCAGGACGTTCCAAATCCAATGGCGCAGACAGCCAGCGCTTCAAACCCAGTCCCGCAAGACATTGCATTCTGGGAAACTACAGACTCCGTTGCGGGCCCCAGCAACCCCGCCTTCCCTCACTACCACCCAGCACAAATACCCCCGGCCCCGCAACCCGAACCCCACCACCCCGGCCCCGACCTCGCCTCCGTCGCCCGCGCCCACAAAACCCGCAACAGACGCAAAGGCAAAGGCCGCGCCGATGCACCCCGCGACACCGACCCCTTCGCCGCCATGCGCGAAGGCCCCTCCCTCCTCCGGCAGGGCAAGCGGAAACCCCTCATCGACCCGCCTGCCCCTCCGCCCGCTCTCCAAAGGGCCCTGCCTGGTTTCCGGTACACGCCTGGTTTCGGGTGGACGTGTATGGTTTGCGGGCGTTTGTTGCCTCGGGTGGAGTTGTTGGGCGTGCATCGCACGCTGGCGGATGGGAGGGGATGTGTGGATGTTGCGGTGCCGGTTTTTGTTGGTGCTGGGGGGAAGGAAGGGGAGGGGCTGCGGCCAGCGGACCAGCAGCGGGGTTTGGAGGGCGGCGGGGAGGAGGCAACGGATTATGTTGTCCGCACGGGAGGTGTGGTGGAATGTGTGCCCGATTCGCATACCGCCAATGTTGAAGATGGTGGAATGGTGCAGAGTCGGGATGAGAACTCGCGCCCTTTGGAGACGAATGATGCCCTACAAGGCATCTATCATCCTCCCGCATCCGAGGAGCGGCACTCCTAGACTCCCATGGAGGGATATCGAGTCGATGGCCAAGTCGAAGGAGAGAGAGAGCGTGTGCGTATGAGCGGATGCCTTTCCTTCTGTCTGTGTTATTTTTCCGAGCGTGGCGTGAGGAAGAGGAGGAAATTCCAGGTTCCATTCTTTTTTTTGATGAGCGAAGAGCTGTTTGGGAGGATTGATACACCCGGTCTTTTTTACATACCATTCAAACAAAGTCATCAGTCGCCACCAGGCATTCTTCCCCCGACTACCCTGCCGCCATACCATGACAAGGCGAGAAGATGACTCGCTTTCTACGGGAGGGAGAATTTGATCTCGCAGCATTTTCGTAGGTAGATTTGTAGTTTTGATTGACAATCGCACACTACGTTTCCGTCGTATCGTCTACCCCGTGCATCCATCCTCTTGCAATTCCTTTGCTAGGTGTTCATTCCCGTCTCGCTCGTGTACAGCGAAGCACGCTCCCTTTCCTTACAAACAGCAAGAAAGAACGAAAGAAGAAAAGTGAAAGAAGGGGTATAATTCGAACGGAACGCGACCACCTCTACCCACTCCGGCCACCCACAGCCCAAACAAGATCAAAATCGAAAGCAGGGAAGTCGGGGAAAAGGGGCCACTTTTGTCGTATGCCATTGGGAGTTTCCGTTAATAAGATGAGAAGGCGGGATCGTGAGGCATGGACGGCGAGACTAGGCTACGAGCTTCGCACGCCTACCATGCCGTTGTTTGCGCTGGGGTTGGTGGCGAAGGGGGGCGAGGTGGAGGCGCTGGCTGAGGGGGGGAAGTCCTGATTTTGTGTGGTTAGTGGATGGACGTTGGGGTTGACAGTAGTGTTTTGGACGGTTGGGCTTTGAGCGAGGAGGTGTATGAGGAGCATGGACGTTAGGCATGAAGTAGAGCATACGCATATTATACGCATGTTCTCCCTTCAAGCCAAACGAGCTCGCCATGCTTCTCTGCCACCAGAAGCCGTCGCGCAAAAGACCGGGGATCAAGAACAAAAGCCAGTCGGGGTTCGAGAGCTCACCTTTCGCATCTTCTGCCTCTTGGCCCCACCTCCACTCCCTCTCCTCCCGCCCGTGGAATCATCCATACCCCCAGTGCTGTACCCATCGTCGTCATATCCTTCCTGATAGCCCGCGTAGCTGCTCTCGTCGTACCTCCGCTTCTTGCCAGCCCGATCCGGCCGAGAGGCGGAAGACAGATGTGCGTGTGGGGAGGACGGGGCGGAGTTGCGGAGTGCGCCCGAGGGTGTGGTTTTGGAGAGAAGGTTGGAGGCGGCGGTGCGAGGTACGCCGAGCGGACCAGATGCTGTTGCGCTTTGAGGGGAAGCGGCGAGCTTGGTGGGATTCATTAGAGTCGCGTCGTCCAGGCCCAGGAGGTTCTTCCATCCGTTGTGCTCGCCTGCTGGCAAATGACCGGGTCGCAGGTCCAGCGCCGTGCCCAATAAGGCTTCAATCTTCCCGATCGCGCTGGCACCTTCGTCTGCTCCCAAGAGGGGCGGATCGGCGAACATGCCCCCGTCCCACGCTATCCGACCGTCCGCTAAAGGCACGTCCCAGCCTGGGTCTACTAGACCATCCAAGATCCCTTCGGTTTTGCTGGCCTTGTTACGACCTTCCAAGCCCAGTTCCTTGACTTTGCCTTCATAAGACTTGCGCAGTTTGTTAATCTTGGCGCCCGTGACGGGGTCGCGGCGTGCTACTGATGCCTGCAGGCGGTTGAGAGAGTAGAGTGAGATGAGGTCCTGTGACGGGTGCGGTGCGGATGGAGGGACTGCTGTTGGGCGAGGAAGTTTAGTCAAGCTGATACAAGATCTGTAGCCGCTGCGAAGCAGGATACTTACATGAGGTGTGCAGTTTGTAGAGCACATTCGCAGAAGGCAGAGCGGAGACGGTGTCTTGCCGCTCATGGTCGCTCCGTCTGTGCTCGGCGTCCGATTCATCTGTGCCCGCCATTGGCACGTCGCGTGCGTCCGTAGAGTCGATCTGAATTGTAGCGCGCGGCGCCTGTCCATCACTGTCGGAAATACCCTCACTACTCGCACCTCTCGCCATAATCTGACTGTGCAGGCCGGCGGTGCTGGGCGGTGTCGGGAACGTGACTGAGCCCGCAGTGCTGCCCGCATTACTACCCGCCGCGCCCAACAGCCCCAAGCCCGGCAATTGCTGCGCCTGTGCTTCCGGCGACATGTGAACGCTCGGCGGGGGTGTTTGCGGGGGTTGAGGAGAGGTGGCGGAGGCTTTGGTCTCGCTTGGTAGGGATGGGGAATCAGGCGAGTAGGAGCGGCGCTGTCGCTTGGGAGAGGGGCCTTCTTCGTCGTCCAAAGGGGAGTTGGAGGCGGCCCGCTTGGGAGTCGCCATTGCGGTGAAGGTGTGGTGCGGTGTAGTGAATGTAGACGTGAGGATGCGCAAGCGAGGGTGTATAGGTGGATGGAGAGCAGATGCTCAACCCCCGAGAGCGTGCGGAATGCCGGTGGGTTCACGGGCGTGTTGTCATTCGGCCGTGGTCGTGCTGCAGTGAAGGTTGCAGAGGGAGGTTGCGCTGTCGGCAGTCACCACTCGATGGTGTCTCAATGGTCGTAAGGGAGAAGGGGAGAGGGGAGCGAGGGTGCGGAGGGAGGTGGGTGTGGATGTGATGGAACGAGGGCGCCGCTGATGAGGTGCGAAGAGGCGTCGCTTGCCGATCACACGCCCACGCCCTGCTCCTGCCCTGCTCCTGCCCTATTGTCCCGCGCCTTCGGGATCGCCCGCCGTGGCCGCTCTAGAAAAGACTAGCGTGCAGGGGTGGAGTAAGCGAGTCTTGCCGCTTTGGGATTTCGAGAGACCTCACATCTCGACTCATCACAGCGGCTGGACGCATGTAACAAACAATTTAACGCGGTGGCGCACATTATCTCCGCCATCGCGGAGAGACAACAGCACATAATGGAGAACGGGACAGCGCCATCCGCCGCGACTGGTGCAGGGCCGAGCAACGGCGGAAATCAATCAACCTCCGCCAACCCACCCATCTCCGCCTCATGGCCTCGCCCAAACGCAAATCCAGACCGACAGTCTGCCCCCACTACCACAGCGCCCAAACCAGGCGTAGTCCAGCCAAAACCCCAAGCCCTACCCAAACGCACCGGACCCAGCACCATCATCGTCTCCCCCCGGCAAAAAGGCAACCCCGTCCTGGCCAACATCAAATCCGTACCGTGGGAATACGGCGACATCCCCGCCGACTACGTGCTAGGCCTGACGACGTGCGCCCTCTTCCTCTCTCTCAAATACCACCGCCTGCACCCCGAGTACATCTACACGCGCATCAAGGGCTTGCAGGGCAAGTACGCGCTGCGCATCGTGCTGGTCATGGTCGACATCCAGAACCACGAGGAGGCGCTGCGCGAGCTGAGCAAGACGTCGCTCATCAACAACGTCACGCTCATCCTGTGCTGGTCGTCGCAGGAGGGCGGCAGGTATCTGGAGTTGTTCAAGCAGTTTGAGCATGCGACGCCTACTGCTATTCGCCAGCATCAGTCCCCTGCTTACTCCGATCGCATGGTGGACTTCGTCACGACGCCGAGGAGCATCAACAAGACGGATGCGGTGAGTTTGGTGTCGCAGTTTGGGACGCTGCGGACCGCGGTCAATGCGAGGCATGAGGACGTGGCGGGTATCGCGGGGTGGGGTGAGAAGAAGGTGGAGCGGTGGTGCAAGGCTGTCAGGGAGCCATTCCGAGTCCAACGAGCTGCGAAGAGGAGCGGCATCTCGAGGGAGGCGACGAGGGAAAGTGTGCCAGACTCAAGGTCTGGCTCGGCGAGTAGGGAAGTAAGTGGTTCTCCCGCCCCTGCTGCACACGCCACTGCCTCGAACGCAACGCTCGCCGCTCCCAGCCCTTTACGGCGGAGCATAAGTGTGAGCGAGGAGCAGCCTAAGACAGCAGACGCCGACGCAAGGCCGCGGTCTAGGCTTTTCGAAGAAGAGTCAATAGACGAGGACGAGGCATTTGCGGAAGCCGAAGCGGCGATGGCACAGACCTCGCGAGCGCCTGTCGTCCCTAAACCAGCAAAAGACTCACCGAAAAAGAGGAAACCGGACGACGATCCGCTGAATGACGGAGTGATGGCAGCTTTGAGCAAGTTACGAAAAGGCAACGGATGAGTGTCAGGGCTCTTTGAACAGCTACATCATACACTTTTCAATGAATTGTTCGTCTCATATCATTTCAGCTCCAATCGAACCCCTCTACCAACTTCTCTGCAAAGTTCGCCAGTTTCAGACATATGTGATCCTCCTTCGGGACGTTCTTCCCACCCAACTTCAGCCCTGTAACAGGGTGTCGAGGGAAGTCATCGGGAATGTCGAAGTCCGCCGAGTGCCATCGATGCTGCCGATCCGACATTTGCCGTGTCAAGCCCAGGAAGTGAGCGCAACACCCAAACTCGCCGTTGCCGCCAGCACCGCCCGCATCATCTAGAGGTCCGTACACCTCCGCCCTCACCACCTTCTTGGCCAAGCGTCGCCACTCCGCAGGCTCGAGGGAGACGGAAAAGGCCGTCAGACACGTGCCGAGGGAATCGGCATGCAGGTGTGAAGTGCTAGTCGACAGCGAGCTGAGCGGGAGACTCTTCTTCTCGCCCTCGCGTTCAGCGCGCTCGGCATCGGCGGTGATGCGTAGCAGGATCTTGCCGAAGCGCTCGGCGATGGACGTGAGCAGTGTCCCGACGAGCTGCGTGTTTTGCACGCCCGTGATGAACTTCTTGGGGCACTCTGTGCATTCGAGAACTTGGGAGGCGGTGGTCATTGCTTCGCGGAGAGGATGCAAGGAGGCGGGAAAAGGGAAGGTGGGGTCCATGCTTGACAGGGTGGAGAGGGTGAGGTAGAGGTTGGAGAGGCAGGCGCAGGTTGGGAGGCCGGTGAGGGAGGGGTCGAGGAGGAGGGCGGAGGATGTGTCTGTGTTGGTTGGTGGAGGGAATCGAGTAGCTGTGTTCTGGAGTTCTGGTGGGAGAGTCAGGAGGGGAGGAGTGGTGGCGGGTGCGTTGTTGTGGGTTAATGAAGAGCCACTGTCGGGCGTGAGAGCTGGGACAGGCCAGTTCCAGTCAGCTGCGTCGGGTTGTACGCCAAGCTGAGTCTCGAAAGCTGTGTTCCAGAAGGCATCGGTATCGGTGTTTCCGGGCCATGCTACGCTCGATGTGGGATCGCTCGCATGCTGGCCGCCATCGTCTTCTTCCGCCTCATCTGTCCTGCGTCTCTTCTTCGGTCGTCCCATTCGTTTCTGTGGAGAGTAGACGCAGGGGATGTTTTCGCGTACACATCGAGAGCATTGTGGTTGTTCCCCGGGACACTTTAGCTTCTTCGTTCCTGGCGCCACAACGGATTAGATGAAATATGAGGGGGAAGAGGTCAATGTGAACATACTGCACTCGTCACAGGCCGCCCTTGTCTTGAAGGCTGACATGACACTGCCGCCTACGGTATGAGGACCCGCCATGTGCCTGCTAGTCTTGCAGGCTCTGCATATGTTTTCGCTGCGCCTTGTATTCGGATACAAGAGGGCGTCAGAGCGTTGATGGTAAGGCAGGCAGAAACGGCCTCAGAACGGAGAAGTCATGCTCGCTGTCTTTCAGCCGCGAAAGTTGAGAGTCAGACGTCTACGTCAGGTACCGAGCCTTGTCTCGCTAGACTGTCCGCATTGGGCGAACGATGTGCGCGGGGCCAGCCGGACCCTCGAAATCTTGGGTTGGTGGAGGGCATGGAACACCACCTCTACTTCTTCCTTCCTTCGTCACTTCGAGCTTCCACCGTGTCCATGAACAGACTGCCATCCGACAAGAAATCGGTGTCAAGGCCCGCAAAAGCACGACAGTCATCTCTCCGGCATTCAGTCCATCATACTACCGCACCGGCATGAGCAAGGTACCAGACGCCTGGGATGACGACTGGGAGACTCTCGCAGACGTACGCACTCTTCCCCAGAAGCTTTGCATGAGCGGACAGCATTGACCATATCGCAGAAGTCAAAGGACAATGTAGCGCCACCACCAGAATCCGCGCCCAAACTCAGCCAAGCCCAGCGACGAGCCCAGCACTTGGAACAGCAGAAGCGGCTCTGGAACTCCGCCGAGAACCCTGACCGCTTCCACTGGCTCGAAGCACAAGGCGCAGTTCCTCTCAAACAGGAAATCAAACCACAGGTGCAGCTGCTTAGTCGAAAACCCGTGATCGCGAAAAGAGGAGGGATCGGCGGGCTGAGTCTGGAGGACGGCGACAGCGATGAAGAGAGTCGCAAGCAGCGCGAGGCAGAGCTCGAGGAGCGGCAGCGAAAAGCCAAGCTGGAAAGAGAAGAGAAGCAGAGGAAGTACGCAGAGGCACGTGAGCGCATCATGGGAGCCCCCAGTCCCGCTCCTGCCACCCCTGCTTCACGAGAGAGTTCACATGGACGCGATGGTCGGAGAGCGAGGGTGAAGGTGAACGGGAGGCAAGAGAGTCAACCTTCTTCATCTGCCGACCAATCGCCAGCGCGGCAAACCGGCGGTGACAAGCAGTTGTTTGACCCGGATGATATGGGTAGACGATTGCCCAAGCGGGAGACGAAGACAACACCACTCGAGGAGCAACCGGCTCGACAACCACGCGGTCCCGAAAACAACGGCAGAGGGGGCTTTGGATTCGCTGGACGCGGCGGCAAGACCACGGCGTGAACGTTTGACAAGCGTGTGAACTACCCGATCCATGAAGATCAACAACGCGAGGCCGTTCTGTCAATCCATCCTCACAGGCCGTGGAGATTACACATGCAATCTGGTGCCAGCCAACGAGTGTCCTATCGACTCCGTCGCCGCATCACGAAATTCTGGACAGCAGCAAGTCCGGCCATCTTGACCACAATGGGCAACTGCAACAACCGTGCAAGCGGCAAATTCCACAAATCGAATGGAGACACCTTCGTATCGAAGAACATCCGAGTCCTGAAGATCTGCGAAAGTAGAGTCCACCTCATCCTCTTCGCCGCGGAAATGAGCACGTGTTGCAGCAGATGAAGTGTATTTTCCAGCCCGGCCAATCGACATCACCCGGCTGGCCAAACTCAAACCGGCAAATCCGTCAGCACTTCAGTAGAGCTTATGAAACACGACCTGCATCGAGTTACATCAGCCGCGTCGCAACTCGATCCACGATTGATCGTCCGCGTGGTGCGTTCGTCGCATGTGCCGCCCGTTGGAGTGTGATGGGCTTGTAGAGTCCCAGCACGAACGCGTTCCGCCTGCACGGCCGCAACGGGAACCAGTCCGTGAAGGGCAAACGCCCAATCATGCCTGATACGCTCTTTGTCCTCAACCCTTTGCTCGGTCCTACTGGTTTCTTTCAAAGGACGCCACGGGTGGGTGGCACCCGGCCTGCGAGGCTTGACAGATGCTTGGTTGCTTCTTTGACAGTTCCGCCGGCGTGGCTCGGCTCCCTCGGGACATGGATCACCTCGTGCCATGTCACTGGTGCGGCGCCTGATTCTCACGCATGATTTGGCATGTATGCTGCTATGCGCGGCTTTTCGGTCATCACCTCTGTCCTTGAGCGTGAATGAAACCCTCGACGGGGCCCCGATGCTTCCACTCTTTGCCTCCTCATCATCCTCTTCCACCCCTCTCTTCCCTTTGTTTTGCTTGATCTTCGACGACAACGAGCGCGCACCCTTTTCGATCTTGGAATTCCATTCCTGAATCAAGCCTCGGATACCACATAATCCTTTCCTTCCTAGGCGACACACACCCGTCCCACCAGCACACCCATGCTCTTTCACTCCTATCGAATATGCCGTCCTTAGCAATCCTGTCCACTCTTCTTGCCCTCGCCGTCGCCTTCCCACTCAACAACCCACCAGCACCACAAACATGCAACGGCGACAGCCGCCTCTGCGACCGCCAATACTCCAACATCACCTTCATCGGCGCCCACGACTCTCCCTTCGTCGGCACCCCCGACAACCTAGCCGCCAACCAAGGCCTCGACCTCCAAGCCCAACTCGCGGCCGGCATCCGCTTCTTCTCCGCGCAGGCGCACCAGAATGTACTAGGCCAGCTCGATTTCTGCCACACGTATTGCTGGGAGTACGACGCCGGGCCCGTGACGGACTACCTCTCCACCCTCGCAAGCTGGCTCGACGCCAATCCCAACGACGTCGTAACACTCCTGCTCGTCAACGGCGGCTTCTACGACGTCAGCCTGTACGCCGCCGCCTTCGAATCCACCAACCTATCACAATACGCCTACGCACCCAACAAAACGCTCCAACTAGACGAATGGCCGACCCTAGCCCAAATGATAAAAGCCAACACCCGCCTCGTAGCCCTAATGGACTACGGCGCCAACACAACCACAACACCCTACATCCTCCCCGAATTCTCCACCTACTACTTCGAAACGCCCTACGACACCACCAACCCCCTCTTCCCGGAATGCAGCATCAATCGGCCGCCCGGCGCGAGCGCGCAGGGGAGAATGTACGGCATGAACCACTTCCTCGACCTCGACGTGCTGGCCACGGGCATCGATGTCCCCGATAATGCGCGCGATGTGGAGACCAATGCTGCGGAGGGGCCCGGGAGTATTGGGGCGCAGGCGGAGGTGTGTGCGGGGTTGTATGGGCGGTATCCGAATTTTGTGCTTGTGGATCGCGTTGCGGTCGGGGAGGTGTTTGTTGCGCAGGAGAGGATGAATTTCGCTGCTGGGCGGTGAAGGGGATTTTGTTTGGGAGCTTTTGGGGGGGTTGAGAGGGAAGATACCCACGGGTTCATGCTTTTGTTTTTTGAGATTGCAGTGAGTCGCTAATGGACAGGCTTTTGGCACTTTCTATCTGATTTCCTTATTCCTACACGAGTATATCCATCATCCGCTTAGAAGATCCCTAACGCTCATTCCGCCTCCATTGCTGCGACTTGCACCCCCGCTCTCCCCCTCCTGCTGCCCCGCCCGCCAATTCCGTCGATCCGTATTCAACATCAGCAACGCCGCCGTCGCCTCTCGATCGAGCTCCTTGTCCGTCCGCCGCCGCTTCTCTGATACCTCGGAGCCGCTGCTGTCGATTATGTGACGCGAAGAAGGGTACGGCTGGGAGTCCAGAGGTTTGATCGCCGGGCTGCCGAGGCCGATGTGGTCTTTGGCTGTACTGTAGGAGGAGGTGGGGTATAGTTGTGGTCCGAAAGCGGGGGACGTTTGGTTGGAGTGGAAATAGGGGGAGTAGCTGGGTTGCGAGGCGGCGGAGGAGATGGAGTAGTGGCGTGCTCCGGCGCCGAGGGAGAAGGCGGAGGGTGAGGTGGTTGTGGTTGTTGTCGTTGTGGTGATTTGAGAGAGTGAGGGTAGTGAGATCATCGAAGCTGAGCGGTCTTGGGGTGCGGTGGCGGGTGTTGAGACTGTGGTTTCGCCTTGCGGTTGTCCTTCGTCGTCGTCGTCCTCGTCTTCCATTTCTTCGTCTTCGTCCTCGTCTTCATCGTCCTCTTCTTCTTCGTTCTCCTCCATGCGCGAGTGTGGAGCCACACCCGCTTGTCTTGGAGAGCTATGCTGTGTTTGGAGATCTGCTACACACCGTTCCAAGTAGCGTAGGTAGTCAATGCTCGCCTACAGATTATCACTCGATGTTAGCCCTTCAGCGACGATCCAGCAATGCAGAAGAACGTACCTGTAAGATGGCGAGTTTGTGCATCTCCTGTCCTTTGCACGCCGGAATCATGTCTTTGAGCACGCCAAACTCCTCGTTCATCTTTGATCTGCGTCGTCGCTCAATAAGACTATGTGCAGTTTTGCGAGCGATCTTACGCCCTGCTGCGGTGGTGTTTGAAGTGTTGCGCGACTTCTTGCCGCCGGACTGGGAAGTATTCTGTGCCTTGCCGCCGCCGTTTTGGGAAGTTGGCGTGGCTTGCGACGCGGACTGGCCGTCTTGTTCGGTATCTTTGGGCTTCATCTGAATAATCTTCCTCGATCTCGTGGGTGGAGGAGGTAGTGAGAAGTCATCTTTGGTGATGGTCGAGCCAGTCTGTGACGCTGTCCTCTTCCTTGTCAATTCTGCAGGAGATGAGGGCGAAATAGGTCGGTAGGAAGAGTCGGAGCCATTGGCGGAGGGGGTGGTAGAAGTCGAGCTTGGGACTTCATGGTCTTGCAAGGCGGTAGGAGGGAGGTTGAAAACCGGCGCCGTATTGGCACCCTCCTTCCCTCTCAAGTCGCTTGACGAGCCTGGAGTAGGCGGGGGGTTGGGCCTGGGCATGTTGCCGTCTGACACCCTGCTCGGTCGGCGGGCGTAGAAGAGATGTTCGGTGTAGGAAGACACGTTGGGCGAGGGGAGAAGGGGAGAGGGACGGGGAGGAGGAGGGCTAGGAGACACGAGAGATATACTTGGCGGTGGCATGCATGCGAGCGTGCGTGGGTGGAGGGTGAGGAGTCCCGAGGGGAAAGATTGGCGGGTGCTAGAGAAGGGCACGCGACAGCGTGCTCATCATGTCCACCACGGTTGGTCTCTTCTGGCGGGCGTGGGTGAAGGAGGGAGGAATGCGCAGCCAATGGGAGCGGCTTTCGAGGCACCGTGCAGGTCGGGCACGTGCACTCAACAACTCCAATCATTGCCGACTTCACGCGGCTTTTCTCATCCTCGCTCTCGGCTCCACCACAATAATACGATGCGACTCGACTGCCTGAATAACCTGACAAATATCCCCGACACTTTCAATGTTGATGGCAGTCAGGGCGACACCCGAAAGACTGATGGGGGCACGTGCTGCAGGAAGCACGTGAGCAGCAGTCGCCTCGACCGCTACACTGAGGCATTGTCCTACGACACCCCACGGGCCTCCTCTGAGCTCCCTGTTTTCTGGAACTGGCAGTTCGAGATGACAATGAATGTCGTATGTCTGAAATGCTATTGGCGCGTGAGTCTTGGCCGACCGCAATGTCCCCGGTGGACAATCTAGTGTGCGCTCAGGCAAGGCTGAAGAATATCATTGAATGTGCGAGCCTCAAAAGGTGGGTGCTCATTGGAATAGGTTGAATATCGATCATATGCAGAGTAAGTGCAGTCTTCACGTGAAGTTGACGCCTCGTTGCCTTTCCACTCATGTCCACCTGGTCCAACCTCGCCAATTGTTGACGTCTGTCGCTCTCGTCCCCTTTAATACAACACCCACACAACTTGCACGATCACCCACACACGCCCTCCCACATCACAATGGGCCGTTGTACCACCAACCTCGCGGCTGCCGTAGCAAACGCCGACAACCTTCCACCCAAGGATAAGCTCCCAAACATCTCGCTCTGGGATGCTTTCCTCCCTCTGAAGAAAAAGAAGCCATCACCAGACAAGAAGAAGGTATGTCTGTCATACACATTGTGCATGACCAACGTCATGGTTTCATCGTCCGCGTGACCTCCGCAAAACCTCACACTGCTTCTCATCTTCTGTAACCACTTCCAACGTCAACACCTCACTTCTCACGTCATCGACACTATTCTGCCCATCATGCCTCCACCACACTTCAACTGGCCCCCTTTCAAACTCGTCCGCCTGGATGCTGATACTGGCAAGCCTCTCGACCCCAACGTGGGCATGCGCGTGTACCGCGAGTTTTACGACATCAAGAAAGACAAGCACGGCAAGAACGTGGTAGTTGCTCACAAGTCTGGCAATGGAGGGAGCAAGAAAGGGGAGGCTGCAGCGGAAGGTGGAGAGAAGAAGGACGGCAATGGGAAGAATGGCAACGGCAACGGCAACGGCAACAAGAACGCGAATGAGAACAAAGGTGGCAGCAAAAGCGGAGGTGAAGACAAGGGAGGTGAGAAGAAGGATGGAGAAGGGGATGGAGGAAAGGTGACTTGAAGACGCCGTCGTACGAATTGGGCTCCCACTAACTATTTGGAACAGAAAGGAGCCGACGACGAGTTTACGCCGGAAGAGGACGTGAAGCTCAAGGAAATGAAGGCCGAAAACAAGACCTGGGCGCAAATCATTGAGGTGCTAGGTCGCAACAAGGGCGTGCTTCAATCTCGTTTCAAGCAAATCCAGAAGAATGACGGGGAAGGTGACGCAGGCGCGGCCAAGAAGGACGAAGGCCAGAAAGAATCAAACCCCAAGGGCGACAAAGGCGGCGAGGGCAAGCAGGGCAAGCAGAAGAAGAAAGAGAAGAGCGAGGAGAAAAAAGAAGCGCCCAAGCCTCCTAGCAAAGCACCCTCTCACAAGCCACCGGTCAAAGCTCCATCCAAAGCGCCGTCCAACAAAGCGGGCAATGGAGAGGCTCGCTTCACTATGGGAGAGTGGATGACGTTACAAGAAGACGACCTGTTCAGTTTCGGGGAGCTGCAGTGCCTGTCGGAGTTGATTATGCGCGACGAGCAGCTGCGATGGTTGAGGATTGCGAGTGCTTTCGGCGACAAGACGGGCAGGCGCGTGCACCCTGAAGATATTCGGGAGAAGTTCGAGGAGATGGGCCGTATGGGCTGATCTGGCTATGAGAATCAACGGCGCAGTGCGAAGCTGGGCCTTGGTGGGTGGGAAGACCTCGGGGAGGCATTTCAGAAGACGCCACAGTCGAGACAACGTTTATGAGTTCTTCACAGCCAGGGCATACGAATGAGGATTAATAGTAGTGGTGGTGTAACGAATACAACGAGCCCCCTGAGAATCGAAGTGAAGTCAAAAATGTGCCAAGCCCGGCGGCGATCATTCCGTCCTCCGCGCGTTTCCCTGAAACTCCTTTGCCAGCTGGGCACAAATTCGTGAAAGTGTCACGCGTTGTCTCCCCTCTTCCTCTCCATCAACCATCCACTACCTCGACCATCCGCCATAAGAGGTATTTGCCACCATGGCGGTCCTCACACACCTCCTCACCGTCCTCCTCGCGTGCTCAACCCTGACCCAAGCGCACAACATCCTCCTACGAGCGCATTCCCGAGAATGCTTCCACGAGACGCTGCATAAGGAGGACAAGATGACGGTCACATTCCAAGTCGGAGACAGAGAATTCTCAGGGAGCGGGAACCTTGATGTTGACTTCTGGGTATGCAAACACCTTCCCAATGGCACACGCGATTCAGTCAGGAGAAAAGCATGGAATCGACAGGAGGGCGTTATCATGGCATTGCTCGCGACCCCTTGCTAATACAATGCGTGCGTGCCATAGATCCAACAGCCATCAGGTGCATACCAAGTCCGCCAGAACACCGTCAGCTCTGGCGACCATACCTTCGAGGCGCCGCAGGATGGCCAATACACATACTGCTTCAGCAACGAGCACTGGTCGGCGAACAGCAAAGAGGTCAGCTTCAACGTTCACGGCATGGTCTATGTGCCGGAACACGAGATGCCATCAGATCCGCTAGAAATAGAAGGTATGATTCTCCCTCTCAACACCCCCTTCTCTACCTCCGCTCGAGCCCTTCACTGACGCATTTCACCTCCACAGTGCGCCAAATGTCCGACCTCCTCGCCCAAGTGAAGGACGAGCAAGGCTACATGGTCATCCGCGAGCGCAACCACCGCAACACCGCCGAGTCCACCAACGCGCGCGTCAAGTGGTACAACATCTTCCAGCTCGGCATTGTCATTGGCGAGGGCTTTTTCCAGGTGTGGTGGCTGCGACGCTTCTTCGAGGTCAAAGATCCCAGCCGACCTTCTTATAACAAGGGCGCTCTTGGCTGACTTGTGGGTGCGCTTTTGCAGGTCAAGCGAGTGGTTTAGAGTACTCTATAAACGGAGATATGGGGGTTGCTGTATGAATAGCTGGAACTATGATACTACTTGTCAATCCCTCCTTTCATCTCGTGCCTGTCCAGAACCTTTGTGTCATGACAACACGATGTTCTGCACACCAATGCCGCTGGATAATGCCCGACGCGGTTCTCTCATCCTCCACTGCATGCCTCACATGTGACTGCCCGATTAGGCAAGTATACCGCTTAGTCACCCAAAAATTTCGGCCGACCTCAGTCGAATTTCAGTACGGCGATCGATCCCCTCCACCACACTCCTCACACCTCTCGAACCAACGAAAACATGAAGGTCGGCAAACCCAAATCCAAGCGCGTGCCCGTGCGCCTCCGACAGAAGATCCAAAAGGCTTCGGCAGCCAAAGACCGCAAGCGGCGAAAGGACGCAAAGAAGAATCCCGAATGGCGCTCGAGGCTGAAGAAGGACCCGGGCATTCCGAACCTCTTTCCGTACAAGGCGAAGGTGCTGGCGGAGATTGAGGAGAGTAAGAGGAGGAAAGAGGAGGAGATGTTGAGGAAGAGGGAGGTTGCGAAGGCGCAGAGGGCGGGGAGGGCTGTTGAGGTTGTTGTGCCTGCTGGGGAGACGGAGGTAGATGTGGAGGATGATGATGAGGTTCTCTCCGATGATGTGGAGGGTCTGGAGGAAGATGAGTCCATGGATGAGGACGACAGCAATCCCATGGCAGCGCTGCTCGCTTCAGCGCAGGCGCGAGCAAACAACTACACACAAGACGACGACGGCGATGACGACGCAGAAGAGGACGAAGAGGAAGAAGAGTGGACCGGCGTCGAAGAGCAGAGATCAAGCACAACCACCACATCCCGCCAACAGCCCAAAGCCCTCCCTAAACAAGCGCTCGCAGACCCCATCAAAAGCATATCGAAACTGCTGGAGCGAGTGCAAGACGCAGCAGGCGGCGTTCAGATCCTGCTCGACTACTACCAGATCCCACCGCTCGTGACGGCGGGGAGCGATCTGACTTCTCGCTTCCTCGTCGAGGTGGCGCGGAAACGCGGGCGATTGGGAAGGGGCGGTGTGCCTAATTTGCATTCCGCGGCGCTGACGGTGCTCGGTGATTTGAATGATGAGCGCTTGGTGCTGCCTGTTGCAGAAAAGAAGACGACTGCCGCAACTACGAAGGGCGACGTCCAGGTGGTGGAGCGTTTGGCGGAGCCCTTCAGGATTGAGGGTTTGTGGGGCGATGAGGAGGGCGAGGGGGCTATGGCGGTTGAGAGGGATGTTACCGTTCAGGTGTGAAGGACGGATGCAGCGAGATAAAGAAAAGCGTTGCGTTAAGCTCATAAATCGAATCGGAGATGTAGACATTAGGTCGTGAAGTTACGAATGATCTCTATAAGTCCATTCCAACGCTGTGTCCACACCATATCATTACCGCACTCGTAGTCCTTCTACTAATACACTCAACCCGTCGCCGCTTCAAAGTCCATCCAACCACTTCTATTGTGTATCCGGTTGTACTCTTTCTTTATCCTTTCTAGCTCTTGTCTCAGAACTGTTCCTTCACAAGTCCTTCCTCGCGAACGTGCTGTGATTCTTGCGCAGAGTCGCGCCATACTAAATCCGCACATCAGCATAGCTCGATCAAAGGGAGATGAAGAGGAACACACCTTATACAAGACAAACGGAATCGGGATGAAAGCAAGACTAATGAAGCCTAGCGTGCTGCTCGCCCACCCAATGCCGAGATTGGAGTACATGGCCGAGGCGAAGAGCGGGAAGCCGGCGCCGAAACTCGAGCGGAATAGGTCGTTGCCCGCCAGCACGCTCGCGGCGTGTTCCGGGTAGGCGTCAGGGAGATAGTTGAGGACGGAGTTGAAGAGAAGGAAGGCGCCGATGCCGAACCAGGCGGAGCCGATGATGGGCACGATCCAATGGATTTGAGGCATCGCGGTCCAGCCGAACCAAAAGAGACAGCTGTGAGATTGATGTGTTAGTCCCGAGCGTCTCGCAGGCGGGCAACACTTGGGGGAACTTACATTGGGATGCAAAAGCCGCCGACAAAGGCGGGCGGGAGGCGCTTCTCCGGCTGGATTTCCCCGTTCTTGTCGAATTGCGGCTCCACTTTGTACTTGAGGTAGGTGAAGAAGGGGGGAATGACGAGGAGGGTGCCGATGAAGAGTCCGAGGAAGGCAAGGCCTTCTTGGCCCAGCCCGAAGTGGTAGACGCCGATGAAGACGGCGACGAACGACTCGAACCAGATGTAGAGCAGGCCATAGATGAGGGCGATGTAGAGGTTGAGCATGAAAACCTGGGATGAGAGTTAGCGGGCTGTGCTGCAAGTTGATGTGGCTGTGGGAACTCACCATCGGCTCCAAGAAGTTCAGTGTGAATGGCCTGACCAAGGACATCATGACGATATCGTAGCCCGTCATCTCTTCTGACATCAATTCAGCTTCGCATTTGAGCTTGTCATCGCCGGTAATCTTGCGCAAGCGCTTGGTGCGGCGAACAAGAATATTGTTGGCGCTGGTCTCCGGCAGGAAGAAGAACAGAAAGACGAGACAGAAGCCGCTGAGCCACATGAGCTCCCAGATCGGCCAGGTCCAGGGGGCGGTGAAGCCGCCCTCCACGAAGCCATACTGAACGGCGAAGCCTCCAACCAGGGGTCCGAGAGTTGGGCCACTGACGGCAGCGATGCCCCAGATGGACATTGCGTAGGCGCGCTTGCTGGGACGCCAAATGTCGGCTAGTGTCGCTCCGCCGGTAGCCAGTACGGGCGAACCGAAGAAACCAGTCAAGAATCGGAAGGCACAAAGCATGCCGAAGTTGGTTGAGAGGGCCGTCGGAGCCTGGAATGCAACGAAGACTGCGAGCGTGGCGAGGTAGATGGGGTTGCGTCCGATCTGGGGGATTTCAGACATGGGAGCGAAGATCATAGGTCCTGTGCCGTAGCCCGCCACGAAGAGCGTCAAGCCCAGGGTTGCGGCGACTTTGGAGACGCCGAAAATCTCCGCCACGTTGTCGGTGCCGGCGGAGTATATGGAGGAGCCAATGTAGACAGAGGTGGTCAACAGGCAGATTTCGAAAGTGACAAAGACGCGCTTGAAGAGGCTCCAGTTCCTTGGATTCTCCGGGTCATCGTCGCCGTACCACGTGACAAGATGAATGTCCCGGCCTTTCTCGGAGTCGACGGGGACGCCGCTGACTTCGTTGATTGGTTCTTGACTGGACGTTCTTTGCGAACGGCTGGAAGCCAGTCTGGCCAGTCGTGGAGGAGGGAAGTGGGAGTATTGTGCCTCCCTGGTCCGGATGCCCTCTATGGGTGGCATGTCGTCGGGGTCCTCGGGGGGGTCGGTGCTGCCATGGTGCGCGAGATATGCCGACTTCTTCTCGTCAATGTATCTGGTCCAGACTGTCGGATCGGCCTCTTCGGCAAACTTGAGATATTTCCCGCGGGTGACGAAGCGGACCAGATGGCCAAAAGCCGTGTCCCGAATGAGCTCGGTCATGGCGTTTGGTTTGGAGTAGCCGCCGTGGTGGCTTTGAAAGAAGAGAGATGTCACGCGTCTCAAGGGCAAGAGCGTGGACAGACAAGATGAAAGAGGACAACGCGGATATAAGTAAATACGCGACCTACCACGGAATCTTTGTCTTCCCGACAGACCCAGCGCGAAAGGCTACACATCTCGCGCCTGACTGGAAGATTGATGAGATGCTGATGCGCTTCAGATGACGATATAATGTCCGAGTCATCGCGTCGGCTGGACCCACCCTCGCTCCCGCGCGCATTGATCCGGATGCAGAACGCACCCGGCAGCCGGCTCCGATTGCAGCCTGCCTCTACCTCTTGCTCCGCCGAAAGTCTTCTGCAGCCTCTACCTCTTTGCTCCGCCGAAAGTCTTTTGCAGCCTCTACCTCTTGCTCCGCCGAAAGTCTTCCGGCGATTTTCACCTCGTCTCGTCCCGGCCTGTTGCTCCGCCGAAAGTCTTCAGGGCATTCTCACGTCGTCTCGCCCCGGCCATTGCTAGCATCCGGTTCGACCTTTACTCAGCGGAGCCAAGCCATTCGAGTCGTTCAGAAGAGATGCTTGAATCTTCATCCCCTGTAACATTGCCGTCTCCGTGCATTTCTTATTCGTACATCAGACAGATGGCGACATGAGGTCAAGCATCGAGCGGCAATGCCAGATAAATGATGGCCGATGGCCTTGCCTTCTCGATTCATCTCTTGGATGGGCGTATAGTGTGCACAGGCAGCGCGATGCTCCATCGAGGACGATGGACGGAATTCTGGCAGTGATGTCATCCGGGGATGAATCGACTTCAAGCCGTCAATTGCCAGTGGCCGCTGCTTGCCTGCCACCCGAGTCAGGTAGTCCACCACCACGTCCTCAACACCCCAGGCGCTTCAGTCATGCACCAGTCCCTTCGGTTCCCGCGCCTGTTCACATCTGCCGGCTTTGCCATGCGCTCCACTGCCCGACTCTTCGCCCCGCACGACCACCTTCCTCATTCACTCCTGCCTTTCACGTAGCACGAGGCAGTTGCAGCGCGTCTCTATTGATCGACACCCGTAAATCAAGTCTCGTCACTCGACTCCGCACTCCAATGCAACCCACTGCACGCCCGCCAAGCCTTGTTCGGCGCCGTGTTCGGCATGCCTCACGACGATGTTCATACAAAACCCGTCTCATGCCGCCAGCTTGACTTCGTTGCACCCTTTTCACATCGACCCTTGCCCTTCTAACAGCATGGGTATCATCGCCTTGCTTTTATGCCACGCGCTCGCTGCGTTTGCGACTCCCATCTCCCTCGCGTCCACAAACTCCAGCCCACCCACAGCCAACATCAAGAATGGAACGGTTGCAGGTGTTCATCTGAGTAGCTATAATCAAGACGTCTTCCTCGGTGTGCCCTTCGCACAACCACCCGTTGGAGAACTACGTTTCGTCAATCCTCAGAGCCTCAACACCACATTCAATTCCACCCTCCAGACAACCTCTTACGCACCCGAGTGTGTTGGCTATGGAGTATGCGTACCGTTTCTCCTCTCTACATCAACATGCTAATGCCGGTGCAGGGTGACGACATTGGATATCCTTCCTCAGAGGACTGTCTGTATCTCAACGTCATTCGGCCCAGCGGCTACGAAAATCAATCTCTCCCGGTCGGTGTTTGGATTCACGGCGGCGGTCTGGTCATGGTCAGTCTTCCATCCTTGACCGGCGCATTTTTTGTTCTCTTGACTCATGCACCACAGGGCGGCACGCAAGACGAGCGGTACAATCTGTCGTTCATCGTGCAAAACGGCGTCGAGATTGGAAAGCCGTTCATTGGCATTTCCATTGCTTACCGACTCACTGCGTGGGGTTTCCTCAACTCGCAGGAAGTTTCGGGCAGTGGCAACACGAAGTGAGCATTATGCATCCTTTCCCGATTCTATGATTTGTGAGACAGCGAAGTGGAAGGCTGACAACTAACAGTATGGGACTTCGAGACCAACGACTCGCTCTTCACTGGATACAAGAAGTGAGTTGATGACGCACCGCCTGTCAGGAGGCAAGCTAACAGACGGCATAGAACATTGCTGCCTTTGGCGGCGATCCTTCCAAGGTCACAATCTGGGTTCGTACATGCTCCATCAACAGCCCCCGAGGAACTTCTAACCTTACTTCGACTCGCAGGGTGAAAGTGCCGGCGCAGGTTCTGTCGGATGGCAGATAACAGCATACAACGGCCGAAACGACAGCCTCTTCCGTGGGGGCATCATGGAGTCCGGTAACCCGGTCCCATACCAGAGTTACTGGACCAACCAAGAGTATCAACCGATCTATGACAGCCTCGTGAAGAACGCGAGCTGTTCCAACGCAACCGACACCCTGGACTGTCTTCGCCAAGTCCCCTTCGCGACCCTCAACAAGCTTATCAATACCACGTATGCGTCGAGTTGGCAGCCGATCGTGGACGGCGACTTTGTCGCGCGATGGGCGAGCATCCAGCTAGCTGAGGGCGACTTCGTTAAGGTCCCCATCATCGATGGTGCGAATACCGACGAAGGCACGGCGTTTGGGCCCAAGAATGTGCAAAATGTGTCCGACTTCATCGACGATGCTACTTATACCAACGACGAGGGCATCAGCCGCGTATGGGCGCCGGAGATCTTGGAAGCGTATCCCAACGTCCCGAGCTACTGGATTCCGCCCATCTCGGAAGTGCCTAATGTCACATTCCCTGCCATGTATGGCGCTCAGTACCGTCGTAGTGCGGCTTACTTTGGTGATATGGTAAGGCCTCCGTCCATCGCTGCCTACCCCTTTGCTAATGTCGTCTGCAGGTCATGATCGCCAACCGTCGAGGCACATGCGAGACGTGGGCAGCGAACGGGATCCCAGCATACTGCTACCGCTTCAACACCATCCCCGCAGGCATCCCTTGGGAGGTGGGAGTAACCCACTTCATGGAAGTCGCATTCGTCTTCGACAACATCCACGGCTACGGGTACAACGCCGCACACAACTCCACCGACCCCTTCCTCGACAAGCCGCAGAGCTACATCGAGCTCGCGAAGCTGATGAGCTGCTCGTGGGCCTCCTTTATCAACGATTTGGACCCGAATGGTTTCACTGGTAGGCATGCGAGTGCGGCGGCTTGGCCGATGTACAGCACGACGAACCCCCAGAATATCGTGTGGGACGCGAATGTTACTAGCTTGGCGTATACGGAGCCGGATACGTTCAGGAAGGAGGGCATTCAGTGGATTCTGGATCATGCGTTGGATTATCATCGCTGAGCTGGATTCAAGCCGTACAACTGTCTGCAGTATGGCATCAGATCGAGATTATAAATTCATTCATTGCTGGAAAGCCTCGTCCATTAGCAAGGCGTGTGCCATCTTGACTTGCGTGAAAACATCCCTGGCACGGTCGTGGTGTGCTGGTCCTTTGGGGCCCCGCGATCGGCACGTTCGCCTCCACGCTCCACCTCGTGTCGATCACACCCACGCACCTGTCCATTTCTTCAAAGATCGAAGCAGTAAGTCCGCAATATCCGATAACTCCTGTGAATTTATTATTAATCTCCAATCTACCTGTCCTCGTCGACATTGTTATTTCAACTTGACGTTGCACTCATCCCGAGACCTTTCTTCCATCTTTGACATCCTCACATCCCTCAACCAATCGAAACAACCATCAAAATGGGTTCCACCGAAAACGACCCCATCGCGCAGTCGATGGCCGATACCAAAGCCGAGTACAGACGCCTTGGGAATAGCGGGCTGAGAGTGTCGGTGCCCATCCTCGGAGCAATGAGTTTCGGATCGACTCAATGGGCGCCCTGGGTGATTGAAGAAGACAAAGCCCTTCCTCTGCTCAAAGCTGCTTACGATCGTGGCTTGAACACATGGGATACTGCGAATGTACGACGAAGTCCTCCAATGAATTGAAATGAAATCGCAGCTGAGGCAATCATGCAGATCTACTCCAACGGCGTGAGCGAGGAAATCATCGGCAAAGCGATCAAGAAGTACGACCTGCCGCGCGAGAAGCTCGTCATCCTCTCCAAATGCTACGGATACGTAGGAGAGGGCCCGGGAGTGCGCACCATGGCCCACGGCCCCAAGATCGCCGAGTCCAAAGACTACGTGAACAAAGGCGGTCTTTCTCGCGGCGCCATCTTTTCCGCGGTCAATGCCTCGCTCAAACGGATGGATATTGAGTATATGGATTTGCTGCAGATTCACAGGTAAATCTTTGCTGGTTTGCTGCACTCGATATGATTTTCAAGCTTACATCACATAGATTCGATCACGAGACGCCCATCGAGGAGACCATGGAGGCTCTGCATGAGCTGGTCAAGTCAGGCAAAGTGCGCTACATCGGAGCGAGTTCGATGTGGGCGCATCAGTTCGTGATGATGCAGTCTGTCGCGGAGAAGAATGGGTGGACGAAGTTTATCTCCATGCAGGTAAGATCTCGCCCCCTGGTGGGTAAATCGATTTGAGCCGCGCTAATCACACGTACTTCACAGAACCATTACAACCTGCTGTACCGTGAGGAGGATCGCGAAATGAACCCCTACTGCAAACTCACCGGCGTCGGTCTGATCCCCTGGGCCCCTCTGTGCCGCGGTCTGCTCGCTCGCCCGTTCAAAGACAAGGGAACCACTGTGCGCTCCAGCGGGAGCCAAATGTTCGCCACCGGCGAGACGAAAGCGGACGAAGAAGCGATCAGCCGAGTAGAGGAACTGGCCAACAAAAAGGGATGGAAAATGTCGCACGTCGCCTTGGCCTGGACCAACAAGCGAGTCACGAGTCCGATTATCGGCTTCAGCAGCGTGGAGCGAATGGACGAGGCGCTCGACGCTCGTGGCAAAATGCTTACGGAAGAGGAAGAGAAGTATTTGGAGGAGCCGTATGTGGACCGGGCTGTGCAGGGCCACAAATAAAGCGGCTTTGGTCGTGCTGATGAATGGGAGGATGGCTGTTGGCTGGCTAGCACGCCACCGCCACTTTCGCTCCCGCGAGACAAGGCTGATGATATGAGGACAGTACCACTCCGCACCGAGCATTTTTCGCTCCCACTCGGCATATATAGCTGTCACTTTCTCTCGTTGACAGCCACAAAACCGAACTTGATTTTACACCATCTGCTTTCTCAAACTCGCGCCTAAAAGCCTTTTCTCCAGGCCGCACAGCAAGCAAGAAGACAATGTGAGTTGACCATGCTCGGCTTCGCCGGTGAGAGACTAACAGAGAGCAGACCAAAGGCCAAAGACCAGAACACTCCCAGAAATGTATTTACGTACAGCACTTTTCGCTTTGTTGGCGCTTCTCTGCGCCTTTGCCCATGCACGGCCAGCTGACTCAGGCGGTGATTTTGTCGTGAAGGAACATTTGTACAACTTGGACCCGGCGTGTCAGCTATTTGCGCCGTCTAACAAGACGCAAAACGCCCGCCTTCACATTGCGTTGAGTTGGCGAAATCAGGACCTCCTGGAGCAGCATCTCGCCGAAATCGCGGACCCGCTTCACCCTCAATATGGCCAGCATTTGTCGGCGAAAGAAGTCTCCGATCTCGTTCGGCCTGCGAGCGAAGACGTTGCACTCGTACGGTCTTGGCTCGAGGAGTACGATGTTCCAGCCGATTCCATCGTGCTGAATCCACGATCGGACTGGCTGTCTACCGTTACCACCGTTGGTCAGCTGGAGAGGCTGTTGAACACTACATTCAATGATTACTACTGCGAGAAGAAGGCGGAATGGGACCGGTCGATCATAACAGAGTACTCTATCCCGCGATACGTGGATGGGCGTATTGACCTTGTCGGGGTAAAGACTGTCGAGCAAGCTGCTGCGCCGCCCGACAGCCCCCGAGGACGCAAGAGAGCTATAGAGAAGAGGAGTCGAGAGGCGGGAGGAGCTCCTGGCCGAGCACAGCGCACAAAAGCCCTTTCTCAAGGCCTTGCTGCAATGCGAAGAGACCAAAGTGAGTTGTCCATGCCCAGGTTCATCGACAGCAATCTAACAGAGAGCAGACCAAACGAACCAGATCAGCGAACGCAAGCTGGTAGCAAATGACTGCTCCGATGGCAAGCAAAGCGACCAGACGATGGAGCTGCGGTATACATTTGCTGACAGCCACGGTAGGGAACGGAACAACCGCATGCCTCCGTGCACTCTACGGCACATCCGACTATACGCCGCAGGCTCTGAGCACTAACCGGATCGGAGTCTTCAGCATGATGGACGATAGCCCTAATTACGCCGACCTCGCCATATTCATGAGATCCAGCCGTCCAGACATTGCTGAGATGAGCGTGGACATCATCGACATCTCAAATGCCACTAACGACCAGAATGGACATCGCGAGGACATGGTTGGGTTAGAGGCTGCTATTGACGCACAGATGATACTAGGCATCGCCGCGCCTACGAAGCTGACCAGTTATCTGGTTGGAGCAGAATCCAACAACTATATTGATGTTCTGTCGATGGACGAGTATCAACGGAAGGAACTGACATCGAACTTGTACGAGACTAATAATACGCGAGCCTGCATATTCCCAACACTGCTGACGACTTGCGACCAGTGACGATGGCTTCTTGAATTGGATTGACTACCTACTGAACCAAGAACGAGTCCCGCCAGTCATCAGCCACTCCTACGGCGGGGGTGAGAACTCCGGAGGCGAGCAATACGATAGACGATTCTGTGCTGGCATCCTTCAGCTCGCGGTCCGCGGTGTCTCGATGATCTTCGCGTCGGGGGATAATGGCGTGGGCACGGAAAAGGACTGCCATTCACTTGCAGACCCGACCAAGAGGGCGTTCTCCCCTAACATGCCCGGGACGTGCCCTTGGGTCACCGTGGTGGGAGGTGAGTCTCACCACTTCGGGAGTCGTTCTGAAATGACCACTGATTTCATCCCCATGGGTATAGCCACAGGGGGCTTCAACACGCAAGTTGCACCGTGAGTCCACGGATTGAAGGAGGAGTTCTTCACACGCAAACAGACCACGTTCTAACTCCTGAACGCAGCACGTGGTATGCCTCGAGCGGTGGCTTCAGCAACGACTTCGCAACCCCCGACTGGCAAGCAGCAGACGTTGAAACGTACATCGAGAGCCTCAACGGCCTGCACGACGGCCTGTACAACAAGCAGGGCAGAGGATACCCCGACGTTGCTGCTCAAGGGTACGTGGGCTCTCCAATCCGTTGCTCACGGTACGCATGCTTACAACAGTCCCCATCAGAGAGCTAAACGATATAATTATGGACGGGCAACATTTTGAGGGTGCCGGGACGTCGGCTGCCGCGCCGATTTTCGCCGCTATCATCGCCCTTGTCAATGATGCGTTGCTAGCGGACGGCAAGCCACCGCTCGGCTTCCTCAATCCGTGGTTGTACACGACGGCACGCAACGCGTTCACTGACGTGACTGTGGGCTCGTCGTTTGGTGAGCTTGATCCGCGGACTCTACGCTTGTGTCATGAACTGACAGACTTCTAGGGTGCGGGACTGATGGCTTCCCTGCGCGGAAAGGGTGGGATCCCGGTGAGTTGTGTCCTCTGATCTTCGCAATTACTCTGATATTTTTGGTACTGACGCTCTTATAGTCACCGGCCTGGGCTCGCCGAATTTCAAGCTGTTGCTGGAAGCTGCGTTTGAGCCTTATAAACAAAGATCGAATCTGACTGCGGGATGAGGGGTGCAGGAACGCCTGCACACAGTGTGACGGCTACAACAAGGCATGCGTGAAGGAAAGACCGGGGGTTTGTACAGGTCAGATGAATTGTCTAAACGAGGTCAATGGTGAAGTGAATGCGCCATGATAACCCGATGCATTGCTGAAACTCGACTCAAACCGGCAGATGCTCAAGCACCTTCATGATCGCTCGTGCAATGATGGGCTGTTGGTCATGTCAGCATCGAATATGCCCATCCGTCGAAGGTTTCAACTCACCACCTCTACCCTCTTCGTCCCACTCGATCCCGAGCTAGCTCCACCGCCCAGCACCACCGCTCGACTGGTTCCAGTGCCGGTGGGTGAATTACTCTCAATCACAACCCCATTATTACTTGTAGAAGAAGCGGTTGCGCCAGGGGTCGTCGTGACCAGTCCTCCAGTAGTCTGAGTGGCAGCCGAGCCCGTCACAACCCCTGTTGTCTGAGATCCTCCCACCACACTCCCCAGGCTATTCAACACCCCAGAAGTTATCGATCCCGTAACGAGGCCTGTACAAACGGAATGAGAAGGACAGCAAGCCACATTGCCGTTGTCGTCGGGTGTGCAGATGGCTGCGTTGGCGCAGCAGAGTCCGGGGGCGTTGAGGTTGGTGCAGGCGTGGAAATCTGTTGGACACTGACCGCCTCCTGCTCTTCTCCGCAGTTCTTGTGGAGGATGGGGTGTGATGGTGTTGGTCGTGGGGATTGGCTGAAAATAGTCGGAGAGCCGGATGGGGAAACTGATATCGGAGAAATATGGGAGATCGAAGGCGGCCGTGGTTGTTGCTAAGCTGAATAGCAAGCCTTGAGGGAGAAGATGGAGGAGGCGCATGGTGCTATGGTGTTGCGACGTCGGCCGTGTCTGCTGTGCCCGTGAGATTGGAGAGTTCTTTATCTCAGCTCCATGGTTCTGACAGATGAGGCGGTGTCACTGTTCTTGACCGCTTGGCTCCGACACGTAACGCTCACATAAGTTGCCTATGCTCCGAGGTGGGGTGTGGAGCGTGACGAATGGGGTGTTTACTTATGCGCTGGCCGGGGGATCATGCAGCGGCCCGCAAAGCCTAAACCTTAATTCCAGCTCCATCGCCTCGACCGGAACAAGTGCCCGGTCAGTGATGAACATTTTCCCTAATAAACTCCGCGAGACACCTAGTAGAACGTTGTGTCACTCATCCGAGACCCGATCAGGCCGATAATCCTGTTTTAATCAGAAAACTCCTCGATATCACTACGGCGGTTAACACGTGCACCGGAGCTTTCTCGGCAGATTCAGGAGCTGGATCCCAAGGTTCGATGACCACGACATGGCATAGTTGCGTCAAACTCAGGCTCATTGAACGACGGCATCATTTAGATCTTCTTCACTCGCTAGAGTCTGCTTTTGACACTTGCGTTGCTCGCTTCACATCGCCCGCCTCCCTGATCTCACCGTTCTCATTACGCACTCATCCAGCGTTCACTCACCAGCGCTCACTCACCCAGCGCTCACTCACTCGGTGTTGCATTTCGTTGAATTGGCCTCGATTACCTTGGCAATCTTACCTGTTTCACAACAATGGCACAAAGGACCTACTCCGATCCGAAATGGTGGAAAGAAGCTGTCGTCTATCAAGTCTACCCAGCATCCTTCCTGTCCACCGGCTCGGGCTCGATACCTGGGTGGGGAGACATCAAAGGCATCACGCGCAAGGTCTCCTATCTCAAAGACCTTGGGGTCGACATCATCTGGCTTTCACCCGTCTGCAAATCTCCCCAAGCTGACATGGGCTACGACATATCTGACTATACCGACATTGACCCCCGATATGGTTCACTCGACGACATCGATGAGTTGATCGCAACGCTGAAGTCACGAGGCATGAAGCTCATGATGGATCTTGTGGTGAATCACACAAGTGACCAGCATGCCTGGTTCCTGGATTCGAAGTCCTCCAAAACGGCCGACAAGAGAGACTGGTACATTTGGCAGCCGGCCAAATACGATGCTGACGGCAATCGTCAGCCTCCGAACAATTGGGCCCAGATCTTGGGAGACGCAAACAGCGCCTGGACCTGGGATGAACATACTCAAGAGTACTACCTCTCCCTTTTCACCCCGGAACAGCCTGATCTGAACTGGAGAAATCCTCAAGTTCGGGAAGCAGTGCATGATGTTTTGAGGTTCTGGCTGGACCGAGGTATCAACGGCTTTCGTATGGATGTCATCAACGTGATTTCCAAAGTCGAAGGATATCCGGATGCTCCTGTGCAAGACAAGAGTGCCAAGTGGCAGCCGGGTTTCATGCACTTTGCCAACGGGCCACATCTTCATGAATATCTGAGGGAGATGAGACGGAAGGTATTGGCTTCATACGACACAGTCACTGTGGGTGAGATGCCGTGGGTCAACGACGAGGAGGAGATCGTCAAAGTGGTTGGAGCGGAGAGCGAAGAATTGAACATGATCTTCATTTTCGAGCTGATGGATATGGACAGCGATACCCGCAAGCTGTCCATTGGACCTTGGAAGCCAGCTGACTTGCGACGAATCGTCAGTAAATGGCAAACAGTCATGTACGAGAAGAATGGCTGGAACTCCATCTTCATCGAGAATCACGACAATGCACGCTCCGTCAGTCGCTTCGTTGATGACTCAAAACAGTTTCGCGAGCTTGGAGCCAAGCTGCTGTGCCTTCTCGCGACAAGCCTGGGAGGAACTCTGTATGTCTACCAAGGGCAGGAGCTGGGCATGAAGAATGTCCCGGAAAGCTGGGAGATTGAGGAGTACCTGGACGTTGAGACGCGGAACTTCTGGGAGGCGATGCAAGCGCTGCACATCGGTGACGAAAGCGCGTTGCAGGAGGACAAGAAGATTGTCTCGCGGAAAGCGCGAGATCATGCGAGGACGCCAGTGCAATGGACCTCCCAGCCGAATGCCGGATTCTGCGAAGAAGGCACAAAGCCATGGATGAGAGTCAATGACGACTATCTGAAATGGAATGCGCGTTCGCAGCTCGCGAATATGGAAGGTCAGAGCGTCGTGCAGTTCTGGCGACACGCTTTACAGCGGCGGAAGAACTTCAAGGACGCTTTTGTATATGGCGCTTTCGAGTGTCTGGACAATGAACATGAGAGCGTCTTCGCATTCAAGAGGACGAGCGCGGAGAACGATAATCTGTGGATGGTGGTCCTCAACTTCTCTGCGAACGAGCTGCAATGGAACCTTCCGAAAGGCCTGCAGGTGCATGGGTTCATCGAAAGCAACTACGGAGATGCACCGATCGAGCCGAAAGACGGGAAGGTCAGACTGCGAGCTTGGGAAGGAGTGCTTGGAAGATGCTTCGTTGAGTGATGTTCCTTCCGGATCTGCGGGCTTGCGACTGCCTGCAGCCACCACTCCTTCCGACACTGCACGCAGCAACTGCCCTCAACGTGTGCTTACATGGCTTCTGAATCTCTTCTTCTTCCTCCCTTTCTCTTCGCATCATCTTCTCTTCCTCTTCCAACATCCTCCAAAGCCAGCTTGCTTCTCTACACCATTCCCACAAAGCTTGCCTTTCTGCACCATCTCCGCTGCACAATTAGCCATCAGAACTCCTTCGAGCGTCTTCCTCACCGGCATCTCCTCCAGTACAGCTCGTGAGACATGGCCGGATGTGAGTGGCACCACCACGCAGTCACATGCTTTTTGCACTCAGCCAACTGACGCATCTCCCAGCCAAATCCATCACCCACCCCGACCAGAAGGTCACCACCCCGGCCAGCCCGACGGCCGCTAGCCGTGAGAACGACCGAATGGTCGCCGATCCCGTTCTGGGTCGATGTGAGTTGCACCACCGCAGAGAAGCATGCCTTTTCAATCAGTTCACTGACGTGTCTTCCAGGGTCCGCAAACCACGCCATCACGTTCACCTGGACTCGTGGTTACAATCGTATGATCGCCCCCGCCACCAAGACTGTGGACGATGGTGGCCGCCATGTTCACACCCCTCAGCTGGTCGAGATCGGTACCCGCCAGTTCACCATGACGGCACCCACTCAGACTAACCTGGGGACGGTGTACGTGATGGACAACCCGGTCATGCCCACCGTCGCTCCCACTTGTAATCCTGGCTCCCGCATCGACGGTGCAGTGGACACCTACCAATGCAGGGTCGAGCAATGCATGTGGAACAATTGGATCAAGCCGATCAACATCACCACTGCAGTGCCCGTGGCGACGTAAGTCCCTGCGTCCGAACATCATGACGATGCCTTGCTGACCGAGCGTTCACATCCAGAAAAACCACGGGTGGTCAGACCCTGACTCGGTTCAACACGCACATTACTGAGCTCCGTGGGCCGCACTGGGGCATTCCCGTCACCAGTGGCGTGTACTATCCCACCACGTACACCTCCATGGCCCGAGGCACCAGGACGCAACAGATCATCGTCGCAACTCCGGACTGGATGGATTACAATTTCACCGTGTACCACGGGAAGCCACCTTGCTACGATTATGACACCTGCTACGACTTTTGCCTTGATGAAGACCGCGACATGTACCCCATCATTGGTCCAACCAGGTACCCCACCGCCGCGATCGATTTCGAAAATGGTGATGCATGGTACATCGCAGCTTGTGTCGCCGCCGCCTTCATCCTTCTGCTCGGCTCACTCTGCTGCTGTGCAGCGGCCCTCCGTCGCCGCCGCACCAATTCTCTGTCGGAGAAGCTCGGCCGCAAACTCACGCAACTGCCCACCGAGATCATCGTCAACCAAGCCACCGGCACCGCCGTGGATACCGCTACCGGCCAACCCGTCGATCCCTCCACTGCCACCGCAGTCATCAGCGGTTCCGCCGCCGGGGCCGAAGCCGGACGCAAGCAATCCACCATGACCACCAGCGGCAACGACGATGGCAAAGGCACCTCAGCCCGCCGTGCCGAAGAGGGTCGTGGCCGCGTCAACTTCGAAGATGGTGGCCGTCCTGGCAACGAGGCCCCGCCGCCCGAGCGTACCACCGTTACCGAAGTCGAACCTGCACCCCAGCCCGCCCCAGCCCCGGCCCCGGCCCCGGCCACCGAGACCGAGCGAACAGAGCGCGTGGAGACCAAGCCCGCCGGCCAGACCGATGGCACCTTCGACCTCGCTACTACCGGCCGCCAAATCCTCGACACCGGCTCCATGCGTGGTCGTAAGCGCGGCCGTGTTGAAGGTGCTGCCAAGGGGCCTCCCTTTGGCTTCTAAGACATTGATGCATTGTCCAACACTCGACTGGTTCACGACTGCTTCCGATGATTGGGATGTCGGCATGGGCTGACGAGGAGATGGACGTCGACGGAACCCCCTACTTACTACTCTTCCTTGCTTGCATGCTTTGCTTTCTGCTTCTCTCGCCGGCACCTCGGGACTTGCTTCTCCACCTACTACACTCGCACGAAGGGAACATGATCATGATGCATGACGGAATGGTCTCACGATGGTCGAGGGTGTTATGCTTGCTGTGTTATTCCGATGCTTACCTTGCTTTTCTGTACTGATTGTATCGACTTGTTGCATTCAATTGACTGTCTCTTCCACTTGTATTCGTGTCTGTGCTGCTTAGATGTATGTCACTGAGGTGGCGTGTTGATTGGCATCGCCATATCACCGTCGTCAACGAAGTGTCTCTACAGTAGCCGCCGGCGCACTTTTCTCATGCAACCTGTCACATCGAAGAACATACAACCCGTACATGACTCTACATCCGATTCACCCTCCTCCGCCTCCCACCCCTTCTCCCCTCCCCCTCATCCCCAATCTCATCCACCTCATCCTTCCCCTTCTCCAACCCCAGCGTCCCATCCTTCTGCACCTTCAACTCCCTCGCCTCAATCCCCCAATCCGCAGGATCAACCCAGTCCTCCCCATCGCTCATCTCCGTCACCCAGTTCCCCTTCCCATCGTCCTTCATATGCCCCTCCGCTTTGCAAGCCTGCAACACAGCTTTGCGCGTGCGGTCCGCGCGCTGCAGACCCGCGTACAGCGTGTCGAGCATGCGGACGATGTTCTCTTGCTTTTGGACGTAGAGGAGGAGCAGGCGCCGCGACTCTTCTGCTTCTGGGGCGGGGAGGCCGAGGTCGCGGTCGGGCAGGGCGGAGGCGGGGGTTTGGAACCAGGGGTGGATTTGGGCGGCGGAGGCGGAGTCGCTTGGGCTGGGGGATTGGGAGGGGGAGGCGATGGGGGAGCGGGCGCGGGCGCGCGTTGTCATGGCGTGTTGGGGTTGGTTTGTGCCGTTTGTTTCTTTGCCGGAGTTGGAGGTTACTTCGCTGGCTGCTTCGGCGTCTGCGGTGGTGTTTTCGACGGAGGTCAGCGGTTCGCCGTTTGTGTCTTTTGTGTCGGTGGTTGCTTGGTCTTGTGTTGTGGTCGCGTCTTCTCCGTTTGGAGCGGATGTGTTTGTCCCGTCGCGCTCGTTCTCGGCTGCTTTTGTATCCTTCAGGTCACCCGACTTCTCCGCAACAGCTTGCTGCACGGCCATGTCCGTGGTCTCGATGCCATTCATGTGGTCTGGAGCCGTGCCATTGGCGACTGGCGCAGCGGCGGCTTCGTCGACGCTCGGCGCAACCTCTGAGGCATCCTGACCAATGGCCAGACTCGGAGCCGCGCTCTCTAACTCAATCGCCGCGTCGCTCTCCACACCATAGCCCTGGAAGAGCAGCAGGTCGTCATGCTCGGTTTCGAAGACGTCACAGGGCACCCAATCCGCATCGCCTCGGAACCTTTGTAGCAATCTTTTAGCCTTCCACAAGCCCGCTCTTTCCTTCCTTTGCATTTCTGCCACCTCGTCAATCATTTGCACCAGAGCCTTGCTCTTGAAAGGTTGGCTGAGGGTTGGATGGTCGGGCAGCTCGCTGGCGGCGATGAGAGGGCGGAGGAGGATGGCGAGCGACATGGACTCGGCGAAGGGGTCGTCTTCCGCGGGCTCGGGGATTCGGCCTTGCGCCTCATCGTCGCTGTTGTAAAGTTCGCCGTCTTCATTATAGAAGTTTGGGGCGGTGTGGATGGTGTTGCGCGTGTAGCCTGCATGCGTGACTGGTTTGCGGTAGGCTCGCAGACCGCCGGTGGAATCGAGATGGCCGCTCTGCACGTATTTGGCGCGCCGCTGGAGTTTGTGGCCGCGATTTGTGGGCGCGTGGATGGAGGCATCGCTGTCGGAGTCTGAGGGGGAACAAAGTCAGTAGGGTGGCGTGGTGGTGGGTGTGATGGTGAGCGGCGTACCGTCTGCTTTTCGCTTGAGCGCTCGCTTCACCCCATGCAGCGCCTGGAGGAACTGGGCCTGCTGGGCCGACATGGTGGATGTCGCAGAGGAGTGGGCTATTCGAGACGGTGGGAAGTAGTGTAGGTGGATGTGGTCTGCGCAGCGAGTGGGAGCAGGGTGGCAGGTGAAATGCGCGTGGTGGTGTTGGAGGAGAGGCAGCTGGGCGTCTCTCTGAAAGTCTCCCCCGGACGTCACCGCGGAACGAAATTCCGCCCGCCATTGATGCTGCCTCAGGCTGCAACTGTCACCGCCGTCATACATCAACTACGAGCTTCACATCACTCACCTCACCTTCCTTTCAAGACTATGTCAGTGTTCTTGTCCTACATGCCGCAACAGAGCGTACTATCGTACGGGACGTACGACTCCGGTACTGGACACGAGATCAGCTGTGGCTCGTGCAGCTCCAACGCGCACAGTATGACGCGAACATGATCACCTGCCGTACTCTTCACACATGATGATTGTTGGTTTATTTAACTGCAAATCACTTGTAAGCAGCCACAAGGGCAATTGAACAATGCAGCATCATGCCCCTCACGCTGGCGCAACATTCGAAGGCTACTACAGCAAGTTCACTCTGCCTTCGGGAGCACAACTGGTGGTGGTAATCTCAAAGATCAACCAAGTGAAGATCCGACCGAATGTGCTGTCCTTGACCTACATTCCCCATGATACCCGGCCGATGTATCAAACGGAGCTCTTCATAGATGCTCTCGACATGCGGAGAGTAGCCAAAGGTGGCAACGCCTTCATCCTCGACATGCCTGGCATTGGCTTTGCCAAATGGGACGAAGATGGGAGGATGGAGTACAGCCTTAAACATGCCGCCTTCTCTCTACAAGCGCAGACGACTAATCGTGTACCTTGGTCCAGTGAAACCGACACCCCCGAAGGCCCTTTGGTTCACTTACCGCTTCCACTCCATTGGCACGTCCAATCCTTCGCATCGGACTGCAATTTCAAAATGAACATCTCCGATTACGACTGCCCCTCGGAAGATGCAGCGGGCGAGGCAACCGTCCACCAAGAAAAGAACTGGGCCACCGCCTTTCCAACCGCGCACATGTGGCTCCAAGGCCGCGACGGTGAAAAAGGCATCTGCTGCGCCGGCGGCGAGATTCTAGGCATCAAGGCGTTCCTGCTCGGCTACAGAAGCAGCGATCTCAACTTCGACTTTCGCCCTCCCTTCGCCGTCCGCATGCTGGGCATCGGCCCCTTCATGTCCTACAGCATGGACTGGGAAAAGCGCACCTTCGATCTCAGCGTCCAGAGTTTCAAGCGCAAGATTGCCATCCATGCATCGGCACCTGTTGGCAGCTTTTATTCTCTCAGTCCGCCATTCGCTGAAGGACATCGCGAGAACTATCTGGGCCAGAGTCTGCGCGCCAAGATTGAAGTCAAGATCTACGAGAGCGGTTGGATTGGAGCGTGGCGGCTGGTGCGCGAGGACGTGTTCGAAGGAGGTGGGCTGGAGTTTGGTGCGGGATATTATACTCCTGCAGGCACTGAGGCAAAGTTCAACTGAGGTTCTCGCGGAATCTCGGTCTTATCACGTTATCGATGATTGGCACGGCGCATCGGAGGCCCTCTCAAGCTGGTTCCGAAGATGAGGAGTGACAATCGGCACCGGAAAGCATTTGCAGCCGGCAAAGCCAATCCCGAGCGAGGAGATGGTGCGCCTGCCAGCGAGCACCAATCCAGCTTCAGGCATATGTAATGACGAGAAGCGTTGGTTCCATGGGACGCGAATTTGAGCGGTGAAAATTCCAAGTGCTCAACCGAACCCATCTTGCCATCATCACCTCATCGCAGCACTCGAAGCTCATCCCAAATGCAACAGATATGAGATATCACTACTTCCCGCTGCTCCGCTCGATGGTGCTGGCGTTGGGGCTGGTCACACGGAGGTGAGCTCATGCCCAACAACATCGACACATAGACGAATTAATGGTTGAACTTCAACAGCCTATTCTCACCCGTTTCAACTGCAACACCAGATTGCACAATATTCCATCTGCCTGAAATGCACTCGTTGACCCAAGCCACGTGCACTCAGCATCAGTCTACTCGTACAGTGACTACGCAAATCGATTGCAGCGGCTGTGTGACGAGCCCAATCGGCGGCCCCGGACCGGTGAGAAGTGCACACGAGTGGTACACATGATGGGGAGTGTGCTGATGGAGATCATAGGTTGTTCGCTGTGGCACTTGGGTGACTCGACCGACTACGACGGTCACGGAGACGAAATGTTTGTGAATGGAAAAGTCACGTAAGTTGACCCCTTTCGCTCTGCATGAGGGTGTCTGATGTAGACAGTAGTGCACCTACAACGACTCCAATTCCGATGTCGTCCACGACTACTACGAGCGCAGCTCCCACTCAATGCCCAGAAATCGTTGGCGCTTGTCCTACCAACGCGGCTCCTATTACCAAGGGTTGTGAATGCTCTCAGGGTGGCTACTTTGGGACTTGTTCATCAGACGGGACCTGTGTGACTGAGGAATGATTCGGGCGGTGTAGAGGAGACGATAGGTAATCGGTTGGCCGCCTTTTAACATTCAACCCGGCGGGGTAGAAGAGCTCAACGACGACGTCGAGCTGGCCCCACGTTTCTGTGGAGAAAGACCCTGAGCATCAGGTATATATTCTTATCTATCGCCACCTCCTCTCCTCTCTTCTGCATCCCATTGCATCAGAAGACCAATCTCTGCAAACTCGTAATCGTCTTTGTCCCGATCCCGAGACTCACACAGGCTAACCCTCCCTCGAGACTCCAACCTCACCAACCCACTGTACGCATCATTCACGATGAGGCACACGATCAGTCCCAGCTGGGTAGTGTCCCGAGAAGATCGAGGTATTTTCATAATGCAATGCAAAAGCATGGCCGGTGGCACTCCGATAGTCCGACGTCATCCTCCACCTCACGCTCATTGATGGCGCGGGAGAGGATGGCGCGGACCGCGAGAGTGACCTGAGATCATACGGCATGAACTTGATCATCTGGATAATACCAGCGAAAGGATCATGCTTTCATCTACCCATCTGACCCGTAAGGGACACGACTAACTTCTGCAGTGATTGAATCCTCGAAACCATGTCTCCATCCGCCGTGATCCAGCCCGAGTCCATCTCCAACGGTCGCCCCGTTCCTGTGGCATCTTCGAAGCTCGCTTCCCTCAATGGATCGGCCAAGTCGCAGACCATCGAAGAAATGGCGGGCAACTGGGACGACTTCAGCTTCGCCCACATCCGCGAGAGCCAGGTGTCGCGCGCCATGACCCGACGCTATTTCGCCGACTTGGACAAGTACGCCGAAAGCGACATTGTCATCGTCGGCGCCGGCAGCTGCGGACTGTCCGCGGCATACTGTCTGGCCAAGGCGCGTCCGGACCTCAAAATCGCCATCATTGAAGCTGGCGTCGCTCCCGGCGGTGGTGCATGGTTGGGCGGCCAGCTCTTCTCCGCCATGATCATGCGCAAGCCCGCCGATGCATTCCTGAACGAGCTTGGCATCCCCTACGAAGACGAAGGCCCGACGTCCAACTTTGTCGTCGTGAAGCACGCAGCCCTCTTTACCAGCACTGTCTTGTCCAAAGTCCTGCAGTTCCCCAACGTCAAGCTCTTCAACGCCACTGCCGTCGAGGACCTCATTACTCGCAAGAATGCTTCCACCGGCGCCCTGCACATTGCCGGCGTCGTTACGAACTGGACCCTCGTCAGCATGCATCACGACGACCAGAGCTGCATGGACCCCAACACCATCAATGCTCCCGTCATCATCTCGACCACCGGGCACGATGGTGAATCCTCCCTAGTCTCCTCCCCAATCCGACCAACCAGCTGACATTTTCCTCGCAGGCCCCTTCGGCGCCTTTTCCGTCAAACGCCTCGTCTCGATGAACGTCATTCCGTCCCTGGGCGGCATGCGCGGGCTGGACATGAACACTGCCGAAGACGCGATCGTCAAGGGGACGCGCGAGATCGCCCCGGGCCTCATTGTCGGCGGCATGGAGTTGTCCGAAGTGGATGGCGCAAACCGCATGGGTCCCACTTTCGGTGCCATGGCGTTGTCTGGCGTCAAGGCTGCCGAGGAGGCGCTCCGTATCTTTGATCAGAGGAAGGTGGAGTGTGCCGAGTAGGCTCATTGAACTACTCCGTCGAGAGAGATGACGAGTGTATGCTTGGATCCTCATCTGGGTGTACGCCATTGTCATGAAATCGAGAGGGCTGTCATTAATGAATCAAACTACCTCTACTTTTGGCATCTCTATTGTGTTCTCCTTCGGCCTGGAAGAACTCACATCTACATGCTCATGCGAGCTGCACCTCTGGATGTGCCGTGGTACTAAAGCCTCCCGGCAGAGAAACCTCCAACAGAGTGAAGTCTTTCGACATGTCATTCAGACTGGCCTTGTATCCCGGCGGAAGGGTGTAAGCATCGCCCTCCGTCAAGCTGTGTCGACCATTGTCTTGAACTTGAAGGGTGCATGATCCTGACAGGACAACTAGATGACTCTCGCGTTAGCAATGAAACTCTCCGGTCTCAGGGTTCTGATCCACTCACAATCGAACAAAATATCCGCATCATGACTGCTCACCGCCCCCCCTTTACCCATCCCCATCACAGGTCTCACAACATTCACGCTCGCCTTTCCCTTCGTCCCCGCCCTCACTCCCGTATCCCTCGCCTCAAAGCCCTCCACCCTCCAATTCCCCCACACCGCATCAACAGCCATACTCCGCACAAACCTCTGCCCCTCCCACTCCCTATCCCCGACCACCTCACTTCCATTAGGCAACACCATCTCATGATCAATAGTCGTAAGATGCTCCGCCGGAACCCCCACCTCCACAACCTCAACCCCGTCCCCGGACTCCAAAACCCGATGTCGAATCCCAGGCGGCTGAATAACGCAATCTCCTCCGCGCATAATAAACGCCGGCCCTTGGTCCTCATACACCACGCGCACCCACCCTTTGAGGACGAATATGAGCTGGAACCCGACGGTGTGGAAGTGAACGCGGTCCGGCACGGGCCCTGGGTCCGTGATGCGGATGTGCGAGGCTATGATGGAGCCGCCTAGGCGCGTGGGGATCAGGTCGCGGTAGTGCATTCCCGCCCGGCCGATGATCCAGGGGGCATTGTCGAGCAGGCGCCGGGTGGAGAATGAGTGTTGAGTAGGCGGGGAGGGGAAAGCGAGGGTGGAGGGGTGGAATTCGACGTGCACGCCCGAGGGGGAGATGAGGCTGGGTTGTTGCGGGGGCTTTCCTGAGTGAAGGAGGCGGATTGTACTTGGATTGCTGGTTGGAGCTGCGCCGGGTGATTTAGCTAGGCGCAGGCGCAGACCGTGGCCTGACAAGCAGGCTACGCGAGGGTCGTCGGCGGGGAAGACGTGATCCATGCGGAATCCGAGGGCAGAGGAGGTCCAGAAGTCGAGGTCGGCTGCTATGTCCACGGATAGGAGCAGCACTTCGGCGGATTCAATGGCCATTATTTTGTGAGGGCGGTCGAGCGCGACTCTCCTGGTTGTTCGATCACTTCAACCAAGCTTTGAGAAAATTGCATTGGCGGTTGTGCGAGATCGTTGGAAGTGTATGTAACGTAACGTAGTCAGCGAAGCCTACGCCTTCGAATTTCAGCCGCGGCGTCGGCCCCTTCCCTCGTTACCAGCATGCCCGACAGCATCGCCTGGCAATACGCTTGAGTGTTTCTTTGTTTCCAATAACAATCTTGGACAATGCCTGACAAATGGGACGTGTCCTCCCATAAACTAAGAGGTCACCGGAGACAAGGGCTAAGATGTATTTCAGGCACGGAATTAAAGCCAGCACGAACCGTTCCGAGCTTCACTCTGACTGCATGTTTCTCTTCGTACACTGCGTACACATGTGATATACCAATCTCTATCTCGTCCCTCATAACTTTGCCGTCTTTACCACCCCATCACGATGCCAATCCCCCGTCATCACACGAACGTACTCCTCGCTCATCAATCCCTTCTCCCGCCTCGGCACAGCAGCCCACTCCCTCCTCTCCGCATCCTCCATCATCCTCCACCGCTCAATCTCCGGCCCCAACCAACCCACAGCAGCGTCAGCAGTCTTCCCCGTAACTTCCATGGGAATCAAATGTCCAATGCCAGCGAAGCTCACACTCCGCACCCGCCCCTTCTTCGCACCCCCTGAACCTCCCACGCCTACGCCGGTATTGGCGAGTCTGTCCGCTATCAGCACCGGCTCGGACATGTGTGCTCCCGCCGCCGGATCGCCGAAGATGTAGAAGACGCTCGGCCGCAGGTGGGGCAGTTGGAGGAAGGTGGAGGTGAGGTAGGGGTTGTAAAAGGGAGAGATGGGGCCATGGGCTGGGTCCGCGTCGGGATGGGTTAGGTAGTTCGGTTCAGTGCCGGGAGTGGGGTTGTTGTGGGTTGGGTGATTGAGGCGAATGAAGGTTAGCACTTCTTGGTGTTTGGTGGTTGTCAAGGTGACGGGTTTGTCGGCGGGAAACGATGTGGCGGAGCTGGGATCAGCATTCAACGCTGGGGTAGGCGTGGATGTCGGGGAAGCCTGAGGGTGTATGTAGGTGGGGAGATCGCGCAGGCCGTATTGAATCCATTTGTCGAGCACTCGAGGGTCCCAGGCTTGGTAGAATTTGGAGGACTTGAGCTTCTCTGCTGCCGCTTGTCGACTCGGCCAGAGATCTCTGCGCTTGACTGAGGCTTGAGCTGGAGAGAAGTTGCCGGCGCCGGGGGTTCGTTGGATTACGGGATCGATCAGGATGAGGGTGGTGAGGAGTCGGGGGTGCATGATGGAGAGATTGACGAGGTTGTTGCCGCCCATGCTGTGGCCGATTCCGATCAATGGCCGTTTCATGTGTTGGCGGAAGTGGTTGACCATAAGAAAGAGATCTCTTGGGTGATCCGCCCATGATGCTATAAATTGTGAGCGTTGCGAAGACTTAGCGGAGCATATGCGAAGACTCACGATCGTTGCCCAGCTTCTCTTCGTTCAATACGCCCGAGTGACCTTGATGGGCGACGTCCGCAATCCAGATACCATGGATGTGAATGTTTCGCTTTGCAAGCCGTTCGTACAAATCGTCCCACAGGGGCTCGTACAACTCCTTCGGCATCATTAGCGGGTTTATTCGTAGACGAACTGTACAACGAGCGCATACCTTCGGGAAGCCATTCGCGTGCGCGCCAATGATGGTGATTTCATTCTTTGCAGTTTGAGCCCTCTTCCGCGGCGTGTACTGCTTGATCGCCAACTGCAATACATCTCCTTGATCATCGGAAGCAAGAGTTCGTGCGTACTCGCGAATGTGACATGATGGGATGGTGTGCTCGTGCACCTTGAAATGGGCCGTAGACATGCTCAACGAGGGGGGACGCGTTGATGTGCTCTACAGCGGCCTGACGGAGAGCGTCTACGATGGCTTCATAGGAGAAGAAGATATGTTAAAACGAGACTCGGCAGTTGAAGCAGCCTCGTAATGTCGAGTGAAGTCGGGATCTAGCCGAGGCAGTTGACAGGATGCTGAGTCGGGCTGGTATCAGCACAGTAACATATTGTGGTGATATCAAGTCAGCAGCATGGATCCACTCAGTGTTCAGTTCGTACGAGGAGCCTATCGTTCAAGTAGCTCGGGAACTTCCCAATCACAAAACAATATACATTCATCGGCGTAGCATTGTATTGAAAGTCACGTGTAGTAATGGCAGCCTGCGCCACAAGCCGTCCGCCACGAAACGTGACTTCCGTGACGCCTTCGCGTTCTCTTGGCGTTCCTGCGCGTCACCCCACCTGCCAAACACTTCCGACCGCACCAACGACACTCTTATCAACAACCAACATCCCCAAATCCATGCCTGCATGACCCAACATGGCAGAGGAGACAGAGAGCAATGCTGGGCTGTTCCACGACGTGGTCTTCACGTACATCCCGAGCGAGGACTTGCCCGGGCAGCAGGCACAAGGCGTAAGTCACCAGCGTCGTATGGAAGCATGCAACTACCCATGAGACTAACACACGTGCAGCTCGTCACGCTGGTCACTCAAGGCCAAGGCAAATATATCCCGCTCCGTGAGGACAATCAGCAAATCGAAGACCTGACCGCCATCACACACATCGTCTCCACCCACATCGAGTTTCCTCAATACGACACCGCGCTCGCAAAAGGTGTGCATGTCGTCAAGCCCTCGTGGATCATCCGAAGCGCCGATAAAGGTCGCCAGGCGCAGATTCGGCAACACAGCCCCGATCCCAGCCAGTTCTTCCGCGATGTTGTCGTCACCACAGCCAACTTGCCAGAGGGAGATAAAGATGCAATCATCGCGGGTGTCATTGCGCTTGGAGGACAATACAGTGGTGCCCTTAGCAAGCTCGTCACACACATTGTCACCAGTGATACTCGACACGACAAGTGTGTGCTGGCAGTAGACAAGAAGTTGTCCTGCAAGATTGTTCTCCCACACTGGTTCGACGACTGCTTCAGGCTTGGACGCATGATCAGCGAGAAGCCGTACACCTTTCCCGACCCCGAACTTCTTCGTGAAGATGCCCCGAAGAGGGTGCGCGACTTTCCCTCTCCTCATCTGGATGGCGCGCTCGTTGCCACACCGACAGACATGCCCCAATCCTCTCCTCCACCTTCGCCAGCCAAGATCCGCCAGCACTTGAACGCACTTATGAGTCGCAAAGTGTTTTTCGCCAAAGACCTGCAGCTCAGCAAACACCTCCACCAAACGCTGGAAGGTCTCATCAACCATGCTGGCGGCACACTCACGGACGACGTACGCAAGTGCGACATCTACATTGGCCAATATCGGGATGGATCAAATTACATTCAGGCCTCGCAAGATGGCAAGATCGTGGCCAACCTTTCCTGGCTGTATCTCGTGATCAACCGGAACAAGTACACCAATCCACTCAACAAACTCCTTCATTACCCGGTGCCGAGGAAGGGCATCCCCGGCTTCGAACACATGCGAATCAGCATTTCCAACTACACCGGCGACGCACGCATCTACCTTGAGAATCTGGTTCGCTACTGCGGTGCCGAGTTCACCAAAACCATGAAGCAAGACAACACCCACCTCATCACCGCGCACACCCAGAGCGAGAAGTGCGAGGCGGCACAGGAATGGAACATTCAGATTGTCAACCACATCTGGCTTGAAGAGTGCTACGCAAAGTGCTCTGTGCAAACCTTAACAAACGACCGCTATCGCTGTTTCCCCGCCCGCACGAATCTTGGAGAGGTGCTCGGCCAGACGATTTTCGACACCAAGAGATTGGAGCAAGTGTATTACCCTCGGTCAAATCAGTCGCCTCAGAAAATGGCCGCAGTTCCAGAGACCTCCCAAAGGAAAGTCTATACCGCCGCGGATGGAAGATCACCAGCCATTCGCGTTGATGAGGACATGGAGGATGATCAGCCGCAGACCGCGAAGAAACCTCGAGGACGTCCGCGAAAGACAGCAGCTACACCACGCTTGCGAGACGATGAGAAAGAGAATGAATCTCCATCTCTGCACAGCAGCGGACGAGCTGCAAAGGCCAAAGCGGCAGATCGTCTGCATGACCAAGCCGACGACATCGCGCTCTTTCAAAAGGAGATGAAGCGTAAAGGCGGTGTGACGCATGGTGGTCGTCGCTCTACCCTCGTTGACGATATCGACGATGTGTTCTCGCCAGCGCCCGAATCTGCCGCACCCAAGCAACGCAAGAAGCGCACGAGCGATGAGGCGACGTACGATGTCACCGCGGTGGGCAGCGACCTCAGCGACGGCGAAACCCAAGCAACACCCGCCAAAGCGGCCAAGAGAGCCAAGAACGCAGTGACAGCGCCCGCGCCCGAATTCCCGCCCATAGAGATCAACTTGTTGGTGACGGGTTCAGATCGATGGAAAGACAAAGCAGCACTGGAGTCCAGGGATCGCAACAAGCTACGCCAATTGGGTATCTCTCTGATCGATGAGGCGACGAAGAAGGTGGACATACTCGTTGCACCCAGGATTCTGCGTACGCAGAAGTTCGTGGCTGCGCTGGCGTACGCGCCGAAAGTCACCGGAATGGAGTGGTTGGAGAGAACACTCAAGGATCAAGAGCTCGACCCGGACCCGCCACTCCTTTGCGACCCCGAGGCGGAGGAGAAGTGGGGATTCAATCTGGAAGAGGCGCTGCAAAAGGCCAAGGTGAACGCTGGAAAGCTCTTCGACGACCGGGCCATCTTCGTTACCGGGGACGTCAAAGGCGGTTTCAACACGTATAAAGAGTTCATCACTCTCAACGGCGGCGTGTGCTTCATGTACGCTGGTCGAACCGGTCTGCACCTCCCAAGACGCAGAGTGCAAGCCGAGGACGACGACAACGAGGATAGCGTTGAGAGTGCCGAGGACTTTGAGCCCGTGTACCTCGTCTCGGGAGATTCGGGACCGGAAAAGAAGCTGTGGAAGATGTTCCGAAGCCTGGCGGAGAAGCAAGGACTCCGTGCGAGGGTTGTCGCGACGGATTGGGTGCTGCATGCTGCCATGAGCCAGGAGATTGTGTGGAAGGATATGTTTGAGTTGCAGGAGTGATCCGGAGGGTTCCTAATGTGCGCCGACGCTTCCGATTAATATATTGTGATGGCATGCGTGGGACGTCTCGAGCGAGGCTGGTCGTTCTGTCTTTGACTGACTTTAGCGAGCATTAGCATGGACTCTTGGCCGACAGCTTGACGAAAGAAGAAGTGCACTCACACTCATGCAAGTCTCGTCAATCTTGCGATTGGCCAACAATCCCATCAGGTATGATCCCTTCTTCAATACCCGTCATAAGTAGGGTTCCTCGTCACGAAGCGCGATGCTCAGAAAAACTTGACTCCCTCCCCACTCTCCAGCCCAAAAACCTGCGCCTTTCCCCTCTTAACCAACACCCCCAACACCCGCCTCAACATCCCCTCCTCCATCGCCCTCCACTCCTTTCCCCTTACCGCCTCGCCTTCCCTTAACTCATACAGCGTCAGCACCGCCCCCTTCTGCCCCGTCTCCTCCACCCACCCATACAGCGCATCCGCCCACTCGCCCGGGCTCCGCCACCAAATGTACACCGCTTGACTTTGCTCTGCCCTCCCCCCCGAGGAGGAAGAAGAAGGCGCAGAAGGGGGAATCCACTCTACTACTCCCCCGTTTTCAGCTTTCGACAAGTGGTCTAGTAGCGCGCGCACATCGCTTGGTTTTAGCGCGCGGTTTAGCCGGTCGTTGGAGAAGAGGTTCGGCGGGGGGGAGGAGAGCGAGAGTCGGAAGAGGGTGTGGTGTCTTGCGTAGGTTTGCAGGAGCGTGGACCAGAGTTCGTATTGGCGGGCGCGCGTTTGGAGGTTGGGTTGCAGGGTGTAGAAGGGTGGAAAGGAGGTCCAGGGGGGGAGGGGGAAGGTTGTGGAGGAGGAGGTGCTTGTTGATGTGGTTGGTGGTGGGGTGGAGGGGGAGAAGTGCGGGGTTGTTGGGGTGGGGGGTTGGAGGGTGGGTTCTGGGGGTGCTGTGGTCATTTTGTGTTGGGAGATGGAGGGTGAGATGGAGGTCAGGTTTGAGGAGGGAAGGGAGATCTTTTGTTTCGGTGGCTGCTGGGCAGCAGGTGAAGTCGAGCAATGGTGTGGGGTAAAACGTAGCCTGCCAGCGTTAAAGCTTAACCGCACCGCAGGTGCAACTCGTCGTTCGCCATCTACGTCCAGTATACATACAGCCAGGACTTGAGTGCTAAGAGCGTGCAAAGACAGATTACGAGCGATATCTAAGGAAGACGTGTACGAGGAACCGCGCAAACGCCACGCTAATCTATCCATAACCAACCAAGCCCGAAAGCCGTCCATGATACCAATATCCATTTCCCTTTCTTCCCTACCCATAAGTCGTCAAAGTAGCCGCATCAACCACAGTCCTTCATGCCCGCACACAACCAATCACCCCCTAAACGTCTGATACTGCGCCGGCTTCGGCGTGATCGCCTGCAGCGTACTCTCAATCATACTCTGGATGTCCTCCATGCCGTCCGTCTCGAGACTGAGCATCAGCTCCTCCTGCTGCACCTGCGTCAAGCCCGCGCCGAAAGCGCCGGCGTCCATGTCCCAGCTGGGCTGTGGGAGTTGTTGTTGTTGCTGCTGAAGCTGGTGCTGCAGGTATTCTGGGTACTGCTGCTGGTACTGCTGGTGCGGTGGGAGGTAGGAGCCGGTGATATTGTTGTTGTTGTTGCTCGAGGCGAGGTTGGCATCAATGGTGGCGGGGAAGGGGTAGGAGGGGTGGGTGGGGTCGAAGACGGGGTTTTGCGCGGTGAAGGCGTCGAAGTGGCTTTGCATTGGGGCTTGGGTGGTGAGGGGTAGGTGGCCTGCGGGTGCCCAATTGGGGATTGTGAGGTGAGGGGTGAATTGTGGTAGGGGGTTGAATTGGGTGAATGGGTCGAAGTACTGTTGTTGATGTTGCTGCTGTTGCTGTTGCTGAGGCATAGAGTTTTGGTAGGTGGTCGCCAGGCCGAAGTCGTTATCATAGGCCTGAGAGTGGTAAGCGGGCGGAGTTGGGATGGGAGCGCTCTCCCGCGCGGGAGGAGTGGCAGCTGTCGAGTCCGTATCTGGCTGATACGGCATTATGCGCTCCACACTTGACCTCTGTTGATGGAGATAGGAGAGCGCGGCATTGGGTCTCTCAGACGCGGGCGGCGTGGCAACGCTAATGCTAGACAGCGTCGCCGGGCTCGTGGTCTGCGATCGAGCGCCTTCCGGGAACGATGCGAGTGGTGGTGACGCAATCTCCGAAGGTGAAGCGGCCGAAATGGGCACATCGCCGTCCTTTTCGTAGATTTTGAGGATAGCTGCAATCAGGTTTTGGTAGAGCTTCACCGCGGACGTAACGCCGGGCCAACGCTCAGAAGCGAGCTGGATGGCATCCATGGCGGTGTCCAGACAATTCGCCGCAGCTTCGCGATTGTACTTTTTCCGCACCTCTTCGTAGCTGAGCGACCACAGCATTGTATTGATGCCCATGAACAAAGTCTGGGTGAAAACCCAGGTCATGTCGACCGTCTTCTTCGTAATCTGCTCTCGCTGTATGAGGATGGCGAACTCACAAGCCTCGTAGCATTTCAGTGCCGCCTGCACCGATGGCCGCGGCACCTGCGGAGACGGCCGGAAGAGGAAGACGACCATGGTGCTGTAGCGAGCGGTAAACCAGACCTTGTCCAGTCCAATGGCTTCGTCAGCCGACGGCGAAGCATCTCTCCACGCCTTGAGCTTGGCCTCCATTTCGATGAACCAGCGATCTGTATCGTCCTTCGGTTCCGGCCGCTTCTTGAGATACAGCTTGCGCCGGATTTCCAGTTGCAAGACTCGCATTTTGAAAAAGTGGATGCAGATCCACTTCTTGAGTGTGGGCCTGTCTGCTGCCGGATCTATGCCCTCGGAGGTGATGTACTTATCATCGCAGGTTTCGAACCACTCGACGTCGAGATGGCTCCAGCTGGTGGCGAGCATAGATGGGCGACCGAGAGAGTGGGACAAGCCGAGTTCCATGACCAAGATGCAGTAGAACAGGCGTCTGCGCATATCAATTTCGAGGTAGTCGATCTTGCCGTCCGGGCCCGGTCTGGTAATCGTTTTCTCCTCGTGGAAGCCCAAAGACTGCGCCAGCCGTACGGCGATGCCTACCACGTAGAAGATGGCGGTGCGTGTGGGGGTTAAGAGGGAGTATTCGGCCATGAGAGCAAAGCACTGCAGTGTCTTGAGATCCATCGCCTTCACCACCGGCTCGAGATGCTTGAGCGCGGCGAGATAGTAGCTATCCGCCAGCCCGGCATATTGCGTGTCCAGCTTTTGCAAGCTGATAGCTATGACCATGCGGACGACGAAATGCTGCGAGGGCACCGCATCGCCGCCGTAGACAGTATCCACGTCGCGATCCAATGTGGGCTCGTGCAAGGCCGGATAGAGGGGCTGCACTTTGAGCTTATACACCGTGACAAGCAAATCGGTCAGGGCGCGGTTGGGCAGCTCTACCGCGGCAACATCGCTGATGAGCGGATACACCTTGGATGTCGGCTTGGCCTGCTCTTGATGATTCAAATCTTTAATCTGCCGCGCACGCTCCGCGGGGACAATGTCGCGGATGGTGGTGGCATCTGCAAACTGCTTGGCCAGCTGCATGACCAGGCGGGTGATGGCGATGCCACTCGACGGTCCGAGGAACTTGGGGTCCTTTTCGGTCTGGATGTTGACAGTAGCGGCGCGCATCATGGCCTCGGGATCTTCTGCGGCATCTTCATTCTCCACCTTGTCCAGCTCTTGCTCCAACTCGCGCACCTTGTGCTGCAGGTAGACAACATAGCTGCGGTTGACGTTGTGGCCCTTGTTGGAATCGTAGTACTCGCAGACGGAGTTGGTGCGCTCGCAGGGGCCGCAGCGGGGGAGGCCGGGATCGCATCGTGTTTTTCGCTAGTTGCTGAGGTCAGTGGAGGCGGAGTAAGGAGGGGGCGTTGCAGACATACCTGGCGACAGCGGGTGCATGCGGTTAGAGTGTGGGCGACGTGGGCAGAGGAGGAGCTCTCGGCGCGAGCAGCATTGCCTTGCACGCTTCGCCGTCTATGCGCGGCGCTGGCGGGGTTGTTGTGGACGTGGAGTGCATGGTGGACGGTGGACATTGTGCGTGGCGGACTTCGTCAACGCACTACCCAGCAAGCCATTGGCGCCTCGGTAGCTGCTGCATGCGATGGGTTCGGGTGGGGAGGAGACGGGCAGATGAGTAAGGGGGCAGAGTAGCTGGATGAGTGAGGGGGAGTCGAGGGGGAGTCGAGACGAGATCAGCCAGCACGGCACCGCACATCAAACCAAATGCATCCAAACAATTTCCAGATGCATCTGCACGGCACATGTGCGGATGAGGCGCATGCGCATGCGCCAGGTGCGAACGGCGTGGGGTGTGGGTGGATGCGGCAGGTGCGGCGGCGCGGGATGGCAACGCCGGCGGCTTCAGCCCTATGGGGGCGGAAGGTGCGGTGCACACGCGAAACATCCTCGCCCAAACAAGCCGTGGGACTGGAGTTTCACATGCTCACATCGTGTTCCGAACAACCACGACTGACTCCGTGTGTCCGACAAGCACAACTTGAGAAAGGGCCCACCCCAAGTCCCCCTTCAAGCGGCCCATCATGCCGGCTGCGGATGACACGAAACGCAAAGCCGCGCGCGAAACCATCGACATCCTCCACGAAATCTCCATCCTCCTTGTACGTGGTTCACCGTTTGAGAAACCCAGCACGGCATTCACTGATGCGTTGACCGTAGAATACACAACTTGATCGCCAGTCTCTATCATATTGCGTCTCTCTAATCGAGAACGGGGTGAACCCCGAGGCTCTCGCGGTCCGTCTCTCCCACTCCCCAAGGCCAACCCTCCGTCCCTGCTAATGTCTGCACAGAACGTCATTCAGCAACTGCGCGCCCACAACGAGCGATACGAAGCACAGAGAGGCCAGGTGGATTCTCAATGACGCGTATGCGAGAGGAGTGCGCACTCGGGGTAGTGTTCTTTACGACCTTTACGTGCATAGCCTTGCAGCTTGAATGAAACCTTGCCGCCAGGAACCATGACACGCATACAATTCATGTGCCCACTCGACTGGTATCGACGTGTGTATTCTATCAAGTCGCTGGGTCAAGCGATAGACTGCGGATCATATAATGCAGTCAATTCGCAAAGAGCATTTGTGCAAGGCAGTCGCGTCCAGCGCGCTCGGACCGCCGCCCACCACTTTAAAGCTCGAAGCTCATTCGACGAAACCGCTCCTTCCCACTTGGGCCCTTGCATGTACCTTCCCCTCCACTACATGTACTTTAATTTCTGTTCTACGACCTCATCGCGACTCTGAACACATTTTACATGCGACTCTCCGACACCGAGCCATTGTCGCCCCCAATATGGTCAAGAAGAAGTCGAGCGCATCGGGCGCGCCCAGCGGCTTCGACGCCTCGTCGACTTCGAGTCTCATAATCTGCAGGAACAAGTAAGTATGTGATGTTGCCTTTATGTCATACACGAAACCATTGGCGAAAGCAGCTCCCACCCTCGTCCTAGTTGAACGTCCAATCACTCAACCCAATCTCTAACAACCCTCTGCCAGACACTGGCGCTACATCTCCTCCTTCCACGGACCATGGCTCCAACTACCCCCCGAAATCCTCGACTCCCTCGCCCACCAAAACTACACCATGCCCGCGCCCCGCCTCGTCGACCCCGCCGTCTTCTACGACGTCGTCAAAATCCGGCGCGCCGTCGACGAAGCCTCGCAGGACTCGGTGCGCGCCTCGACGGGCCTCAGCAACACCGCAATGAACAACAGCCGCACCGACTTCTACGGCACAGGAGGCGGCGGGCCAGGGACGCAGCTGAGCAAAGAGCGCATATTCAAGATCCGGCAGAAGGCGGTCAAGTTGTTGGCCAAGGCGTTTACGCTGGATGAAGTGGCGGCCAGCGTGGCGACGATGCAGGCTACGAGCACGGTGGAGGATGTGGGGAATCATGTGCTGAAGCGCGAGCCCGCCAATCTCGACGCTAAATACGTGCACTTCTTCCACGAGAAGATCCCTTCGCGCGCCATGGAGCAGTATACCCCGCTGGACCCGCTGAACGAAATCATCTCCTCCCTGCCCTTGGAACAGCAGGCTCCGCCGTTGCGGACCAGGGCGTTGGTGCAGATTTTCAAACAGCAGTGGGAGGGCGCGGCGGTGGATCTGACGGCAGCGCTGCGCATCACGGAGGAGCTGAAGCGCATGCACAAGCCGAATAAGCAGGAGTTGGAGCTGGCGAGTAGGATGCGTGAGGAGCAGGAGGCGTGGAATAAAGGGTCGCGCGATTGGAAGTCTGTTCCTCTCGTGAAAGAGGAAGATCAGCCGAAGAGTCTGGAGATGCAACTGCTCTTCAACCGTGCGGGCGTCTATCTGACCATTGCCTGTCAAAGCGTGCCTGCTGCCCTCCACGGACTGAAAGAATACCAGGCCGCGCACGAGAAGGGCGAAACGAACGGAGTGGACGCCAAAGCGCAAGCGCTGCGACTCGAGGCGCGGAAGAAAGTGAAGACTTATGCGAAGCGTGCGCTCAAGGACTACATCGCTTTCTTGTCCCACTTCGACTACACCCCGGGTCTGCCATTTGAAATCACGAATGAAATCATGCGGCGTGTATACGACCTCGCAAACGGTACCAAGACGCAGCCGCCCAGCATCCCGAAGAGCAGACTCGTGGAGCTCAACGACTCCAGCGACGAAGCGGCCAGCGAGAATGGCGAAGCGACCCCAGCATCCTCCACATCAGCAGCAGTCGTAAAGCACCAGAAAGCCCGACCAGAGCCCTTCGAACGCGGCGAAGACGGCTGGCCGAAATTCCCCGCCCCGCGCATCCACCCTGCCGGCGCCCTCTTCGCCGAACGCCCCATCCCCGACCTCCCTCCCTTCCCAAGCGAAGAGACAACAGCCGCAATGCAGAACAACGACACCATCAACCAAGCCTTCGGCAGCCGCGAAGCAGTCACCTACCACCCCCTGCTAACCGACGCCCTGCACTCTCTCCTCCTCTGCCACTCCCTGCTGCAAACAAGTCCGACGGAGCTCCTGCGCCACGCGCACAACGCCGCCCGCCTAGCGCGCATCGCAGACGGCTACCCCATTTTCCAAGCCGCGCGCTCCCCCGCGCGAGCAGATTGGATCGAAGTCCTGCGTCGCGCAAACAACTGGCTCGGCCTGTCCGTCCCCTGGCAAAAGCTGTGCGCCCCTGCGCCCCTTCCGGACGCGGCTGGCGGCTGGGCAAAAGAAGGCGGCGGTGGGCCTGGCGCTCTCGCGAAGCGAGCAGCAGCGGGTGCCTCAGCGGACGCCAAGAAAGAGGAGACCGCGGACCAGAAGCGCGAGCGCATCAAGCAGGAGTCCATCATTGAAGCTCTATCTGATGACCGCGTTGTGGACGAGGAATCTTTCCAGCGGGCGGTGCGTGCGCGCGAGCGCAGAGCCATGGAAGACGAGCAAGGGATTTCCGGGCCGTTGAAAGATCGCGAGCACGCGGTTGAAGAAGCGCCTGCTGATGCCGCGGAGCGAGCTGCTCCCGCCACGGCCGCCGCCGCAACTCCAGGAGCGACGGACACTGCAGCGCAGCCGAAACGCTGGGCGCAGGATGAGAATGGGAGGGAGTACCCCATCTCCACGGACCGGGCGGAAGCGATCTCGCGATGGATCAAGGAGGCGCCTTTGTCCATGGGCGGGGGCAAGAAGAAGAAGGCGACGCGAAAGAAGAAGCCTGCTGTCAATGGGCATGCAAATGGCGTGCACGAGGTCGCGGATGGTTTGCGGGAGTTGAATGTGGACGAAGATGGTGAGGAAGGGCCTGATTAATTGGCGATATTGTGTACGCCGCATTCTTGGTCGACGCGGGTGTAGGAGGTATCTTTGGCTGGGGACGAAGACAGTATCTGGAGGCATCACCGCCTTTCACTTGATGATCAGCACAATGCCACCCCATTGAATACCACATTCATTCCACGTCTGCTTTCTCCCCCAAAATCTCAGTCTTGCCTTTATCGTAACCATGAATGGCCCCCTCCGACGCCCAACCATAGTCCGTGCAAAACACCGAGCCAGGCTAGGTCGAAGGAAGTTTGGGGTAGGCCATCTCTTAAGTATCTGTGGAGCGAAGTCCGAAGACTTCGTTCCATCATCATCGGGGAGGGCTTCCTGCACAGAGCAAGGAGATGGGGGAATAACTTACCCTGTTGTAGAGTGAATGGTCGTTGATCAGGTGAGGACGTGCGTGCCTTTCGTCTTGCCGGTTTCCATCTTTGCAGTGCGGGCGCCGAATTGGATCTATCACGGGGCGTACATGGTCAGCCGCAGTAATTTTGCAAAACTCAGAGAGGAGGCAGAAAACTCACAGCCCTCTTCTTCTCTCGCGCCACCTGCTCCATACCCAACTTCCACGCCAGACACCTCAGCACTTTCTTCCCCGGCTCGAGCTCAGCAGCGCTCCCAAGCTCAGCAGTCCGAGGCACAATCTCGCCAAAACCGCATTTCTCCGTGACGGGTGCATCCAGTGCCCAGGTGAGTAGTTTCTCATCGAGGAATGGAAAGCGCACTTCCTTGCCCCAATGGCTCATCACTCGATCGTCTCGGCCTAGATTCCGCTTGCCGAGTCGCGAGACGTCGAGTTCGAGTTCGACGAGGAGACCTGCGAGGCTGGCGCGTTTGAAAGCTGTGGCGTGGCGGGTGTAGCCTGCGAATAGCTCGTCTGCGCCTAGCCCGGATAGCAAAACTCGTGCGGTCGTTGTACAGGGTGAGCTGATGTCTGGAGTTTGGTTGAGAACGCCTTGACCTCTGGCGGCGAAGTAGAGGGCACTGGCAATGCTGAGGTCCATCTCGGTATTGTGCGGGTGCATGAGTGATGTGATTATCTCGCGGTGCTGTAGGTTTTCGGCATACGCCACGTTGATCGCTACGAAGCGCCATGTACGAGTCGGGCAAATGCGCTGGAGCTCGGCGTAAGACTGCCGGCCGGTGATGCGATCGGGACATAATTCGTAAAATGACTCGTCGATTGCCCCATCATTTGCGTCCCTCTTGTGAATTCTGGGATTCTCGAAGGCTACGTTCAGGAGGTCAATGGGTTCGGTGAGCGGAACCAGATCGTGAGATAAGCGAGCGAGGACTGTGCAGTCCAGGCCGCCTGAGAAAAGGATTACGAGCTTGGCCGGATGGTTCTCTGAAGACGAAACGGGTGGCTCTGGAATATCGAGCACTCGCAATGCCACGGAATTGTACAGGAGCTGATGAAGCTCGGCGACTGCTGATGAAGACTCATCCAATACTGTCGCGACGGTGGCTGTGCTCTTGTTCAAGGAAAGACGAGGAATCACCTACCGCGCGTGAGCATCGACTGCTCGTGACGAATGGACTCGACTACGTACGCTGAGAGTCTCGCGGTCACTGGAGCCTTGGGTATCGCGAAAGTGGTAAGGAGCAAATCCAATGGACCACCTTTGCGGACTAGCTGTCGACCCGGGAGAGGCAGATCTCGCCGGGCTTAGGTCCACGTAGTAGACGCCATCAGCTTCGACCTCTGTCCAGCCGGCACGAGCATTGCCATCGGAGACACTGCTGATCAGCAAGTCTCCGTCGGGAGTGATCTTGGTCAGTAGCGATCGACGACCTAAGAAATCCCGGCCAAAGAAGAGTCTCGAGCGCAGCTGATCAAAGAACACGAAGGCGTAGGGGCCGGCAATTTGTGAAAGAGCGAGAGCGATGCACCGAGCCTGTGCGCTCGCCGTACATGTAGCGCTGGCATCTTCCACTGAGAGCCTCTCCAAGCCATCGACAAGAATTTTGCACACCGCTTCAGTGTCGTTGCCAATCGGACGCTTGCCGGTAATGCTCCATGCTTCTCCGTTCCAGCAAAGCGTGTACTTGCCAGAGGGGTCTTGATATGGTTGAGTCGTCGTCTTCGAGCCGCGTAGACTGAGCACCGTTGAATGCAAGGTCACAAAGGCCGTCGATGGCGCTTCCTCACTCTCGCCAGTCGAATTGCAGGTGCATATTGATGTGATTGTTCCAGTGCTGTCAGGCCCGCGGCTTTGCAGACGAGTTGCAATGATTGTATCCGGTGGCACATGGAGCGTGGAGCCGAGCGAGCAAAAGATGCCGCACATAATATCAACAACTCACGCGCATGTTGGACGGTATCTGAAGTGCCCAAAATCTCTCGAAACTCGGCCTGTCGTCCAAATCGCAGCTTTTCGTTAGTCAGCTCTTAGTGATCTCGAAACTCTAAATCGCTCCTCAAGTATACGCAGCATCACCCGCCTTCACAACCACCTTCACTCACCACTCGACACGAACCATCGCACATCCCTCCCTCCTCGTCAAAATGTCCAACACCGGCGGCAACACCGCCACCAGCAACCAAGCCCTCGTCTCCGACTCCAAAGACGCCTCCAAACCCCTCCAGAACCAGAAACCCGCCGCGCAGCTCGAAGAGGATGATGAGTTTGAGGACTTCACAGTAGAAGGTTCGCTTGAGCCTACCCAGCACGCTGCAAGCGCGCATGCGCACTGTTGTGGGGTTGGAAAACTGACTGTATGAGAGCAGATTGGGCGAAAGAAGAGGAAGTGGGCGCACAAGGCACAAATACGCATCTCTGGGAGGAGAGCTGGGACGACGATGATACGTCTGATGATTTCTCGGTGCAGTTGAAGTGCGTATCATGCAGTTGAGAGAGTGCCTTGAGTGATGGTTGGACACATGCTGACTTCTTTCTGCGCAGGGAGGAGCTGAAGAAGATGGAGGCGGGGCGGAGTCGGTGAACGCACGTCAAGAGAACGGACGGAGATGTTTAGATGGCATGGAGAACGTGCATAAGAGGGCGTACGGCGCAGCTCGATCGACGTGAGCCAACAAGTGACGGACACGAGAACTACGACCCCGTGAACATTCGAAATGGGCAAGGGCGAATCGATATACATCTACAGTCTCGCGCTGCAGCCTTCATCAACTATCAGCGCGGCCTCCTCCGCGCTGTCATGCTTGAAACGTGTCTCCTCACTTACTCGACAGCGCGCTCACGCCCGGTAGATCCTTGCCCTCGAGCAACTCCAGACTCGCTCCGCCGCCGGTAGATACATGGCTCAACTTGTCCTCCACGCCATACTGCGCGGCAACGGTCGCGGTGTCTCCACCACCAATGATGACAATCTTGCCATTCTGCGCCGCCTGCACGGCCGCATCCATGGTCGCTTTGGTGCCCTTTGCAAACTTGTCCATCTCAAACACGCCCGGCGGCCCATTCCACAGGATCGTCTTGGCATCGTTGATGGCCTTTTTGAACAACTCGATGCTCTTGTCGCCGCAGTCGAGCCCCATCCACCCATCCTCAATGCCCTCTCCCTCGTCCGCGTAGCCCGTGTTGGCATTGGCGTCGAACTTGTCCGCCGTGATGAAGTCGACGGGCAGCGTAATCTCCACCTTGTTCTTCTTCGCCTTCTCCACCAGCTCCTTGACCTTCTGGCTCCCCTTCTCGTCGAACAGCGAGTTGCCAATCTGCATGTTGTCCAGCACCTTCTTGAACGTGAACGCCATGCCGCCGCAGATGATGAGCGAGTTGACCTTGTCCAGCATATTGTCAATCAGCTGGATCTTGTCCGACACCTTCGCACCCCCCAGGATAGCGAGGAAGGGGCGCTTGGGATCCTCGAGCGCCGAAGCAAAATAATCCAGCTCCTTCTTCACCAAGAAGCCCGCCGCCTTCTGCGGAAGGTCGATGCCCACCATACTGCTATGCGCGCGGTGCGCGGTGCCAAAAGCATCGTTGATGTACACATCGCCCAGCGCCGTCAGGCCCTTCCGGAACTTTTCCACATCCGCCTTGTCGGCCTTGGTCTTGTTCCCATCCTTGTCCTTGCTGCTGCCCTCCTCCTCAATATGGAAGCGCAGATTCTCCAGCAGCACCACCCCGCCGTCCTTGGTGTCATTCACAATCTTCTCCGTCTCCGGGCCGACGCAGTCATTCGCGAACGTCACCTTGACGCCCAGCTGCTTCTCCAGCTCCGGCACGACGGGCTTGAGGCTGTATTTCTCCACTTTCTGGCCTTCTGGGCGGCCGAGATGGGACATCAGGATGACGGCTTTGGCGCCGTGGTCAATGGCATATTTGATGGTGGGCACAGCGCCGACGATGCGCTGGTTGTTGGTGATTTTGCCCGATTTGTCCTGCGGCACGTTGAAGTCGACCTAGCAGTGAGAAGATCGTGTCAGATTGTCGTTCGTGCTTGTTGCAAGCTCTGGTTGGGAGAGGATCGGACATACTCGGATCAGCACGCGCTTGCCTTTGAGGTCGACGTCCTCGATTGAGAGCTTGTTGGAGAGAGACATGGTTGCAGGTTTGAAAGGTGGATCGATTTAGTGACGGTGAAGAGGGGAGCAAAGGAAGTGGTTGTGAGCTGGGTTGCTCGAGGTGGGTTGAAATAAACAATGGGTTGGAAAAAGGTTTGCTGAGTGACGTGCGTGGGGTCAGTTGGAGGGGTTGAGTTGCTAGTGTGCATGGCAGCCCGAGAGCTGGCCACCAAGCAGAAGACAGCAAATACGATTACACGAAGGATGAACCGTGAACTGAATCGTGTATGGTGACAATGCTCGTGAACATAGAACCCTTCATCATGTAAACAAAATATGGCCACCCCTGAAACAACCCCAACGCCTCGCAAAATCCCATTGATCGACACCATCCCGCTATAACGCCTCGCAGATAGCGTCGATACAAGTACCAGCAAAGCTAAGGGTCCGTCAGTCACGGTGTCATTGGTTCGATCGGTGAATGCGAAGGCGTCGCGAGCGGTTCGTCCGCCGAGTTGCTTAGGGACAAATAAGCCGTCCAGGCGATACCTATCGTGCTCACAAATGGCTGTTCTTAATATTAGCGAAGAACCATGCCGGAACTGAAAGGGATTTGTAGGCTCACAATCTGTAATTGAATAGGCACCACCCCGAAATTGAACAGCTGCACCGCCGGCCAAACAATGTAATTCGCCTTGAGCGCTGGAATGTAGACTTCCTGGAACTTCTGTGCGAGCGCGCGTTTGCCGCCGCCTTCTGCGATCGTGATGAAGCTGAAGAAGGCTGCCAGACCTGCATGTGAGGTGTCAGCGTTGGACTCGACGCAGACATGGAGTAGTGATAACCAAGCACATACCGACCGGCGCAAACAGAAATTGATCCAGGGCCACTCTCTTCAATGTGCTCGCCGTCGCCGAGCCGCCGCGGCCGGAGAAAGTGTGATCGAGAAATCCATACCACCTATGCTGCGCCGGAGTCCACAAGAACCCGTACCCCATGAATCGTATCAAGCGCTCGAAGTCGAATGGCGGCGGCCCTCGTTTGGACGGAGGCAGCATGAAGTTGTTCTCCGGCCACGGCACCTTCTTGGGGTCGAAGTCGTCAATCTCAATCTCCACGGAGTAGTCGTCTCGGTCGTCGGTTTCGGAGTTGAGGGCGATCTGTCGCTGGCGCTGGCGGAGCGCTGTGAGTGTTTGGGCTACTGTGTCTGCTATTCCACCGAGTACCTAGTAGGTTCGCATGTGTCAGCTCGCTGAAGCGGAAGGGACTGCCGGGGGGCCTTACGGCGTTGGTGATCATGGTAGTAAGCACCGGCCGGTTCAGGTAGTAAGCATTGAACTTGCGCACCAAGACGGTGATCATGGTGAGTTCAACGGCGAAGATGATTGCGTGGAGAAGCGGCTGCATGTATATGAGTATGTGGCTCGCACGGGCACATGGTGGATGAGGGTCTTGCGAAGACCTACATATTTGCCCCAGATGTAGCGGGTGTTCAGCTGCCGCAGCAGTCTCTTTCTCGTTTCGTTCACGCCCATCTTGAGCACGGCGGCTTCTTATATGACCCACGGTTCAGCGTGCGGGTGGTGACGTTTGCATCGGGCGCGACAGCGGGAAGGTGCGTTCGGGGGTGTTGAGAACGGGGGGGTGATGGATGGGCAGTCGAGGTGTGCGGACCGGGGAAGCACCAGGGATTGAAGTGTTCGGTCGCGGGAGTCTGATTGCGTAGGTATATCTATGTGTCGATGGGTTACGAAGGAACCGTTGCAGTCGAAAGACCGTCTGAAATGTGGTCAGGTAGCGTCACGGATGCCTGGTGATGTCCCCACCTTGTTAAGGTTACCCGCCCCGTCTGACTAAAGCGGGTTAAAACAAGCTGGTGGCGCCACGGAAAACAACCAGAGCGCAAGCATTGAATACAGACTGCAACCCTTTGACCGCAATACATTTTTCGCGTGATCTTATGGTCTTCATATGGACAGAGCAATCTATTACAGCTCTATAATTCATGATCTCACCCGCTCAAAGCCAAACATGCATCCACAGCCCGCCCAACGTTGCCCTCCTGCGCCCGCACCACATCATCAATCACCTCTTTGTCGAGATTGGGAAACATGCTCTGCAGCGTCCTATTCCATACTCCGTCAGCAAAATCCAATCACAGCCCCAGCGGAAGAAAGTCAACGTACTCCGCAACCACTCGGTTCTCCCTGACCCGCACCCTTTGAGCCTGCGCCGTCTCCACGCTCGCTTGCTTTGCCACCGCTTCTGCTGTTGCGTTCTGTCCGGGCGGAGACTGACCTGCTGCAAAAGCCCCATTCGGACTCGCAGTCCTCCGTCCGTCAGGTGGCGCCGGACTCGGTTTTCGCGACGTACTCGTTGCTCGCAAGGAGCTGCCTTGCTGAGTCGTTGTTGTGTCGTCGGAGAAGATCCGCCCGATGCTACTCAGCGGCTTCTGAATCGTCCGGAGCAAGCCCGTCACAGCATCGTCGAAGTCATCGCTGCTCTCCGCCGCGCTAAGCTGGCTCTTTTCCCGACTATGACTTCTTCTCGGACTCGATCGTTCGCCGTCCAGGCTGTTCCTCTGCGTCACCTCAGGCCGGCTCGGCGCGCTCTTCTCATTGAGGCGCTGCAGAGGAGCCGCCGGCGCCGCGGCGGCGGTATGCGTCTTCTCCTCGTACTCTTCGGCCTTGTTCTCTTGCGCTATCGCACTCACAGCCTCCTCGACATTCCTCTCGAACTCTTCGTCCGTGATGGTGAGATTGGTCCGGTCCAGGTTCTCAATGAATGATACCACTCCCATTAGGGAAGACAAGTAGTACCCAGCCTCGCCACCTAGTTTGTCTTGATTCCGAAAGCGCCAGATGTACTGCACATTGCTCGCCAAATGCTCCGGACTCGCTCGTAGCACGGTGTAGATGAGCAGAGGCACAAAAGCGTCTGCTGACTGATCGCCTCGTGAGTTCTTCAAAAAGCCAAAAATCACTTTGCAGCAGTTGAGCACGCAGATGACTTTGTCCCTCGGCGCTCGATATGTGTTGAGCTTGAGCAGCTCTTGCTGGGCAAGGGTTAGGAATTTGCGGCCTTTTTCAGTGATGGGCTTGATGTCGAGGTGCTCTTCCTGTATCCAGCCGTAGATCCGCAGTTTCTGCGCAATCACCTCGTCTCGTTCCACATCCTCTTGATGTTGACCTCGCCGTCCAGAACCGTGTGGCGTCGCAGCATCCGCCTGTAACCTTCCTGTCTTTCCCGACTTGCGCGGCGAACTTCCAGACGCTGCTGGTATGGCGGGAGAAAATGTCTGCGAATACAGCCTGTTCATCACCAGCTTCTCCATGCCTTCTCGCGCATGGTCGAACTCGGCATTCGAGACGGTGCGCCAGACTTCGCACTGCGCCATTCGCTTCGCGATGAACTGCAGAAAGTCAGAGATGAGCTTGACCTGCTCGTGCACCATCCATTGCTTCTTTCCAAACTCGTTGAGGAATGAGCGCAGGAAGCGTGCCACCGGGTCGGCCGTTCGATGTCTGAGTTGTTCCAGGAAGCGGTGAAAGTCGAAAGGTAGGGTGGGCTCAGGGTCTGGCGATGGTGGAGGGGGTTGGAAGATTGAGCCGGCTTTAGCACTCATAATGGACTCGCTGTCCTCTGACTTGACTTTGCTGAGACTTGCGCCCGAGACGGATGGCGGCTTGCCCGATGCTGGAGATGCAAAAGATGGACTCTGCATGCTACCTCCGGTCGTTTGTGGGCTTAACGAATGCTGATCGCGATTCTCGAGACTTGACGTTCGTGGTGGCAAGACGAAGATGGGTTGTTGCTTCTCGAGCAGTGGAGACATGATCTCTTCTTCGCCTGGCGCATTTCCCTCTTGAAACTGGTCCATGATGTTCTGTATTTCCAGGCCCATCCCCTCTGTGGCTCCCTGCGGAGCTTCTGGAACGTCCATCGGAGTCTCTTCACTCTGCACGGGGTGTTTCTCGTCGTATTCCTCGGTTTGCGCCGATTGTTTGGGCTCAGACGCATCCTTTGTGGGCACAGGAGGCGGTGGTGGTGACGCTGGGAGTTCCGTCTTTCCACCATCTGCCTTCCCAGAGCTATTCGATGACATCTCGTCCGTTTTTATTCCCAGTCCTGCAGCCCTGCGTGCGAGGTGCTCGCTCGCCTCCCTCTCAATCTCCTGTGCTCTTGAGCCCGAGTGCTCATCTTCCCGATCGCTTTCTTGCCCACTCATGTCTGTCACTTCTCGAGAAGCGTCTTGTTTAGGTTCAGCGACGCCATGCTCGCGACCGGGCTCCTCCCCGGCTAAAGACTGGCTCGTAGTATTCGCTTCATCGTGTGCGATAGGCTGCTGTTGGTGGTCGCCTGGATCTGACATAGACAATACGGTTTCGGTGTACTCTACATGCAATATCCTGCATGCCGGACCCTTTCTTCGCAGACGTCTAGAGGTCGAAGTGTTGAAAGTGTATTCGAGGGGAGCAACAAGGGGGCTAAGTCGTCATCTCACTACCACGCGCGCAGCAGTGATGTTGAGGTGCATAATAAAGTCCGGGGGGGGATGCGGCATGAATGCCTCAGGCCAACGGCGCCAGCACTACACGCCAAGTCACGACCTTGCATACCACCTCACTCACCACTTCCTTACTCTCGAAACCAATGAAAGACACACGGTTCGATGCAGTGCTACTGACTCACGACTAACGATTGACACGTAACGAGCACACGGCCATGAAGCATAGATCCAGATCCACATCATGAGTGAGAGTCTACGTGGAACGTCCGGTCGCAGACAGGCCGAGTGGACAGGATGACTTCGACTCTCCTCACCAACGAACTCACGCATCTCGTCTCGGAGGCCAAACGAAAGAATGGCGAGCTTCGGCACGCGGCCGAGAAGGCATTGCAGGACCTGAAATCCCTCCCCTCGACATCGGAGCAACAGCTCGCAGCAGGTGTGTAGACTCTCCTTTGACGTTGACTAGAGGCGACGCACACGAACCAACTGAATGCAGATCTGAGCCGCCGACCAGCGTTCATCGACCCTTTCCTACTTGCCTGTGCAACTCACAACCCTAAGCTCGCCGGCAGCGGGGTAACATGCCTTCAACGGCTCGTGGTCACGCGAGGGCTATCAAAGGCGCGCCTCAAAGACGCACTCGAGGCTTTCAACTCTTGTACGTCTCTTGGACTGGATGTGCAACTCAAAATTCTCCAGGCGCTACCTTCGCTTCTTCAAAACTACGCCGAAGACCTCAAAGGTGATCTCTTGAGTGGCGCGCTGGAAGTCTGCTCCTCGCTGCAAGCCGCCAGAGTTCCCACTGTGAGCGGTGTCGCGGCTGCCACTTTGCAGCAGTTGGTCAGTAGCATCTTTGAGAAAGTGGTGAACGAGGACCGACATGCTACCGAGGTTGCGGCGTTGGCTGAAGTCAAGGTCGACGATGAGAGTCTGATGCTCCGGCCGGCTGCTCACGATGCTTTCCGAGTGTTCCGCGATCTTGCCCTGGCTGCGGATGAGAAAAAGTCCACCTTTGTTCAGTTCACTTCGTTGTCACAAGAAGCTATCTTGGAGCTCCTCTGGATTTGCATCAACGGCAATCCCCAGCTGTTCGCCTCACATACCGAATTGAGTAGTACAGTGAGATCGCACGTGCTACCTCTTGCCACTCGTGGTCTGTCGGAGAGACTGAGCTTTCCCCTCACATTGCGGTCGTTCCGAATACTGGATCTGGTGCTCGGTCGCTACATTACACGATACCCCGACGATTGCCTACCCGCCATCAGTCTACTTATCGATACCTTAGATCCGGATGCTGTACCTCTATGGAAGCGAGCCATGGCCATGGAGGTGTTCAGAAAGTTCTTCGCAGATGGCAATTTGGTCATCGATACCTATTCGATCTACGACAAGACAGCTGGCAGTAAGCGCATTGTTCAAGACATCATGTCGGCTTTCGTCCGAATGTCATCCGAGAAGCCTTCAGCGATCGGCCTGGGACAGCAGTCGTCCATCCCGGTAGGCTCAACCGCGTCTCGAGACTCGGCAGATCATATTCCACCCGAGATCACCGCCGGAATGGCGGGTCTCATGGGCTCTACGTACACGGTGGCGGAGGCGAATGTCCCCGGGATCAGCTCCCGCTGGAGCATCCCTCGCACTTCTTGTCTAGAACAACTTGACAAACTCGAAGCCCCTTCGGTTCCCGAGACCTATGTCTATGCCCTTGTTTTGGATTGTATGGGCAGTTTGTCAGATAACCTCGCCAAGGTTGTACTGCCGCTGACCGTGCACAACGAGAAGTTCAAGTCCTCGGCAATCAATGGAAAGGCCAGCAGCAATGGCGAGGCAGCCCGAAGGCATCGAACCGAATCATACCAAAGCCGCACAGTCCCACGGAACCCCCTCGAACAAGGGTCAAACGAAGTTCCCGCTCGTGTGCAATCTGTTCACGCTCTTGTGGACTCTTGTTGGCCTGCAGTTTTGGCCACTTCCTCGACGTTCCTGAATGCAGCCCTGGACGACCAGTATTATCGCAATCTTATCAAGGCCTACCAACGCTTCGCGCAAGTAGCTGGTCTTCTGCGGTTGGTGACGGCAAGGGACGCCCTCATGACCACCCTCGGAAAGGCTGCAGTGCCCCCGCACGTAGTCAACGCTACTCAGCCAGAGCCTCTGAAGTCGCCTACTCTCGAGAGCCCTAGCGTGTTCTCAAACCCCAAGAGCTTGCTGAGCATGGACAGCTTTTCGAGTACCGCTTCGCCAATCGAACGTGACAGGAGGCGGTCTTTGGAATCCGCGAGACCAACGCTCACCACTAGAAATCTCCTTTGCTTGAGAGCACTACTCAACCTTGCGATTGCATTGGGTCCCACTCTCGATGGTGCATTCGCCGTCGTTGTGGACGCTCTGCGACAAGCCGACTTGGTCCTTAGTACAACCACCCCTCAGCAGCTCATTCGACAAGGATCGGTAGCATCAAAGCAAGGGCCAGATACCCAGAGCTATGCTCAAGCCTTCAGCAGTGAGGTCACTGCGGTAGAGGGGGCCGCCTCACGGCTGCTCGAGAGCACAGCCGACTACCCCAATGGACCGTTCTTGAGCGTCTTACAAACATTTTGCCGCCTGCTACACGTTAGACAATCAGATGCCTCGCCGGCCTCGCCCAACCGGCAAGTGCAAGTTTCATCACCACCACCAACCCCGACCATGCCGCTTCGATCTTTCTCGGGACTGACTGGACTGAGCATCATGAAAGACATCCAAATGCGGGACTACAAGTTTGTGATCCCTAAGCTCGGCGGTTTGGCGGAGCTAAATATATCGCGATTTGCTTTGGGCGATCCGGTCGAGACTGGCTGGAATCTGCTTGTGGATGAGTTTGTGATTCTGGCCTCGAGCAACAGCAACCCAGTTGAGGCTCGTCGGGCCGCCACAGGAGCGTTATGCAAGCTTGCTGCCGAAGTTGTTGCCGAAGTCATGGAAGACGAAGTGCAGACGAGGACTGTTATTCAAAGGAGGACGCTAGCCACCCTTCTCCGGCTAGTCGATAGCATGTATGAGGACGACGGCGAACTGACAAGCAACGATATCGACGTTCAAAGCTACGTTTTGGAAGCTCTGCAGGCGATATTGCAGCGGTGTGGAGAGTCACTCGTGGCAGGCTGGAACCGAATGATTGGCATCATCAGCAGCGTCTTCGAACGCAACGGAGCCCCACCAATGCGACCAGATGACGAAGAAACACACATTGACTGGATCAATGTGTCCGATGAGTTCGACTCCGTGCAACTCGGACGGACCGCTTTTGCTGCCACGCAGCTCATCTGCTCAGACTTCTTGTCTGCATTACCCACTCGGGTTATGCCTTCTCTGATTGAACTGCTGTTCCGGTTCGCGAAGCAGACTGATGATCTGAACATCTCCCTGTCGACTATCACGATCGCTTGGCATGTGTCGGATTACCTGCTGAGCAATGTCTCGCGCGATGCAATCAGCGAAACCACTCGCCTACTCAAAGAAGCAGATGAATTTGAGGAAGAGGTCCACTCCGCATCTCGCGACTCTCCGGCCGCGCAGTGGTACCTACTCCTCGTTCGATTGCGAAACATCATCAAGACTGGTCACAAGGAGGTTCGAAAGGCTGCGTTCCAGACGGTCTGCAGCATCTTCCACAACAATGGCGATCAATTGCCGCCCGATGCTTGGGACTTGACTCTGCGCAGCGTCGTTTTCAAAATCTCTTTTGACGATGTTATGCTCTATCACTCGGATGACGAAAACGACGAGACGCAAAATCGCATCGGCTTCCACGACGAAAGCATCTCGAGCGCCATTATCGGCGGCACTTCTGTCATTGTCGCGCAGAACCTCCATCACATCGAGCAAGTTGCCCAGCTCCCCAGCTTGTGGGAGGCTTTTCTGAGTCGACTGGAATCGTACTTTGATCTGCAAATACACTCCATCAACGCCGCAGTCTTTCGAGCTCTAAGCTCGATACTTTCGCAGATCACCACAGGCTCGAAAGTCTGGACGGGAGTCATGTACCGCACCCTCGCCCTTTGGCTCAAGCGCAACCCCGCCACAATCGAAGTGAAGGACTCCGAGTCCAATCAAGACAGCTTATCAGCCTACGTAGACTCCGGCACGGAGCTATACCGCCTCACGCAAGAGAGCATGAGCACGTCGCAGACGCGCACACTGGTGGAGAATCTCTACCACGCCATCCGCGCCTCGGCCTCAACCTCGCAATACGCAGTCGACACGAACAAATTAACCACAGTGCAAGGGAAAGCCTTTGACCTCTTGAAAGCAGTTCGCTCAGACCATCCGTCGACCCTCATCGTCGTCGCCGCGAAGCTAACGACGCTGCACCATGATGCGGCAGAGGAGGCACCGCACAGCAACGGCGCGAGTTTCGTCGCCGTGGCGAGCGCGGCGATGGAGTGGCTTGAAGGCTTGGTGCTGTCTAGCGTGGCAGACGAGGAGCTCTACGACAGCGGCGTGGTCGTCAGCGTGCTGGAGAATGTCAATCGCATGGTTGGGCTGAAGTACTTATTCACACTGGAGTACAAGGGGGTATCGATTTGGCGCAAGGCTTCGAATCTCGCGCTCGCACTTGCTGGACCTGTGTTGCAGCAGGTTGGAGCACAGGGTTTAGATCAGGCGGTTATGATTCCAATCTTGACTGAGTTTATTGGGATTGCGACCGGCATGGTCGCTGCGAATGGACTCGAGCGCATCGGTGATTCTACCCGAATCTACGAGGACGAGACCACGGACATTGAGAGTTTCAATTCTCTACGAGCGGTACTTACGCCCCATCTCGGCGGGGCAGAGGTTCCCGATCGATTACGATCCACCTACTGCCAAGCACTCTTCGACGCTTCCATCATCCACGAACCAGAGCCCGGAGAGATTCCAGATACCAAGACACCACCACTACAACACGTCCAGAGGATTCGCCGCGGTCGCGTACGCCGCGTCCCATATGTTCAGCGGGAGAGGATGGCGTACGAATGCCTCTCAGAACTGCTGAAGCTAAGCGGCCAGCAAAGCGAAAGCAAGCTCCTCGCCAAAGCAGCGGCGCCGTTTCTCATCCTGCGTCTGGCGATTCCGCTTCGAGCTTACATTGCCGACCAGCCGCTACGCGGACGCAGACCGCAGCCGTTGTCGGAATTGGAGGAGCTGCTTTTCTGCTTTACCGCCATCAAGGAACTTCGCTGTGGTGAGGAGGTGTTGGGAGGAGCCGATGCGAGCGGTATGGTGATGAGTCGAGACCGAGCTCATTTGCGGTATTTGTATCCGCTGTTGGTCAAGGCCGTCAGCACGGCTGGCGACAGGTGGTCCGGGGCTGACGAAGTTCTCACACCGCTGCAGAATGTGCTTGCGAGCGTCGTACCGATGCAGTAATGTGATAGCATGTAGCTATTACCACGTCGGACGACCCTCATCCTTGATATTCCCAGGTCATCGTGTGGCTGCCGTTTTGCAGGATCGTGTACGCCTGACCATCGAAGCTGCGAGCGGCAATTGCATACCAGTCCTCTCCGACGGATTTTAGCGTTGCCAGTAGAAGCTTTTCGATGAATGCAGATGGCATGAAACCCCGCCATCGAAGTCGCACAAGATCCCGAGTGCTTCCTTCTGCTGATTCGTTGCTGGTGGTGGGTACTTCGTATCGACTGATAGCGGGATCGACATTGTCGCCCTTCTGCACCCGAGGGGAGAGGATGTTGACCAGACTCAGCCATTCCAGCAACTCCTCGGCCGTTTCGTGGTCATTTTCAGACACGTGGTCGGGGAAGGGTGGTATCAAAACGTTGCGTAGAGTCTCCACTTGTGGTTGAGAAGTCTTCCATACCGGCTGGTGCTGCGCGATAGGTCCAGCGCTATCGTTTGGTTCGCGCAGGTTGCAGAAAACCCAGGCGAGGCTGTGATTCAAGACGTTCCGTGCGGCCCAGAGGACTCTTTCGAATCCAGGCTTGCCGCGGACCATAGACGGGAGTCTAAGATTGAGCTCGACCGCTGTTGGCGAATAGTGGTCAGGACAATTACACGCTTGATTGAGCAAAGGCCGCCATCCCCGACTCACCATATCTGACTTTGATGTGCTTCCTTCCGGCACTTGGGATCGGCTTGCCTTCCAACCCCACACGCTCAAACGTTGGTCTGTCAATTTCCAGGCGCAGGATGCCATCGGATAGTGAGAAGACAGGGTCCACGCCTGGTCTACCTTCAGAGAGCATTAAGATGTTCCCTGTTGAGCTTAGCCTAGATTCGAATTGATCGGAGACGATAAGATGGACTCACCGGTCTTGATGTAGGCATTGAAGAAGTCACCGGTGAGGATGTCTTCAAGCTTGAGGTAAACTTTGGCGAAGTGAAGAGTCCCGTCTTTGGCATTGCTCAAGACCTTTTGCAGAGTTTCGGCGCTTGGGTTGGGAAGCGCGATGTCAAGCTGGTGGGTCTGGTTAGAATTCATCCGGTGGTGCCGAGGCAGCATAGGCTTACAGTATGAGTGAAGGTATGGGCGAGGATTGTAGAGAAGGGTTTCTTCTTGCGTGGGATCTGAGCATGATCGATATATGCTGCGAGGGACGAAGAGGTGAAGTAGCATTTCGGGGGCGACTTTTCGTCCTTGTTCAAGAGGAACATTTTGTTGTTGGTGTCGTGCGGTGACCACCGAATGGACCCAATGATGCTCTCCGCCCATCGACATGCAGGAAGGCAGTGGGTACAACACAAATTAATTGCAGGGCTGAAGTCGGATGATTGGGTAGATGTATGGCCTCAGGCACCAACTGCCCCCGAAGCAGTTAGCGCAGAGACGAAGGTTCTGGACTGGTCCGACGGGAAGGGGCTCGGCCCGACGCAGATTTCGTCAGTTGGGTCGGGACTCGGAGACCTGCAGGGCATGAGCGACGGGCGAGGACGTCAAGGTGTTCAAGGTGTCACAAGCATATGTTCATCGACGCCATGCTAGGAGTCACCTTGCCTTGTCTTCTTCATTCGACGCACAGCAACGGCTCTTTGAATACAGTTAGCAAGATAAGCGACCTTGGACGCACCTTCCCTGTTTGAGTGGAGTGAGGGCCGGCAAAGACAAGCGCGGTACGCTTCCTCCACTCCCAAACTCACGTGCAGCTGGGCGCTGGACATCAAGGTTGCCAAACCCGCGCATTCGCTCACTCACTCCTCCTCCTCCCGCCCGCACCTCGCCATGCCGTGCTTTTCGCCGGCATTGCCCTGTCCTGCTCTCCCGGCCACATTGATGAAATTCCCCGTCTCCGAGCCGCGGTCTGGTTCCCTTCGACATTCTTCTGCGGTGCCTGGAAGTGCAGACCTCACCTCGTCCGCTCCCTCCTCTGCCCGGCAATTGGGGCACAAGATGCCCTGCAGCCTGACGGCCGGCCCTTCATCAGTCAATCTGGAGCTCGGAAGCACTTCCTGATCCTCGGCCCTCCAGCAGTGCGAGAAGTCACTGCTCGCTCACCATTCTTTTTGCCCATTCCCCCATTCAACCGTCTCCAAAGCCATGGACTTCTCTATCCCGGGTGTTCCCATCCCGGAGAGCGACCTCCGCCATGCCCCTCCCCCGCAACACCAAGGCCTCCCTTATTTCGTCCAGCACGACGACGGCGGCATGATGCTGGACTCCGGCTTTGATTCCTCCTACTCCACCATGGGCGAGGATGATTTCGCTGCTGCCTTTCCGCCATTTCCGCCGTGCGACGACTGCACACCTGTTACCAAAACCAACATTCCGCACCACCACCACCCTTCCGGACGACTCGCCGGCGCCTCGGCCCAATTAGCCGGCCACTTTTGCTGTTCTTGGATCATCCACGACCAGCCTTGCTACCTCTGCTTCGAGTCTGCCGAGGCCCTGGACAACCACATCAAGAACGACCACGCGGGAAAGGACGGCACGTATCGCTGTCTATGGCACGACTGCTCCAAACATGACACCTCCACCCAAACCATCGGGCCTATGAATTTCGGCAACAAGCCCAAGCTTATGAGACACGTGCACAGCCATACCGGCTACAAGCCCTTTCCCTGCCCTTTCCCCGATTGCGACAAGGGCTTCGTCACGAAAGAGCAGCTGAAGAACCACGAGACCACCCACACCAAGTCGCGCAAGTACAAGTGCGAGCAATGCGGCAAGGCCTTTGCCGTCAAGTCCGCCCTCACCACCCACATCACCGCCGTGCACGACGAAAAGAAGATCCACAGCTGCGAGATTTGCGGCAAGGCCTTTGCCGACAGCTCCAATCTGTCCAAGCACAAGCAGACCCATTTCCGCGACAATAGCGCCAAGAAGCAGCGTAGCAGACGAAGCACTACCACCACCAACACCAACACCATCAGCACGAGAAGCTCTCCATCCATTGCCACCCCATCCGCCGAGCCGGCCACACCCGTCATGCACGTGCCCAGTCTCCAACAATTTGCCCTTTCCTCAGGCATGATGGCTCCGCCCGCTGCTCCCAAGCAGCCCTCCGCGCCAAACTTCTTCAACCCCCTCCCCGCAGCCTATTGCTCCGTGTCCACCACCTCCTCGGCCGGCTCGCCACTCCGCGACGCCTTCGATCCCAGCTACTACTGCTGCGACGAGCAGTGCCCGGCACCAGTCGGCCCCGCCACGCCCTGCGACTCCCCCGAGGAATGCAGCCTCGAAGGCTTCTGCGACCTGCCCGAGTGTCTCGGACAGACCGACCACGACACGGGCATATCATCAGCCGGCACATCTGCGCTAGGCTGCGCATGCGGCGAAGACTCGCCCCTCTCCCCCCATCAGATCGAGCAGCTGCGCAATTTCCACTCGGCCGCGATGGCTCCGTGGGACGCGGGCAATGTTCCGGGAGGTGTTGGGTTTGTGCATGCCGGCGCTGCTCACGCTCACCCTCCCCGCCAACATCACCAGGATGTCCGGAGCCAGTACTACGATATGCAGGGGAGTCTACGATGATATCACTCACGGCAGTACCTTATACATTTCAGCCCTCAGTGGGCAATGTGGCTTCTGCTTGGCTTAGCGACGGCGCTGGCGGCTTGTTTGCTTTTCAAATCCTCTCTACGATCGGAGCTTTCTTGACAATGGGGTGTAGTAAAAGCACTCTCGGACCGGAGAGCTGTTTCAACAGGAAGTCAACTGAACGCAGGCTGGCATAATTTTCTAGCCTCGAGGAATATTGTGATGAGAACACGTTCAACCACCTTGTTACATCTCTTCCCTTGATCCTCTCATACTCTTCATCACATCATCCCTCACTCCCTCTCACCAATCCAACTCACAATCCCTCCAAGCCTCAAAGTCCTCAGCCTGATACTCCCACTTCTCGCTCACCTCCTGCGCCCACGCTTTCGATTTCAAAGGGGAGGCAAGCCCCTTGCGGAGACGGCGGGCGTGCATGCCGAATGCACCTAGACGTTCTGGTGATCGGGAGGAGCAGCGAGTGGGGGTTCGTTTGTTGATGCGGTTGGTGAGCTTTCTTTCTTGTTTGCTGGTGGCGGAGTACGGTGTAGGTGGTGCTTTGTCGTCGATTTGGGTGTCTTGATTGTGATTGTGAGTGCTTAGGTCTGTTCCTCCGTTCCCTCGTTTTGGCGTGAGCGGTTCTAGCTTTTCGTCCTTTCGCTTGGGCGTGGAGATGATGTATGAATCTTCCATAATATTAGTATAAGAGGATCACCGGCAGGAGGGCCTCAGCTCACCGAGTTCCTCCTCGTTCAGTTCGGGTTCTTCGATGCTTTTGTTCGCAATGTCATCTGCGTTGGGAGTGTCTCGTTTTGGACGTTGGTCTGCCATCTTGAGTGCTGGTGATCATGGAGCAGGCGTGTGCCATGTCAAGAGCGAGGAGAGCGAGGTGTGAGAATGAAGGACTGGCTTGCAAGTGAAGCTCACGCGAATGACGGGCGTGGCAATTCAGGGAGGATGTCAAGTGAAGGTGACATGTGAAAGTGAGAGTGAGCTTCCAAGGGAAGCGCTGAAACGAGGAGTGTAGAAGAGAAAGGACGAAGATCGAGGACACATTGGCAGAACCACTGGGGAGCTTCGGACGCGCTATAGACCTGTGTAGAAGCGCTCGTCCGCCGCGTACATGCGTTTCCACAGTCCACTGGTACTCCAGTCCGTTTCTAGCCCCGCCCCATTTCGCCGTCGCTATGCATCGTGACTAGCCAGCCTCAGGGACGTTCGTCATTCGACTGTCGAAAAATCGCGGGAGCAATCAGTCCGCATTACCACCCGGGACCAATCCGCCACGCACCCCAAACATCTTCCCGGACACAGTGGCGGCAAAGGCATCGACCTGTCGCGAGTACTGCTCCACCTGCCTTCCCACCAGCAAACTCTCCAGCCGGCTCGGTTCCTGCGGCAGTTTGAACAGCTTCGTCCACTCGGTCTCGTCGAGGAGCGGCTGCTTTTGTTGCTGCCGCAGTTGGTTCTCTTGCTTCCGCTTCGTCTGCCATGCTGTGATTTTGGCTTGCTCGCGAGCCAGCGAGCGCTGGTAGTACTGCGCGTTGTTCTGCTCGATTTGGTGGGCTTCGATGCTGTCGAGGAGGAGGTCGGTGGTCTTTTCGAGGAAAGGGTCGATGCTTAGGTCGAGGGCGTCGAGGTTTGGTGCGAGGGGATTTGAAGTGGTGTATGGGTCGTGAGAGAGATCGGCGAGCGAAGAGGGGAAGTCGAGGGTGGCTTTCTCCGGGGGCGGGGTGGGAAGGGAGTGGAGGAAGGAGGTGAGGAGGTGAGAGTTGTGGATCTGGATGGGGATCTCGATGAGGATGTCTTGGTAGCGAAGTCCGGATTTTTGTAAGCTGGAAAGCGTCGTGTTAGTCTGTGCTCTGCAACATGAGTTTGGAGACCGGCATACCTTTCGGTTGAGAACTTTGCCTCTTTGTAGCTCGTCATGAAGCTCTCGCTTAGCCTGTACGCCTTCAGGCTCAAGCTGCCGGAAGCACTCCGACTGACATCAAACACCAGCGCGACCGACGTCCGCTCATCCGCCTGCTTTTGAAGGAAAGCCTGGTTCTCCACAAAGTTCAAGTTGACAAAGTTGCCCATGCTCGTGCTCGTGTACCATCCGACACTCTGAGCGTCGACGTTGACCTCGCGCATCAACTTGATCATCTCATTCTGATACCCCACGTTGCTCTTTGCGCGCGGTGCGGCGGCGGCGAGCGCGGCGGCATCGGCTTGGTAGTATTGGTCCTGCTGGGATTGCTCGGGGACGGATGCGGGGAAGGGAAAGCAGTTTGTGACTTGGAGTTGCGTGCCGGCAGACGAAGGGATGTCCATTCCGACCAAGCAGCCCGTGGCGGGCGTGGGGAAGGCGGAAGTGCTGTGCTTGATGATGCGCATCACCACGAGCGCTTCGATCTGCACTTCGCGGATGGGCGAGGCGTTTGCCGCGGAGTCAGCCATGCTGGGCAGCGTTGAGGTCGTCTGGCTGGCCTGGGGATTTTAGGGGAAGCCGTGGAAGTCGGGGATGGCGTGGATCGGGGGGTTGCGCAGACTCTGGCTCTGATCTTGGGGAGTTTGAAATTGTCGGGAATTTCGCGTGCGGTCGTCGTCGTCCAGAAGTGGGAACTCAGCCGAACTGGGTGTGGTCTGTCCTCATTGGTTGGCGGTCGCGGGCGCTAGCGGGAGTCGCAAAAGTGCTTCTAAAGTAGTTAATTTCGAGGAAGTGCAAGGCGGAATTCCCGAGAATCGCAGAAACTGCGAATTTCGGCATTCTCGTTCTTCGGACGTTCGATAGATAGGTTTCGGACCATGACATGAGCTAGGTAATGCTGGTGGTTCCAGTCATGGAATGTCGCGATGACCAAGCGTGGCATACGCCCTTCATGTTCCCCAAGAAGTATCCGAGAGGCGTGTAGTCGGGAGATCGCGGGGCAGTTGCTTATGAATTGCATCATGCCCGGTCACTGAATGTTGTCTTTGACAATACATAAACCGGCAACATCTCATGTCAATATTCGCCCGCAGGTCCTTCTGTCCAAACAGAGTTGTTCAAGGACGAGCATCGAATATTCGCACACGAAGTGAAGTCTGCCGTTCTACTCTAGCGACCCGAGTCCAAGCTGTCACTCAACTTCGCACGTCCAAGATGTCGACAAACGGCACGACAAACGGAAGCAACAAAGAATTGGATCCCAACCAAGGAGGCGATGCGAACAAGAAGACTTATCACAAACAGCCCACCGGCGAGGCTCTCAAGACCGCCAACGCGCACTCGGCCGACAACGAGCTCACATTGTACGGCAGCTGCTTTTGTCCCTTCGTCCACCGAGTCTGGATCTCACTGGAGCACAAGGGACTGCCATATGCCTATCGAGAAGTCGACGTGTACAGGAAGCCCAAAGAGCTCACAGATATTAATCCCCGCGGCCTTGTGCCGGCTCTCCGTCATGGCGAGTGGGGCAGCTATGAGTCGACGGTGTTGATGGAGTATCTCGAAGATCTGGACAAAGGCAAACCTCTGCTTCCCCAAGATCCCAAGCTGCGAGCTGAGAGCCGCCTCTGGTCTGACCATATCAACCGCCACATCATCCCCGCATTTTACCGCTACCTGCAAGCCCAGGACTCCGAGGATCAGGTCAAGTTCGCAGGTCAACTACGCGAACAGATTGCCAAGCTGGTTGATGCCGCGGATCCTCAAGGTCCCTTCTTCCTCGGTGACGAGCTGACGTTCGTGGATGTGCAGCTCGCCCCGTGGATTGTGCGCCTGGGCAAAGTACTGAAGCCCTACCGCGGTTGGCCAGACCCAGAGCCGGGAAGCAGATGGGAGAAATGGGTGAAGGCGGTGGAGGCAGCGGGACCTGTCCAGCGTACGACGAGTACCGATGAGTTATACTTGGACTCGTACGAACGATACGCTGAGAACAGGCCGAACACGAGTCAAGTGAGGGAGGCGATCAATTCGGGGATGCAGATGCCGTAGAGACAACGTCGATCTCAGAGATCGTTGCTGTGCGAATATCGAGACTCTACTCCGTCACTTCTTCCCGTCTCTTGTTTGGAGACCTCGAAGAATGCTGCCATTGAATTACCCCGCGCAACGCTTAGTATCGTTAAGGTTGCAACCTTTTTGATGACAAGCTCCCGTCACCCCACGCCCGGCAATGAAGCTGCAGGTTGGCAGGCTAAAGCCTAAACCTACCTAACCTTCACCCATCGTGCGATCGGCAGGGACAGGGGGAGAGGATAAGCGACAGTGGCCGAAGGGATGCGGAGAGAGGGTTTCGGGCGGCCAGCTGGTTGGCAGCACTCTGTGTTGTTGTTGTCGCGCAGACCAGAGTCGCATTTATAGCCACCAACAACCAACACAGCAACACAATGGGTCTCGATGTCGATAGCCTTCTCGTCCCCTTCCTGGGGGCGTTGCAGGCGTCTGTCGCCGTGCTGCTGACCATCTTCTCCGGCATGCTGGCGAGACAGTTCAGCCTGATCTCGGAGGAGTCGTCAAAAGACGTCTCCAGGATGTGTGTGAAGCTGTTCCTGCCCGCTCTCTTGATCGTAAACGTCGGGTCGGAGTTGCATTTGGAGACGGTACGTCGGGATGGCCGGTTTGGGTAAAGGAGCACGCGAGTAACCAGCAGCAGGGCTTCCGCTATCTCGCCATCCTCATCTGGGGCATCACAACTACACTCGTCTCCCTCGCCTTCGCCAGCGTCACGACGCGCGTTTTCAAGCTCCCGAGTTGGGCGACGCTGGCCATGACGTTTAACAATACCACCAGCCTGCCGCTCCTGCTCGTCAGCTCGCTCGCGACCACCAACCTGCTCGACGGACTCGACAAGGTCGGCGGCGCGACGTCCCGCGCAAACTCCTACTTCCTCGTCAACTCCATGGTCAGCAACTCCCTCACCTTCGCCATCGGCCCCAGGATGCTCAACGGCTTCGACGAAGACGGGCCCTACGACAACTGCAAAGCCGACGACATCGACGAGCAGATCGACGCCGAAGCGCGCGAAGCGGAGGAGGAGAACGAAGAGACGTCCCTCCTCCCGAGCCGCGTGGTCAGCGGCGGCACCAGAGCGCAGTACTCGGTGTACAAAAAGGGCGTGCACCTCCTGCACCGCCTGCCGCCCTGGGCGCAAACGACGCTCGACTTCCTGTACCAATTCGTCAACCCGCCCGTCATCGGCGCCGTCCTCGGCGCGACCATCGGCCTCGTGCCCGCGCTGCACCGCCTGTTCTTCAACTCGCAGGAGGACGGAGGGTACTTCAACGCCTGGCTCACGTCCGCGCTGAAGAATGTTGGCGGCCTGTTCGCCGCGCTGCAGGTGGTGCTTACGGGGGTTAAACTCTCGCAGTCCCTCGTGCGGATGAAGAACGGCGAGCAAGGCGGTACTCTCCCCCCGTGGACGTTTGCTCTCATCACCGTCTTTCGCTTCTTCATCTGGCCTGCCGTCAGTATCCCAATCATCTACCTGCTGGCCAAGAAGACGGCGTTGCTGGGCGACGATCCCATCTTGTGGTTTACAATGATGATGATGCCTACCGGACCTTCAGCCCTGATACTCACAGCGCTGGCGGACGTGAGCGGGGCGGAGGAGGAGCAGAAGTTTACGATTGCAAAGTTCTTGACGGTGAGTCGTTCATGGGAGAAGACGTTGACTGATGGCTGGGCTAATCATATCGTGCAGGCTACGTATGCCATCTCACCCATCATCTTCTTAACGGTCGTGGGGAGTTTGAAGGCGGCTGAGGCTGCTGCGGGTGTCTGATGCGGCACCCCGGTCGTCCTTGTCGGTGTTGGATAATCTACGGCCCGCAGATCTTTTTCCAGATACCCTGTCCTTCGCACGTCTGGGGAGCAGCGTGCGATGCGAGTGTTTGTTAATGGAGCTTCTTGGAGAAAACACCTTGTCTCGCTCAGGCCGGCCGTGCATCGTTCCACCGGCTCCACACAGAATGTGATCTAATTGAGAGGAGGTCAAGATGTGGATGACAGTTGATATATAAAAAGGTCGACTACAGCATACACGAGTCGTGAGCCACCGCCAGCAGAGTCTACACCCATGCACACCACGCCCAAGCTCCATCCTGCTCATTGCGCGTTCCAAGCTCTCTCTACAAAAGAGATGTACACTTTGAACACCTGCACTGATACAACCCCTACTACGTCTCGTGAATTTACGCCGCGGCCGCTGCGGCCTGTTGGGCCGGCGGGACATGTCCGAAGACATCCTTGTACTCGGTTGAGTATCGGCTGCGGTCTTGGGACTCGAGATCTTTGTACTTCTGTAAAAGCAAGAAGAAACGTCAGCACAACGAATGCCTAGATTTTCACCGAACAAGGGAAATTGAATTGCTCACCTGCTTCTCACTCTCATTCAGCGTCTTCCATTCCTGCGATATCAGCTTCGCCCGCTCGGCCACTGTGATATTCCGGAAGTCGCCGCTGGCGTTTCGATTGATGGAGAATTGAATGTACGCCCTCAACGGCTGCTTGACGGCGCGCTCGTCGTGGATGAGGGGATAGCGGGTCTTGGTGCCCTTTGCGGCGGGTTGGGTGCGTTTGAGATAGTTTCGCGCGCGATTGGCGGCTTGAATCACGTCCGGGGGGTGCGACTCCACCCAGCGTTTGTACTCGGCTTGTTGTGTTTGCTTCTGTTGTTGGGCGAGATGATTGTAATGCTGCAAAGCCATGGTTAGTCTTGTGGGTATGGAGATAAGGGGGGAATGGCTCGTCTTACTTCAATATCCGCGGGCGACAAGGTCTTCCACTCGCCATTCGCTTCCTTCAATGCCTCTGGCGCAGATTGCCCGGCGCCGACCTTTCGCCCTCTCGTATGCTCCCCGATGAAGACATTGTACGCCGTGACCCGCTGGCCGGTGGTGGGCGGCTTCAACGCGGTCTTCTTCAGCTCCTTGATCTTCGTGCTGGCGGCCTTGGCTTCCTTCTTCGCTTGCTGCTCCGGCGTCAACACCTTCTTGACCGGCTTCTTAGGTGCAGCCTTCTTCTTCGCTTTTGCGGAGGCCTTGCGGGCCTGCACCCGTTTCTTGGCTTCACCGCCATCAGCTGATCTGGCGTCGCGTTTGACCGCGCGCTTCACGGGCCGCGATGGCTCGCCGACTGCTGTTCTCGGTCGTCCGGGAGTGGCATAGGAGCGTAATGACGAGAAGACGGTCGCACGTGAGGCGAGATCTTGGAATGTAGCCGGGCGGAGGGCGAGACGACGCGTGGGGCCACGCAGCAGCGTGTTGGTGACCTGGCGGCCGAGCATTGTGGTTTGATGTTTCTTTGGCCGAAAAGTCGATCGTCGCGAGACTCTCCTCGATGGGTGACGCGTCGTGCCCAGTAGCGGATTGTCCCTTGATTGAGTGTGTAGGAGTTCAGGTCTCCAACAACTGGGTCGTCGCGTGAGATGGCCGGTTCGTGGCTGGGAGGAGCTCCGCATCATGCCCGCCTTCGCTTAGACTTCGCGGGAGTCCCCGCCTTGGTGAACTCTAATTCCGGTTTCAGCGCGCAGAGTGCAGCGCAAGGCTCGGGCTAGATACGTGGGGCATTTACCTTGTCCATCGAAGGTATATGTTGGACTCTATCAAAACAATCTATCATGGCGAAGATATGTAGCTACTCCTCGCGCGTAGCGTCGGTCCAAACTTGTAGAACACCCAGGGTACCGGCAGCATGGCTAGGCTCGCGAAACCCAATAGACTGCTGGCCCAGCCCACACCAAGTGCTGTGTACATCTGTACAATGAACAACGGAATAGTTGCCCCGAAGGTATAGCGCGCAAAGCTGTTGGCTGCCGTCGCGCTTGCTGCGTATAGAGGCCTGTAGACGAGGTGTCAGCTCCAAGGCTCTTGACCTTTGTGAAACACCAACGTCGACTTACCCATAGACCTGATTGACGTAGAGAGTTGCCGCCGAGAACACGAGGATATTCCCATATGCGTATACAGCCTCGGCAATAACCGGACAGATCCAGTGGACTCTCTCTTGTACAGACCAACCAAACCAAAATAACGACACGGGAAGACAGACGGAGCCGACCATTGCGACGTACAAGCGCTCCTCTGGCACGGAACCGGTGCTCTGCCCAGTCTCCTTAGCCCTCGCCATCCGTCGCTGGGAGGAGACTCGGGTAAAGAGTATTATGGACGCACAGCCGATCATTGAGCCGACCCCTAGTCCCAAGAAAGTCAAGCTCTGGAGCAGTTAGCATCGTGTTAGGGCGGTGTTTCAGGTATTCTGATATATCTCACCGTCGAGCCTATACCGAAGCCGTAGGCCTCGGCGAAGACGAACGGAAAGGCTGCGAAAAAGGCATACAGCATGCCGAAGTTCAGGGCAATGTAGAGGGTGAAGAGGCCGACGACAGGCTCGGTGCATATCATATGCAGCGGCCGAATCAATATCTTCGTGGTGAAGTCGTGAAAAGCCTGCCGTCTCGTTCGCTGCGGCTCGATGGACTCTTCGCCGCTGCGTCGAGCCCTTTGCTGTAGAATCTTGGCTTTGTAGGTTTCTTTCATTGCGAATGAAGGCAGCAAAACGGCGAGGACGAAGAACAGCATGATCCATTGAGTCCACCGCCAGCTTTCGCCAAGGGTAATATATGCGCCCATCACAGGCCTGACGTGTATGTGTCAGCGGAACAAGAATGCACGTAAACCGAGCTGCACAGCTTACCCGATCGCCGGGCCCAAGAATGGCGAAAGCACATACACAGCCCAAGGGATGGCTCGTTCGTGAGGCGCCCACAGATCAGCTAGCGAACCGCCCCCAATGCTAAGGCCTGGACTGCCGAAAACCCCGGCAAAAAAGCGACAGATCGTGAGGGAGGCGATATTCGTGGAGAAGCCTGCTCCAAGCGTAAATAGCGCGAAGCCAGTCATCCCGACCTGATATACCCGTCGCCGGCCGAAATTCTCGCTGGATGGTCCAGCTAGCAAAGGGCCGGCACCGAGTCCTAGCGTGTACAAGACAAACGGCAAGAGAGAGACCTCGCGTGAGACGTGGAGATCGCGTTGTATTTCCGCCAGAGCTGGAGTGATGATGGAAGAGCCCGTAGTGCACACGAGCGCGGTTGCGGCAGGAATAAAGGTGTGGTATATTCTCATGCCTTTGGACCAGTTGTAGGGGTTTGCTGGATCGTCAGGCCCATCCCAATCGAGCACCACCATCCTCTGAAACGAAGGACGCGTGCTGCGAGCAATGTCTGGAGTTGAGGTTAGTGCCGTAAACGGCGGTGTCAGAGGTATTGCTCACCTCTGGGTCTGAAATTTTCAATTACAAGTGCCGGAAACAGCAAGTAGCGTTCGATAACGCCCTCGCATGGCTTATCATCGTGAGCGGTCCGGTTTGCCGTTGTCACATTGTCAAGAGGCTCTGTATACCGCGCTTTCAGAATCGCCGAAGGGCGAGATCAGTAATCGGACTTTTGACCGAGCTTCGTCAAACACGCCAATCTTGTGCAAACATCACTAGTTGTCAGAGCTACATTGGGCGCCCTCTTAGACAAGGCGCAATCCCGTGGATTTTCAACAATCTTTTGTAGTACCTGACGTTATTATGCGGAAGCGCGCATGACGAGCCTTTGGAGATGTCGTCTTTCGGTGCCAAGACTTGAATCTTTAACGATGACTAACAATCTCGCGCTAGTGGGATCTGCTTCACATGATCCTCGAAACTTCAAAGTTGTTTTACACCTCACAAACATCACCTTCCGTCAACGTCTTTCACGAGTTGGCATCACAGCAAGAACGCGGCTGTGAGAGGCTGACTGATCTGAATGGTTCATCGGTAAGACTTGCATCGTCCACATCCTTCCACGTGCACCACGGCGGAGGAAAGGCAGTGAGCGAGCGGGCAGGCGGCAAGGCAGCAGGACAGAGGCAGCGGGAATCGGAAGAGGAGCAGGGGCGGAGTGAAGGTTGCGTTGAGAGTGTGTGGGTGACAGAGCGACAAACAGGGGGAAGTACGACGTTGTGAACAGTTCGGCCATCAAAATGGTCCGCTCACCACCCCCCAGAAGCAAGTACGACCATCGCGGCGGGCGGCAGGACTATCGCGACAGACGTGATGGCGACTACCGACAGAGGGTAAGCAGTCCTGAGAGACCTTCTGTGCGCACCGCACCGCGACGGCAAGCTCTAACATTGGCGCAGCCCGCATACGACCCTCGCTACGATGCGCGCTCTCGTGATCGTTCCCGCGACAGATACGAAGACCGTAATCGATCGAGGAGGGAGTATTCGAGGGACAGGAAGAGGTCACGCGAGAGGTCTCCGGTAAGAGACAGACGCCACGACCGGAGCAGAGACAGATACCGTGATGATCGCGGGTACGACGACCGCGACAGGAAGAGAGCCAGGCGCGATGACTTCTCGCCCCCACGCCACTCTCGTCGTGACGACAATCGAGACCAGCAGCGACCTTCCAGCAGCAGGAGCCATGATGTGAGTCTTTCAAGCCTACCACCGCCCTCTCGAGCCGAGCTAAACAAGCAGTCCACTGCCGAGGTCGACCCTGCCGTAGCAGAGGAGGAAAAGAAGGCGCGACTCGCAATGAAGGTCGATGCGTGGAAAAAGAAGAAGCTCATGAAAGAGATGCAAGAGGGGAAACACATTGGAGCGGCCGACTCCCCAAGTGGGACTTCAGCGGCATCGCCTGGCCTCATGTCGGCATCATCCACCGCACCTCAGTCACCAGCCATGGATACAGCAGCACCCGCCGTCCCTTACGCTGGCAAATTCGATCACAAAGCCATTGCCAAGCGAGCTGCGGCAGCGCTGGAGAAGCGCAAGGCGGCGTTGGGAGGCGACGTTGTCATTCCCAAGTCAGCAAACGAAACTTCTAACAAGCCTAGTTCCACTGCGGCTGACATCACCAAGGCCGCTCCCACTCGTCCTGTCGGCGGTGAGTGTTCTCTGCCCATGATGTCCGAATCCGAAGTACTGACAAATCACGAAGGCTCTGCACCAATCGATGCCAAGTTTACTGGTTTCGGGCTGAACAAAGCACAAGCTGAAGCTTCGAAGGACGTGCCAATGACTGGCTCCAAAGCAGCTGCACCCCTCGACGAAGATGAAGAGGTGCAGCGCAAGTTAGAGAAGCTCCCCGACATGCCTGCTCAATTCGATACTGGCGATGCTGCGCTCGCTAATGTGGTAGATTACCAAGACGAAGGCGAGGGCATTCGATCGGATGAGGAGGAAGCTGAAGCGGCTCGTGAAGCAGCTGTCAAGCGCGCCGAGCAGGCTCAAGCTGAGCAACAGGAGATCACCATGACCGATGTCGCAGCTGCCCCGCCCACCCAGCAAGTGACTGCAGATGTCGAGCCAGACAAGATGGAGGAGGACGAAGAGATCGATCCACTCGACGCTTTCATGAGCGGGTTGACTCAGCCAGCGGAAACCACTGGTCCAAATCTCGCCATCGGCAAGGGAAAGAAGAAGCAACCACAAATCTTCAACAGTGATGACGAGGAGGCGGATCTGGACGCTATCGGGACCGGCGCCGAAGACATATTTGCGTTGGCGGCCAAGCGCAAGAAGAGAGAGATGCCCACCATCGACCACTCGAAAGCGGAATACGAGCCTTTTCGCAAGAACTTCTACTCCGAGTCCGTCGAGTTATCAGACATGACCGAAGAAGACGTCGATGTCTTGCGCGCCGATCTCGACAATATCAAATGCCGCGGTGTCGATGTTCCGAAACCGATTGTGACGTGGTCTCAAGGAGGATTTGGCACTCAGATTCTGGATGTGATCCGCGAGCAAAAGTTCGAGAAGCCGACGGCAATCCAGTCGCAGGCCTTACCTGCCATCATGTCCGGACGCGATGTCATCGGTGTCGCAAAGACCGGATCCGGAAAGACGCTGGCCTTTCTTCTGCCCATGTTTCGGCATATCAAAGATCAGCGACCGTTGGAGAATCTGGATGGTCCCATTGGACTCATTCTGGCGCCGACGCGGGAGCTGGCAACACAGATTCATCGCGACTGCAAACCGTACCTCAAGGCTCTCAACCTGCGCGCAGTCTGCGCTTATGGTGGCGCTCCGATCAAGGACCAAATTGCGGAGCTCAAGCGCGGCGCTGAGATTGTTGTTTGCACTCCTGGACGCTTAATCGACCTGCTGGCCGCAAATGTTGGCCGCGTTACCAACCTGCGTCGCGTCACATACGTTGTCCTGGACGAGGCGGATCGCATGTTCGACATGGGGTTCGAGCCACAGATGCAGAAGATATTGGGCAACATACGCCCTCAGCGACAGACGGTGCTCTTCTCGGCCACTTTCCCGCGGAACATGGAAGCCCTTGCACGCAAAGCCCTCAACAAGCCGATCGAAATCATGGTGGGCGGCCGAAGCATCGTGGCGCCGGAGATTACGCAAATCATCGAGGTGAGGGCAGAAAACACGAAGATGCGCCAGCTTCTCAAATACCTTGGAGATCTCCACGGCGACGATGATGACGTGCGTTCGCTGGTGTTTGTGGATCGACAAGAGACTGCCGACCGCCTGCTGTCTGAGCTCTGGAAATACAATTACCCGACTGTGTCGATTCATGGCGGTCGCGACCAGTCTGATCGTGACGATGCCATCGCCGACTTCAAGAACGGCGTGGTCCCGGTGCTGATTGCGACTTCTGTGGCTGCCCGCGGCCTAGATGTCAAGCAACTGAAACTCGTCGTCAACTACGACTCCCCCAATCACGGCGAGGACTATGTCCACCGCTGTGGACGTACTGGCAGGGCTGGTAACAAGGGCACAGCCGTGACCTTTGTCACTCCCGAGCAGGAGCGCTTTGCACCATTCCTCGTCAAGGCGTTGACTGATGCCAACCAGCCGGTGCCGGACGACCTGCAGAAATTGAAGGACGCATTCGATGTGAAGGTCAAGGCTGGACAGGCGAAGAAGAGCGGCTCCGGCTTTGGCGGCCACGGCATTGAGCGCCTCGAAGCAGTCCGTGACGCCAAGCTTGCTGTGCAGAAGAAATCGCACAAGACGGGTGACGAGCCGGACGACGATGATGACGAAGCGGAGAAGAAGAAAGACGATGCCAAGAGCAAGGCCGACAACATGATTGCAAAGGCCATCGGCGCGGTGAGAGACCGCGATGCCATGCAAGACGTCGTATCCCAGCAATCGGGTGACATCATCCCCGTCTCCCTCGCCGACCATCTTGAGAACGCGATGAAAGTGCAAAAGGCGGAAGTGGCGCCACCCCCTACCTTCAACCCTAACGATCCGCTGGCAAAACTGCACGCTCGCGCCGCCAGCATCAACAACCGCTTGGGCACCAAGGGTGTGTATCGCCAACCGTACGCAGCATCTAACCGTCTAACATCTCGAGCAGGAGCGACGCGCCCCGGCGTACCCATCGACAACCGCGGGCCCGACGCCGGCGCCTTCCACGCGACGCTGGAGATCAACGACTTCCCGCAAAAGGCGCGCTGGAGCGTCACGAACCGCACGAACGTGGCGAAGATTCTCGAGGCGACGGGCACGTCCATCACCACCAAGGGCACCTTTTATGCTAAGGGCAAGGAGCCGGAGGCAGGTGGGATGCCGAAGCTGTATATTCTCGTCGAGGGCGATACGGAGGTGCTGGTGGAGAATGCGATGAAGGAGTTGACGCGCTTGTTGAAGGAGGGCACGATCATGGCGATGGAGAGTGAGGGGAGGCAGGGGACTAGTGGGAGGTATAGTGTTGTTTGATGGGAGGAGGGATGCTGATGATGATGATAGCACGAGGTGGGTCTATTTTCGGGTTTGCGTTTGCATGTGCAAAAGCGAAGGAGTTTGCGGCCGTCTGGCCTGCTGTTTTGTGTGGAGGATTAAGGTAGTCTAAGGCTGGACTTGGGACGCTGAGTCTCATAGTCGCCGAATCAGGAGAGAGTCTTCGAACGCTTCTACACCTAATCAAGCCTCGTGTTCTGCGTGGGCGAGAAGGAAGGTCCTTCTTGCTTACTGCTGTGCGAAGCACAAGGCTACCTCGATCACGTGAGCAGTATAATCGCCTTGAAACGCCACTACTTGAGCTCCCCTGTGCAAGTCACCTCAACAAAGCCATCTTGACGGATTCAACCCACATATTCCACGCCGCGAGGTAGGGCAAAGGACAAAAGAGCGGACGAATCCCGCACTAAGATTAATTGCGTCCTCCTTTTCGGCATATCCACCACAGCAATCCAACCGCATCTTCGCAAGCTGGACATTGCCCCCATCGGGACTGTGCCGCAATCGCGCAACGCGTCGTCTCGACACAGTGAGGGGTTGCGTGAGATCCGAGACCAGCGACATTTTCAAAGTTCAATGGTCGTGATCAGCTGGTGAGCATGTTTCACGCGGGTACGAGATTGGGCGGGAAGTTTGAGGATGGGTGCAGTCGCATCGGGAGGGCTAAACTCTCGCATGATTTCCTGGGCGTGATCGAAGATGCGGTCCGCGTTAGGGGTGGGCGTAGCGTGGTGTGTGGGGACGGGCGCCGTCAAAACTTGCCCCCTGCAGAGAGGCTGCGTGCCACCGGATGTTGACGTCGTTGATGCGGGTGGGTTCGGTGGATACAGGCTATGATAGTCTACGACCAACGTGAAGTTGTTTTTGGATATAGGGTTTAACTCGGAGCTGGGAAATGAGGCTCGGGTAGGGCCAGACACATGGATCGATCCCCGGCGCTGGCGGGGTTGTTGTATGTGCATCGTGATTGTGGTTGCGATGGTGTATCAGAATCAATGCTGGAGGACAGGAGTGTGGAAGAAACCGGTCCAACCGACAATGCTACCGTAGCTGCTGTGAGTTGCGTACGTGCTTGCGTGTAAATACGGAGGCCCTAGCCGGGGCACGGCACTTTTCCTGGACCCGTGGGGTATCAACAAGGGACAAGCTCGAGGGAATTAAGAGAGACTTCGATACTCGGACGGGATGTCGTGCGCGTGAGCCACAGCGACTCCGTGTCCAATCTGGGTAGCTTGTCGGCAGATTCTCCGCGGGGAAGAAGGCGCCATTCCTCACGGGTCAGACGTAAGCCGTCGCGTACGGAGCAGGCTGGGCAATCGAGCGATGCAGTCCGGATCTCACGATGTATGATGTCACAGGGGAGCGCGCTATGGGCGCACGTTGCGGCTCACCTTGTTTGGGGATGGCGCAAGCCACCGTGCAAGAGGCTTGACGGAAAGTGGACGCGAGGGAAAGCCACCGAGGGTCCCAGGGCGGGCAAGATCGACAGACGCAGAGGGTATCGCCAGATGCCGAGGGTCTGCTGATGCGCAGGGCAATCGGCGATGGCCCAAGCGGCACTTGGGCGCGGGTGCTGCGGATGGCGCGACGCCGACCAAGATCGGGGTCCAGAGGCTGCATCGACGTGCGGGCTGCGGGCCGGGGCTTGCCGCTGGCGGGAGCTAGCTTGTTGGGGATGAAGCCGGCTGCTCGTCACATGCAGGGTTCGGGCGGAAGGGTCAGAGGTGTGGCGCGCACATAGCAGAAAGGCTATCGTTTGGGAGAGGCGCGAGGGTTTCTTGGAAGAACGAGGGAAGTTGGTAGAGTAATGCTGACTGCAGTGGCCTGCGCCGTCCAAGACTCGGCGCCATATCTCTCGGCTACTGCCCTTTCGGAAAATGCCTTGCCTTTTCTCATCTCTTGGAGAGACGGCGAACATTGGCCAGGCTGCTCGCGGAAAGTCTATTGGCCGACCGGTGACGTCGTCATGATAGCATAAGCGTAGCGCAGGAAATTGCTTGGAATATAATTAGGGAAGTGTGCGAAAGTGGTCAAAGCCGTGCCTGCCATGTCTGACTAGCCAGGTGGTGAAGTTCCAAGGTCATGCGGGTCCTGGACAGCGGGAAGATCGAAATATCATGGGTGTATAGCCGTGAGATCTCGATTGGCAAAGGCAGCGCTAAAGCGGCGTGGAGAACCGCGGGTTTCAGTAGGATTTTGGCACGAGTGTGGCGTGGTCGTCGCGATCGAACGCCGCCACAGAGCAATCATGGCCTGGTATGCTCGCCCTGCGCGAGAGATGTCGCGGACTGAGATGAGACATGGCATGAAAAGAATGGAGGTAGCTGTGCGAAAGTAGCCGTAGCTCGACGACGTGGCAGGGATCAGTAGCGGGCAAGACAAGGCAAACGGGCAAACCCTGGCAGCGTTCATCCCATCGGCGATCCAGGGTCAGCCCCGCAGCGGCATGGCCCCAAAGGCACAAACTGAAAAGGTACGCGAAGCGGCTAGCGGGCGATGATCGGTGGCTCTGCACGAGTGAGCCACAAGCCATCAGAGATGCTGGCGCGCGACATCCGGCGCCGCCCAGTCTGGCACTCTTTATATCCCACTCCACCGCTTTTCCAGGGTCCCCGCGCCTCGTCCATCATCACCTGCTTCCGCTGCCTTGCGCGCGTCTTCTTGCCAGTCGGATGAGATGGATTGCGACCCTTCTCTGCCCTGATCGACCTTTTCCATCTCACTCTGTCCCATCCTGCTCCGAACGCTTTAGTCACTGCTCGCATCTCCTCGCTACTCCCGTCTGCTCCAACACATCCACAACAACCTGTCCTGCTTCCGCCTAACCAGCGTCGACGCATTCTGCAACGCACGCCCATCAACGCTCTCCACCGACTCTCCCATCACACCGCACCGCGCTGACAAGCTCTCCTTCCCGCTACTGGCACACACATGATGGACGGTAGAAACTGCACCGGCCGCAAGATATCCCTACTCAACGATATCAGTGCCGCCGCCGCCCTTCCGCAGCGCAAAGTCCAGCTGCCCCCGCTTCTCAGTCACGCGTACAGTCAAGACTACCAGCATCGGCCACAGCCTCCTTCACGAGACTCCAGCTGCGAGTCGACCCCCAGCCTCGCCCCGCAAACGCCCCAGCTGTCGCGCACCAGTTCCCGCGACTCGCGCTCCTTCTCCACCCCGTCGCCGCTGACCCCTTCCTACAACTCGTTTGAAAGCGGCGCCACTCCCGACACCGCCACCCCGCGGAAGTCGCGGTCTGACCACCACTTCTACTCCCGACACCATTCCTACAGCACCATGGACGACTCCACCATCCCACTCTATCCGCCCATCCCCGACGCCACCTCCATGATGCCCTCGGTCTACCCAATGCCGCAGCAGCTGCCGCCGCAGCAACTCTCACAGACCAGCCCGCCGCAGCATCAACGTCCATCCAGCTCGCCGGCCTCCGAGCCCTCCCACGTCTCCACTCTTTCGGCTGCCTCCAACTCCAACAAGGCGCAACCGAAGAAGAACCAATACCCGTGTCCCATGGCGAAGCAAGTCGGCTGCACCGACTACTTCACCACCTCCGGCCATGCCGCTCGGCACGCGAAGAAACACACCGGCAAGAAGGACGCCTTCTGTCCCGAGTGCAACAAGGCCTTCACGCGCAAAGACAACATGGAGCAGCATCGACGAACGCACCAGAATGGGGGCCGAGCCGCGCGAGCAAGTAACACGAGCGCCACTACCGACGACGCGAAGGTGAAGAAGCCCACCAAGCCCGCAAGCAAGAAGTCGAACATCAAGGCGGAGCCGCAGCAGTTCGAAGCCGCGCTCGAGCAACTCGCGGCGGAACAAGCCATCGCCGCCACCATCTCGCCGACCATGCACATCCCCACCCAAGTCACTGCCGCACACCAACAAGCGCAAGTCGTGCAACAACTCGCAATGGAGCAGGCAATGATGATACCGCCCGCCGGGCCCTACTTCCTTGGTAGCGGTCTCGACACCGGCCCCGTTCCGAGTCTACCGATGCTGGTCTCCGACCTGAACATGCGCCCTTCCCTCCACCGCTCCAACATCACCACCAGCCTCGACTACATGCCCCCCGCGACCCCTCTGCTCGCCGACCCAGACATGCACTACTCCTACCCCTCGCCCGGCCTGTCGAACGGGCTTAACAGTCTCGCCCTGGCGGCCTGCGAGCACCGACGTCTGTCGGAGGAGAAGGCACAGTCCCGGAGTCCGAGAAGCGAGCAGGAAACGCCAAGCGGCGAGACACCGACGGGCACGTCGCCGTGATGACATTTCGCACCGGAAGCCGCGGAGCCCCACACAAAAATCACCTTACCCAACAAAATAATGTGCGCCATTATACCCCATACCCACCCTTCAGCACACAGGCGCAGCGAAGAATGGCAACCTCGTGCCGACGACAATGAGACCTACCACACCTCACGCAACTCGTCCGCAGCACCCCGCCTTCTTCGACCAAAGACACCACCGCACCGGGCCACAACAGCAATCGGCCCCGACGACACTTTTTCCCCTTCGATTTCGAGACCATTACCTTTTAATGATACGACCACCACTTCTGGTCTTTGGCATGTCTTGCTTAGTCGATAGCCCAGATGGGCAGATGTGCGAATGCGAGTGTGTTACGAGTACATACAGATGAGCTCTCTACCACCACCTGGAGAGAGGGCTCTTGCACGGTGCAGCTAGACTGCCGTGGGAGGCGGAATGGAAACGCAGGGGCCGGAGGGCTTTGTCTGCTGCAGTTTACTCTGCAGTTACTGTAGCGAGAATATCAAAGGATTCGTCTTTGAGAGCAATCTGTTCTGTTCCCGTTCCCTTCCTTGTCTATGATTGCTGGCTCCGACTGGTTTGTGTCTTTCGTTTCCACCTGGTCTATATGAGCAAAGCTTGCCACCTTGTACCTCAAGCAAACCGCCAACAAATCGACACAACATTGAAAGCAATGGCAAATACGTGAACAAGTAGCTCATTCATCACTCACACTCACTCCATTTGTCAAAAGCAAGCACCGTGTCTGACAGAGGGCTACTTAAACATCTCGCGCGGCGCTGCAAGTCTGTCTTCTTGCTTCTACATCAGCGCTTCACCCACCTCTATACCAGTCATTACAACTCCGCCTAGTCAATTCGTCTTGGTGATATATACTCGCTCTTGCTCTGGCTCTAGCTCAGGAAGCCAACACGCCTGTAGAAGCAGGTACGCTTTCTCAAAGATATCCTATCTCACACTTCTTTGCGAGGGCATGGACTAACCTATCTACACAGATGGAACGACGCGCCAGGCCTTCGCACTCGCCTCCTCACCATCGATCCTCAGTGCCTGCTCCCGTCGCTTTCAGCAACTCGAGAATCATCCGTTGGCTCTCGCGCTCTGGCGAGCACAGATGCAATTGTCGGCGGCGGTGGTGGTCGAGCCGGGAGGCGGGCGAAGCAACGCCTCAGACAGCGTGAGCAGCCTGGATGGCCAACGTGGAAGTGAAGTTGTGTTCTCTTGTCACGACTTGCAATTCTCACCGCCGGACTCCAGGAGGGTTTTCTGACGGCAGCACACCACAGAAGCAGCAGACGATGGTGCCGTGCAACACCCTGAAGCACATTGATTTTGCTGACGGGCCTCATCGCAGGGTTGCGAGCCTTGCGTTCGAATGAAGGCCAACGACACTGCCCATGTCGAAGAGCACAGCGGCTCCCGCGTCGAATATACTGGTGCATGGTGATGTATACAAACAGCAAATTCTACGGATGGAGCCGAACACGGATGATGTTACACTGGCCCGCTGTTCCACCACCAAGTCCTACTCGGCGCAGAGGGTGGCGAGGGCGAGGAAGCAGTCAAACAGTTGCCGTGGTGGGCACGCCGTCTTCTTATACCAGAGCCGCAAGACGGACGCACGATTCCTTGGAAGCGTCCAAATCATCCACTATATCCTGATGGAAGAGCCACATCAAGCACCACCGTGGCAGCGACGCCGTCAAATCAGACTGGACTGCGTGTCGGTTCCCAACCATTCTGCAGCATGGGGCGGATGGCAAGCGCACTATCGAGATCATGCACTGGCCATCAGAGCGCACTGTCGAGAAGTACAACGAGCCGCCGCCGTGTCGTGCACAAACAGCACCAACGACACCAACACGTCCCTCGTGTTGCCGCCACGCCGTCTACGAAGTGGTCGCTCAGGAAAGTATCATGTTGCCTCCTGATACTCCCTCCCGCATGGACTTCCTCAGCCGGCAGCTTTCCTGCTAGACAGTCACACCCTCGCCATTGGTCTGATCAGCAGCACCATGCGTGCCAAGCTCATCAACTACTGTTATTCTCGGGAAGGACCAGAAGTGAGATGGGTCAACAGCGCCGACGTATATCCTCGCGTCGGCTCAGTAATGTCCGGGTCTCGCGAAAGGGCCGGACGAGATATTCAAGGGCCTCGACCTCCGTGCAAGAGCACAACGTGACGCCATCACATTGTGCCTGCCCCGGACACACTACACTATATTCCTGCCGAAGAAGGAGGTGCATGTCTCCAACCGGCATGCCACTCGATGCTATAGCTGGAGATCAACTCTCGCTTGACTACGACCGAGGGCGGATCTTTCCCCATCAACCGACCGGAGGCAGCGCGAGCAGCATTCGACCCAACTACCGCCGTCTGTCCTCCTGGGTTTTGTTCTCGATTTCCAGCAGACTGAACATTAACGTATACCTCGCGTCCAACAACGAGGAAAGCACAAGTTCGCGTGAAAATATATATCCCCAAATGTATATTGCGCGGTCTCGTGCAAGGGAAGGCCGCTCAGGCTTTGACGGAGAGGGCAGAGCGTCAGAAGCTGAACGACAACGAGCCTGACATGAGTGTGGGCGAGTTGGACGACAGCTTCCCAAGATTTCACAAAGGCCCAATAAGGACAACAAGAACGGGGGGAAACCGGACGGCGACAAGCAGACCAGGGATGGAGAGGCACCGTACCATGCCCAACGACAAGCTGCTGTGCGAGCTTAACACGGCATACATGATCGCCGAGATCATCCCTTTCAACCGTCAACAATGACTGTGGCGGGGCGATCCAATGCCAAAGAGCATGACGTACATGTCTGCGCCCAAGAAGAAGCGACGGGGAACGAGCAGCCGGCCGAAGCTGATGCTCACGAAGAATCCTCTTGCCATCAACGACGAGAGCAGGGAGAAGCACGCCAGAACAAAGCCCAGGCTCTGAGCATGTCGTGCGAAGCGTACGGTACATGCTTCCATCGTCCAACTGCACGGCGACATCCACGACTCCGGCATGTAATCTTTCGTGCAGCCCGTTATCGCCTGCTGAGCACGCTCGACGACGCACTCAATCTTTTCCACATGCTGTGGGACATCGCCAGCGACGTATTGGTCACCATCTTTCAATAGCAGACATGATTGGAGGGACTGAGGAAAGGGGAGGAGAAGGACTGGAGAAAGCCATATGGTGCAGTGGGAGAGTGTAATCTACCTGCCGCAGTGAAGTAAATGCCCGAGCTTTTTCAACTTCAAACTTCGTTCCCCATTTTCATTCCATCTATCGTAGAGCGCGGCAACGACAGTTCGCCCCAAGCCAGTGCGGCCAAGAGCCTACAACTTCTGCATAGCAGCAATGTCAGAGGACTGGACGTGGTCTTCGAACCCATCAATCTCCTCCTGCAGCTCGTCGAGGGAGATCTTCTCGTCCTCGACGACCAAGTTGATCTGCAACTTCTTGATGCCGAAGCCGACCGGGACGAGCTTGGAGCCACCCCAGACCAGGCCGTCCTTCTCAATGCTGCGCACGTGGGCCTCGAGTTCCTTCATGTCGGTCTCGTCATCTGGGAATCGCTAGTCAGCACTGTTGTAACAATTTTCGTGATCAGGTAGTAGGCAATGCATACCCCACGGCTTCACATCCAAGGTGACAATCGACTTGGCAGCGGGCTTGGTCTTGCCCTCCTTCTTCTTCCTGTACTCCTCCAATCTCTGCGCCTTGATCTTCTCGGCTTCCGCATCCTCTTCCTCGTCGTCGGATCCGAAGAGATCGACGTCGTCGTCATCCTCTTCCTTCTCGGGCGCCTTGGGGTTGATGGGAAGGGTGGAGACCTCAGGGCCGTAGGCGGTCGCTGCTTTGCTTGGGTCGCCGGGGAGAGAGGAGAAGTCGGATTCGAAGGAGGCGGTGTGCTTGTACCAGCGGTAGGCGTGGGGGTATTTCTCAACGGCGGGTGCGCTCTTGATGGTTTGGTAGACCTTCACATCGGCCTGAGATGGGCCGTAGCTTCAATGATGCGTTAGCAGCTGCGGAACGTGTGGCGCGATTTGTATGCAGCAAAGAAGCAATGTGAAGGAATCAGAGGTGCGCTGATGCGCAATTGGAAGTACTCATTGGACGGGGTCTTACGCCGCCTCATCAACACGGACCAAATTGATCTCATCAGGGAAGGGGAGGAGGGAAAAGAGGAGATGTGGAAACATACCCAACGATGTAGCTGCGAGTCTTGACCCACTCATCGAGGACTGTGGCAAGGGTCAGTCGGCGCGCTCGCCGTTGGGGATTGGAGAAACATACGTCTGAGTCCGGCGTCGGAGAGGAGGTCGGTGAAGCCCATCTTAACGGTATGTGCGCTTTGCTGGGTGTTTGGATTGTTGAGAGGATGATCTCGAGATCAATGAGTGTACTTATGGAGAGGGAGGGTGATGAGTCGGAGGGTGAGTCTTGGAAGCAGCTTGAGGTAACGTTGGACCCTTTGGACACTTTTTCTTCGACACACCTGCAAAATTATATTCTCAAAACGGTTAGCGTGATTTGCGGAGATAGTGCGGATCTAGCCGTTATCAATGCTTCCATCTCCGTCCATGTCGAATGCGCGAGACACTTCTTCATTCTGGTCCCTCTATATCTGCCGCCAGGTTGATCATAATGGAGCACTTCATGCCTGTTGGGTTGAACGAACCTTCCGCCAGTCTTTCACTTGACTTGTAGTGAACATGATCATTTCAACCACCCGCAACGCCGCCCGGCGCATTGCGAACGTTCGCTATCCTCTACCACGAAACCTCCCCCGAACCACCGCTCTACTCCCAACCCATTCAGCATGGCCATCAGTCAATCTCCCAGCTATCACTCCAAGCCTGTCTCGACAGTATGCAAAAGGCCGACCTCATCCACCGGGCGGCACACATCGCATGAACCTGGGTGGCAACGAGCAAGAGAAGCCGGCTCTCGAGCAATACGGAGTCGACTTGACGGCGCGAGCAAGAGATGGCAAACTCGACCCCGTCATCGGTCGGGACGCTGAAATCCACCGAACAATACAGATTCTGTCTCGAAGGACGAAGAATAACCCTGTGATGATTGGTGCTGCTGGGACTGGCAAGACTGCCATCTTAGAGGGGCTGGCGCAGCGCATTGTAAGAGGCGATGTTCCCGAGAGCATAAAAGAGAAGAAAGTCATCAGTTTGGACCTTGGGTCTCTGATCGCTGGAGCCAAGTTTAGAGGTGATTTTGAGGAGCGGCTGAAAGCTGTGCTGAAAGAGGTTGAAGATGCGCACGGTGGTGTGATACTCTTCGTTGACGAGCTGCACACGCTTCTCGGCCTGGGAAAGGCGGAAGGCAGCATCGATGCCAGCAACCTGCTGAAGCCTGCGCTGTCCAGAGGCGACCTACAATGCTGTGGCGCAACGACTTTGAATGAGTACCGACTGATTGAGAAGGATGTTGCGCTTGCGAGACGCTTTCAACCAATCCTGATTGGCGAACCGACGGTCCAAGACACGGTGTCCATTCTTCGAGGCATCAAAGATCGCTACGAAGTGCACCATGGTGTGCGCATCACGGATGGCGCTCTTGTAGCAGCAGCTACATACAGTAATCGCTACATCACCGATCGCTTTCTTCCAGATAAAGCCATCGATCTGGTCGACGAAGCTGCTAGTGCCCTTCGCCTGCAACAAGAAAGCAAGCCAGACGCCATCCAGGAGTTGGACAGACAGATTATGACAATCCAGATCGAGCTGGAAAGTTTACGGAAAGAGTCAGACATTGCGAGCAAAGAGCGACGGCAGCAACTCGAGCGAACGTTGACACTCAAGCAAGACGAAGTCGGAGCCCTGACCGAGAAGTGGGACAAGGAGCGCGCCGAAATCGAAGAGATCAAGAAGACAAAAGAGCATCTCGAGGCCGCACGATTGGAGCTGGATCAAGCGCAACGAGAAGGCAATTTCGCCAAAGCCTCTGAACTGCGATATGCCAAAATCCCAGAATTGCAGAAGCAACTGCCGCCGGAGGAAGGTGGAGAGAATGCCAACGCAACGGCCACGTCCTCCGACGCCTTGATTCATGATTCTGTCACGGCTGACGATATTGCTGCCGTGGTACCCAAAAGCACTGGCATCCCGGTGACGAAACTCATGGCCGGAGAAGTCGAAAAGCTGATTCACATGGAAGATACGCTCCGACAGTCCGTCCGTGGGCAGGATGAGGCGCTCACCGCAGTCGCCAACGCCGTCCGCATGCAACGAGCGGGTCTTTCGGGCGAGAACCGACCAATGGCCTCGTTCATGTTCCTCGGCCCTACAGGCGTGGGAAAGACGGAGCTCTGCAAGAAGATGGCGGGCTTCCTGTTCAGCACCGAACAGGCCGTAATCCGTTTCGACATGTCTGAGTTTCAGGAGAAGCATACCGTTTCGCGCCTCATCGGATCGCCAGCGGGCTACGTCGGGTACGACGACGCAGGACAGCTGACGGAAGCTGTGCGACGCAAACCCTACGCCGTCCTCCTCTTTGACGAATTCGAAAAGGCGCATCGCGATATTTCAACTCTACTTCTACAGGTGCTGGATGAGGGCTTCCTGACAGACGCTCAAGGGCGCAAGGTCGACTTCCGCAACACCATGATCGTCCTCACGAGCAATCTCGGCGCCGAAGCGCTCGTCGCCGACGAAAGCCCCGGCTCAGACATCAGCGCAAACGTGAAGCAGCAAGTGATGGACGTGGTGCAAATGTCCTACCCGCCCGAATTCCTCAATCGAATCGACGAGTTCATCGTCTTCAAGCGCTTGTCGAAAGAGGCGCTGCGAGACATTGTCGACATCCGCATGCGCGAACTCCAGGCCAGACTGGACGATCGGAGGATTATGCTTGACGTTGGCGAGGAGGTGAAGGCGTGGCTGTGTGACAAGGGCTACGATCCGAGATATGGCGCGCGGCCGTTGAATCGGCTCATTGCGAAGGAGGTGGGGAATGGGTTGGCGGATAAGATTATTCGGGGCGCCGTGAAATCGGGTGACACGGCCAAGGTGAGGATTGCGGATGATGGGAAGCATTTGGAGGTCTTGGCGCCGTGAATTCGGCATGGCATTGCATTGCGTGGGGATTAATGATCAACGATGATGGATGGGAGAGCCTGTAGGATACTCTGTCTGGAGCGGCATTGCTTGGCGTTTGAGCTGCTGTACGGGCTCGTCACACGCTCACCTCATCTTCCGCGTCTGTAGCATTATAATTCTTCACTACGTCCCTGTTCCGAATCAATGCACATTGAAATCAAGCTTGGAATGGCATTCGAGTTTGTAGTTTGTTCCGACTATCAGGGCACACTCCGTATCGGCTCCCTTTGAGGTCAACTCCCTCTATAACCTGCCTCTCTCCTTCAACTTCGCCACAGACACGAGGTGTAATCTAGAACACCATCTCGTGCGGCCGGTCACCCTTCCTCAAGCTGAACTGGTTGCCGAGATAGCTCTGCAACATGGGCTCCTTCTTCACGGCCGCCAGAAGCGCCTTGTCGACCTTCTTCTGGTCCTCAGCACGGTCGCTCGCAACCTCCTTCTTCTTCGCCTGTCCCTGGTTGAAGAAGGCCTCTTCGCTGCCCTTCTTGTCTGCCTTCTTGTCTCGCGCGAAGTAGCCTGCGCCGCCAACCTTGTCGACGGTGGCGCTGTCGATGCCGTCTAGTGAGATCGAGGTCTTGGTGGCGATGACATAGCGGGCGTTCACGCGGCGGAGGGGCACACCGTTGACTTTGAAGGGACCGGTCACCAGGAGAACGCCTTGGTCGAGGACTTTAAGAAGGACCACGCGCTTGCCTCGGAAACGGCCGGCGAGGAGGATGAGGACTTTGCCGGGTGTGAGGGAGGCTCGGGCCTTGTATGGTTGTGGTGTCTTGCGGGGCTGTGAACGTGATGTTAGTGGGTTGATTCAGGCCACGGTTTCTCCTCGCGCTGTCTGGTCGTGCCAGCGACGCTCGAGCAAATTGTGTGTACGCACCTTTCTTGCCACCGCCGCCTCTTCTGCCGGGTAGTATTTGAGGGCCTTGTCGGTGGAGGAGGGAATGAACCTCTCGCCCTTCTGAAACTTCTTCGTCTGGCCCTGTGCGTTGGAGGCCATCTTTGGCGACTGATTTCCGGGCGTGTTAGCTGCACGCTTGACGACAGTAGTGCGAAGCGGGTATGTCCTACCAAGTGATGTGGTGGAGGATGGAGGTTGAGGTGTGTCGCTGAAATGAGGTGCGTCGTGAAGTTCGGGTGTCGGAATAAAATTGGAGTGCGCCGATGTGTGGCGTGCCTGAGGCCGGCTTCTTGGCAGCACGGGTAGGCCCGTTCACGTTCGGGTCTACCCGCGGCTCTGTTTCCTTCACTTCACCGCGCCAGCTCACACGCAAGCTTTGCCTCTGCTACACTCACCGTCGACATCCTTCCAGCGTATCGCAAAACACCCCTCCTTCCCCACGCCAGACATGGTCTGTGTGCTGTCTTAACCACACTGGCACCATGTCGTGAAATTTCACGTTCACGCTATTTTTCTCGACCCGTCCTCGGGTCTCGTAGAGTGCTGCGACGGCGCAAAAGCTGCGTCGTCGTGTTTCCAGACACCGTCCCACGCTTTCTCTTTCGGAAGCGTCAAGACACAGCCCGCAGCCAGCAAACAATCACCCGAGCGGGTAGATTGCTGGCAGAAGCATCTTGCCAGCGGTTTACACCATCTGGGCGTGTCCAACTGGGAACTCTTTCACGCCTGCATTCGCCGGAGTTCTTCTTGTCGCATCGCCCGCATTCCCTCATTTCTGTCTGCCCGACTAGAAGCAAGGTGTTTGGGGAACAGCGCGTACCTTTTCTTTCGTTCTATCGCTGCTAATGCCTTTTCCTTCCTGCACAGCGCTTTGCTTGTAAAGAAAGATGACAACGTCACGCAATGGCGCCCCCTCTAGGCCGGGCAGCTCCCGCGCGACCAGTGTCGTCCGCGAGATCATGAAGAGGCGCGAAAAGCCTTACAAAACCGAGAAGCAAAGAGTTCTTACGAAGAAGCGAAAACTCGAGCTCCATGTCCGTGTTCGTGACACCCCGCCAGTCCGTCCATTATTGACCTCCCTTTCCTGCAGACGTCGTACAGAAACGCGCCTGATGGCTACATATTCGTACCGGTGGGGACACCGGATCTCTCGGAAAAGTGCAAAGAGCTGTCCCGACAAGCGGGCTTTGCGGTGAACGTTGTCAACGTGCGTTACCTAGATCTAACTACTCGAGGAGCCATGCGTCTGTATAGTCGGAGCACCACTAACCAAAGGCGTACAGGCAGCACCGGTCAGCAAACATGCCGTCGATCCCGAGAAAATCTCGCATCACATCCATCGCATCGGATACCATTTCAAAGCTGAGATGGTTGCTCAGGCCTGCGAAGAGCTCGGCTACCTTCCTGTGCGTGGAAACTTCGTCAAAGAAGCTGACCTGCAAGCGCAATCTCAGCAGAGCCACATCGCGCGAATCATGGCGCAGCATGGCATCCACGTCGATCCAACCACAGCGCGGGAGACGCCCGCTCAAGTACGGGCTGCGATCAAAGAGCTGTTTCCTAGGATCCCCAACGATGATTTGGATCAGATTGTGCAGCATGCCTGGGAGGAAGGCAGCCAACGCGTCGGCACGAACGCACAGTTGAATCTGCCCCGGCGTGTTCAGCTTGCCGTCATCGCTAGGATCCGTCACAGGTATACTGACTACGATCGATTGCTCCGCGCATTTGAATGGAGAGAGGCACGCTCGATCATCGAGCAGGAGTGCTTGAAGAAGCTCATCGAGTGGCGAGGCGAGAACGAAGATGAAGGCGGTGACGATGAATTGGAAGAGATTGTTCGCGAAACGATTGTAATCGACGACGACGACGAAGATTCGAACCGCGGACCGAACGGCAACGAGGCTGATGATGAAGACTCGGAGCTCGAGATTGGAGAGACAAGTGATACGAGCATCGAGTTCACTCATCATGTCACTGCCGTGGAAGACTTTGGCGCCGAGAGTCTTGATGAGAGACCGAACAACTTCTTCCGACGCGTCAACCCGCGAGCGCTCAGAACCGAGCAGCAAAACAACATTGCGAGGGAGAAGATCGGTGCTGCAAGGCGGCAACTGCGGGACAATCAACTTGCTCCGCCTTCAGCGTATGCTGCCCTATCCCGTCACCCGGTGAATTTGCTGACCGAGAGTAGTGAGGTTGAATCTGTCACTGTCAGAACGGATGAGAGGGGGCTGCCTCCAAACACAATCCTTGTTGACGGCAGGATATATCATCTCGTGAGTTCCCATTATTTTCCCTGACCCAGCCCAGCCCGGGTTTGTTGATATCCACTGCGCTAGGACCCGAACCCAACCCAACAAACGCCGCGTCCAGTCCAAGGATATGGTAGCTACGGCCACCAATTTCGTGATACTGGTTCGCGTGATGCTACGCAAAGCTATGCTGTACCAACGCATCAAGCAGCACTGGCACAGCCCATCGACTACGTCATGCCCTCCATCGAGCCCCCGGAGTCAGCAGCGACGCGAGGACCGTATCATCCGACGACACCCGATCGAGGCCATAGTTCCAAACGCCGCCGGATTGACTACTCCCCCCATCAGCAACAGCCGGCCCATGCATATCAGGCGACTTATTCACAGGCCCCTCGCAGTCCACGGATGGGTCTTGTACCGCTGGCGAGAGGGGAGGTCATTGATCTTACTATTCCACATGCACAACGGTCGAACGAGAATGTCATTGATTTGACTGAGTCTCCACCTCGCCATCATCATTTGAGCAACCAAGGTCCCATGAGAGTGGCTCAATCAACGAACGTCCAGAACTATCCACATGGTCTTGATGGCACCGGTTTCAGCGGCAGTCTGCGTGGCCGTCCTTCTGCCGGCCCCAGAGCAGACGACAGAGATGCAGCCAGACAGTCGCGCAAGCGTGAAGCTGAACTCGAGCCCGAGCCGTACGATCCCACTCGGCCCTGGTTGGATTTGTCGAGTCGCGAGCACCATCGCGGTGGAAACACAGACTTTTCGCGCCCATACCAGACCGCGGCAACTGCGGCGCCATCGCACGTACCCCAGCACACATCATACCCAGCCTACAATACTTTCGGGCAACCCCTTCACAACACCTACTCAGCTTCCTCCAACGCCAATCCTCCGCAACAGCAACCCTCATACTACTACGCCCATCAGCAGCCACAAGCCTCTCAATACCATGGCATGCCTCCTCCACCTTTCCAACCAATTCACGGAGCTCCGGCGCCGGTGCAACGGGCTCCGTTCGATGGGAGGAATGCAGCTGCTGGCACAGGCTCGCAGAACTTGGCTCCACAGCCGTATATGCCATTTCTACAGCCCCCGCCTTCTTCACAGCCTATGCATGGCGCGCCGCACCCTGCACAGTACTATTCGCGATGAGAAATACAGTCGGCGGGTGAGAAAAGGTGCCTGAAGTGGCTAAGACCATCATCGGAATAGCATCCAAGGAAGTACGCGCGTTGCATAGTTAAGATCGGCAACAGTGAAAGGTCTCGCGCGAGTCTGTATGTACAAGCGTATGCATCGTCAATGACATCTCCAATCATTCGCACTTCGTATTAATTGAACTGGTGGCGGCGAGTTGGGCAAGGGTACGAAGGGTACGGAGTTCCGCGCGGATCCACACCTGCAAGGCAGCCACAGCCACCTGGAAGTTGTCTGGGCGAGACGACGTCAGCGCTTAGTGACGGTCCATCCAGTCTGTAAACTCGACCTCCCTCTCTCTACAATTATATAAAAACCCCAACGACCTCGAAAACTAGACGATCATCGAAAAGACAAAGTCACTCACTACCTCCAAACTTCCTCAAAACCAAACCCCACGCAGCCCCTCATAATGCCTCTCGTCGTGCCCGGCCTGCAGTCCAAAGACGGCAACACAGACAAGAGCACGCAATGGACGAACGAGCTTGTGGGGAAGAAGATTGGCGACTCGTCGAATGAAACTGTAAGTCTCTTCTCCTCTCACGTGGATAGTATTGTACATGCTAATGTGGCCTGCAGACGTTTGCGAAATCGAATCTCCCCAAGGAACACCGGATTGTGAAGGAGGGGGATATGATGACGATGGATCATAAGCCTGATCGGTGAGTTCCTTTCGGGCTCTTTGCTGGTGTTTAGATTGCTTGTGCTGACGGGGTGGATAGTTTGAATATTCATACTTCGGAGGATGGGATTGTGAAGAAGATTACGCATGGGTAGATGGAGGACTTGACGGGGAGTTATATGCTACCCTGGGAGCATTGGGCCAAGCTTGACGATTCATGGTGAATGATGCTTTCGCTATTCTCGCCGTAGAGTATGCCTGTTTATGATTTACTATACTTAGTCATGCGTCGGAAATGCTATCATCTTGTGCAGCCGTAACTACATCTAACCTTCCCATTTATGCGCATAAAGGCATTCACCTCAATTCAGCTCCTGCACGGGCTCTCCAAGACCTGACGCCTTCACATGAAGCGCGTGCCTCTACGTCGCCGTTGCAGGCCGCGCAGGTCTGTACATGCACTCCCCACTGAAGCACACATTGTCAGCAAGATCGTCTCCGAGCGCAGCGCACACCAGACACCAAACTTACTTCAACGGCGAATCCTCGCCAAACATCTCCGGATCCAGCTTGAACGGCGCAACAGTCTCAAAGCCATGCTTCTTGTACAGCGGCACGCCCATGTGCGTCGCGGACAAATAACTCGGCAGCCCAAGCCGATCCGCTTCCCCAAGGCCCCAGCGCAAGTGCAGACTGCCGACGCCTTTGCGATGATAGCTCGGCCGCGTGCTCAAGCCGACAAGGTACACGTGCGCCTTACTGCCCGCCAGCATCTCTCTGGCGTCGTTGATGCTTTTGCGGACGGCCTTGCCCGCTTCGACGTTGACTCCCGGCGGCGGGGGCGCGGGGTTGGCGCGCTTCTTCTCCTGCTCCGCGAGGTCGGCGGCGGTGCGCTCGTGCGCGCGGAAATCCCAGTGCGACGTGCCGACGAGCTTGCCGAGCGGGTCGTCATCCGGGAGCGCGGTGTCGATGACTTTCATGTACTTGTGGCGCTCCGGGTGCTCGCGCCACTCGTCGAGGATTTGCTTGATTTGGTGCGCGCGGATTTCGGGCGTGCGGCCGTTGGTATAGAGGACTTTGAATCGCTCCTCGCCGTTGTGCGCTTCCCAGATGAGGTTCATCATGTTGGGCACGTCGGATTCCTCAAGGGGGAGGAGCTGGAAAGTCATGGCTGGAGACGCTGCGCGATGGCCGTGTTCAGTGGGGTTTCCAGAGGGTTTCCTGGAGCCTTCAGAACGATGTACTGTGTCTACTGCCTCGTGCTGCGACCGGCCAATTTATACAGAAGAATATGATAGTTGGGCTGAACTCCGGCTCGAGTCATTTCGGAATTCGTTGCGTGGTCTCGTCAGCTCGCTTTCGGACCTCTAGTGAACCAGTCATGCCGACGACGACGGTGAGTCGATTACTACACATCATGGACTACGCGGCGGTAAGGCTGCAGTATTCTCTCATTGGCAAAGACACCACGCGGCCGTCGCATCGTGATTCGGACTTTAAAGTGGCTCAATGGACTTTAGGAACCTGAGGATGAAGTTGACAGGACGGATCGAGGCCATTGCATCATAGAAAAGCCGAACTTCCACTCGCCTACACTTTGACCAGCTCTTTATATCCGCCCGCAGTACGTGACCGGACTTAGCAGCACAAATACGCACAATCGACCCGGGTGGAATTAGGCACGTCGAAGTGAGTATAAATCTCTGCTGCTCCCACAAGTCTGCAGTCCACGTCTTGCAAGAAATCTCCGACAAGTTTCAATCCGGAACAACATCATGGCAGGAGTCGTCGACAAAGCCAAAGCGGCCCTCGGGCTCGACAAGCCGGAAATCAAAGTGGTCGGCGAGAAGATCGGCAGCACAGGCTATGGGCTCATGGGCCTGACCTGGCGCGAAAAGCCTCCATCCCAGGAGCAGTCCTTCGAAGCAATGAGAGCGGCGTTGGCCAGCGGTGCCAACTTCTGGAACGGAGGCGAGTTCTACGGCCCGCCGGAGCGCAACTCGCTGCATCTGCTCAACGAGTACTTCACCAAGTATCCCGCGGATGCGAAGAAGGTGGTGCTCAGCGTCAAGGGCGGGGCGGACGTTGGCCGGCCCGTTCCCAATGGCAGCGCGGCGAACACGAGACGAAGCATTGAGGAGTGTCTGCGGGTGCTGGATGGGAAGAAGAAGCTGGACATTTGGGAGCCGGCGCGGGTTGATCCCAACACGCCGATTGAAATTACGATGCGCGAGGCAAACCGATTCGTCGAGGATGGGAAGATTGGGGGTATCAGCTTGTCGGAGTGCAGTGCGCAGACTATTCGCCGCGCGGCCAAGGAGGCGAAGATTGTGGGAGTGGAGGTCGAGTTCTCCCTCTGGTCTACGGAGATTCTAGACAACGGCATCGCTCAGATGTGCGCGGAGCTCGACATTCCCATTGTCGCCTACTCGCCACTCGGACGTGGGTTCCTCACGGGCCAGGTCAGGAAGCCGGAGGACATCCCGGAGGACGACATGCGAAGACACATGCCGCGTTTCCAGCCAGAGCACTTTGACAAGAACCTCAAGCTTGTAGACGAGCTGGAGAAGCTGGCGAAGAAGAAGAAATGCACGCCGGGGCAGATTGGAATTGCGTGGGTGAAGGCACAGAGTCGCAAGCCGGGCATGCCTACATTCATCCCCATCCCTGGTGCCACTACTGCGGAACGGGTGAAGGAGAACATGGTGGATGTGGAGCTGAGCGAGAACGATCTGAAGGAGATTGACAGTCTCATAGCTGGCATTGAGATTTCGGGGGGAAGATACCCGGAGGGCTTCTTGACGAAATTGGAGTTTGGAGACAGCCCTACGCTGGAGGAGTTTAACGGGGTCTAGCTGTCCTCGAACGAGAGTATATGGACTGATGGACGTCTGATGACCTGCTAAGAGTCAGCTTCAATGCCAACAATGCCTCTCTTGACTTCAGATCTTTCTCATTTTCGGCGCTCAGCTCAAGTGTAGGTTAGAATGGGTCCGCATTAGGCTTCCGAAGGAACCCTCAGCATTGCAGAATTCTCTTTGATCATCATATGCGCCTTGGAGGAGGAGGAGGAGGAGGAGGTGAAGGACTGGATAATTTCAACTTACCTAGCACGGATTGTCGGCTCGAGAACACCGCAGGCTTGTCTTACAGCACCTCCGTCTGCCCATCAATATTCAAGTGAAGTCAAAATGGTAATCGGGATGAATATGTGAGCGAAGTGTCTCGTGTCAGTGGTCAGCGCGGGAGAAATCTCGCTCGGCAAAATCTCGGCCGCGCTCCTTCCCTTTCAATCCGCGACCTCCTTCCTCCCCTCTGCACGTGAACGACTTCTCAAAATCAATCAAACGACCCTCAAGAGCGCGTCCATTCGTTGCGATTGCGCGCATATCGCACATTCAAACACCCACCTCAAACATGGCTCACTCGCCAGCGTCATCTGATCTCTCCGACCCGCCCTCCGCCGATTCGGATGCAGAAGACCGCCTCAGCACCGCGGTGGCCTCCTCCCGCCTCAGCGTAGAACCCAGCGAGCACCCTCAACCTCCACCGTCCAAACGACGCAAAACTGGCAACGGCCCGGCGACTTCCTTACTCCACACCTTTGACCGCGCCCCGTCCAGCCAACCTGCCGAAGACAACGACGACATCGTCTCCATCTCCTCGGATGGTCTAAGCAGTGCCCCCGGCTCGCCTTCGCAAAACGAGTACGCGCTCAAGGAGGACGCGCAGACGTTTTGCATGTGGAAGGACTGCGATTTCGGGGACGGGCAGAACAACGATGAGCTGGTGGACCATGTGCAGACCACGCATTGCATTACGGGGTTTGGGGTGCCCAAGAAGAGCAAGTATGTTTGCGAGTGGGGAGAGTGTCAGCGGAAGACGAGCAATCATCCGAGTGGGTATGCATTGAAGGCCCATATGAGGAGTCATACAAAGGAGAAGCCGTATTATTGTGCCTTGCCTGGTAAGTGATCCCAGCCGCGGGATCGAAAATGTCCTTGCTAATGAGGGTCCGTCCAGAATGTGACAAAGCCTTCACCCGATCCGACGCGCTGGCCAAGCACATGCGCACCGTCCACGAACCCGAGCCGGCACGTCCAGCCAACGATCCCGCGCCTCTTGGGACGAAAAAGTCCTCCATCAAACTCCGACTCAGCAACGGCAACGTTTTCAACCTTTCTCAATCCCCCAGCACCAGCAGCGCTACCACGCCAGTCACCAAGCCCGCTTCAGCAGCCACGCCGCTCCCATCAGACGATCTCCGCCCACCCCCTCCCACCCACGACGAAGACGGCAACCCCATCAAATTCTCCCCGCACGATGACAACATCACATACCAGCCCGCCTACCACCCCATCACCGGCCAACCAGGCTTCATGATCACCTACCCCAAAGACATCCACTTCACCGGCTGGGAGAGCGCCATCACCGCCGACCAACTGATGCGCCTGCTACGCCGCCAAGTGCACTGGGCGAAACAGGAGGAGAAAGAGCTGAAGCGCGAGTGTCGCGCGCTCGAGCAAGCGCGCCGCCACGAATGGGATCTGAAGGAGATTCTGCTCGAAGGCGTGCTGGAGTCCGAACTCGCGCGCGCCGACAAGGAGGACCTCCTGCAGGCTGTGGATGAGCGGGTGCGCGACGCCATGCAGAATGATATCCAGCCTGCAAAGGCCCTGCAATGGTCCCGAGGAACGCCGGCGTTCCGCAAAGCTCGTCGTGTGCAGGATGTCATGGAAGCTGACGACACGGTGGTCACCACGCCTCTCGATGATGATGAGGATGAGGCGCGTTCGCCCTCGCCGCCTCCGACTGGCCACAGTGGCGGCGGCTTTGATGGGGATGCAGACCCGTATGACAACTATCTCGCGCAGCGCATGGCGGAGTACGAGGAGCGCGAGCGATTGCGCAGCTTGCACAACACTCCGCAGGATGTGAGGACTGCTATCGCGGCTCCGCCTCCGCCGTAGCTGTAGAAGGCGGTAGAGCTGAGAAGTAGACATGGGTGAAAAGACTTGTAACAGTGGAAAAGCGAAGAGAAGAAGTTCAACCACTATGGCAGAGACAAAGACCCGTCTTGACCAACTCCGAACCTCTCGAGGCACTCCACAAGTGGACTTGAACACATCCTCTCCCCACTAAATCTCCTTCCTCCCCTGCCCCTTCCACTCCTTCTTCTGCGCCTTGGCACTCGCCGCATTCCCAAACGGCCAGTTCCCCGTATGCTTATCCGCGCCCGTCGTCTTGCTAAACCGCCCCTGACTCCCCCCAAACAAAATCGTCCACATGCCCAAGCAGAAGAGCAGCGAACTGCACGCGCATCCCAGCGAAAAGGCGAAATTGCTCTGATTCCGCGTGAGCTGCGTGTACAGATGGAAAGCCGTGAGGGCGTGGTAGCCCGTCGTGACTATCAGGCTAGGCTGGTCGTAGGGATTGATATCTTGGGATGTGCTCGGGGCGGCGGAAGAGGAGGAGGCGGAGGGCAGGAAGTTGGAATGTAGTAGGATTTGGAGGGCGAGGATTATGAGCGTCAGGCCTAGGGCGCGGCTGAGGTACGTTTCGAGGTCTGTGGGGCGGCGGGGCTCGAGGGCTGTGAGGGAGACGAGGAGCGAGGGGGTGAGGAGGAGGGTGGTGCCTTGCAGGCTGAGGTAGGCGGAGCTGGAGAGGGTGAAGATCTGGGGGGGTTAGTGGGGTGATGGGATTGGGAGGAGGCAGGGATGCTTACGTCCATGTCGGGCTTGTAAGGTGGTGGGTGGTGGCTCGTTATGTTTGTTTTCGTGAGATGCGATGTAGATGTGGAGAATATGAGGATTATAAAAGAGAGAGGTGCAGAGAAATCAGACAAGGCTGATACACGGAACCTGGCAGGCGGTGGAAAGAAGTGAGTAGTGACGTAAGCGGGGGACAGCGTAAAGCGTACTCTCTTTACGGAAGGAGCTCGACCGGTATGTAGTTTGACCTCGAATGTCGCTCGCTGCTAGTCATAGGGGTGTCGGTTGAGCTGCGTACGAGACTCGACCCGCCGCAATGCTCACTCCTCGATATTGCAGGTGCTATGCGTGTGGTGTGAATGAAGCACGTGCAGCCTTGTGCGCGCTGACTCATCCAACCGCGTTCCGTGCAGTCCCCTTCCGTGAATAAAAAACCCTCATCGTTCTCTCCCTCAACTTAAATCTACTTCAAGCTGGTTGGTGCCAAGCATTTCAACTTGGGCGATACAAGGCGCACACCCTACACTCCCAAGTGGCATACGCCACTGAGACGCCGCGCTCCAGTCCGGCGTATGCCTGGAACGCATCTCCCGCCCATTCAAAGCACTCCTTTCCCAGGTGGCGTCACGGACCTGGGGCTACAGTTGGAGTGATCCAGCACGTTTTGACACCCTCAATGTCACTCGTTGCTGGCGGGCGGAGATGCGCAGATTGATTCATGTTCATTGCATGCTGGTGCTGGTGGCACGTCACTCGGTGACTGTAGCCGCTATGTTACCAAAGCGTGAGCTGGAAGCCGGAGTGCAGGCCGCGGTCTTTGACTGTGTGCTGGAGCGATGGCGAACATTACTTTTTCATTTTTCGTTATCTTCACGCCAGATAGTGGTGAACACGCTTTACATATGTCCGATATCGAATGAGACTTCAGCCTTGCTGCTGACTCATCAAATGCACGCCGCCGTGATTGAATTCTTCAGTGCGCACGATGCAGCAAGACGTGAGTCACGACCACCAGGCAACAACTTCGGCGAAAAGACGAACAACGCATATAATGAATCTTGCATGAGTGAATGAGTAGGGAAGTAGCTTCAAACTACCTGATTTGTCGGAAATGCCTGGTCCAAGCCAAATCGGTGAGGACCCCTTCCCTTTTGCACTGACTCTGGTTCGAACCTCGTTGCTTTCTCCCCTGCCAACAGGATGCTAGCCACTTGGTGCCAGACTCTGGCTTTGCAGGGATAGTTCATAATCAAACACCCGATTCTCCTTGTCTAACTTACTCTGATATTACATTTGATCAGCTGTGCCACCACGATAACGTTAGAGAACGCTTTGTCCAAAAGGAAGAGTCAGGTTCCGGTTTCAGAAGCATTGCGATAGTTCGGCAGACTGGATGACTAGGTGATAGAAATGGCAGCGGAAAGACAAAGATACTCCGCACGGGTGAACGGTGGACATCCACAGATTGGCTCGACATGTGAGTCGGGGAGCCTTTGTCTGTTGAAGCAAAGGTCAGCATGGCTCCAGGATTTTAATCCACCGCACATTTTGACCGTTCACGATATAATAGCCACGGTTCCGGAAGAGTGATGGTCGTCTATCGCCTATGTCCTAGATCGATCCTGAACGTCGAAGAGTACAGTGCCATACCCCCTCAACTCTCCCAGTCCACCTACACTGTTGAGCGAGTCCGCGCTCCGCGTATCGAACGAGCAATGTGCTATCACTACGCCCACAAGCACATTTGTGGCCACACCGAGCGTGTCTTCGCTCAGCACTGCCGGACGGCGGCACTGTCGCAGCGTAAGTGCACGACTGCGGGACATATCTGGGCAACGGTGAAAGTGAGAGCGCGCTGCTCGCGGTGTGACGGGGAGCCATTGCGGGAGCCTTCGATCCCGACGACTGCGAGACAGGAGCCGTAGACGGCTCCTGTACGACATTGAAGATGGTCTGCTTGGCTGGTGTTCGAACCATTGTGGCGAAGATCGAACGCAGTCAACGCGGCGCCGGACGACTTTGTAAGCTGCGGTGGCGGTCGTCGGCAGTGGATGGAGAGGCAAAGCTGCAGACACGATCCTGACCTCCGCTCACAGATCATCATCCAGTAGGATGTGTCAGGCTGTCTGCCCACTCTCGCTGCTCATCGGGACAGTGCCTGAAGAGGAAAGGAGAACCGCCTGTGAGGAGAAAGTGCAGGCTCAGCAGCCAGGCCGATCACCTGTGCTCTGCGAGGGCCTGATGCAACCTCGCCAACCATTAGCCGACGTGCTGCCCAACAGACTGTCAGGGATTCCAATTGATGGAAGGGGTGCAGGGAAAGTTAAGCCGAACAGGAGCAGGGAGGCGTCGGCTTGTCAGCTTCCCCAGGCGTTGGCCCTCGGCACGACTCGCCCTGTCCCTGGTTTCGGAAGGAGACACATCCGTCCGGGCACACGATGCGACTGCACGCCATCCATCCTTTCCCACTGGGGGAGGGAAAATGAGCGCGTGCAGGAGAGTCAGGGTATCCACATGCGCGCTCCCTGGCCTGCCTTCTTAATAAGATGGCGATCCGCCGTTGACCTGGTTTTTGCCATTCTCTGGACGAGCTGAGTCGATAAGGCGTCTGCTGCAATGGCCTCGTTTCTCCGCACGCTCGCAAGGCGGGCGGGAAAGAAGGATACAGCGGATTCGTCGCAGGTACAAGACGATCCACGGTCGAGCGCAGGCGGCGATGGAGTCGTCGCTGTGGAACATTATGCCGTGGCCAAGGATGACGAGAAGGGTGGTCAGCTGCGGTCAGAGAAGGATGGGGCGACTCCCGAAGTGATAGCAGACGATGCTGCACCAACGACGCAGAACGAAGGCGACGCTGCACCCGCTGCACAGGAGGAAGACGAATCGAAATACCTCAGCGGCACTAAACTTGCTCTCTTGACTTTTGGCCTTGCGACGAGCACGTTCGTCGTCGCTTTAGACAATACCATCATAGGTGAGTTGATCCGTCCCATTCTCCTGCCTACCGATATCGAAGTAATTCTTTGATGTAGCCACTGCCATCCCCCGAATCACCACCGACTTCCACGCCCTCAATGATGTCGGCTGGTACGGGAGTGCGTATCTCCTGACCACCACAAGCTTGCAGCCGTCCTTCGGCAAAATCTACACCTACTTTGACGTGAAATGGGTCTACTTGAGCGCCTTGCTGATTTTCGAGCGTGAGTTGCTGCCAACGTACTTGTGCAACCGACGTTACAGCATCATTGACGACTTTTCAGTTGGCTCCATACTCTGTGCGTCAGCGACTGGCTCGACCATGCTCATTGTCGGCCGTGCCGTCGCTGGATCGGGAGCAGCTGGTCTCTTCTCTGGCGGCATGACGATTATTGGCTACAGTGTGGTGCTTCGCAAAAGAGCAATCTACCTTGCTGCCTTGTCTTCTATGTTTGGGTGCGTGGACTTCTGCTTGAGGTATTGGCTTGGTTGCTAACCAGCAGCCAGCATTGCGTCTGTTGTAGGCCCGATATTGGGTGGTGTTCTTACTGACCAAGCGTCATGGCGATGTGAGTGACTCAAAAGCCTTGAGGGGACAGCAATTGCTAATGCGCACATATCGCAGGGTGCTTCTGGATCAACCTACCCTTTGGCGGCGTCGCCCTCGTTACGGTCTTCTTCGTCTTCACCAATCCCCCCAGACGATACACAGACATGACGGTCCGAGACAAGCTGAAGCAGATCGACTTTCTCGGAGCCTTCTTCCTCATCTGCGCCATCGTGTGTCTCCTACTCGCACTCCAATGGGGCGGGTCCGAGTATCCTTGGTCGGACAGCCGGGTTTGGGGGTGTCTTTTGGGCTTCGGGCTCATCATCTCCTGTTTCATCGGCATTCAGGTGTGGCGGAAGGATGGCGCGACGATGCCGCCGCGAATCTTGCGGCAGAGGACGGTTGGCGCTTGTGCGCTTTTTTCCGCCTTCCTCGCCATGGCCATCTACACGCACATTTACGTGAGTTCCAGGAAACCACCGTTAACGCAACACGACGAGCACGTTTACTAATAGCGTACAGTACCTCCCCTTCTACTTCCAAGGTGTCAAGGGCGTATCCGCCGAGTCTTCGGGAATCCGTTGCATCCCCTACCTGGTTAGCATCACCATCGCCTCGATTACCGTTGGCGCCCTCATCACCATCTTCGGCCCTTACAACCCGCCGATGTGGTTCGGGGCGATCATCTTCACCATCGGCTGTGGCCTCATCTCCACGCTGCAAGTCAACTCGAGCGAAGGCCACTGGATCGGGTATCAGATCCTCGCGGGCGCAGGCGCCGGCGCGTGCGTGCAGATTCCCTTCATCGCGGTGCAGGTGGTGCTAGACGAGAAAGACATGCCGATCGGCAACGCGGTGGCCATCTTCTTCAACACGCTCGGCGGCGCGATCAGCATTTCCATTGCGCAGAACATCTTCTCCAACACGCTGCTCAAGCAGCTGCCGCGAGACGCCCCCGGGGTGAATCCTTTGAAGGTGGTGAATGCGGGGGCGACGCATATTCGTGAGGTGGTGGCGAAGGCGCAGCTACCCGGGGTTTTGACGGCTTTTGACAAGGCGATTACGACGGCGTTTATTTTGCCTATTGCTGTTGCGGGGCTCGCGTTCTTGTCGAGTATGTTGATGGAGTGGCGGAGTGTCAAGGGGAAGAAGATAGGGGTGCCGGGGGGTGCGTAGCGGTGGCATTGTAGAGATGGAGAGTCGCTATGCATAATCTGATGAATGGAGTGCAGCCCGACTGCACGTGCGTGAAACGCTGCAGTGGATGAGCTCCCTGCATTAGTGGCCGCCGCCCCTTCCGTCTTTCCCGTGTGTTATGTGGTTGGGTATGACGGGGTCCAAGGCGTGTGCAAGCAGGTGTCGACAACTTCACTCCAGGATACATCCTACACGAAGAAGACCAACGCCTCACTCGATGTTGATAAAGCGGAGGAGTGAGTTTCGACAACGGAGACAACATCCACCACCGTTGAGGCTAGCGGAGGGCCAACTAGAAAGGGCAAGGAGGCGCCGGGTGGCAAGCGGGGCGTTTGCCCGGCGGAACTCTAAAGCTGCACAGCCTCAATCTTCTTGGCGATCACTTTGCGCCCTCCATCATAGCAGAGATATGGCGATGTTGCTGACCAAATGGGATGCTCCAGTTGCTGTTCACATCCTGCAAGACTCCCCTTCAGCCGTATTCCCATTGATCAAACGGGGTGCATGGGCAAAGTCCAGACGAAACACCCCCGGCATCCTGCCCAAACGAGACGACACCCTCTGTCGTCATTGTCAACACGAGACTGCTTCAAGGGGTCCCGTATCAACACAATCCCCCGGCCTGCAATTGCATTGCCCTCGACCATCCCAGACCTTGGCGGCCGTCTGACCGTATAGGTATACTTCTCCCCCCAAGCCTTGGCGTGTCTTGCAAACAACCCTACGCGGGGACGAGGCCAATATTTGTATTGAACCTGGGCTCTCCGAGCACAGCCTCCTCGACTCAACCGCCCGCTGCGCCCATTTGCCAATCCCTCAACTTTGGTTAATCCTTATCCCGCACTGCCTGGAGGCAGTCACGCACTACCTGACCTCTGCCCATGATCGCCACTGCTAACGTCAATCTCCTGCCGCAGTCTCTAGCCCGTCCCTGCCGCGACTCCACCCTCCTCCCTCCGCCCTCTCACTCAACCGCCACCGCCTCGAGTCTCTTACGCTGCCCGAGCCTTGGTCAAACCAACTGCGCCTCACGTCACCTCGGCGCCGACACATGTCCTACCCTTTAATACCCACCCGACATTCTCATCCTCCGGCATTTCGTGCACATGTATGATCTTGCGACAGCCGCTTTCAGTCTGCTGCCCTACCACGCACATACCACCCTCCTCCCTCATCGCTAGGCGCCGCTACAACACCTACGGCAGCCATGGCAGATCCTCAACCTCCTCCCTCCGCCGGGAGTAAGGACTCGCACTCCCCCGGTCCTGCACGGCGTCCTCGCGCCCCGACAATCACAATCGACACCTCTGCCGTGCGAAGATCATTAAGCAATCGCTCACGAGATCCTGAGCATGAGATGGACAATCTATCGGATGATGGCAGATCATCCCATGGCGACAAATCCCCCATGCTGAAACCCACCACACCCACCGAACTACGAGTACGAAACAGCTTCGACAGCCGCGACTCGCGACCCACGAGCCCGCACAACATCTCCTCGCCCACGCAATGGAACAACCCACACAACTTCCTTGCCGTCCCGACTCCGCGGAGTAGAGGGGCGAGTATCGATACCGACGCCAGCGCAGATACAACTTCCGCCTCCGATGTGACGTACGTCAACACACAACCGAGCGAGAGTCCGATCAAGTCATATCCATCGCAAGCGTTTGGACAAGAGCGTGGCGAACAGGTCGTCCTCCCCGCCTCCGAGGCTTTGCATCCCGACCAAGGCACCGAGGCCGACTTCCAGCGGGAGAACAACCCCTTTGCTTTCACTCCGGGACAGCTGGGCAAGCTGTACAATCCAAAGAGCTTGGGCGCATTCCACGCACTCGGTGGTCTGGCTGGGTTGGAGAAAGGGCTGAGAACCGATCGTAGCACTGGACTGAGCATGGATGAGTCGAAAGTGGAAGGGAGAGTTACATTCGAGGACGCCACGACCGTGAGCAGTCCGGCTTCGGCCAACACAGCCGTCGAAGAGCCGGAGATTGTCAACACGCAGACTTCGACCGCCGCGGGATCGGGCAATTTTGCGGACCGCAAAAGGATCTTTGGCGACAATACTCTACCCCAACGAAAGCCGAAAAGCTTTCTTCAGCTGATTTGGCTGGCATACAATGACAAGGTCCTGATTGTCCTCACGGTTGCAGCGGTGATCGCGCTATCATTGGGAATATACCAAGCGCTGGTACCTCCATATGGAGTGGAATGGATCGAAGGAGTGGCCATCATCGTGGCCATTATCGTCGTGGTCTTTGTTGGTGCCGTGAACGACTGGCAGAAGGAGAGGCAATTTGCGAAGCTCAACGCCAAGAAGGACAGCCGAGATGTCAAAGTCGTTCGGTCTGGCAAGATCCAGGAGATCAATATTGTGGACGTGCTGGTTGGAGACGTTCTGATGGTTGAGCCTGGCGACATCCTCCCCGTCGATGGAATCTTCATCACCGGACACGATGTCCGATGCGACGAATCCTCGGCCACTGGCGAGTCCGATGTCCTCAGGAAGGTTCCTGCCGATACGGTTTACCAGGCTGTGGAATCCAACGAATCGCTCAAGAAGATGGATCCTTTCATGATCTCTGGCGGCAAAGTGACCGAAGGCTTCGGGCGGATGATTGTCACCGCGACTGGTATACAATCATCACACGGCAAGACCATGCTCTCACTCCAGGACGACAACGAAGCAACACCCCTGCAGCACAAGTTGAATGGGTTGGCGGAGTACATTGCCAAGATCGGCAGTGCCGCCGCTCTTCTCCTCTTCATCGTGCTGTTCATTAAGTTCGCGGCTCAGCTTCCTCATAATCATAGGACGCCAACGGAAAAGGGACAGGAGTTCTTGACAATCCTCATCACCGCCGTCACCATCGTGGTGGTCGCCGTACCAGAAGGTCTACCCCTGGCTGTTACACTCGCTCTCGCCTATGCAACGAAGCGAATGTTGAAAGACAGGAACCTGGTCCGTGTGCTCCGGTCTTGCGAGACAATGGGCAACGCAACTACCGTGTGTTCGGACAAGACCGGCACGCTGACGCAAAACGTCATGACCGTGGTTGCTGGCGCGATAGGGACGTCTAATCGATTCTCGAGCACAGCCAAATCCAATGCTGGGGATATGGGGACGCCTGCTGATCATCTTGATGATGTTCCCGCCCCGGAATTCGTCAAGACTCTCGCCCAAGACGTAAAAGACTTGTGGAGGGAGAGCATCGCCATCAACTCCACCGCATTCGAATCAGAACCAGGAGCTGCACAGCGCTTTGTGGGCTCCAAGACGGAGACGGCTCTGCTGGACTTCGCCCGCGACTACCTCGCCATGGAACACGTCACCGTCGAGCGTGACACCGCCGAGATTGCCCAAATGATTCCGTTCGACTCGAGCCGGAAGTGCATGGGCATGGTGTACAAGCGCAAGGATGGCAAAGGCTACCGTTTGGTTGTCAAGGGTGCAAGTGAGATTATGCTCAAATACTGCACCCAACTCCTGCGCGATCCTACCACGGGCACGGAGACTTGTGCATTTACGGGCGACATCCGCAAGACGATTGCGGCGCTCATTGACGCCTACGCCAATCGATCGCTCCGCACGATTGGCTTCATCTATCGCGACTTCGACACCGCATCCTGGCCACCTAAGGGCGTCAAGCGGCTTGAAGATGATCAGAGCCAAGCTGCCTTCTCGGATCTCTGCACCAACACCACGTTCCTCGGGCTCGTCGGTATTCAAGATCCGCTGCGACCTGGTGTGCCAGAGGCTGTGCAAGACATGCTGAAAGCCGGCGTTTTCCCGCGAATGGTGACGGGCGACAACATCCTCACTGCAAAGGCCATCGCTACGGAGTGCGGGATCTTCACCGCTGGGGGTATCGCCCTCGAAGGCCCGGAGTTCCGCAAGATGAGCGATGCAGAGCAGAGGAGTATCATTCCCAAGCTGCAAGTGCTTGCTCGTTCCTCACCCGATGACAAAAGGAAGCTGGTGAAGCGACTCAAGGAGATGGGCGAGACTGTTGCCGTGACTGGTGATGGTACCAACGACGCTCCTGCGCTCAAGGCTGCCGACGTGGGCTTTTCCATGAACATCGCCGGCACGGAAGTCGCCAAAGAAGCGTCCGACATCATCCTCATGGACGACAACTTCACTTCCATTGTGCTGGCGTTGATGTGGGGTCGTGCGGTGAACGATGCTGTGAGGAAGTTCCTTCAGTTCCAGATCACCGTCAACATCACTGCAGTCACTTTGGCTTTCATCTCCGCCGTCAGCAATGAAAACGAGGAATCGGTACTGAGCGCTGTTCAGCTTCTGTGGGTCAATCTGATCATGGACACCATGGCCGCCCTGGCGCTCGCCACCGACCCCCCGACTCGCACCATCCTCAACCGAAAGCCCGATCCCAAGTCCGCACCTCTAATCTCCACTACCATGTGGAAGATGATCATCGGGCAAGCCGTTTACCAGTTGGCCGTCACCTTCACCCTCTACTTCGCCGGCGCCAGCATTTTGAACAAGACCGGCGAGCATGGAAACAGGGAGCTGAGAACGCTGGTGTTCAACACGTTCGTGTGGATGCAGATCTTCAACGCCATCAACAACCGCCGGCTCGACAATCGGTTTAACATCTTCGAAGGTATCCTGCGCAACTGGTTCTTCATCGGCATCTTCTGCATCATGGTCGGCGCCCAGATCATCATCATCTTCTTCGGAGGATGGGCGGCCTTCCAAGCCTACCACCAAACGCCAAGCGATTGGGGCATCGCAATCGTGCTCGGTATCATCTCCATACCCATCGGAGTTGTTGTCCGCCTGGTACCCGACGAGCTCGCGGCCAAAGTCGTCCCGCAATTCATCAAGACGCGCCTGGCACGCAAGCGCGAAAAGGTCCTCCTCAACGACGAAGAGAGCCCCTTCGAAATGAACCAAGCCCTGCTCGACATCCGCGACGAACTCGCGTGGATCAAGAAGTATAAGGGCGGTCGTCTCCGCGGCCTCAAGTTCGCCATGCAGAATCCAAAGGAAATGTTCCACTCCCGCTCCCCAAGCCGCTCTCGCGCCTCTTCCAGCCTCCCGCGCACCCCTAACAACGAGCTCGCCGACGACGACGGCAAATCGGACGCCGGTGCACAACTGACGCCCGAGTCCGCCAAGCCTAGACGCTCCCGCGGCCGCTCGCGCTCCAACTCCGCGCTCGCCGGAGCCGCAATGGCAGGCATCGTCGCCGGCTCCATCGCGGCCGGTTGGTCGCCCATCGAGCGCCGCGAAGGCGAAGACGACAGTGTACGCTTCACACGCCCCCAGCGCTCCAAGAGCGATTTGTCGCGCGAAGTGCGCATCGACGCCCACCCGGACACCTCGCCTCATGATCCCGTTGTCGTGGCTGGTGATCCTGTTGAAGCTGCGGGCGGGCAGCCGCCTTCGCAGGCGAACGCTACTACGCCGCAGCTGGGCGTTGGGCCTTTTGGTGGGGCGCCGGCGATGGATACCGCTGACAAGAAGGAGGAGGGGAAGGCGTAGGGGGAAAGTGTATTTGTAACTTTTGCGACGCATTTTAGCGATGGCGCCCCTTTTTGGTGGTTTCTTTGCCTGTTGGATGCGGTGTATACAGGGTGGAATCATGGGTCATAGCCACTCACTCGAAAACATATTCTGGTTGGGCGCAGATGCCCTTTGAACACATGCTCTATTCTTCTCCCCCTACGACCATCTTACCGTAACTCTAGATGTAGCATACAAGATGACGAATACTCTTTCCATCGCTCACAGGCCAAAAATCCTCTTCACCATGTACGCGCCAAAGTCCGCTCGGCCAGGCGAGTCGATGCATATCCGTAGTCTGTTGCCTTTGCCTCCGCCGACCCATCCATCAGTATCTCCCGCGACCTATGCAATCGATCAAGTTAGCCCTACGCTCAATTCCACAAGAGCAAAAGCGGTAGACAAGAAAACGCACCTCATGCAAATCGGCATCATCGCTCTTCGGCCGATCCCTCCGATCAACCACACACATCCCCCGCGTCCACTGGCCCGCCGTCTCGACGCGCAAATCCTCGTCCACGGCAAACTTCCACCCCGCGTGCTCGGCCGTCATGCAGTACCATGTGCACATGGGGTCGTGCAGTTGCAGACTCACTGCGTCGCCTGTCACGACCGGGTGCAGCGACTCGACTTTGGCGAAGGTGGCGGTCATGAAGGCCTGCGTCCATTCTGCTAGGGGGGAGTGGGCTGTTGTGAGTGGGGAGAGGAGGGCGCGGAAGGCGCCGCGGGTTAGGAGGTGTTGTTCGGTGATGTCGAGGGGGAAGAGGGAGAGTTTGAGGCGCTCGGGGAGGTTGGGGGGGTAGGGGTTTAGGAAGGGTGGGGGGTAGGTTCCTTCGGGCGTTCCTGGTGGTGCTGGGGGGACGGGGGGCATGGTTGTGTGGGGGTTGGGGGAGGTGAGGGCGTAGACTCGTGCGGCGGCGATGGTGTCGGCGTAGGTGTTAAATTCTGCTACGGGGGTCATCTGTGGATTGATTTGCTTAGCTTGCGTGATCGAGGAGAGCTGGGGCCAAGGATTAAGGCGTACATTTCCTGGATGATGGACATTGCCCCCCATCACGACTACTTCCTTGGTCCGAAGGAACGTCTCGGGGTCTGCTGCTGCTGCTAACGCCAGATTTGTGAGCGGGCCAACGGCTACAATCGTGATTGTATCCGGCTCGTTTTCGCGCAGCAGGCGGAGAATCTCCAGATGCGCGGGAGTGCGGGATGCGGTGAAGATGGAGTCGGTCTTCTTCAGCTCTTCGGCTATCGCGGTTTGTTCGGGATCTGCAGAGCTCTCCGCGTCGTCGAATAGTGCTTTCCAAGTATCTGCTGGGCTGAGGTGCGGATGCTGCGGTCGTTGTCAGTGGACGTGCGGTCAGATAGAGTACGCCAATACCAACGCTGGTATGGATTTCTCCGAGTCCGTCTCTCCCGTCTACATTGAATTAGCTTATTTTCCAATAGAACAATTTACATCAGACAAGCACAACGTACGAAAGAAATCGGCCATCAACATCTCATCCGCAAGCGGATGCTCCGGGCCAACAGCAACAAGCGGTTTCGACTGCCTAAGCGTGTCGAAGCCCACAGGCCGGCCCTGAGCTCGACGCCACGCCATTTCCTTCTCGATGATGGAGAATAACGAGACGACATTGCGGAGACAGTTGCGGACGTCGACGTTGCCGTACGTGACGGAGACGAGGAGGACTTCGACTTCGGATGGGAGGCCTGAGAAGGCGAGGAGCATGGCGAGGATGTCATCGACGCCCTTGTGATTGATTAGTTTGATGTCTGGAGAGGGTGGGTTATTGGAACCAACCGGATCGGTGTCGATTATGATTTTTCGTGGCGCCATTGTTGTCTTCTTGAGATCGGATTGGGGTGTTGGTGAATACTGAAGCTCCGATATGCAGCGCGATCGCCAATGATTGATGTGACGACTTGAATACGTAGAACACGTTTTTACGAAAGAACGTCGGATATCAAACGTTCCCAAAGCAACAGACACAACGCCGGAGCGGGTAGAAGCGGTCAAGCAACGATTCATGCCAACGTTACACCAGACTAGCAGGAGGGAGTGAATTTCATATGCCACGACTTCTGTCAGCATGCCACGAATTAAGGCGGCGTCGGTGATCGCACATATCAAATCCTCTCCGCCTCCGCCTCTCCCTCTTCTTTCCTCCAACAATGTCTAAACAGGCCACCAATAGAGTCTCGGTGCGATTCGCTCAGTATTTGTACAGATCCCTTGAGGGTCTCCTAGCGTGCTCCGGTCGCCTAAGAAGAAGCGTGTAAAAAGCCCGCGCGCCCTGTTCACTTGACTGATCCCGAGACTTCTTGTTTTGGGAGATGAGGTTGGAGATTGAAATGGACGTCGTGACAATTCAGGAGTTCTATGTGTGAGGAAGCGGCTACTTGACTCCTTCTGAGCGTTGCTTCATTTTGAGTCTGTTCGGGTTTGGTCATTAGGGGAGTTGGGTGGCAGAAGAGAATTGCAATCATACCTCAGAAGACTGGCCTTTGGGCAGCTCACGACCGATGCTTCATCGCCATTACGCTCATAGAAGCGTCGACAGCATTCGTAGAGTTCGTCAATCTGGGCACTCGTAATTAGCAACCATTAGGTCCTTGATGACCGCTACGTCGCTCGCAGCCTCCAACCCACCTGCTTCTCGCATTTGCTTTGATCAAAGTTGTTCTTCTGTACACAGTCTGTGGTGTGTTAGTATTACAGGTCTGGAATCCTCGAAAGGACTGCCATTGACCTTGAAGAGCGCAGGCAAGGGGATGGCAGGGCGTCTCGTGCTTCAGACTCTTCTCAATGTCCGGCTGAGGTGGACGTTAGTAGATAGCAAGTGAGACACGTAGGGTGCCTTTGCAACTCACCATGACCTCGATTGTTCGACGGGATTCCGGGTCTCGTTTACAATGAATATGGGTTGGCAGGAAGACACTGCGAAGTGAATGTGAAGTCACGTTGTCGCCACCTCATGTGACCTGCTGCGGGTTTAGTCAGCGGAAGTCGATCACACAAGGCCGGAGAGGGACGACATCGTCAACTTTTTCCACCCGACGGCTTCACTTCTTCCCCCTCTCACTTCGGCTTCACTTCTGACACACGTCACTGCTTGCTGCCTGGTAGGTCATACTCGCACACTCACCATTTGCTCTTCATCTCTCATCCTACACCCTCACTCTCATTTCCATACACCTCACTGACGCCCAACCCAGAACAGCAGCGCCACCCAGTCAACGCTCCCTTTCCTTCCTCTCACTTCCTCACACACCCTCTCACCGCTTCAAACCAAGTCAGCGCACGCCGCCAAACCCTCCCCACCGTCTCATCACACCCACAAACTCCATTCACAACCACGATGGCAGAAAACGGCTCGGCCTCGCCCGCCAACAACGATGCCGGCGGCGCGCCCGAGCAAGCGCAGCAAAGCGAGCACCTCAACATCAAAGTGACGGACAGCAACAACGAGGTCTTCTTCAAGATCAAGCGCACGACGCAGCTCAAGAAGCTCATGGACGCCTTTTGCGAGCGGCAGGGCAAGACGCCGCAGAGCTGTCGCTTCTTGTTTGATGGGCAGCGCGTCAACCCTACTGACAACCCGGAGCTTGTGAGTTGTTGCCATCCTCTCTTTGCATTGTGGCATGGGTGCTGACGTTCTGTAGCTTGATATGCAAGACGGCGATACGCTGGAGGTGCATCAGGAGCAGATTGGTGGGTGTTAGGAGAGGAGAGCAGGGATGCTTGCAGCTATAAGCTGCTGCTTCAATACTCGACACGAGCTAGGCGGTGATACGAAGGTCCGGCGTGGGATTGATTTCTGGAGGCGCTCTGGCGTCCCACATCGGACGGAACATGGGTATGAGTGTCTTTACCGTGAGCAGTTCCAATCAATTCCTCAACATCCCCTGTACTTCCTCCCCAACGTGTGAATCCGGCGGTTGAGTGTTATGATACATATGCAAGAAGTCTCTATCTGGATGATATACCTACGGACATGCCAACAACACCAAGTCTCCAGTGCCGTTACAATCCCTTACGCACCAAGAAATGCATATCCAACGAGTCTACCTTCCTCACTTCCCACCCCGCGCAATCTCCACCACTCTCTTCGCCGCATCGTCAAACTTGTCAAACGCCTCCAAATCCAACCCACTCTCCGCAATTTTCTTCTGCCCAACCTCCTCATTCGTCCCGCGGATCCGCACCACCACCGGCACATTCTTCATATCGACCTCCTTGAACGCCAGCAAGATCCCATCAGCAATCATCCCGCCGTCCGTCAAGCCGCCAAAAATATTGACAAAAATCACCTTGACCCGCTCGTCGCGCAGGATCAGCTCAAACGACTTCTTCACCGTCTCCGACGTCGCCTTGCCGCCCGTGTCGAGGAAGTTGAGCGCCTTGCCGCCGTGCAGGCGCAGCGCGTCGACGGTGTTCATCGCGAGCCCCGCGCCGTTGACCAGCGTACCGATGTTGGCGTCCGGCTCGTCCATCCGCACGTACACGATCCCATCCTTCTCCGCCTCCACTTCCTCCGGCTGCTCGCGGTCTTTGCGGCGCAGGTTGTGGATTTCGGCTTGCCGCTTGCCGCTGCGGAAGGCGGAGTCGTCGAAGGCGAGGTTCATGCTGTTGGCGTGCAGGGTGACTTTGCCGTCGGGCGAGATGGTGACGCTGCCGCTAAGCGTCGTCGCTTCTTTGTCTTTGTACATTTTGGCTAGCGAGCGGATTAGGTTTGCGAGCGGTTCGGCGCCGGCGGGCGGGTTGATGTGCTGGACTGCGGACTGGATGAGGGTATCCGGGGGGAGTTCGCGCTGGTCGTAGGGGAAGCGTTTCGCCGTTTCGCGGAAGGTGGAGACGTCGGTGGTCGGGGAGGTGCGGATGCAGGGCTGGCGCTCGGTGCGGTCGACGGTGATGCCGACGTAGAAGGCGTCGGCGGGTGCTTCGTCGGTGGAGAGGGTTAGGCCTTTGATGTTCTCGAGGTAGGGTTCGAGAATGGCGTGGCCTTGCGAAGGGCGGATGACGAGGCCGCGCTGGTGTTGATGGTGTTGCGGTCGTCGGGAGGGCGTAGACAGAGTTGGGCGAAACGCTGCAGAGCTGGAAGACATGCCTCGTCGAGACATGGTGTGATACCCTCTCTTCTGGTCCGCTGGATTGCCCGTGATCTTGCTCACGTCCCGCCCGCTTTTCGCCAGAATCTCCTTCATCACCGCTCCGAAGTTCTCGGGGTGATCCACCATTGTGGCTCCGGCGTCTTGCAGGATCTTGTACTTCTCCGCGGCAGAGTGCTCGCCTCTCGCCGCCCACGCTCCGGCATGTCCCATGATGCGGCCCGGTTTGGCATTCATGCCACCGACCAACGCAGCAATGGGCTTGGGATTCTTCTCTCGCCTGTGATAGTCCTTGATCCACTCCGCGGCATCTTCTTCTGCTCGCCCTCCAACCTCGCCCACGATAACCATGCCATGAGTCTCCGGATCAGCTTCGAAAACCTTGAGACCATCGACGATGTTGGTGCCCGCGACAATGTCACCACCCATGCCAATGCACAAGCTCTGGCCAAGCTCGGCTCTCGAGATGGAAGCCACTGCCTCGTACGAGAGAGTGCCGGACTTGGCCACGATGCCGATGTGACCGGGTCTGAAAGTGGGCAGGGGCTGGAAACCAATTCTACAGTAGCCGATGGGAGCGATGATGCCGGGGGCATTGGCGCCCACGAGCCGAGACTTGGACTGGGTCTTGAGGATGGATGTCACCTACAGAATGAAACGTTAATACCTGCTACACCGCGTGTCTCTACCGCACTCTACGCGCTGGGTCAACGGCTCACCCTCATAATATCATGGAGAGGAATATGCTCGGCCACGGCCACAATCAAGGGGATCTCGGCTTCAATGGCCTCCTCAATCGCCTTGCCGCACTGCGGGGCAGCAACGAAGACGGCAGTGGCATCGGGCTTGAGCTGCTCCTTTGCTTTCCTCAAATCGGGCAGCAAGGGGAGGCCGAGATGCTCGCCTTCCTTGCCAGGCGTAACGCCGCCGACAATGTTGGTGCCGTACGCGATGGAGTCTTTGGCGTTGCCCGTTGCCACGCGGCCGGTGAAGCCTTGGTAGATGACACGCGTGTGCTTGCCTATGCGCAGGTTGTGCACCGTGTCGTCGTACGAGGCACGCGCGAGGGTGGTGGAGAAGGATCGGGGGCCAGTCGGTTGGGGGGAAAGACGAGGGTTGCTGCAGAGCAGCCAACCGCTGCGACCGCGAAGGGCAGCCATTGTCGGCCCTCCCTGAGAGCGTGAAAGGGTAGCTAAGGAGAGAGGGGATGGTTGAGCAGGAAATGAGCGAGTGAGAGAGGGAAATGTGTGCTGAACAAAAAGATGGAAAGGCAGTATGATGACGCCAGGGCCTGGAGAGCTCGGTCTGGAACATAATATTGCTTTCGGCAACTCGTCCTCGCTCCGATATCGTCGGCCAATGCCTCGTGGCTGCATCCCCATCGCACATAGCCGACTATTCCCGGCTCGCGGCGCCAACCTCAGGCACGGCCAAGTCCGCGCGACCACAGATGTCTTGGTGGATGTACTGGATTGCGGCGTTTAGCGACGAGACGGGTGTCCGATACAGGTCCATGGAGTACCTTGTTAGCCTTCCTTTACTCTGTTCATCATGTAGCCGTGAGGTGATGTGTGGTTGATGCCTGAGGTTCCACCCCGCCATTTTGGGGAAGAGGGTCCGTGCCCGAGTGACGATGTGAGGCCAGCAAGTCTGCACCTGACGACACCGCTCGAAATGCCCGAGTCGTCTTTGTAGACCCCTTCTCAAGCATCATGGCGCAGAATACGCCCTCTCAGAATCTACACTCCAGTCTCGGCAAGCTGCAACTCTCCCCGTCCTCTAAGGGCACTCCTACATTCCCTAAAAACGAACCCGTAGACTCCTGGGAAGACGAAGCAGACAACGACAGCTCTCCAGACGAAGGGCAGAGAACCCCCATCCACGCCGACACCTCCCCCGGCCCTCCGCCGCCCACGCCCTCCTCGCCGTCAATGTTAAGCCCCCATAGACTCGACTCCCCGTATCAATCTTTTCCTGCCTACGGTCTGGATGCAGCACTAGAGGGCCGATCAATTCGGAGAGACGTGGATAGCGAGGAGCGAAGACCGGAAAAGTCGACGGCCGTGGCGTCGAGGCTGATCGCCGCGGGTATAGGACAGAAGGCGCCCAGGCGGACGCAAGAGCAGAGGGAATACGATCAGGCGATGAAGGTGCAGGAGAAGAAGAGGCGGGACCAGGCGCGAGAGGAGGAGGAGAGGAAGAAGAGGGAGAGGGAGAAGGCGATCAGGGATGCTTGGGATGGGTGATGGTCTACGCCAGACTGGTGCCTTTGTTGCCACTGCAGCACTGGACCATCTTCTCACGATTACGAGCCCACCCGATCATGGTCGAGCCTCAGGATCTCCCTGCACATCGGACTGGCCACGGGAGCTCAACGAACACTTCTTGTTTCCAAGGACCTGCAAACGCAATCACCACGATGAAATGGCGCCTCAGAACTGCAGCACTTTACGAAGCTAACGCACCATGGGAAACATCGAAAAGGGGACACCAACGAATCCACGATTCCAGTCTTACGCGTCGCGGCAACATTACCCCACACACTTGCTTGTTGCTGTTTCTACTCAGATGCACATATTTATGCATGCATATCGGGCGATTCCGGGCTTGACACGTAACCTTACCACCATTACTCGAGTGCATCCATCAAGTACCGCTTGGTAATCGCGCCATGTCCCAACTCGACGGTCACGGTCTATCGACCTGTGGCCACTGTATTCACCGCACAAGCAGTGAAAGACTGTGGATCGGTTTCCTGAAGCACCCACGAACAGTCGTCGTTACCTTTCAGCCTTGGACCTCTTCCACGCTCAAAGTGTATGTCCTCAAAGGGGTGGTCGCGAGGCTGCAACTTGGGCAGAAAGTCTAGCGATCCCAAGCTGTCAAATCGAGTAAGTGCTAGGCCAGAACCATGCAGGTAGGATTGGGTGGCTTTCAGAGCTCCCTTCCCGAGCGCGTCCGGGGTTCACCACCCCCCTCAGGGCGGCTGGATTTCTTAGCAAGGCAGGCGCGCCGAGCCCTATAAGCATTTTGGCTGTTCGGGGCCGGCGCCAGGGCTCGAGGTCGTGGTCGAGACCGTGGGATCACCGCCCGTCCGAGCATGCATGCTGCTGCAAGAGACACAGTGGCGTTGTCGTGTTGCTCTGTACCATGCCATGCACCAACACCGGCCTGAGAGCTCGTTGGTACTCCTCTATGCTCACCACTCATATGGGCATTTGGACTGCTTCTCGCGTGGCCATAAGATAGATGCAGCAGCGCACCACTGCCTCGGGAACCGCGCGTGCCGTCAAATTAATGCAGGAGCGCAACGTGGCCCGCGCGACTGGAATCTCCGCTCCCGACATGAAATGAGTGCCGGTAGGTAGTGATCGCTCATCTTACGTGCATTTGCTGGGTGGCCGGGGAACCAGTGACGCCGCGGCACCAGCGGCATGGGTTGCGGATCGCAGATCGCATCGCGGGAGAGCATCGTATCATTCAGAAGGTGCGCCGGGGGCACGCCAATCAGGTGATGTTTTACTTGCACCGGCTATTTGGCCACCGCCATCCACGGGAGCTCTGCGCAGCAACTGGCCAACACGCCCGCCCGCCCCAAACTCCCGACCCCAGCTTCGCGTTCCTTCCCCGCACTTCGGGTATGCACGGAGCTCGCTCCGTACAGTAATAGACTTCCCACGCCATCCAGCGATCCCGAACTCTAACGTGCGTTCCCAGGAACGTCGCCGCGTCGTTTCCCCGCCAGACGAGTCGCCGAGAAGCGCAGATTGGCGCCGATTTGGCTTCGCCCGTCTGCGGTCCCAGCAATCGAAGGATCTGTCGAGTCCGGGATCGAACGCTGCCCCCGTCCCTTTGCGGGGAAAGCTCCTGGGCGAGACGCCCAAGACCTCGGGGGGTCTTGGATGGTTGGGGGGTATGCGTGAGGGGACGCGGTATTGGCCCGGGGGGCTTTTAATACGATGGTCGCGCCCGTTTCCTGACCTGCTGCTGCTTACCTGCCCTTCTCCTTGTTTTTCCCCCGTGTAAATCCACACAGCGTTTCTGTCGCTCCACGCCCGTCGCTCCTCCCTTCATTCCCCGTTCCCCTCCCATCCCCCGTCCATCAGGACCAACGCGTGCCAGCAGGCTATGTCGCAGCCCGAAATCAAAGACATGGGTGACCTGGAGACCATCAACACCGGCCACCACGTGCACGACGAGGAGCAGCTCCGCAATGCCCTCTCCAAATCCGTCACGCTCTCCCCCGAGCTCTTCGAGCGGCTGTACCTGTCGCCCAAGAACGAGGTTGCGGGCGATCTGCGCAAGACGTTTGCCAATCCCACCCCGATGGCCGTCATGGGCTTCTCCGTCGGCGTCTTCCCGCTGTCCATCGCTCTGAGTACGTAAACAAATCCGCCCAGCCTTGGAAAGCGGCGGCAAGCCAAGCCATTCCTGAGAAAGCAACCCAGCTAACGCAAGCGTGTGACACAGTGGGCTGGGGCGGCTCGGGCAACCTGGCCACGGGCACGACGGCGTGCAGCATCTTTTTCGGCGGCATGCTGCTCATCATTGCCGGCTTGTTGGAATTCGTGCTCGGCAACAATTTCCCCTTCCTCGTCTTCATGGGCTACGGCGCGCACTTCCTCTCCTTCGCCTGCACCTTCCTGCCCTCCTTTGACTCGATTGCCTTTGCCAGCGGCGGCGATCCATACAAGGTGACGCCGAGTTTCGAAGCCAGCTTCGGTAAGTTTGAACAGCCGAGAGTGCTTCCCGCCGTCCGCCGGCATTTCTAACGAGGGGGTGCACAGTCTACTACACCGCGGCCCTCGCCATCCTGTCCTTCATCTTCCTGCTCGGCTCGCTGCGCACCAACCTGATCTTCGTGCTCATCTTCATCTCCGCCATGTGCGGCTTCTGCTTCGCCTCCGCCGGCCTCTACTACAATAGCGTCGGCGAGACGGGCAAGGGCACCAAGTACATTGTTGCCACCGGCGCCGGCTTCTTCGCCGCCGACATGCTCGGCTTCTACCTCTTCCTCGGCATGATGTTTGAGATTATGGAGCTGCCCTTCCCCACGCCGCCCGTGTGGGATTTGAGCACGGTGGTGAAGCCGAAGAGCCGCAAGGTTGTGAAGGAGGAGTAGAGGGGCATTTCCTTTTCGGTCCTCCTGGCTCCGCTTGGGGATTTAGATCGTTGCCAGTGTGGATGTGGGTTAAAATGGGGAGAAGACTGTGTATTCAAAAGGAAGGGGCCAGCGTCGATGGGTGTGGCATCAAAGACGCTGATGACGGGAGAGTGACGGGCTTGGAAGTATCTTTCTGTAATCTACCTTTTTAGTGGCACGTAGAAAGAAGCCCTTTGCAAGACGTCAACAACACGAGGATTTTATTTCAAAACGTTGGCTGTGCTGCCTAAATAAATGACCGCAGACATGATGCGTGGCACGGAGTGTGATCGACAAATGGAACAGTCATCCCGCACTGCCGTCCAAAGGTCGCAGTCAGCAATGTCGTGCAACGCAGCACTTGCGCCATCATAACATGAAGACGACTAAACAGCTTTCGTCACACGTCAATGCCAACGACTCCAAGGTGCCACCGACGCAGCAGTAGCATGCCAGTCCCGGTGTACCTGCTACCCTACAAGCCTACATACTCGGCAGAGATGGCTCGAAGGCATGAAGCCGAAACGACCTCGGTTCCCCGGATTGCCCAAGCACAGCGCCTTAATGACGGAAGATTATTCCCGTCGATTGAAGAAGATGCAATCTCAACTCGTCTCCCATCTCCATCCCTCTCACACTCCTCGAACAGACCAAAATGGCAGCCACCGACGTCCCCGTCCCCTTCAGCGAACCCCCCTACCTCCTCGGCCTGCCCTCGCCCTACTACACCCCCGAGCTGCGCAAATGGCAGAAAGCCGTGCGCGCCTTCATCACCGACAACCTACTGCAGCACGCCTGGGAGTGGGAGAAGGAGGGCCTCGTGCCGCCCGAGGTGTACAAGAAGTTTGCCGAGTCGCGCATCCTGCTCTCCGTCCTGCCCGCGCCGCTGCCCGTCGCGGAGCTCAAGGCCAACGGCATCCATGACTTGCTGGGCATCGTCAAGGTGGAGGACTTCACCTACTTCCACAACATGATTTTCAACGATGAGATTTCGCGGTCGGGGCTCGGCGGGCCTGGGTCGGCCATTACGGTCGGCATGGCGTTCGGTGTGCCCGCGCTGATTAAATTCGGGAGCAAGTATTTGAAAGACAAGTACCTCCCCGGCTTGTTCAACGGGGACATCCGAGCGTGCATCGCCATCACCGAACCCGACGCGGGCTCCGACGTGGCGAACATCACGACGGAAGCGGTCAAGAGCAAAGACGGGAAGAAGTACATTGTCAACGGCACGAAGAAGTGGATCACCAACGGCATCTGGAGTGACTACGCGGCCATGGCGGTGCGCACGGGCGGGCCGGGGGCGAAGGGGCTGTCGATGCTGTGGGTGCCGCTGAAGGGGCACAAGGGCGTGGAGATGCGGCGGCTGGACGTGAGCGGGCAGAAGGCGGCGGGCACGACCTTCATCGATCTCGAGGACGTCGAGGTGCCCGTGGAGAATCTGATGGGCGAGGAGGGCCGCGGCATGATCCAGGTGATGACCAACTTCAACCACGAGCGCCTCACCATCTGCATCACCGCAACACGGCAGTCGCGCGTGGCGCTCAGCGCGGCCTTCGCGTACGTGCTGAAGCGTGAAGCGTTCGGGAAGCCGTTGATGGATATCGGGGTGGTGCGGCACCGGCTAGCGAAAGCGGGATGTCTGCTCGAGAGCCATTGGGCGTGGATCGAGCAGTTCGTCTACCAAATGTGCAATTTGAAGAAGGAGGATGCGGACATTGAGCTGGGCGGGCTGACGGCCGCGGCCAAGGCGCACACGGGCATTGTGATGAAGGAGTGCGTGGACGCCATGTGCTTGCTGTTTGGCGGCAACGGGTATACCAAGTCGGGCCAGGGCGAGCTCGCGGAGACGATGTGGAGGGAGTTGAATGGGATTCGAGTCCCGTGAGTCTTTTGCATGCTTTCCTTCCGTTCAGATCGTTAACTAACAACCCTTTGCAGCGGTGGCTCCGAAGATGTGATGCTCGATCTCGGCATCCGGCAACTGGCCAAGAACTTTCAGCGGAAGACGGCGGAGTTGGAGAAGTCGAGGGGCTCGAAGATATAGATATTTCCATAGATGAATTAGCAAGTGATACCTTGCATGCATGTGCACATCCGACAGCGGCCTGTCCGAAAGCGGAGGCCAACACCATCTCGTTGCCCTGACGACGACTTCCCGCTTCGTTGGCCCTGGCGCTGCACCCTCCGAACGAGTGACTGCAGCCATTGCGCAATGAAGATATTCCTATGATTGATTGCATTCGTTATATCGCTTCATCCCGTCGCATTCTTACCTGTGTGCTCTCAAAATCGCCTCAGTCCGGGGATTTGCACATGCTCGCATAACCCCCACACCCTCCACACGACCTCACCATGCTAAAAGGAAGAGAAAGGCCGATGCCAGGGCCGAGTTACATGTCAAAAGACCAGCAGGGTGAGTCTGAAGGCGTCATGATGGATAGACAGTACATGGCTAATTCCTCCCAGCCGAATACCTCCAAAGCCTCCGAGCAAGCCATGTCTCTCGACCCTCCGGCTCAAGACCGCTGCCGCCGCCGTCCCAGTATGGAAGTACGAGGCGGAGAGAAAGTCCAGTGAAGGACAGAGCAGCGCTAGAGACCAGCCAGAGCATGCCCGTCATGCCAGTGCAAGGAGTAGCAGGGCAGCACAGCCGTTCAGGTTCGAGTGCGACGACAACCACGGCCTTCTCCACCGACGTTCCCCAACCACTCACCGAGTCTGCGCTTCGCAAAATGCCCAGCCTGTCGTACATGGAGCGCGGCACGCGGTGGATGGAGAAGCAAGAAGCCAAATCGCTGCGCATGGCGCTCGAGGATATGGATCTGGAGGCGGAAAAGCGGATCCACGAGGCGGCGCAGGATGAGGCGGCGGAGCTCGTGTACAGGCATCAGAGCGGCGAGGATCCCACTTCCGGCATGCCGTTTCCGAATCCAGATGGAAAGAGAGACTATCATAGACATCTGCGCAAGGGCAGCTATCAGCGGGAGCACGTCGAGGCGGCGCCGGTTATTGCGCAGAGGAAGACTTCCGGAGGCAGCCATGAAGAGCCGGAGAGTGTTGCGTCGATCACCAGTAATAAGCGCCGGAGTATGGAGCCACTTCGCAGGATCAATCCACCTACGGCGACAGAAGTGACGGTGCAGAAACGACGAGTCTCCTCGGGCAAGAGCTTCGGCGGGCTCGCGGAAGCGGTGGCGGAGGACATCACGCAAGCCCATCGACGCTCGAGCAGTGGTAGTCGGCGCATGATCAGCCTGGAGAAGAAGCGCGCCTTCATGCACCCCAAAGACCGCATCTGGGAGGATCCGCAGGAAGAGCAAAGTCCGCCGCCGCCGCCGCCTCAGCCGCAGAGAGTCGCAGCAGTGCCCGCCACCATCACGACCAATCCAGAAGTCCCGCAAGCGCACACACGTCGCAACCCATTCGCTCGCGTGCGCATGCACACCGATAAGTTGGAGCGCACGCGATCGGAGCCAATCGTGTCGGCACCTCGCCTCGACAGCGTGGAAATCCAGCGCAATCCGCCCAGTCAATCGCGCCGGCCATGGTACATGTCGAATGAGCCGCTGCCGCCTACACCACCCAGTCCCGCCGGGCAGCCAGCCGATGAAGTCTCTCCGAAAGTCACACCAACGCGGGAGGGTAGGGAGGTCCGCGGCGACGACATCCGAGCGGCGACGAGCAAGAGGCGCAGCGACTATAGTCCCAAGCTACCGCGTCCGACCATGGTCAGCGACAAGCCTGGGCGCCCGATCGTGAGCTTTCAGCAAGATTGGAGGCCGAAGGAAGTGGTGTTGGAAGGGGCTCAGGCAGCAACGGGATCGAAAGCGACAGCCGAGCCGTCCAAGACACGTCAGCCTGATGGCGCGTCGAGCGTGTTCGCTGATCCTGGTGCCTCAAAATCTCGCGTTGTCGATATTCCCCGAATCAGCGTCGATCCTGCAGACAGGCAACCTGTACCATCGATCAACTTCCCGGATTCGCCGACTATTCCAACGATTGTTTTCCCGGACGAGTTCGAGCATACGGAATCTTCCAGGGAATCATCGGCGCCGGTGATTCCGTCAATCAACATCGAGGCCCCCATCATCGCCGTCAGCAGTTTTGACGAACCCGAGCAATACTCAGGCGTGCCTTCCGCACACCAACCGCACTCCCAAGGCAGACCACACCCCACGCACGCCGCAACATCACCCCTCCCCATGTCCAGACCGCACATCACGCCCACCGTCCGCCAATCCGGCATGCTCTGCGCCCACTGCGCCCTCCCCATCGCCGGCCGCATCCTCAGCGCATCAGGCGAGCGCTTCCACCCCTCTTGCTTCGTCTGCTACCAATGCCACACCAACCTCGAGCTCGTCGCCTTCTATCCCGAGCCGGAAAAGGCGCACGTCCAGCGTCTCGCTCGCATCGAAGCGCGAAGAACAGGCTATGCCGTGCCGGGCGAAGAACACATGGCCGCGGACGAGCTGCTGCAAAGGGAAATCGAAGACGGAGACGGCATGCTGCGCTTCTTCTGCCATCTAGATTTCCACGAGCTGTTCTCCCCGCGCTGCAAGAGTTGCAAGACGCCGATTGAAGGGGAGGTCATTGTTGCGTGTGGCGCGGAGTGGCATGTCGGCCACTTCTTTTGCGCGCAGTGCGGCGACCCGTTTGATAGCCGCACGCCGTTTGTGGAGAAGGAGGGGTATGCGTGGTGCGTGGGGTGTCATACGAATCGCTTCAGCTCCAAGTGTCGCAAGTGCAGGAAGCCGGTGGTGGGGACTGTTGTCAAGGCTTTGGGCGCGGATTGGCATTCGAGCTGCTTTGTTTGCGTGGTGAGTTTGGGGTCGTTCATGTGTCTTGCTTGATGGTGATGACGCTAATGATGGTGTCGTGATAGGAATGCAACGGCGAGTTCCAGGATGGCAGATACTTCCTGCGGGGATCAAGTGATGATCCAGTGTGTGTGACGTGCGAGCAGCGACGTCTGAAGGCGTGAGGCTATGCGCGAACGTGGCGATGATTCGGGGGAGTGACAATGTTGGAGGAACGATAAATCTTGCATAGGCAGAGCACAGAAGGGGGATGTCCAGTCCTACGGGGCACTAGGATCCAGCACCACCACATCAGGCAAATCTCGCACGTCGACAGTCTGCCTCGTATCCAGATCCACAATGCGTAGAATGCCCAAGTCCAGCACACCCGTCGTCGCGGCCCAGAACTTCAACTCCGTCTCGTAAGATGCCCCCGGCGCCACCGGTCCAATTCGCACGTCAGGATTGAGATCCAGGACGTCCGGCGGTTGCTGCGCTTGCAAGGGTGAGTCAAAGACCTTGGCGACGAGGTCGTGGTGTTTCCCGGTGCTGGAGCTGGCTTGGATCTGCATTGAGCGTTTCTTCGGCTCCAGCACAACGATGGCGAAGCGACGCGTGCGATCGCTGCGGTTGATGCACTGCACGTAGATTTTGAAGTCGAGGCGGAGGGGGATGATGGAGGTTGTCCAGATGTGGAAAGTAATGCCTGAATCTGAGGGAGAAGAGGCTTGTGGCATGTCGAGGGGCCCGGCTTTGGAGTCGCCCTGGAATGATGGACGCGCGGGAGGTCTGATTGTGGATGCGCTTAGCGGACGCGACCATGTGTAGGTGGGTTTCGGGGTGGGTTGGGATAGATCGACTGTGGTTTGCCAGTTGACTGTTATATCGGTCTGACTCTCGTCCTGTGTGACTGTAGCGTTGATGCGAACGGTGATGGATGAAGGGGTGTCTTTGGCAGCCAGCGTTGATTTGACGAGTTTGAAGAGCAGAACGGTTTCGTCGCCGGCGAAGGACTGCATGGGCCATGCCTGTGGGTTGAGACTTTCCACTCGAGCCTCCGGGCTGCTAAGCTTGACCTCTTTGATCAAGAGGGAACCCGTAATAACTTGCGAGGTCTCAAGGTGCAGGCTAGCAACGGCAGAATCTGCCAGACCAGAATATCGAATCCGCGTGAACAATGCAGGCACAATGGGGAATGCACGCTTCGAGGCGCCCCTGATTGGTTTGACATCATCCTGGCCTCTTGTGGTGGTTGGGGCAACTTTGGTGAGTCTGTTCTCCGGAAGATATACCGTCGTGCCGGTTAAAGAAGGCGTGAACTGCAGAGCCTCCAGGACATTTGCAGGCAGTGGTTCCAGACTGTCGAGATAGAGCAAGCGATCGTTCTTCGACGAAGTCAAGATGTCAGAGCTCAGGGAGAGATGGACGGTGAAATAGACGGCCGGCCGTTGCAGTCTCGCGCGTGGCCGAGGGAGGTCGAGCTCTGGCTTCCAGATGACGAACGTGTGTTCGCCGCCAGATACCACATCCACAGCCTCGGAGAAGGGGACGGTCTTCCAGGTCAAGTCATGCTTTCCAGAGGCAGAAGCGGCATTTCCATTGCCTTGAGGAACAGCGTCTGTGGCATGGGCGGCTAATGTCAGTTCCAGACTCGAGAGGAGAGATTGAAGGTCTCCTTGGAGGATTTCGGCCTTGAGGATGACGAGAAGATGGGCTCTCTCGTCTGTATTCCTGACGCCTCATTAGCAACAGCCTGCTCGTTGGACGAAGAAGCAGGACTACCAAAGAAGAGGTTCCGTCTTGACGGCAGTCGCTGGAGATCATCGAGGGAAGCATCGCGCAGGATGGCCGACGCGTCAACTTCGTGAGAGCGTGGAAGAAGGACGTGGAGAGCCGCGTTGTTGGAGAAGGTCAGATATGCGGCCTTGACCTCATCCCCAGGCTTCGAAGCCATGCCAGAACCATCACCGGCAAGTCGTCTGGTTCGAGAGCAGTAATTGCAGCTTTGAAGGGTACACACCAGCCCTCGTTCGCCTTGGAGATGGAGAGGATATGGCGTACTTCCCATCAAAGTTCACCGCTCTGGCGCCTTGTGCTTCGCGCTGGCGATTGGTGACACCTCAGGCCGCAACGAAATTGGCGGGGGCTTGCACAACCACTTTCGATGCCCCACCACACGTCCTTCTGTTCACCACTTCTTCCTCGACCCATCACTTGCCCACTCTTCTCAACCTCCTCCCTGACCTTCAAGATCTGGACCAGTACCGCGAGAAGGACCTCTCTGCCAATTCGACAACACCACGCACAATGGGCGCGAAAGTCCCGCGCAACTTTCGCTTGCTGGAAGAGTTGGAGAAGGGAGAAAAGGGCCTGGGCGCTGGTACACGTGAACTGCTCCGGTGGTGAAGGTACAATGGGCTGACTGAGTTTCCCAGAGGCATGTTCGTACGGACTAGACGAAGGCGATGACCTGCTCATGACGAATTGGAACGGCACAATCCTCGGGCCACCGCATGTAAAAGGCCCCGGACAAGCTGCGGCTCTCGCAGAAGATTGTCGCGATACTGATGGGACTACAGAGCGTGCACGAGAACCGCATCTACTCCCTCAAAATCCACTGTGGCCCCAACTACCCCGACGTCCCGCCGGAAGTGACGCTGGTGAGCAAAGTGAATCTCCCCTGCGTGGATCAGCGGAACGGGAAGGTGGGTCATTTCTTCCCATGTCACCAAGAGCTGCTAATGACACTCTCATACAGGTCGACCTGTCGAAACTCCCGAGTATAAGCACGTGGAAGCGCGACTTCACCATGGAGACCATCCTCATCGAGCTGCGGCGCTTCATGGCGGCGCCGCAGAACAAGAAACTCCCCCAGCCGGCTGAGGGCACGAACTTCTAGTGGCGTTAGGTGGCATTCAACCACGCACCCAGGGGGTGAGAGGAGGCTTGTGGCCATTTCGTGACATTTCAGCGTAGCATGGGGCCAGGGCGGGTGTTTTAACACGATACTCAATCCAATTTTTGACGAGACCAAACAAGCATATTTGAACTGTTTCATTACTACATCTTGCTCTATGGTCTAAATCTTTCGGGACGCTGCATTGCTGACACCCCTCTCAATCAGCACTCACCACATTCTTCACCATATTCTTCGCATTCCGCGGCTCAATGAACAACGCCTCCGCCTCGACAACCTTCGTCCCATCGCCCTCCCCGTCCTCGCCCAACAGCTCAATCCACCCCTTACTCCACGCCTTCCGCCCCTCCACCTTCGTCGTCTGCGCCTTGAGAACCACAAACCGCCCCGCAGGACACGGACTCCGGTAATCAATCTTCAAACTCGCCGTGACAGCCACCTTATTCGGCAGAGCGGGAAAGCACGCGCGCGCCAGTCCCTCGTCCAACATCGTCGCCAGCAACCCGCCATGGATAATCCCCTCGTGCCCGCACAGGTCCGGACCGAAGTACATAATCTGCGTCAACGTGGGTAGCGCAGCGTGCTTGTCGTTGAAATTCAGCGGCGGGACTTCCAGCTTGCCTTCGCCGAGCAACGTCCCGGCCGTGAGGCTGTGCGCGCGCATCGCAGGCGGGATGCGCATGTGCGGCCGGCTCTCGTGCATGTCGGGTTGCGCGCGCAGCTTCACGGCCAACGGGTGGTTGACGATGTAGTCGTTGATTTGCTCCTCGGCGGGCGTGGCGGGGTGGTAGAGGCGCAGCGTTTCCGCGTCGCTGGTGGGGTTCACGTACCCGTTTACCGTCTCTGCGGCGGGGGCGGCGGACATGGCGGTGCCGAGGGTGAAGAAGAGGAGGACGAGGGCGGTGCTGGTGAGGATGCGGCGGGTGAGGGGTTTGGGAGTGGGTGTTGGTGGTATGGAATCGGTGGTGGTGGTGGTGGTGGTTGATGATGCTGAAGATGCAGAGCGCTGTGTGGTGTGTACAACTGAGATGTTGAGCGAGGGTGCAAAAGTCTTATTATACGTCTGTCGTGGAAGGGTACGTGTGTGGATGGATCGTTGGGGCGGAACGAGGAAGAAGGGAAAAGCGACACGCGCTCTTGCGTGACTTGACACGGCGCGCCGAAACATCTCCGACCGCAAGCACGGCGGGACGGACCATAGACGAGGCAGACTGGCAACCATCACGGCCGTATGCGCCGCCTGCCAGGCTGGAGGGTGATGCGAAGCTTTTTGGTTGGGTCAGGCTATGAATAATCCAATGATGCGGTGTCGTGGATTTTCGGCGACTTCGACCTCGGCACCTCGACGTGGCGGAGGAGGCTCGGGGGGCGGTGCGGCCGGGGCTCGGGGCATGTTCTGGCCGTTGTCCGGCGATGATGATGCACGACAACAGGAGGCCTTGAATTGGGCAGCAGTTGAGTGCTGCGTATTGTATAGACACCATCGGTTCTACCTGTAGTATCTATATCTCTCTTATGGCTAGCCAACCGCTGCAGAATCATTCCCCGCTCAGCACCAAATTCCTACGCTGACAATAGCCATTCAAGCTTCCCTACGAACAAAGAGTGAAAGCAGATCAGATGTCCATACTCCACCGCTCCTTCACCTCTCGTTTCGTATGCTCCAGAATCCAGTCCGGCAGGGCGGATTCCCCCGTGTCCCAAGCCTCCAGAATCTCCGGGTCGATGTCAGGCACCCTCTCCCGAGCAGCATCCTGCGAAGGCATCCGCGCCGTTTTCTTAGATGCCCGGACTAGCTCGTCGCCAGAGATGACTTGCTTTTTGAAGATGCGTGAGTGTGGTGCGAGTTCTTGTAGCACGCGGATGGAATCGTCTTTGGTCATGAGGGCTGAACGACGAGATCGTGGGTTGTGGAGGTCCTCATCGGATGCTGTGTTGCTGTTCGACATTATGGTGGACAGTTGTTGCCTGGATGTCACTTTTCGTGGTGGTCGTTCATCAAATGATGCAGCGGTCGCAGGTGGGTATCGCAGCACCGTGCCGGAAGAGCCTTCCGAGGATCTCGCCATATCAGAGTGATGTTGTACAGGTCTCGCCGGGTGGTGTTCCTCGATATCACCGAAATCCCTTTCATCGACGGGCGGCCCCTGTCGCTGAGCCTTCGTGTCATTTGCCGTGGCCCCCGAGCTCTCGTGCGACATGTTTGGTGTCGAAGCATGCTCGCCATTCTTCAGTCGTCGCTCGATCAAGCGGTGGCTCAAGTTACGTGATAGTGGAACAGCAGATCGGGCGGAGTATCGACTGCTATTCCCGCTGTCACTCCGACTTCGCGGATACTGCGTCTTGCCACTCATGACATCCGCAGTGGGTGGAGGCTGGAACATCCATCTCGCCTCCTCCGGCGAATTGATCTTCGTCACCGTTGCCGGATGCAAATCGTTGATTTGTGGGTTGCGAATTGTCGAGTAGTCGCTCGTGTCAGTGGAACGGAAATAAGCTCGTGGCGGCTCCGCAACGCCCGGCGCCTGCCATGATCTACTGAACCCCAGCCTCTCCGTCGAAGACGAGCCCCATAATTCATCATCGTCCCGTTGGTAGCGCTGGTATTCAGATCTGCGATCACTGGCGCCGTCCCTGCTGCCCCCTTGTGTGCTCACGTCCACGGAGCTCGGCCGGTTGCTCCCATTACTTCTCTGCGTCGCACTCGTTTGCGGAACTCCTCCTATCCGATTCTCGCCGCTGTAACCCTTCCACTTTCCTCGCGGCGACAACACCGGCCCAGTCTCAATCTCCGTTGCCCAATGCGGGTTGGTGGAGCTGGGGTCAGCCTGGCGATAGAAATCCGGCATCTCGGCCGCCAATGCTTCTCTGTCCAAACGCCCCAACTCCGCCTCGCGCCGCCTCTTCTTCCTGTACTTGGCGTCTGCACATGGTGCGCAGGAGACGTAGTAGAAGACCGCCGATTGGATGCCACGGTGAAGCGCCATTGGTGACTAGAAAGGGATCGGTGTTCGCTCAGGTGGCGGGGTGGTGATGAGCGAAGTTGCAAACAGATATCCGGGCTATATTTGCTGGTCGAAATGCATGCTGCATCGCTGGAGTGGGTGTAGGCAGGATTGATGGGCTTGGAATCGATGTTTCATGGGATTGCGGCGATGTTTGCGCGGGAATTGGGCGAGACCCTGAGGCACCTGCGGGCGAGTGAGGTGGAAGGAGTCGGTCAAGGGAGAGGTAGGAGGTGAGGTGTGTCGAATTAGGGTGACTGCCTTCTGGCGTAGTATTGTTCAATGACCAACCCCGTGACAGGTTAGTGCATCACAATGACAAGTCGAGGCAAGTCGGGTGTGGTGTGGAATCGGATGTCGTCAAGGGTATAAAAGCAGGTACCGGACGGCATGCCGGGGTGGAGGCTCTCCGATCCCCAGAACAGGCTAGTGTGTTGGCATCAGTAAGGTGGTCCGTGTGCGTGTGGTGGGTGGTGCAAAGGAAAAGCACAACTATGCCAACGTGGTAGAAAGAGAACAACGCAGACATGGACCCGCAAACCCGCTCCGAGAAAGATGCAAATCATCGCAGGGTGTCAGCGTCTTTCATGCGGAATGAGATAATGCCAGGGTCGAATGAGCACAGCCACATGCAGCCCCGCCAGCCACAGTGCAACCCCACGTGCAGCCCCAGGAAGAGTGACTAATTTTCACGTGACGACCGTAGCGACCGCCTTACCAAGCCCATACTGACAAGCAAGTGGCGCGGAAACCCAAGGAAGTACACGCAATATCCTACCCAACTCACAACATCCCTACAATCCATTCTTCCCGCTCTACGACCTTCCTAGCCGCTCACACCCCACACTCACCCCTCAACAATGGGCAACTGCTGCGGCAGCCAAAGCAGCAGCGGCGACGACAACAACTTCCAAGGCCAAGGCCGGACACTCAACGCCCCCATCCCAGCGAATGCGCCACCGCAAACGGACGGCGCTCGAACGGCCGCCGCACCGCCCAAGGTCGACTCCTGCGGCAAGCCCGTGGGCAAGAAGAGCACCATCCCCTCTTTGCCGTGTCCCGTAGGTCCGCGGGAAGCCGCTGCGAGAGCGGCAGAGGTGCGTTTAACTGGTCCCTTTGCCTCGCCTCTTATCTTGATCGGGGGAAGCTGAGGGATCTCCTGGCTGATGACTGACGTGAACAACCGCTAGGCACGGACACTGGCGCAACAGGCGCCTACGGGCGGGAAGCTGGACAGACAGCTAAAGATCCAGCAGCGGCAGACGCAGAACCAGACCTTGGCACAGGGCGCTCAAGACAACCTCGCAGCGCGAGAGGTCGATGCCCAAGCTCAAGCGAGGAATTACGATTGATGTTGCATGCCATTTCTCCTTCATAGCGTCTTGTTCAGTTCAATTCGAGCGGCGTTGCTCTTTCAACTCGTATTTCCAAATCCAGAGGCTATCGTTAACATTTCTACGTCTGCCATCACTGCACCTTCTTAATCCCCCTCAAAGCCCTCTTCATCCCCTCCAGCCTCGTCCCCTCCCGCACAATCATCTCCCTCGCCAACCGCCGCAACATCTCCCTCCCCTGCCTCACATGCTCCTCCTGCCACCCCGCCACTTCCCCCGCAACAGTCTGCTGCGTATACCGCAACTCACACCCGAGACTCTCCAGCTCGCGCCTAGCCTTGGCAGCCTTCTGCTCGGCCTCAACGGCAACCTGCTTCTTCGACTCCTCGAATAACCCGCCGATGCCCACGGGATTCCAGCGGGAGCCCGAGCGGCCTAGCGAGCCCATGCTGCGCTCGATGGTGCGCTGCAGCTGCGCCATGTTGCCTATCAGGTAGGCCGGGCGGTCGAGCGCGGTGGAGATGGCGGTGCTGCTGCTTTGGATGGAGTGCAGGGCGTAGTAGAGGGCGGTGAGCGGCGAGGCGTCGGTGGGGGTGAGCGTCTTGCTGTAGCGTTCAAAAGCGGTGGCGTGGGCGGGCGGGAGGAAGAGGAGGGAAGAGAGGCGGGTGGAGGCGAGCGTTTGCGCTTCGGCGACGTCGTTGGCGAGCATGCGCTGCCGGTTTGTGGAGCGCAGTGTGCGTTTCGTCGAGCCGATGACGCCGCGCATTTGGTCGCGCACGAACTCGACGAAGTTCTCGACTTCTTGAGTGTCGCGCACCGGCTCGTAGTCGTCTTTGATATTGTCCACGCGGGCTTCGGCCTTACGCTTGCTGCGCTCCGAGAGGAGAGCGGGATCCATTTCGGGCACGAGGAAGAATTCCCACACGAGTTCGTGGGTGGAGAAGGTCGCGTGAGTGAGGAGGTTTCGGAGGAAGTTGTCCAGGCGGATTTGGACGTCCCGCAGCACAGCTCGAGATGGTTTGGATGGGATGAGGAGGGGCGAAGGGAGGTTGAAGTTTGTTGGTAGCCAGCTCGCGGGACACTCCAGCGCGAGCCATCTGGCCAAATTCTCAAAGTCGGCGACTGACCTTCTACACGTCGTCACGGTAATCATGCCGTTCGTGTTCGGGGCTCCCGACTTGAGAACGAAGCGGATGGTCGCATCTTCCAGGAAGAACGATCGCACGACAGTGGTAGTTCGGCCATCGGTGTCAGGAAGACTGGATAGCAGGACCAAATCGTCAATTCGATTCCGCATTTCATCGTCCTTCGCAAGCTCGACGGCTGACAAACCGCGGAAGTCTTTCAGCGTCATGTCGATCCGCGGATCGCCAAACAGCGTTCGGACAAGATCCACGCGGCCATACTTGCTGCCAACCATGATGGGTGTGAAACGCTTGTCATTCGGAGCGTTGACGTCCACATCACAGTGGCGAAGTAGTTTGTTGGCGAGTTTCCCGTCGTTAATGATGTGCAGCAAAGTATTGCCTTTGGAATCAACGTGATCGTCGAGATGGAGTGGCTGGCCGTCACCTTGCGATCTCGTCGCAAGGGACAGTGCGAGGTCGACCATGCCATGGTACTGCTCGTGGTCGTAGGATCTGCATAGGGCGAAGAGAGGAGTCTGGCCGTTCTTGTCTTTCAGCCGCCACGGCAGCTTCTTGCCAAAGCGTTTGAGTAGGTGCGGTTGAGTGAAGAGGTAGTGCGCCATGCATCGCCCTTTGCTATCTTGCACCGCCAAATACCTTACCAGCTCATCTTTCGACACGTTGTCTTCCAGGTATGTCAGGATCTCCTCGGTGACAGTGGCGTTCCCGGCTTGCACCGCGGCATTGAGCAAAGTAGCCCCATCGCTATTCACATCCTCCAGCACGAAATTCGCACGGAAATGCGCGGGCATGGCGAGCAAGAATCTCAGTGCCGGTGCTTCGCCAGCCTCAACGGCCATCATCAACACAGAATTGCCTTCGGCGTCTTGAGTCTGTGCCAGTCGATCAGACGAGGAGTCACCGGTGGAACGGCCGCTAGTCCGTGAGTCAAAGCTCTGATGTCGCGAGTGTGAGCGAGAGGAGAATGCAGAAGACACGGAATGGCTTCGGGGCAGCGGTCCCATTGACACCCGCTTCTTCGCTCTCGACTCGACTTGTTCTGGCGGCGGTGTCGGAGGTCGCTCGAAGGGAAAGACGTGCTGCAAGGAACCGTTGACTGCCACAAAGTCACCCTCCTGCCTCTCCTGCGGCAGGCGCTCTCGCGACCCGTCTTCTTGTGAGACATCAGGGTCCGTCTGGTCCTCGTCAAAGGGATCGTCTTCCAGCTCCCGAGGAGACTCCGCTAATGTTGCATCGCTCAACGCGCGCAGACCGGGCTCCAATACGTTCTCCAGAGCCTGCAGATCCCCGCTCTTCACAGCTTGCCAGAGCATACGATTGCGCTTGCTATTGCGCCGCAGATTGCCAGAACCGTTCGTCAAATGCGCCAAAACCGCTTCGAGAGTAGCGAGAGCATAGCCCTGCTCGCCACTCTCCACCTCGTCCGTGAAAATAAAGTATCGCATGCTCAGGAGTCGAGAGTGAAGATGTCGTACTCCACTTCGAATCACGACCACAAGCAGCATGGACACGAGAACGTCGGCGTTGATCGTGAGCACCGCAGATGGCTTTTCCTTGTCATCGTCGGTAGAACCCATCGTGCTCGCATCCGTCTCAGTAATCGCCTTTTGCGTCTGAAGCAGAATCTCCAGCATTTCTTGCGGGCTACTCGCCACGCCCATCTTCTTGAAAGTATCAATGCCCTTGCTGAGCCGAGAGGCCAGCTCACGCTTGCCCTGCATGCCGTCCTCAATAGGAATGCCCACCTGGGAGATGTCGATGTCCGACATTTGTCTGATTTTATAATCAAGATCCGCATCGTCGGCCTTTCTGATTGCACAGATCCTCGGGAACAGCGTCTGGTCGTGTACCTGCTCCACGACATATTTTTCAATCATTCGCTCCACCACAGGCCCAGTGAGCTCCGTGTTGGTGCCGAGAAGCGAGAGCTGCTGTTTGTCGACCTTCTGAAAGAGCTCGATGGCCGCACCGAGAGCAGTCTCCAGTGAAGTGCGCATGGACTCCTCTTCCGGTTCGAGTTCGATAAAGGTCGGATGGTGGCCGCTACCTCCGGACAACGACGACTTGATGGATGCGATCGACCCGTCCATAGATGGAGTCGACGCCTGAGAGCTAAAGGAGGAGCGTCTCGTCACACCCTTTGGAATAGGCATATCGTTTGCCGAGACGAATTGTCGAATGATCTTTTCCAACCCGCCCTGCATCTGCCTCGATATGACCGGGAACTGGCTCAGTAGATCCCCAAAGCTTTTGACTTCTTTCCGCGAGCCGGCAGCCCCCTTGGATGAACCAGGACTGGAGGACGATGCTTCGGTCAATAGCTTTTTCCGCTCTCGACTCGGCTCATTGCTGATGATGGCAGCAGCAATGGGCGTGGCCACGAAAGATCCGACCAGCGGCTTCGAAATGTAATACACCAACCATTGCTGCCCATCTGCCGTGTCGGGATAGTAAATGATATCCTGCACCAACTGCGCCTGATTCAGCGTCTTGAAGCCCTTGTTGCTGTACACAAACGCATCTTTCACAATCACCGTCCGTCCGTTGATCGTAGAGTACTGTTTAGCTTTGCTCTTGTTCTCCCGTGCACTCGCGCCATCCTTGTTGGACCCCAGAGGACCGCCTGGCGGCACTCCTCCTGGCACTCGCAGGACATGGCTTGCGAGGAAGTCCTCGGTGGCGGCAAGCTCGGCGTAGCTGGTGTTGCTATCGCGGTCCTTGGCGTTGAGCAGGACGTCGGTGGTGGGGACGAGGAGGACGTGGTGGTTTATCGGCGAGCATTGCGAAGGGAGTGCGCTTCGAAAGAACGCTCGCAGGAATGGGTTGAGTGCCGGCATTCGTGCGGATTGTTGGTCGCTTTCATGCTGAGGTGGGCATTTTAGGCGGCACTTGCGAGCAGGTCGTTCTAGTTCGCGCTATGCAATCAAGTCCGGCGTTATTTGGCAGCGCGATATGGATGAAGACATGCATCCCAGAAGATGACGTGGAACTGATTTCGAGGCGATCGCAAATGTTAACGTCTGGCCCGGACCGAAACGTCTCCACGTGCTAGCGTGAACCCTGGAGTGGACAAGCACGTGAAAGGGACAGGGACGTGAAGTCTTGCAAATCAAATGCGGCAGCACAAAAGGGTGTTCTTCATGTCAACCTGAAATACGTCTCGCTAATGAACGACTTGCTCATTGCATTCATGCTTTTGCCGCTCCGGCTTTGATCAACAGAATATCGCCATCCTCCACCACATATTCCTTCCCCTTTGTCAGCACTTTGCCCTTGGCCTTGACCGTTGCTTCATCGCCCTCCTCCTTCAATACACTGTAATTGTAGACAATGGCTTGGATGAACGTCTTCTCAAAGTCTCCATGAATCACACCGGCCGCCTGAGGCGCCTTGGTTCCAGTCCGTATCGTCCACTGTCTGACCTCGTCGGTGCCGGTGGTGAAGAAGGAGCCGAGCTGGAGCGCCTTGCGCATCGTAGTGACAATCTTGGGCAGGGCAGATTTGGTGCCGAGTTTCTTGCATTCCTCCTCTGCTTCTGCCTCACTGTCGAAACGTGTAAGGCGGTCTTCGAATGAAACAGAGATCGGGATGATAGGATCGCCGGTCGCGTGCTCCTTCACCCACTCGGCGATTTTGGGAAGGTGCTTGTTCTTTTGCCGAATGTAGTCCTTCTCGCTCAGATTCACGAGAAATACCACCGGCTTGGCGGTAAGGAGGAGAAGTGGGTTGATGACTTCGACCTGGGATAAATGCGATCAGCACGTGCCCTCTCCAATTCTATTCATTCGAATGTGGTGATAATGCGACGATCAGACAGGACGGTCTATCATGACACCTCGAGCGTTGTTTAAATGAGGTGTTCGAAGAGCTGGGATTATAGAGATGTGATCTCTGGTTCATCATGGAAAGCAGGGCATTCGCAGCGGGAAGCAAAAGAAATGCACGTACCTCTTTCGGCACCCAGTCGCCTTTCCGCACATCCTTGCCATCCTTCAGCATTTCCAAGATCTTCTCCACAGTCGCTTGCTCCTCCTTGAGCTTCTTCATCTCCAGCGACTGCCCTCCTCTTCTCGTCTGCTTGAGCAGGTTCTCGTGGGCCTTCTCCACGAATTCAATATCCTTGATGCGCAACTCTTCGCTGATGATGTCGAGATCCCGCACGGGATCCACATCGCCTTCTACATGGATAATCTCGGCATCGTCGAAGCACCGCACGACTTGGAACACAGCATCGACCGCTCGAATGTGGGACAAGAAGGCATTGCCGAGACCAGCTCCGGTCGACGCGCCCCGGGTTAGACCAGCGATATCATAGACGGTGAGATTGGCCGGAACTTCTGATTTCGGCTTGTATTGCTGAACGAGCCAGTCGAATCGATCATCGGGCACAATGACTCGAGCCTCTTCCGGGTCAATGGTGGCATATGGGAAATTTGCCGGGTTGCCCAGCGAGCACTTGGTCAAGGCTTGGAAGAAGGTGGACTTTCCGACATTGGCAAGACCGACCTGGAGAGATTGTTAGCTCAGGCCAGCTCCGATGCGCGGAGCACGCACATTGTCTGCTCAACGTACAATCCCACTCTTCAAGTTGTTGCCCGGGCGGCCCAGGGGAATCTTCTCCTGCTTCACTTCCTTCTTGGGAGGCATCCTTTTTGGGCCTTTGGTTCCGTAGCTTCGAGTTGCAGTGCCAAAGCAAGCACACGTCACGGGTCGTGCGTTAGGGACAAGTTGCAGATGAAACGCAGAACCTGCTGCTTTGTGGAGAATGGGTGCGAGTGAATTGAAGCGGCGAGCTGCTGGTCGAGTGAACGACAGCTTGACGGATTGCAATCAGACGAGTATGGCTGATCGTCTTCCTGCAAAGGAGAAATGGTGGTGTCGGGATGGGAGCGGTGAAATGGGAGCTGTAAGAAAAGTTCGCGATCACTGAATTTCGGTGGACGAGGTTGTCGCTAGCGTCCTTGGTGCCTGAAATATCAGGCATCAACGGCTGTTGCCAGTCACGCAACGACACGAGCTCGATTCATACTCTCGTGTACCAACAGCAACTGGCATCACGATGTCGATCAACCTTCATTTGCTTCCAAGGGAATTGATCTCGCTCATTGCCACGTTCACTGACCCATCAAGTATATTAAAACTGAGCTCAACATGCCGCACTCTTCGCGCCGCCTGCTGGGACCCTCTGGTCCTCAAGGCGATGCTGATCTCATCTCAAGAAACCGGCTGGAGCAGTAAATCGCTAGATATCGAGGCCATCTCTGAGCGAGCTGGAAGTGACGCTACCACATGGGCCAAATACTGCGTCGCGGACGAGCGACTCAAACTACTGGCGCAGGACCCCGACAGCTTCGAATCGCAGAAGACGTTCATCGCCTTCCTCCCCGAACTCCTCGTGGTCAAACATTCCTTCGTCGCAGAACGCAACTGGGTGGATGCTCTGCGCTACCGCCTCGACCAGAACCCTAGCCAGATCTTCTGCATCGCAATGACCATCTTGGCCACCGATGATTCCATGCCGTCATTGACGAAAAGCCTGAAGATGGAGGGCCAGTGGAACCTGCGGGCCAACGGCGATCCCTCTGGCTTTCTGTGGAGTTTGTGCATGATTGCACTGACCGTTCGAGTGGGCGTGCGCACTCGACTTGCCGCTTGGCCATTCAACAATGCAGCACGTGTTCCTCACGTCGACATTCCGACGGTCAATCAGATTCCCCTGCGGCCGATTGGCGATCAGTACCGGATTCCCGCGCCTTTCTCTCGAAGAGCCATCGAGCTTCTCGGTCGATCGATAACGTCTTTCAGTGCGTGGGACAGCTGGTACCAGCTTCATACTGTCGCTCTCTTTCACGACACCAAGCAACTGACGGATGGAATGTGGACGGGCTACTACATCCATTTCGGCAACGACCCTCTCGGTCCACTCAATCCTCCTATGGCTGACATCAGATTCGAGGTTGTTGCCGCTCTCGAAGGAGACGGGGCTGTGGACGTGGCTGTGGGACGAGTATGGCGCCTGCAGGCCAACAATTGTGTGGATGGCGTCGATGGGTTTGAGCTTAGCGCTACGGTGCTGTGCAGCAACTACGGGGTGAACATTACAGCGCGCAAGCGCTACGTGCATCAAGGCCATGGTTGGGACTGGGATTGCCGCCTTACCCCCTTTGGCATCGTGGGGTATTGGGGTCTGCGCAATCCCAATCTGAGTACGTTGCGAAGGGAGGGCATTGTGTGGTTGTGGAAGACGTCTTGGACGGACATGAGGGACTAGGAGATGATTTATTATGACGTCTAACGAAGATCCATACGAGGAGGTCAGAATGGGATTACAGATGAGGATCCTGAAGCGAATGTCAAACGAAGGACTACAGCCTTCTCCCACGGCCCGCTGTATATCCCTGCTCGTCAAACGAATTGAGTCGATGCTCTGTTTAGAAGTCGCCACGATTTGGAAGCCCTTGTGCAGACATCGATCTCCGACCTGATCATATGGCTGCGGTGGCGACAAAGTTGCACAACGAACACATCCAACCTTTGCGTTTGAAGAAGACCAGCGCCAAACACCCGCGTTTGTCAAACAGATCTCACCTCGGTTTGGACAGCATCGCGCGGCTGTGTCGGCGCTTGGCGACAAGCCATCGGCCGCGCATCCAGATCCAGGCAAACAGCCTAAATTTCCAAGGCGTGGAGAGATGGGCAAATCGCGGGGGCGCAGAGCTGGATTCCGCTCTTTCCGGGCACGGCGCGCGGATCCATCTCTGTCCCTGCATCGCCACATGGATCGCTTGACTCGTAATCAATACTTTCTTGCATGTCGTATGTCGTGCGCGTGGCGGATGCTTGCAGGAGGTGTATACGGAGGAGCGGGCGTCTAATGACACATGGAGAGTGGTTGGCCTGGGGCACATGAGGGTGTCACATGTAGATGCTGGGATTGGGGGAAATAATGAATAACGACCTTGAAGGCATGGGAATATTAAGTTGGTGAGGTGGAGATGCAACCTTTCGTCTTCGGCACCGTTGTCCCTTGTTTATTAATGTTCGGTGCGGCGGCAGGCGACGTTGCCAATTCGGGACGCTTTAAGGTAACCTCCGACCCTCTCATTTGAAGCGACACGCTCGCTCGCGCCATTCGCCGGTCCTATTCTTTCTTCCGCCACCGTGCACACACCACCGCCTCCTCTTCAAACGTCACATTGCACTCGCCACTACTTTGCAGCTACATCAGGGCTTGAGGAGCAAACGCGCCAGCTCACACCGTGTTGTCAACAAATCAAACACGCTTGGCCCCACGCTGCGGCGAGGTAAACGCGCCTCCTTGCTTCCCTCTGCTCTTGCCGCGCCGCCACGCCCAGACAATTGTGTTGGCGGACGACCTGTCCATCCCTCCCTACCTCCAACCCTCTCCAAAACACCGCCGCCTTATCACGTCCTTGATGGACTGCTGAACAAACGCATCCACTTTTTCTCCCACACCTATCCACCACATTTGGTACCAAGGCAAACCCACACCACCACCACACCCTCCCACGTCACGCCCCCTTCGCAACCACAGTGTTAGCTCCCAGCGATGGAGTCTCCTCACGCCTCAGCCACCAGTTGGCTCGTTTTCGGCGGAGTGGTGGCCTTTGGATGTTGGTACTACTATCCCAGACAGCAGCCCAAACCACAGAAGCCCCAAGAAGAGCCGCAGCAGCATGTCACCGCTGCTAAACGGAAGCAAAAGGAGCAGGACGAGCGGGGCAGGCAGGGCAAACGGCCAGCCGGCGGTGCAACGAGCGAGAGTGACACTCGGCCTGTAGTCAATGGTAGCGGAAGCCCGAAGAAGCGAAAAGCGCCCGTCGAGCCTGCACGCTCCGTCCCGGCGGTGTCGAAGCCGGACGACAAGGCTGAAGAAGACGATTTGAGCACGAGGAAATGGGCCGAAGGCATGATCCAGGCTCAGAAGGGGCATGACATTGGCGCGACCAAGGGGTCGAAGGAAGCAAAAGTCAAGACCGTCAAGCAAAGCACCGCCCAGAGCCACCCTTTGCTCTCGTCTGCATCCTCTCAAGGTGGCGCAGAGGCCGATGACGACCTATCACCCGTGCCCTCCCCCCGAGTCGAAGCTGGGGGTGTGTCGGACATGCTGGAGCCCCAGCCCAAAGGGCCCACTTCTCTGCGCCTCACCGCGCCCGCCAAACCACAGAAAGAACGCGTTGCGAGACAGCCGAAGGAGGAAGTGGTGGAGACGAAGAAGCAGCGTCAGAACCGCAAGAAAGTGGAAGAGCGGCGCTTGCAACGGGAGGCCGAAGAGCAGCAACGCCGGAAGCTGGAGGAGAACCAACGTCGCGCCGCACGAGAGTCTCGTGGCGAGCCGGCTAAGAATGGACTTGCAGCGGCGAAAGCACCGGCAGTCTCGGCGTGGATGTCGTCAACATCTACCAACGACGCTCCATTCGTCAACGGCACGCAGAATGTGCCACTCCTCGACACATTCGACGCCGAATCCATGTCCAGCTCTAATGGAGGTCTGGACCCCAGCACCGGCCCAACCAGCACCACTTCCGCCGCCCGGTACGACCCCGATCTACCGTCGGAAGAGGACCAGATCGCGCAGGCGATGAAGCAAAGCGAGGATGAATCTGGCTGGCAGACGGTCTCCCAGCAGAAGAAGTCGAAAAAGAAGATCGATGCCCCGCTTGCCGAGCCGGTCTTGAGCAACAAGACGAATGTGCCCGCGCCTGCGAAGAAGGCGGCTGCCAATGGCAAACCCACCGGTTTTCAGGCGCTGGAGGTGGAGTACGAGCAGCGGGGTGATGCTGACCCGAACGAGCCGGAGAACTGGGATGCATGATGGCATTCTCAATTCGCTGGTCAATTCTTCGGGCATCACTGTTTTGGCACAGGTTTTTCGCGGCTCTGCCTGTGCCGACGCTTCACGCGGTCGAGCGTGGACTGGCAATGTGGTACTTCATACGCCTCTTGACGCGTTTTCAGCGGTTCAGTCCTTGCATGGGGCGTTTTTGCGGGTATTCCTGGCGCTGGTGCTGCGATCTGCACGCTAGGAGCCTATCTGTCTACAGCGGTATTCACACGCGGTCGAATTGATGCGTTTGGGAGGACATTTATTGGGCCGGGGATCAGGACTGCATTACCGCCCCCGGTGGGCAGCTCTTCGTCTGTCTGTTGAGCAGGATCGTATTGCATGTCTATGAATGAGTAGCAGTAGATGGCTCAATCGGATTCAACAAAGGCATTTCTCCTTCTGTAGCTAATAAGTCTTGGAGGTCTTGATGGCGGAGAGGGATTAAGATGCTTCGCCGAATTAAGCTCCAGCCTCCCTGGGCGGAGGAATCCGCATGCAGGGCAGGTTTGGAAATAGCTGGGCAGCTACTGGTCAGCCACGCACACAAACTCCTTCGCCTGATCTTTGTTATTTTTCCCATTGCAGCTCAAAAGTGCTTCGCTCGAGAGGCTCCATCATTTCTCGTCGTTATTTGCTCACGAAATCCCTTCTCGCGAGTCCCGGAGAGAGCGCGACACCTGCTCGGAAGAGGCCACGTTGATTAAGCTCAGACGCCATCCACCCGCACTGCAGGAGGTCGCTTCGGCCACACCCAGTATTCTACGATCGGCTGTCTACTCACCTCACCTTCTCTTCCCTCCACACCATTCCCATCATCTCTCGACCACTGCTCGCGCCCACCGCGACGTCTCTCCCTACCTTTCAATAGCGCTGCCGAGCAGCAGCTCCCGTCTGTTTATCTGCCACATCTCCCCCACCCATCGAGCCTCCCACTCGAACCCCTGCCAAACCCACCCACAAACCCTCGTCCGACCGCACAATGGCGCAAATCAGAGGCACCGCGGGCTACAATCTCGGCAATAACGCGCCCTCCTTCGGCGGCCCCTCCAACATGGGCCGGCAGGATGCCACCAACGACCCCTCGCCCCTCGACGCCATCCGCGAGCAGACGAGCAAGATCGAGGACTGGCTCGACACCCTCTCCGACCCCGTCAAGCCCTACCTGCCCGCCATCGGCCGCTTCCTCATCGTCGTGACGTTCTTGGAGGATGCGTTGCGGATTATCACGCAGTGGAGCGATCAGCTGGCGTATTTGCATGATTATCGGCATAGTGAGTATACCCCTTGGATGCATGGCAGAGATGGATGGACGACAGTGCTGACGAGACTCCGCGCGCAGTCCCCAACGGCATAACGCATCTCTTCCTCATGATCAACGTAATCGCCATGACCACCTGCTCCCTCCTCGTCATCATCCGCAAGCAAAGCGAGTACGCAGTCATGGGCCTCGCCGGCGTGGTCGTCACGCAGGCCCTCGGCTACGGCCTGATCTTCGACCTCAACTTTTTCCTCCGCAACTTGAGCGTGATGGGCGGACTCCTGATGGTGCTGTCCGACAGCTGGGTGCGCAAGAAGTTCGCCCCCGCCGGCCTGCCGCAGATTGACGAGAAGGATCGCAAGATGTACTTCCAGCTTGCCGGCCGCGTGCTGCTGATCTTCCTGTTTGTTGGCTTTGTCTTTGCGGGCGACTGGAGCTTGCTGCGAGTCATTGTCATCCTGGTGGGCGGCGTGGCGTGCGTGATGGTCGCCGTCGGCTTCAAGGCCAAGTGGAGCGCCATCATCTTGGTGATGATTTTGAGCATCTTCAACATTATCGTGAACAACTTCTGGACGGTAGGTGTGAGATCTTTGATCATGCTAGAGCATATGCTAACGATACGTAACAGCTGCACCAACACCACCCGCACAAGGACTTTGCGAAATACGACTTCTTCCAGATCCTCTCGATCGTCGGTGGCCTGCTCTTACTCGTCAACATGGGTCCGGGACAGGTGAGCTTCGACGAGAAGAAGAAGGTCTACTAGGAGTGGTGTCTCGATGGTGCCGCGGTAGAAAAAGGGGGAAGGTCACGTGAGGAAGAGAGCATGCATTGCGTCATGGCGTTTGTTGTCTCAGGCCGGAAGAAGACTGGGTATCATGTCTGTCACATGTTTGGACGGTTGAGGTATGTAAAAGCTGAAAACAGAGAAGAAGAAGAAATGCCATCGTCGTCACAGTCCGGTCTTCCATTCACCACATGCATCCCTCAGGGGCTACGGCACTGGCCGTCACGGAGCTCGTTCATTCACCTGCCCCCTGGTGAGTGCCTGGTCGTCATTCACATGCAAAGGTCGGTCGTCACTGCCTCTTGTCGTGACACCGTACCTTCCGTGTCCACGACTTCTTCACTCCCGCGCGGGAAGGCTAATTGCCTGCCTACCAGGTATAAAAATTTTCACCACGCTCGCTCCTCCCTTCCTCCTTCCTTTCTCACCAACAAGCACAACCCCCCATCACCCCCCTTGTTCCCTGCAATCCGCTCCTTCTTCGCCCCCTTTGCACTGCCCTCCGCTCCTTCTTCCTTTCACCCCTTTCCTCTGCACCATCCCTCCTTGCCTGTCAACTGCTTCGATTTCCTGCCCGCAGTATCCAAGGACCACTGCCCCGCAGGGATGTTTGTTTCGGCATTGAGCGCCGCGTAGCTGTCACGCCCTACCGGCCCAAATGGATAGGGCTTTGCTGACACCGCCGCGCTGCTGCCCGCCTGGACGAACAAATCTGGACTGGATGCCTGGATGACTTGCTGGATGGCCGGGGACCGTCGCCCGCTGGACATCCCTTCCCTCGCCGAGTTGTCTCTCCCCGCAGGACCTGCGCAACTCGGCCAGCGTTGTGGCCCGCTAAGCTGCGCTTTCGGGAGCCCCCTTCAAATCGCAACCTCTTCGAGGTCCCAGTTGCGTGCAACACCGAGCTGGTCGCCACGGTCCCTCGTCGCTTCATCGTGGTGCGTCTACAGCGCGCTTTGGAGTAATGGGGAGGCTGTGGCGACTGAGTGGAGAGTGGACTCTTTTCGTGCCACATCTCCCTGCTACGCTCGCGTGATAGATTGATCTTGCTGCCTGAATTGGATGGGCTATTCCGTTCGGGTTGCGCAAGGGGGCTTGAGCAAAGGCGGCGTCCAGAGACGTTCGCTGGAGTGACGGCCCACATAGAAGGACGGTGGCATTTGTCGTCTTTCAGTTCCACGTTCCAATTGCTTTCATTCAGTTACGTGCCGGTATATAGAGTCTCTCAATCTAATGTGTCTTTCGCCCTCGCCCCTGCTAGCGCCTGCGCGTCGTGTTTCCCTAACTTCATACTGTTCTAGCACCTTTAGTGTCTACCACTTTCTCGCTTCCGTGCGGTAGGGCCGTCAAAGCTCACGCTTACCCACCCTCGTAAAGCTTCTCCCTTTCTTCCTCGGATAGCCACAGTCCCCTAAGGAGTCACGACCTAGGGGCCTGAAAATGCCTTTTTTCATCATCATCGGCCGCTCGACAACTCCCCTGTGGGTTGTCGCGCGGTCGGAGCACCCGAGATGCAGCGCTCCGGGTGCACGAGAGTATTTGTTCTTCCAAAACCACGTACCAGCCAGTGCAGGAAGCATGCCTTACCACCGTTTTGCTCTCCGTTCCACGCTGTGCGTCAGATCGACCCCGATACCTTTGTGCCAGCTCGTGCTACTGGTCGGTCTCAGGGGTGCTTGAGTGAAGGTCTGCATCGTGAGATGGTTGGGCTGGAGCGAGAGCTTACATTCTTTTTGTCTTGTCCTTTGAGACGCTGCGTTTGCTTCCATACACGTAGTTGTGCCTTCCTTCGTGACCGTATTTCGTGATCTGAAGTCCTGCAGTTCAACGCGTCGTTTGCGTGTCCCTCGCGCGTCCGCTTCAGACACGTGTGCCAAGTTGTCGCGCTTGCTGCCTGGTGGCTGCCTGCGCACGTGACCCACGGGAGGGGTATGAAAACTTCACCGCGCTCGCAAATCCTTCTTCTTCCTTTTCTCATCCCCATCCGCGAAAGCGAGAGCAGGAGTTTTTTTGCATTAGATGACCACCCATCCGCCTTGCATGGGTCGCTGTGATCTTTTGCACCCAGTTCCGGACTGGGGGAGACTTCCGCTTGACCACCCAGTTCCTGACTGGAGTCTACGGGAGAACACACAGCTGGTGCACGACGGCCATGGCTTCATTGTGGTGCACCACTTTGGAGCGATGGGAGGGCCGCACCAAAGAGTATGGCGGCATCATGCCATTGCTCTCCATCGCTGTGCTGACAGATCAACCTTCTCATCTGCCCGGTGGCCACGGGCGAGATTTGAGGGGAGCTTGCGTGAAGGCACGCGTCGTGAGACGTGTGCTGGAGCGAGAGCTTACATTCCTTGCTCTTCAATTTTCCATACCGTTTGTAGCGTGCGCAATTCAACGTCGTCTTTGTTCATGTCCAAGTCTGTTCACATTTCCACATCATCTATGCGAGGTTATATACGTACCATGCCTACGCCAGCTTCAACAGTCCATGCTCCTCCAAGTACTTGGTGATGATCAACACCGCCTCCTCCACCGGCGTGTCCTTGGAGTGGATATGGATCTCCGGATTCTCTGGTGCCTCATACGGCGCACTGATGCCCGTGAACTCCTTGATCTCCCCGGCCTTGGCCTTCTTGTACAACCCCTTGGGATCTCTCCTCTCCGCCTCTTCGATGGACACGTCAACATACACCTCAATGAACGGCAGCGGGGAATCGGTGTTCTTCGTATCGGCGTGCAGCTCGCGAGCGACTTGGCGATCGGCCTTGTACGGCGAGATGAAGGAGGTCAAAGCAATGGTCGTGGAATCAGCAAACAGCTTCGCCACCTCCGCAATACGCCGGATATTCTCCACGCGATCTTGCGGCGAGAAGCCCAGGTCCTTGTTCAGGCCGAAGCGCACATTGTCGCCGTCGAGGCGGTACGTCTGCAGACCGAGATGCAGGAGGTGCTGCTCGAGGGCGGTGGCAATGGTGGATTTGCCCGAGGCCGACAGCCCCGTGAACCAGACTGTGCAGCCTCGTTGTTTGCGGAGCTCGCTGCGCTCGGTGCGGGTGAGGCCTGCGTGCCAGGTGATGTTGCTGTAGATGCGATCGCGCGTTAGGAAGTCTATTCGGATGAGATTAGGTTCAACGGTTTGAAGGAGACTGACGTAGCCATTGTGGGGGTTGGACACGGATGTCTTTGATAAGTAAGGTAGATAGGGGCTTGGTGATTATCGTGCTCGTTACTTGAAGAGAGTCAAGGCGATTGCAGTCCTGACACGTTGTCTCGAAGTCCCAATGGAAAAGTCCAAGAGGTCGGGTGTCGTGCTGCAGGATTGCAGGGATCGATGGACCTGCGCCGGCTCGCTCCGTGCCGCTCGAGTTTAAACTCTGTCGAGCTCGGTCGATCTGTCGTCCATCCTCACCTCTGCCACCGCCAACAAGTGTCGTTGCTTGATATTTTCCACTGCCCTTCCAATCGCGATTTCCGTGGCCACAGAGGTCGTCTGGTCTGCTTCAATCTGTGACTGTGACCATCATGTGCTTTGGCGCCTCTTCAGATGGCCCTTTTGCTGGCGGTCTTTCGAGGCTACCTTCCTGGTCTAGACGCGATATGGTAGCACATGGCAACAACACATCCTCCGATGGCAATGCACGCCTTCCTCAACTTCCATACAGGGGCACCAATGCATGTGATCTCGTTGAATTCCGACATATTGAAAGCCAGGTCGACTCTTGTGCAACGACTGCCTCTCCGTCCGAGTGGACTTGGACACCTTCGTCAATCTGAATATATCTCTCCCGGCAGCATTTCCATGGCTCTTGAAGTAGATGCAATGCCTGGGCACATCGCCATCGACTCAATTCATTCTTCTAATCCAACATGCGGCAAGTGCACCTTCTTCATTCGCACCTTGAATCTTCATGCAACTTCACTTCATCGTCGTGTTCTTCACCGATGACTTCACCGCAATCAAACCTTCACATGTAAAAACCTAACATGTTGACGGCATCGTTTCACAGCGCAAACGCAACATCTTGTCCATGTTCTTCCAATCTTCGTTTAGCACCCCTACCTCTCCATTGGTTTCTTCTCGATTGCATGCTTTGGCCGCCGAATCCTTTCTTCCCTACGCCTCCAGGAGACACGTTGATACCGATTTCGCTGGATACCCGGCAAGTATCCACCTTCACTGCACCCAGCCAGACACCGTCTGCGCGCTCGTTGCAGCTACCACGCTGTCTTTTCGCTCTATCGCGGTCTTTCCGTCGCCGCCTGGCACGGTGTCCCCCGAACTTGGTGATCTTGAACCGGCTCACGACCGTCGAGGCACTCGTTCACTTAGGTAAGTCGCTGCATTGGCGCCGCTGTTTCTCATCGCCCTATCCCTTTCACACGGCGGAGGCAGGGCTGGGCATTGGGAGATGGTGATCCATGGAACGGTATAGAGCGCTAGGAGGAAGTGCAAAGACGGCGTTCTCATGCTGAGAACAGACCGCGCAACTCGTAATAACCCCCCAAACGAAGCGCAGAAAAATTGACCGATCCAGACAGCAGTGACTTCAACATTCACAATAAGGCACAGCAACACCTCTTCCCACGACGCCATATCGTGCTCTTCAGTCTCCCCCAACAATCGCTGCAGGAATGGAACCTCGCACATCTTGGGAAATGGTGGCATCTCCATTTCCTGACGACGAGCGTCGCGAACACGAGGACTCGGCGACTGTAGAAGACGATGATCCAACGTCACCGGCACTGTTGAATTTCCGTGCCAACGCGCGTGCAAGTCGTGATCGCATTGCGACTTACCTCCGGCGCATGAGAGAGGAAGCCGCAACGAGTGAGAAAGAGGCCGTCAATAATGACTCTACCGCGAATGAACCGGCCGGAACAGTTGATAACGCGAGCCAATATGCCAGACCTCGCAGCGAATGGCCCACCTTCGGCCGCTTCCCCATGCCTGAAGATGCCGATCCGAACATCGTCGCCCTGCGCCTGGCCGAGGCAGATGAGACAGGAGAGACGACCACCGGCCACCCCTTCTTCGACAACCCTCTCATCTTCACGGCCGACACCTATCCCAATGGACGGTCGTCCTTTAGCTCCACCGACTCGGATCCGCGCATTTTCAAACCCCACGTTGACTTCATCGATCCCGAAACCCCGTGGCGTAGAGAGACACATCCAGACGCTCCCATGCCGTGGGTCATAGGAGAGGATGACCCCGCGGAGCCTTCGACAACGGAGGATGAGGACAGATGTGTGGTCCAGAAAGGATGGGTGCAGCCTCAACGCTCAGTCACGAAACGGGCCGGAGAAGCCCCTGAAATCGAGGAAGCTGCCGGAGAAGTCATGTTCTTGCGCAGGAAGAAAGCTTCGCGTGATATGCGTTCGGATTTGCCTAAGGTGTATCAAGAGCATGAGGACCAAGACGGACGCAAAGATAGTCGTCTCGGCACGATGGACTTGGCAGAAGTGGATGGCATTTGGCCGCCTGGAATGCGCCGAAGCAGCTCTCAGCGAATGAAAAGGAATGCCGTGAAGATTGTCCGTGCACACGAAGCGGAGAATGCAATTGAGTCGGATGACGAAGAGGAACCAGGGCCTCGCGGACCAGAAATTCATATTCGCAGGGCATTGAGGGCGACCGAGAACGTCAATCCGGCGGTGCAAAGACAAACAACACCGTTCTCATCACCCCTCCGAACCCCAAACATCAAGATCGTCAAGCCAGATGGAAACGAGGACAACGAGACCGGTACAAGCAACGAGGCACCCGCTACATCTCCCTCTCCATCCTCTGCCAGCCCAAAACGCTGGTGGCAGCCATTGAAGTCGCCAAAAGGTATCCTCAAGAAGGGCTCTCCTTCCAGTAGCAACATCTCACCCGCTATCGGACCAAGGTTGCAATGGGCCAAGGACGTTGCCTTCGGACCTCGTCAGAACCCGCAGCCTGGGAACTCGCCGCCCATCACGCAGGTCTCCACCATCTTCGCGCCGCTTTATGGAGTCGCCAATGACGCTTCAGATTCCGAGATGCAAGCCTCTACCTCCTCACCCCACATGAGTCAAGGGAACTACAACGACACCACACGCTTAGCACCGGCCAACTCGGAAGCAGCAGAGTCGACGGACAGCGATTCGACCATCACACCACTCACAGCGCGGAGGCGGGAACTCGTGGACAGGCTTGCGAAGCACTTGACGAAGTCTTGAGGTGTATGCTTACTCTGATGGTTGCTCTTGTTCGCGGATGGCGGGTATCCATGGATGAACGTTCTGGGTATGGAGAGGGCGGGCAAGTGATGAGCTATGATCAAGTTTACGACGGTTATGAATGGTACAAAAGGCGGGCCAATAAGCATCGACAGCGGCACAGTCGACACAGACTCAATGGAAGAGCTTGAGATGTCGCGAGATGGTTATACGCACGCCTGCGGATGCTGAGAAGGGGTTGGAGAGCGACTTCATCGCGATTTTGGTGAAAGTCGGAAACGTGAGCTTCACTCGAATCAGGCTTCTCCATGCCCAATGGCACCCACATTACCCTCTATAGTACTTGGGCGGCACAAAAGGCATCTTAGACACGACCGCCTTCCTCTTCTTGCCCCGAACCACGACCTGCACCTCCGTCCCACTCTTGTGCTTTCCGTCCGTGATGTAACCCATAGCGACGTTCTTCTTGAGCGTCGGGCTCGGGCAGCCCGAGGTCACTCTCCCAATCACATCGCCCTCCGCACTCACGATTTCCGCGCCTTCTCTCGCTGGGGCTCCTTCGACGATCAGTCCGACACGACGCCGCGACACGCCTGTACCGCCCTTCGAGACGGGCACCAGCTGCGGGACGATGGTTTCCGCGCCATTGAATCCTGAGCCCTCGACGTTGCGACGGTTCTTCGCAATGATGAAGTTCAGGCCCGCTTCAACGGGCGTGGTGGTGTCGTCGAGGTCGTGGCCGTACAGGCACATGCCCGCCTCTAGACGCAGACTATCTCTCGCGCCAAGTCCTGCCAGTCTCAGCTTGTCCTTCCCTGCGAGTTCGAGCAGGCGCTTCGTCACCTCGACAGTTTGCGAGGGTTGGATGGAAAGCTCGAAGCCGTCTTCGCCTGTGTAGCCTCCTCGGCTTGCGACAATGGGATGCGTTTCGCCAGAGGGGACGGAGAGAGTGATGTGTTTGGCGGTGCCAAAGTACCACGTGCTGAGATCGACTTTGCAATCCGGCGAGAGGGCGGACTGCAGGATTTCCGCGGCCAGCGGGCCTTGCAGGGCGATGAGGCCAAAGGGTTCGCCTTCCGCTTCCAGATGGCGGATGTAGGCTGCGGGGTTAACGGTGTTTTCCCACTTGTCGAGGGCGGAGCTGAGGAAGTCGTAGTCTTTTTGGCGGTTACCTGCGTTGGTGACGACGTAGAATAAGTGCTTCGGGCCTTCCTCGAGACGGGTGATCATGCAATCGTCGACAGTGCCTCCTGTCTTGGGGTGGAGGAGAGCTGACAGGGTGGATTGGCCGGGCGCCAAATCTTTCAAGCCAGAGGGAGTGACCGATTCCAGGAAGGACTCGGCACCGGGGCCGTCGACGTGGTATTGCACCATGTGGCCGACATCGAAGATGGAGCACTTCTCACGAGTCCAGTGATGGCTCTCAGCAATGGAGAGGTCGGAGTACTGGACAGGCATGGAGTAGCCGCCGAACGGCACCATTTTGGCGCCATGTTGAACGTGGAGGTCGTGGAGAGCAGTTTTTCCGGGCTCGTCTTCGGTGTAGAAGGTGGGGGCTGGCTGAGCGTTGGAGGTCTCATTGCGCTGTTGAGAATGGAAAGCCAGACAAGGCGCACGCCATGCTTTCTGCTGCGGGCGGAGAGGAAGAGAGCGTAGTAGAGGGTTAGAGGCGCCTCGAGCAACGGTATGGTGGGCTGCTGAGAAGCGCGTCCTCCTACACGAGCGACATAGCTGGCTCGTGTTCCCTACGCCTCGGAGAGTCTTCGGAATGGAGTGAAAGGCGGACATCTTCAGATGTGCTAGATGTTATCCAGACAATATTCCCACAGCCGAGCGGTGCCTGGGTGTTGAGAACGGGGCCGACCAAGAGAGAGAAGAGGAGGGGCAGGGCGAGCAAGACGGGGTGAGGTGCGGTCTTCAATGGCCCCACATCAAATGTGACGTCGCGCCAATCGCCCGCAGTCAGAGGAAAGACACCTCATCTTCCACACATATCGAGTCCTCCATCTCGCTCCGTCACCACACCTCCTTGATCGGAGAGCCGCCGGGACGATGCCGAGTACAACGTACTTCCTCGTCTCTCTGCCCCTGTCCATCGCGCCCTCCGACAACAAAGACGATGCCCTCACCACCCTGCGATCCGCCGTGTCTGCCGACCACGCAACCACCTATCCCTTCGCCATCCCCGAGTTCAAGATCGGCACCCTCGATGCTCTCGTGCAGCAGGCCGATGACCTGGCCAAGCTAGAAGGAGGGTGCAAGCAGGTGGTGGAGAAGATTGCGGATTCGCTGAAGACTCTGCTGGACGGGGACGAGGAGAAGATACAGCAGCAGAAAGTGGTGAATGACCGTACGCGCGCATGACATCCGTGGGTATGAATTACAGGCTGTGTACTAACTACGACAATGCAAAAAGGGCCGGTGGACACCTACATCCAATCATTCCAATGGAACAAAGTCAAGTATCGCGCCGACAAGCCCATCGCCGAGCTGGCCGACACGCTCTCGAAGGAAATTTCGGCAGTGGACAACGACGTCAAGCAAAAGTTCCAGCAATACAACACCACCAAGACCAATCTGGCGTCGATGCAACGCGGGCAAGCGGGCAACCTGTCGCAAAAGTCGCTCTCCTCCATCGTCAACCCCGACACCCTACTCCAACCCGACCAATCAGAGTACCTTCAGCAACACCTCATCGCCGTCCCCAACACCCTCAGCAAAGACTTCCTCCAATCCTACGAGCAGATCTCGCCCATGGTGGTGCCGCGGTCGGCGCAGCTGCTGGCGAAAGATGATGAGTTTCAGTTGTATGCGGTGACGGTATTCAAGAAGCACAGTTCGGAATTTGTCCACAAGTGTCGCGAGCACCGGTGGACGCCGAGGGAGATGAAGTTTGCGGATGGAGGCCGCGAGGCGGAGGAGAAAGAGTTGCAGAAGCTGGAGAAGGAGGAGCGGAAGGTGTGGGGAGAGGCGTTGCGCTTGGGACGGACGGGGTATGGAGATGCGGTGATGGGCTGGATCCACGTGCTGGCATTGCGTGTGTTTGTGGAGACGGTGCTGCGGTATGGATTGCCGTTGTCGTTTGTGTGCGGCTTGATGAAGGTGCGTAAAGCTGGGTGTCCACATTGATTCGCATTGTGCTAACCTGAATATTATTCAGACCGACCCGAAACGCAGCAAAAAGGCCAAAGGCTCCCTCGATGCACACTTCTCGGAGCTTGGCGGCAATGCGATGTCGAGGGACAAGAAGGGACGGGTGAAGCAGGACGACGCGGGGATGACGCAGGACATTGCGAGTGCAGGGTTCGGCATGGATCAAGGGTACGAGGCGTATGTGTTTTACGAGTTTGAGATCATCTAGCGGACGTGCGTGCCATGGAGAGATGGGAGAGACGAAGATGTATAGACAGAGGGTTGATGGGCAGCATCCCAGCCTTGAGCTAGCAATTGAGTGGGCAGGGAGGAGAGCTACACAGCCAGCTACTCTGCCTCACTGATCAGGAGACAAACATACATGATGTACTTGATCATCAACAGATGCATATGCCAGCAAGCACTGCCTCAGGCACAGCCACCAAGTAATGCCTTAGAGTGCTCGATTAGGCAACAGCTGGGCATGACTAAGCGCTGGCATTTCCAGTCAAACCGTCTCCACTTGCAGCAAGATCACCACAAAGCATCCCAAGACAATGGCGTACAGCCACAAGCGAGATGCAGAGTCATCAGGCATCTGCACTCTACCACCCCAATTGCGCACACGACCCAGCAGTCTGGTCATGCTGGCCAAAGGTGCCGCCCGTCTAGACCGCATGGCGGTCAAGTGGGAACGGCAGCTGCATGCGCAATTGGCCCCGCCGACCTCAGCTGCTTGCTTGGCCTGCAGCAGCATGTCCCACATTCGCTGCACGAGCCCAGCCCTATCGAGCCCCGTCCTGCCAGGCCCCGCGCTGGCTTTGACTGTCTTTGTTGTGCGTACGGACAATCATCCCGTCGCCTGCTGGACATAGTGGCAGCCTGCTGTGCTCCGTGACGCCGCCACAGACGGCGCAGCATACGCAGTACAAAAGGACGAGACGCATCAATGCGGTGAGCGCAATCAGAAGGTATTTGCCCGTTCCTGCGCAGCTGAGCCCTGCCCTCACCGAGCTACTCTGCACACTACTGCACCGCCATTCAGGCGTCCTTCACTTTCATACTTTTACCTCCACCGCCGCCTCTTGCGTGTGTGCGACTCATTGCTCATTCTTCTGCTTCCTCCTTCTCCACTTCCTCTACACATATACGCCCAGTGTCTACTGGTTTCACTCAACCTTTCCTCTCCCGCGCTGCATCTCCTCTCACGCTTCTGTCGTTTCCGCCCCCAACCTCAATCGCCGATCTACCTGCCTTTGCGCAATCCGAACACATTCTCCATTGCAACGGAATAGACCACTACTGCGTTGTCGCCGAGCAGCTCCATGTCAAGCACCATGGCCCTCCCAGACGAAGATGACTGGGACTACGTCCGCGAGGAGCGCCGCCTTCGCCGCCCCTCCCCACCTCGCCGCTATGTGACTGACACCCGGCGCTCCTCTCATCAACGCCTCCTCAACCCCCACATGATGGACGGCGGCAGCCTAACACGCACTCGATCACAAGGCGGCCACCCCAATCCGATCATCATCAACAACGAACTCGTCCAAGACAACCGCACTCCCTCCCCTTACGCACCCTACCCGCCATCCCCCGACTTCCGCGGACGCAACCGACTAGGCAGCGACCTCGCAGATGACTTTTACGAGCTCGCCCTGGGCAATCGTAGAGTGCGCTCGCGATCGCGCGGCGTCTCCGATGCGGCCTGGGCGGACCGGCGAGACGATTGGTACGAAGCCGAGCTGCGGCGCAAAGAGCGGCAACTGGCCGAGTTGGAGCGCAAGGCTTCGCTGGAAGATGATCGGGAGCGACTGAAACGGGAATACGAACTGCAAGCGATCAAAGAGAAGGAGGAGAGGAAGCGGATTGAGCATGAATACGAGCTGAAGAAGAAGGAGGATGAGGAGGACAGGAAGGATGAGGAGCAAAGGATTCGAGACAAGATCAAGCGGGAGGAGCGCGAAAAGAAGGAGAAGGAGGATCGGGAGTGGGACGAGTAAGTTCATTGCATACACACACACGACAAGACTCGGGCTAACCCCTCTGTTTTCACAGATTCATGGATAAGTGGAAGGCGAAAGAAGCCAAAAAGAAGGAGGAAGAGAAGAAGAAGGAAGAGGAAATGAACGAAGCGTTCCGCCTTCGCCTACTCAACATGGGCTACTCGCGAACATACATTGAGCGGATGATGGCAGAAGAGAAGCTGAAGCGCTCCGATCACCACGCCCTCGTACCCTTCAGCGGTGGTGGGCGCATAGGTGGCGCTGGCCGCGTTGGCGCCCCGACATACGTCAAGATCCACCGCGAGTACCTCTCCGTCGACACCCTGCGCTACTTCAACTTGCCATGGGAATGGGACAAGGTGCGTTCCCCTCCTCTGAAGACGGCCACCCACCGTGAAACTAACGCAACCAAACAGAAAGACAAAAACTACATCATCATCCTGCGCGAAATGGACAAGTCGGAGACGGAGCTGCTCTTCGAGCACACGCGCAGTCTGCGGCAGGGCAAGCTGCTGCTCGAGCCGGCGGCGAAGCGCGCGCCCGGCCCGCAGTATGCGTTTGTGCGCAAGCGGGACCGCAGCACGAGCCAGGTGAAGAAGCTGAGTATTGTCAAGTTTGATGAGGAGAAGTGAGTTGGCGGTGCATTGCCGGATGGGGTCGACTGGTCATGAGGGTGAGAGGAGACGATTTGTGAGCGATCATTTGGCTTGCGTTGTTGCTTTTTCAATGCATAGCATTGCTACTTCATGAAGTGCCCTTGCCGCCTTTTGCGAAAGGATACCCCCTAGGTAGCCCGGTATTTACGACATCCGAATTACATACGTCTCAAAAAGACCCAGCGGCAGATCCCGACCCTTTGCGATTCCACACATTCACCCCATCCCCTCCCACCCTCCTCAACCCAACCATCCCACTCTTGCCCCCAAGCACCCTCACCCCAATCTTCACCCCCTCATCCCCCGCCTCCACAATCTCCTCCCTCACCCGCCCATCCGTCTTCCCCCTCCCATCCGAAAGCAGCACCCTCGTCTCCGCCCCCAGCAGCTGCGCAATACTCTGCCAGTAATTCCCCAGCAGCGTGTGGCGCGAGTGCCTCGTGAACGCCACGACGATGCACGCCACGAGCAGGCTGTGGAAAGCGAGCACGATCATCACCGTCCAGAAGCCGGTGTGGGAGCGGGGGAAGAGCACGGTGGTGAAGAAGACTTGGGTCGTGCGGCTTGTGCGCTCGAATTGCGGCATTTGGTCGTAGTAGGCCATACTGGAGAGGGTGGTGATGAGGGAGGAGATGGCGCGGGCGAGCGAGCCGGTGCTCAGGGCTTGCTGGAAGAGGGAGACGAGCGAGAAGTCGACGTGGAACATGCCGCTGGGGTCGTAGCTTTGGTAGACTGCGGTTTGGTCTGGCCTGGCGATCAAGGCGCTACAGTCTGCGCAGGTGTAGGGCAGCGAGAGGAAACCTTGGATCCCTTGGCTCGTTGTGTCGGCGAATTGCTGCACGAAGGGCTGGATTTGATTTGCTATGGTGTTGTTCCGGGAGGGTATCCAGGAGGCCTTCTCCGCGAGCTGGAGTATGCCCCTCGATTCCGGGGTACTGTTGCCTAAGACATTACCAAGTTGTTCGTGCACGTTCGGTTGCGTATAGTATCCTTGTTGCTGGCTCCAGAATGCAACCGGTTCGGTGCGATTCTCGTGGCTGTATAAGGTCACATTCAAGTCTGCTGTAACCCATGAAGAATAGCAGATCGACATGTTCCAGACCTGTTGCGGTGTGCTCACACTTGTCCATTGGCCGCGGCTTTGGGTGCGAAAGGTCACATTGCTGAAATCGGGATTGGGTGTAATGTTCCGCGATTGAACGACGAGTATCGGTCGAGACCACAGTTGTAGGCCTTGCCCAAGTGCGTTTTCGGGGTCCATCAAGTCCCAGAACTCAGGAAGTAGGCTGCCATTATCCTCGTACGAGTCAAAGAAAGGCGACAGATAGGACACTTGGCACAGCGTGAGAGCATCCATGCCCAAGAAGACACTACAATTAAACTTGACAGGGCCGGGAGTCCACAGTTGCGAGACATTTGACACAGAGGGCTCAAGAGTGCCCAGCAATCGACCAGTCTGAGGCCATATCTTCGTTCCTTGCAACCACACGGCTCCTGGTGTTCGGATGGAGAGCTCAGTCAGCTTAGGAGGTTGGCATGAGACCTGTTACACAGCGTCAGCTAGACCATGCAACGACGTTGGACGATCCAACAGCTTACTCGAGCGTCTAACACCATGGCGTCCCCTGAGTAATTGCGGACTGACTCCCGAGAGTTGGCATCGGCGAAGGGCAGGAAAGCGCGCAAGAGAACTCCGGTATCGTCAACGGCACCTACTTGTGGCAGTGGTCTCGAGTATTCGGCAAAGGCTGGGTATGCCGGCGGGTTGCGCGACCAGGTTGGAGTCCGCAGCTGGATGGGGTATGAGCCACTCCCCATAGCCCCGAGTGCAACTCCGGGTCCAAATTCTTGCATTTGCTGGTACTTTGGGTATATGAAGTCGTACGCCACAAAGCGTTGAGATGGGATGCCAGGCAGCTGCCCAAGTCCTATGTCGGAGAGCAAAAGCGTCGAACTAAATTGTAGCGCCATAGTGGTCAGGACCAGTAACACAGTGGCCAGGCTGAGAGCAACGGATCGTACCCCGGCCATGGCCCAATTTGGTCCCAGTATTGCCGGCACGAGATCTAGAAGCTGTCTTGGTTGAGGAGTCGTTGCGCGCATGATCGAGATCTTGGCGACAGCATGCAGTCGGGCCCAGGAGGACTCTAGAACAACAGCTGCAAGCATTGAAGCCGTAATGCCGGCCGACAGGTCAATTGCCACACGCAGAACCAGAGTGGAGATAGATGTTGCTCTTGTCGCCCAGTCGTGAACCATAATCCTGTGCCAGAGGGTGTTATCGAATCCTGCGAACCAGAGGAATGCTAGAAACCCTGCAACAGCCAGTATAGCAACTGCTGCTGCGACTAGAGTTGCCACAGAAAGCCATCCTATGCGGTACGCAACAGTTCTAGACTCTTCGTGGCTGCATTCCAGTAGTTCGTAGACTCTTTGCTCGCTGAACAACTTCTCTTCGGGCTTCATTTGCATCATTGCCGGCGCTCAATCGATTTAGGACAACAACTCGCAAGAAAAAGAAATGAAATTGGGAAGCAAGGAGATGAGAATTATGGGCGGCAATTGGTGTTGGGGGATAGAGTAGAGCTGAAACATGTTGGTTGAATGATAGACCGTACTGTATCGGCCGTTGGAGCCGTGCCTCGATGCTGTTGGACTTGGGCGGCAAGCTGCAGATGTCTCAGCGGCTAGAGTTCCTTTTGCCGTTTCGAAGGCTGCACAGCCCGAATGCGAATATAGCATGGCATGTGCCATCAGCGAGTATTCGAGATTGTTGGAAAACAAGGCGAGTGAAAACTTATGTACGACAGTAAGGTAGTACGACAGCGGAAAGTAAGGTATGGAGGAAATGTGAAGGGGACCCTCGAAGTTGAAGCGTTAGTAAGCGGTGACTTGGGGCGAGGCTCCTCACACCGCGTGAATGCCTCTTCTTCATACAATATAGTCTCGACGCGGCTTTCGAGGGAAATGAGGACTCCTAAGACCGTCTCTCCTCGCGATCTGGCTATTCTTGCAGGTCGTGCCAGGGGCGACCGCTCGCCACACCATCTTCCCTCCCACGCAGACCCCAAATCTCGTGCCATCCGCGGAACAGGTCATTGCGGCACTCGAACTGGAGCAAGAGCCTCCAGAAGGCATGGCAGTAGGGCTTCGAATGTTCGATGGGTCTGCCGCACTCGACCCGCCCAATATTGGCGTGGGCACGCTTCCGTTGGATGACGCCACACCGGCGTTGCTGGTGGCTGTCAGGGTTTGAAACGTAAGCGCCGGCGTAGCAGCGGAGGAAAGCGCTTGCGAGGAGTTTGAGGAAGCAGGAGGTGCTGTGGGGATACCGCTGTGAGGCGAAGGATTGCCAGATGCACCTTTAGCACCTGAAGGCGAACCAGCTTTGGCAGACCCTGCTCTTGCTGCACCCGGCGCATGAGAGTCAGCTGGCTGACCATTTGGCGCAGCAGTCGCAGCAACAGAACGAACAGCACCACTGCTGCCATGTGGTACGAAAGGCAGGTTGCCAGGAAGCCCGGTGTATGCTGCGCCATTGTCCGTGATAATGCTGCTTTGATAACCGACTACACCGTCAAGTTGGACCTCAGCTTTCTGAGTGCAGTTCGGCCCAGTGGCTGCGTGCATTTGTTGCCCCTCGAAAGACGTTAGGATGAATTGGCCGGGATGCGGTATTTTAACGGCGTTGCTCTCTCCTTGGTAGGAAGTCTCACATTCCGTCGTCGGAAGATTGATAATGTACGCATTTGGCAGAGAGTTGAAGTAACTGTCGTCATCCGATCCTCCTGTGACTGTGACGGGGCAGCAATTCATGTAGATCTCCCGATCTCCAACCCGATTGTACCAGATCCACGCGAATGTCATCACACCGTTGGGCATGCCTTTTGGCAAGACGAATGTGAACGGGTGGGTGCCGGTATTGCCATTCGAGTTCACCGGACAGCCACCTTCGAAGACCTGGAAGACCTTGAATAGAGATGTGGCATCCGGCTCCTTGTCTTTGGTAATCGTGAGTTGACATGTCCCTCCACCGTGTGAGACAGAGCCGATGAAGGATAGCTCTTGACGTTTGCCAACGGTGAAGTTGTTCATCACAACAATGTCATAGACACCCTTCCGAAGCTTGCAAGGAAAGTCCGAGCCAGATGCCCCCGGCGCGACATTCTGCAGTGGTGACTTATTGAGGGTGTCGATGCCGTACGGAACCGGTCGCATGAGTTTGAGATGAGCGTTGCTCAAGGCAACAAATGTGAGCGCCACCACCGCGATGGATATCAGAAAGGAGCCCATCGTACCGATGCGAATGGAAATTGATAATTGCAAAGGGGTGGGAATCGAATGGTTGTGCTAATAGTGAGCAACTCTAGACCAGCTAGAGGACTGTGCGAATTGTCAAAGAGCGTGAGAGTATCGAGGACGACAATCGAACGTAGGTAGAGGTCGTCTAGACAGCACGAAGAGGAATTTGAAGAGCAAAGTGACTGTTGAGAATGTAGGAAGTTTTGACTTATCTGCAAGTAAATGTATCGATTGGCTGTGAAGCGCCATGCCGAGCGCGACACAATACCCATTGTGAGACGACAAAGAGAATCTTCAAGTCCTGCTCCGGGAAAGTATTTGAAAAGACGATGTTGGCCCCCAACGCATTGTTTCTCCCACATCCAGGATCATGCCGAAAACACTTGGACCAAGACCTTGGCATGGTGACTGTATTGGCCTGGAGAAGAGCGGACCAGGGAGAAGTCGGTATAGTCACCGTCCGCAAAGTCGTAACGGGCACTCACTGAAGTCTCGAGGCGCGTGTCTGGACACGGCGATGGCAAGCCTGAAACACGTGTCGGAGTCTGAGCTCTTGCGGTCCATAGAAGGCCAATTAAAATTACGCAGGCAGCACTGTGTAGGCTAAGTGACGGTATGATCCTCTCCGAATATCGCTAGGATATCCTGAGGGCGATGTCTTGCAGCAGTTGAAGGTGAACATTGAAGTCAACCACGGTGAGACAGGAGCAGTGCTCGAGTTGTAGCCGTTTGTCAAAAGTCGTGACTGGTGCCAGAAGTCGACGCCCGCGACTTCACTACGCGAGGGTCAAATCTTTTGCGGTCCGCGTCTTCAGGGAAGCCCAAGTCGCGACGCCCTTGCATGCCACATCCGCTTCGATTTCACCAACCCTGCGCCTACCATAATAACTCAACACACTGCGAATGAGATCGCGTGGATCTCGCGACCCGAATGATACCCTGATCACGCGACTCCGAATGCCTGCGTGAATCATCCCGCTCAGGGACTGGCCTTGAGAAACAGACTGGACGACAGCCTCATGCTGTTCCACCATCCACTCCTTCACGATGTCGGCGGTCAACCTAAACCGCGTTAATGCGCCGCAAGCCTTCGTCTCCAGCTATGCTCCACGAATGCGCGCGTACGGCAATTCGTTGCTGACGCCTGTCCAACCCCAATCCGCCGTCCCATCCGTTCGAACGACCAAACGCGGCACGACAGCGATCAACTACGCCGAGGAGTTCGACGATGACAGTATAGACGACTCGGATGGTCCTCGCCGCCAGACGGGCCTGCGAACGGCGCAGCAGAGACGAGATGTGGACGCGGAGGCGCAGAAGGCTACGCAGAAAGAGCTGGGCCAACAAGCGGACTCGCCTGTCGATGTGCAAGGCATCTGGCGAGAATGGATGGGCAAGCCCAAGAGAGTGCTTACGGAACGACAAGTGCACGTCCAAGCTGCATTGCGTACCACGCTCGTTCCCATACGCATCGATCTCGACGTGGCACCCTTCCGTCCTGAAGCTGCGCTTCCAACTCCCAACAACCACAGAGACTTTGGCATAGACGAGAACTTGCCTGCGTATAAAGCGCCGGAACCAACGCCACAGTTTCGCTTGAAAGACAGCTTTCTGTGGAATCTGCACGAGGCCCTAATCACCCCGGATCAGTTCGCCAAGACATTTGTGGACGAGTTGGATTTTCCAGTCGCGAGAAGGCAGGCCATGGTCCTCGAGATTGCGAATTTGATACGGCAACAACTGGAAGAGCATGCAGCAACTGCACTGCACCCGCTCTTCCAACCGAGCTACATGCATCCCGCCGCCCCTACTACTCGCGCCGCTTCCCCTTCCGTCCAAAACGCCATATCTCGGGAAGAGTCATCCACCCCTATGCAGATCGACACTCCCAACACGAACCCCCTTCTTCGACCACACCTTAATGGCTTCAACCACTCTTCTGAGCGATCAACGCCTCTGCCAAATGGCGCGTCCACCCCGGCGATTACCGCCACAGCTCAGCCGCTACTGAAGGACTCCTCCCTCTCGTATGTACACAACCCGCCCGACACTCACCGCTGCATTGTCACTCTGTCCATCAATCTTCAAAACCAACTGTACACCGACAAATTCGAATGGAACCTATTACATCCCGTAGGCTTTTCGGAGATTTTCGCCAAACAGACCTGCGCAGACCTCGGGCTGAGTGGGGAGTGGGTACCGAGTATGGCGCACGCGATATACGAAGCCAGTCTGCGACTGAAGAAAGAAATGATTGATAACGGCGGCACTTTGCTGGGTGTGGTAGGGAGCGGCGTGGACCCCCAGGGCAATGTCGAGAATGAAGCCTGCGAGTTCCACGGCACTGCTGAACCCGCCTTTGGAGTCGGCGCGGGATGGAGGTTCGATGATGTGGGGCTTGGCAATGATTGGGAGCCGAAGATCGAGGTCCTGAGCAAGGAAGAGATCGAGCGGCGCGAAGGCGATCGGGAGCGGCAGCTTCGTCGGGCTCGCAGGGAAAACGCGCGCTTCACCACAGCGTATGCTGCTCCCTCGCAGAACAGTGGTGCGGGTGATTACTTTGCCGGCGGTCTGGGCTCGACTCACGTCTTCAGCATTACGGGCAATGATGACGAGCGCATGGGCCGAGGAGAGCGAGCGAAGAAGAAGCGCAGATTCCGAAGTCTCTCTCCTGTTGGACGCGATACACCGGAAGTTGCTGGATTTGGGGGCACATCGGGCCAATTGACCGAGGGCGAAAGGCAGTACTGGCAGTGTCGACATTGCAAGGTCTGGGGCTCCGCCGTCTGGGGCGTGAGGGATGGGCCTGCTGGTCAAAGAGTAAGTTTGGATGTCAATCTTGTGCGGCATAAACCACCTGGCTAACTCCGTCCTCACAGACACTATGCCACAACTGCGGCCTGCTGTACGAACGCGACAAGAAGCTGCCTCCGTGGAGCTACAACCTCTTCCATCAAGAGAAGCACCAACCAAGCCGCGAAGCAATGCCTCATCAATCCCAATACCAGCAGCAGCAACCCCCACCACCCATGCGCCAAATCTCCCAGCTGCAATCCGACATCACCGTCTTCCCGCAAAGCACCCCGCCTCCGCGTAATATGCATCATCAAGAAGTCAACCCCTCCGCGCACCTCTACACCGGCGCATCGGCAGGCGGACAAGGGCAGATCAGCGCGAGCACGATGGCGGACATCATCAACTACGCCGAGCCCGGCGAGGATCTGGACTGGACGAAGATCACGGAGCCGCGGGAGAGGAAGCGGCTGCAGAACATCATCAACGGCCGGAAGTATCGCGAGAGACGGCTGGCCGCGGAAGGGCAGGGCGGGAGCGGAGGCAACTATCCTGGTGCTGCGGGCGTGGGGAGTTTCTTGAGCATGGGATACGGGTCGAGGAAGTCGGCGGTGTCCGGTTAGGGAGAGATTCCCACGCGCACACAGTGTGTGATTTGATTTGTGCGACGCTTCGTCTTCTACTTTTAGCGTGGCGAATGATGATGCTTTGGTTTGTTTTCAAATTAGATTCCAACTAAATTTCGGTTCTTGCGGCAGAAGCAAACTCGAAAGCAAACTCGCTGGCTAAGATGACATCGTAAGGCTGTGTGGTGGTCGCAAACACATTAACGCTCGGCTGACAATGAACTCCCCGCGTACAAACATCCGGCAAGCAAAGCAAACACAACAGTACACGCGTGCGCAAAGCCCTATTCCATCAGCGTGTCGTTTCCGCCGTCTTGGCTCGGCTTCCCGTCATGCTCTGCCTTCCTCTTCTTCGCTCCGGCAACAGCAGCCTCCTCCGCCACCACCGCAGTCGGAGAAGAAGCAGTAGATCCCGTCGCAGCAACAGCTGACGCACTCGGGACTTTCGGCGTCAGCGTCATATGCCCAATAACATTCTTGTCCCCGACGATCTTGATGCCGCAATTGATAGTCAAGTCGACGTTAATCGGTCGTCGCGGTGCACGGGCGGGCTGTCCTGCTGTCGCGGCGTTGTTGATCTGATTGAGGGTTTGCAAGAGCAGAGCACTGATCTTGGCTGCGTCTGCCCCTGGAGGAGTGGTGGGAACGAGGTTGCCGTGGCCGTTGATGGACTTTTCGGCGTTGATGGTGACTTTTAGCGGGGATTCGTCGTCTTCGTCTTCGTCGTCCGATGAGCCGTCGGGTGGCAGGCTGCGGAGGCAGTCGTAACAATCGCAGTTGACGGAGTGGCCGAGGTTGATGCAGTATGCTGGTGGACTCGGGTTGTAGAGTATGGGATCGGCATTTGGTTGTTGTGATTGTTGGGGACGATGAGTGACGGTCTTGCATGCTCTTTCGACTAGCATCTTCCGCGACATTTGCTTGTTGGGATCCATGATGTTGAGATGTGAGAGTGGGTTGAGAGACGATGAGACCTCGAAAGGAAGAGTGCAGTCAGGTTGATGGAACTCGGCGTAGATTCTCGGCTCGCAAGGCTGTCGAGTCAAGAAGAAGGGAGGACGGAGAAGTGTGAGGATTCAAGTACTCGAAGAAAGAAGAGCAGCAAGCACGAAGCACCGTATTTAATGTGACTCGACAATAGTTGCAAACATCAATAGCAAGCAGGCAGGCCTGGGACGGGCGCGGCGCAGGGCTGCGTAACGATTGTCGTCTTGCTATTGTCGAGCCCAGCCGCAGTTCCTATTGTCACAAACCTTAATTCCCGCCCGCGTTTCGGCCAACTTCGGAGCGGCGAGGCTGAACACATCGCGCGAATCTCGGCCGTGCAAACCATCATTTCACCCGTCAACGCTAAGGAATGATGCTGGTCCGGGTACATGGCGTGCAGACAGGCTGTGTTGCGTTCATCAAACGACGTGTGGGCAAAACCCGCTGACGGGGAGGAAACGAAGAGTGGGCCTTCCTATTGTCGGGAATAACTTTTTGGCTAGCGCGTTCTGCCCCGCGCTCATCCCCGGACCAATCAAAATTCGCTCCTCGTGACTGCAGCAAACTCGCCTGTCCCTACGATAGTGGGTGGGAAGCACGCCTCGTACCACAGTGGAAGACGGAGAGGCATCGATACTGGTTTAAAATGTACATTTTGTTATAGCAGGTTGCAGCATAGTAACACACACTCTTTCTGTGAACAGGATGGAATGATTTCCCCTCCTACGCCGGAACAGCAACTTCCTCATTCAATCCATTCATCCAGTTGACGTCCATGGCGAATCCACTGCTCTCTCCTTGCATGGCGCCTTGCAACGCTTCGTCTTCCAGCGCCCACACGTCGCCAGCAGCATCGAGATCGATCAGCGCGGCGAAATCGGGCTCAATCTCTTCCTCGAGGCCGAGGTCGAGATTCATGTCCACGCTGTCGCCGCTGTGGTAGTTGTCCGAGTCGGGCGGAGTCGAGGCCAGGTACGAATTCAGGCGCATGTGGATCTCTTGATCCGACAGTGCTTCCCCTGCACTCGACGATCGGTGCTCTTCCGGAGGTGGAGTCAGCGCGCCGGAAACAGGAGTCGAAGCAACAAGATGCAGTCTCTTGCCCGCGTCGACGAGCCCTTGCGACGACGTGATGACGCTTCTCGACCCCTTCATCTCCTCCGACTTCTGCGGCCACGAAATCTCCGCCTTGCGGATCGCCGCTTCCAGGAAGGCCGTCGAGTAGTCCGCCGCGGCGTAGATGTCTCGCAGTCGCGCGAGGATCTGCATGCATTCGCAAAAGCCCTTCAAGCTCGCCTTCCGCGTGGCGTCGTCGTTGGCCTTGATGTCGAGCAGGTGAATGATGATGGCCGGGAGCAGCACTGTGATGCCCGTTGTGGGGAGGTTGCGCACCAAATCCAGCTTGTAGAGGGTCGTGGCAATGTTGGTGATCTCTGCTGCTGCCAGCCGCACGGTCTTGCGAGAGATGTCGACCGTCTCGACGGACGGATTGCGCTGCGTTACGCCGGTTGCAGGCAACACCTGCGGCCGATGCAGCGCTGACAGCGTGGCGTAGTAGATCATGTGCAGTAGCGATGAGTTGAGCATCACGCTCGCATCTCCGCCTTTGATGTCTTGGTGTGTTGGGATCACGTACTGCGCCTCATCGGCGAGCGCGTCCCTCCACACCTGTAGCTCGGCATCGCACGCCTCCACCTCTTCCAAACCCACTTCGGCCTTGTTTTGAACGAGCATCAGCGTCGTTTGCGTAGAGCCTTCCTCCGTCACCGCGCCGTGATTGTTGTGCAGCACCGAGTATTGCACGCTGAGCACATGGCTCATTACGATGCACAGTTTCGCCTTTTCAATGCACATGACGGCCAGCCGTCTTTGCGTTTCCGCGTCGCGCAGCACTTTGCAGCCGCTGGGAACGCACGTCGGTCGCTCCGGCACAGCCTTGATCTCGAAGTCGTCCAATGTAAGCATGGGCACATCGAAATCATTGCTCTTGATTTTGGTGGGTCGCCGCATGCCCAGGGCGATCAGGCGGTCGCGCATATATGTGCACCACCAGATCCGTCGCCACAGCTTGCGTCGCGCGGGTTCGATGGACGTCGAGTTTTCCGGGTCGCGATGCAGACCAATGGTGTGGGACAGGGACACTGCGATGCCCATCCAGTGATAGCTATCTTTCTGATCGTCTGGCGTCTCATACCAGTACGTCATCAACAACAGCGACTGAATCAGCGCCACGCGGTCGACCTCGTAGTCAAAGTCGTAGAGGAAGCGGGCTTTCTGGAAAAAGGCGCGCCGTGCGACTCGGCGATTCGTGTAGCCCGCGGCCCTTAGGGCTCCCGCATCAACGGTGGCAACTCCGGCAAACATGACTGCCTGGAAGAGGAGCAGACTGATGGTTTGTGAGCCATCGTTCAGATCGATGCTTTCGACGAGTTCGTGGATGTTCAGCAGGGGCATGAACGGATGGACAAACTCGGCGAAGCTTTGGAGCAGAGCGTCTCGTAGTGGTGCAGGAGGAATTTCCAAGGCGCCCTTCTTTTCGAGAAACACAATCTCGTCGTGGCCAACCCTCGTGGGGATGGGCTTGATATATGCGGGCAGGCTGTACGAGGGAGTGCGGTCTGAGAAGAGCCGCGCGATGATCGAGCTGGGATCTGCAGCGCCGTTCGGTTTCTGACTGGGTCGTTGCAGGTTCATGAGCAGATTCGGGGGGTAGACCGAGGATTTGGAGTCGCTGCTGCCATGGCTGCCATTCATATCTCTGCTGAGATCCTGGTCTGCTCCCTCGTTAGTGCTGCGAGCTTTCCTGCTCAGCGAGCATATGTACACGTACAGAGCGGATGAGGCACGTGCTCGCTGATCCTTCTGAGCGGCTCATATGGCGGAGCTGCCGACAGTGGCAAAGATGGTGCCGCCTTGGGGAGCGAGTCCTTGCGTACTCGATCGGGAGTCAGCTCGCCCCATTTCCTGCGCCTCGAGCTTAGTCAAAGATTTCATGAGTAAAACACAAAGGCAAGATTGCAGCAGTACGTACTTTTTGCGCTTGCTCTCGGAGACGATACACTCGACCTCATCGAGTCTACAGTTCGTGCAGGGCGCGCCATGCTCTACAACATTGCAGCGGACTTTGCGCGCGCGGCAACACTGACAAGCCTTGGAAGCTCGCCGCTTGACGCTTTTGTTCGGGCGAAGACCGTTCGACTTCAGGCCCGCTTCGCCAGCGGATCGCTTCTGCGAGAAGGCAGGGGTGGGCGGATGCTGTTCGGTGGGAGTCGATGCCTCTGACGTAGAGACGTCAATGCCCATGGAACCCATTGCGGCCGGTGAGCTACGAGGAAAGCCGGGGGTCGACGGGGCGAACAAGACAGAGAAACGCGGGTGGCATTCGAGCGGCAGCAGACAAAAGACGTAATTCGGGGGGCAGTCGAGCGCATATAAACACGAGGGCGACGGCGCTATATCCGCCCATTGATTGTCTTAAACCCACCTCCAAAGGAACGAACCGTAAAGTGGAAGAGTCTCACGCAGGCGCGTGCGTCAGACCCACCTCTCCGCCATTCCCATTCGGCTGGCGCGCCTTGTCGTTGTTTTTTTCGAGGATCCATGATGGCAGCAGCGGCCAGCCGCATGAACGTTAAGCAAAACCTTCCCTGGGCGGGCGGGGGTACGTACCCCGATCGGCCTGCGGAGCCCCACGTTTGCTCCAGCAAACTAGGGCGAATCCAAGCGCTTTCTCACCCAGGGGAAATGGGGTCTAACGTCTTCCGCAATCCGACCGCACCAGACGCCCGGGACTGGCGCGCCTCTCTCCGACTTTTCTTCGTGCCCGTGGCGTCGTACCCGGTTTTCTCTCTGCCCGCTCGGCTTGGTTTCCGCCATACCAAGGTGCCATGGCCGTGACCGCTCCGTTTGCCGCGGCAAAATGTCTGCAGGTGAGATGGGTGTTCGGATCGTGACCTTGATCGCTAGCCGCGTCTCTCTCTCTCTCGTGTGGCAAGGGTGGCAGAAGCCAGTGCGGGAGTGGTCATCGATCGCGTGCGTCAAAAGCAGCCATAAGGTTTCTATTGAAACCGTTGCTGATTCAAAAAAGATGGTCAAAGCCCACGGTCGACGAGGGCCCCGCCTCGCTCCAGATAGCCGCTGCATCCATCCAAGAGTAATCAACGAAGGAGCTCGAGGCCAGTCGTATGCAGTGGCGGCTGGCTTTTCGGAATAGCATTTCGCCCAGTCCCAGTCACGCGTCCTGTCGCACTGACTCTCTCCCAATTAAATAATTCGCCAGAATCAGCCTGCCGTTGCCCGCTCTGCAAGGCGATCGGAGATGCGACCGCGCTTGCCAGAATGCTGGCTTTCGCGTCGATCAGTTTGCAATCTCGTGACCGTCGCCACACCACCGCCCGACCGTTGCCCGGGCTTTTCAACGATTACCAGCTGACGTCTGTTCAATGCTTCATGCACGCTTGCCCCTGTGCATGATGTACAGCATGACACCGCAATTGGCCGCCGTTGTAATGACGTCGACCAGCATATCCGGGGGAAGCTCTGAGACCCGGGGGACATGCCATAGCCTTTCTGCACAGCTGCGGCCGCGCCCCACGTCCCTCCATATAGCCTTTCGCGCATGGCGAATGAGAATGCGCGGGCAGGTAAATGACACTCCAAGTTTCGACATGGGATCGAAGATCTCCCCCAAGCTTCGATGGATCGGACTCAAGTCCGCGGTGCGGGTTATGCGAGCTCGGCACCGCGTGTTTCTATCTCTATAACGCACATCTCATGTGCAATTCTCTGAAGTTGCCGGCGAGGCCTCTACTCGATCTTCTTCACTCTTCCATTGCCGATAGACGTACGACGTTCGACTCGCGGCAGTGAAGTCCACAGACTCGGCCAGATCAACTCGAACTCGTCCTGCCGCCCATTCAAACAATGTCGAAGCCAGATGCCCCAGACCATGTAATAATACGCGCCGGTGCCGGTCATGAGATGCCACCAACCGTGACCTTCCAGCAAGATTCCCCAAGGAAGGCCCATCTGGTGTCTCCATGCTCTGATCTTGCTGCAGTACACATTGTCGAGCGTCCAGATGAAGAAGCCGCCCAGAAAGATTCCGAGACCACAAGGGATCATCGTCCACATGGTTCTCAGGATGCGTTTGTCTCTCGCATCTTGTCTCTCCATCTCTGCCTTGCTCACGCCTTTTCGCGCTTCCCCTCTCCGATGGTAGGGGCGCAGGTGGACCTCCATGATATACATGCTTCGAATCAACACGATGGCGGTCAGAAGAGCATACGCGTTCTGATGAAAAGTGGGATCCTGAAGGTAATGGTAGTATCCGGTGATGAAGACCGCGAGTGCAAGATTGAAGACGCCGATCAGAAATTGGGTCAATGGAGCGCGCTCGTGGGATAGCGACGCCCAGAGCATAAGAAGGGTGGAGTATATCATGGAGAGCTCATCCACGAGCTGCATCGGATCTACACTGCCATCAGCACTGCCGCTCTCCAACTACGACGCTCGGCCCTACATTTGAGCGTGGCGTGGAACGCAAAGCTTCCAGCACCCACGAGAAAGAAGCCGAAGAAGGTGATGAGGAAGATGCGATCGTGGCCGTGCTGATAGCAGTTGTATGTGCCCTTTAATGCCAGCCACATGAAGAACACATTGGTCAGGGTGTTGACGATCTCTGCAACGTAGTGTGTGGCATAGTAGTTCTACATGTGCGCTTAGTAACAGTTCGAGCAAAGCACCTGATCCTGGGGCGGTTCACCTCTTCACACCAGTCGAGCGTAGAAGTGATTGGTGCCCAGTATCCCTGCCCTGGTGGAGGGACATGGTAGGGCACAGAGGGCAACCACGACATGCCGTGATGACTGCGGGTGTTTGTCAATGTCCACGAAAACTCCGAGGGGTCCTTGGCAGTGATATCGCAGTCGACCCATCAAGTTCGAGTTTAGTTCCGAGGATGTGCGTCGTCAGTGATAGTGATGTGTCGGTCATGGTGAAATGCATATGAGCTCACACGCGGCCAAAGCACGTGCGTCATCCGGCGGCCGCTCGCTCCGCTTTCGTGCAGAGCCGCAACTCTTCTCTTCTCCACACCACCGACTCGTGAACTCGGGAAGTTGTGTCGCGTTGAGCCCACAGCTAGCCATCCGTCGCATCTTCAAAAGATGGCAATACCCAATGAGAAGCTGCAGGAGGTAAGTTGGAATTCAGCAGCGTGTATCAGCAAACGACTAATGTGCTCCAGGTCTTGCGAGAAATCGAAGCCAAGGCCTCCTTTTCCGCCCAACAACTCCAGATTGTGCGCGGGCAGATCGCTTCGAAGAACCGCGAAAAGCGCATGCTGCAACTGTCATCGAGCGAACTGGATACTGTGCCCGTAGAGACGCCCGTGTATGATGGTGTAGGCAAGATGTAAGGCTGTCCGCCGCAGACTGATCTTCGCCTCATCACTTACCAATGAGCCAGGTTTGTCCTGACAACCACGAAAGAAATCCAGAGCCGCCAGACCAAGGAATCGGGAGATGTCGACAAGGAACTGGATAATCTGGGCAAGAAGCTTCACTATCTCGAGACTACGTACAACAACGCCCAGCAGCATCTGGAACGAATCTTCAAAGGGAGTGCTGGTCAAAGCTGAGGCGAACGCGTCGGTATTGAAAGGACGCTGCCTCCTGCTGGAACTCCAGCTTCCGGCTCAAACGAGATGGCTCCCGGCAGCGATCGTGCACGGATGCAACGTCTAAGTGAAAACTTGGACACCAGATCCAGAGCGCCACTCACTCGGCTCTCACGGACATTCAAAGTGGTATCAGTCCCTTCAGAATCAACCACACGCAGGGGATAGGTCGCTGAGTGTAGCCTCCCTCGCTCGGTTCGTACTATGCTGCCTCGTGCTAGGTGGAGCGAACAACACCACCACCCGAGACATGCAGCAGCTAGCTTCATGAACACAAGCCTTTTAGCCAAGATTCGCTTCCATTGATAGGTAGTCTTACACATACTCTCACGTCGACAGCAGAGACAGCATCCATACTTTTGTTTTCCAAGACAAGAGCGATATCCTGTCGAATATGTGCCGTTGTCGTGAATGCAAAGTTTACAGCACGCCCCGCGTTCATGACAGCACCGCCAGCTCAACGCGAACCCGTACGTCACGTAAACTTTCCAATCACAACTCCTGACCGTCTTGCACTTTTCCCGCGCACGTCCACCTCATGCTCTAACGGTGAGGTGTCGAGCTATCTACCACACCTCCGAGCCTTGTGTGTGTCGCTTGACTAAGCATGGCCATTTACATCTTTCTTTGAGCCTGCATCTTGTCACTCTCTTCCCATTGTCGCTCTCCGACCTCGAGTACCCTCGACCAGCGCAGCGTCCTTGACCGCGTTTTTACTACGCTACCGCGCCAATCCGGGACTTCGAACGCGTCATTGGTAGCGAAATATCTCGTCAAGGCCAGAGAGAGACTGCCGATGAGTGATTGGTAGTCGCTCGAAACAAAGAGCAACGGTGGAGGGCAAGTCGGCTCCCACATTGACTGACTCGGCCGCAAAATCCCCTCCATCACCACCTTCTTCGCCTCTTCCCGCACCCAGCTACGATGCCGCTATAGGGCGACAAGCCTTGCTGTCCACGCCGACGCGCTTGCGGGAAGAGGACTGGTTGTCCTTTCCTGACAGCACGCGCAAGGTCATCGACCCGAAGACCCCAGCAGACACCCGCAGCAAGGTGCCCAGGTCAGCTCCGACATTCTACACCGCAACTTGGGGTTCACCATACGACTACTCACCCTCACGGACAGCACCGTCCGCCCCGTCCGAAGCATTACCCAGCGAGGAGTTGTCCGAGTCGTCTCCCATCCCCAACTTCGGCTTGGCAAAGCTCCTGCCTGATCGTCTCGGCGCCTTCAACTTGCCTGCACCGCGCCAGTCTGGGCCTGAAGCATTTAGCATCGTGCCCGGTGCTTCGGAGGCTACCCCACGCTTTGCTCGCAAACGTTGGGTACAGCTGCCACAGCCCGAAGAAGAGTTGGACAAAGCTGAGTGGTGGAGTGAGGGTCCAAGTGACAGCACGCCCGATCAAGCACAAAAGCACTTAAGGCGCACATCATTCTCGGGATCGCTACCGATATCTCGGCGAAAGCATAGTCGAGGACACCGGTCTCGGGGGAGTAACCAAACCATCAGCCAGCAATCGTTCTGGAACGATTTGCGCCGCCAATCCGACGAGATGTCGAGTTTGTTTGCGTCTCGCTGGGCGGCAACACCCCCGGCCGATGAGACACCACAGAAGGAGCCGGCTCCCAGGTTCCACCCACCGACAGGCGCAGAGATGTCGCCGCCATCCGAGCCAGACCAGAAGAAAATCGAACCAGGGATCTTTGCATCACGATGGGCGGATACGCCATCTCCTGTTGACACTGCAAAACTCGAAGCCGAGTTTCGCCAACGATTGACTGGTGGAAAGGTGGACAGTACTGCGGATAAAAGTGATGACAAGTCCGAGGGTGCAACTCGGGTGGCTGGTGGAGACATCGTTGAGCAAGGCACTGCCAACGAAGGACCAGCCAGCAATGAAGACACCCTGCCAGACACCAATGCGTCCGAGGTTGGAGCAGCCGACAAAGCTCAACATCATGTTCTCAGTTCATCACCATTGAGTCCAACTAAATCTCGTCTGGATGCCCCACGCTTCAGTAAGAAAAAAGTGAGCTGGCGGGGAAAGACGTGCGTGATCTCGATACCCGATATCGACTACAATGCCTCGCGACTGGCGGAGCCTTCGAGCCTTCAAGAGCACCAAGAGCGTTTGAAACGTCTGGAGGATGCTGGATACGACATCTCTGGGTTTGACATGCCTGCAGTCGCGGACGACTCGCAAGGTGCAGTCCATGCGAAGTCAATTTTTCCTGATGAAAACGAATCGCGAGCTATGTTGCGCCAACGGGACTTCAAGATCATGCTGCCGGATCTGGATAAGTGGGCGGCATACATGGATTTCCTGACGGAGCAAAAACTAGCTGCGCTAGGAGTGAGCAGTGGACCGCTGGAGACAGCTCCAACTCCCTCCCAGGATGTCTCGAGACAACTCTCTGGGCAGTATCCGCCATTACCATACTCCCCACCAATCCCCACCGGCTCTGCAGCAATCCTAGGCCGACCGGGAATGGTGCGTGGTCACTCACACGCAATGTCCGTGGTATCGCCCATCTCCCCGGTCAATGCGCCATTTGGACACGCTCATCGGCACTCTGTCTTTGCGAGTCCCTTCGGCTTTCAGCAGATCCAACCGCCTAGCTTCAATGCTCGGTCACCGCTAGAGCAGCAGTATTCCCCACCATCCCTGGTTTCTGGACTGCGATCCGTGTCTCCTCAGGGTCAGTTTGCGATCCCTGGTTCTACACGTGTTGTTGCAGAGGAGCAGGCAGGCGAACAGCATGGCCAACATCACACGCCTCGACAGCCTCAATCGATTGCAGCGGTCACACCGAGCGGCTCAGTTGCACAGCCCAAGCACAACCTGTCGCAACTACCGGAAGAAGCAGACGATGAAGAAAAGCTCCTCGGAAAATCAGAGCCCGCGGCGACAGAGCGTGGGCTGGAATCGAATGACGCATACGTCCCACCCCACAAACGCGCCGAGTTCCATGCGGAAATCGCCACTCCTACGCCCCTTGGTCATCGGCACAATATCAGCGAAGGCCTGGAGCGGGAACTCCTCGAGGCTGAAAAGCGCCAGCAAAGGCGATCACAAGACTACATCGTGGTTGAAGAGGAAAGCAGCGGGAGCGGCTCCGATGAGCAAGCAACGCAGACGAAGATCACGCCGGAGAAGGATCCGCTCTCCCTTGGCTACGTTGTGCAAGAATCTGCTGCCAGGACTCTGTCCACTCACAAGAAGACTGGCTCGCGCTTCAACGTAGCTGCCCCGGCATTCAAATTCAACCCAGACGCTTCCTTTCAGCCTGGTTCGACAGCATTCACGTTTGGCTCCTTCACCTCAAAGCCTTTGCCTCCTGCCGGTCATAATCGTCGAATCTCCTCGAGCAATTTCAATGTGGCCGCACCGGAGTTCAAACCCCTGGGAATGCAAGCCATGCCAAAGGCTGAGTTCAGCTTCTCCACTAGTGGGCCATCTTTCAATCCAAAGGCACCAGTCTTTGGGGCCCCCAAGCCGACAGAACCCGTCGCGGCCGCCTCCGGTCCGTCCATCTTTGGAAAGGTAGAAATCCCAGAGTTCATCAGACCAGCTCAGCGATCAAAGGCCGTGCCCATCACAAAACCTGAAGATCTCTCCGACGAGGATTCCGAGTCTGAGTATGAAGATGATGAGGGCCGCCTTGCACAAAGCGAAGATCGCTTGAAGAGAGCGAGAAAGGTTGGTGACGATGGAGACGAAGTGCCGAGATTTGCGGAACCCACGCCAATGCCAGCGTTTGCGACTGAAAGTCTGTCCGAGTCTCGGCCAGGGTTGAATGACGAGCCACGTTCCACATCGGATGACCAAACGCGCGTCGGAGGTGCTGCCGATAGCGAGGAAGATGCAGTGTCAGGAGCTTCAGACACTGCCAACGACGCATTCGATTCCGAGTTTGACCGCACATATGACGAGATCGAGCCGCAGGCCGCTTTACATAAGCATCGGCTTTCGAGCTCGCTCTCTGCTTTGGCGCAGCCTTTCCGGCCCCACCTGTCGGTCGATGCGCCAGGCAGTGCCAGCAGAGATGTCGATGACAGCTTCAACCTACCGGATGTGGACGAAGACGAATCGCAAGACGACGATGTACCAACGTCGCCCTTGAAACCGCGCGAGTCCGCTTCCATTCCGGGTGGCGAGAGGCTGAGACAATCTCCAGACCTACCAACATACCATGAGGGCTACGGCGAGCCGACTCACTACGAGCCTGAGCCGTCGTTCGCTGAAATTGACGCTGTCATGCGCCAACTGAACGAGATCGATGGCAATGATGATCTTCCAGAGCCTCGCGCACTTTCGCCCCTTCCCAGCTCTGAACTTCCTGTGATGAGTGGCGTGACGTACTTACCGGGAGTGGAGCGAAGCGCCGCCCCTAGCCCAAGTCCACGGCGTAGTGAATACGCTCCAGAGGCCCCAGGCGACTCTTCCTTCACCATACATGAACGTACGGACAGCGGCGAGCATGTCGTTGGCGGCTGGTCTCAGGTCAACCGCTTGAACAAGGCCGCGGAGGTTCCAACAAGCGACTGGTCTGCCGATTTCTCTGCGCACGATGACGATAAGCTGCATCAGAGGAGCAACTTCTTAGATAGCCATATCGATAATCTGATCGGTGGATTGCTGGAGCGACGACTTCGACCGCTAGAGGAGAGCTTGCAAGCCATCCACAGCTCCATTGACAGGCGTCCGACATCGCGCGACCTGACTCAAAAACGCAGCTCGTCCGCAGTGGACAGCGATGCCGATGACGAGGACGAATTGTCCGAAGAGCAGCGCCAGCGTCCAATCTCTCGTGGTAAGGACAAGAGAGTCGATCAAATCAAAGCGGCCGTGGCGGAGGCACTACGGGAGCGAAGTCCGGCACGCCCCTCGCAGTCGTTGTTCGACCTTCAAGACCTTCATTCGTATCTGGTAGACATGAAGGCCTCGTTTGCACAGGCAGCCTCGTCGGGCTTCGACTTGGACGAGGTCCGTGCTATTATCGAGGACGCTATCAACCGACCCAGAGACGAAGATGACTTTCTCCGACGCGCTGCAGAGGAGCGTGAGGCCGAGACGCGGAAAGCACTACATCTTGCAGAGGAAGACCTTCGATCTTTGCGGCATACATCGCACGAGCAGCACTCGAAGCTGAGTGCGGCCGAGCGGGAAAAGCTTGAGCTGCTGCAGCGGATCGAAGCAGCGGAGGAAGCCCAGAGCGATTTGGAGCATCAAGTCAAGACGCGGGAAGCGGAGAACACTGCTACATATGCCACTTTGGAAGAGTATCGCACGTCGAGCCACAAGTGGCGACAGCGCATTGACGAATTGACCGCCGAACGCGAGGAGCGGGAAGATCATCTCAAGGAGGTCAAGCACCAACTCAAGGAACATCAACAAACGAGCACAAAGTTGCATAACGATGTTTCCGATGCTCGGAGAGAGCGGGATGATCTTGAAGCCACTGTTGTCAGCCTCGAGCGCGAACTTGAACAGTCTCAAGAGTCGACTAGCGGGATGAGAAGGCGACTTGAGAAGCTCCACTCGGACATCGCCACCGCAGCGAGTCAACTGGCGAGCGAGAAAGAGGCTTGGCGGGCGAAGGAAGATGAGTACAGAATGAGGTGTGAATCCTTGGAGGCGCAGAGTGGTGCTGATGTCCAGTCTCGTTCTCAGTCTGAGGAGGAAGCTCGAACTGTTAAGGAGAATGCCCAAGAGGCGCTGCAGGAGACGGTGCGCTCTCTGCAGGCCGAGCTGGCCGAACAGAAGCTGCTCACTCAACGATTCGAGCGCGATCATGGCGAAGCCAAGGAAGCAGGTCGTGCCGAGACTGAACGCGTGCAGAGGTCACTCGAAGCTGCCAATCAACAAAGTAATGTGGTGCGAGCTGAACTTGAGGGCGAGCTCTCCAAGCTACGGCTGGAACTGGGCAACGTCAAGACCCAAGCAGAGTTGGAGAAAGATCGTCATGTGCGCATCCTCGAAGAAGAGCACGAAGGACGACGAGAAGCTCTGCGCAAAGTCAACGACGCGCATAGTGTGGCTTTGAACGATGCACAAGAGAAGCACGAGACATTCATGCAACGAATGCACGCCGACCACGAACGAGCTCTCGGCCATGCGGTTGAGGACAAGCAGCGCGCCGAATTCTTCTTGAATGAGCGCCTAGCACTCTCGGACTCGAAATTGCAACACTACCAGGATAAGGTACTACATCTCGAGGAGCGGTTGCAGATTGCAAAGTCTGCGGCACAGGCTGCCGCGATGAGTGCGCAATCTAGAGGTCTACCGAGCACCGCTACTAAGACCTCGACGCTGCCCGACAAGATCTCACCACAGGCGCTCCGAGAATCTATTCTTGTTCTACAGGAACAGCTGCAAGACCGCGAAGCTCAGATTGAGAAGTTACGAAATCACTCCGAGACCGAAGCGTCGGCGAAGCTGAAATCGCGTGACGACGAGATCGCGTGGCTGCGAGAGTTATTGGCGGTGCGAGGTGAGGAGCTGACCGATCTGGTCAATACCCTTGCCCAGCCGACGTTCGATCGCAACGCTGTGCGCGACACCGCAATCAGGATCCAAGCAAATCTGCAGATGGAGCGGCAAGAGAGGGACAGGCTTAGCCAAAGCCCGCAGACCCTTCCCGAGCAAGCAATTGCCAGTCTTTCGAGTTTCGCCACGCCAAAGGCCGTCCAGCTCTCCTCGGCTTTCAACAAGTGGCGAAGCAACATGGAGAGCGCGGCGCTCAAGAACGCCCAACAGCAACAACTGAATCGCGCCCGCCGCGCACAAGCTTATACCCCTTCTAAAGCGGCTCATACCACCACCGCCATCCCAGCTGGGTATGCGTCGGGACTCATGACGCCTCCGGCCTCGAATCTGCGGAATACACCGAGCCCGGAGCCTGGTGTTGCCATTTCAGCTCCTCAGCTGGACTCCCGACCGGGCACACAGTCCAAGAGTCAGGCACCCTCAGCCGCATCGAAAGCGGGAGGCAGGCACGCATCTTTCACGTCCGAGGGACCAACAACGCCTCTTTTGCGATCCCAATCGTACGACCTGGATGCAGAGGAAGGCCACGTACACATGCAGGACCTCGACGACGGCCTCGAGGATGACGACCTCGACGATATGGCCGACCACCAACCTCCAGCGTTCCGCAATCTGGAAGCCGAGCTTGGTGATGCTGGCGAAGGGTCGACATAATCTCACCACGAGTGTGCATGCTGATACATCATTTTCTTTTCATTTGTTCGAACATGGGGAGCCGGAGAATGTCGAGTTGAGCTAGGATGCTTCATCGACATCTCTTCAGTGACGGCGGAGGAGGAGGACGCTTGCATTTTCGATGGCGCATGCGCAAGATACCCCCTAGACTGATCGCTTCCTTTCTGATTCGTAGAGACTGACCATATTTGTGTAAAATTGTGTTTATACCAATCTTTCCTCATCATTGACCAACTGCTGGTGTTCCCATGCTGGCCTATTCGGCCGAGTGCAAATCGATTACATCACTTCGCGCGTTTCAGATCCAATAAGTTCCCGCGTCACTGCCACAGCTGCGCGACCACCTTCCCACCACCTCCCTCCAAGATGCTACTTGGACTCCTCTTTCACCCCTCGACAATGCCTTGATCGCTCGTTTCGGCAATGTCAGATGGAGTGCAGAAGAGAAAGTCGTCTGCCGGTAAGTCTAACGCCTCCCGCATGCACCTGGTCGAGCTCGAAAAAGTTCCCAACTGACGTCCACGCCTTTCTGCAACAAACAGCCTTTCACTTCGCCGCCGGCCTCGGCTCCGGCGTAGTCAGCGCGTGCCTCCTACAACCCGCCGATTTGCTCAAGACGCGCGTGCAGCAGACCAACGCCGCCTCGCTCCGCCACGCCCTCCGCGATGTCCTGCAGGGCCCGAATCCCATACGCCAGCTCTGGCGCGGCACCACGCCCTCCGTTATCCGCACCGGCTTCGGCTCCGCGCTGTACTTTGGCATGCTCAATCAGATGAGGCAATATGCGGCCAAGATGCCGCCCATACCTGTTGGCGGGGACGGGACAAGGGTAGTAGCGGGCGGATCATCGTCTGCGCTGCCGAAACTGGGCAACGTGGCGAATCTGGCTACGGGGGCGTTTGCGAGGGTTGCGGCGGGACTCGTAGTGAATCCCATTACGGTACTCAAGGTGCGCTACGAGTCGTCGCATTACGCCTACACTTCGCTTATGGGAGCCGGGAGGGACATCCTTGCCAAGGAAGGGGCGAGGGGCTTCTTTGCGGGGTTCGGCGTGACGGCGGTGAGGGATGCGCCGTACGCCGGAATGTACGTGGTGCTGTACGAGCAGGCGAAGGCGCGACTGGGCAAGCTGGTGACGCCGGCGGGGACGGTGGGCTCCATTTCCAGCGGCGTCATGATCAACTTTGCCTCGGGCGTGTTGGCTGCCGTGACGGCGACGACGATAACAAACCCCTTCGACGCCATCAAGACGCGCATACAGATTGCGCCGGGCAAGTACGGGAACATGGTGCAGGCGGCGCGGCTTATGCTGAAGCACGAAGGGCTGCGGAGCATGTTCAGCGGCCTGAGTCTGCGGCTGGGCAGGAAGGCGGTGAGCAGTGCTCTGACGTGGACGGTGTACGAGGAGATTATCCGTCGGACGGAGAAAGTGTTGGTGTAGCCTCTCTGTCGATATGAGAGTCCACGAGATCGCGTGCGTCGTATCCACTCAGTCATACACTGCTACGTCGATGTACTACACTCTCCAATCCGTCAATCAAGAAATCCTTCGGCCGGGTAGAACGGAGCGAGACAGGCCTGAGACACCGACGAACTTGGTAATCAACGAGAGCTCTTGCTGCTCTACATCTTGATGTACTGGAACCTCCGCGGCGCCAGCGGGACGATAGAAGCGCCGGCTCCGGCTACCGAGATTAATAATTCACGAGGCCGAAGTTTATCTCACGTCACCTCCTGAACTTCTCGTCGCTAGAATACTTTTAATCTCAAATCTTCCACTCCCTTGTTTCTTCCGAGTACTGTGTCTATTTTCGTCTGACTAAGATCGCGTGTAATCGCGCATTTCTTTCGTACCTCTTCCCGTGTCTACTGGGTATCGTAAATCCATACTCCTATCGGACTCTTATTGGCATCGCGTGAGCATCTCTTCAGCGCATTCATCGCAACCTCTTGGAAACGGAAAACAGCATGCCGGAAACGCGCAACATCGTCGTCCTCGGCGGCTCCGTCGCCGGCCTCAGCGCCGCGCACTACTTACTCAAACACACCCTGCCCAAACTCCAGCAGGTCAAGGACGTCAAGTATGAGTTGCACATCATCGACCAATCCACGCATTTTTGGTGGCACATCTCCGCGCCGCGCGCCATCGTGTCAACGAAGGAGATCAAGCACAGCGACGCCTTCGTCCCTATCATGGCCGGCTTTAAGCAATACCCGGCCTTCAAGGACGCCATCCACTTCCACCAGGGCACGATCGAGGGCGTGCATACCGCGCTGCGCCAGGTCTCCTTCAAGACCTCCGATGAAAAGGTCGATGTCTTGGATTACTATGCCTTGATCATCGCCACCGGCATCCGGTCTCCGACCCCTCTGACTACGCTCCATGGCGACCACACCGTGTCGCAGAAGGCTCTCGACGACATGAACGCCAAGCTCGCGTCCGCAAAGGATATTGTCATCGGAGGCGGAGGCCCAATTGGAGTCGAGACGGCCGGCGAACTTGGAGCGCATCTCAAAGGCAAAGCGAAAATCACGCTCATCGCCGGCTCCAAGAAACTCCTTCCCATCCTCGGGCAGAAGTTCACCGACAAAGCGCAGAAGCAGCTGGAGAAGAACGGCGTCGAGGTCAAGTATGGCGTGCGTGTCAAGGAGACCCAAGAAACGTCGGACAAACGCGTCGAAGTCAAGCTCGACAATGGCGAAAGTCTGTTGGCCGACGTCTACATCCCCGCCGTCGGCGTCACGCCCAACACTGAGTTCCTCCCCAAGTTCCTCAAGCAGGAGAACGGCTACGTCAAGGTCAACCCGGCCACTCTGCGCGTCGACGAGGCCGGGGACAAATTCATCTACGCCGTCGGCGACGTCGCGGGCGTCGATCAAGGCGGCGTGCTCAACTTCTTCAAGTCGTTCCCCGTCGCCGCCGCCAACATGAGCCACGACTTGTGCTCCGAGGCCAAGGCGGGCATGGTCCCGGAGAAGAGGTTCAGCCGCAAGGACTCCGAAACTCAGTTAGTCCCAATTGGTGCCAAGGCCGGACTTGGCGCGTTCAATGGACACTCGGTGCCGTCCATGATTGTCAAGAAGTTCAAGGGCAAGGATTATATGCTGAGCCAGGTGCCGAAGTTCACCGAGGGCAAGCAATGGTCGAAGCCGTAGCGGGCGCATCCATATGCTGTCGTGAGCATCGAGCAGTAGGCGGCAGAGGTGGTTGGGGAAATCGGTGCATGTCTTTGAATGTTGCTTTTGCATCATCTTTTGTTGATACCCAGATGTTTTGTCAGACAGATAGTAGTCTTACCCTCTTAATGTTAATACTCCGTGGCGCCTTCGCTGGGTCTTCCCGACGTTCGCATCACCGTTGACTCCGCATAATGTGATCTGCGACCCGGCCAATCCCATCGTTGCCTTGTCCTCGTAAGGCTTGTCGATATCTCTCGTTCAACCCACTATCGCCATCTCCGTCGATTTCTTCCGCCTCTTCACCTTCATCGTCTGGGTCGACCATGCCGGAAGCTTCATCCTCTGCCTCGTCAGCCTCCATTTCCTCCGCATCACTGACCGTCTCGGCCTCCTCTTTTGGCTGTCGCGCATACTTCCCCGTCCCCTTTGCTTTGGACGAAACACCCATGTCTTTCATCATCCTCTGCACCTCGCGATCGCGAATCTCCTGCTTCTGCTTCTCCGCCTCCCGCACCCTCTTCTCCATCTCCGGCCGGTAGTCTCGCTCAAATTCCTCGCGCTTCTCCTCCACCGCCGCGAAGAAGTCGTCCACACCGTTGCCCGTCATACTGCTCACGCCCACGACGGAAAGATGATTGTAGAACTCCTCCAGCACCAAGCTCATCGAGTTGAGCAGGCTGTTCATGTATCCACTGCCCTCCTGTCCGGCCATTTGATCCTCTTCCTCTTTCCGTAGTGCTGCTTGAAAAGACTCAAAGTCGCGCATCCACTCCACCGCCTCGGACTCGTCTTTGACGTCGGTCTTGTTGAACACGAGGATCATGGGTAGTTTGATTTTGTAGAGGATGCTGACTGCGTAGAGCATGTTGGACATGAAGGTCGAGGTGTTGGCGGTGGTGCGCGGGGTGTCGATTACGTAGGCCAGCACGGTGGGGAAGGAGGAGGCGAGGGAGGAGAGCAGGATGCTGCCTGATGCGGACCAGACGAAGACTTCGATTTGGCCTGGGGTGTCGATGAGGATGTGTTGGGGTCTGCTGGTTGTTTCGGCAGGCTGTGAGGAGGATGAGGTGGTGGTGGGGGTGGGGGTTGCGGAGGGCAGGCAGCGCTTCTCCAGAATGGCCATGATCTGGTCGATTTTGGTGCTGAAGAGGTTGAGCGAGGTGAGGATGCCGCCGTTGGGCCCGAGGTTGTACTGCTTCATCACTTCCTTGTAGTTGACGCTGTCGCGGATGTCGATGTTGCTCTCAAATGGCACGCTGCGCACGGCGGGATCGAGATTGAGCACGTACGGCGGCGTGTGTGTGGTGGGGGATTCGACGGCGAGGGTGTGAAGGTGGCTGTTGATGCGCTGCATGAATGTCGTCTTGCCGGAGCCTGCCATGCCGATGCATACCACCGCGACGGGTGGCTTGGTTGGCGAAGCCATACTGTGCAGTCCGGCGGAGTCAATGAGGCGGAGGCAGTTGTGCGAGTGTGATTATGTGTAGGGCGCACACATCGTTTCGTTCGGGTAGATTCTGGAGAGGTTGTAGGGTAGATGTCTGTCACATGCCACGCTTCGAGTGATGTCAAAAAATTGAAGTCTCGAAGCTTGGACCAGCACAACTTTTGTGAGCGCCGTTCAACCCCGCCATCACCACCTCTTCCCTGACCACAACGGAACCACCGCAAGATGGGGCTGGAAGATTTCGAGCGCGAGCTCGCAGAGGAGAAGCTCGCGTCTCGCGAGTCGAAGCATTCGTCTCGCCGTGAGCACGGAGACGAGAAAGATCGACATCGCTCCCACCGACACCATCGCGATCGTGATTCACGAGATGGAGAGCGCAGGCACAGACACAAACGCCACCGCGATGAGGACGAGACGAAAGAGGAGCGTAGAAGGCACCGCAAACGACCCCGCTCGACGTCCGCAGACCGTGCCGACACTGCGAAAGCACCGGAGGATGTCAAAGTCTTCGACAGCCCCGCCGAGGATGAAGAGGAAGACGAGTGGGTGGAGAAAGAGGCCGCCACTGCGCCGCCAGAAGAAGACATATTAGACCAGCGAGACCAACCCACAGAGCGGGAGAGAGTCCAGCGCGACGCTTGGATGCAGCAGCCTTCAGTTATGGACGTCGAGATTGTCGCCAGCCGAAAACCCAAGGCGCCGCCAAGTCAATTCGTCGGCGCAAAGGAGGGTCATGAGCTCAAAGTGCACAACCAACATCTCGCTGACCTGGAACGGGATTTCGAGGAGGATGAGGAGGATGAGGGGAAGGCGGCGGTCACAGCAGAGCCTGCCCAGCATGATGTTGACTACACTTTCGGCGATTCGGGCAGTTCGTGGCGCATGACGAAACTCAAAGCCGTGTATCGGACTGCCAAGGAGAGCCAAAAGAGTGTGGAGGAGGTTGCTATTGAGAGGTTCGGCTCTTTGAGAGACTTTGACGATGCGAGAGAGGAGGAGCGCGAGCTGGACCGCAGGAAGATGTACGGAAAGGAGTATGTGGGATTGGAAAAGCCCAGTGGCGAGCTGTATCAAGAGAGAAAAATGCAAGCCGGGCTGAGGCGAGAGTCTGATGTCCCTGAGAACGAGCATGACGCAGCTGAGCCGCGACAAGGCCAGCCCATGCCGGAGCAAGATTCGGCCACGCATGCTTTGAAGACGGCGCCACTCGATACTACAGCACTCAACAAGCTAAAGGCCCAGCTCATGAAGGCCCGACTTCGCAAGGCCCCGAACTTGGCTCAATTAGAAGAGGAGTACCGACTTGCAGAAGAGGCTTCGTCGGCCAACTCGGCTCAATCCGATGTCGTCGTCTTGAACAACATGGAAAATCGAATGCTTGCTTCCGGCCGGGCGGGCGAAGTCACGGCCGTGAGTGGCAAGAGGGGCAGAGAGCGCGGACTTGTGGTCGAGAACGAAGACATGAGTATTGAAGACATGGTCAGACAGGAACGCAGAACTAAAGGCGGGATGGGCAACGAAGGCCGCGCCTTTGCAGAGAGGATTGCCAAAGATGGCAAGTTTGTGGACGATCTCGACTACATGGACGACAACGCCCAGAATCTTTCCAAAAAGGTGGTCAAAAGCGATACGAATCTTCGTAGCATGGCTGTTGGCGATTTCCAGAAGATGCAGAGGGTGTTGGAGCATTGCCCCCTCTGTCATCATGAGGACAGAGACGGACCGGAAGCATTGCCCACCGCGCCTGTCGTCAGTCTGGCAACACGAGTGTATCTGACCTTGCCCACGGAGCCTGAGATGACCAAGGGAGGCGCCGTCATTGTGCCCATTCAACATCGTCTGAACCTGCTCGAATGCGACGACGACGAATGGGAGGAGATGCGCAACTTCATGAAATCCCTCACGCGCTACTACGACTCTCAAGGCCGCGGCGTCATCTTCTACGAAAACGCGGCGCACATGCATTCCAAACGTGGCCACGCTGCTCTCAACGCCGTTCCTCTCCCCTCCCACCTGGCCGACACGGCTCCGGCGTACTTCAAAGAGGCCATTCTCGCCTCTGCAGAGCAATGGAGCCAACACAAGCCCATCATTGACACTCTTGCCCTTTCGCAGCAGCCGGGATATGGGAAGCTGGCGTTGCGCAAGGCCATGGTGAAGGAGATGCCGTACTTTCACGTCTTCTTCAATCTCGACGGCGGCATGGGACACGTGATTGAGGATGAGAGGAAGTGGCCCAAGGGCGATTTGTTTGCGCGGGAGATTGTGGGCGGCATGCTGGATCGAGGGCCGGAGATTGTGAAGAGGCAAGGGCGGTGGGAGAGAGGTGATCGTAGAGTGGAGGGGTTTAGGAAGAAGTGGGCACCCTGGGACTGGACCAAGATTTTGATGGAGGCACAATAGAGGTGTTCGAAGAGTGACTCTTTATATCCACCCGTATTTGGCCATCATCAAGGAAGTGCATCCATTGCATCACTTCGTGTAAATGCGCAGTATGATGCACGTGATTCAAGTGAGGTAGATTAATGACTCAAACACTGATATGCCCTTCCGTAGAGCGCGCCTGTTTGGCGTTCCGTAGATCGCGTCTTCCGCCCCGCGTCTCAGTCAAAACATCTTTGAGCCGCATCGACACCTCCACCACCAAATCTCCGATCAACCTTCCCACATTGTCGAATGGCTATTCATAGCCGCCAAACTTCTCTCGAGGCGCGTTTGGGCTCGACATCATAATGTCGACTCGCACCAAGAGCTTCTTCGATCAGAACAATCAACAGGTAAAGCCCGGCTGCCTATCCCTCTTGCAAGCCAGCTTGAACCAACTCATGCATTCGCAGAAACGACCGGGACAATGGCAACGCTACCCGAACAAGCAGCCACTGGGCGAGAGCAGTAACAATAGGCCAGCACCACCTCCTCAGCCTCCGATCCCGGCTACCTCGCAGGCGAAACAGAAGTTGAAGGCATTCCAATTTGTGCCCGATGATCGAGACCAATCCGTGGCAGGCAATGACAAAGAGGACGTAATCGCACCCCATCCCCCAAATACCACTCAGGGGCCACGAGAAACATCTCTCGCCGACACAGTCCCCAATACCGATACCGCACCACCAACCGAGCACATCATGCCTGCTGCTCCTCCGTTACTGTCACATGCGAACACCTTTCCATCTACCCCGGGCGCCCGACTCTCCCTCGAAGACTTGATCGGGAATCACGATGAGAACGCAAAGGGAGGGAACAAAGAGAACGAGTCACCAGAAGAGTTCATTGGTTGGATACCCAACAGTTCCTCCACCTTGCTCACGCCGAACCGCAAACGAAAGCGCGCCCGAAGCTCCTCTCCTTCCTCTTGTGCAAACACCTCATCTCAGCGAGGCGAGGCGTCCGCTTTCTTCCCCGCTGCAGCTGCTCCAGGCGACAAGGCACCAGAAGCAGACTCGACTGCTGACCCGACTGCAGACCTTTGGCAACAATACCAAACGGGCAAGCAAGATGGCGATGCTAAGCTGCCCGACATCAGTCACTTGCTGTTCCAAGCGTCGCCGCGTGCGCTTGAGACTCCCGTCAGAAGCGCAGGCTTTCGGAGATGGGCGAGCACAGGCAACGACTGGCCTAATAGCAAGAGCAAACGAAGAAAGCCGAACGGGCAGACGAGCATCAATCTGCTTAAAGAGGCAGCTGCGGCCGAGACGGGCGAGAAGAGCAAGTTCGCCGATATGCTGAAGAAGGTCGAGGACTCGCTTGCCACTCAGAAACTTGCCAAAGATCGATCAAAGCCAACCGTGCGCGTCGAAGGCCCTTCAAGTTCGAGTCCGCTCCCAGAAACAGGTGGAAGGGACGTGTTCAATGCTTTGCCTTCGGCAAGCCCTCTGGAAACGAAGCAAGTCGCGCAACTGCTTTCAAAGGCTCAGGAGGCTACAGCGAAACCTCTTGCGAATGTCAGCGGCAATGTTGAAGAGCAACCCCAGTGCAACGAAGCCACACATGAAGCGAACAACACCAACCTCGCTCCTTCTGTGCAGATGGCTGCGGCCACTTCGACTCCACTATATCTGCAGAGCAAGGCACCTTTACCGGCCTACAAGAGGCCGTCTATCGTACGAAAGCCAAGTCATGAGAGACAGACGACGCAGATGCCGCCACCTCCTCCTCCTGCAGCCGTCACAAAGGCAGCAGCTGAAGAATTTGGCGATGACTTCGATCTTTCTGTCGAGGACTTGGAAGAAATCACAGGCCACGATCATCCCTTAGAACAGAGGTCATTGTACCAGATCCCGCCACATCCCAACCCACCACCTCACGACCACGGACCGACAATTCCCCGGCTGCCCGTACCGGGCACTGTTGCTGCGGGATCCGCGGCCCAGCCTATCTTTCTCAACGACGATTTCGATTTCGATGTCGATGACAACGATGAGTTTGGTATGGGCGATATCGACGAGGCTTCATTCGCACAGGCGGAGATGAGTGCCACACAAGCGGTCAGGGCAAGTAACATCTCTCATGTGTCGGCCGTGAAGATTAGATAGCTTATTCGTGTATAGATCTCTCCACCCAAACGATCTTCGCAACATGCCCCCGGCCAGATGAATTCTCACACTCTATCGGCATCGCTCCAAGCAAACTCTGGCAACAATCTACAGCGCTACGTGGTGAAGCAAGTCGTGGAAGGAGACTATACGGATGATCGGGGGCGTCGCTGCCCCGAAACAGTGCTCATTACGGAGGAAGAACGAACAAGCAAGACTACGGCAATCACGCTTCGAGGTTCCTGGACAGCCACCTCGATCAATGTCGGCAACACTGTCCATGTCGCAGACCTTCGCAGGTCGTCTGCTGCAGAGCTGCCTCCATCTCCGCCAGGGCAGTTTACGATCTCCGATTCCGAACACAGCCCACTCCTCATCGTTCACCCGGATCATATGCTCTCGGCAACCACAGTGGCCGACTCCTTCGATTGCATTCGGAAAGCTGTCCTTCAAGATCGCATCAAAGCTACGGGTGACACGATCAAGTCCATGGTATATGGAAAGATACTGCATGAGATTTTCCAACAGGCTCTGTCTGCCAATCAGTGGAGCAGTGACTTCCTCTCGCAGCTGGTGGAGCGCACAGTACAGAGCCATGTCGAAAGCCTTTGGGAGCTGGGCATGGCTGACACGGTGCTTGCTGTGGAAGAGATTACCGCAAAGATGGCCGAGCTTGCCTCCTGGGCACGCATCTTTGTGGCCGACACCCCTTCTGAGGTGGCTTTGGTGGACGACAGGCAAGGCGAGCAAGTGTGGATGAGCGTTGGGAAGCTCATCGCCATCGAGGAACACATCTGGTCCCCACGATTTGGGCTCAAAGGAAACATCGATGCTACTGTACAGACAACACTGGTGGACCACCCAAAAGAATCTGGCAAGAGACTCATTGCGCCATTCGAGGTCAAAACGGGGCGGACTACGCAATCGCCTGCTCACAGAGCCCAAACAGCCCTGTACACATTACTGCTCTCAGATCGCTACAATGTCAGCGTCACTGCCGGAGTGTTGTATTACTTGGAAAGCTCGGCCATGTCTCGAATCGCACCGCCCATGAATGAGATCCGACAAATGGTGCAGCAACGGAACCGCCTAGCTGCATATCTGCACCGAGCACGACATCCGGTTGATGATACTCAGGTGCAGGACAAGGGGCCACTGCAGACCCAGGAGGTTGAGGATTCCGGGCTGCCAAAACTGTTGAAGAATGCCTTCAAATGTGGCCGCTGCTACGCACAACAGTCGTGCTTCTCCTATCATGCCCTGGTCGAGAACGGATCCGCAGACTCGGCGGGTATGATTGACGACGGCAAGAAAAATCACGAGCTGATCTGGCAGGAGGCTATTGGCCATCTGCAACTCACCGGCAAGGATCGAGCGCAGGCGGAGACACTCAAGCAGTGGTTTGCAAAGTGGGATCGACTGCTCACTTTCGAAGAGAGTAATCTCAATCGCCTTCGAAGAGAGCTTTGGACTATGAGTTCGAGCGAGCGAGAGGCGAATGGACGCTGCTTTGGCAATCTCATCATCGAACACGATCTGACGTCGACTGCTGCCAATGTCACGCCGTCCATTGTGGACGGCATTGAGGGTGGCGGAGGGAAGATCAATCGCTTTGCCTACACTTTCACTATTGCGACCAAAAAGCCAGGACATTCATTCATCCAAGGCACGCAGCTGAACGTGGGTGAGCCGATTGTCGTCTCTTCCGAGAGCGGACAGTGGGCACTCGCCAATGGCTATATCGTTGCTGCAACCAAACACAACATCACTGTTGCAGTGGATCGAAGGCTGGGCAACGCCAGACAGCGGCAGGCTGACTTTGATCCTGAGCGGAACCAATCGTTCATCGGCATCATGAATGTTGGTGAGGATGGCGGCGTAAAGCCTCTCGACCAATCTCCTGCGCTATACCGCCTTGACAAGGACGAGTTCTCGAACGGACTGGCGCTGGTGCGAAACAATCTGGTCACGATGATGTCGTCTCACCCTATCCATACGAAGCTGCGCAACCAAGTCGTTCTGGATTCGAAGCCTACGTTTCTTCCTCCTCCTGCTTTGCCCACGCTGCCGCCGTCTCAACTTGGTCAGATGAATGAGGATCAACGAGCGGCCGTGTCGAAAGTGCTGAGCGCGGAAGATTACGCGCTGATTCTCGGAATGCCAGGGACAGGCAAGACCACGACGATCGCTCACATCATCAGAGCACTACTTGCCGAAGGGAAATCGATCCTGTTGGCCTCATTCACGCACACCGCGGTGGACAACATATTGCTGAAGATCCGCGACATCGCACCCCGTGACAGCATCCTCCGCATCGGTGTCCCAGCGAAGATCAACGCACAGGTGCAGGAGTTCTGCCAGCTCGCTGCCACGCCGCGCAAGACGATTGACGAGGTCGAGAAGGCGTATATGGGCTGCCGTATTGTGGCGAGTACTTGCATGGCGACAAATCACCCCATCTTCAACCGCCGAGCTTTCGATGTCTGCATTGTGGACGAAGCCAGTCAGATCACGCTGCCCACTTCCCTGGGTCCATTGCTGCGCGCTCGCAAATTCGTGCTCGTCGGCGATCACTATCAACTCCCTCCGCTCGTGCAGAATCGGCAGGCCCTCGAAGGCGGATTGGACGTCTCGCTCTTCCGACAACTGAGTGAGAAGCATTCCGAAGCGATGGCGACCTTGGGCAAGCAGTACCGCATGTGCGAGGACATTATGAGTCTGTCGAATGCTTTGATCTACAATGGATCGCTGCGATGCGGCAATGAGGAGATTGCAAACCGAACGTTGAAGGTGGGGAGTATGGAGGCACTCTCCGTCTTCCATACTGGCTCCAGTGCGTGCGCAGACCGGTCTGATTGTTGGGTCGAGGATCTGGCCCGCCCGACACGCAAAGTCGTGTTCGCCAGTACCGATTCTGCAGGCAAGGCTGCGCTCGAGACCCTCACAGTCGGCAAGAATATCACCAATCAACTCGAGGCTACGCTCGTCGCACAACTCGTCCTCGCGCTTCTGGCCCTCGGAGTACCGGAGTCTGACATCGGCGTCATTACTCTCTACCGATCCCAGCTGGCCCTGATCAGACAACTCTTCAAGAAAGCAGGCATCAGCCCCAACGTCGAGATCGACTCTGCCGATCGCTTCCAAGGACGTGACAAGGAGTGCATCATCCTGTCCATGGTGCGCTCGAATGAAAGTGGGACGGTCGGAGACTTGCTCAAGGACTGGAGACGCGTGAACGTCGCGCTCACCCGCGCAAGGTCGAAGCTCGTCGTCATGGGCAGCCGGCGGACGCTGCGGAACAATTCTCTCCTTGCCAGGTTCTTGGCTCTGGTCGATGAGCGAGGTTGGTCTATGGATCTGCCGAAAGACGCGGACACTTGCCATACGTTCAGTTTCAGCTCTCAGGCTGCGAGCGATCTTGTGGCTCAGAGTTCTGACAGTCCGGCTAAGACTCCCGCGAAGAAGAAGCCGCTCGCGGCCGTCGATCCCTCCCCGGAGCGGAGCGACACATCTCGAACTGCGCTGAAGGAGTCCCCAGATGCCAGCAACAGAAGCCTGAAGAGAAGCGGCTTGTCGAAACAACCGGGAAAAGTGATATCGGGTCGAAGTAGTCAATTTACTTCGCAAGCGAAAAGAGCACTGGAGCAGATGAGCTTTGACATATTCGAGGATCTCAATGCTGATGACTTTTAGTGCACGAGGAGTGCGAAGGCTTGGGGATGAACGTTATGATTGTTGTCACCTATTTACACTCCTGAGTTTGGAGACAAATACACTTGTCTTCTCCACAGCACTCCGTATCTTCTACTTCTTGTTGAAGTCAATAACGATACGGCCCACGATCTTGCCATCCTTCAATTGCTGAACCGCTTCTGGCCACTCAGACAGGCCGCGCACCTCGGCGACATTCTTGAGCAGACCTCGTCGCGCGTACTCGAGGCAAGAAGCGGTGTCTTGCATGGTGCCGACGAGCGTGCCGATGACGTGCAGGTGCTTGAAGATGAAGCGCGATGGCTCGGCGCCGATTTCGAGGAGGCCGGAGGGAGGCAGGGCGATGCACATGATCTTGGCGCCTATTCGGTTGGCGCAGTAGTCCATTGCCTCTATTGTTGCGGGTTAGAATTGGGTTGTGCATGTGATGCAAGATGTTGGTGGAGGGAGGAGGCTTACGTTTGTAGGCTTGATAAGCGGTCACGAGCACGCCGTGAACACCAATACCGTCTGCAATCTCCACCACCTTCGCCGCGACATCCTTCTCCTTTGTGAAGTCAACGAACGCCTCGGCGCCCATTTCCCTGCACATCTGCTCCTTTGAGCCGGCATCGACGACGATGGCGCGCATACCCATGGCCCTGAACCAATCATGTCAGTGTCACTCAAATATGCTTGTGATGTTGGACAACGTACTTGACAAGCTGCACACCCTGGATACCGACACCACCGCCGCCACCGGGGACCACAACCCAGTTGCCGGGCTTGAGGCCGGAATCGATGAGGGCGCGGTGAGTGGTGGATGCGGAGCACATGATCGGCCCGGCGACTTCGTCAGGCACGCCGTCGGGGATGCGGGAGGTGTAGATGGCGGGGGAGGTCACATATTGCTGGTATGTGCCCGTCGACATCAGGCCGGTGTAGATGGCACCAGCGCAGTAGTTCTCGCCTGATCCGGGGCCGGCACGTTAGCATCAAGAGGATTTGGAGGGGTTGTGGGAAGACTCACGGCCGTTCCAGCACTGCTCGCAGTTGTGGCAGACGTCTGCGATCGGCTTGATGCCCACGCGCTCGCCGAGCTTCCAGCCCTGTACTTTGGACCCGATCTTGACCACGACACCAGCGCCCTCGTGCCCGGCGCACTTTGTGCCGAAATGGGACATGGGCGGGAGGGCCCAGTCGTTCAACATGAAGTGCACATCGGACATACAGAGGCCGGTGGCATTGAGTCGGACAAGGAGCTCATCGTCCTCTGATTTTCGTGGATTAGCTAATGCTCATAGCCACGCGAGTCGCACTCTTCGCCCGCACGAACGACTCACTTGGCTCTGGCACATCGATCTCCTGGACCTCGAGGTGGAAGTCGGGGCCCTCGTTCACGACCACGCCGCCGATGCACTTCTTGGGGATTTCTTCGGCCATATTGGATTGCAATGGATGGAGACTTGCAAGAGATTGATGACGAGATGCAGGAGATCAAAGAATTGCTGACAGGTTACTTACGAAATGCTGCCGGGATCGGAAGGGCCACTGCCTTATATACCTGCCGTGCTGCTGGGCGCCTTGTTTGGCTGGTTATCCACAAAAACTCATCTGCGGCGCGCGGGGTCTCGAGATGTTAGCGCGGGGTCGCCGCAGGCCCAGCTCCGCACGCCCTGTCCCTGCTTCGTCTCACGCGGCTGTTGTAGCCGGCAGCGTCTGCCCTCGAGATGACTTGGTGGAAAACGAACGCTCCGTGGCCGGAGGACGTCTGAGACTGACAGCCGATGCCAAAGTACAAAAAGACGAGAACATGCTGCTAGAGATACATCTTCGTCCCATCAAGGTCACGGCCGACCTGCCCGAATGGGGAAGGAGTGGTATGGAGATGGTTGGTGCTGTGCTGCGGGGTCACGTGGATTCCGCGAGCTCTCCACCTCAGCGAGCGTTCGCCGAGAAATGAAAGGACAAGGTGCGGAACGCGTCCACGCTCCACACTCCACGCGCATCTGCAAGCCGCTTGGCAGTGCCGTGGCAGAGGATCATCCGCGGTTATCAGACCTGCTCTGTCGCACTCACCAGACGCCAATACCGACAACATGACACGAGCGTGTCTGGAGGGGGCGTTGTTGCCAAGGGACCACTGACTCGGTGTAGAAGTCTGGGCAGGTGGACCGCCAGCGATCAGAGAGCTGACCATCCAGCCACACGGCCTGGAAGGATAATCGAGTTGTGGCCCGCCGTCTGCGCATGCCAGACAACCAGAGAGCAGCAGTACTCGGTACAGGTGCCGATGCGCCACTCTGTCTTAATGAGGCCGCACACCAGAGCATACAGCTTAGGATCATTCAAAAGTGGCCCTTCGGTGGTGTTAATCATCGAGTTGAACTCGCGGCCACTCCTGCTACATAACGAGGTCCAATCAAAGCCTCACCGTTTCCATCGTCACTACCTCGACAGCCTGGCCAACCCGCGGTTGCCACTGTCCTCAGAGGACAACACAGAGCCAGAATGTCTTTCGCTCCCCGTCTCCTTTCCTCCGTTTTTCTCTTTCTTATTACTCCTTTCCCACTGAACACTGATACGCCCAACGACACTTTCACCAATCAACTCTCATTGCAGGACCCCGCCGAGATAGACGCTCGCATCATCTCACTTCACCGAACGCCCACCCTCGTTGTATCTTCGCCGGCACCTTCATCACCACCATCTCTGCAGGGATCTGCCGAATAAGACACCCTCTATCTCACACCTTCTATCAAAAATGGCGTCTCGAATCCAGACTCGATGTCTAGTCCTCTCCGACACACACGGCGAAGCGTTACACCACCGCAAAGTTCAAGAAAGCATCGATGTTGTCTTCCACTGCGGAGACTTGACCGAAGAGTCAAAGCTCGATGAATTTGAAACGACGATCCGCCTACTCCAAGGAATCGACGCCCCCCTGAAGCTCGTCATTCCCGGCAATCATGACTGGTCGCTGGACGATGCAATGTTCGAAAAGAAAATCGCTGAGATGAAGCCCTCACAGGAGGATCTCAAGTTGGTCGAGAAGGTGTATGGTCGTGTAGGGGAAGCGAAGCAGCTTTTCGCAAATGCGCGGGAAACTGGAGTTCACCTTTTGAGTGAGGGCATCCACCGTTTTGAGCTTACCAACGGCGCAGTTCTAACAGTATATGCTAGCCCGTTTACGCAGTCTGTAAACGACTGGGGATTCCAATACCACCCTGACGACGACCATGTATGGGCAATCGACGATACAGTTGACGTGGCCATCACACACAGCCCTCCGAAAGGCGTACTCGACTACATCTCGTCTCGCGAGCGAGCCGGAAGTGCCAGTCTATTCGCCGCCATTGCCCTTGCGAGACCACAAATGCACTGCTTCGGGCACATTCACGACTCCTGGGGAGCAAAGATGGTCGCGTGGCGTGACGAACCTGGAGACACTATCTCGCATTTCACCGCCATCGACAATGAGCAGTCGACGACGATCGAGAGTCTGTCAACTCTCCGGCCAACCAAATCCGACAACGCACGAGACATTGAAGAGAAGGGGTCCAGGCGAGACAGTCATGACGAGAAAGGCTATTGCGCTGCCAATCGAACCGCAACACGTGGCAAAGAAACACTCTTCATCAACGCCGCGATCGAGGGTGCTGAGGATTTTCAGCAGCACTGGCCGTGGCTCGCCAATCTCTCGCTGCCTGCAGCGCTGGACCGGACGTTTTCAAAAGAAACGCGATCGCACGAGGCGCCTGAGCACTAAACAAGGATACTGGACTGCATAACTGTTTTGGAGAGCCCGCAAATGGGATCGATGATGCAGAGTTTCATAGTTTCATAGGTATCGTCAAAAATGCAATGCGTCTGGTATTGCGGCGCATCCACACGGGGTGTGCTTCACCTCTTCACCTTCCGCTTCTTGAAGACGACTGGGGGATCCGGCCCAACATCCTCACTCTTGACAGCTGCAGTCGGCGCATCTACGTCTGGTATAGCTGATAATGCCTGGTCGTCCGCATCCTCTGTCTTCACCTCGCCGTCTTCCTCCTTCTTGACCTCTTCCACGCCCGGCCTGACTTTCGCGATGCCGCCCAGTAGAGCATCAAGGTCTCCATCATCGCCCTGTGTAGCTGCGCCTGGATACGTCTTCAATCTGCTGCCCCAAGCCTTCTTCCTTGCCGCTTGCTCTGCCTCTTCCTCCTCTTCCGCCTTACGCTTGTGCACGCCTTTGTTCAGCGGTATCGCGATTTTGATGTCACTTTTGTCATCTTGCTCCTCCTTCACAATATCGGCTGGACTCCTGTCCGGGCTCTGGTCCTGCTCGATGACTCTCTCGGAAACGGTTTGCCAGCTTCCGACCCCCTTCACTTCACGCTCCAGCTCCTCTGGCAGTTTCACGCCCAAGGCAGCGAGCTGTTCTGCGTGTCGTTTTCTGTCCTGCGCCGTATATGTAGTTGAGGCATTCGTCTTGGAACCTCCAATATCCTTCACTCCCAAGATCTTCGGCGCGGGTGATGTTGTCGGTTTCGTGCCGCTTCCTCCAACCAATCCGTTTAGCCGAGCAACTTCTGCTTTGGCCCGTTGCTGTTCCCGCTCCTCGCGATCCTTGTTCTTCGAAAGATCCCGAATCGAGCGCTGGATGTTATTCTGATGCCGGAGGCTGGCTTCGTGGTTCTTGCGCTCGAGCGCCGTGTCGCGCACATATTGGCTGCAGAATTTGCACCAGTAGGATGGTGTGGACTTCCAGTATTCCGACATCTATGAGGATGGGTTATCGCATTTTGTGAGGTGTCGAGAGAGAGGGAAGAGCAACATACGGTAGAAGAGGCATCATCTTCACATGCCATGTCGGACAAGCGTTTGCTGTGCACGGACCAGCTTCTCATGTCGCGCGTCTTCCCGCGTCGACGCCTGAAAGTGCGTGCATGCAGATGAACACCTCCCACCTTCCAACCCCATCTTCCCTTCCCTCCATCCGGAACATCCAATTCCCCGTGTCCTCCTTCGCCTCGGTCATCGATCCCATCCCCTTCCCACATCCTCCCACCGCTGCTCATCTAAAGGCAATGAGGACTAGAGCAAGATGCGCTTCACTAAACCGCTCTGGCTGAGCCATGGCGGAGAGAAGAAGGAACATGAAGTCTACAGCTGCCACGTGTCTCCAGACGGCACGCGTCTGGCGAGTGCAGGAGGAGACGGACAAGTACGCATCTGGTCCACCGAAGCCATCCTTAACGCCTCCAACCCCTCCTACACCAAGCCGAAGCAGTTGGCCAACCTCAGCTACCATTCCGGCACCGTGCTGTCCGTCCGCTTCAGCTCGAATGGGAAGTACGTCGCGTCCGGTGCAGACGACAAGATTGTGTGTGTATACCGCTTGGAGGAGGGCGCACCGACGGGATATGCGTTTGGGAGCAAAGAGGAACGTCCGGTGGAGAATTGGAGGATCTTTCGTCGACTGATTGGGCACGACAACGATGTTCAAGACCTGGGCTGGAGCTACGACAGTTCGATCTTGGTTTCCGTCGGTCTGGACAGCAAAGTCGTCGTCTGGTCGGGAAGTACCTTTGAGAAGCTCAAAACTCTCTCCCAGCACCAGAGCCATGTCAAGGGCATCACGTTCGATCCTGCCAACAAGTACTTTGCCACCGCTTCGGATGACCGGAGTATCAAAATCTACCGCTTCACCTCTCCTCCTCCTAACGCCACGGCACACGATCAAACGTCGAATTTCGTCTTGGAAAAGACCGTCACCGAGCCCTTCACTACTTCCCCCCTCACCACATACTTTCGCCGGCCAAGCTGGAGTCCGGAAGGCGCACACATCGCCGCTGCAAATGCGGTTAACGGACCTGTCAGCTCGGTGGCGGTCATCAGACGAGGCGACTGGGACAGCAGCATCCACCTCATCGGCCACGAAGGACCTGTTGAAGTGGTCGCCTTTTCGCCTCGTCTATTCTGCCGCGAGCCGCCACCTCCGATGACTGACTCCAAAGACTACGTTGCGCCCACTACCGTCACCATCGTTGCTTGTGCAGGACAGGATAGAACCCTGAGCATCTGGAACACGAGCCTGGCGCGACCGTACGTGACTACGGCTGAGCTGGCCGCGAAGAGCATCTCCGATCTTGCGTGGAGTCCTGATGGGGAGGTCGTCTACATCACTGCACTAGATGGAACTATCGCCGCCGTTGTCTTTGAGCGCGGAGAGCTGGGCTACCCAGCGCTTGTGGCTGACAACGAGAAGGCTCTTTCCAAGTTTGGAGCCGGCAGGAGAGTAGGCCTTGCAGAGAATGCAGATGCATTGCGACTGGAAGAGGGCAGTAAGGCGGGAGAGCTGAAGGGCGTGGAAGGCAGAATGGGGGAGTTGATGGGAGACGGTGTTGCCGCTGCGGCGTCTGGTGTCGACGGCGGGGACACCCATATGCAAGATGCGCCAACTACCAATGGTCTCACGAACGGCATCGCTGCCACATCCAAAGAAGCAACACCCGCGCCTGCTCCCAAAGACCCTCAGACCGAGAAGGCAGACAAGCTGAAGCAGCGCGTTACCATCACGAAGGAGGGAAAGAAGCGCATCGCTCCACTGCTGGTTTCGTCCTCAAACCAAGGGGAGATGAATCTGCCTCGGCCGCAACTGCAGGCTGCTCTTCGACAAAATGCCGTCAGCGATGAGCCTGCAAAAATTCTGGACCTGAGCAAGCCATACGACGGTCTACCCAAAGGAGGCCTGGCGAGTCTGCTGATCGGAAACAAACGAAAATACGCAGAAGTGGAAGGTGACGATGAGACGAAGAAAAACGAGAAACGGGTCCAAGCCGTGCAGCAACAAAGTGGTGCTACACCAGTCGTGCAGAACACCGGAGATGGACTTGTGCCGGCTTCTGGCCCCAAGACCGCGCCTGGAGAGCCCGAAAAGGTACCTGAGGTGCTCCGCCCGGCCGTGGTCAATCCCAGCCTTTCCGTCAGCCAGATCAGGCTGGCGGTGCCAATGGTCCGCAGTGTGATTGTCCGGCCACTGGACCCAACCAAGGCCACCGCCGAAAACGGAGAGCAGTCGATGCAGATTGACGGCGTCCAGCCGCAGTCGGATGCAGAAGGCTCGATTGTCTTCGAAGCGAGGAATGCCTCCGGACCTTCTAGGACAGGCCGGGCACAGGACCGCGAACCTACCCGCATAACGCTGTCAAGGAGAAACCAGGTTCTCTGGCAGGATTTCGTGCCCAAAGCTGCGCTCCTGGTGACCGGCAACCGCAACTTCTGGGCTGTTGGGTGCGAAGACGGATCGCTTCACATTTGGACAGCGGCGGGCAGAAGACTTCTGAATGCCTCAATCCTCGAAGCACAACCAGTCATACTTGATTGTAGGGGCTGGTGGTTGCTCGCCCTCACTGCTGTCGGTCAATGCTATGTCTGGAACATCAGGAGCATGTCCTCGCCTCACCCGCCTGTGAGCCTAGCGCCTGTGTTGGATGCGGCGTCGACGATGCATGGACAGCATTTGACGTCTGCTCCCAGTCTCATGTTTGCACGGTTGAACAGCCTCGGTAGAGTGGTGGTTGGGATGAGCAACGGCGATGGTTTCGTCTACAACAGGGACATGTTCGTCTGGCAACGATTGAGCGAGAGCTGGTGGGCGGTGGGAAGCCAGTACTGGAACACCATGGACACGTCTTCGTTGGCAGCATCAAGCATCAACCGGAATGGTGGCGCGAAGAATGACGGCGACGACGCTTTCCTCGACGAAATCAACCCCGAAAACGTCTCAGCAGGCATCATCCCACTGCTGGAGCGCAACACCACTGCGCAGAGCTTGCTTAAGGGGCGCGCCTACTTCTTGCAAAGGCTTGTCAAGCAGCTCCTCAGTGCGGAGGGCTTCGAGGGCTTCGAAACGAGCGTAAGCATCGCGCACTTGGAGAACCGCCTGGCTGCTGCTTTCACGCTCGGCGCCAAGGACGAGTTCAGAGTGTATCTGGTCATGTACGCCAAACGTATCGGTGCGGAGGGCTTGAGAGGCAAGGTAGAGGAGTTGCTCAAGAGTCTGATGGGCAGGATCTTTGAGGACGAGGACGAAGTCGCCGGCAGTGAGAGTGCGGGTGCGCAGTGGGGCGAGTCGGATGAGATCGTCGGATGGAAACGAGAGGATTTGTTGAGAGAAGCGGTGATGGTGCTTGGGAAGCATCGCGACTTGCAGAGGATTACGGTGCCTTATGCGAGGTTCCTGGGCGTCTTGAACGGGTCCGACGGGGAGCACGTGAGTGCGGGGATGATTGCAAAGGATTGAAGAGTTCTGCAGCCGCGTTATTTCTTTCGTTGAGCCAGCGTGGCGTTGGACAGGATCATTGCATTTGCCTGTGAGGATGTATTCTTCATGGGAATGCTGGGTACGTCGACTTTTTCAGTAAAGGCGCCTGAGGCGACTAAATACCAAGAATACCAGTGACTATATCAGTAGCACACATCCTCCACTCTCATGTAATTAAGTCTTGAACCTTCCCGAATGTCGTGCCCAGAACCCATAAAAATATTCCCCAGTCCGATTATTAATGTGCACGGTGTGTGCCCCAATCCAACCACGACTAATCTGCCGTGGAAGGACTGCGTGATAGTCCGCATTTGCTTCGAGCCCAACTCACCCGTCCAGGACCATGGAAGGCCCGTCATCCATCTCCTCCTCCCCCTCCCCCGTAGCATCGTACTTCGGCCCATCCACACACCACAAGATGAAGGGGCCGGAATACATCTCGTCATCCGTGTCGGCGACACTCCACCAGCGGCCCAGCATGATCTGACCCCCAGGCAGCACAACGCCTTCGTAAGCCCAGAGCGCCTCGGTGTCGATGGACCCCGTGTCCTCGTCGGCGAAGTACTTCATCATCGTCACGCGTTGCCAGCCGGGAATACCCTGTTGCGGAGGCAGCGGGTTCAGCCAGCCGGTAGCGAGGAACGACTCCGACGTGTCGATGCCTTCGCCATTGAAGCGGAAGCTGACGGCTTTGGTCGGGCTGGCGGGATCTTCGGACGATGATGCGGTGGAGCGCCTCTGGGCGCGGGTTTTGGCGTGGTTGGTGGGCTGTTTGAGCGATTGCAGGTGGCGTTCGAAGAGAGGGGGCCAGGGGAATGGCTGGTCGTCTTCCACTTCGTCCAGTCGCATGTCTTGGAAGGCGAAGGCGTCATCTTCTCCCGCGAAGCAGTCCTGGATCTGGTCGTCGCTTCCACCCTGACGGAGGGCCTTGACTTCTTTGAGGGAGAGATAGGCATAGCTTCCCTTCCAGTGACGTCCTAGTGGCTGTCGTTTCTGGGTCAGTTGCGTGCTCCACCAGCGCGGACGCTCGTCGTCGTCCAGCTGGGAGAAGGATTGGAAGAGGGTGGCTTCTGCCTCGCGAATCATGTGGTATTTCCAGAAGTTGACGTTGTGGAGGAGTAGATCCATATTGATGGTGCGGTCGTCGATGCCGGCAATGAGAGGGTATTTAAAGCCGCACGAGTAGACTGCGGACTGGGAGTCTGGGAAGCCGAAGTGGTGGTTCATGATGTGTGGCTCAAGGCTCAGGAGCATCGGGGCGCAAAGGATCTGAAGGGTATGCAGGAGGGGTTTGATGGACATTTGAGGACGGGTGCTCCGAAAGGGCTGGAAGACGCTTTGCAGAAAGTTGTTGGCGACGATGAACTTCAGGATGGTCTGGAGATTGAGGGACTCGTAGACCTGATCCTCTGCGCTGGGTTTGCTGGAGAACGACTCTGGACATGTCATCAGCAGGATTTCTTCATCATGTGCCAGAAGCTGCCACACACCGACGATGAGGTCTCGCAAGACTTCGAGACATTTATACTCCTCCAGCGTGCGACCTTGTTTGAAGAATGCACCGTGCTTCAGCACATTCTGCCTTTTCTGGTAGCTAGACTTGTACTGAGCATTCGAGCCTGACCAGCTTGGCTTTTCGAAGCGAGTGAGGAAGCGTCGGCGCCAGAAGGAGCAGTTGTCTGCGTCGATCGCATTGAGGGTGGATTGGCAGATGAGTCGGTAGCTGCAGAGGTCCTGGTCGTATTCGAGAAAGGAGGCAATGTGTTGATTCGTCTGTACAACAAGGTTAGCGTCGTGAGATGCAAAGCCGTGTTTTACGTTGCATCCATTACCTCGATGGGGAGCTGAGCGAACGGGTCTGAATTGAGACCGGCCATCGTTGCTCCCGGGAATTGCACTTTCTGCAGATAGTTTTATGTGTCGAAGGAATGATCCAAGGGAAGGTTTGTAGATGTTCCAGTGAGAGAAGTGAATCTTGAGGCTGGGGGACAATAGGGAGAATCACAATAGGTGTCTCATGTGAGATGCTAGATTGTCGGGACAATAGCAACTCCGAGCGGAGCCAAGAATACCATGGAGATTGTGACGGATTAGGATGAGATTGGAATGAAGAAGAAAGTGTTCCGGTCCTTGTCAGCCCATCAAGATGGTTGTGTGGTGGTGAAGAAGAGAGAAGCTTCCTACCTTTTGAAGTAGGTGACTGGCATGTGAGAATGAGAACTGCACACGCAAATGCAAATGCACACGTTGTCCGAGGTGAAGTTGGTGAATACAAGACTATGCTGCAGCGCTCTGATACACAGTCTATCAGCGTGACTGCCTACGATGTGTTTGGCTGCGAAGCGCATCTTGCGATATCTCGCCCGGCAGGTGAACTCGTGAGTTGCTGCGGCGGCGGTGGCGGTGCTGCCCGAACTATTCAGTGCCTTCATAGCAGCGTCGTAGACTCCATTCATACAGATCGTCGCAGTATCGTAGCCAGAGAAAGGTGGTGGCAGCGTGGAAGTTGTAGCAAGGCAAACGATGGAGGTGAAGTGAAGTGAACTTGAGAACACCTCAGGCGGCAAGTCCCAAAGCGGCAGTCCGTGCCGCTCGCCACGAGGTTGCTTTAAAAGGTTTTGGGACATTCGCCGACGCGGCTCTTGTCAACACGCCGCCCAACACGGCGCGAAAGAGTGGCGGTAGAAAAGCCAGTAGGTCTGCGTTTCGGCCCAGTCCATTTCTCCTGTCTTTCACCTCTCCACCCTCGCCGTCAATATGCCTCATCTTGAGAATGTCAACTTCTCCGCGCCACCCGAAGAACATGACTTTGCCGCACTGGTATGTCGTTCGCACAATTCTCCCTTTCCCTTTGAACCGTCCGTTGACTTTAATCGAAGCTCTTCGACCTGGACGGCACAATCATCGACTCTACCGATGCCATTGTGAAGTTCTGGCACCAGCTGGGGAAGGAGATTGGCGTAGATCCAAACTGTGAGTCGCCGAGCCCTCTTCACGATGCCGCCAATACATTCACTAAGCGCAGCGGTACAGACATCTTGCAAACATCACATGGCAGGCGCACTATCGAGGTGCTTGGGATCCACGCCCCGCAGCTGGCAAACTGGGATTGTGCGCAACCCCCCAACCTTTGAGCACCACGTACGGACCGACGAGCTAACCGTGACCGCACTAGATGTTTGTCATGCGGAGGGACAGATTCCCATCCAATACGGCCACGATGCTGTGGAAGTACCCGGCGCCAGGGCTCTCCTCGACAGACTGAACCAAGCTACCATCCCTTGGGCCATTGTAACCTCTGGAACCACACCGCTATTCTCCGGCTGGCTGAAGGTCCTTCAACTTGCTCGGCCAAAGACCCTCGTGAGCGCGGAGCATGTCGAAAAGGGCAAACCAGATCCCGCTTGCTACAAGCTTGGCGCGAAGCAGCTGGGTTTGGCAGATGTCGACCCCAGCCAGATTCTTGTTCTCGAGGACGCGCCTGCGGGAGTGAGGGCGGGCAAAGCGGCTGGGTATCGGGTTGTAGCGCTCGCGACTACTCATCGAATTGACCAATTATGGGAGGCTGGCGCGGACTGGGTTGTGCGGGATATGCGCAGTGTCACTGTTGCAAGCTGGGATGCGAAGGCTCAACGAGCCAGGATAGAATTCCGAGATGCGTTGTTGAAGTGAGCCAGGGATGTATATTAGAGTATGTCCCTCTTAGACTAGAGCAGAGTATAGATAGATTCCCACCTTGTTGGCCCCTATCGAAGCTCCCTGACTATCCCTCTCTTGCTATCCGAGCAGCCGTCTTTCGTTGCCACGCTTCATACAAGGCCGCTTTGATCGTCGCCTCTCCTTCCTCGAAATTCGCATGACATACCTTCACCAGCGTGTCAACTTGCTCCGGAGTCCAGACGAGATTGTAACTCCCTGAGAACTTTGCAGTGGACGGGTCAAAGTCGGCAACGGCTCGCTCGTTGGGCAACAAGGGCATATAGATCATCGTGCAACCGTGGGGATAGACTTCTGCGGGAGGCGTCGGGACAGTTCGGCCGTATGAATCGGTCACGGTCGCCGGCCTCTCCGATGTAGTGCCGTCGAAGACTTGTGCGTACATTCCTTTGAATCTGTCGGGATCCTTGGGATCACCTCCAGGCTTGGCATCTTTGTGTCTCCTCTGGAATTGCAGGCCACGGCGGCCTCCTATCTGATTCACACGCTCTGGGAAGGTATCCTTTTGAACGTCGCTTGAGGCGTCCATGTTGATGATGACGTCTGCGCCTCGCTTCGGATGCAGGAGGACGTAGGTTGGGCAGTTGTTATCCATGCCACTATCAATAAGGTGGATCCTCGGCGAGTTCTCGATCCCGGGAGGTCTTCTTGAGCCGGCGTCGACATGCGTATACTGGTACATGAAGTTATGTTCATTACACGCATGCAGCGGGTGATGGTTCTCAAACTCTTCTGTTCCCTGCTTACCCCAGATCTTGGTGACTGCATGGGCCATGGAATGAATCCAGTTGCCCAAGAAATTTGAAGGTAGGTTCCGACTGATTGTGGCGAGGTAGGAAGTGAGCGGGCCAGCAGGAGCACTTGTGCACAGGCCAAGGAGCAAAGCCAGAGATTGTTCCGGGAGCTGCGTGACTGATTTGCCCTCTTTGTAAGGTCGACCGAAGCCCCATGTCGGGACCCAGGCTTGGATTTCGTCGCAGCCGATCTCGTACGGCGTCATCTCGAACCACTGGAACCAGGCCACAGCCGCTCGAGCGTGATCGCCCTTTTCGTGATCGGCCTGGCGAAAAGGAGCCTCTTTATCATGCCAGTCTCTCCAGGGTCGCTCATGTCGGATCGCGGTCATAATGGGCAAAGGGTGAGCGCCGGTGTCGGTGTGCTCACGGGCACTGGAGTACCTCTGCCAGGAACGCTGATAGTCTGCCACTTCCTTCTTCGTAGATCCACCGGGGTCGTCCGCTGGATCGTGTTGAAAGAAGATCCAGCCTGTTGTGAAGACGGCGTAGAGGTCCATTGCCACTGTCTGCAAGCCATTTTTGCTCTTTCGTATGAGGGGTCCAAGAGTAACGTGAGCACCACCGGGCGAGCTCAGCAATGTCCTGACAGCATCTCCGGACAAAGGATGCCAGGGCGAAAGGCGGGTCTTGCAGTGCTCAATGACACTTGCGAAGTTCGCTTTGCCGAACGTGTAGGCAGCCGCCAAAGACCAACACGAGCCGGAGACCCCCGCGACATACGTGAGGCAGTCCCATAGACCCATTCGTTGCATGTGGTCGCAGTATGCGAGACATGCTATCATGGCCCGAAAGCCGCCGCCACTGCCTCCAAAAGAGAGCGTGGGAACATCATCAGGATGGACAGATGCTGGATCTACTCCAATATATCTGGCGAAGCTGTCTCGAGTGCGTGCGGTCCCTGTGCTGTTGATCAGGCTAGAGATGGCATCCGCGTGGAAGAGTAGCTACTTACGCTTCTCTAGAAAGGATTTTTCTTCGGAGCACAGATCCAGGCCACGTCGAACTTCCGACACTTTGTCGACCTCGGGGTACAAGGTTGAATCCTGGAGTTCACTTTTGACCTTTGATTTCAGGGCGGTCATGCCTCCAATGATCTTGATGTCTTGGGCTGCTTCCGGGAAAGAGGACTTGAACTGATTCTTGAACCGCCTTGTCAAGCCAGGCTTAGAATTTCCTTGCTCAGACGAGTCCAGTCCGTTGACATGGTCTTTGACGGGCACGGTGGGCTTATCACCCTGCCGCGGCATCTCTGCTCGACGTGGGTCGCTGCCAGCACATTAGTCAATCGCAATCGATGTCGCTGCATACTACGGGGAGGGCGAAGTACGAACGCTGCAGCCGACATAATGTCTCGGGCAAGGCTGTGGCCTGGGACGGTCTTGATATTTCCTCAACATCCACGTCCTCCGCCTGCACCTTCGAGACTGCAACAACTCTGTCGTACTCCCTCAGCAAGATAACAGCATGTCTGCATTGCATCCAACATCGCTTGATGGCCCATGTTGCAAGCATGAGGTTCAGCCTGGCGGCCTTGCCATCAGCCAATGAGAAACGCTGACGAGACACGCGTTATGAGCTGCGGCTCTGACGGCCTCAACCCAAGAACTTTGACATCGGCAATCATCGAATGACACAAAGAGGATGGTGGCTTGCCGTGCATTACCGAGACCTTTGACATCAAGGGTTGATTGGAGTAATCATAGAGCAGATGAAATACCAAGCTTCGCTACCTTGCCGGTGAGCCTTTAGGACACGGGACGACATAGTCAGGATGAACGGGAGCAGATTGGAGCCCGAAGGTTCATTGCGACGTTGAGCCAGTGACGTGCGGCGTGTAGGGTACAGTACGTACAGGGGTGCAGTGTTGTGAGATGTGCCGTTTCAGGTGCGAGCGCGTGGTGTGTTGTCAAATCAAGACACCCGTCCAGCGAAAGCGTGCAGGGGGAGATGAAGGGACGCCCCTTTCTGGCCGGGCTATTCCTGGAGTCGCACAGGTTACACAAGAACGCCGCTCATCTCAGCACCCTTTCTTGAAGAGCCGGAGGGCAAGCGAAGAGACAAGAGAAATGTTGGCGGGTGAAAGCTGGTTGGCGCACCGTTTGATTAACGCGGGCGCGGAACGGTCGGAAGCAACGCGCCGTTGGTGAAATTATTGGGGGGATTTGCAGGTCAGGGCGGGGGAGGAGAGGTGGAGTGCGAGGAAGGGCGGAGTCGAGGAACAGGCATAGCGCGCGACGCGTTCGGCAACCTGGCGACTTGCAACGGGGGAGTGAATTGACTGGATCTGACCGATGGGCTTCTACAGCTGGCCGCCGGGGCCTCTCGGCGGAACCAGCTCCAAGCGAAAACCTCCTTTTTGGAGAAGTGATGAGCGAGGCGTCGAATCTGGGGCTTGGGGGGCGCACGGGTTAGCGTCGCGCTTGCTGTCAACGAATCAACCCGACACCCACTCCCATCGTCAGGACGGGCTTTCGACCATCACGCTCACGTCGAGAACGGGCAGAGTGGGAGTCCCTCTCCACCCATATGTATGAGGCATTTCGGTGTCCCTTGTGATGCACATCAGCTCGGCAAGCGGCATTTTATTTTTAGACGCCACTCGCTCGACACGACTCGGGTGGGGGAAAGCGCGCTACGGCTGTCCAATGACGATGCCGTGCGAAGCGGGCTGAAGCGGGCTGAAGCGGGCGCGGCACGAGGAAGCGTGGGCCGGTGCGGGCATACCTGAGCACTTACGGCGTTGTTTCGATCCCGCGGCGTCAGACTTGGCACTCGTGTGCTGCATCCTGTGGTGCACGCAGTACGTACCTTGCGCTGCGCTGCCGTGCTCTCCTCTCGCTCTCTCACCCACCCATCCCGCCCGCATCCTGCTCCTTCCCATCTGGCCTGGCGTCGCCTGATCCCCGTCCGTCGCTGCTGCCCTTTCCCTCTCCCTCTCTTCTCCCACCACCACCCACGCCCTCTCGCTTTCTCTCTCCCCCCTCGCAGGCCCTCCAGCACCGTCGGTGATCTGGTTCTTTCGTTTATGCCGCGCTCTGTATAATTCACAGTCACTCGCTGATCCCCTCTCCCATTTTTTTCCGCGATTCCCGTCCACGTTGTGCCTGCTCCACGCCACGAGCGAGCCGACTTCACTCTTCAGCACTGCAGGAACCCGCGCATTCCCTACCGCCCTCCTATCCCTCCACTCTCGCTGCCACTGAGGACTCGAAGCTCGACCCATCGTCTGACATCTCCACACCCTACTCGAGCATCAATTTGGAAAGCGGGCGTGGCGCCAGGCCCGGATGGAGTTCATCGACTTCTCCGCCGGTCGTGCTGGCGCTCATGACACGGCCGACGACGGTCATCCCGACACCACCGCCCACCCTGTCCACCACTTTGCCCACATGGCCGCCCCATATTCTACCGATCCCGCCAACCCCGCCTACCTCAATCCCACCTTCTCCTCCACCATCTCGTGCGACATCAAACCGCGCCTGACCAAAGAGCAACATGATATCCTCGAGGCGCATTTCCAAAAACAGCACAAGCCCAACACTGTCACCAAGAAAGGCTTCGCCGCCACCCTCGGCGTGACGCTGGACAAGGTCAACGTAAGTGACGCTCCCCCCGTCTGAACGCCACTCTAGCCCCGCTGACCCTAGCCCGTAGAATTGGTTTCAAAACCGCCGCGCGAAGCTGAAACAGGATGCGAAAAAGCAACAAGGCGCGCTCAACCTCTACAACGGCCAGAACCAGTCTTCCTCCGACAGCGAGACGTCGCCAACCTACGTGGACACGGCGTCGCAATACCATGCCATGATGCAGCAGTGGTCAGCGGAGCTTTCGCCAGCCAACGCCTTGGGCATCTCCCATCCTCCGAACGCCTCCGCCATCGTGCCTCCCCACACTGCTCCGTTCCTCAACGGCTCTGCTACGGACGCGACAATGAACGCCTACATTCCCAACGCGCACTTTGCTCCAGCCGTGTTTAGTGGCAGCCAGGAAGAGTTCAACCGGCGCACCCTCACCCAGGAGCAGTTCGATGCCATGGAGCGAAGTGGTGGCATGGTGGACAGTTTGGGCAACTGGCAAGAGTTTGAGATGAATTTCGGGGGAGATCAGGGCGCGATGAACGCCATGTTCCCCAGCAACGACTTCAAGTCAGCAGGCCAAGGCGTCTATGGCTACCCCATCGGTGCTCCCATGACCAGCTACGACTCCACCGTCCCCTCCAACCTTTCGGCCGAGTCATTGCCGCATTTCCCCTCCTCGACCGCCATGCAAACCCGACCGAACATGTCTGCGAACAGTTCCGACTGGTCCGGTAGCAGAAGCTCTTCCATCCAGGAGGCTGCCATCAATCAAATGCAACTGCAGCATGCGCCCGCGGCGATGGTCACCTCGCAATGGCAGCCTGGTCAATCGATTCCCGTGGATTCCACGCAGCAAGCCGAAGAGTTCCGACAGATCCGCACTCAAGCACAGGCCCGTGTGTCGCCGCAACAGCCCATGCATGAGCCGCTCTCTGCGTGGTCTGACGACACTTTCGTCCGCCGGGGCTCCTCGGCGTCTTTACTCGCACAATCCATGAGTACTGTCGGCCTACAGACCCCACCACAACCCCAGAATCCCACGTTCAAGTCTCCTGCGCCGCCCGCAAACATCGCCGCCCGCCGCCAGAGGGCCCCAAGACCGGCTGCGCTGGGCGCCGCAGCTCTGCGCAGCCAGTCTCATAGTGGTGCGGTGCAGTCCGCGACACTGAGCCATGCGCAACCTCCGCAAGTCAACTCTGCCGCGGCCGCCGGTCTGCGCCGCATCAAGTCCTCCACCTTTATGGGTGCTGTCGCCCCCGGCCGGGTCATGAAGTCCACCCCGGGTTCCGCGCAGCGTTCGCCCATGCATCAGAATTTTGCAGATGCCATGAACTCGCCGCATCTCCTGCGCCACGTTTCTAGCCAGTCTCACGGCAGCTTGGCGCCCCCGACGCCGCTGTCGCCGAAGGACACCTCATCAGTGGAAGCTCCGGGCCAGTTCCTTCAGTGGCAGTCGAACGTGAGTCGGCAAGCCAGTATTGCTGAAACCGATGCCGAGCATGCGCACAGCTATCGCTCTGCATCTACCGTACCCGCGCAGGACGTATCGTCTCCACCTCACACCCCGATGTACCAGCGCTCCAATGCACAGTCACGGTTCAACGGCAGCATCGGTTTGGAGAATACTCCGCCACAGTCCGCGCCTGCGGGCCAAACGTGCTTCTCATCGAACATGTTCTCCGTGCCACAAGCTTCGCAACAGCAGATGCACCCGCCAGCACCTTTCCAACAATTTGCGCATGCCGGTCCGCTGTCTCAGCCATTCGCCGACGCTGCCATGCCGGATCAGCAGTTCCAAATGTCCAGCGTCGCGTTTGTACCTACGCAGCACGGCAACGTCCCTACATCTGCACCAGGATTGCCGATGGATTTCGCCAACGGTGTACCCATGGTTAATGCTGCGGGCGACGTCACGTTGTATTTCCCCAATCAGTTCCAATATGCTCCGGAACAGCAAGCCTATGGCCCGACTCCGCCTCAATCCATGCACACCCCGCCACAGATCGCATATCCGTTCGCAGCTTCTGTATCAGACTCGCCGAGCAGTCAAGGCTCCGCACCGAAGGCAGCGTCGGCCGATTTCTTTGTCCACCAGTACTCTCCACCAGATTCGGTGAAGCGAGGCTCCACTCCACGGCGAGGCCCAACCGACACCGTGCCGAAGAACTATGCGTTCGCCCACACCGGGCCCGAACACTACGAGGAGAAGAAGGCCGACGACAGGAAGAGGGTCAAGTCTGACGCAAAAGACTCGCTCCATTCCACCAGTCCCGCGAGCAGCAGCGGCGCCGCTGTCACCTTGTGAGGATCATGTGTCCGTTACCGCCTGATCGAATCCCTCTATTCTACCCAACACCTTGGCCCTGCCATATTGGCTGGGACGACACAAAACCATCGTCATCATTTCGATGATTGACGCTTTCATGACACGCCACACGACCGATCGACGCCCCTTTTCATGTCTGCTACTTTTATTGTTGTTTTTCTTGGATGGAGACCCTTGTGCGAGCCAAAAGTGAGCGGACAATCTAGCCAGTCTTGGCGATTATCACGCGCGGAGCGTTCCGGAGACGAGGCGAGTGCGGTACTTATGTCCATGGAGGTGTTTGGCATATGACGGAGTCTTGCGAGACTATTGGCTTCTTCACCTGAGGAGTGGACGAACATCGTTAATGATCATGACATTGGATTCTTGGTTGTGGGGCTCTGGGTGTATTTAGGCATAGAGCCCTCTGTAGCTTTACGTTGCACTCTCTGAATACGATTGGCAAATGCTACTATACACAACCTTCTTCTCTCTCATTTCGCGCATCGATGATTACCGTGGTCGCAGTGATGACACCCTGAAGCATGATCAGAGGGCAAGGGCTGGGAACGACCGAGAAGTGACCCATTCAAGGCCATTCCGGATCCTCCAACCGTCGAAAGACAGCGACAAACTTGCTCCCACCATTCCTCTCCACCTTCTTCCCCTCCTCCGTCTCCCTCCTCATCACCTCCACACACTCATCCCCCTCCACCTCCGCCTCGCCCACCCGCTCAAAACTCGCGTGCGCCTCCAAGTGCTCCACCATCCACGCGTGCAGGTCCGCCACGTCGGTAATGGTGTACACCTTCCCACCCGGACGCAGCACAAAGGCGTATTCGGAGACGAGGCCGGCGCTGACGATGCGCGCCTTGTGCTTGCGCGCCTTGAAGTGCGGGTCGGGGAAGCAGAGGAAGATGGCGGCCAGCTGGGCGCGGCGGAAGAAGTTGGGCAGGAACTTCATCGTGTTGGCGCGCAGGCAGGAGATGTTGGTGTATGTCGGTGCTGCTGCTGGGGCTGTGCTGGGAGGGGCTACTTGTTCGTCTCCTGGGGTGGTCGATGAGGTTGAGGAGGATTGCTGCCCGCGCAAGGCTTTGATCTTCTCCTGCACGTACTCGGTGACTGCCGTGCGGATCTCGAGGCCGAGGATGAGGGTGTTTGGAAATCTCGGGGACAGCGCGAAAAGGAGACCGCCGTAGCCGCAGCCGATGTCTGCTATTTCGACTTGTTGGGTCATGCGAGATTGAGTGGACTGTCCATTTTGCGCGGTGTCTGACTCGGTCGTATCGTTGCCCTTGGAAGTGTTGGCAAACGCTGGATAGTGCAGAGACCAGTCCATGGCCTCTGGTGATTCCGGACTTGATGTGAAATCAGTATTGCCACTTTCCTTACAGTTGTGCGTTGAATGGAAAAGACATACTATGTCAAGTCATGATCGGAGAAGGGATTGGCATGGGCTCGCTGGCGATAGTATTTCTTCTGTGGCAACTCGCCGTCGGGCTTCTCCTCTCGTCTCTGCTTCTTTTTCGGTGGTCCTGCCATTCTTGTGCACCGGTGTGATTGGGCTGGCTGCAATTCTAGTCGATCGCGAAGATTGTGTGCAGTCGGCCAGATGTCGGGTGAAGTTGACTGGTTGGATTTGACTTTCTAGTGAGAAGCGCCACGGACCACCAGCCACGGAACGGCCTCATCGACACATGCGAAGACCAGACTTGTGCAAATTGGCTATTCTATAGATCATACCTACTTATTGGCTTTTGATTGAAGCACTGCTAGCTCCATCCCATTGCATCTTCGCTCGCACGTATGACATTCCCCACTTCGGGATGATGGCCTGAGCGAGCCGGCCGTATGCTCTATACCATCAGCGCTAGCCAGGCGAAGCCAACGGCATCCTGCTCATTGCAAATACACCCATCTCCACGGCTCTGATCCCTCACGCCAATTCTCCAATCTTGGTCAGGCCCTTCAAGCTGCCCAGACTCAAGGCCAGGCCCTGCGATCGACTTCGTATTCTCATGAATCCCGTGACAAGCCCGTTCTCCCCTTCCTTTTCCACGCTCAAATTCGCCAATGCATCCTCGCCTGTGCAATGTTAGTCTTCACTCTCGCTTTAACCCAGGCATGTATGGGGCAAGGAATCTTACCGAAAACACTCCGAGCATACAAGTTTGCGCTCAAAAACTGGCATTCGCCCTCCAAGCTCGCCTCGGGCGTGAGGCAGGACATGTTCGTTACCTTCATCAAGCTCTGCAAGAACTCCCGTAATCCCTTGCCTTCCGGCATCTTGGTGTTGATATTTACCTTGTTCTCCCATTCAAACTCCGTCCACATGGTGCGGAACTGCGTCTCCGAACAATGGGCGGGCTGGATGTAGTCCATGATATCGACGTGCACATCATTGAGAATGACGACGTTGGACTCGGTGCTCGACGCACCATCGTACACCACGTTGCCGAAGATGACCCCAGTGTCTGTACTGCTGACCTTGATTGTCGCTTGCACATTCAGGAAATCCAGACCACCCAGGTTTTGTGTGGTCGGCCGCTCGACGACCTTTAGATCGCCGAGCGTGGCAAATTCGACGGACAGGTTTTGCAGTGTGTCGCGCGTTTGATTCACCAGTAGCACGTCGAGGATGATGTCGAACTGGTGCACTTGGACGTAAGCCTCCGCATACACGGGGTCTGAGAAGCCGGTCAGCTGGACGACGCGGTTGAGCTTGCTCGAGAGGTCCTCCGTCGTCGCATCGCCGCCGGTAGCTTTCTCAAGGTCCATTTCCATGTCTCCTTCGCCGTCCGTGGCATTCTTCTTCGTGAGCTGGCGAATGGAGAACATATCGTCGACCTGGATTGCGCTCTTGGCCTTCAGCATGGCGTCCTTTTCGGCTCGCTTCTTCTCCTCGACATGCATCATGTCTCGGAAGGCCTGTCGAGTATCATCCAAGAAGGCCGTTTCGAGGTCTTTCTTCTGCGAAAACTCGGCAAGCGACCGGACACACGCCATGATCCGATCTACCGAGTCTTCGTCGATCGGCTGCTTGACAAACTGGCTCTGTCCGGCGCGAATGATGGAGATCATAATCAACATGGCCTCAGCGCGGAGTGCATTTGTCCGGGCGGAGTCATTGGATATCTCGGCGTGTCGCATTACCAGCTTCGTCAGCGTCGACGACAGCACGGTTGCGAGATAGAAGTCGCCGTCCAGGATCAGTTGCCGAAGAGGCGGCTTCTGTGCTGCTTTGACGGCGTCCAGCTTCGCCTTGGCCGACGCCTGGCTGGTGAGAGCGCTCTCTGTGGCATAAGTACCGTCTGCAAGTACACGCTTGGGAGCCGCATGCGTCGATGGAGTTCGCGCGTGCCCGTTGACTTGTTCGTTCAGCGGGAGTTCGCCATCCGGCTGCTCCTCGAGTAATCTCGCCTCCGAGGCTACTATAGGGATCTCGCCGAGGGATGCCCGGATGCGCTTCCATGCTCCCTGAATGTCCTTTTCCTCTAGCGAGTATTCTCCCACGATCCACAGGCTACCTCTGTACACCTTGCCTGCTCGCACTTCGCTCAAAGTGCCGACAAGCCTTTCGATGATGGATCCGCGCATTTTCGGGAAGCGCTCGACGACCTCTTTGACGAAGGTGATCACGTCCACGGCGGAGGCGTTGTTAAAGTCCGCGATGAAATCCATGAGCAGCCCAACGACACTCTGCGCGATTTCGGAGAATTTGATCGCGCATTGATGGATGGAGTGGATGAGTAAGGAGCGGTATTCGTTGTTCTTCTCGTACTGCTCGTCCACGGTCTTTGCAAGCTCTTTCTTGAGTAGCATCACGACTTCCTCGACGTTCTTGCTGCTCACCATGTCCATTGCGAGTTCAAGAGACTTCCTTCGCACGTCGAGATCCGGGCTCGAAAGTACTCGCAGAATCTCCATGGTCAAATCGTCCAGGATGCCGTAGTTGGCTTTTCGTAGTTGGTTGACCTTCTCCAGAACGATGAGCTTGACGTTATTGTCGGACTCCTTGATGGCGAGTTCGATGAATTTGCCAGCGGCTGCTTTGACGGCGACGGGGTTGTTTGTTAAGCTTGTCAGGGATGATGCGGCTTCGTAGACCACGGTGGACTCTTTCGCCTCCAACAGGTCGAAGATCAAACGCAGATAGCGTGCCTTGTTCTGCTGATTCTGCACAGCATCCTTGCGGATGAACTCCAATTCCACGAGCTGTAGCAATTCGCTCGCATTCGGTATACCCTCGAACACGCCACTTAGGAACTCCAACGCCTTCTCATGACTGATGCTCAGCAATGCGGCGAATGCATTTCGTTTGCAAGTGTTGTCAGACTCGGACTCTAGGAAGTTCTGAATAAGCTCGGGGCCGTCGGGGACGAGGGATTCGGAGAGTTGGTAGATGGAGGCAATGGCGAAGACCGCATTCTTCCGTACGTAAGAATGTCGGTGCTCGAGGCAAGCGCGGGTCGGGGCGAGGAGATGCTCGATGAGTTCGGGCTCACGTAGTTTGCATATGAATCGAAGGGTGTTTCCGCGAATGTATTCGTTGGCGTGTTGGAGATCCATGCGAATTCCATTACTGCGAGGAACGGTCAGTTTCAAGCTGGCTCAGGCATGTGTGGACCGCATATGACCTACCACACTAGGATCATTTCTTGCTTCATCTTGCCATTGGAGTCGAGCTTGGGGCAGATTTCGTAGTAGAGGTATAGCAACTTCTTCAGCGGCTTGCTCTTACTCGGCATGATGAAGCGGATGATGTGCATGAGCAGACTCGGCATGGGATCCCCATTGAGCATGACGGTCAAGATGCGCTTCATTGTCTCGATCTTCGACTCATCTGTTCCCTTCTCGAGCTGGTTCCGAAGGTCTTGGAGGGAGGGCTGGTCGGCGGCATTGTCTTGATGCACCAAGCTGTACGCATTTTCGAGAAAGGTCGCCATGGTGGGCAGATGCTGCTAAAGCGCGTTCCCAGATGTCGTAGATGATCGGCCGGTCCTTCTCGCCGGCGGTATGATTGTGGTACCCGCTTCTTTGCCTTGCCCTGCCCTCCTGACTGATGCGTGAACGGTCGTATTCCCTCTGGACGCGGCGTGTGAGACGTATTTGGACGAGCACAAGGCGGAGGAGGGAAAGGAGCGGAGAGGGAAAGCGAAGGAGCGTGCTTCAATGGAATGCGTTGTGGTCGAGAGGGTTCCAGGGGAATTGCGTCTACAGCAGTCGGACCAGGTGGCAGTTGAAAGTTAGAATTTGGGAGCGACGACAGACGCGGTCTTGGCAATCCGTCTCCCGTTTTTGGACAAGCGAACGACATCTTCACAGGGCGAACACCTTCTCACACAATCACACCCACTCGCCACTAAGAATCAATCATGGCGGCATCAGGAGAGCCGTTCTATCTCCGATATTAGTGAGTGCTACCGATCCCATCTGGCAGCCAGAACTTCGTCCTACACTGCACGTCGCATTCTTTCTGCTCTTCTCATCTTCGGACAAGTAAAGGCATCTGCTGATACAGGAATACAGCTCAGGTCATTCCGGTCGCTTTGGGCATGAATTCCTCGGTTGGTACTCGCGGCCTTTGTGGGTTGAAGCATTCGTATTGACGCTGCGTAGAGTTCGATTTTCGGGTGGTTGGGGATGGGCGATCAGCGACAGCACGATATGCCAATAACTCCAACTACCGCAACGACTCACTGATCCGAAAGGAGAGTAAGTTGCCTGTCTACTCCACTTATTGGAAAGTGAAGGTGCTGACCATGATGTAGTGTGTGTAAGCTCTCTTATGATCCAAGAGATCAAGCGCATCATCAAGGAGAGCGAGATCATGAAGTAGGATTTCGCTTCTTCAGCTGATAGGAATTTCTACTCACAATCGTCACAGGGAAGACGACACGAAATGGCCGCAGAAGAACAAAGACGGCCGGCAGGAGCTGGAGATTCGGCTAGGCAGCGAACACATCTCGTTCGAGGTATGCTTGTCTCGTCTCCAGCAAAATGACACGCGTAATTGAGCCGTTCTGACCCTGCGCAGACTGCCAAGATCGGATCTTTGGTCGATGTCAACGAGTCTGAAGACCCAGAAGGCCTACGGGTGTTCTACTATCTGGTACAAGATCTCAAGGCCCTGGTCTTCTCACTCATCTCGCTGCACTTCAAGGTATGGATGGCAGATACGGACACATGCAATCATTCTTGATTCCGATGTTCTCTTTTGCTGACCACAGTCCAGATCAAACCAATCTGAATTGGCCGAGCATGAGCGCAGCCAGTGTGAGGAGTGACTACAATGGCCGAGTGCGGCCAACGCAAGGACAGTCGCAGTGGTGTGCGCTGGACGGGCGCTCAGAACAGACATGGGGAGGATGGGTTCTGCCAGGGCGGGTCAAGGCAAGCAGGCAAACCGCGTTGCCTATCGCATTGGATGCCAAGAAATGGGATCAAGGTTAGAGTTCGGCAGAGTCCGGGGCAAGGCGATGATGAGATGCGAGAGGCCAAAGGGCTGAAGGACCTTCGGAACGTCATTCCTGCACACCCGTCCACTCCATCTCTCTCTTCTGTGCCTCCATTGATGTGAATCGACGCTTGCATTCGAACCGCGCACGCCCGTCCATCTCTCTCGACTGGCGCCGGTGGTAATGCTTGTCCCACGGCACTGCTTCTCTTAGTCACGCGCGCAGTCTCCGCACCACAACATGCCCACCGAGGATGAGGTCGCACCGCTTGCGGCCCACACGGTCCCCTCCTTATCGCACCTCCTCTTCTCCTCTTGTCCCCCCGAAGAAACGCGAGAGGCGCATGCGCCGCGCGAAACGAGAATCGACAGTCCGGTCCCCAACTCTTCGCTGAGGTTACCAGAGGGCGTGGACGCCATTCGTCCGGGCACGGATGAGGCACCGGAGGTGCGGCCTGACGCAGCCGTCGAGACCACGCCACGTGAAGAAACAACCGGCCAAGGGGGAGATGCAAAGATTGTCGCAGACTCGCCAAGCCCTGTTGGGTCGCCGGAAGTAAGCCAGGATCCTGATATGCGGCTGGCGCAATCACTGGCAAGCACAGCGTTGGGTGGCACAAGCGATGAAGCGGCAAGCTACGCCTTGTACCCTTCGCGGACTCGACTGAAGGTGAGTCCAATACAATGCAATGCGACTGAGCAGTTCGCAGCAGCGCTGACGCTTCCATCCACAGCCATCCCCAAACTCTACCTCATCCTACTTACATCCCGGGAGCAAATTTGAAGGAAAACAGAAGTCCGACCGGCAAGAGTACGTTGTGCAGGTCGAAATCAAAGATGTCGATCTGTCGGAGTCTACGCTGTGCGGATATCTGCGCATCCAAGGTATCTCTCCCTCGTGTACCCTTTCGGCTCGCGCTGACTTGCATGTCCTGCATAGGTCTCACGGACGACCACCCAACTTTGACCACGTTCTTCGAAGGGGAGATTATCGGCCCCAAATACCCCTTCAAAACTCAGCATCCCTCGTGGAACTCGTCCGAGAAGATCGACTTTCAACACTGGGCGCGCTTCAATGCCTGGGTGCCGCTGGCCAAGGACGCCAAAGCCTCCTCCACCTTCACCCTCCAAAATTACTTGGAACGCGAACACCTGTTCATGCGATGGAAGGAATACTTCCTGGTTCCCGACCATCGAGTCAAGAGCATTAGCGGGGCGAGCTTTGAAGGGTTCTACTACATCTGCTTCAACCAACGCACGGGCAACGTGCTGGGCATCTATTTCCACGCCAAGAGCGAGAAGTATCAGCAGCTTGAGCTGGATCATGTGCCGAACGGCGGGTGCATGAGTGCAATGGAATTCCGATAAGAAGCGTGGAGGGTTGGCAGCTGCCATTACGGATTGTTACGATGATTTGAGCTTCTGTGATAGCGTTCGGGCGTTTGAGGCTTCGACAATGTATACGCTGGGAGGGCAATGTCGCAGGTGGCCAATGGGCCTTGTGAATTTGTAGATGCTGATTCAATCGACCATGATTTGCGTGTAGCGCTGTCGTCATTTTATCGCTCGCAGCCATCCCCCCCAAATCCATCATTCTCAATCGGATGCCCGTTTTGCGTAGTGCAGAACTTTCGCCTCCTCGACCTTAGAGACAAGCTGATTGACTGCCTCCTGACAGTGGCAAAGGTGCGGTGAAAGCGCCCCGTGTGTCTCAGAACGAAATGGCCGCAGACCGCATCAATCCATATCTAGACGTTGCTACCCACACCCACAATCTTCAAGCCTCCAGCGTCGCCTGCATACGCAATCCAGTACCGCAGCGGATGCCACGCCGAAACAGAAACGGGGTTGACAGTGTCAACGACGTGCGCCACATCGCCCGTGTCGACGTGGTAGACCTCCATCCCCGACGTGCCCTCCCTGGCATCCTGCCCGCTGCCCGTGATGAGGTAAGTGCCATCGAAGCTGAAGCTGAGATCGCGCACAGGACTGCCGTGGCCGACAAGCATGTGAGCGCAATGCCAGTCGTAAGTGTCCCATATTGTGATCAAGCTGTCCTGCCCCCCCACCGCCAACCAGTCCCCGCGCGGCGACTGCTGCACACTGTACGTGGTGCCCGAATGTGCCGATAGGGTGTGCAAGATGGACATGCTCGGGTAGTCCAGAATCTTGACCGGGCCTTCCGCAGTGGTCGCGAAGACGTGGCGGCCCGAGTTCGAGAAAGACATGCCGTAGTAGTGAGTCGAAGTCTTTTGGTCGGGAAAGGGTGTGAGGAGCGTGCCATCCAGCGACCATTGCGGGTTAGGTTCTGCGTCGAAGCTGCTCATGCGTCGGGCGTCCACGGAGTACACGACATCTTCCTTTGTCCCTACCAGCATCTCATGCCCATTCGGATGCCAGGTGAAGAAGAGTGCTGGGTCGCGTCCCGGCTCACCGGCCTTGAAATCGGCGAGTGCGGTGCCCTTCCCACCTCCAGCAGCCCCGCCAGGCACTCGCACATCCCACAATCTCACTCCGCCATCGCCCCCAGTACTTCCCAGCACGTGATCCATGGTGGGACAAAAGGCCACCTTCTCGACCGTCGCGACATTTCCGCCTGGTGAGCCGGCAAAGCTGGCGTTATGCCCGTTGCGGATCTCGGTGCTGCTTTTCACATTGGCTCGGTCGGGATTCCAGATTCGAATCTGCGCCGCGGTGCACGTGGCGATCATAGAACCCGTCGGAGACCATGACAGCGCGCGAATGTTAGGCACGAGCATGGACGGTCGTGCCGATGTGGACTCGGAGAAGAGGACGGGCTTGAGCGGCTTGTATGCGTTCGCAAAAACATCCTTCTTAAGGTATCGGGATTGGAGGCTCGGCGCCATGGGCACGGTGGCGAGACTCACGGCGTGGCTGAGGGTCCACTCCCCCTCCTAGGGAAAAGTGTCCCATGCCAGGTCGAGTGAAGACGACATCCGCACGCTCATGTGTTGGTAGTTGTTAGATGTAGAGGGAGGAAGACGACAAAAGGTGAGGTAAGGGACAGACCTGAGGCATCAAATTTGGGATCCCACCACAAGCTCAGGCATCAACCAAGGCTCCGCTGGACGCAACGAGGAGACGGAGATTGCCTTGCTGGTGAGAACGATAACACAATCATATAGTACACTGCAGTCTGTCGGAGCATTCAATCGTTTATCATCGCGGGTCATCCACAGCCCACCTCGCTCCACCCAAATCATCTCCAAGGGCTCTCAATCACTCCGAGACCCTCAGGTCCGCGGTCTTCTTACTTCGCTGTCATACGAGTTCACGGGATCCACAACCAGAAGCAGGCTTTTACCCTCCAAATCCAAGTTGGGAGTCCGACCACGACCTCGGGGAGCATCCACTGCATTCGCTTGTGCTCAAGAGCATTTGTCGATCTTCTATCAGAAGAGCAGAATGTCCACCCCTTGTGTGAGGACATCTTGATCGGCGTTTGAAGCTGGCAACGTACACCAGTGTGGAGAGACTCGCGAGCGTCGTTCAGCCAAAGCTTCGAGAGTGCGGTAACGGCGCGCGTTCAGCAGGCGGCATGTCCCTCCCACTACTGTCCTTTACATTCACCAAGCGCGGAGGCGGCGTGTCCCTCTCCCTCTCCCTCCTTCTCTGCTCCCCTGCTAGCATCGCCGCGTCCTCGCCGTCCGGTTCATCCTCGTCCAATAGCTCTCCCTCGGCCGTCTCGAAGTCTGGCGGGCTGCACCACTCCTTCGGCACAACGCACGGCAGGGCGAGGCCGATGGCCGCCGCTCGATTCAACCACGCCGGCGCCGGTTTGTTGGTCAACCTCTCGCACAGCGTGTTCGTGAAGTGATTGCAGTTGTTCGTCAAGAGGTTATAGCTTGTCCCCTGGAACTCCTCCGACACCTCTTTGATCAGGGCGGCAATCTCCGTGTCGCTGCGGAAGGTGAAGCCGTGGAGCAGGCTGCAGCGCCATGTTCCGCCCGGGGGTTCGACGTGCGGTTTCGTCCAGTATACGCCCGTGAGGCCCTTGCGTCCGTGCCCGCCATATGCGTATTCCTTATCGCCAATCACCACGCCCGAGTGCAGCAGCCCACCGCCGAGCGTCCAGAGGACGGAGGAGAGTTTGCCAGGCTGGGAGAATGATCAGCACGCTGCCGCAAGGGGGATGTCAGCGCCACGAACGGGGAGTAGGTCGTAGATGTTGATTGTGATTTCTCTCTTTTCGAGAGCACGCGAGTTGTTGGAAGAGGCCGGTCGGGATCGCTTATCTCGGGACGTCCTGGACGACGAAGGCATGCCTAAAGGCGTGGCAAGGGACGAGAGGCTGAGAGTAAGTCTGGCATCAAGAGGGTCGGCGAGAGAGGGGGGGAGAGGAGAAAGTATGGAAAGGTGGGAAGGCAACAGGATGCCGGCAGGTGTGCGAGGAAATGTGGTTACCTGAGGTTGGCAGGTTGGGTGTGGCTCAGCCGCGCGGGGAAAGCTCGTCAAGTCTGCGCCCCGCAGCATTCACGGCACGGCATGGCATGGCATGGTGTCTCTTATCGCGGGCACACGCAAGGCTAATTCTACTACATGTGCAAGTCACTCGTGACATTGCGGACGATATGTGGAGGAGAGACGTGTGAAGCGATGCAATCATCAATGTGCTGCGCGCTACCTTCAGATGCGTTCCAAGTGCTCTAGCCATCCCGCGCCCAGATGTGCCCTTCACTTTGCCTTCGAGCAAAGCGACTGCGAAACGTGTGCTACATCGGCAGCGATGCATGCCTAATTCAACATGTCAGACACGTTCATGCGTTTCGTGCCCTGCACCGCATTCTCCGACAGAAGACTGGATGCCGGTAGTTCAGCCGTGGATGGTGACGTGTTTTGACGCGCATCTTCCGGCGACAGTGGATGCATGGGGTGCGGAGCATGAGACGCAGCATTCGATGTCTGCCGCAGCTTACTCGGCGTCCTTGCTGGCGAAGCCATCCCTTTCTTTCCCCCGGCTGCAACGGTGCTCGCTGCCTTGGTCTGCTTGAAGCTGTTCGTGAGAGCATTCTGTCTTGGCCCGGCCTGAACCTTGGACGTGGCGCCTGCTTTCGGTTTTGATGCTTTGACGACTTTGACATTGGCCTTCTTGGCTTTTTGGTCGTTCGTAGCGGCGTTGCGCGGTCGACCAACGGGGTTTTTGGTTTTCGAGACTTGCATAAGTCTGTCGGATAAGAGAGAGGATATCTTTGCCGGCGGCTTGCTTGGCGTCAACAACCCAGTATTGCTGACCGTAATGTTCTCGGAGTCTGCCTCGATGCTGCCGACCACCGGTGAGTTCCTGCTTACCAACGGACTCCAATCTTCCGGTGGCGCGAGCGGTTTCCTCGGCGTCTTGTCCACCGGCGGCGGTTTGAAGCTGTTGTTCAAATGCAGCTGCGTGGGCAATGCTTCCACATGGGCGGCAGTGAGCTGGCATCTTGGCAGGTGCACTTCTGCTTTCCGCGCGCACGCATTCTTCATCTCGTCCTCCGTGACTTGAGAGCACTCGTCTTGCTCTCGCGGCGCATCCCATTTGCGCATGGCCGCGCGTCTTGCAACCTCATCGCAAGGCCCTTGCACAATGATGTCGAAGCAGTCTTCCAATTCCTTAGCCACGGGCGGAAGGTCGGTGTTGATCCAGATTGCGACTCCACCGCGGCGGTTCCGTACAGTCTTGCACATCTCGCGAACTATTCTCTTCACTCCCGGAACCTTGAGAGTCGTCCCGGCCACAATGACGGCGTCGGGTCTTTTCCGTAAATCTTCCGTAGTCACGCTGCCGATCGCCGCGTCGTCGGGGTTCCCCTCGTTGTAGAGGACCATGCGCGGGCGTAATCTGCCGATCCCATGGCTACGCTTGCCCTCATGGTTGACGCGGATGCTGTTAAACTCCTCGCAGTTGGGGCAGGCTGGAGGCACGGGACCAGAGAATAGATCGGCGTTCAAGTCGGAGAGTTCATGGCATTTGGAGCACACCATCTTGTCCAGGCTTCCGTGCAGCTGAACAGTCTTGGGCCACTTGCCCCCCTCGTCTTTCCGCAGAGGCACGCTCGTCTTCAGTGGCTCCAAAGCGGTGTCGATGCCGTCTACATTCTGCGAGTACAGTCGGAGGAGCCGGTCCTCGTTCGCGATGGTCGCCAGCATGTGGTGGAAAGGAGTAGGAGCCGCCTCCTTCGTCATACGCGACATGGAGCTGACCATGTCGTGGAAGGAAGAGGTGGATGTGTCGTCTTTGTACACCGACGCGTCGAATAGGTCTTTCCCAGAGCCTTTGAGCTTGTGCTCATCTTTGAGACTTCTGAACAGGCCGCCCGCAGATCGAAAGTCAGGTACTGCATGGGCGGTTAGCTAGATTGCTCTGGGCCGATGATGCGGCATGCTACTTACTCCCTGCCGACACTGAGATGCCCGCGCCGGCAATGACGACGATTTTGCGTCGCTCGTGCAATACACGGAGGAGTTGGTCGAGTTCGGGATCCTGGTTTGGGGGGACCTCGCTGCCGCGGAGATCGAGATATTCCGTACTGCGCTCTTTTGATATCTTTCGCCGTTTCGCGGGAGGCGGGCCTTCCTTGTCGGATGCTGAGGTAGATTCCATGCCTCCGGGTGGGGGCGTGGTCTGCTGGCTGGCTGGCGGAGAAGGATAGGGAAAAGGGCGCGCATGCGCAATCAAGCGAGCCATTTCCGGGGGCGGAGAAGGAGTGCTGCCGGGAGTGGTGAGGGGCGAAGACAACAGGCTGGAAGGGGGCGAGGAGAGAATGGATGAATCGCCTTCCCCATCGGCCGGGCAGGGGCCCGCGACTGCCTGCGCGGAATCCATGTCCAGGGTGGGAGCGGGAAGGCGTGGAGGGGCGGACGGGGAAGGTGCGACGGGGCGGACAGCGCTGTGACGCTACGACGACCGCATCCTCGTTCAGGCCGATCTAGTAAACACTCCGCGAACGTGTGCGCGGGCAAAGGGTCGTCGGGGGGGAAGAGGCGCGAGGTACAGGTAGACGACAAAGGTGGAGGACGGTGGAATGGGAGAGGCTAGAGAGGCTGACTTGCAATACCCGCAAGCGGGCTTTACCTATGTTGATGCCGTTGTTTTGATCCCGTCTTGGCCGCCCGCCGGCTTTGCTCGCTTCAGGCTCCTAGGCCAAACCTTAATCCGACCTACTCATGTCTTTCTTCTCCGTCCTCACCACACACGAACTCCATGTAGGTAGTCCAGCGAAACCTTTTTTGACCCTCCGATGTCCCAATATCCACCTGCTGGCCAGGGGTGCCAATAGAGTACCATCATCATCGCATTCAATGGCCGGCCGGATCATCGTGCGCCCGGAAGCATGGTTGTCTTACCGCCTGTGAAGCCTGGATTGTTCGCCCGCTCGCACAAAGCATGCGCTGCTGAAAGCTATACATTCCGCCCGCGATTTTCAAGCTTTATCTTCTGAGATCTTGCGTCCTTGGAAAACATCACTCATCTCACCCGACTCTTCATCTCTCTCGGCTGACCGATCATCGAAGATGGAAGACTCCGCCATGGACGAGGCTGCCCCGTCGGCGACAGCCTTACTTGATGCAAACATGACCACAATGGATCAAAGCATCGACGAATTGTTTGGAGACGTGCCAGATGGCTTGGCCGTGGACGGTCTAGTAGTGCCACTCAACACCGAACCTCTTGCACCGGAACTGGTGTCCCGCATCGCCGAAATGCAGACCCGAGGGTGCTGCGCGTAAGTGAACTCTCGCCACGCATCGGACAGGTTGCCCGCTTACCTGGCACTGACTATGAACAGCAAATTGGCCTGGTCGAATACTGGCAGCATTGCTCGGATCAAGGATCATGGCCGGAAAATTGTATTCCACACCTTGCGAAGAGATTCGCACTCTGGGTCCTGGTCGCTGACGCGCGATTCCAAAGACGTGCTGGCTCCTTCAGCCGGCGCAAGGTGGGAGCACATCCAATTCAGTAACCTCGGTATCGACCTCGCCGCAGTCGATACTCTAGGCCGTGTTACCATCTACACCCTCACAGGTGCACTGGGAAAGATGCAAGTAGCGCCTCACAGCATAGTTCAGAGTGAGCTTCCCAGGTCCGATTCAGATGCTGTTGTTGGATTGCACTGGCTACCCGTATGGCCCAACGAGTTTCGGGTGAGTGAGCATGACAGAACGGATGATTCGTTTGGTCGTACATTGACAATTCCCGAAGTTTCCGAACATTTCACCGGCAACAAAAACAGGCGACAAGTGGTCGACGTTTATGAGACATAGTGATCCGAGTCAGCCGAGAATGCACCATCCCGCTGAGAATCGGCATTCGTTGGTGTTCATCGCTTGCGATGGCAAGATCACGCTGATGTATCAGAATGAAGGCGTTTGGAACGCTGTGGACGCTCGACTCGGCGGCGTAAATTCCTCCGCCGACTTCATATCTCACGCTGCGATGAGCGAGGAAGATGATCATCTACTTGTCGTTACTCACGATAGAGCGGAGCGTGTCCAGCTCTACAAGGTTAACATCAACTGGAACGCACCAGAGAGCGCAAATACTGGAGGCCAGTCTTTGGTTGTCGCTCCGACCGTGAGCATCCGGCATTTGACTGTCGTAAGTTACGTGCTTCCACGTCACGCCGAAGCAGCAAGACTATCACATCTACGGATTGTGAGCTCTATCCCGAGTAACGCGAGCGACCCCAACATGCTCTCATTTCCGACCATTTTCGCCATCTTTACGCGTGCGTCCCTGTCAGCCGATGGCACTCAGCAGCATGAGGAGGCCTTCAGCATCATCTCAAGATGGCATGTGGAATCTGCGGTGCCTTCGCTTCACGAAGCTTTTGGCAAACTAAAGTCTAACGGTACCGGAGCGTCCCCGCAAAACACTTCGACGAATCTTCGGAGACAAGAGGACGTCTTCACGCCAAAGCTTGTGCTGTCGTTCACAGCGCAAAACTTCAACACCATGCTCGCTCTTGTCGCCAGTGACGCTACGATTAATTTCCGAGACCGAGTCACCATGGCCAGCATCGAACCATATCCTGACCCCGGGACGGTCTCGAACCTGCCGCAAGCTGGGTTTGAGCATCTGATGGATCGGCATCATGTGCATGTCGCCATGTCAGCAGATGGTAGCGCCCTCGCCGCCGTAAATGCGGATGGTGAGCTGCAACACAAGCTAATGGTATTGCGGTATGCGTGGCATCCACTCATGGAGGATGGTGGGCTGCTCGAGGCTGCCGTGGTATGTCTAGCAAGACAATACTCCATCCTCTGCTGCACCAATGTCGCCAATGACGAAACGCTAGCGCTCATGCCGCTGGACCTTGGCACGGATATGCGGTCGTTGTTTGTGAAAGAGGTCATCAAAATGCTCGGCCGCAATCTGGACATTTCGATGCAGGATGCCAGCCGTCAGCAGCAGATGGCGGTCAGGGAAGTACTCTTACCAAAAGCCATCAGCGCGCAATACCTTACCGGACGCAAGCCTGGCAGCATGGAATTGACTTTTGCCGGCAAATACGCGTGGGCATTCCTGAACATGCGTTTCGCCGCAACAACTCTCGTCCAAGTCTTCACCAAGCCCGACATTTTCCAGCGTCCCGAGCATCTCGTTTCCCTGCGAGGCATCATTCAGTGGAGTTCCGACCTCCTGGTCTTCGTTGCGGATAGTGTCATGGCCATTCGGCGTAATTTGAAGCGCTCAAAGGGACAGTCGATTGGCGAAATTTGTGAACACTTCATCGCCGAGCAGGACAACCCGGTGGTGCACATGCTTCTCTGCACCTTTTCGAGGGTCTACTTGCGCTTCCTGGCGTCGTACCTCCCCAAGTTCCTGGCGGGTGTAAGCAAAAGCATCCCCAGTGGCCGCTCGACGACAGAAATACGACAGTTGACGGAACTCTTCGAGATGGGCCTCTCGCTGCCATTCAAGTATGGAGAGATGGAGGCTTTTCTTGCTGCGGTCGACACCGCCGTTCGCGACGCATATACTCAGGGAGCCGTCACGGCTGGCCGGAGATGGGACGTCGAACTATCTACCATCTGCTGTGATCCCAGCATTCCCGAAGAGCTCCGGCCGGCCCTTCAGAGCGTATTCGAGTCGGCGGTACCGAAGCTGATGGAGCGAGCGGACCAGGGCAAGCTTTACTTTAGGGACACTTCCTGGCTTGGAATCGACTCGCAGGCGAAGTCACAGCAATATGATGTGATTCGCAAGCTGCCGTTGACCCAGAGCATGAAGCTGAGGGTGTGCCGGCGATGTGGCTCGTACATGGAGGAGATGTTGGCGGAAAGGATGAAAGAGTCGGCGCCGACCTTGCTGCACCTGGGTCGGCATTGTGTGTGTACTAGTTACTGGATTGCGGGGTGAGAATGTGCCTAATGACAATCTCTACTGCGAGACTATTGTGAGATGTTGCGTTTATTCCTTGACGTATTCATGCAGCCTCATCTGCCTCGAAGAGCTTGGGCCCAGAATGTCCGCGGAGGACGGCTCGGCCCATATGTAGGAAGTCGCCCTAGTCCGAATCGGATCAGGTAGGTACCTACCTCGCATGCAATTTGTTCGAAACATTTCCTGACACCATACCTCTGCCCTCCGCATGCGCTGAGCATGTCGGACCCAAAAGCTGCCAATGTCGGCCAGAATGGTCCTGCGACCTCTGGGCAGGCATCGACAGCCACGGCCGGCCAGGGTGCGGCACCAGCCAAGCCTGCTGCTACTGCTTCTCAAGGCAACCCGGCTTTTCGCATGATGGGTATCTATCCCATTCAAAGCAGTTCCATTTGCACATTCTGATTGACTATCAACAGGCCTACCTCGCCTCCGACTACCCTCCAGGAACTGGCTCATCTTCCTCTCCATCACTGGCTCCTTCGCGTCGGCCGTCATATACGACAAATGGCAGACTCGCCGCGCGCGCGAGAAGTGGTGCAACCTCGTCTCCCACATAGCCCAAGAGCCCATCTCGTCGCACACCATTCCCCGAAAGATGACCATTTACCTAGCAGCGCCGCCCGGGGATGGACTGAGGAGTGCACGCGAGCACTTCCACACCTACGTCAAGCCTGTGCTGGTTGCAGCAGCGATGGATTGGGATGTAGTGGAAGGGCGCAAGGAAGGTGATGTCCGATTCAAGACGGCGGAGAGAATACGTAGAAAACGCAAGAGACGAGACGAGGGGGAGCCTTTGTCGGAAGAGGAGGCCGAGAAGCTTTTGCTTATCGATGGAATCCGAGCCAACAATGGGACAACAGAGTACAACGGGGTGGCTGGCGACTTGGTCATCGGCCGACATACGTGGAAGGAGTATGTGAGAGGGCTGCACGAGGGCTGGCTTGGACCTGTCGATCCTCCTAAACAGCCGGAGTCTCACGAGCCCGCTCAGGAAGAAGCGCCGGCTCATTCGCCTGGACATTCATCTCTAGGTGACGCTGCCGTCAAGGCCGCAGTACAACATGTAGTCCCCGGCACGTCTGGCTCGGAGCTTGGGGGGCAAAACGCCTCGGATGCTTCTCCAGTCACGGAGCTATCAACAGAAGACCAAGCGACAGGGGACGACGAGGCACAGAAAGAAGATGAGAAAAAGAAGGAAGAAGAAGAGAAGCCCAAGCCGCGGCAACCACCACCTTACATCCAGCCTTCCGAATATGAATCCGCCACACTATCCCCGAACATCCCCGATGTTATTGGCCCTAGCATTGGCGTGCGCATGCCCCACATCCTCGGTATGCGCAACACACCCATCCGACTGTATCGCTTTCTCACGCGTCGACGGCTTGCCGACTCCGTCGGGCGGGACGTGGCTACTGCAGTGCTTGCTTCGTATCGACCGTACGACACATTTCCTGCCGACCATTCTGCAAGTGCCGATGCGGGCGGAGAGAGCGCAGAGCAAACCGAAGTCCTTCGCCATGAAGAAAGCGACTGGTGGAAGACAACGTTCAAGCCTCGCCAGGAGCATGAAGAAAGTGTTTGGGTAGAGGACGTCGTGCTGGATGAACGCGTGACCAGCCGAATGCGCGCTTTCCAGTTGACTGCCGAGGATGAAGATCGAGCGAAGAGGCTGGGCGATGGGACAGAGAAGGTAGACCAGAAGCCAGCTGCCGAAGACACCTCTTGAAGACCAGGTGATGCATCGGCAGCTTGTATGGCCTCATCGAGATTGTGCAGGTCCAAGCAGTGTGGCATGGACAACTCTCAGCTCCGACAAAGATACCTATTAGTACAGAAGTCACTTCAGTGATGTGTCTGCTTCGTACTTCACCCGCAATGCCTCGTTGTATCGTAAGCAGTGCCCTATTTACTTACGGTTGAGGAATCGCTGCGCTTCATTGGTCAGGTCGTTTACAAGCTTGGACCAGCTCGAAATCGAGAAGCTGACTGGCTGCAGTCGTCCAACCCGAACATCGTTTCGTACGTATTCACAGCCGACTGCGGCCTGACGGATGCGATGACATCTTGGAATATCAAAATAGCGGACAGCATGGCCTGGCATTCTACTTCCACATTGCCCGTTGGTTATGCATCGCTACCCATTCCTCGTCGCTGCCATGGCTGAGGGTGCATCGCGGCCGGTAGGCCGCAGAAGATATGCGCCTAAGACTCGCAGCGGTTGTCTGACGTGCAAGTATGTATCGACACCCCTTCCCGGCCCTGGGGTACTCGGCTCCAAGATGACCAACACAAATGAACAGGATCCGTCGCATCAAATGCGATGAAGCAAAGCCCTCCTGCAAGCGCTGTACGAGTACAGGCCGCAAATGCGATGGCTACGGAGAGGTCAAGACGGTCTCTCTAGTCGAGTCACCTCCTGCTACCATTAATGCTGCTTTGGTGTTGGATGTCTCCTCTGACCCTCTGGAGAGAAGAACCTTTGACTTCTTCCGCAGCAAGACCGTTGCAGGGATATCTGGATATTTTCACGATGCCGTCTGGGAGCGTACAGTCCTCCAAGTATCTCACAGCGAGCCCACCATCCGATTTGCCGTCAATGCTCTTGGCGCACTACACGAAGAGATCTTGTTGCGCAGAGAAGGGCGGGTGCAAGGCTTGTCCATCGGCGCCGAGTGCAGAACAAGCTTCCCCATGAAGCAGTATACAAAGGCCATCCAGGGTTTGCAGCGGCTCCTCGAGTCAGACCAAGTCCCGCTAGACCTCGTCCTTCTCTGCTCAATGGTCTTTATGCATTTCGAGGCCTTGCATCAGTCGTTCTTGCCCGCGCTCGTTCATCTGGAAAACGCAATCCGTTTGCTCAAGGCAAGGCAAGCATCTTGCGGCAAGAAGGTTGATGAAGGCATCGTCCAGTCGATCATGCGTATGGACGTACAGGGCTCCGTTTATCTCGGCATGCGCATCCCTGGTCTGCCATACTATCAAATGGAGTCGCCCCTTCAGTCCACAACCATACGCGATCTGAGCCATGCTCGAGATATCGTGAATACATCAACGTCCCGTCTGCTGCACTTCGTCCGAACGGAGGCCGACAAGTACAAGTTCCGCGAGGTATGTCTCTTTCAAACCGCTCACCCGACATCGATCAATGCCTTAATCTTTCCCTCTAGCCTGGCAACGTGCCGCTCGAGGTCTACGCGCGAGCCCAAGAATTTCAGCAGTCTACTGCACGACTTGATCAGATGCTCTATGACTTTATGCAAGACATGAGTCATCGTCGCACAATACGTGAGCAGCGCGGTCTAGATATGCTCCGAAGCAGAGCAAAGATCAACAGGGTGCTCGCCGGGACATGCCTGCACGCCGAAGCTTCAGCACTGGATGGCTTTCAGAGCCACTTTGAAGAAATTCTCACCCTATGCAACTATCGGTGTTGCAGCGAGGATCTAGAAGGGTTTCTCTTTTCTCCCTCATTGGATGATGGGCTGGTCTGGCCGCTCTTGTTCGTTGCATCTGCTTGTCGCGACAGCAGGATCCGACACCAAGCCCACGCACGTCTGAAGAGCTTACCAGCCAAAGATGGCGTATGGCACGTTGAAATTCTGGCGAGACTCACCGAGGCCGAAATACGCTACGAAGAGGCCTTGTTCGAAGGAGACCATCCGACTTGTAAGGATATCCCGGAATGGCGAAGGGTCCACGCCTCTGCGCTCGATCAGTGGGACGTTTCTTCCGGCAAGACAACAGTGCGAGTGGCCCTGCGAACCCGTCCGAACGGAATGGACGGCGAATGGGAGGACGTTTGGGAGACGCTGCACTTGTACGTTCTGACCTGCTTCTCCATTCTTCAAAGTTGGCCCTGCTGATGATCGATGCAGTTCGACAACGGTCAGCGAATGTGACGTACAAGACTTTTATAGTAACAGTGTTCCCGGTATGACACAGTCAGAGCACGGCCGAACCTCGAAGACACACACTAACATGTTCTACGACAGTGGTGTCCATGGCATACGCGGATCTCAACCCATTGGATCTGCAATCGAGCGTCAAGTGGGCGGCGCGTACAGGCCCTTTCACGCCTAATCTCTGCCTCCCCAACAGAAGCAAGCTATTCCCCTGAACATGCATCGCTTCAGTTGAGTGGGTGACCGATTCAGGCCGGCTTGTCTGCAACATCCCGTGAGGGCGAAGACGGGCGGCACGGTTTGCTGTCCATGTATGATGACTACGATTGTCGACTGAAGCCGAGTCGGCAGAGTGAGGAACTCGTCTATTTCGAGGATGGACTGATGTGACGACGTCAGAAGTCAAGCAAAGCGGCTGCCAACCTGGAATCATCTGCGAAGAGTAACCAACAAGGCCACTTTTCGTAACACCGATGGCCTAGACCGGAATCTATCGGCCATGGTCGTACCCGTCTGACTGACTCCACAGTCGGCCTTTGACGTTGCATTTGGGCATCAAGCTTACCCGACGGATCCTGCACACACACAAGTGCGCACAGAATCGCGTACGACAGGCAGCACACTCACGAAAACAAAGATGCCTGTCTGCGACCGGCAGAATACTGTATTGCCCGGCCCTTCTACCGAACTTTGGCGCGCTCCGCCAGCGGCTGTATATCTCGCGTGGCAATTTGGGCATTAATCGATCGCCTCGACCATCAACAGGAACCTTGCACGACTCGGAGGCCCATGCTTGGATGTGAAGGCGGCACTAGGACTCAGCCAATACGGTAGCTGACATCGTATCTGGCAGCTGCAGGTCCTCGCGCAGCCGGCTGCGGGAGATCCCATACTCCCTCCCCAAAGCAGTTAGATCCGCCGGGTTACGTATTCGCCCCGTCTGGCTGATGCATTCTCACGCACCGCGTGCGCGTTCACTTGCTGCGGCGGGCAGCTTGGTATCGCCCGTACACGGCAGTCAAAGCCTCTTCCCAGGCCGTTTCATCTTTTTACGACACCCACCCCACTTCCTCGTGGGCCCACCATGCGCCTCCCAACACGCTATGAAGACCGCGTGTGCTTATGGACGACGTATGACAGCCCGGCTGTGCTCTTAGGCGAACTCTTAATAAGGCGGTAGGTAGGTGGGCGGCAGCGCGATGTTCTTCATCCAGACCCTTGCACTCAATCACCTTTGCTCGCTTTCACTCCTCCGTTCGCCATCGGTGAAAACGGCCATCCAGACCCAACAATGAAGACCGCAATTCTCGCCGGTTTCCTCAGCACGGCTACCCTCCTCGTCACCGCCGCACCATTCGACCAACCCGTGCACGCAGACGTGGTTCGGAGGGATTGGAGAGACTTCCTCCACGCCGCTCCGTACGCCCTTACCGGAACCGCGACGACCTCCACCCTTTCTGGCCATTCCTACCCGACAGGCACCGGTGTGCCTCTCAGGCCGTCTGGCATGCCCTACCCATCGGGCACTGCTGCCCCTTCCAGCACCGGCTCGTCTGCCGCGTTCATGAGGATTTCCCCCGAAATCCAACATCTCCATTAGATGAATGGCCCGTCTGGGTTTTGGAAGAGGCCTTCGTTTCTGGACGGCGGCTTACGACTTATGTGCACTCATTTATCCCGATCCAAAAGGATCAGCAACCGCATCGATTCAAGCGGTGCAGCCTTACGAAGCGTCCATTCGAAACTGATCGGGGTGCGGCGCAATGCAATGACACGCATGGTGAGAAGGGAGCGGACTTAAGTCGATGGCAATGGGGACGATGCCTCGCAGAATGTGAAGCGCCTAAAAAGAGCGTGCTTTAAGGTAGACACCCCCGTTACGGGAGATAATGATGAAATTTTATACTATACAAGAGCGGAGTCGAAAGTCGTTCTTCCTCTTTCCCTTTTCCGAAGCGCTGAATCTTCTCTACTTGCACAATGCGTCGCTGTACACAAACCGCCAAAAAGAGAATCCCGCGTGGGTAGCGCGACCTCTATGAAACGCCGTAGATGCTGAGCTATGCCGGTGGCTTCTTCAGATGTAATCTCTGCCGCTCTTTTGCAGTTCAATCAACCTCCAGCCTCTAGTCTCTGGGTTGGCCACTTCCTCCGGCAGTCGTGTCACGCCAATGGCATACGTCACTTGCTGCACTTTGTCTTCCATGCCCGCCGCCAGCTCTCCGCTCTTGGCATTGCGGTACACGTGCACTTCCTGCGTTCGCGCCATCAGCACGAACACGGGCACTTCGCCGGGGTCCAAGATTCGAGCCGAGAGAATGTCGACGTTTCGAATGTCCAGGATTTTGCCGTCCGATTTGAGGCCTTGTGTGGTGTATTGCTGCATCAGCGCACTGTAGACTTGGAACTGGGCGGCCGAGAGCCAGAGCTGAAGGGTCTCCACATCGCCTTTGACGTACGCCTCGAGGACTTCGGGGAGAATGTACGTCCGCATCTCGGTGAGGAAAGGCTCGAGTTGGAAGGACGGGTCCATCTCACGGAACTTCTTGATGACCATGGCGGTCTCGTTTTCGGCGAAGAAGCCGGCGATCCGGTCGGACACCGAGCGCGCTGTGGTGATGAGGGGATTTTCCGACTCACGGTAGGTGGCCCCCAATCCAAAGATTCTTTGCATCACGGGCGAATTGTCTCGGAAGCTCTTCCAAGACTGATTCCATGCCGAGTCTTTGTGCAAAGTCACATTGACACCAGCTTCAGGATCCTCTTCAAACACCTGCGCTTGCGTACGGCCCGCCTTGGCTTCGCGCAACTCGCGCTGACGCTTGCGCTCCTCTTTCTCCGTCCACCCGCCATATCGCTGAGAAGCGGATCCGTCGTCCACAACGTCCTTGACGTTTTTGTAGGCCTCGGTCTCGCGGAGCGGGCGGGTCGCTTTCTCCACGCCTGATCCAATAGCTGAGGCACCGTGACGAAGTCCGCGGACGACAGGGGTGTCCCATGTCCAGGCGGCGCTTTTGCCAATGGCGCTGGCAGAGCCCATGACCACCTTGCCGGTCGTTGTGCTGGCCGCTTCGGCGGCACGACTGTATGCGCTGCGCGCCTTTTGCACATTCGGGTTTTGGGTGAAGTCGTGAATACTCCCGCTCAGTTGTTCCGTGCTCTCGTTCCACTCCTTGCTGGCTTTGAACTCCGACGACAGCGTTTCGGTGAAGACCTGCCAAGGCGTTTTGCTGCCGTGTGGGGGCTCCTCCGGCGCCTGTTTCTTCCCCTTCTCCTGCTTAGCGCCCTCTTCGCCAGCTTCGCCCGACTCCTCCTGGGCCTTGTCCTTCTCCTCCTGCTCCTGCTCCTTGCGCGCAGCTTCTTCAAACTTTGCCCATTCCTTTTCACTATCTGACCTAGCCTTTGCAAATGCTTCCTCTGCTGCGCTGGCTGCCGGAGACTCGTCTTTGACTAACGGATCCTCGGGCGGAGATTGAGGCTGGGACGAGGATGTTGCTTGCGGCTGCTGCTGCTGCTTCGGGGCCTGTTGGGACTCTCCAGCTTTTTCGCGCTGGCGCTGCTCTCGGAGCTCCTTGAAGGAAACATGTCTTGTCTGAGTTGGGTTTATCGAGACTGTGGGGTGTAGAAAGGGCAGCCGAAGCGCACTTGGAGGAGCGATGGCGCTGGAGGTGTTTCGCGGTGGCTGGAGGGAGACATCGCTAGAGCGTTGTGGATATGAGGCTATCCGACGGTACGCCGCGGTTCTGCCATAGGAGAAGGTAGGGTGAGAAGCAAGATTGCGGTAGGGTGCAGCGCCTGCTCGCCGCGAAAGAGCGCGGAGGGAAGGCGTGCTCATGCTACGATGCCGGGACGGAAGACGGGGTGGAAGGGAGGGGGTGGGGTAGAGAGGTAGATGTGATGTAGAGTCGAGGCAAGAAGTAAAAGAGTGGCGACAGAAGCAGAGAGAAGGCGAGATGCAGTGAAGGCATGAGAAGGCGAGATCCCTCATGACTTTCTTGAACAAGCTTTTGCTCGCGAGGGCGCTTCGGGAGCAGCCGAGGGGGGCCTGAGGCATCAAGCCTGAACATGCGGTACCTTACATGGGCCAGAACCTTCACGACAGCTCTTGCGCACCGCCTCACCCGCCGCCCCATACGCCCTTCCACACGATGCGCTAATAATATGCGCCCTTTGTCCACCTGAACTCCTCTGCTCCTGCCTTTCATGCCTTTGCCACGCCCGGCATGGACGACTTTGCAAGCGACACCGACAGTGATTACACTTCCTACTGGAGAGACTGGGTAAGATTTCCAAACTATCCACTCCCTATCCCCTCCTTCACTGTTTGTTTCCTTCACCTACACGGCTGTGCGCGCGCGGGAACAAGGCCAGGTCGGCAGCATACCTCTGTGCCAGGCCGAGACTTGGAGTCCCACCAAATTTACCTTGGGCTGAGGCATCGAACCGCTCGCAATGGCCTCTTCCCACATGCGCATCAGCGAGGATGCGCACATGTTCGGAGAGACCCGACCCCGAGTGCCCGGAGAAGACTTACCTCCACTGCTCGAGCAACACCGGAGGAGCCTCTGGGCGGTTATTGTTCATGCCACTCGCTCATTTCCATCCCAAAGGCTGCGCTAACGTGCCGTGCGTCTCTCAGTTCATCAGCTCCCGCGGCAACGAGTACTTTTGCGAAATCGACGAGGACTACCTCACCGACCGCTTCAATCTGACCGGCCTCAACACCGAGGTGCAGTATTATCAATATGCCCTCGACCTCGTCACCGATGTCTTTGACATGGACGTCGACGACGATATGCGCGTACAAATCGAGAAGAGCGCGAGGCATCTGTATGGGCTGGTACACGCGCGGTACGTCGTGACTACTAGGGGTTTGGCCAAGATGGTAAGACTTTGTCCCCCACTTTGCATGATACGATCATGGCCTTTGCTTACGCACCGCACGGCAGATGGAGAAGTACAAACAAGGCGTTTTTGGCAAATGTCCTCGCGTCATCTGCGAGTCACAACACTTACTCCCCGTCGGCCAGCACGACATTCCCAACGTGTCCACCGTGAAGCTGTACTGCGCCAAATGCGAGGACATCTACAACCCCAAGTCGACCCGGCACAACAGCATAGATGGCGCATACTTCGGCACCAGCTTCCACAGCATCTTGTTCCAGGTCTATCCGGCGCTGATGCCGCAGAAGACGCAGCGGAGGTACGAGCCGCGAATCTATGGGTTCCGGGTGCATGCGTCGGCGGCCCTCATGCGGTGGCAGGAGGAGCGCAGGGAGGAGATGAAGGAGAGGTTAAAGGCGAGAACCATCGAAACCGGCTTCGAGGAGGAGGACGAAGGCGAGGATGAGATGGAGAGTGAGGACGATGGGGATGAGGATCAGGAGGATGGGATTGACGACATGTTCGAAGTGCCTGGCAGAGCAATGCAAGGGGTACAGTGAAGGGAGTCCAACGGGAGACGGCGTCTTAAATCATATCAGACATTACCTGTTATCCGTTGTTGCTGAGTATATGCTGTTCCTCAAAACAATGAGGCCCAGGCCATACGTTTCTGGTCGAATACGGGGCCTGCGTAAAGACAAAAAACGAAACTCCCTTGCAGGAAGAAGCAAGACGAGACTCGTAGGACCCAACAGATTGTGACGTTTTTGGCTAAGACCGAGTGATTAATTGATGCTGCAAGCCATTGGTTAGACGCTGATCGTAGATGAATCGATATATAGAGATCATGATTGGCGACGAGCTGCCAAATTACTGGAAGGGGACGAATCGAGTTGATCGAGTCACAGTCATCGTTTCACAATCTGTGATGTATCTTTCTAGCATACGCTCTTGGAATGTTAGAGGATCTTCTCAACATACACGCTCGCAAGGCCCGAGATGAAACAGGCCATCGTCAGCAACGCGAGGCCCAAATCATGCCGTTCTCTAGCGAGGTTCTGCCGCTCGATGTATTGAGTCCCGCGGTGACGTCGTCGGAGAGAGGTGAGGTGATGCTTGCAGACATCGCGGAGAAGTGATGGAGACATGAGCCCAAGAGGGGGAGCTCATTGTATGCCCGGCCGCGCGCTAATTCCAGCCTTCCTTTTCGCCCGTAGCTTGCGCCGATCTGCACGGGGACCACACAGCACGATGGAGACTCGGATTGATTGTGCATGATGCCGACGTGGGGATGTCACCAGACGTCATGCCGTCAACTCAAGTCCAGCTTCCATAGGCCGTCTCCCGCGTAATGGCCGTTTTCAATCGCCACACCCTTCTTCTTCTCCTTCATCTCTTTCGTGCCCATCTTCAAGATGCCAATCATGCATGCGTGCTCTTTGCCCTCCGCATGAACGGCCACCACTTCCCCCGCCTCGAGTTCCTTTCCGTCATTGCCATACTCTGGCCCCGCGTCCTCGTCGCCCGGTAATCTCCCACCCGCGCTCGTCAAGCCGGGGACCATCAGTGTCGCTCCACTCAACACGAAGCGAACTCCTCCACGATCGATGCGCACGCGCTGGAAACACCAGGGATACTGCTGCACAATCTTCAGGTGGGGGATGATTTTGTCGTCCATGTGCTGCCAGAGCAAGGGCTGGCCGTTGAGGCTGTACACGCTGACACGGTCGGGCACCTTGACAAGGTCGAGCTGCTCCTTCTTGGGCAGGATGTCGTCGATGTAGGGGGCGAGTAGGGGATACGTCTCGAGCACTTTGGCGCGGATGGCGCGTTGGGCGGAGGACTTGACCTTGGACTTGGCCCCTGGGGAGACACTGCGGGGATGGTGAGTGGGATGGGAAGGGATGTAGACAGACAGACGGATACGGACTGACTCTTTCTTGAACATTTCGACGGACGTGCAATGCGGTGGAGGTGGAGGCAGCGCAAGGTGTGCACCAGCAAGCATCAAGTGCAGTCTGGAAATGCGTGCCCCACTAATAAATCAATCAACTGCCAAGATGGAAGCTGATTGATCCCTGCAAGCAAGCGTCGGCCAGAAAAGTCGGCGGGGCCTTGTGAAGCCACGTCTAGAGAACAATAATCACTTGAATCAACCCTCCGTCTTCCATTCCGACCGCTTCTGCCACTTGGATCCCGCATCCGTCGAAGTAATACATTTATTGTTATCGATTGGAAGTGCCCTCCTTGGCCAAGTGCTGCATCTCTTCGCCAGCCCAATCATCCGCTCAGCGCCTGTCCCTGGCAAGATGGTAATGCCCCCGCTGCAACGTACCAGAAAGGTCATGACGATGCGGCGATACTGACAACCTCCCAGGCTACCGACTCGCGCAAGCGCCTCGCCCTCGCCATCATCGACTTCCTCTCCACCAGCCTCAAAGACGGCTCGGTTCCCCCCGAAGATGCAGACTCCATCGAGATCGCGAGCAACTGCATCGCCGAATGCTTCCACGTCGACCCCTCCGACTCCGCCGCCGTGGCCGACGCACTAGGCGGTCAGAACCTCCTGAGCATCTACGGCGTTTATGAGAAGCTCAAGGGAAAGAAAAGCAGTGGCGCGAGCGCTGCGGCCGCCAGCAGCAGCAGTAGCAGTGGGGCAGCACAACCTAGTGTTCCCAAGGAGGGCGAGAAGGGCGGGCCGACAGAGGAGAGTGAAAGGCTAAAGGGACAGGGCAATGCCGCGATGCAAAAGAAGGACTACCAAGCTGCCGTCGACCTCTACACCAAAGCCCTCGAGATCTCCCCCCTCAACCCCATCTACCTCTCCAACCGTGCCGCCGCCTACAGCGCCCTCCAACACCACGAGTTCGCAAAGAACGATGCAGAGCTCGCCACGGCCACCGACCCCGCCTATTCCAAAGCCTGGTCGCGACTCGGCCTCGCGAGATTTGCCCTGGGCGATGCAAAGGGCAGCATGGAGGCCTACAAGGCTGGCATCGATGCCGAAGGCAACGGCGGGAGCGAGAGCATGAAGAAGGGCTACGAAACGGCGAAGCGCAAGGTGGAAGAAGACACGAACGCCGATTCCGATGTGGGCCCGGACATTGACGGCACTGCAACCGCACGTTCCCAGCCCGGCGCTGCTGGAGGCATGCCGGATCTCGGCGGCCTGGCGTCGCTGCTGGGCGGCGCTGGAGGCGGCGGCGGCGGCATGCCGGACCTGAGCTCCATCATGCAGAATCCCATGATGCGCCAGATGGCGCAGAATCTCATGAGCAATCCCGACATGATGAACAACCTCATGAACAATCCGCAACTACGCAATCTCGCTGGTAGATTCGGCGGTGGCGGAGGCGCTGGTGCAGGAGAAGAAGGCGGCGGCGGCGCTGGTGGTGGCATGCCGAACCTCAGCGAATTGATGAACGACCCGGCCATCGCCGACATGTAAGTCTTTTGAAAGCGAGACTTATCTTACGATTCCGTTGCTAACCATCAGCAGGGCGCGGAATTTCATGGGCGGCATGGGTGGTGCAGGCAGGGGCAGCGGTGGCGCGAGTGGGCAGCGATAGGCACGGGCAGCTGCGCAATAGTAGCACTAAGCGCGAACATACCTTCACGCAACGTCTCGATCTTGCGTGCCATCAAGAGCATCAAGTGTATGCAAACGAAAAGCTTGATAGCGGGGACGGCTGGAAGATGGGGGCACAAGGAGCCTCCAGGCACGAAGGGCGCAGAATCTGCTTCAAAGCCTTTTCATTTCTGTCGATGGATAGAAGCTATCTACAGGGCCTAGACGGCTCGCGGTCTTTGCATGTTGCGTCACATCCACGCTGGCCTTGCTTCACCCACGCTTCCTCCTCAATGTCGTGAACAAGTTTGGTTCAAATGTTCGTATAAGGAGGAGAGAATGAGAGAAATAAGGTGCGGCGCCGTGCAGTCGCTTGAAAGTGCCTCCATCGGCGTGCCGTGTGTCGAATGGTGGACGCGATTGAGAAAGGAGCTCCAAGATCTCATTGGGTGTACTCTGCGACACTTCTGCGCATCCTTCACACCACCGACAATTGAGCCATATCTTATGCTCTGTATTCATGTTGGGACGCACGCCTCGCGAGTGTCGAGGTGGGAGAGGAATGCAAAAGGATGCATTGCAGCGAATGCGGAACGACTTGCTCCCATTGAAAGGTCGCTCACAGTGTCTCGCACCAGCGAGAATAACCAGACTTGCTTTTGTTGAAGATGCTTTGATCGGGCTGGGGGAAAACCTAGGCGGCCGAGACGCTAAATGACCGCTCCAGACTCAACAGTGGCGACTCTTCTGCGTTGGAAGGTAGATGTCTGGATTTCCGCATAACACATGCGCCGCGGTCGTGCCCCGGCTCTGAGCGTATAACAAACGAAGTGGCGATCGTCGTAGAGATTCGATCTCCATTTGGCGTCCGACGAATGAGTACACTTGCGGATCTAGTTCCGAAGCGACGGTGCCTTACGCGTCAAGCTTGTCGAGTTGCTCTTTCAACTTGTCATCCACAATGTCCGCCAATTTCTTCCGGTTCTTCAGGTTCAGCGCGCCGTTACGCCACGCGGAGCGGAGTTGCTTGAACCCCATGCTCTGCACCGAAAGTGGCTCGTTCTGCACCAGTTCTACATAGTCCTTGATCACGCGATCACGGATCGGGTTGTGGCTCGACAGTGACTGCGCGTAGAACTTGACCAGGTTCTGATGGCCGGCGTACGAGTAGCGCGATACGTCCTCCTTCGCGTAGGTTCGGAATTCGGTGTACATGCGGCTGTTGAAGTTGCGGATGAGGAAGTGGCACCAGAATTGGTAGAGGACGTCCATATCGTACGGACAGGCTCCGGTGGCAGCGTGATCCCGTTGATCCAGGGCTTTGCGACGTAGCTGGTTGTACGGCTCTGATATAAGGTCGGAAGGAAGATTGGCAACGGGAACGTCGGAGTCTTTGACCCAGAACACGTCGAAGTTCGACTCGCTCGGGGCACGGTCATTGGATGAAGACTTGTTCGGGCTCGAACGGCGAGGGACTGGAGGCAGGTGCATCTCACTCCCACTCCCGTTCACCAGAGTGGAGTCCTCGTTGGGCTGCTCCATCTCACTGAGGATACTGCGCGAGTCGATCGACCCGTTGGAGAACGTTCTCGATGAGAGACTGTGATAAGGGTGGCGGGGTGGCTGGTTGCTCTGCTGATTTTGCTGCTGGCTGGCTTTCACGACAACCGTCAAAATGTCGACCTGCTCATTTGGGAACGCGTCGGGCTCATTGTTGACGTCGTCCACGACCGCATCGATCGGCGGTCGGTCGGGTGAAGCGGGGGTCTCGCGCGTTGGTGAGCGTGCTGCTCGGCCTCTCGCCTCCTCGCCGTTCATGACATCTGCGTATACAACTTCCGGGATTCCGCCATACGTCCCGTACTGCGGCTGAAAGCCATTCATCATCGGGTAGACGGCATCGTAGGATCTGCGGTCGACGCGTTGCTGCTGAGGCGAAGTCGCCCCTGCTGAAGCTGGCCCACGAAATTGCGCGGTGGTGTTACCACTCTGCAACTGCGGGCGATCCAGATAACGCAACTGCTCAGGCCCATCGTTCTGCGCAGCCTCTTCGCGCTGATCCAGCGGCAGTAGAAACTGTTGCCAGCCATCGGCCCTCCGCAGTCGTTCTTTGCCATCCTCGCCTACACCAATCTCGATGATCTCGGAATTCATGCAGGCAACCTTGAGGATGTCCCTATCCGGCGTGAGCTGCTTCACGCGATTGAAGTTGGCGATGACGGCAAGGAGGACAAAGCCCTTCGAGTCCATGTGCTTGCGAAGGAACATGTCTTTGAGCAAGTTGTCGACGGAGAAGTAGTATTCGAGCTGAGTGGTGACCATCTCAACCAAATACTGAATCTCCATCTGGTTACCAATGGGCACTGCAGTCAGAGGCATCTGGCCTGGATCGTACATGCCAGGGACGTAAGTATTGAGAGGCTGTAGATGTGGTGGCATGGTGGGAGCCGGGTAGCCAAGTCGCTGGAAGTAATTGCCGTCGATTGGGATCGATTGCGACCGTGGGTGCGCACGAGGGTTCCAGCCCCCTCGGCCTGGTCCCATAGGATAGCCAAATTGCTGCCCTCTCGACAGCTGGTAGGGCGATGCTGGCACACCAAACGGAGGCACGAACTCTGGTGGGTAGCCACTCTGATATCCATTGTGCACAGTGTGTCCATTGGCGTTTTCGCGAAGAGTACCACCTCCGCGGCCTCTGCCGCCGCGCTTACTGGGTCGTGGTGGGGCCCATGCTGGGTCGCGAGGAGACTCCAAAGGACGCGCATCTTTGGCGTCTCTCCCTGAAAGAGCGCGAGGAGGCATTGCCATTTGGCGTGCACTCGCATCGTCCGCTCGCTGCGGTTGTATCTCTGACGAGTTGCGCCTCGGGATCGGGGCAGGCACTGCGTCGCTGTCTGGAGCATCCGTCCGAGGGCCGTCTGGCGGGGTCAGAGTATCATTGGAAGCATGAGTCTCGTTTACATTCCGAGATAAGCCATCTGCGGGACTTGTGCCGACCTTGGCGCCGTCTGATGGCCTCTTATCGGTGGCATGAGTCCTCTCTTTCGCTTCACCGTTGGCATTGCGACTCGCCGGGAAGTCGGATTTGCGTTCTTTGAACGAGCTTGCGCTAGACGCACGAGGTCGTCTAGGCGGGGCCGGGCCAGCAACGTCGGGCTTCGCCCGAGGATTAACAGAGGGGTCGGAGGCATGTTTTTCAGAAGAGGGTTCCGTTCCTGGAGCTGATCGGTCGCCACCACTGTGGTGTGATGCTCCTCGATGGCCACCTCTCGCTCTGCCTCCCGAGCTGCTCTTTCCGCCACGCTCGCCATTGGCCGTTCCTCGAGTCTTGCCCTTCGGCTCATCCTTCCAGGTGTCGTAGATGAAGTTGGGAGTAACAGGAAGAGGCTGCCACTCCGGCTTCTTCGCCTTGGTCTTGCTGAGAGGAGTGGCATCGTCAATCTTCTCCTCGGCATCCTTCTTCTGGCCCTCCTTGCGCTCCTTGTCGCCAACACTATCGGGCGTCGGCCAAGATGTGCCGTCCGTTACAAGAGCCGGGGCATCTGTAAGGTTTGAGGGTGCTTTCCGTTCAGGGCGTGAAACTCGACCTCCAGATGGCGCTGAGCCATCTGAAGCGCCGCCATCTGCTGCTGGGCTTGAAGTTACCCATCGATTGCTGCCCGCCGGAGGGTTAGATCGCAGAGCTTTGGGCACGCTCGCAGCACTTGGCATGCTGGTGCTTTCAGCTGGTGGTGACGAAGCATGGGCGACAGAGTTTGTCTGACGCGGTACATCTGCTTGGGAGTGCGCAGTGTCCTTTTTGCTGAGAGGTGCAGCGGTCGACATAGCCGCTGGCGCTGGGGTGGGCGCTGGGGCTGGAGTGGGAACGGTGACTGCAGCGGTCGTTGCTTTGGGGATGGAGGGAACTTTCGCTTTTGCATCCTCGGCTCGCTTTAGCCAGGGGTTGACTGTTGGCGGGAGTGCCTCGTGCAACGCGACCGGCTTCGGTGGCTGTGGAGCAGGTGTGCCCTCCCCTTTCCTCTCTCCCTTCTCAGCTTTCTCGCCCGTGTCACCTTTGACGGATCTCTCTCGTGTTCCCGAGCCATTTTGACGCTCCTTACGTTCTGCAATCCATGAAGGATCCGAAACCTGCGATCTGTTCTCCCATGTGCTCTCTGAGGATGCTCCGTTGGGCGGGGACATTACCTCCTCTTCCTTTGTGGTAGTGCTTGATGATGCGGTGAGGTCTGGCGAGGAGATACCAGACGCGCCGTTGGACGCCTTGTCTTCCGCCCTGGTGCGGTCCACGGGACCTTCTTTTGCTTGTGTGTGCTTTTGCTCCTCAACGGGCTTGACGGTCGTGCTGCCTTCTACCTCCTCCGCCCAATCGCTCTTTGCACTGAGGTCAGGGAGAGCATTGCCTGCGGGTTCGGATGCGAGCTTGCTCGACACCGGCTGCGATGCGGCGGCAGCGGTCCGACCTTTGGCGGCCTGGGCGTAGGAGAAGCCGCCGGTGGGGCCGACGTTGGTGGCGGCCATGACAGGGCCCTCTCGCGCGCTTGCCCACGCCACCCACGTTCAACGATGTCTTCAGTAGCGACAACCCAGTAACGCTTACAACCGTCCGGAGAGGTCACGAGCGGCGCCCCTCTCCGCACAACCACCTCTCGGAACCTCGGCGTGCTTCCCTATGGTGTGATGCAGCGCTCGCGGAGGGGTGACGTCGCGTAGATGGGAGGGAGGGCAGGTTGCGGGCGAAGTGTGCTCCACGGCGCGCTCCGAGTGGAGGGCAGGGTGGTGTAGATGGATTCAGAGTAGCGTAGGTCGGTGGAGCAGAGCCGGCATCTGAGGGCCTGAGCAGCAAGGGCAACGGTCAGCACGTGGTCGGCAGTGAATCGGGCACGGCGGGGGAGCACGAGCCTCGCGACAGCATCGGAGCTTGGCGAAGGCGAAGACGGGAAGTGAAGATGCGTACCAGACAGAGCGGCGCGCGATGTGCTGGCGGGAGTAGCTGCAGCGCGGTGGGCGGACCGGGGGCCTCGAAATTGGGCAGCAAGCCAGGCGACACGCTCGCCACGCAGGGAATGACGGCCGAAAGAGCTCGCGGGAAGGGGATGGAGGCAGATGCCGAGCGGATGAAGCGTGCCACGAGCTTCAGGAGACGGCGCGTGCAGCGGATGGGGAGGGGAGGGAGGATGAGTGCGTGGTAAGGGAAACAGACGAGCACTGAACTGTGAGAGGAGGTTTTTCTCTCGCGCGGGCACGGTTCGCCGAAACTTTGTTTCCCCCAAGCGAGCGCGGCTTTGAGTTAAGTTATACCCGTCACGCACGTCAAAGCTCCTGTCTCTTTGACTCGTTCAATGCGCCCGAGGACTACCGATGATGCTAGTTGTGTTCTTATTCTTCTACAAGCCGTGTTCCAACCCGTCACCGTAAAGTCCTCGGTGCTGCGTTGAGAGCCGAGTGGGAAAGGCTGAGCAACGTGCGCGAGGCCTCAGGCAGCATCGAGCAAATGGGCGGGCGTTAGCGTGTGCGTGCCGGCGGGTCCTCTTCACTAGTCCATTCCGACCCTCCCGCACCGCACCTCACTCCACGATCTCTCTTCGTTCCCCTCATACGCTATGCAAAGTCGTGATGAGTCGAGCAGGGCATGCTAGCCACGCGTCTGTGTAACCCGTATCCTGGTCACACCCAAAGAAAACCGCGACATTTCGTTGCCCCACAGTTGCACAACACTTTGTCCATGTTGCCGGGGTCTAGCGCCGCCTCTTCCCTCTTGGCAATCACCTCCTCCTCTTCCTCCTCGTCTTTGTCGAGGTAGTCGAACGTCAGTTCTTTGCCGGCGGGAATGTCCTCAATGGCAAAGAAGGCCAGATCGTAGACGCGCGCGTCGTACTTGTTGAAGCTCACGGTGTATTGCCGGCAATTGGGCTCGCAGCTGTGGTTGATGAACCGCGTGACGCCCCCTTTGTGCTGCCCATCCACCACGAAACAATTGTCGGCAGTTATGTCGGAGGCGTCACCAACAAACTTGTCCAGACTGTACAGGTAACTGGCCTTGTCTTTCGGGCCCGCCTGCTCTCGTTGCTCGGCTTCGTCGTTGGTGATGAGCTCGCCAAGGTAGGTGTCGATGAATTGCCCTTCAACAAGCTTCTCGCTGCACCGCACTCCCCAGCCACGGTTGGGAGTCTTGAAGATGGTGAGAGGCACGCGTCGTCCCTTCTGCACCACACGACTCTTGCACGCCGGGCCGCAGTTGCAATTGACGTTGCATTCATAGATCGCGTGTCTCGACTCGAGGTAGAAACGCTGCAACGTTTGCGGTCGATGTTCTCCCTGCGGCCTCTTGTAGGGAAAGCGCTTGGGGAGGTTGGTTCTGTCAACGAACGCCCCCTCCTTCATCTGTAGCGCATATTCTGCATGCCGCTGCGGCTCATCTCGTCTTAGAGCATCTTCGTCCACCGCGGCGTATTCCAGGCAGCCGCAGGCTCGAGGGAGCTCACAGCCAATGTGTTGGCCCATGTTCGGCCTGCACGGCTTCTGACAACCTTCGTACGTGTCCGGGTCCGCTCGATACACTCCATCGCCCAGAACGTAGGCATTGACGAATTGAAACTCCAGAGATGGTGCGGTCGAATCAACCTCATTCACCAGTGACAGGTTTCCCACCCGTCGTAGCTTGCGTTGAAATGCCTCCCTGATGAAGCGGGCAGCTTGCTTAGTCGGAGTGGCAGAGGCCTCTTCCATCATGTGAGGAGTCGGAAGTGTCGTCGCGTCAATTTCCACGGTCGGCACGCGCTTGGACTGTCACGTGTTAGCAATGTGAGATTTGCTGAGCAGGACGGAGTGCATCAACCTTCTTCGCCCCGATCCACCCCTCCTTTCTCTCGAGTACTCCGTTGTAGACGTGTACAGCTTCCTCTGCAGTCTCGGAGGGGATCGCTGACGTAGCCCGACTCCGATCGGAGGAGTGGCTAGGGGTGATGATGCCAAGCTCCGCATCACGTGATAGCGTTGCCTCATCGTTAGGTGAGGACCGTTTGCGCTTGCTCGGCACTGCTGATATATTGCCAACGGCGCCTCGACTTGGAGGAGCTGCGCGTGCTCGAGCCTCCACGTACCGCTGCACATGATGAAGAGCTCGAGTGAGTTCACTTAAACCGTGCCAGGAGCAGATGGCTTGTCGGAGCGAGGAGGCTGTGGGAGTTTGAGTGCGCCATCGGACTAGATATTCCTCCTGCTAATGAGTGACCTTGTTAGCTTAACAGGGGTGCAAACGCGTGAATATCAGGGAGAGCACTTACCTCATCCCTTAACCTGTGGCTAAGGACATTAGCGATGTCTGATGAGCGGATCTTGTGGGTCGACCGGCTAGAGCTAGTCGTTTCCGAGTTGTTTCTAGCCATGTAGGGAGAATCAGAGCATTTCCCTATGAGTTCACGCTCTTAAGGCGTTTAACTAGAATTATAGCGGATGTGTAGCTAAAGCACGCGGTCTATTAAAGCGCGCTAGCCGGAAAGCGTTAGATACATCGCTAGTAGTAGTACTGTTCTATATACTTTAAGGAATAATAGTAGATTTGCTCTTTATACACGTAGAAGCCGTAATAGGTAAAAGAAGTAGAAGAATAAGATATGATAGGTTACTCGTCTCATACGGTGATTGAGCCCATCGTTTTTGAGGCTAAGGTACAGAAGTGGCTTGAACTGTCCTTTGTGTGGCGGCCACGACTTGTGGCCGTGTAAGGTACTTTATGCGACAAGCGCACCGGCCATCAGGCGATCCCGTCTCGGAAATTTCACGAGCGTGAATTGACGGCATAATTTACTTCGTGCTCAAATGTCAAGACTTCTCGAGTTGCACATGCAATCGCTCTGGTCAAGATGCCGGCGACAACAGCGACTTCTGGAGAAGCGAACCCGTTTCTGAAACAATTGGCCTCAAGCAGTACGGTCCTCAATCCTCTCAAAGAAGAGCAGCCTTCAAGTCCTAACCCCCACTCGCAGATCGCAAAACCCGAGATCAAGCACTCGAATCCTTACGAACCTATCTTCAACGTCCAGCAGCCTTTGACGAGCTCGACTTTCTCAAACTATGGAAGGGCCTCTTCTTCTGCATGTGGATGTCGGACAAGCCGCTCACCCAGCAGCGACTGGCGCGTGATCTCGCCGATCTCGTGCACGTGGTGAAGAGCAAGGAAAACTTCCTGGGCTTCGTCCAGGCCTTTTGGTTGACGATGGCGCGGGAGTGGGGCGGCATTGATGCTCTGAGAATGGACAAGTTCCTCTACCTGGTGCGATGCTATCTCAACCGCGGCTTTGAGCGCGTGAGTCGTCGAGGCTGGTCGGACGATGCGCTCTGCGACCAATATCTGCACATCCTGGAACTCGTGCCGTTGAACACCGACGATCCCAAGGTTCCGCACGGCCTGCGATTCCATGTCATCGACATCTACGTGGATGAGCTTGACAAGGTGGACACGAAGCGTGATGTGCCGTTAGAAAAAGTTATATCACCAATGGAGAAGCTGAGCAAGTCCTCCTTGAGCAAGGCAGTGAGGCAGCGGGCACAAGCAGCCTTGGAAGACGAGCGGTTGCACGACTGGAGAAATGTCCATCAGGAGCTTGATCAATCCGACGATGGGGATGTCGTCGGTGACGGGCATCAAGAACATCAAAGGCAAGCTCGCGGCTCAGCAGCTGGGGAAGAGGATGAATTTGGCGGTTTCGATGATTGATGATGATATCCTGCAGCTCTTCCTGTGGTTTAGCGAAGGCGTTTGGGTCTAGATGTCGTGCAAATACCCAATGAAGTCGATTTCAAGAGCAACTCTGATTAATGAGATATCTAGCCCTGGATGATCATCCAGAATCCTCTCCATCGTAAGACTCTCCACGTCGGTTGGCGAGGTATATGCGTCCAGACTCGTACACCCCCAAGTACAGTCCGCTCCCCAACATGGTCCACACACCGCGCAATAAGCCGCCCCTAAACAAACCCTTCACCCCGTGCTCTTGTATCACTTCCCGCGCAATCTGCAAGCTTCCCTTGCTGCTCGGAGGCTTGGCCACATTCTTCACAGCCTCGACAAGCCCTTGTTTTGCCTCTTGCATAGTCTTCCCAGTGGCATCCACGAAAACGCCCTTACCGCCCTGGCCAGCTTTCTTCGCAGGTGTCTGATCTTCTGCGGCGCTTTCAGCCGCGGACAGCATGATTCTGGTCTTGACCACGTCGACCGGCGTCGTGACCACGGCAGATATGCTGCCGCCAATTCCCGCACTCACCGCCGTGATGAGCCCGCTCTCGAGCAGCGTGTGCGTACGGATGCCCTGTTCATTCCGATACCGTCGAATCCTATCTCTCAGTCCTTCAAACATCGGAAACTGCAATGCCGTGAATGGCAAGTTTCGTCCCGCCAACGCCGAATAGCCTCTCCAAAGTGCAAGAGGATTGGAGCGAAAGCGAGCTAGGGTCTGCCATGTCGCACTCCCAAAGCCCCCGCCTGAAGCGGATCGATCGACCATCTGCGCATTCTGCTTGATGACTTCTGCGGGGGTCAAGATGGCGCAAGAGACCAGCTCGGCCGTCCCGGATGCTGCGGCATGAATCAGGGGTTGAGGAAGCAGCTTGCTCCCGCCAATGGTCGGATTATTATCGGAAAGAATGGATTTGACTCCTTCGTAGGTGGTGAAGAAGGCACCAGAGGAGGGTAGGGTGGCTACAATGGCACTTCCAACACCTTGATAGACGCCACGGAACAAAGCCCTGCTTGGAGCATTGCTGGGCCCTTGCGTGTAACGTTTCTGATATGAGGGAGACTGGATGCGAGTCTTGATGGTGTCCAAAGGGAAGACGATGAGATCGACGGTGAATGCGGCGAATGCTCCGGCTATCCAGATGTCGGCATTGGTGTTGCTGGACATTGACCGACAGCTGTGCAAGATGCTTTGGGAGACGAGAAGGTCTGTCGTCGTTGCGAAGAGGTCGATGTTGAAGCATGTCTTGACGTCAAGGGATAATCGAATTATTATCAGATTGATGATCAGATAAGGAACTCGGCGTCAGACATCTCGATTTGCGGCAGGATTGCCGACGTGCACTTCAACATCGCCGTTAACTGCACAGGAGTGGTATTCTTGACCTGATCTCCAGGATCATGAGCACTTTCGGAGGCCCAGGTGGCCGCCAGATCATCTCCAAACCCGTGCCTCCGGAGCGGGGGTCCTTCCCACTGGACCACGATGCCGAGTGCCAGCCGTTGATGAAAGAATACCTCAAATGTCTTCGAAGCACCCGCGGAGTCAACGAGGATGCCTGCCGCGAGTTGAGCAAGAAGTATCTGCAATGCCGCATGGACAGGTGAGGCGTGGTGATGCATGTCGTATGCGCTGCTGTATCGCTGATGGAGCATGCCAGGAATTTGATGGCGCCAGATTCGATGAAGAATCTGGGCTACCAGGATCTGGATAAGACGCCGGCGACAGTCGACAAGCCTGAGTCGAGTGTGAATGCAGGCAAAGGAAGATAAGGCCGTGCAGAGACAACTGCCCTACGCACAGATGGACATCGACCCCAGACATCCGGCGAACCCAGCATTTCCACGGCCATGGATACATCTCACCAGCGATGCCACGCGCCGAGAGCGAGCTAGATGTTCCAGACGGCTGCTTTCGAGCTCCAAACTCAAGGCGAGATCTTGCATTGGGAAGCCCTCCTCAACTGGGAACGCTAGCGGATGCAGCAGGGCGGGAAGGTGGAAGCGCTTAACCGGCAGCACACGTAAAATCAGTGCGTATTGCAGTCCAAAAGCTACATGCAAACGATCGACTATTGTAGCTGGTCCTTGGGACATAGCGCAGTATTGAAATTCCAAGCAACTCCACCGTATCTCGCACGCCATTGCACGATCCGACCCCCTCGAAGCTCTAAATAAATGCAGCCATGCGTTCGAACGCTCACGAGAAGCAGAAAAAAGAGATCAACGCCCTTCGCCGCCCAGTTCCAACCCGGAAACGCACAAAGATAGGTCGTCATAGAATCGTTGCCCCGCGTCCCCAGGTGGTGATTCGGATCGCGGTCATTGGGACGAGGTGCAGCCATACACCCATGACGGTAGTGACGGTGGCGGTATGATGCCTCCCGCGAGGTATGCCCGATGATGCGAAGTAACACGTTTCCCAGGCCTAGCGGGCTAGTCCGAGTGAAGGGTAGATGGCGACGAAATGCTCATCAAATCATTCGGCGTAGCATGGAAGGGTTGCCATGCTATTGCATCTCGTCCATGAAATCCTCGTCTTCCTCCTTGAACTCCTCGTCCCAGAACGGGTTGTGAGACATCTGACCGCTGCTCATCCCGCTGCCTCCGGGCTGGAATCCCGGACTGACCGTCTGCTGCTGACTGGTGTGAGAGCTCGTGGCAACTGGGGCGTCCGCGGAAATACTGTCGCCGGCAACGTTGGTGAAGCCTGGCACCCGCAGGCCGGAACCGGGGGCGCGGGAGTAGGTGTCGAAGGAGTCGTGGTCATTGTGCTTGTTGAGGATCTCGGTGATTTCGTGCAGCATCCTTCTTTCCTCTTCGTTGGTCTCGAACGGCCAAGGGGTGCCCGACTGCTGAAGCAGCTGTTTCAATTGCTGCTCTTGGTCGATCTTCTTCTCGAGGTACCACATCATATCACGCACCCAGGCCACGGAGCCGTTGAGGATGTCGCCCTTGTTGGGGCCCTTGTCTTTCTCATCCACGGGCAAGCCTTGTGTGATGTTGCCGCTCGTGGCTCGTCGCGCCTGCGGCCCAGCCAGGAGAGACGTGGCAGCGTTGGGAGGAGACAGGCCGGCATTGGTGATGGAGGGGGATAGAGGGGCGTTCGTTTGCAGGTGCTTACGCACCTTTTCATCTTCGAGCCTGTGCCCTGGCACCAGCGTGCCCAGCTCCTGGATGCGCTCGTTGATGTTGTCTCGGCGCCGCCTCTCGACCATGTTATGTGACTCGCGCCGTCTGCGTCGTTTGGCCTCTTGCGCATGCACCCCCGGGTTCGCGCCGCCCTCCATCTTAGTTGGCAGAGAGGAAGCGACTTTGTGGTGCTGAGGGTGCGTCTTCAGGACCTCGGTGATTTGATTGTGCATCGGATGCGCGTTGCCCGGCGACGGGAAGGGTGAGGCTTCGTTCCAGCTGTGGTGGCTCGACGTACTGTCCCAGCCGTTGCCCATGGAACCCTTCTGCCGGTGATGTTGTATCTGCTGCATGCCCGGATGCGGATACTCATCGGACACTTGCAGTCGGGTGATGTTGGGTGTGGCGGGAGAGCGCGAGTCTGACACCTTGCGGATCATCTGTTGGCGGAAGACTTGCTGCGGCATGCTGTGCGCACCGAATTGTTGGCCAGCTGCGGGGCGGAACTGGTTGTAGTTGAAGTCGTTCGTGAAGGGCGACTGGATTGGTGCGCCTTCGGGGGTATGGGAGAACATGGCGTTGTTCTGTTGCTGCATCGCTCGCTGATTCAGTAAGTTCTGCATGCTCTGAGCGAAATCGAAATTGTTGCCCTGCGGTTGTCCATGGTCGAAGTCCAGGTCCAAGAGCTCATCATCTGCGATGGCCGCGTTCGAAGTGCTGAAGTTCTGGGAGAAGTTGTTGGTGGTCAGATTCGCAGGGTTGATGTTCATGCTACCCCCGGACAGATCGAAGTTCTGGCCTTGGTTGAACTGAGCATATTGATCTGGGTTGAAGGAGAAATCGTGAGGTTCGGGTTTGATGAACGGCGACCCGGTTCCGGCCATTGCAAGTATCTCCAGGGGCCGCCCCTTCTCTACGCCGTGGAGATATGGGCCGCGTCTGTTTGGGTGGAATGAGGAAAGCGGTGCACCCTGCTACAAGTCACGCACCGAAGGACGGCTCGCACAGGTGCTGCAGCTCTCTCCTTGTTCTGACGGCCACAGCAATATGATGCGCCCGCAGTGTGGCGCAACGAGGTGTCGCGATTTGCTGTGTAAGTTTCGATAGGCAGGCCCACGATGGGCGAGGTGGACGGCTTGAGATTGACTTGGTGTAGATGGCCGCCTCCGGGGAGGGTGTGAAGTGGCGCGCGGGACTGCTGTCACCACTGTATTTCTCGATGTGTATGGAATAGATTCGGATGGTGAGGACGGTGGTGGCGCGTGTGAGGGAGGAGTTGATGAGGCCTAGAGGCTTGAGCAGGTCAGCGAGATGCATGCAAGAGGCTCATCGTCGGGCGCATCATCAGGCAGCTCCAGGCGTGGTTCGCGGCGGCGTCCGCTGCGTGCCTCGACCGAGAGCCCTGCGATGTGCGGGCGCGATGAGGTGCGGGGCAGAGGTGTGGATGGGAAGAGATATGGGGGGAGACAGTGCACTCACGCTTCCGAGCGGATAAGAACGTGGAAGGGAATATGTGGATGTGGAGGCAAGTTGTCGGGGGTGTGGCGGTGGGCAGAGGAGTGCAAGTGAACTGAGATGCACGGCGGGGCGCGGCGAGCGAGGGTCGCTTAGCTGCCTGAGGGCCGGGTCAGTCTCGCTGGCAAGGTGCGGCTGCGATGTCGGCAAGGCACTCAGTCCGCGCGCTTTGTGCGGACAGCGTTGGGCCGGAGAGACAGACGAGACGGCGGTGGAGAGACGGGTGGGTGCAGGTAGTAAGGTAGGTAATCAGGTAGGTGGTAAGACGGAAGGTGTGGAAAGAGCAGAAAGTGACGATGTGTTCAAGCCACACCCAAGGCAGGAGCCGCCCACCCTCGACTCCCCCGAACTTTCCGCGGGGAAGTGACGAGCACCGAGAGTGAGGCTGTGCTCTCGCCGAGGCTTGTCTTCCGCACTCGACAAATCACCGACAGGCTCCGTCGGATGGCGAAGGAAGCAGAGATGACGAATGACGGAGGAGAATATAAGGACGGGAAATGGAGCAGAGGGGATGGGCACATTAATAGGCCGCCCAAGACTCGAGTACCTGCCTTGCCTATATCGATGTCGTTGATTGTCAGCTGCTGCTCCGTCTCACTTCCATCCACCCTCGCTCGACTCCGTGATGGCATGACTCAACTCCTCCATTCATTGTCCCAGCGTAGGGGGCGCGCTTTCTCTATCCTTCATCTGTCCAGCTGCCCTCGTTTCCCGCGCATGATTAGACTGTCGGCTCGACCAACGCTGAGACAACGAGCCCTCCTCCCCCGGGCCTCCCTTTGTCCATGCGGTGGCAGCAGCCCATCCCGACCACACCCGCAGAGCATTCATCCCAGTCCGCAATGAAACACGCGTCAGATGTCCCGATGCACCCTGCCATCTCGGTCAATCGGTGCAACAGATCTCCGCGTGTTCGTGATGAGATCGGCGAGCGGCGGCGTGCGACCTGCACGTCCCGCATTTAAGCTTTCGCGCTTGCAGTCCGCCGCCTCGAACCCTGCAGGAACTCTTTCTCCGCCGACGAGCGGCCTGTTGAAAGCTACCACACCTCTTGCAACCACTACATCCTACGCCGCCGCCCGATCGCCTTTCTGGAGCCTCGCCCCACCACCACACCTCCTCCTTTTCCTGGCGCAATATCCCACCCACTGCCAACCCACCCTCTCCAGCTCCACCTCCTACTCCGTCGAGCATTCGGCGTTCCCTCCGGCTCCAACATTCAGACCAGAGTACGCGTGGTCCGCTAGTAGGCTACACCTTTCCGCAAGCTAGCCCCTACAAGGCTGCCTCGCATTCACATCACCCCGCCAAGTCATTTGTCCCACCTCGAACTCTCCTCTTCCCGCCGTCCGTATCGTACGGCGAAGATGGCGTCCACCTCCTTTCGCGACAGCATGAATAGCTTGGGCTGGTCCAGACGGGAACAAATCGCGAGCACCAGCACGAGCAATCAGAGTGGAATCTATGGCACGATACAGAAGCTCAACCCTTTCAGTGGCGAAGGCTACCTACGATTGCCAACACACGAGAATGATGATGGTCCTGGTGCACCCTTGCCTCAGCCAACGCGGCGACAGGAAGAGGTCCGTTCTTTCATTCCCCTCCTCCTTTGTCATGCGTGAAAGATGTGGTGCTGATGATCTGCGTGTTGTTGTAGGAAGGATGGTTTGCTTGTAAGTGTGCACCTCCTTTGTCCAGCCGCATGGTCTTGCTCGTGACCGCTTTCGATCGCGCCACAACACATTTCGAGAGGATCGCGAGAGACACGCTGACAACCACGCCTAGTGAGCCGCTGGGATAAGCTGTTGATGTTTGGTGGACTCAACGCTGCCGCGATCGTCCTCTTTGTCGTCTGCTTCACCCTCTTTCCTGTTCTGGCGCTGAAACCCACCAAATTTGCCATCATGTACGTCCTGCCAGCTCACTCCCCAAGGCGTGCCTTACCCCTATTTTACTCCGCCTCGTGTCTCACGACGAGTTATACAGTCGGCTGACGTATGCACAGATGGTCGATGGCGTCACTCTTGTTTCTCAGCTCTTGGGCGGTCCTCATGGGACCATGGATCTACGGTATGCTGTCGGCCTTGTTGCACGGCTCCACCCTCCATGGCTAATCTCGTCCACAGTCCAGCATCTCCTCTCCAAAGAGCGGGTGCCATTCACGGCCACTTACTTTGGCAGCATCGCCCTGACTTTGTACTTTGCGCTTGGGGTAGGTGCTCCTTCATGGATCGCAATCCTGCCACGAATATCATTCACTAATCTGCTTTGCCACCTCAGCTTCGCAGCAAGCTACTGACGTTGATTTCTGCCGTCATCCAGCTTGTTGCATTGGCCTGGTACGCAATCAGCTATTTCCCGATGGGTTCGCAGGGACTTCGATTCGCGACAAGGTTTGGCGGGTCTCAAATAGTGTCGTGGGTGACAGGTTGATCGCCGGCGCCAAAACAATGATACTGTCGCCGAGTATGCCTTCTAAGGCTACATGGCCATCGTGTTGCCCCCTTCCACATTCCATTCTCACAGCTTCCATCCTCTCCGTTTAGCCAGCATCGTCTCTTGCCGCACCGCCAGATCCGAGATGATCTCCTCCGACCCTCCCCCCACGACCATCATACGCAGATCACGACTAATCTGCTCCACGACCGCACCGGGGCCACCTCGTTGATACCCTGCTCCGCCGAGGACTTGCTGTGCTTCTCGATTCGCCATTTCGAGCAGCCTGCCGCCTTGCACTTTGGCGAGAGCTATCCGGCCCGCGATGTCGGGGTCTTGCCAGCCTTGCGCTGACTTCTGTACGGCGTAGGCAATCTGCTCCAGCCAAGCCCAGTGCGACTCCACGTATCGGGCCATGATGGTGAATTTGCTGGCGATGATCTGGTTGTCGATGAGCTTCTTGCCAAACGTCTCGCGTTTGTTGGCATAGTCGAAAGCGACGCTGAGACACGTGCGTGCTTGTCGGTTGCAGCCCACGCTCATCACAAAGCGTTCGCGATTGAAATTCCGCATGATGATTTTGAAGCCGTCCCCCTCTCGGCCAAGAAGATTGCGAGTCGGAACGTGCACCTGGTCCAGCTCCACCAGCGATGCGCCTCCTCCTTCTTGACCACTATTGAGGATTCGTCGATGTGAGACGCCCTTCGAGTCGAGTGGAATGACGAGTACGGAAATGCCTTTCATGCCTGGGCCGCCCGTCCTCACTGCCGTGGTCATGTGCGTGGCCCAAGGCGCGCCTGTGATCCATTTCTTCCATCCGTTGACCACGTAGAACTTGCCATCAGACGAACGACGCGCGGTGGTTTGAATGTTTGACACATCCGAACCAGCTGTAGGCTCGGTGATCCCGAGGCAGAAGCTTGTCTTCAGGTTGAAGAGTCCCGGGAGCCACTCCTGCTTCTGCTCTTCATTCCCATGATGAATGACGGGCGGAATCCCAATCACGTTAGCACCAGCAATACTTGTAAAGACTCCGCCTTGCACTCGAGAGGACTCGTCGGTAGCAATGAGCAGGTGCAACGGATCAAGATGGTCAACGTGGATTCCGGCTGGATGAGGAGCGCCGCACGGGCGATATTTGGATGGAACGTCTGTCAATGCGAACCCCGAGCGGTGCCATTGCGTGGCCACTTCGCGAGGGGCGCCTCCTTCTCTCGCCCAGTCCAATGCGTATGGTCTGATGTTCTCGTCGATGTAAGCCCGCAGAGCACGCTGCAACTGCTGATGGGATTCTGTGTAGTAGGGCGACGCGATCCCGTGCAGCCACGCGGGCTCGCTCCACGGCGACAAGTCGATGTTATTAGGCGTGGCATTCGACATGTTGACAGCGTCTTCCAATCACACGTTTCTTTTGTGGTTCAATAGGTACTGTCCACTATGCGTGAACCATCACTAATGGCGTTGGGCAGGTCTTGGTGTCAGCGAGACGAACGAAGCTCGGCTTTCGAGCAAGGCTTCACCCTGCCTCGGCACTTCAGCCCTTGATGGACACGCAGGTAAGGCAAGCTCACAAGGTACTCAAGAGCTGTATTTATCGTATCTATTTCATCGACTATCTTCTACACCTGCATGTAGTGCTTGGCCACGGGTTTGACTTGGCTGCGCCATGTCTAGTGGACGTGGACATCAAATGCGGCTGAAGGCTGGGGATTGGCCAGAGCCCATTTGATGCCTCCATGATAGACATCATCCCAAGCACGACTCCCGTGGGGCAATTTGTCTCCGAATCGTCGGAAACCATGCGGTAGGCCTGTACAATCACGTCAAAACATTGTTAAGCAGCCGCTCAATGACCTCCTTACCTTTGAAAACGTGCACATTCGTTGGAACCCTGGATGAGTTGCAGACATCAGCAATCTTCCATTTCTAAGCACTTGTGCAGAAGGGTTCAAGCGCACCCAGTCTGCTGAAGCATTTTGGCAAATATCAAGCCTTCGTCTCGCAACGGGTCTGCACCACAGATGCCGAAGGTTGCTGGCGGTAACGCCGCGATGTCCACAGCAGGTACAAGGCCGGGGTTGGCGCGCCAGTCGTCGGCAAGTGTCGGTCCCTGGAACGCCATGCTGTTGAAGAAGTCGATTCTACTAACGGGCAATATGGGCGCATATTCGAGCTGGATCCACGATGATAACCCGGGATCCGCGAGCTGTTTGACGTAGGACTCGGAGTGTTCTTTGTGTACAAGTGGGGGGATCATCAGGACCTAGAGATTCCAGCAGTCAGAACAGCGAGGCTACAAAAGGGTTCCGTGATGGTGTTGCGAAGCAGAACAGGGTGTGGAGTACACACCTGCCCAAGAATGCGATGTCGCAGGGGATTCTGCTCTCGATGCAAAGTCAGCATCAAGGCCGCGGTCAAGTAGGCACCAGCAGATACGCCGCCAACGACGATGCGAGATGGATCGCCCGCAAAGTCTCCCGCGTGCTCCGCGACCCAGGCAAGGGCATCTTCGGAGTCGTGCCAGGCGGTGGGATAGTTGAAGGAGGGCGTGTGCCGATAATTCACGTTCAAGACGGCGGTGTGAGTAGTCAGGGCGATGCGCGAGCATGTGGCATCCTCGGAAGCAAGCGTGCCAAAGAAGAAGCCGCCGCCGTGGAAGTGGATGTAGATTGGCAAGGGTTCAGTGGCAGAGACGGCAGCAGAGCGATAGGTACGAGCCTCGACATGGGAGCCGTCACGCGTGGGGATGTGCCAGTCTTGCATGACCATTTGATGCGAGAGCTGCTTCATCTCCTCCCGTGCCGTGTTGACGCGCGTTTCGTTCGTGCTTCGCTGCAGCTCATGCGCGCTCAACTCTGCAGGCACCGGGAGGGTGGCCTCTAACCTGCGCCATTCCTCGCTGGCCTCTCCATACTGGGAAAAGTCCATGGTTGGCGGCGCCGTCCAGTCGTCCTCATCTACAGGGGTGCCCTTGATTGGATGTCGTACCGAAACACCAGGTAGAATTGATCGTCGACCGCAACAGCATCAATCGAGCAAAGAGCCGGAGTGCACGTGCACTTGCATGCCGCTGTGGCGTCGCTTCCCGGTTTGAAGATTGCCCTGTGCCCGCATTTCGCGTCGACTGCATTTTTCTTGCTTCCGCCACACGTCCGCCGCGACCTGGACAACGGCCATGCTTCCTATACTGCACCTACGGCGAAGGTGAGCCTTCAAACCCCCCGCCACGAGCGTGCAAGTCCAGCGTGAGACCGAGGGATGCCCGACGCCACATCCCACGTCCAAGCTTGAAGTCATCTCACCTCCCAGCATGCCGGGTGGCAGTCCGCCGCTCTCCGCGCGCTCTGCTCGTGGACAGGCCTCTGAAGGCGTTGCCCCTGCCCAACCCGTCGCCACCATCATGGAGGACGTGGACGGCGATGGCGATGCCCGCCCCGAGCAGCAACGCTTCGACTCCTCCGGCACCATGTCGTCCGACAACGGCGATGCGCGCGATGAGACGTACAGCGACAGCGAGGCCACCTCCGCCTCTCAGCGCATCTTCACCCCCGCCAGCACCCTCGCCAGCGACGACGTGCCCCCGTTGAACCACTTCTCCAGCTATGGCTGGAGCGCCGCCGCCCCCCTCCGCCCCGCTCCCGGCAAGATGGCCATGACCCCCGGCCCCTACGAGGGCCTCCCGGGCCTGCCGCAGCCGTCCATGACGAACGGCATGCATTCCTCCCAGCGTCCCCCGCGACCCACCGCTCTCCGCCAGCTCTCCAACGCATATGCTCCTCCCCGTCGTCCCCACCAATACTCCGTCAGCTCCGCCGGCCGCCAGCGCTCCGGCTCCACCCACCGCTCCCGCCGCAATCCCAATGCCGAATTTCGCGCACAAGAGCGCGCCTACGTCCAACGCATCCGGCAAAACGAGGCGCCCGAGAATGACTTCTACGCCGAGCCACGCACGCCCAGCTTGGGCTTCAGCAGCGGCTCCGAGCCCGAAGACGGCTCGCCCACCGCCAACAACTTTCCCGAGAACGATCCCTACGACCAAGAGGTCATGCTCTACTACGGTAGCTACGACGCCGAGCCATCGGTGGAAGAGTTGAAGATACCGGCGAATCGGGAGAGATTGGAGTGGCACGCTATGCTTGCAAACGTCCTGACCGGAGATGTCGTGAAGCAGGAGAAGAAACGACTGATTGGCGGGCTCGAGCAGGGCGGGGAGAACTCCCTCCGAACGGAGGTATGGATGGGCGTGCGGGCCAAAACGTGCGGCCGGACGGTGGCAGCGCAAAAGCGCCTGATAGAGGAGGCTCGCACAAAGATCAAGCAGTCCATCGAGAGCATCGTCTCCTTCGAAATCAAGGGCGAAGCGGAAACAGGCAAGACGGCGGCGGACCAGGTGGATGGCATTGTCAGGAAGGTGGAACAGATTGAGAGCCTCTATCCCACTCGACAGGCCTTCGAAGCTGCGCACCCTCGGGGCGCCGCGCAAGCGTACAGAGACACGTGTGATGCCGTCGTCTCCTGGCACAACACCATGCAGCTTATCAACACCGAGCTCGGCATTCTCCAGAGATGGGTGGGCAACGAGGAACTCGACTTCCTGAAACGCCGCGAGCAGCCCTCCGACGGCCACCCAAGCAACCTCTTCGACGAAAGCTCCTTCATTGACCGCATTTTGAAGGAGGACGGACTGAAATCACTGCAAGGGGACAACAGCTTATTGAATGGGGTGAATGGGGTCATCCACAAGGCCAAAGCCACTCTGATCCTCAATGCTGGAGGCTTTGCCGATCGACATCTACCGCCATACATCGAGGAGCTGCTGACGCTGATCAACTTTCCGAGCCGACTGATCCAGGAAATCATCAAAGTGCGCCTGTCGTATGCACGGAACATGAAAGATCCCAAGCAACAAGGCGTCATGATGGCTGAGCAGATGATTCTTCAATTTCAAATCCTCCTCAAACTTGCTGTGCACATCAAGGAGGAATACACCGTCGTTGCACGTCCCGAACCGGGCTGGGACTTGCCACCCTGCATCGACGACGCCTTCGACAGTGTCGTGTTGGAGGCTCTCAAGTTCTACTTCGAGATGCTCAATTGGAAGCTCAAGGCCAACAAGAACACTTTCAAAGAAGCCGAAATCCTCGAGCAGGAATGGGACTTCTCCAACGAGCTGGGCAGACACCTCGATGGTGGTGATGTTGAAGTGGCCGAGCAATTTTCCGGCCTGACAAGCAAGAGCTTGGCAAGGCTGACTACCAGCTTCGAGGAAGAGCTGCACCGACGGCCTGGCGAAGTGGCCGGTGCTGAGATGGACAAACGGTACAAGTCCATCTTGGATTCCGTGCGAGTCAGGCAGAGGAAGATCTTCCGTTTCTCCCGACACCTGAGTCAACGGTTCGAAAATGCCACCGAGTATAACATCAACATCGAGAACGACCATTACCAAGATCTTCTCGATGCTCTCGTGTACTCGGGTCATTTCTTGGTCGAGACTCAAGCCAGTCCGTCGGATTCCAGGATCTACGTGATCGCCTCGCCGGTTCTCAGAGACCGGCTCAAGGACATCCAAAGCATGCTTGGTACCTGCTATCACGCCGAAGACTCTCCAGAAGACCCGTCCAACCCATACGTGCTCATCCTCAAACCCGAGAATCCACTCACGTGGGAGGGGCAAAGGATTGACTCCGACATGCGGCAGCCCAATCTTGGCGTGAAAACTGGACGCTTACGCCTTGTTGCAGACGGGAGCCAACAGCGTCTGGCGAATGCCAACATGGCCTTTATGGCCATCACGCAGAACACTGAGCTCAACGTGCTTATCGAGCAACGCGCCAACCTACCCCGAGTGGCCCAGGAACTGACCAAAATTCGAAAGACAGCGTACAAGCTCTCCAATACCATCATGGATTCCGTGGAGATTGTGCGGAAGCAGACAGAGGGACTCGAATGTCAAGAGCTGATCCAGACGTGCTTTGCGTTTGCCACGGAGTTTGGGCAACGCTCTGCAATCTACATGGACAACCAAAGACGAGTCATGCATCATTTGAAGCTGACGCATCTGGCGCTTGACTGGGTGAGCTTCATTTGCGACGACTGCGTGGCATCGGATCGCAAAACGTTCCGTTGGGCCGTGGTGGCGCTGGAGTTTGCGATGATGATGACTAGGGGCCAGAACATTCTTTCCATCAGCGACGACGAATATGCGACCCTGCGAGCAAAGGTGGCTGGGTGCATGAGCTTGCTGATCAGTCACTTCGACATCATGGGAGCGCGGAGCACCGTGGCTGCGCAGGCCGAGAAGCAGCGGCTCGAGTCTCTGGTGGGCAAGGTGAAAATGGACGTGAGCAAGCTGAAAGACGACGAGGAAAGCATGCGGATTGTACGTGCGCAGTGGCTCGACGAGCTGGACAGAGTGGACCAAGCACGCAAAGATCGCGAATCGGACCGGCAGGCGTTGGGAAGGGTGCTAGAGGAGAGCAACGAAGCCGACCGTGCGCTCACCCATCTCTCTGCAAGTGCCGGTAACGTCCACCTACGTTGGCAACAGGGCCAATTCGTCGGCGGAGGCACGTTTGGCAGTGTCTACGTGGCCATCAATCTCGACTCGGGCCAACTGATGGCAGTCAAGGAAATCCGCCTCCAGGACCCCAAAATGATCCCCACGATTGTGTCGCAAATCCGAGACGAAATGGTGGTCCTACAGGTGCTAGACCACCCCAACATTGTGCAGTACTACGGCATCGAGCCTCACAGGGACAAGGTGTACATCTTCATGGAATACTGCTCCGGTGGCACGCTCGGCGGACTCTTGGAGCATGGTCGCATCGAGGACGAGACCGTGATCCAGGTGTATGCCCTACAGATGCTCGAGGGCCTAGGCTATTTGCACGAAGCCAACGTCGTGCATCGAGACATCAAACCTGAGAACATCCTCCTCGACCACAACGGCGTCATCAAGTTTGTGGACTTTGGCGCGGCTAAAGTCATTGCCAAGCAAGGCAAGACCGTCGTGGCGGAGGGCTCGGATGGCCGGGGGCGGAAGGAAAGCATGACGGGGACGCCGATGTACATGTCTCCCGAAGTCATCAAAGGCGGCCACCACCCGCATGCTCGCCTCGGCGCCGTCGACATCTGGTCCATGGGCTGTGTCATCAGCGAGATGGCCAACGGCGCTCGCCCCTGGGCGAACCTGGACAACGAGTGGGCCATCATGTACAACATTGCCCAAGGCAACTCGCCCGAGCTGCCGACATCCGATCAGCTCTCGGCCACGGGACTCGACTTTTTGAGCAAATGTTTCGAGCGAGATCCGGCGAAGCGTGCCAGCGCGGCAGAATTGCTTCAGCACGAGTGGATCTTGTCGATTCGCAGCCAGCTCTCGCTCGACCCAAGCACACCGCAAACGCCCGCCAGCGAATCCGGGAGTTTTTCGATGAGTAGCGACAGTAGCGGGCCCACGGGTCCGCACCGACACAACAGTCATTGAGTTGGAGTTTTGACCTCACGCAAAGCATGATTTTCATAGTCTGATCCTTTGATACTTCCCGCGAGAGATGCAGGAACACGAGACGTGCGAGAAAAAATTTGAGGGATAGCGAGGAGCTTTTGTACAAGCGACTGGGAAAGATTCTGAACGGAGAGGACCTAGATCGATTGTCCTTTTAACATTTAGTCATTTTTACTTGCAGTCATGACCGAACCCACCCCTGACCAATCCTCCTCCGTGCCAGCACGCATCATGGCGTATCGTATCAAAAGTCGTAACGCCGTGTCCTCAGCAGCTCACCCACCGTGTGAGCTTTCCCTCTAACATTACAAAAAGCTCAAGGGGTTACGAGGGGTTGCATATCAAATGCGGCCCTCAAGGATCTCTTCAATCCCACCCAACGACGGCCCGAGAACAGGACGTGGCTCGACCATGGCGACCAGCTCGTGAGCGAAGCCGACTCTTTCCTCCTCCTGCTGCAATTCCAACGCACTGCGAACGGCCCTGATTCGTCGGTGATTGCTGCCAGGGCGTGCCAAAGATTCCAAAGATGAAGAGTCCGAGTCGAAGCTGAAGCCGGAGCAGTTGGACGAGGCGGTGGTGCCCGCTGAGGATAACGGCAGTCGAGATGATGCGGAAGCTGGCGAGGCGGAATGCGAGAAGGGACTGAAGGCTGTCTTGAGCCGTCGGAGCGAGCTGCGTGGATGCATTGGGCGGAAGATGGCCATGTTGGTTCGTGCGGGCGCCTTGAATCTTTAGGCGGCTGTGGAGTGGAGGGTGGAGCTTGAAGATGGCTTGAAGGACTGGCTCGGACTCGGGTATGCGGTAGGAATGGAAGGACTTGAAGAAGAAGAAGAAGAAGAAGAACTCGAAAACGAGCGTGGGTGGAAGACTGGGCTTCCGGAAATGCAGTAACGAGCGACAAAGGGTGGCAGAGAAGCGGGAGTACGCCAGACAGAGAGGGAGGAATGAGAGTAGGAGGAATGCGAGGCTCACCGTTGGCAACGTCGAAGACATGTACAGTAACACCCGTTTGTGGAGTGGGGCGTGTATGCACCGGGTCAGGGACGGTGGATCTGCGTGGATGCTGCAATGTAACTTCCCCTGGCAGAGGCTGAAACTCGTATTGGCAACACATGATGGTGCGCGCACAAGACGTACATACGGCCGGCAGCGTACGGAGTAGAGTTTGGGGCGAGGCGGCGTTGAAGTTTCACCCTTGCACCCTGTTCCCCAAAATGGAAGGCTCGACGAACGCCTCTCCGCCAATCACAGCGCGGGACTGCCTCCTTTTCGCCCAAACCGGCAGGGTGGCCAGCGTGCCCAACCGACGCAGCTCCGCGCTGGCCAATCTCGCCAACACGCACCACACTCTCGGCATTGGACGGGCATGCGAGCAGGTATGTCCTCGACCAATCCACTCCAATCAACTTTAACGCTGTCGACTCGGCGATGCTGACAAAATCCGTATGCACTTCGTCTATTACACCGAAACATAGGGGGTATCTAGAGTGTATCGCCCTCAGTCGCTCATATCGACGGCCAGGCAGAAGGCCCGGGATGTAGACAGACGCCAGACGCCATCTCCACGCACCCTCTCCATCAATTCTACCGCGCCTCCCGTCAATGGCATTCATTCCGTCGTAGCTCTCATCGTTCTCATGAAGAAAGCTGGCTCTCCCGTCGTCGCTGCGTTGCGCTCCGCCTCATGCTCCGCCCCCATACGCTGTTTTGGAACATCCCCATCACCTCGTTCTGACTGACCGCGCTGTTGGCCCGGCTTCTCGTCGCCCCATCGTTCTCGTCGGCCGGCCCGTCCTCGCTCGCTGGCGGGTAGCCAGGACTTGGCGGCGGAGACAGTCCACCTGCATTCTCCATCGCCGCCGCAAAGTGCCAGTCGGGCTGAATGCTGCTCGAGGAGCCAGACGGCCGGTGCCGGGTGGCAGAAAGGTACGACTCTTGCGACGGCGATGGCGGCGCCGAGCTCTGGATTGAATTGCTGCGGTTGCGCATCTCCGACCAATGCGTGCGGCCTGCGTCCGAGCCACTCGTCGGCGCTCGCCCGACTCCACCATCGCCACTCGTCCGCGGCGGTTCGTAGTCCACCGGCGTGACTGCCACATACGGGATATTGTCAAACTTCTTGCCTTGGCCGACATCCTCTTCGTCGCTCTCATCCTGCACGAAAATTTCGGGAATGCCGAGATTGGGGACTGCGGTGACGCGCGCATTCACTCTGCCCTCCTTCATGCGGCGGAAGCGCCGGCTGTAGTACAGAGTGTCGAAAAAGCCCTGAACGACCTTACGGTTCACCGCCTGTTCGACACGTTGCAGCCTGGCTCGCCGGCGCAGGAACTCCTCCATCTTCAAGGCCTTGGTGTCGTTGATGACTTTGTAGTGCGCGAGGATCATGAGCACCGCGTTGAAGGATATTCCCCGGTCGGGATCGGCCGACACCAAGACTTCTTCGTAGAACGCGTTCATCCTGGCGCGCCGTCTTCGGATCTGGTCGACTGGCAGCTCCGCCAGCCGCCGATTCAGTCGCTGGATGTCGATTTCCGCCGGCCCGACGCTCGCCCTATCGAACGAAAGGGCCGACGCTCTTTTCGCCTCCATCTTGCACTCGTCGATCAGCGCCCGCACAGAGAAATCGCCGTCGTAGATGCGCATCTCAAACACGCCGGACAGCTCGCCCAGGAACCTTGGAAAGGCGTCTTTGGAGATGAAACCCGTGCCGTTGGGGTCGAATTCCGCCCAGGCCTGCTTGAATCGGCGAATCTCCTCCCGGCTGATGATGGAGAGGCCGCTGCTTCTCTGGTACACGTACGAGAAGCTCTCATAGATCAGAGAAATGAACAAGTTCACAAAGATGTACATGCTCAGGATGTTCCACGAGATGAACAGGGCACGCGCCCACCTTGCACTGCCACAGTCGCCTTCAAGGTACGTCTCTCCCACCGTGCAGTACGGCGGGACGACTCTCGCAAAGTCTTCCATGATCTGATCCCAATTCTCGCCGACCGACATGCGGAACAACAGAATGAGGGCCTTGGGCACGGTTCGGAAGTTGATGTTGTTGGTCCCGTTATAATAGAAGCGCGTCAGCCCGAACGCCTGGGTCATCGCAATCGCATAGACCAGAAATAGGACAAACCAAGTCGCCAGCAGATTGGCGATGGAAGACAAACTCGCAGCGGCCGTCTTGAATAATTGGTCGAGCTGGTTGTTCCGCGGGATCAACAGCAAGGCAATAGACACCAGAAACAGCTTATGTACCTGGAGGACGTCCGGAGAGTTGGGCTCGGTCGCGGTGAGGATAGTGGTGACCAGCGTGCCGGACACAGCCAGCAAAGAGTACACATCCCACGCGCTCTTTCGGAACCGTGTCCACGACAAGCCGATGATGCGGATGACAATATTCACGACGTAGATCAGCGTGAACACCGCGAAGATGTAGTTCCTGGTGCGCGCCCACTGCCAGGGCTCCGGGTAGAATTCGAGGCACAGCAGGATCAGATGGAGAATCAGCACTCCGGTCATGGACCTTTGATACCACCCTGTCTTCGTGACCGCCCGCCGGTAGCACCATTCCTGCCAGTCCTCCCGCTTCTTCTTGTTGTACGGTCTTTTGCTGGGCGCGACCTGTCGCAACAGCTTCCGTAGCTCGAGCCAACTTCGCTGGTCGACGGTCAGGAACGCAACGCCGGTTTGCTCGGTGTAGTTTCGCATGAACACGGAGACAAACAGTGTCAGCACAAACACCGCTCCCAGTAGATTGAAGATCACAAAGTAGATGGCGTTGCCTTGCGAGGCAAAGTCCGTCGGCTGAGTGAATATCCCGGAGATGGACTGTGCACTCCACATCGCCTGCACCCACCCCTCTTGTGAGACAATCTCAAACAGTACGAAGAGCGCATCTCCGAAGTCGTCGAAGCTGTACCAGCTGTTTCGCACTTGGCGCGGGGCTGGGTACGGCCAGTTGTAGCCGGTAAAGTAGAACTCCCCCACGCAGTCGGTGAGATTGACAATCGGAATGGGCGAATTGATTGGATTGCCGCTCCCATTCTCTTGACTGCAAAACATCATTTTCCCGGCAAAGAGATTGAGGCCGTAGATGGCGAAGGGGATCAGCAGACTGATCGACACAAAGGCCGCAGACACGACCTTCCACCCGCCAAGTACGATCACCGAGTGGAATGTGTCCCTAGCACTGTCGCTCACGTTGAGCAAACGCAGCGCACGCAGGGCCTTGAAGGCACCAACGGCCCGCGAGCCACCGCCAGGGTCGAAGATTGACGTGATGACATCAATCCATAGCGTGAGGAGCACAATGCCGTCGATGAAACCCCAAGAGGACCGAAAGTACGCGTGTGGTGCCCAGAAGAATCCATCGGCGATGACCTTTATTATGGCCTCCACCGTGAACAAGGTCGCGAATCCCACGTCCGTCCAAGTGAACCAGTTGAAGACGGTGTGGCTATGGGTCCTGAAGTATTGTAGTTGATACAAAGGTGTGGTGATGCAGGCGAGGATGACCATGGCCACGATGGCCAGATAGATGAATGCGGAGAACGCGTACCAGACAGTGACGTTTGGCGAGACTCCTTCGATCCGTACGTTTCCTCGGCCAGGGCCAACCAGGCGCTGACAGAGTTTTCGCACTGGGTTGTTGTATCGGAAAAGATAGAGTGACACATTGTAGTTGGGATGGCGGCGCAGATACGCTCTCTGTGCAATTCGACGCTGTTCCGCAGCGGTAACAACTTGCTCGGCAAGAATTCTCGGGTCTACATTCCCCGATGTGGTGAGGTGTGTCCGCGAGAAGAACGGGTTTGGCTCGCTGTTGAACCAGCGCTTGAAAATCCGCTTCCACCAGCTCGTGAAAGCCGCATCTTTGCCTTGGAGGATGTCAAAGGTAGTCTGGCCATGCAGGCTTGGGTGTGCAGACGTAGCTGTGCCCGTGCCGGCGCCATCATCCAGGAACTCCTTGATGATACCGTCTTTTAGCAGTGTGTCGGTGGCCGCGGATCCGAAATCCAAGGGGTCTTGCCGTCTCACACGGCCGAACTTGAAGATGGTGGACAGGCTGAGTGTGCCTTGCGAGTTTGAGCCCATCTCTTTCTGCTGCAAGAACATTCTCACTTGCTGAACGCGTTTCTGATCCTCACTGACATCGAAATTCTCCTGGATCACGGCAATAAACATGTTCAGCGTGATGAAGAACGCGAACACAAACCACAGGCAGATGAATATGGCGCCGATCCAGCTGGTCGAGTATTGGGTCTCACTGGCTTGAACGGTGTAGAGGATGTCCGTCCAATTCTCCGAGCTCAAGATCTGGTACATGCCCAGGTAGGCGTTGTAGATTGTCGAGAAGGTGGTGTAGAGTGATATACCCGAGGGTTGCTCCGTCGGTATCTCACCGCGGAAAAGTTGGACGGCAAAGATGGATGCCAGGAAGGTCAGGAGAAACACGAACAGGATCAGATTCAGCACACCGGTTACGTGCTTAAGGACCAGTAGGATCAGTTCCCGCGTGATACTGACCGCTAGAACCACGCGGTACACACGCATGATCTGAAAGACGCTGAGCCACGCATACGCTTGCCCGTTGTAAGCGTCCCGAATCGCCGGTATCTCAATCACGGCGGTAACGATTGCCAAAGAAAGGTCGAACCAGTTTTCGAAGTGCTTGATGAAGTCGCGCCAGTCGACAATGAATCTGATGATAATCTCGCAGAAGAGGATAAACGTCACACCGAGCTCGGACAGGTAAATGAAGCCTTTTAAGAAATTGCCCATGGTAGCATTTCGTGTACAGTTGACGAGGAGCCCGAAGACGATGACCAGGATCCAGAACCATTTGAGTTTGTGATAGAACCGTCTCAGGGCAGGCTCTTTCCGCATGAGCTCGGGATTGTTGCGTATGTCGCTGTCTTCTTCGGTCGCATCCTTCTCTGCATCAGTCGCTTCGGCCATGAAAGCACTGCTTCGGCTTTCCTCCCGAATCACCTGGAAAGAGCTTGTGATGACCGCTATGAGCAAGTTGACCAACCATAGTGTGAGGATGACGATGCCCGCAGCGAAGAACAGTGCCGAAGCCAGGTAGTCCGTTTCCGTTAGGTTGTACATGATATCGGCGAAAGTGTTTGTCGACAGAATCACAAAGACAAGCTCAAGGCTGTTCCCGATGTTGTCAAAGCTGACCGTGCCATTGTATGGATTAGGCCCCTGTACGCAGTAGGACCCGACAGGGCAGATGTAGCCTTTGTGAGCCGACGCTCCGTTGCTACCATCCGGCAGGAGCCAAGGCATTCGAGTACCATTGGGATGCAGCCAGCCACCACAGTACTGAATGTTGCCGTTTCCGTCCGGGTAGTTCAGCGTGTAGTTCTGGCTTTGAGGAGGAAATGCGGCCGGTCCATCCCACACGCAGGTGCGTCGCAAGCTAGCCTTGAAGGCCTGGACGCCCACGATGGCGAACAGAAGCCAGAAAAACCCGATGAGAAATGCCACATTGAGCAACAATGGTGCAGCGCGCTTGAGGGAGCGCAAGATCACTGAAGTGCCAGAGGTGATGCCGAGAAGGCGAATGATGCGCAGGCAAGACATCATGTTGAAGACGTATATGTGGAACACGCTCTGTAATTCGAAAAAGTTCAACAGAAAGCTGATCCAGAAAGCGAGGACGGCGACAAAGTCGACTCTGTTGAAGCTGTGACGCAGAAACGCGCGGTGCGCCAGCCGTTTCTTCCTGGCGTAACGCGAGCCACCCGCCGCTTCATCGAACGTGTCCACAGTGAAGGTTCTGAGCAAGGAGGCTGGGGCTTCGGGCCGGTCAGGGGCATGCTTTGGATCCTTTTGCGTGGGTTTGCGGTGCAATGCGAAGAGCTCATTAGCCTTCTTCCGGAGAGCTTCCCTCACGCCAATGCTGCGATCGATGGTGCTATACTCTCTGGGGTTCCAGATGAAGCCAGACACGATGACTTTGATCATGATTTCGATAGAGTAGACACAGAATATCCCGAACAGAGCCCAATCAGTCCATTGCTTACCAAAACGGGCTGGCCGGGGGTGGCTATACACATTCCGCGCGGAGTCGATCGCCAAGATGACAGTCTGAATGATAATGAGGAGGAGGATGACGGCTTCGCACAGCGGATTCACCAGTAGTTCGAGCAGATTCTGCCGCAGGCGACTTTGCGGAGAAAACATACCGAGTGACTTGCCGCGCAGCGGGTTTCTGTCGATCTTCGGAAGCTGCAAAGGAAATTCCTCGCGGCCTGCGGACGAAGAGGACTTTTCCGAGCGTTTCGATTGCGCACCATCCAGCGTTGCGAAGTCTGTGGTATGAGACTCGTTATCTGGGCGCTCTGTTTCGGTGTCTGGTGAAGGGGCGAGGACAGATGGCCGCCGTTTCATGCTACGGGACACAAGCGCATCGACGCCCTCGTTTGAGACGTTGACCACGCGCTGAGACATTTTACGGAGCATGGTCCCAGTTCTCCACAGGCGTGATTCAGCGGATGCAGGCGATAGGGAGCGCTTGCGGCTTGAGCCAGATCGGCCAAGCCGGGGTTCTCTTGATTCGGTGTCCGAGGCTCGTAAATCGTCGCCCAGCATGGAGCCACTGGGACTGCGACTGGGGCTTGGGCCACCAACGAAGCGGACACTCAACGCAGACCCAAACCCTCGACTTCTGTCATGTCGCTGGCCAGGAGGCGTTGAGGGGCCATCGGACGCTGTGATTCTCGACCCACTCCGAGGCGCATCCGTCAGGGGGAGGGTGTCGTCTTCATCTCTGGCGCCAGGCGAGTAGAACTCGGGTCCATCGTGCAGCTGCACGGGCACCAAGTCATCTGTGCTATCGTAGTTGGTCCTCAGACTGGGCAATGACGGTCGGGCGCCCCGCGCGGGCGTGGGCCGAGCACCCGGTTCTTCCCACTCCTCGTCTTCATCGCGCGACGGTGAGCTGGCATCATAGCTCAGCCCGGCGAAGCCAATAGCTGCTTGAAACGCGCCGGCATCGCGAATAGGAGAGTATGCGGCTTCGTCTTCCTCATTTGGGATGCGTTGACGATGGCCGGTCGGCGATGTCACGAATGCCACAGGAGAGGACTGTCCAGCTCTTGCCGTCGGCGGGCTTGGGGATCGATGTGATAGGGGTTCGTAGCGTCTGTTGGTCGTCGTGACAAGTCTTCTGCTGCCCGGGCGTAGAGCGGCGACGCGATCGCTGAAGTTGCGCCGATGGCTGTCCAGTCTCCCAAGCCCAAGATCTGCCTCTTCCGACCTTGCTCCATTTTGACCAAGGTCCTGCAAGGGTATGGAGTTGGCGCTCTGGTTGCGGCGATGCGACGGGTCATTGGCAGCCATGGATGGAGTCAAGGCTCCATTCGTTGGGCGAAGGGGGAGGAGAGAGGCGGGTGCATTGGCCTTTTGGTTCAGATGGCAAGGATGGTTGGCCAAGGCGAGCGACAGGGGCGGCCGTTGTTAGAGTCGAGCGTGCAGAGGGGAATGTCAAGCACATGTCAACGCGCTTTCAACACTTTCGCAGGAGGCGTCAGACGTGGCGCATGCCTTGCCCAGCGCGCGCTCCCGTCATCAAAAGTGGCCCGCGGGCGTCCCAAATTAGACTGTCGACGTCCAAGCTTTCAGGCGGGATCGCAGTAGCTGCATCAACTATAGAAGAGATATCTACATGCCCGTGGTCATATTAATGATTATTCCCTGCTCTCTACATGTAAGGTCAAGGCCATGTGCAGGTGATAGGTGAAGACTCGCCTTGTTCAGGTTCCTCGGGTTGCTACATTCAGCCAACGAAGATACAGCCCCCCCCGAAGCCCCCTATTCGATCCTTCTCCCTTGACATGTGAAATGCATCGACGGAGAGACTGACAAGGCCATCGCAGGGACGAAGCCGTCGTCCATTCAAATGAAGTTCTAAAATGCAGTAAGACACAGGAATAACATTCTGTCCTACATGCGATTCGGTCGTATGTCATTGTCTCGATCGTTCCTTCCTCATTGTTCGCTCGCTCCTTCCTCGCCCGTTCGCCGCTTCCTACCTCATTGTCTCGACCGTGCACTCCGGCTTTTCTCAAATGTCCACCCTCTTCTTTCCTCACTCGTCTATTGCACACTCTTGTTGACGCATTGGTCCCTTGTTCTTTCCCTAATTCCATCTTCAACAAGCGCCAGCCTCAGGATGAGACCCGACGCCGCAACGTTCTCGCCTTTCATTTGCGCCGACGCGTCCACCAACACTGATCTCACCGACGACCTCACTGACGGCCAGAGCATGACTTCTGGTCGAAAACATGCGACTTCCGACCCTGCTCACCCAACAGATCTCCTCACCAGCGTCAAAGCCCTCTTGCAGCAAGTTGCCGAGCTGCATACACGTTGTGATCGACTGGAGGCGGTGAAGATCGAGCTCGCCGAGGAACTCCGTGCTGCTGTTCGGAACGATGTGCCAGCAGAGGAAATCCCTGCGGCAGCGGAAAACACACTCACCGTCTACGCATCGTCGGAATCCACCGAAGGTGAAGAGATGCACGAACACCGATCGGGGGTGGGACACCAGAGACTGACGCCCGTCCAGCTGATCCAGAGGTTCCGTCGGAGCTTTCTGAGGTGAACACTCAGCTGCACATCATTTCGGAGGTCCTGCAACAGTTCAATGCCCGTATCGATGCCCAGGCTGTGCGGCAGGAAGAATTCGACAATCGTTTCGAGAGAAAGGCGCAAGACCAGACCTTTCTCAAGGGCCGCGTTGGCGCTCTCGAGAAGAGTGTAAGGCGATTTGAAGAAGAATGCCACACCACCAGCAGCGATACCAGTAGCTCCTTCTGCAGTGGCAATGTCCATTCCACCACAGACATGAGTCATCTCTCGAAGGAAGGTATGCAACAGTTGCAAACGCAATGGGCAGAGCATGAGATCAAATGCGCCGACCTTCATGCTCGGGTACTCGAGGCCTGCGATCTGCTGAAGACACCAAATGGCCAAACCACTCCCACCCCAAGCGCCGCGATCGCCTCCAAAGACCTGAACCTGGTATGCACACCCTCTCGTACATTCTCCCGAAGCAAGTATGATAGACTGACTTGTGCATGAAGGCCGAGATACAGAGATCTATAGCGATGATCCAGGACCGCACTCACAACAACCAAATCGTAGACGAAGCCGCGACACGCCATGGCCTGTTTGCCATGTTCCATCAATTGAGTGCTGTCATGGCCCGCGGCGACGGTGGCACGTGGCGCGAGGGTCCTTTCGAAGTTACATTCGACGAGGCTTTCCGTTTGCGCGACCGTGTCGTCTGTCGTCTCGCTGTGTTTGATTAGTATGCCACAGCTTTGAAGGACGCCTAGTCCGCCAAAGATCAGCTCGATCTGTGGTGAGCCGTTGCAGATGGGACATTTAGTCCATTGGCTACCGCGCTGTGGTCGGGGGAAATAGAGAGCCGAACAATTGGGTTGCGTCGTTGACTTGCGGCTCGCCTTACTCAATGTGGCGCGATGGAAATGCTACTCGGACAAAACGTGTGAGGATATGATGTTTAAGACGCTGCAAGCTTCTAAGCCCACCGTCCGCTATCATGTGTAGAAGAACGTGCTTCTATCCACTGCCCGTAGCATCGCCTTTGGACATAGCAATCGCTCACTTTCCTACTATCTTCAACAGCATCCTTGCGCCAGCGTTACCCTTCTTTGCAACAGGTTCGCCATCAGCGAGCTCTCCCTCGCGAGCATGCTCAGGTGTCTCAGCAGAAGCCGTAATCTCGCTTCTTGCCTTCCTGACAGCGGCTCGAACTTCCTCCTTGACATCATTCGAGACCACTTCGCTCTCCAGAAAAGCCACAACGACGAAGCTGGACGGGCCAGTGGCCCAGCTGACTAGTCTCTCCTTGATAACAGGGTACAAAACATCCCCAAACCTCATCTCAGGATCAAGCACGCGCACCTTCTTGATTGTCGGGTCAAAGTTGCCGCCCAGGACGAGTGATTTGAACATATGCCCTGCGGCAGAGTCCTGGGACAGATGAGCCTCGGCGCTGGGATCACCAAAAGCAAGCTTAGCGACGGCTTCCAATGCTTGTGCTTTGTCGACTTTGGTCTTCGCAGTTTCGCCATGCTTTGCCACCAGCAAAGTCTCTGCGATGACTTGACAGCCGAAACTGCTCTTCGACAAATCGTCCGCGCGCTCAAGAACAAGGTTCAATAGCGGCTCCGACAGATACTCAACGAGTTCCTTTTGTCGAATCTCGGCCGCCTTCTTGGAAGTCTTGTTTCGTATCTGGTGAACTTCTTCCATGATCATTCGATCCGCCTTTCTCTCTACGCCTCCCATCAGCCATCTGCCGGTGCCGGCGAGAGGATATAGTGCTGGCAGCCTTGCGAATGTGTTCGTGACAATTTGCTGCTGACGATCCAGCCTTGTGGTATCTTCTTCGATGCCCAATCCGAGCAACTCGACGAGGACGCTCTTGAAGCTCATCTTTGTATCATCTGCGGTATCTAAAGCGGTGGCCAGGACCATGTTGGCGTACTGATCGAACGCCATCAATTCGATGTTATCTTTGAAACACTTTAGGATCGTCTTCCGGTCTTTCGCACTTCCGTGTGCCAGAGCCAGGCATACGAGTCTACTGCCAGACTTCGTGAATGCCAGATTGCGGAACAGGTCCCCTCCGCCTCCCTCCGTGTCGGGGTCGATGTCGCCTTTGAGAATCTCGAGAAACTCGGCTAACTCTGGCGAGTCTGGGGAGAGGACGAGGAAATATTGCAGCATGGCATCATGGAGCATGGTGAAGCCCGTCATCTTCTTCTGGATGAGACTGTTGATCGTCTGCAGCAGATACTGCAGAGTCGGCCGTCGCTTTTCCGGATTGATTTCGAGGATGCGGCCCAGATCGGCTGTTTCCTGCTCTCCAGCAATGGTCGAGTTCTGGAGCTCTGGCTTCTTGTGAAAGAGGGCGAACTCAGCCCCATACCACTCACGCAACATCATCGCTTTCTGCTGAGGAGTCGCAACCTGTCGATAGATGTCGTCCACGATCCAGCTAGCCTCGGGATGGTGGATTAAGCGACGCACATGACCGAAGAACTCGGGAATGATCGCGTTGCGGATCTGCGGGTCCCGGTCCTGTACCAGCTTGGCGACGAGAAACTTTGCGTATCGACTCTCAACAAGAGGGCGGACGGAGCCCACCAACTCCTGCGAGATCAGGAGTCTTTGCTCCGGATTGCCATACTTCAGGGCACACTGAATGACGCGGACGCTGTCGTGCTTGAAGACGAAGTCGGGCACACGCCCGGTGATGATGGTGAAGAGCTCGGCAACGAGTTCTCTGCGTTCCTCGCGTGGCACGTGGGACTTCAGTCGTAGCCGCTCCCAAATCTTCTTGGAGCGCGCGATCGAATCCGCGTTCGGTTTGCTCGCCTTCCGCTCCTTTGCGAGCGCTCGTTGCTTGGCGTGTGCTTCTGCCGAAGAGGTCTCCAGTTTGAAGGCCTTGGGCTCGGCGGAAGTCTGCGACGCAGCGACGCTGGTCCCAGAATTTGATTGCTGCTCCTGGCGATTATTTGGCCAGCTTTTACGAGGAGCGGTATCTCCAGCTCGGGCATGGTCTTTCACCGGCTTTTGCTTGAAGACCGTCGGCTTGACGTCTCCCTTTTTCTGCTTCTTTGTGTCTGCTGCAGACGTCGACGGCGCGTGCTTTCTCTTGATTCCTCCCATGCTTTCCAGGACGGCGCGGATGATGTGTGCGGTTTCTAAGTGTTGCAGCTCTGAAAAATTTGTGAAACTGCTGGAACTTTTTTCCCATGAACCTTGCGGAAGAGCGTCACGGGAAGTAGTTTAGCGTCCCCGCCGGCAGCGGGCCGAGCCCCCGACCAGGCCCGAGGTGGGGTGGTGGGGCACGGCTTCGCATGCAACGATTGTGGACTCTCGCTCACGGTGACGCTTCTATCATCTCCGACATTCATCGCAGAGAACTAGTGATGCTCGCGCATACGTGAGCAGTCCAGTTTGGCTACAAGAATTGACTACAATAACTCTCGGACCATCCCCTGTCTTCGCGTTAATAATCGGCCGTCCTTGGGCTGTTCACAAGGATCTCAGATCTACCTATATTGGCCAAGGGCGTGGCAGCAATGCCCTCCTTCTTTCGCTTTCCACCAGAGCTTCGAAATCTGATCTACGAATATATCTCTCTTGATTCTGGAGCTTGCATCCTTTCCTCGAACGATGGACGGCCTTCTAGCCCTGCTCCTCTTTCCTTGACCTCGCGCACGGTGTACGAAGAGTACCAAAGTGTCCTTTACAACTCGGCACCATGCCTCACCGCACACGTGCGAGACTTCGACTTCGCCCATGTTATCCAGTTCCTCGACAATCTTTCGGAACGAGAAGCAAGGAACAATGCGAGAAATGATCTCTTGGGAAGCGGAAACCTGTTGATGCGTCGACATTTGACCATCGTACTGTCCCTCACAGACAAATGCCGGCAGCACCTGGACCAACTTCACGCCTGGCTCAAGCTCATCACCTTGCGGACCAGTGACCATTATCGCACCTCTTTCCAAAGCAGCTACACGCTCCACCCTACCATTGGCAGAGCTGGATCCGCTTCAACTGTCGCGCCCATCACCCTCATGCGCATCATCGATGATGTCTACTGTAGCTGGTATTTGCAGACACCGGCGGGGCCTTTGAAAGAGGAAATCGGCAAGGCATGCGACTGTCTGGGCGAAGCGGAGCTAAGAATCAATCGCCTACGTACAGGTGTTACTCTTGCCTCGGGCCCGCGCATGGGCGGGTTGGAGATCTTCTAAATCTTCCCATACCGCCGAAGGGTTCGCGATGTCAAATGAATTAGTTCGATGTTGATGCTCATTATGTGCCTTTCTATTCCTTTCCCGAGCGCATCACAGTTCCATGTAGAGCGTATACAGCACTTGATCACCGGGAACGTGATGTGCAGTGCATGACACTTTCACATCTCTCTGAACCTACGTCATCGAAAGCATCCTACAGTGGCGGCCCTCATGCTTTCACTATACCGTCAACATCGCACCGTGTACTTGAAACCGTCACATCTATCTCAACACGACCATTCCCTCCGCAAAATATAAATTCACCATGTCTGATCAGAGCAACCCCTCGCTGGTGGGCGCACACGCTCAATATGCCAAAGGAGCGACTGTTGTACGTTAGTGCGCGACGGTTATACCCCTACGCATGCTAATCCGGCGAGCAGGAGGCTATTGGCAACGCGACCGGTTCCGAAGAATGGAAGACCTCTGGGGAGTCAGAGAAGCAAGCAGGGCTGGATAACATGAAGGCTGCAAGCGCGAACAGAGATCCTCAACAAAGCGGTCTGGGCAAGGCGGAAGAAGTCGCTGGCAAGGTTGTGGGATGCGAGGGCATGGAACAGGAGGGAGCACAGAGCAAGCAGTCGTAATTGTAGCACACATCAAAATAGTCACTGGCAAATACGGCGTGACGAAGCTAAGGGCCCATCGGGTTGATGGCCTTCTCAAGTGGGCCTCTGCTCTTCGCAGCGTTTGCTGCCTCCAAAGCCTCTTTGAATGCGTCCAGCAGGTCCTTCGTCTCCTCCAGCCCTACGGAGATTCGGATCATCCGCTCATTCAGCCCGCATTCCTCCACCCAGGCTACATCATCCCTGTGAATCACTTTGACATAGGGCAGGGCCAGGGTAAGAGGGGCACCGAGATGCGGTCCGTCGTGAACCTTCAAATCGTCATAAAAGGCAATGGTGGTCTCGACTGATTCGAATTCGATGTTCAACAAGCACCCGAAGCCTGGCTGGAATTCGGAAGAGGCTGGGCGCATGAACGCTAGGTAGATTGCCTCGTCCGGACCGACGCCTGGATAGCCAATCTTCGTGATTGGGGAAGAAGCGTCGGAAGCAACCTCGTATAGGTATCGGGCAAGCGCGAGAGCGTTGTCATTGAGCGTCTTGGATCGCTGCAAGTAATCTCTGGAGTTTCGCTCCATCACCTCGGCATCTTTGCTGTAGTATTCATTGACGAAGTTCTTGTCACAGAGCGCTTTGAGGAGCTCATACTGCTTGGCGTTGGGATTGAGCACGACCGAGCCACCCATGACATCGGCGTATCCCGAAAAGCTCTTTGTCAGACTCGTAACCAACACGTCTGCAATGCCTAAGAGGTCGACATTGCAAAAGGACGAAATGGTATCGTCGACGACGAGCAAGAATCCGAACTTGTCAGCGAGCGCTCGCAGTCGCTTCAACTCCACGCATTTGAGATTTGGGTTCGTTGGAAACTCGATCCAGACCGACTGCACCGGTCTTCCGGAGCCCGCTTCTGTGCTGCAATACTCTTCGAGTTCCTTCAGTTGTTGTTCGTCGCCACGTCCCAACCACTTGAAGTTTGAGCTATACTCCCGGTACACGTTCGGCGACGAATGAAATGCGAAGCCAAACAAGACAGTACTTCCGGGTTGAAGGGAGGAGTTCTGTAGATAGCCGTGCAGTCTGTAGATTGCCGCCATTCCGGTCTGATAAAGGAAGACATCTCCAGACTTTACCTTCGCGGGACGGTGCTCTGTCGGCCGGGTATTCAGGAGATCCACCATGCGGCTCTTGATGGCGTTGTAAGCTGCGCTGTCCTGACTTAGTCCGGGGTCTGGACCGGGTTGCACCTCGACTTCTTTCAATGAAGAGTACTCGGCGAGGACATCTTGCGCTATCCGCGAAGAAATGCCGGTGCCAGGGTCTTGCCAGTAGGGCATCACGGCCCGCATTTTCACCGCTGGAAAGCAAGTGGCCCAGATGCGTACATGACCATCGAAAGCGCGCACTTGCACCTCACCGTGCTCGCACTTAATCTCCTTGCGGTTGTCCGAGAGCGCAAAGTCACGACATGCTTGTGCGGAGTTTTGGGTGATGAACAAGAGACATGCCTGATCCTTGCCGAGATAATCTGTGGCAATGCGTCCCATAAGCTATGCCGCGTTAGTGATACGACGCCAGGACAGGGATTGCAGGTTATCGGACCTCTTTCACTGGGCCAAACGGACCCATGCGCGGATATAGGCCTATGTAAAGTGAGCTACCACAATACCGGGCAGTCATTCCGACGGCACTTGTTCATGCTGGCATACTCTTCATCTTGGGCAGAACCATGGAAACATCCTCGATGATCTAGAAAGCTGAGGGTTAGCAAGTGCTTGGTCTCCATTTGAGTGTGTTTGGGAAGGATAAGTGCAGTGCTTTGATCAATTGCGCGCGGTTACTTCTAGTGGCGACAACTTTTCAGGAATGATCGCTGCATATGATCTCGAGGCAGCTGAACGAGTTCTTCCTAGAATTGCTTACCTCCAGCACCGTGCTCCACTTGGGCAAGTGTGTTGTAATTGCGTGTGGCGAGAACGGAGGCATAGGGTGCCCATACGGGGTGCTGATGGCGGCTACCATTGTGTGGGTAGTTGCTTGGAGAGATGTTGCTTCGACACAGGTGTGTGGTGAAAGCAAGAAGGAACAATATATCGGCCTAAAGATTTATCTTGGGTTTAAGAAGGGGACACGTGAGCGTGTCAGCGCTAATCCCCAGTGAGGTGCGGCTGAAGAGTCCGATTGACCAATGATTTGCGATTTACATCGCGGCACAAACCAGGCAATGCCAAACACCTTCGATCCGACCGGCCGAGTCGTGCATCAGACAATGTTACTGTCGAGAGTGAATTGTCCGCTGGTCCAATGTTTTGGACGGACAGTCAGGTGAGAGCACTCGTTGTGTGGACGTGGCCAGGCTGTTCACCAACGACCGCCTCTCAGCACCGTCTTGCATTGTCCTGTGTTGGGGCGCCTCGCTATGCCGTCATTGTCGAGAAATGTCGAAGGAGCCGCCATGAATAGCTGCCACCGTTCCGGCGTGGCCCACTGAAGGCCTCTATCCCAGCCGCCGGGGCTTCTTCGCACGTGCCCCACCCTGGTTCAGCCGAGTCGCGTCCAAGACTGCGGTGATCTTGCCCCTGATGTGTCTGCCTTCTGTGCCTAGCAAAGCCTTGGTGACCGCCATTCTGCCTGCGCCGAACCCCCTTAGGACGACTTCGAGCCGGTTCATATCCCTCCAAATACCCCGCTCTTGGATCTGTTTGAGCATGAAAGCGGCCAGCTGGAAGGCAGCGTCATACGTGCCGCGACCGGCCTTTCGGAAGCCGATATTTCCTGTGCTCATGGAGAGAAGAGTATCGACCATTTTCTTTTGCTCCGTCGCCGTCGCGGTGGCCCCTGCAGTGCGTGAGCTCGGCGTGTCCGCTGCGGATCGTGAGGGTTGCGAGAGCGTCAGATGAGTGTTGTGTTTATGAGAATAGACGTGCAATCGATGTGGCTTCTGCCTTTCCTGCGACAGGTTGTAGTTCCTGCCGAATTCCTCGGTGATGAGGCTTTGAGGAGAGGCGTCGAGGATTCCAGAGAAATCGAAGCTGCCGCTGGGTGGACTGCCGCCAGTTCGGCGAGACGCTGCATCTCGTGATGTCGGAGCGGCATTGTTCAGCGGCGTGCTGAGTCTCTCGTCTTTGCTTGGACCAGCAGGGCGATCGTCTGCGCGATAGGAAGGGCCGGAGGAGAGAAAGCGGCGGGGCGCTGGAGCACGAAGGGCCCGGCGGCAAAATTGACACACAAAGAGAGGGAGACTGTGTTGAGGCCGCGATGCTGCCATTTTGCTCGCCTGGGAAGCTTTCGTGCAGGAGACAAGCAAGAAATGGGAATATACACCTCCTCAACATCCCAAAGCACTTTTGCCTCCATTAAGCTTTCCCACAACCTCTGTTTAGTCTAGCTTCGGGCGGGATGCGCCGCAGAGCCGCACTTGCCTTCATGGGAGATGAGGTCGCTGCTGCCAGCAGCCATTGCACGCACCTCAGAAACATGAGGGAGAATGTTTCCTACAAATCCGACAGTGGCACACTGAATACGCCATAGACACCATGATTGGGGTCACGAGTATTTCCACTACGACGCATTTACCGGCAATCCCTTCAGTACGATGAGCTGGCCATGTACTGGCCAACTGGCGCACCCCAGGCATATGCGCTGTCGCGGCATCGTACATCTGCAGCTCCGGTAACACCAACGGAAGCACACTACCCAGATGCTCCGGCAACTTCAGAAGCTGCTGGAGATAATGAAGCACAGGGAAGAGAGGATGATGACATACGTGTAGAGATCGGGAAAGAGGAGCCATCCCTTTCACGGAATGCGACCAGGGTGGAGGCGGTTGCCAAAGGTTCAGACACTGCTCAGGAACACATTATACTTTCCGCGAAGGCCTCTCGCGGCGGAACGATCTTTGCCACGATTACTGCATCCGCCTTGACCATCTGGCAGACCAAACCAACCCTAGCTCTCGCCAGCATCACACGCTCGGCAGAGTCAGTCAAGGCATATGGCCCTAATGCCACGCTCCTCTTGCGTCCAGATGCTCTCGTGATAGCTGTGCAGACTCCGCAGAACTACCTGATCATTTACACTGTTGCCGCCGATCCCAATGCTCGCGTGTATCAGACAGAGCTATCCACTCTGAGCAGCCATGCCCGGAGAACCAGTGCCGGAGGTCCTCTCAGTTACCGCCATCTTTCGGACGCTGGAGGCGCGCTGGCGGAGGCCGATGGCATCAAAGAAGTCAATCTTTGCTTTCGCATGGTCATGCGCATCGACGCCGGTATCAACACGGCTTTGGCCCTTGATGAGGAACTCGTGGTCGCCACCGAACATCCGGCAGCCCTTCAATGCATTTCGTGGCCTGAGCCTGAGAGTGTCAATGCTAAGAAGAGCGCACAGGCCAGCACAGAACTGCTCAGCAGGATGCCGTGGCTTGTGAACAGGAGCAACATTGTAGAGATGGTTCATGATCGACCAATGAATCTCACCTGCTGGGTGATGAGTGACGGGCGTACCTACGCCGTTCAGCGCCACTCCTCTGGCCATGTCGACACAGACACCTCCGCCAGTCTCTTTCATGGCTATTGCTTTCGAGCTCCTGAACCCGAGGAGCAGGGCACATACGGCGTAAGGGCCGCCATAAACGCCCGTTTCTCCCTGATCGCTGTTGGACGGGCAGACCGTGGCATTGATGTGTATGCGGTGAAAGATTACACCGGCAATATACCTCTGTCACACAAATTGCGGCTTTCTGTACCCCACACATCCTCTGGCGGCCTGCTTTGTCTCAGCTATTCTCCTGACGGCTACTGCCTATTCGCCGGATACGAGAAGGGCTGGGCAACATGGAGCGTGTACGGCCAAGCTGGTGCAAGCTCTTTCATGCAGGGCCGTGAGGCCTCGATGTCGACTGACGAGCCCTACCGGCGCAGCGCCAAGGATGTGTTTTGGATCGGGGGCGGCTGCGAATTGATGCTCCTACCGAAAGATGATGATCGCCTATGGAGTTTGCAGATGGCCCGGAGTGCCATAACTGGCTGCTTCAATTCTGCGAGCCTCCCATGGGGCCTACTCGTCACGAGCGATCACGTCAAGATCTACAAAGGTCACGATGCTCCAGATGCGACGACAGCAACATCCGAGCCTTGGTTGTGGAAATCAGTTCAAATACCTGCTTCATACCTGCTGTCGCAGTGGCCAATCAAGTCGGCCGTGGTTTCTTCCGACGGGAAATACATTGCCGTTGCGGGGCGACGAGGGTTGGTGCACTACAGCGTCTCCAGTGGACGTTGGCGAGTGTTTGATGATCTGGCCGCTGAGCAGGAATTCTCCATTCGCGGTGGAATGTGTTGGTTCCGACATTTCCTACTGGCCTGTGTGGAGTGCAGTTCAGAGGACGCACGTTACCAGATTCGCTTGTATTCTCGCGAAAAGGCGCTGAACCACAGCAGCATACAACACGCCGAGCGCCTCGCAACTTCTGCAGTCTTCATGACGACTACCGGCACAAATTCGCTACTAGTCTATACACAAGACAACACCCTGCTGCACTTTCTCATTGTGCCGAATGCAAGCTCTGTCAGATTGACGAAGGTTGGGCAGACCGGGTTTCACGGAATCATCAGAGCGCCCCCTCGCGTGCGTTCAATCAGCTGGCTTCGACTGGAAGAGCCCGCGGACGATGATGTTCCACAAGACATCACCAAAGCCTTACTTTTATTTCTTGTGGACGGCAAGCTAGTCCTCTTACAGCCCACCACCAGCGAGCAGGCAGAGGTGAAGTATGACATGTGCGTGCTTGCTCAGAACGTGGAATACTACATCTTGGTCCGCGACATGGCTGGTATCTTGGTCGATTTACAGCGGCAAATGCGCGACATCCCGCTCTTTCACGATGCCCGCGTCGGCCAATCCTTCGCACGCAGCCTCCTGGACTCGCTCTGGTATTTCAACGGCAGAGATTTCCAGGTGTGGCTTGATACTCAAGACCTTGTTGCGCATGCTCGCACGGAGACAGGACGGGATCTACCATGCACCGTACAGATCCCCGTCGATTTCTACCCTCTGCTCCCACTTGTCATGAGCGGCATCGTCCACGGTCTCGACGCAGACTTGGTCCAACGACGAGACGTCGATTTCTCCTTCTCCCGCCTGGCTCCCCGGACCCAGCTCTTCCTACCTCAATTGCTCGAGCACCATCTGGCCCAGTTCAACTCATCTGCAGCGTTGCATGTGTGTGAGGCTTTTCAGCACCTACCGTACTTTCCACACGCTCTGGAAATCATGCTACATGACGTCCTTGACGCCGCCGTCGATAGCCCTCCGGCATCTCCGGAGCTGGCCCTCTTATCCACGGCCGTTTCTTTCTTGTCTTCGTTCCCATCCTATCTGGACGTCATTGTAAATTGCACTCGCAAAACAGAACTGCGCAGCTGGAAGACGCTTTTCTCATGTCTCCCACCCGTCCTTGATCTATTTGAGCAGTCGCTCTCCCAAGGGAAGCTTAAAACCGCGGCGGGCTATCTATTGGTCCTGCATACTCTGGAAGGCGACGAAGAACTGGGGAATTCACAAGAAGCAGAACACACGAAGCTACTCACCGCCGCGGCGGCTGCGCATGACTGGGAACTTTGTAGCGAGCTCGCAAGGTTCATGGTCGGCATTGACCGGAGCGGCACGACTCTGCGTGCAGCACTTTCGGGGGCTGGCCTCGGAGCTGCAACGAACGGAGTGGCCCCAGTGGAGCACTCAGAGCGCGTGTCTGAGGATACCCCATCAAAGGGTTCCGCACTATCTGATAGCGACGAGAATAGCAGGGCAGAAACCAACGGCAAGGATGAAGGGGCTTTGGACTGAGTCGTCGCCGGCGACGAGACACGGGATGTAACATCAGATTGTCCGTTCTGATGAGAGATGTTTGAGTCTACTACGCTGTAATGAGCGGTGAGCGCTGGAGAATCTTGCGACGGTGCGAACCGGCAGTCGACGCCGTTGACGAGACAAAGCTATGGGTTGTCGGGTCGGTGGTGTAAGTTCACGAGTTCGCGTCGTAGCACTTTTGCACGAGGGCGGAATCGAGATATGCTGTGGCCTGTAGGGCATGTGTGAGAGGATGTAGGCGACCGGGAAAACAAGCATTGACGTCTCGCGACGCACCTGTACAACGATTCCTTTCTTGTCGAACTTCAGTGCCCAGGCATATCTCTGCGGGTATGCCATGCCTGTACGATCTGGGGTCAGTGGAACAGTTCGAAGCAATGAGTTGGTGCGAGGGGGACAACGCCTACCATTCTTGCACGTGGCATCTGCCTTGAGCTCGATGAAAGCCCACTCCTGCTCGCCCCCGCCCACAACGTTCACCACTACATGACTGTTAGGGGAGGCATCGGTGATTCAAAGGGCAGTGAATGCGGGGCGCTGATGTCTTACAGGTGAGTTTCAATGGCTCAGACAAGAAGCCATTGGCCACGCCCAGGGCGTTGTCCTTCCAATCCTCTGCGCGCATCGTCAGCCGTGGCATACACAGACCGGCTCAAGCCACTGCTATCTACGTACGAAGACTTGTGAAGTGGCCAGCTGCCGGATGAGTGCCCATCACATCCAGACAACGTTGGGCGACACCCGGTCGAAGAAGGGGCTTTGATCGGACGTTTCGAGTGACGAAGCAAACTTTTCAATTTCGCTTCTGGTTGGGTATGGGGCCATGATAGATTGCTGTTGCAGAGGAAGATTTGTGATTGGGATTGATGTTGCCGAAGGGAGAGAGCAGGTCATACGAAGGGCGGGGCGTGGACTGCGGAGTTGCGGCTAACGAGCATATGGGCAGGTACATGCACAATGTACAGGACATGACGCAGCCTCGGTGTCGAATCTTTGGCGATGGTTGCATTATTTTTGATTCTGAAAGGACAACGGCCCTGTTTTCTACGGCGCATGTGCTATGAAATCATGCCTGGTTGTGATGTTCAAATGTCCTACGGGAACATGAGACCACACATAAGTCATCGCATGGCCGATTTTACATACCACTTCTCCGCCTTGTCATCTACTTCCTACACTTTTTATTGAACAATCTGCCCAATCCAATACATTCGCCCCCTCCAATTTGCCGACCCTAGGGATGGCGTCGAACCCGCCTCGCAGGTCGATTCTCATCATCAACCCTAACACCACTACATCCATGACTGAAAGCCTCAAACCCCTCGTAGACTCACTCGGCTTCCACGACGTTGGTCTTTCCCGTGCCTTTGACAATTGCTAGTTGGTCCGGCTGCTGACGAGCTAGCCAAAGACTCAATTCGACTATTTTACCGCACCCTCTGGAGTGCCGTCGATCAATAACGAAGAAGACGCGGGCGTATCGGCAAATGCCTGTCTGTCAGCTTTGAAAGAACGGCGGGGGTATGACGGCTTCCTGGTTTGCTGCTATTCTCAGCATCCTCTCGTCCCTCAACTGCGGACCGACTTGCACGCCAATGGATTCGAAGGAAAGGTTGTCGCTGGCATCTTCGAATGCTCAATAGCCGCCTGCCTCCAGTCTATCAACGCCGACGAGACATTTGGCATCGTGTCCACGGGCAAGCAATGGGAACACATCCTCGGCGCCGCTGTAGCTGGCATACTGGGATCGGATCAGAGTTCGAGGTACTCTGGCACTGAAACGACTGGCTTGAATGCCAACGAACTCCACACAGCGCCAAGAGAGCAGGTGGATCAAAGGATGAAGGTAGCTACGAAGCGTCTATTGAAGAGAGGCGTCAAAGCCATCTGTCTAGGGTGTGCAGGAATGGCAGGAATGAGGCAAGTCGTGCTGGAGGCATGTATCGAGCAGCTGGGAGCAATAGAAGGGCCTCGCATCAAAGTCATAGACGGCGTGGTGAGCGGTGCAGTATTTGTTCAGGGGGCTCTGCGAGCTCTGTCATAACGACATATGTGCAAATTGCATCTGCCGCCTCAGGGCGAGCACCAGATGCGCACCAATGTATATGAGTTATTATGCCCACGACAACCCGTTATTCCAACACAGGCCATATCCAATCCGATGGCATCAGCCGAGTCGAGTCATAGGCCTAGCCCAACACACGATCGGCATCACCGTTGATCATCTTGGTGTCTTCATCAACAGGCGCCCTGCTCAGGATGGGGGTCTGCTGCAGCTTCAATTCCGGCGCGGCAGTGTCCGCTACGCTTGCCCTGTTGTCATGCCCTCCATTATCATTCGTATCGGCGGGCAACGCGGGACGAGGAAGCTCCACGGATCGACCATTTGGAGAAGGCATCTTCTTGACGGGAACGCTTTGCGAGCCGGAAAGTTCAGCCTGAATTTGCTGATGCGGGCTTGGTACGAGCTGCATCGGCGGTACAATCTTGTTTTCACCAAATGCCGGGCTCGCTCCAGGTGCTGCTGGAGTCTGATCATGCTTCTGCGGGATGGCGTTGCCGCCGTACCACGGGCCCGACATGCCATCCGCCGCTACAGCGGTAGCATTCGAGCCTGCAGGACTCGGATGTGGCTGATGTGGTGTCTCGCGCGGTGCCTGACCATTGCTGGTGGCCGCTGGTTGCGCCTGTTGCGGCGTTTGTGCGAGATGCTGCATAGCCTGCGGAGGCTGTTGGTATTGCATCTGCTGCATAGCTTGTGGCGCCTTGACTGGAGAGCTCGAGGCATACTGCGAGTACGGCGAGGCCGATGGCGGGATGGCGGTACTGGGACTGCGGACTTGGTGCTGCGTGGAGTAGGTTGATGGTAGAGGAGGCTGCCTGTTCGGGTCGTAGTGTGGAGGGGCAGCCGCCGGCCTCGCGTTGCTGCCTGGTGGCGACCGCGCGCCGTTTGGGTAGTAGTGCTGAGGCGGCCGCTGAACATCGACTTGCTGGTTGTGAGGTACGGACGGCGGCCTCGTCGAGTACTGTTGATACTGTGAAGGCGAATTCGCCGATGCGTACGCTCCATGGTGCCCTCCGTGGCTGTAGGGGTACGGATGTGGAGAGTAAGACGGCTGGTGGCCAGGATACGCCCCAGCAGATGCGACGGCTTGTTGGTGCATGTAATAGTGTTGCTGACTTGGAGAAGGGTGACCAGCCATGGCGGGCGGCGTTGGTGAGCTGGCGTAGCCAGAAGACGGCCGTCTGGCCGGTGGTGGCAGTTGGTTCCCCTGCCAAGGCTGCTGGGGAGGTGAGGGACGATAGGGGGCGAAGTTACTAACCGGGGGGTAGCCCTGGTAGCTGGAGACCTGCCCAAAGGGGCCGGGCGCCGTCGCGGGAGGCTGATAGTACTGAATGTTGTCCAGTTGTCTCGCAACGTGCGGCGGTAGAGCGGCACGTCGCTCCTCACTCCCATTCGCCGAGCCGACTGAGGGTGGGATCTGCACCTCGGGGCTCTTGCGCTTGCTCAGCTTCAGTGGTGGGATCTTGGGCTTCTTCGCTTCGGCCTCCTTTCGCTTGCATGTTCCGCACACGAAATGGAAACCGTCTTTCTCCGCTGTCTTGGGAGAGAAGCCATGGCACTTGCTGTGCTGCCACACGTTGCAGCGCTCGCAGGCGATGCTGTGAGTGCCATCATCCAGGTTCTCGCCGTGCACTCCACACATAGCACAGTCAAAGACCCAGTTCTCCTCCTCTTCGGCCATCCTGTCCAGCTCCTGCTGATGTCGCTCTTTCTGCGTTTTGATCTGCCGCTCCGACAGGCGTTTGCTGCCATCGGCGCCAACTGCATTGCTCGGGTCTTGCGACGAAGCGCGGGTCGTCGCCTCTTCCAACCTGGCCAGCTCCTCTTCGTGGAGAATCCGCTTGACTTCGCGGTCTTTGAGACGCTGCTCTCGTGTCAAACGTCGAGACTCATGTGCGTCTTCAATCCGCCGCTGCTTCTCTTGCTCCTCGTGGGCCATTTGTAGCTCACGCTGCCGCTTCTCCTCGGCCTCCCTCTCTTCACGCTCCTGCTTCTCTTTTTCAGCCCGACCTGCCAAGCGACTCGATCTTTTGGCGGTTGCCATTTTCTGCAGCGTCTCCAGGTCGCGCAGTTGCTTCAGTTGCTTCTGTCGTATCTTTTCCGCACGGCTCTCAATTACTGGCAATATCTTCTCCTCGATGACCTTGCGAAGCTGCTTTTCATTGGCATCGCGTGACCGAAAGATAGTCGCCAGGAAGTCTTGATACTCTTCCAGGGTGATGGCAATACATTCCCACGTCTTGCTGGTGAAGCCCAAGCCCCCTTCGTCTTCATTTTGAGCCGTGTGGCCATCTTCCGGGCCGTTGGCCTGTTCCGCTGAGCCTTCTGCGTTCACCTCTTCGGATGCCTCCTCTTCCGCCTCGGAATCCTCGTCGAGTTTGATGCGCTTGCTCGATCGAGTACCGCGCGGCCGATTCTTTTTCGCTGGCTTGCTCTTCGGCTTCGGCTTGGGCTTCGTCTTTGGCGACGGAGGAGGCACGGGATCGTCGGTGCGCCGATACAAGCGATCATCGTCGAGAACGAAGTATGCACGGTCATCTTTGTCCCAGCCGATGGGCTCAATACGCCACGCGAGCTGATCGTCCTCCTGGGGCATCATGCCTCGTATGCGCTCAGCATTGCCTAGCGTCCAGATGCTGAGCTGGTGTAGCACACGTATCTTGGCGAAGACGTCGAAGTCATCGAACTTTGCCGGCTCCTCCTCTTCACCGAAGGGATTGCGGTGCGGCGCTTTAGCCATGTACTGCCGTCGCGTGTATTCATCGAAGATATCAGGTCTACCTCGAGTCAGTCTACTTGCACGCACAGCAGGCGCGAGGCGTGCCATGAGAGGCCGATACATACGTGAGGCCGCGATGAGAGGAGACGTATTTGAGGAGCTGCAAGCCCAGCGATGCCAATCTCTGTGATGGCTGTGGCGCCAAACATTCCGATTCGAGGTCCTGCAATCGCACAGATGATCAGCGCTCACTCTCATGGAGCGGTGTGCGACGCAAAAGGGTATGGTCGCAGCCTTGTGCCCGTCTCCTTACCTCAATGTCGAGGTCGTTGTCGATCTTGACCACGCTGCCGAACAGATATATGTACTGCATGAGGCTCGCAAATTCCCACATGTTGCGCAGCTTGCCCAACAACTCCAAGTTACTGGCGGGCACCGACGGCTCGAGCGTCAACTCCAGCTCGGCCTCGTCGAAGGTGCGTTTGTAGCGCGGCATCCTGACGGCCACTCCGCCGACAAGCGTCGGTTCGATCTCCGTGAGCTGTGTAGACAGATCGCTGGATGCGTTTCGCGACAAACGCGTTGCAGTAGGGTCCTGTGTCGGTGGAAAATGGAAGATGGGCAAGGAATAGGATGGATGGTGGTGAGTTCATGGTTTTAAGACGGACACGCTCTAAAAGACACGCGAAGTCGGCCTACGACACGGCCCGAAACCCTAAATTTTTTAAGGTTTGTGCATCTCGCAGAACCGTCACCTCACGTCTGCATGCATCCTTGATGGCTTCGGCCAGAGTCGTGCAATGGCAAGCTGCACTCGTCGCCCGCATAGCGAAACGCTTGAAGAGTGGCTAGACCCATGTGTCGTTGCATGGTCCTGTTGATCGGCCATGCTTGAGACTCGTTTGGCCTCCATGGATATGGCGAGTGAAGGCCGAGATGCGGCGGTCGAGCAACACGTACGGCCTCCAACGAGCGCCGTGAAGATTCGGCGTCTCCTTTACATTTCCCATTTCCTGTCCATGTGGAACTCCAGGACATTCGAATTCGCCGCCTTCCTCTTCCTCGCCACCATCTACCCGCAGACTCTTCTCCCGGCTTCAGTCTACGCATTAGCTCGAGCAGCGTCGGCTGCCGTCTTCTCGCCGTGGATCGGGAATTTCATAGACAGCGCAGAACGGCTCTATGTCATCAGGCTCTCGATTGGTGGTCAACGAATCGCGGTCGCCGTCTCGTGCGGTCTACTTTACGCCTTCGTTCGGTGGGAGAGCGTCCGCAGCAGTGCTGTGATCTCATTCAGCGCCCTCGCTGCCCTGTCTGTCTTGGCCTGCGTGGAAAAGTCTTGCGCGATCATGAATACCATCTCCGTCGAAAGGGACTGGGCGGTTGTGATTGCGGGAGGAGATGAACCAAATTTGCAGAGTACGTTCGTTCATCAACAATTCTTGGAGCATCGACAGATTGACCAAATTGCAGTCATCAACTCTCAAATGCGACGCATCGACCTCTTTTGCAAATTGATGGCTCCCTTACTGATCTCGTTCATCGATGGTGCCTCGACGACGCTTGCGATCGTCGTTACGGGAGGCTTGAGCGCCGTTTCCGTGCTTGTGGAATACTTCACCATTGCACGAGTGTACCGCTTGGTTCCCGAACTACAGCGACGTCCTGATGAAACAGCTCGCACTGCTGGTAACGCCGCGACCTCAGCCCTGGCAGGGATCCACTACGCCTTCAGTGCTACTCGGACTTATCTGACCCACCCAGCTTTTCTGCCTTCCTTTTCCCTGGCCCTTCTCTATCTCACAGTGCTGTCGTTCAACGGCCAAATGATCACCTACTTAATCGCCCTGGGACTTTCATCGAGCTTGGTCGGTGTCCTTCGTGGAATAGCCGCCATCTTTGAGCTCTCCGCTACGTGGATCGCGCCGCGAGTCATGCGATACATGGGACCCATTCGGGCTGGCATCTGGTTCCTCAACTGGCAAATCTTCTGCGTTGCAGCTGCTTGCCTCTGCCTGTGGCTTGACCTCGGGACCGTTGCAGCAGCGACTGGCACCGTCTCTTGTGTGATTGCCAGCCGCATTGGCTTGTGGGGCTTCGATCTCAGCGCACAGATCATTGTGCAAGAAGAGGTTGAGGCGGCTGTTCGGGGACAGTTCTCGAGTCAGGAGTTCGCCTTCCAGAACATATTCGAAATGTTGTCCTTCGCCAGCACGATTGTCTTCTCCCGTCCCGATCAATTCAAGCTGCCGGCTACCGTGTCCGCAGGAGCTGTGGGAGTGGCAGGCATCTTGTACGCCGCTTTTGTACGAGCCAGACGTGGGCACCTTGTGCACTTGTCCGACTGTGTGGATCGCTGCAGCAAACGTGCGCCGAGTCGCGATCACCGTGGTTGGATGTCCGTTCCCCAAAACGAAGACAGCGCGCATGATTTTGCGCCCCTCTCGGAATCGGGTGGCCAAGAACGCATCGAGCTGGATGAAGCCTGAGGACGCTTGCAAATCGTACCCTTCTTTTTCCCAGTACTGGCGCATTGCGATGGCGCTATGGCAGTGACTCCGCCGGCTCCAAGTTCTGATACATAGCAGGGGTAATAGCGTCGAGCGCAATCTCTACGAATCTTCTTCCCGTGCATCGTGCTCTAGCCATATTCTCAGCGAGTGCGACATTCTCCTCGCGAAAGCCTTCCTCGCGCAGACTGCGGTAATACGCGGTCAGCAGGGATAGACCAAGCTCATCATCGATGCGAAAATGGGAGGAGTCTTGCGGAGCGGGTGAGGGACGGATAGCCCAAGTCAAGGTGATTGGGCGATCGCCGAATTCCAGTCCGGGCTGAACGTGCGAGCTGCAGAGTTGGCCGGACTCGTCGACCAGCATCATCCCTCTTGAACCGCTCTTCGCGTGGATCTGCGCTCTCTTGGTGGCAGTCGATTGACTGGAAGCGGTGGTGCCGTGGTTGGGAGGCTCGGTTTCGAAAAGCGTGAACGGAACGATTCCTTGTCCGCCGTCGATGCCACTGTCTGCAGTGGCCACGGCCAGAGCCATGGTATGCAACACCTCGCTCAAATCCTGTCGTCTATTCTGAGAGCGGATGTAGATATACTGCATGTAAGGCACAGCGTATCCGAGCTTGGGCAGCGGCAAGACGGAGAACTGGGCAGCTCCGACCGCCTGGCCGTTATGGTCTCGAATGCCCACCACGCGGTAGGGCGCAAGGCCAGAACGGCGGCCGTCGAGATCGTCTCGCAGGCGTTGAACAATTAGATCTGGGCGCTCGCGTTCCCCACCATGAAACATGCTCAAGTAGAGCTGCTGGTAGTCACGTTCGAATCCATCGGGAGAGACGAGTTCCAACGTGCCAATGTTGGGCAATGCAGTTGTCTCGAGGCGTGCTGCAGGGACGCGGCTGAGGGCCTGCAGATCTATGCCATGCACGAGGCCTGCCAGCCTCGGATCCAACTGCTGCGGTTTGAGGGCGTTCATGTTCGTGATGCCATTTACCTGCTTCTATACACAACTCACAGGAGGAGTCTACTACGATGATATATACAGGCATTAGACGGTATTGGCACCTTTCTAGCCCCACACTTGAAATCTCTTCGGTTGCAATGCTACCACGGTTGCAAGCAAGCATGGGGTGCAAATTTCAATCGCTGTGATTGGCTGGCTGCACAGACTAGAACATGCCGCCCATTAAGCGCAAACATGGAGGTTTCGATTGTTACGATATCCATGCCTTCGACGAGCGCATTCAGTCATGACAGCCTCGCCGCCTGCTTCGAAATGTCGACTCGCGCATTCTGTCGTGCAAATAAGAGTCCGGTCTGGCTGTAAGCAGTCAACTTCGGGCAAGTCGCGATGGAAGGCTTCACAATCCTTGTCATGTGTCTGCAGGGCGCGCGACTGCTTGCATATCCTACACTTCAAAACTAATGAATTGCCAACAGTATGTGTATTCAGGTTAATCTAGTGTGGTGAGAGCGGCTCTAGTCTGACTATTGTGAAGTGGACTCGTCCTTGGACCAATCAATCTGCTTCCTCTGAGATTTCCAGCCAGAGTCGTGAGGCTCAGACTCTGTCGGCAATGACTGAGTGGCTGGACGCTGCCGTCGCAAACACATAGTCTCAGTACAGACACCCAAACGGCCACTCACGCTGGGCGGGGTTCGCTTTCTCGCACCTACCTGATATCTCCTGGCTGTCCACGACTTTTTGGACTGCGTCCAGTGTCCACTTCCTACCTCATTCTCATTCAATGGCGACGGCTCAATGGCAGTGCGGCTTCTCTTCTGTAAGGCACATCTGAATCGGCCCAGGCGAACCAAATCATGGCCCAAGAATCCCCTCCTATCGTCCTATTCACCTATCCCGAGTCGGTCGTCGGACGTCGGACGGAGTGGTATCTGACTCTGCGCGGAATTTCCTATAATTTATGCGAGGTCGATAACAAGATGCCACGTTCTGTCCTGGATCGACTGGATGTGCATTACCGGCGCATTCCCGTGTTGGCCGTCGGTCGAGACATTTATTGCGACTCGCGGTGTATCATTGATCACTTGGAGAAACTGTACACTTCGCGCCCGAAACTCGGTAGTGAACACCCGTACGAGAGGGGTATCGAGAAGATCTTGGAGACCTGGGCTTTCGATGGTGGGCTCTTCGCGCGCACGGCGCAAATGATCACCCCGGATGCCGGTCTGGTTCAGCATCGAAGCTGGCTAGACGACCGAGCTGAATTGACCGGAGTGCGATTCTCGGCCGAAGGACTGAAAGGAGGCGTGAAAGATGCATTGTCTCACGCACGCTTGCACCTGCGCATGGTAGAGGAGGAGTTGCTCGCTGATGGACGTCAATGGTTGAGCGGCGGGCAGCAGCCGGGACTCAGCGATGTGCATGTGCTGTGGATATTTGACTGGATGATGCGGCCCAAAGAGGCCATGGGAATGGCGCATGCCTACCCGTGGCTGCTCAACGAGCAGAACTATCCGAGGACAATGGCGTGGGTGAAGCGAATGGCAGATGTATTCAACACCGCACAGGCGAAACATCCCCCAAGACGCATATCCGATATTGAGGCCGTGAAACTCATCGAATCATCAGCCTTTTGGCAAGCAGACGAATTACCGGTAGAGTCGTTGGATCCAACCGGGCTGGTCAGAGGCGAGGAGGTCGATTTGATCGCGCTGGATTCGGCCTCCGCAGCGGGCATCAATCGGCGGGACGTGGGACGGCTCGAAGGGCTGACTGTGACGAGTGCAACGATCGGAACGGAAACGAAAAATGGCGTTCATGTCCGGATTCACTATCAACGAACGAATGTCCGCGTTGTACAGGCTGGAGGGAAGCCAAGGCTAACAGCGAGCGAGATTCCCAAGCTATAAGCAGAGCATCTCGAGATATCCGTCAACACGCGTGATAGCGGCGCCGCTTCAAGACTTAGGCCTAGCTATGACTGAGCGTTCTGTCATTCCGCAAGCCACGAATTCACACCCCCTAGTCAAGGGCGTCTCCTTGAAATTCATCCCAGCCTAGAGCATTGTAGATGGACTCAGGTCCCGTTTGATCCGCCACGCCCGTTCTAAGGACCACATTTGGCGAAGCCATGGCCAGAGGAGTAGCAAGCAGTCGATCGACGGTCGTGGTGGATTTTGGCTTGGAAGGCGTTTGAAAAACGGCGAGCGAGCCCGGTGGTCTTGCTAGACCGGGTGGCATGAACTTGGCGAATCCTCGCGAAGGCGTTTCCTGGACGTGCGAGGACGGTCTATTCCGATGACTCGTTTGGGGAACGGCCGGCGTACTTCCTGGGATGTCGAACGTCCGCTGGGGAGCCAATCGCGGTGACGAGGATGCCATATACGAGTCGCCAGCAAACTCACCCTCTCGCTCCATCATGGTACGATGGGGCTTCCTGGGCGTGGCACGTACTCCAACGTAGCTTGGAGTATTGCTGACTTGCGAGGCCAATGAAGATGCTCCGTCTGGCTTAGTCGCGGCCGAAAATTGCTTTGCCTTGGCCTTCGTTTTGAGCGTGGCATCAGCGAAACTCTTGTCGATCCTCCGCTCGTCCTCCCTTACCGCAAGGGCTCGGTTGGGCTTCTTAAGCATCTCGACTGCGTCCCGAAGCCTAGCTTCGACGTCTTTCTTCTTTCGCATCTTTGCCTCATTGGCGGTTGATATGGCCGTCAGATCAACCTCGCGCTTGCTGAACTGCTCAAGATGTGGCACAGCGCGAGGCCTGCGAATATGCGTCGAAGGTGGCCGTAAGCTGGGAATACAGTCCAGCGAGACATCGCTGCTTTCGCGTTTGATCAGGGGGACCGATTCGGACGCCACTGCTGACCTCGGTAAAGATGGCAGTCGGGCTCTGCCAGGCTGAAGCGTGCGAATCGAAGGATCCGTTGACGACCGCTCAGGTGATGTCCTCGCCGGCTTTGGTCGCGGTTGTCTAGCGACAGCACTGCCCGGCTTATGTGACTTTGAAGGATTCTCTTTGACCGGAGTTGGAGCACCTGGGCCGCCGAATTTCTTGTTTACTGTCGCTGAGTAGTTGGGGACTCGAGAGCTGTAGAAAGGAATGACGACTTCTATACAGAAGTTTCGGAGCTCGTCATTGGGCTCCTCTGAGTTGACTGAGGTGTCTGGATTCACGGCTTTGGCAGGCGACTGCGATTCAAGCGAATGCCATATACACAGCTTGTCCAACAAAGCCTCAAGCTGGGTAGGCAGGTTGTGGGCCTTCTTCGACGTCAACCGCTTGCTCGGGGTCCGCGGCAGCCCCGGGTCAGCATGCCGGCTATCAGAGAATTGCAGTGTTTGCCCCTCGCCTGTGCATGCAGGAAGAGCGGCCTCAAGCGCCAGAACTTCGAGAGTGAGAATGATTTGCAAGAAAGTCTCACGAGTACGAAGCCTGATGAGTCTCTGGCGAAGGAGTGCATCAAAGCTTTCGGAACTTGAACAGTCGTCGACATCGTCGTGCAAACGCCACCATCTTCCCACCATGTCCTGCTCGTCAACGAAGAACCCGGACTTGTCTCGCTTTGCCACCCACTTCCGCCGCTTCTTCTTTGCTTTGTCAGATCCACGCTCTGGCGGTTGGTCATTCGACAGCGGCAGGGTTTTGATTGAATTCGGAATGTGATCTCTGAACTTTTTGTCCATCACGGACGAGGTCAGTATGCTTGCGCGTAAGAAGGCCGCAAGTCCGGGTAGATCCGTTTCCTTTCCTGCACCTGACCAGGCCGCTCTCGCTCTCGATAGTGGTCCTTTGGCGAAATAGGCCAGTGAGGTCCTAGAAAGGTACAAGGCCTCAAGGTAATGCTTGGTCAGCTCCTGTAGTGCGTCCTGTGGTTGGTGGTTTGTATCCGTTATGTTGGCGAAATCAGGGGGCTGCGCATCGATGCGAGTCGATACATCGGACTCTTGCACCAGTCGGCGTCGCGAATCGGCCGACGTGGTCTTCTTCTGCCGATTCGTGTGGAGCTTGGGTGGCTCCGACCTTTGGTATCCCTGGCCCATGACGGCAGCGACAGCCCCCGGCAATTCAACTGACGCATGCCCCCACCAAGCGTTCGGTGGACATTCTATGGCTCGCCTCTTCATCGGATGTAATGGCCTTGTCTGGAATTCCACATTGGATTGTTCCAGCAGCATGGACTCGGTGACCCAGGTTGCGAGGCGACATAGCGCGAAGCGTTGTGGAACGACCTGTTCAATGGCATACAACCGCTTCTCCACCTCCGAGCTCGCCACTAGCACGCTAGGAAGCGCGTCGTCTTCGGCATTCGCCTTCTCGAGTGGGCTGATATGAGCGGAAAAGAAACGGCTCGGTGGTGAAGCTTGATCAAGATAGGCGAGGGGAAGACTCGCGCGAGACAGCAAGCATATGGATCGGAACGACTCGCTGGGCCGGAGAGGTGCGCGAGGATCCTATAACAGAGTGTCAGCTGGGAAAGGCGTGGCTAGACGGTCATGGGCATACATGGACCGTGAATGTGTATGCCTTGATCTTCCCATCGTCCTCGTCTCGTGGGCGTTTCCGCGTTATTGATATGGCGGGTAAAGCTGGCATACTCCCCTCCTCAGCATTAAAGATGACATGGCATACCGTAGGGCGTGCTATTGTGTGCAAGGGTTCACGATGAGCCGTTGTCCGCTCTCCGAGACGTGAAGTTGGGGACGCGTCCGTGCTCGGCATCGCGTCGCGGGGTCGCTTTCGCTTGATGCCTGAGGCATTCAACTCTTGATGCAGCATCCAGCCAAATCGATTTCAATCACTATGTGACTTACAAGTACATTGCATCGCGGGTGCGAATGGTCAGGGCCTGCGCGGCCGTTTGCACTTTTCCAGATTACCTTCTCAATGGACATCGGCTTGAATGGACCATTTCGCTCGTCGGGGGCACGGGCGGGCACATGTCGCGAGTAGGTGTTTACCAGCTGCTATTCGGTTGTACAACTATCGCCCATTGCTCGCGCAACCCCCGTGACCCATCGCCATCAAATGCTGTTCACGCAGGCCGACAGGTTCGCAACGCTTCACCCACTCCGATATCCTTGCGCCTCGACACCAATCCCTAAATGCAGCCAGTTACCGACGGACCATGCAGATGTAGACTCGAGTCAGAGATAGATAGGGTTTCAGCGCTGTGGGCCACTCGATCAAGAACTGCGCATCGCCATCCACCCATTCTCCGAGAGGGTCGGAAAACCTATCACCGTAACCCAATAACGCTCTGCACACGTGAAAAGTCAGCGACGCAATCCGGCGATCTTGTAGATTCAGGCAACTCACCATCTCAAGAGTCCAGACCCTTCGAATCCACACCTTCAGTTTTCCTTGCACTCCCTCGACATTCTCCAGCTCCACCCCTTCCCACCAGCATCTTCGCGCCGGCTTCCTCCAGAACAACAGCAACTTTTGCGCCATGCCCACCGCGTTCCCACTGGCCGCACCCCCAGCATCGGAGCCGCGAATATCAGTCCTCAGTCGCGCAAGGGCGATGGAGCATATCACCGCCTTATTAGGCTCGGCCGCGCGATGGCCCCAGATGTCGGCATGATCGAAACCACTATCCCGCGCCGTTAGCTACTACACTTGGAGGACGCCAAGGGTCGGGGGCAATGGTTTACCCAGCCGTCAGCATTTCGATGAGGTGTCGCTCCGTCGTGCCCTCCTCCTCACTTTTCCTCAGGCCACTGAAGATGCCATCCTGCTTCAGGAGTTCTCTGCCAGCCGCTCGTTTCACCTCAATCATCTCGGTAGCATCGATGTCGCGTCGCGGGGGAATGGCGTAGAAGTCCAGGTCCTCGCGCAGCACAATGATGCCAGCCCGATCCTGGAGCATGTCTCGCGCGGAGCCTGCCAACGGCGCGGGCCCGGGCTCAATGGGCACAGTGGAAGCATCCTGAGGTGTGGCTGCCGAGGTGGGCAAGGATTGAGCGACTTGGCGGAAGAATTCGAGCATGTACTGGAGGGATGCGGGGTCGTACTGCGAAAGATAAGTGATGTCAGATAAGTATAGATTTGTGTTTTTCATGACGCGCGTGATGGTTTGCAAGGAGGGAGGGGTGGGGGCGTGAGCGACAGGTTTTGTAGTCGCTGCCGCCCTGCCGGAAGGGTTGCTTACGTCGACGGGGTACACGTCGCCAGTGTTGTGATAGCTGTTCATGTGGCCATCGGGAAGCAGGCCATTCGGGAATAGAGAGAGTAAGACGAATTCGGGAAGGGTGAGCAGTTCATCCCGCGACAGCGTGAAGCGCGTTCCGCTGGGGGCTGTTAGTTCGACGCATTGCATGCTGCTGAAAGTCAAGTAACGCACCGTAGCTCAAGCGTAATGCTCTCGTCCGATCCTGTGATGCTGTAAGCCAGACGTCTCCAACGGAAGCGATGCATGGGGACGTGCCTCCAATACCACTGGTGCTGATGGGTGCAATCCCAGCGGGCCCTTGCTGGACCTGGGTGATGACACTCGCCGCTCCGCCGGCTACAGCCATGACGTATGTAAAGCCGTCGAGAGGAGAGCCTCCTTCTGTATACGGCGGCGGCGGTTCTCCGTCGTCGAGTTCCTTGCTGCACTCTGGCGCTTGTTTGGTGTCTCGGGGGAGCGCGGCTTTGGTCTCGGCGACAACGCGACTAGCGCCTCCGGACGGAGAGGCAGAGGACTCCTCGAATGTCGGCGGGGCGGAGGCACAAGTGGCAAAGGCGGAATCGGCGGCGGCACACTCGGTGGCTAGGGCGGAGTAAGGGTCGGCGGAGGAGGGAGCTGGGAAGTAGCGCGAAGGAAAGTTATGGGAGGAGAAGGGCGGCGGGGGCGCGACGGCCGACTGGTGCTCTTGCTCTGGCTCTTGCTCTTGCTCTGGCGCGCGCTCGCCTGGTTCGTCGCGAAGGCGCAAGGGAGTGTGGACGTCGGTCTTGCTGGGCCGCTGGTGGAGAGAAGGAGCGGGGGTGGTGTGCACGGAAGAGTCGTCGTCGTGAGTAGCCACTTTGAAGAAGGCGCGCGACGCCTGTTACGCAGACATGGGGGTAGCGACAATCCAAGCGGCAACGGGAAGGCAGGCTCTGCAAGGCAATTGGGGTCGAGGGCTCACTGGCATGCGATTGGTGACGAGTGGAGGCACGGGGGGTTGGTGGGGATGGACGAGGTGCGGCGTGGTTGCTCTCGACCATCTCCACTTGGACCGCCCGTTAAATTGGCTTTTCGGAACTCTCCGCCGCGGACTTCCGTGCACTTGACCGGCGCCCAATGGAAGCTTCACCGATTCACATTAACTAATAAGTTACAGAACACCGATACCTCTATCGACTGCTTGCGCTTCAAGCAAAGAAGACTATGGCTCCATACCTCGCTATCATGTAAGCAATCGCTCGTAGAGATATATACCTCAAGGTCTCTCCGCGAGTTGCAGGATTCTTCAAGGCCAGCCATCTCCCTCACGTCGGCATCTTTCTCATACTCCTCTCCCTCCGTGTGCGTTGTGTCTTTCAGCAGCACATCATGGCCTCATGCATCATCAAGTCAAAGACCAGACACGCGGTAGTGGCCACCCAACGACCTCCCGCGTTCAAGTGAAGGGCCCCCGGCATACGGCTGGAAGTTGTATCCCGGATGCATAGCCTCTGGCCTGTCACCATTCACTTGCGGCAGAGAGATATCCTTGCCCCCTCCCCCTTGAGCGAAATTCGGGTGGGCGCTCCGTGAGCGAGAAATCTCTAGGGCATCAGGTCTCGCGACATCCTTCGCCGTGTACGCATGTTCTTCGTCCACATCCAAAACTTCCGCTTCCTTTTCATCGAAATCTTGGCCCGGGTTCGCCGTCTCGTACTCGAGGAGCTTGAGGAATCGGTACAGAGCGACGGCAAGTAATGATCCGAGGCCGGGGCCGACCCAGTAGATCCAATGATAGTGTGGGAAGTGACCGAGGGCCACGCACGGGCCGAAAGAGCGCGCGGGGTTGAGAGAGCCTGCCGAGAGTAAGATGTCAGCAAGCACGCGTGCAATAAACACGAGCAGATTCACGCATACCTCCAGTGAAAAAGACCCCACTCAGCTCACACACGAACAGCGCAAGTCCGATGCCGATAGGTGCGATGAACGTCCCCTTATGCTTCTCCGCCGCCAGCATAAAGATGGTGAACACGAGCACCGCGGTCAAAAGCGCCTCGATGAAGAGGCCGCGCACAACGGAAACGCCGTTCCCAAGCGTGGTTGTGACGGCAAAGGTGCCCGGGAAGAGGGCCCGCACGATTCCTGCCGCCGCCATTGCACCAAACAGTTGAGAAATGAGAGCGACGAGGGCGCGCACCCACGTCACCGCTCCGATCAAAGCCATCCCGAGAGTCACTGCGGGATTGAACAAGCCGCCGGAGATTCGGAAGAAGACCCACGCGGTGACGGCAAGGCTGAAGCCGAATGAGAGCGAGATGAACATGAGTGACGAGGCATCGGGGGCAGTAGGGATGCTGTGTTGACTTCCGCCGGCCTGCTTCTGAGCTTCCGCCGCTGCATTGGCCACTTGGGTGCCGCTAAATGCCAGGAACAGGAAAGCAGCGGTCCCGAAGGCCTCGCCCACCCCGGCGATGATGTGGTTGCGAAGGGTATTCGGCAGGAAGTCCAGAAGTCGGGATCGAGGCGTGTGGTTGATGTCTTGTTTCCTCGTGTTGGTGCGACGCATGCCGGGAAGGTTGAAGCCCCTCGTGGACGGCTCTTGGATGTTCATCTTGAAGAGTCAATTGAGGCGGAGCCACGGGGTGTATCGACGATCCCCGCGTGGAACAGGGCTGAGGTAAAGGGCCTCACCCTCGTGGATGTGTTGGGGTCTGATGGGTGAGCTCGATGTCAAGACGCTTCCAGCGGCAGAGTGTCAGGAAGTTCACAGTGTTACATGTAAGTCAGACTGCGTAAAGAGCGAGTGGAAGGTCAAAGCGGTGCCCGCACATGCAAAGCTGGGGCTGGGAGATGCATCTCACATGCGCCAGGTGCAATCGATGATGCGGCGGCGCTAGGCTGGCCTCTTGGAAATTCAATGGCAGCATCTACATTGGCATGTACTTGACCCTGGTCGCCGCCGCAAAGTGCGCATGGAATGGCCATTCTATCCCTTCGCCTCGAGATGCCGGCATCAATGCACAGAGCGGTACTCACGCGGCTTTGGCACGCGTCTTCCATCTTGCCGCATTTGCAAATCTCTGAGTGAGCGTGACATGATGTTCTGTGATTGATAACAACGGTCGCAGCCCAGCCTTCCCCACGACATGTCGTCTGCATTAGCGCTGCATGCAAGCTGTGGGGCCGACATGCAAGGTTGAGCGCCGCCATTTGTCATGCCATGCTTGCTTCGGCGTCGTGTAAAGATGCGGCTTCTCAAAGCCTTGTAAGTGCTTGGGATATCAACAGTCTGGTTGCAAGGTTCGCTTGAATCTCAGCGCTACATGTACAGTACAATTCGAACGATTCGAGCGGGCAGAGTCCGACGCAGAGTCTGACATCCATGACCGACTTCAGTCTTGCAGCGCCACGGTGAGCATTTGAGCTCGTGAGCGTTGCTATTGTTCCATCCGAAGCGGTCACACCATCCTGCGAGCTGCTCGATCGTGCTGTTCTCCATCGCGCTCTCTTTCACGCGGCAAGTTGCCTCCAAACATGGCAGCGCTGGCAATCCGTTCGACTGGCTGACATGCTGTCAACCACATGCGTGGAGGGGTCTCCTTCTCCGTCTCGCACGAAGGGGGGGTTGGCGCTCTCCCAACTCCCTTTTGTCCGGCCATGAGTATTCTTCGCATTACGCTCCATCAGGCTTCCCGATGTTTTGGCACGAACACGCCCTTCCAGCGGTGACATGAGGTACTGATCGCTCAGGGCAGTCAATCTTTGCCGTCTTTGTAAGAGTCAATCCAGTCTGTTTCGCCGACCGCGAGCTTGCCAAAGTTCAATCGCGTACTCCAGCGAACATTGTGCGTGAAAGCGACCTCATTCATCTCGTCGCCCCATGGATCGATGTCGGAGAATGTCGACTTCCTTCCGATTGGACGATGATGGTTGAAGTACGGGGGCTGAAGTGTCAAGCACGTGGCCATCTTCCGCCCCTTCTCCCCGTCACAAATACGAGCGAGCATGATGTCCATTGCGCCGCTGTCCTGCTGATGCACGCCCATTTCCCACAGGAGGCGACGTGCGCCAGCGCGTGAGATGGCGTACGCCGAGCTACACAGGTTGCGCCTCGTCCGTGACACTACTCGGGTGTGCGGGGGATATTGCTCCATCAGATCTTTATTTGCGGCTTGCATGTTGATATGCTGCGGCTCCGGCACCGTGTCATCGTTCGATATCACGACCCGGCCAAGCGGTGTGCTCCTGCCAGCTTCGGTTGGGAAGACGGTACCACAGTGCCCGAGCCATAAGAGGTCCCACTGCGATGCGTCACCGTACGGAGATGTCGTTGGCTCCGTGGTGAGCCCGGAGCTCAGATCGAAATTGGACGGCGTTTGGCCCCAAGAAGGGCTGGGGTAGGTAGGGTCAAGGAAGCGATTCGTTGAGCCAGCCAGAGGCTGTACAAGCATCTGCGTGGCTCGCGCAAAGTCTCGCATTTGCGACTGCCAACAGTCAGTGGCGTCCAAGCGACTACACGACGGTCAGAGAGCATTCGACCGCTAACCTTGATGCGTATGTCCCAATCCACGTCATCCTCCATGATCAGCGCAGAAGTGAGGTTCTGCTCAACGATCCTGCGGGTCGAGTTAGCAAGGACGAACGGCTTGTTGGCGATGCGACGACGGGAGCAGAGCACACTGACTTCCTAATCACATTCATGTGTGCCCGCCATGCGCCCAAGCCCGACACCTTCCAATCCTGCCCGTAGCCTCCTGGGGGAAGGAGCTTCTTCATGGCGTCGAAATTCTCCTCCGCGACAGCTATGCCGTCGGCGTACTCGACCTCCAAATTCGAAAAAGCGGCTGCTAGGGACATGGCATCGCGGCGGTCGGTGCGGTAGGGCATGCTGACGACGAAGATCTTTTGGAACTGCATGAATGAGGAGGGATGTCAGACGCCAGGCAGCAGCAACGGCGAGAAACAGGGGAGAACGTACGCCGAGCGTGGCATTGTACACGTCGTCCAGGATATCATGATTGGGCGGTGCGCTTTCGGGCGCATGATGTGACGGGGGTTGATGAGGCGGCGGCGGCGGGGTGTATGGCTGTGATTGTGAGGAAGAAGGGAGGACCGATGAAGCTGCACCCTCGTGGTTGAGGCCGAGCAGGAGTAGGAGGAGGACGATCGCCGCGCCCGACCCAATCACGACCCACAGCCGCGCCTTCCCTCGGCCTGCTCGGTCTGAGTGCGTTTGACCCATGAGGAGACGGCCGCCAGAGGAGGGGAAAGAAAGTGGTCGCAAGGGGGAAAAGGTGGAAGTAGCGTAGGTAGCCAACGCCTGCTACCTGAAGTACACGCGTGCGGGCATGTACTGTGGGCAGACTCGCAGGTACCTCCGTCTTCACCCCCATGCACGGGCCCACCCGTCGAAAGTAAAAGAAATGACTCAGCAGTATGCCGGCCGGCCAGACGGCCCGTGCAAGCTTGCCTCGTCTGCTCGCATTTCTTCACGGCTCTGGCATCTTCGACGCTCGCGGCGGTCTGAAAGCCGACAAGCCAGGAATCTCGCTGCCGAATGGACTTCAAGGGCAGCTCCAGACGGGGCAGCCCGCGGCGGTCCACTGCGCTCACGGATGACGAGGTAGATGAGGTCGCTCGGCGGCGCAGCGACATGTACCGTCGAGGCAGTAACATGAGCGAGTACGTTGAGGTTCTTGCAATTCCAACCACCTGTCTCCCACCACTGACCCAATGACACAGGGCAAGTTTTCTCGGCGACGTGGAAATGGCGCAAGATGAGGTGGGTTCGCACCTTGGATCGCTGGAAGGCCGCATCACCTAACCCAATGCCATTACAGATGTTCTCCGGGCCGATGTCTGAGAGCGTCCCCACGGCCACAAGCACATTCGCCTACAGAAGAAGTCGCCGTGACTCGACCGCAAGCTTCCAGTTCTACGATGATGAAGATCAAGAGCAGGATCTGGAGGAGTGGCCGGACTGGCACGAAGAGGCCATACTCGATGATCAGGATCAATTGGAACGGCAGAGTCTAAGTGACACCAATGGAGTCGAACTACACAGCGAGGAAGTGACTCTGCTGGACAGTCAAGAGCGGAGGAGGAGCAGCAGATCGAGAAAATCGTCCGGCGTATCCAAAGGCTCGAGGACGTCTACCGAAGCTCCCTTACTGCGTCGGCATCCGTCTGACCAATCTCGTCGTTCGGAAGACAGCGCATACAGTGGCTTCCGGACCGGTGGCCGAGTCAGCCAGAAAATCTACATCTTGACGGAGGACATGACAATTGTCGTTGCCGGGTTCCGTACGTCGGCGCTCGGCTTTGCAATGTACCTCTGCGTCTGCATCCTCACCGCCGGCGTCGGCTATCTGGTCTTACGATGGCTTCCTAAGTGGTACGTGAAGCTGGTCGGACGCAATGCCCCCCTGGCAAAGTGCGATTGGGTGGTGATCGAGAATCAGTGGGGCGAAATGGCCGTTCAGAACCTCAACAAACAGGAGTTTGGCCAGTCGCTATCATCCGTCTTTGGGCACAGCGAGAAGGGCAAAATGTCGGATTTTGACGAGTACGACGATCCCATCATCGAGCAACTGCGGATCCTGGACTATCGCTACATTCGCTTCTGCTACCACCCATTGCGAGACAAGTTCGTCCTGGGCAATGTGTGGAAAGATCCAAACTGGACGGATATCGCGACAGTCCGAGCGGGGATCGACAGTGACGAGCAAGAAGTTCGGGAGCGCATATTTGGCGCCAACGCCATCAACATCGAGCAGAAGAGCACGATGCAGTTGCTTCTCGACGAGGTCCTTCACCCCTTCTACGTCTTCCAAGTCGCAAGCATGCTTCTCTGGTCCGTGGACGAGTATTACTACTACGCCGGCTGCATCTTTGTCATTTCCGTTGTCAGTGTGGTCACTACTCTCCTGGAAATGAAGGCGACGATGAAAAGGCTTCGCGAGATTTCGCTCTTCAAGTGCGACGTTCGCGTCCTGCGCAATGGCTTCTGGCGGTACATTGATTCTAGCGAACTCGTACCGGGTGACGTGTACGAGGTCACCGATCCAAATCTTGGACTATTCCCCTGCGACAGCTTGCTTCTCTCAGGAGACTGCATTGTGAACGAGAGCATGCTGACTGGCGAGTCGGTTCCTGTATCCAAGATCCCTGCTACCGACGAGACGCTGGATCGTCTCAACCTGGCTGCATCGCAGATACATCCGGATGTTGCAAGGCATATGCTGTTCAGCGGCACAAAGATTATCCGAGCACGTCGGCCACAAGACGACGGAAGCGATGACTCGGCTGCACTGGCGCTGGTTGTTCGCACAGGCTTCAACACTACAAAAGGCGCCCTCGTTCGGTCCATGCTTTTCCCAAAGCCATCGGGGTTCAAGTTTTACCGCGACTCCTTCCGGTACATATCAGTCATGGCGTGTATTGCCGGCATTGGATTCATCGCGTCATTCATCAACTTCATTCGTCTGGGCTTGCAATGGCATCTGATCCTCGTCCGCGCTCTGGACTTGATCACGATCGTTGTCCCGCCCGCCCTTCCCGCCACTTTGACCATTGGAACGAATTTCGCCCTACAGCGCCTGAGGGGGAAGCAAATCTTCTGTATCAGCCCGCAACGAGTCAATGTGGGTGGAAAACTCGACGTCATGTGCTTCGACAAGACGGGTACTCTGACGGAGGATGGCTTGGATGTTCTTGGCGTCCGAGTGGTTGCTCGTCCATCGAACCGATTCACGGAGATTTTCACGGACTCTACCGAACTACTTCCCGGTGCCACGTACGAACGAGATCCCACTTTCGACTACAACGCGAACAAAGCCATTCTGTACACCATGGCCACTTGCCATTCGCTCCGTGTTGTGGATGATGAGTTCATCGGCGATCCCCTGGACCTAAAGATGTTCGATTGGACTGGCTGGCAGTTTGAAGAAGGCTCCGGTGGTCCCTCGAATACGGAAGAGGACGAGGATCACTCACTTTCGCCGTCTGTTGCTCGACCGCCTCCCGGCAACGAGTTCGACCTCGACGAAGAGCCCGACTCCGCAAACAGTCGGCGTCCGATCGAGCTCGGCGTGCTAAAGTCCTTTGAATTCGTCTCGCACCTTCGCCGTGCTAGCGTAATCGTTCGACAGTTTGGCGACAAGAGCGGAGATGTGTTCGTCAAGGGCGCGCCGGAAGCCATGAAGGACATCTGCAGACCGGAGTCTTTCCCCGCCGACTACGACGATCTTCTATCTTACTACACCCATCGCGGTTTCCGGGTCATCGCTTGCGCCACCAAGCACATTTTCAAGCTCAACTGGCTGAAGGTGCAAAAGATGAAGCGAGAAGAGGCCGAGTCGAACCTGGACTTCGTCGGCTTCATTGTGTTTGAGAACAAGCTCAAGGACACCACGACCAGCATTATCGAGCAGCTGAACGAAGCCAACATCCGCACGGTGATGTGCACGGGCGACAACATTCTCACTGCCATCAGCGTTGCGCGGGAATGCAGCCTCATTGATCGCACCGCACACTGTTTCGTGCCCCACTTTGTGGAGGGAGATGCGCACACCGCGCTGTCCAAACTGAGCTGGGAAAGCGTGGATAATCCCGTTTACCAGCTTGACGAGAATACGCTGAAACCCCTTCCGCCACCCGCCGACCACGACTCTTCGCTCCCGTACGACGTTTCAAACTTACGGAACTATTCAATCGCCGTGACAGGCGATGTCTTTCGCTGGCTGGTGGACTTCGCGTCACCCAAGGTGCTGCGCGAGATGCTTGTCCTAGGCCAAGTCTTTGCAAGAATGTCTCCGGACGAGAAACACGAGCTCGTCGAGAAGCTACAGAGCATCGACTACTGCGCTGGCTTCTGCGGTGATGGTGCCAACGACTGCGGTGCTCTCAAGGCAGCAGATGTCGGCATTTCACTCTCGGAGGCGGAGGCTTCTGTGGCCGCGCCCTTCACCAGCCGAGTCTTCGACATCTCATGTGTGCCAGAGGTGATTCGCGAAGGCCGTGCTGCGCTGGTGACGAGCTTCAGCTGCTTCAAGTACATGAGCTTGTACTCAGCCATCCAATTCACGTCGGTCAGCTTCTTGTACGCGGCCGCCTCGAATCTGGGCGACTTCCAGTTCCTCTTCATCGACCTCATCCTCATCCTACCGATCGCCGTGTTCATGGGCTGGACGGGACCGTACCACTCGCTCTCACGCAAGCGACCAACGGCCAGCCTGGTGAATCGCAAAGTCCTCGCACCCCTGATTGGCCAAATCGTGATCTGCATCGTTGTCCAGCTCATTGTCTGGCTGCTCGTGCGACGGCAGCCGTGGTATCAGCCGCCTATCCTTGACCCCGGGCACTCTCGACCACCAAACTCGGAGAGTACCTCTCTGTTCCTGGTGTCGTGCTATCAGTACATCCTCTCCGCCATCGTGCTGTCGGTGGGCAAGCCGTTCAGGCAATCGATCCGTCACAACCTGCCCTTCGTCATCAGCATGGGCGTCACGTTGGCAGTCTCGACGTACATTCTTTTCGATCCCGCACCCTGGCTGTTCGATCTCATGGACCTGACGCCCATGTCGCCGGCGTTCAAGATCTTCATCCTAGGCCTGGGTCTTGGGGGATTTGTGTGCATGTATTTGGCGGAAAGATTACTGTTCCCTCACTTGTCGAAGTGGATTGGCAAGGTGAAAACGGAGTGGCGCGGCAAGACGAAGAAGCGGAAAGAATACAAAGTCATCTTGGACGACATGCGCATATGAGTAGATGGAGGCAACAAATGTACAGCAGCAGTATATCGCATCATGGAGTCCAAATGATCTCGCGAGCCCGCTAATGCTAAACATTTAATTCTCCAGAAATGTAAAAAGATTGGTGTGCACCACATTCAACGCCCTCTCGGCTTCCTTGGCTTCAATGACGCAGCTGATGTTGATCTCGCTCGCCCCCTGGCTGATCATCTCAATGTTCACTCCATGCTCACCCAGCGCACTGAAGAAGCGGCCCGAGATGCCGACGTGGCTTCGCAGATGCCTGCCGACGAGCGAGATGATGGCCATGTTCGGAACGAGATCGATGTCGCCCCACGTGCGCAGATCTTCGACGCAAGCTTGGAGCGCGGCACTCTCGATCTTCATCTCTTCCTCGCCACCTCCGGAGAGCAGGCGGGCTTCGCTGTGGAGCGCAAGGGAGATGTGAACCTCGGATGAGGAGATGAGGTCTACACTGAGGCCGTGTTCGTCCAGTGTGCTGAATATGCGGCTCAGAAAGCCGTGGGCGCGGGTGCGCTTCTTGGAGTGCACGTTCAAGATCGCAATGCCTTTCTTGATCGTCACGGCGGTGGGCTTGCGGGGAACCTGCTGGTTCTGCATCAGAATGTTGGTGGACGATCTGTCGCGGAAGATGAAGCCTGGCCGTCGATTGTAATTGTCGGTCTGGTCCGGGACGATGACGGTGCCGTTACTGCGGGGATTCTTGACGTTTTTGATGCGAATGGGGATTTCCGCTTTGATGACCTGATCCATGGTCTCGTTGTGAATCACCTCGGAACCGTAAAACGTCAGCTCGGCAGCCTCGGAGGGCGTGACAGAGTCCAGCAGACGGGCGGTAGGGACCTTGCTGGGGTCGGCGGTGAAGATGCCATCAACCTCCTTCCAAATTTGCAGTTCTTTGGCTTCCAACCCGATGCCGACGAGCGCGGCGCAGAGGTCGGTGTAGCCTCTTCCAATCTCCTTCAAGAGGCCGTCTTGTACCCTCCCGAAGAAGCCGGTAATGACGGGGACTGCGTCGTCGGGCTCGGCAAGCACACGCTTGGCCATCGCGGCGGTCAGCAACTCGTAGAGCCCCTCGCCTCGTCGCGACGCCTTGGTGGAGGAGATGGCGAGGACCTCCGACATGTCGACATATGCCGCTTTGATGCCGCGACTTCTCAGGATGGCGGTCATGTACAGGCAAGACAGACGCTCTCCCACAGCTACGATCATGTCCATCGTCTGATCCGACACTTCCCTGATTACTTGTGCGCTCTTGAGGATGTCAAGTAGATCATCGCATTCGGAGTTGACCACTTGCTCGTAGTGCTGGAGCACATCTTCAGCGTCGTTTCTTTCTGTCAGAACGTCTCGTCGTCCCGCTTCAATGTGATCGGTGCGAATGGCCTCGACGATTTCGAGGTACTTCCGGCTCTTCACGTCCTCCACATCTCGCGCCGCGCGTAGGAGGCGGGTGGTGGTTCCCTCGCTCTTGGTGCCAGTGCTTCGCGCCGAGCACACCACGGCGATGCGGTGTCTCTTGATCCCTGGACTGCAGGCGTGGGTTAGCTCGTCCTGCCCAACTCGTGCATTGCCTCGCGAGTATCATACATACCCCACAATCTCTTCTGCGATTTTGACCGGGAACTTGCCCACGCTCGTTCCGCCATATTTCTGCACCACCCAGTTGCCGCCTCCTGGGAGGGACAGCTCGGGCGAGTGCGGTATCCGGTAAGCGAAGCCATTGGTGACGGGATTGTGATGGGGATCCCAGTTCGGGTCAGGTTTGCGAGGGCGGCGGATGATGGGGAAGTCCATGTCTGCGAGCAGGCTGCCCTTGCTGCCAGTCGACTGGACGAGGGGGGAGAGAAAGCAGGGTGGCGTGAGATGAAGGGTGTGTGCAGATCTGAAGTGGTTGGAATCAGAGTCATTCATCCGCACGTGCACTGCGCTTCATTGAATGCTGACATAAGGCTTGGACTTTGAAAATTGCCGATTGCGCGATAGGCGTTTCGCCGCGGCATGAGAGCTACATGGACGAGTCTTGCGATTGACATTCATTATTCTACGAGCTGCCTTAGATGAAGTGGTGTGCTCCTCGAACACCACGATTCGTTCGTCGTCTCTGGCATTATCGGGGTGGAGATCGATGATCGAACTACTACGCGGTGTGAAACCACATTCATCAGGAAACAAGGAGCAGCAGCGTCAGATACGATGATTTGTCTTTTGAAGGTATCCTCCTGTATCACACTACAGCGCAAGAAAGCACCGCAAGCTACAGCAGCAACACGACAAAGCGTAAAGGAACCCTCCCGTCACTCTCCATGCGTCTAGTCCTTTGTCTTTTGAGTACCACGTAGCAGACCAGTTCTCCGGGCGGCGATGAGACCGGCTTTTTGACCTTGTGCAGCGTAGCGAGAGATGGTCGACGCCTTACCAATATGTTGATGGTTACCACCACCGTGGGGCTGGGACGCGAGTTAGCAGACGAGCGAGGGCAGGCGTGAGATGATCTGGTAGGGGCTTACATGGTCCACGGGGTTCATAGCCACACCACGGGTCTTGGGCCACGAGTTGCGCTTGACGGCGAACTTATGCTTCGCACGGGATGCCTCTGTGCGAGTGTTAGCGAGTGTTCACGAGTCATGCCTCGATGCGGGGTGTCGTACTGAGCAGAGGCTTGTCGGTACGTCCTCCTCCAGCGACAATGCCAATCATCCCACGCACGGTGCTCTTCACCACCTTCTTCGCTCCACTCGGCAGCTTCACTCGGGTCTTACCCTCGTCGGGGTTGTGTCCGATGACGGTGACATAGTTGCCGCTCGTCCTGCCCAGAGCGCCTCGATCACCAGCCTTCTCTTCCACGTTGCTGACCACGGTACCTTCCGGCATCGACCCGAGGGGGAGCACGTTGCCGATGCTGAGAGAGGCGTTCTTGCCGGCGTAGATGAACTGGCCGGTGTACATGCCCTCGTTGGCGATGAAGGTCTCGGTGCGGAGTTTGAAGCGGTACGGATCACGAAAGACGACCCGGGCGAGCGGTGCGCCACGGCCGGCATCGTGAACAATCTCCTTCACGACGCCGCGGATGTAGCCATGGCGTTCGGCAAAGTCGTACGTGCGGAACTGTGCGGGTGCTATCGCCATTGTGAGCTGCTATTCCCATCTTTTCGACCCGCCCACGAGACGGTGACTGAACCGCGGGTGCGCTCACCTTTGTTCAGGCGGGTGTTGGCCGTGAAGATGGACCCTCGCCCCTTCCTCTGATTGCGAATAACCCGACCCATCGTGTTTGTTGGACTGACGGGTGTGGATGTGATCGCAAGACTGCTGGCTCGAAAAGTATAGACGCTGTTAGCGGATAGAATTGTGCAGGTGCGATGCCAAGACGGGAGACTTTGTCGGCTCGGCCCGGCTGTCCCGCCCCGAAGGTCCAATCTTTTTGCAACACCACCTCCACTCACATTGAAGAATGCAATACATACCCATGGACATGGCCAACAGGGGCTGCTCACACGGACTCCAGCCTCACAATGCGGATAGCACGCCTTGTGTTTCCCCAGCTGCGATTTGGCAAGAGCACTGACGAGCTTGGCTCCGCCGGTGTCATCATTGAGCCATGGTAGCAGTAAGTGAAATCTCGTATTTTGTACTCAAGAACAAACAAGTCACCTTAGACGCGCGCACATACTTTCATCGGGCATTGCTGGGTTGAATTCGCAGTCGGCGTTCTCAGGTGATGAGATCGTTACTCTTGGCCGGTGGACAATTTCGATACAGGACGGCCAACATCATGATCCCACGGCATAGATGAGAAGTGCTACAAAGGTCGACCGAGCGGCTCCAGGATGCTATGAAACATGGAGGCAACGTTCATCCCACACATTCCGAAAAGGACGCAAAGAGGAAATCCACTGAGGTGGCAAGCAATGCGCGACCGCATCTCCGACGCCATCCTCAATGCTCGGCATGGCAGGAAAATCAGGCAGAGCGGGAATGCAGGCTGCATCTCGCATGCTGCATGGTACTCATGAGACCGGCGGCGAGAGTCAACATAAGCTGCTGCGATAGTTGTTGGCCAACGGATTATGCACGAACGACGAATCCGGAGAGTCCATCCTCGAAACTACCAGTCGAGGCTGTTCAAGACAGACATTTGCCGACGGACGGCTGTGTTTACTTCTTTATATGCGTATTAAGTACCCGGTGAATGAGAAGTCCATCTACCTGCCCCCAAAAGTCCTGCGCCTATTGCCCTCCTGCCGGTGCCTGTTCTCGTTAAGCTTTCTTACCTAACCGACGCTCCGCCCCGAGAACGCCAACACCTCCCGTCCCGCTCGAAACATTGAATCTCGCGTCCTTCCATCTGCGCCTTGCATTTCCTCCTCCCACCACCCCCAACACCCGTCATCATGGATGATTCGGACAGCAGTAGCCTGTCAGAGCATTCTGACAAGGAAATCCAGAACCTCGCGCCCGTCTTTCTCAAAGCGAAAGCCGCCAACAAGCTGAGGTTTCCGCCCCCCAAAGCCTCGCCTGCGCGACCCAAGAGGGAGCCCTCGCCGCCTCATGAAGAAGTTCTAGCTGATAACCCCGACATTGCCGTACGTTTTGACGCGGAATGGCGCGTCTTGCGCGCGTTTGACACCGCTGGACTGGCGTGCTGATCGGCTCCTACAGTTCATCGTGATGTTTCGCTCGCGCTTCAACGAGGTCATGCCTGCCAAGCTCTCCAACCTGGGGCCACAGGATATCGAACGGGGGGTTGTCGACACCACTCCAAGCCCCGAAGTGTCCCATTTGCTGTGCGCGATGCTTGGGCTGGCGCTGAACAGGAAGAAGCCGCCGGAGTACGTATATCCCTTTTGCATCACTTGGCAGCCCACCTTCCGGTGTCGACATACACGGCCGCGGTAACGATCGATCTCCAAGACTGACATCACTTCTACAATGCAGACGTGGTCATCACGGCCGAGCCCTCGAAGAAGCGATCCTCAGCAATCGTAAGGATTGGCCGAAGGCGTGGAACGATACCAACCCTCTGCACGGAGGAGGCAGCTTTGAAAACATGTCTCCAGTTGAGAGAGTGAGTCCAGCTGTTGCCAATACCTCTTCTTCGCTGTACCCTAACTCACCATGCCAGCTCACACTCCTGCGCACGATCATCATGTGGGCTCTCGCCAACTCGGAAGCCATCAACGCCATAATCAAGGAGGGATACAAGCAACAGCGCCACAACGATGACGAGAACCAGCCCCTCTCCGTACAGCCGTGGGGCATCGATGGAGACAAGAGACGCTACTTTTTGGTTCAGGGGCTAGACGATACTAGCTTCCGCGTGTACAGAGAAGGAGATCGCTACAAGAAGACGGCGCACTGGTGGAGCGTGGCCGGAAGCATAGACGAAGTGAAGGAGCTGGCCAAGAAGCTCGAAGAGGTGGACACAAGTCAAGCGGCACGCCGGCTGGCCAACAAGATCACCAATGCCATTCCAACATTCGAGGCCACGGAAGAGAAGCGACGGCGCCGGGAGTACCGCCAAGTGCGCCGTGCCGCCTTCACCCGTCCCGAACCCGGATTCTCGCTGTACGAGGGCAGGACGAGGGGCAAGCGCATGCGGTATACCTTTGACGACGACGACGACGCTTTTCTCTCGGATGCCACATCCACTCGCCGTTCCACCAGGCACTCTGGACGGGACACTCCGGTCGATGCGGGTCCCACGGTGACGGCAAGCGGACGTCAAGTGCGGCAACCCAGGACTGGCGAGTATGGCGAGAGTCTGCTAAGCGGCCATCCGATGAATATGGACGAGCTCGCACCCGAGTACGGCGAGGGCGACCGCGCTGGACATCGAAGCCGCTCAGGCACAGAAGACTCTGAGCAGTCCATTCGGGGTCGCGGTCGCCCCACGAGGTTGGCTGCAAGACCTGCCGTGAACGGGAATACGCGGCCGCGCAAGCATATCGACACGTACAACAGTATCGATGAGATGAGCGACGAGGATGAGGGGGAGGCCAGCGGCGATGAGTGGGACAGTGACAAGAACGACGACGAGGACGAGACCATGGCGGATGCGGATGCGGATGCGGACGCGGACGATGACATGAACGAGGACGTGGAGGACTCGGAGATGGATGAGGTTGAGCCACAAAGCCTGGTGCTCAAGCTCAAAGTGCCAGCCACTGCAATGTCTGCGATCGCCAACGGCACATCAACTCCACGGACCGCCTCTCCGTCAACCAAAGCGACGCAGGCTGGTGCATCTCCAAACACCACGTCCCAGCAAGATGACACGAAGGCCCGCGTCAACGAGAGTCACATGGAAGAGCGACCGCAGCAGGCGTTCGGCTCCTCTCCTCTCGGACCGTCGGCGTATCCTACCCCAACGTCATTCTCCTTCCTGCCGCCAGATCATAAGCCAGCTCCAACACTCGCTCCGGATGTGCCGATGTCGACAGCACCTGCGGCTACCACCCCGGTTCCTGCTCGTCTGCTTCCGTCTTCTGATGGTACTGTCTTCCCGAACGGCACGACGGAAGCTTCACATGCCCCACACACCTTTGGAGGCGAACCGCAGACGACTTTCTTGCAGGATCGGGATGAAGAATCGAAGCTGAGCGTCGGTTTCCCCCTCTGAGACAGCCGCATCTGCAGCACATATCAATGTGTGGCCCTGACATTCGTGACGAGCCTCTATCCCTTTCACCGGTCGGCGTTCGAGATGTAAAGGAAACGGTGGATACCCTCACAAGGCGCGTGCGCACTCAGTCATCGCATTGGCCAGTGATTACGTATGAGGCATAGACGGCTGAAGTCAGTGTATTGCGTGTTATAGCTAGCTTTGCACGAATTAATAGATGCGAGTCTATACATCGGCCATGTAAGCGTTCGTTCTATGTCACAGCCGAACTCCTTGAGTCGGAGTGGTGCGGTGTCGTAGCACTGATCCATCTGCATCGTACTCCTGTCTTCTTTTGCGATCCCGCTCGTCAGCCTCTCGCATCTCTGCCCCTGCTAGTTCGATTTCCGTCATTGCTTCCTTGGGCTTGCCATGCCGTGCGGCCCAGTCTCTCGTGCGTTGCTCCGCTGGCGTTTCGACCTTGGGTGGCGGCTTTGTTTGCGAGCCTTCTTTGAGCGACCGGGGCAAACGGTCTGGTGAGGCTCCCAGCGTCGCTTCTGCAATACCATCCAGTTGAGAATCGCGGCTGTTGTGAATGGATGGAGAATCGGGAACAACGCTTGCTTGCTCCTCTCCGCCCCTGGTATTCTTTTTGCGCGGCCACAGCGAAGGGAGGACGATTTGCTGGAAGCGCGGCTCCACGCACCGATCATCGAACCAGCGGTGAATCCGGTCTTCCACGAGCTGCGCGATCTTGGGTACGTCTTGCAGTCGGCTTCTTGAGCCGATCAACGACCGCACCGACAGATCCAGCCGGTAGTCATCCAAGAAGGTGAACGTGAGCGTTGTTGGAGACGAGCCTGTGGGGTTGAGCGGGTGCCCCTCGTTTTTCGCGGAATCCGTGGGAAGGCCGTTGACCGAGTCGTAGGGATCCGATTGGCTGGAAGGAGAGAAGGAAAGGGACAGTGTCCCCGAAAACCTGACCACAGATACCGCAAGAGCGACAGGTAGGACGGCGACAAAGGGTTTGGGGTAGTTTAAGACAAGCTTCGTCTCGATGCCCAGCGTGACCACGTCGCCCAAGTCTACATCCATTCGGGCCTGCAGCATTTCTCCTCGATTGCCCTTGAGCTCTCGAATTGGCATTCCATCCTCGTTGACGGGGATGACTCGGCAGTTGCTGAAAATGGGGAATTCCTCGCCCAGGCTGATCTCGGTCACCTTGATCTCGTCGAGGAAGTCGGGTTTGTTGGGCCCGTTGAGCAAGGCAGTGAGCGAGGTGAGCACCGCCTCGTCCTGCTGTGCGTCCGCGCGAAGCTGTGAAATGGTCTGCGCGATCAAGACATTAAACCAGTCCAGGCTTTCTGGCTGATGGCCGTGGACGTTGTAGTACGTCTTTTCCAGGATTTTCTGCACGGTCAGGCCGCCTTCCGGTCGCGGCTTCACGACTCCCGAGCCGGGGCGGGGATGTAATGACGAAGATACCGTGCGGTGATGCCGAGCAGCGCTATGGGAGAGGGTCCGCTGCCGCCGCGCCGCCGCACGAGACTGTGCTCGGTCGTCTTGACTTGAGGCCTCGCCGAAGATGAAGAACTTGATGAAGACGAAGAGAATGGCGGCGAGGACCAACTGGCCGCTAAGGAAGCCGCTTGCAAAGCTCCCGTTGGAGGGCGATTGTTGCACGTCTGGGGAGGCTGTCAGTAGGGAATCGGAGTCGCGAGGCGGGAAGAGATGCTGCTGACTCTGCCTTGCTTGCTGTTTGGCCTTGGAACACAGTGCACATTGCACCAGGGCGAGTTGGAGCAGGATCCATTTCCGATCCATCTAAGGCCGTCGGGAGGATCGTCTACGATGATGAGTCTCGCCGATTCAGCACTTGATGCTGGGATGGAGTTCACGTGGCTAAGATGCCTTGGCTTAGGTAAGCTTCAATCCCCGCGGGCCGTTCACGCAGCGTTCTTTCCAGCCTGCATTCGGCGTAAGTTACGTTCACCTCACTTCATAAACTCGCCTTCCATTGTGAACGCAAATCGTGCAGGTCAATGTCCTGAACTGTCCACGTGGAGCGATGTGACACAGTTGCTCGCTGTCAGTCTACATGGCCGATGGCAGTCATGACACGCTGTCCCCCAGATCTCTGTTGGCCACCGAGCCTAAGCTGCGGTTACCCTCCACCACAGATCCTCCGTAAGTCTCATGCAACATCTTCGCATGCTGCACGATCGCCTTGACTGATTGCATATACCCTCGTCCAGGTCGGACACAAACCCATCCAGTCAAAAAACATGGCTGATCTTTGGCGCGACGGGCCACATTGGCCGGTCCCTGGTCAAGTCGGCTCTCGGTCACGGGGACAATGTGGCAGCGGTCGGTTGGACGATGGAGAACACCGCCGAGCAGATGCAAGGGTGGCACGAGCGATGTCTTGGGCTGCTCAGCGACGTCCGTGTTCGGGAGACGGTTCAGGCGTGCATCGACGCATGCATAGTAAAGTTTGGTTGCGTTGACATTGTGGTGAAGTAAGCCAGACCGCACTGAGAGAGCACTTCTTGGCTGGGCATTGACAGTAATCACAGCTGCACTGGCCATGGTATCATTGCGGCATGCGAAGACCAAGACTCGTGCGATGTCCGCTCGCAATTCGAGACGAACTTCCTGGGAACGCTCAACATCATCCAGCTCACCCTGCCGTACTTCCGTGAGCAGTCTGCCAAGAGGGGAGAGGATGAGAGTGCCGGTCGCTACATCATCTTCTCGTCAACTTCGGGCGCGCAGGGCGTACCTGGCCTGGGACCTTACTGCGCCACCAAGTACGCCACCGAGGGCCTGGTCGAGAGCATGCTATACGAAATCGACGCCTTTCGAATCAAAGCCACGCTCGTCGAGCCAGCACACATGAGACTAGATGAGCCGGCCGGGCTGCACGACCCAGCGTTACAGGGAATGGGACAGCCGGACCACAAGATCAATCTGAAGCGATACGGCCATTTCTTCGTGAAGGCGCCCTCCGAACCGTACAACACTCCGACCGCACCGGCCGGCCACGCGCGCCGCATCATCCAGTGGCTGGTGGACCGACAGCCAACATCTGCCGTGAAGTCAGCGGAGTTGGTGTGGCAGCTAGGACATTGTCGATATCCGCCTTTGCGGCTGCTACTGGGAAGCTACGCTGTCGAAAGTGTGCGAGATCGATTGCGGAGCGTTATTGAGGAGATTGAGGAGTGGAAGTACCTACACTTCCCAGTCGTCGAGGAGGGAGGAAGGGCGAAGGGGGACAAGCAAGCGGAAGAGGACGAAGAGGAAGATGAGGCGGGGAAATGGGATGACGAAGACATGGGTATGGATGGTGAAGACGGGGAGACTGGCCCGGGGGAGGTCAAGCTGGAGAATGGGGAGGCGTAGAGACGGTGAGATGTGAGAGCACTCTCGTGTCGCCAGGACACGAATTACATGTAGCTGTATTCTGGAGTCTTCCGGATTCCGTACGAGCATATTCGTGCTGCATCTTCTGTCACTTCAGCCCTACCCAGTCGGGTGGAAGATCACGTGAGACTCGCGAGACAGCGCGTACTTTTAGAGTTTGTAGGCGAGGGGTGGGGGCCGCTTGGCGCGTTCCCAGCTGCACGCCCGACTTTGGGTCTCGCCGCTCGGCTCCATGCCATTACGCACGCTGGCCTGACTTGATCCTATCACGCAAGCCCGTCTTCCAATCCTGCGGCACATGGTGCATCGGCAGCCGACGCATTGACAGCGCTTGACTGCCTGTGGAACGAACGCGGGAGAGTGAGCGAGTCGAGATCTGCGATCGCGAGGGCGAGGCGCGGGCGCAAGCAAGGAACAGCCTCTGACGCGCTTCACCGCATCAGGGCCGTGCAGCATCCCTCGGAGCCTATCACGCCGCACGTTGAAGCAAGGACGCTCTAGCATCTCGCCCATTTCGCCTGCTCACAGATTCTTCGCGCCCCGCTTCCTGCCGCCCACCTGCTGATCGATCGACTGACGAGAGCCAGTGCGGTGCCGCGCGCTGCACACTTTCCAAACCTCACTGCTCGTCCCTCCTCTTCCCTCCTGCTCCTCCCCGCTCCCCTCCTCCCCCGGTCGTGTCAGTTCGCGGCAGCTCGGTCGGACAGTCATCCTGCACGACGCTGAGTATTCCATTCGGGCTTGGATAAGGTACGCTGCTCCCGCATCTCCCATCCGTGGGCGGCTACGACGTGACATCGGCGACGACGGCTTGGGTCTCCCCTCACGCTGCCCACTCACTTAAACGCCCCCCGTTGACGAGCCGCATCTCGTCTCCCAGCAGATCCACTAACACTACCCGTGTAGAGACGGCCATCTGCTCCCCACACATCACCGCATCTCCACCCACATATCCTCCACCTTTCGATCCAGCGTCTCCCGTAGGAGCGTCTCTTCGCGTACGAACGCGGCGCGAAGCAGATTCACACTACGAACTATCCTCAACGCGTCACGGCTGCAAAAGAAACCATATATCTTCTTGTCCTTCCCAGCAATGCCGCCCCCGCTGATGGCCGCCTCGACGCGTACGCCGCCGATGATCACCGTCTACCCCGACTCGGACGCGTCTTTCGCGATGCATGCTAGGCACGACGTCGAGACTACTCTGCTCCCCAGCCTCGCTCCTCACCACGACGCGTCTACCATGCAGAACGGACAGCTCAACCACACCACCAACGGAGCTCGCGGATCATCACCAACCAAGACGGATAGCTCTCCCATGAGACCCATGACTTCCCAACCTCTGTCGAGCATCCATATTCCGCAACCCATACCACCCAACTTCACCGACTCGCCACAGAAGAATGCCAACTTCTATCCAATGTACTATGCTCCTCCACCGCCGCAGACTGCGCCCCTAGACTTCCCACCCGTCCAACTATACGACAAGGAAAACTTCTACGGCCCTCCGCACTTCCAAGGAATGGCCACCAATCCCTACGGCGAGTTTGACTACGGATTCAAGGGTCCCATGAAGCGGACCTTGGCGGAGCCTACGCCACAACGCGATCGTCCGAAGAAGCAGAAAGTGGACAAGGACGAGCCATTCGAGCTCCCCGACCCACGAGATATGCCCGCCGTTCACGACGATGGCACGAAACCCTCTCAAAGCTATGCGGAGCTGATTGGCATGGCCATACTACGCGCCCCTAACCGTCGTCTCACTCTGGCTCAAATCTACAAATGGATCTCAGACCACTTCTCCTTCTACAAGGCTTCCGAGAGTGGCTGGCAAAACAGCATCCGACACAATCTTAGCTTGAACAAGAACTTCATCAAGCAAGAGCGGCCCAAAGACGATCCAGGCAAGGGCAACTACTGGGCCATCAAACCAGGCGAGGAGAGGCCGTTCCTGCTGGGCAAGAAGAATCCGATGCGACGCATCACCAACCCCGACGGCTCGCACTACATCAGCGGCATCTCCTCTGATTTGGGCTACCCATCCTCCTCCGCCCCTGCGATTGGCCATTTCACCCTCGCGCCGAATCCAGTCAAGAGGAATGAAGTGAAGGCGATTGACTCGGCCAAATTCCCGGACGAGGCTGATTTCTCCTCTGACGGAACCATCGCAGCCTCTGACGGCGCTCCGGAGGAGGATGACAAAGAGGAGCCCGTCATCATGATGCCTCCTCCGGTCAATATCCGCTCCTCTCCTCCGCCAGTTGACATCGGATCATCACCTCCCCCAATGGCTAGCCAGACACGCAAAGACACGCCGCCTCCGGTCCCACGCTTCGCCCCCACCAGTAGATCCGGCAATGATAGACGAAAGTTTGCCGGGATGAACGACAGCGGCTACTGGTCGTCCATTGAATCGTCGGTAGCGCGCAACCCTTCGCAACTACTTATGTCGGAAGCAGATACGAGCAGACCGCGGCTCCGAAAAGGACGCGCCGAGGCCGAGATTGCTCGGATACGCAGCTCGTCTATTGACAGCCCCGGCAACGATCTGCAAGCGTTCAAGGCGCCAACATGCCACTTTGACTCCTCGTCACCGATGCGCGATGACAATCCCTTGACTCCTGCGGTCGTATTCAAGCGGCCAGCCAAACCACCACCATCCGTCTCACCAAACACGAATCTGCGTAATCATCGTAACCGAATGAGAGCGCTGTTGGGGACGCCGGCGAAAGCATTCAGTCCCGGTCCGGTTATCAGCAACTGGAGCCCTGCCTTCAATATTGGCGACGATAGTCATCTTGGACTGACGCCGCAAATGTCGCCATACAAGGCGAACAAGACGCCTTGGAACCCGTGCCAAGACACGCCGAGTACCCTGAAAAAAGACCTGTTCAGTGCGGCATTTGACATTTTCATCGACGCCCCGGAAGAGGATGCAGTTGCTCGTGGTTCGCCGGCGAAGCTCTCGATCAAACGTCCATCGCTCGTCCGAGCTGCGACCTCGGCCGGAATTCTTGCAGACATCACCGGCAACGCTAAGAGCAACAGCCTTGCGCTTGCCGCATCCAATGACAGTTTCTTTTCCCTGTCACCCTTCACCCAACGATCTGGGATGTTCTGCTCACCCGGTAAGCTGGGATCACCACTCAAGCAGAGTCATCATCCACCAACCGGTACAGCAGAGCTTGGGCTGAAATGGCGAGGAGCCATTACGGAAGAGGAGAACATCCAGCCAGGCCTTGAAGCTGAGCGGAATGATGCACTATTTGGCATCCACCTTCCCAGTGATGGCAGCGAGGAAGCTATCGACATCTTTCAGGATTTCGGAAAGATTGGAGGAGCGCAACAATTCATGCCGGTGCCGAATCGGGCTAATGGAAGCCCGGTGAGACGTGTGACGAGCGGGAGTACGCGACCTTCCATCGCCCGGAGCAACACCAGTCGATGGTAGGAACTTGCGAAAGCGGATGCTCGTCTGCCATTGTTCTCGATGATGATGACGACGACGACAGCGACGACGATGACGATGAGAGTACAGAGGAGACATCACGGCCGATAAATCAAGGGTATGGAGGGGGACGATGTTGCGTTGGCGTTGGGCAGAATGATTTTGGGCAAATTAGCCAACGACTTTCAATGCGTTCAATGACGATGCGTTACAATCGGGGCCAGCAATCGGCATGTTAGCGTGCAGTAGTGTAGTGTGAAATTAATGCTTCTTCACTAACAGACGTCCACCATGCGCCCCTGTGCATGATACCATGGCGGTGAGCAGAGCGGTTCGCTAGGCACGCAGCATCGGCCCCGGGTTTGAATCCCTAGTCCGCCTGCGAATACTCAAGATCCGCTCCGCTGCCCATGGCCATCAGTCGATTTTGCATGCCCACGGCGACGGCAGCCATGTCGCCAGGCAGATCAGTAAAGGTTGCGCTTGCGGCCCACGAGCCGATGCCGTGCTGCAGGATGTTCCTCGCGCGCGCCGTGTCCGCGCCGGAGATGCCCATTGTCCCATGTAGCGTCATCCGTTCTGCCTGCGAATCGTACACTCCACGATGGAGGATGTTGTTGTTGTAGAACAGCACATCCCCGGCGCTCATCTTGACAATCTTCTGCCCGGGCATGTCGTCCTCGAAAGGGTCGGCATTGCGTTCCATGTCTGTCCTGGCGCGCTTGTGAGAGCCCGGGACGACGACGAGGGAGGCATCGTCAAAGAGGGCAAGGTTCCACTGCGCGTGTAGCATAGGCTCTCGGAGCCTCGCTTCTTCCCCCGCAGCTGGCACGTCTGGGGGAATATCATCGCGGTGCCAGCGGAGGGCGAAGTCTTTGTCGGGGCGGATCAGCATGTTGTACAGCTCCAGGACTAGGTCATCTCGTTCGCACGAAAGCAGGCCAGTGATGGTATCCAGCATGGTGGGGTGGAAGTACGACTCGGCGAACGTCTTGCGCTCCGGCATGTCTGGATGGAGGAGATGTTGCACGCCCCATATGCCATTGCTCACATCGTGGCTCCATGGGGGAAACTGCTTGGGCAAGGTGCGGATGTAAGGCCAGTTACCGGCACGAGCCTGTTCAGTGGCTGCTCGGGCTGCTGCTTGAAATTTTTCTAGCTCGGGGCCAGAGAAGGCATGTGGGATACAGACGAAGCCATCGCGGTCGAGGGCTGCTCGGAGAGCGTCCGCAGAGGGAGGAGATGACGGCATGGAGGGATGGCGGAGAGGAGCAAGAGCGTAGCAACGACTGACTACCTGATTACCGGAGAGTTCAATATCGGGCCTGCGCCGCCATTTTGAGGAGTTATGTATACTGGTGTTGTAGCATGCCGGATGGTCGAGAGATCAACAGCGTGCTCCACAATCGAGATGTAACCGTGTGATCACAGCCAAGTCGACGCCTGTCCGGCAGTCCAGGGCGTAGATTGATGCTGGTACTACCCCGCCAGGAGGATAGTGTCGCATCGTGTGCGCTGCATTGTTGCAAGGGAGTGTGGGAGAAGAGCGTGGTCGATGGTGTGTTGCGGGTGCATGAGGTGTGGTGTGGTGCTGCCTGCGCTCGCACGGACCAGGAGGATGCGACCTTATCCGGCGAACTGGCGCCGCTGCCTGCCTTGCGCCATCATCCAACAACATGCCCTGAACTCGTCTGTTGCCTCTGGATTTGTACCAAAATGGACATCCACGCATCCATCAGCAACTATGTCACCAAGATGATCAGCGTCGGGGATGGCGGCCCCGGCGGCGCAGCGGCAAAGATGAAGATCCTCCTACTCGACCATGACACCGTCCCCATCCTCTCCTCTGCCACCACCCAGTCCACCCTCCTCAACCACTCCGTCTACCTCACCGACCGCCTCGGCAACTCCGAGCGCGAGAAGATGCGCCATCTGCGCTGCCTCTGCTTCCTGCGCCCGTCGTCCGACAGCATCCAACTGCTCATCGACGAGTTCCGCGATCCCAAGTACGGCGAGTACCACCTATGTGAGTGCTCGTACATCCCTCCTCACGACAGAGATCGACGTTCTGACTGACACAGACTTCAGCAACATCATCAAGAAATCCGCGCTGGAGCGGCTAGCCGAGGCCGACGACCACGAAGTCGTCAAGTCCATCATCGAGTACTTTGCCGACTTCATCGTCATCAACCCCGACCTCTGCTCCTTACCCCTGTCCACCCGGCTGTTCAGCTCTTCGCCCGACCTGTGGAACCACGACAGCCTCACTCGCACCGTGGAGGGCGTGCTTGCCATACTGCTGGCTTTGAAGAAGAAGCCGCTGATACGATATGAGAAGAACAGTCTGCTCTGCAAGAAGCTGGCTACGGAGGTGCGGTATGCGATGACGCAGGAGGAGCAGCTGTTCGATTTCCGAAAGCCCGATACCCCACCCATCCTCCTCCTGGTGGATCGAAGAGAAGATCCCCTCACCCCGCTGTTGACGCAGTGGACCTACCAAGCCATGGTGCATGAGCTGCTCGGGATCGAGAATGGCAGAGTGGATTTGAGTAATGTCCCGGACGTCAGACCCGAGTTCAAGGTGAGCAAGACCCGTCTCTGACCATGCCTGGCCTGGAGGGAAGCTAATTGTGGGGCAGGAAATCGTGGTTTCACAGGACCAGGATCCCTTCTTCGCAAAGAACATGTATCTCAACTTTGGCGATCTGGGCCAGAACGCCAAGGATTACGTCGAGCAGTTCGCTTCCAAGCAAGCATCGGGCCAGAAGCTGGAGAGCATCGAGGACATGAAGCGCTTTGTCGAAGAGTACCCCGAATTCCGACGACTCAGCGGGAACGTGACCAAGCACGTCACCCTCGTCACCGAGCTCAGCAGGAGAGTCGAGACGGACAAGTTGTTGGACGTGTCGGAGCTCGAGCAGAGTCTGGCGTGTAACGACAATCACAGCCAAGACGTCAAGCGCTTACAAGAGGTCATTCAAAACCCAGCGGTGCCACCGAACAACAAGCTGCGCCTCGTCGCCATCTATGCCCTCCGCTACTCCGGCCATGCGAACAACAGCACGCCGGCCCTCCTGGACCTGCTGGCCGGGGTGGGGGGCCTCAGCCGGCACCGCATCAATCTCATTCCCAAACTTCTCACCTACGCCCACTCGCTGCAATCGATCCCCCAGGCGGGCGGCATTCCCGATCTCTTCCAAGGCAGTACCATCCTGTCCGAGGCGCGCTCTCGGTTCAATCGCGGCCTGCGAGGGGTGGAGAACGTTTACACACAACACTCACCGAAGCTGGACGCGACGTTGCAGGACCTCATCAAAGGCCGATTGAACATGAATTCCTATCCGTTTGTCGACGGCGGAGGGCAGACGAGGGACAAGCCACAGGACGTTGTGGTGTTTGTGGTGGGAGGGGCGACGTATGAAGAAGCGAAGGTGGTGGCGCAGATGAATGCTACGTCGCCAGGCGTAAGGGTGGTGTTGGGGGGCGCAGGAGTACTCAACAGCGAGCGATTTCTGGAACAGGTGGAGGAGGTTGTCGACGCTTGGCCCGAGCCCAAGCCAGACACGGCGGCGGGCAGATTACGAAAGGCGGTGGGGCGGAGTTGACGCGGGCATGCATGTAGATTGTCATTGCATCGATTTGCTCCCACCCCGTATTGCCCTGCCCCAAGTTTACGTGTGGCAGCGCATTGGAGGCATGCGTCATGTTGTTCCGACCCCAAGATGAAAGCGAAAGGAGTGAAGTTGTCCCGGCTGACGCAGCTCCACTCTTTGGGAACTCATATTTTACCTGATCTGGGAGATGCCTTATCTCAGAAGCCTTTATCTTGAATACGACTACAATTCGGCGGGGTGAAGATGGCCACGACCAGCTCGCCATCATCGGCCGATGTCATCCAACTGCTCTCACTGGAACCTCATCCTGAAGGCGGCTTCTATCGCGAAACCATGCGCGATGAAAGCTCGACAGGCCCCAACGGCCGAGGGCTGAGCACAACAATTTATTTCCTCCTAGACTCCCACAGCGTCTCGCACCTGCACCGCATGGACGCAGCGGAGAGTTGGCACTTCTACGCCGGCCAGCCGCTGAACATTGTCGAGCTCGGCGACGACGGGCCCAAGGTCACACGGCTGGGGCCGGGCCTGATGCAAGGCGAAAGGCCGCAGCACTTCGTTGCCGCCAACACGTGGTTTGGCAGTCGGCTCGCTGAGGGCGATGGATGGGCCTTGGTCGGCTGCACTGTCGCCCCGGCCTTCCTTTTCGACCATTTCGAGCTGGGGCAGCGGCCAGCATTGCTGCAACAATACCCCAAATGCAAGCAGTGGATTCAGGCATTGACAACGGAGGAATGACGGATTTGGTCCTTGGTCTGTTGCACGATTGATTGCCCTGCTACTGAGTCCTTCCCATTGTCTTCGATGTTCGAAACATACATGGATGCAGTGTACATTATTAGAGTAGACCGACTACATCAATAGACTGGACTCGAGCAAGATGATGACTAAGACGACGCCGTTGCTGCATGTGCGTGATGCGCGTCATGTCGCGCGCAGCTGAAGATCAACCTTTGCTGCAACTTCACCTCGCTCCAGGGCTTCCGAGTGTCTCAACAATGTGATCTGCCAACGTCGTCCATGGACCTCACTGTAGTTATCGGTCCACGTGGCTCACCACAATCGCAAGACTTGCCGTTCTAACCGCCCAGGCCTGCACCACGTCGCTATCATGGCGAGTCAATGGGTCGGACAGCCACGCATCAAGGGCTTCTCCGAGACGATGCGCATGGTGTTGTTGGTATGTCGTCGGCAATGGCACACTCGCTGCACGACACACTTGCAGTCGTACTGATTCCCGACAGACCAGTAGTATCATTGGCATCGAGTTCGCCTGGGGTACTGAGGTGAGTGAGGCAACCAAGGGCACGCATCGACGGCAGACTGATGACTGCAACGCCACAGATGACCTACTGCAACCCATACCTCCTCTCTCTCGGCATGCCGAAGAGCAAGCTCTCCCTCGTCTGGATCGCCGGTCCCCTTTCCGGCCTCGTCATGCAGCCCATCATCGGCACGCTGAGCGACAAGAGCACGAGCAAGTACGGCCGCAGACGACCATACATGATGGCTGGATCTCTCGCGGTGGCGACTTGCTACCTCATCCTGGGCTGGTCAAAAGAGCTGGGCGGCTGGTTCTCACAAGACGCTGAACTTGTATGGTATCATACTTGCATCCTCGGGACGTTGCGAGGCATTCGCGACTAATACGCAGGCAGAAACGACAGTATGCCATCATCGTCGCGGTGGTGGACATCTACATCCTCGATTTCCTAATCAACATCGGTAAGGGGACAGAGGCTGCGCATCGCTTGGTCGCCATTGCTGATTCGTAACAGCCATGTCCGCATGTCGCGCGCTGGTCGTCGACACGCTCCCCATTTCAAAGCAGCAGCTCGGCGCTGCGTGGATTAGTCGGATGATTGGCATCGGTCGTTTGATGGTGTATGCTTTCGGCGCAGTGGACTTGAACGCCGTGATGGGAAACACCCTGGGAGACACGCAATTCAAGAAAGAGTGCGTCATTGCAGCTCTCGCGATGACTTTGGCCCAGGGGTTGACCTGTTGGGCTGTGGAGGAACGAGTTCTGGTGGCAAGTCGGTGAGTGTGGCAGTTGTACTTCTCGCGCGCAGTGCCGATGGTCATGCTAATACAGTAATGGTGGCGGCAGGGGCAGCAGCGGCACGGGACAGAGCATCAGCGGTGTCGTGCTGCAGATCTACGACGCCTTCCTGCACGTCCCCGAGCGCATCCAGGCCATCTGCTGGGTGAACTTCTGGGCTTACATCGGCTGGTTTCCTTTTCTCTTCTACAGCTCGACGTGGGTGGGCGAGATCTACCTGCACCACGAAGCGGGCGGGGGTGACACGACCAAGACGGCGCTCGACAAAGTGGGCCAGCAGGGCAGCCGGGCGTTGATCGTGTATTCCATCGTGGGCACGGCATCGTCCATTGTCCTGCCCTGGCTGATCCAGAGTCCGGAGGACGAGGAGAAGGCCGGGTACACCAGCCGTCCGCCGCGCTTCCTCGAGGGCATACTCAAGCGCATCAAGCTCCGGAAGCCCACGCTTCTGACGTCGTGGGCACTGTCGAACCTGGTCTTTGCCAGCGCGATGATCTTTGCGCCGCTGGTGCAAACGGTGGCGTTTGCCACGGTGCTCATGGCGATTTGCGGGGTGTCGAGCGCGTTTGTCGCGTTCGCGCCCGTCACCTTTCTGGGGGTGGAGGTCAATCGGCTGAGCAGCGCGATGCCGACGGGGCACAGTCGGAGCCCGTCACATCGGAAGTCGATGGACTCGATGGAGCTCGGCGATTCCCCCACCATCCTCCACCTGCGCTCGGACTCGGAGACGTCGGTCGTCACCTCGACCGGCGAGCTGTCGGGCATCTATCTCGGCATCCTCAACATCTACACCACGCTGCCGCAATTCGTGGGCACGGCGATCAGCTGGATCGTCTTCTCCATCCTGGATCCGGGCAAGAGTGCTGCGCTCACGGAAGTGCCGGGTGCGGCGCAAGGCCAGGGCGGCGAGAGTGGCGTGTCGGCGATTGGCGTGTGTTTGTTTGTGGGCGCCTTGAGTGCCGTAGGCGCCGCGTGGGCCACCCGACGGCTGCGAAGGAGTCAAAGGGGGTGAAGAGACGAGTCTTGTGTGTACGATTACGATGACCAGCACGGGGCGGGGCATGGATCAGGCCGCCATGAATTCCATCATATTGTTCAAAGAGGATGTAGCCGTTTGACAGCCATGACATCTGCCGGACCATGACATTTACAGTACTGAGTGTAAGGGTGACATCGGCTAGGGCTGAGATGATGTCGGCGGCACCACGTCATAAGACGGACTCTGGTCAGGTAATCATCCGATTCGCCAAAGGCAAAGCTCCGTCGACGGCACTGCACTGCTGCAAATAGAATGTCCGGAGGGAGGTCCATTCATTGACGTGCGTGGGATAGCAGAAGTTGATTGTTCCCGTCCTGGCGTCGGTCATGTATGTGCGTGCATGAGCCTGGAAGCAAGTTCGCTCCTCTGCCATGCTCCCCACTGCCGACCTCGTGCACCTCCATGTCCGCTGCTTCACCATTCCCTCACGCCGCCGTGACGGCGCCTGACCGAGGCCGGTGAACGGCGACGGGAGGCCATGTCGAGCAGCGAGTCGTCGTGGGGCAAGCGGCGCAGCCTGTTCGCCCTGCCCGTGCACGATGCAGGCACCACCACCACAAAGGGCGCCGGCAAGGCCAAACGAGGCAGTCACCGCAGAGCGCCCAGCCTGCTCCTCACCGACCTCCACCCCTCCGACCTCGCGCGTGCCGCCGACGAGATCCACTCCGCACCCCCCTCCTCCACCCCTCCCACCCTGCCCCGCCCGCCGTTGAGCGTGCGCAACAGCACCCGCCGCACCGCCAGCACCGATCTGAAGCTGTCCTGGCGGTCGAGCACTGACGATCTGGCGCGCGATGTCGTGGGCGAGCCCTTGACCACCTCCTCCAGCACCGTCTCGATGAGCAGCGCGGATGGCAAGACTCCGGCGCGCACCGTGCTGCTGCACGGCGACGTGCAGACCAGCGCCGGCATGTTCAGGAAGAAGAAGGAATACCTCGTCCTCACCGAAACCCACATCATCCGCCTCAAGTCGCAGGCCCGCGCGGCCGAGATGTTCAAGATGGTCTCGCTGAGCCCGAGCGGCCGGCCGTCGCTGAGCAAGCACATCTCCACCGCCTCCCAGCCCGACCTCCAGACCATCTCCGACTCCTCGGGAGACAAGGAAGGCCGCGTTCCCCTACGCCACGTCGTTGCCGTCTACCGCCTCGACGATGGCAAACCCCACTCTGCCCTCGAAATCTGCTACCTCGACGAGGATGCCGCCCAGCCCTCCGCCCTCCTCCTCGGTTTCAGCAACGCGGACGAGCGAGATGTATGGTTGAAGACGATCCGGAATGCTGCCAACGACGCCCGCTTACGCGAAGAGAATTACATCTCGAGCTACAACATCGAGAACGCGGCGCGCATCGTCGAGCGCGCCCACGACTACGACCCCACCAACTGTGCCATCTTCAAGGTGGTGCAGCGTCACTCGGCTACAAAGACCAGCCGCACTTCATCGGAGGAACTGCTGAAGATTGGCTCGACGGTGTGTTTCCTGGCCGTGGGCGTACACAAAATCCACTTGATCCAGATTGTAAAGCCCACATCCCGCGGCTCCAGCCCTTCCCTGAGCCAGTTCACCCCTCAGACGTCGCACGGCATCCTCACTCTCACCGCCGCACGAGTGAGCGACACGGATGACACTTTCGAACTCACCTTTCGCCAGCCGCTCCAGCCCGCGAGATTTCTCTACCTGGCCTCCTCCGCATCCCTGGAGATTGCTGCGCGCATTCACTTCGCCGAAAACTTCCTGCGGCCAGAGTGTGCGCACCGCCTGTTCAAGTTCAGCGTGCCTGCGGGAATCGAGCATCTCCTTCCCGCACCGGTAGCGTCCGACGAGGAGCATTGCTGCTTGGACCGCACCCTCTCCGCCTACTGTATAGCGTATGGGGTCAATCCGACCAATGTACGCTACACCATCAACTACACCTGCGAGGATGCCCCGCGGTTTGAGCTCCTGCCCCCGGCCGATGCGAAACGGCCGGATTACGGCCCCATAGCACTGCTCGCAATCATGAGAGCTCTGCGATACAACGAGAGCTTCGGGAGTATATCTTTCGCGGGCGTGGACCTGGACAGCCTGAACGGACTGCACGATAACCACGGGCAAGAGCTGGTCTGCTCACGCACGAAAAGAGGCACTCCGATTAGACTGACCATTCAAGAGCTGAGCCATGCAAGCCTCCTGGTCCAAGAAATTCGCGCGCTGGCTGTCACGAGCAAGAAGCTGCGTCGAATGGACTTTTCCGGCTGCATCTCCGCTACCGACGCCGCAGCAACAGAAGCGCTCGACGACGAAGGTGGCAAGACTAAGGATATTGGGTGTGGGATCGTGGAGGCGCTGGTCCCCCTGTGCAAGCATCAAACGACGAATGTGGACTGGATCTGCTTGAATGGCATCCAGCTGAGCGACACCGATCTGGACTACCTCGTCGGCGCGGCGGTCGATAAGTCCTGCCATTTCCGTGCCATTGAGCTCAACCGCTGTGGTCTGGATGATCGCAGCATGGGCTTGATCCTGGATGCCCTTCGCGCCCAGGACAATACGATCGAGGCCGTCGAGATTGCGGGCAACACGGCTCGGCTGGACCCGATTACCTTTGACAGCCAACTGAGCATGTTTGGATTCGTTCGAAAACTCGACTTGTCATACATCTCACGCACGTCAGGCAGTGAGCCTCTGCTGACCGCGGAAACGCTCCTCATCTGGAGGCTGCAAGTCTTGAGACTCAGTGGCACGGCCCTCAATCCCGCAACGATCGATGCCGTCGCGACTTATCTTGCTCACCCGCAGTCCAAGACCTTGCACGAGCTCTACCTCGACAATGCATACCTATCCGGTAGGGACGTCGCCACCATCCTGCACAGCCTTACCCAGGATCCCGAGAACCCGCGCGACTTGCATTTGGACATTAGTCAAAACTATCTCGCGAGGGGGTTGGAGGCAGTCACCAAGGCAATTGCCGACGGCTTCACCCCATCTCAGCTCAGCATGCGCTCCATCGAGTACCGCGAGGAGACTCTCTTCCGGAGGATGCTGGCTGCATTGACCAGCAACAAAACCATCCGCTATCTCGACATGTCTCAGACTGCTTTGCAGGGAGATGCGGGGGAGGAGACCTGCCGCGCGTTACACCGTTTCCTCGCCGACAACAACACGCTGGTCGAGCTCGACTTATCGGGAGAGGACTCTCGTCTGTCCACCTTCATGTTCGGTTCTGGCATCAACGAAGCACTCACAGGATTGAAACACAACAAATCCATCCAGACCTTGCGCGTAGAGAAGCAAAAGCTAGGGCTGCAAGGCGCCAGTACCCTGGCGGAGGTACTCAAGGAAAACGCCATCCTGCGGGAGCTGCATTGCGGGAGCAACGAGATTCCTTTGCATGGCCTGACAGACCTCGTGAATTCTCTCATTGAGAACACGACGCTCATCTACCTGCCCACGATGGACGACGGTCGTGAGGCCGCTTTGAAATCTGCCGAAGCGACTATGAAAGGCCTGCCCGACCTGGAGACTGCGGCTGGACAGAGCGCCAAAGCATCAAGCCCTGCACGCCCAGCACCGGCAAACAACGCCATCGGCGTCCGAAGAGGCCTTAATAGTGTCCGACGGACCGCCGCTCGCGCAGCCTCGGCCTACACTCCGTCATTCCCGGCCCTCCCATCATCATCCGGTCGATCCACCCCTGCGCCAGACAGCACCGCAAAGAATGCCTCTGCTTTCTCCATCACCCTGCCGCCAACGCCCAATAAGACGAGGCGCAGCTCTCAAACCCCCGTGGCAGCCTCCCCGCTCTTTACCGTCCAAGATATCCAGATCACCCATCGCTTGCTGACGGAGCAATGGGACCGCCAGTGCTATCGTCTGCAGAAGTACCTGGAGCGCAACTGGAACATCCTCCACGGCATCATCCCCGAAAAGCTTGAAATCGAGGACGAGAAGTTCGAGCGGCCGGAGAGCGTGGGGTCGATTGCGAAGGTGCTGGAGCAGGTGAAGAGAGAGACGACGCCGCGGATTGAGAGAGAGTTATATTTCGACCCTGCGTCTGTTGGCGCCGAACTCGCTCCAATCGGCCCATTTGCCAGCCTCGCGACGGGCGAGAACGATGGAATCAACCCCGAGCAGCTTCAGCCCGAAAGTGTCGATTCAATGTCGGGGTCGGGGACGGGGACGGGGACACCGCATTCGGCCTCGATCCTCGCCGGGCATGAGAGTGAGGAGAAGATGCAGCGGCTGGAGCTTGACGACGACGTCGACGACGCCGAAGAACCTACGACCCCGACACAGCCGACTTTCAATCTAGACTGAGCGGGACTGGTTCGTTTCGCCGGGGACATGTGCACTGACTGAGAGACGAGAGACCATTTTCCAACGGCGTTGAGAAGGGCGAGATATGGGACGTATAACGAGCAGCATGCATGGGTTGTTGCTTGGCATATGCGATGAGCGTTTTCTTGTCCATCCCGCTTTTCCACCTTTGGGAAGTCGAGGCACTGCATAGACCAAAAGGCGCCGGTGAGGCTGGGGGGGGTAGCGAGCAGATAGATGCTTTTCTTTCGTGATTACGCATGGCCTTGGTTGTGGGTGTATTTGTTACTGTCCAAGCATTCAGCGTTGGAGGTATTTGCACAATTTGAAATCTTCCTACTCGCAGCACGGATTGCTAGAAACATAAACGAGTGAAGTGTGTGAAAGGAATGGTAAGAGTTGGTCTTCTATCTGATTGATGTCGCGTCTGTTCTGTCCACGGCAGGCCAAAGCAATAGCAAGATGACCATCCGTGTCGTCGTAAAAACGCCGCTTTGCCTGCCCCATACGATAGCTCGCCGGCTACCCTAGACCAATATCATCCTGTCTGCTGGTCATGATGCTCGGACGGCGCAACACGCTATGCACAGAGGTTCAATCGAAACCTGGCAAAATCCCCGGAAACGCCTGGCTAAGAGCAAAATCAATTGTTCAAGACATTGAGGTTCAGCATTCGACGCAAATCGTCTTCCATGCCTTTGATATCGCGTGTTCCATTTCCTCCTTGGTCAGCAGGCTTGGAGGCGCGGGGTGACGATTCGGAGCCCGAAGGAGCGGCATTTGCATGCGATGTCATAGGAGAGTTGGCATACGTGGATGCGGCAGAGGGGTGAGCTTGTTGGTGCTGATGGCGGCCGTTCGCAAACGGCACATTGAGAGGACTGGGCGATGCTCTCAAGTGCTGCTCCAAATAGCCTCTCGAGAATGAATTGGGGTCAAGTGGCGGGGAGTCATCAGAAGCGGTTTCCTGTCGTCGGAGTCCAGAAGGTCCGCGCGAACCGGGCACGGTGCCACTCTTGGTTGATGAGGCGGCTTTGAAAAGTGGCGAGAGGTTTCGCTGGTTTCCATAGTGTGGAGCGTAGTAGCCGTCCGCGCGTTCGTGTTCGGATAGCGGGGTGGGCGTGGACGGGCCGGAAGTAGATCGTGCTTGGGATGGCGACGGCGTGTTTTGAGCACGGCCGAGAGTGTGTGATGGTGGAGACGGATGATGTTGACGAGCCGGAGATTGATCGGGGAGTGGTCGTGACTGCGCAGGAGGTGGAGATTGAGAGGGGGCACTCGCGTTGTTGATGTTGTTGAACAACAGAGCCTTCAAAGCCGCGGTTTGCGCATCTCGCTCTGCCGATGGCCCCGCTGCCGGGGGAGTCGTGCTTGTCTCCGGCGAGAACGGCGGTCTTGAAGATGGTTGGGACAGACGCTGCGAAGAGGAAGCATAATGTATCGTTGCGTTTGGAAAGTTGCCATTGGAATCAACCCGAGGGACTTCCCTCTTTCTCGCCATCTCTGGAGATAGACCACTGAGGCTCAGACTCTTCTCCTTCTCTTGCCGATCAGCATTGAAGAAGAAGTCCAACGGGCTCTTGTGACCATCCCTGGGGATGCCCACGACATCTGGTTCCGGGGTTGGCTGGCGGTCTTCAGGGTCGTCCGACGCGGTCTCTTGCCCCATGCGCGCAGTCAAGGAAGACTGGGCGGCAACATTGGGGACTGATCTGGAGAAGAACTTGGGCACGGGCAGAGAGGACGGGGCCGGGGAGGCCTGGAAGGTTGGACCGGCATAGGCAGCCTCTTTTGTTGGCGTGGCCGGGTGGATCGTGGGGCCGGCTAGGGATGTTGGTCTGTGGTTTTGTGGATAGCCATTTGGATGGGGCGCATGAGCGCTGGGGCCACTGGCCGCATCGTGGTGACGATGCTTGGGTGTTTTCTTAGGACTTGACGTGTGGTTGAGGACGGAATCGGAGAGGGCGCCATCGGTGAGATGGTGGGCCTGGGCAGGGTGGGGTTTTCGTTGGCGCTGATTGCGCGTTGCTGGACCGGCTTGGTGCTGGTTGGTGTTCGGCACCGCTTGGCCGGATGGCGTTGCGGCCATCGGTGGCTCTTGCTGGATGCTGCGTCGCCCGTGAATGGGTTTGGAGGGAATGGATCGGGAGTGAGGGTGGACGGGGTGGCAGTGACTGTATCCTAAGTTTTGAATCTTTGTTTCCGCGCATGAGACCTTGTTGATGTGAATGAGCGAGACATTTGGCGGGAATTGAATGGATGGACGGAGTAGGGAGAGAGATGCGGCGAGAGTGACGGGATGGAATGATGGGAGGGAGTGGGTGAGCGAAGGGGGAGTGAGGGAGGGAGGGAGGAAGTGAGGTGAAGCCATCATGACAAAGGGCCGGCGGCTGGGGCACGGTGGCGCAACTGCTTATCTGATGGCGCTAGGGCCAGCCACATCCGGGGCTGATAAGATCTTAGCTCGTTCCCGCGTCACAAGGATTCAATACCTTGACTGTTTCCACCTGCAAGGCTTCCACCCTCCTACACACACCCTCCTCAACGCCATCTTACACCCCACCATCGCAGTTGATGCATCACACCCAACACACCACGACGTTTTAGGAAAAGGGTAAAGGCCGGCCTCGTCGACACGCCCCCACCGCTACTCGGCCCTTGACTGAGCGACGGTACGCATAGGCTTCCCCACGTCTGACCTTCGATCGCGAAAACGAAAACGATCCGCGACGCAAGACCAGCCTGACGAAGAAAGATCAGAGAGCCAGGGCGTAACTAAGCGCAAGATGGCCGACGTGGAGATGACCGATGCTGCCGCCGCCGGCGCCGCTCCCAAGATCAAGAGCAGCAAAGCGAGTGGCGATGCGGCGGTAGGAGAGAAGAAGCGCTTCGAAGTGAAAAAGGTAGGAAGCCAGCACACAAATCATGGAGAACGATGCTGACCAGACTGGTCGGGGCAGTGGAACGCCGTGGCACTGTGGGCCTGGGACATCGTGGTGGACAACTGCGCCATCTGTCGCAACCACATCATGGACCTGTGTATCGACTGCCAAGCCAACCAAGCCAGCGCCACAAGTGAAGAATGCACCGTTGCTTGGGGCATCTGCAATGTACGTCTGTCCCCACGCTAACAGAGCCGAGGGTTTTGCTAATGGTGATTATGTAGCACGCTTTCCACTTCCACTGCATCTCCCGCTGGCTCAAAACACGTCAAGTGTGTCCGCTGGACAATCGAGACTGGGAGTTTCAAAAGTATGGGCGGTAGACGGACCGCAGCGAGCGTATGTTAACGGCAGAAGCGCATGGGAAGGGAGGGGCGCACGCATGTCTATTACGCGAGCCTTTTGCTGGCTCTATGAGGATATGCACACAGTATGCAGCGGACAGGCATCACCAGGGAGTTTTGCGGTCGGGTCGAGAAAGGACGGTTTGATACTCAGTGCAGCTATCGTTGTAGACGGGCTGCTACCCCTTCGCATCCTCCAATCCACCGGTACTCCCAAAACACCACCATGTCCGCTCAGCCCAATTTCAGCCCCTGGACGTCTATACCCTTCAGATCCCTCCTGTCTGTTGAAGCGGCTTTGTGTTTCTTTGGCGGCAAGAAGGCTTCAGCCTTCTGGTTGTACCATGGCCAGGGAGGCACGACGATCAAGAAGGTCAGCGCGGTGCCGCCGAGGCCGATGTAGAGCGAGTGGATGATGTTCTGCGTGGTGAAGCCGACGAGGAAGGCGATGACGCCGGAGATGGAGAGCAGCAGGTTCTGGAGGAGTTCGGCGAGCCGCTGGCCCTGGAAGTCCTGAAGTTCGTCGTGTCAGTGAGGAGAGTCGGAAGACGATGAGGGAGGAGGGAGAGAGAGTGGACTGACTATCTCGCCTTCATAGATGGAGCGCGCTTGCTCCAGGATTTGGTCCATGTTCGGGAGATTGGCCCGAAGATGAGGCTGCTCGTTGATGGACAGAGAGAGTGAGAAGGGGGTTGTGTCCTTCCACTGTCCCGTGTGCCGTCTGGTGCTTCGCTGGACTTTAGCGAGGATTGGCTGCCTGAGGCAACAAGCCTGTCTCCGCGATAGGCAGGTAGGACGGGGCAGCTGATCAAGGCGGCACAAGCATGACAGACAAGCCTTTGCTTGCCTTTGCCTTTCCTCGGGTGCCCGGGATCGGGGCGAATTTTCCCTCACTTCCATTCCTTCACACGCCCTCGCTTTCCCCTCCCTCCCTCCGACTCCTCCAACATCCCCTCGTGGCTATCCAAATACACCACCACCACTACCTTACCACCGACTCCTCCATCGCCCGTTTGGCTCCCCGCTCGCCATGTTTTGACTATCCGACTCTAGCCCTCTCAATCCGCACTCGCCATCTCCCAGACTCCCCGCCAATCTGCGCCGAACGTCGCATTCTCCGCCTCCCGCGATTCTGGCGCCTCCTCCTCGTGCGCCGCCCTTCTCGCCGTCTCCAAACCCCAACTACCGCCACTCCACCGACTCCGAAGTCAAGTTGGCGGGGCTTCAAGGACTCCAGTTCACCTACGCTCGCCCCTTGCTCGGACCGCTGTGGTTCGTTTGCGGAGGGGACCTCAAGCAACCTCCCTAAATTGCGGACCCTGCTGCGGAGGACATAGAAAGATACACTTAGATTCCGATGGGCTAATCGGCGAGCGTCAGGGGATTGGGTGTACAGGTGGCCAGCCGTTAGGCCTCTCAGCACTATTAGTATTCCTACATTGCTGCAGCTTTTGCCCTGACTAAAGGGACGGTGTATCTACCGAAGAAGAAGGAAAGAGAAGAAAGAAACATTGCGACTACCATGGCCTTCACACCACGTTCCGGAAGGTCGCAGACCAGGTACAGCACCCCGGAGCCCGATCTCGACGACCACCGCAATCAGCCGGAAAGTCTCCCCACCGTCGTCGAGCCGCATCATGGCCGGCGCCGCGGGACACTCGCCAGCATTGCGAGTGCCGAACGACCGGAGAGATCTTCGTCTCCAAATCCCCGACAGCGACCCACCCTGGAGCATCTCAACCTCCCCGTCATGCAAACCTACGGCTCCATCTCCAGAGACTTCGAGTATGCCGTGGTCGACGATGACAAGAGCATCAAAAGTCACAAGTCCGCGCGATCCGTCATGTCGCGCATTACCGCGGACGAAGAATGGCACAAGGAAAGACGAGGCTCCGTGGGGCCAGTCGCTGCACGACGGTCCACCTTTCGTCGAGCCGTCCACAACCGCCAGCGAGACAATGGCCATCATTCCCGGGAGTCCTCTAGCGACCGATCGACTTCGCCCCCAAACTCCGTCGATGCCTTCGCCCCTCGTCCGAGAGGGCGTGCGGGGACGATGAACAGCAAGGCCCCATCAGCGGAGCATCTGCCTATGCATCGCACCGCCTCGAATGGCACGCGCTCTCGCCGTCCGACATTTGGAGATGAAGGGACAGTCGGTGGGCGGACCGATGTTGCCTCCTGCCACAGCTCCGTCCAAGAAGACGTTTGCTTCCCACCCGAAGAGCCCTCCAATACATACACCATCGACTTCGAGGATCTGGAGGAGTTTATTGTGCAAACCCACACCAAGACACCCGTGGCGCACCCGTTCACATCCTACTTTGATCCCATCACCACCGAGCCGCGTGTCTTTCACGATATGCGACAAGGCCATGGCATACGCGGCCATTCCGCCTTCCCAGGCGAGAAGTACGGCAGTGGCGCTGTTGATGCGCCCAAGGAAGTCAACGAGAAAATTGTCCAGATTGAGACCGAGTCGGATGATTTCATGGCGCGAAGCCCCAGCCGCGCACTGGACCGCATCAATCGCTTTACATTCTTCTCCTCCGAAATCGACGAAACGGTCCACGCCCCGGAGCTTGGCGGGCTATTGATGCCGGGAGAGACGTTTCGCGACCTCTTCGAACTCGGCCCGGAGGGTGGCGTGTGGTGGCTGGATATGCTCAACGCCACCGAGGAAGAGATCTTTGCCATCTGTGGAGCCTTTCGCGTCCATCCGCTCACGAGGGAGGATATCACGACGCAGGAGACGCGCGAAAAGGTGGAGCTCTTTAGAAGCTACTATTTCGTGTGCTTCCGCAGCTTCTACGACCTCGACACGCAGAGTGAGGACTATCTGGAACCGATCAACATCTACGCCGTCGTCTTCCGCGAAGGCCTCCTCACCTTTTCGTTCTGTCAGAACCCGCACGCCGCACACGTCCGCAAGCGTATTGGACGGCTACGGGACTACGTCAATCTCTCAGCGGACTGGATTTGCTACGCCCTGATTGACGAAATCGTCGACTCGTTTGCGCCGGTGCTGCGCGAACTGGAGGTTGCGACCGACACCATCGAAGACTCGGTCTTCACCGCGCGCTTCGAAGACTCCCGTGCCATCCTCAAGCAGATTGGCGAAAGCCGGAAGAAGACGATGGCTCTTATCCGCCTGCTGGGCGGCAAAGCCGATGTCATCCGTGGCTTCGCCAAGAAATGCACCGAGGCGTACGCGGTGGCGCCGCGCGGAGATGTCGGCCTCTATCTGTCCGACGTACAGGATCACGTGGTGACGATGATGTCGAACCTGGGGCATTTTGAGAAGATGCTCTCGCGCTCGCACGCGAACCATCTGTCGCAGATCACGCTCGGCAACATTGAGCAAGGCGGGCGTGCGAATGCGCTCCTGGGCAAGATTACCGTGTTCGCCACGATCCTCGTACCGTTAAACTTGGTCGCCGGTCTGTTTGGCATGAACGTCAATGTGCCGGGCAAGAATGATCAAGGATTGAACTGGTGGTTTGGAATTGTCGGAGTCATGCTGGGCTTCTCGCTGATTTGTGTGGTTGTTGCGAGGAGGATGAGGTACTTTTGATTTGTTGCATTCTACGGCTTTACGACGAAAGGAGTGGGCACGGCGTTTTCGCGTGGATTACATATGGGTTTGGTGTAGAGGATACAATGCACTTTGGATCAACTTAAGCCGCAGAGCGTATGTGCACTTCCTTTGTTGACGCTGGTTGGTTACATCCACGTGCAGGTCACGTAATCCGGGGTAAGGTTAAGTTACCCGTACTTCACGTCACCTTGTTAGCTGCCCGGCAGCTCGAGCACTTCCCGCTTCCACACTTCCAACCACGGCCATCGCTCCACGCCCGCCCGAATCAAGACATCATGGCGATGTTGAGACGCCTCCTACGGCCACAGTCTCTTCCGCGCCGCCCGCTCTGCCACCCTCGGAGCGTCCGCTTTGAATCCTCCAGCTTCAGCCATCTGGAGAGCGAGCTCAAAGCCCGCCAAATCGCGCCCATCTTCGACGACCTCACCCCGCAATCCAGCTACCGACTCAATGTCACCCTCGCCGACTTCCTGCCTGGCGCCACTCCCCCGCCCGTCTTACCGCCCGCAACAGACCCCGCCATCCTGCCCATCCCCCACCACCTCATCTTCTTCGAGCCCACCAAACCCGCGAGTGTGATGCTGGCGGACGGCACGAACCCCGACCAGAGCCCCGGCGAGCCCTTTGTTCGACGTATGTGGGCAGGCGGCACCGTGCGATACAACCAAGCCAATCCCTTCCTCCTCGACGCCAGCAGAGGCGTATGCGCCGAGTTCATCCGCTCCGTCGCCGTCAAGGGCCAGCCGGGCAGGGAGCGGGTCTTTGTCGGCATTGAGCGCCGACAGGCCAAAGCCACCGACGACGAGTTGGCGCTGTTGAGCTCCGCGCAGAGCGATGCAAAGGAGAAGGAGACACTGGACCACCGCGTGCGCCAGCGGCTCTGGCGGGACAGCGATGCCGATTTCGGGCCGTGCGCCGTCGTGGAAACGCGAAACATTGTCTTCATGCGCTCGCGCACAAAGGAGCAGGCAGAGGCGGAGACGAAGAAGGCCAAGGACAAGATGCTCACGCCGCAGCACACACCCGACTGGAGCTATACCATCCATCCCGACCCCAAGCTGCTCTTCCGCTTCTCGGCGCTGACGTTCAATGCACACGCCATCCATCTCGATCCGCTGTATTGCCGAGAAGTGGAAGGTTTCAAGGATCTCCTCTTCCATGGACCCTTGAGCTATACATTCATGGTGACGTTGTTACAGCGGGAGTTGAGGAAGAACAGCAACGAAGTGATACGCCAGGTCGAGTATCGCAATCTGGCCCCATTGTACTGCAACGAGCCGGTAACGTTCTGCGGGGCGAAGACGGGGGAGAGGAAATGGGAGATCTGGGCTCAGACGCCCGAAGGCGGCCTCGCTGTAAAGGGAACGGCGACTACGGAGTCGGGGAACATTGATCGTGCCAACTTGGGCATTTAGCGGTTGTTGAACAGGTCCCCCACCTTTGCAAGCGTTTCATGTACTTTGTAGTGACAAGAGGAGTGGCAAGATACATTTGTCAAAATGGATGAGCCCACGAATTGCGCCGAAGCTAACCAAGCAAACAATCCACCGAATCAAAAGCCCCTAACGTTTTTAGGAATGCAATTGAACGCCGTGCTCACGAGCGCGAGAATGGTGCAAATGACGATCAAAGACCAGTCGAGCGCCTTGTGCCATCCACTCAAGTCCTTGTGGAACAGCTTCAGGTGGAAGGCGCAGGGAAGGATGATGCAGATGGTGAAGCACGCCACGCTCCCAATAAGCGACATGAGCGTGTCAAAGCTCGGGATGAGGATGGCGAGGAACACGAAGAGGGCGGTGGACGCGACACGGATGCCAATCTTCCAGATGCCGCGTTTCAGACCGGACATGCCGATGAGGGCGGCATCGTCGGCCACTGCTCGTGCATCGAGTCCCAGGTAAATCTCGAGCGTGCTGACGATGGGGCGCGCGTTCAGTGGAACCTTCGTGATGGGGATAATGGCGATGGCAACGACTGTCGCCCAGCTGAGTATGGGCCGGAAGCCGTTCGTCTCGGCGATGTTGCGAGTGATTTCGTCCTTCACGTCTTCGCCGTACATGCGATAGCCAATCACGCCCATGAGAAGGTCGAGGAAGAGTGTGAAGAGGTAGGTGATGTTGATGCTTTCCCGGTAGCGATACGGATGCCGCATGTCGCGGTAGATGTTGGGAAAGACGGAATGGCCGCCCCAGGGAGACATCAGAAGGCCGAGTGACACGGGGAGTGTCATCCAGTTTTTAGGGAACCAGAAGGTGACGGCGGGGTCCCGTAGAGAGCCAGGAGCGTGTCTTTTGGTGAGCCCATCGAACAAGACGATGAGGGTAATGCCAAAGGTGCAGATGATACCAATGATGCTGGTGAAGGACAAGAGGCGCAGAGGAACGAATGCGAGAGGGAGCAGAATGAGCCCACACACCCCCTTCCACATGTTCAGATCCGAACCTGGCCAGATGACAGAGAGGGAGTCGGCGAAGAGGACAATAAGGGCCACACAGGCGCCGACGAGCTCGATGCTGAAGAGGAGGGAAGTGAAGAGTCGTGCCCTTTTGCCGAATGAGACGTATGCCAGATCTGCGAAGGTGATCAGGCTGTTGTCCACATCCGCACACTTGGCGAGGAGCTTGGCGGTGTAAGAGGTGGCGATGGCGGCGAAGCAGAGAAACAGCACGCCAATCACCCAGCCGGCGTATCGCATGGCGAGCGGCAGGGCCAACAGACCCACGCCGACGAGGACGTTAACAGAGTTGAAGACGGTTTGTGGGAGTGTAGATTGCCCTACAACCACGTTAACAACTTTGCCATCTTCGTCTTGCACGGCGGCGACGAGCAGCGGCTCGCGCTCCTTGTCCGGGCCGGAGGTTCCATGGAGTTGCTGCTGACGGAAGAGCTTGCCGGCATGTCTCATGGAAGGCTCGTTTACCCGGGATGCCAGTGAGCCCCAGGTACTGCCGTAGGAGCCGCCGAAGGGCGAGGCGAGCTGAGGCTCGATGGTGAAGATGTTGTCATCCTGCACCCGAGACGACGTCTTGTGGAGAAGCGGGGATTCTTCGTCGACAGCCGGGCCATGGGAGGTAGGTACGGGAGGAAAGGCGGAGTCGTCGGTCTCCTCGAGAATCTGTTGGGGCGAGATGGCCTCCTCGCGTTGCAATTGCTCGCGCAGGAGGGATCTGTGGGAGATTGGTGAAGTATCAATCTCACCTGGTTCATAGGACGAGTCGTCCACGCCGCCATCGACAAGGGCGTTTGTGAACTTGAAGCTCTGCCGCACGGGCGTGACCTCGTAGAAGCCGGCGGCGCGCTGCCATGATCGGGTGAAGTTGTCGAAGCTGTTGAGGCCACCGGCGGAGCGCAGGGCGTGCACGCGATCGGCGAGCGACGAACGGCGCCTCCGCAACTCGTTGCTGGGGGTTTGATGAAGCTGCGCGTCCTCGGGCCGAAGGGAGGAGTGACGAGGGTGGGAATGGCGCTGGCGTTGGCTCTCGTCGTCGAAATGGACGGCGAAGGTGGAGTCGGTGGAGTCGCGCCCGCGTGGACGGCCGGCCCAAGTGGCGGAGATGGGGGCATTGGGAGAAGGCATGATATATACAAGAGGTCCGGTCGTTACGAGGTAGCACGTTGTAATCAGAAGCGCACGCGCGTCGGAAGAGAAAGATCAGAGGCGATCGCTGGCAGGCAATGCTTCTTGCCCAAAACTGGGAAACAGTGCTCTCCCCGCTCGAAGCCAAGTGGGAAGGAGCTCGAATGCGCTTGCCTCCCGTGTGTAAATAAATCAGAAGAGAGACGAGGGCGCACGAGGGGCGGTGGAGGAGTAGGCGCGTTGCGACAGTAGTGGGAGGGAAGAGGAATTGAAGACGTTCCCCTCGTCACGATAACCACCAGACGCACGCTTTTCGGCGTCTTATCTGCACTTCCCGTCAGGCCTGCTCGGGTGGGGACGGCATTAAAAGCTCAACGGCTTCTGCGCATGCGTCGTAGGGAAGGCGGAGGCGACGAAGAGGGAGGTGTCCTGGAGAACTCCGAAGCAGCATCGGTTGTTGCTTGTGCTGGTTGGCGTTGTCTGTTGATCAGGCAAAGGACATTGCTTTCGCGAACCCAAACACAGCTCCGCCATCGACGCGACATTGATGAGTGGGAATTGTCGCCCGCCGGTGGTGGTGGGGAAGTTATTAGGGTTGCGGCCGCCTCCCGCCGCCCAACCTTAATCCTCGAGCATTTGTCGGGCGGGAAAAAGTTCGAAATACCATCACCACTCCCTCCGCTGCCCGTCCATCCCAACACACCGGCGGACAATTGCTCTGCCTCGAGAGTGATTCCAAACCCATCATCCCCGACAAGGTTCGTCCCCCCTCCCCGTCTCCCTCGACGCACGTGTCCGGGCGTGCATGGCTTTGCTTGGCAGATGTGACGCACTTTCCCTCTCCTTCGCCCACCTTCACCTAGCCGCCTCCCGCCCGCCCCTTGACGATCTCCCTTGGCCTCACGCTGACCATTCCCTCCCCCAGGCAACGCTTGTGAAGAAGCGCAACCATGTCGACCAACGGCGAGCAAAAGGGGGCGGACAACAACATCGAGGTGTGGAAGGTCAAGAAGCTGATCAAGCGCCTCGAGGCCGCGCGTGGCAATGGCACCTCCATGATCAGTCTGATCATCCCGCCCAAGGACCAGGTCTCCCGCGCCTCCAAGATGTTGGCAGAAGAGTTTGGTACCGCGTCGAACATCAAGTCGCGCGTGAATCGCCTCTCCGTCCTCTCCGCCATCACCTCCACCCAGCAACGCCTCAAGCTGTACAACAAGGTCCCTCCCAACGGCCTGGTCGTCTACTGCGGTGAAATCATCACCGCCGAAGGCAAGGAGCGCAAGATCAACATCGACTTTGAGCCCTTCAAGCCCATCAACACCTCCCTCTACCTGTGTGACAACAAGTTCCACACCGAGGCCCTGAGCGAGCTGCTCGAGTCCGACCAGAAGTTCGGCTTCATCATCATGGACGGCAACGGCGCGCTGTTCGGCACGTTGTCTGGCAACACTAGAGACGTCGTCCACAAGTTCTCCGTCGATCTGCCCAAGAAGCACGGCCGCGGTGGCCAGTCCGCCCTGCGTTTCGCCCGTCTGCGTGAGGAGAAACGCCACAACTACGTGCGCAAGGTGGCCGAGTTGGCGGTGCAGAACTTCATTACCAACGACAAAGTCAACGTGGTCGGCCTCATCCTGGCTGGCTCGGCGGATTTCAAGAACGATCTCAACCAATCCGACATGTTCGACGGGCGCCTGCAGAACAAAGTCATCAAGGTGGTCGATGTGAGCTACGGCGGCGAGAACGGATTCAATCAGGCCATTGAACTCTCCTCGGAAACGCTGTCCAATGTCAAGTTTATCCAGGAGAAGAAGCTTATCAACCGCTACTTTGACGAAATCAGCCAAGACAGTGGCAAGGTGTGCTACGGCATCGACGACACCCTCAAAGCCCTCGACGCCGGAGCCGCGGAGACGCTCATTGTCTTTGAGGATTTGGAAATGACGCGATGGGAACTCAAGACCAGCGCCGGCAGCTCCGTGATCCTGCACACCACCAAAGCCCAAGAGGCTGACCGCAGTCTTTTCATGGACAAGGAGACGGGGCAGGAGATGGACGTCATCAACCAGCAGCCCTTCCTCGAATGGCTCGCCGAGAGCCACCGCGATTTTGGCGCTCTGTTGGAGTTTGTGTCAGATCGCTCGTCCGAAGGCAATCAGTTCGTGCGCGGCTTCGGTGGAATCGGCGCCATTCTTCGGTACAAGCTCAACTTTGAGCAACTCGCCGATGCGGACAGCGAGGACGAATTCTACGACGGTGAGTTCCGTTGCCAACATTGCGATTCGCGGAGATGCCGACAAATGCTAACTCCCCAACTAGATTGACATATATGCGACCTCGCAAGGGAAAGCGAGGGCCCGGCAGAACGAGGATCTGCTCCAGAGAGCAGTGTGTCGGGTCTTCGCACGCAGCAACATCTACCCCAGGATGCTGCATCTGCGACTGCCTCCGCGGAGATCGAGGCAGAGGATGTGGGCGTGGCGGAGAGAAGCATGCCGCTACCCGTGAAGACCCCGGCGATGCCAAAGGCGTCCAGTGAGCATGCGGTATCTGCACGCTGTGCAACACTTGCCACGCGACCAAGGGTGAGCTGTGACGCCGTACCTCCACGACCACGCTCGCTAACAGTACCTAGGCATCATCCCCGCTGGCGACGGTGACTGCGGCCAGTGCGATGGGTGATTGGCCACAACCCTGCCATCGCGCACAGTGTGTGTAAAGGCATATACCCGTGGCAAAACTGTCACCACTCATGGGATCCAGCACGTTGGCTGGGGATTCGAAGTATTGAAGACTCGGCATCGGTCCCAGCTTTGTTGACGGTTGCAATGGTCTACATGGGCGTGTCGAACGACGGTGCGCTTCATTGAAGGGCAGGGTAGAGTGGTAAAGGGAAAGGATTTATGGTGATACCTACCAACTATAATTCACTCGTTCAACGCGAAATCTGCTTTGTGCATCTCCGACTCGTTCAACGCCGGAAGCCATTGGCTACATGAACTCACGTGTTGCTGCACCGCACCTCACCTCACAAATTGCTTCCCTTCAACTCGCACGTGCGACACCCGTGAATACTCTGCACTGTAAGTCGACCATTGCAATCGGGGAATGCCGCCGGCCATGCGCTCGAGCGATGTTTTAGTGTCTTTCTTCTCTAGCGGTTTCTCGTAATCCCAGACCTCCATTTTCGACAATCCGGTCCAGCATACATCTTGTCCAACAACAACAACTCCCTCGCATGGCATCATTAAACGCTACATTTTGCTCCCCGTGATTGCCGGTCAACAGCCACTCGCTCCCGGCAAAATGGACACCGCGCGAGAGAAGGGAAATGTCGTGGCCTTTCTGGGGCCCAAGGCTTCATATACGCATCAGGCGAGTCGACCAACGTTGTAATCATATCTCGCTTTCCCTAACCCGCAATGTTCAGGCAACGCTGCAGAAGTTTGGAGATCAAAACTTCCACATCGTGCCCATGACGAGCATCGACGATGTCTTTGCTGCGGTCCAGGCGGGAAGTGCCACACATGGAGTCGTGCCTTTCGAAAACTCCTCCAACGGCCCCGTCCTCTTCACCCTCGACCTCTTCGCCGACGCAGACAAGCGCCACCCCGACATTGTCGTCGAAGCCGAAATCTACCTTCCCGTGCACCACTGTTTGGTCGGCCAGCGAGCCGCAAAAGCCCTCCACACGGCCAAAGCAACGGATGCACCTAGTCTGAGCCAGGTCCGAGAGGACCTCGACACTTCGCCCGTAGTGTCGGGAGCAGCGACGCCCACGCAGACTGCACCCCAGCCCGCGCGGCCGCGCGTGCAGCCGCTGCACTCCATCAAGCACATCCAGCACGTTCACTCGCACCCGCAGGCATGGGGTCAATGTAAGGCGTTTCTGACCGCCTACCTCAAACAAGCCGAAAAGCACGATGTTTCGTCCACCTCCCGCGCCGCCGAGATCGTGGCAACCGATTCCACGGGTGTCTCGGCCGCCGTCTCGAGTAAACTCGCCGCCGAGCTGAATGGACTCGATGTCTTGGCTGAAGGCATTGAAGACACGCAAGGGAACAGTACTCGCTTCTTTGTGTTGCGACGACGGCAGGACGTGGAAGGGCATGTCAACGCATCATCGACAGAGGGTGTGAATGGACCGGTGGCGAATGCTCACGACGACCAAGCGCAGCTCTTCAAGAGTCTCATCTCCTTCACTGTCGACCACGCGGAGCCCGGGGCATTGGCGGACTCGCTGGCCGTGTTTAAGAAGCACGGCCTGAACCTGACTTCCATCAATACGCGGCCGAGTGGCGCCAGGCCGTGGAACTACGTCTTCTTTGTGGAGCTGATGGGCAGAAAGCGTGGAGACGGGGACGGGGGAAAGGTGAATGTCGCGCTGGACGAGCTGGGCCGGGTGGTGAAGACGTATCGCTGGTTGGGGAGCTGGGAGAAGATGACAAAGGATTGATGCGAGGCATGCGAATGGCTTGCGCGAGAAATGGATGATAAGGCTTGAGGCCGGGTACCTAGATTGCGCCGTGGGTTGTCGAATCTGCGGTCCCGACTCCCACGCCATAAGCATCCTCTGAAGCGTAAAATCGAACGAGACCAAGAACAAGGAAGCAAGTTACAAGACAGAAAAGCATCGTAGCACCGTGTCTGCTCCACCACATCCTCCATGCGCCCCAGGTAACGACGCCAACCTCCCTCACTTCACCGAATGCCTTCTCATTGTACAGGGGACTGACACGCGTGGAAGATTATCTATGCCTCGACGGCCTTCTTGCCCTTCTTTTGCTCGACCTTCAACAGCAGCGCGCGGTTGATGTGCGGAAGCACACCACCAAAGGCGATGGTGGCGCGGATGAGGGTGTCCAGCTCTTCGTCACCTCGGATGGCGAGTTGCAGATGGCGCGGCGTGATGCGCTTCACCTTGAGATCCTTCGCCGCGTTCCCCGCGAGCTCGAGCACTTCGGCGGTCAGGTATTCGAGGACGGCGGTGACGTAGACGGCCGCTTTGGCTCCGACGCGCATCTTGTTCTGGGTCTGCGACTTGAGGAATCGCTTGACACGGCCGCAGGGGAACTGGCGTGGACTATTAGCATGGCGTTTCGATCGCGGTGGCCGTGCGGCAGTCGCCTGCCGCGCGAGTTGATGGGCGCGTGATGCATAGGCTGTGCTAATGATGATTCGGGCGCGGGAGGGGATGAGGAGAGGTGTGGGCGAGGAGGAGGAGTTTGCGACGCGCCACGCGCTCGAAGAGGATGGCACGACGGGGAGAGCGTACCTGGAGACCAGCTTTGGCGGAGTGAGACTTTTGCGACTTGCCGCTCGAGTCTGCACCTGCTTTGCCGCCCGTCTTTCCGCCCGTCTTGCCTGGAAAAGAGGTCAGGATGGGGGGAGATTAGCGATTATGGGCGCGCAACAGACATACCCTTGCCGCCAGCCATGTCGATGGAGGGATATGTGTGGTAGAGTGAGTTGGGAGTGCTGGAGAGTGTTGCGACGGGTGAATCGGAGGGATATGTGTGTGTGGTGGTGGAGGTGTTGATGGCGCGCAATTTAAAGGCGAGTTGGATTCCTTGACGCGATGTTGTGATGGAAGGTCAAGTTCGGAAGGGAAGGGTTAACTTAATCCCTTTTGGGGCCCGAGCCACAAGCGAGGCAGCAAAACATTGCTCACGTGATCCGCCACATCCTCTCTGCTTCACAGGCAGCGAGCCTCGCTGGCACCCCGATCATCTGGACGATGTCCTTCCGGTCTGCATAATACGACGGTCAGTCAGCGAGACTTGCAGCATGGTTTGCCGCAACTTCAGCCGGATTCCGAGAGCTTACTGGCGCCGACTATGCTGTGCCAAAGAGACCAAGCGGTCGCAAACGAGGCAGAGCGTCATCCAACTGGCTTGTCAATTCGCTTGGACACAATGTCGAGTCATTAGCAGGCGGGTCATCCTTGGACAGAGTGACTCCGTTCTTGAAGATCATCCCATCATGGGTCAGGAGACAGTGGCCATCGACCTCGAGAGCGCATGTTCAATGTTGACGGGCGGTAATCCCAGCGCTTCGCTCCATTTTCCGCGAAGCTGTTCGGGACTGGATCAACGGCCCATACGTAAGGCTCTGATGCCTTTGGATTGGAACCGCCTGTCCGCGGAAGTTCTCGTTCTGGTTTGGCGGAGAGGATAGGTATGCTCTTGATCGAGTCGCTCGCTCGCTCAACACCGCACTTGGAGCTCGTTCGGAGCTTCCCGCCGCTAGTAAACTCTGTTGATCGAGTTCCACGCGCTCCAGTAAAATCTACACGCGTTGGTTCGTGGAATGCCATGTCGAACCCTCACTCGTCTGATCGCAGAAGTGGTTGTCGGGGACGAAATCGCCACCATGTTGCTGCTCGTCGTGCTATGGTGAGTTGGAGGTCGGGAGCAGTTCGGAAACCTTCTGACCCTTAAGGCGTGTAGGACGTCGACTACAAATCTCAACTACGGAATGTGGTTAACTCCGATGGCGATCCGGTGGAAACCCGCGGTGGTCGGAGATGGGGGGCTCTCCTCACCGTCTTCGATTGTTGGGTAACAGCGGCCATTCACAATTTCCGGACCGAGCCGGGGGGTCCCTGAGATGAAATCCACGCCCCCACTTTGACGTCCGAATCGCCACCAAAATTTCAATTCGAAGTGGTCTGACCTTGGAAAGTTCGGGGATCTGATAATAATAAAGTCCGGAGCTGATGTGTTTCTCCCTTCTCAACTACACCCATTCCTTGCCACACACCTCCCTCAGCCGGACTGACTGCGAGGAAGAATCTGTACGCCCACCATGGACGTGATCTTGGAGGTCTTCGACACCTTCCTCTCCGATTGGGTCTATGCCACTCTCCTCCCGCGATCTCCCTCCCTCTCCGCCTTCGACCCCACTTCCACCCTCTCCGCGAGTCTGAAAGGGAGCCATGCCGGCTGGAACGCCAGTTCCGCCGCTGGTGTGGGCGATGTCTCGGGCTCGACATGGCAGTTCTCCCCGGCCAGCGAATACTTCAGCGTGCAGCCCAGCAAATATGCGTACATGAGTCGGTGGGACCGCGATAACCTCTATCGCCAATGCGCCACCCTCTACATCATCACCGCGTGAGTTCCTATTCATTCACCCCCTCCCCGCCGAAGCAGAGCATGCCGGTGCTGACTCGGCGCGTGCTGCAGCCTCTTCGGCATCGTCGTCTACTTCCTCTTCGCCACTCTGAGCTATTGCTTCGTCTTCGACAAGACCACCTTCCAACATCCCAAGTACCTCCGCAACCAGATCAAGATGGAAATCCGGCAGACCGTCGGCTCCATCCCCTGGATGGCCGTGTGCACCTTCCCCTTCTTCGTGGGCGAGGTGCGCGGGCACAGCTTCATCTACGACAACATCTCCGACATCAGCCATCCCATCCTCTCCATCTTCGGTCGCTCGTGGAACTTCCTCCAGTTCCCCGTCTTCATCCTTTTCACCGACTGCCTCATCTACTGGATCCACCGCGGCCTGCACCACCCCATCCTCTACCGACGCTTGCACAAGCCCCACCACAAGTGGATCATGCCCACCCCCTACGCCAGTCACGCCTTCCACCCTCTCGACGGCTTCAGTCAGAGCGTGCCATACCACCTCTTCCCCTTCATCCTCCCCCTGCAAAAGTTCGCATACATCGGCCTCTTCATCTTCATCCAGATCTGGACCGTTATGATCCACGACGGCGAGTATGTGGCCAACAGCCCCGTCATCAACGGCGCCGCATGCCATACCATGCATCATCTGTACTTCAACTACAACTACGGCCAGTTCACCACGCTGTGGGACCGCCTGGGTGGCAGCTATCGGAAGCCCAATGCCGAGCTCTTTCAGAAGGAAAGCAAGACGAGCAAGGAAGAGTGGCAGCGGCAGACAAAGGAGATGGAGAAGATGGTGGTGGAGGTGGAGGGCGAGGACGACAGGACATACTTGCCCGAAGCCAAGAAGGTGCAATGATTGGCGCGACTTGGAGGAATGCAAACTGAGATTGTCCTTTGGCGTGGCACGAACATGTGTCTTTAGACTGTAGATACCTTATGCTCTTTTATAACGGCGCCGAATGCTTTTGAGTACGATATGGGCTTTTCCCATAGCTCCAGCGAGGCTGTTATTTGAGGCACGACGCGTGGAATGATCCGCCTGAAGTTGACGTTTGGGCGTCTCTGGGGAGTCGGTCATGCTTGTAATTACTCGACGTTCCAAAGTCGAGACGATGCCTTTCGGCTGCTGAAGATGCTAGTATGGAACTCTGACGACTTCCAGTCCTTCGTTTCGTGTTCATCATGCAATTCCTCTCCCCTGACCTCCTTTCCCTCAACTCGACTGATTCGCTTCTGAAGACTGTTCCCCGAGCATGCCAGGAGTGGTGAAGTTATTTCACACCACCCGCCCCGCCCTCCCGATGCCATCGACGTTCACCCTGGACTACTCTCGTAGCTCCCAAACTCCCACTCATCCCCGTTCCTCCACCCCTGATACAAGGTTTGCACCGGCGAATGCGAGGCCGAAGGCGGCCGCTGCAGCTGCATGGGAGGCAGCCTAAGCCCGCCCTGTGCTGAAGCAGTCGCGTTGTTGGTGCTTTGGTTCTGGTTCGCCGACGGTGGCCTCATTGATGCACCGAAACTGGGAGCCGAATTAGGTGGCGGAGGTGGCGGGAAGAGTGATGACTGCTGCGGTGTGCTCGCTTGATGTGAGCCCCATGCCGAAGGGCTGTGGCTGAACGAGGTGCGACTGAGATTGCTGCCTGGCCGATAGTTGTCGCTTTGGTTGAAACCGTGATAGTAGTTTGAATTCGATGCAGCATGGTCGCGAGGATTGGGCAAAGAATTGGGTGTGGTGGCGGACGTAGGGTGCGAGGCTGACGCGGGTTGCTGTTGAACACGACTTTGCCTCTTTGCAGGTCTCGATGGCTCCTCATCATCCGATAGCGTGAGATCTATAACCGCAGACTGTGGCCGTTTGCTACCAGGCCGTTGCGCGGATCCTGCAGATTGCGCCACGGAGGGCTCTCGAGAAGACAGCGGTGGTGTATTGATCGAGAACGGAGCGTCCATGTGCTTCGTGCCGTTCACCCCCTTGCTAACTGGCTCATCCAGCTCAACGAGGTCGTCGAAATCGTCATCATACGCGGCGCGGGCTTTGCTGGAGGTACCGTTCGTTTGGTTGTCATCTTCATCCCTGATCACTTTCCACTCCCCACTCGGCTCGATGTCGACTTTCTCGATCGACGAAGATGTTCGGTTGAGGATGTCTTCGAAATACTTGTCGACGCTCAGAGTCTCGAAAGGGGCGTGCTTGTTGCACACTGGACAGCTCCATTGAGGGCATTGATCTTGGAGTTGCAGAAACATGGCTGCATCGAAGCATTGGTTGTGTGCACAATGCGACGACCGCACCGGCACGGTGATGCGGAGGGTGGAGACGAGATCTTTGAGAGACATGCGTACGGAGGTGGCGGAGACATCAGCGTCGTTGTTAGCACGAGTCATATCCCTGATCACCTTGTCCTTCGGTATGACGGCGCCCGACTTGATCTGGTTGACGAGGGTATCGACGCCGACGTATTGGACGAGGTAGACGGAGTAGGAGAAGCGGCGGTGGGTGAGTGCATAGGTGATTTGGATGGAGTTGTCCTGTCCGCCGAACTTGTGTAAGAGGGAGGTGATGTCCGCCGGCTTCGTGGTGCCTTCTTTGTTCTTGAGACCTTTGAAGCTGTGCTTGACGTCGTTGTTGTTCACCTTGACTTCGATCTGGGAGGGAAACTTGATGTGGGCGCCAGCGTATGCAGACATTGCACTCGACTCGCCGCAGAGCAGCATGATTTTGAGGTTTGCGTCTGCGCGTAGGCGCTGCCCGAGCTCGGATTTGATGACAAGGTTGGATCGGACGGTGTGGCGGTTCGATGGCATTTCTGGACCCTCTGTCATCAGTATCGTAAGTGTAATCTTTGCAAAGCGACAGAGTGGACTTGGTAGCTACCTGGTAGGTCTGCCATGGATAACAAAGGCTCGAGGATTTGGTAGAAAGGGCTGGGCTTGAAGGCTGTTGTACTCGTCAGCTTCCGGCAGCAGTATAGGCGTGTAATATGCGCCTCAAAGCATACCTTTCTTGATGTTCAACGCCCCGTTGTGTAATGACGCACCGCCTCCCCGAGGGGGATGGTAGGCGGGTGAGGGGTATGAAGTAGCTGAAGAGGAGGAGTGGCCCGGCTTCAGCGAAGGCAGCTGGGTGATGGAGGCCATTGCTTTGAGGATCTCGAAACGGTCCGCGTCACCCCTGCTTACGATGTCGTTGAGGACTATACTCCACGTCAGTCAGTCTCGTCTTCAGCCTTCGAGCCGGATTGTATTCACCTTTTCGACACCGAGTGATGAGGATGCTCTTAGTCCCCGACACCGGCTCCCCATACCATCTGCATATCGCTTTCAGATCCTCGTTCTTGAGCGTGTCCAGATGAGTGGTGACGGCGGACTTCTGCTGTAGCAGCACCTGGGTACTGGATGCCATGACGCTCGAGGTAGAGTTGCAAGCAAGAGGCAGGATCGACTGGCGGAGAGGAGGGTGGGCTTCCTGTGCTAGATCATACTTCGCGGAGGACGTGGGAAGCGAAGGGTGCGGGATTCAGGTGGTTCGGAGGGTGGTGAGGTGGTAGTCGGGTGGCCGCAAGTCGAAGGCGACTCGGCACCAGAGGCAGAGGTGAGGCGGAGGTGAAGGCGACGGATGAAGCAACGAGGCTTCATAGACATGCTCGGGCAGTCGCGAACGAGGCTGCCTGCACGGGCGGATCACGAGTCTTGTGGTGGCGGAGTTTGCTTGTCTGCGGGCGTGGTCACCGAACTGCCCGCAAGATCCATCCCCTCTGCCACACAGTGTTCGCGACGTTCGTTGTCGAAGTCCTTGGAGAGAGATGTCGGATTTGCCAAATGACATGGGTGTCGTGAAATCGAGATGCATAATCCGTCCGCGCTAGTCTTTTTCCGGCCCGTGCACGGCGTGCGGCAAGTGGGGCTTCCAACCCGAGGGCAAGGATGGATGCAAAACGCCGATGGCGATCTCTGGTATTTCTTGCTGCTCCCATCAACTTACACCTCTGTCTGACGACCCCGACACCATGGCGAAGAGTTCTCGAGCCAGCTCGGTCAAGAAGAACAACCAAAGACTCAAGAAAACCGTGTTTGGCCCGGTCGAGACGGCGCGCAACGAGCGACTCTCGGCGAAGCTGATGGCTCTTGCCAGCCAGCCTAAACCACCAAGAACTGAAATGGAAATCGAGACGGACAGTATGTAACGATGATCGAGTCGGCGCCAAGGCAGACCAAACTGCTAATGCCACCGCTTCTGCAGACGCGCGAGAATTAGAGAGAAAGGCCGAAAATGCGAACGAAGGTGTGTGCGATCCTGACTTGCCCCGTCCTGCTCCGGGACTTCTGCTCTGGAGTATTTGTCACCTTTTGCATTAATGCTGATGCTGTCTTCGTACAATCTAGATGTCGACATGGACGCTGACGAAGCCGCGACTTCGACGACTGCGCGGACTAACAGCTCCATCAAGAAGCAGCGAGCATCAAAGGCGGCACGGATAGAGAAGAAGCGTCATCGCAAAGTGAAGAATACCATGGTCTTCTCACAGCGCCACGTAAAGGCGAAGAAGGGCAAGAAGCGATGAGTATGCTGCCTGACGGTGAACTTGATCTGGTCTGCTGAGGACTCTCACGGAACTACGGGTTGGGCAGTCTGCTTAGGCGGTGTTGTCTCCCAATGCTTTCAAGCGCGACTTTGCGTTTTGCTACGAAACGGAGCGTTCTTCTCATCACAGCTTATTTACGATATGGGCGAAAATCAACATCAGTCTTACTTTTGCGCACCTCGCTCAACTTCCTCCTACGGCCTCCGATGCATGGTATCCTTGGTCCTGGGCCCCGAGCAGTCTGTAACGCACTCTGGTAAGATTACTGCAACTATGCTCTATCTTGTCGATGACATGTGTTGGACGCTACCGTACTTGTCGCTGCAGCTGTCTGCTCAATGCAGTCCACCGTCGGGAGTACCTTGTCGAGAGTCTCGGTATAACCAGCCCGTCTACCTCCTTCTCCCTTGTCAGGGTATATGCCCGCCCACTTCAGAGGACTCGGGAAGTCTAGTTGACGACACCCACCACCTCATACATCAACCAGCGCAACGCTGTCCACAGCGCCAAATCCTGCCGCGACCTGGATCTGGTCAGAAATGTTCGTCAGAATCAATAGCCGGCTAACTTACTCCGCCTTCTTCCGAAGCATCTCCTTTCGTCCTGAGCAGATAGCCGGCTTCAAAGTTGGAGGTAATGTGTGGCTTGCCATCGGCATCGCCCTGCTTCCATAAGCAGGCACCGTAGACACCCAACTCGCAGATCACGCCTCCCTGCTGAGTCTCCCCGTTCCGGAAAATGACATTGTTCTGTTCTGGTGGCTCAATCATCTCCATGAGAATGTGTGCCGGCCAATGGCTTTCCGGAAGGCTGTGCAAGAAGTCGGGAATCGCTTTGCGGTAAATGTTGTTGCCGCCGCCTTCACGCTGGGGCTTTGCAACGTACCGAACGGCGGAATCGGGATTCGTTGCCAACTTCCGCGCCTCCATCCCAGCCTCGCTTTTATCCAGAGGGTATATCGGAGCAAAAGTTTTGAGAACGGCGGCGGCTTGCTTCTCATCCGGCAAAAAGCGTTTGAGATGCGGTGAATGTGGAGTAGCCAGGACCTGCTGCACTTTCTTGGTCCCCGCGAGTTGCAACAAGACCGACGGGCATTTGATTGCTGCACTTCGTTCAAGTTGCAATCGCGCATCCCAAGCCGCTTCATTGTCATATTCTGTAGGGCTGTAGCCGGCTCGGAGGTACACGAGGGAGACCTCGAATCGCTGGCCCGGCGACTGAGGCGGTGTGTATATAAGTTTGCGATTCGCGTCCACGTGAGTGTCTTTCAGCACCCGACTGAAAGGAAGTCGGAACACTCGTATGCCGTGTTCATTTACCGCATATTCCAAGTGTCGCTGATCGAAGACGTTCCGCTCGAGATCCTGGACGAGAAAGATAACACAGGTCGGCAATGTCGGCGCACATTCGAGGTAAGCTTCGTGCGCTTTCGCCATGCCTCGGGCGAGGCCGGGTATGGAAGTTGACGGCGGAAGGGAAGAGTCAGTCAGGATAGAATTCAAACTCTCTGGATATGCGCCAATGGAGAGCAGGTGTTTATGCAAGCCGGATACTTTACTTGACAGCCCGCCAAAGGACGAAGCAATGGTGTTGAATTCGACTTGCCTCACACACGGCTGCGGCTCGGATGGGTCGACATGTACCATGTAATCCGATCTGAAAAGTCCGAGAGTGAAGGCCTGCGGCTCATCAGTATTCATTTGGCATGGCAGTACCCCGGCATCTTACATGAGCGTAGCCTTCTTCTTTCACTTTCAAGTGGACTTTCCATAGATTTGCCATGAAGTCGTCGATCTCGACCAGCCTGTGAGCACACCGCATCAGCACGTGATCCCGCCATCCGCGTTCGAAACGATGGACATCATTCGCTGCAGTGAAAGTCATAGGGCTGCACGTGATCTTATCGCGCGCGACAGATGGGAGTACTATACACGGTATTGGTCAAGTGTCTTCTTCATCACACTGGACAAGGGATTGCTACAAACTTACACCTACTCTTCGACGATGCCTTTGAGCCATGTTTCGTCGCTGGCAATGGCCGCATAGAGTTCATTGTACGCTTCGGCGACATTCCGTGCCTGCTCAAAGCACACGCCTGGGAACAAGCTGGGGAACAGAGTCACCGGAGCCGTCGTCGCTAAGGCCGCGGATGGATCGGTCTCGGTTGGCACATAAGATGGAGCAGGTCGCACGGCCAGTCCATGGGCAATTGACCAATCTTTCAGGTTCGTCAGTAGATATTCCTCCTGCTCCTCCGTAAGGCGAGGAGGATAGACGGGATACATCCGAGGCGACCTCGCCGACGAGAGCAGAGGATACGGGGATCGTTGAGGACAAGGGAACTGTAGTTGGAAAGAGGACCACGTTAGGGTCAATGTTTCATGCAACGTCCGATGGCAGTTGCTGACAAAGGAAAATGCAGCGGAGTGGAATTAAACTCGCCCCAACTCCACCTGCCTTGCTGCCTTCTCGACCGAACGTGCTCCAATCCGACCATCAAAACGTGCGACCCCGGCGATCAAGGCAGATCGCTCTCCGCAGAGGGTACATGTATCTGCGTTGTCGACCTGTTCGGAGCGAAAGCGCATTGCGAAACATTCGGCGACTCCCACCACTTCCAGAAGATCGTTTCGTCGCCCCCTCAACATGGCACAGCACGCCTGTTGACTGAGGGTCCGAGATCGCCTCCGTCACCCGCGCAAGAGTAGCTCCGTAGCACACGCCGATCTTGCAGTGATGCTGCAGCATAGGAGAAGGCGGGACTGTCGTTCTAGCGCTGATTGCCCGTGGCCTGGTCGTCCCCGCCCAGCTCTGTATCGCGGCCTGACGAGAGGGCCAAAGAGCGCATGTGCGGCTTCGACATCTGCACAGGAAGGTGCTGGAACTTGGCAAGTCTCTGTGCTGCGGCCTATTCACTGACTGCGGCTTTGAGACTCAGACGTGGCTGTTCAGGAGGTGTGACGGGCGAGTGAAGCCTAATTCCAGCTTGCTCTCCGCCCCTTGCCACCCACGTTACGCCTATGTGGTGGTCGAGCGTGCTGTTTCGTGGCCTCACCATCTGTTCACCCACCTCCTTCCAACCCACATTGGAAGCTGCAGTTCCAAGTTAAACGTGATAAACGCTTGGACCTACTTGAGCTTGATCACCTCTCGTCAACGAGCTCACACTCCTGCTTCTTCCACCCTCAAGCCCGACTTAATAACACAACAACCTTCTACACAACACTTGCCCTATTTGGCGCGTGCTCTGACCACCAAAACGTCACACACGACACGTGACTGCGGGCCGCCAACGCGACCAGGCTGCAACGCGGGAGCCCCCAGCTCCCCACCTTCCACCTTCGAACCTGACAGACAACAAGACAGTGCGACAACGCACCCTCCGGCTGCACGGCTCCATCGAACCCGACATGGCTGCGCCGCCAGATCCATGGAACTGGAGCGTTGAAGACGTACAGCACTTCTTTCGCGATGCGGCCGTTGGCTACATCGCGGACCTGCCCCACGGCCGTATCCCACCCCTCCACCCCTTCTTGACCGCCCTGAAGGACAACGAAGTGGACGGTGCGACTTTGCTCACCATCATCGATTCCAACGCTTTGCGAGACGACTGCGGTGTCACGCCCCTCGCCCACAGGAGCGCAATCATACACTCCATCGTCAAACTAAGGAGGCAATCCACAATCTACAACGCACAACGCGACCCGCAAGGACCCCATCCGCCAGCTCCTCTTCCCTTCCGATCTTCACCAACTGCCTTGGCGCCCGAGACTCTAGTAGAGCCCTCCACCGAGCCTACTGTCCAACATGCCCGACAAGGCGAGATCCAGTTCCAGGACAGCGAAGGCCGGAAGCGACGCAAGCTTGCCCCTACCACGCTGGAGGTTGTTCGGGAAAGCGAGCCTACTTCCGCATCGGGATACCTGGGTGATCGCGCTTGTCCGATCGATGAGATCTTCTACGGCAAGACAGCCTTCGGAAGCAATATCGCTGACCTGCACCCCACTGGCGATATCCTCATCCTCGATGCAGACCGCCATGCGGGTCTGGATGATTGCAACTTTCAATTCGTCCACCAACGCAAGCCCGTTGGCGAGTCAAGATTTGTACACTCCCAAATCCTTCATTTCCTCACCAACGAGGACACCATCGAGCTGGTGAGGGGATCTAGGCCCGCGTTAGCCGTTCTTCCCTACCGAGACACCATGAAGGAGGACAATCAATCTGCTACCGTGCTACGGTTCACTACCAACGACGAAAATGAAGAGCCAAGCGCCGTCAGAGAGAAGGCGGCTCATCTGAACGGTGCCGGTAGTCAGGTACCTGAGCAAGCAGCTTCCGGACAATGGGGATTCCTGAACCAGAAGCACGACGGCGCCAACGATGCGTTGCCTCTCTACGGAGATTCCGAGTCTGATGACGGTGAGAGCGCAACCACCTCTTCGGACCCAGACGGGAAGATGGATGGTGCCGAAGAGAGCGACGGCGAGGCTGGTCTTTCACACCTGGATGCTGCAACAGCTATCGACACGTTCGTCAGAGACTACATCGACACATGGAAAGACAACCTACCAGATCTCGAGAAAAAGCGTGCCTGGACGGTGTGGAAGAAGATGAAGCAGAGTCGCACGCTACGAGATGAGCTCACCCTAGGTGCCCATGCTGAGATCGATCGCCTCACTGCCCGACTTGCCAGGATGAAGGAGAGATTCCTGGAAGATTCATGGGCAAACGAAGGTGCTGTAAGACAAGCCTGCGGTGTTCTCGAGCCGACAATCGGTGATCGGGAGGAGCAGAAGTGGATGATTACCGTTTGGAAGCGTCGACAGGAGCCTGGTAAGGCTGCGAACAAAGCTCAACGGAACAAACAACAAGGCGATCAATCTTCAAGGGCCGGCGCATACAAACCGGGCCTCCAGATTCACCCCGATGATCGTTTCAGCGTGTCGCCGGCTCCCATACCCCAAGACGACACCGACTACCAGTTGCAAGATGCACCTGAGTACGACGCGGACGACGAAGTCCCCCCTTCACCCAGACTGGACCCAGCTCAATCCGACGACGACGATGGCTTCCTAGTTCACACTCCACGAGAATCTGTGTCCAGTGATGATCCAGGAGAAAACACGCTCGGTGCAGAGAATGAGCTGGTGCATGAAGCGGCAGCAGACAGGAGCGACCAGGATGATACGTTCAACACCTGCAACGACGGATCGGAATCGCAAGATTTACCAAGCCCATCCACGTTTGTGCCTCGCTCCGTGAAAACGCCCAAGAGCAAATCCAGCATCAAGCCGATCGATCTGACGATGCTGTCCTCTTCGGATTACACCAGTTCGAGGAAGCGTGGCCGACCAAGCAAGGAAGCTCGGGCCCCTACTGGCATGGATGGCGATCCCGCTGATGCCACTGTCTCGGATATCAACACATGGTCACTCGAGGCATTGTATGCAAGGCAAGACTTCAAGCGCATTCTGATCAAACTCCTCTACAAAGCAGGACCAGAGGTACGAGAGCAGTTGGCCTCTACCCAGCGAGCATTGAAAAATGATTTCCCGCCTCAAGTTCAGGCAGCCGTTCGCTCTCGTCGAAACGGCGCGGCTCATGCACCTCTCCCCTCCGAGCAAGACCATGAGGCTGTCATGTATCGGGCTGCAGAGCTCTACATGCAGTCTTCTCTGCTCGGAACACCAGAAGAGACACTTGACTCGAGAAATTGGGATTCTCTTCTGGAGCTGCGGTCCCTCGTGCTGTTCAACCACATACTGAGGGAGCTGCTTGCGAAGAATGGAACGAAGCTCTTCAATTCACCAAAGCTCAGTCTTCGAAACTTGGGCTCTTCAGCTGCCCCGATTGATGTATCTTCTGACCTCGAAGAAATCGAGACCCCCTCTCGCACGCCACATAAGACGCGGAAGAAGGAAGTTCGCAGGAGTGCCGCGGCCCTCAATTCCAGGGCGAGCGCTCTCAATCGTCAAAAGAGATACCAGGAATCACAAATCTCGGACTCCGCTCAGCTCGTGCAGATGGTAGCCCTGAACCCTGATGAAAGTCACAACGTCGAGATCAACCCGGCCAGAGGTGAAAACGACGAACCCATCTACATCCCCCAGAAGGTCGCTCATGCAATCAAAGCGCATCAGCTCGATGGTGTCCGCTTTCTATGGCGTGAGATCGCCTGCGATGGCCAAGAAGAGGGCCAGGGCTGCATACTAGCTCACACCATGGGGCTCGGCAAGTCCATGCAGACCATCGCTCTTCTCGCCGTTCTGAACCACGCCACGAAGTCCAAGGAGCCTAGCATCATCCGCCAGCTGCCGTTCCGTCTCCAAAAGCTTGCAAATGCCGAAAAGCGAGACAAACGCAACGTGCGGGTGCTCGTGATATGTCCCCCTGGTTTAATCCCAAACTGGCGCCGTGAAATCAATGACTGGACGCCAGGTGAGCTTGGAGTGGTCTTCAGCATTGAGGCTGGTGCCAATGGGTCCGAGCTGTCTACACTTAAGGAGTGGAAGCGGCGTGGTGGGGTGATGCTCATCGGATTCCAAAAGTTCCGCAACCTGCTGAAGAAGAAAGCCAACGAAACGGCAGACCAGGCAGGGGACTCCGAGGAATTTACCGATTTCGAGCGACTCCTGTTCAAACGACCCGAGATTGTCGTCGTCGACGAGGCCCATCAGATCAAGAATACAAGCGCATATGTCACTGAATTGGCCGGCAAGATCAAAACACACCACAGGATTGCTTTGACTGGTACGCCGATGAGCAACAAGGTGGATGAAATCTACTCTCTTGTCTCCTGGGTCGCGCCTCAATTTCTGGGGGACCCTGCCGAGTTTCGCGCGCATTTTACGGAGCCCATCAAGCAAGGCCTGTTTGTCGACAGTACCGCCTACGAGCGGCGCAACAGCTTGAAGAAACTTCGAGTTCTGCATGCAGAGATCGGGCCGAAGGTCAATCGCGCAAATATCGAAGTCCTCAGGGGTCAGCTTAAGGGCAAGATCGAATATGTCATTAAGGTGCCCTTGTCCGAGGTCCAGGACAAGATGTACAGAGGCTACATCAAAGCGCTACAGGCGGGCAACCGAAGCGAGAATGCAAGCCAAGTGACCATCTTCGCGTGGCTGAACAACTTGACGCTTCTCACCAACCATCCGCATCTGTTTCGCAAGATGCTCCTTGCGCCTCCGGCGAAGAAGAAGAAGATCAAAAAAGGAACAGACGCCGAGCGCGAGCAGAGTCCGAGTACAGCCACGGAGAGTGGATCAGTAACCCCTCTGGCTGCGCCACTGGCCGCCCCTGCCAACGGCATGGCGGAGATAAGTGAGGCAGAACTGGCGGCGATCGTCGAAAACGACGAGGACGGTGAGATGCCAAAATTCAACTCCGCAGAGACCGACGCGATCCTCGACGGCTGGGAAGACTCTCTTGACTCACGCTTTTCAGCCAAGCTCTGTGTCATTATGCCACTGATAGATATGTCTCTCGACTGCGGAGACAACGTGCTTGTCTTCTCGACTAGCCTCCCAACATTGGATTACCTCTGCGAGCTGTTCAGATCGAAAGGCCGGCGATACGCACACAAACGGATCGACGGCTCGGTCAAGACGGCTGATCGGATGTCTGCGCTTGAACAGCTCAACCAAGGTCATATCCGGATCATGCTTCTTTCCACAAAAGCCGCCGGGGTGGGATTGAACATGTGCAGCGCCAATCGCGTCATCATCGTCGACTCGAAATTCAATCCGGCGGATGAAGAACAAGCAATCGGGCGTGCATATCGCATCGGGCAGCTGAAGCCTGTGTTCGTCTATCGGGTCTTCACCGGAGGCTCCTACGACGAGAATCTGAAGGCTTTGCAAATCTTCAAGTCTTCGCTCACGAAGCGCGTGGTGGACAAGAAGAATCCTCGGCGTGACACGGAGCGCAACGCACGGAACTATCTGTATGAGCCAAAGGAGGTGGAGCAAGAGGATCTTACGAAGTGGATCGGCAAAGATCCTGACGTGCTCGACAAGCTCTTGCAACAGCACGGATCGGAGGAGGAGGGCAAGCATGATACGTTGATCCGATCCATCGACACGATGGAGACGTTGCAAGAGGATGCAGCAGATGCGCCACTGGATGAAGCGGAGCAGAAGGAGGTGAATGACGAGATCGAGATGAACAAGAGGCGGCCTAGAGGAAGGTGGGCCGCTGCGATGGAAGGGTTGGCTCCGGCTGCACCTCCCTCGACCATGCCGGCGCCTCAGCGAGTTGGAGGTGGCATGGCTTCGCTACAGGCGTCTGCTGCTTTCCTACGAGGATTGGCACCGAGGATGCCATCGCTGGGTGGTCTGCCCTCGTCCACATCGGGATGAGCGGACTTCCGGGTGCGTTGCTGCAGACGACGGGCATTGGGGACTTGAAACTCATCCCTTTGATGAGTGCATCAAGGCAGGCCAATGGACTTTCGGCGGGGTAGACATAAGCGGCGTTACTGAGGCATTGTGACTGTTTCTGCAGAGATACCCCCATCACGTAGCCAGCGAGACGAGAGAAGGCTGTAATTCAAGAGTGAATGTTCATGTGGTTGCCAGAATTCTCCTTGGCTCTCCCTGCTAGCCAATATAATTCCCGTACACAACATGGCCCAGTTCGGCACATGTCGCGAAGGTCAGGCCAGAGGCTGCTTGATCAACGAGTCCAACACAGACTCACCGTCTATGCCAAGGGAAGGAGAAGTAAATGAGCATGAACGCTTGTGATGGGATGCTTCAGACTTCTGTACAAAACGGTACGGCCCTGTACGCATTCAACATGATTTGATGACGGGATACAATCGCCTGTGCATATCAAAAGAAGAGTCGTGAATCAAGCCTTGACAATCACACCCGGCCATTCGTCTTTCCCGCAAGCATTTCTTCGTCATCGCTAATGAGCCCATCCAATTCAAACTCCTGCGCATCTCGGGCTGTCCGATCGAGGGTGCCATTCGCATGGGGCACATCGCGGTATATTCTATTCCTGCTGCCGTTTTCGACCTTCTTGCCCGTGGTCGGGGCATGATTTGGCTCTACATGTGCGGAGTAGAGGTGAATGAGCATTAGGACGACTGGACAAAACTGTTAGCAGGGAAGGATGGAACCAGGGGGGATGGTCAGCTTACAAAGAAACATCAAGAATGCCAGGCTGTACAGGATGAGGATGTAGCTGACGTGCGTGACATGGGCATCGCTGAGCATGCGCATTTGTTCTTCCGTAGCACCCATGAAGATGAAGCCAGACGCGTAGAGCAGGAAAGGAGGCAGATACTGGAAGCTGCTGATTTCCGCATCTACGTCTCCGCCTTCCGGTCCGACGAGCGTTTGCTTGTCCTTGAGCACGAAGGAGATCTCGATGATGCGCGTAAGGCCAGCGAGCATGAGGGTGTAGCCAAAGACCGCGTGTACATGAGTGGAGAGCTCGAGGTCCTGGGCATGGCCAGACATTCCCCAGCCAGTCAAGAATATGACGATGGCGGGAATGAGATTCCTCCGTGGCCTGCCCGAGCGGTCTCGCGCGAGCCAGATGCCCACGAGCCCTGCCGCCCACCAGATGACTCCCATGCTCGTGTGCTGGATGTCGTTCTTCACCCACGGTCCACCCCATCGGTGCTCGGTGAAGGTATTGATGCAGCCCCAGATGGAGATGATAAGACTGTCCCAGAACTCTTGGCTCTTTCCCGTACGCGCCAGCCACGCCTGGCCATTGAGCAGCAAGATGGTAAGGACGATGCCGTAGGCGATGAAAGCGCTTCCCATGATGAAATGGGCCAGACACTGCCCGAGATGGTCGCCTTGACAGAAGCCTTGCGAAGCGATGCCGCCAAACAGCATCTGCACCCAGCTCACGATGGGGAAGAGCACGCCAACGACGCCGTGAATCTTCACCATCACCTTCCGTACCTTGCCGAGGAAGCCACGCTCGATGTGCAGCTTCAACAGCATGCCTAATATCGCCTGGCCAGCTAGCAGAAACATCAGCCAGTTGGCGAAATGGGCATGCACATTGGCGGTGAACTGGCGGCCCTTGTGTAGATGGCCGAGAAAGTAGCCGGGGATAGCGATGGCGGCGCCGAGGATCTGCACGGGGACGTGCCAGCGCGAGCGTACGAGGCCGAGTACCATGCCGGTGGGGAAGACGAGGCCGAAGGCGGTCGACTGCAGGAGGATGTGCAGCCACATGATGGTGCCGAGGGGATCGGGGGAGATGGTGGCGCCTTCGGGGACATTTTCGTGGCCTTCGTGGGCGTAGGAGAGGGCGGCGAAGAGGAGGGTGAGGAGGAGCGGCGCCATGCCCGGTCTGGTTCGAAAGGTCGCCATTACGAGACGGCGGCAGGGGAATGATGGAGGCAGAGATGGACAAGGAAGGGGGAGGGAGTAAGGTGAGATGCGTGTAGGGTACGGGTGACGCTAGGCTGACACGTCGCGAGCCGTGCCATCCGAAAGTGCTGGGAACGGCCGGATCCACCTGCCATCGATTCGTCTCTCATGCACCACCACCAACGCCGCCATAACCAAAATGGCCACGAAAGAAGCAGCGCAACCAGCCTCAAACTCAGCAGATGCGAAGGAACAGAACATTACCTCTTCCGCTTCCTCAGATCCATCTCCAACACATCCCGATTCCGAAGCGAATCTTACATCAACTCCGCGTCTGCAGGCGCTGGAAGCCAAAACGACAGCCCTGCGGACTACCTTGGCCTCTCTCGAATCTCAGCGCTCCGCTCTCGTGGCTCAGGCAACATCGCCATCTAATTCCGCTTCTTCGCACCACACGTCCGAAGAGGATGAAACCCGCTCCGCCCTCGCAACTGCCAGCGCCGCCATCAAACACCACATCGCGTTGTTGCAGAAGTACAACGAAATCAAGGATATTGGCCAGGGATTGATGGGTTTCATCGCTGATGAAAGGGGAGTCAGGATTGCGGATGTGATGGAGGAATTTGGCGTGGATGGGAAAGATTGACCGGAAGGCTGCTGATGGCGCTGTGTCGTCCATCCGGTCTACCATGTACTCATCGCACTCCGGCAGCCTTGACGGTTCGCGAATGTCTCCGCCGTGCCATCATCTCCGAGACCAATATCGGGATTCTGGGCCACTCCGCCACCGACTTGTAATACTGTTGGCGCTAATCGCAGTCAGATCTCGGTCATGCAAAAGGGCCTCGTAAATATGTACGAGCTGATGCATTGGAAAAGGCCGGTCATCAAGTCCTTGCCAGCTTGGCCGAGTTGAGGAAAGATATTCATGTTCTCCTCAGCCTTTGCCTTGTCCGGCTTTCGCGTGACGTTCCCCGTAGACGCGGTCTGTGTGGGCTGCACGTCGCTGTAGTGCTGCGTAGATGTAGCGGGTATGCTAGACCTCAAACACATTGCCCTTTCGGTATGGCCTTGTCCTCCTCTTCAGCCGTTGGGAGCTGGAGTCAGTAGTGGCGTAGGTGACTTGTGCACTCGGCTCGTCACCACTACTTCGTCACCCACGCGAAGCACGGCGCCACTCGGGCCGGCACATGCGTATTGCCCGAAGACCGGTTTGTCTGATAATTCGTGTTGTTAGCCACGTGTACCATTAAATAGATCTTTGCTATGCCGCACTTACGGGGAAGCTTTTCATTCACCCGTCTGTCCCTCATGAGCAGGCCATACAGCTGCTCGGGTGTCGCACACATGCCACCATTGACCAGGTCGGCGTTCAAACTGAGGCACCGCACCGCCTTGAAAAGGCACCGCACGGAAACCTCCAGATCGGAATTCAGCTGGGATCGAATGGCCAGCATACCCCAGCCATCTTCCTCGTAAGGACCCTGCTCGTCGCCAACGTCTACGTGGATGTTGGAGCGGAAGCGGAGGATGACATCCCCGCCACGAGCGGCGGGTGGCAAGCGTCGCCGCGCATCCTCTTCGGATGCTGTCGATGTGATGAGCAGTGGTGATGCGTCTGCAAAGCGGATCCTCTGCGGCAGCAGCTTGTCGTTGACGGAAAAAGACACAGACTCGGTCGGTGCTTTGAACACCGCTCCCGGGATCTCTCGCTGACCGTTGCCGCCAATGTAGAGGAGGCGGGCAGGGAAATTCAGGTGGCGGGAGAAGTAAGACGCGATCCTCTCGCCCATATCGATGCCCGGCGCTTGCGTGCCAAAGATGCTCACCCGAAACGTCGCGGCACGAAAGAGACTCAGCGGCGACGGCGTCAAAGGGATGGAGATGACGGCATTGTCGTCAGCCTGGATGTGGGTGATGGTGAGTTGAGACCACGACTTGTCGATGGAGGTGCGGAAGAGGCCAAGCGACCAGTTGTTCTTGATGGTTACATGCTGCACGATGCCTGCCGAAGGATCGACGGGCTGCTTGACGAGGATATATTGTCGATCGAAGCGCAGGCCCTCGTTTGTCACTTCGGCCGTCGTCACTTCGACCGGGCCCAGAGACTTGATAGGATAGATGAAGAGCTTGCGCGAGCGTGTCAGCATGGGAAGTGTGCGAAACAGATAATCAGAGTCTGGGCGCCCTTCACTCACGCGCTGGATCTTCATGGTTCAATGCCGCTCGGCGGCTGCTCGCATTACAAGTCCGTAGGCATTGAGCACGTGTGCCTGAGAGTCTGAAGTGATGGACTTCCAGACTCGCGGGGGTGCATTGCCTTGCACTCCGCGGGATTGGCCGGGGCGGACATCTAGTGGGCGTCGGTCACGCGTTAAATCCGCTTGGTGGGGCTGAGATCAGCTTGCCTCTTGACATCTAGTGCCAAGTGCACGACATACGGTCCTCTGTCAAGGGCATACAGTACACGCGAATGATAGACGGCTTCTCTTCCGACTAGTCCTCTCCTGTTGGCATTATCCTTCAGAAGGCAATGCTCCCCATCTGCGGCCTCACAAGTTAGCACAGCGAACGCCATTCCGGCCTTTCACGACCCCGCCCAAATCGGATCTTTGGCACGGCCACGAATCAGAGATATGGCCCAGGATGGCCCGGCAGTTGAGCGTGCTTGCGATCTGTGTAGGGAGCGCCGCGTGAAGGTACGATGACAGCCTTGCAGATTATTCCCCCAGAAGCTTCATGTTCGTCAATGCTGACTGTAATGCTTCGAGCAGTGCGATAAGCGGCACCCGTCTTGCCTCAGATGCGAGAAGTTGGGCAAGCCATGTCCGGGATACGACAAGAAGAGGAAATTCGTCGACGAAGGCATCACTCTTCGAAAAAAGTACCAGTCTGCGACCCCCGAGGATGCCCATTTCCGCCCCCCGCTATCCACTTATTCCCCTGCTGTCTCCGCCATCCACCCCTCCCCGCAATCGCTCTCTGATCCAGCAGTGGCTGGTCAACGATTGGCCAGCATCCCCGGCGATGATGCCTTCCTGTCTCGTATCGCAGATGGCGAGTCCAGCTTGGCCGATGCAAATCGTGCCATTGACGATCTCTTCAACGATCCCTCCATTGACCCTGCGTGGTTCGATATCGATCCCGCCGACTACTACGACGCAGGGTCGGGCAATTCATGTGGCTTTCTTGCAGACTTTCCCAGCATTGTCAGTGAGCTCGACAGAGATACCGTCCTACCGACCACCGAAACGATCGCTGGGCTCGGCGATGAGGCAGACATAGCAAGCATTATTCCGAGGTATGTCCCGACGAGCTGCTCGTTGTCAACAAGGCGGCCGACGGCATTCCATCTTGTAACTGTGCCACCGTACTCATCACCGCCCATAGTGATACCCCGTGGGAAGCGCAATTGCACACGAGCGCCATTATTGTCGATGCGAGTGAGCATGAGACTGCATATCTCACTCGTCATTTCATCGAGACTATCGGACCATGGTATGCCGCTCGTCTCAGCTCCGTCGGCATGACTAAACCCTTCGCAGGATGGATCTATTCGACAGGGACGAGCATTTCGGCAGTATGGTGCCTTTAAAAGCCCTGCAGGACGCGCTTCTGCGGAATGCCATTGCAGCCGTGTCGGCCAAGCAGCTCGGGCGAGTGAAGAGTCTCAAGCTATACCTTGGCAACCAGTGTCAGAAGCCGGCGATGATGGAGGTTCTCGATGAGGCGGATTGGTATTACAAGGCCGCCAATTACTACGACAAAGCCATTGCAGTTTCACGAACGTATCTGCAGGCCCTCTCGGAGAGCGTCGACGACCCATCGACACTGGACTCTCAGTCATCAGCAGGGCTAGCGAGAGCAGATGACCTGTTGGTGGCCGTCTCCATCTTCTCACTCTACGAATGGCTGGACAGCCTACAACTGGACTGGCTGCAGTGAGTACTGGACGAACGCCGTCTGCCTGATGAGTCGTTTCATTACTAACAACGCCTGCTCTCCTAGGCATCTTTCTGGACTCAAGACTTTGCTGCACACTCTACCGGAGGTGCACGAGACTGCAACCCAAATCACCACAATCTCCGCCGGCCGGAAAGCATCTTTCTGGAACTTCACCCGCGCCGACTACCACGCCTCCTACATCAACAACCAGAACACCTTTCTCGACACCGAATCTCATCACCTCTGGACATCTGTTGGACTCCAGATCCAACCTAACGGCTCCCTATACAACGATGCTGCCAAAGTCAAGGAAAATCAATACCCTTGCCGTCAAGTCTCCGAACTTGTGGCCCACACGTTGCTTTGGATTGTCCTACGCGTCATGAACTACCTTGCAAGCGGCCACAACCTGAATCTCGCCTCTCGACAAGAGCGATGGCTTGAATTGACCAAACAGCTCGACGAGTGGCACGACAGTCTGCCCCAGACCTTTCAGCCGTGCGCACAGATCCGCTATTCCATGAAACCTCCGCGCACCTCCACCGCCATTGGCACCTCCGCTCCATCCTCCTCGCCGTCAAGCGGCCTCACGGAAGTCTTCTTCTCCATGAACGTCTGCGCCGCAGCTCTACAGCTCTACCACTTCGCGCGCATCTTGCTACTTCGCAACCCCGCCGATTCTCGTCCTGTAGATGCAGCAACGACCATCAAACATGCACATCAAATCGTCGGCATCGCGCTCGGCCGCCCGCACCACGCGGTACGGGTGGAAATGCTCCTGCCGCTCTATGTAGCAGGGGTGTGCTTGGAGGTGCAGGAGGAGCGTGCGGTAATACTCGAGCTGTTGAGGGCTATTGAGAAAGACACGGGTTGCTCGACCGCATCGCAATGTCTGGAGTTGATGAACGAGTGGGGGTGGAATTGGCAAGATACGAACGTGACGGTATAACTCGTCGTGTTGGTCTGATACAGCATGAGGTAATCTATCTCGCTGAATACATGTACTCTACGCACGATATCATGGTCGACTGCCTGCTCATGCCGCTCACAGTGCATCGCCGCCGTGGTCGCTGTCTCCAGCTTGTGGCGTACCGGCACTTCTAGCCGCGTCGTCTTCCATCTCCTCATCCTCCTCATCATCGTCGTCATCCAGCACCCTCGCAATCTTCTTCCTCTGCTGCAGTCGCGACACCGCCGGCGCAACTTCGTCTTCATCAGGCAATGCATCGCTAAGATCCCCGCCACCTCGAGGTGTCTCCACCGCGCTCTCTTCATCTTCATCCCTCTCCGCTGCAGGCTGTGATACTTTCATATCTTCATCGTCCGACGAGTCTTCGACAATGTCCGCAGACTTGTACTTCGAGCTCGTGGCCCTTCCCTTTCGCGATTCTAGCTTTCTCTTCTTGTTGCGGCGCGCCGGGGCCTCGCCGTCACTAGGGCCGGTGCCATTCATCCCCTCGCCGTCTAAGACGCCATCGGCATCGGTATCGGTATCTTCGCCCTTCTTCTTGCGCTTCTGGCGTTTCTCTTTCGGCTTCTTTTCGCGTTTCTTCCTTTCGCCAGTCTCCTCGTCGGTCGTCCACTCGGCCGCTTCTCTCGCCTTCTCCTCGTCCATGCGTCGCTCAATCAGCAGCCGATCTTCCTCCGCCAGGCGTTCTCGCTCCTCACGAAGCCTCCTCCTCTCTTCCGCCAACCTCTCCTCTGCCGCCTTCTTCTCCTCTTCTCTGCGCGCAACTTCTTCTTCTCTCTTCCGCCGAGCTTCCTCCAGCTTGTGCGCATTCTTCTTCTCATACTCAGCCTGTCTCTCGAGCGCACTCGCCAGCTGGCGTTTCATCGTGTTGCGACCCATGTTCGCCCGCTGCTCGATATCCCCACGGGGAAACGGCGGATTGGGCATCTTGGCGATCTCCCCGAAAGCGTCAATGGCCTCGTCGAGTCCTTGTGCCGCCTGCTCGACCTCTGCAAGGCTCTTGGACGCTTCCGGCAAGGAGATGACCATCTGTGCAAGCTGAATCTGCACAAACGCCACATTGAAGCGATAGTTTATGTTGTCGGGTGCACTTTCTAGTGCCTGCCGCGAGAAGTCCAGTGCCGTTTTGTACGCGTCCAGCCTCTTCTCCTGCCTTCCTCGCATGAGCCAGACGCGGCCGAGCCAGGCGAGGATCTGCGAGTCTCGTCCCCTTTCCCGCTCGGCCAGTTTCAGCTTCGCTAGTGCAAGTTCGTAGTTCTCAATGGCACGCGAAAACTGTTTGACTTCGGTGAAGATGTGGCCCAGGTTCACGTGCACACTGCTGCCATCTCGCACGCTTTCCCGGACTTTGCTGAAGATCTGAATGGCAGCCGCGGTGTCTCTCTTGTCTTCCATCACCGCGATCCCCATCCCCTGTGCTGCGTATGCGTTGCGCGGGTCCAGTGTGAGGACTTTGTCGAAGAACTCAACGGCACGCATCCAAGTCTTGCTGCGTCGCTCTTTGTGTGCATCCGTGTCTCGCGGCATCTCACGCGCGACATGAAGGTGCAGATTCCCCATGCCGGTGAGGGAGTACAGATCGTGTTTGTCGTATGTCTGCAGGGTATGCTTGTAGTGCCGCTGCTCGGCGTCTTCGTTGAGGGCGAGCGTGCGCTTCTTGGTGCGGTTCAAATACCACCCGTAGAGGCTTCGTACCTCAAGATTTGAGGGATCGGATTCCATGAGACGCTTGATAGCCTCGCCACCTTCCGAGGGATTGGCCTTGAAAGCAAGGTATGCAAGACGCGTGTTGGCATCAACATAGTCCGGGTGACGTTCTAACAAGCCCTGGTAGATCTTGATTGCTTCATCGTCAATCTTCTCGGCTTCGTAGGTACGCGCGAGGTTGTAGCTGATTGTGCTGACGAGGGCGTCAGTATCAAAGTCTTCCACGCCCTCTTCCCGTGCTTGTCGCTCCCCAAGCTTGACACAAGCCGAAAGAGCGGTTTGGAAATCCTCCCGAGCCTCTGTGAACTTCTCCGCCGCGAAATGGAAACATCCAATGTTGTTGAGCAACTGCGGCGAGAGCAGCTCTCGCTTCAGCCGCCTCTCGGGCTCGTCTTCGCCAATTTCATCCGGGAGGTCGTCTTCGTTGATGTCCTCGATTTCCATCTCCTCGACTTGGAGCAGACACGCCAGAGCCTTCTCGGGCGCCTCGTGCTCATAAAGGCGAGCGAGATTGAGCAGCACAGCTTGATCGGGCTGTAGGTTCTTCCGCTTCGCATCCTTCCACGCCGTCCGGACGTGCTCAAACATGCCGATCGCCTTTTTTGCTTCTTGGCTCTTGTCCTCCTTTCCACCGGTGGCCTGGTTGGCAAAGACCTCCTCGGCATACAACACGCCAAGGAGGGTCATGGCCTCCACGCTCTTGGGTTGGCTCTTTTCCACAATCTTCTCCAGCTTGAACTTGGCGCCCTCAAAGTCCCGCTGCGATACACGAATTTGTGCATTGCCAAACTTTGCGGGAACATAGCCTTTGTCGTCACCGCCGCGTGCCTGGTCTGCCTTGGTGTAATGCTCATTTGCCTTCTGCAAATCGCCCTCGTGATGCTCTTTGCGACCCAACAAGTACCAACCGTCGGATGCGATAGCGTTGACGTCGGTATGCTCGATGGCTCTGCGCGCAAGCCTCTCCACATTGTTCCACACTTTGCGAAGTAAGAAGTAGGAGCAGAAAGTGGCACAGGTGAGGGCGTGCATGCCGTCAAGCTTGAAGGCCGTCTGGGTATGGGTGGTCATTGCTTGCTTGTATAATGTCATGAATGCTTCGTCCTTGGGATTGTACTGGTTGGCTTGCTCGAGGTAGTAGAGGCCAAGTAGGATGTTGGCGGAGATTGAGTCGGGATTGAGGTCCAAAGAGCGCTGAAAGGCAGCGCGGGCGGGCTCTTTGTGACCCAGTTGCCATAGACAGCATCCAATGCCGATACGTGGGTCGGGGTCGAGCATGTCCGGCGCACGCTCGAGCGCTTGTTGGTACAAACTCAAAGCCTGTGCGACACTGCCGAGGGAGAATTGTGCCTTTGCCTTGCCCATGATAGCCATGACATTCTTCCCATTTGAAGCACGATATGCATCATCAAAGCTCTTGACGGCTTGCTTCAAGGTCTCGTTTCGCTCGGAGTGGTCCGAATGCGTGCTCTTGGATGGTTGGAGTGATGCGCGGAGGAGGTAGAGGGTGCCTCTCGCCAAAAACAGAGGAGGGTAGGATGGGTTGATACGCGAGGCTTCGTTGAGGGTTTGGGTGCCCATGTGGAGGAAGTGCTCCTTATTCCGCTCATCTTCGAGAGGCTGTGTAGGCTTGACTCGCGGCGCATGCCGGCATTTCCACAGATACAACCAGCAAAGGCACGTCAAGACGCTCAGGCGGTCTTCACTCCGCGCCTTTGCAAGCGCGGCCAAGCCCTTGTTGAGGATGTCGATGGCGATGTTGACCTTGTTCTGCTTCGCATAGGCGAGCGCGATGGTGACCCAGTAGGTGCGAGCGGCGTTCTCGTTCTCGAGCAAATCGCACAACTCGTCGGTCTCGTCGAGCAACTCGGTGAGGTCGAGGTTCACGGCTTCATCTCCGTCTTCGCCGCGGACGGGAATATCAATGACCGCGGGGATGTCGGAGAAGCGAGGATAGGTCTGCTCAACAGGTGCGTGGTGGCCGTTGACACCGTTTGTGAGGTCGCTTTGAGTGGTTGTGGTGGTCGCCATGATGCTGTTGCTTGAGTTGGTGGCAGCGAATGAGGAGATGGAAGTCGAGAAAGGAGAGCCGTGAGGTCGGCCGTCCAATGGTCAGATCAGGGCGTGCCTGGTGACGACATGGGGCTGTTGTCAGAGGCGTTGTTGGTGTGTGACTGTGGCCGGCATTCACATGTGCCAAATATTTGTTCGCATCGAGGAAGGAAGATCGCTCCGAGACATGTCGCGCGCGTTCGGGACGGCCCGTCGGAATGCGGGCGCTAATGACGCACCCCAGCAGAGCCGCAAACTCTAAATTCATCAGGGTGAGCTCACGTCTCGAGTGGCCTCGCGGTCCGTTTATCTTCCCTGCAACGCCGCTCCCCCTCCCCTCTTCCTCCTCGTTCTCGCATTTGTGGATGCGAAGAGCCATCGCAATGGTCGTTCTTCTCAGACGAGGATGAGGGCTTGCCCCAGCGAGTCAAGGAAGAAGTGAAACCATGTCGTACATGCGACAACCGGCGCCCAATGGCTATGCCTCGCAGAACGGCTCGCAAGGCCCACCGCCCTCCCGTCGCTTCGATCTCGAGACTAGCAGCATCGATACCAGCGCCGATGAACGCTCCCGCTCTCGTCCGGGCTTCCACACCAACCACCCTTACGATCACCGCCCATCCCAGCCCGATCAAGTCCATGGGGTCTCGCGACTGAACCGCGAAAACGCGCATAGAAGAAGCCGCGACTACGAGTGGAATCAGAGTCGCAGCCGAAGTCGTCCGGCGAGTCGACCGGGCGCCGCCTCCCGCTATGGACCAAGCGGTGGCGGTGCGCAGGTGGAAGACGTGCTGCGGTATATCGAGAGTCGCTGGGCTTTCATGGCTACCCCCTCCTGCATCCCCGTCAAAGTCGCGCTGCAGCTCAAAGACTCCTCCTCCCTCGGCCTGGCGAACGACATGGACCAGTTCCACTCTGCGCATGCGCAGCTTGAAAACGCATTGAAGACGATTGTGAACGAGCATCACCAGGCATTCAATAGCAGTATCGGCACCTTTCACAAAATCCAGCAAGCTATTCATACTTCTCAGCAACGTGTCCGAACGTTGCGTGGAGGATTGACCCAAGCAAAGGCGAATCTTGCAGCAAGCCGGCACGCTCCTGAGCTCAAAGTGTTGATGGACAGTAGTGCATCCTACGACCGCATGCTGGAGGCGATCAGTACCATTGAAAAGCTGCAAGTCGTGCCAGACCAGCTAGAGGCACAGCTACGAGAGAAGAGGTATCTTGGGGCGGTGGAGAACCTCCTGGAAGCATTGAAATTGGTCAGAAAGGCCGAGTTGGACGACATTGGCGCTTTGGGGGAGATGAGGGTGAGACTGAGCAATCAAGAGCAGATACTCACAGACATGCTGGTCGAAGAGCTGCACAACCATCTCTATCTCAAAAGCCCTTATTGCGAGGAGCGGTGGAAGAGTCACTACACCGCTAGAAACCTGTCTGCACTGGCAACTCCCGGCATCGCAGACGAAGATCGAGCGCTGCACAGCTTTCTTGCCAGCTATAACGGGACGGAACCGATGCAAGAAGAACCGACTCGCAACGCAGAGGCCGACTCGTTCTACTTCATCCAACTTCTCGTCGAGTCCTTGCACAAGATGTCTAAATTAGATGTGGCGGCGGATAGAATCGAAGAGAGATTACCGATCGAGTTTCACCGACTGCTCGAGCGCACCCTGGGCGAAGTTGAACAGCGCCATCCTGCAATGGCTCTCAAAGGCTCTCACAGACGGCAGACCCCTGGCTCAGACATTGACCCGGAGCGTAGAGCCGTGCTTGAAGACCTGCTTCACACCCTCTTTGCCAAGTTTGAGGCAATCGCGGAAGCGCACCGAGTTTTGCACGAAGTCACGGCGGCGGTTCTCAAACGAGATGCTGTCGCGAGCGACGAAGCAGGTGCGTTGAATCGAAGCTTCCGCGAGCTGTGGAAGTTGCTGCAAAGCGAGATGCGCTCGTTGTTGCACGACCATCTTGCCACAGATGCAGGCGATCCAACGAGAGCTGGTGGACGTCGAGAGAAAGATACCATGACTGTGGGCAACATGTTCAACTCCCAGCCGCGAGACCGCAGTGTCAAGCTCTTCAGACTCGCAGATACTCGAGAAGCGAATCAAGACTTGGCCACGGAGCGAGAAGATCTGGAGGGCATCTTAAGATCCTCCGTACCTGGCTTGGTGAATTCCTCCAAGGACGCGTCGGCCAAGACTGTCGATGTTAACGGTGATCTGGCCCTGAGAGACCGTGCGACTGCCAGTGCAGCAGGCCACAAACTCCTCGTCGACCCCAGTGTGTTTAACATGGGTATCCTCCTTCCGCCTGCCATCGCCTTTCTCAACAATTTGAAGGCGATCGTGCCACCGGGCACCGGCACGGGAACGCTAACATCATTCATGGACGACTTCCTCCTCAACATCTTCTACCCACAGCTCGATGAAACGCTGCTTGAGCTGTCGTCACGATGTATTAACGATCTTGATACCTTTCAGCCGGACCCGGCGTGGCAGTCGAAAGCTTCCAGGCCGATCTTCAAGGGGGCGGCGAGATTTTACGACCTGCTGGAGCGATTCTGTGGACTATTGGCTGTGCTTCCCCATGAGCGAAGCTTTGTTGAGCTAGTCATAGCCCAGATGAGAGCTTACTATGACCGATGTTACTCGTGGAGTAAAGGACTCTTGCAACGAGTGGACATGAGCTACCAGCTCGACTACGAGCAAGGGGGTGGCGTTTCGGGAGCAGAACCGGGGGCTGCATCGAAGATGAGGATGGCCGCCGAGCTTGCGACGCAAGGGGAAGTGTGCGAAATCGTGCTGGATTTGCTTAAGCTGGGCGGCGGCACGCAGAGGGAGCAAGACGAGTTGGCGCAAAAGGAGGCGGACCTGCTGCTGCGGCTGGCTAAGAGGCGTGAGCTAGAGGACGCGGACCTCATCCACGATCGCAAGACGCTTACTGCCCTCTGCACGCTTCATGTGAGCCTAAAGTGGCTCGCGAGCAAGTGCAAACGACTACGGTTCCTGTCTCCGTGGTCGGTCGACACGGCCAATACGCAAGCGCATAGAAACCGCCGATGGACTGCTTACACTCAGGACCTGCACTCCGACGGCGTGCCCGGCGGTACCTACCTCCCTCTTGATGACCAAACGGCCGAACAGTTCGACGCCGTCCTCATATCATTCACTGAACTCAGCACGCTCGTGCTCAGGACGCTGCACGTTGATCTCCGTTTGCACCTCCTGCACGGCGTCTACAAGGCCACAGACACGACCTACCTCCTCAATCAGCCCTACAACGACCCGGACCCGAACATCTCCGAGTTGGCGGAGAGCATAAGCACCTACTGTGCGCAGCTTCAGACGCATCTTCTGGAGCCGCAGTATGGTTTCTTGACGGCCCATCTGGCCACGCTGGTCAACACTGCACTCATCGGGCTCGTCGGCAGTATTCCCGCCATGGATGCATTCGGCAACCAACGCATGGCGCTGAACATTCTCGTCCTCTCGCAGATCCTCAAGCAACTTCAACCCCCTCTATCCACATCGACCACGTCTACCTTGCCTGGCGACCTTACGCGCGCCGCTCGCTTCTACGAGCTCGCATCGCTCGGGCCACAGTCTGTTGTCGAGCAGGGGCCGGACGAGAATTTTGCGCGCGAAGACTTGAAAGCGCTTTGTCGATTGTGCTGGAATGAAGCGAGAGATTCGCCGAGTCTGGGCGATATGGAGAAGTACGTGATGAAGCTTGGGGGGTGGCCGAGGAGGCAGCAGAGCTTGAGTCGGAAGGCTAGTCGACCGCGTCTGGGGAACAAGTCGAGTTCGTGAAAAGAGAGTGGTGAAGTTGAGTTTGAATCTCCCATGCATTATTTGAAGAGACACACTTTCCGATTCTCATCGCCATCACCACCATCCTCGATGTTGGCATCGTAGTCCGCTCAAACTCCTCCTTGGAACTCGACCGCTACTCCATATGCTTCCTTCTGGAGCACGGGTGAGGTCAATGTAAGATGTCGTGTTCGCCATGGCAGATGCGCCATTGCTCGTCAGTGGAGATGAAGCGTCCCAAGTATCTGGCTACCATCGGAAGATGGGACGCAGCTGTGATGCTGCTCAGACGCAATCACCTGGCTTTGGGGGGAATAACCGTCTTCTTTCACCGCTTTTCGTTCAGCCCTTCTCGAGCTGCGCCAGTTTCGCAATCACTTCATCCACGCACTTCTCAATCCGATCCCTTTGCCCAGGCGTCATCTTCCTCAGCACATACTGCGCAACATCATCGCTGTCGCGACTGATTGGTCTCCCAATGCCAATGCCAATCCGTGCAAATGGCGTGTTCCCCATCACTGCTAGAATGCTCTTCAGCCCGTTGTGTCCCTTTGCACTACCTCCTTGGTTGGTGCGGAGCGTCACCGAGCCCAGCGGCTTTTCAAGCTCATCGTGCACAATGACAAGTCGGCCTCCATCGTCGGGCAGGCTCTTGGACCACGTCATCCACGCCCCGCGAACTCCCTTGCCCGACTCGTTCATGTAGGCCGTGCTCTGCCAAAGCGTCCAGTCTCCGCTGTCGCCCGAGACCGAAGGCCTACTGACCAGGCCATTGCCGAGGCTGCGATCCTTCTGGAAGGGAGGATATGCGAGGCGCTCTGCCAGTGTCTTGACAACAGTCAAGCCCGCGCTGTGGAGAGTGTTGGCGTAGGTTGATCCAGGGTTGCCAATGCCGCAGACCAGAATCGGCAGCATTCGCGATACTGACATTGACGTCCGATTGCCGCGCCTCCAGTCTGCTACTCGCCCTGAACAGTCGGAGCAAATGGTAGGCTGAAGCGTGAGGTGCAAAGTCGCAGCGCCATTCGGGGGAAACTTTGCCGAGATTCTCCCACGCGGCGTGCGTGCGATGGTACAGCTGCAGAGGCGAGGAGGCAGAAGGGTAGGGTAGGTCCCCAGAACGTAGGAACGAGGTTATCCCAGAACGAATCGATTACATTCTGCTACTTGGCCACTACCCACAACAATCAAAGCACCCGCGTCACCGTATTTTCACTCCCATGCATATTGCCAATCTGTGGTGCAACAAGAGCATGCGAGGCTGTACGCCTTCATTCAAGTCCCTGGCTTTGTTCTCCATCCAGATCCATGCTCTCCCATAGCATTGCGGGTGTCATTGCACATGCAGCCATTTTACAAGTTCTTGGAGGCCTTGTCTGCGGCGCTCTTGAGGCCTTCCGAGGCGGAGCCCTTGGAGAAGAAGCGGGCAAAGACGGGCTCGATGACAGAGCGGAACACGACGGCCGCGCCACTGTACGGAAAGGTTGGTCAGTAGCTAGGACGGTGTGCTCGGGGATAGATTGCAACCTACTTTGTCTGGGGAAGAGCCATGTACATGATGAAGACGAACTTGAATGTCCAATAGAAGGGGAACCAGTAGGCGGCGTTGACGAGCGACTCAACGACGGTCAACGAGGCATACACGATCCAGTACTAGGTTGCACATGTTAGCTTTGGTAGCCGGAGACATGTGATGAGGTGCGCGGGTAGTCGAGCATACCGTAAGCCACTGGATGTCATCGGTGGGCGTGACGGAAAACAGAGCCTCGAGGGAGTAGTAGGCTGGCAGGGCAAAGCCGGCGGTGTTGACGAGGAACTCGCTGCCAATGTTGAAGAAGACGAGGAAGAAGTAGAGCACGGCCAAACCCAGGACAACGTAGACCTTGGGCACGCTGGTCTGCTTCTCGAAGTTGTCGAGGGCGGGATACTTGGACAGCTCCCTGCAAGCGGGTCAGCAGAGTGTGCAGTGTGACGGGAGCGGCATCGCGTACTTGTCAAGGTTGGAGAGATGGTATTGCGCTCTGTCACGTCAATCAGCCTCTTTTGCACCACAGGGGTAAAATTTGTTGAGGAGCTCCGCCATACTTCTCTTGAATGTTTCCGGCCATGTCGACGGTAGTGCGAGGGGGTTCTTTGGGCTCGGAAGCTGAGGTGCGGTGTCTGGAGATTCTCGCCGTGGTTGCGGGTGAGAGGAAAGATAAGGTCGAGCAGAAGCAGGTATGGCTGCACGGCCAGTTGTTGAGATGGGTGGAAGCGGAAAGCTAAAACGATGACGTAATCTTCACCTGGCGAGGTGGGTTGGTGGGCTCGCAAACAGGACTCCAGGCGAGCTGCGTTGCAAAGTCCAGGCAGGGCCGTGTGGGGTTATCCTTCGTCTCGGTGATGCTGTGGCAAGGTGGCCAGAGGATGAAGTGAATTGTCTGCGTGCCAGGTCAGTTCTGGGGGCAATTGTTGAAAGAATGGACCCGATTGAGACTCTACCGAAGCGAGCTGTCAAAAGTCGTGGCCCCGCACCCCGACTTATGGCCCTCGCTTACGGCATCCTCCTGGAGACGGGATGTTTTGCGTATAAACAGAAGCAACGCCTCGACCAACCTCACCCAAGTCCTGCACACCACTGCGATACTTCGCCCTTCGTTTCGCCATGTCGCCGGCCAACTAGCCCTCTAGCTCCATACGCCGCCGTCGGGCCCACTAACCTCCCAGCTACTTGCGCAAAGCACCTCGCCGTCGTCGCAAACTTCTTCGCGCCATCTCGCCCCACGATCGACACTGGCTTGGAGGACCGACGAGCCCCACGAAAGAGCTTCTCACAGACACAATCCAGACGTATATGCGGCGTTGGATAGGTACGCCACCACCGGGCGCACTCACTCATGCTCGAGATCGAGTCTGCGCCTTGTTGTTGGTTGGATGGAGCCATTGTTGACACTGTGCAGTCACCAATAACACACATCAATTCTCGGCAACCGGATCGTAACATCACGTCAACATACCGCCACAAACATGTCGATGCCCGCCCGAGCTATCCAGCGACCCGATTCACGGGCGTCGACGACGAGCGCGACTTCCCAGCCCGATGGTGCTGCCCTTCCGCGCCTTGACGGCAAGCCCTCGGCCGCAAGCTTCATGAACAACACCGCTCCCGAAGCCGCTCTTTTGCAGTACCAAGCTGGCATCGCCTCCCATGCTGCTCCCATGTACGACATGTCACAGCAGCGTCACCTGCATCACCTCGCGCATCATCACTCCCACGCCCCCCAGTTTCCGCTGCAAGGCGGGTACGGCGGGCCTGAGGCGCAGTATGTTCAGCCGGAGGTCGCCTACAGCAATCATGTCCGGATGGGCTCGGTACCTGTGCATTCTGGCGCGGAAATGCAAGACGACCGGAGGAGAAAGGGTTCCGCCGTGACCGCCACCAATGACAAGGAGTTGAGAGAGATGCTCGCCAAAAATGAAGGCCGCCCTCTTCGCGATGTCGCCCAGGAAGTCATCCAAAAGGAGCGAACGCCAATGGCCGAGAAGACCAAGCAGCTGTTTGCCATGCTCTGGTAAGTTCCGTGCGCCATGCTCGGCCCATCTCCATTGCAACGTCAACTAACAAATCGCCAGGCTTCGCCACGTTTGCAAGCCCGCAAAGACCTCCGTTCCTCGCAACAGGGTCTACTCGCAGTATGCCAATCGCTGTGGGACGGAGCGTGTCATTCCCTTGAACCCAGCATCTTTTGGCAAGCTCGTCCGCGTTATCTTCCCCGGCATCCAAACGAGGCGGCTGGGTGTCCGCGGGGAGAGCAAGTATCATTACGTCGACCTCGCTCTTGAGGAGGAGCCATCTAATCCAGCCATGGTGGCTGCATGGCCCAGCAACGGTATCCATCAACTCGATGAGCGGCAGCGCTCGCAGTCGGTCAGCACGCAGCAGATCGACTTCAACAACATCCCGCGTCTGCAAGCTGATACCGCCGCCTTTCCCATGACGGATGGCAACTTCGATCTCTCCGCAATAGACTCCGCTGCTGCAAGAGGACCGGCGTCGCGAGGCCGTGCATTTGCATACCCAGATGCTCGCGGAATGCAGCCTGGCACCGCCGAGTCCTTGACATACTCGCACACGCTCCGCTTTCCCGCCAACTCGATGCCGCATTTCGCAGAAGATGAGCCGGTCAATCTACCGGCAATTCAGCCTTTCCTACCGCACCGCACCGACAACGATACGGCCGAAGCTCTTGTTGCGCTTTACCGTACCCACTGCACCTCCCTTATCGACAGCATCCGCTTCTGCAAAGAAAAGCAGTTCTTCCGGCTGTACACTTCCTTCCACGGCACGCTTACCGTCCCTGTCCAGAAATTGTTCACGCATCCGAACCTGGCGCCGTGGATTGAAGAGTGCGATTTGGTCATGTACCGCACCATGGTGCGCTTTGTATCCCGCCTCACTTTACAGGCTGCGCCTGTGGTCGTCATCAACATTCTTTCGAACATCTCCGCCCACTTGCACGGCCACATTGCAAAGACCTTCTCCACACAGCCCTCGCATGTGCTGGAGGCGAAGCTTCGGCCCGCGACGGTGTTTGCCGGTCTGCTGTACCGTCTCATCAGAGTGAATCAGTCTGCGCATGCGGCAGCCAACCTTCTCACCATCGACCAGAACCGCGAGCAGATGTGGCGTGAGTGGGTCACCATGGTCAATCCGAAACGCATCATGGAAGGCGAACTGCCGGAATGCGGGTATGAGGAAGTCTACAAGATCCTGACGACGGAAATGCGAGGATTGCTGGAGCCACTGCAATCACCCGCCTTCCCCGACGACCCGTATGGCTTCACCGCGTACAACTTTGAGGAAAATGGCAGCTTTGCGCAGTTCCTGCAGACCCAGAACGCGCAGACCGGCTCGCAAGCTGGTCCATCGGCAATTTCGGCAGACAATGTGCTCGACCGATGGTCTACGTTTATCTCATCCCTGCCCGCTCGCTTCCCCAACGCGCCAGCCCGGACATTACTGCACTGTATATCTTCTGTCGGCACTGCGGCGCTGCGGGACATCACCATCTGGAACGGGCTGAGCTACGGGCACTGGTGGGTGCTCAAGATTTTTGTGGACGAGATGTCGCTCTGGATGGCGGAAATGGGTGGCTTTCTCGAGCCCGCGGCGGCAGACATGAGCACTGGGTCCGCAGATGCTGGTCAGCAGCAGTACTCTCAGAGTCCGGTGCTGCGAGGGACGAACGACGCCAGCCACAATGGAAGCCGCATGAGCAGCGCAGGCTCCAACGGCGGTGATGCGGATAATGGATACGCTGCGCCGTCTCAGCGCTTTCAGCAGCAGCAGCAACACCAAACGCATGCTCATCACGCTTTTGAAGGGCAGCACTCATTGACCGAGGCAGGGGAGAACATGCAACATCCAATGCAGCACAACGACACCGACATTGATGACTCGGGAATCGGGATGTCGTTCGTGGACGATGACCTCGCCATGTCGAAGTTCGGCATGGCAGGATCGCATGTCGGCGGGCATCTGGGGGCGGGGATCAGCGTTGATGCGCTATAATGTACGCGTTGCAAGCGAAGCGTGGGTATAATTTTCTTCATGACGGGAAGGGAGGGTGGCGGTGGCGGCGGCGGCGGCGGTGTCAGTGATGCGGGATTCGTCTTGCTTTTACATGAACGTATGATTGAAGAACAATCGAGGACGGGTTGTGGGAGCGCTGCGGCGCGGTGGAGTTCTGCTTCTTCGAGCAGCACAGAGTTGAAATGTTGCTAGGATCGTAGACGTGCAACGCATGCTTTTGTTTCTGTTTCAAAAAGCGCATCGCTGGCCTGTTGTCTCCAACTCTCGGCCGATCCTGTGACGCCAAATCGCAAACATCACCCTTCGGAGCCTTCCTGGATGGGTGAAGTGCAGCGGAAGTTCTGGGAGCCTGAGGCATCACATCCACCTCACTGCGAGACTGCCTACGTACCCCAGCTTCTCTCAACTCGAGTTGCGCTGCCTCCATCTCTCCACTCCATCCCATCATCTCACCAACCGCAAACATGAAGATCCTCCTCACCGGCGCCACGGGCTTCATCGGCACGGAAATCCTGGAGCAGAGCATCAAGCACAACTACATCCAGCACATCTACTGCCTAACCCGCACCGAGCTCGATCCCAAGTACTCGACGCACCCCAAAGTCACGCAGATCCTCCACGACGACTTCTCGCAGTACCCCGACTACCTCCTCGACAAGCTCGCATCATATGGCGTCGAGGGATGCATCTGGACGCTGGGCAGGCGCTACGACAAGTACGCCGACAAGAGCGAGGCGGAGAAGGTGGAGATTCACTACCGCATCCAAGCGGCGAATGCCTTTGCCAACGCCCTGGCCACCAAGCTCGATCCCAATGCTCCGCCGATGAAGCAGAAGTTCCCCTTCCGCTTCGTCTTCATCTCCGGCTGGGGTGCGGAACAGAATCAGTTCCGTACGCTGTGGATGTACTCGGACAGCCGGAAGACCAAGGGTGCGGCGGAGAAGGGGATTTTCGACGTGGCGGACAACTCGGAGCTGCTCCAGGGCAAGCGGTGTTTCGAGGCGATTGCCTTGCGAGTGGGCGCCGCCATCCCCGGCGGCGATGCCATCTCTACGCTCGTCAGTGAGCTTGTTGCGCCCTACATTGCCGTAGACAGACTAGGCAAGTGTGCGATCCGGATAGTCATGCAAGGCACAGGGATTGAGGGGAAGAGGACCCTGGAGAACAAAGAGTGTTTGGGAGATGATTGGGCAATGGTGAACTCCCTCGCATTCTGATTCATTACACCCCAATGTGTTGGACTGTTCGAGAGATCCTTTTTCCCAACTCCAAACATTCTGCGCCTTCTGCATCCGAGTCGTCGTCATCATGCATACCCGACCTCCGAGCCTCCATCAAACCATCGTCTACGGCTCCCACTCACTGATGTCCGAGTCGTCGCCCGAATCGAAAATGAGCTTCTTGCTCCTGGCCCCGGTGTTAGCGGACAAATTTGGTAGCGAACAGTTCAAAGGACGTCGACTTACGGCACGATAGCACGACCGCCGGTGAAGGTGTCTGGTCCCTTGCCGTTGGTAGCAGTTGCGAGAAGCGGCTTCACCTCCCCGACACCGTCGAAGTTGAGCTCGTGCTGGAACATGATGTCGTCCTCTCCCTCGTTCGTCATGTCGGCCACGTCAATTCCCTCCATGGAACCAGCAGCTCCGGCATCGACTACTTCATCATCATCATTCCCTTGGTCATCGTCGTCGCTGAGATCGATATACGTACGGCGGGCTGCTTTGCTGGCACGCGAGCTGGGCGTGCGGGGGGCCAGTGGAGCGGAGATACCTTCGCTGACGTCGTCTTCGGAGCTCTCTCCCTCTTCCTCCTCCTCGTCACTCATGCGGTCGGCCTTGCGTTTCTTGGCACTGCTTGTAGGAGCTGGAGCTTTGACCGCAGCAGCCCGTGGAGTGGAGAGTTTGGTAGGGGTCTTGGGCTGCATCACCGTCTTCTTGCCTGCCTTGCCCATTCCAGCGACGAGCTTGGTGAAGTGCTGGTCGATGGCGCCCTTGGTCAACTTGTCCTCGGTATTCTTGGCTATGGAACGGTCAGTCAAGGTAGTGCCTCTAACAATGGGTGCAAACTTTACCCAACTGCGCATTGTATGCGCTGGCAAGCGTGGCAGTGTTCATGGAGAAGTTGAGGACGATGGCTTTGAGCAAGCGCTCATGACGCTCGGCGTTCCACGGGGCTGGCATTTTGCTCGAGCTGCACGTTGGAGAGAGTCTCGAGGTGTTTAGTGTGGATGATGCAAGGATGAGAGATTGAGCTGGCCTTTTCCGAAGAGAAGGGGAGAAGGGAAGAACACTTGAGGGTGCAAAGGTTGACGCTCTGTGAGAGTAAGTGAAGCTTTGTTTGATGTGAATGAGTAGGTGAGTGAGTGGATATGAGGGAGTTCAGCAATGACGTTGTGTAACATTCAGTATGCACGAGAAGGTTCGGGGTGAAAGCAGACGTCGTCACGGAGACACGTACGAAATGGTGCGAAGTGAGCATGTGATCAACGGCTAGGTGAAGTCCACTCCCATCTTTCCCTTTCCTCTCTTCTCTTTCCATCACCAAAAGACACAACCAGCAATACACGTTCAAGGCTACTTCGTACCGTGAGTCTCCTACCCGCCTGTTTGACCAACTACTGACGAGAGATGCAGAAAGACAAACGCTCACCATGGCCGGCGGCACGTGGACCGATACGGCGGATCGCCAGCTACTGCTTACCATCATCCACCTCGCGGCGCCCAAACTGCCCGAATGGAACCAAGTGGCCGTGAGTATGGGCGAAGGATTCACGGCCGAGGCAGTGCGGTACGTGGTCTGCACGAGGCTGTTATTATCGGCGCAGGCAGCTAATTCCCACACCCACAGTCAACACTTCCAGAAACTGCGCAAGGAGGCCAAGGCGGCGCTGGGAGATGTCACTACGCTCTCGCCTGCCAAAGCTCCCAAGGGAACTCCCCGCAAGGCAGGCAAGAATCCGACGCCGAAGAAGAGTGGGGGGAAGCGTAAGGCGGAGGAGGCGGAGTTGAACGGGCACGATGAGGCGGATGATGAGGAGAGCCCGAGCAAGCAGGCGGCGATGAAGAAGGCCAGGCACGAGATCGACGAGACGGACTGATGCATTTGCCATTCCTGGGGGATCTGGCTGTGAAGTGATGGATGCAGCCTTGTCTACCAAGAGACGTTGGCAATGCCGGGCTGTGATTGGCCGAGGTGGGATGTGGAGACGACACGGCTCCGATGCGACAACGGAGACTTTTGCGATGCATCACTTTACTGCCCATTTCCCCCTTCCATTCTCCTCTCCATTCACCGACCAGGTATGGGTGCGTGCACATGCATGACTGTCCGGCACTTCCGGGCTCTGAGAGTACAGCGCATCCATGCACCCCCAGACATACTGGGATAACAAGTCACATCCCCGGGCGTGATATCTTCCCGAATACTACGTGTCGAAAGACCCCCGATATCGAGACATGAGTCACTGCTCATGCACAGTTGCAGGTGAAGTACAGGTCGTGAGTGAGGTCTCGCCCGGGCAATGTTGATTTCACGTGAATCGTAAGGGTATCAACGTCACTCCGCAGAACACTCATCTCTCACAACAAACGACGTCTCCTTCACAATCACTTACGTCCTTGCACTCCCCACCCTCTCTCCTCTATCCTCCTTCCTCGAAATAACTCTCTTTACTCAACACATTGCTTTCATTCCTTCATAATGGCCAAGACCTCGACCAACTGGGACAGCGTGGAGACATGTACGGCCTCTGCTATCCGCCCACATTGATTCTTCCTCACTGACCATGACAGGGGAGCGTCTCGTCGCCAGTATCATGGCCACCGGAGTCAGGGTATGCAACCGTGATCCTCTCACCCTTCTCTCCGCCAGTGCTAAACGCACCAGATCGATCTTAGCAGCACCGCCACGTACTACGGGACGACGTATCACACCCTCGAAAATCGACTCAGACGAACCAAGAAAATTGCCAAGGAGCTCCAAACCGCCGTCGACGGCAACGATGGTGTCGACAGCGTCATGTCCTCGCCTGCTGCCGCAAAGACGCCCCGCAAGCCCAAGACGCCCAAGAAAGATGCTCTGGGTGGTAAGTGGACGCATGACGCCGATCTTTCTGCTGTCAACTCTCTAACGCAGCATTTCCAGCGGTGACCAACGGTCGGGTGACGAAGAAGACTCCCACAAAGACCTCCACGAAGAAGACGACGGTGGTGATCAAGAACGAAGACTCGGACGACGACATGCATGCTGCGAATGGACATGCTTCGGGTCAGGATTCGCCAACTCACATCGGAGAACACGAGATGTTTCGGGAGGGCACGAAAATGGATGAGGACGAGATTGAGAATGCCTTCTCCTGAGCTCGATCGAGGGTGAGGATGGCAGTGTTGCTTGAATGCGACGGGGGCGATTACCGTTTGTCTAGTATCTCAGCGAGACCGAAGAGATGATGGATGGGAGAACCGTGAGGATGCAAGTCTATTCGACCTCTGTGCAATGTTCGTGCTTTTATGTGTTGGTGCTTGACGCTTATGTTGCAACCTCAATCGGCTCCGTGACCCAAGCAACATTGTCCTCCAGCGCGGCGACTCGATGGACGTTGGCCTGCCAGTACTCGTCGGTCTTGATGAACTGCATCGCCGCCTCCAAGCTCGGATATCGCAGCATGATGACCGCATGCCAGTAGCGCTCATCTCCCTCTTCCACCGGCACGCGGCCGCGGTTCAGCAGCGGCAGCATCTCTTTGCCCAGGTACAGGATCTTCTGGCTCGCGCCATGCTCTTTCCCGAAATACTTCTTGCACACGTCGTTGTACACGGGGACGTAGCGTTTGTAATAGGCGTCCGGGCCGCTGCAGTGCGGCTCCTGCTTCACCAGTTCCGACGTCTGGGCATGCGTAAGACCTTGGTAGTCCGCGGACTCCCTGAAGCGGAGGAGGTTGATGATGACGATGGGCTTGCCGTGCCCGATCTTGTCAATCGCGCTCTTGACGAGCCGATCGCGCGCGTCGTCGCCGGAGTAGATGTCGTAGTTGGCCTCGTTCATGTTGGTGGAGGGTAGGAGGGAGGTTGTCTTGCTGGGGCGGAAGTGTGGACGGGCTTTAACCCGACGTCATCCAACAGCTGAGACAGGGATTCACATGACACTCAATCGTGTGGGCATTTTTATGATTTTCAGGTTTCTTGAGGATTCCGAATAAAGATGTGAGAACTCTTTTAGAGGAGCGTCTGCTCAATAAAATGTTGTTTCCACCATTGGGTGGATTTAGTGGCACTTTCTCCGTCCTACACCTGTGAACTGCAAATACCAGCAGCGAGCCATTACTCGCTCATCCTCGTGCCTTTGATCGAGATCCCACCGTTCCTCCCCAAATGCAAGGCATCCGAGGCACTAACAAAAGGCTTGCTACCTAGAGAATCTGTTCCTTCTGCCTCCCACACCTAGATCATGCCTTGTACATCGACGATGTGTGATCATTGACAGACCCTCTTCACCTCACACGGCCATGGAGGGAGTATGTTCAGAAGGACCAGCGACTAGCGCCGAAAATGGCTTGTCTTCGCCGAGATTTAGCAAGATATCGTCAACCATTCTTGGCGCTCTTGAAAAGATCGAGCAGGGCGTTTTGCTGCGCGGGCCGCTGCGTCTGCTGTTGTGCTGCCGCTGCCGGACTATGCGAGCTGCGGAAGAAGTCGGTGTCGGCGGTAGAGCTGAAGGGTGGCCCGCTGGGTGCAGCTGAATGGTGACCAGCCGCTCCATTTTGCGTGGGCATAGTTTGATGGGCCGCTGGCTTGGCAAATAACGAGAGCAGGTCGATCTGCTGTCCGGCAGGTTGCGTCTGATCCGACGGCATATCATGCAGTGTACTCGAAGCAACTGCACCGTCTAGATTGTAAGATGGTACAGCAGTGGCGGGTGAACCACCGTCTTCTCCCTCTTCCTCGCCTGCTTCCGCATACTCTGCTCGCACTGCGCACTCCTGTATCGCGTTGGCGACGAATTCCTTTGTGCCAGGCGCGTCGTCATCGGAGAAGATCCACAACCCATAGATGTTCGGGGTACCATCATCGGCCAGCACCTGCAGAATAATGTATTGCTCCGTAATCTCCACATTCTCCCCGCTCACCAACTCCGTAACGAAGTTGTCAAGGCTCTTGCGATTCAACAGAATGACGTTGTAGCGAGGATGGGTGGTGCCGGGAGCGGCGAGTTGGCAGACAAAGAGCGTGCCTTCGTGCCCGCTCTTCTCCCATTGTTGGGTGTCGGGCGAGAAGACGTAGACGACGGCGAAGGGGGCGATGGCGATGATGCGCTCCGTGTGCGGGGCGTAGCGGCGGAGCACGGCGAGGTTCAGGTCGGTGTTTGTTCGCGCGGGCAGCGGGGCCATGTTGGTCGTGGCGACGGTGTCTGTGGCATTCGCCGTGTCCGTGTCGTAATCAGAGTGCACGACTTGCGGGTGGAGCTGCGCATTGCGCGAGGAGCCTTTCTTTCGGGGCGGCATCCTTTCTGTGACAGTCGGCGCCGCCAACTAGTTGCTGAGCACGGCCTTCATGTCGCCTCCCGTGCGCTAAGGCGGGAGCACTGCTGGAGTGAGGTTCACATGGAAGGGCATCGTCCAGCGCACGGACTTCCCGAAATGGCAGCTCTGCGAATTTCACTGCACTTCATCTTTCCACCCCGAACGTCCATCCCGATATCATCAGCACTGCACTCCTCTGTACTCCACCATGAACAGAAGTCCAACATGACCAGCATGGCAATCTCAGCAAAAATACCGCACACATCTCCCCAATGTCCCAACCACCCGCACCCGCCCTCTCGGACCTCATCTTCCCCCAGGCTTCCAAAACCCTAACCACAACCCTAACGAGTCTCAAACGTACCAATCTCTCAATCAGCAACCGTCTGCAATCGATCAAGCACGACGCGGATTTCGTTCAGCGCGTCGCCGCCGCATATCAACTGCCTCTGGTAGCCAATGAACGGTGTGGGAGCTGGTACATCCGTCCGACCGACAAGCGGGGTGGTGTCTACTTCAAATCTACAGACGGCCATTTTGGGCAATGGAGCTTGAATCTGCGACGCCTGAACCTGCATTTGCTTGAGGTGACTGGAAGTCACGGAGGGTATGACTACTGTCTTTTATCCGTTTGTCATCCGTCGGGCTGTGCTAACCCTAACCGCAGCTGCATCATCGTGGACTCAACTCGACGAGGCAAGAGCATGCCCGATGCCTTGTCCAAGACCATCCCCATCTGGGCGGCAACCCTAAATCGCCATTTGTTCCCAGAGCGAGAGCAATGTCATGCCCTTAAGACGCCAGACTCTGTGATCTCGAGCTCGGAGCATGCCCAAATCAACGACCGACTTGCATCCTTTGTCCGCGATCTAGACAAGCTCGCACTCGATGTCGTGAACCTCCGTTCCAGGCTCAACGATCGACCCTTGGAGGTAGTGTGGGCGACTCCTGATTCCCAAAGCCCATTCCCAGCACCGACGACTTCCGACTCCCATCTGCTTGTCCTCTGCACGGCATCCGGCCGCACGTCGTCGGTGAGATCAGACTCATCGTACGTCCAAGGAGCGGCGGACGATAGTGAAAGTTGGGCCTGTGGCTTGACCGCTGCAACGTTCTGGGCGCACCAAGAATTGCTTCTAGCAGCCACAGAAGATGAATTGCCCGACCTGATCTGGGGACTGACCAGCAGCATTGGTGTGCATCGCCCGGCTGACGCGCCTGTTTCAATCCAGTCGACGAATGTGTCGCTGAGCGATAATGTCACGATGGAACGTAGCATGCTCAACTTCGACATTGTCGTCTCTTGCTCCGAGAAATCCAGCGACACGGTGGCTTCCACGTTGCAAAGTCGTTATGTCCACCTACCCTGTGTAGCCGGCAAAGCTGGCGGTCGACAACTTCGCGAACGTCTGCCGAAGATTCGGACGCTACAAACGATGCTGTCACCCAACAGCACCATTTTGGTCAGCTGCGACTCGGGTCGAGACTTGGCGGTCGGCGTTGCTCTGACGATCATATGCCTTTATAGCTCGCTGGATGCTGGAGTCCCCGAGAGACTTGACAAGGACATCATCAAGCAGAGGTTGAGTTGGATCATGATGTCCAGGCCAGATGCTGCCCCGAGTCGCGCCACCTTGCAGAGCGTCAACGCATTCTTGCTCGGACCGCCATGAGAGTTGATCCGCTCAGTCTTCATCGCTGCTCGCATCATCGCCGTCATTGAGCCATTTACTCATGTACGGCCCGTCCAGCCAGTACCCGAGCCGCTTGTAGTACCCTCTCACGCCAACACCGGAAATCACGGCAATCTTGCTCGAACCATGCTCGTTCCTAGCAATCCTTTCGGCCTCCTCCATCAGCAGCGTCCCGAAACCTTGATGCTGTGATTTGCCCTTGACGCGCTCGTGGATGGGCACTGCGCTGCCGTACACATGCAGCTCTCTCACAAGACTCGTGGGCTGGCCTACAAGCTCTTCGCGATACGTATACTTCTCCGTACACTTTCGAAGGCGGAGGAGTGCGATCAGGATGTCCTGCTTGGGATCTTCGTATGCGAGGAATGTCTCCCATCCCCCGTTCGCAGCGTAGTCTCGCCGCACGAGCTCCACTTGCGAGGGGCGGATCTTATTCTTCACCTCGTTGATGCCGACCTCGCGGGTGCGAACGTCGCGGCAGGTGGTGCCAAAGTCTTTCATTCTGGCAAGGGCAAGCTCGCGCAGATTCCCGTTCTCGACGCCGCTTGTAACGAGGGGCATTGGAATGTCGCGCTGAACTCGATAGATGCGGGTCCACGGTGGAATGAGGGCCAGTATGCGAGCGACGAGATCAACGAGGACGTTTGGCGTGTAGTTTTTATAGCGCCCAGTGCGCCAGAGTTCATACAGGCCAGTGCCTCGAATGACGAGCGTGGGGTAGATTTTGAGTCCGTCGGTTCGAAAGGCTGGGTTCTCGAAGTACTCCTGGAATTGAAAGAGATCTCTCTCCAGGCCCACGTTGGGTAGGTCTGGCATCATATGGGACACCACTTTGAAGCCGGCGTCCTTTGCCATCGCGAACGTCTCACACACGGCTTTAACGGTGTGCCCTCGGTTCGTATCCCTTGCAACATCCTCGTATAGGCTCTGCACGCCAATCTCTAAGCGGGTGCAGCCATAGCGAAGCATGTCGGTGAGATGTGGCGGCAGGCAATAATCCGGCCTCGTTTCGATGGTGATGCCGATGCATTTAGTGGTGCTTTGCTCCCCAGCCATTACCGCCTCGTCGACGTGGTTCGTTTGATAGCCGGAAAGGGCATTATGCAACTGGCTGATAAAGTCCTCGCGATACTTGGGACTCAGACTCATAAACGTGCCTCCCATGATGATGTACTCCACTTTGTCCACGCTGTGTCCCAGACTGCGAATCTGATCCACACGACCTCGTGCTTGCTCGAAGGGGTCGTATCGCGCCCTGATTGCGCGCATACTGGTCGGCTCGTATCCGGTGTAGGATTGTGTGCTGTACTCGAAATCCGAATCCGGGCCTCCGGGACAGTAGACACAGATGTTGCCGGTGTAGGCGATGTGCGGACATCGATGGGGCTTGCACATCACCGCCACCACGGCGATGCCACTGGCGCTTCTGATCGGTTTTGCAATCAGCTTGGGAAGGATGTACTTCTTATGCTGTTCCGGCACAGCGGCAATGATGTCCGTGAGTGGCGGCTGCCTCGTCAAATAATGCTTCTTGGCCACCTGGGAGCGAAGAGAATTCAGATTGATATCCTTCTTCTTCGCATCGGGTTGCTGAGATTGCTCAAAGTCCTCGACGAGCGCATTTGCGATATCCGCGCAGGCGCGAAGATAGCGCTCTACGATGCCATTAGCACCCTTCCGTTTCCATGCAGGGCGGGCATGTATTTTCGAGACTCACCATTTTCCGGAGGCAGTTTGGATATTTCGCTGGCGGGCAAATGTCGCTTGCGAATCGTCGTCTCCGTCATGGTCGCCATCTTCCCAACTCATGGACAACAGTCAAACGAGATCAGCGCATCATTTGTCTACTTGATGGGGCACATTGCATGAGGTGCAGTCAAATATTCGTGAATCTTAGGCGGAGCATGTGAAAGGCCGAAATAAGCTTTCGCTTCGGGCCGACCAGGCGTCAGGGCCTGAGCTCGATGGAGCAGGAGCAGCTGGCGGAAAGCTTCGTCGAACGGGAACTCGAGCTTACCTGCACCTTGTTGTCCCAGATCTGCCCCGAGCATTGCACTCCCTCTCCGCCCTCCACCGCGCCTCGCCAACTGCTCAGGACCGCCCAGGCCGAGCTCCCCGCCGCAACATGCAGTCTCTGCAACAGCCCCTGCGGCGGACCATCCTCCACAACGCATCCCTCACCTCCCGCACCGCCCGCGCCGCCTACTCCTCCTCTCTCCTCCAAGCACCCGCCGGCTACGCCTCCACCGCCGAGAACTTGCGCATCAATGGCGACACCAAGGTGATATTTCAAGGCTTCACGGGCCGGCAAGGTACCTTCCACGCCCAGCAAGCAATCGAGTACGGCACCAATGTCGTCGGCGGCACCAACCCCAAGAAAGCGGGCGAGAAGCACCTGGGCAAGCCGGTCTTTGCCAATGTTGGAGAGGCCGTGAAGGCCACCGGCGCCACCGCCAGTGCCATCTTCATGCCTCCTCCAGTCGCTGCTGCGGGCATTGAGGAAGCGATAAAAGCCGAGATTGGCCTGGTTGTGTGCATCACCGAAGGCATCCCGCAACACGACATGGTCAGGATTACAGACATGCTCAAGACCCAGGACAAGACGAGACTGGTCGGGCCGAACTGTCCGGGCATCATTGCTCCGGTGAGTCCTTTTCCAACTACTTCATTTCCCCACCATCCCGGTGTAGCTATTGTGATGAGCCCATACTTTGAACATGATAGGAAGAGTATGATCCGCCTGCTTCTGCAGGCTTGATTAAAAATCAAAGGCCTGACTGAATTCTGTCTTCTACCAATACTATTACTTGCAGCTGTACACAAATGCCGGAACAAGTCGCTGACCGGTCATCGCAGGAACAATGCAAGATTGGCATCATGCCTGGCTTCATTCACAAGCGCGGCCGCATCGGCATCGTCTCCCGCTCCGGAACTCTGACCTACGAAGCTGTCAACCAAACAACTCAAGCTGGACTTGGCCAATCGCTCGTGGTTGGCATTGGTGGTGATCCGTTCAGCGGTACGAATTTCATCGACTGCCTGCGTGTTTTCCTCAACGACCAGGAGACCGATGGAATCATCATGATCGGTGAAATTGGAGGCAGCGCGGAAGAAGACGCTGCAGAGTTCCTGAAGGAAGCCAACACAGCCAACAAGCCCGTTGTTTCCTTCATTGCGGGCATCTCGGCCCCACCGGGCCGCAGGATGGGCCACGCGGGTGCAATCGTATCGGGGGGCAAGGGCGGTGCGGACAGCAAGATTAGCGCGCTAGAGGCTGCTGGCGTGATTGTGGAGAAGAGTCCGGCGAAGCTGGGAGCCACGTTGAGAGAGGAGTTTGTGAAGAGGGACCTATTGTGAGATGGACATTCTCAGAGAGCGTTCGTGAGTTCAGTGGCGTTGGCATTCCCGTGCGACATGTCTCTGTATACAGGGCTGCGGACGATGCGAGGCCTGGAGGGTATTCGCTATACCTAAGTATCTCCCTTTGACACGCCTAACGCGAAGCCTCCAAACTCGCATCTGTGTGCTCGTCGTCACATTTCCTCATCGCTCGTGTCTGTATGCCAGAGCGACTCATCCATCGCGTAGCTGAATATCGGCTGCTGATACCAATGCCTCTCGACAATGCGTTCCAGCTTCGCCTGCACGTCTGCCCTGCCGTTGCCTTCGAGAGCAATATGATCGTATCTGATGAACAACTCGCCGCCAGCGGGCTCGCCAAACGGAGGATTGGGCGCGCCAGTCGCATTCTCGACATCGGGGTACGGCACAGGAGCCGGTGGGCGCTCCACAAAGGACACCCCGCCCAGCTCGTACATCAAGTGATAGAAGAGGACGTAGGACAGCTGTGGACAGTCATCGCGACAGAACTGGAACACCGGTCCCCACGGCCGCGGCTCTTGCGTGGTGGAGAGAAGGCGCACGTCACGGATCTTGATACTGATCAGATTCGCGCGTGAGGGCTTCATGAACGCTTTCAACGTCTCGGCGCTCGTGATGAGCTTTTCGAGTTTCAACCGGGTGAGGCACTGGAGTTGTAGGCCGCGGGAGAGCTTTTCGAACGTTAGATAGGGGTATGATTGCCTCCAGCTGTCGGGGTTTCGTGAAGCTGGGGGAACAAGATAGCTCTGCCTCAAGTCTCGGAAGATCTGGAGGCCGAGCTCGCGTAGCTGTGGTGTTGCTCGGAGAAGACTGAGCAACCCGTCGCCGGCTTGTACATCCTCGACCGTCCGAGCGTTCCTCGCCTTTTGCGTGAGCCAGGCTTTGCTGGCATTGATCTCCAGATACAGCATCGCAGGGAGTGCAGTATCGTATTTCTCCTGTGACAGGACCGTCGGTAGAATGTTGTCAATCTCCACAGCGTCGGTATAAAGTCGTTTAAGCATCACATTCGAGGCAGATAGCGCGTGAATGATGGCAAGGAAGAGATGTGTCGGCCCCGATAACGAAGACATTGGCCCTGAAGGAATGGAACCTAGAATCCTTGGGTCTTCTCCAATGGCATCTTTGAGCCTACTCCAGCCCCATGGCCGATGATCTTCGCTTCGCCGCATGCCCACAACTTCCAGATGCGGCAGGCTCTGAAATGTCTCGGTGAGCAGCTCTCTCAGATTCGAGCTATACAGCATATTGCGATGATCGTGCATGCAATCCTGGTAGATTTCGTAGCTTTGTTGCTCTTCCTCAACGCGCTGGCCATAGATCTGAGCGTAAGGCCAGTGAGGGTCGGGAGTACACTCGGGCATGACGAAAGTGTAGAGATCCGGGTTGAACCAAACGTGCTGAACATGTTTCCGCAACTCCGGATGCCTGGCTACGGATCTCAAGACATTGAGACTTGGACTCGTGATGAGATAGCCCTTTTTGCGGAAGAATTGCTTGCCGAAGTGCGATAAGGTGGCGGCCTCTAGGTATTTACACGTCAAGCGGGCGGTGAAGTAATCTTCATCGGACAGGTATGCAAAGATGGATGGTATCAGCTCGGAGGGAAGGCTCAGAAATGCCGCCATCTTCACTGAGATTGCTGTGGTCGAGCGTGGGGATGCGCCGAGTTAGTTGTGTGAGGCCGAATATGAAAAGATGTGCGCCTGGAAACATTGCCGTTCGTTGTTGACCATCGCATGCTCGCTTGGCAGAGACATGAAGTGAAGCTCGAGTGCATTGCACAACATGAACATGCGCTAGCGTATGTAAGCAAGGCCGACTTCAACAACACCTCGACTTCCCTTGCGCGACCACCACTCTTCGCGCAATGACACAAGCACTCAGCGAGGACGACATCTACCGCACGTCCACACAGTACCGTCTATGGTCCTTCTCCCCCGATGCTCTCGCCTCCCTTCGCACCAAGACCCGTGAGATTGCCGTAGAGCGCCTGCGGCGGTCCAGCGAGCAGCAGGCGGCCAGAAATGACGAGCCCGAGGTCGTCGAATACCTCACGGAGGATGAAGAGCTCCGGCTCACCCAGCGCTACTGCGACCAGATCCGCTCGACGAGCGACCACCTGAAATGGCCGGTCCACGTCAAAGCCACCGCCGTGCAGTACCTCAAACGCTTCTACCTTTCCAACTCCTGCATGACGTATCCGCCGAAAGAGATATACAAGACCGTGCTGTACTTGGCATCGAAGACCGAGGCCATCCATATCACCGTCTCCGACTATGCCAGGCGCATCTCGACCGATCCCGAGCAGGTGCTCGCGCCGGAATACAAAGTGATGCAGGCCTTGCGCTTCACCCTCGACGTGAAGCAGCCTTTTCGCGGGCTAAAGGGAGTGCTGATGGAGTTGTTGAACCTGGCCGAGGGACTGGTTGGTGCGGTGGACGGGGCGGACTCTATGAACGGGGACGAGGTGAAAGCTTCGATGCTGCAAGTCCGCAGGCCGCCAGAAGGAAATCGTACACAATGGACGCCGCCCAGCTCGGGTACTCTCGACGGAAAACATCTCAATGACCGAATACAGGCGGCCTACTCTGCCGCAAGGACGCTATTGGACGCCCCGGCACTACTGACCGACGTCTACTTCCTGTACACTCCATCTCAAATCCTTTTGGCCGCCATGCACGTTGCGGACGAACCCCTTACCAGCTTCTACCTATCCACCAAGCTACCCATCTCGCTTTCCACACGCCCCCAGATCCTTGCCACGATTCATGCATGCGCGGACATGCTGGCTGCTTTCGACCAAGGTGCAGTGCTTACCAAAGACGAGCGGACGGCGTTGGAGGCGAAGCTTGACAAGTGTCGAGACCCTGGCACGAAAGACTTGATCAAAGCGTTCGCGGCTATGAGGCAGGATGGGATGGAAGATGGAAAGGTGGAAGAGGGCGTGGCGCAGAAGCGAAAGGCGGCAAGGGAGAAGAATGAGCGGGACGGGGACGACTTGTTTGGGCCGAGTCTACCGAAGACGAACGAAGGCAGTCGATGAATGCCACCGAGACTAGGGAGGATTCTGTTGGATACTCGCCTAACGAAGTAACGTACCATAGACATCCCATACCCTCGTCGCTGTCAGAACAAGTACTCATGAACGTAACGTACTATGGCAATGCCATTGGATCGCATTTTGCAAATTAGCATTCCTCCACCCTATCTCGCCTTGTCTACGCCCAAGGAAAGGAGCGTACCTCGTTGAAACCCGAAACCTGATATTTCTGCCTGAATGGCTGCCTGACGTGCACCAAGCCCTCGTCCCAATGCGGCTAGCGGGAAATAGCTCACTCCGGGCCTCCAAATTTTCGAGCAGCTTCAGATCAAACGCTGCCACCCTCCACCGTCTACCATTCCCTCCCTTTCCCGCACCATTGTTGTGACAGACATTCTACCCCCCGCTTCCATTCGCCTAGTGTCGTCTCGCACCTCCATTCTTCCGGCGACATATCGAGTGGAACCGGGTGCAGATACGCTGTCGGGGACGTCTGCCGCATGCAACATTCACACATCGCATTTCCAGTCAGAGCAAAACCCGTCCGAGACGGGGAGGAATAATGGCTGTTGCGAAGAAAGATGAAGGCGAGGAGATGGAGTTGGTCATCAAGCCCGAGGCCGTCACGCCCACCGTCGACACCAGTGGATGGCCGCTGTTGTTGAAGAACTGGGACCAATGTGAGTCTGCTGCCTCCCTTACTCCCTTTCTCGTCCTCACCACTGACATCCTCGTCAGTACTCGTCCGCACTGGTCACTTCACCCCAATCCCCGCAGGCTGCACCCCGCTCCGTCGCGACCTCAAATCCTACATCTCCTCCGGCGTCATCAACCTCGACAAACCCTCCAACCCATCTTCGCACGAAGTCGTAGCATGGATGAAGCGCATGCTGCGAGTCGACCGCACCGGTCACTCCGGCACTCTCGACCCCAAAGTCACCGGCTGCTTGATTGTGTGTATTGATCGTGCCACGCGACTGGTCAAGAGTCAGCAAGGCGCCGGGAAAGAGTACGTGTGCGTGATTCGCATGCACGGCAAGTTACCTGGCGGCGAGGCACAACTCGCGCGAGCCCTCGAAACCTTGACTGGCGCGCTGTTCCAGCGGCCTCCACTCATCAGCGCCGTCAAGAGACAGCTGAGAATCCGCACCATCCACGAGAGCAAGTTGCTGGAATTCGACAATGATCGCCAGCTGGCCGTCTTCTGGGTGTCGTGTGAGGCGGGCACTTACATCCGTACCCTCTGCGTCCATTTGGGCTTGCTGTTGGGAGTGGGAGCGCACATGCAAGAGCTGCGTCGTGTTCGATCGGGAGCGATGGATGAGCAAGAAGGCATGGTCACCCTGCACGACGTGCTCGATGCTCAATGGCTGTACGACAACCAGCGCGACGAGTCCTACCTCCGAGCCGTCATCAAGCCTCTGGAGAGTCTTCTCACCTCCTACAAGCGTATCGTTGTCAAGGACAGCGCGGTCAATGCCGTCTGCTACGGCGCCAAACTCATGATTCCCGGACTCCTGCGCTACGAGGGAGGCATCGACGTGCACGAAGAGGTCGTTCTCATCACCACCAAGGGTGAAGCCATCGCTCTAGCCATCGCGCAGATGAGCACCGTCGAGATGTCGTCCTGCGATCACGGCGTCGTGGCGAAGGTGAAGCGGTGCATCATGGAGCGCGATTTGTACCCGCGGAGATGGGGCTTGGGCCCGGTGGCGACGGAGAAGAAGAAGATGAAGGAAAGCGGCAAGCTTGACAAATACGGGCGGCCAAACGAGCAAACACCGGCGCAGTGGAAGAAGGAGTACCAAGACTTCAACGCGCCGGAAGGTATCAACGGCAATGTGGAGGGATCCGAGCAGCAGGTGGATGAAGGTGCGCCCGTGAAAGAAGGCCACCCCGACAAGACCAGTGATCGTACGAAAAGGGAAGATGTGGCAATGGCGGATGCGGTGCCGCCAGTAAATGTGGACGATGGTGAGGGAAAGAAGAAGAGGAAGCACGAAGGCGAGACGGCCGAGGAGAAGGCGGAGCGCAAGCGGAAGAAGAAGGAGAAGAAGGCGGCCAGGCAGTCGGCTTCTGGCGGCAAGGATGCAGATGATAGTGATTGAAGGGAAAGCGAGCGTGTGGTTGCGAAGATCTGATTTGAGGCTGAGGGTGGTGTGCCTGGGCTGAAGTGGTTCTACGCTCGTCGGTTCTGTGCTTGCGGACAAGGGTGTAAAGGAATACCACAAGGCGTGCGGCGTTGGAGGCGGGGAGCTGGAGGGACGGCGTGGATGGCGCTCTGAAGAGACGAGCGTTGATGCTGTCAATGTTCCCGCTCACCGATCGTGTTGATAGCCGTCTGCCTATACTGGAGTGATTGCAATGTCTCAAACCTCGCTGATCCATTTCGTCGTCTTCATGATCAAATTCACTGAAGCATGTTGCTGTGCTGTCGCTCAAATAGGAAGCTCTGCGCCACGACTTCTGTCATCATCATTCGACCACACCCAGTAATGGATGGTATCATCTCCTCTCCAAACACCCATCAAAAATCCCCTCGGCGGCTCAAATGGCACAAGTTACATCCGAAGCTCGCCCCAAGAGAGCAGGCGACGACTTTGCCCGCGCGCGCCATGAATCCACCAGCAAAAAACCACGCTTCGACGCCCGCAACCCCAGCACCCTCGCCGCCGACGCCCCGGAGGAAGATGTAATCCTGGATGCAGATGTGATTGGCAAAGGCGGGAACCAGGTCAAGCGCAACGCGGTGAATATCGACGGATACGATTCGGATTCCGACAATGACAATTTCAATGCGAGGGCGGCGCAGAGGGAACGAGAGAGGAAGAAGTCTGAAGGGAGTGGAGGAAGGCGGAGCAAGGACGAGGAGGAGGATGACATGTTTGCTGATTTGGAGGAGGAGGTGCAGGGGACTGCAAGTGGAGATGAAGACGAGGAAGGGACGAAGCTGAAGAAGAAGGATGTCAAGTTCCTCGATCAGACGGAGATTGAGGGGCAGGTGATGAATAGCACGAGTGGAGGGCATGTTTCCTCGGAGATTCTGCTGGGCAAGGGAAAGAAGCGGGCAGCGGAAGAGGAGTCGGAGTCGAGTTCCGGAGAGGACGAAGATCGTGATCTGCTGCCGGAGGAAATGGAGGAAGACCTCGCGGCGGAGATTGGCGCCGGGGGCAAGAAGAAACATGCGCCACGGCTGGATGCGTTCAATCTCAAGGACGAAGAGGAGGAGGGCAAGTTCGACGAGGCGGGCAATTTTGTGCGCAAAGCTACGGATCCCGGTGCCGCCAACGATACCTGGCTGGAGGGATTGAGCAAGAAGGATATGAAGCGGGCGCGGGAGGCGCAGGAGAAGAGGGAGCAGGAGCAGAGACGGCAGGCGGCGGAGAGCGACGCGCTGCTCACGAGCGACCTGCTGTCGACGCTGATTGCGCGCCTCGAGACCGGCGAGACGGCTCTGGAAGCGCTTCAGCGGCTGAACAAGGGCAAGGGCGCGGAGAAGAAGAAGGTGCCGAAGTGGAAGTTGAAGAAGATGAGGAATGGCATGGATGTCGACGGCGATGATGATGACGCTGCCGGGTCTGCCGGGAACGTCGACGCCGCAGAGGCGGAGAGGCGTCAGGCAGTCGAGGCCATTACGGGCGCGGCAGACGCGCTGTACTCACGCCAACAGCACGAAATCTACGAGACGGAGCGGGAAATGCTGATGCGCCAGTTTCGACGGGAGACGGGAGAGGACTGGCGTGCTGCTCCTGCTGTGCCCGAGCCTGCAGCTGCTGCCAAGGAGATCGCAGCGGAAACGGAGGATATGTGGGAGTACAGGTGGGGCGATGCGCGAGACGGAGGGCAGCAGCATGGCCCTTACGATGGGCCGACGATGCAGGCGTGGAATGAGGCCGGGTACTTCGAGGAAGGGGTGGAGTTTCGAAGGGTTGGAGGAGGCCCGGACGACTGGAGTCGAGTCCTCGACGTTAGGTAGCGAACCATCATAGTCACCAGACGAGAATGTTTCCAAACGGAGCAGGACATAAGAGTGTGGCAATGTGGCTTCTCCAATTACGTACTTGCATCGCCATCTGCCCTTGCAATACGCGGCTGCAACATGCGTGGGCATCAGTGACAATGTATCTAGTCTGTCTCGCCCGACCGCCCAACTTTCAAAGCAGGCTGTGCAAAACAACAACAACAACAGCATCAACGCATGGCCATCAACACATTTCAATCGTCATGGACACGCGGCAACACACAGGACCGCCATAGCATCCATCCGTCCGTTCATCCGTCATCCAAGGGCCGTCTGCAGAAAGGAAAACAAGGAAAGAAGATCACAAGAATACAGAAACAAGGCGTCCGCGGCAAGAAAAGCACCATGACACAAGCGCCCAACATCCTTCGGACCTCCAGCTCATCTCACAGATCTCGCTCGTCTTTCACCACTCATTAATGCATGCTCCTCCAGTGTGCTCAATAATGCAAATCCCGACAGTCCATCGTATCTCCGTTTCGATTTTTTTGAGTCGTGATGGTCTTCATCCCGGTGGTGATTAAATGTAACAAAGAGGGGGGCCGCGAGCTGATCTTCTACTGTTATTCGGGATCTCGTTGGTTGTTGTTTTGTCTCGTTTCGTCATACAATTCTCTCGTTTCGTCCGGTGACTCATCCACGACAGGCGCGCCTCCTGCCCAAGCATCTTATGCGCCTGCCAGAGGTGAGTTCGATGATGGTCATGTTGGCGGGGTCGTATCGTCGGTCGTTTCATACTTCAGACGTCTTCGGCGTCCGTTCGTAACGCGCAATGGTCTAGTCCGTCGTAATCTCGGCAGCGCTGCTTTGCTGCGACAGCTCATCACTGTTCCGCGCCATGTGCCCGTTTTGGCGATTGCGTGGAAAGCCGGCCCCGCGCTCGGGGAGTGGTCCGCGAGGTTGACGCTCCGGACCCCCGGCGCCGCGAGACTGCGAGCCGTTCTCGAAGTTGGTGCTGACGGAACGATTGCTGCCAATGGGAGCCGGAGCCGGAGTCTCGCGATCCCAAGAGGGTAGGCCTCGCAGACGGTTCGGGCTGCCGCCGAAGCCGCCACCCAGATTCATGCTGCCGAGGCCGTTGATGATCTGATTTTCCCCACGTTCGTGAAGGCCAGGCGTCGGCGTCATGAGTGTAGGCGGGTTGGCTTGCTGACCCTCTCTGCCGAGATCCTGCAGACTGGCTACGTTGTTGCGAAGCGCCGTCGGGAAGCTGGCGGTTGAAGGTACGGGCGATGGCGTGTAGGATCTGAGATCAGCAAACGACTTGGCGGCTCGAAGATTGCTGTTCGGGCCCAGACTGCCCGCAGGGGGCTCGTTGTACGCTCCCAAATACCCGGAAGCCTGGTGTCGGGGGCCGTTGTAGAAGTTCTCACCAGCACGAACATCGGAGAAATCGGTGGTGGCGGAGCGGTTTAGCGCGCGCCGTTCATCGTACCGGAGGTTCGAGGCCTGTGACATAGGCGGGCTGACACGACGGCCACCGGGCTCTTTGTACACATGGACGGCGCGTTGATGGCTTTCGCCCTTTGACATGTGAGCAAGACCGAGGTGATGGGCCACGGTGTGAACAATGCGGCGCTCGGGAGGCGCCAAAGTGGCTGGGAATGGGTAGCGGTCCCGCGTGGGGTCGTGCTTGAACAAGAGCAGCTTGTTGTAGTACTCGAGCGTCTGAGGGTCATTGAGGTCCATTTCTGAAGCAATGAGCTGTTGATCCGCCGGGGCCGGTGCAAACCCCGGTCCCGGTTGCAGGCTCATGTTCCGCCCTGAGACGGGCGACGGGGAATTGGCCAGCATGCGAGAGGACGTCAGCGAAGAAGAGGAGGGCTGCGTCTGAAGGGTTGCGGGGAGGCCCATGGGTCGGTGTTGCTCTTCGAGCTGGCCGCGTCGCTCCCGCTTCTCGCGCTCAATCCTCTCCCGCTCGGCGGCAGGAAGCATTTTCTTGTACTCGACGCGCAGCTTACGCCCGTTGAGTTCGAAATGATTCATGGCTTGGATGACGGCGGCCGTCTCGTCAGGGTTGGTGAAATTGGCAAAGGCCAGGCCGCGGAAGACGCCGTTGTCGAAGTGGTAGTTGAAGGCGTAGGGAAGAGGCAAGCCTTGATTGGTCATGATGTCCACGAGCTGCTCCTTCTTGATGGCGAAAGGGATGTTCTTGATCACGATGGCGGTGGGAATGAGCTCGTCGTCGGGCTCGGAGCTCATCATATCATCACGCATCATGCCATTCATGCCGGGCGGGCCCATGAAGCCGTTCATGTGGTTCATTTGCATATGGTTCGGTTGGTCCATCCAAGCCTGGGTATGAAGTTAGCAGTTTGCGGGGGGATTAAAACGTAAGCAGGGCTACAAACCGATGGCAGACCGGCTCGAGCTCCTCGCGATGCCGGCTTGCGCAAGCCCGGGGCACCCAAGCCATTCAGGGTGTTGTTATTGTGGTTGCCGAATGTGCCTCCATTCCACGACTGCCCGCCCATGTCGTAGGTGTTGCCATAGCCTCCGATTGTGCTGTTCCTGCCGTCTCCCGCGAACTTATTAGCATCGAATCTCGAAGCGGCATAGTCTTCGGCGGTGTAGAGGCCGGAGGGGAGGTAGGCGTGGGCGTCGAAGTGGTTGCGGGACTGCTGGCGGCGTAGGGTGGCTTGTCGCTGAGATGTGGGCGAGCGATTGGCGGATGAGTCGTAATACATTTCAAACTGGGGCGGGTTCATGGCCGACATCTGCGCGGTGAGGAGCGAGGTGTTGACGCGGCTGCTCGGCGGCGGAGGGTGCAGGCGTCAGAGCGCTTCCAGCGTGGCGAGAAGAGTGGAGCCGAGTAGCTGTGAGGAGGAGTGGAGGGGAGGTGTAGTGTGTATTATCGTCGTAAAAGTCGTGCACGACCGTGGACTCGTAAAGGGCGGCGTCGGCGGACAAAAGAGCAGTGTGGGCCGTGGATGATGCGATGTGGATGGGACGAGGTGTAGAAGCAGCTGTATGGTGGAATGACCGACAGGTGGAGGGAGAGCAGCGGGCGCAGGCGCGAGGCGAGCAGAGGGGATGGAGAGGAGGTGGAGGAGGAGGAGTGGATGGGTAGGTGAGTGCGTGAGCGAGAGAGAGAGAGAGATGGGCGGTGGTGTGGTGCTCTGCGGGCGGGCTCCACAAGATTTAGTTTGTGGGCGCACAGCGGCGGGCGGGCAGCGTGGATGTGGATGCCGGGAGTTCGGCAGGAGTGCAGTCGAGATGAGGCCTCGAGCGTGCGGGTGGCTCCAAGCAAACGGAGCGTCGGTCTTGCTCGTCCTTTCGCCAGGCGTTGCAGCAATCAGGGGGAGGAGTGAAAAAGGAGGGCAGAAGGGGGGGTGTATGGTGTATTGGGAGTGTGACGCGCACGAGCACGCAGCCAAATTGCAGAAAAATCTCCTCTCCTGAATTGGAATTACGGGGAGGGACGGGAAGGTGTTGTGATGATGAAATCAAACATCGGCGCCCGGCAGAAATGCAGTGCGTGCGTGCGTGCGTGCGTGCGTGCGCACAGAGCAGCAGCTTGGGACTGGAGCGGACGGGAGTGGAGGTTTGATTGGGATTACACTTTGCCAACGGCTGGTTGCAGCTGCTGATGATAGCCATGGATGGGAAGGTGCGGCCGGCGAGTCTGCTTGGGAGGAAGGCGCGCGCTGCATCCACTCGCTACTCCACTCCGCGCGAGCCCTGACTCGATCCACATCCGTCGCCGTCCATTGCCATTTGCAGCTGCTGCCTCCCTTTGACTTACTACCGCCTCCCACTCTCCATCTACACGGTGTGCACTCGGCGCCCTCGATACACGTCATGTCCAGCATGGCAGCTCATGGATGGGACAAGAGAAACGTCTTGTGTCGCGCGGCAGACGGCGCGGCGCCGTGCCGACGAAATTTCCCCTGCTCGCCCACTAATGAGGCCGTGCTGGCCCTCGCGCTACAGGCTACACCTCTACTCCACACCGCACATCCTCCTCCATTCCCCTGCTCATCATTCACTCGATGAGCAATATGTAATGCGTACAGTACTTTCCACCATGCATGCAAGCATGAAAAGGGTCCGCAGAGCCGGCCGGGCGTTGGCTAGATCACCTCTGCTCCACGCCAACGCATGCACATCGCCTTGACGACATGCATTAAAGCCGTTGGATGCATGAGATGAATGCCGGCGGCTGCACCCTCCATGTACTGTAGGTATAGCGAAAGGATGCTCTCCAGTACAGTACGTGCTTCTTCCTCTGCGGCGGGCGTCGTTGTCATGTCGCCACCCATCGTCTTCGCCTATTGCCATCATCAACACTCGCTTAACCTTACTCGTCGTCTGGCCTGTTCCCGACTCCGTGGACATCACGCGGCTCGGGCCCGCCATCCGACGATCCTCACGTCACAGAACGGCACATCGTTCTAGACGCCGCGCCTCATTGCTCACCCCATCACGTTTGCTGTGCAGTCATTTGCTATTTTTCTGGAGCCGTCTACATGCTGTCATTGGATGTAATAGATCCAACGAACCAACTGTCTCAATTGTGCGATTTCACAAGGCTACCTTTGTACCGCACCTGTAACAAGTACCGATGGCCTCCGCGCTGAAACACCTGACAATCCGCCGGAGTTAATCGCCATGGGGAATCACACGTCACAGCATCCAATGCTGCAAAAGAGAAAAAACACCAAGGGGACACCACATCAGGAGCCATCCCATTTCCCACCCTAAAGTTCCCACGTACCCTTCCGAGGCCATAAGGCTTCCGCTTGGAGGCATACGAGAAGCTCGCGACCCGTCGTGAATGGTCATCCGAGCTGCACAGCCTAGTGATATGCACCGCTGCCATCGGGACTCGCCCCGCTGACAGCCTGCTGCGGCATCTGGCCCATGGCGTACTGAGGATATGCCGCCATGTTGGGGTCGAACATCTGCTGTCCCCCGTACGTTTGCTGCGCGGGCGGGGGATACGCACCCATTTGCTGCTGGTACTGCGTTTGCTGCAGGTGTTGCGCTTGGTCCATCCCCGCGAACTCGGCCTGTCCCCCAGCACCCATGTGCGCGTCTGGCTGCACGCCGCCGGCCCCCGCGGTTCCCGAGGCATCGGGGATCGCGTACGCGCCGGCGCTGGCGAAGTCGGGCCGGCGCTTATGCTGCGGCGTCGCGTCTTCGCGCGGCACAATGTCGATGAGGAAGTCGAACATGTCGCTCTTGGCGAGGGCCGAGGCAATGTCGCTGCGCTGGAGTGTGCGTCTCTTGTTCTCCTCCGCGTGGATCCATGCGCGCATGGTGAGCTCGGTGATGAAGATGTCGCAGCCCTTGGCGAAGAGGATGGGCGCTTCGGCACTGATCATCTTAACATCCGGATCCGCCTTCATGACCTTCTTGATGCGCGCGAGCGGCAGCTGGTGCAGCTTGTAGTCGTGCTCTTCCGTCTCCAGCTTTGTGATTTGATTCTGCCAGTATGTGTTGAGGATGTCGCGGTATGTGCCCGTCAAGCCTTGTGATACCTGTGGAGTGAAGAGGGCATTAGCGAGCCGTACGTTGGCCAGGATGGCTGCGGCGAGTCTTACATTCTGGAAGTGCCCCTGGAACGTCTCTGCATGCGGCGCATTCCCACTCGCTGCTATCTGAGCGCTGGCGCCGTAGTGGCCTTGAGTGGTGGGGTCGTATAAGGGAACTCCATCTTTGCCGTCGTATCGTTTGGGAGCTGGGATGCCACCGGGCGGCGGTGCGGGTACGCCGTATGGATTCTGCATGATGGGAGGTGTTGATTGAGCTGGCGCGCGAGAGGTAGTCGCTGCAACGCGCACCGGAGCGCGTGCCTCTTACCCTTGGACGGTGTGTGACACCGAGGCTACGACCGCTGCAGCGCTGATCGCGATGAGACTCCTGTTCTTCTGCATGCGCATCAGTGAGATGTTGCGCCGGCACACCACTGACGACGGCGAGCAAGCAACTGCGCGAACGAGCGGCGGCGTGGCGGGGGAGGGGGAAGGGGTAGGTAGCATCGTAGTTGTTGACAGCGACCGTGTACATTCACTCACCTTGTAATGGCTGTGACGTCTGCTCTCTGTGCCTCTGATGGAGCGGACCTGGGTGATCGTCCAATCAACAACCTGCTCGTGTGCGAGACGCCAATGAGAAGGGCGCAAGGTGATAGGCGCGGCGTGTTCGAGAATAAGATTGTCGGACGAGGCCGGGGCGACACAAGAGCGAGTTTGCCCCGGTACGCTAGTCACCGTGTGGGCCTAGCGCTTGGCACGCGTCGGCGGATCGGGCAGGTGCAGACGCCTGGGGGAATGTCAGACACGACACGCGATGCGCAACGGGCATTCAAGGACGAAGAGGTTCGATGGGCGAGTGATTGATGTAGGAGAAGAAGAGGCGGACCGACTACTTCTATGGAATGCCAGCCCCTGTCATGCATGGCGCCACGCCTCGCGCCCATTCGCCTCATCTCATGCGTTGGCACATGCGTCCTGCGCTGTCCCATCACCTTTGAGCTGCATGTAGCATGTACACGCAGCTGAGATCGTTAGGACAGCCTCGCCTCGGCATACAATCGTTGTTGAAGCCTCAATCGACCATGCTCGTACCTCCTAGCTTACTTGCAATCTCCGCCGCAATAAGTCTATCCCTGTGTTCCTTGAACGCCGCTGGCAACATCTCCCCCGTCCCTTTTTCCGCAATTTGATACACCCGAATCTCCTTGCTGTTCTTCTTCCTCTGAATCCTCCAGACCCCCTCCTTACCCCCCAACTCATGCTTCAAGAACTCCAAGAATGCTGCTGTAAAGCTGATACACACGTTCCCATTCCAACTCCTCTCGCCGCGAGCAACAATCCCAGGGATCTTTTGTGTCTCGAATTCTGCAATGCGGCTCAGGAGTCCATTGGTCGTTCGAAAACCCACCACGACGGTAGGCACGCCGAGGAGGAACGACTGTGCCCAGAATCTTAGCATCTTGCGTTCGAACTTCTGTCGCTCGTGAAAGCTGTCGGAGGGTGGTTCGGCGCTGGTCTTCAGCTCGACCCAAGGGATTGGCAGCTCGGGATTCTCCGGCTTTTCGCCCAGCACGCAGTCGACTTCGCCGGCCAGGAGGAGAGAGCTGTCCCCAATCCCCGTGCGCACAATGGAGCAGTATTGGACGTTGTTGTTGACGGTTTCCAGGTCACGGGACTCGATCTCTGCGCGACTGCTCTCTCCCCACGGTTTGGACAGGGTGGAGACGGTCTCGAATTTGTAGCCTGGGAAATATCGAATTAGTCCCCCGGAGCGTGTCTGGTCTCATGAGATATGACTCGCCCCAATATTGCATCACTTCCTGCGGTACTTCTGCTGGTCGCGGCGGTTTGGTCTTTCCCCGGCGCTCGTCGGCCTGTTTGGAGGCATGATCCTCCTCGATGTAGCTGGGCCAAGCGTTGTAAGTGATCAGTTTAAACCCACCAGGCGCGAGGTCCCCTTACATTGTGCCCTTGTAAAACATGTCAGTCAGGAAGGAACATGCTCACGACTCCGGGCGAGTGCGCACCTGATAGCAGGTAGCATTCATTTCGAATTCCGAATACACATCAAACATGGCCGTCATAATCTTCAGAACGTGATGTCAGTGTCGGCAAATGCAACAGAATCATGGGCCGCGTAAACACAAGGCTGACCTTCGTCATCATTCCTCGCCAAGTCACGATGTCTGCTTGGACTCTCACATCCCCAATCGGATGCCCCTCGTGGACTCGCTGCTCCTCATGCGCCTGAACGGTCTCTAATAAGGCATCCAAGTGGCCGTCAACGGAGTCGTCGCCCTTGATCCATTCGGGGAAGCCAAGCGTCAGATCGACGGATGGTATGAATGTACCCGGAGCCTGCACATAAGGAGGGTAGTAGTAGCGAAGCGACTCGGTGGAGAAGGGAGTGCAATGATGTTTTTCGTCAAACGAGAAGCACAAGAGCTCCCTGGGCCTCTTGATGCTCGTCTGGGTTTGCTCGAACCGAGACACGGGATGGATGGGGAAGCTGGCCATCGGCATTCATGGCTTCCAGATTGGGCGTGACGGTCGCGTGCAAGGAGTGAATGGAGGGGTGTGTGTTGTGGTTGGAGGCTGCTAGGCTGTGCCTCCAATGTCTTCCCCACATACACACGCCCAAGTTCCTGCCTTGTGCACCCAGCCAATAGAAGCTTCGGGAAGCTTCCAGCGCCTGCTGCGTCACGGGCGACTTCCTCGCCCATCCGCGCCTCAAGAACCGGGTTCCTTTCTGGATCTTTTCGTGCTACACACTCCGGCACTCATCAATCGCCATTCTGCACAAAGCACCAAACTCAATTCACTTCGTCCAGACGACTCGATCGTCTGGCTCACCACTACAACTCTACTTTACGCCTCCCCCACTACCACTCCGACCCCGACACCCACACCATGGTCGCCGACACGAAACTATACGACCGGTTAGGCGTATCGTCGACAGCGACCGCCGACGAAATCAAAAAAGCCTACCGAAAACACGCCCTCAAGAACCATCCCGACAAAAACCCGGCGGGCGCGGAGAAGTTCAAAGAGGCGGGCGAGGCGTACGAGATCCTCTCGGATCCGGAGAAGCGACGAAATTATGACAACTATGGCTACGACTTCATCACCGGCAAGGCTGGACCAATGCCGAACGCAGACGACATGGGCGGCGGGAATCCATTTGCGAGCGCCGGAGGCATGCCCGGGGGATTCGGTGGAATGGGCGGCATGCCGGGCGGAACCCGAACCTTTCACTTTTCCACTGGTGGTGGAGGTGGAGGAGGGTTTGGAGGATTCAGCGACCCAAAGGACATCTTTGCCGAGTTTATGAGAGGGGGCGGAGCATCGATGGGAGGAGGAGGGGGAGACGACATGGACGACATCTTCGCTTCCTTCGGCGGCGGCGGCCTAGGTGGGAGACCAGGAGCAGGCGGCCGAACAGCAAGCTCGCCCTTCGCACGGAAACGAGAGGCGGAGCTGGAGACGACGGTGGTGGAGAAGCCACTGCCGGTGTCGCTAGAGGATCTGTTCAGCGGGACGGAGAAGAGGTTAAAGGTACAGCGAAAGACCTTTGATCGCCAAACGGGCAAGCGCAGCGTGGAAGACAAGATCTTGACGGTGCCGATCAAGAAGGGTTTGAAGGCCGGCAGCAAGATCAAGTACCCCGACATGGGGGATCAGGTGGAAGGCGGGGTGCAAGACCTCCACTTCATCGTCAAAGAGAAGCCGCACCCGCTCTTCATACGAGAGGGGGACGATTTGCGGCACGTGGTGGAAATTGATCTGAAAGAAGCACTGACCGGGTGGAAGCGGACGGTGTCGACGATAGACGGCAAGCAACTGACCGTCTCGGCGGGCGGACCGACGCAGCCCACCTTCGAGGAGCGCTACCCGCAACTGGGGATGCCGAAGAGCAAGACACCTACGCAGCGCGGTGACTTCATCGTGGGCGTCAAGATCAAGTTCCCCGGAAGCTTGACGGCGGAGCAGAAGACGAAACTCAAAGAGATTCTATGAGCAGGCCGTGAGCAGGAGGCTCGGCTTGTTGGCGTTTAAGGCACAGCCCGGAAGCATGCAGTCGCATGGCAATAATGCGACTTGCTCTTGGCGTTACGAAATGGCTTGGAAGAGAGTAGGCAGCAGCATTTGCACCAATGGGAAGGGCGTGGGGAGTGTTGATTAGCGTTCATAGCGGAGTGCGTTTCATGCATCTCAGGCATTCGATTAGTGGAGCCGATGAAACGTGGGACGGCAGCGTTTTCTTCAGGTTCTCACAATTCATGCCTTTCTCGATCCTGCACGTCTATTTTTACCTCTCCCCGCGATTGGAGATGCTCTCGCGCAGCTCGAAGGGGAAATACACCCACACCTCGTAGAGAGAAGTCGTTGCAATGCGGACGCGGCATGTGTAGCGAGACCAACATCAACGCGATACTGTAGAAGTGTGTTGAGATGGGATGATGGGATGCAGTCTGGTTTGCTCGATGAAACATTACCTAAGGTTGAGATCTCCTGGCGACCTGCCCGTGCTTCTGCCGCTAAAGGCTTCGCGAGGCCTCGGCCTTGGCCTGCCTCCCTCACGACCACCTTCGCTCCTCGATGCCGCAGCCGGATGGGTTGCTCGTGGGGTGGCATTTGCATGACGTGCAACGATGTCCTCCGTCCCATGGTACAGCAAAGTCACACATCATCATTGCCCGGGGTCAGAGGGGACGAAAGCTCGAAGAGATACGCGGCCATGCGAGCCGGGCGCAGCCATCTGCAAGGCCAGGCATGTTTAAGCTTAATTCCCGCCGGCAACCCCTACCTGCCCTGCCCTGCCCGGCCACGGGTACGATGGCCCCCAATCTCTTGCTGCGCGCGAGCTGCTCCTGAGCCCCAGGCCGGAGATGACTCGTCGAGAGGTGCGCAATGTGCTAATTGGGAAGTCTACCTCGCTCTCGGGACCCGCCCGGCTGCAGGCCTGCCTGAGTGTCTGTCCCGTTTCGTTTGGGCGGAGGCTTGGCTGCTGCCTCGCTATATCTATCTATCCACCTCCATCCTGATCCCGCCGCCTTTCCTCAGGACCCCAGCGCGCACGACCCGCTTTGTCTGCAGACAGCACGCCCTCGATCCCAACCATGGGCAGGCACCAGGGGAGCAGCTCGGCGGCCGCGTCCAGCAGCAGCGCCGCAGCCACCTCTTCCTCCGCCCCGGCCTCGGGCCAGCGTGTCACAGGTGCCGTCCCTGCTGCGCAAGGGGACACATCGGCGCCGTCGTCGTCAACACAAACTCCAACCACCCTGACTCAGGTGCTCACCACCACCACCGGCAATCCCCCGTCAACACTGACTCCCACGACCGTGGTGTTAACAGTCACCTCCACCACTCCCACCACCGCTTCTAATCCCCCCCTTACCACCATCTTCACGCCTCCTGCGCGATGTGCTCACATCGAATACTCCTTCTCCGCCGCCCAGAGCGGCACCAGCACATTCTGGCGCGATGCCAGCGGCCCCGGCCTCGGCACCCAGTCCGCCTGCTATCCCCCTGGCTTCGCAGCGGTTCAAACCTCCTCCAACCTCCAATACTCCCCCGGTGTATGTCCGTCCGGCTATCTGCCTGCCAGCAGCGCCACCGCACCTAGCCAATCGGCAATGACGTCCTGGTGCTGCCGCTCCGGTCTCAAGTACGCGCAGGACTTTGGCTGCTTCACCACCATCACCACTCCCACGGTCGTCCGGCTCAACGCCGAATCCACCACGACCATGAGCACCGCCTTCGTCGCCGCCGACTGGCCCATCCAAGTCGCCTGGAACTCCGCCGACCTCAACCTCTTCACCCCGGCCTCGGCGCCGCTGATCGAAGCTTCGGCGGCCGCGGCCAACAACACGCAAGCCAACATGACCGGGCAGGAGATCGCGGGACTGGGCATCGGCGTGCCCGCCGCCGTCGCCGCCATCGCCGTGGCATGCTATGCGCTGTGGCGCCGCAAACGCCGCCAACCGCACCATGCCGAGCTCCTCGACGACGATCCCAGCGAGATGGAGCAGACCTATTTCACCTGGACCCCCGAACCCAAGCGAACCGACACCCCTCACATCGAAGTCCCCGTGCCGACGGTCCAGAGCAGACGCTTCGACGTTGCTTACAGGGTGGGTGAACCGGGCCCGAGCTACAGCACCAGTTATAGTCCCCCGGAAGCTGCACTGGATGAGACCGAGCCTCCTGCCGAACCGAGATGAATGACTGCAAGTGGTGGGGAAACGAATGCTGAAGTGCAAGGAGACGTGGGCCACGTAAGACAGATTGGGCGTGCAAGCCTGAAACTTCCGCTTCTGGTCATCGAGGAGAGAAGCAGTCTGAACTGACAGTTGGGCGAGTCCCGTGAGGAAATCTGTCAACGCCGGACAGTCTGTCTCGAGAGTGTGATGGAGGTTCACAAGCAGTCGTGCCGAGCGGGTGACTTGGACGATGGGCAGCTATGTGACATACACTAGAGGAACGACAATGGAGAAGAAAAGAGAGTGGATGATGGCTAAAATAGCGAAAAGGCACATTACTCCACGCGAGGGCGCCGCTGGAAGAAGACAGTCGCCGTGTCCGGAGAGGAAGCTGGAACTCCGCATGGTATTCATGCTTCTTAGAAGGAATTAGTAGTACACGAAGTATCTATTGTTTCCGGAACGTCCTCCCCTCCTTTCTGCGAACGTCTAGAGATACAGGCCCTGCAGTAGAGATTAGCATCACATACGTAGTCGTCAGCGGGCGAAGAAAATCACTCACCTCGGGTTCACCCTCCTGCTTCGTCTTCATCACATTCTCCCTCGCGCTCCTGAAATCCGCCATGTTGACCCTCATCCTCCTCTCGCGCAGCGCCAGCAAGCCCGACTCGGAGCAGATTGCGCGAATGTCTGCCCCCGACAGATCATCCTTCATGCTGATGAACTCCTCCAAATCCACATCCGGCGCCAGCGACATCTTCGACGTGTGCAGGTTGAAGATCTTGCGCTTGGTGATTTGGTCGGGGTTCTCGAAGAGAATCTTGCGATCGATGCGGCCGGGGCGGATGAGAGCGGGGTCGAGGGTTTCGATTTTGTTGGTGGCCATGATGACCTTGACGTCGCCGCGGTCGTCGAAGCCGTCGAGCTGGTTGAGAAGTTCAAGCATGGTGCGTTGGATTTCGCGCTCACCACCCGAGGTGGATTCGTAGCGTTTGGTGCCAATGGCGTCGATTTCATCGATGAAGACAATGCTTGGAGCATGCTCTGCGGCGGTCTGGAAGATTTGGCGCACAAGTCTTGGACCGTCTCCGAGATATTTCTGGATCAGCTCGGAGCCGACGATGCGGAGGAAGGTGGCGGAGGTCTGGTTGGCAACGGCTTTCGCGAGAAGCGTCTTGCCCGTTCCTGGAGCGCCATACAAGATGACACCTTTCGGGGGCTTGATGCCCATCTCTTCGTAGAGCTCCGGGTGGAGAAGCGGCAGCTCAACGGCCTCGCGAACCTCCTGAATCTGCGCCTCCAGCCCTCCAATGTCTGCGTAGCTCTCCGTGGGGGCTTTGTCCAGCTTCATCACCGAGACCAGGGGATCCGAATCATCATTGAGGACGCCCACAACCGACACACTCTTGTGGTGGAGGAGGATGGACGCCCCGGGCTCAAGCAGGTCCTTGTCGACAAACGACATGATGGACACGTAGTACTCCGGTCCAGTAGCCGACGAGACAATCGCGTGGTCGTCATCGATGAGCTCCTCGAGATTACCGACACCCATCGGCGATCCACGCATGTCGTCTACTCTGCTGCGCTCGTCGGCATTTCGATCCAGTGTCTCGCCCTCCGCCCCAGCGACCGCGGGCTGTTCGGCGTTCTTCTGCTTTGCCTTGCGTATCCGCTCTTGATTCTCCACAAACTCCTCTTCCAGCAGTAGATGATCGTGTACCCGTTGCATGCGGAGGTAGCGGAGCTTGCATCGCGCGGTGGGGTAGATGGTCGGGAGTTTGGCGGCGGCATTAGGACCGGCGGCCTTCTTCTTCCGCCGTCCGATGCGCGTGGTGGGCTGCGGAGGCGGCTCGTACTTGGGCTTGTCCTTCTTGTCGCCTTTCTTGTCCTTGCCATCGCCGGCGCCTGGAGGGCCGCCTGGTCCCCCCAAACCGGACTGATTCTGGCCCTTTGGATGATAGTTAGCTTGATAATCAGGCCGGCAGGTGGGTGGCGCGTGCTTACCATTTCCGGTCGCTGTGAGCGCTACACCACGTCCTTGATGATCGGTAGGTAGCAGCGAGGTCAAGCCAGATGATGGTTTGATGGCGTTGACGGTATTATGGGGGTGGATGCAGATGGATGGAGTGAGTGATGTTTCAAAGATGCTCTCATGTTGGTGACGGAAGAGGGAAGACGCGAAGCTTCGGGAGGCCTAGACGCTCGGACCTCCAAACTGCCGACTACATCTGATATGAAGGGGTCAAAAAGAACTGATAATCAAGAATGAGTGGCACATTTGAAGCATACGGAGAATTAAAAGACTACGTCTGAATCATACGGACGACGAAATGAGCTTCAACCTTGGATCTGGTTCGAATCTACCTTTACTCGCTAGATCGTAATACACAAACGGCTCTACCCTTCAAAGTCATTCCTCAGCCTCGCCTCCTCCACGCTCCTCTGCCAATCCGTAAAGTACAAATAAACAAACTCCGTCACCGACACCAGCCCCAGTGCGATGGCAACACCCGTCCACAGACCCCACAGCCCCCAGTCGAGTTTGAATGCCGTTCCCATAGATATCGGCATGGCCACGACATAGTAGCAGAAGAGCTGGACGTAGCCTCCAAAGTGCTGCCGTCCCAAGCCGCGCAGCAGACCGTTGCAAAGCGCTGCTAGCGCGTCGAAGAGTTGGAAGGCGGCGCAAAGGGGCAGGATTGCGGAGACGACTTCGATGACTTCCGGGTCGGAGGTGAAGAGGTAGGGAATGTGATCTTTCAGCGCCGAGAGGAGGACGACGTTGAAGATGCCGATGATGAAGGCGCCGACCGTTGCCACTTTGGCAGTCAACTTGGCTGCATCGGCCAGTGTTGCTCCAATCAAGTTGGCCACTCGAGTGGAGGCGGCGATGGAGAGCGGGAAGGGGATCATGAAGGTGATGCTCGTCAATGTTGCCAAGACGCTCTGCGCAGCCAAGATTTCCACGCCGAAGAAGGAGCTCGCAAAGGTGAGGAGTTCAAAGGCCAGACATTCCGCCTCGACCATGACGACGCCGGGGATGGCAAGACGAATCATTGGTCCCCAATTCCTGAATGATTGCTTGGTGAAGCCATTCCAGCAGCTCATCCCGTTTTTGCTGAAGAAGTAGACGTAAATCCAGAGGCCGAGGGGGAGAAGATTGTCTGTGATGGCAACTGCGATCGGAGCGCCGACGAATCCCATTTTGAAATGCCACACAAACAACCAGTTCATGAAAGCGTTCAACGGCGCGCAGATCAATAGGACCATCAAGGAGGCAGAGAACATGCCTTGAGCTTGCACGAAGCGTTTGCCGGCCTCGAACGCCGCGTAGCCGGGCGCTCCAATGAGGACGACCTTGAGATAGAGCCCCGCGAGATCTGCGATGCGTGTTTCGGGCACAAGATGGTCGAGAATTTTGTCGGCTAACAGCCAGATGACTCCAATGGGAATCGTAATGGCCCAGAGGAAATAGCACATTCGCTGCATCTGTAGTCCAACCAGCTTCCTCCTGCCGCTCCCGTATGCTTGCGCACACAAAGTATCCAATGAAGTGGCAAGGCCCTGATAGATGGCGTATCCCGTGATGTTGGCAGTCATGCTTGCCAGACTCACGGCTCCCAGCTCTGGGGTGCCCAGGTGACCGACGGTGAAGATGGATGCAACGGTGAGACTGTATTGCAATAAGAACGTCGCCATGAGGGGTAGAGAATAAGTGGTGATTGTTTTGGCCTCGCGCCACCATGTTGTCTGTATCTTGCCCTCCTTGACCGCTTCCTCCCATTTCTGCTGGATGATGGCCGGATTGTCCTGACCGCCATAGGGTTGCGTGGGGTCGCCGATGAGAGGGGAGGTTTCGGAGGCCTCTTCCACCGCGTCTTCGTCCGGCCGGACGGTCTCGGTGGAAAACATCTTGGCGATGACACTTCTCCTGCGCGACTGGCTCTCTGTGCGGGGATGTTTCGGCGGGATGATGTTGTTGTCTCGGAGCAGGCTCCTCTCTTCGTCGATAACCCTCTGTCGCTCACCCTTCGGACCCCGCTCGCCAATGCTCATTGTTTTGTATATCCCCGGCCCTAGCGTAGCATGGTTCCTAGCCCCTGTGAAGCTCGGACGTCGATAAGAACCGGTGAGAGAGTAATTGTGAGACTGGAGTGGCGCGGAGGCGGCCAGCGAGGTGTGTAGCTCATCGTCGTCTGCCTCCTCCCGTGCATCCTCCTCGTCATCGTCATCTTCTTCCGTGTCGGACATGGCTGCCATGTCGCGATCGAGAGAGTCTTGGACCTCGGGGGGAATTGCCCACGAGCGACTGAGAGACTGTGACAGGCCAGACATGGGTGCGTGCGGGTTCGCGGTGATGGATTTGGGCGGGGAATGCATGGTGAGGTCGGCGAATCGCTAAGAGAAGAAGGAGGAGAGGGTATGATACATAGGATATAGGATGTAGTAGGCAGAGATCACATGTGGTCGACGGAGGGGAGGTTGGAGCGTGGAGAAGTCGAGTCGAGGCCCATCCCGGACAGGCAACGCCAGCCGAAGTCGAGCTTGAGGGATGCAAGTGATGTCGAGGATGTAGCACCGTCGGGATCGCAATGCTCACCGGCGCGTATATGCGTTGATCCCTCCGCCATGACAGATGTCTGATGACGGCTTCCTCTTTCACATCCAGTGACTCTGTCAGAACATTCCAACACGCCCATGTCCGGGGCGGAGGGGGAGGGGATGACAGAAGTCGTGGCGACAGCCTAATGATGCCCCACGTCACACGGAACTTGTCGACATCCATCCCACCACATGTCCGCCGAGACGACTCGTGCTTCCAAGAGCCCGGTCCCGCCACATCATCCCTTCCCTTCCCTTCCCATCCAACCCACTCCCACCCACTTCCACATGAGCCACTTCGATTCTCCCCGACAGGATCACCCGCCGGCAGCTTCGTGATCCTCGGCACCCCACCGCCGCTGACCCTCCTCCTCGACTGCCAGGGTTGAGCAGCCTTTATCGCTGTCTGCAGTCCGCGATTTCTCGGCGTCTTCTAGAAGCCTCTCGACGTCAAATATTGCTCACGCCTCCATCCACGTCACCTCCCGTCACCTCTAGTTGCTCGGTCAGCAAGCTCCAATAGAAGCACTCAAGGCCCCTCGCCTTCCCTTTCGACCACCACCCATCATCCTGCATCATGGCTTCCGCCAACCGAAATCGGCGCCTCCAGAAAGAGATCCAGGACATCGCCAAAGACAGGCACTCCGGCATCAGCATCACCACGCCCACCGGCAGCTCCGACATCATCGACTTCACCCACTTCAAAGGCCATTTCGACGGCCCACCAGACACCCCTTACGAAGGCGGTCACTACGAAGTCGACATCAGGATTGGTGGAGAGTACCCCTTCAAGCCACCGGAGATGCGTTTCATCACCAAAATCTGGCATCCCAACGTCTCGTCACAGACGGGAGCGATTTGCCTCGACACCCTCGGGGCGCACTGGAGTCCCGTCTTGACGCTCAAAAGTGCCCTGATCAGCCTTCAATCCCTCCTCTCCTCCCCCGAGCCCAAGGACCCGCAAGACGCAGAAGTGGCAAGCATGCTGATCACACGCCCGGAGGAGTTTGAGCATGTGGCAAGAGACTGGGCACAACGATATGCAGGCGCGCCAAAGCCTCCTCCCGGCAGCACAAAGACCGGGGCGTCAGGATCGGGGGACTCGGGGGACGCGGCAGCGGTGAAATCACAACGCAAGATGGAAGACCGCGAATCCAAGCGACGGGAGGAATACCGGCGGCGGGAGGCGTATCAGGGGTACAACAAGAACATGATCGATCAATTCGTGAGCATGGGCTTTCAGGTCGAGCAAGTGGTCAGTGCTTTTGAGTATGTGGGCATCGACAAGGCGGACGGCGAGGAGTATGAGCTGGAAGAGGAGTACATTGGAGATGTGACCGCACGGCTGTTTGGGGAGATGTGAGCGGTGCCGTCCGATGGCCGCGCACTCGACCCCTTTGCTTGCTCTTTGTGCACTTTTCAGCGGGCTTTGCTATGGCTGCATCAGCGATAGGCGTCGGATGGGACGGCCATGTGGTATGTTATCAAATGTAATGACAGACTCTACCCACACCTCTTCTACTACGTCTTCCATCACATCCAACTAGGAGCAGACATTGCTCCAGTATCGCCCGGGACTACTAAGACGTCCAATACAAGGCAGAAATCCTCTTCAGCTTGCACTTCCGGCTGCCTTCGCCCGGACAACGACCTGAGCTTCGAACTCACACAAGAACTCGGGCTGAGACAATGCCTTTACGATCAGCGCAGAGCTGGCGGGTCGAGAGCCCTGCAGCCAGGGCAGCATGATGTCGGTAATGAAGGGGAGGAAATCCTCGCGATCCCGCGCCTTCTCGGTGAAGTAATACTTGAAGACGGAGATGTCGTGCACCGTGGCGCCCACCGCTTCCAGACACGTGGTGATGCGGGAGAGGATGACGTGCATTTGCGGGCCGAGGCCTTCGGGAACGTCTCCAGTGGGAGTCTGGGCAACCTGGCCGGAGATGTTGACTTGGTTGACGCTGTCGCTGAGCGGGATGACGGAGAGTGAGCAGAAGACCGGGTGAGGGGGCCCGAGAGAGGGCGGGTCGAGGAATGTGATGAGAGGGGAGGTTGCCGCGGCCATTGACGATGCTGGCTGGCAAGGCTGTGTGTCTTGTATAGTGGATTGATCTTGCGGATGCGAGAGAACGTACGGAGAAGGGGTGAGATAAGGGAAGAGGGCGAAGCTGGGATGAAAGATGAAAGATGAATTGACTTGACCTTTTACCTTTGCGCAGTACCCTCGCATTTGTAAGACACGCTTGACTAACCCGCCATTGCAGCTCTGGGAGGAGGAGGAGGTGAGAGTAACGTTAACTTATTATGCCGGGTGGCGCGTGCGGCAGAGTTCCCGCGAGACGTCCGAGCGCATCGTCATCTCTCTCCGTCAGCTCCACGAAGGAAAACCCGACTTTCGCGCCTCACAACGCGCCCCTTCCCGAGGAGCAGCCAAAGACTGAGGAGAAGCGCGTTGGGCACTCAACATGCGATAGCAAGACGCCATCGTCGCCAGCGCGCCATGTACCTTCCCACCTCGCCCCTCCCGCTGGCCCCGAGCAGTGAGTCGCCCGTTGCGAAATGGTCGAGCACCATCGGCATCGTGACGGCCATCTGTGGCAACGTCTTGATCTCCTTTGCCCTCAACACCCAGCGCTACGCTCACCTGCGCCTCACCCGTGATCGCGAGCAACAGGAGGAGAAGAAGCAACGCCAACAGCGCAAGAAGCAGGCAGCACCCTCAGGCTATGGGACGCAGCAGAACGACATAGCAAAGGACAGGGCGAAAGCCAATGCACAGGCACACGCGGCAAGCTATACTCTCCAGGCATCCGGAGAGAGCGACGAGACGGACCCCCTCATACCCACGCTGGACAAGAGGAAGAAGAGCAAGCAGGCCGAGTCTTCCGACAGCGACGACGAGGATGGATCCGACGCATCCACCAAGAACAAGTCATACCTGAAGTCGCCCATCTGGTGGGCTGGCATCGCGATGATGACCGTCGGCGAAACAGGAAACTTCCTCGCCTACGGCTTCGCCCCCGCCTCCATCGTGTCGCCTCTGGGCGTAGTCGCCCTCGTCTCCAACTGCCTCATTGCCCCCTGGCTACTCCACGAACGCTTTCGACTCCGAGATGGCCTGGGCGTCGTCATCGCCGTAGCTGGCTGCGTAACGGTGGTGCTCAGTGCGAGTGACAGCAACCCCAAACTCACCCCGGACTCCATCTGGCATCTCATCACCCGTTGGGAGTTTGAGACTTATCTCGGCATCACCGTCTTTCTCATCATCGTCCTGTGCGTGGCTAGTGACCGTTTTGGCGAGAAATCCATCCTCATCGACCTGGGCTTGATGGGCTTGTTCGGTGGCTACACGGCCCTCTCTACCAAAGGCGTCGCGTCGCTGCTATCCAACACCATCTGGAGGGCCATCACCTTCCCCATCACCTACCTCCTCGTCGCCGTCCTCGCCTTCACTGCCGTCATGCAGATCAAGTACGTCAATCGGGCCTTGCAGCGCTTCAACTCCACCCAAGTCATTCCCATCCAGTTTGTGCTCTTCACCCTCTCCGTCATCACCGGCAGCGCCGTGCTCTACCGCGACTTTGAGCGGACCAGCACTGAGGACGCCGTCAAGTTCGTCGGCGGCTGTGCCTTGACCTTCCTGGGCGTGTGGTGCATCACCTCCGGTCGCGGAGACGAATCGGGGGGAGATGAGGAGACCGGCGAGGAGGAGGACGACGCCATCAACCTACTCGACGAAGAAGGAGTGCAGCCCGAGATAAGAGAGCGGGATGAACTCGAAGGAATGCGGCAGTCCTTGATCGCTGGGTCCTCCAAACTCCCTTCAGACCCTGCGCCCCTGCCCAACGAAGCAGTGCACATCTCCCCCGCCAAAGCAGCAGCCATCCACTCTACATCCTCCGCAGACATTCCCTCCGAGGCGTCCCAGCCACCACCACTCCACGCCACCACTTCCGAACCTAGCGTTCCCACACTGAACGTCCCCCCGGAATCCCCTTCCGCCGACCGACCCAGCACCCCACTGAACCGAGGAGCATCCGGGGCCACAAGCCCGAGGCAAGACGTCTCCAGCACTCGGCCTCTCGCGTCCCCACGAACGCAAACGCAAACCCCAACCAGCACCCTTGACCCCGCTGGAAATCCCCGCCACGCCCTCCTCAAGCGCCACTCCGTCACCCTCCTCCCCGGCCCCCTCACAAGTCCTCTCAGCAGCTCTCTGAGCGCCATCGTAGCCGACTCCCTGCGCAAAGGTGTGGACCAATTCCCCAGCACTTCCCTTCGCAAGCGGCCGTTGAAGCTGCGCGGCACCAGCCGAGCCGGAGCCGAGAGGATCGGGATGGGCAATGCATCTACGACGAAACGGCATTCCATTGCAAGTGGCGAGATCGATTTGTACGCGCCCGAGAGTGGGGAAAGCGGCGCCCTTCGACCCGATGCTGCCGGAGCGGGCAGGGTGCGCAGTTTGAGCGCCACGCTGGGTGATATCTTTGGATCGCCGAAGCGGAGGAAGACGGAGGCGAGGGATGCGACCTCATTCCCGCAGCAGCACAGGCAAGACGAGGGCCGTGATGAATAATGAGTGATTGATCGCACCTGCAAGCGCTGACATTCATCCTTATCTTGGAGGGGTCTAATAATACATGTTTTGGAGACGTGGTAGCTTTGGGTAATCAAGATGGAAGGCACTTTGGCGGCAGATGAGGGCAACTCGGAAGAAGATGGTCTCTGCTCGCTCTTGTATATACAGGTGCTGGGGTGGCGATCCCGTCCGCCAAAGAAACGTATGTAATCGCTTTTGTCTGTACAAAGCACCACGGCAGCTGTCGAATCATTGGTTATCGCAGAAATGCACACGATGCACGCAACCCCTCGTAAAACAATGGAGACTCGCTACACTCCGACGCACCATGCCAGCCGTAATCAAAGAGGCGAATAGAAATGCTGTATTCATCGTATGCGCGCTTTGCAAGAACATGCACGCGTGCGGTTCACATGACAGAACAGTCTCTGTCCTCGTGCGGTTTTCGCTTCGACCCGGACTTACTCCTCCGCAGCTTCGGCGTCGTCTTCCCCGACGTCACACTCTCCTTGCTCGGATTCCTCGATGACGTGTGGCCCACGGGAGGAGCGCGGGCCGTGTCGTGGGGAACGGTGGTTTCGGCGATGGAGATGTGCCCCGAGGGCGTCGGCTGTTGCTGCGCAGCGGCGATGCTGCCCACACTACCAGAGTCGCTCTTATTGCTGACCATCTGCGTCAGTTTCGCCATGCCAAGATGCAAGCGCTTGGTGTCTTCTCGACTTGAGTGACGAGAGCGCGAGTTCTCCCGCGTTTGTAGCACCCGGCTTCCCCGTCTTGAGCCTCCCATCTTGCCGGCGGTAGGTATGACGGCATTGCCCCGTTCTTCACCAGGCGTAGTTGCGGCGGACGGAGGCTCGGTGCGAGCGCCGCCAGAGTTACTGGATGTGTCGATTGTGATACTGGAACGCCTTGGCTCGAGGTTGGCCTCCACTCGCCCGCGCAGCTGCTCGTCAGTGGGAGTTGTAGTTGCGCCTAGGCTCGTACGATCGGATCCATTGACGAAGTCGGCGACATTCACTTCCGGAATCGACAACCCGCCTAGTTTCGGCTCGGACCTGGTTTGCTGTAGGTCAATGGCGTCCGATGCCATGGTGAGATTGGAGAGCGGCTTTTCCAAGGGCGTGGCATCCGACTGCGAACGCGAGGTGGCTTCAGTGTAAGAAGGCGGATTCGACATCGAGCGCTCGCGCTCATTGATGGGCTGGACCTGATAGAAAAGGAGGTATGGCGTGTCCTTTCTCAATGCCTCGTGAATGTCCACTCGGGTAATGCGATCCTTTGCCAAGTCGTCGAAACGCATCCAGGGATCGTCAAAGTCGCTCTCATCACTCCCACGATGCTCCGTTGGGCTTGCGTCCGATTGTGACGCGGCTATCCTGCCTCGCGCGAGGCATACATAGTGACCGGAGTGAAGAGACACACCTCGATGGCAAAGGACTGCTTGCAGCAAGAGTCGAAAATTGCCCGCTAGAGGGCCGTCTTCTTCGATGTGCTCATCACTGACGAAGTTCGGAACGAGAATCTCAAGTGGTATGTCGACGTAGGTATTGAGCTTGCGGGCAACGCCGGTGTTGGTGTAAGAATATCGCTTCAGACAGATGCCGAGTACCGGGCGTTTCTTCGCAAAGTGTGCGGCCACTTGGGCATCGGAAGTGGGCATGTTTTCGGTGTACCAAGGCAACAACTTGAAGAATTGCCAAGCTGGCATGAGCACCTCCGCACGGGCAGTGCTCAGTTTTCGAAGCTTGTAGTCTATTGTCGCGTTAGGGTCATCGTTGGGAAGCTGCTCGGGATCGATGCCGGTCAGTTCCAGCTTGCGTTGGCTGAAGATGCTGTTGGTTCGTTTCTTCACCATGCTCTGTCTGAACTTGTCGAGGGGTGTGTTGTAGATGGGGAATCCGCCGCTAGGGGTTGTAGCAGAAGGGAAGTCCGTGATCGGGGTACTGGCACTCGGGGTTTCGGCGACTTCGACGACTTCGATGTGGGTGCTGGGCTCTTTTTCCATCTTTGTAGGTGCGTCGGCCGACTCGAGCTTCAGTGTGTTTCGTCGTTGGCTTTCGAGGTATCGCTTGACTTCTATCCGGTTATTGAAGTAGTGCTCGAGGCAGTCTTCCAGCGTAATCTCCTTCTTCCCATCAACCGGACCGTCCAATAGGGCAACCTCCAACAAGCGCTCATTGATGAATTTATGATCGTCCGCCGGGTCCTCTTTGCCCGTGTGATACATGTCCATTTTGAGGGTCAACATGGGCAACTCCAGCTGGCCGGTGATGAAAGTGAAGGCTTCGGAGGGGTCCTGCTGCTCGAGACGTGCGCCATCCGCCCACCCGCACGCAGCGATCGCCTTCTGGAGCTGCTCCGTCAAGTCTGTGGTGATGAGCTGGCCCGAGCGGAGCAAGTTCACCCAAAATCGAAGTAAGGCGGCCAGCCGTTTCCGTTTGGCGTCGTCGAAGTTGTCGTAGAGCATCGCCTCGAAACTGTCCAAGCGGACGAACATTGCAAACAGCAGGGCATCGAGATAGCAAGTGACGGCGTCTCGATTCACCGCGCCGAGGAGCCTGATGTTGGGGTCGTAGGGCCTGACGATGCCCTCGTATGTGTCGCCGAGGAGCATCAGCAAGCGAAAGGCCGCCTGTGTATCGCCTTGCGGTGTGCGGCGCACTGCGTATTCGACATTTGCTTCACTAATGTTGTTGATACCATATTGCCGCAGTCTTTCCACCAGGACCTTGATCTCCTTTGCTTCTTCTCGATCTGGCTTCTCGTGGGTATCATGACTTAGGGTGAAGACGTTGGCGAAGTGTTCGGGGGCTTCGGGGGGCTGCGATGGCATGGTCAGCGGGGATGTTCGAAAAGGGGGGACGCGTCAAGATATGCGATTCATGGGTTGCGACCAGAGTGGAGTGAGGCTTCTCGCAGATTGAGCTTGCGCCGTCGAGTCGCTGCTCAAGGCCGCCATAGCCGTGATCGGGGGAGGGATGCCAATGCTCGCGAAGCAGGGGACTGCCTTCTCCCCGTCCATGGTCCCGTCCTTCTGGTGCGGAGGATGGGGAGCGGGTGCGATGACAGGAGCAAAGCCATTCGCGGAGGCGTTTGCGAGAAAGCGAGGCAAACATGGCGGGGGGTGGAAGGGTGAGGCATACTCTGCTAGGGTCTGGAGACAGGCTATCCTGATGCTGTGCGGGATGCTGATGCTGGGAGGAGTGGTGGTGGTGGTGGTGATGCTGGGGGTCGTGCGGGCTCTTGTCTCTCCGACTGAGGAAGCGCCGTACGCCGCTCATGGCGGTGAGTCTAGGAAGGTGCGGCTCGCCGTCTCTCCTCCATCAATGAGCGGAGCAGGTGCGATGCGGTGAAAGGGATGGGGAAAGGTTGCGCCTCAGGTGGCAATGTATAGTAAGGTGGCCGAAGAGATCTGCCAGGCTGCCAGAACGTGGTGGAGGAGCGAAGGCAACAGGGAGATAGATATGGACAGAGATACGTCTCCAGGGTCTGGCGGGGAGATTGTGTTAATTCAGGCAAGTATCTACACCGAGCTCCTAATGAGGCTTGGCCAGCGGTGGTGTGATGGGCGTCCAGCTCTTCCTCCTCCTCCACCTCTCCGCCTCCTTCGTTGCGCCGGGAGGATTGGCCTTACCCCTCGACCCTTAACCACGTGAGCCAATGACAGCCCTTGCACGTGTGCGCTTTACCCGACGAGTGCTTAGAAACGGTTAAGGTTTTAACCGCGCAGCTGACATAATCTTAACATCCGAATTTGGCAGTGGTCGTCTTCCCGGCCAGTCTTTGGAGGAAATCTACACAGCACAGCTGCAGCACAGAGACGCTGCTCTCTTACCCATTGCCATCTCTCCAGCAAGTTCTCACCTAAGCAATGGCACTGGAAGCCGTCACCGCCTCCCTTCTAAGGCGCCTGCACGCTGCTCCAACACCACTGCACCGGGCGTGGACTTTGCAATGCCGCCATCATGCCAGCACCAGCAACAGCACCAGCACCAGTGCCATCCTGGCCACGCAGGAGCCGCAAGACCTCGATCCATCCACCTTCCACGAGGCCACGGGCCCGTCAAGACGGAAGTTTGATCCCGTCAAGACCGCCTTCAAACGCTCAGAGCAGCTACCACCCAGCCGGTATGAACAGCCTTCTCCCTTCCCTCTTCTTCTCCGCATGCTGACCACTCATCACCCTGCGCAGATACCATTTCCGCCCTCCGAAATACTACCGTGGCGAATTGCACCCTCACCAACCGCCCCCCACCTCCGATCCCGCATCTCGCGCCTTCGTCCCCGGCCCTTTCTCCCTTCCCCGACTCGAACAAACCTACCACGACACAGTTGCCTCCGATTTGATGACCATGACCTACATGCACTTCCCCCCAGGTGTCTACCCCCAGCAAAAGGGCGAGCGGTATCGGGAATGGATTGGCGATAGTCCCTACTTCAAGAATCGTCCGCGTCGAGGCCCGCGAGGCGGCTCGGTGCTGCGCATGCTTCGCAAGCCCATTACCTTCCGCAACGTCCCTCAGCTCGAGCGCGTGACGGTACATTGCATGGTCAAGGAAGCCACAAGCGGAAGCGCACCCTTGCACGTGGCAGGCATGGTGATGCAGGCCATCACCAACGTCCGCTCCACCTCGCACGCAACGCGCAAGAGTGTCGCCGCCTTTGGGGTACGCGCGGGACAGCATCTGAGCGTGACGTGCGAGTTGACGGGCGAGACCATGTATCATTTCCTGAGCAAGGTGGTCGATGTGGTGATGCCGAAAATCAAAGACTTCCGCGGCATCAAGGGCAGCACCGGCGACAACTCTGGAAACCTTGCGTTTGGCCTCACGCCGGAGGATGTGGCATTATTCCCCGAGGTGGAAGTCAACTATGACATGTGGGTGCAGGCTTCCCTTTTGCCTTTGTTTCCCTCGGTGGACTAATCCCTTTTGCGCAGGTATCCGCCCAAGATGATCCCGGGCTGCCATGTCATAATCCACACCTCTGCCAAGACGGACTACGATGCGCGATTGTTGGCTCAGGCGATCGGTGTTCCATTTTACGGGAAGTTTGTAGACTGAGTTTGGGTCAGCATTTCGCGGGCCATCGCCGTCCAGAGGTTGTGTGCAAGGGAGGAGAGGGCGCGGAGGAGAGATGATGGGCAAACTCCGCGTCGGCCGTAAGGCCGGCCGCGATCTCCGCCCCGCGGACTCTCCATCCTCAGCTCCGGCTGCCTCGCGCGAAACGATATTTAAAGCAGGCCGCGCCACATACTCCTCTCGGTTTTACGAGAACCCACTCGGACATAAAATCTGTGTAGCCGGATGAGTCGACACCTGACTACTGTGTATAAAACAAGCATTCTTCCACCATGCCGACCACACTGCTTACCGTCCACGAGCTCCGTCTCCTCCTTGAGCATCCGCAACTCGAACTCCACGAATACGCCTTGCACCCAAACCATGTCGACCAACGGTGTAGCCTGGAGTGTGCTGAGAGCCGACTGGCAGCAACAAGACAAGGTACGTCGTTCCCTTTACTATCGATGAAACCCAGCCGATTGACAACCTCTTCCCAGACATGGACGGCAGTCGACGCCTACACCATCTCCCATCTACACCCACCCAGCAAGAAGAACAGCGCAGTCCTTCTCGATGCCCTGACCCAGTCCCGCGACGAAGGCCTACCTGACATCGCCTCCTACCCGGTCATCGCCAAGTTCTACGCTCTCCAGTGCCGCGCCATGCGCGTCAAGCACGCCCTCGAAATCGGCACGCTCGGCGCTTACACCTCCATCTTCCTGGCGACGGAGAATCCCGGGATGCAAATCACCACCATCGAAGTCGATCCGCACCACTACAAAGTCGCGCAGCAGAATGTCGCCCACGCCGGCGTTTTGGAGCAAGTGACGGCCAAACTCGGTGCGGCGCTTGATGTGCTTCCCGAACTGGCCAAGGAGATTGAGTCGGGCGGGAAGCCTCGGCTGGGGTTCGTGTACATTGATGCCGACAAGTCGAACAACTGGAAGTACGTGGACGTGGTGATTCCCATGTGCGAATCGGGAGCGGTGATCTTTGTCGACAACATCGTGCGGGGCGGGGACCTTGTCGATCGAGCCAAGAAGGATGCGTCTACTGCAGGCTCTCGTCGGGTTGTGGAGATGGTTGGGAAGGATGATCGTTTGGATGGTGTAGTGTTGCAGACTGTCGGGGAGAAGTCGTACGACGGCATATTGATGGCCGTGGTGCGGTGAGGAATTGGGAGATGTACAACGCACTCTATATGTCGATCCGGACGACACCACTCGTCACCGTAGCTTATATGCATTCCTCTTCGTCCATCAATGGTTCATCAGTATCCAGTTTCAAACGCCGGCACATCCGCGGGATTGAGAATCCAGTCGTCGAAAGTCATCGAGGCGAGCATATCAAAATCTAGAAGCGTCGGATCATTCACCACGCCGACATCAGGTTTCTGGGGTTCTGCAAGGGGGAGATATTCGGCCACACCAGGAAGATCGTCCCTGCCGGTGGGCGGGCCACTGGAGACAAGAGATGGCGCATCTTCCTGGCATGCCAGGATCTTGTAGAACTGTCGCAAGACCTTGTCCACCGACTCCTGCATGTAGACGAGCTTCTGACTCGGGTCTTTCTTGGTCTTCATAAAGCTATCGGCAGCGAGGACCATCCAGAGCTGGCGCAGTTCGCAGCCCAGGCGTTCGGCTTTACGCGTGATTACTTCGACGACATCGCTGACCACTCGAGCGGCGCTGTCTTCCACGAAGCTGTGAAGAATGCCGTCCGCCTCAGGACTGGACATTGAATACGCGAGACAGGCCGAAAACGCGGCCCTCATCTGGTCGTGGCGCAAAAAGAGTAGAGTGGTGTAGCCTTTGTCAAGCAACGACACATGGTCGTCCATGATTTTCTTTGCGGCATTGATGAGGACCATTCGCGAAAAGCTTCGCTCCACAACGCTGTCACTTTGTCGGATCTGACGATCATGTAGCACTAGCAAGTAGTTTCGCAGAGTGATGCCTAGCAGGGCTTGTGGGAGTTGTGACTCGGCCTCTGACCACTTCGGAACGGACTGAAGATGTGTCTCGATCTCCTCCGTGTATCTTTTGACCTCGTCAAAAGTGATCTGCTCGCGCACGTTGTTGAGGACGGCGTTTAACGTATATCTCAACATGAATGTCTCGTTCGCCGTGGTGAGAAAAGACGCCGCCGTAAACTCACTGCGCGATCTCCGAGTGGGCAATGTGACGGAGCTGTCGTCGAAATCCTCATCGACAATATTACTCGGTGGCACGTAGTCGCTCTGTTGTGGCCAAGGTGTTGCTAGCATGCCTCGAGCAAAGGAGCTTTCCAGCTCGAAATCCGCCGCGGCAAGCCAGATTCGGCGTCGCATTTCTTTGTCGAGGGCAGAGGTGGACTTTCGAAGCAGGTCCGGATCGCGATGCAAGCCGGCAGCCATTGAGAAGCGGAGAAAGCTGCCAGCATCGGTCCAGGTCCGCTTGAACTTGCTGGCATTGAGCAATCGCGAAAGGTTGAGGAGGAATCTGATCTGGAAATCTATCGCAGTCACATGCTTCTGGCTCTGGGTGATGAGCCAATCCTCGCAGACTCGGTTGATGATGAGAGCCTTGTCCCGCATAACGCTGCCGGTAGCACTATAAAGCCATGGATCCAGGCTTCCTTGACACTGAACGCAAGCGATCATCAGCAAGACAAGGGCTACGAAATGGGCTCGCGTCGTCGAGATGTCGTCCCACATGCTGCTGTACTCTTTCCAGAAGCTCGGAGAATGCACAATGTGGTAGACGTTGCCCAAGCTGTCGAAGTATAGGCGTACAAGCTCGTCAGCTTCGCGCTTGGGAGGAAGAAGAGCTCTGAGGTCGTGTTCGGTGGTGATCTGGTGCTGGAGTGCGGAGCGATCCGCGCCGTCCTCGAGGGCGTGAATGTAGTGTCGTATCCTAGACAGGCCAGGAAAGTTTGAGAGGATCTCCTTTGTAAATGGACTGAGCTCGGGGATATAGGCAATGATGGAGCCGGGGTGAGAGATGCCATGGAACTGAGTCTTGAAGGATTTCCCGCGGAGCAACATGGTCTCGCGGTCGGTGGCGTTGACAACGGCAGGGCTGGTGTCCATGAGGATCATCGAGTCTGGAGTCAGAGGGAGCTTCCTGTGCGGCTTCTGCGCCGAGAACTGGCTTTGGATCGAATGGGCCAACGCGGACTCGAGCTCTCGTATGCGCTTGTCCTGGTATTCCAGGCGAGTCAGCGTGTCGCTGGACAGTGTTGGAGCCAGTGCACGGCCGGGCGGACCATCTCCGTCGAGGTCTTTTGCAGCGTACTCTGATTCATCCGCATTGCGTGGAGAGGCGTCGGATGGATCGTCGATGTATCGACAGCTCGCCGCCTGGCCATTCTTCGTGCAGCGGCTACAGGCAGGCTGGGCGCGATCGCATTGCAGCTTCCTCCGTCGACAGTCATAGCAAGACAGCACTTTTCGCCGCCGTTTTCTCTCGTTCCCGCCGCCTAGTTCTGGAGAGCGGGTACGAAGCGGCGGGGTCGTGTCGGGGAACAAAGGATCGCGAGGCATATTGGCGGTTGGGGATAGGTTCAAGGTCGATTTCTTCGCCTCAAGACCAGAATATCACGCAGGTGAGAATCTTATCAGATCCTCGTCCTTTCCACTCGAGTATGACTCTAACTCCGGTGTCCTGTCGTTCAGCTGCAGAATGTAGTCGCCTGCAAGTAAGCATATGGCATGCGAAACTCCGAGCTCTCGGCCGATCATCTCGGCTTTATATAGCTAGGCATGATATATACAATACAGATTTTGAGTTTCCCAAGACTTGGCCCTGCATCCGTAGTTCAGGGGTAGAATTCGAGCTTCCCAAGTCATTCATTTGATCCAGCCTGCTCGAGGCACGGGTTCGAGTCCCGTCGGATGCACTTTGTTTTTGGTCCATCATACGGTACTTTTTTGTTCTAACGGAAGATAAGCAGACAGAGGCTCGCAGCCTTGCCGCCAGCAGCATGAAGTCCCGCCAAGCCCATGTTTGGAGTCAGGCAGGATGTATCGAGACCATTGGTTGTCAAGGCATGCCATTAGAAGGGAGGGATTGCAAGCCTATGAATCACACCAGGCCTGACGAATAAAGCGCCGTACATTTCGGATGGGAGAAGCATCGTGACCGAGTGATCAGTTGACGGACGATCAAGAACGAAGGTATTACGCGAACCTGATAGCATCTCAAAAATGACACCCTCCGGGCATAGTATCGCTAATGCAAAACCACTCCACTCCACTCTCAGCCAAACATCTTCTGCTTCAGCCCTGCCGACAACGACTGGCGGGAGAAGTGAGTTCTCATGCTCGTCTTGTCTCCCGTCAAGATACCTTGCACATCTTCCCACACCTCCTGCAGGGAGACACGGTCTTTCGCCCCACCCAGGTTCATCTAACAGGCTGTCAGCACGATTCCTCGATCTCTGTCTGCGCTCGCGGCGCCAACATACCATGCTAGGCTGGATGGCCCACTGATAAATCACCTTCCCCTCCTTGTTGACGACCAAAACCGCCGGCTGGATCATGCCATGCGGGTATCCGCCCCTATCCGTGATGGCAACGCTCACCAGGTTCCGCGACTTCAACTCTTTGACGAGGCTGGTGTCGGGGTCGGTGATGGTCTTCCCGCTGAACTTTGTCTTCGCCAGCACATCCGTCAAGAACTTTTCCTCTTCCGCCGTTACAATCACCGCCGTGCCCCTCTTCTGTTGGATCTCGGGCACCAGTCGTTGCAAGTCTTTGATCCAGGAGATGCAGAAGGGACACCAGTGCCCACGGTAGACTGTGCTGATTGTTAGTTCGACGCCATCCAAACGCAAAGCCAACGCTTTACATACACACGGCGAAGACAAATTCGGACTCAGCGACGAGGCTGTCGAACTGCTGCACGGATTTAGCCATGGCTATATCACGGGTGAATGCTTTCAGGCAGGTCAGGTGTCAAGAAACTCGGCTCCTACCCATTATATACCAATTCCTGCACGCGTCTTGGTAGATCCATCGACCTTGCCATCGCTGTTTCGGCGACAATGTTTCTCCCGACTGCCCGACCAGTCGGAGTAGTCCGCTTGCGACAGGAACGTCATGTCACTCCACGATAGCATTGACACCGCGATGATGCGGATTCCATTGCCTTGGGCGAAGCTGGGCAGCCTGACACATCTTGACGCTGACGTTGATTAGTCATGATTCCACAGATCCGGTCTTGCCGGTAAGCCAGCCTGGTGATTCCAAAATTACGAGATTGGTCCCAGGGCAACAACCGGTTCGAGAAAGTACAGGCTGGTGCAGCGCACTACAAGCTCGCGGAACGACTGGAGCATGAAAGGTCATCAATGCAGTTGCTATTAAGACGTAAGCTAACTCGTCAGTCCACCGCGGGTGCCGGAGGCGGCGGCGGCGGCTGCTGCTGCTGCTGCTGCGACGCGGCTGCGACGGTCTTGGGCTCCTTCTTCTTCGCTGCAAACGGATTGTTCCCGCCCATCAGCATGCTGCTCATCATATCAAACATCGGATTGCTCTGGCTCGGAATCTTGATGCCGAAGTACATCTCGCCGATCTGCTGCAACGCCTCATCCCATGATGTTTCCTTGAGATGTGTTGCGTAGTGCGACTTGAGCTGCTTGAAAAGATCGGAGTTCCCCCTTTGCACGGCGAGGAGCAGGAGGCCTAGGAAGTTGAGGAGTGGCAGAGAGGGGTAGATGCGGATATCGGAAGACGGCGAGGAGATGCTCTGTACGCCTAAGCCGGGATGGAGGGAGGAGAGCTTGCTGGTGAAGAGCAGCAGGCTCTTGTTGGCGGCACGCACGTTGCCGATGAGCAGGTAGGGAAAGACGGCTCGCGCAGCGTAGTGGGAGGCGGTGGAAGGCTCGTCCGACGCATACCACTCATATTCCATGTCGCTGAACACACCGGCCGAGTCGGAGGTGCCCAGCGTGAGGTGCTTCTCGGCATCGTATACCTCGCCTTCCTCCGCAAACAGCGTGCCGATGACATGGTGTAGCTCGGGATCACCGGTGGGAAACTCGCCGCTCTTTGCAGACCACTCTACAATTCCCGCGACGAACTTCTTCTTTGCCGGCTCATTGGGTGGGAAGGCTCGGAGGAGGGCGAGCAGGCGGGCCTTGTTCTCGATGTTCTGGGGGAAGTCGGCTTTCTGGTAGACTTCGATGAGGTAGTTGCACAAGTCCGCGCCGGAGCCGCCCTGGCCAGCCTTGAGGAGGAGGGACGCGCCCGATGTGAGGAGGTCGGTGGCGGACGTCCAGTCGCTCGATTTGACGTAGCGGTTCGCGATGGTGCGGATTTGCTGATGCGCCTCGTAGAACTCGCCTTCCTCGATTCTAGCTGGTTGTCAGTGATGGGTTGCGCGGGGCATGGGGTGCTGAAAAGACGGACTTTGTCTTTTGCCGTGCAATGACCTTCTGTATCTTGGAAGACATGCTGATTGCGAGAGCAGGAGTGTAGGATGATGGAGGGAAGAAGAGAGGCGCGAGAGCGAAGTTGGGAGTGCGGTGACGATGATGCACGAAAGCTTGCCGCAACGCCAAGACTGGAGTCTGGGGTTGACCACCTCACCTTCAACACCTCTTTCATCAGACGGAAGAACGAATGATAGTCTACATGCGTTAATCAGTAGCAACCTCTCCGGCGCTTAAGACTGTTCTTTGACCGCAATTGCTGCCATCTACATGGTATCGCCACCGCCGCCGTGGGATAAAAATTCAACTCCCAGCCTTATCGTCTCAAAGCATCCATCATGGCAAGCACTCAAGCTGAAGACGCTCAGCGGCTGTATGACTGTCGTGGCGCCAAGTATGACGATAGTTTTCATCCCCGATTCGCCAGACATATGGTCGAGCTCATCCAACCTCAGGCCGGGGAGCACGTCCTGGATCTGGCATGCGGCACCGGTCTGGTCAGCTATCGTGCCAGCACAGCCGTAGGATCCGGGAGCGTCACGGGCGTCGACATCAGCAGGGGCATGCTCGCTGAAGCGGAGACGAAGAGGTCGATGCACAGGCCTCCGAACGTTACGTTTCACCGACACTCCATCACCGAACTCGACTCTCTTGCCGCACTCAGAGGGCGGCAGTTCGACGTGATTACTTGCTGCTCCGCTCTCGTATTGTTTCCCTATCCTGGCGACGTGCTCAAGCAGTGGGTACCCTATCTCAAGTCTGGGGGAAGGTTGATCGTCGATGTTACACACCCTCAGAACTTGACCGCTGGTATCATTTGTGAAAAGGTGGGCAATATTCTCAGCAGGCCCGTGCCGTGGTGAGTAGTTGCCATGATTCGAAGCCTTAGCAAATGGGCCGGCCGCGTATCTTCACCACTCATACCATTGCCAGGTCTCGATTAAATTTCACAAAGCCCGAGGATCTGCAAACAATCATGGAAGCCGCGGGTCTACAGCGAGTGAAGGTCATACTCATGTCGCAGCTAGGCGAAGCGAACGGAAGGCTAGAAGACTGCATTCGCCCGTCTTTCTCCCAGCCAAAAATTCATCAAGAACATGAAATCGCCGACGCCGATTCCATCTTCGAAAAGATGGTTGCGACCGAGCCATTGAAGCATCTCGCGAGTCCTGACATCCGAGAGAAGGCTCGAGGAGTGTTTCAAGATGAATGGCGCAAGGCGGCCAATGAAGCTGGCAAAGTACTAGAGATCGATGGCGTATTCATGGGCATCGGGTACAAAAAGTGACGCAGCCCGGCTCATTGCCTACGTGTGGAATCGTGACATGGATCGAATTCACGAAATCGGGGACAGCATTGACTTGACATCGTCGACAATTGCTATATACAGTAGCTACTCATGGGATCAAGAAAACGCCAGAGACTTACGGACTACGATGCGGCGTGCATCCCTTGCCGTCGGATCGCTCAATGCTTCAAATCGATCTGTGGGGCCGGAATCGGGACCGGGACTTCGTTGATGCTGGAGGGCTCAATGTAGTCCTTGTAGCCATTCACCTGCAGACGAAGCTTGCGAGACTCGGCGTACACTACACGCCTCATACGGTTGGTGGAGCCAAGAGGCTGATGCTCCTTCAGGCCATGCCACGAGTTGACAGTAATTCTGTCGTCCCACCAGGTCCGGAACTCGGGCAGGTAGCTGTCCTGCGGCTGGAACTCCAACGTGGCGATTTGCACAAAGGGGTACTTGACGGGGTCCCACTCGACACCAATATCGTCGACGGGCTGCTCGTCCAGGTTCTCCAGCAGCTGCGCGCAGAAGGCGTACGTGACTTTGTTGTGGAGGTGGAAGTTGCGGGCTTCGGTGGCAAGGATATTGATGGGGTCGGTCTCTTTGATGTCGACGTCCTCCAACTTCTTCTGCGCCTCGCTCAGGGGGAAGAGGCCGTACTTGGCAACGTAGTGGCCGTGGCGGTAAGCAGACTGCGAGTACTCCGGCATGGCAACCACTGGTTTCGATGTTACTCAATGCTCCGCGCGCGCAACATTTGTGACACGAAATCCCACTTACTGTGTTGTTTTGGCAGCTTCCCGGGGACCGTTGCAACCTCGGCGTCCTCGCGAGCCTCCAGCTCTCCCACAAACTTGTCGAGCGCGTCGAAATTCCTCTCGAGCGAGTCGATGATTTCGTTGGTGACCTTGGGGGTACGAAGCTCGAGGACGGGGTAGTTGTTGAAGGTCCAGTCCTGGGTCTCCTTGTCTTCACCCCAAATCTTCTCTCCCTTGATGCCGAAGATCTTGAGGCCAACACCTCGGGGAAGAGCGGCGTTGTCGGGCGCGAGCTTGGGCAGGAGGGAGGAGTAGCGCAGGATGGTGTCGTAGGCACCGGGCGTCTTGAACATGCCTTGGGCCAGGTGCTTGGGTAGGTTGTCGTGGACGATGAACTTGCCGACAACGCACTGGATGAAGGTGAGCGAGTGTTATTGAATGGAGGCGTGAGCTGGTACATACTCCTTGAGTCTTCAGGTGGGTGCCGCGGTAGCAATGCATGTTTTGGTTGAAGTTCATCAGCTGCAGGCGCTGGAACTGGTCGGAGACATCCTGGATGGTCTTGGATTCGCCTTCAGGGATGGTCTCTACGCCCGGAGCGTTCCTAGAGGAAGGAGCATGAGCACTGATACAGGTGGACGGATGGTAGGGTGCAGAGCATCACTCACCATTTGATGTAATGCTCGGCTGCCTTGACATCTTTGGGAAGCTTGAACTCTCCCTTGGTCTTCTCGCCCTTGGCGTTGGTATGAGTTACTGGGCAAGGCATTGCGAGTGTCTGCGGTCGGAGACGAGAGTAGAGGGGTACGAGGTGGAGAGATGGAAGAGAGGGATGGGAAGAGAAACAAAGTACCTTGAAGGAGGCTCTGGCAGGTGGGGAGGCGATTACAAGGTAAGCAACAACCCGAAGTATATGAGAGGAGGAGCTACAGTGGGTCTGTGTGTTAGAGCAGCTCCATGTCGCCGAGCAACTGCGGAGCGCGAGTGGGATTTGGAATGGCTCGACGCGAGCTTTAAACTGACGATCGCCGCGGGTGCGGGGTGGAGGGGGTCCAGACCACGGCGTGCGGAGGGGCCAGTGGCCCATCAGGCAGAAGTAAGTGTCATGGCGCAGGCCGCGAGCGATGAAAAGGGCAGGTGCATCGAGCATCCAGGCCCGTTCCTGATGCCACCGCCAGATGCACGATCAACTTCTCCTCTCCCCTCGCGCCATGTTGCTGATGGTGAAGAGATGATTGATGTGAGGTTGAAGTAGAGTCCGTGCACTCTCGGGACTTTGCCAGCCGGGTGGCTTGTGTGCCTGAGGCTGTCATACCAAGTAACTACCTCATTCACCTTATGCATTGAACCCAACAACGCCAGTCTCTCAACCATTCATGCAGCATATGCCCAGCTATAGCATCCACGCAGCACCCTCCTTCTCACGTCGGACGAGATCGTAACGAGCAACATCTCTCTGCACTCGCCGATCCGTAAACGCAAGGACCATCACCACGAATCCCAAGATCGTCATAGGTATCAAGTTCCCCTCCCAGGCGCGCATGGCGCATAGCTGAGTCTCGATGTCGCTCCTCGCGCTCTCGGAGACCAAAGGCAGCTGCAGTACCGCCGAGAACCAGCCTTGCGGCGTCCATTCCAGCAGCGGGTAGGCGACGTAGTCTGGATATGGATGATTGTTGAGCTCGGCGGCCACGTTGATGTCGATGCTTTGGCCATGATGACTGTACGTCACGACCAGGACGAAGACGAAGCTGGCCAGGGAATAGATGGCCGACAGCACGGTCATGGTGAGCCAAAAGTTGTACAGACCACGAACGATGCCGCGAATCGAGCCTTCGCGCTTCAATTGCCGGCTTCGGAGCCACAGCGATAGGATGCCACCTAGCCCGACAACGATGAATGCAGTGCCGCCCGCACCGTTGCTCGCATGGCCTTGGTAGACGATCAAGTTTTCGGGTTTGCCGTGTAGGGAGAACTGTCCGCCAGCGCCGTCATGCACTTCGAAGGCTCTACCAGCGCGGGAATGAAGCCATGCCACCATGCTGCTGATCAACGACAACTCGGTGATGGAGTCGACCATTAGAAGCCCCGTGGCGACGTAGAGTACAATCGTGGTGGTATTCATCTTGCTGCGACAATTGGTTGAATGCTGGATTATGATGCCGGGGCGTAATGTATGCATCCAAGACAACTACAGCTCGATCGAAGTCGCGAGACAAGCACTGTATATGTACTGCACCGGATCTCACCATCAGACGAGGGCGATTGCCGTACGGCCGGCCTGGATATTGGTGGCCGTTGGGCCTGATCAATGAGCGCCAGGCCTGCGCACACCGGCCACGAGGCTGCAGCCACGCGCGGGGCATCTGCCAGGAGCCCGATCTCTGTCCTTAGCTCTATACAGTGCATACGGCTTCAGAGCTGTTATTTTTAGCCGTCATCGATGGCCATGTGCGGATCAAGCAGGTATCAGGGCTGACCATTGTTAGGTAAGGTAGCTTTGCGCAAGCAAGCCAGCGTCTCGATCACCATACGGACTCGCAATGGGGCCGATAGGGCATTCCACCATGAGCAGAGTCTCCGGAGCTACAAATACGCCAGGCCACGTCACAATACGCCAGGCCACGTCACAGTGTTGCCATGCAACACAACAAGTACATGCAGCCAAAGGCAGAACATCCCGGCCATGTCCAAGGATGCAGGATTGACACAGCCTCATGCCGGACGCCTGACATCGCTGCATGCGGCCCCCTTTGGATGAAATATTTCAGCCCCCAACTTTGGACCTTATTTTGTCATGTGTAGTTGAGACACGGCACCGTTTTTGATCTTACCCCGCAAGTAAGAACGTTGTGATACGGGGAAGAGAGGAAGCCACATGAAGAATCACGCAAGGTAGCGACACGCAATGAATGGATTCCAACGCTCCTCGAAGCGACAGTACACGAATAAAATCCTGGAAACTCCTCCTTTGTACACGACAGCACCATCACCCGACTCCAACGCTAATCCCATCAACTTTCGTTCGATCAGTACGGCCACCATGGTCTCCGAGAGGGAGCAGGGGACCAGGGCCAAGACAAGTTCCCATATCCACCGACCCCTCCAAACGCCGCTGCGTTCCCCTGCGGTCCAAAGTGACTCGGAGTCTGCGGACTCCATCCCGTATGCTGACTCGTCGGCGTACTAGGGTGGTACGCCGGGGCAAAGCCTTGCCCAGGAGCAGGGGGCCAGGGCCAGGACTACTTCCCATATCCCCCGAACCCTCCAAACGCACCCGCATTCCCCTGCGGTCCAAAGTGGCTCGGAGTCTGCGAACTCAATCCCGCATGCTGACTCGTCGGCGTGCTAGGGTGTTTCGCGGGGGTAAAGCCTTGCCCGCCCGTTCCAGAGCCACCGACTCCGTTCGGGCCATGCTGGTGTTGCGGCGTGCCTTGCAACGCTAGGAACTCGTCTCGATATTGCTGACTAGCGGGCAGAGGGACGCCGTGGAGCCCGTAGATTTGGTCCGACAGCTCGTCCTCCAAGTTGCCGCCAAAGATCTTGCTTCGCATGGCCCAGAAGACGGAGCCGGTAAGCCATGCATCGCTGCCGCCCGTATGGCTCGCTCCTACGCGATGGCAGCCGAGTTCATCGGCCAGGTCTTGAAGGCCGGATTTGGTGCCGAGGGCGTCGATGATGCGAGTACCTTCTGCCGAGAGGCGGCCGGCGGTACGTTGACGTTGGGCATGGCGGAGCAGAAATTTGATATCCCAGAGCTTTGGGAAGAATGTCTTGACTTGTTCAAAGAATAGATTCTGGTCTTCCGGAAGTGCGTCATCGGTGAGAAGCTTGATAAGGTAGCCAAAGTCGTAGCCACTGTGGAATGACAGCCAGTTGACTTCTTCGCAAAAGGCCAGGCCGGAAGTGGTAAGGAGCGCGCCGAATTGCTCAGCCGCGATACCCATGTCGAGGTGCCGTTGGAAGTCGACGCCGCTGTTCTTGAGCAGCTCAATCGATGTTTCTGCGTACATGTCGTCGTCGAGGTTGAAGTGGAAGTTGAACACCCAGGTGCAAGGGAGGAACATGAGGTTGTTCGAATACAGATTCTTGCCTCCCATCCGGCTCAACAGATCGGCGTCTGGATGTTGCGGGGGCAAGTCGCCTTCCGCCGTCCACAGAGTGATGCCCACCTGGATAGGCTTGAGGATGTCGACGTTACACCGCAGTGTCTGGTAGTGATACTCCGCCTTGCTGTGCGCGAAGTTGCCGATTGGTCTCGCGACAATACCAGGAAACTCGGCGTCCATACTGACGTATGGGTATTTTAGGATGAGTTGCCGTAGTACCGCAAATTCTTGGTCCAAGTTGTGCCGCCAGACCTCTCTAATGCGGCCCATTGCGCCGTTTTTTATGCCTCCCATGTTCTCGGAGATACTCTGGGCGTGCTGGTGTTCCTGCATGGCAGCACCCCGAGCGAATCCTTGCTGTGCCGCTACACTGGCTAGCCCTTGGCCCTGTCCGCCCAAGACACCTCCGTTGAAGGCCGCGCCGCCGGTGCCAGGGATGTTGCTGAAAGCTGCGCCTCCATACGCGGAGCTGGGGTTGAAGGGCGAGATGCCGCCATTTAGCGCGCTCGTGCCAAACGCATGTTGCGGGTTGAAGTTATTCGCGAGATGCTGCGATTGTGATTGATAGTGGGAGGACTGCTGGGGCATGGAGTGTTGTGGGTTCAGATGTTGGAAAGGGTTCGACATGTGCGAAGGGTGCATGCGACCCACCGCGGGTGGCATATTGCTCGTGCACCGCTGTGACCGGATCGTTGTCGAGAGATCGAGTGCGAGATGAGAAGTGCCTTGCTGCTCGAGGCGGGGCGGGCGAGCTGGCGGAATCGGAGTTTTAAGAGCGCCGAGGGGGGATTCGTGTCTCGTGCGACGAGATTAGGCGGGGTCGGTGAGGAGACGTGGCACTTGTGGCCTATGTCCAGTGAGCAACGCGGGAAAGGTCAGGTGGAAGAGCCTTTACTATGGTAAGGGTGCTGCGTCGTTGGGACCAGGGCGCCGCGGCTCGATCATTCCCATGGGATGCGTGCTGAAATCATGATGGGGAGGCATCCATTGGAAGGGGGGAGATGATAGCGCCGACGTGGGAATGTCCTTGGATGGGAGGAGGAGGAGGAGGGGAGAGACTGGAGTTTTGTGCCTGGCGTGCAAGTCCCCGGCAAGGATGGCAGGTGCGGCGGGCGGGAGCTGAGTCATCTGCCGAGCTCCATGACTTTGCGGAGGCACGGTGGAGCGGCGTCGATAGACAAACCACGACGACACTCCCGGCACCTCCCCCGCTCGCATCTCTCCAGGGCTGTGCAGCAGCCGTGCGAACCTGCCACCATGGCTTCCAGAAGAGCAAATCTCACCGGCTTCGACAAGCACAAATTCGCGGCCGCGTCAGGACAACCAGCAAACGATCCGTGGGCCCGAAGGTACGTGCCCTCAGCGGAGAGCATGCCCTGATGCGCCGTGCTTGGAACAGCAGCTAACGGCCATTGCCCTCTCGTAGAGAAGCATGGCGGTACAGTGGCCCTTTCACCCGGTGGAACCGACTCAAGAGCGTCTTCCCGGGCTTCGGCATCGCGACAGCCGCATTTGCGGGATACCTCGTATACGAGCAGCTGTTCCTCACGTCGTCACATGGACATGGAGAGGGACATAAGGGAGAAGAGCACCATTAAGCAGGTGGTGAGAGACGGCTGGAGCAGCGGGGGATATCTGTACAGTGCATGATTGCGGCGTATCTACAGGCGGAAATGTGGAGTGCGGAGAGGGCAAGAGTCTTGTGGGACATATCAACGAACGCAAATACCCTTGGATGAAGCGTCAGACACCGCAATCAAAGACAAGCCAGTCGGGCCTCGGTGTGCTGACGTTGGTCCTGGTGCTGAGACGAGAAGCCACTTTCAAATGTATACACACAACGCTCCAAAAGATCCTTCAGTCACACACACACACCCAATTGGACTGGAGTATTGGCATCTACCCTTGTCGTTCTAGGTCGTAGACAGCATATCACCGCGTGCCCTCGACATCTTATCCTTTCGTCCTTATAGGAGAGATCCATATTCCTAGACGCCCAACTCGAGCAAGACTCGGCAAAGTTGCCGCGGCATCAGCGAGCTGTCACAGCTACATCAGCACTCGCTCCATGTCCAGAACATGATCCTCCTTTGTGAATTGCACACGCCATATCCTATCATCTATTATGCCGCCAACATGACGAACTCTCTCCCTCTGCTGCCCTCCAACCCTAGGCAGACCAGATGCCTCGCGTCTACCCCACCCTCGATGGCAATCAATCCGCCTTCATACCCTCCCCCACCATAGTCGAGAGTGTCGCTGGCTTCACAGCAGGAGTCGTGTCCACTCTCGCCGTCCACCCATTCGACATTGTCAAGACTCGCCTGCAAATCGAGCAGAATGAGCGCAGTAGGCCCGGCGGCAGCCTGCGGATCGTGCGCAGAGTCGCCGCGGAGGCTCGTACGGAAGCGGGGGGCTCACAAAGCGCGGCGGTCGCCAGAGCCTTCTACAGAGGCCTTATGCCCAACATGGTTGGGAACAGTGTGAGCTGGGCACTATACTTCATGTGGTACGGCAACATCAAGGACCTGATCCGCGCCACCAGACCGCACGCCGCCACGCGAGATCTGAGCGGCTCCGACTACTTCCTCGCTTCTGGCGGCGCCGGCGTCATCACCGCCGTCCTCACCAACCCCATTTGGGTCATCAAGACTCGCATGCTCTCCACCGCAAGGAACACCCCCGGCGCGTACAAGAGCATCACCCATGGCACCCTCCAGCTTTATCGCAGCGAGGGCCTTCGCGGCTTCTATCGCGGCCTGATCCCCAGTCTGTTCGGCGTCAGCCACGGCGCCATTCAATTCATGGCCTATGAGCAATTGAAGATCCGTTGGGCGTCAAGCCGTCACGGCGGCAAAGCCGGGCTGACCAACGTCGACTACCTCTACCTCAGTGCGCTGTCCAAGATGTTCGCCGGCTCCATCACCTACCCATATCAAGTGGTGCGCGCTCGACTGCAGACATACGATGCTCAGGCCCGGTACAACGGAGCGTGGGATGTTGTGCGGCAAGTGTTTAAGCGTGAGGGCATTCAAGGCTTTTACAAAGGTGTCTGCCCCAACATTGTGCGAGTCCTCCCGAGCACCTGCGTGACCTTTTTGGTCTACGAGAATACGAAATTCTATTTTCCGCGCTTGATGCATAGTCAGCACGGGGACGCGGTGTGATCCAACACACCTGTCCCAAACAGATTGCATGGTCGCATTGCAAGGCGTTGTACCAATGGCAGAAGACAAAGGCGTTTCACATAGCGCAGAAATGCTATGCAAGCCGGGTATATGATAATGGTGGAATGAGATAGATATAGAGGTGCATAATCTGAGGGTATCAATCGCTCTCAATGCTTCTTAGTATCTTAGAGGCCCGATATATCCACCTGTACGGCAATGGGCTCTTTTCTCTCTCCCTTCCCAACGCGGGCTTGACGGCGGCCTCTTCACTCTTGAATAAGACCGACGAACACCATGGCCTTCTCCTGCCCTGAACTAGCCTGACTAAGTCTGGCCATGGGGCATGTCGACATCGGATCTCTGCGTGTCCACCCTTTGACAGGCAACTATGGGTGTTCCGTCGCCCGCAACACGGATGGCCTATCCCGTCCACGTCTCATGCTCACCACCAACAAACCATGTTTTACAACGTGCAGTGACGTCTCATGTCTCCTCCACAAGCGTCAGCTGAGGCCCATCCACATCATCGTACCCGTCAGCCTCGCCATCATCAGTGGTACTGAACGTCTCTTCAAACCCAGCGTCTGCATATTTCCGGTCTGAGAGGGTGTCGTACTTGGATACTACCATCCTCGGCCGAGACCTGCTTGGGCGCCATAAGCGTCCCAACTTCGCCCGTCGCATTACATAGAGCGCCATGATCGTCAGAACGCTGGACGTGCAGCCGACCGCGAAGAATGATCCGGGGCTGTGCGCGGCGCGGACACCAGCAGCCAAGGCTTCCGACAGCTGGACATGTAGCATTTCTCCTTCATCGGCCCATTGGTAATCGCTCGCGTTGAGCCTGTCGAGTCCCTCTGGAGGTGGTAAGGTCTTGGTGACCCGCGATGTGCCGAGGACATTGTTGTACTGGTCCAGCGCCTCGAGGACAACATACTTTGAGAAGCCTTCGTACGTGATCGCCGTCTCGAACCCCTGTCGTTCAGTGGAATTGAGCAGGGCCCGTTGCTCTCCGTGCACATCCGTATCATAAAGTCGCCACCTTGTAACCTCGGTCGCGCCGTTCCAGCTCACATACGCCATCGTGCTGATGTTCGCGCCGAGCACAAAGGCGGCAGAATAGACGCTGGGCGGGGAGGTCGGATGACCGGTCCACGGGAATTTGTAGGCTCGGTAGGTATGGATGTTCTTCTTGAGGGCGGCGTGCATCAACAATCTCCCATCTGGCGCATGTTCCGATATACGCGTGTGGTAGGTCCAGCCCATGAAGACGTTGCCATTGGGAAGGGGCTGAAGACTTCCACGGGAATTCACGAGGGCGCCCTCGGGGTGGTCGGCTTTGAAAAGCATCGATGCCGTCATGTCGACGAGGTTCAGCCCGAGGATCAGGCCGCGCGAGTTGGCTGCAGTCGCTTTATTGCCCTCGTCGGTACCCTTGGCGTTGTCGAAGAGAGAAAGGACGACTTGCGTGCTGTCTTGGCTGATGACACAAGAGTGGTGCTGCCGGGAGAACTTCAGATCGCTGGGGATGTGAAAGTCCGACTTGACGCCGCCCAGGCGCCAGACGATGGATCCATCGACATGGGAGATTTTGTAGATTGTGTCGGTGGATCTCGCGGAGAGGAGGAAGTCGCCGTCGGGGAATTTGTCGATTGCATTGAAGTGACTGTGGCGCATGTCAGTATTCCTCCACGTACTTTGCGAGCGCAGGCCAATACATACTGTATATCCCAATTGTTCTTGCAAAACCCCGACACCGAGGATTCGTCGAGCGCGATATGATCCATCCCGAACCACTCAAAGGTGAGGCGCGGGGGCGAAGTGGTGAGGTCGTATTCTCTGATGCCATCTTCATGCACGGAGCACTCGCCATCCCAGCCAATCGTGGCGGAAAACTCCTTGCTCAATCTCTTGTTGAAGTACTGGGTGAGGACGAGGGCACGCTGGCCGTTGGCGACGAGATTGAAGTCGTGCATGTTGGCCTTGTGGGCATCTTCAGTGTACTGCACTTCTTGCGTAATCTCGTATCGGTCGTTGAACATGGCGCCGGTGTTGTGGAAGGGGTAGATGAGGGAGAGGACATCGGTGCCGTTGACTTGGGAGACTTTGAGGTCGAAGACCTTGTACTGGCCGAGGGCGGGCTGGGCGGCCCAGACCAGCTCTCCCATTTGATCGTAGATATACGCACCCACCCACGCAGGCGCGCGGGCGTCATTGTCGATGTTATCGTAGGGCGCAATGAACCAGTACGACCCCGGCGACGTCAAGGCCTGCTGGTCGTAGACGGTGATATCCCATTTGGGCGCCTGGAGATCGGGTCGCTGAAAAGCGATCAGTACGTCGGCGGAGGAAGGGTTGCGACGACGGGAAGTGATTAACCTACCGTCCTGTAGTGGAACCAGCGATCGTTTTCCTCGTCAAACTTCTGGCGCGGAGTCTTGCCTGGTGGCGCGGCATGGCACGCAGTAAGGAGAAGGGAGAAGACTAATAAGGCGAAGGAAAAGCCGTAGAGGCGACGAGAGGGGGAAAGAGCGTGCATGACTTGCGGAGGGAAAGGAGCGCGGGCAGTCAAAAGAGCGAATGGAGGTAGACAGAAGGATGTGGGTGAGGCGGGATGAAGTAGGTAAGTACTCACCCCTATCTATAGGGAGGGGAGGGTACAGTGCCTCATTTGGCAACATCTCGACAGCGGGATATAGGTGGGAGACTCATTGCGGCGATGCTAGTTCTGGAGATCAGTCGGCAACTCTGACGGGGCCTAGTCGAGCAGGCGGGGACAGGTGAGCGAATGATGGAGAAGAGCAGGGCAGCGCGGCGAGACCAGTCCAATGAGGGTGTGACAGGCGAGTCTCCTATCTGTCATGCAAATTTCCCGGCCGCCGCGGTGTCCGTACCTTTAGGGGAGCGACTCGGGCATACGAAAGGGATGTGAGCGCTTGGGCCGTGCGCGGCAGACAGAGAGCCAGCCAGCAGGGGATATTAGACCGTGACAAAAGAAGCGATTCACTGCAGTCATGCCAAAGAATTGGGGAGCTGACTCGCTTCTTTTGGTAAGGTCAGGTACGGTACGTGGCATGTCAGCCGACAGCCAGCCAACCAACCAGTCAGCCCTGAAAAGGCCCGGGGGGAAGCTCGAAATGGGAAGTATATTCTTGCTCCTTACGGACGGCCTTGCAACATGAACGAGATGATGGAGGCAAAGCGTGGAAAATGCGTGTGGCATGAGAGATGGTTCTTGACTTACATGTCCCAACCCAGCGCGGTCGTGGCACCTGCAGCATGCCGCAGCACGACGCGTCCCGGACACGCACCCTACTTACCTGAACCTTCATCGGGGTAAGACGCTTTTGCAAATCCCGAGGCGGTGGGGCCGCGGACGCCATCTTGGGGGGCGAGCTCCTATGGCTGCGCCGGGCACGAGCAGAGTAGAGTAGCGTCGGAGCGCCGTCTTCAGCGCCTGTCGTTGACTGCAAAGGTGCTGTGTCGACATGAAGTGAAGTCCATGATGATCTAATCCTAGCGGGTTAGTAATAGCCTACAGTATGGCTTCATGATGTCGACGATGCATGTGGTGCCTGTGTGCAGTGCGCCTCAAGCTAATTACTAAAATTAAGCATTGACAAGCATTCCGGAAAGGGAAAGGCTTGCCGCTGACAGGCTGCTCCGCCCCACAACACACCAGACATTCACACCTCACCTCACTGCCTCTCCGGCCACCAGCAACTGTATTCTTGCCGCCACTCGAACGAGAGCAGTAGCAGCAGCCGCTTGATAGCGATGGTGGTGGTATGTCAGAACCACTGCAACATCCGCTGACTCTCGTTAATTCGCACCCGATGAACGACGATCACCGCCAACCAGGTTGGCCTTCACGAGACTATGTTCCTGCAAACAACTTCCGCCCCGTCTCAGCTCGCGCCCACATCCAGCTGCACAGCCCTTCTCCTCTTCTATCAATAAATTAGGCATCCAGGCGTGCTGCTATTCCTGTCTTGCCTTCTGCAAGCCTACCAGCCCTGCGTCAGCTTGGCAAACTCCTCCTCCCCAGATGGGAGAGGCCCTGTCAGACCGTCCTGCTTTTAAAGATCCACCGTCTCATTGCTATTAATTCTCTTTCCAATCATCTCAGACACTCCCATCCTTGCACTCTCAAAACCCGCCGGCCCCTTACGCTTTCCGTCGATTTTCCATCCGCATCCAATCATGTACTCCCTCTTTTTCCTCTCGCTTCTCACCGCTGCCCTTGCAGCCCCATCTCTCGCCCCCCGCCCCACTTCAGACTCATCATCATGCATGTGCGCCGACGACGCCCAACAAGTGGCCTCCAACTTCCAAGCCCTCATCGGCCAGCCCTTCAGCGCGACTCTCGCAGAAGCTGCCCTCGCCCCAACCTTCACCGACTACTCCGACAGCGTCATCGAACTAATCAACGCCGGCTGCCCCGGCCCCCTGACCCTCGGCAACCCAACGTTTACCTCTCGCGAAACCTTCATCCAGGGCCAGGGCAAGCAAGCACCGATTCCATTTCAGATTCTCAATCTGTACAACACGTGCAGCGCCGTCATTCTGCGATGGCGCTCGTCCGCCCCGGGTTTTGTGCAACCTGAGCAGCAGGTGACGGGGATCATCATCCTCGAGACGGTGGCCAACCCCGATGCAGCAGCTGCCGCCAGTCAGCCTTGGTTGATTGAGACCGTCTACTCGGAGTTCAACAGTGGTGCTTGGCTCATTGACGTTGTGAGTGTGGCGCGGCTTGTGTCATTCTGCTCATCAAAGACTAATGTGATTGTTCAGGGCAATTTCACAGCGTCTTGCAATGCCCCTACTCGACGAGACGGGGCGTTTGCGGGGCGAATGCACGCGTCCATCCGTAACGTCGGCCGAAGGACTCTCCTCTGAGCGATGATGCCGATGACTGGGGAGTCTTGTTTTGCTCGCTTGTTGTACATATTCGCTGGTAATAACTGCCGTAATTACATGTAACAATGCTCAATTTTATTGCTGGGATGTTAATGGCTCCACCCAACAGCCTGTGGCTAGACTGGAACAGATCTGAAGAGACCGAGATGCGAAACCGTGCTCGGCACGTCTAGGAGTTTATTTGCACTCACACGCAAGCTATCTAGATGACCTCTAGCATTCCAGCCTCCGTGAGGCCCCGATGCTCCATTGTTATCCCACCCAGAACGTCAGCGCCTACGCTAAGATATCGAAACACCGCAAATGGTCGCCAAGCATCACTTCTTCTTCCGCAGACTCTGCCCCTCGCCTGCGAAGTGCTTCTTCTCCGCTTGTTCTCCTTCTGCTTCGTTGTCCTTTCGCTTGACGGGCTTGATCTCATAGCCAAAGAACAGCTTTCCGGGCGGTAGACGTAGGGGTTGTGGGCCGTTGCGTTTCTTCGCCGAGGTCTTCAACGCGGCAATTGCAAGGGGAGAGTGCCCGGAGGCGCCAGCACCCAGCACGGGCGTACTTGAGCCGGGGGTAGAAGCGGGGGACGCCGTCAGCGACGCCTTGCCCTTCTTCGCCACCAACTTGTTGCCCGAGCCTGCAAAGTTGGAATTCGCCTTTGCATGGCCCTTGGCCGCGGTGTCGGAAGACGGGGCGATGGCAGAGTAGTTGATCGCTTGTGCCATGGTGCCCTCCGCGTGCATCATGCCCCCCTTCCGCGCCATCTCGCTCCCTATACTCCGCGGTGTGCTCGTCCCACTGGCGCGCGTGGGCTCTTGATATCCCACCGGCGGCGCGAAGTCGACCTCCAAATCCGTCTCTTGCACACTTACGGCGTGTTTGTCTCCGTCCGGCTTCACTTCCAGGACAGCAATCTCATAGATGGTGTCGTTGTAGCTGAACGTAAAGACATCGCCGATGGTGAGGCAGGAGAAGTTGCGAAAGGCCGTCTCCAGCACAGCCTTGGGGTCGGAGATTTCGAGGAAGTTCGTGTCTTGAGGCTGGAGTTTGATGAAGTGGCCAGGCGGTAGATCGGTGCTCTTGGTCTGCAGGAGGTCCCCGGGTTCCAGCTGCAGCGTCTGCATCAGCCAGAAGGGCAAGTAACATCTACCCTCTTCCGCTGTGAACTCCAAGACACCCGCGTGCGTGCTCTTTCCCTTTGCCCCGTTGACCAGTTCGAACAGCATGGGGTAGGTGATGTGGAGTTGGGTGAGCTTGTCGAGGGCGGAGGCGGGAAGGAACATCTTGCCACCGTGGTTGACGGATTCGCGTTCGGGGCCGGGCATCATGGCGGTGGGGTAGACGCGATAGTATTCGTCGAAGCGCCGCGCGCGTCCACCAGCACGTTGTGCAGCCATGGCCTGCCTGTACATGGCCATCGGGTCGTTGTAGTAGTCCTGTGAATGGCGTGAGCAGGTGAGGACGCTCGTCATCGTGTTATAAGCTGGTGGAGGCACTTACCATGTTGGAGGTCAGGCGGACAAGGGCAGAGGGGGCAAGGGGATCGGACGCAGGAGAAGAGGGAAGAGAGAGAGCCTTGAGGATTGCGATGAAGGGTGAAAGAGGATGGAAGTGAAGAGAGAGAAGGTGCGGTACCTGAGCCAAAGGTCGGGTGTCTTGACAAAGCTCGGAGTTTAGGTTGCGAGCGCCGATGCACATTCACATGCGAATGACGACACCTGCGAGCTTGCGCATTTAAATGTTGACGATTCCGCCTTCTATCCCCTCGCTCGAATTACAGTATAATCGTCTAGGATCGAAATTGGCACCTAGATATGCTTGCGTCAAATGCGGTGCAGCCAGTCTTGACGCCTCACACAGCCACCGTCTCTCCAATATCACACAACCCAGCTCCCTCTCTGGAAGTATCAACTGCCTCGCCATCCCCTTCAATGCCGCCTCCTCGCCACAAATCTTCCTTCTCAGCAGCCTCGCGCCATCGTCGAGGAGGCTCGGTGACCGGCTCGTATTGCCCGGAGACGCCGCCTCGCACCGTGCCATAATGCATGCCAATGCTCAGCCTGGATCGAACATCCTTGTGGATTTGTAGAGCCTGCTCGGGCGAGCAATGCACCGCGCCCATCATGCTTGGCGGCTTGAACAACCCGATGGGAAGCAGCGCGAGGTCGAAGGGCCCAAGCGTGCTGCCAACCTGAGCGAAAGTCGGACATGCTGATGGTGTGTCTGGTGCTTGGTACCCAGTATCTCCCGCAAAGTACAGCTTCTTTTGCGCTGCTTCCAGGCTCCACGAACACCAAAGCCCGTGGTCTCCGTCGAACGCACTGCGCCGTGAGGCGTGCTGGCAGGGCGTTGCGGTCAACGTGACGCTTCCCACCTCGGGCACGCGCACTTCTACGCTCTCCCACCAGTCCATCTCCGTCACACACTCCGGGGGACATATGTGCTTCACAAACCAAGGTTTGACGTTGAGTGGGACGAGAAAGTGAATATTGGCTCCACGCCGTTTGTAAAGCTGGCTCACTGCATCATAGTCGAGATGATCGTAATGATTGTGAGATATGCAGACAATGTCGACATCGGGGGTCTCAGAGAGCAAACATGGAGTCGGCGAGTAACGTTTGGGTCCGAGGAAGGAGAAGGGGCTCGTCCGTTCGCTGAAGACGGGGTCGAAGAAGATGCGAACTCCTCTTTTCGCTCCTTGCGTCACAGGCGTCTCGACGAGAAAAGATGCATGGCCGATCCAAGTGGCGCGGAGCCGATCTGGCCGGTCCTGAGCCCAGTCTGGACGTCGTACGTTGACAAGCTCGCCTGAGCGCTGTCCATTGGCACCCTGAGGAACGGGGACGAATGCCTTTTCGGGATGGTCGCCGTAGCGTGTTTTCAACACTGTGGACAGCGTTGGTTTGTTCTGACCGGACGGCCACGGATTGCGGAAGGCGGTTGGAGGACTACCTACGTGATGACTTGTGGCGGACGAGGAGTCGGGGCTGCGTGATGGAAGTGGCTGAACAGTCACTGCACTCATTTTTCTGAAATGTCGTGAGGCGCGGTTGATGGTTTGTTGAGGCGTATGTGTAGCACGATTGAAGGCCACCTGGAGAGCGTGGTGTGGACGGGCGTGGATCATCGAACGATACTTGAATGCCTGCTTGACGTCAACGGCCTACGAAAGCGGTGATCGCTGATGCGGTTGGGCATTCTGGCCGACTGATAAGGTGAACAAGGCGTGAAAGAGGATGTATAATCCTCGCTGCCGTTGTTGCGAGAAACGAAAGAATGTTCCGAGAGTTGTGGATATGGACGATGTGAAGTTGGGCCATGTCGTCATCCATATGGACAGGCCGGATCTTGACTCTTTCCCGTGTCCGCCTCCTCTCTAGATCATGCGAGTACTCTGAATAAACTTCATGAACTGAGGAAGACTATCGAGCCGTCCAATAGAAAAGTGATTGTCTCTATTAACTCGTAGCCACCCTAAGTCGCACCCATCTTATCCGACTCGAAACGATTGTCGGATGACGAGTGTGGACGCCGACGCATTATCTGCAGCAAGTAGCATATTCAGAAAACACCAGGCCCCTTGCATACCCATATCAAGTCATGCTCTCGTATTCCTCGTGTCCGTAAAACGATTAGTTCCCCACCGTCGCTGAAACGTCACTCAAAGACCATCTTGACGCCGAAAAGCTCCAGTCTTCCCACTACTCTCCGCCGACAAACCGGACATTGATCGATCTTGAACGCACAATCCCGGCATGCCAGGACGTGGCCACAGTCGTAGAAGGCGGTGTTGATCTCCTTGTCGTAGCAAATACTGCACCACCCCTTGTCCTCCTCCGTCATGTGGCCCTTCAACACAAACTCCCCGGACTTCTTGCCGTGCTTCCACCCGCCCTCGTAGACATTCTTCGTTTTGGCTTCTGTCAGCGTCCCAGTGCCGTGGTGCTGGTCTTGTAGCCATTGGCCTTCGTAAACGTTGCCGGTGCGAGCGTAGACCATCTTGCCGAAGCCGCATTTCTCTCCGGCGACAAACGCGCCGGTGTACTCGTCTCCATTCATGGAGATGAGGTGTCCTTCGCCGTGGTATCGATTGCCCAGCAAGGAGCCTCGGTAGTATTCACGGCCGAGATGCTCGATAGTGCAGCCAGTACATAGAAAGTCGGAGCCGTCTGTGGTGTCACGGGCAGACATGGCCTCGCCATCGCTCATGATAATATCCTCGCCATCCGTGATCCACGCACTCGGCGTTGCGCCCCCCGTGACAGCATCGGTACTCTTCTGGCTTTCCTTCTCAGTTGCAGCGATGATATGCCGTTCCATCTCGGCACTCATCTCTCCTGGACCGATCCCCGTTTGCGCCGGAGCTGGCCGATCACAGGTCTGTTTCGGTGGCTCGCAGAGCTTCACATTCTCCGGCACATCCCATTCTTCCGTCACTCGTGTATCCGTGAGGAAATGCCGGTAGTCATCACGGACATAGTAGACCACATGGGCAACCTCGTCCACGTCGTCGAAGCGGAGGAATTTGCGGTGACGAGAACTCGACTGCCGCGCTTCCCTCGTGGTAGCAGCAAGATCCACCCCACAGTGCGCATCGACGGCTTGCTTCCATGTCATGGCCGTCACGTCGCCGTCACTATAGGCATACCACAGGCTTTGCGGCCCATTCGGTCGGATGTAGACTTTGAATTTGTTGGATGTCAGGTCGCCACAGTGGGTGGAGAAGGCGTATAGGATGTACGGCTTGCCGTTGACAATGATGCGATTCTGCATCTCCACTTTGGCGGAAAGCTTGCTCCACTTCCTTTCCTTGCGATCGAATTCTGCCCTCTCCAGCTCGAGCGTGAGCAGAGCTGGCGTGGCCAAGGAAGTCGGATGGCTATCAACCGCCGACTGAATGGACGTTTGAGTCTTCGTTCTCAGCCTGTTGGCACCCACAGCGGCTCCTTGGTCGGGATTGAAGTCTCCGATCAGCTCATCGACGACGCTTGGGTTGGTATCCTTTTTCAACTCAATTGCAACATGCCGTAACCACGCCACGGCGTCACAGGGAATGTTGGCAGCTCCGTTGGCCGGTTCGCCGTAGGTGTCGGAGCGAGTGCGAGACATCATCTTCCAGAGTAAGCACTGAAGCCAGTATGCCATCTTGACATCCTTGCTCTTGCAGATGAAGCCCCGGAGTGGCGCGAAGTGTAGGAGTGGAAGCTTGGCACTGTACATTGGCGTGAGCGGGGCGAACGGCCGAAGGCCCGTCAGCGTGACACTATCGTTGTAACAGTCCGTTCCGTGCGCCCACATGCAACGGGTGGGATCGTGGACGAGGCGGACGTATGCACTGAAGGCCAGCTTGTCGTCGCGAAGAATCGCCTGACGCTGTCCGTGCATTCGAAAGGCGAAATCGGGGCGAGCGTAGCGGGTGAAGCGCGTCCAGCCGTAGTCGGAGGATTGTTTCGTGAATTGATGGGCGTCGATCTTGTGCTCGTAGACGCGCGGCTCTGCCGGATTGTACATGACTATCCCGAGCTGCACCGCTTCGCTCGTGCGCAGTCTGAGCTTCTCGCAGCTAGCAAGAAAGGGAAGCGCGGGGTTGGAGAAGTCCTTGGAGGCTTCAAAGTCATCCGACTGCATCGTCACGCATTCCAAGTAGAGGCTGAGGTAGTCGGAGTCGTTGCCTTTCGGGTAGAATTTGATGCACCAGTCGTAGCCCCCGATGCGAACGGGCGGGGAACGCATTATAAGCTCCTCATTCGGCTTCTCCTTCGTCCCGTTGTAGCCATCCACCGTCCAATCGATCCTGCCACTTGCGATGGGGTACAACTCCGGATCCTCAAGATCGAAAAAGATCTTCTTTTCCCAATAGCTGTAGTCCAGCGCACTATGCTCGCCCCTCTGAGTTATGTATGCGAGCTCGTCTTCACAAGGCTGCGATTTGTCCTCTGGAATGGGGAGCCAGCGAGCCTGCCTGTCTTGCTCTTCGTTCTCGTCCTCGCCGCCATCTTCACCGTCGCTCTCGGAGCCATCTCCTGATTCGGAGTGATGTCCAGGGTCGGAGCTGGCACGCAAGCGAGCCTGCTCACCAGTTTCCGGTGGTGCTTGCGTGTTCGGGGCTGGGGGAATAGGTCTGTCGGAGGTGGGAGGCATGGTGATGAGGGAGGATGGAGGGGGTGGGGCCGGCGGAAGGCCGGAGTGCAGACTTCTGTCGTGGTTGTGGATTGGGGTGTGGTGGTCGCCCAAGTTGGTGCTCGGTGCGAATGCGGGCTGCAGTGGAGGTTCGGTGAAGGAGAAGAAGTGAGTGTTGGGAGGGTCGAGAGAGGGCGGAGGCGGCGGAGCGTTTGACGCCATGGTCAACGCCCCGCAAGGCTGACTGAGACAAGGTTGTCGTATGTCTGGACGATGTCGATCAGCCAGTCGGCTGGAAGAGTCTGACACAGTGAGTTGGTGGTGTTGGCAGAGGAGGGGAAGAGATGTAAAGTGGAGTGATGGATGGTGAAGCACAAGTGGATGGCCGGCTTATTGTCGGGCCTTGAACAACACGCTCTTCACGCACCTGGGCGGTGTTTCGCATGTGAAGCCGCAGCTGGGCAGCTGGAGACGCAGAAGTCGCAGGGTGATGGGATTGCCAAGATTGCCCCGCTACAACCACGGCATCCCACCAGAAGTTGTGTTGGGTAGGTGCAAGGGTCGAGGCGAGAGGGCGAGGGTGTCCTGGAGCCAGCATGAGGCCTGGGGATGGGTAATGTGGTCAAGAGCGGCAGACTGGGAGTCACCACACCTCCACCGGCATGTCAGGCTGCAGCAAGCAATCCCGGCGCGCCGATCACCCTTCGCCGCCTCGCCGCGTGGGGGTCCGGTGTGGCTTAAGTGCCCCGCATTTCGCCGGCGACGAATAAGGTTCAAGCCGTGGTTGTTCGTGAACCCTGCACCCGTACCTGTTGCCGTACCTGACGTGGTAATCAAAGGCAGGTACGTACCGAGACGACGCAAACGCCATGCGGGCAGCTGGAGGAATCCTCCAACACACACTCAGCGCTCGGCCCTCGCGTCCACTCGGGCAAATGTAGCCGCCACGATCAACGGGAATGCCAAAGTCGCCTCGGCGTAGACCTGCACCCACAGCATCAGCATGCCCTCAGCCGGCAGGGCTGCGTGCGAAGCGATGGACTTACCTTGACGCTTTGTGCATCCGCTTTGATCTTGCCCCAGCTCACCGCCTCGTCTGGTCGGGCGCCGGCGTCGCTTCCATCGAACTCCTGGGCAGTGTTGATGTACACCGCGCTCTCCGCTCCGTTGCGCATCAAGCAGGCATTGGCGATGTGATGTTTGACCACGCCGCCGCCGAGGATGATCATGCCCGCCCGTTTCGCCCGCACCGCCAGCGTATTGATGCGCCGGATGTCCTCGACAATGTCCACCCTCAGCTGCTCCGGGGACGACTTGAAAGTATGGAAATAGAGCATGTCGCCCAAGCTCCCATCGGTGAGCGCCGGGCAGAAGACGGGAATGTCGTTTTTGTACGCCCAATAGTACACCGATCGCTCATCGTCGATCTCCTTCCCCAGCCGAGCAATCACTTTGCTTGGAGTCCAGTGCTGAGGCTCGTCGGTCTTCTTGCTGGCTTCTTGTTCCTCGAGCATCTTGTCCAGGATCGGCACGACCCAGTCCTCAAAGGCGCAGTAGTTGCTGTTGGGTACTATCAGATTCCCGATGCGATTCATGCCCTGTTGTCGCAGAGTCGCGCCCGGGGTGGTGAAGGAGCCGAGGTATGTCGGGGCCAGGCATTTGATAAAGTCCTCCTCGACACCGCCCGCGGTAGTCACGATGGCAGAGACGTGTTTGTGCTGGACGAGCCAGCGGAGGGTCTCTCGCAGTCCCGACGAGACAAGATTGGAGGTATAGCCCAGGAAGATGGTGGTCTTGTCGCCGGTGTCCGGGTCAGTCCATTTCCGCTGCCAGCAAGTCAGTACTGTTGGGATACCAGGCACTACGCAACGCAGCAAGACTTACCATGCCGTCCACGATTTGGACCGCTTGACCGATGGACGAAGCCTGGAAGCCCATGTTGGCCATTCCATCCACCAGCTCGCTCACACTGATGTTGCGGTGTGCAAACTTGCCAAATTCTACGCCCTCGACCGGAATCGCGCCGTCCGGCACGGGATTGGAAGGCTTGAGGACAGCATCGGTGACGGCGGTCGGCGCGGCGCCGTTGGGCGACATGATTGCGAAACGAGCAGGACAGCGAGGGCAGGACAATGCTCCGGCACGCGACCAGTAATGCACTCAAAAGTCGTGCACTTCAGAACGGCGTTTTCAATCTGCATAAACCCCCCAGCCGAGCGAATTAACTTTGGGGGCGCGACGGCGGCTATGTGGAGGCGTATTAAATTTCGACAAACCACGAGTCAAAAATTCAGAGGGCGAGAGCGGCTACCTGTCCCCTACTTCTCCTCGGCGGCTTATTCAGGCATGTCCTCGCGCCAAGATTCGCTCCCATAAGACTGAAGCAAACCCGCGCTCATCATTCCACGACCTCTCTTCCATCCATCTACCAACCTACATGTATTGACGAAGTGGTAAGATTACGTTCACCTGCTCCCCTAAAAGCGAGGCCTGGAAACCTTGCGCGGGTGAGACACGGTTCGTTAAGTTATTATTTCATCAGTTGGCACTCTCCAACTTGCCGGATCTTGAAGCTGATCGTCCCCGCATGCCGATCCTGTCCGATTTACGTCGTCGTCCATCACACGGAAGTCCCTTCCCTTCGCCGTCAAACGCGCAACAGTCATGTCGGCCGACTCCCTACATGCCTCCACCAACACGCATTGCCTACATTCCTGATGCACACATGCATGATGCAAGAGGAAGAATACACTGGAAGGCTAGACGGGCGGCTGCTTGCCGCACGTGCTGCAGCCAAACGGTCCGTTGACCCTAAAAGAGGCGATACAAGGGTTGTCATTGGTCGCTTTGCTTCGACAGCGCCGCTTTGCGACAATTGCGTCGCGACTGCTCTTGGCCTTTTCCGGCCACGCGCGTGCCGTCTAGCTTATTATTCAAGTTACTCCCGGTCGGGTTGTGCGCAATCTCCTGCTTCTGACATGAACATCAACTTGCCCTCTCCTTCCTGCCATTGGCCACCTGCAGCGCCGCACGAGAATCAATCTGTCCGGCCTCGTCTTGACTTCGCAACGCTCCACGATTTCAGTCGGCCCTCCATTCTCCAGCCGATACGCGCTCACCTCGGACGCCGGGGCTCTTGGAACAGCCTCTGCCAATCCTGCAGCGTCGTCACTTGCTACGAGCAGTGGCTCGGGATCGATCCCATACGCACGCGCATCGCTTTTCATTCCTCCCTCCCCCGTCCCGTGCGGCGTGCGTGCGTCGCGAAATCTGCCCCTCGTCAGCTGCGCCTTCTCCGCTTGTCACCGACTCCCAAACGACGGCACGGGCCCGGATCTCGAAGCCGCCGAATTTAACCTTTCGCGCCAACGCCCCGCTAACGTGTTTCCGCCCGGCGTGTGCGTCGATCCGCCACCTGGAACTTTACCCGATCGATTCCTGCATCCTGCACCTCCGCGTTTCCCTACCCAGAACACCTCCACTACACACCCTCCCGCACCCCATTGCCCGACGCGCATCGCGGCACTCACCACCGAGTCTGGGGAAGTCCCAGGCCCTCTCGCAAAGCCTGCCCACTCGTCCCCAGCGGTCTCATGGAAGCAGCACGTTAGGCGCGTTCTGCTATGTCTCGATATCCCCCTTCGTCGGACTACCGTGGCCCCAGAGACCGCTCTCGCTCGCCCCCGCGCTTCGCTGACCGCCGCCCATCGAATGCTTCCAACTTTGACTCTCGTCCACCCGCCCCTCCCCGAGCGGCTACCGACCTACCTCGCGGCCGGCCTCCATTTGATGTTCCCCGTCCTCCACTAAACCCTGGTCCCGGGAGCGCTGGCAATCCTCGACCGGCGTATACCTCGCTGAGGGATGCACCACCGCTCGGGAGCGGCGACGGCGGCAGATCGTATCGCGAGCGCGAATATGACCGCCGCGACAGGCCTCCTTCACCTCGCGACCGTTCACCCCCGAGAGGCTTCAAGGACGTACGAGACTATCCTCCACGGGATGGAGAACCAAGCAGAGCGCGTCGAGACTCGCGCGATGGCCATCTCTCTGTAGGCGCTGGATCTTTGGATACTCAGCCGTACCCCGTTGCTGGACCAGCACGGAACTTTCCGGCGCGGCGAGCCGCGCGTGTAGCTCGTGGTGGTCGGAATACTTTTGACGACCGAGATCTGTTTCGCCGCGATCGCTCTCCCCCACCAACATGGGCCAGAGACTCGTCCCGTGATAGTCGAACTTCGGATCGCCGCGATGACCGACGCTTTGAGCGTCGTGAGGACGAGCGAAGGCCTTCCGAATGGGCCGATCGAGAGCGAGACGCCGACCGCGCGCGAAGGGATTCACTCCCCTCAAAGCCTGACTCCCGGCCCGGACTTGATTCTGCGCCACTTGGGAATGCAAGCTATCAGCCATCGCAAGCCGCGCACGTCAATCCCGCCCGGCTCGCCCTGATCGAGAATTCCGCGGCGCCCGAACCCGCAGTTCGCAGACATTCGGTCCAGCTTGACCGCCCAACTTCTCGCGATGGGAGGAGAGATCAGCCAGAGACCCCTGCCTATCTCAGCGGCCGTGCGGAGACCACTGCAGATCGATACGGCTCACGAGGCTCGTCACCTCCCACACAGGCACCCCCGGTCCCCGCTTTTACCTTGTCGTTTGCGCCGACCGCTGCCACGACTGCTTCACATGCTGCGACGCCCAATACCGGCGCAAAGTCAACTGTGGAACCCAAGCCGACCAGTACTGCGCCAATAACCAGCACGCAGCCAACGATAAGTGGCGCAAATGACGACAAGTCCGAACCACCCCCCACTGCACCCATTGCGCCCAGATTACCACCCGCTGCTCCCAAAGCCCAACTTGTGAGCCCACCTCCGGCTGCTGCACCCAAAGCTCCTCGCGCACTCGAAAATGAAGAGCCCACAACATCAGCCAGGAAATTTGGCTTCACGAGACAGGCTGAAGCTCCTTCTGGAGCTGGCCCCTTCGCGAGCACACCCCATGTGCCCCGTGCAGAAACGAGACCGTCAAATGCACCGCAGGCTCCGGCCTTCAATCCACCAGCCTCGCCAATCGTGTCGCAAGTTCCAAGACCTGTCGACGTGAACCCCCCGACAGGGCCGCGTGCGTCTCGTGTATCTCCCGCACAAACATCCGTGTCTCCACGGCCGCCTTTCGTTGCACTCCGTGGCGACTCTGCTGCACCTGCCGGGCCTGCCGTCGCACCGCGCGCTCAGACTCCTCCACCGTCCGCACCATCTGGGCCACGCAATAGTACGTACAGCGTCTCGCCTAAGATTGCAACGTCGTCGGTCCCTACGGCGCCCAAAGCCGATCGAGCTCCGCCCATTGCGCCACGAGCTGCTGATCGCGCGTCGCTACATGGTAATCGAACAGCCGAGAGGCTCAGCGCGGGCACACCTTGGGCTCCACCATCAGCCCCGCGAAGTCAACCACAATGGAATCAATGGAGACGACCTGGTGTTCCAGTCTATGGTGACAAGACCGTGCCAGCCAAACGAGACGTGTTCGGCGAGGAGAAGGGGAAATTCCCTGAGCAAGCTACCCCTGTCGCATCCGCGAATACGTTGATGCGGCCTGGCAACTACGGGCATGCGACAGCGAGATCGTCAACTACGCGCGACGAGATCCGAAAGGACGATTTGATGGACATTGATCGGCAAACGACCGAGCGCAAACCAAGCATGATGGCTGGCCATTCCGCAGTGCGATCATTCTTTGGCAAACCTGCTGAGGGAGAGGACGAAGAGAGCAGTACGACCGATAACGCCCAAGAGCCTGTTTCAAGCAGCGAAGACGACGACTCCGACCTCGAAAACGATATCGCGTTGTTTAACGCTAAGTTTGAGCGAGAGAAGAGGAATCTCGAAGCGCAGATGGTGAATCTTAGCTCGCGCCAGTACCGTGCCACGACGCCCTTGGAAAACCTCGCTCGACTGGCCAGAATCTCTACCCGCGACCTGGAGACTCACAAAGAGCAGCGAGAGCACGCGATGGATGTTCATCATTCTCCGGTCGCGCGGAGAAATCACGTGCTTCCGCCTACGCGGCACTCGTCTGACAGTGCTGAGGTCCCGGATGTTGTGACGCCGAAAGATGAACACGAGCATCGCGTTACCATCCGATCCAGCGATGACAGTTCGGAGGGTATACGACGAGTGCGAAGGGTCACGCCAGAGCCCGTGCATCTGCCATATCTGCTCAAAACTGTTCACTCCCCTCTTGAGGAAGGCGATGTATTTGCGGAGAGTCTTAAACGACATGAAGAGAGCATAGCAGAGATCTTGGACGGAATTGAAGAGGACACGCAAGCGGAAGAAGACCTTGCAGCAGATGTTGAAGATCAGTTTGCTATAGAGTATCGAAAGTGGCGGGAGGAATGCGAAGATTTGGATCGACTTCGCGAGGAACAAGAGAAGCTTGAGAGACAACAATCCTTGGAACCAAGGCTTGAATTGGACGCTCCGCTAGCGCCCCCGGCCAGCCTCATGTTCCAAGGCAGGCGTGCGTACAAATCGAGCAGCGAATATGAAATCGAAATGGTCTTGAAGCAATCGGAAGAGACTGCGCGAATCGAGCAAGAACGGCAGGATCGGGAAGCCAGGAAGAACCAGGCTGATATGGAAAAGGAAGCACTCGTCCCCGACCAATTTACCGAAGAGGAGGCCACACAGTGCATGTTCATCGACAACAATCGCTACCGCGTCCCCGAAACTCTGACAGCGGTCTTTTCGTATGAGCCACCGGCCGACAACTTCACCGAGAACGAACAACACATATTCATTGCTGCTTTTAAGGAAACACCAAAGAAATGGGGCGAGATTGCTTCGCTGTTGCCCGGCCGGACCTATCAAGACTGCATCCGTCACTACTACGCCAATAAGTGGGATGGTCGTTTCCATGACAATCGCGCAAGAAAGATCAAGGGTGGAAGAAGGGGCAGAGGCGGAGCCCGTGGACCTCGTGGGCGCATGGGAGGCCTGATGGCCGATCTTGCGCGCACCGAGGACTTCATCGGCACCGAAAACATGTCGGAGAAGGGCCGGCCGCGACGCGCTGCCGCACCGACAAATTTCGGCGAAAAGGAAGTGGAGGCGAAGGCCAGCCTCCTTGGCGTGTCACCCGCGAAGAAGGCAGGCCCGGGGTCGAAGGGCGATGCGAACGAGCAACCGGGACTAGACAAGCCAGGCAAGCGGCAGAAGCGCAACGGGGAGAAGCCAGGACGGAAGAGCAACAAAGCCAGCCAACCCCTGGCGGCGCTTGCTGCCGCACCGAACGAGTCGCCTGGAAAGCCGTTCGCACACCCAATGCACTCGAAGGAAGAACTGGCCGATGCCAGCGTTCTGGCTAACATGCACACCGGTGCTCGTGGTAACATGGGTGACGTGCGACTGGTGTACCACCAGGAAGGCTACATGCAGCAAATGATGCCGCCATTAGAAGAAGGAGACCGTTCCAAAGGCGGTGCGCCAGGCCCTGCTGTCAAACAGGGTGCCTCGAGTTACTGGTCGGTGCCTGAGCAAAACGATTTCAAAAAGTACATTGGTCACTTCGGTCGAGACTTTCAAGCCATTGCGCTCCACATGGGCACGAAGACGCAGACCATGATTAAGAATCATTATCAACGTCAAGTGGACGGTGGGAATCAACCAGAGCTGGAGCGGGCTGCGATCGAAGCGGACGAGCGCAGAGCTCGCGGCGAAGACATGGGTCCTCCACCGACGCCGACCCCCATACAGAAGCGTAAATACGAGGGCTCTGCCGTGCCGTCTCATCGACCTCTTGCGCCGCATGCTGATGACGGCGAGATGGAAGAGGGCGGATCGTCGCAGCGCTTGACCACGGCCAAGCACGCTTCGCCGCCGCAGTATCAGGGTCAGCCGCGCTTCACCACTTCCACTCAGAATGCATCCATCACAGCTGCTCGGTTCGCGCCAAGTCCTCTGTCGACTTCTGCCGCGCTGTCGGCGCCTATGCCTTCTGCTTCCCACTCCCGACCTATGCAGCACCCGCTTGGGTCCCGAATATCATTCTTGCCGGAGAGTCGCCCCGAGGCAGGAGTCGGGGCACAGAATGTCTTTGGATATCGCGGTGCGCAGGAGAGTCCTTCACGTACTCAGCCATCCCAGCCGGGCCGACCGGTCAAAGACGCCACCGATTCTTCGTTCATTCGTAACCTTGTCCAGGAACGCGACCGGGCTCTGCAGATGCAAGAACGGCATGGCCACGCAGAACGCCCGGACCAGTTCCAGCTGCATCCCTCGATGTCTCGGTCCCAAACGCAGGGTCCACCTGCCACTCAGACTCTGCACAATCACCCGGACCGGAAAGCAGCAGGCTTGGAAGAGCGTGCGTCGTCTCCACCGAGGACACTCTTCTCCCAGTCGGGCCTCTCTCGCCCTCTGTTTGGACCATCCGGCTTTGGCCCGTTTTCATCAAACCCGCTATCCTCCATAACCGGGCGGTCAACATTGAACCCCTCTCCAACGAAACGTGAAGTATCCCGCATAGGCGCTTTTTCACCCGCGCCACCTGCCCCAACGCCAGCTGCAGCTGCTCCACCGTCCGAGCCCAAAAGATCGAACGTGCTCTCGCTGTTGAACTCGGAACCCGAGGGCCCGGCGCCCCCAAAGCGAGACTCCCTTACCCCGGCAACGCAGAAAGCGCCGTCACCAGCGCAGCAAGGATTCTCCACTTCCAGCACGGTGGCAGGACTGTCTGAGACCAGTGGTCCAAGACGTGAGCCATCGTTTGGGCAGGCCTCTCTTCCAAATTCGGCTTTTCAACGCGGGTCGTTCTCCGGACCCAGTTCTACCTCGACCCCAGGCCCCAATCAGGAAGTTGCGAACGCAGGTGGATCTCTCTCGCAAAACCGCAAGCCCGATTGGGCAGCTCATGTTCTTGGCCAGACCAATCAGCCAAGGCCCACCACTCCGACCATTGATCGGGATGGAAGACCTTTGTATCAACATCGGTCGCTACTTGGATCACTAGGCCAGACACGGATCGATCCTGCTCCGCACTCTCGAACATCATCGTTCTCAGGCCCATCAGGGCAAGCACAGCACGACCCGTTGCGAACAACGGTCGCTAGTCAGCCGCAGAACACGGCCCATCGATCCTTGCAGCAACACCCCTATTCCAGTCAACAACAAACTCCCATGCCGACCACTCAGGCCCAGAGTCAGCCGCATCACGCACACGCTACCTCAGCTAGCGGGCCATTCCCAACCTTCCATTCCAGGACTCCAAGCCGTAATGACTACGCAAGACAAGATGCGTCTATGGCTGCACATCGGGAGCGGGAGGAACAAGACATGAGATGGCGACAAAGGGAGGCACTCGAGGTTGAACGGCGGCGAGAGGAGCAGTATCGACAGCAGCAGGAGCAGGAGCGCGAACGCGAACGCCGGCAATCCCTTCAGCGGCCATCGATGCATCATTCGCCGTTCAACGGCAGCCCCTATGGCCAAGGCAGAATTGCTGACTTGCGGGGCCAGTCGCGAATCGAGACCGAAATGGCCATGGAACAGGAGCGACAACGCATGCAACAGCAAGACACGGACCGGCGGAGACAGGAGAGCCGCGAGCGGGAGCGGGTGGAGGATGTTCGGAGGAGACAGCAAGAGGACTCCATGTTCCGCCGCACGCCATTGGGCGGCGCTTTTGGCATACCCCCTCCATCAGGGCCGAGACGATAGGACGACTCCATGACGTGTAGGATTAGCGGCAGCTGCTGATTGTTCCGTACGTAACCCGTGCTCGCGATTCACGTGAGACTTTACTTCACCCTTCTCCAGCTTCACTTCACTTCACCCCTTACAACACGTGTTTGCGCCCCACTGATCACGTGTGTGACTTTTGCTGCGCAACTTCACCGCACCACCAACGGCACGACACCCTCCCATAAATTGAGCACGATCTTCCTCTTCCCTTCTTTACCACCAATACCGCAATCGACCAAGACCCTCCACAGCAACGAGTGACATCCCGAACAAGCACCAGCACAATGCCTATGATCTGGAATGCAGAGGCGGACGCCAAAGTATGCCCAAGCCCAGCATCCTCCCTGTGACCTGTCATCACAACTAACCCAATCTCCTCAGCTCATGGCGCACATCCTGCAAGCCTGCGACGCCAAGCTCAGCGGGGCGCAGATGAAGGAGATCGCGACGCTCATGGGGCCAGGTAGGCGCTGCACTGCCCGCACCGTATATGCGACTTGCTGACGTGTTGAACAGAGTGCACGCCCAAGGCTATTGCGCATCGCATGACGTTCTTCCGCAAGATGGCTGGGGGTGGGGGGACTACGAAGACTGGTGATGCTCCCAAGGGGCGTGGCGGAGGGAAAGGCAGGAAGGGGCGCAAGGGCGGGGAGGAGAAGGGGGGTGATGCATCGCCTGAGGCTGGAGAGGAAGACGACGAAGCGGGGTCTGGAGAGCATTTGGGAACTGCTGCGAAGACGGTGACGGGGAAGCGTGGCCGTGAGGCTGAGGATGGTGAGGAGGGGGATGTGGACGACGCCGTTCACGAGGGGAAGAAGATCAAGGTGGAGGTTGGGGAGGAGGAGGGTGACATTGAATACGATTGAGATGCAGTACGACCGCATTCTCGCAGGAGTCGGTTCCACAGCTGCAATCTGGCTCAGCAAACAAAAGCAGAAGTTGGAAGAGAAATAGCAACACCTGGCAGCAGGGTAGGGAACAGGCATGAGCATCGGCTCCACCAGGACACACTATGCAATATAATCTCTCCGCGTTTCAAGACACGCCAGTCTCCTCAGACCGAATAAGCCCAATGCACGACGCCGTTGCTTCAACCCGGTACGAGCCACCTCTAGCGTGGCTAAGAACAACACGTAAGAACCAAGATTTTGCCCTTTCAGCCAAAAAAGCGATTGACTGTGCTCATCCGCTACATTGAACCCCTCATCGAACTCCAAACAATGCACTCACCCGGTACCGCTCCTGCGCGCGTGTTGGCGTCGACAAGAGACAGGAAAGGCCGGGCTTCCACGTCGCCGGACTCTATCCCCGCGGCGACAAATCACCATCTTCGCTCAGCGCGATGTCGTGCGTTTCGGGCGCATGGTAGTGGCCATTCATGCCATTCGTTGTGGGCGGCGTGGGCCAGTGATCGTGGTCATGGTCGTGGTCCTCTTCCTCAAACTTGCCCACCGCCCCATTCGCATCGAGTTGCTGTTGCATGACGGCTTGCGCGCTGACGATCTCGGCGAGTCGCTTCAGCCGGGGCGTCTGTAGCCAACTAGGCGTGTACGTCTCCAACGCGGTAATGACGCGCGGCTCTGCGATCTCGTATGGACCCGAATCTTCCATGTCGACAGCTTGGAGGAGCAAGACGTCCGACTTGGGGTCGGTGACGCGAGAGGCGACCGCCTTCATGATCTCTCCATTGATGGGCTGTTCATAGTCTGCGACCAGGTACTGGTTCAACAGCTTCTGAATTTGGTTGGGTGACAACCTGTGATGACGTTAGCATGTCCACTACAATGACCATTAGGGTTGACGATTCGCAGCACTTACATCCAGCAAATATCCTGGATGATCTCGATGTCGTTCAGCGTTGCCTTCTTCAGTTGTAGCAGCTTCGTGGCCTGCATCAAATGCTCCAACTGGAGAGTGCCTTCGGGCATGTCGTGGCTCTTACACCACTCTTCGATCCGAGTGATGTTGTAATTAATCTGGAGACCTCGCTTCCAAGAAAGGAAGTTTCTCCGCATCAAGAGATCGTTGAAAGCCGTCACGCCGACCAACCTCAACAGCTCCGTCACGGTCTGGGTGATGATGGAGTCCTCGAGATAGAAGGATTTCATGGCCTTGAACACGTTGTTCAACAGCGAGAGGAGATTGTCCATGCTGAAAGCGGGCTGGTTGTTACTCTGCAAGAGCTTGCCCAGGAAGCGATTGCTTTCGTTCGTCACAAAGCCGGGCAAGGATTGTGATTCGATGATCGCGGGCACGATCATCTTGTGCAGCTTCTTCTTCAGCACCTTCATCCAAGTATGGTAGATGTTGAACTCCAGGCTCTCCAAATCGTGCTTAACAATCTCGAGCAGACGGTCATATTCGAAATTGTCCGTCTTCTGTGCCTCGTACCAGTCCTCTGCCAGGAAAACGAACGATAACATCTCGTGTACATTCGACAGCCAGAAGGCGCCCGGGCTGACAGCCTCATCGCCGTCGTGCTGCATCACCTCTTGCTGGATGGACTGCATGACGTTCGCCAGGAAGCGTTCAGACTCCTTCACAAATCCATTGTTCCACATTTCCGAAGTGACAAGGTTGATGAGGTACGCGGGGAACAACACCTCCTTGTCCGTTGGCGGAGGGGTGGCGCCTGGAGCGGGGATCTTCAGGTTGCGGATCAAGCCCATGGTGACCTCGTCGTTGAGACCATCCTCATCGGCAAGCAAGTTCTCAAGTTCCACCTCGACGTTATCGAGAGGATTGAACGTAGAGCCGGACAGGTTCTGTGCATGTCCTCCTCCTGGGAAGGCCATGGACACCGGTCGAGGATTGAAGGAGCCGCTGAAGCGCTCGGAGTTGATGGCTTCGGGACCAGCACTTCTCCGCTTTGGCTTCTTCGATGACACGAGATTGATGAGTCCCGAGGCCGCCGCAGCCAGCGGGATGCCATTGGAAAGCTCTCCATTTACTGGGGCCGCTCGCTTCGCCAATTCCAGTTGGTCCTGAAGGTCTGCGAGCTGTTGCCGCAAAGACAACTTTTCGGTTTCGGAAGCGGTCTTGGTCTGCCTGGTGACTTCGAGCTCCTGGGTGGTAACGCGAAGACTCTCGCGCAGCGACTTCTCCTCCTCCTGCAGCCTGCGCATGTTGGCAGTGCTGTCCTCGTAGCTCGTCTGCAGCCGATGCATATCGGCCTCCATCGCTTCGAGCTTCGCGGCCGTGATACCTGCCTGGTTCGCCTCGCGCTGGAGGTCGTTCGCCCTCGTCTCCAGCGCGCCGTGTCGTTCGCGCCAGCTCTTGATCTGCGACTCGTAGTTCTGCACCTGGCCCTTGAGCGTGCGATTCTCGCTCCGCATCGTCCCCAGCGACTGCGTGAGCTCGACCACCTTGTTCTCCAATTTATATGAGATTTGTCGCAGGTCTCTGGCCTCTTCGCGCAGCGTCTTGTACCCTTTCCGGGCCTCCTTACCACGCCACATGCTCTGCACAAGCACAACCTTTCTCCTGTAGTCCCTCCAGGACTTGAGCTGTTGGTGGGACCGCCAAGATCGCTGAATGCATCTGGCAGCGTCGCCCAGCCTCTTGTCGAGGATCATCTTTCGGCATATCCATCCCTTTGCCGCCGCTTCAAAGACGATGAGATCGTTTCGGATGCGTAGGTATTTCTTTCTCTCCTTCGTGCCTCTCCAAACCCGCTGGATCGTCGTGGCGCCACGCTGCCTTCGTGCCTCTTCCGCGCGTTGCCGCGCCATGACTGCTCGTGCGAGGGACTGAAATGCTTTGATGCATTCGATTGCCTCGAGGTAGCGGCGACGGTGGTATTTCGCACGCATGTTCTTTTGAATCATGATGGCAGCAGCATTGAGTCGGGCCGTTCGCAGGCCTTCCAAAAAGGCAAGCATGCCTGCGCGGAAGAAGATCTTGGTCAGACCCAGCTGATATTTGTCCGAGCCGTCCATCTTTGTTTCGCCGAGGGCCTTGCGTAGGATTGCCATCGCCATCGGACGGACTTCGTTCGACCATTGGGTGGACTGGATGAGCATGTAATATCGCAGAGCAAAGTCCTCGTATGTCCATCTTGTCGGATACCCGGCACAACTGATGCGGACCGTTTCCAACACACCGCAAGCTCGCAGCTGGCTCAGCACCATCGGTCCCTCGAACTTCCAGCCTTCTTTGCTTTCGTTCGGCTTGATGCATCGAATATAGTGTACGTCGGTCGAATTGATGGTGTTCATCAGCTCAATCAAACTACTCTTGAAGATGCCACCAAGCGTCGGCTTCTTCGCCGCACTGCGAGCTTTGCTCGGGACACCGTTCGTCTTGGGAGCCACGGCTGCGCCCTCTCGTTCTCGCACTACCGCCGACGCCTCCATTACCTCTCTCAGGAAGGTGTTGGACGTATTCTTCAGGACGTCGAGATGCTCGTCAGGCACGGTATCCCTGTTCTTCTCGATGAACCCGTCGCTTTCGTAAGTGACGTCGATTGCGTAATGGCACACGGTGAATGCGCTCTTTCCAAATCGCGGTTTTTTGTAGAAGTCGTGCTTGTCCGCAGAGTAGTGGTGATGCAGCTTCGTTACAAAGCTGTCGTCTGAGCCCATCGGCAGTCTCGACTCTTCATCCAGCAAGGCCAGAATACCCAGCTTCCCTTCAATGAGGTCGATGCAGGGCTGATTGTCGGAGAAGTCGATGAATTTCCATTCAATCTGTTCTCGCATATACTCCTCCTGCTCCAGCTTGAAGACGTGCTGGTTGAATTCCTGCTGCAGCTTCTCGTTGGCGTAGTTGATGCAGAACTGCTCGAAACTATTCTTGGCGAAGTGCTCGAATCCGTAAATATCGAGGACGCCAATGAACGTCTTCATCTCCGCCACGACGGACTCCGGGGCGAGAAAGCCGTTCATGGTCTCGACGAGCCAGTCAAAGAGCGAGGAGTAGATGTACTTGGCCACCGAATCCCGGACGACGGTGGCTTGCTGCGGAGTTAGGTTGGACATGATCTTCTCGCCCCGGGTGACGAGCTGTTTCTTGACCGTCCACTTTGCGAATTCGGAGGCTTTGATTCCCAGAAGCTCGCAAGCTTTCACCAGAGACGGTTCATCGGGCCCGAGTTGGGAGTCTGTCCGGGTTGCGGTGATTTTGATGTTGCCTATGTGCACCAAGGCGGCGAGGATGCGCCAGAGGTTTGCCTGGGTGTCTTCGGAGACGCCGAGTCTGGTCAAAGAGGAGCGCGTTTCCTGGAAGTCCTTGCCATCATCGACCCCTTCGATCTCCGGCGCAGCACCCTGATTGAGATAGTCGATGTGTTCGACGGCAGGCAAGCCTAGCTCCGCCCTCTCGGCATCTGTGGCTCCGGCGACCAGCTGGTAGAAGATGTGATAATTGCGCTCCTTAAGCGGCTGAAAGACCAGTCTCGAGCGCTCGAGCAGGTATGTGCGTATGCGGGCGCCGATGATGTCGTAGGTTTTGTTGAACATGATCTCGATGTACTTGCCGAAACGCGAGGAGTTGTCGTTGCGCGTGGTCTTTGCATTGCCAAACGCCTCCATGATGGGGTTGGTGGCGAGGATTTGCTCCTCCGTCTCGCTCATGGTGTCGGCGCGGCCCCTCGCGCGCGAGGTAGGTTGATCGGGGTTCTCGCGGGTTGCGAAGTAGCGCATGATGTACTTTGCGCTGACCGTCTTGCCCGCGCCGGACTCGCCGGACACGACGATTGTCTGGTTGTGGCCGTCTCTTAGCATGTCGGCGAAGGCTTCTTCGGCGATGGCGAAGAGATGCGGGGCTTGGGATGCTCGTTGCTTGCCCGCATACACCTGAACCATGCCGGGGACGTAGAGGGAGTCGACTCTGGCGAAGGGGTTGGTGGCGATGAGGACGATGCCGGAGTAGGTGTAGATCTCCTTCTGGGCATAGCGAAGCTTGATGGCCTGCAGTACGGCGGGCTCGTTGAGATGCGAGAGGTTGGTCAGGTCGTCGCTCGCCTCCAGCATGCTCGGGTTCATCAAGGGCGGCAGGGTGGAGTTGATGGCATCGCGGGAGAACTCGTGGACGGTCGTGTGGATTTCTCTGGTCTGGGGGGGGGAAGGAATGTCAGCGGGAGAGGGCAAGGAGATATGAGGGTAATGGTCGACGGACCTCGCCATTCTCGAGCGCGAAGACCAGCTTGACGTTGTCACCGTCGAGTGTCTTCTGCGTGACCTCGGAGGCCACCCAGCCCTCGGTCTGGTCGGGCTGCCACGCCCTGGTGCCGACATCGTAGGTGTTGGACATGTTGGCGGGCGCCTCTTGGCTTGTGTTGGGCCCTGTCAAGGCACGCCCGCGGGACCCAACGCTCGCGCCAGAGTGGTGTAGGGAGGGGGGTGATTAGGGCGAAGAGGGGACGAGAAGGGCGCGGAGGGCAGAAGAAGGCGGCAGGGCGTAGAGGGCATTCTTCGCCAGAGGGAGGGCGGGTTGGATGGGCAATGGGGATGTCCCTGAGAATCGGGGCAAGTTTAGTTTACAGGCCAAGTTGGGACGCAGGATAACGCGCGACGTGCCGCGAACGAAGTGGAGCAGCGGGCCAGGGGTTGGACTTGACGGGATCCGCCCGTGACTGGATTTACGCAGCCGCAAGTCATCAACCGCCGTTTCACCACTTCACGAACGGTTACCGCACTAGCCCACTCCACTCCACCTCTCCAATGTCACCACTTCGTGCAATCACTGCCCATGACATTCCCATCCCCTTCACCGCCATCTGCATCCCTCCCGTCACCCATCCCATCCCATCCTCCACAGCATCTGCACTTCTCCCGGCGCCTGAGGCTCGCGCCAAGCCAGCCCCTCGCTCATTGGTCCTCCCTTCCCCCTTTCACATGCCTGCATCACCACTACCTACCTTAAGGTACATCCCACATTGCCTTCATCACCCCGTCTGCCTTCTTTGGACTTCATGCCGCCGTTGTTTGTAGTGAACGTCATAACTTCATATATCTACCTTGACTACGTTGGGTAAGTCTGCCACCGCAAAGAATGTGCGGTGGCCAGGTCGACGGGCAATCAAGGCCATTGATGGACGAGCCATCTGTCTCCTCATCACGCCGCCCGGCCTCGTGCGGCAATGCGCGCTCTCGCTGCTTCAATGCGATCCGATGACACCTCCCTGCCATCTCGGCCCGTTATGCCAGCGCTCCGCTTCCCAACTTGAGTGGAGTTGATGGACCCCCAGACCGCCGACGGTTTCTCCTCTCCCTCGCCTCTTGTCGTTTGCGGCGCTACATTCTCCTTCGACCTCGCCCGCGCCTGACCGTTTTCCATGTTTGCCTCCTCTGCCATCGCTGTTGCGTGCATTGCTGCTCGTCGCTGGGGTACTATCACCTCCGACTGGAACTTCGATGCGTCGCGGCCCGTCAAGCGCTCATCACCCCTGCTCTCCGTAGCCCGAGGATGAGTGGAGGTCTCCGTTTGTACGGCGCTGCCTTCCGCCGCTTCTTGACGTGGACTTGTGTGGCGTCGGCCTCCGCTGACCGATCCGTCTATGTTGGTCTTCTCTGAAGGCACAGGCCGCGGCGCTTTCGGCCCACTGTGAACTTGGTTGAGGTCCAGACTTCGAAGTGGATTCTCTGCGGACTCATGCTCGGCCGTCTCGCGAATCACCGACTTCTCCGCCACTCGAGATGTCGCTGCGGTAGTTGACCGGAAGGACTGCGCCCATATATCGTCGCTTGCCACTACTGGCTTCTTTGCGACCGCTCCGCTGTTCTGTGAGACTGCCAATGGAGTGTAGAACTCTGAGGGCCGCTGTTCTGCACCTTCCTCCTGAGGACGTCGCGAGTGTGCCGGTCTCCCAACAGCAGATGGCGTTGCCACGACCGATTCAGCTGGTCTGGAAGCAAAATCTTCGGGCCGCGCTTGGTACCTCAGTCGCGAGATCTCCAACGCATGAGCCTTCTCTGCGGCTTGGCTTAACCGCAATTCGTGTTGGAGTGTCTTGACAAGCTCGGCAAGTTCTGTAGACTTTGCTTCCACCGTCGCGACTTTCTTCTGTTCGAGCAGGAGCTGATCGGCCAGCTCGGTGCACTGTTTGTCCTTCATGTGCGCAAAACTCTTGGCCGCTTTTTGTTTGGTGATAAGTTTCTTGACCTCGCGTTGGGTGTTTGCTCGGTAGATGTCGTATTCATGCTTCCAGTATTTCCCGGAGTCAGACTCGGGGTTTGCAAAATCCGCAGTCGTCTCATTGTCACTGCCGTCGTCCATCTTTCGCTTCGCGGATCTATTCTTGCGCTTCTTGGCCTCCTCGCGCGCCTGCTCAAATGCCTCAACAAGCTTGGTGCGGCCGGGGCCTTTGCCCTCGCCTACAGCCAGCGTCTTTCCGTCGCTTGATTCCGCATTCCACGGACTGGGAAATTTTCCAGGATAGTCATCAGGGAGGCCACTCTTCGCAGACCCTTTTGTGTCGTAGTCCTTTACGTTCTCGCCAAAGGTCACATTCTTCTTCCTCCCGCCGGCCGTTCCCGGTGATAGCAATATGCCTTTCGCAGGGGAGACGAGCGCTTCATCCACCACGTCAAATCTTGGTTTGCCTAAAGCTTGGGCATCACTGGAACTCTTAGGTCTGCTCAGGCCCGGCCGTGCGGGCTTGGAGTCGACCGTCCGTGGCCGTGTACTGTCGGTGTTCGAGTGCCGTCGCGGTTTAGGCTGGGTAGTCTGTGGTGTACCGAAGATCGCATGCTTGAAGGCGCGCACCGCAAACACCGGCGCGGGCGTCTCGGGAGGTTCGAGGTAGCCAGTCGAGTCGGGGTCTGCTCATCATCAGTACACTGACATTCACGCGCATGGCGAGTCAGTGCGTGAGGTCTTTGCTCACCTTGGATACTCTCCGGCTGCTTTTGACCAGCGAGCCAATGGAACATGGTGGTCACTGGCCTCGTAGGTGTACTGTCAGCTATGCATGAGCGCGAGCGCGAGCGAACGACTGCAGTCAAGCCTGGAGCCTTGCGTGAGGCTTGTTTACGTGGTTGTTTACGTCGGCGTTTGCGTCAGTCTGGGGCGGAAGCCCTCGAGGCTGGCGGCCCGCTCCGGCTGCCGCGTCTCTGCTGATTGGTCGGTGATATCACCGGCCCTGTTCGTCAGTCACAATGAGAACCTCGTGTCTTTGACTTGACTTACCTACCATGCCACTATCGCTTACTACTTCCGTTCAGTATTTCGTATGGGATGATTGCTAATACCACAATCTAGCGGACAACAGCTTCGGCTGTATGTCCAAGTCGTCCGCACGTGACGACGCTGAAAGCCGCTCCCAAGTCTCGAGCAGCCATGGCCCCGAAAACACCGCGGAATAAGAAGGTGCCTCCTTCATCAAACGTCGAGAAGAATGCCTCTCAGGAGCCCGCAGCCTCTGTTGCGATTAACTATGGCGAGGTACAGCTCGAAGAGATCGAGGTCCTCCAGGCGATCTACATGGAAGACTTTGAGGAAGTGGAGGTGAAGACTGTCTGGAGTACGACCACCGACCGAAGCTTTAACCTGAAACTGAGGTCCTTCACCGATCCAGATGACCTTGTTGTGCTCGCAATCCGCTTGACGGCGACATATCCGAAAACTGTGCCATTGCTTGCCGTTGAAGGACTGGAGCGCTATCATGAACGAACTCAGAAACGAATTCACAACATCATCCAACATCGCCCCAAAGCCCTTTTGGGTGAAGTGATGATTCACACGATTGCAAATGAGATTCAAGACGCCTTGGAGGACGCGGTCCAGGCTCGTCAACAAGGCGCCTTACCTAGCCTCGAGGACGAGCGCGCAAGCGCTGAAGAGGTCGCCACAGCTTCTGCGAAACAAGCAGAAGAAGCAGAGGCACGCAGACAGACGGAGGCGCGGGAAGAAGAAGATCGGGTATTGAAGCAGATGGTCGACGAGGAGATCACCCGACGTGAGAGCCGGAAGCCTGCGAAGCCTACCGCCGATGATGATTCCCGAGGCCGAAAAGGTGTCGAAACGCAGGTCGTCTCATTCGACCAACCCGCGACCTTCCAGATCGACAATGAGATTGTCCAGTTCAACGAGACGATGTTTGTAAGTTCTTTATCCAAAGAACGAGGCCGAGAAGTGTTCTTGGCCAAGCCTCTGCCGCTGGAGGGCCAGTCAACCAAGCTCGTGGTTGTAAAACGAATCGATCTGCGCCAAAGCAAAAGTGACATCATGGAGCTGGAAGAGAACCTCGCCGCTACAGTGAAGGTTCGCCACGCTGGATTGCTCAGCCTGTTTGCATTTCGAATCGACAAGCTAGACGACTTGAGATCGGATTTGGTTCTCTGCACGGAGTATGCCGATCGAGGAACTCTCTTAGACTTACTCAGCATCGGTAGTATCGACACGGACAAGGCTCGGCGGTTTACCATCGAGTTGCTGGAGGGTCTCGAGTGTCTTCATCGAAATGGCAGTGTACATGGTCGTCTCGATGCTCGACATGTTCGAATCGTGAGCAAGCCTGTGATTTCAGTCAAGATAGCCGGCTTCGGTTTCGCCTGGTCTTTGATGAAAAAGGACAAACTGCCCGGAAGATGGGTGACCCCCGAGGCTTGCGATCTGTCCACCGCCGCTCTTCGCAAGTCGGATATCTGGCAATTCGGCGAGGTCGTTGCCCAAATGTTTCTTGGGCTCGATGTCGTGAAGAAGTACAACTCCCCACAGATGATGCTGGACAGAATGCCTCTATCTGACTCTTTTGATGATCTGCTACGACGGGTGTTCCTGCCGGACCCCAAGAAGAGGCCATCAGCATTCGACATTCTAACTGCTGAGTTCTTACGCACCAACGATCCCGCAGTGAACGACCCTCGTCATCCAGCACTAAGTGACAGGCACGAACGGACAAAGTCTGGCAGCTTTGGAGTCGGATCTCCGGCGAGACGGCGATCTCGTCCCAACTCATCGGCCCAGCTCGAGCCAATGTCACGCTATGCAACCGATTTCACGGAGATTGGCCGCTTGGGTAGAGGCGGCTTCGGCGAGGTCGTGAAAGCGCGGAACAAGCTGGATGGTGGAGTGTATGCGATCAAGAAAATCAAGCAAGCCCCGCAACTACTCGATCAAGTCATCTCCGAAGTCATGCTTTTGAATAGATTAAGCCATCCTTACGTCGTGAGATATTTCACCACCTGGATCGAGGAGGACTTTGCCGGCTCTGTTTTCGACACCTCAACGACCGACGCTGAAACAACGACGACCGACGCTGCGGTGGAGGATGATACCGGTGATGGATCGCAACTTGATTTTGGCTATCAGAGCACGGGAGGGCTTGACTTCTTGAGCTCCAGCGGCTTTCCTCATATCGAATTCGGGAACGACTCTGAAGACGAGTCATCCGATGAAGAGAACGGTGGGGATGAGGAATCTGACGATGACTCCGCGATCCCCAGTCCGAAACATGAGCAACGCCGAAGTATGGAAGTGCGGTCGAGCGCGCAACGACCGCCATCCACGCTATACATCCAGATGGAGTATTGTGAGCGCCATACTTTGCGGGACTTGGTTCGAAAGACGATGGCCATTGACGAGACTTGGCGCTTTGTGAGGCAAATCACGGAAGGTCTCGCGCACATTCATGGTCACGGAATCATCCATCGGGACTTGAAGCCTGACAACGTCTTCATCGACATCGCCGACAACCCCAAGATTGGCGATTTCGGCCTAGCAACCCCGTCCCAACAACTGTTCGCAGAGAAGACGGTGGTCATGAGCGGTTACAGCGCTGGAGACATCACTCGAAGTGTCGGGACTGCGCTCTATGTGGCGCCAGAGCTGAGGTCCGCCTCCGGAATCTCCTACAATCAGAAAGTAGACATGTACTCCCTCGGAATCATCTTCTACGAAATGTGTGAGCCGTTCGCTACCGGCATGGAGAGAGTGGACGCCATCCAACGCATCCGAGAAAAGGGGTCTGAACTGCCATCCGCCTATCAGCCCTACGGGCCCAAAGCTGCCCAAGGCAAGCTTATATCCCGACTCATCTCACATAAGCCAAGCGAGCGGCCAAGCAGCACTGAACTGCTGCGCAGCGACATGCTTCCGGTCAAGATCGAGGACGAGACAATTCGAAAGGCTCTGAGCGGTTTGTCCGACCCGCGCTCTCCGTACCACCAGAAGATGATGTCCGCATTGTTCACGCATGATTCCGCCAATGAGACCCGAATCAAGGCTTTGGCCTGGGATGCCCGATCATCTGTCTCTGTGGCGGACGCTTCCACCCTTCGGCTGAGAGCCATTGCGAGAGACGCTCTGGAAACAGTATTCCGGCGGCATGGGGCGGAAGAAGCTCGAAGGCCATCCATCTTCCCCAAATCTGCGATCTATACTGATGCCAGCGTCGTGCAGCTGCTAGACGCGTCTGGGAATCTGCTTCAGCTCCCGTACGATCTGGTCCTGCCACACGCAAGACAGTTGGCCCGACAGTCTTCTGAGTCGAGGTGTACCTTCACCTTTGGAAAAGCGTATCGGGACGCCTTTGATGGAGGTCCGCCTCGAGTCAGTGAGGAGGTCGACCTCGATATTACGAACAACGAAAACGACATCAATCCCGCCTTCAACGATGCAGAGGTCATCAAGATCATGGACGAGGTCATCTCCGAGATGCCTCTTTTCGCCACTGCCAATACAGTGTGCTTCCACTTGAATCATTCGGGAATTTTGGACGCCGTCTTGGGACACTGTCGAGTTGCACGCGCTCAGCAAACCGCGGTGAAGGAGATCATCAGTAAGCTGGGCTCTCAACAGCACCCCTGGAGCAAGATTCGAGTGGAGTTGAGGAAGTTCGGTTTGCCGGACACCACTCTGGACGATATTCATCAGTTCGACTTTCGCGATGTCCCGGACAAGGCGTTCGCTCGGTTGACCACTCTCCTGCGTGGTGCGAATGGGCAATTGCGAACATCGCTGGAGACCGCCGTCCGATCTCTTGGAGACACGATACGGCTTCTATCGGCCCTTGGGATTACAAGAAAGACTTTCATCGCTCCGCTCAGCAGTGTACATTCGAAGTTCTATGAGGACGGGCTCCTCTTTCAGTGCGTGCTCGAACGCAAATTCAACCTTCTCGTCATCGCAGCGGGCGGCCGGTACGATAGCTTAATCAAGGCCCACCGTCCCCCGGAGGGACGCACGAAGCTCCAAGGCTGTGTCGGCGTGTCCATCGCGTTGGACAGCATCGTGGCACACATGGCACGGAGTAGCGAAGCAGCCTCTTCGTCAAAGAAGGCACACGCGAGGGACCAGAGCTCGATGCAGATCGCGAAGCGCTGTGATGTGTTAGTCTCCGCCACCGGCACCGAAGACATCGAACTTGCTGGTGTCAAGCTCTTGGCAACCCTCTGGGACAACCACATCAGCGCGGAGCTCGCAAACGGGCAGACGTCCCGCAACAAGGACCACCATTTCACGGTGGTGCTCAAGCACGAGGCGTCAAACACGGTCAAAGTCACAAGCGCCGCTAATGACGCCGAAGAGATCGATGTAGCAGTGCCAAGTCTGGTGAGCTACTTGCAGCAAGAGCTTCGAGACCGGGAGAGCACATCCAAAGCACGACCAGCGTCGCTCCTGCGTCAGGCGAGTCAGCCTGACGGGGATCGAAAGAGCGACGTGCATGTTCTGATGGCTCGACATGGCAGCAAGAAGTCGAACAAATATGGCATTGTGAGTGATGCGCAGGAGCAATGGTTTCGCAAACTCGAGCAGGCCAAAGATGCACCCATCTTGGCCGTCGAAACGCGCGACGACGTTCTCGACTTGATTCAGCAGACCAGACTCGGCGATGCGGAGAGCTGGCGGAAGGCAGTGCAGGGCGTGCCGCTTAACGACCGGCAGTACGTGCAGCAGATCCAGGACATGCTGCTTTCATGGCGGAAAGGGTGGGAAGATGGGGCGAGGATGAGGGAGGCGTGCATCTTCAACTTCCGCACGCAGCGGTGCATGTACTACGACCTGGGCATGTAGAAATGTGAAATGGAGAGATCGTTCTTGTCATGTCAACGAGCTTCATTGGATTGCCGGCTCGTATGACAAATGCCTTTTCTGTTTAACCCTCAAAGACAGCCCACCACAAACGTGCGTGGGGGTGTCGGTGTTAGAGAGCTCGATGTTCCTCCCAGTCCATCAAAACTCAGTTCCATCGAATAGTCCGAGCAAGTTGCCCCCCTCAAAGCCATGTCTCGGAATTGATAACGCTAGTCGGGTTTCGATCCTTCCTCCAGCGTTGCGGTTGAGCTGGTCGCGTGACGGGGTTGATTTGTGTGTTGTCTTTGCTCGGCGATGGAACAGGAAGTAGTGCGAGCAGCTTATTTGCTGGAATGGGGTCAGTGATGATGAACGCGAAGCTTGACGAGGGTCACAGGAGCAAGCACGAACCTGCGAGCTCTAGTCTTTCTTCTCTTCTTCTTCAGGCGTCGAACGCGCTTCTTCCTCCATTTAGCTCTCATCTTGGGCTTGAGTTTGACTGTGTGATGCTCGGTTAGTCATTTGAGCCATTATAGGGGTGAGGGAAAGCAACGGGGAGAGCTTCCATACCTTTGGTGCCGTTGATGAAGTTGCTGGATGAGGGGAAGTTTGGATTGGAAGGATGACGCCGAATTAGATGTGCGGGTGGGGAGGAGCTGAGTCAGCGGCCTTGGCGGTCATGACGAACGACACGTGATCTGATGCTTCAAGTGGTGTTGCAGGAGGTGCATCATGTTGAGGGAGTTTCAGCTAACATGAAGCTGAAACTATGGAACATCTCGGTCAATATTCAATGATGTTTGAAAACGTCGAATCATTGGCCTTTTCCCATCCAGTAGTGGCCGCCTCTTGCATCTCTGCGCGTTCCAGCCAACGTGATGCTCTTCCGGCTCTGTCCCTCATCCAGCAATGCTCAATGCTTCGCCTTCTTCGTGTCCGGTTCCTCTTCGTCATCACTCAACTCCGCATAGATGGTCTTGGGCTGCGTCTCCTTCCAAGCATTCGTGAAAAGCGGATCATTCTTCGCCTTGTCCGCATACTTGAGCAGGGCCTCCCGCGGATCCTCGTCTCGCAGAGAGGAAAGGGGAATTTGGCTTCGCACATACTCCTCATCCGGGTTGGTCTTGGCGAAAGGTGTCTGCGCGGGTACCTTTGGTCGGCGGGGATCTCTGCTCCGCCCGGAAGCAGTAAGGCCGACATTGGGGTGACGGCTCGCGTAGCTGGCTGTGGACGGAACGCTGCCTCCTGGGACCACAACGGCATCGCTCGACATGCCGTGCGTGAGATCCATCGTGAAATTTGGATCGTCGTCGATGTGCCTTCGTTTCGGCGCGCGAGACATGACTGTTTTCGCACCGTTGGTAGACGTGTTGGGGCTGTATAGAATGTGTGTTTCGGCGTTTGCAGAGCCTGTGACGATTTGATTGAGCTTCGGGTGCCATAAAACGGTGATCAGTGGTGAGCCAAGAGTGACTGGGGTGACGAGCTCAGGCTTGAGGGTAGCCGGGTTCAGGATATGAAGATGGCCGGTCTCCGAACCGGTAATGATGTTTGCGGAGTTTGGAGAGAAACGGATGTTGGTCGAGGGATACTGGGAGGACGTAGATGGATGCGACACCGAATTGACCGGCTGCTTGAACTTGCGAACATCCCAGAGCTTGATCGTGTCATCGCCGCCGCGAGTGACAACAAGCCTGCCGTCTGCGCTGATATCCAGCCCGCTGGTCCATGTATCCGGAGTATGAGCATCCCTCACTTCAGCCGCTGGCCGATGGTGTGGTCCCTCGCCGCTCCACATGACCAAGCTTCCATCCAGCGCAGTAGCGATTAGCACGTTGTTCCCGCCTTGCGCAGAGGAGCCCCATGCCACGGCGGTCATTCGAGATCTTCCGGCGGAGCCAGCTGCTTTTGACTTGTGTACCATCACTTCTTTTTGTGCACGAGGGTTGTATATGTCCCATATCCGTAGCGTGCTGTCCGTTCCAGCAGTGACACACAAGTTGCGATCCGTCGGGTGCCATGTAGCCGCCGTGACCTCCGACACATGACCTTTGGTGTTATGCATGTCCCTGAGATACATGTCGCCCTTTACAAACTCCGCCACCGTCTCTCCATCTCTTGTCATAACCTTCGCTTGCGGTTGAGCAGTCGCGACTAGGATGTGGCTGGCCGAAAGCGGGTTGAAGAGCACCTGATGTACCGGATGAGCCTCTACGTTTGCCGAAGCCTTTGTTGCGGTAGGATCGACGGACTTGAAGGCTCGTATTGTCGTGGGTGTCATCGATGCGAAGTCGTGGAACTTGAGGCTGCAGTCCATCGAGCCGGTGACAAGCCTGGCGCCGGAAGGGTCTAATGTAGCCGCAGTCACCGCCCGCTCGTGAGTCTTGATAACCATCTCGTGGGACACCGGAAATTCATCTTCATCGTCGTCGTCGTCGTCGTCGTCGTCGTCGTCGTCGTCGTCGTCGTCGTCGTCGTCGTCATCATCCTCGTCGCTGTCGTCGCTGTCTCTGCTTTTCGAGTGCATGTCGCGCGCCTCTGCCACCACAGGTGGTGTAGTATTGCGCTTACTCCGGTCGATCTGTCGGTTCACATTCGTCTCTCTCGTCTGCTTCCCAAACGAGGAAGTGCCTAGGTACTTCTGGAGCTCGTTGTCCTCTTCGACATCTACCTCTTCCGACTCCATGTTTCACCGGTGCGACTTGGAGGAGGGAGTGGAGAGACGCGAATTTGAAAAGTGGAAGGGAAGCGTCACTCGTCACTTACACAAGACTCGGAGTAGAGTGGTCTGTATGAATCTACCACATCCTGCGCGTATGATGGAGGGTCTGGTTGTCGGGCAGGAAATGCAAGCTGCAGTGGATACACCAGCTGACATAAGCCATCCCCGTTTTGTGGGGCTCAGGCTCCAAGAACATCTGGACGGCAGGAACGGGCAGGCAAGGCTGAGCGATGTCAGGTACATTTACCTTATGTGTAGTTGCGTCTGAGGATGAAGGTCTGGGAGATAATAACATGAGGATATCATTTCACTAGCACCTGCTGAAACAACAGCACCTCTATCGCATGTGTCGAAATGCGAGCCCTTTCCAACCCAACACAAGCAACATCCTCCAATACACCAAGCACCACCCATCTCTACCGCGTTCCATTCGCGGGCGGCCCCATATACCTCTCCATAAAAGCCCGATAATCATACTTGGGAATATTCCTGTCTTGTTGGAGATCCGGGCCCTTGTGCGGCGGCATGCTCTCCACGAGCTGCTGCACAACATCGTCCGGAATCAAGCTATGGGTCAGATCGAGCTCCGTCACGTAGGGTTTGCCGTCCGCCACCTCTCTGAAACTCTCAAATACCTGCTCCGCCGTATTTTGATCTTCCGTCACGTCCACCATGAACCGGATGAACTGCTCGAAGCTGACGCTGCCTCCGCGCCCGGCCACTTCGACAAAGCGGTCGTGCATTTCCTCTTCGTCATACACGAGGCCAAGACTCGCGAGCGCGGCCGAGAACTCGAGTTCTTGGAGGCTATTGGACACATCCCGGTCAAAATGTCGGAAGACTGACTCGAACTCTTCAAGCTGGATAGGCGTCAAGTTGGTCATGTTGCGTGCGACGAGTTGGTTGTCGAGGAATGCCAGCTTCTTCTGCACGCTACTCTTCACGAGACTGAGTTCGTATGCAAGCTCGTCGTATGTATACGTCGTGAAGTCGTTCTCCTCAATATTAGCCTCTTGGCACTGATAGTCCAGCTTTTGGATGATGGTCAAATACTGGTCGAGCGGAGGGAGGTTCTTCGCAATCTGCTTGGTGTGCGCAGTTTGATCTTCGACTTCTCCATCTAGGCCGGAAACGCTCATGCTGATCGTCTTCAGGGCCAGCGCAAAGTCGTTAGCTTTGTCCGCAAACGTTCGTCGGAGGTTGTTCTTGATATCGCGGATGGTGTTGTTGATGACTTGACTGCGTTCGCGCTCGGCAGTCATCAGGCCGCTCCATGCGCTGTCAAGGGCAGCTAGGCTCAGGTCTCGCGGAGGCTCATATGGTCGCAAACGATATGTGTTGAGCTTGGTCTTCACATTGCCCAACATTCCCGCAAGTTCGCTCTTCTCCGCAACCCAGTCACGCTTCTTCCGCTGTTTGTACAAGACGAACTGGTTGCTCTGCTCCTTGGCATCGATATACGTCCCGTCGAATCGAGCAGACTGCCAGGCCTGTTGTTGCTCGGCTATCCGTTGAAGCAGCGCTCGCATTCTCTTCTCGAAATTGTTTTGCATTTCCCATGCGCCTTGCATGTTGGACACGAATTTCTCGACTCTCCTGCCAGCGTTCTCAACGCGCTCCATCTGGGAGAAGGCGTGGAACCAGTATGCGATGTAAGTCATCAGCGATCGCTCGTCGGGCTTGGGGACGTCGCAGACATCTTCGACATCGAGCAGATCGGGGATTCCAATCTCCTTGGATGCAATGTCAAATGCCAGCTGCATGTTGCCTCGATGATCCGACTTGTCTAGTTGATCGAAATCAATGAGATCGGGCCGGTGGATGTCGAGCAGGGCGCAGAAGGCCAGGCCATCGTTCCAACTGCCGGAGAAGTCGTGGACATGCACGTCGTCGTAGCACGCAGTCTTCCTCTGGCACCACAGGAGCAGTCCTTCTCTTGCACTCAGCCCCTGGTCATTGATGTCGCTGATGGTGAAGCGCAGGATGAGCGTCCAGATGAGGCCCAGGATGATCTTCTGGTTGCCGTCCACCACATCCTCGGCGCCGATGTTGGTCAATTGGATCTTGCGGCTCTTGATGAAGTCGAGGGCTATGTTGACGTTTTCGAAGCGCTGCACGCGGAGTTTGGGACGGGCAGCATAGCGGCCGAGGGATTCCTGCGACAGGATTTCGAGCAGGTGGATGAGGATGACTCCGTCGCACAAGTCGGTGGTCAGGTCATTGATCTGGACGTTGCGCGCCTTGAGCTTGTTGTTGAGCCATTTGCAGAATGTCTTTTGTTGCACCTATCCCTCCTTGTCAGCCAACCTCGTCCACCACGCCGACCACCATGGGTTGGGGGCGTCCAGCTCACCTTTACCCAGCTATTCTCGAGCAACGCCATACCCATGTCATGCGCGCACACGCCCGGTTTCCAAGAGCATTTCCAATCCGGGAGTCTGTGTGCGAGGGATGATATCAGTCTGTGAGACGCTTGAGATAGAGGGATGTGGTGAAGGATGCATGCATGGGTTGAATGTGGGGTGCGAGAGGCAGGCGGCATTTGTTGACGCTCCATCTCGGCCGTTGCTAGCGCAGGCCCAAGCCATCGCAGCGATCTAAACTAAGGTAAATTCCCGAAAGCCACCGCCGCCGCCACGGCTGGCTCGTGCGCCACCCGCCAACCAGGCCAGGCTCCCAGGCAACTCCACGCCGTCCATCTTCCATTTCACCTCACCTCACCCTCTGCAATGCACATCTCGCTCGTTCGCATGCTCTTCACACATGGCAAATGGATTGAGTTCTCGTAAGTTTACATATTCATCACGTCCCTATCCTCCGTTCACATCCACACACGCGTTGCTGCGACCGGCGCTCGCGTGTTCAGCGGTGAAGACCCTCCGTTCGATGGGTTAGGCCGATGACGCTGCCGCCCAGCAGCTTGCAGTAGTCTCCGCTCCCCAGACGTCCGCGGCCGACGTAGCATGAACACCTCCTCCGCCTCCGCGGCCGGTGCGCTTTCCAGGGAGGGCAAGGCTTCAATGACCTCCTCCGCCTCTCCGTCCTTCGTCTGCGGAGAGCCTTCCATCGGTGCTGAAATGGTCTGTTTGAGGAGCGATGATTCTCGCTTTCCCCGGCTATCGACAGGTGCTGCGACCGAATTCCGTGAAAAGCTCTGCGTCGAATCGAAGGAACCCGACTTTCGATGATTCGAGCTATTGCGCCGATGCTCAAGTTTGTCGGCATTGTCTCTGGATCCACCGACATCCGGTGATCTTGGTTCTTTCCCCCCCAACTGCGTCGCTTTCGAAGCGTCCGATGGTTGTTGCCCCAGTGTGCGCTCCTCGGCACTATTTCTCGCCGCTGCGAACCCGCGGTGGCCTACGGACGGAGCGCGCCTGTATTCGTTGCGTTTGTTTGCATGTCGCTGGTCGGTCACAGCGTCGGCCACACTCAATGTACGGCTATCGCGCCGGCTGGTATCGCTCAAAACCGATGCAGCTTCTCCGGACACGGAAGGTTCGGGCCACTGTCGTCCTACGCCGCTACTTTTGCGGGGGATGAAGTCCCAGTCACACACCGCTTCTGCGCCATGCTCGTAGACAAAGTCAATGTCCTCTTCCCATGTAGAATCGGCGAACACCATCGATTCTCGCACCTCACTGGAGAACGACAGTGGCTGATGCGGGCCAGTCACTCTAGACGCGCGAGTGTTCGTGTTCGTATCATCCACGAGCAACTGCGGTGTGTGTAATGCCAGACACGCGTTGACTCCGAATACCGACGAATCGAGGGAAGAGTCCGAGGCCCTTGCTGTTGGCTGCTGTCGAGGCCTCTGATGCAATGACCGTCTCGACGAATTCGGCGTGGATTCCTGCCACAATGTTGGCGCCTGACCATTTCTCACGCCTATTCGGAGAGCATCAGAGTCGAATCCTCCGTCCGATGAGCGACTTTCTGATGCATTCTTAGAGCCTCTGACAGCCTGTCTAGAAAATAATACTTGTTCTGCACTTGCGTCAGGGTCGAAACCAGTCTCCGGCACTTCTTTGAACATAGCCTCGTCAAACCTGCTCAGGCGGGCGGCCACAGGTAGGGAAGGCGGATTCACGCTGACTGGCGAGACAGGGCGCGTGTGGACAGGGGCCGTAGTATGCCCTCGATCTCCTAGGTTCACCTGCTCCTGTGGCAGATTGCTGGTTTCTTTGGCATGATGAGCTGTGCTGCGTGGGAGTACGTCAGAGGTCGTAGCATGTTCGTTGCTCTGTCCATGGCTCGTTGTGTGAGACTTGAATGACAGAGGTGTAGAAATCTTGCTACTGGCGGACGACCTGCCAGATTTGATGGACGATTGGCTGATCGAGTCCTGCCGGCCAGACGTAGATGCTCGACTGCTGCTGCGCTCGGAAGACTCGACCTTCTTTTTGGTCAAGAAAGGAAGTACCAGATTCATGTTGGTGCTGGGTCGAATTATGACTGGGTCGTCCCCAACCCCTTCGTCAGGGATGGTCGGAGGCAGGGCGGGTGTGCGGCCCTTGCTTGTCGTGCCCACCGAACGACCGAACAGTGTGCGTCTTCCGGTCTTGCCAGCGCGTATCAAAGCCTCCGCCCGAGCCTCCGCCCGAGCTCGCGCCTTGGGGTCCTCCAGAAGCATTAACCCCACCGCTGACATGATTGTGCATCTACTCTGATCTCTGAATACTCCTTCACTTGACCACTCATAGCAGGTTGGTCATTTAAAAGACCTAGTCGGATATCAAGAGGAGTGGGCTCAGACGACGAACACACCCGCACGCCAATGAGCGATATGAAACGGAAAAAAGACAAGAAGCCGAGCTGCTGACGGCGAGCTGGCTACATACCTTTTCGACCTTGTCGTGTTACACACCCCAGCATTCAGGGCGGGAATGATGCCCAGGCGTGGCGAGTCAGAACGCCATGCCCCTCAATTGGATCGCAAGCCTGCTCCGAGGAGAGAGTTAAGTTTCATCCACCATGCGGAACTAAATTAGTCCCAGGACAATGCCCAGATCGACCAACGTGCTGCCCGCCAACCGGTTATATTTGCACTGGGGAGATCTGGATGGGCGCCGTTGCTTGCCGCCAGCATGGTCTCCTTACCCTCGGGGAATGCAAATCATCGACGCCATTGGGAGTGGGGAACGATGAGTGCACATTGACTTCTTGACTTTCCATGCTCCCTGACAAGGATATGATAAACATCGTTCCAGCTGTCGTCAGCGTTGCCCATCCTTCGCGTCAAATTGCTGCCTTTCCCCCCCAGACGCTGCCGATCTTCGTCCAGTCGGAGGATTTCTCAACAGGCTGCTTCGGAAGCCAGGGTTGACTTCCGCGCTCGCTCTACTGCACGCACTCTATCCCGGGGCGCAGTCAGACGGCGCAATAAGTCATGATCCCTGCGATGGTGCAAGACTACAAGATAGGAAATATGCGACGTAGGGCGAGGCGCGACCTGCATTCGGCATTCAAATTGAACGGCGAGACTCATTGGAATTGCCGCCCAAGTGACGTTCGTCTCGAACAAAGTCTCTCCACATGGTGCTTGCATGGCTTTTTGCCGGCTCCCCTGGTCGATCGCCGTTCAAGCAACCTAGTCCCTCTCCTGTGCGTTAAGACCACACCAGTCTTGTGTGACAGCAGCGTGATTCTTTGGACATCACGCGCCTCGTCACATACGCGAACGCAGCACGCAGCGATCGCAACCGAGGGGGCGTGTGAAGCTTTCGTGTATGCGGAGCAGGAAGCCATTGGGGAGGCCCTTGCAGCTTGCTCTCCCGTCTCTCGACGATCTGTCCCATTGCCCGGGTAATGTTGTCGATCAAACGATGAGCTCGCGGCATCAGCAGCTTCTCACGTGCGTCTTTGCAATTCGCTGGGTACAGAGCCTTGCGGTCCTCACGCTAGCTGCCATCCCTTCCGACGAGCAATATACATCCAGAGATCATAAAAGAATGCAAGGCTACCGTCACAAGTGTTTAGATTACCACCGTAATGTCTACAATTCTCTGACCACCTCTGCCGCCGCCTGGCCCACCATACCTGCGTATTCGCTGAAGAGAATTCCCTGGAAAATCGCTTCTCCTTCATCCTCCGCCCAATGGCCCGCATGCTTTAGCCTCTCTTTCCATGCCGTTTTTTGGTCTTCCCCGAGCTCGTGCCAATGCTTCTCATCGTTGCCTTGTTGAAGGAGAGCTTCTTTGTCTGGATGGACGTCCAGTGTCACGCCGGTACTAGCAGCATCAGGCCGCAGTACAAGAGCTGTCTCTGTCGGTGCATGTGGGTCTGCCACTGTGGGATGCACCGCCTTGTGTGTGGCGAGAAGCGAGTGCAGCCGCTGCGAGAGCCGAGCAGAGGCCGGTGCCGATTCAATTGGCGAAAGCGTGCTCTGAAACTGACGAGATGGGCTCGGAGTCGGGCTGGCGGAGCTGTTGCGGGTGTTGTAATAGTATGACTGGACCAAGTATGCGAATATCAAGGCAATGGTGGATATCATCGCGATCTGCGTCCACTGCGTCCACAATTCGTCGCTCGGATGGCTCAGGATGTACCGCGCTTGCTTGTCCTTGGTCTCCAGGGATGAGAGGGGTAGTGCGTCCACCGCCACCGTATTCCCCATACTGACAGATGCAAGCCGGACGTACTTCTTCAAGGCCTTAGCTCGAGGTGGCGCGGTTTCGTCATCGTCAGATTTTTCCGGGGCTCGCACAGTCGCATGATAAGGAGAGAAGCAGATCTTTGTCATTTGGTGCTCATGCACATCCCGGAGAGTCAAGTAGGAGCGGAATTTGGTGAAGGTATCCGTTCTCCGTTGGTAATTGGTGGTGTACAACTCAATGCTGATGTCTTGGCCGGCAACGGCGATGATGATTTGCTGATTGCCCTCCCGATCGGCGTCCAGAGCGCAAACGTCCATACTCACGGCCTGCTTCATGCGGCGGGGAAGCGATTGCTGTTGAACAAGTATTGCCGGTCCAGTAGGGTAGAGGTGATACACTCGTAGCTCCACGCCACTCCTGTTGGGCTTGTTGAGTAACGCCACGACATTTTGCGAGTTCACGAATCGCAAACATCGGATCTTTGGCCTGGGACTTTTGTCTTCCGGCACTGGTAGCTCGTGCACCCTGCGCGGACCGTTCGGCGTCTTCTGGGTTCGTTTGGTTTTGAACTCGTACTCGAACGCCTGCTCATAGATGTCATAATCCGTACAGTAAGCCAAACTGAAGACAGCGTCGTCGGACTCGTTGATATCCACATCTACCGCCTCAGCCCCTTCTGGCAGGCCAATGCGAGTCAGAATATCTGCAGCTTCGGGAGTGGGCGTGGTTGCATCGAACACTACAATCTCCGAGTCCTTTGCGAAGCCCGTGGCAATGGCGCCAATGCGACTGCTACCAGTTGGTCGTTGACGACTTGGCGAGAGACGGAGTAGACGTTGATATGTTTCTTGCTTGGGCGCAGTCGAAGTCTGAAACAATGATCGCTTTCCGATGAGTTTCGAGCCACCTTTCTCGTCCGGGCTTGCTTCATCCGTCTTTGATTTCTTCCGTGGAGGGCATCTGACGCTGAATGATCGGAAATGCTCGTTCTTCCTTGCGTTTTGGTCTGCTTGTGAGGAGTTGATGCCGGCCAAGACGATCAGTCCGTCCCGAGTCGAAAGGCATGATAATGACTGCACGCTATCCTCATCCCGTGAAAGCTCGATATCGACCAAATTCGAGATGGCGCCGCGCTCAGAGACATCCAGAACGCTGATCTGATTGGGGACGCCACTTCTGCTCTCTCCTCCACCGCCTCCGACCACGAGATAGCCGCGATTGTAGGGATCGAAATCCGCGGCGAAAACAGGATAGGGGAGAGTCGTCTTGACGAACGACACTTCGCTTCTCTTGCGGACTGACATTGTGAGCGAGGTACACCGCGGAGAGAATAAGCCGGAGTCTAGGTACAGCCCATTTGTAGGAGATAATTGTGCTGTACAAAGGATAAAGTAAAGCACTCGACACCAATTGTTCAACACGGGCGACGTGGTTGAAAGAAGGTAGTTCTTGTCGCAGACAAAAGTCGTGGCAGACTACGACTTTTGTCGCGCCACGTTCGCGTAACGCCGCTTGACTTCATCTTCACTTCTGCCTCTTGCTTCCATGCAGGTGGACAGCTCACAACCAAACGCGCGTAAAGCCATCTCTGTCGTTTCTGTCCTTTGTGAGGGCGCAACAACATGAACAGCGCCAGTGTCGGCAAGGAGGCCGGACGGTTGATACTCTGCTGTACACAGTCACTCAACTCACAGGGTATATGCATGCACAAAGGTAAGCGGAGATATGTGCTCTTCTAACCCCAATTCCAGAATGCTCGCTCCCTATCGCGCCAAACGAAGAATTCGATGTTGGCAGGCGGCATTTCGAGGACCACTTCGGCGTAGAGGATCTCACCATTTCCGCTCATCACCTCAGATTTCGATGTGTTGTCTATGATTCCGAGAATGATGGCTACGATAGCTACGGAGAGGCGCGCGAAGACGAGATTCGAGTACCTCCCATGATTTATGCACGTGTCTTATCGTCGAACCCGATTGAGCTCATGACCGCCGGCGCGCCGAACGGTGAGTCGCATGTGAAAGTCTGCAAGGCTGATGGTGACAAGCTCTTGAACGATGGCGATGTCTTGTATCTCACGCCACAAATTTCCATCGTGTTCTGCGCCAATGGTGTTCAAGAATCTGTGTCCGATGCCCTGGATCCACTGCAACAAATGGAAGTGAAGCTTTTCGAAGACACCTTTCGCATGACGGGGCGTAAGCTCGGCTGGGGAGGTCAATCCACCGTCGTGGTGGCATTGAAACACCCAGGCGGGCAACAGATCGCGTGCAAGATTCCACATCTCGCCTATCTGAGGTACAAATTCGACGAGATCGATCATGACGAGTCTCTGCCCAAACCACGTCGCGATGCCTACCGGAAGGATTTTGAGCGCGAGCTCGAAGAGAAACGGGAACAGTTCCTCAGAGAACATCGCATCTTACGGCAACTCAGCCATCCAAACATCATCAGTGTGGACAAGATGATGTGCACAAACGATAGCGTTTACATCTTTGAAGAGCTCCTCACCGGCGGCGATCTGCTTTCATACGTTTCAAGGATCGGGACTCTGGGCGAGGCGCACACCGCGGTCATTGTTCGACAACTTTTGATGGCGGTGGCCTACCTGCACGACAATCAAATCGTACACCGCGATATCAAACCCGAGAACATCTTGATGACTTCTTGGCAGAAAGGCGCCCGCGTGGTTCTTACGGATTTTGGGCAATCGCGGCCAGTGATGAATGCGAAGTCCGTGGAAAGGAAGAGCATATATGCTCGAATGCAAACTCCAGTCGGGACTGCCGGCTATCGAGCACCGTAAGTACACGTATCCCCTGTCCATTAGTATTGATGAGCGGAAGGCTGACGACTGGTTGAACAGCGAGGTGCTGGAGACTGCTTCGGCGCATGGGACACTCCAAGGCTATTCCCAGGCCATTGACGTGTGGTCTGTTGGCTGCGTCACGGCGTTCCTGACAGCCTCCGAACCACTCTTCCCCGATCCGCCACACCTCTGCGATACAAAGCGGCAGCACCCCGGCGACCAAGATGAAACAGGTAAATACGGCGTCAGGGTCATGGAGACCGCAGCATCATGGTATGGTGTGGGTCGCAAGTTGAAATCGTTCATAAGAGACTGCCTTCGGGATGACGAAAGCCGGAGACCAACGGCCAAGCAAGCCTTGCAACATCCATGGTTCACAAATCGTCACTACGCTGCGGAGCTGGAGGCCGCCTATGATCGGGCGATTGGCGATTGGCAGCCGAGAGATCACGACGAGAACGCTGTCGTGTACTTCGACACTTCCGAGCTTGCAGACAGGTTATACCTCGCAGCTCGCAGCAATGCAGTAGAAGTGAAGTCAAAATACTGGAAGTCATCACCGGTTCAAACGTCGACCGGGTTCCATGTTCGCACAACGAACTTGCCAATCAGCTATCGGAAACACGAGCCGACACCCTTGCCAAGCGTGAGTGAAGACACCGTCATGCGCAACCCCATTGGCAACGGCACAAATGCTGCGCTGCATCCGCCACACAAGACTTCTGAACTACCTAGCACAGTGGGGCGAATGTCAATCGAAGACTACGCGCCTCCGCACACTCAATCGACACGAACACAGCCAGAGCGCGGCTTCTTCCAACCTCAGAGGTGGCCGGGCCAGAACGAGCTGTTTCAGAGAGACGTGAATGCGACAAACCAGACTAGTCGCCGCAATGACGAACACTCTAGCGGCGCGAAGTCCTCGAACATGTTCAACGCACGCCTACGCCAGGCCATAGACCCGTTCTAAGGCTGCTGTGAATTGAAGAACTGACAATCTCTCCAATGAACCTTACAGTCCTTGCTCCGGCCTTTCGAAAGGCTGTCTATTGTCTCGCTAACCGACCTGCAAGGAAGCACGTTCACTCTATCATGCCTGCTTGGCATGGCATTCATTCGTAGAGACGAGCCCCGGATACGTGGATGGTCATCATCACGTGAGACTAGAAGTTCGGGGCCAACCTGATCAGCAAATCAATACCAGCCCACCTTCGTGTGACATCTAGTCAATACAAACTTGTCACGCACCCATCTTCCTCGCCTTGACACTTTTTGACGTCTTTACTATTATTCATTCATTGATAGCACCCGTTGTATTCGCGCGGCCATAATCTTTCAAAAGTGATGACGTAGTCCAGCGCGCGCTTTCTCACATCGAACATGCACATGCGCAGCAGCTGCTCACTTTGGCTACACTCTCCTCAAGTAATAGACGAATAGGCCGTGTCTCGATTTCAACGTTTCCTCACCGCCGATAACATCGAACCGCCAAAATGAGCTATTACGGTAAATACCCTATCAACGATAATATGGCATATTACCACGGTTGTGCTCACCCTCCCAGACGCCCTCGTCGACACGCTGATCGACGGTGGCTATCTGCCCACCTTCGTTATCCGCCGTGGAATCCGCGCACTGCTCCGTCAACGACTGAACGAGATCGCCTCCACAAGCCTGTCGGCCGCGTACGCCACGAAAATGCAGTACATCGACCTTCTCCGCACACGTCCCATAGCAGTCGAGACTGGCAAAGCGAATGAACAGCACTACGAGGTCGGCACGGGCGTGCTATCAAACATGCTTGGTCCCAGGATGAAGTATTCGTGCTGCCTGTATCCGAAAGGCTCGGAGAGCCTGGCGCAGGCGGAGATGGCGATGCTAGAGCTGTACGTCGAGCGCGCTGGCTTGAAAGACGGGATGAGTATCTTTGATTTGGGGTAAGCAACTGTCTACGGCTCTCTAACTCTTTTACGGACGTTGACGATCGAGCAGCTGCGGCTGGGGCTCGCTGAGTCTGTACCTCGCCGAGATCTTCCCGAAGTCGCAAATCACGGCATTCAGCAACTCGAAGACGCAAAAAGAGCACATCGACTCGCAGGCCCGACGGAAGAACCTGCAGAACCTGCAAGTCGTCACCGGCGACATTGCGACCTACGAGTTCGCCTCCACGCCGCTGGAGAGCGCCTTCGATCGCGTGCTGAGTATCGAACTCTTCGAACACATGAAGAACTACTCCCTCCTACTATCGAAGGTCAACACCTTGCTCAAGCCTGGAGGCCAGCTGTTCGTGCATCTTTTCGCGCACCGATCGACGCCGTACGATTTCGACAGCGGATGGATGACGGAGCATTTCTTCACGGGCGGGACGATGCCGAGTGCGGATCTGTTGCTGTTCTTCCAGGAGCATTTGAAGATCCGGCACCAGTGGTGGGTCAGCGGTAAGTGACCCTCGAGTCGATTTCCCGTCAATTCGTGGCGTCTGATTGTCTGGGATAGGAGAGCATTACGCAAAGACTTGTGAAGATTGGCTGAAAACGATGAATGGGTGAGTACTGGTGTCTCATGCTGCGCGAGCGATTGCCTATGGTTACTGACGTTCTCCTTAAATCGACAGCAACCGTAAACAACTATGGCCACACCTCGAGGAGACATATGGCCGTGACGAAGCCGCCAGATGGTTCTACCGATGGCAGGTCTTCTACTTGGCATGCGCAGAATTGTTCGCGTACGAAGGAGGCGATACATGGGGAGTGGCCCATTATCTATTCGAGAAGCCTGCACATCGATGAAAGGAATGCCTTCTCTATAGCTCGTCTTCTCCGGGCGGCCTCACCGTCGTCTCCGTACCCCTTGTACCATCCCGTGCGCTGACTCTCTCGGATGCAACGCGCTTGTTGGCCGGAGGAAGAGTGGAGTTGGCACTCATAGCCCCGTACGCACCCCATTGCCCTTTAAAAGGCTCGGCCGCAAGCCTCCTCTCCAGCTCTGCCTCCTCAACACCGTCTTTCGTCCCAAAAAGCTCCAATTTCTTCGCAAACTCTCCAGTCACTTTTTTCAGTCTTTCTGCCTCCCGGTCCAAGTCCTTCACCACGTCCAACCCGCTATGCTCGTAGACATTCGCTTTCACCCCCACGCCAAAGTACTGATACTTGCGCAGGAACGCCAACCAGATGCTCACCACCTCGGCATTCCCGTCTTGGACTTGGAGTAGTCGCCGAAGCGTAATCCTCTCAAAGTTCTCCTGTGACTTCTTGAAGATGAAGTTGGAGCGCGGCACTGTCCAGCGCTCGGTGATGCGCGGTAGCGGTACGGGACCCGAGACGGGGAGATTGAGGTAGTAGGCGGCACGCATGGCAAAGTCGGTGAAGACCTCGAGGTTGCGCAGGCTGTAGGAGCGGAGTTGGAGATCGCAGGTGGGGATGCGATGGGTGGGAGTTCGTTTGAGGGGTTCGAGGTAGGTTGCTTGGACTGCGCGCGGGAGTCGCAATTGAGCGAGTTCGTCTGCGACGTTTGAGGGGAGGGCTTGTCGTTGGATTTGGCGCTTGCATTGATGGGAGATGGACGGGGTGGAGGAGGAGATCTGTCGAGGGTCAGTCTTCGCAAGCCGATGCATCGCAATGGAAGGAACGACGTACTCTGAGTCGTTTGGCTGCGCACACCAGCGATCTGGAATATGTTGGTGCCGCCATGATGGCGACGGAATGGGTGTGATGTAGAAGAAACGGATTCGTCTCGTCATGAAATGCAGCTCCTCTGCACACCACTCTGCATGCCACGACTTTTGGACGTGTCAAAATTCGCGCGCAGCCCACCACACCCTTCAAGCCTGATATTCGTTCCTGCACCACCGCAACCTCAGTCTCTGTGCAGAGAACGCTCACGATCCTCTGCCACGCCGCCTCTTCCCACCATAGCATCTCGCAAGTCCGCGACACCTACCCTCGAAGCGCATGACGAGATGGCAACCTCTTCAATCTTCCACCGCGCAAATGAAACCGCCGAGCATCTCCGCCTGCGACTGCCCGAACATCTCGCCCGACCGCGAGTAGGCATTGTCTGCGGCTCAGGTCTGGGTGGGCTTGCGGCAACGGTGAATCAAGAGCGTGACGAAGACGGCAAGGCGGTCAGCTGGGAGTGGGCATACAAAGATGTTCCAAATTTCCCATTAAGCACTGGTAAGGCTGTGACACGCTGACGATGGCATTGGTTGCGGACTATGGACTGAGTATTGCCACTAGTGGTCGGCCATGAAGGCAAGCTCGTCTTCGGCACCATGGGCGCGCACCGAGTTCCCGTTGTCCTTCTCGTAGGCCGAGCACAGTACGTAGCCCGATCCCCTTCTCCACTCCTTGCACATGTACGCCAGCCTGCTGCGCACATAGATCTAGATAGCCACTTCATCCATGCATCTCCCTTTGAAAGCGCGCGCAACGTTTTTAATGATTGTTTCATTCCCAGTTTCTACGAAGGGCACGACATGTCCGCCGTCACATTCGCCGTACGCGTTTGCCGTGTACTCGGATGCCAAACCATGCTTCTCACCAATGCGGCCGGCGGTTTGAATCCGGACTACTCTGTCGGCGACCTGTTATGTCTCAACGACCACCTCAACTTTGTGGGAGTGGCTGGCTTCCATCCGCTGCGTGGGCCCAACGACGACGACTTTGGCGTTCGCTTCCCTCCTTTGAGTGACGCGTACGACCTTCGCCTCCGCCAACTCGCACACAAAGCCTGGAGAGATATCCAGTCAGAGCATTCGTCAAAGGGAAGCGCCAGCACTCGGCGCATGCACGAAGGTGTCTACGCATTCCTTTCCGGTCCAACGTATGAGACTCGAGCGGAGTGTCGCATGCTCCGCCTGCTGGGAGCGGATGTGGTGGGGATGTCGACCGTGCCCGAGATCATTGTGTCCCGTCATTCCGGCATGCGCGTTCTGGCGTTCAGTCTGGTGACGAACAAGGCTGTGCTAGAGCCCACGGTACGTGCTGATGACCCGGCTGTGCAAGGGCTGTCGGAGGAGGAGATGGATGCGTATCTCCGTCGCGGCATGGCAGACCACACAGAAGTGCTCGAGGAGGGAAGGCTGGCGGCGATTGATATGCAGAGTTTGGTGATGAAGGTCGTCTCGGGGCTGTAGACCGTGGGACTTTTGCGTGAAGGGGGCGAACATCCGGCATCATCGCATGGTTGCATAGGCCGGCATCAGCATTACCAGGAGTCGTTGAAGCGTCTTAGGGTTCGCAGGGAAGCCTTCTTCATCCGGATCCTCCTTTCTTCACCCCATGCTTTCTCTTCGCCTTGAGTGCCTTGTAGAATGCCTTCTTGCCACTCCCCTTTCTATCCTGCAACTCGCCAAACTTCTTCTTGAATCTTCCAGTCTCTTGCTCACCCGCGAGCACCTCCTCCACGAACGTCTTCTTCCTCTTTTTGTTCTCAATCCTACCGGAGAAGAACTCCGTCGGCCCTTCGACAATTGTGCCGACTTGGCTGTACTCTGGCGCCTTCATCTTGCCGTTGTCTTTCCGGTAATGTCGGTGCGGGTCGAGGACGTTGCGCATCTTGAGCAGTTGCAGATCGCGTTGGAGCTCGGGGGTCATTTGCGTGCGCGGAAGATTATACCATGCAGCACCAGCGGTTGCCTTCTTCTTCTATGAGGTCACACTGTCAGCGAGTGGGCTAAGCATGATCGTGGCGTGCAAAGCAGCGAAGGTGGTGCTCAAGATCAGAGTAACTATGATTTGTAAAGGCTCTCATGGCGCAGGGACACAGCCATAACGGCGTGCCGGGTCTGCTCAAGAAGAATAAAAGGAAATTTTCCTCATGGAAGAGCGACGAGCGGACGTGGGATTGTCTCCAACATACCTCTTCTGCAGATTTCCTCGCCGCCACAGGATCTTCCACCTGACGGATCCCGGCGGCCTTTTTGAGCTGGCGCTGGTCCACGGCTTTGGAAGGGTCGAGCAAGGCCACCTCTCCCTTTGTCGAGACATAGGGCCGGTCTAGCTCACCAGGATTGAGCTTGGGAATGGAGTAAGGGCGGTGTTCGGCGGACTTGATCACTTCCTTGGACCCCAAGTTGGCGTGCAAGCGCGCGCTCGCTCGCTCGAGGAGTTGTTGGATCTCCTCATCGTCGAGCTCTCCGTCGAGGACGGCGGTCTCGAGCGCCAGGGGCGGTGCCATGGTTGCAGGCATGTGGAAAGCCAGAGGGAGAGAAAGCCGGGCGTCTTTGGGATTTTTTGACAATCGCGAAATCTTGGCGACGTCAGGCGGCGAAACTCTATTCGGGGAGGCCCAAGCTTCGCATAGCCAACCCCATCTCGCCCGCGACGAGCACACGATGCCTTACTCTGTACATTGATTCAGGGAATCTCGGGTTACCGCCAGGCCGCCATGGGTCTTTTGGAGATTCCCACCGAGCTGCGGATGCACATCTTCGAACACCTTGCAGACCTGTCGTATGGGAGAGACGAAACCATTGGGCCCAATGTCCGACTGACCCCCGCCATCTGTCGCGTCTGCCACACCATTCGAAAGGAGACTCTTCCCCTCTACGCCAAAACTTCGTCCTTTAGCATCCAAACAGACGATAACCTGCACGTCTCCAACACTCGCGTGCAAGCTTGGCTGCAAGCGCTGGGCCCGACGGCGCTGTCGAAAGTCGAGAACCTGCATCTCAGCAAGCACTGGAAGCTCAAGCAACCCTCCCGCTGGCAGGGTCATGTTGGCTTCTATGTTCGCTTGCAGCTCGTCCGCAAGGTGTGGCAGTGCACGGCCGGCACGTACCCTATCGCGAATGACATGCGTGGCATGCGGCTCGAGAGCGTCGATCTGCTACGCCATGTCATTCTGCGCCAGCTGAGGCCGGCATCGGCCTACACCGACCTGAAGTGCTTGACCTCGAGCGATGTTGAATTTATCATCAATGCCATGGAGATTGTGGCGTCGCATCCCATCCCAACCTTCGACACAGAGCAGAGTGAGGCGGGTCGGCAGCGTAGACGCGGGCTGTGGGCAACGATGGAGGGGAAAGTGCTGGCTTTGCAGGCTTCGTTTGACGAGGAGGCAAATGTGCAGCCGCGATCAAAGGGATTCCATACTCCGTATTGAGACTCCAACTTGACGAATGATGACTCGGATCGGTCGTCCTCCAGATAGCGGAAGCGATGTATTGCACTTCCTCATTTACTCCACGAAACGACATCAGCAACCACAGCCCGATGGTCACTACAGAATACCCCATCGTCAAAGACATTGGGCAGTGTTGAGTATCCTTCAATCGTCCAGCTGTCCCGTGCCGTCTTCAATCCATTAAACGCACTGACTCTATTCTTTGGCCCAACCCAGACAAAGTCAATCCTCCCGATACCCTGGTCTCTCCCACCTCCAGCATGAAATCCAGTAAACGTTCCTTCGTCACCATACCGCGCATGTTTCGGCACAGCATCGTGCACGTCAACCACCGACCCACTGGCTACCAAAGCTTTGTAGGCCTCGCCATCCGGGTCGGAGTTGAAATCCCCTGCAAGAAGGAAGTCCAGAGAATCGTGCACCGCCCACTCTTTCGTCGCGCGCTCTATAACTTCGAGAATAATCGGCACGCTCTTCGCCCGCGACTCCGTCCCCTCATTATCCAAATGTGTGTTGAAAACCGCGAGTCGCCGCCCCGTACGCTTGTGCGCAAACACCCCCGTAGTCAGGATGCGTATACTGCCTGCATCCCACCCTTTGCTCGGTTTGTCGGGTGTTGGACTCAGCCAGGTGTTTTCAAAATGTAGGAGCTCGAAGACTTGGGTCGGGTAGAGTATCGGGCTGTACTCGCCCACAGTCTTGCCATCGTCGCGGCCTACGCCGATGTGAGCCCAAATTGGTCCGGAAGGAAGGCCAGTGTTGCTGTGTTGAGTCTCGGATGTGCGGTTCAGAGCACTCAGAATGTCGTTGAGTTGAGTGTGAAGGCATTCTTGCAAGCAGATGAAGCCTGCGGATGGAGGTGCATGGGAGGGAGTCGTAAGGCTGCTACCATCGAGGAATCGGGTGTGGTAGAGCAGCTCATTGACGATGCGGGGGCAGCGTTCCTTCCAAGGCCTCTCATGCTCGTCACGGTCTGTTGCGGCATAGCGAATGTTGTGCGTGATGATTCGGATGCCCTGGTGTTCCCGCGCTGCGGCAGCTGGCGTGGACCATCTTTCGTCCCACAATGCTGGAGGCCGATGAGGTTTGGCTCTCACCATCTTTAGCAGCGTCTACCGATGCGTGGGATGGTGAGATGCGATGCGGTCACGATTGGATGACGACCAGTACTCTGCCAGTTCCGTGCATGTGTAGGAATGTTTGAGGTGGTGAGTTCACGGCGGGGCCATACAGTAGCTTCCAGCTCTCGAATCTCACTCTGCTAAGGGGTATCTAACGTCTCTGATCGAAGCGATGGCGACAGTCACGAGCAGTCTTTCAGCACCTGCTCATTCCTCGTCGCACTTCCAAATGTCCACCCGGCTGCACGTGAGCGACATCAGTCACTCAGCTCGATGGCTTCCTCTGCCGAGTTACCCACGTTCTGCAGCGCCGACGGTTTCTCCGGCTGCGCAGTCCACCTTGCGTTCCCATTGACTTGTGGTTGCCACTGCCCGCCATACAAGGCGGAATCGACGTCTTCATCTTCATCTTCCTCGTCCTCGTAATAACCATACGCGCCGCCGTCCTCCTCCTCGTCATCCTCCTCATCGACTTCGCTGCTTCCATCCTCGTCAACATCACCATCCTCGCCTGCTTCATCCCTAGCAAAGTTATTCGCGTGCCCGAAGCCATTGAACTGCTCATCAGATCCCTCTTGAGAACTGTCCACGTCCTCGTCCTCCTCGCTGTAGCCCTCTTGGTTTTGTAAATCTTGTAGCGCCGTCTCCTCATCCTCGTCCTCCTCTTCATCATCATCGTCGTCGAGGAGCTCTCCATTGACCGGATCGGTGTATGCGACACCGCTGTACTGTGTTCCTAGCTGATCTGGCATAGACCCAGCGTTGTCTTCGTCATCAGAAAGAAGCGAGACGGCTTGCGAGAGCAAGTATGAGTTTTGTTGAGGAGCCGCCTGGAACGGGTTGTGATGATCAAGCCCACGCGAGCTACCAAAACTGTTCGCCAGGGACGCATCGACCTGCGAGAGCTTGATGGTGTGATCTTGTGGACCCGTGGTTGGAGAGTGCTCCTGCTTGAGGCCGGCAGTCGGTTGCGATCCGAAGGTGTAGTGAGACTCGGGCACCGTGGAATGCAGGAAGGGGTTCTCTGCCGGAAGCTGTGTCGTGTGGTTTGAGAAGGTGAAGGGAGTATGGGATTGAAGGTTGGCAGGCTTCATGTTCGAGCGGAGTCCAGCTGTGTCGTGGTCGAGAGTATAGGACTGGGTTATACTGTCCGTTGTATTCACCATAGGCGCAGGGCTGCTCGACCAGTTGATAGCCGGGTTCTTGGATACTGGCCGCTGCTGGAACAGAGTCTCGGACTGCGTTGGGAAGGAAGGCTCCTGCGCGCGGGATTCGGGCCTGCTTGTCTCCCTGGATCGCGATTCTCGGATCTCCTTCGCTCGTTCGATCGCATCTGCGTAACGTTCGCGAGGGACAAACTTGCTCTCGCGTAATCGGTAGGCTGGCACGGAGCGGCCATGCGCGTTGTCGCTGTTATCAGAGGCAGCCAAGGAAGCACGTCGCCTAGCGTCTGCTCGAGCTTGGATCATGGACGGCGAGTCGTTCGATGAAATGGAATTGACGCTGCTGTGGAGCTGGGCAGGATAGTCCAGTGTGAATTTGAAGAGCGCACCACCGTTCTGCAGTCCTTCGCGAGCTGCTCGAAGGCGAGCGAACAATGCCTCGTCCGCTTCATGCGCTTTTGGCGCTTGCGAAGCCGATGACAGCGGTGGTGCCATCAAAGCTCCGCGCATGGAAGGGGTGGTCGCAGGGCTCAAACGAGACGATGGCCGCAAAGCTGGCGGCGATGTCTGCTGATGCTGGACGGTCTCTGTGGACGGTCTCTTGGTACCCCGTAAGCCACTCAATTGGTCCGCTTGAGTAACTCCCATCGCTTTGAGGCGGAAGTAGTTAGATCTGACCGTGCTCCTCGCATTGACATCAGCATCGTCCGACAGTGAGAACCCCAAGAAAGAGGATCGTTTCAGTAGGTCTGCGTGATGATGAGGCACAGGCACAGAAGTCGGCTTTGTGATGCGTCCTTTCTCATCGACGTGACTGGTGCTCTTCAGACGTTTGTGTCCGAGCTCACGGATTGGACTTGCGACACCAACATGCGAGGATGTCGGACGCATGTTGCGTTTGGTGGGATGCTGTTGATCTGCTGCTCTGGCCCTCACCCCGGGAGATCTCACAGAGAGGACGCTTCCCATTGCTCTTACGCTGTTGTGATCTTCGCCTCCACGTTGCATCACCAACTCCGCTCTGTGGCTGCCGTTGATCGATTGGCTATCCCGCAGACGGCCGTCGTCATTCGCTTGATCTTCACGTTGTTGTAATCTTCGCTGTCTCCTTGCCCTTCGCTGCTGCCCTGTCTTTGCAAGTCGTCGCTGCCAGAAGATGTCTCTCCAGCGGATGCCGTATTTCTGGCACAGGTGAAATTGACGCCAATCGTCGGCCTCAGCGTTGGCTTGCTCGGTTTTGATCTCGTCGAGTACTTCATGAATGGTCTTACTGACGATGAAGTCGACGAACTGTTTCATGTATCCGTCGTGGGCATTGTGGGTGAGCTCATCAGCGAGGCGAGTGACGAGTGATTCAAAGTCCTCCGCCGCGTTTGTCTCGGGCACGTGCTCGTTAGGCTTGATGGCTGCTCCAGGCGTGGTTTCATGCCGCGCAGGTGCTTTCTGTGTTGTCGGTGCTTCACTTGACGTGGGCACAATCTGTTCACTCGCAGTGATGGAAGCTGAAAGGGGGCTCGGCTTCTTTGGTCGGGTGTCGGCAGCCGAGGACGGCCGTCTGAGGCCGAGGCCTAAGCTTGAAGCTGTGGCGGGCTGAGGGGGTGTGGATGATGTGGGGCATGTCGACGGCGAAGTGAGTTGATGTGGTTGGGAAGGCTTCGTCTCCTGCGGCTGCAATGAGAAGCTTGGCGTCGCCGGAGCGGGACTTGCCGTCGTTTGCCCAAAGGTAAATTGAGCCCTTGGCGACTCATTGTCTTTCGAGGTCTTGTTGGGAAATGACCAAGACTGCGATGCATCTTGTTTGTCGTTGGGTTGCGCAACCGCAGGTGCCTTCGCTGCGCTGCCTGGCGAGAACGAAAAAGGACTCTGAGCGGAAGGACGAGCCTGATCGAAGACACTCGCTTGTGTACCGGAGGGCTGGCCGAATGAGAACTGCTTCGGTGCAGACTCCTCGTCCTTGGTGACGCCCGTTCCCTTGCTGAATGGCGATGTCGTGAAGGGAGACGAAAAGCTGAAGTTTGGTCCAGTACTCGTCTTTGCTGGCTCCTTGAAATCGAATAACGCTTGAGCGTTGGCGGGTTTGATGGGTGCAGGAGATTCGATCGACTGCTTCGCGGGTTGCGCGAAGATACTAGGTTGTTCAGCGAAGGCGGATGGCTTCCCAAACGTAGTGGTCCCGGCGGCAGCACCACTGAAGATCGATGAGGTCGGATTGCTGGTGACAGTCGGTTTCGCCGAGAATGGATTCACGTGCTGAGCGTCCGGCGTCTTTGTCTCAGGAATAAAGAGCGAATCGCCGTCCCAAGCATCGCTGCCGTTGAGTGCTTCTGCCTGCACACCCTGCTCGTGTATCTCGTCGGTCATCATGTCCTGCTCGTTGTTGTTCGTCTCCTGCTCCTCCACCAAGCCAAAGTTCCGTGCACCCTGCACCGTCAACCCATTGATGACTGCCGGCAATGTCCTCCCAAACCTCTTGTCCTCGACCAAGGCCGATTTCGTCTGTTTTGGCATCCCAGCAGAGGGCTCAGGCAGGGTTCTACCCTTGACTGAAGTGAGATCCAAGTAGTGTTCACCATCCTCCCGTTCGTTAAAGCCGAAGCCGAAGCGTTCGCAATACGTATACACCTCATCACCATCGTCAAAGCCCAGCAGATCGCAAAGAATGTCGATTGTCCAGTCTGGGGTGGCGAGGTTGGAATTCATGCGGAATGTGCGGAAAAGAGCGCTGAGCACCATGCGCCGAACGAGGTTGAAGTAGATCTCGGCGACGCAGGCCATGAGGTACGAGACTTGCTTCGAGGCCACCAGGGTCCAGAAGCGTTGCCAGTCTTGTCGCGCGATCAGATGGTGAGCGGTCGGTTTCAGGGGGCCTTGTGAGTAGATGACGTTGCAAGCTGCCATGTACAAATCCAATGCTTTGTGCACTCTCGTGTCTTCAATGATCCGTCTTGGCCACGTCTGCACCCTGTCTTCCAGGTCTGGAGTCGGATCTTGCAACTGGAAAATCACGCAGTAGGCACGGAATTCCGGCTCGTTCGGGAGGTCTATTCGCCCATGGCTGTCGTCGTAGAATTGCATCAAGGACAAGAGAGTACGGTCGAGCTGTTCGCGCTCTTGCTGCCAGTCGTATTTCGAGTAGGGCTTCTCGGGAAGCGCAAGCTGATGGAGCGAGACGATGTGGAACCGGGCAATTCGTTCGTAACAATCGATGGCGATGCTCAACTCTTCCGGCCGTGTGACTTGTTGGATGGAGAAATCATTCCGTACCGCCCGAGTCCGGTCCCAGACGAAGTGATGTACTTGGCCGAGGAATGGCGCGTTGCCAACAACCTCATTGAAGAGATAGTCGCACGTTCGCTTCAAGATATGAGGCGGACGGAGATCCGAAGGTAGTTGTTCTTCCAGGCCCGCAGCGGCTCTCCGAAACTTCTTCACCATGCGCGCTTCATCGGGCTCTTTGTCGGTGCTGGCAAATGCGGAATGGGTGGGATCCTATCGTGCATATCAGATCTGTGTCCATCTTGGCAATGATTTGTAGCAATGACCCACCGTCTCCTCTTCCCACACATCTTTTTGCACCACCCGCTGTACCCGCTCGTACTCTGCACACATGTCCTGGCATGTGCCAACGGGCGTGATTGCTTCGGAGAGGGATCGAGGCTTGTCGGGGTCGGCAATCACACCATGTCGAATGGCTTCGGTTCGTTCGCGTTCGCGGGCTTTCGTGAGCTAGAGGGAGTCACGATATGGACTCTATTAGTGGCGGGGAGGGAGTAGCAGACTCACCGCTTGATATCGGTCTTGCCAGCTGCCTCCTGTCTTTGCGGCACCGAATGCGCCCGAGTGGAGGGCCGTTCGACGGCCAGTACCTCGATCGAGCTGGCGCATCCCTCGAGTCGCCGGGGCTTGGGAAGCGGCTCCAAACGTGCCTCGTTTGATCGGGTTTCCCCGTGGCGCATGGCTTCCGAATACGCGACCGCGAGTACTCGAGCCTCTTGCAGGTGCATGTGGTTGCGGCGTGCTACCGCGTCCCCGACCGCGAGCTCCTCCGCCTCTCACAGACGACATGGTCGTCGTCACTGTGGAGGGAGTTAGCTAATCGCGTCATGTGTATGGCTCCGCCCAGACAGCGTGGAGTCGGTGGAGGGAAGACGGGAGGGAGTGCAGTGGTTTGGAGAGCGAGGTGATGGCTTGCAACAAAGCGACGTAGGAACATTCAATTAACTTGACCTCCAGCCCGCCGATCTTCAAAGCCAGGGCGGCGTGGTGGTCCGTGCGTCGCTCGCCCAAAACACCTCGAGCCTTGCCGGACATACGACGAACCTCCTCACCAACACCACGGCGTCAGTGGATTGCACACGCTCATACGATGATAAAAAGGAGACATGTGAGCCAGAGTACCATATACAGGGTTCATTTGTTCTACGACATTACTGCCGTAGCGCCAGGAGCGCGCTGCTGTCCCCTCGAGACCAGCGAAATTCATGCAGCACAATCATGATTGAGACTGAGCCGAAATGCGACCGTGACGGGGACCTTGAGGCCGTGAATGGATACCAGGCCGCTCCTTCATCCCTCCCACTCCGGGACCCCAAACACCAAAGCGCGACTGCACCAATTAAGCCGAAACACTGCTGCTGTTTGCGTACAAACCGAGATGCGCACGCTCCAACCGAAAGCTTTTCGTAAGTACGTTAATAACCGAGAGATGACCACCGAAACGACGAAGCAAGCGCCGAAATGCCGAAACGCGAAACGCGAAGCAAGCGATCAAGGGCGAGGTTGATGCTCACGTCCAGGCTCCGCCACCTACGCAAGACGGTTAGCCGTGTCCACCAACGTCGTGAGTGCTCATGATCAGACTTACCGACACCGCCAGCATGGCCTGTGAAGCCACGCACAATGTGTGGTGGGCTGTGGACGGACGGGACGTGCGTCTCCGGGTGGTGATGTTGGAACGGTGTTGGCATCTCCCCTCCCTGCAGCCGTTCAGACCTTCCGCCGCCACCATGATACGGTTGTTCGTGCTCAACGAGTTGCATATCGTTGGCAGCGAAGGTTTCCATGTGGTGCAGATTAGCTGCGGCATTCGCACACTCGCCTTCACGCCACATCGAGGGAAACCCGTGGCCAAACGCATACATGTAGTTGTCTCCGTGGACACTCAAGGCCTGACCGCCATTGACCTGACTGAGACTGGCTGCAAACTCGAAGTATGGCATTGGCTCGTCCAACAAGAGCGGAGTGGAGACGATGCGTGCCTGTGAGGTGTTGGCCATCTGATACACTGGCACTGGCTGCTGCTGTTCCGTAGGCCCGTGACAGGAGTATGCCCAGTCGTGCCGGTGGGGGAAAGTGCTTGGCCCGGCACAAGGCTCGTAATGGCGTTGGTAGCCTGATATGGACGACCCAAACGAGCCAGTGACCGGTGTGTTCACGTACGAGGACGTCTGGGAGCTGCTGTTGTCCGAGCCGACGTAAGAGTCCAGGGGTGGTAGAGGTTCGAAGGCATTGGCACCAGTGTTCATTAGCCCCATGCAAGCCGAGAAGGGAGCCACGTCGGTGCCAAGGTCGATGTGTACGTCTTTGGGGTCCTCTACCCGCTTCCTTGCTCTTTGGACAGGCTTGTCTTCCGATGGAGAGGGAGTGGACGAGACAAGAGCACGGCGTGCGTCGTCCGAGCTGACAGACGGGGCTTGCGAGCGCTGTGCCCTTCGATGTCTCGTCCTTGCCGAACGCACCTCGCGGTTCCATGAAGCCCTGGTATCGCCGTCTGTTCGCACTCTGTCAGCGTGGCTTTCAACGTACTCCAGTCCACCGCTGCTCACCGATGTTGCCATTCAGATAATCCTCCTCCATTTGTGCCACTCTGAAGATTTCTTCCAAGAGCTTGGGGCGGCGGTTGACCTTGTCTTGGGGCTCTTTGGCCAGGTTGTTGAAGAGCGTGAGCGGAGTCAACTCTCGCATCAGTGCCGTCCAGCCCTGGAGACAATGGCTCTCGTTGGGCTCATCACTGCTTCCGTTCCAATCTTGAAGCAGCTCGGGCGACGGTCGCAGGCGGATCAGGTGGACGAGCAAGCTCACGCGGTCTATTAGTCGCGGGGTCAGTTCTGATGGCGACCAACAGGGGTATAGAGGCCACTCACTGTCTTTGTTGACGTGATCTGGCTCTCTGAAGGGACAATGCTCAACGGGAGGCCACCATGGTGGTGCATTTCCCTTGTGGTAGGGAAACTTCGACTGCTTCTTGGGACAGATGCCCTTGATCAGGGCCTTGACCCAAACCTTGCACCCTTGTTGCTGGAACAGGGTGCACTTCGTGATCATGTAGTTGACCACGGCCTTCGAGTCGGAAATCTGGAAATCGGCGATGGGCCCGACGAGAGCCGGCTCGCATTCGCCGCATTCCTCGGCATCGTGGAATGGCGGAGGCTTGTAGACCCGCAAAGGTCGGGGCCTTGGGGCCACCGCGCGTTTCCCCGCTCTGACGGCGCGAGTGACCGTCTCGATGAGCTTGTTCGAGGTGCGCTTCTTCGTGGTTTGCTTGGATGCCCGCCCCTTGAACGATGGCGCGGACAAAGCCAAATGCGAGCCCATGTGTGGCTCTGTTGATTGTTAGTGATCACTGGGTAGACGAATGGCTGACCAAGCCGACTTACTCGTGTCGTGATCACTGTCGTCTGCGGTTGTGGCAGCACCTGGCTGGCCGACGTATGCCTGGCCCGTGTCGTCGGAAAAGAAGGTCGGCGTGGAGATGTCCAACAGGCTGTCGGACACGGGGAAATCGCGTCCATGCCACATTGGTGATGCGAAATGAGCCATGTCGTCGATGTTGGAGGGAAACTGTGCACCGGTTCAGCTCGTCGCCTTGCCACAGAGACGAAAAGGGAGATGGAGAGAACCTTGCAACGTACCAGGCGGAAGTCTGCCCTCATTTTGCGATTGTTGAACTTCGGGGGCCCGGTTTCAAAGCACTTGCGGTTCTCTACCGACTTACGCTTTCGAAGCGTCTTGGTGGTCATCATTGACGCGTAGTACTCGATGCAATCGTGCAGCGTCGATTCCTTGGTCACACGGGGAGCTCTCAAGTGGTTCTGCGTTACTGATATCCCGATCGTTAAGACATCTTCGAATGTAACAGAGTCGGCTTGTGACGCTCTGGACTCGTCTTGGGCCAGAGGGGCTGGGCTTACCGGAGAAGATACTGAAGATACTGCCGACGATTATTGCGTCTCGGGGATTGGTAGGATAGAGGGCTTGGCTTTGCTTGCGACAATACTGTCAATGGTTGCTGAGCAGGGCTGGTGGATGGATGGGTGGGTGAGAAAGAGGAGCATGGGGCAGGCAGCGTTCAGAAGATAGATGATTGGATCGTGGAAGCGAGAGGGAGGCAGGAGAAGGGAAATGTGTGGACAGAATTCGAAGCATGGGGATGGGTGGCCACCGTGGAACGTATGGCCCGTCGCGCCTCAACACTAACCTCCAATTCCGGACGCTTGCCTGTCATGCCGTCAGAAACGGGTAGGCCGGAGACGGGACGGCACATTGACGAGAAACGCAGTCTAGGCTCTGTTTACCAGGCGCACACCCCGGTTGTGCATCGGAGGAGCACCATTGACCAGCAGATCTTGCTGCCAGATCAGCGATGCCCCGTTCGTTCCCACACCTGGTCGTTCCCAGCTGTCGGAACCTGGTGTGGTTGTCCAACGGGACCGGCTCCACAAGCGACAGCAGCGTGGCGGACAAGCCTTTTTGATGTCGCCATGTAGCTACTTGAGAGGCACGCAGGGCTGCAACGTTTGATGGATCGGCAACGGCCTGGTCCAATGCATGCAACATGCAGCCGGACGAGGGTCAAGGGTTGCGCAGTCGGAGTAGTCGCTCCCCGTGCCGTGCCGTCAGGTTCCTCGAGCTAATCAAACACCCGAGACACGCCTTGAGTGGCATTCGAGAAGCTGCCGGGCCCACGACGGGTGGCTGAGGCTTGTACGACCTCGACTCGTTGAAGAGCAGCGCGTCCTGGAGCGCGTTGACGAACGAGTCCTGTTTGTCGATGGGGTGGAGCGGTTGACAGCAGCGGCACCGCCGTTGGAGGCTGCACGCCGCTGCATGTACGAACGGTTTCCGTTGCCCGCCTCACCTCGACATCCTGTGGCGTCGGCGGATGCGCGTGGTTGCAGCAGACGAGGTGTGGTTGGATGCTGGCGCGGATCTCGTGCACGTCGCCGCGCTAGCGCTGCGAGCTCGACCGCATCTGGTCAAGCGTGGAGCGGATATCTCGATGTGCCGGGGTGTGCGGGCGGGGATGATCGGGCATCGTAGATTCACATTGAGCAAGGGGTGCTCGGCGAACGAGCCGAAATCGGCATGGCAGATCGGGTTCATCGATCCTCCGCATGAGATGTGAAATGGGCTGCATGTCATATGTATGTACGATGATCGAACACGTTCGGGCGGGGAGGGGGAGAGCTATTCAAAGCTCGGAGGACATCCGACAAGGAAGCTGCAACATCGTTCTGCATGCACATGCCATTTGCCGTGTTCTAGTATACCTATGCTAACGCTGTACAACTGCAGGGCCCTCGACGGCGTTGAGTAAGCCTGCCTCTCGAACCAGCTCGTAGAAGAGGCCGCGTCGGCTGATCAGCTCGGCCGGCGTGTCAAACTCCTTGACCTCCCCTTGATCGAGCACCACAATCCGATCACTGTCCAGGATTGTGTTGATGCGATGCGCGACTGTTCGTGCCGTCAATCAGCTTATGGCCAATGTGTGTACGGGCAGGGAGAGAGAGTCAACTTACTGGTGATGATGGTGCGATCCTTGAACATGTTGCTTCGGAGGGTCGTTTGCAACATGGCATCTGTTTGCACATCGACTGCGGCCGTCGCCTCGTCGAGCACCAAGATGTTGCTGGGGGTGAGCAGTGCCCGTGCTAGAGAAATGAGTTGCTTTTGGCCTTGGCTGAGGTTCGATCCGCCTTCATGGATGTGTGCTTCCAACTGCCCATTCATTTGAGAGACGTGCTCCCTCAATCGGGCGTGGTCGAGCACGCTCCAGAGTTCCGTGTCATCGTGCACATGGCCTGGATCCAGATTGTCTCGCACCGTTCCCTCGAAGAGCGCAGCGTCCTGAGGAATGATGGCAAGTCTCCGGCGGAGATCAAGCAAGCCAATAGAGCTGGTACTTAGGTCGTCGATGCTCACATCGCCACCCGTAGGCTCGATGATACGGAACAAGCCGAGGGTCAAAGAGCTTTTCCCTGCGCCAGTGCGGCCAACGACGCCGATCTTCTCGTGCGATTTGATGCTGAGGTTGATGTTCTTGAGCACCAGATCCAACCCTGGTCGGTACCGCGTGCTGTAGTTGTTGAACGAAACGGCGCCTTTGGCGGGCCAACTGACGGCCGGCCGGTGTTTGGAAATGACCTCGGGCGCTTCGCTGGGTAGCCGTGCGTACTCCAGCACCCGCTCCACCGAGACAATGTTTGTTTCCACTTCCACCGTCTGTCGCACGATCCAGTTCAATGACTGCGTAATTTGCAATGCATAGCTCATCGCCAGCCCGACCAGACCGGCTGACAGGCCGCTACCCGATGTCACCGAAACGATGGCAAAGCCCGCGGCGGCAAGGATGATGACCGAGCCAATAAACTCCAGCCGGACGGCAAGCCATCGGTTCGCACTGATCGACGGGAAGTAGGCCCGTAGGTTTGCATCAACTCTCCACTCATTCTCTAGCGCGAACCTCTTCGTTTGACGGTAGGCCCGGATGGTGCTGACGCCATTGAGAGATTCCTGGAAGTGAGCGTAGATCGGACTGCGGCTCACACTGTCAAGACGCTTCAGCTCCCGGGATGTACGTAGGTAGTACTTTTGGATCCAGAGGTACAAGGCGCCGAGTGGGATGATGAGCGCCACAAACACCGGGGTCGACGCCGAAATAACGGCGAGGGTAAATGCAGCTGGAACCTGTCACTCTGTGTTTCGATGCATAATCGAGAGACCAGAGATACGTACCTCGGGCGCCATTCGTGAAGAGCATGTTGAAGGTACGTCTGTGTCGAGGTTAGCGGGCAAGTCAGCTCGTTGGCCACCAATCCGAGGAATTCGGCATGCACGTACGCGAGCACCTCGTCGATCTTGTAAATGTCACTAACGTTGCATTAGCTCTGCTCAGCCTGCAGCAACCCGGTTTTGGCAACGTGGAGTAATTCAGGCCTGCGGATTGCGCCTCTGACCACCCCACACGAAGCTCTGGCCCACAGGAAGACTCACCTGGAAAATCGATTGAGAATGCGCCCGCTGGGCGTGGTTTCGAAGAAAGTCATGGGCGACCGGAAAATGGCAAACGCCATCCTCTCGTGCAACTTGCGGGAAGCCTGCGTGGCGACAGCAGATTCGCGTTTAGCTAGTGGACGGTCCGGATGCCCCGGAGGCACCGCATATTTGACAGGTCGTGTAACTCACCTCGATGGAGCAGAATATCCACAAAAGCAGGGTTTGCATCACCACAAGTGCGGCACTGCCCACCCCGAATGCAAAGTAGATGCCCAGGAAGAAGCCGACATCCGGGTTGCCATCCGCTTTGTCGTTGGTCTGACGTCGATTAACAACCTTAAACGTCGAAAGAGGGCTATTCAGGAACTCTTACCTCTGACCAGTTCTTCAGCCAGATGGAACCCCCTGTTGGCACGCATTAGCCTACCGCGCCCGCATGCCTGTGAATGGGGCCGAGCATCTCCGTGTGGATGCGCAAGGTAATCGCAAAGACTCACCTATTTGTGCGGTTTGAGCTCCCATCAACATCACCAGATAGACAATGACAGCACCGATGTTACAGGCCTTGGCATATTCCATGTAGATGTCCCTCTTGACTCGACCCTGCTCTGATGCCTCTTTGATCTGCTTCGTCTTCACGGCTCCCTGGGTTGATATTAGCAAAAGCATGATCAAACGAGCGCAAGAAAGTTTACCTTGGCGTCCTCCTCCTCGTCGCCCAGCTTGCCTCTTGGTCCTCGGAACGATGCTGTACTCGCTCTTCGGAGAGTGACGTTGCTCTTTCGACGATCCATTGTGGTTCCAGTCTTGATCGGCGCCAAAGCAGTCAACGTTTCTACGGCCTCTCTGCTCTCCTCAATGTCTTCGTCATCCTCCACAGTCTCCACCTCATACATCGTGTCCGAGTCCGCAGACGGGCTCGCAGAAGCTTTGTCGCCATCCTCATCACTGCTCGCACTCTTGATCAACTCTGCGATTTCTCCTTTCATTGCAATGAGCTGTTCGTAGGTTCCGCGCTCGATGATGCGACCTTCGCGGAGCATGACAATGAAGTGAGCCTCCATGAGCACCGGAATGGCATTCGTGGCGAGGATGCGTGTCTTCGAGGCTAGCAGTCCTTTCGGGCCAAGGACGTTGTCAATGATGTGTCTTCCAACGTGCTGGTCGACAGCACTGAGCACATCGTCCAGTAAGTAGATGTCGGCCCTGGCGTACACTGCTCGGGCTAGCGTGACACGTGCTTTCTGTCCACCCGAGAGACTGATTCCTCGCTCGCCGACTTCGGTTTGGTCACCGTCGGGAAGGATGGCGAAATCGTCTTTGAGCGCACATGCCTTGATGGTTCGCTCGTAGAAGTTTGGATCCCAGCGATGACCAAAGACGATGTTCTCGCGGACGGAAGCATTCATGATCCATGGCGATTGCGCAGCATAGGCCGAAGCGCCACGCACGACGACTTCGCCCTTGGTTTTGTAGAGATCGCCCAGCATGGTCTGCAGCAGTGAGCTTTTGCCGGCGCCTACGCGACCCACAATGCACGTCAATTCGCCGCGGTGCGCCTTGAAATTGATATCCTGGAGGGTATCGCGGCTCTCATCTTTGTTCCAAGTGAATGTTGCATCTCGGATTCGAACCGACTCCTCGTTCTGGCCGACGGCTTCACCGCGCAGGACTGCGTCCTCCTGCAGCTCCGGTGCCGTGAAGTAATCGGTCAGACGTCCGACTGCCACCGTGGCTTCGATGAACGCCGTAATGACCATGGGAAGAACGGCCAAGGGAAACGTGAGCAGATTGAAGAGCGTGAGCGCCGGGAAGACAATGTCAGTGGTCAGCGGTTTGTGGACAACCGCTACGAACACTCCAAACGTGGTGCAAGACACGAAGAATGGCGTAGTAGACCACGTGAAGTTCGCCACCGCCTGGAGCCCTCCAATCTTTCTAAGCGTTTTCAGCTCCTGGTCGTTCCTGATTACGTTCAATTTGCTCATGAAGGCCTGGCCCCATGCATACAGCTTGATCGATTTCATGTTGTTCAGGATTTCGGTGATTAGTCTCGTTCGGGCGTCTTTGTTCTTCATCTGCCGCTTCTGAAACCTCTTGGAAATTCGTGCAATGAAGCTGAAAGTCACTAGATTAGCATCTTTATTGAAAAAGCCGCGGCGGAAGTCACTTACCCGTTGATGGGGATCATAAGCACCATCACACCCACTCCAGCGAACGCGCTCACACCGACCAGGTTGTACAGCGACGCCATACAAAGGGTGATCTGTAGCGGAGCACTCCACAGCTGCTGTCCAAACTGGGTAAGATCTTGCAGTCGCTGTGCGTCCACGGCCATGTAGTTGACAATGTCGCCAGTGCTCTTAGCCGCTCTGCCTTCGTTTGAGAGGCGTTGCGACTTCTTGTAGATGGTCGCGATCAAGGCACTCTTAATCCGCATGCCCGTCTCGAAGCCGCGCTGAAAGTACTGATGAAGGCATGCCGTCTGGGCGACAGACACCGTAAACATGGCCAGGGCGATCGCTGCACCTTTCACGGGAGGCTGTCGCACTTGTCCGGGCCGGTAGGAATCGACGAAAGAGATGAGGAGGCGTAGCAACTGGGGCTGTGTGAAGCTCAAGACATCAGACACCACCTTGAACATCGCCGCTCGACCATAAGGACCACCGAATGCGGACAGCATGGCGATCCACAAGCTTGGCTTCTTCTTGTCCAGCTGGATGGCCCATACTTCTTCAAAGTCTTGTGCGGTCGAGCGGGTAGTATCTCTCGAGCGCAGGTTCCAAAGATCGTCCTGGGTCAGATAGATCTTGTAGCCGTTCTTCATCAAGGGCGTGATCCAGCTGAACGTCAGTAGGGAGAAGACGTTAGCATACTCCACTGGGCATTCTGCTTCATCCCCGAGGGTGTCGTAGGCGGAGAGCCGCTTGGGCACAAGCCATTCCAGGACGAATTCAACGAATGCTAGGCCGGTACTAATGGTGAAGGTGACGAAGTACGGCAAGTAGTGCTTGTGCAGCTCCTGCGACACCAACGACCGGAGCTTGACGCAGTGGGCGATGATGAAAAAGAGCCAGAAGAACAGCGCGACGCCATTGGGAGTTCTCGACCGCCAGTGCTCAATCGTCTGAACGTAGAAGATGATGCCGAGGGAGAGCAAGCTGAGGATGGTAGTCCAGAAGCGAAAGTCCCCGAACCAGATGCCGGGCAGTTGGCGAACCTGCAAGATCGCCTCCACTGCCGTCGCTGCAATGATGGCCCCGAGCACCGATAGCTTGGCCCAGAAATGCCAGTCCTTCTTGACGGGTTGTGCTTGACATCTCTTGTACAGGTATAGGATGGCGGCCACACCGCCTACAATGCCGAAAACGGAAACGGCTGCCACCCAGGTGTCCAGGAAGCAAGGCGTAAAGTCCCACCGCAGGGGGCTCATTGGGCCCCAGCCCTCGCTGTTACCGCATAATGGCTGGCCACCGTCCTTCGATGCGCTCAAGTAGTGGTAAGACAGGGCATTTGAGGTTTGCAGGACGGCTTGTTGCGGGTGATCGAGCGGGATCATTGAGAGCCGTTGAGTGTCGGAATTAGGTAGGGTGGTGGAGATACGGAAGCGAGAGGAGGGTATGGTCGCAGGCACCGCAGGTCGAGTGGGAGGAAGAGGCAGCGAGTATTGTCTTCGAACCTGGTGGTAGTCGTTGCAAAGCAAGAGCCGCTTTTCTTGCGATGAAGACTGCAGGTGGATGCATGACCGGCCGACAACGCCAATTTAGGCAGGCGGGGCGCTAGCCTGGCCTTTCCCACGCGCCGACCTAGCCGAGACGGGATACTATGTAGGTCATCAGCTCCAACTAATTAGTCAGGAAGGCACGAAGGACTGGACTTCATGTTTGCACGTTTCCTTCAATATAATGAGATATATTTCACGAGACTCGAAGTGTCTGACCCCTGGTTTTACTGTCAACGTGCGCTGGTGGTGCTCGCCCCCCGCCAGTACGCACTTTCCACAGGGCCGAGGTCGGCGAACAACGTATCCCGCGCCTTCCTCATATCATCCACCACATGCATGAAGCCAGTCTTCGCAGCAAGTGTACACTCTGGTCGGTCTTGGGGATTGAGCTGCAATAGCCACACGAGCGCGGCGCGAAAGCCGTTCTCATCGTCGTATTTCGACGGCAGCTCCATCTTCAACGGATCGGCGCCGCTCGAGAAAAGTACCTGGGAGGCCATGAGCTTGAGCACCAGTCCCAGCTGGTAAATATCAGACTTGATGGTCATGATCTTGCCGCTGATCGCGCGGAGATAGGCCTGTGGATCTTCGTCCTTCAACTGGTTGACAGCAAGGACCTCGGGCGATTCGTAGGACTCTGTACCTGTAACACCGTAGCTCTCCTCTGCCAACTGAGCACACCCAAAGTCTCCGAGCACGACATCCGGCATTCCACATTCTTGCCTTCCCGGAAAACGCAGGAAGATGTTCTCAGGCTTGATGTCGCCATGAATGATCGGCTCGTTCTCCTCCATGCGCACCTCGTCCATCGTTTCGTTGATGCGCAGGCCGTGATGGAGGTATGCCAGCGCATGGCCCATTCCTACGAGCACGTGTAGACTGAATATCACTGGAATCTCCACACCGAGAGCCTGAAATTTAAGGATCTGGTCGAGCAGATCTCTCCCGCTACAGTACTCCATGTACACGAGAGGTTTGTTGGGTCGGCTGGGATGGTCCTCACATGCATACACACGGACAATGTTTGGATGAGGTTGGAGCTTGAGCAGTAACAGTTCAGCCTCGACTGGGCAAGGCGATGTTGTGTCCGTCTTGTCGGTGTTCGCTCGCTGGACTGCTGAAAGACGGACGCGCTTCACGACGACCAGCTTGCCCGTGGTTTCCGACTTGAGGACGGCACAGCATGCATCGCCGCTGGCTTTCAGGTTGCTGAGTCGGGTGTACCTGTCGTCCAGACGGAACTCCGCTTCCTGACGAGACTCGATGAAGCCGTCTCCATCCCGGACGTATTGGTGGCGCCTGTGTTGTGAGCTTCGCTGAGACGCCATGTGAGCAGACATTTTCCTTAACCAGAAGAATTCCGCTGCGGGATGTTGATATGTGGATATATATGGGGACGGGGCTTAGATATATACAGTATGCTGATAGCTCTGCGCCAGGCGTGAATGTCGGTGGAAACAGGAGAGTCAACAGTGCATTCGATACTTGAAGGAGAGGGGCAAACATTCACTATGAACACTCATGCGGCAGAGACACACGTAATACATGGAAGAACCCCACGCCGGAGGGTGACGCCAAGTTCATTTGTGTCCATCTTCTGCGCATCGTGGATATCGGCGGCGCTCAATCCCTGTTCTAACGGAGCAGAGGTTAACAGTGAATCAGCCACTTCCAGGTGCGGAGTGGGTTGCCGTGCGGCACGTAATGCGTTCGAAGGTACGAGAGCAATGAACGTCGCTCCTCTTTGGCAAGTATCAAGCTGACAGGATGCATCAATTACGATAATGTGTATAAATACGTTGGTGCAGCCGGTTGGTTTCTTGATGGCGGTGGCAGTTGTTGGTCGGCTTATGTAATCGTGTATCTGACGCGCACGTGATAAGCTAGGCCTAGTTCGTCGCGCGGGACTTCTGGCACCCGCTCCGGGTCCCCTCTCCCCTGCAATGAACGACGTTCCTCCTCAGACATGCACACGGTGTGATAGACAGCGGGCAGGGAGAAGAGGCTGCATTCGATGTGTGTTTGAATGTCTGTATTCACGGTGGTTGCTCAACGAGACTGGAGGAAAGTGGGCATGTCGGCCGAGGCTGTGCCGTGCCTTGATCTCGGTCGCTCTTTCCCGGGTGTGGCACAGTTTCATGCAGGGCGGCGCGCTTGGCTTAGGTTGTTTGCGAAGCTGCGTGTTGCAAGCATCAACAACAACGTCGACGGATAAGAATAGCTCTCGGTATCACGTCCTTCGCCTCACCCATCTCTCCATCTCTTCTCTCAACCCGATGCGCCGTGCAGCGCACACCACCACCGGCCAGGACGGGCACTCCCATCGAAAGTAATCCTCAGGCAGCAAGGCCAGGCTTGTCACACTTTTCAGGGGCCGGCGCGCAAAGTGTGACGTTTGCAGACCCACGCCCGACACGCCGCCGTGAGTTTTCCTAGCCCATCTCCGGCCTTCCTCACGGCCTCACCTCGTATTCACGCCCTCCCAGGCCAACGACTACTTCCACATACAACACCCAGGAGCAACATCGACGTGTCGCTTCCTCCACACCACCCATCCTCCCCTCTGCGGCGCGCTGCGTCTCCGCACCACCCATAATGCCATCGTACGTTTCCCCCCAGCCCCTGCCTGCACGCGCCTCGAGCACTCATCACTGACCGTGCCAGCAGTCTGAGCGCTCAGTTACGAGCCCTCTGGCATGATCTCACGTCCAATGACCGCCATGCCTCCGTCAACTCCCCCTACCGAACCGGCAGCCACCAGCCCCTCCCCCAGAACCGGCACGCGCCTCTCACGTCGATAGCAACGACCGCCCTCGATTCCCGCACCGATCTCGACTCGCCGTACAAGGAAGATATGGAGCTTGGCCACGGCTCCGTGACCTTCAACGGTATGGCCTCCGCCGATGCCCCATACACCCCTGGCATGAGGAGTAATCTGCGACGACAATCCTCAGGGATGGACGGCAAAGCAGAGGGTGCGAGCGAGATACAAATGCAGAGCTTTAGTGACGGCCTTCCCCCTCCACCGCCCGTCGGACACTCATGGAGGAGGATAGATCGCTGGCTGGAAGACAACTACGAAGAGCTCTACGAGAACCTGTCTGCGGGTGCGACGCACAACGACGTGAACGAGCTGGAACACGAGCTCGATCTGTCCTTACCGCCGGAGGTGCGCGAGTCACTACAGATGCACGACGGGCAGGAACGCGGCGGCTTGCCCACCGGCGTCGTCTTCGGCTGTATGCTGTTGGACTGTGAAGAGATTCTGCAGGAGTGGCAACAGTGGCGCACGATCAACGAGGTGTACCTGAGCGACAAGCAGACCTACACCATCCCGCAAGCACCCATCAAGGCCTTTGCCGGCTCCTCTTCCTCCCCCGCCGCTCCGATCGCACAAGCCCAGCAGTCCGGTAATCCGCAATGGAAGCAAGAGCTGCTCGACAAGCAAGACTCGCAGCCATCGAATGCCATTCAAAAAGCTTACGCCCACCCCGCCTGGATTCCTCTCGCGCGAGACTGGGGCGGCAACAATATTTGCGTCGATCTCGCTCCGGGCCCGACGGGCAAATGGGGTCAGGTCATCCTGATGGGCCGCGATTACGACTGCAAATATGTCGTCTCTCGCTCATGGTCGGCGTTCCTGGCCACGCTCGCGGATGACATGAACACCGACAAGTGGTTCATCGACGAAGACACAAAGGAGCTGAAGTTGCGCGAATTCAAGCAACAGGGGGTCGAGCCGGCATACATTGACATTTTGAGGTGGCGAGCGGATCAGAAATACGGCCGCAAGGCACCCAAGAAGCGACCATTGAAGGTCAACAGTCAAGCCGGCGGCAAGGGACCGAATGGCATGTCACCTTACGGAAGCCCAACGACGGGCAATGACGATAGGGGCAGAAGTCCGCAGCGCTTCCAAAATGGCAAGGCACCCGCAACGGGGAGCCCTCGCGCGCTCGTCTCAAGCCCACTGGCCAGAGTGGCGGAGGAGATGCCGCAGCCGCTCAAGCTCGATACTCACGTCGAAAATCAGCCGGAGAAATTGATCTCCGCGGATACACCTCTGGTGTACAACTCCTCGAAACTCGACAGGTTTGCGCCGGCCGACACACCGCTCAACAGCGAAGGCGAAGACAGGACGGGCAGCTTTCCCAAGAGTAAGCTGAACAGCGCCTCCCTCAGCGACACCTCGCCCGCCAGCCTGGCGGACGCCGAAACACGAGCAGGGGCGGAAGAGGACGGAGAGATGAAAGAAGTGCAGATCTGAGCAATCCTTCCTCCTACTTGCAGCGAGAAACACGGCCTCATGCCACAGGACGGCGTAATAGACTGGTGACGGCGTTGATTTTGCTTTTGTATGCCGCGAGGCCAACCGGCTTCTCGTGGGGCATGACTATCATCACAGCGACTTTTGGAAGGGTTGTTGGCTTTGGTATGCGGCATCAGGACATGCCCCGGAGCGTGTTTGTGGTCTGTAACCATAGGCTGAGTTACAGAGCAAGGCACCCAAGCTTTTGTACTATTGACATAGTAAACACAGTGTTCGAAATGCGTCAGCAACGTTGGGGAGCTGTGCTTCCACGCATTCCACGCTCTTCACTCCACCGTCTCGCAGTACGAATCAATGAGCGTTGTTCACAAAGGACGAGCATCGATACCATGCCGAGATTCATTTCACCATGGCATTGTTTAAAGAGCTTCTTTGAGCCCGTTGATCATTGCACCGACTCGCTTTGTTCATCTCAAAGACGAAGACGCCTGTAGGCCATCAAACTCTTCAAAGAACGAAATTACGCCCTTTGTTCGATGTTAAGACGTTCCCCTCTAAATACGAGGCCCATCAATCGATGCGATCGCACTCGTGAATCCCAAGCCAACCTATCTTCCTGTCTGGTTACTGTCTGCGCGCTCTCCGGACTTAGTATTCATCCTTGAGCACCACCAATTCGCTGCTGCGAAGGGGGCTGGCCTACTTCGCCCGCCATACATCGGGATAGCTAACATAACTACAGAAAATCGTCCGCACTCGCCCGTCCCGACCAACTTTCGCGGACTCTTTCACTCGACTCCTCAACCGCACGCCACGCAGCCCCCGACAGGCGATGGAGACTATCAAACGCGGTCGTCTGGCGAACCTGCTCCGCGGCAAATTACAATCCAGGCACCGCCTCTGGCGAGTCGTCACGGCTGGTTTGAACAATCCGCAGCGTGAGCAGGCACGCGCTTCTTCCGAGTTGTTGCCATTCGCAACTCCCCCCGAGGGTGTTGACGAGGCCTCCATCGAGATGTTTTACGACCACGCCGGTGAGCTCGCGCGCTTCTCCTGGCGAAAGACAAGCACGTCCAAAAGGCGCAAAGTACGAACGCCGCCTCATCCCACAGCGATGTTTGAACTTGACGACTCTGCCCTCGTTCAAGTGTCATCAATAACGCCAAGGCAATGGGAACTCGAGTACAAACTTGTCAAGAACTTGACCCCTGGTAATCAGGGCTGCGTCGACATCTATCAGGGAGCGAAGAGTAGCACTCTCTACGCGGTGAAGAAGATCGATGTGTGTGATAACACAGTCCCGGACGAAGTGCAGCTGATGAAGGACTACCTCAAGCCTCACCCCAACATTATCCAACATTTCGGTATTTATTACGATGCCGACGGGCCCACTTGCAACATCATCATGGAGTACTGCTCTGGTGGAGATCTACATGACTTTGCTGATCACTGGCTGTACACCAGGGCCCAAAACATCCCGGAGATGTTCCTTCTCCATTTCATTGCATCGATGGGAGAGGCATTGGGCTATCTACATCTCGGACTCCGTCACCGCCCAGCGGAAGATGGGGTGAACATGCCAACCGTCATACAAGAGGAGGATCATCTGCCTCTTCTGCACCGAGACATCAAACTCGACAACATCTTCCTCCGCTGGTCTCGCACCTCGTACGGAATGCCGGAAATTGTCTTGGGCGACTTCGGCGGTGCGAGCCTGGCCTCACGAGCTGTCGGTATGTTTGGAACGCCGGGGTACTTTCCACCTGAAGTGCGCACATACATGCACTCACCCGGAATACCATCGAGTGCCGGGGCGATGTCCACGGCAAGTGACATCTACACTGTCGCCGCATGCCTGTGCTACCTGCTAGTCTGGGGCAGCTACGCCCCAGAGAGGGACATGGTGCCCATTTTCAACTCATCAAGCCTGCGCGGCTGGCCGCTGCTTCTGGATCTCCTGCAGGATTGTCTCAAGAAGGATCCCGAAGACCGACCTGACACCATGACCCTCTTCGATTGGGCTCCTGTCTTGCAGAATCGCATTCAGTTTTTGTACGAGCACAATGTGCGGATGCCAGGGGGCTCATGGCTGCAGCCGAAAGTCGTAGCAGCCACGGTGAGCGTTGATGCAGTCCCCAGACGGTCCTTGGCCATTCCAGAATCGATCTATACGGCGACGACACCGAGCGCGGACGCGTGGGAGTTTGATGATCGCGAAGTGGCCCGCTCCATCTCTACTTTGAAAGGCAGGACAGACCGGCCTGCAATCCAAGCTGTGGGCAAGCAGCCTGCCGTGGAACAGGTGAGAACCCGACCTCCCACCCAGCGGGTCTGGAGCTGGACCTTCAGGGGTCGAGGGGAGCGCGAGATGGCACGCTCCTTCTCGTCCGCAAATCCTACCGACAGTTGGGTAGAGGCCCAGAGAGCCTGGGTAGATCAGCTGCCTCGCTCTCCCTCGACCCCGACGACCCGCAATAACTGGCCAGACAATCAGCCGGGAAACATTGTCCCCATCCAGGCTACGCGAGAGCTTGGATCGACGCACCCTTCCTCTCCTGCAAGGCTAAAACACCTGTGGCTTGGTGGGCTTGGGGTCGTGCCGGCGTTGGCCCCGTCGACACATCCTTCCTCTTCTGCAAGGGTAAACGACCTTTGGCTTCCGGGGCTTGGGATCGTACCGGCGCGGGCCCCGCCTACGCAAGACCATGAACACACGCATCCCTCATCTTCTGCAAATGTGAACGATCTTTGGCTCTCGGGGCTTGGGGTCGTACCGACGCGGGCATCGCCTGAATCGATGCATCCTTCCCCTCCTCCAAAGATGAACGACCTTTGGCTTCCCGGGCTTGGGGTTGTACCGGGGCGGGACTCTGCAAACTCCCGGCCTGGAATTCAACCCTCGAAGCAGCGCTCCTTGTACTCCCCAAAGAACAGCAGAGATGACAAACATGTAGTCCAGGGGGCGAAGGCCTTCGACTTTAGAGTCCTCCCGCTGCGGCCAAGGAGAGTGACGATCCGGAGACCTCCTCCGGCCTCCAGGCGGTCTGATGTCGTCGAACGCATGGCCAGTGTTGTGTCGCGACTTTCTCCAAGACGCAGCCGGCGGGCTGTGCCGGTAAGTCGGGTTTTCGCGGATAGTGATATTGAGTAGAATGCTACGTGCGTGATCCTGGTGTACGGTAAGTCCAGAAAATAGATGGTCGATCTTGGTCTTGTCTTTCTCCCTGTACATAAACATTTTCAATCGCGGTTGTTACGTCTACTCTATCTTCATCTCATCCATTACCAAAGGGATAGTTAAATTTCAACATCGAGTTCAGTCCTCCCACCCAGTGGTCCTCACCATCAGCAGCGCCGCCACTGCGGACAATACTCGGCACTCCACCCGCCCATTCGCGTGAGCCAGGAGCACCAGGAGACCGGACTTCCTCCCCCACCACCCTAACCTCCATGCCTGTCTTGAGGCCCGTCTGTCGTCGAGCACCATCAACGGAGACCTCGATTTCCTTGCCGCGGTTCTCCTCGTCAATGCGCAAGGTGATGGGAGTGTTCGCGGGAAGAACGAGAGGTCGAAAGGAGAGTGATCGGGGACATATGGGTGTCAAGAGGAGAGAGCTGACGAGAGGGTGGACGATGCTCCCACCGCTCGACAGACTGTACGCTGTCGATCCCGTCGGGGTGCTGATGAGAAAGCCGTCTGCGATGGCGGTAGTGAGGGTGCGCTGGTGAGGAGGTGATCCAATGAGGATGGTAATGTGTGCCAGGTGGGGCAGGGATCCACGATGTAGCAGTACTTCGTTCAGAGCGAAAACATCTTCGCCCGGGTTATTGGTGTAGGCAGAGGGAGGCCCATGCGGTAGCCGGGTGCCATTCTCATCAAAGAGCCCCACACGCAGTCGGTTCCTCATCAGAATCCGGGAATTTCGCGTGTGGCCCATAGACTTGCCTTTGATGTTCGACCAAGCCTGCAACGCGCCTGGCCGCAAGGGGTTGGAGGTGTGGTCGGGGTCGTCGGTGCTTTTCGCGTGGAGAGGGCCTGGCGCTCCGGACACGTAGGCCTGACGAAACGCACGCTTGTATTCGCCGACCCGCCATTCGCCCAGAAAACCCAATGTACCCATGCTGAAAGATAGAATGGGAGGTACACTCTGAGCAGTGGCGAAGAGGGATGCAGCGTGGAGGATTGTACCATCGCCGCCAAACGTCGAGGTCAGGTCCACCTTCTCTTGGTATGCAGCATTCTCCTTGCCATTCGCCGCATAGATGGGGAAGTCGAAGTTCCTATGCAGCTCTTCTGCAACATAGGGCTCGAAGATGAGGGAGATGTCGGGATAGGTCGAGCGAATGTGGTGTCCGAACTCCAAGACGGCCTCAAGGGCATCATCGTCATTGTCTTTCCGCACGACCAGAATATTGCGAGGTGGGGAAGGCCATCGTAGCGAGAGTAGGTCGTGATTACTCGTCTCTGTTACTCGTCAGCTTTCAACACGCACTGCTGGCGCACTGTCGCCTCGCTCACCTTTGAACGTGGGCTGAACGCGCTCAGGCAGTTCGGACAGATGACGGATCTCAGTCCTGCGGGAAGATGTGCTGAAGCATCTCGTCGCACAGCCAATGATGCGAGTGCCTTTCCATATGATCATCGTTCCATTGTCATTCTTCCTCGTCACGCATTTCCTACAAGAGCTGTTCTTCAACCACGTTTCCGACAGTAGAGCGCGCGAAGCGTGAGGTCGGACGCGACCCCACTACCAAGTAAATGCGGCGCAAGATCGGTTAGTAATCGGGTAAGCCTTGCCGTAAACTCTAACCAATTCCTCCGTCCGATAGCGAAACGATGACCTCACTGCTGCTGCAGGAACGGTAGATGCCTGCTCGGCTGACAAGATACCGTATTTATTGTCCAGACCGCCTCGATTCAAGGGCGCGCGACCTCGTGCCTGCCACCCGACGTGTGAGGACATGTCTTGAGCCGCCGTCATCCGGCATCACAGAGGCTCAGCACCTGACAACAATCACCTGCAACATCCGCCAGAGCCGACCATGTCGTCCGAGCTGAAACAACGCAAGACCGGCAGCGAACAGAATGGCCCTGTCGCGGCCCCGGAGCCTCGCAAGTTGACCATGGAGGAAGTCGTCGGCCCATCGCAACATGGACCGCCCATGCAACTGTTGCGAATCGTCGCGTTCGGCGTCTACTTCTTGGGCTCCTGCCTCTTCCTTCACGCCGCCCAACTGCTTGCCTGGCCGCTCTATTTCTTCAACAGAGTCGCCTTCTACGACTACATGTCCCTTACTAAATCGTATTTCGGCGTCCTCATCACAACCATGACTCGCCTTTGGAGCCCGACTGTTATTCGAGTCAGCGGCGACAAGAGCATGAAAGGCCTCTTGCACCAGAAAGGGCAGCATGGTATGCTGGAAGTCGACTTCGGCGAGAGGGTCATCCTCATCGCAAACCATCAAATCTATACCGACTGGCTGTATCTCTGGTGGATTGCCTACACCAATTCGCCGCCTACTCACGGACACATCTACATCATTTTAAAGGAAAGCCTACGATACCTCCCAATGATGGGCCCGGCAATGATGTTCTTCAACTTCATCTTCATGTCTCGAAAATGGGCCAAAGACCAAGCTCGTCTTCGCCGCCGAATCCAAAAACTGAATACTAAAGGCGGGCAAACGCCGGACGGCAAACAACACCTCGATCCCATGTGGCTCTTGATCTTCCCCGAAGGCACCAATCTCAGCGCCAACACCCGCAAGGCTTCCGCCCGCTATTCCGCCAAAAGCGGCATTCCCGATATGAAGCACCAAGTTCTGCCTCGCAGTACGGGCCTGCAATGTTGTCTGCAGGGATTGCACACGACGGTCGATTACATCTACGACTGCACCATTGCCTACGAAGGCATTCCTCCCGGCGGCTACGGCCAAGACATCTTCACGCTGCGCAGCGTCTACTTCCAAGGTCGCGCGCCCAAATCAGTGAATATGCATTGGCGACGCTTCGCCGTCAAAGACCTGCCCATCGACGACGCGGATGCCATGGGCGATTGGATCATGCAACGGTGGCGGGAGAAGGATGAGTTGATCGAAGCATTCCATCAAACCGGCAAGTTCCCCGCCGATCTTGAAGCGGTGCAGATCGAGGGCGCGCCGTCGGAGAAGCAGTTCAAGACTGCATACATCAATACACAAGTCATGCCGCGCAACTCTTTTGAGTTCTTGGGGATGTTTGTGCCAGTCATCGCGGCGACGATGGTGGGCAGGATCGGCGTGCGGTTTTTCGATCAATTCCTTGGGACGAAGCCGCTTTTCGGCGGTTGAGTGCACCCTACCAGGATTGCTAGGTCTTGCGTCTCATTACTCGAAGGAGGAACGTGACGTGCATGAAGATACCCGTTAGGTTTTATACTTTTTGTATTGTGGAGTGTCATCAAAAGAAAGGTTCATTGAAGTATTACGAGCGCTTGCAACGCGGCAGAAAGACGGGCTGAGGTTGACAAGACGAGCCTGCATATTCATTCGCCCCCGAGCCTACGCCCAGTCCCCCTTGCACCCCAGTTGTTTCCAGCCATGCCACTGGACCAGCCTCCACCACTCCCTGCCGGCCTCTGTGGAATTCTTTGATTCGCAGCTCCCCCAGCGTTGAAGGCTGTGCCAGCACCTCGTTGAGTGGGCGTCATGCCGGGCCTCGAAAACCAGTTGCGCACTATCTGTGGAGTGACGATATACTTTCGGCCACCTCCATGTTCCGGCCAGACTTGGGTGAGGAAGTGGTATGTGTGAGCGGCGATGAGGCCGGTGCCTTGGACAAAAGCCTCAGAAGGTCCAGCCATGACAAACGTCATTGCGAGCATCACGTATGGCAACCATTTCACTGCGAATGTGACGACAAAATAGCTGACCTGCCGGTTTGGGTTGTCTTGCGCATAGGTGTACGCGAGCGCCAGTGTGAGCGGGGACAGCAGCATCATGCCGCCGAGAAGGACGCCGCCCAATACCTGAACTTCTGTCAGTTTTACCGCAAGATGTGACGGTGGCAGAGTAACAAGCGAGACGCCGAGAAGGAATGTAGGGGCCAAAAACCACCATCAGCCACAAGGATCAAGGCAGACAGTTTTCTCAATGTGGCATCCCACCGTGCCCGCACTCCACAGACAATCTTGAATGATTGCTGCGCAGTGCAGGGGTGATCTTCCTCGTTTCCAGGAACCGTGGCAGTTAGAATAGTTACTGTACGGGCAGATATTACGAGGTGTGCGGAAGGCAAATACAAATGACAGCTTATGAAGGAGATGAAGACTCACCAGGATGACGGCGGCCACAAAGACGAGGTAGACGAAGAAATCACCAGGCTGGGAGAATGCGGCAGACGCCGTTTCGAGGCTGCTTCCGTAGGTGAAGAGGAAGTAGGGATCCATGAGCAGGCCAAATTTCGGTCCAGTCAGGATGAAGCTGGTCACCAATCGCCATACTTGGGGAAATGTGCGAAGTGTGAAGACGTAGTCCTTGAAGAACACGACCATGGCCGGGTTAATCAGTCCCATCCACACGGGGACGGACAGGAGGACAGCCGCCGCTGTGATTGTTCTACGATCAGTATCAGAAGCTGTCGACACTTTGAGAGGGAAGGGCTTGCATACCTTGAGATGGGCGGGGCTGCCCAAAACATATCTGCGGCCGACATGTCGCAGGGAGGTATGATGATCAATCTCGGGCGGTGTATCGGCGTCAGAAGTTGCGAGTGAAGGGATAGTGCGAGGATTGTTTGTGCAGCATGTTTGCAGACGAAGCTCCAGCTGTTCAATTTCGAATGGTGACTAAGACACGTGTGGCGCGTGCGTGTTCCATCAGTGGCGTCGATGCTTGGGCCACAGCCGACGTCGGAGGATTGCCTCAAGACTCATCACATTCTTGAATTTGAAGAATCGGGCAAACTCTTTTGATCTCCTTCACCTCCCCCCCTTCAATAACCATTACAATGGCACCCAAGTAGGTCAATGGAACCAATGCCACGGGATTCAATGTCTAACATTCATCAGGAAAGTTCTTCTGCTTGGAGCAGGTTTCGTGACCCGGCCAACCGCTGTCGAGCTCGACAAGGCTGGTGTTGCGGTGACAGTCGCCTGCCGTACCCTTGAGAGCGCAACGAAGCTTGCACAAGGCCTCAAGCACGCCAATGCCATCTCTCTCAATGCCTCCGACGCCGATGCGCTCGAGAAAGAGATTGCCAAGGTGGATCTCGTCATCTCTCTGATCCCCTACACCTTCCACGCCAAAGTCATCCGGGCGGCCATCAATCAAAAGGTCAACGTCGTCACCACCTCCTACGTCTCGGACGCCATGATGGAAATGGACAAGGAGGCCAAGGCGGCCGGGGTGACGGTGATGAACGAAATTGGCCTGGACCCTGGTATTGACCATCTCTACGCGGTCAAGACCATCTCGGAAGTGCACAAAGAAGGCGGCAAGATTACCGGCTTCTGGTCCTACGTCGGAGGCTTGCCCGCTCCGGAAGATTCGGACAACCCCTTGGGCTACAAGTTCTCGTGGTCTCCTCGCGGCGTGCTTTTGGCGGCGAGAAACACTGCGCACTTCTACGAAGATGGACAGAAGAAGACGATTGAAGGCGAGAAACTCATGAGCAGCGCCAAGCCTTACCTGGTCTACCCTGGCTACGCCTTCGAGGCTTACCCCAACCGCGACAGCACACCTTACCGAGAAAGGTACAACATCCCGGAAGCGCAAACTGTCATTCGAGGCACGCTTCGGTACCAAGGCAACCCGGCCCTGGTCCAGACGTTCCGAGATCTTGGCCTGCTGGATGAGACCGAGATGGACATCCTCAAGACCAAGACCACCTGGAAGGAGGCGTTTGCGAAGATTCTGGGGTCCAGCAGCAGCTCCGAGAAAGATTTGGTTTGGGCCGTGGACTCGAAGAAGAAGTTTGCCAGCACACAAGACAAGGAGCGGATACTAGCAGGGCTTCGTTGGGTCGGGCTGTTCAGCGATGAGCAGATCGATCCCCAAGGCACGCCGCTGGACTGCCTCTGCGCGACGTTGCAGAAGAAGATGGGCTACGAAGACGGCGAGCGCGACTTCATCATGCTACAGCACAAGTTCGCCATCGAGCATGCGGATGGCAAGAAGGAGATGCGGACATCGACTCTGTGCGAGTACGGAGAGCCCATCGGAAGTGGCAAATACAGCTCCATGGCGAAGTTGGTGGGAGTGCCGTGCGCCGTTGCGGTGCTGATGGTGCTGAACGGCGAGATCAAGGACAAGGGCATTCTTGCGCCAGTGACGCCCGAGCTGTCGGAGCCGATTCGGATTAAGCTGAAGGAGCAATACGGCATTGACCTCGTGGAGAAGTCGATTTTCTAGGGGTGATATGGCGAGGTCTCCTGCTGGCAAGCGAGCAGACCGCTGAAGTAGAGCCCCGGGCTGGTAGGTCTAGACTAGAGTTTCAGCAGTCAGGGAGAAGCGCAAAAGAGGTCGCGGCCCTCAAGGCGAGAGCCCCCTCGCTTCGAGGGATGCAAATGGTTAGAGCAAGACGAGCAGATAGCTTCTGGCCAAGCTCATCATTGCAAACCACCCGTCGTATGAGGTTTGAGTGCAGCAGTAAAACGCGAAGGCACGTGATTGGTCGAGCGGGCCGCACGCGCGTGAACACGGGGGTCGCGCGCTCCTTATCGCCCCTCCTCACCCACGCGAGGTTTCAAAAATCATCAAAGTGTTCAACCCTGCGGTCTCCGCGCATATATTCAGCAGCATCCGCACGCCTCCGTCGCCCAAATCCAACCAATTCCCAACCCTCCAAATCCCACCATGCAGAGCCTCCGCACGCTGTCGCTGCCGCGCGCAGCCTCCTCCTCCCTCCGCCGCGCCGCCTTCTCCACCAGCGCCCCGCGCCCACTGGCCAAGATGCAAATCATCGGACGGCTGGCAGACACGCCAGAAGTGTCGCCGACCTCGACGGGACAGGAGATTACGAGGTTTGCGGTGGGCGTGGGCAGTGGACCGCGCGATGAGTCGACGGGCCGCCAGAGTCACGTCAGCTGGTTCCGTGTTGCGAGCTTCATGGAGGATGGGCCGCAGAGGAGACTGTTGCAGGGCTTGCCGAAGGGGTGAGTCTTTCCTAAGGAGCTGGTGATGTGGATGCGCTTGTGTGCGATGGGCGCAACCGTGGATTGGGGAGCATTCTGGGGAACTTTTGGCTAATGGTTTGTGGCAGGACGCAATTGTTCATTGACGCAGAGGCGCGGATGGACACTTATGAAGACAAGGACGGGATCAAGCGCACCCAGTTGAACCTACTCATGCGTACGTGCCGGACATGGATACGGGATGAGAGACGTGTGGACTGACGAAAGTGACAGGCAACTTCGAGACGCTCAGCCGGCCGCAAAGCGCAAGTAACTCGAGCGTGGGGACACAGAGCGATGAGCCGCTTGCCGCAGCAGGTGCCTCGTAGGGAGGAGAGTGGAAGGGGGGTTTGTGAATGCTGTGAAGACGCTGTATACTCTACCTGGGATATCTTAGGCGTTTTGTTCGGGCGCCCGGAGTTTATGGGGGTGATGAGAGAGTCTTGATTGAGCGAATGCAGTGTCGAGGATGAGTGTGGCCGCTGGGAAGCAGGGTAATCTCTCAACTCCATTCTCAATTGACTGCATCTTCAACATGCCTTGCCATGCCCAGCCACGTTACAAGGAAGACACAATGCGTTCATGGAACGCGGAATTGCCAAGCGAATCTCTCGCCAGTGCGGAGTTCATGAGCAGTCGCCATCAAGCAACAGGCAAGACTTGCCAATGCCGGCAGAGCGTAACACGGTTGCACGGTCGGGCAAGACGGACCAATTCTCGCTGGCGAGCGCACCCAAGCGCCACCGGTTAGTAATAGAGGTCGAGTGTGCGGACGGGCTGGGGTTCGCAGGCGCATGTCCGTAGCTTTGCTTGGCGCAAGACATTGGGCAAATTTGTATGCGCGATTTTCGTCGGCATGACGCAGTACTGCTCCCTGGCCGCTCGCCTCCCCCCCATTCGCGTGCTGCTCCTCGAGTCAGGGCATGCAGTGGATGCTTGCCACGAGGATCGGAGGTCAGCACATGGCGGCACACAGCATACAAGCTGAGGGAAGGAATCCGGAAGCACGTCGGAGTCGCGATGAGCACAGTAGGAAGGATGAGTATAGCCAGCGGCCACGAGATGGCGGCCTGCTTCCCCGACTGCCGACCGCGATTTGATTAAAGATCGGCTAGGGCTCGGCGGCGGCAGCAGGGGAGGTTTGAATCAACTGGATTTGCCGTGGTGCTGCACGGTAGCGCGTGCGGAATAGCCTTTGGCCCTTCCTCGCCCGAGCAAATGGCGAAGCCGCTGATTCCAAGCATGGCCCACGATCCCTCTTAATCACCCGCTGCAAACGGTGCGGACTCCGCATCCTCCACCTGCCTTGCCCGGTACTGTCTCCTCCGCTGCTTTTTTACGAGAGATTGGAAAGCGGGACGGTGCCAGCAGCGCATCTTTCCATCCATCCACCCACCGCCCACCTACCCACCGCCTTTCTCTCCTCCCCTTCTCTCCCTGTCTCCCTCCGTCTTCTCCTCCTTCGCCGTACCACCACCATGCCATTCATCCTCAGCCATTTGTTGCTGTAGCCTGCCCACGGCACTGCCCCATTCAGTCATAGCCATCCAGTCAGTTCTCTCGGAAGCGCAGCATCCAGCACATCCGGCTTTGTCAGCTTGCCATCGAAAACCCTCCACCACCACCGCCAATTTCTCGCCACGCTACAACGCCTCAACATCACCCTCACGCACGCCAAGTCCCATCCTATTGACCCTCGTCGCGGCCGACACACTCGTGAAACCGTCTCACTCCCATATCCGCACCGTCGATTCGGTTTTGTTGCGGCGCACTTGAACAGCCCACTCGACTACGGTCGAGGGGAAGCTTCTGCCTTCACCATCTGCTGAGCAACGTCCGCCTTCGAAATGGTGGTCGATACCGCCAGCCCCGCCACCGGCGCGCCTCTAAGTCCCCAGGCCTCCCCCAAAGCCTCTGCCGACGCTTCCGCAACCGCCTCGACCTCTTCCCTTCCCTCTACCACGCGCAACCGCAATGACTCGACTGCGGCGCAGTCCTCGCAAGGCGCATCACAAGACACCCTCGTCACTAAGCCGCCGGCGGACGCGCGACCGTCGCTGCCGCCAAAGAAGCCCACCTTCACCACCCGCCTGACTCGCATGTTTTCCCACCGCGACGCCAACGGCGCCACTCCACATCGAGACCAGTCTGTCCCCGAAAAAGCGGTGGAAGAGGAGGATGAGGAGACCACTCCTGTCAAGGTCAAGGCCGGAAGCCTCTCGGCACAGGTCTCCCGCGCCGACTCCATCCCGTCGTCGTCGAAGAAAGACAAGCGCGAGGATTCGCAGCCGGTCGCGCCCAAGCGCTTCTGGATCGACGAAAGCGGCGAGCACCATCATTTCCTCAAGAGCGCCAAGCGCCAGGAAAAGCTGACGCACATGGTTCGCGATTTCTTGGGTGCGAAGAAAAAGGAGCAGGCCGACGAGCAACAGCTGTCGCTCATGTCCAACTGGGTAGATCAGATCAAAATCGAAAAGGAGCGGCACGCAAAGGAGAAGAACGGGGGCCCCAACGCCACGGCATCGCTGGTGCAAAAATACGGAAAGTGCCAGGAGATAGTAGGCCGCGGCGCTTTCGGTATCGTGCGCATAGCCCACAAGGCCGACCCGAACGACTCAAAGCACGAGCAGCTCTACGCCGTCAAGGAGTTCCGTCGACGCCCACAAGAGGACTCGAAGAAGTACGGCAAGCGCCTCAACTCCGAGTTCTGCATTTCCTCCTCCCTCCGCCACCCCAATGTCATCCACACTCTGGATCTGCTGCAGGACGCCAAGGGCGACTTCTGCGAGGTCATGGAATACTGTGCCGGCGGCGACCTCTACTCCCTCGTCCTTGCCAACGGGAAACTCGAAGTCGCCGAAGCCGACTGCTACTTCCTGCAGCTGATGCGAGGCGTGGAATATATCCACGAAATGGGCGTTGCTCACCGCGACCTCAAGCCCGAGAACCTGCTTCTGACGACCCACGGAGCACTGAAGATTACGGATTTCGGAAACGGCGAATGCTTCCGCATGGCCTGGGAGACCGAGGCGCACATGACCGCCGGCTTGTGCGGCAGCGCGCCGTACATTGCTCCCGAGGAATACACCGACAAGGAGTTCGATCCGCGCGCCGTCGACGTATGGGCATGTGGCGTGATTTACATGGCCATGCGGACTGGGCGGCATCTATGGCGCGTGGCCAAGAAGGACGAAGACGAATTTTACGACAATTATATTCGTGGGCGGAAGAGTGAAGAGGGCTATGCGCCCATTGAGACGTTGCATCGAGTGCGTAGTCCCCTCATTGCTGCTCCCTTTGACGAATATTCCTTTGCTAACACACTCGCATCAGGCTCGGTGTCGAAACGTCATCTACAGCATCCTAGATCCCAACGCCGGCCGCCGCATAAGTGCCCACCAAGTCCTCAATTCCGAATGGGGCAAGGGCATCAAGATGTGCAAGGCGGGCGAGGAAGGGCTGTAACGCGGACGACGACGACAACAACCGATGCATGACGGCCTTCAACTCCCTCCCTCTCATTCTGCACGTTAGCGAAGCGATTGGTCCCCTTTTTCCACGGAACCTGGACACCTTTTTTTTCTTGTCTTGCCAACATTCGTTCAATCAGCGGCGGCGTTCACTTTGGCATAGCGGGATCCAGATGTTGGAGTCTGGACCTTCTCATGACTAGGAATCCTTATTGGGAAAAAGAATGAACAGAGCGCACGAGATCAAGCATGGACCAGGCAAGACTACAGCGACAGCATGTGGATGTGTGCCCTGTACATACATCATCACGAACCTGTACATCTAGTTAGACGCCTGTATTCACGATCGTGAAAGCTGCCGTGGCCTCCCAACATTGTCTTATCTTCTGTCATTCCATTCGGCCTTGTATAAGCATGAAATGGCCCGCCTCGGAATTCATGTGTCACGTGATCGGTGCGATGTCTCTTCAGGTGTGTGACATCAGAAGTCGATGCAGGGTCTCTTTCAGCGTGGCTCTGCACTGATCACGAGGCTGTCATCGTCAAATTGCTGCCTAGATATGTGACCCAAAGGCTGTGCACACCCTTAACCACAACACGTTACATCGCGTGCATACCTCCTCAGCGGTACAGTCATGAACTGGAGACACATAAACCCCTTCTATTCTCCATAAGCTATGTGCAAGGAATGTGAAGCAAAAAGTGCCTCCGAAGAGTGACAGTCCCATCGTCTCATATTCCGCTGGCACAGCCACTACCTCACAACCTAGTCTAAGTCGAAGCCAGCGAGCAAAAATGGGTTGCACCAACTCGAGGTTGGAAGACTACATAGACCAAAAGCCCGCGCGTCCGCACAGAGGTCTGAGGAATTGCTGCTTCTTCTCCGGCCCCTTGCCGTACACTGCTCGTTCTGACCTTCTTCTATGTACATAGGTCGTCTTCACGTCATCGGTCCTGCAAACGGGGCCGCGGGCGGCAATGCGGCTATGATGGGCAACAACGCAGCTATGATGGGAAGCAACGCGGCTATGATGGACAGCAACGCGGCTATGATGGGAGGCATGGCGGGAGCAGCAGGGGCAGCAGCAGGGGCAGGGGCCGGAGGGGGTGGAGGTGGAGGGGGTGGTGGAGGAGGAGGTTGCTAAGCTGGGATTTGCACGAACGACAAATACATTTTCACTTCAATCACCGCATGTATGGCGACGAGTCTCTAGTACAGTGATTCTCACTACTACACGACTTCGAAACTACCTTACCTGTTCGCCCAACGCGGTGTCACGTGATCAAGATAAGGCTCAAGGCTGACGTCCCCCATTGAACTGCTACGAGTACACTCCAGGTCAGAATCGAAAACCCCATGGCCACCTCAGCGTGGCTTTGCGGTCGTCACAAAATGTCGATCGTTGGAGTGCTGCCTGGACTACAGTCCTATAGTCTGAGGCTGTGCGTGGGGTGCCCAGCGCACCAGTGAATTGCGCCACAGCCTTACCGTCATCAAAATAGGTAGCTGCTACAAGACACATTGAACCACCCTGGCCTATAAATCAATTGCATGGACGCAAGAAGGAGAAGGCCTACTACCAAGGAAGTAAGAAAGCCGCTCTCCAATTTCCTCCCTTTCTACTCCATTCCATCTCCTTGAGTCGTCTCTGCAGTCAAAGTACACGAGAAAGAAATGGGCTGCGCCAGCTCGAAAATGGAGGAGGACTTACAGCCTCCGCCTCGGTGCTGCGGAGGCAGGAGAGGTTGCTCTTCTCCTTTATACATCGTCAATCTGCGTCTGACCCTGTTCTCTATAGGTGGTGGCCGTCGCGGGAATCGTTCTCGAGGCCGCTATACCGGCATCGCTGTTGCGGCAGCAGCAGCATCAGCTGTGGGAGGGGGCGGGGGAGGATGTTGAGCTGGGAGATCGCACGAATGACAAGTGCATTCTCGCTTCGATCGCCCTGCGGAGGGCGACGAGACTCTAGTTCCACCACTACAATACAAGTACACAATTGTCTACCTCCCAACGCCGTCGCTGTCGCGTCACACAAAGTCGATGCATCGAGTGGCACACCCATGTAATGCATTCTCCCACCCAGTCTACCTTCCACTGCGCCGTCTCTTCGACTCGTCAAAGGGCGGGGGTCCATCCTCGTGCCTACGTTTCCTAGAGCCAGGCGGCGGAGGTGGCGGGCCTTCGAAGTCCCGCGGAGGTCCTCCTCGTCCACCGTCCCGTCTCTCTTCTTCTCTCCTGCTTCCGCGGAAATCTGGTGGAGGGCCACTGTCCCTGCCTCGCCTCCCGCCATCATCTGGGCCGTCTCGACGAGGCGGACCGCGACGCTCTCCGGGTCGCTCCCAATCAGCCGGCGGCTGTTCAGAGAACGAGCTTGGTGGGCCTCGACGAGACTGCGGCTCCTCGCCCCGCGGCCCTCTCTCCGGATATCGAGAGTCGCGGGGAGGCGGACCGCTGCGATCATCCCGCGCCCTCCAGTCCTCTCCGCGCTCTCGGCTTGGATCGCGACTCCCTCGCGTCCGAGGCAGTCGCTCGTCCTCTCCGCGCCTAGGTCTCGCGGCGACGTCAACTTCGTTGGCTGGACCGCGCCGGGACTGGAAGAGATCGGGTCGGTTGTCGGCCCTGCTTGGCGGCCTGTCTTGCCGGTCTGGTGGGGGCGGTGCACTTCTCCTCGGAGGTGCATCCATCGACGATGCGATCGCAGGTACCGGTGAAGAAACAGCAGCAGTCGAAGGCACGGTACTGTTTGACGGCCTGCTCTGCGCAGCTCCTCTGAAGTTGACACCCTGGCCGTTCTGACCTGGCACATTGGCACCTTGCAGCGTCGCATTGATGCTACTGACTTGACGGCGTTCCGTTCTCTTTGCTCGTTCTGTAGCTGATGCTGGTCCAGATGGCGGCCCGCTGGTTGAGGGCGATGGGCCAGTTGGGGTCCCAGGCAATGGTCGATTGGCTCCGCGGGGTCCAGATGGTGCCATCGTTGGCGCGTTGGACGCAGCGAGATCTGTCTGGATCGGAGGGGGCTGCATATCTAGCTGCCTCAATCGGCTGGGATGCGGCGCAGGTCCGTCTTCGACCGAAGGTGTGGTCGGTAAGGAGTTCGAGGGCGGCTGCCGATCAGAAGGATGGCCTGGCTGACGACGATCTGCCGCCTCTCGCGATCCCCGACCAGCAGCCGGAGGCTCCATGGGGCGGGAAGCTGAGGGAGATGCTGGTGCTAAGTCGTGTGACCTTGCCGTTGCTACTGGTCCCTGATTGGATCGACTTGTGCGTCCACTCGGTCCATTTGGTGGGCGAGGGGCCGACGGGATATCCTGTGGGCCGTTGAGACGACCATTTGTGGACTCCGAAGGGATACCAGGACCGAAATCGCGACTCTGTCTTCCATTGGGACGCCTAGGTCCAGTGGGTGCATGATCGCTTGAAATCTCCCCACGAGCTTGGGGATCTCGCGGCACTTCATTCTGGCTGTCGCTCTGACGATGGCTCGCGCCTCTCAGCTCTGCTTCCCTTCTCGACTCCCTCTCACGGGTGGGATCGTTGTTGATCAATGCCAAGCGAGCCGGGTTTTCATAATGTCGAGAGTCGTCGCGAGTACTTGCGGGCTGCGATCCGCCAGTAGATGGGCGAGAAGGTTGCTGCGCATTTGCACTAGGCGGTCCTGGATTGATCAATGCGGCTCTGCTGGGGTGCTCGAGTGGAGCTGACCCGGCATCAGAAGCTTCGCTTGGACGATCACGAGAATCATAGGGAGGCCGGCTAGCATTGCTCGTCGCCTGCTCCCGTCTGAGATCGGCCCACGAGGCATCGCGGGCATTGCGAGAAGGCTCACGACTATCTCGTCCTGGCCCGCGGCTCGAGGCTGGATGGCCGCCGTGGTAAACATCACGCTCGGGAGTTCGTGGTCTGCTTCGGCCAGGCGAGTGATCTCGTGAAAGTGGACGAACATCATTCGGACGACTTAGCCTGCCGAACGAGTCGTCACGGCCTCCGTATCGGCTTGCATTACGTTCTGGACCGGGCAGTGCGGGTAGAGGCTTGTTGGGTGGTTTGGACGGCAAAGCGTGCGAGCGAGATGCGCCGGACTGCATGCTCGAAGACCGGGATGGCTCAGGACGAATGTATTCTGGTGGAGGAGGCTTGGAGGGAATAGGCGCCGGAGTCGAAGGCTTGGAAGCCGATGCGGCAGGCTCCCTGCGAGGCTCGGAAGAAACGGTATCCTGCGCTGTACTGTCGCCGGTCTTGTTTGTCGACTCTGCTGCTGGAGCTGTCGCTGGCGCCGTATTCAGGCTGCCAGGCTCTTGCACCTTCCCATTTTGTTTCTCGTCCTCAATTTCTCCATCTTCAGCTCCACTCTCCTTTGGAGAGGTCCCATTCGCAAGATTCGAGCCCGGCTTGAACTCTTGCGCTGCGGCGTTCAGTCTTGGAGTTCCAGTACCAGGCTCTGGCGTCTGCGTGTTGGCGCGACCGCCCTCTTTCGCGGTGTCGCTAAGTCTGAAAGCTTGTGGGAACATCCACTTCGGCTTCCTCTTCTCCAACGGGCCCAACAGCGACCGCGCCGCCAGCTTCAAGTCTTGCCTGGTCTCCTCCTTCGAAAGCTCTTCGACAGATTCAACCATGTTGTTCCCCATGAAATTAACTGTGGGGAAGACCTGAGCGATGGCGCGGAGGATGATGATACCGTTGCGGATGTACATGAATTCGCCGGATTTGAAGCATGTCTGCAACGCCGCAGAGAGATGGTTGTGCCAATTAAACAGCAGCCTGCGGTACTCTTCGAACTCCAGCACCAGGTTGGGATCGCCGTTTGCATCGAGTGTCTTCGCAAATCCAGGCAGCTTCTGCTTCTCTCCCAAGGCCTCTCTGTCGTACGTAGCCTTTTCAGCATGCCAGTGATGGAGAAGCTTCAACGTCTCGTTCAAGAAGCGGCCGAAGTGTTGGGCTTCCATTGATGTGCATTGGAAGATCAGAGTCGCGAGCTGCTGTTTCTTGAACAGGTGATTGAGGAAGCGTAGGAGAGAGAACCCCGGAGTTCCATTGTCGTGCAGGATTTTCAGCATCAGGAAGCAGTAATGTGCGTCGAGAGAAGACAGCATGGCTCTAGGCAGGAAGCATTCCTGCAACAAGCCGATGTGTCGAGCTTCACTATCGTCTCGACCCATCGACCGGGAGAACCAGTTATCTTTCTCTTGGCGGCTGATCCGATTCCGAGTCCTCTGATACGACATGATCCGGCTTTTCAACTCGCCGCGGAGCCTTTCTTGAGTCTCAGTCAAAGCGTCTCGTTTTCTCTCTCGCTCCTTCTTTGCAGAAGCGCTAAGGTCAGCGCGATCTGGGTGGAGTTCTTTTGCCTGCGCTCGCAGCTTGTTGATTTCTGTGTCGTAGCTTGCAGTGTGGACCAAGATGTCTTGTAGCGCCAGAGTCCAAAAGCTGACGAAGAATGGAATGCTGACCTTCTCCGCCAGAAGAGGAGCGGCGGACGCAAGCTGCTGAATGATGGGCTGAAGCACCGGGTGCCAAGGCAACTCTTCGCTCCCATGAATAGCCGTTTGTGAGGGGGATCTAGCGTCCACACCTGTCGACTCCGCTATGTCTTTCCTAGGTTCAGCATTGGGAACCACTTCATTCGCGGCCGCTGCATTGTCTTCCATCGGGACGTCGCCGTTCGTCTGCAACTGTCCTTGACTTGCCCGGTGTTTCTTCGCTACAGGCTCTGCCTTCTTGGCACTGTCGAAATCTTGCATACGCTGAGCGATACAGACGCGGCAGATTGTGAAAGCGAGTCCAGGATCCAAGCCAAAGTCGGCAATCAGTCCAACGACATCGGGTACCGCGGCCTCGAAGTCTGCAGGATTCAGGTTCGTCTTCAACACGTCCAGGTACTGAGCAAAGACCAGCTGGATCTTGTCCAGGTTGCTGCCGAGTACTTTCAGAGGCATGAATTTGGACGATTCGTGATAGGGATACATCTGGCGCTCTTGTGCGATGGAGATGAGCGTCTGTCCAATGAGTCCAGGTTCCGACAACGCCCTGATGAGCCGTTGCGCATGAGGCTTGCGTTCATGCCTCTTGTCGGCCAACTGTTGCACAGTCTGCGCTTGTAGATGCTTGCCACCTGCCATTGCGAGTACCTGCGCGTCGTTGAACTCCATGTCGGATCTGATGCCCGCCATCTCACCGAGGAGTTGCTCAAACACCTCGAGATCCGTCGAATTTCCTGCTCGAAGCTCCGAGGCCAGATACTGCAGGACTGGCGAGGGGTTGAGAGCGGCATAGCGGTAGAACAAGGACGCCACAAAGTGTGACAGCGCCTGAAGCCAAGGGCTGGTGAGCATTCCATCGGCCTGCATTCGATCTCGCCCCTGGCCACTCAGCGAGTTGATCAAGCACCAAGTCAGAATATCGTAGGCCAGATGAGAGAAGTAGCGAGTACACTCTACCAGACTGGGAATCATGTTGCTGTAGCTCTCCAGTTGACTGATCATCATCATCATGACATTACCAGGAGATGCGAATGAGACCTTTGCAAGTGCGCGAGCTTGCTTCTTGCCGGATTCATTCGTCACTCGTCGTAGCACATCCTTCACCTCGGCCTTGTTGTGGTCGAAAGCGGCGCGCATGTCGGGAAGGCGAGAGGTCTTGCCCCGATACCACTCGGCATAGATGTTGTACCTCGTGGTCGTCGGGAAGAGTTTGAGCAGCTCATACACCTCCTGAGTCAAGCCGGCGTTATGCTTGCTTAGACTCAGCGCTGGAACGAGCAGTCGCCTCATTAGATCGAGCCAGAGGGCCTGGTTTTGTTCCGAAAAATCCCCTGAAAGACTGTACTTCGCAATTCGGACCAGAGTAGTGAGCAGCTTGGCGTCTTGGCCGATCTTGACTCCTAGATAGCCCAGAAAGGTGTTGCAGAGTAAGACGACGTCTTCGACCGTCTGGCAGCGTGGAATGTTGTCATCCCAATCCGGGTAATAGTGCCTGTATGTCATCCCATCGCTACTCTCAACCGTATCGAGTCCCAGCCATCGAGTCAGTTTCCTATCTGGTCGCGGCTGAGCGAGCAATGTACCATCCGCAGCAGACACGAGGCTTGCAAGCTCGTCTTTGGCCGCTTGTGTATCTTGGAAAGCATTGAGCGGCTTCGCCATTTCCGAAACCTTGCTAAGCATCCGATTGGCAATGCGATGCAAGTATGGTGGGAGCGTGTGATCGACATCCACAAGCCAAGGAAACCGACCAAGAATGTAGAGGGCCTCAGGTATGGCGCCGATGAGAAGAAGAGCTTTGAGGAGCTGGATCTTCTGGTTGGCGGGTGGTGGTAATTCCTCTTTCGCTTCATCCTCCTTCTTATCGGGCCGCGGTGTATTCCCACCACTCTTCTCCTTCTCGCTCCGTAGAGCACGAGCAGCGGCTGTCGGGAGCGTGTCATCCGTTAGAGCTCCAGCCATGGCAAGAGCATTAGCTGCAGCTCCGGGTCGCTCCCTGGCTTCTTTCTCGGCCTTCTCCTTCTCCAACCGTTTCTTCTCATCCGCCATGCCTTCGTCCGCTGGATGCAGATGGGGGTAGAGGTCTCGCAGCGAGATAAACCCGATCTTGATCAGCAGCGCGGCCAGGAAAACCAAGTTTTCCGGAAGTGTATCCTGCGCGTTTCGGGCGGATGATGCATAGAACCGTAGCTTGAAGCCGAGGAGTTGAGCTGCATCGGAGTTGCCTGGAGGCGGAAGCGTGCCAGTCTCGGCCATGAACTTGCGGTTCTCATTGATGCGTTTTCTTCGGTCGGCGTTGATCTCCTTGCCCCTAGCGTCATATTCTGGAGACACTTCCGTGTTCAAGAAGGGTAAGACGTCCTCCAGATTAGTGATGGAGCGCATGCCGAGCTCAAAGAATGCGTCAATGCCAACATCCTTCACGCGATCCCAGAATAGGAGATCTCGCGCGTCTTTCTTTGCCGCAAGACCGATGTCCTCTTTTGCCTTGAAGGTGGCCCTCTCGTCGTCGCTGAGAGCTGCGTCGTTGAAGCTCGGAAGGGCCCAGGAAGGAAATGAGCTAAACCCCTGGTCCCGCCATTTGACATTGTCAAAGACCGCGCTGTCCGGCCACCATGAGCTGCACCTATAGAACTTGATGAAGAAGCCGTACGCTCGCACGAGCAAGTTGGCGCTGATGTCCAGCGTAATGTCGAGCACGCGCCCCACATCGAGATCGAATGAGCCGACCAGCGCAGTGATTCGTTCAAATGCTCGTTCCGCACTGACGCTATGATCGCGGGTGGCCTCGTTGGCGGTGTTGAAGTATTCCGTGATGAGTTTGGCGTAACCTTCGCTTTCCTCTCGTAGGAGATTGAAGTTCGCCTGTCGGTATAGAAGGTTTGTCGTCTTGCGAGTTCGCATCACTGTAAAAGTGCTCCGGACCAACGACAGAGCTTGGAGTAAAGGAATGTCGAGGTCGAGCCGTACCACTTCCGGATCAATGTCCGTAGCAGCGACGAGTGTCAATAGATGCGGGCTCTTGTGATCAGATTCGTCGAGCAGGGAGAGAGTGTTCAGGAAGAGCGATTGCACATCGATGGTGTGCGTAGCGGCATGCTGCGCGATCATCTCGCGAATGAGGACTCCCGCCTCGAAGGCGCTCAGCTTCTCATCCAGGCCGGCGCGAACAAGTTCTTGCACCAGTGTACTCGCTCTGATCTCATCCGCCTCTGCCGAAAGTTGTAATAGACTGTCCTTCCCACTCTCTGCCCATGCCTCCACAACCGGAGCAGTGACGTGCTCGTACCAGTAAGGCGCAGGAGGTTTCTTTGGGCCCTGATTTGCCGGAGGTTGCGGTGTCGCTGAAGTCGCTTGAGAAGGTGTAGCAGCTCTTGAACCATTCACAACTTGATCGATACTCTGCGAGGCAGCACGTGGTAGCTGCGGTGCGGGCGTGGGAGAAGACACGGCAGGACTCTGCGCTGATTGTCTGCTTTGGCGCCGTCCACCCGCGTCGCCTCCTCTTGAATTGCCATGTTGGTTCTCCTGCGCGAGACCCGTGTCCTGCGGTCGGTAAGGCGATGGGCGGCCGGCACCCTCATCTCGCGATGACTGCCTCTCCGGCCGCTTCCTCTTGCTGCCGCCGCCGGGCGCCATCACCGCCGCGATGGTGAGGCCACAAAGAAAGCGGGACCGAGTGAGGCTTTGTGATGGAGCGCATCAACGCCGATTTGTGAAAGATGTCGTAGGAGTAGAGGTGGTGATGCTGTTTTTGCTCGCAGGCTTCCGGCGTTTGCTGCTCGACTGCGGTGTTGCGCGATTCGTAGCTTGGACTAAACGCCGCTTCGATTGTGGGTATTTCCTGTGTCTTCACTGCAAGGATGGGAATCAGTGACTATCTCCTCCCGGCCACGAACGAAGAAAACGATAGGTAGGGATGCGGTGATTTGGAGGTGTGCCTAAGGTCTTTGACGTGTCTTTGTGAAGGGTGGTGGATTGTAGTTGGCGCTAGCGTGAACCTTATTGATGCTGGCTCTCTCCACTGCAGGTGTACAATAAACACCATTGAAGAGCGCAGATTCACAATGGTCGGATTGCACGTTGATACTCCGACCAATAACGCGGTCATATGTATGCTCGCATTCATCACGCGCAGACCGCTATGCTCTATGTACGGTGGCTCTGAGGTCCAGCTCGAGCATCTCTCCCCCATGATCCCATGTAATTCGTTAACCTCATATGCTCAATGGCGACCGCAGTAGCAACTTAAACGACAGAAGCATCGCCACTGATCCGCGTGTTTGCCCCAGAGAGAGAGAGTCCCTCTACGTTCCACGGAAGAGGAACTGCATGTCTTCCGGCGTAAGCTTCTCCATGGACGACTTGTCATTGTTGATGGTGCCGTTGATCATGTTCGCCTTCTTCTCCTGAAGCATGACCATACGCGACTCGACCGAATCTTCGATACACAACCGTGTGATGACACAAGGACGCTTCTGGCCAATGCGGTGGCATCGATCGGCGGATTGCCATTCGGCCTGGTTGATATGACAGTCAGCATCAGAACGAAGGTGAGCGAGTTGGGTGGAATGTGCATACCGCTGGATTCCACCACGGATCCACGATGAAGACGCGAGATGCCTCAGTCAGGTTGAGCGCAACACCACCTGCCTTTAGCGACACGAGGAAGACTTCGACGTCGGTATTTGTCATGAAGTACTCGATACTCTTCTGGCGCTGAATGGGCTGTGCATGGTGTTATCAGTATGCGATTCCAACAGAAGCAGAACACGATAACGACTTACCGACATCGATCCATCAAGCATCACAGTATTGAACCCCGCCCTCCTCAGCCTCCACTCGATCAATTGCAGCATCGAGGTGAATTGAGAGAAGATGATCGACTTGAGAGTCTGCTTTTTCGACCTCAACTTGTACAGATCATAGACCAGCATCTCGATCTTGGTGGACGACGTCCAATTCTCCATCTTGATGCGGTTGACGATCGACGACTTCTTCACATTCTCCTCATCCTGCTCGATCTCGGGCTGGTCGAAATCAATCGCAAGAGGAATGTGGCAGCGCGGACAGTCGGGCGTGCCTCCCGTCTCCTCCACCGACTGGACGTAGTTCTTCACGCAAGAGCGGCAGAAGTCGTGTTTGCACTGTGATCGGATGGCCTCCTCAGCCACCTCGTCGCAGATGTTACACACCAAGACGTTCTGCCCCTCTGCTGCATGCTTCTTGAGAAGAAGGTCGGGGTGATTGGCGACCTGGCGCATTTGCATGATCAGGCCGAAGATGTTGGCGTAGTTGTTGAGCATGACACCACGCGCCACATAAGTGTCGAATTGGCGGGCGGTGTTGGACATGATGCTGGACGAGAAGTCGCGCTCAATCTCCCCAAAGAACTCGTTGTGCACGATGACCTCCTTTGGTGGAAGCTCCATCGAGCTCGTATAGTCGCCCTTCATGCGGCGGAGCATGATACGTGCGGTGATGGAGTGCAGCTTGTCCATGGCTTCCGTACGAACATCTGGATCCTCGGACGTGGTAAGGGGGTTCAGCAACTCTTGGTTGAACACAGAGACGTGCTCGATGCCCGTATGTTTGCAGCTGGTGCATGTATGATCCTCGTCCAGTTTCCAGTGCAGGATGGAGCAGGGGCAGCGCTTGCAGAAGTAGTCGGCAAAAGGGCGCACTTCGAGGAAGCGAAGCAGGGAGAAGAATTCGCCGATGCGGTTTTGTACGGGCGTGCCAGACAGACACCATTTATAGGTACCCTTCAGTGCAAAGCAAGCCTTGGCGACGCCAGTCGTACGCTGCTTGATGCTGTGCGCTTCGTCCAGAATGAGGCGATGGAAGTGGATAGCATGGATGGGTGAATCTTCCTTGATCAAATCCTCTCCTCGGCTCCAGCCTTTGGTCTCCTTTCGGTAGAGTGACTCCAGACTGTTGTACGAGATCATGATGACGTCGTACTGCTTCAGCTCCTTGATGCTCATGCTTTTGACCTTGCTGTTCTGGCCGTGGTAAACGAGCACTTTCAGTCGCCCATCGGTGTAGTCCTGGATCTCAGTCGACCACTGCATGAGAGCGACAGGCGGGACAACCACCAGGGTCGGCTCTTTTTGGGGATAGTCGGACATGATGAGCGAGACAGCCTGGATCGTCTTGCCCATGCCCATCTCGTCTCCGAGCAGACCTCCTCGGTACTTGGTCTTCTCTTGCCTCTGCATCCAGTCGAGACCTTCAAGCTGGAAGGGTTTGAGTCGACGCGAGATGGTGGCTGGCTGCTGCGCAGCGACTGGCTGAATGATGGGTGACTGCGCCAGTTCCTTCCACATCGTCTTGATGGAAGGATGAGCCTTCTCCAGCTTCTTCCGCTCGCGCTCCTTCCTGGTCAAAAGACTATTAGCAATTTTACGGGAAATGCGTCTGGCCATGCGGCGCGCTCCATTGCGGCTGATGTTGCCGTGGCGTGGTCCACGTCCCCGAGATGATGAAGGAGCTTGAGCAGCTGTGGACGTATTGGCGGAGACCAAGCTCAGGTCAGACTCAGCGTCACTAGCACTGGCTGACACCGTGTCCGGGGTTTCTGCCCATCCATCATCGCTGTCCATGTCTACATCATTGTCATCGAGTTCGGAAAGATCTGATGAGTCGCTGGCTTCGAATTTGACCGCAGTCTTGGGAACAACCGCCATCTTGCCGCGCCCTTTCGAGGTGGAGGGAAGCGCGGGCTGCTTGCCTTTGCCAGATGATCCCGCTTGCGCAGCCTGAAAACGTTGGTGGCGCTTGCGAAGCGGTGCTGAATCCGAAGAATCCGAGGTCTCATCCAGCATGAACTTAGACAGGTGGTCTTGGCCAGGGATTGTCGCCTGAGCAGCCTGAAGACGTAGGCGACGCGTGCGAAGCGGTCCTGAATCTGAGGTATCCAGAGACTCGGGCTCACTAAGCGCGCTCTCACTGTCGTCTCCAGAATCATAGGCCGGTCGCAGGGCAAGTTTGGCACGCTTGTTGGGCGTCACATCGCGGGCGTACTCTTCCTCTTGCAGCTTCTTCGCCAACTGCATATCCGCATCTTGTTCATCTTCGCTATCATCGATCGTGATGACGTTCTTCCCAAGCAGGCTGCGTTTGCGCTTGCCGTTCGCCGTGCCTCTGACGGATGTTCCAGGCGTTGTATTGGGAGTGTCTTGATCGGGCGTGTTAGACCTCGTCGTGGGAAGGGAGGAAGGGGTGGAATCGGTCGGAGAGGTAGCGGAGGAGTTCTTCTTCGTGGTTGGAGCACAAGCCATTACTGGGATGGCAACTTCTTTGAGTGTTCGTGTTGATCGGCCGGTAGCATCAACCATGATCTCGTCGTCGGAAGAGCCGTCTACGTCCGATGTGCTGGGAATGGAGGGGCGAGCGAGTTTTGGCCTCCCTCGACCCCTTGGCTTGGATAAGGTGGCGGTATCCACGCTCGAAGGGGTTTCACGGGACGATTTGCCCTTCCTCGTAGTAGCTGCAATGCTGTCAGTAATTGCTCCCAACATGATGGACTGCAGAAGGAAAGGAAGGGAAGAGCAAACAAGGAAGGCGTACGGCGACTGGTGACGGATGGTCTGGCCATGATTAGTCAATGTCTGGCTGTGCAAACATGAAGCATTCAACGCCCGTGTGCATTCAGAGAGCCCGACGTCGACACTGCAGGGCGTGCTTGGTCGTTGCGGAATACACTGAAAGAGTGTCTAGAGAAGAAAGGACTCACCCTTGCGGTCCAAAGGTTGCGACTCGATCGTCGGGTGGCGATCTAGGCGTAAAAATTAAGGTTATGCAAGATCCTGCGCGGTCCGCATGCCGATCAATTTGGGGGACGCGAGGCGAGACGCGCCGGTGAAACGGTGGGGTTCTGAGAGGGTGTCGTCTCGATCAGTCCGAGATGCAAAAGCAGCTCAAGATGGAGACGTTGATTGCTGGATTGCACGCCCTCAGTTTCTTGCTTGAAAATCCCGAGGATTCGTTGCAAGGAAAGAGCCAGTTCAGGCAGCAGGGGCGGGAGCACGCGACGCGCTTCGCGTAAATCACGTGCAAGAGGTGGGTGAATGCACGAGTGGTCAACATCAGCACAATATTGCCGCGCTCTTGCCATCAGGTGTCTGATGTTAACGGGACAATGGATCTCGGCAATATGTTGAAATGACGATCTTGGTCGGGCTTTACTGACCAAGTAGAATACCGAAATCGCTTCGCTGGGAATTCCTAGCTACATCTTCGTAGGCAATTGAGACCCACTGAACTCCCAAACGCCGTCGCTCACCAGATACTCATGTGGAACCAGAATCTCACAGCCGCGGCAATCTACATCGCAGGCCCTATACCGCCCTCGTACTCCCCTTCTCGCTCGTTGCCATCATCCACAACATCAATGCCCGGATCCGGGATAACAAAGTCCATAGCCATGAACCCCGTCCGTCTCAACTGCACCACTCGCACATCCTTCCCTTCCCGCCTCTTGTCCGCGTTCCACTTATCAATAAAAGCCTCCAGACCTTTGATCCCCGTCTTGGCCCCCGTGAAGCCCAGATCATCCCATACGAATCCCGTCACCACTCCCAACAACGTATCCGCCCACGCGCGGCTCGTGAAGGGGTCGAAAGCAGCCTTGAGCCGCGCATTGACGTTCGAAACCAGGAAACGGAAGTCCTCGTCCGTGACCAGCGGGTCGAGAATCTCCGGGTACAGGTTGGCGTATTGCGGATATAGATCCCCTGCTTGCAGCCAGTCTCTCCGAACCCGAATCACGCGTGTTGCCTTCGCTTCCGCGCTGTCCGCGGCGCAATGCGGATTTGGGTGGGGGAAGCAGGGATGCGAAGGGCCCCATTCGAATCCCTCGTCCTCTTCTTCATCACTCATTCCGCTCCGTGCTGCACTTTCTCGCGAAGTCCTGTCCTGCGCTGTATGCCCGCTTTGCGACGCTGGGAGGGGCGGGAAGGGCTCGGTAGCGTCGTGAGGGCCGGCGGCTGTTGCATTGCCTCGACTTTCACTGCGTCGAGCCGAGCGGACAGACTTCTGAGACGGTTTGCGGTTGAGGGGGATAGAGGCACGAGAACCTCGCCGTGAGTGTCCGTATTGGGATCGCGTTTCGTCGTCTAGTGGGATGGGAGGAGGGTTCGGGAGGTTGGCAGGCGAGCGCTCGGTGGAGTTTCGCGCTTCTGCCATGCCGGTGATCTTTTGAAAGGTCTCCATGATGTATGCCTCTGTGCCAGACCGCGGGGAGGGTGGTAATGGTGGGTCGTTCAGCGGCTACAAGCGAGCCAAAGACCCAGCTTCAAGAGCTGCTCATGTCGAATGATGGAGACGGGAACGCAAGGTAAAGATCTGTGCCGGGAAATTGCACGAACGGTGAGCGGCGTGCACCTGAGGTTTGACGTTGACGGACCCCGGAGGTCGATCTCCAACAAAGCTCAAACTCTAATCGCGCGAACCGATGACCGCCCTGCCGCACATCATTGCTCGAACAACCCCGACAATCTAGCTTCACCCATAGCGTTGATCCGAATCTGTAAAGTAGCAGGTTTACAGGATACACGTGCTTTTTGTCATTTTGCAATGCACCAACCGAGTTGCATACTTTAAGCTGGACGCTCCGACTCCCACCCCGCTCAGACGCAGCAGAGAATACCTGATGATGCGTGCCCAAACCCCGTTTCCACCGCGCCTTTGCAGGCCTTCCCCGAAGTTTCCCAACACCTGAGTCCTGCTCATTTCCTCTTCGATTTGTATCCACTTCCCGTCCAGACTGGATACTCAATAACTGGGACCATACGCCCTCCCGACTATCGATGGCGGTAGCTCCAGATCCTGGCCTTCATGTCGCCAGACCCGGTGGCAAAGAGCCCTCCAACGGGTGAGGGGGCGACAGAGATGACTGTGAAGAGCAAAGTCAGCGAAACAACTCCTTTGAAAAAGCCCAGCGCATTGTCAGCATACCTGAATTCTTGTGTCCTTGCAACAATAGAAGCGCGTTGCCATTCCGTGGGTCCCAGAAACGCACACCTCGGTCCTTCGAGCCGGACAAGATGTAGTTACCATCCGGGGTGGAGGCAACGCTCAGCACGAAGTCAATGTGTCCCTCGAACGTCCTCAAGCACTCCCCGCTTGTTTGGCTCATGTTCGCTCGGTCCGGGATTCTCCACAATTTGATCGTCCTGTCAAGCGAGCCCGACACCAAGTCGCGGCCATTCGGCATGAAGGCAACAGAGTAGACACTGTCTTTGTGCCCGGTCTCTCCCTCCGTTCTCATGACCAGGAAGGCATTCTGGGTATCCCAAACGCGGACACTCTTGTCAAGACTGCCGGCGGCGACATAGCGCGCGTCAGGGGACATGGCGACAGTGGTGACGCCATCTTCGATGGAGAGGCTCAGGTGGCAAGCACCGGCTTCCAAGTCCCAGATTCTGATAGTTCTATCGCCAGAGCCAGATGCGATGATCTTGCCATTGCGGGCATAGTCGAGAGAGTAGATATCCTGCTCGTGTCCGCTGAATGAATGACGGACGACTTTGTTGTAGATGTCCCAAACCTAATATCAGAATTGGTGAGTAAAGTGTACTCGGCGCCGATATCCTTTCGTCTAGACTTACGCGAATGATCTTGTCTTCTGCGCCGGTAGCGAGGTACTTCCCATCGGGACTGAAGCACACGCTCCGAATGTACAAATCGCCTTCTTGTGACACGGTGTCATCTTGCAGCTGACTGACGAGCTGCCCGGAGGCGACGTCGTAGATCTGGGCGCTACGATTGCAACCAGTAGCGACGAACTTCCCGTCGTGGCTGAATCGTACGCAGCACACCACGCTAGAGTGGTTCAGGGTGTGGACGAGCTCAATATCCAGCGAGCGTGGGACGTGGGGGTTGGGATTGTAGAGCACGTGCCAATCATCGTCACTGACGGTTTTGAGATTGGGTGGAAGCTTCTCAATCTCGAACTCCGAGAGCTGGTTACCAATGCGCTCAATCTCGGCGAGAGAGTATTGGAAGTCGGGGGCAATCTGCGCATTTCGGTCGATGGGCAGGGTGGGGCGGGCGATGCCTGCAGAAGTCGAATGAGTGCGTGCTTGGAGGTGATGATGAGAGGAGGGCCCTTCCAGGCCACGGGCGCCCAAGACGGAATTACCTTGTGCGGGAGAGGCATTCTGCAGCGATGATGGATAGCCTATGGAGTTTGTTAGCGATGGGAGGAGCGAGTGGAAGCAGCGGTAGTGCGGACGAACCATTAATACTTGGGCCCGGTGGCTGCCCGTATCCGAAGGGGTTCTGAGGCGCAGGGGCATGCTGGTTCAGGCCTGGCGGAGGCTGGCCGGCTTGCATATGGCCCGGCATGCCTGGTTGGCCTTGCTGCTCTTGCGGCGGGGCGAGGCCGGGGCCGCCTTGGCCTCCACCTGCCATTATGCCCTGGAAGAGGTTGGCGGGACCGTGGCCGATGGCCGGAGGCGGGGGCTGAGATGGACCACCATGCTGGACCTGAGGCGGCCCGCTACGCTGCTCGAGTTCGCGATGCAGCCGCGCGATCTCGTCCTCGTACCTGATCTTTCTTAGTCATTGCCGGTGCGTGCAGTGGGAGTGCGCCAACCTCTGTTTTATAGAATGGTGCGAGGCTTCGAGTTCACGCAGCCTCTGCACGACGAGGTTCATCTCGTTGGTCTGGGCCTGGACTACAACTCAAATGAGTGTCAATGACGCCGCACCTGGTGGAAGAGGGAGGGAGCATGGCGAAGGCGGAGAAACTCACGCTGGTGTTCCTGATCGTTGCTACGGCCGGCCGCCTGCGCCTCGAACTCGGCCCTCACTTGGTCCAGGAGCTCGGCAAGGCGGTTCGCGGGCTGCGCGCCGGGCGGCATGCCGCGATGTGCGTTATACATGCTGTCCTAAGCTGGGCGTGGTGTTCGCGGGACGGGCGCTGTGTTTATCGTGTGCGGTCGTGGGCAGCGCTCATCTGCAGGCAGGGCCGGCGCAGGGGACGAAGCGAGGCGGGAGGGCAAAGTGGAAATTGCGGGTGGGGAGGGAGGAGCAGGGCGTGGGTGGGTGGAAGGGATGGATGGCGGTGTCTGCGGGGGCGGGTGGGCGATGGGGGGATGGGCAGAGGGGATGCTGGACAAGTCGCGCGAAGAAGAAGGTGGAGTAAGCTGAGGATGCAGAGCCTGGGCCTAGTTATATTATTGGCGTTGTCTAACGCGACCATTTCAACGGATACAGTGCAACAACCGCGGACGCCAGGGTGGGGCCTTGCTGCAAGCCACCAAACCTTCGGCTCCATCCTGGGGAAAAGTTCTTGCGTTTCGCATCGTGACTTCCTCGCCCGAGCACCGCAGCACACCGCCAAGGGAAGCAAACTTCACTTTTCTCGTGGCACGACCTTGTCGGTCGCACAAGAAGTATCCGACTCTTGGCAAATGTTGTCTGGTGTCCCTGGCACTCTAGTAACTGCGCGGGGAATACTTGTACAACGTGCTCAACGCAGGCTTGGCTTCCTCTTACGACCAACCACGATAATGATTTTTGGAGCAAAGGTGCAGCATTGACAAGCAATCAGAAGCATGGCCAAACGTTTCTATTCACCGATACCTGTGACTAGGCTCTGGCTTGATCGTGCAAGCGCCAATGGATATCTATCCTCGCCGACAACTCCAATGATGCATGCACCCATATCCATACCCCGCCTCCTACAACACCCATCTACTACGATGCCACCCATCTAGTCATTGCGCACGGCGTTTCCCTCACTGTCCTCACCGATCGAATCTTCATCAGGTTCGGCATAGGAGCCAGCAGCGGGCTCGGCGCCCCGAGTTCGTTCTTTGATGATGTTGGACTTGTCCGCGGCGTCGGCCTCGTCAGATTCTGAATGTGACCTGTCAGCACGATGAGGTCTTAGTTCGGCGTGAGCGTGCTTACGGAGTGTGGCGCCCGAGTCGGCGGTCCCTTCATCAATGGTGTCCTCGACCTGCTCGTCGGCCTGGATGCCCTCACCCTTGTACTCGCTATCCTCTTCAGACGACATTGCTGCTATGTTGATTGGGAGATTTGATGGGTTTAGTGTAAGGTGCAGTGTGTAATAGTGGCAAGATGATTCGAACCAAACCTGGACCGACACAGCATGAATATATACACATGCATCTTCCCCGCAGATCAACGATACACTGTCAACGACGTCAACACTATTGGTTCAAGTGGTCATCCTGATGTCAGACATAGTGCGAGAGCATGGCGCCACGGATGCCTCCTCATGGCGCTCGTTGTAAAAGCCGTAGGTTTAAGCAGACGAAGCGCAGTGAAGTGAGGACGAGTAGGACGTCACGACTTTGACTAGTGCAGGAACAATCGGGGCACGTCGCTAGTACCAGATTTGATCAGATCTGGTCCCGTTGAACTGATCGCAGGTGTCCGTTCCCCATGGCTAGCATGATGATGCGTTCATGTTGTGTGGGGTAAACAGACATGCACGCACGGTTGGAAAGGTGGGTTGGTTGGGGCAAGTCGCCGCTGCAGCCTTGTTCGGGACGTCGAAGTCTAGAGCTGTGCCTTGAATTGTTGGAGGCATATAGTAATGCAAAGAAGGTGCCCACGTCTTTTCATTCCGATCAGTGCGGCTGCTTTCAGTCGTCGTTGACTCGACAACCTTCTGTGTTGTACGTAAAATACATGTACGTAAGTTGTTCTGGTGCTGGCAGTGCAAACGCGGTACACAGACGTCTCAAGGAATTCGCAGGCCGAATTGAGACTTGCACCTTTATTCCACCATCACCACCAAACATGCCTCCTCGCCCCTCTCACGACCCATTCACTGACGCGCCTTTACGACCAACCACCTCCAATGCCAATTCACTAGCAGGCAGCACGGCACTCCGCCATCAAACCTCCCAACATAGCCTGCGATCCAACGCGTCAACAACTTCCTCGCGCACTCGACAGCCACGCGACCTCTTCGCCCCGGGTCTGACGCGTCGCGCCCACACACCAAGGTTCGAGGACGAGGTACTGGCCGACAGCGACTCGGGGCAGGAGCTGGGCGGTCGCAAGCAGGCACAGGCAAGACGCACGAGACATGGGTCGCCGCAAGGCAAAGCAGGGCGAGGCAAGAGTAGGCATGACGAAGGGCAGGAATTTGTGAACCGGCAGCCTGATGGCAGCTACTTGCTTGGGGTGGCGGGTTTGGGGGACACGGTAGCCGTGCCGCAGATGAGTTTCCCTAAAACGGAGGACGAGCTGGAGCAGGAAGGTGAGGGGAGGGATTCAGTTCATGCACCCAACGCGAGACACCCGCTGACACGAGGTGCTGTAGAAGCAGACACGCACTACGGAGCAGTAGTGCGGCATTACTTTGCCTCGGGAGCATCGATCAACACCAAGGAGGACAAGAATCGTGAAGAAGGTGTGTCAAGGTGTCAGCAGAGAGGGTGATGTCGTGCTGATTCTTGCGCAGAGTACGAACAGTGTCGCCTGCCGATCCTGATGCGACTGCGGGAAAGGGTGGTGCAACAACTTGAAAGCGAGCACTGGATGTACGAGGCTACTCCCACATCCGCTCGCTCCTAAATTGGGGACGAGGATGGAATCATCTATGCCGTGTGCCCGTTTCGGCCCAGCTCTGTGTCGGCGAAGGACAGAGTAGGAGCTCACATTCATCACATGATGCCGCAGACTTCCTATCAGGCTGGGGAAGGAGCACGAGCGTTCATCACATCACCATGCGGGCGTGTTGAGTGGCATGTGACGTAAGGTCACGGTCACGATGCCCGAATCCGCGAGGGCTGCAACGAGGGAAGGAAGGAGCGGCGAGGGATCAGCCGCCTTCGTCACGGCCTGGATATGAGTGGGGGTGGGTTGACGCAGCTTCGGAGCAGCCTCCGGCCTGGGGTGGGAGCATGCAGGCGTGAGACACGGGTCTCACCATCATCCTTCCAAGCACAGCAAGATCTCACAACCCGCAACCGCACGGCGTGTGCGGGGCCCCGCAAAGGATCCTTCGCTGGCGACAAATAGAGAGGGGAGGAGATGTGCAAGGTGATGTTGCCGCTCCGGCGGTTGGCGGTCAATAAGATGGCGATCACTCGATCGAGGATTCGTGTCAAACTTCCCTCCACCTCCGGGCGCGGGCAGCGAGCTTTGGCAAAGTCTATTTCCGCATCACATGTCTGCCATGGCTCGGTCGGAGCAGCACTACGTCCAGGTCTACGATGTAATGCACTGACGAGATTGGGTCGTTGCAGAAAGCCGAGACGCTGTCTTGCCCGCATGTGCATAGCCGCGTCGACTGCTCATATCTGACAGAAAGGAAGAGCACGCTCATGCTTTGCTTCAGGGAAGGCACAATCCTCCAAGCCATGCCGGCCCTGCATTTGTCATTCCTGGCAAGTGTCCCGACAAGCCTGTCGGATGCACGTTGACATGATGAGGCTCTCGAGCTCATTGAGACCCCCGAACTCACCCGTGGCGCGTTGGTTCAGCACCTGCGGGGTTTAGCTTTGCCTGCTAAGCCGATCAGCGTATAGCCGGGCGCGGCGGTGGCCAATGGCACCGCCAACCGCAAGCCATGGCGTGTGTTTCGTGGGGCGGGCAGCGTCGTCCATCTCGATCTCTCGTCGGCATCACTGATCAACTTCCTCTCATCATCACCTGCCTCCTTCCGGGGCTTGCGGAGTAGGCTATCTGTATGCCACCCACGCCAATCCTTTCCCCGCGCCTCTCGTTCCCCCCCAACAGCCTTTCCGCCATCTCGCGATGCGCCAGAGCTCGCGTTGTCATCTTTGCCCCAGACTGACCGCATCCCAATTTCCGCCCTCGTGTGTGTGTGGCCACCTTATTAGATGCTCGTCTGCTGTCGCCTTCCGCCACCCACAGCTTCCCCACCTCTAACCATCCCATACACATACAACTATACAGCCGCGCCTCTCCTCTTGCAGTCGCGTCCACTTACAGATGCTCCGATAATAATCACCACCCCACCTTTCCCCCCGACTGTCACAAGCCCCCCTCCACCTCGATCATGGCCATTGTCCTCCCCGCCAAAAACCCGAGCAGCCTGCTCCAACGCCGCCTCAGTCAGGCGCAGTATAGCTCGATTGAGATGGCGGGCCTGATGTCGACTTTCAACATGAACTTCCGCCCGAATGCCGCCGCCGCCTCAGCAACACCCCTCCCCTTTGAATTCGGCCAGCAGTCGTCCAGCTTACAACAACCCATGCCAGCACATCCAGGCTCAATGGCTCCCGGCGATCTATTCCACCCAGCCCTCGACCGTCGCCACGCCGCAACAATCGAGACCGACGCTGCTCTCGCCATGCCCTTCACCCTAGCCAAGGACTTCAACGGAGGCAGCTTTGGCACTCTCACATGGCCTCCAACCCAAGCGTTTGTCCCACAGCCTGCCTTCTCCATCCGGCACTCGAGCGACAGCAGTGCGGCCAGCGAAGCATATATCAAATCCGAAGAAACGCCCCCCGTGCAACCCTGTCAACTGCTCTACGACGCCAGCGCCTACTCCGCCTCCTCCCTCTCCGCAACTCCCATGGAGTCGTCTGACGACCCCCGACCCGCCGTCTTCTCCACCGACATCGACACCCTCATGCGCACCATCCAAGCCAAAGCAGAGCCCAGCACATCCACAGCGGACGCGGAAGAGAGCAAGCCCCTCGACTCGAGCCCCACAAACAAGGCCAAGAAGCGCTACCTCTGCGACATCCCCGGCTGCGACAAGGCCTTTTACCAAAAAACGCACCTCGAAATCCACACGCGCGCCCACACCGGCATCAAGCCCTTCCTCTGCAAGGAGCCCGGCTGCGGCCAGCGCTTCAGCCAGCTCGGCAACCTCAAGACCCACGAGCGCCGCCACACCGGCGAGCGGCCCTACCACTGCGACATCTGCGGCAAGACGTTCGCGCAGCACGGCAACGTACGCGCCCACAAGATCGTGCACACCTCCGCCAAGCCGTTTACGTGCAAGCTCGACGATTGCAACAAGCAGTTTACGCAGCTGGGGAACCTCAAGTCGCACCAGAACAAATTCCACGTCGAGACCATTCGGAGATTAAAGGCGCGGTTCGAGAATGTCGCCGACGGAGGCGATGCGGTGGATGATTGGGAGAAGGAGATGTGGGAGTACTTCCGCGGGCTATACAAGAATTGTAACAAGGGGATCAAGGGGCGAGGAAAGGATCGGAGAATAAGCAATGCCGCCTCGGCGTCATCGATGAGCGCGCAACGCCGGGCTAGTGTGCTCAGTGCGAGCTCTTCTTGCAGTGGTCTGGCGTAACGGCAGTGGCTGGGTGTGATTGGGGTAGGATTGGGGTACTACAAAAGGATGCGTTTGATGACACACTTGATGCTTGCGATTAAGAAGAGTGGCTAATTTCGATACCCTTGGCGCGAGGGAAAGGGAACCCCGGAGGGGAGATGTACACGACCAAACGTTCATACATGAAATCAGCCTCGTTACGGCATTCAGCAACCGTTCTTCGGACTGCCATCATTCTTGTCACGTGACGCTTGCAAGATAAGCTCCGCGTCAGGCGAAAGCACCCGATATTCCTGGCGGATGGAAGATATGGAAGACGAGATGAGAGAGGGATGTTTGTACGTCATTAAATTTGGCATAGCACTGACTGAGATTACACAGAATACATTCTAGTTCCGTCGATTCAAACCGTGGTATACCCATGTAGCCCAAGACGCCTGATTTCCAAGAAAAAATCTTCCCCGTTGATTTGGGAGCCCCGTCCTCTTCCCCACCCCTCCGTCGCTATGCAGAAAGAACACTCAGCACACCATCCCCGCTACAACCCACTGTCGATCTGATCGGGCACATCCTTGCCCGTCCACGCGGCCCAGTCGCGGCACGTCTGCGCCACGGGCTTCGGGATGTGCATGGACTTGATGGCCGTCGGGTTCTCGAGAATCGACACGTACAAGCCCGCAGACACATGCCACGCGATGTGGCAGTGCAGCGGCCAGACGCCCGGGTTGTCGGCGTTGAACTGCAGCACAATGTACGAGGGCGAGGTGACGACCAGGTCGGCGTTGACCTGCGCCGGCGGCAGCAGCTGCACGTCGCGGCGCTGCGGGTTGCCGGCGTTGGTCACCGTGCCGTCCCACGTGCCGTAGCCCTCCGCGAGCACCCAGTAGTTGTGGCCGTGCATGTGCATCGGGTGGGCGCCGGTGAAGGCGTAGTTGTAGAGCACGAAGCGCACGCTGCTGGCGTTGCCGGTGCTGATGACGTTCTCCTCCGCCGGGAACACGGTCTGCCCGAGCTTCGCTTCGAGCAGGATGGGGTCGTTGTAGTCGGCGCGGAAGGTGGAGTTGTTCATGTAGAAGAGGTAGTTGGTGCCGTTGCTCGCAAAGGTGATGTCGATGTTTTGCGACATGGCGGGCGTGGTGGAGGGCGTGAGGCTGTAGTAGGGTACGGTCATGTTGAGCGGGTCGTTCATGCACGACTGGATGCTGGACTCGGGCACGGTGGAGTTGGTGGTGGGGACGGAGTTGGTGTCGGCGCCTTCGTAGTAGATGGCTGCCAGCGCCAGAGGCGAGACACCGTCGTTGTTGGTGCAGCCTGCCGGATTGGACAGGGCGTTGAGGCCGAGATCCGAGCGCATCCAGTACGACTGGCCGGCCTTGCCGGTCGCGGTGACGATGATGTCCGACCGTTGTCCAATGCCGAGCGTCACGACGTCTGTCTGGTAGGGCTTCAACGGCACGAAATCGTTCGCAATCACGGTCATGGTATGGCCGTCAATGCTGAACTTTTGCATGCCCTCGGCGCCGGCGTTGATCAGGCGTAGGCGGTAGGTCTTGCCCGATTGGAAGGTGAACTTGGAGATGCCGGCGTTGGGCGTGCACTGAAGGCCGGTAGCGTTCGCGCAGGGATACTGCGTCTAGTGTAAGCAAGTCGTCGGAAGCAAAGGGACTCGCTGTCTACTTACGTTCATCTTGCCGTTGATCAAGTTGTTATTCGACTGAGGGGGAGGCAGCTTGGCAGAAATTGGGGCCATGGCTCTGAGACTCGAGTCAGCATGGATGATGCAACGGACGACCAATCAATCGCAACGACGGAGTCGGACTTACTGCTCGAGCGTGGTGTAGTAGGACACGTGATACCAGTCGTTCAAAAGGACGGGGCCAATGTCTTCATCGTATTGCGCGTTCTCAGTCGGCCCATGGATGATCATCGCCCCGTAGATGCCACCAGTGTACTGCGCAGAGTAGTGCGAGTGGTAGAAGGACGTGCCGTACAGATCTGCTCGGAAGCGGTAGGTGAAGTTTCCCCCCGGGGCAATGGGGCACTGCACAATGCCGGGCACACCATCCATGTAGGGAGTCTCATGCTGGATCAAGCCGTGCCAGTGGATGGAGGTACCCTCATTCGGCAGGGCGTTGACCACGCTGATTTCGAAATAGTCGCCCCAGTTGGCTTCGATGGTTGGTCCAGGGTAACCCCCGTTTACGACCATGCCCGATCGCACAACGCCGTCGGGAGCAATGTTCTGCTCGGTGATGGTGAAGTTGTAGTATCGGGTGACGCCCGTCACCGGGACGTCGCCAATGCCGATGTCCGTAGGGCTATAGCCCTTGCGCCTGTGCCTTGACGCGTGTGTATCCGGCAAGAACTTTGCTAGGCGCGGCGCATCGAGCGTGCCGAGAACACTGTTGCCGTTTGTGACATCTTGGCCGAGTCGAGGGGACAGTGAGTCGCCCAGAGGGATCCATGCTGGCTTGTGATAAGAAATCGCCAACGCGGACCCCAGCATTAATGCGCCAAGTAAGAGATGTGCTGCCATTGTGACGAAGAAGTCGTATAAGGATGAGATTGATGAGCGAGAGACTTTGCCCCAACAGGGGAGACAAGCGACGTATTAAAAGGAAAAGGCTGCAACGGCCGACAATGACGAGTGAACGAATGTGGGAAACGAGAGTGATGGGGCTGAAATGCGACGAGGTGGGAAGAGGCGGTTCAGGTATATACAAACACCAACAACCCACCGGCGAGGGAGTGGAGACTATCTATAGCGGAGCCAGCCAGGGTGTCGCGTGTGCGCGAGGGTCGCCGGAGCAGGCGAGCAATCGATGCGACGAATCGCGTTTCATCGCCATTCCAGGCGGGCGCAAGACAGCCGCGGGCTGGCATGGCAGCAGTGAGAAGACGTCGGACTATCCAAGGCTATTTTTTTCCCTCGACCCTCGTGTCGAACCCTGGTAGCCGTGGCGCAGAGCCTTTCCAATTTTAGCCGCGCTGGGGCGATAGAGTGGGCCGGTGGAGCAGGGATTGGCCTGCGCTGGTTCCCAATTCGGCAAGCGGGGCCAAGCGCAAACGTCGGGCCGTCGCAGGAGCCTTGCTAGCCCGTATCAGCCGTTTGGGACCGACCGCATTCCAGGAGAAATCACGAAATGTTTTTGTCTCACACGCCCACGGCCTCGGAGTCGCGGATCCGGCCAATTCCCAATATGTCACACAATTTCACTCATTAACGTCCATGCCGTTGCCTCCCGACAATCTAAACGGTGTGCGTCAGTCGTCGAGCATATCCCCAGCCTTCGATGTCGTGCCCTGCGGCTGCAGCGGCCCAATAGTGCCCGCTGCACTCCCGGAGAATTGAAGGGCTGCGCTCCCCGAGGCTGTAAAAGCATCGCCACATTGGTTTAGGGCAGACGCAAAAGGGCTCGGCGTACCTTGGCTGCCTCGCTTCTGGGATCTCCAGTCAGCTGTTCAGCCACTGCAGAAGCCTCTTTCTCTCTCTATTCGCTCACTGGCCTGCTTGGCCGTTTGTCCGACCGTCTAGAACTCGCGACAATCGCCCGTTGAAATGAGCGGCTTCACATCATCAGCCCGGCACCTCGACCGTTGGAGGGTGACGTTGCCCTCGGTATCTGATCGCGAGACCGCATCGTATTGCCGCCTCCCGACAACGGCTGCGTAAGGATTTGCGACAATTTTACCAGAGTAAGACGCAATGACTACAGTATTGGAGAAGATCCACCCCTGAAATGAACAAGTCGAGGAAATGCTGCGACGACGACATAGGGTCCGCTGGAATGTTCCGATGTACCCACAAAATGTACTCCTTTCTTTCAGCACAGGCTGCTGGGGGCCAAGATTCCGGTGCAGGCGCACAGCGCCGACCGATCACGATGGCTATTGGCGCATCTTTCTCCCTCTTGCATTTCTGTTGGGGCTGCGCGACGGAGCAATTGGGATCGGAGGCACCGCAGTCTGCCGTCTCTTGTCGTTCACGCCACCATGTTGACGTTGACATCTCCGCGCACTGCTTCCCACGGTACAGGTCCTGGTAATTTCCTTTACCTTTCCAGATCACGGAACCACGGGACCAAGCTTTCTCCCAAGGTTTCCGCGGCTAGCACAGCACGTGTTCGATAAAGGTTATTTGGAAAACACACGGGGGGGCTCTCATCACTTGCGCCATCGACATGCAGTCTAGACCCCGGCTCATATCTGCACACCCCAGAAGTCGACGATCCCGGTCCAGGCTTGCTGCAGGATCAGATAGCGATAATCTCGCCGCCGCGGGGTGCTGACCCGACCGGATGACACCCTCACAGTTCGACATACACACCATTGGATGAAAGCAGACGCTTCTGCAGATCTGCCCTCTCGGCCGTAATACTCGGTCTTATCACAGGGTCTCAGCAATCCTCCGGCGCGCCTGACATTTTCGCGCACGCGCGCAACTGCATCCTGTCGTACCGCAGGCCGTCTGCGGCTGACATGTTAGATGATGCCTGTATTGAATCCTGTCAGCAGCATGCGCATACCTATGTCATTGGCCACAATGTCGCGTGGCTGCCATCACCCGACGTTACTCTTCCTTCCATACGGTCCCCGCCGTGAAAGGTAGGCGATTGCTCGCCATGTATTCCGTGATTCCGATGGGGGTCTGCCGATGGAAAGCCTCGCCTTTGCCAACGGCGATTTACAATCCAAATTCATCTGCTTACCACCCCTCACCCCTTAAGCGACGTCGTATTTGTCGTGGATCTGATTTCTCATTGTCTTTACGTAGGTCGCGCTACCCCTTGATGCAAAAAGTGGGGTCCGCGGCATGTCGCAGATGTCTGAGACACGGGGTCGGCGTGTAAGAGGTACCTGAGGCAACCAGGGGCAATGGGCGCGCGCGCAGGAGACAGGAGTCAAGCTTTGAAGGCACACTCTTAGATTCTGTTGAAAATGCGGGTCAAAATGCCTTGTGTTGAGGGTTAGGGTGAAAGGTGAGATGTGAGATGTGAGATGTGAAAATTGTACAGGAGTGGGTTTCGACAGCATTTCAATGAGAGACTAGAGTGAGGGGCTGCACTAGATACAACTCGTGCAAGAGCACGCGCGGGTGAAGGCATGAAGATCATCCGAAAATTATCCGTCTCACGCAGATTCAAAATCACTGCGGCAAAGAAGAGCAAATCGTGCATTGAGGAGACCGAGAGAAGCAGTCTAGGCTGCGGCGGCAACAGCGCGCTGGACCTGAGGGGTCTCTTGCTCAAGAACGTGCTCGAGCACGCCCAGGGCGCCTTGTCCGGCCTTCAAGCCCTTCTCAATCTCCGTCAAGCCGAGCTGCTCGTTTGTCCACAGTGGCTCGGGAAGCTGGGGTTTGGCAACGCCAACGCCGATGAAGCCGCCCTCGCGAGCCCAGTCGGAGGTGCGCTTGATCTTTAGCTCGCTCCACACGCTGTCCAGAGCCTGGGCGAGGTGGTCGCGGTAGTGCTTGACGTGTCCGGGCGTGGGGGTGATGCGGAGACGCTCCTCTCCCACGGGCACGGTGGGGTAGTTGATGGCCTGCACGTAGATCTGGTGCTTCTCGAGCAGCAGGTCGGAGGCTTGCTTGGCGAGCTCGGCGCTGCCGACCAAGCAGGGAACGATGTGCGAGGGGTTGGGAATGACGGGGATGTCCAGTGCGCTCAACTGCTCCTTGACGGCACGGGTGTTGAGCTGCTGGAGACGGCGGTCGCCCAAGTAGTTGGTTTGGTACTCGATTGCGACCTTGGCTCCAGCCATAGTGGCGGGAGGCAGAGAAGTGGTGAAAATGAAGCCCGGAGCAAGGGAGCGGACGGTGTCGACCATTTTGGCGGAACCAGCAATGTAGCCACCCACGCATCCGTAGCCTTTGGCAAGAGTGCCGGTGATGATGTCCACGCGGTCCATCACCGTACCCTTGGTCTCGCCACCATTGGCGTACACTTCGTAGTCCAGATGTTCGGCCACGCCGGCGCCGTTTGGTCCGTACATGCCCACGGCATGGACTTCGTCCAAAAAGGTGATTGCGCCGTACTTGTCGGCCAAGTCACAGATGGCTTCGATTGGGCCGACGCTGCCGCACATGCTGTACACGCTCTCAAAGGCGATGATCTTGGGGGTGTCCGCGGGCAAGGAAGCCAGCTTGTTCTCGAGATCAGTCATATCATTGTGCTTGAAGACAATCTTCTTCGCTCCGGAGTGGCGGATGCCCTGAATCATCGAGGCATGATTCATGCTGTCGCTGAGAATGACGCAGTTGGGCAGCTTGCTGCCGAGGGTCGCGAGGGTGGCATCATTGGCGACGTAGCAGCTGGAGAAGACAAGGCCAGCTTCTTTGGCATGCAGCTTGGCCACGGTGGCCTCGAGCGCAACGGCATGCTGGTTGTGGCCGGAAATGTTCCTCGTGCCGCCGGCACCGGCGCCGTACTTGTCCAGAGTCTCGTGCATTTGCTTCAGAACGTGTGGGTTGCGGCCCATGCCCAGATAATCGTTGGAGCACCAAACGGTCACTCGCTCCTCCGGGGTCGCCATGTGGGCCTGAGGGAAATCTTGGGCCAGGCGGTTGATGTTGTTGAAATAGCGGTAGCTCTTGTCCTTGTGCTTCTTGTCCAACTCATTCGTGTAGAAGCCCTCGTAGTCAAAGTTGGCGGCGGCTCCACGAGCACCGTGGGTGGCGGTGGCGGCAGCGGCGGCATTGGACTTGGGAGGAGCAAAGGGAGCGTGCTCACGGCCGGTAGCTGGGACGTCGACGGCTTGAGCTCCCTTGCTGGCGGTGGTGTGCAGCTTGGCCTTGGAGTTGGCGTGGTACGCACGGGATCCGCCGAAAGCGCCAGCAATGGCGGCGTTGCCGATGCGAGCGCTCTGAGCGGCGCCGACGCGGGCGGAGGACTGGGCCATGGCTTTGCCCATGATGGGGCAGCGACGAGCAATGATTTGCAAGTTGGACATGGCCCCGCCGCCGGGGGCGGAGTGCTTGACGGCGGCGCTGGTGGACAGGCAGCGCAGGGTAGCGGGCGAAGTTTTCTTCAAGAAGGGGCACATGGTGCGCGACTGGCGCAGAAGGGCCTCCATGGTTGGACGTGGGTGAATGGTATGCAGTGATGGAGTGAAATTGTTATGCTGTGAGGATGATGGAATTCTTTTCCAAGGGGGAAGGGAGAGGTGTTGTTTCGTGGGAGATGATGGCGGAGGAGGCGCGGATGTGCCTCCATCCGTTCAAGCGTTGGCCCAATTTGTCGAGAATGCGGAGAAGAGGAAGCCCTGAACCAATGAGGACCGACGCATTACTCGCTTATTGATAGGCTATTACTGTAACAGCGCTCTAATGCAAGTCGTCATTGGACCGGGATGCTGATCATCCTGACGGAAATGGTGTCAAGTCCGTGCTGCAGTCGGCAGTCACCGTCGCTCGCGGGGATGGATGGATGGCAGTTGCAGCCTCAGGCAGCCAGCATCACAAGTCACGTGTATGTTGCGTCGAATTCCTCTCGGGCAGAATGGCTGGCAGAATGTTTACCCGACAGCGATGGAAAACGGTGCCGCTCACACCCTCCCACACCCCACCTTCTCACGTGCGGCGTGCGTGGGGACCTGCGGGGCACCGCACCGCATCGGCAGAGGGACAACGCCCTCCTCCTACGCCTTGGAAGCTGCCCGAGATGAATTGCCGTCTTCCAGCCCTTTACCACCTCCATCTGGACTAAGCAGGGTTGCAATCGAAGGATAAGTAGCGCCTCCTTCCTGCCGTCGTCTTACTCTACTCCTCTTCCTCTCCCACTTCCTCCTCCAATCTCTATTCTGCTGCAACAACTTACTGTGTATCATCAGCTCAAGAATCTTACCATCTTCCACTGACAACACGCAACCATGGGCGCCGATCACAAATATGATCCCAACTTCACCCAGCTGGTCATCGACACATGTGGGCCCAAGACCAGTCCGCGGATGAAGCAGGTCTTCTCCGCCATGATGCGCCATCTCCACGACTTCGCGCGGGAAATTGATCTGACTCCCGAGGAATGGCTGGCGGGTGTCAAGTTCCTGAACGAGACCGGCAAAATCTGGGCGGACTCAGACGGCAAGCGCAACGAGATGCACAGATTATCCGACATCACCGGACTGGAATCGTGAGTCCTGACAAAATGCCTCCCCTTCCCTGTCAGCCACTGACACCCCACAGCCTCGTGACAGAAATCGCAAACTACGTCCAATCCGACAACCCCAACTACATCCCCACCTCCGCCGCCATCCTCGGCCCCTTCTGGTCCCCCAATGCCCCATGGCGACAACTCGGCGACACCATCATCCAAGACAAGCACGAGGGCACCGTCACCTACATGCACGGCATCGTCCGCGACCTGAACACACAGAAGCCCATTCCCAACGTCACCTTTGACATCTGGCAGGCGAGCAGCAATGGCAAGTACGACTTCCAGGACCCGGACAACCAGACAGACAACAATCTTCGCGGCAAGTTCAAGACGGATGAGAATGGCGAATACCGTCTCTACTGCCTCCGACCCACCGCCTACTCCCTTCCGACCGATGGCCCCTCATATCAGCTTCTCTCCGCTCTGGACAGACATCCGATGCGACCAGCGCATATTCATTTGATGGTGAGTTACAACCTCTCCCACCGTCCGACCTTGATTCCATCTCCTAACACTAGACCAGGTCACGCACGACGACTATAAGCCCGTCATCACCCAAATCTACCCCAAGGACGACCCGTGGCTGTCCACCGACACCGTCTTCGCCGTCAAGGACGACCTTGTTGTCGACTTCGTACCCATCAAAGAGGTGCCAAAGGTCATGGGCGAGCACAAGGGACCTGGCGGGGCGGCGACAAAAGAGTTGACTTTGGACATTGTGTTGGCTCCCACTGGAAAGAAGGGGCATGCCGAAGTGGTGGAGAAGAACTGAGAGGAAGCTTGATATACCACATTGTCGTTGGCTTTTTGTATTCGGGTGGGAAAAGCACCATTTCAGCGAATCTACACAGGCGTCGGTCACAATGGATCATTCCTTGTTCTTCACGTGACATCAGGTGAGACTTGATCGTCGCATTCACTTCCGTCACTCACTTGTGTCCTTGACCTTCACACTCACTGCCAACGCGTTCACAACACACGTCATTCCTAGCCTCACGTGTGACTATATTTCTCTTCCTTCCTCTTCCCCTCTTTCCTCTTCTCTTCTGCTTACATCAAGACACTATCACCACCTCTCACCTCGTTCGTGCTCTACCATGGCAGACGCAAACATGGCCGAAGACACAGAGGTCTTCGACCTCACCCACGACGAAGACGCAGCCCACTCATCCACCCAGCTCGGCTCGGCAAACGGCAGCACCGCAGAACGCAAGCGCAAAGCCGCAGAGAGCACGCAGTATGGCACTGAAGACATGAGCGGCGAGCAAGTCGAGCAAGAGGTTTCGGAGTACTCCAACACGCCTGCTAAGAGAGCGCGCGTCTTCGATTCGTTCGAGGGGATGGATGACTCTGCGCAAGCTGGGGAGGATGGATTTCGTGCTCGTAACCCGTTTACTCACTTTGGGGACGACACTCGTGATGCAGATCGGTTTGCGCATCCCCCTGGCTCTGAGGATAACGCTCGTGGAGCTTCAAACCGGTTCAATCTTCCTTCTGGCTCAAACGACACCCGTCGAGATGCAGACCGCTTCGCTCACCCCCTTGGCTCTGAGGACGATGGGCGTCGAGCTCTGAACCCATTTGCTCATCCCTCCGCCTTCGGGGACGATACTCGTCAGGACGCAGACCAGTCCGCTCATTCCTCCGGCTCTGACAATGACCCTCATGCTACTTTCTCCGGCTTCACTCTGCCCTCTAGCTCAAACAACACCCGTCAAGACGCAGACCGCTTCGCCTATCCCCCTGGCTCTGGCGACAAGACTCGTGGGCCTCCAAACCGTTTCACTCTTCCCTCGAGCTCCGAGGATGAAAACCGCGGCGCTCCAACTCGTTTTGCTCATCTGCCCAGCTCAAAGGACGACATCCGCGGTGCTCCAAACCGCTTCGCTCACCTCTCTGGCTCCAAGGACGACAACCGCGATGCTCCAAGCCGCTTCAGCAACCATCCGTCTCACTCGGGCGATGAGAGTCCGCGCAGCAAGCTCGACTACGAGGCTTTCACCAACATGCCGGCGGCTTCGGTCGGGCGGCGCAAGGCGAAAGGCGACATGCTACCTCCATCTCAGCCCGTAGCGGCTCGATCCAAGTTCCAGCTCAGTCGCGGGGAGCACATCGGCAATCGCAAGCAATATCGTCCATTGGCACCCTACCCAGAGAACACGACTCTGCTGTCCAAGGACACAAACAGAATGTCGAAACACCGCGACGCATACCTGCAACACCGCAACCCACACCCAACTACCACAACCCACGCACAGCAAGCCTATGACCGCGGCTACCACGCCAACACCCACAACCAATACCGCCCGCAAATCCCCATCCCCACGCTCCCCGCCTCCATCACCGACCGCGCAACAGACTGGCCCTCCCTCTTCGCAACCCTCAACACCATACCCGACCTCCTGCGCACCGTCGCCGCCGAGCTCGAGCAGCCCTTCCTCGCTATGGATCACCGCTGCACTCTGCTTGACCGCCGCGTGCACGAAGTCGAGAGGGAGAATGCGGCGCTGGGGCGCGAGGTGGAGGCTTTGAGGAGGATGATTGGGGGGTTGGAGAGCAGGGTTGGGCGGAAGATTGCGGGGTTGGTGGAGTTTGTTGAGGGTGGTCGGGGGAATGGACTGGGAGAGGGGGAGAAGGAGGGGAGGGGAGAGTTTGTTTATGGGGGGTTGCCGGGTGTGCATTGAGTGGTGATGGGGTTTGGGAAAGGAGATAACGTAGGAGGCAGTTCGACAGAGCTGGGATCATGAGAGCGTGAATAACAGGACGGTTTCGGAGATCATGGGGAGTAAGGAGCTCCTCAGTGCGTATCAGTATCGTACATAGGAGCAGTGTTGCGGGCTTCATAAAGCGCCGCCGACCAACGATACGATCCACATGGCTACTCTCACATGCAATCCCACCCTCCTTTCCGCCTTTGCATAGTCATCTGGGGTCATGGGCGTAGCATATTCCTGCAGCCACTTCTCTTCCTCGCCCAGCCTTCGCTTCAGGTCCTCGTTCTTCGTCACAATCAGCGTGTTCGCTTCGAGATCCAGCGAGTAGCTCCTCTTTGTGTAATTGGAGCTTCCAACGACGCTAATGCTGGGATGCTGGTCGCCGGGAAGGGTCACCCAAATGCCCTTGGCATGGTACGTCCATCCGCCAGGCGTGTTGACGGTCCCTTTGCGCCATTCCTGCACGGAGATGCGGTCGTCTAGACCAGAGCGGTATACGGAGTCCAGGAAGCGGCGAGAGAGGTATGTGTAAGCGGCGGGAAGGAGACCGCTTACCCCTTTGCTGCCATAGAAGCCGTTTGCCCATGGTGAAGCTGCAACCACGGTGGCTGAGGCGGGGTTGGATTGGAGCAGGAGACGCCGCACCTCTGGCGTCATGTTGAAATATCCCGCCGTGAACGTCCATTTGCATCCTGCAAAGGCGGGTTGCCCGAGCTTCTGCAGGATGTTGAGGAGGGCTGGGAGCTCGGTGGAGGTGTCTGGATTGAGGAGCGGTGTCATTTGCGAGAGCGGATAGATTTGCGTGTCGGTGACCTTTTCGGACACCGCTGCTGCGTCGGGGCGGGGTGCCAGTAGAGGCGCGAGCACCTTCGTGGCGGAGGCGATGTAGCCCTTGGGATCTTTCAGAGGCTCCGGGTGTGTGTTATTCTCTGGCCAGTCGAGTGTAAAGCCGCTCGGCTCGGTGGCGGACGAGTTGACGCGGTAACTCAGCTTGCACACCGCACGATGGATCCGATGGAAGTAGTCGGTGACCTCCGCCGACTTGATGATATGGTATCGGTCTTGTCTGTTGGTGAAGTAGTCGTCGGACAGGTTTGCGCCAGACATGATGATCTCATCATCGACGGCGTACAGCTTCATATGTTGAAGGCCCCATCCCTCGTTGATGCGCTTGGGCAAGAGGCGTTTTCGAATGCCCGTGAGGTTGGGCGTGTGGAACATGCGCACCTCCACCCGATCCGGTCCAAAGGTCTGCACGAGCGAGGCCAACAAGCTCGCGCATGATGGGTTGGGAGCCTCGCGCGTTCCGCGAAGCGCATCGGTGAGGATGGAGACCTTCAAGTCGGGATTCGTCTTCAGCGCCACTCGGATTGCTTCAATCTGGCATGTGTTAGTCCCGAATTCAAAGCGGGCTGCAAGTAACGAACCAATTTGTATTCGGTCTTGCCGACGTATAGAGTGGACAGATAGATTCGCGTCTGAGCTCGCAATATCTTGTTCTGCAGGATCGGATTTAGCAATGAATGGGAGCTCGAGATGGATGTGGGACGCTGAACCATACCTTCAAGACACTATAAAAGTCACTCGGAGACTGAAGAATCTCGATGGAGTCGGCGGAAACATCGAAGCGAGGGCATAGCTTATCCAATTCCGAGGTGATGCTGGCGAGAGGAGAAAGGGCAGAAGCAGGCTGAGCTGGTGGTGGTGTTGGAGCTGCAGAGCTCAGCGTCCGCCTCTGGAAGGAGCCATATCTGTTGCGACAACTGCGTCTCGCGACCCGGAGATCTCTGCAGAGCCTCAAGCCCGTCACGGCGCGTCGAGTGAGCATCGAAAGATCATTATCTGTGGAGGGTCGTCAAGGTGCAGCAGGAGTTCATGTTGGGTGGAAAAGGTTAGGGTTATCCCAACCCTAAGACGCTAGCCGCGACTCCCCTCCGCTTCTCCTCTGCATCACGGGACATAACTCCGACTTCCACTCGTCCACCTTCCGCCGAGGCAGTGAAGACACCATGTCGACCATCATGCGCACTTTGCGCAACCTGCGAAGCATTGGCTTGAAGGTAAGAGGGCTGCGCGGAGTGGCGATCGCGATAGCAGAGCTGACGAGTGTTAGGAATACGGCCATCAAATGCAGGTACGCACGCTCCTCCGCCAGCACCATTGACCTCGGACAGCGGCTGACATTGGCCCACGACGCTCAGTATATGGGTATGCTTCACATGCGACAGTGAAAAGAGAAGACATCTACGGCAGGGGAAGCTGAACCGAGGAAACAGGTGACACCAAGCGCGGAACGTTGATTGCCATGGACAAGTACGGCAACAAGTACTTTGAGAATGTGGAGGAAGATCTGCCGCGTACGCATTGAGCGCCTTGCGAGTCTGGGGGGAGCAAAGTTGACATGGCACAGTGCGGACACGATGGGTGGATTACAAGGATCATGAGTTCGACCCGTACGTCCGACAATGTCTCGGGAAGCACGTGCTGTAGCTCTACTGACACATGGCACAGTTCTCAGATAGAGCCCGGATGGTAAGGGATATCATCGCGTCCTGGGCTGCGCAGCGATGCTGACTTGGCATGCACAGGCACGCGTGGATGTCGTACATGGTGGATAAGCCGCCGTCCCAAGACCGGATTATGCAGCGACAGGAGCGGATATGGGAGCCCACCGCCCACGTGCCCAACATGACGGCGTCCAAGAGCTCCTTCCGAACATACAACACGTATGTCATACTAGATCCTTGCCAGGGCGTGTGCAAGATCGTTAATGTTTTGCAGAACGAAGAACAAGTATCAGGCATGGCTACCTGAAGCTGCGCCGCGACGATAGGATATCATCGCAGTGCGCGGAGGACGGCGTGAGGGATCGTGTGGAATGACGAGACTCGAGTACTTATCTTATTGCTCAATTGAAGATATCAACGCACGCATGCCTGCGAGCCCAGGGTTCACCATCCCTTCAACATTGACAGCACCACCTCTTCATCCAGTTGTACCTATGCACAATGCAACATGATTGTTCCCAGTTCTTTGACAAAGTCTGATCGAGCGCTGGCTGTGCTGGATGAAGGCAAGCCAGGCGAATGCTGGTCAGCTTCTGGGTGACTCACGAACTTGCGCCACGAAACTAAACAGAGCTACAAGGCTTAGGTGCATGTAGCAGGCAGAATGGCGCATTGAGAGTGTCCAGGATCACCCAGAGCTAGCAAACTTTTGCTGGCGGTCGCTCACTTAAGCCGACGGGCGGGCGAGGGTCATGCCATCAATATGAGTCTTGAGGAGGTCCGAGCTTCTCCCGCCGTCATGAACCTCGCCGCTCCGCCATTTTTCCACTCCATTGAAGAAAAACTACCTCCTTCTTTCTCCCGTAATTATTTGCACATATACAACCTTCAATACACCCCCCGGTCGTCCTCTCACCACTTGGTCCGTACGCAGAACGACGGTGCGCCATGAATTGACATTACCCCGCCGACACTTTGACCGCGACTCGGTCAACCACTCCATTGGCTATGTTTGGGCAATGCAAGGGAAACGTCTGGATCGGCGACGACTTCAGCGCATGTTTCGGCCGTGACTACCTGCAGACCCTCTTCCCCCTCATCGCATGCGCCATCTCCGCCCTCTACCTCTTCTACCAAGTCTGGTCGGCAGCGTCTCAGTCGAGAGATACGAGTTCCTACCTTCCCGTCAAACAGCTTCTCGTCAGTGCCAATGGACGAGCGAGCCATGATGTTGACAGCGACGATGAAGAGGATGATACGGACGAGGAGATTGGGGATGAAATCAGTCGAAGACAGTCGCTGGGAATGCAACCAGCAAGGTCTCACACCAATCCATCCATCGTGACCGTCGACAAGCCCCGCGGCGAAGCTCTGATTACTTTGGTGGAAGAGGTCGCTGTCGTGGCCGATCTTGCTGTCCAAATCGCCGCCCTCATATTACAAACCTGGGGGCGGAATGGGACGATTGCGGGTGTCGCGTGTGTGGTCACTTGGGCATACATCGCCGTTCTCACTTCGCTTCGCCTCTTGTTCTCCAGCACTTCGAAGTTCTCTTTCCCCACCCTGTGGTACCACACCGCCAATCTGTACGGGATGCAGTGGATCTTTGGTGTCCTCCTCTTCCGCTCGACCATCATTCACCCTCGATCGAACCTCGCCACGGTCATGATCGCCATTCATTTCGCCCTCAACTCTCTGCTCCTCGCCATTGCTCTTGCATCGCGCAAAGGTAATGCACCCATCGAACTCGAGTACGAAGGCGACATTGAGCCTTCGCGGGAACCCCTCGCCAGCGTCTTCTCCCTCGCAACCTTCTCATGGGTCGACCCGATCGTGTGGAAAGGCTACAAAAAGACATTCGAACTCGCCGATGTGTGGAACCTGATTCCCAGGGACAAGGCGGCCAATGTGCTGGCTGACTACCGACAACTCAAAAAGACCACGGCGTTGGCGTATCACTTGTTAAAGTACTTCAAGCGCGAGCTGATCGTCCAAGCCGTGTGGGCCGCGGGATCGGGTGTGTTGACCTTTGTTCCCACCCTCTTGATCATGGTCATTCTTCAATATCTTGAAGACCCCGTAAACACCCCTCGCAATGCTGCCTGGTTCTACGTCATCCTGCTCTTCGTATCGGGAGTCTCCAACGCTTTGGCCAGCGGCCAGGCACTTTGGATCGGAAGGAGGGTGTGCATTCGGCTGAGAGCAATCATCATCGGTGAGATCTTTGGCAAAACGCTACGAAGACGCGCGGGTGCTAGCTCGGACAAGATTCTCGGAGGCGAAACAACCAACCCGGACAAGGGAAAAGGGAAGCAAGGAATTATCGCGAAGATCTTCTCTCTCGGTCGCAAGAAGAATGCGGATGATTCAAAGAAGCCCGATGATCAAGAAGCCGCTGCTACCCCGATCGACGAGTCTCAAGTATCGTCGGGCACCATTATCAACCTCATGGCCGTCGATTCCTTCAAAGTCGCCGACATCTGTGCATATCTGCACTTTCTCTGGGCCGAGACCCCGGTGCAGTTCATCATCTCCATCGTCCTGCTCTACCAGATTCTCGGCTACAGCAGCATCATGGGGATTGTCATGATGCTTCTCCTCCTGCCGGTCAACATGATCGTGGCAAGGCGCTTTGCCACGGTTCAGAAAAGGATCTTGGCCGCCACCGATGCGAGAATCCACTCCACCAATGAGGTTTTGACCAACATCCGCATCATCAAGTACTTTGCTTGGGAACAGCGCTTCCTCAAGGCGGTCGACGAGAAACGCGCGGTCGAGCTGAAGGAGCTGCGAAACAGGTACATCGTCTGGGCGACGGCATTCATGATCTGGTCCGGCGCGCCCATCCTCATCACCCTCTTCACTTTCCTCGTCTTCACCGTGGTGGAGAAGAGAGACCTGATCCCGTCCGTTGCGTTCACCGCGCTGTCGCTGTTTAGCTTGCTGCGCATCCCGTTGGATCAATTGGCCGACATGATTGCGCACGTGCAAGAGTCGAAGGTCTCTGTGGATCGTATCGAAGAGTATCTCAATGAGCCGGAGACGGAGAAGTATACGCAACTCAAGATGGCCGAGCTGGACGACGAGGGCGAAACCGTCCTTGGATTCGACGACGGCATTTTCAGCTGGGGCCTCGAGGGCTCGGATGACTTCAAAATGATCGATCTTGACCTCCGCTTCAAGGTCGGCCAGATGAACGTCATCATCGGCCCGACGGGAAGCGGCAAGACCTCCATGCTGATGGCGCTGTTGGGAGAGATGACTCTGCTCAACGGCAAGGTCTACCTTCCAGGCGGCACGAGTAGGGAAGATCTCAAGCCCGAGCCTGGCAGCGGTCTGACGGAGAGCGTGGCCTATTGTGCGCAGCAGGCGTGGCTGCTGAACGGGACTATCAAGGAGAACATTGTCTTCGCCAGCGATTGGGACGCGAGGCGGTACAAGGATGTGATCGTCGCATGTTCTCTGCAACGTGACCTGGAAATTCTGGACAACGGCGATCAAACCCTCGTCGGCGAGAAAGGTGTCACCCTGTCAGGTGGTCAGAAACAGCGGATCAGTCTTGCTCGGGCACTGTACTGCAAAGCGAGGCATGTCCTCATGGACGATGTGCTGAGCGCCGTCGACTCTCACACAGCGAAATGGATCTTCGACAAGGCGCTCCTCGGCCCGCTAATGTACGATCGAACGTGCATCTTGGTGACACACAATGCCACTTTGTGTCTGCCACACGCGGACTTCGCCGTTGTGCTCGATAACGGGCGCGTGGCTGTCCAGGGGACCTCCGCAGAAGTCATCTCTTCCGGCAAGCTTGCCGAGGACATGGCAAAGTTCGAGTCGAGACCAGCATCGCGCGCAGCTTCGGCCAGACCATCCAGAGTTCCTTCTGAGGAAGACGTCAAAAAGGGTGAATCGCAAGAGCAGCCCGCAAATGGTCATCTGGAGCCTGTCGAGACGGATCTCGAAATTGTTCCCCGGCCGAGTACGACTCTGCCGCCAGATGCTCTCGCCAAAGTCGTCTCCAAGGACATCCCTGGTATGAACCAAGTTCTCGACAACGACATTACACGCGAAGGCAAGGCGACCGGAGCCGTCAAACTCACTGTCATCCTGAAGTACCTCGTCTACATGGGCGGGCCCGTCTACTGGTTCTTCGCTGGTATCTTCTTCATACTGGTGCAGGTGTCACAGGTCGCGACGAACGTCTGGATCCGACAGTGGGCGAACGCCTACGCTTACAAAGAGACCGCTTCAGTCATGGCTTCCAACCACACCTCGCATGCGACACATGTACTGGGGACGTTCAGCGGCTCGTACAATTGTCTGCGGACCGGGTCGTGTATTTGGGGCATTTGGTCTTCGCCAGCGCGGCAAGATGGCATCCATATGGCGACAACAAAGTCTGAAGTCGACGCTGGCTACTACCTCACAGTTTACGCGATCCTGGGCGTGTCCTACATGATCATCACCTTCCTTCGCGAGGGTCTGCTGTTCGCAGGGTCCCTCACCGCGTCCAAACGTATTCATCGACAACTGATGGAGTCGGTGAGCCATGCGAAATTCCGCTTCTTCGACACCACGCCGCTCGGACAGATCATGAACCGCTTCTCCAAAGACATTGAGAATATTGATCAGGAGATTGCACCCGTGGCCGTGGGAGTGGTGCACTGCCTTGTGGCAATCGTCACCATTGTCATTGTCATCTCGGCCGTTGTGCCTTCTTTCCTGATCGCTGGCGTCTTCATCACAATCATCTACATCCTCATCGGCCGCTTCTACATCAACTCCTCTCGAGACCTGAAGCGCCTGGAGTCTGTCCAACGCAGCCCGCTGTATCAGCAATTCGGGGAAGCACTGACGGGCGTCACTACGATCAGAGCCTATGGCGATGACCGACGCTTTATCCGCGAGAACCTGAACCGCGTCAATGTCCACAACCGCCCGTACCTCTACCTATGGAGCGCAAACCGATGGCTGGCCTTCCGCGTCGATCTCGTGGGCGCACTCGTTGCCTTCTTTGCCGGAGCTTTCGTCGTCATCGGCGCCGGCACCGTGGATCCTGGCGCGGCTGGGTTGGCACTTACGTACGCCGTGACCTTCACCGAGAACGTGCTGTGGTTCGTGCGCTTGTATGCGTCCAACGAACAGAACATGAACTCTGTGGAGCGTATCAAGGAATACCTCGATGTCGAGCAGGAGGCCGCGCAACACGTGCCCGAGAACCAACCGGCGGCGAACTGGCCCAGCCAGGGTGCCGTGGAATTCATCGATTACAGCACGAGGTATCGGAGCGACTTTGATTTGGTACTGAAGAAGATCACTTTCCGCATTCTACCTGGTGAGAAGGTGGGGGTGGTGGGCAGGACTGGTGCGGGCAAGAGCTCGCTCGCCCTCGCGCTGTTCCGAGCACTGGAGGCGGAGGAGGGCAAGATCCTCATCGACAACGTCGACGTAGGCTTGATCGGTCTGCAGGACTTGCGCGAGAATATCGTCATGGTGCCGCAGGATCCGACGTTGTTCACGGGCACAATCCGCAGCAACCTTGATCCCTTTGGCTTGTTCACCGACGAGGAGATCTTCATGGCTCTGCAAAGAGTGCAGCTGATCAGCGGCCCCACCGCGACTCCTTCTCGACCTTCGACACCCCAACCCGGCAAGACCTCCACCACGAGCACAGCAGCATCGAAACGCTTGCTGCCAGTCAAGTCCGACGCTCCAGACGCCCCCTCGCCCACCGAGCCCAACACGCCCACGCTCGAGAACAAAAACATCTTCCGCAACCTCTCCTCCCCCGTGGCCGAGTCCGGCACGAACCTCTCGCAAGGCCAGCGCCAACTCCTCTGCCTCGCGCGCGCCATGCTCAAGAACCCCAAGGTGCTGCTCATGGATGAGGCGACGGCGTCCATCGACTACGCCACCGACGCCAAGATCCAGGAGACGATCCGCGACATCAAAAACACCACCGTCACCATTGCGCATCGCTTGCAGACCATTATTGACTACGACAAGGTGCTCGTGCTGGACAAGGGCGAGGTGATTGAGTTTGGGGATCCGTATGATCTTATTCGCACGGAGGCCGGCTCGTTCCGCGGGATGTGTGAGACGAGTGGAGATTTGGAGGTGCTGGTACGCGATGCGAAGAGGGCGTATGATGCGCGCCGCTTGGTTGATGACTCTTGATTCTCTGGACGTCGATACACCCTAGAACAAGGAGCATAGCGTGGGGCGGCGGGAGGCCAAGCGTTCATTGCTGCATTTGGCGTTGATGATGGAAAGGGCTTGCGATTGATTTGTGTGTTTCATTCCAAGTCGCGTACATTATTGTACAGTCTTTTATCGGCAGTGTATATACACTCCCTTCTTCCCTGTCTATATTCGTTTGTTCACTCATCTGCAGTCTCAATCTCCTTACTACTAGTCCCATGGTAGTCCTGCTCCTACAACTCTTCCAATCAACATCATGTCTATGATAATCACAACGAAAGCATAGAACTCACATATCGCCTCCAAACCTCCGCATCCCTCACCACCCGCTTATAATGCCGAACATGCAACTCGTGCGCGCGCAGCCGTTTATCCGCCTCAATCATGCTCCCAATCGCCATGCCGGACATTTGCAGAAACCTGCATGACAACCCAATTAGAAACCTCTCCAATCGTGCCAATGGCGATCTGAAGGGATGGAAAACGCAAGTCCTTACACTTTAAATTGCACCGTCAAGCCTCGATACACGGGACTGAATTGGAACGCTACCGCCGCCGCAGCAGCGGAGAAGATACCCCACTGGAGTCAAGTGTAAGCTTCCATCTCGTGTTCGACGGGAAAGAGGTGGAAGAAGTACTTTTGCAGCTCCTACGACGGCACCTCGCTGTTTCGATGGGTTAGTTGGTGGAATAAGGACAGATGAGGAATGTGAAGAGGAGCATACTGTAGCCGCCCACGCGGCGGAATTGATCTCTTCGTCGTGCACCAGGCTGCCATGCTTCCTCGTCATGCCGTGTGGAGCATTGAACGGGGATTCGATGGGAGGGGAGGATGGGGTGTCGCGTGAGGTTGGCGTATATATGACAGCCATATTACCGATTGGACGATGGCCATAAGTCGTGTCTGCAATTATGAGGAGGGTTGGCGGAGATTCACTCTGCGTCAAGAACGGTAACATTATTTCACCGAGGAGGGAGAGCCGAGAAAAGCAGAAAGGGCATGAAAGTGAATCTAGTACCATTGAAAGCTTCCAAAGCAGACCCAAGTACCGAGAAGAAGAAGGAGAAAAACAGCTAGCTATCGGCACAACACAACACGACCCCATGTCTACGCCGGTGGCAATGCATCGTTCTCATCTTCCTCCTCCTTCCCTATATGACCAGACCAAGCCAGGCTCGCCGAAGCACAACTGGCCGCCTCTGTGTATCGGTGTGCATTACTGAGAGGGTGAAAGCCTCTCTCTCTCTCTCATTCATTCGCGACCGTCTTCGCCCTTCCCATAGCGCCGTTGCATGCAGATGAAACCCGAAGAGTCAGAGGGAGAACAAGGAGTGGTGGGTGTGTCGAGTTCGGTGTCGTAAGGAGTGTCATCACGGGACAGGCGGGGACTGTTGGGTGGTAGAGGGATATGGGTGGGTGAAAGTCGGGGGGGAAGTACAGCATCAGAGTTCAGCGAAACGTAGAGACGCTCAGCTTTGCTTGCACTCGGCGGTCTCCTGTTTGGACTTAGACAGCTCCTCCTACTGCATCATTAGTCTCAGCCGTCAAATTGTCTGCGAGCATGGAATCGATCTGCGTAGACTTACCTCGTCGTCGTCCTCATCCTCATCATCCTCGTCCCTTGATTCGTCCTCGTCATCCTCATCGTCCTCATCTTCGAACTCGTCCTCGTCGAAGTCGAGGCCCTCCTCGAACTGCAGCGCCTCGCCAGTGAACCAGTCGATGGCGCGGGGAATGAGTTTCTCCTTGATGTCCTCGCCGAGTTGGTAGTCGAGCTCGAGCTTCGCCTCCAGCTCCTCGTCCACATCCTCTTCATCGTCGTCCGCGGGTGGCTGCGCGGGGTTGAAAAAGTCGAAGAACGATGGGGTGGGGATGGACTTCTTGACGATGCGGGTTTGCTTAGTGTCTAGCCATCATGTTAGTAAGCTGTTTCTCGGGCAGTGGACTTGATGACACTGACTCTTATTCCTTTGCTTCTTGCTCTCAATCTTGAAGGTCAAGTCCTTGCCCGCCTTCCAGCTGATCTTGTCACCCTCGGCATGGTCGTAGATGAAGTCGCCAGCGTAGCCATTTTCCTCTTGGTAGAAGTAGGTCTTGGTGATGGTCTTGTTGGTGAAGAAGTCGTTGTCGGCGAACTCGAAGATCAAGCGGAAGCCCGGGCGGTCGAGGTACTCCATGCGGATGTCTGTGATGTCCTTCAACACCTCCTCGTCGCGCTCGGTGATGGTCTCGGCGAGGGAGGAGTTCTTCATCGCGCTGAGCCAGAACTCGGGGATACCCTTCATGTCGGCGTCGGCGGATGATGAAGCGGCGGCAGCAGGCTCTGACGGCTCGGCATCCTCATCCTCGTCCTCATCGGCCTCGCCGGCCGCAATCTCGTCGGCGGTAGGCTCGGCCTGGCCGTTAACGATGCGGGCGCGCTTCTCGTAGAGCGGGGTGAATTTGGCGAAAAACTTCTTCTCCAGCTCCAGCACCGCCTCTTGGAACTCCGCCTCGAGCTTGGAGTGTTCCTTCTGCACGCCCTTCAGGCCGGCCACGCGCTTCTTCACCGGCTCCGGCAGCGACTCAACATAGCCCGACGACTTCCCAACGAGGCCTTGCAGCTTGTTCTGCATCATCGACACGAGGCGGGGGTTCTGGGCGAAGATGGAGGCGGCGGCGGCGCGGTCGAGGTCCTCTGTGAACGCGGTGATGGTCAGTGGGATGATCCTGTGGCAGTGAAGCTAGCTGGTGCCGATCGACGAACCTTCACTGATGCTGGCGATGCCAGGAGCCTGCGCGCGACTGGAGATGGGAGCCTGGTTGAGGGAGGCCGGGGTGTTCTGGGGGGTCTGCATGGTGTTAGTGGATGGAGTGGTGGTGCGTAGAACCATGGCAAGTAAAGAGATGGAAGATAGACGGGGAGGAAATAATTTTTTTCGGGTGTAGGTACAGGGTTAAGACGTACCGGCGCCGCTTTGGCGGGGATCTTGGAGCGAATAGGCTCGGCCATGACTGATTGGGGAGGGGAGGGATCTGCAAGGGCGGTGGACGAAGGGTGAATGGGGTGCAGGGACGGGTGGTTGAGGAGGGTGAAAGGGTGAGAAGGGTGCAGACGCGGGTTGCAAGACTTTAGTGTAGCCCTCCAAAACCTTCTCGAAGCACACCGTGGGGTTTTCGTGCCGCCGCCGGAACTGAGCCACACCTCACTGCAATCCCTCACCCAAACGATCCTTTTAACGCTTGGGGCGCAATTTGGCGGGCTCGCGTGTGGCGTCCAGCAACGGCACTTCCATCTCAATTCTTTGACAGTGCCACGCAAAAGAGTCCACGTCACCAGTCTCGCACACGCGTACGCATCACCGTGAATATGGACAACGCACTCGGTAGTCTGTCGCCCGAAAGCCTCCAGAGCCTGGAGAAGCTGTCGCCGCGAGAGAAGCAGGAGCTAGGCCAAATGGCCATGCAAGAAGGTGTGCCTTCATCAATTCATCTACGCTGCCCTGCGTCACACTAAACCGCCCAACAGTTCAGAAAGTGCAGATACAACAGACCATCCATTCCTTGACGGACATGTGCTTCAAGAAGTACGTACCCTCACTGGTGAATGTAGTCCAGCACGCCCTCTAACCACAACATACAGGTGCATCACCTCGAGAATCTCTTCCGGTAAACTGGACCGCAGCGAGGAGCCGTGCATGCAAAACTGTGTCGATAGATACATGGACGCCAACATGACTGTCATTCGGCATTTGGAGCAGCTGAGGCAGGGTAGCTAGACTGCTCTCGCTCTTTCACGGCGGAGGGGGCTGCATACCAAGGCGCAGGGCATATCTACTCAACTTCTGTGTTACAAGCAAATACGCGGACAGACGGGCATGACGATGACAGAGTGGGCTGGCACGGAAACAGATTCGGGAAGTTGGGAATTGTATAAGTAGCGAAATACTACTCTCACTACCCGGGTGCGATGCCATGCGCGCGCCTATATGGAAAAACTCCACCACAGTCGAATGCCCTCTACACAATCTGGAGCTTCGTCGCCGCAATGTCAAGCGCATCCACATCCGCCGTCAACTTCGCAAACGCCTTCTTCGAGCCATCCGGTCTAGTTCGCAATGTTAGCCATGACCATCCATGATCCCAATTCCAGCCAGACTATGCTCACCGAATAAGCGTGCTCACCTTCACGCACTCCACATCGTACATCTTCTTCAACGCCTCCTTGATCTGTCGCTTGTTCGCCTTGACATCCACAATGAAGACGAGGGTGTTGTCCTCCTCAATCTTCTTCATCGCGCTCTCCGTGTTCAACGGGTGGATGAGGATCTTGCCGGCATCGAGGCGCGGCTGGTGCGGGATGCTCTTGCGCGGGTATTTCGGCGTGCGCGAGAGGGTGAGGGTCTTGGGCCGGTGGAAGGTGGCGCTGTTCCGGACTTTGCGGACCTTGTGCGAGTTGACCTGTTATGAAGAACAGGCCGTCAGAATGATGAATGTTGGACTCTGACACGCCTCAAGGTGGAGGTGATGTGGGTGGGCTTACGCCTTTGAGCGTCGCCTTCGCCGCGGCGTTGGCCTTGGTCGAGGGCTTCTTCGAGCCTGTGGGCAGCATGTTAGCAGGGCGTCGCTGGATCCGGCTCAATGCGATGAGCCGGGGGAGTTTCGCAGTCTCTCAACGCTTCGCACAAGTCATACCTTTGCTTGCTGCTTTGGGCGCCATGTCTGAAGATGTGGTGGGTGTGACGGACAAGATCGTGTGCTGCGGTTCGAAAAGTTCAATTCTGTGTGTGGGAATTTCGTTAGCGCGACGGATGAGTCAAGGTTCGGCCCGAAGCCGTGATCTCGCCCGAGACTTTTGACACGCCCAAAAGCATCTTCGGGTTCACTGCGAACATAACACCATGGTTGTTGTAATCAACTCTTCACCATTATCACTCTATCCGCTCTAGTTGATCCTCAATCGATGCGCAGACTTCCGCTACAAACCCTTGTTCGTCATCTACGCCCAGCATTCCTGGCCACCAAGTCACCGTGATATTCAGAGCTCCATCTTTGACGCTGGCAACATTGACATTCACAGGCGCGCCACTCGTAGCATCCGCCGACTGCGAAAAGACCATGTCTGTGACAGTCCAGACGCTCGTCATCGGAGCTCCCCCATCAAATACACCCAAATTACTCATCTCAAAAGCTGCCTCCGCAGGTTGTTGCGCCTTTTTGAGGACCCATGCACGGATATTCGATAGATACTTGAGCAAAGCAATGGGCTGGTCGGCAAGCGTGCTCGATTTCTGAGCAAGGAGATCAGTGCTCTTCCTTACCGCTTCCCAATCCAGCTCTGCGTTGTCCGTCGTAGAAGGTACGCTGAGCCTTTCCTCCATAGCGGAGACGTAGTTGGCCATCTGTCCATCCGCTCCTGGAATCAACTTCTTGAGATCCATTGCCGTCTGCACCACGAAGGTGTTGTGGTGTTCACCATGCTTCGCCAAGGTTTGCGCAAGAGCATGGGCGACAACATAATTGAGTAGGCCAGTGATTCGCGCTTTGTGCTCTCGACAGGTCTTGAGGACTCTCTGCACCGTTGTCCCAGGCACGGAGAGAACGTGCACGGCGGTAGATAGAAGCTTCTTCGGAGCAGGGAGGTCCGGACGCTTCAAAGCACCGCGCCATGCATCTTTGCCAGCCGCATCTTTCACCCCTAGAGCACTGGCGAGGAAGGATGGGAGGTATTCGCCGAGCAGCGGCGCCAGAAGGAACGACCAAGAGATGGGTAGAACGGCAGCCCGATCCAGAGCTGGAAGTACATCCGTATTCGCCGGGACCGTGAATGTCGAGTCCTCGTCTGCCTCCAATGCATTGGCGTTGCAGAGTGCTTGTAAAAAGGTCCTGTGAAACGCATATCCAGACCCACCATCTAAGAGAGCATGAGAGCAAGCAAAAGCAACCTGAAACTCATTCCGTGCTTGCTTCGATCGCGACGTGTTTGATGAGACGATCCAGACTCTCCACTGCGGCACTTGCTCATACTCCGCGAGTGGCTCGTTGTGAATCCGTTCGAGACACTCCTTCAGCCTTTGTGAGGCGTCCGTTGGCTGGTCTGGCAGGTCAATGAAGTTCAAATGCTTCTCCAGATTCATCCGGATGGCCCTGCCAAGCTGTGGTTTCTCCGTCGCGGAATCCCGAATGACAGTGCTAAGGACAGGATGCCGCTTGATGCACTCCTTCAGCACGCCATATATCCTCGCTTTACTGGGTGAAGCCGGTCCAGTATATGTCGCGCAAGTGACAATATAGCCATAGAGTCCGAGGACATCGCGACAGATGCATCTGCGTTCATTGTAGCCTGTGGGAAGAAACAGCGGATCAGCTTCTGCTCCGCGAGGAGGTGATGGCAGGGAACATGCCTGCAGGACGAAGAATGTCTACCTCGCTCATCGCGTTGACGGCCGTTCGGCCTCAGTCTTGGGTAGTCTTGCCTGGGATGTGCGCTGTGATGCGTTGACTCGAGACCGCGGGGCTGGAAAGCATTTTGCATTGGTTTTACAAGGTGCGTAGTGTGCAGGGCGTGCAGATTAGATGGATATGCGAGTCAGCAGCCTTGCCAAAGTCAACCATTCGCGGGTCAGCAAATCGCCCTTACGTTCCCAATTATCGAACACCAACACTCTTTTGTAAATTCCTTCGGAAACGAATGCTCGCTGATGCGCAGGTGGAATGGAAATCATAGAGCACACGCAGCATCATCTGACCGGTGATGACAACACAGGCACAAGTACGTGATATCATTCATGGAGGACCCTCGTCATTCTGCGCTCAAAACTCCAGCTCCTCAACCTCCATCCCACACTCCACACACCTCTTCTTCGCCATTCCCGTCTCCGGATCTTCCACACTCCCTCCCCACTCATGCTCATGCCGCCCTCGTCCCAATCGATCCCCAAACTCGCCACCGCCTCCCGCCCTCGCGCGCTTATACGCATCCACCCTGGTCCTCTTCTTCAGCTCCTGTAGCTTATTCCGAAACTTCTTGTCCTTTCTATCCTTTGTCTCTTTCAGCCGCCGCTCGAATTCCTCATCGAGCGCCTGCTCGGATCCCCACTTCCGCGCCGAGAAGGCGTACTCCTCGACTTGGTAGCGCAGGTAGAGCATCATATTGTTCCACGTGCTCTTGTGCGGATTCGGCTTCTCGAGATGGGGTAGGAGGTCGGCGTCGCGCAGTTCCGGGTCGGTGAGCAGGTAGTCCTCCTTCGCCTCAGTCTTGGTGAGCAGGCTGTACTTCTCCGGCATCTTCTCTTTACAACTATTGCAAACTTGCGTATGCAGTAGCTCGTCCCACTGCCAATCGATCTCCAAACTGCCGCACTCCCGACACTTTTTGGCATTCTGATCAAGCACGCTCAACCCCGGCTCATATGGCCCTTCTCGTCGCTCCCGCAGTCGGCGCTGCAACTGCGCCCGCTCCCACTCTTTCAACGTCATGTTCGCCGGCTTCTCATCATTATCAGCAGCGTGCAACACCCTGTTGTACGGGTCGTCTTCCTCCGTCATGAACCCGCCCTTGGTATCCGTCATCTTGCTAAAGTCATACTCCACGAACTTCTGAAACTTGCGCGCGGCGCGGATGCCCGAGTCTTGGGCTTCGGCGAGGCCATTATTGCTGTTCGGATGCTGTCTGGCATGTGGTGCGATGGAGTTGCGTGCGTCCCGGGTGGTGGGGGGCACGGAGGAGGAGATCTCGGAGTGGCTACGCTTTTGTCCTGCACCGGTGGGATATGAGTTTTGCGGACGATTCGATGCCGATGAGCGTGTCTCTTGCTGTCGCTGTGTTTGTAGTGCTTTGGCTCTTAGTCGGCTCTCCTCCATCCGCCGAACTTGTTCGGGGGTGATGGCGTCGACCGGGGCCGGCCTTCTGGGTGGCGTTGACGGTTCCGCCATGTTGCGAGTGTTGCCTTCGTTGCTGTTTACATCAACATGGTCTAAGGAATAGAGGCGTTCAGAATACGTAAGGTATTGCAGCAAATCCGGCTGGAGGTTCGGCGTGAAGTTTATGTAAACGGGAAGAAGTTGACGGCAGCTGCAGCTCTCGAATGACGCATTTGGAGGAAGCGAAGTCGGAAGTCACGAATTTGGACCGCGGCGCGCTCTCACGTGTTGACGATCTTGCAGCCTTGTGCAATCAGAGGAAACTCGATATGCAGTCATGGCCTTAATCGAGTTACTGGATCGTGTAGAGTTTGAACTTCACGCCGCGCTGATTCTTCCTCATCGGCCGTTAGCGCATCTAACATAAAGTATCTTGGCCCAAACGCCACGCTAGTGTTTGATAGTATACAGGCCGTCATGCTCCGTCCTGAGAAGAAGACTCCTCGTGGATCGTGTGCCAGGCCAGGCTCAAGCCCATCATCGCCTGTAGAGATCCCTCTCCCGGTTTTGCAACCGCTCTCGCCGCGCATCGTTCCGTTCCGGACTTCTGCTCCTAGTCCTCCGCTGCTCTCGATCTCGATCGCGGTGCCCATCGCCTCTAGCGTGCGCGCGGGGGTCGTCTGCGTCTCGATACGATGGCCTATCTCGCTCACGATCTCGACGGCCGGATGGTGCGTCGGGATCACGATACGATGGCCGGTCCGGGTCGCGATATGCGTTTTCTCGACTACCTCGCCGGCCGCGGTCGTGGTTGTCGCGTGGCGGCCGATCGCTGGGTTTTGCGGAGGAGTATGAAGGAACATACGAGTCAACGGCGCCGGCACCACCTCCACCTCCACCTCCACCCCTGGTGCCGCTTGCTGCCGGTGGAGGGCCGCGGGAGGGCACATCTGGACGGGATGGAAGATCTGCAGGTCTGGGAGGGAGCGGATGGCCGTTGGTGGGTGCAGGGCCTCGCGCTGCCTCTTGTCTCCAAGCTCTCGGAGGTCGAGCGTCCGATGTCGCAGGTAATGCGCGTCGGTCATCGTAGTTCCTTGGTGGTGGCGCTCTCTCCCGCCCGTAGCCTCGGTGTGCGCGATCGTAGCCATCCATGGGTCCTGAGCCATTCCATTCGTCCGGACCCATTCCCACCGTACCTCCGGCGGGTGCTGGTGGCAATGCTCGCTGCTTCTCGTGCCCGCGTCTCCTAGAGTCAAGCTCATGACTGTCTTCGTATTTGGGTAGATCTTCCGGCTTGGCCGGTAAAGGTGAAGTTGTGAAGTATTCGTGTTGCAGAGCGTCGATGGCATTGATCCGTCTCCGCCAGTCCAGGCAGAGCAACTGCTTCAAAAGATCAATACCAGGCTTTCCAAGCCGCGATCCAAATCGCCGGTCAATGTCGCCTTTCTGATACTCCCAATCTTTGGTGCCTTCGCATCCGGGAAGATCAGACCAGCCGGGCATGTTTTGCTCATTGGGCGACCCGACCAATTGGAAGATGCGGACACATTGGTCGACATCGGTCTTGCCCTCCAGGATAGGCTTGCGCTCGAACATCTCCGCAAACACACACCCAACACCCCACAAGTCTATCGCGGGGGTGTACTTCTTCAAGGTGAGCAACAGTTCCGGCGGGCGATACCATCTGGTGACGACCAGGCTGGTGTAATCCCTGACCGCCTCACCATTGCCAGCTCCAGCTTGCGGAGTTAGTCCTTCGTAGTGTCTTGCGAGGCCGAAGTCTGCGATTTGCAGAAGTCCACGATTTGAGATGAGAATGTTGGCGGCCTTCATATCTCTGTGAAGAATGTGCGACTTTTCAACGCGCAATTAGCATTCAACTGGTCACAGATGTGGCTATAGTCCACTACTCACGTCGTGTAGATACCGTAGGCCCTCTAGTAACTGTTGCATGTAGCATTTTATTTGCGCCTCGGTGAAGCGAATGTCGGGGTTCGTGAGCATGCCGCTCAAGTCGTGGTCCATGTAGGGAGTGACCATGTAGAGAGTGGCGCGCTTCTTCCCACTCTTGCCCTTCTCATCGACTGTAGTGCGCCAGTTAGCGAACGATCGCAGCGCATGGTGCACAGCTCAATGCCTACCCTGCTGCCTCTCCACCGCCATCTCCTCCAACTTCAAGATATTGGGATGGCTCAGCGTCTTCAGCAGCTTCACCTCCCGAAGCGCAGTAATGGGGAAGCCCTCCTTCTCGTTGTGCATGAGGATCTTCTTCAGCGCCACGGTGTTGCCTGTCCGCTTGGAGAGGGCCTTGGACACCACGCCGAACGTGCCTTCGCCCAGCTTCTCGTTCATCACCTCATATTCCGAGATCTTGGCGCTGCCTCGAAAGCGGCGCTGTGTTGGGTCGGTCATGGCCTGACTATCGGGCGAGGCCACTGCCTGTGCCATCGTATTCTACTCTTTCTCCACCAGAAAGCGATCAGCGCGAGAAGTCCCTCAGTCGCGAAAGGGTTGTCGAATGCTGGACAGATGCTGCTTGCGCATCGAAATGGCGCAATCCCATTGCAAGTTTGCCGCTGTGGGATGTATGGTAGAGGGGAGAAAGGCGGAGACAGGCAGTGGATAGCGCGCTATTGTAGTTGCGCGCTTTCATTCATTGCTGACTGTGTAAGGAACGTATTGTTTAGCCGACATGTGAATGAGATCAGCCACGTTTGAACCCTGCACGGCCGTTGGAGTTGCAAGCGTGGCCTTGCATCGCCGGCGGCATAAGTGCTGGGACTGATGCAGACCCGGGCTTGGCACCTCGGAGGACGACCTCACTCCATTGGAAGCTGTGCTCACTCCGTCCCGTCACCATTCGGAACTCTCCACACTTCACCCACCCAAGCGGTCGATGTGAGTCGACAGTGCTCTCATTACTGCCACTGCCACGCTCACATCATCACAGTCTCCTCACTCAAGCAAAAATGGCCGGCGGAGGGGCCAACCCAGCAAGTGCGCGTGGCGCCCATCCCTTCGCCCACCCGCACGTCCGACCCTTCTACCGATTCGCGGCCACGGGCCTCGGAGCAGCAATGTGGTTCTTTGTGAGGATGGTGTGATCAAGGGCTTCCGATGTGTGTACTGACCTGCCCTGCAGCTGTTCTACCGAGCGAGACACGACATGCCGGTTCTGCTTGGCTGGAGACATCCATGGGAGCATTAGAGGAGATGAAGGCAGACGAGAGAGCATTGGAATTCAAGAGCACGCGATGAAATGAGATCCACTGTACATTCCATGATCTCGCCAGTATCAGTCGTATTGCCATGATGCATGGCGGGCGGCGCGGACGGATGGCAAATACAGCTTTGTTATCATACCAAGGAACGCAGCTGGGCTAGAAGCTCCTTTACCCAGTCAACGTCTACCATCAAACTTCCCGCTCCGCCGGCGTCAATGTGTCGTGTGAGTGAGATGCTGCCATGCAGACTTTTGCCTCAGGCCAGTCACTTCACTTGAAACTTGCACAGTTTCCTTTGCCATCGAATAAACTCAAAAGCCAGACTTCATCTGATTCTCCCTCGCCTCAAGCCCACCATTGTGTGTATACACCCCCTTCAGATTGCCAACGCTTCGGTGCCAAGTCCACTCCTGCGCCGTCATCTCAGGACCATCCTCGCCCTGCGGCTGCTGATCAATCAATCCGCCCTTCAATCTCTTCAACACCACTTTGTCCTCCGGTCGGGAGAAGTACACCAGGCTATGCCTCAGCACCCCGTCCTGCGGTGGCGGTGGCGGAACGACTCGGTGAACATTACTCCGCAAGATACCCGCGGTGAATTTCACCAACGCATCTCCCAGGTTCACGACCGCACTACCCGGGATCGGCTTGACGTAGACCCATTCCGCCGAGTCTGGAAGGCGAATCTGCAAGCCGCCGAGCCAGTTCATCAGAATTGTAAGCGTGCCGAAATCCGTGTGCTCGCCCATTGCCGCGCGCTCCTCCGAAAAGGGTTGCACAGCGGACTGGTTGAAGCGGACGTGATCTCCTGACCTCTCCGTAATACGGTGAAGGTTTGCGAGCGTGCCGGTGGGTAGTTCCAGATGCTTCTCCAGATGGGTGATGAGAATGTCGATGACCTCACGGCAATGGTAGACGTAAGAAGTGAGTACGTCCCAATTCTGCTTGACGAGCGGATGGCACGGCAGGGGATCCGCGTTGCCCACGAAGTCGTCTTTTCGCATCTGTTCGGCACTCCGTCAGCGATCGTCCGACAGTTCAAAGGCGCCGGGACTAGATTACATTGTAAATCTCGTTCCTTTTTGGGACACCGTTCTCGTCTTTCTCCTTCAACTCCACCTTGCGGTACCCGAAAAAGTCGTCAATCTTCTCCCTGGCATACTCCTCTCGTTCCTCTTGCGGTCTCTGGTAGAATTCCTGGGAGATTGCGTGCAGTTGCTCCGCTCCATCCACTACGCTTTCGCCGAGCGTCGAGCCTTCGAGTTGAAGGTAGAAGAATCCCAAGTTCCTAGCGGCATCGAAAAAGGCCTTGGATTCTGCTTCATCGCCTGCTTGGAGTTTGGATAGGGACAGTGAGACTAGTGGGGCGGTCTTGATGTCGCCTGGGAACGGCGGATAGCGATGGTGGCTTGTATTGGGGCCTATGGATCCCATGTTGAAGTCGATAGATTGGTGTTTGATAGTTGCAATGGTAAAGCGGAGTAAGTTAACTACGTCGACGGGCGTCCGACAACTTACCACCGAAACCCCGGAAGGTACGCGGGTACATATGCGATCATGCCTCTACCGAGGCAAACCTTCCGAGCACAGTGTTGGTGTAGTCGTTGTTCAGTTGTCGCTGGGTGAATAAGCTACTGTTTGGACATGTAGACGTACTAAGATCTCACTTCTCTGTCTCCAGGCATCTAGAGATGCACTCGAGAACTCGATTAGATGGCCTAGAGACGAGGGTAGATGGGTTGACTGTGCAATCTCTGATTGGCCACAGCGACATTCGCGCTAGCTGGCGTGCCTGAGATAAGTTACCAGCTGGTAACTTTTTATGCCTGAGGCATCATTTTGCTTCACCTCCCCGTATGTACGTGTGCCCAACCCATACATCCCGATGCATGCTCTACTTGTATGCTGCATTAGGCTAGGAGCTCGCCCGAGCATGGCTTTTGCCAAGGTGCGACGTGCTCAAGCACTCGCGTCGTCGCCATCGATCCCATTGAACAGTTCAGTGAGGAACAAGCGCATGATCTACCGTGATCTTGATTTGCCGTCTCATTATTGACGTATCCTGAAGCTCCAACCGCTGGGATGACGAGCATCTGGCATCTGGCTAACATTAGCCAGCTCGATTTCGCTGCATCAGCTACGCTGCTCGCTCTTGCAGCAAGAAAGCAGTCGGTTTCAGCCCCTGAACAGCCTGATATTGAGTGCAGCGATGGGAGCGATTCCGAGTATGAAGAAGACGAAGGAGAGGAGGAGTTTGCCACCTCAAGACCGACCGCACGGCTGACTGAGATCCCCCGAGATGCACTCATAGATAAGTTCCTAAATCGATTGAGTGAAGTCTTTTCCCGTGAGAAGTCGTCGCCTCAAAGCAAAGGTCGGCAGGACTCGAAACACATTACAGCGGCAGCTTGGATCAAGCCGAACGATGAATCCTCGCTCACCATAATCTATGCAAAGAATGAAGGTCCCGACGATCGTGATCGGCAAATGTCATCTCGACTTCAGTCGTGGCTCCGGGCTATTGCAGCGAGTGGCCGAACTCCGCCAATGAGGACTGACAAAATCTGGTCCGGTGACCTTGGGCTTGTCGATTATACTCGTCGTCGATTGTGGTATCACATATCACAGATTAATCAGCAATCACAACTGATGGATGCGCTGGCAGAACGATCAGGTATCTACGGCTCAATCGTCATCTGTCTGCAGTGTCTCTGCGGGAACGCTACCGTGGACTCGACAGTACAGCAGCTCAGCGATATCGTGAATGTGGCACATATGTTGCGTTTCGTTTGGCACGAGTTCAAAGAGGATGTGAAGCACACAAAAGTATTGAAGAGCATCAACATGCTTCGGCGACTCCGAGCAGCATACGAATGCTTCACATCCACGGCGCTTACCTTTGAAGAGATGTCGGCGGTGGAAGTAACACCTGCATGTCTTCCACATACCGAAGAAATAGACACGACCCGATTTCGAAAGCGCCTTCGGGAGCTTGCTGGGCAGCTCCGTCTGCCAAAAGGGCTGCTCAAAACCAGCGATGCGCAGAGTTACATGGGAACCTCCAAACTGCACATTCACGCAGAGATGCAGATACTCGTGGGTCTAGCCAAGGACTCTGACTGGTTCAGACGTTCCCATCGATATATTGGTACCAGCAAGAAGCTCTGTTTCTTGTGCAACGAGATTCTGCACAACTACAGCGCAATCTCTCTGGAAGGTCCACGACGACAGACTTTCAAGGCGCGGGAGTCTCATCGAAAAGTCTACCCACTCTGGACACTGCCTCAGAGCACAGTTGCGCCATGTGTTGCTAGTCTAGCTATGGCAACCGCTATGCGCCGTGCACATGACGAGATTAAGCGAGAGCTGCAGTGTGGACCGACCTTGCAGCCTGCAATTGCAGAGTCCTCTGCAGGTGCTACCGACATTGCCTCAATCACTGGTGTACCCACCGTTGCAAAGCAGTACGTGGCCGACCAGCGTTCGTCGTATTTCTCGGAGAGGAGGGACAGTCTCGAACCCCCAGTCACACTAGGACGAAAGGTCAAGTCAGTGAAAGTCGGGCTTCTACCGGCGGATGGATCGGCGCCGAGACTGACCCAGATCAGCTTCTTCCGACTGCCAGAGAAACCAGACCATAGGATTCAAGAGAGTGGATTTGATCTTGTACCATCTTTCCATGACTCTTGGGGGCAAGATCAGTTTGATCGACGATTTACACATCTAGAAGTTCGATGTCAAGACTTGAAAGAAACGGAAGGTGACTATCGACTTTACTGGAACGAAAACCACGAACTGCCCGAAAACAAGAACATCAAACGACTTCTGAGCATTGAGACGGTCGATGGTTTTAGACGATTCTGGCACGGCGATGTCTTTATCGTGCGATTCTCAGAAGACGCCAAAGCCTTTGCCTATGATGTTCATGATGCGCCGCTTGCCATCTTTAGTCATTGCAGCCTGCAGACAATATTCCAAAATATGTGGGAGCAGCACTACCTGGAGAGTGTCTCAGAACAGGATCGTTATTCCGGGGCACAGTCTGAGAAACTAGAAGCGGACAAAGCTATTATTTTGGAAAGAATGTTAGTGAGGCGGCATAAGGGCGTTTCGCAGCCTTGCAGAGCTAACAAAGCTGTCGTAGGACACCCATGGAGAAGAGCATACTCAGTCGTCTACCGCCCAGCACTCTCGAATATCTTGCGACTACAGGCTGTGATGATGGCGCGTTGGAAGACTCTCGTATCGAGCACGACCCTCGGGATCCGACCGTGGTGCGAATCAGTGTTCGGACGAAGGAGACGGCCCTAGACTCCATGGGTTGGGAGGGGTTCTGCAGTTCTCAGTTGACCAATGTCGCTCAGAGCCCAAGTAAAGCTAAGCGCTCGTGACTGGTCCTCGGCTGTAAAGTAGACGGAAGGGAGGCTGCTCGGCGAGAGGAACCAGATTGGATGACCTGGTAGATCGGACAGGATGGTACGCGTAGTCCGGGCGTGGGGGACGGAGAGCCGCGCGCAGCCTGATTGGCCACGCCGAGTCCGCGCTAACGGGCGTACTTTCCGCTCGTATATTCACTTACTCAATCACTTCTGATAGCCATGATAGGCCATTCGATAGGCTCCAATGGCTCCTCGCGCCCATATCGCGTGCTGACATGGCCGGCTCTGGATCCTTCTTGCCTTTCATCAGCAGAGTGACGTAAAATCCGGGGTCGGAAGCTCGTGATCACCATCTCTTACTGAAGTCATGTCGCGAATACGACGAGCGACTTGAGTCGACATATCGCCATCCCATTCGATGGCTACCAATGGCGCCCTCCATGCCCTCCTCCTGCTCTCCGATTCGGCATTGCCCCTAGGCTCCTTCGCCTTCAGCAGCGGACTAGAGTCCTTCCTAGCACATCACAAACACAACAGCGCCTCGCATAGACTGCAAGCCTTCGACCACTTCCTCGAACACTCCGTGGCCAATATAGCAAGCACCGCGATTCCATACGTCGTGAGCGGCTATCACAACCCAGACAGTCTAGAAGAACTAGACAACGACTTTGACGCCTCCACGCCGTGCACAGTCGCTCGGCGAGCGAGTATATCGCAAGGCAAAGCCCTGCTGGCGATCTGGGATCGAGCTCTCCGCTCCTCGCTCTCCCCGTCATCGAGTCCGGAGTCTCAGCGTGCAGGCGCCGCTCTCACGGCCTTTTCTGCCGCGCTGAAAACTTCCAAGCCTGATGCGCTAGGTCTCCAGATGAATGCACATTTCCCCTCGCTGTTTGGGGCTGTCTGTTGCGCCTTGTCCCTTCCGGAGCACGAGGCTACGTACCTGTTCCTTCTCAACCACGCCAAAACGCTACTTTCTGCCGCTGTTCGAGCGAGCGTGCTGGGGCCTTATCAGAGCCAGGCTGTTCTTGCTAGTGCGAGGTTGCAGGGATGGATCGAAGCATCAATTGCGAGCACGGCCGGGGGCATCGGCGGGAAAGGAGGCATTGCGGTGGAGGATGCGGCTGTCACAGTACCGCCAATGGATTTATGGATGGGGAGACATGAACTGCTCTATTCGAGGATCTTCAATTCCTAATCTCTCGACACCAAAGCCGGGTATAAAATGCCACTATCTCTGAACGCCATCGCTAAAGGATGAAAGGCCACCACAAGGAGCACTAAGAAGCAGCAGTCCGCGATTGCAGCCTTGCCGGGCCCAGGCCTTTGCGAACCTCCTCCAACTGCTCCATCCCACTCTGCGGACCTCCTCGTCTGATTCGCTTTCCCTGCTTCCCAGTCTTTGCATGGCCCCCGAGGAAATCGTCCATGATGGAGTCGAAGTCGCTTCGCTGGAGTTGGGGAGCTTCCGAATCGGTTGCACGGCTGTAGCTGGATACCTTTGACATGTTACTTGCGTGGCTGGCGGTGGAGTAACGAGATACGCGAGAGGCTTTCGATAATTGCGAAATCCCAGTGAGACCGGATGCCGAGCTGAGCGCATCATCGAATCTTCCATCATCCTCTTCGTCATCGGGAAACTCATCCAAGGCATAAGCGGATTCCAGTTTGTCAAATCTGTCATCGAGAAGCGTCTGGTGATCGGTCCGGGCTAGAGCGGAAGAAGTCATGGAGTAGTTGGTCGTGGAGGTCTTCGCGCCTTTGCGCTTCTTCTTGCGGCCGGCGGCCAACGAAGATAAGGCGGACGATTCGAGGGTCGAGGGAACAGCACGCACGGCAGGAGCATCGGATGATTTGGCGGCGGATTTGAACTTCTTGAACTCGTCAAACCATGCGCCACCCGTGGGATCAGCGGGCGGTACGGCCTGAGTGTCTTCCGGCGGCTTTGCGGTCTCGCCTTCGGGCAGGTCAAGAGTTGGAGGCGGACTGGATGCGCGGACGGTATCTTCGCTGTCCGATGCAGCGTCGTCCTCTGCTCCCTGATCCCATAACTGTACTCCAATCTCTTCCCATTCCTCCCTGTCATACTCCAGGCCATCGTCAATGAGCTCACCGAAGAAGTCGTCTTCCCCGTCGTCCACGTAAGCTTCATCCTCCAAGGCCTCCAGCATCTCCCGTACCCGCTCGTCCATGTCGGGTTGGAAGCCAGCAATCGCATCGGGAACATCCTGCTGGTCCTGATACGTCTGCTTCTTCACAAATTCGCTTCCGAACATTTCGTCTGGCAATATGCTCCGCATCGACGCAGAGGTGGATGTGGTGTTCCGTGTGCTGACACTGGCAGCATCATCGAACCTTCCATCCACACTGGCGATCTCCATGCTCTGTAACGCATCCTCCAGTTTTTGCTTTCCCTTTCCCTGCTGTTGCTTCGGCTTCGCCGCCTCCACCCACATCACCGGCCCGTCGCCCGTGCCCAAATCACGCATATGCTGCATGTAATCATATTTCGTATCATCGAAGAACACGCCATGCTGCGCCGCCTCGCCCTCATTCGCCCGCACGCCAACCCCAAACTCCTCTTCTAGATCGCCGCGCTGCTGCGTCTTCGCAGATCTGTACACCGCGCTGGAACCCCCCGAAATCACCGACGCAGCGTCGGAGTACATGTAGTCGTCTTCTGTTGGGCGGCGCGGTCTTTGTGTTGCGGTCTTTTCCGCAAACACCATGGAGGGTGCATCTTCGTCGTGAATGAGCGGGTCATTTTGGGCGCGGTGTACGAGGGCGAAGGTGGTGGCGTTCTTCTTGTCGATGAATCTTCGGCGAGGCATTTTGCTTGCTCCTCGCTTTTCGGTGGTACGTGAGAGCAGAGGTGGAGTGGTGGTGGTGGTAGAGAGTGTGATGTGCAGGCCTGGCGCCCATAAAAAAAGTCGAGGCCGAAATCTTGGCGGCGCTGCGTGACGTAAATTTCTAAGCATGTGAATGACTGCGCCGTTTCAATACACATCTTTCCTCTTCCACCAACTCTTCAACATCCTCTGAGGACCTCCAAACTCGAGAAAATGGTTCTCGCAAAGTCGAAAAACGCCGTCGGGCTCGGCAACAGCCTCATGGTAAGCAGCAGGTCCCCTGTGAGTAGGCCGAAAGATCACGCAACTAACGACTCCTCTCCGCACAGAACGACCGCTTCAAATCGGGCAACAGTAACATGCACAAGAGCAGCGCATCGAAGCAAGCGGAGATTACACGCAAAGATCAATTTGGAAACTCCTACATCACCCCGGGCAAGAAGGAAGCCGAATGGACGAAACTGCGCTCTGTCACCGAGCAAGACAGCCTCAATGAATTCCTCTCCACCGCCGAGCTGGCGGGCACCGATTTCACCGCCGAGAAGATGAACAATATCCGCATCATCCATCGCGACCAGAAGAATCCCTACCTCCTCAGCAGAGACGAAGAGAGGGGAGTGATGCGGAAGCAGAATGCGAAGCGTGCACGCTTGACTGTGCCCCGCCGTCCGGCATGGGATGAGCGCACCAGCAAGGACGAGTTGGATCACCGGGAACGCGAGAGCTTGCTGGAGTGGCGGCGCGGACTGGCGGAGTTGCAGGAGAACGACGATCTGCTCATGACGCCGTTCGAGCGCAATCTGGAGGTGTGGAGGCAACTGTGGCGCGTGATTGAACGATGCGACTTGGTGGTGCAGATTGTCGATGCGCGAAATCCTCTTCTGTTCCGCTGTGAGGATTTGGAGCGGTATGTGAAAGAGGTGGACAAGAGGAAGAGGAATCTGCTGTTGGTGAACAAGGCGGATATGATGACGGAGAAACAACGGAAGGTATGGGCGGAATACTTCGTTGAGAAGGGAATCAACTTCCGATTCTTCTCTGCTGAGCTCGCGAGGGAAATGAACGAGGCGAGGTATGAAGACGAGGGCAGTGGAGAGGAAGAGGATGTGGTGCATGCGGATGATGTGGAGGAGGAGATTGATGCTGATGATACGGTCATGGCCAAAGAGGCAGCGAAGGTGGAGCTTCAAGATCAACAAGAGGAGGACGAGCAATGGGTTGATGAGGAGACGTTGGAAGACGAAGACGACGAACCTCCCGAACTAGACGGCGTGCCCATTTCGCTCGAAGAGCAAACCCGCATCCTGACAACCGACGACCTCGAAGCCTTGTTTCTCAAGCATTCCCCCGCCTCACCACCCTCTGATCCGGATTCAGATGAACCTCAACGCAAAACGCAAATCGGCCTGGTTGGCTACCCGAACGTCGGCAAGTCGAGCACCATCAACGCTCTTCTCGGCGCCAAACGAGTCAGCGTCAGCGCAACGCCCGGCAAAACGAAACACTTCCAGACCATTCATCTGAGCGAGAGGGTGATATTGTGCGATTGCCCAGGTTTGGTCTTCCCTAACTTCGCGTCTACCAAGGCTGAGCTGGTGTGCAACGGCGTGTTGCCGATAGATCAGCTTCGTGAGTATACCGGTCCCGCAGCATTGGTGGCGCAGCGGATTCCACAGGCCTTCATTGAAGCCGTGTACGGCCTGCGGATTCTCACCCGACCCGTGGACGAAGGTGGCACTGGCATTCCGACTGGCGAAGAAGTGCTGCGAGCGCTGGCGCGGGCTCGAGGCTACTGGACGCAGGGTGTCGGTGCTCCAGACGAATCGCGGGCGGCAAGGTTACTCCTCAAGGACTACGTCAAGGGCAAGCTGCTCTTCGTGCACCCGCCGTCGGAGCAAACCACCAATGCCAAAGAATTCAATCGCGAGCTGTACGACCTCGCGCATCTCCCGCAAAAGAGGCGGGCCCAGCTTGCCGCGTCCGTGGAGGCGGCGTTGAACGAGTCCACCCACCCGAGTCTGACGGATGATCCTGATATGGTTCCCTTGCCCCTGGTGCAAGGCGCCAAGGGCAAGAACCTGGACACCCAGTTTTTCGCTCCGGGCCAGGGCAATGGGCGAGTGGTCCAGCCGTTCCACTACAAGTATTCGGAGCAGGGGAAGCATCTTTCTGGGCGGAAGCTAAAGACTATGACGGCGCTGGAGCAGGATATAGATCCTGCGGCGGCGCGAGCGGTGAGCAAGAAGCACCACAAGGGGAACAAGCGAGCGGCGAAGCAGACCAAGCCAGCTGTCGCGCAAGGAGACTACGATTGAAGTGCGAGAGCGTGAAATGTCAAACGTCTTCAATTCAACTCGCTGTCGCAGGGTATCTCGCGCATGTTTCACACCTTCCCATCTACGCCTCAAAGTCCCAGAGTCATAAATACATCCCCTCCTCCATCTAACACCCAGGTGCAATCCCCCAAACCGGCGGAACCGCATACACGCCGGCCACAGGATATCCAGCCCCCGGCACACTCCTCAACGGCATCTCCTGATACTTCCCAAACGCCTGCATCAGCTCCTCGAGCGTCCACTCGCGCTCCGGCACCTCCGTCCCCGCATAATTTCCATCCTTATCCCTCGCAAACCACCGCTTGTAATCCCCGCGCGGCAGCTTGAGCGCAGTATACTTATTCTCGTCGGGCGGGGGGGAAAAGCGGGACGAAATGCGGCGCAGGAGGGAGCGCGGGGGCGGGCGAGTGGGCAGGTCGTCGGAGCCGATGCTGGAGGCTCGACGGAAGGGATTAGTGATGCGGATTGGGGCTATGATGATTTCGTCGTCGCAGGGCGGGGTTGTGAGCACCGGGATGATGCGTTCGTGGACTACGGCGCTGCTGAAGGGGCCGCCGATGCTGCGCGTTCGGTAGGTGGCGTTTTGGAGGGGTCGGGTCGGGGTTGGTGTGCGCTGGTGGTGGATGTCTGGGTGGGAGGTGTGAGGGTGTTCGGGTCGGAAGCGATGGAGGAGCGCCATTGTTCTTCGCAAGTAAGATGATGGAGGTGGGCGAGGGATGCGTGAGAGTGCCCTGGATTTATAGCGATGTCTTGGAGTCGGGGCTGAGTGCACGTGAGTCGCTCACAGCCTTGCACTTGCTGGCGGCGCTCAGGGCACGTGGTTGGGCGGATGTGGCGTCTCGCTAGTGTCACCTTGAAGAGTCCCAACAGCCTCGTGTGAGGCGTGCTTGGGCCTCACAGTCACTTCTCGTGGTATGTCAGGTTCCAATCCAAGACAGAAAATTGAAGAGAGACCAGTGACGATATTCCGGATATTCCCCCCGCAGCTGAATTGGAGCGCATTGCTTGCATGTATCTTTGTACTTGCTGCAAGCTTCAAAAGTCGAGCGAGGTGCACACCGCCCCGCGCGAATTAGTGAACAACCACGTCTTACGCTGAGGGAGTGATCTAAATCCGGCTGGTTCCGATAACGTGAGGTGGTTGACTGGCCCAAGCGACAAAACTTGCAGCGGTTGATATCAGCAACTGACAGCACGTGAAAGACGGTGAAGCAAAGGGAAAGCAGACGATTGGCAAACCTCTACATTGCGTCCCACATATACAGAGCATTGACGCCATCCCGTCCAAACCCCAGCAGATCCACCACCGATCCACCGCGGCGCCAATCAATCTCCTGCTGCCATCTACAACTTCGACTTCTCCTTCGACCACTCCCGATCCAGCTGCAGCACGTCCTTGTTCTGCAAGCCATAGCTCTTCGCCATCTCCTCGCCCCGCTTCTTCTGCCATTCCACCTTCTCCAGCAGGAAGGGGCCGCGCTTGTTCTCGTTGCGGCCCAGCTGCAGCAAGTGCACCTCGTCCGGCCCGTCCACAATCCGCATCGTCCGCCCGCTCGCCCACATGCGCGCCAAAGGCGTGTCCTGGCTCACGCCCGCGCCTCCGTACGCCTGCATCGCGCGGTCAATGACCGTCAGCGCCATCTCGGGGATGAGCACCTTCGCCTCGGCGATTTCCTTGAGCGCAAACTTGGCGTCCTTGCTGTCGATCATGATGGCGGCGTTGAGCACTTGCAGGCGCGCCGCGTCGATTTCGATGCGTGAGCGCGCCACTCGCTCCAGCTGGATGCCGTGCTCGTGCAGTTGCTTGCCGAACGGCTTCTTGCGCGGGTCGTTGATGCGCGCGAGGAAGTGCTCGAGCGCCCTCTCCGCCGCGCCGATGGAGCGCATGGCGTGATGGATGCGTCCCGGGCCGAGACGGCCTTGGATGACTTCGAAGCCGCGTCCGGCGCCGAGGATGAGGTTGGAGGCGGGCACGCGCACGTTGGTGAAGGTGACGTGTCCGTGTCCGTGCGGGGCGTCATCGTAGCCCATGACCGACAACATGCGCTCAATCTTCACCCCCGGCGTGTCAAAGGGCACGAGGATGACGCTCTGTTGGCGGTAGACATTTTTGTTGCCCGGATCGCTCTTGGCCATCACAATGTAGATCTGGCAGCGCGGGTCACCCGCACCCGACGACCACCACTTCGCCCCATTCAGCACGTAGTCGTTGCCATCCTTGACCATGGTAAGGCTGATGTTCGTCGCATCCGACGACGCCACATCCGGCTCGGTCATCAGGAACGCACTGCGAATCTTGCCCTCCAGCAGCGGCTTCAACCACCGATCCTTCTGCGCCTGCGTCCCGTACTTCGCAAACACCTCCATGTTGCCCGTGTCCGGGGCGTTGCAGTTCGTCGCCTCCGACGCAATCCCGCTCTTGCCCAAGTACTCCGCCATCAAGCCGTATTCCAGATTGCTGAACCCCGCGCCTTCCTTGAAGTGGTTCTTAGGCAGGAACATGTTCCACAAGCCCAGCTCGCGGGCTCGCTTCTTCAAGTCCTCGAGAATGGGCGGGTGTGCTCTGAAGCGGGCGTCGGGGGTCAACCCGAGCTGTTGGGAGAACACGGCATCGCCGGGGATGCATTCTTCTTCGACGAATTTCTCCACCTGTCACGATGAGTGCATGATTAGCTTCCGATATAGACCGCAGCCGGGAATGGAAATGCATACAATGTCCAGCGTCTTCTTCGCTCGATCGCTGACGAATGGCCGGGCGATGATGGGGATCTTGTCGCTGGCTTTGGGCTGCTTGTCGGTGCCCGCCACGGCCAGGGTCTTGATGCTGTAGGGAACGGACATGATGGCGGCTTCCCAATGATACAATTGAGAGGGGTGGATTATGTTGGAAGGAGAGTGGAGTGTGGAGGGTTGGATTGATGCAGTCAATGACCCGGCCGCTGGCGATGCCTCGGCTCTCGGCCTGGGCGTGGTCGGGAGGCGCTCGGCATTCGTCAGGCCAAACTCTACCACACGCTACCCTTCTATGCACTTCAGACTACAGATCAGATCTGGTTACGAGCAGGCAACAAATAAAGACGATCGAAGCACCCTCCAAGGATCGCATGCTTGCTTACAAGCTTCGTCTCCATACAACACAATTCTCATTCTTAGCAACTACCTCTTCCTCCCACTCTTGGGCTTAGGAAAGTCGGGCGGAACCCTCAGCTTGGCCACACGAGTCGCCGCCGCGACCCCCTTGTTCATAGGCCTGTGCGGATTATGTCGAGTGGCGAACCAGCGGTTCAGATTCTCCTTCTCGCCCTCATTCGGCGGGCCAATCTTGCATCCCAGCTCGCGGTAATACACCATCAGCTCCTTGTTCTCCATCTTCAGATCCTCCTTCAGGTGCGTCATGTCCGTCGCCCAGCCATCGATGTACAGCGTGAGCGCGCAGATGTGCGTGTAGAGGTTGTCCATGTTCCATTTGGGCATTTCATTCTGCGGCGTTGCGAAGCGGCGACGCACAGACGCGACGAGGGCGTCGGGGTAGTCGGAGAGCTTGCTCTGTAACACTTCCTTCTTTGGTACCTTTTTTCCAGCTTTGCCGGCGCTTTGTAAGGCACTGTTAAAGCGAAGTAGGAGATTGATGTAGCTCAGTGCTTTTAGACGAAGCACGTCCTCACTCTTCCCGAGCGCCTCCACACGCTTCGATGGGAAGAGATGGCCGAACCCTGCGATCTCGTCCTCATTACGCGCACCCTCCTGCCATTCTTTGACTGTGACAAGACGGGCATCGGCGGGAGGAATGAGGGTGTCGAATGGGTAGACATCTTCCACTTCCGTCGCATCCAAATCCGGCTGTGGAATAGGTTTGATCTTCAGTGCAGCCTGCAGTCGTTCTTTATCGTCCAGCGTAGGTAATGCCGAGCCAGCCATCATATCAAGGATGGCGTCGCTCACACCATCTTTACCACCGGCACCTGGAGCAATGGCATTGACAGTCTTGGCGTCGATTGCCTTCTTCGCCTTCTTCGTTCCAAATTCGCGGCCGAGCTCCTCGCGCTGTTGGGCAATGGTCCGTCGTTGTTGAGCTTCATCTTTAGGCTCGGAGCGCACGGTACTGCGGAGTCCGAGATGGTGAGCTGGTAGGATTTGAATCTTCTTCGAGACCGGGTCGAAGATGCCCACGTAGTGCGATTGCTCTGCGTCCAGCGGCACGGGGGATGCGGTATAGTCCAGACGCGGATGTTTCGAGGAGTGTAAGAGAAGATCGTGGTTACTCGGCGTTGGAGATGACTTGTTACCAGATCCTGCAGTCAGGGGCTTCGCGTACGCTTCGAAAGGTAGACTCGGCGCCAGAAGGCCTGGAGAGGAGAGGATGACAGGATGTAGGCCGGCATGCTCCTTCCAGCGGATCTTGATCGAGTCGCTGTCGCCGTCTTGGAGAGCGACTTTCTTCGCCGACGACTGAACGCCGTTCGACTGCCGCTTCCTCTTCCGCTGATTATCCTCCGCCATGACTGCAAGGGTGCGAAGCTCTGATCTCCTTACGTCCTCACGGTTCAAGCAAACGCAAGAGCTTCGGTCACAAATTTATGGAAATTTATAAAGCTAGTCCGCATCGGGCAACCAGTGTTGGATGGCCTGTGCACCCGCAGGCTCGAGTCTAATCCCGCGCCTCGGCCTCGTGAACTTCTCTGTCCTTAGCAACGCGACTTCACGACAATACATTGACACTCTGACGCCGGCACCTAGACTACCGCTCGATCAGCTGTCGACTTGATTCCATCCACAACGATCAGTGGCGAAAGTGGATCCCTTTGTCGATTTGCCTGCAGTTCTTCGAATGTCAGGCAAAACGCCAGACACCATGTCAGATTCCGATCTGGACTCACCGAGCGCCCTCGATCAGTTTACGGATCACTTTGCTGCACAAGGACAGAAACTCCTCAACCAGACTTCCTCCCCGGAGCAACGTCAAGATGTATTATCCAGATTTCAAGCCCTCGTCAGCGCACATCCGAAGATCTCGGTATGCCTTGCTTCATTCCACTCCCACCTCTATGGATCTAGCTGACACGGCTCCGCGATAGGCGCTCATCGCACTCAACATCCTAATCACCGGCGTCCCAATCACAGTCTTCTTCTTCTTCGCCATAGGCGTCGCCATCTCCTCCCTAGTCACCGGCCTCTTCATCGCAGTATTCGTAGCAGGCCTATGGACACTAGCATGCGTGGGCATCGCATTCTCCATCCTCGTGCCGACAGTCTGCTTCACCACCTTCATCGCCTTCTCCGTCTTCTTCTGGCTTCTCGTCGCTCTGTACGCCTTCTACGCCGCGAGAGCTGTTTGGCAGTACTTCTCTCTGCCCGCGGAGTCCGCGCCGACAGTCAACGGCACCCCGAAGGGCTCCAACATTGAAGCGTGGCGTGATGAGTTCCGGGGCATCCTTGATGCGGACCGTAAGAATCATGATTTGAAAGGGCCTTTGGGCAATATGAATGGGATGAACGGGTTGAAGCCTTGATGTATGTATTTTTACCTGTGTACTCGATAGATATTATGACCTTTCGCCCTCCGTTTCGTGGTACAAGAAAGTAGAAATGGACTATATAGGCATTTCTCCTGCCATGCATTTTACATATGGTCACAGGCCGAAGAGAACAGGGCATCCCGTCCGATCTGCCGTACTCAAGCTTCGGACTGGTTGAGTAGTACTCAAGTGGGTGACCATTGGGGAATGTCAACTTCCATATGTTTTTGCTTTTGCACTTCTCGCTCTCCATTTTGCATTCTCGTGATTTTTAAGCCACTGTGCATTCTCTTCTCTTTTGCAGTTTCCTATCTCAGACTCGGTTTTCGAAGCGCTCGGCTGGTGGTTCAGACATTCGAGACGATGAAAGGAAAGATGCAGAAATTATCGGACTTAATCTTGTCATGGTCAGCACATCAGGTCATATTACACCCATCTATAAATCTGGCATACTCTTTATCGTCTGTTGGAATCTATCATGATACCCCTCGAGACCTCGACCGGGTATCAAGAGGACATCTCACTTCCCGCCAATATGTCGATCAACAAATCTCAAAACCCTCTCCCCCATATCCACAACATGCCTCTTCTCACGGAGGAAGTGGCCTTCGCGCGGATAAGTGACATACTCAAACGGCAACTTCGCATCCTGCAAAGCCCGCCTGAACGCTCGAGCCTGATCCACTGGCGCAATATTGTCCTGCTCACCATGCAACATCAGCACCGGAGGAATGATTCCCTTCCTCTCCGCCTCCGCAAACTCCCAGATCGCACTTCCTTCCCTCCCAGACACATCCGTCTTGAGAGTCTTCCACGGCGCCTTCCCCGGAAACTCCGCGCCAAAAGACGGCCCGAACAGCGAGCTCGTCGTCCGCGCATCCCAGTCAACCACGCCGTCTTGGGGTATAGCGCCGTTGAACTTCCACCCGTACTCGTGCTGCCCGTTGCGCGTACACGCCAGATATGACAAGTAGCCGCCCTGGCTGAAACCGCTGACAATCAGCCTCTCTCGATCCGCGAAGCCCTGTTCGATCGCGCTGTTCACCAGCTCAATGACATCCGAGTAGTCGTATGAGCCCATCCCGCCTTGAGCATATGATGCGAACGCCTCACCGCGACCGCTCGCGCCCCGGTAGTTCACTGTCAGCACGCCGTAGCCTGTGGTTAGAAGGCAGGGCGACCACATGTACTCTGTCGGGTTGAACTCGTCGAGGTTGCGGTAGTACGGACCGCCGTGAATATACACGAGCGTGGGCAGTGGTTGCTCTGGTTTGCCGTCGGCCGTTACTTGTGCGCCGGAGGGTGCAACAAATAGTCCGTCCAGTCGCACCGGTTCTTCCCCTCTTACCGACTTCGATTGGCACGAAATGTAATGCGGCGTGCCGAAGTGGCGTCCTCTGAATGCCTTTCCGTGATCTGACAGTCTCACCATAGCACCACCCGAGGCAGTGGTGGTGTACACCTCGACAGGCGTATTAGTATCGCCCCGCGCAATGGCCAGAATCATCTCATCGCTGTCGGTAGTGAAAGCCGCATCCCACGCATCAATCTTCGTCTTCTTGCTAAACAGCGTCCGGCCTTGCAGTATGTGCAACTGGCTCTCCATGTCCTTGGCCACTTGGACGATCACGTCCACCCCGGCCTTGCGCAACGCCGCGGCATCGTCGATTTCACCGTGGGCGATTTTACGCATCACCCTCTCGCTTGGAGATGAGTTCAGATTGATGCCCCAGACTACCAAGCCGCTGACGCTGGAATTCGGATTTGGTGGAGCGATGAAGTAGATATCGTCGCCGGCCCAGACGAAGTCGTACGTGTCGCGAGGATAGGTGCAGATGTGGTCGATCTCCTTACCCTCTACGGCGACGGTTGAAATGCCTGTGCCCTGCGTGAAGTGGCTTTCCGGGTCTGGAGTTCCTGTAGAAGCGAATGCGATCGCTGTGCCTTGTCTGTTCCATGAGAACTTGAGGACGTGCGTATCGATATCCACGAGAGTGATGATGGACTTAGTGGGCACGTGAACGAGGCGTAGACGCTGATAAACCCAGTCTTCGCCCCAGACATTAGCATCGTCCTTTACTTGCTCCTTGTCTAGCCGGGCGGAAGACTTCTCGTCGACAGAGATGAAGGCGATATACTCTCCAGTTGAACTCCATTCGATTTGGGCTGTCGCAAGCGGGTGCTCGATGGGCGTTAACAATTCCGGCTCCCTATCTCCTTCTGTTGATTTCAGGTCTAGTACGATAGGCAATGTAGGTCAGCAATGCTGCAGTCTGACAGTATCTCGATCTCCAAGTACCGGGCTACGAACAGATAGCAGAGCTTTGGCCCGGCCTTCCCCGATCTGAAACGAAAGCAATAGCCCTCCCATCCGGCCGCCATTCGGGAGAGTGATCGTTATAAGACCCAGACGTGACAGGGCGAGCGGAACCCTCGACACCCGTCTCCGCCAGCCAAATCGTAGACAGTGGCCGGTCGCCGGCGAAGTGGCCGTGCACGAGGCTTGTGGAGTAGACGATTTGCTGTGCGTTGGGGGAGACTCGGATGTGGGAGGGGAATTTGAGATCGAGGAGCTCCTCGAGGAGCGTCATGTTGATTGACTTTGGTTGTTTTGATAATTGGGTGTGTGACGTTTGAGAGCAAAGCTGAAGTCGCTGTGTGGAGAAGGGCGTGGTTTCAGACCGCATGGCTGTGCTTCAGGCTAGGCTGCCGGTTTCATGCCTTAAGCGGAAAGAACACGTAAGGCTCGTAATAAGAGTAAGACAAACTAAGGCCATGCGAAGGAGTTGCGTTCGTAGAAGTAGTCTTCGAACTACGGCTGATGCTTTCAAACAAATCCCGAGCCTGATCTTCCGCAACTAGAGCAACATCGCAACAACGAACGACAGACACTGCCCAGCCGCAACTCATCCCGACTGCCGACAATCACATCATTACAAGGTAGGAGAGTAGAAGACATCTAGTAAGCTTGGGCCACCACAGAACTCATGGAGATTTCCCGAGCACGTCAGGAGATCGCCCGGCGAGCACACGGTGAATCCAACCCCGTCGCTAGAAGAGATCGCGTCGCCTGCAGCATGTTCGTGAGCATGAAACTCCTTGGTCTCCCCGCGTTTTGAGGTGAATGACTTACCGCAAAAACACTGGTCACCGTATTCCAACCTGTGTCCACAATCAGCAACTCATCTTCCACTCGTACCAGCTCGCAACTCGAGACAACTCACCCAGCATAGTGAAATTCCAAGCCCAAACAATACTTCACGCAATATTCGTTGGTCATGTTGACACTAGTGGTGAAAGCGCCCTGCAATGCCCTCCCATTCGTATTGGGATCGGTAACGCACTTCTGCGCCGTGTACCGCCCAATGAAAGGCTTCTCGATCGGCGCGGTGTAGTTGGGATTGACGTATAGACTCAACGCGTTGCTGCCACCGCACACTTCCGGCTCGGAGCCCATGCAGCGACTTTGGCAGCTGTTGTTGCTCGGTGTAGTGGTGGAGGTCAGGAGCATGCCGGGGCTGTTGATTTGGTTGCCGCAGTAGCCTGTGTTCTATATTAGCTCTGCTGTGTACATCGGGATATGTCGGTCGCCACAGGTTACGTACATTGTGAGGCGAATTCAAGCCCATAGTATTGATAGCCCGGTCCAGCCGAGCAGATTGCCGCGCAAATCTCCAGAGTCATGTTGTTTTGCGTCACGGTGTGTCCTGTCAGTGTGCGGTTTCCCACCTGATCGGAATAGCAGCCCAGATAGTTCGGTCCGAATCCTGCGGCCGGTGTATATGGCTTTGCGTTGCCAGCAGTGTTGGCGTTGCTGCCAAATGCATCGAAATTGGGATTGGTGTTGCGGTAGACGTTGATGTATCCCAGGCCACCGCACAGCTGGACCGGCATCGTGAACTCCGTCAAACTATCACCCGTGATGGTCGCACCGCAATGCCAGGTGCATTCAATCGAGCCGTTCTTCGCCGTCGGGTTGATTGCATTGTCGCAGTGGCACTCTTGCGTGTACTCCACTCCGCTGTAAGTATATCCATTCTGCATGCAGAAATTCTGACACCACTGCACGTCCATGTAGGTGTAGTTGGTGACGGATATCTCATTGAGCGTGCGAATACCGGCAGCACTGTCGTTGAAACAGCCCAGGTATTCTTGCTGAGGCAGGCCAAACTGTTGTCCGTAAGCACTCGGTGACGCTGTAGCCCTCGGGATGGAATTCATTGTCGACGTCACGCTCGGAAGTGGTACACTTTCGGGACAGCTCATGGAAGAAGCTGGTGCTTCATCCGGACCGTAGGTGATGGTGATACAGCCGGGCAACTGATCCAGCAAGCCTTTGACCGGCTCTCCAATCTGTGGTGGGCGCTCGGGGCAATTCACCGCGTATCCGTTTGTGTCGTTGGCATTGAGCACTGGGCAGTTCTGTATCACACCAAACTCGTCTCCCACCAAGCATTGGTCAATCGCTGCCGCTTGCAGAGCCGGGTCCCATCCGTTGAGGAAATCGCCGTGGAAGCCGTAGCCCGTTGGGTCGCCTTGGGAGAACACGAATTGTCCATTTGGCGTCTGGTCGGGCACTTGCTCTACGGCATAGTTTACCTCGAGGAACAAAGTGGGTAGTTGAAAGGGGTAGCCAGGCGGACAAATGCCATCGTCGATCCCGCTCAAGTACGCCACGTGACTGTTGTCGGGCAGGTATAGGTCGACACCGTTCCAGCATGACTGGAAGCAGATTTGTGCGCGCATTCCGTTGGTACAGTTCGTGTCGAACATGTATGGATAGGTTGGAAGTGGTGGGCCATCAGGAAGACACACGAAGCTGACTCGTTCGGCGATGGGCGTTGCAGGATAGGTCTCATTGCCAACGGTGTATGTCTCGTTGTCGTAGCTGCGAGCGCCCTTGTCGCCGGACAGCATCCGAAATCCTTCGGGGTATGGAATGGTGTTGTTTGCGCCGGGTCCACGAGCGAGATAGTATACGACGCTACCGCCGTGCGGCACGTCAATGAAGGAGCCGTTTCCGTAGTCGTAGTACAGGAGAGGGGTCCAGTAGGCGGATTTGTCGCCCTCAATCTCGCAAGAGGTGCACTCGGAATTGACCATGGACTCGAACGTGGAGTTGATGCCAATGTCTGACACGTCAGTCCAGCTACATCCATCCGAACGATTGCTCTAACTTACTGGAGCCACCAGTGATGGTGTGAACATGACCAGAGACCAAGTTGAAATCGACAACCGGATCTATTCGGCCGGTTTGGATGACGGCGCAGTTCATACGCCAGAACGCGTCGACACCGATGAGGAGAAATGGCAGCGCGAGCGCCGCAAGTAGCTTAATGAATGACTGCATACTGCGAAGAGTATGGGGAGGAAGGAAAGAAACGATTGAAAGTGAGATGAAGGAGCGTGGTGGAGTTGAGAAGAGAAAGGGCTGTAGACAGTTCAAGAGGCCATGAAAGAGGGAGGCGGCCAAGAAAATTCCACGATACTCGCGTTCATAACATCGAGGCGCGAGCTGCATGTGGTGTGCAGGCTGATGCTGTGCTTCCTGGACATCTTTGCTTCCCATGCGCCGAACGATGGCGAGCGAGGATGTTGGGGACTATGCCTTGTCGAGTTAGTACTGCAGTGTAGGGCAGTGAGACGATTGAACGCCGTGTCGATCTGCCAGCGCGTAACGCGTGTACAGAGTAACGCGAGGTGGCTGTTAGGGGCAATATCCTGAGGAATGTAGATGGATGTGGCTACTCTGCACGTCTTCAGCATCACATATGTACATATGTGGTCGAAAGAGACCCCTTGACCACCGGCTGGACACTGGTCGTGATCTTCGGAGATAAGCGAGTGATCGGAGATGAAATGAAGATGATGTGCAAGACTCTGGAGATGCAATTGGTGGTCGACGTGGAGTTATGGTTGGAGGATCTTCAAAGGATCTGGCCAGATGCCGCACGCGTGGGAGCCTTTGATTAGTCATCGCTGATCCCGCGTCATGCAATTGCACCCTGCAGTCGTTCCTTCGTAACGCGCCACGCGTGCTGCTGGATGACAACCTCACTGTTTTCGAGGGAAGGGTCGCCGCCAATCGTCTGTCAGCGATCACCAGACGACGTGTGAACCTCCAGCGCTGTCCTCCACCGGTACTGGCATCGGATGCAATGGCGGAGCCTTCAACAACCTCCAAGTCTTCCACCACGGCCACGCAAAGTCGAGAATTGCCACCATCTGCCGCGGTGCGACATCGACTTCCTCAGTCCCAACGCAACGACTCGCATGGATCACAGTCCCCTCGGCCCACGCTCGATCGTCGAAGATCCTCCATGCTCTCGTACTCCAGCATCGAGGATCTCAGCCATGCTCTGACCAACGACATCATCAACCCCAGCATGAGCAGACCACGCACGGCCCGGGATGACGACGAAGTCACACACTGGCACTCCACTCCTCTGGCCTTCGCCATCCTCCCGGCCATCGCGGGCTTGCTGTTCAAGAATGGCTCGCACTTCATCACTGATATCCTGCTGATCGTCTTGGCTGCCATCTTCATGAACTGGAGTATCCGCTTACCCTGGGATTGGTATTACTCCGCGCAGTCGCAACGACGAGACGTCGACCCGGATGACTACGATGCTCCGCTCGAGGACGACAACGACGAAGCAGCAGTGGAGTCGGCATCGTCTGCCGGCACATCTCCCAACCGCTCCGCCCGCCTCGGCGCCATTCTCGAGACCGAGGCAGAAGCGATCTCTGTACAGCAGCAACAGCGTGAAGGAGCAGCCGCTGAATTGAGAAGACAAGAAGTCACAGCGCTCATCGCCACCTTCATCTTCCCCGCAGCCGCAGCATACCTCCTGCACATCATTCGCGCGCAGCTCACGTCTCCATCCTCCACCGGCCTGGTATCAGACTACAACCTCACCATCTTCCTCCTCGCCGCCGAAATCCGGCCCTGCCGCCAACTCATCCGCCTCGCCACAAACCGCACCCTACACCTCCAACGCACCGTCACCAGCCTCCACGACCCCTTCACCGCAGCATCGACCGCAGCTCTCGAAGAAGAGCAAACAGCCATCACCACCCTGACCGCCCGCATCGCCGAGCTCGAAGCGAAAATAACCAACCCCTCCGCCCTCATCCCCCAAAACGGCACCATCGCGCAAAAACAAGACGTCTCCGAACTCTCCACCGAACTGCGCAAACGCTACGAGCCGCGCCTCGACGGCTTAGAACGCGCGGTCCGCCGCTACGAAAAGCGCTCCACCACCCTCGCCATGCTGACAGAGCAACGACTCAACTCCCTCGAGACGCGGCTGCAAGACGCGTTGAGTTTGGCTGCCGCGGCGGCGACGCAATCGCGGCACCGTGGACCTTTCGCTGCGCTGTTGGATACGGTGGCGCTGGTGTTGCTGTGGCCGGTGCAGGTGGCGTGTAGCCTGGCTGTGTCGCCTTTGCGGGTGCTCGATGAGCTTTACGTCAAGCTCAAGGTTCTTTTGTTTGGTTCTTCGGCGGCACGGGGAGGGAGGTCAAGTTCAACGAAGACGAAGAGTGCGAGGGAGGATGTGAAAGCGAAGACTGTCACGAGGAAGAATGTACGGTGATCTGCTTTTGAGCAGGCTGGTCTCCCTTTGCTATGATACCCCCTCACGTTCGCCTATAGAATGGTTGGGGCCGGAATGATGGAGAGTATCCCTGGATATCTATACACTAACGACACGCCATGGAAAGAAGGACACTCCAAAAGATCCGAACGATGTCGTGACCATACAAAGTTGCATATTGCAGGTGATATACATGTTAGCGAACGACACCCTCAATAGATAAACAACTTCCCCATCACCGCCCATCCACCCCAGACACAAGCTCAATACACCCCTGCAAACACTCCTGCATCTCCGCCAAATGCCGCTTGAGCTCGCGATTCTCCCCCCGCAAAGCATCAACAGTCGCCCACGCTGCGCCCTCGCGGCCCAATCGCTGCACAGCCACGCGTCCACTGCCCGCCGCTGCTACAGCCTTCGCCGCATTGGCTTGGTGCGTGTTGATTTGCAGCCTGGACTCGAAGCTCGTCATGCGCGATATGCTGGGGGCGATGATGAGGGTGGGTGTGATGGGGGATTCCGGGGTGGGGGACGCGAGGCTGGAGGAGGAGAAGATGGAGTCGATGTCGGATTCGAAGCCGCTGTCGCTTGCGGTGCTGCTGGAGGGGCGCTTGCGTCGTCTTTCAGAGGTTGTAGGCTCGTCGACGTGGTCTGCGTCGTTGGGTGGGCCGTCGTTTGCGGTTGAGGTGGACGGGGAGACTAGGCGGATGGTGTTGGCTGCTGCTTCGCGCGCTTCCATGGCTGTCACCTTCTCCTCTGCCTCGAGACTCTTCATTCTTTCCTCTGCTAGCTCGCGAGCCATCTCCTTTAGCGTGTTTTCTTGTTCCTGCGCGCGCCGACTCATGTCTTCGAGCTGCGTCTTCAGATGCGTTGCGCGCGTCTCTGCTTCCTCGACTTCGTCTTGTTGCGCCTCTTGCTCGGGGCGGATGGAGGCGATGTAGTCGACCTTCTCGCGGTATGCGGTTTGCATGCGGTGGAGGAGGTTGGTGGCGTTAAGCAGGAGGTTGTTGAATGCGGTTGGGTCGAGGGGATCGACGGTTCCGTGGGGGAAGAGGGCGGAGTTGATGTTGAGAGTGGCCAGCTCGTCTGAGGGTTCTTTGGTGGGGATGGGGTTTGCTGTCTTGCGAGTGAACCAGGAGGAGGATGGCTTGGAGAGCGCGACAGGTGGCGCAGGGGATTGATCGATGGTCTCTCGTCGCCGTAGCAGGCCAGGCCGAGTGGTGAAGGCAGATCTGTAGTCCATGATGATTTCGCTCTCCTCCTTCTCTTTGATGGGAGACTGGGGAGCGCCGAGCCTGATGGGTGCGGATTGGCCGTGGAAGAGATCGCCAAAGATCTTGTTCGGCGCGGAGTGAGTCTTTTCTGGCGGCGGTGTGGTGGTAGGCGTGAGTCGGGGAACGAAGGCGGCGAGTGCCTTTGCGCGCGAGTGCAAAAGACTGCCCTTCCGGGTCAGAGCAGCGACAGCAGCGGGCTGAGGGTTGGACAAGGAAGACGACGAGGTCGAGGCGGCGGTAGGGCGGAGGGGGATGAGGGCAGTAGGTGGAGCGGTGATATGATTGTCGATAAGGCCCGTTGCGGCGCGTAGATCATCGTGAGAGTTTCGTGCTAGATCGACTAATCGCACGCCATGCTCATGTTGGTGGTCCGGAGGGTTGTGATCGCGCGAGGCTGCAGCGGGGCCGTGGGGCTGAAGATTGCGGACATGGCCAGATTGGGCGGAGGGCATGGTAGGCGTGAGGAAGGATTGCGTGCGGGATTGGTGGAGATGTTAGATGACAGTCCGCCGGCGTATCCGTGGTGTAATTTGCTTGGAGCCGGGAGAGATGGAGATGAGGTGGGTTGGTGAGGGAAGTCGCGGGCGACGATGTGTTTGGGCAGTCGCTCTTTCCCTCACAGCACCAATGCCAGCACAAGAAGCACGAGGTGGCGACAACGTGGACTGTTGAGCCGTCGGAACGGTCTGTGTCACACCAGCTGTCTCGCGAGCACTGCAGCAGAGTGACAGGGCTTGGTGCAATGCGGAAGATTGCACTGACGCACGGTCGGAGGCAGCGGAGATTTGATGGAGCGATCCCGACCCGAAGTAGCACGACACCTGTTCCCGCCGGAGTGACGTTGCAATTTGCTCTCAAGTCTGGCGCCGGAACAGACGATGATGGAACGAAGAATACAGCGAAGGAGAATTTCGAGTATTCTAGGAGGAAAGAGGCGGGAAGCGAAGGGAGAAAGTGGCGATGCGTGGTATAGGTAGGGAAATGCCGGTGGCTGCGACAAGGCTGGCTTCGCTGGCTGGGTTGGCTGGGATGGCGTTCGCTTGACTTTCCCACTCTGGTACCGACCGCCCTCGCTCCCACTGAAGCACTGGCCCACCATACGAACAATAATTACAGCATGTCCATCCCATGGTCACTGACAACCACGGACAGACAAACGTGTCCAAATCCAAAACTCTCCGATGCACACACGTTTCCTCCATTGGCCATGCTCGGCGTGGTCCAGTGACCCTTCGCCCATGCTCAACAGTGCTACCAGCGCTCGATCCGAGTTGCCTGAGGCACAATGCTGTACTCCTGTTTCGAGCGCACCAACACCCATCGATTTCCATTGTTCCCCTCAATGAGAAGGTCATAGGATGTGCTAAACGCAACTTAGAACTGCGAGGGTGGAGGAGATTTGGAGAGTTCAACGACTCTTTGCTCCGGTAACAAAAGCGTGCGCTCGAGTGGAAGTTGCAGCCAATCAAAGCACGCCAGGGTCCTGCCCCTCCTTCCCTCTTCGTCCAGGCCCACAAACCCCAGAGAAAGCACCGTAGGCCCGGAAAATCAGCTCGACCACATCACCCTTCCTCAACCACCACCCCTCTACCACTCTTCCACTCATCTTCTGACCCCTCCATCATCTCACATTTGCCAATTCACCGGCATCCCCACATCCAAAGCCTCACCCACTTCTTCTCCCCCTCAACCGCAAATATGAAAGCAGGTGCGGGGCAATCTCCGTCCACAAACAAATTGCATTGCTGATTGTAGCAGTCGTTGCTGGAGCTTCCGGTGGCATTGGCCAGGTATGAGACATCATCACTTCACTTGTGGCCCTTCATTCGCTAAGACTTCTGCCCCCCAGCCGCTGTCTCTCCTCCTCAAGGCCTGCAAAGAGGTCGACCACCTCTCCCTCTACGATGTTGTCAACACTCCCGGTGTTACCGCCGATCTGTCCCACATCTCCTCCGTCGCCAAAATCGAAGGCTACCTCCCCGCCGATGATGGAATGAAGAAGGCGTTTACGGGAGCCGACATTGTCGTCATCCCCGCCGGCATTCCCCGTGCGTATTAGCAACAAGAGTATTGCCAGACACAAGTCATACTGAGAACACCCCACAGGCAAGCCTGGCATGACCCGTGATGACCTGTTCAAGATCAACGCTGGCATCGTTCAGGGCCTCATCCAGGGCGTCGCCGACTACTGCCCCAACGCATACGTCCTCGTCATCTCCAACCCCGTCAACTCCACCGTCCCCATTGCCGCTGAGGTCCTCACCAAGGCCGGCAAGTTCAACCCCAAGAAGCTCTTCGGTGTCACCACCCTCGATGTCGTCCGTGCCGAGACTTTCGTCCAGAGCATCACTGGCGCCCGCGACCCCGCTGAGACTGTCATTCCCGTCATTGGTGGCCACAGCGGAGAGACCATCGTCCCCTTGTTCTCCCAGGCCAAGCCTGCCGTCAAGATTCCGGAAGACAAGCTTGAGGAGCTGACCAAGCGTAGGTCCAACACTAACTCCACCTTTCAAGCTCAAACGCTAACATTCTCCATCCACAGGTGTCCAATTCGGTGGTGATGAAGTCGTCAAGGCCAAGGACGGTGCTGGTTCTGCCACCCTCTCCATGGCATACGCCGGCTACCGCTTCGCCGAGCGCGTCATGCAAGCCGCCAAGGGCAAGACGGGCATCGTCGAGCCAACCTTCGTCTACCTGCCCGGCATCGAGGGCGGTGACGCGATCGCCAAGGAGACCGGCTGCGACTACTTCTCCGTCCCCGTGGAGCTGGGTACCGACGGTGCCAAGAAGGCCGTCAACATCCTCGGGTCCGCCAACGCCTACGAGAAGAAGCTCATCGAGAAGTGCGTCGAGGACCTCAAGGGCAACATTGCGAAGGGTGTGGAATTCGTCAAGAACCCCCCGAAGAAGGAGGAGAAGAAGTAAGAGATCCTCTTCATGCGTCAATCATGCTGGTCTGGTATTCTAACATATTGGTATCTAGGTAAATGCTGACTTCCCTCCGACCACCGATCGCCCAATGCATCTGCGGCAGGGTTGCGGGCATCGTCATTAAGCTGTATAGACGGCCCCCTCGACAAGGCATAGCTAGAAGAAAGACGCGACTCGTATGAGACGCTTCTCAGGCTCGTCTTCCTCGCTACATCTCCATGGCCTCAAGTTTCTGTGTCTCTTTCGATGGTTGACTGTGAGTGTGGTTGCTCGAGGCCGGCCTGAAGTCCTCTGCCACTTGCTCCATGACCGCCCTGATGTCGTATACCCGGCGACTACCTCGACCGATGATTCGTCAAATTTGGTCCATATACGCTCCTCACGCATTCGCCCCTTTCGTCTTGATTTGAAACGTCGCAGTCGGCAGCTCCGTCGACTCGGCCGTCACGCTCGCCGTAATGCCCAGCCCCGCCAGCGCGCCTCTTATAACGCCACAAGGGAAGTAAAGAGACTACACCATCTCAACATTAGCAACCCACAACTTGAAAGCCAGGAAAAGCAAGTACCCACCAGCTGCGCCCGGCTCAACGCCTCTTCCAACGCTTTCGGCCCTGCGCGCTTATCCACGCTCATGCGACTGAGCGCCTGGAAGCGCTGGTCGGTCAGCACAAAGATGCCGCGGTGGTTGGTTTTGAGGTTGTCGATTTGCTTGCGGAAGACGAGCTGCCACAGGTCTTTGCACACGAATTTGATGCAGTCGAGGGGCGTTTGCGGGCGGGGTTTGTTGGCGGAGAAGCTGTGAAGCGTTTCTCGATTAGTATTTGGGAAAGGTTGACCTCCTACTGAGGGCGTGCGGAAGGGAAAGGGAGGGGGCACATACCGCTCGACTAGCCCTTGTCCCACTCTGTAGCCTAGGCTGTCAAGTCGCCAGAACATGCCTTCGCGCGCTTGCTCGTCTACGATGGGGAAGCCTATACTCGTCACCTCTGCCTTTGTATCCTTCGCTGCAGAGGGAGGGGAAGCAACATCGGCCCCATCTGTCGCACTCGTCGAGGTTGTCTTGTCGCTTGATGATGATGATGCGGTGTTGTTGGTGAAGATCTTGCTGCGCCGGTACTCCTCCATCAACACCTTTTCACGCGCCTGCACTTGCTCTGTGATCCTTTGGGCTAGTGGGACGAGCTCGATGAGGAGGAAGTCGAGGGCGGCGGCGTTGGCTTTGGGGTTTTGCGCGTCGTCTGTGTCGAGGGAGGGGGAGAGTTTGGACATGGTGAGGGCGTGGGTGGGGGGTGAGTCGAGGGCTTAGATTTGCTATAGCTTCATCTGGGAATGGAGTCGCTGTCGTGTACGCTGCTGGGCACAATGCATTGTCGAGGCTCTCTTGGGAGATTGGAGAGGCGTGCCATGCGCATGTGAATGTCGTCGGACAATAAAGCGGGTCCGAGCTTCCTCTCTGATAAAACATCACTCGGCGCCTGTCACGAACGTCACTCCTTCTACACACGATCTGTTCCACCTCGACTGTCACCTTGGGAGTCCTCACCGGTTCCGAGCTACACAGTCATCGCGTCTTTGCCACAATGTAACACCGGCCGATGCTGCAGGGTCATCAGGATGGCCGTATCTTTCCATGTCAACGTCAATCCCTCCCCCTCTTTCTTTCCCATCTCCACTCCCCGACTTCCCCCACGAAAGCGGTAAGTTGCAGTTACATCACTCCGAACCTTCTCTGCGCAGCCCGACAGATATCTTGAGCACGCGGGCTGCTGGAACCTTTCCTCGTCATGCCTTCGCATATTGTAAGTGACAATGCATCTTTTGCTACTCTTCGCCCTCTACTTTTCTTTTGCCCTCGGTAGTAGTCAAGATGTCGGGGCTCGCAACTACGAGTACATAAACCCCTTCATTGGCGCGGCGCATGGTGGTAATGTCTTTGCTGGCGCTTCCTTGCCTTTCAGCATGGCAAAGGCCGTGGCTGATACGGCGCGAGATGATACGGGGGGTTTCGCGTTTGCAAGAACAAACATCACTGGCTTCAGTGCGCAGCATGATTCTGGAACTGGCGGGTGAGCAGACTAACAACATCCATGTTGCGTTGGAGCAACAAATTACTGAGACTTTCGATCGATGTAGAAATCCTAGTCAGGGAATGTTCCCTCTTTCGGTAAGAGACCTGTCTGTCTATACCTAAACTATGGCAAAAAACTGATCAAGTCTCTTCATCTACAGGTCCAGCCATCCTGCCCGGGCGACCTCCTAGACAATTGTAAATTTGGTTCGAAATACGAACGTGGCGTATATTACAAAAAAGGCTCGCCGACCGCCAAACCAGGCTACTTCTCCATCAGCCTCGACAGCGGCGTCGATGTCGAAACCACAGTTACAGAGCACACAGCGCTGTGGAACTTCAACTTTGTGCCAAACGCAACGATAGGACAGAACATCTCGCCCATCTTCCTGCTTGATCTTGACGATTTGCAAAATTCCAGACAGAACGCTACCGTGAGTGTCGATCCGACGACCGGGAGAATCAGCGGCAATGGAACCTTCTTACCCAGTTTTGGGGTGGGCAGCTACATGTCCTATTTTTGTGCGGACTTCAAGGGAGCCAGCATCCGCGATACGGGTGTGTACGTCAATGCTCGAGCTGGTATGGAGCCGAAGGAGCTTTTCGTCAACCGAGGCTACAGCCTGTTCTTCATCGAAGCGGGCGGCTTCGTGCGATTTCACAAACCCAGCAGTGGCCTTATTCAGGCCAGGGTTGGAGTCAGCTTCTTGAGCACCGAGCAGGCTTGCCAAAATGCGGAAACAGAGATTGGCGACTGGGACTTTGACCGAGTCAGGACGAATGCGGAGAATGCCTGGAAGGAGAAGATGAGCGTGGTGTCCATCGAGCCGGGCGGTGCGAACAAGTCGATTCAACAGACGTTCTTCAGCGGCATCTATCGAACGATGATGAGCCCGCAGAATTACACCCTCGACAATCCAATCGTCAACGGCTCGCAGCTTTACTTTGACAGCTACTACTGCACCTGGGACAGCTTCCGCACCGACTTTCCGTTTCTGACCATCTTCGACCCATCGACAATGTCCCAGCTGATCACCAGCTATCTCAACATCTACAAGGCGCTGGGGTGGTTACCTGACTGCCGCATGCAGTTGTGCAAGGGCTATTCGCAAGGCGGATCCAATGCCGACAATGTCATTGCGGATGCATACGTCAAGAATCTGACTGGAATCGACTGGGACCTAGCATACGAGGCAATCCAAAACGACGCCGAGAACGAGCCCTTCGACTGGGGCGTGGAAGGACGAGGAGGCTTGCAGAGCTGGAAACGTCTGGGCTACATTCCATACGAAGACTACGACTATCTCGGCTTCGGCCCCGACTACCACAGCATCTCGCGCACGCTGGAGTACGCATACAACGACTTCTGCATCTCCACGCTCGCCAAGGGGCTCGGCAAGATGGCCGACTACGAGCAATACCTGCAAGCCTCGGGCAACTGGTACAACCTCTTCAAACCCAACCAAACCTCCTATCTCTTCGGCAACGACACGGGCTTCACTGGCTTCCTGCAACCGCGCTATTTAAACGGCACCTGGCGCTACCAGAACCCCATCGTGTGCTCGCCCATTGACGAGTTCTGCTCCTACTCCGAAAACCCCATGGCGACCTTTGAAGACAGCATTTGGGAATATACCTTCTTCGTCCCGCAGGACCAGGCGAAACTCGTCGCCGCTCTTGGTGGACCTGACACGTTCGTCCGTCGTCTTGATTACTTGCATGAACACGGGCTTCTCGATATCGGGAACGAGCCTTCGGAGCTTGTCGTGTTTCAATATCACTACGCCGGCCGGCCGGGCCTTTCGTCTCGTCGCTTGCACACCTACATTCCCAGCTACTTCAACTCCACTGTTGAAGGGCTACCAGGCAACGACGACAGCGGCGCCTCGGGCTCCTTCGTCGCGCTCGCCATGTCGGGAACATTCCCCGTAGCGGGCCAGAGCGTGTACTTGCTCGTGCCCCCCTTCTTCGAGAGCGTGAGCTACACCAACGCCATCACAAACAAGACGTCCACCATCCGCAACATCAACTTCGACCCGGAGTACGTCAACATCTACATCCAAAACGCCACGCTGAACGGCGAGCCGTACACGAAGAACTGGATCTCGCACGACTTCTACCTGCAGGGGTGGACGCTGGAATTCACGCTGGGGCCGACGGAGAGCGAGTGGGGCACGCAGATGGCAGATTTGCCGCCGTCGACTTCGGCGGGGCAACAGGAGGCGTATCATATGGCGGGGGCAATGCTATGATTTGATGAAGACACGCCGCTACAAACTAAACCTCGTGCGCACCTTTTCGTCGTGCGCTTTCCATTCCCATTCCTGCCCGCTCGCGCGTTGAATGCCTCGATCCACGCGCCGCAACTTGAGCGTGAAGCGCGGCCCGAGTTCCTGCAGGCCTGCGCGGATCTCTTCGACGCCTTTCATCGGCTTGCCGTCTGCGCCTTGGATGCTCTTCTCCGTGCCGCGCTTGTCGCGGAAGACGTAGCGGTGGCGCCGGAAGAAGACGTAGTCGCGCTGGTTGTGCAGTGTCACTACTTGTCTGCCTTGCACTTCTGGCCGTTGCGGGAAGAGGGATTTGAATAGATGGGCGGTGAGGAGACCAAGGGGCGTGCGGAAGCCGTTGAGGATGAGTTCGGGGTAGTGGTTGGTGGGATTCCCATGGCCGGGGATCTTCTTCCCCTCCACCCAGTTGGAAATGGTAAAGTGAAACATCGGCCCATCGGGGAGGTGCACGATGTCCAAGCGCTTCGGCTTCTTCGCCTCCTCGCTAATCACCACGACGTTGGTGTAGTCGCGCGCGGCCGCGTACTTGCAGATCTCGCGCACAGAGTACTTGTAGCTGTGGAAGTGCGCGGTGCGCCGGATGTACTCGCTGTGCGGGAAGATGCTGGTCAGCAGCTCGGCTTCCCAGTGGATGGTGGCGTTGATGGAGGTGGTAATGAGGACTTTGGGCTCTTTGGCGGCGGCGGGGTCGAAGAGGGTGGGGAAGCGTTGGATGAGGGCTTCGGGGGTGAGGTTGATGTCGGTGGCGGTGGAGGGGGCTTCGCTGGGTGCGCGGGAGGGGATGTCGGTGGGTTTGGTGGTGGAGTCTTGCTCTGCGTCGGAGTGTTCGGAGTCGGAGTCTAACATGCTGTCCACATCGTCGTTGTCTGCTTCTTCTCGCCCGGCCTCCTCTCCTTCAGCACCTGCCGTGTCTCCGAGTAGACTCGCCGGCACATCATCATCAATCTTGCGCCGCTTGGGATTCAAGACATCCACACTCAAACCGAGTCCTCCTCCCGCATGCTCCTCCACATCACCCTCATCCCACGTCCGCTTCGCGTCAATGGTGGCGGGGACATTCTTCGCGCGCCTCTCCTCGCGCAACTTGGGGTTCTTGTCCTCCGTCCGTCTCCGGCGTAACCGCGCATCTCGTTTGCTGCTCTCCTTCTCTTTCTTGAGTTTGAGCAGCTGCTCATGCCGCTTCTGCTTGTTGGGGATCTTGTGTGCATTTACGGGAGCCATTTTTGGCGGCTCTCCAAATATCCGCGGTGTGTGTGGGATGTGTCGACAATGTCGATCATGTGCAGAGATGCAGAGACATCTTTTTTTACTGCCGGGCGGTGAGTCCCCGCAGCCTTTCCCAAATTCCCGTCAGGTGGACCGTGCGCGTGTCACGGGTCTGGACTCCCTCTCGTAAGAGCGTTCGACACCGAAGATCACAATAGACAGAAAACAGCCATCCACCAAAATGCTCCAACTCGACTCCTCTCCAGCACTTCTGGTCATCGACATGCAAAACGGCTTCTGTCACAGACAAGGTAGCTTCGCCAAGCTGGGCATTCCAACCGACCCGACAGCCATTGTACCGCGCATCAACGAGCTGCGCTCCGCCTTTCGCGCCGCCAATCTTCCCGTTTTCTTCCTGAGGACAACATACAGTGCGGACTACTCGGACCGACGGGCCCGCGATCGCGCAGATCGGCTAGAAGAATTACAAGGTCTCATGCGTGGGACCTGGGATGCGGACATGCTCGACGAACTCACGCCCAGGCCTGACGAGAACGTCGTCGACAAAACGCGGAGGTCGGGTTTCCTAAGGACAACGCTAGAAAACACGCTAAAAGAGCGCGGAATTAACCATGTAGTTGTGACGGGAGTAGGGACGGATGTATGTGTCGAGACGACGGCGAGAGATGCCTTTCAGCTAGACTTTGGCGTGACTACCGTGAGTGATGCGAGCGGGACAGTTGACGAGTCCGACCATTTAGCTGCTCTCCACGCTCTACGCAATTTTGGCGGAACGGCGTGGACGGCGGAAGTGATGGAAGCTTTGCAAGAGTTATCCCAAAAGAAGTCGTCGTAGCATTCCTGTGTAGAGTCCTGTTGCCATAGGCAAATGAGGGGGAAGTGGAGGGGAGTAGAGAGGAAGGGGAGGGGAAGTGGTTAGAAGAGAATATGGTGAGGGTGGGTTAGAGAGGGGCAATTTAAATTTAGAGAGGGGACGGCGAGGACATTCTAATCACTCGTCTCGGCGGCCTACCATGAAGGGTACGGGGGAGGGAGAAGAGAGGACATCTTCGTGATTAGACGGACCCCTCCTCTTCGCCGCCCGGGACCGGGCATCTCGAGGGTTTTGTCTCATCACGAAGACGAGAGGGGTGGCCAAAGGGGCCTAGCTCGCGGGGTGATTCGGAAGGGGCGGGTATGGGAGGGAGTGGTGGTGGTAACGAGGACGAGGGCGAGTGATTACAGGAAGGAGGAGTTTGGGGGACATAAATGATTTGGAGACCGGGGCGGTCCTGAAATCCCAAAATGATTTGGGGACCGGGGCGGTCCTGAAATCCCAAACTTTAAATCCCCTCAAACCTTAAATTGTTAGCGCGCGACAGCTGCCTTATGCGAGCACTGCACCGTAATAAATTTCGAGCTGGCAAAGGCTGGCCCACGAGTTTCATCTCAGATACTACACTTCCACTCAACAAAAGCCAATTCCCTCGTCCCGTCCGGTCAGCGCAGATCTTGGTATCTCGACTCGTCTGTACCGGCCATTCGTGCGATCCTGTTGCCCGTGGCGTCAACGGAAATTCTCCCCTGAGCCATTGACTCACGGACTGGTTCATGCCCATCCAGCCTCGACGAGTCATTGGCCGTGTATTCAAGACCACCTCTTCCACTCTCCTCCTATCTGGCCCATCTTCCCCCTCGAGAACATCCATACTCTGCGCCGCCACTCACCCTTTCCACACCGCCTCTCCACTCCACAGATTCCAGACTCCCATCCGCACCAGGGACCGCGGCACCCCCGCCATCATGGCCCCCGAATACAAGACGACCAAAGGCCAGGACTTCGACCGCCCGGCCTTTGAATCCCTACTCAAGCGCAAAAACTTCCTATGGCAGTCCTTTGAGCCCTACGGCGCCGTCAAGGGCCTCTTCGATTATGGCCCTCCGCTCGAGACGCTCGAGGCCGAAGTCATCAACATCTGGCGCGACCACTTCATCCGGACGGAGAAGATGATGGGCTTGAAAGTGTCCATGCTGACCCCCTACGCCGTCCTCAAGACCTCCGGCCACGTCGACAAGTTTGCCGATTTCATGTGCAAGGATCCCAAGAACGGCGAGATCCTGCGCACCGATCATCTCATCAAGGACGTCATTGAGTCGCGCCTGAAGTCGGATCGGGAAGCGCGTGGCGAGAAGGTCAACGAGGAGGAGGATGATCCCACGAAGAAAAAGAAGAGGCAGATCAAGGCCTCCAAGACGGCCGTCAAGCTGGACGATGCGGTACGGCAGGAGTACGAGCATCTGCTGGCCACCCTCGACGATTGCACTGGCGACGACTTTGCCGCTCTCATCAAAAAGCACGACATTCGAAATCCCTCCACCGGCAACGAAGTCGAGCCGCCCGTGTCCGTTAACCTCATGTTCCAGACTCAAATCGGCGCGACTGGCAAAGAACCTGCTTTCTTGCGTCCCGAGACCGCCCAGGGCCAATTCCTCGCCTTCCAAAAACTGCTCGAATTCAGCGACGACAAACTCCCCTTCGCCTCTGCATGTATCGGCTACTCCTTCCGCAATGAACTCTCCCCCCGTTCCGGCCTGCTGCGAGTCCGCGAATTCCTCATGGCGGAAATCGAGCATTTCGTCGACCCAGCTGGCGGCAAAAAGCATGCCAAGTTTGCATCCGTGCGGGACATCAAAATGCCCCTGCTCTCACGCCAGACACAAACCGCCGGCGGCTCCGAACCCACAATCATCACCATCGGCGAAGCAGTCGACACCAAGCTCGTCGACAACGAAACGCTCGGCTACTTCCTCGTGCGCATCATGCTGTTCATGGAGAAGATCGGCATCGACATGGCCAAGCTGCGCTTCCGCCAGCACATGCAGAACGAAATGGCGCACTACGCCGCCGACTGCTGGGACTGCGAACTGCTCAACTCCTACGGCTGGATTGAGTGTGTGGGCTGCGCAGACCGTAGCGCCTACGATCTGAGCGTACATATGAAGGCCACGGGCGTGCCGCTGCAGGTGCGTGAGCCGCTCAAGGAACCCATTCGAGTGGAGGAGTTCCAAGCGCAACTCGACAAGAAGAAGTCGGGCCCGCACTTCAAGAAGGACGTGGGTAAGGTGCAGGAAGCGCTCGACGCGCTATCGCAGGACGTGCGCGAGAAGCTGTCCATCTCCATGAAGTCAGAGGGCAAGGTCGTCGTGGACGTCCCGGCGGTCGCGGGCGGTAAGGTGGAGCTCACGAAGGACTTGGTCAGCTTCGACAAGGAGAGCAAAGTGGTGTCGATGCGCGAATACATCCCCAATGTCATCGAGCCCTCCTTCGGCATCGGTCGCATCCTCTACTCCCTCATGGAGCACGTCTACTGGACGCGAGAAGGCGACGCAGCGCGATCCGTGAGTTCCGCCCACCTCGACTCCCCTCTCCACAACACACTAACTAACACGCATCGCAGGTCATGTCCTTCAAACCAACAGTAGCCCCCATCAAAGTCCTCGTCGTCCCCCTGCAAAAAGACACCCGCTTCGCCACCCTGCTCGCCCACCTCGAAGAGCGCCTCGACGACGCCCAGCTCTCCTTCCGCCTCGACCAGTCCGGCGTCAGCATTGGCAAGCGGTACTCGCGCAACGACGAGCTCGGCATTCCCTTTGGCATCACCGTCGACTACGAGAGTTTGGAGGACAACTCGTTCACGCTGCGCGATCGCGATTCGACGAAGCAGGTGCGGGCGCCGCTCGAGGACATTTTGGAGGCGGTGAGTCGGATGGTCAAAGGGAAGGAGACGTGGGCGGAGGTGCAGAGAAGGTTGCCTGCTTTTGAGGGCAAGGAGGAGTAGAGGCGGTGATGTTGAATGGGGCTGGTTGAAGTGATCATGAGGAGGGGTGTGAAGGAACATGAAAAGCCATTCGGCATCCTCTCATCCAATATCATAACTTCGCTACAAAGACTATGGACGGGAAAAAAACACAATCATAATCATTCTTTTTGCGCCTCATCTCCACGCCCGTGCCATACACTCATGGTTTCAAACAAAAAGGCGTTGTCCTTAAAGCAAAACCCCAATACGTTCCATCACATCACCACACACCGATCCTCCGCATCCTTCGCATTCGCCTCCTTGGTATACCCCGCCGCCGCATTCGCCTCCTTCAGCCGCGCCGTAGACCGCGCCTGCGCACTGCGCGGATGATGCCCGGGACTCAATCCCCCCTGCCCAATCAGCGACCTCTGCACGGGATTCCCAAACCCAATCTGGTTCGTGCGCTGCGCAGTCATAGGCGACCAGCCAGCGCCAATCTGGCTTTCGCGGCGCAAGCGGTTCGGCGTGCCGCCGCTTGTCGTAGCCCGGCGGGGATTCGGCGGGTGGGAGGAGAGGGTGTAAGGCGGGGAGGAGGGGCCTGCTTGCGCGAAGGTGGGTAGGTCGCTGGTGCTGCTTTGCTGCTGCTGCTGCGTTGTGTAGGCGGATTGTTGGCGGCGGAGGGCGTCGTAGGCGCCTATTGCGTTGCCTTGGGCGGGGGCGGCGGTCGAGCCGGCGGGGCGGTAGGGGAGGTCCGAGGCGGCTTGTTCGTAGGAGGGAGGGGCGTCGGGGTCGGAGGGGTTGTCGGATGGGCGGTTGACGGGGGGTGGAGCGGTGGGGGATGGGGTGGCGGTGGAGTTTCTGGCTTGGCCGCTTCGACGGGGTGGGATGGGGGGCCGGGGACCCTCGCTTTCGTTGCTGATGTATTGCTCTGAGAGCTCTTGTTCGCGTTGTCGGCGCTCGGCTGCTTGTCGGTGTTGGTGCTCTTCTTCCTCCTGTAGTTGCAGGGCGAGAGCAAGGTCGTGGTCTTCTTGCTCGGCAGCTTTCCTTTGCTCTGGACTTAGCGGAATCGAGACGTCGTCGTCATGTGCATGAGTCGGCCGTGGGCCCGGCAACGGCGGAGGAGAAGGCGAGTTGGCTCCTTTGGAGCTCTGACGCTTGCTTCGGCTTGGTACTGTTGTCCAGCCCTCCTCTCCGCCGCCGGAATTCCCTTGGTTCAGCCGGACGTCCCGGCCATGACTGACGAGTCGGAAATCCCCGCTGAACATTTCACTCGCCGCACCATTGACATCCACTAAACTCTCCCACACAATCTCATCGTGGCCGGCGTATCCCGCGTCCGTGACCAAGGTCATCAACGCACCGTGGTTCGGTTCCTTATACAAGGTACTGAAGTGATCATTTCGGAAGAGAATCGCCACCTGCCCAGGTCGTAAGCTCTTCGACATCGTCTCCAAGCCGTAGTCAGTCAGCTGTGTCGGCCAAGTGTTGAGAAACGATTTGATGACGTGAATGTCCTCCAAAGTCTGCGTCTCCTGAGCCGAGAGGCCCTCGCTTCGCATCTTCTCCTCGAGATCCGACTCCATGAATTGAATGTTCTGCGCATCTTCGAAAGTCTGTGCGGAACGAAGGAAGGCTTCGTATGCCGGAGTATCGGTCGGCGCCGTCCAACCATGAATGAGAGGGATGTTGAACGTGCTGTAGAGCCTCATTTCCATGGTCTCTTCGAACGCACCAGTCTTGTGCTGCGCCTTGTGCATCGGATGGACCCCGTTCAGCTCCGGAGGCACGCCGTCCCAAGAGCCACGAGGCGTGGCAGCAGGAGTTACAAAACGCGGGTTGACATTCATGCCGGTATGCAGCGCCAGCAGGAAGGAGTACAGTTCACTGACGTCTGGCAGCTTCTCCGATGATCCTTCCCTCCGGTTCGACACGAGTTCGTCAAACACCGCGTCGAGGAGTAGACCGAGACTGATTTGTTCGCGGGTTCGCAGGGTTTCAATGAGCGACGTTTCGGCGTCCGGAGGGGTGGTCAGAACCAGGGCGTTGACGAGCGCGAGCAGAGGGCATGGGCCGTTTGCGTTCTGCGTCATGATGGGAGAGTTGCGTAACCCCGCCGATGGCAGCTTCCCATCGCGAGACTCATCCAGCCAATTCACATGGCGAATCTGATAAGTGGTGTTTCGTTGCTTCTGTAATTTCGTCCCAGGCGTATCGGGTACCGGTGGAGATGCTCGAGAGGGAGATGGTTGTGAAGAGGTTTGGACAGACGCTAGCCGTAACGGAGCTGCTGCACTCTGCTCATGATTGACGGAAGAAGATTGGACGGCCGGCGGCGGTCCAATTGGCGGTTGATAGTCGCTTTCCTGCGGGGCCTTGGGTGGCAGGGCCTGCGGAGTCCGAACCTCTCCTGTCTGACGCTTCATAACATCATCGTCGTGCCACCATGTACTTAACGGCCGCTCTTCGTCGTTGGAAACGGGAGGCAAGGGCGGCTGTCCTTGCTGCGGAACCTGTATCTTTTCAACCGTTGTCCAGCTTGCATGGCTATCTGGCATCGACGGTCTGTCTGACGGGGTCTGCGTTTGTGACTGGATTATCGGGATAGAAGGTGGAGGCCGGGGAGGAGATGACCCCGGAGGTGGAGGAGGGGCATTTGAAGGAGGGGGTGGAGGGGCGTTTGAGGGAGGGGGCAGAGGGGCGTTTTGAGGGGAGCGTGGAGGCATCACCTCTTGCCATGCGGACTGACTGTTCTCCGCAGCAGAACCGGTCTGTCTCAAGTAAGGATTGTTTGTGTTGGGAGGGGCTTTGACGGCATGCTCTCCTTCCCACGGATTCGATTGCGCTTCCTCCTCGTATCCATGATTGGGACTCGAGACGGCGGGCGCTGCTGCACCTATTCTCAGACTCGGTGGGAGTTCAGCACCATTGGTGTGGTTTGACGATGTTATCTGCTGTCCCGACATGTTCGATTTGGTGTTGCCCGCATCAGCCTCTCCCTCCGCCGGAGTGTCCTGATCTTGCTCCGTCCCTTCCGAGTTCCATGTATCTCGCGAGCTCTCGGAGTCCCTTCTGGGCCGTCGTTGGGCCTGGCGGACATCAATCAGATCAAAGGCAGGGCTGTTGCCCAGGTCGGTGGAGTAGACGCTGCCGGTGTTGGAGCTGACGGCCGTCTTGGCCGAGTGTAAGACGGGCGATGTAGGGTATGGCGGGGTGGAATGGGCGTTGGTCTTGAGCGGCGCCGGGACGGCCTTTCTGGTGACCATTTTGACGGGGGAAGGCATGGACTCATCACCCGCAAAGAGCGTGGCGAATGGCAAGAAACAAGAGGGCGAAATGCTGTCGCCTGATGCGTACGTCTGTCGGCGTCGGGTCCCAGGCTGCCTTGCCTTAGAGTTGGGGCTTGGCTTGCTTCGTCACGTCGTCAAGCGGCGCAAGAGAGAGTGTTAAGCATCGGGCTGGCTTGGCAGAGCGCTGGGCGCGGATGGGGGCGAGGAGGGTTGATTGCGCGTCTCCGCCAAAGTTCGTGCTGCATGTGAGTGCGGCATCGCCAACGCCACACGCATGTGCTTTTGCCGCCTGCCGTAAGTCTGACGCACGAGTGGCGGTGCACCGCTTGCCGGGCAGATCTAAGCCGGGCGTGTGCCGGTCGTCGACCAATCATATTCCTCCCACCCGTTCCGCCCTTGCTGCTTTGGGAAGAAGCAGTGGCTGTGCGCGGGGAAGTCTCAGACCGGGCAGAAAAATTCCCCAACAGTCACTCAGCCTTGAACGGTCGAAGGAGGCACGAGGCAAGGCAAGGCCGGAAGTCGAAAGCATGGCTCCGAAGCTGCGCATTCTCCTGATAGGAAATGGTGGGCGAGGTAGGATTGGCCAATTCATTCACTTCGCTCATTTGCTAAGGCCAGTTCAGAGCACACTTTGGCTTGGGCTCTGGCCAAATCGCCGCGAGTCGATTGTATCCACGTCGTGTCCGGCAATGGAGGCACAGAAGGGTAGGAGAACCCCATATCCTGACCGACCGAAGATCAACCATTGACAGATCCTTCACAGCGTTGCAAAATGCAAAAACATCTCATCAGTCCGCCCCGACGACTTCGCAGCTCTCGTCCAACACGCAACCAACAACCAATTGAACTTCCTCCTCCCCGGTCCTGAAGTACCCCTGGTGGCCGGCATCGTCGACTTCTTCAACCAACATGCCCCCAACGTTCAATGTTTCGGCCCGTCACAGGCAGCCGCGCAAATGGAGGGCAGCAAAACCTTCTCCAAAGACTTCATGAAACGCCATGGCATCCCGACCGCGCGATACGAAAACTTCGACGACTACGAGTCCGCGCGACGCTACCTCGAGACGGTGGATTTCCGCGTGGTCATAAAAGCAGATGGCCTGGCGGCTGGCAAAGGGGTCATCATCCCTCAGAACAGCCAAGAAGCGCAAGCCGCGCTCAAGGAAATCATGCTCGACAAGGAATTCGGGGCTGCGGGGAACTCGGTGGTGATTGAAGAGTTCCTCGAAGGCGACGAAATCAGCGTGCTCTCCCTCTCCGACGGCCAGACCATTCTCAGTCTCCCTGCCGCGCAAGACCACAAACGGATCGGCGACGGCGACACAGGACCCAACACAGGCGGCATGGGAACCTATGCTCCAACCCCCTTTGCAACCGCATCCCTGATGGCCGAATTGGAGAAGACGGTCCTGCAACCCACCATCGCAGGCATGACGCAAGACGGCATCCCCTTCCGCGGCTGCCTCTTCACGGGTTTCATGCTCACCCCTTCCGGCCCGCGCGTGCTCGAGTACAACGTGCGCTTCGGCGATCCAGAAACGCAATCCGTGCTCCCCCTCTTGCAGTCAGATTTGGCCGAGTTGATGCAAGCCTGCTGCACGGGAACGCTCTTATCCCACACCCTTGCTATCGCTCCCATGAGCGCGTGCACAGTCGTCATGGCCGCGGCAGGATATCCAGGCGCATACGCCAAAGGCACGCCAATGACGGTGCAGCCTCCAGCGGAGGAAGAGGGGACCTTTCTTTTCCACGCAGGCACGGTGGTTGATAGTGACGGACAGCTGAAGACGAGCGGCGGCCGCGTCATTGCTGCTACTGCTACGGGCGATTCGCTTACCGAGGCCGTCGATCATGCTTACAAAACTGTGAGATTGGTGCGGTTCGAGGGCATGCAGTTCCGGCGGGATATTGCGCATAGGGCGTTGCCTGATGGCTTGCGGCCACAGCGAGGCATTTTCAAGAGCGGTCGATAAGACCTTGAGTAGTACCAATAAGAGGCACGCGTTGGTGGAAGTCTCGAGTTCGCAGCCAGATTCTGCAATGCAGATATCCAGCTTCCACCGAATAGATCCTTACACCTTGTCAATATGCGACACATCAAACTTCTCACTCCCACTCTCCTCCTTCTCATCCTCCTCTCTCCCAAGTTCATTCCTCTCCACCCTGCCCTCCACCCTGGCCTCCGACCTGGCCTCCGCCCTTTCCCGCAGCGTCGCCTCAATCTCCGCCAAATACTCCTTCTTCCTACTATCGCGCACCACGCGGAAGATACTCGGCCGCTTACCATCGCGGTCCGCGAACAGCAGGTCCACGGCTTCGAGAGTGAGGCCGCACGTCTGCGAATTTCAAATTAGAAATCGTGCACTGGCACTGATTGTAGGGGCGCTTACCTCGGGAAACGTAAAGTAGACGATGGGAATGGTGACGAAGTTGAGCACGGCGAAGACGATGTAGCTCTTGTATTTGATGTTGGTGATCAGGATGGGCGTGATTTCGACGATGAGGAAGGTCCAGAGCCATTGGCTGACCTGTGTGTACGACGTGGGTGAGATACGTTTCCTTGTAGCAAGGGAGTGCAGTGGAGTGAAGAGCAGTTGACTTACGACGGCGATGGCATTGCCTCGAGATCTTAGCTTCAAGGGCAGAATCTCTGGAGGATAGATCCACATATTGCTTTGCCATCCCTGGAAAAAGGGTAATTAGTAGGGGTTCGAGTCGAGGCTCGGGGGAAAAGATTCCGACATACTAGTGTGAAGAATGTCTGGAACAAGTAGAGGACGACCTGCAGCATCAATCATCAGTAAATCTCAATCCATTTGGCGAAGAAAAGCAATGTACAAACCACAGCAGCATATCCCAGACCCTTCGTCCCAATCCCGACAAAAATGGCAGAAAGCATCATGCAGGTACCCATGCCCGCCGATCCAAGAATGAACAAGCGACGTCGGCCAGCCTTGTCCACGATAAACCAAGGAATCAACGAGCTCAAGAAGTAGAAGACCTGCAATCCACCAGCGACAAGCAAAGCATCCCGGTGACTCAGCCCGATGGAATTCTGAAAAACGTACGGCCCCAGACTCGAGATGACGTTGACGCCGGAGAACTGCTGGAAGGCGTTGGCGGCAAAGCCAATGGCGATGCGAGTGGAGCCGGAGATGCCGTGGTCTTTGAACACGTCGGACCACGAGCCGGCTTCGTTGTGCTCCACCGCGATGGCGTATTGGATTTCCTTGATCTCCTCGGCGATCGCGGCGGTGTAGGCGTGGTCGCCGCGGAGCGCGGCGAGGTTGTTGGCTGCGCGGTCGTGTTCGCCTTTGTTTGCTAGGTACCGCGGTGATTCCGGGAGGAAGGGGAGGAATACGCAGACCATGATGCAAAGGAGGATGGGGAATGCGCAGGGGAAGCGCCATCTTCGAGGAAGGAGTTAGCGGTATCTTCATGTTTTGAGAGCCGGGTGGGCGTACTGCACGGAACCTGGGTAGAAGCTCATGCCGTAATCCAGCCTACACATTATCAGCATTCTGGACTTGGCCGCACATCTCACACCCACTCTCACCAGTTAGCGATAATGAGTCCGGAAATTAGCGTGCTCAGCTGCATGGCCATCATCCTCCCGCGGTTCTTCGGCCTTGCGCACTCGGCCATCCAAACCGGTATGACAGTCGTCATGAAACCCAATCCGACGCCCGCGACCACTCGGCCGACAAGAAATTGCGCGACACCATAAGACGCAGCCGAGATGACGGAGCCTACGATGACAACAATAGAGCCGCCGATCACGTACGGCTTCCTACCGAATCTGTCGCCTAGGGTAAAGGTAATGGCTGCTCCGAAGAAGGCGCCCACTTCGTACGCCGAGACGAGGAAGCCGATGAGAGACGGGCTCGGATGGCCAAACTGCTGGAGGAATTCCGGGGAGGTGGTCAGGCCGCCCATGAAGCCCAGATCGTAGCTGTGGAAGATAATTAGTTTCGACAGAAGCCGATGGCGTTTCATTCGAGGCGTACCCGAACAGCATGAAGCCTATGCTGCAGCATGCTGTTACTGCGTATACCAGGTTCTGCCCTTTCAACTTGCAGAAGGTGGGCGATGAGGAGGCCATGATGAGCGCACGTCTTCGTACAGAAGGAGATGATGAGACTTGAGAGAACAGGGAAAAGGATCAAGGCTTAGCTGTAGTCAAGCATATGCCACGACAGGAACAGGAACTTCTCCACGTGGAGGGGAGCCATGTGTTCGGTGCAGTTTTTCTCGTCGATGCGGTCATTGATTCGGCAAGTACGGCTGTCGATCTGGGGTTGGTTTGCGGAGAAAGACGAGGCCCAACTCGGCAGGTGATAGCGGAGAGAAGGCAGCATCGATCGCAGACTTCCGAGGCATTCGTTTGACAACATGAAGGTGTCATCGTTCTTCAACAGCTCGTCGTCTTGCAGATGCGATGGACGAGTATGTCTGACGCGAGTGAAGTGGATGCAGAGTCAATGCCAGGAAGCACCTCTTGGCACCGCTCCCACCGAACTGACAGTCGTGACAGCCGACTGACTCGGCGTAGGCACACGTCAGCCGGCCAGACCCCGTCTCTCCTTACAACCTTTGCCGACTGGGCCAGCGCACACTGACCATATTACGTTTCGATACGACAACGGTACATCGCCGAGCTCGTACAGGCCGAGTGCAGAGTCGTGGACTAACGCGCGAGCCACTGGAATGAGGATCAAAGACACTCGGGTTTGGCCACCAAGATCGTCAGAGAAGATCAACAACGCGAGCGCGCAAATGTCGCGATCCAAGATCACACGCCCAGGAGAAATATGCTGCCACTCAAAAGACTGACGAGTCCGCGAATCCAATCGGTGAAATACGAATCAATTCCCAGGATTGCCCATTCCGGCCCAATTTCACGCCTCGCGACCACGCGCATTGCGCCATTTTGCGACATTGACAGCCCGGCGCGACGAACCGCAACGTGTGTCAGTGGATCGCTGATGGCTGCGCGTCCAGACTCCCGAATCAGACGGGTACCGCCCGCCATTACCATCCCCCATCGCGCCTCTCGTCGGATCTTTTATTATTTGGCAAAGACGCAATGGCCAGAGCGGATGCCGACAAGTGCTACGCCATTACGTTTTGGTACGAAGGCACGCAATCCCGGCGGTGAATGAGAGGCAGAGGTCAGCACGGATCTCTTTCATTTCTCTCTCGCTTTTCCGTTGTCTTCAGTCTACTGTCCGTATATATATTCTTTCTTCTCTTTTGCGCCAGCCATTATTGACTTTTCTTTGTCAACATCCCGACAATAGCGGTTCCCCAAAAAGGAAGCTATACACCACCTCACCCCAGCCTCGCTAGCCATTCTTCTGCATAAGCCTGCCAAGATGCTGCAATCTCCCCTGCAGCCTCGCCCATTCACATTGGGACGTGGGAAAGATGTGTCCGTGACGGAGCCAGTAGTGTCCGTCGTCGAAGTAGCATCAGACACCGAAGACAACAGCAAGGCGCAACAACGACAACGGCAACCCGACGACGTCGACCTCGCCATCTCCCGCCTCGACCTGAATGCCACCCACATGAAAAGCTCCCCCTACGACGACCCAGTCAACCACCTCAACCTCCAGGAACTCGAACTCCCCTACCGCCTCTTCGCCCTGGCTCTCACGCAATTCAACAACATCCGACCAGACTACGCCACCGCCCCTTACGTGGAAAGCTTCAACCTCCCCTTCGTTTTTTCCGTCTTGAGAAGGCTTTGCGAACGGCACGGCATCCATTGGCAACGCACGGAATTCTACCTCGTCATCTTCCGATCGCAACTGCATCGGACGGCGGATCGCGTGCGCCTCGGCGAGCTCGACAAGAACTCTCACGAAGAGGCTTGCGCCAGTGGGGGACTGTTGACGTACTGGTTTGGTAGTCCGGATGCGGACATGCGGAACTTGGCGACTTGTGAGTCGTTTCTATCTATCTTTTTTCTATAAATTATGACACTGACTTCCACCACAGGCATCTGGCGAAACAGAGCAGACGCCGCGGCGGGCGGCAAGGGTCCGGAGCATCGCAAAGCGAGAATGTCCGCGCGGGAAATGTACGAGAGCATTTCCTTCCACACGCATAAACTTGTCGTCGAGGAGGGAGCGATGAGCTGGCATTTAGAAGACTACCGGGACTAATGCTTGGCCGCTCGATCATACGCTTCACATAGTTTTGATTCTGGGTTTCCCTTCTTTTGGAAGCGATTTAGCGAGCGAGCGAGGTGTTGGAGGTCGTCATTCTCCTTTGCGGCAAAGCAAGCGCTCATGGCATTGGCTTCAGCTACCGTTGGTCTTTGCATCATCCTTTCGTCGTGGATGTGGCCTGGGCATAGCGCATAATTAGCAACTGGCATATGATGCACAGACAGATACTTACAGTATAAGCTCAAACTCATTCCATTGGCTCAGACTCTGCTCCGACCGCCTGTAGGGTCTCAACAGAGCTTCGGGAGTCGCACGAGTCTTCCCTCCCTCCAGCACCAGCTTCATGGTGGACGTTGTGGCGAAGGAGGGATCAAAGACCAGTAGGTTCCGTGATCCATCTCGTTTCCTCTCCAGTCCTACGATTGTAGTGGAATGCCCGAAACGCTGGAAGTACATTGGCGGCATAGTCGTCACGCTAGCCTTGCGGCGCTCTTCGTTGGCTTCCGTCTTCAGACTACCCAGGAAAGATGCCTCAACGTGATCTAGCAACGCCGCTCCTGCTGGGTGAAAGCTGACACCATCGCCCTCGTCCTTGAACGAGAAGGGCTCCAGTGCCATGCCGAGCTGCGTAAGACAAGCAACCGCTTCGTGCGTTCCAATCCACTTCCTCGTCCCGCGTACGCCGCCAGTTTCAACACGACCATACGGACAGATGCCATTGTTCCACGCTTGTTCGATTGTGTCTTGAATCTGGAGGACGTTGGGCATAATCTGAAACCCCGTTGTGTTGACGTATGTTCTGCTGTCGATGACGAGCGACAACTGCATCTGTATGTTCCAGTAGCCACAGAAGTTGCCTTCGCAGTTCAACTTTGCGATATGTCGGACGCCAGGATCGCAAAAATATGCAACTTCGACGGTTGGGTCCATTGATGAAAGGTCTGCAAGGGCGTGGACGAGACCACTGGTTTCGTTCGCAATGTAGGTCTCGCGGTGTAGGCGGCCGTCGCGACCAATGCGATTTACTTGTTGGGGGATGGCGTAATTGAGCAGACGGCGGCGCACTTCGGCTGGCATGACCTTTTCATAGGCATGAGGTCCCAGCTCTCGCCTCCCGAGACGCCCCGGATGACTGGGTTCCCGAAGCATCGTCCTTTGGGCGGGTGTCGATTGTCGACCGACGGTGGATGTTCCCGAGAAGTAGTGGATGAGAGTGTGAGTTGGTCGATCATTCGGTTTGCTTGGATGCTTTGGCGTTTCGCGTTTCGCTGGACTGCGATCAATGCCATTTGGCGTACTTGGTTTGCGGGTCGAGGATGCAGACTTCTGGTGTTTCGCTCCTTGCTGGTCGTCTTGTTCCACCTCTGCTATAGCCTCATGCATTCCCAGATGCTCATCTACACCGCTTAGATGAACGAACTCACCGCAGCCAGGGCGGGTACACTTGGTCCATTCGTCAGGGATCAACAATTCCTCGCTGGGAGATGTAGGTCCTGATGCCTGAGCAGCGGGAGAAGTGAGATTGTCGCGAATAGCAACAAACGGAGAGTCATCGGTGTGGTGCTCCTCGATATGGAGTTGCATGGCATATTCTCCATCTTGCGACTGGAAGCCACAGAAAGGGCAGTGAAGCTCGACAGCCATGATCAAGGGCCGGGTGGGCGAGGCTTGCGATGTGCTGATGATCCGAGAAGCATGGTGTGTGGATGGACACGAGCTCGCGATGTCACTTGTGCGAATGAGAGATGTGAAGCGTGTGCCTAAGTTGGATGCGTTCAAGTGGCACAGCCTTGGAAGTGTCGATGCACAATGTCTGCCTGAACTGCTGCCTGATCTCTACACCATCCACGCTAACCGCAAGCGGATGTCTGCCCCACCAACCGCCGTGCGTGCCAATGGCTCCCGCCGGTTGACGTGAATTTCTCAACCCCTCCGTCATCTTCTTTCTCAAAAAAATGGCGACTCCGGCATCACATCGTATTCGGACAAGCGAGCATCATGGCCACGATTATTCTCGGGGCGCAGTGGGGTGACGAAGGCAAGGGCAAGATTGTCGATGTCTTGAGCGATGACGTGAAGCTGTGCTGCAGAGCGCAAGGAGGGCACAATGCGGGACATACCATTGTCAAGGATGGCAAGACCTTTGATGTGCACATCTTGCGTGAGTACAGATAACCTCCATGCCCTGCGTGAATTGCGCATTCTAACATTCCTCACAGCCTCTGGTGTGCTGTCTCCGGGCTGCGTGAACCTCATCGGCACCGGCTGCGTCGTCTACGTCCCCGGCTTCTTCAAGGAGATTGAAAACCTGGAGAAACACGGCATTTCCTGGCAAGACCGCATCCTGATCTCCGACCGTTGCCACGTCGATCTCGATCTCCACACCAAAGTCGATGGCCTGGAAGAGGTGGAACTCGGCAAGGCCAACATCGGCACCACCGGCAAAGGCATCGGACCAACATACTCCACCAAAGCCACGCGCTCGGGCATCCACATGGCGGAAATCTTCAACAAGCGCCTCTTCGACGAGAAGCTCCTCAATCTCGAGCGCGGCTACAAGAAGCGCTACGGCGACTTGCTGCAGTACGATGCGGCGGAGGAGATTGCCAGATTCGACGTCTACCGCGATCGCTTAAAGCCGTTTGTGGTCGATCAGGTGCCTCTCATCGAATCTATCGTCAAGGGCAACATGCGCATTCTCGTCGAGGGCAGTCAAGCGCTCATGCTCGACATCGATGCCGGCACCTACCCCTACGTGACATCGTCCAACACCGGCCTCGGCGGCGTCTTCACCGGTCTGCATCTCAGCCCCAGATCAATCCGCGAAACAATCGGCGTGGTGAAAGCCTACACGACCCGTGTCGGATCCGGTCCCTTCCCCTCCGAACAGCTGAACGAAGTGGGCGAGAAGCTGCAAAAAATCGGGCGCGAATTCGGCGTGACGACCGGCCGGACACGACGTTGCGGCTGGCTCGATCTCGTCGTCGTCAAATTCTCCAACGCCATCAACTGGTACGACGCCATCAACCTCACCAAGCTCGACGTGCTCGACACTTTCGATGAGATCAAAGTCGCGACGGCATACACCTACAAGGGTCAAGCTTTGCCTTCCTTCCCCGCCGACCTCGCCGTGTTGGAGACCATGGAGGTCGAGTACGTCACTCTACCGGGCTGGAAGCAGAGCACCGTGGGCTTGAAGTCGTACGATGAGCTTCCTGCGAATGCGAGGAAATACGTCGAGTTTATTGAGAAGTTTGTTGGGGTGCGCATCAAGTATATCGGGACTGGACCTGGGCGGGAGAGCATGATTGTGCGGTAGCCGTGGAATCGATCGCACGGAATTGTGCTAGGCTGAACGCCGAAAACGTATACCTTCAGACAGAGATGGTGGATAGAATTAGATCCCTCGCAACCGTTGCACTGAACAGCTGTCACTCGTTTTACATGCCTCCGAGCTCAAGGCAGCGTCTAATCGTCTAGCACGCCTGCTTAGCTTCGCCGAGGAGATCTAGGGTAGAGTCGACTGTCGACTCCGCTCCTCGGGCCGTTGTGCCTTGCGTCCCTAACTCTGCACACGAGGTATCCCGTGATGGCATGAGACGGCTGTCTACCTCCCAGCAGCAGTGACAAAAGTGCATAAGCCCTTCACGGTGGAGATCCGTCCCAATCGAAGCCTGCATGGAGCGCACGTCTCCCTGCTTTCACCCTTCATCACTTCCCGTTACTCATCATGCCAACTCCGCTCCTCACCACCCCTACAAGCCCACCAGTCTGCACACTCTCACTCCCGCCTCCACTCAACCTGTACTCAATTTCTGCCAGGCCCTCCAACCACGCGACGCGCGTCTGCGCAGGCACTTCAACCTCCGCCAACTGCTCCCCGAGCGCCGTCAGAATATCCGCCAACGCCAATCCCTTCGTCTTCTTCAGCGTGTTGATGGTACTCAAACACGACCCAACATTCGCCGTCGTCAGCAGCGTTTGCGCAATCGTGTTGATGTCCTCTGGATGCGGCGCGGCGATGCAGTCGAAGATTGTCTCTTGCGTGATGAGGTCGCGCTTGATGTCTTTTGCGTCTGGGACTGGTTCGCCGGGGACGTGCAGAGGGGTGGAAGAGGCGTGGCAGGCTTGGAGGACGTTGAGGGCGCGCCGCATGTCGCCTTTTGATAGGGCGACGAGACTGGACACCGCGTCGGGCGCGATGTTGACGCCTTCCTCTTCGATCACTTTGTCGATGAGGCGCTGGATGTCGGCGTCTTTGAGCGGGGAGAAGCGGAAGCGTGTGCAGCGGGATAGCAGGGCGGGCGAGAGTTTGTGGGTGTAGTTGGCGATGATGCAGAAGCGGGTATTGGCCGTGTACTTTTCCATGATTCTTCGCAGCGCCATCTGCGCCGTGCTCGTCATGGCGTCGGCTTCGTCGAGGATGATGAGTTTGAAGTTGGCGATGCTGTCGCTCTGCGTGGCCGATTTGTCGAAGCTGCCGGCAAAGATTTGTTTTGTGCTTGAGAAGGTCTTGATTTGTTCGCGCACCACGTCTATACCTCGGTCATCGGAGGCGTTGAGTTCTAGCACCATTTGTCGCATATTCTTGCCGCCGTAGATCCTTCTTGCGAGTGCGAGGACTGTGCTCGTCTTGCCTGTGCCCGGCGGTCCGTATAGCAGTAGATGAGGGAGGCGATTGGAGTCGACGAATTTGTTGATGGTGGCGAGGATGTCTTGGTGTCCGCTCACGTCTGCTAGGGAGGCAGGGCGGTATTTCTCTACCCACGGAAGGTTGTCTTCTGCTTCGACGGGGAGATTGGCGGCGCTGCGTTTCCCTTTGCTGTCGGTGTTGGCGGAGGAGAAGTGGATGTCGTTGTTGGGTTTGGTGATGGGCGCATCGTCCATGTCCACGTCTGAATCCATGTCCGACATCTTGGCTGTGGTTGGGGTGAGGCTTCGGGGAAGGGCGATCTGGGAGACGAGATGGAGTCTTGGATGCAGCCGGAGCACGCGCGCTTCAATCTACGCGTTGAGTGGTTCCACGCTTTAGCTCGTTGATGCCTGAATGGCTGCCTGACGAGGTGGGATTGCCGTGTCCCACAATTACCTCCAGCTTATGAAGCCCGTCCGCGCAAGCAAGCACAGGCAGACATCACGCATTGACTACGCCGGCGGGAACACGCCAGACCGACTTCCACACTCCTCCCCAGCACATCGCGCCGGCCATTGAGGCCCCTAAAACCGCCCATCATGCCCGCCTACCACTCCGTCTTCCTCGACGAGCCGAATCAACAACTCGCAGGCAACTTCGCCCTCCTCCCCCTCCGCACCAAAACCAGAGGCCCCGCACAACAACTGCCCGCCCTTGCACCAGGCACATCGGACCTCGACCTCGAACCCTCAAACCCCTCCTACGACCCACTCGACGAGGTCCTCTCGCTCTTCCGCGCCAACACCTTCTTCCGCAACTTCGAGATCAAGGGCCCCGCCGACCGCGTGTTGATCTATGGCATCCTCTTCGTCTCCGACATCCTGACCAAAATCCGACCGAACATGCAGCGACGGGAAGCGGAGAAGGCGGTGCTGAATGTCGCGCTTGACACCAACTTTGCCATTCCTGGTGATGCGGGCTTCCCTCTTAACCAGGCCTTTGAGCCGCCGCGGGATCGGAATGAGGCGGAAGTGTTGCGGCAGTATATTATGCAGATGAGGCAGGAGCTGGCGTATAGGTTGCTGGCGAGGGTGTACGCGGATGGCACTGGGGTGCCGTCAAAGGTGCGTTGCGGCCATGTGATGTGATGTTTCTCCATCAGTGCTTACGCTAACGATGTTCTACAGTGGTGGCTCAGCTATTCGAAACGGAAATTCATGGGCAAGCAGTTATGAGCAGTGAGTGCGATGATGAGCCGCGATTTCCGGTATTTCCATCACGCCGGTCTCCTGGACTGTCCATTTCTCGAACCAGGGTCGCGAAAATGGATCCGTACGGCGGGCTCTGGCCGGAGAGGTAGATTGTACTAGCCACTGGATCCATGGCAGCACAGAAATGGAAATCACATGAATCTGTTTATTCCATACTTCCTTCCTCGCCCATCTTCAAACTGTGACGATCAGGCTTGTCCTCCGGTAGCCATAGTCTTGTGGTTAGCCACATCGCTCAAGCGAAGTAACGCGTTGTGTCGAATCGATTCATGTTGTATAATAGCGTAGCTACTCGAGGGTTCTGCTCTATACACTCCATACACGCAGTTCCAGTACGCGTGAGTTGTGAAGTCGCAGGGGTTCCAATTGTGAGAAGGCTTCGAAACCAGACTTCGGCTGCTCTGCAATTTTCTGGGGAAGACCAGTCCAAATTTCCTCACTCCAGCCCGGACCTCACTTTGGATGGCAATACCAGCATCTTTAGAAGCATTCTCCGCAACATCAACAACATCAACGACAAGATGAGCACAGCGCACGCTCACGTGCAGCCAAACACATTTCTCTTCCTGCGCCTGCCCTCCGAGCTACTCAAACTGGTAGAAATCAGAGCAGATGCGTATGTCCCAGAGCTCCGGTTGAGCATCTCGCTCTCACAAATGAACAAACTTGCCCCAAAGCTAACGACTCGCCCCGTCGCAGAATCATCGACATTGGCAAGTTTGGATCCATCTCGTCTAACTCATTACTGGGTCGGCCATACTACCACACCTACGAACTTTTGGAGAAACGGGCCGGCGAGGCGCAAGCACGGATACGTGTAGTTCCAGCGCATGAGTTGAATGCAGAGGTTGTCACGAGTGCGCCTACGCCCGCTGAGAGCCGAGATGACTCCGAAGCTACAGCAGGGACGAATGGTGTTCCCGAGGGCTACGATTTGCTCTCCGAGGAGCGAACGACGGGGATGAAGAATAATCGACTCACCGTTGACGATGCGAGCCGACAAGCACTTTCGCAGCAGGAGATTGAGGAGTTGAAGAAGTCATCGGGTGGCAAGGAAATCATTGAGAAGATTCTCGCTAATCATGCTGGACTCGGGGAGAAGACGGACTTCTCCAAGGCGAAGTATATGGTGCGGAAGACGAAGAAGTACTTGAAACGCTTTACGGTTCTGCCCATGGATCTTGGGACGCTGATGGAGTATATTACTGTCAAGGAGCCGGCGCGCATTCTTGAGTTGAGGGAGGAGTCGCTGGGGCTGATGGTGGCTTGGAGCAATGTTCATTGCTGTCCTGATGACGACGTGGAAAGGGATGCAGCCGGGAAGCGAGTCGGCGGTGGCCGCTGGTTGGTCATCGACGAGACTGCTGGGCTCCTTGTGGCTGCGGTGGCAGAAAGAATGGGCATTCTCTTTCCCGACTCAGAGGCTCAGGGCCAAGACGATGGCAAAGCGTCTTCGCAACGAGTCGCCGACAAGAGCGATGCTCAACCCACAGCGGACACTTCTACGACCGAACAAGCGGCGCCCAAACTAGTCATCCACCGCGACTTCCCCCTCCCGGCACCGACAAACACAATCACCCTGCTCCATCCGGCGGTGCAGCCCAACGTGTCCCTACTCAAATACTTCGGCTACGACACCAACCAACCAGACACCACACACCCACTACACACGCACCTCAAACCTCTCTCTTGGCTCTCCCTCCTCCACCCGGAGGAAGACCCGACGTACCGCGAGCCAGAAACCGCCACACCCGCCGAAATGGCGGAGTGGAAAAGCGGCAAACGCAGCGCCTACTTCAAGAAGCGCCGGCGCTGGGAGCGCTTCCAGTCCATCGTCGACGAAGCACGGGAAGGCGGCTTCGACGGCCTAGTCATGGCAACAAGCATGGACGCTGCGAGCATCCTCTCGCATACAGTACCTCTGGTGCGAGGCGGCGGGCATATAGTCATCTACTCCCCCGCTGCAGAGCCTTTGGTCAAGCTCGTGGACCTGTATTCCCGCGACCGCCGGGCGGCATACATGCAGCATCTCGCGGAGGGCCAGCAGCCGAATGCAGACGACTTCCCCGTCGACCCGCGGCTTCTGCTGGCGCCATCGTTGCAGACGAGTCGAGCGAGGGCGTGGCAGGTTCTACCTGGACGGACGCATCCGGTGATGGGTGCGAGAGGGGGCGCGGAAGGGTATGTGTTTACTGCGAGGAAGAGTATACCGCTTGAGGGCGGAGTGGAGGCGCGAGGCAACTTTACTGCCAAGAGGCGGAAAGTGAATGCACCTCCTCCTCCGCCTTCTTCTGATAGCATTGGCTAGTTACACAGTTACTAGATAGGCGAGCCTCTTGGCCAAGCAAAACATGCTTACGTCCACTCGGGCAAACAGCGCAACCTCTTCTCTGTTTGGCAAAAAAAATGACCTTCCAATCGGCTTGCCCCACCACGCAACGTGACGTGACGTGATCAGCCCTGGCAGGGTCCAGCCAGCCCTAGAATCCCCCAACTCTCAAGCACGAATATATCCTGCTTAAACCCCACAACCTCAGTCCCTCCATCTTCAACACCAACAACTCACACACTTCTTTCCGTCAAAATGAGAGCATACTGGTACGACAACCTCCCCGGCGACCAACGCCTCCCCCACGACTCAGGCCGCACCGTGGACCCCACCTACCTCACCAACCTCGGAATCCTGCACTACGAGCTGCCCAACGACCTCGACACCGTCAACCGCATCGCGGCCGAGCGCGCCTACAAGAACCGCGACGAGATTGAAATCTCCCCCTCCACGCTGCCCGGGTACGAGGAGAAGGTGAAGAACTTCTTCGCCGAGCACCTGCACGAGGACGAGGAGATCCGGTATATCCTTGCGGGCGGCGGGTATTTTGACGTGCGGGGCAAGGAGGACGATTGGGTGCGCATCCGGTTGGAGCAGGGGGATTTGATGATTATGCCTGCGGGGATCTATCATCGGTTTACTACTGATGAGCAGAATGTGAGTTTTTCGGGAGTTCTTTCTCGTGGTGCTGGTTTGGTGTGGTGGAAGCGCTGACTCGTGGTTTAGTATACGAAGGCCATTCGCTTGTTCAAGGATGAGCCGAAATGGACGCCTATCAAGCGTGGAGAGGAGAGCGATGTCAACGAGCATCGCGTGGAGTACTTGAAGGCGCGGGATAGTGTTTCGGCGAGCGCGTAAAGATGATGAGTGATGAAGCAGAGGCTAGACGAGCACTGGGTGACGAGTGCCGTTGAAAACTTCAAATGTATGAACAATCCACCCAAAAAACGCTTTGAAATGATGTGGAATTCTGCTTCACGCGCAAATGCAATTAAGATGTAGGAGACATTGGAACGCGAAATTGTCCCCAATGCTCAAGCCAACGCCACGCTCAAATCACATGCAGTCGTCATGTGGAAAGAAACCGCTCGTCAAACATCCAGCTCCCTCTTCTGCATGCGTAGCATCAAGCTCCTCAACATCTCCACTTCATTTTGCGCCAGCTCAACGTGCGTAGGCACCATGATCCCCTCCGGCGCAATACGAATAGCATCCAGCTCCTCCCGAAACCAAATGTCTCCATTCGACGCGCGGTCCTCCTGGATTTGCTCGTCTTCCCATCCCTCCGCCGCCTCCGCGATGTTCTCCTCCTCTTCCGACGCGCTCCCTGCTTCGCCCTTCTCCGCCGCGCCCGCGCTGCTTTCCCCCTCGTGCTGCGCTTTGTTGCGGCGCAATGGCAGCTTGCTCCCCACTGCTTCGCCCGTCCACCAGAAAATAGGGTATTGCCGTCCGATGTTATCAAGTAGCAACGCCACGCCCAACATGACTAGACTCGCGACCAACATTATGGCGGGGAATCTCCAGCCCAGCGCGATGACCTCCGCTTCCGTGCAGGCGAGAATAGCCGTGGCGCCACCAGGCGGATGCACGGCGCGGACGATGCTCATGGCCACGCTGGCACCGGCGCATGCCACCGCCGCGCATACCCAGGAGTATTTGACGAAGAAGGTGGGGTGCAGCTGGAAGGCTTTTGCGATGCCTGTGCCCACTATCGCAGCGACGAAATGGCCGAGGACGGCATTCTTAGGCTGGCCGAGAGGCGATTTCGTGGTGTTGTAGTAGAGCACCGCGCTGGCGCCTAGACTCGCGACAATGGATGGTGGGTTCCATTGGTGGATTCCCGGGCCATAGCTGAAGACCGCGCCTACGGAGCAGATGCCGGCTACGGTTGCGATGGCGGTGAGGATCCAGTCGATGACAGAGGGAGGGTCTTTGGACGGCTGGCTTCGGTGGCCAAGGAAGTGGGCGATGGGTTTGGGGAAGGTGGAGGTGGGATTGGGAAGGATGAAGGGGTTGACGTAGCGGTCGATGTTGAAGTTCAAGAGCTCGCGGGGCACGTTGCGGACCATTTTGGGTGCGTGTGCGGGGATGGAGGAGGGTGTGGTGTGGGTGTGTGAGGGCGCGCGCTTTGCGCCACACCACACGGGGCAGGGAATGGATATGTAAACACAGTACACGAGAGAAGAGAAGGATGTGAACGGCAAAACGTGAAGCCAGTGTGACGGATGCCATCTTACCGCAGCTAACATCATTCTTCCGCTGTCCCGCGAAAGGTCCAGGTCTTCACGGCGCGGTGTGCTGCTCGGTACATCTCCGCGGCACGCCACCCGAACAGTGTGAAAAGCGAATTACTCTCCACCGACAAGTTGTACTTGACGGCAAGGTTCCAGACGTGCAACAGACTCGTCTGCCAAGACTCATGATTCGATGCGTCTGCTTGTTGCGGTCGAAGCCTGGTCATCGCCTTGCACGCTCTGTCCGCAGAGCATCAGGCTTGGGTTTCGCGGCATCGGAGGAGATGACAGAGGCTAAAGGCAATCCGCTACGTAATGGATTCGTGCGGCTCTGAGAAGGCTCGCATGCCTATGGATGCCGCCATTTGGTGCCAAATCCGCGGCAAAAGTGATAAGAGGACAATATCGAGGTGCGAGGAGTGAAGATGAGGAGGGAGAAGAGGAGGTGAGGTTGATTTCTTGTGAGAAAGGAGCATTGATAAGACCTCGTTGCAATGCTGAGATGGTCCAATGAGAAGCGTCGATTGACATGAGTGTCAGAAGTCGATGCGCGATAGGACTTCTGTGCCGAGGAATGTGGCCATAAGTCGTGGGCATCTGCTGCGAACGCCGATGCATTCATCAAATCAATCTCACATGCTGCCATGTTCTTCCTCTTACAACCCGCCTACGCCTTGTCGCATGGACACTCTTGTCCCTCTGCGTTGGCTGGGGTTGCGCATGTGGCGGTCGTCGGTACCGTGGGCGCAGCGCGACATCCAACACGCGAGTCTCGGGCATTATCGGCCGCCTAGGCCCTTATCGTAACCTGAGGCACGCAATCACATTCGCCGTACTCGACGTCGCGTCAGCGACCCGGCCATCCCACACGCCTTCCAACATTGACTCTCCTTCCTCCTTCCACCTCTCCTCACCCTCCCTTCTCTCAATCCTCTGCCAGCCTTTCGTTTGTGACTCTGCCCGCATTCGCCAAACGTGCCTCGGGCGATAAGGTTGACGCTGGTACCGCCGAGACCTCACGCTTCCGCATCCGGCGTCACGACCACGGATCATCACACCCGTTCTCATCACCCTCACTTCTCGCACCACCGCTTTCACCCAATCTCACCTACCATTCGCCAGCCTCGATAACACCTCTGGCCACGAACTGCCTCATCCAAACCCCCTTCCTCACCGACCTGCACACCCTTCCCTCCCGCCGCCACTCCATATCCTCCGCCGCCGCCACCCACATCACCTCACCTCTCGGCATGGCGGAAAAAATCCTGCTCAACGAGTACAAAGCCCTCGCCAAAGAGACATGGACCAACATCTCCCTCATCCGCGAGAACATCTTCGAGTGGAGCGTGGCCCTCGTCGTCCTCAACCCCGATTCCCACTACTACGGCGGCTACTACAAAGCCATCATGAAGTTCCCGCGCAACTACCCCTACGAGCCCCCGGACTTTCGCTTTGAGCGTCCCCTCTGGCACCCCAACATCTACCCCGACGGTCGACTGTGCATCAGCATCCTGCACGCCCCGGGCGAGGACAGCATGAGCGGCGAGCTGGCGGGCGAGCGATGGAGCCCGGTGCAGCGTGTCGAGAGCATCCTCATCTCCGTCATCAGCCTGCTCGACGACCCGGAAGTGAGCAGCCCCGCCAACGTCGATGCCGGTGTCATGCTGCGCAAAGACCCCGAGGGCTTCAAGGAGCGTGTACGTCAGGACAAGGAGAAGAGCAAAGGTGACATTCCCGCCGACTTCGACATGCCGACGCACGAGAGCGCCTTCCGCAAGAGCGAGGCAGATAAGGTGGAGCCGAACTTCAGCTGGAGCGACTCGGAGGCCGAGGATGACTTTGGGGGAAGCGAGAGTGACGAGGAGATGTTCGATGACGAGGACGAGGACACCGAAGGGGACGCATAGTGTGCGAAGGGACGGAGTTAGCTTGTGTTGCCGAGGGACGGAAGGGAAGGTATGGGCTCGGGCATTTGCTTTTAGCGAGGAGTTCCGGCGTCCAGCAGGACGCATCTTTGGGAGCGGGAGTCAACATCACGTTTTGGAGCATGCACTATCCGCGATATACGTACCCTATTTGCTTGCGGATGTAATGGGCACGCGATCACTCAAGCATCTTACCTCTTGCGCGTCTCCTCCCATGTTTGCTGCAAGTTGCCAGCCTAGCGTGCAGGCAAGCTCCGTCAGGTGTGAATGCAGCCAGCCTTGTCATCGATCGACTTGCGATCAGCTCTTGAGCAAGCAGGATTTCTACAACAGCTTTCATAAGCCGTAGATCATGTGAATTAGCAGGAAATGGACTCTGTTGTAAACTCACTTCAAACCTCACCTCATTGCATCCATTTCCGGCATAACATCGTGACGCAAGCAAAGGAAGGCGCGTCCAAGCTCCCCGGAAAGTCAAAAAGTTGTCGGCGGCCAAACACCTCATCCAATACGGCAAACGCCCCAAACACCGCTTCTCCTTTCCCTTCCCTCTCCCTCCCCCCTCTTCCTCTCCTCCTGCCGATATGAGCTGGTTCCCTCCCACCAGCCAAATCGACCAGACTCAAACGCCCGTACCGCCGAATGCCGCCGGCCGGGTGATGAGCCAGAAGGCCGCCAGCATGCCGGCCGAGCCGGAGGAAGAGCAGGTGTTGGGGTTGATGGAGTTTACGGGGTTGATGCGCGAGCAGGCGATACGGTATTTGAAGGTATTTGCTTGAGATATTTCGTGTGCAGGGTCGAGTGGAGTGGAAGAGCTGACTGCTACAACAACAGGCAAAGTCCAACGATGTCAACGCCGCTGCTACTGCCTTCTTCGATGGAGAGGACATTTCAAAAGTGGAGTCGGCGACGCAGTGGGATGAGGGAGCCTGGGGTGCTGGCAAGGAAGGCGAACATGGCACGGCGGGTTTACATCCTTTGGGATCCAGCGCGGCGGCCACGAGACCCAACTCGCCCGCTCCATCTACCAGCGGACGGTCGTACTTGCACCCGACGTCCAAACAGCAGGAGGATGATGACTTTGCGCAGGCTATGGCTATGTCGCAGGGCAACATTGCGGCGACGCACGTGCAGGAGACGGGGTACATTGGCGCGAATGGTCAGCATTTCGGCCCGGCTACCAAAGACCACTACGATGCTTCGCAATGGGCCATGATTCCCACGGGCCAACACCAAACCACCGAGATTGTGCTGGATGTCGATGCCGAGCACAGAAGACACGTGGAGGGCGAGCCGCGGCTGCTGAAGTACCTGCCTACGGGAGACTACATGCCCAATCTCCTTACCATCTGTCAGGCTATCGTTGGCGCACGGGAAACGTTGCTCATGCGTGACTTTGTACAGCCAAACTACGGGCAGGACGAGGAGTGGTGGAGAGGGCATGCGATCGCGATGCCCAAAATCGTGCACGTGGACGATGGGAGCGCCGCTGAGCCGGAGTCGGACAGGTACGACGAGCTGCTGGCCGAAGTGCAGCGCCTCATGGCCTTCCTGAGCGCGAGCCACCGTACTTATGCGAGCGTTGGTGCGCTGATACAGACGGATGCCATCAAACTGGAGAGTGCCGGGGCCACTCGCTCCCATACCCTGCTCGAGCTGTTCCTGGAGCAGTGGAGCCTCGCCGCCTCTTCCAAATCCCCGCCGGCTGGAAGTCTGTTTAGCACGACGGTCGGCACCAACGCTCCCGAAGGCGTGAGCACGCCACAGATGACACTGGTTGATATGCAAGTCAACGTCTTTTCGGATTCGACATCAGACCTCTTCGAGCAGCTCGACGACCTGCTGTGGGATGCGCGCGACAGCGATACGGCGATGACGGACAACTACATCGAACGTCCCGCCGAGGTATTGGTCATGCGCGCCTACCAGCAGAATGCAGCTCTGAACCCCCAGCTGAGACTGGAAATCCCCGCGCAATTCTACGTCGACAAATACCTCCCCGAGAACATCGAAGCGACGCGCACCACTCGCATCCAAATGGCGAACGCGCGGCAACGCATCTCCAAAATCGAAGAGATCGAGCGCAAACTCACGACGTGGAAGCATCCTACGAAGAATGAGCAGGTTGAATCCATGACGCTGATTCGGCACACCTTTGGCCATTTCTCTGGGCAGAACAAACTCGATGTCCTCAACCCGGACCGACCTCCTGGCCCTATCACGAACGCCGCCGAGCCTGATGCAGAGCATCCGCACTACCAGGATATCGCGCAGAAGCTGGAGAAGGTGATTTCCAGTATTGACGAGAAACTCTTCGCTCTCGCCGAGGAAAAGGAGAAGACGAAGAGAGCGATTGCCGAGATGTCGAAAGCGCCGCCAGCCGGTTTGACTCCGCAAGACCTCAAGCATCGCTACATCCTCCGAGGCGTAGCCACCAAACCCAATATCACCTACGTCCTCGCGCCCGCCGATCCCAACGCCGCCTCTGACGAGAACGACATGCTGCTCAACGACGACTCCACCCCACCCGAAATGCAATGGTGGCGAATGGAATACGAAGTCTCCGGCGCAAGCAGCGGCACCGCAAATATCACCAAAACCAAAAGCGCAGACTACGATGTCCTTCGCGCTGTCGAACTCGAGCACAGCAGCGCCCTACTAGTCTACGCAAGCGACGCCATGAACGGCGACCCCAGCATCCCCTCTACACCCCTCCCCCCTCCCCTCCAAGCCTTCATAGATAGCGACAACGCCCTCTTCGCCGCCGAACTCCACTCCGAGCGGCGCCACCTGCAACCCACTACTCACCAGCACTACAACCCGCCCGCCTACGACTTCCCCCTCGACGAAAACGACAACCCCGCAAACCCAAGCGCCAACAACGACGCGCGCTACGGCCCCTTCAGCACCATCGACCGCTCATCCATGGACTCCACCCGCGGCGTCGGAGGCGGCAGCTCCGCGCACCCGTCGCCCCCTCACTACCCCGACGACGACGAATTCTCGCTCGATCCCCAGGGCGCTTATGCCCAGGGCATCAAGCAGGGGTATTCGCTTGATGAGCTGGAGGGCTTGCGGGAGAGGGAGCGCGAGCGCGAGGGGGCGGAGGTGCATGAGATTCGACTTGGGACGCCGGAGCCGGAGGAGGAGGATGAGGGAATTGATGTTGGGGAGATGCAGGAGGAGGAGGAGAGGCATGGTGCTGTGGAGGGGATGGAGCATGTTGAGTTTCGCGAGGGGGAGAAGTGATCGAGGTTTGCCGGGCTTTGGAAGGCGGCTGGTGCGCTTGTAGAAGTTTTGCTGATGCAGTGTGAGCGGGTAATAGCTGGCCGCGAACTCGCGATGGACAGTAAAACAGACGACGAGCATCACTACGAGTCCTTCCCTCCGTCAGGACTAATCCAAAGCACCTCAGCATCCTCCATCACAATCCACCCTTCCTCCATTCCTCTCACCAAACCTGCCACAAAGAAACACACAAAATGAACTCCCCCTCCCACAACCCCTCACAACGTAAATCCCCCCGCGCCAACCTCCTTCCATTGCCTGACAGGCGCTCCCCCCTCCAACTCCACAACCCACCACAGCGCCTCCTTCGCCTTCGACACCTGCCGACTAAGCTCGTAAGCGCGCGCCAGCGAACTCCACGCCTCCGCGGAGTCCCAGCCGCTTCCTAAGCGCGTGAGGTGTGACAAGAGCATGTACGCTCTGTCGCGCGATGCGAGCCGGTTGAGTTCGGCGGGGGTGGGGTCTTTATTTTGGCGACGGCGGGGGTTGGGAGTTGTGCTTTGAGTGGGAGCGGGGGTGGGGTTTTGTTCTGCGTTGGTGGTGGTTGATGGCGGGTTGGGAGGGATATCTGGTGCGGCGGGGATAGGGCCGTTGATCGTGGGATTTGAGGAAGTGGGACGTTGAGTGAGGGATGGCCGGGGCTCTTCGGCGGGAATCTTCTCTTCGTAGATGTCTAGTAGAAGGTTCGAGAGGCCTAGGATTGCTTCGGCGTGGTCGGGGGAGTGGGCGAGGGCTTGTTCGAAGTTGTCGATTGCGAGGAAGGGTTGCGTGCGTGCTAGGGCGAGGTAGCCTTTCTGTTTTTTGTAGTTTGTTAGGAGGGACGCGCAAGGGGGTGTAGGGATGGAACTTACGGCTGACCACGTTTCGGCCCACAAGGCGTCGACACTGTTCCCTCCGCCCCAGCCTTTGTCGAAGAAGCGACGAGCGCTGGAAAGCTCAGCTCCAACTTCAATCTCGAAGGCGCCGACGAGTTGATGCGCTTCGTCGATGGCACTGCTCGCATCGTCTAGCAGCTCCGCGCGAAGATACAAGCCAGCAGTGAAAAGCCAGATTTTGACGAGCAGCGTGAATCTCTGCTGCCGATCTTGAACTGTGGGGAGCCGCGCGTCAGGCACGAGGTTGGTGGAAGGGTGAGGTGCTGGTAGTCGGACGTCTTGTTCTGGTGGCTGTTGCTCGTGGCCGGGTGGATGTGGCAGGGCGTCTTTGGAAATATTGTGCGCCATTTCACCGAGCGGTTGCGTTGGCGCGGTCGCCAGCTTGGACGAGTCATTTTCTGGGGGTACAGACTTCTCTGCGAGAGTTTCGTTATTGGTGGCGGGGGAAGGGGGAGATGTAGTCTTTTCCATCAGAGTCGATAGCCTCTCGGATGGCTTGCGCATACTGCTTATGCTTCCAGTGGTCTTGAGGCCGCCGTGATCCCGTCGCCGGAAGGGCAGGTGCATGTGGTGGTGTGACTTTTCCGTGGCAACGCCGTCTTCATTGGTGACGGTGATGGCGATGGGAAGGCCGACGTTGTCGTCGGTTCTTGGAGTCTCGTTCGCACCATTTGCGGCGTCTGGTCTCCTCGGCACTATTGAAGCCCGGGATCCAGTCCTGGGATCTCTCTCCATGCTTGCTCTCCCGGGTTTGGAGCGTATGCTACCGGCAAGACTTCGCAATGTCCCGCCACGCTTCGTCGGAGTCGCAGATACTGCTGTCGGAGGAGGCTGTGCAGTCGTCGGCCGACGAGTATTCAGATTCCCAAATAACCTCGCATACAAGCCCAGGAGCTCATAACTCGCGTCCACGGCCATTTCAGCTCCTTCCGTAAGCTCGAAGAGAGTGATTTGAGTCATCTTGATCTGAAGAATCGTCTCCTTCTCATAGCCCTCCATCTGATCGACTAGACCGTTGGGAAGATCGCCTTTCTCCCCGTATTCAGCACTATTGCGCTGCTCTGAGTGTCCATAGAGCGTGGCGGAATCGCCAAACTGCTCAAAGGCCGCCTCACACATGCGCGCTGCTTGTTCGTATCCATCACTGGCCGTCAAGCAGAGCGCGAGCAAATGCCAGACCGGAAGCAGTAATCGCTCGCGGGCGAAGTCGTCGGTCTCGTCCTCTTCGTCATCTTCACCGACCGGTCCAGGAGATGCGATTGCCCGCTTCAAGACCTGGATTGCGTCTGGGACGTCTCTTGTCTCCGCTAGGAGAAGGGCCAGGGCATATGCAGTCTCGATAGATTCTCTGTCGTAATCGTGCGCAAGCCTTAGGTTCTCGAGCGCTTCGGCTTGCAGCTCGGGCCTTGCATGCGTGTCTTCAATCATTCGAGCCCGGTTAGCCTGGCCAGTTCCAATTGCCCGATATCCTGCTGCCAACGTGGTGGATTTGAGTCCAGATTCTGCGCGGGAATCGGTACTCCCACCGCCGGCTGAATGGACTGCGTCTTTGATGGAAGCGGGGTGTTTCGCTTCGTCCAGCCATTTCTTGATCGTATGACCGACCTCGACGGCTTTCACGCCTTGATCCCTGTCCCCGTACCTGCATAGAATTCGCACGGCCTCCGCAGCGACCAAGACGGCAGTATCATCAGGATGAATCTTCACATCTGACGATTCCTTCCTCTCCGCCCGCGCCTTGTCCTTGCTGATGATCTCGACAAAGCTGTTGAATGCGTGCATCGCCAGGTCAAACTCGCCGAGAGCCGCGTGCACGGTGAATAGGTTCCTGAGGATGGTGGTAGAGTGGAAGGTCTTCGTAGCGGCTCTGTACAAGATGTCGAGCACATTCCGACCCGCGCTTTCTTTCCCGCCTTCTCCCAGCTCGGCATCCGACCATGCAGGACCAGACAGGATCTTCCAATTGGCAACGGCCCGCTGTACCCATTCTTCCACTTCAGTATTGATTTGGCTCGCTTTTGGAAACTGTGTTTCATTCAGGAGCAGAGATTCGTAATTCGACTCCACCCGGCGCATTGCTATGCGTTGTCGGACTCTCGCCACGGTGCGATCTTCGCCGGCCGGGATTTCTGAGGGCATGATGAGAAGATCTGAGGCGGACCTGGATGACGTATTGTACGTTAAGCCGTAGTGTAAGATGGTCGACAGAAGCTCATAGTGAGCCCGCCAGACATTTCTCCGGGGTGTGTCCAGCTTAGATGTCGTCGCTCTCGCTGCACTAGCAGCCGCTGGGCTTCGTTGCCAGAAATCCGACCACGCCGAGAAACAACGGAGAGACTGGCTGAGTGACTGCACCGTTGGCTCCCCTGTGGAGATCTTCGTAACCAGACACGCTCGCGCAAGTAAGCGTTCAGTCCACCTCCTCAATTCCGGAGTTCTCGAACCCGGTGTCCGCGTCGCGATCTCCAAGCACATTGTTCGGGCATCCTGCTCCTTCCCGCTTTCGATAAGAGCGACAAGCTTGATGTATTCCGTCTTGACTTCGCAGACTTCCGTCCAACCCAAAGGACTTGCTCGTGCTGACGCCGAGGAGGTCGGTCGGCTTTCCTTGGGGACAGCCTCCAGAGCCTTCGTGTGGTCATTTTGTAGATGATATATCTCTGCAAGGCATGTCTTTGCAACGTACACGTCTTCAGGGTACCGGTCGTCTCGAATATTGGAGGTAGCTTCGCTTAGCTTCGAGATGAGATCGCCGATGCCGTCTACGGGAGATGTGGAGGATGTCTGCCGTTGTAATATCGAGGAGATTTGCGCCTCGGAGCGCGCAGCAAGAGTAAAGCCTTCAGACAGACTTAGCAAGTTGTTCAGTCAGGGAAGGGAATAAAGGCACATACATTTCCGCTGCGACGCATGCTTCTCCGTCTTCCTTGCCAGCTCCGCAATCTCCGACCAGTTGCCATTGCACAATGCCTGGTCGAGCTGGGCAAAGTAGGTTGCGCCCTTGCCCGTGGCCGGCGCGGCCGATGTGACACTCATGGCGCCTCTCCTTCCGCCTCTTCCGCCTCGCTGGTACTATCGCGTCATTGTCGTGGTCGTCAGTACTAGGGTTTCAACATGCACGCTCAAGAGTCGTTCCAAGATGAGTGATGTGCAAGGACACTGGTCAGGGACGAGACGAAGTACTCTGACGTGCGGCGCGTGCCGATGTCATTGGCCAGAGCTTCGTGGGAGCGCGGACCAGCCAGCCGAAACTTCCTCATCCGGCCAGACACACTCCAACTTTTTTTGCCGCCTCTTATTCCAAACACCTTTTGCGCCAGGATGCGCACCGCGCACGATGAAGTCAAGTAACAGTCTTCCACGCAGCTCAGCCAGTGTGGCGTCATTGCGAGCCATCACGTATCGCATCGCATCGACTCCGGTTCAGCAGCTGCCTCATGTCGCCGCTCAAATATCCTCATCGCTATGGAACACTCGCGATCTCCTCTCCGCCTCCCCAGATCAACTAAAAAGCAACGCAGAAGCCGCGACTCTTGTCCATCGCTTCACCAAAACGCTATTTTCACTCCTCCAAGACCGCACAGTCGAAGGACGATGGGCAGCAGTCGTTCTACTCAAGGCTACCATTGAAGCGGGTGGTCTTGAACTGCTCACCAAATCTGGGGCCTGGGTCAGAAGCCTTCTGGCCATCTTGAAGAAGCCCGATCCTCCTACTACGCGCACGCTGGCAGTCATCTCCATCACCCGGATCTTCACTCTCACCTGGGATCACACAACCCTGGTCCGGGAGATCACTACCCCATCTCTCCCACCTTTCATTACGTCTTGTCTCAACAACTTCGAACAGAAGAGATGCTCTGCAAATGAACGACAGACTATTCTGGCAGCGTTTGCGACTTTACTACCCCGACATCCGACCGTCTTTCGTACATTCGACAAACAAATCCGAGCTTTGCTTGTGCGCATCATCTCTTCCACTTCTTCAAGCACCGCGTCTGAGGTACATTACACCGTGGGAGAAAAAGAGGTTGCTCGACGACTACTAGCCCTGCTGCACCATTGCGCCCCTCAACAAAGTGGCGCATCAAAATGGGCAGAAGGTGTGAAGACGGCAGTCGCAACCGCTCATGAGACATGTGACGTTTTATTCAGAGCGATAATCGAGGACCGGCAATCTACGGCGAGCAACAACATCGCATCCAAACCCACTGCTGCTACCGATCAGATTGCCAACTTCCTCGGATCCGGGCCTGGGAGAGGTGTCTACGCTGATGGTGAGATGCTCGTGGAACTCCTCGTCGTGCTCCAATCACATCTAGAAGTTTCAACTTCTGGTACGGTGCATGTACCCGTAGGTCTCCTGGTCGGACTCATCCACCGCGTTCTCAACGTCACCATGCCGGCGAGAAGCGGTGATGATGGACAAAAGTTCAACGTCGAGATAGCCAAGGATGAAAGAGAGGCACTCTTCACCGTTCTCCCTACCATCCACATCGCGACCATGCAACTGGCCAATACCCTACTGGCTCGCTTCGGTACGGCAAGCGTGCCCTACATCCCTGAGCTCCTGGAGCTTGTGCGCCACGTTTTCAGCCAAGAGAAAGCAGATGTGGACATTCGCATGGCCGTTTACGAGACACTGAGGAATCTCTTGGACATCATCGGCCCGGGCATGTCGAAGGCGGAAGTTGCAGATCTGGCGCCTATCATCCGGATGTGCTGCGAGGATCTTCTACCCACGGATGCCCCGTCATCAACGACAAGTGTGAATGGAAGCTCTGCGACGCCTCCAGCAGGAGTTACGGCTGTTTCATTGCGCTCTGCATCACAAGATGACCGCGTGGCATCAGCGCATACCCTGTTACCACGCCTTTTCACCAAAATTAACCCGGCCTACAATCCACGCAAAGTGCGTGTGCAAATGGAGCGAACGGCAATCTTGACAAAGCATGAAGAGGCTTTGACAGCGTGCGTCATGAACCCTGGAAGTAAAGACGGCCAAGCTGGCCTTTCGCCCAGTCTCCTACCCATGCTCGCCAGGTTGTTCCCAGAGAGCTCAGGGCTGGAGATGATACTCAGGCCACGGATGCCTGTCATCCTTTCAGGCTCCCGCGCTACGGGTGCTAGCGGGACACATACATCGCATGTGGAGGATGTTGATATGTCTGGTGAAGCTTCCGAGTCTGAAGTGGAGGATTTGGTCGAAGAGAATATTGTTGCATGGCCTGTCGCTGCGGAAGGTGAACCGGCTGTCAATGGAAGTGCTGCCACCGCGCTCACGAGCAGCAACGCATCAGACGCATTGGCTAAAACTCACGTTGAAGTTGGCCAGCCCAAGCGGGCTGCTTCTGACTCAGTCGAGGCCGACATGACACCAAAGCGAGCTAGGACATCCCCTTTCAAGAACTTTTCGCGACCTCTAGTGGACGTTCATCCTGTTGGGCAGCAGGAGGTCGAAAGCGGCGCTGCTTTGCCACAGTTGCAGGAGGTGCAACCTCTGGAGCCAGTGCAGCGTGCTGTGATGGCGGATATCGTGGCTCCGGGAGCAGCAGGCGTTGGTCCCGAAGAGGTTACAAAGGGGGGCGATGCTCGTATTGAGATCGAGGACGATGATGACGATTTCGAGATACCCGCGATCAATCCTGATCCTGACACAGATTCGGAGGATGAGGATGACGAAGAGGGAGATGAGTAGAGACATATCAGAGCGAAACATACCTCACAGAGAGTTACTCCCTAACCCAGACTGGCGCATGTTGGTTGTATTTGTCTACTCAATCGTGCACCACGCCTGAACGCGTGACTAAGCAGCGAAGCCTTGAAAAGAAGCCCAACCTCAACCCTAACCCGCACTCCCTCCGACCTATTTGCGACAACACGAAACTCCTCGCAACCCGAAACGATGAGAGCGCGCTCGATACAATATTGTGCGCTCCTAGATGGCCCCAATGACTCCCGGCAAAAGCAGCCATAAAAAGCGAAAGACGCTGCATCACGGACGACCACCCACCGCAAAGAAGACGACAGCATCGCTCTCGAAAAAGGCGACGCAAAAACTCATCCGATCCCAACACCAGCTGAGCAAAAAGCTTGCAACCGCACAGGAAACGGGCGACGCGGCCGCCATCAAAGATGTCGAGAACCAAATCAACGACCTCGGCGGGCTGCAGAGTTATCAGCTCGCCAGCATCCAAGGGCAATCGAGCGAGCGGGGCGGCGACTCTTCGAAAGTGCTGATGGATTGGCTTCATGATGTCCAACCTGAGCTGGCGTCTGCGGAGCCCAAATTACGCATGCTTGAGATTGGCGCTCTTTCCACCAGGAATGCTTGCTCTAGGAGTGGGCTCTTTGACATCCAGCGCATAGATTTGCACTCGCAGGAAAAGGGCATTGTGCAGCAGGATTTCATGCAGAGACCACTTCCCGGGAATGCGAGCGAGCGATTCGACATGATCTCGCTTTCACTTGTGCTGAACTTCGTCCCGACGCCTGAAGGACGGGGCGAGATGTTGAGACGTACATGCCAATTCCTTGACCGAGAAGCTGCGAAGGACATGCCTGACCCTGTTCGGGAGGTTTTCCCTGCACTCTTCCTCGTCCTCCCGGCGGCGTGTATTGCAAATTCCCGCTATATGACCGGGGAGCGGTTTGGGGAGCTCATGGACAGTCTTGGCTTCCGGATGCTCAAATCGAAGCAGACGGCGAAGTTGATTTACCAGCTGTGGACGTGGCGATCACCGCTGCAGGGCGCTGAACGGCACTTTGCCAAGGTCCAAGTGAATCCTGGGCGAGATAGGAATAATTTTTGTGTTGTTCTTCGTTGATCATGGCATGGTATATGAGATTATGAAGGGATGTGAGGTTGGGACCAGTTTGTAGAGATAGAAGTTGACATGGCAAGGTATGCACGTGTCACATCACTCGACTGTCGTACGGTAGATTGAGAAGCATCTATTGTGCCTAATACTTGAAACATTACGAGGCAATTGGATGATAGAAGAGGCACGAGCATGGGGTGGACGTCGGAAGGCGGAGTCCAAGGCCGAACCTCGGCGCAACGATGAATGACGCTCCAGCCACATCTCATCATCACTTCATCGCGTGCAAGCGACTCGGGCAAGGAGACAATCAACACCACCGCCACCACCACTCCCTCTACACGAACACCACAGCTGCATCACTCCCTCCTCAATTCCAATCACGACCACTCTCGATGGTGCAATGATCGAAGCTACCCGGCGTTGGTTCCGGCGCAACAGGACCAGTCTCTTGATTGGCGCGGGAGTGATTGGTGCGGGATACGTCGCGACGCAGTATGTCCTCAACAAGATCCAGGAGGCGCGACAGCGCATGACCGAGGACCGGGTGTCTCGAGAGAAGTGTGTTGCATGCTACCCACGCCAATTGAATGAAAGACCGCCCTCCAGCTAACCATTCCCCGCGCGTGTAACAGTCTCCGAAGACGCTTCGAGCAGAATCAGGAAGATTGCACCTACACCGTCCTCGCCCTCCTCCCCACCGTGCGCGAAGAAATCATCGGCGCGTTGCCCGTCGAGCAAATCACCGAGCAATTGCAGCAAGAGCGCCAAGAGCGCCTGAAGAAACTGAGTGCCTCCGAAGCACCGTCGTCCGAATACCCCTCGGCCCCTCCGAGCGTCATCACAGACGATGCGGCCAGTCTGCAGAGCGGCAGCTACATCCACGCGAGCCAGATCACGAGCAATCCCACAGAACTTGGGGCGCCTCCTCTCCGACCGCGCAGAAGCAAGGCACAACTATGGCAGGAGATGAAGCTCAACTCCATTGCGCGTGCCCTCACGCTCATATACACGGTGTGCCTGCTGACCATGCTCACCCGCATCCAGCTCAACCTGCTGGGCCGAAGGACGTACCTGTCCTCCGTCGTGGCGCTCGCCACGCCCCCGGCGCCGATGGAGGACTCGAGGATATCGCTGGAGAACCGCGACGATGATAACTACGATAACATGTACGGCAACGACTTTGAGACGAACCGCAAATACCTCACCTTCTCCTGGTGGCTGCTGCATCGCGGCAGCAAGCAGATTATGGACCGCGTGTTGACCGTGGTTAAGAGCGTGTTCGGCACCGTCAATATACGGGAGGACATCAGCCTGGAGCGCCTGGCGGATTTGATCATGCAAGTGAGGACGCAAATCGAGGGCATCACAGAAGAAGAGCGCCGCCAAATGAAATGGCTCACCTACCTCCTCCCACCACGCGAAGACGAAGCCTTCGTAATCCGCCAATCAAGCATGTCCGAAGGCGAAGACGACTCGCCCTCCCCGGCAGCACACTCCGTCGAAGACCCGATGACAGCCTCAGCAGTCGAAGCCGAAACAGCCGTCAACGACTCCCTCCGCCGCCTGCTCGACGAAACCTCCGACCTCATCGACTCCCCCACCTTCACCCACGTCCTCACCCGCATCCTCGACGCTTCCTTCTCCCACCTCGTCGACTACCGCATCGCCACCGAGGCCTTCAAAGCCACCGGCCTCGCGGCTCCCGGCACCGCGGCCGCGGACGAACCGCGTATCACCGAAGTCGTCGATACCAAGTCTAAAATTGCGCATATCCTGCCCATCTTCTGCCGGCAGGCGCACGTCATTGCCACCGGCAGCGGGGAGCTGGATGCCATTTCCGGCGTCGTCGCGCCGCAGGATGCGCCTCTTGGCAACGAGTACCTTGCTGCTATTGACGGGGTCCACGATTTGAATGCTTTCGCGGCCGTCATCTACTCGAGCAATTTCGAGTACGAGTTTGGTAGCGGGGGTAATACGACTGTCCCGCTGCCATCCAGGCCGTCTGCACCATTAGACGCTCAAGCCCTAGGCGAGAACACGCTCGAGGATGCTGGTGTGCTTCTACCCGCGGCGGAGGAGGAGGCTCCGGCTGCTGGTGGGGGCGGGTTTGAGAGTGCGTGGAAGCGGGCATTAGATGATGGAGCGGGTGGGGATAGATGAGAGGGCGGACGTGTTCACGTGTAGCGGCTAGGTTTCTAGATCTCTCCCCTACCGACTAGATTTTATGAAAGCTTCCTTCGTCTGACTGATGTGATGATAGATGTAATGAGTTTATTGTATCCCGCTGGCAGTTACGTCCGCATGCGAGGGAAATACAGAGAAAGAAGTCATGATAGAGGGCATCAAAAGACGTTACTAGTACACAAATGCTATGCATATCAAACAAGCCCAATGCACCTTGGTTTCGCTGAATGCAGTGATACGAAATGGCCTCCTCTCCACTCTCTCTCAACATGATCGCATGATCACGCCGTGACTGCCTAAGAGGACTTGGTGAAGGTGCGGGTGACGTTGACGGCCTGGCACGAGGGGTTCTGCGGGCCGTACTTGGTGCCGTAGACCCAGTTGAGGGTGTTGTAGATGTAGCCCTCGTAGTTGCTCTCGCACATGTACCAGTTGTAGAGGTTGGTGCGGTTGCCGCTCTGGGGCGGGTTGACGCGGTCGCTGAGGAGGAGTATGTTAGCACAAAAGCAATCTGGGGGGTGGATGCGTGGCATGGGGACTTACTTCAAGTAGCTCTGGATGTACATGTTGTTGTCGTGGTCAAAGGAGAGGGACTGGGGCTCGTTGGTGGGGTAGAAGAGGGCGAGCGCGACGTTGGTGCTGGGGTCGAGGTAGAGGGTCATGGCTTCGGACTCGGAGAAGCTGTCGTTGCCCGAGCCGCCCTCCAGGTTCCACACCAGCTGGCCGTCGTTGGGCAGCGACCGGGTGTAGTTGAAGTTGAACGTGTAGTAGTTTGCCGTCTTCTTGGGCACGGCCGAGGCTTTGGGGCCGAGGAGCAGGCCTTCGATAGCGGCGCCTTCGTGGCCGGCGTCGAGGACGTGGCCGTTGAGGCTGGAGTTGTCCGACTTGAGCTCGAGGTAGAAGGGCTTGGATTGCTTTTGGGCGAGGGCGCCGGTGAAGAGGAGGGCCGAAGCGGCGAAGGCGGTGATGAGCTGCATGGTTGCTGTGGGGGGTGGGCGTTGTTGGAAGAAGAAAGTGTGGAATAGACTTGATGGATCTTGCTTGGACTGGAAAGTGCTGATTGCTTGATGATGAGAGCAGACTTACATGGGTGGACATGCCGATACTTATACAAATGGCCGACGATGATGCACTACAGCACGATCTGTGCCAGCATTCCGCACCCGAGCGCGCGATTTTGCCGCTGGTGCCACACGCCGCTCATCGCCGGACAGGCAGACGGCGTTTGCATACCAGCTATTTGGGGAGGGCACGGAAAGGCGCATGACCGCCGGAGGAATCGCTAGTAGGCAAGAGGTAGCGTGGGATATAGCGTCATTGCCGTCGTATTCGGCTCGCGCTAAAGCAGAAAACAGCGATGGAAGTGGAAGGTAGCAGCCTGGATCGACCACACCCTACCACGGCAACCAGTCTAGCTTGGCCGGAAATAGCTACATGGCGGACGGCGAGAGCAGGTTCACGCGAGCCAGACATGATGGCCGAAGGGTCGGCGTGGTGCGCCCGGCGTCGAAAAACAGTAGTTTGTCCGGGCCAGCCGTACGGAGAGGCACAGCTTATGCCGCGTTAATGCAGAGGGTGTGACGTTAGGAGTAAGCCCGAGAATTTAAGCGGTGCCGAGGCCGGCAAAGTGCTTGAAAGAGAGCTTGGGAGAGAAGTTTTGCCTTTTTTTCAGCTTTGCACAACCACACCACCTCTATCGGCGTTTAAAAATAGCACGCGTGGGCTGAGCCTCTCTTTGCTTCCAGACTTTCTTTCGATGCGCCGGCCTCGCTTGTGGCACTTATCTACTGTATCATTCATTCGGCACTGGATGCCATCTCCATTTCCACCATGCACGACATCATGGTCGTCCATTACTTGTAGCATCCTGTGGCATGCCGCTCGCCGATAATGAGCCTCTGCGTAGCAACCACAGTGTGACACTCACGAGTGAGCCCGGGCGTGCACATATCAACCTCTCCACATTCCGACCCGGAAGACTAGTGATCAATACTGCACAGCCTGCGGCTATCAAGCGACGGCGCGCTCACAGACGATGCACAACAATGGCTCGTCGAGCCGTGCAGTCGCGCTTCACTCGGCTGGCGCAAGTCTAGAAGTGCCACCATCTGCACAGCAGGGTGACCTGCATGACCGCGTAGGGCTAGTGGCTCCGAGCAAAGCAGACAGGCCTCGCAGTAATGCGAGGCGATAGGTGCAACCCCGCATACCAGTCCACGGACCTTCCAAACATGACTCTCGAGCCGCGGATTCGTGACCACATAGCCCAAATCGTGCTGCTATATGTAGAAGCCGGGGTGGGGTTTAAAGGATATAGATCTACAGCCCGCGCGCGACGATCCCTTCTTCCGCCCACTCCGACCTCCTCCACTTGGAGAATGTGGGCGGCGCGTATAGGTAAGGTAAACAGGACCCTCAATCCTTGTACGTCATATTGCTACAAGGTGGGGGAGGGTGCTGGCGGACTATGTGTAGCGTCGAACGTGCTGGCGGTGCTTCATTCGGCTCGCCGTAATCGCTTGTCGTCGACCCTGAGAAGGGGGTTCGGATGCCTTATGACGTTGACTTGGTATTCCCACGAGAAGGCAACGCGGGATTGGCAGCTTCGTACAACGCACGGCCCGATCACCACTTCAATTTTGCAGTGACCAGAACTGGAATGTTGATGAAGGATTTGGCGAGTGCTTCGATTTGGCGAGTGATTCGATTCGGCTCGTCGGAATGTCGTTTGTTCACGATGCCACGGAAAAGACGGCCCTGAGGGCGTATCTGGTCGTACTATGACGCAAGGCTGTTGATTCAGGAGGTGAAGCAACTCTGCACAAACACGAAAGCAACTCTGCACAAACGCGAAGCAACGCGGCACAAATGCACGGTCCGAGATGTCAATCCAAAGGGGTGCAGGCTTCGGCACGTTCGCCGAGAGTCGTATAGCAACGCTGGGCGTGCACCACGAAGCAGCATGATCTCGCGCGGCAACGATGGGCTACTAATCAAACAATCACAGTATCTCGAGGTTGTCTTTTCCCATTCCAGTATTTAGTCGTCTCGTCACCACACTGCATCCTCAACTGCTGGCTGGAAATGAGGAGTTCAGCCCTCGAGGCCAAGCAATTGCAGCATGATTTGACACAGCACTAAAAGGCTGATTTAGACAATGATAGTTCCCATCGGGTGCTTTGGCTCTTGCATGTACTTCATTCGTCCTGTCGACTCACACGCCCTGTTCCCACTGAGACACCTCATTATCCGAATGAAAAGTTCAGCGCCTCGCGGTCCGGGCGGTTCAATGCCGAGCCCATCACACCTTGGCACCGCGATTTCCTATAGATCGGCAGGACAGGTGGACGTGAATTAATTTCACGATGGACACCCCGCATTTGGTTGTGATGCGCAGGTTGAACACGAGGAGCGACAGGGGACCTGGACGATCATTGTCGCCTTACAGGCAGGCTTGGCCAACCACGGCAAGGCTGGCAAATTTCGGGCAAGCTTCAACTGCCCCTTTCGGACGCCGGGCAGCGCAGCACTTCCACCGATTGGGTTTGGCCTCGAACCTACCTCCAGACAGACAATAAATACGCCGCGGAGATTGATGCCAACCGCCAGACCGTTCACGCTTTAATTTCGTGGCATCGATATGCTTGCCAGCCTCGACGCCCCCTAACATGCAGGCGAAACCTTGGGGAGTCGGTATAAAAGGGCGTCCGTAGCCTACTCTTGCTACGTCGGTTTTTGTTGATTGCTATCACTCACTCCAACCCAAGTCACTCGTTTAGATCCTTGCATTGCTCACACCGTTCCTTTCGAACAACTCAAGTAATCCACCTACCGTCAACATGCGTTTCTCCGTCGCCTTCATCGCGCTCTTCTCCGCCATGGCCATCGCAGCCCCCATGGCGGGCGGCCACGGCCGTGAGCCCGCGCACCGCGAACCGCATCACAGGCAGCCGCATCACCAGACCCCGCCTCCCCCTCCCCCGCCTCCCCCAGGCAACACGGTCAGCACGCAAGGCTCGTCCAGCACTGGCAAGAACAGCGCTGGTATGTACAAAGCCCCCATGCGTCGCTTTAGTAGAGACAAACGCTAACAGATCAACAGCTGCCGAAGCCGCCGCTGCCAACACCAACTCGACGAACACGGCGGTAGCCGCATGTGGTACGTGAAGGAGACGGCGGAGAGGACTCCGCGTCAATCGTCTGCATTGGCTAACCTCGTTTCTAGGCTCTGACGGCTGCGCAACGTCGCAGGGTAGCAACGGAAACGGAGCCTCCTCCTCAACTTCGTCAGCCGCCGCTGGTAGCAATGGCAGCGGAACTGGGAGCGGGGCTGGAAGCGGAGGAAATAACGGTGGTGATGGTGAGGGTGAGGGCGAGGGCAGCACCGATGGCTCCTCGGCGGCATCGTCCTCGGCCGCATCCTCAGGCAATGGCGAGGGTCTCGATGGTGCCAATGACTTGGTCTCTTCCACCCCGATCAGCCTTGCCAGGTTCCTTTAGAGTGCTGAGAGGAGAAGCGTGCGAATGGGGCCGATCGACTGAACGAGAGGAATGCTGAGTTGTCTTCGGAGGAACAGGTCGTACACCTAGCATTTGTTGTAATTCCACGTTTTGCACGCGCAGTCTCTTCCAAGTGCCGTCTCATCCTTGCCCGCGCGGACGACAACAGAATCTACCACAGTCTGAGAGGACCTCGTTTTCCACTCTCCTCGTATAGCGAGAGATATGACTTTCTTCAGAGCCATGGGTGGGAGGCATGGATGATGCCGGATCCTCCAAGGCAAAGGTCCGATTTGGAGTGTTTGGCAGAAGCCGAGATTAATTAGACAACCCCTGCAATACCGATTTGCCATCGTGTCAAGGTTGAAGAACGTGCTCTCATATTTAGCGATTCCATCTTATTACAGTTGAACCTTAAGGGCGTGCTCCGCGGCCGGAAGGCTGGCCGAGCTCACTAAGCTGTCTTAGCGTTGCTGTTGGGTCAGCATGCTTTTGAGACTGACGATTCTCGACTTCAAGAGTGTAATCATGGCAGTCTCCGGTGCCAACGAGGGTGATGGTCTTGTCTTTGCATAACCTGGGTTGGGCGGTCGTTGATAGAAGCAACCCCTTCCCCGCGGCGTGCCACGCGCTAGTCTCGTCTAAGCTTCCGCTAGTCGCCTGTCAATCTCCACCTCCTGGCTCTCACGTCAATCGCCATTCCCAATTCAACCCCCGCGCCTTGTCGACCTCATTTTAAATCCAGGCACTAGCCTGATCATTAAACTTGAAGGCGTCTGCGTATGTCGAAAGCGGCAACCAGGGGATACCTCATCAATCGCAGCAGCATGGACCTCGACGTGCCCTGGCGTGCGCCACGAGGTCGCCTCGAGGCCGCCTCGAGGCGCCTAGCATCGCCCCCCCGTCACCCTGCTCTCGCAGACTCTACTTACTACTTTTCATCTGTCTGAGCAGAGACACGACACTCTTCTTACTCACATACCAACTATAGTCATTCGTTTGATCTGCGTTGCTTCTTTCCTTTCAACATGAAGTTCACTCTTTCTTCCGGTCTCGTAGCCTGTTCTTTCTTCGCCGCCGCGTCCTCGCACGCCATCCGCCATCATGCACACGGTCATGGGCATGGCCATGGACATGCGCAATCCGCGGCTTCGTCGTGCTACACTGTGAATGGGGTTGGAGGAGCAGCGATCAACCCCTTGCCTACCGTTCACAAGTCTGTTGTCTCCACGGTCACCGTGACGGCGGGCCACGTTGCGAGAAGTACGACATCGCTGGGCGCGCCGACACTTGCCACGTCAACTGTCGTGAAGACGTCCGACAGGACTTCTCACCACCACCACCGTGGAGTGAGTCGCCCTCCGAAGCTCACCAGTAGTCGTTGTCGAGTTCTTCTGCTAACGTGGGTCAGGAATTCGCCACGACCACACTGTTGGTGCACACAACAATCACTCTCACAGCCCCGGCCAGTGTGATTACCGAAATCGCCAATGCATCAACCTACACCTTTGGGACGGCCAGCTTCGCCACCGATGCAGTCACCATCCCGATACCTTCTGGCTTCGTGCCGATCGAGTCCACGCTTCCTACCGCCGGCGTTGCGAAACGACACATCGCAGAGCGTGCTGCAGACCCTCCTGCTGGCCATCAAACCATATTCCCGGCCGGCATTCGTCCTGAGGGTGCACCCAAGTCGGTGGTGTGCAATACGGTGATTCACTCTACCGTGACCGTGACATCAACCACGACGGCCATCGTCAAGAAACTCGCGGCTGGAACGAAGACGGCGACGTCTGAGCTTACTGTCACCCAGGTATGCACTGAAGTCTTTCAAATTTGTGAAATTCGGCACAATAGCATACTGACAGACCTCCAGCTACACCACAACTTCCCTAACCATCCCGGAAAGACCATCACCAAAACCAGCATCATCTCAATCACCTCCCACACCACGCCGCTCACAACAGTAACTACGACACCAACCGTAACAGTGACCGACGTGCTGCCCGAAGCCACCTTCTACGCAGCCTGCGCGGCGAACAACCTCGTCAGCCAGGTCAACGACTACCCTGTGGACGGCTTTGCCCTCGCCGCCACCAGCATCTCAGACCAACAGACCAGCAACATCGTCCAATATACCGACGTGAACGCCACTTCGTCCTACGACTGCTGCGTGATGGCGCAGCAGACCACCGATTCCACCGTCTTCTTCTACACCGGATCGGACTTTGGCGTCCAGAACGGGCAATGTCTCGTCTTCATTTCCGACGCGTGTCCCGTCCCGGGCGACCAGACGGAGATCTACGGCGCGGTGTACAACGGCACGGCGTCGCAGCTGGGAGGCGACTATCATGCTTATATGGGCAATGCGGGCTGCGGCGTTGGCGTAACGTCCGCGACGAACTTCACCATTTGGACGCAGGCGCAGTCTCTGGGGCTCGAGGGCGGTGGGGTGACGGCGGGGTCGCAAGCGGGGACTCAGTTGACGAATGCTGGCTGAGGCAAGTGCGTGGCCTGTTGGAGAGTGAATGTTTCATGTAATGGTACAAGCAAGGCGCTCGAGATTGAAAGACCACATTATGCAACGTGGATGGGAATCAGAGAATAGCAATGGACTCGGCTCATAGCAGGCAGTTCGGCGCATTGTTCCCTTTGGAGGAGAAATCGGCAGCGAGCACCAGACATCCATTTCGTTGAAATCAGCTCTCGCATAACAATATGATTATTTCGGCAGCCGTGCAGATGTTTGACTTCCGTTGATTTGCAGCCTGTAGTCCGCTCAGCCTTGCGCTGTAGTTAAAACTGGTCATAGCTCCCGCCTCGCATGCGCCCAACTCTAAATTTCACCAACCTCCAAAAGATTTCAATGACGCCAACACCAACCACACGCAAACCCAACCATGGCCCGCCCCACCAATCCCCCCCGACTCTAGCAGCACTCGCCTAACCCATCCCAACGACGAAGTAAACCCGCATGGCCGGCAAGCGCCTCCTCGATGCCGCCAAACTGCTCAATGCCGCCGCGGCCGTGGGCAAGCAGCACGCTGCTCTGCGCCGCCAGCAGTGGGAGCTGTACGGGCAGACGTCGAGTTTGGCGCGCGCGGTGAAGGAGCAGACGGATCGGGTTACTGTTACTGCGGGTGCGGCTTGGGAGCTTGCGAGGAGACTTAGTGAGGTTGATTCGCCGCGGCGGGGTGGGTGGAGGGAGGAGGAGGAGGAGGGTCGAGAGGCTCGAGAGTGGAGGGCTGAGAGTCAAGAGGGGGATGTGAGGGATGCGGCGTGGAGTGATGCAAAAGAAGGGGCGAGAGACGCTGCGAATGAGGAGGGGGATGTCAAGGCTGCTTTGCGGAAAGATGAGGCGCAGCGTGTTGAGGATTATCTTGCGCAGACGCAAGAGAGTGCTGCAGCTGCGCAGACAACCTCGACTTCCCCAGAGACTCGACCAAAACAGGAAGACATCCCGGCGGGTGTTAATTTGGAAGGCTTGTTTCAGAGCTCCAGGGTGTCTAGAAAGGTCGGAAAGACGGGTCCGAACATCGATAACCTTTTTGGAGCGAGGAAGAAGATGCAAGCAAAACCTTTGCCGGAAATGCTGGCAGCAGATAGGCGGAGGGAAGAAGAGCGAAGTCGGGTGGCAGGGTCAGCAACGAACGTACAATCTGCAACAAAACAAGACGATCGTCCAGCTCCACCCGTTGGAGAAGTATCTGGGTCACAATCAGGAGAGGCCGACGCGGAAACACAACGGCTCGTCGAATCGATTGCGCAGGAGACAGAAGCGAGCCCGACTTCATCGAGCGCCGCCAATCAACCAAGCCCCATGGAGAAGCCGTACGAAATGCACGAATCAAGAGTACCGTCCTCGCGCTTTGGCAGATTATGGCAGTACAGCGGGCTAGCCACCAGCATGGCCTTTGGTGCAGTCGGGGAAGGTTTCCGTCGATTCGCTGGCGGTTCCAGCGAAGGCAGCCTGATGCTCAGCGAGGCCAACATGAACCGTTTAGTCTCCAAATTGAGTCGCATGAGAGGCGCGGCACTGAAGCTCGGACAGATGGTCAGCTTCCAAGACTCCAAAATGCTGCCGCCGGAGATCAACGCTGTATTGCAGCGGGTGCAGGATAGTGCGGATTACATGCCGCCTTCGCAACGCAATCGAGTATTAAGCGACAACCTCGGGGACAAGTGGAGGGATTTGTTCTCGAAGTTTGAGGAGAAGCCGTTTGCTGCTGCTTCGATTGGACAAGTGCACAAAGCGACGCTGGCGTCGAATGGGAAGGATGTTGCGGTGAAAGTGCAGTATCCAGGTGTGCGAAACAGCATTGACTCGGATCTGAACAACTTGTCCATGCTCCTTACGGCGAGCAGGCTGTTGCCCAAGGGTCTGTTTCTGGACAAGACCATCGCGAATGCGCGAGTCGAGCTTGCATGGGAATGCGATTACGAGCGGGAGGCAAAAGCATGCATGCACTTCAAGGACCTACTGCGGGAGGAAAAGGACATCTTCGCAGTGCCGGAAGTCTACAAAGAAGCCTCCGGTCCCGGCGTGTTGACGGCAGAGTTCATGCGAGGATCTACAGTGACGAAAATGAAAGACCTCAGCCAACACGACAGAGACTGGGTGGGCACGCAGATCCTCCGCCTCTGCCTGCGCGAGCTCATGGAATGGCGCTTCATGCAGACGGACCCCAACTGGACCAACTTCCTCTACAACCGCGACACGCAGAAGCTCGAGCTGCTAGATTTCGGCGCGAGCCGCGAATTCCCGGACAAATTCGTCGAGCCGTACGTCTCTCTCTTAATCGCCGCCTCAAAAGGCAACAGAGAGCAATGCCGCGACCTGTCCATCGAACTGGGCTACCTCACCGGCGACGAAGGGCCCGAAATGGTGCGCGCGCACGTCGACTCCATCATGACGCTCGCGGAGCCTTTCGTCGAGGGCGCGCCGGAAGTGTACGATTTCAAGGACCAGAGTATTACCGAGCGCGTGCGGGCGAATATTGGGCTTATGTTGCGGGAGCGGTTGGCGCCGCCGCCTGAGGAGACGTATAGTCTGCATCGCAAGTTGAGCGGGGCTTTTTTGCTGTGTGCTAGGTTGGAGAGTCGTGTGCGGGCGCGGGAGATGTTTGCTACGGCGGTGGAGGCGTGGAACGGGAGGGATGTGAAGATTTGAGAGAATACCTGTTGTGTTGTAGTATGAGGATGAGTGAATAGACATGATGGCAATGCATACGTAGCGTTTGGGAGGATTGCAATCCTCGTACTGACTTAGAAAACGTATACAGAATAAACAGATGAAGGCATTGCAATCTCTCCGAGCTTATTAATGCATCTTTGTGGACGTATATTGATGTATTCGATCAGGCAGGTACATCGACAGCCGTCGCGGCGTGAGGCGACGAGGCTGGGTGTGGCTGGAAGTGGAGCCGCCATCGACATTCTGGCAGCTTTCAACCTTGCCTTCCCAACGAGCGGGCACGGCATGCACGCATGCAGCTAGGCGACAGGCAGCGCCTCACTCATTCTTGGAATCCATTCTCTAGCGTCGCACAATCGGTAGGTCGCTCAGCGTTTCCACTTCCTCTTCGCCTCTTTCACCGACACCGCGTCCATGTGTCCTGGACGCACCTTCCTTGATGCCGCACTTCCCGCATACGCCTGAGGCACTCCTCGGCCGCAACGACTCGAAGAACCCCGCGAGCACGTGCAAGGGCATCACTTCTTCTGGCAGAGCTTGTCGACGGGCTCTAGCTTCGCCCAAGAGAGGGATTTCTAGCCCTGAGGGGGATGGCATGGACGTGACTTGTTATTGCTGGCAGCACAAGGATCAAGCGGTGGAAAGAGTCGCGCAAGAGCATACTGCAAGCAGGATCGCTGGTCGGAGGAAGTCGGTGGGGACGCCCGCTCTGCATACTGTGCGGGAGAAGAGCAGCATCGACACGCTAGTGTTGAAACTTGGAATCGATGCTTCGAACAATTCAGAGAGCAGGAACGGGGTGCAGGGCACACGCGCGCCGCCTGCGCCATTGCAAGCTCCATATGCGGAGAAGTATGCGTCTCGTCCGGCGCCAGTGAGAAGGAAGAAGCCGGGCTTCTGGGCTTCGCTTTGCTGCGTGGCTCGTGATGCGGATGAGGACTACGTTGAGATTGTCAGGCATCGGCGACGGGTTGAACAGAACGAGCGAGTTCCAGAGATGTCTTCGGTATCACGTCCACCTACTCATGGCAGACCAGTCCCTCGGCACAATTTACCTGCCAATCCTCGGACGAACGACCTGCTCTCGCTGCTACCACCCGGCCTTTCTCCTCAAACCACATCTGCATTACTCGCCGAACTCGTCAAGCCCATCTCTCCATACGACGAAGACGGCTACATCTACATCTTCTGGCTTACGCCGCAATCCCAAGCCGCGCCGTCGGATGCACTTGCTCAATCTCTACTGCAATCTCAAAGCTCGAGACCGCGAAACGTTCGCAAACTCAGCGAGGCCATGAGTGAATTTTCCATCACAGGCAACGAGCAGCATGCGGTTCGACAGGATGGCAGAGCAGGCAGGAAGAGCATCATGCTCAAAATCGGACGGGCGAACAATATCACCCGTCGCATGAACGAGTGGCAACGCCAATGCGGGTATGCTCTGAATCTCGTCCGCTGGTACCCTTACGTCTCCTCATCCTCGATCTCTCCCGGCCCGCCAAGCCCAGACCGGACACCGCTGTACCCAGATCTCACCCGAGTGTCAGGACAAACGGACAGCACGGGGAGTGGCGTGCGCAGATGTCCGCATATTCACCGTGTCGAGCGGCTTATCCAGCTCGAGTTGGCGGCGAAGCAAGTCAAGCGGCGGTGTGGGGTTTGTGGGAAGGAGCATCGGGAGTGGTTTGAGGTTGAGGCTACGGAGGCGGGGGTGAAGGGGGTTGATGAGGCTGTGAGGAGGTGGGTTGGATGGGCGGAGGGATTGGGAGGGAGTGGGAGTGGAGGAGGGTATTATTGATGGGGTGGCTTGTTCATTCATTGCTTGCAAGCGTCGATTGCGTCTCGATCGAACTACATCACCTATACCTTGATACATGCATGTATACGGCATGGACAGGCTAGTTCCAATGCATCAAGGCAGGCCGGCAGGGGCTCGTCAATCCAGACTCAAGGCTGGCGTCTTGGCGGCTCATTCAACGCGCTGCAAACCAACCAGCACTTCCCCCTCGTAAAGGCGGTCGCTTAAAGATGAACGACGAAATTTCAACCACATCGTCCCCGACATGTCCAGCAGACGAGATGCAAACGCCAATCCTGCTGGCCAACCTGGAGTGGCGCCTGTAGCAGACGGCATTGGACAGCTCGTCATCACTGGCCCTGGCCGGCCGCCTCCCGCCCAGACCCCGGCAGGTTTCATGTGCAAGTCCTTCGCTTAATGCGGATTCTGTGGGGTTGGCTCGTCCACCACCTCCCGTCTCCAACTTTTTTTCTGGCGGGTTGTTGAGCAGCATATCTCTCTTTCGCAACCGCCTTTCTTTCCCTTCCATCACTCACATCTATCGTCTTACCATCACCGTCACCATGATGAACGTCGGCAAAAAGGTCGATCGCTTTCGCCAGTTTGCCCGGGAGAAGATGGGCGGCGATGTCGCGACCAGCACCACCGATGAGTTCAAGGCATTGGAGATGGAGATGGATCTCCGGCACCAGGGTAAGCATTTCTCTTGCCATCGTCAGACATATGTGATCAAACACCCGCTGATTCCTCCCAGGAATGGAGAGTCTGCATCAATCCACAAGCACCTACATCAAGTCGCTGTCCAAGCGCGATCACGGCGAGAAGCAGGAGAAGCAGATCGCCGTCGGCCACTTTGGCACCACTCTCGTCAGCCACGGTAACGACTTCGAGCCGGACTCGGACTTTGGCTCATGCCTTCTCGCCATGGGTCGTGCGAACGAGCGCATTGCCCGCTTGCAGGAGACCTACTGCGCCAATGCGACTAGCAGCTGGCTGGAGAGCTGCGAACGCTCGCTCATCCAGATGAAGGAGTACCAGAGTGCGCGCAAGAAGCTGGAGAGTAGACGCCTGGCCTTCGACACGGCCAGCACGAAAATGCAGAAGAGCAAGAAGGAGGACTACAAGGCGGAGGAGGAACTGCGCAACCAGAAGCAAAAGTACGCCGAGAGTCAGGAGGAGGTGGAGAGGCGGATGTTCGACATCAAAGAGGCCGAGGCAGACAGCGTGGCGGATTTGACGAGCTTCTTGGACGCCGAATTGGTCTACTATGAGCGGTGCAGGGAGATCCTGCTGCAATTGAAGAAGGACTGGCCGGCTACGGTCCCGCCGCCTCGCGCCGACACCCCTAGCTCGTTCAATGGAATCGCACGGCACACCACTCGCTCGAGAGGGAGCTCCATCGCCGACCGCTTCAGCAGACAGTTCGATGACGAACCGCTCGAGCCTCCCCCTCGACCGACAATTGGCTCTCGCGCATTCTCAACAAGCAACCTACCGTCAAGAGGCGCACAGATTCCCCGACCGCCTTCCGCATTCGAAGGACCTACGAGCCTGAGCCGCGAACTGTCAGCACCCGTCGCGCAGCGCATCTCGCGCATGCCCACCGAGCAATCCACCATCCAGAACGCGCGCAGCGGCCTGCGAAACACGAGGCCGACGATGATCAATGACACATTTGCAGACAACCAGAGTGATTCCGATGATCAGTCCGATCTCTCGAGGACGTCGAGCATGATGGGACATGATGGGTCGACGGCAAGACGGCCGCCTCCGCCGCCTCCGCCGTCAAGAGCTACGAAGCCGAAACCGCCACCTCCTCCGCCGTTTAAGAGGAGCGCATTGAGTACGGGGCAGATTCCTCGGTACTGAGAGCTATTGTTGTTGTCGTCGACCTGCTAGATGTGTGATGGACTTTACGAGGAACGGGCCCTAAGATTGATGAATGCAAGGTGTTTGGGATGGCTGTGGTCTTGGCTTTAAATATGAGATACGCCAGCGTCAATGATTTCCAAATCCCACCTCTCAACACCGTCGCACATTGCATATGTACCAGTAAGGAGCAGTGAAGACGCTGTCTGAGACGTACAAGCGAAGGTCCGTGCACAGTCACGTGATGATGGCCCGAGCACCGCGCCAAGCGTGGAGTCACGGCGAACGCCAGCCCGCCCGCTTTTGTGATCTTCCCTCACTGGCACGGGCAAAGCATCTGACCGTAGCACGTCTGCGGCTCATCAACCACCATCCCCGACCGCCGCCCCGCTTGCTCCCTCCATCGACGCCGAGTCGAGAGAACGCGTGCGGCGCGTTGACCCCCCTCCATTCCCCTCCGCCACGTCGCCTTTTCTTTCCACTCTTTCTTCACGGTCTTTACTGCCCTGCCCCGATTGCGACAACACGACCGACCCCCCCTCCAGGTCACGGGACTTTAGGAGCAGTGTTTCCCCGACGTGCACCCTCCACCCCATCGACTTTGTCACGCCTGCCGTGCGCCATCCTCCCCGCCGACGCCCTCTTCCTCCCCCGACTCACATGATTGACGCGGGCGCAATCTGAGCACTGTTTGCCCAACAAATCTCTTCAACGCGTACACCCGACAATCTTCGCCTACCGGGCCGCAAAGTCTTGCGATAGGAAGCAGACCAAGGCTTCGTTTGGACATCATGGCCGCTGTGCAGCCCACGCCGGCGATGCAACAGCAGGGTGGCAATGCCAATGCGGCCGCGCAGGCCAACATCTTCCCCCCGGGCCTGACGCGCGAGGCTGTTCAGCAGATATATAAGGTACGTGGACAACATGCTTGATACTTCATGTCTACTGGTAGGAAGGTGACACTGACGCGATTGGCTGCCACAGAGATATCAGCAGATGAAGCACGATGGCGTCCCCGAGACGAACCCGGAGATGCACAAGGCGCGTCAGATTTTGCAGTCCATCCAGCAGAAGACGGAGTTGCTTAGGAAACAACAAGCCCATCGTCAAGCCGCGCTTAAGCAGCAACAGCAGAACGGTGGTGCCCCTTCTGCACCTCAGACTAATGGCGCCGCTCCTGCCATGTCCCCCACTGATGCACAGCCCGCCGCTGCCACGACGAACGGAGCCCAAGCCTCTGCGCCTGGACAGCCCGATGGTTCGACTGATACGCCATACTCCAAGGAGCAACAGATCCTGCTGAGTGCTCAAACCAAGGCTTTCATGTTTCTGCAAAAGAACATGCCCATCCCCGTGCCGCTTCAGGAGAAAATCTTCCCGGCCAAACAAGGCCAAAAGACTCCAACCGTCGCGGAAGGCATCGCTGCCGCTGGCAAAGTGTTGGAGCAGGAGTCGAAGGCCGTGGTCAAGACGTCTACGGGAAGCGATGACCCCGGGCGACACCAATACCTAGACTTTGAAGATCCTCACAAAAACCATCGCAAGAACATCTCTTATGCCGACCACACCTACCGCGATGCTCGCAGCATGATCCCGAGCATCATGCCGCTTGGCGTCGACCCTGAACGCATTCGAGATGAGCGGGAGAACATGATCTACAACCGCATTGTGGCGCGAAGGCAAGAGCTCGCGAAGTTGTCGGCCAATATCGGCGGATGGGATACGAGCAAGTCGGATACGCCCACGGACAACAGCAACGTCAAGTTGAGGAACTTGATCGAGTACAAGATGCTCTGCCTGCTGCCCAAGCAGCGCGAAATGCGACAAAAGATCAGCAAGGAGATGGCCATGTCTGACAATCTTTCCATGACTGCCAACCGCTCGAATTACCGCCGCATCAAGAGACAATCTCTGCGCGAGGCCCGGATCACGGAAAAGCTGGAGAAGCAGCAGCGCGATGCCGCCGAGACGAAGGAGAAGAAGAAGCACATGGACTTTGTGCGCTCCATCACGCAGCACGCCGAGGACATCCGAAACGCCGCTCATCAGCACAAGGCGCGTGTGCAAAAGCTGGGTCGCTTGATGATGACCACGCACAGCAACATCGAAAAGGAAGAGCAGAAGCGTATCGAACGGACTGCCAAGCAGCGTCTGCAGGCCCTGCGCGCCAACGACGAAGAGACGTATCTCAAGTTGCTCGGCCAGGCCAAGGACAGCCGTATCTCGCATTTACTCAAGCAGACCGATGGTTTCTTGAACCAACTCGCAGCCTCTGTCAAGGAACAGCAGCGCAGTATGGCTGGCCGATATGGTGGAACCGCTCCAGAGGAGGAGGCGGAAGAAGAAGAGGTGGACAGCGAGGACGAGGCCAAGCCGAAGGTTGACTACTACGAGGTCGCGCATCGCATCAAGGAAACCGTCTCGAAGCAGCCCAGCAACCTTGTTGGTGGTACGCTCAAAGAGTACCAGATCAAGGGGTTGCAGTGGATGATTTCGCTTTACAACAACAACCTCAACGGTATCCTCGCCGATGAAATGGGTCTCGGCAAGACCATTCAGACCATCTCGCTCATCACATACCTCATTGAGAAGAAGAACCAGCATGGGCCCTTCATCGTCGTCGTGCCGCTCAGCACCCTTCCGAACTGGACGAACGAGTTTGAGAAGTGGGCACCTACCGTGCAGCGCATTGTCTACAAAGGGCTTCCGGGTCAACGCAAGGCTCAACAGCAGCAGATTCGATACGGAAACTTCCAGGTCCTCATCACCACTTACGAGTACATCATCAAAGATCGCCCGATTCTGAGCAAGATTCGCTGGCAGCACATGATTGTCGATGAAGGCCATCGTATGAAAAACGCCAACTCGAAGCTGAGCAGCACCATCACGCAGTACTACCACACTCGATACAGACTCATCCTGACCGGAACGCCACTCCAGAATAATCTTCCCGAGCTGTGGGCGCTGCTCAACTTCGTCCTCCCCAACATCTTCAAATCGGTCAAGAGCTTCGATGAGTGGTTCAACACTCCGTTTGCCAATACCGGTGGCCAGGACAAGATGGACTTGACGGAAGAAGAGAAGCTGCTCGTCATTCGACGTCTTCATAAGGTCTTGCGACCCTTCTTGCTCCGCCGTCTGAAGAAGGACGTCGAGCAGGACCTTCCCGACAAGCAAGAGCGTGTCATCAAGTGCAAGCCGTCGGCCCTGCAAGCCAAGCTGTATCAACAGTTGATGAACCACAACAGGATCATGGTCAGCGACGATCAAGGGAAGAAGACCGGCATGCGTGGCCTGTCCAACATGCTCATGCAGCTGCGCAAGCTGTGCAACCATCCGTTCGTCTTCGAAGAAGTCGAAGATCAGATGAACCCGAGCCGCCTCACGAATGACATGATCTGGCGAACGGCTGGCAAGTTCGAGCTGCTCGATCGTATCCTGCCCAAGTTTAAAGCTACGGGCCACAGGGTGCTCATGTTCTTCCAGATGACGCAAATCATGAACATCATGGAGGACTTCCTGCGTTACCGTGGCTTCGAGTACCTGCGATTGGATGGCTCCACGAAATCGGATGATCGGTCGGAACTGCTGAGACTGTTCAACGCGCCAGACTCGCCGTACTTTTGCTTCTTGCTTTCCACTCGTGCCGGTGGGCTGGGTTTGAACTTGCAGACGGCCGATACGGTCATCATCTACGACTCCGATTGGAATCCGCATCAAGATTTGCAGGCGCAAGATCGTGCGCATCGTATCGGGCAGAAGAACGAGGTGCGCATCCTCCGCTTGATCTCATCGCGCTCCATCGAAGAGAAGATCCTGGAGCGAGCGCAGTACAAGCTCGACATGGACGGCAAGGTCATCCAGGCCGGCAAGTTCGACAACAAGTCCACAAATGAGGAACGGGAGCAGATGTTGCGTGTGATGCTGGAGTCTGCCGAGGTTGCGGAGACCATGATGGATGAAGAGGAGATGGACGATGACGAACTCAACATGGTCATGCAGAGGAATGAAAATGAGCTGGTGGAGTTTCAGAGAATGGATCAGGAGCGGTACAAGACGCAGCGCTATGGTCCTGACAAGAAGCTGCCTCGTCTGCTGGCCGAGAGCGAGTTGCCGGACATTTACGTCAACGACGACTTCCCCGTGGAAGAGACGAATGATTTCATCTACGGACGTGGCGCCAGAGAGAGGACAAAGGTCAAGTATGATGACGGTCTCACCGAGGAGCAGTGGTTGGACGCGGTGGATGCGGATGACGATACCATCGAGGAGGCCGTCGCGCGAAAACAGGCGCGCATCGCCAAGCGACAAGCAAAGAAGGACGCTCGCATGGGCGGGGGAAACGACCAAGCCGAGAGCCCGCCCGTATCCCGCGAAAGCTCCGAGTCACCCGCCCCCAAGAAGCGCGGCCGCAAGCCCACCAAGCCGGAAAAGCGCAAGCACGACGAAGTCTCCGTCGACACGGCCCTCGCCGAACCCCCGAAAAAGCGCGGCCGCGGCGCCAAAGTGAGCGAAACGCTGTCCAAGGAAGACCGCGACACGCTGCAAACCATCCTCGACAACGTGCACGACTCGCTGCAGGATCTGGAAGAGGAGTCGACGGACCCCGAGCTGCTGAACCGCGGCATCATCGACCCCTTCATCGACTTGCCGCCGAAGCAGTCGTACCCGGATTACTACGAGCTTATCAAGGACCCCATCTGCATGAAGCAGATCCAGGCGAAGATTAATAAGAAGCAGTACCAGAACCTCAGGCAGTTCCGGCAGGATATTGCGCTGCTGTGCAGTAATTGTCGGCAGTACAATGAGGATGGGAGTATGCTGTACAATGATGCGAACTTGATCGAGGTAAGCCGTGTCCCATCCCGGTGACAGCGAAAGAAAGAGTTGCTAACGTTGTACGAAACAGCGCGCATGCGTCGACAAGTTGCGCGAAGAAACGGCCGACCACCCGGAGTGGCAGGATTTCGACGACCAGACTTCCGGCGACGGAGCCTCGACCCGCCCCATCTCGAGTGTGAGCACACCGCAGCCGCCGCAGCGCTCGGGATTCAAATTGAAACTCGGTGGGCCGCGCGGGGTGAACGGGAGCACTTCTCGTGGAGGGTCGGACAGTCTGGCGCCGAGTGATGATGAGGAGTAGGTGGTGGGGGGTTGTTTCGAAAAAGGGCATCGATATGGGTGTTTTACAGATGCAAGAGCGGAGAGGCTCGGGTTTTACTCTGGATTCTCTCGGGCGTTTGGGGGGGCGGGCTGGGAAGCATGCTGTTTGCGATCACTGGGTATTCGTGTATCACTCAAGCTAGAAACTTGTACTATCCCGCAAAATACAAGGAGTTGCCTTCCATCTGCCATCACACATCGTTATCATGAAAAGTATCTCAACCTCAGAACAACACCCCCTTCGTACTCGGCACCTCGCCCTCCCTGCCCGCCACCCGCGCACACGCCATCCGCAACGCAACCGCCACCGCCTTGAACGCACTCTCCGCCCGATGATGATCATTCTCCCCGCGCAAACAATCCACATGCAACGTCACGCCCGCCCCCTGCGCAAAACTCTGCAAACAATGCGGGATCATCTCGCAGCTCAGATCGCCAATCTTCTCCCTCTTCAATCCCAGCTCGACGACGGAGTACGGGCGGTTGGAGAGGTCTACGACTGCGCGGGAGAGGGCTTCGTCGAGCGGGCAATAGGCGTAGCCGAAGCGCGCGAGGCCCGAGGTTGTGCGCAGCGCGGCTTTGAACGCTTGCCCGAGCGCTATGCACGTGTCTTCTGCGGTGTGGTGGTCGTCGATGTGCAGATCGCCGTGCGTGGTTAGGGCGAGGGACCAGTGCGCGTGCTTGGCGAGGGCGTGCAGCATGTGGTCTAGGAAGCCGATCCCCGTTGAGATGGCGATTGTTTGGGTGGTGGTGGCTTGCGTTGCGTGTTTTGTGCTGGTGCCGTTTGTGATGTTTTCTTCGGGGGAGGAGGGCAGGGGTCCGCCGTCGAGGTTGAGGGCGAGGGAGATTGTCGTTTCGTTTGTTGTGCGGTTGAGGGTTGTTGAGCGGGTGCTGGGGGTGGTGGAGGCCATTGTGGATAGCGAGTTAAGAGGTGTTGGGTGTGTTGTGTTGAATGCGAGCTTCGCTTCTTGCTTGTGTCAGTGGAAAGAAAGAAGAATCTCCAGACGTAGCTGTTCGAGGTAGAGCGCAAGCGGCGAGTGATGTCAAAGCTTCCGCGACCCTTGCAGAAAATGGCGTAAAGTTTAAATTTTAATATCGCCTTCTGCTGTCTCTCGCCGAGTTCCGTGCATGAGAGACGAATCTACCCCTTCTGAATACTACCCCAAACGCAAAATGTCGCAACAAAACGGCGACCACGAAATGGCTGATGCGGATGCCGATGCGGGCGCTGGCGCAGAAGCGAACGAGTCCGCCCAGAGCGAAGTTCGGCAGGAAAAGCAGATGCTGCGACTTGTACGATTCACATATCTTCATGCCTCCCGACTTCATACTGATTTGACCGCTTGCTGTAGCTTCCAGGATCAACAGACACCGCGGCTTCCTTTGCTTTTGAGAAGGAAGACCACACGCTGGGCAATGCGCTGCGGTACATGATTACCAAGAAGTATGTCTTTTCCCCATCTTCACGCAAGCGGATGCATTACTCTCGTATACGCCGGGTGCTGACGAGAGACTCATCGTGATAGCCCTTCGGTGGAATTCTGCGGCTACACGATCCCGCATCCTTCAGAGCCGTATATGAACCTGCGCATACAGACTGATGGTACGTCGCGAATTCCTACAGGCCTGCGCGAGACATGGGAATGAAGCTAATGAGATGTTTTGGGGTTTACAGATGACACGACGGTCTTCGAGGTGCTGCGCAAAGGACTCGAGGATCTCTCCGAACTGTGCGACGTGGTGGAGGACAAGTTCTCGGTCGCGAGAGACGCATTCAACGCAGACAATCCTGATCGAGCGGAGGCGCAGTAGGCTGGGGAGGTTCGTGAAACTTGGGAGCGTTGCGCACTCACTGAATGCATTTTCTACTACGAAAAGTGTGCATATGTACAGTCAGGGGCGGCGCAGGTGGGATGAACAAGCCGATGGTTCTAGCTCTAGTTCCGACCCTGTGATGGTCATTAGCGAGGCGTTCCGTGATATACTTTCCTCGTTTCGACAAAAGAGATGTCGACGTTCTACGCACCTCGATGAAGCCCTGCATGAAATCCTTCGGTAACCTCGCCTTCGGGTCCTCCTCAGCACGGAAGTACTTGAGCACGTGCGTAAGCTGTTTCCAGAAGTTCAACGTCTCCTATGCCATCACACATCCCAGGTCAGCCTCACAGCCTTCATTGGCGTGGTGGTGTACCGCGTATCCATACCTGGAACTCCTGATGACTGTTCATGAGCAACACATCCACCGTCTTGAGCTGCGCGACGAAGCGGTGCCGCTCGAATTCCTGCCGGATCTTGGTGCGGATGGCCGACACGGGCATGTTGAGGGAGTACATGGTCTGGATTTCGGGTGACTGTGGACGATTATTTGCCGGTCAGCTCTCATCATCTCTTAAGTCGTGTTTCCGGGATGCTGGAGAGTGGGAAAGGAGGGGTCTGTGAGGGGTGGGTGTAGGCTTGCATACCGCTCGCAGCCAATCCCGGTACGACCGTATCACTCTTGACTTCGCATCTGACCAACTCAATGCTGTAAGACTGCTCTTAGCTCGCTTGCTCGTGTAGAAAGGGCGGGTGCGCTGGGGAGGTGTTTGGGAGATGGAGGAGGGGGAAATGGTACGCACAGGAGCGCGTCCTCTGCGCCAGATATGTCGGGTTGATCACCATCCTGAGCGCCGCCTGAGCGTCAAGGATTTAGAAGAGGAGGGCGGGTGGATGGACGGGAGTCAGAGGGGAGGAGAGCGTGCCGGGGTGGCATTGGAGGGACGTCGAGGTAGGCGGAGGTTGGAACCTTATTTTGAGAGTTTGTGCCTGAGGCAGAACTTGAGCTGTTCTTCCTCCGTTTATCCATCGATATACTTGGTGCTGCACAAGTTATACGGGTGATGGAAACACTGTGCTCCGTTAAAGCAAGTATACAGACAGATATTACTAGCTTCCGATGTAATCGTCGTCCCCCCATGAAGTCGAGCGTTGGGACTGACAGGAGGTAGAGATGAGGTCGACATTCTTGGTCACTCCCAGAACACAACGTCTAGGCAGTGCAACCTCTTTTCCACGTCACACGCACGCTGAATATGATCTAGCAGTGCATACAGGCGGCGTTCGCATGAAACTCACTTGGCATTGATATGCAGAGTGCATGAAACGAGGCCGTGTAGCTGCAGGATCTGGCAAGGCCAGGTTGCAGGAAGCAACCTGGAGGCACGACAGATCTACGACGAAAAGCAACGATGCAGCAGTGCCACCATCTAGATCAACAGTGGCCGCCGATCTGATGTTGAAGCGATGTATCATGCATCGTAACGATCGATGGTCGGAAGTGATCAGCAGGACATTTCGACAGGAGGTATCCTTCACCGAGGACTATGGCTCCGGCCAAGGGCAGATCGATGCCATGCCCTTCCAGAGAAGCAGAGTCCGACGAATCCACGAGACCGTACGCAGTGATGTGCAGGGCTCCGGCGTTGAACGGTGGGTCCCAGGCAATGCATTGCAGATGGGTCGTCGGAGCAAGACCCGAGACGTCTATGCAGTCTGATTCGAGGACCGGGATTTGGAGGAGGCACAGCTTTGCATCATCCCCAAGGCCTAAGGCAGGAGAGCAGGCTGAAGGTACCGCTCAGAAGTATTGCAGGCTGCATTGCCGGGCATTGTGGACGTTTGATTGGCGGTATTGCTTGTCTACCCTCGCCGAACGGAGGTCTTGTTGCCTGCAAGTCGCTGGATTGAGGGGTCATTCGGACGTGCATGCTTACAGGGAGTCTTTATTTAGTGGAGCTCCTGAGCGTCATTCATCGAGAACAGCGCAGCGTACAGGTAGGTAGCTCGGAGGCGTGGTGTGAAAGCTTGGCAAGCAAAAGTCCAGGGGGAAGACTAGTGTGGGTGATGGAGAGGCGATGGCGGAAGGAGGCGGTCGGAGTGGTCGGAGCGGTGGACAAGGCGTCGGACTCCGGATGGCGAACTCGGCGGCGCGCTCATTAGAGATGGTTGACATGACTGTGGCCCCGCCCGCCGTCCGCCGCGGCGAGCACATGGGCAGGCGAGAGAGAGAGAGAGGGACGAAGCGCGAGGGCGAAATGCACGGACGGAGCCAATGGCATCGAGCGGCGCTAAGAGGCCATGACCCGCCAGGATGGCCTTGTGACCAGTTCAGCGGGGTGCTGCTGCCGGCCGGGCCACGGAGGAAATTGCTCACCACCCGCTTCGCGCCAGGCACGTGAACAAACATTGAATCCGTAATCAAGCGTTGACGCATCACTCAACACTGATGATGCCAACCAGAACAGACTGTCCTGTTCCTGTCCGTTAGAGCATCGGATGTGGCACCGGGTCTCGCTGGTGCCAACGCGGTATGACATAACGCCGCCGACCTTCTGACGCCTGCCCACAATGGCCAAGCTCCGAGTACTGCGCTGTACCAGACAAGCCCGTCTTAGTGATGCCCCACCGTAGTTTCATACCAAACCCGCGCGGAGCTTCAATGGGTGATGCTGCATCTCGTGCAACCCGGCACGGGCGGAGTGGGGGGCGTGGATGCGCGAAATATGGCTGCGTGGCATCTGGTGTTGTTGTGTGTACGCTGGTCATGGCTTTGCACGTGAGTCGGGTGGAGTGGCGCCCGTTAGTTACGGGGATGATCATGATGAAAAAGAGTGGAAAGAGCGAGCCGGATTAAGATTTCGTGGAGCCAATCGCACCTGCTGCAAGTCAGGTGTAGGAGCAGAAACGACCGTAGTTGTGAGGGGCACCTTCCTGACCCACGCCGCGCTGGGTCGTTCGTTCCTGCCGTTGCTGGCTTCAAGGCACACACCTCTCAACCTGCCTGACCTGTGCTGCCCTTAACCTTACCCATCCCCTCCACCCACTCCCCCTCCTCTGCCTGCTCTGCTCTGCGCTGCACATGACTTGCTCTCCACTCCGCTCTGCCACCCCATCATCATTCCTTGAATCCCGAGCAGCGCTTCTTCACTTTGTCCGCCTTGGCCCCCATTTCTCCGCCTGGCCTGTCGACCACGCCCGTCTGCTGCCTATCCACTTCCTTCCCGCCGCACCTTCCACAGCGCCGCCAACGGTCACCCTCGCACGCCGCGTGACTTGCAAACCCCCGTCCTCGCCCTCCACCCGCGTCACCCACTCGCGTCACCCGTCCCTCTTCACCTCCATCACCACCGCACCCTCGAACCTCCCCTTTGCGCCCACTGCGCGCATTGCACAAACACACGGCGTCCAGCGTGCTGCCACCTGCACCTCCTCTGCTTGTCTGTGCGCAACCTGACCTCGTCCATTAGCCAGCCAGCGCCAGCACTCCTCAGCAACCGCGAACCGTTTCCCCTACAAAGGCGCTTTCGGGCTGGCGGAAACATAGCACCCCCCTGCTTGTCACCAACCACACACCTCACCATTGCTCACTACGGCGCCCAAGATGTCATCAAATCGGCCATCCGGCTTCTCCAACCTTCGCATGGGAGGTAAGAGAAACCCCCTCCAGTTCTCACATTTCCCTCGCACACATGCTGATCCCTTTGTGCAGAAGTCATACGTGAGAAGGTACAGGATGGCTTGACCGGGGAAACGAAAGAGATGCAGTACACCCAGTGCAAGATTGTGGGCAATGGCTCCTTTGGCGTCGTCTTCCAGACCAAGCTGTCTCCTTCCGGCGAAGATGCGGCCATCAAGCGAGTCCTGCAAGACAAACGCTTCAAGGTGGGTGCTCTTCCCTCAGACCCCTCCCACAATACTGACACGCCGAGCAGAACCGAGAACTCCAAATCATGCGCATCGTGCGCCATCCCAACATCGTCGAGCTCAAAGCCTTCTACTACTCCAACGGCGACAGGGTTAGAGAACTCGACCACCTCATGGGTGTCCAGACCGCGCTGATCGCAGCGCAGAAAGATGAAGTATACCTCAACCTCGTCCAGGAATACGTCCCCGAGACCGTGTACCGGGCTTCGCGACACTTTAACAAACTCAAGTCCACCATGCCCATCCTCGAGGTCAAGCTCTACATCTACCAACTCTTCCGCTCCCTCGCCTACATCCATTCCCAGGGCATCTGCCATCGAGACATCAAACCCCAGAATCTCCTGCTCGACCCGGCGTCCGGCATCTTGAAGCTGTGCGATTTCGGCAGCGCCAAAATCCTCGTGGAGAATGAGCCAAACGTGTCGTACATTTGCTCCCGCTATTACCGTGCTCCGGAGCTCATCTTTGGTGCTACTAATTACACCACCAAGATTGGTATGTCCTTCACCTGATCTCAATGCTTGACGCACACACACGCTGACTGCTTTCACCCAGACGTTTGGTCAACTGGATGCGTCATGGCGGAACTCATGCTCGGGCAGCCGCTCTTCCCCGGAGAATCGGGCATCGACCAGCTCGTCGAGATCATCAAAGTCCTCGGCACCCCCACACGTGACCAGATCCGCACGATGAACCCCAATTACATGGAGCACAAGTTCCCGCAGATCAAGCCCCATCCCTTCAATAAGGTGGGTGTTGACGCTAAGTTCCCGTTGGATTACGTCCCATCAGGCTCACCATTGCAACAGGTTTTCCGTAAGGCGGATCCGAATGCCATTGATTTGATCGGCCAGCTCCTCGAATACACGCCCACGCAGCGTCTCTCGGCCATTGACGCAATGGTCCACCCATTCTTCGATGAGCTGAGAGACCCCAGCACCAGACTGCCCGACTCGCGTCATTCGAATGGGAGCAGCAAGGAATTGCCTACCCTTTTCGACTTCTCTCTACATGGTGAGTAGTGCCCTCTTCGATTCAGACTCCGTGGAATACTCAGGCTAATGCACATCTCAGAGCTCTCCATCGCCCCCAACCTCAATCATCAGCTCGTACCGCCTCACATGCGGCCCGTCCTGGCCGCGAAGGGGCTAGACATCGAGAATTTACAGCCTCTCACCAAAGAGCAGATGCTGGCGCGCCTGGACTGAGCAAGTGCACCAGTCACACACGTTCGCTTTCAACACCCACCTTACACATCATATGGAACGTCGTCACGGCAGGCCTACTCAGTCTCTCCTCACCTGCTGTGCTCAAACATCAGCAGACGACCAGTCAAGCCAGTCATCTTGGAGTCGCAACAACAAACGACGTATGAGCGCTCACCGGCACCCCCAAATCTCTCTACACCACCAAACCCCCTTTCTTTATCACGAGGTCACGCAGCGATGCATGCATGCAAGTTTTGATTTGGCTTGGCTTGGTTGGTTGGCTTTGCGGATCGGACATGCTGCTTTTTTACAGAGAAGGGAGGGGAGGAGAAGCTTGCCTCTCGCGGGGAGAGAGAAGAAGAAGGAGCAAAAAGCTGGCGGCCAAATTCCACATCCCCTTCGGCTTTTCCTCTTTTTCCAATTGCTTTTTCGTAGTCTGTTCATACCGCGACAGTCGCACCATCCACGTCGGCGGAACGTGGACTCTCTTGAAGAGACCAGCGAGGCCCACAGTTGCAAGCCGGAGAGCAAGAAAAAGTTACAACAACGATTCCGCTGACGGAGGAAGTGATGACAGCAGTTTGGAACGAGATGGATGGAATGGGGCGGGGCAGGGCAACGCGGGATGCGAATTGGAGTCTGAGAGTACATCGACACATGGCAAAGAGAAAGAGCGAAACACGACGAGTCTCGCGTGGAGGGCGCTCATTCTTTCCGCCGGCATCGTCGTCCATCAGAGTCTCACTTGGCGTGTGGTTGTTGATTGCAGATGGGCAACGAACTGCTTTTCTTTTTCTCCTTCTTCCTTTTTACTTTTTTTCTTTTCGCTTTTGCGCTGGTGAGGAGGGAGATGATGCCGGCGGGATCCTGGCTTTTATGCTCGCTCGCGCGTGCATGGCTCTTTACCTACCTACTTTAGATAGATCGATGAAAGGGGTGAGCGCCCTCTTTACTTGTTTTGCTTCTGAAATGCTTTTCCAGTTAGATGTGGCGGGTAGCGGAGCAAGTCTTGTGTTGCCTGCCTGCATTTCTTCATTCGGTCATCATTGTACAGATAATCTTACACAGGGGAGTCAGGGGAGAGTAACTCCCATCGCTATGCACAAAAAACAATCATAACCGCAATGCAATCATCACGCCGCAGCCTCCACCTCCGCACCCGGCGGAAAGCTCTCGACCGTCTCCTTTCTCCGTGAGCCACCACCACCCCGCCCCCTCACAAAAGCCAACAACCTCAGCGCCCCCGCAGCAGTAACGCCCTCCACCCTCCTCGCCTGTCCCACCGACTCCGGCCGCGTAGCACTCAGCACCTTCTTCTCCTCCCAGCTCAGCCCGTGAATCCCCTCGTACTCCAAATCGGGCGGCAGCAGCAGATTCTCGTCGCGCGCCATCGCCGCCGCGCTCGCGGTTTGCTGCGTAATGTATGGCGCGTACGTGCTTTCGATTTCCACTCTGGCGTGAATGCGGGGCGGGAAGTGCGCGATTTCGGGGATGAGGGGGAGAAGGGAGGCGGCGGTTACGTTGGGGTGGCGGAGGAGGTCGAAGGCGCTGCGTTTGGTGGGGTCGGAGCGCACGGCGAACCCGTGCTCGATCCAGGCTTGCGAGCTGAGGGTTTTGGCGCTGAGGAGGGCGCGCAGGGCGGAGAGTTGCGTTTGCTCGTCCGTGAAGGCTGTCCAGCGCGTTTGGGTTATGGCGCCTGCGGCATGTCCGGCGGCTGTCAGCCGGGTGTCGGCGTTGTCGGCGCGCGCGGACATGCGGTATTCGGAGCGCGAGGTGAACATGCGGTAGGGCTCGCTGACGCCTTTGGTGACGAGGTCGTCGATCATGATGCCGATGTAGCCTGCTGCGCGCGAGATGATGAAGGCGTCGCGGCCGGTGACGGCGTTGCCGGCGTTGATGCCGGCGAGTATGCCTTGGGCTGCGGCTTCTTCGTAGCCCGTCGTGCCGTTGATTTGGCCGGCAAGGTAGAGGCCGCTGATTGCTTTGGTTTCGAGCGTGCTCTTGAGGCTGCGGGGGTCGACGTAGTCGTATTCGACGCCGTAGCCTGGTTGCAGCATTGTGACGTTTTCGAGTCCGACGATGGTCTTGAGCATGGCTTCTTGTGCTTCTGCCGGCACTGTCATGCTGATGCCGTTGGGGTAGACTACGTCAGTGTCGAAGCCTTCCGGTTCGAGCCAGATCAAGTGCCGGTCTTTTGATGTGAAGCGTAGGACCTTGCTTTCTAAGGATGGGCAATAGCGTGGGCCTTTGACCGTTTCTCGAATGTGTATGCTCTTGTCCAGGTTCTGTCGGATGATTTCGTGTGCAGCGGGGTTGGTGTGAGTGCTGTGACAGTGCAGTTGCTCCTCAACGGCAACGCGGTCGTTGAGATATGAGAACGGGGTGGGAGGCTCGTCGCCGGGCTGGATCTCAAGCCGGGTGAAGTCTATCGTCTTCTTGTCCAGTCGCGGCGGTGTGCCGGTTTTGAGTCGCCCGAGTTTGAACCCAGCTTCTTCGAGTGACCTTGAGAGACCCACGGTGGCCGCTTCGCCCATCCGACCAGAAGGATATGCTTCCAAGCCGATGTGAATCTCGCCACCCAGAAAGGTACCCGTAGTGATGACAACACTTCGAGCATGAATCACTTCACCGGATTCCAACCTGACACCCGTGATCTTCCCATGTCTCCCTTCGGCCAATGCAGCAGGGGATCGATCGACGACAATGTCCGCCACTTTCCCCTCCTTGACTTGCAGTCCGGGATAATTCAGCATCTCCTCCCGCATATGTTTCTTGTATAACGCCCGATCGATCTGCGCTCTTGGACCCCAGACCGCCGGTCCCTTTTTCTTATTGAGCACACGAAATTGTATACCCGCTTTGTCGGTGATGCGTCCCACGAGTCCATCCAGCGCATCAATCTCCCGCAGCATTGTGCCCTTTCCAATCCCTCCAAACGAAGGGTTGCAGCTGCATACCCCCAGGTTGTCGAAGGAGGGCGTGACAAGTGCCGTTCGAGCGCCGACTCGCGCTGCTGCTGCCGAGGCTTCACATCCTGCGTGTCCTCCTCCAATTACAACTACATCGACAGACGAGCTGGGGCGTGTTAGTATAGTTGCAGTATAGAAAGTCGCAGAGGGTTGGTCGTACCTTGGGAGATCGGCGACGCTTGCAAGACCTCTGCGATGCACTGCTGCCGATCGTACACGAGGCGCATGGCCCCAAAGCACACGCGCCCGGGAGGAGAATGCGACGCGCATTGCTCAATGATGGCGTAGGTGCGTGATGGTGTTTGACGACGCCCTCAGAACATTTCACTTTCATTGCATTCACCCCGATCAGTCTGCCCCGGGCCGAGCCGCGCCGGATTCGGAAAGTCCTTTCTCCGCGATATGAAAGCTGTCTCTCGAGTCCAGCCACTCTCGTTGTAGACCGCACATCAATACTGGATGGCACCAGATTTGTGATACATCGTCGGCCAACTATGAAGCGGAATCATGCGCAAAGCATTGTGGTATGGCATGCTCGGACTCCTGTCTTTCAGCAATGCGCAGTCGAGCCATGAAGAAGAGAGCACCTCGGAGCCGCACATCTCGAATGCTCCTAGTATTTCCACACGACAATCGTCTTCCACGCCACCCGCAGCATCAACACTGAGTAATGCGACTTGTGTCAGTCGAACGGCGAATTACATTACGCACACTTTGCCGCAACAATGCCTCCGGACAGATCGAGTCGCCGCGAATGGGACGACTTCCACAGCGGCATCGCCGTCTTCCGAGGCCACGGACACGACTGTCAGCGATGTACCAACCTTGGAGACTGTATCTGACTCTACAGAGGCCCTTAAAGTCGCTACTGTAGTCTCCGTGGACCACGAAGCCGAATCGGACTCGATTCTGGACGATGCAAACTTCCTATCTTTTGAGCAATGGAAGCAACAGAACCAAGCCAAAGCTGACCAAGCGGCCGAACTACCTGCAGATCGACAGAGGCCGGGCATCAACAACGCGTTAGATTCCCTGGGCGATGAAGGAGAGATCGAATTGGATTTCGAGGGGTTCGGCGGCGGCGCAACTCGGCCTCGACAGCAGCAGGCAGCGTATCGGACGGCGAGTGGAGCTGCCAGCGCGCCCACTGCTCCAGAGTCGTACACTCCTCGTTCTAAAGATGCAGGCAAGACATGCAAGGAGCGGACCAACTATGCGTCCTTCGATTGCGCGGCCACCGTGCTGAAGAACAATCCCGAATGCAAGTCCGCCTCGTCAGTCCTCGTGGAGAATAAGGACAGCTACCTATTGAACATCTGCTCCGCCACCAACAAGTTCCTCATCGTGGAACTCTGCAACGACATTCTCATCGACACCGTCGTTCTCGCCAACTACGAGTTCTTCAGTAGCATCTTCCGTCACTTCCGCGTCTCAGTATCGGAGCGGTACCCTGTGAAACTGGACAAGTGGATCGATCTCGGGACCTTCGAAGCGCGAAACAGCCGTGAAGTCCAGGCCTTCCTAATCCAACATCCGCAGATTTGGGCAAGGTACTTGAGAATCGAGTTTCTCTCGCACTACGGCAGCGAGTATTACTGCCCTGTCAGTTTACTCCGAGTCCATGGCACGACTATGCTGGAAGAATTGCGACCTCAGGAGGATGCTGTCTCCAGCGAAAACGAAGAGATCGAAGCAAGCGCGGAATCCGAAGCGCTTGTTGAGCCCGCCGTTCCTCAAGAGCCGCTTGCATCGACAGATGAGGCCTACAAGGAGACTTTGCAGGCGGTACCTGCCGTTGAGACCAAAGACGCTACTCCTGAGCAGAACATCTCGACAATGACGAGTGCTGAACACGTTAATGTTTCGTTATCTCCGCCGATTGCTGGCCCCTCTGCTACGCAGGGGAATGCATCAAACGCTGTTGCGGATGTTCAGATGCCTCAGATTACCGACCTGACGTGTGCTCCCAACTTAACTGCTGTCACTCCGAGCGAGTCTGCTTCGGCAGGTTCAGCAATCAATACCTCTTCGACTCAGGCAAGCATCACCACCACGGAGAGCACCACACTAGGACAAGCGGGAACTACGACTTCCGCTATCTCTACTACCGCGACAAACACGGCATCGTCCAATAGTGATGCTCCATCCACCAGCGCTCCTTCTAACGCAACTGTGACTGCGAACGCAACAAGTTCCATCTCATCCGCAAGTCATGCGCCTTCACCTTCAACAACCGATCCAGAAACCGATACAAGCACAAACTCGACCGAACCCATCTCCTCATCATCCACCCGTTTCGCCTCCTCAGCAACCACAAACATCCCACAACCCCAACCCTCAACGCAAGAATCCTTCTTCAAATCCATCCACAAACGCCTCCAAAACCTCGAAGCCAACAGCACCCTCAGCCTGCAGTACATCGAATCGCAGTCCCTCCTCCTCCGCGCCGCCTTCCAAAAAGTGGAAAAGCGACAGCTAACCGCCACCACCGCCTTCCTCTCCGCCCTCAACGACACCGTCATGGCGGAGCTGCGCGGCTTCCGCCAGGCCTACGATCAGTTGTGGCAGAGCACGGTGATTGAGCTCGAGGCGCAGCGCGAGCAGTCGCAGCGGGAAATGCTGGCGATTAGTTCGCGCTTGACTCTCGTGGCGGACGAGTTGGTATGGCAGAAACGCATGGGGATCGTGCAGTCGACCGTCATCCTTCTATGTCTGGGTTTAGTGTTGTTCGCGAGGGGAGGAGGCGCAGGGAACGCGGCATTCGAAGTGCCGCCCCTCATGCAGCAGATGATGCGCAACAAGTCGCAAACCGCCTTCTCCCGCCCTGACTCGCGGAATGGCGGCGGTCCCGGCACGAACGCAGCCGCATCGCCGTCAGCAGCAGGGTGGGAAAACACCAGTCCTCCCGCCAGCCCGAGTCCGGAAAGCAGGAGTCCGGTGGCGTTGTTTCGCCGCAAATTGGCGTGGAGGTCGGTGACTGAGCCCACGGCTGTGGCGACTTTGGCGACGGACCAAGCGAGTGATGATCTAAGTAGGCCGGCAAGTCGGGATGGATTGTTACACCCGTCGCATCTGAGCCGGATGGTGGATGTCACGGTTGATCCGCCTACGCCGGAGAGGAATCCGTCATCGTATAGAAGTGAGGATGAAGAGGTGCTGGAGGATGAGGAGGGCGATGATGAGGAAGAGATGTACGAGTCGACTGAGTGGCACGAAGAGGAGACGCCTACGAAGACGGGCGTGAGAGAGCGGCATAGAAAACCGCCGGATTTATTAGACGTAGATGATTGAAGACATGTAGCGCGTATCTTGGGCCTGGTGTAATGTACAAGTAATTCGATCTGTCTTTCTTCTTGCTTCCTAGTCTCAACACTCTCCAGAGAGAACCCTACTCAATCTGATCCATCTCCTCCCCAAGCCCCTCGTCCGCCTCGCCCATGGGCAACGGCACAGCCGCGGGCTCCACCATCTCAATTGCCAACCCTTCATTCGCAATCTGCTCCTCCACCGCCGCCTTACGCCTCCACACCCTCGCCCAGCGCGCGCCCCAAGCCTTGATATACTCGGACTCGGCGTCCTCGCCATCAAACCGCTCAATCATCTCATCCTGCGCACCAGCCGCAACGCCCGCAACGGCATCTTCAATCGCGGCGAACAAATCCCTCATACCTTGGCGTTCGCGCGGCAGAGCGTCGTTGATCTGCAGACGCTGCTCAAAGGGAACGGTGGTGTTGTTGCGATGCTGTAGGAGCTGGTGCACGCGGTTCGTCACTTTAAACATAGTGATGGAGACGAGTTCGAAATAGTGCGGGGACGCAAGGGCGCGGCCGCGGTCGATGTTGTCCTTGAGCGTCCACTCGATGACGCTCATGGGCGTGACGATGGTGTAGTTGAGGAGTTTGTCGACGATGTTCACGGCGATGCCCGGGTGTTCGGACCAGAAGTCGAAGACGCTGGAGATGATTTGGCGGCGGGAGGGTTCGCTTTGCGGGCCGAGGGCGAGGAGGCGCTCTTTGCACCGGTCGATGGTGCTGAGGACGTGCGAGAGGGATTTGCTGCCGATGGAGAGGATGGAGGTGACGTAGATGTCGGTGCTGCGCTTCTGCGCTTCCTCTGCGTCTAGGCCCTGCGCTGCGGCTTTTTCGTGCACGGTGTCGATGACTTTCTGAATTTCCTCCTCGCTGGCTTTCTTCTTGAGGTGGTAGATGATCTCGCGGCCTTCTTCGGCAAAAGGCGTCGCGTCGTCGGCGAATTTGAAGTCCGGGATGTCCTTCTCTTTGGAAGCGGGGATAAGGTCGAAGTATGGTTCTGGAAGGGTCTCACGGATACGCTTGGCGAAGGACAGACGGATCTCTTTGTCTAGCAGTCCAACGATGAAGGACTTCTTGGGATCGAGAGCCGGCAAGACCAAGTCGGGAATCCTGCACACAAAGTCAGTCAATGATCTCAAACACTTGTCGAGACGACTGCGTGGAGTTTCACTCACCATTCCGTCCACTTCCATCTGAACTCGAAATTGCTCAAGTGATGCGCGAACCAGTCCATGTACCGATACCCCAGCTCGGCATCCATCGCATCCAGACCGCGAAACAAAAACCTGATCGCACGTCCAAGCGTGGGCGCGATAGCGCCCGGACTGATCTTGCAGCTCTCGGTGATGAGACTGTGGTAGTAGACCAGCCGATGCTCCGGAGCAGGAAGCGCAAAGATCTGGCTGAACACGGCATCGATGGTGACATCTTCTGGCTTCCAAGTCGTCGAGCCGGCAGGGATGTCTCGAAGCTTGTCGAAAGTGGTGCTGCGTTTGACGAAGATGTTGGGTGCGAAGAAGTTGTCGAGCTCGTTCAGGACCTTCGCAGTGGCGATGCGGTTGAAGTCGAGGAGGTTGATTGTGTCAACCGTGGCATCACGCAGGAGTGTCGATGCGATGTTGGAGGTAGGTGGCACCGACTCGATCTCCTGATCCGCAAAGAGGGAGAAGAACAGCTCGGGAAAGAGCGTTTTCGATCCCGGATTGATGGGTGATGGCACGATGATGGATGGGAAGGTAAGCTTGGTGTTGGAGTCGCCGTTGGTATTGCCGTTCGTCTCGTCGCCATTTGGGATTTTTGACTTGAGGGAAGGATCAAAGATTCTCGGCAGCAAGGCGAGAGCCCAGCCGGTTGCTGCTTCCTCTTGCAGTTGGCGCTGGAGAAGGGAAATGACGCTTGCGCACACCATTGGTCTCTCCGCGCCTTCGGCCGTGCCCGGGTATGGGTCCACCAACGCCTCGACGGGATGCGCCGCTGAAGCAACAATGTCCGTCTTCTCCAGAAGAGCAACGGCTTTCTCTGGAAGAGTGGTGTCTTCAGCATATGCCAGGAGGTACGGAATGGTAAGCAGGATGATTTTGACGAGCTCCAAGCCCACGGCGTCTTCGGGAGAGGCTGTCTGGAGGTCCACGGCGCGGTTGAACAACTCGTCGAGAATGGGGAACACGCCATCCTGCTCGAACAGCCTGCTCAGACAAGCCAGGAAGCGCAGCATCAGTTTGGCCGAGCGCCATTGTCCCTTGTTGATGTACTCGTCAAACCATTCGGCCGCAGTGGAAACGATGTCCTGGGCAGCCTCCTTCTTTTCCATGTGCGCAAAGAGTACCACGGCCGCGACGAATGGAATCTTGACGGGCTGCTCGACGACGAGCTTCATGGTGGTGATGGTAAAGACATCCTTGACGTACTCATCGTCGTAGTTGTCCACGAGCAGTCTGGCCAATTGAATGGCTACTTCGTGGGGCATGCGCAGCGTATCCTCGCCAATTTCCAGCAGGCCTTTGCGGAGCTGAGTGCCGGGAGGAGGAGCGGAGTAGCGCGGGCGTTGGTTTCTACTCGGATGATCACGGTCGTCGTCCTCTGTGATGCGGCACTTGATGTTAGCGGTTGACGTCAATTGTCACTCAGGACGGGTTGTCGCTCACCTCGATAGCGCTTCCTCTTGTTGAAGGGGCCCCCTCTCCCGCCGCCGCGGTAGTCGCGTCTGTCTTCAAAGTCGGCCATACCGTTCCTGAGAGGTGCAGAAGATGCAGCGATGAGCGATGTCAGGGTGAGAGGCTGTTGAGCAACCACAATGAAGTCGGTTGTCGGGTGTGGGAGGTCTTCACGCGCAAAGCTCTGAATCTCCAGGAGAAAGACGTGTGAGCGCCGCGCTAGCGAAACCCTAAATTCACAGTCAGCTTTTTATTTGAGACTGTCGTCACACGCCTCGTCTTGCTTGCGCCTTCAACACTCCTCCACCTCCAACCATCCCACTCCCGCAACCACCCAAAATGCCAGCCCTCAGACACAGCGGCAAGAACCGCAAACCGCCCCCGGACGGCTTCGACGACATCGAAGACACGCTCCTCGAATTCCAGAACCAACTCAAAGACGCCGAGAACGCGAGCCACGAAGGCCGCAAGAAGCACGAAATGCTGTGGCCCGTGTTTCGCATCACGCATCAGCGTACGTCTCTCATGCTGCCTTGATTGAATGAGTCGTCCGCGACAAAGCACATCCCCCGAGAAGAAGAAACTCTGCCATCCCTTCTGTTTGCGCAAGCATGTTGAGGACGTTTGGGCTGGCGGCCGCGAAGGTGAGAGCCCACCTCTCGTTCTCTTCTTGACCAATTATCTATTCGTCGCAAATCATACGGGGTACACGTGAGTGTCATACTGACCAGCCCTCTTACGAATGACAGGCTCCCGCTACATCTACGACCTCTACTACGAGAAAGAAGCCATCAGCAAACAGCTCTACGATTGGCTGCTAAAGAACGGCTACGCAGACGGGAATCTGATAGCCAAGTGGAAGAAGCAGGGATATGAGAAGGTGAGTCCGGTCCCTCCACAATCTCAAACACTTCTAGGTGACGGTGAAGATTGACATATGATTGCTAGCTTTGCTGTCTGCGCTGCATCCAAACGAAAGAGACAAATTTCAACAGCACATGCATTTGCCGTGTGCCGAGGACGCAACTGAAGGAAGATCAGGAGATCCAATGCGTAAATTGTGGATGTCGGGGTTGTTCAAGTGGAGACTGAAGAAGGCGGCCTGCTTTGGGAGTGTCAATGCGCATACGACCTAGAACTTGGGGGAGTTGGAGACCTGGCGCACTACGGCGCATTGAGATTCTACACGCTACGAATGATGAATGGTGGTCGATTGAGTGATAGTCTCGGTAGACGGACTGCGCTCGGATGGCACCATCAGTACGATTTCAGCTGTCGGAGCTGGACGCTTGCTGCTCTCCCTCATCATACATGTATGATATTCAAATCTCCCACGTGCCATGCTTGACTCCAAATCGACACGCACTCACACACGTGTATAAGATCAACGGCAACGAATCACAGCGGTGGCACAATTACCAAGCGCCCAAGGACTCCGGTAATGCATGTGACATGTCCAACGACGAGACAAAAAAGATAAGCAACCACTCCGACTCGAACACGGGACCTGCCAATGACAAAAAAAACCACAAAAAAACAAACTCCTTTTCAGGAGAGAAAGCAAGGCGAGACTCGTAGGACCCCAACAGGTTTGCATTTTTCTGGCCGCTGACCGACAGAGCAATTGATGCTGTCAGTCATTGGTTGCAGGGCAAGCGCAGATGATTCAATATATAGACAGTGTAGGTTGTGACGATGTTTCGCCGAGCTGCTGTATTCATAGAAGGCATTTCAATTACAGTCACCGTGTCCATGAAAGGAACCTCTTTTTGACCGGGCGGGCTCATATCAGCCAACTGCTCTCATCCTTTCCTTGTATATGTCCTGTATTTGACTAGCGTCAGTGAGGTGTGCGCGTCGTCTTGGACGACAGCTCTCGGAAAGCCCCTTTTCCTCTGCTCAGACCTGCCCTTTGATCGGAGAGCTTCGCTCGTGAACAAATTGATCTCACCGATCATCCTTTGCAGTCCCGATTTGATCACTCTCACTCGCCCCCTCAGCATCATGAGTCAAAGCAAGCCAGACAGCATAAGCAACAACCCCCCCAAAAGTAACCCCGATAATCGCCCGTCCCCTCGCCCCCTGCTTCGCCTTCAACTCCTCATTCTCTCCCAAAATCGTAACAGCATTCTTCAAAAAAGCATAACTCAACCCACTCCACGCCGTCGTGCCAGCAACCAGACACTGGAAAGCCGTCATCCCGGTGCGCAGCATCTCGTCGCTGCCGCCGAGGTGCTGCAACAGACTTGCGTACTCGCCTCCGCTTGTGATGACGGGGAGAGTGAGGGTGGAGCCTATGAGGATGAGTTGCAGGAAGGTGTTGTACTTCGAGACGGTGGTGGGGTGCACTTCGGCGGAGGGGAGGGAGAAATCCCAGTAGCGTTGGAGGGTTTTGGGGGCGGGGAGGGAGGCGTAGCGGTAGTAGATTGCGGCGAGGGCGAGGGAGGCGTCGCGGCCTAGGATGAGGGTGGCGAGGGAGACTTTGTTGATGGGTATTAGTTGGGTTCGCATATTTGTTGGAGAGGATGAGGGAGAGCTTTACGAGGTATGGCGCCCTTGACGGCAAGGGTGACGGTGAGGATGATCATCAGAGCCTTGTCGGCCATGGGATCTATTACGCTTCCCGCCACAGTCTGCAGCTTCCACTTCCGCGCTATCCAGCCGTCTACCAGGTCAGTGATACCGGCATAGGCGAATAGGGCCAACGCCCATTTGTGGTGGTCATGGAGGAGAAGATAGGCTGTTGCGGGAGCGGCGATGAGTCTTGAGACGGTGAGGAAGTTGGGTAGATTGTAGATGTTTTCGTGGGGCGAGAGGTTGGGAAGGGCGGAGAGGACCTTCTCCCGCACTACCCGTGTGCTTTCCCGCGCGGCTTCGATGTTCTTTGTAATCGGGCGACCAGGAGTGTCTTTTGTATGTGAAGGCTACGCATGCGTCAGTGCTGGTATTCTGATGGACTGATAGGTGACACTCACCTCATTGCCGGCGGCGGGCTCATCTCGTTGCTTCTGAACACCTTCCGAGTAAAGCCGTCGCGGAACGTCTTTGCGCGATCGTAGTAGAGTCAAACTAATACCAGCCTCAGATCATTAGCTTCATACCCACTAAGCATCCAAAGCGTTCGACCGAATCATACCTCAAGCTCGCATGCTCAGCAGGGCTCCTAGCATACACCCTCCGCCGCCTGCCGCCGCCGACAGTCTCAACCCCAACATTCCATCTCGAAGAAGAGAAAGATGAAGTAGAACAAGAGCACCTCGCGAGATGAAGATCCAGCCCGCCCGCAGAGACGATCGCGGATCTCCAACCAGACCGGCCGCGCACCACGGGGAGAAGTGAAGTCGTCATCACCAAATCAATCCATCGCAACCAAGACCCTCGTCGAAATCTTTCTGCTGTTCTTTCCGTCCTTGGCCCTCAATTCACACCCACGCAAAGAGAAGGGTAAACAGCAGGTGTAGACTGGTAATCAGCAACACAGAAAGTAGAAGTGAAGTCACAAAAGTCCAAAACTCAAACCCCCAAATCAAGCAAGGCAGGAGATCCACACCCGCAAAAACCCACGCGAGTGTCCCACCACCACACGCCAAACCAAACGGCACGACCTTATTTAAAAAGCACCCCGTCGAAATCTTAACCCAGAAAGAGTACTAAAGAAGCGGGCCCAAAGGTTTCGCAGCGGCTGCGTGCAGGCGAAAAAGTGTAAAAGCCCAAGTGAAGGCAAAACCAGCGACGGGAACAACCACCGCGGCGGCGCTGGCGGAGAGTTTGAGGTAAACCGAGTGTTTGGATCCGGGCGTCAAAGTCAGATCTGGGGAAGAAAGGCTTGATGGGGTTTGAGTTTTTGGGAGGGGTTTGGTGCGTGGTGGAAAGTCTAATGTTAATGTCGAGTTCATGGTTTGATGCGAAAAGGTGTATGTTGTGAGTTGGGTGAAGAGGTCATCGATATGGACAGGCGGGAGTATCAATCGCAATGGGAAGAAGGGGAAAACACGCTGCTCCAATCGACGCAAGATGATTACACCGCCTAAAGCTACTCGGTTACTCTCCCATTATGCCTGATATCAAGTCATCGACCCTGCCTCTCTGTAGCCTCGTTGCTGCTGTCCCCGAGCAAGAGACTCTCCAGCACGCAAAAGCCGATCTTGCCGTCCCTTCTGTGTACCGTGGTATCGATGTGCTCGTTGCCTCTCCTTCCCTTGGTTATTCCATCTCTCTGAAAAACGCCGTTGCTGTCTACGCACCCCTCCTCCCATGAAAGAAGCGCAAAAATGTATATTATACACTGTACCGCAGCGCGTCAAAAACACGAACACTCATCGCACAGCCCATCTTTGTGAGCACCCGAATTCCCATCTCTTCCTCTCCGCGTGTGAACCGTAAAAGCAAGTCAACCTCCGAAAGCAAAACGATTTCCCTCCGCCAACTGCCCAAAGGCCAAGGCCTGCCGCCCTGCTAACCCCGGTGCTCTGCCGAGTGTTGGCAAGGAGAGACCAAGTGGTCACGTACCTTGATGCACTCGACAGAGCTATGATCCATAGTTCGAGTAGCTCTGACCCTGTTGTCCTTGACTCGAGTACCCACCAGGACTGCTGCTGATGCCTAGACCGCTCATCTCGCCACCAGCGTTAGACGACTGGCCGTACGATGACGTGCGGTAGGGCATCGATCCGTCGGCACCCGTCATCGAAGCTGTAGGCGCGCCGCCGGCCGATGCGCCGCCTTGGACTGGGCTCTTGACGCTCGGGCCGGGAGATTGCGCGGGCGGGCCCTGCATCGCGTAGTTCTGTGCCGGAGAGCGCACGGCGTAGTTTTGACCTGGTGCGCTGGGGTACGGTTGTTGTTGTTGCTGCTGTTGGGCAGGGCCATTTGACGTGGGGCTGGTGACGTTGCTGCCACTGCCGCCGTAGGAGCCGGCGCGGCCGCTGATCGAGCCAAAGGTGGCGTTGGATTGCTGGACGGGGGTTTGGTAGGCGGATTGGATCATGGTGGGGGTGGAGGAGGAGTTGCTGCGTTGCATGCCGGGGTACGTAGGAGCGTATTGGCCGCCGTACGGCATAGATTGGGACGTTGCGTTCGGGTCTTCCGTCTTACCGGCTGGTCCGGATTGGCTCGAGGTTCGGTTGTTGTAGTATGGGCCGCCGCCGTAGGGTTGGTTGGCATAGCCTGGCGGATTGCCATACTGTGCACCGTTGCTGGAAGGCTGCTGGCCACCCCAGTTGGCGTTGGGTGCTGTGCCGTAGGGACTGCCACCTGTGGCGGGCATGCCGTACATCTGCGGGTATTGCTGTCCTCCGAAGTACTGACCGGGCCGCACACCGTATGGTCCGGATTGCATACCACCGTACATCATTTGCGGATGCGCGTGCATGTGGCCGTCGACGGCATACTGCTCGCCCTCCTCTACCGGTGCTCGGAAGTTCTGCTTCAGGTAGAGATCGGGCCGGACCTGGATGTTTTGCAGGCGCGGGTCCGACATGGGCCGCGGCAGCACGTTGTTCTTGACATCATCGACTTTGTAATAGGAAACCATGTGGTGTGAGATGCCGTTGAGGGATATGCTCATCGTCTTCTTCACCAGGCCATCTGGGCGGAAGCCGTAGCTATCGACCAAGCTGCCGATTAATGACCGTTCGAGTTCCTTGTCCTGATCGTTGCCGCCGCCCAAGCCATCCGGCGACTTGACATCGGCATTAACGCTGGGAGTTGGCGGCGACACGGGTGTGATCTGCTCCGGGCCTTCGTTGTCGTCCGAGTCGCGGCGCGGGTAGGGCTCACCGGGCATGCTGGCGCGTTTGCGCTTCATCGCGCGCTTCTTCTCGCCCGGCGGGAAGGGCTTCTCAAGCTCGCGGTAGATGAGGAAGTTGCCGAGGATGCGACTGGGACTCCAAGCGACGCCATCGGTCCATCTCTTGATGCCCGACGCGTTCTCTTCGTAGATGAAGATGCTGCCGCTCTTGATGAGCGAGCTGCGTTCGCGATCGTGAGGCCGGCGGGGGACGTGGTGCAGCTTGCCGCTCAGACACGCTTCGAACAGGATGAGGCCGTCCATGCTGTTGTGGACGAAGCCATGGAAGGTTGGGACCAGCGGTCCCGCACCCCCCGAACTCATGGCGGGATGTGCGAAGGAAGGTTTGGAGATGCGAGCGCGAACGAGAGTTTGACACTGGGCGTGTCGGGGACGCCAAGCGACGCAGCGACGCAGCGACGCCGGGGCCAAAAGGCTGCTGCAATTGACTTTCCGGGGTTGGACGGGCGCGGGCGCAATCAGCAGGTGATGCAGGCAGCACACACTGCGGGAAGCAGGCGATGTGCGCGCCTCTCAGCGGGGGGAGGCGTTGAGTGACGCTGCACACCCACGTTGCGTGCGCGCAAGCTGGGTGCCCTGGGGGGAGGGGTGCGTGGGCGCGGACGAAGGTTCAGAGGGATGCTTTGGGGGGGAGTAGTAGAGTGTCGGCAGTTTGAAAGTCAAAATCTTTGATGAAACTCAAAGGTCGCAAAGGCAGAAAGCGGAGGGGGCGGGAGCGAGCAAGGTTTTGAAGGTCTGGGGCAAGCGACCAAATGCGGATTGGGTGACGGCGGGAAGGCGCGGCGGCTTCCGAGCAGGAAGGATTTGGATTTGGAAGAGACGGGACCGCGGCGAGAGCGTGGAGGGAATGGAACTACTGGAGGAGGGGGGATGGACGGGATGGGAAGGATAATCGGGGGCGCGATGAGACAGCACGCGCCGTGAATGGAAGGACGGGAAGGAAGGAGCGAACGAACGAACGACCGGACAGGGCAGGTCCGGCGGTGCGGGAGCAGGACAGATTGGGTTGCAGGGCGACGGGATGGGCAGGGGCTAGTGAGTGGATTGGGCGGGTTGGGGGGGTCCCCACCGGCAACTGCCTGCCTGCCAGTGTGCGCGCTCACTGGGGGAAGGCGCGAGCGGCAGGCAGGCAGCGTCGCAGCACACCCACCCGCAGCGCAGCAGCAACACTCACGTTCAGTGGCTTGCGAGTAGTGATGAGGCAACAAGCGCGCCCCGCCGGTTAGGATCATCCCGACACTTGCAGGGCGCTGGGTCGGCACAGGGCCCACCGAGAACCACAAGTCGCGCCTAGGGCAGATCATGATGGCATGCTCTCACCATGGGAGGCATGTCACTCCATGGTCGCATTTGGTGGCTGGGCCGTGTCTTGTCGACGAGGGCGCCGGATACGGTGCCGAACTAGCGGAGGCCAATGCTTTGTCTCGTGTCTCGCCCATGCAGGCAGCCATTCAACAGCTTGCCCGCACGCATCCATCTTACCTTCTGATTACATATACAATGCGTGCGTGGGGCGGGGAGTTCAGAGAGGCGCTTGCTGAAATGCCGGCAACATGCTGACTGACCACGCCCAGCCAGGGATCCAATTGTCCGACAAAGCAGGCCGGCGAGCGTACGCTCTGCTACGGACGACCCAGGTCGTGGCTATGCCCCCGGCTGCATGTAGATCTCTGCATCGCCCATTTGACGCACGCCACCCCCCGCACCCTTGCCCGCCGCTCTTCTCCCTGCTGGGCGTGGTCCCAAGTCTGGTCACCTAAACGCCAACCGTTTGGTGGTTGTGGGTCGGGCCAATTCGCGTTGCAGTCGTCCTCACTACACCCTTTGCGGTTCGATATGCTTGATTCCAAAGACACGCGCCGGTGCCTTTCGGCTTGCTGATCTTTGGCGCAGCGTGTGTCATTCCTGCTAGTCGCGACAACCTCGCAGCTCTTCACGCTTGACCGGCTGCCCTACGCCCATACATACCTCTTATCATCACCAGCTGCCAACAAAAGCGCAGGGTAGCTGCCCGCCAATTACATTGGCTTACGCATCTTGCAGGAGCCCAGGATCTAGACCCATCAGCGCCATCGTCTTGGAGCACGATACGAAAGCTCATCGCACGTCGGAAAATGCCCTGGACCAATAGGAGCCCCTCCTCCGGCTGACATTCCCTAGCGCTCTCCCGCCGGCATGCGCGCGAATTACACGCAAGCGCGCTATGCTATGCGCCATCACCATGCACCTCCCGTCACCGCGAATGCTTTACCTCACCGTCTTGCGCGGCGTTCGGACCCAGCTGCGGGCAGCGGAGCGAGGATGAGATCAAGAGGCCGGGACAGCCCTCGAAATCACCGGAGCACGAGCTGCTGCTTCCCAATGCATTGCCGGCTGCACGCAGCCGTTTAGCGAAACCCAATCTGGCAGTTCCTGCGATGAGGCAGATGCATCCGTGGTGGGCACCGGGGGCGGACCGCTATCCTCCTTTCATGCAATTCCCCTTGCTCGAGAGCGGGCCAGCCAAAGACCAGCTCGCCCGCTTAAAATCTCACTCAAGGGGAGAAACCAACCGCCGGATAAATCGCAAATCTCCGCACTCACGCTGCCTCTGCCTCCGATGTGGACTCGCTGATTGCGTAATTCGTGGCCCAAATTCCCACGTTGCATTGAACTTACAGCCCGCGCTCATCAAACTCTGCCTATCCAAAGTTTGTTCATAAAATTAATGCACTGACATGATGAAGCAGAAGACTTCGTCATCTGAGCGCTTCGCCGGCGCAGGGCATCCCGGGGTGGCGGGCAGCCGTGTCTCTAGTCGCTTACCTCCATCGCTTAACATCAACTGTTCTCCGATGTCACTCTACGCGCTGACAGTGAGGCACCCCCGGCTCGGAGATCGGTCGCAGCTGGGAACCCTGCAGCGACAGGGAACAACGGCGATCTGTTCTTCTTGGTAATGGGCCAGGCGCATCCACAGCCCAGTCAAGTCGCAATCTGTCGCCATCCGTAGTGAGCCTTGGCCAGAGGATGGCCCAGCAATTTTAACGCTGGTCGAGCATCCGGTATCCGTGTCCTGGTCGGTGATCTTCCGCCTAGCAAGCCTTGGCGACCTCATCCTGTCCCAGTTGAGGGTGAGATGTACGACATCGACAAGGGGATTGCATCCTCGTCGCTTCTGGCTCGCATCTAGTCGTCCGTCGTTCGATGGACCACCGTTGAGATCAATCGCACCTGCTCCGCGCTTGCGCCCGAGGCAATACCGATGCTTTCCATACCATACTACATTCAAAGGTGCGTTGAAATTATAGTTGGGAGAGTTTGGTACCTTACAGCTTGCACAACTCTACACAAAATCTTAACCCAGTGTTGGGCGAGTCTCGAGCGGTGTCGGGGTTCGGTTTCTCTTGTGTCTCCTGGGGTGATGTCCTCACCTCCCTGTTCACCGCCGAGCGCGAACGAGCTGACGCGAAGCCCTTCATGCAACAACAAGCCGCAGCTCCCCTTCCGTCGCACCCTTTGTGCATAGCCGCCGTCGTATCCCCACCCCCACAAGGCGGTGCAGTTGAGAAACATTACCCCCGCATGGTGATGATGCATACCTGACCATCAGATCGGCAAAGACGGCACGACAAGACAGGCTTGCGTCTCGAACGCCTCATGCAGCGCAGCGCAGGCGGCCTACCAAGCTCAGCTTCAACGACCGCCACCTAGCCAAAAGTGGAGTGCAGCAACGCGGGATCAGCATCCAGCATCCATCAACGACATGGAAGATACGACGACGAAACGATCCCCCATCCGCCAACCATATTGTTCTCCTCCCCCCGCAGCAACATCTCGGGAAAACGCGGAGACGCCAGACCCTGCATCCCGCAAGGACGTATGGCAGAATACGGCAATGATCGTTCGTGGCTTCGACCCTGCTGCGTCGCTCGCTGGTAATAACCAAATTCGTTGCTATCGGATTTGCGACACTCAGATCCATCCCTCGATTTGCAGGGGGGAAATCTGCTCACTCCTCACGCACACAGCTGCGTCTCGATTCGGCATATGCCGCGAGCGGTACATCGAGACCTCTTCCCTCCCCTCTCGATTGGTCGTGTCCAGCCTTCCACGTTGAGCAGCTTCGGCCGAAAACAGCCATGCAAGTCAGCGGCGATCAGCGGCTTCCTCCTCACCCGCTGCTGTCGTGCACAACATCTAGCTGCGGAACCACCCCTCCAGCATCGGAGCTGAGGCGTGTTGCTTGCTCGGGTCTGCAGGATTCAACCCATGCTTGCCCGCTGGAGGAAACTCCGATGCTCGAGATCCGGTCTGAAGAGGGCTGGTCGGGGCAAGCTGATCTGCTGCACTCCGACTCGATCGGTGCTTGTAGTGCCTTCTTCTGGTCTGGCCGCGCCGGATCGGATTTGCGTAAGGATGACTGTTGGCCTTGGACCTTCCGGGCTGGACTCGTGTCGTTGGGCTCAGAGATGCTTGCCTACGTGTCCCTTCTTGCGAACAAGCTGAGCTCTCCTGCCCCTAGCTAGTGGACAGGGAGAGACCGTCCGACGAACTGCGTCGTTGCCACGGACGAGCAAAGGCATCGGCAAGTAAAACAGAACGTAATCGACACACGCCTGCCCTAGCTCTCAACTGCACCCGTTCAGAGGCAGGGCACGCAGCGACTCGCAAGGCTGCGAGGAAGCTCGTGCTTCGACGAGATTTGTCTCTACAACTCCATGAAGGGCAGTTAAGTTCCTTTTCGCCGTTTCTTCATCTTGCCATCCAGCTAGCATGCTTTCTCTTCCCGCCGGTCTGCTGTTGCTTTTCCTCGTTATACCCTTCGGGCAGGAACCGCCGTCCCTCCCGATCATGAGCATTCGGCGGGCTTGTTGCGCCGTTGCGTTTTCGTACACCTCACTGCCGAAGACAAGAATGAGAAAAATTGGACGGCCATGAGGCTAGACAGGGTGATAAAAGGACAACGAGCATCTCATAACAAAGCAACGCACTTTTCCTCTCAGCCTTACTCCAAACAATCTGCATTCCCGGGGGGGAGGGAAAACGCCCATTCTAGCCGCAAATGATAAAGATTCTATGTATACACGCCCGCTCGCCCGGCCGGAATCTCTCTTACACTTCTCTCAAGCCCGGATGGGGGGACGGGCCCAAGTAGAACAGCGCTCAGCCCACCTCGCCATCAATAACAGCCAGCCGCTGCTTCACCGTCTTCGCCTTCTTACTCAACCCCTTCCTCTTCTTCGCCGGCGGGCCTCCTGCACCCGCTCCGCCATCAACAACAGACGACAAAGGCGTCGCGGCGCCCGAGACTTCATGCGACGCGTCCTCGAATTTGCCCTCGCCTGTATAGCCATCGCAGGTCAGTAAACGCGCATTCCAATCTGCTGGAGGAAAGCAACTCACCTTCATGGTACATATCATCCATACTAAACTCCTTCCTCTTCGTGCCCGCCAGCGCGCTCTTCCTCTTCTTCTTACTGCTTCCAGGAGCCGCACTCCCCTTCGCCTCCTCTTCAATGACCTCCGCCTCGCGCCGCTCGATGAGCGCCGCCTCCTCATCATCCGCAAGCCACATCGCCATCTCCTTGGTGCGATTCGTCTCGCGCGAGCCGCGGTTGTTGAAATCGACAATTCGATCTCCGCCGCCTGCTTGGCCCGAGATAACGACGCGCTGCACTTCTTCCTTCTGCAGGGCGCGTTTGCGGATGCGCTCTTCGATTGTGCCGCGCGTGATGAGTCTGTACACCGTCACCTGCCGCGTCTGGCCGAGACGATGCGCGCGGTCCATGGCTTGGGAGTCGATCGTGGGATTCCAATCGGAGTCGTAGAAGATGACGGTGTCCGCGGCCGTGAGGTTGATTCCCAGCCCACCGGCACGGGTGGAAAGCAAGAAGACGAAAATGTCGGGCGACGACTGGAAGGCGGCGACGGTGTCGCGGCGGTCTTCGAGCTTCGTGGACCCGTCGAGGCGGCAGTACTTGTAGTTGCGGTAGGTGAGGTACTCCTCCATCAGGTCGATCATGCGCGTCATTTGGAAGTAGAGGAGGACGCGGTGGCCGCCCTCTTTCAGTTGGCGGAGGAGTTGGTCGAGCCGCGCGAGTTTGCCTGAGTCGGTGACGAAGCGGCGCATGCTGGGCACTTGGATTTTGGTGAAGCGTTGCTTTTGGGACGCGGGTGGGGGCAGGAGGTTGGTGACGGGGTATTTCGACGGAGGCAGCGAGGAATGGAGCAGCGCGCTTTCGGTGTTGAGATTGATGGGGTAGAGTGCGCGGCGCATGGGGACGTTGAAGAAGGTGGTCTCCTTCTCGACGAGAGACTTCTCCGTCGGGCAGACGAGTTCGATGGGCGGCGCGGAAGCAGCAGGGAAGTAGGACGTCTCGATGACGTTGAAGCCTTGGTCCTCGATAGACGTCCGCGAGATGTTCATGAGCTGATGCAGATAACCGTCGTTGGTGACATCGCTTAGAGCCTTGCGATCGTTGCGCTTGACGATATTGAGCATGGCGTGCACCGGCGTAAAGCCCGCGTTCTCCTTCTCATTGTTATCGTCGTATGCAACCTGCAGTCGGCCCATCCAGTTCTTGTCGGTAGCAAGGTCGACAGCACGTTCAAAGTGCGTCTTGCGTGCCAACTCGGCAATCCCACCAGCTGATTGGTCCACGAATCGCAACCAAGAGAAGGCACCATTGCCTTTCTGACTCTGCTGCATGTTCCTCGGATCCCAGATGCTGAAATTTGTATTCAGCCACTGCTTCCTCCAGCCCGCCTTGACATTGTCAGGCCCAGCGATGTCCAACCTGCCTCCATCGTCTCCAAGCATACGCGGCAGCCAGTACTCAATCATGCTGCGCACCGAATACGCGACTTGCACGAAAGAGCCTTCTCGCATGAACGACGCCGTCTCCGCAAAGTACGACATGGACATTGGACTCGTAATCTCCGCGCGCTCAAATAAGTCGGGGTGGTTGCACACCTTGCGGAATTGCATAACCAAGTTCATCAGCGTAGCAGCGTCTTGGTCGTCGCCAATGGCCGCCTTCTCAATGAGATCGAGCAAGCTGATCTTGTTACGCAAACTGGTGTAGTACGCGCGTTGTCGATACGTGAGGTCGCAGAAGACGTCCTCCTCAATCTTGTCGCCCAGCTCCTTCTGCACATGCTTCTTGATGCGTCGCAGCATGAAGGGCTTGAGAATCATATGCAGCCGGCGGAGCTGGTCTTCGTTGAGTTTGGTATTCGACTGAGCATGGTTCTCAATGTCCTTGGAAAACCATTCGGAAAACTCGTCGTGGCTGTCGAACAGCGAAGGCATGATGAAATGAAGCAGAGCCCACAACTCCTGCATGTTGTTCTGAATGGGCGTGCCGGTGAGCAAGAGGCGATTCCTGCAATGGAAGCCAAGCAAGCTCTTCCAGCGTGCTGATTGCGAAGACTTGATCGCCTGCGCCTCGTCCAGGATCATGTACTGCCACTTGATTTTCTGGAAGTAGGCCGTATCCTGCACGACCAGCTGGTACGATGTCACCAAGACATGAAAGGGCGAGTCGCGAGTGTACGTGATGTGTTTGCGATCCCAGAACTTTCTCAAGATCTTGCGGTCTTTGGCAGAGCCCCAGTACGGTAGGACCTTGATATCCGGCACGAATCGCGTAATCTCCTGTTGCCAGTTGTGGAGCGTACTCGCAGGCGCAATAACGAGGAATGGACCCCAAATGTCGTGCACTTCGGCCAGATATGCCATGACGGAGATGGACTGAACCGTCTTGCCCAGACCCATCTCATCGGCGAGGATACCGTTGATGCCCTGCTCGTACAGATTCACGAGCCAATTGAGACCCTTGAGCTGGTACTCTTTCAACTGACAATCCAGCATCTTCGGCTGCGCCACGTCCATACTTTGCAGACTGGACGGGTTCTGGAAGTTCATCTCGCCATCGTCCAGGCTGTCCTGAGCATTCGACAGATCCGGTCCATCACCTTGTTGGTTGAAGGCCCGAGCGCGATCTTGAGCTTCCTTGATGGCATTCTGTGCATTCGCCATGGCAGCCTCCTGCAGCGCTGTTTCATCATCGTTGTCGAAATCCAGATCCTCGAAGTTGGTGACCTTGTCCTTGAGTGAGCCACTGGGATCCGGAAAGTCAATAGCCTTGCCACCAGCGGTATCCTGGATCGTCTGCGCAGTGGGCGCAACGCCGTCTTGATCCACGCCGGACTTCTCAATCTCATCCGTCTTGACTTTCTTGCCGATGAAATGGGAGTACAGTTCGGTCTGCGAGATCAAGAAGTTGAGCTTCCTCCTCTGTCGATTCGCTTCGCGCTCGGCTTCCGCCTTCTTCGCCTTGTCGAGCTCCTGTCGTTCCGCAGCCTTGCGACCTTCGCGTTCATCTCTCTCGTTCCGTTTCCAGAACCCGAGCATCTCTCGCATGGCACGCTTGGCTCGGGCAGCAACGTCCTTGGTGCTCTTGTTGGTCCGCAGCTGCCACCTCCGCGCCTCCTTCGAAGCAAGCTGCGCCGTCTTGCGCGCGTTGGATTGTTTGGTGTCCAGACTACTGTTCTTGACCCTCATAACCTTTGCCACGTTCTTGGCGTGGTCGCGGGTGATTTGCTCGTAGATCTGGTTGTAGCCCTTGCTTTCGAACTTGGCCATGCCCGTGAGCCCGGCGGTGGGCTGCATGTCAAGAGCGCCAGCTGCATCGGACAACTCGGAGTCTTCACGGTCTTGTTGACGGCGGCTAGACAAGCCTTGCAACCGCTCTTCTTCTCTGGGCGCGATGAGTGGGAGCTCTTGGCCTTGATCAAGATAGGCTTGAGCGCGAGCAGCCGAGTCTTTCTCGGCCTGCTTTTGCTCCTTGCTCTTTCGCGCGCGACCATTCCCAGCGCCCTTAGCCGCGCGAGCACGACCACGTGCAGTGGTTGCGGGATATTCTGGAGTAGCATCGTCCAGCCCGTCAGCGTTGCTGGTGTAGAAGGAGGTCATGAGGCCGCCGTCCATCGCGACTTCTCGCTCCCTCCGGCCCAACGCGGCAGCATTGGCAGCATTCTCCGCCTTGGCCTCTTTCGCCGGGTCTATGCCTTGTAATCGACTGTTTGTATCTCGGATCTTCTTGTCGAATCGCTGTATGTCTTTTTCGAGACGCGCTCGGTCTTCCTCATTGTCGGCCGCAGCAAGGTTGTCCAAGGCCTCTTGTCGCTCAATTTGTGCATCGGCGATGGCCTTTTCACGCCGTCTCTTGCGCTGCTGGTCTTTCTTTCGCTCTTTATCTTCTTCAACCTCTTTCATCCGCACCTCTTCCGCGACCTCGTTCTCATGTGCGTCGATGAACGCCTGTCGTTCGGCGTCCGCAGCCTCGTTGAAGTGATTGTAATATTTCTGAATAACATCCAATCGCCGCTTCTTCCGCTTCATGCTCTCCGTGACTTCCAGCTCCAGAGTGCGCTTGTGTGACCTTGCAGCATACTCTTTCCGCAAGGCTTCCATGCCCGGCACCTCAATCTCAACGTCAGACAGGTCTTGCTTCTCGATTTCGGCCCAAGCTGCTTCAGTGTCGCGGATGGTGAGACTTGGAGGACCCGGCTGCTGCGGCGGCGGCGGTGGAGGTTGCGACGAACGCGCGCTTGCAGCGGGTGGCTGAGCGGTTGGAGTAGCAGGCGCACGAGCGGCGTCCAAGAGTTCAGGTTTGACCGGCGGCAGCTGTGAGGTCGACAGGCTGGAAGCCCGACTTGCCTTCCTGCTCGGGGGTTTCGGGATGGCGGAGGAAGCGGCTGAAGCGGATGTGCTTGGAGGAGAAGATGCTTTGAGGAGGGAGTTGGACATGGATGAAATGTCGGAGAGGAGGTTCAACATTGCCATGGGATTGGTGGCACGCTTCGGCGCCTCTCCGCTGTTTGAGCGGCTGTGAATCCCATTCTGCCGTGCTGGATCATACGGCCGGGATGGCGATTTTGCATCGGCCGGTGGAGGAGGATGGGCGTGTGAGCGTGGAGGACTCATGGGGTAATCTGAGTACGGCCTGCCTGGACCACTCTTCATCGAAGCAGGCTCACTGGGGCGCGTGGAAAGGGGTTCGTAGTGATTGAACTCGTGTTCTCGACGCTGAGACGGCACGTCAGTACTTCCGTGCAAGCCATCTTCTGATGCATGTGCCCTCACCTGGACCGGCGAAGTGATGTGATGAGGTTTGCCATGCTCTTGACCCGGGTGTTGGGCTCTTGCCTCGCTCGTGGGATCGTAATAGCCCGATACCGATCGTTCGCGCGCCGTTGGAGAGTGGGGAGGCGGTAAGCGGGTGGCGGTGGGCGAGGAAGGCTGACTTTGCTGGGCTTGTTGGTAGGGGGATGATGAAGGGATGCCGGGATATGAGATGGAGTTGGTCCTCGCTCCTCGTGGGTAGGGATGGGGGGAGGTCGATGAGCCTTCCATGTTCTGTGCACCCTCGGCCGTCTGGCGGCGCTCGGTGGTATACATTTTGCACACAGCGTCCCCAACACCGCGTCACCGCGCCATTTACGTGTAAAGTGGTATTGGGCGTGTTTGGAGGGATGGTTGTGTGGAATGACTTTTGATGGAATCGACGGTGATGGGTGATTCGAGCTCGTGGATCACGTCTCGTCTGGAGGGGGTGGAGATGGAGGGTGGTGGGTTCCCTTTGGCTCCGGCAGCAAAGGAGGGACACGGTGCAGGCGTCACGTCCTTGGCATTGGAATTCACCAAGACGGAGGGCGGAGGTGATGTTTATTCACCGGCGACGACGAGGGTGGGAGATGGGATGATGAAGGTGATGATGGAAAGAGATGGGATGGTGATGGGAGGGATTGGCGGGTCGCAATCACGGAGCATGCTGAACCTGCTTCTCGGCTTCGGGACGGAGTGGACTGGGCTGGGCTGGGCTGACTGTGTGAGCGCCGCCATTCCCCTGGTGCGGCATCTCGCTTTTTCCGATGTGTATCAATTGCCTCCGCGCATGCACGAGACGGACATATTATATATAATTCACGAGGGTGGAAATGTTGGATGGAATCGCGTGGAGAAGCCTGCTAATTATCGTGGTCTGGTCGGACGGACAAAGAATGATGGGATTGTTCGGTGTGGACGGTCGTTTGCGCCCGATGAATGCGGAGGCGAAGCGTCGACTCGTGCGCGCTTGCCCTTCCCGCGTCACTTCCCTTCCTTTTTTGAAGTCGTAACTTTGGGAGGAGCGGCTGGCCCCCGGCAGCTTCCCGCCCACGCTAGACCACATCGGGGCAGCCTCCACCGCAGCACCTGATTGGAAATTTTGAAGACATCCAGTCTGCACGAGATACACCACTACAGACGATTGCGCTGCACCACTCCAACCGCCACGATGGCCTCCGCATACAAGAGTCTCTCCGCTAAACCCAAATCAAATGGACAGACTCGCGACGCCAAATCCGACACGGAGAAGCCGAAAAATAGGCAAAGAGTGCTGATCTTGAGCTCACGAGGCGTGACATTCCGGTAGGAGATACTCCAGACACACTCCTCATCCTCCCAACTAACTCATACGCTCCCCAGCCACCGCCACCTCCTCTCCGACCTCCACTCCCTCCTCCCCCACAGCCGCAAAGACGCCAAACTCGACACAAAAACCAAACTCACCCAACTCAATGAGCTCGCCGACCTGTACAACTGCAACAACATCCTCTTCTTCGAGGCGCGCAAGGGCAAAGACCTCTACCTCTGGCTCTCCAAGCCCCCCAACGGCCCGACGGTCAAACTACACTGCCAGAATGTGCACACAATGGAGGAGCTGAACTTCACGGGGAATTGCCTCAAGGGCTCGCGGCCGGTGCTGAGTTTCGACGCGGCCTTCGATGGCGCGCCGCATCTGCGCGTGCTAAGGGAGTTGTTGACGCAGTGCTTTGGCGTGCCGCAGGGTTCGAGGGGGGTGAAGCCGTTTGTGGACCATGTGGTGGGCTTCACCGTCGCAGATGGCAAAGTGTGGATACGCTGCTACCAGATTGCGGAAACGGAGGCCGGCAAGGTGGTGCGGAATGCAGACAGTCCGGCGGAGATTGTGGAGGCTGCGTCGGCGCACCGAGGGGAGACGAGTGTGTCGCTCATCGAGATTGGGCCGCGGCTGGTGCTTACGCCGATTGTCATTCTCGAGGGCAGTTTTGGCGGGCCGGTGATTTATGAGAACAAGGAGTTTGTCAGTCCAAATCAGATCCGGTCGGACTTGAGACGCAAGAAGGCTGGCAAGTACAATAGGAGGGCAGAGGGGATTTTGGACAGGAAGGTGAAGAAGAGAGACTTGGGCTTGAGGACGGGCGAGGGGACCAGAGAGGTGGATGAGCTGGACGACAGGGTGCTCTTTGCATGATCCTGAGCATGAGCGAGTTAGTGATCCCATATAGATCTAGCGAGGCGTTTCATGGCTGGGCGCGGATGGTGTATGTTCAAAATCCACGAATCGCAGAACCCGCAGTCTGTCCAGCCATCTCACGTCAGACATCACTCGAAGCGTTACAAGTGCGCACGGGTATTGGCGTTTGAACGTGGTTTGTTTGAAAGTCGGTGCCAACGCTACCTTCCCCATCTAGTGAATTCTCGCAGCGCAATGGAGTATTCGCAACTGCTGAACTGCCGTCTTCCTCGCACCTCCGACGTCCGCCGAGTCAACATTAGACTCGAGCACTCCTCCACAGCTCCTCCATCTTCCTCAACTCCTTCTCAACCCACACTCATATCGAGCTGGGGTAGAGCATGATCCTCACCATCGCGCCGAAGCTCTTTGGCGGAAGGTTGTGTTTGAACTGCGCCCTCACCATACCCGAGTTGCCTGCCAAAGCGATTGCCGTTAGTGACTGTACTTCCTTCCTTGCCGCCATGTGGCATGGGCTGCTGCTGCTTACCATGCGTCCTCGTCACCTTGCCCCAGATTACCCGTATCTTCGTTCCTCTTATCTCTTTCTTGCCCCGGTAGACGTATGCGATGCGCTTGCCGAGGTAGAACTTGGCCGCCTTGGTGTTGTCCACGCCTTCGATTTGGATGAGGGAGGTGTTGGGGTTGGTGTTCCTCTGGATTGATGGTCAGTTTCGGGGGGTTCCTGGGCGGCGAGGAGAGGTGGTCTGGCTGGCGTGGATTGCTTACCTTGCCGCGCTGGTATGAAATGTGCTTGCCCCTGTGGAGGAATGCATGTTAGTAGGATTGATCTCGCCGTCTCAGGGCTGCCCTGCAAGTCTGCAGATGGTGGTGGTGCTGGACGTACTTCACGTATAGCCGGTGCGCTGCTGCTGATTCACCCATGTTGGCTGATTTGTGACGGAGTGGGCGATGTATGGACCGGAGATGGTGCGAATCCGGTGTGTGGTGGTGGTGTGAGGTTGGTTGTCGCTGAATTTCTTCGCGGCTGTGTCATTGCGAGAATCGTTGGTGGTGCGTCTTGGCAGCCAGCTCGGCACGGGACGAGCCACGAGGTCCCAGTACTTTTGCACGCACGTTTCCCCCGACATATGGTCAGCACACATTCAGGTACGGGTACTCGAAGACGCTTGAGAAATCTTTCTGTTTCCATTTGGCAGCTACAGGATGGATGGAAGTCGTATGCAACACGAGTCGTTTCATTGGTCATCTTTGTGAGAGGATTCGCAGCATTCATGGCTGGCGGTAAGCCAATTGCTCGGCATGCGCCTGGCCAGTTGCACACAGTCTGCTCGAGCGATAGCATCGACTCACAAGGATGTCGGACTACATCAATCTTGCTCGCCTGACTTTCGCTATTATATGCATCCTCCAGGGACTAACATGCTCAGTTCTCAATCAGTGCCGTGCCGGACTTCGATGACACCACCTAAGAATAAAGCGGCTCCGGCATTTGGCGGGAGCAAGACTTTTCCCCCAAAACGAGGGTCTGACGCTGTAATGTGCTTTCTAAGCCTTACGTAGCGTTGAATGCGGCAGCGCAGGGAAGACCTCATTCCCGCATCATCCAGTACATAGTCTCGAGTATCTGCTTGTCCACACCCTGCGACACCAAACACCCGTCTGGCCTCGAGGACACGCGGCTAATCTCGACCATTGTCTTCCCACCGGCCCCGCCACGTTTTGCCCTGCCCATTTCTCACCCCACTTTAACTACCCTTCAACGTCAATTCCACTATCGTCAAATTCACCTCTCCTCCACATCCCATTCCCGCCGCCCTCCGACTTCTCTTCCCACCAATCTCCCTTGAAATTACCTCGACGCCTGATCTCCTCACACCCACGGGACCATGGCCGACACTCTCATCACACCAGAAGTGGTATGTGTGCGCTGCGTGCGTCGGTGGGAGCGCGCTCAATGATTTGCTGACGGCTGCGTGTCCAGGAACCGTCCGCCGGGAACATCGAACTGAAAGACAACACCATCATCCTCGTCCTCGGCGCCTCCGGCGATCTCGCGAAGAAGAAGACCTTCCCCGCCCTCTTCGGCCTCTTCCGTAATGGCTTCCTCCCCAAGGGCGTCAAGATCATCGGCTACGCCCGGACGAAGATGGATCACACCGAATACCTCAAGCGCGTGAAGAGCCACATCAAGACCCCCACCAAAGAGATGGAGCAGCAGCTCGAGGACTTCTGCAGCGTCGCCACATACGTCAGCGGCCAGTACGACAAGGATGACAGCTTCCAGAATCTCGAAAAGCACTTGCAAGAGGTGGAGAAGGGCCAGGAGAAGACGAACCGTATCTTCTACATGGCCCTCCCGCCCAGCGTCTTCATCCCCGTCAGCGAGCACCTGAAGCGCAACAACTACCCCAAGAACGGCGTCTCTCGCATCATCATTGAGAAGCCGTTCGGCAAGGATCTCGAGTCCAGCCGCGAACTTGACCGAGCCCTGCGGCCCAACTGGACGGAGGAGGAGATTTTCCGAATCGACCACTACCTTGGCAAGGAGATGGTGAAGAACATCCTCATCCTGCGCTTCGGCAACGAGTTCTTCGGCGCCACATGGAACCGCAACCACATCGACAACGTGCAAATCACCTTCAAGGAGCCCTTTGGCACCGAGGGCCGGGGTGGGTACTTTGACGAGTTCGGCATCATCCGCGACGTCATGCAGAACCACTTGCTGCAAGTCCTCACCCTGCTCTCCATGGAGCGCCCCATCTCCTTCTCCGCCGAGGACATCCGCGACGAGAAGGTGCGTGTGCTGCGCAGCATCACCCCCATCGAACCCAAGAACGTCATCATCGGGCAGTACGAGCGGTCGCTGGACGGCAACAAGCCCGGGTATAAGGAAGACGACACGGTGCCCAAGGACTCGCGCTGCCCCACCTTCGCCAGCATGGTGGCGTACATCAAGAACGAGCGCTGGGACGGCGTGCCCTTCATCCTCAAGGCGGGCAAGGCGCTCAACGAGCAAAAGACGGAGGTGCGCATCCAGTTCAAGGACGTGACGAGCGGGATCTTCAAGGACATTCCCCGCAACGAGCTGGTGCTGCGCGTGCAGCCCAACGAGTCCATCTACATCAAGATGAACTCCAAGCTGCCCGGGCTCAGCATGCAGACGGTGCTGACCGAGCTGGACCTGACGTACCGCCGCCGCTTCTCCGACCTCAAGATCCCCGAGGCCTACGAGAGCTTGATCTTGGACGCGCTCAAGGGCGACCACAGCAATTTCGTGCGTGACGACGAGCTGGATGCCAGTTGGCGCATCTTCTCCCCCCTGTTGCATTATTTGGACGACAATAAGGAGATTATCCCAATGGGGTATCCTTACGGTGAGTGGACATTCAGCATCGTCGCTTGGAGTCAGAACGCTAATCCGTGTGTCTTTTCAGGATCTCGCGGCCCCGCCGTCCTCGACGACTTCACCGCTAGCTACGGCTACAAGTTCTCCGACGCCGCCGGCTACCAATGGCCCCAGACAAGCGCGGAGGGCAACAAGTTGTGAGCGAGAGCAGTCAAAACTCAACGCACCAGCACCACCGACGTCAATCTTTAGGGAGGAGCATGGAGCACGCGCTTCGTCACAGCTTGGCCTGCCCGCCCTGGAGTCGTAAGGAATCTCCTTTTGGCGTCAGACTTATCATCTAACCCCCTTTCTCTTTTTCCCCGCGATAGAGCTACCAAACTTTGCTGAAGAGACACGAAACTAAGAATAGATGATGGGTTGGATGGGAGGCGGACATCAGAGAAGGAGGGTATAGTTCAGCGTTTAATACAACATCAAGTTCGGGGAGAAGAATTGGCCACCATCTCACTCTCGTCTTCCACTGCGCATTGGGCTTCTTAAAGTCGTCAATGGCATTGAACACACCCGCCCAAAGGTGATGTCACAAGCAGCAGAACCAAGTTCGAGCTGAAGGCACGGAGGTCCTCGGTCAGAGCGTGCGTGACGTGTGTCTCACGTTCCACCGCCCGCATCTTGTGCCTTCTGTGTAATGCGTTGTTCTTTATCATCGCCAGGGCATGAGAAGCACAAGCAGCCCCCTTGTGAGATCATTCGTGACACAACGCACGGCGCGGGGGCCATTAGGCTGAGAGCAAGCCGGGACAGCGAGAGGAGGTAATATAAAAGTTTACGCTTTTCCCCCACGAAAAGCAGAACCTCACTTGCTCATCATTGCCCTTGTTGCGACTTGCCACCACTCTTTCAACTACTTCTTACGTTCTCTTCTTCATCAAACGATCAGCCAGCCAGTAGAACTGCCTAGCAGAGCAATGATCCCCACCACACCCCCATAACTCCCTCCGCCCTCACAAACAAGGCACCTCACAACACCCAACCATGCTCTACTAACTCACCCCCCCAACAGTCAGCATGGCCACCGACCCCAGCAATCCCGTCACCACCCCCCGCAACGTCGCCGAGGCAGAAGTGCTGGTCAAAAGGCTGTACGAATCCAACCCGCCCGCCATCATTCAGCAAATCAACGACCAATTGCAGGCGCTGCAGATCAGTGCGCACGGCTGGCAATTGGGCGATGAGTTGTTGGCGAGCGGAGATGCGAATGTGCGCTTTTTCGGGGCGTTGACTTTTATGGTCAAGTTGACTCGTGAGGGGTGGGTTTTTCTGTTCTTCCTGTATTCTTGATTGGAGTCGTTGGAGTGGCTGTGGCTGACTTGGATGTTGTTTGGTTGTAGATCGAGACTTGATCCGGCGAATGCGCAGATTGTTTTGTCGAGGTTGTTGCATTGGCTTGTATGTTTTCTAGTTCATTACTGTTTCTTTGTTATTGGCTGCTGATGACAGCAGGTGCGCCTCACGAACCAAGGCGATGGCGCAATGGTCGGCAAGAAGCTATGCTCGGCCATAACGGCGTATTATATTCAGTCGACGGCCCCGTGGGAACAACCCCTACGCCATATTGCTCTATGCTTCCGCCATGGGGAAGCCGTGTCTCCTGACGCTCTCCAGACCGACAACACTCCCTTCTCGGTATTGCTGGCCTCATTATCCCACCCTCAAATCACCACCGTGCTATGGCTCGCCGCCTCGCTCGCAGAGGAAATGGGAAGGGTCGATTCCAACACCGCGCAAACCGCTCGAATCCACGCCCAGATGGAAAACATCGTGAGAGACGCGAGCGAAACGATGCACCGCGCCTTACAGCTGCAAACCTCCACTCCAGAACTCGCAACGGAGGCGCTGGTCACCTTCCAACAATGGGTAGACTACGCCCAGCCCGTCTGGCCGCGCAATCCCGACGCTCTCCAGTACCTGCGGAATCTCATCGCCCCGGCTGCCGCCTGCTTGTCCTCCACTACCGTCTCGCAAGAAGCGCTCGATGTCTTCCGCGACATCCTCGAGAGCTACACCAGCTTCTTTCGCTACGAGCACATCGCCATGCTCGCCGAGATCATCTACCAATACATCAACCCCCCTCTGCAGCGCGCACTACAAGAACAAGACTCCGACGGTCAACACGTCCTGTACGGCCAATTCGTCATCGCTTTCGGCTGCGCCAACATCCAACAAGTGGTGGAGGATCCGCAGAACCAACTGGGCTCCATCAATCTCGTCACTCTGCACACGCAGATGATCTCCACCCCCGGCTATCCCGGCGACGATGACCAGCTCTCCGTGCAAGCGATCGAGTTCTGGAACACCTACGTCGAGCACGTGAACGACATCATCGGCTCGGGGGACGAAGGCGACAACCCGCCGTGGCAGCCAGCCGCTCAGATGACTCTACAGCGCGTGTTCGAATGCCTATGTCGGAAAATCACCACGCCGCCGCCCGACGTGGCGGAAGAGTGGGGCGACGACGAGCACGAGGGGTTCAAAGAGTTTCGCCTCGATGCGACAGACCTCTTGCTATCCATCTACATCTTCCTCGAGAAGCCGATGCTCGAGGAGCTGGTGGGCCTCATCTGCCGCTCCTTGCAGGCCAAGGAGTGGCGCGTGCTCGAAGCGGCGTTGTTCATCTTGAACAGACTTGCAGACAACGTTCTTGAAGAACCCGGCAACGGCTCCGTGTTGGAGAAAGTGTTCCAAACAACCTTGTTCCGTGAAGTCGCCAACTTTAGTCTCGACATTCCTTCGCAAACCCGTCGTGCTGCTATTGACTTGCTAGGCTCGTACGGGCAGTACATTGAGCGGCACGCAGAGTTCCTCCCAGACACGCTCAACTTCCTCTTCGCCTCCTTGGAGACTACGACACTAGCCGCCGCAGCAGCCCGATCCATCGACTCCCTCTGCTCCACCTGCCGCGCAGAACTCACCAACGAACTCCCGGGCTTCGTAGCGCAGTACCAACGCTTCCTCAAATCCGACGGCAACGACCCCTACACCAAGAAGATGGTGATCGGCGCCATCGCCTCCATCATCCAAGCCATGCGGCCCGAGAGCGCGAAAGCGGAGCCGCTGATTGCACTCATCGAGCAGGTAGAGCGAGACGTCGAGGCGGCGAAGAAGTTCGCTGCGGCCGGAGAGGCAGAGCAGGAGGAAGAGGTGGGCGTCAATGCGCTGGAGTGTCTCGCGAGCATTGGGCGGGGCATGCAAGTGCCCGACGACGTTCCTATCGATTTGTACAGCGAGGAGAGCGGCGATGCTGCTGCGACGGATAAGTCGACCTACTGGCAGTCTGCGGACGGCCAGGCTATCCAGCGGCGGATCATGGGCTGCTTTTCAGTGCTGCAAGTCGTCGGAGGGTATAGCGCGGCCATTGACGCTGCATGCCAGGTGCTGAAGAGCGGGTACACCGAGACCGAGCCCGGGCCGTTTGTGCTCCCGCCTTCGGTGACGGTGAGTTTCGTGCAGCAGTGCTCGCTCACCACCCCGCAACTGGAAATGGTGCTCTCGACCGCGTGCCTGCTCGTCACGCAGCATTCGCACGCGCCCAAAGCCCCGCGCATCGAATCCGAAGTCCGCGCCATCTACGCCTGCGTGCTGAACTTCATGACCGCGCTGCGCGACTCGACGCACGATCCCGCCGTCGCGAATGCATGCATCGAAATCGTCGGCCGCATGATGCCCTACTACACGCACGTCTTGTTCCCCACCGATTCCGCCCCCAACAACCCCACAGCAACCATGCTCAACTTCGTCCTCACCGCCGTCATCGGCCCGGACCAATTCCCCAAACGCGCCGCCTGCGACTTCTGGACCAAACTCATCAAACCCCAAACCGCCGCCCTCACCCCGCAAACACGACAAAGCCTCGAAGCGGCGATAGAAGCGTACGGCGCGCAGCTAACCGAATGCATTATTGTCGAAATTGGCGGTCGAGGCCGCAGATCGGAGCTGGACGTCGTTTGCAACCCGCTTCTGGCGCTGCTGCTGCATCGCGGCGAGACGAGGCGGTGGTTGGAGCGTGCGTTGGGGAGCGAGTCGTTTCCTGATACGCAGGGCCGGGCGACGGATGAGGAGAAGGGGCGGTTTCTGAGGGGCGTTGTTGCTGCTGGGAGTGATGGGCGGAAGGTGAGGGAGGTTGTGAGGGTGTTTTGGGCGCTGTGTCGTGGGACGGTGGTGGGGTTTGGGTCGTGAGTTGATGGGAGCCGCTGGAGAAGAGTCAAGCGTCGTTATCCCCTTTTGTTCTTTCCCGATTCCACAGCATAGCATAGCGCAACATAGCATAGCCAGCATCGCATAGCCATCCATGAATGAACCCAATCAAAACCCCCTCCCTCATCCTCTCCCCCCCACCAAAATCTGAAATGGAAACGGATTCGTCTCCGTCGAAGTGATGGGCGGAATATGCCCCTTCTCCGAATTGGCAACATCAATCACCCTCATCACCGCCTCCTGCAACGACTTCTCCATGAGCGCGCGATTCCTCTCCCCCGCGATTCCTCCCCCACCACTCCCACCAGCAGAAGGCAAGAGCGAGAGGGTGATCACCCACGTCTCCCAAATCGTCTCTTCGTCTGCTTTCGCTACGAACCAGCCCTTGCGCCGCTTCTTCTCAAGGAAGTGGAGGGTGAGAGTCGCTTTGCTGTTTCCTCCCCCTCCTGCTCCTCCGGCTTCGTGTCCGTCCGTTCCTGAACCTCCTCCTCCGTTTCCCCCATTATCTAAATACCGCACAAACGCCCCCGTCCGCTTCTCAATCACAGCCTCAATCTCGTCATCGGAGACGTAGGGGAGAGTCAGGTCGAGCACGTCGTGCGTGGCGGGCGTCAGGGCGGTGAAGACGCGGTGGAAGAAGATTGTGTGCAGGAGGGCTTTGAGCAGATCGCGGGCGGTGGGGCGGTCGGTTGTTAGGGTCAGATGGAAGGTCGGTGGGGGGTGGGCGGCGGTTTTGATGTCCATTTCGTCGTTGGAGGGGATGTGATCTGAGGAGGGAGGGGTCGGGGTGGAGGGATTGGTTGGAGGGCGGTGAGGTCGAGGTGGGCTACATTCTTGGGTGGTCGGTTGGGTTGGGGATTATTTGGGTGTTCACATGAGTTGGAGAAGATGGTGTGAATCAGGAGGAAGTGTAGAGTCGCACGTGGTGATTGCGCGCATGTGACGGAGGGTGAGGTGGGGTGAAGCTTCGGCCAGCCAGCCTCCTGCCCGATGTCGCAGCCTTGGAGCAACATCGCGGGCATCTTATCGTTACTTCGCCCGGGAAAGATCGTCATCACCGGAATCGGCTACTCTTGACATGGAAGAAACATTGGGATAGGAAACAAACCCCGTCTTCGTCATTGCACGCAACGGAGAGAAGCATCACATCCCCCACCTCAGCACCTCACCTCATCCCAACATGCCCCCAACCAACGCCCTCATCTTCGGCGCCGGCGGCGTAGGCTGCGTCTACGGCTACATCATGCACAAAGGCGGCGCGCGCATAACAGCCGTCTGCCGCACAAACTACCCCGCCGTCAAGGAGCGCGGCATCCTCATCCACTCCCAAATCTTCGGCACTTGTCGCTACCACCCCACCGCCGTGCAGACCGCCGCGGAAGCTGCACAGCACGGCCCATTCGACTACATCATCGTCGCCAGCAAGGCTTTTCGCGAGACGCCGGCGCTGATTCGCGACGCTGTTACCCCTGGACATACGACTGTTGTGCTGGCGCAGAATGGGATTGGGATTGAGGAGGAGTACGCGAGGCTCTATCCGTCGAATCCTATTGTTTCTGGCGTCGTCTATCTCCCCGTTACGCAGACGGAGCCGGGCGTGGTGGCAATGGCGGCGCTCGAGCGCTTCGAAATCGGCACGTATCCCGCCAACGCCTCTGCCAAAGCGAAGCAGGCCGTCCAGCGGTTATCGGAAATCTGGACCGCAGGCGGAGCTACGGCGCCTGTCCTTGACGACGTCCAGCCCTTGCGATGGCTCAAGGTGGCTATCAATGCTGCTTGGAATCCCACGACTGCTCTTACGCTCTGCGACGATGCGAATTACCTGCGCTCGTCGAGCACGTCGGAGAAGACGGTTGTGCGAATCATGCAGGAAGTGGGGTTAGTAGCGACCGCAGCTGGGTATCCCGATGCCATTACGGACGAGACGATTGCAAAGGATCTGGAACGGCCGAGAGCACGCTTAGAGACCGGGGGCAAAGAGCCCAGTATGCTGACGGATGTGCGAGAGAATCGGCCTATAGAAGTGGAGGCTATTCTGGGCAATATACTGCGGATAGGGAAGAAGCATGGCGTGACGGAGCTGCCATATCTGGAGCTGTTGTATACGCTGGCGAGTGCGAGGGATTACGAACTGAGGAGGCCGGAGACGTGGAAGCCGATTTCGTTTGCTGTGTCGAAGTCGAATGTGCAGCAGAATGGGCAGAGCTGATGATGGGATGACGAGGTACTTAGACACATTACAGATCAGACCTGGTAGATGTAGAGTGGTTGGTAACGACCAGAGAGTCAGTCTATTCTTCTCTATTGTCTAATCGTCTACCCCCAGAACAAATGGGGAGGAGTCCTATGCAATGCCAACACTTGACACTCTCAAATGCACACTCAAATCCCACTTACGTCGATGCCATTGACAAGCTCCGCGCTCGCTATGGTCTTTGCATTCCCCTCCTGCCCTGCCTTCTCCACCTCTCCCTTCATACTCTCCTCCTTAACACGCTTCGACTCCCGCTCTGCCCGCTCACTGAACCGATCATTGAACAGATCAAAATGCTGCCGCATAACAATCGTATACTTGACAAACTCCTCCATGCAATCCACCAGCCTATCGCGGTTCCCAGACGGCATAAGTCGACTGCCGCCCTCGGCCTCGACATACCCGTCGTCGTCGTCGACACCAGGGTCTCTGGCATCGGTGAATTGCGTGTACGCTTTGGGCACGGAAGACTGGTTGGGGATGGTGAACATGCGCATCCAGCGGCCGAGGATGCGCAGCGAGTTGACGGCGTTGAAGGACTGCGAGCCACCTGAGACCTGCGCGATGGCGAGCGTGCGGCCCTGCGTTGGGCGTACGGAGCCTGTGCTTAGCGGGATCCAGTCGATTTGGTTCTTGAACACGCCCGTCTGTGGCTCGTATTAGCGCAGGGTTCAGTGTATCGTTTTAGGAGGATATGCGCACGAGGTTACCATGTTGCTCGGGCGAAACCCAGATGTGGCCATCGCTCCACTTGCTCAGATCACGCAGCTCTTGCACCTTGTGATGGGCGTGCTGCACGTCGTCTTTCACCGGCAAGCCGGTAGGGTCGAAGACGCGCACGTCGCAGCCCAAACGGAAGAGAATGCGTGCGCACTCAAAGGCCAGCAGGCGCGAGTAGGAGCGGCTGCGCATGCTGCCGAACAGCACCATCACTTTCAACCTGTCGCCGTGCGTTCGCTGGAGGTCCGCTTCCGCCATCTTCAGCGCCGTGCCCAGCTCCAACTTCGCCACCCAGTCGCTGCTCGCTACATCGACGCGCTGGAGGAAAGGTCGATATTGCGCGCGAATGGCGCTGTCGTCTTCATCTTCGGGAATGGCCAGTGTTCGCCGCGCATATGCGGGATCAGGACGGATTTCGATTGTCTTCCGGAGAGCTTGGGTGTTGTTCAAATCGCCGTTAGTGTGTACCTTGGCCGCCATCGGCGCTGTTCGTGCGAAGTGCCGAATGGTGAGGGATGCTGTTCGAGCAGCGGGCCAGATGCTCGTTGGAGCAGTGGGAATGAGCAATGGGACAATTCGCGCGCGGGTCTGGCGCATCAAGGCGCAGAGCATCGACGTGATGACCGACAAGCAGACACCTTCCCTCTGCTTTTCTCCTGTACTTAGGTAGTCGTCGCCGCTCCGAATAACCCTTCGCCACTCGTCCTAGGAGTGATTATGGATTGTTCGGAATCACGGATAATGTACCCCCAAGTCCATCATCCCTGCCGTTGACGACATCTGAACCAGAATGTCATTGCTGAGAGAGAGTTGTCACCGGCAGGGTTAGGGTTAAGCCACTAATTACCGTAGTTAGTAATTCGTTAAAAAGGGCGGTAATTTACCCAAGAAAGATACCAATCTAACGAAGACCAATGCAAAGCCTCGCCACAAACCTTCCAACCTCCAACAACACCCACAATGCCACTCAAACCAACAACCCAGCAACCCGCAAACCGACCATGTCAACCCCTCCAAAATCCCTCTTCACCCAGAGCACCCTCACAACCCTAACCCACCTCACGCACCTCCTCCACCTCTTCCACCACCGCAACAAAAACCAACACCGCCACTCCCTCTGGTACAGGCACTTTTCCTCTTTCCGCAAACAGCTAAACACTCTCCACGCATCCCTAACAACCCTGCACTCCACCCCGGAAACCCACCTAGCCCGCACACGGAAGAAGGCGCAAGACCGCGCTTTGAGGTCTTCCATCTCCGCCCGTCTGGATTTCTGGAGAGACGTCCTCGTTCCGAAGTGGGAGCATGCTTTTGGGCAGCTGGTTGCTGATTTAAGGTTTGCGGTGCTGGGGGTTGTGTTGATTGCTGTGCTTGCGCAGGTTTGTGGGGCGGTTGGGATTACGGGGGCGTATGAGGCTATGGCGGAGGGGGAGGTGGAGAGGGTTTTGGAGGAGTTTGGGAGGGAGTTCTGGGGGGATGACGGTGCTGGTGGTGCTCGAGGGAGGAATGGAGGGCGTGGTGGCGGGGAGGATGTCGGGGAGGTTGTGAGGAGGGATGAGGGCGGGGATGTTGCTCAAGTGTCTACTCCGCCTGCGCCGGTTGTGAGGCCAGCTGTGGAGGAAGAAAGCAGAGACGACGAGCAGGTGGTGCCGAAGACATCCACACGACCGCCACGCAAGAAACGCCGGAAAGGAGGAGACGCAATCGACGACCTCTTCAGCGGCCTCGACTGAGGCACATGCACGCATTCATAATGACTTCTAAACGACCATTTCCCTCAAATCGAACACTACCCAACTTGTCTCAACCAATACAACACACTCCCCAACCCAATATTCCCCACCAAATGCCAGCCCACAGCCCACGCCATAGCATACAGGTATTTGGGGCTAAACACCGTCCAGATGAACAGATGCGTGCGCAGCGCCGTGCAAGCCGCCATGACGGCCAGTAGGCCCGTGGCGACGAAGGCGGTCATGGCGGAGACGTAGGTAGTCCAAAGGCCTTCTCCAAGCAAGGCTGGAAGGCTCGTCGTCTTTTGATCAGCAGATGTGCGTGCGGCGAGGACAGCGTCTTCGTGGAGTTTCGCCCGCTCAACCATCACCCAATCCCTCTCCCCGCCGTCCTGTCGTCTGGCTGCCTTTTTAGCAGAAGGTGGCGGAGTGCGCTTCGGCATGAGGAGCTGCACAGCCGCACTGCACCACCAAATCGCTCCCGCCCAATTACTCGCGAACAGCAGCACGCCCACGGCGGTGATGTTGTAGTCCGCCACGCCGTTGTACGCATTGCTGAGGTCGATGCTGGAAATCGAGTTGGAGCCGCCGAAGCTGAAGTAGGTCGCGTGGGAGAAGAGGAGGGCCGTTGTTGCCACTTCCATCGTTGAAGTCGCTTCTTGCACTTCTCCTCCTTTGTCCGTTGTTGATGTTCGTGGTTCCCGCGAGATGAGTCGGTCGAAACAATACCGCTGCACCTCCATGAACAGGAAAAGCGGCACGTTCGGCGCGCGCGTCTGCGTCATGAGAAACAGCGTGAGCAGAGGGTGTAGTCGCTCCGGCATGGATATTACCCTTCTTCCGTCCTTCACCTCTCCAGCCTTCCCAGTCGAAAGACGGGACCAGCTCATCACCCCCCACACACCCAAAACCCCCACCCCAACGCCCAGCAAAATAAACACCGCCCGCGCCTGCGGCACAAGCGGAAACTCCTCGCTGACCTCGCGAATCACCCTCCCCAACCCCCGCACCAACTCGGGCGCATCAGCCTGCGTGAAGTTCAACTTGAACACAATCGCCAGCACCACGAGCGTGGATTCCAAACACATGGCCAGCTCGCGGGACAGGATATCTGCGAAAGTGCGCACGTGCAGCTGGAAGGCGTTGAGGAGATAAGTGGCGAGGATGAGCAGCCAGAGGAGGATATGGTGGGAGGGGAAGAAGGTGTGCACGATGTCTGCTTCGCCGGCGTGTTTCTGGCCGGTTTGGTTCCAGCGGAGGGAGAGGCGGTGGGTTAGGAGGAGGAGGGAGGCGGCGAGGAGGGTGCGCGTTGCGTGGGAGGAGTTGTCGCTGGAGTGGAAGAAGTTTCTTGCGATGAGGAGCGCGATCCAGGCGGGTGTTAGCCAGTACCAGAAATGCTGCTCTTCTTCCACGTAGCTGCTGGCGAACATCATGATGCCGTAAAGGAGGCTGAGGAGGGTGAAGAAGACGCCGGCAGTGCTTGGAGGCCAGAAGGAGGATAGAAAAGAGGCCACGGCGGCCACAAGTGCGCAGGCGACAAGCACCATTCCGCCGACCATGCGAGGGATGTCGTAGGAGCTGGCCGTGTCGCTCATGGCTTCCTGGGCGTGGGCGAGGAAGCGGTAGAGAGTCTTCTGTGCTGTCTCGGCATCTTTCCCTCCGCCGCCAGCCCTGTTCTCCAGGACCAGCGACACTTGTGCCCATTCGCAAGCCAGTTGCTCTTCGTCGCCATTGGCAAGCCAACATGCATTTTCTCCAAGCTCACCACCCAGCGTCGTCCTGAACCTCGCACTTCTCGCCTCAAACCCCTCCACCCCATACTTCGCCCTCACAATCTCCAACATCTGCCTAGCATTGCGTTCCAAATGCCCCAAGCCCTCCTCTCCCCCCTTGCCACCCACCCACACACCCTCCGCAAGCTCCGGAATCAGAACCCCCAAACTGTTCTTCGAAATCGGCAACCCCAACAACGTCGCAAGGACAGGCACAACATCGCTCTGCTCCACCTTAGAATAGTAATGAAACTCCGTGCCCTCCTTCGGTGAAGTAGGACATTCGTACTCCCTTCTCCCCTTTTGCCCAACCATATCCTTCAACCGTGGACTAGCAAAGAGTAATGCAGGCTCGGTCTCACCGGGTCCACTACCGCCGTGATTGCCACCAGCATTCATTCCATGATCGCCCGCGAGCACCAGAAGCGTGCGTTGCAGATGCACCTCCGTCTCCATCGCCTCGTAAATCATGCGCACAACACCGTCCATCTCGCGCTGCTTGGGCAGCATATTCGGTCCCTGGGGACCAGTTTTGTGCCCAATGTGATCGAGGCCGAGGTAGTGCAGGATGAGTGCTTGCCAGTCGCTCTGTCGCAGTTCAGAGGGCACATGGCGCGTTACGTTGAGATCCACTTCGGTAAAGTCCTGTGGGGAAGAAAGAGTAGAATTTTCAGCATATGTACAACGACGACAACAACGGCTACTACGATTGTCTAGAAGACCGCCAAACCAGGGCCAGCTTTGTGTTGTTTTGGGAACGTGACTGACCGAAACGAAGAAAGAGCTTGTGCCCTCGGAGCGCAGAAAGAAGTCTCTCCCCTCCTCCGCGATGCCAGGGAAGAGCTTCAACCATGTGTCATCCCCATAGAAGACCAGCTCGCCGCCCGCAGCGCGAATTTGCGCGAGCCATGTATCCTGCTGCGCGAGGGAGGAGGAAGTATCGCTTTCGGCGAAGTTAAGGATAAGGTCGAGGAAGGAGGGCACGGAGCCGGTAGTCAGGGCTTTGATGCGCGGCATTGTGACGGTTGGGGGCGTGGCATGGGCTGTGAAGGGCAGGGCGGCGCCGGAGCGGATGAGGCTGTTTCGTACATTGATTAGCGTTGCATTGTGCTCGAGGGGAGCGGTTTAATGTGCATACCTCTGCGTAAATTCAAACCCCGACTCATACCCATAGACAAAATCACTCCGCAGCGCATCAACGACCATGAAAATCACACGGTCGAAGACTGCGCGCGGCCGAGGAGAGCGAGGCACAGTACTCCCTAAATCATCATCGTGAAAAGTAGCAAGGCCAGGAAGGAAAGGTTTGTAAGGGAAGAAGCCAGTCGCAAAGACAAAGACCGCGAGGGGGATGAGGATGTTGGAGAGGATGAGGGAGAGGAGGTGGGAGCGGCGATGGCGCGGCGCCATGGTTGGTTCACGTGGTGTTGCCCGTCTGCAGTTGATGCAGACACTAGGTCATGACATCTTGAGAAAGAGGGAAAATCCAACGCAATGGTGGATGATGTTGGAGAGCTCGCATGGAAACGAGATCCAAAGCTGAGGTTGGAGTGGAGAAATGTCTGGAGTGATCCGTGCACCAGGGGTTCAGCACAATCAATCCCACACCTCGTCAAACCGCATCTTCAACCTAGACATCTCACGAGCACTGCAAAGAGAGACAAGGTATTGTGGGCGAGGTCGATTGCACGCTATAGAAAAGAGTGGCTATCCGTCACAATCGCAACGCCCTTTTCCCATCCTTCCAAAAACTCAATCATCTCCATCCCATCCCATAACCCACGCTCAGCATCGAGACAAACCGTGGAATCTCGAGCAGCAAGTGAAACAGAAAGCAGAGAGAGCCCTCCTTCTTCGCCCGGAGCGCCATCCGCCGATGACACCATGCGCCGAGCATGAACGCAATAGGAAATAAAAGCAAAAACCGTGTTGAGCAGATCGACGCCACCAAACCCGGCAGACACGCAGCAGACGTGTGTCCAGATGGGCCCCGGATCAACCAACAGCAGGGGGAACAGCAGTGATGATATCCGCCCCTCCATAAGTCCATCCAGGCCGCTAACCAGGCTCACATTTGCTATGCAAACCCAGGCATCCCGGCAGCGCGATGAGAGAGAAGTGAAGTGATGCAACAGACACTGAAGCCGAGCGACAGTCAGTGAAGTGGGTCGACAACGACAACAAGCCGATGACGAGTTGCGCGGTGGCGACGCCTAGTGAGACACGCCAGGGTACTGCTGACCAGAGGAGCCGTCGTAGTAGCCGTTGGCCCCGTTGCCCAACCCCTGCATCTCCTCCGAGATGGCTCTGGGAACGCTGTAATGGCCAGGACCGGGGTAGTAGGCGTACTGCGGACCATTCATCGACGGATCCTGCGTCTGTTTCGTGCTGAAGCGCCTATGCGGAGCGACGTAGACTTGCTGCGATCCGTTCATCGAATGGTATGCCGATCCTTGGCCAGCGTGCCCGAAGCCATTGCCGTTGTTGACTGCAGAGTGCTTGGGAAGACGGCCGTGAGACATCGGATCCATCACCGGCACGCCGTTGCCATACGGGCTGCCGTATTGGTTGACGTGGAATTGCGACGGCGGAGTCATGCCAGCTCCAGCAGCCATGTGGCCGTGGTGGAAGAAGTTCACGGGCGACATGTGAGAGCCGGCACCGTTGTGCATGGCCGACATGTGAGGAGGGATGCCGTTGCGCATGGGCGTCATGTGGTGAGCCACGCCGTTGTGCATGGGCGACATGTGATGAGCACCACCGTTCTGCATGGGTGACATCTGCTGAGCACCACCGTTCTGCATCGGCGACATCTGATTGAAGTAGGCCTCCTCTTGCAGCTGCGCCGTCGTGCCACGGTCGAACTGCGACTGGTGAGCGCCGTTGGACATGCCGTTGCGCTTGCCACGGCTGCCCGACGCGTACAAGCCGATCTGGCCCGCATTGTCGCGGCTACGCTGCTTCTTGGACGGGTTGTTGACGGGGGGGAAGTCCTTCTCCTGGCCCACCATGGATGGCGTAGGGGCAGACGCGGTGGTCCACAGCAGCTTGGGACGGTAGTCCCGGTTCTCATCCATCACCGACGAGTTACGCATCTTCTCGATCAGGCAGTCCAGGCCCTGGATAGTACCGTAGGCAAGGTCTGCGATGCGAGGACGGAAACGACGACGGCCGGATCCCGCTGGAGCCTGCACCCACGGCTTGTTGTACTGATGCTCGTAGAAGCCGACAATGTCCATGGGGTCGACGAGGTTGAGGAAGGCATAGCCAACGTTCTTATTGTTGTTGAAGTCGATGCGGAGGTACAAGAAGTCGTACTTGCCGTAAAGCACCTGGTCCAGCAGCTGCTTGAGCTCCTGCGACGTCATCTCGTTCGGCAGGTTACGCAGCATGATGGAGGTGCGCACGTCGGTGCCTTCGATGATCTTCTGGGGGTAGATCTTGTTCGGCCCGTCGGTCGTGAACTTGGGACCCGAGTGGTAGAACAAGCCGGTCGGCGAAGCGGCCACAAAGGCAGGATTGGCCCACATCGAAGCGGCACGAGGGTCTTGACTGGTGAAGTAGGGGGGAGTAGCGTATGCGAACGGCTCCGATTGCACGCGAACCATTCCTGTCGATGCACCCGGAGCATTTGAGGCTCCGTGGGACTTTGGCAGCTGCTTCGGAGCCGGCACGGGCACGCGGTTGCCATTGCTGTCGAGCGTCCACGCGGTGCGGCCGGTCGGACTCGTGTACTGGATCTGAGTGCCGTTCGGAAGAGTCTGCGGCGGAGTGACGGCGCCGTTGGCGTACACGCTGCTCTCCAGGTAGTGGACATTGCTCTGGGGCATCGCGGTGACGGACCAGTCCGGCAACTCCTTGGATTCGATGGTCCATCGCTGTAAGGTATGTCAGTTGAGGTCGTGTGGCGAAGTTTGGTGTGTCGGGAAGACTTACATCCATAATCAAGGGAACCTTACGCGCCTCCATTGTGGTGATCGCGTCCTTGGCTGCGCTGATCGTGGCGTACTCCACGCGGAACTGATGCTTGCCATTGTCCTTCTCCCACTCCGTAAAGGCAACGACAGTGCCGTATGAAGTGGCGACTGCGCGAACGTTCTCCTCGAGGTCTCCGACATAGAACTCGCTGCTTGGCCCGGTGAACTCACAGAAGAAGAGGACCTGCCCGTCGTGGAACGAGGTGGCCTCTCCGCTCCCGTTCGCGCTGTTTCTCTTGATGGCCGCGTACTCGGTCTGGCAAATGTACTTGATTTGCAGAGTGGGATCGACCACCTCGACCTCGTGAATGGCACGGTCGGCATCGGCAATGTCATTGAAGTTCAAGAAGATCTCGGACTGAGTGCCCTCTGACGTTGGGCAATGCACCCCGCGGAGCTTGTTGCCCCAGTTGTACTGGTTGAACGCGTTAGTTGGAATGCGGAAGAAGCATGAGGGTGAAGTGACTTACATTGTCGTAGAGAGCCTTGAGAGTCCCAGAAAGCTGACCCTTGTGCAGGTTGAAAAGCTTCAGGTAGTGACCGCCAGGAGCCTCGGAACCGGGGCCGACGTCAGTGGTGAACCACACGGGCGGACGAGTGGGGCTGAAGTTGTCGCCACGAGTGCCGATGGGCTCCTGGACCGCCTTGGCTTTGCCCTTGCCCTTGTCGCGCGTGGGGTCAGAGGCGGAGTCGGAAGAGACGACGACACGGCTGTTAGCCTCGTCGGAGGTGCTGTTGCGGTTGAGGTAGACAATGGGAGCCGGGCTGGACGAGCCGGGCTTGGCTGCAGAAGCAGTGCCGTCGAGCTTCTGCTCAGGATGAGAGGAAGGACCAGCTGTGGGAGAGACAGCAGCATCCTCAACAGTGACGTGACCGCTGGAATTGGCCGCAGACGTGGCAGTGGAGCTACGATACTGGTCAGCGGTGTGAATGTACGAGAGCTCAGGAGGACTTACTGCTTCTTGTCACCCGCGGGCTTCACGCTGGCGATGGTGGGAGTGTCAGCTTTGGGGCCCTTGTCGCACGCCGGGCTGGCGGTGGAGGGGCCTTGAGCCTTGGTCTTGTCGGAAGTCATGTTGGATGAGAGGTTCAACAGATCGAGGCCGAGAGACTCGAAGTGGCGGAAGATGTTGCGTAGAGCGTGACGCTGTGTGGGAAGAGTGTCAGGTACGGAACTGATGGGTATCAACACCAACAGCTACGCAGCTGGCGGCCAACGGCGCAGCTGCTCCAACGAGCAATGGATGATGGAGCGGTGAGGATAGAGAGCGTGATGTGGGAGGAAAGAATGTGAGTGTGGTGATGGGCGAGAGGATGAAGAGAGGTGAGTGAGTGGGAGTCGGGTGAAGGGGAGGAGAAGCGGAAATTCAGCAGAGGGGAGTTGTGGGAAAAAAATTGGAGGGGGCCGAGGGAGGGGCAGGCGCGTGAGCAGAGGGAAGCTGCTCGGATGGGCTTAAGGTGGTGGGGCATGCGAGCAGCCAAACGCTGCTGGATGAGGAAAGAGCGAGCTGTGGTTGGTGCTGGTGATGGCCGCGGAGTTCTCAGTCCGCCCACCACATCCTCCACCATCCATTGCTCGAGGGTATTCGGACGGAAAGTGAATATCAGGCGTACCTTGTTCTCGTCGAGGGTTGCGCGAGATGCAACCTCACGAATGGCACGTTCGATCTTGTCGGAAGACATCGTGGACGAGCTCTGCAAGCACTGGCTTTCTGTCCAATGCGGGAAGAGACCTTTCAAACACCCCAGGTTAGCACAATGCATTCACTTGCTCCCCGACGCGTCGCAAATGTAAAGCCAATGCAATGCAGCGCAAGCATAAAAGACAACGATGTCTTTCTACGACGGCGGACTGCCTCTACTCGCAACATGGTCAGCACTTTGTACCAAAGATCCATCCCAACACGCTCGACTCTCTGCGGCCGCATATTTGCGCATTTTGATAGACGGGCCGTGCTGCGGCTCTCCCGCTGACAATCAAGGCTGCAGTAGTGGCCGGGAGCTTAATTTAGAGTTGGCGCCAGCTCGGGACTTTGAGAGCTTGGGCGGAAAGTACTGCTGCCTGAGGCATGCAAGACATCCCCCAACCTCATCAAGCCGCTTGATGGACGCTGCGCAACTCCCGAGCCATCACACACAATCTTGCCTCGTCGCCGGTGCCGCCATCGCCCGTTTTTCTGGTGCAGAGTAATAAAGAAAATTGGTACTCACCTGGTGGTTTGCTGCAGGTCGCTTTGTTTTGGGTGGAAGAGCGGTGTCGGAAGTCTCCAGTGGTACGTGAAGTAGGTAGAACCGCAGCGCGCAAGGTGATGTCGCTGCGCTGGCCACGCGAATGATCGCGGTGTCGACTTGGTGCTGATCGAGTATACAGAGCCGCAGTCGGGCTGTAGGCGAGAGGGTTGTCCAGGTGTTCGTCCGCCAGTCCGCCGTCGCCGCCGCCGCCGCTGCCGCCGCTCCCCAATATCTCTCTCCAACCACTCCACACTCGTGCAAGGGCAATCCACCGGGGAAGGAGTCTCACGACTCTGTGTTTGTACTCACCTGATAAGCAGATCGACACCAATTCTGCTGCTTCTCCAATCTTCTTCTTGCCAAAAGATCTCGTGGCGGGTTGCTGATAGCTGAAAGAAGGCTGAAGGTAACGCTGAACGACTGCGTTGCGAAGGTTGTTAAAGTGGAAAGAAGAATTGGAACGTGGAAGCTCAAGAAGTTGGTGCGAAGAGGAGTCTGATGTGAGGTTTCCTCAATCAAACCACGAGTTCACCTCAACCACCCAGCGGTGAACTGTCGAAATGCCAGGCCTAATCGCGAGTGGTGAGCCTCACGACGATCTCACCGGTGCGGTGCAGCAGGTACGTACTCTTCCAAGTCAATGCGATGCGTCTTTCTTCAAGTCACGGCTGGATGGTGGTGTTGTTACAGGCACGCAAAACATATGCACGCCAAGAACAACAAAGGGCAAGAAGGGGGAGCAGACTGCAGCCATATGACACGACCTCGCACATGATGTCACAGTGTCAATCACATGCTAATGCAAGGACTGCACCAGATCATACTATCTTCCTCCGAATCGGACTATTTGGACCAACTAATCCCCCTGCTGAAGAATGCCCACACGCAGACCCAAGTCACCCCTCTCATCCAGGCACTCAACCATGTCTCCGCCGATAGGGAGGCCGAGATCCAGCGCATCTGCAACACCAACCACCAAGAGTTCATCAATAGTGTCAATCAACTCCAATCGGTGCGGGAAGGCACGGTGAGCTTGACTTCGGAGATCATGGAGTTGAGTCGATCCATCGAGGCGACTACGGAGAAGCTGGCGGAGCAAAAGAAAGCTTTGGTCGACTCTCGAGGTGTCAGGCAGAACATTGACGACACCACGCAAGCATTGAAGGATTGCCTTGAAGTGTTACGATTGGCCAATCAAGTCTACGACCTGTTGAGCAAGAAGAGTCACTACGCTGCCCTTCGTGCGCTCGATGAGCTTCAGAATGTCCACCTGCGCGAAGTGACTCGCTACAAGATTGCCGAGTTGATTGAGCGCTCTGTCCCCGCCACGCAACGCCTGATTGCCGAGGCGGTCATGACTGATCTCAACACTTGGCTGTATCGCATCCGTGAATCTTCGCAATTCCTGGGAGAAGTGGCCTTTTACCACACCGAGATGCGTCGTGACCGCCAGAAGAAGCGACAAGAGACAGATGAGTATTTGGGATCGTTCAAGATCAACTCCGCCGTTGAGCTTGTTGCGGACGAGGAAGACGAAGAAGATGTGCTCAACAACGAAGCAGTCCAAGTCGACTTCAGCCCGCTATTCGAGTGCCTGCACATCCACGACAATCTCGGCCAGATGGACAAATTTCGAGCGGACTATGCGGCTACTCGGCGCCGCCAGAAAGACCTGCTCATCCCTCAATCCCTAGATCTGCTTGACGAAGAAAGTGACGGCCTGAGCAGCTTACTCGAAGGTATCGCTGGCTTCGCGATCGTCGAGAAAGCCACCATGGACAAGACCGAGAACTTCCGAGCTCAAGCGGATGTCGACGAACTGTGGGAGAGCATGTGTCAGTCCGCCATCAGCCTGATCAGCGTAGCGCTGGACAAGGTGGAAAACGACGAGAAGCTGCTCAAGGTCAAAGGTGTCATCGCCCTGTTCATCCAAACCATGGACTCCTGGGGCTACTCGGTGAACAGTCTGGATGGCCTGCTCCTCACCCTCTTCGAAAAGTATGCCGGACTGCTGAAGAAGCGGTTCAGCGATGACTTTCAAGAAATTCTCACCACCGACGACTACATGCCTATGCCCATCAACGATGCAGAGGAGTACACCAAAGTCGTCAATGTCTCCTGGTACACACCTCCCGAAGGCCAAGAAGATCCGCAGTCCTTGACATACCCTTGCATCCTGCCTTTCTCTCAGATGTACCCTCTTGTCTGCATCGACATCCGCAACTTCCTCAACCAGATCTACCTGTTCTCGGACGATCACTTCAAGCATGCGACAATCATCGACAGCACGCTGCGCCAAAGCCTGGACGAGTTGCTGGTGGAGAAGGTGTGCCGCAGTCTACTGGAGCGCTTAAACACCCAGTACCCAGGCCAAATCATCCAAATCCTCACGAACCTCGACCACTTCGAGCTCGCATGCAAAGACCTCGAAGGCCTTCTCGTCGAAGCACGAAGCACCAGCAGCGCCGCCGGCGCCATCACACTCGCCGCAACGAAAGAATTCCGCGCGGCCAAAACCAAAGCAGAGAAGCGCCTCTTCGCCCTCATCAACTCCAAGATCGACGCCCTCATCAATACCGCCGAATTCAGCTGGACGCTGCCTGACAGCGGCCCGCAAGAAGTCTCAGATTATATGCAAGAGCTCACGCAATACCTCGCCATTACTATGTCATCCGTCCTCCTCGGCCTGCCGGAGCAGATCAAAGAGCAAATCTACACCGATGCACTCGGGTACATCAACAAGGGCATCCTCACCATGCCCCTCGATCCCGCGGTGGTGCGCATCAGTGCTGCAAGCGCCGAAGCATACGCTCTGGATGTGCAGCATCTCGTGCAATTCGTCGAAAACCTGCCGGAAGGCAAACCAGAGCTTCTCGGCTCGCTCGAAGAACTCCGTCAGACTTCTGACCTCATGCGACTCGCGGCGGCAGGCAACGGCGAGGACTTCTTCGACACGTCGAAGTCGGCGCAGCGATTTGGGAAGGTGGATAAAATTAAAGGTGCGGAGCTGCTGGAGAAGGTGGAAGTCAAGAAGAGCAGCGATATGCCGCGCAGCCCGACATTCGCTGCGGGCGAGGGCGGGGGAAGCAGTGGGTTTGCCTTCAACAATCTGGCGAGACATGCGGCGCAGGGGAGTTCGCTGGCGGATCGGCTGGGGCGGTTTGCGCAGAGGGATCGCTCTTAGGAATGGGCGGGCCTGTTGCAGCAGATGCATTTGCAGGTGGAAATTGGAGGTGGTGGTGAGGGGAGGGAGCGCAGTGCGAAGAGGAAGAGGGTGGGATGACAGTTTGCAGAGAGGGAGAAAAGATTCGTGTTGTTTGTTGAGTACACTTGCTGGCGCGGCGTGTCTCTCCATGCTGCACAAGGACTAGGTTGTCTCTTTCAACGCCTTGCTATGCCTGTATGATACAATGAAGCTCTTTTTGTGCTTCTTTCGCCTTCCTTCCGCCGTGTCCTTCTCACATCGTACAGAACGCTGACGGTATCCTCATCTTTCAACCGGATCGATCCAAGACTACGCTCATTGCGCAAGCGGCGAGAACAATCTGTAAAGCAAATCAATCAGCTTCCCACCCTCTTCACTAAATGCCGAAGCAGGCACAACTCCGCTCACCTGATGAGAGAAGGTCGAGGATTACTCCGCGTGTAGCCCAGGTAGATGATGAGGGGGAGGTAGCCGCTGCGGTGGAGTATTAGTTCTTTGGTTGATGCTGAGACTTGCTGAGAGGGGTTGTTGCGTACTAGTGGACTGCTACACGGGAGAAGTCGATGATGCGGCCGATGCGCTCCTTTGGAGAATGTTAGTGTCCCGGCGAATGGGTGGTGTAGGGGCAAGAGGTGGATGGCTCACCTTCGATTCTTCGGATAACTGGATCCACGCCATTGTGTCTGATTTGCTGGAGGTGGATCGTGATGGAAGAGTGTGAAGTGACGAGTGATGAGGAGAAACAGCGCGTCCGAAGATTCTCGACGTCGCCCTCAGGCAAAGCTCTCGCGCGGCGGCAACTCCCGCAGAGCCGCACCACCGATCGTCCGCCAAGAAACCGAAAGTTCGCCCACAAGCGGCCAAATCGCCCGAGCGCAGCGACGACATTGAAGAACCACTCATACTCCAACCACATCACCCCATCTCACCCCCAAAATACCGCCAAAATGCCTGCCCAATACGAGAACATCAGCCAGGATCTGATCTGGGAGGTCGTTCGTACGTCTTTCGCCTGTCATTCAAGCTCATGCGGTGGGCTTTGCTCTGAAGATGTATGTTAACCGGACTATGTTGCAGGCCACAGGAATGCCTACCTCGTCAAGCGCAAGACGGGCGGCGGCGTCCAGTTCTCCCGCGACCCCATGAACCTCACCAACAAGCACAGCCGCAAACACGCCGGTTTCGTCAACGAGAAGGCCATCGGCGTGGCGCCCAACGACAACACCGTACGAAACACCTGCTCCCCTCTGACATATCCAATACTGACTCTGTTGGTATAGGTCCAATTGACGACCAAGACCTCCAAACCCCACCAGCCCGCCAAATCCACTCACCAGACTTCCTTCTCTGCCTCTGCGTCGAACAGGAAGGTGTACAAGAGCGTGGTCAACTCGACTGCGAAGAAGGGCTACCGGAGCGATTTGCGCGCCGAGGCGGTTGCGCGTGCGAGTGCGATCAAGCAGAGCCAGCGGGAAAAGAAGGATGCGCCGGCGACGAAGCCGAGGGGTGCTAAGGCGCGGAAGGCGAGGGAAGAGTAGATTCCTGGGCGAGATGGTTAGAGCAGGCTGTGAGAAAGGAGATTCTTCTCGACAATGCGAAAGGTGTCTTTGATGTGTGTGAATTGCTACAATTTCATTGTGCTGTCTGTCGTGCTATTTGTCCATTTGCCGCTTTGAGCATAATTGAGGTTAGGGTGGGGTATCGAGCAAGCAATGCACCCCACCCTGTGATCCCTCAAGGACATGATGTAAAAGACTGTCCATCTCCCCAACGCCGCGCTAATAGGCAAACCAAGTTGAATCAGCCACTCCATGCATTCCTCTATCTTTGCTGCTGACCAGGGGGCGGGAAGCCGTTAGGCATGCCAGGCGGCCGCTGATATCCACCAGGCGGAGGGGGCGGCATTCCCGGCGGAGCGCCATTCACCGGCCCTCGGAATCCCTGCTGCATTCCAGGCGCATACTCCGGACCATTGTACCCTCCCATACTCGGCGGCGGTCGGGCAGGAAGCCCAGCACCGGAAGGAGGAGCTTGCAAAGGCGACGGCGCGTACTGTCTCCCCGGCATCTGCTGTTGATGTGGAGGCGGATAGGCGGCAGGAGGCATGTTGGAGTAGGGGGACATGACTCCTGCATTCGGGGCAGGCGGCGGGTATGCGCTGTAGTTGTAAGCCGGCGGAGGCTGGGGCGTGCGCATTGCGTTCATGTTGGGATCGTTGTATGCGCCGTTCATCATGCCTGGCTGGACTTGGATTGGCGTAGGAGTGGCTCCCATGACGAGACTGGCCGGCATGGCGGGGATGGCGACTTGCACGCCGTGTTTCTTTGCTTGCGCTGCGAGAGCCCTCTCTGCTGCATCGCCGTGTCGCTCGCCCTTGCCGTCTTTCTTGTATGCGTACTGCACGGTGATCTCCTTGTTCATGAGGTACTGGCCGTGCATGTTGGCGATAGCATCATCCGAGGCGTCGAAGCTGGCGTATGAGATGAAGCCGAAGCCTTTGCTGAGATTGGACTCATCCCGGGAGATCTTGGGGGGTGTGACGAGAGGTCCGAAGCGAGAGAAGGTTTCGTAGAGGACCTTTTCGTCCACCATGGTATCCAGATTCCCCACAAACAACTCCGCCCCAACTCCTTGCCCACCATCGACGCCTGATATCCCACCGCCTCTTCTGTCTGCGCTCGCCTTGTTCACTCTGATAGGCTTCCCCCACAACCGGATCTGGTTCATGATCTTGACGGCATAGTCGGCGTCTTCTTCGCTGGCGAACTCGACGAAACCATAGCCTTGGTGCGACTGCGTGACGCGGTCTTTGGGCAGGTGAACGTTCACGATCCGCCCGGCTTGCAGCATCAACTCCCATACAATCTCGTCGGTGCAGCGTTCATCGAGGTTGCCGACGTAGAGCGTGCTGTCCTTGTCTTGGTCGTATCGTCGTGGGCCGGACATGATGAGCGCTTGCGACGCTGAGCGTCTGTTGATACGCTGAGATGGCTCACGCGATGTGGCCGAGAAGGGAGGATATGGATTGCTAATGAAGCGAGGTGAAGGTGAGTTGAACGAGAGAGACTCGTGAGGTCCTGGAAATTTTGGCGCCAGCCTTCCCAAAACAGTTTGGCGGGAAAGCGCGATGCAGTCCGCCGTAGCGGATCTGCAGTCCACGTGGATGCCGGGACGCATCTCACCATCAGCTTATGCGATCAACGTCTCTACTACATCGCATGCGTGTGCAGCGCATTTGAGGGCGAAGTAGCCCTTGACTTCCTCCGCTTATCCCGAACGTAACTCGAACCCAAAGGCAGTCCCCACGCGGAGACGAGAAAGCGATGGCATACCTCTTCTACTCCATCGTATTCATCTTCCTGATAGCAGCAACCGGTACACTGCTCTGCTTATTCTCCCTTGTCCCTCTCTTCCGCTCGCTGATATTCCACACCCAGTCCTCTACGCAACTCGCGCCCACTGGCGCGCCCACGCCCCTCCAATCCCCTACCTCACAGCCCCCGGCCCCATCCCCGAAACCCTCTATAACATCTCCGACTACCTCAGCCGCCGCCTCGACTCCCTCCGCTACTCCCGCCTCCCACAATCCATGGGCTTCGCCGACGACGCCGAAGCGGGCCTACACAGCACGAACTTCAGCTTGGCGGACAATATCGAGGCCGAGGATAGCAGGCGCGGACTCGATGAGGAGAGCAGGCAGGAGGTCTACCGCATTATGAAGCGGAGGAATGTAGGATTTGACGAGGCGAGACGGTTGTTTATTCAGGACAAGTTTGGGCGGGAAGGAATTGCGGCTGATGGAAGACCGCTGGATCGTAAGGCTGTGATGTTTGATCGGTAAAGCGATGGGTAGCTTTGTGAGCACGCTGGAGTCTGGCTTGGTTCTTGTATCGATTTAGCGCGAGCATGTCTACCTTTTCGTGCATGACGTCTCCCTAATTTGAAAGGTGTGTCGATCCAACGAGTATCCTAAGCTGTTTTCGAACCAAGCAAGGAGCCATAGCTTGCTCCGTGAGTCTGAGCCCTCGTCAGAGTGCTCGTCGTATTCCTCTTTATCTCTCCGGTCACTGAATACACATGTCACTTATATAGACTTGTGGAAGACGAGCACGTCGAGGAAAATGACTCGGCGAACTGCCATACATCGATCTGGTTGGCGACCACTATGCAGACGCAGTGGGAACTTGACAGACCATGGTTTGTCTCTATGTAGAAACTCGGGTGTGTGATGTATATGTGAAAGTTGGTATACGAGTTGTTTTGGCGATGTACGATGTACGCCCACGGCATACTCCTTTCTGTATTGATCGAGTGTTCATCTTCGACGAATGCTTGTCGACAGGCAAAGAAGCGTCAACGATTGACTTGAGTCCTTCAACCAAGAGCCGACTTGGTCGCAAGGGGGATCGCTCTGCAGGTTTGCTCGGTCCCATCAAGTGATTGCGCGAAACTAGACGTCTCGCCCTCGCCAATGTATTGAGCTCAAAGTTTCATCATTCAGAAGAGTAGGCCCCCTCCGAGTCCGAGTCTGAGCGTTTGCGCCAGTAGCAAAGGACAATATGGAGGAGTGACAGTGAACGCGACCTCGAAAGCGAGTTGTGGAGATCTGGTGGTGATAGCCGATGCACGTTCGCGCAAGATTCTGGTGACAGCGGCTACAGGGAGTTCAGCGGAGCGCGTCTCATGGACGGATATAGATTGGTTCAGCATGCGCGCGCGCGTAAAAGTGAGTGAGGCGGGGATGCTGCTGCGTGCTGAGCACTGAAGCGATTGTGAGGCTTGGCAGTGGGCGAGAGAATGCCCAAGTCCTGAAGCAAAGAACAGGCCTTTCAACGTAGCTGGCTTGGAGTTGAGCTTGGAGCCATCAACACGAGCGCGAAGAACGGCCAGAAGAAGCCAAAGGCGTGCGCGCAGCCTGTGTGCAGCACGACTCGCCGCGGCAAGTGTCTGCTCTCCTCCTGGTCGTCGCGCATCAGTCTTGCTGAAGATGCGGAGCGCAACGACTGCGTACCGAGCCTCTTGCACGTCCACAAACCACGCGCAAAGCGTAGAGAAAGCCCTGCCAGTGCTCTGCGACCGATGCTCGACTGCTTCGCGCCTTCCCCACCAGCCAACAAGGCAAACGATAGGCTCCAGAACCATCGTAGCGCGAACTCAGAAGAACGCCTCCCGCGGCGCTAAGCAGGGGTGCAAAGCTAGCTCGGGTAGCTTAATTTGACCTCCTTTGGGCGGAGACCAAAGCTGCTGGCAGCTTGGAAGTCTCGCCCACTCGCTTTCTCTCCCAGGCCAAGTTCTCGCGACAGCGAGGTCGCGCCCTCGAATAACGCGACGATAAGCTTCTGCAGATGCTTTTCATGCTCCTCAGCGTGATCTGCGCTCGGCATTTGCCTGGGATGGTAGTTCTGCCGGTCGAGCGAGTAAATCAGCTGCATCGCGCGTGAAGCGCCGGCTTTCACGTTCCCACCCAAGCGGCACGAGCAACGATGAGCACGGAGTGAAGGCCGTTCTCAGAGCATTCTGAACGCATAAGGAAGCCTCATGTGAGCCGTGGACTCGCTCTGTTGAGGATCGAGTGAACGGTGCCACTCTGAAGCCAGGAATTTTCGCGCCGCACTTCCCCGACACCAACGATTCACGCCCAAATTTGACGGCAAAAATAACGCTGCAGCTTCTCAAAGCACTCAGCGCAATGCAAAAGAAGCTGTAGTGTCGAAAACCCCGTCGCCATCGAGTACTCGAGTACTCGAGCGTTCCTGCCCTCGATCCCCGCCAAACGCGCTTGCCAAGCCCCGGCTTCCCCATCGCCTCACCGCTTCTTCGAACTCCGCAAAAGAGGGATGGCGACGGAGACTCGGATGAGGAGTATGCATAAAACACTCTGAAAGAATGGAAGAAGGAAAGCGGAAAGAAAAACAGCCACTGCAGATCGCCACACGATGATAAACCGTGTGCGGTGCACTTCGCGAGTTGTACCCTGCGGAGGGCGATGAGCGCGCGAGCAAGCAGCTCATCCTCAAGATAGGACATCATCATGGATTTCTGAAGCTGTTCTTCAAATGACCAGGACGGCAATGGAGCTGAAGCAGCACAACTCAGCATGAATAGCAAACCAACACCTCCGATGGCAGAGCACCACTCTTGGATCATACAGCATCGCCCGTATCTATGGTGACGGCCAATCCAATCGAGGACCGGACCACTGCTGCGAATGGATGCTCTTGCAAGCACTGTTCTGCTTTCTTGGAGTATATACAAATGCCTGCCGTGTCAGACAGCTGCCGACTTGACAAGCAACGAATACCGGAGGGAATTCCAGACTTCCCATCAGACACGCAAGGGAGAGAGAGAAAGGAACGGCAGCTATGGCAAGGAAGAAGCGCAGTACCTCTTGCGAGCGCGGTGACCGCTGTGAGGCGCTGTGATCCGCACAGAGCGCCGAGGCCGGGTGATTCTTGCCTGCTGGAAGGCTGGAGAACGAGCGATTTCCCTTGATCTGGACACTGGAGTATCGAATGCGCATGCGTTCGATTGCAACCCGTCGAGGCGATTTTCTGCTTGCTAGCCACCTACCCCAATTCCTGTATTCTTGGACTTCGCTCGATGATACCAGGCCTGGCGTTCCGACACTTTCGAACTCGACTCGACTCCGATCCAGGCGCCTGGCTACATCGTTGGGTACGGTGTGTGGAAAGTCTCTCGCCTTCTTCTATCAGCCCAGGAGCATGCAAGCATGGCTACATTCAATCAGCTCCCATACTCTGTAGAGTCCAGTGTCTGCTTGTACCGTCTTCTCCCCTCAATCTCAACGTCGGCATGCATTAAGATTGCTGGCGTTGGATGTTGCGAGCGGTCGAGTAGGCATAGGTTCTTTCGTGAGCTGGTGTTGACGGTGTAATCATTATCTGCCAGCGTAAGAGATGTGCCCAGTGGTATACTCAACCATCGAAGTGTCTTTGCTGCTGCTCTTACGCCGCCGTATGCCACCTGTTCGACTATCTTCGCAACGGTTCCCGGATCCTGCGCACACCCCTCGTCTTCCAGGCGTCGAGCTGCTGTCGTGAGGGGATGGGCGCGACCGTGTGCTATGGTGCGGAGGGGGGATGTTTGTTCGACCTCGAGCGTGGCCAAAGGCTGGATCGTTGCACTCATAATGTCCTGCTGCTCCCTGCTCGCCGATACTCTTCAGCCAGTATGACCGATAGAGTGCGGATGGTGGTGCGAGGCGTGGTCGAACAATTACCATCGCCGCCGGAGCCGTCGTCGCGTGCGTGGAATCCTTTGAACCAGCCTGCTTGCTTGTCGCGAAGGGTTTGCTGGAGGTAGCAATCGAGCTGTCCAAGCTCTGAAACACCAAACATATCTCGGTGCCGTTGTTTGCCGTGTCTGGATCGAGTTGCTGGCCTTCCCTTCTTTGCAAGAGTTGCGCGACCGACAAGCCGCGGCGGAGAGATCACGAGTCTTGGCGCCAGCTTCAGGCAGACCAACTGCGCGACCGCCACCCTGCCATTGCGCAACGACCCGACATCGATATGACATGAAAATGGTACGAGATTGCTCGGCAGATCACTGGCTCTCTCCGCATGTCAATACCATGTCGCGTGGTGGCCGAAATGCTTCGAAATTGAAAAGGGGTGCCGCGAATTCGATGAATATATATTGGATTATTTTGCCGCCGTTGATATCCCCGGGCACCCACCGCCAGGGACGACGGTGGAACCCGGGGTGCCCCAGCGTTGCTTTGTCGCTTGCTTTCTCGTTCTTACCATTCGGACATTTCGCTAACAATTCAATTCCCAGATGCAGCGCAGATCCCTGGGTCGAATCCCCAAATCATGCCAGAGCTGCCCCTCTTTTTTATCCTTTTTGCAAAGGATTGGCAAGAAGTCACTGCGGGCTGGTTCAACACGAGCGTCTGTTTGATGTCCTCAGGTTGAGGTACATCAAGAAGGCGACGAGGACGTTCATGAATGTCCGAACCATTTTTTGGACACAATTCAACATTTTAATGTGGCCGGCTGCGATCTGAAGCCTTCGGTGCAAGCCTGCCTAAGGGTGTTCGAAAATGTCGCGCCACCCGCCCCTACGTTCCTCCTTTACGAGCTGGGCACGAGGGCCTCCAATCACGCCTAGATGAGCGTAAAAGGCTCACCGACAACCGCCTTGAACCGACGAATAGCATGGCATGTTTGGAGCTCAGCTTGCCAGGCAAGCCTGGGGGAGCGGCTTCAAAGTTGTCCCGCACGCCGGAAACACGTGTAGACGGTTCGAGCTGGCGACGAGGACCTTTAATCACGCTTGAGACTGCTTCTCGTGCTATTGAATTGATTTTCGATGTACGTCTGAATGTAATCTCGCACTGGAGAGACAACTCCTGCCCGCAGACGGCATGAGTCTGCGGGGACGGCGACAAACATTGCGCCCGTGCTCTGAAGCACGTCTGCCAGCAAAGGCAATGAAACAACGCGTGCACAAAGAGGAAGATCTTTGAACACGCGTGGGGATCCTTCTCGTTCGATCAAAACGGGCTCTGCGACACAAATCATGGCTGGGGCACAACTCTGGTGCGAGTGTGCCTCTGCCAGCTGAGGAGGATGTCACAACTCTTCAAGTAGGCTTTGAACGGCATCTCCTCTCTGCGAATGGAGTGGAAAGACCGCGTTCGCGTTGAAGAGATGGCCCTCGATCCTGCCTGCTCACGTGTGAACCTCCTTACCGTGCATTCGTAGTGGTGTTGGGAGAGATGTTTCAGCCGATGGAGAGCTCTTCTGTGCAGGCATGCGGCCATGCTGGGGACTGGCGACACAGCTTCCGGCACATTACTGCCCTGTCGATTCCTCGTAAAGCACGCAAAGACAATAAGCATGCAAAAGGCATAGATGTATCGCACCATCAAGGACCACGACCCTGCTGGACTCAAAGACACACGCGAGCATGCATGAAGCTTGCACAACATTGTCGAGAGACGGGGAAGCCTCATCGCCGCCGCCATGACCTCATACTGTCGGGGGAAAGCCGGGCTTTCTGCCACAGTATATAGCTGACAATTATGCTGTCAGTTTCTAAGCCAGTCCAGTAGAGTGCGGCAGGCAGCTGGACTGAGCCCGGCATCGCTTAACGGTGTCCCCCGTCGCTTTCCTTTCTCAGTATATAGCTTTACATGAGAACTTTCGCTAACATCAAACGCTACAGATCTTGCGGTGTCCAAAGCCTATCGGTAGGCAGCCAGAGGGTTCGACTCCCCCTGAAAAACAAGACACGCCACTTTCTTTTTTGCCTTTTCCAACGCACAACACTCTCCCATTTTGTTTGCCGCGGTCTGGGAATATTGAGGAAACATATCCACGTGTTTCCTGTCATTTTCACCATCTCCTGTTCTTTTTTGGCCTGTCTGATGGCATATAGGGGGTGGGAGACGCGTAGGTAGCCCCTGAGCGTGAGCTTTGTGAGTTCGAGCGGCGATGGGTGCGTGCGGACATCGTTCACGCAGCAGCAACAATCCCTCAACCCTACATAACCACCCTGTTTTGACCTCGCAGGCATCTGCAGCAATCTCCTCCTCCCAGACGCCCACAAACACGGATTTGATACGACGACCACCCGCGACAGCGCGAAAAGAAGCCACTCAGAACCCATTTGACCGGCCCGGGGCGCGTTCTATCGCTGCGAAGCGATCTTCACACCGTTCACGCCCACTCCTTGCTCTCCTGCGACGTCTCGAACGCGTCTCCTCGCCACATAACCTCCTTCGCACTCTTTACAGCACCCCGGGCGCTCAAGCGACTGGTCGAGTGCGTTTACTCGTCACCTAGTCGCCTGATCACTCTTCATACCCACTCCTTCCTCCGCCGCAACTTCTCGAGCGCATTTCCTCGCCACCTAGCCACCATCACACTTTTTAAAACCACCACTCGCTCTTACGCAACCTCCTTTGCGCGATTTCTCGCCATCTAGCCACTGTCACACCATTCATACCCACCTCTTCCTCTCCTGCAACTTCTCGGGCGCGTTTAATCACCCCTTAGCCACCTTCACTCTTTACAGCTGCCGTTCTCTATCCTGAACCTCCTCGAGCGCGTTTCCTCCCGATATAGCCACCCTCACACCTCGGACACACGCCACTGACCACTTCTGGAGCCTCCTCCGAGTCGTTCTGTCGCTAGAACCCTCTTCTACATCCTTTCTCCCCACCCCTTCCGTTTCGCGGCCTCGCGAGCGCGTTCTGTTGCTTCAACTCAACATCACTAGCACTCACCCGCGTACCCTTTGCAATCTTACAGGCGCGTTTCGTCGCTTCAACTCACCTTGACATCTCCAGAACTCATCCGCCTTCCTCTTTGCAAGCCTCCGGCCGTGTTCTGTAGCTTCAACCCACCTTGACATCTCTAGCACTCACGCGCCCGCCCCTTCGCAAATCCCAAAGCACGAGCAAGCGTGATGGAGACACCAGCGAAGGCAAGCAACCACAAGAAAATATGTTCTTATGACCATGTCTTGACATGAGAGCCGCCATCGTGCTCCATGGCCAGCGGAACGGAGATGTTCGGCTACCCAACATCAACAGAAAAACGCTCCTTTGCAACACGCAGTTTGCTTGACATTTGGCACACAGGCATGTAGATTGCCAGAAGAAGAGAGAGCTATACCACATCGGTTCGCATTGGCAGACAACTGCGCGTTCAAGTAGGCATTAATGCCAGCTTCAGGGGCAAGCGCGTACAACGAGCCTTTGCCGTTGATTCTGAAGACAAGCACAAGATACCACAAACAAGCACACTCTCGTTTCGCGAACCAAGCATTCATTGACCTCAGCAAACACAGTTGCATAGTCTCCGTCCTAGATGCACCCGTTTCCCTGCCTCGAGAAACGCAGACTGTGATTTGATGAGATAAAATCTCCACAGGAAGCCATCGCAAGCTCTATGAAGTTTGCGAAATCCTTCGTAGCCACGACGCGTCTCTCCTTCTTTCAACTCCCCCGAGTGCACTCCCTTCTCATCAACATTCCAACTCCCGACAGCCCACGCAGACTCCTCTCCCACGACCGGAGCAAACAAAAGCCGTTGGTAAGCTGATAAGCATCATAAGCGTCCGCAGAAGTTATGCCATTGATGCGATGGATCTACCATGCAGAGCATACCCTGACTCCACGCCAAACGATTAGTACTGTCATCCAACGAGCACGCTCCCAATACTGCACGATCCATTCCCACTGGGACGAGGCGATTTGGCAGTCTGCCACCACAACGCCTCCTTCCCTCCCTCCACCAGTCGGACGCTCTTCCTCCTTGTGTGACTAGCCTTGGCTTATCGCCGCGTGAAACGTTTTGGATATTGGCCGTTGCGCTGCTTTAGCAGCTCCATCACAACCCAAGCTGAATACCAGCTCTGACAGACTCGGCCGCGATATTTCACGAACACGAGGAGAAGAAGCGCCAGGCGCTCGGAGTTCCGCGCGGACCTGTTTCTTTGGGGTTGATGCAACACAGCAGCACAAAGCGAAGCAGAAGTAAAGTGGGTGCAACGAACATGCCTCAGTGCTCATCTACAGTCTCTAACATGGAGACGCAACGAGAGTATTGGCGAGCAGGGACGCCGCTGTGCCGGGCGGGTTCGAGCAGATCCAAGGGTGTGCAGTGACACTGAAGCTTGAAAAGCGATCTTGCGGTACGCATGGACTTGGCATGTCGTTCTCTTCATGTCAGGCTATATACATGTGCAAGTGCGTCCTCCGTGCAGCATGGGTATAAGCGGAGAATGCTTCCGCGCAGGAGCCTTTCAGCAGCTCTCAAATCTCTTAGGCCGACAGCTGATGGCCACGGGTGCCGGAAGAGGGGGAGCCTGCCGACCGATTTCCTTCTATCCGCCTTTGAAACAAATGCGACTCCGGTAAAGTGCATCCAGACCCGTCGCCGCCCATTCCTACAACGCCCCGCGCCAATGCTCGTCCAGAACCGGCATGCCACGCAAATGCAAAGATGCAAGACCCACAGCATCCACCGCTCACCCCTACTTCCTTCTCTTCTGCTGTTTCTTCCCCTCTGTACAAATCGTCAGCACTCCATCCGCACCATCACAACATCACATGCATAGAACTCACCAGCAGCCGTCCGCTTCTTCTTCGGCGCCCCCTTGCCCTTCGCCTTCAGCACCTGAATATGCTCCAACCGGTCCTCCTCCTTCTCATTGTACATCTGCCATTCCGGGTAATTGTTCTGCAGGTCCTTGAACGTCGCAACTCGCCGCGGGTAGTAGGAGGCTAGCGCGGGGCCTTTTAAGCGTGCGCGCAGAACTTTGTTGCCTAGTCGTTCGCCCGTGGGGTTGAAGATGGTGTTGAAGATGCGGCATTGGACCTGGTGGTTTGGTTGGTTAGTTTCTGAGTCCGTTTGGATTCGGAGGGCTTGAGGAGTGTGGTTTTACCTTCATGAGGTCGACCACGCGGTTGCGCGCGACTGCCATCTTTGGGGTCTTGCGATGTGAGCGGCGGGAAAGGTGGTGATGTGATGCTGGGAAACATGCGTCGCGGATGAGGTCTTTCGTCTGAGAGGATCTATAGCAGCGGGAATGTCCGCGCTAGCGCCAACCTTAAAGCTGGCCGGGACTTTCATCGCTTCAACTTTTGCTTCTCGCCCGTGCTCTCTCTCTCCAAACACGGAACATCAGCTCATCTCCTCGCTGCACAGGAAGAGAAATCAGCAGCGCTGAGGAGAGCTGTGCCATCATCATGAAACGATCTGCCGAGGAGGGGTCTCCCTCTTCCCACAAGAAGCACAAAAGCGAACACCGACACCACAAGCACGCGGATGGGTATCGCTCGTCGTCCAAGGAGCATCGCGAGCACAAAAGCACTGACAAGAAGAAACATGACTCTAATCAGGGCTATGAGCCGTCCAGAGATCAGACAACTCATACCGACCAGAGACAAGGTGGTGAGAAGGACAAAAAACATCAACGCTCCCACTCCGAGGCCCTCGCCCAACTCCCAGCACCAACCACCAAATCAGCCATCGTCCCAGCTTACATTCCCTTCTCGATCTCCAATGGCCTACCCCCACTCCCACCCGTCAAACAAGCGCACCTCGCCAAGGCGGCGTTCAAACACAAATCTCTCGGCTCCTACGACCGCAACTCCACCAGCACCGACATGAGCTACGAACGCCTCGAGTTCTTGGGCGATGCCTACATCGAGCTGATAGCCAGCCGGTTGATCTTCGAACGTTTCGGCCACTTGCCGGCAGGGCAGCAAAGTCAATTGCGAGAGTTGCTAGTTAAGAACGAGACGTTGGCAGAGTACAGCCGGAGTTACAAATTCGACGGAAAGGTGGAAGCTGGGTCGATGGAGAAGATGATTGAGGATGTGAAGGAGAAGGACAAGTGGAAGGGGAACAAAGGGTGGAACAAAATTCTGGGAGATGTGTTCGAGGCGTATGTCGCTGCTGTTATTCTTGCGGATGCGGAGGATGGGTTTAGCGTGGCGGAGGCATGGCTGACGGCTCTGTGGGCGCCGAAGATCCTCGAGGCAGCGAAGGACTATCGAGGTTTTGCGCAGAGCGCTGGCGCCAATGGTCTGGTTCATGCGGACGGTGCGGAGTTGCTGAAGATCTACAATCCGAATGCTAAGATGGAGCTACAGAAGCGGATCATGGGCTTCGGCACGAAGCTGGTGTATGAGAAGTATCGGGAGCCGCTGGAGCTGAAGGGAGATCAGCTGGGACAAAATCGGCATTTCGTCGCTTTGTATTTGACGGGGTATGGCTATGAGGGAAAGCTGTTGGGCAAGGGTGAAGGGAAGAACAAGGTCGAAGCGGGCAATTGGGCGGCGACACAGGCGATGTATGGGGAGTGTAAGGGTGTTGTGGAGGAATGTGAGCAGAGGCTGAGGAAGGACAAGGAGGCAAGGCTTGCACAGAAGGCTGCTGAGGAGGAGAAGCAGAAGACGCAATAGCAGAGGAGTAAATGAATATAGCAAGCTGATGGGTGGTGTAATTGCGACAATGTGTATGCACTCGACTTCATTACTCTGACTGCTTTGATGGCCAGATAGAGTAAGGTACTTGATATTCACTTGATGCATGAGGGCACATTTCTTGGCATCAGACCCTGGTCCGCTTCCGTCACCGCTGCCGCTAGCCGCAGAAAATGTTGAACCTTTCAAGCGCGGAAAGTTGCCTCATAAGAATTTCTCCAGACTCATCCTCTCTCTTCGCCTTCTCCCCTCTCCCCTCCATTCCCACTCCGAGCGGCTGGTCTGCAAATCATCCCATCACCACATTCGCGTCCGGCTCATTGTCTGGACTGCTTCTCAGCAAAACCTCCCCAGCGGTTGGCCCTAGTCGCGGAATTCTCTGATTCATCCCTACCTACACTTTCCTTCACCGCCACACCCTCACCAACCATGGTCTCCGCATCAAAGGCAGCGCGCCAAGCGAAGCGCGCAGCTGACGGCAAAGATACAAAGAAGACCGTCGCCTCCAAAGCCAAGAGCGCCTCCGCCGTTGGATCGTCTGTGGGCTCGGAAGCCTCCTCCGTTAATGGCGACGAGTCGCCTCCCATGATGGACGGCGATGATGACCCCTTGTCCTCCTCCACCAATGGCCTAAATGACCGAGTCTCCAAGCTCGCACTCCAAGAAGACAAAGATGGCATTTCAGATCGAGTGACCACCGGCGTTTTGGCCTCGCAAGAAGCCAGCACCGACGTCAAGATCTCCTCTGCTTCCCTGGTGTTCCACGGCAAGGTGCTCTTCAATGATACCACCATCGAAGTCAACGCGGGTCGAAGATATGGCCTGTTGGGCGAGAACGGCTGTGGCAAGTCGACGCTGCTCAAGGCCATCGACAAGCGAGAATTCCCCTTCCCCGAACACATCGACATTTATTTGCTCAATGAGGGCGCCGAGCCGTCAAATACCGGTGCATTGGAGTGGGTCGTCAACCAGGCCGAGAATGAGATGAAGAGGTTAGAAGATATGGCGGAGAGGATCCTCGAGGACGATGGACCAGACAGCCCCAAGCTCGTGGATCTGTACGATCGCATAGACGGCATGGACCCTTCCACTTTCCACACTCGCGCGTCCCTGATTCTCACCGGTCTCGGATTCAACAAGAAAACCATGGACAAGAAGACCAAAGACATGTCTGGAGGTTGGCGGATGCGAGTAGCCTTGGCCAAGGCTCTCTTCGTTAAGCCTTCTCTGCTCCTCCTCGACGACCCGACGGCCCATTTGGATCTCGAGGCCTGTGTGTGGCTGGAGGAATACCTCAAGAAATGGGACCGCACCCTCATCCTCGTCTCCCACTCCATGGATTTCCTGAACGGCGTCTGCACCAACATGATAGACATGCGCATGAAGCAGCTCCTCTACTACGGTGGAAACTACGACTCCTACGTGAAGACGCGCAGCGAGCACGAAGTCAACCAACAAAAGGCGTACGAAAAGCAACAGGACGAAATCAAGCACATCAAGGAGTTCATCGCCAAAGCCGGAACGTACGCCAACCTGGTGCGCCAGGCAAAATCCCGCCAGAAAATCCTCGACAAAATGGAAGCCGACGGCTTCATCCAGCCCGTGCACCAAGACCGCGTCTTCACCTTCCGCTTCGCCAGCGTCGAGAAGCTGCCCCCGCCCGTCCTCTCCCTCGACAACGTCACCTTTTCCTACAGCGGCAAAAAGCCCGACAACCTCTACGAAAGCCTCGACTTCGGTGTCGACATGGACTCCCGCACCGCCCTCGTCGGCCCCAACGGTGTCGGCAAATCTACCCTCCTCCGCATCTTCACCGGCAAGCTCTCCCCCACCGGCGGCTCCGTGCAGCGCCACACCCATCTCAAGATGGGCATGTACAGCCAGCACTCCGCCGAGCAGCTCGATCTCAACAAGTCCGCTCTCGACTTTGTTCGCGACAAGTACCCCGCCGTCAGCCAGGATTACCAGTACTGGCGGCAGCAGCTTGGCCGCTACGGCCTGAGCGGTGAAGCTCAGACGGCGCTCATGGGCACGTTGAGCGAGGGCCAAAAGTCAAGAATCGTGTTTGCTTTGCTGGCCATCGACGGCCCCAACATGCTCTTGCTTGACGAGCCGACGAACGGCTTGGATATTCCCACCATCGACTCGTTGGCCGACGCCATTAATGCTTTCCAGGGCGGTGTGGTGGTCGTGAGCCACGATTTTAGGTATGCCTTTCCTCCCTCCCTTCTCAAGCCTGTTAGAACACCGCGCTGACGTTGCAAATCACAGATTACTCGACAAAATCGCAAAGGACATCATGGTGTGCGAGAACAAGACGGTGACGCGGTGGAATGGAAGCATCGGGGAGTACAAGAACCATCTGAGGAAGAAGATGCTGGCTGCTGGTGGCGTCTAATTGTGCTCTCGCTTGGTTGCTTTTACTTCTTCTTCTTGTTGCTCTGCGCGATACCACGCGCGATAATGCGAGACGGTGTTGCGCTGCTTGTTCCGCCCCGCCCCGCCTCGCCCCTCGCTCAGTCGCTCGCGACACACAAGGCTCTACGGCTGGTATGATGCATTCACGGTTGGAATGGATGGGAGGGAGGGCGATAGAAGTACAGGCGTTGTAGAGGTGCATTGGATGATTCCAAAAAGAATGAAAGTCTCTTGCAGAAATGCCGTCCAAGTGCTTCGCGACGATAAAGCGCTGGTGCCTATAGTTGAAGAGCGGTGTGCTGAATTGGTTTAGAATCTCATCTCAGAAGCAACTATCGAGCATGAAGAGGTAGAAAGCTGTTCTGCCTGTGTAGCTATCGCCCGTTGAACGCCCTTGCGCAGTTCCAAGCCACCCTCGTATCAGCAGCCATACCCAGCCGCTTCTTATGCAGCACACACACTGAGAGAAGAGAGAGCAGAGACAGGCAGTATCTCCCCCCCGTGACAACCGAAAGCCAGAAAGGTACGGCAAAAGCAGCCACACCACTCCCTTAACGGTCCTCGGCCCACTCGTTCTCCCGACGAATCTGGTCCTCCTCCTCGGGCGTGAAGTCATTCTGGATGTTGAACGTCTTGCGGATCTCCTCGGGGCTCTTGCCCTTGATCATGTTGGCGACCGTCTTGCATCCGACGTCGAGCAGCGCCTTGATGTCCATGTAATTGGCGGCGAGGATGATCTCGAACAGCATCTCCTGGTCGACTTGCATGAACTTTTGGTCCCAGTCTTCAATGTCCGTCGTCTTCTTGCGGCTGTCGGCGTCGTCGTCTTGCGTGGGGGCGGGGTCGTTCTTGTGATGCGTGCACCACTCGAGGACTTTGCGGAGGACGGGCTCGGAGACCTGGGCGGGTGGGGTTAGTGGGGTTGTGAGGTGAGGGGAGGGGAGGGGATGAGGTGTCAGACTTACGTTCATGATGGGGATGGGCTCTTCGCCAGGGGCGCCGAGATCCTCAATCATGTTCTTGATGAGCATGCTGCGCTCGGCCACCTTGCGCTCTTTCCGCGGCGTCAGTCGTGTGAGTGATGGAGGGGTGGCGGGGTGATGGGCAACTTACCGACAGGAATCTCCACCTGATCGGAGCTCACCAGCTTCACCATTTGCTCTCCTTCTCCGGCCATGATGCTGTGCAATGGATGGATGGAAGATGGAAATGTGGTTACCTGAGTGCGGATGAGGTGCTGAGTGCACTGTCGGAGTAGCCGATGAAGGTAGAAGCGCTGGTGCGGTCGGAAGAGGTGTGTGGTTTTGGTGGTGGGCGAAGGTGAAGTTGAGGAACAGAGGTAGCGCAAGCTCTGCTTAAATGTTCACTTGGAGCAGGTGCGGGCGAAATGTGAAGACCGTGGGGGTGAATGGGCGAGCGAATGAGTGAGTTAGTGAATGGCGGATGATGTGAGTGACAACCAGACCCTGCGTGCCGAGCCGCTTTCTGATTGGCTGCCGACACTAAGCAACAGGCAGCTACCGTGTTGTGTCCTCAGGCACCCACGACTTGCTGCCTGCGAATGCAACGTATTGAGTTTGGCAGGTCGTGGACGCCTTGTGACGCGGCTGAAGCGATAGTATCTTTCATATTCTCCTTCTTGATGCCATCTACTGAATGCAGCTACGAAACCAACATGATGCGGGCATGCTGTCACCAAACCACACTGACCGCCGCGCACGGGCCACCAGCTCGCGTCGCCCAGGCGCGTCTCTATTCACTCCTTTCTCGACGGCCATCCACAATTCAAGCTACTGTACATCATGACTGCAAACGGCTGTCATCGCCGAATGCTCCGGCTCCACATCTTTGTAACCTTGTCTAACGATGCTACGTGAGTAGCGACGATGTGGCGAAGGATCTACCTCCTCCTCGTGGCTGTGCGGCTTTACTTCGCCCTGCAGCCGAGTTATATCCATCCCGACGAACACTTCCAGGGCCCTGAGATCATCAGTGGTAGGGATATCTCCTGCGATCATAGGACGATCAACGCGCTAATGCTACATCCACAGGCGAGGTCTTTGGCTGGCCAACATACCAAACCTGGGAGTTCTCATCCGATCATCCAACCCGCAGTCTCTTTCCTCTATGGCTTGCGTACGGCTTTCCCTTGACGATTCTGAAATGGATCTGGGAAGGCCTTGGACACGGCGACGTACCTCCTCTCGTCGCCTTCTACACCCTCCGCACCCTTATGTTCGTTCTCAACTTCGTCCTGGAAGACTGGGCACTCCACGAACTCCTTCCCGTCTTGCGCGAACGCCGTCTCGCCATCATCCTCGTCGCCTCCTCCTACGTTACCTGGACCTTTCAAACCCACACCTTCTCCAACAGCATTGAGACCCTGCTCGTCCTCTGGTCCCTCGTACTCGTCCGCCGCATACGCGAGCACGAGGATCGCAACATGTTCGACTGCTGCATCGGCCTCGCTTTTCTCGGCGTTCTCGGCGTCTTCAATCGCATCACCTTTCCTGCTTTCCTTGTGATACCCGCGCTACAGCTTGTACCGCACCTCCTCGTCCGACCGCTCCGGCTCCCCGTTCTCGCCCTCTCCGCCTTCTTCTTCCTGGCTATCGCGATGACCATGGATACCGAATACTTTCACGACATCCGTCCTCGCGTGCGTGATCTCTACAACAACGCCGTCTTCACCCCTTGGAACAGTCTGACCTACAACCTGGACAATACCAACCTGGCTGAACACGGCTTGCATCCTTTCTGGCAACATTTCCTCGCCAATCTCCCGCAACTTATCGGCCCCGCCTTTCCCTTGCTTATTTTCTCCAGCCGCAAGGACGCCTTGTTTTGGTCCGGCATTATCGGCATCACTGTCCTCTCCTGTTTCCGCCACCAAGAGCCGCGCTTTCTCCTCCCCGCAATCCCCCTCTTACTCTCATCCATCAAACTACCCAGGCACTTTCCCCGCCTCTGGCTCGGCACTTGGATCGCCTTCAATGTTCTCGCCGGCACCCTCTTTGGCGTCTACCACCAAGGAGGCGTCGTGCCCTCCCAACTCTGGCTCTCGGAGCAAAGCAACATCTCCCACGTCCTGTGGTGGAAGACATACAGTCCTCCTCGCTGGCTCCTGAATGGCCAGAATGAGCATGTTCTCACGACAGATCTCATGGGCATGCCTGGCGAGAGTATGGTGGAGAGTCTCCTTACGACGCTCTCTGGTTGCAAAGCGAAAAATCGTCTCCAGTCTACTACGCTTCTAGTTGCTCCGTCAAGCGCGATCTTCCTTGACTCCCTGACGGGTGCTACTGCGCAACATCCTAAACTGCAGTTGCAAGAGCTCTGGATGCACCGCCAACACATCGGCCTCGACGACCTCGACTTTGGCGACGATGGAATCTGGCCTACTTTACAGCGAGTCATTGGACGAAGAGGGCTAGTAGTCTACCGCGTTGACAGAAAATGCTAATCGAATCCTTCCCCTTCCTTACAAACTACTCCATCCATCTCTCACTCCACACCCTATAAACCCTCTCCTGCGCTCGCATCCATTCGTCATCCCTCTCCATCTGCTCCTACTCCGCCCGCACCCATAGATACAACACGCAAACGATATACCACGCGATCCAGAAGCCGAAGAGTTGCGCCGCTAACGTGAATTTGAGGCATCGCAGCGCCAGCTGCGTGCTTCGGCGTGTGAGTGCGCGGCAGCGCCGGGACGGCATGGTTTCCTTCAGGAACGTGTAGGGGGATCGATCCCGAGACGTGATACTTGGGTTGTTCGGTGGGTGAAGATGTAGTAGATGATGTGAAGGACGTGGAGGAACTGTAGGGCGACGCAGAAAGTGGCAAACCAGAGGTACCAAGGGGCGTTTCGGACGGAAGGGGGCGACCTGGGTTGCAGAGGGGCGAGGGACTGTTCTTGCTGCGCTTTGGTGGAGAGGATGACGAGGACTGAAACCTCCGGGTTGGCATCTTCGCAGTCGGTGATTCTGAAGATGCGTATGTTGGTGTTGGGTGGGGTTGATTGTGTCTGTGTTGTTCTTGACGATTGTGGCGAATGTGGCAGTTTGGATGCTGTGGTGTGCTCGGTGTTTCTGGTGGTGGTGGTCATGACGATGGTGATGCGGTGTCGGAGGAGGGTTTGTACAGTGATTGAAGATGTGTGCCTTGTACTGTGGATGAGAATGTGAATGGGTGCGATGGTATGGGTCAAGAGATGCTTCGGGCCAGGATGGGTGGAGTTTTGAGGAAGACAATGATGATTGAACTGAAGGAGAGGCAAGTAGAATGAGACCTCGATTCCTTCCCCGTGCAGTCGGGCTTGTGAGATGCAGGAGCAAGTCCTTTCTCCCTCTCCTAAAGGCTGGGAAAGCGTCAGGAGTGTTCGAAATGCATCCCTACCAGATTGCTACATGTAGAACAACTGCCGAGTCGCGCAGCGCCCAGCAGACACCTCTGCGCATCCAAAAGCTGTTTCAAGCTCTCTGCCTCACAACAGCAAGCTGCCGCAAAATGCCCTCTTTCCAACTCGCATACTCTTCGCGCCTGTCATCGCTCAGCCAATCCAGAGCAGGCTGAAACATGGTCCCCAGACCCGGCAAGAGGCCAGAAGCGCCGACTTCCTCGATATCGGCGGGATCACGTTTGGCGTGCTTTTCTTTGCGACGGAGAGGTGTTTTGGTGGGCTTGGTGGCCGGTCTTGGGGTTGCTTCTTTGTCTTCATTCCCGGCTTCGTCTTCTTCGTCCGGTTGGGGAATGTTGGTGTACCATTCCATTTGTTCCCATTCGGGTAGTGAGTCTTCGGAGATTCGTTGCATGGCGGCGTAGGTGTCGCTGTCTTCGGGATAGTCGATAGGGATGTTCTTCCCGTTGTGCATGCAATACTCTTTCACGCTTTCTGCAATGTCCTTGTCGCACTCCTCTGCATCGCTCGAATCCCTCAACCCCATTCTGTCGGACACTGCAGAGAAAACCGCAGCCACAAGGTCCGGAATGGTATCCTCCTGCACCGGAGCCTTTGGCGTTTGTGTCGTTGTCCTCCGCCTCTTGGCCGACGGCTGCTCGTCGACGCTCGTCCGCGCTTGGAGGACCGATCGCACGCCTACAAAGACATGGGGAGCGGGCTCGGGGGTTGAGAAGGCTTTGCAGACATGGCGAATCATTGGCATCACGAAAGCAGGTACATCCACCTCCTGCTCTCGCCCTCGTGTCCTCTTCCCGGTAGCAGGGGTCGCGGCGGGCGCAGTTCTGGTTGCGGTGGCGGCCTTCGATGGCGTCCTCGCCTGATTGCTTCTTCCACTCCTCCCACCCTCCGGGACACTCGAACTCGTAGTCTCAACCACCTTCTCCACCCCTTTCCGCGGCGTCCGAGGCGTAGCGAGCACCGCATTGAAGTAGCCGTGCAGCTTGTTGTACACTTTCGGCTTGCATGGTGGCGCGGGTTTCGCAATCTCCAGACCTAGTTTGTGCCCTAGGCGTTGACATGCGATATGGCAGCAGGCGTAGGTGCGCCCAATCTCCTCTTCTTGTTTGAGATTCGCGGCTTTGGCGCGCGATTGGGCGAGTAGGGAGGCGGAGAGGTTGAGGAGTTCGGAAGGTAGGAGGGTGAGGGTTGGGAGCAGGGTGGAGAGGGTATGTTCGATTGCATTCGGCATGGTCAAGTGTGATTGCGCGTTTGCAATGGAGGTGCGGAGGGAGAGTTGGGGAAAAGAGGAGGGGAAGTTGGAGACGCGACTTGACGCGATAACTTAGCTGCGGGTATCGCAATGCGCTCGAATATACAACGTGAAGAACATACTCGGTCTTCAAGCACAGTTTGTCATCGTTTGCATCCTCCTGTCCATTCGACAACAAATCCAATGAGGGGTGTATACCAGTGGAATAGAAGACCAAACGGTACCTGCCTCATCGAGCTGCGACCGCACGCTGACTCAGCCGCTTGGCATTCATCATTGGGAAGTGACGAGTCTTTGACAAGCAACGACTTCATACACTCTTCGCGCGTGACACTCTGCTGCTCCGTCGCCTTCACCACCCTACATATCTGGTCGCGAAACCCGTTCAACGCTACGCACCGCATCGAATCCCTCCACCGCCCTTCAAAGCGCCGTTTCCGCTCACCGATCCAGTTCCACCAGTCGACGCTCGTGTTATCCAGTCATCAGGAGCCCGGAGAGGCGCGCATTGTGTACAGAGCAAATCGCGACAAGCAATAGAGCGGCCATGAGCCATTGACGCCCTTTATCGGCGCATACAATGAAGTGAAGCTCGGAGAGCCTTCCACCACACACATACAAGCTTGCCCCATCTGGTGTCTTTGTGGCTCTTCAACCTATAAGCCTCCTTTTCGGCATCTGCACCCGCACCTTTCGGGCAACATTGTCCCAATCCACTGCTCGCTGCAGGCCGGAAGTAGACCTGCTCGGTTAGGGTCGCGAAGTAGGCCTCGGCCCTCACAACCATCACAATACTCACCACATACGCCAGGCTGGCTGTCGCACTCACCTCACCATGCAGAACACAACGAATAATCGCAAGCGCCCAGCGCCTGGCACATCACCTCTGATCCAGCAGCAAAACATGGTCTCGCAGCCATATCAGCCCATCCAGCAACTCCCGGACACAACCGACTTCACCAACTTCGACTTCTCCAACCCCATGCCTACTGGCCTGGAAGACCCCAATTCTGCCTTCAACGTCAACAACAACTTCAACTATGCGCTCAACAATGCGCAGCCTCCAATCTATGGCGGCAACAACATCGCACAGCCTGTTTCGTCCACCGAGCTGGTGCGCAGGTCACAGAATCAGCAGTTGGCTCCTCAGACGCGCGTGCAGCCGGATCAATGGAACGGGTTGGGGAATACCAACGCTCAAGTGCAGAACGCGGACCAAGTCGACGATGAAGATGAGCAGGAGTTGGACCGCAGGGTCGCGCTCGCCAAGAAGGATGCTCAGGGAAAGCGGAAGAATATCCTGCCCTTTGTGCAAAAGTTGAGCAGGTATGTTGCGACCCTTATGTCTTCATGATATAGCTATACTGACGTTTTGCCATAGTTTCTTGGACAACAACAATACCGATTTGATCCGTTGGTCAGACGATGGCCGTTCATTCATTGTGCTGGACGAAGACGAATTCGCCCGGACTCTTATTCCTGAAGTCTTCAAGCACAACAACTACGCGTCTTTCGTGCGACAGCTCAACATGTACGGCTTTCACAAGACCGTCAACATCACCGATGGCTCTCTCCGTCAATCGGAAAAGGCGCGCAAGGGTGTCAAGCCGCCTAGCATGTACTCACATCCCTTCTTCCGACGGAACCGACCTGACCTGCTGTGGCTGGTCCAAAAGCCGGCGGGCGGAGCCAAGGGTGCGAAGAGGAAGAGGGATGGCGGGGATGACAGCGATGAAGGAAGGTCACATTCTCCGCTTCCAGAGTCCGGGCCACTCGCAAGTGGTGCGAACAGTGCGAATCAAGATGTGGCTCAACTCCCTCGCAACGAGCTCGTTGCCGTACGGCGCGAACTGCAAAACCTTCAAACACAGCAGAAGTTCATCAGCCAGATGATTACGCAACTGCGCGAGCAGAACGATCAGTTTTACCGACAAGCGACGGCGTTTCAAGCACTGCATGACCGACACGAAAACTCCATCAACGCCATCCTCACATTCCTCGCCACCTTCTACCGACAAGGCCTGGAAGGACATGGAGCGGCGAATCTGGTCAACATGTTCACGAATCCGCCAGGGAGCCAGCAACAGCATGGCAGTGTGGTGGAGGAGTTTCATGACAACACTCCCACCCCAGCTAACAGCCAACAGGTGCAGAGATTCGTCAAGAAACCTCCCTTACTGCTGCCTGGCCCAGCCGCGCCAAACACCAATCCAGGCAGTGCCGGGACAGAGGCCAGCTCTGCGAATCCATCACAGAGTCCACCGAACGATGCATCGAATACAGGAGCTGCTTCCAACGCCACGCAAGCCGACAGTGCGAAGCCGCCGCAGACGCCCGTCATCAAGAACGAAGCGCAAACTCCCAACCAAGAGCAAATGATGAACCTCATCAACAACGTCAACGCCAGCACCAGCCAAGCATCCACCCCCAACACCTCCTCCGCCGCTCCAGCAGTAGACATGAATTCCATCGTCGACCGTATCAAGCAGAACAACTCACCCCTCACCGCGCAGCAGCGAGACGACATGGTCAACTCCGTCCTGGGCAACAATAACAACAACAGCTCCTCTTCCTCCAACACCAACGCCGTCACCTCCTACAAAAACGCAACCGACAGCGCAGAGCAATGGAAAGAGCAAATCGACCAGTCCCACCACGCCCTCGACTACCTGCAACAACTGCAACGCCAGCAAGACGAGAAAGTGCAGGAGCTCAACCGCCGCTTGCAACCCCTCAGCCCCACCGGCACGATTCCCGGCTTGCATAATTTCACGGGCAACGGAGGCGAGCAGCAGGATTTCTTCGACGGGGTCAATATCGGTGCGCCGGGCGACTACGATCCCGCGGCTTTTATCAACTTTGACGAGCCGCAGCCTTGGGAGTTGGGCAGTCAGGCGGGCGGGGAAGGGGATGCGGGCAACTTTGATTTTGACTTCGATGCGGCGGGGAATGCTGGGGGTGATGATTGGGCTGCGGGCCTGGGTGGGGATATGTTTGGGAGTGCTGCGGGCGATGAGGGCGCTGGGGACGGGGATGGAAGTGGTAAAGATGGCAATGCGGATGGAGCGAGGGTGGAGAGTTTGAGTGGGAGTGAGGCGGCTAGTCCTGCTGCTCCTGCTGCTTCTGGTGGCGAGGAGACGGGGCATGCTAGCAAGAGGACGAGAAGGTCTTGATCCTTTTGCTTCTTCGAGGCGTTTGGGATGTGGGGTCGGATTACGAATTCGATGAGGTTATGCGGCCCTCAACATGGCTCTCTATTGGGGTCGAAGGGCGGCTTCAAATGGGATGGAGAATGGAACAGGGAGTGTGAATACCTGGCTTGTCTTCTTGTTCCGAAGACGACGAGGAGGACATATGAGGAGCGCAGCGCATGAGAATCGTGTTTTAGATCAGTTTACCTTACCAAATGCAACAGCCTCAGGCTGAATGGCACATCTCCCCAAGAAACTTTCCCTCGAATCTCCATCCAGCGCTCGCCGAATTTTGGCGGTCGAACGTCGGAGATGCGGCCATTTGTGCAGGCGCGGCGAGTTTCCGAACACGCCGAGGCTTGAGAGTAGGCGGAGGAGAGAAGCTCCATTTAGGCCGCGAGCGAATCTTGGCAGACATTCGCTAGCGCCCGCTTTGACTGACCAATCATATTGCAGTAAGCTTGCATCTCGCCGCACGCTCATGGGATACCACTCCTCGTCATAGTGACCACCACATCGATAGGAAAAGATACGTGTCTTACTACTGTGGTGTCTTCAGTCCGTAGGAGTAGCTTGAGCCAACTCGAGTCGGCCAGCTGCCTTTTAAAGCTAGGAGTGGATGATGTAAGCTGATTGGTTGGATTGCAACGAGCTGAAGTGGGCTTTCGCGATCTGCCTCGTCCACCGACGTCAACTGTACGTCCGTCTAGTAGGCGTGGCTGGGGCCTGTGCAGGTAGGCGATAGGCGCGGAGATGTACTCGTTTACCATTTTCGTATTTGCTACTCTTCCTATTCAAGGCATCGTACATTTACTTTGTACAGTAATTGTGAGCAAAGCTGGGGATTAAGCAAGTCCAGGCATAACAGCCAACATACACCCGACATGCGCGTTTGACACGCTTCCCAGCAGCCTCGATCATGCCATAACCTCCAGCTCAACTCAACCATGGCCACAAATTACGATGACCAACCAAATCCAGCAATAGCCATCCTCGGCGGCGGACCCAGCGGTCTCCTCCTCGCCCGCTACCTCACAATCCACGCCCCCAACATCACCTACAAAGTCTTCGAGAAAGGCCCGCGCAACAACTGCGATGCAACGCAACACGGAACATGCGACATGCACCCCGCGCTCGGCATCCAGGCCATCAAGGAAGCGAATCTCTACCCCGAGTTCGAAGCTGTTGCGTGTTTCGACACGCAGTCTATGGGCATGTTCGACCACACGGGGGCGGTGATTACGAAGAACGAATTGCAGACGCCGCAGGTGGATGTGGTGGCGTTGAGGGAGATGTTGGTGCGCTCTGTGCCGGAGGAACGAGTGGAGTGGGGATGTGAAGTTGCGAGCGTAAGGAAAGACGACGCGAGCGGGGACGTGGTGATCAGATTCAAAGACGGCAGGGAAGAACGAGGCTTCAAACTCGTCGTCGGAGCAGATGGCACCTTCTCCAAGGCCCGCCATCTCGTCACCCCCGCCACCCCGCACTACTTCAACATCACCTACCTCCGCACCTCCATCTCGCCCGCCTCGCGCTTCTGGTCGACCGCCGTCGGCTCCGTCGCAAGCAACACCTACGTCGGCTTCGGGCTGCGCAAGCAGCTGCTCGCGCAAAAGAACCTCTGCACCCACTCCTACACCGTCTACGCCGGCATCATGCTGCCGGAAACGTGGGCGGACGCGCGCATCAACAACCCCGACGCTTTCAGGGAGTACTTGCTCAAAGAGCAGTTTGGGCGCTGGGGTTCGCGCGGCGTCAACTTCCTCCGCTACTCCGATGGGCCTTTTAGTATTTGGCGGCACTACGTTATGTCGCCCTCTTCGCTCTCTTGGACCTCTGTACCCGGTGTAGCCCTCGTGGGCGACGCGGCGCACCCCACTCTCCCCTGGCCCAGCGAATCGCTGAGTAATGTCTTATTCGACAGCCTGGAACTCGGGCGCGAGATTGCGAAGTTCGGACATGAAGGGTTGGACAATGCCGTCAGAGAGTATGAGCGCAAGATGTTTCCGCGGCGCAAGGCGTTGAGCGAGAAGTGTCAGCGGCTGGGCGAGTTTTTGTTTGACAAGGATGCCGAGGCGATTTGTGAGGTGTTGCTTGCGGCTGGAGGGGAGGGATTATGAGGGCACAAAGATGTGGAAGCAGAGGATGGAATTAGTAAGGCCGTCTCGAGCGAATGGCTGGAGACTTCTTTCGCTGTCGACGAACGGACGAACTGGTGCAGCAGCAGCGATTCCCGCACTGCGCGACCGCTTTGCCGCTAAAAGCGCCGGAGACGAGACGTCGGAGGGCACATCTAACGGACCAATGAGATATACAACACATACACTCCGGGTATAATCATCATCTCCACGAACACATTTCAAACCGCCCACTCCCGCACATCATCCGCCTCCGTGACAAAAGGCTCATCAACCCCCCTAACAGCAGCATCACCACAAAGCACACACGCCCCAGCAACAAGCCCATCCAACTCCCTCACCATCCCCTCCCTGCGCTTCCCCAGCGCCACGCCCCTTCCAATCTCGCGCTGCAACTCGCGGATCCGCTTCCCCTTGCCCATCCCCACAAGCCCCATAACCATCTCCCCAAGACAATCCGCATGGAAAGCATGCTGACACGGGAACACAAAAAACTGCCGCATGAGCAGCGGGAGCCGACACTTCCAGCACCGCTCCCCGGGCTCCACGATAGCGTACCGCTCATCGAGCGCCTTGACGTCCGCCTGGATATGCTGGGCCGTCGCGGCCGACTCGTCCATTTCGCGCTTCAGCTCGTCGATCCGCCGGCTGTAGTCCTCCAGCGCCGCGCAAATCTCCTCTTTGAAGTCGTCGATGACGATGAAGTCCGGGAAGAAGGGGATCAGGTCTTCGATGCGCAGCAGGTCGCCGCAGCGCTTGAGGAAGTCCATGGCGGCTTTGATGCCCTTTTCCCGCCCGATGACTTTTTTGGCGATCTTGAGCCAGAGCTTTTTGCGCTGCGTGGGGTCGGTGATGCCGGGGGTGTCGGCGACGTCGGCGGCGAGGTCAATCTCGTTGTGTTTGAGGGCTAGGTCGACGGCGGATGCGTATTGCTTCATTGTGGTGTAGATGTGCACGCAGGCGCGGACGCGTTGATGGGCGATGCAGAGGCGGAGAGCGAAATCTGGATCGTAGTGGCGTTCGTGAGCTTGTGATGGTGCTTCGAGATAGGCGAGGAGGGCGGTTTCGTCTTTCGTGGCGGCTGAGGCGTAGAGGGAGATTAGGGTGTTGTGGATTGCGGGATCGGTGGAGTGGGTGTGGTTGATGCAAAAGAGGAGGTAGCGGATCGCTTGGTTTTGGGACAAGGGAGTAGTGGAGGGGATGGTGTGGTTGTAGTTTAGCAGGGCGGGAATGATCTTCTTGGGATCCAAGTCGGCTTGTCGCATCAACACCTCGACTAGCTCGATGGGTGTCTGCGACATGAGTACCGTGGCGTAGCGGTAGAAAAGTTGCACATCGGTCTGCTTCTTCAACACGCTCATCGCTTCTTCCCATCGTTCGCGCTGTACCCAATACGACAGGATGTAGTTGAAGTCGTCGATGACATTGGCGTAGAAGAGCAATTCTTCCTCTCGACCGTGCGCGCTGATGATTTCGTACACTGTTTTTCGGTCGAGATCGGTTTGGTATTTGGTGCAGAGATCTTGGTACTCCTTTCGCACGATTGGCAACTGTTTCTGCGTATCCACGGAACTCGTTCCCGTGTCGTCGGCGTTGAGCTCGGCCTTGGTGGTGATGGTGTCGTCGAGCTCGTTCAGCTTCGCCATGTACAACTCCACCAACCAGCTAGCGAGCATGGTGCGCTGCATTGCGAAGCTCCTCTTCAGATTCGCCAGCTTGGTAAGAAGATATCTCCGTAACGCATCTTGCTCCCCTTTGTCGATGAACGTAAGCGCTACATCTTCGAAAGCTTTTGTGCTTCTGCCGAGTACCACGGCCGCTTCGTTGAATTTTCTCTGAGCCATCAGATGCTGACCAGTCGCGCTGGCTACCGCGTCTTTCTGCTCGGCGGTTTTCGCATAGCGTTGCGCCGACTCGTACTGTCCTTGCTTCAATAGAATGCTCCACACGTCTCTCGCCTCGTCCGTCACGACCACCTCGAAGATCTCCTGCGAGGTGAAAAGCCAGTATGTATTCTTCTGATGATCTGCAAACAGCCCGAGGTTTCTTTGGCCGGGCTCCAAAATAGGCTGGCTGTAGATCAACGTCTCGTCCAGACGGTTGACAGCGAGCAAGCGGCCCTCCACCAACGCAAGGATATGGAATTGCGTCAACGCGATTGAGTTCAAAGCAGCGTGCGAGCGACCCCTTGCAGCGGGGGGCTGAGAGGGTAGCAGCTTCGTGGTAGGCAGCAGCTTTGATTCGCGGAAAAGGTATCGTCCAAGCGTTGCCGGATCCGGAGAAGAGGAGAGCAGTCTGCCGTGGAAGACGCCTTGAGTGCTGAGCCATGCATAAGCATGATCTTCGTTCGAGCTTGTTGACGATGGAGTTGCATCCGGGGAGTCCGGAGAAATGGCCAGAAGGGACGGAGCATTGCCGCCAGCTCGTTCGATTTCGTGTACGGCGGGACTTTCACTCTCGAAGAGCTTGGAATAGATGCTGCCGCTTCCCTCCGTTCCTTGTCTTCCCGTACGTCCAGTGAAATGTAGAAGGCGGTGATGGGTAGCGATCATCACACGACGCGTATCGGGCCGGCCTGCCAGGATCTCCGCATAGATTCCCACAACCGCTCCATCTTGGGCATTGTACACATTCTTCACGTACTTCTCTTCTCTTCTGTAGAATTCCGTGCTCGGCTCAATGTACGTCTCGTATACATTGCCATCGGCAGAGCCAACCAATATCTCCCGGGTGGATGCTGTGGGTTGCGAAGGGTTCCATGCTACGCTCTCAATATGCACTCCTTTTAACCTCGACAACGGTTTGGGCTGGCGTGACTGGGTGTGTAGATAGTAGTTCTCGCCCAGCGTCGTGGAAACAATCAAATGGCTCGCGCTGGGATCGAGGAAGAGTTTCCGGATGACCCCCACTTCCGCCGGCCGCTTGGGCAAATCAATGTCGTCGATATCCTCGGCATTATCGAGATCGAAGCGCAGGATTTTCCCCGTGGAGAGGGCGAGGATGAGGACGTTGTTGGCGACTTGCGCGGCGACGAAATCGGCGGAGATTTCGAAGCGCAGTTGGACTTTTTGGACGTCGAAGATGGGCAACGAGGCGTCGTCTTGGGCGCCAGCTACGTATCCGCTGGATGGCTCGAGCGCCATGGTGTGGCAAGTGTCATCTCATGGTCTCAGGGTTGGTGGGGGTTGTATTTCGCCGTGACAAGCGAGATGATTGGGACGTGTGATGGGTGACGTGCAGCCAGGTCGAGCTTCGATGCACAGACCACATCATTTCATACCTGAGGCATACACGAGCACAGCGATTTCGTTGTGCTCTGGCTACACACAATACAATCAGGAATGTATCAGTCAACCGACGTCCCTGATGCGTTGCCGTGGTCTATCAGAGAAACGCTTCATGTACGTAGGTCATTACGTGTCTAGCACGTGACTGGGCCACTGCCTGTCCTCATCACGAGTATGGCTTTGAACACAGCATTGCTCACGCATGATTTTCGAAAGACCATTCAAGGGACTGCCGGCATTGAGCCCGGGTGGTTCAAGGCCGAGACCTGAGTCAATGGCTAAAAGGGCTAAACTTCCCTCCTCCAAGCGTAAACGCCATCTCATCGAGACTGCAGGCCCCGAGGACGAGAACGAGCTTAGGGCCACTCTGCTAAAGCAAGTACTATTGCCAGCCGGGGCTGCATAAGCAAGGAGCTATGAAGAGTCTTCAAAGCTGTAGAGCAGGGATGGAGAACCGGCTGCTGACAACCCATCCCTCTCCACATGGTGTGCTTTTTCTGCGAATCTGGGCATGATATTCGCCGAGGGACCCGTGGAAAAGGCGGACGAACGTGTGTGAGTGGACAGTGGCTGCACAGTAGCGCGTGCAAGCATGTAAGGTACTCGGGGAGTTCTGCAAAGGGCAGAGTTGCCGCTCGCATGCGTGCTGCAGGGAGGTCGGATGTAACTGTGGGGACTCGCCCTGTCCACGGCCTGGTGGGCGGGCTCGGCTGGCCACCGTGCTTTGCTAGAGGGGAGATAGTCACTGCTGGACGCCGAGCAGAAGGCAAGCTACAAGTAGCGTCAAGGACAAGCGAGCGAGCAGGGCGGAGTCGGGGCGTGATATAGGGCAAGCGGATGTGGTCTCACGCTGGGCCAGGTCCAACGGTCGCCGCTGTGACTGTCAGATGTGAAACAGGCACCGAAAGCCAGACGGCGTTTCGAAGCGGAAGCTTTGGCAACGGGGTGGCGATCGGGTCTTTTTTTCATGCAGGTACGCTTCCTTCCGATCACGCTGCAGCTACGTACCTCAGCACCTTGGTACTTTACCTGACCGCTCGGCTATGCGGTTGACGGGCTGATGGAGTGACGGAGAATGGCGAGGCGAGGCCACGGATGACGGGGACGGCATTCAGTGAGATGACGTGGATTGAGGCTGGTTGAATGGGCGAGTATCAATGGCCGCGTGGATGGCATTGTCTTTTTGCATTGCCGGATTGTTGAATACCTAGTATGCCCACAATTACTGTGTACAATGGCCAACAATACCGACAGCACGGCCATTGAGCCTGTGCTTGCCATGATGACACCTTCACCAACCCTCTTTGGCTGCAGTTCGCCAGTGAAGCGGTGCGGTAGCGAGCAAGCCGTCACGACTCGAGCCACGCCAATTCTTGGATGAACGACGTGGGGACAGAACAGGTGCTGCATGTCTGCCTACCTTCCAAGGCCAGTCCGCCAGTCCGCTTTTTCTGCGAGCTGCGTGGGCTTGCAGCGGTGGATTCCCGCCATCACCGACACGCAATCTAGCCGACCCGACCACCTCCACCGCTGCCGCTGCCGCTGCCGCTTCCCACGCCTCTGCGCTTGCGACGAGAGGGGCTGATCTTATTATAACCCTGCCATTGACCTCGTCGGAGGAGGCCTGCCACCGTCAACATACTGACAAGCGCCCACCGAGCGCGAACAGGAGCAAGCAGCGCAAGCCAGAGCGAGGAATTGGCAACGATTGGACGTGCTGCGTCGCGCCTGCCCTTGGCAAGGTTGCTGCCGTTTTTAGCCTGCGCCTGCCTCCAGGGCCCGCGCCCGGTCGGTTGAAACGGCGCTAACCCAAACCCACGGCCCCCCGGACTCCCTCGTTTCAAAGCTGCGACCGTTTCTCCTGCGCTCCCGCTCCGCTCTGCTGCTGCTCCATCGCACTTCAAACTCCACATCTACTCTTCTCCACGACCGTCTTTTTGGCGAGAAGCAACAGCGTTGTTTTTCTAGCTTCACACCACTGCGCGAGCCGGCCTCGTTGCGCCTTATTCTTCGACTTCCATCCTTTTCCCCTCCTCTTGACACGCGGTCCCCGGCCCTTCAAAAACACCGCCCCTTTCGCACCTCGCCATCCGCCCATTGCTCGCTGGTCGTCCGCAACACCCAGCTGTTTCAGCTTCCTTGCTGACCTACACCCGCCGTCTCGAATCCCTCCCCAGTCCACCGACACCACCCTTCCCCGCCCTCACCACGCTCGAGACGTGCCGGCGACGCTGACCCACGCGTCTCCGTCAATCTCAATCATGTATCCCGTGTCGCATCACCAGGCAATGGCTGCCCCGGCCGCCCAGCACCGCTCCGTCCAACCTGAAACCTTCCTGTTGAACGACGAGGCACAGCAGAGTCTACCCAGCGAGAGCGTCGTCGCGCTGCAGCAGGTCGACAATCGTACGCACATCCCTTCTCCACAATCCTGCTCCCTCACAAGCTAATCAATCCCCTCAGTCAAATACTTCCTCATCTCGGCGCCGGTCGATTGGAGTCAAGATCAGTACATTCGAAGATTCCTGCTCCCAACTGGCGAATATGTCTCTTGTGTGCTCTGGTATGCACCACTTCCAATGCCACCCCCGATTTGAACCTCGCTAACAATCCCACAGGAACAACCTCTTCCACATGTCCGGCACGGACATTGTGCGTTGCCTTGCCTTCCGCTTCCAAGCCTTCGGTCGACCCGTCAAGAACTCCAAGAAATTCGAAGAGGGCATCTTCTCCGACCTCCGCAACTTGAAGTCCGGCACAGATGCCTCTTTGGAAGAGCCCAAGAGCCCCTTCCTCGACTTTCTCTACAAAAACAACTGCATCCGCACGCAAAAGAAGCAGAAGGTGTTTTACTGGTACAGCGTGCCACATGACCGCCTCTTCCTCGATGCCTTGGAGCGAGATCTCAAGCGCGAGAAGATGGGCCAGGAGGCCACCACCATGGCCGTCAGCGAGCCCGCCCTATCCTTCCAGTTCGATTCCTCGCAATCGCTTTTTGAGCAGCTCACCAAAGCTCAGCAAAACAGCCAGTCGTCCTTCACTGCTCAACCCCAGTCCATGCCGCCCTCCCACTCCAGCTCCCCCGCGCCTCGAGCTGCAGATTCCATGCCACCGCCGCCTTCAGTCATCCGACCGCAGCATGCTCCTCATCCTCAGCAGATGCCGACCAGCTCCATGCCGCAACAACATCCGCATCATCACCAGGTCATGGCCCCGCCCATGCACGAAGACATGTCGCACATGGCCTCCTACCACTCCATGCCCATGCCGCCTATGCCATCCCAGATCAAGCACACGCGCGAGCAGTCAGTCAACCCGGTGTTTGACCGCAATGGAATGCCGCTGTCGCAAATCGCGCACAGGCACAGCTCCATGCCGACCTACATGGAGTATTCGCCTGCGCCTTCTTTTGTCTCGTCACACTTTGATGAGTACAGCCGGAATATGTCTTACGAGCCGCTGACACCCCCTCAACACAATGGCGGCATGATCTCCGAGACCGCTTCCATCGCTAATGAAGACACCGGTCTGTACACTGCGATCCCAGACGTAGGAATGCAGCAGCCATTCAACCCCCTCATGTCCATGCCATCCAATCTTGCTGGCGGCCAATTCCCATCCATGGCTCGCAACTTCAACCCACAGCAAACTTACTCCATTTTGGAGGGCTCGCCCACGTACAAACAGCGCAGACGTCGGTCTTCTCTCACCACCGGTCCCATGACTTCCACTGGCGTGATGGCCAATGGTATAGGTCACGCCCACCCCACTCATCGACCCAGCGACCTCCGACGTTCTGTGTCCAGCTCCGTCGTCCCGCAGTCTATCCCGGAAATCCACGAGATGTCTTACCACGACTCGCCCGCAAGCATGCACACCAACCAGCACCCCGCCCAACATATGATGGGTGAACACAAAGAACTCATGAATCTCTCTCGCCACGGAACCCCCATGTCCACGGTCGAAGGCGCCGCCCTGCACGGCCCCCACTCCGCCCACGCCCACCGCATGTCCGTCTCTGGCGTGCAGCCCATGCTCAGTGACGACTTCACCTCCTTCACCTCCAGCCCCACCCAAGACCTTCGCTACACCCTCCCTGCCCACCCCCACAACCACAGCCCTTTGCATCACGCCGTGGTCCACCGCACCAGTGCATCCGGCGTCTTCCGGCGCGCCCGCAGTGCCACCGTGGGCGAGATCGGCCCCTACCAAAAGTCCCACTCCTGCCCCATCCCCATGTGCGGCCGCCTGTTCAAGCGCTTAGAGCACCTCAAGCGCCACGTGCGCACGCACACGCAGGAGCGGCCGTACATCTGCCCGCTGTGCAACAAGGCCTTCTCCCGCAGCGACAACCTTGCGCAACATCGCCGCACGCATGAGGCGAACCCCGATGCCGACGCGCCTGATGAGGAGGAGATTGAGGAGGAGAGACTTGTCGCGCTTGGCGGCGAGGATGCCATGGAGGGTGCGGAGGGAGACGTCGGACTCTCGACGCACGTCGAATTGGGGACTTTCACGCAGCCGCAGCCGCAGCAGGCGTTGGTTGCCGCGGGAGAGTATTAGCGGTTTCCAGCTGGAGCGCCGGATTTTCCATTCGTGAACTTTGACGTGCTGGATCGTCGGTTCTTGTACCTATAGGCAGACATTCTTGGAGGACGATTCTTTTCCTTGGGAAGAAAGCGAGGCGATTGGGAGCTTTGCGAGACGCGGACAGCTGGTCTCTTGAGAATGTGGTGGAGGGGAAGATTTTCGATTCAGGAGAGTAGTATCTTGTAGAACTAGGCAACTTGTCTTTTCTAGACTTCTTTGAAGGTGCTCGCATCATCATGCCTCGTATTCAATGCAATATGGAAGTGAGGATTGATGCACGAAAAAGGTAGGCACGTGACCTCAATGACCCTTAGCGCCGCCCGGCACCTCCTTATTAAGGCAAGCTACGTCGACTGGCCCGTGCGGGATGAAAGGGCACCGCGACTTCGAAAGCTGGGCCAACCTGACCGGGATCTGGCAAACAACCCGCCCTCGACGCCATCCTCTCCCATTCGATTCCTGCATTCCCTCGAGCCTTCTCTTCATCCATTCCTTTCGCACGAGTCGTCTTTCGCCGCCGCCGTTTCCGTCACCATTCCACAGCATCTCAACCTCACGCGGACCGCGAGGGGGTTTCCGCTGCATTCATCATCCTGCTAGTGGAGCTAGAGCTGAAGAGCGGGCTGCGTGTACGGGTTCTCGATGTCGGGGTTATAACGGGGATCTGGCTGTGGCATTGCTTCTCTTTGCTTTGAGCGGCGCTGCGTGTTGTTGTGCTGCTGCACGCCGTTGCGGAGGGCACGATGGCTTTCCAGCAGCAGCAGGTTGGCGGTGGGATGAATGGCGGCCCGGGCGATCATCATGCGCCGCTTGGGACGGAGTATACGCTTCAGGGTGAGTGACTGCGTTGAGGGTGGAGAACAGATGGATGGATGGGAGGTCGGGGGTGCTTCTGAATGCTAATGGGTTGATCAGGTGTTATGCGCTTCCTCCAAATCGAATGGCACAATCATGAACGAGCACGGAATGCTTGGGACATTGAACGGGCGGAGATGCGGGCGAAGATTGCGAAGCAGGAGGGCGAGACGAAGCATGCGAAGCGGATCAATGAGCAGCTGGATCGGCAGGTTCGCATGTTAGAGGTCGCATTGAGGAAAGAGCGGGAGAAGAGCAAGGATGGCGGCGCGAGGGCGGCGACGCCGGATATCAAAGAAAAGGAGAGCAGGAGTAAGAAGAACCTCGATGCGGAGGCGGTCAAGAGTAGGGCGAGGGAGGAGGCGCTCGAGGCCACTGCCGCCGCAGAGATGATGCCCGAGGAGGAAAAGGAACGCGAACACTACGTCGACACTACGACAAAGTACTTGAAGAAGTGCATGAACGAGATCCAGTACCTCCTCACGCCGCCGCAACATCTCCCACCGCCTCAAGTGCTGCCGAACGGAAACTACACTGGTCTGACGGAGCCGCCTTCACTCGAGGAGATCTATGCGAGGAATCAGTTGCGAGGTTACCGACAGCACTCGCAAGCGCTACCGCAGCCGTCTAGCCTTCCGAACCATCAGCCGCCGTCCGCGCCCAACAGCCTACCGCAATCTTCGTCTGCGCAGCAGCAAGACTCGGGGAATGTGCGTTACCGCGAATTCCAAAAGTCGCAAATGCTCGCCCAGCCCGAGGTCGAGGCGCAACCGCAACAAAATACCTCGGTTCAATACGACGACCAGATAGAGAGCATCACACACACCTTCGATGCTCGCGGCAGAGAAATTCAGACTCCGGTGGTCGAGACGCCGCAAACTGCACGAGTTATTCACACACTTCCGGAAGCCGATGGTTGGACTTTTGACGATGAGACATCGGCTCAGGCAGAGGGTGTGCCACCTGACGCTCCCGTCCCTCGTAGACCCGATGCCGAGGCCTTTCCCAGTGCAGCAAGCATCCCGAAATCCCCTCCTAGAGCATCACCTGCGCAGCATCGGCGGAAAAGCTCCGGGTCTCAGGGTATGTCGCGGCGGAGGAGTTCGCAAGGGAAGACGGATGGGCATGACACGGCGGAAAGTCAGGCGGCGAGTGACCCGTCTCAGTTTAAGGTCAAGTTCGCTCTTCGTGGACATCTCGACGTCGTCCGAAGTGTCATCTTTACTGGCGGCGGTAGTCCCGGCGAGCCCGAAATTTGCACTGCCGGCGACGACAGCACGGTCAAACGCTGGATCATCCCAGCCTCTTACCAGAACTACAACGCCCCCAATCACGCCAACGACCTCGATATCGACCCCAAGTTCACTCATCGCGGACACGAAGGCATCGTCACTTCTCTAGCCGCCTGCCCCGCCAGCACAGGTTTCAGCACCGGTGGACGTGCTCCGGGCGACGGCTGGATCTTCTCGGGCGGCCAAGACGCCACCATTCGCGTGTGGGAACGCGGCCGTGTCGATCCAAAAGCCACACTCGAAGGCCACACAGACGCCGTCTGGTGCGTCTGCGTCCTGCCCGCTACCCTCGGTCACGTCTTCGGGCAAAACAGCTCCTTCGGTGCCCCGGACCGCCTGCTCCTCGTCTCTGGCTCCGCAGACGGCACAGTCAAAGTCTGGGCCGTAAGTGGCCCGCCGCAAGTCGCTTCCCCATCTGCCGGCAGTCGACGAGGCGCACCCGGCACAAGACGCCACAGCACGAGCAGCGGCAGCAACTTCCCCTCCAGCCCGCAACCGAGCGTCGCGAGCGTCACCCCCTTTGCCCACCAACTCATCCACTCCATCGAGCGGCCCGCTGGCAGCGGCACCGCAAGCCCCACATCCATATGTCCCCTCTCGCCTGGTGGTGAGACGTTTGTCGTCAGCTACACCGACTCTTCCGTGCTTATCTACGATACGCGGACGGGAGAGGAGGTTATTGGCATGGCGAGCAATGAGACGTATGATGGCACGATGAACACGAGCATCAATGCGGTCGTCGCTGCGAGTACTGGATTAGACAACGGTACTCACGCGAACTCGCTAGACGCCAGCGGGAATGAGGAGGTGGGCGCCGTGGGTGCTACAGGGAGCAGTGAAGGCGTCGAAGGCGTGGTGATTTCTGGGCACGAAGACAGATTCGTGCGCTTCTTCGACGCAAATTCCGGTGCGTCTAACTCCCCCTCCACCATCCTCTTCACCTCTTGCTAACTTGCCCCCAACAGGCCAATGCACGTACAACATGCTCGCCCACCCCTCCGCCATCTCCGCCCTCTCGCTCTCCAAAGACGGCCGCGAAGCCGTGTCAGCCGGCCACGACGCCAGCATCCGCTTCTGGTCGCTCGAGAAGCGCATTTGCACGCAGGAAATCGTGTCGCATCGCGCGATGCGCGGCGAGGGCGTGTGCGATGTTGAGTGGAGCCAGGATGGCCGGCTCGTCGTTTCGGCGGGTGGGGATGGGGTGGTGAAGGTCTTTGCGAGATGATGACGCTTCTTCTTTTCCTTCTTTCCCCCCTTTTTGTTCCTGTGGTTGTTGCGTGTTGTGTGGTTTAGATTGAGGTGTGCCTTTGCTCATGTGTTTATAGGGGTTGGGCTGGGCTGGGCTTGAGCGAGGATGGGTGTGCTGGGTGCATGGATGAGCGATGGGCTTTTTGCATAGATGCTCGAGATGGGGGGGCAAGAACGAATGACAGACACACCAATGGAATTTTGTTCTTGAGATTTGCTGTGCTTTTCGATGGCTTGGTGTGAAGCGGCTGGCGGCATGCTGCATGTAACCCACGATGGGCTTTCTTTGTTCGACATGTCGGTTTGTGCTCGGCTGCCTGCAGACACACCCTCCTCCAAAGACGTTAATGACCGCATTTACAGTAGAATGTTCCCATGACGGAATGACTGGCATTTCGTCACCTGATTCCACTTCACTATGCCAATTAGACTTTCTGCGTGCGGTCACGTAGTCTCGCTGGAAGTGAACTATCACAGCAAAAGTTCACTTCGACTTTGGCTATATCTTTTCGCGAACTTCCTCTTCTTTCTCGCTCTTCTTCTTTTCCTCAATACAACCTGTCCACCACCGCTTCTCCGCTCCCTAACGCTCGACCACTCACACAATCAGAACCCACAGATTCAAGCAAGCCGCAACGATGGCTGCAACCACTCCCACCACCTACGACTTCAAAGTCGCCAAAGCAAGCCTGAGCGAGAACGACAAAGACCGCTTCCTCGCCGTCTACCTCAACCTCATCGATCCCAACACCGCCGTAAGCTCCTACCCTCCTCCGCCCGCCCTTCATCATACCTGCTAATGCGACTCCAACCAGGTCAACTGGAAAAAAGCCGCCGACGACTTCGGTTCCGCCAGCGTCGAGAGCTTCAAGAAGACGGTCTCCAACGCTCTCAAGAAGATCAAGGCCGCCGAGGCCAAAGGCATCACGGGGGACGCTGGGGTGACGCCCTCTCCGGCTGGCGGCAAGAACAAGCGCAAGGCCAAGGGTGCTGCTGTCGCCTCTGACGCTGATGACGACGACGAGACTGCTCCTACGCCCGCCAAGAAGAAGCGCGGGAGGCCTGCGAAGAAGGCGGCTAAGGCTGCTGAGGGTGAGTTTTTCCCCCTGATGTTTGGTGCTTGACTTGTTCTCTGACTTTTTGCTACAGAGGAGGAGACTATGGAGGTGATCAAGGAGGAGGTCGCGGAGGATGACGCTGATTGAGAGGGTGACGGCCAGCAGGCTCGAGTCTTGATGTTCTGAGAGACTGGGTTCCTTACCGTACTTCAACGCATGGTGGCTGCAAGCTGCTGCTTTATCAGTGGCGAGACAGCACATCATCGAGTCGCAGCAAGTATAGCGTAGCGCAGCACACATGGTGTTGCGTTCGGAAATGCACTCTGCTTTCATTCTTCAATTACAGCAAGCATCTTCAATTACATTTCACTGTGAGAGACGACGGAGGTCGACTTTGAGCGGATGGAGTGGAGTCAGGGGAGCGTCGGCAAGTTCTCCATCGGGAATGGCTCCTTGGCTTGGAGGACTTGTTTTGACCTCAGTCCATCCTGCATTCTTCTGCTCATCGACATCGACGTGTCTCTCTGCTCTCGTTACAATTCATCGTCAAGAATCAAGTCGACAAAAGGCTTCGTTCACATCTCCCACTCGTAGGTTGTTGGTTTGCTAGCCCACTCTAGTCTGAGACATCACCTTTCGCGTCACCGTACTTTACGTTACACAATGCGAATGCAAGTATCCGTCTCTGGGTGAAGCTTTTTCACCCCTTCACGCACGCTTCCGTGAATTCGAGCAATCTTCACATGCTTCCGTGAGTGGATTTCTCATTTGTACCCGCAAGCTCACCTGACCTCTTTTTCCTACGCTCTTCAACTTTTCACGCTCGCCAGCAACTCAACTTCAAAGAACTTCCACACTCCCAAGACTATTCTCAAAACAAGAACATCTCCCCCACCAACATCACCATCTCTCAAAATGGCACAAAAAGGCATGACCTGGGATCGTACGTCTACCGTAAACCCTTGAGCTCATCAAATACTAACACTCAGATCGCGACAGCCGCCGCCGACCGCAAGCTCCTGCTCGGCATCCTGAAGCTGCAAAACATCTCCGTCGACTTCGCGGCTATGGCTAAGTACATGGCTACTGATGGTCAGGTGTGCACCGCTGGCGCCGTGCAGAACCGTTTGAAGAAGCTGAAAGCTATGGCTAGGGATGGGTGAGTTGTGTACAGTACTCTCACGCCCGATTAAACGGATATACTGACGTCTTTGCAGTGTTTCTGGCGATGACGAAGCCACTCCCAAGGCGAAGAAAACCCCCAAGAAGCGTGGCGCTGCAGATGATGCCGATGACGAGAGTCCCACGAAGAAAGCCAAGGGCGGCGCGAAGGGCAAGGGAGGCAAAGCCAAGGTCACGGAGGTCGAGGATGATGTTGATGACGAGGAGGTGGAGATGGAGGAGAAGGTCAAGGAGGAGGAGGTTGAGGATGATTTTGATGACGAGGAGGTGGAGATGGAGGAGAAGGTCAAGGAGGAGGAGGTTGAGGATGATTTTGAGGAGTAGGTGTGCTGGGTGATGGACCGCACTGCGACGTCTTCCGCGAGCGACCAGGACCTCTACGCTGCGACGGTGAGCTGAAGAGATAGCTCAATCAATCACTCCTTCAGGAGGCTCCGCGAATGATCTGGCCCCCAAGCCCCGCGACCACGCCCCCAGATCAAGGATGCACCTCTTTCGTACCTGACTCCCTTCGCGCCCGGTCACATGCCAACTTGCGATCTTACAGTGAGTTCTCTCACCGGATACACCCGTTTCTCTTCGACATATGGCTTTGATCACCTGCTGTTCCTTCCTAATCCAGTGATGCAGGGGAAAGACACGAAACACTTGCACGAGCTAATTGCGGATCAGGTGGTTGGCCTTGGCGACGCTAACGGCAACTTTGCCTCGAGGCTGGCCTTTGCCATTGTGTTATGCTGCCTCACTCACCAGATACCTAGCATTGCTGCTTTGGCCCAGCAAGACTCTTGAGCAGTACAGCAGGCTTGGTCACTACACCAGCATCATCCTACTCTACAGGTTGGTTCAACAGCTCGGCGCTCTCTCACACCCACTCCTCGCGCAGACTCCATACTCAAGCATCGCAGCGCGCTGTGACTGCTAAGTGGTGAATGCATTGAGCTCTCGCGCTGTCGCGCAGCAATCCCACTCACGCAACCACATTCAACCTGCGGTCGCGCACCAACATTCACACATCTTCTCCTTTCTTCGTTGAACACTTACGAGCTCACATCTACAGACAATATGGACCCTGACAACTCCTCCGACGATGACTACGAGTACGACGAAGGTGCAGGCGAGGACGTGAAGCCCGGCCAGAAGAAACAGCGCAAGCCCGCCGTCGGTCGCAGACTCATCCGCTGGAGCCGTGAGTCGCGAATGCCATAACAACCAGGCTGCCACTGACATGACCACAGCGGATATGGATCAGCTTCTCCTCCTCACAGTCGACAAAGTGTGTGCTAGGCTCGGCACGCCGATTCCATGGGACAAGGTTGCTGTCGAGATTGAGCCATTCTTGAGTGGCGAGGCAATCAAGCAACACCTAGCCAAAGTCACGAAGAACCGCATAAACGAGGGACGTCGCGTGCCGGAGATGCTGGAGAAGGGTGCGCGTCGCAAGATGGCAACGCTTCCTCCCGAGCCCATCACTCCTGCGCGCAGCGTCAGCAAGAAGCAGAAGACGAAGAAAGAGGATGAGGTGGTCGATACGCCGACAAAGAGAAGTGGCCTGTTGTGGAACGCCACGCCCAAGAACAAAGCCATCAAGAAAGAAGACACTGATGAGGATTCTGCTCCCAAAACGCCGTCAGCCAGCGCTGGAGGACGCAAGAAGTCCAAGAACAACGTCCGCGAAAGCACTGTCGACGACTCCATCGAAACCAAATCCACCGGGAAGCGCGCGCGCAAGCCGAAGAAGAGTGTGAGCGTTGTGGACGACGAGGACGATGAAGCCAGCTTCGGCTCGCCAGCAAAGAAGCAGAAGGTCGGCGTCCGTCGCTCCGTCAAGAAGATCAACTACAATGAGCACCTCTCAGACGACGACGTCTTCGGCGATGCGAAGCAGGAAGAGCACAATGATGACATCTACGAACAACCAGAGTCTGAGTTCGCCGCTCCAGCGCAGGTGGACTGGGCAGCAATTCCACTCGCGCCTGTGGGCTCCAAAGGACTTATGCGTGCAGAGTGGGCGCACAAGGGGAACGGATCTTCGAAGCAGACTCAAGGCAAGGCCAGGGCCAACGCTGGTTTCGCTCACCGGGCTCATCGTCATGCTCATGCGAACATCGCTGTGACAGGACAATCGGCAGACATCTCCAGTCCGATTCCCAACACTCCGGGCAAACCGAAGAAAACATCTTCGCACACGACTGGAAGATCCATCACGTCAGGCGTCACCCTCTCTCCGGAGGAGACTCCGAAGAAGCACCGTGCGCACACCAACGTGCCAGCAGCCATGAATGAGGAGGAAGAAGTGGAATTTTCGGCTTACGACGACCATGGCCACGGCGTTCTGCTTCCCGAGGCGAACATGATGGGGGATTTCAGCTACAATGCCCACAACCCAGGCTTCTTCAACGTACCCGGCACCTACGGAGGTCTCCGTTTCCAGAACGGGTTGACGGCAAACGGCAATCACTTCCCACCCACTTACAACACACAACCGATGATGGGTGCGCACATGTCCACGACGGACTACAGCAGCAGCAACAGCAGCACGCTGCCTGACTTTACTGCGCACACCGCGACCAACATCGGCATGACTGCGGCAAACATGATCGCCCCGACTTCCCCGGCCATGCAGATGATCCCCGCACACGTCCAATTTGCCGCGAACCAGTTCAACTCTCATAACAATCACCACAACGGCATGGACAACTTCCATGACGGCAGCGCGTCCGACAGCTACAATTACACTGACACCGCCGGCGTAACGCCGTCCATGAATGACGCCAACTTCGATTCTTTCGACTCGCAGCCCGCTTTGCACGCCACTCAATCAAGCAGCATGTCCTCCGCCTCTGGCTCTCCAACCGCCGAGGCCAGCGACGCATTCGCGCAAAGCATGAGCGACAGCTTCGATTCCTCAAGCGATGGGCTTGTTAAGCAGTCGGAGGGGATGAAGATCCATGACCACGAGAAACCTTTCGATCCGATGCTGTATCAGCAGGAGGAGCCTGATGATGTTTTTGCGGATTTGGGGGAGTATGAGCATGACGAAGAATTGGCGAAGGAGCTTGGGTTGATACTTGGCTCGTAGAGATGGTGCTCTGTTGGAGAGCTGAGTCTGGGCTTGGGACAACGGGCATGCGGCCCCGCTATCACTGGAACGCGGCGGGTGGTCTTGAGGGAAAGGGATGGATGTGACACTTGGGATTTGAGCGATGTGATGTGACAAACGAGATCAATGAGGCATATGGACTAGACGGAGGCATCGGTCTCTGCAAGTCCTCGAGTATATAGTCTCCCAAAGCCACAATGATAACTGCATACCGCGCCCTCCCTCAATCCAAGTCCATCAATGACGTCCCCCTGCCGCAACGCCTTTCACATGCTAGTCACATGCTCGGCGGCTAAACCTCGCGTGCACTTCCAAGGGGTTATATACATTTCCCGCGTCCCCGCACTTCAGCCGCAAGTAAGTGGTTAGAGAGAAAACCAAAGTTTCCACAGCGCTGAGCGGATGTCCACAAACCATTCGACTCCACGCCAGCCGACGCGGCGGCCGTGAGTTGTGCCAACGGAGTTTCACTCGGTCCCCCCACAGAAATAAACCCTCCACCGGGAGAGGAAAACTGTAAGGAGAAGGGACTGGCTTTTTTTGGTGGATTTGTTTTGTTTGGGCTCCGTTCAGGGGTCGCGGGTTCGAGTGGTGTAGTTCGCTTTTTTGTTTGTTTTGCCCCTGCGGTGTGAGTTCGAGTGTTCGATCAGGATGAGTCGAGCTAGATAATAATCACATCTGAATTGTTTTCCACCAATTTGTGTGCTCGCGCGGGCGTTTTGCTTTCTGTAGCTGTCGTCATCCTTCCGGCCTCCGGCTAAACCTCGTCACATCTTTCACGAGCATATCAACTGTATCTGCGCTCTCACACCTTATCCCTCCACTTCAGCGCGTGACCAAAGGCTGAAGTGGTTGGTGCCCCTCCCCCCTTTGAAGTGTTAACCAATAGGTCAGCGCGGAGGATGGTGGAGGACGGAAGGGGGGTGGAGGATTTCCTTACTCTCTTTCTTTCCTTACTTTCTCTCTCTCATTACTGCTAACTCTAGGCGCCGCCCTACCAAGAAGACAAAACCAGGCTCCATGAAAGTCCCGCGAGGGATGAATGTGCGCAGCTGAGTTTCGCTTCACCTCAAACAGGGTTTCGTTTTTGATGTCTTTTTTCGCCACCAGCCCGCAGGGTCAGGGGTTCGAGTGTTGGATGGTGATTTTTCAATCAAGATGAGTCGAACTACATAGTTTTTGTCTTCTTTTCTGGACTTGCTGCGATTATCGCTGCTCGTCGTATTCGAACAATGCGACGTCGTTGATATAGACTTTTCGCAAGGCTGCTGGGATTACCTTACTCAGCGCCGGTGGAGAAGGTCGCATCCTCCATCCGCTCCTCCACATCCCTCCACAAATCTCACCAGAGACATCATTCAACACCGCGAAGCAGCGTCTACAACCACTCATTCCAGTCAATGCTGATAGCCAACAAACATGAGCGCATCAAAGGCTTCAAACGCAACCGCTGGCGCCAGCTCGGGCATCAAGCGGCCGAATTTCCTCGTTATCCGTCAGTCCTGTTTTATCTGACTCTCACCTATTTGAAAAAGGAAAGACTGACACCGCGGGGCATGCAGTCGCCGATGATCTAGGCTTCAGCGACATCAGCTGCTTCGGCGGCGAAATCCGCACCCCGAACCTCGACAAACTCGCCGCCAATGGCCTGCGCTGGACAAATTACTACGCTGCGGCCGCCTGCTCGCCTTCCCGCGCCATGCTGCTGACAGGTACTGATCACCATATCGCCGGTCTGGGGAATTTGATCGAGTGGACGAATCGCAGCGACCAGAACGCCCCTAGCGAGGGCGAGGTCAAGCACTGGTCTACTGCCCCTCAGCGCGGCATGCCGGGCTACGAAGGCTACTTGAATGAAAAAGTCGTCACGCTGCCTGAGATCTTGCGTGATAATGGGTACCTGACGCTCATGGCGGGAAAGTGGCATTTGGGCTTGACGCCCGAGCGATTCCCTGCTCAACGCGGGTTTGAGAAGAGTCTGGCGCATTTGCCGGCTTGCAGTAACCATTATGGCTATGAGCCGCAGCGGAGTGGCGGAGGCCCGGAAGATGAGATTCCGGAGTTCATGACGATGAGCTTTATTGCGTTGCATGCGGAGGATGGGGAGTATGTGAAGGGATTGCCGCCAGGTTGGTATAGTAGTGATGGGTATGGGGATAAAATGCTGGGATATCTGAAGGAGAGGCACGAGGGCGGAGATGAGAGGCCGTTCTTTGCATATCTGCCTTTCACTGCTCCGCACTGGCCGCTCCAGGCGCCCGATGAATTGATTGCGCATTACAAGGGGATGTATGATGATGGGCCGGATGCTTTGAGGGCGAAAAGGCTGCAGCGGATGAAAGAGATGGGGCTGTGCAAGGCTGACATTGAACCGCATCCCGTGGTAGCGGATGAGACGAAGAAGTGGGAGGAGATGAGTGCGGAGGAGAAGGCAAAGAGCGCCAAAGCTATGGAGGTATTTGCCGCGATGGTGGAATCGATTGATGCGAACGTGGGCAAGGTCGTGGATTACCTCGAGGCGACGGGCGAGCTGGACAACACACTGGTCTGCTTCATGAGCGACAACGGGGCCGAAGGGGCTGCGTACGAGGCGTATCCGATTGTGCATGCGACTAGTATGCTCGGACATTTAAAGAAATACTACGACAACTCTCTGGAGAATCTCGGACGAGGCAACAGCTTCATATGGTACGGACCGCGATGGGCGCAAGCCGCCACGGCCCCAAGCAGGCTGTACAAAGCCTTCACGACCGAAGGCGGCGTCCGAGTACCCATGCTCGCCAAGTTCCCGAAAAACATGACCCTCCCCGCGGAAGGCGAAGCCCTCAGCTCCGGCATCGTGAACAACGCAACGAAGGACAAAGCAAGCATCACGAACGCCTTTAGCACCATCATGGACTGGACGCCTACAATCCTCGAAATGGCAGGCATCCAACACCCCTTCCCCACCTACCAGAACCGATCTGTAGTAAACGTCCGCGGGAGAAGCATGCTCCCCTACCTCCGCGGCGCCGCCCCCTCCATCCACCCCGCAGACCACATCACAGGCTGGGAAACATGCGGCCGCGCGGCCGTGCGCTGCGGCGACTACAAGATCGTCTTCATCCCCAAACCCAAAGGCCCAGAAAAGTGGCAACTCTACAACCTCGCGCAGGACCCGGGGGAAGTGCACGATCTCGCCGCCGCCGACCCGCAGCGCCTCGAGCGCATGATCAAAATGTGGGATCAGTATGTGCTGGAGACGGGCGTGATCCCGCTTGCGCCGGCGCTGGGGAACTGGATGGAGGCGATGGAGGCGCAGATGCCGGAGGATGCGTGGATGGAGTATGAGTACTGGAAGGACGGGGCGAGGGAGGCGCCGGAGCAGTTTCGGCGGGAGATTCCGAGATTTACACGCGAGGTCAGGGCGTTGTGATGAGGTTGTTGCATACAGTGCGGTAACAGTACACGATACAGTCAGGACTGACGGTCGGGCTTTGCCGACCGTGTTCCAGCCTGTTCTCGCCACTTCGTACCCGACACGATTACCAATTGCCGTGAGATGCCTGTCGAGGTGCCTTGGCGAATTGGGCTTGTCGTATTCCAGACTGCGAGCTTGGCATGCACACTCCACTCGTACCACGTGCAGGAAATGTGGCAGAACAAAGCGGAGCAATTTTCGACCCCAAGGAAGTGATCTGGATTTGCGCGCTTTGACGTGGCGATTTTCGGATGGCAAGAGTGGAGAGTGGAACCAAGCGTGTAAGGTATTTTTCTTCAATACACGAGCTGAGATAGGAAACCGCACACGGGCGACGACATGGCGAGTTTCGCACGCTTACCGTCGGCCGCTTCGTTGTTCAGCGGCTCACCTGTCATGGCTTCTTTTGCGCAACTTGGACAGCGATCTTCGCATGAAAAGGCATACGGTGGGCAATTGCTTGTGGATCGTATCGGTGAGGCCGAGGAGGACTGGTGGGAATTGGCGTCGGGGTGTGGAGCACGTATGTGGAACGAGCGGGCGCGCGCGCGCGCGTGCTCATTTACTCCTTTTGGCAGTGGCGGCAACGGCAAAGAAGGAAAATGTTTTCATCATCAGCTGCGATCACGATTTTTTTTTCCCTTACTTCATCGCGCGGCTGCGCGTGTTGATGTTTGCGCTTTGAATCTTGGGTGCGGAATGGCCGGCGTCGGCTCTTCTATCGGGTGGTGGCGGCGATTGGGCGGCGGAGTGGGTTCCCATGTGGGACGAAAACGCCGCCGGGGTGGGTGGTGGAGTCTTTTGTGCGGCTGCGTTTCGATGTGCCTCGGTCGGGCGTGATACGGTAAGACCTGACACGGGGGGCGCGGAGGTGGAGGCGGAGGCGGAGGTGGCGATGGAAGTTCTTTCATCAGAAGCCTCCACCTTGTCCAGCGCTGTTACTGTGTATAGATCTGCAGCGGTAGACCGGCAACGGTAGACAACTTACTCGATGCGGGCAGACAGCTCTCCGATAGCGCGTTTGGGGTGTCGATCACCGCAGAAGTCCGCCTGGGCGCCAGCTCCTCGTTACGAGCCGAACCGTTTCGAGCCGTGCGCGTGGTCAAATGATCGAAATTAGGCATGCATGGGGATGCGCGGGAGGGCAGAGGTGCGCGTGCCGAACACCCGGACTACCGTCCCAAGAATCGCTTGCGCAAAGACAACAATAGAAATGTTGGGGAAGCGATGGGAGATGAGAGTGGCATCCGTTATACAGCGGAGCCCCCAGGGTGACATCCGCGCTTCTTCTGGAAGTGCGGGAGAAGGGGGTTGTTAGGAAGGGGCGTGTGTCGCTCGGTGCGATGCAACGGTAGAGTGGTGGTGAAGCACACGATCGATACAACGTCGCATCTCCCACGCTCACTCTTCCTGCCGTTCTGAGTAATAAGCTTGATGGTGATGGAGTAATTTCGAGCCGTCCAGATGCGCACGCAACCCCACTCGCCCGCCCACACTTCCAGACTGTCAGCAACGTGGAGTGTGTGTTGACATGGTTCGGGAAATATTTGTAAATAATGAGGCTATTGTTGTCATCGTCATAGACGGGGAGTCGATGGCAAAACCCGCCAAGCCCCCATCGCTTCGCTCCGCCGCCCGATCGCGCTTGCCTCGACGATTGCGCGACGGTTCGGCAGAGAGAGGGGACCAAGTATACAGTAGCGTACTGGCGGTAGGAGAGAGACAGCGCGCCCACACGGGTAGCTAGGTAGGTGCAGTACAACAGTACGCGATGGAGTGGAGCAAAGACGGCGGCACGGCGGACGAGCAGGCGCCTAATCGGGCCGGTAGCGGACAGTCTAGACCAAGATGGCTTGTAGCGCCGAGCGACGATCGTGAGAATCGCTGTCTCTCATCTCACACCAAACGTGCAAATTAGCAGATGCCGCCCGTTTGACAAAGCGAAGCTGACTGCCAAGCAGCGAGGGGAAAATTCTGCCCGGTGTGGAATGTGCCTTTGGGCGCCACGGCAACGACGGGGGCCAGCTTGCAAATGCCGTGTTTGGCCAGGCCGGGCTCGCTGTATGGCAGGCGGGCTGAAATGATTAATGAGGGCGGAAACGAATGCGACGTGGGCACACACCCAGGCTCCAGGGGGGCGTGCCGCTCGCCTCGGCTCCACCACCTGCTCGTCCTCAGCCCGTCGAGGGCAAGTCGCGCGCCCTCATCTTACTCACACACACCTGCAACAACGAGGCAGCTCTCTCCAATCCCTGCTCGGCCCTTGCAACCACGCGAACAAAAGGGTCCGAGCTGGGGAGGTGGAGAGGCGATGGCGGGCAGGGGTGTGATTGGCGATTGGCGGCGCGGGCCCCACGGCGATGCACACGCCCGCTCGCTAGCGCGACGCCGGCCGGTCACGCTGAACCTCATGCTCGGCACGTACCACCAGATGGCGCCCTCCCCCGGCCCCTTGGGTTGCAGATGCCCTGCAGCAGCTGCCGTGGAGACCCTCGGAATTTAGCTTCGCCGCCGCACCCCCGCAACGATTGTTTTAATACATCCCTCGCCCTCGCCCGGTCTCGTGTCCACCTCGCGTTGCTCTTCCTCGTCTTCTCTTCCCCTCCCCGCAATCTGCTTTGCGTGCCCCCTTCTCCTCTACCCTCTGCATAGCTAGACTACTGCCAACCGCAATCATGCCTGGCGGCGGCGCAGTCCTCGCCGCGACGTCGGATATCAACCGCGTCGAGGCCCCGACGACATGGAAGACGTACTTGATGTGCGTCTTCGCGTCGTTCGGCGGTATCTTCTTCGGCTACGACTCCGGGTACATCAACGGTGTCACCGCTGACAACTACTTCATCCACTCCGTTCAGCCCAACACCCCTCTGACCCGTCCCGATGGCGTGGCCACCACTCTCACCGGCCCCAACCAGTCGCTCATCGTCTCCATCCTCTCTGCTGGTACTTTCTTCGGCGCCCTCATTGCTGGCGATCTTGCCGACATCATCGGTCGCAAGTGGACCATCATCATTGGCTGCGGTATCTACATCGTTGGTATGTCATCTTGCCGTATCCCACTTTCCTCCGCATTTTTTCTAACCCCATACCTCAGGTGTCATTCTCCAGGTCGCCCAAACCTCTGGTATCGGTCTCATCGTCGCTGGTCGTCTGATTGCTGGTTTCGGTGTCGGCTTCGAGTCCGCCATTGTCATCTTGTACATGTCCGAGATTGCCCCGCGCAAATTCCGAGGTGCCATCGTGTCCGGCTACCAATTCTGCATCACCATCGGTCTGATGCTTGCGTCTGCCGTCGATTACGCCACCTCCAAGCGCACCGACCGCGACCAATACCGCATTCCCATTGCCATCCAATTCGTCTGGGGTGTCATCCTTGGTGTTGGTCTGATCTTCCTCCCCGACTCGCCCCGTTTCTTCGTCAAGCGCGGCCGTGTCGAGAAGGCGCGTATTGCCCTCGCCGCCGTGCGCGACCAGCCCGCAGACTCGGAATTCGTCGAGGCCGAACTCGCCGAAATCATTGCCAACGAGGAGTATGAACGCCAAATCATCCCCAGCGGCAGCTGGGCCAAAGGCTGGATCAACTGCTTCACTGGCTCCCTCTGGGAGGCCAAGTCCAACGTCCGCCGTACCATCCTCGGAACGTCGCTGCAGATGATGCAACAGTGGACCGGTGTCAACTTCATCTTCTACTTCTCCTCCACCTTCCTTGCCTCCACCGGCGCCGTCTCCAACGTTTTCTTGACCTCCTTTGCCTTCACCATCGTCAACGTCGGCTCCACCCCGATCTCTTTCTACACCATCGAGAAGTTCGGCCGTCGCCCGTTGCTCGTCTGGGGTGCCTTGGGCATGTTGATCTGCCAGTTCCTCGTTGGCATCATCGGTGACACCGTCGGCTTCAACCACTCCCACATTGTCAACGGCGCCACGCGCGCCAACAACGTCTCCGCCGTCGATGCGCAAATCTTCTTCATCGCCCTCTTCATCTTCATGTTCGCCATGACCTGGGGTCCGGGCGCGTGGGTGGTCATCGGCGAGATCTTCCCGCTCCCCATCCGCTCCCGTGGTGTCGCCCTCTCCACCGCCTCCAACTGGCTCTGGAACACTATCATCACCGTCATCACCCCCTACATGGTCGCGCCGGACGAGGGCAACCTCAAGTCCAACGTCTTCTTCATCTGGGGCGCTCTGTGCACTGGCGCCTTCATCTACGCCTACTTCCTCATTCCCGAGACCAAGGTAAGCGCGGCATCCCTCATCCCCTTCTCTCCGAGTTTTTCTCTAACATGACATCCACAGGGCCTCACCCTCGAGCAAGTCGACAAGATGTTCGAGGAGACCACCCCGCGTACCTCGTCCAAGTGGAAGCCCACCACCACCTTCGCCTCCGAAATGGGCATCAAGGAGGGCGAGAAGCTCGACCAGGCCGTCGTCGGCGACGTCGAGCGCCGCGGCTCCGCCTACTAGAAGAGAGACGCACACAGCCCCTCGCCATGAGAAAACTCCCCTATACCCCCGCGCGCTTCGGAGAGCGAGTGTGTTGCTGAGCGGAATCATGCGAAGTCGTGTCGTCTGCTTTTAGTATCGTTGCTGTCGCTGTGGTCGTTTGCTGCGCTCATTTTCCTCTCTCTCTCGCTTTTTATCTGGCTGGGTGTTCGGTGCGTGTGTAATGAGGTGTGGCCTTTTGCAGATCTGTGGTGATTGCAAGGGGAGTGGTGGATGGATGCTCGGCACTTAGGTAGATGCGAGAGAGACGAAATGAATCCCCTCATTTTCCAACCACTTTGATCGTCTTCTCAGCTCTTGCTTATCGTGCGCGGTGTAAATTCATCCCTCACGTGACCATATCCTCACGTGCAAGTTTTGTCAGTCATCCGCGCCCGGGCCCTCGGGAGACTCATCCATCCCCGTGAGCCGCATGCACTCCGTCCATGAGTGCATCTTGAAGAAAGTTGAACGAAAGCTCCCAAATAGTGCGACAGAACGTCTATATAAGCTCAGCCAATCCCTCCGGTTACTTTTCGCATCGCCTTCAAGCTTATCTCTGCCATGAGTCGCCAACACGCCAAACATTCCGGGGGGTCAACCGCGCCCCGCCGGGCCTTATCTGTGTGGGGGGTGGTTGGCACCGGGCGATATGACTTGCAGGTTGGGAAGGAGTCTAGAAGATTACTCTTTTGGGAGGTGGAGGTGGGAGGATGTTGTGAAGATAAGTGGTTCTTTTCTAGTGGGGGGGTTTGGGATGGGAGAGGCACCTCTACCTTTTGAGAAGGTGTGATAAAAGTCAACCACATACCCCTCTCCACCCAATCTCAACCTACGACCTAACCTCCTCAGCCTTATGCTTAGGCCTCTCCACCACCTCCCCCTCCTTAGGCAACTTCGGCCCCGGCCCGCCCCTCGCATCCCCCGCGGCGCGCCCCTTGGCCTTCACGCTCGTCGAGTCTTTCGGCAGCTCCTTCACGTAAGGCAGGAACTCGGGCTGGCCGGGAATGTACTTGCGCAGGACTTGCGGGACCTCGATCCCGTCTTCGCGCTGGTAGTTTTCGAGGACGCAGCAGAGGGCGCGCTCGGTGGCGCAGAGGGTGGAGTTGAGGGCGTGGCAGTAGGATTTTTGGAAGGAGGCGTCGGTTTGCTTTTTTTGGCCGAAGCTGCGGGAATTTGTGTTAGAATCAGATAGGGATGTTGAGGGGCTTTGGGAGGGCTTACCGAATCTCGAGCTCTCTCGTTTGGTAATCGGTGCAGTTTGAGCAGGACACCAGCTCCTTGTACTCGCCCTGAAAGGGGAACCAGGCTTCCAAATCGTACTTCTTCGCCGCAGCATTGTTCAACGCGCCCGACACAATCCCCACCACGCGATACGGCAGGTTGAGGCTCTTGTAAAACTCCTCCGACGTCCCGATCATCTCGTCGAAATGCTTCCAGCTGTCCTCCGGCTTGCAAAAGACAAACTGCTCAATCTTCTCAAACTGGTGCACGCGGAAAATGCCCCAGGCGTCTTTGCCGTGCGAGCCGGCCTCCTTGCGGAAACACGTGCTGTACCCGGCGTACTTGATCGGCAGGTCTTTGTCGTTGAGCCATTCGCCCTCGTGCAGCGCCGAGATGGGCTGTTCCGAGGTGGCGATGAGGTACTTGTCGCTCGCCGGATCGTTCTCCTTCTCCGTCACTTTGTACAGCTCTTCGTCGAATTGCTCCAGCTGCGCCGTCTTGGCCATCTGGTCGCGCAGCATGAAGAACGGCGGCTGGTTGGGCGAGTAGCCCTTGTTGAAGAGGAATTCGAGGCCGTAGTTGACGAGCGCGAGGTTGAGGAACAGCCCGTACCCCGTGAGACAGTAGCCTCTGTGGCCGACGATTTTGACGCCGCGCTCGGGGTCGTAGCCCGCGAGGCGCGTGAGCACCTCGTGGTGTGAGAGGCAGTCCTTCTTCTCCACCTTCGTGCCCTCGGGCGTCCACGTGCGCACGAGCTCGTTGTTCGCCTCGTCGTCCGACACCGGCACGGAGGCGTGCACGTAGTTGCCTATGCCCTTCACCTTCTTCATCAGCGCCGCGTATTTCTGCAGCGCCAGCTCCTCCAGCTCCTTCTTCTCCTTCTCCAGCGCATCCTTTTGCGCCATCAGCGACTTGAACTCCTCCGGGTCGCCCTTTTTCTTCTTGTTCTCGCCCATGTCTTTCTTGACTTTGTTGATCTTCGCGCCCATGTCTGTTGCCGCCTCGTACTGCGTTTTGCGGTGGTCTTCGAACATGGCAATCACCTCGTCCACCACTGCTTCGGGCGCATGCCGTTTTCGTTGTGACTCCTTGATCTTGGCTGGATCACCGCCTCGCTCCTTGATAAAGTCGTTTACGTCCAGCATCTTGGCGAGTGTTCAATGGGTCAATAAGGCTCAAGCCCGGTGGGAGAGAGCTCGGTGGGTGCGTGTGATTTGGAAGGCGGTGTGCGGTTGTGTTTGCCGGCCGATGTGGCTGTGAATGTGGATGGGTAAGTCGAACACAGAGAGCTTCTGCTAACGGTGGCGCAAGGGAGGTGTACAATGCTGGTAGTGGGCGGAATGAGCAATGGGTTGTGTGACTCGTTTTGGCGGTGACTGCACTGAATTTCAGCGAGGTTGCCCAATCGGGAAATTCGCCAGCTCCCGCCAAACTCAGGGTCTTCAAACTGGATACAGCACTCTGTCCTGCGAAACAATACAAATCAGGATCGGAGGATTGTGATCCACAAGCGGAGGTATGGTACAGTGACGGAGTATAGCAAGACAGATCAATCTACGGTCTATCAATGATTAATCTACGATCGCAACATCCATCTCTCCATCCTCCACAGCACCCTTGACCTCCTCCACCTCCCACCCACGCTGCGCAAGCACAAACTTCAACGTCTCGCTGAACGTCTCTCCATTATTGACAAACCAGTCGCCGACCACTTCCTTCACATATGCGTCCACTTGCCGCTTCAGCTGACACTCATCCCGGAGAAGCAACAATTGTGCGGGATCCAGCTTCATCATATCCTCAACCACGTAGTAATGGCTAATGTCGTCACCCCAGCCTTCACTTCCGGGTTCGTGCCAGCGTGATGGCTGCAGGCGGCTGTTATACCTCGAAGAGCCGTATGCGGAATTGTAGAAGCCAAAGTCGGGGACGAAGGTGGATGGCGCGGGCGGGTAGTTCAGATGGATGTTGAACAGGATCTGATGGTTGGATTCCGGGAAGCGCTTTTGGAATTGATGTCGGATTTTGCCGTTAGAAGGGCAGATGGTGTTGGCGACAAGGTCTCGCATGATGCGGTGCGCGTCGAGCATTTCGGCCAGCTCGACAGTGGAGAAATTGTGCAAGAGAGCTGCGCGCTCGCGCACGACCTCGGGGATGCAACGGCAGGTCCGCACGTGCGTTGGGTTGTGAAAGGCCTTTGTGAACAGCCAGAGCCTGTAGAGAGCGCGTCGGAACAGGTAGCGCTCGGAGTTGGTGAGCAGCCGGCGGTTGGCAAAGTCGTTCTTCCACTTCCGCAATTGATATATCTCTTCCCAGCGCTGCGCAACACGGCCGACTTTGAGTATCTGCTGGAGAAGAGCGTCGGAGAGAGGCACGTCACGGTGCACGTGAGCGGGCTGAGATGCGTTGTGGGAGATCAATTGGACAGCATCGTCGAGGGGTCCAAACTCGGCTTCGGCGGCTTGGTTGAGGATAATGAGCTTCTTGGACGACCGGTAGACGTAGTGGAATCGATGGCAGGTCGAAGCAAGGGCATGTACCGATGAAACGGTCGGTAGAGAAAGGAAGACCTGGGTGACGATCTCGGTGGGAAGAGTGTCGAGATACATCCTGGCGATGCAAAAAGAGATGCGATTCGGCTTTTGTCACAGCCCTCCTCGTACCACAAGACTCCCCGACAAATCAGCACTCCCACTCCTTCTAGTGTCTTGATACGAGATCAGACTCAAGGCCGGACAACGGAGGCTGCCGGGCGGTGAAGGCGAGGACTAATATGCGTCGACCCCACCGTTGGGGCTATCGGAGTGAGGAGCATGTCCGTCGTGATGGGAAGTGGGCAACATCGCCTGCCCGTCTCGGGCGATCGTAGACGAGGGTATCATCGTCGTGCGTAAGAGGGAAGGGAAGGGAAGGAGGCGATGAGTCGGATGAGGTCAAGCACGCCCCCAACTCTAAAACATCCCCAGCCGCCGCTAGTGTGGCGGCTAGCGCGTTTTAGGAAGCTGTGCTTGATACCGAGTCGGGGGTGAAGTGTACACCGCTCCTCATCTGTGCGCTTTCTATCGTGGTCCATTGAAGCGTCATCTTGGATACCGTCATGGATCATGGCCACTTCAATTGTCGAGACTACTACGTCTCTCCGCATTTTGCCGCGCCGACCATCGTCACAGAGACAACGACGCCGGCAGTCTACCGCCATGAATCTTTCGATGAACTCGAACGCCGCTCTCGCTCGCCAGAAGCAGACAAACCCAAGTTTCCGCTCATGAGACTGCCATTGGAGTTACGGCAACACATTCTAAGCTTCCTGCTGCCGCACACCCAGGAATTCAAGGACTCCGGCCGACTTAGCGAACACGTTCGGAACTTCTCGGCCGTCAGGAACCGCGGAGCAAGAGGCATGCCCGTCCCTACCGGAGACACGACTCAAGCAACAGCCAGCAATGTCGTTTGGCAACGGGGCAACATTAACGTCATGTCCGTCTGCAAGCAGCTTCACGACGAATGTGCCGAGCTTGTGTACGGACGCAACACTTTTCTCCTATTCATAACCTACCGAGGCATCCAATGGCGCTACCGCTGGCTCCTGCCGAGCGGTCTCGCCCCGTACAAAAGCTACACTTTCCTGGAGATTCTGCCACAGCAGTACATGCGACTGATCAAGCGGGTGGTGGTGTACGTCGATCACGTGGATAGCTACATGGGGATGATCAAGTTCAACGTCGGGGGCAAAGGGCTCATCCACGGACTCAAGAGACAAGTGCAGCGGCTTGCAATTGCGCTTGGAGCCGGCCAGCAAGACTCAGGCGATGAAACGGATGCTGACCGGCGCCTCGCGAAGATCAGTATTGTGCTCGAGAGCTCGCAGCCCCAGCGTGGTAGAGGTACTACGGATTCATCGAAAGACTTGCAGGACATCTTGGAGCCTTTCAGCTACTTGAGAGGCGTTCGCCATGCTACTGTCGGAGGAGCTGTGAGTCCTCAATTCGCTGAGGAGCTCATTCGGACGATGAAGAGCACGGAGCCTTGTGCTACGATGGTCAAGTCTCTGTTGGACGAGGGCATGTCGACTTCGAATGAAGCCGGTGGTGTGCAGCTCTGTGTGTACGGAAACGACATCTAGCAGCGTGATGCATTAACGGTCTGGTCCTGGGACTGGGATTCAGCTGTTTTAACTAGGTAAACACTGCAGCAGCCTTCTCGCTCATTAAAATACAAGGCTCCGATGTTCCGCCTGAGTGGTTCCTCTCGTGCCCCCGCAAAATGCCGAATCGCCCATCTGATGAGTCAGAGTCTCCTTGCTCTGCCGTGTGAGTCGAAGATGAGACCACTTCTCTCAATGCCTTTCCGCGCCATGTGCGTCTTCTGCTGTGTCGCAATCGTCGTTTTCCGTTGTCGAACGCCTTCAAGCCCGCCCACCCTCAGAACTCTGGGCTCGGTGACTTGGGAGTCAGTGGTTCCCCGCCTTGTGACACACCGCGTTGCAACACACCGCGTTGTGACACGAAGAGACCGCCACCATCATGATCGCTCGCGTTGCCGTCGCCATCATCATCGTCATTCTTGTTGTCGTCGCCCTGACTCCCAGCTTCCAGCTTCTCGCCCTCCTCCTCTCCTTCCTCCATCACATCCGCCACCACACCTTCATCATCCGCCTCGGCGCCCCCATCATCCATCGTTTCATCTTCCCCTTGCTCATCAGCGCCTCCAGCCTGGGGAGTAGGCTCCTTCGAAAGCTCTCTGTATCCACAGAACCTCTCCTCCAGCTCCTGCACGTGGTAGCGGAAAAACTCCAGCTTTCCACTCTCCCTAATCTTCCACGGCAGGAGTTTGATCCTCGTAATCTTTTCCTTGTACGGGTGTCTCGGAGCATTTAACCACACGCGGCGGGGATTGCGCGCAACAGCAGCGGTCTTCATGACCTCGAGGATTGACATTGGAGCCTTGAAGACACCCTGACGGACGAGGTCGAAGTACTCACGAGAACTCTTGATTAGAGCTTTGCTGAAGGTTCCGTCGATAGCGGGGACGTTGCCGCGGGCGTTGGGGACTGTTTCGCCTTTGCTGAAGATTTCCGTGTTGCCGTGCGTTGCGACTTTGCGCTTCCATTTCAGGGCGCGGGTTGGCATCCAGCAGTCGAGAATAAGGAGGCAGTCTGCATGGGTGCGGTTGATTTTGTGCACGAGGTTGTAAGCGCTTACTGCGCCGCGGGGATGGGCCCTCAGTAACCTGTTTGAGATTGATTAGTTGCACTATGACTGCGATGTGAAGTGGGCAGCGTATACATACCATTCCCATTTGTCTCCGAGTCCGCGCGCTCGGCCATGGAAGTAGAGGACGAGCAAATCGCCCTCGCGCTTCTCGCGCAGCTTGCCCTTCCAGAACTGGTCCCAGTCTCTCGGTCTGCTGCCTTCTGGGAATCGCAGGACGCGGACTCGATAGTTGGTATACTTGCGAAAGAATCGGGCCACTTTCTCGTTCATCTTGTAGTGCTTCAGCAGCTCTGAGTTTGTAGCATCATCTCGGCGGATTTGGTCGATGATGATGACTTCGCAGGACCGGTATTTCTCGATTTTGTAGACGCCACGTCTGTTTCTGTAACTCATGCCGTCGTCAACGGGAGCTTCGACGGGTGGATCTTCCGCTGGTGGCTCGATGGGTGGATCGTCATCCAGTGGTTGCTCGATTGGATCTTCTACTGCCGGCTCGACTGCGTCCTCCATTGCTGGCTCGATTGCATGTTCCATTGCCGCATCGAGTATTGCGTCGTCGATGTCTAGCTCGAACGGACCTTCCATTTCTGGCTCGAGTGGATCTTCACCCATATCCAGATCGAACGGCGTTTCCTCCGTGACTGTCTCCATGAGTGTTTCGCTCATTGCTGACCTGAGGTTGGGTCCTTGAGCTATCGGCCGTTTGATGTTGCAGGAGTATCCGCTTTGCAAATCTCCACTGACCCGCCTGTCGTGGAATGAAGTCAGAGCAGCAATTGAGGCCTAAATTTTGGGAAGGGAAGAAGTGCAAGTCTAGGGATGGTCCGAGACGCTTGTTTCGTGCACTTGAAGAGTGACTGAACGACTCTGGTGACGTGTGAACGTTTTCGAAGTTGACTTGTTGATTGGTGGTGGTGGATAGAGTTGAGGCTCTTCGAGAAGCAGGATGAGAGGACGTTATCAGTGCTCTGCAAGCTCTGAGAGAGCTGTAACGCCTTGACTGAGGATAAAAGAGAAGTGTTGCTTCACAGAGATTGAGATTCGAAGGTGGGAAAGAATGAAAAGGTCAGAGATGGTGGAAATGTAGTGTAAGGCCTTGATCAAACGCTCGCCATAGGAAGAAGAGGGTCAGATGAGCAGCCTCATGCTTGCCTGCGCACGTGATAAAGTCGAGTGAAGTGACTGAACTGAGGAGAGGGTGAGAGAGAGGAAGAATGAGTCTACTCATACGCGGATCCGTGCAGCACGAAATACTCGTTCTTGTGCAAGAAGGTTGTGAAGTGAATTGAGTTGTAGCATGAGCGGCAGAGACTCATTGTGCTTGGAAGAGAGGAGGCATAAAGACCTGACGCGAGACAGTGCAAACCATTGCGGAGAGTCATGTGAAGCATGAAGTCCCTCGCTGTAGTCGATCGAGGAGGTGGCCCCAGCGAACAGCCTGGATTTGCGGTGACCATGGGGATTGCATCGAGCGCAGAGTGTCAAGAGGTCTCCCGTTGACCCTGTGCAGTCATTGCAGGCTGGCAGAGATTGGGGCCCAACTCAGAAATAAGTCAGCCTCTCATGTCGTCTCTGATCGATTGCGGACATAGCGAGCCATTGCAGGAGGTAGGGCCGGGGAACTCTTGCACCGCGGCCAATCATCGAGACGCTGCGAGCCGTGCAGACTGGAACACGGCGTTTGCATCTCGATGTCCCTCCATGCCCGCCCACCACCATCGAGCTGTACTTGTAGGACAGGTAGGTGCGTTAACCGAGAAGTTGGGTCTTCCGCCATTCGGCAGGATTCGCCGTCCGAGGGATGTCGTTGCGATGAACGGAGGTAAGGTGATTGGCTGGAGATGAAGTGTCTACGGACGCCCATAACGTGGCGGAGGAATGCGCGGCCGATTTGCATACGAGATGGGGTTAGGGCCAGCCTCACGGCGTCATAATATTCGTGATGCATTCTACCTCCCCATCATGTTCACCGAAGGCTTTGGCTATAAATGTTGCCCTCGTCCTGCCAGTCTCGCAATGTCCAGTAATACACGCCGTCCTCGCATCAACTGCGGTACCATCCGGCCTTCTGCCCCTGATTGATATCACCCCAGCTTTCATCCTCCATCCAAACGTCCAACATGGCTCAGCGGTCGACATTTCTCGTCTTCGGCGCTACCGGCGGTACGGGCAAACACTTCGTCGCCCAAGCCCTCCAAGACGGCCATCGCGTGCGTGCCCTCGTCCGAGACCCGGCAAAACTCGGCGCTGCCCAATCCGACCCCAATCTCGAAGTACACCAAGGCTCCATCACCGACGCACCCAACCTCGACGAGCTAGTGCGAGGCGCGGACTACGTCGTCTCCATGCTCGGCGACAAGCACGCCCAGAGCGTGTCGAAAATTGACACCGCTTTCGTCAAGCAATTGGTCCCGGCCATGCGGCAACACGGCGTCAAACGCTTCCTCTACCAAGCTGGTGGTCTCAGCAAACCCTACAACGGTTACACCCCCTGGTCCATCTGGGTCTTCAGGACTTTCTTCATCTCATCGTTTAGAGGCCAGCACGAAGATAACGAAGCCGTGATGGTGTATCTCGCAACGGAGGCCACAGACATCGAATGGATTGTGCATCGCGCGGGCATCATTGGCGATGGGCCGTCGAAAGGCACGCTGCAGCGCTCAACCACCAGTCCCAGCATTGGAGTCTTTCGCGATTGTGCTGAGTATAGCCATCGTCTTATCAGGGAGTCTGCTGCTATTCATACGAGCGACTTTAGCCACTACGTGAAAGCCTGAGGAAGAGAATGGAAGGCACGACTGAATCCGCCGACATGCTGACTCCAACGAGCTAGATGCACTTGCCTCTGCATATCGGCCGATGACCACTTCCTTGTTTGGACAAGTGCAGGAATACAGAAAGATCGATGGTCACATCTGAGGAGCATCAGCGTCGACATTGGTGTTCAACAATGTACGCCACATCGCAAATGACCGTCTGAAGCTCTTCTCCCTCTCCCGTCTCTCTCTTTCTCGTTGTGATACTTTCCTCTCCTGTTATTCCTGAATATCACATCAAAATCATAGCGACATCGCCATTGCCCCCAATGGCATACCCGAAACCATCGGCCGAACCGAAGTCCACGAATGAAATGCCGATGAGACAAGTCACCTGGGGCCGCGCAAGCAAGGCCGGGCTAACTACCAGTATCGGCGCCCTCTTCATGGTAGTGTCTGCACCTCTCTGGGTCCACCTCGACTGGATAGCACTGGAGTATTTCGACGCATCTCTCACGACCACCCTCCGCGCGCTCATGTCCAAAGGCCCCATCACCTTCGTTCAAGAATACTCTCCACACCCATCCTATCAAGCAGCACTCGGCTACACGGCGTGGCTCGCTCTCCAATCGCTCCTGTACAGCTATCTACCTGGGCCGAAATGCTTGGGCCAACGCACCCCTGGCGGACATCAGTTGTCGTACACAACGAATGGACTGACGGCGTGGTACATCACGCATATTGCTTTCCTAGCTGGGGCCCTTCTTGGTCTTTTGGATCCGGCGAGTATCGCGAAGCATTGGCAGGGACTACTCGTCGCTGCTAATGCGTATGGCTTTGCGTTGGCAGTCCTTGCTCCACTGAAAGGGTATTGGTGTCCGACTTATCGTGAGGATTGCAAGATCAGCGGTGAGCAACACCCGTAGATCTGCTTCGTACGAGGAAAGCTGAGTGTATGAACAGGCTCTTGGATGTTTGATCTTTAGGCAGGCGTAAGCTTAGACTTCTCTCGCTTTCTCGATCGTGGTTGTTGACGGCTCTGTTAGGTCGAACTGAATCCGAGGATTGGGAAACACTATGATCTCAAGTTCTTCCACAATGGCCGACCGGGTATTGTAGCCTGGACATTGATGTCAGTCATTCCGTACAGATGTCGTCTAAGGCGCGCTGACGCCTCACAGCAACTTCTCGTGGGCCGCATACCAACGTGAACGACTCGGATACGTGACCAATCCAATGCTCCTCGTCATCGCCCTGCAAACCCTCTACGTCGTCGACTTCTTCATCAACGAAAACTGGTACACGAGAACAATCGACATCTCCCACGACCACTTCGGTAGCTCCCTCTACCCACCCAAACAGTGTCCGTCGAATCGCTGACCTTGTCCCTCTCCCCAGGTTTCATGCTAGCCTGGGGCGACACCACCTTCCTCCCAACAACCTACACCCTGCAAGCCCAATACCTCGCCCGCAACCCAATACACCTCACCCCGCTCCACACCCTCGCAATTCTCGCAACAGGCCTGACAGCCTACGCCATCTTCCGCTCCGCCAATCACCAACGCGACCACGTGCGCACCCACAACGGCGCAGCGCGCCTCTGGGGCCGACCAGCTACGTTCATACGAGCTTCCTACTCTACCTCCGACTGGCAAGTGCACCACACTATCCTTCTCACCTCGGGATGGTGGGGCGTCGTCCGGCATGCGAACTATTTCGCCGATCTGCTGCTTGCGGCGGCTATGTGTGCGACGTGTGGCGTGACGCATGTGCTGCCTTGGACGTATTTCTTTTTTATGGGGGTGCTGTTGTGGCATCGGTGTGGGAGGGACGAGAGGCGGTGTCGGGCGAAGTATGGGGCGTTTTGGGCAGAGTATTGTGAGAAGGTGCCGTGGAGGCTGGTGCCGGGGGTGTATTGATTCATCTTCTAGGTGGATGTGAGTCGAGGATGTCGCGGTCGGGAGAACTGAGCGGAAGAGACTCGAGATCGGGGATATTCTCGCGTATGCAGCCATGCTACCTACCCTACGTCCTACGGCAAACCTCGCATACAAGCCCTCGACTCCTCTCTATCACATCCCAAACTCCTTCCTCATCCTCTCCAAATACCCCATCAAATTCTTCTTCCCCTCCAAATACCCCGTCCCCTCCCACTTCTGCGGCTGATCGTGGAAATGGCGCAACATCCCATACGCCATCGCATCAATGTTGCGCACCTTGCTGTCGAAAAAGTACTCCTTGTCGCCGAGGAAGTCGGCAATAGCATCGATGTCGTCTTTGTACAGCTCCAACACGGTCGCCGTGTCGCGCCGCCCCATGCCTTGGCCGTTGAAGCCGGCGAGGATGCGCTCGCGGAAGGCGTCGAGGAAGTCTTGCAGGGGTTTCGTGACTTCGGCGCCTTGCACTATGAAGGGGATGTACGTCTTCCAGCCGCTGTCTTGGCGCCAGCGGGGTTCGACTGGAGGAAGGAGGTTAGAAGTGGTCGTCAGATTGGGAGCGTGTGGAAGGGAAACGTACGAATCCCGCTGAAATAAGCATGCTCGCCAATCATTCGCTCAAAGGCCAGACAAACCGCCTTGTCCGAGGCCGACAAGTCCGCATCAAGCGAGTGGCCCGACTTCTGCTCGAGGTACTTGATGATGCGGTTCGAGTCGGCGACTTTGGTCCCGTCATCGTCGATAATGTACGGCAGCTTGCCGTGCGGCGCGTTCTTGTCGAGAATCGACAGGTCCTCGCTCTTGTACTCGAACGGCGTCTTGGTGATTTTCAGCCAGAAGACGAGTTTCGTCACGTAGGGGCTGATGTCGGGGAGGTCCCAGGCGGGGAGGTAGCCGTAGACTGTGAGGACCATGTTGGAGGGATGTGCGTGTCGTTCGTGCGAGGATGGTAGAAGTGGATGAGCAGTTGCTTTCTGTCCGGCGGATGGCTTCCCCGCGGCGTCTTAATATATGAGCCGTCCGCCATGGTCGGTAGAGCTCGCATCTGCCTTGCGGGGTGCAGGCGAGCTTGGTCTCGGCCGGGCGAGTGCAATCCAGAGAGGGCAGATCCCACGCAACCAGCCTGCATTCGGAGGCCCCGTCGATCCGGAGGCGTCAGCCATATCCCGAATCTGAACAACCATTGGACGTTCCAGGCGATAGCTCGAAGGATGCTGGCGAGCACCAAGCTGGATTGGGGCGTATGGGCGCCAAGTCGAACACGTGAATAGAGGGGCTGTCGCATTACCCCACTTCGAGGTGGTCGAGGTACCGCCATGTACACTCCGCAAGATGCGGGGTGCGGGGCATGCTCCGGTACCGTGCAGGTACCTCTATGAGGGTACTTTTGCGTTGTATCCCCCACCTTCAACCCCTTGCCTTGTTTTGGAGGTTGCTTGTTGATGCCGGAGCTGCAAAGGAGCTCTGCAGACCTTTCCCGGATCCTCTCGTAACACAGTCTGCTGTGACCTCACGCCTTTTGAGTAGCAAATATGCCGACCGCCGGTTCGTGTAATTTGCTGGTGCCAGAGTGCGGATTCCACTGACTGGCACAGTCCTCACCGGGTGCAACTCTGGCATAGGCTATGAATGGGCCAAAATTCTGCTGAAAGAGGTATGGCTCTGCCGTTGGAAGATAGATCCTCACGCCGAATGCTGATCTCATCGGGCTCGCCAGGGATACAAATTGTATGCTCTTGATGCAACCGACGGGGAGAAGCTCCAGTCCTTGAAGGGATCAAAATGCACGACCGCACAAGTAGACGTGACGAGCGTGGAATCGATTGAGAAATTCAAGCAAAGCATTGGAGATGAGCCGGTAGACTTACTACTCAACATCGCCGGTCAGCTCTCATCCTCAGCCAAATGGCGCAAGCAACCCGCGGACCCTGAACTGACCTGATGACAACAGGAATCATGATCGACCCCGAGCACGACAGCCGCGAAACAACCAACCTGCAAATCATTGAAAAGCAGTTCAAAGTCAACACGTACGGCCCCGTCCTCCTCACCCAAGCCCTAACCCCCAACCTGCTCGCCGCCCCGGCACCGCGCAGACTCGGCGTCGTCTCCTCCCGCGTCGGCTCCATCGCTGACAACACCTCCGGCGGCTACTACGGCTACCGCGCCTCCAAAACGGCCGTCAACAGCTTCTTCAAATCTTTCGCCGTGGATTTGAAGGAGCATGAGGTGATTGTGTTTATGCTGCATCCGGGGTTTACGAAGACGAATTTGAGCGAGATGATTTGGAAGATTCCGGGGGTTGTGGAGCCGGAGGTTGCGGCGGAGGGGTTGTGGAAGATTGTGAAGGGGAAGGGGATGGAGGATACGGGCAAGTTTTGGCATCGGGAGGGGATGGAGTTGCCGTGGTGAGGGGGACGGGTTGTGCGTTGCTGTGGCTTAGTCGTAGCTCAGATATACTCGTTCGAGGCTGGACGATAGATACAGTATCCGAAGATGGCAGCGTCCATGTGAAGTTAGCGAGGCATATCTTTCGCGTACGATGAGGAATGGAAGGAAGCAAGGGGGTTGACACTTCGTCATGAGTAGTAAAAGCTACCTGCCTGGGCTATGTAGTAGAAGCCTGAGCATGAGCATGAGCTATGTCGCAGAACCCATCTGTGAGTTCTGCATCAAAAGCAAAAACAGAGAAGCTTCTCACCGCGCGCATTGTAGGCCCTGCTCGAGCTGAGAGAGCTTGGCCTGCGCCGGGTGAAGCAAGCAAAAAGAAAGAAAACAAGACACCACTCTCCAATCCTCCACGCCAATCCTGCTTCCTCCGCGAAGGTCATGCTTGAAGACCAAGATGAAAGACAACGTCTTCAGTCGTACAGGTCGGCGTGCCCCTCGCTATCCTCCCCGTACTCATCGTCCGAGTCGTCGTCCTCGACTTCGCCCTTCACATCCTCCTCTCCAGCCTCCTCGTCCAGATACTCCTCCTCCGCTTCCTCAGCAGCAGCGGCTTGGCGACGGGCACGACGGCTCGCCTCCCCGACAAGCTGGCCCAAGAGGTTTTGGTTGTGTTGAAGCGCATTGGTACCGGCCGCCAGAGTGTTCCTAACCCTAGTCGTGGTAGTCGCGCTGGCAAGGAACTCGTCAACCATGGCCTGAAGACGGATGTCGCGGGCGCGTTGCAAGTCCATCAGTGCATCAATGGAGAGGTCACAGGGACGGTTGATGGGGAAGGCGGCGAGCGTCTCTTCACTCAGCATGGCCTTCTCGCGGAGGTCAGCCGCGGTCTCCGGCTTCTGCTCCCCCTCCTCCGTCGTGGGCTGGTGAGCGCGCTTAGTCTTCTTGGTCGGACGGGAGCTGGAGGCGCGAGCATCATCGTTGGCGGGGCGCTTGCCCTTGGACTTGGAGGGAGGGGCGGCGTCGTCGTCATCGTTGTCCTCCTCCTCCGCATCGTCATCCTCGGGGTTGACTGGATGGATGGGCTTCTGGTCCGCTGTATCGAGGCCTAGACGGGTAGTCTCGGCATTCTGTTCTTTGCGCAGCTTCGTCAAGCGCTCCTGAATGGCTTTGGGCGTGGGGTTCTCTACAGGAGACGAGTCAGTTCATTGCAAAAGGAAGGAAATGCGCAACTGCATACCCGGAAAAGAAGCCGCAATGATCGCGTACTGCGCCGGCGTAATCTCTCTGCCCAGAGCCAACAACAGGAGCAGCTGGTGCGGCAGCAGGCACATGGGTAGGCGTATCAGCAGACTCAACCCGGAAGCCAGTCGATTCAGCAGCATTGAATGCAGAGCGAAGAAAGTTAGGCGTGGCGTTGCCAGCCGCCGCGCTCGTGTTGGAGCTGGACGACGCCGTGCGCGGCTTCTTCGCCGGAGCCTTCTTGTTGTTGCCTTTGGCACCCATGGTGATCAGGGGAAGGCGGTAAACAGGACTGAAAGACGTTAGCACTCTTGAACGCGTCTGCTTTTGAAGGGAGGAAAAGCACGACACTCACGGTTGTGTTGGTGATGTTGATGAGTGACTGCGTGCAGTCACGGTTTGAACCTGAAGCGAAGTCAGCACGTTGAACGCGTCTTCGCCTTGAAGAGAGGGCACTCACGGTTGGAAGGAGGGGAGTGAGGTTGGTGACGCTGCGTCACAGTTTGCAGAGTGGAAGTGGGAGAGCTGGTGCAAAGTCAACACGCCGTCCTGAACGCGTATGCAACCGCGCTGCAAGCAGCAACAGAGCGTGAAGAACAGGCACTTACCGATGACCGTAGAGAGGGGAGCACAGCGTGTCAACGCACGCTGAAGAGGGATGGAGGTGATGGAGGAGGAGGTAGGCGGAGCGCGAGGCGAGTGTGAATAGAAAGAAGAAGAAGAAGAAGCAAGTCGGACGAAGTGGGAAAATTCTTATGTGCGTGTGCGGAAGCGCACGGGGCGACGCTTCCTGCAGGTGGACAACACTCCCGCGCGACCAAGGCGTGACGCCGTGTGGCTGGAGAGTGCAGGGCGGTGACGTCTGAGCGCACGGGGGTGGAAGCCACTGTGTGCCTGCGCGAAGCTCAGGGGTGGATGTCTGATGGTAGTCCAGACGGCGGATGCGTTGGTAGACGAATATCAAGCAAGAAGGAGAGCTGCAGAACGTCCAATGCTCGACCGTGGCCGTGGAATCGCAAGCTGAAGTCGAAAGAAACTGTGGCGACGCGCTCCCGCTCCTTCCCAATGCGGAAGGAAAAGCTTCACGCGGGAAGTTAGCTGCACCGCCACGCCGCGAGCTTCGCTCGACTTATGGCCGGAGTTCCACGCCGCTAGGACCATGAAGACAGCGTGGTGCGTTTTGGTTGGATCGCGCGGCTGCTCTAGAACTTTCCACGCGTGTCAGATGTGTCGGAGGCCTCGATATCTGGCCTGGGGACGAATTGTCGACGAATTGCACGACGGCTTCGATGTTCAGATCACGCTTTTGTTAATCCCATCGCTGTTCAGAGGCCGAAGGTCGTTCCTTGATGTCCATTGAGGCCTTCGTCACTACCTGGAAGGCGTTGAGTGCTGTAGAGGTGTTCCATGTAGAGGCCGGCTGCAAGCAACGCGTTCATTATCAGATCTCTACTATCCAAGTCATACACGACCATATAGTCTTGCTAAAACGCGCGGAACACGAAACACTGTTATTTGACTCCACCAGTACGCACTCCCGCCCATGTCTATGTTCAACAAGCTCCGGTGACGCCGCGCCTTCAAGCCCAGGCCCTCGCGATGCCCCCTCCTCCGTCCAGCAGGAAAGGCGACAATCAGGCATTACTGCTCATCGAGTCCCGCATGCTCTGCACACTCGCGCTCGTCGTCTGCTTCATGCTCGAGGGCAGAATGCTGCCGATGCCTTGGCTCTTGATGCCCTGGTCTCGCTCCTTCTGCCATACTTTTGCCACCGCGTACACAACGCCACTGACAAAGCCGACGAAGATGGCGGCCACTTTGCCGAGCGTGACGACTTCGTTGAAGAAGATCAAGCCCGAGATGGCAATGGGGAGCTTGTTGAGGGCGCCGACCATGGAGTAGGTGGTGCTGCTGGTGACGCGGACGCACCAGGCGGAGGCGTAGGAGATGAGCATTGAGGACAGGCCGGTGAAGAGCAGGGCGAAGGCGTAGTACGTTCTCGAGCCCGCGGGGAAGTTCAGGGCCAGGTTTTCGGCCGACCAGTTCTCGAGGAAGAGGGAGCAGATGAGCAGGATTGGAAGGGAGAGGAGGTTGTTGTAGTACATGGCTGGAGAAAGCGAGTTAGCATCGAAACTTGCAGTATCGAATGAGGGCACAGAATAGACATACTGTCAAAGTCGGTGAAGTTGGTAAGCTTGATCCGCTTCCTCATGCCCAGCACAAAAGAAGCCGAGCAGAAGCAGTTGAACAGCATCCAAAGGTAGCCCGCATTCAAGGTACTGATGGCCTCGGAAGCCTCGCCGCTCATGGCATCGCCCCCGAAGGATTGCAATGCGTGCTGAATGTCCGCCCACGCCGCGATGAGGGAGCTCACGACCATTAGCCCAAAGCTGAACAACGCGGTGCTCGTCACGCTGCCTCCGAACCACAGCACTTCGCCGTATGCAATGAGGATGATGGTCAAGTTCTTGAAGATGGTGTAGACGGGAACGGAGAGGTACTGCAGGGCCTTGGCGGAGGTGTAGATCATGCCGATCAGCAGTAAGGCAATGGGGAACCATTTTTTCGCTTCGCCGGCGTTGAAATCGCGGAAGGAGATGTAGCCTGTGGCCTTTGCGGTGGTGACGGCAAATAGACACACGGAGGTCTGACACAGCATTAGCAGTCTTCCTACGCGCATTGGAGTGGGGAAGCACCAACCTGCACACTGAGCATGAAAAAGGGAAGGTTGAAGGCCTTGTTGTTCACGATGAACTTGTTGGCACAAGTCATCAAGATACTGCTGCCACAGTAGAAGGCGATGGAGGCCGCTGGGTTCTGCGCCAGTGCGGCTAGGGACGATGGTGGTGGAGGGGGAGGGAGAGGTCGTGGCTCGGCTTCGACATAGCTCCCGCCGGGTTGTCTCTCACCGAGCTCGATAACGTGCTCTTCCCGAGAAGACTTCTCGCCCGAGGCCATGTTGCGCTGCGACGCTCCTTCGGAGGAGGAAGATGAGAGGGAGGTGTAGGGAGAGGATGGAGCAGCAAGGGGGGAGGCTGCTTTCCACTTCTTGACTCCTCCGAGGGAGGAGGCGGTGCCGATGAAGGTAGTGATTTTGGCAGCGAGTGCTCTACGCAATGCGTAGTGATTGGGTGGTGGATGGCCAAGGGAAAAGGAGACGCAGGAAGGGACAGAGGATGGGGTGGAGGAGGAGAAGTAGTCGTGTCGCGAGCCAAAGTCTGAAATTGGGGGAGTGAGAGACTCGCGGCCCTGCAGATCGACGCGCTCCACTTTATTCCTAACGCTTCCGACGCGGCACCGCGAACGCATGTAACCTTAAAATTCAGCCTGAAAGGGGCATGACAGCAGTTACATCAAGTTACTGCACGCATCGAGTGGTGAGGACAATTGCCATTCACGTACCTCGGGAAGACTCGTCTCAACAGCTGCTTGAACTCGCCGCTTCACTCGTGGTCAACCTTCCACATCACAATCATTCACTGCCGACGCGGGAACAAGGCCTTCTTTTTCCCCGACGATCGTGCAAGCGAGGCAGTCCCCGCCCTATCACGGAACTCAACCCGTAACAATGTCATCCAAAGTCGACGCCCACGTCGCCAGGATCCTGGACCGCACCCGGCCCGAAGACAGCGACGACGATGACGCCCTGCTCGCCGAACTGGAAGACGATGAAGACAACGCGGCGCTCTCCTCCCTCCGCGAGCGACGACTCGAACAACTGCACCAAGAAATGAAGCGCGCCAAGCTGCTCAAAGAATCGCAGCACGGCACGTACCTCGAGATCAAGGACGAAAAGCAGCTCATGGAAATCACCACGTCGACTAAATTGTGCGTTGTCCATTTCATGAAGCCGGATTTCAACCGCTGCCGCATCATGGATGGCAAGCTGGCGAGTCTGGCCGAGAAGCATTACGAGGCTCGCTTTGTGAGCATCAATGTTGACAATGCGCCTTTCCTGGTGGTGAAGCTTGGCATCCAGGTGCTGCCTTGTGTCATTTCTTTTGTGGATGGCGTGGGTGCGGATCGGATCGTGGGGTTTGAGGGAGTTGGGCGCAAGGCAGACTCTTTTACGTCTGCAGAGCTGGAGGCGCGGCTACTGGGTGCGGGCGTGCTGGTGCGAGCAAAGGTGGACGCGAGGGATGATGGACGGAGTAGTGGAAGACGCCAGAACACGACGGAGAACAGGGCTGGAGAGGACGATGACGACCTCTGGGATTGAGAATTCTCGACTCCGGAACATGACGCTATACGAATCCAGAACTCCATAACACGAACATCTACCAGGCCCCTGTGGGTATGACAGCACGACACCTGACTCCAAAATCACAATCGCCAGAACGCCCACGCACCGCAAAATCCATCACTGCGAATCGTAAAATGCTCGTCCCTCTTCAACCATCGGGAAAAGTGGCTGCACATCACTCGTTCTTTGCGTATTCTTCCCAGAAAGTCTTTTCCGGAATGGGCGCAGGGCTCAGCGGGCAGTCCGACAATATCGAGTCCCACATCATCGCCGAGCAGTTTGCTTTCGGATCCGGGATCATCGTCACCTCTAGGCGATCATTTTGCTCACTGCGGTCCTTGTGAGAATTCTTGTCGGCTTCCTCCTCGAGACGGTCATCGGCATGCTCACCGGAGTGCTCCACATCGTGTCCTTGCTTCTGAGTTTCGACCCCAGCGTCGCGCTTGCTCGTACAGAAGGGCGCAAGCGGATCGCAGGCCTCCGGCTCCGCCACGATATCGCGGGTAACATGCGTGGCGGTGTCATGCGTCGGCCTATTATTGATGCCGAACAGCGGACACAGGAATTGCCCGTAGTACTCCGAGCCGTCCTTGCCCTCGGGCAGGAACGAGGGATCGCCAGTCTTGCACCACATGCAGAGCCCAGGGTGGGTGGTGCAGTCCCTGCCGGGGATGTGCCAGCGTTCGACCAGGGAAGCGGCGGACATGCTGGGGTCGAGGACGGGCAGAGCGGTGGTGTTGGACTCCTCCGGGACGGCGGCGGCCCAGAGACGAGCATCTTTGACCAACCACCAGACGGCGACTGGGATTAGGATGGCGAGGAGAAAGGTCAGGTGGACCAGGGCGCAGATGAGGTTGTAGCGGCGCTGTCGCGCGCGCGTAGCATTGTCGTGCTGGCTGCTCTCCTCGGCGGGACCCATGGCTGAAGATGCTGGTGATGAGGTTAGCTTGATGTGTGAGGAGCCTACGATGCGGAGAGATGGCGTGATGGCCACTTACGCTTGAGGGCCACGACGACTTTTGGAGAGAAGGGCTGTGGGTGGTATGAACGCTGTCTGAACTGGCGAAGGTTCTTGGGCAAAAGGGAGATTGTGCTTGGCTGCTCTGATGACGATGATTGTGAGGAAATCGGACAAGCAGGTTAAGAAGAAGTTCTACAGCGGATGGGTTGCTTATGTAGACGGGGAGAGCGAAAGGGAGCGAGAAGAGCGAATCCAAAGGTCTGGTGGCCAATTCTCTCCCACTGTCTTTCCTTCACGATGCTGCCTACTGGCCACCCACAACATTTAGACGGAACCTCATGCGGCAGAGATGCGGCAAGCAGCCGCCCTGATGACTTTTGAGGCGATTCGTCGCAGACATTGCATACCTTCCATCTGGACTTTGAAATTACGACAGATTCTGTGTGCGGATCCACTACTCGAGGTCAGTTGCTCGAATCCACGAGTCTGGGTGAAGATGTATGTCAGAGAGACAAAGCGAGGTCGGGATGTCGTCAACCAAGGTTGAAATAGAGTTCGGCCAAGCTCCCAAGCTCCCAACCGTCTCTGCATCCGCGGCGCCGTGGCTGAGGTCGAGGTCGAGATCCACCCCCGGTTTCACCATCTGCACAGCACGCAATCCATTTCCTTTCTTATTCCCAATGGCCTAAAAAAACTTCAAGCGCAGCTCATACCACATGAGGCGGTGAGGCAGACAATGACAGAACGCCGGCCGAGTCCGGAAGCCACGAGATCGGGTCGCGTGGCGCAGATCCGCGACTTCCTCAACTCCTCTAGCGATGACTCGCCAATCTCCGCGCGAGGCCATGCCTTCCCGGGCCTCATGGGCTCGCGTTCGACCTCCAACCTCGCCGCTCTGCGAACGCGCTCGTGGGTGAATCGGAGGAAGAATAGTATTGGAGAGGAGCATGGAGCCGTTCACCACCCCATCCGACGCACCTCGGACAGCGATGAAGATCTGCCGGAACTCCAGAGCCGCGTGCTCACTTCGGCCGTCTCGCATTGGGGCGGAGGGGATCGAGAGGAAATCAGGAGACAAAGTGTGCCGGCCAGTCTGGTTGCGCCTCAGATGCGGAGTCAGAGGTTGATCGGCAATACCAATCCGCGCTACCGATGGGAGCAGTACTGGAAGACGGACGAGGAGTTGAAGAAGATGAAGAAGCCGATCAGGAAGTACTACGAGCGCACGAATTACTTGATCCAACATTACCTGTACATCGACCGGTTACTGGACAGCAGCTTACCGCACAACCTGATTCAAGAATACGACTATACTACGGACGGGCAGGCAGGGCGAGCGACTTCAGCTGCGTTGATCGGGCAGAATGGTGTACCGGCGACGATATCCGAGGAGCCATCGGTGGACGGCACCGAGACGCCGACTTCAGCGGTGGAAGGCAATGGAGGCACAGGCAGGTTGAAGCGCACACCAAAGGACCTCTACCGGATCAAGGACGACGAGACCACGCCTTTGCTTCCCAACGGCGGCAGCGTGAAAGCGAGCGATGAGGAGCAACCTCTACCGCCAATGCTCGAGCCGGAAGAGGAGGCGGGCTCGCAATCACGTATTGTGTCGATTGCCATCTACGTCAACCTCGTGGCCAACACCGTCCTGCTCATCCTCAAGATCATCGTCGTGATCATGTCCTCCTCCGTCTCCGTCCTCGCGTCATTGGTCGATGCAGCACTAGACTTCTTGAGCACCGCCATCGTCTGGACCACTACGCGCCTCATCAGCCGCAATGATCAGTACTCCTATCCCATCGGACGACGGCGCCTCGAGCCCATCGGCGTCCTCGTCTTCTCCATCATCATGATCTGCGCCTTCTTCCAAGTCGCGCAGGAGGGTGTCAACAAACTCCGGGGCGACGACCACACCCCAGTCCGCCTCACAATCGCCGCCATCGCAATCATGGCAGCCACGGTAGTAATCAAAGGTCTCTGCTGGCTCTGGTGTCGCCTCATCAAGAACAGCTCCGTGCAAGCGCTCGCACAAGACGCAATGACCGACGTCGTCTTCAACATCTTCTCCATCATCTTCCCGCTCGTCGGCTTCTACGCCAACCTCTGGTGGCTGGATCCCCTCGGAGGCATCCTGCTTTCCTTTTATGTCATGATCAACTGGGGCCGCACGTCCGCCACGCACATCAAGAACCTCACAGGTGCTGCGGCGTCGGCTGATGAGCGGAATATCCTGCTCTACCTCACCATGCGCTTCGCGAAATCGATCAAGAAGATCCAAGGTCTGCAGGCATATCATAGTGGCGACAAGCTCAACGTCGAGGTGGACATTGTGCTAGATGAGCACACCAATCTGCGCGACTCGCACGATCTGGGCGAGAGCTTGCAGTACGTGCTGGAGAGCGTACCGAATGGTGAGTTTAGTGTTTCGTCGATATGCCGAGTCTCCTCACTGACGACCATGCAGTCGACCGCGCGTTTGTGCATATGGATTACCTCGACTACAATCTGCCGAGTCATCTGCAGCAGGATTCATGACGGCACGCATGTTGAAAATGTACTATTACCCCTCTCAATCACAAAAGACCTGCTCCATTAGGGCCGTCAGGGCCACCGACCTCTACCGTGCCGATTGCGTCTTCTCACATACTCGGAAGCGTGAAATTGTGTCACCCGTACCGACCGTTCGGGTCCTTATCACCACATGCACTGACAGTCCCACGCGCGGATTAAAGATAGCCACCTGCGGGTGTAACGGCGTGCTGCAGATGCGCGATAAGCTTACTCGGACTACAAGTGTGCATTCACTCTAGAATCAATCGCCTTCGAGATAGCCACACCATCATTACATCCCCGTTGCTCAAAACATGCCCATAGCCCGAACGCAGCAGGCGAGGAATTTACCGGCTCTCGGACCCGCGCATGCGCCACTCCAATACGCCCCTCGTCATTCGCCGGCGGGGCCCAAGGGTCGCCTTAGTGCAGCGTAGTCCGTCCCTGAACCCTCCTCTTTTTTTAACCAGCTCCAACTGAACGCGAATTCGTTGGGCCACATCTGCGTCTCCAGTTTATCGCGGTTTTTCTTCGCCACCGTGGAATGGCCATACTGCGCCGACGGTTCTACAAGCGCGTCCGAGACGTTATTCCTTGAAGGCGATCACCGCGCGGCGTGTCCTCCGAGACTTCCTTCCTTCCTTCCTGCCTTTTTGCTTGGCGACTCGCTCTTGCCAACACCTCAGGTGACGACGACCGCGGTGGGCTGAGACACGGTGTTTCTCGCTGCCGACATCCCTCTTCTCGACATCTTCTCACTACTATCACCGAACACACATCTGCTGTCTCCCCATTCTTCTCGTTGCCATTCCTCGCTGGACTTGCTTCCTCACGTCAGCTCTCTAACCTCGCCATCATCCACCAAGAACTCCACCTCTCCTTCACTCACCACTCCATATCCTCCACACACAAACCGCAACCATGCCGCCCCAACAGAAACAACGCAAGATGGCCATAGTCGGCAGTAGATCCGTCGGTACGTCCCCGTCACCCAAACACCCCCCCTCTCTCTCCAAAGCGCACCACTAATCTCCAACCCGCACAGGCAAAAGCTCCCTCACAGTGCAATACGTCGACAACCACTTCGTCGACTCCTACTACCCGACGGTGGAGAACACGTTCAGCAAAATGATTCGCTACAAGAACCAAGACTACGCGGTCGAGATCATCGACACCGCCGGCCAGGACGAGTACACCATCCTCAACTCCAAGCACTTCATCGGCATCCACGGCTACATGATTGTCTATTCCGTCGCGAACAAGCAGAGTTTCGAGATGGTGCGCATTATCCGCGACAAGATTTTGAATCATTTGGTGAGTGGGCATACAAGAGAGCAGAGAATAGGGTGAATACGTGCTAATACATCATGGCAGGGAACCGAAGGCGTGCCCATCATGATCGTCGCCAATAAATCCGACCTCCGCCCTGAACAACGCCAAGTCTCCGCTGCAGACGGCAAGAAACTCGCTGACGAGCTCGGCTGCGGCTTCGTCGAGGCCAGCGCGCGCTTCAACGAGAATGTCTCCAAGGCTTTCGAAGGCATGATTGTGGAGATTGAGAAGGGGCAAGAGGCGGGCCAGCCGAAAGAGGGGAACTCCAAGTGCGCTATGATGTAGGAAACGAGCGTGCGGGCGGTGCGGTTCGTGAGACCGATCGTGTGGAAATACACCAAAGAGACGGGCAAATCGATGCTGGTGGCATTCAGCCGGTGCATGATGGAGGACCACTGGGAGGAGAATCTGGCCTCGGGCAGGATTCGCGGCACCTTTTCGCGTGTAACTGGGGAACCTTCGCGGGCTCTGCGGGCTGAGCAGATGCGGTACTTCTCTCAGGCGTGAAAATGTGCGTGGGTGGCTATCTCTCCTTGACACTTTTATTAGCACGGCGTTATGGTGGGAAGAGGCATTCGGGCATTCTTTTAAGTATTGTACTCTCTTTCTTTTCCAATCTTCTTACCCGCCTGGATGACAACTCTCAGCAGAAAAGACCGCCTTCAATACCTCGCAAAAGGGGTCTAGCCCACCGCTCAGGATGAAGGAGAAAAAGCTAACCGCCAGCGACTTGCTAAAATTTCAGGCCTTCTGGCTCGTTTCCAGGCGCCGCCAGGATGCATCATCTCAGCAGCAATATCAAGACAGACGCTCCCCAAGATCTTGACGAAGGCTTGTTGTCCGCCATTCGACGAAAAAGAGAAGACGCCAACGGCCGGCATCTTCCTGAAGTTTGGCATTCAAAATCATTTCTAGACGCTGCCGAGCTGGAGCATCTCACCAGTATCATCAACTAACACGCCCTTCAGTATTCAACGAGGGCGTTTGGTCCATGGACGGTGGTAAAGGAGAAGAAGCGAGTCGCCGGCCCTTCGCTAAAATCCTGGCATTCATGAGCAACAGACGGTGCTGGCAGGGTGGAGGATCTCAGCAGCAATATCAAGGAAGACGCTCCTCATTAGTCGGCGAGGACCTACTCGTCACGGCTTCTGGTGGAGGAGAGCAAGCCAGCCGCCGGCGCCAGGAGCTCACTTCGAAACATCTGCATTACCAAGTGGATATATGTAAAAAGCAATTTGCATCATACGCCGACCATACAACACCACTAGAAGCACACACCGAGAACCAAAGCCTGAACCCCATCCACAACCAACATCCAGCCTCACCGACCCTCCCATCAATGCCACATTCGACTCCACAACGACCGATCCATCTCCATAATCAACTGCGCCCTCGCCTGGCGATCAACAGCAAAGTTCACTGCGAGATTGTCACCTTCAAACCGCTTGTACGCCCGCTTGAACTTCTTCCAATCCACCTTGCCGCCCTGAGGATACGCCTCCTCCAACCGCATTGCCGCCGCTTTCCAATTGTACTGATAGCCAAAGAAGAAGGCATGAAGATAGATGGACTTCGCGGCCTTCCACAGCGCCACCGCCAAGGGGCGCACGACGTCCACCTCGAAGTCAGCTTTTTCCCATTTCGGCCAGTAGGTGGGTGCGCGGTCTTCGAAGGGCGCGGGAGGGACTTTGGCTTGTTGCTGCGTTAGGCTCGCCCAGTCGATGCCGGCTGGTGGCTCGACGACCATCTCCAGCCTTTCCTCCATCGGCCCGACTTCCTCCGCGAACTCGGCGCGCGCTCTCTTCTCCTCCGGCCATTGCCAGCCGTTGAACAGGAGTTCCTGGCGCCTGTGCACGCCAAAGCACACGACGCCACGCTTGGGGGTGCGGAAGTTGCGGTTCCACTTCTGCTCTGTGCCCCCCCATTCCACGGCCGTCTCTTCGTTGAGGCGCACGCGTACCTCCCATTTGGAGAATTCGCGCACTTCGCACAGGTTGCGGCCCATGAGGGCGAAGTAGACGCGGGTGAAGTCCTCCGTCTCGAAGGGCCAGTGGTGCGAGAGGAAGTGCTGGAGGTGCGTGCGCCGCTCGCTCCAAGGGATGATGTGGGCGTAGTCTTCTTCGATGTGGGCGGCATAGGCGTGCACGAGGGCGGATTGTTGTTGTTCGCTGAGGGTGTCTAGGGAGGGGATGGTGCTGGGCTTGCGTGTTTCGGCAGGGGAAGATGCTGCGAGGGAAAGGGAAGATGTGGTGGAGATGGTGCCATCATTTTGCGATACAGCCGTGTGATCCTGTCCGACGGAGGTCGAAGCCTCACTCATCGAGGCAATCGACGCGGGCGAGGGCGGCGTAGGGCATAGAGCTGGGATGTCGGATTCCGCATCGCCAGCGGACCGCGATGCACAGATGCTGCAATAGATCTCTGCATTCCCGCCAGCGTGCTTCCGCGATGTTTGACTGCTGGACGGTGACGAGGCCGAACTGGAATCGCAAGCTTTGCTGTCTTTCGCCTCTTCTGGCAAGGGAGGGAAGACGACCTCAAGGACGACCTTACGATACAGGGCGCGGATCGGCTTGACGATCTTCTTGGAGCCGCTTTTCAACCTGGGGCGCAAGTCTAGAGAGCGCACAGTGAAGGCTGGCGCCATTTTGCGAGAGACTTGATGCTGTGGTCCAGGAAGGAGTGACGATGCTGTGGAAGAATAGCGATGGCTTCAGGAATCCGTTGAAGTGAGGAGATGAAGGAAAAAGAAGAGTTGCGCAGACAGGCCTTATCCATCGTGGACGAGCGAATGCGACCTTCTCGGTGGGCGCACCTCGGACGGGTTGCTCGCGTGGCAAGTGGGTTCGACCACGCTTGACCGCGTGATGAGCCAGTTGTGGCCGGGAGAATAAGCCCGACCGAACGCACGGGAGGCGCGAAGGCGCGAGTCTAAAGCTGGGCGACAGCTGCCTTGTGGATCTCTTTTCGCTCCTCGTGTGGATTGAGTTGGATGTTGTGGCTGTGGCGAAAGTCATGAGCATGACCAGCCCTCTGAGAGGCCTTGCATTACTCACCTGTGTGTGCGCTCCTGCCAAATAGCGAAATTGACTCAAGATCGAGTCGCCCTCGGGGTAGCGAGTGATGATCTTTGCTGCCCCGTGAATCAAGTGAAACCGTTCAGTAGATTTTCAAAGTGCTTCGGCGATAGCTAGTATAAGTGACAGAACAGAAGAGCTAACGTCCAATCTCGCAAGAAAGCAATACGCACCGCCCCCTTTTCCCCAGCGAAGAATATCACACCGTTCCAAAAATGCCGCTCGCAGCGAACGCCCGTAGATTCCTTGCTTCCACCCCCTGTACTCCGCCCATGCCCTTTCCATCCATCACCCTCGCTCAATCGTCAGCGTAGTCAGCCTCGGCATCCTCATCCTCATCATCGATGAAGCCGCGATCCTCCTCCGTCAGTTGCTCTCCGGGTGCCGAGCCCAAGCGAGCCGCAGAAGCATCAACCTGTTGGCGCGGGCGAGACGCAGGTCCAGGAGTGCCTCTGCCTGCAGCGGCATCTTTCTTGACGGCCTCGCAGGCATCGACCCAGTCAGCGTAGACGTCTACCGCTTCAGTGAGATCTGCGAGGGGGTGATTAGTGTCATGCGACGGATGTGAGATGTGGCGATAGGGAGACGTACAGTTGATGCCGGTCTGGAACGTTTGCCCGCACTGCTTGCAGGACAGGTTGCCGACGCCGGCCTTTTTGTCGATGGAGACGGAGACGGAGTTCTCGTTGTTGCAGAAGTTGCAGCGGAAGCTGGTGGCGAGGGGCTCGCGTTTGCGCGGGCCGGTGGGCTTGCGGCCGGACTTTTTGCGTTTACCCTGAGATGTGTTAGCGGATGTAGGTGCTGGTGAGTGATGAGGCGGAACATACCATGCCGGTGGTGAGTGCGTGGCGAAGCCAGCCGGACGAGGTGAAGGAGTGCTGCGACGGGGAGTACTTTGCTGGGATGCGGCCTTTCGGCGGGCTGAGAGTTCTTTTGCGCTGGAGTGGCGAGTTGGCTGGAGTGGAGGGTTCAGGTGACGGTGTCCCAGCGGCGACTTGGGCGTTGACGGAGGTGGAGCTTTGAGTTGCAGCGGTAAAGGCAGCGGCGGCTCCGACCTTGGTTGGGACGTAGGGTCGGTGTGTGAATTTAGAGCCGGCGTAAGATTTGACAGGAGGGGAGTGGTGTGGTGCAGCGGCGACTCTGGCCTTGACTCTGGCCTTGACTGGGGAGGAAGTCTTGACTGCCATATTGTGAAGTCTCGGGACCGGGGGGGCAGGATTCGCGCTAAGCTGCTTTGGGAAGGTTGCGGATGTGACGTTGCACGTGCTGGAGATTGAATGTTGCTCTTGTAAACTGATACGCAACCGGATGAGATGTGGTGAATGCAGGAAACCAGAGGGAGATACGCCGTGTATATATACAGCACCTGAGCGAGCGAGCGAACGAGCGAATCTTGTCTTTCGCTCCCATCTTCGCTCGCACTTTCGCTCCCAGCTTTCGCTCCCGGCTTCGACGCCCACAGCACCCGCAAAGATAATCCCCCTTCCCCACGAGGAGCCTACCGCAGAATGGCCTCCAACGCCGAGAACTCAGCTGTCCTACAGGAAATCCTCTCATCGCTCAAAAGCCTCCGCCTCGAGCAAACCCAGCTTGCCAGCTCCGTCGAAGCCATCAACGGCCGAGTCAACGCCCTAGCCGGCGTGAAGCAATCCCGGGACGGCATCGCTCACGACGCCTCCTACCCCAGTCCCAACATCGGACCCGTGAGCCCCAAACTGCCCGCCCGCGGCCATGCGTCGAGGGACAGCGTGGGCTCTGTCGATGGCTATGGCAGGAATCTCAATGGTGCTTCTTCGCAGCAGCCGCTGTCTTCGTCGCCTCGGCGGGGCAGTACTACTTCCAAAATCATTTTGACCTCTTATCCTGGGCAGGCGGGTGTGGATCCCTTGCCTATGGAGTGGGGGGCGCAGGACGCGCAGAAGCGAGGACGTGAGTCTACCTTTAGTTCTGTTTCTGGTTGTATTGTAATAGGTAAGCTGACCATGCCTATTCGTCTACACTAGCCGTCGTCGTCTCTCGCAGCAACAATTCTATCCGCAGACGAAATGCCATCGGTGCACATGGTGGCTCCTACAGTATTTACTACGCTCTTGCAGTCGCTTCTCACCAACTAGACACCGAGCATAGACCCGATTACACCAACACCGAGCCGGCGGCGAACATTGGACCTTTCAAAACATGGGCCGATCCGAAGAAGATCGTTGCCATGGATCCGTGGGGTCACTTGGGACCCTGGTTGTTCAAGGATATCCTGAAGAACGACGGGGTTGAGATCCGGCCTACCATCGCCGTGACGCGAGCTCACATGAAAGTGCCCGAGCTGGAGGAGAGTGTTCGACAAGGACGCTTGGTGAGCCGATGCCCTCTCTACGCCAGTCATCCCTCGGTGAGTGGTGCTGACGCGGACTAGATCCCGGACGGCAAGATCTGTCTCAACGAGACGGGCGAGCTGAACGTCACCAAATTCGCCGTCGAGCCAGTCTGGTATCTGCCAGGAGTGGCGGAACGCTTTGGCATCGATGAGGGCACTCTTCGACGCTCGCTGTTCGAAAACACCGGCGGCAGCTACCCGGAGCTCATCACCCGCGGCGACATCAAGCTCTTCCTGCCGCCCATTGGTGGTCTGACGGTCTACTGCTTCGGCGACCCGGCCAAGATGAGTGACCCGAATGTGAAGCTGGCGCTCCGCGTGCACGACGAGTGCAACGGCTCCGACGTCTTCGGCTCGGACATCTGCACTTGCCGCCCCTATCTGATCTTCGGAATCGAGGAAGCAGTGAAAGAAGCGCAACGCGGCGGCAGCGGCGTCGTCATCTACTTCCGCAAAGAAGGCCGCGCACTAGGCGAAGTGACCAAGTACCTGGTGTACAACGCGCGCAAGCGCGGCTCCGACAAGGCGAGCGAGTACTTCAAGCGGACCGAGAATATCGCTGGCGTCAAGGACATGCGTTTCCAGGCTTTGATGCCGGATATTCTGCACTGGTTGGGGATCACGAAGATCGATCGCATGCTGAGTATGTCGAATATGAAGCATGATGCGATTGTTGAGCAGGGCATTCCGATTCTCGAGCGCGTGCCCATCCCGGATGATATGATTCCCGAAGATAGCCGGGTGGAGATTGATGCGAAGATACATGCTGGGTATTGTAAGTGGTTCTTCTTCTTACCTCCTGCTGGGGTATTTGAGCTGACTGTTGCCATAGTCACGACGGGTAAGGTGATGACGCTGGAGGAGTTGAACAACGTGCAGGGCCGAGCATGGGAAGACGTCGACCATTAGAGACCAGCAAGACGATTGCCATATGCTCAAGGCGCGTAAGTCGCTGTCATCATCTCTAATATCAAATCAAATCAACATCATTCAAGACTCTGCCTCCCGACTCCAATAGCCGCAAAGTGAAGTCGCGAGTCGTGGTCGTCGTTAGCGTGCAATGCCAGATCACGAGGGCGAAATGCTAAGGCATGACGGAATTCTGACATCGCCATTCCCAAACTTTGACGTGCGCGCTTCCCGCCTCACCTCACCTCCTCGCCAAGTGATGTGATATGATGCCATTGCCGTGCGTGTCTAGTGGGAGATACAGCCGTGCAGTAGTGCATCAAGGCAAACTCATGCGGCTCGGTATCGCTTCTACGTGCATGGAATGAATGCACGATGCCAGGCGTGCCGTTGGTAGCGGATGAGATCGCCGATGCTCGCCCAATCACCTCGGCCGCTGCTTGACTTCAACCCTGCGCCTTCACTTGCAATGATGTCCACGGGAGGGTTTGCATGTCGGGCATCTGGACAGAATAGCGTCAGCATCTCGGCCATACGTAGAGCACATTGCATATTCCATACCAAAACTCCAACATGCCACCGCAACATACACCTGCGCATTCCCATTTGAAAATCTCACAATCGCCGCTGGCGTCAAAGACAACCGCCACCATCGACCACGCGACCTCACAAGGCTTTTGCCCCCAATCTTGGCACGTCCTCCAAGCGTACGGGTACCCTTGGTTAGCAAACAAGCGCCCTGCCCTTTTGCCTGGATGCCAGCACACACCCGCGATCTCTGCCCCCACGGGCTGTCGTGATCTGGTAACGTCATTGAAGTTTAGGCCGATCGGACCCATGTTTTGGGCTTCCATCCTATGCCTTCCCTTTCTTGCTTTATATCTTTAAGGCTTACGGTGCGGCCACTTGGGGTGCATGTACTCTTGTCACTGTCGTCTACTTATCTCTAAGTATCTCTTCCCTGCTTTGCTGGGTGTGGGGTTTTGAGGCATTTTCTCTTCCTTCCTCTGTCTCGCTTTACCTCTTCGTCGTCCCGTCTATTTCATCACTGAAGTCATCATTGAAGGACATCTCCCCCTTCGATCCACCCTTCACGTACTGCAACACCGACCCCCATCAACCCCCAACAACTCAACATCAAATGGCCAAAACACCCCAATCTCCCACAATTGCACCCCGCTCGCCCCTAACCCTCAAACAACCAACCACAATCCCACCCCGCTGCCTCTACGCCCACGGAACCCACAGCCCCCCACCATCACACGAAACCCACCGCCTCGACGCATCAACCGTGCTCTCTAACGTCGTGGCTTCCCGAAGCACACCTCCGCCTTCTTCAGGCCGGAAGAGTGTTGATTCCACTGCTTCGGCTGCTTCTTCTGTGGAGGCGGGGAGGAGTAGTTGTTCGTGGGAGGAGTGTGAGCGCAAGGGGTTGAAGGAAGGGGAGGGATATGTTTCGTTTCCGGACTTTGATTTGTTGAGGAGGGAGGGCGGTCTGAGGTGAGGGGGTTGGAGAGTTGGGAGGGATTCGAAATGTGAGAGAAAGGGTTGGATGGCCGACGCTGGTGGATCATGAGGGTGGAAGTCAACAGAAACTCCTCATTTTCGAGTCGAAGCGGCGCCCACATGATCGGGTTGAAGCTCGTTCAAGACGAGAAGAATCGAGAACGAGTCGATCGATCGATAACCATACCAACTCGATCCAGACCCCATCAAGCAAAACAACGCACAAAAAACCACCCATCCCACCACTCGAATCCACGACCTCAACCCCGGACAAAGAACAACACAAACCACCAAAAAACGAAACACCTTCTCCGCGCCACTCCTCGTAGCGAGAGGGCTAATTACAGAGGGTGAAAGCGAAACTCAGCCGCGCACATTCATCCCGTTAGGGACTTACATGGAGCCTGGTTTTGATCTTTTTGTTGAGAGAAGAGTAGCCCAGAGTCAGCAGCAACAGTTCAATCAAGGGGGGGATGGGGAACCCTTTCACCTCGCTTTTTGGTCACGGAGGGAAGTGAAAGGGCCCCAACCACTTCGGCCTTTGGTTGTCGCGCTCGAAGTGGTTGGTATGAAGTGCTGGGATCGCTGGGGGGGGTATTTATGTGTTCGTCAAAGGCGGAGGCGAGGTCTAGCCGGTGGAGCGTTCTGAAGTTGTTAGGTTGGGTTTGACGGGCAACATGGGCGTGGCTTGGCGGTCGTGCTGACTTCTCGAGGGAGGTGTAGTAGATTGTGCAGCAGGATCCATGGACTGCGAGAGGGTCGTTTGTCGTGGAGAAGCGTTACATATTACTGCTCGTGATATCATCCATTGGCGAGAGTCAGGGCAGCATCAAAGCCATGTAGCAACGAGCGCCCTCAACCAACCTCCTCATGAGGCCCACCACCTCCAAGCGTAGCCTCCCCATCCGCAGCCTTCTTCCTCCCCCTTTTCTTCCCCTCTCCGCCAACCCCACCCTTGCCCTTCGCAACCTGCTGTCCCTTCCGCCGACTCTTCTCCTTCAAATCCATCTCCCTCTTCCTCTCGCCCTCCAACCTCTCCTCCTCTCGAATCGCCTCCAGCATCTCCTCCTCCTTCCCAGCCATGCTCTCCCGAATCACCTCCTCCGCCTGCTTCACCCCCGTGTACACCGTGAACTCACTCATGTCCGTCCCCGACTCCCTCGCGTAGTGCTCCAGATCCATCCGCTTTGTATGCTTCCCCAGCAACGCCGCATTGATGCGCGCAGGATCGAGGCGCTCCTCCCGCGAGAACTTCAACTTGATATGCCGCCGCGTCTTGGGCGCAAACATCTTGGAGATGATGAAGAAGTCCGTGCCGAACATTCTGAGCGCCTCGTAGAAGCGCTCCGTTTCCTCGTCGTCCCAGGCGTCGCTTTTGCGCTTCCATTGCGGGACCCGATCGGCGGCGTCGCGGCGCCGGTCGTTGAGGAAGGTGGTGCGGTTCACGCGCGCGGTGAGATCGTTCTCCTCTTCGATGGGCTGCGTGTCTGTCTGCGCTTCCGCCTCCGCTCGTGCTTGTCGGTCGATCGTCAAGCTCGTTTCGTCTTCCACGATTTGCCCGTTGACGAGGCGGAACTGAACGCCGCTTACGTTTGCTCCGCCCGGCGTGAGTGCCGCTGGTGCTGGATCGCGTGGAATGGACGTCCCGCCGGGCCCTTCTGTTGTCTCAACCACATCCACTGCAGAAGGAATCTGGGGATTGGCGGCTGCTCTCTCCCCAGCATCTCTTCTCTTGCGAGCCACCTCAACCCAATCGATCTCGGCCATCTTTCTCTCCCGCTCGGAGCTTTTGCCATGCTTCTTGTCTCCGCTTAATTCCCACATCGTCAGAGTGTTTGGGTCGATTTCGTGTAGTTCGGGGTCTGATTCCTCATCCGCTTCTTCATCTCCCGCCTGCGCGTCGCCATTCTCACCGTCAGCAGTCTCAGCAGCGGCCTGGGCTGCTGCCGCCTGCGCTTTCTTGCTCCGTCGACCCCTTTTCTTGGGCGCGGCTCGCTGTGTAGTTGTTTGAGCATCGTCCGTTTGTGCATCCGCATCCGCATCTTCAGGCTCAGCTTCGGCGGCACTGGCGAGTGCTTTGCGCCGAGACGGTTTCTTAGGGGCCGGCTTCTTCTTGCGAGCTCCTTGCTGTGCAGGCGCTGCAGTGGTTGCAGTTGCTGGTGGCGTGATATCCTGCTCCTGCTCGCGAGTCGTTGTGGCCGACGCTGCCGGCTCCTCTCGTCCCTCAAGCGCGGCTTGCGCAATGGCATTACTTCGAGTGGAAGCCTTCTTCGCCCGCTTGGCCGGCTGAGCCTGCTCTTCCGTAGAAACTTCGTCGTTCCTTCTCTTTCGAGGAGAAGTAGCACGGCGGCCTCGCTGAACTATTGTTGGCGCAGATGTATCCTGAGTAGTTGCCGAGGTGGTTTCAACTTCAACGACACTCGCACCTCTCACCGGTTGCGCTTCTTCAACCGCGACGACGGGTGGTTCTGTGTAAGAAGGTGAAGCTGAGATCGGTACAGTGGCATTCTGAGTGGGCGGAGGCGAAGGGGGTGCGACGGCTGCAGAGTCGGTGGTTGTAGAGGCGGGAGTCGCTGCTTTCGCTGGTGTTGGCGAGGGCGGAGGTGGCTGCCGTCGTCGCGCTCCTCCTTTGGGGGCAGCAACCTTTTGGTTGCCAACCGCCGACGAGACTAGAGTCGGCATGATCTGCCTGCTGCTACTACTGCTGTGATTGTGCAGCGTGCAGAGACAAAGTGATGTTCTCTCGAGTCATGAGCAATGTGATATGAATGGCGGGTCTCTTGCATGTGAGCGGTGGGTCCGTGCAAATTTAAACTTTCGCCAAAAGTCGATGCTCGCGTGCCAGGGCTTTTGAATCCGAAACATCGCTTCAACCTCGACTCCCTTTACAAAGTCTGCTGTTTCTTGAAAGACTGTCCAAAGATCCCTTGCCATCCCATCGCCGCTTCAGTCGCCTCGCATTCAGTGCCAGTGGCCTGCAGGAGTCTTCATATGCTGTCTCAGGCGCAAGGACTTGGACTGGAGCACGGCGTGCGCGAGCTGGCCGCGATTCGGTCCCTTCCTCTTCTTTCTTTCTCTTCATTTTAATCGCCTTCCATGACCGCCACGCAGGCTCTACCCGTTGTTGCTCTCCCTCCACCGCCCTTTGACGCCACTATTGCTGTCAAGATGGAGGATCGCAAGAGATCTCTCGCCAACGATGCAGCCGAAGATGCTATGCCCAGTCGCAAGCGAGCGAGGGATGAAAATGGCCAGATGATGCGCATGGATGCGGAGAAAGAGAAGGACGTCGAGGTGAGTATCTCTCTTTCCGTCGCCCGGCGGAGCGCGTGCGTGCAGTACTGACACTCAACCTCGCGAACAGAACTATCAAAAGGACGCCATTCTTCGCCAGATGAAGGAGTACAAGCGGCAAAAGAGGGATCTAGAAGACCAGAATGCGGATCTTCTGAAGCGATGCGAATTTCACGATGATCATCTCCGTACGATCGACGCGTGGTTCGCGCAGCTCCTCGATGAAGTCCGAGTCATGGCTTCCGAAACACTTCCAATCCCTCTCTCAAAGGCGACAGACGCCGGTAGGCCACCCCCGACCAAACATGGGCGAGGAAACCATATGCTGAGTATGCTTAGGCGAGGAAATATACACATCGGCGCTGCTGTTTAAAAACAGTGCAAAGTTCTCGGAGCACTTGCAGGCGCGGTCAAGTTCCATCAAGAGTGCGATATCGGATCTGTTTGGGCGCATGCCATCTGCTTCGCCTGATGTGGAGAGCCTGAGGCGGCAACTCAACGAGCTTCTCGCCGAAGAGAAGCAGCACACGGTCGAACTTCGGAAGGCCATTGACGACAAGGAATCGCTATCGGAACGGCTTGAGGCGGCATCGTATCGCTACATGACTGCGGAAAAGAAGCTTGATCGAGCAAAGAGTAGTCAGGTGCTCAAGTTGGAGAAGGCGGCTATGATGGGAAGCAGTGCAGAAGCCTCGTCGCCGACCACAAGCAAAAAGGCCGCAACCCCGAAGCGAGAGCAGTCTGAAGTCAATGGCGAGCCGGAGAACGCTGCAGCAAGCGCTGAGATCGAGACAGCTCGGAGGGAGGCGGTGGCTGTTGCAGATCAAAGGAAAGCTCAGCTTGACGAGATCGAGCAGGACAACGAACGCCTGACGAATGAATTGAGCGCAGCGCGCACGAAGCTTGCCAGCCTGACCGATGACGACTATGCCGAGACGTCGCTGTTCCGGATGGTGAAGTCTCAGTATGAGGATGTCGTGAATCGAGTGAATGACCTGGAGGCCAGCAGTACTACTTTACGGCAGGAGAACCAGAGACTACAATCTGAGCGGACTTCATATCGTAGTGTGGTTGACGACGAGCACCGAAACACCACCATCGAGACGGAAACGCAACTTGCGAGAACTGAGAACGACCTTTCCCGGATACGTGTCCAGCGAGACGACCTGCAAGCGGAGTTGACAGTACGAAAGACCGCCGAAGACACTCGACGGATATCGACCGAGCAAACAAAACAGCTTGTGGCGGCACGAGACGCCAGAATCTCCGCCTTGGAATCCGAAGTCGAACGTCTGCGGTTGCAGAACGGCGAATCACCCACTCCGGACTCGAATTTGGACGACTTGGATACTGACTCCCTCAAGAACAAACTCCGAACGCTTCAGGCACAACATGAACTGCTTGGGAACGAACTGGCATCGATGGCGTCTGCCTGGAGGAAAGCGCAGAGTCTTGCATCACAGAAGGTGCAGGAGATCTCTGATTTCGAAGAGCAGATTAGTCGATTGAACATGGAGAAGACAAAGGCCAACCAGAAGTATTTCGACGCAATGAAGACGAAAGATCTGCAGCAGAACGAGCTTAAGGCGGTCAAGAACCAGAATCTCAGGAGCAGTGAGATCGTCACCCAGCTCAAGGACACCGAAGGCCGGACGCGAGAACTCGTTGCCAATCTAGAGAGGCAGGTCGTGGAGGCCAAAGAGGAGCTTGCGGGGCTCGAGAAGCAATACAAGGGTTTGGAGCAGAAGCACAAGGATCTCGCTCTTACCGGTGCGGGAGTCAGCAAGCAGATTGAGGACTACAAAACTCTCATCGCGGGCAAAGATCGCGAGATCCTGGATGCAAAGAAGGCGAAACGAGAGACGGAGGAAGAGGCGGAGAAGACCAAGGTCAGGCTTGAAGATGCAACCAAGCAACTCGACATTCTGAAAAAGTCGACGAGCTCCGCGGCCGGCGGCTCGGGGGGCGAAGCGAATTGGCGGGTAAGTGGATGCCTCACAATGTACGAGCTGGAGTCCTTTGCTAACGAGGCAAACAGAAAGTCGCCATTTGCCCGGTTTGTAACACGAACATCCGTAACACGGTCATCAAGTTGTGCGGCCACGTCTTCTGTCGGAGCTGCGTTAACGATCTCATTTCCAACCGGAGTCGCAAGTGTCCCAGCTGCGGCAGGGCTTTCGGGAATGGCGATCATATGCACATCGTCCTGACTTGAAGACACTGGACTTCTTCGCCCGCGTCTGGACGAGGAGACGCTTTGTTCCTACGCAAGTGTGGCACTGCCGCGATCCCGGTCCTCCAATGGCCCAAGGTTCAATTACGAATACGAAACGCTGCGAGGAATGCAGTGTTGAGGAAGAAGAGAAGAGACACCTTCAGCAGGGAGTGCGAGCGCTCCATAGCTTCGCACGTCCCGACACTCCTGCGGGAGCTTGAGGGTATGATGAGAGTACGCGCATCGGGGGTCTGTACAGATGGGAGGCGAATTGTTGTTTTCTTCAGTTTTTTGCTCGAGTCGTGCCCCGGTGGACGGCTCGGGCTGTATTAGTACCGTACAACTAGCATGGTTGAAATCGTTGTTGACGTTGGTCAAGACTGAAGTGTCAATCTGTTGCATTTGCTGTCACTTTTGGAGTTGTCGTCGTCTTGACTCACCCTAATCGCGGAAGGAAAAGTAAAAAGACTTTTCAAGTGGCATGAAACTATGTGATTCGAAAGTGTGATATCAATGCGCAAAAAGACGACTCTCTTATACACCCTGTAAGAGACAACCCACGCCGCCTTTCCGTGTTGTTGCGCCAAATCGCCGAATATGAGGTCCCGACTCTCCACTGTATCGCTGCTGCTTCCCTTCCTGGACATCCTCACGAAAGCATCTTCTTGAATGAAACACCCAACTGTAATGAACACCGTCTCTTATCCCCAGCGCTCAACGCAAAGCAATCTCCCCTCTCCCGCTCGATCGCGCGTGCAGCCAGGCTTGTAGGGCGCAGAAGACGAGGAAGACCTGGTGTGCGCAAAGTATCGTCAGCATTGTGCTCTCTCATCTGCATTCCTACCTCTCCCCTGTCGATGTTTGTAGGGTCAAAAGTGGGTGGATGCGAGCACGTACAGCGTATACCACTACCGCTCCAAACACCGCTGCGGCGACTTTGCCGCCGTTCACGGGGTCTTCGGTGCTGCCCATCATGCTGTGGTGGCCGCTGGCGAACATGCTGCCGATGATGCTGAGGATGACGATTCCGAAGGCGGAGATGACGATGCTGGGGGTTATGGGTTAGTGGTCGGGCGGATGGTTTGGAGGGTGGTTTGAGGTGTTGAGCAAGAGGCGGGCGTACCATGTCCACGCTGTAGGTTGGGGATGAGATGTTAGCTGTGGTGACATTGCGTGGATGGGATAAGGAGCTGCGCACCATTGAATGCGGATACTAGGGCCTTCATGTTGGCGGATTGGAGAGGAAGATGTGGGTGCCTTGAGAGGGGGAAGGAGGTAGGCAACGCTGTCGGCGGGGTTCTGTACGGCGTACAGCTATGGCGGTGGAAGAGCCAGAGGCTGTCGATGTGCAGAGTGCGACAACAGGAGTGATGGGAAGGGTGGTAGGCGGGGTGGTGAGTTGCGTCTCTTCTCCGTCTGAAGTTGTCATGCGGGATGCGGCGATGATGTGGATCTGCTGTTATGCCTCAGGCAGCAATGCGGCTCCCCTTTGAACCTCCCCCTCCAAATTGGTGGAACTGCACCTCACCTTTGCTTCCTTCAACACCAGGAATACGAACACATCCAGTCGCCTCCGGGTGCACAAACACCCACCATGCTATCAGGCGTGCTCCTCTTCAACCAAAAGGGCGAGCTGCTCATCATGCGAGCCTTCAGACAAGACATGCGCCCACGCCTGGCCGACGTCTTCCGCATCCAAGTCATCTCCAACGCGCAAATCCGCTCGCCCATCCTCACCCTCGGCAGCACGACCTTCAGCCACATCAAGAACGAGAATCTCTACATCGTCGGCGTGTCAAAGGGCAACGTCAACGCCGCCCTCGTCTTCGAATTCCTCTACAAACTCGCCGGCTTGGGCAAGGCGTATTTCGGACGCTTCGATGAGGAGGCTGTTAAGACCAACTTCGTCATGGTGTACGAGCTGCTGGATGAGATTTTGGATTTTGGATACCCGCAAGGCACCGATGCTGAGACGCTGAAAATGTATATCACGACTGAAGGCGTAAAGAGTGAGCGAGCGTTGGAGGATAGTAGTAAGATTACCATGCAAGCCACTGGAGCTTTGAGTTGGAGAAGAGACGGCATCAAGTACCGAAAGAACGAGGCTTTTGTCGACGTGATCGAGGATGTCAACCTGCTTGTCTCCGCATCAGGCACTGTTCTCCGTGCGGACGTCAACGGGACAATCGACATGCGCGCATACCTGTCAGGCACACCAGAATGCAAATTCGGCCTCAACGATAAGCTCACGCTTGGAGAGAATGGTGCAGGCACCGACTTGAGCATGCAAACCAGCACCAAGGGTGGAAAGAAAGCCTCCAAGGCCGCTGCAGGATCTGTCACACTCGAAGACGTCTCCCTACATCAATGCGTCAAGCTGTCCTCTTTCACCAACGATCGCACAATCTCCTTCATCCCTCCCGACGGAAGCTTCCAACTAATGACCTACCGCGCCACCGAGAACGTCAACCTGCCTTTCAAAGTTCACGCCATCGTTAACGAAGTCGGCAAGACTAAAGTCGAGTACTCCATCGGCATCCGGGCGAATTATGGCAACAAACTCTACGCTACCAATGTTGTCGTCAAAATTCCCACACCCCTCAACACCGCTTCCACAACGCATCGCGCCAGTCAGGGCAAAGCAAAGTACGAGCCGTCAGAAAATGCCATCGTGTGGAAGATTGCACGCTTCACGGGGCAGTCAGAGTACGTCTTGACCGCCGAGGCGGCGCTCAGCGCCATGACAACACACAAAGCTTGGTCACGGCCACCGTTAAGCATGCAATTTTCGCTGCTCATGTTCACTAGCTCGGGACTGCTAGTGAGATATCTGAAGGTGTTTGAAAAGGGAAACTATTCCAGCGTCAAATGGGTGCGATATATGACCCGGGCGGGGTCATACGAAATTCGATTCTGAGTGGGAATGTGTCAGACGAGACACTGGGACTCATCACGATGTACGACTAATTTTTACGGTTCCTGATGACTCTTTTGCTGGTCCTGCACACCGGCGAAGAATAAAAGTTAGATGGATGATCACGAGGCATTGCACTCATTCGCGGTTCTTCGCAGCGTTTTGCATGGCCTCATCTTGAGCGCTTCAATTTCACTTCCATCGCTTCACTGGCACGTGTTCTGGTATCCCATGGGATCTTCATCACATGCTCAACATTTGTAACTTTGGCCTTCACTCCAGAACCCTTTCAACCATCATTTCTCCCTTCTCACGAACTCAAACCAAAACATGAGCATCACCACAACCTCCAACCCAATTGTTCTTGGCATTGACAACGAGCAGGAAGACTCACGTCCAGCTCAGCGTCCAGTCACTCCACCTGGGCACGCAATTGAGCAAATTGGGAGTGCTGGCTCTTCGCCATTGAGTTCACTTCCAAGCTCTCTCTTGAGCCCTCGCCCAGACGTCATCGGACTACCATCTTCTCCGCGCCTCACTTCAACCTACCCCGATCTTTCAAACTCAACCGAACCCCAACCACCGGCAGGCTTCACTGCAATCCAATCTACTGAGAGTCTCTCCGCCCCCGAAGTATCTCCTCACTCCCTTCCAACACCTAGCACTTCTTCACGACGCTCCGTCTACCCTCCTTTGAGCCAAGAGGACGAAGAAGAGATTGAGCGATTGACTTCCAACGTAGCAGGGTATCTTCAGGACTTCCGCGACACGACTGCTAGTGTGCGACCGAGATCACGCAAGCTTCAACGCTTTTGCTGGACTTTGAGACCTTCCACGAAGATGACTGAGACCGCTGAAGACGCGAAAGTTCAGCGGGGCCTACCTGATATGGACGCTGGTGAGAGTCAAACTCAACCATCTCGCTGGATTTACGACACGGAAAGTGAGCTGTGGACCTATCTGCAACCTGATCATCCAACAGTCCATCACACAACTCCAGAAGCGCGCTCAGATCCTAGTCAAGGCTCGCCAATGGAACTCACTATCGGAAAAGAGAGCGCCCCCGAAGTCAGTCTGGCACACGAGCAGGATACGACAATGGAGCTCGTGACGGAAAGAGAGAGCATACGGATGAACTCGCTTCCTTCTTCTGCCGGCAGTGGGCACGACTTTGAAACGGAAAGCAGCTTGCGCCGTCAGGATTCGCGAAACATCACCGCGGCCCGTGAGGAGGAGCCGCGGACGCATAAGGCTATCAAGACTCTTGAGCAAGCGGCAGATGAAATTCCCGGACCCAATGACCGCAATGCAACTGCCACGGACCAAGAGAACGCGATTGTCATCCGTGCACCCTCAATTGCGGATCATATCCTCCAAGCATTGACCGCGAAGAAGAAGGTAAGGCCGATCGGTGTGAGGTCATTGTGCATTGTACTGATTATGATATCTAGAAGGTACATCTCGGCTCCAGCGTGGCAATTGTACTCGATGTCCACGATTTAAGCAAAACGTTCATCTGCCCGTCCAAGTATTTCCAGGATCGAATCAATACTGCTCCACTTCCGACAACGACGAAGTATCAGGATGGTGTGGTGTCGATGCACATGTTCACTCTCGATGTGAACGAGAATGAAGCAGATCGGCCTACACCAGTCTTGAATCCCCTCGGGTCAATGGATACCCTGGAGACGCTGCGTGAGCGCGGTCCGGGATTGTTTCTTCAACAAGGAAGATCAGAATCCGAGCAAGCATCGAGTCAAGCTGGAAACGCAACCATTCACGACGGCACCTCTCGCAACTGGAACGCAGTGTTCGAGACGCTCAAGATGATGATCATCATGAAAGAAGGCAACAGTACCAGATCCCGCGCCATCATAAGACAGCTCAGCGAGGATGCCTCGAACGCACTAACAACCATCGAAGGCATTATGATCATCGCAAAGCTCGACTCCGGACTACTTGAAGTGGTCTCCGGCATCCTCCCAGCCGTGATTCTCGAATACATCGGCAATTCCTCTCTCTACTCGGCCATTGCAGTCAAGCCCGCCTCTTGGCTTCTTCTCAGCATCACTCTCCAGAACTCGACGATTTTCAAGGAAGCCTTCTGCCACATCGCCGCACTGTATCCCGCGTGGCCATGGACGGACAAGCCACAGACAGATCTCCCCAAAGACCTGCTCTCCGCCATCAAGTCCAAAGCTCGCGAGCTCGAGCACATGCGCATCAGCGTAGACAGGCAGCTTTCCATGCTGACTCTCCAAGCGCCGTACCTCGACGCGCAAAACAGGCCCATGCTACCCATCAGCGAAATCAATCATCCGTACAAGTACGACGTAGTCAACTTCTGGTGGCACTGGGTGGCGCGACATCTGAATCACCTCGACTCCACCGAGCCAATCCAAGCCGCAGCAGCACACAAAGCGAGCGACTTCTGCAACCACATCAACACTTCTTGCCTCAGTAGAGCAAGCTTCTACCGCGCACTCGCCAAAGGCGGCGACACATATCTTCCTTTCAACGAGCTTGTCCGCAAGTTCAAAGTGGCAGGACGCTATCTCATCGGAGCGGACGAAGAGGAGATGCGCAGTGCGCTTGTGGAGTTGAAAGGCGCTGCTGCGGGGATTGTGGCGCCGCTGGTGCAGTCGTCTTTGCAGCTGAAGGGGAGCGGGGAGTTGGGGTATTTGAGTTGTGTTGCGGTTGGGGAGGAGGAGATGGTGTGGAAGAAGGAGGAGACGGAGGAGGAGGATGGAGAGGGAGGGATGGAGCTTTGAAAGGGAGACGAAGGGAGGGAAACTGCGGAGAGGGTGTCTACCTTGTATATCAGGGCGGAGAAGTAGCTTCTCCAGTAGTATTCTGCCCCATCAGCTTCTATGTCTAGCAGCCTACATCATTCGACGAATGCTGCTGTCGTTCGAGCATCCGCGATGCTTGCAGCCAAAGCGGACGAGAGCCCGTCCAGCCACCCACAACCTGAAGGCGATACAACGACCGGGTCCGGTCTTGGGAGTTCGCTGGCTCACTCGAGTCTACCTCACGTTACGGGCTTGGTTTCGCTGTGCGACGAGCTCACGCTCTTCTCCTCCGCATATCTTCTCAGCGGTAGGTAACCGAGACAACGTGGGTTGAGCGGGTGAGTCGGAGGATTTTTGCAGCGGCTAAGCGAGGAACAAGCTTCATTCATCTCATGTCGTTGCGAGAGGCTGCGGGGAAGCTGCAAGGCTGTGCCCAATGCGGCAACTGGTCTATTCACAATATCTGCTTTTGTATTTGCTATACTCTCTCACCGAGTAGGATATCTGACTGCGCACGCTCGATATTCTAACTGACGAGTGCGCAAACCTTACCCATCGCTCATCAGCCGTCGTATCCATCAGCGCATCGCTTTGCTCTCCCCGTCAACGCCGAGCCAAGCTACACCTCGTCTTATTCTCCGACGACGTCACGCCATCCCCATCGGCAAGCACCGCGGTAACGTCGCACTGTTTATATTTCCGATGACAAGGCCAAGACCGCATATATAGAGAGAGGAAATTGCACGCTCGCTTCTTCTTTCCTCCCATCCATCCATCTTTATTCTTCCCCGTCACAAAACCCACCCCCAAGAACGTGCCTCATATCAAGACATTCAGAACCACGAAGCCAGTCAGAACGACAAAGACATTCAAGACCCTAGACAGACTAATCAGAGAAGTACCTACCAAACACATTCATCACCCACTAACCCACCCCCCCACCCCTCAAAATGAAGGTCCCATCCCTCACTGACCTCCTCCCCCTCGCCCTCCTCCTCACCCCCCCAACAGCAGCCCGCCCAACCCGCACCTACCCCTGGCAGCCAACCTCCACAGTCAGCACAACCTGCTCCCCCAACGGCGCCGTAATCTGCAACGGCCCGCACCAATACGGCCTCTGCAATTTCGGCAGCGTCATCTTCCAGCCCGTCGCGCTCGGCACAATCTGCTACAAAGGGGCTGTTGTCGCTGCGGGCTCGGAGCCTGGCTCTGGCTCTGGCGGATGGGGCGGCTGGGGCCCCTCGACGTGCTCGCCTAATGGCAAGCTGATCTGTAAGGGGCAGTATCAGTATGGGTTGTGCAATTTCGGGAGCGTCGTGTTCCAGTCTGTTGCGCTGGGGACGAAGTGTATTGATGGGCAGATTGTGGATGCGTGAGTTTGCTTGCTTTTATGTTTGATGCTTGATGAACTTGATGGATGCTTTTTTTTGTCGCGGAGGAGAGGATTAGATAGATTATGCCCTACGCTTAATGAGTATGGTTTGTTTGACGATGCTTACCTTTACCGCCTTTTCTTCCCTTTCCCTTTCCCATTGTCAACTGCTCTGGCCAATTGCCAGCATATCCATGCAAATCCCCCAACGACGGCCAGAAAGATGCCTATCTGCACCAAGCCCGCACTGTCGGCTCTCAACACCGGCACTTGAATCTCCTCCACCAGTCTCATCGCATCTCCCGCAGGCGGCACATGATAAAACAGCGTCTGTGGCGTGAATAGTCCATCGAAACCTAGGTCCACGCGATCAAAGGGGTTATTGTCCAGATTGAGTTCAGCATCCTCCACTTCGCAGGCCCAGAAAACAATCGGCCAGGGAATTTGCACGCCGGCCGTGCTATCTGTCCCAACGTCACTTAGCAGTGGAGAGAGATACCGCAGATGAAGCGGGATAGTAGCCGTCCACATCTCCCCCTCACCATCAAGACCAGCACCGGGCGCAGCAAGCTCAACCAGCGCCGCCGACCCCCACCTCCGAATTACCCAATCCGGAGCCTCGAGGTCGTCTTCGCCGATGAGGCTTTGTAAGCTCACTAAGTTCTGGGAGTCCAGGAAGAGGCGGTCGGAGAGCTGGAAGCGGTCTATAAAGAGCGTGGAGGGGAGGGTGAGGTAGGTGTGCAGTGTGCAGGTTTCCTGCGGGCGTTGGGTGAGGGGTTGGCGGGGGAGGTGGAGGTGGAGTTTGGGATGGAGGCCGCTGGGATGCTGGATTGTTGTTTTGAAGGTTGCGCCTGCTGAGGTTGGGGGAAGGGGGTGGTGGCGGGAGGGGAAAGAGAAGAGCGTTGCACCTGTGTTTTGATGTCAGCAATGGCGTGAAGATGTCGTCGGTGGATTGGAGATCTCATACTCGGTCGCTCATCCTCGCCGATAACCGTCAGGTATCCGCCTAGAGACAGCTCTCCCGAATCCTTCGCTTCTTCCGCATGAAGCACGCCAACTTCAAGTCTTCCCTCCGGCCCAGCTTTCCGATACACCCGTCCAGAAGACTCTCGAGACACCGCATCATCCTCAGCACTCCAATATGCCGTAAAATCCAGAGTCTGGCCAGCCGCATCGAAATCAACATCCACATGGCTCGCATCGTCCAGAGTCCGGATTAGAGAATCGCAAGCCCGACCCCAATCCGAGTTGGCTGAAGACGGAGGGCAAATTTTCCCCAAAAACACCTCCGCCAACCCCTCCCTCCGAATCGACGAATTCTGATACCACTGAAATGTAGCAGGTTGCGCAGGGCTTTCGGAAACAGCAGGCAAGCGGGCGAAAGACTCGTGGACAGAGTCGCACTTGGATTCGTCGCCAACTAGCTTTTTCAGGAGGTTACAGATGGGCAGGCTGCGGACAGATTAGATCAAGTCGAATTTATATAAGAAGGTATGGGGGGCACATACTCATCCTCAACCCCACTCGGCGTCAAAAAAACATGCAACCCAGCCGGAAGTCTCGAAACCAGCGGCGGAGTGAGAACGTGAGGTCGCCGCGACGACCAGCGGAGATGCAGTTCTTGACATCCGACAAGGAACAGCTTGAGCTATACACATATCCATTAGCTTTTTACTCTTCTTGAGAATTCGTAGGGTTGTGCACGACATACTTCATCGGGCAGTTCGTGCAGTCCGAGCGTGACTCGCCATTCCTCGTGCGCTTGCGGCGCTTTGGCGAAGTCGAGGCGGTCTGCTTTCACGGAGAGATCGGAGGGCGCGAGACTGCTGTTTGCTGGTAGTAGGTAGGTGAGGCGCTGCTTCATGCTTGTCTACTTCTTTCTTGTTTGTCTCCTGGAAGTCGAGAAGGGGAGGAAGTGCAGTTGTGGACGCGAGCTTGGGTAGTGTTGATACCAGCGTGATACATTCTACGCGCATGATTGAGATGGATGCTGTGTGTAGAAATAGGACGACGAGGATCAACCCAACACAAGACCAACACTCGGGTATCACAACAACATAAACACCAGAACAATCCTACCCTTCAACTTACTCAACCTCCTTCAATCTCCCAAGCACACCTCTCAACCTCTCCGTAAAAGCGCCCCATACCTCCCCGCCCTCCTCCCCCTCAAACGCCATCCCATCCACCCGCTCATGATGCAGCACGAACTCCTGCACAGCCTCGACCAACAACCTCAAATTCTTGCCCGGCAACTTCTCCTTCACGAAAGCTCTGACGTCCGGCTCTTGGCACAGATTGGCGAGCATGACGGCCAGGTAGCCGTAGGCGACGTTGGTCACGGATTCAGAGACGGATTCCGCTTCGAGCATGTTTTCTTGCCCGGTTTGGAGCACGGCGAGGAGGGATGTGAGGACTTCGGGAGAGGTAAGCAGGGCTGAGTGCCGGGCTGCGGTGCTATGTTCAGCCAGATTGATGATGATGCCCATGGAGAGGACGAGGAGGTCGAGGGCTAGGGCGCGGTGCTCTTCGTTGCTTTCGACGTGCAGGGTTGTGCAGCCCTGGTCGATGGAGAGGAGGAGGTGCTGTGTGGTCATTGGGTTGGCGGAGAGGAGGGCGCAGTTGTGGGCGTTGTCGTTTGTGAGGTTGAGGCTGAGGCGGAGGGTGAGGAAGAGGGTGTGTCGGGTTGTTGACGTGGTGGCGTCCAGTTGCGGGAGGATGTCGGCTATCCTTTCTAGTGTGGTGGACGGCCAGGATAGAGAGGTTGTGGTTGTTGAGAGCGATTCCAGGATGGAGACGGAGAGGTCGAGGTCGATTGCATGGTCGGCAGTCATTGAAGGTGTACCCGAACGGAGGACCAGAGAGATCTGTTCAAAGTCGAGCAGCTCCTCTTTGGTTCCAGTCCGTCGAAGCCGTCGAATAAGCAGATCCAGCGCTTTCAATGCAATCAGACGAGGGGTCATTTCGTGCGGCACCCGCTCTCCCCACAGTATTACCTGCGTCTTGATACCATCGGTAAAGTCATTGAATGCGCCTTGCGCCGCCTTTGCCATATTATTCCGCCGATCCTTAGCCATCTTGCCAGCTGGGGGGTCGTGTTGCAAGAGCTTTGCCAGCCAAGGCAAAGTGCCCTGTTCGTGCAACGTCCTAATTGTATGATCAGGCGGTTCGGAAGCAAGTATAACAGCAAATGCCACGGCGATAGCGAAATCGGCAATATCATCTGCCGCAACACCGCACTCCGCCGCGAGTTCGCTTTCCAGACTCTGCCCTACGAAGCGTCCGGCGAACGCCTTATCGGTAAGTTTGGAGGCAAGTTCAATCAGTGCACTTCTCCTTCGACTGCGATGAGATGCATTATGATTCCGAATCTCACCGAGGAGCTCTTCAATGTCGTACATTCCCGCCACATTCCGACCGGATGCGCGAAGCTCATGGATCGTCCGGATCTTGCCTGATGTTCGCTCATCATCACTGTCCTCGAGGTCGAAAGCAGAGTTCTGCAATGTGGCAGTAGATTTCCCAAAGCGCTTGGATGGAGCTGGCCGCTGAGTCATTTCCGAGTCGAGGTCGGCCATGAAGTCCTGCTCCAAGCTGTCCTCTTGTAGATAGGACCGACTTTGGCCGTAGGTGATTTTCGGGCCGTTGGTCGAAGCCGCTGCAGTAGGCTGGCTTTGCGAGTGGGATGTATGAGACGACACTCGCTTTACAAGCGATGGTCGTTCTGAGGATCGAGGTGAGCGTTGCTTGGTTTCAAGATCGTCCATTGACTCGGATTCGCTCTCGCTGTCGTCATCCGCAAGCGCTTCATCTCCAGAACTCGGCGCAGAAGCTTTCAACCGATCGACCAAGCGAGTTCGTCGCCTGCCTACATCTGACTGAGACTTCGATAATTTGCGCGTGAATGACGATACCCCACTGCGCTTCTTGCCAGAGATACTAAGATCTTTGATTGGCAATGCACTCGGGGATGGCGCGGCGTTGTCACTGGGCAGCAAGTCATGCCACAGCTGTGCCTGTCTTGGCGTCATCGCTGCTGCTGCTGTATTGTTCGTCTCGGAATTTGCAGACCGACCCGATGGAGGAGTCGAGGGCGCATGTTGCGGGGACGATTTTCGACTGGTGGCTGATGGAGAGCGGGTGGGAGCTTCGGTAGTGTCTGTGTCGTGGAGCATTTCGGTGAGTCGAGACGGAGCGGAGGCACCTTTTGCCAGCGCTGCTTTTCCAGCGTAAGTCTTTGATCTGCCCGGTCGGGCAGACGGTTTTGTCGAGCGCAACTTTGACGAGGGTAAGCGATTGCTTTGACTGGAGCGCTCTTCCTCGCTCGATGAGGGCAAATCGAAGATGTCGTGCTGTTGATCATCGCTTTCGGCGTTCCCCTTTGCGCTTTCGTGAGTACTTTCATCACCAGTGGGTTGACTCGGGCCCTCTTTCGCCTCCTCAGATGTTCTTGCTCGCTTGCGAGGTGTGATATCCGGATCAGAGTCGGCATCGCGCTTAGCGACAGGATGACCGGCTTCTCTTCTTCGTGCAGCAAGCCGAGCCTTTGCTGTCAGTGGCTCTGGTGGAGCGGCCCTGCTTTTCTCCACTGGTTCACTTGGGCTCTTTCGCGAAGGTGTTGTCGACTTCAACAGCTCCGGCGAAGCAGTCGCGCGCATCAAGTCTTCCCTTAACTGAGACTCCGGACTCGCGAGATATGCATTCTTCCTCTTGCTAGTGGCATCATGATCGGCTTGCGCTCTGCTGCGTTCCCACGGCGCGAGTGACGCATGACTCGCCGCGGTGTCGTCAACCAACGTGCTCTTGTGGTGAAATCGCGGTGACGGCACCACTTTCGCAGGGGAAGGAGAGTCTTCATCAGATGAGGGGACATCGAAAGTGTCGTGGCGTTTGGGACGCGATGGCGCTTGTTTGGAAGTGTATGTTTTGGGTGGCGCTTTCGTAACAGGGTAGGATTCTTTGACGTTGCTCTGGCGTGGCGGTACTGATTCAGCAGACGCAGGCTCGTCGTCTTCGTTGAAGAAGGAGTCCACGTTCCAATGCGACCTGTTGACCACCTTGCCGTATACCTGCTTCTTGCGCTTCGGTACTTGCGCTGTGGAAGAGGTGGCCATTGTAGCAGGTGGTTCGTTCTTAGATCAGCGCCAGATCAGACGAGTGGGCGTCGCCAATGGGGAGGCATGTTGTTCACACTCCTACTGTTCGAATGAGGAGTGTCATTGTGAAGAAGGGTGGAGGCGAAGGTGAGAGTGAAGTGTATGGCAGGAGATTAGATGGCTTGTGTTGCGCCGGCGTGTGTGAGGGGAGGGGAGCCTCGCGTGATTCCACTGTCATATGTCCATCCAAGCAAAGAAGGTCTGAAGGGCAAGCGAAGTGAAGGGGTGGTGGACAACCAAGAGTGTGCATCTCCATCAAAACATCGCCAGCACGAGCGCCGGGGCCCAGACGTCACACACGGCACGAGCCGCAAGTCAAAATACGACCAAGCTCGAGCTGGAAATAGCAGCCACGCGACACACTGGAATTGACTTTCATACACCACCTGCACTCTTTCTACCGTATGCAATAACTAGATAGATCGAAAGACGAGGCTGTTTGTTGGGAATCCCAATCGCTGGAGGCACTCACTTCTTGGGCTTCCGTGGGTAACTGCAAACCTCAAGCATCCCCTACTCTAACCCGAGTGAACTCGAGGCTTTGGGATAGAAGCAGTCCGATATCGAATCACGCACCATGTCAACCCAGGAAGCGCCTAACCAGCACGTCGGACCCGACTACAAGCCGACATCAGAGAGGCCCGAAGCTACCGTCTCCAAGTCGTTAAGTCTCGACAATGTCCACATCCTCCCCCAGACCTCGCAGCTCATCGCCTGCCTGACGTACGTTTCAATATTCTCCCATTCCCAGCGCTTCTAGCTAACTCTGGCCAGCATGATCCGCGACAAATCCACCAACCGCGCCGACTTCATCTTCTACAGCAACCGCATCAACCGCCTGCTCGTGGAAGAAGCGCTCAACCACCTGCCCGTGCTGCCCCACAACATCACCACCGCCGTCGGCCGGCCCTACGCCGGCGTCAAATTCGAGGGCCGCATCTGCGGCGTCTCCATCATGCGCGCCGGCGAGGCCATGGAGCAGGCCCTGCGCGAGTGCTGTCGCAGCGTGCGCATTGGCAAGATCCTCATCCAGCGCGATGAGGAGACGAGCAATCCCACCCTCTTTTACGATAAGCTGCCGGCGGATATTAAGGATCGTTGGGTTATCTTATTGGATCCTATGCTTGCTACTGGTGAGTTGTGGCCCTCGTGCATCGCCTCACATCGTGTATTGTGCTGATGTGAATGCAGGTGGCTCCGCGCTCATGGCTATCGATGTCCTGCTCTCCAAGGGCGTGCCAGAGGAACACATCCTCTTTATCAACCTCATAGCCTCGCCCGAAGGAGCGGCGAAATTTGCAAAGAAGTTCCCCAAAATCCGCATCGTGACGGCGTTTGTAGACGAAGGCTTGAACGAGAAGAACTACATCGTGCCCGGCCTCGGGGATTTCGGCGACAGATTTTATACCCTCTAAATCACTAGTGACCACTTCTTACCAACGCAAAGCCTGTTGCCCTCTGACTCGTGCGTCTATTTCATTCGTCTCTGCTGCGTAAAGTCTGCGCACTCGTGCGTTTTGTTTGAGTTACAGCCCCGCTTCTTTCGACAACACTATAGTTCGTGCTGACGGTCAAGCTGACAGCAGCGTCACATTTGATGCACCCACATTAATGTAAGCAGCATTGGTAACAGACTTCACATCGTGTATTCAATCTTCAGCGAGTCAATCTTTTTCCGATAACTTGCAACAATCAACACCAACAGCGTCAAATCGTCACCTCACCTCGTCTCCATCCACATACAATGCCTCAACCAGCCCCATTCAGACAAATCTCCTTCTACGGAAGTAAAGACACAGGCAGGCCCACCGCGCCCGCAGATGTCCCAATCGCGCAAAGAAAGGCTCTGTACGAGAAATTCCAGGCCGGGGTGATCGAATGGAACGACGGCAACGCTTTGACCCGCAACATGAACGAATGGTTCGTGCCGCTTTTCGTTGATACGGACCCTCGACAACTCGATCGTCTCAAGGCCATCTACTCCGCCATCAACAAGGCGCTCATTCATTTGGTGGACAATTGGTGGACTGATGAAGAGGCCGACTTCCCGAAGCGGATGCCTATTGAGAAGCATCAAGAGCAGTTGCTCAGGGTGCGTATTGCTCAAGTATAGAGGCTTCTTCATGCTGACGTAGCCATTCGCAAGTGGATCGGCAGTCGCGAGGAATCGCACATGCCGTCCTACGCCGAACGACGAGATGTTCAAAGACCCGATTTCCTCATCGAGCAAATCGAGGGCCCGAGCGAGCCTGTGGAGCGGCTCAAGATCTGCGAGATTAATGGCCGATGGCCGTACAACGGTTTCCATTTGGCGTTCATGGTGGAGTATGCGGCGGCGAAGCTGTTTCCCGAGCGGCTGGGGATGACGTGGGATCTAGACGAAAAGGTAGGTGGTGGTGACGGTGACCTCGAATCGGGAACGGAGAGGCTTACTTCTACCTGTCCAGACGACACAACGCAAGCTCGTCGGCCTGTTCGATGCGTCGAAGCCGCTTCACATCATCAAGGATGGCGAAAACAACGCCGACATCTACATCTTTGCCCGCAAATACCACGAAATTACTGGGCAACCGGTGACGATCATCGCCCCGGTCGACGTCGTGCTCGCGCCAGATGCCAGCTCCGAGACTGGCAAGGCGCTCTTCTACCGTAAGGTCGTCAGCAAAGAAGAGAGCGAGTGGGTAGACGTGCAGTTGGAGAGGATCTACCAATGTTCCATCGAACCCCATCAACCCGAGCAGTCGTACTACGACCTGGAAACCCATCAACACCTCGCGCGCATCTGCGTGAACGACATGCGCACCGCCTTCCTCACAAACGACAAACGCTTGCTGGGAGTCCTCTGGGAGGAGGTCGACTCCCTAGCCCAAAAGCACGTCCTTACCACCGAAGAAGCTGCAACGCTACGCGACGCTCTGATCCCAACGTATAACCCAGGCTCAGCCTCGCTGCAGGAAATCGTGCGCCAAAGCCGGACGAACCCTCTCGCCAAAGACAGGTACATCATCAAAGCCATCCGCGGCGCAGGCGGGCGCGACATCTACTACGGCGCCGCGCTCTCGCAGGAAGAATGGCTGGCGTACGTGGAGCCGCTCGCGGCCGCAGACCCCGTCGTTGCTCAGCAAAACTACATTGTACAAGACGCGCTGCACCAGATGGAGTACGATATTGTGCGCACGAGGGTGTGCGAGGAGGTGGAGAGGTTTTGCCTTGTGGGCACGTTTCATACGATTAGTGGGCGGTATGCGGGGATGGGCCCGTGGAGGGTCGCGTATCAGAAGGAGTTCATTCCGTTGATAAGCGGGGACAATATTATGATGGTTAGTGCTGTTCCCGAGGCGGAGTGAGGGCTTTATGCTATCGGCATGCTGGCAGGGGAGGTGGACTTTGAGCGTAGAGAAGTACAGACGCGTGAAGAGTGAATTTGCATCTTGCGTATTTGTAGTTCTTACGAATGACCACGCAAGCCGTAGCACTTCACCTGGAATGACATCCTTCAGGCGACCTGCAATGTGACAACTTGGAGGGTCTTCCGCATCGTGCAGACCCTCCACTTTGTACCTTTCTGCCCACCATCCGTTCACAACTTCCGTACTTCTTCGGAGTCTTCCATACCACTCAACAGCTCATCACTCGTCACTGTTCACTCCCTCATGCTCCCCAAAGAAGGTTCGTCAACAGAAAATCACATCCACGAGCCGTTTCCGCCAATCCTCCCCTCCAACAGCCACTTGCGATACGCAGGGCGCAGGTCGACTTTCAGAACCACAACACGGCTCTCCTTTGGCGCCGACAAGACAGGCTCTTCGATCTGCTCCTCAATCTTGCCCTCCGTCAGCCATTGTGCGAGCAGCGCGATGGAACTGGCCTCGAGAACATCGGTGGGAATCGACGAGTTGGGCGGCGATGCCTCCTCCTCCTCCTCTTCGTTCCCTTCGCCAGCTGCTTCTGAGGTCGTCTTCGGCTGAGGTGCGATCACCATCCTCTACAAGATTGTGATTGGGTCCGTCACCTTGGGCGCAGCTTTTCCCTTCTTGGGCTTTGGTGGGTCTGTCCAGTACTTGTTGGGTTTGACACCGGTGGGCAGCATCTTCTTCTGAGCCACCAGATTTTTCTCTAGCGTGCGGAAGTCCTCCTCCAGCTCGTCACCGCTCATCTCGAACTCGTCCTCGTACTCCTGTTGGCGTTCTGCCTTCTCAGCCTTGTCTGCCGCGCTCCTGCGTCCGCGCTTCTTCGGTCCTTCCACGGTCTCCTTCCACTGCTGGTGGCGCCAATACTCGAACTCGGTATCGTCGAAGACGCCAATGGGGCGCGTGGGTTCATCGAAGAGGGGCTCGAGCGGATCAGCACCGTCCCAATCCACGACGTAGTATTCTTCAGCAGTCTGCATGGTGTAACGGCCGAGAGGCTCGGTATTTGATGCGTCGTAGGTCTTTGGCATGCGCTCGCCTTCCACGTTTTCCCAGAAACGCTCGGCGAGATCTGCGACCTTCTGACGGATCCCGGCGGGGTTGCCCTGAGGTTGCGCAAGGCCTGTGTCGATGGCTTGCTCGTGGCGGCAGATGCGGCGGAGTGGGGAGAGTGGGCGGCCCGAGGTAAGGAACTTCATGACGGTATCAAGCTGCGCCTTATTCGTGGCTTCCGTGTCGACAGCATCACTGACAGCAACTCGGCGCCGTTTCCGCGCGTGTCTGGACGATGGCCCAGCATTGTCGTCACTAGCTGTCCTCTTGCCGCTGCCCTTCTCACTCTTCCCGGTGAAAGCTGCGAAGTAAGAGCGATGGACAGGATCCAGTCGCTGGGCCATGTTCTTGTGACGCCGGGAGGACTTCTGAGCCTCCTGATCCTGCCAAAGACGAGGGGTTGGTCGTGTGATTGGTGAGGCTGCGTCTACCATGTCTTCGTCGCTTTGAAACCTGCTTGGCGAACGTTCAGACGTCTGCTTCTTGTATGCCAGCATATGACGCAGGTGCGCCTGTGCGAGCTCTGAATCTGCCCCCTGAGGAGGGAACCAGGGCTTGTCCTTCTTCGGATCGTGTACGCTGTAAGAAGACTCAGGTGCTGGCATCATCATCACCAGCGTCTCACTCCTCGCTTGTCCTGGTCCGGCACACGGGTCGGTATACTCCACGGTATACAATTCCTCACACGGATCATCATCGAGGTGATCGTCTTCTGTTAGTGCAAGAAAGGCGTCCCAGTCCGTGATGGGCACTGTGGGGCCCTCGACTTGCGCGATCCTCTGACGGAGCTGTTCTGTTGCAGCCTCGAGTTCCGTCGGAGGTCCCATCTGACGAACTGCCCTGGTCGCAGCCTCTTCCTCATCCGGTTCTTCGAGATCAGTGAGGGGGGAGTCCGGTGGCAGGCTTGGATACTCGTCGTTCTCAGAGCTGGCCTGGTAGGTGGGTGCATGGGAGGCCGGTGTGGAGTTGGCATCGCCGGACGCGTCACCGTTGTCGTTTGATGACATGTTTTGCGAGGAGGGTACGTTCTGCAATGAAAACACGCTCTGTGGTGGAAACGCGTGATGTGAGATGATAGGATGGAAGCGTGTTAGACGTGAACGAATGGCGCGCGTGTATGGTTGAGGGCAAAAGGGGGCTCGAGGGGCTCGGAGCAAAAGATAAATCAGGCTGCCGGGATTGGCGTCCGCCGTCACCGAACAAGGCGTGAATGGAAGGTTTAATGAATGGACAAAGCAGCCGAGGGATGGACCACAAAGACTTTGTGAAATCGGGTGCCTCTTTGATGGAGAGAAAGAAATCGCGTTGAGTGCAAAGTGTGGCGGACAAGGAGAGCAGACGCGGAGGGGCAGGGAAAAGGAGATTGGCAGGCGCGTTTGCAATGGCGATGCACGTGAGTCCAAACCTTAACGCTCGCACTGCAGTAGTACAAGTCCCGCGTTGTTGCCATGCCATACTTGCGATGACGAGGGTCAGCCACCTCGAGCTGTTAAAGCAAGGCCAATGCTTCCAGTCTCTCCAGGACATTATCGCCGCCATATCGAGCTTGGAGAGTCATTTGCATGGCGGACATTGCAATATACGCTGCGCTAACCAGTAAAGACCTTGCCGCCTGGGTAGGACGAGGATCGAAATATGTGACTCTACAAAGAGCGTTGCGAGTCGGGTCCTTTGTCCAGTCTTTGTTGTCGGCATGCCACCGAGGTCAGGGTAATGCACGACCTCGAGACAAGTGGTCTGCAGATATGTAGTCCCAGTTGAATTGTATATTCAATAGCATCTTTCCACAGCATGCTCGATTGGAGCGACCGAAATCGACTGCCCAAGTGATGGATGCGAGGTCGTTGCTGGAGTTGGTGAGAGTATAACCCTAGGATATACCAGTATACACGATACGGTAGAGTCGCAGCTTGTCAACGTACAGCGTATCGACATATATTCGGGTAGCTTGTCGAAAATTGTATGCTGAAAGCACACGAAGTCGAGTCGCAGAGTCGACGTGAGGTAGCTCGGGCATTGCGGCGAACCCGCGCTAACCCCATCGGGCATAACAGCTAGCTCGGGCCATCAAAGCTTAAACTTTTTTGGAAGGCGGTAGAAACTTTGCAGCAGCAACGGTGTTTTGACGCTTCCATCTCCATCCCATCTCGACTCTCCCCCTCCCTCCTGCATCTCGACCGTCTCACTGGTCCATCGGAGTTCTGTCGCCCTCTTTCGTTTCTTGCAAATTCCCGGTCTCTACCTTGGACATGCAGCGCGCCCTCTCCTCCGCCCCTCGGGCCTTTGCTCGCTCCTCGAGGATATCATCCGGCTCGTTGGTGCAGCAGCGCTTTGCGCACAAGGAGTTGAAGTTTGGTGTTGAGGGACGAGCGGCGTTATTACAAGGTGTCGAGACTCTTGCCAAGGCTGTGGCGACAACGCTGGGCCCGAAGGGAAGGAACGTTCTCATCGAGTCGAGCTATGGCTCGCCCAAGATTACCAAAGGTAGGTCTTCATTGAAAGCTCTTCAGATGGACCATGCTGATGGAAGCGCATCATAGATGGTGTGACTGTCGCCAAAGCCGTGACCCTCAAAGACAAATTCGAGAACCTCGGCGCCCGACTCCTCCAAGACGTCGCCAACAAGACCAACGAAGTCGCCGGTGATGGAACCACCACCGCCACCGTCCTCGCCCGCGCCATCTTCTCCGAGACTGTCAAGAACGTTGCTGCTGGTTGCAATCCCATGGATCTCAGGCGTGGCACTCAAGCCGCTGTTGAGGCCGTAGTCGATTACTTGCAGCAAAACAAGCGTGACATCACCACATCGGAAGAGATCAGCCAGGTGGCCACCATCTCTGCGAACGGAGACACACACATCGGACAACTCCTCTCAAATGCCATGGAGAAGGTTGGCAAGGAAGGTGTCATCACGGTCAAGGAGGGCAAGACTATTGCCGATGAACTTGAGGTCACGGAGGGCATGAAGTTCGACCGCGGTTACATCTCGCCTTACTTCATCACCGACACCAAGTCACAGAAGGTGGAGTTTGAGAAGCCTCTCATTCTCTTGTCCGAGAAGAAGATTTCCGCCGTGCAAGACATTGTCCCTGCTCTCGAAGCCTCGCAACAGCTCCGCAGGCCCTTGGTCATCATTGCCGAGGACATTGACGGCGAGGCCCTCGCTGTCTGCGTCCTGAACAAGCTTCGTGGACAACTGCAGGTTGCTGCTGTCAAGGCACCAGGCTTCGGCGACAACCGCAAGAGCATCCTTGGCGATCTCGCGGTCCTGACCAACGGTATCGTCTTCACCGATGAGCTCGACGTCAAGCTCGAGAAGGCCACTCCGGACATGCTCGGCTCTACTGGATCCATCACCATCACCAAAGAGGACACTGTCATCCTGAACGGCGAGGGCAACAAAGACGCCGTGAACCAGCGCTGCGAGCAGATCCGTGGCGTCATGGCCGACCCCTCCACCAGCGAATACGAGAAGGAGAAGCTCCAAGAGCGTCTCGCCAAGCTCTCCGGCGGTGTGGCCGTCATCAAAGTCGGCGGTGCCTCCGAAGTCGAAGTCGGCGAGAAGAAGGACCGCATGGTCGATGCTCTCAACGCCACCCGCGCTGCTGTCGAGGAGGGCATTGTTCCCGGAGGTGGCACCGCCCTTCTCAAGGCCGCTGCCAACGCTCTCGGCAACATCAAGACTGCCAACTTCGACCAGCAACTCGGTGTGTCCATTGTCAAGTCCGCCATCACCCGCCCGGCGCGGATGATCGTCGAGAACGCCGGCACCGAGGGCTCTGTCGTCGTCGGCAAGCTCATGGATGAGTTCGGCAAGGACTTCAACAAGGGCTACGACAGCCAGAAGGGCGAGTACGTCGACATGATCGCCAGCGGTATTCTGGATCCCCTCAAAGTCGTCCGAACCGCGCTCATGGATGCATCTGGTGTTGCGTCTCTGCTCGGTACGACTGAGGTCGCTATCGTGGAGGCGGTGGATGACAAGGCTCCAGCAATGCCCGGCGGGATGGGCGGTATGGGCGGCATGGGAGGCGGCATGTTCTAAGCTTGCCGCACCCCACGCCACCTCGCACCCTTCCTTTGATACCCTCATCCGCCTCTGATGTGAAAAGCTAGATCCGTTTCGAGCCGCTGTTGTGTTAACAGAAACTAAAACTTCTCCCCTCCTCCCTCCTCTGCATGGCGAGCGTGTCTGGCTGGCTGGGCTGGGCTAGCGGTGTTTTTTGCGAGCTTTGGCTGTAACATAGTGTCTAGATAGTATTGTGCGAAGCAAAAATGGAAAGTTTAGAAGTAACAGAGAATCCGCCTCATTGTCTGAATGGTGATGGATTCCTTCCTTTGTCATGCAAAACGCAGCAAAGCAGCCACAAACATCATCACAAGTTTCTAACGCCTATCGTTCCACCGACAGCACTGCTCAAGCGTAACCCCAGAGCCCCCAAAGATATCCAATGCACTCCCAATCGTCAAATCCACCTTGCCACCACTTAACCTCTCCACCAACTCCAAATCCGCAATACTCCTCCCCCCACCCGCATACGTAACGGGAATCTCACAAATCCCCGCCAAATGCTGCACAAGCTTCTCATCAATCCCCGCCTGCAGGCCCTCGGCGTCCGCAGCGTGGATGAGGAATTCCGCACAATACGGCTCCAGAAGCGCAATGTTGTCGCGCGTGATTTCGAAGTCGGTGATGGTTTGCCATTTGTCCATGGCTACTTTCCAGCGGGGGTGAGGGCTTGAGCTGTCGTCGACGACGCGGCGGCAGCTGAGGTCTATGACTAGTTTGCTGCGGTCGTTGTTGAGGGCTGCGAGCACGGATTGCAGGCGTGGGAGGGAGAAGGTGCCGGAGGGGAAGAGGAAGGATGTTATTATGACCTACTGTTGGCTATCAGTTATATTGATTTTTGGGACGCAAAACAAAGACATGGATTTGAAAAAGAGCATAACCCACCCTTTCAGCCCCAGCATCAATCCACTCCCTCGCATTCGTATCTTTAATCCCACCTCCAATCTGCAACCCTCCAGGCCAAGCAGCGAGCGCCGTCTTCGCAGCCTCCTCGTTCCCCGGTCCCAACATGATTACGTGGGCGCCACGCAACTCATGTTCCTTGTACAGCTCCGCGTAGTACCCGGCCGGATGCTGGGAGGTGAAGTTTGTCCGCAGACTGCTGGCGTTGGAGTCCGAGAGGGTGCCACCTACGATTTGTTTCACGGCGCCGGCGTGTAGGTCTATGCAGGGCCTGAAGCGAGTCATTTTTGGGTTTTAAATCGTTAGGTCATTGTTGAGGTTAGGTTTGCTGGAGAGACGATGGACCTTCTTTGGTTGGGGAGGTGAGGTGTGGTTTGGAATTTGCCAAGATTTCGCAAAGATGGACTTTTGCCTTTCGATCACTCGAGACGCCACTTCATCTTCAATCTTTGAGCAGAAACCGAACATTATGGCGGTATCAATCGGCAAAAGGAAAAGAAAGGACATCGACGACGATGGGCGCGGGAGTGGGGATGAGCATGACGACGCGATGCGCGCGCTCTTCCAGAAGGCATTCGAGGCAAAATTCAAACCGTTAGAACGGCAGCAGCCTGTTGTCGACGAAGACGCAGAGTCAAGCGATCAAAACGAAACTCCGCCAGAAGAAGACTCTGATTGGAGCGGCCTGTCATATGACGAAGATGACGAGGAGATCGAAACCTTCCACCACGACTCATCGGCCATCGACCAAGCACAACTGGATGCACACGACAGGAAATCCTTCATGTCCTCCCGACCACCAACATCAACCGGCCAACCCAGCACCTCCAAAACACAAACCGCATCCTCTCAGCAAAAAGCCGACCCAACCGAAGTAACAAATCTAAAACACGACCTAGCCCTGCAAAGACTCCTCAAAGAATCCCATCTTCTAGACCCGGAATCCTTCCAATCCGGCAGCAGCGGCGCATCAACACCTACCACCTCCGGCAAAACACGCCTCAAAGCCCTCGACCTCCGCCTTCAAGACTTAGGCGCAAAGCACCCCGCCACCCAACAGCAGCGCATGCCTCTCTCCCATCGCAAAGGCATCGCGGCCAAAGCGGCGGGCCGCGAGCAGCAGCGGCGCAAGGACGCGGTGGAGAATGGGGTCATTTTAGAGAAGGCGCGGAGTGCTGGTGTTGCTGGTTCTGCCAAGGGGCCGGTCAAGCGGAGGGAGAGGGGGATTGGGGGACCGACGGTGGGGAAGTTCAAGGGGGGCACTTTGAGGCTGAGTGAGAGGGATGTAAGGGCTATTCAGGGGAGGAAGAAGGGGAAGGCGGGTGGGAGGCGGTGATGTGTGATGCTTGCGTACGTGTGTGATACCCGATTGTTTTGGTGGTTTGCGTCCGATTGAGTACGAGATATTGAGACTACATTGCCTGCTGTTGCACGCATGCACCTCACAAAGAACTCCAAACCATCACTAAGACCCACGAGTAGCAGTCACAAACCCACTCGTCTCAGAACAAGAAGTACTACTCGCCGTCACACGGCTCGTCTCCAAACAAGAAGTGCTCCAAGCCGCCACACTAGCACTCGACACCGCACTCCTCGCACAATCCGCCACAAAAACCACATAATCATGCGGCAGCGGATACAAGTCCCAACTCTCCAACGCCCCCATACAAACCGCGCAATCCCCCCGCTCAAAAATCGCCGCCTGACATCCCTCCTCCGCCCCGCACTGCAACATGCACTTGTTCGGCGTGTCGTGCTCGTGTCGCCCCTCCATTACGGCGCAGATGGGTTGCAGGTTGCATTCCACGCGGTACTCTCTGCCTGCGCTGTCGTGCACGTCGAAGCCGTTGCATTGCGGGCAGGTGATGTTGTGTTGGTTGCAGTAGTTGACTTCTGGGCCGGGAGCGAGGGGGATTTTCGGGGGGGTGGGGGTGGTGGTGGGCATGCTGGTGTTAGCGCCTGGTTGTAGAGTCGTAGGGAACGCGGAGTTGGGCATCGATGTCGGTGTGTACGTTGGATCGATGGAGAGGAAGGCGGTGTAGCCTTTGTGGTATTCGGGAAAGACGTTGTCACCTTTGGCTAGTTCGCAGTTGCCTTCGGGCCAGAAGGTGGCGCCTTGACACCAGTGGTGGTGGTCGCATTCCGCTAGACAGCCTTCTGGCGTCAGCCATTCTTGCACCGAGTAGTGGTGTTGGGAGTAGAGTTGGTGGTTGCAGTGCACTTCGTATGTGATGCCGAGGGGATCTTTGACGCGTGCGCCGTGGCAGCGAGGGCAGGAGATGTCGGATGCCTTGCAGGTTCTGATGTGCGTTGTTGAAGACATGGCGCTTGGGAGACTCGTTGATAACGACGACGTTGTAGAAGAAGGCGGAATGGCGCCCGTAAATCGCGCCAGCAGAACAGCGTACCCATCCTCCTTTGCAAGCACAGGCTCTTCGCCCAACTCCTGAACAGCAAGCAGACACCTCCCCTCAGGCGAGATGACAGGCACATAGCACTCTTGCAAGTCCATGCATGCCTCGATGCACTGGATGACGCTCGCATTGTGGATGTTCTTGTAGTATGTCACGTTGGTGTACACGGAGTTGCAAGCGACTTCGTAGGCGCCGAAGCGACCATAAGGAATGATGCTGCTGTCGCATGAAGGGCAGAAGTTGGTCAGGCTGGCGTTGCCGGAGCATTGGCTTTCCATGGGCAGAGCGCCTGGTGTTGGTGTCGCAGTTGCTGAGTTCTGAGTGCCGGATTGTGAGGTGTATACCACGGAGACGTTCCCAGATACTGATGAGACCGAGGGCATCGAGGATGCAGCGAGCGTCGAGGGGGCGATGAAAGCCTGAAGAAGCAGGACCAAATGAGTGTAATGCATCTTTGCGACAGTTAATGAGCGTAATTGAGCAGCTAAAGATACCTGAAGAAGGAAAGGAGATGGTGGAGGGAAGCGCGATAGGAAGTAGCGAGATAGGAATGCAAGGAACGAGCTCGAGGAATGGGAATGACCACAGCGGTAGACACACAGGAGATTGCGGACAGGACGTCACGAGAGTGTGTTTCGCGCAATTGTTAACATTGGCAGATCTGTGGAATCGCGTAGTACCACAGGAGATGCTATTCGCACTGATCAGCATGAAAGTGTAGCCCGCGACAGTCATAGCGAAGTGGACATCAGAGGTCCAAAAACATTTAGATTCAGACATTACCTGCACAATCATCTATCGTACGCATTCCCGTTGAGATCGTCATCGTCTTCATACCGCCCATAGAGAATCTCACAGACACCGCCGATCGGAATATCCATGACCGCGTCCGTCCCTTCATTCCAAAGAGTACGCCAATCCAGACTCTGGCCGGGGATTGCTGGTGCTCGCGATTTGGTCAGACTGTTCTGCCTACTCCGACCACCACCGCACTTGCCCTTCCCACCTTTCTTCCCTTTCTCCACCCGCTTAGGCGTGCGCGTCTGCCATGATGGTTTATGCTCGCGGAGCAAATTGCCTCTTGCATCCACAGCCGCGACATTCGCAGCTTCATCTACCATGCACTCTACCGAGTTCATGGGCAGTGTCAAGTAGCCGGTGTTGTAGCTCGCCAAGGCGACGTAAATGTAGAGGATGAACATCACGGTCCAGGCGGGAATAGCGAGCGCCCACCAGCGGTCGGGGTAGTAGTAGATGCCCAGCTGCTCCAAGAAAGGGCTAGGCAGAAAGCTCCAGAGCAAGTAGACGATGAATGCCAGAGATGATGTCAGGTACAGGGTGAAGCCGTAGTATTCGTACGTGGGCACTTTGGGGCTGGCTCTAGCGATAGGCTTGGCCGCGCGATAGCTGCTCGTCAGCGTAGATGCGGCGGCGGAGTTTGGCGTCTGCGTTCCCGTGACGTCGCCGCGCGTGTGTGGCGTGCCGTCGTCACTTGAGTGATCTGGTGTGGTAGGCCGACTGTTCTGGCTGCTAAAATTGGGACGGAGAAGGGAGGTCAAGGAGGGTGAGGGAGGCAGAGGAGTAGGTGGTCGGCCATAGAATGGTGGCGCAAAGGTGGACGGCGCGAGGTATGTGTGCGATCTTGAATGCTGGTTCTGGAGGGAGGGTCTTGGTGGGAGATGTCCAACATGACCATCCTCCTCTTCCTCTTCATCATCGTCCACTTCCGACTCTTCTTCCGACTCATCGCCATAGCCAAGAGAGTAGTCTTCAATAGAAGCAGGCTCCGAGGGCGAAGTGATGATCTCGGGAGAGGCCCGACCTGCGGCAGTAGTGGACGGCGTTACGCTTCCAGTGCCTGTACTCGTGTTGCTGCCGCTCGAAGCCTCCAAGTTTCGTATCGTGGGGAAGTTCGGGGTGGATCGCGACTGGAAGCCATATGGAGTCGGCGGAGGCCTTGACGGCATGCCTCTGCTTTGCCGTGGATGCCTATGAAGGCTAGACCGTCCAGGAAACAGGACGAGTAGACCACGTGGATGTGAAGATGTTCAAGTTGTCGAGGAGCACATGCACTGAGGATCGGAGGATGAGTCAGCATTGGAGATGCTCGTGACTGTCTGCCTGAGGCGTCAAAACACTTCCAACATCAAGGTATCCCTGCGGCCGCAAAACGTCGACCACCGGCCGAGCAACACCCGCATCCAGTTTTGTCCTTGATATGCTTCTAAGGATGTTGGCTTCATCAAAGTCGAATCACGTCATTGTGATACCTGTCAGAGACGTTCCAATCAAGATACATCCACAACATGCGACCAACTAGGCTTATCATCATGTCTGACGACTCCGAGTAAAGCAACGTCGATAGACAGTACCCTTCCCCAATGACCCTTCCCCAATGGCCCAACCCCTCAAAGTCCTCATCTCCGGCTCAGGAATAGCAGGCAGCGTCTTCGCCACCAACCTCCTCCGCGCCTATCCCACAGCAGCCATAACGATCGTCGAGCGCTCACCAGCCCTCCGCCTCACAGGCGCGGCAGTTGACATTCGCGGCTCCGCCGTGGACATCATCAAATGGATGGGCGTCGAAAGCGAAGTGCGCGCGCACACGACGCGCGAAAGCGGGATGCAATTGCTGCACGCCAATGGGAAGCCTATCGCGACTTTTGGCGCGACGGGACGGTCTGATGTCCAGGCTTTGACGTCTGAGTATGAGATCTTTCGGGGAGCGCTTGCTAAGATTTTCATTGAGCGTGTGCGGGGCCGGGTGAAGCTCGTGTTTGATGAGACGGTATCGTCTTTTGAACCGAGCGCAGATGGTGTGGCTGTGACGTTCACGAGGAGCAAGCAGGCCGAGACTTACGACCTCCTCGTAGCTGCAGACGGCTACAATTCGCACATCCGCGGCCTGATGCTCGGCACTCCCCCAAGCGCGCAAGTTCACGAAGAGAACGCGTACGTAGCGTACTTCACCACCAAAGATGACCTCCTGGGCGGCTCCGACGTGGCGACAGGCATCAGCACCACCCTCGGCCGCGCCATGTATCTCCGCCCAACGGCAGCCTCGACTTCAGGAACCAGTGTTCTGCTCATGAAAGTCAACGCCAAAAGCGACACCGCCGCCCGAGACAAGCTGAGCACCGCTGTACGCGAAGGCAACGAAAGCTACAAGCAACTCATGGAAGAAATGTTCGCGGATATTGGGTGGCGGGCACCCGAAGTGCTGCGCGAAATGCGCCAAAGCGACGACTTCTACTGCTCCGTGTTCGCGCAAGTCCGTTCGCCCTCGATACAATCCGGCCGCGTCGTGCTTTTAGGCGACGCAGGATATCTAGCCTTGGGCTACGGCACAAGTCTCGCAATTATAGGCGGCTACGTGCTCGCCGGCGAATTAGCAAAACAAGCCCTCTCATCAACAGCCGGAGAAGCCTCATCAACGCAGAAAGAGAAGATCTCAGCAGCGCTGAAAGCGTACGAAGACCTCGTGCTTCCCTTTGCCAAAACGCAACAGGGAACGTCGGGGCTCATGCAGCTCGTCACTCCGCAGACGCGGCTTGGGGTCGGCGTTCGCAATGCGCTTTTTGGCCTCGTGTCGACGCTCAAGCTTGATCGGATGGGCATGGCTATTTCGGCCAAGTTAGGGTTCACGGAGAAGAAACTTGCCATGCCTGAGTATCCTTGGGTGGAGTGAGGGCAGAGGGCTGTTGGAGTATTAGCGGCGCAGTGCAGTGACGATGAGGTGGGAAGTGCTGGGAGGTGTTGAAGCGGGAGACGAGGCTTAAACCAGGGGAAAAAGGAAGGTCGCGATAAAGCCTCTTGCCTACAAAAATCTTGCGAAATCCCCCCTCAAAAAGCTATATACATGTAGCTAGTAATGATCATTCAAACGAGGCAAAAAGGAAGCAGCACCTCTCATGAGACTCGAATACGGGGCCCGCCGAAAAAAGACGAAAAAACAAACTCCTTTTCAGGAGAGAAAGCAAGGCGAGAATCGTAGGACCCCAACAGGTTTGCGTTTTTCGGCCTCTGACCAACAGATCAATCGATACTGCCATCATTGGTAGTAAGACGAGCGTAGAAAATATCCATATATAGACACTGGGAGTAGTGAACGAGCTTTCGCCGAGGGGCTGTACTGCTAGGAGGGGAATTGAATTACAGTCAACGCGCCATGCAAGGCACCTCTCGTAGATTGCGTGGGCGAAGAACAGTTCATGAGAGGAAAGACCGGGCGGAGGCGATTTGGATAGATATGCCGGAACAGGCTATGGGCTGCATCGGTGGACATGAAAAGGGGTTGGCTTCAGTAGACGTGGTGGATGGTCGTGGTTGAATCACGGACACGACGCATCTCATCCGGAATGTCTTTAACAATATGCGCACTACATTAACATCATATACACATCATTTCCCTTCACCCTCCCCGTAGATCAGCCCTCAAGACCCCCCCGACGAGTCCTTCAAATTCGCATAACTAATCGTCTCATTCTGGACGTTGAAATCAATATAATGCCCCGCAAAGAACGACTGGCCCAGCAGCCACGTGGTGCCAAGCGCGTTGATGCCCCCCAGGATGGACGTGCAGTTGCCCGCATCGTGCTTGTGCTCGTACACATCCCACACGTCGGGGGAGACGTTGAAGTTGGTTCCTTTCTGGCCCTTTTTGAGCTGGCTGGTGGCGGGGAAGGAGACTAGACACTGTTAGGAGAATGGATCTGGGGGGGAGAGACCAGACGTACAGCCGATCGTTGGCGGTTTGGAGCAGTCGAAGTAGCCTAGGAGCGTTTTCGCCGAGCCTTGCCCGTTGTTGAAGCCGCCGGGTGGGGGCGGCTTGACTTTGAGATTGGTTTGCCAGCCGAAGCTGTCAAACATTTTCTTCGTGACGCTGAGCGGGCTATGTTCGTACATGCAACGTCAGCGTTCTTCCATCTTGACGACAAGCCAACGCTTCTTCTCTATCCTCGCGATAACGTACCCTTGGATGTTGTCGGTGCCCACGTCCATGATGATTACCTGGTCCTTGGCGAAGATGGTGCCGTTGACGGTGAAGTCGCCCAGGACGGTGTAGGAGCCTTCGTACGAGCCGTTGACCGCCACTCGCTCAACGGTGGTGAAGGGGCCGTCGATCAAGTTGGTGTCGACTTGGCCAATAACGATCTGGCCTTTGCCGCTTGTGCCTACATGCCGAAAGTCAGTTGTGCGAAAGAGGCCAAATGCGGCTTGGAAACCATGTCGACTTACCGAACGCAAGACCAAAGCGGTGCTCGGAGATGAGGTTGTGGCGGGCCAGGTTGGCGAACCACGAGGGCGCTTGGGGCTTGAACGACGAGGCGCCCGAGCCCAGGAATCCGATGATCCCTTTTCCTTGATTGGCGTACGGCAGTGTCGGGACATCAATGTACTTCCACGAGGAAACGTTGCCCATGGCCTGCGATTTGTATGTCAAGCCTCCCGAGCTCACGACATCCTCTTGCACTGTGCCGTTCACCTAGACCACGATGGCGAGTCAGCCCGCAGCTGGGGGATACCGAGGAGGAATCGAATGACGTACTTCTTCAAATCCGAAGCCGTTGCGGTTGACGCCTTCGTAGAGAATGGTGAACTGAACACAAGAGCGCACATTAGCCTGGAGTCTGTGGAAAAGAATCGTCGAGTGTCATTTCGAGAGGTTAGATTGACGGCACAACTCCAAGCTCTTCGTGTACACTAGAATGTTGTGCAAGTTCCTCCTTGGCTTCGCGTCGGAGGGCCCATCAGATCTTACGTACCGTCTTCTTTCCCTTGAATGGCTGCTCGTATTTCGAGGGTTTGTACCTGCGCGACCCAGCCTCATCAGCACACAGCACGCAGAACCGGGAGTGATCGCTCAACTTACACGCCCTTATTCAACAAGCAATCGGAGGATCCAGTGTCAATCAGTAGGCGCAGGTTGTCGGAAGCGCCAACCGAAAAGTTGCCAAACCAGTACAGCGAGCCTCCGAGTTTGGTGGGGATATCGCCAGTGGTATTGCTCATACCCTGCCGAAGTTGAGAGACGGAGTTGACGAGATCACGGTCCCATACCAATCTCTCGGCGGCGACGGAGTAGGAGTTCACTGCGCGGCCAGTGACGAGGGCAGAGGCTAGAGTCGAGCACGCGAGCAGCAAAGCGGAGAGTTTGGCCATTTTGCGAGAGGTCGCGAGGATGAGAAGATACAATGAATGGGCCAAGAGGACGAGGCTGGCAGGAACAAAAGGCAAGAGTTGCTTCGCCCAAGTCTTAAATGTCTGGCAATGCGTCCGCCTACCTTCGTAGCTTCCCACCTACCTCGAGGGTATCGACGTCACCCGGCAAGGAACGACCATGGCCGACCCCGCCGTCGTATTTTTCCTCGCCGTAGAACTAGGTGATTTGCATGCTAGTCCAGCGCACGTTCCTGCCTTAGCGCTATCGAAGCCAGGCCAGGCCCGGCTGGGACTGGAGCAGAAGGTGGAAAGAAGGCGGGTGGGTAGAACGTGGGGTAGGCAATTGGGCCGATAAGGGAAGCCTTTTGCAGGGAGTGCAGCGTGAATGTAACGTGCCGCGGGCCGGGCTAGCGCTGTCAGAGCTCAGGTACTTGCGCGCGATCCATGGTTTCTTGTGTCGGCATAGCAAAATCTCTCCGCTGCATTGCCGGGCCAGGCAGCCGTGGGAAGAAATGTTCCAAATGCGCCGAGCATAAGGCGGTGAGAAGTGGCCATGAGAGCAAGCAGCATCGCGGAAATGCAGGCAGCACAGTGAATGATAATAGCAAACACATTACATATCGTGTGTCGTGTGCTTAGTACAGAGCAAAGCGGCCTCCAGATCCTTCATCTGCCAATAGTGGCGTTTAGCACCTATAGTAGAGCGGTGCAGAGCAGCGCGGCCTTGGTCGGTTGGTTTCCGAGGATCGACCAGGGTGCATCGTGCCGACGAGGAGCACCGAACGTCGCTTCTGGCACATAAGAGATCGGCCATGATTGTCTAGAGCAGAGTGTTGACGTCCGGAATGCGCTGCCGGCGAGTATACAGTAGTGAAGTCGGGATAAGGTGATGATCGTAAGCGACGTGAGAAATCAATTAGGCTATTCCTGGCCCGGAGTGTCACAATAGGTAATTAGACATGGAGTAAGAGTGGGGTGATATTGCACCAAGTATCGTCGAGAACAATGCGAGTAAATCCAACGTAGACAGCACAACTGGAGGCAGTCTGGGTTTGCGCGCTGGTGCTTTTGATGAATCTGCTGGTGTCGCTCCTCGTCACATCTCGAATTTGGCCGGCGACCTCCTCCTCCCTTTGATCTCATTGCATTACACCTGGAGACAAAACCCAGGCGATAGCTTTCTTGTCATCTAGATCCTGGACTTCGCTACGGCCATCAACCACCTCGATATTGGCACAGCTCATACCTGAGTCGGGCGCCTCTCGGTTCACAACATCGCCGTGTGCTCGTCCTATGCCTCGACACCCAATATTACCCCAACCAACATCGTAACCAACCAACAGAATGAAGATAGCCTGCCTCCAATTCAACCCCACCCTGGGCGCAGTGCAATCCAACATCGACCGCGCCAACGCCCTCCTCGAACCCCTCAAACCCGCCCAACTCGACCTCCTCATCCTCCCCGAACTGGCATTCTCGGGCTACAACTTCCCCGACCTGGCCTCCATAACACCCTACCTGGAAGCCACGACGTCCGGTCCAACAACGCAATGGGCCATAGCCACCGCGCAGAAACTCGGCTGCTGCGTCACCGTAGGCTATCCCGAAATCCACACCGCGCCAAACGGGCATACGAAGAACTACAACTCCACCGTCACCGTGTCCGCCACGGGCGAAGTACTGCTCAACTACCGCAAATCCTTCCTCTACTACACCGACGAAACGTGGGCCTCGGAGGGCCCGGACGGCATCACACACGACTCTAACCTGCATCTTTCCCCCGGCACAGCAGCAGCAGCGAAGCCCTTCTTCTGCGCCGACCTCCCCGCCCCGCTAGGCCGCATAGGCCACGGAATCTGCATGGACATCAACCCCTACAAATTCACCGCGCCGTGGACAGACTTTGAATTCGCCACGGCGATGCTGCGCGGCGGCGCGCCTCTCGTCGTCCTCAGCATGGCCTGGCTGACGAGCCTGCTGCCCCCGGATTTGGAGCTCGAGCCCGAGCAGCCGGATATGCAGACGATTGCGTACTGGATTGAGCGCATGTTTCCGCTTTTCGAGGCCGAGGAGGAGGTGGTGGTTGTTTTTGCTAATCGGTGTGGGGTCGAGGTTAGTAGCGGGCGAGCGAGCGGGGTGGTGCTTGGGGAGGGGCTGGTAGAGGAGGTGGTGCAGAATCCGGCGTGTTATGCTGGTAGTAGTTGTGTGATTAAGTTTCATCGGGGCACGATTAGGATGTACGAAAGGATTTTGGGCAAGGGTGAGGAGGGGGTTTTGGTGGTTGATACGGCGCAGGTGGGTTTCTGGGTTGCACGTGATGTCTTGTCCATGGTCACTGACATGATGCAGATGCCGAAGTTTGAGCTGAAGATGGGGTGAAGGCCTGTCACGAAGAGATGATCGACACCAAAAAGAGGACTGCCAGCATTCGTAGTTCTTGAAGAAGTCCTTCCGCTTGGGGACCTCGACACCAGAGGTAATGGAAAGCGGGACCGCTGCAGACACGCTGAAGACGTCGTGATTCAAAGTGCAGCTATTCGCAGCTACACAGTGATTCTCCTCCGCAAAGGACACAGCCGCCGAGACATTCTCGCAGCCTTGAGTCCTCCAGCAATGCACACCCCCCACTCTCCTGCATCCTCAAAGTATAAGTGTCACATCTTCCTCTCCCCCATCGTCATCACAACCATCCCATCCCCCCTTCTCGAGATCGTGAAAAAGCGACACATCTAGATGCCGATGCGAGTCTTGCGCCAATGTCTCCTCTTCGCGTTGTATCTGTAGGCACACAAACCCGTCAGCTTCACAATCCCTACTCACATCACATCCCCCACCCCGAAGGCGTCCCGGATTGACAAGAAACATACCTGATGGTATTCCCCGTCCTCAAACGAATCCACTGCGGAATCGGGCGGTTCTGCTTCTGCGCTTTCGCGAGCTTCTGCTTCGTGCGGAAGGTTTTGTGAGACTGTTCCGATCCCCATCCCCCGTCAGCATTCCCTCCTATCATGACAGCAGCGATGAATTCTGTACGGGCTTCTTACAGGCATCTTGGCGGATGTTGCTTCTCGGTGTGTGTCAGGTGTGGGTGGTGTCTTGTCTGAAGTGATCTGACGTTCGTAGCCACAGAAATTCGGCGAGGGCAAAGTTCGAAAGTGCGCTTGGCATTTTTCGAGGTGGGTGGGTCCGTGCGCGGATCGAGGATTATGTAAGCACCGTCCTCTCAATCCTCTTCCGGTCTATCTGGACAGCATCGGTATTGCGTCCATTATTACGATTATGGGAGAATTGAGATGTGGATGATAGATGAGGGAGCAGGAAATTCTGCCCTGTCCAAAGGTACATGCGAATCCGCAATCCAAACAGCCCAGCCGATCGAGCACTTCGTATACGGCCGCCATCCAATCGCTATGCAATACCGTCAAGCCAACAATCGCGTCAGAGAACTTCACACCTCATGCCTGTCCACGAGCTCGTAATCCTTATGAGCACTAATACTCCTCCAAAACGGGAAGCGCGATCGACCCGGCGAGCGTTTGCGGCGAGGCTCATCGGATCGCACGACGAAGAACCGGCGGTACAGCCACCACATGGCAAAGATGAAGACGCCTCCGAGGGAGAAGCCGAGGATGGTGACAAAGATCCAGTTTCGCGCCATCTGCTCCAATCATTAGTACTGCGTCATTGGGCAGAGTCGGAACGCAACTCACCCAGAAGATGAATTGCACGTCCGCCGCGTGCCAGCTGTTGCCCAAATGATGCGTGAAGAAGCTCCACTCCTTCCCCATGTATTCTTGCGGGAAGAGGATTCGTATTCGGCCTCCATCCGCTTCATCCCCCTGATTCCACCCCTCGGAGCTGTAGTGCCTCCAAATTATGCTCAGGAACAACGGTCCCGTGCTCGCCATCACCGTAATGTACGACAACACCCAATGCCGGTCGTAGTTCTGCAACTCATCAACCACCCGCCGGAAAAACGGATGTCGCGGCACAGAGCCCATCGCATCATTACTGATGCCCGTCGGAATCGTCTTGCGCACCCACGCGGGGTACACGAGCAGCGGGTCCAGAGAGCGATTACACCCATCGTCCAAATCAATGTAGATCCCACCATAATGCGAAAGCACAAAGTACCGAATCGCATCCGCGCGCTCAATCGGATACGTATACCCCTCAAACGTCTCCACGAACCACGGGTACTCTTTGTACATAAACTCCGCCATCAGCGCGTCCGTCCACAGCTTGTATTCCCAGCCGTCTTCCGCTTTGTGCAGCGCGAGACAGCTTTGTTGTGCTTCCTGCCAGACGGCGGGGATGCTAGCGTTTTTGTACGTCTGGTGGATGATTTTGGGGATCATGGGCGAACCTCCTGGTTTGCTGCTGGAGCCCGGGGCGGGCAGTTCGGATTTGGTGATCATGTCTTCGGCGCCGGAGACGACGAGCAGGCTGAGGAGCGTCCAGACTGTGTGCAGGAGGAAGATGACGAGGGCGGCGAGGAGGAGGAGGAAGATGAGGATTGGGCGGCGCATGGTTGCGGAGGATGCTGTGTAGTGTTGTTGCGATTTCGCAGGGACGGAAGGTGTTCGATCAGGGGTTGTCTTAATAGCTCTTTACGTAGAGCTGTTCGCTGCGATAGACCATGATTCGCAGGGGGGGTTTGGAGTCGAGGGAAGTCGATGGGTTGACATGAAGAGTGATAAGGAAGCGGGTTGTCCGGGATGAGGTGAGCGATGTCAGACGAGGTACATGGAGGAGGGTACATAAAAAGAAGGCGCAGCCCATCCAAATAAATTGTCCGTCCCCGAACGGAGGCGGAACTCTAATCTTATCCCACGTGCATCTCCACGTGCATAACTTCTTCACTTCATCTCGACCATGACGCCGTGAGAGTTTTGGGTAGAAGTCTGTAGTTGAGAGGTGTGCTCAAGTCACATTCGCATCTTTTGTCTATACACATCTAATCATCACAATCAGCGAGTCGAAAGAGCCGGCCGTATCGCAGTCATCCCGACATCATCGCCGGCCCATCCGCTAATAAGAAACACCCATCCGACCGCACCTCTATAATATAACAAATCACGCCGTCTTGCCCAAACTCTGCAAATTAACCAACTCAAAGTAAACGCCGCCCTTATGCATCAACTCCGAATGCGTGCCCCGCTCCACAATCCGCCCTTGCTCAAACACATAAATCGCATCCGCCTTCTGGATAGTCGACAAGCGATGCGCCACAGCAATCGTCGTGCGCCCCTTGGCCGCAGCGTCGAGCGCAGCCTGCACCACCTTCTCCGACTCGCTGTCCAACGCGCTGGTGGCCTCGTCGAGCAGTAGAATCTTAGGGTCGCGCAGGAGAGCGCGCGCAATGGCTACACGCTGCTTCTGCCCGCCGGACAACATGCTGCCTTTGCTTCCGACAACGGTATTGAAGCCGTCCGGGAGGGAGAGGATGAAGTCGTAGATGTTGGCGTCTTTGCAGGCGCGCACAATCGCTTCGTCCGGCACGTCTTCGGGCTTGGTGTCGGCGCCGAGGAGGATGTTCTCCTTGATCGTGCCCTGGTAGAGGGTGGGTTCCTGCGAGACGAGCGCGAGGTGGCGGCGGTAGCTGTTGATGTTCATGGTCGTGATTTCCTTGCCGTCGACGTACACGCTTCCGACAAGTGGGTCGTAGAAGCGCTCCATCATGGCGATCGTCGTCGATTTGCCACAGCCGGAGGCGCCGACAAGAGCAACATATTGGCCGGGCTTGACGGTGAGGTCTAGACCGCGAAGCACAGGCTGTTCGGGGCGAGTCGGGTAGCGGAAGTGCACGTCGCGGAACTCAATGGCGCCTTCCATCGTCGGGACGTCCTCGCCTTCTCGCGACCAAGTGTCAATGGCCGGCGTGCGGTCGAACAGCGTGCGCATGGACGAGGCGGCGTGTTTCGCCTTGCCCATGTCGGGTGCAAAGGCGAAGATGGTGCCGGCAGACTGCGAGCCGAAGATGACGGCGCTGAAACACAGGAAGAACTGGAACACGCTGTACTCGTGGGAGGCCAGCAGCGTCGCGCCATACCAGAAACCCAGGGCAGTGCAGCAGAACATGAGACTCTGGCTCGCGGCGTAGAGGGTCGAGGTCCTCACGACTTGGCGAAGAGATTTGGCCTCTTGGTCGGTGATCTGTTTGTGGTAATGCTGCCATACGTCACCTTCTCGCGTCAGACTGGCCACAGTCCGGATGGCAGACGTCGCCTCGCATGCATACGACGCGCTCTTCTCGTAAACCTTCTTCGCGCGCTCTTGGAAGCGAGCGAGGATCCAGAAACGCGTGAAGCCGGTAAAGAGCACGATCGGTACGGTCGCGATGCAGACCAAAGCCAGCTTCCAGCCGATGGCCAGCGCGATGGTGAATCCAACGACAAGCGTGGTGAGGACTTGCAAAAGCGTGCCCAGTGTCGCACCCGAGATACCCGCGAGATGGGTGGTTTCCGTGCTCAAGAAAGACGTGAGCGCACCCGCGGTGTTGGAGTCGTCGTCGAAGAAGGAAATGTCTTGCCTCAACATCGTGCGGAACGAACGGTCGCGCGCCCGATGAATGAGCTTCTCCGAGCAATACGCAAACAAAACCCCCACGGCACAGAGCGACAACAGCTGCACGCAAGCAAGCATAAAGTACATCCAGGACCAGAAGTCAATCTGTGATTGCAACTGTCTAGGGTTGCCACTGTCGAGCCCGAGCGCGGTGATGGATTTGGCGAAGAAGACGGATTGCACCGGATTTCCGGCGCCGGCGATGATGGCGGCCAAGAGGCCGACGAGCATGATCTTCCACTCACTCTTGTTGAAGGAGCCGACCGTCCGGATCAGCGTCCACAGATTGTACTTTTGCGCGTCTTGCGACGATCGGTCGCCTAGGACTTTGCTCGACTCGGACTTGCCCGTCTTTGTGCGGCCCAGCTCGAGATCTGCCGGATCTTCGTAGTGCATGGCCTTGTCGCGCGACTTGGTTCTGGCCACATACAGCACACTCTCCTCTTTGTCTTTGAACGAGATGTCCGAATCATCCGCGTCCTCCGCTTCCTCTCGTACTCGTTCGGTCTCCTGAGCAATCCTCTGGGCCTCGACAAGGTTGTAGTAGGGGCCGCGTTGCTCGAGAAGGGCGTCGTGCTTGCCTTGCTCAACGATCTGTCCTTGACTCATGACAACAATGTTGTCGGCATGTTTGATGGTACTGAGCCGGTGAGCGATCACGATCGTCGTCCGTCCTTGAGCCGCCTTGTCGAGCGCGGCCTGCACCACGCCTTCCGACTTGGTATCGAGCGCCGAAGTGGCCTCATCCAGCAGAAGGATGCGAGGATCGCTGACGATCGCTCTAGCAATGGCAATGCGCTGCTTCTGCCCACCGCTCATCAAGAAACCCCGTTCACCAACGTTCGTCTCGTAGCCTTCGGGCAGCTGTGTGATGAAGTCGTGCGCGTTGGCCATTCTTGCTGCGTGCTCAACAAGCTCGCGGTTCTCGTCGTGGCTTCGTCCTTCAAAGTCCGTCCCAATCAGGCCGTGGAGGATGTTTTCAAAGACCGTTGTCGCAAACAATGTCGGCTCCTGCGACACCAGACTAACTTGCTGTCGAAGCCAGCGGAGATTCAACTCTTGCACATCGTGTCCATCGAGGAGAACTTGGCCGCCGACGGGGTCGTAGAAGCGCTCAACGAGGCCCACAATAGTGCTCTTGCCTGAGCCAGAAGCTCCAACAAGAGCCGTAGTCTTTCCCGCCGGCACGACCAGGTTCACGTCCTCCATAACGACCACTTCCGGGCGGGAAGGATAGATGTGTCGAATGTTGCGAAGCTCGACGGTGCCTTCGAGCTGCTCCAATTTCAAGCCATCGACGGCATCGGGATCTAGCGGCGACTTGCGGTCGATGGTGGCAAAGATCTTGGAGGCGGCCGCGGTGGCGGTGGTGAAGGCCTGGATGTGCGGTGCGACATTGCCGAGGGAAAAGGCGCCAATCATGATGGACAGCAGGATGGTGATGATGTCCGAAACAGTCACCTCGCCCTTCACCAGGTATCGGCTCCCCAGCCAGAAGGTGAGAGAGTAAGTGAGGTAGACGTAGAACATGAGAAAGCCAATCATGGAGCCGAGGATGGCCTTCATCTTGAACGCCCACTTTTCCGCCTCGATGAGATGGGCGTCATACTGGGCCGCAAGCTTCTCCTGGGTTCCAAACGCCGTGGCGTTGCGGATGGAGCTGATGACTTCCTCCGCCACGGTGCCTCCCTCGGCGTAGGAAGCGAGTGACTTTTTGCTGTACTTTGTGATGAAGCGGCCCAGACTTCCCATGGTCAGAACGATGGCGACGATGGCGGAGGTGTCGATGAGGGCGAGCTTCCAGTACTTGATGTAGGCAATGACGTAGGCGGTCACGAAGGTGGCGACGGCAGTCATGCAGAGCGCCACTTTCTGCGACATGCCGTCCTGCACCAGATTCGTGTCGGCGGTGATGCGCGTGGTGATCTCCCCCGCGCCGAGTTTGTCGAAGTAGGCAATGTTTTGGCGTAGAATGGCGGCCAAATATGCCTGCCGAATCTTGCCTGCAATGTGTTCGCCGGTGTAGATGAAGCCGACGGTGGAGACGTAGATGGTGCAGAACATGCCGATCGCCAGGTAGACAAAATAGAGCACCAAGTGGTCGACGGTGCCTTGGAATTGGCTGGGACTGGTAGTGCCCTGTTCGAAACCCGTGAACTTGCCAGTGAGGGAGCCAAAGATGATTGTCATGAGAGGCATGGCAGCTCCGCCGGCAATGGCACAGATGGAGGAAACGACCATGATGATGATGTCGTTGCGGGTGGCGTAGCGGTAGAGCATGAAGTATGTCACCTTGACAGGTGGTATGTCGACTTGTCTCTTCAATATATCCGCTTCATGGAACGGCAGATGTGCAAAGGGGTCCTTTTGTTCTGAGTCGTCGGCCTGCTTCTGCTGCTCATCCTCCTCGGTCTTGGAATTGGAAGTGGGCAGGCGAGAGTCTAATCGGTGGAGTGGGATGGGCTGCTTTTGTGGTTGTTCGAGGGGGAAGGGTGTCTGGCCCATCATCGTCTTTTCGCCGTCCTCGGCCAGCGCGCCTTCGTGGGAGACGCCATCGCTCGAGCTGCCCGAGAAGTGCATTTTCTCCGAGAGGTCGGACATGACGTCGAGTGTGGTAGGAGTGACGGGCAAAGCGAGAGTAGGGCAGTCGTAGGGTGAGCCCGAGATGTTGTTAGTCCTCCACTACACCTCCAAAAGCAAAGCGGCAACGCTGCAATATAAGTAGGGAAAGGAAAGAGAAACGGCGAAAGAGGTCCGGTTCCGTGTCTGGCGGAGCGGCGACAGGCAGCCGTACGTATATGGAAACGGATGACATGCACGCCGGGACGGAACAAAACATAAACGGCAACGCATGCGAGTGCACAACGTGAGGTCGGCTGGCCTGACATCCGAGCGGCCGGCGATTGGAGCAACACCCGACGCTGCGGTGGGCCTTCCCTACCCTTCTGGGACGTCGCGTGGCCGGAGTCATCATTTCTCAATTCGGCTTCAATCCGCGGGGACACCGCTCGTCATTCGTGGAGATGTCGGGTGTTGGACAGAGCATCGAACGACATTGCCACGATTGATGATGAGTGTCTACTACCGAGCCATCTACCCAAACCCGACTGCCTCGCGCCAAGTCTCTTGAGCTGGATTGAGCAGACTCGACCGGGATCGATCCCTCGGACTCGGTATCGCATCAGCATCATCTATCCCTCCAACCCAGAGGAAGTGCACTACATCGGGAGGCTTCCAGGACGAGCACAGTACACCCCAATCAGGATCCATCTAGACCAAGCCTCTGGACACCTATTCCATCTCCATCATGGCCCTCCCCCTCACCAACCAACCCCCACCCACCTCCTTCCTCAAACTCGCCTACCCCGCCCCGCGCGTCCTCCAAATCACCATGTCGCGCGAAAAAGACCTCAACTGCACCAACGCCGCCGCAATCCTAGAAATGACCGCCGTCTACCGCTGGTTCGACGCCGAGCCCAGCCTCACCGTCGCCATCCTGACAGGCGCAGGCAAACGGTCCTTCTCCACCGGCGCCGACCTAAAAGAATGGAACGCCAAAGTGGCCGAGGCGCGTGCCCAAGGTCGCGACCCGGCCGGCGCAGGCCCGGGGAATGTAGCGGGCGCGGAAGCGATGAGCAATCGCCGGGGCAAGAAGCCTGTCGTCGCGGCGGTGAATGGCATGGCGCTTGGCGGCGGGTGCGAGAATGTGATTAATTGCGATATTGTGCTTGCGTCGGAGACGGCGACGTTTGGGCTTGTCGAGGTGAAGCGGGGGCTTGCGCCGTATTCGGGTGCGTTGCCTAGGTTGATTCGCACTGTGGGGTTGCAGCGGGCGAATGAGTTTGCGTTGACGGGCAAGATCATCTCCGCGCAGACGGCGTTCGAATGGGGCTTGGTAAACAAGGTTGTGCCGCCGGATCGGTTGCTTGAGGAAGCAGTGGCGTGGGCAAAGGAGATTGCGGACATCAGTCCAGACTCGATCATTTGTACGCGTGCTATGCTTCGAGAGGGCTGGACGACTGCGGATGTGGTGGAGGCGACCAATATCAGCAATGGCCGGGAGTGGAAGGAACTGCAGAAAGGCGAGAACATGCAAGAGGGATTGCGAGCGTTCAATGAGAAGCGGAAGCCGAGATGGGGCGGTCCCAGGCTGTGATATCTCTGCATAGACTTGTCTGATCAAGGCATCACGTGTCAATGCACAGTCCGAGAGCCTTGTCGCGAAACCGGCCCACGCTGGCCAGGCCTTCCACAAGTCCCTCAAGCCCTGACATCCCCGGAGGTTGCGCTGGCGGAAAGCCCTTTTGCTGGCGTTGCATAGCACTCTGTGCCATCCCACACCACTCCGCTTCTTCTACCGCCTGTGTCTCCGTGAAGAAGTTACCCGCCAATGCAACCAGCGACTCGGCGAAAGAGAACTGCGCGATCGATGTCGAGTCGCAGTATGTATGCACGCTGCGGCAGAGGTTGCTGGCATGGGCGTACGCCATTCGCACCGCGTCATCTTTCCGCGCAGTAGGTCGGGTGCTGGACGAGAAGTCAAATGCAGGCCGAAAGTGGACCAGTCTCAGCGTCGTGCAGGCCAATGTCAAGCATGCCAGGGTATACGTCGTGTACTCTTCCACCGTCATGTCGCGATCGAAGCTGTAGCAAGGGCCAAAGAGACCACTCGAGTCGAGCGTGCGGAACCAGGCATTCGTCTCTCCTGAAAAGTCTCGTGCACTGATCCTCGGCTGTTGTCCCTTGAATACGGACACCATGTCGTACCAGTCCTGTAAGCATTGCACAAGGCTCTGAATACTATCATGAATACTCCGCAACTCCGACAGATTCGTCGCGGCATTCGCAAAGAAAGCATCCACTCGTCCAAGCAGCGACGGAATGCCCTTCGTCAGAAGCAACAGCGTCATCATCGGCGGGCAATCATCGCAGTACTCCACGTACTCCGCCGACGTGAGCCACGCATACGGCGCCGGTTTCCTCAGCGCGACTCCAATGACAAGCGACACGAATTGCAAGTAGCAGAACAGTTGCCTATCGCCTGGTCGATTCAGGTACAGCACCTTTCTCCCATTCGAGACTAAGGCTCGGATGCCTCGGTGATGAGCCATCCATGATCCCCATCGATCGGGGAGTCCCATGGAGCGTTCGAAGAGGTTGATGATGATTACGCTGAAGAGCAGCACGCGGGGAGGCACGCCGGCCTGATGGGGATTCGCCACGGTCCGGGAGAGAGCGGCCAGCGCCGTGCCGTACGACTTGTGGGCTTGTCGCAGCATTCTTTCGTCCTGTTGTTTCACGGCCGAGCGGGCGAAATAAAAAGCATCCAGAGCAGAGCCGATGGCGACAAAGTTGGTGTCCATTTCCGGCGCGAGGGTGAGGAATGCACCTTCAGTGGCGGATGCGCTTCTGGCGGTGGCGGTGGGAAAGTCCTCCTCGATGAAATTGCTCAGCTGCTGCATGCGTCGGACGGGCGCGAAATCGAGGCGAGGGATGCTCTTGGGGCGCTCCAGGTCTGTCGTGAGAAGCCATCTGGCCCAGGGTCGGTGGCGGGTGGTCTTCTCGGCGCGCTCTGCTGGTTTCTTCGTAGAGCGTGGCTTGTTCGTGTAGTGGACAAAAGTAAATTCGTTGTTGGCCTCGGGCTGCATGTCTACCGACGGGCGTAGGCTATAGCAGATGTACCCTGGGCGTGGTGGATGCTGTCTGACTTGGCGCTTACCGGGGGTGGTACCGGAGCCTTGCGTGCTTGCAGTCAGTCGAGGTCGGCAGAAAAGCCATGGTAGCAGGTCAGGTCAATCTTGGGTATCTCCGAAGTGTTTTTCTGACAATAAAGAAGGCACGTTGAAGTACTTGAAGGTCCTATCTGCCTGCGCGCGATGAGGGGAGTCAGAGGCGGGGAGTCTCAGCCCTGCCTGTCGCGCCCAGCACTAATGCAGCTGCACTCGCTCTCGCTCTCGCTCTCGCCGAGAAATCTACGACCAACCAATAGAGTAGTCCTCACTCTCCATCGTAACATCCAACATCTTCGTCCACCTCGTAGTCTGCTCGCTAAGACCCGCCTTGCCATCGAAAATCGCCCCCTCCTGTCTTTTCTCTCTTTGACAGATAGGATGACCAGCATGGCCAGGATGACATCGAGGATGGCGTGAAAGATGAAGGCGTAGGAGCTCCACGTCCTTGATCAAACCCCAGCTGGTACCTGCAAGACACCCTGTCCCGACCAAGTTCAAGGATTGATCGAATGCCGCCGTGCAGTTGCATGTCGTCGCGACCAAATACCCCTCAGCGTATCTCCTTTTCTTCGCAACCCTCGGCCTATGCTCAATCCCTCCCAAGCGCCTTCCTCAACTCCCTCGCCAAAGCCTCCAACTCCCCAAGCCCATTCTTCTCCGGCCCCGCCCTCTCCCACTCCAACCCCGTATCAACCCAGTCAACCGCCTCCTCCAACCGCCCCATCTCCTTCAAACACTGCCCCCGCCTCCACCAAGCCTTCACATTTCCCAAGCGCTTCATCTCCACGCTCGTCTCCGCATCCACCGCTCCATCCGCCCACGCCTGCAGCCCCATATTCGCCTGCGCACGATTGTTATAGAGTGCTCCTAGTTCCTCGCGCACTAGTCCGGCCGCTTCCCACGTCGGCCGCTCAGAGGCCATGCGGATGGCCAGGTCGTACATTTTGATTGCGTCGGCGTAGGCGCCCTTCTTGTAGGATGCGTTGCCCGTTTCGCGCATTTTGCCGATTTGGACGGAGCGCTTGGGGTTGACGGGTGCGGGGGGCGGGGGCACTTGGTTGGGGGTGTCGAGGGAGAGGAGGGCGCGGTGGAGTTTGTTGACTTCTTCGATTTCGGCGGCGAGGGAGGGATCGGTGGAGGCGAGGGCTTTGGTGGAGGGGTCGATGGTGAGGGGGAGTTGGTGGAAGACTTCGACGCTATCCATGGTTGCGGTTACGTGTTGTTGTTCGGACTAGATGGTGTTGATGCAGGAGTGGGAGATGGATAGAAGACAGGTGTATCTTGAATTGGGAAATTCGGCAACACTTCCCCGAACAATTGGCGCAGGGTCGGCAACCTTAATGCGCTTAGGTAAGGTGGCCTCCCGACGTCAGTCCGTGGCGTTCTTCCTGTTCGTCTAGTTCTAACACAATTTGATTTTGGTGATTAGAATGTGTAATTATCCTATCTCAGTACAGATTGACGCTTGCCCAAAACTGAGAGGCCAGGACGCAGATCTTATGTGACCTGGACAAGGCTCTCGACGGAATTACCTCTTGGGATCTGCCCAGCGGAGTTTCCGGATTGGGTTCGCGGATATAATAAAAGTCCAAAATCTCAACGCATTGCGCAAGTACTCTAGATTCCACGAAACATCGAGCACAGTCTGGAAATTGAAAGATGGAGTACGACCCGAAGATTGGTGAGTGGTCATGGAGTCTTCCCTGGAGATGTCAACGCTGAGACGAGAACAGCCCAGTCCAGCACGGGCGACAAGACTTCCTTTGGATTCGTCAGTGCTAGGGATCGGTGGCCGATTATCCTAGTAATTCGCCCAATCCGAGGCGCCTTACACTTGTACCGCAGTACTAATGCCTGACATAGACTGGCGCCATTGATGACATCTACCGAGCAACATCCGCCGCCACGGAGCGCGAGAAGCAGGAAGAAGGCAAGAAGATTACCCGAGGACTGGCGGAGCTGAAGTATGAATTGCAACATAATTGCCGGATGACGTGAGTGCCCGACAAAAGCAGAGTCTTCATTCTGACTACTCGATTGACACATATTTGACAGGCCTCTGCCCGATGATGGCGCAGCCGATATTGCTGCATACAACCGCGAACTCGAGCAGCGCGGGAACCCCCAGTGGTTCGGCGTGCCGTGGCTTTATGCCGAATGTTATTTGTACAGGCATGTACGAGACTCTTCAACCCATCAATACCACCACTGACGCTTGTTGAAGACGCATGCGCACCCTGTTCGCCCTCTCAACGCACTGGAAATCCTACGACGTCTTCTCCAAGCAGAAAATGTCCACCTTTCGATCCTCTCGCAACGCCGTCCTCGAGCTCGCCACCAGGTACAACGACTTAATACAGCAGCTGGACTCCAACCAATCCGCGCTCGCCGCCGCCTCCGACGAAGACCGTTACAACGTAGAGCAATCGTTATTCGTCGAAATGTGCGAAATCTGCCTCTGGGGCAACGCCACGGACCTCTCCCTCCTTACGAACCTCTCCTACGAGGACATCCAAAAACTCCAGGGCTCCAAGGCGCGTCGTGCGAACGAGAAGAACATCATCGTGAACGACTTCGCCGCCGCCTTTGCCTGCCTCAAGCAAGCGCAGAAGTCGGCACCGGCAAACGCCGAACGCAGAGTCGACATCGTCCTCGACAACGCGGGCTTCGAACTCTTCGTCGATCTCGTGCTCGCCGGGTATCTCCTGCACTCCGGCCTGGCGACGTACGTCGTCTTCCACCCCAAGAACATCCCGTGGTTCGTCTCCGACGTCCTACCCAAGGACTTCAGCGACTTGCTCAACGTGCTCCTGACCGCCAAGTCTTTCTACGAAACGCCGTCCGAGGAAGACACGGCCAACGACCGCACGCCACCCGCTCTCTCTGCAACGGACGAAGCGAGTCTCAATCAACTATTCGAGGACTGGAGCACGCTCTACGCAGAAGGCAAACTCATCCTCCGACCCAACGCTTTCTGGACCGAAGCGGGCTCTTACTGGCGCCTGCCTCAAACCGCACCTGCCCTCTTCGCCGATCTTAAAGAAGCCGAGCTCGTGATTTACAAGGGTGATTTGAATTACCGCAAGTTGACGGCTGACGGGGTGTGGGATGCTGCGACGCCGTTTCACAAGGCTATTGGGCCGCTTGGCAAGGGGTCGGGGCTCAGGACGCTGGCGCTAAGGACGTGTAAGGCGGATGTGGTGGTGGGGCTTCCGGAGGGGGAGGATGAGAGGTTGAGGGGTTTGGAGGGCGGGGGAGGGGATAGCGGGTGTAGGAAGTGGGCTTGGAGCGGGAAGTGGGCGGTGGTGCAGTTTTGCGATGGCAAGGCTTGAGGCGTTTACAATAGAGATAGAAGGAAGCGGTAATAGACACACGTCTTAGTCACCCCTACTTCACCGTAGACAACCCGCTCTTACTCCCCACAATACTCACCACATCCTCATCGGCAACCACATGACTCAACCCCACCCGCTGCGGCACATGCCTCGCGCTCGCCCCCCACACAAGCGCATACTTAAAACTCTCCTTCAGCGTCCGATGCACCGCATCGCACACATCCTCAATCGTGCTGTGATTGCGCACAATCAGCGCCTCGCTAAAGTCCGGCTCGATGCCTTTGCGCTTCGTGTAGATGCGGATCAGGCGCAGCTCTTCCCAGCACCGCTCGACGACGTCTTGGATCCCGAGGTCGAGTTCGCAGGACATTACGGCTGTGTTGGGCTCGTGGGCGAGGGTGTTGAGATGCTCGAGCGAGATGCTGTCGATTTTGTTGTAGACGTAGAGGCATTTGATGTAGGTGCGGTGGTCTTTCATGATCACGTCGATGAATTGGTCGATGGTGGCTGATGGGATGGATCAGCAGGGTGTCGTTGGAGGAATTGAAGGAATTGTTTACCGTTCTCATCTCGCACCAGGACTTCGCAGTTCAGCATGCGGTAGTCACGAAGGATGTTGTACAACATCTTCTCGTCGAGATACTTCGGCGGCGCTTGGAAGGTGATCTTCATCCCACCGGCCTTCTTCTGCTTGAGATAGATGTTGGGTGGGTCTTGGTTCAGTCGGATGCCCACAGCCTCCAGTTCTGCTTCCAGTAGTGCCCGTTGCTCAGCTCGCTTCGTAGCATCCAGCACCATGAGAACCATGTCACTTGTCTAGAGGTCGTCAGTGAGTCCATCCAATCTACTTGAACAAGCCTCGCCTACCTTCGCAGCAGAAATCACCTGCCTCCCGCGTCCCTTCCCCTCCGAAGCCCCCTCAATAATTCCGGGCAAATCGAGCACCTGAATCTCCGCGCCTCCATACTCCAGAACTCCAGGGATGGCAGTCAGCGTAGTGAAAGAGTACGCCGCAACCTCCGACTTGGTCTTGGTGACTTTGGACAAGAAGGTCGACTTTCCCACCGACGGAAAGCCGACGAGGGCTATTCGCGCGTCGCCGGATTTGGAGACGTCGAAGCCTGTGCCGCCTGCTCCTCCTGCGCCTGGGCCGGGTTCGAGGAGTTGTGCTCGTAATCGGGCGAGTTTGCTGCATTGCTGTCAGCAGTTGGAGAGCGTCGAAAGACTCGATCGTGAGGCTTACCCTTTTAATAAGCCGAGATGATATTCTATCTCGTGTTAGTATGAAAGTACAACGCATGGTGTCGGACGACACCCACCAGTGGCTTTGTTTTCTGTATATGGTCAGCATTGAATCCACAACAGGTAGAGGGAAGTTCCTCCGTACTTTGAGTCCTCTTCATCTCCTCCTCAATCCTAAAATTCCATCAGCGCCACGAATCAAGACATTCAGAGTGGGAGACAAACTCCTTGATCTTTTCCGTGATGTTCACCATCTTCGCGACTTGGGCGCGCCGCCACGCAAATCAGAACGTAAAACACTATCCGATACACAGTGATAGAATGTTCATCTCTCAGCCTCGAGGCGTTGGAAATTGGATCCTTCTGCTACGTCGTTCTGGTAATGCTGGTTTTCAAGTGAAGTCTGGAGATTCCGAATCCCAACCCTAACGCTGCGAGGTCATGACACGCCTTAGGGTTAGCCGGACATTCGTTGACATCACGACACGCCTGACGCCTCCAAGTCTTTCCAACAACGATTTCTTACGAGATGTCTATTCAAACTGCACACCGACAATTTTTTCTCGAAGTACCTTCTAACCAACTGCAGGGATAATCATCACCTTGGTCATCGCTGGATTTGTTCGAGCCTCAGACAAAAACATCGTCCTTCCCCATCTATAGCAATCGATGCTCCCACCCGGCCTCCAATCATCACGCGAGGTCACACTATACCATGACAAACTCTACTACAACCTCATCGACTCCGGCCAAGCCGTTCCCTTCGTCTATCCATACGCGGGCCTCGCAGCCTTCCTGGTCCTCGCTTACCTATTGATCGACCATCGACAATCCCCGACACTGGCATGGCTTCGATTCCCGGCTTTCGGTCTCCTACTCGGCTTCCAGGCATGGTGCGTTCTGTACATGCGAGCGAAGCATCCGGCGGCGGCGTTGGGGGTTGGCTTGCTTTCGGCTTGGGGTGTGTTGTGGGTTGCGGCGATTATGGTGGTGAATGATTGTCAGACGGATTGGGTGCGGTTGGAGAGAGGCAAAGCGACGGAAACGAATGGAGTGCAGAAAGGTGGCGGACTGAATGATACGATGGAGCGTTCTTCCAACTCGACGGAGACTCATCCGAAAGCGACGGCGGAGGGACGTGAACTCCCTTCTCAGATTGAATGGCAGTCTTACCCTGCATCCTTCCGCGACCGCATCGACTGGGTCGCCGATGTCTTTTGCAACTTCCGCGGCGTCGGCTGGAGCTGGCAGACATCAGGCATTCCGCCTCCACCCCAACCAATCGAATCGACCGCAGCACACACCAGACTTCCCGAAGATGGAGCCATCACCACAAGTCGAACCGGCATCCGACGCTTCAACAACAAACACGCCCTCCTCAAAACCACCGCCCTCAAACTCCTCGGCGGCTACTTCGCCCTCGACCTCATCGTAACGCTCATGCACCGCGACCCCTACTTCTGGGGCTACGCCGCACCCCCCTACCCCCCAGCCCCCACCTACCTCCCAATCCTGGTCCAAACCTCGCCCATCCTCACCAAATCCTACCGCCTCACACTAGGTCTCATGGGCCTCTACACCGCCCTCTCGCAAGCCTTCGCCCTTGGACCCCTCTTCTTCTGCGCCGTCCTCGGGCCCGCTCGCATAGGCCTCCGCGGCGAAAGCTGGATGAATCCCGCCGATATGTTCGGCAGCTACGCCTGCGTTTTCGACCAAGGGCTCGCGGGCTGGTGGGGCGGATGGTGGCACCAGACGTTTCGCTTCGGCTTTGAGACGGTCGGACACAGAGTCCTCAGCGCGCTGGGCATCGAGAGGAAATCGAAGACGGGCCGCACGGTTGCGCTGTTCGTCGCTTTCTTTCTTTCCGGCTGTGTCCATGCTGCTGGGAGTTATACGCAACTTGGCGAGACGCGGCCTTTGCTGGGCCCGATGCGGTTTTTCCTGTTACAGGCGGTGGGCATCTTGGTGCAGGTTTGGCTGACGGAGTACTTGCATCGGATGCCGGGTGTTCGAAGCTCGCCGAGGTGGGTGAGGCGGTTGGCCAATTTCGTATATGTGCATGTCTTTTTGTTCTGGACTGGTCCACTTCTTCTCGACGATTTCACGAACGGCGGCTGCTTTTTGTACGAGCCGGTCGCATTTAGTCCGCTTCGAGCATTGGGTTTTGGCGCAAAGGATGACGGCTGGTTCTGCTGGTGGAATGGCATCTTGTTCTGGAGGAATGGGAAGCATTGGAGCGACACGGGCATCGCGGCATAATTTCGAAGGAAAATGCATTTTTTGGTTGCGTACATGCTTCGCTCACTAGTGCTTCTGCACGCTGCCGTTCGTCTTTGTACCCTCCGTCACCGCCGCCCGCTTCTTCCCTACTACAAGGCCAACGGGTGGTTTGAGGCCTGCAAACACCAGCCCAGCAACGGCCACCATGCCCGTGCCGCCGATGAAGTACGCCACGTCTCTGCCCGCCCACCAGTAAAGCGAGCAGAAGATCAACGGGCCCAGAGCCCGTCCGATCTGGCCGAAACTGCGGTGATCTCCCAATTTCTCTCCCCGATCGCTCCTGCTCGCCTCAAAGCTCGACAAGCTGTTGAGACCCGTCACAACGGTGCTGCTCGTAATAGCCAACAGCGTCGCAGCGACATAGAGTTCGCGCTCAGTAGTCAAGCGGCCGAGGATGAAGAACGCGAAGGCGCAGGAGATGACGCCCGTCTGCACGACGCGCAGGGGGTGCATGCGGCGCGTCACGCCGCCCTGGAAAAGGCTGGCGATGAGGCCGATGAAGCCTAGCAGGCGTCCGGACTGCTTGGATTCGTAGGAGAAGAGGTCGTAGGTCATGAAGGGGAGGGAGAACTCCATGCCGGAGAAGAAGAGGATGAAGGAGAAGTGGGTGAGGTTGAGGAGCAGGCGGGAATTGGTGCGCTTGCTTTCTGCTTCGGGGACGGGTTTCTTGGTGGTTGCCGAGCCGCCGTTGGCTGTTGAGGTGCTTCGAGGGTGCGTCTCTGGGAGCGCGACGTAGAGGTAGATTGTCTCGGTGACGATGAGGAAGAGCGAGAAACCTGCGGCGGTTGCGAAGGGATTGGCGGCAACTGTTGTCATCTGCGACAGCGCTGCACCGAGTGCGGGGCCGAAAGTAAAGGCGATGGAAAAGCACGCCCCGACCATGGCCATTGTCCTGCCTCGCTGCTCGTCGGTGCTGATATCCGTAGCAATAGCAAGCGCAAGCTGGATATTCCCCTCGCTCAAACCACCAACAATCCTACTAGCGAGGAACGTGCGGAAATCGACCGCAACGCACCACAGCATGACCGAGGCGATGTTGCCCACCATGGACCACAGCAGCGCTGTGCGGCGCCCATATTTGTCCGACAGTCTGCCGATGACGGGCGACGCGATGGCCTGGCAGAGGGAGAAGAGGGAGCCGAGCGCGCCGCCGAGTAGCACGATGTCGTAGCGCGCGCTGATGGGTTTGGAGAAGCTGTTCTTGTACGCGTTCAGACCCGCGAGGATGCGGGAGAGCACGTTGCTCGAGGACTGGGTCTCGATGTTGCGGTAGAACTCGAGCAGCTGCGGGAAGAGGGGAAGGATGAAGGTGAAGGAGATCTGTGTTCGCGTACATGTCAGTTGGATGTAGGAGGCATCTTTTCCTGCGCGTGGGGGAACGTACAAGATCCAGGAGAAGGGAGATGAACAGCACGCGCAAGACCTTCTTGCGCATCGGGTTCTCCATTGTGGCACGCGACTTGGGTTCGTCGAGGGAGTGAAGCTGGGTATGTGGAGGAAACAAGTAGTTCAGCTGGGATCAGTGAATGGGACAACTGGCAAGTTAACGGTTATATACCGAATATCATCTGCTCATCACGTCACCCGCAGCAGATCCCCCTGTGCGGCAAGTCGCGTTTCCGAGACAGGAAGCTCCGAGGCTTTTGGCTTCCTTCGCCCAGACGCCACACGCGCCAATTGCGGGGACGCGCCGCACCTTGATTTGGAAGGTTAATCAATTCGGCGCGGCACAATTGCTTGATTGGGCTTCCTTTCCAATATTCAGGTAATCAGAGGGCAGATCCAAAGGAAGTGACATGGATTAGGGAGATGGAACGGTCTCGTCTACGTCGCCCACGCCGTGTATCCCTCATCCAATCTCGACCGGAGAACCTCACAGCTTCGCCTCTCCATTCCCACCAGCCGCTCCATTGCCGCCCCGCAACCTCTTCTTGCTCACAACCCTCAGCCCAAAAACGAGCATAGCCAAGCCCTCCAGCCCAAGAACGACAGCCAGCGTTACCATAGCCCCAATAACCCCGTTGACAGCAGGACTAATACCGTTGCTGCAGCCTCCGCTCCTCCCATCGTCCGTAGTAGAAGAAGACGACCCCGAGCCAGCAGAATCCGCATAAGGCTCGCAGATGCCCGTCGTGTTGCCGCAAGCCGAACACCACTGTCCCGTCGTGCCGATTGAGAATCGGTTCATGCGGGAGACAAAGTCGTCCCATTGGAACTCCATCTGGTTCGTGCCGAAAAGCGGGTACTGGATAGGCGGCGTGGCGTCCGTAGCCGTGCCATTCGAGTACAAAAACCTGACGTAGATGTCCTTTGTGCTGGGGTAGTTGGACGCCGTCACGGGCGCGCTCGTATTGGTGAACATCTCCCACACCATCGACGACGCATAGTTCGTGATGCCCGTGAATCCGTCATTGATGGCGATCAAATCCGCGAGGCCGAAGAAGGATGAAAACGAGCCGTACGCCCCGAATTGCACCGCGAACTTGCCGCCTGTGAGGCTGCCTGCGGATGCCACCGTTGCGTTGAGGAATTGCACGACTTGCGAGCCGAGTGTGGCGCCGCCGACGGCGCGGATGGTCTCGGAGGCGTTGTACGCAAGATTCCATTGCTGCGTTGCGGCGAGGCCGTAGATTTGCGTTACGACTTCGGGGGTGAGAAGGTTGGAGTGCGGGATGGTGGCGTTGTGGATGCGGCCGACGTTGAGGTAGTCGAAGACTGAAATGGATGTGTTAGCTTCATCTTACTTACGAGTGCCACTTGGTATGAAAGCACTCACTCAAGTACGCATTGTCGAACGTAGCAGTGCTCGCATTGAAGCCAGCCTGGCTGATGATGGGCAAAAGCTTCTGGTAAAACTCCCGCGTGCTGCTCAGCGTATCATTGTACGCCGAAGTGACAAAGTACTCATTCGAGCTGAGCTCCGACTTGTAGCAGCTGCTCGTGCTCTGCAGCCACGCATCATTCTCACTTCCAGATCCGCTCTCCACGGTATTGACGGGGATGAGCTGGAAGCCGTTCATCGGTGCCGTCACCACGGTGCCATTTCCAAGTGTCTCGGTATCCGCCCCGGCTCCAACAGGAGGATACAGAGCCTGCAAGAACCCCGCAGCGCTGTTCTGCAGGACATTGTCGACCGGCGCCGACGCTTGGATTTGGTTCTCGTTCACCATGTCCGGGCTGATGCCCTCGATGCGGAACGTGGCCGTGTCGTCGATGTACCGCGAACGGTAGTACTGGCCGGAGGTGTAGACTTCGCGGTACCCGAGATCCGTTAGGTTGGTGGGGGCGAAGACTTTGGGGGTGCGGTCGCCGTGGCGGTGGAACATGTACACTCCGAGCACCGTCTCGCTGCTCGAGGTTTGGGCTAAGACGGCGGGCAGCGCTGCAAGGAGCGCGGTGGTGGAGAGGGACAACATGCTGTACGTCGTTACCTACTCGTTATCTGGACAGTACAGTACGAGAGAGATGGAAGAGGAAAGACAGAGGAGCAGTGAGAAGGCAGAGTGCGAGGAATAAGAGCTTGGACCCCGCAGATCAGATATCAGCCTGCGCTGACAATGCACCGGGGTCGCACCTAGCTCACTCAATGGATGCTACATGAGGGGACCGGCGAGCCGGCAACAGGCCCATTGATTGGCGGTGTCAGCGCGCACCAGGATGACCCATGTGGTATCGAGCCAAAAACTCTGCTGCAGCAAGGCACCCCGCTCGGTGATAAGCTTCCCGATGTGGAACCTTCCGGATTTGGGCCGACGAAGCGAGCTCTTTTGGACAAATCAGCTCTTGGGAATCTCAAGTCGTGAGGCTGCTGGTAGGCGATGACAAGGTCATGCATTTCCACCCTCCGATGGAGAGATGTCAGTCCTTGTCTTGCAAGAACTCCACCACGGCTGGCAACAGATCAGCCAAGGCAATTCACGAGCGATGGTGAAATTGTAGTCTCACCTTTTCTAAACTCCTCCGGCTGTTCACTGATAACCCAATGCCCTGCATCGATGTCCGCCAGCTCAAACTTGGGGAAGAAGCGACCAACAGTCGGCAACATCTCATCCGCAACATAATGGCTCTTCGTCCCGCGCACCATCAACATCGGGCCCTCAAACCTCGTCTGATCCGGGTCCTTGAACGGGAAATCGGCCATGTGAGCCAGCGCAGCCGTGAGGATTTTCAACGGCACTTTGGCCGTGTACGTGCCCTCTTCGGACCGCACGAAGCAGCCCAGCAGGAACTGGCGGATGGCGAGACTGTCTTCGTATTTCTTGAGAATGGCGTCGGCGTCCGTCTGTCTCTTGCATTTTGCCTCTTCAATCTCTCGCATGCCTTGCACGTACTTGTTGAAGTCGCCGTGGAGCGCTGCGTCTACGGGGGCGTTGTCGACGGGGATGAGGTTTGCAATCGGGACTTTTTCGCGTAGGGCGACTGTCATGACCGTTTTGGCTCCCATGGAGTGTCCGATGAGGGTTGGTTTGGAGAGGTTGTGATGTTGGATGAAGAGTTCCACGTCCTCGGCTAGAGCGGAGTAGTTGTGCGTAGGGTTGTGGGAGGAGTCGCCATGGTTGCGCATGTCGAGGGCATAGACGGGTCTCTTCAGCTCACGAGCAAAGACTCTGGCGTGGAGAGGTTAGCCCATGGACTTTGCGCAAGGGCGGCATTGAGGAGATGAGAGCGTACTTACTCATGCTCCTGTTATTCTTCTTCGATCCGAACAGACCGTGGATGAAGAGAATGGGCGGAGCATCTTCGTTGTCTTGCTTCTGTGCGTCTTTGCTCGGCTCGTGGAGGTCGTATGCCAGAGTTATTCCATTGCTGAGCTCGGTGGTGGAGAAGGCACGGCGGGAGGAGGAGAGGCTGGCATAAGGTCTGAAGGGCGCGTAAAGTCGCGGTAAGGCGTGCCGAATGATCATTGCCACTACATCCACCGCTCTTCAGCACCTCAGAGGAGATATACTGAGGTTGAGGACGAGCCTTGACAGCAGGTTTACGGCGAGGTGGAAGTGGAGTGGTTGGGTGAAGGGTGCAAGTACAGCATGTCAACTTCCAAACTGGGAAAGCTCCAAATGTTCCTGCAGAAAATGGCGTCACAGCGAAACGGTTCTTGGATTCCAACCCGACCACCTCTTCCATGCTTCATGCCAGGAATCTCTCTCACTTCTGTCGCCGTCTCGCTCCCCTTCGCCCTTCCTTGAACCCCTTCCGACATTCAATTCAATACGGCAGATTCTTCAACATGCTACGAACCGAACCCAACATCGTCGTGTAAGTCATGGCCTTTCGCGATCCAACTTTCGCGCCTACTGACAAGACTACAGAACAGGAACGCCTGGCGTAAGGCAATTTTCCAACACCCTTGCGCTCCCCTCACGGCCTCTCTAACACCCGCTTCAGGTGGGCAAAACAACCCTCAGCGAAGAACTCGCCAGCAAAACCGGCCTGCACCACCTCTCCATCAACGAAGTGGTGAAGAAGCACGACATCGGCGAATCCTCGACCGACCCCGACGACCCCAACACCAAAATCGTTGACGAAGACCGTCTGCTCGACGTCATCGAAAACGACCTGCAAGAAGGCGGGCAGATCGTCGACTGGCACGCCTGCGACCTCTTCCCGCCCTCGCTCATCGACCTCGTGTGCGTCATTCGCTGCGACAACAAGCTGCTGTATGATCGGCTGAAGGGCCGGGGGTACGGGGAGAAGAAGCTGCAGGAGAATTTGGATTGTGAGATTATGGAGGTGTTGTTGCAGGAGGCGCGGGATGCGTATGAGGAGGGGGTGGTGGTGGAGTTGAAGAGCGAGAAGACGGAGGATGTGGATGAGAGTGTGGAGCGGATTGAGCAGTGGATTCGGAATTGGAAGAAGGATAATGGGAAGGAGGGCGGGGATGTCAAGGCGCAGGGGAAGAAGGACGAGGATGATCCCATGTTCTTGCATGGTTGAGGCTGGCTCATACTTCCTGCTTCAACCACTCCTTCAGCTTCTCCAGCGCCCGGCCCCGATGTGAGATCTTGTTCTTCTCTGCGATCGGCATCTCTGCGTACGTCTGGCCTTCGTACTCGAAGCACGCATCCCACCCTATGTGGATGTTAGAACCAAGGCACGTCAACCGCCATAGTTGAACGATCTTACCGAAATGTGTGGGCCCCCGCGCTGGCACGATACTCCCCTGTCTCCAACGTCAACTGTCATCCTCCATCCGAGAAGCAAAATCGAGACACTCACATCCGTCCGACCCTGAAACATCAGCACCTCCTTCCCCGGACCCTCACAGTACGCAAAAGTACATACAGCCTGGGCGGACTTGTCCTCAAAACCAGCGAGTAGAAGATGGAACCGATCCACTCCGAGACTCTTCAAGAACCATTTTCTGTGATACACTTGCATTAGCACTATCATTCCCCACGACGCTCGCCAATGCAGCGGCACTCAACAAGTAACGGTGAAAACATACACATAAGGCCCAGGTAATTCTCCCCAAGCATTGAAACACAAACACGTATCTTCCACCAGCACTGGCCCTTGTACCTATACACCCAGTCATCAGTAGACTCCCATGAATCAAATGCAACCCCCCCCCCCCCGTATGATCGGGAATAGTACAAATGAGTAAAGAGAGGAAAACATACAATCCCCGCCGCACTCGCACACTTGTGCCGCGAAATCTCCTCAATTGTGCCCTGCACCTCGTCCAAGTCGACGTTGCGGCTCGCCAGCTGCACCGGCGTGCTGGACAGGATGGCTTGCACTTCGGCGAGTTTGTGCGCGTTGCCCGTGATGAAGTTGAGGGCTTTGGGGGCCATTTGAAGGGGGTGTGATCGAGGGGGTTTGTGAGAAGGAATTGGTATTGTTAACGGTGTGGAGGGAAGAGATGGTTGGAGTTGGGAGGTGGAGGGTGATATGAACTGATGTACTTGACACGACTTTGCACGAACATCACTTTAGGCGCGTGACATACGGTATACATTGCTTTGGCGAGCGTATGCGCCAATCCATAGTGGTGGCACCGGAAGCGTCACGGCAGTACATGATCACGGCGAGTCGAAGGGCAAGAGCAGGCATTTTAGAATACTTTGAATTGAAGCCACGACTCTTTGCGAATCGCGGCAACGGCAGTTTTCGAAACGACTATCGGAAAAAAGCCCTTGTGGAAACGCCGTGATGTTTCGTAGCTAGCACGACTCATTCCTCCATCCTCATGCCCAGTCTACGTCTCTACACCGTCTCCAACACCGTCTCCTTGAACTCCTTGTTCTCCACCTTCTGGCCCGCGTCATCCGTCGATGACTCGCCGTGCAGCGAGAGAAGGGTGCCGAGATCGAACTTGGGTGACTTGAGGAGCTTGACTTTGCGGACGTGGACCTGTTGCGGCGAGGGTTAGTCACATGTATTCTCCCGAGAGTTGTGCCCAGTATCACATACGTTCTGAAGAGGGTAGATTCCCTGCGTGCTCTTCTCAATCTCCCGTCCAATCACCTCCGGGATCAACTTGGTGGTGAGCTGGGCCAAGTTGCAGCTCTGTGCCTCGCGCTGCATAATCTCCACCATCTTCTTCCGGATCGCCCGAATCTGACTGCTCGCGGCGTAGGTGGTCTTCTTGATCTGGTTGGGCCGCTTCTTGGTGAAGCCAATGGCGAAGAGGCGGAGGAGGTAATCGTCGGTGGTCTTGACGACCACGTTGGCCTCAATTAGCGTCTGCCACTTGCGCACCAGCGAGCGGAGTTTGTCGGAGGTGAAGTCGAGGCCGTGGAAGTTGGTCAGGCAGTTCTTGCCCTGCACCTCGTCGACTCGCAGCTTGATCTTGCGGAAGGCGTGGTCTTCGTCTTTTTGGAGATCGGCGAGGGAGACTTCGAGGATGCGGCCTTTGAGGGCGTCGTTGGCGTTCTTCATACCGGTTGTGCGGTTCACAAGCGTCTTGCCGACACTGTTGGAGGGGTTAGTGCTTCTTCTCTTGATGTTTGATGCTCATGGAGATGGTGGAGAGCCGTACTCGCGAATGTTGAAGGTGGAGGGCGCCTTGATGTTGTACCAATCCTTCCGGGTGAAGGGGTCGACCTTCTTCTTCAAGCCCTTCTTGCCCTTGGACAATCTCTTGTTCTTTCCTACGGCCATGATGGCGGTTGATGTAGGAAGTGCGGGAGATTGGGAGTGGCGATGTGTGTGTTGCGACGTCTGGTCGAGATTCGTGAAGTTTGTGCTGTTCTTGAATTTGTTCCCGCTTTCGTGCGCGGAGTCTTGGCGGGAAATTTGTGGCGCGTGCTTTCTTTCGTTGATGCCTGAGGCAAGAAGTATCGAATCGGGAAATTCTGGATGACTTCACGAATGCGAGGAGGCATCTTGACGTTCTTTGCATTCTTCCACTCGCCTTCACGTTGCCCGCCTCCCGCGGCTCTGCCCATGCTCATCCGCCACCTGAGCCCCGGTGCGCCGCTATGGAACAGCTCAGGCTACGTGTGTCGCGCTTGCCGGCATCAATTGCTGGCCAGTCGCACTCAATCCCGCCGCTGGGAGAGCACTCTCTTCTCGACCCAACACAACCCAGACGACGCGGCTGACCATTTTAATAACCTCGTTGGCACCAGTCCCCTCGCACAGCTTGCGGTTGTCGAGAAGGCTTCATCCAACCTCAATGGCTCCCCATCAGATGCGGCCAAGGACAAGAGCAATGGCGGAGGCGAAGGGGAAAGCACAACGGCTACGACATCTGCACCATCTAAGATGAGTCCGTCTGCGAAGCGGAGAGCGCGACGTCAGAAAGCCTGGGCCAAGAGATTGCAAGAAAGAACAGCAGGCACTCCACCCACGGTGTCTAATACTTCTCAGCCTGCTTCGGCCGCGTCTTCGGCCCATCCTCAGGACGGAAGTACAGCCAGTGTTCTTTCAGATGTCCTCAGCTCCCTCTCGAAAGATGTGGACGATAGGTTGAATGTATGGATGAATCAACGGAAGGATCAATCGCCGACAGTTCCTCCTGCGCCGCCTGCTGCGCCAGGAGAGAACCAAGAAACTTCCACCATCCATAGGGTTCGTTCAAGGCTGCGGGTGCGCAAGTTGCACCAGGACCGTGTTTCAGTCATTCGCAAACTTGTCTCTCCCCTTCGATATACAGGCACTCGTGCTTCTGGGGTCATCTCGAGAAGAAGACGAAGAACACCAGTGTTTGAGGTTGGGAGGGCAAGACGTGGGAGTCGCTTGCGCGCAGCGGCATCACCAGTTCCAACCACGCCATCTGTAGCGGCACCCCAATCTGCGCAAGCCGCACCCCCCATCGACAATGAGCCGAACGACAGGGGTGCTGAGGAACACAAGCCTTTATCGGAATCCACGAATCAAGAAACTGCTCCACCGCTCAAGATCACCAGGCAAGCGAAGTCCTCGAAACGAGTGAAAAGGGCCGCGTCGGCTTCGCCAGCCAAATCACCTGAGCAGGCGGCAACATCTAAACAGAACAAGTCTGCTCCGATAAGCAAGCCTAGTAATGGCGATGCCGAGGAGCATAAGCCTCTGTGGGAAGTCATGAGCCAAGCGGGAATTTTGTCCGACAAAACCACCAGTAAAGCAACATCATCGGCGAAAGCCAAGCGGGCTACACAGGCATCTCCATCCGACTCAACACCATCCGGACCTTCGCCTTCCACCAACGTCATCACCTTACAGCCTTCTGCGCTAAATATAAAACCTCTGGACATCCCACAACCCGCAGTGCCTGGTCTGGCATACGGTCTTGACCGGGTTCTTTTCAACCCAGGAGTCTACCAGCTGCAAGATCCTCTCTCTCGCGTTTTCAACTTCGATCCGTACCTGCAGAATATCATGCCGCCCGCCGAGTTTGACTTCAACGCTCTCAAGCAATATAAGACCTCTTCGCAGGATTCCATGCTTTCCACTCTGGCGCAAGAGCACGGGAAACGTTACATTGGCTCTACGTCCAGCATGACAAGTACACTCGCTCATTTCCATTTCTTGCTATCCGATTGGCGACCGGTCAACGTCAACATGATGTCGCAACTCTTCGCCGGGAAGTCGGACACCTTCACGCAGATCAATCGTGCTCCCAACGCCATTTTCTTGCGCTGGAAGGATGGCACCTACGCGATCGACGCGGATAAGGAATTTGATTCGGGGAACGTCTTGATGTTGCTCGGCAAGTCTATGGAGAAGCTTCTCACAATGCCCAAGTCGGAGTACGAGCGTTATCGCAAGAGTGATCCCCGTGAGGTGACGGAAGAAGAACGCACTGCGCCGGAACCCTTCCAGTATACCACCATGGGAGACTTCTTGATGCGCTCTCAGCTTGACGCTCACGACCCTCGTCTCCCCGGAACGGGAACATTTGATTTGAAGACAAGAGCTGTCCTCTCGGTGCGCATGGACGCGGAGAACTTCGAACCCATGACCGGCTACGAGATCCACACCCTTCAAGGCCGCTTTGGCAGCTACGAGCGCGAGTATCACGATATGATTCGCGCGACGATGCTCAAATACATGCTGCAAGTGCGCATGGGACGCATGGATGGTATTTTCGTGGCATACCACAATGTTGAGAGGATTTTTGGCTTCCAATACATCCCGCTTCAGGACATGGATCGCGCTCTCCACGGTCAATTCGACCCTTGTCTTGGCGATCAGGAATTCAAGACGTCTCTGGCGCTGTTGAATGAGGTCCTCGATAAAGCGACGGCCAGATTCCCCGAGCAGTCTTTGAGATTTCATTTTGAGACTACTAACCAGTCGGTTGGCTCTACTCCAACGACGGTTATGTGGGTGTTTGGGGAGGCTATGGAAGAGGAGCAGATTGAAGAGATCCAGGCTACATCCAAGGCTAGGGTTGCGAAGTTTGAGCGCACGATGATGGGCATGGAGAAGGAATCCGAGACTCCGACCAGCACGTCTCACGCCGAGAAGCACGACAAGGCCGCCGACTCTTCAGCAGCAGCCACGGAAGAGGACCAGAGCGCGCAAGCCGAAACTGCTCCAGCACCTGGCCCTGCAAGTGATACCAACTCCAGCCAATCCGACGCGGACGTCGACTTTCTCGACTCCATCGCCTCCTCCCCCACCCTCGACTCCCCCGCCCGCAAACCGCTCTTCGCCGCCTCCATCATCTGCAAGACAAAGGTCAACGGCGTCGCCGCCTCCCGCCCCGAGCACCTCAAACCCACCGACAAGTGGGAAGTGGAGTACGTGCTACGCGAATGGCCCGAGTCGGAGGCGATGTGGGCGCGCTACGAAGCGATGAAGGAGCGCAGGAGGGACATTTTCGAGCGAGTGCGGGACGAGGAGGCGGACGAGGCTGCCCAGGCTGGCGGTAATGGACATGGGCAAGAGGTTCCAGCGAAGCAGAGGAGGGATCGGCACTTTATCGAGTTTTTGCGCTCTATGAGCCGCACTGGCAGGGAGTTTAGGCAGAAGATGGACAAGGCTGACGCCGGAAGGAAGCGGGTTGTTTTTGGGTGGGAAGAGGAGGAGGGAACGTAGCGTGGATGCTGAGTTTGCTCATTTTGCATAGCGACGGCGAACGGGCACATCATCGGGCAAGGACTGTCTGTAGCATAGACAGCCACCAAGGCCGACGATTATTAACATGGAATGGCTTTCTCCCGACTCTCCACCGACGGAGGAATTCACGTATTCATCGAAAATCCAGGGTCCAGCGGGCTGACAAACCCCATATCTCCGTTGACGACATCTCATCATCCCCCATCCTCTCTGGCTTCCGTCTAACCATTCGGGTAAGGCTGGGCTTGCATCATTTTCAGAGTCACTCGAACTGCTCACTGCTTGGTCATACGTTTCTCGTAACTCCGTTCAGTTGCGTGGTTGAGCGCAGGGCTTTACCCGGCCGTATTGTCATCGCCATGCCAGGTTTCCGGCGAAAGATCCGCCCGCCTTGTGACAGCCGTCTTGGCGAGGCTCGACGAGCTACTTTGTCCGCAAGAATATATAGCGACGGTAAGTCGGAGCCGCAGGTTCACAAGTTAAGTCTTCTCTCGTCGTCGCTGTCGTCCCGGTCTTGCACTTCTTTTGTGGACATCGCTCTGTCTGCGATCTGTCCTCGATACTTCTCTATTCGACTATCGGCCGGCCCCAATCATCATCTTCACACCAAGCTCGCTGCTATCGGCGTCGCAGCTTCGTTCTCTCCACAATGACAGACCTTATGCGCGATGCGCCCATCGGACAACTGATTCGCTACTTCACGCGCAATCGAGTCTTGCTGTACCCCGAGGAGAAGCCGGGCTTTCAATGTCCACCGTCCTATAGCGATCCCACCAATGCTTCCAGGCCTCGAGAAAAGTCGTCGCGCCCTCCATCACCGAGTCTAAACTACGCGCGGCCACAAGCAGGAGAAGAAGCCGAGTCACCCCACGATTCACATACTGGCAGCTATACGGCGAGGTCCAGTCTCGATCAGGGAGTAATCCTACCCGATCTCGAAAAGCAAGACACCGCCCGCAGCACTGTCTCCCAATTCGGGGCGCGCACCGCATTACAAAGATCTCACACGCGTTCCGAGCTCGACGAAGCTTTCCACGCTTCATCGCTGACGAAAGAAGTCTCCCGTCCCATCGTGCCGCAGCGCACAAGCGACGGAAATATCCTCGTCGACTGGTATACGACCGACGACCCGGAGAATCCGCACAATTGGAGTCAGGGGAAGAAGGCCGTCACCGCGCTGCAGATCTGCCTCTACACCCTTGCGGTGTACATGGGATCTGCGATTTACACTCCTTCCGCCGGCGGAGTCGAAGCCGCGTTTGGTGTTTCTACGGAGGCCGCATCGCTCGGCTTGTCGCTGTACGTGCTTGCGTATGGCACCGGGCCGTTGATCTTCTCTCCCTTGAGCGAGATTCCCTCTATTGGCCGAAATCCCCCATACATGATCACCATGTTCATCTTCGTTGTCCTCTGCGTGCCTACTGCGCTGGTGGAGAACTTCGCCGGCCTACTGGTGCTCCGATTCCTGCAAGGCTTCTTCGGCAGTCCCTGCCTAGCCACCGGTGGAGCATCGATGCAGGATCTCTACTCCCTCATCAAGCTACCATACATCCTCTGCCTCTGGGCATTCGCCGCAACCTGTGGTCCAGCACTTGGCCCCGTGATCTCCGGCTTCTCCGTGCCCGCGGAAAACTGGCGCTGGTCGCTATGGGAAATCCTCTGGCTCGCGGGGCCCATCTTCATCAGCATGATGCTCTTCCTCCCCGAAACGTCCTCCCCCAACATTCTCCTCCGCCGCGCCCAACGTCTCCGCAAACTCACCGGAAACCCCAACCTCAAAGCCCAGTCCGAAATCGACCAAGCCAACATGCGCCCCAAAGACGTCGCCTTCGAAGCGCTCGTGCGCCCCATCCAGCTCATCGTCATGGACCCCGCCATCGGCTTCACGGCCCTGTACGTCGCGCTGTGCTACGGCATCTACTACTCCTTCTTCGAGGTCTTCCCGCTCGTCTACATCGACCTGTACGGCTTCAATATCGGGCAAATGGGCCTCACCTTCCTCAGCATCACCGTTGCCGTCGTCATCTCCATCGCCGTCTACTGGGCGTACATCTGGTACGTGGTGGAGCCGGACATTCGCAAGAACGGGCTGGGCGCGCCGGAGAAGCGACTGCTCCCGGCCGTGATTGCGTCCTTCCTGTTACCAGTGGGCCTCTTCTTGTACGGATGGACGGGCAACGGGGAGATATACTGGTTTGTCAGCGTGGTTGGGATTTTCCTCTTCACGTGTGGCGTCTTCATCGTGATGCAGTGCGTGTTTGTGTACCTGCCGATGGTGTATCCGCAGTATGCCGCTTCGCTGTTTGCTGGGAATGACTTTGCGCGATCCTTGTTGGCTTTTGCTGCTATCATGTTCGCGCGGTAAGCAAGGGACTTCTTCCGAAGTGTGGAACAATCCTGCTAACATGTTGAATCACAGGGCGATGTATCTTGGCATGGGCATTGGGCCTGGCTGTAGTCTCTTGGGTGCTTTGACTGCGGCTTGCATTGGAGGAATTATGATATTGTACTTCTATGGCGATAGATTGAGGGCGAGGAGCAGGTTTGCTGCAAAGTAGCAGACTGCATGCCCTGTTGTATTTCTAGAATAGATTCAAAAGGAAATTAACCAATCCGTGGACCCCTTAGTTAGTTCTAAGCCACCAAGAAGAAAAGACAAAAAAAAGGATACCGATATGGGAGAATCAAACTCCCAAAGTTGCCTGTCAAAGACGTACTTTGGCGGTACTCTGAACGCTGTCTGTCAGAACGGAGTTCCAAAGACGCGGTATAGAATGCAGGTGATAGACTCACGGGAATCGAACCCAGGCTGGCACGGGATTTGTGTGTAACCACAACGTGACGTCATACCACTAGACCATACCACCGGTCTGTAGAAACCTTAATTCACGAGGAATTGGAATTGTTAATGTAGCTTGAATTTGCAGGTGGATCTACCATCGACGCTAGACTCGACGAGGCTGAAAGTTGGAAATCTGCTGTGGACTCTTACACCTTCACATCCGGACAACATGTCCAGCAATCAATCCGAGAAAGAGCCAATTATAGCCCAGCTTCAGGCTTTACTAGATGAAAGCGTCGCGGCTGGCGTTCCAGGCATTTCGGCTGCGATTCAGACATCCACCGGGACGCAATGGGATCTCTCAGCCGGGTACGCAGACATTCAGACCAAGGCGGCCATAGACAAGACCACCGCGTTTGGCATTGGTAGCATTACGAAACCTTTCGTCGCGGTTCTGACTCTCCAACTCGTTCAGGAGGGAAGACTGAATCTGAGTGATCACGCAAAGTCTCTTCTCAGCGCCGATGTTTTACACGGCATCCAGCATGCCGAGGAAGCGACTATTGCCCAATTGCTAAGTCATACCGGCGGCATCACCAGTTGGGAAGACGATCGACAATGGCAAAAGGATGGACGTGGCGAGAACATCCAGCCCAGCAAGATCTGGCAAAAGAGTGAAACGCTAGACTACGTGCGCCGAGCTGGAGAAGACACTGGTCTGAAGCCCGGCCCATTCCACTATGCCAATACGAACTACACGCTTCTCGGCCTGATTATCGAAGAGATAACGAAAAGCACCGCCGAGGCGGAAATCCGTCGCAGAATCCTCGAACCCTTGCAAATGGCAGACACGTACTTCGAGGGCTTCGAACAACCACGGGTAGACCGCACGCCGCATCGCTATCACTGGTCGACGCCTACCTTTCACCAGACGGCCGGCTTTTCACCTCACCATAAACCCGTACGAGATGATCTCGTCGATGTCACGGGCACGAATCTCTCCGTGTCATGGACGGCAGGAGGCATGATCTCCACCCCTACAGATCTACTCAAATTCGCCAACGGGCTGCGAGAAGGGAAGCTGCTGAATGCACAGTCGATGGCGGCGTTGATGGACTGGCAGCCGGCTTTTGAGAATATAGACATGGGCCGTGGCGTTTCTCGACTCCGGGACTCTGGACTTCCGGGGACGTGGGTGGGGCATAATGGTGGTGTGCTGGGGTTTACTGCTGCTTGGTGGTGGGATTACGAGGGTACTTGCGCCGTGAGTGTGTTGGCGAATGTGGGATCGTCGCATGCGGGCGATGTGCCTTCGCATGCGGCGCGTGTGGCTATCAAGACGAAGTTTTTGCGGCTGGCGGCGGAGCTTGCGGCTTTGGGATGATGATTAGAATGTATTCAGAGTCGTTCAGTCAATGCTATACCCGTATGTCCTCAACGCCGCGCTAATTCATCGTCAATGACCGAGACAATCAAGGCCCCTCCATTCGCTGCTTCTTCGGTGGCCGGTTACCAAACCGCTCCTCCGCTCTCCTCTTTCTCTCCATCTCCTCTCTCATGATCCGCTCGGCATTGCTCATCTTCTTCTCCGGCTCGGCCGCAACCACATCCTTCTTCTTGGCGAAGGGGTTCTTCTTGGCCATGAGTGGGTTGACTGCTTTCGACTTGCCTCCCAGAGACAGCGACATCTTTGGTATGGAGGGAGTTTCTTTCGCGGGAGCTGGCTTGTCTGTGCCGAGTACTTCGTCGTCCTCCTCATCGTTCTGTACTTTTGCTGGCGACGCAGGCTTGTCACTCGCAGAGAACTCGGTAATGGCAACCGGCGCATCGCCAGCCTCTTCTTTGAGAGCAGTCTGCTTCGGTTGGACCTTGCCACCAAGGCTTAGCGACACCTTGACCGGCTCTGCAGCCACATCTCCCTCCGCTCCCTCCTTCGACCGTCGCTCTTCCTCAAGCCGGCCAGCCTTCTCTGCCTGCTCCCTCGCCTGCCGAATCTGCCTCTCCAACATCTTCGCCTCCAACTCCTCATCCCCCTTTGCCAGTCTTTCCTTCTTCTTGACATCCTCCCGCCGCCGAATCGCTTCGGCACTATCATCAATCCACTGGATCTCCAACCCTCTCTCCCCCTCCTCAACCCTACACACCCCCTCCTTCCCCAAGTGTTTCGCAAAGTCCGTCAGAGAACTCCACTTCGTCGCATTCATATGCACATGCTCCTTATCGCGAATATACTCCTGATAGAACTGATTCATATGCACCTTCTTCTCCCCATGGCTCGTCCGCAGCAACTGCAGAAAGTCGCGTGCAAACTGCCGGCTGTAGTCCTCGATGAACTTCTTCGGATCCTCGCCGACCAGCAACATGGCGCGCACATGCCCCTCGGACTGAGTGTGCTGCTTGAACCCGTTCTCGTCGCGGCATTGCTTGCCGCAGATCTGGCAGTACCATCGCAGGCGCTGCAGGCCTTTGGCTTTGGACTTGTTGGCGATGTATTTGGTGCTGCCGACTTCGGCTTTGGGCATCGTGGGTTGGTGTGCCTCCGGAGAGGACTTCGCGCGGGGATGTGTCGGAGTGTTGTCAAAGGTGGACGTCGAGGGGTTGGAGGAAGAGAGGAGAGGTCGAAGAAGTGGTGGCAAGTTCAGGTTGGGTTGGACTTCTCGAATGCTGAGTCAGCCATGTTTTCTGGAAGAGCCGCCCGTGATCCAGCCTTGCGAGAACGCTAACCGTCACACGACGGTGTAGAGTAGCAAGAGCGGAGAGACGGCATGTCAGGGGTCTTTTCTCTCATCTAGCGTCTAGAAAACCATTCGACTTTGTGTGAAACGCGGATCAAAGAGTGATGTTTCCTGCCTCAGGTTCTTCCCCCGCTGAAACCTGGCGTCCAACGTCACTCCAACAAGGCAGGAGAGTACAGGTGTCCTAACATGTCACCTTCTCCAACCAATCTTCTGAAAGAAAGTGCTTCCGCTACATTTCTCGTCTCTTGACGAGTTGAGACGTACCTCTCTCAACCTCACCCACTCAGAAAGCACCCATCCAACCCCAACTTATCGCCAACAATGCGCCACCCAACCCTCCTAACCCACAGCCTTCTCCTCCTCTCCCTCGCCCTCCCCCAAACCCACGCAAAAACCTACACCAAATCAAAAGACGCAGTCCTCCTCTCCAAAATCCGCACCCTGACCCTAAGCGCCAGCAAATCCACCTCCCACCGCCGCACAGCCGCAATCCCGCAGTTAACCTGCGTAGGCGGCAACGCCCGCGGCCGGTACGATGTGGACGTGATGCGCTGCACGAATTCCGGCTCCGAGTACGACGCCGAGGATATCCAGTGGACGTGTAAGGCGAGTTTGCCGCCGGAGTTCAAGTTGGGGGGTACGGAGGTGGTTTGTGAGGGGTACGATTCGCCCGAGGATCCGTTTGTGTTGAAGGGGAGTTGTGGGGTTGAGTATCGGTTGGTTTTGACGGAGGTGGGGGAGGAGAAGTTTGGGACTGGAGGGTGGAGGGGGTTTGAAGGGGGAAAGGTGGGGGGTTTGTTGGGGCTGTTGTGGTCGGGATTGTTTTGGGGCGTGTTTATCGGTATGTGCTGACCCGTCTCATTTTTGCTGATCCAACTAATGAACTACGATCCAGCCATCGCCTGCTTGATCTTCTACCGCCTCTTCTTTCGCGACCGAGGAGTCGCTTTACCCCGCGGCGGCCGTGGCTTCGGAGGTTTCGGAGGTGGAGGTGGCGGCGGCGGAGGCTGGGGAGGCGGCAACGACCCTCCACCACCCTACACACCGCGCGCCCCTCCGCGCTCCAAACCAGACAGCGCACCCAGATCTGCGCCGAGCAGTAGCAGCAGCGGACGCAGCTCATGGTACGGACCTGCAGCAGCAGCGGCTGCTGGATATGCTGCTGGGCAGTATATGGGTCGTAGGGGAGAGCGGCAACGGGAGGCACCGAGGAGTACTCCTGGCTCTAGCAGATCGCCTTTTGGAGGCCTCTTTGGTGGCGGCAGTGGGAGTGGAGGATCTCCGTCTGCTGGTGCTGGGGCGGGAGGCTCGGCGTTTGCTTCAGGCCCTTCGCCGAGCAGTTCGCGGTATGAGAGTACCGGATTCGGAGGGACGAGGAGACGATGAGAATCGGGTATCGTTCAATCGTGATATACATGAAACGACATCAATCGCTTTACACCATCTACAACGCAGCCGCTTCATCCGAAGCAGGCGCCACCCGCGGCCTCTTCGTCATCTCCTCAATCCCCGTCCGCGTCTCGGTGTGCTCGCTGCTCAGATCGCGATGCTTGACAAACACGCTTACTACAAACCCTAAACCCGCGGCGACAGTGTACGTGATCCAGACATTGCGTAAGCTCCAGCTGAATGCATCTTTGACCGCCCTCTGCTGAGCCGCGTCAGCGATGTGCTTGATAACCTCGACGTTCGCCGCAGCATGGCCGTCGGAGAAGTCTGAGATGAGTGTGGAGTTGAGGCCAGCAGCGCGAAGGGATGAAATGCGAGAATCCATGCCGTTTTGGAAGATGATGCCGCCTAGGACGACCGAGATGGCGGTGGCGAGATTACGAGCGGTTCCGACGGTGGCTGTCGCGGTCGCTGTATCGGCTTGGCTGACCATTACCTGCACGGCGACGAGTGGCGGCTGAAACAGTAGACCCGCTCCAATACCTGCGATGAGCTCTATCCCGATTATGTCCCGGATGGGTGTCGTGGCGTCGAACATGATGAAAAGGCCATATCCGAGGGTCATGAGAATCGTCCCAACCCACATCATTTCGCGATATCGGCCAGTCTGGTGGATCAGCAGGCCACTGAAACAACCTGCCGCGGCTTCGGAGAGAGCCAGGGGAATCAGAAGCAAACCACTTCGCAAGGGCTCGGCGCCCCTGACGCTTTGGAAGTAGAGGGGAAGATAGAACTCGCCACCGATGAAGACCAAGCCCTGACAGAATGTCACCGCGAACGCAGCAACGTTCGACCAGTTGCGGAACACCGAGATCGGAATGATTGGGTACTCGGCGATTTTCGTCTCGGACACGACGAGAACGGCAATCATCACCACTCCAAATACAATCAGACAGATGACTGTCGGACTACTCCAGGGAAATGTTACGCCGCCGAAATCGAGACCGAGTAGCAGCATAAGCATGACGCCAAGGATCGATGCCGTTCCGTACCAGTCGATGGCGCTGAGTCCGGATCGCAAGGGAGTGCGCGGGTTGTGTACATTCAGGAAGAAGATCAGGATGATGAAGGTCGTGCCAGCAATGGGCAGGTTGATCCAGAAGCACCTGGGACACGTCAGCATGGCACAACAATCCGAGACCGAGAAAAACCAAGATACTCACCACCGCCAGCTGACCAACTGGGTGAAAGCACCACCAACAATCGGTCCAATGCCTCCAGCCAGTGCCCACGTAACCTCAATAAGGCCAAAATACAGCGTGCGCGAGCGCATACTAAACAGATCCGAAATAACAATGCTAACAAGCTGAAGAATCCCCCCGCCCGCAGTACCTTGCAAAGCACGCGCAGCAATCAGCATGCTCATACTCACGCTCGTGGCGGCGAGCGTACTGCCTACAGCGAACAAGGCCACAGCACCGAGCAGGACGGGTTTGCGGCCGAAAATATCGGAGACTTTCGCCCAGATAGGCGCGGCGGCGGCATTGGCGAGCAGGAAGGCGCCGCCGATCCAGAAGTAGCCGGCTGCGGAGCCTAGGTCGGAAGTGATGACGGGGATGGCGGTGGCGACGATGGTTTGGTCGAGAGCGGTGACGAAGAGGGAGAGCTGGATGGAGCGGGTTAGATGGGATTCGAGGGTTGGATGGGTGATGGACGTACGTAGAGTGCGAGCAGGATGGCCCATGTGCGTAGTTTGGTGCGGACGGGGGCATTGGGCTCATCGATATCCAGTTCTTGGAGTGCGTGGCTCGGTGGTTCGGGGAGGGGTTCAGTTTCCTCGGTGATATGGGTTTCGGTGGAAGTTTCGATTTTCGACATGGTGCTGGTATGGACAGATATGTACAAATGAGACGGGCAAAGCAATATATACGAGACGAAAAGACTTGAAGGACAGAAACACGCTGGACAAGGTCGAGAGGAAAGAAGTTATCACCGTTACAACGCGAGGTCGTGTAAGAGCGGTTTGCTGGTGGAGTCGAGTCATCCCACGTCTGGCCCGAACGCCGAACGCCGACGACCAACATCCGCGGCCTCTTCTCCTTCTCCTCCACCTATTCTGCACTGTCGTTGAAGGCTACAATCCGAGAGGGTGAATTAGTCTAAGAAGCACCAGATGAAATGCCTCCCAGTCCGGACATTCCATCTTCTTGCTTCTCTGCCAATCATATCCTCCCCATGTACCACCATCCACCTCGTCGTACGGCCGTAAAGATGAGGTCCAAAGTACATGCAGCCCTCCATATCCGGCAAAGACACATCGCATATGGCGCCGGAGGCCCCCAAGGATTGAGAACTGGCCAATGGACTACACAGCACCCTTCAATGACCGACAGATTGCATGCACGCACGTGGTGGAAGTGGTTACTTGTGCTTAGTAAGCCGAGCAAGGCTTCACATTCACGGTTTCAAATGTTGTTACAGCAAACAATTCGTCTCTCATACCGCTGCGAAAGCAAGACCGCACCTAGGCCCCGTAGAATCTCCTCAGGATCTTTCGCATCCTGAAACTCAGCAGAGTGGGTGGAAAGAAGCACGCCCGAGCGTCAGTATCACCATACCTTACGGCCGTAACAAAAATCCCTGCATGCAGCGCGGCCAACGACTTGCACTACACCCTCCAACCCTTGCTCCTCCGCGGCCCCCAATGGGGCTTGTGATCTACCCTGTGCATCGACTTGCATCTAATCGTCCCGTTCAAATCACGACCTCCGAGCCCAGACCACTCTGCAGGAATGAGATGTGCTGGCGAATTTGGAAGCACCCTACTTGCTCCGCGGAACGCATGCATTCCCCGCCCAATCGCCTACGAAGGGATGGGCGTACGTTAAAAGGGATCTTATCCCCTCATCGACCGCCGAGCTTCGTGCCTCCTCCACACTACGCCCAAGATGCACTTCCCGACCCTCGCTCTCTTGTTGCCTCTCGCTCTCGCGTCCGATCATGGCCATCATCGGGCGCCTCAACTCAATTGCAAGGCGATTGTCTCCGGGCTCTCTAGATTCCACGCCCTGCCCGAAGCTACCTCCTTCTGCGAGAGCTACCTGGGGCTCACCCAGGCTGTGTGAGTTGCCCGTCCATGCCCTCTAACATACGGGTGACATGCATTCCGCTGATACCACGACCGTTCTAGCACGAAAACAGCGTCGACCTCGACGGTGGTAATCACGACTACGCCAACCATAACCGTGACCACCACCACAACCTCGGGCTCTTGCTCTCCAGCTTCCGCCGCCTCGCCAACTCCTACCCCCACTGCAGCGGCCCGAATCAAGCGGTCCCGGCCTAAGCCTACCAACTTCCCCAATGGGGCGGAGGAGATTTCGTCCGCCTGCTCCTGCCTATCGCTTTCCACTGCGGCAACGGCGGCAACGACCACAACGGTACGTCGTCCCTTCTGGGAAACATTATGTCCTATTGTTGCCAGTCGGCAGCGCGTTGATCTCACTCGTTAGCCCATCACCACTATCATGAGCGCGGCCACGACCACGTTCACCTCCCAGATCCCCGCGGGCTGCTGCACCCTCGCAGATTGCAACTACCAAACTAACGATGGGACTGGCTATTGCGTCGACTTTTTTGGCGGTGATGATTACGCAACATACTTGTATTCCTGCACCTTTGCGTCTTGCTACTATTACGGCGCCGGTTCTGCCACATTTACCTCCGTTTGTACCTCTTCGACGTGAGAGATGCGGAGTGCGGCGAGCCGAGTGCGGCGCAAAAGAGTCGAGTGCGAGCGTGGAATTGGAAATTGTCCGCCTTCGAGGGAGAATGCTTGCATGCAGGTGGCAAGGAAATCGAATCATCCGCAGCGGACGGGACACTCTCATTGCTCGCTTTCGCCTCCCACCTGCCTACGAGACTGCGCATCAGCCCCAGAACTCTCCCGCCTGCCTACGAGACTGCACAGCAAACCCAGAAATCCACAGAACACATGTCCTGTCGTCCCTAGCCACTCCTACTGCCTCAATGCAGCATACCCCCCACTACTCCCCGCATAACTCCCAGTAATCTTCGCATAAGCCTCACACTCGCCCCCCGCAAAGCCAACACCAATACACTCATCGGGTCCAAACTCGTCGCAGAAATCGAGACAGTTCTCCAACGACCCCGTGAAAGTCCTCTTCTCCTTCATCTTCTTCCCATCACTAGTAATCACCACCCCGGACAACTCCATCTCACACAAAATCCCATACACCAACCCCGCGAAATCAAGACACAAGCCTTGACTCCCTGCCCCGCCAGCGCAAATCCCCGTCTCGAGATCACCCGCGCAGGAAGGAATGGGAGTCGGCGTGGAGAAGGTGGGCGCCGTCCAGGTTGCTGGGGGCGTGTGCATGGTGTGGGTGTAGGAGTCTGCGGAGGCGAGGGTCACGCCGGGGTCGGAGTAGGGGTAGGTGCTTGTGGGGGTTGTGGGGTTGGGGATGACGGTTGAGGAGGTCATCGTGCCTGCTGCTGCGGCGATGCGGTCTTCGGTTTGTTCTCGGTTATCCTGGTGTGAGCGGTGCTTGCCGTGGTGGTGGCGGCGGGCGTTTGAGAAGGTTGTTAGCGCGAGGAGACCGAAGAGCAGATGGAGGATGAGCATCTTGACGGTGGGTTGGAAATGTAATGGAGCGTGAGGAAGAGCTGAGAGACGGATTGATATGCGAACACGGTAGCTGTGCAAATGCCTGGAATGAATAACACGCGCTGGAATGCAAAGCCACTCACCACGCCAATCTCACAACCCATCATCCCGTTTCCATACCTTCATCCATCTCTCATCCAGACTCGAACCCTCCTCATAAAAGCGTAAATCTGTGCTCAGTCGTATCCTACCTTCGGGATCCTGATTCTTCACCGCGCCGTGAATCAAGTACTCATTATGGAACACCACATCCCCAGCCTCGAAATTTCCTGCAAGCCATCTCCGCTTCCCCCCGTTTCGTCCAAATTGGCCAGCCAGATAATCTCGTCGAAAGTCGTCGACATTGTGTGCGAGTTGCCCGTCGCGAGCCATGTTGGCGTTGAAGGCGTTGATTCGCTCCTCAGGAGTAAAGTGCTCTGCGCGCTTGACGAAATCTGCTTCCACGTTTCGACCGATGTCTTGTGAGTTCTCGAGATACATCAGTCCGCCGCCTTCGGCTGTGCAGTCTCCTATCGGTACCCAAGCGGTGAGGAACTCGGATTCGCCTTTGCGGAGCTAGGTGGTGTCAATGAACTGTCCTGAGATCGAGCTCTTCGCCCCACTCACAAATAGTTTGTCGTAATGGATCCCCGTGGAGAATCCATTGGGAACATTATGTCTTGCTGCTGTTAGCAAATCATCACCATTCTCATTGCAGTTCCAACCCACCTGAGCAATGTCCGCGTAAGAAGCACATCATTCTTCCACCCCATGAACCTTCTCACAAACGAGTGCAAACTATCATGCTTCAACAGCTCATCATACTTGGGCAACACATGCGCCGACTCGAGGAGATCAAGCCGATCAACCCCATCCGGCAGCCGCGTCGCCCCAACGCCATTATGCGTCTCGGGGTCATCGGCGTCGTTGAAAATGCCGTCACGCGGCGATGTCCCGGCTTTGAGGATGTGCGTAGGTGCGAGATGGGCAAAGTACTCTTCTCGAGAATCGAGGACGGTTTCGCGGGGGATTAAGTGTTTGATGAAAACGTAGCCGTCTGTGTTAAAACGTCGCCGCATTTCTTCGAGGGGAGTGTCGACGCTCGTTTCTTGCATCCAGCCTACACTACTTGCATCGACGCATGGTCCGTGGTTCGAGCGGAGTTTTGGTAGCTGTTGTCTTTCGTACACGAGCTCGTGAGCGGGAACGGAGGGTTGCTGGACGGCCACAGCCATGTCGTCGACGATACTTCTCGTTTGGTGGGATTAGATCTTGATCAAACCGCCCGACTGAGGATAAAAGCGACCAGCTTGAAGTGTTTCCGAGTCGAAAGATGCAAAGAGCCCCGAGAAATGCGACACGCGGGGCGGTGCTGCTTGATATAGGTAGGCTTCGATTGCGGGGTGGGCGGGATTTCCTAGCGAGGAAGTTCCCCACACGCCCCCAAACCGGTAAGAAATCCCGCTCCTTCCCCTTCTGGAACGGAGCTCAATCAGACCTGCTTCCGATCTGGGCAGCTTCGGGGCGTTGGAATCAACTGCTCCGCAACGACTTCAAGCGCTGCCGCCAAACTCCCTAAAGACAGGCCCCTTCACCTTTCCCCTAGAATCAAACCTCACCCCCTCCTCAAACAGCAGCTCATGCTTCTTGCTCGCAAACTTGCCTCCCTCGCCCCACTCGCCCTTGAACCCGCCTAAGCTGCCATCATTCGCCAGGACACGATGACACGGCACTTCCGGCGCGAAAGGGTTGTTGCGCATGGCGCTGCCGACCGCTCTCGCGCACGTCGGGTGCGAGGTGGCGGTGATGTGGTCGGACAGGGCTTGGTAGGTGGAGTACCTGCCGCGCGGGATTTGGCAGAGGAGGGTGAGGGCTTGTTTGCGGAAGGGGGTCAGATCGGGCGCGGCTTGGATGCGGCGGAGTTGGGCGGGGATGTCGACGGGATCGTCGGCGGTGTCTTGTTCGTGCGTAGTGTCGGCCTCGTTGGGCTCGGCGGTGCTTCCTTTCTGCTCGGTAGAAGCTTTCGCCTTCGCGGGAGACGTAGGCAGGAAATAAGAAGAAACCGTCCCATCCTTCCCCGTCCTCCTCTTCTTCCCACTCCCTCCAGCACTACTAACCTCCCCCTCCGCCTTCCTCTTCCCAGCACCCCTCCCCTTCCCCCTCAACTCCAAACTCCTCTCATTCAACGCCCCCAAATCCACGCGCCCCTCACAAATCCTCCTCCCCAACAACCACGCTTCCTTCAGCTGCGTGGGATTCATATGCTTCACGGCCGGGGCTTTCACAACCTCCGTCCAAGGGCGATCGATCCCGACGGCATTGTCGAGGATGATGCGGGCGAAGCAGTGATCCAAATGGACGGGCCAGTGCGGCTGGACGGGATCTTTGGCGCGCGCGAGGGCGGGAAGGGTCTGAGTGTAGGTTAATGTCCAGTGGTTTCGGAGGGTGGCGGGGTGGTATCTCATCTTGCTGTTTTGGGGTTCTAGGTCTAGGTGGATTCTTTCGAGTCGTCGATGTCTGTTCGAATGCAGGGACGCTCTCGTCGGCGTCATCGTCAAAGTCGCGTCGCGTCGCCGCGGGGAAAGTGCGGCGGCGGAGCTAAGGCTGAATGGAGAAATTCCGCCTTTGCTGCAGCCTCTCGCATTATCACCGTCCTCACATCCAAATGCTGCTAAAACGACGACTCCAACGTACGACATTTGAGTGAGACCGAGGATCAACTGACATGATGATCATGATACGTCGCCCAATCTACCCGCTTGCCTCATAAATCTCCTACTGCATCGTTCGTCTCAAAAAGCACATCATCGGCATGGCACATGCACACCCACCATCATCATCATCCCTTCCTCCCTCATCATGCAAAGCAAGCAAGCATTCATCATGATCCCTCAATGCGCGCCACCCTTGCGAAAGCGCAACAGCTCACTCAAACTCGCCAAACTACACCCATGCTGCAAAAACTCATGCTTGCCCAGCTCCTCGGCCGTCGCGCGCGACTTGACGTCCACGCACAGACACACGCTCAGGAAACTCTTGAGCTCCTTGCTCAGCTTCTCCGGCTTCTTGAGGCGCGGCGTGCCGTTCGTCGCAATGAGGTAGAGCGCCTTGAGCGGCTCCTCGTTGAGGTACGGCGGCTCCGACTCGATCATTTCGATCGCCATGATGCCCAGCGACCAGATGTCCACTTTGTTGCCGTACTCCTTCTGCTTCACCACTTCCGGCGCCATCCAGTACGGTGTGCCGACCATGGTGGCGCGCTTGTTGCGCTGCTCGGTGAGCTTGGCGCAGAAGCCGAAGTCGGTGATTTTGACGGCGCCGCGCGAGGAGAGGAGCACGTTGTCGGACTTGATGTCGCGGTGGATGATGTTTTGGCTGTGCAGGTGGATGAGGCCTTTGCAGGTCTGGAGACGCCTTGTTAGCGAGGTCTTCCTGTCGCATGGTAGTAATGATACAACTCACCTCCAGACAGATTGTCGCAATCTGGTCCTCCGAAATGCTGCTGTTGTTATCAATGACATCCGTCAACGCCCCGCCCTCCATAAACTCCATCACCACCCACAACTCGAATGTGTCCTCCTGAAGAAACGCATCCAGGAAGTTGACAATGTTGTCATGCCGGCTCTCCTTCATCACGATGATTTCATTCACAATCAGCTCCTTCCGCGGCTGACTACGCAGATCCATCTGCTTGATCGCCACTTGCGCCCGCGGACCGTACTGCCGGATCAGATCCCTGGCCGTGGCGGATGGCGCACTTTCGCGTATTCGCGCCACGTACACCGAGCCGGACGCGCCCTGCCCAATCTTCTTCTGCTTGTTATAGCTCTCAAGAGGGTTGGACAGGTTGACTACGGAGCGCAGCCGTTCCATGACTTGCGCATCCGACATGGCGCTCATCCGCACGTCCTTCTCCTTCTTCTCGCTCGGATCGGCTTTCTTCGTGAGTGCGGCTTCGGCTTGTTTGATGGGATCTTTGGGGCTGGGGCCGGATGGCTTGGCGGCTACGTTGAGCGGCTTGACTTGTTGGTTGCCCGACGGATTCTGCCTGTGCTGTGGGCTTGATCCTTGAGGTTTTCGTACGCCTGTCGACACATCGTCCCGTCCCTGCTGGGCGCTTTGTCCAGAAGTTGGTGTACCGGGCGGCTTGGCGCCGTATGGAGAGGTGCCGTTAGTCGTAGGCTTCGTCGGGGTACCGCCATTCGCCTGCCCGGGCGGCGCAGGAGCCGGTCGAGAGGCTTGGAGATTCCTGATCGGCAAGGCACCCGGCTGTCCGTTTCCACTCTGCGACGGCGCGGGTGGAGCAGGTCGTGATGCGTTGTATCTGGCAGATGATGGCTGCGCGCCTGGACTTCCATCCCTCGAATCCGAGCCGTATCGGGCAAGTTCCTGTTTCGCCAGCGGCACTTTGGATTTCGGAATCTGTTCGTTGTACTCGCGGTCTTCTTGTTCTTGTCGCCGCCTACGTTCTTCTTGCTGTCGCTTCTCCGACTCCGCGCGTCTTCGTGCCTCTTCTTGCCGTCTTCTTCGGTCAGCCTCCATAGCGGCATCTGCAGCAGACACCGGAGCGGATTCATTTCGCTTCTGCTGCATCATGCTATCTTGCGGTGCCTCTCTCGAGACTGGCCCAGTAGCGCTAGGCGTGGTAGGCTGATTGCCGCTCTGATAGCTGTTGTATGTAGCCGGCTGTGGTCTGGGCGGTGCCACGCTGGTCCCGGCCGAGTATCCCAGCTGCTTCTCCCGGCTGTTACTCGGGGGCGGGGTGGGCGTCAGCGAAGGGTACATTTTCGGATTTTCCGCTCTCGGCGCTATCTTCTCGGAGTAAAATTGCAGGACCTCCATGACGGCTTGCGGGTTCTTAGCCATGTCATCTTTCGTCAAGGCCGATCCTTTGAGCAACCGCTCCCACTCGACCGGGAGGCCGACGAAGCCGCCGGTGTTGGGGTCGAAGCCGACATGAACGCGATGAGAGAAGCCGGTGGGATGCGAGACCCCGCTCGTACTCGGACAGCGGTCGTAGATGTTGTCCATCCAGCCGTAGACTTCATTGTCGGTCTCGAATCGCAGAATCCACACCTTGCCACCCTCGCGGGCCAATTCCAGACTAAAGGGGTAGTTGTCGCAGCGGGTGACGTTCAGGATTTCTCTCAGCGCGATGACATTAGTGGTCTTGCTGCTCGTGTTGGACTTCAGAAAGTCGAGCTGCTTCTCCCGCAAGACGAGGAAGCGTTCGTTCCAAAAGGACTTCATGAACCCTCCGCCCTCCTCCTTGACCTTGGCCCAGCCATCACGAACTACCGTGTTCTCGCCAATGATGGAGTCGAAGCCAGTGTTTTGCCGTGCGACCGCACCGATGGGAGACATGGGGAGCGTCGGGTTGGAGTAGTTGTTGCTGGTGAGGGATCGAAGGCCGGGGTTGCCGGGGGTTTGATTGACATTTGGGGTGAGATTGAGTCGTGGTGGGCGATCGGTGGGTGGGCGGGGAGCAGGCCCCGGATTCATGAATTGGTCGGGGCGGTAAACTCTGAGCATGCCTTGTGGTCAGCGAGCGGTTGGCATAGAAGGGGTTGAAAGTGATGGAGGAGAGTAAGGCATAAGGGGGCAATGCGGGGGATGGTGGGCGTGCGACATGTCCACATCACACCGATAGGCCCTGTGCAGGGAGAGACGTACGGGTTCTGTTGTGTATTCGCCATGCTGGCTAGTGTTGGCGCTCGCACGCCGCTAGACTTTGTGTTCCCTGATCCTTCGCTTGGGGGGCTGCTCGAGTTTCCCCGATTCTCTCGGCGGCAGGGCCTAGATTATTGGGTTGGCGATAAAGCGATCGAGCGATTGAAGAGGCGAATGCGTGTTGCCGAGGGCAGTGCAGGTCTTCGTAGGTCAAAGGGCAGATGAGGGGAAGAGGGAGGAGGAGGAGGTGAGGTGGGACGAGGGCGGTGGGGGGAAGCGTGGGAGCTGGCTGCCGTCCCTCCACACTCGCTGAAATCGGGCGAAACAATGCCGCATTCGTGGGGAAACAAAGAGAATGTCGACGCCGCTCGGATGCAGGGAAGAGGGAGTGGAAGGATGGGGGAAGAGGTGCTGCTCGCGCACGTCGGTCCAGACTGGGTTGGTGGAGAATTATCACGAGCGAGCGAGTGCAACGCTGCTGTTCTGGTCCCTTGTCGGGCGCCAATCCGGTAGGGGTTGGCGGCCAATCGGGTGCGCGCCCGAGCCGCGAGCGTTTCCCGCTTCTCCTTATGTAAGGCTTCCCCACATTCAGCTGCCATTCATGTTCACATTCACATTCCTTCTACTTCCATTCACTGTTGATCGTCTGCTATTCCTTCTACGTCCAATTGTGTCATTCACGGCAAAAGGCAGCAATACACGTTACTTTTGATTTCCTCATTTTAGCTTCTTCCACAAGACTGCCTCATCCGTCCGGCTTCATATGAATTTCTCAACTTTCGGGATAGACGGATCTCACCTCATACGGCTCTGTAATAATAAGACCACACCACATTCCCAGCGAGTCTAAGAATCTCATAATGCGAACACCTCTGCCTATTCGATCAACGTGACCTCGAACTACCGCCTACGAATTGATATGCAATCGTCTCGTTGGAACCAGCGTTGGTAAGCTCCCTGGATACATGTATTATATGTGTCCCACGCCAGCTAATGCTTCTCAGAAGGTTGATATATATTGACTGAGCCACGCTCTTGACCAGAATTTCACCCGTCAAGTCCATCAAGCTCATCGCTCGTCTACAAAACTCGAGATGCAGGCCATCATGAGCGTATGGGACGTGTGCAGAGATGCTCTGCATACCACTACCCCCACCGCGATAGCAATCTTCACCGCAATCACCATTGCAACCCTCCTAATCACCCGCATATCATCCAGCAGCCCGGTTGGTGCGCCTTCTATCCAAAGACAAGATGGCACTTCTCAGCTCGTTCCCAGAGTACCCTACTGGATTCCAATCCTCGGCCATCTTCCCAATCTCGTCTTCAACGCAACCGACTTTTTCGCACATCTGCGCAAGACGTACCCCGACGGAATATTCGCCCTCAGTATCCTGGGCAAGCAGCACAGCGTGATCCACACCCCGGGCCTGACAACCGCCCTCATTCACACAAAGTTGGAGAATGCCACTTTCGAAGAAACCAGCGAAACCTTCCTGCAACGCGTCTTTGGCTTTCCAACCAAGAGCATGACCAAATGGTATGCCGCCAGGGATGAGTTGATGGCGTGCTACAAGACTCTCCTCTCCGAGCCTTCTCTCGGCCACATGGTGGACAAGACTGCCACGAAAGCACGGGAGAATATAGTCAACCTGGTCAGTTTCGCTGGTAGCCCTGTCGATGAGATGCCATGGGAGCGAAATGGAGACATCAGAATTACCAAAAATGCCGCGGGGGAGGAAGTGGTGGAGGCGAGTCTGCTACCCCTGATTCGCGACTTCTGTGCCCACACCGCCATTCCCACGTTAATGGGCTCGGATTTCCTCGTCAATTTCCCTGACTTCCCGACTTCGCTTTGGACGCTCGATGCTGGCTTCATCCTCCTCGCTACCGGTCTGCCCCGCTGGCTGCCCGTCCCCGTACTCACACGAGCGCACATTGCGAAGAAACGAAATCTAGATTGGATTACGCAATTCGAACGGGCGTTGGAGAAGCAAGCCAATGGCCAAGATCCGGGGACAGAATGGAGGAATATCGGCGAAGAAGGGGACGTGGGTTCCTTGGTAATGGCGAGATTAGAGGTCTACCGCAAACACAACTGGACCTGTCCCGAGCGCGCAGCAATCGAGCTTTCCCTCCTCTGGGCCGCAAACGCAAACTCCAACTCCCTCGTCTTCTGGATGATCGTCCGCATCTGCGCCGACCCTGACTTGCTAACAAAGATCCGCGAGGAGTTCGCTCCCTACATCCACGCCGTGCAGCCGCAATCCGACCTTCCCATCCCCGAAGCTCCCCGCATCGACAAGTTGGACGTCGACGGCCTCTGCGCTCATTGCCCTCTGCTGAAAAGCTGCTACATCGAGTGCTTGCGCGTCGACACGGCGTCGTGGTCGTTCAAGGTCGTCAAGCAGGATTTCGTGCTGCAGGCGCGGGAGAAGGAGGCGCAGGCGTGGCTTCTGCGCAAGGGGCAGTATGCCCATGCCGGGCACGATTTGCACAATATGGACCCTGCGTACTTTCCCGAGCCGGAGGTTTGGAAGGTGGAAAGGCATATCAAGTATGAGGAGGCGGAGGGAGAGAAGCGAGGGGTTGCGAATATGGGGTCCATCCGGCCGTATGGTGAGTTTTGGCTGTGTTGCTTCTGCTTCAGGCAGTTGTACGACGAATATTTCCAGAATAAGCTCGCTAACTACTTGGACAGGAGGAGGACATAGCATGTGCAAAGGCCGATCGTTTGCCTTCAAAGAGTGCATACTGTTCGCGGCTGTCATTCTTGCTCTCTGGGACATTGAGCCGGCTGGGGGCGGTGCATGGCAGATTCCGAAACACAGACGAGCAACGGGAGTGTATGGCACGGGCGACAATGTGCGCGTATGGTTGAAGCGGAGGAAACTTCCTCCTGCAGAGGGATAGAATGGCGATGGATTTATCGATAATCATGACGAAGACTCCGAGTCTACTTCCTCCATGATTGTCTGCGCGGATAGACTATTCCCTTTGCGGGGCTTTCGTAATCCATCCGACAGACTGACATGGCCAGAAGAGATGTCATGAGGCGGAGACAAGAATGCCGAGTCCGATCCCGCCTTCTTCTCCTGCTTCTCCTTGCGATACTGCTTGATAGTTCTTCCTGGAGGGTTCTGTTGCTGGTCCAGGCCGAGAGCGCCCTGTAGAGAGCCGTAGAGTAGACTGATGACCAGTCCGCCAACGATGCCAATAAACGCTGCAACGGAGAGATAGATGTAGAGTGTCTGAGAAGATATAAGCGTAAGTCAGAGACACAAGCTAAGGAGCGGGAAATACCTCGAACTTGGCAAGGAAGTGAAACGGAAAGAGGAAGCACGCCCACAGGAATCGCGCGAGATAGACGAGAGGGGCGAGGATGAAGGAGAGCGGCCGAAAGATCAGTTTGCCGATGTACAACAGCGCAACGGCGAGGTAGGAGACTACGTAGTAGATTGCGGTGTAGATGGGCCAGACGGTCCAGTAGGCGATCTTGCCGATCCAGAAGATGAGGTCTTTTGTCGAGGGGTCGACTGCTCGTTCGGGGATGTCTTGTTTGTGTTTAGTGCGGGCGTGAGATTAAGGAGGGAGACACGGTATACATACTTTCAGAATCCATGGCACGTCTTCACGCGGCCATGATGTTATCCATCCGCACGGGAAGAGGCAGGAGATGAGGCTTGAAAGATGACTTGCATGCCTGCTCCCGCCCGGACCGCGCGCCGCCTCCGCCGCAATCAGCGCCGCCCCACTATTTGCCGGACTAGCGCGGCTTTAATCCACGAAGCACGACAAAATGCACCTTCACCCACCTCGTTCACATGTCATACCCCACTCCACTTGTAGATGTCTGTACACACCATGGCGTGGCGCTGACTCCAATCAGATCCGACCCGAAGCAAACCACCGCCCCGCTGGTGATGTCGATCCGCCCAGCCGCCAATCGAAGAAGGCCAGGCTCGCTCATTTCCGACTGACGCCCGCCGGCGAAACATGGGCCAAAGCGAGAGCTCCCCCACCACCACCACCACCTCCAACCCCCCGAGTCGCAAGCCGAGCCAGCGGGAAAGCAATCATTCACGCGGAAGAGACGGGCATGATTCGCCGAGTGTGAAGAGAGTGGTGCCGAGAAATCAGACGCCCCCCACTACCTCCAATCTCTCCGCCGCCGCCGCTTCCACCTCCACTTCCACCGAATACGCCCAAGCCTCTCACTCGCGTTCTCGATCAACTACTTCTGCCTCTGCACCTGTCAACATGGGCAGCAGCGAGTCGAAGCCGCAGCCTCCGGCGAGGTCGGCCACCCTACAAACCTCATCGACTAGCGAGAAAAAGCAAGCTTCTCCTCGCCGATATCCAGTGGCCGGAGATGCGGATTCTCAGCAAGACATCTCACCAGCCGTCGTGCCCACGCTCTTTGGTCTCCCCGAGAGTGCGTGGAATCATCCACCGAGACTTCCTCTGCCCATCGATCGGGACCCCGAGCCCGCGTCACCCATCCTCACCCCACGCAGTGGCACCCCCACCGTCCAAAATGAAGTGGAGGGCAACCTGTTGGAAAAGGAGTCGAGGCTGCTCAGCTCTACCACCCTTGACGATGAAGAAGGCGGGGCGGACATTCAGCAGTTCGCCATGGAGACCGATCCTCTGGCCCCCAAAGTCCCTACTACTCTCATCTACCCGGGAGAAGGCGACACGGTCTATGTCACCGGTACTTTCGCGAGTTGGGAGAAGAAGTTTCGCATGCACAAGGGCAAGGATGGCATTTTCAGGGCAACGCTTCCGCTCCACCCCGGCACCCATCACATTACGTTTCTCGTTGACGGCGACATGAAGACTTCGACGGACTTGCCCACCACTGTCGACTTCGCAGCGGCACTGGTGAACTACATCGAGGTCTCCTCTGCGCAGAGTCCGACCGCCGACAGGCAGCCGACGGAAGCCATTCCGATCCCCGGTGCTGTGGATGGGCCCGGCCGACCCGCGGTAAATGACCATCCACTGACAGGTCCGGCGGGGCACGACGAGCTATCCAGTATCCAAGCTACCGGAGCTCCTGCTCCAAACCAACAACCGGCCTCGCTGCGTCCACATTCCATTCCCAAGCAGGGAGGTCTCACCCCACAGATATCACAGGCAGGACAGCAGCAGCCGCCGGCTCAAAGCAAACCCTCCAAACCCAAAGCACCCCGGCCCAGGTATTCGTCGCAGATCCCGACCATCTTCCTGCATCTCGACATGTACAATAATCCCGAGGACCCGCGCTACCGCCTTGCCGTCAAAGCCAGCCAGAATCTGCCTCAGCCTCCTAGCTTGCCCATGTTCATGAGCAAGAGTATTCTGAATGCCACCACGCCTCAAAAGGACGACGCGAGTGTGTTGACCATGCCGAATCACACTGTGCTGAACCATTTGGCCACGTCGAGCATTAGGCAGGGAGTGTTGGCGACTAGTGGAACGACGAGGTACAAGAGGAAGGTGAGTTGGAGGGTGGAAGAGTGCAATAGTCTGGAAGGGCAATCGCATGCTAACTCTTGCACAGTTCCTAACGACCATCATGTACAAACCCACTTCCGACGACGGATGAGTTCGCGACACGAGAGGGCACGGAATTCCAATTCCGGTCGCCACCCAGCCCATATGCACGTGGGATGGCATTGAAGTCCTGCTATAGACTTTTCGGCTGCATTAGACGTTGATGCGAGGACTGTTCTCCTTCAGCGACGGCGCGGACGGGGCATTTGTAACGATAGCAACGGCAACAGCAAAGGCCAGCCAGGCATGCGGAGAGACAGGACTTTTGACATTGTGTGAATGGCATGGCCAGCCACGCGGCGCCGGGCTCCACTCGCATACAATAGCGTCAAGTTAGCAAAACTCAAAACAGTCAACTGCTACGCCATCTCTCTTTCCTTCTTCAATTTATGTTCTGATGTCGTCCGCGATCTCGGACAAGTAGTTCCGTGGGAAGGAAAATGTGGTGGTGATCGACAGTCTGCAGCGCGGGGCGGGTGGGGCTCCGGCTTTCATCTCACGTTGTCCTGTTCACCATGGCCGCGGATGTACCTTTCACCACCGACGAATAAACTACCTTGCTGTTAAGAGTTCCGGTTGAAGAGTAGCGAAGTGTTGTCTTTTGTTCGATCACTCGTCTGGAAACGCCATCCCTGCATCATGGCAAACCTTCAAGAATTCTTCATCACTGACGAACACCTTGCTCCATTGGCAGGCAAGGTGATTATCGTTACTGGTAAGCAAATATTGCACAGCTTCATTGCATAGACTTGTATCTGATTTGCAACAGGCTGCTCCTCCGGCATCGGCGAAGCAACAACCCAACTCCTGCTCTCCGTCAACGCCAAAGTCGTCGGCGGCGACCTCAACCCCCCAGCCAAACCCCACGACAACCTGCTCTTCGTCAAAACAAACGTCACCTCTTGGCCGAGTTTGCTGAACCTGTTCAAAACGGCCGTCGCCACCCACGGCCGCATCGACCACGTCTTCTCCAATGCTGGAATTACTGGACGTGCGGATTACCTTACCGACACGCTCGATGCCAATGGCGACATCCAGGAACCGAGTAATCTCACGTACGACATTGATTTGCGCGGAATGGTGAATACCAGCTACCTCGGCCTCACCTATCTGCGTCGTCAGTCTCCTTCTACAGGCAGTATTGTCTGCACAGCGTCGGCAGCCAGTTTCCAGCGCTTCCGCATCGCCGACTACACGGCCGCCAAGCACGGCGTGCTGGGCTGGATGCGCGGCGTCGTGCCTAACCTGCAGTCCCAGAACCTGCCCATCCGCATCAACGCCATCTCTCCCAGCTGGACCATCACCGGCATGACGCCCACCCCTGCCGTGCAGGCTTTGCGCGATTTGAAGCTCGTCGAGTGGCAGGGTCCGGAGGTGGTTGCGCGCTCTGTTGCCGTGCTGATGGCGGATCAGCAGCGGCAGGGGCAGTTGATTTACTCTGTTGCCGGGCGGTATTATGAGATTGAGGAGGCAGCATTGTTGCCTGCTGCTCGGGGGTTTATTGGGGTGAATGATGAGGACAAGGTGATTGAGGCGTTGCATCGCGTTACGCCGGACATTGGAAGAGTGTAGGTTGTACTCTTCACCGCTAGATTGTTCACATGACCTCGTCTTACACTGCTTCATCCGTCGCTGCTGTTTCTGCAGATACTGCACTTGCGACATACCGTGGTTGGCGGGATTGGATGGCAGGTTGGGTGTCCAAATAGGAACCGACACCCTTCCAGAAATGGCTTAAGCGTAGCTGACTGAGACGCGTGTTGGGCGTGGTTGGCGTCCGGCCCAGACTCCTCCCGGCCTATCACAGCGCAACCCCGGATTGCAAGGCGCCACGCCACACCCAAATGTGGCGTGTCCCGGTCTACATAAGGCGGTTGCATTGATGGACGTTACATACATCTCGTCAGCGTCACGAGATGTGTTCCCGCCTTCTTCGTTAATAAATAACAGTTGCGCTGCTTCGGACGAGGACATCGGGCCTCTGCAATCTTCATCTTTCCGTCGTCTGGCCCTTCAACCGCCGGATACAGATAGATATCTCCTCCACCACCGCAGTCATGCCGGATCAAGATGCCGTTCCGCCTCCTCCATACCCTCCGTCAGAGGTGGCGCTAGCGAAGGAAAAAGGCTTCGTCGTCGGCGAGGAGGAGATAGATGACAGCGACGACGATCTGACCTCGCAAACGCCCGCCACAGAGGACGACAACGCCGCCCCTCCGCAATACATCGATCCAGATCCCCATGCAGGCCCCGCAGGACGCAATGGCTTCCGGTCAGAAAAGAATGCACCCCCGGACTACTCCGTCTACAACAGCGACGCTCTCCGCGACGTAGCGCAGGCCATGAACTACGCCGCGCCTCCCCCCGCAGACCTCCACGCTCGCCTCTCCTGGAAACTCTTCCTCAACCTTGTGCCTAAAACCGAGGACAAACTTTCCAAAGCCCTGCTAGACGACGACCAAGACGAGGCGCTGCGACTCGTCGGAGCCCACCGCGGGCAATCCCGATATGTCCGACGGGCCAGCACGAGCAACGCCTCTCCCATCTCCCGCAAAGATCTGCACCTAGCCGCACTCTTCGGCGACAGCGAGGTCGTCGAGCGCCTGCTGCAAACCGGCGCCAGCCCGCTGTACAGATGGCGCGGCGGACTGACGGCCCTGCACTGCGCGGCCATGGGCGGGTACCGCCAGATCGCCGCGCGCCTCCTCCACGCCGGCTGCCCGGTGAATTACATGGGGCAGGACTACAGCAGCGCGACGGCGCTCGCGGCTCTAGGGGAGAAAATCGACGTGCTAGACCTCCTGCTCGCACACAACGGCAGTCTCGACGCCTTCGGTGGCCCGCTGGGCTCCGTCATCCACGCCGCTACAATGACGGGCAACGTCCCGCTCATCGAAGCGCTCAACAACTCCGACCTAAACGACAACTGGGCCGAAATCAACCGCACAGTCTACGCGACGCCCGCCCGCAAACTGCTGCACATTACGCGCGCGCGCAACCTGCTCACCCCCATCGATGAACCCTTCCTCACCCCCCACCACTCCCAGCGCCTCGAGCGCATCCACGGCCGGCCCCTCGCCCTCGCCGCCTTCCTAGGCAGCGAAGCAGCAGTCTCCTACTGGCTAAGCACCTACGGCACAGACATCAACGCGCACACAAAAGCCGAAACGCACTTCAACAACAACTTCCGCTCCGGCTCGGATTTGCACACGGCCCTCACGCTGGCATCCATGTGCGGGCACGAGGAGGTGATGCGCATGCTCTTGGAGCGCGAGGCGAGTACGCGCTCTGCGAACTATGAGCATGCTGATCCGCTCTTTCTTGCGCTGTTGAATGGGCATGAGGAGAGTGGGAGGTTGCTGTTGGCCTTTGGGGCGCAGGTGCGCTCGACTACGCTTGCGCTGGCTAAGGCGAAGGGAATGGCGATTGCGGATGAGATGGTGGTGCAGCCGGCGGACTCGCGCGCGCATCTGTCTAAAGTGAGGTCGGGGTCGGGAGGGGTAATGCTGCGGTCGGAGGCGGGACCGTCGAGGATGCCTGGTGTGAATCCTCTGGAGCAGAGTACGTCGGCTTGAGACGCGAGTGATCATACGAGATACATGAAATGCTACTATCGACTGAGGCTCTTGACGGCCCTGCTCTTCGTCGCGCGCGGATCGATGCCCTTTCTCCGCATCTGCTTCCGCAGCGCGCGATCGATGATCTCGTTGTCTTCCTCGTCGTCGAAACCGCCAAACACATCCTCCTCTCCATTCGCGCCGGCCTCCACATCCGCTTCCACATCCGCTTCGCTCTCTTCAACAGCCACGCTAGCCCCATTATTCTGCTGCGCCTTGTCCTCCGCACTACCCTGCGGCTTCACCGCACCCGCCGGCGTCGGTCCTGTCTTCTTTAACTTTGCGACGAAGAAGCCATCCACGTTGTAGGAGTGAGGATAGTAGCGGCGCGTCTCCTTCATGGCGGGATGGAAGCGCTTCGACTCATATTTGACGAAGCCTTCCTTGCCAAAGACCAGGCCGGTGGGGACGAGGCGGACGTTGGGGCGCTTGTTGAGCGCGTACTGCACGACTTGCTCGTTTTCTTCCACCGTTACTGAACAAGTGGAGTAGACGATGTAGCCGCCCGTCTTGCTCGCGTGGTCAACGGAGTCGATGGCGGCGAGGAGAAGCTGCTTCTGCAAATGCGGGAGACGCAGGAAGTCTGCTTCAGTCTTGTTGGTTTTGACGCTTGCGTCTTTGGCGATGACGCCGGTGCCTGAGCATGGCGCATCCAACAGTACTCTGTCGAAGCCGCCCATCACCTTTGGGAATTCCAGCGCGCTGTAATTGCACACTATCGTGTTTTTGACGCCAAGGCGGTGGATGTTTCCGATGAGACCTTTTGCTCGGTCCTTGTTCGAATCGTTGGCGAAGATGCAGCCTGTATTCCGCATGAGCGCGGCCATGTGGGTGGTCTTGCCGCCGGGAGCAGCAGTCATGTCGAGCACTCGTTCGTGTTCTTGCGGGGCGAGCGCCATGACGGGGAGGAATGAAGAAGCGGCTTGAAGGATGTAGTGGCCCGCGAGGTATTCGGGTGTAGCGCCGAGAGGAACGGCGGATTCAAAGACTTGAAGTCCAACTTTTGACCACTTGCCGACGGGTTGCAATTGCACGCCACGGTTGATGAGAGCTTGGGCGAGCTGTCTGCGTGCAGTGCGGAGAGTGTTCGTGCGAATGACCATGGGACGGGGAGACTCGTTGCTGTCGAAAAAGGCGAGAGCCTCTTGTGGAGGGAAGAGGGAGAAGAGCTTTGCCGCAAGGAATGGGGAGTAGCCGTAGTAGGCACAAATGTCCTTCAACAAAGATTGCGTGTAGTCGTTTCGGCTCCGGGCAGGATCGTGGAGCTCTTTGAAGCTTGTCAACACTCGCACAGTTTCGGTGATTCTCGTCCGCAAGAGTTGGAGATCCGGAGCCAGCAGACTCTTCTGTTGTCCCTCTTCATCGTCCGACAGCGGCAAATCAGCCGCAATATTCGTTTGCAACGCATCTTTCTGCAATTCTGCCTCGTTGTCTTTCAACTCTTGCGCTCGTTGGTTGTCCAGTTTCTGCGTGAGCCCTGCAATGTTGGCCGCATTCAGCGCCTCTTCCGCATCGGAGTCGTCATCCTCAGACCATACGCCGGCATGATTTTCTCGGTCAGAATCGACAACGTCGTCGTCTGAGGGTGCCAGGTCGAAATCGTCTGCATCGTCTTGTAATTCGTCGTCGCTCACGTCGTCCAAATTCGCCTCTTCAATGCCATCCAGCTCATCTTCCATGACATCCGGGTCGTCTATTGCATCTCCACTGATATCTGAGACGCCGTCCTCTTCAAAGCCATCTTCGAAGCCGTCGAGCACCGTCTGCGTCTTCTTTCCGCTCACAATCTGCGGCGCGGCATCGGAGCGGGCCTTGGGGACTCGTTTTCCCGCCGACTTTGACGAAGCCTTCGCAGAACCGTTGACCGGTGCCTCGACCCGCTGCTTCTTGATCGAGGATTTGGCCGGCGCAGCAGACTTTCTCTTCTTCGAAAGGAGCGAATCGTCGGGGTTCGGTGGCGGGCCTTGCTTGGTCATGCGCCGACTGGGTTTTGCTTTTCGAACCATCTTGTCGCCGTCTGTTGCAACTTTCTGTGTTGGCGGAAGAATGAGAGAGGTGGTGTACTGTCTCGAGCCTGGGAAATTTTCGGGCATTCGACTGCAAGCGGAAATTTATGGCTGCGGTTGAGGGTTCGGATCTAGCCGGCGATAAGATTCTTCCGTGGACCCTGACTTTCATCTCGACATTCACGTGTTTGACTTCGCAGTATATACTCTGACATGCGCTCACTGATATGCCATTCGCCAGTTGTGTACATGAGGAACTTCAGACTTGTGTTCAGCGAAATGCCGCCAATCTATCTACATCCACAGTAGGCTGTCGCGGCAATCCGACTCTACGTTTCCCCCCTTGGTCGTCCCCCGTCTCTATTGATGCACGTCTACGCTACCTTCTCTTCCGTCACAATCGCCTCTTGCACACTCGGAACCTCATCCAGAATGGTATTCGACCGCTCTCGGTCTCGCTTCGCCACGAGGTACCACGTTGCGCAAATGCTGGCAATGGCGCCGGCAAGCAACCCAATGGATATCGAGAAGCTCACTCGATATCTCGGACCAAACTTGGGCTGATATACCTGTGGGCCGACGATGCCAGAGAGTTGGGCGGAGGCCTATGGTACTTGTCAGCGGATTTAATCAGCTTGTAGTCAGTCCACTTGTTGTCTTACATTTGTGAGTCCAATCGCAAGCCCGGCTGCTGTCGTTCCGTGTGCCGCTCGGATACGCTCCGGCCAGATGATGGGGTAGATGCAAATCGAGCAGGCCAACGCAATCGTGACGAACACATATTTCACCGACGGGATGTCCACGGTGATGAGGATGACATAGCACGCGCACGCAATACTTTCGAGTAAGATTGCGGCTACCCATGAGACCAGCCTCTTAGTGTGGATGAGCCAGCCGATGAAGACGAGTGACGCGCATCCGAAGGCGTACGCGGGCTGGTTGATAGATGGTCAGCAATATGCCAATACCTGCAGAGTTTTCAGCAGCTCACCATTGTCATCAGCTGTGCATCAGCAGTCCCAGTCAGGCCGAGCTCGTAGATGACTGTCGGCAGCACAGTCCCAACCCCCCAGCCACCTATGGCATGGAACACCCAAATTAACGTGAAGGTCGACGACGTCGGATCGCACAACAACGCCTTGACCTGGTCGAGGTTCCATGTCTTCGCGGAGCCTCTGGGTTGCGTCTTTGGCAGCGAGTCGACAATCACCTGTCGTTCCTCGGCGCTGACAAAGTTGGCCTTCTCATCGGGGTAGTTGGGGAGCCAGAAGAAAGTTGTGACTCCGAGCAGAATTGGCGGGATGCCTTCGATGATGAACACCCATCGCCACGCAGCCAAGCCGCCCGCGCCGTTGATGAAAGACAGGGCATATGCCAACAATCCACTAACAGTTCCCGAAAATTGGCCACACGCGTAGAAGAAGGCAATCCTCAATGCCATGCTGTCGGCAGGATACCAGAAGGACAGATGATAAAGCACGCCAGGATAGTAGCCGGCTTCCGCGAGGCCCAGCAGGAATCTGCAAGCAAGGATGCTGGAGTAATTCTGCGTTGCTCCTTGACACATCGAGACGATGCCCCAAGTGACCATGATGCGACTCATCCAGATGTTCGGCTTGAAACGCTTCAGCAGCAGCGTCGACGCGGGCTCAAAGGCCGCGTAGGGATAGTAGAAGATGCTGAGCACCCAGGCCCACTGCTGCGAAGAGAGATGCAGCTGCTGACGGATGTCGTCGCCTTGGGTTTCGTTCATGATGGCCGTGTTGGTGATGTTGGAGACGTTGATTCGCATGATCAGGTAGATGAAGGAGTACCATAGTAGGATACGGAGATCGACTTTCCGTTGCACCGCTTTTAGTTCCGGCCGTTTCTCCTGCGCAGACTCGATGTCTGAGGTGGACTGCCTTTCGAATGTCTGGACGCTGACGTCCTTGGCTGCTGGAGCCGAGTCCGTGGGCTGCGAGACCTTCAGATCAGCCATCTTTGAGAGTGAGAAGGGAGAGAGTGGGCAAGAGGAAGAGAAGACGGTTGAGGCAGGGAATGGCAGCGCTTATGATGGTCGGGTATGACGGGACTCGCATGCTGCTTCCAAGACTCCAACGTGCTGGAAGCGGATGCACGTTGCAGCAGAACCCGCATTGCACATGGCAAATCGACGCCGATCATGCAGGCATGGCGATGAGACAATCAGGGTTCGAGTGTTGCAAATGGCCGCCGATTCATCTTGGAGTAGGTACATTCGACAAGAACGTGGTGTGTGAGAGTGGCCTGCTATGACATGTCTCTCTTTTTGTCTCTCCGTTCTTCTTTGCCGTCTACTCACTCAATGATTTTGATTTCATCAATCATCTGCACATCCATCATAGCCTCGGAAGGTCTTGGAGTGTCCAGGGGTGGAGAGTTGTAGCAAGCATGGAGAGAAAGCACGCAATTCGAAAGACGACATCGATCGGCACCGTCGTGCATGTCAACGTCACGTGCTGCCCAACTTCATCCCACCTTTCATCCCAAGTTTCGTCCCCAATAAGAAATCTCACACGTTCGACATGCGACAGGATGCGAAAGACGCTCCTACTTCTGCGAGATGCGGTCAAGTCATTGGAGAAGTATAGAGTGATATTCTTATAGTCTTACTCAGCACGTTACAACCTTTGTCAGACGAATGTCTGACTACATGCTGTGGCAGCAATGTTGCATCAAGTCAGAGGTTGCTGCTCTCACTGCTTTTCCTCTCATCAGCGTCTCAGCCGCTGCATACATCTGTCATAACTACTAAACCATGTCTGATCAACCCACTGACGGACGTGAAGCAGCCTACTCAGTCTCCAAGGCGACTTCAGACGTGTTCCGCCACTCCATCCTCGCCCATCCCCTGATACGCAAAGACCTGCCCGTTGGCACAGAGGCAGCCGCGGCGAGAGTGCACTTCACAGGCTCTGCAGACCCCTCGATCCCCGTTAATTGGCGCTTTGCAGAAGCCGTAGCAAGTCTCAAAGGCCTGGAAGCCAGCATACTAAACGTGCTGCTGACTCGCAAGTATGGCATCCCACTGCAAGACGTCACCATCGATACGGACCACGCCACACTGTTCATCATGTCTGCCCGGCTCTGGACCATCGACCCTGGCGAAGGAGGTTGGAACATTGCGCCCACAAACGCCCCCGTCGCAAGCGAGCGGCTGGCACAGATGTTTCCTCCTAGAGATCCGCACCGGGCTCGAGCGACGCTGCATCGCACTTTCGCTACTGGGATCTATAAATGCGCTGATGGAAAGTACTTCAATATTCATGGCTCAATGAACGCTGATCCGATCGCGGACTATCTTGGACTGGCCCGTGATATGGACACGGAGTCTTTCGAAGAAGGACTGCAAAGGTGGCGCGACGCCGTCCGTGCCTTCTCGAGTGAGGATCTCGATGTTCGATGCAACAACGACTATCGACAAGCCGGCACAATTTGCTACTCCGTAGACGAGTTCCGAGCTTCCGCACACGCAAAGGCCAATCGACATGTTGGCCTCTGGGAAATCTACGATCATCCAACTTCGTCCCAGGTTCCCTGTTGGTGGCCTTCAAGCTCTTCCACTTCCGTTACAAGACCCCTGGCGGGACTGAAGGTCGTCGACTTGACAAGGATAATCGCCGGCCCAGCGGTGACACGCAGTCTCGCTGAATTCGGCGCAAGTGTGATGCGCTGCACTTCTCCAAGCCTCCCCGATCAGAGCGTTTTACATCCAGACCTGAACTGGGGTAAATGGAACTGCAGCATCGATCTGACTAGTTCAGAAGACCGTCAGAAATTGCGCGATCTCATTTTGGAGGCAGACGTGGTCGTGCAAGGCTATCGCCCCAGCGCCCTCGACAAATACGGCTTCGGTCAGCAGGACATCATCGACCTGTGCAAACACCGCGAGCGAGGGATCATCTCCGTGCGTGAGAACTGCTACGGCTGGCATGGGCCTTGGGCCGCCCGGCCCGGCTGGCAGGAAATCAGCGACTCCTGCGTCGGCGTCGCTCGCAGTTTCGGCGAAGCTATGGGCCACGATGAACCTGTCATTCCAATCTTCCCGCACTCGGACTACTGCACCGGCATCGTGGGGTCTTGCGCTATCCTCATTGCGCTCCTAAGGCGGGCGGAGAAGGGCGGATCGTATGCCGTCGATCTCGCACTCAACTACTACACCACTTGGCTCGTGGAGTCGGTCGGCGAGTATCCGCGCCCCGTTTTTGAAAGAGTCTGGCAAGCGCATGGCCGGAGGGTCTGGCGTAGCCATAATCGCAATCTTGAGACTGCGCTGGCCACGGTGAAGAATCTACGTGAAGGTGTCGGTGGGACAAGCTTATTGCGGCCGGACTTCTTCGAGGGTCGCATGGCGCCCGGCATACTTGGGGAGAAGAAGTTCCGTCATGTTAGATCTGTGGCTCGGTGGCCGGCAGGGACCGTCGAACCGGGATTCCGTATTGGCACTCGAGGCAATGGAGTGGATGCGGCTCGATGGCCGGAAGATTTGAGCGTGGAGTCTGTAATTTCATGATGGGAGGAATAGCTGCCATTGTGGAGAATGATGTTGCTGGCAACTTATTCAACCGACCAGTGCCCTACGCCGCCCCAACCGTGTTGACGTACGTGAGAGAATCCCTCCGGCTCGGACCCATCTCGCTCGTATCCGCATACAACAGCGAGCCCCTCCGACCATAGGTCAAAGACGGCTTCTTCTCAACAGTCTTTGCCAAACCTCCAGCACCAACCACGACCTCAACAATACTATTGTGGCTGCCAGGCGGCTTGCTAATACTCGTCACCTCCAACCGCTCATCCGCCATCTTAATCAATGCCTCCCAGTCCGCCGCTTCCCGTTCGAGCGCATTAAACTGCACCATCATCTCCATATCCGAGCGCCGCAGCTGGGTTTCAATGTGCGCATTCACGGATCCCGGAGGCGGCATGACCACGTCGACGATGATGAGCTTCTGGCCGGCTCGCAGGATGCTCGCCGTGTTCCGGAGAGCTCGCGCGGCGTACTTGTCCGTCCAGTCATGGAAGATTTGGCGGAAAACGTACGCCGCGGCGTCCGGGACGGGCTGCGTTGACTCGAAGAAGTCGTATGGCATGAATTCGATGCGTGATGCGAACTCCGCTGGTAGCGCCTCGCGTCCCTTTGCCACCACCCCTGGCAGATCCTGCACGATGAAGTTCAAGTTTGTCGCCTGCGCTATGGCTTGCGCTGTTGCTCCCATACTGCCTCCAACGTCGACCACCGTGGCTCCGTCTCCGAGATCCTGCCAGTTGTATCCCTGCACCGTGTAATCCAGTTTATAGCCCTCAGTCGCCTGCAACGCTCTCATCAGGTTCGCAAATCGAGCTTCCCGATGCTGGTTCCCGGGTAGAGCAAGGTAGTCGAACCGAGAGAGCTTCCCATCGCAGTGCGCAAGGCTGTATGGCGTCTGCTCTCGCTCCATCGCATCGCCGCCCCACTTTTCTGTCGCCGCTACAAGGCTGAAAGACGCGGGGCCCGTCTCTTCCGTCCGCACTCCAATCCAGCTCTGAACATGCTGAGAGGTGACGAGCTGGCGGGAGGCCGGGGTGTGCGCAACGCGACCTGGCTCCGGCTCAGCGAAGATGTGGTTGAGGGCTGCGTAGCGCAGGATACGCTTGAGTTGGGACTCCGGCGTTTTCGTCGCTGCGGCGACATCGGCGAAGGAGATGCTGCCGGTTAGAGGGACGGCGTCGGCGATGCGGAAGTGGTTGATGTACATGAGGGTGGAGATGTCGTGGTAGTTCCACACGGTCCACATGATGTTTGCTTTCGGTCCGGCGGCGAGGGCTGCGAGGAAGGATGTGGCTGCTCGGAGCTGGATTCGGGCGTCTTGGACGTTGATGGGAAGGTTGGTGGGGTAGTCATCTGGGCCGTCGAGGGCGAAAGACGGCTGGGGTAGGTTGTTGTCGGAGAAGTGATCTGCTATGATGTGGGCCCAGTGCAGAATGTCTTCGGCGAGGGACACAATGATCGGTGTGGTGGAGGGTTTGATGCCATTGCTGGCAAAGGGATTCCTGAAGTCCATGATGATTGAGATTGAAATGGTGGACAGGAATGGAAGATCGCAGAGGGGAATGTGAGGTATGAAAGCAGCGGGGAGCTCTACTTATCTTTCGTGATGCGCATGCGCGACAGGAGAGGCAGGCATTGAAGGTCTCATTCGTTGCGGTGTGGTGTGGAGCACTTCGACCACTTCCCAATCATTCCGATGCACAAAAATTTTGCTGCAGACAATCGAGGCAGTGCCAATCGTTGCAGAGTGCCGCGAGCAGCCAAGATATGCGGCGGTGAGGTAAGATGCAAGCTCGTGAAAGCGACACACCCAATCAGGAAGGTACACAACTCGTGAATACAAAAACGCACGCGCCGTGCAGATGCACTCGCCAGTATCGTGGCGCAGACGGAAGCCAAAGATTTCATTGCACGGCACGCCACGACGGACACTCCGTAGCTGAAAATGTTTGCACAGCAGCTGTGTGCGCGAAAAAGAAAGGCCGACATGCAGCGCTGCAAGGTGTGGTATGATGTGGCAACCCGTTTCGTGCATACGCGATGGAGCTATGCCGGATGTAGTTTGCACAACCACCCCGGACGGAAACACGGATGATCTGCAATGCATGGTAGATCTGGGACCTAGTGCAGCTCGTATGGAGATTGGGTGTCGGTGTGGTAGTCGTTTCATGTGGCGGAGTCGTCGCTCTGCGCCGTGTCTTCCGTCGCTTGAACCGGTCGAGTGGGGAAGATGCAATGGCGAGGTGCCCGGTAGTTAAGTAGAAACATGATAAGAGGAGCCGTCCATCTTCTAGTACCCGTTTTTAAGCAACGATTCAACTCGAAATGGCAGCCACGAGCGTATTGAACGAGCCGGCGTATGCTCATGTGTTTGACCAGAAAGAAGATGTCATCTCGGCCGCAAAGAATGGCCTGTCATGGACCTACCACGCCGACAAAGACGCACAATACGTGCTGCCCAACAAGTCAGTCATCCTCTTCACAGGCTGCTGCCCACTGCTGACATGATTTCCAGCTCGCCCGAGCACATCCGTCTCGAGCAACAAGCGGTACTACTCTCCGGCCTGATGAACCATCGAATCTTCCATGCCCCCGTCAAAGACGGCCCACACCTACAATGTCTCGACATCGGTTGCGGCACTGGCATAGTGACTGATACCATGGCCACCACGCTCCCGCAAGCGCAATGCTTCGGTGTCGATCTCTCTCCCGTGCCCAACATGCGGGCTCCTAAACCGAACGTGCGTTTCTTTCAGGGCAACGTCGGCACCCAGCCTCCCTCGCAATGGATACCAAACGACAGAGAGTCGGGTTTCGAACGAGACCACGAAGTCTTCGACTACGTCTTCAGCCGCCTTCTCATCTTTGGCGTCACCGATTGGCCAGCCTACATCCGCACACAGTTCGATCTTCTGAAACCCGGAGGCTGGGCGGAGGTCCACGACTGCGACTGGACATATTTCAACGAAGCCGAAGAAGTCATCTCTGACGAGTGGTCCTGGTTACAGACCCTGCACTCCATTTGCGAAGGGGAGAAAGGCATGGACTTCCAATGCGGGCGCAAGGTCGCGCAATGGATGGAGCAGGCGGGCTTCCGCGACATTCAGGTGTTCAAGTACAAATGGTCGTATGATCCGCTCTCCACTCAGGAGCCTGGAGTCCGGGAATTTGGGGAGTGGCAGGTTCGATGGCAGCCAGAAATGATCAATACGATGATTGAGCGATCAGTCACGAGCGGGCACGGTGCTGGCATGGTGGAGCACAACGCCATTGTGCGCATGCAAGACGAGATGAGGAAATGTTTGGCGCCGGAGAAGGGGAAGCATATTTGGTTTTATGTGACGATTGGTCAGAAGCCGCCAGGAGTCGCGTAAGCATAGCCTATTCGTAGTCATCAGGGAGCTTTTACATCGAGAAAGAGAGTGCCGAGTCTTCGACTTTGAATGCCATTGTTGAAGCCAGAGTGAATGAAGTGAAGTCTAGACCCGCCAGGAAAACCCGTCAAGTTGTCGAGAGTGTCCGTGCGTTCCAGGACACGGCAAGATTGAGCGAGGCACCGCTCGAGACTTATAGCCTCATACCATCCGCAATGGCCAGTCGTAAGCGCACAGTCCTCGTCACGGGCTGCACAGAAGGCAGCGCCGGGCACGCTCTAGCCCGGGAATTCCACGCCAAAGGCTTCGAGGTCTACGCAACAGCGCGCTCCACCGCGAAAATGGCCTCTCTCCAGCCCCTCGGAATCCGCACGCTTCCCCTGGACATCACATCCGACGACTCCATCCAGGCGTGCGTGCAGGAGGTCCCACAACTCGACATCCTCGTCAACAATGCGGGCGCCTCGCTCACGATGCCCATCGTCGACCTCTCCATCCAGGAGGCGAAGGCACTCTTCGACGCCAATGTATGGGGTCATCTCGCTGTCATCCAGGCCTTTCTGCCTTTACTGTTGAAATCTCCGAAAGCGATGATTGTCAATCACACATCGGTTGCCGTGACCATGGCTATTCCGTATCAAGCGGTCTACAACGCCTCGAAAGCCTGCCTGTCATCGTTCTCCGACACGCTCCGCCTTGAACTGCAGCCCTTCGACATTGCAGTCGTGGAACTGAGGAGTGGCGGCATCAAAACGAACATCTTCGGGCACAGTGCGAAGAAGCCCGTTTTGCCCGCCGGCTCGATCTATGCTCCTGCGAGGGAGACCGTAGAGACGTCGCTTAGACAGGAGTGGTTTGCGGATGTTGGAATCTCTCCAGAGCAGTGGGCGCGAGAGATTGTGAGAGATCTTTCGAAGAAGCATCCGCCGCCAAGAACGATCTGGAGAGGCGAATCTGCCTTTGGGGCGTGGCTGAGCACCTTTTTCCCCTCGAGCTCATTGGACGCCAACGTTCGAAAGATGGTCGGGTTTGACAAGGCCGAGCAGATAATCCGAGAGCGGCGAAAGTGAGGTGGTGGCGGTTCAGGGGCGATGGCCAGGAGTCTTTAGGAACCATTCGTATCATTCGTGATTGCTGTCCTCGGTGTCTTTCAATCCCTCCAATTGATCAAGACCTCGTCGGTTCGAAATCTTTGCGTGCATGAACTCTCCTCAAGCTTCGTCCGGAAGCCCATGCTGTGCTGGAGAAGTCCAGCATGCGCAATCATGATACCATTGTCGATGCAGAAGCGCTCGTCCGTGGCGAACACCGATCCTCCGCGATCGGCCGCCATCATGCCCATCATCTGCTGCAAGCGCTCATTGCAGCCAACTCCACCGACGATCAAGACCTGTCGGGCGCCCACATGCGCCATCGCCCTTTCTGTAATCTCCACCAGCATGGCATAGAGGGTTTCCTGGAGAGTGAAGCACAAGTCCTCCTCCCCAATCACCTTGTCACCCTCCTTCCACAAATCTTGCTCCCCTTTGCGCCCCGCGTGTAGTCGCCTCGCCATCTCCTCAGCCCTAGCCAGGATGCCGGAGAAACTGACGTCCATGCCCTTGACGGCATAGGGTAGATCCAGTAGCACATCCCCTCCTTTCTTCGCAAGCTGTTCGATGTTGTAACCCGGCGCAGGATCGTTGCTGATATTTATTACTCTTGCAAACCGATCCAGACAATTTCCCACCGCAATGTCCAACGCTTCGCCGAAGATCCTGTACCGCTGGGCAGAGTAGGCGATGACTTGAGTGTTGCCGCCGCTGACGTACAGGACGACCGGATTGTCTGCCCCGGTGATCGTGCGGCCCATTTCAATGTGACCAACGCAATGATTCACGCCGACCAGTGGTTTGTCCCATAACTGACTGAGCATTCTCGCGGCGATTGCTACTGCGGACAGAGGAGCGCCCATTCCGGGACCTTGGGTGAAGCATATACAGTCGATGTCCTCGATTTGAATCTTGGACTGTTTGATGGCTTGCTTCACTAACCGGACGACCCATCGCCGGTGGTGGGCTGCTGTATCTTTTGGGAGGAAGCCGGTGCCGGGAGGCGAGACGAAGGTATGTCTTAGATTGCATAAGATCTGGACTTGGGAGGAGGCGGAGGGTTTAGACTGCGATTTCGGAACCTCATCGTCGGAGTGTGCGCTATCGTGAGGCGAGGGTGGGGTAGAAGGAGGATGGAAGATGATGCCCACGCCGAGTTTCTGTTCACCAGAGCGGGATCAGCAAGTGTAAAAGTTGTCGAGGCGTGATAGAATGGGGAGGAGATGCTTACATTGGCACTGCCCTCCAGGCCGAGTGCGATAGGCATCTTGTCACGGTCGCAATGTGACTTTCAGTGAGAGCATGCCCAGATGCGTATGTGTGGAAAAGGGTGCAGGAACCGGGGTAGGTCCTACAGGAACATTGGATGCAGGCTGGAGTGAATTGGGGAGTGCAGACAGCGCTGAGGACTGCAGGTGGATGAGTGATGGATTACCTAAGCGACCAAAGTTTCGGCGCGTGGCTTGACGGCGCTGGATGGCGCAGGCGCAGGCGCACTTGCGTCAGCGCTCCCCGGCAGTGCGCGCGACTTTCAAGTGCTGCATCCGCCTCGACCTCCATCCAATACCTCCATTCCGCTCACATCAATCGCACCTCCTACCTAACTGACCCCTCTCCCTCCTTGAACCCGATCTGAGCAGGCGGTGGAAGTTGGCCAAACATGTCTTGGAGCGGGTTCAAGAAGGTATCGCTGCCTGGCGCACTCACCACCACGACTCTCCGCTAACACAATCCCAGAATGTTGGGCGTGCGACGACGCAGGTGATGATGAAGGCGGGGCGGGTGGAGAAGTGAGCGAGCCATGCCATCTCCGTCAGCCCCTATCTGCTACTGACCTACTTCTTCGCCCCCAGGACGACCGATCGCGAATACGAAGTGGAAGAGCGCCGCTTCCGAAACCTCGAATCCTCCGCCAACCGCCTGCAAAAAGAAGCCAAGGGATACCTCGACAGTCTCCGAGCCATGACCGCGTCGCAGATGCGCATTGCCGAAACCATCGACGCCTTCTACGGTGATTCCGGCGCTCGCGACGGCGTGAGCAGAAGTTACAAACAGGCGGTGGAAGACCTGGATGCAGAGACGGTCAAAGCGTTGGATGGGCCGTACAGGTGTGTACCGAGATCCCTACTCCCTGATGACGAGGAAGAGGCGTTGGAGATTGCCAGAGAGGTGGAAGAGGAGTGGAACTTTCAAGCCGGCAATGCGAGAAACTATACTCGTGGCCTTGGTGATGCTGGCTATGAAGAGACACGCAAGCTCATGGATCATGTGTACAGGACAACGGTTCTGGAACCCATCAACCGCTTTTGCGCCTACTTTCCCGACATCAACGAGTGTAAGTCGTGCTGCGGCCCGCTTGAGTGACTTCTATCTGACTGTCTCACCCCAGGCATTAAGAAGCGCAATCACAAAATGCTCGACTACGACGCTCTCCGGAGTAAAGTAAGGTCGCTGACGGAGAAGCCGGACAAGGATCCCGGCAAGTTGCCGCGGACGGAGAAAGAATTGGAAATGGTTAGCATTCATCGTTTTCTTGCTACTGCACCCCCTTCCCCCGGCCCTCACCATGCCGCCACTGCCGATACGGAGCTGCTGGAGTTTCCCGTTGCGGACCTGGACTTGTCGATGCCCAGCCCACCCAAGGCCCTACAGAGACCGGACATCTCAAGGTTGAAGAGCGCTACCCGCCCGGACAGGATGAGTCTAATTCGCACCTCGTCTCTCGTCGGTCGCAGCATGAGTCTGAGATCCTTTCGTCGTGCATCGAAAGATCTCACAGATGGCACTGCATCTCTTCGAAGCGCATCAGTCATGGCCACCGATGGTCCAGATCCCTTCCATACTACCGCAGAGACCGGCCCTCCTCTCACAGCCCTCGACACCAGTCCCACCCACAAACCCAGCTCCCGGCTCGCTTCAAGGCCCACCCCATTCTTCCAACCCTCGGAACTCGAAGACATCATGGCACCCCTGCGGGAAGAATTCATTCAGAAACAGGCTGACGACTTTGCACAGGCGAAAGCGGTGTATGAGCAGTTGAACGACCAGTTGACGACAGAGTTGCCGCAACTCATTGACCTGAGGCATGTCTCCTTCCTCAAAGCATCGTGGAATGTTGACTACTAACACCGCGCAACAGAGTCCCCTACCTTGACCCCTCCTTCGAAGCTCTAGTGAAGATCCAGCTCCGGTTTTGCGCAGAGGCGTACAGCCGTATGGCGCAAGTGCAGCAGTACGTTCCTCCTCCTGTCCAGCTCTCAGACTTGTTTGAGTAATTACTGATGTCGCTCCTAGATACCTTGACGCCGGCACACGAGACCAGTACGCGAATGGCGACCTCGATGCAAGGGTGGAGGACGTGCTGGGCCAGATACGGGAGCTGAGTATTGCTGGAACGGTGTAGAAGCAGCACAGTGGGGTGATTGTGTTTTCTCTCTCGTTCTAATCAATTCTGCGGATTGAGCGAATGGTTCAGAGTCGGTCTGGCAGTTGTTAAGAACTACACCTGTTCAAGCAGCAAGTACGCATCACCAGGCATGCAACCGCAGATGTCTTGGCCCAAAATCCCGTCCTCTATCCCTCCGTGCTTGTTGTCCATGCTCCTCCCACCCAACCCCATCACAACTCCTTCGCCTTACTACCCGCCCCTCTTAACCCCTCCAAATTCCGATCCAGCGTATCCGCCACCAGCTTCCTCAACGCCGCCCCATCAGGCCCCACAGCACTTCCCTTCCGCTTCTTCACCTCCTCCGTAATCTCATCGACCATCTCATCAAACTCCTGCCCCGGCTCATGCGGCACCCCCAGCGTCGCACCCTGCAACGCCTCCTGGCTGTCCGCACGGTGAACCTCCGGCTTACCCGGCGAAGGCTGAGCAGGCACCGTCGTGCGGGCCTTGACTTTCTTCTGCAGGAATGCCTTTCCTGGTGTGAGGAGGAAGAGGCTGCTGATGCCGACGCCGATGATGGCGTAGAAGTAGACGCGCGACCAGGCGAGTAGACTGTCGTGGAGCGAGAGCAGGATGAAGGGTGTGGTGGTGAAGGTGAAGGCTAGTTGGGTCACGAGCCAGGTGAAGATGTCGTAGTAGCGTTTGTATGGCGTGGGGCGTTTGCCGTCGGGCGTCATGAAGAAGGGGCGGAGGAGGCGGCGGGAGTCTTGAATTTTCGTGTTAGCGGGAGATCCTTGAGGTGTGGAGATGAGGAGGTGCTTACTCTTTGCTACGTTTTGGATGAAGCTGGCGAGGACAAAGGCCATGTAGTAGCCTGGTTCGAAGCCGTGCCAGAACGCACTGGTGACGAAGGTGGCCATGCTGGCGCGGAAACCGGGCTTCTTGCCCTTTGGCGTGACACGCAGGTAGATGTAGTTTCGCAGCCAGTGGTTGGTGTTCATGTTCCAGTTGCCCAGATATGCATGGCTGTTCTGCGCAAACTCCACGCCCGAAGGCCGAATGTTGGTCAGGCGGCTCCAGTCTGGTTTGCCGGTTTTGGGATCCAGGCCTTTGTACCCGATGCCCGAGAGGATGCAGGCGCCTTCGGCCATCATCCAGACGCCGTAGTACTTCATTCGGGTGACGAAGTTGAGCATGTGGAGGTGGAAGATCCTCCACAGGATGTTGTGCTTGGTGAACTGATCTCCTAGGATGACGCTGGGATTGTAGAACGGCGACAACTGCAGGAACAGGACGAGCCAGATGAGCCCTGCGCCCAACTTCAGCATGGCTGGCGTGCCGCTTCTGGGGATCCTTCGCTTTTTGCGGGTCGGAGGGGCTTTCATGGGATCTGTGCCGGGGGGAAGGTCAAACATGGTAGTATTCAGCCAGCGGTGGTAGTCGATGTAGTCGAAAGCAGGCCCGGCATGCAGAGCGGGGAAGAAAAAGACAAACCCGGCAAAGTCAAGGGGGTTTGGAAGCTTCACAAGCATGCGATCCTTCTGCGTATCGTTCAGCTCGGACTGCTTCTGTCTCCCGTCCCAGACGTTCCAGCAGAAGGCGGACAGCTTCATGACGAGCACCATTTGCGCGCCGGTGATGTCGATGACGGCGGGGTCGTTGAGCATGTGGCGGTAGATGTGGCTGACGGACATGTGGCCCATAAGCCAGACGAAGCCGATCCATGGCATGTACGGTCCTTGGACATAGCCGGCGATCAGGTAGGTGATGATGGCGTCGAGGATGATGGTCGCCAGACCCCACCACAGGTCAAACAGGCCGACTACGAAGAACAAGCCGATGCTGTTGGACGTTAGCGAAAGGTGATGAGGGGATTGACAATTGGGCCTCACGAGATGTTGAAGACATTCTTGAGCCAGGGTTTGTCGTCGGGTAGCCTCTTCAGAATGGCGGCCAGAGGGTATGAGAGTAAGAAGGAGGCGATGATTTTGACTGTGTGCCGGGGTTAGCTTGGGCCACACTGGATCCGAACAGGCTGCGTCCAAACATACTCTCATCTAAAGAAGAGCCCAGGAGGGTGGAGACGTATACGAAAGCTGTTCAGATGTCAACATGAGAAGCGCGTGCTAGTATGGCAAGCAGATGCGTACGGAGATCGATGTAGGGCAACATGGTTCGAGTGTAGAAGGGAGTGTCACGGTGCAACGAGGTCGAAGTGCAAGGTCATGATGTGGACGAGAGATTGTAATGCATAGATGAGAGGGCAAGGCAAAGCAGAAGAGGTGAGGTGAGGTCTCCATATGCCGCCTGCACGTGGAGCATCCTCGAAACTCGGGACGCTGCACCAAAACGTCATTCCCTCGATCGGGCCAGTTGGGTGCTTCAACGCGACCTACGCGTCTTGGCTGCAGCATTTACTTCTTCGACAGAAAATCCACGCGAGACAGGAAGTAGTTAATTTCCCAGTAATCACAATGTCGATGGAAACAAGTAGCGTGCACCCTTTGACGGAGCTCATCAGATTGCTGAGACGCAGTTCGTCTCATATCCGCCCACGACTGCAGCCATTCCTCACGACAACCCGAGAAAATCACAGCAGTATGCCCCCAAACACCAGACGCCTTCGCTACATAACAATCCCAAAGCGCTGCCCTTTCGATCTTCAATCTCAAGCATCCCATCATACCAGCAACACCACGAATCTCATCCCAATCCACCCCAAGCCCCTCGTATCCGTCTCGCAAGCTGTATGTCCTTTTGCATAATCGTCACGCGCTTCGCATGGATGGCACACAGATTCGTGTCCTCAAACAGGTGCACGAGAAAGGCTTCGGCGGCCTCTTGCAGTGCCTGGATCGCTTGCGACTGCCATCGCGTGATTGCGGTATTGTAGGGCGCGACGTTCATGCTGACTTCTCGCACCTGTGCACGTAGTCATCAGTCAGTATAGTACTGGTCTTGCATCTTATTTCGCTGTCAGCACTCACCAGACGCGAGAAAGGCAGTTTGGCCATGAGCAACTCGGTCGACTTCTGGTATCGTCGGATCTCCCGTAACGCCACCGTTCCCGGTTTGTATCGTGGTTTCCTCCGCCCAGGACTTGCGATTGGCATTGCTCCTCCACTTCTTCGTGGTGCCTTTCCGCCTATCCGCCCCGGTGTGCTCTTCCCTCCCATGCTTGCGCGGCCCTTCGCTGTGGTCTGCGTTCGCGCCATTTCTGCTGTCCAGTCTACGCCCCAACGCGAAATCTTGCAGTGCGAATGACAGAGTCAAAAGTGCCTCAGAGCGAGTCTCTTTGGGGGAAACCAGCGATGTTGATGTCGGATCTTGTTCTGCGACGCGTCGGAGGGCGATCAAGAGGAAAGCATTTGCGTGTGCGCCGGTAGACGGTGAGTTATGGTTGCCGAGATTTCGATGGCTAGTAGTCGAGTTCGAGCGCCGAGTCACCAGTTTGAAGTGCTTGATGTTCTGTAATGAAGAACACAATCCCAGGTGATCACTCTCCTGCAATGTTTTGATGCCAAGCACGAACCATCATCCCCAGCGCAGCGCCTTATGTAAGCTTGGGGAAACCGCTCTTTCCGGTTAAGGCTGGCCGGCCGATCCCGCTATTCCTTTATCGACCGCGGCGGTGACGTGCTGACTGATTGACCGATGAATGCAGCGTGACAGGTGTCAACACTTCACACCACTCCAATACGCAGTTACAGTGGCCGTCTTGGACCTCACAAACCACCTGACAACATCATCACCTGCAGTATCTCCCTCGCCATAAATGTTCGCCCTCGCCTCCACCTGCGCAGCCTAGCTACTCCCTTCGAAACCGCCTCCGCCTCCTCGCGTCCCTACCTACGCATATCTCGTAACACCGATCGCAAACCATGGCGGAGATCATGGGGGTTGGAGGAGACGGCGCGCTGGCCGGTCTGCCAATCGAACAGTGGTGGCACGAAATGCCGCCGTGCACAAGATGGTGGACAACGGCGACGGTGGTGACGGGCGTGCTCGTGCAATGCCACGTCCTCACCCCCTTCCAGCTCTTCTACACCTTTCGTGCAGTCTTTCACCGACAACAGGTAAGGCGCAAACACTGCGACTCCCTCCTTCACTACCACCACCACCACTAACCTCGCTTCGAAATAGTACTGGCGCCTCATCTCCTCCTTCATCTACTTCGGCCCCCTCTCCCTCAACCTCCTCTTCCACATCTTCTTCATCCAGCGCTACGCCCGCATGCTCGAGGAATCCGCCGCCTCCATCGCCCACTTCATCTGGCTCCTCGCCTACGCCTCCATCACCCTGCTCGTCATCGCGCCTCTGTCCAACCAGCCATTCCTCGGCACCACCCTCAGCTCCACCCTCGTGTACATTTGGAGTCGAAGGAATCCGGACGTGAGGCTGAGCTTCCTGGGTCTGCTCACGTTCCGCGCACCCTGGCTGCCGTGGGTGCTGATTGCATTCAATGTCATTCTGCACGCGCATTGGCCCAAGGATGAGATTTGCGGGATTATTGTTGGGCATGGTAAGTCCTCCTCCATCGTGCCACACCTACGCAGGTTCAGAAGACTGACATACCACCCACAGTATGGTACTTTTTCAACGACATCTACCCCTCGACCCACAACGGCGCAAGACCGATGGATCCGCCGCAGTGGTGGATTCGACTCTTCGACCGAGCGGCCTTAGCCCCAGCCCCAGAAACCGACGTCCACGCCGCGGTGGTGAATCGCGATTTTGCGCAGCCTGCGGTCGCGGACGTGCGATGACGTGGGTTTGCGATATGACATTTGTACGACTTAGACGACGTTCATAGGGTCCCAACTGGACCTAACATTCTGTGATGCATTGAAACCGTTTCCTTGATTCTTTCCGATGAAGGCTACTAGATGCCCGTCCTTCCACCGCCCCCCGAGGTGAGAGCTTCAAAGATAAATGACCGGAGATGCTCGTCCATCGGCACACTCGTGTCGTCGCGTCAAAGTACCAGCAGTAGCTACAACTATCGCTTTCCCCACGCTTCTCTGAATAGCGCCGACAACTTCTCACTCTGCCCCTGATCCCGCAGCCGCTGCGCAAGGAAGCCCTTCAAGTCCGCCCAAAACTCCTCCGTCTGCAGAATGCTCCGCGCCGTCTCCTCCGCCGGATCCGTGCCGTTGTGCTCCGCCTCAGCCTGCGCCTTTTCGCTACCCGGGCCGGAGTCGACATCCATCTTGTCCTCTCCCGTCGCCGCTGCTGGCTGAGGGACCGAAGACGTCTTCTCTTCTACAGCGGGAGACGGCGATCTCGCAGAGCCCGCAACACCAGCTGCTCCCCCTGCACCACCCATCACCATCACCCCAAAGTCCACATCACCCTCAACGCCCAGCTCCTTCAGCGTCTTCAAATCCGCCGCCGGCTTCTTGTTTAGCAGCAATTTGATCTTCTCAATCGGTAGTCCGCTCTGCTGTGCGTATTCCCGCTTCAGATCGTGGATCGTGGCGTCGAGCGCGATGTTGGGGAGTTTAATGCTTTCGCTCGAGCTGGTGGAGCGCATCGGTTTGAGCGTGGCGGTGATGGTGCGAGTCTGCGCTAGTTGGCTGGGTGTCGGGCCTGAGGGTTTAGGGTAGGGGTGTGTCTGGCGGGGGAGAGTGAACTGTTCATCGTCAGTTAGGTTCAAGGCGGAGATGGAGACAGCAGGGGAGACGAACGGGACTCTGATTGGGATATTTCCGCGGATCGGCGGCATGGTCTGCGGGCAATTTGATGGGCCGCTTGTCGAGCGTGGCGAGGTAGCTTTTGGCGAACGTCACTTCGCTCATGATGACCTTTTCGAAGCCGGTGTAGAGGGATTCGTGGTAGAGGGATTCGGGCTCGGTGTAGTACGCCAGCGTGAGGGTGGGCGTGTGGGGATAGTCGCCTTTAGACGCGTCGGTGGAGGGATGGAGTGGATGCGGAGTGGAATGTGGCTGGGTATAAGAGGAATAGGTTGTTGAAGGAGGAGATGGATGTGTGTACTGATGATGGACGGAGAGCTTCGAGTGCCGTGATGTCGTCGTCATTTCGGCGTATATTTCGGGCCGGTATACATTCTTCACGCGCAGGGAAACATTCACCCACAGCGCTCTTCAGACGACATGCATGCACTCGATGCTTGCAGTTTCATCATAAGCACGACAGCTAGAGACTTCAAACGGTCCGGGAATGTGCCCAGAAAGGGCTGGTTGTATTCATCATTTACATGTAATCAAATCATTTTTTTGTAATGAGTGACTCGGTACTCAGGTTCGCCGTCTATGGCAGGCTCAAGAAGAGCTCCCTCATCTTAGGGTAGTTCGGCGTGCCTAAAATCACAGGGTTAGCAAGTGCTTTTCCTCACTTCAAGGGTGTTAAGTAGAACAAGTCCAGTGCTCTGATCAAATGCGCGACGTTGCCACTGGGGGGGTTTTCCCAGGTATCGATCGCTGCAATCAATCTCGAGGCAGCTACACTTGTTCGTTGTAAGAAAAATCAACTTACCGAGGCCCGTGACGGGGTCCCAGCCGGTGGTGGCGTGGAAGCCGGAGGAGTTGCAGTTGGGGTTGGAGCCGTTGATGATGTCGTTCAACACCCACGGGTTGGCATACTGGACACAGAATAGTCAGCAGATGTGTGCAGGTTATGTGGGAAAGAGAAGACTTACTAGGACAGGATTGACGAAGCCAACCGGGCCCTTGCCGGCCTCCGTACGGTCCTGGTTGAGGAGCGTCAGGACGGAGGCGAAGATGGGAGAGGCCAAGCTGGTGCCGAAGATGCGCTCTTCAGTGCCGTTGTTGAAGATGTCCAGGTAAGCGCCTAGGTTGGGGCATTAGCACGTGTGGTGGACACATCGAATGCAGCAGACGGGACGTACCGTTGGCGGCGACATCGGGATAAGCACGGCCCAGTCTGTTCCAGAGACCTCCACCCTCTCCGATGTTCGTGCCCTGGGCATTGGCGTTGTAGGACGGGGGCAGGGTTTGGGTGTTGATGTAGTTCTCAACGTCGGCTTTCTGGTATGAAGGGATGGGGAAGAAGCTGAGGAGAACGACTGCGGTTAGTATACCTGCCCAAGAGCCGACGTGGAGGAAGGATCAACATACTTGGAGAAGCCACCCGCGCTGGCAAAGTACTGGATCAAGAGGGTCGGCTGGCCCTCGCCAGTGGCGATGTTGAACGCAGTCAGATTGACCTGCATCGCGCTTTCGCGATCGTTAACATTCTGGCCGGGGTTGAGTTGAGAGCCGCCAACGACGGTCATGTAAGGGCAGCTAGACGGCCAGTCGGGGCTGTAGACTGGGAACGTGGTGTTCGATCCCGGCCCAGGCAAGCAGCCGTAGGGATTCCCATTCTGGTTCGGGCCGGCTCCAACGCCGTAGTCACCCGCAGCGTTCAGGATCGAGTGGCCCTGCATGCCGAGCTTCATGATCTCGCTGCATTGACGCTGGAGGTAGTTCTGGGGGAACTGGGCCTCGGGGCTGCCGTAGGAGATGGACACGACGCGGGTGAGCTGGTAGGTGCCGCACATGAGTTGGCCCTTGTAACCGTTCTTGCGGGGATCGGGGTACTGCGGGTCGATCGAGGGGCTGTTGCCGGTAATGCCGAATGCGGTGTAGTTGCAGTAGCTGCCGTCGACGGCGTCCAAGAAGTCGTTGAGGCTGATTTCACGGTCAGTTCGTCGTACTCAAGATTTGGCGGAGACTTGGGCAACTTACAAGCCAGTCGCATTGGTATGGCCGGTTGCATTGGGAATGTCATCAACCTGGTACACTGTGACGGTCTGCGGGTAGATGAGGGAGTAGGCCAGTTCCAGGTCGGTGTCAGACTCTCCACCGTTGAGTGGGTTGTGGACGGCGACGGGCGCATGTCCACCGTCTACCGAATCGACTTTAGGGGTGGTGCCTTGGGGAATGTATGGCAGGAACTTGGCGAAAAAGAGGTCCAGGTCTTCCTGGGCGAAGTAATCACCACTCTCGTACAGGCCCATCACGTTTTCCGGCGAGGTGTTGTTGGGGTGCGCGGGGATTTGGTACAAGTATCTCAAGCACGGAGGGGTGATGTGAGTGTCTGGAGAAATCGAGATATCAGCATCATTCTCCGCACAGCCTTGCTGAACCAGCCGGTTGGAGTTTTGTTCTTACCGCAATTTGCAAGACCCGCGGGGATACTTGTAGAGGTGGGCCCCGAGCCGCTGCTTGTAGATGTCGGGCCCGAGATGGGGGTACTTGTGTGTGATGGCCAACCCTGAGAGTGGGGCCACGAGTGAGGCTGGCGAGAGTCGCATTAGCATCGTGTCTGACGGTTGCAAGAACCGGGATTGCTGCCACTTACTCCTTTATGATTTGGGGGCCAGTTGCCCCATTGACGCTTGTGGAGCGATCGCTTCTTCATACGATTTGACATGACCACGCCGGGTTTGATCAAATCAACGTGCGGCGCCACGTGGGCGGGAAGATAGTATTCGTCACAGCCGATGCGCATGGAGCGGTCGGCAAAGTCATGCTCGTGGTACTCGGTGGCAAAGAGCTCTTCAGCCTTGGAGGCGGGCATGTCAATGGCCAGCCAATTTTTGTTGGTGTAATGCATAATGTCCTCCTCGCCAAAGCCGAAGCCCATCAGCCAGTTCTTGACGGTGTCGATGGATTCCTGAGCCGGAGCGAACATCTCGGCCACTTCCTCTGCAGAGAAGTGCTTGCCGTAGCGGGCGGATTCGGGATGCGAGACCTCCATCAAGCGGTCGTAACCCGTCTCGAGATTGCTCTGCTTCAGGGCAATGCGGACGGGGATGATGGCGTCTCCGTCAACCCTGCGCCGCTCCAGGTGGTTGGAGATGGTCCTCTTTTCGTGAAGGACATGGCCGGCGGGAATAGCAAGGGCACTCGCGATCAGCGAGGCCACAGTCAAAGACGCATACCAAGACATCTTGAGCTCTCAATGGGGGGGAGGAGGAAATGGGAAACAGAGGGGAACCAACTAACCTTGAAGAGGGCATGCAGGGCCATTATGTGCTCCAGAGCGTCTCCCGGCCCCGGTCTCCACTACGTCGCGGCGACTCGTATACGGGCAGGAAGCGCACAAGCTAAGGTCGGGGCGTATGTAACATCGCGGAATGGCCGCTTGTGATCGCAGCGCATGACGGTGACGTCTCGTGCGCACGGACTGCATTGATATCGCGCAGCTGGAGCTCAGCTCGATGTGATGGGCAGGTGGTTGGATAGGTACCTTATGGTCGAATCTGCTTCCCTCCAACACCGCGTCTCTCGCCTGCTGGGTCATCGCAGCGCACTCTCTACTCATCTCACCTGCTGTAGAGGTAGGTGCGGGGCTTTCCCTTCCAAGTTGACCCGAACCTAGACAGTCTGGGTTGCGGCGATAAAAAGTGATCCGCGATTCCGTGTAGAGTACCATGTGTTCGAGCGGTGACTATCTTAGCCCTACCCAAACTAAAAGGGTAGTAGCCTACGCCTGCCCCAAACTCAAAGGTTAAGCCGCGCACGACATCTAGGCAGAAGCCTAAAACGGGCAGCAATCGGACAAGAACCTGCAAGCCTGCATCGTACCTGCGCGCCCGCGTTATTCGATAGTGCCATGGATGGGGGACCCGGCGGGGTCAGGCCGGGGTCGGATGCCACCCCACGACTGGTTTTGGAAGGAACGACGGCAACCCTGCCGGGCCAAGTTGCCGGTGCGGCTCTTGTTGCTTGCTCTGGACAAGCTCGAAAGCGACGCCCGCCGGTGGGAGTGGGTCAATCACCCCCACGTTGTCTTGTTTGCTTCGGCCATGCTCACAAGACGTGCTTATCCGGACGGGACTCGGAAGGTCGGGTGATGGGGAAATCTCTGCAGCCAGTACGTACACCATGCCTTTGTGCAACACGTAGGTAATTGTGGAGTACCTCTTGGATTGTGTATGGTGGCAGCTGCACGCTGGACGGCCAAGCACCGCCCATTGATGCCTGCTCACCGGCGTACACCAGCCACCGCATTTTATCCCGCCCTCAGGACGTGCTTCGCTGCCCATGGCTGAGTGCACGTCCTCTTCGCAGGTGAAACCGACTACGCAAGCACAAGGCTATACGAGTTAGCGGCAATCGACTGGCGACGTCGAGCGAGTTCATAGGTACGTAGATGTCCGATGCTGGACAGTGCCCCCCGGCTCTGGATTTAAGATATTTGAAAGGCATGGCCAAATGTCACATCTCAAGCTAGAAGATGCAATGCACGTTTGTGATGTTATACACCGCAATTCGTGTCTAAGATTTAGAAGTGGTGAAAGGCGACGACGGGGTTGTAGGACTCGTTGGCCGTGGTCTTTGCCCTCTGCAGCAGCTACCTCAACCCTAACCCTACAAACAAGGCTGGCCTACATTGAACCTGCCGTCGCAATCGCCGACGATCGCGAGTACATATAGGTCCTCGCGTCGTCACAATATCCCAGATGGTGTAAGCAACGATCCGGAATATCGATGCTTGAAATACCTGCATCGCTGGTCGGCGGAGGAATAAGGCAAGAAGGCAAACATGGGCAAAGAATCTCGCTGTGGCTTAAGCTTTGCCGATCATTTCGAGATTTCGAGGATGCATGTTCACTTCAAGTCATTGCACAAACATCTTCGCCCCTGCCCCGCGCACCAGAAGCGATGCATAATCCACGATAGCACCGTCTATCCACATCCCCGGCTCAAGCCATGAGCAACCTCTACAACCTCGAGCCGCAGCCGACGGCCAAGGCAATCCTCAAAACCACCGCGGGCGACCTCTCCATCGAGCTCTTCGCAAAGCAGACTCCCCTCGCCTGCCGCAACTTCCTACAACACTGTCTCGATGGCTACTACAACAGCACCATCTTCCACCGCCTCGTCCCGGGCTTCATCATCCAGGGCGGCGATCCCACCGGTACGGGCGCGGGAGGCATCTCAGCCATCAACGGCGGCGATGGCTTTGAGAATGAAATCCACAGCCGACTCAAGTTCAACCGTCGGGGCTTGGTGGGCATGGCGAATGAAGAGAAGGAGAGCAGCAATGAGAGCCAGTTCTTCTTCACCTTGGGTGCTACTCCGGAGTTGCAGGGGGGGAATACGCTGTTCGGGCGGATAGAAGGTGACACGATCTACAATTTAATGAAGATGGCAGATGCAGAAATGGCGGAGGCGCAGGATCGTCCGCTATACCCTACCAAGATCACCGGGGCGGAAATACTGGTCAATCCTTTCGAAGACATGGTGGCAAGGGCGAGAGAGGCGCCGAGAACGAATGACACGGATGAAGGGCGCAAGGATGTCAAGAAGAGGAAGAAGCCTGCTGGGAAGAATGTGTTGAGCTTTGGCGGAGACGAAGGAGAGGAAGAGACACCGGTGCTGAAAAAGGTCAAGGCCAATCCAAAGTTGGTTGCGACCTCGAATGAAGAGCCAGAGCCAAGAGACGAGCCGCTACCGAAAGCAAAGAACAAGAATCCACCAGGCAAGCGAAGGGCTTCGCCGCCGCCAGCGAGTGAAAACACATCGGAGAAACGCCCTGTGCCCGCGGCCGTCGAAGCAGCAGACGACTCCGACTCCGATTCATCCTCAGAACCAGCTCGGTCGCGAAAGGGCATGAGCCAGCTGGAGAAGACGAATGCAGAGATTGCAGCGCTCAAGGCCAGCATGAAACGCAATGTGGACACAGCACCAAAGGTCAAGGAGAAGCCGAAGAGCGCCCTCGAAGCCATGGTCCCCGCAAACAGTACTCGTGGCCGGAAACGAGGGAAAGCGAGCGACGAGAGGGGGGCAATCGATCTGTTCAAAGCTTTCAAGCGCAGGCTTGAAGACATGCCTGGCGAGAACGAAACGGAGGATGTGGAAACCAATGGCAACCTTCCCAATGCAGCAGAGCCAACGACTACGAATGCGGCGGAGGATGAAGAGGCCGCTCTATGCGATCTACATTTCATCGCCAATTGTCAGTCATGCAAGTCTTGGGATGACCACGACAAGGCGGATGGCGAAGCGGAAGTGGGCGACGAAGGCGACGCGGCGTGGATGTCACACCGCTTGACCTTTGCGAAAGACACGCTTGGGAAGGACCTGGAGTGGAAGCGGAAGATGGAGGAGATTGAGGTCATTGACCCTCGGGAGAAGGCGAGGGAGATCAAGGAGGAGCAGCGGAAGGGGAGGGACAAGGGAAAGGGCAAAGAGAGAGCAGATAAATAAGAGTCATGATGTAACCAGTATGTGATCTGGAATCGCATCACAGTGCATTCGTGCAGTAGCGTCTCTAATGCACAACGGGATGTCTTTCAACGGGCTGTCTTGGAATCAAATGCTGCCTCAGGCAGGCTTACGTTGCTGCGGTTGCCATTGCGGTGGGGCGGTGATGCAGCACCTCAAATTCTGCCAAGCCCTCCCAATATCTCCGCCTACATCCACCGCAACGCGCGTACCAACCTACTCACACCGTTCAGTTGTTGCCTGTCTACTCCTCGATTCGCTCACGGAAGATATAAGTATGTTCCGCATGCTCTGGTGGAGGCAGCGACATTCTTGCCCGCCTTCCTCGCACCAGAATTGCAACTAACATCTTATCGTAGTCCTACAACTTCCCTTGGGTTCCTCTGAGAGCAGACAACACAGACTGCCAATATGGTGAGTCGCTTGTGCCCCTTGAGAGTTCATGCAATGATATTAATCCCCATTGACAGGCGCAATCAGGGTACGAATGAATCTCAACCCTTCCCCCAACCCCCTAACCCCCGCCTAACCTCGCCCACCCCGCAGAGTCTCCGTCGCACCCGAGTGCATCCAGGCCTTCAACGAGCTGAAGCTGGGCAAGTCGACGAAATGGATCATCTACAAAATCTCCGACGACTGGAAGGAGATTGTGGTGGAGGAGACGTCCAAGGACCCGGACTACAGCAAGTTCCGGGAGAAGCTGCTGAACGCCAAGAGCAAGAACAAGCGCGGCGAGGAGGGCATGGGCGGCCGCTACGCCGTCTTCGACCTCGAGTACGACGCCGAGGGCGGCGAGGGCAAGAGGAGTAAAATCACCTTCATCTCGTGGGTGCCGGATGACTCGCCTCAATACGTAAGTGATGGCGCGCGCAGCATGCTTGTGGAAGATGGAGAAGGCTGACGGGGAATTGCAGCCGCGCATGATGTACTCTTCCTCGAAAGATGCGCTGAAGCGCGCCCTCAACGGTATCGCGGCTGATATCCAGGCCAATGACCCCGACGACATTGAGCACGACAGCCTCATCCAGCGAGTGTCCAAGGGTCGCTAGGAGCTGCACTCCAAGCCGCATATCCCGGTGCATGCGCCGAAATTGGCCAAGGCTAGAGAGGGGGATGGTGATTGAGGGAGGGGAGGAGTGGTGGTTACGTGCATATGGACTGGGGTTGACGACTCGGGAGACGTGTTTGCGGGAGGACAAGGCGAGGCATCGTGTGTTGTCGTGTTTCTCCGAATGAAACCTATCTTCCTATAGAACCCGCACCTTTCTTTTGTCCTTTGACGCCCGAGAGTGGGCAGTGAAGTCTTCCTGCTCACATACATTGTGGCCTCTCATGTCCGCTGTTATGCTCACAGGAGAGTTTGGAAGGATCCGCATAGTGTGCCCTGGAATGTTGATGTAACATCAAGGTGTGCTGTAAGACAAGAGATAGACAGACTTGCGAACGGCTCTTAAGACCGCAAAGAAGCAGATAGATACTGACGAAGGAGAGAGGCTGGTTGAGGTCTCCAACACCTGCCAATGGAATTCTTACATCTCGTCTCATACATGTAGTTCAGCTGATCTTCGACAAGGGGAGCATCGCTCCAGATCACGGCTTGGTGGGGCAGACAAAATAACTGCCCGTTTGGGACGACTCGCCCACCGTCTTCCCCGAGCGGATGACTAAAAAATTCCCTCGTGGCCCGCAAAGTGGAGGCGCCACGAGAGTAGGCGCGATGGCGAAAGTGGCCAGGCGCCTCGGTTATTTCGCAAAATGCGAGTCGTGTGGGTGTGGTGTGCTGGGCGTGCTCGAGCTCGTCCTGCCAGAGAACAGTAAGCAAGCGTCTTCGATGCACGTCTTGCACCCCCGACGACGCAAAGACACCGCGCGAGTATCATGCCTAGCGACGTGGAGCAGGCGCGAGTCATCATCATCACTGAAGGCAAGCCGGTTATCTCGTCCGATCTGAGCGACTCCACCGGGAACGGCGGCTGCTGAAACTTACCACATCTCCGGGTGCGCGCTGCTTCGTGACACACCTCTCCATCAGCGTGCGGATGGATAGTTCGAATAGGAAGCGCAAGCGGGTCTTGACCCTGCCGCCCTCCAGCAATGGCTGCATCACCTGCAGGTAAGTCGACTTCGCAAGGCCGCCGGATTCCTCGGGGGCGCTGCTAATCGCCGCGAGCAGGTCGAGGAGAGTCAAGTGTGATGAGACGCGGCCGTTTTGTCGTCGATGTGTGCAGGCACGGCGGACATGCAAGGGCTACGCCGCAGCCTGGCCAGCCGCGAATGCGCCGCCCGAGCCTGCCGAAGAGGTATGCACCGCCGCTGTTCCGGCTGACTCTCCTGCGTATGTACATGGCCACTGACATGCTCGGATCAGACCCGCCTCGTTCAGCAGCTAGAGGCACAAGTTGTCCCCGTAAGCAAATGGAAAAGCGAACGCGCTTCGATCCTGGCCGACTACTTCGAATTGAGCTACCCGCCTGTGCTCGCTGCCGCCCGCAAAGTCTCCGTGCTGGGCGCCATTATGGAGATCCCGCCCACATCGGCCGTGCTCATCAGTACGTTGGAGACAATCTGCTTCTCCCACCTGTCCTACGTGTCGCGAAACCCTCGCTACACCTGCCAATCTTACATCTCCTACGCTCAAACCTTGAAACTGCTGCAGGCGGCCCTCGCGCGGGGTCCGTTGGTGGTGGATATGGTGAGGCGGAGAGAGCTGCTCACGAGTATCGTGCTGCTCGCCCAGCTACCCGACAGCATCACCAACAACCAAGCGGTGCACGAAAGTTGGCGTGTGCATCTATGGGCTGCCATCGAATACGCCGCCGCCTCCGCTCCCGCCGTCTTGGACTTCGACCATCCTTTGGAGGCCAAGTTGATGCATAGCATCCAGGTCAACGGCACTCTTCTCGCCATCTCGCGTAGGACGGCGCTACCTGTGCACCCTCGCTGGTTGGAGAATAAACGGCTATGGTATCAAGGCGTGACTCGCCCCTTCTTCCACGTCCCGTCCGCACTGGAGAAGGCGGATGCCGCTCTTTGCAAAGAAGACAATGCACTGGACATCGAGATTCTGTCTCATGAATTGGAACAGCTACGACTGGAGACCGAACTCGGCGAGCAACCGTGGCAGTCCGCACGCAAGCTCACGAAGCTCGAGGACGTCGACCTCGATCAAGACATCGAAGAGCACGCGGCGGTGACGAGTCTAGCAACCTTCGACAACCTCTACGTCTTTACCGAGTTCGTCGCCGCCCGACGATTCACCACCACAAGCCAGCTCATGCTCGTGATCGAATGCACCCTGCTCCGTCTTCTCCACTCCGCCCGAGACGCCGGAACCCCCATTCCCACCAGCCGCACCATTGAACAAATCGAAAACAATGCCTTCCGGCTGGCGAGCAACATCTGCATGACCTCGCACCACATCAGTCGGATGCAGACGATTGGCAATGCCATGCTGGTGCAGCTGGGCCTGTCCATGGCTCGCCAGTTCTTCGAGGAGCACGGCGATCAGGCGCAGATGGAGTGGTGTGATGCGTGCCTGGCGGCAAACGGTAGGCGGCTGGTGCGCATTGAGGCGGCGCTTCCCCCTTCGCGCTGTAGGATCAACGCCATCATCCCGGGATGGGTTGCAGCTTGTAAATACCAGACTTCGGGGCTTAGGATTGAAGCTGGGGAAGCTGGGGATTGAGGAGTCCCGTATCCGAGACAGCGCAGCTTGGATGCCGTACGGAGCCGAAATGAAGAGGCATGCCCACGGAGCAGGACTCTGATGAAACAGAACTTCCACGCGATGTCCTGGAAGAGTATCATGAGAGGGGTGTCGCGGAGACTCGCGTGTCTTGCTCTCTCCCAATGGCTCATGCGGTATAGATTTGGGAGGATGAATTACGAAGGGGGCTGCAGTTGTGCGGGACTCACAAAATGTGTCGGTCAAAGGCAAGGCGAAATCATTCCATGCTTGTCTTGTTACTTTTTGGGAAATCGGATTGGAGAAGGAATAATCTCAATATATTGGGAATATGCCACACTCACGAAGAGATTTTGGAACGGCGCCTTAGAGTACATATGTGTACGGTTCGTAGGTAGACGATGTCTCCCATTGAATGGAATCTCCCTCCACCGATTCAGCACGATGTCCAGCCCCACATTCCAACGGCGCATATGAGGGACGGGAGGATCGTCGGCCTGCAGCTGTCAATGAAAGCTTAATGCGACGGCAACGAGGCCGACTTGAGAATGCATTTCTCTCTTTGAGAATTATTTGATGGGTCATGCGAGATCAAAAAGTGCCGAAACACGCAGTACTGGTCAAGTCACGGCTATGTTGTTGGAAAAGAGTGACTGTCTACTATATGGCGCTGGCAGCTTCGAAAAGCGACCACGATCTTCGCATCACGTGACTCTACAGCCTGATCTCTGCGAGAAACGGGATGAGAGCGCTTCCGTGGTGGCAAGGTGTGAGAGCAATACTGTGAGGTGCCAGGCTCGAGTGTATCTCGATTACGTAGCGACTTGAAAGTTGTTCCCGCGGATTGGCGAAAGCCGGCCAGCCATATGACCCGCTGCTTATTCCACGGCTTCTGAAGCACTCTCGCCACCAGAAAGATGGGGCCCCCTCCAACCTGGATGTTTCTGGCGAGTGATTGTGCGTGATTGTACGTGATTGTCGGCAATGCACGAGCCGCCTCGAGGGTATATGAAACCCCCCCCTTTTCCCCTGACTTGTTTCTTTTCTTCTCTCTTCATATCACATCAGACGCCAGCTTTGCAACACCACCAACATCAATCACAAGCAAGATGGCGTACACCGAGCGACGATCACAGACCCCCGCTCCCCCCAAGAGCAAGCGCAGGGGGTTCTTTAGAACCCTCTCCGCCGCCCGCAGCGCGCGGCACGGTGAATTGTCCCTGTCGTCCCGCTCCCTTTGTCGTGCTTTGGCTGACTGAGATGTGACAGAAGGGCGAAGGACCGCGGGCTATGCCCGCACCTTCTCCCGGAGTGACCAGCCTCGGTCGTGAGTATCTCCTCTTTCTGTTTCCTTGCTCATCTTGCCTTGGTTTGCCCCTCGTCGGCTTCTCTTACTGCTGTTTAGCGGAGATGCGCCGTGTCGCCCTCGTCGCAATCTGCCCTTTCACCACCTCTCCCCTACAGTTCTCTTGCACCCTCGCCGCCCTGCCCCATCCCATCACCCCATCGCCTTGCACTGTTGAGCGGAGATGCGCCATTCCGCCGCCTTCACCCCCTGCCCCTCCCCAGCCCATCTCTTTCTGCCGTCGCTGCCCTGTCGCTTCTTCATCTCGTCTCGTCTCATCTTGCTCTTCTGAGATGCACCATCGCTAACACCTCGTCTCCCAGATTGGGTCGCCGCCTCTCGGACTTGTACCGTGAGGAACGGCTGGTGAAGGATGAGGCTGGGTGCACCTGGGCAACCCACATTTTGTGGCGCGTCCTCGGTTCCCCGGACCTGACTCCCTTCGTGTGATCATTTTCGCTCTCGCACGCTTTCCTTTGTCTGGCGTTTGGCGTTACGGCGTTGCGGCGTTTCGGCGTACTGGCGTTTGGTGTGTTTCCCCCTTTTCCTTTGTCGAACCCGCCAATGGCCGCGCGAACGGAAGTCGCATGGTCGCTGGGAGCTGCTGGCTGGCGGCGGGGCCAGGTCCTTGACGGTAGCAAACGGCTGTTCTTCAGCTGTGTCGCGACTGGACGGGCTTGGTTGCTTGTGTTTTTTGCATCTCCTTTGTCAACCCACCAATGGTCACGCGAACGGAAGTCGTCGTCGTTGCCTCCTCGCGGAGGTTTTCGATCTGGCGCTGGGAGCGAGCATCGGCGGTGGGGTCAGGTCCTTGACGGTGGCAAACGGCTGGTCTTCAGCTGTGTCGCGACTGGACGGGCTTGATTTGTTTTTCCTTCCCCTGGCGATTGGGAGTGCACCTCATCGTGGTGCCAGGGTGACAACGGCGCAAGCCGGCCAAGACACTCCCGCTTTTCTCTTTCTTCGGTTTTCATCGTTCTGTTGGCTATTGCCGGCGGTCGGAGAAGACTTGGTGGTGTTGGAAGCAAGCGCAATCTGCCGGTCGCAATCTGTCCGTCGTAATGTGTCCGGATGAGGGAAGCTTCACTGGAGGCGCAGTCAGTAGCGAGTGTCCCATGGCAATCACCTTGATTTCGTGTAGTCGCAGTTCGCAGGCAAGATAATGTATACAGCAATACTCATCTATCCAGCGTCGGATGTAATCATGCTGCTCACCGTTCCACCTTGCGGCAGAACCACGCAGCCGCCAGTGCAGCCAGTCCGCCAAACCTCAACACCCACGCCACACTTTCATCGCCCACACTCCCTCGCGGCTTCTGCAGCGCGCGAAAGATCGCGGAGCTAACGAGCGTCGCGAGAATCTGGGGTGCTGCAATGGCTACGTTATGAATGCCCAGCACCATCCCCGCCTGATTCGACTCTTCTCCTTCCTCCACGTCGCCATCGAGCGCGTCTGCGTCTTCGTCTGCGGCGGAAGGCGGCTGCTTGCCTCGGCGGATGGCGTTGCGTTTGCTGATTTCTGCTGCGATGAGGGCGAATGGCGCCCAGTTCGTTGTGGCCCAGGGTATGCCGATGAGAGCCACGAGGAGGGTGGCGCCAGTGGTGGTGTGGACGAGGAATGTGAGCCACATCAGGGCGGCGAAGATGAGATGGGATAAAAGCCAGGCTCGGGGGAGGGTGAGCCAGGGGATCGTCATTGACGGGATGTTGGGAAGGAGTCGCGAGATACGTGATTGCGAGGTGCCGTGGCCAGGACTTGCAAAGTGCCCATTTGGGCGTGAGTTGGCGGGAGATTCGACGAGGGTCGTGCCTGCAGCTTGTTCGGGGGTTTTGTACGAGTTCACCACGAAGAAGGGCAAGATGACGCTCGCTGCAAAGGAGGTGATGGCGAAGACAAATAACGCCAGAGTTCCAATCCTCGTTGCTTGTTCCCAGACTACATCGACCTCTTCCGGAGTCATGTCTGGTTGCGCGGTGAAGATAGGCTGCACGTAGATCTCGCCGATGTAAGTGGTGATGTAGAACAAGAAGGGAAACCATCCGATCCAGGCGAAGAACTGCACCAGACAAACTGCTCTGATCTGTCGAGGGAGTTTGCGTACAGCGCGATAGAGACTCCGAAAGATTGCGAGCAGTCCGCCTGCTCCTGCGGGCAGGGGATCTTGTCGAGGGTCTCGTTCCGAGATTGTCAGACAGCTGACGGTAAGAGTGGTGATCATGGCGAGCGAGGCAATCATACACAGCACTTTGAACTGCGTGTTGCCAAAGAACCAAAGGTGCTTGGGCAGGTCAGAATAGCCAAAGAGATATCCGACAATGTTGCCCACGCCGGTCAGGCGCGAGGCCCATGCGTTGGCTAGGTCTTGTTGGTGAGTGGGCGCATTGTCGACGATGAAAGCTCGGATGCCGGCTTGAATTACGTTGATTGCGAAGTCGAGGATGTAGACCAAGAAGATGGCGATGACAATCGTGGTCACCTTGACGCCTTGTCCATTTTCATCGACGCCGAAGATGCCATGCAGGATGAACGTTACGATTTCTCGAGTCCAGGCGAGAAGCAGGAGCGAGATGATGGTGGCAGCAGCACCGCCGACCATGAAGGGACGTCTTTTGCCGAAACGGGAGCGGCACTGATCGGATTTGATGCCGACGTATGGCTGGACCAAAGTGCCTGAGAGCGGGCCTGCAATCCATACGATGGCGAGGAGAGATTTGGAGATGCCGAGGGAGAGCAGGTAGGGGGAGAAGTTGGATGTTTCAACGGACCATGCGATTTGAAGGCTGGAAAGATAGGTCAATAAGGGCACAGATGAGGCATGAGTGGGAGACAAGAAAAGAGCTGTCTTACCCGCCAATCGAGATGGTCAATAGGATGAGGTACCAAGTGCTTTTCGTCTCTTCGTGATCGTGAGCACGTACGTCCTCATCAGAAAGCCAACCTCTGTCATCTGGGTCCAAAGCTGTGTCGACCGCAGGAGGTGTTTCGACACCTTCGCTGGAGCGGGGGCTTAGCAGGGGAGAGGCCTCGTCCAAATCGTCCTGTCCTCGCGCGGGATTTGTGCGGCGTTCTGAGTCCATCGCAGATTGGTTGGAAGGAGGGGATCAGCGTGAGACGTCTCGCATGGCTGTTGAGGACCAGTAAGTAGAGCAATTGTCTGTTATCGAGGATCCATGTAGAGCGATGGAGGAGTTGGTGGCTCGGCTTGATCCCGGGACAAGGCAGTTGCGGAAGGTTGAGACGATGGTGCCTAGGCAGGCGCGATGGAGCGAGTGATGGTGGTGGGGTAGAACACTGGCCTCGGTACTGCGTGTCGATTTACTCAATGCACCGCTCGTCCTTAGATCGATGTCTGTACAGTCGAGATGCACATGATCTCATGGAGATTGCATGGTCCAGCTGGCGATGATCGCTCGCGTGTGCGGGTCGCAGCGCTTTAGCGTCGCGGCTCCCGCTTCCAGAAGAAGCTTAAACCTGCGAGATCTCCCTGACCCTTCGGTTCGTGTCGCTGGCATTCTGGGCACATTTATCCTGAAGCCTGAACCTCGCACTCTCCTCTTCCCCCTCTCTCCACTCTATACTCCCTTCGCCGCACCCAAACCATCTCCACCACATCGCTCCAAAGCAGGCGACGAGAAGAGACAGTCCGCCACCGCCATCTCTCCCGCCTTCGCCCTCCCGCCGCTCAACGGCGATCCCTCCCTTCACATGCGATAACCACCCCATCCTCCCCCAACCATGGGCAACGCTCTCCTCATCCGCTCCGCCTTTGCCCTCTTGGAAGCCCGGCAAGGCGCCGACAGCGAGGAAGATGCTCCCGAGGCCGGCCAGAAGGAGGTCTTCTCCTCCTGGGCCCTGCTCATCCTCATCGTCCTCCTCATCTCCGCCTTCTTCACCAGCTACATCCTCAAATCCAAGCGCATCCAGGCGGTGCATGAGACGGTCATATCAATCTTCGCCGGAATGGTCATTGGCTTGATCCTGCGGTTGATTGGCATCGAGAGCATCCTCTCTAGCATCAGCTTCAACTACCAATTCTTCTTCAATCTCCTCCTGCCCCCCATCATCCTCGCGGCGGGGTACGAGCTACATCAGGTGAGCATTCAAGCGTCGTCAAATACACCCATCCCCTCCCTAACACTAACAAACCCAGGGCAACTTCTTCCGCAACATTGGCACGATCCTCACCTTTGCCTTCGCCGGCACCTTCATCTCCGCCCTCGTCCTCGGCATCATCCTCTACCTCTGGACCCGCATACCCCTCGAAGGTCTCGAAGTGTCCTTTGTCGATGCCATGTCTGTTGGCGCAACTCTCAGCGCCACCGACCCCGTCACCATTCTTGCCATCTTCAACACATACCAAGTTGACCCCAAGTTGTACACCATCATCTTTGGAGAGAGCATCTTGAACGATGCCATTGCCATTGTCTTGTTTGAGACGGCGCAAAAATACAAGAACACCGTGGGCGCGTCCCTCAATCCCTTCAGCTTCTTCGAAAGTATCGGCATCTTCTTGATGGTCTTCTTTGGAAGTCTGTTCCTCGGTCTTGCTATCGGCTTGGGCACGAGCTTATTGCTGAAATTCACGCACGTGAGGCGCGATCCCAAGATCGAGAGTTGTGTGGTGTTCTTGATCGCGTATGCGAGCTACTTCTTCGCCAATGCCATTCGCATGAGCGGTTAGTCATGACCCCGATCTAAAAGCTCTCCCCAACCCCCATTGCTGACGTACAGATCCAGGCATTGTGTCACTGCTGTTTTGCGGCATCTGTCTCAAACACTACGCCTACCACAATATGTCGCGGAGGTCACAACTTACCACCAAATTCACCTTCTCCCTCCTCGCCCAACTCTCCGAAAACTTCATCTTCATCTATCTTGGACTTTCGCTCTTCACCGAGACTACGCTGGAGTACAAGCCACTATTCATCCTGGTCACCGTCATCGGCATCTGTGTCGCGCGCTGGTGTGCCGTCTTTCCCCTCAGCAATGCGATCAACTGGGTCATCCGGTACCGCGCACGTCGCCGCGGCCTTGAAGTGGCCGAGGAGCTGCCCATGAACTGGAGGATCATGATCTATTGGGCGGGATTGCGAGGAGCCGTTGGTGTGGCTCTTGCTGCTGGATTGACCGGTCCGAGTGGCTACGCACTCAAAGCTACCGTGTTGGTCGTGGTGGTGCTGACAGTTATCATCTTCGGCGGCACCACCTCGCGCATGCTTGAGATTCTCCACATCCGTACCGGTGTCGTGGAGGAGATTGATTCGGATGACGAGTTCGACACCGAACCCATCCGCGCTGGAGTGTACGCCAAGAAGGACAACACTGGCTTCGGACACACGCCCACTTCCAATGGAGGGATAGGATTAGACTACGTCCGCTCCAACTCATACAGCACAGGCAGCATCAGGGGCTCGCGTCCTCGACCGAAGGATGGCGCATACAATGACGCGGGCCTGTTGAATCCCGACGCCTTTGCCGAATCGCCTGTGAACAGCGACGACGAGGGCCTCGACCTGCCACCCAACGCATCCCGACCGGCCAATCGCCCTGGTTCCGCTGTGCCGTACACGGACCCGGACACCACCGCAACCCGCGCGGAGCCAACATGGCGCGAATGGAGCCCTGCCAACTTCAACGCAAGAGGCGCGCTGAACCAGATCATTCAAGCGAGCGAAGATCCGGGCATGGTGTTCAAGCGGCTGGACGAGCAATTCTTGAAGCCCCATCTGCTGCTCGATCCGAACAGCGGACAAGGTACGCCGAGGCACGGCAATGGCCATGCTGGTCCGAGTGGTGGTGGTAGTGGGGAAGTTTGATCGCTCCGGCTTGACGAAAACTGGGTTAGACGCTGCGGGCTAGAAAATTCTTTGGACTTAGCGAATGTATTCTGGAACGGTTTGACGAGATGTCACAGTCCACTATTGCGAAAATTGAGGATCGTTGTGAAGCTCGTTACGACATGGAAGTCACCTCTCGGTCCTCAAGGAAACGTTTGGGCTGGCTTCTGCCTGGTGCATTCACTCCATGACTATGAGCGAGGGTGAGGGGACGCCGAGGTGAAGTCTTGACGCCAAGCGGGTGAGTGCTCAGCAAAGGTGAGGTGAACTCGCCCACCCGACGTCACATGATTCCCGCTCTTTCCTAATTCGGTCGGTTGAGTGGTTACACACATGCAGTCCGCTGCATGGACCCCCCGCCACCACTCATAACAAGTCTCTTCAATTTCCTCTCTTTCTTCCCTTCTCTCTCTCACTCGCGTTCACACAACTTCTTTCTCAACGTCCCGCGAAAGTCGCAACAGTAAGTCGCTCCGACCATCCTCAGCTCTGACATGACGCCCTGAACAAACTGACCATCGCAGCCACCCACTCACAACCACCCACTCCCCACGACTCACTGCCACCCCCCGTCGCAAACATGTCCACCACCCCCGACCCAATCAAAGACAGCAAATCACCCGCCCCAGGGGGGCCCAACACCCTGAGCGAGAAGGAGAAGAATCTCATCGCCACCATCGTCACGCACTGCCTCAAATCCGGCCCGCTGGAGATCGACTCCAAGAAGCTGGTGAAGTATGGCGAGTTCAACACCATGAAGACGGCGCAGAACACGTGGGGCAAGCTTAAGGCGAAGATTGCTGCTATGAACGATGATGGGGATGTTGAGGGGAAGGATGGCGCTGGTATGTTACATGTCTCTTTTGCCTCGCTCATTTGAGTGCTCTTGATTCGCAAAGAAGTGACTGACGACTGTACAGATACTCCCAAGACGCCCAAGACGCCCAAAGCTGCCGCAGGAGGTGCCACGCCGGCCTCCAAGAAGCGCGGGAAAAAGACCGACGACGATGAGGAGGGCGGAGATGGCGGCGCCAGTCCAAAGAAGAAGACTCGCAAGTCTCCCGCGAAGAAAGGGGGCAAAAAGGCTGGTACCGCAGTCGAAGACGCCGATGACGATGTGAAGGTTGAAGCGGCCGAGGAGGATGACGACTGAGTCTGCAGTCTCACTTGCATCTTCGCTTTGCGTCTCAGGGGATTGGCATTGCATCGCGACTATGAGTGCGCACTTTCTACGCTTCGATGAATGCGAAGCCTCATTCCACGATGGAGGAACTGTGAGATGTGTGTCTGATACGCGTCTTACGCTTCGACGCACTACGAGAGCCTTCTAGGTAGACATCCAGTGAATCAATGAGAGGCTTGAAAACCATTTGCACACTTTCATTTCTCATGTCCAGTTCTAGAGTCATCATTACATTATCGCATTACTCATCCATCCGTTCTCAACTCCCATCTACACCACAGCACCGCCCCTTCCCAAATGCCCATCCCCACGATCCCTCGTTCCATTTAGCTGTCTTCATCATCACTCAGCACAACTCAATCGCAGGAAAGAAACGGCCTCCACCCCAACCATAGAAGATCGCACTCTGCACATCCACATTCCCCGCATTCGCCCACAGCTTCAGCAAGACGAATCGCCCGGAAATCGGCGGGTCGAATTGGAGGCCGACTCTGGACTGGCCCCTTTGGATATGAAAGCGGGCGAAGGTGACGTTGGGATCTTCGAGCGCGCTTTCTTCTGCGCTCGCGGTGGTGGGATGGTAGGGTCGGATGGTGGTGGAGCTGCCCGGGGTAGTGGATCGGGAATGTGGGAGGGCTGCAGGTGGGGAAGGTGGGCCTTGAAGTCTGGCTCCCGGGCGCCGGTAGACGGGTAAGGGACCGCGGTGGGTCTGATCACGGTGGCGATTCTGCACGCCGAGGGCAGCGGCGTGAAGGGGCATCTCGGCGCGACGGCGGGCGAGGTGAAGACGTTGGAGGCGGTAGTCGAGCACTTCTTGTGGGGATGTGTCTTCCGGGCCGGGCCCGTCCTCACTGATCAGAATGGATGGGCGGAGATGGTTGGTGGTGTCTCCGAGATCAGACAGAGGATGCGGGGGCGTGATGGTGCCCGGGGATGGGATGTCGCAATATACGTCGAGCTGGTGGTCCCATAAGTCATACTCATTGAGATCAGGACGCGAGCTCCGCAGACGCTCTCTCCTCTCTTGGAGCATGGCGTGCATTTCTGGGTCGCGCAGGGCTTCAGTGAAGGAGAGCTCTTCGGGCGAAGAGGGTGCGCTGTCGCTTTCGCCCTCCGAGTGCAAAGGGTTATGTGCCGAACGGCGAGCGTGGGGCGGTGGGTCGATGTATTTCTCGACGTCTCTCATCGTCATGCCGATGTATACCTGACCGTCGCGGACACTACAATTGTCAGCTACGGCCGTGTCTGCAGACGGGAGAGAAGGCATACGGGGCGGTGAAGCCGTCGGTCGGGCCCAAGATATAAAGCATGTCCAAAGCAAAGGGAGTGTCGTCTGCATGGCGCAGGACGACGTTGATTGCCGAATTCTCGGAGCAGTACACACTCTTGTCGTGAAGGAGCAAGTTTCTGGGGCCCAGGTAGGTGTTGGGATGCCGGGGGTCTTGATGCTCACCGCCATCACAGCTCACGAGCTCCATCTCCAACCTTCCACTCTCCACTTGGCCAAAATGGCCATATTTGATGGGCTTTCGAGGCTGTGCAGGTGGGGAGGACTCGGTGCGTTGTCGCTTGAATCGGTGGAGGCGATTGGTACTCCTCGCATCTTCTTCCTCATTGGGGCTATTCGACCTGCGCCGACGTCCAGTGGAGGGGGCGAGCAAACTGCGGCGATCATCCGTGTCGGGCATGGAGTTGGGCACACGAGGAACCATGGCTTCACGAGGCCGACTAGGCCTCTCTCTTCTGGACTCTACAGAGCGTCGAAGGCGATTGCGGAGAGTGGTGGACGACGGGGAACGCGAGGCAGGCGGAGAGTCATACGAAGCGGAAGCGGCGGACTGAGGGGCATTGGCAGGGGAGTTAGCGGACAGCGGCATGCATTGGTGGTGTGTAACATGACGAACCCGCACGGAGGAGAGAGGACGTGGATCAGGCATCTTTCAGCCGTGCGACCCGCGGGGGGCCTTGCAAGCGGAGATCCTCGGGGATGATGTCGTCGACCTGGGGAATATGAGGAGGGTAGAGTGGCCGAGGATGTTGCAGAGTTGCTGGGAGAGATGGGGTGTTGGCTGCTTGCTTGCCTCCCCGCCGTGATGTCGAGGGAATGTGACGGCGGAACTGGCGGGGGAGGGCAAGCGCCGCGCTAGCAACGCCACACCCGTGTCTGCCCCACCTGTGCATGATCGCCAGGGACGCAAAGCCGTTTCTCTCATGGATGTCTTCACATCTTGACATCCTGAATTCATCACCTCACTCGACATTCATTGACCTCCGCATCGCTCATCTCATTTAAGGAGAGGTGTTGTCGGCAGCGAAGAGGGCTGCGCTCTGGTCTTGGCAGTCTACGCGGCTCAGCGACTGATTCATTCACGCATCAGACAATCAACATCACAGCTTGCATCTCTCACTGCTTCTAACCAAATCACCTCCTCGTACTGTTGCGCATCTCGAGAACAAAGTCTCGCATCGCCTCGTCTTCCTATACACCGCCAGCATGGCCGGAGACATACCCGCGCCTCACACAAACGGCGTCGATGGCTTTTCCAATGGAACTTCTGCCATGGACGCCACTTCAAACACCGCCGATTCCACTACCGCCGGCCTGAGTGCCGACGAGATTGCCCTCTACGATCGGCAAATCCGCCTCTGGGGTGCGCAGGCGCAGGAGCGCATCCGCTCCGCCAACATCCTCCTCATCTCGCTCCGTGCGCTCGGCACCGAGATCGCCAAGAACCTGACGCTTGCGGGCATCAACTCGCTCACGATTGTCGATGACAGTCCCATCACTGAAGAAGATCTGGGCGCCCAGTACTTTTTGCGAAACGAGGACATCGGCAAGCCTGTTCGTCCCCTCCCTCCTTTACCCCTCACATGCCAATGCTGACTTTGTCTCGCAGCGCGCCGACGCAGCCATCCCACGAATTCAAGAGCTCAACCCACGCGTAACTGTCAAATCTGGCGGCAGCCTGCAAAACCTGCTCCTCCAGAATCAAAACTATTACACGCCCTTTGACATCGTGATCGCCTGTGACCTCGATTTCAACACAACCTGCAACATCAATGATGCCTGTCACCTCGCTGGCCGGCCCTTCTACGCCGCAGGGATTCATGGCTTCTACGGCTACGTTTTCGTCGATCTCAAAGCCCACGAGTTTGTAGTCGAGAGAGAAAAGTCCAACAAGCCCACTCAACTTGGCCCGGAATCCGAAACGCGATCCATCCTGGCCGTCACCGATAAGCCCGACGTCCCCTCCAACGGCAAGAAAATGGAAATGGTCAAGAAACAAGAACGATACTGCCCCTTACGGCTCGCCAACACCTCGCCCCTACCCGCGGACACACTCGCCAATCGCCGCAAACTCAAATCCGTGCCGCCCCTACTGCCCTGCCTGCGTGCTCTCTTCGATTTTCAATCCGCCTACAGCCGCCTGCCCACCCACACCACCCAAGACCTCGGCGTCTTCGCTACGCTCGTCAATCTCAAATCACAAGAGCTCACGGTTCCCCCGCTCAGCGCTGACTCTCTCCGCTCCTTCCTTCACAACCTCGGCGCGGAAATCGTGCCCACCGCGGCATTCGTGGGAGGCAGACTGAGCGAGGACGTCATCAACGTGCTGGGCAAGCGTGAGCAGCCCATTCAGAACTTCGCGCTGTTTGATGGCGATGCGATGGATGGTAGGATCTACTGCTTGTATACCAAGCCGCCGGAGCTGCTGGTGGGACCTGAGTTGATGGCAATGGGAATGGGAGGCATGCCGATGCAAGTGGATCTGGGAGGAGCGAATGTTGGGAATGGAGTTGGTATGACGATGGGTGGCACGGGAGTCAATGGAGATGCAGGGTATGCTGTGCCGATGGAGGTGGTGGGTGGTGCTCCTGCGGGTGCGGAGAATGCGTCGGTGGGCAATGGGGTCGATGGAGAGGTGGCTGGAAGTGGTGCAGATGCTGCGGCTGCGCCTTCGATTGCAGCGACGATAAGCGCTCCAACAAGCGCGCCTGCGAACGAGACGGGTGTGACGAACGACGCATGACGCAAAGCAAAGACACGCTTTGGATGAGATCTCAGATGCGGACGACTAAGGGTACATGCAGGTAGCATAGCGGTACAAACAGTATACCCCCGAGCATCCCGTGTTCACTTATTCCGTCTGTCTCTTTTGTCGGAAGACAAGCCGGCAATCTCCTCAATATACCCAGCCACTTTCCTCGCCACAGCCTCGTTATGCCCTGCTCATATCGCAACGGTCAGTACAGGAGCCGCTAGACGCAAAACTGATTCATCATATAAGAGAGACTCACTCAAGCAAAACCCATGCGGCAACCCCGTCACGTCAACCTCCATCCAAGGCCGCCCGCCCTCCTCCTTCCCAGCATCCGCCTGCCGGGCTCGAGCAGCAATCACAGCATCGCGAGTGCTATTATCCACCCAGTGGTCGTTGTCGCCCCAGAAGAAATACAATTTTGGCGGGCGACACTGGCTACTTTGTGAGCTGATCGGTGAGGAGGAGGGAGAGATGTTCCACAAATGCTCTTCGACCCATTTATCCTGCGTGACTTCGTTGAGTTCGTGTTTACCTAGGTAACTATACTCGATCAGCTTTTGAGGAGCAATCCAGAAGAAGCTGGGACTTACAGAGCTTGTCGGACGCCATTCCGACTTTGCAGAAAGGCGGTGGTAACGCTTGCACCGTGAGATGGCATACCGGTCACACTTTGGACGAACGACTGGAGAGTGCTGCTGGGCAGCAGGAAGCAGAGCATTTTGGCGATTGTGTGGACTACGCTTGGAACACCAGGAAGATTCGCAAGCAGCTTCGATTGTCAGTCATCGTAATCATGCCAGTCTACTGAGTGGACGGGCAGGTAGACTTACCGAGACTTTCCTCCCGCTTGGGCTTTTGGCAATATCTACGATCGTCGGGAAGAGACAGATGCCACCTGCAATGTCAAAGGTTGCGTCGGTTGGGTTGCCGCCGTGGTCGAGATTTGGCTGAGCTTGCCTTCGAGCAATGATCTCGAGAAGGATGTATGCGCCGATGGAATGGCCAATGAGGATGATACGAAGCGGATTGGTCGATGCGCAGGGATGGCCGTGTTCATCTCGAAGTCGCTTCGCCTCAGCTTTGATCTGGGTTTCCACGAAGGACACTTGCTCTTGCAAGTTGAATGGAGAAGTGCTGGACGTGGCATCGTTGGGCCGAGAAGTGGGCGCGCTTAATTCGAAACCCCCGAGACTGCGACCGCCGAGGACATATTGGACTTTGTTGGAATCTGTGGCAAGGTTCGTTGCTAGATAATCGCGGAACTCCCGATAATATTCGATCAAGCCTGGATTGCCAGGTATCATGTACACGAGGAACGTCACGGGAGATCCGGAGGCATCGTTGGATGGGGAAACGATACGGTGTAGAGAGTCAGATAGCATGCTCTCATGATGAATCGCTAGGCAGATTAATGATCCAGATGTGACGATTGCAATAATTGCATCATGCGAAGTGAAGTTGTATGTGATTATTTAAGCCTCAGGCACAAGTTCACGGGATTCTCGACTCCACGCGGATTGGATCCGCGCTAAGCCACAAACAAGCGAGGCCGAGGGGGTTGCGGAAGGGGCGAAGGGGCTTGTGGGGGGGGAAGAATCTGTCACGCTCCCACTTGCTCTCGCCCTCGCTGACACTCACATCCACGCCGACCACAACCCAGTTTGCCTCCAAAACACCCCTCAACATCCCCAATCCATCAATTTCCATCAAGACTACGAATCTCACGGGGCTTGCTCATCTACTTCCGTCCTTTTCTGCCGTTTTGGAGCGCGACACGCGTGAGAAACTTCGCATGGTTGCTCACGACCTACATTGCGACGAGGCCCGCGTGCAGGCCTTTTCGCGCTTAGTCATCGCTGCCCGACCGCACGTCCCTCCATGTCGCATACCCGTGCGCAGGCGAGCAGACATGTGCGACAGAGAAAGTTGAACACCAAGCAGCCGCTGCGCATCTTTCGCGAGCGGGAGATTGATGAGACGCCCGACGATGAGTCGCGCGGGAATATCCCTCATGTCGAGACCGGAGTGGAGAAGGGGGAGGAGATAGTGAGTGGCTTCATCACTTACCCTTGTAGGTTGTTGCGCCGCAGCAGCATCGCTAATATCGCTCGTGTCAGGAATACCATCTCCAAGCTGTCATCAATGCCGCCAACGCGGCTGCGTTGGGAGCGGCGGCCGCTGGCAAGCAGAGCTACATTCCCACTCCGGAGACTGTCAAGGCAAAAGGCGTCGTATACGACGATCTTTACCCCAAAGCCTTCGCGACTCCAGCCACCTACATCCGCTTCAGCTCGACAGTCGAGGATTGCATCGGCGTGTCGTATTGCATGAATGACGAGGATGCCGAATTTCTGAGTAAGCTCAACGATGGCAAAGATGTCAACGATGAGCCGCGCAAGGACAAGCTCGGACAGTGTAGCGAGGATGTCTTCGAGGAGGCCATGAACTACTTGGAGGAGACCACGGCCCGTCTGCAACCTTTCGCCGCCGTTGAGAGTGTCTCACTTCCGGGTTTGGAGGAAATGGAGAGGGCCATCGACGACAACCTTTCCGCCGATGCACAGACATGGCTCAAGCCCGTCTACCAGTATTGGTGGTCGAAGAAGGGTAGTCGGTCGTTGATGCCATCCATCAAGGTCCGGGTTCTCGACACATCCAACGACGCCGATGACGCCGATCCATATGTGTGCTTCAGACGCAGAGAAGTTCGCCAGACTCGCAAGACGCGCGGCCGAGATGCGCAGGTGGTCGAGAAGCTGAAGAAGCTTCGCCTCGAGCTCGAGCAGGCCCGACAGCTGGTCCAACTCGTCGTCCAGCGTGAGCAACTCAACAAGGAGGATCTCGAGATCTCTCGCCGGGTGTTTGAAGAGCGGAAGAAGCTCAAGGATGTCAAGATTGACAAGAACATCATCGGGGAGAAGGGCGAGGACGAGGAACTGCTGGTCAATCAGAAGGTATGCTTACCCGAGGTTCTTTCCCATCGGCGCTTCTCTAATTGTTCTCGCAGCCAGCTCCAAAAGCCAAGAGGCCCCAGGAGGCCGGACGTCCTGCGACGATCCGCCTTCGTTCGGCCGGCGATCGCTCTGCGCCGGAGGACGAGCTTACGCAGCTCGCCGATATCCAGGCGCAGGCGGATGCAGAGGTCCAGCGAACCATCGCTGCCCGCAAGGAACAGCACAGGCGATGGAATGCGCAGTGGGAGGATGAGACCTGGCGGCCACTCACTCCACCCCTTGACGACAATGACGACAAGCCCAGATGGGCGCCCCTTGCGCTGCCAGACGCATCATATCCCACGCCACCTCCGACTCTGCCATCGAAGAATTCGCCAGATCGAGACGATGTAGAGATGCAAGACGCGGCTCCAATACGAGAAGAGGACGCTTCGGCTGGCGCCCCTCAGGAGCCGGAGATCGTCTTCCATATTCCCGGAGCATACCCGCAAGACGAAGAAATGTACGTCGAACCAAAGCGAGATCCCACGCCGCTTTGTCGACTTCGGTATGGCCGAGGCGGTAGATGCTGGCTCGAGGCCCGGCGCAAGCGGCCATACGCCCTGATTAGCAGGGGAGTGGTGTCGGATTCCGAAAGCGATGATGAAGAGCCGCCCGAGTTCTTCCCGATTGACCGGCAGAAGGTTTTCGACCTGCGCGTCGGCTTCATGACCGGCCGTGTCGCGCGCCCGGAAAGCATGGGCGGGGAGCGGCGGGGTTGGTCGAGCGGCGATCAGGCGGCCGTGGCTGGTGCTTCTGGACAGCAGCAGCAGGCGCAACAGCAACAAACGCCTGCGGGAAGCGCTGGATGATTGGTCTTTCTGTGCCGCCGAGTGCGAGCACTGTGTTCGTAGGACAAAGTTCCCCTCTGTAAGATAGCATGGAAACGATACCCAGGTTTCGCACTCCAGTCGTTCATCCCTGGCTCTTCTTTGCTGCTGCATTCGCTGTCAGTGATTCATCGGCCTTACGCTTCCTGTCGCCCTCGGCCAGGTGCGATGTCTGCGATAATGCCTCGACAATGATGGACTTCTCTCCTGCAATGATATGTTCCGCCATTTGCCTCCGTAGCTGGCTGATCGGAGACTCATCGGTAGTCATATTGCTGCTATCGGGGTACCTTGCTTGTCGTTGAAGTAGCACGCTGTGGAGTAGCTTCGATGCCCCAGGTGATAAGTCGGGTCTGGGCAGCTTGTCTTTCTTTTTGAGAATCTCAAAGTCGGCTTGAGGTAAGGCCAGGGTGTTGAGAAGCACTGTGAGTTCGGGCGGGAAGTGCTCATCTTCTGAAGCTGCGCCAGCAATGTCGAAGCCGTCTTCCACGACGTCATGTTCGGCCAGGTAATCGACTCGAGTGTTGACCTTTTCCGGGGAAATGTTCAATTCTTTTGACGCAATCGACTTGACCAGCTCCAGCGAAATCTCGACCACGTCGTATTTCGCGTAGTTGTCCGTGATATACCCATATCTCCGCAGCACATCAGCTCGTGGCAGTGGCCCGTAATCATTGAAGAGCTCTTCCCCCTTGCGAACAGGTTTGATGGTTTTCATGACCACGTTATCATCTTCGTAGAACAGTTTGGCATTGTTTCGATCGGCGTCTGCGTTCAGCATGTCCGCCAGCGGTACCATGCCTTTGGGCAGCAGTGTGTCTTCTGTATCGGAGTCTTCTTCCCATCCATCTTCTTCGTTGCGTGTGGAGGTGGTGTTGGTTGAGGACTCGAGATCGAAGGCGTAGGCCATGATGGAGCTTCCCATGCGATGGCAAAGATCGAGGAGGTGACCGTCGCTGAGATGGGTGCATGCAAAGTTGGCTTCGTATTGTCTGATGATGGGGAGGATGGTAGTGCGAAATGTCTCAGTTGCCTTGTCTTTGCCGATTTTGGAGACGACAGCAGAGCCTTGCAAGAGCTCGAGCTCATCGTCTGTCCAGTACATCAGAGTGTTGAATTGGGTTGGGAGGACGTCAAAGTACGGCTTCCATCGTGATTCGGCCCCATGTTGATATTCGTAGATCATGGCCAGTATGAGGGACAGCCATGGATCATCCGGTGACGCTGCCCGGATGTCGGACGGAAGATCTGATGTTCCAGACGTCAAAATCGTTGATCTTGGAACGCTGAAGAGCTCCTCGTCTTCTTCGATGTCGTCCTTAGCAATCACACCTCGTCCAGCATTGCGGTGTCGAAGGTCTGCGAGCTCGATCTTGGGGGAGACGGAGGTGCCGTTTTCTGTTAGCCAAGAGAGAAAGCGAAGGGAAAGTTGGGCGAAGACATCTTCGTCGAGTTCACTCGACATTGTGCTTTTCAGAAAGGTAGTAGGGTAATGAGTGACACAGTAAAGTGATTGAGAAAATAGTCGAGTCCAGCACTGGAATATTTCTGGCAGGCCCCGCAAGGCTTGGCAGGGCTCGGTCTCACCTTTCGCCGACCTCCGGCCAATATGAAGCAAACCTCCCTGCCTTCCTTTGATATCTATCTCATCATCAATCTTTCGTGAACGACCAGCGTGCCTTGATGCAGTCGCGCTCTCCCATCTGGAGAAGCGCGAGCAATGCATTCCGCTCTGTCACGCAGCCGAGACCGAGATCTGGAATCCAGGATGCGACAGCTCCTTTTCGACGACGGCTAAGCAGTCACGCGAAGCCACGACCTCAGGTTATCTTTTCTGGCATCCAACCGACTGGGATTCCGCATTTGGGCAATTACCTTGGTGCCTTACAGCGATGGGTGCAATTGCAAAACGACGCGAGCCCTGAAACTACCTTGATCTACAGCCTGGTCGACTTGCACGCCATCACTGTGCGCCAGGATCCGCGCCAGCTTCGACAATGGAAGAAGGAGAGCCTCGCCATGCTATTAGCCATAGGCCTCGATCCGAACAGAAGCATCATCTTCCATCAGAGTGATGTTCCCGCCCACGCAGAACTCATGTGGATTCTGTCCTGCCAAGCGAGCACGGGATATTTGGGCCGAATGACGCAGTGGAAGGATAAGACTGCCAATGAGCGGGAGAATAGCGAGAAGTTGAAGCTAGGTCTCTTCTCCTATCCTGTGTTGCAGGCTGCCGATGTCCTTCTCCACCAGACAACGCATGTGCCCGTCGGCCACGATCAGGCTCAGCATCTCGAATTCGCACGCGAATTGGCGAGTGGCTTCAACCATGTTTACCGTGAAGACATCTTCACGTATCCAGAGACCATGATCAGTCCGGCGAAACGGGTCATGTCTCTTACAGACCCGAGTGTGAAGATGTCGAAAAGCCATTCGAATCCCAAGTCGAGGATCCTCCTAACGGACGACAAGCAGACGATTGAGCAGAAGATCAAGCAAGCCATGACAGACTCGCTCGGCCCGGTAACTTACGACCCGCAATCACGAGCGGGTGTGAGCAATCTGCTGGACATTGTGCTGCATTGTGATGCGGGCCAAACGTATCAGACCGTGGACGACATTGTCAGTATCGGGAACAGACTGAGTCTGAAAGCGTTCAAGGAGTGGGTTGCGGAACGGATCGAGCAGACCGTCCGGCCGATCTGCGAGAGATACGCAGACATCGTTGGAGAGCAGAAGCAGCTAGATCGCATAGCTGAGGAAGGAGCTGAGCGGGCGAGAGCAAGTGCTCGCCCCACACTTCATCGCGTAAAGGAGACAGTTGGTCTGCTTTGATCGATTCGATGTTGCTGCTGTTCCAGCAGGATGTTGTGGTATGCACGACTACGTTGCGAATGATGGAATTTACTCCACCATCCTGAACACATCCTCTTGTTTCTCCCGGGCTGTTTCACGTCGTCGAGATGGGTCTTTGGCATTGTACAACATTTGCACTTAGTACTCAACGAACAGCTTCCATCGATCGAACATCGAGCTTTTGCGGGTGCATGCTTGGCCTTCCATTACAATCAACCAGGACCGGACAATCCAATTACTGAACTTGCCACCGCCCACTTGGTTCAATGAGGAAAGATATGGTCTCGTAATGGCAAATTGCAAGAAAGGATCAAGGAGCAGTGCCGTTGGCTCGCAGACCCCGGCCTTTCGCTAATTCGACATCGTATGCCCCGAGCGCGCTCCCTCCAGTCTCCGTGCTCTAGCCTTTGTCTTGGTTCCAGCTCTTCTTTGCTAGAGCGGGAGCGGGCCACGCCAAGCATTCGATGGCTGCGCAAAGGCGTCTCGGTGCTTTTGTTTGGCTATGGGCTGCCACTCGTGTTGAGTAGCGTCTTCGTCGGCCGTAGAGGCTGCTACGAGCTGCCACGAGTATGTAAGGTAGCGGACTTGGACTGCACGGGAGGCTGGTATTGCGCCGAGGCTTAGCAATCAGGCTGGCTTCAAAGGGAACTGAGACGCTTCCAGAAGTAGCCCAAGCGCAGCTGACTGGGCCTCTCGGCTTGATTCAATCAAAAGTGACATGGAAGTAAGACCCTTCCAGGAGTGGCAAAATAGAAGCGATGACGAGTACAGAAGTGTCTCGCTTCGTTCTTGAACGGGCCCTGCGTAGCTGGGACTGGTGCTGAGCTGCTATCAATGGCGCACATATCCCGAGAGCTTGTTATCAGACTCCGGCGCGGCAGCCTGGGCGACACCAGGGTCGAGGGTGGGGCAAAGATAACGACATCAAAAATTTTCAACCTCACCTCAGAGACGGCATTGGACAGATGGAGTAGTGATAGCGATGACATCTTCTCGACCGCGACCGCGCCAAAAAAGGAGTGTGCAGATAGCAGATTGAGGGTTGTGGAATCCAGCACGTGAGCAAGTCTGGGCTTGATTACGGTTCCGAATGCGAGGATCGTGGTGGTTGTCTCGCGCGATTTGTGACTGGATGGCCGGCACGCCCGAGATCAACGCCCCTGCAGCTCTCCGGATTCCAGAATCACGACTTCTGGTCGATCATCGGCTTAATGCATGACGATACAGTACTGTATGCAGTCAGCATGCACGGCATGGGGAAAGAAGTCAATTGAGCCGAGTAACAGTGCAATGCCATCAAGCCGATGATGATGAGGCGGTTCAGGGTACAGTATCCCTGTACAGTACAGTACACCCATGATTGAACGATGAACTACGGCGCGTTTCAATTCCGCGCACGCGTGGGGTGGTGTACGCTATTCTTATTATGACACAACCCCGCTCACCCACGAGCTACAGTCGCCACATCCCCGTGGGAGAGGGGAAGGGCGGATTGTGTGGTGTACGGTGAGGGATCTGCGATTCGCTGGTTGTCGGCAGCCAAAGGGTTGCAGGAATTCGATCGCGAGAGGGCGAGTGGGGTCCTCCCACGAACCTCGTCCTCGCGTGGCCAAACATGGTTATTGTGGAGCGGCGGGCAAAGTCACGATGTCTCTCATGCCGCCGTAACCGTGCGAGCGCGCCTTACCCCACTGGATGTTTCCCGCAACCACCAGACCTCAAGCGAGGCTGCCCGACGGTGATTGGTGCCTGGAAAAGCCTTAGCAAAGTACCTCGCGTTCTGTACTTGTTGTGTGGATTGAGCAGCTGCTCCTTGTGCGAAACATGCGCCAGCTATGCAGAAGGAGGCGACGGCAGCGCCGACGAGGACAGAGAGAGAGAAAATTCGCCTTGTCACAGGGTTGGTTGGGGTACGTGACACCGCGGCCAAGACTGGACCGTCTGATCCGTCCGACACCTCGCAACCCGACGCCTGAGTAGGGTGGCAAGAGGGTCTGAGTCGTGTGCTTTCGCGCGAACGTGGGGGTTTGATCTTGATGTCCCTTCCTCGAAACATCCGTTTCCGTTGTCTCCGAGAGAAATTGCGCGCACTCCACCATCACGCCAACGGGGGTGGGATGCTGGGCCGGGGGGGAAGAGCGGGGCGCGCGCAATCTGGAAAGCCAAGTCGGGGCGCCGATTGGCAAAAGCTTTTTCGGCCGCCACTCGGATGCGGCCTAGAATCGGCTAGCGGTTGTAACGCGAATCCTACTGCAACCCTTCCGCTATCAGCGCTGCAATCCAAATCTTTCTAGAAGGCCTTGCCATTGGTCTCCGCGGGAATTAACCTTTGCCTTCGCCCTGATTGGGCCTCGCGCGCGACTGGACCGTCGCTGGCCGTGTGCCGGGTGGGGTAATCTCATTCGGCGCGCGCCCATTCTCCCGCGCGCCAGCCAGACATTCCAGCGTTCGTGTACGCCGGGCTGTCTGGTCTCGCTGCCAGTGCGCCACTGCGTGAGATAATAAAAGGGCCAGCACGCCTCCCCCCACCCCTACCGTCTGCTCTCATCCTTCTTCTCCTTTTCCCTCCCCTTCGCCCAACCCCCCCTTCGCTGCTGCAGCCTCTGCCCAGCATGTCTATCATTGCGAAGCCCGCGGCCATCTCGGCCCCCACGGAGCAGCAACGCGAGTTCCACGCCGACAAATCGGAGCTTCGCAGGATGTCGGCCGACGCAACTGCCCACCCTGGCCTGCCCGAACGCCAATGGGGCTTCGCTGCTCGCCTCGACCCAAGCGTGACCTTCGAGGAGTTCACCTACTGGGCCAAGGTCGAGCGCGAACTCGAGGACATCGAATACAAGCAGTACCGTGCGACCACGACGCATCGAGGCTTCATGGGCACCTTCAAGGGCTACTTCACCAGCAATGCCTACGAGGATACCAAGGCTCACGCCGACCCCTCTGCGCTTGCGAGCCACGACAAGGTCCTCGAGCACACCGACATCACCGAGAAGGCGGGCACGGGCAGTGATAGCGACGACGCTTTCGTTGCACCCATCGGACCCCAGAGCGCAAACAGCGACCTGAACGCGGACTGGCGCAAGGCCTCTCGAGCTCTGCGAACGGCTGGCTGGGGTACTGTCTTCTACCTCATCACCACCGACATCCTCGGCTGGGGCCAGTGTGCCTATGTCTTTGCCAACACTGGTTACGGCTACGGCTTCGGCATCTTCGTTCTCATGGGAATCGCCGCCTTCCTCTCGGGTATCTACATCTGGCAAACCTTCCTGAAACTCGACTCGTCCCGCTACCCCATGGTCACTTTCGGTGACGCCTTCTTCCGCCTCTTTGGCAAGCAGACGCGCAATTTCATCAACGTCCTGCAGTCGCTGCAAATGTTTCTGAGCGTCGCCATCGTTCTCATCGGCCAGACGTTGATCATCGCCCAGCTAGGCGTGTCGTCAAACCTCTGCTATGTCGTCGCGACGGTCATTGCACTCGTCGTCTCCATGGCCAGCGGATACATGCGCTCGCTGAAGCATCTCGGCTGGTTCTGCAATGCTGCTGTCTGGTTCAACGTGGTGTCGTTCATTCTCTGGTGAGTCAGCACTTGCTGCGCTGAAGTCACATGAATACTGACCTGCTCGCTATAGCTGCATCTCCGCTGGACTGTACTTCCCCAACGCCGTGGCCCAGGTCTACAACAGCATTTTGCCCAAGGAATGGGCCGTTCACCCAGTACCGGTCGCAACTTTCGTTGGCACGCCGCCCGCTCTTTACCAGCCCACGAGCACGAATCTCTTCGCCGCCAAGTTCAACGGCATCAACAGCATGGTCTACGCCTACTCCGGCGCCATCTTGTTCGTCGCCTTTTTGTCCGAGATGCGACACCCTTGGGATTTCTGGAAGGGCATGCTGTGTGCACAATTGTTCATCAGCGTTTCCTACATCTTCTTCGGCGGATTCGTCTACTCCCAATGGGGACAATACGCCTTCAGCAACATCAACCAATCCGTCGCACCTCTCGGCCTCCAGATTGTTGTCAATGTGCTCAGTCTCCTCACCGGCTGGCTCGCTATTTGTAAGTGTCCTGACACCTCTTCGACTCCCCACACTCCGCTGACATTCCTGACAGTCTTGTATTTCAACGTCGGCATGAAGACCGTCTATATCGAGGTCTTCCAGGAGATCTTCAAACTCCCGGCTATCACCACCCCCAAGGGCAGAAAACTCTGGTGGGGCCTTGGGCCGATCTACTGGATCCTCGCCTTCATTGTTTGTCTGTCCATCCCGGCGTTCAGCGCGTTCGTCAACTTCGTCGGTGGACTGCTCAGCTTGAACTTCACCTACTCCTTCTCCGGCATTATGTACGTTGCGTACTTGACCCAGGATGGGGCTAGGTTGGAAGGCGAAGGGTTCGACCCGATCACTGGTGTCACCACCCGTCACGACGGAGGTATCAAGCGATTGATGCGTGGATACTTCAAGAATGCGAAGCTGACCATCCCGGTTACCATCTACTTCCTGGCTGGTCTCGCTGCCTCGGGCATGGGCACTTGGGCTGCAACGCTGGGCTTGATCGCAGCCCTTGGTCCCGGCGGCATTGTCGCCACCTCGTGGAATTGCACCAACCCCTTCTACGTGACCGCACAGGCCGTTGCGGCCGCTGGCGGTCACGGCAGCTGATCGACGTCCCGTCTTCACCTGGCTGATCCCCGCTGGTCTATAGTATGTAGCTTTTTTCCCTGCTTAGCTACATGGGCAAGAACTCGTCCAGCATTACCACTCACTTATCGTAATACTGTACCAATCAATCAACCTACCTGTTGGTTCATCACCATATATCCCTGTTCAAACGCGGTATTGTAATTTCGTGTAAATCGTCGTTGGAGACAGCATGTAAGTCTATCGCCGATGCTAATAAAGTGTCAGTTTGGACCACGGCATCAAGATGACATATTGCGTTGTTGGTATGCCCACTCGATGACGCCGCTCGCCGTTGGCGCTCTACGCATTGCGGTACACCCTGGTCAAGGAGGTCGCATGAAGCCGCGATGCATACGAGGATACCTATCCGGCAAACTCCACAAACTTTTAGTTGCGACCTTGTTACTCAGCGGCATTCACGATCGCGAGGCTAAGGCATCTTGCTTACAGTATCAATCAACGCTACAGAAGTGAAAGACATGGGCGCGGAGCACGGGTGATGCCATCGCATCCGAGCCCGTGTTCAGTCGACTCTATATCAGCGCGGCGCGAGGAGATGGAGCAAGCGAGCCGAGCGGCGGACGAGGAGCGAGACGCGCCCAAGCGTCGTCGAACGGTGCTGTGGAAGCCGGGTACGGGGTACTGTCGGACGTGTCGGTGCGTGGATCGATTCGCAGTTGCTTTGAGCGAACGGTATCGCCTGCTAACGTGTTGTTCGCAGCCGGCGAAAGGTCAAGTGCGACGAACAGAAGCCCAGTTGCCAACGGTGTGCCAGGACCGGTCGCGAATGTGAGGGCTACGCCACTTGGGAGACCTGGCCGATGGCCGTTGGCATGCATGCTGACGACGACCCCGCGGCTTCCAGCGGATCCACGGCCGGCAACGACCTGATGCGTAACGACGACTCGACCCGTTCGATCATTGCAACATCGCCGAGCGAATACCCCGTCAATCACATCCAGCTCTTCGCCGGCTTGATCGAGGGCCAGTATCGCAAGGGCGCCTACGCTGCTCCCGGCCCCGCCCATACCATATCATTTCTCCATTACGTAGCCGCGCAGGATGTTGCGCTTCCGTTGCTGCGCAATGCCACCGACACCCTGTGTCTGGCGCATCTGTCGAACCGCTCGGGTGATGTGCGTGTGGCTCGCGCTTCCCAGGACTCGCAAAGACGGTTACTCTCGCTGCTTCATCGGGCGGTGGCCAACTCCACCTCGCCCAAGCCCTTCTGCACTCACCGTGACGTAATTGCGAGCATTTTGATGCTCAGTCTTGCCCCTTTGACGACGGTGCCCGACGAGCAGCAAGAAGATAGTCTGTCGCCTGCGTTGATCCACCTCAACGGGGTCATGAAGTACCTTGAAGCCCACGGTCCCATGGCGTTGGACGAAAATGAGCCTCTAGACTACAGATTACTGTGCCACGTGCGGTTACTAGGCGTGTTTCAGCATCTGAGGTGGCGGAAGAGAGCCTTTTGGGATCGGGCAGAGTGGAGAGAGGTGGGCAGCATCCCACTCTCCTACGCTCCACGAACGGTGATGGCCGACTTCGTCACACGCCTTCCGGGGGTCTTGGAGCAGACGGATGCTTTCATGGCCGCTGAGATCGGTCCGTCAGTACAGACGCAAGCCAAAGGGGCACCACTCATTCGCACACTCGACGAGCTACAAATCAAGCTCGTCGGCCCTTGGCTGGCTGGACCAACCATCACCAAGCGCAGTGTCCTCTTCGCCTCCGATCTGGGGGTTGGCGTTGGTGCCACGGAGCAGCCCTTTGGCGCTTGCGATGGATATTGTTTCGGTGCGATCTACGACTTCACCAACCCCTCGCATGGCTTCGTGAACGCCTTTGTTCGCTTCATGTGCCTCATAGCCGACTGCACGCTGCTACAAGTGCTGCATCATATCGATGCGCAGAGAGGATCGTCTGGCGGAGCGTTCACCGTGCGCGCAGAAGCTGTTGAGGAGCGTGCGTACTTCCCGGCTACCGAGCTATGTCGATACGCCCACTTCTTCAGTAGACGGCGTTCCCTGCCCGCCGCCAGCTTCCTCGACAGCATGATAGAGGGGGCGCGGAACTTCTTCGAGTGTTTTGGGGCGCAGGAGGAGGCGGAGTGGTGCAAAGCATGTCTTGCGTCGAACCAGACTCGCCTGCAGAGCTTGCGCCGTGATCTTCCACCTCTCATCTGTCCTGTGGGCAAGCTTATGGCTGGAGTGGCGGACTCCTGTCGGTATGGCAGGCCGATCGCGTGCACGAAGGGGACTGAGGAAGAAACGAGTGTACGATGTGCCTTACCTCAGCGATGAAGTTCATCTAGAGATGAATTATTCATGATGATTGAGCGAGGCCGTCCGTCAGTGCCAATCGCACGTCATCTCGCATGGATTTTCAGGAACGCGGCGGGTCAAACTTTCCAACCAACCACAGCGCTCCACCCCAGCACAATCGATGACTCGGCATGTGAAAAAGTTGTAGCAACTTCCTTCCTTTCTTGTACATATCCAACTCGCACCTTCCCCCGACTCGTCTCCCCCACCCTCAACACCATTCATCATGCCGACCGGCGCGCGAGACATCCCCCACCACAAACGCAACGGCTCCTCCTCCATCGACGACACCCTCCACCGCACCGTCTCCAACTCCTTCGACCTCGTCACCAACCTCTCGACCAGCCCGACAGCCACCTTCCACGCCTCGCCCCCAGGGGTCTCCGGCCGGCCTAGCGCCTCCGCCAAACAGCTCAAACCCTTCCACACCACCGACGTCAAGGTCTTGCTGCTGGAAAACGTCAACCAGACCGGCCAGGCCATCCTCAAGCAGCAAGGCTACCAGGTCGAGGCGCTGAAGAGCTCGCTGCCCGAAGACCAGCTTATTGCCAAAATCGCCGATGTGCATGTCATTGGCATCCGCTCCAAGACGCACCTCAGCGCCAACGTCCTGAAGCACGCGAAGAATTTGATCGTCATCGGTTGCTTTTGCATCGGCACGAACCAAGTTGATCTGAAGTATGCAGCGCAGAATGGCATCTGTGTGTTCAATTCGCCCTTCAGCAACTCGCGCTCCGTCGCAGAGTTGATGATTGGAGAGATTATCGCGCTGGCAAGGCAGTTCAGCGACAGGAGCTTGGAGTTGCACCGGGGGGTGTGGAACAAAGTGTCGGCGGGCTGCTGGGAAGTGCGAGGCAAGACGTTGGGAATTGTTGGATACGGACATGTTGGCAGCCAGCTGTCAGTTCTTGCTGAATCCATGGGCATGCACGTCATCTACTATGACGTGAACAACCTCATGGGGTTAGGAACGGCCAGACAAGTGCCAACGCTCGACGACCTGCTCAAGGGATCCGACTTTGTTACATTGCACGTTCCCGAACTGCCAGACACACGGAATATGATCTCCACCCCACAATTGGCGACGATGCGGAATGGCGCATACCTTCTCAACGCATCCCGCGGCAGCGTCGTCGACATCCCTGCCCTCATTACTGCGATGAAGAGCGGTAAGATCGCGGGCGCAGCGCTCGACGTCTTCCCCAACGAGCCGGGCAGCAACGGCGATGGCTTCCACAACCAGCTCAACGACTTTACCGAAGAGCTGCGCACTTTGAAGAACATCATCCTGACGCCTCACATCGGCGGCTCGACGGAAGAAGCGCAATCGGCCATTGGCGTGGAGGTCAGCACGGCGCTGGTCAATTACGTCAATTTCGGCAGCACGCTGCAGGCCGTCAACATGCCCGAGGTCAGCCTCCGCTCGCTCACCCTCGACGAGCCCAACCACCTGCGTGTCATTTACATCCACAAGAACGTGCCGGGTGTGCTGCGCAGGGTGAACGACATTCTGTCCGATCACAACGTTGACAAGCAGATGACGGACTCGCGTGGGGACGTGGCGTATCTCATGGCTGATATTTCCGACGTCAATGTGAGCGAGATCAAGTCTTTGTACCAGAGTTTGGAGGATTTGGGCAGCCGGATACGGACGAGGGTGTTGTATTGAATGGGTAAATTGGCGTTGGAATAGAGGCAATGCTACCTTGGAGGAGTAGAGCAATATACCCGCATTCAACACGGAGGTCAATGGCCGGCAGAATCTTTTCGCTTGTTGATTCTACTGGGAGCGGTCGAGTAGAGCGGCTGAAGATGGCAGGCCATGCGGATGAGTTGCCTCGCCCAACTGCCGAGGACTTTGACACAACGACAGCTTAAGACCAACCTCCCCGGCTCCCGGGTTTTCGCAGTAACATAGACTCAGAGCTGCAGTCAAACACTATAAACAAATTCAAAGTTGCTTCAATCTGACCATGACGTCCGAAAGCGAGATCTTCTACGAGCCTGGAAAGACCGATCATGGTTTACCGCGGGATCCCTACAAAGTCGGTAAGATCCATCACCATATCAATACACACACAACTAACTCCACCTCACCAAGTCATGCGTCGTCCCCAGACCAATCGGATGGATCTCGTCCACCTCTCGCGACGGGCGCCACAACCTCGCCCCCTTCTCGCAATTCAACAACCTCACTTTCGACCCGCCATACGTCATGTTCAGCTCCAACCAGGACCTGCACGAGCAGCGCAAGGACACGGTCAACAACATCGAGTCGACGCAGGAGTTCTGCTGGAATGTGGCGACGTGGGAGTTGCGTGAGGCGGTGAATGCCAGCGCGGAATGGCTGGCTCCGGACGTGGATGAGTTCGAGCGAGCGGGGTTGGAGAAGGAGGCAGCGAAACTGGTCAATGTCCCGATGGTCAAGCGCAGCCCCATCAAGTTCGAGTGCAAGTACTACACCACTCTCCGCCTACCGGGCAACGCGCCAATGGGCAGTGTGGACGTGGTGGTCGGGCGGGTGATCGGCATCCACATTGATCCGCGCGTGCTCACGAACGGGATGATCGATCTGGGCAAGGTGCAGCCTATTGCGCGCTGCGGCTACCATGAGTATGCGGTGATTCGCGGCGATGCGATTTTCGAGATGGTCATTCCGGGCGATCCTAAGCAGTTGGTGGGTTTGGAGGGCAACTCGGCTAAGGCTAGGGGGTTGGTGAATGGGGGGAACAAGGCTGCGGCGGAGGAGGGGTTGAAGGCGGGGCATTGATTGCGCGCTTGAGTCAAGGTATGGCTATCTGCGGACTGGGAAGCTCAGAATCGAACTGGACGTGGGTGATAGTGGTGCAGAGAGATGTTGGCTACTGATATGTCTATTGTCCAGGGTTGTCGAGTGCTTAGGGTTAAGGTTGGAGATGCGCGGAGGTTGGAGCAGTTGATCCGTGCAAGCGCCTGCTTAGTCATTCAAATTTTTCCCCGGTGATGTCGCTGGACGAAGCACTTCCACACTCACAACCACCTCTCTTTCCAGTCTGCTTTCAAATCTCTTACTCTGTCATAATGGCGGACGACGAAGAAGGCCCCACTGGACCCCTCCCCTTCGAAGACACCTCCCAGCCCGCCGAAACGGCTCTGGTGCCCGCCGCAGACGGTACTGTTCAGAAGGTGAAAAAGACCAAGATCATCAAGCGCAAGAGAAGACCTGCGCGACCGCAACAAGACCCTTCCACCTTCAAGACCGAACCGCCACCCCAGACGGGTACAATCTTCAACATGTACGTATGCGCGAGCAAAGTGTGAGAGAGTATCCTGCTAACGAGGTCGATGCAGATGGTACAACAAGTGGTCTGGCGGCGACCGCGAAGACGCACTGTCCAGCAAACACCAGGCCAAAGGGCGATGCAACGTCGCTCTCGACAGTGGCTACACCCGCGCCGACCGAGTCGCCGGCTCCTACTTCTGCCTGTTCTTCGCGCGAGGCCTGTGCCCACGCGGCGTCGACTGCGAATACCTCCACCGTCTGCCGAACAGTCGCATAGGAAAAGACGGCGAGGGTGGGCTGGGCGATATCTTTCCCAGCAACGTGGACTGCTTTGGACGTGACAAGTTCAGCGACTACCGAGACGACATGGGCGGTGTTGGGTCTTTCATGCGAGTGAACAGGACGCTCTACATTGGTCGCATACACGTCACGGATGATATCGAGGAAGTGGTGGCGCGACATTTTCAAGAGTGGGGTCAGGTTGAGAGGGTTCGAGTTCTTCCCTCTCGCGGCGTGGCTTTCGTGACCTATACCCATCTTGCGAATTCGGAGTTCGCGAAAGAAGCTATGGCTCACCAGTCGCTGGATCATAACGAGACCCTCAACGTGCGATGGGCCACAGTCGACCCGAATCCTGCCGCGCAGAAGCGAGAGGCGCGAAGAGTGGAGGAGCAGGCGGCCGAAGCGATCAGGAGAGCACTCCCGGCCAGCTACGTGGCTGAACTTGAAGGAAGGAGATATGAAGGCGCTGATCCGGAAGAGGAGAGGAAGAGAAGGAAGATTGAGGGCTCGTTCGGGCTGAGAGGATATGATGCGCCGGATGACGTTTGGTATGCTTCGGAGAAGGCCCGGCTCGAGGGGGCAGAGGAGCGAAAGATGCTGCCACCTGCGACTGGAGAAGATGGCGAGGCTGACGAAGACGACGCACCACTGCGGGTGGATGACTTCAAGCAACCGACCCAGCAAGCGGCAGGAGGCATTTTGGGAGCGTCGACTTTGGCGGCGTTGCAAGGTTTCAAAGCTGGGCCGTCGGGAGTGGGAGAGGCAAAGGCACCTGACAAGCTTGGCGGAGCATTGGTTGGTTATGGAAGCGACAGCGACGATGATTGAGTAGTAGCGTACAGATCGAAGATCAAGATCTCGCCTGGCGATGGCTTCTGTCCACGAGGCGCGGCGCCGCGCTCCGAATTCGCTGCCGGCACTTCATCCATCAACCCCACTTCGTCATCGGCAACCACTTTACATTCCTGAACATCTTCCCAAGCGATCAACTCATTTTCCCTGTATCTTTAAGACATACATCCTCAGTCAATATGGTCAAATCCGATCTGCACATTGTCGCTGAAAAGCTGGATCCCAAGAGCATCTCGGCCGAAACGGAAAGGTTCAACAATGATCTAATTCAAATCATGAAGGGCGGCCCGAGATGGTGGGAGGTGAGAGAGGAAACCTCACTGTCGGCTTAATCAGGTGCTAATAGTACCGCAGGTCGGCGCAGCAAAGTACCGATCAATGCGAAGGAATGGCGAAACGCCTCTCCCCAAGCCGGTGTTGCTGGACAGCGGCAAAGACATCAAACTGCCCTCGCGCGAGAAAGGGCGCGAGATCCCATGTCGAGTCTTCGTTCCCGAGTCCGGCAAGTCCCAGGGCATCTTCTACCACATCCACGGCGGAGGCTGGGTGCTGCAGGACGAGAAGTCGCAGGACATCTTGCTCAAGAACCTCGCCGACGGCGCCGGCTTGACCGTCGTCAGCGTCGGGTATCGCCTGGCTCCTGAACATCCTTACCCAGCCGGCAACGAAGACTGCTTCGACATTGCTGAGTACCTGGTCGACAATGCGGAGAAGGAGTTCGGCGGCCGCTTGTTGTTCGTCGGAGGCGAATCCGCCGGCGGCCACCTCACCGTCGTCACCACTTTCCACCTCCTCCGCGCCCGGCCCAACTTTGCCTTCAAAGGCATTCTGCCTCATTACGGCTGCTTCGACATCAGCGGTTTCCAGCCCAACGCCCACCACTTTGACCTCCCCCTCGTTCTCGACCTGGAGATCATGCAGCATTTCGCCGCGGCTTACGTCCCCAACTCCACCGAAGCGGACCGCCGGAAACCAGAGATCTCACCTTTATTCGCCGATTTGACGAAGCTGAAGTGCCCGCCTGCGCTGTTCACTTGTGGCACGCTGGATCCCCTGCTGGATGATAGCGTGTTTATGTCGACGAAATGGTTGATGAGTGGAGCCGAGGCCATTTTGAAGCTGTATCCCGGTGAGTTGCATATCCATGTGTGCCGTTGCTTGAATACTGACGGGAACGAATTAGGCGCGCCACATGGCTTTACGTTGTTCCCGCCGTCGGTGCGGACGGAGACGGTGAAGGACTGCTTAGACGACACTTTGGAGTTCATCAAAGACAAGATTGGTGGAACATAGAGAGGTGCATGGACGACGAGCAATGGGCGTGCATCTGTGCTGCTCCATTGATGTATATAAAGCCAGAGGGATATCTCGCTATGCTGCTTCACTGCTGCGTCGAAATTCCTTGCTCACCAGCACCTTTCTGTCTTCATCGAGCGAGAAGCATCCAGCTGACCCGACGGATATTGTCGAACGCACCACCGCTGTCTCGCCCGTGAAGTTCTCCAGCTCCATACTCTTCCCTTGTGATGCTGGTCGTGTATGCCAGGCTTGCAAGCTTGATAGCATCCTTGCGAATACTCCTGGTTTGGAGCGTTGATGCAACGCCTCCATCTCTTCCAAAGTTCGCTGTCCCGGCGTGCGCCTCACGCTGATATGGCAAGCTTCATCCTTCAGCAACACAGACTCAGTAGTGGAGCTCGTCGTGGACCTGGATCTCTTGCTCCCGCCAGAAGCCGAAAGCCTCTGCCTCCAAACCACAAACGACTTCGTCGTGCCGCCGAACGAACTGGCAGCCGCACGAGCAACTTTTGCGCCGCCCACCTCCATCCGCGCAATGCACTTCCCCAGCCCCATGGCCGTCAAGCACGACCTGTACATGCTGACGGCATCCTTTCCAAAGCCGAAGAAGATGAAGACCAGGATTCCAAAGCCCAGCGGAAGCCAGCGGTCGTACAAGATGTGGCCGTGACTGGCTATGTAGACGATCTTCCTCCACGTCTCGGCGTTGTGCGTCGCGCTCCAGCTGAAGGGGTTGAGAGGTTGCTGTGCGTTGACGGCGATGATGTAGGCTTCGACGGGGATTGAGCAGAACAACCAGAGGAGGCAGACGATGTAGAGGCGCAAGAAACGAGACTTGGTCGTGTTGCGGCTGACGAGGATGGTGCGGAAGTTGATGCGGTAGCGGTAGAGGCGGACGATGATGAGTGCTGGTTTGACGTGTCAGTTGTCTGTATTGCCCATGTGTGTGATGTTTTAAGGAGACTCACTTGCGTAATATGCATTCACGACAAACCAGATGGCCGGAGGCGCGATGATAAGGAAGATGGCCAGCCAGCTGCTATCCACCACCGCCCCACAGCCAGAAATGCTCCAAATGTAGTATCGAAAGGGCTGGACAATGTAGTGGAAGAGCATCTCCAGCAAGGGAAAGCCAAGGCACCACGATAGATCGATGGCGTAAGCCTGCCGTCTCTCCGCTTTCGTCTGAACGAGTCTCGTCCGCTCCACGTCCATGACAGCCGCCAGGGCTCGCAGAATGCAAGCGAAAGAAGCCGGCAACGCAACAGACGCAGCGACTTGGATCTTGACTTCGATGTCGCAAAGTCCGACGCCGTTGTACCACGTGTGCCAGTCGTCGGTGGGCCAGAGGATGACGTTGATGAAGTTGAAGAAGAGCAAGATGACGAGCCAGGCGATGAGGGCGGTGGCGCCGATGTTGCGGTTGCGCAAGTGCCAGAACATGGGCGGGAGGATGAGGAGCATGGTGATGAAACTGAAGGTGGCGAAGAGGATGCCGGAGGCGTAGACATGGTTGGAGGCGCTCGAAGGGTCCTGCGCAATGGGTTGGACGGGAGCCATTGTGTGGGATGGGGTCGATATTGCGCGGTTTGGTGGTTGCTCAGGTAAGGTAGTTGAAGGGAATCAGTAAGGAGAAGGACAGGCAAACACTCCGGCGACGATGTTCGACGAATAGCCTCATCGTCAATACGAACGTCTCAATAAGAGTCGATGTCAATAAGAATACCCGTCAATAGGGAAGGGAGCAAGTGAAGCTGTAAAAGGCAGAATCTGCGAAACGCAAACCGCACCTGTTTGGCAGCTAGATGTGTCGTTGTCAGCCAATTGACGGTGATAAATGCTGTGGTGGACAGTGTTTTGAGGTAGGAGGGTGGAGGGGTGAAGTCGGGTGGGTGCAGCGTTATTGACGGATTGGGGTGTCAATAGGATTTCTGGCATGTCGACAATAACGCCATTCCCGAGACAAGACAATGCGCAACTCACTGGTCCGCAAGGTGACAAGCATGAGTAGATCCCCCGCCATCAACGTGGCGTCGTGTGGACATTGACAATAATTGAGAATCCTTGCGTATTTCCATGCGTCCGAGTAGGTGATTCTGATGGCCTCAAAAAGCCCTTGTACTTTTCCTTCCCGTCTCGAAGGACAGACCTTGTATACCTCCGTCCAACTCCTCGCTAAATGTGATAGTAGGATGAGCGTCCAGCGCCAACCTTCCTTTCCACGCACCAGTAATAGAGAAGCTGCCGGCTAATCGAATACGAACAGCCTAGCTCTTCTTATTGAGTGCGAGCGCGCTCGTCAGCGCAGAGATATTAGCCTTGGCCCGATCGCTGCCCTGTTGGCCGGATGTCTTGGTGGGTGAGGGGAACGACGAAGTGCTGTCATCTTCCAGCTTCGTCGGGCTCGCCACAATGTCCTGCGAGGGCTCGCCCCTCGCTTGCGCCTGCGCTGCAGTCACCACATTCGCCAGACCCCCGAGCATGGTCCCGCTCTTATTGTATGCTTCTTTCGCATTCTGAGCGGCGGTTCTCGAGGCATCCATGCCGTCGTTCGCCGCGCTGCGCACAGCTTCTAGCCAGCTCGTGGAGTCTCCACCTTGTGAAGACGTGGTTTTCGCCAAGGTATCGGCTGCTGCACGCGCCGCGTTGCGGCCGGCCTCGCCGATGCCCGCGCCGGCCGTCGAGCCTTTGGACATGGCTTGATCGAATGTCGCAACGGCGTGCTTGGCCGCGAGCTGCCCAGCGTCTTTGATGATGTTCAACGTGCGGATGTCGTCTCGATGCTCCACTCTCCGCGTCAGGTACATCGAAGGCTGCTCGCCGCGCCGGGCCACGATGCGATCCATCTCGTCCTTGTACGCTTGCTCGTAAATGTCCATTTCCACGGCCGGAGGGCTCTCGCTGACGATGGGCTGGCTGGACTCGTCGTCCTGTTCGGCCGAGGCTTCGGGATCGTGGCCAATGTTGAGGAAGAAGGTGTCTTCGAGCGGATCGTGCGCCTGACCACGAGCATGGTCTGGCGCCGGAAATGTCAGTGCACGCCGCGATTCAAAAGGTCTTCGATGCTCGTCAGAGTTTGAGCTGAAGCTGGTTTGATGTCGCTTCGTTTCCATGCGCTGCTTGAAGTGAGCTTTTGTCTCGCCGCGATGCTTCTCCGGCCCGTTTGTGCCATCGATGTTCAGCTCCACTTTGGCCTCGCCATTTCCGGCGACTTTGTCTAAGCCGCGGGGCAGCTTCTGAAGGTCATCGTTTACGTGAACTTCGCGATGCACGCCGGACGTGGCAAGAGTAGCGTCCATGGCTCGTCTATCGTAGGTCTCTTGACTTCGTGATTGCGAGTGGATGGACTCGGGTGGGGCCACGATGTTAGAGTCTAAGCCCAGCAATGCGCCTGGCGAACGGCCGCGAGTTGGCCGTAGAAGATTCTTAAACTTCTTCACCGCACCTATCACCGCGAGGACATGGGACATGTTGCCGGTGATGGCGTTGTCCATTTCGGCTTCTGTTGGAGGATCGACAATGTCTGCACAATTCTCTTCCGCGGACAAGAGAGGATCGCTGCCGTTTTTGGTCACCCACGGGTGCTCCTAGGGTTGAGTAAGTCATCAGCACTCCCGAGTAGGCAGTTGCAAGGAAACATACCCGCAACTTCTCCATTGTGATTCTCTTCTCCGGGTCTTTTTGCAAGATCCGCCGCATCAGATCATCGAAGTTACTGTCCTTTTCGCCCGCCATCGGCACATCATCAGAACGTATGCTGTCGTACAGTTCCAGCAAGTTGCCTTTCTCAAACGGGATGTGGCCGTAGCGCAGGCAGTATAGCGTGACGCCCATGCTCCAAATGTCGGCAGCGCGGCCACTGATCTGGCCGTGTCTCGCCACGCAGAGTTCCGGCGGCATAAACGCCGGGCTGCCAGCCGATTTTGCCGTAGCCATGTCGGACGCCTTTTCGAACATCTCGCTCACGCCGAAATCCACAATCTTGAGAACATCGTCGTCGGTGATGAGGCAATTGTCGGGTTTGATGTCGCGGTGGATGATGCCTTGGGCGTGCAGATACTCGATGCCGAGAATCATGTCCCGGAACCAACAACGGCACGTCTCGTCGTCGTACGGCTCGGCGCGCTCGTCGAGGCCGACATTCATGGCCACGCCTTTCTTGCACATTTCCAACACCATGTATAGCGAGTCCTCCTGTGGATCATCCAGCACTTCGATCAGCGAGACGAGGTTGTTGTGATTGAGTTTCTTCATGATGGCAATCTCCTCCTTGATGAGGCTGAGGGAGTTGTTAGCGTCCTTGGGCGATTCCGAGGAGGTCAGACGGTGGAGCGGAGAGTTGAAGCCGAGACCCGCAGCGATTTGGCCCGGTCGGCGGCCCTGGTTGGGTTTGCGGAGGAGGTTTGACTGCGCACGCTTCCGAAGTCTTGATTTTGAGAATTCCTTCACCGCAAACTCATTGCCATGATGATCCTCCGCTAGGTGTACCGACCCAAAGCTCCCCCGACCAATCTCTTGCTTGATGACATACTGGTTGATGCGGTGGACCGAGGACCCATCGCCGTCATCACCACTGCCGTAATGTGAGTGGGCGTTGAGCGTCTCCTTGACTGCTTTGGATCGCGACGGGGTTCTTTGATGGTGTCGGATGGGGCTCGGATAGGCGGGGGTGGACCTGGGAGCCGCATTAGAGGCGCAAGGCTATTGGCGCAAGTTTTGAAAGACCTACACATGTGTCACGGCCGGAGGGCGCTCGTCGCTTGCGCCGGGAGGGAGTTTGATGCTGATGCCATGCGCGGAGGAGGCATTTTCGTCATGCTCAGGAGCAGAGATGGAGGGATGGAGCGAGTCTTTAGGGGCGCTGTTGGATGCCATGGCTCAAGGCGGCATAGTGATGGATGGAGGGGAACAAATGGCTGCGTGAGGGGGATTCGGGGAGGAGATGAGATCACAGGGCGGAGGTTGCACAATTGTCTTTGTACATGGCGGTACAGCGCAGGATCAAACAATGTCGGGATCGGGGATGAGCGAGCGTGGTGTTGCTGGGGTTGATGCAGGTGATGTAAGGATGTGCAGGCAGAGCACGCCTTGATCGGCAGTGGGGGAGAGACGTGAGGCAATTGACGCCCGCATTGGCCGAACCTTAACCAACTCCCCTGCACGTGGCCGCGGCGTTGACGGGAAGCGGGAACCCTGTTCTATCTAACAGCTTGCCTTCAGAGCCTCCATCTCGCCATCCATCTCCAAAATGCCACTGCTCCCCTCCAGAGGGTGAATTACACAGCCCCCTTCCCCTCCGAGTGGCGAGACTGCACCATGTCGGTCTATGCTTTCTTCATCTTCGACCGCCACAGTAAGCGTAGCCAGTCCCTCCCTGGTGTCCTCCATCTTACTCACGTGCCGTAGCGGAATGCATCTACACCAAACGCTGGGCCCCGGTGCCGCCGCCGCAACAGCCTCCTACGACCAACGGCTATGCTCGAGGCGCTACTGATGCCTCCATCCTGGCCCGAAAGGCGCTCAAGGCGGAGGATGATGCAAAGCTGATCTTCGGCACCGTCTTCTCCCTGCGCCGCATGGTGCGCCAACTCGGCGGCGAAGACGACCAGTTCTTGTCCTATCGCACCGCCGAATACAAGCTGCACTACTTTGAGACGCCCACGCAGCTGAAGTTCCTCATGCTCACCGACACTCGTGTCGGCAACATGCGCACCGCGCTGCACCAGATCTGGGCCACGCTGTACGTGGAGTACGTGGTGAAGAGCCCGCTGTCTCCTGCCGAGCATCCAAAGGGCGTGGGAGTGGCGAATGAGCTGTTTGATGGAGGTCTGGAGAGCTTCATTGTATGTGCTTGTGCCCGAGTTGTACTGTTCTTGTACTCATCCATGGCAGGCTTCCCTTTTCGCGCCGCAATGAATTACTACTGGGCGCGCGAGGCGAACACGAAACCGATCATGCCGCATTGCGTTACAGCAGCGAGTAGTTGTCTCCAGATGGCACACTTCAACCAGCGCTCAAGCTCTCGATGCCTCCAGATTTCGAGAGAATTAGTGGCAGTCCGCGGCCTACCTACGACCATCTTTGCATTCAGCGATGGATCTGGCAGGCTCATCGACCGTGCTGCAATCGGCGTGGCCGATCACCAAATGTGACGACATTCCGTCGAGGGCAGGGGCAAAGAAGTGGATTTTTCGCTGTTGGATGCTTACGAATTGGCGTTGGTCGCGACAGTAAGGCGGACGACATGCAGGAGTGCTTGGCGCGTAGCAGTGCACACTCCCGTGACGGCCGTACTGAGCAGACCCTCCAATAGAGCCTGATGGAGCGACCCCAGAGAATCGCCAGAAAGCTAGAGACCAAAAAAATCTATCGTACCGTACTCCTATGGACTTGGCCAAGTTGTGGACGTGGCAGTGCTCCCGCATATCCCTTCTGCCCCAAGGCTGTGTGACTCGCGTGGTCGACTGCGAAGGGAAAATCCGCCAAGTCCGGAGCGGCCAGTCTTTAATTTCACGTTGCTTGGCGTAGGGGTTCGTTCCAAGGAAAGGGTTGTGACACACGTGCGCTTGGCGTGTATTGTTCCGACCGAGAGCAGGAAGAATGGCATTGTTGACATTGGACTGGAAGCAACATCGTTTCTTTTATAACCCAGCGCGCTGCAGTCCAATGTGGCAGGAACGATGAAGGCAAAGTATACACGAGGCAGGCGCGAGGCTTCGCAGGGCGGGGCGGGCGGCGGTCCCAATTCGGCTGCCGCCAGCCCGCCAAGAGCCTTGCGCCGCGGCCAGCCCCGACCATCCATCTATCCTCCTCTCCCCTATCTTTCTATTTTCCGCCTCGTTTCGTATGGGAAGGGTGGAGCGGTGGTTGTCTCGCATCTCCCTTCCATGACCCGGCGGCATGTTTGGAACGCCAATAGACGGGCAGCCGCCCAGACAACGGCTGGGCTGCCCAGCAGACACACGAGCCGAGAGACGCGCATTGGTCTGCCAACACGGCATCTCTACCCTGGGTAAGACGTCTACTAAAGACCTGTCTCTCCTCCTTCCTTCCACTTCACTCTATCCCCTCGTATCTCCCTACGCGAGTGCCTGCGGTCGGCCTCGACTTTCTCGCTGTCCATTTCCTTCGTCGCTCGTTCCCTCACCCACATTCGTTCTACTACACTGCCCGCAGCCAACATGCTGTTACTCTCGCTCCTCTACCCACTGGTCTTGCTGGTCAGCTCTGCCTCTGCTCTGCTGACCACCGGTGCACCTGGCGCCGTTGGTACACGCTATGAGATTCGTCAGCTGGCCAGCAGCTACCCCCGACAGTACACCCTCTTCCTGCTCGCCATGCAGCAGTTCGAGGCCCTGCCGCAGAGCCAGCAGAACTCCTACTACCAGATCAGCGGCATCCACGGCGTTCCCCGCGTGTCCTTCGATGGCGTCAATCAGTGCAGTTCTTGCACCAACGCAGACGGCTACTGCACTCACAGCTCCATCCTCTTCCTTGCATGGCATCGTCCCTACCTGGCCTTGTTCGAGCAGAGAATCGTCGCCATCGCAAAGAACATCGCCTCCCAATACCCTGATTCCACCAAGGCAGCCTATCAAGCCGCTGCAACCTCTTTGAGGCTACCGTATTGGGACTGGGCTGCACGCCCACCCAACGGCGGCAATGCCCTTTCCAATCAGTTGAGCCAGCCCTCCGTCCAGGTTGATAGCCCCACGGGTGTCCGGACCATCAACAACCCCTTGTATCAGTACACTTTCTCCAATTCAAAGAACCTCGTCTACTCGCCCTTTACTACCTGGCCGGTAAGTTTGCTGCCATTTAGCCCTCGTCGATCTGACAGTGACATCCCCACTGACTCACATCTCATCAGAAAACCTTACGATACCCTACTTCCAACGCCGCTTCCGCCGACAGTAACCAGGGAAGAGCTGTGGCCGCGTTCAACAACATTCGTGCGAGTTTGCAAGATCGATTATACCAGCTCTTCTCCACCTGCACCACGTATAGCGAGGTTGGCCAGGACGCGCAATCCTCTGCCAGATGCTCCACCAGCCTCGAGCAGCTGCACAATACCATTCACACCACCGCTGGAGGACCGGCAACGACGAATCCCAATGTCTCGGGTGGTCACATGACCTATCTCTCCAGCTCGGCTTTTGATCCCCTCTTTTGGCTCCATCATGCCAACGTGGACCGCCTGTTTGCCATGTGGCAGGCAATCTATCCAAACAGCTATGGTGCATCGGGATCCAGTGGGATGGTCAGCTGGTCAATCCCGGCCGGCGTGACCGTCAATGCCAACACACCTCTGTATCCCTTCCGCAGGACCACGAACGCCTTCTGGACCACCAATGACGTCCGCAGCACCAGGACCTTCCGCTACACCTACCCCGAGTTTGTCAATAGCGACGGCAGTGCCGGAGCAATCCGTTCCTATGTCAATGCTCTGTATGGACCTGGTGCCACCCGCACGGCCGGCTCGAGCAAGCGCACCGCGGCACCCGAGCCCATTGTTGGTGACATTCTCGATTCCACCCCGCTCAAAGCCGCGAATGGCAGCTTGTTCCAGTACGTCGCGAACATCAACACCCCTCGCTTGGCCCTGAACGGCTCCTACAACATCTATCTCTTCAACGGCGAGCCCACTTCTTCGAATCCCGCCGATTTCGTCTTGGACCCCAACCTCATCGGACCAATGGGCGTCCTCGCCATGGACATGGATGCCGAAAACATCATGACGGCCGGATCCATCCCATTGACCCGCACGCTCACGGACGCAGTCAGCGCAGGCCAGCTGTCCGACCTGACGCCCCTCTCGGTCGTCCCGTATCTGGCCAAAACCCTGCAATGGATCATTGTGGGCCCGGCCGGCGACGTGGTGGATCAGAGTAACCTTCCCGGCTTCGACCTAAGCGTCTACTCATCGACTGCAACTCCTGTCACTGGCGATTTGTTGCCGACGTGGTCTCAGTTCATCCCGTTGGACGACGTTACGGAGGAACGGACGGACGGGGAGACGACTTCGAGTGCCACTTCTTCGAGTACGACTTCGAATGCACGATCTACGTCCACAACCGCCTCTGGCGCGAGCACAACAAGGCGTGCAAGCAGCACGGGTACTAGAACCACCGCATCGCCCTCTACGACCGGTTCCTCGGTCCGAAGAAGGCAGCCAATGCGCGTCTAAGTGGAGCTGTCGTCCGAGTATTGTTACTACTCATGTCATGTTGAAAATGTATCAAAAATAGATTCGATTAGACCAACAATACAATGTATGAATTACAAGTATTTCGAATGATGCTATGTTACCCAGTCGCATCTTTCCGGAGGAAGAGCTCCAACATCTCCACCCTCCGTCTGTCCTGCACTCCATGCGACTTCTTGCTCTCACCCGCCGCCTCGCTAAAGAGCACGCCGGCAAAAATCCGACTCAACGCCGCTCGTGCTTGCTCGCCCTGCGAAGCCGCTGAGCCCCTCGCAAACGTGCCCTTTACTCGTTGCAGCGTGCCGCCCGCTACTTTGGCGAGCGGAGAAGTGGGCGTAGCAGGCTCCTTGGCAGCACTAGTGCTGGCTGTTTCTTGCAGGAGGCGCTCGAGGAGCGTGAGGAGCAGGATGAAGGAGATGTTGCGGCTCGGCGAGTGCGACAATATCTCTTGCAAGGCAGTGCGTTGCTCGTCTTCCGTTGACTTGCGTTTGGTCTTGTCGTTTTCGGCGAAGTAGTGGTCGATTTGGTGCCATAGGTTCTCATCGATAAGGCCTTCGGGGATGCTTTGCAGGAACATGACGAGGAGGTTGGCGAGGACGTACAAGCGTTGCATCGCGGGCATTCCAGCCGGCAGGCTGGCGGTGAGGGATTGATCAGAATCCAGAGCATCGCATGCCTCGCTTATTGCACGGTTCCATCCCTCGCCCATCCATTCTGTCCAGCAGGTTTGATCAAACGGCCAGCCCGGCCATTGTAGCCAAGGCGCCACCTCGGATTCTGGAGCAATCATATCCCACTCGGCAATGATCCGGATCCCAAGCTCTTCTATGGCTTCTGTCAGCCGGAACAGTTCGCGCGGGGCGGAGAAACGTACTGGTTCGTCCGCGTCCGGGGTGGCCGCTTGGGAAGGGGGCCGCTTCGAACTATCGCGAGACTTGGTTCGGTCGGGGCGCTGGTGTTGTAATTTTCTGATCCCGCCCTCAGGAATGCGGACGAGTTTGTCGATCGCGCGACCGAGGCTTGTCTCTTGCCAGTTGGCGCGCATGGGGATGAAGTGGTCCCTGCCGTCTTCCACCCGAAGCACGAGAGTGTCGTCTAGGTGGTTGTGGGAGTCATTTAGTTCGCGAACTAAACCAAGGTCGGCCACTTGGATTTCCAGCTCAACCGACGCCGTCTCGCCTGGGACAAGGGTGATTGGATCCGTTCCTGTGCTTACATTGCTCAAGAGAATATCGTTCAGCTTGACACGCAGCCAGTCCGGAGCAATGCCCGAGGGCTCACCACCATCGGACGGCCTTCCCAGGAAACTAAGCCTCGCCGGCACCCGACTGGTGTTTGCGATGGTCAGCGTCCGGTGTTTGACCTGATTCCACTTGACGTCTCCAAAGTCCACGCCTTGCGAACCATCGGTCGTCTTGTCGTGCTGATCGACTACGACAGTCACATTCGGCCGGCCCTCGTTCTCCGCTTTGTCGAGATCCTTTGCAACTTCCGCGTGCACCCGTGCTTTCAGTTCGGGGACGACGGAGTCGTACTTCAGCGAAAACACGGCATCCAACGGTTTGTGGTCGCTCGACAGAACCCTTTGGTGCGCCGTGTAGTATTCCAGTCGTATTTCGTCGTCAAAGCCCTCCTTGGTGGTCACTCTCAGCACTCCATCGTTGGTCTCGTCATAGCCGTCATTTTCGTCATAGTCGTCATTACCCTCCATCCCATCGGCATCGGGATCGTAGTCGTAGAGAATGTCATCGTCGTCGGCGACGGCAAAGGTGCCATTGGCCTGCATCTCATCCTCCTTCTTTTTAGCCTCCCGTGCTTCCTTGACACGGGCGTCATAGGCCAGCTTGTCTCGTCTCGTGCGGTAGAGGATGCGATCACACCAGCTCGGCGCACGCTTCTTGTCGCTGGAATCGAAGACGCCCACACTCCCGACGTCATACTTGTACGTGGGAAGGAAAGCAATGGGCCCCTCTCGCCAGCCATCGTGAAAGGCCTTGCCGTGCTTCATTTGGAGGTGCAATTCGTCGTGGGGGAGAAGAGAGGTGAGGGTAGTTTGGAGTGAGGCCGGATCTTCGCTTGGGTCGAGCTCATCGTCAGGTGTCGCAGACGATACGACACTGCGTGTGTCTGTGGCGGAGTCGTCCTTGAGCGACTGTATTGACCTTCCAGCGTCAGAGTCAGAGGCAGAGGAGGTAGTGCCGCCGGTAGCAGCTCGCCTCCTCTGAGCAGCTTGCGTGGCAATCTCGATCTCCTGATCGATCTTGGCCGTGGATTGTCGGGTCAAGTCGTACTCATTTCGGGTGTGAAGCATGAGAAGCCTTCGTACATCGTCTCCGGGAATGGTCTGGAGTCGGTAGTTTAGATCACCGACCCAGAAGGCGAAATCGGCGTCTGAAATGTACTCGCCGGAAGGCTGGGACTCTTCGGTCAGGTGTTCGATGGGGTCGAATCGGGTTCGTTGGGAGATTTGCGCCGCGTCCCAGTTCCGGCGGTCCAAGGCGGTTTTGTCGGCCCCTGCCGCTAAGTGGCAGTTGACGAAGACGAGTCTGGTGGTGTCTCCGAGGACAAGGCGTGCAGTGGTTGCCCCCTTGTTGCCCATGTAGCCCATTAGGCCAGTTCCGACGCTTGTGGTGCTAACAAAGCGAACATCGTCGGCCACGTCAGCGGAGGCATAGATGAGGAGAAGCAGCCCAATGAGTTGTTGTTCCGCGACGAAGCGATAGCCTTTGGGCAGAGCGCTTTCCAGCTCCTCTCTCCACTTCTTTGCCACGGCTGGATCGGTGTATGGTCGTAGGGCTTCGGTGGTGGAGTTGATGTCTACCACCTCCTGCAGTGCCAGTACGTACAGCCCGACATCCTCGTTGCCCGGCAGTGCAGGAGAGTCGTGTTTGGGCATGGTGGAGGCCTTTCGTACGTAGCGTGCCTCTTGTGCATCCACCGCTTCCCTAGGGTTCCGCCTCTTCCCTTCTCCAGTCTCATCATCGGCCACGGTGAGGCCAGCCAGCTTCTCTGCAACGCCTTTGCCCTCAACAAACCAACCGCCAACATCCTTCTCCGTTCCTTTGTGTGCGGCGACATTCCATGTTCCTATCTTGATGCGCACGTGCCTGGGACGAAGGTATTCGGCTCGTCGGGCGTGCACGGCCTGGGAAAGGGTGAGATGGGCGGCGTAGTTGTCAGCGTCTTGTTCGAAGGAGGGGCGAGTTGGGTAGGCGCCAGGCACATCCTGCATCAAACTACCGCTCGAGGCGGTGGCGGTGCGGGATCGCGTGCCAGTCATCGCATTGTTGAGACCGTCCCGACAAAGTCACTTGTTGCCGTCAATTCCACGTTCGACATCAGGGCGCTTTGGCGAAGAGCAAGGGGACGGGAGAGTGTCGACAATGGCAGGGAGGTGGAAGCGGAAGTGGAAGTGGAAGTAAGGGTGGTGCTTCGGCACAATGTCATCGAAAAGTGGATGTCGTCAGACATCCTTGCAGCTTCAGCCGGTGGGAGCAATCAGGCTCGGCAGAGGTCTGGAGTCCACTTCATCTCGTCGCCCATTTGTCACCTTCCTCTATCCCTCTCCGCCTACACGCTCATGAGAAATGGAGGTGAGGCTGGGTTCATGAATTGGCTTTGTCGGAAATGCGCGCAAGCATGCGACTCTCACGGCCTCGTTACCCATGCATGACATGTCTCGGAGAAAGGCACCGGTTGTCAAGGATGGAATGGTCAGCAGCACAGCACCTTGCTCTGCAGCAAGCCACACGAGATGTACATGCAATTAACATGTATTTGCCTTGCATGGTGCGGTTTGTTGCTTGCTCTTTCCTTTTTGGCTGACGATGGGCGCCTTCCCTGAGTGGTCCGCCTGCCTCCTTCCTTGTTGAATGTCGATTTTCCATATGCGAAGAAACCCAAAACAATACACCGGCAAGCGTCAAAGATATACATGCGCTCACACATGGCTCATTCAGGTCGACGAGAATCTGCGACAATGAGCCCTCCTTGTCCCTGGTCCGCGCACAACGAACCCCTCTACTTCGCTCCCCCTTACGGCATCTGGGACAACGAACGCTTGCTCAACATATGGCAAGACAAGGAATACGGCGAGATCCGCCCTCAGCCATTCTCCAACCCATCGTCTGGCACCCCGACACATCCCGCCTTCCTTTCCAAAAACCAACACGAATCTTCTCCGCAAGAAGACGAAGTGCTCTCGGACTTCTCGGACATCACCGATGCCGACACCATTATTCTTCAGGATGTGCCAGAGGCCGAGGCTTTGCCAATATCGGATGAAGACTTTGTCAGCCGTGTCAAAGGCGCCCTTGAGCTGCAAGGCAAATGCAAGACGTCAAACGTGGGTCGGCGTCAAGCTCGAAGGATCCTGCAACTACTCCAACTGGCCCTCCCAGCCTCGCCATCCGAAGCCCTCCAGCTCTCCAGCGACGAGGCCAGAGCGCAGGTGGACACTGGCCGATTCGTCTCCACTCCCATCATCACGGAGAACGAGCAGTCTCTCCCTCTCCACACCGTTGCGCAATTCCTCGACGAATATTACGACGACACAGCCACAGTCTCCATTCAAGACCCCGCCATTCGTCTGAGTCGCAATATTCCGTCCGTCCGCACCGTCACGGTCGCACAACTCAAGAAACGCTTTTGTGAGCCAGATCCCAACGCCAACGCTCCTTGGAATTGCCTCGAACTGGCCACCCACGTCGATGATGGCCTCCGACCCGCCTTCCTCAATCACGAGGAGAGCCGCCTGCTCACAAAACTGAAGCTGCCCAATACCAAAGACAGCGCCAGCCGCCGACACTACGAGCCCGGGTGGAAAGAAGTCGAGAAATGGGCACTGCTCGCGCAAGCCGGAGCCCTTACCGAGCCACACCAAGACAGCCACGGCTACAACACTTACATCACTGTCAATCAAGGCATCATCGGCTTCGGATGGCTCTCCAGCCCCACTCCGGAAGAACGAAGGGCCTGGTGCCGGAATCCCATGACCTTCGTCGGCGGTAAATGGCGATACAAGGTCTTGCGTCCCGGTCAGACCGTCTACTTCCCGTCGGGGACTGTGCATTTCGTCTTCCGCCTCAAGGCTGCGGGCGACACTCTAGCGTTTGGAGGCCATGTGTTACGCTGCTCGCAGATCGTGCATTGGGTTGAGACGATGCTTGAGGAGAAGGCGGGATCGGACATCACGAATGAGGAACTCACGGTCAGTGCGCTGGCGTACTTGGAGAGAGTGGAGAGGTTTGTGCGGCAGGCTTTGAAGACGGGCCAGGTGGAGAAATGGGGCGGCGCAGCGTCGATTCGGAGATTCCTCGCATTGAAACAGAAGTTTATGAAGATTTGTGAGGTCGTACATCGTTCGTGATGAGACACGACGTTGTATCACTGGCTTAGACTCACAGACTTGCAAGCCCAGATTCTCCACCGCTGTAGATCAGAGATAGGTTGAAGATGGCCGACTTCAGGCGTGTTCCTCGGGCTGTTTTCAAGATGTCCAGTATCGCACCCAATTTCTGCAGTCCAATCGCCCCGAAACCATTGCCAGTCAAATGTTATTGAGTCTGGTTCCCACGACAGCTTTCGGAATTGGCGGTAACACCGCTGGTGCAGTATGCGCTGATTCTCTTCTGTTAGCTCCGCAAGTGTTCTGCCAGCCACGCTTTCGAATGCAGTCCGTAAGGAAGGCTGAGACAGAACTTTGCTTGACTGCCATTCTCCTCGTCGTTGTGGAGGGCAGGAGTCATGACCTTGCCAAGTAGGATCGGACGGCGATTCTCCGTGCCCCAAGTTTAGCCACTTGGTCCATACGAGTGCGTTGTACTTGCCGAAGCGCTTGACCTCGAGCTGGACTTCCACAGCGCAGAACTCGCAACGAAGGACAGGTGAGCAGGTTGGACAGTCGTCTTTGCAGTCCATGTGCAGAGTCTTACACTCGACCAGTTGTCGTATATCAGTGTCTTGCACAGCGTCCCCGAAGTGGCGGCAGATTTCGCGGATGTCATGGTCAACGAGGGTAGTGACGTCGTCGGCATCAAGCGAGATCCAGTACTGCACGCGTAGATACAGCTCGTCGGACACGACTCTTGCGTTCACCGACGTGAGAGTTGTTGCCATATGACGGTTCGAGCGTCGGATCAAGATCTCCGCGAAGGAATTCAGAGCGATGCCATGACGCGAGCCGTGGCGATGCCTTTCCATTGCGAGCTGGACGACTTGGAAAGGGATGTGGTATCCCGATGAAAGTCAATGAATGCGGCGCGGGCAGTAAGTAAGCTTGAGTGCCGTGCAGTTCGAACTGTCCCACTTGAGAATTTGGCCGGGGAGGATTGCATACGATGGATGGTGCTATATCTAGAGGCGAATAGCGATCGCAGTACGGGTGAGAGATCCATGACGGCAAGACGACAGGGTGTATGGTGGAAGGTTGGAAATGTGAGTTGAACATCGTCCACAGCCTGATCTAGACGTCAGCGAGCGAATTTCCCAATGTGGCTTGGTGGGAGGGAGAGCGGGAGCGGCTTGGCCCGTGCCTTTCTGCTCCTTCCCCGGCTCTTGTCTCCGCAGACTTGACCAAAAGTCGCGTTCCACTTTACGCGCTTCAACCTCGTCCGTATTGTAGAGCGCCGCCACATCGCCACGAGCAGCATGGCGAAGCGACGCAGGTCACTCCACGATGACGGTGGTGAGCAGGCGCCTCCCACGAAATCAAACCTCGCCCCAAACAAATCGGCAACTCGTAGAAGAAGCGCTCCTCCTTCACAACAGCTGGGAGGGGACGATGCGAGCGACGACGGCCGGCGACACCGCACTCCCTCTCCGCCCCCCGATCTTCCTCCTCACGAGCTTTTCTTCGCCCAAAACCGAGCAGCCAAGACCTCCGCGAACACTCTCAGCTCGGCCGAGGATCTGCTAGACCACGACGACTATTTCACCCACATCTCCGCCTGTCATGATAGCCATGAGAACGACCTACAGCGGCTGAAGCAATACCACCGCAGAGCATTTGACCAATGGGGCTTTGAGTTGAAACAAGGTTTTAATCTGTGCCTCTATGGTTATGGGTCGAAGCGGAAGCTGGCAATGGAGTTTGCAGAGCATTTGCACGCTGAGAAACAGGGCAAGATCGTGGTGGTCAATGGTTACGCTGCCGGGCTTACAATTCGCCATATTCTGACGACTCTGGCAAGCTCGGTGCTGTCGAAAAATGCGAAACTACCCGCCCAGCCTGCCTCACTGGCCGATCTGCTGCTCAATACCTTGTTGGAGAAGCCGTCTCTACCACACACCACCCTCTTCATCCACTCCTTCGACCACCCACATCTACGCAAGCCTGCAACTCAGCTCCTGCTCGCCCGACTTGCCGCGCATCCCAGCATATCGATTGTGGCGACCTGCGACACTCTCAACTTCCCCTTATCGTGGGACACTGCACTCCTCCGGCAGTTTCGCTGGCTCTACCACGATGCAACAACCTTCCACCCCTTCACCGTGGAGGTCGACGTCGTAGAGAGCGTGAACGCTCTCTTGGGCCGCAGTGGGCGCCGACTCGGCGGCAGAGATGGAGTGGGCTACGTGCTCAAGTCACTGCCGGAGAACGCAAGGAATCTCTTCCGCATCTTAGTCGCCGAGCAGCTGGCCTTGACGGACGCGGAGCCGGAGGGAAATGGTCCAGACGACGATGATTTCGAGGCTACTCTCGGCGCGGAAGACGAAGAGGAAGCAGCGGCACAGCAAGACACACCTTCGAAAAGAGGCCGAGGGCGAAAGCCGAGAAAGGCCGCTGTGCCTGTCAAACCCGCAACGACGACTGGCGAAGGAGTGGAATATCGCACACTGTACCACAAGGCAGTGGAGGAGTTTGTGTGCTCGAGTGAGCTCAGCTTTCGGACACTACTGAAGGAGTTCATCGATCATTCATACCTCGAGCTGCGAAAGGACATTATGGGGACGGAAAGATTGGTTGTGCCTTTTCGCCGGGAGGAGCTAGAGACGATTTTGGAAGAGCTTGTGTAGAAGATAGACGACTGACGAATGCATTGCAATGGCCCAGCTGGCCCATCTCATGAGCAGCGTTTGTTTCGAAGACGCCTATGCAGAGGGAATCCAGCCGCCTCGCCCTCGATAGACGCCCGGAGATGTGACATTTGGGCGACAACGGGCGGCACGTGCTCAAAGGTCATTCTCAGCAGTCGCCAGTTACGGCAGAGCAGAGCGTTCTCCCCCTGATCGAGTCGGAGGGCGGCGAAGACGATGAGATACGCCCAGATCGCTGGCAAATTGAAGGCACAAAATGCATCATAAAGTAGGTAGGGATCGAGTTATGTACATCGTCACGCCGGCGCTATGCTTGGAATGTCATTGTTCTCTACCATCCTCGCTTCGCCAAACGGGCACCTCCGTCCAACTTCTCCACGTTGATGCCCACCATCGCCTCTCCCAGCCCGCTCGAGACATCGGCCAAGACCTGAGGATCGTTGTAGTGTGTCACGGCCTGCACAATGGCCTTCGCCCTCTTGGCCGCGTCGCCGGACTTGAAGATGCCACTGCCGACAAACACTCCGTCACACCCCATCTGCATCATAAGCGCTGCATCTGCAGGGGTAGCCACGCCGCCAGCCGCGAAGTTGACGACGGGCAGTCTCTTCAACTGTGCCGTCTGCTTCAACAGGGCATAGTCACACTCCAACTCCCTCGCCATCATCCGCAGCTCCGAATCGGTCGACGAGCTCGCGCGCGCAATCTCCCCATTCACGGTCTGCATGTGTCTCACTGCTTCCACCACATCGCCCGTGCCCGCCTCGCCCTTCGTCCGGATCATGGCCGCCCCCTCGGCGATTCTCCTCAACGCCTCGCCCAAGTTCCGGCATCCACACACAAACGGCACTCCAAACCCACTCTTCTCCACATGGTTGGTGGGATCGGCGGGGGTCAGAACCTCGCTCTCGTCGATGTAGTCGACTCCAATAGCCTGCAGAATCTGGCACTCGACGACGTGTCCGATGCGTGCTTTGGCCATGACGGGGATGGTGACGGTGCGCATGATGTCCTTGATCATCTGCGGGTCCGACATGCGTGCCACGCCACCCTGGGCCCGGATGTCGGCCGGCACTCGCTCGAGCGCCATGACGGCACATGCACCTGCTTCTTCGGCGATTTTGGCTTGCTCCGCGTTCACTACGTCCATGATGACGCCGCCTTTGAGCATCTGGGCCAGGCCGGCTTTGACGGCGAAGGAGGATTGGGAGGGGTCGGATGTCATGGTGGACGATTTCTTGGTGGTGCCGTTGGTGGACATGTTGGGTGTAGGAGGAGGTGAAGTAGAGGTGAGGAAGGTGATTTCAAATGGCTAAGAAGGTCGAAGTCCGGAGTGAAGTAAGTGAAAGGGAAGAAGAGTCTAGTGTATGGTTCTAGAAATCAAATGATCTGCAGAGCTTGCGATGGAAGATGTCGGGACCAGAAGATCCATGACTCGATGCAGGAACCCAAAAAATCGGAAAAGTCGCCGCCGCGGTCGGAAGTGGAGACTTCTGCTCGGCACCTGCCTGATGCAGACCGGCCAAGGCAGGCCAGAGTGGACAGACAGCACGTGCTCGGGATATAATGACTGGATGCACTTGGAGCTTCAATCAATTTCCAACGCGCTATGTAGATGAATATATTTCCTCGCAAACTCATGTCAAAATGGCAAGAACATGAACTCTAGCTTACACGCGCCGAGATCAAAGAGCAGCCACGCCCTCGCCATCACCAAGCCATTCGCATCCACAAGCATGCCGCTGCATCAGTCCTGGGCGAAGAGCTGGTTGGGTTATTAGGCCAGGCAATGGATATCTGTACAAAACCACCCTCTCGCTTTTGATGCCGTTTTACACGCCCTCGGGGTAGACTCGCGGGACCTTGGGCCGGACCTAAACATCGGAGTCAGTATCTCATGAAGTAAAGGCGAGAACGTAGAGCTGGCAACATACGTATGGCACGCAGACACCCTGCCACGAGAACGGAGAGCCGTCCTTCTCCTTGTCGAGCACGTCCCAGCGGGAAGTCACCTGGTCCTTGGTCTTCAAGGTCCAGCCGGCATCCTGGCAGTTGTCGAGGATCCATTGACGCTTCTTCTCGCTTCGCGGCTTGATGTCGACGGGGAAGGGAAGAGTCATGGTGATGACGTAGGGGTGGACCTCGTACCACGGGAGGTGGTCGGTTCCTTCGGGCTTCTTGATGTCGTACACGGCGGCGAGCGCACCAAAGAGCGTGAACAGTTCGAGGCTGGTCAGGTCGGTGCCGGGGCAGCCGCGGTTGCCATAGCCAAATGCGATGTCGCCGCGAAGGTTGGGGAACTCAGTCAGGGGCTCTTTGTACGTCGGGTACGCAGGATCAAGCCAGCGCTCGGGAATGAACTGGTCGGCCTTGGGGAATTGCTTGGGTTCACGGCTGATGAGGCTGTGGAGGGTGTGATTAGCGCTGCTACGACGTTGGGAAGAATGAATACTCACTAGTTGTTTGCGTGGCAGATGGCGCCCTTGGGAATGTAGTAACCATTGTAGATGTCGTCCTCGAGGGTGACATGAGGCACACCAAGGGGTGTCGACTGTCTCCATCGCAACATCTCCTTGGTGGTGGCGCGAAGTCTAGAGGGAAGTTAGTTCATGAGCGGTGGTGCGGATATGCAGATGGAGCTGACCTAGGCATGTTGGGAATGTCCTCTGCAGCTGGGAGTCTATCACCGCAGACGCGATCGATTTCCTCTTGCATCTTCGGCAGCCACTCGGGGTAGTGGCACATGGCGAGGAAGAAGGCGTGGAGAGGTCCACCGATGGTAGCAATGGCAACGAAACTGCTGCTTCCGATGGCGTGTGCAGCCTCGTGGTAATCGAGCTTCTTGGCGTCGACGCCCTTTGCGTTCTCGTCCCACCAGAGAGTGCTCCAGCAAGGCTGGACATCGCCGGTCTTCATGCGTTCTTTGACATCGTCGAGTGCTTCGTAGAAAGCTATACAAGTGGTCAGCGCCGGGTCTACAGTCGAGCGGGAGGATTGCATCCATACCTTCAGTCATTTCCTGCTTGCGGCGAGCCTCGGAGCGTTTCCATGGAGAGATGAAAGCGGGCAAGTGCATCAAAAAGGTGAGCTTGTTGATGAGAGGACCGGCGGGAGACACGGCCTTGAGGAGCTCGGGGACGATGGTGAGAAGCTTGTTGCCGTGTTCGGGATCGCCCCAAGCAATGCTGCCGATGGTGCGGGAGCAGTGGACAATCATGTGTTCGGACCAACGCTCGGGAGCCTCCAACAGACGACGGATGGTGCGCTTGTTCTCAATCGCCGGCCAGCCGTAAAAGGCCTTGGGGCTGGCGTCCTTCATGATGAAGTGCATGAAGTTCTTGTACCTATACGCGGAGTGGTCAGCGGGATGGCGCGATTGCATCGAGAGGAGTACGCGTCGACTCACCTCTTCCAGGTCTCGGAGTAAGCCATCAATGGGAGGACTTCCTTGCCCTCGCGGATACCGACGGAAGCCGGGAGAGGGTTGCGGTCGCAGTACTTGCGCTGTCTCTTGACAAAGAGATCGCGGGACACCTCGTCGGTCTCGATCCAGATGTGTGTGATGCCCATAATCTTCCACGCGTAAATCGGGCCATACTTCTTGTGGAGCGCGCCAAAGTACCATGCAGCCTCAATACCAGGTTCCGGGGGAAGGCCGGAGTGCATGGGCAGTGGCTTCACGCCCGGAGGCAGCTTCTTCTTGCCAAAGCCTAGGACGCTGCCGAGGAGGACGGCGAGGACAAGGGTGATGCCGACGGCGGCGTACGGCTGCTGCAGGGCGGAGAGGTAGAGCGACTTGGCCACTTCGGGCACGGGGACGTTGGTGAAGGAGGAGGCATTGCCGAAGGAGTAGAAGGAGGCGGCGGCGCCCTGGGTCAACTGGGCCATGGTGAGGGATGCGACTGCGCGAGTGGCAGCTGCGGGGGAATCAAAGGGAGGAGATGCAAGATGTCAGCCCGTGGGAGGACGACGGGCAAGGGGAAATTGATGCAACGAGTGATTAAGGCGACAGTCTGGGAGGGAATCAACAGAGGTGACCCGTGATGAGCGCGAGAGTGAGAGATGGTCAGGTCAGAGACAGGGAGAAAAGGAGCTCCACTTGGGATGGTGGAAATATTGGAGAGTCCGTTTCCAGCGCGCGCTCCGCCAATCACACCCCGACCCCTGCCCGCCCGGCCCGGCTATTTTTAATCTCGCGAGCTTGGCACGCGGCCGTGAGCCTCGTGGCGCGTCTGGCCAGATCGGGTCGCGGTTGCCGTGTAGGGGAGTTGTCACCAGTTGATGTTGGATGTATAACGTGCTGTTCGCTCTCGTGGCCACTCGACCTCTTTACAGGGTGTGTCTGTACCCGCCAACGACACCATTGCTCGCCCCGCTGCTGAGATGGGCCAGCTTGGCCGTCCTTCCCAATCAAGCCTGCCCTATGTCTCTTGGCTTTGCTCAGAATCCTACATATGTTATTAACAGCTGCGGCTGACCAAGAGTGACCCATGCATGCAAGGCGGGCGACTACAAATTGCGGGCATTGGGGGTCTGATAAGGAGAGGCGGGAGTACAATACCCCCTCCTTGCTCTGCTTCCTCACGTACAGGCCAGACTCCTTGGCCGTTGATCCAAACTCCCTCTTGCCGGTCTCTGGATTTGCAACATTGAACGGCATAGCCCAGCTGGACCTTAACCAGCAGAATCGAAACAGCCTCTCGACTTGGCGGTCGGTGGCCTCTCTTCGTCACTGCAAGGAACCATACGGGTTCAGTATCAGCAAGGAGCTGGAAAGTACACTGCTATGCTCGAGACAAATTACGAGACCTAACCAGCAGCCCGCCCGTTATGCTCCAGACGCAGAAGGGGGATTGGGTACGTGAGGGGAAATACATAAAGCAGAGCCGGCCCTCGTGTTCAATACAGCACGGCCACCGCTCAGGGATGCAGATCATCTGGTCCAGACCAAAAGGCGAACGCGCTTCCGTGTCCAGTTCGTGGGGGAAAGCACTGTCTCGTACTTCGGCGAGCTTAACCGAAACATCGGCGAGCTATCTTATCTAATTCGCAACACGGCTGGAGGGCCAGGCGACGCTCAGTGATGCGCGCGAGACTTCTAACCATTCGCCGTTGATTGCAGTTGGACGAAAGAGTGCAATATTGACTTCAGACCTTGAAGACTGCTTGACCTGATTGCCGATACAAAAAAACCCAACTGTTCCAGCACAGCCTAACCATGATATGGCGACATCCGTCGCTACGCGCACGCGCGCGTCCCTTTGAGAGAGTCGGCGAAGCTGCAGGCGATTGATAGGCCGCTGCTGAGCACGCCATCGCGTCGGGCTTGACAACCTCACAAGCTTTCCATTAAACCGCTGGATGCCTTTATCTCCAGGGCACGCCATGCGTAGATCAGGGCGGGAGGGGACACGGTTGTTCAATTAATTCCATAGTTTGACAGTTGGAGTCGCAACTTCACTTCCTACACTAACAACATGATCTGAAGTCGGTCTGTCTGCGACAGCCTCGTACCGTCCCTTCCAAACATGGCCGCCCTGGACCCTAACGTTCCTTTTGCCCACCTCCTACGAGACAAATCGCACACACTTCCTCGACTCGACGATGTGGAAAAGGTGGATTTGGAAACTCTAGAGGACGTCAGCAGTGCAGCCTCGTCCGTCAGCGACTCTTCCGCAAGTGCAGCCTCGTCCGACGCATCGTCCACGCAGGGTGCGACGCAGGATGATGGCAAAGCCGCGCGGGTTGCTGAAGCGCATACCACATACTATCCCCACCCTACGGCCTTTGAGATTGGCGAGCACCCCATCGACCAAATTCGCCCTCTGAAGGTTGCCATTGTTGGTGCGGGCCTGTCGGGCATTACTGCTGGAGCCCTTCTTCCCATCAAAGTTCCGGGGGTCAAATTGACGATCTTTGAGAAGAATGCCGATGTTGTATGTCAACACCCGTTGACTGTAGGATCGTTGGACCGCTCCGCTGACTGATGACACCAGGGAGGGACGTGGTTTGAGAACACATACCCAGGTGTGCGCTGTGACATTCCCGCGCACGTCTACCAATCGAGCTTCTTCCCCAACACACAGTGGAGCGAAGAGTATGCACAAGGCCCCGAAATCCGAGCGTATTGGCAGTCGGTGGCGCAGAAGTACGACGTTTACTCCAAACTCCGAACATCGACGAAAGTCACCGGTTCCTACTGGGAGCCTCAACGAGCGCAATGGCGACTGGAAATTGATGCATCGGGGGAGCGGTCGACGGAGTATTTCGATTTTGTCATCCAGGCGATTGGTCGTTTCAATAGCTGGAAGCTGCCAGAATACCCGGGGATGGACAAGTATAAGGGGAAGATCATCCATTCCTCGCATTGGGACGACTCGTTTGATGCGACGGGCAAGCGCATCGCCACCATTGGCAATGGAGCTTCTGGTATCCAGGTGACTCCTGCGTTACGCAAGATTGGTATGATATGGCGGGCTTTGTGGATGTCGACTGATAGCTGACTGAGATGCGTAGCCACACACATTGACCATTACGTTCGATCTGCGACGTGGATTGCCGGCAAGTTCACACCGTGGCTGAGGGAGCGGCAAGAGGCACCCATTCCATTCAGTGAAGAGACAAAGGAGGCCTTCCAAGATCCCGACATTTATCTCCTGTACCGGAAGAAGTTGGAGGATGGGTTCTGGCGAACGTACGCGGGAATCATCAGCGATTCCGCCGCTGCACAGGCCTTGCCTGGAAAGCTGAAAGCCATCATGAAGGAGCGGTTAGAGAAGGGAGGCCGGCCGGACTTCGTCGAAAAGCTCATCCCGGACTTTCCGCCACACTGTCGTCGGCTCACACCAGGCCCTGGATACTTGGAAGCCATAACGAAGGACAACATTGAGCTTATCACCACCCCGATCGACCATTTCACAGAAGATGGGATCGTTGATAAGGAGGGGAACCATCGGCCTGTTGATGCCGTCATTTGTTCGACTGGTGCGAACACGGATTGTGCGCCTCCCGTACCCATCGTTTCTGGGGACTTTGATCTGGCCAAGGACTGGAAGATTGGTGGGAAATTCGGCTTCCCCTACAGCTACCTCGGCGTAGGCGTGCCAGGGTTCCCCAATCTCGCATTCATCCTGGGTCCGAATCCCGCGGGCCCGACGGGGACGTTGGTGAACTCGGCGGAGACGCAGATTGCGTACATCGCCAAGATGCTGCGGAAGATTTCGTCGCAGGGAATCAAAACCATGACTCCCGCTCGGCAAGCAGCCGATGACTTTGTCGAATACTGCGATGCTTTCTTCCCGCGTACCAACCTGACGAAGAAGTGCAGTTCGTGGTCGAATAGCGGCGTCCCGGGAGCTCGCATTCATGGGCACTGGCCGGGGAGTGCTGCTCATTTGAACCTCGTTCGTCGAGAGCCAAGGTGTGTTTCCCCATTGACGTATGTCGAACGAGATACTAACCCTATCTCCAACAGGTGGGAGGACTTTGAGTATACATATGTCCGATCTGAGAATCGCTTTGCATACTTTGGAAATGGATGGACGACGCGCGAGAAGGATCTGGATTATGATATGGTTTCATATCTCCGAACGGAGAAGACTAATGACTTGAGGAATTTGCATGAGCTCTGGTGGGATGTTTAAGGGATATCTGCCAGGCGTACAGGGGTTGAAGCGTACAGTGGTGACGATATGAACCACCATTCATTCCGTCGTTAAGATCTGCTGCGGTCATTTCTCGCAGTACTTCTTCAAATTATCACACCAGTCCCGAAACTTGGCGTCCAATGTTTTCTGATACATCCATTTGACCACGTATGCCAGCGGGCCGGCCATGTTCTCCCACGTGCGGACTTCACATTCATTTTCGCCGAGCACAATGATTTCGTGAAAGCGCTCGGTTCGCACGCCGAGGGTGATGAGTCCTGGAGCAGACTTCCATGCGATGCGGTAGATCTTGCTCAGATCTGACGTGTACGACTTGTCCTCTTCGAGGGTGGCAGAAGGAATGTAGGTGGATGGATGGTCGGGGGTAGAGATGTCTGACACTTGCAGCGCGGTATCATTAACCTTGTGCGGCTTGTTTGAGTCCATGACGGCGCCAAAGGTGAAGAAGGTTCCGACGTGAAGAATGGCAGGATTATCGGCATCCTCTGGCTGCGATTGAATGGTTACTGTCGGACAGAAGCTGTTCCATTCGCCGTATTTGCTGATGTCGCGGGTGACGGCGAAGACTTTGGAGGCGGGTGCGTGTATGGTCGCCGTACCGATGATGGTGAACGTAGTCTCATTTGCCGGAACAGAGGGGGTTGATAATTTGCCCGAGGGCGGCGGCCATTGCGTGCTCATGATGGTTGATATAGACGGAGGGGGTTGATGAATGTGATGTGATAAAGTAGAGCGGAGTGAAGGAGGAGACGTCATTGAAGGCAAGGCACTCAGGCGACTTCGAGGCTTTGCAGTAGCGTTATGGCTTCGCCTCTGTCCATTGACTCGCAGTTTGCTTATTTGTGACGAAAGATGGTAAAGATCTGGCATTAACGCCATTGATCTGTATTGCTATGTCCATTCCTTGGGAGACCCGGTGTAGACATCGGAATGGAGCGTACGGAATTGAAACCATCACCGCTCACCATACCGTCTGTGAAAGATGGTCTGCGCTGTTCATGACAGTAGCTGGCAGACCTCTAGAAATGTTGATAAGACCATGGTCACGACGAGCCGACAATCTTCACTCTGCCCTCCAAAGGTTCATACGTCCTCTCTTTCCTCCGCTTCAACCCATCCACAGGCTTCCCAAACACCAGCTGAGACTTGAGGATCCATGATTTGGGAAGACTCCATCGCTCGCGCACCTTTTCACTGAACTCCGACATGAAGTTGAAATGCTGCAGATTGCATCCCAAGCCCTCCAGCTCCAACGCCGTCCACACGAGGAACTGATGCATCCCCGACGACGAGTCCGCCCACTCCGGAACGAGATGTCCAAAGAGCGGGTTCTTCGCCGCCAGGCCGTCCAGTGCTTCTTGGTCCTCGAACCATAACACCGTCCCGTATGCGCCGCGGAAGCCTTGCACCATCTTGGAGAGGAAGGCGTGGTTCTTCTCCTCCGTGGCGCTCGTCACGCTTTCATCAGCCAAAGCCCATAGCGCCTCGTGTTCTTGCTTGACGAGGATGACTGCTCTGGCCGATTGGACGTTGAAAGATGACGGTGCATGCTTCACCGCTCGTTCCACGATTTCTGCGATCCGTGAATCCTTGATGGTGCTTTCATTGGAGAGGGTGTAGCATGACAAGCGAGTCTCCGCTGCGGTGAATAGCGAGTCCACCGTCGCTTTGGAATCCGACATGATGGCTGTTTTATTCCGTTTGATGGTGCTGACTTGATGTATTGCTCGTACTTTTTCTGCATTCAATTGATGCTTTGATGGAGTATCCCGCTATGACGTTCCGAGGGGAAGGCGGGCGGTTGAATGGTTCAACGCTCGGGATTGCGTGCTTGACAAGCGCAGGAGATATGCCACTCTCGTCGATGCCCATCATTTCTGTTAACCGCCATCTTCAGAGTGACAGGAGCATTACAGACACGTCGTCTACGGATTCACATGTCTACGTCCAGTGTCTATACTATTTGAAGATTCCATAAAGCAGCCCACACGCAAGCATGGGCAGAACCGCGATGCCCCAGAAAATCCACACAATGCCAACGGCAAAATAAACACGCATCATGTCCAGCCAGCTTCCATAATACCTTTCTACCGTCGACGAGTTCTCATCTTTGGGAGGTGATGTGGGGAGTGCAGCGGCTAATGTGACGGCAACCTGGTTGTTGATCTTGTCCCATGTGGTCTCAAGAGCCTGTTGTCGAGCATTCACAGCCATCTCGCCTCGTAGCGTGGTATCCGAGGAGAGCTTCAGCGCATACTTCACAAAGCCGTCAAGATCATGTGGGTCAACGAGGTAGCCGGAGCGCCCGTGCTTGACCGTCTCGGACGGACCGCCTTCGTCTCGAGCAATGACCGGCACGCCGGACGCCATAGACTCCAGCACCACCAGTCCAAAGGTTTCCGTAATGGAGCAATGTAGGAAGACGTCGGCCGTGGCGTACGCCCGTGCCAATGCCGTGCCGCGCAGGAAGCCAGTAAAGACGACGCGGTGCTTGAGTGCTTTGAAGTAATCGCGGACTTCCCCATCGACGCTTGGGTTTTTGTTCCCGCCGACAATCAAAAGCTTGAAATTGAGCCCGGTCTCATCCAGACGTTGAGCGACTTGCGCCAGGAACTCAAAGCCTTTCTCCGGAGCAAGTCGTGAAATGCAACAAAACACAATCTCATCCTTGCTCGCAATCTCTTCCCGGTAGGCCTCTTCACGACGGCCGGGATGGAATAATTCGGTATCGACGCCACGTCCGAGCTGTTTCATGATGTCGGAAGGAGCACCAGTCTTGGCGAGATATTCGCGAACGTAGCCGGAGGGATAGAAGATGGTACGCACGGCAGGGAGTCCAAAGAGGTAACCTTGAACGATAGAAAGCAGATACACCCCGTAGCGATCTAGCGGCGGAGGAAAGAGAATGGCAGAATATGCGGCAAGATCGGTCTGGAAGTTGAGCAGGGTAGGTGGCGGGTTATCCAGCTGGCCAAGTTGGACGAGGAATTGAAAGCCCACTGACGCCGGGCTGGCAAGATAGATGAGGTCGGGTTTGAACGTCTTGTCGTATATAGCTCCCAGGCGGAAGGGGTAGGCGACGGTGAGATCGGGGTTGTATGGGAGTGGGAAACCTTGCAGACGGTGCTCGGGATTCTGTCGACTCAATTTCGTCGCCTCCACCCTGCGTTTTGCTTGTTCGGCAGATCTCCGCGATGCCACTGGCGAGACGCCGGATTGAGCAGCCGGCTGTGGGTGTGTTGTCTGAAGCTTGGACTGATCATCACGGTCAAAGTGCCAGGACCATGCTCCTCCTATCGCTCGCGAGCCCAGGGCGGATGACTTTGCTTCGATCGATCGCACCCATTCCTTGTTGACAATTGGTTTCCGCTGTTGCTTGGCCTCTGTCGGATTGATGGGCTGTCCCTTGTAGAATGGCGCACACGTTGCCACATGCACTCCATTGCTTCTCAGGTAGTCGACAAGCGACTGTGTCGTTCGTGACACTCCATTGACGGGGCCAAGAGATTCGGTCGCGAGAAGCACCTTTTTGCCCACGAGTTCGGCGGGGAAGATGATGGGTGATGCATGTGTTGTCTCTGTTTGGAGGAGTGCCATTTCGACCTAATCGGGTTAGAGCCAGTCCTGGACGATGACGGGGGGAGAGATTCGATATTGCAGCGTCGACTGTGATCGCATTCCCTTTGACACCAACCCGCAAGCGCTCTGGTCACCGGCGCAGGCCTTGCGAAGGGGCGACGAGGTGTGCTGGTGTGACGTGGCGACCATTCAAGCTGCGGGCGCGCGACCCTGAGGTGCGACGAATATATACCTGCGGGTAGTGAAGGCAACGATACGAGAAGCATCCGCTTCGCGACAGGCGCGTGCAAGCGCGGTACCAGCGCACGCCAAACGATTCCGCATTTCCGTAGTGGCGACCCCCGGGTCGATGCTCGGATGGCCTGTCAGCGCGTGGTGAGTGCACGAGGGCAGAGGGTGTGCATTTGTGTGGTGCCCGTCATGAGGCAACGAAGTCAGCACGCCTCGGCTGCGCGCGCTCTCATTCGTCGACGCGCGACCCTCGACGACATCCCACCAGCACATCACTCCCCCGACCTCCAACCATTTCCTCCACGCATGCCCGAAAACAACACGGGGTCATTTCGTTGTAGTAGAGGCGGTGAAATTGCCGAAGCCGCATCATGAGTAAGGCAAGCGCGAAACAGCGTCCCTTTCTTTATCGCGTTCACTTTTTTCCTGCACACGCGACTTCCGTCTTCTCTTTTCCTTTCCTTCATCTCGTGCTTGCCCTTTTCCTCTCAGGCCGGCTGGTACGACACGCGCTTGTTGTCCGACATCATGAGTCCTTCGTGGGCAGAATCATTGATTACATCACCAATGACTTCTCTTCCATCGTTAAGTCGGTCGGACGGCTCTACGGGGGAGAGTGCATCACCTCCAGCAACCCCTGCGGACATGTCGCCATACATCGATGCCCAGGCATATTCTTTGCCGACAATAGACGCGATGAACCTCCCTCGCCACGCCGACGCCTCGCGGCCTGCCTATCCCAACACTCTCCCCGACATCATGGACCCCGACACTGCGAGATCTGTGTCAGTGCAACGACTGTGTTGTATTGGGGCGGGCTATGTTGGTGCGCAGCACTGCTTCTTCCGAGGTGATGTGAGCTGGAGCTAACTCTTACACTCATGCAGGTGGACCGACCGCCGCGGTCATTGCTCTGCATAATCCCCATGTCCGCGTGACCGTTGTTGACCGCGATGAGAAGCGCATCAACGCCTGGAAGGGCAAACACCTTCCCATTCACGAACCGGGATTGAACGACGTGGTCCGCGCAGCAAGAGATGGCCTCTGTGGGCGGAAAGCAGAGCACGAGCGTCGCGATTATGCCAACCATGCTCAAGCACGCGAGGAGAGTGTGCGCCAGCCAAACCTCTTCTTCTCCACGGCATGCACTCAGACAATTGCGGAATCCGACATGATCTTCATCAGTGTCAACACTCCCACCAAAGTGCGAGGAGTCGGGGCGGGCAGGGCCACAGACATGACGGCGCTTGAAGGGGCCGTGCGGGACGTTGCCATGCACGCCAGGCCCGGCACCATCTTGGTGGAAAAGAGTACGGTTCCCTGCAAGACTGGCCAGCTGATCAAGGACATTCTCGAAGCGTATCGGCCGGGCGTTTCCTTTAGCATTCTCTCCAACCCCGAGTTTCTCTCCGAAGGAACGGCTGTGCGCGATCTCATGCGCCCTGATCGTGTGATTCTCGGTTGCGAGTCGACGATTTCGGGGCATCGTGCTGCTGCGGCCCTGGCCAATCTCTATGCCGCCTGGGTTCCACGCTCAAAGATTGCGCCCATCAATATCTGGTCATCGGAGCTGTGCAAGCTGACCGCAAACGCCATGCTTGCGCAGCGTATCAGCAGCATCAACTCCATCTCCGCCATTTGCGAGCGCACCGGCGCGGATGTGAGCGAGATTGCAAAGAGCATAGGCATGGATGCACGGATAGGACCGCAGTTCCTCAAAGCTGGCTTGGGGTTTGGTGGTTCGTGCTTCCGGAAAGATATCGCCAGTTTGACATACCTCGCGGAATCCCTGGGATTGCCCGAGGTTGCAGCATATTGGCAGCAAGTGATTACCATGAACAACTTCCAGCGGGACCGGTTCGCCAGATCCGTCATCTCCTCACTTCACAACACTCTGCGAGGCAAGAAGATTGCGATTTTGGGCTACGCCTTCAAGAAGGACACTGGTGATGCTCGGGAATCTCCGGCTTTGGATGTGATTCGAATTTTGCTGGAAGAGAATCCGAACAGCATTGCCATCTTTGACCCATTGTGCAGCGAAGCCGACATTGTCCGCGAATTGCGAGCGGTGGACAGCGAGACGGAAATTATGCAGCCTCGAGGACCTGTGGAGATTGTTTCCGACCCCTACACGGCGTGTGCCGACAGCAATGCTGTGCTTGTGTTGACCGACTGGGACATGTTCAAGCTACGCAAGTCCAACAGAGCGGTGCAATCCAAGGTGGAGGAGCATCAATTCGACGGAGCAGCGCCCACGACAATTTTGCAATTAAGACACAAGGCTGACAAGATCCCCGTTCCGGCGGCAACACTGCTTACTCCTCCGCATACTCCTGACATGAAGGGTGCAAGCTTGGAGACCGAGGCGCGACTCATGCCCGAGCCAGCTTGTCCTCCAGAGTGTGTCGAATGCAAATCAATGGCCGCTCGAAGTGTGTCGAAGAGTGTGGACATTACCGAACCTGTGGACTGGTCTCGAATTTCAAGCTCGGTCAAGGAGCCTAAGTGGGTGTTTGATGGGAGGGGGATATTAGATGCATCCGCAATGGTCGGGAAGGGATTCAGGTTGGAGACGCTGGGACGTGTGAGCCTTTATTGATTGTGAATAGACTCCCTAGATTGTGCATTGAATGGCGATCGGCAGTGATTGATAGAATTTAGCCGAAGCTTTCCCGTCGCCATGCCAATGTGGAGCTTCACCTCATCCTTTCTGACTCAATGGATGCGTCCCAGAGGCGAAATGGGAAATGATGGAGCGATGAGCCGATGACAGCGCCGTGGTCTTAGTTAAAACGCAGTCATTCACTCATTGCGGAAGACGCGGTCATTTCCACTCTCCCACCTCGCAACACACCCCACGCCGGGACTTCCAAGACTTGCGCCTGCGTGAATTGAAGATGCCCGCGGAGATGGGTCGTTCAGTCACCATGCGATGCTCGTTCGCAGCTCAGATTCGTCGATATTCGGCGGCACCATCTCGCTCCATTCCTCCTGCCAAACAACGTTTTGTGCCCAAATCGGGCACCTATCCCAAGGGGTTTCTGGCCGGGACGTCCCACGCCGGCGTGAAGGCGTCGAATACACAACACGACGATATAGCGCTGGTCGTCTCGGAGAAGCCGTGCGTTGCTGCCGCCGTGTTCACTCGCAACCTCTTCCGTGCGGCACCTCTCGAATTCTCCAGGGCCCTTCTGCATCGCCGGCAAAACGCGGGCGTGCGTGGAGTGGTGGTGAACTCTGGCTGTGCCAATGCAGTGACTGGAAAGAAGGGTCTCTACCATGCAAACGAAATGTCCAAAAGTATCGATCAATGCTTTGATCCGGAGGAGCACTTCCAAACCAACGAGGAGGAATTCAAGCTTCGCACGCTCGTCATGAGCACCGGGGTGATTGGGCAACACCTGCCCATTGATCGCATCCGAGAAGCAATTCCCCGCGCCCATGCTGCCCTTGGCTCGGAGCATGAACACTTCATGGCCGCCGCTCAAGCCATCTGCACCACCGACACCTTCCCCAAGCTCATCTCCCGCACCTTTACCCTGCCTTCTCACCCCGAAACCGAGTATCGAATCGCCGGCATGACCAAAGGCGCCGGCATGATCCATCCAAACATGGGCACGCTGCTTGGCATCATCTGCACTGATGCCAACATCACGCCCGGATGGGATGTCAAGAATGTTCTCACATCGGCCAACGAGCGATCTTTTAACTGCATCTCCATCGACGGCGATACGAGCACGAACGACACCATTGCCCTTTTAGCAAACGGGGCGGCGGCACCGGAGGGCAGTGCACCGTTGAGATATCGCAAAGGAGGGGCGAAGTGGAGTGGAGACGAGAAAGTGTTCCACGATGTTCTGGTCGAAGTCATGACCGATTTGGCGCAGCTCGTCGTTCGCGATGGCGAGGGCGCGACCAAATTCATCACGGTGGAGGTAATGTCGCCACATTCGAAGAAGGCCGCTCAACGCGCTGCAGCGAGCATCGCGACATCCGCACTGGTCAAGACGGCAATGTACGGCCAGGACGCAAATTGGGGCCGGATATTGTGTGCGATTGGATACGCGCCCGGAATCGTCCACAATCCCGTGCAACAAGCCTCGCCCGAGGAGAATCAAGTCAACCCGGAGAAGACATCGGTATCCTTCATCCCCGCCGACGGGAGCGAGGAGCTCAAGGTGTTCATTCGGGGGAGGGCGCAAGAAGTGGACGAGAAGCGTGCAAAGGAGGTGCTGGAGATGGAGGAGATTAAGATTGTGGTCTGGCTAGACGAACTACCAGAGGGCGGGAAGTGGCACACGGCGCGGTACTGGACTTGTGACTTTAGTCATGAGTATGTCACCATCAATGGGGATTACAGGACGTGATATTATGGATCATTCGAGCGGCATGTTGTATACACTTGCGATATATCTATGTTGAATGCCTGCTGCATCCTGCGGACATTTCCTCGTCTCTGTCCATCGAATGCGCCACATACGTTGCCCGGTTTTGGGGGCACGCAGTAGGGGCCATTGCTGCGGTCCAGTTTCGCTGTACTGGCCAAGATCGAGTACTGCCTTTGTCGGTCTACTTCTCGCTCGTCGATTCGGAGCTGTCGGCCTCACGAGAGCAACTGCTCACTGTGCGTGAAAAAAGGGTTCGTGATGCTGCCATTTTGGTGCCTCTGCGTTGGGAAGTTGGAGTCAGCCTTTCGCATGGTTGCCCGTCATGAAAGACTCACTGCTTCACGATTTGCCTTTGCTTCAGACTTGCCAGTTTCTGGCTTGCTGGACTGAGGATGGCGTCGGATGGGCTGACGTAGGGCTTGCTGGATTTGCTGCGGCAAGTCAGATGGTGTTTGTGGATTGTTGGCGAGGTTAACATACCCATCTCGGTCGGCGAGCTGGCGGTCAAGCAGCGACTTGTGCAGGTTCTGTTGTCCTCGGGCTGTCTGCGTTTGCATTTGGAGGTTGGTGCTCCGGTCTGCGAGGGGGGGAGACATGGTGGAGATGCGGCTGGGTGATGTTCACATTGAAGAGGAGATGTTTTCTTGAATGCCCTGCTCGAGTGCAGATGTGCAAAGACTGCACGGGCTAGATCGCTTGCCGCCATCAACTCGGTTTGGGGTCGATCTCTTTCACGAAAACAGTCGGGGCGTTGCTGGGGTGATGGGATTCTCTTGTCAGGATCGATGGCGAACTCCCCGACATTCATCTCGTTGGTGGACGACGATGAGCCTGTCTCACATGAGGCAAGGAACGCCGAGACTTTGCGGAAGAATAGGAGATCAGAACACGAGAGCGGGCTTATTCAATGTACCTATCTTGCCCATCACGGTCACTCCGCGGGCAATGCCAGGGCGTAGCTGGACTATACTGCCTGATTGTCATGTTCTAGACCCCAGCCTCAGTTCATCCTCACGGCGATGTCGTTGTATCCCACATTGAGGTATGTACGGCCCTGCAAGGCCCTGTGATCACTTCCTCGGGATCGTGGGTGGTGCGCGCCTCACGGCTTCCAGCGAATTACCTCGGACATGCACTTCCGAGCATCACGGCCGAGATGAGGGGGAGTCGGAGGAGTATTATTGTTACCACAACTCCCATATTCGCCCAACGTTCTCTCCAAACTGCTTCAATCTGTAAATACATCACGATAATCATGGCTGACATTGAGACAATTGGATGGGTGGTGCACGAGGCGAAGCAGGACTTTAAGCTGGAAGAGCTGGTTGTCGAAGCCCCTCGAGACGATGAGCTTCTAATCGACATGAAGTTCTCCGGCATCTGCCATACCGTCGGTATAGCCGTCTATGCACTCACGGTCCAGGCTGACATTGTCGCAGGATTTGGTCTTTCAACAGGGAGAACTGACACTTTGCCCGTATCCTGCTGTCTTTGGCGTGCGTACTCAGCCTACAAAGATCATTGCGTAGGCTAACACCTGGCCAGCACGAAGGCGCAGGATTCATTCGATCCATCGGCCCCAAGGTGAAGAACAAGGATCTTAAGGTCGGCGACTTTGTCCTGCTATCAATCAACTACTGCGAGCAATGCAAATTCTGCAAAACCAAGCATCCGGCAAAGTGAGGCCTCCCATCACGTTCAAGTCGACCTGTCCCTGCTAACACTATTCAAAGCTGTATTCACGGCAGCAAGCTGCATCTCTTTGGCACTCGTCCAGACGGCTCATGCTCCGCCAAATTGAAGAGGACTGGCGAGAGCGTCCGATCTTACTTTTTCGGTCAATCGAGTTTCATGAAGACCAATTGCGTGGCCGAGACTTGCGTGGTCAAGTATGAGGGCTCACCGGATGATGCAGCCATGTGCGCAGCTATGGGTTGTGGTTATCAGACTGGTATGTTCAGTCGTGCTCTCGAATGACCCCAGCTGACTGAAACTTGCAGGCGCCGGAACGGTGATGAACGTCTTGAAGCCGACGTCTGACGACTCCGTCGTGGTATTTGGCTTGGGAACCGTCGGCTTAACCGCAATCATGGGGGCGAAATACTGCGGTGCTAAGCAGATCATTGCCGTCGACATCCAGGCGTCCAAATTGCCCCTCGCGAAGGAAGTCGGGGCAACGCACCTCGTCAACTCACGCGAAGTCCCCGATATTGTCGCCCATATCAAGGAATTGACGGGCGGTACTGGTGTTGACTTTGCAGTCGACTGCAGTGGAGTCATCCCGGTCATTGAGAAGATGATTGATTGCTTGGCCATGTTTGGAACTGCCGCGACCGTTGGCGTGCCACCGTCTGGAGCCAAAGTAGCCGTGGACCCTCTACAAATGCTTCTTTACAGCAGGAAATACGTTGGTGTCAGAGAAGGCGATTCCGACCCGCCAGTGTTCATTCCCAAGCTGGTGGAGATGCAGAAGCAGGGCCAATTCCCCGTGGAGAAGATCATCAAGGTTTACGATTACAAGGATATGGCCCAGGCGCTGCATGACTTGCACGCGGGTAGTGTGGTCAAGCCGGTTATTCAATGGTTCTAGACGAGTCTTGGAAGCGCAGGTGAATTGCATAGTTCAGTCTCATTGGAGCGCTATCAGTACCCTCCCAATCCTTGCAACCTGGCTCCATCGTGAAACATCATCAATTCGAATCACGGTCCTTCTTTTCCTCCTCCAAAGTAACTTCTCCGTCTCCTTGGACATGCTTCGTCTCGCTCTCCGGTACAGGCGCGGTCGAGCTTCTCCTCCGCATGGTAGAACCACGTCTGTATGCCTCTGTATCTTCATACCGGATGAGAAGCTCTCCATTCTTGCCGAATCGTCTGGGCTTGTCGTGGGCGACCTTCACCACCGTGAGTGCGCCTTTGAGGCCGGAAATGTCGTGGAAGATTTCGTCCATTTCCTCAAGCGATCTGTATGCAGTTTCTGGGTAGAAGAAGTACACGCATGGGACCATGAAGGCATTGATGCATGCAAAGACGGTGTATGTGTTGTAGCCAATGCTGGCAAAGGCGGGAGGAGTGACCATGACGACCATGAAGTTGAAGATCCAGTTGGCGGTGGTGGAAAGGGCGGTTGCGGGAGCTCGAATGGACAGAGGAGTGATTTCTGCGGGATAAAGCCTTGAAGACGAGTCAGTAGTGTTCGTCATTGTCTCCATCTTGACGACTTACCAAGTCATACCAAGCCCTGAAGACGTTCGTCAGCGATGCGCCATGCAAGAGATGGTTTGGGAAGAAGACTTACACCCGACGGCGAAGAAGGAGTTGAAAACAAACAAGAAGATCGCGGCGACTACACCACAGGCTTTGGACTGGAGATTGGCGCTCGTTGCGGCCAAGACGGCCATGGAACATGCTTGACCGACTGCGCCGAAAAGCATCAACTGCCTTCGGCCGAACTTTTCGATGGTGAAGACAGCCACCCAGGATGCCATGAAGTACTCGGTGCCGTTGCAAGCTGCTAGAAGACGACTTAAGAAGCCGGAGAGGCCGATGCTTTTGAATACTGTCGCAGCGTAGTATCTGCGTGTTTGTTAGCCAGACAGATAAAATACGGATGAAGACTATGGATTCACGTACGTGATGATGTTTATACCTAAGAAATGACGATTAGCAAGGGCCTTATTCTTTCCAAGAACAAAACAGCTGGACTTACCGGAGATTTGTTGAAACATCTGATTGACGTACGCGAGAATTGTCCTGTGAAGGTTGCGATTCGGGTTCCGGTCGAAGCAGTCGATAAATTTGCCCTTGGACATTTCGAAGACGACGTCTTTGACCTGGAGAGCGTTCAGAGCTGTCTTGGCGCAGACGAAGACGATGGGTGCATACCGCATTGAACTCGAATTGAATTCTCTCGTCATCTTCCGGGAGATCTGCCAGCGCCGACAAGACCTGCAGGGCTTCTTTATCACGGCCTTTCAATATCAACCTGGGTGTCCTGTCAGTGCTGATGTTCATTGGGGTTGGCTGAGACAAGACTTGCCATCGTGGCGACTCGGGTAGACCAAGGACTGTGCTGACGATGAAGAGGCAGAGCACGATTTGGAATGCTAGGGGAAAGCGCCATGCAATACTCGAAGGGTCCAAGAAGGAGAAGCCAAGATCGATCCAATCTGTTGAAGTCAGTATGTTGTGTGGTGTGAACGAGACGGCGGCAACTCATACAAGACAGCATCACTCCAAATACGATGAGAACGCCTTCAATCATCACCATTTGGCCACGACGATTCGACTTGGACGTTTCAGACTGCCATATCGGAACGGTGGAGGTATTCTGTGGGGTGGTTAGCTGGTGATTGTCTGGGCTGCCGTGTCATGATCATACCATTCCGTTGCCGAACCCCGTAATCAGTCTGGCCGCAATGAGCTGGCCGAGGCTGTATGAAGAGCATTGGATGGTGGCGCCGACAATCATGATGCACGTTCCCGTGAAAATGGTCTTTCTCCGTCCGAGGATATTTCCCAGCCAGATGGTAGCAGCGGCCCCGAAGAAGCAGCCAAGGGTGTATCCGCCGACAGTAATCCCTGATTGCACGAATCAGATACGTGGGTTATCAATGGACCGGAGACCGCATACCTTGTACGTTTGAGGCCTTTTGCTTCGTCCATCCGTGAGGAGGAGAGTTGGTGTCGATTTGTGGGAATGTTTTCAGGAAACCATCCAAGGTCAAAAGACCTCCCATGACACCCTGTGGGCTGGGTCAGCTTTTCATGATGAGAGCATTGGCCGTCGCCGACGCACCTGGTCGTAGCCGAACAACGCAAAATCACATCCGGCAATAGTCGCAATGGCGATGCTGAGGTGAAGGCCACGAAGGCCGTAGTATGGTTTGCCCATTTTGTCGTGTACGCGGTGAAGTAAAGGCAAGGAAGCGGAAGGGGCGAAGCAGAAAGAAGGTAGAGGTATGGAGCTGGGTGGGTTTGTGTCTCCACGCTACAAAATGACGATGATGATCAATGCTCGAATGGGGAGGTGAGACTGCGCGAGTTGTTCACGCGACATGCACGATACCTTACGTCACTTTGGAGTTTTCGCGGATCGCGATGATATATCACGGACTGCACAGTTTGTGGTTTTGTGCGTGGTGATCAGATGCTCCCTCCTGCACGAGAGCGATCTCGTCGGAACATCTAATGGTAGAGCCGCAATGTGAAGCCAGCGTTCATCGTGGAGATGGCAAAAGCAACATCCGCAACAAATGCCGCTTTTGCCGTGTGCCCCAGGATTTGAATTCGCGGAGGTCCGCCCCAGCTTTGGGAATGCGCCACATGCGTGCGGCTCCGCGGTGTGGCGTCCCGGCGGAAAAGTCTAATTTTTCCTCGTTCACCGCAGGTAGTGATATCGCCAGCTGAAGTGTGAATAGCTCGAGGCACTGTCCATCCGCAACCGATTGCCGCGTTACAAAGCACCCTGCGCCTGTAGTTTTCTCTGCAGCTTGGGCGACGACGGTCTTGCAATCCAGTCACCATGATCTCCATCCGTTCGTGCTGTCCTTTCACCTACTCGGCTTCTGACTAACATCTCACAGGCGTGCCATGCTCTTCGGCGAATATAGGTGAGCTGGCCGTCACGCAGGTACGACTCCCACTGACCACGCTCAGGCCCCGGGTTTGATGTCATTGGTCTTGCACTATCGGTATGGCTCGAGCTCCAGGTCACCATTGGCGAGAAGGCATCCACGGCGTCCAAATACAACTGCCGAATCACGTATGAGGGCTTGGGAAAGGAGGATGTGGAGCTTGTCGCCGACCGCAACCTAATCACACAGACTGCGCTCTATGTGTTGCGATGCCATGGCTGGACGGCTTTCCCGGAGGGCACGCATGTGCATGTCATCAACCCCATTCCACTCGGACGCGGTCTGGGATCATCTGGAGCTGCTGTCGTCGCTGGGGTGTCGCTGGCGAATGAAGTCGGAAAACTCGACATGTCCAAAGATCGTATCTTGGACTTTTGCCTCATGGTAGAGAGACATCCGGACAACGTTGCCGCAGCCCTCTACGGCGGCTTCGTGGGATCCTATCTCAAGGAGCTCAACCCGGAAGACATGAAACGGCGGGAGATTCCGTTGGCGGAGGTTCTTCCGGCACCACAAGGAGGTGAAGACACCGGTCTTACTCCTCCAGTGCCGCCGAAGGATATTGGTAAACATATTCGCTTCCCTTGGGCCAAGGAAATCAAATGCATCGCCATCATCCCCGATTTCGAGGTGTCTACCGCCAAGGCCCGGAGCGTCCTTCCACAGACTTACGACAAGGCCGATGTCATCTACAATCTGCAACGAGTCGCCCTTCTCACAACCGCGCTTGGCCAAAGTCCACCAAATGCCGACATGATCTACGACGGCATGCAGGATAAAGTCCATCAGCCATATCGCAAGGGTCTCATCCCTGGTCTCACGGAGATCCTCCAATCAGTGACGCCAAGCAGGAATCCTGGTCTGCTGGGCATCTGTCTTTCCGGCGCCGGCCCAACCATTCTCGCACTCGCAACTGAAAACTTTGAGCAGATTGCCCATCATTTAATTGCGCAATTCAAGGCCGAGAACATCACCTGTGACTGGAAGTTGCTGGAGCCGGCTTATGACGGCCTCACTGTAACGTACGGTGCCCAAGCTCAAGCCAGCGCAGAGTCTGCCATGACATATGCTGATGCAGGCGTGTCAATAGAGGCCGGTAACGAGCTTGTGCAAGCCATCAAAGCTGCTGTGGCCTCGACGAGACGCCCTGGGGCGGACGCAGAGATTGGAGGGTTTGGTGGCGCGCTTGATCTGGCAGCAGCAGGCTACACCGAGCCGCCGATTCTCATACAAGCCATCGATGGTGTCGGGACCAAGCTCAAGATTGCCTTTGCCATGGACGACTTTTCTACGGTGGGCATCGACCTGGTCGCCATGAATGTCAACGATCTGGTGGTGCAAGGAGCCGAGCCTTTGACGTTCATGGACTACTACGCATGCTCCAAGCTGGTTATTCAAGATGCGGTGCGGTTCGTGGAGAGTGTTGCAGAGGGATGCAAACAAGCAGGTTGTGCTCTGGTCGGCGGTGAGACCGCGGAGATGCCGGGGATGTATCAAGGGAAGGAATTCGATGCCGGTGGCGCCGCTACGGGTGCGATCAAACGGGGCCAGAAGGTGCTGCCGGATAAGGAGTCCATGAAGGAGGGTGATGTTCTCATTGGCTTGCCGAGCAGTGGTGTTCACTCGAACGGCTTTTCACTGGTTCGGAGGGTGATTGAAAAGCATGGGTTGTCTTTTGGGCAGACGGCCCCATGGGATGGCAGTCAGACTGTGGGAAGGAGCCTCTTGACGCCCACACGCATCTACGTCAAGCCGTTACTGGCGGCAGTACAAAAGGATCTCTTGCTCGGCATGGCGCACATTACCGGCGGCGGCTTGGAAGACAACATCCCCCGAATGCTGCCGAAACACTTGGGCGCGGAGTTGGATGTATCGTCGTGGGAAGTACCTGGCGTGTTGAAGTGGTTGAAGCAGGCAGGCAACATCAGCCACAAGGAGTTTGCGCGGACATGGAACACTGGGCTGGGGATGGTCATTGTTGTGCAGCAACGGAATGTTGATGCCGCGATTGATGTTCTGCAAGGTGCAGGGGAAAAGCCGGCACGGATTGGAAGGCTTGTGAAGAGAGGGGAGGAAGCTGTGGTTTTGCATGGATTGGCACACTGGGATTGATGACGGCGTTACTTATATGGGAGAGATTGACGAGCGCCGGAATCTACAGCACCTGGGACATTCGGGCAGATGAATGCAGCGGTGCCTGGGGACTCGAAACTCATGCTGCATGTCTACAGGATCGGACGAAGCATAGCCGACTCGCGGTTTCAGAAAACCCGAGTCCATGCCCAACCAGCAGATACTCGAGAATGATCTTTGGAATGCGATCCGTCTTGTCATTGTAGATGGCACGGTTGTAGCAGGGTTTCCGAGAGTAAGCCGAGTAGCAACATCGCAGAGGTGGGACGTCCGTGGGCTTGCCAAACACTTCACCTCAGTCTCTTCGACTCGGTTTGCAAGATCTAAATGTCGCCCAAGCCCTGGCCGAGGTTGGTGTCGTTGACAAATTCCATTCCATTCTCCGCCACCTACGCTTGATGCATATGTAATGGGAATACGGCAAGTGGCGGAGCTGAGATCCCCGCCCGCCCAGCCCAAAGGCTTGGTTGCAATACGGTCATGGGTCATGTATGCAGGATCTGTGTACCTCGTATTTCCCGTATTCCCCCTTTCCAACCGCTTAATCTCCTTCAAGAGACTCTTAAACCCAGGCCATGTGTTCAATAGCGATTTGTTGAAGCACATTCAACATGGTCTTGAATGAAGGCAAGCCAACGGAGCCGGAAGGGTTGACGATCGAGGCATGGGCGGAAGGGTACAGGTATGGCACGATGATGACCCTTGGGTGCACCTCTACTCAACTGACTCTGCCGTAGTATGTTGTAGAGAATCAATCGTCGAGGACGTCGAGCTGACTCTCACAGTGGTCGGGTCTCTCATCGTAATGGCCTGCGTGACCGTTGCGAATATGCGCCGTGGAGTTTTGCTGCACAAATTGATCTTGATAGAGCTGATCTTTGGCACATTCATGGGGACTGTCATTTTTGTGAGATACAACCCGAGTCTGTCGCACGAGAACACTCGACTGACATTGCTAGACCAACCCGCCTACATATCACTGGTATCTGAGCGCAACCGCCATCCCGCTAAACACCAGCTGGTCTTTGCACAACGTGATTGCCTGGATCAAGAATAAGCCATTCCTCAGTCGACGAGCGAGCCTCTTCTACATCATCACCGTGGCCCTGGCTCAGCCGTATTGGGTGGTGGAGATTGTTGCGAATGTAAGTACCCGAGACTGCCGAATGGAGCCTGCTTCTGAACTACTGTCAGTGGCTATATTTTGGCGGATGGAGCAACATGTTTGTGCACACTCGTCCATTCGAGGCCTTGTTCCGGGATCCGTGGTGGGTCTTCACCATCTGCAGCCTGTTTTGGAATATCAAGTCTCGATATGAGTTTGGCTACCTGGAACTCATCCTCGTCTCCCCTCGGTTCGGCGTGCTGCTCGGCGCCATGATCCTGTCCATCTGCTTCACGATTCTCGACATCCTCGCGGTGACGCGGGTGATTTCCGGCTCGGGCTTGCCTGATGGTATCAATCCTTTTTGGAAATTGTCGTTTGTGTTCAAATGCTTGACGTGGGTTGCCGAATTCCATCTGGCTTGGAAGAGGCGTGCTGAATAGCTACAGGGACACTATCGTGCTCGACGATTTCAAGACGGCGCTTGACCGTTTGAAGCGATACAAGCTTTCGCAGCTTGGTGGGACATTCAGCAACAACTACTCGGAAGACTTTGCAGATATGGCCCGAGACAGTGGGAAGAAGAGCGATCAGCCTGCTGCCGCCGTGACACCGGGATCTCATGTGGAAAGAGCGAAGAACCAGGCGGCCAACGCCGACGGCAAGCTTGATATGCAAAGCGCTCTACGGTTGGATTCTCTGCAGTATGATGACCTTCCCGACTTGGAAAAGGGGTGAGCCGGGCGTTGGAGTCCCCTGTCAGGCACCAGTATGGATCGTGGAGTGATGTGTTCGCCGAAGCAATATGCGCACAAGACGCAGCTTTGCTACTCCATGCCGTCTATTGAACAGTTCAATGTTGGTAGCACATGGCCTACTCCTCCTTGGCTCCTCCACGACCGGCACGCTCGGCAGCCTCGATGCTCTTCTTATCCGTCTTGATCTCGCCGCCTCCCTGCTGCATGGCTCCCATGAAGCCGGCGTTGGCCTTCCATGGGCGCTTGAGGTCCCCAGTGGCCGCCTGCCCGAGTAAATGCACCTTGACCAGATTGCCCTCAAAGGCACCCTTGAGCGGGATGATGCTCTGGACGAGCAGAGGGTTGGTGTACTTGAAGTAGAGGTGCATGACGGCCATCATGCCAATGCCCATCAGCTGGCTCTTGTACAGACTCTTCAGTTGTTGCTTGTCGTAGGCGTGGACGGTGGTGGTGACGGCCTTTGGCTCTTCCGTGCTGCCCATGGCAGCGGGTTCGACGTATTTGAGGACGGTGCGGTCTGCGGGGAGGAGGGGTCAGCGTCGACGTACACACACGTGATCGGTGCCGAGGGAGGAATACCTTTCTTCTTGTCAATCTGCATGCCCACGTAGAAGTAGATGGCGACGATGGCCAAGTTGGAGAGGAGGTAGAGCGCGCGGACGCCCCAAAGCACGTTCGGATCCTCAAAGGGGATCTTCTTGCTGGCCTGCATCATCACCAGGATGATGATGAGGTTGGTTCTGTGACGAGTTAGCTCTCCGCTGTCGAGTGCGTTGGGTGAGGGGAACCGGCGCGTACATTTGCGGATTCATGATTGCGGCGGGTTGGGGGGAGTGTTGCGACAAGGCAAGAGGGATGTCGGTTGAAGAGGGGACAGATGGAGGGCGGCGGAGAAGGTTGGGGTGAATTGGTGATTTTTCGGCGACGTTGCTTTTCGTCCTCGGCGGTCCGTGCGTCGTGGCTTCCAGATCTTTTGGTGTCAGATCCTCAGCACCAGAGATTCTCGACTTTTCGCTTTATGGAATCATCACTCCCTTTGCCTGCTCCTTGAGTGAAGAGAGCTCGCACAATGGCTCCTCAAGACAGCCGCGCCACATTTCTCCGTATCCCGTGGGCGGCTACGTTGTTGAAACAGCCCAACACCATCTGCCGCGTGCCCAATTCCAGAGAGTCCAAATCGTCCACGGAGGATTCTCTTTTCGCGGAAATTCTGAAGGGGCCTCGCACCCTCCGATCCTGTCTCGTCTTTTATCAAAAACCCCCGGCCGACAAGGAGTGGGTGGAGGACGTGTCCGTCTTGTTCACGCTCGGCAACGGCATGAATGGGCATCCCAATGTCTTACACGGTGGCATTGTCGCGGCCCTGCTCGACGAGGCAATGGGCATGCTGCAGGGCTGCAATCACGAACGGCGCCACATGTCTGCCGTGGCCAAGGGCAAGGCCGACGGCGAGCTCCCTCCGCAGCCCAATGCGAGCTATACGGCTACCTTTCAGATCAACTACTTGAAGCCGGTGCAAACCCCGGGTGCGTTGATTGTGTCTACGCGCTACCTGAAACGAGACGGCCGGAAGACGTGGGTGTACGCCGAAATCAAGCAGCGGGAGAATATTGGAGAGGATTATGATGGTGATGAGGTGGTGTGTGCTACCGGGGAGGCGCTCTTTATTGAGCCGAAGCCGAAGAAGAGCAAGCTGTGAGGACGTAACTTTGGATTGAGGACCACAATCTGCTGCTCGTGTGAAGTGCCTAGATATGGCAAGACGGCAATGCAAGTGATGGAGAGTTGCGACCAGCTCCAGCCGTTGGACTTGCATTCATTCGTCATCCGGCAAGTTGAGACGCCCATTCACCCTCTCTCGTGGCTCACCATGATGACAACGGTCACGCCAAAAGAAGAGCTGGTTTGGTTGAGCAGGAAGCGATGTATGCAAGGGGAGGTTTGGAAGCGGTCACGGCTTGAAAGGCAGCGCCATCAAGGTGAGTTGGTCCCATGCCATGATCACCGACGAATCGCATTGACGTTCTCCAGTGTACCGACTTGCTCCCTCGCATGCTCCACTCTACACCGCTGAGCAAGTAGGATGAAATGGACGGTCGAGGTGCAATACCACAGGTCTACGGTGTCTGAATATCGCCGGGCTATCTGCGGCGAATGGCGGTGGTCAACGCACGTGATCTCACGCCTTTGCGCCACCCGTCTAATAAGACTCAAGGCGAAGCTTTTTGCGAGGCTGCACCGCCAAGGAAAGGCGATGCGATCTATAGGCTGCCTGTAAAATGTTATACTTCACTCCAGGGATCACCGGCATCGCGCAAACGTTAGGTTGATGTTATAGTGGGACTGCAATTTGCCCGCAGCGTCAAGCTCGCCACGTTCCTGCACCTCATCCGCTGAGTGGCCGTGATCTTCACGACAGCCTTTTTGAAAAAGACGGCAGTATCGTGAATTGTAAGGTAGGCGCCACGGCGAGTATATATCCAGCATGTCTCCTCGCACGCCTCTCTTTCCCACGATCTGGCAGAGCGGCAAAAATGCAGTCCATTGTCGTCCTCGGCGCTCTCGCCGCTGTGGCATCCGCCCAGTGCGGTGATTCGGTTCAATTGGGATACACCTGTGACCCGGAAGTCTCTCACTACTGGGGCGAATACTCTCCCTTCTTCTCCGTCCCCTCACTCATTCCTCCCGAAGTCCCTTGGGGCTGTGACATTACTTTTGCCAGTGTTCTCTCACGGCACGGGGCGAGATTCCCTACCAGCGGCGACACGAAGGACCTGGTGGGCCTGATTGATCAAATCCACAAGCAAACTACATCCTACTCCCCTCAATATGCCTTCATCAAAAACTACAACTACACGCTCGGCGCCAATCTTCTCACCCCATTCGGCCAGGTGGAGATGGTCCAGTCCGGGCAGGCCTTTTTTGAGCGCTACGAGAGCCTCGCCCGCAAATACACTCCCTTCTTCCGCAGTTCCAGTGACGAGAGGGTGATTGAATCCGCGCAGAATTTCAGCCTAGGCTTCCACGAGGCTCGTACGCAGGCCGGCGCATCCGATTCCTCATACCCGTACCCCTTGCAAATCCTCTCGGAGGATCCAGGCACCAATAACACTCTCTTTGCCCAGCAGATCTGTCCAGTCTACGCCAATGGCCCGGATTCGAACATCAACAATGCCGCCGAAGACACCTGGGCCAATGTTTGGATCGGTCCGGTGCAGACTCGGGTGAATGACAATCTCAAGGGTGCGAATCTTTCGAGCAGCCAGATCATTGAACTCATGGAATTGTGTCCATATAACAGCGTAAACCAGGGCGTCATCAGCCAGTTCTGCGGCCTCTTTACCGACTTGGAATGGAAATATTTTGATTACTACAGGTATGTCGTTTGGAGACGTTGCTTACAGGGGTTGTACTGATGATCATGCCGTAGAACCGTGGACAAGTGGTATGAAGACATGCAAGGAAACCCGCTAGGCCCAACGACTGGCGTTGCTTGGGCTGCGGAGTTGATTGCTCGTATGACGGACAATCGAACCTACGTGACGGATGCGCAGTCTTACACCTCCATCAACCACACGCTCGACGACTCCCAGGCAACGTTTCCCCTGGGACCAGGATACCCTCTTTACGCCGACTTTACGCACGATGACAACATCTTTTCCATCTACGGCGCGCTGGGATTGTACAATGCGACGAAAAACCTGTCGAACACTACCTACGAAAGCGCCGAGCAGGCGGGCGGCTTCTCCTCGTCGTGGGTAGTTCCGTTCGGAGGAAGGGGTTATTTCGAGAAGATGTCGTGTGTTGGAGAGCCCGAGGAGCTGGTCAGAGTCGTCATCAACAACCGCGTGGTCCCCCTGCAAAACTGCGGCGCCGATTTGTTGGGAAGATGCCAATTGAGCAAGTTCGTGGCGAGTCAAACGTTTGTCACTGACGGAGGACTCTGGAACCAATGCTATTAGGCGGTCGGATGTTGGATTTCCACGGACTTGTAGCTAGTTGGCGTGTGCGAGATACCCGATGCTGGTGAGGCCGCGGGAAGTCAATAGCCGAGGGGCTGGTGGTTGAAGTCAACTTCTTTGCCGCGGGGTCGCGTTACCCTTTGACGTATTGATATAATTCCCCGCCATTATCCACCCCCGGATGTTGACCGCTTCCTCCACACTCCATTCCACCAGCGCATCACCATGGCCGTCGTCGAAACGAACATCAACTACTTTGACCTGTCGAATGACCGCGTCTTTTATCCCGGAACCGCGGGATATCAGCGGAGAAAGTTCGATGTCAAAACCATGCCGATCCACGACTTGCGCGGGAAGGAAGATGAATTCACCCTCGACAAGAATGGATTCGTCGTGATGAAGGGCCACTGGTCAGAGGAGGATGTCGTGGACGAGCCGGAACACATTGAAGGCGTCGTCTTTCCCGAGACCATTGCGGCGGTGAAGAAACTGTACGTTTGTCTTGCAGGATGGTAGTTTCGCACACTGACCGACTCAACTAGGACTGGTGCATCCCATGTTCTACCCTTTTCCCATTTAGTTCGCCGAAGCCTCGCTTCCACTGTGCGCGACCAGGCAGAAGGGAAAAAGGATTCCGACACCGTCGACGCCCCCGGGCCCACCATTTTCGCACATTGTGACAACTCAGTTGCGGGCGCGCGCACTGTCCTGGAGAACAACTCTACTCCGGAAGAGCTTGAGAAGAGAGAAAAAATGCGCTGGGCCATCATGAACGTCTGGCGACCTTTGAAGCGACCTGTGCAGCGCGAGCCATTGGCGCTGCTGGACGCCGCCACCACCGATCGCGAGGACTTTATCGGAGTCATGGCCATGTTTCCGCAGAAGAAAGACGCCGCATTCGGGCAGGCTTACAAAAAGGGAGTGGGGTTTGAGACGTCCCAGATTCTGTACAACCCTGCCCATCGTTGGTACTACGCATCGGGACTGCGGCCTGATGAAGCGCTGCTCTTCAAGCAGTTTGATACCAAGGACAGTGGAGTGGCTCGGCAGACGCCTCATACTGCCTTTCAGTCCAAGGAAGATACTGGACCGCCGAGAGAGAGCATGTAAGTGAGATCGATTGATCTGATGATATGACGCTGACTAACTGTTGCTGCCTGCAGGGAAGTGCGCTGTCTTGTATTTTGGGAAAACGAAAATGCCTGATTTGTAACGTAGATTCAGTTGTAAACATGACATCTTTTCCGACCGCGCGTCTCGTCCGGCACAATCTCAGTCGTATATTAAGAATGCCACCAGGCGAGAACATTTCACGGCAGCCTAGCGTGTTTTAGCTGTCCGAGCAGGCCAATCCTGTCTTGACCCGAGGCCCAGCCTTGCATCCTGCGCAGATCCATCGGGGCGAATTCCTCTGGCCGTTGATGTATAAAAATCATCTCGATGGCCCTCGCTCTTCAGTCTGCACGCATCACCAAGAATCGTTTGCTCAACATGGCACTCTTTGAACGAAACGTCTCCCCAGTTGGGCCGCCTCAAATCATCAACGGCTCGTACTTCATCCCCGCCAATAATGGCTCGTACATCAATCCCGACTACTGCACGAACAAAATATGCCCGTTGGTCTACGGAGAACTTCGCTATGTGCCTTCATTTGCCGGAAATCTGGCCTATCTCCTCATCTTTGCTGCCTGTCTACTTGCACAGGTCGTCCTGGGCCTGCTCTTCCGTACTTGGGGTTTTCTGTTTGGGATGCTGTTCGGTTGCCTGCTGGAAATCGCCGGCTACGTCGGCCGCCTCTTGCTGCACAGCAATGACTTTGATTTCAACTACTTTGTCATGTAAGTCGTTGGATGGACGTTGCAAAACAATGCTGACGGCATTATAGCTATCTGGTGTGCATCACCATTGCGCCTGCCTTCCTCTCTGCCTCCATCTACCTCATTCTCTCCCGCCTCGCCGTGATTTGTGGAAGCAGAGTCGCCCGCTTCTCGCCGAAAACGTATACGATTACCTTTGTCTGCTGCGACATTCTCAGCCTCGCGCTTCAAGCCACGGGTGGAGGTCTGGCGGCAACGTCGAAGACGGGAGATCGAACTGGCATCAACATCATGATTTCTGGACTGGCATTACAGGTCGCCAGCCTGACAATGTTTGCGGCCCTGGCTGCAGACCTTCTTTGGGCGGCCCGCAAGGCCAGCCCGCGCACCACGAATCCTGCGTTTCGCTGTTTTCGGCGGAGCACCATGTTCCGATTGTTTCCATATGGTGAGGGTTCCTTCAACATCTGACCGATTCTGTGCTAACATGATGACAGCGCTGGCCCTCGCAACAATCACAATCTACATCCGATGTTGCTACCGTGTCGCGGAACTCGAACATGGCTTTGGTGGTTCTCTTGCTAATAATCAGCCGCTGTTTATGGTATTCGAGGGGCCAATGATCTTTGTCGCTATCCTGGCTCTGACGGCATTTCATCCCGGTCTGGCCTTTGGCGGTAAAGAAGGCTGGCGGTCGGCTAATTGGGCGTGGAAGGGGGAAAGTGATAGTCCCTCCAGCGAAAGCGAGTTGGTTGAAGTGATGGCGAAGGGTTCTGCTGCCTGAGGACAGCAAAAATTGAATAGAGGTTGATAACGTTTGCCATTGCGCTGCTCGTTTCCTCATCGAGTGCTCTTGATCTCGTTCCCGGCTGGGATTGACCAACCAGGTATCGACCCGAGCCAGCCAATTGCAAGTTCAAAGGCTGGCAGGCTCGCAGGCAACAGCGGAATTATTGGGCCGCAGTCAGCTCAAGTCCCTTTTGCAATGAGAGTCCTATTTTTGAGAACAACAGCATCATATGCGCGTGACTCGGGCGCGGCGTTACGTCTTCATACGTTGCGTGTGTCACCGTCTAAGTCCAAGCAGCCTTTTGTCGCTTGGTTGAGGGGCCAACCTTGATTTCCTACCATCTCTGCCACCGCATTGTTTGGGAATGCCTCCGCCGAAGAAGCTACTCAAAGTGAAGACTGGCTGCGTCACCTGCAAGATTCGGAAAGTCAAGTGCGACGAAGGCAAGCCGCAGTGCAGTCGCTGTACCGACACTGGCCGGAAATGCGATGGCTATCGAGCCTCGACGGAAATCACGAGCCGGCCCAAGAAGCTCCCTGACCAGGCCTCGCTGCTCGTCGTATTATCGCCAATCAAGAATGCTTCCGCCCTATCCAGTGACCTCCGCGACGATGAGAAGCTGTGGTTGGCCTACTTCAGTTCTCGTGCTGGACCTGAACTGTCGGGTCTCATCGATCGAGATTTTTGGTCTCGAATGCTTCCCCAGCTTAGCCTGCGCGAAGCACCGGTACGATATGCGATTTTGGCATTCAGCACATCACACGCGGCCAGCGCCTCCGCATTCCCCCAAAAGATCAGCATCCAGTACTACTGCCAGGCAATTTCCAGCCTTCAAAGCCGTATCAATAACGGCTGCACCGATATGGAAGTTCCGCTCGCCTGCTGTCTGCTATTTGTCTGCCTAGAATGCTTACAGGTTGACCGAACGGGCATGCTGAATCAGCTACAGAATGGGTTGAATATCCTCGATTCAATGCAATCCCACGACCAGGACGGGCAATTCATTGCGGTGTTCAAACAGAAGCTCCGCCAGATCTTTGCAAGACTCGACGGCCAGTCGACGCTACTGGGAAAACCGGTACCTACATCCCCCAACGCATTTTGTCCAACGGCTTCACAAGAGGCATTCGCCGACCTGTTTGAAGCACAACTATCGCTTGATGATATCTCCTCTCGCAGTCTCAACTTCGTCCGCCACACCAACGATTCTACCGTTCCTGGAGACAGATGGCCGACAGTCTCGCAAAGCCTGGCCCAAAGTCGGTTGCAGGAACAGTTGTTGGTTTGGAGGCTGCGACTGGAAAAGACCGTCTCATCGGGAGGAGATGACAGGGCAGCCAAGCTACTGCAGATCCAGGGCATTGCAAGCTTCATCTACCTCGGGGCCTGCTTCCAGCCGTTGGAAATGCGCTATGACGCATACCGGTCCGACTTCGTCGCATTGATCGCCGCGGCCGAATCCGTTTTGTCAGAGTCTTTACCAACATTTACCCTCGACGTTGGCATCATACTGCCGCTCTACCTCACCGCGTACAAGTGCCGAGATCCGCAACTTCGCCGCAAGGCCATTGACTTGCTTCAATCTTTCCGCGGCCGTGAGGGCATGTGGGATTCATTCATCCACTCTCGTATTGCCCGCCGGATCGTGGAGATTGAGGAGAGCGGCATGCTCATTGCTCGCTACGGCGCCACTTGCGCTGCGATGGAGCAACCGCCGTCAACATTCATGGAAACGGATAACTCCGCAGTGTTGACGCAATGGCCTGAGGAGCAGTTTCGTGTCGCGGACGTCGAGCTTCATCGTGGGCCGGGGGAAGCATCGCTGGCCAAGCTGGTCATCACCGTGCCAGCACCGGGCGTGCCGGTCGGGACGGAATGGATACGTTGGGAAGAGGAGCTGGTAGTGCCAGATGTTGCGAGGGTGATTGAATGACAAGAGCTCGCCATTCACGTGAAAATGTGCTACATGCTGCATTACGGACACGAGCAGCGAAGGTGATCTGGTAGGCCAACAACCTGGACCGCTGACGTGCATGTGCGGCTGAAGCGTTTCAACTTATCGCCCAAAATGGAAAGAAGAGAGCGAGCGGCCGCGGGATTAGTCATGATATGTCACCATCCATACGTGATCGATACAGCGAGGCTACGAGCTTTTCTGTATCTCGATCGCGTATTAAAAGGCTGTTGAAGCATCGAGGAGCAGAATGAGACCAAACTCCAACATCCCGCTCTTTTGCAACGCCTCCGCATCTCGCCCTCAATATGGCCAACCGGTTCATTGCCCTTCCCAAGAGCGGGATCAATCTGTTTTACCGCGAATGGGGATCAAGCAACGCCCCCGTTATGGTTCTTTTGCATGGATTCCCTTCATCATCACATCAATACCGCAAGCTCGCCCCTCTGTTGACAACGAAATACCGGGTCATCGCTCCCGATCTCCCAGGATTCGGCTTCACCGAAGTCCCCGCCGGCGCAAAGTACACTTTCAGCCTGCTTGCCGATACCGTGGCAGAGTGGCTCGACGCCCTCAAAATTCCGAAGTTCACCGTCTACGTCTTTGACTACGGTGCGCCAACTGCCTTTCGCCTCGCCCTGCAGCGGCCACAGGCGATTGAGGCCATCATTACGCAGAACGGCAATGCTTACGAGGAGGGACTGGGAGGCGTTTGGGCACCACTGCAAGAGTTTTGGGCGAGCCCCAACGGCCCTGAAGATCGCCAGAAGATCAAAGGCGGCTTCCTCAATGCGGATATAACCAAATTTCAGTACGTTAACGGCACCCCCGACCCGAGCACCATCGGCCCAGAATCGTACACGCTCGACCAGGCCCTGATGGAACGTTCCGGCAATAAGGAGATCCAGTGCGATCTATTCTTGGATTATGCGACCAACATCCCGCTGTACGCCAAGTTCCAGGAGTACTTTCGGACCTCGCAAGTTCCATTACTTGCTGTATGGGGAAAGAATGATATCTTTTTCATCCCGCCCGGCGCCGAGGCGTTTAAGCAGCACTTGCCCAAGGCGGTTGTGAAGCTGATTGATGCTGGTCACTTTGCAGCCGAGACTCATCCGGAGGAGATTGCAAGGGAGATTTTGCAGTTCTTGGGATAGTGTGGAGACAGCTGAGCTGGGGTCGGAAAAGGCGCGGTGATGGCGTTAGATTGGCCGGTCAGTGACAGATCGTCTAATGAATGTGATGAGTTTCATGTGTGCTGCACGTCGTCCAAGGTTCAGACCGCAGAACCGACAGCCTGTTGAGGCCAGTAACGTCCGAATGTGAACGCCTCTGTCGTTGGCGAGTGATGCCGCTCTGTTGAGTGTTGGCGGGATACAGCTGCCCGACTGAGCGTAAACAGCGTGCATCTCATTCAGTACGGCGTTGTAGTAGTTGACGGAAGTATCGTTGATGCCCGTAGCGGCGGTTGCGAAGCGCATTGAGTTGACTGGGAGCTCGTTCGTGCTGGACGGCGCTTATGCAGCACTGACGAACTTCTGCTTCCACTCTCTATTTATCCCTTTGTAGTCTTGTACAACATAACCGTCGAAAATTTCGGAGGTCCACGTGTTTTTCCTCCATCTCCGGAGACCCAGATCCGTCAGCAGCATGTCGGCGTAAGGGACTACGTCCCAGATGAACTCGTGGGGAAAGCCACATGGGTACCGGACCTTCCCGTAGCGACTGGTTAGTGCTGTACTCCAGAAAACTCGGTCTCGATCGATAGGCAATTTGTTTTGCAAATAAGCAAATGCCCACAGAGATTGCACCTCCGCGATCAGGAAATTCGATGTCGAGTGCACCATTTTGATGAAGGCGATGCTATTGTCACCTTCCACCGTCAATCCGGGTGGGGCGATGCCACGATACATACGCAATGGCGTCTCGTCGTACTTGTAGGGGAGGACTTTCTTCGGCGGGTTCTGAAGAGCGGGGAAGCGGCGCAGGATCTCTTGATCGGCTCTTCGGTCCAGTTCACTCCAAAAGCGTACTTCAGCTTCATCCTTGGGTATGTGTGGGACACCAATCTGGGCTTCTATCCCAGCCGGAGAATATTTCACAGAAGGGAGAAGGCTCCAGCCGGTGGTCTGAATTAGGCAATCGGTCGAGATTTGGCCTCCGCCGGCCAGATTGATGGTCCCGTTCGGTGCAAGCTCTGTGATGTCGTCTTTGGTGATTTTCACCTGTCCGGATTTGACGTATTCGTGGATTGATCCATCCTTCGTCGTATAGTTGTGGATACCAACGCGGGAAGTCCAGAACAGCCTACAACATATCAGCGGAGCACCGACAATCATTAGAGTAATGAGTCTCACCCTTCGTCCGGCTCCAAATGCTTGATTGATTCGTCTTCCCTGTATCCATTGCCCGCAACGCCATCCAAACGAAGCTTCTCCCAGAAGTGGTAAGTCAGCCACCGACCAATCCGGGTGCCGTGGAAGAAGCTCCTGATCCAGCCGAAGCCGTCGTAATTTCCCCAAATGCAGGGCGACATCCATGTGTAGTAGCGCATGGTAGCTGCGTGCTCTATCATCACCATGCCCCGACCTGGTAGCGGAATCCATGGAGGCGCCATGGCCGAGGCTCCGCCACCGGACTTTCGGATGATCCAGTCCACCTTTTTGCCGTGGGACGCCATGAGGAAGACTGCATCGTAGCCTGATTTACTGGCGCCAATGATGGTGACTGACTTGACGTTGGGATCATCGGCCGCAGCTTGACCCTCGGTGCGAAGTTTGCCCTGATTCATGATCGGCCGGCCGAAATGCTCCTGACCGGGTAGTGTGATGGGATTCGGTTTGGAGGCGAGACCGCTGGCAACAATGAGCTTCGTGCAGTTGATAACGCGGATTGATTTCGAGTCATCCGCGGCAGCTGTCTCGATCGTCACGTTCCAGCTTTTGTCGCTCATCTTTTCGACCTCGAGGACAGTAGAGCGGAACTCGATGCGCTCGTAAAGGCCAAAGTGCTTAGAAAAGTCGACCATGTATTTATGCATAGCCATGCCCGGAATGTGGCCGCCTACCTTGACGCCGTATTTTTCCGCTTCCATTGGGAAATCTGGCCACTCGTAAGTGCCGGATAAATTATTCGTTTTGAGGCCTTCGTAGCAGTTCTCGTAAGCCCACACGCCGCCGAGGCTCTTCCGTTGTTCGACAATAAGGAGATCTGTGGATGGTTGCAGCTCGAGATACGTTTTGGCCGCAGACAAACCCCCAATGCCTAAGAACTGTCACTTGGATGATTGGAACAAAGTAGCCTCAGGCATACTGACCTGACCCAATGACCAGCACCTCGACTGAAGAATGATTGCTTTCCATGTTGCTACGTTGGCGGTTGTCGATAGGTACTTGTCAATGAGACCATTTCAAAACGAGAACGACCGGTAGTTATATCAGTGCAGACCGGCATGCCTGGGAGTTGTAGATAAGGATGAGCTGGAAAGCGAGAAAGGCTGAAAGGAACCGGGCCGAGAACCATTCCAATCCCCGCAGCACGATGCCTCGGCAACGTACGGGGTTTCCCTGACCGGATGTCGATGGGTTGTCAGGATTCCCGTCGGGTGAAGCTGGATAATAGACGGACGAGCCACAAGCCATCCTTCTCACCAACTCCGTGGGGCTGAGTTTTGCGCGGGGACTCTCATTCGATCCCCTTTCGTTACCCGTGCTGCTTCACTGCAGTGTAGATCTGGACTGATGTGCATGATTGTACGGGCGATCTGTGCTGAATTCATCAAGCAGAGAGCATGCACAACATCCTCAATACGTAGACTCTACATGTAAGTAGCATCCCTGCGGAAGCCCGCCTTTGTGTACCGCACGCTCGTCACTCATGGTGACGACTTGCTGCCGTAATGTGGAGGTCAGACTCATCGGGCCACATGCCCCAACCCCCGACTCCCCTTCTGCGCCATCAAGCAGCTCTGCTAGTAGTGAACGTACGTCTGGTCGGCCTGGCATGATTCGAAGGCGTTGGCCCATTCCATCTACTGCAACAGTCTTTTCCAAGGGAAGCTTGTTGTCGGCGAACGATGCCACTGAGTCGGTGTCGTCTACGGACAAGTCCGTCGCGCGAGTGACGAAGAGGCTAACCTGTGCATCGATCCCGGTTTTGTCGAGCTTGTCAATGGCGGCAGCAATCTCGGCATCGAACCAGCTCGCCCAGCTGACATCTTTGATGCACCAGACAAAGTGCAGGCGGCGGAGTGGCAATGGAAGACGAGAGCGTTCCGCAAGGTCCTGGAGTATGGACAGGGTGAAGCTGACCCCGGTGGACCCCGCGCAGAGGAGGACGGAATGAAGTTGGGCATAGTCAGACTGCGAGCCACCGTACGGGCCATCCAGCAGGGCGGCATACGAAGTTGAAGTATTCGTGCCTTTGCGGATCTTTTTGGTGAAGCCTCGATGGCTTTTGAGCACGAATATCTGGTCGCCGCCGTGAGAGGTGGGAGTAGAGACGATGGTTGCGGGGTGGTTCTGGAAGAGGCCGAACCGAGGGATGGAGAGGAGAACATGCGAACCAGGTTTCCAACTCCGGATCGCTTTATTGGAGACCCGGATCATGGTGGCATCGCCGTCGAGCTGGGTGAGGGTTGCGCGAGCGACACGCCTGTTGCTCCAGGCAACGTACGTGGTCCGGACGATGCGGTCGACGAGGTATGCTGCAATGGGGATGTAAATGTACTGCCGAGCCGGCATCGTCCATGGCGGGATATGGTACATGATAGCGATGATGAAACCCGCGAACGAGAGGAGGTGCTGAGCAACGAAGAGCTCGTATGACAGGTCCCGGAAGGGAGCGATAGTGCTGATGTTGATCCATAGCAGGAAGCCAAGGGCAATGATGCCTGTAGGCGGGCAGGTGTCTGTCGTCCACTCCAACTCAGTGATTCCGTATTTGGCCCAGCCGTAGCTTTGAAAACCAAAGTGGAGTAGCGCGAGGAATAGAAGAATACGCCCAGCCCAACGATGTAGAATATTCAGCCGTTCGTAGGAAACCCCGGTCAGGAAGGCGATGAGATTGTTCTTGTTGACCAGCAGCACCAGAAGCGGCACTTGCGCAACTGCCAGCCATCCAGCTCGTATTCCGATAGCCTCCCAGTGCTGGGCGCCTGGTAAGTCGTTGTCGTAGAATTCCAGGAGAAGTACCCAAATGCTGTACGCAAGGACCAACAGTCCCGTCCCCATTGGTGGCGTCTTCAACCAGGGCACACGGCGAAGAGGGCTCAGCGCAAGATACGACGACTCACGCCCGATTGCTGTCAAAGTCGCAAACCACCTTGCCGGTAACGACTTTGGCCGACTCGGGTATGGTTTGTTCAGCGCCGCATCTCTCAGCCTTGCTCGCGCCACCAGCTTCGTCGCGATGTTGAAAAGAGTGGCGACTGTGATTGCAGAGACCATGCCGTACCAGAATACCCGGGCGTATGCGTTGCCCTGCACTTTCAATTCGTCGTCGTTCAAAACGGCCATGAGGAAAGCAAAAGCTTGCGTTTCATTGGAGAAGTTGACGCCCGCCGGCGAGACCGGGGCGGTCAATTTCGGCATGTCCATGTTGGCGGTGACGATGAGTGCAGTCCGTATGCTGGTCGCATCTGGAGCTACATGTATGTAGTCTCCTCGATGTTGCTTGTTCCGCAGCCGGCGAGAGGCAAAAGCTTACAAACTTGCTCAAAACCGCGCAAGGCTGCATGGCAGGTACAGCCTCGCCCAGCGGGAAGACCAATCAAGCCAGAAAGAAACGATTCACTGAGCGTGTTGCAGCATGAGTAATTGTGTGTAATATGCGACCGAGTTACATCTTGTCCCCCCAACAGCTTCGAGGAGAAGGCGCTTCGACGATGTCGAGTTACTTTGAGCACGTTGTGCAACAAGCGTAGTCCAATCGGCGCTTTGGGACGTCTGTCGTCGCATGTCGAAGAGGCATGGGCTGGGCGTGTGCCTCTGTCCTGGTCTTGCTCTTGCTATGTACATTGCCCTTCGTCATCGGTTTCGTGCAGAATGCTGCTCTTGCTGCCGCGGTGGCGAGATGTATTCGAACATCCTGCAATGGCTACGGAGGAAGTGAGATGAGGCATGGCGGTAGCGCGGAGGAAAGATCACCTAGGAAATATCGCGCATGATAGCGAAAAGAACGTTTCGACGGTGAAAGTATAGGCAGGTATGCTGATGGAGATGAACGGACGGAGTGAAAGAAGCAGAGGCCGCTGGCGAAGAGGTGGGCGCAGAACCTTGGGAGAGACGAAGTTGCCGAGTTGATCGATCAAGGAGAGACGAGCATAGAGCACGCACTGTCTAACGTGGTGAGCGGTGGAATGTGCATTCCACGATTCCCGGCCTTCTTGCGGCTATCTAGGGTGCATAGAATGTGTCGCGCGGGACCGCACGTGGAGGAAATGGGTAGGGATGTTGGAGATGAGGCAGGAGATCATCGCGGCGATGGACATTTGATGTGTCAGCCATTGGGATGCACATTCGTCTTGCCACTTCTTGTCCTCGACCAGTTCTAGGCATGAGGAGAGCAAGAGTCAGGATGGCGTAGTGTATTGTGGAGCCAATGTGCTAGGACGCAATGATCTCGCCTATCCAAAGATGTCGCAGCGCAGGTTTGGTGCGTGTAAGGATGCTTTAATGCGTCGGCGAACCTGGAGGTGTCATTCGTGCGGACGAACTTCGGCAAGTCCGCGTGATGTCTCCGACTCTCCTCCTCCTTCACCACATTCCCCCTTCCTTCCACCCCGGCCTCGTCGCCTCCCTCCCGAACACGTTACGAAGAAAGCGGCACTCCCTCGTCCCCCGCACCGCCCGACAGCCGCACTCGCAATGGCGTTCGAAGAGGAAGAGCATCGGGGGGAGCACGAGGGCATGGGATGACGGCTACAGGCTGCGGGGAGGGCACAGCAGAACAGCGCCGCCGGTGCATGTCGACAGTGCCTTGCCATCTCTGCCACTCTCACCCCGCACCATGAGCAGAAGCCGCCACTTTCACCACGAAGCGACGACCTCGGGATTATAAGAGCAGGTGCAGGAGGAGCCAACGGAGAGGTCAGGCACACACAGCGCCGCCAGGGAACTGCCACCTCCAGTTTCACTTCGCAGGACGAGCTGAAATCGAGGCAACCCCCGAAGCGAGAACTGGGTGAGGCCAAGGCTATTACATTGGCAAGTGCAGGATTGACTGGAGCAGCGGATTCGGCATGGGATGGTGGAGAAGGCGCTCCCCTCGACGCAACAGAGCTTGCGCAACAGGCCTACTCGCAGCGGCAGGGACGTCTTTGCGCTCACGTCGTGGGCATCCAGATCAGAGGGAGGCCGGGTATGATTGCGCTCAATCAACGAGACTGATGATTGGTGACTGCTAACCTCGGAGAACGACAGATACCACCCACCAGCCCTCCGTCGCTGTCTCCTCCAGCTGCAGCATACCCGCGCTGTTCCTCCTCCGCGGTCTCCACAGACAACCCAGAAATACATCAGCAACTCTGGTGTCATTTCTCCGCAAGACAGCAACAAGGAGCCTCTTCCTCCGCAGCCTCGCCAAGCACGAGTAGCGCCGCCATCCTCCTCACACACAACGACCAGCCGAACCACGATCATCTCCATCTCCGCGCAGAGCTCTGCCGCATCGCTTCTCGTCCTCCGCAGCCTCCGCTCATTGCTTTCCTCCTTCGCTGTCTGCGTGGGGCACCGCCACCTCAAGTTGGCATTGGCGGGAATGGCGCGGCTTGGATGAGGGTGACATCAGAAAGAGCCGGGCAATGCCCAGCGATACCCTGCAAGAGCCAGCCTCACGAGGAAGCCTGCGCACCATGTCTCGCCACTCACGCTTTGACGGGAGTGCGCAGCGCAAACTACTCCGCCGCTGCAATGGTTGGCGCAGCACATGATGCGCAACGGAAAGAGTTGGCCCGCTGAGTATTGGATGGCGCGCACAGCGGCAGCAGAGACATGACGGGAGAAGGCACAAAGCCGTCTGGCTCCGCCGTTGAAAGAGCCAGGCGCAGCGATGAAATCCACACCGCCTCGCTCCTCTACTTCGCCCGGAGCCCGTGTCCTGCGCCATCGCCGTAGTCACTGGGCATCAGCAGCTACATTCCCCGCTCCCCCACCGCCGCAGTACTGGAGCAGACGACTCGCGCATCATCTCCCACTGTCTCTATCTCTTCCACTCTCCGGTTGCAGCCTCCGCTCTGCTGCAGCGCCGCCCTGAGCTCGCGCGTCGGCAGCTCGCTCCTTTGCCACTAGAAGAGTCGTGGAGACGAATGGCGCATCGTTTCAACCCTCTCTCCCTCCTTGATATCTGCCGTGGGGGTTCCGCCTTGCGCATCATCCTCTCCATCTTGCGCAGTGCCGCCGCCTCCATTTCCGCCGCAGCACATCCGCCGTGATGCGCCTCCTTCGCCTTACGCAGCATCTCCTCCGTCTCGAACCCGCAACTCCTCCCTCTGGAGTACCTGCGCCTAACGCGCTAACGTCTCGTCCGCCATTCCTCGATCGCCAGCTCGTTCCCACATCTAACCAAAATACTATACTCCACCGTTATAAGGGTGGAGTTTTTGCTCACCAAATAATATCTCAGAATGGCTGGGTAATTTTCAGAATGGGTAGGGTAGAGTTTGAGTAGGGTAGAGTTTCCAAAAACCCATAGAATCACGCTAAATTCGAGTATGTTATAGAGTGAATTTTTGTGAGCAAGATTGATATGAAGACTATACTAAATAGAGGCCGTGTTAATACAGTATATGTGATAGAAGTGTATATAGTAGGTTTAAAGTTCTATAGTATATAGACGTAGAATAAGGGGATACAAGTAGCCTATATAGCCTAAGCGTTTAACGGGTAAGGCGCGGATTCGTAGAGAAGGTAAGGGGTAATATTACGAGGGTTTACTATTGTAGTACAGCCCGTATACGTTAGATCAGGGGAAATACATATGTAGTAGGATATTTAAGGGTAAGAAGAAGACAATCAACCTATTTTTAACCTATTTCTAACTCAATTTATACTAATAGGAGCTATATAAGACGGAGGAGTCTACGAGAAGCATAGAGTATTTCTACTATTTAGATAAGTAGTAGATCATCATTTACAAAGAGTACTAGTACGCCGTATAGCTATAGGAAGTCTAGAGCTATTTATAAGGTAAGTAATACTAGGTCCTATTATACTAAGCCCGAGCCATTATAGTAGAGGTATAAGAATAGCTAAGAGTAGTTTATAATAAGACTAATTTAGTTATTCCGCTATATATCTATAGGCCTATTACCGAATTACTATTATATACTAACGGATTATAGTACTATATAGAGCCTAAGAGATGTTCATAGATATTCTGTAATTAGAAGACAATACAAAAACATTAGAGGGAAAAACACTAGTAGTCTATTAAAGGTAAAGGTAGAAGGCTATAATCTACCGATAAACTAAGGATCTAACTGTATCTACATTGGAGTTTTTAAAAAACTCCATAGAAAATCTACTAAAACCTC